ATGTCATTTCAATCCCCGGAGTTAAAACTTCTGAGATTATGGTAGTGGTAGTTCGTTTGAAGAACGATCGGACGCCACTGAGTAATTGAATCTGCATGGACAATTGCTAATGATTTTTTCCTCATTATAGATGGTCGCGTTGCTCCCCGTAGTGGTCTCGCCTCAAAGCACTTTATCGACACCGGTGCCGGTGTTATCGACGCTGACTACCGCGGTGAGGTGAAGGTGCTTCTCTTCAACCACTCCGACGTTGACTTCCCTGGTATGTTTCCTAGTCTATGTTTATTGATCCGTAAGGAGTAAACCGCTAATGTATACTCAAAACAATAGTCAAGGAAGGAGACCGCGTTGCTCAGCTGGTTATCGAGAGAGTGAGTGGCAATATTTAAACTCCGACGGACTTAGATCCTAACTTGATTACAGATTTACACTCCCGAAGTCGCTGTCGTTGAGGAGCTGGAGGAGAGTGTCCGTGGTGCTGGAGGCTTTGGTAGCACCGGTGTTTAAACAAGATATTATATATAATATCTTGGAATCGACACTGGATATAACAGCATGGGTCTGGGCTGGAAAAAGGATGGGAAGGACACCGGAGTACTTCTAGAGTGGATTTAGGCTCATTGGGAAGATTTAACGATTAACATGTCAATTGGTCCACGACGACACAATCAAAACTCTATTACGAGTTACCTGCTATTTTAATTCGATTCTGGCATTCGTCATGATTTCAATGTGTGGATGTCTATCTGGTATGATCATATCAGGCCATTCCAGCATTATCATCGTCACAATGCATTAGACTGGTCCCATACCCACAGAAAGCTTTGCATTGGCCTCAGATGCTTCCTGGTCTGATGAGGGGCTTGCAGCAAGACTTGCATGATTAGCGACTTTGATGCTCAATCTCAGCATTCAAGGATATTGATGGCAACTGGTCCGAGTCTGTATCAATTGGTCGACAGTACTGGAAACAATCCCACCGAAGCCTAAGATCACGCTGTCTTTGTAACTTCTGTGGAAGTACTAGCGCCAACGAGTATTGGAGACTTGGAGTGGAATTGATTAAACAAACGTAAGTGCTAGTGCTAGTCCCGCCCATGTGGAGTGCCTAGTCAATGTTTTTCTGTTATTGATCAACTGTAAATGTAGAGAGCACCGCGACGGACTAACTACATATGGATGTAGGTAGGCAAGGATGGTTTCCACGTTAGGTCATCCCTTTCAAGTTCGTGGTGAGCATACGAACAATTAACAATTTTTTTCGGCTATGTATACGAGTACTCGGGAAACTGAATACGATGCATTACAATCGATTGGTTCTTCCAAGGTTGTCGCGGTGCAATGGATATTCATCTGACTTTTGGATATTCCAAGTTTATGATCGACTCGCGAATCATATGGACTGGTCTGGCCTACACGAGCTGGGCAATCCGTTGAGCCATAATCTTCTCTTTCGTTATTCCTGTCATGCTAGAGTACGACAGCTGGTCCAAGTGTCAAAACACCTTCGCAGTTCAGGGGGAACCATGATGTGCCCCGACGGGATCCGACTCCACAGAACGATCTAGTCCCCGGGCTGGTCTACTTTCGGGGATTAGCGCACGACATGGCTTTCGCTAGGGCTCAGCCGCTACTCTCATACGAGATTATCCAAGATTAAAAGCACCAAAATGAAATGAGAGAGAACCGAAACGATTCGGTACGGGTCTCCATACTCTGCCGAGTTCCCTGCTTAATCTGTCCGTATATTACCTCCTGTTCCCTCTTAAGGGTTCTCACGTTGGAGAAGATCATCGGCGTCGAACATCTCGGGTCTTGAATGACTCGCTGACGCTATCATTCATTTATTGCGGTTGGGGGCCAACATCTTTGCGTGGCCATGAGATCGACTCTGTAGCGCTCAGTCGCATTTCCCCTCTTTTGATCGCCCGCCAGGGCCCGTCGCTCGTTTTTTTCTAGCCTTCCAATATGGAGGCTACTGGCGTCTCTTCGAACTGCTTCGTCAGTCGCAGGGAACGCTGTTCACTCTCTATGAAATCAGAAGAATCTCCTCGGCCTGGTCGGTCGCAATCCGGCCAAGTTCGCCGACAACCAAAAAGCGTTGGGTTTTATAACCATACCATTCTAATCTTAATAATTATTCTCTGTCTCTCGCCAATATCAACACTGGCTCATCCAACCACAATTGCACCGGATATAACTGCCAACATCCCGCGATCTGCCTCAGATCCACATGGTCAGATCATCAACGTTGTTGATCTCGATCTTCAAGAACAATCTTCGCCCCTCGAGTCCCGCGACAACAGCCCGATTGATGAACATGACCACCATGAACTGGAGAATTCCTTCAGCCAGGAGCTTGGCCATGACATTTCCCTGCAGCGAAGAATCCTCAATGCGAGCACCGATACTTCATGGTCGATGCCAGAAGCATATGATACAATATCCAACGATTTCGCTAACGCCAGCTGCGTGGCATTCTTCGAAAAGTTCCGCGATAACTCCACAGTGACAGATTGTCATGCGGTTTCCCTGCTCCTCGAAAACTCCAACGCCTTCTTTCACGATCTGAGTTCAGCTACAGATACCGCGCGTGTGTTGAATACCACATGCTCGGAGTCGGTTGATAAATGTCAGTCTATCATGACTGGACTAGCGGCTGAGATGATCCAACAAGATAACTGTGGACCCGACTATAATGCGAATAACTCAGTTGTTACGAGCGCATACCAAGAAATGAGGGCTTACGAGCCAGTATACCAGGCTACTTGTCTGAAGAATTCAGATACGCAAGACTATTGTTTTGTGGATGCTGTTACAAACACTACAGCTCCAAATGACTATGATGTCTATTTCATTCCCATTGGAAACCCTCTCACTAAGGGTGACCTTACTTGCAATGAATGTCTTCGAGAGACGATGTATATCTACTCTCAGTGGGCGACAGTCGATGATCAAGAGCTTGACTCGGATTATATTGCTTCTGCCAAAATCGTGAATGAGCAGTGTGGAACTGGGTTTGCGTCTATCAATGTTACTACAGGGTCTTTCAGTGTTACTGCGGGATCTGCTGCGGCGCTTCCAGTTTCTGGCGTTAGCCTTGTCTCGGTCATTTGTCTCACTCTTGGTGCTTTTTTCTGGGAGGTATTGTGAGCTTGTACGGACTTATAAACCTGCGAACTTCACTTGGGAATGTTTCTGATATAGAAGGGGTCCATTCTTTGCTGTCCTTGAGTTTTGGAGTTATGGTCATGTGTGATGAGAGCGAGTTAATTATATTTTCAGGTGATACACTAGTAGATATTGACATCACCTTTAATCGCAAATTCTGTTATTTTATACCAGATGAATGTGTCAAGCTTCCTGCAGTAGCTTACCTAGCTTGTATAATCGAATCAGCGCATTTGGCGTTCAATGGACATCCAAATTATCAGGAGCAGAGCAAGCACAGTAGGCCCACGGCTCAGATAGGCTCGCCTGACTTCCATAACTAGGTATAATATCATCAAATTTACTATATAATTGAGTGGTTTTCCAATGGATGTTTTGTGGTTAGGCTTAGTGATATAAGTGGGTCGGGCCGACTTTGTTGCCGGGGCATTGTTTACTTTCATCATCAACTCACTGTACAACCTTGAACCAACAATGGTAAGGCCCTGAATCAAAAGAATAACAAGATTCTAATATTAACCACATCTCAAAATGCAGGCGAATAATCCAACCTTCAAACTCTCTCCTCTATCCTTTGGCGGCCAGCGGGCCTCGCCATTCCGCCGGCCTTCAACGCCTAACTCCCCACCATCTGGTCGCCCCGCGACTCCAGGTAGCTCTCCTAGTAGAGGATACACGCCGATGGTATCGCCCAGCAAGTTGAATCAGTCATACACCGTTGAAGATGAAGATTCTTTTTCCCCGCGGGCGGCGGATCCAATCCCTCAGCCTAAGTTCACGCGCGAACTACCTCCTTCACCTACCAAAGGAGCACGTTCGCCAGGTCATACCTCGCCGATTCTGAGCAGCTCTAGCGGAGTTGTGGTCGCAAATACCGACGCCTCATCTAAGATCCCTCCAAATCAGCTGAGAGAGATCAGAGAGGCATTCCAGGTCCTTGATCGGGACAACGATGGACTAGTAAACAAGGATGACGTTGCTGAAGTTTTGACAAATCTGGGTGAGTGGTCAAGCACATTGATGGACAAAAACCATGCGCCCATATAAACTTTTACTGACATTGTTTCTACTGCCCAGGCCAAGATGCATCGGCCTCATCTCTTGCCTCATTTTTCCCGCCTGGAGCTGGGCAGACAATCAACTTTCCTACTTTTTTAAACACCCTATCTCAATTGATGTCCCCAATGTCTTCTTCTCAAGAACTGCTCAATGCCCTGGCGGCATTTGATGATGATGATAATGGTCAAGTTGATGTAGCAGAGCTACGTGATGCTTTACTTCATACAGCGCCTGAGGATGGAGGAATGCCCCTGACAGAACGCCAGATTGATGAAGTTTTTAATGGGTTTACTGGACGCCGTGCGTTTGGAGGCCGAGGCGCAATTACAGGTGGGATGGGAAAGAGAGGCGAGGTTTTCCAATACCATGATTTTGTTCGCAGTGTGGTAGGTGGAGGAGAGAATGGAAATAATGGGCGACGAGAGACTGGCACTGTTCCGTCTTGAATTGTATGACAATATCAATGTTTACTAGTGGGCGTTGGTGGTGTTTTCATTTTATACAAGGATTACGGGGGGGAGGTATGCGCTCGTGTTCTTTATGCAAGATTAGGGATGAATCTATATCTCAGAACCAATGAAGATGACATGTAACAAAACTATTTGAAATACTTGAAATACTCAAATACTCAAGGAGAAGCCATAAAGAACTATTACAACTTGAAAAATCTAGACGGAATATTTGTTTAAAAGGATGCGCGTGCTCCGCATTTCTTCAACGGCAGAAAATCATCCTCCAGCCTCCACGGCAACCTGATTTCTTTCCCAACTGAACACAACAACAGCTTTTTTTATGTGCGTGTAGCTATCATCAAATGCAGATTTAATCCAGGATGTCCCAGCATCCGCCCTCTTGGGCCTTTGATGGCCTTGATGACCCCCCGGCCTCACCGCGAACGATGCGCAATCTGCGAAAGATCCGATCTCATCAAGTCCTGACGACGTCTAGCGCCCTGATCGCACAAACCCAGTCATCTCGCTCTTCAGGGGCTCGCGCAACCGAAACAGGGTCGGCGGTGACACCGGGTAGCATTACTGCGCGAACTCCCACGCATCGCCGAACTCGATCAAACAGTGACGCGGCTGCTCGAGCCGCAGCTCTAGCGTCTACAGTCCCGGCGCAAAGACGCCCAGCACGGAAAACTGGCTCGGGCATCGGTATTAAGCGGTCGCTCTTGGAGAACCTGCTACGCGATGGGCCACATAATGGCAAGACCAGTGAGGGTTTACAAGAACTGAAGTATCTTGTGTTGTCATGCAGAGTTGATGCAGATGGAGACGGCATGGTCAGTTTTTACTCCTATTGAATTGGGGGCAACGAGTACCTCCATTTTGATCGCGTTTTTCTAATAACCTTATAGTCTCCATATCGAATCTACCTATGGCTGGTTCTTCTCAACATCCCTCCTGTACCGACCGACGACTACCTCGCTCTTATCCACCGTGGCCGTTCTCCAGCCTACGCCAAAATCCGCAATGACACTTTCCGTACTCTAGCCACCGACCCCCTTTTCAAGCGCCGCGTCACTGAAGCCAGTCTCATCCGATTGCTCAACGCTGTAGCATGGAAACTGCACGACTCGAAAGTGAAACCAAGACCCAAATCCCGGCCTTCTTCCTCCAGGAGACTTGAAATGGAGCTCCTGGTAATCACACCATCTAGAATCGAGGAGGAGTCGGAGGAACCGGGATCTTCAAACAGCGCTACAATTAACGAGACTGCGATGTACGTGCAAGGCATGAATGTCCTTTGCGCGCCATTCCTTTATGCAGCCCGCAGCGAAGTTGAAGCATACGCTTTATTCCATTACTTCGTCACGAAGGAATGTCCAGGTTACATCCGTGGAGCTATGGATGGCGTGCATAAGGGTCTCCGACTGGTCGATAGGTGTCTGGAAGTTGTGGAGCCTAAATTAGCTGCCCATCTTTTCTCCAAGGGAATGCATGCTGAGCTCTATGCTTTCCCATCTGTCCTCACATTTTGTGCCTGCACACCACCTCTTCCAGAGGTTCTTCATCTATGGGATTTCCTCTTTGCATATGGCACACACTTGAATATTGTTTGCATTGTGGCTCAATTACTCCGCATGCGAGACTCTCTTCTTGAGAGCGACAAGTGAGTACTCGACTTGCATTGGCAATGCTATGAAATATCAGTAATACTAACCTAACCATCTTAGTCCAAACAAAATTCTCCGAAATCTACCTCCCCTCGATGCCGAGAAGATTATCGCTCTAACCGTGCTTTTAGCACCGAAGATTCCAGCTGATCTATATGCTGAGATGGTCAGCCACGCGAAATGATTCAAGACCCCTTAACTGTACTTTTATGTTTATCTTTCTTTCTGAGCTATGGTTCATGATCATGGCGTTTGGTTTATTTTTACCTGTTTTAACTGCCGGGATGGGCATGATGTATGAAAATGTGCCACTATGATCTCAACGCGTGTTTGATGAAATGAAATTATGATTCTGTATTGAAATGTTTACTAGTAGTATGCTGGACGCTTCAAATGTTCAAGTGCCTCTCTAATCATAGGGAATATCAATACTACCAGCACTTGAGCACTGCCCAGGTGAGTACTTTGCCCCAGTTCAGTATGCTTGTGACGTCACATTAGCGTAACAACAGGATAAGAGGCACAAGTGCACTTCAGCGTACAGATATAATCCTCAAACTCGAGTCTACAGATATTCAAATGTTCATTCCAGCTTGAAAGTTCAATTTTGCGTATTTAAAGCTCGAATCCATAATGCCACAACCATCAGGGAGCAAAGAGAATATGATTATAGAGGACAGTGCCTCTAATACGAGTACCATCTCCATCAAAAACCGACAAAATTCTGAAAAGGAACGCCATCCAGACAGTAATGATGGTGAGTGGAATGAGAGATCCTGTCTTAAGTCAAAATCACTTTACTCAGGATGTCTAGATCAAGCGCCGAGGGCAAATCCCACTGTCTATGAATACGGAGATGCAAAGCGACCACCACGGCCAGATAGTATCCGATTTACTTGTGATAAAGGAGGTAAGTACATATTATATCATGATGTATGCCTCATAAGGTTCTAGGGCAATAGTGCTAATTGTGATGAGATAGATGCACCGAAATAAGTTTGAAGCCGGAGTCTGTTAGGCACAATTTACAACATCCGAAAGATTTCATAGTATGAAGCTGAAGAACTTGGAGAATAGATAGATGGAAGACCTTCAAATTAGTCGGAGCTCCTTGAAGTTTTCATGGAAAGAATATCGTGATGAAGTCTGAGGTACATATAAAAGTATATTGAGACGAAGTATCTAACTTAAGCATTATCGCTATATGTAGAGCTTAGTTACCAACTCTCTCATTTTATCTGATATCCAACCCAATATCAGACAAACCCAGAGTCATCGACTCAACAACAGCCAGCTGCATCACTTGATCCTCCTCAGAAGTCTCAGCAACATCGAACTCATTAGCCAAGACAATCCCAACCATTCTCGCAGTCTGAATAACCATCTTGATTTCCTCAGACACATCACCCATCTCATAAAAAAGTGTCTTCCAGAATTTTTGACGAAGTTCAATATTCCGTGGATGAAATGCCATGCAAGTTGTCTTGCGAATACCGAGAATATTCTCTAGTCCCCACAGTTCATAGCAAAGGGGCCTAGCTCTGCATCGCGCCAATCGACAATACCAGTTAACTTTCCAGTGTTGACATCCACAAGGATATTATTCTCAAGGACGTCCCCACGGTTGAGTACTATCAGATAATCATCTGCGAAAAGAGATGGGATTTGGCTTTCAAGTGTATCCAGCAAAGGATGGAAGCGACTTGGTAATAGGTTCATCATGCGGTCGAGGCTGGAAGAATGATTGTTCTGAATTGAGGCTTTGTTGAAGGAGGGTAGCGATGGTCGATTCAGCCATGCACGAGAACAGAATCTAATGTCTATTAGCATGGAACCTTGAGATTAAAGCGGTAATGATACCTAGCAAAATCTTGTACAGTCTGTTCCAGAAGATGAAAGTTCTCAGGGTGATGGAGAATGGAGAATGGCATTGACTTGAAGAAGTGCATCACCATGTATGTAGTTCATCTTGTAAATCCGTAGGAGGTGTACCTTGAGATCAAACTGATCAAGATTTTTGCAGGTAGGCACTAATCCTCCGTAAGTCTCCTGCGCGGCATTTAGGTGTTCAAAATCTAGCGTATTTTGAGGACCACGGAACTGAACGATGAAGGCATTGGTTTCATCGCCGACTTGAACAGTGTAGCTCTGTGCACCTTGCACAGGTGTGGGCTTGATAGTTCCACCGTTAGCAATGATAGCAACTACGTCATCGCAAATCTCCCTGGTGATTGGACTATATCGGCTGAAGAAATTCATCAACTGAAAGTTAGATAGAGGATCCATATTGACTGAGCTTGACACAGCGCACTCAAAGAAACTTGAACAAGGCGGCAAAATGAGACAGGGGAAGAAAAGAGTCAAAAGAGGCTTGAGATGCAGGAGTGCCTTGGGCAAATACAAACTCCAGTTGTTGGTTCAGACTGAAACCATCTGATACGGACAAAATCTGAAAGAGACATCTGAGATAATTTTAGGAATAATATGAATCAGGTTGCTGCTTGAACTCCAGCTGTCCCTCGAGAATCAGCTTGATCGCGGTTGCCACTTGAGCTGTTGCGTGAGAGGGTGTGGTTGTTTGTCCCCTAAGGTGTTACTTAACAGGATACCGGAGCTTAAGTACCTAGTACCTTAAGGGATATCCAGAGTCAAATCAAAACCTCAAGTAGTAACCGCGGTTCAAACTCATTCTCGAGGGACAGCTGGAGTTCAAGCAGCACCTCAATAGATGGATAGAGGGGGTTTGGGGTGTTGGTTTCCTGGGTTGTGCAGATGGCTTCTGGCCAAGAATCCTGACTTTGTATGTGGTAAAGAAATTCTCAATAAAAATAGAATGGAGTAGATGTAGATAATGATTTAGGTAAAGGTGATACTGGGGAAAGAAGAGAAGAGGGGAGGGGGATGGGACGAGTTCAAGTTCTTTTAAGTTCGCTTAAATCATGCCCAGGTGCGTTCAAAATGTTGGCCATCCTTTCAAATGTGAACCCCTGCGACTCCAAAGCTAGTAGCTTACACATGAAAGCAGAAACTTGGAAGATCAACTTATTTCCAATAACTTGAACTACTTCTACTTCAATGTTGTCTGAAAGAGCATGGTTTATCTAATATGCAATAACTTTTCTATTCAATGCATTTCAAAAAATTGATGCAATGCAAATATGCTTTCTAAACGAGTGGTGGGTATTTCAATAAACATCAACAACGACATCAACATCTCCAGATATAGTCAAGACAAATAAAACAATGCTGCCGAACACCTAAAAAGATGGGCACCATGCAAAGAATCAAAAAATACAACCGAAGCCAGCGGGAAAGAATATAAAACAATCAAGATCTCAGATCAACATCCACAAGAAGCCATCAAAGATGGTAATAAAATCGTATATTCACATCTCAAATCTCAAATCTACCAGGACCCAATCCTCTATTGAGCATGTTCAGCACGGCGGTGCATACGGCTTCCACGACCGTGTGCAGAGCGACGGCTGTGACCGTGAGAGTGGTGGGACTCGCTGTTGTCATCGCCGATGCTGACACTGATGCTGGCGCTGGTGCTTTCCTGGTAGACCTTGAGAGAATTGATGCTCCAGTAGGTGTTGGAGAAAGCGGAGGGGTTGTTCTGAACGTAGTCATCGCAGGTGCTGGCGTAAGAGGCACAGCTTCCGTCAGACCAGACGTCACCAGCCCAATCACCGCAGAAAGTAATGTCAAAGACCTAAAGGAAATCTGTTAATTATAATCTTGGCGATTTCAGTTATGAGTGTAAACGTACGATCTGGAGGTTGCTGAAGTGCGAGGAGATATCACAGTCTCCGGAGAACTTGGCATCGGGAGTACCCCAGCCAGAGGGATCGGGGCTACCGCTGGTAATATCGGATGGAACGCTTGCGTTGGCGAAGAACCAAATGTTGATGGAGTCGCTGGTCCACTCAGTAGCGTAAACACCACCATCGGCGTTGTTGAATCCGTCACCGTAAGACGAAGTGGAGCTGTCAATAATAGCGCAACCGGCGTTGGAAGACTGGCCGGAGGCCTCGACGTAGCAGTTGCTGGTTTCGAGAGTACCGGAGAAGCCCGAGTTGTTAATGGTGCAGCCGTCGCTGGTGTGCAGGGTCATCTGGTTGGTGGACTGCTGGTTGACACCCTCAATGATATCGATCTCGCCATTGTTAGGCCAGTCGGAGCCAAGCATCCAGCTAGAAAACATTAGTCCTTGTTTTTCCCTTCGTTTTTTTATAGCATGAAACATACAATGCAGGCCAAGTACCGCAGGTGCTTCCGGGCATGTGTGCCAAATCCAAGATGACGAGACCCTCGTTGTAGGTGCTGGTGCTGGTGAGGCGCACACTGTTGCGGCCAGAGCCACTAGCAACATTGGTGTCATCAACACCAATGTAGACAGAGCCGCTCGAGGCGCTAATCAGACCATCGCTTGCGGCAGTAGAGTTGTCGACGTAAGTCACGTAGCCATCAGTAGGGTCGGTCTCCTAGAGAATTTGTTAACATCCATCATCAGATTACCAGATACTGCCAAAAACTCACGGTGTAGAAGGTGAACTTGTCAAAGAATGACGAGTCGGTTGGGTAGTCTTCCAATAGAGTGTAGGTCGCAGTGCTGAGTCCAGCGAAAAGGAGAGTGGAAAGAGCGTGCATCGCGAAAGTTTGTATAGATCGGGCGCTTCTGTATATAACCTTTGGAAAGATTGGATTGAATTGTCTGTCAAAGACTGATGATCTTGATTGATCTGAAGGAATGTATGCAGGAAAATGCAATTGTCCAGCCCGTAGAGGGATTGTATTTTTGTCCTGCAAAAAAATGAATGTAAAAGAGAGAGTCGCGGCGAAATATCGCACGAGTAATGAAGGAGAGACTAAGCGCCGATGGAGGATGGGGGGAAAAAAAGGCTGGACAAAGGAGGTTCAATGCAAGTCTTATATCCACATCAGGGGGGAAAAAAGTGATCCACGGTGGCGGGCAGTACCCAGCCGACCAGATCTTGAGACTCCAGTGGGACATGCATGACAGGGCCCATGTGAGAGATGCGAAACGCGGAGGCAGAGGTCGGCAAGAATTAGACCAAGAATTAGACCCTCGAACGGCGGGTCCCACAATATTGTGTAAGTTAGGATGAGATCTTATCCACTTTTGCACGGTTAGGCCCATTCCACCAGGAGGAATAGATAACCGCAATGGTTGAACCATAGAAAGACGTGGAACCCGGAACCAGGCCGATCATCCATGGAAGTCCAGAACATCCTTTTCTGGTCTTTTCAGGTGAACGATTTAGATAAGCTTAGGCGTTCTTTTTTTTTTTCTGATTTCTTTGTTCAGCTTTTTTTTTTTTCAATCGGATAGTTTGATAGATAATCCGAAAAAGAAAAATTGAATGTATTGAGTGGATCATCCGCGCGGCGACACGTCCAACATGATCAGAGGCAATCAATCAGATGCCTTACGTCTGATGCATATATCTATCCTAGTGGTCTAGCCCCACTAGGATAGAAATGGTATAGACTCAGCGCGAAAGAAAACTGAGAAGAAACATAGTCATCTCGCTTATTAGTATTATTCCGTGCTCCATCTGGACGTACTCCGTAGACTCCGTAGTACGTACGTATTTCTTTGATCCTTCCACTTAGTGGAGTGACAATGGATATGCATCTTCCCCCCCTAGTTTCAGCGGCAAGAAACTCCCGAATCACCAGTCAAATCACAATGGGATCCAGACCGCCCAGACACTGAAGGTTTACCCTTGTGGGGAAAAGGTGTTTCGGAACCACAGGGCGATCATAGTGAATCAGATGCTGACTCGTCAAGTTAACGACCGGGAAGTGGATGCAGTTGGTACCGAGTGGAAGTCCAACACGGTCACTGGCTATGCTCAGCTGTTGGTCACAGATTACGCAAATCCAATCACTTTGAACCATTGGGACAGGGATGTGGCAAAGAGAAAGAGAAGAACCAATGGGCGCGTACAAAGCGCCCGTTCAATTAAGCTTTTTCAATCCAAACTGGGGGTTCCCCGGTTCTTTTATCTGGTATAGTATTCATCATGGATACTCTTGAGAAAGCTGACGAATTTTTTAAACTCGGCACACTCGGATGTACAATCCTGGATGTTCTAGAAACGTGGAAAATGTCATGGAATTTTTCTTTTTTTCTTTTCTTATTCCATGGTTGAATTCAGGGGAGATACCGACTGGTCAGGGGAATAACGAGCTTTGCATTTGACATCTGGTCCAGTTAACCCCTGGAAGATACATTAGAACCTGAATTTGAGATAATACGGTAGTGCTTACTACACAGTGGGTACATGTACACATGCTAGTGTACAAAAAAATGCTACAAATAATTGTACTCTCATGTGCTTATGCAGTATAGACTCGGACTCGGACTCGGCCATAAATGATCCTTCAAATCTTCATATCCAAATGTTAACCGACGTATCCACTTCCGGGTCCTTCAAGCCTTCATTTAAATTAACCTCAATGTATAGAGTATAGTCTAGATGCCGGTGTCGCCGATACTAGTACATCTCCGTGTTATCCGTTGTGATATTCCCGATATTCCTGATCGAAGTCCGACCCCACACTAAAAATGATCTAAAATGATCTAAAATCCTTCAATGTGACCCGACCCAGAAGGATTGTTAGAGATAAATAAACGCATGGGAACTACGGGTTGCATTTACCTAGATGAACAAGTGGGCGCACGGGGTACCTGCAGCACTTTGTGTAAGCTGCATGGTGGCACGAGCCCAAGCCATGGGATCTATAGTCTGCAAGAATGCAATTACAGATTATGGGGTAGATGAAGGATGATCGGAAACAATTATCATAGCGCCACTATCCCATTAATTTAATTTCCCACGCCATGCATAATGCATAATGCATATACTCCGTACAGAATACGGAATACTCCGTAGGTGATACGCCTAATATTACTACTGACAGGACTAGAGTATCAGCCACCAAGCCATATCAAATCATATTCATCCAAAAGGATTGTGTTAAACCTGGAAAATGAAAGGAGAATAACATGAAAAATGAAATGAACTATCACACATCCGACCCATTGCCCAAGATAGAAAATGAAAGAGATGGAAAAAAAATGAAACTAGTCACTATGTACACGCTGGACAGAATAGGTCACCAGTCCACTCGGCATGAGACCGGAATGCAGGATCAGGACCATGAATAGGGATAGCATCTAAAACGCACTTTCGGTGATAGAGATGTCGACAAGAGAATACTACAATAGGTTCAGGGGGCGTTGCCGGACCACTTGCGACTCCAGTATCGTTCTCGTGTCCATGCTCATGCTCGTGGTCAGATGCAGAATTAGGACTAACCCGTTCCACGCCCACTGCTTTCCCTTTACCCCGCTCAGTAGGATCATAACCTTCTTCAATCCGCTTGGCAATACGACGCTGTTGCTCATCGGTCTGCTTGGTCTCCCAGGCCGTCCAATGCGCGGAGCCAACACTAGGACCCCAGATGCGGCGACGACAGATCTCACACACTTGTCCGCGAGGTCGCCACCCTTGCTGTCGTAGCCGGGTGACCTCGTCCACATGCACGAATAGATCGCGATCTAACATGCCGTTGGCAAGGGTCAGAAGGGACTTCTCATAGGAGTATGCAGAGAAGACGGAGGCAAGCACCGCGCGCAGTTCAAGAAGCGAGGGTGACCAAGTAGCAGCCCGAGTGAGGAATGCACGGAGAATGCGGAGGAATGACATGTCAGTACGCTCGCTGCCACCACCGCTTTTCACAGTACTCGCCAACAAGGAAGTAAACACTTGTTGGACCAATTGCCGGAAAGAGCTCGTCAACTGGCCAACATTCCCACCCATATAAGTAGCAACCAGCTGAGATTGCGCTGACTCCTCGATATGATGCTCCCTCATTACCGCGAAGACATGGCTTGCGATACGGACCACAGCCTCGATGAGATCCAGCCAAAGAACCTCATCGAATTCCAATGGTTGTTCAAGCGGGGCCGCACCGCGCTGACCATTGGTACTCGGTCTGAGACTGTTTTCCAGTCTTGGTTTGACCTTGGCAAAGCCACGTCCCAACTCCAGAATATTTCTTCAAGGATTCTAGAAGGTCATCAATGGCCTCGACCGCACTGGAAGAATCCGGGGCCTCGCTCATGCTTTGAAGAATACCCACCAAACCAGACTCGAGTGTGGCCAAGTGAGCGACGAGTCGGTCCAAGGCTGGTCGTAACTGGCCTTGCCGTGAAAGCAGAATCACTGCTGCATCGATGGCTCCGCTTTCTTCAATGTAGGGAAGCAGTTGGTCAAGATGAATATCACCAACTCGGAGACCGTCCACAAAGTCCGCGATATGGGAAGGGTTGAACTTGCAAAGGAGCTGTACCGTAGCTTTCAATCATCCAGTTTTCGGCTGATGGCAGTTGGCCTTCGCTCTGATCAACAAGCATCAGTAGATACTGGTACTGGCTGAGCGGGTCTTGTTCCCCAACTTTTGTAGGAAAGTAGCATGGGTTTCCGGTGCCAGACTCTGCATTTTTTTGTGTTGCTCGTTTCACATCGATGTGAGCGATCTCCGCAGCATGCGTCTTTACCCCCTCCACCTCTTTTTGCTGCTTCTTACCAAGACTAGATCCTGAACGCAAACAGTCATGTAGAGCAGTGAAAATGGCAGCTTTATCGACCGGATCATCCAGATATGTCAGAATCCACTCCGCGTATTGCTTTTCTGAGCGGTACGTTGACTTGAGGATACGGAAGAATCGGGCTTCCTTGAACAAGGGTACAATAGGCTGGATATCCGGTGGGTGGTAGAAAGATAGTAGATATTCCGCACTCAACTCACAGTCCTCGACCATGTCCGGCTCAGGATATTGGCAAAGACGCACCAAGACTTGATGAAGTGTTGTACCTGAAAGAAGAATATACTGTGGGTATTTGGGAAGATTGCGCGCAACGAACATGTCCAAGTAAATGGTATCAGAGGAGGAGAATGATGCATCCATTACTTGAAGCAGGATGCTAATCAGGTACTGGCGGTTGAGCGACACACCAGAGGGTAAAGAATCTTCAGCTTCAGGCTCATTCAAGAAGCCGTCTTCGAATGCCTCATTAAACATGCTCATGAAACTTGAAGCGTCAAATTTGAGAATGGCCTTCAATTGTGAGAACATGTCGTCACTGTCGGGGGTTCTGGCGTCTGTGTCAGACACTTGGCCCGAGAAAAGATATTGGTACAAGGCTGTCTTTGCACGGAACGCTTCAGTCTCTTCCATCTCGTCTCCAGTTGGGTAAATACGACCTGTTAAGATGAAGGACAGGTAGGGGAACATTTTCATCCCATTCGTCTGCCGGCTCATCTCATTGGCGTAGTTTCCATTGAGGAGTCTTTCGGGTTGAGGAATCATGCGTATGAGCTCTTCCAATGGTCCCACATAGTCTTGCAAACAACGATTCCAAACGTATATATACGCATCGTACAGATTGTGTTGCTTGCATAGCGTCGTCAGCTGATCAATATCCATTGTAGTTGTATCAAGGAGGCAAATGATCTCCTCTAGACGACCGGGCGAATGGGTGACAACGAAGTGGTTAACAAGAGCTTTGACTGCGGTCGGAGGCAGCGAACGAATAGTTCCATCGGCGATGCGTGGTTCGAGAACGTCCATCAAAATACCCGCCGAGTCGTTCTCTTCGAACCAAGTAAAGACCTCATCCCAGAGGAATTCCTCGTCCGCCATATAGATACAGGCAGTGACAGACACTCCAGCCAGCTCCTCCAATAGTTGATTCTCTAGCCTCCCATTGTCTGCCTCGGCATTGCGACCGAATGCATATTTGAGAGAAGCAGAAATCATCTCCAGCAACTTCTCTTGCACAAGGGGCTGCCTCAACGCATCCTCCTCGGGGAGGCCGACCGTGAGTTTCTCTGCAGCTCCTGTGTAGAAAGAAGTTGCCAGTCGGATGGCACCAATGAAATCACCCGCTTCCATAAGGGCAAGCAGTCGGTCAGCCCAGTTTGAAAGACTACCGACCAAGGCCTCATTATAGCCAAGCAAGAATAAGCGTCCTTTGTAGGAGCGGAAGCTCATATAAAATGCATCTGCCACCACGCCGTGCATCGAAGTGTCATGTTCGTCCAGCTGCTCAACCAATAAATGGAGCTGGGATGAGAACAGATCAGCGTGATAGACATGTCGACTCACAAGGTCGATCGAATCTGTTACATGCATGGTGTAGTCCTCTAGAATGAGAAGTCGCTGGGTGATAGTGAACACAGCTAAAACAGAGCGGCTTAGCCATTGCACAGCTACGATTGGCTCATCAGCCTTCCATCTGCTGCGTGCACTGAAAACCAGGCTAGGCGGCCTAGATCTATCCACAGGCTCATCTGTTTCAGCCTCGGTTACTTCTAACACTGTTAGTACATTAGACCAGCAATAAACGAGCTTAGTGTTCGATGTTTGACTGTCTTTGCCCTTCAGTTTGATTGCAGGAAACCAAGCCAGCGCTCCAGTCATAGCGCTATGAGCTGGAACTTCCTTCGGTCTTGGTGCTTTATGTTGTGTCTGTGCCACGGGCGTAGTAGACACGATGACCAAGAGATAAGGCGTCAACAAGGCAACCAAACCTAATGAATCAGAAGGCTGTTCTACATTGCCGAGGGGCAGAGGAGAAAAGGACAAAACTGAGCTAGGCTTCCGTGGTCGTACCTCCTCCAAAGCTGTCGGTGGGTATCGGCCAAGAATTCGAGTTGTTTTAACCGTTCGCGCGACTGCCCCCATGCCTCGTGTTGCCAAATGCGAAAATGCCATTCCTTTCGTATCTGCTGACACTATCGCAGTACGACGGATTCCTAGGAATCCGATGTGAATAACAGCCGACCCAGAGATATGGCCATCGGAAAGTCGAGTCTCAAGCTGGTTTGCGGGGATTGGGGGAATATGGAGGAAAGGCCGAGCTGATCGTGAGATCTCCCATGTGAATATATCACCAGAATCATGGCCACCCGCGACGGTAGAATGGTCTGCCGACAGCGCAAGAGAGGTAATCGGTCCACATTCAACAGCTGTATACTGTTGTCAGCATTCTATTGTTATGCGCCTGAGTGATTACTCCACCAACCTTTGGTTCCTGTCCCGATGATAGATTTCAAGCTTTGCTGGTAATCAAAAACCAAGATTATGCCTTTGGAAGTGCCAATAACAATCGTAGTTGAGACAGCCAAACAAGTTGGACGCCCAAAATTGCGTCTTCCAATCTCCGAGAATGCCTGTCCAGTAATCTTTCGCAGCTTTGTCCATCGCACCACATCCCAAGGGCTTGGGGATTCTTCAGGTTCGGATTCCGGGGTCGGTGAAACCTGACTCGTGATTGAAGATTGTCGAGAGTGTAGATGAGCCAAGTATGGCGAGCCTGTCCTCGATACGCTCAAGGGTGACGACGATAAACGGGATTGGAAACGCAGGTCAAACGGACGATGGGCTGGACTGGGGCTGACTCGCGGGGAGCCTCGGTGCGGCAGAGCAGTGCTGCTCTGTGATGATAGTATTGAATCCTGCGATCAATCAGAAAAGCTATCCGTGGGGATGCGCCAATCGCAAGCACCACTAACATGTAACGATGGAGAATCGTCGGGCGTAGACGCAGTCTCGTCCAGACTTCCTGGGGGTTCGGAAAACTCTCCATTTCTCTGTGGAGGTGTCTGCGGAAGACCATCCATCACCGCTTGAACGGTCTTCTCCGATGCCTGGTCCTGCGCATGGTCTTCTATTGTGTCCAATTCGTCTTCGAGTGGCTCCTGCGGGGAAGGCCTGAGGTGGAGAGCGCCATGGTCCGGAAGTTGAGAATCCTCATCCTCTGGGCCTAGATCCAGCTCATCCTCTCGTTCCCAGTCCTCGCTGCCCTCTGCCATCGAGCTCATGAGCGTCCTGAAATGATCATTGCTGGCGGGTCAGAGGGGTGTGTCTGCACCAGCGAGGTGCTCGGAGGAATCGGGAGCTGATTTAATTTCGATACGGTACGATGGATTTGTTTTCTCGGAAAGTGATATAGGTACTAGTAATGAGGGGTAATTTGGGCGAATGGGGAATGAGTTGAGGAGAGCTCTTGGTGGTAAACATGTGGAGATGCGAGTTCACGACCTCGGGAGCTCCGTTGGATCGGCCCGTTTCAAGTTAGGGGCGGACCAGCCACTGTGGCATTGATCTATACAGAGCAACTTCAACCTTGGAATATATTGTAAGTAATTATCTATGTTGGTTGCAATTGACAATTTCTATTAAATATTTGAAATGTATCTAAAAATGTGGACATGAAGTTGTGGCTACTACTATATAGAGACCAGTTGACGGCATGCAATTATCTCTGCTGCCTATATCTACAAACTTGAATGTATGAGAGTATGTATTGTTGCTAATTTTGTAACAAATTATGTGTGGACTTGAACATAGATTTACATGACTATGGAATAATAGGTATAATTAATGAATTAAAAATGGCTCTGTCCTTTCAATGTTTGATACCTAGGTACATTTACATCATACACCTAGTCTATCACAATATCCACGGACCACGATTATGACTTGGGCATCCTTGTCTCACCCCATTTTTACAGATGCCAACCTCAAGATTAAAATGAGATCACCAGGATACTCTGGAAACACTTGAAACACTTGAAACTGCAAATATTGGAACACTAATAATCACAGCGAACCCAATTCGTCCTCTCGCCCCCAATGAATCCCTCTTGCAACCACAGGGCGTGGAATCACCAAGGCTCATCATTGGCAGACCACCCATAAACACCCCATCCCGGTCCATCGAGCTCTATTGAGAAGTCGCCCCGACTAAGCTGACTTGCTTCTGCAGATATGTCCCTGTCCCTGGATCCTTCACATCCTGCAAGTGCTAAGGATGCAGATGCGGGGCTGCGGTTACATCGAAGTCACAGGAACCAACCCGCTGATACTATCAATACCCTATCACTGGAGGACAAACAAGCATGAGCCCATAATCTCAATCACTCGTGTGTTTTTCTTTCTGGGTACGATCGTCGACATGTGGAATGCTGGAACAGATTCCCGGCATGACCGACCGTCACAGCACGAGGGGCATTTATATATGGATCGTGATACTCATCCAAGTTTGGCGGGACAGATGATCAGAGTGCCAGTGGTTAAGGATTCTCAGTCCCTGCATAAAAGCACTAGCAGAAGACCCTAGTTCTGGTGATATTTGTGCTCGCTCTACTCGCTCTGATTGACTACGTTAAGTGCCCTTGTCAATCAAGCAAAACAACAAGCCACCATGGGTTCCATGCGACATGCCCTGGTACGAGCTGTACTAGGTACAATCCTAGCTCTCGACCCGGTTCTAGCAACACCTAGTATATCTCAGCTCTTCGGACGAGCCGCCTCGACGACCTCCACCGCCGCCGACGCGGTGACCACCTGCAACGGACGGACGGAGTATTGCACGCGCTCCTATTCAAATATTACATTCATGGGCTCGCACGACTCCGCCTTTGTTGGAGAGCTACCGCAGCAGAACCAGAATATCAACATCACCGCACAGCTGGACATGGGGATTCGGTTCTTACAGGCGCAAACACACAAGTCTCTACTTGATGATAGCGTGTTGGAGCTGTGTCATACCTCGTGCTTACTCGAGGATGCAGGAACGCTCGAGGCATACCTGGTTGTTATCAAGAACTGGCTAGATGAGAACCCAGATGAAGTTGTGACTGTTCTTTTGACGAATGGGGATTCGGTGGGAATCTCTACATTTGGAAGTACATTCTCCAGCTCGGGCATCGATAGCTATACGTATGTGCCTCCTTCTGAGCCTTTGGCTATTGGGGACTGGCCTACTCTTGGTGATTTGATTAGTAGTGGGAAGAGGCTTGTCGCGTTCTTGGGTGAGTTGCACTTATTTCAACTACGCCACAAAAGGTGCGAGCGAGTGTCCTGAGCTAATTTATTTTAGACTACGGCGCTGATACCAGTACGGTTGACTATATCCTCGATGAATTCGCCTATTACTTCGAGACGCCATACGACGTGACCGACAAGACCTTTTCGAACTGTAGTATCGATCGTCCCGCAGGTGCCTCTGCCTCGGGTCGTATGTACCTCGTCAATCATTATCTTGACCTTGATATTCTAGGTATTGATATCCCTGACCGTGGTGCAGCAGGGACTACGAATGCTGCCACAGGCGAAGGAAGCTTGGGCGCGCAGGCTACAGAGTGTGAAGGCATATATGACCGTGCGCCGAATGTCATGCTGGCCGATTTCGTTGACAAGGGTGCTGTCATTGACGCGCAGAACCAGATCAATGGGTTTAGTTCGTAATGTACACACCGTGGTTCCAGAAGGGCTTAGTAGATAGTAGTTTGATGGGTTATGATATAAATGGTATTTTGAACACTATATGAAAGCTGAATAGTTTAGACCGTGACCTTAGATCTCTTTCAAATGTTTTGACTGTTGTTACTACTCGTGTACTCCAAGGATGAAGGTTCTTTCCCTACTAGTATGTCCTCAAGTTGACCTCTTCAGGCTTACAGTTAATACGTAGTAGCCATTATGTAGATGCTTCTATTTTTCTTCCTCATTCAACCACTATCAATTCAAGTTGATATAGATCACACCCCTGAGAATCTGCATGTATGGGGTCACGGTGCTTACAAGTAAAATCTGGTTGGGATATCGGGTTTGTGTGTATGCAACCTTGAAATGAATAACGCCTTCTAATGCATATGTGCTTTGATGTTTGGAGCAATTACTGTAATGGTCTGCGAGGCGTCGGACTCGCATCCATAGAGTTCGAGATGCAATCAGAAGAGGACAGAGGCTCACTCTTCGATCTGTACTTGCATTTCTCGATCTAAAATAAAGTTAGATGATGAACATTTCAAATTATCATGAGAGTTGTCGTGCAAGACGTACCCCAAATCTTATTCGCAGAAGCAACAATAGTCTCTGCCTTCGCCATAATTTTAACTGCGTATCGTTCTGCCTCTGTCGGATACAGCTGGTTTTTCTGTGTTTTTCGTGGATTGACCTAGTTCAAGAAATCGGTGTCAGTAATCTGAGAGAGATATTCATCTTTGAACAGAAGCCGCCTACCATCATAAGCACAGGAACCAAATCTTTAGGCTCAGCCTCAGCCAAGGCACGCAGGTTACGAAATCCATTATCTCTCAGTAATCGTGCGGTCCAACTCTTGACAAATGCCACTTGAGCCATTTCCAGCAGATCCGCGCCAGCCCCCGCTTCGAGACGATCACGCATATGATCCAACACAGCTGCCATCATACCCCAGTTCATTCGTTGGCAAAATTTGACGATACCAGCAGCAAATCCGTGACACTGCTGTGCTAGTGTCTGTACTGTGCCACGAGGAATCCGATAGCGCTGAGCGATGGTCGATAAGGGGACCTCATTACTTAGGTCACGAAGTTGGAAGGCTGTGTATGCACGCCGGTAGATTCGAGCTTTCTGGATCTGTTCTGGGGTTATTTCTTTCAGTGACGCGCCGGATTGAACCCTTTGGATGTTAGTATACTTATGCGCCGTAGGATTGATGGTAAAAGAGCAGACAACTCACATGGTATTAACAAATCCCGGCTGAACTCCGACGAATTGTAATGCACGAAGACCACTCTCATCCAAAAGGTCGAGTTGATTGCGGAAAATTTGCCAATCAATGTTGGTACTTGTAGCCACCTGCAGGGGAGTAAACATGTAGAAGACCTGCATATCTCCGTCCATTACAAAGGCCTGCAAGGCTCGCTTTAGCTCTTCGTACACGAATAGGCCATCTTCAGGAGCAAATGCTGATGCCACCACAGCTTGACCTAAAAGGGTAGTTTTGTATGCTACATCTTCTTCAAAAATCAGAAGGTCCTCGTCGACCAACTCCTGCAGAGCAGACTTCATGATACTGTACACGAGCTTCTTGTCGAGGGTGCGATATAACAGTGTGCACTGTACATATTCCTTGATCGCCTCGCAGCCAGAGACCAGCCCTGTTGCGATAGCCTCGAGTAAAGCCCTGAATTTAGTTAGCCAGAACACACACAAATACTGTCAAGCATACTATCCATACCTTTTCAAACCCCGCTTTTCCGGAACAAGCGAGCTCTCTATGGCAGGCATATCTGCGTCCAATAAATCACAAACGGCTTCCAGATCCGCCTTAATGCATATCAAATACGTCTCGCCTGCATCATCTTTCCCTTTGCGTCCAGCTCGGCCACACATTTGTCGGCTGCATTGATTAGTCCCGGTATCCCGTTTCGGCAATAAGGTTCAATAGTACGTACAACATTGCAGGTCCAACCAGCTCTCGACCCATTCGAGCCCCATTGATGATCACCCGTCGAGCGGGTAGATTGACTCCAGCAGCTAGACTGCATGTAGCGATGAGCACTTTCAGAACACCGGAGTCATATGCCGCTGCAATAAGTTCTCGTTCCTCGGTTGTCATGCCAGCGTCTAGGTAGTTGTTAATATATTAAATTTTGGAAATTTCAGCAGTGAAATACGAACGATGGAAACCTGTCCCTTTGATTACGGTATGCTGGAGAACAGGGTCCAGGCCACATGCGAGACTTCTCAGCTCTGCAAGAAGATCAAGTCTTTGATCCAACTCTTCTTTGTCTTCAACATGAGGCATGGCTTCCGCGATGGTTGCGGCATGAATCTGACAGGCATTACGACTTCCGCAAAATACCAAAGCCCCGTAGCCTGCCGAAGCGGTTTCCACTGCCAACGCAACCATAGCATTGGTCGCACCATTGCTGAGCTCTTTGTATTCTGAAGGCTCAATGTTTCTATGCGGAGCTATCGAATCTTGCAATGAAGTCGAGGCTGTCAGCTTGGAAGCTGTTTGGAACAACTGCCTGGAAGTTGCAGCTGGATAAATCGCATTTTCATATACAAGGTATTCATCGATAGGAATTGGTCGATATGTCGAGATAAAGAACCTAGCATTCATCCACTGGGCAAGCATCTCGGTATTCTTTGGTCTTTGTTAGAAATATCAGCTAGAGGTGAGAGAGTACGTACCGAGAGAGTTGCGCTCATCCCCACAATCTGAATATCCTGCTGTAGTAACAGGAGTTTTGTGACCATGAGTTCTAAAAGATATCCACGATGTTCATCATCCAGCATGTGTAGCTCGTCCAGTACAACCACACCCAAGTCTCCGATGCTGCACTCCTCAATCGCAGTATTGATCAATGAATTTGCCTAAGGAATCAGCCACATTAAAAAAGGTACTTCTTTTCTGACGTCCAAACATCACACACCTTCTCAATCGTACAGATAGCAATATCGGTATCAGCCCATGTCGTCGTAGTTCGGCTTCCTCCAAAGAAGCCCGTCACACGGATTTGTTTCTGTAATTTCTGATGGCGCCTGCGCATGAACATTGAGCTTTTCGACACTTCCTTGTCATCATCATCAGGAGGGACATTCTTCTCCACGCCCTCAACGATTCGGCGCATCCATTTCAATTTCTCTTGGACTAGAGCCACATAAGGCAAAACCAAAATCGCCTTGCGAGTGGGATTCTCAATAATGCGTTTCAACAATAACACATCCGCGACCAAGGATTTCCCTCCTCCAGTAGGGGCCGTGTATACCAAGTGTCGCTCACCCAATAAAAGACCCCGAGCTAGTAAGCACGATGCCTGCCATGCGTAGACACTGGTCACTCCCAATGTAGCAAAATTATGTATGAGTGTAGCAGGAAGACCATATGTAGGATTTGCCAATGAGAGCAAAGGGTTCTGGCTAGAGCCCGGCACAGATGTCGATGCAGTATTTTTCTGTGGCTGTTCATCTTCTGGCGCTGATACGGCCGAGTCCGGGCCTGGATGGATCCTGCTTGCAGTAAATCGATTCGGAGGGGCCGAGGCTCGAGCGGACTCTAGAGGTGTGGATTCCTCAATATGCAATTCATCATGTGGCTGTTTTTGGAGCCGAAGGCCTGTGTGGCTTCGTTTCTCAGTCTTCAGCTGCAAAGGTTGCTCCTCGGTAGTGAGTGGTCGTTTGTGACCTGCTAACTGGGCTACGTGGTATTGTTGCCGTCGAGCGACGTCAATCGAGGTTTCAAATCCGTGAGATTTGAAGGACATGCTTCCGACGACGTCATAAGTGCCAGAAGGATATTAGTGGCGCAGAAACATTTGAAAAAAGCAATTCTGGAATTTAAGGAGTGAGTTCAACTTGAAGTTGGGACTTTATTTCTCATCTTCCTTTATTGTTTCCATGAGACGCGACCGCCCGGCGCGTTTGATTGGGACCATTTCCCGCCTCAGGCAGAAACAAATTAAGAGTTAACACCTCAGGCATCCAAACGATGTCATTGTGATTACATAAACGGATGTGCCTGGATCGGGAAGTAAGGACATGCTTGCAAGGGTGTGCTACGTAGATATGTGAATGATGAAAAACTCATCCTTGTGCTGCATGTTCAGGTACTGGAACCTTGAAAGAGTGTACTCTGTTTTAGTCAAACAAATATCATGATACGATGGGGGGGGGTCATCTGACAAACTCCGCGGGTGGTGGTCATCTAAAGAATATCCACACCGGAGCAACTTGAAATTACGAGCGCAAGGCTTAAGTTTTAAAATTGGTTTCTGTTTTCTGGTATCTGTACAGCGGGTTGCTGCCTATGTACCTGTCTGTCAAATCTGGAAGATCATGTCTGTGTGGGATTGCGCATACCACTCAATCCCGGTCGGGTGGAGGCCCCGGATCATGTCCAGGTGCAGAGATGATCTGGTGGCGAAGCCACCGACTCTTTTCAGACATGGTTTGTTTCGATGTATGGAACCCACAATGGTTTCGTATTTCTTTTGCTATGCTAAAAAATTTGCCACGTGTAGCTATCCTAATATAACTTGATTATTAGTAGGTAGTGATTGCCCAACTGCACACAAAGACCGTTTGGCAAAGGGGGGTGGATATGCAGAGGCTCCAAGGTACCCCCACTTGAGCACTTAGTGTTTCAAGTTTGTTCATGACATCTGGACTCTTCAAGTTTAGTTTGAGTACATGTACGGAAGGCTACAGTATATGTAGGTAATCTCAATATGCCGATCGGCAGCCTGGAATTTGGTTGGCATAAAGAATGCGAGAGATATCTCAGGCTTCATGCAAGATGACAAACTGGCTTTGTGGCCCTACCGCAGATGCATGTGTAGACATCAAGGCCAATCTGTCAGAGACATTTGGACAACGTGCACTAACCATAAGAGAGATTGTGATTGAACCCCTCCAAGAGGTCCAGGATTCGAGTGGTCCGTGGGATATCGGGAATTAAACTGAGCACTTGAGAATATTCCATATTTAGACACACAGTTGAAATCGGGCATATATATCCTGTCAGATGCGTTTTGGTCCAATCATCTGTAATGATAGATAATCATATCTGTACCTCTATATATGTAAGTTTTGAATGTATTTCTAATATTTTGATGACTCACCTGGGCATCATGATGGAACTTGAAAGAACGTAGCCTGCTATATACACATAATAATGTCCATCTATGGGTTCGAGATGTCAGCGTGCACGTTCGTAGAAGTGGCGACACGCAACAGCCGCCGGGAGCAAATCATTCTCGGCGGGCCATTCTCGCCTAGACTTGTCATTGGATCAAATGGGCGGTAGAAGTTTAAATTACCTGAACTTATTGAGTCTAGTACTTTCTAGTACTTTTCACCTTTCATGTTCAATACTCCATACCTAGGTACGGACCTAAAGTACTGAATTACTTTCATTTTCATTTTCATGTCCGCATGTTTGGAGGGGCTTATTCGGTTCCCTTGCTTCATTTCAGATATACCGATATACCCGTCTTGAAATTATACTGATTATTTGCAAGGTTCAGCGACTTTTCTTTTTCTCGTGTTTCATTATATGGACAACTCATATGCTACGGTAGGCAATAGGTATTTATTTTTAATAGTCTCATTTTCGCCCCCCAAATTGTGCACATGTGCTTCAAGTGATGAGCCATGATAACTTATATCCCGAGGTCATCTCTATTCCAAGGTTGAGCAGCTTGATAACCATAATTTTAAGATGTAAAGATTGATCTAATTTATCCAAATATTCATTCAAATGTTTGATTTCGTATAATATTTTATTCCTGGGCGCCTAGGCTAAACTATGGTACGGTCAAGGATGATTGCCGACGACGCGTGTGGCATAATATTATAACCCCATCTAGGCACTAGGGTTTAATTAGTCTCAAGTGCTCAAGGGGGTTATCAAGGCAGACTCTTCCAGGTCGTACAAGACAAATCAAGCCCAAATGTTCATGTTACTTCTAAAAACTCATCAAGCGAAGCCACTCCAAAAGAGGACCTATGAGAAAAGAAGAAAAGCCCAAAGAAGAAAAAAAAATTAAAATTCCAAAAAAATTCCAAAATAAAAAGTGAGAAAACAGTGACGAAGTACATATACGCAGTACCAGTCCCATACGTACGGAGTATTTTTGCAGGGATTGATCGTGGTGTCCACTGGTGGAGTCCGGCCACTAGTGCCTCTCTTAACCAACAACCTGACTCTTTCCGATATCAGGCGTCATGAATAAAACTTGACCCTTTATCCGAATATCTACCTTTTTTCGGTTTCTATCAGTTTCTCTACCTTGATTGGGAAGACTTAACTTCATCGAACCTGTTATCAGTTATCAGTACACCATCACACAACATTACCCTTCAAACTTTAGGAATCAAGATCGGAGAGCCTTGACGGGAATGGAGGAAAACGAGCATGATGTACGGAGTACGGGAGTACGAATACTCTTTTGTCTTCCCAAAGTTCCCAAAGTTATGAGAGATTGGGGGTAATAATTTCCTTTTTTTCCCCCCCTTCTTCACCTCTCTCCCCTACTGCATATCTGTATCGCAACAGCATTCCAAGTAGATATTACCAACTTTTAAATAATTGATCTGGCCCGTTTTTTTCATGTTCTTGTTAGTGTTTTTCCTCAGTTTCTTATTTTTTCCCTTTTCCCCCCATATTCTTAATCTTAACTTTTTTGATATATTCTTCCGGTCTCGCTTCCCCCAGATCTTTAGAATCCCTCAGCCTCCAAAAAAATAGCCTCTCTCTCTCCCCCTATATAAAGAGTATAATATGTAGTATGATGGTTTTCGTTAGAATGTAGAATAACAGACTAGAATATACATATGGCTAGATACATAAAGTAAACGAAGATCAGGGCAATCGGATTGAGACCAATTTTCCTTGGTTCCCAGTCAATCCGTAGAGGATCCGTCATATTAAATCGGGACTAGGGTCGGGATCCTCACAATGTGCTCCACGCTTCCTTTTTTCCTTTTCACATCTCTTTTCCTTTTTCTCTATATACGGCATCACGGCTGCTTCCATCCCGGCTGCGCGCTTGTTTTTGTTCCCGCTTATTCTATCTTGCTTCATTCTTCCCCTTCTCAATTCATTCCTATCTTCCTCTCTCTCTCTCCCAACACTCCAACTCCCACTTTTCCCATACTCTTCAATATCTAAGGTATGTATGATATTTCTTGATTTCTTGATTTCTCCATTTCTCCAATTTCTTGGTCCTCTTGATTCCCTTACTCTCTTAATGGGAGATTTGATATCACCTTGCTGTTGCTGTTGTTCATCGTGCCCTCCCTATCATTGAATTTGGGCCAACTTGGTCCTTGGTCCACCTTGATATCTTTCCCCCGGCCACCCTTCTTGTCCACCCCTGCAGTGAATCAGATCTGACACAACTCCACCTGTATTTCTTCTTCTCATTCCTCTTTTTCCCTTTTCTCCTACACTCTTCCCTTCCCTTTCTTCCCCCCCCCCCATATCTTCCCCCCCCACATTTAATGTTCATTTCTCTTCCCCCTTTGGAGATTTGGCTCCATATCACAATCCATTCTATCCGTTCCTGAGATTTTCGCCCCCCGCGGGTCTTAAAGTGTGTCCACATACCAACCCGCACCATCCACGTACATGCATCGCGCCACTTTTCTGCTGAGACTTTTGTGACCCAACTGACATCCCCAACCCACACAGTGTCTGGCACGTCCACGTGCTATATTGGGGGGGTTCACTCATCTACTGGGGCTCTAATCCCCTTTTTTCTTAACCTCATCCAGATCTGTCTTGTGTATGCTTTTGCCTTGGATGACTAAGGGTCATTCTCAATGACCTCCAGTAACTCTCCGGAGGCTGTGGCCGATCCGGCCAGCTCCTCCGCCGCTGCCCCTTATGGCACGCGATCCAGAGGGCGCAACGCTCCTCGGCCTAATTATGCCGAAGATCGGGATCTGGATATGGAATTTGAACCGGCTCCATCTAAGGCCGCGAAACGCCAAAGTGGCGTTGCTCTTAACAACATCGTCAATGGCTCCAAGTCGGACACTGAGAAGAGCTCACCAACCCAACCACGGAAGAGTTTGATCAATGGCGCTGCCGCCAATGCAATCGCCAAGGATCCTAAGGAGTCTATCCCAGGCACTTCTTCATTTTCGGCGCGTCCAGAAGAGGTCAATGGCTCTACTTCGGTCAGAAAGCGCAAACAACCTGCCAGCACCCCAAACGCAGGTTCAACCGGAAATGCCACGAAGAAGATTTTCACTACCGCCCCGGGAGATTCCGAGGGTGGTTATTTTACCAACATGGTCAGCTTTGAGAATTCAGGGCAATATCTCAAAAATGGTCAATTAGTTGCTGACGATGGCACCACATTTGCCGTGAACGGTTCGTTTCACCCCGCAATTATTCATATTCTGTCTTTTTATATGTTTAATCCCTTTTTATCAACCTCCTTTTTTCTTGTGATTATTTTGAATTTTCTCTTTTTATTTTGAAAACTAACATTTTTATCAGATCACGTCTATTTAATCTGTGAACCTCCTGGTGAGCCTTACTACTTGGCTCGAATTATGGAGATTCTGCCATCCAAAACAAAGAATGATGGTTCGATTGAAGCTTTAAGAGTCAACTGGTATTACCGTCCTCGAGACATTCAACGTCATAGTCCAGACACTCGATATGTTTACGCGTCAATGCATTCTGACACCTGTCCACTTTCTTCTTTGCGTGGCAAATGCGAGATTCGCCAAGCCTCGGAAATTGAAAACATCAGTGCCTACAAGAAAAAGCGCGATTGTTTCTGGTACGACAAGATGTACGACAGATACATCCATCGTTTGTACGACGTTATCCCAACAAAAGATGTGATCAACGTGCCGGGAAATGTCAAGAAAGTTCTCGATGAACGCTGGAAGTACATTTTGGTCGAAATTGGCAAAGGAAAAGAATTAACAGGCGCGGTCAAGACATGCAAGCGATGCCACTTGTTCGCTGCGAATAATGAGTCTGTGGATTGTGCAGTTTGCCACTCGACTTATCACATGGGATGTGTTCGACCTGCTTTGACGAAAAAGCCCGCCCGAGGATTCGCATGGGCCTGTGCCGCTTGTAGCCGTGCTCAGGAACGTAAGCTGGAAGCGCGCAACACCCCTCTCATTGGCGAAGCTCGAACCGAAGGCGAGGAGGAGATCGTGGAGGAAGAAGAGGAGGAGCATCATCATGCTAATGGGGTGGTGAACGGAACCGGGGTCAGCACTCCGGGAACACTCGAGGACTCGATGCCGCAACCAGCTACAGAAGAACAAATAGCGCATGCGAAGATGTGGCCTTACAGATACCTGGGTATTCACTGCCGACCAGAGGACGCCTTGGATTACGATGATCGCATTTATCCTCGTGCAAGTTCTCGCCTTGGACCTCGACACCAAGCCATCGTCAACCCATGGCCAGGACGCACTGTTGAATACGTCAAGCCTCTCGAATTGAAAAAGAAGTCGGTTAAGATAGCCGGTGGACGAAATGTGATGAAGCTGACCAAAGAATCTCAAGCCGCGTTTGATGCGGCCAAAATCGAGCGTGCGAATCGACCGAAATGGGTACAGGATGAGCCACCGGGTTACATACCGCGTGGTGAAGATGAGCCAGTTACTATTGATGGAAAGCAGGCACGCACCGCCGAGCTTGTATTCAAAATGCCGACAGCCGACCAGCTTCCCGCCCGTGGCGAAGATGATGCTCCAGGGGCCCATCTCAGCAATGAGGACCGAGAAGCGCTCATCGATGACTATATGCGTCAAGCCAAGGGACTCGCTTCCGATATTGGGGTAGAAAAGTATTGCACCAATTTCCTGGACAAGGCTATCGAGCTTCTTTACTCCGAAAGCTTTAATGTCGAGGCAGCTCTCGCCAAGCTCAAGAAGGTCAACAAGTACAAAGATCTTAATGAGCCTCATTTCCGACCAGAGGAATTGAAGGCATTTGAGCAAGGGGTGGCTAAGTTTGGATCGGAATGGCGTAACATTGCGAAGCATGTTAAGACTGTTCATATTTACCACATTGTTCGGTTTTACTACATGTGGAAGAAGACACCTCGTGGAAGACAGATATGGGGTGCATACGAAGGTCGACGTGGTAAAAAGGAGGTCCGACGACAGAGTGTTGTTTCATCAAAACTCGTTGACGATGTCGCTGATGATCATGATGACTCTGCTTTTGATAATGAAAAGGCGCTGAACCTGAAGCGTGGCTTCCAATGCAAGTTCTGTTCGGCACGTCATTCACGACAATGGCGACGCGCTCCGTTGGTCGCACCCGGCACAACCGTTTTCTCCGACCCGTCAGCAAAGAAAGACAAAGGTCCTCTCTTGACCGTCGCGCTCTGTCTCCGATGTTCATTGTTATGGCGAAAATACGGTATTCAGTACGAGGACGTTGATGAACTCGGCAAGCGAATCGCAACCACCGGTAACAAGTCTTGGAGACGTCGCATTGATGAGGAACTTCTCGTTCAGTTTATTCTTGCCACCGAAACTCCGTTCACTATTAACAGCACCACGGCGGCGACTGCAACCGCAATGGGGATTCCAGTGGATAGCAACCCGAACTTGCAACACGAGACCAAGGGAGACCTGGCGAAGAAGAAGCAGATCCGCTCTGATGTGCCAAGTACAGCCACTTCGACAGCAGCATCATCGGTGGAGCCCATGCCGACGACAACACCGGCTCCAGCTCCAGCCCCAGCAGTCGCACCAAAGAAGAAGGCCGCGCCAGAAAAGGTCCCCGAAGGTCCTCCAGTCGCTCCGGATCCTCCCAGGGCGAAGACTTTACCATGCGCTGTTTGCAATAAGGTGGAACCTTCCGGAGAAGAGCATCTGTCCTGTCGTGACTGTCGCTTGACTGTTCACCGTAACTGCTACGGTGTACAGAGTGCTCGCTTTGGAAATAAGTGGTTGTGTGATATGTGTTCCAATGACCGCAGTCCTTCAATCTCAACTACCTACGAGTGTGTTCTTTGTCCTGTGACTTGGACTGAGCATGAGCTCATGGAGACGACTAAGAATACTAGCCGCAAGAAGTCGGAGCGGGACAAGGAGAAAGAACGCTTGGAGAAGGAGATGGTTGCGGAAGCTATCAGACTATATCGTATACGACAAGAGGCGGTTGGCAAGCCTGTTGGTCCACGGGAGGCTTTAAAGCGCACCGCTGGCAACAACTGGGCCCACGTGATGTGTTCTCTTTGGACACCAGAGATCAAGTATGGTGATGCGCACGAGCTTGAGCCCGCAGAGGGATTCGGCTCAATCCCCAAGGATCGGTGGAGGGATACCTGCAAGATCTGCAAATCTTCTCATGGCGCATGTGTCTCCTGCCACTCTACAGGATGTAACGCGCACTTCCATGTCGGCTGTGCTTTCCAGGCACCGAATTATAAATTCGGGCTTGAAATTACGCCTGTGAAGAGCTCGCGAAAGGACAATGTGCAAACTATCCGCATCGGCAATGATGTTGGTGCAGTTACTCCCGTAGTTTACTGTCCTAGCCACAACAGCGCGGCCTCTTCTCTCCATGAGCTTGGTGAATTGACTGGCAATGATGGCATTAATGCTCTCCAGCTATTCGCCCAGACATACAAGCAGGCCGACCTCACTCTCACGGGAACTTCTAGAAAGGCAGCATACGTGCAGCAATCAGTTTCAGTTCCTCCACAGCATCATGCCATTAATGCTGGACACCGTCGGGCTTCAACAAGCACTGGGCAGCCTCCAGCTCAGAAAGATCACCAGAAATCACACCCACTTGGCGGTGAGGATGGAGCGGATGAAATGGATATTGATACGGAGGAGCGCCCTGCAGCAGCACCGCCTGCAAAACATGCCCCGACAAATGCAACAGTGACGACCCGGAAATGTGTGCGTTGCAGCAGTGATTACAGTCCTCGGTGGTGGCCGAGCGGACGACACCTAGTACAACGAGGACCCTTGTCAAATGGAATGAACCAAGGCTTTCATTCTCACCATCATGGGCAAGGTCCCTTTGGACACATGAATGGTGATTCAGGAGAACAAGGCTACGAATGTCACAAATGCCATTTGAAGAACCCTCCGCCACCACCTGAACCAGCTCCAGCTCCTGAGCCTCGACCCTCACCGTATCCCGCACAACGTCCTATGCTTCCGACTCCGAGCATGGGTCACCAATTCGTGCCGCACAATCATTCCGCTGCTCCTCCTCCACCTTCCGCCCCCGCTCCTCCACCCGCTGGTGTTCTCGGCCGGCCTATGCCTCAGCCTCACCCGCATGGTGCTCTTCCAGGGTATCCTCCGCGATACGAGCAACGACCTCCTCCTCCAGGAGGGGATCCCAACTTGCGCAATGGCATGTCGCCTCCTGCGTATCCCGCGACAGTCCCGCCTCCTCATCATATGGCCAACTATCCTCCACCACATCACCCTCAGAGCCACCACCCTATGCCCCCATCACCAGCGCATTACCCCCCAGCTGGTCCCCCGCAGCCACAACCGTACCAGACGCATCAGAGTCCGTATGGTCCAGTCTCACGTTCACCGCACATCTCGCAGCCCCCACCTCGACCATACGCGGCCTCTGCCTCTCCACCCATCGTGCAGGCGACAGTCAACCGATCACCACAGACCTCATTGAGTGCTCTGAATGGTGGCCCGCCGCCGCGAATGTACGCAGTTGAACGTCTGGGAGGTCCCTCTCACTCACCGCCAGTGGTACAGGCCCGCCTTGATCCACGCGGTCCTACGCCACCCGTTCGGCCTGAAGATACTCCTCCATCTCATCTGGGAGGTCTCCCGAATACCAGTCGACCGCACTCAGGTATCAACGGAACCAATACTGGGTCAGGAGCGAGTGCGAGCCCTTCACTGAAGAATCTCCTTTCTTGATCTCATCTGATTGGTTGATGGATTTGATTCTACGGAGTTGACCATTTCGTTCTTTCTTTTTTCTCTCCCTTCGTGACAGGGACTCGGACACGAGTCTCCGTTACAATAATTGTATGATAGCTATGTCTCCCTTTTCTCTGTTCGTGTCTTATTGCATGTGGGTCTCAAGAATCTCAGTGATGGAGATGATCCTCATCACTGCTGATTCTATCCAGACCCCTAAAAACTCGGGTTGGCGTCTGATGGATAACCGTATTTACGGAGGTCGTGCTTCCTGTGTTATGCACTCATGATTTCTCTCGTTTCATTTCCCCCTTCATTTCCCATTCTTTGTGTCCCTTAGTCTTTTTTTATTCTTGTCATCTCGGCGTCTCGATTACGGCAGGAAAAGCACGCGGAGTCAGTGCGGTGGTCCGGGAATCGTATCGATGAATTGCATGGAGTAGGCCGGACTTATGATTTACATTCCCCTTCGTTCTACACGGTTAGAAGAATTGCATTGCTATGAATTTTTTTTTCTCTCATCCAACATGAAGTTTCTCTATATGCCGAATAACCGTGAATCCATACTTCAAATTCGTAGAATAAGTGGATCATCCACCGGAGCTGACAAATGCAAGCTTAATCAACCGGATTTCTGCACGAGTTCGTCAAGTCGCGCAGGTGCTCCACCAGATGAGATTATAAAGCTTTCTCCCTTGCTTAAATCCTTGACGCTTCACATATTTCTTATCCCTGCGAGATTTATCATATTCCCTTGATCTCCCCGAATACCAAGATGAGTTCGACCATGCGCGCAATCGGTATGCCCCACTTTATTTCATCTTCATCTACATCATACATTTGAGTGAGAGTGAGACAGACCTTATTGATGATAACTCGAGTCTACACTCACGTTAAAATTACTTCCACCATGGAAATCATACTTGGTGTCACATTTTGTGATAATGATAATAGCTAATGTTTTGCGAAATAGGTGTACAGGGCGGCAAAGGCCCCGCGACGGCCCTCTTCGTTGATGAAATCGCCAAGCCTGTCCCTGCTCCGGGGCAAGCACTAGTTAAGATCAAGGCCTTTGGTCTGAATCGCATGGACCTATTGCAGCGAGAGGGATTGTATCCTGTTCCTCCCCAGGCTCCATCAACCATTGGTGTTGAGTTCTCTGGAGTGGTGGATGGGTTTGGTGGGGGTGAGCCGTGTGATTTTAAGGTGGGGGATGAAGTATTTGGTCTTGCTTATGGAGGTATGTCAATTTCCCATTATTATATCTATCAAGCTTCAAGATTATCTGCGAAATGATGCTAACTCTAGATGAAAGGTGCCTATGCGGAGTACGTTGCTGTCTCTACCAAGATGCTGATTCACAAGCCCGAGCATCTATCCTGGGAGGAAGCGGCTGGCGTTCCCGAGGTAAGTTAGGAATTCAGACAAAGAATATTTGAGCTCAACTGACACGACACCTAGACCTGGATTACAGCCTCACAAGCCCTTTTCCTTATCGGTGACTTCCAAGCCGGTCAATCCGTCCTCTGGCACGCCGGTGCCTCCTCAGTATCCATTTGCGGTATCCAACTAGCCAAAGCTCAAGGCGCGAAGGCCATCTACGCTACAGCCGGATCTCAAGAGAAGATCGATTTCCTCGAGAAAGAGCTCGGAGTTACGAAAGCATTCAATTACAAGACCGAGGATTGGGCCGCCGAGATCCAAAAAGCGACCGGTGGCACTGGTGTGAACCTAATCGTTGATTTTGTCGGTGCGCCATACTTCCAGGGTAACTTGAACGTTGCTGCGAAGGATAGTCGGGTCGTGCTACTTGGATTTATGGGAGGAGCTCAGCTACCGGATGGCGTGAATATTGCGCCGTTGCTGATGAAGCGAATTCGAGTGGAGGGAAGTACACTGCGGAGTCGGGATGAGGAGTATCAGCGACAGTTGCGGGATACGTTGGTTTCTCATGCGCTGCCGAGGTTTGCGGATGGGCGGTTTAAGGTCTTTGTTGAGCGGGTATTTCCATTTGAAAAGATTGTTGAGGCGCATCAGTTGTTGGAGAGTAATACTACCAAGGGTAAGATTATTTGTGTGATTGAGTAGATAACCAGTTGACGAGACATCTGGATGAACAAACAAACATTTGAGTTTGATCAATGATATGAAGGTCACATGAGCATATTGGATATTCCATTTCGTCATTCTGATATTAAATCATTCATGCACATGTGTTATCTCTCCCGTGTTATTTCCGCATTAGAAATAGTGGAATATTAGTGTTGTCAAAAGTACGAATCAGAGTATAAATAGGGAAAGGTCTTTAATGCTTTGAATGGGGGCTAAATCTAAGTCCTAATATAGATTCATCGTATCTCCAGTGTTCAGAGTAGCAACACGCTTTAATGTATGTAGGTAGATAGTATCACGTGGTAGGATAAACCATGGAACATAATAATCTAACAGTGAGATGGCATTGATCAATATTTAAATATTATATTCAAGGTAATTCAAGGGAGTAGTGATATTAATAATATTAATATTTATTAAAGATCAATCTCCTATATACTAGTATATACTAGTAATACTACTAAGAGTTCAAGATGAAACCAGGATCGATCCCCCTGTTTCTCCATTTGATCATTTTGATCCAATCAAATCTCGATTTGTGTTGCCCCGAGGGACTCGAGCGGGATCCTGCTTTTAACCAATCAGAGGAGAAGGTAAGCACTTACATAATCAGTGGACCTTCTAGAAGAAAAAAAAATCCTCGAAATGATCCACATAGTGCATGTACGGTAGATACAGTATAACCATTTAATTCAATATTATACATAGTAAAGGTAGACATATTATTTTTTTTTTTTTTAAATACTTCAATATTATTTCCTATTTATTGTTTCATATTTCTATACGTAATTTAATTCATTCAATGTTCTCGTTACAATGTTATGCTAAAAGAGACTCGAAAGGCTGAAAGCGGGAGGGGCCCCGGTCATACGCCAGAGAACAATTCTGGAAGCCTTCGATGCCTTGAACTTCATTCATCCATCCTCTTGTCTCCATCTTTGACCCTTGATCCACTTCAAGTTGCCATGTTGCTCTAATCTTCAACTTCCCTTTCTTCAACTTCCTCTGTTCTTTATTCCTATCTCTTATCCTATTTGAGAGTGTGTGTCACTCTCTTTTAAATCCCGCCCCCAACCCCTTCTTTTTCCCCTCTCCTTCTGTCACCCTGATCCCCCTCACGTGCTGTCATCTGTGGCGTCGTCGATTTTTCTGAGCCATTCGACATCGAAAACGCGACAACGTTTGTCTCGGATTTTCTCGACCTGCATTTACAACTGCATTGTTCCTGCTAGAGCGCTTCAACTGCCTACTGAGCCTCCCAATTATACCCGCCACTTGCCGCTCGTTTGCTTTCCCTCAAATTCACCACTATCCAAAACCCCCCTGCCCCGGGGCTCTTTATTTGACTATATTCTCCTATTCTGTTTTCCCCCTTTGGTCGAATCTCTCTAAACCTCTTCCGCTCCCCCCGGTTACTACTGAATCGCCACGGAACTTCCTATTCACCATCATCTCCCGAGTCGGCTCAAAGACGACACTACCCCCGACAAATCTATTGCGACTCCGAGGGTCTCAGGTGGGCCTTATGCAAACCAGACACTCGGTCGCATTGATTCGCTTTCCTTTTCTCTAATCTCTTGATTGCGCTCCCCGTGAATCGTGAGACGCGGGTGATCTGAACCCCCGGCGCGATTTTCTGTAAGATCATGGTGGACCGTGTAGAATGCTCGGGCGTCTACATTGACGACCGGGTTCGTTCGGAGAGATGGGTGCGCAGAAATTCCATCTCAAACTCCACCGCATCCTCCGCTGGCTCATTCACCGTGGAGGAACCTGAAGCCCTGTGTGCCGATGTAGAGCAACTCTTGGATGTCTGCAAAAAGAGTATGTCCCTTTTTCGCCCCTACCTTTTCTTTCATCTTAGGTCCAGACCTCGCAACTGGAACTCCGGCTAACCCCCCCAATCAAGTCTATCTTTGTCAGAGCGGAGCCTCTTTTGCGAACAAATTGGCCGAGCTGAGCGACCGATCAGGTAGCGACTGTACCCCGATATTTGCCTTTTTCGGTATCGACTTTGGTATCGATGAATCAAATGTTGCTCGTCGAAAGGCCAGTCGGGCCTCATGGATGATGGAAAATGGCCCCCCCCGTCACCCGGTTCAATTCAACGTACATTCACCTTTTCCTCCCATAATGACGAAGCGCCCGGCCTCGCGCTCCTCTCCGGTGTATCCAACGATATCCAAGTCCAGGACTGTCCCAATTTGGTCATCCCCGTCGCCATCCTGCGTAGTTCAGGACCTGATCCCTTGGAATCTCCCGCCGAATCGACGAGCGACCCGCAAAGTATCCGAAGCCCGGTGACCATAGAGCACAAACAAATCGCCCGATGTCTGGACGCTGGAGCCGTGGACGTTTTGACAACACCGCTCGACCGATCTCGAATTCAAGGACTAGTGGTTCACGCGTATCGTACTCGTCGCACGGCTCAGAAGGAGATGTCTCGGTTTTTGGCCCGGAAAAAGCTACGGAAAATGTCATGGGTTGGCGTGCATGATGAAGAACCATATGCATACCTGCGAGAAGCGATGGTTTCCAAATTGATGAAGGGGATTTGCAACCCCGAAGAAATCATTGACGAATTCCAGGAACGTGATCTTGAAATCTCGCCAGAACGTGAAGCCTTCATCAAAGAGCAGGTAGGCAGCTGGAAGTTCTGCGCTCATGAGTTCTCAGAGGATGAGTTGGTCTTTGGTGCTTGCCAGATGCTTCAGCATGCATTTACTCTTCCTGGATTGGAGCACTGGCACTTGACCCCAGGTGAACTCCAGACATTCTTACTGGCCTGTCGTGCCGCCTACAACTCATTCGTTCTGTACCACAACTTCCGCCACGCCATTGATGTACTGCAGTCAGTCTTTTGTTTCTTGCTCCGCATCGGAGCTTTACCCCCGTACGAGCCGATCGGTCAGGCTCCTGTTGAACAAAAATCTCCTATCGCCACCCTACTCTCTCCTTTTGATTCCTTGACCCTTCTTATCTCTGCTATTGGTCATGACGTCGGTCACCCAGGCGTCAACAACTTTTTCCTTGTCAAACTCAATGCTCCCCTCGCACAACTGTATAACGATAACTCTGTTCTCGAAGCATTCCACTGCGCAGCATTCTCTCAGATCCTCCGCCGGCATTGGCCTGCAGCTTTCAAGGACAAGCAACTCCGAAAGTTGCTGATCAGTTCTATCCTAGCAACAGATATGGGTGTACACCAAAAGTTCATGGAGCGCATGGGATCATTGCAGGAGAAGTACTACGAGAGCGATAAGACAGTCGACTGCTGGAAGCCCCAGGACGTGGAAATGTACAAGACTCTCGTCTGTGGGCTGTTGATCAAGTGCGCCGATATTAGCAACGTCGCTCGGCCGTGGGGTGTTGCTGAGAAATGGACGCAGATCTTGCAGGAGGAGTTCGCCAACCAAGGCGAGATGGAAAAAGAGGTGGGTATGGAGACTGCGCTGTTTGGTGGACCGCCAGAGTTGGGCAATATCTACAAACTGGCCACCGGTCAGATTGGCTTCATGTCGATTTTTGCACTACCACTTTTCGAAGGAGTCTCTGATCTATTACCCCAATTGCAATTCACCGCCGAGCATATTCGCAGCAATAAGGGTCAATGGCAGCAACATGCCAATGATGAGTTGCGAAAGCAAGGTTTGCGGATTGAAGATTCCACTCGAGATGTCGGGGTTTCTCCTCGCTCTCAAAGCCCAGCTCGGTCAACCAAGATCAACGGTACCGAAGGTGGAGAGGAAGCGTCATCGTCAGAAGAAAACAACGACAAAGCAGTCGTAGAGACTCGATATGATTCCCCATCAGGATCTTCGGACGAGACTGTCTCGCAAGGGGATGTCAGCGGTGCTTACAACGAGAACACCATCGAGCCTGTGGTATCTCCGGATACCCCCGGTCCACAGATCGAGATAACTGGTACCTCTGCCGACCCTGATGTGATCTCATCGCGCAAATCCTCCAGTGCTATGCCTGATATGTCATACTTTTCATATTCTCCAGCTGCAACTCAAGCTGCAACCCAACTTGCAACCCAATCCGTTCGAGGGTCAGTTGGAGCCTCACTCGCGGACTACGATGCATCCCCGGGGACCGACCCAGCTGTTTTAGCGGCTGTCTTCTATGCCAACTCAACAACGACCGCCGGTGGTATTACCTCAGTGCCTGCTGGTACCTATGGTAGTGCCGAGCGTGACAACACAGCCGACTCTGCTGCCATGGAGCGTCCCAGCAGCTCTCGGCAAGGTCATGGCTCTCAGCACCATGCTCATCACACTTCCTCCGTCCGCACATCTGGGCCCTCCAGCTCCAACCGCAACAGCTGTACTCGTACGCAAAGCATTAGCGCTTACAGCAACAACATGACTCCTATTTCTCCTGCTACGAACGCGACCAGCTTCCTAGCAGTGGACAGTGGTGATGAGAAGCGTGTTTCAGACGATAGTACAGCCCAGAGTGATTTAGGAGGTCCTGATGACAGTAGTACGCGGCCGAGTACATCATACGCCTCCCACACGGGAGACCAGGCGAGCAGCAGCTATAGCCAAAGCCCTGGTCGTGGCTCTCACCACTCTCGATCTGAAGATGCAAAGGATTATCATTCTGCGGGCGCGAATGGTACTCTGAGTCCAGCACACTCTACAACTACTGGCGAGAGTATTCGAAATGAGCAAACGCAGGGCAATGGGCATGGAAATGGGGATGAGGCTCGGAATGGTGGAAATGGAACGCGGAAGCTTCCTAAGAAACGCAGTAGATTGCGTCTCGCATTCTGGAAACGTCGCAATCACCATCAACAGGAGGTTCATGGCGAGAGCTGATTCTTGATACCGTACTCCTTTTTCCACCTCTCCTTTCCTCTTTCCCTCCCTTGTTCCTGCTGGCCCTTTACCTACCCAGCTGTGTATTATGCGATCATGGTCTCATGAACGGTGCATTTTCTTGTTTCTGATTTTATCTGTTTTTATGCTCAGCGTTGATTTTCACGACCGAACCATGGGAGTCTTCGGGTGATATATGCAATTATTCGCATATACAAGGACTCTCCTGGTATCCTACTCCTTATCCACGATTCAAATGATATCAATGATGGAGTTGTTGGCACGGCCAACACATGCCGATAGAGATGGAGACATGTTCCTAGCTGAACAAGTTTCCATGCTCGAATTCGATGTTTAATACCGCACCTTTTCGTTCCAAAAGTGAAAGTGACTACCGTGTTTACGGTGGCGCTGGCGGCTTTATTCTCACTTCCCTTCTTTGAACCTTTCATTTTTTCGCTTTTCGATACTGAGTACATACTTTAGTACTCAGTATGTTGCATCGGGTCCCTGCAACCCGCTTTCTCTATGTGATGATCATGGACATGTTCAATGTTTCGTTTCCGTTGCTCTGCGTCTCTCATTTCTGGTTTTTTTTTTGTTTTTCTTTTTCTTTTTCCGGAGGCAATCTTGGCTTTTGGGTGGTCAACTTAGAACTTGGTGGGGCTGGGGCGTTGATTGTTTTGGGATTATATCCCGAGATTCGATAGTATCTGTATCTCTTCTATCTTGTCTCAATAAGTGTCTATACCTTATTTGAACCGATTGATCTATTCGTATGACTTAAGTTAAATGATATGTAGTTCGTAAGCATATGTACACGAGGACATGCCAAATCCCTTACATCTCCTAGAAGAGTCCCTCAGTGCACAGACTGCATCTCATCGAGGCTTGAGTCCCCGTGTTCAATGCCGTAGACTCATACACAATCCTCACACTCTTTCTTCTCTCCAGCTATCTCGGGTTTTTTGTCTCCCTGAGATTCAAGTTCCTTCTTAGCTACCTGTTCTTTCTTCAAGGCTCGATCAGTATGTCCCAAATCTCGCTCAGGAGCAATAACATTCCTGACAAGGGATTTCAAAGCTTTAACTTCTATAAGAAGAATCAGTATCAATATGAACTATGTACTATGAAATATGAAATTTCAAAGTAAGTCCGAGATTCTGAGTATGTACTTACCAGGAAACCCTCCATCCCGCTTGCGATCCCAAAGGATAATCTCCTGAGTCTTCACCTCGGAATTATCCGTTGATGTAGACTCAGGATGCCAGATCGTCACGGTAAAGACACCACCTGTCATCGGGACAAGAGCTACTTCACCTAGATCTGTACCGAATGTTGAGAGGAGTTCTTGGGCAAACTAAGACAGTTAGAATGGGACCGGAACAGCATTGTGACGACACTGATGAATTGGATTAAGTCAAGCAATAGCAGCATATCGATCGATTGATACTTGTATAGCATCTCAAGTTCTTGATGCGATATATGAATCTGGCTGTCTTCCAAGGTTCAAGTTGGATAAGCTCAAGCATTTAACAGTAGAATGCACCTCGAGGTACCAGTCAAATTTTATGAGCTGATATCCAACTTGAACTCCAGGCTGGCATAACAGTAAAAATAGTGATACCATTGGATCACAAAAGACGATATCAATAACTTGGATGCAAGAAATGACAAGTTGGATATACATTCCAAGCTTATATGTATGATTTGGAGACAAGTGGGATGATGCAAAACGAAAGAAGAAACTTGAACATACATAAGCAGCTCTGAGCATCCACCGACACTGCGTACAGAACTTAATCGATATACGCGGAAGATGGACCCGTTCTATGGAGGTAAGTCCAGGCTCAGCGACGGGTTTCGCCGAGTTCGTAGAAGGCGTTGGTTCTGTCATGGTGATGCAGGTAGTTGGATGAGAATGAGAGTGGGGGTTCCAGACCCGATCTTTGACCCGATATAAGCAGCGTAGGGAGAAAGAAAAGCAAGAATGGAATATGAAAGTGTGATAATCACTCTATAGAGCAAGTCCAATCCTCGAATAAGACTTGTAAGACTATCGCACACAACTCGAGGTTGAAATCCCGCGGATGATGTCAGCGGGGATCGCTTCAGGGCCCCAGAGCTCAGCTGTACTGCACTGCAAGTACTTCACTGCAAGTACCCGGGAACATACAGTATTTGCATCGCAGAGGTCGTGAGCCTTATGATTGCGTGCATGAAATCAGGGTTTTGGATATGGTACCTTGCAAGGCTTTTTGAGGCTGAATTGGGCGCCGGGAGGCCTTGCATTCTTTACAAAGAACTTAGTCAAATATGGGAAGTAAGATTTCAAGATTATGAATTACGAAAGCTTGGGGGCCTAAGACAAGGGACAAAATTAATTAGAACAGTATTGTATTGGTCATTGGATGCAAATCGAATCTATGATACACGAATGGCAACCGACTCTTCATGCCTGATCGACAGAGAGGTTTTTGGAGAACCCAGAGACAAAGGAAATTTGGCTTCAAAAACACAGAGACGACAAAGGGGGAATGGAGCAAAATAGAAGATAAAAAAGAAAAGGAAAAGTCGATGTAGAAGTCGAAATGAGAAGAAGAAGAAAAAAGAAATGGAATAGACCAGTTTAAAAGAGACAGGGCAACACAGTACACATGGAAATGAGTCACTGTAGCCAAAGTTGAGAAGGTGAAGAACCCAACGAGAAACACTGTGGTTGGTATTGAAGTACCCGCTAGAATCCTGGTTTAGGCGAAGTTGGTCGTGTCAAGGCCAGCAGACGATTGCTTCAACGGGCTACGACTCGCTTATACAGAGTGCATGAAGCGATCGCAGCTGGAATTCGATTGAAATCCAATAATTGGGAGGTGATATGTTTTAAGTCGGATCAAGTCGATCATCAGGGTTTAAGATCCGAGGATTAAGAGATGGAAGATCGGGAAGAAAGTAGTCCAAACAATAAGAGAACAGAGAGAAATCATGTCGTGGCGATGGAAAAAATCGTCGTGAGACCGTTACATAACGGTACAGCAACCTGCGCCCTGTTGCTGAGGAGCATAGGGGTCTTCGCGCCGGTCAACCTAGTTAAAAAAAAAGATCATGTCAGCCATGCGCGTGGGGGCTTAAAATATAGACGGTCGCATCATACCTGTCCCCATACAGAGGGTACCATAAAATCGCGAGTATTATTACAATAGCTGATGAGCCTGAACAAAAGGATAAAAAAAATAATCGGTTAGTTTCGGTGTTGCTGGTGATAATGGTGGTGGTGGTGTGGTGGTAGTGCGACAGGGGTAGGACTCACGAGAGCGCGGCCTCGGACACCTTCACTCGCGGGCGATCCAAATCCTCCTTCAAACGAGCATTGAGCTCAGTCAATCGACGGTACTTGAGGTCCGCAACACTCTGCTTCTTGTGCTTAACATCACCCCCGGAGCGCAGTTCGTAGGCGGGCATCGTGGATAGGGATGGAGTCGCGAAAGGAGGAAAGGTCGAAAGGGGGGGTTTTTCGGGGGGTCAGAGGGGGTTTAACTTGGGAAACCGGGTCGGGAACGGGGCCAAGTGTCCACACAAGGGGGCCAGTAGTTTGATAAGTTCAAAAAAAAAACACAGGGGGGGGGGGGCGACTGCAACAATGAAAAGGTGCAAGGAGTAATTAGCCCACGAGGAGACAGAATATAATGAAAGACGTGTAGGACCAAAAGAAGGGAGGTCAATGGAGAGGGATTTTCCCCGTTAGGATTTGGGGGGGAGCTGGGTCCGTGTGGCTTATTCATCATTTCAGGTACTGGGTACTTTGGTAAGATTATTGATTATTATGGGGACTCCATATTTAAAGACCCTCTCTAATAAGTACCTAGGTACTTTTGTCCGAGTATTGAACTTCGGGGTGAATCTGACCTAAACGTCCAAATCGAAATTACCAGGTACTTCCGTATAGGGTTTGTGCTTTGTTCGCCTGAGGATTTGGGGGCTTAGCTGATTTAGGATTGATTTATATTCCAACATTGGTTCTATAGATAGATATCCAAAAAGGAATAAGCAGGTTATACATAAGAATAAATACGTGTTGATAATTGTAGATGTGAAATTATATGCCATGATTATTGGCCCAACCGGAAGATTAATAGTGGAGGTTGAATATTGTATGAAGATTCAAAGCCCTGGACTCGGTCACTCGGATCACCCGGTTGCTTCCTAATATGTCAGGCCATTAATGTCAGGCGGTCAGGCGGTCAGGCTCTTAAGGCATACAGGTCAACATGATAGGTTCAAATGTTAGATGAGAACAAAGAAAAGTTCAGATGTGTACTCCATAGTTAGGGCAATTAACTACCATGGGAGCCCTGGAGAAAGGTATCATCTTTCACCATACATATGATTCATCTGATTAATTACCACCAATCGCTACATTTCGACCACAACTTGAACACTCAATAACAATCACGTGACCTATAGATAGATCAAATACGAAAAAGTAGGAAATCTTGGTAGAAGCTGCAAGTGATGGATTGAAACAGGAAATACAAATTACTCACATATCTTGACCAAGAATTTCAAGAAGGGTATATGATAATCCACTTTAACATCGCCTCGTATCTCAAGGTTCATTGTATATGGATATACTCCGTAGTTGAACATAAAGTCTGGAGTTGGGGTGAATATCACGTGACAGCCCCATCGCTTAGTCCGCTGTGGGATCAGTCATCCGTGAATTTTCGGCTCACGCACAACAGGCTCTTCCCCTCTAGGTCGATCAGGACTTCGCGTGGCAGCTTTTCAATTTGGTTCTTGGACCACTGCCCGTGTGTGTGACCCTAGTCCACTTTTACAATTATCGATTTCTCAAAAAAAATCGTCAACCGAAAAAAAATAGAAATCCCCAAGGGGTGGATTATCTTCAATCATGCCGCCACCACCGCATATCAAACCTGAGAATGTCCTCAAGGTAGGTCTAGGATCCACCTGATAAGATATCATATAGGGCTCTTTTACTTTTCAGATTCTAATCTTGGTTCTTTTTTTTCATCAACAGAGGGCCCAGGAACTTATCGCTGTTGGTCAGGCTCCCGCTGCCTTGACCGTCCTTCACGAACATGTCACCTCCAAGCGTACCCGTAGCAGCCCCATCGCCTCGCTCGAGCCGGTGATGCTCCTCTTTGTCGAGCTGTCTGTCGACCTTCGCAAGGGAAAGGCTGCCAAGGATGGTCTGTACCAGTACAAGAACATCGCCCAGAACACCAACGTCGGCACCATCGAGGTCGTCCTCAAGAAGTTCATCGAGCTTTCTGAGGCCAAGGTCACCGAGGCTCAGGCTAAGGCCGATGAGATCCAGTCTTCTCTTGAGTCTGCGGCTCCTTCCTCCAACATCGAGGATCTGGAGGCCAGCGAAACCCCGGAAACCATCCTGTTGGCTACCGTCTCCGGCGAACAGTCCCGCGACCGCACCGACCGCGCCGTTGTTACCCCATGGCTCAAGTTCCTGTGGGAGACTTACCGCACCGTTCTCGAGATCCTGAAGAACAACGCCCGTCTCGAGGTTATGTACCAGTCGACCGCCCTGCAGGCCTTCCAGTTCTGTCTCAAGTACACCCGCAAGACCGAGTTCCGCCGCCTGTGTGAGCTTCTGCGCAACCACGTTCAGAATGCCGCCAAGTACTCCGCCCAGATGCACGCCATTAACTTGAGCGACGCCGACACCCTGCAGCGCCATCTGGATACCCGCTTCCAGCAGTTGAACGTTGCCGTGGAGTTGGAATTGTGGCAGGAGGCTTTCCGCAGTATCGAGGATATTCACACTCTGCTCAACCTGAGCAAGCGCCCGGCTAAGAACGTTATGATGGCTAACTACTACGAGAAGCTTGCCCGTATCTTCTTGGTTAGCGAGAACTACCTCTTCCACGCTGCTGCTTGGAACCGCTACTACAACCTGCTGCGTCTCTCTACTGTGGCCCTGGCGACTGGCCAGAGCACCAAGAAGGAGAACCCCTCCGTGACCGAGCCTGAGATGACCAAGGCCGCTTCCTTTGTGCTCCTTTCTGCTCTCTCTATCCCCGTTATCAGCACCTCCCGCTCCCGTGGTGCCCTCGTGGATGTCGATGAGGCCCGCAAGAACAAGAACAACCGCCTTACTAACCTGCTTGGTATGAGCCAACCCCCATCCCGATCTGTCCTGTTCCGTGATGCTCTCAACAAGGGTCTGCTCAAGCGTGTCCGTCCTGAGATCCGCGATCTGTACAACATCCTGGAGGTCGACTTCCACCCTCTGTCTATCTGCAAGAAGATTACTCCCATCCTCAAGCAGATTGGTGCCGACCCCGAGATGGAGAAGTACGTTGTGCCTCTCCAGCAGGTCATCCTTACCCGCCTGTTTCAGCAGCTTTCTCAGGTCTACGAATCCGTTGAGCTTAAGTTCGTCTACGAGCTCGCCCAGTTCCCCGACCCCTTCCAGATCACCCCTGCTATGATCGAGAAGTTCATCATGAACGGTTGCAAGAAGGGTGATCTCGCTATTCGCGTCGACCACATTTCTGGCGTTCTCACCTTCGACTCTGATGTCTTCTCCTCATCCAAGGCCATGCACGCTGGCAGTGGTGCTGGTTCTGCCGAGAACGATGTTGGCTCCGTCCAGCGTCTCCAGCACACCCCTGCTGAGATTGCCCGCTTCCAGCTTTCTCGCCTGGCCAAGACTCTGCACACAACTTGCATGTACGTCGACCCATCTTACTACGAGGCTCGTCTGCAGGCCAAGCAGGCCGCTCAGGCCCGTGCTCTGGCTGGTGCCGCCAAGGAACACGAGGAGACCTTGGCTCGCCGCGTTATCATCGACAAGAAGAAGGAGGCCGCCACCGATGCCTTGCAGCGCAAGCAGCGTGAGGAGGAGACTCGCAAGCGTATCCGTACCCAGCAGCTGCAGGACGCCGAGAAGAAGCGTCTTGCGGACGAACAGCTGGAGCGTGAGCGCAAGCGTATTAAGGACGAGCAGGACCGCATTCGCCAAGAGGAGCTCAAGAAGCAGATTGAGGAGCTCAAGACCGGCGTCAAGGGTATTGATATCAGCGAGCTTGACGTTGATGAGCTGGATGCCAACCGTCTGCGTGCCATCAAGCTTGCTCAGCTGGAGAAGGAGAAGAACGAGCTGAACGACCGTGTCCGCACAACCGCCAAGCGTATTGACCACTTGGAGCGTGCCTTCCGCCGCGAGGAGGCCAAGCACGTCCCTGCCGATTACGAGGCCCAGAAGAAGCAAGACCTGGCCCTTTGGGAGGCCCAGAATGCCGAGGCTCTCAAGGAGGGCAAGCAGAAGCACGCCGAGGCTGTTGCGCTCAAGCACCGTCTGGGTCGTCTCGTCCCTGCTTTCAGCAGCTTCCGCAAGGATGTTTCTGAGAAGCGCCACGAGGAGTTCGAGAAGCGCCGCAAGGCTGCCGAGCGCGACTTCGAGGCCAAGAAGAAGCAGCGTATCAAGGAGGTCCAGGAACGTCGCCGTCGCGAGAAGCTGGAGCGCGAGGAGGAGGAGCGCCGCCAACAGGAAGAGCAGGAGCGTGCCGCCCGCGAGGAGGAGGAGCGTGTTGCACGCGAGGAGGAACGCCGCCGTGTTCTCTCCGAGGAGAAGGTTCGCCGCGAGGAGGAGCGTGGAAAGCTGGACGAGATTGCTGCTCGCCAGAAGCAACGCGAGGAGGAAGCCGAGGCTCGTCGCAGTGCTCGCAAGTTCGGTGGTCCTGCTGCTGCACCTTCATCTTCCGAGTCTACCGAGCGTACTGCTCCTCGTCTCAACATTGCTCCCCGTACTGGTGGTGGTGGTGGCTGGAGAGATCGTCTGGCTGCTAAGGGAGAGAGCGCTGCTCCCGAAGCTCCCCCTGCTGCTGCTGCTCGGGAAGAGCCTCCTGCCCGCAAGGCTGGAAGCGGATATGTGCCCCCTCACCTTCGTGCTGGAACCTCTGGTGGCTCTGGCTCCGCCCCTCCTCCCCGTGAGGCCCCCTCAAACGGACCTACTGAGCGCTGGACGCCCCGTCCGCGCGAGTCCCCATCTCAGGGTTCCGCCCCTCCTCCCGCTGCCAAGCCCGAGGAGTCTAAGCCCAGCAGTGGTGGCAAGTGGGTTCCTAAGTGGAAGCAGCAGCAGAGCTAAGCGGCTACGTCGGTGGATAACTCTATTTCTCTTCTTTTCACCAACAAACTATAGGGAGGGCAAATCAAAAAGTGGCATCGGATGTTTATTTTCCTCATTTTGATATCCGGCGCATGTTTTTTTCTTCACGACCTCCTTGCAATGACCTCCTGTATCATCGGCCATCCGTGGTCTCTCCATCGGTCTGGGCTTATGTCCAAGTCGATTCTCTCTACTTTCTCCTTTCTATGCGTTTTCAGTGTGTTTAATTTCATTTTCTTTTCCCTCTGTCAACACTTCGGATGTACCATCTTGTCATCCGTGATGCCAATATCATGCTCTGCTCCATGTCTATGGTCCCGATATACTCGGGATCTAGTGAATAGGATCGAATTTCTAGACTTAAATTTTCATTCTGGAAAGCATTACTGTAGATGACTATGGTAATCCTAGTAGTCAGATTGACATTCAAATTGGTATGTATGGTCTTTTGACATAGTGAGTCTGCATTAACCAGTTGACAACCTGAGCTATGGATGTAGTATGACTTATTCTACTTAAACCGGAGAAGAAAGTGATAGCTAATTATGGCTGATGCTCAAATCCCCGTCGCGATGGCACCGTTCGTAACATTTTCCATATATCTTCAATCATCTGTTCTACGAGGCGATGGCTCCCTACATGTATTGCCAGTGTCGAATCAAACTTGCACTTCTCTGTCTCCCTGAAAGTCGTTTGGTAAAATATCTCTTCTCATTTCACAGGAAGTCCATTCAACATACTGCTTAGCGTGATAGAATGGTATCAAATGGGTTTCAATGCTATATGCAGATCGATCTAAACTCCAACATCCAATATAAACGAACCACCTGGGCAGATTAGACGACAGGAGAAGATAACATAAGAAATGAATCAAGTGGATATCTGACAAGAAGACCCTTGAAAAAGCTCATAACAGTCTATTGCACTCTGAAGGAACCATTCTCCGAGACAAAGTAAAGATAGTTGAAAAGAGCGGGAAAGAAGAGAATCATAGTGCCATTACCCTGCAGCTACCTCAGCTGCAGCTGCTCCGAAAAGCTTCTCGCGCCATTCTCCACATACAGCCTCGAAACCACTGACTACATCGCCGCATTCCTTGCCAGCTTCACGGTCTTTAAGCTTGCGATCCCACTCGCCTCGCTCAATCCAGCGCGAACCCTCTTCTAGACTTTCTTCCTCGCGTCTGAGTTCAGCCACAAGTTCCCGTGCGGATCTCAATCGGCGGGATGCAGTTGAGGTCAATTGGCGCGATTCATACAGGGTATCGCTAAGACCGCGGAGCGAGTGTGTAATCTCCACCGTTTGAGAAATTAAAGCCTGAATCGATACAAGAGGGTTCACAGTAGAGGCTTGTGATGGTGTTGCTGGCCTGGAGTTCCGGTGCGTTTGTTCCGGGAATGGATATGGGAGATTAGGCAAGAGGCCTTCGTCGATCAAGGGAATAAGAGAGTCAATGGCGTCTTCGGATAATAGAGGGAATGGTGATACGAGGAGCGGGTGGATGAGTGATTGAAGAATACGGGTTTGGTGAGTAAGGTGAGATGTAATTGAAGAATGGGCTGTGATGAGCCTAGAAATAGGAGAGAAGTTAGATTGCGAAAGTTCCAGCACCGGGTCATCAAAGGAAGCATACCGTGTAGCACTGTTCTCAATGCCGCTCTGGCTACCCAAATCCCTGAGCGCTTCAACCGTCCTTTTAATAACATGGTCATTTTCGCTGCCATTGTTCTCAATCCCACGTCGGACGAGGCTCTCTATATCGGCCATTTGGGCCTCTAATGCGGGGGATAGATCAGCCGTCTCTTCAAGATCGGAATCATTCCCATAGTCTGATCCATCATAATGAGATTCTTGCCGCCGGTGCTGTCGAATCTGGTTTGCTCGGAGTCTGTTTCTTGCTGGCGAGTCTGATGGTGACTGAGATCGCATATTGCGAACAGATTGTAAATATGCATCTTCCATATCGCTGTTATCCATCTGCTGGGATCCCGCTCGGCTATTTTCCTGTCCTGAAGCATATCCATAACCATCTTCATCCTCTTCCCATGCATCTGCTAGCTCATCAGCCAGATTACCCAGTCCACCCCCACCTGTATCAGTGGAGAAGTCCACTGATTCCCGGTGGGATCCGTTCAAGTTCTGGCGGGGTAGGACTGGAGAAGGAGGCGCGGACATTCTGGGTGTTCGTGGAGATTTCGGACTTTCAGGAGCAACTACATTGACCCCCGGAGCCCCTGGTGAAATAGGAGAATCGTCCATATTGGAGGAGGGGTAGCGGTGAGCCAGCTTCAGGGGAGACGGAGGGAGGGGCATCGGAAGGACAGGAAGCTCTGGGCCTCCAAGTTGAAAGTTTCAGTTGTAATGATGGGTATAATACTAGGAAGTAAGAGAAAGAATGAGGGGTCGGTGTCCCTTGACAAGAGCGTTAATTGAAAGGAGAGAAAGTGACCAAGCACAACACACAGTATTGCGGTCTTAGGGCGGTGATGAAAGTAAATTGTGGACAATGCCGAAGAAGCTTGCGGAGTAGTACTAAGTCTGTCGCGTCATTGCCCAAAGAAATCTTAGCAGACCAGTGCAAAAGATGAACACAATGGCTCACGCAGACTAGCTCCGCGAGTGTGTGAAAGTATAGCTTAGATGGTCCAAAAGCAATGCTTTCATTGATTATGAGCGACACCGCCTTATTTCTGCCAGGATTTATTCTATGTCTTGCACCACCCCACATTCTTTTTCTACTTTGACATCTTACTGACACATTCAAGATGACCTCTATCAAGCGCGTATCGCCATTGGACTTGTTGTCATTGAACTTGACAAACCTTGATCCTCTGACGGAGAACTATGACCTCAGCTTCTACCTCGAATACCTAACTAAATGGCCATCACTATTTAGTGCAGTGAAAGATCGTGATGCCGGTATTACAGGTTACAGTATGATTTTCTGTTCCCTTTCAATCTCTGCCTAGTTGGCTGTTGGATGATTTTGCGATGAATTGATCTAATCTATCCTAGTTATGGGCAAGGTCGAAGAACAACACCCCTCTATGCGCCACTCCGAGCACTACACCCCATGGCACGGCCATATCACAGTGTTGACTGTTGCACCAGCCTGGCGTCGACTTGGCCAAGCGCGCCGATTGACTGAAAAGCTAGAGCAGGGCTCAGACAACAATAAAGCATGGTTCGTTGATCTCTACGTACGAGCAAGCAACAAAGTAGCGGTGGACATGTACAAAGGCATGGGGTAAGTAGATACTGAGCTCTGGAATGCGCAGTATTATTTTATATGCTAACATTTATCCCACAGCTACTCGGTTTTCAGGCGAGTAGTCAGCTATTATAGCGACGACCCATCAGGAATGTCAGAAAGTGGCGAGGATGCATTCGATATGCGGAAGCCATGCAGTCGAGACAAAAAGCTGAAATATGTTCGGGACAAGGGCGAAGACTTCCTAGTCAGTCCGGCAGACGTATCCTAGCATGAGCAAGCTAGATGAGGGGGATATTTAAATGAGAAATATGGGAATTGGACGTTGACGATGATCTGAATTGAAGTCTGGAGCATTTGATACGATACACATGTGCACTGGCATACCCTCAAGGCGAATGGATAGAGAACATAGGAGGACCGTATCCAGAAACAACAACATCTTTTATTATAAGAATACAGACAATCAAAGAAACGATATATTAATTATTGAATTCTAACTAACGCCGGATCCACTAATGCTGAGGATAAGGAAAGGGCATTCCGATATCTGTCCCGACACGCTTTTTCAGATGCAATGGATTTTAAGATGAAATATGCAAAGACCGGGCTCCCTCATCAGAGCAATCTCATATGAGATATAACTCTTTCCAAAATTCGAAGACGCCGAGAAGTCATGAATAGCCTTGCGGGAACCCGGGTAAGTTGTCTACCAGAGACATTAGTGAGTCCATGTTTGGGTTTTTGGAAGTAAATGCTTTTGAATGTCTTGAATGTATGGTAAAATCATTCCAGTCGAGGATCTATACTCAAACTCAAGTTCAAGTCTTAGCAATCAGGACAGGGCCTGTCCGAACAAATCTGACGGAAGCAAAAAGCACCGCTGATACAATCAGACAGCACGCAGTGAAAAGCTGCACACCGAGATAGCTACCGGTTGAGCTGAGGATAGCACCACCAATGGGAGTACCAATCAACAGGCCAATCGAGGTAACTGCAAAGACTTGGCCTAGACGAGTACCGAGATCACGCACATCGGGAGTCATGTAAGCCATGACAACAGGTGGCATTGACACAAATCCACCGGAGAAGAAACCGTAGAAAACGGATAAGATGATGATTCCGGGAACAGTGTGAACACAAATCCATACAAATGCCAGAATCGATGTGATGGTAACCGCTGGGGTAAGCATGTTAAGTGGGCCAGTATGATCGGCAATGAAGTTCGGTCCAATACGGCCAAAAGTTGAAGCCGCATTGAGCATGGAAAGTAGGTAGAACCCAAGATTAGCATCCACAATGCCCGTATCAATGGCATATGACTGAATGTAGAAAAGGAAATTATAGAAACCGAGGAAGCCCATAAACATAGCAGCAATGAAAATGCAGTATGCTGGCTCCTTGAATGCGGAGAGCTGGTAGAGCTTGCGCTTGTCCTTGGGAGGGATGCGAATTCGCATTGTGGCAACCGAAATGAGGATGGTAGCAAAGCATAAGAAGCCAATTGCTCGAGTAGCCCAAGCAAAACCGACTTTCTTCTGCAGCTGATCAAACATGATAGGGTAGATCACACCGCCAATGCTGCTACCGCTGGCGGCCAGGCCATTAGCGAGACCTCTCTTCTGTCGGAAATATTGGGGCAAGATGGCCACCGACGGCACGAAAAGACAGCCAGCAGCGAGACCAACACAGACACCCTGCGCGAGAATGAGTTGCCAGTAGTTAGTGGCAAGACTAGTCATCATCAGACCGAATGGCAGCATGAAGTTGGCGAATAAAATCATATGGCGGAAATAGCCAGCATCGAACAATGGACCGGTAACGACTCCGATGAGCATCAAAAGGAAGGACTGAAGAGATCCAATCCAGGCGATAGTGGATGAGGAGGTTCCTGACAACAAATTCGACTCATAGTATGTTTGATATGCACCCCATGTGTTAATGACGCCCCTGTTTAAATGAAAGTGTTAGCTGTAGAGTTTTTTTGCGCGGATTATTTAGCAGATACTAGGTATATCCTTACCATGAATTGAAAAAGAGAAAGAATGAACCGAGAACCTGGAGCCATCCTGTTAAGCCCTGATCGAATGTGAGCTCATCCTGGGGTTTTTCGACAGGTGTCGCAGTTCCCGAGCTGTTCACATTTTCCTCGTCACCAACTGCAGGGATCTCAGCGAGAACCTTCTGCTCTACTTCCGCATTAGTCGAACCCATCTCTAAGATTTGCGCGCTTGTAGCGAACAAACACCAAAAAAGGATGCTGGAGTCGGGAAGAGAAACCTCTTGAGAGTCAAGAGGAAAGAGCGATATTAGAATATCGAATTAAGTGTGAGTCAACAAAGACCACTAGAAATCCCCGAAGAAAAAAAAAATTGAGAAAAATCGGGTTTGATTATAAACCGCATCCAAGAACCACATGTGCAAGCGGGGCGTGGCTAAAAGCTCAAGAGGCGGCAGATGCCGAAATTTCGAGCTGGGTTTTGGGCGAGCCATGCCCCCACTGAGAACCCACTGGGCATCCACTCGGCTCATCTTGATAGTGGTTAATGCCATGTTGCAGTTCATTAGAAGACGGTGGGATGTCAAGAAGAGGGCGCGGCCAATGACGCATCCCGGAAGGTGTGCCGGTTATCCAGGCGAGAGGGGGCCAAGAATCGACCTGTGCACTTAGTTTTCCTTGGAGTAAAGCCCAAGAGTTGGAGAATACAGTAGGAGTGTATAGTTAATCTCCAATCAGGGGCATGAAAAGTGGGACTTCGGGGAGAATGGAAGATTCTTTGATCCCGAGAAAACCTTAGGAGCACTCACGTGGCGACATGTTGCCCTATGGAGTATAGAGTGCATGTGCATCACAATCCAGAATATGAACAGTCTAGACCATACAAATTACTGCACACCGCATTCATAGAGACAAGGATTATACTGCACTAAAAATATTCCTGGTTTTATTGCAGAATTACGCATGATGATAAGAGATACTATAAGAAACCGTCATTATTTTTTTGGTCTTTCTAGATTCATATACAGTTGGACCGTGCTCATAGATGTTTCCCCTGAAGGTTGACACGCCTTTCAAAATGTTTCTTGCTTTTGGGAGCCACGGTTTCAATATCCCAAACTCCGAACGCTATGCTGAATTCCACCCAAAGAAAGCAGAAAGAGAGAAACCTCCCAATTTAGAGTGAAGGATGCTGGTGACCTCACTTAGAGGAGCTCCTCGCAAGTCCAGTCCTCATACCTATTGATTTCATTAGTCAAAGCTTCAAGAGCTATGTCATCATTGAATTTCCATACCATCCATCAGGCAGATAACGCCGCACAATCAGGGGAATCTTCTTCTGGTTCAATTCCTTCATAGCGATCTGCAGAGGATCGGTCTCACCCTCGAGATCAACGAGCACAGGGGCGTTCATACTACACAATCAGGTCAGTCTAATCCTTCACTCTGGCCTCTCATTCAATTTGCCATGTTGCAGGAGCAACAAACCTAATCTGCAGAGCTCGGGTGCCGAGCACACGTGCGCGCTCATACTTGGTCAAGTACGGGGTGGTAGTGCGCTGGTCGTTGGGAACCTTCTTCTCGCGAGACTGCTCCATTACTTTGCCCGAGTAGCCAGCGTTGGCATCGCCTGATACGATCACATTCTCGCCATTTACGGCGGGTTGGTAGGATTCACCCTCAGGACCATCGTCACCACCCTCGAGGCCCTCCTGGTCGAGAAAGTCGTCGGGCTCAGCATCATCGAAGACCTCCTCGGTGGGCTCGTAGTCGTAGCTACATAGGAAAAGCTCAAATGTTAGAACAATAGCTTCTCATCAAAGTCATGCGATCCAGGTGCGCGAGGTTGAGCTCCACCAGGATCTTTTTTTCTCTGGCATTGCGCAAGTCGCATGGAATTGGCAAGCTTACTTCTCGGGCTCGTGGTCGTCGCCGCCGTAGTCAGACATTGTGAAGTCGCTGAATTGAGGAGTTTTAGAAGAGACAAGGAGAGAGAAACCCAGCGCGCGGGACCGAAATGCTGAACTCAGATGCAAAAAGAGCGGAAAATCTTCCACGACGCTAGTCCCTGTTCGGGTACACCGCCTTTCTGATTCCGGCAAAATTAATTTTATTTCACGTCACTCCGACGCCGACTCTTTTCTTGTTTCTCTTAATATTTGGGTTTTTGGCCTCTGAATGCCTATTCTCCAATTTGGAGACTGTCAATCATGGCTCTCAAGCGGAAAGCTGCCACTGATGTGACATCGCCATCCAAACGTCATCACAAGATCGATTTCCACAGTGACGGTAAGCAGCCGACCCGAGTCTTCAATATCTTGAGCAATATACTAATCAAATCCCACAATAGACCCAATCTACGAAGAGGTTCATTCGAATGCCGATTACTCAGCCTCTGGCACTCCCAGTATCGTCAGCCATGACATGAACGATACTCCAGCAACCCCATTCTCTACAACGTCGGCTCGATACCCATCCGAACTCAAAACACATCGTTGCCCATTTGAAGGTTGCGATAAGGCATTCAATCGTCCTGCTCGGCTCCAGGAGCATATCCGATCTCACAATAATGAACGTCTTTTCCCTTGTACCTATGACGGCTGCGAAAAGACATTCCTGCGAACCTCTCATCTCAATCACCATATTAAGAGCGCCCATACTGGAGTTCGTGACTATCTCTGTGATCGTTGTGGCAAAAGCTTTGTGACAGGCTCACGTCTTCGCCGTCATATTGCTGCGCACGAGGGTCAAGACAAGTACCGATGTACCGAGTACGCACCTTGCGAAGAGACCTTCCGAAAACACTCCACCTTGCAGAAACATATTATGACCGTCCACCTGAACCAAAAACCATTCCCTTGCACACATGTTGACGAAGTGACTAGTCAACGATGTCAGGTGGCTTTCGATACTGCTGGTCATCTTCGATCTCACGAGAACAGGGTTCACAGCGAGAAACGATTTAGCTGCGCCGAATGCACTGAGCGCCTGGAGGAGCAAATGTCTACCATGGATGGCTTAGATAACGCGGCGGTTCAATCAGTCACTTTCCCTACATATGCTCTCTTGCAAGACCATCTCCGAACAGTCCACCCTCCGAAATGCCCCCAATGCCCGATTATCTGTTCTACCTCGCGAGAGCTACGACGCCACCTTGAGGTTGCTCATGGAGACGTCAGCTTGGAAGAGAGAAAAGTCTTCGAGTGCACATATCCGGACTGCGATCGAAGCTTCACCAAGAAAGGTAACTTGACAGTCCACATTCGTACTGTCCATGAAGGCGAAAAACGATTTGGATGTGGAGACACCGACCTCTCGACCTCGAAGAAAGTCACAGGCTGGGATGGAATTGGTTGTGGCAAGAGATATGGAAGCAAGCTTGCGCTTGAGGAACATGTCCGTACGACCCATCTGGGGTTCCAGAATGCTAAGGCTGAGCGACGCCAGCGACTTGGTTTGGATAAGAAAAAACCCAAGGATGCAGGCACAAGCAACAAGATGTCGACACTGGCTGCTCTAACTGGTCATGGATATGCGGAGGAGACCGGTCGTCATATTGCTTGTCTGTATGATTCTTGCGAAAATCGTTTCCACCGTGACTATGACTTGTGGGTCCATATGACCACTAAGCATGGATGTGCCGAGGATGAGGTTCAAGGACTCTTCATGCAGCGTGCTCTTCTGGGAGACCAGACTGGACGGAACTCACTTGGCATATATGGCCTCGAGTTCGACGATGTCAACATGGGCCTGGAGAATGGATCACATGCCGGCCCGGGCGCTTCAAGTGCTTTCTCGAGCCAGAATGACCAGTATTTCAACTCGCCAAGTGGCCCGGGTTCTGATTTCATGATGCAAGATGTTTTTCTTGCAGACTCCAACCAGAATCCTGACGCAATGGCCTCTAACCACAATGAACTGGCCTCGATCGACCCTGTTCTAGCATATCATATGATGGAAGAATAAAGGGATAAAACAAAATTCACGACGTTACGGTCTGCACTTGTACTTTTCCATATCAATCCTTTGATTCTCATACCCTTTGTTTAGCTTTATGGTTAGAGCAAATTGAATCTTATCTTACTCAATTTATGTTAGGGAGATCATCTACGAAGCGGCCGCGGTAGTTCTTTGGTAATAAATGCTTTATTTGTTAGAATTTCCATTCAGACTCCTTCGAGTTGTACATGTGGAAAATTCTAGTGAGAGAAAAGCTCCTTGGTAATATTGGGCCTATTGACATAGTAGACACTGCCCAGCACATCATTGAAGGCCTAAGCCTGAGGCACTCCGAGCCGAAACAGGAAATATGTTTTCCTCCAGATATCCAATTCGAGATTCGAGGTATCTCCAGCCGGTATTTTGTGCGCCTTTCTGCCAGTGAGTCATAGGGAAGGTCAGAGCACGTGTCGTCCATGATTAACGGTTCTGTTTCACCTTCGACTTCCCTCACGTACCTCCTCCAGGGCTCATAGATGAGTTTCTTTTGACCAAAGTTTTGTGGTGGCCGGAAGCTATCCGCACGATTGCTCAAGATAAGACAGAATATAGCTGCTGCAGTTCAACAGGAGAAAGACACGTCCGGGAAGAACTATAAAGAGCATTTTTTGAGCTCTTTCATAGTCACAAACATTGCCGGTTGTATGTGGGCGCTGCCTGGGGACGAAGTTGAAAGGATTTCTGGTCCACGATTGAAGCCAACGTTATGCGCCAGAGATATTCTACTCGGGTGCTTGCAGAAATGCGTTTGTGGTATTGGCAGTATCAATATGGTGAGGTGTGAACCGGTGGACCGTATTTGGTACAGAACGTGTCAATGTGGGGTCATGCAGATGGTGATCATGGCGACGAAGATTGCGTTGGCGGGGGGATGCATAACCCTTTTTCTGCGTGGCCAGTCATGGTGCATCTTGGAGGAAGAGATTCATGACTGTACCTCTGCACTCATTTCGCCTTTGAGCTAGTATGTGGCCATGGGTAATATTTTCGAAAATACGCTCGGCCTTGATAATGACACCACCATGGGAGCAAATTGGTGTTGCTGCATTTGAAACTGACTTTTGATAGCAGGCATGTGACCTCTGCAGTTTTTGAGAGAAGTTTGAGGATATTATTGGCATGACTCATTATTTATGTGCAGATATCAAAGCGCTTCCCGTGGGTCACAGTGAATGTTCTGTGAGGATATCCCATTCACTGTGAGGATATCCGCCCTTGAGGATAGCACCGGAAACTGAGACGAGCTGTTACTTGCTGTGCTCAGGAAGTACTGAATTTGAATACCAGGGATGAGGCTTCCTGAGTGTGGCTTTTGAGGTGAGTTTCAGCAGGACAGTATTGGTCTGGCGCATACTACATCCCCAGGTATCAATAGGCCATTGACGCATTCATATTAATGGATTTCTCGCAGACACAGCTAATACCTTGTGTGGTGGGTGTGCTAGCCCTCGATAAGTCGCCACAAACGAAGACGAATGGATGTTGCAACGTCCCTGTGGCATTTGGGATATCAGGAATGCGGCTCCTGATATCTGCAAAACGAATTTGATAGAATTTCAGTTCGGCATATACAACATCTGCAGGCATCAATAAGCCAACGGTGTATATTGACTCGATCCTCGCGATTCTCGATACCCGGCTCGGCGATATTGCAGATCGTCCCTGGAACTGAAACTCAGACGTTAGCAAACTGATATGAAGTTCAAAGAACAAACGAAGGGTGATATCAACTTACAGTTCTTTATTGGCTTCATGTGAACTTCAAACGTCTCTACAACTGACCGTCTCTTGGAAAGCGAAAACCTTGTTCTTGTGCCGTGGACCCAGTCTGTGCTGCAAAGTCATAGTCCATGTATGACCTGAACCGTGGGTCTCCAGCTATGATACGGAATCCTGGGTGTCTCTGATTTTGAACGTCCCGACAAAGTCGTACTTGGCGGATGAAGTCCGTAGGAAATACACCTTTTCTGTACAAGGTGACTATCGATCTGGCGCAGCGGACAGAGCGGACCCGCAACTCGAACAACAAGTGATATTGTTGACTTCCCCAAACGACAATATCTTAGATAACCCCCCTCACACCTCCCCCACAACGAAAAACAGCTCGTCACCACATCTCCTCAGACGCCCTTGAAGGAGCATCTGTGGATTAGCGACTATGACGGCGCTGTAGACGACGGACCCCACTGGCTGCGGGGTTAGTCGCCTCGTTGCGGTCTCCAGTAACAGCCGAAGCTGCGGTCGGGCTGCCTGAGCCTGCATTGGTGCCGCTGGCTCCTGTACCACTGGCTGGGGTACTAGGTTGGCCAGTGGCGGCGTGGCTATTGGCAGTGGCTGGTTGGTTATCAGCCGGGTCGTCCAACTCCAATTCGAACATCGTCCACAGGTCGGGGTACTCATCCTCCGAGTCGGGGTACTGGTCGTTGTCAGCCTCATTGTCGCCTGACTCGCCATGGTAACCATTCGAGGTGCCAGTTGGACCGGCACCTTCGAAATGGCCATCGACGAGCCAGTTGTCAACGAAGGCCACTGATCTGTCGCTGGAGGTGAAAGCCAGCAACTCCTTGTCAGTCACCCGGGCGTTGGTGCTGTCCCCGTTGGTGGTCGCCCCGTTGGTGTTGGCGCCATTGGCGGTGGTGCCACGGAGGTTCTCTCGGCCTTGATCGGACATTTTGATGATCGAAAGGAAGGAAGAAAGAAGCTTTAACAAAGATTATTTGTTCGAAGTCTTGATGGCTTTGGATGCCGTTGTGATGGGGAACGAAATAATCTGGGGAAGAAGAAGAGAAGGGGAGAAAAAGAATGGCTGTTGCTTCAATTTCTTATAAAAACGCGTGTGAATTCTGCCTGTGCTATGTTTTTTGGGCCCGTACTATCAATTGATACCCCATCTACGCTATAGAAGTGCGAGAAGTGACGTATCGATGCCACCCCATTTTGGGCGCAATATCAGCGATTTATGAAATTCTGAAGTGGCTATTTGATAAAGAGAAGTTATGCATTGAACATGGTATTCTGGGAGTTTTATGGATTTCTTTCGAATTTTCCGTGATTAAAAAGCTTCAATATCGAACGTTACTGTCGACTATTTTTGTGAGGCATGGAAAGCAAACAACGCGAGCACGCCGCCTGACGGGCGGTGAGCTCGTTGAAATGCAGCCTTGGACTAAGAGAACTTCAATTGATTTCAATTGTCACTTGCAATTATCAGGTTTTTATTGACTGATATAGTCAAAGAACTTCAAGCTGATATTGAAGCTTTCTAAAGTTAGGGTTACTATGCACTTATAGTGTGGATTGAGTGTTCTGCAGAGTACAGCACTTGTATGGGTGATCAAGGTAAACTGCACACTCAAAAAAGCTTCTTATTGTGCATTCTAAGTTCTTACATCAACTATGGATTTTTAGTCAAGATGGCTTAAAGTTCTGACGTTCTATGAATATCATATTGGAAGAACTATCGGTCCCGAGGTCTATTACACGGCAGGAGCTCCTGGGATATCATGGTACTGTTAACGGGAATTCAAGTATGCCACAGCATTGTAGAATCCAAACAGATATTGATAGGTAAATAGATCCATTTAGTATGAAATAAGCTACCTAGAAATAAGATTTAGAGTATAATGTTGTATATTGTTCTAGGGCTTTATCAATCTATAGATGACTAAGCACAGCCAAGCTTTACTGTTTAAATTTGGGTGCAGATTAAGTGACCAGGTGATAGGGGTCAGATGCCAATCAGCCTAAGGGGCAAGACCACGCGGGTTCCCCATGTAACTCTAAAGGAGGCCAAAAACGGCCCACACTGTCTCAGTTCATGTTGGATTGAATGAAAATAGATTGCGGTTAGAGACTGTCTAACCAGAATGGGAGGAGCGTGGCGTTATGGACTACACGCGGGGGGGTTGACCCTGAATTTGAACCCTCATCAGGCCAAGGCCAGCATAGGCGGGGTATTCTCTGCAAATTTAGTTCCAGGGCCAGCTGTACATACACAGCCACGATCTATTAGGATGCCTAACATTCAAAAGGAGTAGAATTTGCGACCCATGCATATTGTTCTATTACTAGTAATTATGAACGGGCACATGTCCAGATACCCTTTTGAACATTGCCTAAGTGCGAGATTTGAATTCGCCAAGCATCGCTTATCACCAAAGTACGGAGCCAACGGCACTATGGAGTACACTCCGCAGTATAGGGGCAAGCTGAAAGGGTTCAGGGGACTTTGTGGCTTACATAGGGGTTACGCCTAAAATGCTCACGGAACATGAACGGAACATGAATGAGTGCTGTACGCCAAGGCAATAATCGTGGAATATTTCAATTCTAGGCTGTAAGCAAAAGAAACCAGCTTTGATGATTCGTTGTTTAAACAGGATTTCTCAATACTTGAAGCAATATTAAATAGTAGTAATTAACCATAGTATCGGGCCAAATAAGAAGATCTCTCTGTTGCAGGTGGGTGGTGTACATGTTGTATGACGATAGGGGTGCGTGGCCTGGCAGAATTGAAGATTCAAGTTGTCTGGCATTTACGGAGTACTGATTTAACTGATTTAACCTGGGAAATAGTGGCAATTTTAATTAAAACATTCTAATAACTGTGGCGTATGTTTTAGTATAATCATACAACAATATGATTTCCAACTTCATAGTAAAATCCATATTCTAGAAGTTCAAGTGTTAAGTTAATCACTACCAGTGACACTGACTGACCCAAGGTTCTATGTACTATATTTGGGGGTGAGACAAGGTCTCTCCACCGCCGATCAAGACCGGGATGACGCATGCGCTTAACACACTATGCATGAAGTTTCTTCGATGATCAGAGTATGAGGTGAGCATCTGGGCACTGAGTTGTTGCAGTTTTTCCAACGTGTCACACACAGCTGTTCTGCCTAGGAGTTCAAATTCCACAATCCTTATAGGGAATTTAATTGAGTAACAGGGGGGAAAAAGTGGAATTTACTCGTCATCTATCCACCAATGGCGTCTTTCTAACTATTTAGTCCTTCTCCAGGTCTGATGGATATGACCCACGGGACTTGGTTCGCCTTTCTATCGTAAACTTCTTGTCATCTTCCTATCTCCTCCAGGACTACCTTCGTTCGTTTCCAATTTCTTATTCTCTTCGAGCATCTACCTCGTGCCTCAGGCGGAAACGTGCGCAACGTCATCCAACCCATCTTTGCTTTTGCGCTCTTACCTTCCTGTGTCCGGTCTTCACCAAAATCCTTGTATCCCGCTCTCTTGTGGAATTTTCAGCAATTTTCAGCTTCTCATTCGTTTTTTTTTTCTTATTCTTTTTATTTCTTTTCGGTGTGCCTAGGAATACCCGATTCCTATGGATTAACCTTCCTCTCCGCCAAATTCCTCGTCCTGGCGGCCTGATTCCTTCGTTTTAACTTGCTCCACTGCAGATCAGAGCGACCGTGTCTTGTCCTCTTGAAACCCAATCTCTTTTCTTTCCAACGGCTTAGGTGCCTCCAGTCCTACCAAAAAAGGTTTCTCCAGACGTTCCACAAGCTTTCCGTCTCAAGTTGGAGGCGATTATCTAGGCGGCCATCAATATGGGTCAATCACGCGGTAAGCTATCCAGCTACGGAACTCTCGGAAATATGTTGGAATGTACTAAATTGACACTTTCCCCCCTTGCCTCGGTTCTAGTTCGTTCTTTTATATCGAGCTTTGGAAGCAACAAGCGCCATTCAGTTGCATGGGAAACTGGCGAAGCTTCAAGCAATGCATCTCCCCCGGTCGAAACCCCGCCACGATGGAATACACCTTCACCAGAAACTCCAACACCGCCCTCTGGAATCTCACCAGTGAATAGTTCGGCCAGCAGAGGAGATTTTATTGGTTCCCGACCGGCGTCAATGATTTTCACTCGCAATCCTCCGCTAATGACCCAAGCGGAGGATACCCCACCGGAGCTATCGCCGATCTTTGCCTACCTCAATATCCAGAGCAGTAAAGTCTACCATGAAGGTTACTTCCTGAAGCTTAATGATCAGGATACCTGTATGTTATATTATGCATTACTCGGCGTGGAATATAGGACATGGAAAAAGAGCTAATGCTATTTAATCAGATGGGCGACCGTGTCCTGATCGGCAATGGACTGAGTGCTATGCACAACTTGTCGGGACAGTACTTTCCTTGTGGGATGCTGCTGCGCTGGACGCAGCAAATGGTGAAGAGGTTTCAGCGACCTTTATCAACCTGGCAGATGCCTCACTTAAAATGGTAACCAGATTCGACCATGTTACATGTTCTTTGAACTTTATGTGATGGAAGTACTAACTGGGTACATAGATTGAAACGCTACCGATCAGAAATGGAACTGCTCCAGCATTGGAAAATGTTCTTAGCTTATCCTCAGCTGGTAAAAACCGATACCTCTTGCATTTCAGCTCTTTCCATTCCTTGTGCCAGTGGACAGCTGCTGTCCGTTTGTCGATCTACGAGCACACCTCCCTTTACGAAGCATACACAGGTGCCTTGATTGGCTCCAAAGCAAAACATCTGAATGGCATTAATGGCATCTTGGCTCCTGCAAGATTCAGACATGAAGACTGGGCACGTGTGCGATTTGGAGCTGGTACTCCATGGAGACGATGCTGGTTTGTGATCAACCCACCAGATGAGAAGCAGATTGCCAAGGCTCGCAAGGCCCTGAAGAAATCAGCATATGACCGCCTCTCCATTCCTGTCACAGGAAACATCCAGTTTTTTGAGACCCGGAAGACCAAAAAAGCGACGCCCATTGCAACGGTGACCCATGTTTACTCAGCATATGCGATTTACCCCCAATCGAAGGCACTCATTGATCAATCTAGTCTGGTGAAGCTTGAAGGTCGGATCACGATGCATAACCAAAACCAACAGACTTCAGAAGGTTATGTGTTTGTCATGCCAGAGCTGCACGCCGCTGTTTCAGGGTTCGAAATGATGATCCGATTCCTCTTTCCAACTTTCGACACTTTCAATCTATACGGCCGTCCAACTCGTCTCGTGGCGGAATCCAACCACATCAAAAGCCTCATGTTTGCCTTCCCCCAAGAGCGCCGCTTCGGTTATCTAGATTTGATGGATATTACAAGTCTGCTTCAGACCCCTGGAAGTCAAGGTTGGAGTGAGGCTGAGTGGAGGCGGCAACTGAAAGAAGCGACACAGAAGAGGGTTGGTATGGGTCGGAGCAGAACCAATAGCGTGAACAGTACTCAACCACGCTATCGTTCTAGCGCTTCAATAAACAATGGTGGTTCTACTCCGATAGAGTCACCCCGCCGTCCTTTCCCTAAGCCGCAGTTCAATCAGTCCACTGAAGCTGTCATTCGCGAAGTTCCCCGAAATGAACCCCCACCCTACCATGCCCGGGGAACGTCTGACATCACTGGTATCCAGACTGGGCCTCAGCCTGGCCAAGTATCCCTGGATCAAAATTCACCTGCTTCATCTGCTCAAGATTTGGGGTACTCTCATGACAGACAGGCTACTTTACGGGGACCTATTATGGCGACCATGGAGCTGGAACGACCCCCTGTGGTGAATGGAGAGCAGATTACACCACGCACTCCACCTTCCCCTGTCGTGAGCCCACCGGTCTTCGCACATGGCCCTCGTGAGACGCCTTCTAACCGTCCTTACGCCACTACCGAGCAGCGACTGGCTAATAATCGGATGTCTCAAGCAACTCTTCTGCAGATGACTTCAGTTGGTGCGATGGGTGGAGCCGCGGTGGCCTTGCAGAACAATTCATCCCAAACCAGCGTTGATCGGCAGTCTCCAATTCCCAACGACGTCTCACAAGTCTCTCAGGCTCATGTTTCTCATGTGTCCAGCAACACCTCGTCTTTACAATTCGTAGAGGCCCAAAGCTCGCCACTGGCAAGCCCCCACCCGACAGATATGTCTAGCGACGAAGAGCTTCGTCTTGCGATACAAGCTTCCATGAGCATTGATGATCAGTCTACATTGTCCCAGACACCTAAAAACCAAGCATCTCAACGTCAATCGGTGATCGAGTCGGGAAAGTCAGTCAAGCGTAAGCCACTACCTCAAAGGCAACTCTTCGAAGCCGAAACTGGTGGAGAGCCCAGTATAGAGGACCTTCGTCATACTTTAGACGAAGATGCGCTCAATCGAATTGCTTATCACTTGCCATCTCCTGTGTCTCCCACGGATAACGAGGAGGGAAGCGTTTACGACGATGCGGCCTCGACAGTTTCTCCTGACTACGCAAGCACCCGAGGCTCGGTGTACAGCAAGAAGTCCCAGCGGTCTACCAAGCCTCGCATGGGTGTCAAGAAGACAGTTGGAGAGCTCGCCAAGCGTGATCTCGTCATTGGCGACGCTCATTATTCGACTGACAAGCCAGCTGAGCCGAAAACAGACATTCCCAATATCGATTTCGGACCAACCATGACTTACATGCCTACTACTGGGCGCCCAAGAACGGCCGACACTTTACGGAAATCATCCCATCAGAAAAGTGACTCCAATACAGACCCGTTCAATCTTTGGGTGCCCAGCAGTCCTATGGATCGTGGTCAAAGTCGGCCCCCTGCCCAAGAGGAACAAAGACGGAGCGTGTTATGGCATCCAGGGATGACTCCAGCCCGTCCCGCCACCTCTGGCGGAGGTCTGTCCGCGGAACAGTATGTCAAGCAACGGGCAGCGCCTAGTCCCCCCATCACCATGCATAATCGATCGTCATCTAACCACACTCCACCACCACAACAGCGTTCACAATCGGGAGATTGGACTCACAGTCGCCCCGGTTCACGCATGACCTCGTATCAGGATGCTAATTATCGACCCTCGTCGCGTGGCACCAGTCCGATGCTTGCCTATGACGTATCAAACCATCTCTCCGCTCGTGAGCAAGAACATGTTGCGCGAGTGACCAACTCGCCTTTCTTTAACATGTCTCAAGATAATCGAAAGCCCCAAGTCCCTGTTACCCCCGGGTGTCTTGTGGGTACTATCGATGCCCGCGAGCGGGAGAAGCGTGACATGAGAGAAGGATTGTCTAATTCGATGGTTCAACAAGCAATTGCTCAACGTCAACAGCGACAGAGTATGATACAGCAGCAGCAGGCACTTATCGACCCTCGATATGGTCCCGGTTCAACCTACGTTGCTCAACCCCAACCTCCTTTCCGCCAAGAAGGCATGTACAACGTACCTGGTGCCAACCGTACCTGGGATAACCTCCATCAGATGAGCCGGCCTGATGAACCCCGTCGTCAGTCAACTCATGGTCCATTGTTCCATGCACCGTCCACTCCCCCAAATTACCAACACAGCCAAACCTATGCTCAGCATGGAGTATATGGCAATCCCAACGCACACCGCTAGGATACCTTCATTCTTTCATCTCTCCTTCCGCTTGTTCCACTTCCTCCTTTACAGTCCTTTCCCCGATATTCTCCTTTTGTCTTCAACCACATCATATTACTCGCACCATTATCGGTTAGAAGCTAGACCTTATCACCCAAAGTGACATGGTCACTTCCCGTCACTTCCCTCATTCGATCAAATTTCCTTGCATTTATTCTTCGCTTATCCCTGCATTGCGCATCAAATGGAGTTTCAGATTGGTCGGCGCAATGAGGTCTCTTAGCCTACCTTATTTATTTGGCTTCATTCCAGTGTTTGTTTTAGTTCCTGGCCGGCTATCTGTTTCTTTGTATCTACATAGTCGAATGTTCATTTCATCCAAATCATAAGCCAGAAATCGCCTCGCATTTTGACTCACAATTTTTGTGCTTTGAATAGTAATACCCATCCCAGGTGCCTGATGTCCATGTTAGAAGCTGTGGTAGCTCATCCAAGTAGGCAATCCACCGTCAATGGCAGTGATATCAAAACATCTTCCAAGGTTGCCCAGTGTAAATATCCAAGGTCCACCTGGGCACTGGCAGGGGAAGAACCTGAAGTAAAAGAATAACCTGACACTCCCGAGGTCTACTTCAAGTTTGCAAAAATTCAAGAACCACCGTGGACACTTTTCGAGCCTGGATCTGGCACCATGACTCGACTATCTGGAAGCCTGAAGCCGGCAACAGACCGTGTGATTGTAGGAAGATCTACGCATGCGAAATATCGATTGATCCAGCTGCCTAATTGATTGACTCAATAACAGATATCAGAACTTGGAAGCCTTGAAGCCGGTAACGGGTTTAGAAACTCGATGTCCATTTAACCCTAGTAAAGATGCCGACTCCGGACTCGGGATTCGGAATTCAAAATCAGATGTAGGAGATAAGGTGGATCCCTGACTGTATTCTATTGGACTATAAATGTCATTTTATACTACTTATAGTAATTTCCGAAGCTTATCTCCGCCACTTAATATTTTTCTATAATTTAATTGGAGTAGAACGAACTCGGTGGGGTTACCATATTAGTAAAACCTTGCGAGCACTTGAGTAGAGAGGTGGATAGGTTGACTACTAGTAATAATCGGACTAAACAGGTGTACTACCTAGGTAGTAGGTAATGGGCTCGTATATCAATTCCAAGTTTCACTATATAAAGGTATTTCCCGTCTATAATCTATCTTTCATTCATTCAATCACTGGCAATCCAATTCAATCCTCATATTTCAAATTGCAAGCCTTCCAAGATTTACAACTCACTGCCATGTCTTCCACCAAGATCACCACTCCCCAGGAGAAAACATTCAGCACCTATAACCAAGCCCAAGGCGAGAGATACGCCAATGTTCGCCCCGAGTACCATGCCAGTCTATTCAAGATAATTCTCGACCACCACATGGCAACCGGAGGCGAATGCAATAAGCTTCTCGATCTAGGCTGTGGTCCGGGGACTGCCACGCACGGACTTGCCTCCGCATTTACCCAAGTTCTAGGCATCGATCCATCAGACGGGATGATAGCCACGGCACGCTCTCACAATTCCACAGCCAACGTGGAATTTGCAGTCTCCACAGCTGAGGATCTAGGCTCGAACCTCTCACCGCCAGTTGAGGATAGCAGCGTCGACCTGATCACCGCAGCGAACGCAGCTCACTGGTTCGACATGCAGAACTTTTGGTCGAGTGCGGCTCGGGTTCTTAAGCCCGGTGGTACAGTTGCATTTTGGACACCTGGTCGTGCAGGCGTTCATCCTTCTACGCCAAATGCAGAAAATATTCAAGCTGCGATGGATGCTATGGAGGAGGAGTATATTTCTCCATTTTATGAACCTGGGAATGTCATGGTTCGGGGGCGATATGTTGATATGCTTCTTCCTTGGATGATTGATCAGCCTGTCGAGGTATTTGAGAAGGAGAGCTTCTTTCGAAAGGACTGGGAGGTTGATGAGCAGTTTTTTGCTGTTACGCCGGAAGTAGGAATGGATCAGCTAGAGAAGATGGTTGCCGTTGGTAGTCCTGTGACGCGGTGGCGTTTGGCTAACCCTGATGCTGTGGGGACTGAGAAAGATATTGTGAGGATGCTCCGCAGACGCATTGAGCAGCTACTGCATGAGGCGGGAGTGGAGAAGGGCAAGGAGATTGTTCGAGCTGCTTCGCGAGGAGCACTCTTGATGGTGAAGAAGAGCACTATCAGTGCTTAGAATTAACTTTACCCCCGCTCATCCGAAGGTTGGATATACTAGTAGCATCCGAGCTCTTAAGTGAACTCATGTCAATACTGATCAGATCACATGGAACAGTCTGATAAGAGACGTCATGTGAACCAATTGTATCTATCAATAATTTATCAACTTGAAGCTGCAGGTTTCAATTCTATTATTCAAGAGGAACTTGTCAGACAGTAGCCACATCATACATGCATTCATCGTACCCGGGTTGCCTTTCCGATCTAGGAAGCTGGATGCATCGTGCATGAGACGTACTCCGAGTCCATGAACATTCGTAGTTAAGTACATGTATGAGTACTATCTACCTCGGTACTTGGTACTACATATGTGCATATACTCGTCCTTCTAGGTAGTAGCCTTCAAGTTCGGAATTTCTCTCATCAATTCAAGTTGATCCATGGATGTTTACGGCAACCTTCGAGGTTAAGTAGAATTGCGATGTAGTAGTGGTTTACATAATTTCTTTGGTGACCGTGATACACGTTTATAGATGATAATGAAATAGACTAATGGAACACAGTATGTTCACTTACAATAAGATGAGTGTCCATTTAACATCATTCTACGTGTATCGGGTATCGGTTAAATGGTTGAATCGCACGCTCCTCCTCGCCAAGCAGACTATACATCGAGTAGTATTACCCCCACTATCTTCTCTCCCCATATTGAGGACGGTCAATAGGCTAATAGTATCCGCATTTGACCTATATGACTCAGATTGAAGTAACAACACTTGAGGTCGATCGATATCTAGAACCCCGATCATGCACAATTATTAAGCGCTGAAAATTCTTCTTTGCCAGGTGGCCTGTGCCTATCCCCAAAAGTCCCTCTTTTGATAAGCTTTCATCTTGTGTTGACCTTGGAATAAATACTTAAATGAGTTCATTAATTCTCAAACTTCACTCCAAGTAATAAATTCCTTATCATCTTGCTAGAACATTACCACAATGGATGGTCCATCTTTGCATCAACACATTCGAACTATCGATACATCATCTGCACATCATCTCTCTTCTTCATCATCTAAAACCCCTCATATCTCTCAAAACTTAGTGATTCCAGCAACACCAGAAGTACCAGAGGCTCCCTTATCAAGCCAACAGACCTTTGAGCAAGTACCTTCATATGGCACGACTCAATTTCGCCGAGTGACTGTAACCTCTCTTCTTTTACTTGCAAATCTCGTACAGGTAGTGATCACTGGCCATAAATGTGAGGACTTTTCTCGAGACTAATATGATGACATCGTTTAGATGATCGTAAACTTTGCTGGCGTCGCTGGTGGAAGCAAACTGAGCAGTGCAATGGGTGTCAAAGACTCTTATTCCTCATGGATGGCAGCTAGCTACGCGTTAGTATTCTCCCTTCTGATATGGTTTTGTGCATGTTGTTATCTCTCTGGGATTCGATAGAGATAATCAGGTAGGCTAACCGATACAGTCTCACGCAAGGTGCATTCGTCATGATTAGCGGCAGAGTGGGTGATGTGTACGGCCATAAACAACTATTGTTGATCGGCGGTGCATGGCTAAGTCTTTGTACCCTGATCGGAGCATTCTGCAACAACTTCTTCGCCTTCATTACGATGCGAGCTCTGGCGGGTGTTGGAGGCGCAATCATTATGCCTAATGCTGTGGCAATGATCTCTGCAACAAACGCACCAGGCCGAATGCGAAATCTAAGTTTGGGACTGTTTGGAGCATCAGCGCCAATGGGAGGTTACTGTGGAGCTTTATTCTTGGGAGCCTTTTTGGTGCATACTTCCTACAAATGGTTCTTTTTATTCATGTATGTTTTGATAGGAGATGACTCTGCATGACCCAGTCTAACATTGAATAGCTCTCTTCTCGGCGTTGTGACATTCTTACCTCTCTGGGCTCTTGCACCCTCTGAACCACCAGTTGATAAAAATGGAACGATTGATTGGACTGGATCAGCATTGGGGACGATATCGTTGATGCTGTTCAGCTTTGTGTGGAAGTAAGTTCTGACTCCGATTCCATATCTCATCTGCTAAGCCTCAACAACTTTAGTCAAGCACCAAGCGTCGGCTGGTCAACTCCATATGAGATTGTCCTTTTGATAATTTCTGTCATCATGTTCGCTGCTTTCATCTACTGGGAAAAGCACATGGCTTCTGAGCCCATCATGCCTTTAGATGCATTCAAAGCCCCCTCTTTCCAGATTCTCCTTCTGGTCATCCTACTCAACTTTATGGCCGTCGGAACCCTTATTTGGTACCAAGTTCTCTGGCTCCAAGACATCTGGCAGTGGTCAACTCTTCATTTCGCAGCAGGCTGGAGCCCATTCGTCGTCTGTGCTACAGCCGCAGCATCGCTTGCAGCGTGGTTGATTCCCAGAATGGCAGCTCAGTGGATTCTTGCTCTTGGTACCATCGCGATTCTACTTTCGAACCTATTGATGGCCACTCTCCCTGTAAATCAAACCTACTGGGCTCAGGTTTTCCCATCTGTTGTTCTCTTCTCATTTTGTCCCGACTTTGTCTATACAGCTGGTCAAATCATTGCCAGTAACTCAGTACAGCGACGTCAGCAAGGCGTTGCAGGTTCCATTATTGGCACTTTGAACCTATACGGGAACAGTCTGGGACTGGGGTTCGCATCTACAGTTGAAGTTCAGGTTGCTCGTCACTATCAAAGTCGAATCATGGGTATTAGAGGTGCCCTGTTCTTTGGTGTGGCTGTCAGTGCTATTGCCTTGGTACTGGATATTTGCTTCGTGAGAATGGTCAAAGATGAGCGAGAGGGATGGCATGAGGAGGACCAGGCCTCTCTGAATCAGATTGAACTTCGTGATCAAGCGGAGGCCACAGGATCGGAGATTCCAATCGTTTCATCCAGGGCTTAATCATGTAAAAATTCTTTGCCATTTCCACAGAGAGGATTTGGTAGATACTCGATAAGACGCAGCAGATTGTTGGTGTGTGCACTGTGCATCCATAGATCACATCGGGTGGAAGGGAGCTTCAGGGGGATGTTGTGAATTGCTATTTAGCCAGTACTGATTTCTGAAAAATGGAAATATTATCTGCATGTTTTCATGTTTTTTTTTTTTAGTAAATGAATATGATCTCAAGTACCTGTATAGCTGTAGATGGTAGATGGTTAATAGTAATTAGTACCCTTGTTATGTTGCGTATGCGTAAGACGCCAAGCTGGCCCGAGATGCGGGACCGCACCCCCGATTCCAACTTCACCTCCACGTCGAACACTCCTGGAATGGGCATTTAATGAGATTGTGCTTGTTTGGCCCGGAGTTTGAACTAATGGAATGACTACAATGACTGTTCCAACCACTAGCCACATGGCGGCAGACGGGGAGCCCCTCGACCCTTTGGATGCAGGTACAGAATGGCAGCTCCCGATAACGGTGATTGTTTAACACGTTCGCAAGTTCGCAATGCTGACAATGGATTCTTTTAGTGGATTACGACCCAATCGATCACCTAAATTCCATCTTTTCACATCCCTCCACCCTCTCCTCCGTATCGCAGATCTCCGACGCCCTCCACACCTACGAAGATGAATTGGACGATGACATTGGCACCCTGGTGGAGGATCAGGTCACCTCCAATGCGGAGAGCGTGGAGCGAATTCAAACCGCCAAAGCTGATCTGTCAGAGCTGTTCAAAAAGATCGACGACGTTCGCGAGCGCGCGATGAAGACGGAGCAGGCGATCACGGACATGACCGCCGACATCAAACAATTGGACAATGCGAAGAAGAACTTGACCCTCTCGATGACCGCGCTCAAGCGACTGCAGATGCTCACCACGGCCTACGACCAACTCCAAGCGCTCAGCCGAACTCGACAGTACCGCGATTGCGCGCAACTTCTTCAAGCAGTCATCCAGCTCATGGCCCACTTCAAATCGTACCGCTCGATTGACCAGATCGCGATTCTGAGCAGGAATGTAGCGGACATACAACGGGATCTTCTGGAGCAAGTATGTGAGGACTTTGAGATGGCCTTTTCTAAGGGTGAGCTTGCTCAGAAGCGGGCAATGCTTGCGGAGGCTTGTTTGGTGGTTGATGCGCTGGGCGAGCATGCCCGGTCTAGGCTGGTCACTTGGTATTGCAATACCCAACTTCGGGAGTATCGCCAAGTATTCCGTAATAATGAGGAGGCTGGATCTTTGGATAATATCTCACGGAGATACTCGTGGTTCCGTCGCATATTGAAGATCTATGATGAAGAGAATGCGGCCATTTTCCCATCCGCATGGCGAGTCAATGAGATTCTAGCTAATGTCTTCTGTGAAGGCACTCGAGATGATTACAAGGGGATTTTATCTCGATCTGTGCGCAGTGGCCAGGCCATTGATGTCAACTTGCTGCTCTCTTGCTTACAGGAGACGCTCGAGTTCGAACACTCTCTCGAACGTCGCTTTGCTCCTCCTTCCCGCCAATCGACAGATACATTTGCCTCGGCAGAGAATCAGAATCCTACCTTCGGCCAGTCCATTTCTGAAGCCTTCGAGCCTTATTTGAGTGTCTGGGTAGAAGCACAGGACAAGCAGCTGGCTGCCCTTTTACCGAAGTACCGCCAACAACCTTTAAGGCCCCCAGATGACGAATTCAATTCACATACAGTGATCTCTTCATCTACAGAGTTATTCAACTTTTACCGACACTCCTTACAGCAATGTTCTAAGCTGTCTACGGGAGGCAGCCTTGCGGAGCTGGCAAAGGTATTTGCCAAATACTTGGATCAATATGCACAGCAGGTTCTTCTTGACTATATAAGTGAGCGTCCGAGCGGTCCCACGCCGCCCAAAATCCCATCAATTGAGGACTTGGTGTCGGTGCTCAACACAGCTGATTATTGTTACACCACGTGTAATCAATTGGAGGAGAAGATAAAGGGTCGTTTAGACGAAAGTCTCAAGCAGTCCGTAGACTTGCAAAGTCAAGCGGATTCTTTCATGGGCATTGCATCTGCCGCTGTACGAGGGCTTGTACGCCAAGTGGAGGTCGAATTGGAGCCATCTTGGCGAGAAATGCGCAACACGCCATGGAGTAAGATTGAGGCTGTTAGTGATCAAAGCTCATACGTGGGCGAGTTGCTCTCTAGAACCAAAGACAAAGCAGCGGAGATTCTACAATTACTACACAAGCAGCAATACGCAAGGGCATTTTCAGACCATTTGGTCGAATTAATGTCAAGTCTGTTCATCAGTAACGTCTTCCAGTGCAAGCCTGTTTCAGAAACTGGCGCTGAACAGGTACTGTTCACTTTCCCCTATATATTGACCTTTCCTCCAATTCTAACGAATTCCAGATGCTTCTTGACTCATTCACATTAAAGAGTGGCCTCACATCCCTTCTTCCCTCCCCAGCCCCTGCAGGATTCGTGAAGCGCGTGAATTCCAGCTTCTACAAGATCGAAACTCTACTCAAAACTCTCCAAGTTCGCCCATCTCCTCCAGAGGCTCTCGTTCAAGCCTACCTGATTCATATTGCGGACCGCAACAACAACAACTTCCGCAAAATCCTTGACCTCAAAGGTATCCGCAACCGCCAAGAACAAAACCATCTCGTGGAACTCTTCCAGCTTCACCGCGCCTCTGAACGCTATGCCCCCAATCTACAACAGAGTAACCCCATGCTCACGGCTATTCAAGCCCCTGCAGCCACTACAACCGCTAGCTCAGTTTCCCAGGGTCTCGGATTGAGCGGCGCTTCAGCAATGCCATCTCGATTCGATGCCTCGATGCTGGGCTCCGCCATTATCTCCGCAGCTAAGGATGGAGTCGACCTGTTCGGAAACCCCGTAGCGGGTATTACGGGATCAACCTCGAACGTCAATGTAGGAGGTATATCTGGTTCCTCGTCGCCGGCTCCACCTAGCGCAGGGCAGCCATTGAACCAAATGCAAAGTCCAACTGAGACTAGTGCTGCAGCCAATCTTAATGAGAACCTCAAGAACATTGGAAAGTTCTTCCGTCGGGATTTGGGTGGGTTTGGAGGTCGGTTTGGCCGTGGTGCCGACGATTCTTGATTAATGAGACTTCCTGGATATAGTAACAAGACTTTCATCACACATACATTCGGGGCTTTATTTACATCTTCATCCATGCGTCCTTGAATCCATGAGAGGAGTTCTAGAGGCTTTGGTCTATTATCTAGTAGAGTTGCACGGTACATATTGGAATGAACATAATCTTCAGTCCAGCATTCTACTTATCATTTTTACCTATCCAGGGTCACCGTAATTGTGGAAAACCTTCAATAGACATTTTTGTCCGTCCAAATTCGCTTCGAATTCCGAAGAGAGATAACAGCTTCTAATCTTTCGAGAAATATGAGTCCTGGAGGGATCTATGTCTGTCCGAGGACCGCGTTCAGAATGCTTTGTCATGTTGAAGATGTTTCCACCAAGAGGCTGATCAGCGCTTAGGAACCTGGGCAGGAATAGGGATAGTTGTGTCAGTCACTGAATGATTTTGTCCCGATTCTCAGAAGATAAAGAATGAAATATACCAAGTAGTAGGATCTGAATTCGAAATGTATCCTTGTCAATTCATGTATTGATTGGTTGAGGTCTCCGAGAGTATTGTTGGTGGGGGTTAATAGTTCCGCTAGTGCTATAGCCGCCGTGAGTTGTAACTCGAAGTCAGGTCCATCTAGATCTCGCGAATCACACCCATCACACTGTCGCTTCAGCAGGCATCAATCTTGTGGTGTTAAGCTCAGGTTTTAGTTAGCGCCCGCTCTACGGTTTAAACCAAGCAACAACTTGTGGTGTCAGGTGATGCCTAATTCAGTATCTCTCACTTCAAACTTCGAAGATTGTTCCCCACGTTTCCTCATCTCAACCCATCACTTCTACGTTCCGTTCACCCATACTTAGGAGTATTTACGGCTCTTCTGCCCAATATGGAGAGCGACAAGATTGAAACCGAGTCTCTTCTTGAAAATCTCTGTGTCGGCCTCCCGACGATCGCTCTCAAGGCCGACATACCTACCCCAAAGTGGAATACACTAAACCCTTACTTTGGCGCCGAGGACATCACCGAGATCGTCGACTGGCCTGAATTCAATTACAATACCATTATTCATCGATATGGCGGCATTTTGAACTCGAAGAAAATTGACTGTGTGGACTTCAGTGCTCCTTGGATGCATACCGAAGTTTGGCATAAATCACAACTGGACACTCGACTCGATGAGTTGGTGAGACCTCATATCATACGCACACTTAGAGCCGCATTTGAAGAACTTGAGCCCCAGACTCAACAACTAAATCTTAATCCCGTCACTTTTGGCCACGGAACCACGGCAATCACCATCGGTCTCTTCTGGCCAGATACTTCGTTCACCACTGTTGCTGAAGGCTACGCTCAGGGCAAGAATCGAGCGCCAGGAGTCTTGGGCATCTCGCCGAAATGGTCTTCTGAATGGCGTCATTCGAAATTCTCTAACGATCAACACCATTTCCAGTACAACCAAACCTTGGCGGAATTGAATTTCTACATGGACGGACATGGTGCACGCTGCGGATATGTGCTTACTGACGCCGAGTTGGTTGTTGTAAAACGCCTCGATACAAATGGTCGGCTAGCTGTCTCTGCACCAATACCTTGGAAAACTGGAGGTAATGGTCAGCTCAGTGTACGGTTAGGCCTATGGTATCTTGGAATGCTTGCAGCGGAAGAAGAAAACTGGGCTCTATAGTCCAGTTGCCTGCTTTGATGAAGTTGTTTGTTGACAGTATTTAGTGAAGGAGTGTACCCGACATCAGGCCATTAGTCTCCAGACTGATAGTTTTATGAGAAAAAATGAGAACAAGAATGAAATACCTGCTAACTTCATACAAAATGGGGGATTTTATCAATGCTGATAGGCAGTAACACTAGTTGTGGCTTCTCACGTGTGAGATATACTCCTTTTATTTGCTACAGGAATACTATAATACAAACAGCCCCCAGGTTGAAAGAAAATAAATGGTAGGAAAATTCATATACTCAGCTCATTGGTCCCTAGATCAAACGACTGAACTGCTCCTCCTCGTCGAACCTTTGATGCTCATAAAAAGCTTGATCCGCTTGTGTCCACTCACAGGATGCTTTTAGAAACGAACCGGCAGCAAGATGACCCTTCATCTCAGCCAGCTTTACACTTCGTACAAACTGAACTCGAGAAGGGCCATTCACACTGGCTCCCCTGTTGAGCAAAAGCTGCAAAGTATCAATATGCCCACCCTCCGCCGCGCCTTCCAGTGCTGTTCTTCCAAAGCTCCATGATCCAGAGGCATTTGGATCTGCACCGCAATCCAAAAGAAGGCCAACAACATCAAGATGGCCTTCAATTGCAGCGTATTGCAATGCAGTAGCACCAGAATGAGCAGCCGGTAGGTGGTTGACTTCTGCGCCATTTTCCAGAAGCAGTCGTATAAGTTCTACATTGCGGACTTTCGCTGCTGTCTGTAAGGGAGTCCTGCCACCGACTCCGGCTTCGAGCTGATTGACCTTTGCCCCGATTTTGATAAGAAACTTGACTAAGTCAATATTCTGAACATTTACGGCAATTTGGAGAGGTAGCATTTCCGTGTTCACCCTAGTGATGTTAGTTGAGGAATAATATTCACCCCCGAGTAACTTGACCAGGTCTCATACTTATCGAAAGCTGCTGATGTCTCCAGCATTCCTTGGTTCACATGCGCGCCTGCGGCTATCAAGCCAGGCAAAAGATGATAGTTTCCCCAAAACACAGATGTGGTCAGAGCAATGCTTTTGTCCCTTTCCGACCAATCGACTGAATCAAGGAGAAGCTTTAAGACGGATGGCTCTCCTTTTGACGCTGCTATCTGAAGGACCGATGATGCAACCTCCTCGGGCTCTAAGTGCCACCAGCCCGTTGTCTGGAATATGAGCTCCTCATCCTCTTCCGGAGGATCAGTAATATGAACAAGGCCCTTTGGACTGACTCCGGACTGTAGGAGAGCATTGACGAGATTGTTCTTCCCCCAAAGAACAGCCATTCCCATTGCTGTGGGTGCCTGCAGGGGGGGTTGAACACAAGGCAAGGAATTCCAATACCTGGCTATCATCGTCAGTCAATACAGCTTGCCAGACAATTGCATTTAGCTCCATTTCGGTGACAGGTGCCCCTCTGTGAATCAGCTTTCGTGCCAATGTCATATTTCGTTGGGTGAGTGCTGCCTCCAGTGGACTCCGACATTCTGGTAGATTCAAACTCTCTGACAAATTGTCAAAATGCCTGAGCAAAGCAGGTCTCACTCTCTGCTGATCCACAGAACGATCTAACAAGAAATCTACCAGTCCATCCTGATTGTCCTGGAGAATGGCACAGGTCAGTATCTGTTGGCCATTGTTGAGTAGGATAGTCGGAAGAAACTCTATCATCTCCAGGAACGATGCTGTTGGCTCGTTGGGGATATATGGAATGCAAAGCCCTTCAGCTTTAACAAGTGCAACTTTGAGGATCCCAATAAGGTCTTTATTTCCTTGTGCAATGGCCGCACTAAGGGGACTCTCAGGAAAACCATCGAACAAGTTGTGTGGTGAAGCTCCCAAGACTAGCATGGTCTTTGCTCTTTCATAATCATTCTGATTGATGCAGTGAAAAAGCTCAAGGCTGCGATAGTCTTTTACAGCAATGTCGTCCATTTCGGCATCCGCTGCCATTAGGATTGAGTTTAGTCCCTGGTTCCTTTGAGTGAGGGCTCTAGCAAAAAGCGTTCGCTGGCCCGGCTCCCGCCTCCTGAGAAAGGCATCAGCATCTCGAACGGTGACACCTTTCTGCAAGAGAAACTTTACGGCACCTTCACGCCCAAATGTCACTGCAAGAACGAGAGACTTGACAAAATCATCAGATGCCGGGTTTTGAGGTTGAATCATGCTCATAGAGTCTAAAAGCATTCGCATCATGGTGACATCGCCTCGCTTTGAAGCCAAACCAAAGATATTGGTTTCAAAATCAGGACAATCACTGTCGAGATAAGTTATTTGAGTTGCATATAGATCTGCACCAAATCTGATCAGCAACTTTGCAGCTTCCAGCAGCCCCAGGCTTACAGCAAGACCAAGGACAGTGAGACTTGAACCGGAATTTCCAGGTTGGCATATTCGAGCTTGTAGATCTGGTTGACATATCAGAATCAACTGAAGAAGCTCCATGCTATTATCAATTGCAGAAGTCTCGATTGAAGAGAGGGAATCCGCGGATTCCAAGGACTGTGAAATATTTCTCATTGCTTCAATGACAGTTTGAAGGACAGGTTTCAATTTGAAGTCATCGATCTTAGCATCAAAAGATTGCAAAAGTTTGGTCAATTCAATTGCAGTTTTTGTGGGTCCAAGACTTGCGGCAAACTCCAGCGGCGATACAAGCACGCATTTCCCAGATTTGAATGAAGGAATGGGAAGGCCAGAGTTCATTCCACCTTGGAGCATCGCTTTGACTGTCTTCAGGTCATGCAATCGAATTGCAGATTGAAATAACCTCTCTGAAATAGCGCGAGCAGAGACGTATGGGCTTGAAAACAAGTGTTGACTGATGATGGCGCTGGACAATCCAGAGACTTCAAGAAGCTTGAGAATGAGCTGATCCTCTTCCGCAACCCACTTTTCTTGGTCAAGGCTTTGACTCTGTCCATTGATGGGGAGCTTATTGGAAAGAAAAAACATGGTTATTCGAAGAAATTGTTCCAGGCTGTACTCAGTCGCACTAGCAACATTGAAAATTCTTGTTAGCACATTTCGTTCAACTTCAAGTTCAAGTATTGGTACTTACCTTCCAAGAGTAGACACAACTCTACGTGCTTGCTGCTCCTTCCTCAGCCCGACAAAGTCTGGAGATTCAGATTGTAAGGTCCGAACGATCTCTTGATCTATCTCGGGGAAAAGACGTTTGACAGTGTCTAATACAGAAGCTGTAACACCAAATAGATCCGAAAGGCTTTCTGTTTCATATTAGAATGTGGCTTGATGTAGGCTTCAAAAAGGAGAAATCATACCAGGGTAGAGATGGAAAGGAAAATGGCGAGAGAAATTCATCCAGGGCAGGTTTGATATTCTTTGTAGCGGCATGATGCTTAGGCCTGGGGAACATACAATCACTCCTGGAGGAGTCCTCGGAGACGAAACTAGCAAGAATTAGTCCAATTCCACCACCAACACATTCCTCACTCTCGATATGGATCCCGTAAGAGATACTTCATACATACCGGAACGAAAGTGGTCTATCGCGCGCTCAAATGCTTGTCTATTGATCTCCCGTCTGACTTTCGCCTTTGGCTGCAGCCTTCCTTTAATGATCACATCAGTTTCCACTCCATTTTTCTTGAACCTATGCTTGATGTATTTCCATGTTTCCCGATTGCTGTATTTTTTGAAATCCCATTTTCCCAGCTGTGTTATATATGCACTTTCCCTGCGCCTGGTCAGCCTTGAGCCATTATTGATCAATGTCGCCCTGAGGCTCAATGTATAGTATATCATCTTACGTCTGGTAAAAGTTATAGTCGGTCTTCATGATACGCATAACATCTTTGAGAGTCTTATTCTCTTCAATATACAATAGCTTGATGACGGCCTTGTGGGCCTCCCATATAGGATCCTCCATAGGAGCACAACTTGAATGAAAGTCAGATGCAAGTCACCACTGGCAACTTGCTATGTGTCGTCTACTTTCAAGGGTTGGAGGTACACATGGGAGGGATTGAATGCTAGAGCGATCAAAAGTAGGGGAGCCGGGTTCAGTTGCTTCTAGAACATACCCAAATGGTCTAACGTAAACTTGAAGGTTGCACACTTCAATCTATGCATGGAGGAAGTATTTCAAGAGAAGCAAAAAAATCCAAGGCTCAAATGTTGACAACTGCACATGTGGAGGGTACATTTGAAATAAATACCTGCTAGGTAGGTGGCTGCTGTGGTGTACTTCAACTTAAAAATCACCCAAGACTGCTAAGCCGCAAATTATTTCTGTCGTATGTGTGAACTGGCAATGTTTTGGCAATGGCCAATGAGGTTGGTCAAAGTAGGCTCAAAGCTGGGAATCATTTTTCCTCCCAAGGCTATTTCGTTTTCGCGTCTTTTTATTCTAGAGTTTGGATGAGGTATTGGCTGTGTTGGGCGAAATCAGCCTTGGATGAAGTGCCTAAGTGCCCGGGTGAGCAGGCATTCATGTCACATAATCATTGGATGAGAACAAACTGAGATTGGACTCGAAATAGCTTGAGATCGACGCCTCTGCGCGTACAAGTCTCAGCTACTCCTTCGATGTATCCTTGGCAGTTGTGCATGGACCCTGCTAAGCCACAGGTCAAAAGTTTGGCAGTAACCAATCAGTGTATCTAAACAGGTCCAGTGATTTGCTTTTCTGAAAAAAATATTGTTGGTCAAAAACAAAATAGTGGAGGTCCGTGTATGTGTCGTGCAGTCCGATCATTGGACACATACAAAATTGGTGTGCATATGTGCATATGATTGCATGTATGACTTGGCACTCGCCACCGCTTGACTATGACCAGATATTCAAGAACGCCTTGACTTCAAAAATCATATAAATTAGGATTCCTAAGGTGGAATTCTTCTTTTATATGATCAAGAATAATTTTTGAAGTAGGTACCTCAGGCCAATATCCTTGTAAATGTGAGTGTCTACCTCACACCCCGACCATTGGACCCATATTTACCTTGGGCAAGTCTTCAAGTTAAAAGCGGCTTGAGTCATTGGGTTTTGATATCCAGTTAATCTGACTGGTTCATTAAGTATCCTCCAGATGTTCATTGCTTTATAATTCATGATGAAAATAATGTTCCGCTAATGCTGACCCTTAGAGCTCTTCTAGTTTTATCTTTCTCTGCTCAACATTTGAAAGTACAGATGTCACGGTGCAAGATATAATGTCGAGACATCATCCCAGTGACTCAAACCGACTTCGGCGGTCGAGTGATTGGGGCTTAGAGCCTCACCCAGTCAACCCACCTGGAAGCAGAGAAATACCTTCGAGCTACACTTGTACATTGCCTGCAGCCAACCTGATAACATATCCGCCACAAAATCCAGACTTCCACACTTGGGACAATGGTATCGATGTCAGGAATCCAGCTTCAGTGTCTAATCCTCAAAGCCATCATACCAGTGCCAGTCAGTTTTATCAAACGCCTATGTCTTCGATCTCATCGAGCAGTCAGTCGCATTGGACTAGCTCGAGTTTTGACTTAGTACAAATCGGCTCATGGAATGATAATGCACAGTCTTCAAGTTGTCCATTTACTAGCAATAGCCCTTTTCATAGCAGATGGGACGATTGTTCTCCCGATATTTCACAGATTGTGAGAATGGATGGGAATTTCACCGATTCCCAGTGTGAAACATACAGAACTAGCAGTGGATTTGAAGAAGAAAACATGGCTGATCAGTTTGAAATAGTGAACGAGAATGTACATAGTATTCAGAACAGTGGAAACTTCGATGAATGGAATCGTGAGAATGAGTTCAATCACGCATATTCTGGGGCGGATCTGGATAGCAACTTGAAATTCAACGGAAATGGGAATCAGAGAAGGCATAAATCGCGGAACAAGGAATTTACGAGGTATTTTTTGATTCCTGTCTCCATTCAATCTTTTAATCTGAAATCTAACTCCGAGTTCTGGTTTTGAACACAGTTCTGATGCGCTCAATTGTCGCTGGGAAGGCTGTACCTACACAGGAACGTTTTTAAGAGAAACTTCTTTGTGGCGGCATATCAGGGCGAAGCATCTTCATCCCATTCATTTCAAATGCCCTTCATGTGGAAAATCCTTTGGGAGATCAGACAACCTCAGAACACACGCCAGACTAGCACATCAAAAGTCTGAGTGACTTGAGATATTCAAGTCAACACGTTCAGAAAAGCGTTCAGAAGAGGCCTCCTGCATGTGCACCATCGCATGTCATAATTCCAAGGGCGCTCTTACACGCAGACGACTAGATTTGACAATAACAGAATGGGTTGATAACATTCGGGTTTGCAATGGTGCTGCTACTACCTATTATAAGATTGGAGTGATAAAGACATCACCGCACTCTGTGATGGGCAACACGGTCAATAGACCGCGGAAATATTTCATGGAGGAATTTCTCTTGCAGGGTCTTTGCAAGAACATAGCTTGACTTGAGAGTGAGGACAGCAGCTTATGTGATGATGAAGCGCTCGACATCAGACAGAATGAAGGCGCAGGAGGAATTAATTTTGGCTACGACCTCAGGAGCGAACATGCATTCAGAAGACAGACTTGAATGCATGTAGTAGCTCAGTTGATTATCAACCATTTTTGATGTTTTTGGTTGGCTTGCACAGCTAGCAAGACAGCCATTCTGCATGTGGAAAGATAATGGGTGGTGAGTGCATGGATCATGAAAAAAGAGAAGTGGAGTAACAGCCCTGGAGTGTTGAAGGGCGAAAGTGCCCAGAACTCAGAGCTAATACGTACTATTGGCAATTGAACGACTGCATACGAAGTAGATCTTCTAAAATTTCTGGAAATCTCCTTAAAACAAAAGTTTTCCCTCCTGTCCCCTAACATTGAATACTCATGCCAGCCTGAATACATTCTTAATATCATGATGTAGTACGGAGTAGGTACTACCCATCTTAGATGAACAGATTCGTATTCAAGGATGACGACAACTTCTGCATACTCATCTAAGGACTTGCGATATTGGTCCGATACTCCGTATAGCGACCGTCGTCTTCAAGTTTAATTCTACTAGAAATATCCACGGGCGCCTAAACGTGACTCTGTGTGAGTCCGCGATTCTTTGGCATTGGCATTTAATGAGACGTAGCCACGATTCAAAGCTAGATGTGAACTCCGATTCCAATAGTTTAGCGCCTGCTTAAATGGTTATCACGTTGCCAATGACCATTGGTCTTTAGATATGCGCCCACAGCATTTGAACATGTAAATTCTTAGATGAAACTTGATCTGCGCCCCCTTCAAGTTCGCAAGCATCAGGTTTCACGAGGACTAGGCGCCCGTAAGGAAAAGCAGGCGGTATCTCAGGCGGCCTGCTCCAACTAACTAGCATTTGAATACATAGAGTGTAACAAGATAAATTGAAAGTCATTTTCGAGCAGTAAGATGAGAATTCTCTTTCTCAAACTATCGAAATAGTTTCAAGTCCAGACCCGAACTAGGTAAGCTAAAAAATATGGCCTATTAGGTTCAAGCTCAAGCTAAACATCATGTTTTAGTTGCAAAAATGAATGCAAATTACGATACTGATGACTTCAATTTCGCCGACCTAGAGTCTTCGGTCGCAAGCATCCACATTAAAGCCTTGACGTAATTCCCAAGCGAGTGGCCACCCCCAAAACACATAGTTAAGATGATAAATTACAACTTGATATCTCAACAACTACATGTTCGTTTTATTTGATTATTTGTCGATAGCTATTGATAAGGCTTGTGAGCACTCCATATATCTTTCAAGGAGATCTTACAAGTTATTTTGTCACGATACCAAAAGTTACGTTGTTGTGAGCTACAAATATATATTTCTGAATCAACAACGAATAGATGTTCTCTAAACTTTCCAAAGAGCTAACTTGTATCACCTTATTATCATTGAGACAAAAGGAAAAGTCCATATAGACTACGGTTGTTGAGATATCAAGTTGTAATTTATCATCTTAACTATGTGTTTTGGGGGTGGCCACTCACTTGGGAATTACGTTAATAAACGAGGAAAATGAAGGCGACGAGGACGGGAACCCTCCAACTAACCACTGGGTCATCTTACTGGAACTCATCGCGACCAGATCTGCCCGCGTGTTCGATATGAGCCCAGGCTACGGCTCTAATGGACAGAGAGGAAAGATCCACCTCTCCTCAAACCCAGACGCTCTTACCGACCAGTTCATCAGAAGCGTGTCAATTCCTACCACCACCCAGGCTACAGTTCGTACTATTACGGACTCAATCGACTCCAATGGCCGTGATAGGTATAGATTCACAGCAGAGTGGGAGGGTTGCAAATTTTGGATTTTCACCCTCATCTCTGATTTGGAGGCTGCTGGTTTTGTAGCTTCGGGAAGCGCGAATGCTGTCTGGGGCGAGGTCTCTCAATACTGGCGTAACCCTGCTGGCTCTGAACCCAGAGAGGTCAGCCGCGGGGTATTCTACTAGTGCCCAGGTGACTATCAGCAGGAGTCTCAGGCCACGTATACTATGTGACATGTCATTCTTTCTGCCCAAGGCATCAAACCACCGGCAGTATTCAACCTTGAAATTCATCGTCCAGTTCAAGGGTATAAGGGATTGCAGTATGGAGATGTTCAAATGTTATACCTAGCCGTGGAGAAGGATCAGGCCAAACGACGCTAAGCTTTTTATTTAAAATTTAAGTCTATTGTATGATTATACACCAGTATATATCTGCCGCAGCGCACAGAGCTTTTGTCCCGTCTGAAACTTGAACGATCATAAGCTTGCGATGTTAGTGGTTGCCCTGATGAGCGCCCATGTGTACTTTTCTCTCATGGTCTATTGTGGGTCATAGTATCAGGCAGAAAGATTTTATCCGACATGTAAATCGAATGCCCCATGACTTCTAGTAGCTTCAAGCACATGTCAAATATCAATTGATACAATTGCAAAGGAGTGGCTGATTGCCCTGAACATTTGAACGGGCCAAAAACACCAGTTGAGATCATAGGGTGAGAAGTACTGGCAGGATTCTATACACTAGTTGTATCATGATGTATAGATACCAGTTGACTAGTAAATCGATCGACCTTGGAAATATTTGAAGCTAATATTTGAAACTCGAAGAACAAGAAATGTGATAACCAAAACACGCCATCTGAATGCACATGTACAATAGCCAGGACTGATTCGTGCATGTCACCTACTAGCACATACTACTAGTTATCCGTACTCGTACATTTTGCTACTAACTGAATGCATGTGGTGCGTGGCCCTAGAACATTATCCAGATGTCTAACATTTGGGTCCGACCTCAGTTGGAAAAGTTCTTTCGTACTCGTACACGCATAGTACTCGTACACATGCAGCGTGGGAATGTGGAGATATTTATTTTGTTTTGATTGGTTAGAATCAAAATATCCAGGTTCTCATTGGTTATTGAACTCATTAGCGCCTTTAGCACTTTCAAACTATTTTTGCGCGATTAGTTAGACTCATTTGTCGTCGTTTAAGATCTCCGGGGTGAATTCACAAGATCCTTCCAGAAGTTACACGAGAAGGTTGTTTTAGATTAAATCTAAAATTGCCTCTTCTCCGCCAAATCAGACCTTAGATTCCCATGGTTAGCCACATTTTCGCATTCTCGCTTATTGTGCCCAGGCCTCTTTGGCTACGCCACAATCTCTAGAGAGACATTGGATGGTCATTCAGAGACATTGAACCCATGAAACGTTAACCTGAACAAGATAGCCGATACTCCACACAAAGGAGTGCGATGTGTACTCCGTACTTCAACTTGAAATTAAATTATCGCTGTATCTCCAACTATCGCCCCCTCCATGTGGGGCAGAGCGAGCGTGCTTTGTCCATCCATGGAGACATAGGGGGGTAGATCTATTTGCCTCTTATGACAATCCCTGCCAGGGGTAAGGTTTAGCCCATAGATTGGACACTCTGATTTACATAATGCCCAGGTGATCTTCTCCTTGAAGTTTCATACTATGATCATCGGTCAATGTCGGTCAATGTCCACGGGTGGGAGAATTTGGTATTGTCAAATTATTGTGGTAGTACCATAGAACCGAGGTCTGATATTACGGGTAAAAGGTTTCGAGGATTCATTCTAACCCCCTATAATTTAGATAATTTAAGAATCATTCACATGTTTTTTTTATCTGATAAAATAGACTAACTATTAGTTTTTTGACCATCGGTTATTTTTCAACATTTGAACATTTGAATTTTCCAACAGGGGCAAAGTTTAAGCTTGATCTAACTCAACGAATAATAATTCAAGGAAATTGACGACGCACCCACGGGTACGGGTTAGACCCCACTTAGTGAGCCAGAAATATCTATCTTGTGTGTCACGGTCACCGTGTCCTCTATGGTAGGTAATGTCCGTGATATACGAAGTTTACGCCACCTTAGTACACCTCCACATTATTGTCTCCTCCACTTAAACATCATATGGACTTCTCCTCATGTCCACACCTTTGTCGTGACCCACTCACTCCGCCCCTGTCTTGCGTTAGGGTACGAATACTAGTGTGGTAGTAGCAATTCTAGGTAGAAGAATAAATCCCATATATAGGGGGCTGTGAGAACCGTTTCTTATCTCAAAATTAGTAACTAAACTACTTAATCTCTAAGATTAACTTCAATTTCAAGTTCTAAACAGAACATCCATTCTTTTTACAACAAATATCACTCGTTCAAAACTTGGAGTACTACCTCCGCGGATTTACCAACCACCACAGATGGGCAAACTCGCCGCTCGGGCTACGGCCAGAGATAACATTCTTTCAAGGCGTGAAATTGAGGGCATGATTGCAGAGAACAAACATATTGTCATCTTTGAAGGCAAAGTGCTTAAACTAGATACTTGGATCAAGTTTCACCCCGGTGGTTCACTAGCTATTCAGCACATGATAGGCAGAGATGCCACAGATGAAGTAAATGCGTAAGCATCCACCTTATCCCATCAACTTGATTTTCAACGATTGAATAACATCTGATACTCAAAAAGATTACACTCCCGAGAAGCGCTCCAGCGAATGCAAAAGTTTCAGATTGGTTCTATTGAAGGAGCATGGACCAACTTCCTTCCTCCCATCCAGGGTGGCCATTTCCGTCCATACACCGAGTATGAGATGGAAAATGAACTGCTTTCGACTCCAGAACTCTCAGCTGAGGAATTATCTGCTCCTCCATCTCCACTCTTTGAAGCAGTAGAGCCCGATCTACGACGCCGATTATCGATATCTACCATCTCCTCCGCAATCAGCAGCATTCCTCCCCCGACAGAGGAAATCAAAGGAGCATATGTGATGGACGCTCGCACTCGCGAGGAAATTCTTCTAGATACATCCAAGTACCCACCTATTACCCCGGAAGAACAACACAAAATCACCCAAAAATATCGCCAACTCAATGAGCGCATTCGTGCAGCTGGACTGTACAACTGCAACTACTCGGCTTACGCCATCGAAATCCTTCGCTATTCTCTCCTATTTAGTCTCTTTGTTATCTGTTTACAACGATCCTGGTTTGCCTTGTCAGGCTTATTCTTGGGATGTTTCTGGCATCAACTAGTGTTCTCTGCCCATGATGCCGGGCATATGGGTATCACTCATGACTTTCAAATCGATACCACTATTGGCATGATCATTGCCAATCACTTGGGTGGACTCAGTCTTGGCTGGTGGAAGCGAAGCCATAATGTCCACCATATCATGACAAACGCCCCAGAACACGATCCCGATATTGAACTTATGCCCTTTTTCGCTGTGTCGCATCGTTTCTTCGACAGCCTACGCAGCACATACTATGACCGGATCATGGAATACGACGCAGTTTCTCGACTGGTTGTTAAATATCAACACTATCTTTACTACCCAATTCTTCTCTTCGGACGTTTCAACCTCTACTTCTTAAGTTGGGAACATATCATTGTCGGTCGCGGGCCTCGTCACGGTGCTGGTTGGTGGCACCGTTGGTTTGAGCTCTCCGGCCAGGTATTTTTCTGGACTTGGTTCGGTTACGGTGTTGTCTACTCGAGTATCCCTACCTGGTGGAGTCGTATTATCTTCGTCTTGATTTCCCACATGGTTACTGCACCCTTACATGTGCAGATCACCCTTTCTCACTACGCAATGTCAACCGCTGATCTTGGTCCTCTCGAGTCATTCCCTCAAAAGATGCTACGGACTACAATGGACGTGGACTGTCCTCCATGGCTGGACTTCTTCCACGGAGGTCTGCAATTCCAGGCAATTCATCATTTATACCCTCGCATCCCCCGTCACAACCTCCGCAAGACGCAGGAATTCGTCAAGGAGTTTTGTGAAGATGTTAATATCCCATACGCTGTTTTTACCTTCTATGACGGTAATAAAGAGGTGATTGGTCGACTGAAGCATGTTGCCCAACAAGCTAGAATCCTGGAGGAGTGTCGAAAGGCGTGTGCGGAACAAGGTGTCTTTGCGGATCACCATCATTCGCACTAAGCACGCTCTCTTCCATCAGGTACCAGTTTATTTCTTTTGGGTATAGGTGAAAGGCGTTCAACTTTTGTACATAGATGAATTAGCTGGCTAGAAACAAGCTTTGTGCAACCTACACTCCACACAGCACACTCTTAAGTTCTCATAAATCTATTAGAACCAGGTGATCAAAAAACCCTCCAGTACCAGAGTAGTAAAGTGGTCTATACCACACTCCTTCTACTAACACACGACACATTACCTGGGCATATTCTATCCACAGACCTTTTTTTCTGGTTACTAGACCCTTTCGCAAAATATCCGCCATGCAATTTGAAGCGCAACGCGTCTAATCTCACACCAGAAGAGGTGGTAAGAATGATACGTGAGCATCTGAAACATTTGTGGATGTGTTCTTGATTCTAAGTGGCCAGGTACTTTCACTGCCGCCGTGATGAACTAGATAGTCTCTACAAGAATACTAATAGTAGAAGCCTTCTATCTCTTTAACTTTTTATCTCTCACTTCAACCAACTAGTCGCCTATATACATTTCCCCTTGTTGAATATCTTTTATTCTTCCCGTACTCTGGCCACTTTCATATTATCTCAGCCTTTTACCTCTCATTCACATGTGCATCTACTTGTTCCTCTCTCGGCAGTCTCTTATTTCTCTTACCCCTTATTCCATCACCTCGCTCCTCTCAAATCAGGCTTCTATACCTTTCTCATCTATATAAATCTCCTAAATCCTCTGTGTCCTCGCCGATTAACAGACACCACCTCTGGGATTATTAGCAGCATAGCGTCACTGAGTCTCCTTCACGACAACGCTCATTCCATCATCCAGAATATCCAAGTCGCAAAATGGCCCCTCGCAAGGTAAGTAAGATATTCGTGACATGCGCTTAATTAATTTCATTGACTGATGATTTTCCCTTTCTTGCTTTAAAAACCCGACAAACAGCCTCGGAAGAACCAAAATGCGACTGGGAATACGTATAGGGTATCCAATAATATCCTCATGGCAGCTCAAAGAAAAAGGGAATTAGAATGACGACGGGCTGACAAACGCGTCTGTTCTCATTGTGGGGCTCCAAAGCGTAGTGACAACCTGAGCCAACACATCAAGGCTTGTCTTCCGAAGTGGCGTCTTATGGAGGAGAATGGAGAGATTCATTCTTGTGGGAAAGAAGATTGCTTCTTTTACGCATCAATCAAAGACAAAATTCAAGAGCATATGAAAAAGAAGCATTCCCCAGGTGCGGCAGTTGTGGGAAGTATCTTGCAACAGAGAAGAGCCTTGCCCGTCACAAGCAAGGTGCATGCATATCAAATACCCCGGATCCATCCAATGTTGCATTGTTCGAAGCTCTGAAAAGAGCGGAGAAAAAAAAGAAGACGTCAAAAGATGGAATGCCCTCACTGTCACCATAGAGTGAGGAAAAATTACCTGAGAGAACACAAGATCCGGTGTTTTGAGAAGCTGCGTTATCAAAAAGGGCAATGACAGCTTCATTTTTGCAAGGAAGACAAATGCTTCTATTCGACATATTTGGAGGATGACCTCGATGGGCATGTAAAAAGAATGCATCCCCCAGGTGGAAGAACCCCGTTCATGCCAGTATGAGCGTTGTGGAACAATCCTTGCATCAAAAGAAGGCCTTCCGGATCACAACAAAAGACATAGCAAGCCCGAGGATGACCAAGACAAGGATTGTGACATGTGGGGAGAGACTTTCCACGGCATCAGAGCCTGAGAATACCATGTTCTCGGCCATGGCCCTAAGAGATTACAATGTCCTTACCCTGATTGTCAGGCACATTATTCCAAGAAAAATGACCTTGCGGCCCATGTTAAATGGGACCATGAAGGTCAGGGGCTTCCGTGCAGTGCACCGGGATGCAAAGTGCTTTAGAAAACCCAGACCGGGCTTTTCAAACACAGGAAAAAGAAGCATAGGGACGAGGAATTCATTTGCCCTTATCCCGGATGCAACACGGAACTCTGCCAGATTGCGCAGCATCGGAACCCCTTTCAGTTCGAATGTTCTCATAGCACGAATCCTTGCAATAGGACGTTTCAGACGCAAGAGGCCGCCGCTGACCATTTATTGTCATGTCATGATATTCCGAAGATTTATTGCCCCTATGGTTGCCTCTTAGAGACCAACGGTTGGAAGAAAGTAGCCTTATATGATGTTAGTGGCAGATGTCCTTCAGTTCCTATTAATCAGATTGAGGTTGATGATGAAGACTTGGACGAAGAAGAATTGGATGAAGAAGAGTGTGAAGACTATTACTGGGGCGAAGAAGAGGTTGATAATGGTCATGAAGATCCTGTGAGCGAGACGAGTCAAGTCACAGAGATGCAATGTTGGGCAGGATGTAAGAAGAAGATCGACTGAAGAGACAGAGCCATGAGGCATCGCCAGCGACATCAAAGAGAGAAATTCGCTTGTCCAGTTGCGGGAATCTTCAATTGTGCACGGAGATTGCAGTCCGCGGCCCACGCCCGTGATCACGCAGAGAACTACTTCTTCAGACACTTATGTCCAGACAAAAGGTGCTGGGCCCGAGTACAGAGATGTGGGTTGATAAGATTTGAACATTTGCAAGCCCACAAGCAACACGGCAAGCCCAGGCCAAAGTATCTGAAACTCCCAAGGTCCTTATAGAAGGGCCACCTCCATATACAAGGGGAAGATTTAGATTTGTTGATGGAAGCGACAAGTGAGACAGAGGATCCCGGCCTAAAGCCCAAGTTGGTGGAATTGAGCCGTCCCGTCATGAATGAAACTGCATTGAAGGCAGTTTGCGAGATCGCCGACATCGAGTTGAAAACTCACATGATCCGTCTACAGAATGCTCGATGTATTGAAGGTAAATGCTAAAACCGAATACCCTTTAGTTGTGAAGACCACAACTGACTGTCATAAAGTAGGAAACCGTGACCCAACAACCTTATACAATTACGGAACGGATTGTGTCGGTCCTATGTAGGTCAAAGCCACATGGAGCGGTGGGACAGCTGTGTTCATTCAACCAGGCTATCAACCTTCAAATGTTGATATCCCCGAGATCACCTCCGGGCCCTGGACTAGCCATTTTTCCATGCCAAGAAGAGCGCAATTTCCATGCGGCAATCCCTGAGTGTTTCTTCGAAGAGGTGCAAAGGCAAATTATAGCATAGCACCAAATCATGAAAAATCATTTTGATTCTTAGTCTGCAAATCTAGACCACACTGATATTAATTCGAAAAGTGCTTTGAGAAGTGCAATCCAGTTGTGCTATTGTGAGTCTTAGGTGTTTTCCTTTGGTTCTGTCTACGTCTTTGATTTCTTTCTCTCCCCGTTGTCTTTTATACTACGTACATTAATCCTTCTTCATTTCTTCCATCTTCTATGATTCATCGGAGATGTCTGATACCATGACGTTGAAATTGTTGCTTCTATCTGACAATTTTACCTCAATATTTTTCTCGTCTGAAAAAGTGCTGCGTCTATGCTGGTCAGCAGTCGATACAAGCAAGGTTCTTAGCCTGAGTGGGTCTACGAGCATATATCTGCATCAAAGAAAGCCCTAAGTTCTCCGATTCCGTGTTTGATTTATGGTTCTTTGATTGACAATTATGTACTACATTTCTTTGAATTTATTTTGTTTTTCTACCTTTTCAAAATACTCAAATCAACCTATTTTCACTGTCTTCTTTGCGAACTTTAGAATTTTGCTATTTGAGTTTTAAATTGCTCTCTTTCCACAGCTGTTCTTCATATTTCTGTTCATCGTGTCTATAATTATTGCCTACAAATTTTTTCTTATGACCATTCTTATCATCTTAATTCTGCATACCACGTTCTGATCATCCGCTACAATGGTGTTGCTCCCTACGTCTCCCTCATCGCCTACTCATACCTTCTCGATAGAAGGTGAAATCTCTTTCAAAAAGATTTGCGAGATGGTCGAGAGCCGCTCAGAAGACCAGAGATATGAAGCCCAAGTCGAAATCATGCAGTGGCTAGTGAAACTGCGAGTTGAAAGCACCGAATCAATCTCTCAATGGTACTCATACGCCTTAGAGAGTGAAGATTGGAAAAATTCAACAAGCAAGGAAGGATTTGATGTGGAATGTGAAAGAGCTGCGAAACTTCATGACAAAAATCGCGAGAACCTAGCCTATGCTGAGTCGATTCGTCAGCGAGCCATGGTCAGATGGGGAACAGAGTGTGCAAATGTCCTGTTTACCAGAATTACTACCAGATCACTGGCGGAGCAAGTCAGCAAGATTCTGGGCAAAGACATCGCCTACACCGACCTAATCTCAGGTTTGAATCGAGAAGTTTGCGACAGGCTAGGTCGCCCAGGCCGTGGACATCGAAGACAGAAATTCATGCTCCAGGAAGATCTCGCCAGGGCAGCAAATCAGCTACGCCCTAGCAGCCCCTCCTGAGAGGAGCTTAAGAAGCATGGCCTAAAGCTGGATATTGATGGATTTGTAGTTGGGAGGTCACCTGGCGATGTTGATATGGATGAAGATGCGGATGAAGAAATAAAGGTAGACATGGACAATATTGACGATGATCATTCTAAGACCAGCCAGAGCTCTGATGATGAATCTGAGGACGCCCTACACTCAGCTGCCGATACAGATGGAGGTGGCCCTTCGGGTCCTTCTGACGGCTCCTCAGGAGGAAGAAGAAGAGACGAGGTGTCCGCTATAGTGGTGTACCGGATAAGAGGAAGAGAAGCGACCCCCGTAAACAGTCCTGCCGCTGCCAGATTTCGCGAGCCATGATTTGGGTCTTTGATCCTGAGCCGAAGGATGTTGATGCGCGTGCTCGACTGCTAATTCTGCGAAGAATCTTACGGAAGATATCATTTTTCTCAGCCGAAAAAATATGCTTTGCACATACAAAGACCTTGCCAGATACCTTGGTCTCTACGTCCGACAATTCAAACCTACGCTTCAGAACAAATGGGAAATTGGGATGCTTTTATCAAGGATAAATCGGACTGGTTTACACCTACAAACGTACCAAATTTTGCAGGTCGCAGTTCTTACCGTTTCATGCCTGATGATCATCCACCGATCCCCCGCATACAAGAGTCTGAGCGGAATGGATTCTCCTTGGAGAACATCTTGACCAGGATTTATGGTACTGCAAACCCTGAGTTTCAAAATCCTCCACAAGATTTCGATGTGACTGGCAATATTGTTCTACCAAAGCTTTTTGGATGGCTAGAGGATGATATTTCTCATGTGGAAGGCGTCCGTGAGCTGTCTCAGCTGTTGAACATAGAGCTCTCAGGGTGTAGCCTACTACAGCTTATTCACATTGGGTTCAACTTGTATGATTATCATTATACCCCTGCAGTCTCACGTCCCCGGCTGGGTTGGAATAGAAGTATGTTCCAGTCCCTAACACAACAATTGGTACGCCAGGACATCTGCTACTATGCTGCGTACGTTGCGATTCGACCAGACCATGCTTGGAGGTTGATTGCCTTCCCTTACTATACTAAGAGTGCCTACCCTGGAGAAGATACTAAATTTATCCATATTGATCTTGCCCTAGGTGAGTGCCTATCCTGGTAAGGAAACTAAAGTTATCCATGTTGACCTCAGGCTTGTTTAGGCGATTGTGTAGCTACCGGCAGAGGTGCGAACGCAGTACAAGGATCACTCTCATTTACAGATGAAGATGGAGAGACCTGCTCTGTTGTTTTACCTGGAATTCATAAGCACCTAGCAAGATGGTGGGAGATTATCTCTACATCCCCCGAATCGCAAGTTTTAGGAAACACGGTAGCTGTATACCCGTGGATTTGGGATGAGAGGTGTCGCCAGGAGTTTAAGACGGATTTTGAAAGGTCTATCTGTATGACTGGAGATGTGCGGTTAACCTTACCCTGCGTCCCTCACGGATCTGTTGGACCTGCTACAACCCTTAGACGGACAGTGATGCCTTGGTTCGGTGCAGTCCAGGATGACCATGAGCGCCTGGAAACTGCAGAAGCTGGTGTATGGAGTTCTATCTCCGACGCCCATCGAGACCTTCGTCTCTGCACCAAGGATTCCGTCAGGGAGCACATGTGATGTTTACGCAGTTAATCCATACTCGTTCCCAGGGCAAGCGCAGCTTATCGGTCTTGGTCCAATTTCCGATGCTCTGCTAGGCAGGATCAAGTGAACGGAGTGGTCTGTGATAAGTGAGCTGGAATTGCTGTTTGGTGAAAGCACCTTCGCGGCGCATGGGTTCATTCGGAGGTGGAGACACCGAGCTACGAGACAATTTGTTGAAGCATTCGCAACCGTTATTTCGGCCGAAAAACTTGCGTATGGCAAAGATTCTTATTTCTACCTGCGTGAGCACGGCTTGCCTATTCCAGATGTCCACCTTAGCTACCGCAAAGACCTTGAAGACCATAAAGTCATCGAGCATGTCGCCGCTATGCCTGAGTATACTCCTAGTAAGAAAAATACCGAGCGACCTTCTGATGCTGAGTTGAGTCCTGCTACTATATAGCCTAACACCCTACTATATAGCCTAACACCCGTGCTCGACCTGTTCGTCGAGCAGAACGTTATGGCCCCGTCAGGAGACTACCAGACGCAAGTTACTGAAGAAGAGTGCTGTGCTGAGGTGGTCATGAAAGACAATTGGATGAACAAAGAGTAAGAATTGGAAGGCTGCAGTTGGTCGGGTTCTAAAGTTACTGCTGCTCTCTTGAAAATAATATTTACTACCAAAAATTCAATTCACGATCAGTTTACCAGGTGAAATTCTTCCATTTTGCGGTGTATCATAATTCTACTATCCCATCACTTCTGCACACCTTCAAGCTTCACATTCTATCATCTCCCATTGCATCGTCAGGTATTTCAACTGCTAACAAATACACCGGGAGACTCAGTCAGCTGCAAATTCTCAGAAAAAACCTGTCAACTTCATGAAGTTAGCGAAGGCTTCCAAACAGGTCAATGATGGAATGAAAGGCAAAAGCATGGTGTGTAGCGTCAGCAAAAAATTAGAGTGTTGTTGTTGCGTTTTTAATCGTCAGCGCGGCCACGGGGCCGTATGCTCGGGGTTAAAAATGTTTCATCATCCGCCAGATAGGAAAGCTCGAGAAAAGTGCAAGGAAAATAAACTGTGGAAAATATGCGTGGGAATAAAACTCACTCAGTATGATCAAAACAGGTCATGGAACGTAGATTCATGTCCATCACAGGCTGAAAAGAGAAACACAGGGCAATTCCGTTGTCATCACACTCGTTTTCATTCCCAATATCTTTCGAAACTGGGTCAAGTAGAAAAAACTAGCACATGACGTTCGTAATCCTTTGACTAGAAGGCGTTTAGTCGAACAGACCGAAGCCCATGTCGTCGTCAGACTCCTCAGCCTCCTCAGCGGGAGCATCCTCCTTGGCTGGGGCGTCACCGGAAGTGGTGGCAGTAGCAACGGGAGCAGCGGAAGCATAAGCATCAGGGTTAGCAATACGGTCCTTGAGCTCCTCAATGCCCTCCCAGCTGTAGTCGGTCTCAATAGCAACAGCAAGAACCTTCTTGTAGGCATTGATGACAGAGTGGATGGTAGCAGGCAGGGTGGGGTAGCTGACAGCCAGGGAGACAGCAGTGATGGTCTGGATAGCCTGGGAGAAAGCCTTCAGCAGGTCCTCGTCACTGATATCAAGCAGCTCAGCGGAGAAGGTCTGGCCGTTGGCGTAAATCTGTTCAATAGAGAGACCGTAGGTCTCAGTTTATTTGTTAGAAACAAATTGACGAATGCAAACGGGAAATTTCCAACATACGAAGGGAGAGATGTTCAGCAAGTTCAGCAGGGAAGCCTCGGAAGCTCCGACCTTGCTACCACCCTCAATGAGCTTGAGGTCAGACACAATTTCGATGGTACCACGAGCAATCTTACTGTTTTCCAAATTAGTCAATCACTGGCAAGGTTGCGAATCATAGAATAGGAAAACTAACGTTGGGATTCCAAGTGCTTGAAAGAACGAGGTCTTTCCTGGTTCTAAGGGGGAAAGATTCTCCGGTTAGTATGGGGAGGAGGGGGGGGAAGAGGTGGTGGCATCACATACCCATTCTATAAGTTGCATCCAATTATGTTAGTTGTCACGTGACTATACAGATATAAATATGTTAGGAACACTTACCCAGTGTTACCGCCAGGAACCCAGACGTCGTTAGGGGCAATGGCACCAGCACGAGCAGGAGCAGCAACGCGGTTAGACAGGATGATCTCCTTGATGGCAGGCATGTCCTCGTTGGTGAAAATGAAACCAACGTTACCTATGGAAAGGCGGCCGTTAGTGAATTGATCGAAATCGTGAATGTAAAGTTAGCATGCGAGAACTCACCCTTGACGAAAGGCAGCAGGCGCTCGTACTCAGGGTGGTCAGCAAGGAAACCCTTAAGAGCACGGCGAACCATGGTGTTCTTTCCCATCAGAACAACGGCCTTTCCACGCAGGCTCTGACGAGTCTCGTGCATCTGCTGAGAGCTGACATTGTCGACCTATAATAAAAAGAGTGTTAAAGATAGAGACACAGGATAGAATTAGAAGAATTCCAACTTACGCCAACGATGAAGATCTGAGAGTAAGTCTCGAGAAGCTCCTTGAGCTTCTCGAAAGTAAGCCGCCTTGAAAGCCTTGGTCTGTCGTGGTGTTAATAAGGATGACCTTTTGCAATGGAACATGGTCTGTAACATACGCCCCCCCATGTCTTCTTATTTTCTTCGTTGAAGATAGGTTGTTTAAGGGTAAAAGGTTGTGTAGAGAGAAGGAAGAAGCAGGAGAGAAGTGAAGCTTGAAAATTAATTTCGGTGCGTTCGCTAGTGGGTCATGTGACTCAGGGTTACCGCTTTGGGAACAACGAAATGCCAAACAGAACAACAATTAAGGTATAGAAAATTGATTGTGGAAATTAGAAAGAAGAAATAATGTATGAATTTCCTGTATCTAATTACTATTATCCCATCAACTACACAGCAATTAAACTGTTCATTAACTACATACATTGATTTCGTGGTACCAGTACTTGTTCGCAGCCGCAACCTACTTCCCCGGCCCGCCCAGTCAAAATTTTGCCATCTGGAGATCATCAAGAATTATTAGCTACAATCAATTCCACCATGGCCAGCCTCCAGCACCCATTCCAGTGCTTACAAGTTGCTAAGCGTGGCTCACAGGGCTTGCCAGATTTACTCATTGCCACGGCGGGTCGTTATCTCTATGCCTATAATGCTACTAATGGCCAGCGTCTTGACGCCTGGCCACAAGATGTAGGCTCTGTCACGGAGTCTACATCTAGCACAGTGCAAACTGCAGATGCTCATGCTCCTCCAGAGAAAAGAAGAAAACTGTCCTCAGATTCAGAAGTCCAGGAACAGAAGCAAACTTCCAACAAGAAAGCACCAATCTGGACTGTTATCCCCCTCGTTGTGACGTCCTCTGACGGAAAATATGTGATCGCATTGACTGGTGAGGACAAGGCCATCCGTGTCTTTGAACTGAACATCGATGGTAAATTCAAGGAATTGAGCTCTAGGTAATATACCCATCATTCCCATACTACATATCAAATTCTCACCTCAAAAATAGAGTGATGCCCAAGCGAGCGAGTGCCTTGGCCTTGACTCCTGACGGCCAAAACATTATCATTGCTGATAAATTTGGCGACGTTTACTCGATACCATTGATTCCTGGGGAATACGTGAAGAAAGTTGTCGAAGCAAAGCCAATTGGCCCATCCGCCACGCCACTTACTGTTCACACCAAGGGCAATCTGCGAACCCTTGAGATGCAGAAGCTGCATGCTGAGCGGACAGCCAAGGCCATCCCACAAGATGATGACAAGCTCAATTTTGAGCATCACACTATCATTGGTCATGTCTCTGTATTGACTGACTTGCTCGCTGTCTCCCTGTCTGGCCGGAACTACATCCTGACAGGAGACCGTGATGAGCATATCCGTGTTTCTCGTGGTCTTCCCCAGGCACATGTGATTGAGAACTTCTGTCTGGGTCACCCCACTATGGTCACCAAGCTTTGCATTCCTTCTTGGGCGCCTCATCTTCTCGTGTCTGGCGATGGTGCTGGTAACCTTTTTGTGTGGAACTGGCGACAAGGGCAAATCCTGCAGCGTATCTCTACTCAAGAAACTTTGCAATCAGAGTTTATGATTAACGGTATTTGGGATATTTCTTCCGACCAGGCGAATGTGATCTTGGTCAGCTTTGAAGGGTACGTTCTATTGCTCCATTATTCTACGATGCACCCATCTAACTAAGAAATAGGTCGGCCCAGCTTCTTTGTTACAAGCTCGAGGAGCAAGGTCTGCAAGTTCAAGATACAATCCAACTCTCTGGAAACGTGCTTGACTTAGTGGGTGCAAGTTCCAGTGGCTCTGTCTTTGTCTCAGTGGACACCGTGCGTGAGGCTGGTTCGATTGATTCCTGGAAGTCTAGCTCTGGAGCACCTCTGGAATCTTTCCAAATTACACTGGGTGCAGATGGTATCAAATTATCTGCGACCGAGGACCCCGTGGCCGCAAACATCAACGTGGTGGGCACCAGTGATCTTCCTGCTGACCTGAACGAGAAGCAGAAGAAGGAGATCAATACTTCTCTATACAACCTGGATAATTTGAGGAAAAGGGCGTTCGCTTAGTGCATGAACCTTGGAATGAAGACTCGGATGCATATAGATTCGAATTGTGTATATATTTGCGGAATAAGCAACAAAAGTTCAATGGATCTTCACTGCCAATGGCACTAGTACTAGTATCAATTGAAGAAAAACCATCACAATCTAATTTAATTGATATTCGCCTTACTACGTAATAATCACTATTAATATTAAGCATCCATTGAGCGTGAAAAAACTCACCCTCCAGGGCTTAACCAAAGGCACTGGCAGCAGGCGCTCCCACTCGGGGTGGTCAGCAAGGAAACCCCTGAGAGCACGACGGACCATGGTGTTCTTTCCCATCAAAATGACGGCCTTGTTTTGGATGCGAGTGTCATGCATCTTTTAAGAACTGACACTGTCAACACTGACAAAGAAGATCTATGAGCAAGTCTCGAGAAGCTCCTTAAGCTTCTAGAAGCAAGCCGCCTTGAAAGCCTTAATCTGTCATAGTGTCAGCAAGGATGGTCTGTTCAAATAGAAGATAAGCTGTGACATACACCTTCTACGTCTTCTTATGTTTGATGCTCACTGATATGTGCATTGAGTCCATTCAAAGTTATTATACTACTATAGTGTGATCCTCGGTAGGTCTCTCACAAGGTTCCCGACCTTCAGCGGGCCCGCAGTTGTCCGAGAATCCCACTTCCCCTCCTCCAAACTGCATTCAACCACCCATCATGCAGGAACAATTTGAGCCGTTGAAGAATGATTTATTGTTGAGGGCCGCTCGCGGTATTTTATTTGTCCAACAATCCTTTTTGCAACACCGTACTGACGATCGCAGGCGAGAAGGTTGAGCGTCCTCCAATCTGGGTGATGCGACAAGGTGAGTTTTAACTTCACCCTTCCCCAGAAATTCTCATAATAGAGCTTAGTATCTTACTCTCCTTGTTCTTCTAGCCGGTCGCTACCTCCCCGAGTACCATGAAGCCAAGGCAGGCCGTGACTTCTTCGAATGCTGCCGCTCCCCGGAAGTGGCATCGACCTTGACGCTCCAACCAATTGAACGCTACGAAGGCCTCATTGATGCCGCGATCATCTTCTCGGATATTCTGGTTATCCCCCAGGCTATGGGAATGATCGTTGAGATGCTGGATAAGAAGGGCCCTCACTTCCCCGAGCCCCTTCGGTCGCCCGATGATGGACAATACGCTCGTGTTATGGAGAAGAAGGTGGATGTTAAGGCAGAGCTGAACTACGTCTACAAGGCCATTACGCTCACACGTTTCAAGTTGAAGGGCCGTGTGCCGCTCATTGGTTTCTGTGGTGCGCCCTGGACTCTGTTGTGCTACATGGTCGAAGGTGGTGGCAGCAAGCTCTTCGTTGAGTCCAAGAAGTGGGTCTACAAGTACCCGAAGGAGTCGCAGGCCCTTTTGCAAAAGATCGCTGAGATCTGTGTGGAATACCTGGCGCTCCAGGTTGCTGCCGGTGCTCAGATGATCCAGGTTTTCGACTCATGGGCTGGAGAGCTGTCGCCTGCCACCTTTGCCTCGCACTCCTTGCCTTACCTGCGTCACATCTCTGAGAATCTCCCCAAGCGCTTGAAGTCTATGGGCCTGGAGCCCGTCCCTATGACTGTCTTTGCTAAGGGAGCTTGGTACGCTCTGGATGACCTTTGCAAGTCTGGCTACAACGTGGTTGGTCTGGATTGGTTGCACGATCCTGCCGAGGCTATGAAAATTGCCAACGGCCGAGTTACCATTCAGGGTAATGCTGACCCAGGTATGCTCTACGGTGGACCTGCTGCCATCACTCCCACTGTGGAGAAGATGGTCGAAGGGTTCAAGAAGGGCAAGCAGGGTTGGATCTGCAACCTCGGACACGGTATGTTTCAGAGTCTATTTGATCTCATGGCATTTTTACTAACCCCTGGAATAGGTGTCACTCCATTTGTTGACCCAGAGAACCTTAAATTCTTCTTCGAAGAGATTCACCGTCTCACCAAATAAAGCAACTCCCGCGCGGGTTCCAGTGGCTACTTACCAACTTCTACGAGACTTAAAAAGTTTATATACGGGGACTCCTTTGCCATTGCAATATGAACATCATTTCGGCAATGATTTTGTCACAGCATCTGCTCGAGGGCTTATTGATTTATTGATATACCAATTCTATGATTTAGACGGCAATGTCCTCGTTCCTGTACAGCAGATACAATCAGCATGGCTCGTTCAGAAATGTTCGCAGTCAATGATAATCAGGATCCTACTAGAAGTACCTAGTAGAAACAGGGATCAAGGATCAGTTACATACCAAAGCTCTGGCTTCTCCTCCATAAATGTAGACATCAACTGTTTGCACTCGTGGTTATCCAACACAACCACTTCCTTCTGACGACTACGCAGCAAGTCCTCACCACCCATGAAGCTCTTGTTCTCACCAATGACAACACGGTTGATCTTGTAGAGCAAACAAGCCCCAGTACACATGTCACATGGCGAGAGGGTGGTGTACATGGTAGCTCCCTCATAGGCGGAAGCGGGGAGACGACCAGAGTTCTCGAGAGCGGACATCTCGGCCTAGCAGGGATTCCGGTTAGCGAATCGTCATAGTGGCTTAACTTGAATTTAAGGCGTCATAGCATTGGGTACACTAACATGCAGGACGGGGCTTCCCTTCTGCACGCGCATATTGTGACCGCGGCCTAGGATTTTACCATCCTTAGAGACTAGACAAGCACCAATAGGGACGCCGCCCTCCGCAGCGCCCTTCTTTGCCTCCTCAACAGCAGCAATGAAGCCGGGATCTTGTTCCATGGTGAATTTAAGGGAGAGGTGAGTTAGATAAAATTGATTGAAGCTTTACGATTTACGGGTAACCATCTTATCTTTTCAGGTGGGATTCCAATCGGCGAGTCCCGCTTTTGGCATTTGATATGGAAGTTTTAAGTGGGATGGTTCTTATCGATAAGGATGGTAAACTGGTCAATATTATATACTATATTCCAAGGTTATACTATATTATACGCCTTACATCCATGAATTTTTGTAGAACTAGGTACAATATACACTATACAAAGAGGCAAAATCGACAAAGAAAATTCATATAGTTTCCTTCCTATGAATGAACCTTGGAACTTCTTTCATCTTTCAGAACTTTCACTTTCCTAGAAAGGGAATTCGCCTCTCTCCCTTACTCAGCGTTTTAACCATGGAAGCGCGGAGAATACCAGGGAAGAACATCGAATATCACAGAATCTCATAGAAGAGACGCTCGGGCCTGAATTCTTTCATACACCAGAATAGAAGCAGGCAGAAAGAGAATATTGCAGGGGAAGAAGTATAGCAAAGAGTCTTTTTGGCCTCCAAATTCCCTAGTTTTTCTTTAGAAAAAAACCAAGAAATCTTTTAATCTGAAAGTCATCAAATCCAGAATAAAAATCAAAGTAATTTATCTGGTTATTTTACCGCCACCTTTGTATCTGGAATACAGTACCTGGAAAGTTGCCCAGGTGGAAACCCCGTGAAAGGAACCTCCAAGACATTGAATTGGGTAAAAAAAAATAAGTTACTCAGCCAACCTTGGAAAAATAGATTCGGGCTTCCTCTTATCCCGCATCATCCTTAACCTCTCCCCCCACCTCAAATCATTTCTTGGAATCCGTGTTTATCCTTCTTCATTCTTGCATTTTCTCCCCCTCGACCCCTCCCTTCTACTCTCGCCTAATTATCCGACATAATGGTCAAGGACACCAAGTTCTACGACTGCCTTGGGGTATGGTGTTCTCCAGATTCACCAATCAAACTGAAAACTAATCGTATTTTGTCACATCTAATAGGTCCCTCCCACAGCGAGTGACACCCAGCTCAGAAGTGCCTACAAGAAGGGTGCTCTAAAGTTCCACCCTGGTACGTGAATCCCATACCGATTAACCGGGCTGGCACTTGTTACGAGCAAAGTTATATCAAAGAAAATACCACCAAAAAGAAAGAAACACTAACAGATTTCTTTCTCATACAGACAAGAACGCTGATAACCCCGAGGCCGCCGAGAAGTTCAAGGAGCTGTCCCACGCCTACGAGATCCTTTCCGACGGTGAGAAGCGTCAGATCTACGACCAATATGGTGAGGAGGGTCTGGAGCACGGTGGCGGCGGTGGTGGTATGAACGCCGAGGATCTGTTCTCTCAGTTCTTCGGTGGCGGCGGTGGTGGCTTCGGCGGGATGTTCGGTGGTGGCATGCGTGAGACCGGCCCCAAGAAGGCCCGTACCATCCACCATGTGCACAAGGTCAACCTGGAGGACATCTACAAGGGCAAGGTTTCCAAGCTCGCTCTGCAGAAGTCGGTCATCTGTGCTGGCTGCGATGGCCGTGGTGGTAAGGATGGTGCCGTTAAGGAGTGCACTGGCTGCAACGGTAGCGGTATGAAGACCATGATGCGCCAGATGGGTCCCATGATCCAGCGTTTCCAGACCGTCTGCCCCGACTGTAATGGTGAGGGCGAGATCATCCGTGAGAAGGACCGCTGCAAGCGTTGCACTGGTAAGAAGACCATTGTTGAGCGCAAGGTTCTCCACGTTCACGTCGACAAGGGTGTTCGTGATGGTCACAAGATCGAGTTCCGCGGTGAGGGTGACCAGATGCCTGGTGTTCTCCCCGGTGACGTTGTTTTCGAGATCGAGCAGAAGCCTCACGCCCGCTTCCAGCGCAAGGGCGACGACCTGTTCTACCAGGCCGAGATTGACCTGCTTACCGCCCTGGCTGGTGGCAGCATTCACATTGAGCACCTCGATGAGCGATGGATGACCGTTAACATCGCCCCCGGCGAGGTCATTGTTCCTGGTATGTGCCCATTCTTCCCAAATGCTATGTATGGCGCTGGTTACTAACTACTCTTTTAGATGCCATCAAGGTCATCCCCGGTCAGGGTATGCCCTCTTTCCGTCACCACGACCACGGTAACCTCTACATCAAGTTCGACGTCAAGTTCCCCGAGAAGGACCAGCTTCAGAACCTTGACCTCCTCGAGAAGGTTCTCCCTACCCGTACCCAGCAGTGCACACCCCCGGCCGATGCCATGGTCGAGGACTTCGAGCTGGAGGGCGTTGATGGTAGCGAGCCTTCTCAGGCTCGTGCCCACGGTGCTGGCGGCGGCATGGATGAGGATGACGAGGATGTTCCCCCCGGTGCCGAGCGGGTACAGTGCGCCTCGCAGTAAGCGCGGGACCATAAAACGTTGGGAGTCGGGATGGAATAAGGCATGATGCCCTCTGATGAAACCTCGCTTATGATTCCATGCGAGGGGTTTAGGGCAGGTACATCACGTACCCGATGTCATGTCATTCATTTTCTTTTGATCATGTTTGAAATTGCTTTTTTTAAACCTTGCGATGGCGTTAGCTTTGAAGACTGGGGAAGATGCGAGGTTCATCCGCGTCTTCTTTTCTCTTTGTCTCTCTTACCTTGATTTCTTGTGTCCACCCTTTTCTCTTTCCCTCCACCCCCGAACCTCTTTGCAGTGGACCGAACATCATTCATCTCTGTTATATTTCTCACTTTTCTCATTGCTCTTTGATCTCGATCCGATTCCGTCTCTTATACCCGCCTTTTTTTTCATAAGCATTTTGCTGTATGACGGTATGAGATGCAATGATGAAAAGAATCATGGGTCATAACGAGACCACGATGTAGCAGACTCGCTTCCAAAGTTGGCAAGAGGGCTTCCTTATTCTCTCAACACTTTCTTCCTCCGTCTCGATCTCGGGCTCTGGATTGATTCTGGGTGATGCATGATGGGGGCTGCTTTTTTTTTTCTCTCTTTAATGTCTTCCTAGCCTGCACTGATGACGACCTGAATAGACATTGCGTGGATTTTGACTTGAATGCATTGTTCATTAGCATGGATATCTGCTTACTTTGTAGTATATGCTGTAGAGCTTTCAGTAATTGTCTCCCATGATGTGTGGCATTTCTCTGAAGCCAGGAATGACTGGGACCTTGAAGTGTTCAGTTCCCCTGAGCGATTGCCAGCAGTTGAGTGACGACACTTGAAACTACTGCCACCGTGTCAAAAGTCCATCGTATGATCTGGAGATTGTTAGTACCCCGTTCAAATTAACTGATGCCCAAGGTTTCAGAAGCAAATTCCGTCCAGTAACGGTTCAATGCACTAATTTTTCAGGCAAGGGAATTTTAAGGTCGATATTGGTCACTTAAGTATTGTTGACTCGGGGACCCTGGGACAACCTTGGTGGTGAAACAATGAACTTGAAACCTAACACCAATGGTCTAATCTTTGAACCAGCTGACCTGTATCTAATTATGAGATTGTAGGAAACAACAAGTCTTGAACCCGCCTCCATCGCACATCCCCATCAAGCTCATGAGATTGCCCGAGAGATCCAAGTGTCTAGATCATCGACGTCTTCCCCCTTCACACAAACAATCACTCCTTTCAGCATCTCACGCACTTCATCTCTGGTTAACCTACTCGAAAGTCCGTTATGGAAGCGACGCATGACCTCATTACGCTCAGCAATCAAGGCCAAAGGGGTTGAGCCCTTGTCCCTCAGAGCTGTCGATAGATAACGGTCATCCTCCGTTAAACCTGTGTTGCTGCCATAGAGCGAGGTGAGATCTACAGTGACATATGATGGACCAAATGCCTCTGAAGCAGGGACAGTCCGAGAAAACTGCCAATCGATAATACCAGTGATATTGAAGTTCTCATCAACGAGTAAATGATCACCCTTGTCATCGACATGTTTCAGGAAGAACTGCCCTGATGTATCATCCTCCGATACCAAGCTTTGGATGTTCTGTCGTGGGAAATGGTAAAAGAGAAATGCTTCTCCTGTATACTCCGTGTGCAGCTATCCATCTGCAATGAGATCCATATACTGCTCTGTAATACTTGTCAGATATTCGGACGAGCTATCAAAAGGGCCGTAAGTATTCAGAGCAACGAAGCGGTTGCTGGCGATAGGTCCAATTTCAACCTCATTACCCTCAATCTTAAGTGAGCCAGCTCGAGAGAACGGGTGCTTCGAAATTTCAATCAACATGTCTCCAAGTTGCTCGAGAACATGCTTCTTCTGGTCATCTGATGATTCATGCGCATAGAAAGGTTTACCAGGAAGCGCCTGCATCAAAATATAACTGACACCAACACGATTTCCAGGATCAGAAGCGAGGGCATGCGCGAAAGGCTTCGGAACTGGGATATTGGTGGACTCAAGAAACTTAAGTGTCGCATATTCGCTCATAACGAGATATTCCACCAAATCAAGAGGGACGTCACTGAAGCCTGTGCGAGGGATTCGGACGATCCATCGATCGCCATTTTCAAAACATAGCCAAGCGTGATAATTGGCGCAGCCCATCATGGATCCAACTCCGAAATGAGTTCCAAGCTTGAATTCGCATTTGACGCCACCATTCAAGTTTGTTGCGAGTCTGACGAGCTCGTGTGTATTTACATGACTGATCAGTTCCCAGAACTCGTCGTGGATGGATTTTTCTCATTCGGCGTCGGAGAGCTATTTTGTTAGAAAGTTGAACAGCATACGTTAGAATCCATATACGTACCTCGTAGGAGCTTGGGTATGTGTGGTATTGTTTAGAGCAATGAATGGCGCAAAGATGGTGCATACATCTGGAACAAATTGATCCTCGCACACCTGGCTTGGTACAATCAAGCATGGAGCAGGTCGCAAATCTTGATACAGTCTCTTTGCAGATACCTCGCGTTTCCTTGAAGACGGCCTCCTCATGTTGTCGTGATAGAAGAACTTGGAGACGTTCATCGTCAGCCCATTCATGGATTCGATTTCGTCTCCAGATACTCCAGTCAGTCTCCAAGGGGATTCCAGTGGCAGTTGAGATAATTCCTCTCCACAGTGATTTTGCTTCTTCGAGAGTCATGCTCATTCCCATACCTAGACCGAATGAGAAGCGGCGCACAAGATCAGGTCCTTCAGCAAATTTGAAAAATGCTTCATCCTTTGATCCAGAGATATCAGTCATGAGTTTGTCATTGGATGACAGGCCGGCGATCCCGGTGAATAAAGAATTTGTATCTGCTATCAAAAGCGAGGGACCGAAAGCTTCGAATGCACTAAGTACCACCCTTGCATATGTCCAGTCGATTATTCCGGTGATATTGTAATCATCGTCCACCATAATATGATCGCCCTTATCATCTGTATGCTTCAGGTAGAATGGGCCTTTATCCATACTGGGCTCGAATGCATTCCACATCCCAGTCTCAGCAAGCTGCTTGAGATACCTGAAAACTAGATATGCATCCACTGGGTAATCAGAGTAAAGCTGACCATCGCCAATCAGCTCAAGATAGTTTTCCGCGACGGCAGCATAGAGATCTCTTTAGTTAGAGAAGGGACCAGCATGTGAGAAGGTTCCCGTGCGATCCCCGATCATAGGCCCTACTTCAATCTGCCCAGTTTGTCGGAATGCCAGAGCCCCGGCTTCATCAAACGGATAGGCGTGGAATCGTAGCAGGATATCCACCCATTGATCATAAACCTTGCCCAGCTGCTCCCGTGATGGATTTTTGAGCATAAGCGGTGTCCCTGGAAGCTCATCGATGAGCATACACGCGACCCCGACCTCATTTGATGGATCATTTCGAAGACCGTAGCCATGAAGTTTTGGGGCAGGGACGTTTATAGATTCAAGGAATTTGAGAGTCGCACACTCGCTTTCAATGACTTGATTGCTGAAATCATCAGAGAAGGATGTATAGTTCTCTCTCAATATCCGAGCTAGCCAAACAGTGCCATCGGAGAATCGAATGCGTAGATGAACGTGCATGCCACCCATGAGCGACTTTCCAAATGGCTCCGACTCATCTATTTCACATGAGATGCCACCGTTAAGGCGTGATGCCATCCGTAGTAAAGCGTTATCTTGGATTTTCTTTCGAAGAGTCATCACTTCTTTGGTTCGGGCAGCAGTCCACGCACCATCATCAAGGGGCACTTTCTATATAAAGTTAGATTCTGATAATTTTTCAGATCAATAATTCTGGTAGCATACATCGCAGTGGTGATCTGGCGACGATACATGAAGTGCACAGAAAGGGCGTTGACAGCGCTCACAAGCGCCAATGTCGATCGCTGAAGCGGCAGGGCATTTCGAAATAGAACAGTCCCAAAATCGAAAGGGCTTGGTAGTCATATTGTGCGACCTCGGGAAGGTTATGTTCTATTGGGTCGGAATTTTGAGCCTCAGGGTCGAATGCTTTGATGTTTCAGCCTTGAAAGCCTGAACCAATAACACTCTCACTGGTGTAAGCGGGGTGCAGTGTTCTTCGAATGCAGATAAACAATCAGACTTGAGAGAGCAGCAGGGGATCTTCATGGGACCAATTGTCTTTATTCAAGTTGGCAAATGAACCAGTTGACAGATATTGATTGATTCAATTGATGTTGACTCAGGTGAAGCGAAAATGCGGGGTTAGTACTACTGCACCGTGACCCCGATACATATCCCGGGATCTTGCATCTCCAATTGATGAGTCAAGTTCACATCCATCCATACCAGTAGTGGGATGTATGCAGATCAATTCAACTTGAAGTTCATCAAGTTCCAAGTTGAGGTTGGTGTACAGTAGTACTAGTATTGGGAACTTCAAGTTCAAAATGTTTGAATGGATCATTTCCTAAAATTGAATTCTACTACTACCTAGTGCTAGTACATCCATAGATAACTCCATCATGTAAACTTCCAAGGGTTCAAATGCTCCGAACATTCAAATGTTCGAACATTTGAAAGCTAGCACTCATCATTACTGAAGTTGTTCAGCTCACTCCTTTAACGATATAAAGCTTAAGATTGGTCTGGAAATTTCATAGAAATTATGACAAGACCCATTGATACCTAGGTAGAGTTACTAGTATTTATCAGTTAAGAGACTGGCACTTCGAGCCACCATGATTTTTGATTCTAAGAGATGCCTGATTAAGCCCAGCGGCTTATTAGATGGGCTATTTCCTCTTGTTCAAATTCTGTACGGCGACTTCGGAGAAGCCACAACCTTGGAAGTGGCTATGTACTACCTAGGAAAGTAGCGGCTCATATGCATGACTGCTATAAATGCCGACCAACGAACATTAAAAGCGAGGCAATAATTTCCAAATTCAATTCTACTAGCAGTTCAAATGTTGGAATCAAATAATTGAGATCCGGTGTAACTTGAATCTAAGCCAATGCTACATTCTCATAATGGGCTGAAATCACGTTTGTTGGTGGCAATCTCATTTAATCTCATTTAATTCCGAGCTTAGCGCGATCGCGTCAACGGTCTACTATACGGAGATAGCCGAGGCTGGATGTACCTTGCTAATATTGCCAATACATATTGCCAAGTTGTTCATCTTAATTATTTCAGTCTAACCTATAGGGGACTTCGGGTATTCGGTGGCGTTCGGTCCCATGGATAAGATAGCCACATTGAATATTTGCTCTAAAGGTATAAACAAGTTCAAATTTTAGTAAGTATATGCGATGAGAACAGTTGAATGTCAAGATTAAAATATTCCTGGCATTTTGAATCGATGAATCAATGAATGCGATGATGCTACTTCGTACTTGAATACTAGTCAAATTAGCAATCGCACTGGTTTAAGCTGGATGCGGATTATTCGGAGCAGCCGGCAATAATGAATGTAGTATGCCAGTCAAAAAGACCATCAAGCGTGATTCAAAAAAAGAGAATGATACTCAGATAGACACTGCCATGAAGGCCGATATTCATGCAGGTTGTTGATGTTGCTGTCAATGATCTCATCACTCCGAGCCCAACACTCAACACACCAAGAACACCAGAACCTCACGAGACTCAGTGCACAGCTGGATAATCTGGGAACTGCAACATCTGAATGCAACAGCACATATTTGGATGTTTAGACCAATTTTATGACAACAACTGCAGCATCACGAGTCAGGATTCCCCCGCAAAAAAGGCGAGTAGTGTCCGGGCCCTGCATATGCGGCTTCTGAACCGAGACAAGCCGCGTTCAAACGTCCTAAGGCTGACATCATGGACGCACAGCAATTTTCATAAGTCTGAAATCTCAGAGACTTGGATGATGATCTGGGGGTCGATGTGGTAAAGTAGAAGATAGAAGACCCCTTTTCTGATGCCCATTCTGCGATCAGACTTGGAAAGTGGTAGCGTGAAAGGGTCATACGCCATGAGCCACGAGGATGGTGTAAGATCAGTTCAGATAAGCGAGATGAGTTTGCACATGACTGCGCCTTGTTGAGCTCCAAGAATGAGGAAAGTTATTGTTGTTTTTACCGAAGCTAAATCAGTGTTGTTTCTGGTTTCTGTTGCCCCAGAAGTGTGCATTTTGTGCCACGGGCACAACCACACGGGGTCTATAGGTCCGAAATGATGTCGATATACATAGCTTATGATAATATTAACGTTTACCTTTAAAATTATAACCCGTACTTGTGGAGAAGAAAAGGAATATGAGAGTAAAAGAAAAAAAGAAAAGAAGCTTGGAATCCCAAAGGAAAGGATGCGAATACGGAGGCTGTGATTAGTTAATCCTTTGGGCCGTTGTGAATAATAGATTGAGTAATAGGATATTAAATATCCCATTAAACGAGCTCGAAGAAGCAAACAAACAATTAAACCTCAAGCTTAAAGTGAATGAACAGCCTGAGCTAAGAGTCGGGCGCAAAACATCTTAGAAGCTAGTGCCAGAATGTAATAGCTGAGGCTGCACTAGACCAAGAGAAGTACCGCTTGGTTACTTTTAAGTTATGGGCCGTAACTGCCCAGCTGCGATAAGCTTGAATGACGTGATTTGGATCTTGATGGCGACTTTGCTACATACTCCGTAGTGAGGAGATAGCTGCAGGTAATTTCATGCCAAACATTGTTTCATCTCAGGTACAAACAAGGAGTACGTGTTGTGTTGCATGAGAGGACCCAGATAGTTCGGATTCCTGCCGGCGTCTCAACTTGAGACTCGGAGTATCAATCTATTAGTATACATCGTGAGATATTTACAGGGCTCAGGCTCTATGTCTATGTCGATCAGGGTTCTATGTAAGCTCCGAGGTCAAGTGCTGTGTACTATTACCAAATGGCGGTATAGATTATCGTAAACTTGGAAATATAGAATTTATACTAGCAAAAGATGATTATATGGGGTGGGCTTTGGTAACTCAAACTTTAGAAACTTTGGAATACTATAGACACTATTGGCTGTTGAAAAGTTCTATGTAGTACTGTATAGGAAGGTCTAGTCAGCCCACTCCAGGGCTCCTGGGATGCGGGATAATGGAGCGGGAAACTGTTGACTCCATTACGGGCAGATACTTCGTAGAATGGGGCTACATCAGATGAACCGCGGAGACCCTCTTCTCCGAGAGACCTAACGAATAGTGTAGTGAGGCCCGAAACTCCCATTTAAATCCATCTCAATCTGATTTCATGAGTATCCACTTTTATTCATGTGCAGGGACAAGGGTGGGCAGATATTTCCGGAGTATAATGGAGCTGATGGCAAAAGAGCTAACGTGGACAAAGACGCGGCGGGATCATGGAGAATTCTGGTTCACACATACTCTTGGCCCAGAGGATACACTCTCGTATTCCTTTGAATGATATAATTCCTTGGTATTTTTTATCCGGGCAGGGTACAACACGGTTGAACTCCATTTAAATCCACAATTCTGCATTGTAGGAAGGAGGCGAGCGATCTCATAGGGGAATAAGGAACGTGGAACGGGAGCAAAATTCGTGTGTTGCTGTCACCATCAGCATGGACGATTTCACCATCAGCCGCAAATATAATTGGTCCTTGCGTCCCCATTGCCGATCATTCAAACCCGCGTGGAGATGGTGATTCGTCACCGTAGAGGCTTGGCAGGGAAGCTTATGTCATAATTTGAGAAGAGATTTTATTTGATAAAAAAATATGATAATTTATTCTAATTTATTATAACAAAAAGAAAGGTGCCATTTTTATTAGTTGTTTGATATTAAAAAGTTATGTTGAAATGAAAATATATGAATTATAATATGATATAGTATAATAAATCATCACTATTACTATGATCTATGACACAACCACTATCAACATAAATACAATCTCATCTAAATACATATATTAATCTGGAATAATAAGATTAAGATTTGGCTCTGGTTTGATCAACTTGGACCAGACAGCCGCTCCACGCTCCTTCTTCGTCATCCGCCATCGCTTCCAGACCCTCCACCGTCCAACCGGTTCCACTCGGGACTTTGCCCTTGGGATCGGCTTAAGATCATCGGTGGGAACTCGCAGCGTGGACACATTTCTGGTTTCTTTTTCCCAGTATTTCTTTTGATCTCTACTCAATCCCCTAAATTCATGAAAAAAAAGCACATAAAGCGACCTGTGCGTAGCTTTTTCTTTTTTTTCCCTCTTCGCCATTGATCAAAATCTGGGGAGCTTAGATATTACGCCATTCACACCCGAATCACGCACTCCATCCACCTTCCTCCACCTCGTTTCCACCCCCTATAACAATTCGTCTATTCTTTTTAACTTTACTTGCTTCTGTGTGGCTGTCGACATGGGTAGTGCGTGATCATCTTACGAAGTAACCTTGACCTTTATATTCTGGAAGCTATCCGGCCACGTTTTTGATACCTGTCAATCCCAAGTCGAACATTCCCTCTACCTTCGATTTTATTCTTTGGGGCCCACCGCCGAGACTATCGACTATCGTTGCCTTTTAAAGGCCAATTTATATCTCACCACCTCCAACTTCCCACTACCTTCTTCACCTGATCTTGTTGTGAATCAAGTGGTTTTAATCATGGGTGAACAATCTTCTAAGATTGGTCGTACCTTGGCCAAGGGCCTTGGTATCAAAGTCGCCTACAGAGATCCTTTGAGCGCCAACACTGGTGATCCGGTCACTCGAGGCGAGTCAACTTTCTCAGTTGGCACTGTCGAGACCTACTCCTACAATGAGCCTGAGCCTAGCAGCATTGAATACCTTCGCGAAATTACTCCATCTGGCCGCCAATTCGTCGATTATCTTATTAGTCTCTTTCCTTTCCTGAACTGGATTGGACGCTACAATCTCCAATGGTTCATTGGTGATCTTGTTGCTGGTAAGTAACTGGACCGATCTACATTTAATTCCGCTATCTACATGTTCTGGATCCTAATTGTCAATAGGTATCACTGTTGGTGCCGTTGTTGTCCCTCAGGGTATGGCTTACGCTAAGCTGGCGGAGCTTCCCGTGCAGTTTGGTCTCTACTCATCCTTCATGGGTGTTCTGGTTTATTGGTTTTTCGCAACTTCGAAGGATATCACCATTGGTGTAAGTACATTTGAGATAAAAGAAAATCAGATGAAATGTCAATTTACTGATTTTGTCTCGATTTTTTACAGCCCGTCGCCGTCATGTCTACTCTGACCGGAACTATTGTGCTTCAAGTTCAGGCCGAGTATCCTGATATTGAAGCTCATATCATCGCTTCGTGTCTTGCCGTCCTCCTCGGTGGTATCGTCTGTTTCCTGGGTCTGATTCGCATGGGTTTTATTGTGGATTTCATTCCGCTGCCTGCAATTTCCGCTTTCATGACTGGTTCCGCCATCAACATTGCTTCTGGCCAAGTCAAGACGATGCTCGGTGAAACTGCTGGCTTTTCTACTCGTGATGCAACATACTTGGTCATTATAAACACCCTCAAATACTTGCCTACTGCCGGTCTCGATGCCGCCATGGGTGTGACTGCCTTGGCCATGTTGTATATCATCCGCTCGGGTTGCACCTATGCTGCAAAGAAGCAGCCACAACGGGCTAAGATCTGGTTCTTCATTTCAACCCTTCGAACTGTGTTTGTCATTTTGTTCTACACTATGATCAGTGCTGCGGTAAACTTGCACCGGAGAGACGACCCCTTGTTCACTTTGCTGGGCACCGTGCCTCGCGGTTTCAAGAACGCAGCTGTGCCCACCATGGACACCCGGATTATCAAGTCTTTCTCCAGCCAGCTCCCAGCTGCTGTGATCGTTTTGCTTATCGAGCACATTGCCATCTCCAAGTCCTTTGGTCGTGTCAACAACTACACCATTGATCCCTCTCAGGAATTCATCGGTATTGGTGTTACCAACCTCCTTGGTCCTTTCCTGGGCGGCTATCCTTCCACTGGTTCTTTCTCCCGAACTGCCATTAAGTCCAAGGCTGGTGTGCGAACTCCCCTGGCTGGATTGATTACTGCTATTGTCGTGCTTCTGGCTATCTATGCTCTGACTGCAGTCTTCTTCTACATCCCTTCGGCTTCTCTCTCTGGTGTCATTATCCACGCTGTGGGTGATTTGATCACTTCCCCCAACACTGTTTACCAGTTCTGGCGTGTCTCTCCACTCGATGTTGTCATCTTCTTCATCGGTGTGATCGTTACCGTATTCACCTCGATTGAAGATGGTATCTACTGCACAATCTCTGTCTCCGCGGCAGTCCTGCTCTTCCGTGTGGCTAAGGCTCGCGGCCAATTCCTTGGTCGTGTTAAGATTCACTCTGTCGTAGGTGACCACCTCCTCGACAACGATGGAAAGTATGGCTCCTTCGGAACGACCAAGGTCCCATCCGATGACGAAGAGCACCACCGCAGCATCTTCCTCCCCACCAACCACGCCGACGGATCTAACCCGGATATCGAGCTCGAGCAGCCATACCCTGGTATCTTCATCTACCGTTTCTCCGAGGGATTCAACTACCCCAACGCCAACCACTACACGGACAACCTGGTGCAGACTATCTTCAAGAGCACTCGCCGTACTAACCCGCACGCTTTCAAGCGTCCTGGTGATCGCCCATGGAACGCCCCGGATCTGAAGAATGGCAAGGAAGCCGAGGATGACACCCGTCCACTCCTGCAAGCCGTCATTCTGGATTTCTCCTCTGTGAACAACGTCGACACAACCTCTGTGCAGAACTTGATCGATGTTCGCAACCAGTTGGATCTCTACGCCTCTCCTCGCTCCGTCCAGTGGCACTTCGCCCACATCAACAACCGCTGGACCAAGCGTGCTCTCGCAGCCGCCGGCTTCGGTTTCCCTACCCCAACCTCAAACGACGGATTCCACCGCTGGAAGCCTATCTTCAGTGTTTCCGAGATCGAAGGCAGTGCTTCCGCCGCCGCTCACGCTGAACTGATCAACAACCAGCGCGAGCAGGCTTTCCAGCAACAGCAGGACATGGAGGCTGGTCTGAAGGTCGAGCACTCGACTACCGAGCGTGAGACCACCAACACGATCGAGACGATCGAGTCATCCACATCCGGGGAGAGCGGCATCATCACCGAGGACAAGTTGCAGCGCGACTTGAAGGACAGCAAGGCGTACCGTGGACGCCGCAAGGTCGCTATTGTGCAGGGCATGAACCGACCTTTCTTCCACATTGACTTGACCAGCGCCCTCCAAAGCGCTGTTGCCAACTCTTCCCAGGAGATTCCGACAATCCACTAAGCTTCTATTGCTTTTCTCTCATGTTTGAAGCGATTTGTCGAATATTCTTCCCTTATTTCTCTCTACATCTTTATCATTGCATATTGCGTCGAGCATGGTCCATCCCTGGTTTGGAGACCATATGATATGCCCGGATTATGACTGTTAATCTTGCCTTTATTCCCATGACTATTTTCTTTTTTTCTCATCTTCTCTCGTCATGTTTGGGACTGTAAATCGGATTTGCTTCTTATTTTTTTTATTTTATCTTCCTGGCGCTTAGGTTGGGACAGGCAATTACCTGGATTACAGGATCTTCTACTGGAATATGACCAGCAAATATTTTTACTAGGGATACCCTTCAATGTTAGATTGCGATGATTCAACTTCTACTCCAAATTCTTACTAGATAAAAATTGTATTGGTCCTATCTAAAGTGTGATCTCATACTTGTCAGTGTTACTAGCAAAGCCAGATTTGGTAGTCTAAGTACGTCCACTCTTGCATCATTAGTGCATGTATCCTTATAAATCAATGACTTTTGCCTTCTTCAAGTCTCTAAGCTTCCGAAATATTCACTTACTACCTTGCCTTGGTCCACAATGAGAAATAAGGTCAACCGTGTTCATCAAAATGAGTCTATGGATCTCAAAACCTTTCACTTTTACCTGAAAAGTAAAGTCGATTGAGAAGGCAAAGTCATAAATTCAATATTCAGTGACGGAGTGACATCGAAATAAGAATGATTCAACCGCCAAAGGGTTCTAGACCAGGGGTATACGGATATCGGAACCTGCCGGGTGGAGTGTACCAATGTCGCATTCAACATGCGATCAAGATATCTTACTCATAGATTCTTAACAACCTTGGAATTCCAAGGCAGATGTTCTAGAAATTCTCTATGACGATTAGAGGGGCAATCGTTTGTCAAGAGATCTGAGCCTGATTCTGGTTAATTGAAATTCTGTTGATGATGTCTGGGCAATCGCGCCGTTATGATGATGTAGTACCTAGAAGCAATCAGAGATTCCAAGGTTCTACCGATTACGAGCGAAGGTCTATGTTGAATAGGTAATAAAGGTAAATAAAGCGAGATTGTAACTTTTTGGACTAAATCATATTTTAAATGTTTCGTCTTAACCTTATTCTCGTTTAAGCTCATTGCCCAAAGGGGTATATCAGATTGATATTCAATAGTTTTAGACTGAACGTAACTCCATAATGAGCATCGAGTATGATCTACTGATCAATTTACAAGGCTACTACCTAGGTAGTATCAAGCTGAAATGGTCCGAATGTCAATTCCTTCAACCTCTTGGATCATATTTCGACTCAGAGCAAGTCTTGGTGTAAAGGCTCGTTACTAATTTCGAACTTGGTATAAGTAGTTCAATTTGCGCCCGACTTATTTGTGAATAGGCAGCATGAGCGACTGCCAGTAGTCTAAGGTTCTTGTGGTCGCCAAGGATACAGGAATTCAGGAAAATGCCTTGAGCTGAAATTACAAGAATGTTTTTATGTATATGATTTTCACAACCAGCTACTAATCCCTAGCATTGGACAGCATGCATTGAGACTTTACTCCAGACCACCAGACCCAACTTAACTCTTTACCTCAAAACACCACCAACACCAGCCCAACCAAGAACAAACCCACTCATAGCCTCACTGACAACGCCTCCACCAAACCAAACATTTCTCCAAGCACCCTTCCGCAAAATAAACTGTCTCTTATTCTTCGCACCTCCCAGATCCATCTTCACAACACCGGACTTCTCATCCATCTCCACAGACCCATCAATCTCACCGCCGTTGCTACCGGGGAAGAAGACGCCCGCACCGGCGCCGCCGGAGCGTTGGATCAGGACCAAATGGAAGAGACCGGATACCAGGATTGTGCCGGTGAAGTAGAAGGCGAAGCCGTATGCCGATTGCAGGGCTAGGATTCCGGCGCTGATACCGAGGAGGAAGGCTGTTAAGCTATGGAGGGAGGAGAGGACCTGAATTTATCATTAGTTAGAGGTCTGAGTAATTCGAGGGAGTAGATGAGGTAGATGAGTATGGTGAGGGGAGTGGATATAAGACCGGGAACAGTGGATGATAGTGGGAGGGCTGGACTCGAAGGAGGGGGAGAGGGGAGCATACTCGGTTGTTATGTTGGACAGCCTCTGGGACAAGAGGGTTGATGAGCAGGGAAAGTTCCTGCTTTGTAGGTGCCATTTTGAAGGTTCAAGAGCTTTGACTCGTATAGAAGATGGTCCTGGGATTGATTCCTTTCTGCTCGTGTTGTGATGTTGGTAAAGGAGATGTGGGCAGATCTCTGTTGCCTATCTCACAGTGATCTGAGACTGACAGATCAATCCGATGCGTTCCGTAATGCAGAACGAGCAAGATGCCGTATTGAGGACTGACAATGAGCGTGTCTAAGCTGGCGCTGAAGGAAGGTGTCGGGGTGGAAGAGGCGACGTCGGAGCGGAGGTTTGGCGCGGTCTAGGTGCACGGGCCACACACTGCTATGTACTACACCGTTAACCTACTCTTAGTCGTTTGGGATAATCAACTGAATATTGGATCAAAAGTGCATTTCTGGATATTTCCTTGAAATAGATATTGGAATAAAATCGCAGACTCTATACGTTCACATCGAGAAATCCCCCCTATGTCCGAACTAGCCTTCCACTCTCTCAACCTCCTGCTTATTCCACGAGGAATCCTTGTGCTCATCAATAATTCCAATATCCGCAGCAACGTTAGCCATTTGGTGAACTCCAAGCTCCTCCGTAATGCGATCGCGTCGGTGGCGGTCCTCCGCACTAGCTTCATCCGCAAATACACCATCAATCTCCTCAAGAGTCAACCCCTTCAATTCAGGCAAAACGAAGTAAACCCACAACAACCCCACAAAACAGAAACACATGAACACAATGAAAGCCTTATAACCGATATTTGTAATCTTGACAGGTGTGACCTGCGCAACTGCAAAGTTCATAATCCAGTTTACAGCAGAACCGATAGCGACTCCCTTGGCACGAATATCGAGAGACGAGGACTCGGCAGTGATAATCCAACCAACAGGTCCATATGGCAATGCGTAATTGACAATGATCCAGAAAACAAAGAAGATAGCGGCGTTACCTGCATTTTTGTGTCCTGGAAAATCATTACCGTATGTGGCAATGATGGCAGCGATAATGGCGTGGGCAATACCCATATTGGCCAAACTCCAGTAATGCATGGGCTTACGACCAACTCTGTCGACCATGAGCGCACCCGGAATCGTGAAAACGAACATCAGGATGCCTACGAGGCCAGTAGCCAGTAAGTCGACGCTTCCACCCGTGAGACCGACCTCTTCGAAAATTGTTGGAGCGTAGTAAATGATTGCATTGATTCCTAGACAAATAATCCAGTCAGAGATCATCCACACGGGTTATTGAAGGCAAAGACTGGCCTCAATTACCTGCCCATTGACCGAATGCCTGAACACCCGCTCCAAGACCAACACGATATAAAAGGACCTTTGTCGTGAAGATTCGCTTGTACTCAAGAGCTTCAGTACGCCAGGATTTCTCCTCAGTTCCATAACGTAGTCGTGAAGTCTCGCGGTCTGCATAAGGCTCAACCTTGAGAGACAAATATTCGTACTGAACTGCCGGGGACGATGGATCTTGTTTTCGAAGACGAGCCAAAACAGCCAGACACTCTTCCTCCCTGCTAACCAACATGAGCCATCGAGGCGAGTAAGGGAGGAACCATGCGCCGATTCCGAGGACGAAGGCAGGAATTATTTGGATTGGAAGCGAGATTCTCCAAGCGGCAGTTGATTGGTGTGGGTAAGTAGTTCCTCCGATGTAATTCGTTCCATACCCTATCCAATATGACACCATGATGCCGACTTGAGAGACATATTAGCTGAGAAATGAGATTTGAATGGGCTAGATGCTAACTCACAGCAAATTGATACTTGTTGTAGACCAACTAGCGTGCCTCCGATGGATGCGGGTGCAAGCTCAGCGTTGAACATGGGCACAGCGACGGAAAGTCCACCAATGCCCATACCAGCAAACCAACGTCCAGCTAAATTGAGGTCAATATCGCCGTAGTATGCCAAACTGAGAAGCTGGCTACTTACCATAGATATAAGAAACATCGGTGGTTGCACCGACCTGAAGAGCAGTGCCGAGGACAAATACAATGCACCAGGCTGAAATTGAACGCTATTTCATGTCAACGATCCATGCTTTCATATATTCTTTCAGATGAAAGACCTACCTTTCTAGAGTATTTGTCTGCGAGTGGACTACTCATTAAGGACCCGAGCATTGCTCCCAACTCTAGACACGGATGTTGTTAAGTTCTCCAGTTTCATCTTCTTTTTGAAGGCTCGCGTACCTAGAATTCCGGTGAGAAGTCTTTTGGTCGTAGAGTTGTCAAGCTGAGAAGGTGTAAGCCGCATGTCCAAATTTGGTAGGATTGACAACTTACTGTAGACGCAAGCGATGCTCAAAGTCAGACATGACTTGAACTTCACTGAACACACCCTAGAAGGAGACGACTGATCAATAGATGCACGATTTGCAGATGAGAAGATCTGGAATAGATATACCTGATTGTATCCATAGAGCACACCTCCAAGGGAAGCAAAGAGGGCCAATGCCAAACATCTTTTATTTTGTAACAGTCCGTTTAAACCCGTAGGAGAGTCAATCACGTCCCCCAAGGCGGTGATAGAACCTCGTCTCGTTGTGGCTGGCATTTTGTACTTCAGATTTGAATGTATGCAGAATCCCCGCACCAGATCTTCAATCCATTCATGCCAAACCCGGGGCGATCCTCCATCTTTTGTACCTCTGCCAAACATGGGGTGACCCCTACGCTTGGTCGACCAGGGCTGGCTATACTCCGTCTGGAGTACCCCACAACCCCATAAATTCAGGTACGCTTGACCACATGGGGTAAAACTAGCGGGAGACGGCCATACCCGGGCATTCTCCGGGCTTAGAACGCTATCTTCGACGTCACATACTATTGAGGGCGAATAACAAGTACTTTGTTGATTGGCATAATCCGGGTTGAAGTATGCAGGGCTAATCGTTTGACCGGGACAGTCAACTTGAACATTTGAAAGCAGCAACTCGGACTTGGAAGCAACGGTATATGGGGCATCTGGAGATACTTGGGTCAACTCGAACTTGCACATGTGAGCACTTAATTGCAAGATCTACAGTTGAGTTACTTAAATGACCGTAGCTATCTTTGAAGAGGGGGATTTCATCTACTGGGACAATGCTGCCACTGCACATGTGGCAGTTGACCCGTCATCTCACTCGGGTATGTCTGACTCCGAGTCTCTCGAATGTGAGCATAGTAAAGACCCGGCATAAGATCCCGATTCAACCTAAGTTCTTAAGCGGGGACGGCAGACCGAGGAGGAGAGTTTCCGAGACCCCAGAAAAGTGGAGATTTCGACAGGGCATATATTCCCCAAATAGGAAAATCTGGCGAACCAGAATCCAAAATACCTCAAGTCATCCTCGCAACTACTAGTCTAACCACTTCTTCTCGCTAGTTTTGTCCAGATTATGGGAATTCCGGGGACTAGGGAGCGGGGAATACGCAGCCGACATCATAAGACTTACGACTGAAGTCTCCCACAACTTGAAAGATCTTCAAGAATAGAGTGAAAGGAGCCTGGAAACCAAGTATAGCCATTGATGTTAATCCCTACATTTTGGTGGTAGTATTTGCCAGTGATTTTGATTGGCCATACATTACAGAGGGTCTGTGTGCCAACGAACCTGACAACTTTAGTTGAGATGCATGCCTCGACTCCATCCTTTTCGATAGATGCTACCCTTAGGTGTTTCCTCTTTATTCCGAGTTTTATCACAACATAAAAACTTATCCGTGCTATGTCACCGCTAGTTCCTATTCAGAATTCCGTCGTGCAAATATCACATTCCACCTGGCGCCTTGGCTGCAAAATCGAGTGCGATCGAATTGCCGAACCACTGGCAATTGACACATGCGCAGCTACCTGGAAAGACGAGGAACATTGGTACATTCTTCGACTTACGAAATCCGAGCAATCATCCGACTTCACGTCAGCAGATTCACCCGATGTTCGTTTGATACATGAAGGAGGCACGCTATCGGCAGTATGGGCCATCGGGAATAATGCCATTTGCAAGGTCCACCACTGCAACTCCGATACCACTTCAGAGAGTGAAACGATCAAATTCATTCAGAAAAAGGCACCTCAGGTCCCCGTACCTGAAGTGACCTATTCTTGGGTGGATGGAGATCGATCATTCTGGGGTTTGAAAAGAGTCCCCGGTATAACACTAAGAGACGCTTGGGGGATTATGTCCGCTACGCAGAAAATTTCTATCCTGGATGAAGTTGTTTGTATTTGTGATATACTAGCTTCCATTACCTCGAATCGACTACACAACGTATATGGAGGTCCAGTGTTGGAACCTTGCTCACTCTGGAAAGGATTCGTTGGAACCGTTGAGTGTGCATGAGAGTAAGAGATACTTCTTTAGGGAGGATCTTCAACCAAATCCACAAATAGGAGAACGATTCCATCTCTATCATCCTGATCTAGGACCGGGAAACATTCTTGTTTCCAATCAAAAGCTGTCCGCAATTATCGACTGGGAGTGTGCTGGATTTTACCCCCGTTTCTGGATATCAACAAAACCTTCTGTCTCCCCAGGACTGAACTTTCATCCCCCAATTCTAGGTGTTGAGGAGATTGAATGGAGAAAGCGATCCAGAATGAAACTTGAAGAACGTGGCTACCCTAAATTTATAGAATGGTTCATGGAATGGAGGAAGACAAAGTCTAGATAGTCAGCCAGGGAAATGATTGACTGACAGGCATCTTGACTGCCTAGCAATGGATAGAAACACCAGATAAGATTATTTATGTCAGACAAACAATTGAACGAATTGAAATGGAACAGATCATGTTCATATCTACGATTACCCCAGCCATTTTGAATGTTCAGTAGCCTGAAGTCCCTCATGAATCCGTTTCTTGACATCACTGCGTTTGATACATGCCGAATCCCACATCCATCATCATATTAGGGTGAACCAAAAGATAAACGAATGATAAAAAAAGTAAAATGAAAGAAAGTGAGAAAGGGAGAAATGAAAAAGAAAAGCTGAGATGATGGAATATAAATGCCAATTCCATGATATCGCTGGGCATCAGGTCTGTTTGGGTTTCCACAGGAAGCTCACAAACAAAAGCAACACCATGCTTCATGCAAGGCCGTCATCATTCGATGTTTTCAAGCTTGCCATCACCACGAGCCTCCTTGACTTGCTCAAAGACCTAGAAAAAGAATGTTAGTATTATTCTAATGAGAAAATATTTCAGAGAAAAGTGGATCTCTTACCTTCAGCATCTTGTTCCGGGCACCCAGTGCATTGACACCACGATCCTCCAAGGCCTTGTCATCAAGCTCAACCAAATCAGTCCACTTGAGATCTTTCAAGTTGTCTGTGTATTTGTGCAACCGAAGGGATCGCAGCCAGCTGGGGATGTCCTTCAGAAGAGCTGGGTCAGTGGGGTCCTCTGGTGGCTTCGAGCTACCACGGCGACCACGGGGTGAGCGACCACGAGTAACCTCAGAGTGGTCAGACAAGTAGCCCTCGCCTCCCAAGCCAAACTGTCCAATGCCCAAAGAGCTCAGCCCGTTGCCCATCAGCGGATTGTTCGGATCGTAGGCGGCAAGGAACCCATTGTTCTGCGGAGAAGTGAAGCTCATGCCGCCAAGACCACCGGCACCTTGCATAGCAATGCCCGGGGATGTGGGCCGAGAGCGGCGACCAGCCATAGCAGCTTGCTGCTGAGCCTGCAGAGCGGCCATCTGCTGAGCATTCAGAAGCTGACCAGCCAGATGGTTAGGCCCAGCCAGACCAGGGCTGGCCAAGCCCTGGGACATAGCCGCATTGACATTAGAGTTTCGTCCCTGTCCATCATTGGAGCGAGCGCGACGGTACTTGCGGGCATCATCCAAGGCGATGCGATTGTTCACGGTAGACAGAGCTGCCAGCTTCATGGCGGTCGCATTGGCCACCATATCAGCCTGAGAGTTACCCTGGCTTTGCTGCTGAGCGAAAGTTGCTGTCATGGGGGTGTTGGTCATCGACGCCCAGCTGTGATTTCCAACATTGTAGGGGGAGAGCAATGGGGGCTCAATATCCGGAGCAGGGATGTTGGCAGTCTGAGGCAGAGGGGAGCGAAGACCGGAGCCGGAGGGCTGGCTGAACTGGCCCATAGGTTGATGTCCGGAAGAAGACTTGGGCCGGGCAATCGGGGGCTGGGCGTCAGAGAGACCACCACGCTGGGCCCATGGAGATGCCGGAGGCTGGCTCAGGGTATCATTGTCAGGGCCCGAAATGGTAGGAGCAACGAACGAGGTACGGTCCCCAAATACCAAACTGTTGCGGTTTGAGGGGGGAGCGTTTCCTGTCTGTTGAGTGAATTCGGCCTTCTTCTTCGCAATCGCCGCAGCCGCATCGGGGAACATGGCATTAATAGTAGAGGAGTCGAGTGCGGAGTTGCGCTTAGCGCCAGGCGATGGTGGGGGCCGGCCCAGGGAGTTTCGTGATGTGTCCATGTTGAGCTTCGACATCGCATCATTCAAGCGGCTAGACATGGCATCTGTGAAAATTGAGATATATCAGTCTTTTCTGTTTTCATCAAGTAGAGGTGTAAGAAATGATGCAATTACCTTTTTCACCAAAATTGGCTGGAGAGAGGATCCCGGACATCGGGTGGCTCTGGGACATCTGCTGCAGAACCTGGATGAAGAATCGAATCTGCACCTGGGTCGTCTGTTGCAACAGAGCATACAGAGCCGCCGTCCGCTCAGCCTCACTCAGAACCCGGAACCACTGCTCGATCGCACTGAGCTCATCCTTGAAATCTTGGTCTAGTGTGGCGGCAGCCATCTCCTCCAGCGTAGTCTCATACTGGTCAATGTCAGCCAGCCACTGCTGAGCAGCCCGATCCAAGGCATCCTCAGTCGCATTCTGACCCTGAGACTGCTGGTTGAAGAAAATCTCGGAGGAAGGACGCATGCTGCGAGATGACAGCGGCGAGGGGAAGCCGGACATATCAGCTGAAGCTCGTAGCTGGTGGGACCCGAGGGTTCGGGCAGAGGATGGAGGACGCAGAGAGGAATTCGGAGCGGCTTCCGGAGTACTGTTTCGATTCCCGATGATATGGCTAGCCATATCTAACAGGAAAGGATAGTGTTGAGTCGAAAGGTCGAAATAGTAAATACAGTGGGGTTGGAAAAGATTACTGCAAAACACCTGCAGCACCTGCTGAGTTTGCGTAACAAAATATAAGAAAAAAAGCCCAGATCAAAAAAAATCCAGATAGATGTGGGGAGGTAAAACCCGATGGAGTCCAGAACACCGCAAAGCCCAGTCGAGTCTTAGGCGTCAAAGAATGGGGGCACAGACCAGTCCAGTGGGCTGCACACCTGGGAAGGAAGCGGATAGCCAAATGGGCGTGTGTGATGTCGGTTAGGTCCGAACGAAGGAAAGTCAGGACCTGGCAATAGTGTGTCAAACACAGCAAGCCCAAATTGGTTCTGGAACCGAAAAGAAAAGAAAACAAGAGTCGGGAGGAAGAGGAGGAGAGGTTGTGAGGGAGGGTGGAGAAGGAGAGAACTTGCGGGAAAGAAAAAGAGGCTTTTCTCGGTTTTGCAACGCGATCACGGGTTCTCTGGAATGGGAAACATCACCAACTTCACTTTCTCTTGCTTCACTGTGATTGCCAATCTTTTCTCTTGAAACTTGGATTTTATCCCCCAATCTTTGGTTTATCCATTGTGATATTCATCAAAACCTGGATTTTTTTTTAACCGCCTTGAAAAGGTGGAGCTTAGTTACTATGAATATTCACCCCTGCATCTGAGCCGTGACCATCCTTCTCAGTGCGTGATCTCGGGCGTTTATTTGTGGTCTGGGCCATGGTCCCAGCGCTTTGGGCTCTGTTGCACCTAGCCTGGACTTGATAATCAAGCACTCGATAGCAGCACATCAGCACAGCAACGGTTTGTTCAAGCTTCAAGATAACTTGGCTTACTCCGTACAAGGAGAAGAGCTAAGACCAAACCACAAATCTTATTCACCACTGTCGATCATCTGCAGTACCCCTCGATCTTGTTCGCATCGATCGCCATGGAAAACCAGGATATCCCCATGAGCACCCCGGATGAGTATTCTGCTTATCCGGATATTGACGAGGGATCGGCGTACCCATGGCAGAGTACACAAACACAGACTAACCAACATGTCTCACGGGATATTCCTACCTCATTAATTGATCCTCGACTCTATGGAGGAGACCTACCAGTTGAAGGCATACCAGCTGAAAATGCAGAGGACGCTTCGTCGGCTCCAGAGTATTATAGCGACTTATCTGACGACAGTCAACTTGATCTTGGTCGATTAGATGTTGGCGATGATGACTCGGATTTTGTGAACCAAAGTGAATCGTACGTACAATCTTGTGACCAGTGGTTCTCATACTTTGGCAAAAACTGACAGTAGTATTAGTGATGACTCTGATGAACAAGAGAGCGAAGGAGATGATGCTGACTCTGAATCTGATGGACGCCGTCAACGCCGCCGACGCCGTGGAGGCCCCTTTTCAGGTCGCTGGGGTGCTCGTGGTAAAAAAGGTGTCAAGAGAGGACCTCGAAAACCCCTTGAGCCAGGACCCGAATTCAAGATGCTGCATTCAGAAGCCACTGAAGCTTTCATTGATGGAGACTATGATCGAGCGATGGAGCGTGTGATGCTTGCAATCCAGAACAATCCTGAAATGTTTCCCGCTCATTCATTGCTGTCTGAAATTTTCTTAGCCCAAGGTCAAAAAGACAAGGCCTTGGCAGCTCTGTTTAACGGTGCTCATACTCGACCAAAGGACCCTGCAGTGTGGCTCAAGGTTGCTCGACTTGTCATGCAGCGCGCTGGTGAGGAACGCCAAAGTGCCATGAAGGACGTCATTTACTGTTACACCCGTGTCCTTGAAATTGAACCCACCAACTGTCATGTTCGGTATCAGAGAGCCGCTATCTTTCGTGAATTTGGCTACAATGCTAAGGCTGCTGCTGAATACGAACGCATCTTGCGGGATCGGCCACACAACGCAAAAGCCCTGCGTCATCTGGCGGAAGTCTACATTGACCTGAATGAGGTCCACAAGGCAATCAAATACTGGGTAGAGAGTATTAAATACTATCTGACCATCGACCCACAAACGACTCGCTTTTCGTGGTCTGAGGTGAACATTTATGCTGAGCTTTTCAGCTTGACTGGTCAACTCAGTCAGGGACTTTACGCTTTGAAATCAGTTGCAAGATGGCTGCTGGGCCGCAAGGATGATACCATGTGGGACGATTTTGATTCTGATGACCGCGAATGGGACCCGAACGATTCACCCCGACGGATTAAAACCAATGGATATGATCCGGGTCAGTGGCCCTCGGATTCCTATGGGCTTGGGCTTCCACTCGAATTGCGAATCAAAATGGGTCTCTTCCGTCTCCGGCTGGGCCATTCACACCACCAAGAAGCTCTCCATCATTTCGAATGGTTGAACCCAGACGACACCTCAGAACACGCCCGGATCTTCGACTTCGGGGATCTCTTCCGCGAGGTGGCAGACGCTCTGAAGGATACCGGATTGCTGGAAGAAGCACTTCGATTTTACATTCCTATCCAAGAAACTGCGGAACATGCAGATGTCAGCTACTACATGGCGATGGCCGACTGTTGCTTTCAACTTGGTAAAATGGAAGACGCAGAAACCTTCTATCTCACTGTTGCTGAGCATGACTCAAAGCACATGGCATCCCGAATTGCACTGGCTAAACTGTACGAAACCATCGAGATGGAAGAAGAGGCAATGAAGTATGCCAATGAAGCTATCTTAATTGGCCGGCAGGAAGGTAGGATACGACGCAGGATGGATGCAAGGCTAGAACAACTTGCAGAGGAGTTCAGACGAGCAGATATGGTTCTTCCTAAACAATCCGCTCCTCAGACAGCAGCGACCTTGACCACTTGGGAACCCACATATGATCGAGGAGATGAAGGGGTCAGTGAGGAAGCTTCACGAGCAGAGGATGCCCAATATCTGTATAAAAAGTTACTGGATTTGGATCCCCAGATGAAAGAAGGTGTTCCCAAAGCTGTTCAAGACTGGCTCGACATTGCCGATGCTCTGCTCCGTGATTTCCGCTCTAATCGAGTCTTCTACCCTATGGCGCGCACAATGGAGTTCCAAGGATACCACAAGAAAAGCGACAGGAGCAGGGAATATACTCTGCTTGATGAAGCTCAAGAGGTTGCGGGTCGCATTCAGAAATCCACAGGCGATAGTCGGCCAACTGAACCTGTCCAGGATAGTGTTCCTAATGAATACTATGGGATCCCATTCGATGAGTGGCTCGACATGTTTCTTCAGTACGCTCTCGTTATTACGGAAGAGGGTGAGCCCGAAGAAGCATACGAAGCTCTTGACTCTGCTGCTGTTGCCAACATCTGGATTCACCAGAAGCGAAAATTGCGCATGATTCATGTCTGCTGGTTCACCTGTGCTCTGCGAGCTCGTGACGAAGAGGCCCTGATCCAGGAGGCCCGGTGGTTTATCAAAGAATATCAGTTCGTCACGGACACCTACCGACTCTTTTCAATGCTGAGCTATCTTTCTGGTGATACACACAAACCTCTTTTCCATGCCTCTCCAAGTATGAAATTCATGCTTCGGCAGATCAAGGCAATGGACTTCACTATTCCGGATGGTCCAGATAAACCTCAAGTTGTTCGACAAACCATCTGGAAGGAGCAGGCAGCTCTCTCAACCCGAGATGAAAATGGGAAAAGAATCCCAGCAGAGTCACTGGACATCGCCATCATTGTTCTCTACGGCCACATCCTTTATTCAGGAGGTAGTTTCTACCCAGCCTTGAACTATTTTTTCCGAGCATACGCTCTTGACGATCAGAACCCAATGATCTTGCTATCCATAGCGCTTTGCTTTGTCCACCACTCTCTCAAACGTCAATCTGAGAATCGACACTACCTCATCTCGCAAGGAATTGCGTTCCTCGGTGAATACCGTCGCGTTCGATCGAAGCCAGGAACTCTTCTCTCCGAACGACAAGAGATGGAGTTCAACTGTGCACGGGTATGGCAAAGTCTGGGGTTATCTCATTTGGCCGTGACAGGGTATGAAAAGGTGCTTGAGCTTGGCAAAAAGATCCAGCAACAAGCTGTCGAGACATCATCGACGACCGATGACACTGATGTGGTTATGGGTGAGGCGGACCAACCCACACAGCCTGTAACCCCAACCTCGTCGAAGTTTGTAGAGGACTTCACACGCGATGCAGCGTATGCCCTTCAATGTTTGCATGTTTTCGGAGGGGATGAAAAGAAGGCAATGGCTGTCACGGAGGAATGGCTGGTGATTTAACTTAGAAAGATTTGCCTTCTTGAAGGGCCCATTTCGCTGTGTACCATACCATATGAATGAATGAGTGGAAGGTTTTTTCAGATAAAGATACTAAATTAATTCGTCATAAATCCTAATCTTACAGTGTTGTACATAAGAGCCCCTTCTGTTGATCTGCATAGTCAACATCCGTAAATGCTGACAACCCTCCATGCTGACCCACATCCAGTCTCTCCAACAACTTCACCTTCGTCTCAGCTTTCCACCACCTTCATCTTCATCTTATTCCCCGTACTCTCTCCAACTTCTTCTCAGTTCACCGTCATTTCTCTGACGGCTTCTTCTCAGCTCACCTCAACCTTGGTACATACGTACTTCACCCGTGCTCGTATGGTTGATGATATGTTGGTAGATATCCTCGATACGCATGAAGTAAGTAATCGAATTAAAGTAAGTTCTGGCGTTAACCATACCAACTACATACTTCTCTCGGGTGAATACCAGCGATCCAGTGTCGCCGGGGGCTGAGAAACGATCGCTACCAATACCAACGACGGTCGAGGCCAGTGTTCTCTGCTCTCCATTTTCGCCACGGTCGTAGACAACATCAGCAAGAGGGTTGAAATCTCCCTTGGTGAGGGCTCCAGAGCCATGGCCCAGGAGATACAGCGGGCCATCAGTGAGGTCTCGATCATGATCGTCGGGGAAATCTCTCAGGAAGCCAGAATCAACCTGTTGAATGATTAGTTCCGCGTCAAAGAGGGAAGATGGTACAATCAAGATACTTACAGCATTGTTAGGAAGACGCTCATCATACAGCTCAATGAGAGCCCACTCAACCTTGACCTTCCACCTATCTCCAGTATCACCCCAAGTAGAGGACTTCTTGATGGTTTGGTTCATGCCAGATCCCATTCCAACAAATCCCAACTTCCGTCCTCGGTCCTTGTGAAAGTTGTCAAGTTCGTCGAGAAATTTCTTCGCCTCTCTAGCCGGCTGTCGAAACGGAAGACTCAGGTCTATCTTAGCCGCCTTTCCCACTCCCTCGACGTAAGTGGTGGGGTATGGATCTCTGTTTGGGAATCCCGTATCAAGCTGCAACTCGACCCGCTTTCGTTGGTTCTTCAAGGCACGGATAGTCGGCTGGTCAACGGTTAGGTATTCTTGGATTTTGTTATCCATGGCCTCAATGCCCTTCTCACGCCATTCCTTGATCTCTATAAAAGAACAGGTTAGATATGCATTAACAGCCACGTATATCATGAAACGTACTAGGAACGAGAGATGACGGAACACTCTTTGCATCAGGCACCACACAATGGAAGCAGGTTAATCCATACATGCACCATTCACCGTCCGGTGACAACAGCTCAATGAAACCACCCAGAGACCAGGACTCATTTTTGTTGCGGCTGGGAGCAATGCTTTGTCCAACCTTTGCCATTCCAGAAGATAACAGCGCCCGGTTAACACCTCCACTCTTCGAGGGATCGGTTCGAATTTCATCTTTGGCGATTTCCACAGCCACCTCTGGATATTTGAACTTATCCAGAATTGCGACAATTTGCTCGCGAGTGGTCTTCCATTCTAGAACACTGCGGGAACTCACAAGGACAAGGACAGTAGGGATTGTGTGCTTCAAATCCTTGCTTCTGCCGCGTCGGTAGCAGCCAAAAGAGATTACATCCTTGGAGTCAATGGTAGCCGCAATCTCACGCCGGACCTCTGACCAGAGGCCAGCAATGCGATCATCCTTTTGGATCGGGAAAGTGTATCGGGGGCTTTCATAACCCGGGTGAATGATTTCAACAGATACATCACGCATTTTCTCAAATCGCAGGAACTGGCGAATATCCTTTGAAGCATTCAGCCATGTATGGTTGATACCAGTGCAGTAGATAAGACAGGTGAAGGTAGGTTGGGGCTCAGGGTTAAAGCACGAGCGTCTGCCAACGAACTTGACGGGGCAGTACGGTTCAATTTCATGTTTCTTCAGAATCTCATAGATGGTTTTGATGATTTTGTTCTTTGGGATCTGAACACGGGAAACGATGACATGGGGAGAGTAGTTCTCGATGGTTTGAATGGGAATCGAACATAGATATGGACCACCGACTCGGTGGACCTCATTGGTGAACCCGTCGATAAGGTCTCCTTTGTCGTCACTGCATCCAAGGCAACGTCTCTTGCGGCCATCATCACCAATAATGCCGGCTTCAGTACGATAGGCTCTTGGTTGGATGCCTTCATAGTAAGCCAGGTCGAAAGGTTGAGGTCGTCGATAGTCCCCACCCGCCATGAATGCCTTGCCTTTCCAATATGGAGCAACAGGAGATGCGTAGGCTAACTCAGAGTCGGATCCTCTTGACTGAATACGCGCATTATCCATATTGAAAGACATGATGAGGAGTGGGGAGGATAGATAGCGAAGGAGGTTGTTTAAGGATGGAAAGTGGTTAATGGAGGGGTTGATGGGATGAAGAAAAAACGTCCGAAGTCGAAGAAGATGTAAACAATGGACGTCTTCAGGTGTCTACCTTGAGGATGACGTGATGTTTGCTCCGGTAGACGGAAAATATAGAATTTCCAGGTGTAAATTGTCTCGAGGCTTTTGGTGTGGCGTTCTAGCAAACGGCCTCTTGGGGCTTTTCATGTGCCGTCCAACTCTTAACATCTTCATTTTGGGGGATTATCCTTTACTGGAGGCTTCTTTCTTGCTTTTATTATTCTTTCACAATATTTGACGCTATTCATGTCCAGAAAATGATGCATAGTCGATGTATCTTGGGTGGCCTGAGCCTATACTGCTACTCTGTTGACCATTGGTGGTTCAAAAAGAGCTGCCAACCATATTTCTGCTTAATTTATCAGCTAGGCTCCAGCCTCTCCTATCATTGTAATTGCTAGGATCAAGAGGGACATTTGCAAAAGGGGAATTACTGCTAACTCTGCTCTGGGTGCGAGAGGGTTTGTCAGAGTTCTGGGCTCGTGAAGTGCTGGTGAGCCTCAATATTGACAATTCTTTCATCAAACCTCCATTCGTTCATCAGGATTTCTCTTTGACTTTGGAGGTTCCAGTACTCCACCTTCTACTGGCCTTGCTTTTCCTGGCCTTTCTGCTTCACATCATTGTCATCACCTTTCAGCATTCTATCGGCAACAAAGAAGTTAGCAAAGAAGCAGAGATTTATGATAGAAACAATTATGATGAGCACCACTCTAAACGCTTTCATCTTTATATCAAGAATCTGAGAGTGGTATTTCTCAGTGCTAGTATCACTGCTACTCCAGCTCCCTTCCAGCACCTCTGATAAAAGATCTGAAGGAATGGCTGAGCGTAACGATGATTCTATAGCAGCGTTTTGTACCGCAGTTGAAATAGCAACACCATATACGGATCCAAGAGACCGTAGCAGGTCTCTAGTAGATGTTGCGGCACATAATCAGCAAACTTCAGATTTTCGATGGAACCAAGAGTATATTACCTGGTTGATGAACCAAGCCAACTCCAGCACCTTCAATCGCAAGAACAATGACATATACTGCAATATAAGTATGTTGAGTAAAGAGTAGGTTGAGACCTGCTCCTAGTGTCCAAATGAGAAACCCTGCTCGTAGGACTGGTGCATATCTGAGAGTTCAGGTTAGAAGGGTATACGCTTGTAATGAAGGTATAATACCTAGCAAATCGGCTCATCAAAGGCCCAGAAGCAGCACCAACAAGACTTTGCGCGAGCACATAGGGTAAAATCAGAGTAGCACTCTCCAGAGGAGAAAAGCCACGAAGCTCCTGAAAGTAGAGCGGCATGAAATATTGTGCGGCCTACCACAAATAGTCGTGTAGGGCATCAGAAACCAGCATGATAGTGAGAGATTGCTCCTTGAACAGATGTAATGGTATAAGCGGAATATGGGCAAGCTTTTACCCTCATTAAAGATGAATATAATGAGAGATAAACTCCCAAGGACAAGAAGTTTAATAACCAAAGCACCATGCCATGGCCATATACTCCAGAGTTAATTGGAATCTGTCAAGTTGATATTCAGCTATAAATCCCAAACAGAAACTACTCATCGGATGAGGAAATGTTACCAGTAGTAGAACAATACCTGTGAAAGAAGCTAAAACTCCATACCAATCAACCTTTGTTGCTTTTTCCCGCCAGCTACCATTCACTGGCTTCAAAGGCAATAGAAAAACAAGCACCATCACATATACAAATGCGAGAATAGATGGAACCCAGAACACCCATCTCCAGCTATTCTCACTCTTCTGGACAAGACTGCCGGCAACAAATGGTCCAGCCAGAGCACCCATGCCGATAGCAATACTTACCATACCCTGATACTTCCCACGTTCTTTCAAGCTCACCAATTCACTAACAATAATTGCAACGAGTAAGCTGATTCCCCCAGCCCCAATCCCGCTCAGTGTACGCGTGAGATATAGCCAAAGAGCACTCTGTGCCCAGCCGGACAGAAGGTCGCCGACAAATATACATCCGAAAGATACAAGGAGGACAGGTTTGCGACCAACGATGTCGGATATACGACCATATAGTGGCTGAAAGACTGTTTATCCGAGCAGAAAGGCAGTTCCCGCCCAGATGATTGTTGTTCCTGCTGAAAGAGCCTTTGAGATAGTTGCTAGAGCGGTTGTGGTTGAGTTCATGTCAAGATAGGATATAAAATAGCAGGCGCAGAGGCAAAGATAAGCTGCAATCAGGCGCGTGAATGAGAGGCGTTGAGTCTGATCGTGCAAATCAGGCTTCTTTGTGGCAGGAGATTTGAGGGTTTGTTTCTACACTCATTGTTGAACTTGGTAGAAGGGTCGTAGATAGTATTTTTTTTCATCCGAATGTTGGTAAGATAACACAAATCAAGTACTAAAAAGAGCTCTGGAGCTGGCCCTCAAAGAAGTAATAACGGCCTGGAGGCATTATAGAGAATCATTATGTGAGGCCCCGGAATTCCCAAGTTGGTAACCCGGATTAGCTCTACTAGGGCTTACAATAAAATAATACACGACCTTTAGGAAGGTGAGCACGGGACCTTATTCCCTTACTGGAATCATTATTTATCTGTATTCCAAGGTTATGGCCATTCCTCAACTTCTCAAATGTTGAAAGGTACTACATGCACGTGTGTGTGCATCAATGGTATACATACTGACAGCTTGAAAATACTATCTATTATCACAGCCTCTTATATTACTAGTAGTGATACTACTTCCAAGGTTCCTTGTATAATCCAACTTGAAATGGTGCGAGAAACCCAGGTGTCCAGGTACCTATTTTGTACGCGAAGTAAGATCATTTTTGTGGAGTATCAAACCCCCTCAAGCTGTAGAGTGCTATATGTCTAGAGTGATTGAAAAAAACCTCTTTCTTAAAGACTTTTAAAACAAACAAAGTGCTGAAAAAGATGCGACTCATATTAGGACAGCATTCTGAGTCCTCCGATAATCAGATAAACAGCCCCCCCCGCATGATGTGATATCTCTGACCGAATGATATGCCAGTATCACTTCATTGCTTCACTAAATGATGCCATCGAATTTAGATCCCCCTCTTACCGATGCATTAAAAGAAGAAATTCAAAAGAGGTCAGACCTCGACCTTTGTCAAACCCAATTTCGCAAAATAGAATATTCTTTGAAGTTCATTATGGCTGTCACATTTGAGCCCTTTGCTGTTCCAGGATCCCAACACATCCAGGGTGAGGCCTTTCCATATGGACTTCGAGTTCAACAAAATGCCAATGGTGAAACTTCGACCCCCGCCATTAACGACTCTGTGGCTGCGCTAGCCCAGTTGGCGGAATCTGGGCAAATTTCTGAGCTTCTACGCAAACATGGTGCTATTGTCGTCAGCGGTTTAGGTCATCCCGCAGGAGAAAGCTTTGAGAAGCTGATAAATGCTATTGAAAGAGGTCGGGGCTCGGTACCCCATGTACAGATCGGCCTTGCTGGAAAGCGAAATGTCGTTGCGGAAAACGTATGGACTGCCAATGAGTGTCCATCTGATCGTCGATTTTATCAACATAATGAGGTAAATCGCCTTTTCTGCTCTTATCCTCGTGCTTTCAATAAACCTGAAGCTGATTGATGTGTACCAGTATTCTCGATATACCAGATTCCCAGCCAATATTCATTTCTATTGTCAGAAGAAAGCATTAGAAGGTGAGTTCTCATGGTCAATGACATCGATGGCATTGTTAACCAATAAACAGGCGGCGAGACCCCAGTAGCACATAGTGCTCTTGTTTTCGAGAAAGTCCAAGAATCCATCCCGGACCTAGTCCAAAATGTCCATAAGCGGGGACTCGCCATGAAGATGGCATTTCGAGCACCTGGCAACGAGGGCGTTGGGAACGAATTCAACTGGGCTGGGAAGTATAGCTTTGGCCAAGAGTTTCAGCCTGGTGATGATCGCGCGACGCAAAAGGCCAAAGTTGAGGTTCAAGTCCAAAAGCTCACGCATGACTTTCGATGGACTGAAGATGATAACCTCGAGCTAACACAGTATATCCCGGGTAAGTTATCTGCAACCAATGTTTTTTGATAGTGACTCGGAGTTGACGGTTGCATCGTGTAGGTATTCGACGAACACCTGCAGGTGGACGTCCTGTCTGGTTTAATGGTCTAGCTGGCCGCTTTGGCATGACGCGAGATGCTGGAGCTCTGGATCCGCCTTATTTGGGTCGCGACGGGATGACTTGTGAGTTGTATCAAAGAGTGATTGGCACTATTATTCTAATTCTTGTCAGATTTGCCTTGCAACTATGGTGATGGAACCCCGATTCCACGGGAATACCTTGAGAAATTGGACAAGATATTGAATGAACTGGAGGTAAACCTTGCATTGGATGAAGGTGATATGCTTCTTGTCGACAATTTTCAGGTATCTCATGGGAGGAAGCCATGGAAAGGAGAGCGCAAGATCCTGGTTAGCATGTGGGAGGGTGCAACTCCAATCCAGGAATATTAGATTGAAAAGTCGCCACAAGAATGCTCTCGGATTTACCACTATTCAGTCGCAAGTCGCGGATAGTGGTAAAGATCATGATGCAAAGTGGAAGTACAATTCGTCGCACACTCAACATTTGAAGTGCTACCTAGTACATGTACTTGTTGCTCTCCAGGCTGGATTGCGCCCGGTGTACCATGTGCACATGTGTCTACTCTAATGCGAGATCGTCATGAATTGAGAGGGACATCACATCACGTCTCTGAATACTCAGATACCAAATTGCATCTTACTCTTCGTTACTGCCCACCTGTAATTTGGAACGTTCTATACCTCAAGGTTAAACCATGCTGACCTCTCTAGCATAGATGATAATCAAGCAAATTAACTACAATTTAGCATAGAGGGGCCAACCCACAAAAGGAATATAGTAGATGACAGCATCAAGCCGAGTCTCACACTGCATTAGCGTCAGTCCTTTTATCTGATAGAACTTTGAATACTCCTCATGAAAAGCGACGTCATCGTGCTTCGGCAATGTACGAGAGTGCCACAAACTAAGTTGACCAGTCCACAAAAGCCCCACTATCGTCGATCATGACACCGAATCTGCACGCATTAGAATCCTATCACATATCCTATACGCGATATCGACAAGGATCCCTTGGGAGTTTCGCCTGAAATGAAATGATATTCGTACACGTCGTAAGGTTCAAAATGATAAAAGTATATTACATCGCTTTCGCTTTCCCCGCACTATCCATAACCTTGGAAGAAACACGCAAATCGATAGAGGGGGGAAAGGCAAAGAAAATGGGAACCCAATCAGGGGAGTATAATCGTAAATGTCGTAAGAGAAGGAAAACGCAAAAAATAAGGTTTGTAGTTAAAACGTGTATCAAGGCTGAAAAGATAGAAAAGAGATAAAACTCCATGCGAGAGAGGTAGTATCCCGAAAGAGGCGACCAAAGCGGGGGCAGAGAAGGGAAAAAAAGCTATTTGAAATGATTAAAAAGAAAGATAAGTCAAGGCGCGCGCGGACATATTGATGAGTGTTCCCCGAGAGTACCCGTAGTCCAGTATTGATCAGCACTAGCCGCCTGTCATATCAAATATCGTATCGGGCGGGAAGTACCATGACGGAACACAAGGCTGCAGGTGTCCCGAATGAGAAAGACCCTGCTCAACGTCATAAGAGCTGGGACAGATTTCCGCCCAGTGGGGGGGTTCAGCCGCCCGAACTCACCTGGGCACACTCAGGTGATGACTGCGCCTTCGTCACCGAAAATGTCGTCGTCAAAGAAAACTGCCGACTGGCGGCGCATCTCCTCCATTAGGCTACCCCTTCTAGGATTTGAAGTTGGGGTTTGTGGGCGAGAGGAGGCTGTTGATTGGGACATCGTTTCTTCGGTAGATTCTCCTTTATAGGCGGTGTCATGGCGTTCAGGAAAATTCTCATCCAATCGCTCGACCAACGCGTCCTCGTTTTCTGGAAGCGGAAGCCGACGCGATAAAATGGGAGACAAAGAACGACCTGTGGTGGAACACTGCTGGAGCCCTCTCATGATAGCGTTTTCGATGTTCAGCCGGTTCTTGATAAACTGGATTTTCGGGAATGCGCTTTGCTGACCGACGTGGATCATGCGCGCAAGCCGTTCGGGGGTAGGGTCAGACAGAATGTGAAAAAAGTCCGAAAGAATGACTTTTCGAGGCCAGATCGTGACTGTGCCACTGAACTGCTGAAGCCAGAGTTCACTCCAGTCTTGACCCAGTGGTCTGGGTAGAAGTTCGAGGTGTCGGAGTACCCGAAGCCATTTATTCAAGTCTAGTTTGATATACTGTTCGATTGCAGTGCCCAGAAAGCCACCGCGCCACCCACGACCCTTGCGATGGGTTACTGGTCGGCCAACAGTTCCTCGTGAACTGAAAAAGAATAGATTGACATGCGGGTTGACCTAAAAAAAAATTAATATCAATATCAGCCTCCTTCAATGTGAAAAATGATTGGTGGCCCTATGCATACCTGTGACACGATCGTAAAGTTCACGTTGAAATGAAGGTTAAGCGATTTGATGGGGATATCAGTCCTCAGACTTCCATCCTTCCACTTATGCCCGAAAGAGTAAGGTGCAAGCGTCCCATCACGCTTTTTGTACATCAACACAACTGGATTCAGAATACCCGGCACAGCGGCAGAGGCAAGCACAGCGCTCCAAATGACGCAATCCGGAGAAGTCAGATAATTTGCCAAAATAGTCGGAGAGTGAGGATCAGAGGGAACACAGGACACATTCAATATACGGCCCGTTCGTTCATAGGCTTCTCGAAACGTGGTCGAACCTCGACAAAACCAACTACATTGCTTGGCCCAGTCTAACGTATCAAACCGAGCACCCGTATTCCACCAACGGCGAAACCAGGTCGGAAACCCTTCATGACAAGCGCGGATCCGATGTGCCAAAGCGGGGACCAGCAGCTGTTTTAGCTCGGCGTCAGTGCGAGTCGCCACCAGGCCGGCAACCAACGCTCCACCGGAGGTCCCTGTGATGATCTCAGGTAAGATGTCGTTATCTAACAACGCCTTGACTACTCCAAAGTGATAGTAAGCAAATGTGGCACCGCCAGAAAGACAAAGCGCCGTCCGGCCGAAATTCGTATCAAGGTGTTTGAAGTGTCGTTTCTTAGTGTCTTTGTCAATCTGCTTACTATCCAAGACCAGCTGGACACAGGTATGTACCTCATCAACGTATTCCTGAACCAGCTGCTTGGTCCCGGAGTAAGTCTCACTATAGATGCGAGGATTCTCTACCCCGGCGAAATTGTTCTTGACACACGCCTCCAGCAAGGCACACAGGTCTTCCAATGCGGCTGATTCCCCGGCGGCCTCGCGGCCATGCACCAACTCGGACTCGGCCCTCCCTTTCTCCTTTTTTAACTCTGATACCACCTTGGTGATTGTCTCGTGGTCGTAGTAAGCATAAGCATCCGCCTGCTTCCACTTATCATTTCCAAGATGGGCATCCAACGCTTTCGCTGAACTAAGCCACTCCAGGTAGCTCGTCTTAGCTGACAGCTCCTGGCGCAATCGCTCTCGCTTGCCTCTCCATGTAACCCATTGTTCATACAGGAAGATGTACACTCGGACCAACACGTAGCCACAGCTCAAAAATATAATCCACGCGAACACGGTGAATAGGAATGGCCACTTGAGGACTGTGTATAGAACTCCTTCTCTCGTTTCATCCGTGCTTCGTTTCGGAGCCTTGCAACGGCCTCGTGTCTTGCGGACGCGTTGGTTGATGGGTCGCCAGTCGTTGATGGCTATCAGTGGAGAAGCTTCGGGGGCGTTCAGAGCTCTCTCGAAGCGGTGGAGCTCGTCTGGATCGATAAATTCATGATCGTAATCTGGCAATCCACTAGGATCATAGGGATCAATAAGTGACGCCTTCTCCTCCGGCATCTTTCATTGCATACTGCCCAGGTGAGAACTGAAGACATATACCAATCCGAATCCGGTTGGCCCCAACGACCAGGTCTACGTCAGTGTCACATGATGTATAATGAGTCAGCAACCGTTGCCCCGCTCTAAAGATAAGGAACCAGTGATCCATGGTTTGCATAGTTTGTTTTGGATTTGGAAGTAAGAAAAATGATCAACATTGGAATTGTATAGTGGGGTTGATCATCATACTGGAATCTATTTCCATTGACCTGTTCTTCCTCATACGTAAGAATCCTCCCGAGGTTCAAACTATTGAAGTCAATTTCAATTTTCTTCAATGCCCCTCCATGATAATGTTCCCCCCTCGCGGGGTATCAAACATATCAATGGCCTCTTATTATCTTCAGGGCTCCAATGAAAAATTTTCACCATCATGCGACGCTAATTTGGATTCGGCATCCCGGATATAGTCCGTACGAGTAATGCGAGTTCAAACCTATCTGTTACGCAATTTGCTCCGAATTCATCCATATCCATCTTCATGGTACGACCAAGGATATGGATGAAATTTCCAAGACGCCATATACGTAGAGATATACTAAGAAGAAAAAAGGGCATGAAACCTTAATCGCCCCGGGATATATGGTAGAGCTTCACCGCTAGATGCCAGCCCGTTCAGATCTCGCAGCATAAAACCAGTTCACGATGGTGATAGGTTATAGAAATTGAATTTTAGTTTGATCGGAGGCGAGATGGGGGCCCAGGAAAGCACCCTATGGGCTGATGCCTTGGTGAAGGGCCCCTCTTTAGCCGCCCACGGGCTGGCAACATCGGCAGGAAACAGTAGCGAGTCCCACTAATGTATGGAACTCCATTTGTAGCTCTGTACATATGTAAATGTACATATGTAAATGTACATTGTGTACGGAGTAAGTCCGGAGTAAAAAAGACTAAAAGGATTTGACACTAAACCCCAAACATAAGAAGTGTCAAGCCACAGAGTCACCTGACGGGATGATGTGCATCTTGGGGGTTAATTATGATAATTAGCCTCGATTCTTTCCTAATTCTCTCTCTCCAGGGCTGCCGTGCTCTGTACCTCCGTAATCATCTCTAATCTTCTCCAATCAGCTGGGGATGTTGATCACGCCGATCTTGGATTTCTCGGACGTGATAGTGGAATAAGCAAAGAATGAGAGCAGAAGCAAACATACGCATGGTGCGTCCCGACGTCGCTTTTCTTTTCCCTTTGAGCCTCGATCTGGTTCTTTTCTTTTCTTTTTCCATTTGCTCGGTCCCCCCGATACATCATTTTCAGCTGCCTTCTCGCCTCCCACCAAATCGTGCTGAAAAATGATCATGAGGGGGAATAGTTAAGAAGTACGCGTCGCAAACATGAAAATAAAGGATTTACTGCGCGGTAGCCGCCACCATTTAGAAGGTGATCAAAGGCTACTCCGTTCTTGGTAAATGGAAAACTAAGTGTGACCCTCCAATGACGGAGGTATGTGCGCCTTTTCCTTAAGGTGCATAGGTTAGTGTCCACCATAGCGCTCCGTAGTTATACTAGTGTAGTCCATGTAGTCCATACAAGGGAATGTTCGGAGTCCACCCTTCAAATCTTCCCCAAAAAAGCCCAAAAAAAGTAAAGGAAAAAAAAACTAAAAAAACTAAATTGACCCCAACCTTAGCCGCATCTGTGTTTGGCCCTTTGCAGATCGCTACGGAGTACACCAAAACTGTGGCGTGAGTACGTCAAAAAAGTAAAGATGCAGGTGCAGGGTAGTCCACCGGTGGCTTGGCGGAGCTGCAAATGACTTCTGCATCTTATCCAATAAGAGTTATCATCCTCCGATGATTTACTTATCGTATCCTCGTGCTGGATCGACAAGGGGGAGAAAGTCCGGTCCACGAGAGAGACGTCAAATTGTGCCCCTTTTGACATGATTGACATGATTCATTTCATTACGGATTACTTCCCACAGAGTACTGCGTACGTATTCAGTATCTACCAAGGGGGCGGGGCAAGTTGAATCCAAGTTCTACAATATCATGTGGTTTTAAACCCCATTTTTTAACCCCTCCTTGATCAGCATGTTTTTTTTACTCCAGTGTCTCCCATTAATCCCATGTGTTTAGCATTCCTGATCTAAGAGGATCCCAATCAAAACACTACACCGTAAACCGAGACTACTCCTATCTGGAGGTAATCGCGAAGTCAAGATGAAGCCACGGCCGAATCCTCGGGGCTGGGGTGTAATAAGCCGTAAGGATTGGTGCTATTTAACCCCCCAATGCAAGGATGCCTGCATGCGAACTCCTTGCAACTGCATCAAAGTAGGCTAGGATCCAACGTTGAACCGAGCGTCTGCAACATCCGGGGGTGAGGAATGTTGAACGAGACCGTGCTTGTTGTACATTCATAGATAAAACATCTCCCCGCGTTCTGGGCATCGCGCTTGGATTTTTTGAAGGATGGGTAAGGAGACGAATCAACCTTGATTCTCTAATCCTTCCCTCGTGCATGTCTGAAACGTTTCGGAAACCCGTCTTGAGTGACCCGAGGTCGGAGAGACGACCTATCCAATTCTACTCGCTAACGCGGGCCCCGTCACATAGATTGCATTAATTCCGACTTAATTGGATCCGAGATGAAGGGATTTCGTTGAACCATGGATCGATCATCCTAAGAATCTGTGAATGTAAGAATGTACGAAGCGGTGTGCCTTGTATAGCGTGATGGAGGGGTAAGAAAAGGTGGAATGCTTCATATTCATGGAAGTTTTTGATGTCATCCATGTTATCGTGGTTTATTTTTTTTATTATTACTTTTGTTTTCTTAAAAAAAAAAAAATTCCTAAAATCGGGGGGGAGTTGACTCCACTTTGAAGTGGAATGTCAGATGTCAGTGCGAGCTGACTCGGATCATCCCAGATAGCGTAATGCGCATGGCTCATTGCAGCTGATCATTGGTTCAACTGGATGGTTCATGGATTCAACACCACTAAACACCACTAAACGGCCCGCGCTCGTCTTCATTCTCCGTGCGTGACCCGGGTTTATTCTCATAAATAAATTAAATAAAAAAATAGATTGAGTCAAGTTAAGTCTCGGGTTAACCAGATCTTGATCTGCTGCACGAAAAAAAAGCATACTGCATATGATCAACCCCAATTCAGTAATAGTATAATATTGTAAAGACGGGAGAACTTCCAAGGTTAGGATAATAATAGTGGAATATCTGTAGGACGTCCTTCCCGCGTATAAACCTTGGAACTTATTATATGACTCTGAAATAAGAAAAAAAAAACCATAAAAGCGGGCCAAATGAAGAGGGCACGGGGCAACTGGACGCTCGTAGGCTACTTTTTATCCCGGCATTCTAACCCGGGCTGCATTACCATGCATATCAAGTGGCTGTATGTAGGTGGTGTGGACACTATTTTGAAGCTATTCCTTTCATGCAAATGATTGATCTGTTTTTTTCCTTCTCAGTTAATCTCCTTCTCATATCCTCATATCCCCGAAATCATATCAGTCTTCATGATAATCCATGTCCCGTCGATCGGGGCCAAAGGAGGGGTGGTAACTTGGTACGACCCACTTCATGATGGGCCATGATCGACTCAGAATGTTGATAAATGATTAAAAAAGAAACATTATATGGACCAACGGATAACCGGAGCAGCATCATGAGCATTCTCAATGGGTAAAAGAGTTTTTAGGAAGAGATTTCGGTCGATCCAACCGAAGGGTCTGATAGACGCGAGTGCTCGCCCCCTCCATGCATACAGGTCGCCACTCCCACCTAGGTTTAGCATGGGCGTAGCTGCAGGAAATTAGCAACCATTTAAATACTAGTAAGAGATTTATAAATAAAATCGTACATATATTACAGACATTGGAGTCACCGGAAGGTATGAATTCGGGATTAATCTACTACTATTACTAAATAGATTATACTAGTAAGCCCCAAGGTTATTGGGATAACATGATACTAAGATGAGACATAGAAGGTGAGGAGGTCAACAGATGTACATAAAAGAGTCAAAAGTAATCAGATTAAGATAATTATAAAATAAAAATGAGAATATATAATATATAATAAATAAAAAAGGATCAGACCATTCATGTTATCAAGGTTAAGACCCCGAACAAGGTTTAATGCGATTAAAATTCGTTACCTGTAGGTACTGTACTGTAGTACTGAAGTCGTATTGTTATCGTGATCATCATATTTAGGCGGTTACCCCGTCCCCTTCCTCCCCCTTTAACCTACCTCCCTCCTCAAATTTTTGGAAGATCCCCTTAGATCTTCAGTGGACTCGAGTTTATTCAATTCGAGTCACTACACACTCCTTTCGCAAAGAGGTATCTATTCTTGAATCCTTTTTAACATCTACTGGCGCTAACTGATATCCCCTAGGCGACACACTCCTTCTATCCCGTATCTGGTTGCACCCACCAGAATGTCGCCCGTCTCTGATAACGTCTGTTGAACGATCCATCTTCAGAGTTCTCCAGGTTGGGGTATTTGATCTTATTTTGTGTATTTCGGCCTGGTTCTCTTGCTTTCCATCATGGAGAAGCTGAACACTGAAGATGGACAACTCTTCATCAAAGTGAGTTTGAAGTTGTTTTTTTTTTCTTTCTTTTTTTTTTTCTCAGCCTCGACGACCCACTTTTGGACCATGTCAATTCAACGTGTCGCATGGATTGCTAAAACTTCATTCTCCCTAGAACTTGGCCAGCTTCGTTCGAACCCACGAAAAAGCCCTCGCAAACGCTTTGCAACTTCGGCGACAATCCAATGCCGGAACCCCACAGTCACCCACGGGTTCAACCTCCAACGCGGCGGGTGCTTTCTCATCCACCTCGTTAGCCTCGGCTTTATCCTTCGGAGCCTTGAAGTTTGCATCCCAAAATATCAAACCCGCGAAGCTGACTCTCACCCCTCATCACCTCTTCTACCTCCTCTCGCGCTTCGAGGATTTATCCATTGCCGTGGGGCCTATGAATGTCCGGCTGGAGAATATCCACACCGAAGTGTCGCAGTCATATGTCTCTTTCCTGAGTAAACCACAACGGTCCAAGGGAGGCGATGGAGCCTCCATTCACTCCGTTTCTAGCGTGCGTAGCGTGATGTCCGGTATGAGTGGACTCTGGTCCTCCTTTGGTCTTGGATCGAAGGACTCTGCTTCTAAGACCGAACGGGCCAAACTGGCCTTGGAAGCAGATCTAAAATATCTTTATTCTGCGTTCACCAAAATCCCCTGTCTGCGGCTGGCACCAGACCACCGAGCCTGCTTGATCCGGGGCTATGAAGAATTTCCATTCGATACGGCTGTGCCGCTTCATTCTTTCAAAAATTTGAGTGCTTTAGAGATCATTGATATAGACTACCGTTCTTTCTATGGTTGGGACCGGTTGTCGGAGCAGCTTCGAACTTTGTCCATCAAGCGGGCTCATCTGGATGACCCAATGGATCTGCTGACGAGAATCGTGTTGGATGACATGGATAAGCGCCGCCGACGCTCCACCAAGACTCAGTCCCCTCCTCTTGGCTGGAATAACAGCTCCAGTACCCAGCCCGTCCACGCCCCCGATCATACTTCCATCTCCGCACCCGGTTCCCCCATTGCGAATACGGCACTCGCCAGCAGCACCAGCCCCAAATCCACCCCGATGATGCGGGCTGGATCCGAAGGCGCAAAAGTTCGACGAGCCAGGGCTGAGAGCATCTCGCCGCAGCGCCCTACAACCAAACACGGCCACCGTCGCGGACAATCTGCACGAATTCGTCGTACCGGCTCGGGCAGTTCGAACTCAAGTGATACATCGGGTGGTTATCGGACTGGAAGCTCTTCTACCCTGTTGCCTGGTGTCCTACCACCAAGCAAATGGCGATTTCTGCGTCACCTCGGCCTTCCTGACAACTCGTTGACTTCAATATCCGCGGCTAGCCTCGCGCCCGTGGCCAACACTCTCAACTCTTTGGACCTATCCTCGAATCTTCTGTCCGAAATCCCAGATAGCTTGTCGACCTTGATGGCTCTTCGTGCGCTCAATCTGTCTCACTGCATGATCGATTCGATGCACTCGCTGTCGCGGAACCCTCTACCGGCTATCACGGCTTTCAACCTTCGCGGCAACAGACTTCAATCGCTGGCTGGAATCGAACGACTTTTGTCGCTGGAGAGACTGGATCTTCGTGATAATAACCTCATGGATCCTACTGAGATGGCCCGGCTTACCTGTCTGCCTGAGATACGGGAGATTTGGGTAACCGGAAATCCATTTGTCAAGACCCATTCGAATTATCGCGTTGTGATCATGAATCTCTTCCGTCGCACCCCTGGCTATTCCGAGGACATCATCATTGATGGCCGTGGCCCGGGATACACTGAGCGAAAGCAATTGGTTGACCGTGTCGCTGAGCCCGAAGCTGCCCCAGTCATACGGTCCAGTGCTGCAGATCAATCAGTGGTGGTTTATAAACCCGCCGCCACCGTTATCCAGGCCAAGGCGTTACCTAAGCCTCCAGTTGAAGCCGACGAGTTACCTCCAGTTAAGCCTTTGGTACAACAATCCGACACCGAGGGAACGGGGACAAACCGTCGCAAGAAGATTCAACGACGTCGCATCGTTGATCTTTCGACAGATAATCCATTCCTCGCAGATGGCCTTGGTAACCCAGGTCCTACGGTGTCTCCAGCCCTCCCCACGCAACAAATCCATGCGCCGATTCAGCCGCCTTTCGTACTTCCATTTGACCAATGGAAGCAAGACAGCGCCACCCAATCAGGGTCTTCTAGCATTCAGAGCCCTGCAAAGCATGCTGCTCCTTCCGCCAGTCCTCCTCTGTTGCAACCTACTGCTGCACAACCTACTCCCACTAAAGATTGGGTACTGGATCAAGAGCTCTGTCGCCAACAATTGGAGGCTCTCCGGGGGGACGTAAGTCATAATTGGCTTACCACTGTACTAGGAGAACACCCTTGGGATAGTACTCAAAAAGAGCTTGCTGCTCATTTGGCTGGACCTAGCATGGACCACTCCCCGCTTTCAACTCCAGCTATCCAGACTAATAGCCATGCTATATTAACTGCTGGCCATACCTTGGGTGGATAGAAACCACCCACTACAAATATTGATGGATTAACCTGGTCATCTGGATGCTAATTATCCTTTTTTTCATTGAGTCTATCAGCTTGATGCTGACGACTCAAACCACCCCCCTCATGTTTTTTTTTCTCAGATCGATATTTCCTGTTGAGCTTTCAGCGCTCCTCCTTTGCATTATTCCAAGGCGTTTGGATGACTTATGAGATATGGTGGGTTGGATGTATGAACAATTTACGGCCGTTTGCTTCGCTCTGTTCTGTTTTCAAATTACCTCGTTGATTTTGCACCCATTTTCTCTATCAAAATTGACCCTGCAGCACCTTTCTCTGTTTCGTCAATTTTGGAGGTCATCGTGAAAGATCGATTTTAGAGCGCGTGTATTTTATGCCTTTATCTCTCTTTCGGCATGTTGGCGTTGGTGGCATGATTCTCCTTTTTTTTTCTTGGTTCCGTTTCTTCATTTTTCTTCTCATATTCTTATTCCCCTCTTGTTCTTGTTCTGTGCTTCTGGTGAACATGTTTCTCTGTGAACTCCTTGAGATGGATATGGCATGATGCTCTGAGCCGGTTCGGAAAATAATTTCAATCTTGAAACTTCAATCTTGTTCAAGTTTTAGACCATGACTAGATTTACGCCACTGTAGTCCTGCATAGTCCTTTCTAGGCACAATCAGTCTCGAATGTTATTGTAGTTGGGGTCCACATTGAATAGGGACATGGGTACTTCGTACATGGGCTTCATAGTATGCAGGGAACCTCGAACAATGTCTTTATATTCAAGGAATTTTGTTGGGGGTGATAAGTATATCACTTGTAGATAACTTCTCTTTGTTCTGCAGATGTAGACCAAGGTTCCTTTTCTTTCATTTAAAAGTTGGTACTTTGCGCTGGGGCCCATAAGTGTTTACTATTTTTGTATACGATGGGTCTCGACCGGCGGCAACGCAACCCCTCCACAGGCGAGACCGGAATGGTGGCAATAAGAAGAGAATGGATAACATCATAGGAACCTTGGAAGTAAAAGAACAAAGAGAAGATGAAATCAATTTGATTAAATCATATATATCAGTTGAAATTGATTTATAACATTTGAAAAATTTTATTTCATTTTTATTTTGTATTATCAAGTTCATCTATAGGGAAGTTGATCCCATCTATAACGGGGAAATCAAACACTTGCAAACACAAACTGGGAACTTCCCGTCTTCCTCCCTGTGCAAGATTCTCCCTCTCTTCATCCCGTCGGATTTACTCCATCGCGTTTCAACTCCACCAGTCTACTCTGATTCTGAAGGGAAAATAAAAAAAATACTTTGTATTTTCATTCTGACCCTTGATTATCTTCATCCTTTTTCAACTTCCACTTGGAAAACTTCGATCGCCTCATCTCAGATCCCCCTCCCTTCCATCCCGCTCGAATCCATCCTCGACAAAGGATTTACTGCTCACCTGTTGGTTTTACACTTCCACTCAGGCGCGTAATATCCAGTTTGAAATTTACTGGTTGTCTTTGTTCGGCCACCTACAAAAATCCCTCCAGTTCAGAGAGACTGCAGTGAATCGTCTTCTGGCATCCCTGCCAGACTCAGTCGGCTCCTCAACTTTTCGCGGCCATAGGGCCTTTTAATCCTCGAGTCTTCGATCTCATTGAGTTTCTTACCTGGTATGTCTCTGCCTATTCTCTGCCTAGTTCTCACCGGTCCCACCAAGGGGTGGATGGGGCAAAAAAAAAAAAGCTAGTCCCGAAAAAAAAAATTCTTGTCATCAGCAACGCGCTTGTCAGTCGATGTTGATTCGAGATTTGACGACCGGACTGCTACCCTTTTCATTGTCAAAGGTTTCTCGCTAACATCCGCAACTTCGCAGAACATAGTCGCCGCGCCAATAATACTTCACCTGCTCCGGAAGTCATCCCTCCCCCCCCCTCCCGGCGTGCTTTTTCTTTCCTTTTTCTTTTCCCTTCCTGTTTCTTTTATTTTCCCCATCCTCTTTTCTTTAGGGGCCTTTCGCCATGGCCGACCAGGAAGTTGATCTGGATTCCATCATCGACCGCCTGCTGGAAGTGAGGGGCAGCAGGCCCGGAAAGCAGGTTCAGCTGCTGGAATCGGAGATCCGATACCTTTGCACCAAGGCTCGCGAAATCTTCATTTCTCAGCCTATTCTGCTCGAGCTTGAGGCTCCCATCAAGGTGCGACATATCATTTCCCGGCATGGCCTTTCCATGGTCTCACCATGACTTTTGTTATTTTCTTTTCTGACGCGTCTGGATTTTCCGGTTTTTAGATTTGCGGTGATATCCACGGTCAATACTACGATCTTTTGCGTCTGTTCGAATACGGCGGTTTCCCTCCAGAGGCCAACTACCTTTTCCTCGGTGACTACGTCGACCGTGGTAAGCAGTCTCTCGAGACCATCTGTCTGCTTCTCGCCTACAAGATCAAGTACCCCGAGAACTTCTTCATTCTGCGTGGTAACCACGAATGCGCCTCTATCAACCGTATCTACGGTTTCTACGATGAGTGCAAGCGCCGGTACAACATCAAGCTGTGGAAGACTTTCACCGACTGCTTCAACTGTCTCCCCATTGCTGCTATCATCGATGAGAAGATTTTCACCATGCACGGAGGTTTGAGTCCCGATCTCAACTCGATGGAGCAGATTCGCCGCGTCATGCGTCCCACTGATGTAGGTCTTTTCCACATCTTCCCCTTAAATTTATCCTTTACTCTTGGCTTTCCCCCCCCTCCCGGTGGACTCAACAAGTGGCAACAATCATTGGGGCGCAAGCTCCGGCTGAGAGCCAAATTCGCTAACTGGATCAGATTCCCGACTGCGGTCTCCTTTGCGATCTTCTATGGTCCGACCCCGACAAGGATATCACCGGCTGGAGCGAGAACGACCGTGGTGTTTCATTCACATTCGGACCCGACGTGGTTTCGCGCTTCCTTCAGAAACACGACATGGACCTGATATGCCGTGCGCATCAAGTTGTGGAGGATGGTTACGAGTTCTTCTCGAAGCGCCAGCTGGTAACGCTATTCAGCGCGCCCAACTACTGTGGTGAATTCGACAATGCGGGTGCAATGATGAGCGTAGACGAGAGCTTGCTCTGCTCCTTCCAGGTGGGTGAAATTCCAAAATTTCCCTCGATTTGAACCAACACAAAAGACTAATCTTTTTCTTCGCTTTCGATAGATCCTGAAACCAGCCGAAAAGAAACAAAAGTACGTTTACGGGAGCATGAGCTCTGGCGGACCCAACACTCCGAGAAAACAGAAGAAGAAATAAAGAGAGAAATCGATACGAGCTTCCCCATGTGCAGCAGGTTCGGGCGGAGATAAGCCATTTTTTATTCAAATCGCATTTGACAACAACACCCATCCCGCCATATGACATTCAATAAACACCTCCTCCCTTCTTCCTACGATTTCCGCCGCAAACCCTACGAATCGATGAATGACCGAGGAACCCTCATCAACACCGGGGCAGCCTACACCTACGCAATCCAATCCTACCGTTACTCAGTCCCCGTGAACTCCCTATGACCTCCCCCATATTCTTCTCAACATCCGGGCTTCCCCGTGCGACATGCGAAACCCCCGTCTCCATCATTTCCAGGCCGACACGCGCGACCTCTTGTACTTTCGGAGCGGATCCTTTTTCCTTTTCTTTCACCCTTTATTTCTTCCCTTTTCCTTTTTCTTTTCCCTTGCCATTCCCCTGTTTTCTTGTTTCTTTACCATCTGGACGGAATGTTTATTCTCGGCATCCTGGAAAGGGGTTGGGAAACCTGGTCTATCTTATCCTTTTTTTTGTTTGTGCTTATTGGTCGTGTGCTCTGAATTCAATTGATCCTCATATGTTCTCTAATAGGTTTATCTGACTCGTAGTGATACTTCGGTTCTGGTCTTCAGACTCCGAACTTGAGGTCTATCCAGCGTTATCTGGATCCTACTGGGGCATTTGATGCATGGTTCGTAATTCTATACTGTCCGAGGCTACTATTGGCAACGTCAATAGAGACTGGGACTCTTGACAGGCCTAGGAGCGCCTTTGTAGAAGACTCCAACTTCTACGGGCATGTCCTGAGCCTAGCACAGTGCCATTCGCCATCTTTCCATCAAATGACATGGATTTCTCGAATAAATACGCCTTCAATATAAGCTGCTTCTAGTCTACTGATACACTCACTCCACCTATTCGCTAAGTCCCACCAACCCGACATCTTGGAGTAATATCCAACTTGGAGAAGTTCCAATCAGAGATCATTTCCTATGTACCTACGAGAGTACTTCGGGCTAAATCAAGTAAAAATGTATAAATTCGGGTAAAAAGAGCCCCGCACGGGGTCATGGCTCGAAAAAAAAGCAAGTAGATAACGCGCAATTCGACTTGCATCATGGCTACGGACTTCCTATTTCAGTCTAGTGTAACGGACTATTCAATGGACGTCACTAGTACTAGGCCTATGTACTAGTAGACTGTGTAGTACATTCAAAATGTTTGCCCTGATATGAACTTCAACAAGGTTGAACTAAAAGGTCTACATTCAGCAATGTCCATACAAAGAGTAAACCAAAGTTGTGATATGTTCTATCCATTTGCTAAGACTAATCGAACTGCACCGAAATAGAAGAAAGGTACCTTTTTAGAACCATAGTAGTTGGGGGAGATGATACAAGGAATAAACACAGCCAAAGTGAAAAGAACATGCATTGATTGACGTACAAGCTAAAAACCAAGGACACATCAAAAAGTGAATTGAAGGGGCGGAGGAAGACCAATGGCAGTAGGACCTGGACACCATTATTGGTAGCTAGCTAGAGGTATTGTGACGTGGGGAATTATTTAGAGGGGGTTGGGAGGGGGTTAGATTCTTTGGTTTGCGATGTCAACTCTCTACAGACTGGAGTCAAGAGATGACAAGGCGAGAAGTGATGAGGCGAGAGGGGATATTCGAGAAAGGGATTGGGAGTACGTCTTAAGCGAAGCTTTTAGACGTACTGGGAAAGCCAACGGATACCCTCTCCGTATCCTGATATGAATATTAGCATATTTCATTCACATCATTCAAAACCATATCGCTGGAGGTGGCTTACCCTGTCTCATAACCACGGAACACATGAAGAGCTCGATAGGGCGGATACCCTCGAGAGGGACCTTGCCCTTACCAGTGGTCTGGTACAGACCGAGCTGGTGGCGCAGCTCATCCTCGCTTACAGCGTCGGGGTGATCGATCTTGTTTCCGAGGACGAGGAAGGGGACCTTAGCGAGGTCCTCCATGGCGAGGAGAGCGTCGAGCTCAGCCTTGGACTCGGGGAAACGCTCATAATCCTTAGCGTCTACCAGGAATACAATAGCGCTAACCTCGGGGAAGTAATCGCGCCATAGACGACGAGCTGGTGGTAGGATGCAATCAGCGATGTTGTCTCCCTCAAATAGTGATATCCAAGAGTTTCGGGTATATCTCAACTAACCCTGCTGGTGACCACCCAGATCGAAGGTAGTGAAACGGTTGTTGCCAATGGCGAGCTCTTCGGAGGTAGGGTGAGCAGTCGGTGAGAGGACAGCCACACGGTCGTTCTATCCATCAAAAAAAATGAATGTATTAGCCATGCACGTCGCACATGATGCCATAGCCTGTGGGTATCTATCCAACCATCAACTCACCTTCAGCATGTGGAGCAGGGTGGTCTTTCCGGCGTTGTCCAAACCAAGGAAAAGGAGCTTAGCGTGCTTGTTCAGCAGGCCAAGAGAGGCCAGCACATCGTAGACTATCAAGCCGAAAACATATTAGTAAAACCGATTTTCAAGATCCTAGATTATGAAGATCATAATCACGAGCCGCACAGGGGCCACGGCAGTTCGAATCCAGCGAGTAGGGCCCATGTTTAATCTGCTGGAGAGTTGAATATGATTCCTCCAGCTTTGGAAACCCTCAAACTCCTACTCTAAAAAAGTAGGATTGTTCTCTCTCGCTTCTTGGTGTCGCATGCAACCGGACCGGGATGGTGGTTGGGCCGAGGGTCGGGTTCGGGGAGCACTTACACCAGTTGACGATCCACATAGCGAAACTGGAGGAGTGTGAAGTACAGTTTGACGTTCGAAGCTAAGTGAGACGAGTTATGGCGCAAGAGGGAGGCAGCGAAGTGGATGGAGGGGGAAGAAAGACAAGAAGACAGGTTGATGTTGTTTTCGGGATCGGCCAAACTTTGGTGCCTTAGGCACTCAGGCACTAACCAGTGGCGGACTTTTGACGAGATCCAGACTCCATTCAACTAAGACTACCACGTTGAGCGCCACCACGCCACCGGTTAAGTCGTCCCATATCCGAGATTAGACTAGGTTCATTTAAATGGATAATATGGGAAAGATATGATTATTTCCAAGTGTTGTTATTGTTTCTATCTACCGTTCATAATTGAATTGTTCCGCCCGCTTTATTCACAATGCAGCAAATTCAGATAAGGGGTATATGCACCGCAACCATGCAAATTGGAAAGGAAAGCAACCTCCAGGGAAAAAGAATACGACGTGTAAAAGAAGGAAGAAAAAGAATGCAAGGATGAATCCTCCCCAGGATTGATTAGAAAAGCTTGACCAGGAAGCAAAAAGAAGAAGCTAAGGTGGGAAAAAAACCAATCAAGCGGGTGACATGAAGTTGGTGAAGAAGTTATGTGTCAGCGAAAGACACTTGGATCACAAACCAAGTGATAAAAGCTTCCAAAAAATGGGGTATGTACAAATTGAGTAAAGGGTGTATGGGGGGAGGATATTTCAGTCCTTGAATGTATGGGGGAAAGCCTAAACGGATAGGACGAGCTGGGTATCTTGAGCGACCCCATAAGCTCTGCACCTCTCAGCAACTTCGAGGCCAAGCTCCTTCATCCGTTCGGCTCCCTTGCCGGGAATCGGCCGCCGCACCGCCTGTTCTTTGGCAGCTTTACGGCAGTGTTGACGCCAGAACTTTTCTTTACGTTTCTGACGTTTCTTTTCGAGGCCCTCGACAATGTCGATGGGTCCACGGTTGTGTAATTCCCGAGTGCGAGAACGCTCACGCTCGGGAGATTCAGTTGAGACTCCAAGGTACCGATGTGGCTGGTCGGTAGCAAAGAATGGGTTTGGAGTTCGAGGAAGTGACTTGGTGCGAACCAAAGGCTGGCGTTGTTGAATCAGATTGCTGATGTTGACACCACGAGGGGATTCCACGACAGGCATTTCAATTTCAGACCACTTCTTAGGCGAGGGGGACTTGGCTCGCATGCGAGGAGGTGGCGACTTAAGACGCTTGGGAGAGATCCGGCCAGCACGACGAGAGGGTGGAGGAGGAGACACCATGCGCTTGGGCGAGTGTCGGGGAGATGTTCGAGTGTTGTTTTCTGTCCGGCCGCGAGTGGGTTCGAGAACAAAGGTGTCCAAGTCTTCAGAGAGATCCTCCAGGTCTTCCTCGGCCTCAGGGTCGCTAGTTGGGAAGCTAGGATCGATATCTTGCGGAATAAGCACATGCTTAGACATGCGTCGCTGTTCAATGCAAGATTTGTAGGCAGCTTCGAGAGGACGGTCCTCATCCAAGGTTCCACAAACGAAATCAGTGCTATCGGGCAGGTTGGGTGTGCCAGGTCGCATCTTGATGGGCCTGGGGGCACTTCGTCGACCACTAGTCTTTCGAACAGGTGCGGGGAGCCACTTCTGTTGATCCTCAGTCATTGACTCATAGGAAGTATTCGACGCACGGCGTTGCATAGGGGCGGGAAAGAAGTCAATAGAGGGAACATTGGTGTCTGAAGCAGTCGCGGATGGTGCCCAAAATTCGTAGTCCGAGCCGTCATCATCACTGTCATCAGAGTCTGCAAAGCCAGCTTCGTTATCGGACTCGTTGCCATCGTCGGAAGAAAAGTCGTGAACAGTCGAGTCATCGTCAGCGAGATCCTCAATATCGTCATCTTCTTCCTCTTCGGCTTCCTCCTCAGCCTCTCGACCAAGTCGGCGAATCTCGTTCTCCTTTTTCATGCAGTCGTTCATAGTAATCTTTTCGGTGAACTCGGTAGTTTGCTTGACCCACTCATCATCCTCATCAACAGAACTGGCAAATTCATGAAACCGTGTGGCCTCGGATTCTTCAAATTTGCCCAGTCCACTGGTGGGAACCCCCCTTGGCTTTTGGTGTAGTCATGGACGCCTCTGCCTTTTCCAATGTCTGAGTAGGAGGAGAAGCCTTACGGGAGACAGGAGCAGGGGAGCCCCGGCATCGAGACCTGAATGCCGATTTACGGGCCGGGGAGCGCTCTCTTTCAACAGTAGACTGTCTACCAGGGCATACAAAGGTCAGGGTAGATTGGCGTTTGAGAGGTGGCGGAGAAGTTTCCTTTTGTGGAGTAGTAACAGGAAAAGTCTGAACTCTTTGAGGTGGACCAGGCTTGGGCTCGTTGGGATCTTGAGATTTTCCACAGGCAAAGCTAATGCAACGTCTACGGCCCAAGTTGGCCTCCACAGTAGTCTCATTGGTATCCACGACCTTCACACGTTGAGTAACTTCCTTGTGTCCAGCCATCGCCTTGCCCAACTTTCCCATTTTACCCATCATCTGCGGGGGGAGTGGAGGGCTGGGGGTATTGGATAGAGAAGGACTGGTAAGACCACCATCGCTAGTCAACTCAGCTGTCGAGAGTCCAGAGATATTGCTGTGGGGATAAGAGCGGTAGGAGTAGGCGGAGTCGTGCATAGATGGGAGGTGTTTTTCGGTAGGTGACATTTCCGGGCTACTCTTCAGCGCACGAGTGAGCAGTGATTCCTTCTGTTTGATAAAGGTTGGTCGAGCAAAAACTTCGTCGTCTTCGATCTGCGGATCTTGTAGGTGGTAGTGATCGGGGGGGTTCGTCCCCGTCCTCCGCCACCTCAGCGTCATCATGCGACGGCTGGGTGGAGGAGTTTGGTGTGAGCAGCATTTTTAATATGTTGTGAAAAGAGAAACGTTCCCCACGCGGTTGAGCCATATTGATTGTAATCCAAAGAACCAAAACATTCGTCAAATTGTGTATTCGAAGTCGTAGGTGCGCAAAGATTCACGAGCAAGAGATTCAAGATGTCGTAGTGAATGTTCTCACGATAATCGATAATCGATCTTAGTAAGATCGACCTAGAAAGGCGAAGAACACACGAGTCCCGCGCAGGACACTGGTCATGATATGAAGGTCATGGTTGGGGGGGTAAGGCGTCAGGGGAAAGGTTGTAGATGTGTGAGAAACGGGCCGCCAAGAAGAATAATTGATCTTTCAAGGCTGGTCACTTTCAATGATGAAAAGTAGGTGGCACAAGTAATTCTTGGCGAGTAGCCAAGAGTTGCCCAAGTCCGAGCTTCAGCGGGGGCGAGATCAATTTAAGTAAAATGTATCGAAGGAATGGAAGAAATGGATGATCAAAAGGGAGAAAGAAGAAGTTCAAGTATAGAGATGGAACTTGGAGGGGGAGCGAGTGACGATTGAACGGGGACGATCGGATTAGGCTTAGTGAGTAATTTTTCGAATTTTTAATTTTCAATTACACATTTAATGCAGGTGAACTTGACTTAATTAGGATATGTTGGCCAAGATTTTTTATTGTAATTTTTTTTATTTTTAATTAATAATTTTTTATTCTAATTTTTATTTCAAATTTTTTTTTAATTTTTAATTTTTTTTCTTCTTTTCCTTGCCACAGGTTTTTCCCCTTCCACGCTTGTTCTACAATGATCCACACATGTACAGGGTTCCTGCACCTTGAAGGATAAAATAGTACTATGCACAATAAGTTATGCTAAAGATTGAAATGTTTGAGATTGTTTCTATTTCATGTTTCAATATGTTAGAGTATAGAAATTTAATAATATTCTATTCACTTCAATTTCCTGTACCATAATTTAGTAGCACAAAGGGTTTCATTTTGATTTCCTTCTTCAATGGTGGGGTTTGATGACTATTATGTGTTGAGTTGCTGGTCTTTTTTCTATGAGGCATTTTGTGGTAAAAAAAAAAAAAATTACCAGCCGCTATTACTCTCGTATAGTGGTTACAGTAGTTACGGTAGTTCCAGCTTTTAGGGCCAACTTGGAAGTAGAGGTACATTGTACAGTCTCTAATCCTCATAGTTTTGAGATTCTTGACTCATCTGAGTCGATCATTCAGTTTCATTTCAGTTCATTTTTATTGAATATTCTCTTTATTTTTATCAACTATGACTCTTAATACGGAGTAATTCAGAGACCAAGCTGAATGGGGCACAGTACTGCGTTCATACACTTTCCCGCCCATACTAATGTATCAGTACTGTCACTAACGGGAAATCAGCCTTTCTCGGTGCCGATCTCACTGTATGGTCCAGTATCGCACTGAGGCACAGGCACATTTCCGCATTTAGTCGAACCCTAGTGGCCCTGACCCGAGTAAAAGATGACACTGTGTGTGCAATAAAGTACCATAATTTGCGCCAATGGAGATTCTCCCATACTAGACTCTATATGGAGTAGTCGCTATACGCCCACCCCAGTAATAATAGCATAATAGCCAACGGGACAATACTCAAAGCCAATAGAATTTCTCTTCCCCCTCTTCAAAGTATAAACGCGCTCTGCGCGCTTCCTTCTGTCTCGCATTTGCTTGTTGGATAGGGCTTGGCAATGTAAGATTCTTCTATTGGAATAATAGTCTTCGGTTTTAATGTCCAGGGTTGTCCTTGCTCATGGATCTGTTTGAAGTCTTTTCTCTGACGTAGGTGAAAACGGGTAAGTCGGAGAGGGTAAAGCCCGTGGAGTGGATCAACTCCGCTCAACTTGAACTTGCTGCAGGCATTCGTATTCTCAAGTGCTGTATCCGTATGGGTTCTGTATATGCCAGTGTGTACAACTCATCTGGCACATCCCCCACATAACACAAACTTGTATGCCCGGGAGATCACCGAGATGTCTTGGTATACGAAGCAGATCCTTAATGCATACACTGCCTATGCCAAGTACTGAGGCAGGCAGCACCATTATCTACAATCTATAGGTTGCCAAGAGAGAACCATTGAGCCTTGCACTGCCCATTTAAACATAGTTGAGATCTAATTTTGGGTATACTTCAATCTTCAATCTTGAACTTGAAGTTGAAGGTGATACCACAATTTCCATGTACAAGTACCCAGCCACATGCGGCCAAAAGTCGCGTGGACGGAAAACAGAATCAAAATTCATATCCTACGCTGTATTCCCTGTGGTGAAACGTGTACCTTGACTCCACTGTAGGGCAAAAATTCCCCATGACAGTTAGCAAAGAAAAAAAGGGAAAAAAATCAGGGAAAAAATGACAAAAAAGAAATCACTCATGATCTTTGTTCTACAATTAGTACAGCATTGTCCTCAATCCTCAATGGGGCACCAATCATCTCCAAAGAAGCATGCTGACGAGGACGCGCCATCTGGAGAAAGAGGAGTAAGAGGAGCGGTCAGTTGGGATCACAATGGGTCTCCCCGGGGCTCCGGTGAACCTGAGCGGGTACAGTGAAAGTACACAGTGAAAGTACAGGGGTACTATACGAGGTTGCAGCTTTGTCCTTTTTCAACCAAAACTTGAGACTTCGAGGATCTCCAGAGAGAAACCCAGTTTCCTGGAATACTCTGAAAGCGCCAGGATGAAGCTAATAGAAATAAAAGGTTTCAAACCAGCGCCCTAAACCCCAGCGTTTAGATCACGACAAGCTTCACGAATGGATCGAAACCCCACACTGCAGCACATCAGTGGGAGCAGGCATCATCCCTGTAAGTATCGAGTAAGTTCACTGGGCTGCAGATTTGCCCATCAGCCGGTCAGCGGAGGGCGCAGCGCGCAGGCCGGTTCATAATTGCGGGCGAAAGCTTGTTGTCATCAGAACGGTAGTACAACTAGGATCTTCCTAGGAACGGGACATTTCTCCATGTGGGATTCTATCAATGATTTGAAGAGAGAAAGTTTGATGAATAAACCTTTAGAAAATGTAAACAAAAACATCGGGCGCGACACTGTACTTCCCGCATCGAGGGGTAATACTTTTCATTCTCTACTCGTACTTTGGAACCAAATTTGACTGCACGAGATAATCCTGTCGATCGGAGATGCACGTCGTGTTTCTATTCTTATTGGAGTAGGTAGACCGGACACCAGCCGAGTAATTTACCCTCGAGTCTCAACTCAAGTGCACGGTATATATTAACCGGACATAACAAGGGACCAAACCCAATCAGAGCTGCTGCATTAAGAGATCCACATCAAATTTAGGGACAATTTTACGCAGCTCAATCTTCCCACCAATCTCCTGTAGCCCGATCACGGTACTCCGTGAGGAGATTGCCAATACAGAGTGTAGGGGAAAGATTGGAACAAAGGCAAAAAAAAAAAAAATACATCGAACCCCCTCGGAGAAAGCATCCTGGCCATGTCACTGATCTTCAGAGAGAACTTGAACAATTCATCCGATATCTCATGGAGTACTACCAGCCCCAGTATTTTGCTCTCGTGGCACCACCAGAAAGTTCAAAATGTTCTCTCTACCCTTAAAATTGAGACAGAAGATTGAAACTCGCAACCCAACCCGTGTTAGGATCCGCACGGCAGACTTTTTTTAACCCTTTAGCCCGTGTATCCGTACAAAAGTCGTGCAATAAGGTGTGAACTGTGCAGGTGGATGCGGCACACTGGCAGCGGAACGATGTCCGCGATGTAACGATTGGAGTAAAAAGGACGAACTAACCCATCCTTCAAAGCACCAAGAATCCCGGAGCGCATAGAGGCAGGTGTTGACCGATAGTATCAACCGGGGAAGTGGAGCCATAGCTGCATTTTACTCCGTAAACATACATAAGGAGAGAAAGCTCAGATCAGACCGTATTTGGGATCGCCCCCGGTTGAATTGGCCGAGTGAACAGGTTAGTAGATAGTCGTGCATGGTGTTCATTTCCTTAGTATGAGGCATTTTAACCGCTCTCCACTATGCTGCGATGGAGGCCAAATCGAGTTAAGTTAGCTTCACGGTTGGCTGATTTTGGCTGGTTTGACAGCGGCTGTCTCGCTTGGCTTTTCGGGTTCGTACGGAGTGCACGGAGTACAAACGGAAAACAGAGTTGGGGGTCATTTTGATCATTTTCGGGGGTTGAGAATTAAGGGAAATTAGAGGACTTGGAGGACTTGGAGAGAGATTTGATTTGAAGATATGATTGTTCATAGAGGCCGAAACCGGTGCCCAGGTGACTTATCTGTTATCGGGGATGATCAATTGGTCCTATAATGTTGAACACTATTTCTTACATCAGTTGGACATATGACACGAAAATTAGACTCCAGGGGAATAGAACAGAAAAAAAATTAAAATTTTTGGTATACCTTTTGCCATTTGCCTGATGCAGTGACAGTTACTATTCCCGATGCTCGTACATGGGACACGGCAGTTCGGGAAGAGAAAATCCAGCTGACACCGGCAAAACCGGCCCTTTCAAGTTGTCAGGCTTTCCATCTCCGAATCATGAACTGAAGTATCAAAATCTTCTAATATCTCTTGTAGATCGGGCATCCCGTTGCCACCACCAGACCGAGTAGCCGAGTTCATGTGCTGCGGCCATTCCGACTCGGAGTCATCTTGGGTACTTAGGTACTAACATTTGCCCATGATTGTATCGATGTACTAGTACCTGCGCGCCTGAAGATACTGATCTACAATAATACATTTCTCCGAGAGTACTTAGGTACTTCAGAAGGCAACCGCTTTTATACAATACTGAGCAGTACGCTATCGGAATGCCTTATCTTACTGCAGGTGACCACGACAAACCAACCCATCGGATCTATGCGGACTCGGAGTACTTGGTACTTTTATCCGTACAAAGGACATCAACAGATCGACCAAATGAGAATTAACTCAATGATTCTCAATCCGCAGCATCGCCAAGAACGACATCGAAAACTATCCTCCGATCATCCTGGGGCGGAAGATTAACTCACGCCAGGAGAAGGACAACATGAAGAATTAGACCCATTCCGCAGTCATGCTTGGCAAAGAAAAAGCGAAGATACGATTCAGACTGCCAAGTCCTACGCAAATCGAAACAAAGCAAGCTTCAGAACGCGCCTGGTGCAACTTGACCAGTGAGGGAAATGTCATGGGCCCAAAAGTGCAAAAAGAAAACAAGGGGGCGAAGTATAAACATCCCTCCACTCCACTCCGGGGTGAATAGGGTAGGAGAAGGTGGAGTGATGAGACGAACACCAGTTCATTACCCCTTGAATCCGCTGGCGGACCCAATTTCGAGGTAAGTACTATTCCTGACGAAACTTTCAGGGGAAAGGCAGTTCTGGAACTTCACTCAGTTGGTTGAAAAGGGAAAAGCACCCGCTGAAGAATATGTAAGGCCGCGACTTGCTCCTCTGGGCGCCAAGCCTATGCATCAACTCATCACCGGAAAGTGAAAGGCTGAAGCAATTCAAATCCAGGAGGCTCGGCGCGATTGGAAATGATGCGCCAAGGGCGATCATGGCGATCTAGCCTGCGTGTAGGAAGGACTTGGCAAACAAGGAGACTATTGAGTCTGGGATTTGGCGCCAAGACGTGAGACGTATGGGTGTACAGAGGAAAAAGAAAGGGGTATAATCCGTCCTCCGAACACCGTACACACGATGCAGGCCTTGCAGTGGCAGTGAAAGATGAAACTCCATATTTGGCCCCGAGATCGACCGGCTATGGGATGTTGGGTAGAATGTACATGCTTGGCTTGTAGATTCGGGACCGATTGAGGCATTCGTCAATGCGATTACTTACTATTCTGGATATTTGATCGGTGCTCTCGGGGTACGGAGTACGGAGTACTCTATGCTTATTTGGATAGTCTCGGTCTCCCGACCTCCGACTTCAATGCTCCGTCCTCCGTCCGCGATACGGCTTCCTGCAGCTAGGTGTACAAATACACTTCTGGCTCTTCATAACTGGCGCCGGGGAACTTGAAGGATTCCTCCTTGCTATTCTGGTGAATGCTGACGATATCCTAATTGACGCTGGGACATCTTGGGGCGCGATACCTTACTACATGCAGGTATTCACTTGCACTGCCAGTGGTTGATATCAACACCGCCCCATACATAGATGCCCAGGTGCATCGCCCCAATACACATTTTAGAACATCCTTCGACATTGAAGAATTGAAAAAGCATTGAATTGATCCACAACTTGAACATCGATTATACAAATAATTGAATTAATGCAAGCCAAGCACTCGAGAGATCTAATTCAGCATTAAGTTTCACATACTCTAATGTTCACATTCATTGTATCACAGAGGGATTCCGCTCACCGAATCCCGATCTTGCATTAAGCGTAATCACTGGGCAACTGGAGTACATTGCCCTACACTTGCCCCCATACCGGCTAACACATCCGATAAACGGTTGCACAATGCAATGCACTTGGACTCATCTTCGAATGTTCATAACTAACCTTGGAAACCCTGGATGTATCCGTAATAATTGAAATCCAATAACCAAACCTTGAACCCTGCCAAATTCAAGATTTCAACCGCTTTGACCCGATCATCCCTTCTCGAATAACCGTGCCGATCACACTAATCCCTAATTAGATTTCGTAACACTTGATCACCGGTCACCGGGACAATAGTCAGTTACCAATGATAAAGCAGGATTCCCGCAGCATACCGAATCAGTGTCAAGATACTTGGTTACTTAATTCGGTAGCCCGTAGCAGTTAATCGGATAAGCCCGGAGACAGAACAAGTTTATTGCTTTTCAATCTCAACTATACTTTTGATTCTAACTATGATTTTCCACTTGTACTCTACGAACTTTGCATACTACTAGTACCGTGACTGTAAATGGAGATGATCAGTGTTGCAGATGTCATCTGCTTTGCTGCAGTAGTTCGGATTCATTGCGGGGCGGGCTAATGTATTCGTCTCATATTAGTATTTCCGCTGACGTCGGCACGAGGTAAAAACGGAATATTTGAAAAGAGCAGAAATAATATTTGAAATGCTATTATAATAATATGGTATACTATTAGGTAGACACGGAATATTATGGTAGATGATGGATAATAGTCATCCGGTGATATCACGAATGATATCAGTGGTTTTGCTGTGGCCAACCACCATGGGGCTGAAATGCACAATGGGAGCGCCATCCTTGGGGCTGGCGTCACTTTATTTGGTCCTCACTACCTTTTCCGGATAATGATATGCGAATGAGAATCCCTTAAGAATACCGTTATGGGACATTATTCATGTACGATATTGAAAGCTATTTCATTTCGAGGATATTGCAGATAATATCGTTGCCGAAATTGATGCTCAATGATTTTTACGTTTAGTCCATGATACTAGTCGAGATTTGCCTGTTACTTTTTTATTCGTCTACTGGGTAAGTCTGTCATTGGATCTCAGACTGTGTTGGGACCCCTGGATGACGACTTTCTGCTTATAAGCTCTTGAGGGCTCGGATGTTGAGTCGAGCGGTCAAGAGAGATGAGTTAGGTGAGGGATTTTGTAGGTCAGGAGTGTATGCAGGGAGTGTTAGCACGGCGACCTATTCTCGCAGTGATGTCACAGTCTACGAGTTCAAATGTTCCAAATCGGTGGAGAGGTATCAAAAATTAAAATCTCAGATTGGATAGGTATCGTATATTCACCAAAAGCTCGAGCCAAGTTAACGCTACGCTTCGTCACCGCTTCGCTGTCACCTGTTAGAGGCTAGAGGGTCCTTCTCTGTTGGCATAGAAATAGTCACATTGGCCCTAGTGTCTTCTCATATCAGAAATAACGACGCAGTACTCCGTAGAGATTTGTCTTGCTGGTCGGGTTGAGACGGCGCTGGATACTTGTGTGCCCAATGAACTCTATGAACCGGAGAAGGTCCGCCGCCGCGTTTCCTAGACGATCATATCAAGGTGGCGACCAAAACGAGATAGCCATGACAAATTGAGGAGAAGATCGTAGTTGTAACGCAAGCCCGATGGGACTTGGAGCGAAGATCTCGTCCCAGCTCTTTTTATTGCTTCTTGGGCGAAGAAACTGAAGTTCATTCCGATGGTAACCCAAAGAAGAATGGCCCTTTTGTGAATTGCTCCGAGAAGTGCAGCCTTTATTCGCCGTTCTCCAGCTTATCAATGGGCCTGTTTTGATGAAAAGGAGCGTGGAAATGGTATAGACGAACCCAGTCCACTTGCGAGCATGAGGCAGGGGATGTAACTCATATTGCTCGACGAGATCACCGTAGAGAAGTATCAGAAAAGACTCTCCCCTCAAGGCTGATTTTCACCAGCTTTGTAGGTTAGCCACGGAGTCCCTTGTAAGACATTGGCGAGCCCCAAGCCCATGGATTCCAGAGTAACGAAGACATCCTGACACCACTCATAGCGATCATAAAAGCCATGTCTATGAAAGAATTGCGAAGACATTGGCAGAGGGAAGAGTAGGTTATGTCCTCCAAGGATGTGCATGTGTGGTTGCACGAAGTATCCCACGCCTCGACAGATCTGATCCGCAAAAAACAGGGCATCTTGGCCAGCTATACTGGTAATCTCCATGTCATGATTCTTCTTATTTGTATCAGGGTCGAGCTGACTGTTTCCTTCACTGGCATTTTGCAGATCGAATTCATAGAAAATAGAGCAGATGACCAGCATCGCCGCCCAATATAGCATGAAGGCCTCTGCCATGTCAATAGATATGAACTCGCATTTCTCAGGAAAGACGCTGCTCTTTGTCTTTAAGCGGACAGCCTGGGACTCATCAGGAACAAGGGTATAGAGGGGGTCTTCCGAAGTTGCCATGAGTCGATTGTGCCATGACTGCGCATGGTATTTCAGATTGTAGGCGGACTGTATCACATTGGCGGCGTCTTGCTCGCATCGCACGCAGCCCGCTTCCTCAATGAGAATCGTGCATTCCATGAGGATGTCAATGATTTCATCCAACGGGTCGTCTGGCTTTGGTGGTGAAAGATATCTCCACATGGGAAAGGAAGCAAGTGCAGACTGTGATTTCCCAATGGCATGGAAGATCTGTCCAGGTCAGTCTAGTACCACATGCAGTAGCGACAATATGTATGAACTGCAACTGGTTTTGAACTAACATTTGATAGCTTCAACTGTCGAAGCACCATTGTGGATAATTGATTCCTCTTCAAAGATTTCTCATGTCGAGCAAGAACGGCATTTGCGCCTTGCATATGTGCCATCCATCCAGCAAATCCGTAAGTACAATTGATCACCTGTAGTCTTGAATTAGTCCTGAAACAGAAATTCAAGAGTAATGACGTACCTCATATAACTGAAACACAATATTCGCACAGAGAACCTCCTGAACTGGAAGCTTAGACTGCGGGATAAGAGCTGCAAAAGCCCGGATCGCGTGGTTATAAAGCATGACTCCATGACATATTAACCGAGTATCATTGAACTTCTTGCCCACAAAAGTTGAGGCAAGTGCAGATATTGCTCGATCAAAAAGCTGGCTATTTTTGCTATCCATCAGAGATGGAAAATCCTCAATCACATTAGTCACTTGCTGACATCTCAGGTTGATGTGCCCCACGGGCGGAGAGGGAATGTAAGAGTCAATGAACAGGGAGAAAAGCTGAGACCGGATCTGAGAGTTGACATTGATGACAGTTAGATGCACATCCTCAGCTTTCTTTTGGGGCACAATGATATTCTTTTTCTTTGAGCTTTTGTCTGGTTCCGATTCCGCAAAAGCATTAATAAACTTGCGATCTCTTTCGTATCCCTCGCAGCGGTAACTTCCTTTGAGACACCGGGCGCACTCGGGCCGCTGAAAATCACACTGAACTGAAATTAGCAATTTTACACGAGCCTCAAAGAAGAGCCACTCACTTTCACTTTTCGTTTTCTGCAAGTATTACACCCCTTAGATCTTAAGGGTGCTCCTCCCATCTTGAGAGTGTTAATACATAAATGATTGAGGAGGGAAAATGCGTTAACGATCTTCAAAGTGGAACTGCGGATCGCCTCCACTCGGCTGATCGATTGCCCCGGGTTCTAGACCACATACCTCACGAAATCTAGAAGTATATCCCTTCATTCTTGGAATTTCAGATTAGATTGATCAGTTCTAGAACTTACATGCAGTGTTAAAAAATGTTACTAGCTGTAGACCGTCTTTCCATGGCAAATCTCGTGGAAGAGGTTACGCTCTGGCACTCGAGTGGTTTTGCCACCATCGTTGAATGAAGTGCCACTGATATGGACCTTAGTAATATTCAATAGTACCAGTAGACTATTTTTAAGCACATAATCATCATTTAGACAACTAACTAGACAAAAATGACATCAAAATCCATGAAATTCAGTCTGCCCGTGGACCTTCTAGGAGGCTCATTCCTACCTGATCATTCTCTCAGAGGTCTTAAAACCCATTATGCTCCAGAATCTGAATCAGCACTGTCTCATTATCATTCCTGCAATTCCGAATGACCTCGACGGCTTGTCTCTTCAGGATATCAGAATTGGTCACACGCCATGGCAGGATAGAGTTAAGCAAGGCATCAGCATCAGCGACTTTGTCAATGCCTGGAATATTCATCGGGCGCTTGCAACCTGCATTCTCCAGCGCATCCTCCCAGGCCTTCGCCACTTTCCACGGCAACTCATTATCGCCCTCCTTATGCTCCGGTAGAGGATCTAGGAAGCCGTGTAGCTTGGCGTGCTTAAGCGCCATCTGCTCGCGGCCCTCAATACCAGACCAGCCACGAAACTGGCCTCCAAGTCCACTAAAAGAGCGCAGAAATTCATATGATGGATGCAGAATACACGAGAAGTCATAGTCAATCAGCCCTGTGATACAGCCTGAGACGGGGTCAAATAAGAGGTTGCTGGGTGCTACAAGAAAGTGTTAGAACGAGCGGGTGGGAAAGCCAAGAATATAAGATGGCACTCACTAAAATCTCCGTGAATAATTGCTCTCTCTTGGTGTGTCTGAAGTGGCTTGAAGCATTCGGCCAGTCCCTGCTCTATGAAGGCCTCCAACCGAGCCCGGACGCCATTTGCATGCCAACCCTGGATGTAAGTATTCTCATCGGCTTCTTCAAGCGCTTGCTTAAGTCTTGCTTCAAACGATGCTTCATATGAACTCCAAGGTCCGGTACTGGTGTTGCTCATTGGAGCACTAACAATATTGCCATTTTCATCAATAGTCAGGCCGCCAAACTGGGTAATAGAAGCAGGTAACTTGAAGTCCTGAAGTCCCTTGAGGAGCTTCGCAATCTGAGCGAATATCTTTTTCTTTTCCTCAAGTCCCATTTCATCTAGTTTTTCATCCAGAGGTACACCTGGCATGAGCTCCTGGAGGATCCAACCTTGCTGACGTTCTCCCAGTTTGGATGTAGTCCCGGCCCAGCCATAGAGACGGGGCACAACATGGGGCTTGAAAATAGGGCCTAACGCAGCCGCAGCAAGACTTATAATAGCGACCTCATTCTCAACACGATTCGCAGCTTTCATTCCCGCGGTATCGGAATTTGTAAGGCGAAGAATCAACTCGGTGCTACAAGCTGGGATCGGTACACACCCAGGACGGCTTTGACAAACATCATTCTCCTTCTCAAGTGGGGATGGGAAGGAGATACGATAAACAAAGTTGTTGTACTTGAAGGGGCAATCAGGTTCATAGGCAATTGCCTCAACTTTCGTGCTCTCCTAAACAAGCCTTTAGACAAATTCTAATGCTCAGATCTCGATGTACGTACCGGTACATTCAAGGTTTTGCTCAATAGCTCATGAATGAAGTCGAGACGGACTTGATAGTTAGAATGATTGTGATTCATTATGGGCGATTGTCACTTGCGGCTCCGTACGTTCCAAGAAAGACGCGGTGTGTACTTGTCATATTTTGTCATGATACAGAGTCTTGCAAGACGCCGCGGCGCCTCGCACGTGATGAATGATACTTGCTTATCTCGTCTTTCAACATTCTAAGGTCGTTAAACACTTTGATTCAAGAGTAATGAGGCTTTTTTTTTTAAAAAAAAAGATTTCATGAGATATGCATCTAGCGTAGGACCGCACCTAACCCTTGAGTTCTTCTTTTTCATCGATCTTCTTTTCTTCGTCTTCAAAGATTATTCTCTTGATTTAATACTGAATTCTAGTAGTTCGCAGAATTCCATTTTATCGCTTTTATGGCGTCTTCTGTTTCCGACTAGGATGCCAGAGTATAGTGGGACTGATACACCACCCCTCCACACTCCCGGGGACTCGAGTGACTAGGAGTTGCCGACTCTGAATTCACTACAGCCTGCTGAGACTAATCTTTGTTATTCTGGGTTAATGAATTTTGGTGTTTGAGAGGGTTCCCCTCATTCCAGACCTCGATGGCTTTCTTTGGAGTTTCTGCCTAGATCACGGTAAGTGGTTATGAGTCTAATGATGGTCCAATTATAACCATGTGATAACCAAAGACTCGACATATCAGCTGCAATAGCTTATTCAATTCAGAATTCACGCAATCTCCACCATATTTAGTGACATTTTGGTCATTGATATAGTACATGGGCTAGTGCCGAACTTGGACAGATCGGGTGCTTACGCCGAGGTATTACCGAGAGCCTCGATAACGTTCTTTTCCCACAATTGCGCCAATCTACTACTCTGGATTCCAAGTCCATCAATTCAATCATGTCCACCACCTCTCCAATTGCCGAGAGGAAACTCACAATCGGCACTCGCAATTCCAAATTGGCACTAGTCCAAGCTGAGCGAGTCTCGAGCGCGTTAAACCACGCTCATCCGCATATCAAGTTCCCATGGCAAACTGTCTCTGTCAGCGGAGATATTGATAAAACATCTCCATTCCTTAAATTTGGAGGCCCATCAGATGCCGCGAAAAATATCTGGGCAGAAGAGATGGAAACAAAATTGAGCTCCGGTGAATTGGACTTGCTAGTGCATTGCTTGAAGGACATGCCAACACGTCTACCCAGCGGCTGTGTGTTGGGTGCGATCATTCATCGCGAAGATCCCAGAGATGCACTTATCATCAAAGCAAGTCTTCGAGATCAGTATACCGACCTATCTCAGCTACCTGCCGGCTCGGTGGTTGGCACTAGTTCTACCCGTCGGAAGGCTCTGCTTAGATACAAATATCCTCATCTTAAGATCCAAGAATGTCGCGGAAATATGTGAGACCTATAGATCCCTAGATCTCCGGAATGAGTTTGCTAATTCCTGTAGTGATACACGGCTACGAAAGCTCGATGAGGGTGAATTCTCAGCCATCATCCTCGCAACTGCTGGTCTGAATCGAATCAACATGACGAGCCGCATCTCAAAGCATTTGCCTCCCTCAGAGTTCCCCTATGCCATCGGGCAAGGAGCTTTGGGAATCGAGATCCGTGAAGGAGACACTGAAACTCTGAATATTATACAGCAAATCGAGGAGCCATTGACACGGTGGATTTGCATGGCAGAGCGGTCATTACTACGCACTCTCCAGGGCGGGTGCTCATCTCCGGTAGCAGTGAACTGCACGGTTGAGAATGAAGAGAACCAATCGCCCACTAAAAGTTGTTTGCGACTCGAAGGCACCATCATTCATCCCCATGGCACAAGTCAAGTTTCAGCGTTTGAAGTCGCAGAGGTGGCTAGTGATGTTGAGGCAGAAGCACTTGGCGAAAAACTCGCGAAGCAACTGGAAGAGAATGGCGGAAGGGCTCTTTTAAATGAAATCCGTCTTGTTCAAGAAGAGGAAATGGACACCTCCTAGAAATAATGTCGGGAATGATATGCTCACCACGCATATTCATTCAATGTTTAGGCATCTGAACATCATCGACTTTTCCAGCACTAAAAAGCTGGCTCGCAACAACCAAATATATGAAACTCTCTCCTCATATACAAAGAATTTACAATTCCGTGATTCTATACCAGTATCTTCCTTCTATTCTGCATCCCAGGAATCTATGACCAAAGAAGTAACACAAGGATAGGTAATTTCTCAAGCCACTCGGGTCGATACCTACTACTATTTTTATAGACTCAGTCGAACTTGAAGTATCTATACAATCCCCAAATGTAGTACATATTATGACATAGTTACTTACTTGACTATCAGCTTCACTTTGATCTTGTATACCACTGGCACCCGATAACTCGGATGAAAATGAGTACAGGTCTAGAAGAATGCTAGGGAAAAGTGGATGATCATATCTGATATATTAGCATTCAAGTTAATGCAGGTTGAAGCTCAAGATCGACGAGCCATAGCGGTTGTACCGGCAGATCTGCTGTGCCTTCAATTGCTGCATTGACAAAAAGCGTATGAGAACCATAAATAAGCGGATCTGGGTCCCCAGAACAATGACTCGTCGTAGATAAGCCCTTCGGAGTCAAAGTAGCCAGTTTGTCAATGAGCACAGAAGACCCATTATCAATATCCGTCAAGTGAGAAGGCTTCTGGCTAACATTCCGGCGCCAAGTAACAAGTTTTGCACCCCATCCGTGATGAATATGACCAAAACAATGCATTCGAGGCCGAGCCCGTGCGATCGCTTCGAACAGATATGGGCAACCCGCTCGCTCGCCAGAGTAAGTATAATCCATTATGCCCTTCGGTGGACCATGCGTTATGACGAGATCGACGTTCTGAATATCAAAGCCATGATCTGGACGATATTGGAAACCCCAGTCGCCGAAAGACGGAGTGTACGGACTGGCGTAAACGGTCAAGGACGCACCATTTTGTAAACGGAAAGAGTACGTGCCTTCATCGAGAACAGTTATGCCTGTGGCTTCATTAAGGATGCGCCTCACTTCCCCGTAACGGCCATATACTTGATCAACCAGTTCGGGGCTCTAGTGGAGGTCGAGCTTCTGATATTTTTTTTTCTGGAATGCCGGGATGTCCATTGTGAAATCGTGGTTGCCAGGTATCACGCGTTTGAGAGGGGCATTGACAGCCTGCAGGAATCGAATGGAAGCTTTGTACTCATCGAGCTTCGACTCTGTGGTGAGGTCGCCGCAGTGGATGGCCACATCTGCATATTCACTTGACACAGAGTCAGGTAGACTGTCGAGGCCGTGTGTATCTGAAAATACGAGGAAGCGAGTCGTGATGCCGGGCGAGGTATTGGTCGTCATTCTTCTAATAATAGTTAGTTCCTTTGCCGAAGATAAGGTGGATTATGCCAGGTTCAGGTGCTGTATCTTGTCTTGATCAGTTGCAGCCTGCAGGATTGGCTGATCAACAGGTGAGGTATGTCGTCAGAGAGAGCTTTGATAAGGCCGATCCCAAATAAGCTCCCAGTAAGTTTAGTACCAAGGTACACCTGCACTCTCGTTAAATGCTTTGATTCTCATATAGCTCCAAGGTTTGACACTCTTTTCTAGTAATAATCTTTTGGTATTTGAGAATAACATTTTAACATTTTGAAACTACTAGACCACGTTAAGCAAACAACCCTTCCAAGGTTGGAATGATGATAGGACAATCAGTTCAGACCCATTAGTCTGAACAGTTCCTCGGTACTTTGATTATGTATTAGAATTGTGACTATCTCGTTCTGTCACTCCTGTGTACTCCGGACACTCTGCTGCATAACATTTGAACTGAAGCCACAAGCAAAGCAGACTGTGGCTGTGCAAACTTGGAAACTCCCACCCAAATTCGAAGCCGCTTACTAAGATGCGTTGATTGCGCCACTTTCCTTGGCATTCAACATTTTCAATCTGAATGACATGTTCCATGAGGGAATTCTTTTGCTGGCGCATAAGAAATCAATTCACGGAGTACTGCGGAGTACTAAGGTGTAAATAGCACGAAATATCTATCCACACATCCATTTCAGGGTGATATATGGGGCCAGAGAGCGGATGTGTACTCGGGCAAAGGAACAGCGGTCAAGGGATCCATCCGAGTCTTCGCATTGTAGTAAATATGTCCGAATTTGAAGTTTGGCACGCTATTATAGCGTTCTGGTGATGAAAGACCGGTGAAGGAACGTGAAATTCATTGAACATTTGAATTTGGAAGTAGCCTCCAAGCTGGAAGTATTGAGATTTGGGGCTGAGAACTTCTGTCGTACTATGTCTGGCAAAATTTGAATATTCCAAGCTTGAAGGTTGAATGTTGAATGTTGACATCTGGGGGCTACTAGTGAAACATAGTACTCTGAGTTCTCAATACTAAGACTTGAGAGCTTCGAGTCACTTTCAAGTTATACTAATTTGAACATTTGAAGGGTTGGCTTCGAGCCTAGACGTCGACTCTGTTTCTATGTATTGTTTCTACTTCGTATTCTTTCTTTGTGACGACAGCTTGAGCTCTCCTCTCATTCTCAGAACCCATCACAACCTATTTCACAGAGTACTCTGTAAACAACAAAGTTCACCAAATGTGCATCGTGACGTGTCCGATCAACCCACTCAGCGCAGACGGCAAATCACAGCGCTCTATCTCAAAGATTAACTCAAGGCTAGGACATATCATATGCATCCCCAAACACTGAAAGCCTCCCCAAAATCGACTAAGTTTGATTGATATCCTCAATCCACCTGGATTTACAGATCCTTGGGTGTACACCGCATAAATTCAAGTTACGGACGAAGCATGTATTCGAATTGAAGATCAACGGAGTATACTTGGATATTTGAGAGCATAAAAAGACATAGAAAAAATACATGTAGCCACTGTCAGTTGATATCAAATCAAAAGTCCAGCGCTATGACATTAGGATAAGTCTTTATTGGGTGACAATGCCAGATTAGAAGCCAGGTCCAGGGGGCGGGAGGACCTCAGCAGCAGCAGCAGCAGCACTCGCAGCACTCGAAACAGCAAAGGCCGGCACAGCTAAAGGTCGATCTTGATTAGCTATGTTGTAATTGTGGAGGAGGGACAAAAATGAACTCACATTCCGCAGCAGATATCGCCACCATCACCACCACGCGTGTGGACACTCATACCCTCAGGACCACTCTAAATCAACTGATCAGCATGATCGACTCTTCGGAGAATTTTCCAACTTGAACCCCTGTAAACTCAAATAGTGGATCAAAAACATACTGGCTGCTCCGTAACAGTCTGATTCATCGAGGGGGCATCGGGGCTGTTGGGCTGTTGCATGGTGACGGCGTTGGCGTCCCACTTGTTTTCAATAGGCGCCTGGGCAGGCTGGAGCCAGTTCTTGATAGCGTCGAACATTGTGGATATGGATTTCAAGAGAGATTTTAGAAATTCCTTGGTGAAATTCAATGGGTTGAGAAAGGCGAGATGTCCCAGGGTCCCTTTTAAAAACTGAGTGACCCCCACAGCCACATATAGGCCTCGAATTTATACGAATCCGACGCTTCCATTTTTGTACGAGTATTTGAATCAATGGTTCCGATTTATCACTCAGAATGTGTGGCTCTTTCGCGGCGGGTAATGGTAGCCCCAGGACGCGTAAGTCAGAGCCACGTTTGATACTAAGTGGAGTGCTGCCAAGCCTCATTCCGGGTAGGGCTGTGGCTATTCGCCGCTGAAGTGCCGCTTACGTGGACCAATACACCAGTCATTGAGCTCGTTTTCTTTATTTATTCTTTAAATATCATGTTAGATACCTTGAGTTTTGATGTTTTCACAAGTATAGAAAGCCAATTCGAGATAATCTAGAGTGCTGCGCAATCATAGTCAATCATCTCATATATCAAAGCTTAAAATCGATAAGATCAACAAAGTTAAAGTCAATATCCATGGAAAGCATAGCCCGCATACGTACAACATCCTCACTCTCAACCTTGGGATATTCGGTACATCCTAGGCACCACTTCATCCAGAAATAGTAGGCCTTGGCATGACACTATCCTCAGTGGATCATAAATCCCATCCAGATGTGGCTTGGACTATGTCCGATATAATGAGCTACGCCACAGAAGCTTCTGGCTCCTACCCCCTCCAAGAAAAGAGGGCCCAGTCGATCATACACGTACCCTCGAAGACCCCGAATCGTATGTCCGAGGATCTTGGCACTTACCAGCTTGTTGTATTTAATTGAGCTGCACCCCGCATTCAAACTCACATATCTCTCCATCAATCCATTCCTCTCCTCCTTCAATAACTCTACCTTCACACATACACACTATCACAATGGGTGTCCTCAACTACAACGCTCCTGCTGACTTCGCTCACCCCGGCGGCCCTGGCGGTTTCGGCGGTGGCCCCGGCGGTCCTGGTGGTTACGGTGGTGGCCCCGGCGGCCCTCACGGCGGTCCCGGCGGTCCTGGTGGTGGTTTCGGTGGTGGCCCCGGCGGCCCTCACGGCGGTCCCGGCGGTCCTGGTGGTGGTTTCGGTGGTGGCCCCGGCGGCCCTCACGGTGGTCCCGGCGGTCCTGGTGGTGGTTTCGGAGGTGGCCCCGGCGGCCCTCACGGTGGTCCCGGTGGTCCCGGTGGTGGTTTCGGTGGCCCTGGCGGTCCCGGTGGTCCTGGAGGCCCTGGAGGCCCTGGTGGTTTCGGCGGCCCTGGCGGTCCCGGTGGTCCTGGTGGTCCTCACGGTGGTCCCGGTGGTCCCGGTGGTCCTGTAAGTTGTCTTCTCTGAATATGAAATCTGGGATAATGGCTAACATCTTTGTTCAATAGCACGGCGGCTGGTAAACAACCCAAACTATACACCAGTCTGGCTCAACGGAGCCAGACATATCGAGCTGCATGCTGTTGGTCTTGCTGGGAAAGGCTGAAGGTCGACTGTTGCTATTTGCAGAGCAGCTGAGAATCATGATATGATGAACATGAGTACAAATCAATACAAATCAAATAAATCAAATATCTTGCTAGCGGACAGTTCAAAAAGTCTTTTGTAGACGTTGCTCGAAGGCAAATTCATTCTGATAGAAGTAGTAATTTTCGGGATATCGCAGTAAAGTATTGCTATGTGAGTTAAAAGTAACAAAAGAGGGTATCATGCCATAGTAAACCAAAAGACCCATGCTAGGACGGTCTCGACCTTATTCATATCCAGTAAACTCCAGGGGAAAAAGAAAAAAAAAGGGTAACCGAAAGAATGTATCAATGCTCTCATAATCGTCGTTATTCTTAGTATTCCAATCGTCATCAACTTGCAGATCGGTATCAATCGCGGAGAACGAGAGATCTGATGTCAGCGGTGGCGGCCGGCCGGATTTCGGATAGGCTTGCGTAAAGCTTGGGGTCGTGTGGCGCATGCCTGGCTCCTTTGTGTTTGAATTCGTCTCCACCACCTGGTGATCACATTTGTGGCCCACAAAAGCTCATTTCGAGTCTGGACCACTGCTGCGCAATGCGTAGCCAAGTTCTTTGCAATGGTGCGACGCAACATGTTTCGTCTTTCTAGCCGTGCTCGCCACGCTCGCTGTAGGACTGTGGCAGCTCGAGGACGCTTAGAGGCTGAAAGAAGTCTGGAACAGAGGAACGCGAGTGCACCCAGGGTAAACTCTCGACCAAGGATGTGTGAGGAAGCCGAGCAGCCCGGAGAAACAAGGCGTGAGAATCGAGTACTGCAGCCCAGTTGATGAAGGCGCGATTCGAGGGACATAGGGCTCACTGGTCCCTTTGCATGCAGATTTTGTGTATTCTGAGCACCGGTGATGTAGGGCTCGTACTCGTCGACAACACTCCCATAAATCTTGCCATCAGCAAAGCTTGTCGTCATATTGTTGAACTGGAGACCTTGAAGTCCAGCCAAAAGCCCGGCCCAATGCTGAAGAAGCTCGATATGGTGGTTGGCGTCACCAAATTGCTCGCCGGTGAACCACATTTCGCTTTTGACTTGTTCATTTCCAATTTTTGCAAGACATTTGCGCTTCAGTCGCGAGATTTCCTTAGTAACGTCGTCCCAATCAACGAGGCCAGCCAAGCCCCAATTGCCAACAAGAGCCCATAAGAGGGCAATGGTCTTCTCGCGGTAGCCATCCACAATATCTTCAGCCCGCACGTCATCGAGAACCACATTAGATCCTTTGACCGACTCCAACGCGGACAAAGCGATCTGGACATTGAATATCTTCGATGCTCGGCTGACGCAAGGATACTTCAGATGTTTCGAAAGCGGCACATCTGCATTATCACCGAGGAGAGAGAAGACCTCACCAGTCTTCAATGTGAGTTCAGTCTGATCCCCGCCAGTTGATCGTGCGCCCTTAGATGTGTAGAAGAGTATTTCCACAATTCTGGTCAAACGAACACCATCTCTCAAGTCCACAGCAATATTTGCCATCTGGTAATTGTACTCTTGTAGTTCATGCTGCTTGTAAGATAGAGAGCAGCCAAGATGACTTACTGGCTTCACGATGTCACCACATGATGGTAGCAAGACGCGCGCCAGTGCTTGTAAGACACCCACCGAAGACTTGAACAGAGATGATGGTAGAAAAAGCTGACGAGGAAGGCTAGAACCCAAAGACTGCTTCGCTCTATCTATTAGAGCAATCAGCATGATGCTTCGCAGGACTGTACGTTGATATGCACAGGTAACAGATTGGTTGCTATCATCGTTCCGCAACAGGAAAGTGTCCAAGAAACCTTCCAGTTTTTTAATGGTCGATTTGGCGGGTTGCACATGGTTGTCACTCTTGGGACTATCCTCGAACAGGTCATGATCATTGAAGACCTTCCGGCCAATAACGGTTTCTGCGGCAGCCGCCAACGCATGAACATTGTATGACTTGACCCAAATGTCAAGGAACTTGCGACGAAGACCAACGTCTTGTTTGAGGCAGTAGCTACGGGAAAGGACATGCTGAGGCATACTCATAACGCCACATGACAGAGAGGCCTGGAGCTTTTTGTACAGTTCAATGAAATAGTCAGTGTGATAGATCTCGAGGCATTCCAATCGAAGGGTATTATGATCAGAAAAATCGGAGCTGCCGTTTGAATGTTCGAACAGGGCATTGACCAGCTGAGAAATGACAGTCTCTTGATGCGAAAGCCAATCATCTTCATAAAGTACAGGGTTCTTGATGCCCTCAGTCAACTTTGGATACTGAGAATCAAGGGTCCTCGGTTTCAGCTTAGCGGCTGAACGTTGGGAAGTTGAGCCACGACTTGGTCCAGAATGGCCAGTGCGATTTGCCAATGCTGATGCACGAGCACTAAGCGAGGCACTTGGGACCTGTGCAGTTGACACTTTCAACGCATTTTTATTGTTTTGAATCGGGCCCTTACATGCTGGCGAAGATTTAGTGTGATTCGTCTTGTCCCCAAGTACGCCACGCTTAGCCAGAGTTGGCTTGGTCGCTGTAGAGGCTTCCCGCGATCTTGAGCTCTTCAAGTGGCATGTGGCGGTTCGAAGAGGGGGTTTCTCTGGCACATTTCTAGAGGCCCTGTTGTTGAAAGACTTTGTGCGTTGCGAATCCTCCTTTTTGCCAAGTTCCATGAGCCCGCCAGGCGGAATGTTTTCTTTGCCGCCGTTTTTGCCAACTACGTCAACTCTGAAAGCAGCTTCCTGGGAAATTATGGCACTGGGTTGCAGTGGAGCTCGACGCGCATTTGCAGACAGAGACTTAGGAGCTTGCTGTTTTCTGGTCATCTCTCTAGTGTTGAGCTGGGTGCTTTCAGTCGCTTGAGGTAGGGTCTTGTGTTTGTCGTTCTTCAAAGGACTGAACAGTCCCATGAATACACTTGAAGCAGCCATCTCATCCGGGGGAACGTAGACAGTGTTTCTTTCCATGTTCTTTTGCGGGCCTGGATCTGAGACACATTCATTTGATCCAAGTGCACGTGGTTTCTTCTTGGGGTTATTCTCCAGTCGTCCGGAGGTGTGATGTACTTCATTCTCTTTTTCCTCAGCGAGAGGTGAATTAGGAGCAAAGTTGGGCTTGGCGCGGAATCTTTGAGCAGGTTGAGCTAGCAGTGATGCTTTACGCTCAGCACCTTGTTTCGTTACTTCATCTGACCGTTGTCGCTTCTCCGCAGGCCATGTTGGCTTCTCTGCCCCATCATCATGGATATGAAACCCCGATCCTGCTCTATTGGAACGACGAGGCCTGACAGCAGTCAAGGTGGGGGCTTGTATCTCAGTGGTAAATTCGATTTGTTCGGTTGTCTCAAATGCTGTACTATCATCCAGGAAACTGTCCAGTGTCTCAGCCCAGCTCCGGTTGCTGCCCCCAGAAGATCTCGGTTTCGATGGGCACGGCGTAAAGGCTTCACCAAGGATTCCAGACATATTGATTGATATCCCACAATCAGAGGTGGTGGGTTCTAACAGCTCATGGATTCTGGAGAATAGGTTGGCTATTTGGGCAGGAGCCCCTTGCAGAGAAGCGGTGTGAGTGGATTGTAGGGAGTCGCAAAAAAGGTGACTTGTTGGAATGTTCGTTTGGGAGAGAAAAAAAATAAAGGTTAGACGCGTGCTGTATCTAAATTAGTACCCCACGCGCAGATTCGCGTCCACGTTCAATCTGCAGTAGCTAGATCTAAACGTGGTAACTGTTGACAGACGCGTTGTCTGGGGCAACTAATGATTACCTCATCAGTGCGGGGACATAAGTCATGTGACCCTGCAATCCTCCCAAAATGGTCTCTCATTTCGTCTCGTGAGCGATGTTTTATGGACACCTTTAGTCTATACACCTCTCTCAGGTTTACACACGTATCCAGCCCTGGAGGTCCCCAATTTTCAAGTCTAAGTTGTTCAAGTTGCTACACATATGATGGAACAGCTAGACAGCTACGCCAGCAAAGTTCTACATTCAAATGTTCAGCTTCCTCTATCAGAGCCTGATTATCTACCCCCTTATGTTCAAAATGTTTAGGAATATGTATATATAGGTACCTCAGTACCTACTTCAGTGCTTCAAGTTACTACTCTAAATTTCTTTCTAGGCATTAGCCTTGAAATCTCTTTTATATTTACAGTGACCTTGAATGAAACGTAAATTGTGTAGCTGGTTGATTACCCAGGGGTCTTGATGCACATATGGATGTAAGTGTACAGGCTAAGCCTAATTTGCGAAAGGTCCATCATTTATCCATTAACGATGCTCATCTCGTCTGCATAACATCGCATCCGTGCTGCCGATCTGTGCATAACCCATGTCCCACTTAATCAGCAAGGTTTGGTTTCAATAATACTGACGCTGTGCGTTCAGACCATATTAAAATTAACATGAAAGCCACCTGTATCAAGTATGCAAAGTAGATTGCAGTGCACTCTAACACCGATTTCGTAGCAAATGGAATAGTACAAATAGGTAGTGCTATATCGCTTTCAAGGGTAGATAATGCAATTTGTGATATCACGAGCTTCTTCAGTTACTCACGCAATTATCTGCTTTGTAAGTATCAAAAAAATAACTCCTGAAAATTGTACACTCCAATCATGGCTCCAGAATCAAGCAACTAAATGATGTGTCGATGTCATCGCGAAAAAGGAGGCGAGTGGGTCACACCCCCAATTTAGACTCTCGTGACTTCTCCTTTCCCCATACCTCATCATTGAAACGTGTCCGTGTTTCTCGAGTCCAAGTTCATTGCAATAATATCTACATAGTTCTAATAATTATATCCAATACCTAGTGAGAGTGTGCGACATTCTGCGACATGATAGGCGCGCGCCTGGCCCTATAACCCCCCCTTCCCGCACAACCTTCCTCGGTCATTTCGAGATCCCACCCAGTGTCTCCGCTATCATTCCTCACTTCTCACTCCGGAATGATCTTCGGTCATGGAGGCACTTGTTTATGAAAATTCGCCTCTGGCGGACTACCTTCAAGGTTTGTACCTTACTACATATACCACAATCCGCGGGTGTCACACGACTCACATTTGTTTCTAGGGGAAGGAGACCCTGAGGAAAGCTGGCCCATCGAAGAAGCTTATAGTGAGAATGACGAAGACGTACCCTCCGCAAACTTTGCCCCGCGAGGTGCTTCCCAATTTCAAGACCGAGTTCGCAACAAGTTACCAACACCTCTCGACTTGAGCAACACGCGCCAGAGCGCGGTTGTCGGGAAGCTATACAATGCCTGCTCGGTACGGCGAGCCCTCGAACGAACCCCCTCCGATAGCACATTACTGATATCTCTCGTCCATATACAGTCTGCCTTGAACGCGCGCATTGGCCGAGGTGATAACGAGCGGTTTTTAGAACAATTCGGATACGTCATCGTCGCCTCGCAGCTATTAAACGAACACAGCGCCCCCTCCTACACATCCGCCGCAGACGTTGTATCCGCTTCACAACCAGCAGACCTTCCCTCCTTATCCACCACATTCGGATTACATGGTGCTATTGTTACCGCAACTACATCCTTCTCAATTGCCTGGTTATTTCACTGGGGTCGATCACGGACGGGATCCGGGTTGAATCCCAGAAGAGCAGGAATTCTCTTGATTGTCATTCCCCTGCTTGGACTGGTGTTCTATGCCTTCGCGAAACGACAATGGCTTAAATATTTACGTCACCAGGCGGTGGATGCCGCCGGTACTTTTATTCAGAATGCCCAGAGGTTTGATTCGGCTGCTTCGGCTTCGGTGGTCTTTATACAAGAGGTTGAGCTGGTTTCCAGGGGTTACCGGATGTGAGACTATCTTTCTCCTCGCAATTCTCACTGGGAATATATATTCAAAGTAGTGATATGTACTGACGACCCTCCAGAAGTACGCCACTACCTCCAATCAGTCGACTGGAGGATCAGGTACAGACGCGTCGTTGTTTGCGACTCCGCAGAACAGTATCGGAGTGTTTCTGTTCGATGCTCGAACGATACGTCTCATCGCAAAACACGCTGCGACCTCTCACCGACGAGGCCAATCTAGAGAAGTACTACGATATTTACGACATTTCCCTTGACGATCTGGAAAATATTGAGTTGACATTGTCTCAACGAAGTATGGATGACCAGTATTCTCTGCGCTCCCTACGAGACTTGTTTGGAAAACTCTATACTGCGAGGAAAAGTGTTCTGTGCTGTTTGTTGGCTCTGAGCGCTGATGGTGGTGGATCCGACGTCAAGCGATGGAGCTCTGCGGTAGAGGAGATGCGAGAGCTTGCTGCCGTCACGGGAAGAAGCATGACCAAGATGGCGAATATCCTTAATGAGGAGGATAGTAAGTCTTTCGTTCTACAGTTGTACCTTCAATGATGGGAACAAAACCGACTAACATTCTTCCAGGGGATGTCCCTATACCCCCCTCTCCCTTGCCATCTGCTTCCCCAAGTAAGGATCACTTGCGCGCACAAGTTCGAAGATTAAATGCCTTATCTCAAGGAGTGCGTGCCTTGCATGCCAAAATGCACATCGTCAGCGAGGAGACCAATGCCAACCTCGAACACCCGAATCCCGAATTCGAGTCGACTCTACTAACCCAATACGATTCCATTGGCGGTGATATTCGGTCATTACTTGAGGAATGGGAAGCTGGCAAAGCTGCCATTGTCAATAGCCAAGACCGCCTTACTGCCATGGATCACTCACGCCCTTCAAGTACCATCTTGCCCTTGTCCCCCACCCCTAGCCTCGGGGGTATAACCGCAGTTGAGGGCAGCCCCACCGACGCTCTCAAAGCCTTGAATGGTGAGAATCGACCTGATCTGGTTCATAGCTTTGACGACGAGGAAATCTTTGAGGCAGTTGTACTTCCGGCAGCTCGAAATAAGCGCGCATCACTCACCCGGGATGAGCGCTTGGCACGCGTTCGAGAGGATCGTGTGCGACAAGCTACCGCTCGAGAGAAAGTAGACGCCAATACTAGCATGCTCAAGGAGCTAGAGATGGTTATCAAGCAACGACCACGGAATAACCCTTCCAAACGGGTGACCAGTATCTAAGGTGCTTGTCGAAGATTTGATACCCCTAATGTACATAGAAGGAACCGGCGCACATGGTGTCTCCAGCCCTGTTGGCTGATTTTTCCAATCTGTTTTCTCGCTTTTTTTCCCTCGCGGGCTGCTGGCTTTCCCCCCGTGTTTTTGTTTTCTTGATGTATCATTACCTGGAGCAGGGACTCTCGGTTGTCTATTGGCTTTTGACCTTCAGGAGGGATATTGATTCCCTCTTTTTTCTTCTTTGTACAGTATAGCTTCTATAGAATATCATGGAGAGAAATCTGTATATTGAAATATTCACCTGATGTAGAGACTCAGAGCAGCAGTTTAGATGTCCTCAGTTAGACAAATGGTATAAGTTATGGACACCTTGTGGCCTGGGGCACCATTTTATCCCAAATAGGGCATATCGCCAAAGACGCGCTCACGCGTACCCTTTTCCCCACTCTCCCAGGAACGCGATTTCTCTTTATATTCAGTCCTCGTCTCTTTTGCCTTTTCGTTTGTCGCAGACTTGCATCACCTTCACCCAACCACCTTTAACGACTTTTGTACCTCTCTCTCCTCTTTCTTTCTTCTCTCTTATCTCTTTTACTCTCCCCACTATCACATTCCCCCACACATTTTCCCAAAAGTAAGTCCACAATGCGGTCATCCAATTTCTTAACACAATCAAAATCCGGTCTAACTCGACGAAACAGTGCTTGAGGCACGATTGGAGCAGGCTTCCCTTCTGAAGCGGGTATGTTCCCTGGTGTACTTTCATTTCTCCCTCGGACCGGTCCCTAACAACACGTGTCATAGGTTGTCGACGCTATCAAGGACCTGGTTCAGGACTGCAACTTCGACTGCAATGACACGGGTATCGCCCTCCAGGCGATGGATAACTCGCACGTTGCTCTTGTTTCTATGCTTCTCCGCGCCGAGGGCTTCTCTCCTTACCGCTGCGACCGTAACATCGCCCTCGGTATTAACTTGACCTCCCTGACCAAGGTCCTGCGGGCCGCCCAGAATGAAGATATCCTCACCCTGAAGGCGGAGGACTCCCCCGATGCCGTCAACCTGACCTTTGAGAGTGCCGAGACCGACCGTCTTAGCGAATATGATATCAAGCTCATGGATATTGACCAGGAGCACCTGGCTATTCCTGACACTGAGTACGCTGCCACCGTTGAGATGCCCGCCATGGAATTCCAGCGTATTTGCCGCGACCTCAACGCACTCTCCGAGTCTGGTAATCAATTCTAATCTCCCCTCAATTGACCTCTGAAAGTCGCTTGCTAATGTTCTCTAGTTGTCATTGAGGCCTCCAAGGATGGTGTCAAGTTCTCCTGCCAGGGTGATATCGGTAACGGCTCTGTCACCATCCGCCAGCACACCAACGTCGACAAGCCCGACCAGAACGTCTCTATCCAATTGACCGAACCCGTCGCCCTGACCTTCTCCCTTAAGTACCTTGTCAACTTCTGCAAGGCCTCCAACCTGTCCAGCTCTGTAACCTTGCACCTGTCACAGGAGGTGCCCCTCCTTGTTGAATACGGACTTGGTAGTGGTCACCTGCGATTCTACCTTGCTCCTAAGGTACGACATTCCTTCCTTCCCTTAAATTCTGGATTATACTTACTAAACTTCACAGATTGGTGACGAAGAGTAAGAACGAGTCCTTATTCAGGAAAAACAAAACGATTCCCCTACGATAATGGAGAGAGCCCGATTTTGACGGCGGCAATGAATTCTTTACTGTACTTTTGCAATTTGTCCTGTAATAGATGGGATAGCAAAGCCCCTAAATTTTAACGTTATGATTTGATCAAATGAGCCTGGCATTACACCAAGGTTCACTATTCCTCAGTTATTCCAATTACGGTATTTCCGAGTCGCGTACCAGTAGGTAGGTAGGTAGTAGGCATACAATAATCCAGTGATGATTCTCTAGTATATATGGATAGAACGTGGTATGGAGAAGGAAAATATGATTTTTCGTTCAATATTGACAGGTACAATAGGATCTCCTTCAACGGGCTGAACTTCAATCCCAGCAAAATATCCTCTAACAAATTCCCAACCAACATGAGGTTAACCGACATGGTACCTAGAGGCCCTCGACACAGAAGCCCGCAACCCACAATTAGTAAAGTCACCAAAAAAACCCCATCCTTTTCAACCCCACACCCAGCGCACAGAACGCAACTAGGTATACAAAACAAAGTGGGGAAGCAGTAAGAACTCACCAAAGAAAAAAAGAGAGAAGAACCACCCCACACCAGAATAATCGGAATCGAATGATACCGTCTCCCTCCGAGGAGAGAGACAAGTATGCTGCGTATTGCACTAAAGTGGTTTCACGCACAATCTTCGCACCGACTCTCCCAGGGGTAAACCAGTGACCGGCAAGCCGGGTGGCCCCGATGTTTCTGATGCCAAGTGCAGGTGAATTCACACCAGGCCCTTGCGGGCAGTACCGGTTCTAGCCCGAAGACTAGAACGGGTTGGTAGTTGAAGATTCCTCCGAATTTCTCATTTGCGATGGGTCTCGGACAAGCCGAGGGCAGGGCTAGCCCTGTCGTGTGTAGCAAAGAAACGCAGCATTGGTGGGGATGGTTCTTGGGGAAAAGGAAAAAAATTTGAAGTCGAGGTGCGTTAAATAGTGAGTCAAGCGAGGTTATGATTCTGCCGGAGTTCTCCGCCTTTGGGTTTGTATACACATCTATATCGCTCACCTGGGCAATCAAGTTTTCCTCCATCATCAACTTATACATATCTATCTTTCAAATCGTGAATTTTTATATTTGATAAATCAATATACTATTATCTTCCTTTTCAATATATAATCCCACGCTCATCACCACTTTTGATACGAACAGTGGTTGGAATTTGCAGAACCCTACTTCGGGCTTGCATTTCTACTCCAAGACTGACGCAAGACTCACAGAATACATGTCACGGTGGGCATAATGTGGAGCTAGGGCGCCTCATTTTACAGCAGCTACAACCATGACCATCGGCAGTCACCCCTACTAAGCTCGTCGGTGGTCTTACTAGGAAGAGGCGCAAAGTGCCCGCTCACCACAAAATGAGCTAGGGGTTGCAAGGTCCCTTCAACACCGGAGGAGGATAAAACTTCTCGCAAAGAGCCTCTCAGACCTTTTTGTGCTATGCACCAGGGAGATCAACCTGCATGAACTCAAACGAAATATCGCAAGAGCAACGACAGCTATTGCATTCCCATCGCTTCCAAGGTTATTCCTGTTAGATCACGTGTGGCCGATATAGATCGGACCAACGTGCCCTCGTGGATGATAGCTCTCGAGACGCTCAGTAGAACTTCCTCTACTGCACGCTTCCCCAAATACACAGTTCTTCCCTCAACAATTCCCAGCCGGGTCCGTCAGCAAATATCAGCTCTCCAACAGCACTCTGGACACTCATCATGGTTAAGCGAAGCAGCTCTCTACCCAAGCATTGCCAATTATATGAATGGTTACACAGACATGGCTACTTCAAGTTGACTATACAGCTTAATTAATGTGGACATGCGCAGTGCGATACGGTCCTTCACTCAGGTCATTTAGGAGATCAGAGCAGACAATCTAAGACAGCAGGATTTAAAAACTCGGGATATATCACAATCCAAAGTGCAACCACAAATCGAGGATGAAATAAAATCTCCAGCGCGAAAAGTATGAGTACTCCCACGATTCAGCAAACCTTGGAATACTATGCTTGGTTACTCACACATTACAGGACAAACATTTGAAGACAATGGAGCAGAAAAGGAATAAAAAGTCTTTCCATCAAACTTTCATTTCCTTTATTTCTCTCTTTTCCGCAGTTTCAAGATTCTTCGATGTTATTCGAATGCATTCATCTACTTTGAAGTCTTTTATTCAGACTGTCGGTTACAGTGATGGATAGCGGCCACAACAGGTCCCGTGGACACCGGCATCGGAAACTTGGCGACTATGGGAGACTACGCTAGTGGCAACAATGTCGGCTCACTTGGGGATTCGAAATTACACAGACGAGGAAAAAGGAATCCGGACCCCGACCCTGATGATGTGGGTAGTAGCCCTGGTGAGGAGCTACTATGATCGATTCAAGGAATTATAAGGTACCATTGTGGCTTTATCATGAGGATTAAACGCCATCCCGATGACGATGACGAGAAGTTCAAGAAATGGCCTTCTTCCAATGATATTGCTATATCTCAGGTGCACCTATTTGCACTATTCTAAGACGCGAATATTGGTAACTTTCCACGCTATATGCTACCAATACTGCCGCAGTTTGAGGCTAATTTGGAATTGTTCTCTACCACTAGTAGCAGATTGCCCTTCTGAAAATTCCCGATCATGTGAAGACTCTGCCAACGTGTCCGTAATCGCTGTCTCCCGTGGCCCCATGCCTTACCTCATACGGAGTCGACTGGGGAGATCATCATGCAGGCAAATTAGGTCGAAGAGCTGGACGACGATGTGGATATCATGTCACGCCCACTGCGTGTAACCTGCACTGGTTAAAGCTACATCCCAACCTTGGAAGTTATGGACTTATCATCCCGACTGTGACAGAGGAAGGCACCGCTGAAACCTCGGAAAGCAACGGGATTTCGTTAAGTGCCGATCAAGGGTCATGACATGGGCTCAAGCTGTTTATCTCAGTTTGGTTTATCCTCTGAGCTGTAGATATAACATCTTGACTTTCGACTTATTATTTTTTGATTTTTACCACACCTCTTTGAAGTTGGCCCTCCCACCACTTCACGATTCGCAATTTATGACGATTAAAACATCCCTACTTGGAGCGACCGAAATTTAACCGCCTTCGTTGCGTTCCGAATGACTTTTCTGTGGTCTGTGTAAAATGACTGATATTGGGGTATCTCCAGAACTTCTGATCCACTGGCAGATAGTGTGGCTCTGTGATAAACCCCTTAAATAAAAAAGCGCCATGGCCACCTACAAATCTTTCATCTCCCTTATTCGAGCTCTATCTGAATCTCCAAATGATGAAACCAGCCACAAAGTCGGTATAATTTAGTATCCATGGCTTCGGCCTTCTGGTGTAGCTGCTACTATGCAGCGTATCATTTCACCTGTTCCTCTTTATCCTCGATCACCCCAGGCCAAGGATTACTATTGGCGACACGGCTGAAATTCAGAATTCCCCATTGTCTCGAGAATGAATCCCGTAAAATAGTTGGTGAAGACACTGAGTCCGATGCACTGAAGAGGCACTATGGTCGCCGAATACTCGAGTAGACCGGTGAACTTAGCCTTTTAGGTGCTTCGATTGACAGTTTTGACTGGGGTGTTATCGGCGGTGTGGCTTGCGATCTGATCACCAAAGAAGTGAAATTGGTTGACAGCAGAAACTGGCCAGGCACGTCGGTCCAGTGCACGTTGGCAATGCTGGCTGAGCGAGAGAAACACAAGGGGTCTTTCAAACTCGAGTGGGATTATAACCACTAACAAACACGCTTGATCCAGCAGTGAAAGCGGATTGCTGGTCAGAAGCGGCAGTGCGAGAATAACTTCATTGTCGGCAGCACTTCTACCTCACTTCTTAGCATCTATTCAAGTCACTTAGTGTGTGTCTCCTGCTTTAGTTTGTGCTCAGGGTGAGGGGTCTTACCTTCGAGTTTCTTATCTCGCCCGTGTATCGTTAACCCCTTGTCGTACACGTGGTACATATAGACTGGCAATGGGGTAAACATAAGGTGAAGGAGGATACATATGCCTCCTTACTCGTGGTTTGGAAATGGGGATTGAGAGAACAGCATGCGAGAATCCCCTGCGATAGTGATGTTGATATTTCGGCATGCCTAAAGCCTAGGTACTATTATTGAAGTGACTCAGGGCTTTAGCTACTGGAGGAAGGTTGTCAGAATGGATGGAGGATGGTGGAAGATGATGATGGAGGATGGTGGAAGATGATGATGGAAGATGTGCCTCTGTGTGGTGTGATATGCGTAGGAGTGAGGGAACGTGTGGATTCCCTGGACAGTGGTCCCAAGTTTTAACAAAGTGCGTCCATAATAGGCAAAAATGGAAGGAGCTATGTATGATACCTAGGTACTCTACAACCTTGAAAGTAGCAAGATTTTTATTTCAACTCAAGTTACTTTTATCTCAAATTCCTGCGTTGATCAAGCTTATACGTGTATCAAGTACTTTTAATGACGCCTGTCATAAATCCCACCCATTCATTCATATTTTGCTCTTAATTTAATACAAATCGTGATTTCGTATCCTGTGTCCAGGAATCTTCTGGGTCCGCCGCAGGCTTTCGCTTCCTGGAGTTATCGATATGATGCCTCAATCCCTTATTGAAATTGCAGATACACATGATAGAGTTGACCAGAGTTACTGCAAGAAGTAACATCGCTAGAGAGGCGAACAAGGTCAAAGAAACTCTGTAGCTGCCCAATTCCTCGCCGTCGTAGCCACCGAACATCTGTACCAAAGTCAGGATGAAACTGGCAATGATCACAACCATCAGAAGCTAAGAATAACGTTAGTAACATTGTTATTTGACTTCTTGTCAGAAATGACGTACCATCATGCAAATGAGTGATTTTTTCTTTTCTAATCGACAAAAGCGAGCAGCTAGAGCCAAACTGATGACGGCAATAGGTATCATGGCCGCTTGAACGATAAACTGATTATCCGTGACGTGTTGGATTGCCAGCAGAACTTGCAATTGCGTGCCAAAGATGAAGAAAAAATCGAACTTGAGCAAAGCGATATACACCTGGTATGTAGTATATCGCCAACTCATCTGCAAATCAGCACTGATACTCTTGTAAATGGTCCAGGAGAACTCTGCACGGAGTTTCCAGGTCACGATCGACAAGCAGATTGTACCGACAGCTAGGACCACAGGTACCAAGATCAAAGCAACACGATACTGATTCCAAAGATCGTTTCCATCAACGGCAGTACTGCTCAGGGAAGTGAGCGTGTCCTTGATTTCTTTTGTCTGAATAATGCCATAAACTAAAAGGCCCATATTGCAAATACAGAGACCCATTAGCTGGAAGGTATTCTTCCGTCGTAATGCATCATAAGAGAGTGCAAGCTCATAGAGCAGCGCGAAAATGTAGAGACCAAGAAATGATCGAAGACGTAAAGTTCCCTGATAGTCTCCAGCATTATCAAAGTGATTTGAAATGCTTATGAAAATCCAGCTATATCACAACCATTGGATCTCGTCAGATAGGAACTTTTCTCTTAAAATCGAAGAAAAAGAAAAGAAAATCAAGAAATTTTGCTATCTTACCTCTCAATGCCGACCGTGCCCAATGTTTCAATAATACCCGTCATAGCGAAGAGACGTGTCCACAAGGTATTCGGCATATACATCTTAGAACTCTGCTTCTTTGGCGTCGAAGGATAGTGGGCATCATCATTCAGGACCGGGCTGGTAGCCACACCCAAATCATCCAATTCAACATATTGCCCATTATTGTGTGTGGAGAAGAAAGCAGCACTCAAGCGGGTCTTCGCAGAGGCAGTCTGAATAGGGGTGGGACCAGGTGAATCAAATCCCACATCAGATCGCATAGTGATCAAAGGGCCATTAGAATCAAAGATAGAAATGCTTTAAGATATAATCCAAGCTATACAAGTAAATAATAAGAATGTTTGACAAGAAAGGTTTACGTATGGCAACCTTGGAACAACAGTTAGAGTGGAGACAAAAGACTCGGAACGCGAGATGAGCAAGTTGGGACTATCGGCCGCTAACATTTTACGGTGGAAAAATTTCGCCGCCTAAAATTAAAACATTTAAATAATTAATCAATCTGTGTCAGTTCCTTCCTAGTCCCTCTTAGTATGGATCCCCTTATTGGTTCATGCATTTTGGCGTCGTATGCATGATACGAATGTAACTTCCAAGGTTGGCCAGCTCAGAATCCCGCAAGGCATGATGTTTTGGGGCCTTGGATGTGGATAAACAATTGTACATCATTTCATTGAGCCCCTTTTTTTCTCTTCTTGATTTGCTCCAATTAAGCTTCGTCTATTTTTGTTCTGAATTGAAATTCTATTTGAGTCGCGAGATTCAAAAATAGGCGATTTCACACTATTGATTTAAACCCCAGATGCTCCATTCCAATTGTCCAATGTTGAATGTCCAGAACTCTAGATGTTCAGTATATTTTACTATTTTCAGCTTAGTGTCATCAATTCAGCTCCCAAATTCATAAGTACGAGTACGAGTGGACAAAGCAGTCGTCGGACGTCCACATGCACATGTGCCCAGCCCAGGTATGGGTCAAGACTCAGGAGTGAAACACATTCAAGTTTCCGTCGGCGAACATCCGGATCATGATCTCAGTTATTCTCTTGCCACCTAAAGCATAAACTTAGTGTCTAGTCTTCTTCAATAGTAGAAGGTCTGCCCCATCTGCAAATCTGCACACCTGGGCAACAACCTGTGATTACACTGTGTACAGCGGTAAAAAATGGTGCTTCCTTCATCAGCACTTCGAAGCTGAGCCTCTGTCCAGGCGGCTTTGTTATTTGAGCATTTAGAACACTCAATCTCGGCGATCGGACCATTGCCGATGTCCTTGTGAGAGATCTTCTGGGTCTGAGAGCGAAGTTTTATTCTTAATCGTGAAGGGAAATTGCTCGATTCAGCGACATGTGTATAAGAAAGTAATTGATCTGATATTTTAGTATGACTCAATGAATCCCTTGCTCAGGAGAGACATACTCTCGGCAACTTGCCCACACAAGACGCAAGAGACTTGTTCTGCAGCTGAGATTGGCAGTATAGAGCCGCAGGCATCACAAAATTGGACTGGCATATCGAAGAAACTTGATTTAAGGGAATAACCGATTTGAGTTTTAGCCAGGGTGAAGGGATCCCTGAGCACGAGAAACTGAAACTGAGATCCAAAAATGAGTGCGGATAGCTGCTGCAGGGCTGCTATGTATCTCACCTCATTTGTGACGAGTCACTCTCAAAAGCAATCATGCATCTCAGCCAAGATTGTTATTGGTACTCCAAGTACGGAGTACTCCGTATGCAACTTAGCGCTAGTAATGATTTAAGTTATGAACGCTCACCCAATCAATAAGTCAAGATGTTGAAGGGTCTCAATAAAAAAATAATATTGAGACTTTCTATAGTTCCTCAAAGGCACGAACAATATATGATTGCCCGTTAATGATGACCTTCTCACCAGGGATCCTCCATACTCCCTCTCCTTCACCATCCAACCCAGCAATCATCGAGGGTAGATCCTTGCCCGCATCTCCAACCACATATTTCGCCTGCCACCCAGACTCCCACTCCTCCCTCCTGGCGCTAACATCGACACCGGTTTTACTCACACTCCACCCTCCAGGCGCATCTTTTGTGCGAACCGTCGTCTGCTTCTGCTGCAAAACCAGATATGTCCCCCAAATCCGACCCAAAAATGTTTTCATGACAGTGACCTCGCCTTCTTGCTCCTCAAGGCCACTATCAGATTCAAGAACCCATGACATACCCTTCTTCGACCCTTCGGGACCCTCCTTAAATGGCAACTCCCTCCAAATCTCCTCATAATCGGTTACTGGAGCCCCAGGTAGATCTGAGCGAGGCATCGACCCAGTCTCAAGATCATCGCCATTTGGAAGAGAGACGAAAGTCCCACAGTCCACACTTTCAAATTCATTATGCGAGTCTAGCTCATGCGTGAAGGATACTCGCACTGGGCAGATTAGTATACCGAACATCAAGCGACTTGAATGAAGGTGTACTCACGAGGATCTTGGGTTTCGATTAATCGCTGACCTGCGATTGCCCAGTCGATTGCGCTGGTCTTCTTATCCATTCGTAGATCCAGGTACCAGTCCTTTACCGACATGACAATAGTATCTGTGTTTTCGAATGCTGGCTCTGGGAGCCATCGTAGCGAGATACGCGTAGAAAAACGGCACGAGGAGGATACGAAAACGTCGTCATTTGCCATTTTGCAACTATCGTGAAGTGCTTTTGGATTTGCAGGTGGCTGTTGTTTGACGAATGTGAATGTGTCAGAATGAGATCGATCGGAGTTCTCAGTACCCGAGCACAATGCAGAGTCTGTAATGGAGGCTTGGTATGATTTATTGGGGATTGTGAAACCAATTGGGGAACTGTAAGAGAAAGAATTAGCCTATCAAGTTGTGGTGGACACGATGTCGCTACGGCTCTTATCGCGTTCCCCTCACCCCGCATCGGCTGCAGCATCCATATCGGATCAAGTCCCTACGTCAACTGGTGGAGATTAATTTAGATCTGACCTTTTATCTGAAAAATTGAATGAGAATGATTTTTTGATTTTTGATTTTATAAGGAGTAAAACAAACTAATCAACTCGCTGCGAATTCTTGGTTTAATAACCGTAACTATACTCAATCGAACTTGCATTATCTCTGGGATTCGCGAGATATGCTAGAGTTGCATCATTCGATAGGAGTAAAAACTAGTTTACATATCTGGCCCTTGGGTCTCGCCGAGATAATCTGGTCATCTAACTCCATAGAAGCATCCATATCTAGAGCCACCGTAGTCTGGAAACGGGAATAAACCTCCCGAAGAAGGACTCGCATTTCCACTAAGGCAAGACTAATCGATAGTTAGCAACTGATAGTAACTAGCATAGGCGAGTACCTACTTTTTTCCAGTGCAACCTCTCCCTCCGATAGCAAAAGCAAAGAAATGCCTATTCCTCTCCGTAGATCCCTCCTCGTCTAACCACCGATCGGGATAAAACCGATCTGGTTCGGGGAAGACCTCTTCATGAGCGCGATGCACAGTATAAGGCTGGCAACTCACGATCGCGTTAGCGGGAATAAAGTATCCATCAATCATCCTACCGCCACCAGGTACATAACGCGGCAGTGACATAGGGATAGACGGGGAGAAGCGCAGCGTTTCTTTAATGACTGCTTCCAAGTAAAGAAGACTGTCAAGTGGAGCATCGGGTGATGCAGATTTCAGTTCTGCGCGCAGTTTTTGTTGATAGATAAGATTTTGTGGTTGTGAGAGTTCCCACATCAGGAAGCAGAGGCCATCGCCTGTAGTGTCGATTCCGGCTGCCATGTGGTCTTTGCATTCTGCTGCTGCCTGCATGAGTTCCAGGCCAGTATCTTTACGCTTGAGTTTTTCAAGCAGTGTAAAGTTTCCTAGCTCGGATTGGGCGACCATATCTAAGACATATTGATTTGTTTTTGGGGAGCTTCTTGGGCGAAGGAAATTGGGGAAATATGGCTCCAAAGCCGGCAGATAGTATTCAAGTAGACTTTCTGCTCAGAAGGGCTCAGTATTTAATCAAACTGACGAGAATGGATAGTGGCTTACTCTGAAGACTTTGGTGATATGTTAACTCTTGCATTATCTCAAAGTCCTGCTCAATGTTAAGGGACTTGAGACCTCCTGGGCTGAACATGAAATGAGTGACACAGTCCACGGCGTAGCAATGCAGTAATACCTGGATCACTTGTCAGCAAATTCGAGGATTATCAGATCCAAATACATACATAGACATCGATACTCTTCTTTCCCATTTCGGCAATCCGAGATACAAATGCTTGAGCGCGCTCATTGATACCTGTCAAGGGTCCTTCTTTCATGATATTGCTCATGGCATATCTTTCGGCGAAGATGCGCTTTCTTTTGCTATGCTATATAACTCTCAGCCAGGGCGCACTTTGATAAAGGAAGGTCTTCTCACCTCATCCTTTGGTAATGTGGAGAACATCGTCCTGTTCCTTGTTAGACAAGAAAAACGGAGGTATTTGAATTGCTATGACGTCGTACCTGATTTTGAACTGTCTGAAAAGTGTGTAGAACTCGGTCTTATCATACCCACTGCCTCCAGACGCATAGATCTCTTTGATAGCATCGAGACTGGTAAAAGATACCTCATTGGGGCCCAGGCGGACAACAGGCCCATACTTTTTGTGGAGATGGTGAATTGACTCCCGCCGATTTGCGGTGAATTCCTGATACTTGATCCATAAGCTGGTATACCGTGTATACCATGGACCCGGCACCTTTGATATCGGCGACACGAGTCTACGACCCAGGAAATATCCGAGGAACAAGATAGCTCCTAGCCACAGTGAGAGCATATTTCAAACATGTATCCTAGTATCACCAAGGAGCACTTGAGGTAGAAAGGTAGAGTGAAGTGAACTTTATTATGGTGGTGATTCAAATGTTGTCAAAGGCAAAGAACCAATTCACAATAAGATACTGACATTATTTATCAGAAGATACGACGGAGTCCGCGGGTCCCGCATTCTTTTCAATGTTAGATAGCGGAAAATAGTTCTGTTGGTAGTGGCTAGCTCCGATAGAGCCAACCGATATCAGTATGGGGCGTGCGGGGAAAGGGAACGGACGTTGGAGCTACATCGATAAAATTTGACGCTTGGTACAAAAAGGGAAATTCTAGGAGATGAAGGATCAGAGCTAATCGAAATAGTCCGTCTATTCTAGAGGTTTAAATCCAGGATCCTTGTATCTCTTGGTTATCTCCAGGGCTGCTGTGGTCGAATGACCAAACCATCCATGTAGTACGACAGCCCGAATTAGTAAAGATAAGGGTGTTTGACCACTTATGCAGCCCTGGAGTATGGTAGCCAACAGCACTTGAGTAGAAAGAATACGTATATTGCAAAAATGGTCTACAAATATTCAAATGTTCTGCATACTAGTATAATGAGATTTATGTTTATGGTGTTCTCTGCAGTTCTTGATTAAGTTGACCGATCCAAATTCGGTCGTCCGAATCATCGCCGAAGCCAACCAGTCCAATCCAGTCCTTTCGACAATCTCGAATTACACTGGCAAGTCTCATGTAAACACTTATTTAGATCATGATGTCCAGTTAGTAATACCTGCACTGGTAGGTGAATGATTATCTACTCTTCGATGGATATCAGTACCTAAACGGGCATTCAAAGGGGTAAGCTAGCCACTACCTACCTAAGGGAGAAAGATATTAATAGGAAGCTATATGAACTGAACGGGATGTAAGAGGTCAGCTGGAGACTTAGGCCTACTAGTACCTATCCAAGTAGCAGTACATACATTGATGGATATGATGCGACATCCATTTGAAGGTGCGGCGAACATTGGGACCGTGGATCTAGGCGCTCTTCGGTCCCATCTATAGTTCCCCGATTCCCATCTGGATGCTTCTTTCACCCAAATAATACTTGAACCCTGGAACAATTCTCCATCTTTGAATCTTCAAATACCTTTTATAACTGAGCAATCGACACGTTCACAAGCGACTACTTTTCTATTCCGATTTCATTCAGTTCAGACTCCGAGTCACAGCATATAATTTGAAACCATCGGGGAAACATCGATAGCTCACAATGGCCTCAGGTAATGATATTCTGAGCACATCGGAGAGAAATCTCATGAAAGATGTGACAGAAGACATTGGGCCCCTTCAAAGATATCGGTACAGACTGACATATGACACAACTGATGCTCAGTACAAATTGATCAACGCAGAGCAAGAGCTCCGAGAACTTGTTCAGAAAGAAGAATCCCTCACTAAAGACCTGGATCAACAAATGAGATATACTTTCCGTGTCGAAGAAATCAAAGTGATCGAAAGCCAGCTGGACGATTTAAATCAACAATATTTCGTCCTTCGACAGAAATGGTTACGATGTCGTAACGAATTCACTGAGTACCTATCGAGAGCCTTTGATCTCTGGCGCTCTTATCCCAACTGGTATCTCCATCCCGTGCTACAAAGGGATTGCGCTTTAAAGGGTGGCTGTTGCGGTCGCAGCTGTGGATGCTGTTTGAAGCGCGCTACAGCTTCTAGCTCTGATCATAAACTTGGAATTGGACATTGCTCCGTTGAATGTGCATGCTGTATCCAATCCCGACCCTTTGAGCTTATCGATGCACGAAAGGCGGAGTCGCGTAGTTTGGCTCAGGTTTCGAGTTCAACTTATAGGTATGATGACCAGATTTTACGGGCTTCGATATGGGGATTGGTAAAGGACAACGAGGAGAATCCATTGGATTTGATTAAGCGCCCTCCTGTGCATTGGGATATTTAGACCCAGGTGACCTCAGTGTAATGAATTTTCAAGCAGTTCAAATGTGTTTTTTCAAGGAACTTGATTCAAGTTCCTAATGTTGTGAGGTATACTTAGCTGGTGGATTGGACCTTGAAACGTTTACTGAATTGACTCTGTCGCTCTCTTAGCCATGCTCAACTACCTAAGTATACACACTGGCTGTTAAAGGATACTCTGTAGATGTTTCAATCCTCATGATGCACCTAACCTAGGCAGGTAGCAGCCCTGGAGGGCTTACTTAAGTTTAAATCTGGAATTTTTGAACCTTGGAATAATCTTCTACTACTATAAGCTTAAATATATCTGATCTCGGCTCCGGGGCTGTCAAATATCATTATGATGCTTTGATCGTAAAAGAATCTTATCTGTGTCAGCTTTTCTCTTCTGATTTCATCCCTTATACATATAACAATCATTTAGTCCAAATATTCCCAGCTAAGAACACATGAATTCACCATGTTTTGCGATGAGACACCTAACTCAGAGGAGCGCCGCCTTATGAGGGAAGGAAAAGGAGATATCGGACCTCGTCAGAGGTATCGCTATACGACTTGGAGGAATACCAGGACCACAGAAATAACTGCTCAATATAATCTACTTAACATAGAGCAGAAGCTCCGGGAACTTCTTCCAGGGGGGGAATATCTCACCACAGAAATGACAGCTCAATATAATCTACTTAACACAGAGCAGAAGCTCCGGGAACTTGTTCAAAGGAAGGAATATCTTACTCGAGAAATGCAAAAATTATTCACGAAAATTGGAAAGAAAGAGAGCCTGCGAAAAAGATATTGGCGGATATACCTCGTGATTATTTTGTCCTTGAAAAAACGTGGTGCCGATGGTGGAATGAATTCACCACTTCTCTCTCTCGAGGATTTGACCTGTGGCGATCATATTCGCGATGGTATCTTCATTGTCTATTTCGGGAAGACTGCGCGATGAGGAAAGGCTGTTGTAGTCGTGGCTGTGGATGCTGTGCTAAGCGGGTTCTGACCACTAGGCCAGAACGGAAGCTTGGAGTTGGCCATTGTACAGTTGAATGTGGATGCTGCATTCGATCTCGGGGATTCGACCTTACAGACTCACAAAAAGCAGAAGTGAGTAAGATACTCCACATTCCAGATGACTCCAAAGCTTCCCGAAGCGCCAAGTCTGCTTATGCTCGACGGATTTCACGCGTTTCAATATGGGGATTGGTGAAAGATAATGAGGAGAACCCATTAGATTTGATCGACAAATCGAAGGGCAAGCCTCCTTCATATGATGAAATCTAATCTCAGTGAAATGACTCTCTGTTCGCTTCAGTATACCAAAGTTGCTGTCGAATATTCCGAATTGTATAAGACTCCGAGTCGTTTGCTGGAGCCGACATCTGCACTCTGTACCTGGGCAAATATGCACATGTGTCATCTTCTCAGTCATGCTCAATCAGCTATAATTTATATCTATTTTATAAAGATTTTAATGCCTCAGTTAGGCGCCCATTCACAGATGTGGCTTATGCGTAGCTGAGTCCTTCGTTTTTGAAAATTCTCGCATATAAGAACGCTCTTAGTCTCCGACGGGGTAGAAAAAAAAAGTCAATGTCTCAGATTTGTAGATCTGTTCTTCGTATTATGCAGAAGTCGAGTGCAATTGATGGCAGTTAGATGGAGGCGACCGTACTCAGCGATGATCAGTACGAGTGGCGGCCAATGCCCAATGAGGTATCCATCGATATGAACCATTTAAATATCCGCTTTGGTGGTAATCCATGGTTCGTCGGCTTGGGATTAAGGGTGGCACTCGACCTGAATTCCATCTACTCGAACCCATTGCGGACGTCTCTCTCGACGATTAAATAGTGATATTGTGCTGACTCGGAGTACTCAACCTATGCCATCTAGGTTGCATCTAGACGTTCTCGGCCCAGTTACGCCCGCAGCTCGAATTGATCCCTGCATATGTATTGTTACACCAGGCCAGCCCTCGCATGTGCAAGTCATTGTAACTGGCAGTCTGGGCTGACCAGATCTAAATTTGTCGTTTGTGATGGGAAAATGTCGTCATTAGCACTCGTCAAAACTAATACTGGTAAGCCTTTTATTCTGCGCTCTGTACTCCTTCAATCTCAGGGGTGTCTCGGAATATCACTTCATCGCATATATAACATGCACTGCACTGATCGTTGAGGCTTGGTCTCAGTCTCTCAGATGGGGGCCAAATGTCGCAGCGTGGCTGACCTGAACGACACAGCCACTGGAATGCGGGATTTCCAACTCGAAAGACCCCCAGCCACCACTCTTGAGGGTAGAGAACCTCACTAGGGAAACAACCACAGCCCCTTTGGTTGATACACCCAAATACCCGAGAGAGCAGCGGGAAATGTCAGTGGACCAGTCAAATCTTGGACTGTGTGGCTTGGTGTCGTGTGCCGTCCCTTGACTTGTCGCGGTTTCGGATTAGTGAATAAGGCTTGATTCGGCTGAACTTTCAAAGTACAGTAGTTCTGTGAAGGGATCATTGACATTTCCATAGTAAGTAAATAGGTCCGTAGATGCATACGTATTGCATCCGGAGGATCAAGTTGGTGGATACTGAGTACAGATCAGAAATCCACGGCAAGTCGAGACCACGACATAGTTTGGTTGTACCTGGATACGCATAGTCTGGACAGTATGGAGTCAGGCCCCACTTGAGCCACGCCTCTCTTTCGCTGGTGTTTCCATTTCAGGGGCGATAAGATGTCTAGAATTTCGAGAACGAGTCCATATGGAATATGTCAGCATAAAAAGATCACAAAAAATGACTAGAAAAAAAACAATAATAATCGAATGCCGAGAGATGGAACGGGTTCCTGGTATGTGGAGGAAAAGAGGTATGTGAGCGTGACTTGAGATCCCTAACCCCATCTCTCCTCCCTAGAATTATCTACATACTTCATCCACTCTTCATGACTCTTTTTTCATCGTATATCCTTCTTACCTCCTAAGAATATCGTCTTTCAATCTCACTTCCCCAGCCTCTCATAATAAGGCGACCCGGGGATTCCCTAGCTGAGCCTTGCTGCCTGCAACGCTGATCGCTGATCCGACCACGCTACGCCCCGCCAGACCCAAATAACGTTCCGGCTAAGGGGGGAAAAAACTTGGGGCTGTTCAGTTTTCTCCTCTTCATCGACGCTCGTTCAAATCGACTGAGTACAGTGCTATTCAGTCGGATGCTCTCTCCACCTCAACTCTCGTTCTCTCGTGAATCAACCCCCCCATTCTCGCTCTCTAACCCCTGCCGCAACTGTACAACCCGCCAAGCCTACGCACGGCACACGAGCCTCCTGGTGTTTCGACAATCCCACGTATCAAGGATCGCCCTTTGTCCAGCTGCAGCTTTCCCCCCAACTCCCCATAAATAAACAGTGAATTCCATCCACCGGGTGGTTTAAACCGTCACTGTGTCTTTCGCAACGCAACCAGCGGACCCTAGTGCCGCGCCGGAAGAATTCGGCAAAAGTCACGGTTTGCGCGCTTCTCTATTAGGGGCAGGTTCACTGGAACCATCGTTTCGCCAAAGTCTGGGATTTCGTGCTCGGGAAGGCTACATGAATGTACAAGAGGAATATACCGCCCCTGCTCCGGCAGGCGTGGCGCGCAACAGATTCTGCTATCTCCCGAACACAACATGGACATGGTCCTTTGCTGTGGTCACTTTTGCTCAGACCGTTGTGACTCTAGCTTTGGAGATGTAAGATAAAATCCCTGAGATGACTGAGATTGGTCGCCTTCTCTTGATTATGAAAACTGACATCGTCCAGCTATATCTTCGTCAACTTCCAGACCCAAGAAATCCCCAACTCGAGTCCATCTTCCAGAACAATCCCGACTTTCCTTGCCTTGTACAGCTTTGGTTTTCTTTATGAGTTGGTCTTGGTGTATGATGCATTGCGAATGAAAAACACCATTCAAGTCATCGGTCTCTGCATGTGCAATGTGGGTCTGTTGATTTACGGCGCAATCCAGGTGAAACAAATCAAAACTGCGGTCAACGTGTTGGCTGAGAACAAGCATATTCCCCATGCCGTCTGGGCAGAATCGGAGCCATTTTTGATCATTATTCCTTGCATTGTCGCGCTGGGCACCATCCTGATAACCTTCGTGGCATGGAAGCTGTATGACGAATTTGCCTGGACAATCTACAAGCACATCAGTGCTGATCTGCGCATGAAACGGCGCTATCTGACCTACCAGGTAGGAAGAGTGAAAATTTTACACAGGGATTGTACAAACGGCTAACTCGACTCTAGATCTACATCACTCTACTAAAGTTCGATTTCTTCTTCTTCCTCGGATTTACGGTCCAATTTCTGGTCGTGGCATCTACCAGTCACAATGCTGAGTTCTATCTCACTATTGTTGCCGTCCCCGTGACCATCATTATTCTCTGCTTCGGTGCCTATTTTGTGCGCCGAGAAACGACTCTCGGCATGATCATTATCATTGTAAGTCATCTAGACCAGCGCATGTGGAGCCACCGGTATCTAACTATTCCATACAGCTTCTCTTCTTTGCTGCCATGGCATACTTCAGCTTTAAGATCTTCCGAATGTATGCCCCGGCGACCAGAGTCGACTATCTCCCTGCTCGCACCTCGATGACATTCTTCGCTGTCATTACACTCGTACTGATTGTGACAACCATCATCAACGCCTGCATGTGCGTGAACAACTTCCACCGTGGCCTGAAGCCGCACATTAGCAAGAAGAAGACCAAGCCCGAAGAAAAGAATACGGAGCTGTCATCTAACCTAGCTGGTGCTACGGTTCCATCTCGGATGATGATCGATTGATCTTCTCGAACATCATGAGATCATTCGTTTGCATTGATCTCTTTAGGCGTTTGTAGCGCAAGCGTTCCATTTTTAATTTTTCACTTTTTTGCTGGATTCCTTCATTTCCTTCCAAGGTTATTTCCATCGTTGTCCCCGAGACAAGCGTTTTCTTTCCCTTTTTTCTTTTTTTTCTTTTTTTTTTTATCGACGCCTGTGCCATTTACTTGGGCTCTTTATGATACCTCATTTGCGACCATGCTTTTTTGACCATCTCTTGAACTCCACGGCTTCTTGAAGCCTTGGAAAAATTCATGTGACTTTACTTTACTGATTTACATTTTACATATCCCTCTGAGTGTACCGGTGGCGTTATCAGGATATGCTTCTCAGAGGAATTCCTCTCCATGTCATTTACGACGACTTTTTACCTTATTTCACCGTGAAATGTCTGATATTTCAAGATATCAATGTGTTGACCAAAAATAAAACGAATTTATGCCTATCTCAATTGTTTCAAAATGATCTATGTAGTAAATTACTCAGTTTAGTCTCATAATATCGATGCATCTTAAAGTAAACCCTGGAACCTGGAGTAACTCGAATGTTTTATGGGGATAAAGCTCACGAGGCCTGGGGTCTCTCATTGGTGGATCAGTTGTACCTTATACGGTAAACTATGCTCCGGTTGTTAGTGGATTACAGTACCCATACCCAGACTAGTATCAATCAGGAAACCGCGATCGTGGCCTCATTTCAACTCCGCAAAACCTCCCTTCCCTCTCTCCTGTCCGTTCATTCTCTCATTAATCCTTTACATCAAATCACAATGGTGAGCTTCCCCTGATTCCAATTCTCGGATCAATTCCAATATCCATATCCAATTGCCCCTTCACACCAAATCATATCCCCCCTCCTTTCTCTGAACCCCAGAAGCATCTTGAGTCTTGACCTATTGGTTTCCATCTCTAACAATGAAGTCAGGCTTCTCCTCGTCCTGCCTCCCCTCTTACCTCCGGCGCTGAGTCCGGTACTGAGTCCAAGTCCGCTGGTGCTGGCTCGGGCGCTGTTGCCTCCGGCTCCTCCGTCAGCCGTCCCTCTTCGCCCACTCCTCCTGGCGGTCCTCGCGCTGCTATGCGCCGCCGCGCCGCCGCTGACCACAAGGAGTCTCTGCGAAATGCCCGTCCCAGCTCTACTCGCTCCGCTGGTGCTGGTGGTTCCTCCGGTACTATGCTGAAGCTTTACACCGATGAGAGCCCCGGTCTGCGTGTTGACCCCGTTGTTGTCCTGGTTCTGTCTCTAGGTTTCATTTTCTCGGTTGTTGGTCTGCACGGTGAGTTCTCTCTTTTCTCGTGTTTCCTGCTAGATGAATTCATCAGCTTTGCTTCATCCGATACCCCGCTTGGACTTCATACTGACATATATATTATCCAGTCATCGCCAAGATTACCCGCAAGTTCTCCGCTTGAGCATACTTTTAATCGATTATTTGACCTCCGCACTCGATTCTATGCCAATCGTTTCCCTCAGCATAGATATCGGATGCTTCCTACCAACCTTCACTCTCTCGACCCTTTCTCCTATACCCCGTGACATTTTGTCCTTTCGGCTGCACCAAAAAGCTTCGTCGGGACTCCTAGTTTTGGCTACGCTAGTGTGATATCTTATTTCCTTTTATTTAAATCTTTCCCCTTGACATGAGTGGTGTTTTTGTTTTTGAGGGTGCTGAATGAGCACCCTGGACCTATCCGCTGTGTAGGTTGTTTAGTCAGGACTATCACTGTTGTCAGCATCTCCATGCTGGGCCTATCTATGCATCTTTCCTTGCGACATGAGGCGCTGGACGGAGCTGGGGATGGACCTATCGTGCGGATTGAGCTGGGCAGTGATCGAGTCTGACGCTGTGTACCATATCCGGACTGAATGTGTTCACTGTCTTGCATTGAAATGTACTTGGTTTTTGGAATTCCTCATATTTCCTCGGGCTTTCTGTTTGGAGTGTAGGTATTCACCTGGGCAGTATACTACGTAGGAGGCTCAGCGTGTAATATTCCACAAATACCTTACGACACTGTATTTTTGCGATAGTGAATGATCTCGAAGCCTCACTTCCTAGTTGTGTGTAATATAAGGGCATTGGTTTCTCCCCTGTCATACAGCTTCAATTTTGGAGATAATCATTCGAAATAATTGATTCCAGCTGCTGAACATATCTGTAAGGTCCTGAGAAATTTTCAGCGAAAAATAATCGCTTTTGGTGGTTTCCCAAGCCTTTTTAAAAAGATTTCTTAACTACTACTAGTACATCCACAATCTGGCACTACATGTGTAAACCGACACTACACCCACATAATCTGACAACACACCTACAACCTGACACTAACCCACATTCTTACACTAGATCGATAATCTGGTACTACATGCGCGATCTGGCACTACATGCACAGTTTGACACTACATGCACAATCCATCTGACAACCCTTTTTTCGAACAACTTGAACTCTGGTGTTTCAAATGTCATTGCCAGCAGTATGGACCTTGGAGCACTTATACTTGATTCGAGTTCCTCTAAGCTTAATATGTACAGTGAAACAACCTTCAAATCAAGTTGCGCACTGAAGTACCCAGCATGATGGATATCTCAGCATCGAATTCGGATGGATCCAGGCTTTTCGAGATACCGGTATACAGTCTGTCCGAGTCTGGGTTGATATCTAGAATAACCGCCATCGCTAGTGTGATGATTATGATGATTATGATTATGATTATTATGATTATTATGATTATTATGATTATTATGATTATTATGATTATTATGATTATTATGATTATTATGATTATTATGATTATTATGATTATTATGATTATTATGATTATTATGATTATTATGATTATTATGATTAAGAATAAACTACCTTGTATTATTTCAAGCATTGGTCGAATGAGCTCTACCATGTTCAAATACTACTCAGCGGGACTTAAGTACTGATCCTATGGTACAAGTCCTAGCACCGCGGCGCTATAGCAAGGAAAGTCATATACTAGGTTGAAGCTCTTTTAAATGAGCACTCTATATTAATGAGATTTAACTAAGCACCTGGATTTACATGCTCAGCTATACTGTTAGTCGTATCCGTTGGTAGATGGTTGCCTACTCTACCTATACTACCACCTACCTAGTAGGTATAGCTTCAAGTTATGGCCTTCAGCCGCAAGACTATATTCGATTAACCTTGAAAATCACCTACATGGAATAAAGCAAAGATTTTAGCACTCAGTTGGTCGAATGTAGCAATACGAATTCATTTCTTACAATCTTAATTATTAAAATCAAGTTCTCGGGATCAATGTCAAGCTGCCTAAGTCGCTTTTGGGTTTAAACTCCCATACTAGTACTGAGGCTAGCACTGCTAACTAGTAACCTTGGAAGTTTCATCAAGGCAACAGTGCACTTTATGTACCATGTCTTGTATAAATTAATACATTTCTGTGCATTAGAATATAATTCATGTTTAATCAATTCTAAATTCTGATAACCCGCTAGGCTAGGCTCAATATGGAGTATAGTCGAAGGATTCCATATTGAGTCTAGTACACGTATTATCAAAATCCCCAATGACAACTAGCATCGAGTAAACATATCAAATCCTTTTCGGCCCTTTATCAAGCGGACTCTCCCGACTCCCGACTTAACCCATTTTGACCCTCTAGAGTTGTTCTCAATTGCTGACTCCACTTTCTTCTTTAGTGGAAACTTCCAAGGTTCTTATCTTCACCTCTTCTCAACCAATCACATCCCATAATGAACTACTCAACTGATAAGCTCGCGTCCAGTCCCGACTTCCTAAAACACGATAGGTTGATTTCGTAAGTTGGTCATCATTTTCGTGCATATGGAGACGTTATTACTTTTCTTTTCTCTAACTCGACTCGATAAAGATAAAGTGCTGTGGGGTGGCGGGGTCTGAGGATCCCTGCATTCTTTCCATGGACTGTGCCGCCAGGAGCGCCCAACTATGTACACTCATTGGATTGGATTGAGTGGATTCAGTCTTAGCTGCGTGCCATCCCATTACGAGAACAATGCGTGCCTTATCTGGACTTTGTGTCTTGTGGAACTTCTCCCTATCTAAGCTTGGAGATTGGCATGGACTTCTCCGGGGTTGACTAGTGCGAGGTCGGAGTCTCAGACTCCTATGGCCTGTTGGCCTGCATATATCAATGCGCTTCCCCAGCTCTGCAGCTCCATGCATAACAGTATTGAATTCCAAGGTTTCTGGAACAGCAGACGATTCACCGCTTCGACCACCCACTCGATCAAGGGTTTTGGTTCTGATTCTCCATATCTTCAATTGAGTTTTCGAAACGTCATACATTGATTGTATCGGCCCTAAATCTTTTGTTCAGCTTGATCGCTGTCAGTCTGATCAATTGTATTGATCACTAAGCTGGCATCATGTCCGATATAATCAAATTCACAGCCCCATTGTCCCAGGGATTCGGATATGGAATCATTCTGGGACTTGGGTTTGCCTTTGCCCTTCTCATGATCTTCATTACATGGGCGTTGAAAAGGTAGGGGTTTTTCCGTCCACCCTTTAACCTTAATTTTTAATTGTTCTTCCTCATCTAACATGAGTTATGATCAGATATCAAAATGAAGTCCAAACATCCGAAATGTTCTCAACAGCTGGTCGCTCAGTCAAATCTGGTCTTGTCGCTGCCGCAGTCGTAAGCAGTTGGACATGGGCTGCGACTCTCCTACAATCTTCATCGGTAGCATATAAATACGGTATCTCCGGACCCTTCTACTACGCCTCCGGTGCAACAGTTCAAATTCTCCTCTTCGCAACAATAGCCATCGAGCTTAAGAGACGAGCTCCGAATGCGCATACCTTCCTCGAGGTCGTTCGCGCTCGCTACGGTACAACTGTACATATTGTCTTCATTGTTTTCTGTCTCATGACCAACATTCTTGTCACGGCTATGCTGCTTACCGGTGGTTCGGCGGTCATGACCTCCCTAACCGGAGTTTCAACTCCTGCCGCTTGTTACTTGCTTCCTATTGGTGTTGTTTTATACACTCTGTTCGGTGGAATCAAGGCCACGTTCATCACGGATTACATGCACACCGTGGTTATTTTGGTCGTTATCTTCTTGTTTGCCTTTTCGGCTTATGCGACCAATGCAGAGCTGGGCTCTCCCGGCAAAGTATACGATGCTCTGGTTGAGGCAGCGAACCGGAACCCCATCGCAGGAAATGCTGAGGGCAGCTATCTGACAATGCGCTCAAAGGAAGGTGGAATCTTCTGGATTATCAACCTGATCGGTAACTTTGGAACTGTCTTCCTTGACAACGGTTACTACAACAAAGGTGAGATCAATTCATCCTAACGCAATCATTCGGATGAATATTAACACTTCATAGCAATTGCTGCAAGCCCTGTTCACGCATTCCCAGGTTACGTTATCGGAGGTCTCTGCTGGTTCGCTATTCCCTGGCTCTGCGCTACAACCCTGGGTATCTCAGCCATCGCCCTCCAAGGTAACCAGACCCTCAGCAGCGACGACGTAACAGCCGGTCTAGTCCTACCTTACGCAGCAGTTCAACTCCTCGGATATAGTGGTGCCGTCGCAACAACTCTCATGATCTTCATGGCCGTGACATCCGCGTTCTCAGCACAGCTCATCGCCGTGTCCTCGATCTTCACATACGATATCTACCAGGCTTACATTGATCCTAAGGCTAATGGCAAGAAACTCGTTTGGGTCTCTCATATGTCGTGTATTGTCTGGGCAGTTGTCATGGCTAGCTTTGCCACGGGTCTCTACTACGCTGGTGTTGGTATGGGATACCTGTACTTGCTTATGGGTGTCATCATTTCCTCTGCTGTGTTCCCCGGTGCTATGACTCTCCTCTGGAAGAGTCAGAACAAGATCGCGGCTGCTGTTTCTCCTCCTCTTGGACTTGCTATTTCATTGTCTGCCTGGCTCGCGACTACAAAGACGCAGTACGGTGTCTTCAATGTGACTACCACTGGTGACAAGTAAGTTTTACTTCTGATACAAACCGCCTTTCTACTTCTTCCATACTAACATTATCTTTCTTAGCTACCCCATGCTGGCAGGAAACGTCGCCGCTCTCCTCAGCCCAGTGGTTATCTCACCCATCCTAACCCTAATTTTCGGCTCCCAGAACTACGACTGGGAATCCATGCGCCAAATCCGCAAGGTCGATGACACACAAGTAGCCGCAGAAGCACACATTGATCTCGAGATGGTGCCCGGCGAAGTAGGACCGACCGAGGCCCAAAGCGAAGAAGAAACGCGCAAGCTGAACAAAGCAGCGCTATACTCGCGCACCCTGACCATTTTCATGGCTCTTGCCATGTTGATTCTTTGGCCGATCCCAATGTACGGTAGCTCGTACGTTTTCAGCAAGAAGTTCTTCACTGGCTGGATTGTTGTGGGGATCATTTGGCTGTTCTGCACATTGTTTGGTGTGGTTGTTTTCCCACTCTATGAGGGACGGGAGAGTATTGTTCGGGTTGTTAAGATGATGGCTTATGATGCTATGGGAACTCGACCGGCTGTTTATCGGGGTCGGAAAGCCGATGAGATGCAGGCTTCTGGTGTGGCGACACCGGCAGAAAAGTCGGATGGAGAGAAGGCTAAGGAGGCGATGGAGTCGTCTGCTTAGATGAATGGTTCTTATGAGTCTTTTCTTTATGTTGGAGCTTTTGGGCTGGTTCTGTGGTTTTCTTTTGGTTAGATATGTCTTTTTTTATACCCTGTCATATATTGAGTACGACATCTAGTATCACAAATGTAATAGAACTTGAATCACGATTTGAATTTCAAAAACAGAAACTTAAGATCATCGGGCATGCTCTGTAAAGTCATAAAATAGTGTATCAAAATGTCCCCAACGCCAAATCAATTCCCCGAACGAACCAAGTAAATGAACTTGAAAGATGATCTGAGGCGTCTTTATAGTGGAATCACTTTCCACGTAGACCTCATACAGAGCTCTAGTCATAATGATATTGAAGCCTGATGCTTCATCCTCATTTGTACTCAGCTGGTGCATGTTGCTCAGGCGGTGCTGGCTGGCCTTTCTGGCCTTCAGCGGGGGGGCTGCTGGGCCCCGTAAGCCATTGGAGGTGGATGTGGCCCCGGCGGAGCCCATGGGTAAGCTGGCATTGGAGGTGGACGTGTGTCAGGTGTAATATCAGGACGGTCACTGAGATATGTTATTATTAGTCTTCCTTGAACTTGAACTTGATAGTGTGAGGTTATACCGAAGATCCTGCGAGAAGCGACAGGTGTAACACATGACTTCCTATAAATTTGGTTAGAATTGCCCAAAAAGGGGGAAGTTTGATCATCTGTTGCTATACTAGATGATGGTCATCGATATTTTGACAAATATGACTTACTTTGTACTTATGAGTTGAAAGAGGGATCAATGGCTATATGTAAACATCAGTATCTGATCTTGCACTCAACAACGGTTTTCAAAATGAAGCCGAAAAAAAAAAGTTGCAGCCAAATTAAGTCGAATAAAATAAAAGCATTGGCAGCTTACAATGAAGCAGATGGTGAAGAATGGCCTATGTGATTCCATGGTTGTCAGTCACGCTATCCGAGTTTCAAGGGCACTAGCCACATACCAACGGGTGATGCAATGGCCATTCCAGTTTCGACCTAGACAAAAGACGACTAATCAGAAAGAGCTCAATTATGACCATCAACATGGAAATCATTAGCATACAGTTGTAACAGTAGGCCCGGACATTCTCATAGCCCTCGAGCATCGAGGTGAACTCTGTAATCCCTGTCAGTCCTGACTCCTGCAATCTAGATGGGGCGGCTGGAGCCCTTAGCCTAAACATCCGATTCCACTTGAACCGAGCGGCCCCCACTCCGGTGTCATCGGAGTTTGGTCAAGTTAGCTCCAGGATCATGACTTACCGTGCGTGCCAAAGGTGATACAGAACGCCATGATTTTGTTGAATCAAGAAATTTGAAGAGAGTATGGAGAACAAAGGTCAATAGAGCGAGCAAGAAGGCAGCTATGTTTTGGGTGTGGCTTGGTGCTTGGCAAAGCACGTGAGGTCCATGTGATTCCCCAGGTACAAATTGCCCATACAATCAACTATATGTCTCAGTAATAGCTTACAAGTGCCTATTTATGTATATAGACATTTATATCAGGTGATAGATTTCTTCAAATGGGAATCTCGTGAATATTTGAAATGGGCCTCTTTACAGATGTGGCAATTTATGCAAAAACAAAATGAAGAAAGCAGTGGGCATAAAAAGACACAGGAAATCAAATCAGAAAAGATCGCTTGGAAGTACACTCTCCACTTGTGCTCAGTGCTCATCAAAACATTGCGAGTCCGGTGCGCATTGCGATTACTGGGTCTTGAAGAGGAGAATGGCACAGTGGCCGAGGTAAAAGTAAATGAAGTGCTTTGTTTCTGCAAAAAAAAGAAAGATTAGTAAAGATGTTGACATGGGAAACTATTGGATCATTACCATGCGTGACAAAGCTGCCAAAGTTGCGGCCAACCACACAGTGCCAGGTAGCACCACGGCGTGAATCAAACTAGCCCATTATCAGTATTGGTATAGGAGGATAGGAGAATCGGGGTAGCGGGGTTCGGACTTCTTTCTTGATGTACTGGGCAATGTCCTGTAATTGAAGCATGTGTTAGTGATATATCCAGGCTGCTCCAGGGAATGCGATGTCTTCTCTTACCTTCTCAATGCGATACTTATCCATGGCCTCAATAGCTGGTGGGAGCGTTAGTTGTCAATCCTGCCATACAATTCTCAGAGAGTCATACCGAGCGCAATGGCCTCTTGCTGCTCCTCATCGGTCTGAATATCAGCGTTAAAGATGTGCTCGAGGTTTGAAATGGGTCAATTCCGCTTACCATGTCGACCGACTTGATCTGGGCTTCATCGGGAATTAGCGAAGTACTCGAAGTACTCGAAGTACTCGATGCGCCGGTGCAGGGCAGGACTCACCCTCCATCTTCTCGGGCTTTTCAGCAGCCATGATTGCAGATATCGTGATTTGAATCGGAAAGCGCGTGCTTTTTTGCGAGAGTTGTGCGCGTGCAAAAGGATTGGGAGACAGCAAGACAGCGGGTGCTGTGCTTTGATGAAGGCGCGTTAAGGATATATACTGACCGCCTTCTCATTATTGACAGCAAATAACGAGAAAAAAAAGATTGACCGCTTTCCTGACCGCCTAGTCCGGTATGAAAGAACAAGAAAAAAAATTCCAATTGAAACTTTTTCTCTCTACACTTGCTCGAGGCTTTTCCAGCCACACAACTTCAAAATGGAAAACACTCGAGTGTTTGTCAGTGGGCTCCCGCCTACTTGCTCAAATGATCAGCTTCGCAATCATTTTGCTGCTCGCTTTCAAGTCACAGATGCTCATGTCCTCCCAAAACGTCGTATGGGCTTTGTCGGCTTCAAAAGCAATGAAGTAGCTCAGGAAGCAGTCAAATACTTCAACAAGACTTTCTTAAAGATGTCCAAGATCTCGGTAGATATTGCTCGACCGGTATGTGACACCCGACACCCTTTGCCATGTTGCGAAAAATTCTGTTTTGTTTTTCCTCTTTTTGCTTTTTCGCACGCTGACCAGTTCAGTTGGTCTTGAGACTGACCAGTGTAATTGTAGATTGATTCCAACCCTGCTGAGAGGGCCCATCCTACACGGAGACGTGACAATGCCAATGACATCCCGTTGGACAATGCACTGAAGCGCAAGAGGGATACTGAAAAGGATCCTAAGCTACAGGAGTACCTCTCATTGATGCAATCCGGAAAGACTCGAACATGGGCAAACGATGATACCCTAGCACAGGCATCGGCGGAATCCGCGGCAGCGGCCATTAATCGACCCACCCAAGAGACCAAAGTTGTGGAAGAAGTGCCTTCCCAGCCTAAGAAAGCCCGCATCCAAGAAAACTCGACCCCTGCCAGTACTGAGGTACCTGAGCCCATGGTCGTAGACCACAGCGGAGAGGATGGGAAGGAGGAGACCTCGGATCAAGCTGAGGAAGAGACTGGCCCTGTGTCAGACATGGACTGGCTTCGATCAAAGACGAGTCGTCTTCTGGGTCTCCTGGACGAGGATGAGCAGGCTGAGTTCGAAGAGCGCAAAGCAGACGAGCCAATTAAGTCTCGGAGTCCCAGCGTGGATGAATCTCGTAGTGCACAAATCGAACGTATCAGTTCTCCTCCGCCCGCGACTAATGTTGATGAAGTTGATGAGCCAGTTGAAGATGCAGATGAACCTGAAGAGGATGAAATATCTCCTGAACAGGCCAAGAACATTGAGTTGATTCGGTCATCTGCTCGATTGTTCCTGAGGAATCTGTCTTACGAGTTGACCGAGGCAGACCTTCAGCCCCTGTTTACTCCATTCGGCAAAACTGAAGAGGTTAGTACATCCCAAAAATTCCTTTTCCATTTCACAACCCCCCCCCCCCACCCTCAGTCGCCAGTATGTGCTTCTATAGTACCAATGCTGGCACTGTGCTCAAATGATGATTATCCTGATAGGGACATCTTATGCCAAAGTGCAAATGATTCCAACAGGCAAGAGATTTTAGTAGATGCTTCTTGGTTTTCTGAAAGAGCAACAGCACATTCCATTTGACAACTTCACAAAAAATTTTATTTGATCAAGTGCTAATGGAAAATCCAGATTCATATTGCTTTCGACACTCGTACTGAGACCAGCAAAGGCTTTGCCTACGTGCAGTATCATGATGCCGATGCTGCCGTAGAGGCTTACCGAGCTCTCGACGGAAAACATTTCCAGGGCCGCCTTTTGCATATCCTTCCTGCTGCGGCTAAGAAGAGTTACAAGATTGACGAATATGAGCTTTCCAAGCTTCCTTTGAAAAAGCAGAAGGAGATCAAGCGTAAAAAGGATTCTACTTCTTCATCATTCAGTTGGAACTCTCTTTACATGAATGTAAGTTGCACTGGGATACAAGACAGGTTTACAAAGAGGAGAAACTGATTATTTTCATTAGGCCGATGCTGTTATGTCTTCCGTCTCTCAGAGACTCGGTATTTCCAAGGCTGAATTGCTGGACCCGACCTCATCTGATGCTGCTGTGAAGCTGGCACATGCTGAGACGCATGTTATCCAAGAAACCAAGGCCTACTTTGCTTCCAATGGAGTGAACATTGACGCCTTCAAGGGTCGTGAGCGAGGAAACACAGCCATCTTGGTCAAGAACTTTTCCTATGGAGTCAAATCCAGTGATTTGAGGTCTTTGTTTGAGCCATACGGTACAATCATTCGACTGCTGATGCCTCCAAGTGGCACCATCGCCATTGTGGAATTCGGGAAACCGGATGAAGCACAAAAAGCGTTCAAGGGCCTTGCATACCGCAAAGTGGGTGATTCCATTCTCTTCTTGGAGAAGGCGCCAAAGAACCTGTTTGATGGCACAGCGACCCCTCAGGCTTCTGTACCTGAGATTCGGGGCAAGGGTCAGGGATTCTCTACTGCCGATACTTTCGCTGCAGATGAACCCGAAGTAAACACTGTCACTTCAACACTTTTCGTAAAGAATCTGGACTTTGCGACCACCAACGAGAAGTTCTTGGAGACCTTCAAGCCACTGGATGGTTTCGTTACTGGACGCATCAAGACCAAGCCCGACCCAAAACGTCCTGGACAGACCCTCAGCATGGGTTTCGGTTTCGTAGAATTCAGATCCAAGGCCCAGGCCCAAGCAGCACTCGCAGCCATGAATGGTTACAAGTTAGACCAGCACGAACTTCTCATCCGTGCCTCTCACAAGGGCATGGATGCCGCGGAGGAGCGGAGACGGGACGACAATGCCAAGAAGATTGCGGCGAGAAGAACCAAGATCATCATCAAGAACTTGCCGTTCCAGGCCACCAAGAAAGATATTCGGTCGCTGTTTGGTGCGTATGGTCAATTGCGGTCAGTCCGTGTACCTCAAAAATTCGATCGCTCAGCTCGTGGTTTCGGTTTCGCCGATTTTATCAGTGCTCGCGAGGCGGAAAATGCCATGGACGCGTTGAAAAACACACATTTGTTGGGTCGACGATTGGTGTTGGAATTCGCAAACGAGGAGTCTGTCGATCCCGAGGAGGAGCTCGCGAAGCTAGAGAAGAAGGTAGGAGAGCAGGTGGAAAGGGTCAAGCTCCAACAACTTACCGCTTCCAGTGGACGCAAAAAGTTCACTGTAGGGGCTCAGGAGAACGACGAAGCATGAAGGTGTTGAACTCCTTCCTCCCTGGTTCAAGGGCGTTGAGTCCATTGGCTCATGACCCTCCCTTGCTTTCCGGGAAACGATGTACGATTACTTGCATACGGACTTTTTTTTATGTACGAGAAGAGTAAAATAGATACCCCCCGAACACGTTCCTGCGGCTGTCAATGTACAGTCTGCAGACACGGTAACGTGCAGTGCTCGTGTGCTTTTGAATTTTTATCCATTTTACGTGTTTCCTCCCCAGTCCAGGTCGAGAGACCCTATCTTAACCCTAATATACCTTAACTGCCCACACAACCCTACCTACTTTTAGCTCCTCCCACCAACAACCCCCTCGACCACCATGAACAGTAACTCGGTCAGAGCTTAATGAGTTATTTGGGATGATCTGTTTATTTGTTCATGATTACGCGGGGCTCCCCCGTAAGATCAGCTTGGCCTACATTCCGATGATAACGACGTTGCGATGGTTGAGCATTCCTCAGCCCCGGGTAATCGGCCATGTCGTTGGTTGAACAGCATTCCTACGAACTTACAATCGCCACTCGTTAGTACTGATGATTGTCAATATTGACTAGAGTGATGTTGCTCCAAGGCCACTTCGGGCAAGCCAAAATCTCCGAGTCGCTCATCACTGGATCGTGCCGCTGAAATATCCCTTGCATCCGGCAGCACTTCCCTCATATCGTGCCCTTTCTTGACTCCTGATTTGTCGCGGCAGGGACAGCTAACAGCCGTCCTTTGCTCCCCACACTGTGCCTGGACGCGTGAAAGGCCCCGGGACCTGATGGGCCTGCGTAGGAGTAGTATGGAGCTGGCGTTCGAGGGTCGTGGTGCAGGCAAAGCAGACCTGGCGGAAAATGTTGCTACTGGGTCTACAAGCACCCCTCTCCGAAGGGAGGTATGGTTCCCTATAAACACCTTCTTGCTCGCTCTCACATTCTCTTTCCCAGGTTCTGACATTCTCTTCAGACATCTGCGTTCTTGGGTCGCTGTGTTTGTGACTGTGCTGCGTTCTTTGCCAGGCAGGAAGCATTTGACGGAGCATCTCACCATCCTCCCCTCTTGGTTGGAATTTGTCATTCTTTTTGAGAAGCCCGTCCTTGGTTCGCTCCATGGCTGCTGACTGGCAACCCGAGTGCCTCGTGCCTCAGAACCAGCCTTCCCTCGACCCTGTGGGAGCTCATTCAGACCGTGCTTTGCAGAATACTTCAGGAAACGTTCAATCGTATTCTGATGCTCTAGCACATGGTGATGTTGTTGCCCGAGATGACCATCTTCAGCAATTAGCATACAAGTATCCCCATTCTGCTGCCCCTCACCCCATCTCCGCCCCCGGTCTTCACCAGCAGCACCAGCATCAACAAGCAGTAGCTGCTCGGCTTCATGCCCGCAAGCTTCGACGACTTCATTCAGTGGGACCCAACGCGGCTCCTCGTCGGGGTCGAAGCTATCTCAAGTCTCAGAAGTACTTGGAGTATCGGGCACGTCCTCGACGTGATACTGGTAAAGATGGGGAGCCAGTGTGGTCTGATGAGTTAGAAGATGCTTTCCAGCAGGGTAAGTTGTGGTTCTTCTCGATTATACCCATGAAACATCTACTAATGTACGAGAGTAGCCCTTGAAGCGAATCCACCTATGGGCCGACGCAAGTGGTCTGAACGAGGAAAATCATATGGCCGGAACGAGCTAATTGCTGAATACATCTTCAAATTGACCGGCAAGCGACGATCTCGAAAGCAAGTTTCAAGTCACCTTCAGGTGCTTGACTCGTTTCTGAAGGGAGACCCAGATTGTGAGTTTGACAAGAGCGCTAGAAGAGTAACATGTTGTTAATGCAGTCCACAGGGGAACGACTCGTCCGCGAACAATCTACCGATCGCTCAAGTGGACACTCCCAGACTTCTGGACCTAAGTGGAGAGCCTCGATGGACCATGCAGCATCCAATCACTATGGTGCCCCTACACACCCAAGCTACAATGACCCAATGCGATCCATGCAACCTTATGCAGGTGACCTGCCGCCACCCCACTATACATTGGGCTCGAACATGCAGGAGGCGGGCACCAAGAGCATCCATGGCTTTAGCTTCGATATGTGGGTCAGTGCACCTCAACAGGCCAACCGCCCTGACAAGGCCCTGCATGCATACACTCGTCTGCAAGGAGACCTTCACCACCCTGGTGCTCCTCCAACACCTCTGGAGAATGTGAACGGTTGGCGGACGTCTTTCCCTCATCTAGCTACAATGATTGATGAGATGGATGGTCCACTCGACTGCGACATTATCATGTTGGAAGTCAATCTCCAACTGATGCCCGACTTTCCTCCTTCTGGCTCTCGTCTGGGTATCCAATTGGATGTTGACTTTGCTCACCCTACTGCTGGAGATGTTCTTATGGTCAATCAGATGGAAAACTGGACTTGTAGCACCCGGTTGTACGAAAGGGGACGTGAGAGTTGGGAGACATACCACGATCTACCCAAGCCTCAATCTACCAAGGTCAAGCCTCTATTTGAATCACAATGGTGGGCAAAGATCTTCACTGAGTTGACTCAGGACAAGCGCATTGCGGAAGACTCCGGTCAGCCTGAGTCTATTCATGCTACGGATGAGCGTAACCGACGCTACTTACGGTCCTTGTCTGCAGTACAGGAGCTTCGTGCGATCCCTCCAAGCTCCCGGCGTCTTTCAAATCAGTTCCAGGGCCAACAAGACCAGAGTGAACGCATGGCTATCCTAGTCTGGAAATTCCGCCAGACTCGCCCTGGCGAGGTTGGTACAACCACCTGGCGTCATCTGATTCCACCACCAGACCGCACCCAGACTAATAGCCCCCGACCTGCTGCTGGTGTTGACCTTCCTCCTCTTTCCCTGGACTCCATTCTCCTCAACAAGCCCTCTCAGAGCGTTTATCAGGCGCCCCAGCCACATGATCTCATTCACCAAGGCCAACCCCAGTCCCAATGGCCTATGTACCCATCTTCCCACGACAATGTGGCTAGTCTATTTAATTCCTCGGGTCATCTTGATTTCATGGGCTCTATTACAAAACCCGAAGACGACAAGACTGCCGTCACCTCGGTGCTGGACTCATTCTCGACCAGCCTTGCGCCTGAGACATCCCAGCCCACCAGCCTCAGCATGTCCAGTGGTGGACCGGTTATGATGAACATTCACGATCTCCCTCTTTCCCATCCATCTCTTGGCTACAATATTGGCCATGACACTAGCCATTACGTGCCATCTCAACAACACGGTGTCAACCTCCACGATAACAATAGTGTGCTCAATGGTTTTTTCGGTCCGGGAGCTCAATCCCTTGACGATCTTGGTCATGGCCAAGCCTCTTGGGGAGCACATGGGCATGTCAATGCCGGGTATCACCACATGCCTTTCTCGGAACACCAAGTTCCTGTCTCACGCGAGTCTCAACAATCTCATCACTTTGACGGACTATTGCCACCTGATGACTTGATGGACAAGATTGTCGGACGCATTTCCAATGGTTCTAGTATGCATGGGGCGGGCCCTGAGCATTCAAATACTGGGTACGCGGATGATGGCACAGTGGACGCCGTTTAATGACTCAAATAACCCTGAAAACAAAATTCCTATTGGTAATGATAATCATATTGATCGATGTACTCTTATACCTGTGAGCCTTTTTCATTTTCTTCTTTTTTTTCGACTATTATTTCTTCTATCTATTATCTGTCATGGAGGCTTTTTGTGGCGGGGAGAGACGTTTCAGAGGGGGAATTTACCCCCGGTTCCAATCTATTCCCCGTATTTACTTTCAAATCAAATCAAATTTTTTTAACCTAACAACCGTCTTCGAGTCTCAGGATAAATTAAATAATCTCTTTAACCGTCTTTATCCGGTGGGATAAGGTGGGGCCCCAGAGTGAAGAAGAGGCAAATTGTGGAGCCAAAGTCATCTTCTTTACGAGAAAGTTCCGCATTTAGCCTGTGGTCGCGGAGTTGGACATTCCATAGGTGTCTTTTAAATTGAGATAGAATTCCATTATGTTCGCTGTTTGAGTTTCATTGAACTTTTCATCTGTTTTTCTGGTAAGTACTAATAGGGGTCCTGGAGTATCTGTCCCTCGTTATACAGCTCTATTTACAACTTCAACTTCACAAATCAGAGCAAGACTAATTCTACCCCCACTACAGAATTTCCTTCATATTTCCATTCACAAAATGACTACCCCTACCGTTAAGCTGAGCAGCGGCTATGACATGCCCCTCGTGGGCTTTGGTCTGTGGAAGGTGAACAACGACACCTGCGCTGACCAGGTCTACAACGCCATCAAGGCTGGATACCGTCTTTTCGACGGTGCCTGTGGTAAGTCACAACAGTACACCCCTGAATCTTTCGCAATACAAAACTAACAGTCTCCTCAAGACTACGGTAACGAGGTTGAGTGCGGTCAAGGTGTTGCCCGCGCCATCGGGGAGGGCATCGTCAAACGCGAGGAACTCTTCATCGTCTCCAAGCTCTGGAACAGCTTCCACGATGGCGACCAGGTCGAGCCTATCTGCCGCAAGCAGCTCGCCGACTGGGGCGTTGACTATTTCGACCTGTACATCGTTCACTTCCCCATTTCCCTGAAATACCTCGACCCCTCCGTCCGTTACCCTCCCAGCTGGCAAAACGCCGAAGGCAAGGTCGAGCTTGGCAAGGCCTCTATCCAGGAGACCTGGACCGCCATGGAGTCCGTTGTTGACAAGAAGCTTGCGCGTAGCATTGGTGTTAGTAACTTCAGCGCTCAACTGCTTATGGATTTGCTGCGCTATGCTCGTATCCGTCCCTCCACCCTGCAGATTGAGCACCACCCCTACCTTACCCAGACTCGTCTGGTCGACTATGCCCAGCAGGAAGGTATTGCTCTTACTGCTTACTCTTCATTCGGTCCTCTGAGCTTCTTGGAGCTGGACCTGAAGGATGCTCATGGCACTGCCCCTCTCTTCGAGCACGCCGTTATTAAGGGTATTGCGGATAAGTATGCTCGTACCCCCGCTCAGATCCTTCTGCGCTGGGCTACACAGCGCAACATTGCTGTTATTCCTAAGAGTAACAGCCCTACTCGTCTGGCACAGAACTTGCAGGTCAATGACTTTGACTTGGAGAATGGTGAGATTGAGGCTATCGCTGCGCTGGACAAGGGTCTGCGCTTTAATGACCCCATTGCTGTAAGTTCTCCTCTTGGTTCATGATTAGAGCAAGTTTTGACTAACTTTTATTTAGTACGGTCTTGGTATCCCCATCTTTTAAGGGATCGTATCTATACTTGGGAGGATTACCTTGATGGGTCCTCTTTACTGTGATGCTATGTGATGATAAAACAGAATAATGAAATTTCTTTATATTAACAATGCTCACTTTTATTACTCACTACTGTAGATACTCGTACTCTTCCTAGGTCAGATATTGAAGACTGCATGTGGATGTTAGTGATGACTTCAAGTTCGAGTCGGATGCCACTGGCATTTCTACGTAGTCCATCACAGGCACTTGAGAACAGAATTAGACATCAGAATGTAGTAATAGCAGGTCTTTCTAGCATGGAAGTTGTTGAGCTTTAATGTAGTGTAGCTGATACTGCAAGCAATAAGCACCAGTGGGAGTTGTTCAAAAAAAAAGTTCTGTCAAATTGAGCATGTATTGTCAGATTTTATATGTGTTGTCAGATTATGGGTATGTAGTGTAAGATTGAGCATGTAGTGCCAGATTGTGGATGTAGTGCTAGATTATTGATGTAGTGTCAGGATGTGGGTTGGTGTCAGTTTACATATGTAGTGCCAGACTATGGATGTAGTGTCAGAATGTGGGGTGTAGTCATAGTTAAGAAATCTTTTTAACAAAGCTTGGGAAACCACCAAAAGCGATTACTTTTCGCTGAAAATTTCTCAGGGCCTTATAGATATACTCAGCACCTGGAATCAATTATTTTAAATTATTATCTTCAAAATTGAAGCTGTATGACGGGGAGAATCCATTGGCGTAATATTATGCACTATTGGGAAGTGAGGTTCTGGATAGGTATCGCAAAAATATAATACGGTAAGCCCTGGAGCCCTGGAGGTATTTATGGAATATTACACGCTGAGCTTCAAGTTCCTATGCAGTAGGTACAGGTGTATGTATACCTAGGTATGCTCAGCGACAGGATCCTCAACCTTGGAAGTGCTGAGTCTTAATCCCAGTGGAAACTGGACCCAGCCTGAGGTGCCTGGGGAAATCTACTACCTAGGTATAGCCCTTGAGTGATCTATAATATAGACTACTAGTAGTAACTTGAACATTTGAATATTGAAATGATTCCAAGACTAGCACCTACTGAATATTCGGGACATCTGGACTTTCAATGTTACTAGTAATGCATACCTAGTACTACTAGCACTGGCACCTGCCCTTCAACTTGAAGTTGATCAATGCCGGTCACGGTGGCGGTGATTCAAGTTCTGACTTGAACTTGAAGGTTATACCTAGGTACTACATATATATCTTGATCCATACATACTAGATCAGCTCCAAGTCTTTGAAGTCGACCAAGCTCGAGCTCGGACTCGAACAATGTGTCATGCCAGAACCAGACCCTCCAGATACCTCCAGGGCCATTTTCTTCGATCTCAAGTTATTACATTGCATCATGACCAGGGCTAACGTTGAAATGGCAGTCTACTCCGCATAGTAACATTTGATGCGCCAAGAAGAACTTGGAGCCGCACCTCAATCTCCACACCTCAAGACCAATGACTTTCGCAACCTCCATCACAAGCACTCCTTAATTTCTCAAGCGGTCTTAATAATGTACAAAACTACGCCATCCGCCGCGAGGCTTCTCGCCTCAAAACAAGTGCACATTCAAATGGCCCCAACCCCCAAAAAGTTACAGGAGAGCCGACAGATCCTAGCCGCGCTCCAAAAATTCGGCGAAGTCACCACATTCCGCAACCTCAAGGTAAGTTACACTGCCAGAAAGACAGAATAACAACTTGAAGCTCAAGAAACCAAGAAGAGAGTCTAATCTTATATAATTTTATAGTATGATATAGCCAACACCACTACGAACCAACACCGACCCATCATCGCAATCTTCGAGTCCGCCGACGCAGCGCAACGCGCCATTGCCTCATCACCTTTAATCATAACGCTTGACCAAGCTACGAATACAAATACCACACAACCCACACACACCAGCTCCGAGTCCTCAGTATCCAGCTCCTCAAACTCTTCAGAAGAAATCCCATCAGATGTGAAGCCTGATGATGCGAAGCCCGATAATGCAAAACCCGATGATGAAGGTCTTACAAAATACGAACTCCTCTTCAAAGACGTAAAACCAGGGACAATGAAATGCATAATCGAGGCCTCAAGACATAACCACCAAAGCAACATGCGACGGAATCCGTGGTACGCTGCATACGAACCTAATAAAGAGGATCCTATTTACAAAGATATGATGAATCCGCAGACTGGGACACCTCTGAGGGGACTCGGCGATGTACTACAGCGGAACTGTGCGCCGTCTACTCCTGAGAGGAGGTATCCCGTTCGCTTTGAGAGGAGGTCGATGGGAGCCGATAGCTTGATGGAGATGTGGACTGATGCGCCGAGGCCTGAAGAGGGGGAGGAGTCATTGGTTGATGATTCAATCAAAAAAGATGAGAAGAGACCGGCCAAAAAGTGTGGGAGGAAATCGGTCAAGAAGGAGGAGAATGATCCTTGATTCTGGAGCTCTTGACATTTTATTTATGGAACGAGAACAGCCCTGTCAGGAAGTGCTTCGCGTTGTGACTTGTTTGATGGAGTCCTCCACATGCACTACAGCGCAAGTTCATTTCATCTGCATTGAGATCTTGGAGATGCTTATGACCTGCCCTATTGCTCGAGACGAGTATGAGTCGTTGATTCTGGGCACTGTACACCACCTATTTAGACCAAAACCCATGCACATACACTTATACATATACACACATTAATACACCAAATATACATACTTAGTCTTGAATCTACAAAGTATTCTGGCCATTGAAACCTATTTCGTATCTCATTAGGCTTTATTGCCCATAAAAGGGCCAAGAACAAAGTCGCTGGTTAGATAAAGAGCACGAAGCACCATCTCAGACACGCACATAAGCTAAAAACAAGAGGTGTTAGTACACGATCAGAGATCAAGGTAAAGGGAAGTGAGTGTAACATACTGGCATCAATCTGAGTGATCTGCGGCAATGCCAGCCGCACCTTATTCCGGTAGACCGCAGGTCCCTTCAACTGCAAGGGATTACCCTCAAAGTAAACCGTCTCGAGCTTCTCCTTATCTTTCAGTTCACGTTCCACCTCGTCGAAGCTAGCAAGCTGGTTATTCGATGCCCACAGCTCTTCCAGATTCTTCAGTGTGGATAGATGCTCGAGGTGAGAGACTTGGTTATTCGAGAAGTCCAAGACGCGCAGAGTGGTATTCGATTCCAGACCCGAGAGATCAGTCACAGCGTTGTGAGAGAGGTACAGCTCTTCAAGGTTAGGAAGCTTTGAGAGACCGGTAATGCTTGTGAGGCGGTTGGATTGGATAGAGATAATGCGGAGATTTGATAGGGAATCGAGGTTCTTCATCTCAGTGATCTTGTTCTTTCCCAGCCAGAGCTGTTCAAGCGCAGCGAGAGACTCGAGATTTTCGATTTCCTAACGAAGCAAAAATATAATTAGAAAACCAGAACCGAGAGTATACTCATCCTTTCATGTCGAGGAAATACATACCCTAATCCGATTCGCTCCCAGCTCCAAATTCCGCAGAACACTTAACCCCTCTAATCCCTCAATCTGCGAGATCTTATTCTGCACGAAGAAAATTTCAGTCAGCTTCACAAGATGCGAAACATTCTTGATATGCTTGATCTTGTTAAAGCTGAGGTCCAAGCTCGTCAGGTCCTTAAACTCGTCTAAACCCTTAACGTGGGAGATCAAATTATCGTAAAGATCGAGTTCGGTCAAAGTGGCAGCGACATTGGATGGGAAGTCGATTCGCGATATTTGGTTTTGACGCATACATAATCTCTATTATTGTATAATCGTTAGCTAGCTGTTATAGAGCTCGAGGAGGTGTTTCACAGCGGACGTTCACTCGACTTCCTCTGTGTGCTCCCAGACTCTGAATAATGAAAGAAAGAATTTACCTGGAGCTTATTAAACCGATCTAAGCGTAGTGCGGCAATAGATGATATGCGACAATGGACGAGATCGATATCCTATGAAAAGAAAAAAAAAGGTATTAGCATAGACTCAAGGATGGGCCCATATACGACTTCGACACTCCAGTCCACGAAAGAAATAAAGACCTACCTCAACATTCACGTCTTCCCCTTCCAAAAGATCTGTATATTATTAGCCCAATATCTCCATGGCCAAGTTCCTGACCCCCCTGATTCTGTACCTTCATCGGCATCGATCTCCTCGACTGGCGGGGCCTCGGGGTCGGAGTAGTCCGAATCCTCCAAGGCCTCAGGGTTCGTAATAACAGCTTTGGGCTCCATGCGTAATTTTCCGTCCCAGCCTTCCTTATTTTTCATGGTCGTTGGAATAGGAAAAGTTGTGAATGAGGCGAGGTTCGTGGGCAGGCGGTAGGAGCGGGCGACTATCACTGCGGGGAGCTTTTTTTTTCTGCGCGACGCGTGCGGGGGATTAACGGAAGGAAGGAAACTGAGTTGGGGACTAGTAATTTAAGAAGAAAAGGGGCGAAATTGATTAATAGAAAAGGTCTGAGCCAAAGTAAGAATTAAGTGGCTTTGATAAGCGCTTAAGATCATGGAATCTTGGTTAGTGCTGACTACATCATCCTAATGCGGGCTGCAAGAGCTTCCAAGGTTCCATTAGGTCGACGCGGCTCATACAAAGAGCCTTTTGATGGACAAAGCAGACTGGCTTTGATACTGCTCCAATTTTAGATAGTTGAAATACTACTGTAATATAGAAAAAACGAATAGCAAAATGTGCCAAGCTACATTGTATTCTGTAAGACATCTTCTCGAGGACTATATACTAGAATGTCGTAGCTGAGGGTCATATACATTGCATATAGGGGAATCATCCTCGCAGTGACTCAATCTAGCCTGAAATGAGAGGATTATTGGAGGCTGCTTGGAGATTCCCATAGAGATGCCATGCAGACCCAGGAAGGGATCAATCCTCCTTTAGATTAACCAGTGATGGTAGGACCCAGCTGACAGGATAGCGAGGCGAATGATAGAAGCAGGCAACGCATAGGGGGATACAGCGGCAATATGATAACCAACAGACGCCTGCGGAATGCATCGGAGAATGCGGACTGGAGATAAGAAACTGGAACAAGGAAAGACGAGAAAAGAAGACATGAAAGGGAGTAATCAACAGGGCTAGGAAACAAGGCTCGCTCGGAGCAAGGTTGGGTAAGATCACAATGCCGAAGGGAAAGAGTAAGGTGAGAGAAGAAAAGAAAAGTGCAAAAGAAAAGCCGGACAGAGATGCTTGGGGTGATGGGCGAGCTATTTGGGAAGTCTGAGACAAAAAAAGGGGGTGGACAAAATGCGACAAATGCATCAGATGGGCAAAGGGCCAAATTGGGTGCCATTTCCCACCTGCGTCCATGGTCGCGTCAAGAAGCGAAGGGGATAATGGAACATGGAAGAAGATATGGGCAAATGCCAATCAATGGGGAAATGCTGGAATGAAATAGCTTTTCGAGCACCAAAAAATAAACAGACATACAAAGGGGAGTACGCGCTCAAGGGGGAATCTGGGACGTTATAAAGATCTTTGGACAATACGTTCACAGAGAGATGTCCAGGACCATGCTGACATCTTGGACTTGGGCCCCAGCAAGATCCTCGAGAACCGGAATAAGATCAAGCAGTTCATTGTCGTGTGCGTCAGAGAACCAGCTACTGATGGGTATCGCGTGTTGAGGGTGAAAGATGTACGAGGTAGGCGAGTTATCAATAATGATCGTTTCACGGAGGTCACGGCCAACTTGAGAAAGATCCTAAATGGAGGATATTAGTACTTGTGTGATTGAACCAGGGGATTTCGTTTTGTTTATTTCGGCACCAACCTTTACGTAGTTCCCTTGATGGTTATAGCAACTCTCTCGGAACAACCGATGATGAACCACATTATGGATATCAAGCTGGTCCAATAAAGGATCACCGTACTGCAATATTCTAGTTAATGACCACCGTAAAGTCAGATCATTAGGGAGCATCGACTAACCTTGGAAACCGAAGCAGTAAATACTACAACCTCATATAGTTCACCAACGCGTTTCATGAACTGATCAACTCCTGGGCGCTTGATCACATAAATATTATGGTACTGGCCCTCAATCTCAACGGGAATTGTAAAATCGGCACGTTCGAGAACCTAAGATTGAAGGATCGGTAAGCATAGAACAGAATAAGATTGAATCAATGGAGATATTACCTTGAAACTACTGTGCACCAACGTTTCATCAAGGTCCAAAACTAAGCACTTTCTGCCTTGCAAGCGAGGGACCACTGGAGGAAGCAACCATTGTTGATCGGTTCTTTCTGGCGCTGAAGGGACCTCAGGAATCGGCGGGGGAGGGGGTGGCGGTAGCACGACCGTAGTCTGAGGTGGCTGCCTGATGACTTCCTCCTCATGTGTATGGTCTTCAGTCTCGCCATTGATCGGTTGCTTCGAGGTGGATTCAACTGCAGCGGGTTGTTCTGTCGTTTGAGGTTGGATCTCGCTTTCGAGCGGGACATCATCTGTCTTAGATTCGGAAATGATACCGTTCGCCATCGGGGGCTGACCTGACGAAGATTTCTCTTGCTGCTCCGTTGCGGTCGTTTCTGAGGTGTCGGGTTGATTGACAGCGGTAGAAGTCTCTTCGCCAGGCACGTCGGCGGCGGAGCGCTAGGCAACATCTCTTGTTTGGACGAATCGCTCACAGTCAAATTCGATTTCTCATTTTCAAAGTATGCTGGATCTCTAGACTCAGCGGTACTTGAGTCTCCGGTATGAGCTTCCGCTTTATCAGGGGTTGGGAGCCGGTTGGAAGCAGGCTGCGGTGCAGTCGATCTCTTTGCGGGAAGAACGGCATCATCGTCACCATCTACGCCTGGCGACGAGCAGCAACTGAGGAACGATAGGAACTTGCTCTTCTTCGGTGATCGTGGAGGGTCGTTCATCTCCGGGGTAGTTGGAGTGGCGGATCCCTGGGATTTCTCCATGTTTGCCACATCCTGCGTCGTTCGTCGCGACCGTCTACTACTTGCTCGGCTACGATCCCGGTGGACCTTGAGGATGCTGACTTTGGAGCCCCTTCGAGCGGAAGGTTCCTGCATTGGTTCCTCGGTCCTTTCCGAAGTCGATTGTTTATCCGTCTTCGAGGAGCGGCGGGACGGAATTGGGATCAACAAATGATGCTTCTTGGGCGCATCGGCTCCCTCGGTATCTGGAGGGTTCGAGGCCGATGCGACAGACGAAGAGACCTGCTGAGAAGATGCGCCCGGATTGGATTGCGGGATTTCAGTGGCATTGGAAGCCCTCTGATCCGGGGTTGATTCTGGACCTAGAGACAGAGAGCAATGACATATGAGCGACTGGCCAAGGGGGGAATTTTTTTTTCCCTAACATGCGCATGTCAAGATAAGGCATGCGCGAGAACATACCAGAGGGGTCCAGTCTTTCCGATGGATTCATGGGCTCTGTGCCCGCAGACTGGGGAGCTTGAAGATCGGGATCTTGCCCCGTACTCGCTCCACGCATCGGGGATTCAGCTTTGTGTAGATGAGGATCACCGAGACCAAAGGAGCATAAACAGACAAATTCAATCTACAAAGAGTCGAAAGGGGGGAAGCACCTCCAAAGTTGAAAGGAACGCGGCAAACTGGGGAGGATGTCAACACGGCCTCCTGGATCAGCAAGCGCCCAGGGCCCTTTGGGGGGAATGGGAAGCTCAGGTTCGCACGTACCGCCTTTGGCCCCCAAGTTGGACCAACCACGTTCGGAGACTACGCCAAGACTGACGGGATCCCCAGCCCACAGAAAGATGAAATAAATAACAAGTCGTTTATATTAGAAATGTAGAGGTTGGGTTGATCAAATAGAGAAATCAATTGTATTCTCGCGTCCTTTCCTTGTTGAAATGGTCAAAAAAAGGGAAGAAAAGAGAAATTGTTTAGGGAAAAAGAGGAGTCGATCACGTGAGGTGACTATTAGGGAAGCACATGTTGATAATGGCAACTTCAACTTCAATTCAACCAACTACAGTACAGAAAGGACATGGATATCCAGCTAATATATGGATTTTGATATCCTGGAATATTCATTTCCTCCCCACGGACTTCTTTTTGCCTCCAAGGTTCCCTCTTGGATGACCATTTTCCATTTTCTAATGCCTATCACGCTCCTCCGGAATACTACACACCTCCTCGGCGCCTACACTCCAATTCTCTACTAAGTCGGGTTTAGTGGGCCCCTCTTTTTTTTTACCCGGTCTTTGGCCCTACTTGACCGACTTCCCACTGGTTCCAGATATTGGAGAAGAAGAAAAAAAGAGGTTTAACTAGTGCAGGGCCTGGACCAAGACAAGAACTGCAGAACCTCGTGCTGATCCGCTCTCCGGGCGATCCCATATGGTCCAGTACATATGCAGCCCCCTTTTTTTCATTTTATTCAGATGGATAATATGCCTGCAAGACTAACAGTAAGTACCAGTAAATTATGATTGGCGGGAAATGGGTATGCAAGAGTGTGATCCGGTTGGATGTGTGCTTGGGACCAATCCGCGTGATGGCTGATGTACCCCAGTGCAGGGAGATGTGATAGCGAGAAGTTAGCTACAGAATCCTGGAGACCGGTTAAAAATAGAAAACCATAGGGATTATAAACTTTGTAAAAGCAGTACCTATAAGAGACTTGATCATGAACCATTTCTTCCCTACTATGGTTGTTTCTTTGTAGCATTTCAACTCCAGGGCTGGTACCTCTCAAGTCCTTCCCCGCTGTGATCATCTCCAGGCTCCGCACTCAGCAAGGTTCGGATTATATGCAGATGATCCACCCCATGAAGATATGGCGCTAGATAATTTATTAAAATCGTAAAAGACCGTAATATTGGTTTTTAGCGCCGAGAATTCCCTATACATCTCTTATTGGTATTCCTCTGAGATTGTGGTATGATCCCACTATGTACTCCATAAGGCTGGTCTCGCAGGCATTCATCTCTTCAAAATGTTCCTATCTTCAAAGAAAAGGGAAGGAAAAATGTACACATATCGGAATAAATTATGGATCGATTAATACCACACTCAGCCATATAATTATGAGCCCTATTATCACGCTATATCTGTTATTGTGGAAGAGATTATATCCGTTTTACATCTTTCAGTTCCTCCCGAGGTCGTCATTCAAGTTCACATAATACTGCCCCATATAGATCAACATTTGAACACATGTGGCAACTTCAAATATTCTTCCAGGGTGTTTTGACTCATTAAATCCTTTTAAGACAAAACTTTTAGAATATCTGGAAATATCCATTTCACCATAATCACCTGAGTAGATTGTATCCATAAACCTCACATCTAACAGTAAACAGAACCTTGAAGTTCTACCTCTCATCAAGCTCCTACATTTTAGACCAGCACAGCTTTAGGAAAGCATCATGATCCATTTTGTCTTCCACGATTGACATTTACTCCATGTCCGTGTAGTTTTTTTTATTTGGTGGTTCTAGGTTATGCTCAGATGCCTAGTTAGAAAGGCGAGCTCGAGATGGGCTTAAGTTGGAAGCTGCGTAAGTAAGTGCCCTTCCAATTTTGACAGATTGTCAACACCCATCAAACTCAGCTCAGCTGCATAAACTCACCTGGGCACGCTCTACGACAAATTTGACCTTTCTATGCCATACCACCCGACTTGCCTTCACTTTCGCCGTGAATTCTCTCAAGTGCTCTGAGAATTTGTCCCCTTCCCCAATAATCATCCTACCCATTCCCTTGCTCTCAACTTCGCTTTCCCTCCCCTGTGTACCACCGGTTTTTTCTCGTTGAAAGGATCGTCTACTCTTGTTTTTAACCAAGTCTTTGTCAACGCCTGTGTCTACAAAAGTGAGTTTGTCTACCCAGTTTACATGACGATGGATGCTGATATCAAATGAGCTTCACAAGCTGCCAGCTACCATTCAAGACTCTCAATAATTCCACTCCCTTGGACCAAGAAACGATTCCATTGTCAAGATGTCCGGTATGCCCTTACATTACTCATGAGAATGGATGCAATGGATATCTAACAGTAACAAAGACCTAGGAAATTGGATCTACGATAGACGAAGCTCCCTCAAAGTCCAAGAGAATGGCAAGTCCTTGCGAATTCAGAGAGGGTATGGGTACCTAAAGAGAAAGAGGAGAATGACCCCGATGTCTTCAATGGTGTATACGCAGCCAAAGTCCCATTGAGATCCTTGAAGGGCTGGGCTTCCGGCTCCTCCATCCAAAAAGGTCACTTTCTGGTTGCACGGATCCTTTGGAATCATCATAAACACGGGCTGGATACGGATGAAGCTCACCTGGCATCTGACCCCGATGACCACAATGCCACAGAGAGGATGCCTAATACGCTCAACTACGACAGGATGGAACCATTTGAGTCTGACTCCTCTCTATATCGGCTCACCCAGGTCCACACCAACGATGAGGACGAGGATACACTGAGGGTGAAGATGGCCCTTTATCTCTTCATTGAGGCTCTCACTACTAGTAAGCCCCTAGGTCTGCAGCTTAAATGGGCTCTTGGTTATCCTGAATGGACCATCAGACTCGGTGAAGCTAAAATCGTTTCAAGATCCCGGGGCCAGCTCTACAATCCCGAGAATCCTGACATGCAGCCATATGCCATCATCCATGCAAAATCTGGTCTTTTGACTGGTAATGACCCCGGGCCTACATTACGGGAATTGGGGATTGAAATGCTCTGCTGGATCTACTCTTGTGAGAGCACCATGCAGCATAGAGACCGGTAAGCGTTCATGACCTACAATATGTATCGGTACATAATTTTTTATTAAGGCGTTGGGAAACTCGAATCTAGATATGTCATGACCAGTCACCATTACTGCGACATTTATATTATCTGTGCGGAGGTCCGGCCTAAGTACATGCGCTTCCTGAATGGCAACCCCAACGATGATGATGACTTCAATGATCAATTTTTGCGCCTTCATCTCCACGGACCTTTTCATATTTTCACAGCCGACGATGTGGAACTAGTTGCAATAAATGCTGTTGCTCTGACCTTACAGCAAGATGCGGATTTGAAGCGCGACTCTTAGTCAAACTTTCTCTTTTCTCCTGAGATCCACCTCTTTTGACGGTACTTCTTTTATGTCGTTTTCCATTTCCTCTTGTGATCTTCGGGCTATCCATATTGGCGAGTGAGGACCATGATATTCAATAGAATTAAACCTGGGCAATTACTGGCAAGAGTCGAACATCCGAGTCTTTATTCGAGTCCCAGCCGAGCCCTGGAGATCATTATCCAATTGTACTTGAGCTTGTCTGTGTCTCTTTTTTGTGTCTCTTTTTTGTGTCCAGACGTACTTTTCTTTGCTTTGCTGCATCTTTCTTATTTGATTTTTCTTATTGTTTTTGTTTCGACTTCTGCTCATATACTGAGGTGTCTTAATGAACGGCTTCAACTGAATCTTCAATGCCCTGCCTGCATACTAGTGGGATACAAGTCCTCACGCCGTGCGCGCTTCGCGCGACATCTGGACACTCAAGTTCTTTACTAGCAACCCAAGTAGTAGTAAAAGAGGCTTGAATTTTCAATCTTTGTATGCATGAAGTCCACAGGCATCATTTATTGAATGGAGTAAGTACAAGATTTGGAGGAAACCTGTAGGTAGGAGGTATGTATAGAACACCCGACACATGAATATCCAGAACCTGAGAGTAAGTTAAGGATCTCCAAATATCAGAAAAAAAGCCAAGCATCTGTAAACATTGGCAGTAAACATTGGCAGCTCGGTAGCTCCACACCTGGGCACCAAGCACTATTCTATTCTAGTCCTAGCTCTGCTTATCTCTCTTATCACCACGTGACCTATATTGATCGGTGGATCACCTCTCTTATTGTTCTCTCACTGACTTCGCTCCCTCAGTTTCTCATATCTTCCCATCACTCAATCTTTGGGGTATTTCATTATTTCAGGACCTGCTGATACCGAGTTATTTGAATTGACGCGTGGAATCCCACTTTCTAAAACGGGGTCTGCCCCGGCAGACTGACAAGTGAAACTACAGCTTCCCAGGACTCCGACAACAATGTCAAGCGCCGAGGAATCAGATGATGCTAACCTGGTGGTTATCCCCATGGATGACTGCCTAAGTGATGGCCGCCGCAGCACCTGGCCAGAACCAGGTGGTAGCTACGATTACCGCCAGCTAGATGACTCCAGGTGGAAAGCTGCACTAGCTACGATGTGGGTTGAGAAGAATGGAGCTCAAGAAGAGGGTAAGCTTCAGCCTGTTGTTGTAATGATTTCCACCCCAAACTTAATTATGGACGAGCGCGAGCGCAACTTTCCCGGAGACCCGTACCTATGGTCCACGGGTAGCTTCATGCGCGTTTGTCACCACATGCCGTTTTTCACTCCATGCATATCCAAATGTTTGCCCGAATATTTGCAATTATTGATATTCTTTCACCCCTGGCTTTTTTATGAGAGAGGGTTGGGGACTCAATATATGGATTTTGACTAATATATACCACTCTCTAGGCGTGTCATACATACTGGAGAACATGCCTGAAGGCTATGGCCTCTTTGACAGGGCCCGAGGGAGCAACCCCAAATTCGTGCGTCTCTTACATCAAATGACTGAATGTTTTGTTCTCTGACTCTCTTTACCAGCGCGATTCCTTCCTTTTTGGTCACCCTAGTGGGACATACTACCAATCTCGAATCACTTTTTTCCCCCATTTCTTCTGGTTGATTAGTGGCAGAGAGGAACCATGCACGTGTGCTCCTTGCGCAAGACAAGCAGGCATCTCCCGACGTCCCGGAGGAATTGTTAAGGTTCGCCGAAGGAGTCAGTCGGAAAATTTTCTCATCTTCTCAGGACGAAAGAAAGTACTAACATTAATTCTAGGACGTACCAAGGCTGAGATGGAAGCTGCCAGGGCCATGGAGACCAGGGCCATGGAGACCAGGGCCATGGAGGATGGAGAATCACGGACAACTACATCGACACCCACACCCACTTCGACAGCGACAGCAACACCATCACCTGCAGTAGTTTTGCCGGACAGAGAGACAACTCCGGAAGTGAAACTCCCTGAAGATGTGGACGGCCCTGATTACTGGAAGATGCACATCACGACTCTGAAGCAAAACAAAGCACTGGACAAAGAAATACATCACCCGCTGAATCTGGATTGGGTCTTGACTCATGAATGGTTGGAAAATTTTTTCGTTCGACTGAGACTCCAACCATCTTTTCTTCCACGTCGCGGCGAGTTGGTTCTTTGGACACACGAGCTCAATCATCCACTGGAATGGAACAAGGAAGCAAACCGTTTCATGGTCCGAAAGGGCAATGTCTGGACTGTCCCCGAGTGGCGCGCTGGCGTTGTCACCCAAGTGCCCGAGGAAGCCACAGGCTTTTTGGATATAGTCCAAAAGACCGAGAAAACTAGTGATTCAGTAAGCTACTGGGGATTCCGCATCGAAAGTCTTCCAGATCCCATCGGCGACGACAAATCTCTCTCATTGCATTACAAGTACGTGCCTCTGAGCTGCATCAAGCCGTTTAGCTCTTTCGAGCGATTCCTGTTCGGCATCCCGCGTGAAAATCTACATCCATCCATTGAAAACGCCATGACAGTCATGGCCTCATGGAGTCTGCTTTCCCACTCCCGCTTTACAGGAACCTGGCCAAACGCACGTATCTACAGCCGAGGTATCTTCATCGGCCCCGACCTCCTCGCCATCCAAGACGCTGTGCGTCTCAAACCCTTCGGTCTACAAAAGGAAGATATCGAAGAAGGCAATACAACCAAACACACGGACTATGACCCTGTTGATGTGATGGTTATTGAGAAAATCTGGCTCGAACTTGACGCGTGCAATGACGATCCTAAAAACCCCCAACTCGCGAATCAGTGTATCCCCGTGGTTGCAGGTAAGGTTTACACACGCGACCCAAATCGACTGGACCGCCATATGCCCTTTGACAAGGACCCACTTCAGAAAATGCTATTTGACGAAGTTTCAAGTGCGTTCCGCCAGATCGGTATGAGCAATTATGGTGACTGGTACCGTGTTTCTGGTGGACGTACATGTGTGGTCTCACCACCCATGATCCTCGGTCGATGCTATGAGCCCGAAGCCACAATGCTGCATTTTGGAGCTGATCGACTTGACTATGATCTCCACGGTGTTCTGAATGGACGTTCTTATTCTAGTCAAGTAGATACGCGGATTCCGAAGGGTCTGGATTGGTTCTGGGGAGATTGCCGAGTCGAGACTCTTGGTCTGATCACGATCAATGGCTTCGAGGTCGGCCACAAAGCAGTACAACGTGAGAATCCGACTAGATGGCAAGCCATCCTGCGGATTCTTAGTGGCCCATATTCAGATGTGGATATCAGAAAGGCAGAGTTGCCACGGAATGTTGGACGACCAGCCCGCAAAGAATTTTCTGGGGTTGAGAAGACGAGTTTGCTTGTTAGTACTGGATTGGGCCTGATTTCCCAAACTGAATCCAGTGATGAGGACGATGGATCCGAATCCGAAACGGATGATACGACCGGAAATGAATCTGAGATGGATCTCTCTGAGAGTGAGCTCCTTGCACCTATTCCGTTCCGTGGTGGGACAGAGGAGACTGAAGGCGGGGATTACGATCCCGGCAATGATTATGATGAGTGAAACGGTTCTATGAATTTTCGAAGCCAAGCTATTGTCATGGGTGATTTTAACTATCTGTTTGTTATCCTTTGCGGATTGAGAAAATTCCAACAGACAAGATGGGTATGTATTTTTTAGCAGTTTGTATTAGTAAGTTTTAGGCTCTGAGTCGAAACAGACGTGTATGGGTTACGAATATCATGATAATATCAATCAATCAATCAATCAATCAATCAATCATGATGGATCAAAAGTTTAAATTCAATTTTCAGATATTCATGGATGACTTCCAATGCTCAATTGTTTCAGTAACTTCTCATTCTCCTCTCTAATTCCCTCTCACTGCGGGAGCATCTCTCCACCCGGCATCTGCCATTTCTCGATGTCTGGATTTACTGACGATTGACTCAAGATACATACTATTGAACTCCACATCTTCCGAGGATAGAATGGAGATCATCGACTCGACAATTTTAGAATTATTCCAAGATCGAAGTGAAGCGATGTAATTCTCCCGATCACTCCTGAGTATCTCAGATGGAGGTTGATCAACATCGTTGAGAAGAAGAATTCCAGGGAAGGCTGCTGCATGTTGCAAGGGCGCTTTTTCAATGTGCGCCCAACCGACAACCCTAGATACATGGAGTTTTAGCTCTAGCTCATAAAAGACTGGTTCAAGTGAGCACAGCATACCCTGATATGACACCCTGCTCATCTATGATTATGTTATGCATCCCAAAGCTCGCATGCGTGAAAGCAAAAGGTGCAGCCTCAAGTTCAGGCAGAAGAACACTTGGGAGAAGATCCATCTGTGCGGAAACATCCTGCTCTATAAGCTCAGGAAGTGTACCCCTGCGGATACGCGTGACTTTATTGTTGATTATTCTTTTGAAGTGGTCCGTTGCGGATGTTTCTCCTATACATAAGATTGATGATCAGTCAAGATACCGGGCATCATGAAAATAGTGGACGAAAAAAGAGGTCTATACCGGTATGCTTGGTACATTCAATCAAGGTAATATGAATCTCCGCGAGCTGTTCCAGGATTTTATTCCGAAGGGGTTGCTGAGGAGACTCTTCAGTCCATTTAAGAGCTTTATCAGGAAGCCAGGTGACTGCAATAAACGGACAACCAATTGGATTATCAAATGTCGAGTCATGACCACGAAGTCTGGGAGCCCATTCAAACCCCTTCTCTTCGAGCTCTTTGAGGTTTTGGACCTCGTTGTCGACCAGGTAACTGAGGAAATCTCGTGACCAGCCTTTCCTGGCGAGATTACTCACAGGCGGCACTCGTATCGTCCAACTCTCATTATCTGAGAAGTCGACCTTGAAGACTCGATAATCCATGCCGACGAACTGCTCACTCTGTTTGTGAAACGGCGAGAGGAATATTCTCTTCGTGGAATGTCGGTTGCTCCATTGTGTCAGTGAAGTATTTGAATCTCGGGATAGTCAGCTGATTAAATGGTGAAAGGGTAAAGAATATTTCTGAGTGATAGTGAGATGGGCAATTTCCAGGGTTCATATACTAGTAGCAACAGAAGCGTAGGAGCTCCGAATGTGAGCGGGGTCAGTATCAAGCAGCGTGACGTGGCTATGTTGCGGCTCTTAAGAGTATCCTTGTCGCTTGCGTGTCACTCAGTGACTGGATACCTCCAGTAAAAACTCCCTAGTTGCATTGAAAATGCGCAGAACCTAGTCAAATCGTGCAGAATCAATGCGCGGACAGCTCATCACCTAGGCAGGTCCGTGCCACCTTCTAGACTCAGGGACAAGCCGAAAGAGAACAAGGTGAGATAGCCATCAAGTATGAATAGTAGACGAACATTTGAAGATCTTGGAAATAAGTTTAGAAGAGAGTAAATCAAGAAAGTTCCATGGACAGAGGTATATCAATTTAAATGCAACCTAATGATTCCTCTGCACAACACCTCTCGCAAAATCCGCAAAGCTCAATCCCGGCTCCACCTCCTCCCCCAGATTAGGCTGCGTAAACACAGCCAACGTATTTCTCGCAATGCGCCCCGTGCCACATTTAGCTCCCTTTACGAAATGCGGCACAGCGCGGAACTTCCCCCTCGTAATCAACTGCAGCGCCTCGCCAGTCTGGAACGCGAGACAATCCTTCGGGATATTGACCTTGACAATGTCGCCCGTTCTTGACTTGATATACAATCCAGCCGAAGGATCAGGAGACTGAGGGAGCTCAGCTAAAGCGGGAGGAGAACCTGCCGAGTCGAGTGCTATGGGTGTAGCTTCTTCGTCCAGGAACATCGCGGAGGTAAGACCTGTTAGACAACCGTGATCGATATGCGTAGCACACCAGTCATCATCATCTACTTGAGCTTCCTCTTGAGGTTCCTCTGTCGAGAGGGAAATAGTGCAGAAGTCTCGCTTTAGTGGTAAGACTTGTCTCGACGACTCGTTGCAGATACCCTGGTTTGTAGTCGGAGATATTCGCCTCGGCATACTTGTCACAAGAGGCCGCAACAAGAGATGCAGTCTGGATGATCAATGAGCACAGAGACTCAACACTGCTTCGGAAGGTTGGTAGTTTCTCTGGGGGAGGCCAGATGTTTGGCGCTGTGTATTGCGGTAGATCGGGGAATCCGTCTGCGGGTGCGCTGTCCAGAGTTGGGTCTTGGTAGAAGGCACAGTTGACATAGTATGAACCCTTCAGGGTGTCGAAGTGACCTGATTTGAGCGTTTCTTTGCCACATGACCAGCCTACTAGATATTTTGATTTGGGGCTCTCGAGGGATTCTGGTATTGTTAGTCCACGTGGATGACATTGTAAGACAAATTGATGGCGTACCCAGTTCCTTGTCTGAAAGGGCTGCTAAATACGAAGCATTCGAGAGAACCTGAGCTCGGAGCTCAGCGAAATGCGGGGGAAGGTCTTTCACCACGATTATTCCCAGGGAAGAGGGACCAAAGGCCGCAGTCAAGGTATTGAAGGAGACAGTGCCTGCCACCAGTTAGCAACCATTGTTTGCATGTGTATAGCAAGAGGCATTCTTACCATTCTGTAAATCCTTTAGGCTTACAGTGACCGCTTGGGCCACAGGTGCTTGAGTGATAGCCATGGTTGTTGAAAAGGGAAAAAAAAGTGTCATGTTTCCCCCCCGCTTCATGGCCAACGGAATCCGCCGATAAGAGACGGCTATAAACGGGGATAGTGCGGGTGAGTTTTAATATTTAATATCTATCGAGATATAATTCAAAAAGGAAAGAAATTAAGTGGAGTTGAATGCTATTGATACATTATCGTACAGCTATGGATATCACAGATTATTATGCTCGCTATGAGAAGAATAAAAAAGAACTTAGGACTCGCTCGCCTTGGTCTCAGTACCAGTCCGTCTTGTAACAGCCCGTAGGTTACCAAAAGCTAAGACATCACCGATGCGCTTTGCACCTGTGAATAACATGACGAGGCGATCAATTCCACATCCCCAGCCTCCTGTAGCAGGTAGTCCCCATTCCAGAGCTTCGAGGTAACTCTCATCGATCTCACCAGTCTCACCGGCCGCATGGCTGAATCGCAACTGGTCCTCGAACTTACGCCGCTGTTCAAATGGCGAGTTCTCTTCTTCGTAGGTATTAATCACCTCCTTGCCCTCGATAAAGAGTTCACCGCGCGCGGCAACGCATTGGCCGGTTGTGGGGTGTATGAATGATTTGGACAGGGGCGATAGACATTCCGGTGGGTTAATAATGAAGGTAGGGTCTATGCACTGGGGTTCGACGTATGTACCACAAAGTTCGTCAAGGAGGCGAGGGAGCGTAGGGTTTTCAGGGAGGTCGAGTGAGAGGGTTCGGAAGAGAGCCCGAATCCGATCCAAGGCATCGGGGGAGCTCAGATCAGGCAATTTCTGGTTAATAGCCTCTTCGATGCCTGTAATGAAGTCGATACGCTTGAATGGAGCAGTGAAGTTCACTTGGGTCGGGTTGAGGGTGTTGTTTTTGTTGAAGGCCTGGATGTGAGCTGCCATGCCAGAGAGAAGCTCTTCACTGGTGCGCATCAAGTCTTCCAGATTAGCATAAGCATGATAGAATTCGCAGGTCGTAAACTCGGCATTGTGAGTCTTGTCAAGACCTAAAGACCATCAGTTTCTCTTTCTCGTATTTTCTCTCACGGCATAGACATACCCTCATTTCGGAACGACTGTCCAATCTCAAAGACTTTGTCGAATCCACCCACCACCAACCGCTTCAGCCAGAGCTCCGGGGCAATGCGAAGTGACAGCTCACGCTCTGGAAACTCCGTGGCAGAAGTGACAAAGGGACGAGCAATTGCACCACCCGCTATACCTCCAATGATAGGTGTGCTGACCTCCATAAAAGAACGATCCACGAAGAACTGGCGCAGATACTGCGTCAGACTTGATCTGGCTCGAATGATATCCGCAGCGGCGGGATCGGCCAAGAATTGGACATGACGAGGGTAAGGCGAGACTTCATGAGAGACATCATGAACCGGGACATCGTGCAGACACGGGGAGAGGAGCTGAGGTAACTTGGTGGCATTCACAGTGAGTTCGCCACGAGCAGTGCGGTGCGGATGACCAGTTACAGCTATGGGGGAAAGTAACGTTCAGTGGGATATTCTTCCAGTACTCCAACCCTGGAAACTGCGTGGATAGGAAAAAATTCAAACATACTAAAGGAATCGCCACGACGCAGCAGACGATACAATTTCTTAAAGTCCTGGGGTTCAATGCCCTCCAGTTGACCCTTGTTGCACATAACCTGGATCTTATGGCCATCTTGCACAATATCGAAGAAGATCAATTTGCTGCCCGCGAGGCGGTAGGTACGGATTCTACCTAATCTAATCTAAGTACAATGGACATTGAACAGGCCAATGGCGTAAAACAGGCGCGACCTACCAGAGACAACGACCGTGTCTTCTACAGAATCATTGTTGGCCAATCCATCATATCTTAAGCGAAAGTCCGCACAACTGAGGGTTCGCTTGTCTACCGCCAGTCGAGGGTATGGGTCTGCCTGAGCAGTCTTGACCTGCTGTACTCGCTCTTGAAAGGCTCTTTCTGGAGATGCAGTAGAGCTTCCATTTCGCTGAAACTGTTGAGTTAGTCGAGCCTGAATGAGTGGCTGCAAATTAGAATGTTGGAAACGACGTCCTGCGCTATGAATTGGGTCAGCAAATTTGTCCCAAAGAATTGCAATTGTGTGAAAATTTCAAAAGCAAGAATAAAATATCAGTAATATGTGTACATTCCGTTCATATACTCCGGAGAGCATCAACTGCAGCGGTTCTGAAGCAGAGGGTACATATCATCATATAAAGGGAGGGCAGGATAAAATAAAAAGCAGATTTAAAAGCTTACCTATATCGCAGTCCCTCCAAGCCACGGGACAAAGCCCATGGACGAATTGAATGCATTTGCAAACAGAGTTCGCAGTTCACATTGCGTGGATGAAGAGAAGAAGAAGAAGAAGAAAAAAAAATTGTGGAAGAAACGGGAAAAGTGGAAAAACTCGGGCGGACAAGGGTGGTCCAAGCTTCCAACCTCGAGAACTTCCGGTCCGCATCGGCCTTGAACACCCATCATCATCACTATCCATTGAAATCAGGTATGTACCCCCTTTCTTATTTACATCAAGACAAAGCAAGTTCTAACCCAATTGAACTTACAGGCACAACCTTTCTACACTACACATCCATTCATTATGTCTTTCCTTTTCGGTGGCCAGCCCAAGATGACATCGGAGCAGAAGATTGCTCAAGCCGAGACCGAAGTCGAGATGATCTCAGACATGTTCAACCGGTAAGAACATCTCTAGCTAAAGTTGCGGAATTTCAATGGATTTGATGAGGTTCTGGTTCGTGGAAATGGTATGCTGATTCTCGATTGTTAATAGCTTGAGCGAGTCCTGCACTAAGAAGTGTGTCCCCGTCGACTACCGTGAGGGTGACCTGAACAAGGGCGAGTCCGTCTGCTTGGACCGCTGCGTCTCCAAGTTCTTCGATGTCAACATCAAGGTCAGCGAGAAGATGCAGGGTGATGCTACCCAGAAGCAGCAGGCCTTTGGCATGTAAAGTGCCCAACTCTTTTATAACTTGGCATTGTTTGGGGGCAGGAAAATAAAGAGCTAGACATTGAGCTTCGCATTGTTTGGCCCCTGCAAAACCCTTACGGAGCAGACTGGATGCTGCTATAAGCTGGAACCGGTTACTCATCGGAGGCCATTTTGGTATTTTGCTTTATTTGTGTTTCGTGATGAGACACTTTATATCATCACATTTGGATTAAGCGAGGAACGCCGGTCTATCTATGTACAATAGGAAAAAATGGGAAAAACAGGATAATATCCAAAAAAGGATAACGGATCATCGTACACGCGTTTTGAGGAGTCATTGCAAAGGCGCAAAGCCGAGCGATTGTCGAACCCATGCCATCCAAGATGTGCTATGGTCATCTTCACCCTGAAGTAAGCCTTTAATTCGGCCTTCTACATTGGCAATGTGTCGCTCGAAATCAGTCAATCCCTCCTCCATATCCTCCACTTTGGATTCAAGAACATGGAGCTCGTAGTCCAGCTTAGCACCAAGCAGTTCGACTCGTTTGATACTATCATTCAAAAAGGATTGCTCATCGGTCAACAGATCGCTGGATCTTTCTCGTAGCCGTTGATAGTCGCCGAAGCGGTCCAGGTAGACTGAGTTCAGTTCCTCGTGTTGCTCATACAGAGTTCGGTTTAGCCCATCGACAGTATCCACTTGACGTTCGACCCAAGGAACAGTACGTTCACTGAGCTCCAGTATTCGCGAGCTGAATATGCGAACATCAGACGCTAGCATGTCCTCGCGAGCAACGAGCTCATCCAACGTGGCTGTATCCTCCAGTCTTGGCTGATCAACCAAGGGCTTAGAGGCGTGCACTACCTCTTCGACATTGCTGAAGGACAGGTGCCTCGCACATCGGTCATCGCAACGCTGAGGTTCATTATCAATGCTCCGAAGTTCTTCACAGCTTTGTGCACGCCGAAGAGCCATCCATGCCAAGGTGGGCCGAGTATACTCTCCGTCACCCTGCTCACTTGATGCGGCGGTAGATCGTGTTCTTGTAAGCTCCAAGTCCGATTCCTCTTCAACCCCCGCGAGTGGTTGCAGATGATCATTTTGTTGAGGCTGAACTTCAATCTCCGTTCCGGTCGGCACAGACTCAATGTGAATTTCTGGAGGCTTGACTTCGAGCCTCGATTCTGCCGCTGGAGAGGGTTGCAAGCTGAGATCATCGTCTGCTCGTGACTCTAGGTCCCCATCCACCTTCGAGTCGGAGGTCAATCCGCTAGTTGCTCTAGTCTTGGCTATTGACATTTCTGTATCACTTTCAATAGATGGATTATAAGCAATATCGTGGGTCAAATCAGTTCCTTCTCTGGGATGCTTGTGATGGTGCGAGCGCAGACCGGGCAGTCCGACTGCATCTTTGAAACGACCCAAGCCCGCTCGAGCGTCAGATACCCGTCCACTAACACCCTTCTTACGGTGATCCTTCTCTTCGAGAGGCCAAGAATCAGGATATTTTCCAAGTCGATCAGGGCCAATGGCCGCTCGCTCTATTTGCAAGTCTTCTGTGGAATGTTTCTTTCGACTGGTCCAATGATAGCCGCCTTGGTCATCAGCCGTAAACATCATATCTGATGTGGGCGCATGCACGAAAGAGTGGTCGGTGCCGCTCTTGCGAAGCTTCCCCAGCCATAGCCATTTCGCTCTTGATCCATAGCAGCATTGGATAAAGGTCTCGATGTCAAGGGTTTCGATATCTGCAATACCACCTTTCTCGCGACCACGAACCATTCCCATGACCATCTCACCACCTTGCCCACTGAGCTCAGCCACGGTTGACTTGACGGCGTCTGTCCATCCTTCTGCATTGGCAGCCTTTGCTGTGGCACGATGTAGGCGATCCAAAGTATCTCGGTCTAGCCTCCGCGTTCGACTGAGTTTCTGGGATTTCTGGAATCCTCCAATGCCCCGTTTCAGGTTGTCGATGTCAAATGCATCTTTACCCACAGGAGCACCGTAGGCGTGCAATCTGTTTCGAGCACCAAGCAGTGTTCCCAGAATAGCAGCGACACTGGTTGGCCCGAGCATACCATCGCTTGGTTCGATGTTGTACAGGTCTGCCCCGATATCCGCCCACCAGTCACTGATAGCTTTGTCAGTTACATCACACAACAGACCATCGACATATTCAGGTGCCAATTTGTCAAACATCATCAAGGCAATTTGGCATTGCTTCACTAACTCAACCACCGCATTGTACAAAGGGACTCTTTCGCTGGCTCGGTAAAGCTGATGAAACTTCGCTTCGGTCGCAGGTAACGGCTGTTGGAGTTTGAGGGCTGCACGGCCTGCACAGCCCAAACGCTTCAAATTCTCGTTCACGATAAAATCATCTCGGTGCTTCTTGATATCTCCTCCAGGGACAGGAATGACTGTGAGTGCTGATGGAAAGGAACCCAAGTCGGTGACCATGACTGTTCCATGGGGAGTCTCTTTCTTGCGAGCCTGAGACTCTGTGAGGGCATTGAAGTACATCTTCAATCGAGGCGACCATGAACTTTCGTCTGTCGGGACACTGAGGACACCAACCATGACAGTATGCGACGGATCTCCCGTGTATGTAGATATGACAAAGGTCGGTTGGTCGCGAGAGCAAGCCCATTGTTCCACGATATAGATTTCGTATCCTTCCAAGGTTGAGCGGCGCTCTAGGACATCGGTCGAGGGGTCTTCTTCGAGGTAGCGTAAGGCGACTGGGTCGGTAAAAACGAGTCTTTGATGACCTTGAGGTACTAATCGTTCGTGGCCATTCGTTATTGAGGCGGGGCTCGATCTGAGGGCTTCATATGCCTTCGTGGAATCTCGACGGTCGACGGCCGCTTGACCGGATGCGTTGACTGACATGATGGCCCCTGTTCAGTTGAAGGTGCAGATACTCAATGGGACAGCCCAAGAGAACAGAGAGTGAATATAATGGAGAGTACCATCTAGTTCTCACAAGACTGGCGCCACGCCTCGGCCCAGGTCAGGGAGGCGCCGCCGACTGTTTGAGGTTAGATAGTGCCGATATAACACTGCGAGTCAGGGAACTGAAGCCAGCTGTTGGGCCATAATCCGCAATTACAGCGCACGTTGTTGGGAGAGTAAGTATTGAAGCTTGTCTATTACACTAGTTACATCCATAGAAATCCCCCGAGGCTGCAGAACCGGACCGGCGACGTCACTGGGCGGTGAAGATGAGAATCAGGCACCTATGATATGACCGCGTCAAAGCAAGGGACCATATAGGCCTAAAGCAAGTGGTGCATTAACCGTCAAGGCTTGTTGTTATGATTTACTCGCCGCGCATCCATGGATGGAGGAAGCCGTTGGGCAACTCTCAACGCGCCGCGTCGTCTGTTTACATCACTCGGACAGCTAAGGTATTACATGATTTCAATTTGCTAAAGCTATTCTAGGATAGGAAGTCTCTTCTCTACAGGCCACCAACATGGGTAGCAACAGCAGTGAAAAGAAGACCAGACAATACTCAGTGACCAGACGTTGTCGAAGTGATGAACAGTCGAAGCCAGATGTCAATACATCGTTGAGCAGTAGACACTCGATGGCGAACCAAGGAGGTCAAGGTATCTTGTTTTTTCAAAAATTCCCATCCGATCCGGAGACCAGAAGGAGTAGTCAATTTGGTAGTTTTCAACTAGCAAAAACACGATCTCGGATGTCTCCTCACTGATGCGTGTAAAACCCGTGCACTAGGATGGAGAAGAAAGAAAAGAAGAGGAAGGGAAGAGGGAGGGGAAAGTTATTTATACCCCTGGGGAAGCAAGCGAAGTCACCTGACTTGATGAGTCACCGCGTGCTCCATATCCCAAACAGGACTGTGTTTCCCTCCCAAAGAGGAATAGTACATATGCAAGTCCTCCCCCCCCCCCCCCAAAAAAAAAGACCCCGATATGGTCCTCATACTAACAAAAACCCCATCCCCATACAATATTTGGATTTTCATTCCGTTATTCCCATTTTTCATGTGGTTTTCCATGGAGCTTTACAGCTTTTGGAAATAAAAATCCAAATGTTCTAGCTGTTTGTGGACTTTTATCCTCTCTTCCTTCCAACATGTATATATAGCTTATCGATAAGCTTCAAAACGTCATTTGATCAATGGAGTCACGTGGGAATTGTCTAGTAAGGTGGGCGATCACCCGCAATGGGCGAACGTCTCGACTCTCCCATGTCCCACTTTCTACGTCGCACCTATTTGCTTCATTAGACTTGTTTTGTGTCTGAGTCCATATCTATGCCTTAGGACCCCGCTGTTTGGGGCTCCAATACAGTAACAGGCAACCACCTCATCTGTCAAGGCGTATATGGGCTCCGATAGACTTGGGCGGTAACGTCAATTCATCTCCGCATTGAGTCCCCACTATGGCCACTCAAACCCCAATGGAGGTCTTGCAGAAAGAACATGAACGCCTTCTAAAGAGGCTCAAAGGTGCTCAGAGTCTCAAGCATGTCCAATCCACAATTGATTTACTGCAGTCAGCACGGGACACGATTGCTGCCGGTTAGTCATGAGATCAAAGAACCCTGAGATTGAACTGCTCAGATCAGCCCGGTGTGGTCGGAGATAGTATATGGCATTCACTGACATTTAATTCCCTGTGCTCTTTTTGTAGATCCCGGTCAGACAGTGATCTCCATGGCTAAACTGCAGAACCCCATCAAGTCCTCCTTCGACTCAATGAATGATAATCTCAAAGAGGTTCACAGTGGCTTGAATAAATACACCAAAGCACTTGATAAGGTATTACATCCCAGGTCACTTCGTCCCAAGATCTGTAGGCCCAGTTTCTTTTTTTCAGTGTTTCGACCCATGATTTGACCAGGTCTGCTTTCTGCCCACTACAGGTTTTCAAAGACCGACCTCTTCCCAGTACCAACGACCACGACGCACTCTCCGAGCAAGACACTTTGATCAACCGTGCTATTGGGATGCATCTCCTTCGTGAAGGACAATTCTCTGTTGCGGCTAGCTTCCTCTCCGAGATTTCTGAGCGAAAGGCCCTGCAAGTCGACCCCGAGACATCCACCACCGAACCCATGGCTTCCTCTCCTGACAGCGCCAACAACCTTCTCGATGAAGTCCCCTCCTCCCAGATTCGCAAGGAATTTGCCTCCATGTATTACATCTTGCACGAGATGAAGGAGAACAACAACCTACTTCCTGCCATTGAATGGTCACGAGAGAATCGCGAAGCGCTGGAAGCCCGCGGTAGCAACCTGGAGTTCGAGCTCTGCCGTCTGCAGTTTGTGTGGGTTTTCCATGGAAAGTCGCATGATCAAAGTATTCGCAACCGAGAAGACGCCATTGCCTATGCCCGACGAGAGTTTCAGGGTTTCGTGCCCCGCTATCTGAGAGAGGTCCAGCAACTGATCGGAGCTATGGCATTCTGCCCCAACCTACGAGGATCCCCATATGCGTCCATCTTCAACAACATCTCTGCCTGGGACGACGTGGCTCAGTTCTTTACTCGCGAGTTCTGTTCCTTGCTGGGCTTGTCGGCTGACTCCCCGCTCTATGTGGCTACAACGGCCGGTGCTATTGCGCTTCCCACTCTATTGAAGCTGCAGACCATCATGAAAGCTAAGCGTACTGAGTGGACTAGTGAGAATGAGCTCCCAGTATGTTCCCCCTTCCCTCCCGTTCCCATTTACGCTACTTCGCAGCTCTTATCTGACCATGTTTTAATAGGTTGAAATCTCTCTGCCGCCCTCATACCTGTTCCACTCGATCTTTGTGTGCCCCGTCTCGAAGGAACAGGCGACCGATGAGAACCCGCCCATGATGATGCCATGTGGACATGTTATCGCAGAGGAGTCACTCCGTCGACTTAGTAAGGGCAATCGTTTCAAGTGTCCATACTGCCCCAGTGAAAGTCACCCGAGAGATGCTCGCAAGATTTTTCTGTAAAGAAGCCGGGTGCTTCTTCACCACCCACACAATAATTTCTCGGGGGCTTACGGACATGATTGGCGTTAGGGATCGGCGTTGCATGCAGTCCGGCACTGTTTCTTTTTTTTGTTTTTTTGTTTGTTCTCAATTTTTTTTATCCTTATGGATAGTGCACTTGAGCCCTCCAAGCTTACATTCGTTGTACCTACTCGAGTTAGTCTAGTTGTACTCAGTGCTTCATACAATACACTTTGTCTAGGTTGAAACCCACGGCGCTCTACTGTTTCATACCTAGTCACCGCGGTTCGCCACCTACTCCGTCATCGGCATTGATACATCTCATACGCAAGATTGAAAATATCTGTCTCCACTTTTTTATCACCCCTATCACATCTGGAGGTAGACAAAGAGGTCAATTTCCCAATTATACCAAATCCCCACTCCACTAAAACTGACTAACTCTCCCAATTGGTCCACTTTATCCCGTGACCACGCGCCCATTTGGCGACAACTCCACTGCCCCTTTACGCGTTTGAACCTGTCATAACGCGTCAGGCCATGCAAGCGACCTCCATTTCGGGTAATATTGGCCCTGCTAGACCCGTATTGAGGTCTCAGCTCGTCCGTCCACATTCTGTCTGGTACATGCATGACCGGTCATACAGGTTCACTCAGGGGAATGCATACACCTCGATATATCAAACAGCAATTGGGTGGATATAGGTATAAATACAATTCTGGGTCCCCCTGAATCTCTAGCTGAATTTTCCTCTCTTTGTCTCAGTCCTCGTTCCATCCTCATTGCGCATATTTGCAGCTTTATCTCGTTAGAAAAAAAGAAAGAAAAAAAAATCAAATTGCGTCATGCTTTCAAAGAGAAATCCTCCCCAAACTCCCTCCGGGGCTTTTACTCGCTATCGAGCTGCGAAAGCTTCTTTGTCGGCGAGTAAACCGCGTCGCAACTTGAATATCAGGGACAGATCCAGATCAAACTCCAGCAATTCCAAACGTATAGAGATAGAGCCTCGACAGAAGCCGACTTATCCACCAGATGTATCGTAAGTGGTATCATTCTCAATTCCAAGCCCTCTACCCTCCAATGGATACAATGAGAAGAAAAGACACAAGACAGAGACCCTCTTAGAAAAATCTAATAACTAACTTGGATACAGTTCTCCAACCCCATCATCATCCCCAATCGTCCTCCTCCACGTCGGACCCTCAAACCGCCTCTTCGCGGCGCACGAGACAATCCTCAGCGCATCACCATTTTTCGCCGAAAAGTGCGTCACCCAAACCCCCTCCCCTCCCTCTCGCGCAAATCCGCATATCCAAACACCTGGCAAGCACATCGCTCTTCCAGATGAAATTCCCGAGGTCCTATCCTGTGTTTTGGAGTACCTATACAAAGGTGATTACTATCCCCGTCTGCGCCACAATCCGCGACGGAAGGCATGGGAGCTTGAAGGAGATTCGGAGAGAGATGGAGAGAGTGCTGGTGCAACTGTTTGGCATCAGGGACTTGGGGAGACGATATTGAGAGATACGGCTATTTAGTAAGTCATCTATCTCCTATTCCATGACCTTGACATGGAATTCTCTGCATTGATTTGGACATACAATGCTAACATTTGAATAGCTGTGCTGCGGAGAAATTTAACCTCCCATCTCTCCAACGTCTTGCACTTCGCAAACAAGGTCTTCATATCGGTATAACCGTGAACACCATTCTTGCGAGTGCGCGATACGCATATGCGAATACACCGGATACTGAGTCCAAGCTACGAGCGCATTACCTTGCACTCATTATTCGGTGTCGGGGAACGTTTAAGAGAAGTGGGACGATGCAGATGGAGATGGAACGGGGTGGGAAGTTATTCTTTGATCTATTTGTTGCGATGTGTAATCAGATGGTATGTCCATTTCCAACCTTTGCCCATGAAGATCCAGGATTCCTTCTCTTGGTTTGAAAGCATCCTTCGTGGACATCAGTACTAACACCGGTTTTAGGATGAGGACTTTCCCGAGACTTTGTCGGCTTGTAGTTCTGCTGCGACCCAAAGGGAGTGAGCTAAGTATGTCTTTCGCCTGCCATTTCGGTGTGTGAGACTTGTTTCTTTCAACGCCGATTATGGCTTCTCGAGTGTATTGGGCTTGATACTCGTTGGTTCCAAAGTTATATGCTGGCTGTACTTTAATGGCCTTAATGGCTGATCTTCTTCTATACCCATGTACGATTAATGCGATTCTTAAGGTGAAAGGGATTTAATGTGAATTTATTTCTATTGTTTGAGTCTTTTTGTGGTTATTTGCAAAATAACAGACTGGCCAGTGAGAGGATAACGCGAGTTATCATTTTCCTTTTATACAGCCTCATCCTCAGGTCAGGGTGAGTATATCATTATGAGAGGTTGATGTTAGTGTCATAATCTAAGATCGAAGCTGGGGTGGTCAATAATATCAGCTAGCTACCACTGGCAGTTACAAGATACCATAGCTGACACCTCTCCGGTTGAAACAATAGCCTACATAGCATCAGGCTTGTGAGAATGGATCATCCCGGTAATCCAACCTTGAAGCTGCAGAGGGTATATGACACTGGTGTTGCTTAGAACGGCAAAATTGATGTTATCAACTTATGACTTGCTATGAGTTAAGTTAGACCCCTGTTCCAGGGAAAGCAGCATTATTCTTGCTAAGCACTACGATTCCTCGTTCGCGAGCAATGTATCCCTTCATAAGACCCTGTAATCCTGGTGAGCAATCATGAGACATTGATGAGTTGGACTAGACAAACCTTGTAAATGAGGTTGGATAACAAGCACTCCACTTCATCGTTATCAACTCGGGTCCTGGCTTTGGTGTGTGTCCCAATGCGCATCGCCGAGGCAAATTCCGCGACGGGAACTCGGGTTCGTCGGATTGGAGGCTGTCCATCTTTGCCCTCGTCAAAGCCACCAGCGATGAAGACTTTGCGGAAAAGGTTGCGCAACGCAATGTCGCGCCCTCGCTCCAGAGGCAAATAGATACGCCTCTTCACAAATTCTTCTTCGCCAGCGGCCATGGCTGCTTCAAAGCCCGCGAGATCGCCTTTTCGAATGCAATTCGACAGAGGTCGGAAGAAAGCCTCAAGTCGGGGAAATTGGGCCAATAAGCGAGGACTGGGAAGAGTATGCGTTGTAACCAGATGACAAGGAATCAGATATGTGAGGATCAATCTATTTTCGTGTCAGTGTGACCATTCTGGTCGTGATCATCGGGATGAACGTACTCGCAGTTCTTAAGCGCACGTCGATGGCACATCCTCCAAGCAGATGTGAGATGCTTTTCAGCCTATCGAAACTTTGTGAGTTGGGTTCAGTCTACTTCGAGAAATAGTCACCAACCTCAATATAGTTTTCATCTAAGAAGTGAATAACACCAACGTAGTATTCAAACGTAACAATGTGAGATTTGGGGAACGCCTCCAATGGCGGAAGATCATGCGACTGGGCGCTGATTGCGCGGAGAAGGTTCTTAGTGAGGCCAACCGAATTGATCTGAAACGAATTAGAAGACAGAATAATCAAGTTGTGGTTGTATACAAACCTTGAAATAGGTCTTGAATAGAAGGTTGGTCGTGTTATAGATCCCCCACTTGCGGGATTCTTCGATAGGGGCACTGGATTCTTATCAGCAACCAAAGTTCATATGAGCTTCTAAACCAACACTTACCGGTCACTTAAGCATAATGTGAACATGCGATTCATGATTCGAGCAGCTTCCTCCAAATTCGCATTCTTCTCGACATCCGCAGCGATGTCATCTTGGAATCCAAAGCTTGCTGAGCCTTGGGAGACCGCCTCGGCGTCGGCTTTGATCGCGAAGACGCGCAGGAACTTGCCGCTAGTATACAAGCAAGGCAAAGTCCAGGCAGGAAAGGAGGAATAGCCCCTGATCAGCTGATTGGCCATTTTCTTCCAAGCATTGAAGATGGTGACCGCGCTGGCCCCGGGTTGACGGGTCTGGTACATGAGCAACTCGCGCACCGTGTGCCAGTATTCGACAAACACCTCCACCCAAGCCTTTTGTTCATCCTTCGAGAGTCTCAAGATTTTGCGATGGGCGGGGAAGAAAGCTTGTGTAATTTGCTTGGACAAATCATGGGCGTTAAATGATTCGTAGAATGCGCGCAATCGGTATTCCAGGTCATCTGGGGTGAATACGGCTGCCAGTCGCGGGCCAGACCGGTCGACGTAGGCAGTGAGGAAATCGTTCGCCAGAGAAACCATGGTGAAGTTTTCGCTCGATCAGGTAGAAAGGAAATAGCTGGTTGGCGAAAGGAGAGGTCCGGATGTCCCTTAGTCCTTCGATAGTACTACTCCAAGGCGGTATCAACCAACAAAAGGCAGTTAACGTGGGGCGTGGGCGGTGTGGCTGGTGTTCAACTGTGGCGGAAAGAGCAGCCCCCCGTTCCTTCCTCATTTAGACTAGCGTGATCCAAGTCAGATCCACTCGCTTAACCGAAGGGTGATAGCCCTAAGCACATTGCAACACAATTCCAGATTTCCTCTTCCCCGGCACACTAACGACTCAACCACCACAGCGACAATCATAGTATGTACCCCCCCTATATTGATCCCGATCGAACCATTTGCTAACATTCCATTTTCCAGATGGGTGAGTGACCTTTTTTCCATCGATTTTCCCAAAATTCTCCTCGAGGCGGTTACGGCATGTGTGTGTGCGATCGGTCAAATATAATATGCGGAACGACAACTCTCTTCAACAAGGACAAGAAAAGACAAGAATGAGAGGACTCGGCGCAACCAGAAACCCCGTCAGGTTAGGATTCAGTGGTATCGATCAGGGAGGAATTCGCATGTGGCAGTAAATTCAATCTCGAAAAATCGACCCAGACACCAATATCGAATTTTTTTTTTCACGACTACCGATCTGTTCTCCCTTGTCCGTCGGAGTCTGCAACAAATCGCCCACTACATATTATTGCAACCGCTCGAGGAGAAACGCTGAATACAACTCATGTCGCGAGCCATGACTGACGGATTCATTACAGGGCGTCTTAACGAGTACCAGGTCATCGGGCGTCACCTGCCCAGCGAGGCTAACCCCGCCCCCAAGCTGTACCGCATGCGCATCTTTGCGCCCAACACCGTTGTCGCTAAGTCCCGGTTCTGGTACTTCTTGGCTCAGCTCCGCAAGCTCAAGAAGTCCAACGGTGAGATCGTCAGCCTGAACGTTGTATGTGTCGAATGCGCCTCCAGATCAATGATCTCCTGCTGATTATTTGCGTCTAGATTACCGAGAAGCGTCCTCTGAAGGTCAAGAACTTCGGTATCTGGCTCCGCTACGACTCTCGCTCCGGTACCCACAACATGTACAAGGAGTTCCGTGAGATGAGCCGTACCGAGGCCGTCGAGGCTCTGTACCAGGACATGGCTGCCCGTCACCGTGCCCGCTTCGGTTCCATCCACGTACGTTCACCCTACACTTCCATCTGGCGCTTTTTCTAACAATTCTCTACAGATCCTCAAGGTTGTTGAGATCACCGATGCCGAGACCATCCGCCGTCCTTACATCAAGCAGCTCCTCAGCAAGAACCTCAAGTTCCCCCTGCCCCACCGCTCTGCCAATCCCGGCAAGAAGCTGTTTGCCTACTCTCGCCCCTCTACCTTCGCTTAAATGTGATGTTTTTGGTTTTTGGGATGGAGTGCGGATGAATGACTTGGACGTGGCCATAGCATGCATGAAAGATACTGGTCGCGTGGAAACGGCCTGTTTGTACCCAGTAAATGGGAGATGTCTCTATTCCCGTATCGTGGCATCTGAGGTTAAATTTCAAAAAAATTATCGGGTTCACCTGTTCTTATCCGCGTAGGATATGCACGTAGCCGCTTGGAATATAGGGCAGACCAAATTTCTATGCACGAATCTGGTCGGTCGCAACTCAGGAGTAGTGCGAGTCTCGCCTCTCTATCACTCCACCATGTATATGTGGTTTTCTACATAATGCGATTAGAGATAGGAATTTACAGCCGCGATTACCGACTTGAATCATGCCCAGGTAACTTATGAAGTAGGTAGGTATACATGTAAGTGTCAATACTAGTAGACCGCCCAATTGACTGAGGGCCAAGCTTTAGATATTTGGAGCCTTCAGGGGTTTTCTATACTAGTCTTCATGGATTCCATACATGCGTACTCCTATAGGCCTGATTTCAAGCGATTCGGGACACTCGGGGCATGATCATCACTCCGGGGCGCCCCATCTGCCCCATGAAATACATAATCCGTCGGAGTTTTCGTGCTCGAGGCCGAAGCCGAGCGGCCCCAGTTGGTGCCGCCAAAGTCAATCCCAATAGGTCGTAGCTTACTGACACTGAGCACCGTCGGGGGCCTATCTGCATTGACCAAGTAATTATTAATCTTGATGAAAACCGGGGGCCCCTTGGAATCCACCGTACGGTTACGCAAGATGGCGAATATCGTATATCCGTTGCGCTCAGGAACCGCAATTGCGTCATGCGCAGGGAGCCAAGCCTGTCCGCTTTCGAATCCGATTCTTCCCTCTCTAACTCTCCACTTCTTACACATCTCATCTTACCTCGATTGACCGTTTCCCACGTCAATTACTTCCCAAGATGTTCTCTCGCCAGGCTTTCCGCTGTGCGCAGCCTCTCAAGCAGGTTTGTAAAGCCATTCCAAGCTTAAATTCGCCGAAAAAAGAAACTAACATGTCCTTCGTTGCAGAGCCTCCGCAAGTACTCCGCTGAGGCCGCTCCCAAGAAGTCCAACCTCACCCCCATCTACCTTACCGTCGGTCTCGCTGGTCTAGGTGCTGGTGTCTACCGCTACAGCACCTCTGCTGTTGCTGAGCCTAAGGAGCGCGCCAAGGTCTTCAATGGTCAGGACTGGGTTGACCTGAAGGTTTCCGACGTTGAGACCCTGAGCCACAACACCAAGCGTATTCGCTTTGAGTTTGATGACAAGGAGGCCGTTGGTGGTCTTCCAGTTGCCTGTTCGTGCTTCGTTGTTCTCTACTTCATAGGGTCATTGTTTACTGACATCCTGTTATAGCTGCTCTTCTGACCCGCTTCAAGCCCGAGGGCAAGGAGAAGTTTACTCTCCGTCCCTACACTCCTGTCAGCGATGAGGGTAAGTTATTTCTCTTTTATGCCAATGCTTAATCGCGGCTAACACTTTCTAATAGAGCAGCCCGGCTACCTTGAGCTCGTCGTCAAGGCTTACCCCAACGGTCCCATGTCCTCCCACATCACCTCCCTGAAGGAGGGCGAGAAGCTGGCCTTCAAGGGTCCTATCGTCAAGTACGCCTGGGAGCCCAACAAGCACAACCACGTTTGCCTGATCGCCGGTGGTACCGGTATCACCCCGATGTACCAGCTCGCCCGCCAGATCTTCAAGAACCCCGATGACCGCACCAAGGTTACCCTGGTCTTCGGTAACGTCAAGCAGGAGGACATCCTGCTGAAGAAGGAGCTCGATGAGTTGGAGAACACTTACCCCCAGCGCTTCCGCGCTTTCTACGTCCTTGACGAGCCCCCCAAGGAATGGGCCGGCGGCAAGGGTTTCATCTCCAAGGAGCTGCTGAAGACTGTTCTGCCCGAACCTAAGGAGGAGAACATCAAGGTCTTCGTTTGTGGTCCTCCTGGCCTTTACAAGGCTATCTCTGGTACCAAGGTCAGCCCTCAGGACCAGGGTGAGCTCTCTGGTACCTTGAAGGAGCTGGGCTACAGCCAGGAGCAGGTCTTCAAGTTTTAAACGACGTGTAGAATATTAGAACCGGCACAGAATCACATACGGTAGCTGTGTACATTTGATCCATGTATTTCTGGTTTTGAGCGTGTTCTTCGCGTTCGGCAATGCCGCACATTTGTATGCTAGAGTTGAGGTTGAGAACATGTGGTATGTTTTCAATTTTTCTTTTAAATCTTGAACTTTGAAAACAAATCCCAAGTCGAGTGTCAAGTACATTTTTCAAATGCCTACTAGTGGTAACTGCAATGTTGATACCTCTAATCCATATTGAGCTCCAAGGCTGGAATATGAGGTAGTTCTCCTAGTACATATATGTAGCACTGGCAGTTGAGGCACCCGGGAGCATCATGATGACTCGGACCTGGTATTAGGCATTCATACCTACTGGCACCCACCTGGGCAGGTGCGAGGACACCTGCCAGTGAGTACTAATTCCAAGGTTTATGCCAGTGTGCCACCGTGGACCTGCACATCCATGTGGGCAGTGCTAACTTGAGCTCCGAGTTGTGGCCCGGGACCCCTCACCTGGCAGGTGCCCAAGTGGGTATTGTTTGCCCCGGAGATACCCGGACACGTCAACTGGCCAAGTTCAAGTTCCCCGCGGTCCAGTTGACTACGAACATCCGAGACCACCTGGGCATGGTCCATGCCCCCAGTGGATGTATCAGCTCGAGGGAACGTGTTATTTACCTTTCAATAAGTTTGGAACATTTCATTTAAATATCCACGAAAACATCTCTATTAACAGGTACATATATCTGGGTATATAATTTTTGGACTAAAAGAATAAAAATGCGCGTGATCGTTGAAAAATTTACCATGTGGAAATTTTGCTGATGGAGGGGTGCTCAGATATATATTTTTGTGGCCCCAGTGCCGGGACCGACCTGGCACCTTGACCAAAACCTTGGAAGGCGCGGGCATCACCTGGGCAGCGCCCGGGTGAAATAACTTCCATTTGAAGTTGATCACTGCCAGTGATAGTACGTGCGAGTATTTGAATCAACTTGAACTGCACTGATAATATGAACATTGGAAAATATGAGAGATAGACAGGTCAATAATTATTTTTGATACATCCACTAGTCTAATACTCAAATAGTCACTAATTATGCAATAATGTTCCTTAATGGGGGGTTTCGATTCTGTCCCGGGTTACCGCATGGGTAAGGCAACACCAGCCTAATAAGCGTGAAGAAAGCCGGGGCCCTCTAAGCCTAAAGCAGCGAAGGGCTGGTGACCTGGGACCGAACATGCCGGGGCCTCTTGGGGGAGAAAAGTCGTATTCACTTCTCACTGTTTGGGCGCAAACCTATTTAGTGTTCGTCCTTCCCCCCTCTCGGGCTCTCTCCCCTATTCCTTCGGCTTCCCCCCTCTTTCCCCCAACAAAATTTCTTTCCTTTCCGGCATCCTTTCCTCTCGGCATCACCCTCAATATCATCACAATGGCTCCCCAAGATCAAACTGTTGAAGTTAACATCGATGAGTTGCGAAACTCGAAGGACGCGGTAAGTTTTCAAATAAATCTGTCTCTGATGTCTTTTTTCTCTCGCGTTTCAGTTTTTTTTTCGCGCTGGATTCCTTTGTTATTTTTTTCCTGGCCAATTTTTTTCTCTTTTTGTTTGGGCCAGTGCGCCCACTGAGCGCGCTTCCCCCACGCGTCGCATACCAACAACAGCTGCTTGCTCCCCCCATCACGGGCTATCGCTGCGCCCTAAATACAAGGGCTGCTTAGCGATACCCTCATGATGAATTTTCAATATCTTCGGATGGTTTCACTTCTTCAGGTGTATCTGAGCTCAACTGGTCATGACATCATGTCCTGGTCGTGTTGACGCTCAGCCTCACTTCGATGGATCATCCCCAAATTCTCCATGTTGCGTGTTGCCCAATACTAAAACCCACCACACATTCCATGCATCAACTGAACCCGTCTTCCTGGCGTTATATGATACAAATGTGATCCATAACTAACAATCCTGCCAGGTCCTTATGCGACTGATGTCCCTTCAGTCCTACATTGCCGACCTGAGCAAGGCCTACGTCGAGCATGTTAACAGCGTCATCAACGGTGGCCCTGCTACTATTGACATCCCAGCTCTCCCCGCTGGTCTCTCAGTTGCTCACTTTGAACGCGCCGCTAGCCCCGCCAAGTCTGAGGCTGGTGCCCCTAAGAAGCGCAAGCGCGCTCCTGTTGACCCCAATGCGCCCAAGCGTCCTTTGACTCCTTACTTTTTGTACATGGCAAACAACCGTGCCATCATTGCCGGAGAGCTGCCTGGTGGCGCCAAGCCCAAGGACGTTTCTGACGAGGGCACCCGCCGCTGGACTGAGATGCCTGCCGGCCAGAAGGAGGTCAGTAACAAGCACTCCCCAGCCCATATATCAGAAAGACAAATAAAAGAGTGCAATATACTAACATATACCCCAGGTTTGGAAGCTTCTGTACGCCGATAACTACGAGAAGTACAAGCGTGATGTTGAGGCGTACAAGTCCGGCCGCAAGGTCACTGGCGATGATGAGGATGCCGCCGCTACCCAACTCCAGCAAGATTTCGCTGAGGCCGAGGAGAAGTCCGACGAGTCCGAGGCTGAAGAGGAGGCTGAGGCTGAGGAAGAGTCTGCTGAGGAGTCCTCCTCTCCTTCTCCTCCCCCTAAGGAGAAGACTCCCCGTGCTAAGCGTCGCCGTTCCGATTCCAAGGTTGTTCCAGACTCGGCTGCCAAGCAGAGCTCCCCCGTGAAGAAGTCCGTCCGAGGCCGAAAGGCTCCGGAGCCAGTTAAGGAGACACCTGTCTCCGAGAAGAAGGGAAAGAACAAGAAGCGCAAGAGTGAAGTTTAAGAATTGAAGACTTACTCTTTTGTTGCTGGACCTATCTTTATTGTCCATTTTATTTTCTCTGTCTTTTTTATTTTTTATTTTTTCATCGTTGTGGGGGGTTTCTGTCATTGCTCTGTCTCTTTTATGTAGTCTGAAATATTTTTTTTTCCCTCTCAACCCGATAATCTTTATTCCATTTTATTACTTGGATATCTGCCAGTGTGTGGTAGTGTGATAATATTGGGTGTTAAAAAAAAAGTCATAGGGTTAAAAATGTAATAATTTTTTTCTTCTTAGCTTGTTCCTCTATAGTTCGGCAACCTACCAAAGACCAGGGAATTCTAATTGTTTAATCTTATTTCTATTTCTAATTCTAATTCTCATCCCGAGACGAGAACTCTTCGGGGGCTCCACGTTTATAAAAACCATTAGCAAAAAGTCGTGACTAACGCCCGAATAATAGACCCAATCGGCCAACACGGCTCTTTCTTATCAACGTTATCGGAGATTAATGATATGCATCGGCCAACTTGAAATACTACCGCTTTCCCTTTTCCCCCCACATTCTCCCTCCCAACCTCCTGGGGTGAAGTTGATCTAGTGATATATAGGAACTCAAAATTTTGATCTCCTTCTTTTTCCTACATCTTCTATACGCCAAGCCAGAGGTTCGGGTTCCACCTGCGCCATGCAGCTTGTTCCGAAGGAGGTATGTATCACGTTGCCAAGCATCCTTTTGATCCCAGACTGACATCCCTTCAAAGCTGGACAAGCTCACCATCGCGAACCTCGGGTTTTTGGCCCAAAGACGTCTTGCCCGAGGTGTGCGACTTAACCATGCAGAGGCAGTGGTATGTATCATTATACTTCCCCATGGATTAAAAAATCCATCCATATGTGGTGGGAGTCCCCGGACGCTAATTTTTCTAATCTGCAGGCCCTGATCTCATCCGTTCTGCACGAAGTAAATTGACCCCACTTTTTTTTTCTCAACCCCTCCTACCCTTGTCTATATTTCGAATGATAGTACAATCCCGGAACTATGTCACTAATTATGTTCTGGTTGTTGTCTATAGCTTATTCGTGATGGTCACTACTCCGTTGCCGATTTGATGTCCATCGGAAAGACCATGCTCGGCCGTCGACATGTCCTCCCCTCCGTTGTTGCAACTCTCGTCGAACTCCAGGTTGAGGGTACCTTCCCCTCCGGCACATACCTGGTTACTGTGCACCACCCCATCTCCAGTGATGAGGGTGATCTCGAACGTGCCCTATATGGCAGTTTCCTGCCTGTCCCGGCCGCCGCGGCCTTCCCGGACCCAGACCCAGAGGATTTCTTGCCGGAGAAGATGCCCGGTGCAGTTATTCCTGTGAAGAACGCACGTGTGAAGTTGAATGATGGACGTAAACGAATTAAGCTCAAGGTTATGAGCAAGGGAGATCGACCTATTCAAGTATGTATTAATGCGGATACGTTGAATCGAAGACACAACGAAGGAGAAAATGAGACTAATTTCGAACCTTTCGTCCCACATAGGTCGGTTCTCACTACCATTTCATCGAAACAAACCCTCAATTGCACTTTGATCGCATTCAATCGTACGGATTCCGACTGGATATCGCGGCTGGTACCTCGATCCGTTTTGAGCCCGGTGATACTAAGACGGTTACTTTGGTCGAAATCGCCGGAAACAAGGTCATTCGCGGAGGTAACTTTTTGGCGAATGGTCCAGTGGATATGAGCCGTGCCGAGGAGATTGTGTCGAAATTGCAGGTTGCTGGTTTTGCACATGTGCCCGAGCCCATGGCCGATAGTGCTTTGATTACTGGATTCTCGATGGAGCGGGAGGCATACTCTCGCATGTTTGGTCCTACAACTGGTGACCTGGTTCGTCTTGGCTTGACCAACTTGTGGGTGCAGGTTGAGAAGGATATGACTAGCCATGGTGATGAGTGCACCTTTGGTGGTGGTAAGACTGTTCGTGATGGTATGGGTCAAGCATCGGGCCGCTCTGCTTCGGAGTGTGTTGATACTGTTATTACAAATGCGTTGATCATCGACTGGACTGGTATTTTCAAGGCCGATATTGGTATCAAGGATGGTTTGATTGCTGGAATTGGCAAGGCTGGTAACCCGGATGTCATGGATGGTGTGCACCCTGATCTGGTTGTTGGTGCTTCCACCGATGTGATTGCCGGTGAGAACAAGATTGTTACTGCTGGTGGATTCGACACACACATTCACCTGATCTGCCCCCAACAGGTGGATGAGGCTCTGGCTTCGGGTATTACCACTTTCTTGGGTGGTGGTACTGGTCCCAGTACTGGATCGAACGCCACAACCTGCACTCCAGGCCCGAACCACCTTCGTCAGATGATGCAGGCGTGCGACAGCCTGCCAATCAACATTGGTATTACTGGAAAGGGTAACGACTGTGGAAGAATCAGTATTGAGGAGCAGATCAAGGCTGGTGCAGCTGGTCTGAAGCTACACGAGGATTGGGGCTCTACCCCTGCCGCTATTGACAACTGCCTGACCCTCTGTGACGAGTATGATGTGCAGTGCATGATTCACACCGACACATTGAACGAGTCTGGATTCGTTGAGCAGACTGTCGAGGCCTTCAAGGGCCGAACCATCCACACATACCACACTGAAGGAGCCGGTGGTGGTCACGCGCCAGACATTATCTCCGTCGTCGAGCACCCCAATGTCTTGCCCAGTAGCACAAACCCCACCCGTCCTTTCACTCTTAACACTTTGGATGAGCATCTGGACATGTTGATGGTCTGCCATCACTTGTCAAAGAACATCCCCGAGGATGTCGCCTTCGCGGAGAGCCGTATCCGTGCGGAAACCATTGCCGCCGAAGACGTCCTCCACGATCTGGGTGCTATCAGTATGATGTCCTCCGACTCCCAGGCCATGGGCCGCTGTGGTGAGGTCATCCTGCGCACCTGGCACACCGCACACAAGAACAAGATGCAGCGCGGACCCCTTCCTGAAGATGCAGGCACAAACAACGACAACTTCCGCGTGAAGCGTTATATCAGCAAGTACACCATCAACCCTGCCTTGGCACAGGGTATGGCACACTTGATCGGTAGTGTGGAGGTGGGCAAGATCGCCGATCTTGTTCTCTGGAACCCCAGCAACTTCGGTACCAAGCCCGTGCAGATCCTGAAGAGCGGTATGATTGCCGTGGCAGAGATGGGAGACGCCAATGCCTCGATCCCGACCATCGAGCCTATGGTGATGCGTCCCATGTTCGGTGTCCGCGTCCCAAGTACATCGATCATGTTTGTTTCGCAGGCATCTATCGATGAGGGTATCGTTCAGACATACGGTCTGAAGAAGCGTATCGAGGCTGTTAAGAATTGCCGAAGCGTCGGAAAGAAAGACATGAAATTTAATGACACGATGCCCAAGATGAAGGTTGATCCGGAGAGTTATGTGAGTATTCCAGATCCCATCTTACGTCAAGTCAAATCAAGTCAGAGTACTAACCTCAGAATAGACTGTCGAAGCAGACGAGCTACTGTGTGACGCCGAGCCGGCAACAGAGTTACCCTTGACACAAGCGTACTATATCTTCTAGATCTGGACTCATCGGATGAAAGTGTAACATTGTGTTACATTTTATCCAGTTTCGGTCCGATTGACGTTTCCCCCGAGATTATCTCTCCTTCTCATCTCTTCCCCTTCTCTTCCCTTGTCCTTTCTTACCTTGCCTTGTTATCTAGCATTGTCTCGGTTATATACCTCCTTCGAGCGTTTGCTATTATCTATTCCGGGAGTTTGTGTTTGTGTCACCCTGTTTAATTTATGTCCTGTTATGTTATCATAGCGAAGAGTGTTTGTTTTGCATGTAGGTAGCCTAGCCTACCTACAAACGAAAGTGATGACTTGATCTATCAATCTATTCTCTTTTCTACTTATTATCTATTACCAGTACTCTTATTCATCGCATAGTAAAAAGGATGTTGAAGATATTCAGATGGAAAAAATATTGATTCTTGTTCATGTTTTCTAAGAGGGGAAGCAACTCTTGCTCTCCAGGTTCTAACTACCACCATTCGATCCCTCAAACTTGAGAGAACTTGACACACAGAATCTTGACATAAAAAGCCCCTCCTAGATCCTTTGAAAACTCGGTCAACATTTTCACTGCTCCACAGTTCAATATGGAGCCAGGAGATAGATCGCCGATTTTCGGACTCACTGCTCGCGTGCGTCTTCAAGTTCGGCAAACTTGAACTGGACCCACCGGAATTTTCCCGATCATAAAAATCCGAGTCCAGGTGGATTAGCCCACTGCCAGTGGCAGGATTGTGTAGTGGATCATAATGTGCTGTCAGATCTTCGTGGAAAGAAGCATGGAAATTTCTCAGCACTTGGGTAGTAGGTCGTCGGGCTGAGGGTATCCTGTATTAGAGAGACTGATGCGCATCTACTGAATCGACAACTTGAGAATGAACTTGAATGATTGTGGTCATTGTATTGATAGAAATCATAGAACCCGAAAATAAAAAAACAAATTGTCACCACCGGAAAACACAAGCCGCCGTCTTGGGATATCAAACATAGATCATAAAAGTAAAAAGAAGAAGAGATGAAAATGTAATACAGTCAGGCTTGGATGCCTTCCAAGGTTCAATGTGGACTATCGATACTCAGACCCAGCCTCACAGGTCCTTGTCTTTCTCCGAATGCTTAGCACCAGTCGACATGAGCGTGCGGTCCTGGTATGCCGAGTAAGGACTATCCGAGGTAGCAAGGTATGCGGCAATACGCCCGCGCAGACGTGCCATTACTCTGCGTCGCCCATCACCATATCGCAGATTTCTGTCCGAAGATCGTGTTCTTTCCGGGGAAAAGTCCGAGTGGAGAGCGGCATCTGCGTCTACCGGGGTAGAAACAAGGAATGACTCTGAGATTGGGAGGGTCATAGCATCGGTCTTTTGACTTTCGAGGAGAGAGGAAGTGACGGCGGGTTCTGGTCGTGGGGAACAGGTGCCATCGCCACCGAAACTTGGTTTGAGGTTGTCCTGAGAAGTGAGACTATCTTTTGATTCTTCAGTCGGGAAGGAAGAAGGAAGGGAGCCAATCTGTAGTTCTGGGTCGGCATTTTCTTGGAGATAGCGGTGGGCTTTTCGAATCTCCTTGCGGTTCTTCCGGACTTGATCCGGAATTGTACTTGGAGGTAGGGGCTCGGGTTGTGACGTTGTATTCGGGTTGGGAACAGATTCCCCAGAGACGCTGCTGGCTTCACTGGTTTGCGTTGATAGGTCGTCATCATATCGCGGACGTTTCCTCAGATGACGGTCATCTTCATATTGGGAGTCAAGCTTCTCGCGCATGACGGAGTCGTGAAGGAACTTATCCCCAGAACAGAGATGGCCGAATAGACTTTGGATAGAGATCGCTTCAGACCACGAGGACGGGTCCACTGTGCAGGGGTGGATATCCTTGGGTCTGAGCGTTGCGACAAGCTCGCACAATTCGGAGTAGGAGGAGTGACGGGAGTATGGGAAGCGCTGATAGACTTAGCAGGATGGACTTTATGGTCGGATAGGAAACTCACGATGCTATTCGGCAAGCCGGACTTGACTGTTTCTTCTTTAGCCTCAGAATGCCCCTGGCTGATCTTGGTAACTAGGTTCTGCAGAGGAATCTGTTCATCCTGAACACCGTATTGACGGAGGGAAAGTGTCTTCTTTCTCGATTTGAAAGCTTCAGCTAGTGCAGTTCGGGTTTGAGCCAAAGCCTCCGGGTCGGGGATATGTTTGGCGCACAATTTCTCCAGATTTGCGAGAGCCGATTCATCCGGGAGCTCCAGCTCATGTACTTGGTACAGGTCTCCTGCACCTCCACCAGCACCGACCTCGGGAATCTCCGTACCATCAAGGGTGCGATTGACAATGGGGGTGATGTAGACGGTGTCTGGGCTCCGAGCAGCCTTGCATGAGACACCTGGTTCACAACTATGGATTCTGCTTGACTCATCCGCACTCAAACAGCCTGTCACATAGTGATTCCCCAATTGAAAGCCACAGAGGGCAGGGAAATCGTTTGTACCTCTATCGGAAGAACTATTTCCTAGTGATCGATAAAGACCCATCTGGTATTGGTCCAGATGCACCTATGTAGATCATATCGTCATTAGCGCGTGCCCAGCTTGGTGATATTGAAGTATAACATACTTTTGAATTGAGCGCAGCTGAGAGGGCGAGCCACACTTCTTCGTAACCAAAGGTCCATGATCGAAAGTAAAAAGTTGTATCAGGTGGATATTTCTCAACTTTTTCAAGTAATTCTGCCACACCTTGAGCCTTTGTAGGGAACTCTCGAAGAGGATCGGATGAGCCGGCAAAGGTTGTATCGAGGTAGATCTTGTCCAGTCGCCTCCGACCCAGAGTGTAGGGGATGAGGATTGGGTGACGGGCTAGCGCATTGATCCACCATTTCTCAGCTGTCGAATGTTAATTGTGATAGATCCAAATTGAAGATTTAACTGACCTCGGATATCTCCTGTATAGAGAATGGATTTCCCATCTCCTTCAATAAGGAACATGACTGCTCCCGTGCAGTGGTTGGCATCGAAGAGAGTGATTCTGACATGTTTTTTCGGGGTCAATTCAATATCGGTGGGTGTGTTCAACGGAATTGGGCGCTGACGGAAGATTTAGTTACTTTTTCCCCTTTGTTATAATCCATGTATAGATCAAATATTGACTAACCAGAATTTTGGCAAGATGCTTGTAAGATAATTGTCGTGACTCGAGAATTCCTTTCTGAAAGTTCATGCGATGGGGATATTTTTCAATTTTCATCAAAAGCTTCATCAAGATCAGTAAGTCTTGGCTCAAAGAGGAAATTAGAAAAACACCTACTTCTCGAGTTGCAGGGGAGCAGTAGATGAAAGGCGACCGAAATGACTCGAGACCTTGCAAATGATCACTGTGGACATGGCTTAAGAAACAGGCCAGGGGTGCTCGGTCATCGCTCTTCCGGAAGTAATCGACTATAAATGGATATTAGAACATCACTTTGACAAGTTTGGGTGAGATGAACAATAGAGTCTCACTTTGAATTTCCGGAAATTCTATAATCAATTAGTGATGAGTAGAAGTTTCATGACTTAAAGGGGAATTACCTGAAACAATGCCATCAAAGGTCGACATTGGGGGGATGAAGTCACAGAGTTGTGCCCAGGTGGATTGTAGTGGAAGTGGAAGAATGTGGAGAGGGAACCAGTTGTTCGTGCAGCGACAACTCATATTACAACACATCACCGTGACACCCCATCTTTTACTTCCTCTCTACTCTTCTTCTTTTTTTCTTCTTCTTCTCTTCATCTTCTCTTTAATTCTGTCCACTTTACTTTCTTTACTTCTCTCCAACAGGTCAAGATCATTCATTTTCATCAAAGAAACCCTTCGTGCATTGTTTACTTTAGTGCTTCTACATTCCCCACTGCGGGAGTCTCACATCTCTCTCTCCCTCCTGCTCTCTCGGCGGCTGAAGCGCCTTCCCCAGCGCTTTCAAGCAATTCTATTCTCCTCTACTCTTCATTTTCTCTCAATCCCACGTTCCTCCGAATATCATCTGTTTGACCTCATCATCGCTCCATCTCTCATCATGCGGAAACCTTCTATCGCCCAACTCGTGTATAACAGCACGTTCCCTCAGCCGCGCCAGAATGATCCGGGATCATTTGCAGCCCATGTCACCCGAAATTTGGTGCCCGAAGTGCGACTAGAGACCAACAGATTTTATGGCCCTCTTGATTGCATTGAAGCCCAGTATCCGGGATTAGACTATTCATCTGCTCCCCATCGCATGCGACTGGGCCGATTCCACTGGCACAAGAGGCTCTTCCGGACCTTTGATGCGTTAGGATTGACCCGAGAGGAAATCCTAGATTTGTGCTGCTGGGAAGGTACCAAATCAGCGCGGACGCGACACGAACTTGAAGAAGACATTATAGTGCGGGACACTACTGGCGATTCGATCCAATTAGCAGCACCTACCCCTCTCCCCTCGGTAACGGTGCACGATGACTTCTGCGGGCCAGAAGAAGAGCAAGATCAATCCATGGAGACGGGTAGTGACGGCACCGTGCGAGCGAGTGATACTCGCAGTTCAAGTGTCATGTCTGATTACCCACCCAATCAATACGACGAGGACTACAGTGACGAAGAGATGGAAAGCTGCGGGGTGGCATTGAACCATCGCCTCCTGGCTGCCATGGCTGCACGCGACCAAGGGGCTGATGTACCCCTTGATGAAGACTATGAACAATGGCTAAAGGAAGCCGGGGAACGCGGAGGATACGGCGACATGGTCAATGCGATTCGATCCAATGCACCCTTGGGTTTCATCCCAGCAGTACCGACATCTGCCCTACGACACGAACAAACAGGCTTTGACGAGGGTCCCCTTGCAACCACACTTTCTGCAGAAGCATTCCTCTACACGACCTCTAACTTGTTCGCCTCAAGCCCGGTCATCTCTCAAACCAACAACACTTCCGGCACGGCACGCTGAGCGACCTACTTAGTGTTTTATCTCTGCTTATGCAAAGACTTGTTACGCTTCTTTCTAAGTTCTCAAAAACATCTCCTTCTACGAACGATATGATCGTGGTTGCATACTCAGGCGTTTCTTCCAGTTACATTTCTTATACTTCCGACCATTTACGAACCATTCAGCCCTCTGATGCGGACTGGCTCCAATTCTCAGTGTTGAAATCTCCATGCCGTTTCCATTTATATCTGTCCTGAATTCTACCTCGGGCACCAGATCAAGCGTTGTACTCGAAGTACACATTGGTCAAATGCGGCAGCCTCGGGCCATGGCTTACGATATTCTCTGTGCGACCTAATACCCTCAGCTCTTTTTTTATATGATTAAATTTTGCTTATCTCAATTAAATCTCGTATTGAATACCATTCTAAGACTTTCAATGTGTTCTTTAACACCTAACTATTTGTACTTCTAGTGTGTACGGAGTACGGAGTAGCGGGAGTGGAGATCCATGGACCCGCCGATAAGCACTCGATTGAATTCCCGCATCTTTCATATCTTAGGCGTATCGCTTTAGAACTGCAAGGTACTTAGGTTTCACCAACACGGAGAGGTTGCTGGTCTTGGACCGTTTCAAATTTCATTGGGTGCGCCATTTTTGGCCTTGCGCTAAACGGCTCAACCATGATCAAGGCGATCTTCTACAGCAAATTCGACACCCAGGAAGGTAAGAGACCAATTGAGGGGTTTGAAACATTCGTACTGACTATTGTCTATTCAAGGTCCCAAGGTCGTTCACCAGGTCCCTGATGGGGCAATTGTCCCTTCATCTACCGCGCCCGCGCAGCCCCTGTTCCTGACATTCTCCGACATCTCGTTCTTCGTTATCCCTCGCCAGGAGCTCTGCGGCAACCTGCTCCAGGTCTGTACCAATGGCTACCGCATTCTGGGATATCCAATCTGCATGAAATCGGTCCGCTATGATCGGAACGAGTTCATCTTCAATTTTTGTCTCGTACTGTCCGAGGAGGATGATTTCAGCACATACAAAAGCGTGGTGCGGAAGCTGGCCGACCTGATGCATGCCCTGGAGGAACAGAGCGGATTTTTGTCGCGTGATTTCTCCAAGAGTGGCGAAGGGAAGGTGCATAGTCTTTGTGAGATGTTGATGGAGGATCTGAATAACTACTGCGAGTGCATGATTCCTATCGGTATGTGGTTTCGTCTTGCATTCAATCGAGGGCTCTAGCACTAACAATTGGACACGGCAGACGAGCTCAACACATTGAACATAAAGCTATTTCCCATTTACCCATCCCCACCTGCTGTTAAGGCCTGGTATGTCCCGCTTTTCACGGTGCGATATCAAGCTTTCATGGACGAGAACTGGGATCTGACCATGCAACGAGTATGTGCCCCAATCGCAAAGACAAGAAATGTCCCAGCTAAACCAATTCCCTCCCAGATTGTCCCTCACATCAACGGCGTCAACAGTGTGCGCATTATCTCTACTTTAGCAGATACTGACTTCTCCCTAACCTGTCGCGCAATCCGCCATCTCCTCTACTACGGCTGCGTCTTCCTCCTAGACATCTTCTCCTTCTCCGCAATCTACGCCCCAACGGCCCAGTTCAGTCCCACGATCGCCTCAGACGAAGCAATGCAACTCGAATGTGCCCGCTACGTCAATACTCGCTTCGCACCTCATAACCCCATGGCACCACCCTCCGCCATTCCACCCGTGACAGCTGCGCTCGCCGCGACAAGCAGTAGCAGCACAGCAACCATAACCATACCCGGTGGACCGAACGTTGGATCCCTATCCAGCCCACTCACAGACCCGGCACCCAGTCTCTCCCGCGATGATTCTCGCTTCGATGCAGAGGAAATCTGGCCCCTGCTAGGCGACGAGGAAAACCACGGTATAATGGGTATGAACGGTTCATCGAATACTGCCGAACCAACAGATCCTACATTACCACAGGGACCTGCAGTTGTTGATGGAGTGGGTATCGTGGAGCTATATGCAGGTCTGAAACAGGGTCAAAGCGTGAAGCAGTGGTACTCTGCCCATAGTCGAGAACTAGCGAATATCGATATCCGACGATTTATTACATTCGGTGTGATTAAGGGCTTCTTATACAGAGTGCGTAAGTATGCCTGTGCAACCGGACAACCGGGTCCAGGACCTGGTCATCGGAATTCCTCGCTTGTGCCTAGTGCAAATAGCAATGGAAATGGGAACGGGGTATCTACGTCTGGAACCGCGACAGCTAATACACCTGCACATCTATCAACGGGTCCTTCATCCCGCGCTACAACGGGGCATAATAGTCCATATGCGACCTCGACTACGGGCGAGGAGGCACCTATTTCTTCAATCGGGAGACAAGGACAGGAGAATGGGCATGAACGCACAGCGAGCTTTCATAGTGGAAGTCGAAGTGGGAATTTAGGTCTTGGAGGGAATGCGCCATTAACGGGGTTATTTGAGGATGAAGATGATAGGATTGATGAACGGCTATTTAGTCGCTATCTTGATGGGACACATTGTTTTGATCAGATATGCACAGAGTTGGAGATTAGTGAGCGTGAGTTGACGACGAGGTTGAAGAGGTATCCCGGGGAGGTGTTGATTCTTCATCGGTGATGTGGTGTCGGTGGCTGGATATATCCATGGAATGCTTCCGAGCCCCAACCTTGCGTAGTGGGGTTATTTCACTCATGTTTAAGATGCTCATTCTAGATACCCTTTACTAGTAAATGCTAGTGGAATTGTTTTTGTCCATTTTTATCTTATAAGCACCAAGGTTATGATCGTAGGTAGTATATTCATACAACTTGGAACTTGGAATCAGCGTGATAACTTGAATTTTCTGTTTATTGAATATTGATACAATATATTTCAAGGCTGAGTACGAGAATCCAGTCTGAAACCTTCAAGGTTTATTTGAATATTCTACAAAAAAGAAACCAGACAAGAATATGAGGTACTTCAGGTCATACGACTGAGTACCCAAGACAAAAAATAAGACCCAAGGAACCCTCCAAACGCCGTGCCAGCCCATCATTCCAGTCATAATATCATGCGGCCAAAAGAAACAAAAAGGGTATGGATCCCCAGGAAAACACAGAAAAGTGAGTAAAAAGAGCCAGAAGTAGAAAAGAGAAGACTACTCTTCATCCCAATTCTCCAGCTCAGCCTTCTCATACTCGGCCATAGCCGTAGGATCAAAGATCGTCTCACTCGCAGAAGGAATGGTAGTCTTGATATCATCAAAGATAGGAAGGAAAGCATCGTTCCATCGCTTACGACGGTCCATGACCGTCTTCGCCGCATCACCAACCGCCGGTCGTGAAACACCAGTTGCAACATGACTACCACCACCAGCACCACCGGGACGGTGCTTAGCCTGCGAGCCCTTCTTGCTCTTACCCATTGTTCGAGTACGCTTCAGGTAAGCCTGCTGGACCTGAGTGTCGAGATCATCCTGGATAGTAGTGAACTCGAGGAGAGCCATGTGTTCCTGGGCGATGCCGAGTATGCGAGCTTTGCGCGCGTTGTTGGTAACGATCTGTTTCTTCAGTTCACCTTGCAGAAGACGAAGACGCTCGGCTACCTCGTCATCGTAATGAGCATCATAGTCAGGGTTATCCTCGGGGCCCAGGAAGCCGATGTAGCGAAGTTCTGCCTTAGCGCGTTCGTCCAGCTGGGCGTGATCGAGTTTTGCAACCGAGGTCTTGAATTCGTTGGGATTGGCGTCGCGGAAAGCGGTCGCTGGAGGGAGAGACTTGTTCTCTGGTTTTGTATCTGACTCGGTACTCGGTTGATCGATCTCCATTGCATCACCGCCTCCGATAGCTGTGGGTGCAGATGACTCGCCGGTGGTTGGGTTTGCAGAGTCGTCGGGGAGGGCGCGGTGCTCGTATCGTAGAAGAGAACATAGACGACTGAGCAACGGTCCGATAGAAACATCGTTGGACTCGAGTTTGTCATCGGTCAATTGATCGATGTTGCTACGGCCTTGGTTCAATGGGAGTTGGTCCTTGTTGTCTTGCGTTTGGTCGTAGGGTAGTCCGTCTTCCTCTGCCCAAACCTGACGATACGGCTTTTTCCCACGACGGGGAATGATGAAAGGTGTCGCGCGATCTCCCTGAAGGCAGATCAGCAAAATTACAATATTTTAGGCACACGAGAGATCAAAACTGAGGCGCTTACCCTTTCTCGTAACCAGGCAATGTCCTCTTCCATTAGAGGTCGAATGTATGGGTCAATGTAAGCCTGGAAGGTATTCGCGCTGACTTGATTCGCAGGCTTTGCATTGCTAAAGTCCTTGTCCGGCGCAATGCCGGCCATCATATGGGCGAGGTCACTCTTTGGGAAGTGAGCCACGCTGTAGATTTCCTTCTTCTCATCGTCTGTTGTCTCCGGGAAAATGTCTCGAATGTGGTAGATTGTCGGGTCATCGAACTTCAGCGGGTTGTTACCGAAAACTTGGATCTGTGGCACAGCTGGTTGGGGCTCAGGCTGGTGAGAGGAATCGCTTGAGTCCGATTCGGGGGACTCAGGCGCTGCAGTGCCATCGTTCTCGGCAGTGGGGCCGCTCGGGGACAACATGGAGGGAGGGGACAGTGAGGAGCTTCCATCCGACGCGGCGTTTTTGGAATGCTTGGAAACTGGAGATGCAGCTGGAATTGGGTAAGTTTTCAATACTGAGTGGAGGAGATTTGAACAAGGAGAAATGGCAAGTGGAGTAGGGGACAGAAATGGAAGTGGGAGTGGAGGCGCCGACATGAAAAACATTGGGAGCCCTGGAAGAGGAGCCTGATTGACTTACCACCTTCAATTTTTGTTTCTGCACCATCTTGACGGCTGATTTCATGAGCTCCATGACTTAATGGTCGCTCTTCTTTGACGCTTCCACGATCCTTCCGTTTCTTGAGCTTTCCTTTGTGGATCACATCGTCATCGTCCTCCGTTTCCCGCTTCAACTTTGCACGATCTGCAACTTCGCGACTAAGATCTTGATCTTCGATTACTTCCTTCCGTTTGTGTGACATCTCCCGCATCCCTGCATTGAACATCTCGCCTCGGGTGTCTGCCATGTCACTAAGGTTGTTGAGATGCTCCACGAGAGCTTCTAAGGTCTTCGAATCGGGAATATTTGGACCATCGACTAGGCCAAGAAGCTCCGTATATTGGCTATTTGCCAACTCGATGACTTTGGTCACATCGTTTTCGAGGTAGCTGGGAAGCGGAGGGATCACTACGGGTGCACCTCCCGCGTTGGATGGAGTAGTATTGCGACTACGCGACTGGCGGGCATCGCGGCCTTTACCCTTGCTTTTATATGCAGATGGCATTCTCACAGGTTGAAGCCCAAGGCTCTTCTCGGTGAAATGAAGGGGACTTGGTCAACGAGCGAGGGTGTTGGTTTGGGAGGTAATTGAGGGATTATTTAAGAGGTTGAGCAACAGCACATACTGCCAGGGTGGCTGATGAGGTCATATATAGCCTATTTTGGGCAGTTAATGTAATATTGCCACAAGTCTGATGATTTGGATGTTTAGTCCTTGGGATCACTTTGAAGCTGTCCAGCGTCAGACGCGATGAAATGAAGGCGGTGTGTGAAGCGGTGAATGTGAGGAGTCGAGCTTGGCGGAGATGAATTTTGCCAGTTTATAAGGCGGTCAGCACAACCTCACCCCATGACTTTCGAGCCCTACATCTGCTTCGAGTTGATTGTTCAAACTTGCAGATTCTCACAAGTGCAGTATATAGTCTCATTTTCATGTTATCTGCTTTAATGCTGGAATATTATGACAAATTTGATATGTGCCAAAACAATCTGGCATATTTGTCCAATATGTTATATCTTTCTTTACCTTTTGCAAACGGCATGCCTGCATATGTGAATCAACCATCTACTGTTTGATAAGCGGGGAAATCCCAGGTTTTAGTATATAATTTCAACTATTTTATTTTAGTCTGTTTTGATTCTACTGATTTTGGCCTCCATGGTGAGCCCTGTGCCGCGTGGCTATGCGTCTAGAATTTCTGTGCCGGTCTCGATTTGCCTTCGCATTCCAGTGTTGATTTAACCGTTTCCGTTTCAGAATCAGCCATGGCATGGATATTTTGGCCTGGTTTCGTCGACCATCTATCAATATATGAAACTGAAAATCTTTAAATAAAATATCAGATTCAGACTGCCATATTGTGATTTGAAAATGATTTTTTCTTTGGCACACCTTTGAACATATCAATGCTTGCAAGAGAGCATGATGCCATCATATCAACACATGTACAAGTCCTCATGCATTGGTCTTGTGGACTGTGAATTGGTTCAAAGGTAAACACTACGGACTCATTATAAAACAGCTTGATCTGTCACAGCCATGTCGCGCACATCTCCTCCTGATTCAAAGGCAACAATTGCTTCGATATTTGCGGGTCCGGGTAGTGCTTCTAACTCCTCATCTTCAATTGATGTAAGCAAGACTATTAAATAGCCCCGACTCGGGACTGGATCAAAGATGTGAAATAAATACTCACAAATGAATTCTCATATAGGAAAATGTTGTATTTCGCTTTGTATTGGATCGTACTGTTCAAGTCCTTTCAAGCCATGAACTTCCAGACTCAGGTCGATTATATGGCCTATTATTCGTGCCAGAGCTTGACGCCAATGATCCCTGCAATGAGATAACTAAACCATTCATTCCAGAAAACGTGACTCGTTATGGTGACGTTTCAGAGTTTGGTTATCGTATTGTCGCATTGGCTCCTTGGGTGTCGCCCGAATGTACTCAATCCTTTTTGGCTGCTGCGAGAGAGCTTGAAACGGCGGCTGTCATATTCTTTGAACCAAAGAGTAATGATACAGGACTACCGCCGTCACCTAATGCAGATCGTTGGGACCTAAATGATCAAGGCAGATGGAGGTTGGATAATGGTTATCCTGTGTATGCGGTTCCAGGCCCCGCCGGCGTAACGTTGATAAATGAACTCTCCTGGTTCCCATCTCCTTCCTCCTTCCCCGACTCACCATCCCATCAAAATTCCACATCCCCATTATCAACAGACGTGTCCTCGAGTCTGAATTCAAGACTATTCATCATGGCTGACACCGGTAAGTGGCTAATGGCTAGTTTTGATGACCCAATCGATCACCAGTACTCACAACTCTCACAGGAAGCAGCTTTCCTGACCAGGGTCTCTCTTTCAACAAGACGCTGGGCATCATGATCAGCCTGTTCTTCCTCCTCGCAATCTTCGTTACCCTCCTTGTCATCTGGTTCGCGAAAGGGCGTCCGCGTTCCCTGAACGCTTTTTGGCGTCAGCTTGTTGGACCAACTGTTCCTCTGCCCACTACTCCTCATGCCACCCCTCGTCCTCGTGCCACCCCCCAGAACGAAGTTGACATCGAGCACTTGGCACTGAACCAGGTCAAAGTGCCACGCCACGTTGTCGAAGCAATGCCAACGTTCATCTATCGACAGGACCAGACCATGGCACCATCGATCAGCCGAGTGACGGGCATAACAATGCCCAAAGCTGCTCTCATCAAGCCTGGCCATCATGGCAATGTTTCATTGTCAAATGCGGGTTCCAAATGGTCACGTGAAGGTGGCCACATCGAAGATCAAGACCAGTGCAGCATTTGTCTCGAGCACTTCGTCCCCGGAGAGACGACTGTCCGCCAGCTGCCATGCAGACACATCTTCAACCCGGGGTGCATCGACCAATACTTGATGCACCGAAGCAGCCTGTGCCCGCTGTGCCGTCAGCGCGTGCACTGAGCACCCCGGGTTGACCAGCGACGTGGTGGCTCACTCGTCCCCCATCCCCCGGTGTATGGGGTGATGGGTCTATAACGCGAGTTGAGTCACCCGTCACCTGAGTTGCGGGGAGAAGCTGGTGGGGGTCGTTTTGATTTCTTTTGTTATTTTCTTTCAGATTTTTATCTGGCCCTTCCAGGTAGCTGGGAGCTACCTGGTAGGAAGGGTACCAAGCAGCTAATAAAAAGCCCTGGAGGTACCGCGAACTTGAAGTGTCTTGTGCATCTATACGTAGACGTAAATGTAAGCGGTGATGAACATAATCCCTCTTGAGACGTAAGCCTACAAGCCATCATCCCATACTAGCCTCGCTCTAAGAGAAACTTGAAGTGAGCAAACGATAACATTGAATACCTCAATGCTAGTACAGATGTAAAGAAAAGGCCCTGGGAAAAGTCACTAAGCTCTCATTAGCTTGTCAGTCGTGACCTTCCACAATACTTAGCAACGGTTTACTTTCCCGATACTACTAGTATGAGTCAAATGTCTCCTACCAACCATATGTGCATCTATATCCAAAGTGAGCAGTCGCATGCAGCCAAAAGAAGAATTCACCAGATACCCAATTTGTGGGGCTTAAGTGATTCATATAAGTATCTTAAATTGGATATACAAGCTCTCACGAGCAAAGTTGCTTCAATCCTGCGATGAGACTAATATCTTCTTTGTTAAAACTTCAATTTGTTTGCACCGCCGTCATCCATTGCCAGTGACGAAGTCTACTATTAAAAAACACAATCCATGAGAACATACATACATTGACATATTTACTCTATAGGCTCAACAGAATAGTACTGGTCATTTAGAGCAGGCAAGAAAGAATCAAAAATAAAGAGAATTGATTTCTACTACTAGTAGAGCATGAGAAAGGATATACGTGTATATACATCCATAGCATCATGGGAGAACACAGCAAACAGCCTCACAATAAAATCTTTGATATATGAAATGTACCTAGGTAGAGACCCAGAGTCACCATTCAGGTTCATTGCTGCACATGTGGCAAGCACTAAAAACATAAAGGAAGCCCGCACAATGATTCCAGCAATCCACAACCTAATAACCCATCTCGCAGTAAGACGCAGCCCACATGTGCAAGTCCTTGAAATTCACTCAGAAACGCAATCCACACAAGATTTCTCTTCTTCCAAGGCTAGGAACAGCAGAAAGCATGTATTCGATGTTTGAGACTGTCATCAAATATAACACCATCCTGTGGACGTTTGCGTAAGCGGATCTCCAAAGTTGATTCTTGTCCAAGATTGTCTGCCACTGAAACTCCATATGAAGATTGCAAAAGCCTTACAACTTAGTCCGCATCTCCCATCTGTAGGCAAGTAGAAAAGATGCAGCTTTTCGGGACAAAATAAGTCTTTCTTGATTAATGAATTATGAAACTCCATCTAGAAATTGAAGAAGCTACATATCTATTTTCAGTCCCTCAATGTACATGGAAACTTTCCCGACTGGAAACAGTGAGGCAAAATTCGAGTCAATACAAGCATGGAAGGTGTAAGGAAGGTGTTACCACGGTTGGAAAAGCCAAATGAAGGGCCAAACCACTGTGGCGATCTGAATAAGAATACTTTTTGTACCAGGTCGTTGTAGCTGAAACCTACAAAAGGAGTTGCAGGCCTCGGTGAAAGAAAAGGGCTTGACTGAATACGCGAAGTAAGCGCCCCATACATGATTGATCGGCATTCAAATCCACAGCCTCGTTTCCCGGTTAAGAAGGCCTTGTGTGTTTCATGAACAAGGAGCATCACTTTTTCGATAGCATCTTGTCGAGATTGGTTCATGGATTCTGTACTTCGATTAGGAACCATACAACTTTCGGATACATCTTCCCTTACCGGTTACTCTAGCGGGGATTGGAAGGCCCCGGAAACCAATCAAATCATCGCTCCGTGACATTAAAAGTGAAGTGTACTCTGAGAACTTTTTTGGGAGTTTAAAAAACCAAGCGACCCACAGCCAGAGAGCCAAGTCTCGTGAACTTGTCGGAGCCTTTTCGCCCAGGGAACCGAACCATATATCTGTCATTATGTAAAGAACATCTTTGCAATCGTAGTAGTCGGCTATAGCTGCAATCTTAGCGAGCATTTCTAGGGTCACCTTTTTTGGTATTTGGTTGTATTGACAATGTATCGCACGAAGAATAATGAGGAGCGCTTCGGAATCCCAACCATCCGCAGTAATCTCAACTGAGCCTTTCTGCTGATAGGTTTCGCTTTCTTTCCAAGCGCCGGTGAGAGCTTTCTTGAAAAATGAGGAGGCAAACATCATATGTTTTGCGGAAACCTGAAAGCAGAATTCTCTTTTATCCATTCGTTCACACGTTTGGTTTTCCACGGTATCGTCTTCGGGAACATTGTCTTCAGGGGGCGCGTTTTCAGGAGGAGCGTCGTCAGGAGGAGCGTCGCCAGCACGAGCATCTTCGGAAGCGGGCTGCTCAGGGGGAGGTGGCTCATTTTTAGAAGAACCGGGAAAGTTGAAAAATAATGTCCCAGGGATCATATCTTCAGCCATCTGAGCAAAAGGAGAGTCTGCATTATGTAATACAATCATCATATCCCCATCTGGGTCTATGATATGAGTTGGGTGATTCATAGTTGCGATCTCAAGGCATGGCCTTGGTCGTCATTGAAGATGCAAGGGTTCATAAACATGTAAACCTTTTTGGAAGCAGCCCCCGAGTCAACTTCTCGTGGGTCACCCCACACAGTAACAAAACCATGATGTCGTATTTTGGTATTGATCTGATCAGTATGAAGGTGTATATTTGAGAGACACTAGAAAAATCAAGATACCGTCTAGCTTGCTAATATAGAAGAATTAATAAAGCTCAAGAAACCTTGGAACCTGGGAAACTGGAGACTTCGGGAGTTTGAGACTAAAAGTGGTGGTACCAGTTTCAGGACCTTGGGACAGACCTTGGGACTGTAACATGTAATCATGTATTCCAAGTGCATGATTTTTCCATCGATTCTAAGCCTGGGAAATAATATGGCCGATTCCGTGTGGCAATAGTAGATAGTATTTCTGTGCTAGGTACTATCTTCATTCAGATAGATCGCTTGATTATCCTTCAAGTTCAAGTTCTGTGTAGTATAACTCCCACTAGGATACAGAATACTTATCCCATTGTGTCCTATGTAGCATTCAAGTTGGGCATTGGTCAATAAGTTTGAACTGAGAATCGATTTGATGCCTCAGGTTTAAGGGAAATAGACACCTGAGGAAGAACTATGACACCTGAGGCATGAAGTTACTCTAAAATAGTAAAAAGTGGGTCGCATGCTATGATTGGCTCAAAACCCACACTCGGCTAATCGCTAGCGTCCCACACACAATCCTCAATCCTCTTCTCTGCTTGAACTTTTCTTTGCAGTTGCGATTAACGACAACCGACGACCCTGTGAAGCCGACAAGGTACGATTCATACCTACAATACTACGACAGCAATAAGACAAATTGCTAACATTCAATTTCTCAGATGGGTGCCCTTAAGTACGTCGAAGAGATTCAGAAGAAGAAGCAGTCCGATGTCATTCGGTTCTTGCTCCGCGTTCGCTGCTGGGAGGTGAGATAAAATTTCCTCAAACCCTCGATTGCCTAACATTCCCGCCGAGCTCTTCGTCTGCGTACAGCCATAGGAAATGCCTGAAATTTGGTATTACTGGAAGGCTCGAACGAACTTGCGGCGGAAATGGTTGTGGCACGCAAGAGACTTTTCGAAGTCTCGTGTGTCTTGCTATACACTCGTTGAACTTTGCTGAGAGTGCATCAATATAGCTCCGCCAGCTGAACGCCATTCACCGTGCTTCGCGCCCCTCCCGCCCCGACAAGGCTCGCCGTCTCGGATACAAGGCCAAGCAGGGATACGTCGTCTACCGCATCCGTGTCCGCCGCGGTGGCCGTAAGCGCCCTGTCCCCAAGGGTGCCACCTACGGCAAGCCCACCAACCACGGTGTCAACCAGCTCAAGTACCAGCGTGCTCTGCGCGCCACTGCTGAGGAGCGTGTTGGCCGTCGTTGTGCCAACTTGCGTGTCCTGAACTCCTACTGGATCAACCAGGACTCCACCTACAAGTACTTCGAGGTCATCCTCGTCGACCCCCAGCACAAGGCTATCCGCCGTGATGCCCGCATCAACTGGATCTGCAAGTCTGTCCACAAGGTGAGATTTCTTTTCAGCCTTTGGAAAAAATTTAATTTCCAATTTTTGTTCCCAACGAAATTTTCATACTGACAATTTTTTTCCTCTAGCACCGCGAGAGCCGTGGTCTTACCGCTACCGGCAAGAAGTCCCGTGGTATCAACAAGGGTCACCGCTACAACAACACCAAGTCTGGTCGCCGCCACACCTGGAAGCGCCAGAACACCCAGAGCTACTGGCGTTACCGTTAAGTGCATTAATGCACTGGCGTGGTTTGGGCTGGAGGATATTGGCTGCATGTGGTTATCTTTTCGAACATTTCTTTCCCAGACTGTATCATCAGGCCTGGGTTCGACTTTAATGCAGACCAAACGGCTGTGATTTAGCCAAAAAGCCATCTTGTTTTATGTTGAAAATTCCCCCTTGATTTAACGAAGTATGAGTTCAACTCCATGCTGGTGCAGCGGTCTTGTAGAACTCAGTTGCCTTTGGTAGCATGGTGATTGTAGTCTCACCCGGGGTCTCGTAACTTGTATTACTCTACTCTATATGTAAATGCATAGGTTCTACTACCTGTAACCTGTCGATCGCGTGCTTCAGGGAACATACATTCTGACCCCACGATTTGGGCTGGAACGCAAGTCTATTGATACAAAGTGGGTATTAATTTCCAAAAAAAGTCGACTAGTTACTACTCGTATCTAGTGAGAAGCTAAAAATATACTTGTAGATCGAGAGCTTACGACGGCGCCCAGCCTGAGGTGGTCGTATTCCATGGTTGTCGCTGATTAAGGCATCCGCATGAGGTGTTGTTAGCCGCTTCCCAATTCGTGACTATGAACCTACATCTTTTTGTTTTTCTTAACTCTCATTCTTGCTTTATCAGATCCTCTTTGATTCGACTCGAAGCTATCAAGGTGCTTTAGAACCTTACAAGAACGGTACCTTACAAAGAGTGTGAACAAAAAGGGATCCATCCCTCGGTCCCTCACTATTGCCGACTTCCCCACGATCGATTCATCTGCATTCAGCGCAAGGCTCGAGTTCCCAGCTCCACCCTTTAGCTCCCTACTTGATTTACTCCCCGAAGGATTATTGGAAATTCCACTTCACGACGGTCGAGTTGATGTGCCCCTATGCCATCCCGGCCTGGACGTAATCTCCCCATACCGCCGGTATCGAATGCGGACTTTACTACTGCCTTTCCCTCGAACCCTTCCTTACCGGAGACTCGTTTGCGACGCCCATCTCATTCTCAGAATGACCCAATCATGCCTCCAATGAATGGCAACTCGCCCAACAGCCCCTCCCGCCGTGGACACCACCGCTCAATCAGTCATCCGTTTCCCTTTGCTACACTCGGAAAGAAACGTGACAAGGCTGCTAAAGCTGCTACTTGGGATTCTGATTCCGACTCTGATGATGTGACATACCCAGATAAGGCTCTTGCAACTAGTCCACGAAAGGATGTATGGAAGGGAGGGCCTGGGAATGACCTCGCGGAGGGGAAATGCCAAACCTGCAACTCGACAGTCCGCTGGCCACGCCACTTGACGACCTACCGATGCACTACCTGTTTAATGGTCACAGATCTTGATGTGGAACCTCCAACAAAGAAAAAGGTTTACGCGAATCCAAATCTAGAAGAGCGATTGCAAAAGCCACTGCCTCCTGATCCTCCTGGAGCTAAGTTACCACCGCTGTCGCAGGAGCCCAGACTAGGTATTTCTTCATGAGCTATTTTGTGGTTTAAACATTTCTAAATATTCCTAGATGCGCCCTTGTCGGTCGGTTATACAAGACATTTGATCGACGGATGTCTCTCCGCCTATTTCCAGAGCCTTCTTGATGCGCCTCGCACAGGTTTGACGTCAGATGATAACCACACAGCGATGGTTTCTCCGCAAAATGGAGACCCAATCCCACCACTGCCAATGCCAGGTCCAAGTTCTAGTCATCTTTCTGCCCCGCGAGAGCCTCGCAGCGGCAGCACGTCTACCATGCCCGGTGAACGGGATCGGTTTTATGGAACCAAGGAGAATCTTAACTTTCTAACCCCAAGTCCGTTGAGACGGGAAGGCAAAGACGTCCCAATACGAACCCGCGCAAACTCAGACTTGCAAAATGGATCGAAGGCAGATCAAAGGCCGCAACCAATGGCACAAAACTCACAGCCAGACAGCAAAGATCGCGACGACCAGCCATTGATCTTCAAACGTCTGGAAAACTATATTATATCCTCCTTCAAAGGATGCGAAGCTGTCAATGTGTCATTTCCCGTTTACCAGCCGTCGATCCGATCTGCCAGCAGTGGCAATCCTCCCAAAATGAAATTCGACGCTACTGTGATCCCTGAAGCGGATTTGCAGGGGCCTGTTTTTGAGCCTGATGCCAAAACATTGCTCCTGGGCGACGTTGCCGAGAATTCAACATGGTGGATGACGGAGTGGGCCCAGACTGAGGGTCAACTTCCTTCCTCTTTCAAAGAAAGAACACCGCATAAATCTCGCTCCGTATCGTCTCGAAGCCCTCGCATCAACTGGACTGAAGTTAACCAGTGGTATCAGTTAATTCTGACAGCTGGCAGCTCTTGGCATGAGAGATGGATGGCTAAGAAGCCTGGCTCAACAGATACAGAGTTGGATGATGGACGATATAAGAAATGGGAGTCAATCGACGCGTCTATGATTGAAAATGATATCATGGGATCTCGATTGCATCTCCAAAGAGCATTGATGAAAGCCAGCGAGAACCTTCTGAAGCGTCCACGGAAGGTATTGAAAAAGCCAGAGGATACTCGATTTTTGCTGATACTTTTGGCGAATCCGTTGTTGTCCTCTCCTCTCGCGTATTCTTCGCCTCGCGCACCTCAGTCATCCCATCGGGATGCCCGGCGACCATCCCATCCAAAAGACTCTCCACGACCGACAACTAAGGATGGAAAATTTTCTCGTAAAGATGCTTCCGCACCGGTTACTCGCCCTGGAAGCTCTCACCATCATTATGGCATTCTCAAGCGAATTCTAGGGTTGATGTCCAACTTGTCTAACGATTGTCACCATTACTTTGTGTCTTGGTTTGCGCGGTTCTCGCCGAGTCAATTTGAGCGAATCGTCGAATTGGCTGGTGGGTTTGTAACATATCGCCTTACCCGTCAACATGGTCGCAAACGTGATGAAAATCCCAAGGATGGAAATGAACTGATCCCGAGCTTTGCCAGTGCCGCTGGCAACACGACTGCTGAATTACATGCGGCCATAAATCGACGAAACCCGAACAATCACCCGGCGAAGAAAAAGGAAGAACCAGTTATCTACGCGGAAGATTGGCAGATTAGAGGAGCAGCAAGAATATTGTCACTTCTTTTCACTGCAAATACTTCGCAGACGCCACGGAAGCCTGATACTGGGTCAAATGACGTGAGAGTACGGCGTCCTACTGACTCTGGGAACAATTCTGAGCGTGACCAAGAATACGTGGTCCCAATCAGCTCGTTTTACAACACCTTGCTGGATTATTCAGACCTTGTCACAGACTTTGAAACGTGGGAGTCAAAAAGCTCAAAGTTTTCGTTCTGCCAGTACCCTTTCTTCCTCAGTATTTGGGCCAAAATTCACATCCTTGAGCACGATGCCCGACGCCAGATGGAGGTGAAGGCACGTGAAGCCTTTTTCAGCAGCATTCTCAATCACCGACCGGTCAGTCAATATCTTGTGTTGAAGGTGAGACGAGAATGTCTCGTTGAAGACAGTCTGAGAGGTGTCAGCGAGGTAGTAGGATCAGGTCAAGAGGAGATCAAGAAGGGACTTCGAATCGAGTTTTTGGGAGAAGAAGGTATTGATGCTGGTGGTCTACGGAAGGAGTGGTTTTTGCTGCTTGTCCGAGAAGTCTTTGACCCTCATCATGGTGAGTGGAATTATGAATGAGTTATGGTTGATTGAGAATTCAACTAACTGAAGATAGGCCTTTTCATCTACGACGAAGATTCGAAATATTGCTACTTCAACCCCTTCTGTTTTGAATCCTCTGAGCAGTTTTTCCTCGTTGGAGTTCTACTAGGACTTGCCATTTACAATTCCACCATTCTGGACATCGACCTGCCTCCTTTCGCATTCAGGAAATTGTTGGCCTCCGCTCCGCAAACCAACATTCCGCAGGTATCACCAACCCAGCGCCCCAAGTTCAAATGTACCTTGGATGACCTTGCTGAATACCGACCTGCACTTGCTAAAGGCCTTCGTATGCTGCTTGACTATGAAGGGGATGTTGCAGAGACCTTTTGCTACGACTTCGTCGCCCAAGTTGAGCGTTATGGAGAGGTTGTCAATGTGCCTCTTTGTGCTGGAGGAGAGAAGAGGCCTGTTACCAATGCCAACCGGCGCGAATTCGTAGATGCTTACTTATATTATCTCCTTGACACTGCTGTGGCTCGGCAATATGAGCCATTTAAACGGGGATTCTTCACAGTCTGCGGTGGCAATGCCTTGTCCTTGTTCCGAGCCGAAGAAATCGAACTGCTCGTACGTGGCTCAGACGAGCCTCTTGACGTGACCTCTCTACGTGCGGTGGCCACATATGACAATTGGTCACATCCATATCCCGAATCAATCCCGGTCGTGCAGTGGTTCTGGGCATTCTTTGAGAGTGCCCCGCCACCATCGCAGCGAAAGATTTTGTCATTTATCACTGGTAGTGATCGCATACCCGCTATGGGCGCCACGAGCCTCTCAATCCGTTTGGCTTGTCTTGGAGACGACTCACCGAGATACCCTATTGCACGGACCTGTTTCAACACATTGAGTCTATATCGCTATGCCAATCGTGAAAAGTTCCTGAAACTGCTCTGGGATGCGGTTGTGAATAGTGAAGGTTTTGGTTTGAAATGATCCCTCACGTCTTATCTTTACTTACTGGACTTTCAACCCGCAATTAAATCGACGCTGGACGTCATACCGTCTGGTTACATGGGTCAACCCTATGACCGATCATCCCTCTTTCCTCTCGTTTACCCTCATTTTGGGACTGAATTTTTGGGATCATGTTCCTTTGGATTGTACTTGAAGGTGTTTTGCTGGCTTTTGGCTTAGTCTTTAAGACGTATTTTCAGCTTCAAATCAAATCTTTTGGAACCAAGGACTGGTATTCTAGACTATATTCCTGAGTATTGAAAGTCTCTACGTTATGAAATTTGGCTTGAGATCTGTCAACTGATCAAGGCCCCACAAATGATGTTCAATATGTGCAATAGGAACAACCTTAAGGTCAAGTTTTATGCCAGAGACTCGGAATCTCCGACGAATTGCCGATCTATTTACCTAGCTCTCAAAAATCCACGCCGGTCAGGTTGGAGTTCAATCCTGATTTGCTCAAGGGCCGATCCAAGGCCACTTCCCGAGGTGGTGACATCGCAAGGTATCATGATTCCCGTAGGCTGGTACGATAAAAGATCCACTTCTCGAATGGAATTTTTCCCTCGCGCGTGGGGAAATTTTAAGCCGAGGAGGGGCATTCCAGTAATATTTTGCTAAGCCTCTGATAACCTTCGGTAGGATAATCTTGGCTTGCTACTAGTTTCATACAAACTAGATACTAACCATAACAGCATTTGAACCAGATGCTCTTCATTTCAGAGACTTTGACCAAAAACCCTACAACTTGAACATGAAAAGGTTCTCCAGAAGATCTGATACCGGCAAAATGCGATTTTCTCACATCCTTGCAATCACCCCGGATTTGAACGCATGGGGCCCCACAATCTCCCCACATGCAGGGTGCATACGTCCGAACCCACCCTCCACATTATGGTCACTACAAATTGGGGTCCAAGAAGGGGAATTATCGGAGTGCAAGCCGATTTCTAATCTGATGATTTTAGCCTAGCAGAATTCCGTGTCTGTGCCACTTCCAAATGCTTGTTTACTAAGGCACGGATGCTTGATTTGAAATGAGGACTCTAGTTGGAACACTAAACAAACAAGACAGTCAAGGCGGAAGTCTATTCACAAAGTGGTGTTCTTGAGTGGAGCGACCGACTTTTCATTTCATAATAGCTGCCACAATGCCAAGAAGAATTCAGCCACAACCCCGGCTTGGATTCCCCCGAGGTTTACCCAGTTCCTAGCCCAGATAACGTCACCGGTGACAATAACTTACCCACGCGAGAAGCGAGGCTTACGAGGTGCTGAGCAAAGATGTGGGGTTGAGCACCTAGCAGATGCCGATTGTTCATTAATTTGACGTGGAGAGTGGGAAGCTAATGCGCTTGGACATCAGAACGCACCCGTGGTCATTGAATCAGGAAGATTTTATGGTGATCCCATCATCCCGTCCGGATAATGCGGCGATGAGCTCACCGACGATCCAGCTTAATTTGATTGACTACCCGGAAAAAATGCGAGAAATTGGAGTGGGACGTGCATGTATAAAGGCATGCCGGTCACCGGATCGATGAATTTTCGTTTCGATCGTGGACGCGCAGAAGACTCCAGTCAAGGCATTGGATAACAAGGCACAATGTTTGCAGAGAAGACTGTTCTTGCGCTTGCTATTCTGTCCCTTTGTGGACTTGGCCATGCCGAGAGCAACATTACTTCCGATACCTACTTCTATGGAGACTCTCCGCCTGTGTATCCCTCGCGTATGTCTACACTCTCCTTTATGCTATTTCATCTTCCTATACTGATATATAACACTGGCAGCAAATGGCACTGGGACTGGTGACTGGGCTACATCCTACCAAAAGGCGGCAGCCCTAGTTGCCCAGATGACATTGGAGGAGAAGGTAAGCTTCCGACGAGACCAAACGAGTCTATTCATCTACTGACCGAGCTTGATACATAGAACAACCTCACATACGGAATTGAAACATCAGGTACGGGTTGTGTGGGAGCCATTGGGGCAATCTCTCGCCTTGGATTCCCGGGTTTGTGTCTTCAAGATGCGGGCAACGGTGTCCGTGAAGCAGATTTCGTGAATAGTTATCCAAGTGGACTCCATGTTGGTGCTAGGTGAGAAGATACCCTTAATCGTATTGGCAAGCAAATGGCTAATTACCTTTTTCAAAATAAGTTGGAATAAGTCTCTCGCGCACGATCGTGGCTGGTACATGGGTGGTGAATTCCGCACCAAGGGTGTTAACATAGCGCTGGGCCCCGTGGTTGCCCCAATGGGACGACTGACTACCAACGGGAGAAACTGGGAAGGTTAGTAAAAGAGGTTGAAGTATCATTGCTTTTTTGCTGATTGAGTATAGGTGTCGCCAGTGACCCGTATCTTAGTGGTGTTCTCGCAGCGCATACTGTGGATGGTATGCAAGGGCAGGGTGTCATTTCAAGTGTTAAGGTAAGTTGAAGCTGCTCATGAATGAAGAGAAAAGAACTTCAACTAATTGAGTATCTTGTTTAGCACTTCATTGGATACGAACAAGAGCTGTACCGTAACCCTACCACCAACTCCGATAACGAGACCGTGGAGTCTATCTCCAGCAACATTGATGATAAGACGATGCATGAAGCATACCTATGGCCATTCCAAGATGCACTGAAGGCTGGCGCTGGAAACATTATGTATGTGCTGGGAACGATTTGTCTAAAGGAAGAGGACTGATGACTTTTAGGTGTTCTTACAACCGTGTCAACAACTCTTATGCATGCCAGAACAGCAAGACCTTGAATGGATTGCTTAAGACAGAGCTTGGCTTTGAAGGATTCGTTGTCACTGACTGGGGTGGCCAGCATTCAGGTGTCGGTTCTGCTCTGGCTGGTCTTGATATGGCCATGCCAACGGGTGAAACATACTGGGGTACCCTCTTGAAAGAAGCAGTCAAAAATGGTAGTGTTCCGCTCTCTCGTCTTGATGACATGGCTACAAGGTATGACTCGCAGATATAATATCCCCAATGCAGAAGATCTTACTGACATTCATAGAATTATTGCAACCTGGTACCAGATGGGCCAGGATTCACCGAGCTACCCTGCATTGGGCGTTGGAATGCCAACCAACATTAGCGAGCCTCATACAATTGTCAACGCGCTTACCCCCGAAGCTAAGCCGGTCCTTTTTGAGGGTGCAGTGGAAGGACATGTTCTTGTCAAGAATGTTAAAAACGCTTTGCCTCTAAAAAAGCCCCAGTTGCTCTCCGTCTTTGGATGGGATGCTGTTGCGCCTGTTAGCTACATTCCTAATAATGTCCTTGTGACAGACCCCTGGGAAGAAGGCTATGAGCCAGTTTTATTCCAGCTCGACGGAGACGCCGATAGCACAGACATCATCGACGAGCCATATGACTACCAAGTTGCTTTCAATGGTACACTTAGTGTTGGTGGTGGCTCTGGTGCAAATGCTGGTCCTTATATCAGTGCTCCTCTGGATGCCCTTCAACAACGAGCATATGAAGACAACACCGTTATCATGTGGGACACTGGAAAGGACCCAAACAAATTGGGCGTTATGGAGGCATCGGATGCATGCCTTGTGTTCATCAATGCATTTGCTACTGAGGGCCTGGACCGTTCCGGAACTTACGACAGCTACTCGGACTCCTTAGTCGCCAAAGTAGCAAATACGTGCCCTAATACCATTGTCGTTGTTCACAACGCTGGTACTCGCTTGGTCGAGTCATTCGCAGAGAACCCCAATGTCACCGCGATTGTCTTTGGCCATCTCCCTGGTCAGGACTCCGGTCGAGCTATCACAGCTCTGCTCTACGGCGATGAAAACTTCAGCGGCAAGCTCCCCTACACTGTTGCCAAGAACGAAACCGACTACCCAGCATACTGGCATAGCTATGCAGTCACTCCGTTTGCACTTTTCCCTCAGTCTAACTTCACCGAAGGAGTGCTGCTTGACTACAAGTGGTTTGACGCGAAGAACATCACGCCTCGATATGAATTTGGATTCGGTCTCTCTTACACCAACTTTTCATTCTCAAACCTCCACGTCTCTTCCGTGCAAGATGGAATCGCCGCCTACCCTAGTGGTGTGATTCAGCAAGGAGGTCAAGTGGACCTGTGGGACAGCATTGTCAATGTTACCGCTACAGTCCAGAACTCAGGAAGCAAGTCAGGCGCTGAGGTTGCCCAGCTATACCTTGGTATTCCCGGTGGACCCGTGAGACAACTTCGTGGATTTGACAAGGTTCGAATCCCAGCCGGTCGCTCGACTCAAGTATCTTTCTCTCTGAACCGACGTGATCTCAGTACTTGGGATGTCGCAGCACAGAAATGGAAGCTCCAGAGCGGGAATTACAAGGTTTATGTCGGTTCATCGAGTCGCAGTCTGCCTTTGAAGACCATATTGAAGATTACTACCGATTCGAGCTAGATACAAGCAGCTGATAGATTAAGTTTGAGCGGAGAATAGATCAAGTTTTGAATTTACTAAATCTTCCACATATTATCCTGTGTCACAGGAACCATTCAGGTTAACCTTGGAATGGAATCTCTCAGGTTTACAACACTCATATTCCGTCAATCAAACAAAAACAACGGATAGTCGGGTTGTTTCGGCCCGATCAGAAGGAAGAGCTACTATATTTGCAAGTTGCACCACATGTGCATAATATCGGGTTTCGGCCCCAATAATCCCACTCACTAGCATATAAAGAGCTCTATGACCCCGGGGTCCCATCATTCCAACATTTCCGAGTACTCACTAGGATATTTCGATCACACCAATTGTGAAAGCTTCCCTCAAATGTCCTTCCTTACAAGACTTGGCCTCGCCGGGCCCTTGGACTCCCCGGTCACAAACTACAGCCCATTCTTCCTAGGCTTCCAATACTTCTACGCCTACGGTCTCCTCTCCTCTCGCACCTTAAAGCAATGGTACGGCCTTGATCATAACGTCTCACCACGCGAAGACCTCGCCAAATTTGGTGAAGCAGCCATCATAGAAGGAAGAATCACACGTCGGCAGCTTGACATGTTGAAGCGAAATGAAGCAGCGCATGCGAATTCCGTTGAAGGGTTCTCGCTTTTTGTTGCTGGATTGGGTATTGCGTCTGTTGCCGGTGTTTCGCCACGGATCATCAATGCTGCTGGGATATCGTACACAGTTGCGAGACTTGCATATGGGGCGATCTATATTCTTGTCGATCACCCGAAATGGAGTCAATTACGGGGACTCACTTGGTGGTGGGGTAATTTCAGTTGCTTTTATTTGCTGTGGGAGGCTCAGAAGATTTTTAGGAATGGTGCTTGATTGAGCAGCGTGTTCAAGTTCGAGTTGTATTTTGATTATGTGAAAACTTTCATGAGGCACTACGCAGAGCATATCTTGTCATCTAATGAATCTCTCTTCCCCTATCTGGGCTCTGAACTATGAGTTCGGGCGGCCCGGAAGGATGTCCATAGAGTCTTGTACAAAAGGCAATGATTTTCGATACTTAATTTTATTTGCAAAAAGCAATCAATAAATATTACAGGAAAGTTGGTTTCTTGCTGGCCACGATATCGTGAGACATGACGTCGTCGCCTTCCATATCTCCTCCCATTCCTTAGAACACGTTCCTATTTTCCAAGGCCCCATATCTCGAGCATCTCTCATTTTGTTCTTGATTACTCTATAATCACATAGCTTGGACTTTCCACTAGGAGAATCGCTCAGCTGTTGACGAATTTGATAACCAGAATTGCGAACCCCACAAGGCAAGCCATATCCTTTCCATGAAGAAACTCACTTCCGGATTTACAGCTGCCTTTCCTGCATCGGCATACTGATCCAGGCAATTATTGTACAGCTCTTTCGGATGCTGCAATATCGCCTCCCTTCTCACCGCAAACATAGCACCATGCAACACCTTCACCGCAGCAGGATGCTCAACTCCAAACATGATTTTCCAAAAAGTCGCCATATCGTACGGAGCGTAGGTAAGAGTTTTGAGCTGACTGGGGGTGATCCAGTACGATCCATCCGGAGAGGACCAGTTGATCTTGCCCCATTGCGCCAGATCATGAAGAAGGTCGTGGTTATAGATTGTCACAGGATCGTATTCAGGCTCTGGGGGTTCAAGAGCTTTCTCTACCATTTGCTGAGGGGTGTTTGTTTCCGGACCGATCATATCGAAAGGGTCTGCCTGAGAGAAAATCACGATGGGCTCAAGCGAGTCATACTGATTGTAGATATGGTGGCAGTATGTCTGGCCTTCTCGACCTTCATTTGAAACTTGCTCGTAAAGGCGGAAGGAATCGTGCGATACATTATCGCTATCTTGGGTGATGTTCGCCTTGGCGTAGAGGTATGTGTTGGACGCTACTTCGGCCCAAGGGTCAAGGGGCTCGTTGTATCTGGCAACTGCCAAGCCTAACTGATCGGGGGATGGAAGCCATGAAGGTCCAGATTGTAAGATTAGACCAGGCATTTTAGGCTTTTCTTGTAAAAATAAGGTTAGGCTCAAGCTTGAAAAGTGGAACCTTGGAAAAACTGGGGGTGGTACCTTTGAGAAAATGGCCAGGGATCAAGGAAGCTCTATACAACTAAATACTGCCATAATGTCCATGCATGAAGACGTTGGCTCGGAATTCTCAAGTACTATGACGACGCTGTACATATGGGGAAATTGCTTGTTGGAAGATCATCTCTAGATTCTCTACCGACCACATTCTTACGGCATGAATATTGGTTACACAGTTACACAGCAGTGTAAACCCTTGCAGCAAAATGATCAAAAATTCGAGAGACCCCTACTATGTACTACAGTATGGATAGTATAGTGATTATCTTAGCAAGAATTCTATTCATGGCACCGAAATAGTGCAAGCCTGAAGTGTGCTGAGGAATTTTTAACTAGTGAGCGACATTCAATCCTTCTCATCGGATACACCTATTTGGGTAATGTACAATTTAGTTTATTCAGGGTCGACTTAAAAATGAGGCTTCTAACACCTTCTGGATATCTGTCGATCCATCTTCTTCAAGGCCATAGATTGACTCCTTCATACTCTCCCACGTTTGAAAATCATCATCAAACGCTTTGATCATTCCGGAAGCCTGGAGAATCTTTGCAAGTCTGTAATGGCAGTCTAACAAAGCTGGACTAGGCAGCTCATGAACATTTTCCGGGTCATGGTTCTCAAAAGTAACCATGTCCCGCATTACTCGAAAGATCCTGCTTATTTTCCGCAGCACCTCAACTGTATATTGATTCGGTCGTTCTGTTGCTTTAAAAGCAATTCGAAAGGACCTAAAGTGACGATGAATCCAGTTCGCCATAGTGAGGCCATTACTAATATCATTGATTTTGTCATGTTTCAATCCAACGGTTCGAATTGCGGGAAAACATCGATATAAAACCTCCCAAGAATCGGCCAAATCTGGAGGTCACCCCTGGTTAGGGTTCCATGACCCGTACGAGAAAGGGACAATGTGTGCTCCATCTGTTTCCATTGCATCAAGGTCTGGATCTTATTTATCAAGTTCCTCATAATGCCACTGATCCATATGCCCAGTAACGACACATTTATAGTCATCTCGCATTAATAAGTCTTTCTTGAATCTTTCTTCGCGAGACAGAGGCTCATTCGTGTTTGTGGACATAGGGCTTGATGATGACACATTAGAGGAATTAGGATGGCACCACATCCGCGATCTTAGACCAGTATAGAGGTTACTGAAAACAAGATATAGATCTTCGTCATCATGCGCCTGATTGATATGCTTCATGACCTCATCGCGTCCATCGTCTGGTAAAAAATCGAGGAACGCTCGAAAGGAAGCGTGAACGAGTTGGTCATGTTTTCTTTTATCGGGCATTGGATTATAAAGATCGATTCTTGCGCGCGCTGCAAATAGGTCCGCTTCATGCCTGTAAGGTCGTCTCGGAAATATCTGTTTTTGGAGAGAAAATAGAGTCCTCGCGGGAGATGACCTGGCTGCTGGGAGGTACGCTCTGGCTTGTGCAGGGAAGAAATCAGACCATAGCTGATTACCTCGGTGGTAGTTGTCAAGCTGCAGGGCGAGAATAAAAAAGTGGAAGGTAGCTCTACTTGCCATCATCTCTCACTTTAGATATCTCTCACCGGCACTTCACTTATCTCTCACTTTATCCTTACGTATTATCGAAGTTGTACTAAGGTTCCACGTTTCCAAGGTTCATATAAAGTAACCAGCGGTAAGCTAGGCGGTCAAAATTCGGCATGGAAAAATAGGTTTTGGCCAGGTCGCTTTGGCTTCAAGTTCCAGGTGTAGGCCAGCGACAGACTAACGCCTGTTGTTAGTCTAACTCCCACTTTTTTTGGGGGTATCTTTATATGGGCTTACTATAGAAAATATACATGACCCCTAAAAAACTTTTGTCAAATTCTTAATAATACTATTTGGTAGGGATATAAGAATTCTTTTTGCTATAAGAGAATTTAAGTGAAACTTGAACTTGAAGTATTCTTCACTCTTACTAGTAGATTACCTAGGTAACAAAGAAATAATAACGAAGACTCGAAGGGGTTTAAAACATCCATATTATACTAAGATTCTCTTATAGTATTTACCCTTCTCTGAAGGAAACATTTGAATAGTATTCTAATCAAGTTATTCTATAATAGAGTCTTCTTTTCTAGTAGTATTTCCATTTGGGCCGCCGCCGCCGGAAACGGCAGCTCCCTCATCCCGGTATAGCGCCCGCCCCCACCCACCCCGAGGTCGGTCTAGCGCCATCCCCATCGGGTTTAGCTGTGGCGCTATTCCTCAACAGGCCCCGTAGGCCCCTCACCGCCTCGCTGCCGACCGTCCTGGATCTATAAATCCGCGGTGCGTCGCTCCATCGTCCACCCTCTTCTCTCACCTTTGCCGCCTCCCACCAGCTTCTCAACGATTGCACCTGGTTGGACGCATGGATCCCTCAGCTGCGCCCCGTCCTGGCCGGACTGAGGGATTTTCTGGTCGACCTGCCCCCACCGACGTCGTTCGGCTAGTTCCTCGTCTCGTTCAATACCGCTGATCAATCCTGACTGAGTCCGAAATTTGTGCTACTAGATGCCGAAGGCGTTCCTTTCTACAATGGTGAATCCAACAGCTGCTCGTTCGTCCTCGCAAACACATTTTCCGTCCACTTTCAGCTCGACTTACTACGTTGATGTGATGGAACTTAGCTCGAGCCCAGCCGATATTGAGTCATATGCTACCTTCTGGACAGATCTGAAACTTAGCCAAGCACACAGGCTTTGGGGTTACGTCGCTATTTGCCCGTCAAGCAGGTTTTGCATTGCATTGTCTCTCCGTGCGCTGTTTTTGCGATTGGTCAAGACCCTTGAGTTTATGAGGCCACGTCCCCGATATCTTGTCTCGATCGAAGAGCAGCAAAGTCCGATCGGCCATCTTTGAATGCGTGGCAAAACTCATGCCTGTTCAGTCTTGCATGGAGGCGCTTTCCACCTGACGTGGCGCTCGTCACTTGTGTGATGGGATTGGCCTGGACTCAGCGTGTGAGCCACGGATCAGCTGGCAGGGCATGTTGTGTCTCCAAAATTGTGGAGTTCCCTGTGTTGAACCGCCAACGCCTTTGGCCCAAATCCATGTTACATTTCACTCGGACCTAAAGCCAGACTTCGGGCCTACGCCGAGAGCTTGTATCGCATATGAAGCCGGTATAGACATCAGCGAATGGAATGATAAAGCGACCCTCTTTTACTTTCAGCTAGCGCACCGGGGTCTCCGGTCTCGGTTTTAACTTTGCCGAGCAGGTGGTCATGCGCAACGAGGCGGATTCGTCCCACTTTCCGGTCTTCATTGATCTACTTGTGGCTTTGGGAGACTGGGCTGAATCATGAGATGTGTTTCGTTGGCTGTTTGTCTCCTAACTGATCGGGTGGTTCAGAGCTATAAATTCGTGGAGCCGCATTTGTTCCTTTTGTTTTCTCCTTTCCTCTCCTGCCAGCCCCGGTATCATGGCGGTCACCCTTGATAATATTCAATTTTACCATGGCCCGTCGAAGCCTACGAAGCGGCCTTATTATACCTTCAACAGTAACGATGATGGAAATGGAACCATGCCTTCGGTCTGTCCACCTGCAATTGAAGAGAGAACAATATTTTTGGCAACAGACCATCACAACTTTCTTCCAGCTACCCACTCAGAAGAAACCATGAACCAGCATACAGTACAATCGTCGAACATCTTTGATCTCGAACTAGCGAAAACACGGGAAATGGTATCATCATCGCCGACACTTAACGAGACTGGCGAGCGTGGTGCCTGCTCTTCAAGGTCGACCTCTGTCCGTGATCATCAAGAACATTCCAGGTGTATGTGAAAGCTCTGCAATGGTCTCTTTCCCAAATTGCTTACGAAATGAATAGCGTCGTCGCATGGTCTATGCAAAACGATAGAGCCGGACTTCCCAGGCATATCTTCAAGATCTTCTTCAGTCAGCCCTAGTCCATCATTACTCCATGCGGACTCAGTAGGGGCTCCTCCCCCATCCTCTACCAATATGATTGAGGAGTCGTCATCGTCACGCTCAACAAACAGTGGAGAAGTTTTCAATAGGTGTGCTTCATGCGACGAAGAAGGGTCAAGCAATTTGCTCTCCAACGTCTCATTACAGCCTAGTCTCACGTCCAAGGCGGCAAGCGAAAGAAGCACACCCGCTTTTGTGTTTCAAAGCAGCCCCAGTGACTGTCTGGTGGTCACTTCCGGGCCAAGTTCGGAGCCAAGTTCAGATTCTTCATCAACGGAAATTGCCTTGTTCGGTAGTTCTGGACCGAAGAATGCAGATTATGACAGCGCATCTGACCTGGACTATGCGGAGCAAGCAGCCAGGTGCGGGTCTGTGGGTTCTCATTCAGAAAGAACAAGTGTCCAGAAGGATTTCATTCGAAGGCATACACAAAGAGAAACCAAAAAGCGCTCTCCTGGTAGACGAGAGGACGCAGCTGGGAGGAGGCACACGTCTGTCGCTGTAGTGATACCCCCGCCACGCCGACATCAGTTATGGAGCCTGCGCTCAAGCCCAGGGCATATTCCGCCAGACGATAGTCAGAGCGAAAGCAGTGCAAATAATGATGATTCCGATGATGGGGATTTTACGATTGACACAGTCGTGTCACGAGTTTCGAATATTAAGGCTCACCGGTTGTCAATGGAAAAAAGCCCTAGCTCAATTCGAACTTCCTCGTGCCAAGCAGGACACACGTCTCATAATCAGTCGATCTGTCAGCATGGGGGGGAATGACATCGTTGGGCGAGCAATCCTCACTATCGAAACGCTAGGCCCAGAGCCTACTTACTACTTAACTTTCATGCCTGACAATTTCATGCCCGACAACCTCAACTTGATGCCACCTGTGCCCACGCGGAGTCGTCGTGCCTCCAATACGCCGACTATAATCAGCGAGCGGAGAACCAGAGGCTGTACAGCTCCCGTCAAAGGGCAACGTCGATCATATTCGACCGACGAAGAAAAATTGCTGGTGCAGTTGAAAGAGAGAGAAAATCTTACATGGAAAGAGATCGCGACACACTTTCCTGGACGCAAGTGGTCTTCATTGCAGGTCCACTACTCTACCAAACTGAAAGGTCGAAATTCTAATCGAAGATATGGACAAGGGCAGAAAAGAGTACGGCGCAAAAAACACCGATGAGGAAGTAAACCTTTGTTTTGTACGTAGGAGTTATATAGTAGCACTGCAATTTGGTCAATTCTCCAAGAGCATCTCTGAATAATGCACGGATTATATAGAGTTCAGGTGTTGCCATCAAAGCTATATTCTAGATAACCACTCATATATCTCGCCAATTAATAGTTACTTTATATCCCAGATCCAGTTCAGTAAACCCATTTCTGAATCAGAAGCAAGGATGGCGAGCGGTGCAAACCCCAGACTTCGGTGAAACTTTCTTCTAGGTGCCCCAGCCTTCTTTTCTCAGAATAGCAAAAACCGCTCAATCGAAAAGTGGAACTTCAGGAAGGTAAGCCGAGCCTGTCCGCAGGGGTACTCTATTCCCCACATGTGGCTTATCCGTGGCGGCCTGGGGAAGGGTAAGTGACAGGGTGAGAATGGGGTGAGAGCGAGGTGAGAGCCATCAAACAGACCCTCAGTTCGGTTATGTCAGAACTCTATTGGATGGTATGCGACGATCCTATTGTTTCGATTTCACATCAAGTTGACAACGTCTGTATGCGGATTTCATAAAGCTTCTGTGTAAAAAAAGTTGTACAACTTGACACTAACGTGATTCATTTGACACATTTTCCAAGGGGTCTAAAAAAAATTCCGTCTCGTGAGCACGAGGTCCTCGTGTGGGCCCTCTTAGAATCATGTATACCTCTGCATCATAGAACAAGCATAGGGTATGTGCTTTCTCGGCAAATGCGAAGACAGCATGAAAGACATGCTTCGTTTCTAAGTACAATTGGAGCGTAATAGTCACCACATGCGAGCGATATCAGTTGAAGATCAGATTTTCCGCTGACTGGGACCACTGCCACCACGCCTGGGTCAATATCATCGACACGTAGGGGTCTTCCTGGATCCAAAGGATGCGTATAAATAGCAAAAAGATCAGGATCATTTAACTGGGTGTCTGTATCGTGTGGGCAATCCTCCACAACTAAAGCACTTGAGAGGTTTGCCAATGCACGGCTCGGTGAAACAGTGACATAGGCCAATTTCTTATCGATGCCTTTCAAACCCAAACCTACCTTCAGCGTATCGCCGCTAACAGATACCCGCCAGTCCACTTCAGTGTGCTGGAAGTCATTTCTAGGTTGGATCACAGGCATTGCAAGGTCATCACCTTCCATGTTTGCAATTTCGAAGTCGTTTCCAGAGGCTTCTATCAGAGTATAGCTTTCCTTGCCGTAATGGAATATTCCCCGTTGATATTTGAGAGACAGAAATCCATGCTTTGTGGGCTTCATATTGTCAAATATTGTTGGCCAAATTGCCTGTCCCATGTTGGATGATGCCGCCCAGTTGTGAGCTCTCAGATGAGAAGTGACGTCATGACCAGCCAACGTCAATGCCCAATCAAGTAAAAGGTAGAGATTGGTTACTGTGGGGCTCCCTGTCGTGATTATGCTATAAATTGACGTCGTGAAATTGTGCCTTCTCTCTTCATGGTAGCGCATGGGAACTCGAATATGTAGTAGGTCCGGGTACTGGAACAAAGATAAAGCAAGGGTATCGGCGATAACATTGCAGATCTTGTCGAAAAATTTATCTTTTTCGCAGTATTTATGTACCAGTTCCTCTTCCAGTGGCGACGAGCGACATTTGAAACAGTGACAGTGCTCGCTTAATCTTTCCAAATGCATCGCTACAATCGGTAAATCTTGAATTCGAATTCCGTCTTTCAAGAGTCTTAGACGAATTGGTGTGCCGCTGTCAGTCCACAGTGAAGTTAAACGTGAGAGCATTGCTTCAATCATACCAACTTCAGGGAAAGGATAGAAACGGAGCTCGCTAATACTTTCAGTAAAATGATCACTGCATCTCACATTGCCTCGGAATTCACCTGTCGGAAGCCAGCCTTCAAGTCCGCCATCATAACGAAACTCATCATAGCTTGAAAATCTCAGACAAGTGACGACTTGGTGAATAGCGGATGGGATTAAACTTTCAAAGGCAAACTTATTGAACTCAGAGTTGAGGCCATTTTTCTGGAGCAGCCATCTACCATATTCATCAATTGACGGCATGCCTCTCCACTTTAAGCTGACAGAAGAGTCCATCATGAAGGTATCATCATTCATAAGTTCGTCAAAAGAACGCATTGTGTCATCAACTTTCACACCAAACTCAGGTTTGCTCTCATTATTGTTTGCTGGAAAGTGAATGATGCAAACGCCTTGATGATATTCCCCCCAAATATGTCGACCATCGGATGCATATATTTCTGGCTGAACACCCAGGCACCACTCGGTGAAAGATGCAACCCAAGCAGTACAGCGCGTTGATTTGATAATAATCCTTTTCGCTTCTACATTCCCGATCCTGTAGAGCTTACGAAAAGCAGCAATTAGTTTTCCAAGCCCCTCAGGGCTAGGGAAAGGTCCAGCCGAGGGTTGACCGTCCATGAGTTCGAAGAGCGCTGTTTGGTTGTGAATTCTTGAATCCCATGTCAAAACAAGATCAGAGAATCCAGTAGCCATACAACGCGGCTCAAGCGCAGCAAGCAGATCTTTCAGAATCTGGGGTTTGGGAACGATGTCTTCTCTGTTTGAGCTTGTCGAAAGAGCATCCAACATCAATGCTTCAAGAGAATCCTTTGCGCTATGTTTCGGCAGGCTAAAATTGCAAATGGTTGAACTCGGTCAACCATGCCAGCTATCAATGCATTCGTTGCCATGGAAACCACACCCCCCAGTGGAACCAAGATTCCACGTAGCATTCAGTGAGCCACTCATTGTAAAATCTTCAGAGTGAAAAGACAGTGCGAAAGTTATATGAATGCGACAGAAAAAAAAGGAGAAAGAGTTCGTATGATAAGGAAGTCTGACATCCTGGCTGAGAACTTGTAGTACAGAGTGGAGGGTGGGGCGGCTAGCAGGGAACGAATGTGCCTGTTACCCCACTGCAACTAAGTAATTTAGGCGAAAGGCCTGGGGCATGCCACGTATGAAGATACACGTGACTTGGCGTGGTTATCTCCGCTGCTCGTGTGACTCATTGCACCTGCAGCTGTGTTGGACAAACGTGTCAGCCTTGACTATCCGGCGTGTTTCATATGCAGCAATTGCGAATGCAGGTGCATTACAGTACCGACCGCTATCGCCTTCCATATCGAACAACACATCGAAGCTTTTTCAAACCCTAATCACATGCGACGCTAATCCATAAATGGTTACGATGAAATTTCAGGATCTGTACCAAGGGTGAATTGTATGACTCGGAACGAGTAAAATATCAACTATGGTATCTATGTATGTAATTTTACAGATCTAAACATACCAGGCCTACCATCAAATACGTCTAATCTACCTGAAAATATCCCCACCATACTGATCTGGCACTGGTTTCTCTTATGTCATTTGCTAACTTGATGATGGGATTTTGGGGATTAACGTGGTTGAGGGGATATCTTATGCTAGTGTGGTTGATGGACAGGACTTGAGTATGTCCCGCATATACTTTGTACGTTCTCGCTTCGTTGCGCACTTCTCTACGGTGATGCCGTGCCAATAATCACTGCTGATTAAACTAAGAAAAGAGTATATCATAGTGAAATGGCTGTTGTTTCCAAATAGATTGTGGGTATATAGCTGTTTCTCTGGTATCATCTGAGCCATCGTTTGATTTTCTCCATAGCCCGCCGTCCCTTGTTAGCATTGAGTTTTGCGACATCCTGACTGTCTAGCGATCCTCCCTGCCACAGATCCTCTGGGTCTTTCAGCTTCCCTTGATCCGAGTAGAGTCTGCCAAGGTTGTTGACGGTATCAAGAGTGGATGTATGATCTGGACCGAGGGCCTTCTCCTTGCCTGCCAGTGCTCGCTGGTACATCTTTTCTGCGTCTTTCAGCTTCCCTTGATCTTTATAGAGACTGCCAAGGTTGTTGACGGTATCGAGAGTGGATGTATGGTCTGGACCGAGGGCCTTCTCCTTGCCTGTCAGTGCTCGCTGGTACATCTCTTCTGCCTCTTTCAGCTTCCCTTGATTAAAGTAGAGAATGCCAAGGTTGTGGACGGTATTAAGAGTGGATGTATGATCTGGGCCGAGAGCCTTCTCCTTGCCTGTCAGTGCTCGCTGGAACATCTCTTCTGCCTCTTTCAGCTTCCCTTGATCAGAGTAGAGACTGCCAAGGTTGTTGACGGTATTGAGAGTAGATATATGATCTGGACCGAGGGCCTTCTCAAAGCCTGTCAGTGCTCGCTGGTACATCTCTTCTGCCTCTTTCAGCTTCCCTTGATGAAAGTAGAGATTGCCAAGGCTGTTAACGGTATTGAGAGTGGATGTATGATCTGGACCGACGGCCTTCTCATAGCCTGCCAGTGCTCGCTGGTACATTTCTTCTGCCTCTCTTAGCTTCCCTTGATCAGAGTAGAGATTCCCTAATCCATAAAGTCCGCCCCAAATAGCAATGTCGTCAGCAGAGATTTGCCCAATACGAACAGCATTTGCGTGTGGAATAAGCTGTTGCTGTAGCTCTACATAGTTCCCGTTATCAACACCAGGGACACTATATCCAACGCATATCAAGCCTAGTTCAGAGAGCTTGACAGAATTGTAATTTATATCCCCGCTGGCAACGTAGAAGCACCAATCCTGTACTACAGGATGCATCGCATAGCTTCCTTCTTGTTGCTTTATCTCAAGAAGAGAAAATTCCATAAGGGGCTTTACGCTAAGTTTGAATGCAAGTCTACTTGATATAACTCTTTTGAGCCAGTCTGGGATATCGGAGCTATGAGAAGCATTTTCAACCAACTCATACCAAATGTCTCGATTATCAAAGCGGGCAAGTAGGAGAAGCAGATTTGTGGCGTTCGGGTCCCGTTTCTGGATCTCATTGTACGAGATCATCCATGTCTGTAATATGTTGCCTTGTGTATACTGACGCTCAGCGCTGGATTTTGATTATAGATCTGACCATGATTGTTGGTAATATTCTAAGTACTAAGTAATGCTAGTGCCAGTCTGGCGCATAAATGCTGCCGCGATCACAATTGCTAGTGGAAGTCCATCTAGACGCTGGGCGAGTACCTACATATCTATATATATTAGTATGATCTTTATGATCTGTTTTAAGCATAACCCTACCTACACTGCTGTTAACCTTATTAATGGTCTCGTCTCTTGATAGACCATTGTTCTTTGAAAGAAGTTAAATCGTATCCTTCAAGCCCAGTTTATGGATCGGAAAGGACTTCCCTAGTTCAGTGAGCCCTGGGAGTCGAGAGGTAATAAGAATAGAGCCATGATCTGCTGCTGGAAAGAATTTTCCAATATCATACGCAGTCCCAACGCCACTATCGACGGGGGGAGTATTGATTAATGTTGTCCAAAATGATTAACCAGCGCGAGTTGCCGTTGCTTGCCAGCCACTGTAAGACTTGTCGAGCGCGTTGTTCAATTTGCTCGTCACCGGTCGCCTCATTTGTTTGGGATTGCCCCGGTAACCAAGGCAAGACAGAGCTCAATGATTGCAGGAGCGTGCCTCGATCTTTACCACTTAACCAAAAGATAGCGGTGAAATCGTCTTTATGTTTTCGCACGAAACGGACCGCCAGCTGTGTTTTGCCTATTCCACCAAGCCCATGAAGAATTGCAACCTTTCGTGATTGGGAATCTATCGGGTTGAAAAACTGCCACAGGTGGTCTAGCTCGGCTTCCCGGCCCACAAAATTTTCGATTACAGGCACTGTAGTCAGATCCAACAGGATCTTAAAGCGATTAACTAAATATGTAAAAGTAAATTTAGCAGTAAATTCGAGCTTGCAAAAAATTCTGAATACTATTATTTAGACTGTCTTACCAGAATTCACTAGAGTATCTCGTACTGTGGGAGTATTGTCAACCTGATTGATAGGAACTACCAAAAGCAGCTCCTTGGCATAAGCCGCTGCAGCTACCGCCGCATATCCTTACCATTTCTTATTCTTATGGGAGTCAGAATAGTCACAGATGCCTCGAATAACCAGACATAGAAAGTCATTCATGAGCCCCGCCGCTTCCATCTCGATGCAGTACACCCCCAAGTCCTGCGCTAGTTGGTCTCGCCGTCTACTATCTTTCACCACCTGATTTACGGATACAATCAGTCCATAGTGAATCACTGGTTCATCGTGTGCTCGAGCGGGTCGTGGAGTCAGTTTCGATCGGTCACAGTCCGCATATGTGTCAGCTGCCCTATGATTATATTCTGCTTGGTAAAGTCGGTCCTCTTGGGTAGGTCGAGTAAAAGTTGTAGCTTTACGAGATGTGGTTTTGAGATGGATGTTGGAAATGAACTCCACAACTCGACTATCTTCCGTAAGGTGGTGGGCTTGCAGTGTAGCGAGAGCGGTAAGCAGAACCTTCGGCGGCCGGTTCAACATCCCGGTCCGCTGGAATTGACCGTCGTGTAACACTTTCCCAAGATCGTATTGGATTACGCCTCCAAACGTATCTCTTGGCTGGCTCACCACGATATCGCCTAGTCGGATGTCTGCGTTGCTGCTTGGTATTCCTCCACCGATACCAACCATTAGCCCGAATCGAATAGAGTGGAAGCTTGAAAGCAACTGCATCGCCACTGTCGCGGCCGACACGTTGCCATATGCACCGCCTGGTAGGCAGGCAATAACAATGTTATGTTCCCCAATATTTCCTAGAATATATGTGTTTTGATCAGTTGATGGACTCGGCAGGCTTGGGTGTATTGCGTCCATCATCAGCTTCGCAGCCGCCATCTCGAGCGGTAAGGCGCATATCCACCCGACCGTGTAATCGTCGTGAGATAGGGTGGCCCCGGCATCCATGCTGGGTTATATGCTTATCTTCCACTTTGAGACTAAAAGCCGTGTTAAGGCGACGGTCGTCGATGTCTATAATCGTTTCATGATGGAGTAAAGGTCTGGTAGGAAATGGACTTTGGAGAGAAGCGGGGTTTGGAAGTGAGGGACTGTTGACAGAGTGCCCATTCCAAGGCCATTTTGTTTGCAGGGTTTGCATAGAACCTTCCAGCCTGTAATTTTCCATACGGGTATTTTAAGATTCTTGTATTAATTACTCGGTCCGCTACAAAACGGATTAATTACAGCTATCCATATCTGGATTAGTAAATCACATGATTAGGATTTGAAACAGTCTCTCTGTGTTCAGAACAAGGAAGGCGATAGCGGTCGGCACTGTACAATCCAATTATTAACCGCCGAGTCAAATCGCTGCTGGTCATCAATGCGGGGCTGTCTCGCGGATTCCACGCTCTAGACCTGTTTTATGACCCATGATATTGAATAGACTTCGCATTTCTATGTTCCATTCCCATTCGTTCCATTTCAAGCTGGGTCAAGTTTCAATGTGACGAAACCCCTAGAACATGCATAAGCGCAATCAGGCCCTTGATTTCACCAGAGTGGGGAGCTCACATCCTGGTCCCGCAACTTGTAATTTTATATTTGTGCCGCGCTGCCCGCGGCTAAACTAAATTTACCTTGGTCTGTCATGTATTCGAACATAGAGTGTTACAGCTTTGCAAGTGCTAAGAGTTCAAACAGACTGGGGGTCGCTGGCACGCCATTTCCGGCATATACGTATAATCTGCTTAATGCCTGTCATTCTCTTAATACGCTGTCAATTAAATCCGCGACATAGTGGACAAGAGCTTTCCGTAGATTCATTTAAAAGTAAATCCAATCCATGAACATCTTCTATGTCGTATTCGCTTTGACTGTGAGTGAAGACAATAGGAGATCAAAGATAACTGATCGCCCATGAACCATTTCAGTGGCCGTCAAACGATTATTGTTGCGATGCATAGTATTCAATCCTTTCAGCTCTGAACGAAGTAAAGGAGACCAGACAGAGCTGCAGTTTGCAGGTCATGCTTACAGCTGTAGTCTGGTGGAGAGGCTCGGCCCGTGCGGGCGGCTACTGATAGGATCCACTCATATTTTCATCGTCAATTTGTCCATTTCTGGGGACCAAAATATTGTCTCTGGGGCTGCTATCTCTCGAAAGCCGGATGAACTGGCATCAACGAATGGTGGAGTATTGGCCAAATGGGAAACAGAGCACTTGAGTTACAATTTCAGTGGCCTCTGTGATACCACCATACCACCAAGGACACGTGTTATTTTGTCCACTCGACACATGCAAGCCTTGACTCGCGTACACAGAACCACGTAATCGACAACACGTCGCATGACTCCCTTCTGCAGCTGTGCTCACATGCATCAACAGCACGGCTACCATACCCTCATTTCAAGGTCCAAATTCTTGGATTTGGAGCTGATGTTACCCAAAATGGGCTTTTTCGTGGGAGATACACACGTCTCAGTGATCTGTGTAACTTTGTCATTGTGGATAGACAAATCACGAACACCAGTCGTCCCATAGTCTCAAAGTGGAGAACTATGTCTCAAAAGTTTATAAGCTGAAATCCCAGGCTTTTTTTGTTCCTCAATCTGTCCTTTTAAGATCCAAGATGGTGCTTTGCGTTCCTTGTGACCGACCATTCCCCACTCAACATGCTTTGGAACAGCACCTTCAATCCCAAAAGCATTGGTGTGAGCCTTGTAACAGATTTTTCAAGTCTGTGAATTCGAAAAAACAGCATACAAAATGCTCAAAGAACCATCGTATCCAGGCAAACTACGATGTAGTTCACAATAAGCATCCCTCTGCCTCCCTGAACGACCGCAAAATGGGAAATCGTCAAATGCCAGCGATGAAAATCATGATGAGGGAGAACAAGTCAAGTCCAACGTATATAGGGGTGCCTCGGAATAAAGTCATGCCGGTCTTCAAAATGGCATGTCACCTCCGTTTCGAAAACCCCGACGTCAACATGCTATTGAGCCATATCGAGACACAATTAGATCACATGGTAATCTCAGCACTTATAGAAGCTGCTCTTCGTCTGCTTCCACCCGATGATACCCCTGAAGGGAGACTAGAGGCGAAGGAAAGAATGCAACGAAAGATGGAGAGAGCACATCTCCAAGAAGTCGCTTTCGTCGATCAAGTGCGCAAATTTGGCTATCAACTTCTAACGGAGAGTGAACAAAAAAATCATCACTTGCGTTCGACTCCCGATATTCGATTTATCCAACCTGTTTCAATTAACGGTCAACTTTGCCACTGGATCGAGTTCAAAAACTCCTTCGGTTTCAAGTCGAACCCATTCATCGCTGCAAAAAACAAAAAACAATTGCAGCGATACTCCTCAGAATTAGGATCGGGTGCTGTTGTTTACAAGTTGGGATTCGAGATTGATCACATAGTAGCCCCAGGGATTCATTCGTTTCGTGAGGAAGAGGTTCTAGATTTCCTTGGACAGCAGCTCAATATTGACACTACGCCTGTGTATGCCCACGTTCCTTGACAGCCAGTTCGTAGCGCTTGCCTCACTTTGGCTTTATCTATAATGATCTAAATACTCATAAAATCATGAGAAGTGACGAATTTTACCCAAAATAATATTTGAAATTAAATGAGCGACAAATTACAAAAACGACTGTCGGTGAAATCTCAAAGTTGAGGGATAGATAATCAACCAAAAAGTAATCCAATATCCAACGGGCAAATGAAGATGAGCAAATTCTCTCATCCTAACGCTGCTACTATAATAGGAAATTGTTCAAATTCCGTTAAACTACCGGATGTGGAAAAATCACAGAAACCGGCCCTCTCCTTTATCAAGACTAGTGTCACGTAATCACGGTCACAATTACTCCAGCTGTTGCATGCCAAGATCGCTTGTGATTAGTCTGGTCAGCTTAGATACAGCAGCTGCTTTCCAATAAAGCTGCTTGAGAAAAGCTGTGCAGCCCACATTATCCACAATGAGATGTAGGCGCAAAGGCGTATTAGCGCCAAAGGGCATATGGTATTGTACAGATTCTTCATTCCAACTCTCTGAAAGCCCAAGTGAGGAAAATTGCAAGGGCGCGGGGCTTGAATAAGGGCAGCCAATCTTAGTTGCTTTCTACGCGCCGTTGGTGATTTGCGTGTTTGCGTGCAGCGGAGTTACCGGAAGCTCCCCGGGACCCACTCCATTTGAGATCGTTTAAAGTCAAAGTCTCCACAAGGTGAACGTGCACATGGGGCCAGAAGACCATTCTTTGGTCTTCTTTTTCTACATATACCCTCTAAGGCTCCTAACTCAACCCCTTGCTTACAGAACCCAGCCGAATACCTTATCCGATAAGTCATATTATTATCAACTCGCGTCATGTCCAGCGCAGCCCAGTCCGTTCAATGTCAAGACGACAACCGAAAAGAGCGAATGGGTCCCCCGGCGGTCAAAAGACGACGCATAATTGACACAATCCTGTCGGTAAGGCCAAATGTTGTTCCATAGTATGGCTGGGAGGTTTCAGCTAAATCATTTAATAGGAGTCGGACGGAACAATTGAGGATCATAGATTATGCGACCATTTGATCAGTACCTATTCGGAGACAAACAAAAAACTCAGATCGAAGCTTAAGGATACCCAAGTGAAGCTATCAGGAGTTGAAAGTGATTTTGATGATCTGGAAGCCAGACACTCCCAGTGTCCATACTGGATCCAGAAGAACGAAAGTCTCGTTGAGGCCTTGGAAGATCGTTGCGAAACTCTTGAACGGGACAAAAAGACACTTCAAGAACGATGCGAGTGGCTTTATGCACAGCTCCAGAACCTTCAACTTCTTTCTCCTAGAGAACACCACAACGTCACAGAGATGATCTGAAATGGGGGTGATTTAGAGGAGGCGTGATGAACTTCAGCATCTGATCTCGTCAAACGTTCCAGAAGGGCCCAAAATATACAACCTTTCTACGAAGTGTTATAAAGATCTTAAAAACGAAGAACTAAGACTTATCTACGATAACACTTCTCTGATTCTTTTTTCTCCTATTTGTATTTCCTTTTTAATTACTTGATTAGAAAAATCTCGTTCATTACGCTCCAATACAGAGCGGCTTATTTACTCTGCCATTGTCTTAGCGTTTTATTCCGATTGACACTTAGGGCGACGAAGCCTTATTCTACTGAATACGGGCGGTGTAGACCTGCTGAGTCCGACACTCTGTCCATCACGTGATCGCATGCATGTTAACCCGGTACACCCCTTTAAGTATTTGGCATGTCCCAGTTCGAGACTCCCTTTTTCCTTGCGATCGAATGATAATATCATCCTCAACAACGTCGGCTTGGATCTCTCACTTTTTGAATTTTCTACAGTGAGTGAACCCTGTACCAGTAGGGGTAAAAATGGACGATTATCAGAAACTTGTCGTGACTCAATTCTTCAATCCACTGCCGAACCTCTCCCAGGAATCTTGTCATCAGTTCGTGTTGCACCATATTGTGCCGACACTTCCTAAAACTTCTGGCAAAACAGAAGTTAAACCTAGTCCTTTTCAGGGAAGCATGAGCTATACTGCTATAGTATATCTTCATTCCACGCATACCGACTATCGAATTGTCGTTCAGTTCCGGAGCGAAAAGCAAGACCTATCCGCAGTCGCCGAAGCTACTCGCATCCATGGACATATTGTACCCATGGTTACATACCAGGGCATGTATGAAGGACTCTTTGTGTATACATCACCTTTTGCAGCAGGCACGCCCTATATCAGTGTCTTGATGTCTTCTGAGGACTTTGAACTGCCGCTCTGGAAGAAGATGACGACTATTTTAGACCTTGCAGATCTTGTGACTCGGGGAGCCAGAGCGAACAAAGATATTTTCGATACCACCATAGTCAAGCTTGCCTCTACTCTTGACAAAATCCAGCATACAATCAATAACTACACATTTCGAAACACATCTCTCAAAAACAGCATTTCTGCTTGCATCAGCAAAGTCTTGCCCCAACTGCGCGATCTCGTTGTTCTCCCCATCACACTCACCCATCAGGACCTTGCCCCATTCAATTACCTTATAGATCCGTCCACAGGCCGGATCAAAGCTGTACTTGACTGGGATGGCGCTGTTTATCTTCCGGTTGGGTCAAACTTTCACTTTGTGGATAGCCTTTTGGGTTTCATGACCCCAAAAGGGTGGCAAGACACGGAGGATCGTCACGACCTTGAAGCAGCTTTTTATGATCGGGCTCTGTGTAGTCTAGCGGCACAAGGACACAAGAATGTAACAAAGGAACAGTTGGAGTCACAGAAGGCGATTGGAATGTTACTCTATGGTGTGGAACGGCTTCTCAAGTTCAAAGACGAACGATCTGAGCATTATCTAGATGGTTATCTTCGGGGGTTATCCTTCATTGACCAGCCCGTATGAGCTTAATATCTCAATGAGACAGTGAATGATGTTTGGATATTTGGTTCATGTAAATTTAAGACAGTGAAACTCATTTGACTTTCTAGGTTATAGGAGGATAAGGAACTCTGGGGCCTCGCACAATAAATTCCCACTATTGCAGATATAGCTGAAGGAATGGAATGGCATTCTGATAAACAATGGGACCTAATGAAGGGATGGCTATTCAACACTAATTGCAAACCCTAGCACTCGTGTGGATCAGCATTCTACCGAGTCATGACCTTGGCTTCATGCTCCGTATATGGCTTCGAGTCCTGGAACACTTTGTGATTTCCAGAGCGCAAGGGAGCACACACATTATTCCCTTTGCACTCAACAACTCCAAATTCATTAACATGGAAGCTCCATCCAGTGATGACAGGTTCACTCGTCTCAACCTCTTGCTCGGAGATAAGGCGCAGGGGTACACTGATAGTGCCGCGCCCACTGGGATGCGTGAATTCAATGAAATTCTCTCTGTCTGCGGGATTCGGTATGATGGAGATCCGGTTTTGTAAGCCGTGAGTTTTGAGAAAGAGAGCAAGTTCTGAAGCAAATTCTGCTTCAAGATGAGTCGCCTCGCCGTTGGCATTGTACTCGAATGCTTGGAATAGGCCATTCTGGTTGAGAAACCACGAGTTCGGTATAATCTTGTCGGCGTCGATACTCATGAGGGTCTTTGGGGTACATATATCGGATTCGCCAGTTTGGATCTCGTGGATCATCAGAGTTCCATTTTGGAGTGTCTCGTGGCGATGGAGAAGCCCGGCTCCTAGCTTCATGTGCATATTGTGTCTGACAAAAATATTTGCGATAGCGGCTAAGGTCGCTTTATCTACCTCCTTTTCCTGTTCTTCAAAGGTCTTGATTGTATTAAAAGAGAATGCATCTAAGATAGCACTCTCCACTGCAACGGTCATTTTCCTGATAGGTCTCACTGTTTTGCCACAAAGTATTAGCGATTCAGGCTGGCAGTAAATTTGGGCAAGTCCCAAGCACCTATGCATCCTCTGTTTAAATGGATGACAGGAGGACGGTGTTAATTAAGAAGAGGATGCCATACCTTCTCGTGAGGTGGAAATGTGATTAGAATGCTTTTATGGAATTTCCGTAAGAGAATGGAAAAAAAAGAAACGAAGAGGGATGTCTGCATTTATTAGAAAAATGCTGATCGATCCTCGGCATTAATTTTGCTCGAGCTGAAATATCGAATGAGAGGGGAACCCTGTCATCCTGGGAGTATTCGACATTATGACAGCTAAGTCTATATCAAGAGCAAAGATCCACCACGCAGTTTTGGAGGGGGCCTGGCGGCTACATACCAAATTTCATTGGTCAGAGGAAGGGCCTAGACAAGCTGCTTCATCCCATGACGCGATTCAATTCGTTACATGGGGGCGGTCTGAGCCACCCCTCGAACGTACGTCTATCGGTCTCCAGTCCGAACGCCTACAAGCCACGCCAAATTCACCATTTTAAGCGTGCAATTAATCTGTAATCCTTCGGAGTGTTACTACGCAATATGATTGGTGAAATTCCAGACCCGAGGCACAAGAATTAGCGTATGCATGCAGCTGAGACATCAAAATCTCATCAATCGAAGAGGGGAACCCTGCCAGTTACCAGGTCTGTGCAGATTTCTTGGCGGAATATCGTAGGAGTAAGGGCATCCGTGGGGAAGAGTAGACCAGCACATGAGTTGCATCGCCAATTATTCAATTATTTTCAGGACTTCATCCCAGGATTCGCGGGATCTTATTGGTCCCTCTTTGAGAAATACCCGCGTTGGCGCATTACTATATCCTGGTAGTTACGCAGCTTTGAATTGTTCCGTGCTCTGGTGTGAGAAACCACGGTTGCGATCCCGTCCGTTTTGGAGCTAAGATACTACTGGATCTCCACTGGATTTCTACTGGATTTCCACTGGATTTCCACTGGACCCCCTCTTCACATATTGTGTTCACCATATCTGAAGGCAACATGCATGCACGGATGCATGTTTCGTCGCAAAATTGGGATGACATACCTGAGCACTTAAAAAAATGGGGTCAAGTCTTCGCTGCTGGTGTGACTCGTTCATTGTACCTGCACCTGTGTTGGGCCAGATTTTGGACAAACGTGTCAGCCTCGACTATCCAGCGTGTTTCACATGCAGCAATTGCAAATGAAGGTACATTACAATCCAATCACAGACCGCTGAGTCAAATCGCTACAGGTCATCACTGCGGGGCTGTCTCGCGGATTTCAAGCTCTAGACTTGTTTCATGACCCTTGATATAAAAATAGACTTCGTGTTCCTTTACAAACAGATTCGTTCGACCAGTCAGAGCGCTCCAGTTGATTGGCTCAGTTCTGCCGTATTGGCGCTTTCCACTCTTGGATCGGTTGGTTGGTCGATCGACATTGAGGATGTGGGATGTTAATCTGATAGTAACTGGAGTACTGCTGAGCTTCGTGATTCAGGCCCTCCGTCTGGCTGATGATTGATTGGCTTCCAGGGGCATGACTAAACTTGCTGAAAAGTCTGAAATGCTAGTTAACTAAAAAAATACACTTGGGAGGAACGAAAGTGGATAAAAAGATAAACGTATTGACGAGCGAGCGGGACATCCCGGATATCATGCAGGATTGAGGATATCGATAGTGGAATTTGCATTACAGTACCAGGAGCCTCGAACTTGCCCTCTTCGACGATGTATTTGGTCGAGAGGGGGTGATGGGCGCTGGGAAAGCCGCCAAGTCACCTGACAAGACAAGACAAGGTGTAGCACGGGTCATCGGCTATTTCTAGGAACAACAATGTTCCGACTAGCTTGCCATATCAGGGGCGCAATTATAAACATTGCTTGTTAGAGCAACATCGGCATCATGCTTCAGACGCGTCGCCTTCTTCGGGAAGAAATTACATACTCTCTTGCTAAAGACCGAGAGGTGAATATTCTCCATCAACTCGGCTATTTCAACCAACAATGTCGCTTTTTTTTCTCACCTCTACGCTAGACGTGATTGGATGAAAAGTGTTGTTGTTCATCAGCTTAATCTGAGTTCCACTAGTGTATGTCATGTTGCAAATATTGAGGACTGGCTCCGAGGCAGCTTCAACGTCTGTGTCCCCATAACTATCGATGGCTGGGAAAGCCGACAACAATCCGGAAGCCGTGTCATACTGCGATTTCCGCTTCCGTATCGAGTCGGAGAGGACTTTAGACCCGGGAATGGGGACGAAAAGATCCAGTGCGAAGCAGGCACCTACTCATGGCTCCAACAAAATTGTCCAGAAATTCCGATTCCGCAACTGTACGGCTTCGCCTTGTCAACAGGTGAAATTGTAGGAGTCCTATCGGCACACCATTCACGCAAGTTACGGTGACTGATCGTCGGAGTATAGTTCACACGGACTGACAACCTACCATTTTTGCGACGCTGCTTCGAGTCCCTACGCCGTTTATTTTTTGGTTGCTTTCGTTCCCAACTACCGTCAAACTACATCCGTCATCCGTTTCAGCAAGACAGCCCTCTCGATCGAGTAAAAGGTGCAGGATACTTGTTGATAGAGTATATCGAAGATTCTCAAGGGAGCATGCTTTCGAACACCTGGTCTGACAAACAACATGACGTCAAGCTACGGAGCAATTTCTTCCGTGACTTGTCTCGGATCTTACTCAGTATCAGCAGGAAGCCCTTACTCCGCATTGGCTCATTTGTCATTGACAAACAAGGATATTTGACATTAAGCAATCGTCCACTTTCCATGGAACTCCAGGAATTGGAGAATGAGAGAATCCCTACCGATGTCGGGCGTGACTACACCTATTCGACTGTTGAATCCTATGTGGCGGATATTTTGGGGATCCATGATAACCGCCTCCGGCATCAGCCTAATGCGGTGAACAATGTTCAAGATTGTGGCTATCAGATGTCAGCACTGGCAGTAATGAGAGCAATAACCCCATTATTTTTCCGTCGAGATTTGCGACGGGGGCCTTTCATTTTTATGTTGACTGACCTCCACCCAAGCAACATTCTTGTTGATGACCAGTGGCGCATCACGTGTCTAGTCGACCTTGAATGGGCCTGCTCACGACCTATTCAAATGACTGAGCTTCCTTATTGGTTGACTAACAAGGGAGTGGACGAGATCGATGTCGAGGAATATGACAAACTTAGGCAGGAACTGATTGCTATAATGAGTGCGGAAGAGTCAGACAATCTCGGTGGTGGAACAGGGAGAACATCGCTGCGACTATCTGACATCATTGAACAAAATTGGACTACAGGCACATTTTGGTATTCCTTGGCGCTTTCAAGTCCGAGCGGTCTATTCAGATTATTTTACGATCATATTCACCCCTTGTTGTCCAAAAATTGTTCCGAGGAAATCGGCGAAGTTTTACCTTTTTACTGGGTCAAGGATGCAGGAAAATTCGTGGCAACCAAGCTCGCTGACAGAAGGCGTTATGATAAAGAGCTTCAGCTAGCCTTCGTAGCAAACCCTGAGGACTGTTAATCATACCGCTAGTTACTTTTAATTCACCGTTTAAAGTTGAAAATTCATTTGTTCTTTCAACCCAAGTGGATTGCATAGTAAATGGCAGCTGTCTACCCCATCTCTGTCCGTTTCATAAAGAGCATCACCCGGCGAATGATTTATTGTGCAGATTTTTCATACGCCGCACGTCCATCCTCTTCTTTCAGATGCTTTTCAAATGCTGCGTCTAGTGCACTGAATGCCTTTTGGGCATGATTTTCAACTCTCTTGCGCTGCGCTGCTCTGCCCGAGGAAGTGATCTGCTGCAGAGACTTGACTTCCCCCTTTATTCCAACAATAGCCTCTTCGATTTGGGGTTTTTCAGCCTCGCGTTCGTCAGACATTGTAAAAACTAGAGCCGCCCAATCGTCAGTCTTCATTTTGAACACTACCCGGGTTTAACTTACAAACAGTTTGGGAGAGGAAATAGACGTGGGATCTTGGAGCTTCTAGTGATGTCCTGGACCGCTTCTGGAATGTCTGGTGACCAATTTGGGCATATAGATGGGAGAGGTAAAGGAACAGTTTAAATGTAGATGTCAATTATATCCAAGATTATCGGAAATAACCTGAAATTAAGACAAAATATCATTAAATTCACGAACTAGGGTCCCATTGTCCATAGCCACAGCCTAGATAGAGGAGATTCGTCAAGTTGCGGCGAGTATACCATTGGATTTACACTGGACTCTTCTTCGCCTATCAAAAGTTGCCACATCTGAACACAAAATGCATGCATGTTTTATCACACCACTCGTTTTACCATCTCCTGCCGCTTTCAGATGTGTGCATAAATCTTAGCGCCTTACGCAAGTGAGACAACCCAATGAAATCAACACAAGCAAAATTGCAGCTAGACATTATGTCATGAGGGCGCAATGCGTGACCCTGTGCGCAGGCGCTTTGCAAAACGCACAATCCATTAGTACTGCTACTCTGCATAAATTCCAATCAAATCCCACCCCAATTTCACTGGACTTTCTTTGTATTATCTATCATTCATTCTGATCTAAAAGATGCTACACCGTCAACAATCAGCAAAGAAGATGGGTAGATCGAGCAGGAAACATGATTACTCCTCTCTCACAATTTCTGAGGCAGTCTCTAAAATTTTAGAGGCGACCGAGATGATTGAGCTTAGAAGATCTGTCAAACCGCACCAACACAACCGTATCAAAGATGCCTTTCACCTGGCTGATGAGCCGAAAAAAAGTTCCCCATACAAAGGCAGAGCAAAGACGAGAGGACTACAGAAAACTTCTGGGTGATCTTCAGACTTACTGTGGGCCAGAGGTTGTAATTCCGTGTGCCCTAGGCCTGGGTCAGACGGCAGTTGGAAATATGAGAGAAGCGTCCCGGCTCCGCCTCCCAGGTGATGCACACTGATAGACGATTGACCGCGGGATCTTTGCATCGACGCCAGACACAGTACGTCTGCTGAATTGCATTCCGTCCTTGCAGGAGCATGTGGGATTTTCCGCTAGTACACCTCGTATGTCTCCAAAGCAAGAAAACTTTAACGCCCGTGTGAGTCTGTCCCTCTCCGCAGAGATCCGTGAAGAAAGCACTTATGTACTGGCAAGGGCTAACTAATAAAGTGTGAAGTCTCAGAGCTATACTGGCAGTATAGTACTGGATAGCTTTAGTACTGGACTTGGACTTCACTTTGCAAGTAGGATTCAACTCCTCTCCGCCCACTTAACCTGTTGGCCGCCTCCTACCTCCTATTTCACCCACTTTCCAGCCTCCACTCCCTTTACTCAAAACCAACAAATTACGGTTAGCCTAAGCTAATGGATTTTCTATGGAATAAGGAGAAAACTGAAGGTGATACGGATCAATCAAAGCTAAGGGCCCCTCTGGTAGGAGCTACTACATAAGTATTCATGAGACGGGACTAGGTTATAGTAAGACTAAACTTCTCAAGCTATGGCGTGTCAGGTATATGGAGGTGAAGTCCAAGTAACTCCAGAGCAGCTCTCAGATTGGCAAAGCGACAATCTACGGTACACTAACTGCTTGTTTGGATTCGACTTTGACAGCAAGAGATGAAACCCGAGCCGCCTCGGTACTGGCAATGAAGATTTGTCTAGATCTACGCCTGTGGTGCTGCTAAAAGACTCTCCTGAAATTTACCAGGTTTACCAAAAGCCAGCTGTCCTAGTCTGGCGGTATACTCACAGGGAATCAATGCAGAGGGTCTTATCCAGGCAGGCCTTTATATAGGAGAGAGAAGACAGGAGATAACACATTTGACTTAAGAGGTATGTTACCTTGGGATGAATTCTTGTCATTCGCATTAACCATGTTTCAAAGGCAAAATGACCATCACCTTTCAATCCGGCCAGAGTGGTCATACACCTACAATAATTGCTTGAATTCAAGATGGAGGGGTTTAGAGAATACCTTGTCTAGAAGGAAGCTCTGCGGGATGCCATACTGCCTACTCTTTTGTAAGGTGCTACATGAGCTTAAGGGGTCTATACTAGGTACTTGAACATACCCTGTCTACCTCCCAGGAGCAGCTGTGACTATAGAGCCAAGGACCCATTTCGGTGGGCTTGATTGTCTATTCAAGGTTTCAATGGCAGCCACTCTAACGGACGAGGACTGATCCTCGATATGTGCCACTATCGTTCGAGCCAAATCATCCAGAAGAGTAAATTTCAGATCTACTAGCTCCGCCTAGCTCCATCCACATCAATTTCACCCCTCAAAAACAAACAAGTCCTAAAGTAACATCGTTTAATTGCAATCAAAAATCTCTTCCAATACTCCATCTGTCCCATCAAACGCTCGGCAATTTCTTTCAGTGGGCAGCCAACCTCAAACACCATCTAACTATAAGATGTAGAGATCTATCAGAATCAATACCGAATAAAACCAGGCTTGAATTTCCAATTCATCAGATGCATGCTCTCCCAGTAGACATCAAAGTGGATAGTACCATTGGTGTCTCCCAAATAAGCAGTTATTATATAAATAACCTTCCAGGCAGAGGGCCCGCCTTCATAGCGCTCGCAGTGGGAGAAGTCTATCCCCGAAATATCGATTGCCAGGGTGCTAATCTTCGAGGAACCTGTTAAGGGGCTCATGGTTTAGCTCCTGAGAGTTAACTTGGCAAAGAGATTATATTATATTAACATACCTCGCTCACTGAGCCCGGTGGGAGGATCAGCTCTGCCTGAGCTAAAGATGTTGATGACTTTCATGGGGGACTCTCCCTCTTGGTGGATTAAAGTACCTACCCCTTGGATCATTACATCCATTCGTAAGCGATCTCCCTGAATATACGCGTGATTAGTTGGAATTTCCATGGGTAATTTGGAACGGTTCGGGAATCACGGAAATGCTACCTTTTTCACCAGCCAGTTAATTGAATCGTTTTGGAAAGTAGAGCCCAAACGCAAGCTTCTGGGCAGGGAAGAATCGACTAGATTCACGGTTGAGAAGCCGAAGTGGCACGGACTGCGCATGCTTCGTAGCTCAACTTTGCCACTGCCCCATGCGATCGCACCCTGGACGACAGCCGTCAATCTGACTTGTTAGAAGAATTCGGGCCAAAATCAAGGGATCAAATGTATACATACGCATTCTGACGGTCTGTGATGATGGCCATATCAGGAAATGCACGTGTGATCTCACTTTGAAGGAAACGCGAAAGAGAGAATCCTCCAACGAGCAAGATTTTCTAAAATCCGTCAGTACATTCCAAATACCATCTTTCTCTGTAAGCTCACATACTTTGATGGCTGGTGCTTCTCCTTTCATACTATTGGCTTCACTCATGTGGCTATTCAAGCAATTGACAATTGTCCTGACAGAGGGTTGGAATAACTTCAGAAGATCGGCACTTAGTGTGTCGACTTAGCATCTCCCTAATGATACATGGACATAAGGAATAAAGGGGCTTTCTTACCTGGATAGTATCACATGTCCTGTGTTTTGATCATACCACTCTGGGTTGAAGGGTTGCGACACCTTTATTTCAAGGGGGAGTTGGAAAATCGCATTTCCATGTCCAGTAAACGCACACTTAACTTTCATGAAATCCTGCATGAATTCGCTTGTGAGCCCAATCACATACCATGGTAAGCTAGAAAAGACATCACCGAATCTTTTTTCCATGAGTTTGTAAAACTCCCTATCCACCGAAGTGGAACCGCATAGTTTCCCTTGAATATTTGATTAGCCTATATTCAATTCTATCTCAGGGATGCTGGAAGACCTTACCTGAGCCTGGAGCAAGCTTATCGTATACAAGAGGATTATACTTTGAGATCACAAAACTCGCAATATCCTAGGTAGCAATATTAGATATGAACAAAATAAAATCAAGCTCCTAAAGGGTAACTGACAACTGTTCCTCCTCCACAGTCGCAGACTAGAACTCCGTCTCCAGTCTTTGAAACTTATTAGTCTTCCAATCCAAACTGCAATACCAACAACAGTGTGACATACCTTAAGAGGTAAGGTTCCTGCATTATCTTGCGAGGTCGATAGAGCGAAGATGATGGCAGCGTCCGCCTCTGTAAGTAGGCAGATATCATCACACTTCCTCGATCTAAAACCCGCTGTTTCGATAGCAAAAAGCATATGCTGCCTAGCCTCTTTGGACCAGTGCCCTGGTATGGTAAAACAGAATTTGATGGTGCTTGTCTCCAGGCTCTTCTCCGTATTGGTAAATTTTTCTTTCAGATGGTCCCAGATGTTGGCCTGGAGAGCGCCCAGGTAATCTGAGATGGTGTCAATTGAGGATCTCCCTGTTGGAAGAGACATAATCCCTCGAGGACCTGCCCAACCCATTGCCTCCGCTTTCCAGCCCTTGATCTCAATCTCAAGATCATCATCCAAGAATAGCTTAAACCAAGAGATCACATTAGGTACTTTCTGAGCAGGAAATCCCCATTTATTCTCCTGAAGATTGGGGTTGTCCTGAATGTAAGCAAGAACGCTTGGAATCTTTTTGGAAGGAGGCTTTTCGCAGGATTGGCTGATCAACTTGGGATGATAATAGGGGCGACCTAGGAAAATGCTAGAGTAGCCAATGGCTGTAAGCTTTGATTAGAATGCTCGTAAAGTGATCACAAGGTTTCCTCGGAGATCATGACTCACCAGAGGCCGTAGTACCAAAGTCAACTCCGACCACAATATCGTACTTGGGTGTAGGCATGATGAACAATAATTCGTGAGAACTGACTTTCTGCGATGATCAAGGGTTTTCTGCAAGTGTAGATTTGATCCTCTATGATAATAGTTGGAAAGGATTGGAGTTGACATGATCAATTCAGGGAATTCGCTTCTTTTTATGACTGACAGGTCAGGGGGGTTTCTACCTAGCTAGTCCACGGGTGACTATTGTTATCGATGTAAGAGAAACGAGAAGTCTCGTCTCAAACGTGTAGTTGAATCAATGAGGAGCCCAGGAACAATCAGCTCCCGTCATCTGTCATTTCCCGCCACTGCCAGTTTCCGCGACATTTCCAAAGGTTGACTCAGGCCATGAGTGTTATCGTATTTGAAGCGGTCGAATGTTGACTGACATTATGAAACTTCACTATATCCTATCTAGGAAACAACACAGATCCTTATGTCTTGGATTCATCATGCTTTCATGCACATTCCTAACTTGAAGCGCTTGCGTATAGATGACCTGGCTCAGTCCATAGCTCCGGATTCTCATCAAAGGAATAGTGGAGGAAAATAGAGACATTCCTAGAAATGTGCTTTTGTCGATCAAGCTTTACGGCTTGACCTAAAATTTGTATGTAATTGATAGGGTTTTCTCTGTTAGATTTTCAGTTCTCATTGCCCCGTTCTAAACTATCTGGTTCATAGGGCGGTGCATGGATATGTGGATCCCGACAGCCTGCAAAATCCCGAATACGAATGTCTTCAAATATTTGAAATGTCGGGCTTCAAGCCACATCCGAAATGTACAGGGGTTCATATGGGCTTTCATGTAGACCCCTCTAATACTGGAAAGAGTATTTCACCTGCAGATGCAACAGTGTGTAGGATTGAGTGATCTAACACACCGCACTTTCAATTCTAGGCCTATCTCTAGCTGATGATTTTCAACAAGCGAGACACGGGTTTCTCCGGGAGTAAGGGCGTTTTTTTCTCACGAATTCTTTGATCACAAAAAACCTTTGAACGCCACCCAGTCTATTTTAAAACCAAAAAGAAATGAAAGAAAACCCGAGTTGCTCTGATCTTAAGCGTAAATGATGGCATACATGTACAACAATTCAATATTGAAACGAATGTCTGAGGCGCTCTCCAGGGCTGTCGCTCGGTGCAGAGTCTCTCTCTTTACTGACTTTTTCAACCCTTTTGGTTTTTATCCGAAGTATTTATGTCCTAATCCCATCTCTGGTGACTGTTCCTAGCAAGCAGGATGGGCAAAAGAGAGAAATCTCGAATGAGCAATACCCCGAAACGAAAGAAACCACAGCCAAGCCCAGAGGCGGAGATGGTAGGTTTACTGAAATTGTTCCAACCATTTTTGACAGAGGATGAGAAAGACTGAATATCACATATAGGCTAACGATCCCATCCCACCGGGTTCTGAGTTGGACACTGGGTGCGTCAAAGTCAAGACCGTTACGGAAGAAAAAAATCAAGACAGATTATCTAAGGTATTCCAAGATTGGTGCATATCCCATGAAATGAACTAATAATTGTTCTTTACGAGCAGAATAGTTGCTCATCCTCAATGGGTTCCTTGGAAAACGGCACATCTCTTCCATCGACCGTGAAGGACCAGGATAAGTCATCGCAAAAGTCGAAACAATCGACACCCATTCCGAATCAATCTGAACGACTGTCACCTGTTCGACGTCAGACTCGCCTGTGGGGATCTCCGGTGGCCAAAGAGAGATCTCCGATCGCCGAAGAGAGATCTCCAGTGGCTGAGGAGAGCTCTGCAGAGACGGACGAGAGCTATTTTGAGAAGGACCGGAGGTCTGGGTGGCAAATAATACCCCGTCCTGCACCCCGGGACGTGTTCCATCCTGATTACCCCTTCACCATGAAAGACCCATATGTTCAGCCGCAGGAAGTCCTACCACTTCCAAACTTTACCGATGACTACACAAGCTTCGAGGGGTTTTGCGATTATATGTTTCCCCAAGAGCCGGATGATAAAGTCTCTTGTATGACTTCCGACATAAAACACTGGGTCAACGATTACTGTGGATCTCCAGAGGACATCGAAAACAGAATGACTGCAGAGCAGAAGCAAGCTGTACTTGACTTTTTGGGAGATTGGTGCCTTTACAATGACTGGGACTCGCTGATCGCCACATTCCCCAACCAACGCTTTCGATTCCACATATTCACCCAGGCCGTCATCATGAAGGATATCTTTCAGAGTCTTGTCGAGAATCCGTTCTACTACATGGACTTGGATACTTATTGGGACGGGCGCTTAGAGACTCTTCCACCTATATATGGAAAGGAGCTATATCAACATTGGCAAAAGCTTCTTCGCGGTGAGTTCCGTCGGTGATACTATTCTACCGGTCTGTTATGATGTCTGCTAATTCTTTCATCCTCCAGTGGATGAGTTAAGTGCCGAGAAGTGGCGTATTTCCACAGTTCAGATGATGAATAGGTATCTTGAGCCTACTGCTAGGCCAAAAACAGATCCTATATGGCCTGTTGAGGCATGGGACTGCAGTACTGGTATACGGAGCTGGAATATTAGGCAGAGGTATGTAAATCAGTTAGTTCGCAATATGCTGGATCGATCCAGTCTCATTTCGCCTATGTTACTGGACCACGATCCCAAGAAGGAGCTAGACACCGAGCACCCTTTCCGTCGGGATGGACTGCTGCGTCGATGCTATGAGCAGGCCTGCGACTTTGCTGTCCAGATGTGGGTCAGGGATGAATCGATAATTCGTTTTGACGAGAAAATCAACGAGATAGGTCCATACACACTACTGCCATACCCTGACAGGGCGGGTACCCGTGTCATGAAAAGGTGGTGGTCCAGCGGGTATGATTTCCATGATACTCCGTTTGATGCTTCAAGCGTCGAATTACATGAGGGACGAGAAACTACGATGATTCTATGGCCTGCAATCTGGGCTGTCCGCTGCAGGCACATCACCGTGCCTCCTCGGAGTCCAAACTCATTTTTTTCTGGGTATGGAGGAAGGAGTGATCTTAAGAGGGGCAAAGAATATGAATATGTGGATGAGAGGGACTGGGTCTACACTATTCTTGCCTGTGGGCGTGTTTATCTTGCGGGCAGAGGGTTTGTGAAGCCGGATAATACCCCTCGCAAGTGATCATTCAATAATTTCTGAAGTTCTCAAAGGGACTCATACGTAGTATACGGTCACCCCCTTCTTTCTCTTCTACGCCTCTGGGTTTTCTTCTTTTTGTCTATATCTATACTTTTGGCTGCGTTATCACTGAGATTGTTGTTTTGAATGCTGAAAGATAGGACGACTCCATATCCTATCCTGGGAGATTGGCGGAGGAAATTCAATTCTGATTTTGAGAAAATTCTTGAATGTCTTATTTTAATTTTGTTTGTTCCTCCTTCCCTAAGAACTTGTAGCTGCACCTGGATACCTTGCGTCTAACTTGATTAATCAAGTAAAATAGCTCCAATTTGCAGTCTCTTTTAGTTAAACCCTTGCAATACCTTCTTCACTTGATACCAATGCTGGTATTCTATCCTGTCCCCTTCAAGCTCTTAGAATATACAGCTTGACCCTTGGAAACTTGAAGTTCAAGACTCCTCCTACTGTAACGCCACATTGAACAAGTGGTTTTATCTTTATTTCGGAGGTTCTGATGGTCTCTAGCCTTAACTTGAAATCTGCCTATATATATTTGGGGCCAAACTATCCCTCAGGCACTATCGTCAATACATGCTAGTACTCAAAACCTGGAAAAAATCGATTCATTCATTTGAAGTTTTCATTTGATTCATTTTCAACCAGGATAAGGGCCCCCTTGGTAAGAGCTACTACATAAGTATTCATGAGACGGGACTAGGTTACAGTGAGACTAAACTTCTCAAGCTATGGCGTGTCAGGTATATGGAGGTGAAGTCCAAGTAACTCCAGAGCAGCTCTCAGATTGGCAAAGTGACAATCTACGGTACGCTAAATGCTTGTTTGGATTCGATTTTGACAGCAAGAGATGGAACCAGAGAAACCTCAGCCGCTCAACTACTGGTAAAAAGGATTTGTCTAGATCTACGCCTGTGGTGCTACTCAGAGACTCTTCTGGAACCCATCAGATTTACCAAAAGCGCCAGCAGTCCTAGTCTGGTGGTATACTCACAGGGAATCAATCCAGAGGGTCTTATCCAGGCAGGTCATCATATAGGAGACGGAAGGCAGGAAATCTTACGCTCATGAAATGAACCTTGAAATCTATTTATCATGGTAAAAATATATAAACATTACGGTAAATCTATGTACTGTTCCAAATTTCGTCAAACTATCAGATTCGTCTCTAGTAAACATACCGAAAAGAAGAGTTTTGCTTATCAGTAAGTCCGGCCCACTTCTCATCAATCACTGCCCCATTCTCAAGTCCCTGTTTCTTATCGCGTTGCCGATTCTGCCATGAGTAATACAGGAAAAGAGCAACTGCTGCAACCGCTGCGCCAGCTTGCGTAGCAAGAACGGAGGTCTTAGCACGTCGATACTCTGGTGCATCCATAGCCTGGAAAGTCTGCGGTCCAATAATGTTCCCAACCGAGAAAGAGCCGGCGACGAGGACGCTTGCAAAGGCGCGTTTGGTATGACCCGCGCAGTTGGCCATGGTCCATTGGTATAGAATGGGAAGAGTTGCAACGATAGCATTCACCAGGTAGAGGCCCATAAGTACACCGGCGGTGTTGGACTTCGGCAGGAATGACATGAGCCCGCCGCCAATGATACCTGGGATTGTACAGAAGACAAACCAGGCCCAGCGGTGAGAAAACGTGCGGATTCCATACCCGACGGCTAGGGTGAAGACGATACTAATCAGACCAGATGGGGTGTTCAGGAGTGCAGAGATAGGGCCTGAAAAGCCGAACCCTGAGATGAGAGTCGCGGAATATGTGGTGACTACTCCACTTGAAATCGATATCTTCAAGAGTATTAGGTCAGTCTGAGATAGAGCTGGAAGGCGTATTCAAGGATACAGAATACTGGCTTACCAGGATAGTTGTAAAAGTCAAGAGCCAGAGCTGTATGTCCATTATGGCCTCCCATATTTGCTCCATGTGCACCTTGGAGCTCCATACGCCAGTTTGGTTCTCACCGACATGCTGCAACAGAGCAACCTTCTCGCTGTCAGATAACCAAGAAGCTTTGCTTGGAGTATCTGGGATGAAGAAAAATATCAATATGCCTACAAGCATAGTGACCAGGCCCATCACCAGGAACATGATGCGCCAGCCATCTATGCTCGTATTCCGTACATGTTGGAACCCATAAGAGATGATACCACCAAGGATCTGAGCGACACCCAACCCTGTATACCAGAGCGTAAAGCGAGGGGCTTGTTCACTGCGGGTATAGAACTGGCTCATCAGGAGCATCAATGATGGACCAATCGTTGCCTCGAACCCACCTAGAAAGATTCGCGACACCAACAGACCCCGATAGTTGTAGCTACCGGCTGAAGCAGCAGCAGCACCACCCCATAGGAAGACATTCCCAGCTAGCCACTTTGCTGCTGGAATCTTTTGTAAAAAGTATACTGTGTCCACCTTTGTCAGAATAGGGAGGATCGCCGATGAAAGAATGTGAGCCAGGGATAGGTGGTTTGCCTGGATCCAAACCTACCATTCGGTACCTCGGCGATCAAGTAGGCGATGAAAAACCAGGTAGCCGTGTTGGAAAACTCGTTGCCTTTGAGACTAAGATCTTTTTTCAATCCCATGACCGCAGCATACTGTGATGGGAATTAGTGCCAGTTGTTGTCATATATTTTCAGTTTGATCACTTACATTGAGCGTAACTTTATCCAGAAACTGCAAGAGATAACAGCAAAACATCAATGGTAATAGGCGATAGTCGATCCTCCTTCGTACAGTAGTTTTCGAATTCAGTTTGACCTTAAACTCTTTCAACTTAATTCCCGGAAAAGAAATCCTAAAGAAGTACGTTATGATTGGATGTTATTTTTAGCGTTGTTGTCCAGACCGCCTGCTACAATAGTGTATGTATCTTACAAAACGTCTTCAGTACCATGGGTGGTGTATTTTACACGAAATTGGAACACAGTGTGGCAGGTATGGTACTTCCTCTTTCTTCTATGAGTCTGCAACTCCCTGCGTAGCAGCTTTTGATTATGATTACTATTTGAGACCAGATGTTCTGACCAATCATGCTATAAAGAGTGAATATGTCGTCGCCTCTTCGTGTCGGTGCAAACGGAGGTATTTCGGAAACGTGTTGAGTGTCGAACACTTCCACCTCCAATATGAGAAATATCAATGAAAAGCACACGTTTATTCTGTCGCTGAAGACATTGAGTTTTCCCTTTGAGACATATCCTAAACCGATGATTCATAAAGAGGAGCAATTCTGTGTAAGTATCTGCCTCTGGTCGATCTTTTGCGTTGATTCCAAATGCTTTGCGCGGGCCAATCATGGACATCATCATAACCATATGTATCTGAATTTCTCTTCAAGCTATAAAAAAGACGAGCTCCGCAGGCATACACTGCAGCGCCTGGCAGAGAGCGAGTAATACATACCAACCTATCGCGCCGGCAAGTGAAATAAGGGACTTTACAAGTATGTATTTAAATTATATTGTTTGTGTTTGGACGACCAGGATTGAATGATGACGAGCCTTGGACTTATGCGAGATAATAGGACAAACAAGCAAGCTAGCGTACGTTCGAAAACGCATCATGAAAGATATGTTCTGATCAAAGCTAAATCACAATCGAGGTAGTCAGACACAGATCCTAAATCATGACCTTGTGAACTGGCTCAGTTCTAGTCCATCCACAGTTTCATTCAGATTCTGAAATATTGATGCAAAGGAGGCGTTAGGGCAGCGGTGCGTGTAGTTGGTTCCATAGGTCGAATATCGAAAGGATGAATCGTACCATGCTAGCGATGTGAATGCCATGACGCTCTGCACAAAAGATGTGTAATTCAACCTCGGGAATGGAGCCTCTGATTTCAGCAAAAGCAGATCAATCGATTGCATCTGTATAGTCAGAGCTCCATATATGATTAAGCGACATTCATAACGACAGCCCCGAGTGCCAAGTAAAAAACCGTCACGTGTTTTAATAAGGAGGACAATCAAATCTTGGATAGCCTTCTCTCGACATTCATTTATCGATTCTAAGATACCGTAAGTTTTGAAGCACTCGAGAAAAGGGACCTGTCCTCACCTATGACATATCTCAGAATGGGAAGTCCGAAACTATCAATCCAGCCATTGCTCTGTGATATAGCAATAGAAGTCGATCGTTTGAATTGGGTAGGAAGTTCGAAAAACCAGGCGATCCATATCTATAAAATCAAATTCATAGAAGGTGTTGGGGTAATCTCCTCCTCCACTTTCTCAATCCACATATCTATCAGAAGACACAAAGCATCCCGGCATTCGTAGTAGTCTGCTATGACGGCAACTTGCGCCAGTATCTCCAGATTCAGCTTCTTAGGAATATGCTTAAATTGGCCATGAATAGCCCGAAGTATTCATCATAAGAGCTTCAATATCCTAGCTCTCTGCGGTGATCTCAACTTTACCCTTCTGGGAGTAAGTAACACTTTCTCTCCAGCCTCCAGTCAGTAGTCTCTTGAAAAACGGGGAAGCGAACATCAAATGCTTCGCAGAGACCTGAATACGGAAGCAGCTATCAGCCGAGAATGAATCAAAATGTTCCTCGAAAGCAGCTTCCGAAGTGAGCTCGCCGGCAGGAATTTTTTCAGCAGCAGGCTCATCAGCAGCAGTGGGCTCATCAGCAGCGGGCTCAGGCTCATCAGCAGCGGGCTCAGGCTCGTCAGCAGAGGCCTTTCTTTTCTTTTCCTTCTTCTTCTTTTTTTTATTTTTCTTCTCCCCGCTCCGTTCCATGAGCCTCGGCTCTAGCTGGTTGGAATAAAATTCCGAGCTTCCCGACGTTGCTTGGGAGCTTCGGACGTTGCCAAACAACAATGGAAAGGTGTTGAAGGTTCGAAGAGCAAATGAGTTTTTATTTACTTATGCAAAGGGACTGCTTGAATTGCGTAATACTATGGTCACTTCCCCTTCTGGATCTATTATGTGGATTAAAGGATCCATGCTGATGCGAAGGTTGGCTCAATAGTGGAAGAGTCACTTGAGATTGATGAACAAAAGAATGGATTATGGCGTATTTGCACAACTATGGCCACTGGGTAAGTAGCGGCGAAGAAAGGCAGTCCGACCGGACCTGATTAATTATTGTCGGGCACGAATGCATAGTCGGTTTCGGGCTTTGCTTTGTTTGCTTTTTTGCGCTATTTTTATATGAAATAATTCTGTATGTGTAAGTACAGCCTTCTGACAAAGACTATGCTGCATGTGAGAAGAGTAAGGGGAAGTGGCGATCGTGTGAGGTGATCTTGCCAAATTTACTAGGTAGCTCTACGAGATTCGACGTAATAATACAGTACTTTACATCAACATAAAGACTTTGGTACGGTCATTTTGACCACAATATAGCAGTGATCTCAAACGTCATTAGCGTATATCCGACAATTTATCCTCAATGTACGCGGTCTGATTGGATGTTATTTTAAGGACATTGGTATACACCGCTTTCTACAAAATGAATGTATTTTCTAATACGCCATACAAGCTGTAATTTACATAAATCAGCAGACACAGTACCCCTCTTTTAGTGATATCGTATCCTGCACAACGGCTTACTGATTACTGTTATTGGCCCAGGCGACATAGCTCTAAGACTCTCGCCTTCAAAGCTTGCTCTTATCCATGATATAATAGAGAGCAAATCTTTTACCACATCTGAAATGGCTGAACAGGCTAAATGCAGCAAGCAGACTATCATCGGTATCCGCAACAACTTGCGACAATTTGGAAGCTTATACGCACCACAAACCCGAGTAGGACGAAAACGAACCGTGACACCCCTAATGATCGAAGCTCTCTGTGACCACCTATGTGAAAAACCCGGCCTCTACCTCGAGGAAATGGTTGTATTCCTATGGGATGAGTTTCAGGCCTTGGTTACAACCTCCAGCATCAGAAGAGCCCTTGTCGCAAAAGGTTGGTCAAAAAAGACTGCACGAAGACGAGCTAAGGAACAAAATGCCGATTTACGAGACTATTATCTGCACAATCTTTCAGACTTTAAATCGTATCACCTGGTCTATGTTGATGAATCTGGATGCGATCAACGTGTTGGGTTCAGACGGACAGGCTGGGCACCACGTGGCACATCCCCCTTGCAAGTAACACAATTCCATCGTGATCAGAGGTACCAGGTATTACCTGCGTATGCACAGGATGGGATCATTCTATCGCGTGTCTTCCGTGGTTCTACGGATGCCACTGTGTTTGAAAGCTTTATAGCTCAGCTACTCCAGCACTGCGGGCGATGGCCAGAACCTAAATCTGTCCTAGTCATGGACAACGCATCATTTCACCGGTCGGAAGGACTTGAACAAATGTGCGCGGGGTGAAACTGGTCTACTTGCCCCCGTATTCGCCAGACCTCAACCCAATTGAAGAATTTTTTGCTGAGCTCAAGGGGTTCATCAAGCGTAACTGGGACTACTATGAGAAAGACCCCGAGCGAGGCTTTGATACCTTCCTTGAGTGGTGTATTGATATAATGGGTGCGAAAGAAGAGAGTGCCAGGGGACATTTTCGACATGCGGGCCTGAGCATAGAAGTTTTTGATGAGTGAAACTCCTTCTTAACCCTGTCCTTATCATTTTTCCCTTGAATTTATCATTGACCCTGAAGACCCCTCAAACAGATTTCGCCAGATCCTGTGGCTGTTTTTCTTCGCAGATTTTTTTACAGTATTTTGGACATCCTCGTTTGCTTATAGAACTTTCAATTCCTAGGCGTTACTAATTCCTGTAAGCACGTTAATTTCACAAAAAAAAGATTGTATTCTCTGAGTGACAAGGTCGATGCCGCGGTACCTGTACTGTGTTTTCTATACAGTCTCCTGGGCCTCGTCCTTAGTGTCGCTGGAGGGCATGGATAGTCTCCACTATCTCTCTGGCCAAGACCGGTGGCTACAGTGTGTACATAAAAGACAAAAATGCAGTTCTTGCGGCTAGTAAAACGTCCCCTCTACCCAGTTGATTCGTGAAGGATCTTTGCCCCGGCGGTAGAGGTATTGTAGGGGTTGCCACAACTCATTTGATGTTCCCACAGCGGTATAGTTACGGTCAGGGCTCTCAAGGTCGTACATGATCGTGCGACTATATAAATGTTAATGGTGGCAACCTATCAATTCCAACTGATCTATGCTTACACCCAGAAACGACAGCCAGATCCTCCACCAGAGAACTGATATTGATGACGCCGATTTCGGTAGATTGTATCGGCGACATGTCGAACCTCAATGGCCATAGTAACCGGGAAATCCCAGTGTTGTATAGCCGAAGTAGTGAGGAGGTATGCAAGATCTGTCCATTCCAGACGCCCATTTATGTCTCCATAGTCTGTCACCATATTCACACGCACTGATCCACCAGATTGAAGGAGAAGATATATCGACCAGTGGTTATCGGATCCATCGATTGCAGCACCAGCGTGAACCACAACGCGTATGTAATTGACACGTCGGATATCCGCTAGAGCTTGACTTGGAGTTAAATTTACCATCTTCCTGGAAGAAAAGTCGGCAGACCAAGAAGGACCGGAGGAGGGCTACGGTGCTTTCGATGTATTCTGGGAGGGGTTGAGTGATAACGGATTATTTATTATCCGAAAGGGGCGACAGCGGTCGAGATCATCAACGGTTTCTATCCCTTCGGAAGACTCTCCCCCGCAAGAGTCTCCCTCCGCCTGTGTCTTCTTTCAATTTTTGATACCGCCATGTCTGTTCAGATAGACAATCACCAGTCGGTCATTAATTTTTGCCGCTCTTGTTCCGATGATCAACTTATTGGAGGCTCGAAATATGGCAACCGAGTCGTTAAGCTACCAAATTATGACTTAGTAGTCAAGTTCGGCCGGCACGTCTCCTCCTACGAGGCGAAGAATCAACAAAAAGCGCACAGTATGATTGATTCCAACGTCGTCTTAGTGCCTCGGGCTTATAAGTTTTTTGTGGACGATGAGGGCTGGGGCTACATGGTCTCGGATTATGTCCTGGGCAAGACTATTGACCCTCTTCCGGAATCTCATATTCAAAAACTTGCCAAAGTTCTTGAATATTTTTGCTCTATCACTTCGGAGAGAGCTGGTAGCCTAAGTGGTGGCCCGTCGACTGGCTTGATCTGGCCAGATACAAATGATCTATTCATCAGCAGTGTCCAACAAGTGGAAAACTGGTTCAACAGTCGGCTTTTTCCCGGAGACGGTGAGGTTCATCTTGATCCTAGCCCATTGGTGCTGTGCCATTTAGATATAGCCCCGAGAAACCTTATCTGGTTGGATGATGGCCGTGTCTGTTTGCTGGACTGGGCATCAGCAGGTTTTTATCCAAGACCATTGGAATTTGCCAGCTTATTCTTTCAAGAATATAATTTTAGCAAGGCACTTCTGAATGCTACGGGGTTCGGCTCTGGGCGTGATAAAGAGGAACAACAGAAGATGTGCCAGGCTTTGTATAACAATGAAAGGTACTCCTTGTAAGTTAGAACCAACCAAAGTTGACCACCTCAGTATATAATTCTAATCCACGAAACAGTCGTTCACGGGATACTAGAGAATCTTCTCCGCACTATTCACCAGCTGATTGCATATTTCCTCTTCCACTAATCCCGGAACCGCAAAAACTTCCAATTTGATAAATAGATAATCAAAATAATATGTATTGTGCTTTCTATTAAAAACATTATGCCTAGAAATTGATAGTCCGAGCTGCGTGCCAAATATGACCTATAATAAGGTTTAAGCAATTATCCAAACACAGAACCCGGTGTCTGCATAACTCTTTGTTACGTATACCAATCAATATCACACTGTCTAATCTGATCAGTGATTCAACATACTCGCCCAGAAAACGCCGTAATCTATAACAAATCCTGTCCAGCCTAAAGTATTTCGTATATTGGTATCGCTTTCTTGACTTTCTCAGCCCATGATCCGATGTCCTCGACGAAACGTCGAGCGATGCCTATTTTTATCCCTTTCTCAATAAAGAATTTTGGGTCCTGGTCCTTGTAGACTTGCTCAAGGTCAAGACCATTGTCGAGCATCACGTCACATACTTGCCGAAATGCCGATTTCAGTGTGTCATTTTCGACATTCGACATTTGCCACTCGCCGTACTCCTTCACGGCTACATCCCTAGGGCCCGGAATTTCCAATGAATTCATGGCCATTGGTTCAACCGCCGCTTTGGGAACCGAAACGTCTAAGCCTTGGGCGGTAGACTGAGAGGGTAGAACATTGATTATATTGTAAGGAGAATATGGCATCCCACTCTCCATGGTATGCCCCCCTTTACGCTTGTCTTTTCCCAGTCTCTTTTGTCTCTCTTGTTCTTCCCTGTATAATTCGTCGCGTACCCCTTCCGGCACATCCTTATGACCCTCTAGAGTCCCGCCTTTTTCAACGTGGGATATAAGGCGTTTAATGTGGTGAGATTTAAGTGGGTAATATTTTTTCCCCATTGGATCCACCCAACAATGGGGGCCATGTGGACATGTCGATGAGTCACATCGCACCAAGTTATAGACACTTCGCCAAATTGGCTTCTCGCCTGAAGCATGTTCCTCAGCATCAAGCTGTGCGTCTCGTTCACAGAGCATTCTTTGCGTAACTGAGGATTTCCCCCTCTTTTCTCCTTTCCGGCCTGTAGATTGGGAAGAATGATGATTATCTACATAGTTGAAACTTATCTTCAACGTGAGTTCCTTACCCTTGGATAAAATATCGGACCACATCAGAAGCTGCTTTTCTATAGCAGACCAAGTAATATCAGTGTCATCAAATCGCTTTGTCAGTTTGCGTTTAGTGCGATCGCTTGTTGATGCGACGATAACAGTGTCATCGGATCTCACCCGGCGGTGGCGGGCGGTTTTTCGTCGAAGCGCTTTCTCTAGCTTTTTTTCCAATGACAGCTGCCAGAAGGTACTAGGAGCCAGGACCACATCCTCCTCAGTGTCCATCGATACTTCTCGGTTATTGAATGTCACTCGCCACTCTACACGGTAGTGGATACAGGTTGGCGGGTTCTCATCATAAGTCCTTCCCTCTTCCCACTCGCCCAGCGGCAGGAAGTGGAGTGGAACTAGGTCACGATTACTCTTGGGTACAACGTTGTTCTCAAGCACACAGGAAGGAGATGGGCTGAAGGCAGACAGCGCGGCGTAGGGGGCTGACACCGTATCCAGGGGTTGGCACGTAATCTGAGTTTTGTTCCCACGTTTCATGCTCAGTACATTCAGATACATGATCGTCATGATATGGGCTCATTCTGAAAAAGAATCACGATTCTAGGAGAATCCATGTTAGCTTGCGGGTTGAGCCAGATTAGATTCGACACTGGCAACGAATGAGACGCGGCGCTGATGAAAAAAATCCATGGGAGATAAAGTAAACATCCTTCCCTACCAGGATTAGCTCTATACCGCGTAAGCATAGCCTTCTGTGTGATGGATGACTGGCGGCCCTACAGATACACAAAGGCTGTGCTGCATGTGGGAAGAGTGAGGGGGGTGCTAAACTTGGACTGGTGGAAAGGCGGGAAGACATGCATACGACCTTGCCATTTCACCAGATCTACCAAGCAGTTCTAGGGGATTCCATGTACCATTACAGATTATTACAATACATCCAGAAATATGGTATACCGATTACGACCATAGTTCTGCCCAACTAATAGAGCGGTGACCCTAAACAGGACTAGCCTATTTCAGAATCATTTTCTGGGAATCAAGTCTAAAGAGTATGTGGTCAAACTGATTTCGAAAACTACTGTAAGACTTTCAGATTTACATTGATCTCAATGTTTGTCTCTGCATGGGCCAGGTATTCCACGACATCATCCAGCTGTATCGATTCGGGGATCCGAGAGTTTTCAGCCATATTGACCACTTTCCTGTGGGGCAAAAAAAACAAATAAAAGAATTGCTAAAAGGGTTGGAATTGAAATAGAGAGAAAGCAAAAACGGCACAGGACGGAGAAATATGTACAGGTGAACAACGGTCAAATGCGTGGAACGGGGCCCGGGAAAGACAAACACCGTATAGGACAAGATTTTTAAATCAAGTTTTTCTGGTTACAATACGTACAGAGGATTTCGAAAACAGATTGAACTGTGTGTCTGGGGGGGTAAACTGTTTTCGAAATCCACTATATACAGTACAATATGACTGAACTCTTTTGTTCTTCTTCTATCTGAGTTAATACACAGCCTTTATGTTCGCTGGGCATTAGGTGACCATTGAAGTAGTCGGGCTTAAAAGCCTTTAAATTGAGACTTTGGTGATGTGTGGTGATTGTGCGTGTTGATAGCCTGTGGATCACCAGAACGGGCAGCCGATCATAAATTCGTAACGCCCGTTCACCGTTGCGATGCACGCTCACATCACCGCTCCTATCGATCCCAGTTCCATGCTGCCGCCCGCATCAAAAGAACGAGTCTGCTTCTTACTCCTCCGCTAGGGACTCCCAGGAGCTCTTTGATCCTGGGAACATAAGATCGAGAAAGCCCTCAAGACTTTTATGTACTGTTGGTTGAACAAGCGTGGGTAGTCTGACAGCTTAACCGCTCATCATAAGAACCCATCTCTTGCCCAATAGTGTTTCAGTAATGATATGCCGCAATAGAATCCACCGGTCTTGGGAGACAATCACAGAACGTATCGTCAGAATCTATTTGCTAGATACCGGTATCCTAATTAGACCTAGCTAGGAACCGCGGGTGAACCTCACAAACCTCAAGGAGGTTCACCCACCCAGGGGTAAAGGTTCCATGACCTCTAGTAGAACCTCCGGGCGGTTCCATCTTGGACCGAACCTCATGGAGGTTACCCGCGGGTGAACCTAAGGTTCAACAAATATGACAAATAGGTAAAAAACGTGACTTGGGATCAATTCTATAAATTATATAGAAACAGGCTGTGTTTGTCGTAATTCTAAAATGAAAATTTATTACTGTATGGCCTTATAGGAGGATTTAGTGTAACCCCCATCCCAGTGATATGAAACGCCCTGTGTGATAAAACGTCCACCAGGTACCTACATATTCGAGCACCGTCGCTCCCAATCCACATATTGAATATTACCTAAGAGTAATTGAAATGATAATTATCTAGTTCCTTATTCGATACAACTTTTCCAAAACAAAATTACAACATGTCGGCGTGGCGGAATACAGGACGACATATACTACTAGAAAATCTGCTATTTACGACCGTAATACCAAGACCAGGCACAATGACGTCTGAGGAGAATAGAAAAGATCTTGTTGAATAATTTCGTCTACCCAGTTGTCTTTAAAAAAATTTTATATCATCAAAATAACTTTATCTAAGGATATACCAATTTTGGTGGAACTCTTGGCAGCAGAAAGGTACTTAAGACAAAATTACTGATATGGCAAATACACGGCATGGTAACAATCATGTAACATGGTGTATGAAAAGTACTAGCGCCGCTAAACGGAACTGCCGCCCCAGAAGCCTGTCCGCAAGTAGAAGATGGCCTGCTTGAAGGAAACAGAACTCTAGTATAATGTTCGTGTCTCAAGACTTCAGTCGACGTCACGGTCATTTTTTCTGTCCCAGTGATCGATGATGCCTTGGCGACAATTGAAGCAACGGAGGAGGAGTGGATAATATGTTCTTAGGCAGAATTCCTTGCTGCATGAGAGTACTAGAACTCGCAGTCTGTAAGGACATGGCTTGAAGTGCCCGTCAATGCATGGCTTTCCGCCTCCTCATATTTCCCTTGGTTATTGAACACATTGCCCAGTGTATTCAAAGAGGTGAGCGTATCGGGATGCTCGAGTCCAAGCACCCTCCCTCGTGCTTCTAACGCCCGTCGATACATTGCTTCCGCCTCTTCATATTTCCCTAGATTGGATAGCACCAAGCCGAGGTTACCGACACTGGTGAGAGTATGAGGATGTTCACGCCCAAGCCCCTGTTCATACCCGTCTAGTGCCCGTCGATACATCGCTTCCGCCTCTTCATATTCCCCTTGGCTTAAGAGCACATTGCCAACTTGGTTGACACTAGTGACCGTATCAGGATGTGCACTTCCAAGCACCTTCTCTCGTGCTTCTAATGCCCCTAGATGCATCGATTCTGCCTCTTCATAAGCTCCTTGGAGAACTAGAAACCACCCGCAATGAGACGAGAGTGTGGCAGCATTTAATCGATCTTCATCATCTAAATCATACATAAACTTCAGCACGCTTTGGGCATGCGCAAGAAGCGATTGACATTGCATCCAGCTTTCGTACTTGCCATCTGGAAAGGCTCTTGCCATAATCCTTCGAGATTTAGCCAGCCAACCACGGAGCTGTTGGTGCATATCCAGCCACGCCCGGACCGATAATTGCACCAAGTGGTGCATATCAAACAACCGTTCGTTTCTCTCCAGTCGGATCAGAGAATAACCGAGCAGCGGCGCCAGTGCATAATGAAAGTCCAGCTCATCTTGATTAGAGTCGCGCACCAGATCTTCGGGAATTCCCGATCGAACATACTCATTAACGCTAGGAGATCGGTCGCTGTCGACCGCTCCTGGCGGATCTGGTCAAACGATAGCTGCCAAGTTGTGATCACCGCATACCGAATGCTGGGATCACGTCGAAGATCCGTGAAATCCTCATTCTGGAGAAGCCGCGTCCGCTTTGACTCACTCTCATGAAACAGTCGAAGGTATGTGGAGAGGGTGATGGGGGGGTAACTGGTTGGTAATATACGCCGCGGCTTGAGTGATTGCCAGCGGAATATATTCAAGTGTCTGGATCAGTGCCTTCTCATCCTCTCCACACTCTGTCGATTGAGAGGCCGGGATCCTTGCCCGTAAAAGGGTGAGAGACTCGTCTTCATCCATAGGATGAACCGTGATCACATGACCATCACTCCCCACCAGATTCCGTGCCGCTAGTCCATTTCGGGACGTGACCAGGATTGATCCATGCGTGGCCTGAGGCAGGAACCTCTCCAGTGGCCCTCGTTCATTGTATTCAGTGGCATTAAAAAAATACCATAATCATTCGCATTGTCTAATACCATCAGCCAGCACCCATTTTGTGGATCACGCAACCATTGATACACGAGCTGAAGGATGTTGATCTTCGGGTAGTCCCGTCCCGGAATCTCCGCTACTGTAGCAATCTCCTGGTAGCTCTCTTCCAACCGCGCTGCATTGCTGGCGTGGATCCAAAAAACCCAGATGTTTGGTGTTGTTTCTCGCACGCGATAAGAATACTCGATGGCTATCTGGGTTTTCCTAACAGGCAATCAGGTTAACTTGGTTGTTATTACACATACTTTCTTATAGGACAGCTTACCCAACACCAGCTAGCCCTACTAATGCCACCCGCTTATGATGCTGGCCGATCGCCGCATGTTTTTCCTTGATTGCACTGATTACAGCTCCACGGCCCACAAACATAGGGTCTTTCTTAAAAGGCACCGTGGATTGCGGCTGGGGCTTCGAACGGATCTGCGCTGAGAACATTCCTTGTGAGCGTGGTTCAGAACCCCGGACCAAGTCACTCACTGAATCGAGCTGCCACCACCGACGGCGCATCCTTTGAAAACTGCCGCAGTTTATCGAGCGTCGTCCGATACCCGGCCGCGTTGCGCGCGTCAAATTTGACGATCATCGAGTGATCGGCATGCAGCGGCACCTTGTCCTCTACGTGGTCGGGGAGCTGGAGAAGAGCCGAGTCTGCGTCAACCGTTGTCATGAAATCCCCGGTGCGATTCCATCGTCCGCTGTCCGAGTCCTAATGCGGTCGTCAATATATGGCATATCCTGTTTCAGACCAAGAACAATACGTACCCATGCCAGACGCCTTGTCTGCTCCGTTTCATAGAAGCTGACCACCTTACGGTCCCGGATCAGATTTTTGAAGTCGGCCAGTTGATGGATTAGCAGGTCAGATTTACTGGAAATTTGCTGCAGCAACTGTCCTCGCGGATGGCGTCCATCGCTGGCCAACATCTGTTGGATATCGTCTATCACTAATCCTTTGTGTGGGATCGCAAAGAGCATCATGCCGTACGTGGCTCGATGCAGCGACGTGATCGCCGGGTGGTCTTCCTCCATGGTCTGAATGGCTCTCACCAGGCACTATATGGTAATGTCAGCATATATTGCTAACTCTGACGGTGATCTTACATGAGCCAGAATGATTCCTCCAAAACTGTGTGCGATGAAAATAAGAGGTCTCTGCTGGAGCTGGTCGAAATCAGCCAAACCTGCAATCAATAGACAGGTCAGACAGCGTGTCCTACCTCCTTTGTATTCCGGATTTTCTTGATCTCCTCCATCAGCTCCCGCCCGTAGTCGAGAATCGTATCGACTCCGTGGCTCGACAGCTTGGAGTTGTACCCGTAGATCATTGTGCGACACTGCGGAAGATCCTTCGACAGGAAGTCACGGAGCCACATGCGACCGAGATTCCCTCTTCCTTGCCACGATCCGTACGCATGTCCATCGAGTCCGGCGATCGCAATGATACTATGTTGCGATCTCAGTTAAATTTAATCGTCTAGATATAGATAACGGCACAGGTGCTTACTCTGCATCCACAGGCTTGTTTTCCTCCAGCGCAGAGAGCTGGGTAAACCCGAAGAAGTGGGAGTCAAAGTTGATATCATCGTCTCCCATCTCGACCTGCCAGTCTCCGAGTGGATTGAGGTCATGGAGAAACTCAGGCACTCCGCCGCGAAACTGTACCAGCGCCACCCTCTGTGTGTCACTTTCATAGCATGAAGGGACTATCGTGATCGCAGCCATGATATGTGATCTCTCGTCCTCGGCGAAGTTGTCGTTGAGGGCCTCCTGTAATGTGGTCTCGAGATCCCCATCGGGCTGTTCTCTCGACAAGCCGGTCACCCGGAAGACGTGCGACTTTTTACTAGCCATCGTGAATTATCTTTATCAGAGTGGTACATCAGACTAGGGTGCACTTTGCGTCGCTTGTTGATGGATGGCTTCCCCAGCCCTGCGGGTGCGGCTGAATTCACTTACAGGTGCGGGGTATCGAGCACGCACATCTAGTCATTGCTACTATCACTTCGTAGATACGATTATATATTATACTGAACTCAACTTCTTCTTCAATCATTTGTTTATAGAGAAAATGCTTCACGGCGATATACCGTATTTGTGTTTCGCTACCCTCTCAAGGCTAAATTCCTACGAGTTCTGGGTGACTTATGATAAACCCCGTGCAAAGTCTTGCCTTGACATCACGTGATATAGATTAAAGCTAGCCAGTTTTGGTTTAGCCCTAGGCTAGTCACTTTGGGCCTAGAGCACCTTAGGAAGGAGGTTCACTTCAGGCCACATCCAGGGCAAACCGAAAAGTTTCCTGTTCCTCGGGGGACCCCGTTTGACCCTGAACTTCACGTGATCGAAGACTCACATCAAGATTGCGAGATACGGGTTTCCACCATTCCCTCAAATAGGAGTGGTTAAATTAACCAAATGGTGACATTTGCCCGGACGAACACACCTACGTTGACCCGTGCTATAGCTCAAGCGCGGTTGATAGTCAACAATCGAACTTTCATTTTCATCATGACCAACTCTTCAACTTTGCCTCAGACTATCAATGTTGAATTTTGCTCTTGTAGTTCAACGGGCAAACACGCGCTGCCTAGGTAAACTCAAATTCTGTAGCTTATTTCCCTTGCTTCATTGTCATTGTGTGGGCTGTTGATTTCGAAGATAAATTTGTTCATTTTTGGTTTTCGTCATTACTATACGCCATAAACTATGCTGAAACAAACCGCTTTAATAAAAGTGCTCAAATAAAAGTGCTCAAATTACACTGCTCAAATTACACTGCTCAAATTACACTGCTCAAATCAAAGTGCTCAAATCAAAGTGCTCAAATCAAAGTGCTCAAATTAGAGTGCTCAAATTCTTCATTCTAATACAACGGTCAAAAACGCGCTATGCAGCTAATTTGAATGTACAATGAAGCTTTTTGTGTCTGCTGCCGTTTCGAGGCTGTTATTGTCAGGAGCTATTTGTGTTTTCGTTTTCATCATTACTGTATGCGACTTCAACTAGGCTTAAAAAAATCAGTGCTCAAATCCCTTTTGATTGTTGAACGCTGAAACCCGCAATTTTTGGGATAAATCTAGATACAGCATCACCAATATCGACAAACTTATGAAATTTGATGATGAATGTGAAACAGTTCACGATTTTGGACTACTGGCAATAGATCAGCAGTCAAAACAGTGCGTAATTTGATTGACTCCGGTCGACACTCAATAGACAAACTAATGTCCATGTACTTACACGATGTGAACCCGCTCTTGGAGACTCAGTAGGCTTTAACCTCGGATTTTTGATGGAATTCGGCGCCAAGTCTGACTGGTGACAGTTGCTTCCAAATGGACCTCATTTAAGGCCACAGCCGAGGAGAGTTTTCAGTTCTACAATCCTATGGCACTTTATCTCATATACAGTACGTTGCGAAACCGGTGCAACAAGAACACTCTTATACACTCTTTCTGGCGCCGCTGCCAAGACCTTAGCGCGGATCGTTAATTTGGCGGGTCGTCGTAAGTTGAGGGCCACTGTAAATGATATTTACACAGTGCTAGTGAATTTACGTGATGTATAAGAGAATCGTGTAGTTTCCTATGGAAGTCAACACGACTTCAGTTTTCCAAATTTCCTCCACAGTCTGTGCATGCTATTTTTACATACCAGACGCCGCCCCACAGGAGATACAATCTCTTCGGCTTAGAGAATATTATAGTAGGCGACAACATCGCGAACTCGTGCCTCTACTATGGTAAGAAAGCAGTACCTCAGGTACCCCGTGTGTTTTCCATGGAAGCGAATGCGTCCTAAAATCTGACACACGGTAGCTGAGGGGCTACCCCGCGTGGGACAATCACCTAGATACCTATCATTAAGCGCCTAATATGACAGGAGCTAGGTGATTGGTTCTCAAGAAATCTCAATCAAATTCAGGGAATCTTAGCGCATCAATCCATGGCCCTCTTGTGAATGGTAGAATCGCATGCGCGAGGGCCTTCACATCAAGCCACAGCGTCAAAACATGAATTATTTTTTGTCTATTATTAGCAATGAACAGCCAGTGTAGCACTTATAACATGATTTGATCTCCCTCCCATGGCTCATATGATCACAAACCTCCCAGAAACCCTTTGAAGGTGTCACTATCCCTTCACTTATATTTCAAGGTATGGCCCTAACTTTCAGTAAAGTAAGTGAGAACCTACGACTAATACGCAATTAAAAATTTTCAGACCAAAGCACAACTACTTCTTGTAACAGCGAGTTCCGGCCAAGTTGGTGCTTGCTCAAACTCAAGATGTGGCCATTGGAACAATGAACACAACAGCTACAAATGCAAGGAAGCAGGCTGTCGCAAGAGGTGGAAGATCTGTCAAACCGGCGATCATGGAGATTCAGGAGTGTATGCGATCTGTGCCAAATGTCCCGATCACCCCGCTGGTGGCCCGGATGGTTTCCTAGAATACGTCGACCTTACGGTCTGACATGATTCGAGAGCTATTCTATGTCTTCGAGCCACCTTTCAACGTGCATTTCTTTTGGGTCACGCTGTATTTCCAAGTCAGACTCGATATCGTCGGGCTCTTCTTCTTCGTCGGTGCCTTCCAGATCAAACCAAGAATGTTGGTATATGGGTCGTTCGCTACAAGGGTACCCTGTTGATCTTAGCCATTCAAATACCCCGCGTGTGGCTCCTTCGGAGAGGGTTTGGGAATAGAAGTCATATTTATTATCATCAAGCCTAGCCAATGTCTTGTTTGCGGATGAAGGTGATGAACCATGGACAGAAGGCCGGCTCTTTGCTGCTTCGGAACATTGAATTGAGCTATTGTCTGTCAAAACCCATTCCCAATATTCGTATTCTAGGCAATGACAACCACATCGAGCATGCTGTCGGACTGGGAGCTCTGTATCACCAAGTTGTGTAGATCCGAAAGGCTTCCAAGGCCAAATTGGAGGTCTTTCATGGCCTTCGCAGGCTGTAATAAAAAGTAGTCGACATTCATCATCGCGGCGTATCCATTCTTCATAGGTGCTATCCATTTTTGAAGTTAGGAACGTCTGTGCTATTCCTGCCCAGGCAGAAGCTGGAAGATCTAGAGCTGTCATGCCTGCGCGTACATCACGCAGGATAGAGTTTGCTAGGTCTGTGAGGATTGCACCAAGCCAGAGGATGCCGAGTCGAGGATGTCGGTTTGCCATAAAAGTAGCAATTGAACCTTGATTTTGAATGATTGAGCTAATAACAGCAAAAGCCGGATTAAGCCAGGCACTGACGAGATTACACTCGATATCTGGGTTGAAGAATGTGCTGTACAGTAGAGAGCGTAAACCCCACGTATTCAAACTTAAAGTCATGTACTTAGGAATGATTTCGCTGTGGCTTTTGAGGAGGTCCGGGATAGAAGGAAGAGAGTCACTGGCAAGATTCTTTCTTCTGGACAGAGATTCTTGTTTTGGAAACGGCAGGAAAAGTGTGTTTTTTCCTTAGAAATGGAATGTAAAGTACCCCAGCAAGAGCAATTGAGCATTGCGCATATAGGCGATGGTGCACACAGAAACGGGAGAGGTATTTAAGAGCGGTCCCTGATTCTGGCAGCTTTGACTCAGAACCGCAACTATTTGTGGCTAGGGTAAATCCCACATTCTTTGCCGAAACCGACCATGGCGACATATAGATATGGCCTTTGTACGTAGTTGTCGCTTCCCAGCCATTATCCGAACATAAAATGGTACGCCACCAAAATATTTCCTCTTCACAGGCGTTGTTGCCGATATCGATTTCAAAGACGGGTTGCTTGTCTGACGTCGGTGATGAATTCTCTGCTTCAAGCATAGGTGGGATCATGGAACATTTATGATCAGCAGAGCAGCCCAGCAACTCAACCCATCGAGCAGACAAGATATATGCCCATGCAAAGTAAAGTACTGATAAATAGTTCCCTTGATCATAGCTAGGGAGCCCCTGAACTCCGGGCCAATCTGCAAGGGGGGGAGTCTTCTGATAGCCTCACATCCAATCGACCGCCAACTGCTAATAGGAGTTGCTTAGGTATCACCATTGGTTCAGAATCGCAACCCTCGTAGGAAGTTCTCCAAGTTGATCTGCCATTGATGACAAGGCTGCCTTGTGACTGTGTTGATAGCTTCTCCTCACAAGCGAACGAGGCGGTCTTGTCCAGGCAAGCAAGGCCACCCCCAAGGAATGGAGGGGTTTGACTGACAAGAGGTCCCAGGTCTATGGCATGCCGGGGCAATAAGTGATCATCGCTTTGGGCATTTACATAGCTTGACCATGTGTCGAGACTCTTTTCAAGGATCTGGCTGAATTTATCATCACTTGGGCGTGCAGCATCGCTCATGATCACGCACCCACAGAATGGGAAGGCTGGGGAATTGTTTAAGACTGAGGAATCAGATGCCGAATCATAAAGTCGCTGCTGTACTTTCGTCCACACCAGGGAGATGGGGAGGATGGAAAAGAGGAAATCAAGAGAGTGAGTAAGGGAGGGGAGATCAAAAAAGGTTAGTTATTGAACTAGCCGGGAGCAGCCTCCCTATTTACTATTTGTGGATTTCAGGTGGCTTGTCATGTGGCAAATCCATGAAAATGATAGAAACGCCTAACCTTGCCTGGTTCAGATCTACAACGTAAGCAGAGTCTGCTATTTTCAGCTTTTGACTAGACGAGAGCTGAGCTGGAATGAAGGGGAAAGGGCCGAACGGGGCTGGCGTGAAGGTGAAAAGCAGGTTCCCAATCCAAGATCGTCAGAGCTGCCAGCTGATTCGATGTGATTCTATGTATTGATACTGTATTACGTATTGTAACCGCGGTAACCTGAATAAATGATCTGCGCTAAGGTCTTGGCAGAGGGCCAGAAAGAGTGTCTAAGAGTGTTCTTGTTGCACCGGTTTCGCAACGTACTGTAGAACCACTTAGCAAATACTTGGCTAATGTAACACGGATCTGACTTTTTGGCATTCTTGTTCTAGTTTTTCTTGAGCTTTGCCTCGCATAACTATTCTGTGGTAAAGTTCTATATGATTTAAGAGATCAGCTCTCTGTTTAAGTAACTCTATTCTGCAAATATTACACTCTAAGCCTTTAGCCAGCCAAAGAGGATTGATATGCTTTCGTAAAAAATATCTAGTAAGAGAACCGGGCGTTGTATGCTTCGGAATTTGTTCCATAAGGGGAAGATTTGGATTCCCCAAGTAAAGAAAGCAGATTGTGGGCCGCTCTTTGAGATCCTTGATTTGTACTGATTCCATTGCTTGGCGTAAGGTGATCTTAGTGATATCTTCCAAAACGCGCTGTTATCGTTTGATCGGGGCATCGGAACTGTTGTCGTCACTATCGCTAGATAGAGGCCGATAGTAGGATTGGTAGGTCCGAGGTGTTAGCCGGCCCTCCTCCACAGAACAGAACATAGTTATCGTATTAATCGTATTAATCCTACGCTGGTACTCTTCTTCGAGAGTGGCGCCCAGTATTATGAGCATTGTATTAATTAACGCCAGATGCTGCAAAGTCATGGAGGTCTTATGCTCCAGAGTGTTAATCACCTTGGTATTTACCAGCTTCCCTGCGAGTTGTTGCTTAAAGTCGATCATAGGTTGCTTATTCCTGTACCGCTCTAGATTCTCCCGGATCCGCTGGTTTTGTTGTCGTTACTTCTTATTACGCAAATCACGGATAGAAATATCGTAGCGCTCCTTTACTTCTATAGTCTGCTTAGGAATAAGTTATAGCTTTTGCTTATAACTATCAGAGAGTTTAATAGCGACTGTATTAGTATTTTGTAACTTATTTTTGTAATTTTCCTACTTTCTCTTGTGTTTATTAACCTTCTCTTGTCGCATAAGTATGACTAAAAGCTTATTAAGGGACAAAGATTCTTTAGGGGAGAGCTTAAATGGTCGATCTGGATTGATAGATACACTAAATGAATAAGCAAACCGCACTAAGCGTGTTTAAGACCCTGTTTTGCGGATAATTCCCTGAATATCAACATCAATATCTACTTGATAATAACGGATAAAGGTATTAATGTTTGAATGCTGAAGAATCATATTCTGGAGAGTGTCCGATACTTCTTCTATCTACTGAGTTAGCTATCTGGTTAGTTAGGATGTTATAATTAACAAAGTCTTACCACTATTATTAAATTACTTGGCTCTAGTATATCGGAGATTATATAGGTAGGAGATCTAATCATAGCCTATAATCTCACTCCCTCAATATATCCAGGATCTTATTATACAACTTATTATACTCTCCTCTAAGATAAGTTAATACCTAATAGGTTCATATTACACCTAGCAGAACACAAACTTATCTAGTAACTCATCTTTCAAAAGCAGTACCTGCTATCCTAGACCATCAAGAACCCTAAGGCTATATAGTTTCTCCGGAGAATCCAACACTAGCCCGGTATTCGAAAATCGCTTAAATCCATCGACATAGAAGAGTATACTAAGCAAAGTCACATACGGACTTAGAGCCACGCTTGGATCAAAGATAATTTCTAGAATTTTGAACTCGTTCCTGGGCACTTTTGTCAACCACCAACCTCCAAGGTCACAGAAATCCATTAGACCTACGGAGCTTTCTTCCCAAGGAATCTCTTTGTGAAGTCTGGTTTCAGGAAGATAAACAGCCGAGGCCGTCCGCCTTTAGGGTCTTGAATCAGTGTTAGCCCTATGTCCTGATAGTGAAGATGCAGAAGCGCCCCTAGATGATTTACAGTGATAGCTATAAGCTGGCAAAAGAAAAGTATTTGAATACACTGCTAGCCGCACCTATATGTCATTTCAGTGGTTTTCAAGAGAATATATGCGAACTCCGCAACGTCTTTAATGTATATGTTCTTCTTTGGCCGCTGGGTGAGTTTGAGCTTTTTCTCCTCGGCCATAAGGGTAATAATCTGTAGGGGATCAGTCTCTGCTTCTTTGAATAAGTGCTGAGGGACTTAATCGCTCACGTCCTCTACTTTGCGAATAGTTTCTTTGTTTAGCTCCGATTCTGTCTCCTGTTTAAGAACAAGATGCCACCACTTCCAGAATGTTTGCAATGAGCTCTTGACTTGAAAGCCCGGACAGTGTCGACCGTCCTTGCCACGGCAAATGTCACACCTCCAGCCAAAAAATCCATAGAGGAATTGGACCGTCTCGTTAAAGTCCGAGATCGATTTCCAGTGTAGCACTAGGTCAACACCAATATGCCGATAGTACCTGCCAGGGACCGACAGGTCAGCTTTTAGCATAGTGCGAGGGTAAAGAGGGTCTGCCTACCTATCCCAGTATATACGGGTATTATCTAGATATCCCTGAGTACTATCAGCGTACCGCTTTTGTCGAAGTTGTGAGACATCTAAGCTTTCTGCTTGGGCCAAGTAGTATTCTGGAGACAGTTGGCCCTCATCGCTGAAAACACTGCCGTCGAGCTTATCATCATCACTATCGGAATTCTCACTATCAAGTTCTAGGTCAGTGTTAGAGTCGCTATCAGATTTAATATCCGAAAAGACCTCGCTCATATCGGAGCTGGAATTATCGTCCAGACTCCGCTCATTGTTATATTCAACCGGTTGGGAGCAATCTAACATCATTAAGGCAGCCAAATAATGATTGGAGGGGAAGTGAATGAAGAAAGGGGAAGAAGATAGATAACAGTACTTAAAAGCGATGGACAGAGTGCGAAAGGGACAGAAGAAACTATGCTGAGAAAGGATGGGAGCAAGAAGGAAGGACTAGGTCAACATGTGTTCTGGAACTGGAAAGAACATGGTGTTTAAAAAAGAGGGGAAGAGAGCCATTTTTGGCTCTTTTTCACTTCTACCGTGACCACGGTGAGACAGCCGGGTAGGTGATGTTGAAATGAAATGCGGCAAAGGGCTTCTCTGAAACCTTGGCGCCAGGAACCCCAAATGATTGCTGTTGCGTGGAGGGAAGCGCCTGGTCGTGGAGATACGCACACTTAATGCCAAGACAAAGACCGGTTAGATGGATGCTTAAAACAGCCGTCGAAGTAGCCATTTTTGGCCGCCTATTAACCGTCACACCGTTATATAGAGTAATTCATAATGATTTATACTAAGGTTCCAGATTCCATAAAACAATAGAATAGTAATATCCTTACCAAATACTATTAAAAAATCCATTTTTGCAGTTTTTGGGGGGTCATGTATCTTTTCTATGGTGATCCCATATAAAAGATACCCGAAAAAGCATCTGATAAAGATGACGATAGCGATAACGATAACGATAATGAAGCTTGCATTCAACCTTTCCTCCGCATTCCCAAACCATCTTCTATCCCAAAAACACCAAAAGCAAAGATGGTGAAACCCCTCTCATTTAAAGGTGACAAGCCTAAGAAACGCAAGGTCCGCTCCGATGACCCCGAAAAATCTGTCACAAAAACCCGCAAAATCGCCGCAGACCAAGGCAACGAAGACGAAAACCCACCCGATGACAATAGCTGGGTCTCAGCCGATGCGCCAGGCGACCTTGGCGGCCCAATCGTGCTGATTCTACCTTCCGATAAACCTACATGCGTAGCCAGCGACGTGAACGGCGTTGTGTTCGCGAGCGAGCTGGAGAATCTCATTGATGGGAATCCGGGGACTGCGGAGCCGCATGATGTGCGACAGGTTTGGGTTGTGACCAAAGTTGCTGGGACAGATGGATTCAGCTTTAAGGGACATCATGGGAAGTGAGTTTATCTCTCTGAATTAAATGGATGGTGAATTGGCTTGTCATGGGATGCCTGCTAATCTTCTTGTTCGGTATAGGTACCTTGGCTGCGATAACCATGGACTATTTTCTGCGACCGCTTCCGCTGTTAGTCACTACGAGTCTTTCATTGTGATTCCATCGCCAGATATTACGGGGACATTCTACCTTCAGACACGGGGTGGTGATGCCGAGTCTTTCATGACTATTAAGGAGAGCGCGAAGGCTACTTCTGGTGTGGAGATTCGTGGTGACGCAGAGAATCTTTCGTTTGAGACTGGTGTACGAATTCGCATGCAAGCACGATTCAAGCCGCGACTTCGAGCGTCGAAGGAGTCCAAGGCATACGAGAAGATCAGCAAGAAGGAGTTAGAAGCTATTGTTGGGAGGACGTTGGATGAAGATCAAGTGAAGAGGTTAAGAAAGGCAAGACGAGAGGGAAACTTCCATGAAGAAGTATTGGATGTTAAGGTTAAAGGGAAACATGATAAGTTTGCGTAAGACTTGACTTGAATGGCAAGAATAATCGCATTTCATTTGGTGCTTAGAACCCCCTGAAATCTCAATATTCAACAATCTATGAAACATCAATGATGCGGCTGGAATTGGCTGTCGCGCTCTGCTAATTTTCGCGAGTATGTCCTCTTAAACCCATCGTACCCCCCATTTCTGCAGTTTGTCATGATCCCATATAGCAACGGCCCAATCTCCATATGATTGAAGGCTTTCTGAAATATGAACACCCGGCCCATGCCTGTTGGGTACGACTTCATCCGCCAGAGCTTCTGCCCATACAGGGTTGGGTCTGTCGGTTGGCGGTAATGTCTCCCAAAAGCTTTCGAAAACTCGAAGCCCGTTGTCATCATCCAATGACCAACGGCAATATTGACAAGCGTGATCAATAGTACCCATCCCACCGTCGAAAATCCAGGGCTTTATCGAAGGGTCGAAATTGGCAAGAATCATGTCACGCCTTAATGAAGATTCCGCGCCGAGAACACGATATAGAAAATTGGGCCCATAAGCAACCAATGACACTGTGCGATGGCGACCAAATTCAAGTGACGGCATATCTGTGATTTCTCGTAAAGGCAGGCTGCCTATCGACAGGTTGAAAGGATGAAAGTCCACTGGATATGTCGTGTTTCTCGGTGTCCAATCAATTTTTTGCAACTCCTCGTATATTTCCTTATAGACGGATGTGTACATTCTCTTGAGATAAGGTACAAGAGAACTCATCTCCTCATACCCCCCAGTGTGTCATTTTCCCAAAAAAAGGATCGCTGCTTCTGCATGAGCGTCGTCGCTCTCAGCTTGCCAGTTATTGAGATATCTGGCCTTGTTATGCTCTCGCAGAGAGTCCCGGGAGAAGGGTTCCTCTTCCATTGGCCCGAAGATATTAGCATGGATTCCAGTCGGCACAGCCCCCGAAGAAGACGATGCTCCTCGAGCAAAGAGAGCGAAAGTGGCAACTGCGTATTCCGCGCATCCGTTGGTATCCATTCAGGCTTCGGTACATTTACACTGAAGTCCTCTAGAAAGAACAATAATCTTCGGTGCAAATAACACAGCTCAATAGTCTCGTTCAGATCCCGAGGTTTATCAATGGGAGTGAATGACGTGGATTGAAATTCCACATCCTCATTCCTCTGGCCCAAAGCATTGATCAAGGCGGTTGCTTCCGGTTTCTTATACGCATAGTAAAGACCCTTGGATCTCAACGCGGTGATGGGTTCTTTGAGGTTCAGCCCAAAAGCGGCGTAGGACTTCTTGACAACTGTAGTAAAACTTCCAGAGAAAGCATAACGGAAGACATGATATATGAACGGAGATGCGAAGGCGAAGGACTGAAGAGGACTGAAGAGATAGCAGGCGGTTATTTTCCTTAGGATAGAAACGAGGAGTTCGAGTGGAAGAGCTTCCAATGTGCAGCTAGGCTGGAAACGCGTATAAGTTGATTTGGTTGGAGGATGATTCTAAACTGAAAATTCTTACTGTTGGTGTTATCATGGTCATTGACTCATTGATGTCTTGAAAGTGAATTAATTTGATTGAGCACTTGAGACTTGAACTTATAGCTATGACCCCGCTATGCCGTGTACAAAAGTACAAAACGCGGTTCAACACGCTACGTGTACCATACAGAATCTAGTTCTGAAAAGAGCTAGGCCCATCTGCAGGTGGAGATCATTATAATAATACTTTTTGAATCTGTGACAAAACCATTGTGCCCAATTTAATATTTCCACATGTCCATGTTCTAACCTTAGGCTCCAAGGTTATTTGAGATAAAAGATCCTTTCTAGTACAAGTAAATTGTTATATCGTCAAAACATACATCGAAGAAGGTTTAGATGCTAGGTAGAACTACTAGGTAGTACTAGTAGAAACCAAATTCAAGTTACCAGTAAATTTTGAAATCCAACTTGAACCTGGTGGGATACCTTTTTCACATCATCTTCCCTACCAAATGGCCTATAAAACATTTGGCCTGTCATAATAGCTACGGAACAAGGTGCGAAAAAATTGAACCGGTCGCATTGGTAAGTGTATTGTTACTAGTAGTCATTCCTTCATATCACGCTGGGTCCAGCTCTAAGTACATACTTACTAGTTCATGTGCCAGGCAACCTGAGATAGATGCAATAAAAAGAATATAGGGAGTTTGATTCGCTACATAGTGATCCTACAACATTTGAAATAAATCCACACACATTCAATATAGGGTTTATCAAGACTGTTTTATCCTCAACTGGTAGACTTCCAAGGGGTTTTACCAATATGTCCAACGCGTGCATGAAGGAAGCGGTCAGGCCCCGGCTGCGACTATTAACAATCCACCCTACCTGTCGACTGCAGAGAACTCCACCGCACCAACCTTGCTTGATGGTCACGCGCTTTCTGATAATGGCGTGTTCCATGCCGTGGTGCTCAGTGGCAAAGACAAGTCCAACAAAAAGTGACCGGCAGACTTCAACGGGAAATTGGTCGTGAACCAGCGGCACCCTCGCGGCCCCCCAGTGGTCGTCAAGATGAATGAGATCCCATGGATCCCAGTTTATGGCCGGTACTATGCACTGGTTGGTTTCCATGTCAGCGCGGACTCATGCTACGCAATCGCGGCTCGTTAATCGCAAAGCTTGGCCTTATACAGTGAAGGCGACTTGGGACAACTGTTTTTGGCTAGGATTCGTGCCGATATCCTTACTGAAACAAAAAGAATTGTACTCGAATATCTCTAGGTTCTCGACTTATATAGAGTGCATTCATATTGAAAAATGAAGAGACATCACGATATACCTGGGCATACGCCCCGCATACAGTTACTACTAACAGACAGAAAATGTATACCATATTCACTGTGATGACATTGATCTCCTTTTGAGTTGTACTCAAGCCGCACTCCCAAACCAAGTCAGCACCCACCGAGTTATTCCCCATCGATTTACCGAGTCTATGGCACTAATCGCCTTCTTAATATGGGCCAGCGTTATGTCACTAAGCACAGAATCCACAAGCGTGAAATCCTCGTCGTTCCCAACCGAAGGCTTAGCGCGGGAGAGTTCAAGGAGTCTGGACCGCCAAAAATTCCATCGCTCAAGACTTATTGGGAGAACACCCTCAGCTAGTGGACCAGGTTTGAAGTTAGACTTTGCCTGCTCTTCTGCTGTTAAGTCTGCCCCAGTACACAGCTCTCTGTAAAGAAGGGTTCCACATCTTATCAGCCACTCAGCCGCAATCCAGACCTTGCAATCGAACTTAGTCGGGTGTCCTGCCAATTAAGTTTCTGTGCATGCTGAAATAGAGATAAGCACCAGAGTCATTATTTCCTTTTGATAATAAGTAATATGGTATAGAGGAAATAGTCTCTCACATTCTGAAACATAGTCACTGGTCCGCCCTGACGCCTCAGCCCATGAATAACGGCAGCAAAAACGTCAAGCCATGGGTGCTCGAAACTAGGCAATTCATGCACCACAGCCAGGAGCATAGTCCAAGGACTATCAAAATAATCTGAGTCATCAGTGCATTCTGGATTTGCCGATTCGAAGTATAGTCGCAGGTCATCGGTCAGCTTGGCCGCGGCCGCTGCTTTATCGTGGCTAGAGTGTAGCCCTTCATCCAAGATTCGGAGGGCTTTTGCTTGATTCGGGGTAATATCCTTAAAAAGGCCACTGAGATCAATTTCCGCCATGGTGATTGGTATTGAAGTGGTGAAAAGTTGGTGGTTTGACAGGGAGGGTGGAGTTGTGAAAGTTAACACGAGTTAGTGGAAATGAGCCTGGGTTAAGTGAGAACCTATGTAGTTATCAGATGCCAGTGATGGGTAAGATCGAAGTCGCCTAGAATCAATATGTCTCGAAACGTGGTGCGCCGTGGTGATATGTGAATGAGTACTGTAGGCGCCACTGCCGCGCCAGCCTGAGCATGCCCTAGGTGATAGATCATGGATGTTTGAGGTGCGGATACCTATAAATACCAACCTTCCAAGGTTGGAAGTGGATACTGGCCCCACTTCTCAGGTAATATTTGTAAAATATTACTCGATCCGTGTAAGGGTTCAGTAATATTCCAAGGTTGGTAACCTCCAGGGCTTCCAAGGTTGTAAATATTCCAACAGGGTTTGTGCTATAGCTTATCCATAATTAGGTATCCAATATCGTAATGCTAAGAAAAGAAAATGTAAGGGTTACTACAGAATTTTTAACCTTGGAAGATTGCAGTTCTTGAAACCATATTAGTCGAGAGAATACTCTCAGTCCTACCTATCTAATTAAAGGAAAGCGAGACGCCCGTTATACCCCGGTTGATGAATTTTCGCCCCTCACACTGTCACACGTGCATCTAATGCCATAGCTTTGAGTTGCTTGCCATGTGGCTTGGACGCGGGGGCGGATCGCCATATCACTGGTGACATATCAATTGACGCGAATCTCAGAAGGGTTAAAGCACTTTTCAAGTACGAGTAGGAATGTAACTTCATCCTCGTGAAAAACAGGACTTGAAACAAATCTGCCAGAATTTGAGATGAATTTGAAGGTTCTGCTTTAATCAAAGCTTGAACTTGGAGTTATTGGGCGTCTGACCTTGTCAGATCAGCCTCAGGATCTGCATATCTTCCTTCAATCTTCGATCAGTGCTATGAAGCATTGGTACGAGAGTTGGCTTGAGAATAAGACGCTGTTTATTTGCATTTTTATCAAGCCATCTTTTATTTTTCTGCATCATGCATCTATGGAAACGCACTGTGAATACTAACCCTATTACTACTACTTGTACCAATTGACTTGATACTAGCTAGGCTACTCAATCTTGCGAGTTTCATTCGTTCAAATCATAATGCAATCTCGCGTACATGGGACTTCCAATCCTAGGTCACGAGTCGCAGCATCAACCATCTATTTCGGTCTAAACTCAGAAAATCAGGCGATTTAGCTTTGTGATGCACGTACAAGGGTTAAATAAAAAGCTCGTTTTATTCAGAGCATACATCCATGTATTCTAGGGTCGATAGTATGATGAATAAATTCAAATCTTATACATAGTAAGTAGATCGTATTTCTTCAATTGTCCTTGATGTCCCACGCGCTCTTTTTATTATCGATTTTATACATACTGTCTGAATATTCTTCATCTTTGAGTTCTCTTGCTACCTCTTCGAATCCCCTTTACTACCTCTCTCTTTACTATCTCTCTAACGGTTACTATTTTTTACAGCCGTGACATTGACATCGTCTTCAAGTTTCCTTTACCACCCATACACCCATACATCTTTTATATTTCGCTGTCACATGTGCAAGTCATTTCCATTAATTAAATTCTCGTCATGCCCACTAGTGCTAGCTCTAACACATTTCCCACTGGAAATGGAGAATCGAGCTCTAAGGCCTACGCTCCACCGACTCAGCGTCCAACCGAAGCATCCTATATAAGTTGCCAGCTGTCGGTGTTCGCCTATCAGAGCAAGGCCACCATGGGCATAAGGTCATGTGTCTGAGGTTGTTCCAGACTGTTCTCCCCAAGCAGATCTTCTTCCTTTCCACATGCCTCATCCACCACCGTTCTGTTTTAGTAATACCCCTTGGTTCTTGGCGTTCTTGAGCTAACCTTGGAACCTATTTTTTGTAGTATGACTGTCACGGAGTTATCAATCATCCAAAGGATCGGTATGTTCGGGATTGGCACTACGCTAGCGATGTCAGAGCGCCGCTGGAAAACCTGTTAGACGCGACCCTTCACAGCACTCTCGACCAAGGGAATACCCCTCACATTACGGGAACAAGCCCACACTACCACTAACTGTCTCTACCAATAATCTGGTACATGTTCCTATCACCCCTGGCACATCGATGCCATGGAGAAACGGTATGAGAATGAGAAAAGGGGCCCACCGTGCAGTCTACGATAACGAAAATTGAAGCAAAGCCGACGTCGTCTATCACGATCCCACCAAAAAACCAAAACGACCTAACGCAATTTCAACGGAATTTTCTATGGCAACATACGTCCCGAGAGCTCCCCCGAAGGTTCCTGCGACAGCTCCCCGAAAGTTTTGTCAAAGCGGTCTTGATCCTAAGTAACGTTCTATCAGCCATTTTAAGTTATTTCTGGTCATTAAAACACTCAATTGAAGTTGAAAGTTTGCACCATTCATTATTCCCTCAATTTTTTTTGCCAGAATCGGAGTTTACTACAAAAAAAACGCTCAATGCTCTGTTTGGTTTCAAAGTAGAATCGCCCATTCAGAAGTATGGATAACACCATTGATTACTCCAAGAATGCTCCCACTCCAACCTATACCAGTGATTTCCAAGGTTCAGGCCGATTTTCTTAAACGAAAATTCGTATACGAAAATTCGTATACTATTAGAGCTGAAAGTCATCTCCCAGAATGTGGCTGGATTCATTGTTTTTGCTCCAATACTAGCAAGTCCTTCAAATTTAAAGTTGCAACAGGGGGTATCGTCTGTCAGTTTAGCCTTACTACGACCTGCATATATTCCTTAAAATTTTGATTAGTGCTCCACTGGCAGGGCTACTATGTAGGTATGAGCCACAGGCACAACTTGGATATTCATGGTGGCTCAAAATTCGCTGCTTAATATTGAGAGCTAAACCCTGTCTTTTAACGTTGTGTCAGATCATAAATGAAACATTTGAAGCTGTCATTCACATCTCAAGTGCTGATAGCTGACCTCCATGCTGTTCAATATCATAAGCCTTATCTGCCTACATGATGACTCAATCTTGGTCCAGCAATGTTTGATCCTAACATTTGAAGTCGATGTATCTATCTTGTCTATATTTCTTTTTTTTTAAATATTACTGTGCCCGTCCTGAGGTCAGACCATACTATATCGCTTATAGTAGCACTTTGGCATAGGTTGAACATATGAAAGGGGTAGGTCCTTTTTTTATCCATTCTATACAGTCTTTCCTCTTCAAGCTATACTATTTACTACATACATCTACGACGTTCAATTTATCTTCAAACTATCACTACTTTATCTTCCACTTCTTCTCACTACCTCCCCAGCTTTTAATACCTCGTCAAATTCTCTTCTCAACCTACAGCTCATTTCGCTGCCAGTGGTTGCCAATTTATTTACGTCAAAAATGCGCCTCATGCCTGCCAGTTAGTAGCTCCAACGAATTTCCCACTAGGAATAGAAAATCGGACTCCAGGGATAACCTCCACTACACGGAGTCCACCAAGCTCGCCATACACAAGTAGCCTACTATTGATACCAGTGCATGGACCACTGAAAGTTTTCCACGAAATTTCACTTATTTGAAGAAGTTGGAACAGCCATGATGGGAGCCCTTCCGGTAATGGCTCTGCCAATACGTTCGAGTTGTTGAGGAGCTTTGAGACAGCATCTGAGAGCGAGAATATAATCAAGACCGGATGCGCATGTAGAAATTCTCGAACATTTCCATCATCATCTTCCAAGTTTCCGCTTTGATCGAACAGGCTTAGCTAAAGAATGATATGCATTAGTAGGAGGGAGAACTCCAATAGGAATGGTAGGAATTTCATACTATCGTACTGGGTGGGATGTAATCTGGGATTTTGACCATGGCGAGGCGAGACGAATACTACTACTACTACTACTACTACTACTCCGTAGTTGAGCGGTAATCGCGTGGTCAGATCTATTTCTGGATCCACTTCAAGAAAACCCCGAAGCCTCACATATTATTCATACAGCTCACCAATGGAGCCCTTTGACATCTTACACAGGAACCATATGATCGAGCGACAGGTTTGCAGAAGGAGGTCACTCCCAGATGTTGGTGTGTGAGGGAAGAGAAAACACTGGCGCCAGAAGGCTTGAGCTGTGTGCCTCTTGAAAAGGCAATGTAAGTATATGTTAGGAGGTGTGCCTTTGGAACAGCTACAGGAAAGAACACGTATGGGGGAAGCGCGCGGAGGGGAAGTCTGCCCCGACACGTCGAGAGCTATCTACCTAGCCACCTTGGTCTGAACTATACAGACCACGTGATCTAACAGTACATGAGTGCAATGCAAGTCAACGCGTTCCCTAATTATTGGTCAACAAGGTTGAAATGAGGAGGTATGTGGAGAGAAAGTCGGCGGTTATGCAGGAGTACTTAATAGGAAAACGAAAGAAAAGCAATGTGGCCACCCAGTGCCCAGGTGGAAAACAAAATCGACGTAAATCTCAGTCAGCCCTTTGAGTTTCCTGTAAATGGTTCTTCGTATTAATAAACCAGAAGCATTGTTATAATTCAAGTTGTTATATCTTATTCACCACCTTAGCCAATACTATGGAACTCACGCGGAACAAAAGAGATTCAATCAAAATATGGCCTCTAACAAGAAAGAAGGATTTGCCTTAAAAGCCGACAGGGACTTCAAGGAGTGATCTAGAAGAACCTTTATCAAAGTCTGATTCGGATGAAGACGATTTTCCCATGCCAGGGGGCTTCCATGGATACACGGGTCCTGCCTTCACCATCCACGATGAAAACGACTTATGGGAAACGGCCTATCGGTCACTGAAACATGAGGAAAGATCCATTTTGGACGCCATTCGCAATGAAAACGCGAGCGCCATGGCCATTTCTGCGGTACTGGAAGACATCATCACAACCATTGAGACTCAATTTGAGATTCGCGAGAAAAGAAATGATACATCGAAAATCAGGAAAGCTGCAAAGCACATCCTCGACATCGCATGTTCCACGCAGAGCTCTGTGGCAAGTATTGCTGCTGCCGATCCTATAAGCCATGCAGCGACTGCTTGGGCGATAGTTTCTCTTGGGCTAAAGGTCAATATGATACTAGACATCCTTAAAATGATTCAAAGCTGACGTGGGTGAAACTAATATAGCTGACTCAGAATGATCGCGCACTTCAAAATGCGCTGTTTGAGACATCCGAGTTTCTTACTGAGGCGCTGGGTCGTTATACCCTCTACCAGAAATTTCTCGACAATGCTCCAGAGGAAGGGCGTGCAAGTATTCGAAGCACCCTTATCCAGATATATGGAGATGTATTGCGATATGCGATATGCGATAGAGTGTACCCGGAAGCTGAGCGTCAGAAAGCGAATCTGGAAAACAATTTCGGTGTCTAATATTGGGGACGGGCGGCTTTCAACCCTTCAGACAAAGATCAAAGGAACAGAGCAGAATCTCAAGGGATTAGTCGATATCACGCAGAACATTCACAGCAAAGAGCGAGCGGAAGAAATTCTTCTACGAATTGAACAGATTTCAGCACTTGTTGAGGCAATTGCCCAAAGCCTTGAACTTTCCAAGATACACATTGCTGTTAAAGCAGTGAATGGTACTTGGAATGATGAAAATGAAGAACCATTGTTGGAAGGCACAAGACAAGAGCTCCTGGAGGATATCGTTAAATGGGCAGATAACCCCGACGGCGAGCAGTTTTTCTGGCTTGACGGTATGGCGGGAACTGGAAAGTCTACTATATCGCGTAAAATGGCCTCATTATTCCAAGACCGAGGTATCTTGGGAGCAAGTTTCTTCTTCAAGAGGGGCCAGCTGGATTGCGACTCGGCAAACAAAGTCATACCAACGATCGCCTATCAGTTGATGAACTTATTCCCAAGGCTTAAAAAGGAGATTCAGGAAGTAATCAAGAAGGATGCATTGATATTTGAGCAAACTCTTGAGGCACAGTTTACAGCTCTACTCTTGGGGCCACTTAAGCAGCTAGAAATTTCTGGACATCAGCGGTTGACTATGGTTCTTATCCTTGACGCAATGGATGAGTGTTCAAATCAATATCCAGTAGATGCTGTACCGAAACTTCTCCTGCTTTTATCCCAACTCAAAGGGGTAAAAGTACTTGACATGCGGTTTTTGGTCATAGGACGACCAGAGGCACCTATCAGCGATGGGTTCGACAGATTGGACGAAAGCAAATACTTCAAAGTTTCTCTTGAACAAGTTGAAAGCGTGAAGGATGATATTTCCAACTTTCTACGCACCAAACTCAACAAAAGAAAGGCACACTGCATGCGTGTTAATCTCCATGGAAGAAATCTCTTCGAAATCCCTGAGACCTGGCCTGAAGAAAGCCTTATAGAGGTATCAACTGAGAGCGCATGCCCATTACTCATTGCCGCATCAACCATGACCCGATTTATCGGAGCCTCGAAGTTCTCTCCTGTGGAGCGAGCCAACATTTTTCTACAGAATGAAGGCTCCCGAAGCAACACGTTTGAGGTCTATCGCACCGTTTTGGATCAATTTGTCTCTGTAGACGACTTGACTGATAAAAGGCAGATTCTTGAAGATTTTCATCGAATTGTGGGACCAATCATTCTGCTCTACAATCCACTTGCAACCAACGCCCTGTCGCGTCTACTTGGTATAGACCAAAGTCTTATTGACAGAAGATTAAGAGATCTTCGGTCAGTTCTCGTTGTGCCCGATCAGGAAGATGTTCCCATTAGACTGCTCCACCTGTCCTTCCGAGATGTCCTTTTTGACGATAAAACCTCTCAAATGGGCCAATTTAAGGTGGATGCAAAAGCCCAAAACCACAACTTGGCCATGAGATGTATTGATGTTATGTCTGATAAGAAAGGTGGTCTAAGAAGAAACAGTTTTTGTTTTGAGCACAAACCAGTGGACCATGAATGTTCTAAAGTCAATGATGATAAGGGAAAGTTAGAGCCACATGTGAGCTATGCTTGTCAATACTGGGTGGAACATCTCCAGAATTGTCCTGATACTTTCGATCATGATCTTGTATACGCGTTCTTTGCAGACCATTTTCTTCATTGGCTGGAAGTTATGGCCTTATTTGATATGACATCAGAGGCCTTGAGACATCTAGTTGAGTTAGAAAAGATACTATCAGCTTCAGTACGCGATCCCAAAGATACACTGTCCGAGAGGCTTATACTGACCATCTATTCAGAGAACGCAAAGCTCTCAGCTGACAAGATTTCTTCATGAAGCAATTATGTTTTTGCAAAGAGCCAAGGACACCATCAGCGTGGCACCCCTCCAGGTTTATTCATCTGCCCTCATGTTCACTCCAGAAAACGCTGCTGTCCGGATAATTTTCAAAGATCAAATTCCGAAATGTTTTATAACATTGCCGCAGGTTGACAGGGACTGGGGCTCCGTACCAAAAGAACCAAGGGCCTACTCCAGGCGTCCAAAGCGACCTCTAAGCAGGCACAACCTTGCCATATCTCCTAATGGCTGGAGGTTAGCTTGTATCCCACAATGGAAGCGAGACGAAGTTCAAATCTGGGATATTGGGAGAGAAACGCCTGACAGACTGACACAGACAATTTCAATTACTGACTGGTCAAGTATTGAGTTCAAATCCCTTGCTTTTTCACCAGACGGTAGAATCCTAGCAATTCCGCATATGCGCAAAAGCTCAATTTCCCTTTGGGACTTGAATGTCAACAAACAGATATACGAGATACCACTCGACACTGCCTCCTCAAGTTTTGGAGGGATATGCTTTTCATCGGATTCTAAATCACTGATATATGCTTGTGAAGTGGATAGTATCGAGCGAAGACCAGATTTAGACTGGCAGCACAGGATATGGGACTTGAGTAAACCGGGCGCTGAACCAAAGAAACTAAAACACCGTTTCGGCTACTCGATGGCCATTGCATTATCGCCAGAAGATCGGTATCTCGTGAGCAGCCACGGTCTTCCGAGTATGATCGCTGTTTAAAACTTCGCCACGGGTGAACATTTACGAAATATTGAGCTCAAAAGCTGGCGTCCAGCCAGGTTGCTTAGATTCACAGAGGACGGGGAGTATCTACTGACGGAGAATGGTGTCTTCTCAATCACGTTTGGTGATTACTCTTTGCAATACGCATTGACACATTCTTGGCTTGATGTAAAGGACGACTTTATCACAAAAGGCACCCAGAGGCGCCTCTTTTTACCGATGGAAGAGCATGGTGCATGGGCTTCTCATGGAGATTCGCTGTACATTGCGAGTGATTCTGCTAGACTCCAGAAATATGTAATTAGAGACGACTACGATGAAGTTTCTCGGCCGTCATAGTGATGGGTGATATTTTACTAACGCCCTCAAACCTCTAACTTCAAGTTGAAGTTCAAATGTGCATATCACTAGACGATTCCCGAGGTCGAGTCCACGCCTATTCCTGTGCCTCTAGTCTTCAAGTTGTTTCATGAGTAAAATGAAGTATATGTAGATCCCTTCTATTTTATCTGAACCTGCACGTGTAAGTTTCAGCCGGAGCAAGTTGAAGTTCAACTTGAAATGTTGACACTGATATCTGCATAAGGAGTCTCAATTCAACTTAAACTCCATTGATCAACGGCCCCACATCCGGAGTCCGAGTTTAATTTAAATTTCAGCCAATCAAATAACAGCTATTGTGCCTCTAACTATTACTCATAATGAGCCATTAAATCTAATTGGTCCAAAATATCTATACAATCAGGGAGTCAGGGACATATAGAACATATAAAGACCTCAAGATCACCCCATTCCATCTCATTCACACATCCAAGGTTTCAATGCTCCCGACTATAACAAACTCATCCTCATCCTTATCAGCAACAAAAATGACGAAAACGCAATTCCAATACCCAATCCCACCAGGAGTCCACTCCATCCCACACACAGACCTTGACCTCCGCCCCGACTCCACAATTGACGAAATCCTCGAATCCCCAGGCCCAGTAACAAGTACCAAGAACATCTGGTTCTTCTGGCACTCAGGGTACAAAACCATGCCAGGGTACAGTCAACGTACCGTACGCACTTGGCACAGACGTCTTTCCAAAAAGGGGTGGACAATTCGAGTCCTTGATCGAGTTCCTGGTTCTGCAAATAATATCTCTCAATACCTTGATATCACATCACCAAAAGTCTTCCCACGCGCATTTATTCAAAATACACTCTCTGGTCCTTTCGCATTACAACATACCTCTGACTTAGTTCGGTTCCCACTGATACTAAAGTATGGAGGGATCTATGCGGACGTGGGACTGATGTGTATTGGGGATGTGGATACACTCTGGAATCGAACGGTGAATAATCCCGATTCGAAATATGAGATTATTTCATATACAAGCAAGAATGAGGGGATGTATAACCTTTTAAATTATTTTCTTGGTGGAATGCCTGGGAATGAATACTTCAGGCGGTGTCATGAGTTATTACTTGCGCTTTGGGGAGAAGATGGTGGGAAAGAGAGTACGGAGGGGATGCATGCAAGTGGACTTTTATCCGGAGTGAAGTTGATGGGTGGAGCGTTTACGATTGAAGAGGAGGATGGGAGTGTGATTCCTGCGGATGAGGTGAGCAGGATGTTGACGGATTATATTATTCAAGGACAGGCGGCGAGTGCGGTTATGGGGTTGGTGGATATTGATGGGAACTGGGATGGACCGGCGTATGTACGGGAGAGGTTCTTTGCGATGGAGTTTATGGAGGGATCGCAGTTGATCAATGAGATGACCAATTGGGATGGGCAGAGGGCATTTGATCTGATGTCACTTTCTTTGCCTGGTTCTGGGGAGGTGGAGAGTGTGGAGCAAGCAGAGGCGCGGAGGATTGTGGAGGGTTGTTTGTCCAGGAGTTTTGGGTTTAAGTTGGCGCATGGGTTGATCTTGAAGGTGTTCAAGGTTACCTTGGGCTCATCGTGGAAGAAGAATCCTGGGTCAGATGCTGTTCCTGGAACTTATGCGGATTGGCTTCGTCATGGAATGAATCATTGGACGCCAAACAAGGTACCAGAGTCGGTGGTCTTACCTATCATTCCTCCTACCAAAGTGGGAAGATTACTAGAAGTTTGAGTATAGAATAGTATAGAAGATCTGAAGATATGATATCTAATAGAATACGGCGTTTTTGAAGGGAAAACCAGGCAATAACATTTGAGCATCAATTAGTAACATTTTGAATGAGATCTGGACTTGAACCATTTTAATCAACGCTATATCCTTTCTGTTTTGACATCTGGACCATATAATCACCCTCCGCAATTCGCGCATATAAGCGAATAGCACTCTTGTTCTGGAGTAAAGAAAGTACAGCAAAGTAATAAAATCATGAGGAATAGATCACAGCCATTAAATCAGGAAGCCAAAGATAGACAAAGAAACCTCGTAGTAAGGCACCCTGGCCATTAAAAGGGAAAAGAATTAAAATCAATCTTCAAGAAAGTTAAGAAGCTCAAATAATAAGAGATAACACGCGACACGACGCGCGCAGCGCACCCACCTGGGCAGTCTTGATTATCAACATAAATCTGTTTGTCATAAAAACCGAGTCTATGGAAAACCTTGGAAGCGAAGCGGAATCGGCAAAAGGGAAGAATCGGAGGAGCAGTAAGGTAAAGACTGTGCGGGTGTCGTATAACAGCCCGGGGTATGAATTCTAACTTGAACAGTAGTACAGAGGTAAAGAATGAAAAAGGCAAATCTCAAAACCCGTGGCCAGGAACATTCTTTCGCAGGAAACGCAATCAAAGCAGGCATATGAAATAGCTCGACGCAAGAGAAAACGGAAAAAAGCAAAAAAGGGCGAGCAGGTCTAGCGGGTGAATCTTTCGTTGCGGCAAGAAACCAGGGAACCGGAGTAAACATATCAAACGCGTGTTCGAGTTGTACATGGGATCGGAAGAGAGAAGATAAGATCAGGTGAAATCAAGAATTGAGTGAAAGGCCTTGGAATCGGCTAGCCCATTCACCCTGTGCAGAATGCACGCGAGCATTAGGTGAGTCACTAGGGTTGTAGTCAGAGAAACCGGTCTCTAACGGTCCAAAGCTGGTAGGTGAATATGGAGCAAAAGGATCAGGTTGAGCGCCATCCAGCTGGCGAGATGACTGAGCGAATGGCTGGTATGTGTCCGTGAAAGCTGTGCGGAGCATCCCTACAGGGTTTTGCATCTCGCGGCTGGGATCTACATCACGAGCTCCGTAAACTCGCTCTTGATGACGTCGTTCGCCGGGAGACTCTTGACTGTACAGGGGATTTGGCATTCCTCCTGGACCAGACAGCCCGGCACTGGGTGGCGTCACGAACGAGGCAGGGTTGATAGCCGACATCCAGATTCTAGTCTTGTAGATTTTGAATAAATCGGTGACCAATGAGTTAAAGTTGATATAGGAATCAGCAAAGTAATAGAAGGTGAGTTTCTTCCAGTCCCTGTAAGAATAGGGTTAGTTAATTCACTTGGCTTTCAACGTACTGAGGGAGGTACTCACATTTGAAACTCAGCATCCAGAATTTCCATGTTCAGTCGATGCTCAGCAACCTTTTGCTGGCATACACGCTTGGCTTTAGCTTCATTTCCCTCCTTGTCGCGGAGTGTCAAAATCTCATGGCTCTGAGCAAGGCGCTTGATGAGCTTGGGTTTAATCTCTGCAGATGTCTCCTGGACGCCATGTGCATGGGGGCCCATTCCGCCCGTGGCACTTCGAGCCGTCAGACCTGGATTGGCTACACTGGAACCCTCCAGTTGACCTTGACGTGAAAACATCATGAGCCACTTGTAGTGCTCCTCTGCGTATTGCTGTTTAAGTTCCCGAGCTCGCTGGAGAGATACATTGGCATGTTGCACCGTACCCAGATCAGTTCCACGGTCAGCCTCCACAATGACCAAATCGCCAGCCTTGACTTGTAGTCCAGTATCCTCTTGAATGTAGAAGACATCCGCACGATGACACTTAAACGTAACAATGTACAAAAGCTGGTTCTGGTGGGCATGCGATAATGCAGGAGGTTGGCGACCGTAAGGATTGTTCATTGCATATTGGTTCAGAGCAGCTGGGATGCCCGAGGAGCCATCACCGCGCAGTGTTTGCTCTCTAGCGTAGTATTGTGCCTGAATGGAGCCGGGGAAGTCTTGGACATTGCCGTACGTATCTTGACGATCTCCGAGGCCCGCTCGAGGAGTGGCAGTGCTGTGGGAGTCCACAGAGCTTATCGAATCATGACGAATAGGAATATCAGCAAAGGAATGACGACGGCTTTGAGGAAGTTCAGCTGCGCCCCCAAAGCCAAGGGAGGTTTGCCAGTGTGCCTTGCGGACGTTGTCCAGAGCGCGATTTTCTATTGGAGCGGCAAAGGATGAAAACTGATGCTCTAGGTTGGCGGAATGCTCAGAGAATCGGCGCCTGGTGTTGCCGCGCATGTTGTAGCCATGGATGTCGCGTAATTCACCAAGGTCCTCAGCCGCTAGGTCCTCCTCCGAAACGACACCATGAATCCGATGAGCGGCGTGAACACCAGCATTAGAAGCAGATGAAGAAGCACGGTCGCGGAATCGGCCATCCATTTGGCCTGCAGCCGCGGCTTGGCGGAGAAGAGCATTTTCACGGGCGAGCTGTTCGATTTGTCGAGCTTGACTGACAGAGTAGCCCAGCTCAGTCTCAGAACCGTTCAGGCTCTCGTCGCCATCATCATCTTCGCGAACACGACCAAGCATGGCTGGGTCATGGCCCAATTCACCAAGAACACTGGGTCTTTGCGCTCGTTGCTGGACAGCTGACGTTTGACCGGGCACACGAGAACGGCCACCCGGATATTGCGCACCACCTGCTGTCTTCGCTATCATGCCGAGATACTCAGGGTCCATTTGTCCCACGGAGTATGACTGTGAACGGTAGGTCTTCGGGGTAGGCTGCAACGGGATCGCGAACGGAATAGCTGATTCGCCAGAGATAGTGCGAGTGATAGGACTGAGTGCCTCATCTCCTAGGGGGAACCCCTGATGGGGGGGTTGGCCATGGTCGGAGAGGGAACGATTTCAGAAAGGCGCGATGGGGGCTCCTTGCGGGATTCTGCATTCCATATAGCTGTTCCCCAAGGGAAAGAGCTGTTCCCCGACTGATTCCAGTTGAACGATCCACTCATGCTAGGGCTGGGGTTCGCCGCCCAGGGCGCCTGATCACCGGAGGGACTTGCGGGGTTGGAGGGTGCAGATGAGAGAGGGCCACCGGAAAGAGAATGTTTCCTCTGCACGGAAAGAGGAACCTCATTGAGCCATGAAGTCCGACGTGCTGGCTTCACCGTAGGCGCCGTGATCGTCTGTGTGTGCGAAAGATGGTCTCCGTCATCGTCGGACGAGGCAAGGGCTTCGGAATCTGGGGTGGAACGTCGTACTCCGGGGTGGCTCTTCTCGAGTCGGGCACTGGCAGTTACGGTGGGTGGTGTGCCCGATTGGGTCACAAACGATTTCTGAGATGGGGCGGTCATTATGTCTGCGATGGAAATAACTGGAATCAGATCAGCATGTGTGCCCTAAATGACTCTATGCAGCTATTCAGCCGAATTCAAAAGTCCCGTCTCAAGGGACTGGAGTGACGAGTGAAGTAAGCGCTAAGGGGGCCGCCAATGAATCCAAGCACTGACCTGTGATATCTTTAGGTGACGAGGACTTTAGGCTGTACTTTATAGGACGTAATTTGGCGGCGTCGATCACACGCGACAAAGCACCCGTCTTTGGTTCACGCGCTCGATGAGGTTGGGAAAGTAAAGGCCAATCTCGATCTTCCGGAAGACACGATGGGCTGCGCTATGTGCAACTCTAGTGTAAAAGGAACGTCAGTTTCTCAGGGGTCAACGAAGAAAATAAAAAATAATTGAATGATAATTGCGACAACAATCTGTACATGAATAAGCCACGATGCGCGGGGCACGTGCTGGGTGGCATGACGGAGGCTCATTATGACAAAAGCGGGGGAACCCCTTGTGCGATACGAAGCATTTCCGCGTAGCGAACTCAATGGCTGTGTAAAATGTAATCGCCGAGGGGGAACACACGGTAGTATCAAAATTGATCGGCGAAGTGAGGATGCAGGGGGGATAAAGGGGGTAGATGAAACGATGGCGACAGGCGAGAGACGACAAGCGACAAGGATTGTAGTGGCGCAACTCAGGTACAACGATAAAGGAGAAGACGAACGCGATGCGATTCCCACCTACCTGACAGAGAGAGAGAAGAATAGTCTAGGATCCGTCTACAACTGGATCCAAGTCAGTCTCCACAAGACGCCCCGGAGGAAGTGGAATTCGAAAAAAAGGTATCAACGAAGAAAAGGAACTGAGTTGCCGTAAAATCGTCTCTGTCGCGAATGGCCCCAAAATGAGTTCTCAGTTGCGCGCGCAATTCAAAGAATAAACCACTCACCACTCTAAAGAATTTGCAATAATTCTAATCGGAAGAAGCGCCGTGAAGGAGATCGTGGGTCTCGTCAGAATCGCAGCTCCGGCTAGGTCTCCACACAGGCCGCGACCGAAGATGGGGTGATGAATAGGGAAGAATGGAGAGGGGGGCGGAGATCGCCCGGTTAATGAGGTGCAGTAGGTTCGGGGGAGAATTTCCTTTAAAGGATCCCCTTCAACTTGAAGAAGTAAAAAAGGAAAAAAAAATTGAGGGGCAACGGGTCTGTGATCGCGAGGATCTAATGATCGCCACCCCGGGGTTGTAAAGTGGAAGAGGTTTGGAGCTGGGGTAGCGTGACCACGGGATGACGTTGTGGAGCAACCAGTCCCTTCAAGGGTGGCGCATGGTTGAAAGAGAATTAGAAGAAATTTAAGGACAGAATGAAACAAGTGAGGAATGAAGTTTAGAAGAGTACGCAGGGATGAATAGTAGTAGTAGTAGTAGTAGAGGGAAGGGAAAGAGAGGAGAGAGAAAAGCTGGGGTAACACTCTTCTTTTACATAGGGGGAACCGGATTTGGTAGGGGACACGGACCACGGGGGGGGATTTCACACCGTGATACAATACCACAGTTTATATTATATTCTATTATATATGTTGAATTCTATTTTATTAAAGATATTATTTTTATTCTAATCTGGGGGGAAGAAGATGCCGACAGACGATGCTTACTGGTCTTTGAAGCGAGTTGGATCCATTAAAAGCCGCCAACCCCTGTTCCCCTCTCCACACACAACTGGATGATCAGACACTCAATCCTTCTCTGCCCCCCCCCAAAAAAGAACCCGAGAAAGACATGATAGATACGAGAAACCCGAGAAAAAAAACATAAAGAACGTTACCTCGCACCAGTGTTGCACATCAACAGGGAATATATCATGATTCCATAGAATGTGGAGAAAAAAAGAGAGATTCCTCCGGGGTTGATGTATAGGCTGATCCTTTTGCGGGGAGAGCTCACCTGCATTAGAATGTCCCCGCTATGATTCATTCACAAAATTCAGCCCTCGGGAAATAGAGGCACCCAGGTGGGTATTTACAGTCTTACAATCTTTCAAAGTAGATTAAATGTTCTAACGGTTGCAAAGTGTCACAGAGAAAAAACCTCTATGGTAATACAAGTGTAAGCCACCTAAACCCGGGATATAAGGATAGTCATTCTAGACATCTTGGATGTCCAGAGAAATATTGACGTATATCCATGTCACTACCCATGTTATCTTCATCCCTTCATTTGACGCACGAATCATCGGATACTCCGGACCTCCGGGTTGATCCTCATGAATGCTGCACGGCTCATTTGACATCAGTTGTTGACGTAAGTGGGTAGCCGCAATGAGCCCTAAAGAACATAAAGAGACGACAAAAAACAAGAACTGTAGAATATCTAGACCAGTCCAAAGAAAAGAGACCAAAGGAGAGAAAAGACAGGGTCTCGAATCAGAGAAACTTGAAGTCAAGAACCAGGTAAAAGCAAATTATCATGGGTAAGTTGAACCATGGAGCTCAGCCCCTCCACGGGAGCCATTCCCCGCAATTTTGTGCCCCTCTTAGAGTCTCTTAGAGTCCATGCCCTCCGCGGCTTCGACTAATAGACTCATAGACTTGAGACTCCGCATATTTAGGGTGGTCCCATCCCGACCAGTCTCGACCCAATCTCATGTAAATGGGGACGCGAGGGTTATGCACGCCCCTCTTCTGACCGTTGTCTAGAATGAGCAACACGGCACACTTCAATTTTTGAATATTGGAAATACGGGGTGATTTCACGATGTCCTGCAGAAAAAATCTAGGTCTCATGGCAGGTAGTAGATCTGTTCAACCTGAGAGGGGTAGCTTGGTCTCGAATACGATGGTTGTACCATCATTGATATCCGGCTCTAGCCTTCTGCAGTACATCTAGTGGCAATACTATTGGAACCTTGGAAAGATGTAGTCTAGCCCTGGAGATGTCTGTTCTTACTACAATATTCTTGCACTACTTTATGTCGACATAAAGGTCCGCACGTGTGAGCCGAGTTGACAAGACCAGCTATGTCTACTCCAAATAGTAGTAAATCTATTTATGAACTAGAGTTTCGTTAATTACCAGTGTGGTTGATGGCCTCGATTTAAGCGGGGTAGGAAATACGTGGTGTCGTATGCGACATGCATGGCAAACCTTGGGAAAGTTGATAGGAGAGCATCACGCTAACATGAATTTAATTATGAACCATCTAGAACATCCATGGGTATGAAAGAGTGGTATGTGTGGAATATTGTACAAGTTCAATGCATCAAATAACGTGGATCACCCAGTTAAGGTGCGGAGGGTGTGGAGGGTGCAGAAGGTGCGGAAGAAGAAGAGCCCGCAGCTCCCTTTCCCTCTCCCTTCTTCTTTCGCAACTGCTCCTCAAATTTGGCGAACTCATGCATAGAGATAATTTCCTCCTGGTCCATCACCTGCTCGACTCCCTTAACCTCCTCAATCTATAAGACATTAGTTAACCGACCCAATCTGGTCTCTCGGGTGAAAGGAGAAACTCACATAGTGCATCAGCATAGACTCAATACCATTCTTCAATGTTACCGTACTAGAATCGCATGTTCGGCACGCTCCACGCAGCTTCAACATAACAATGCCATCCTCAAATCCACGAAGCTCAATGTCACCTCCATCCTCCTGGATAGCAGGTCGAATTCGTGTCTCCAGCAATTCCTTAATCATGCTGACGACCTCATCGTCATCTTCGTTGTAAGCGAGCGAATCTTCCTCAACTTCGTGATCTCCTTCAGCACCCTCAACAACCGAAACAATGGTCTCGCCAGAGGTAACAGCCTGGGTGATGAGACTGAAAACTTCGGGCTTGATGTGTGCCCAGTTCACGTCACCGGACTTAGTGACGGTGATGAAGTCGGCACCATAGAACACCGAGGTAACGCCTTCGACATCGAAAAGCTTTGCGGCAAGGGGAGATGGGTTAGGAGGAGCGAGGGTAGAGCGGGGGAGACATATATTCCAGGAAGGTGGATGGGAAGTCCTCAGGAAGGACGCGGTGGTTGGGGATGAATTTCAGAGCCTGGTTATTCTGTTAGAATTGCGAGCTCAATGGTGTATATGTTGTCGGGGTACATAGTCCATATAAACCAAGGATCAGAGGACATACATCGGGATTAGGAGTGTTTTCAGTCTGGATAAAGATTGTGCGCTTGCTTGTCGATGAGGGACCAGTAACATTGGCTGATGCCACTGGTTGCTGGTATGGTCGCACCGTTGGTCGGCGACGCGTCTCTGAGGCTGTGAGGGTAGGAAGGCGAGCAGCGCTCGACACGTTCCTGCAAGGACCGAACACAGCAGGTCGGATGGATTTGGAGATAGATGAAGGGACCCGGGCATTTGATAGAGCACGTCGAAGCATGTTTGAGGACGTTGAGTTGATTGACATTTTCACTGCAAACGTACTGGTTTGAGGAGATCAAAAAGTGATATTTGCAGGAAATAATATTTGTTCAAAAAGTTGAGAATCGCCGCGGTCCGGACTCTGACGCAATAGGGACGGCACGTGCTCGTGGATTACAAATTTGCAGTGGTGAATCAGCCAATCAGCGACGAGGCGTTACAACCATAATCTGCCGAATGTCGGAAGCTTCGCTATGTTCTGCTCCAATATCCTGTTGGGATATTTGAATTCATGAAAGAAAGCGTGAGAAATTTGTTAATTGGGGTTATTCTTTGTCACAGAATAGAATATTAATTTGCATTGTGGGCAGAAATCTTAAGAGGGCCCTGTCTGGTGGAAGCTTGGGCCCAGATGTGTCGATGGTGTTGCAGATGGGCCAGTCCATACTGCCAAAGAGACCTTAGTCTGAGTCCTGATTGCCCAAATAGGATTGGTATTTGATTAGTGAAAGGTTATAGTACAGTTCAGTTAGGTCAAATGTGCGCTGAAGATACAAAACTTTGCACACGACAGGAGCAAATATTCAATGGTGCCAGTGTTCAAGTTGGGAAACAGTCGCTTGGAATAGAGTTAATCCTCAATGGTAGACCCCGGGGTCACAATGTGGATACATTAAAGATGTCCTAAGTTTTGTTTATGCCTGATGGAAGCGAGCTTCAAGATGATCTTCCAGTGCAAGGACCTGGTATGGAGCAATTGATGTCAATTTTCGATATCGTCATAGACATTCAGTTGCTACTGTTGGTAGACTCCCCACTGGGCCAGAAGTGCGAATTGCATTGCTTTCTTCAAGTATGGGCTTACCATGATTTGAACCCCAAAGGTGATGAGTTGATAAGCTATATCTCAATTAGGACAAATTTCCCAGAACCTGTGGCATCCTAGGATAGACTGAAACTTGCCTGGTACAACTGGAGGATAGCAAATAGTGCATCCTGTCAATGGCGTCCAGACCATTCTTCCTATGCACGACTCGAACAGCTTCTCGGCAGCTAACCTTGGTTTCCCCTGGCAAGGAAGGCCGAACTGAATGCAATCAGGGCATTCAAGGATGAGAGTGCTTCCAATGAAGACTAGGCAAATTTCCCATAGATGCAAGAAAGGGCCAGCTGTGCAATTACAGATTGCTGATGATAGCATAAAATCAAGATATTTAGCCACACACTGTGTTCTCAATGCTGCATTGGCTTTGAAGCGAGGAACCTCAAGATCCACTTCGACGGGTCGAGATATTTCTTCTGCAACAAGTTTGCATTGAAATGGGGATGATACCATCCTGTCAGTACACATGTTTTGCCAATTGAGTTATGAATGAAAGCGCGGTTCCTTTCATATCCGGTACAGACGTGGCCGTTCTTCAGGCACCGTATGTACTATGCACCATCTCGTCGCACTAGACAGGGATCAGGATTGGATGCCCTAGAGATTGGGCACTAGGTTTGCCACATGAGATTTCCAAGTTTGAGAGTACCTTGACTTTTCATCGGCGACATGTATTGCAGACTTTGGAACTATATGGGACGTCCATATTTGATGTGCTTAGTCTGGGTCTGCAGGACCCATCCGGATCAAACTGGCCAGGGTGCCATGGAACTCTCCCTGGCACTTTTCACTGCACACCAAGTTTCTGATGTTGAGAAGAGAAGTTAGAATGAGATGCCATAGAGTAAATTTCTAATTCAATCTAAACCTGGGCAACCTTGGAAGTTCTTATCAACCCCGATGTGGCTATGTGGAACCCCCGTAATAGGAAAGATCTTATGCGGGGATCGATGGCAGAATCGATAAAAAACATTTTTGAGCTTCGACCTCCGCAGTTGTTTGCTGGACTCGACATCCCTGATTCTTGTAAGAAATCTCGGCGCGTTGTGCCAGCTATGAGGGACAATCTGTCGGTGAAAAGATCCTGGTCTGCCGAATAAAATGCCTGGTTCCTGTGAGGTGTGTTCTTCGGAACCATCCAAATACCGCTGTCCGACATGCGCACTCATGAGGTATGCACTCCTATGAAAGATACGAGCCAATCCGAGATCTACAGATCTCACCAAGAGATAATCCCTGTTAATTCTGCTCTGAGACAGCTGTTCGCTTGCATGTACCCAATCCCATAAGATCTACTGCGCGCCCAAGGTGACCCCCACGATCGAGGAACCAACCGAGACATCAGCCACCAACACTCAGCACTCACAAACCAACGGTGAAACCGGGCCCGATACGGGTAATATCTCAGGCCAGCTCAGCGAATCCTCTCCTGCAGCTATAGCCGCCTCGACCGAGCTTCAGGCCCTCCTTCAGCGCTATCCTCAGCTACGTAGTCAGTTGCACGAAATCTACCGAGCAGCACAAGAAGATGAATGGGTCGAGTGGTACACCCCACCGAGTCGAGGAAGAATGCATGGCCGCGGAGGAAGAGGACCTTCTCGTCGAAGCCGGGGACCATGGAATTCTGAGAAAGGCTTCAACCGTGCCCTAGGCAAGGTACGGAAGCTTAGGCAAGGTTGCGAGGAAGGGACCGAGACTGGGGTAGTAGCCGAGGCGTTTATGCAATTCTTAACTCTGCTTAATTGTGGTTCCAACGCTCAGATGCCAAACTCGGCCTAGTTTTGTCGTCAAAGCATCTACTATCAACCGGGGGACCGAGCATAAGACCCCAGAGGTCATCTACGGAGTACGGAATTGCGGGATCTATTTGGCAAGTCATTGCTGGACAATGATTGTATGATATTGTTAATTACTACAAAAAAACACGCCTTTGCAAATGCTCTATTTTTCTACTATGACATTCAATATTTCGTTCTATTATCAAGCATTGATAATGAGAATACCCCTCTTTCATCTTCATGCCACTTTGTGCCACCTGAGTAAGGATTGACAGAAAATCCAACGGCTAAGACTGCACAACCGAAGCCCTCAGCAAGCGCCATTATAGCGCATCCTTAGCGGACCCAACCAACCAAGGCGCCCCCATCTAGAGCGGAGCCCGAGTGCGTCCAGACCTTAACCAGCCAAGAGGGGGGAAAGCGATACAGATTCAGAACGGAGTTCGAGCACTACAGACCCCAAGTACGATGTTGAATAGCAAAAGTTCAAGTGACAGGGTGCACGGGCATATAATCCCCAGTCGATAGATCGCATGTCTTGTGCAGATATTCGTCAGCCTCGGGAGAATTGTCTTAGTTTTGATCAGGGTTCCCTGATTCTCGAGGACCAGGAGGGCCGTGAGAAATGTGTTGATCTATGCATGAGAGGCCCCAAGTCAGCCCGGGCCTGCACGTTGACGGCGATTAGCTGTCAAATTGAACGAATCCCACCACGCATCACTCTTGCTGCAGCTCCATTGGATTTGGACCCCTCTCTCCGCTCCGTAAATATCCAAATCTTGATATTCATTGGATATCATCGTGATGCTGTTTGATTGTTCTTATGTCTCTCTGTCCCTCGGTCCTCTTGTAAGCGCTCCTGGCCCTTCCCCGTATTCTCGGAGGGTAAATAGCAAATTTGTGTGTGATTTGGCGTGGCGGCACCACCAAGTATCTGCGGGTGGTCTTTTCCTACGTCGATCCTGTAGTATAACGGGTGTACAATAATGTTGGGTTTCAGCTCAGCTTGAAAGACCCATCCGTATGAGTAGCACGAATGAATGCCTTGGAACTCTCGAGTTTACGTAGAAGTGGGTTGCGATCTGGAGAACGGGGGGCCACTACAGTGAATCCCTGACTCCAATAAGAAACGAGTATTGACTTCCCGTGAAAAAAGGACGAAAAAAATTGTTAAAAATACCAAAAAAAATAAAGATTATAGGTATAAGGCAAATTCTTCTGAGATCTACTTTTTTTTTCTTTGCAGAGCTTGAATTATTATGAATTTTGGTATCCCCCTTTGTTGAATTCCTTATATTATAGGGGGAAAGGGAAAAAAACAAGACGGAGAGCTTCTGCCCGCTCCACGTTCCACGGTTCAACTTTGATCACTATCTCCGGGTAAGCTTCAATTATTCCCCCCCCCCCCTTATGGCTCGACCCCAATTTAACCAGCAGTTATTATAAAACAGAATTGCTGTCAGATTATATGGACAGATCACTTTTCCCTCTTTAATTTCCAGATGGGTACCTAGCCCCGCGACCGTTTCTGATCAGTTTCACGAAAGGGCAACAATGGATGCGCTGCAGTGCGGGCTCCTCGAAGAAACACAATAACGACTCCCTCCTCCCTCGACCGTGAGATCTTTTCGCTACCTACTTGATTCGTGGCCCGCAGATCATGGCTTTCCAACAATCACGCCGTGAGCGCGCGGCCAGTGATAGGGCTCATGCAATGCCTGCAGCTGCATCTGCAGCTCCTGGTTCAGCTCCGCCGCACCCAGGTATGGGTAGCCGTACATTGTCCGCCCCTTCAGGAGGGTTATACAAGTTGGATTCGAATCGGAAACAAGGTCCTGGGTCAAGAATGGATCAGACATTAGCGGAAGAAGATGAGGCGCCGAATGAGATTTCCAAACGATCCCGGTCTCGGAATGCTGGGGATGAGGTGCGTGTCCCTTGTTTCAAGTGCAATTGAACTCTCGGAGTGCAATTGCGTCTATCTTGCCTGTTTCGCTTGCAATATATAAAGCCTCGAAGGGAGGGCCTAATGACTGACGGCTATTTGGGACCTACAGGAATCCTCCAAGGCTAGTCTGCCTGAAGTGACTATTGCGGTTGTAGGCAAAGACACAGCCGGCAAATCAAGCTTCATTAATTGGGCATTGGACATGAAGAATAAGCCCTTCTCCTGTTCGACCAAGAAGAAAATGTCATTAGATGGGGCCGTCTATATTGTACGATTACTGGAGGTCGACCTGACGAAAGTCCAATTCGACCAGGAACATAACATACTTTGGCCACGATTGGGAAATGATGATTTTGCTCCAGTCGTGGACGGTGTTTTGGTGCTGCATGATGCCACTGAACCGGAGCAGTTAACGGAAACCGCCGAGCTCATAGGTAGGTTGATGAACCTAGGGACGAGATTTCCCGATATCCCCCAGCCTAAATCCCCATGTTTTCCCATGTTTGCGCATGTCTGCCCATGTTTTGCTGGATCTCCCCACGATATCCATGCAAGAACCGAGGCAGACAGGGTGCTTTCCTCCCAGCATTTACCGATATTGACTTGGAGACTCTGTGTACATTTAGACTCCCTTGACGCATCTCCACTGCCATTTCTCTTGGTTGCATGCAAATGTGATTTGCGCCCCGAGGATGGTGATCTTGGACTGGTTCATGAGCGACACGAGATCTACCGGACATCGCCCGAGTCACCCCGATCCCAGCAAATGTGTATTGCACTTGTTTTGCGGGCTGTAATTTCCACTCGAGCCGGTAAGTCGCTTTATCTCTTTCTTTTCTCATTCATTTCAAATTTTTTTTTTCTATTTTTGTTTTCTTTGTTCTGGGAAAAGGCCGATTGTCTCGGCAACAAAGGAAATAATCCAAAGGATTGTTACTGGAGCCATGACCCCTAGTTCACTAAGTGGGTCGCCGTAGTAGCATCTCGCTACCCTTTTTTTCTACTGAGAAAAAGAGTCCACCGATCGACAGAAAGATCCCCAAGAAAGAAGGGAAAAGAAGCCGAAATACCAAGCAAAGAGAAAAAAACACAAGAGAAACAAGACTTTGGACGAGAATATTATTGTGGCGTTCAATCCCACTCTTGGACCCGAGCTAACCTCTTCCCCCATTCGCCCCTCCCCAGACCTTGCACCGTCTGACACCTCAACTATTTCTCCTCCCGCCCCTCCCCCGCCGCGGACAACAACCAAGTCCTTTCAACCTAGCCCACCCCTCGATTGGCATCATACTCGAGCCAATTCAGAAAACCCAACCGCTGTATCAACGGGAGCCGCTGGCGGCCCAGCAACATCTACTTTGGATCGATTTGTCGATGGGAACGGAGGCCGCCGTCCGTCCACCGACCAAGCTCCAGCTTCCAATCTGGCGCAACAGCATGCTCCAAGTGCCCCTCGAAATGCCCGCAGTAATTCCCAACCGGTGCGACCGCAAACTCCTACAGGGACGCGGATGAATACCCGCCGACCGTCTGTCCAAACAGAGAATTCCCCGAGCCAAGACCAACAGAGCTTTTCACAACGCATGCAAACCACCTGGCGCACTAGTGGAGGGTCCGACGCCTTTCACAGCTTTTTGAATATGGAGGACGAGATGGAAGAGGCTCCATTGAGCCCGACCAATGTCGTACGACCAAAACCCAGTAGCGAGAGCAATTCCAGCGCAGAGGCAGGAGTGTCATTTGATGATCTTGTCGACCGCCTGGTCGCTCAACCTATGTCGAAACATGACTCGAAATTCGGCTCGGTCTTTCTCTGTTTATATCGAAAATTTGCAGCACCCTCAACCCTCCTGAATGCTTTGATCGGTCGATTCGAGAAAAATGAAACTACCATTCCAGATCAGCTGGCCCGCATGGCAGAGCAGTTGCGATTGCTGAATATCATGGCCCAGTGGGCTTCCGACTACCCTGGCGACTTCGCCTTTCCCAAAACACGAAAACGAGTCCACGACTTCGTTGGAACCCTCGAAAAAAGTCATTTTTATATGTTCGCCGCGAAGGAGATCGGATCGTTCCTAGACTCGAATGCTGAGGACGACGATATTGGCTGGGCATTCCGTGATGGCGATGTAGATGAATCCAGCCTCACAGAAACATTCTTCGATAACTCAGGCAGAAGCTCTCCAGTCCCTTTTCTCAACAGCACATACGATGACGACGAAGAAGAGGAAGAAGACCCCATTTACAGCATGAGCGCTTTGGATCTTAGCGATGGACCACACGATTCTACCTCCCGCCTCTCAGGAACACTTTCCATCTCTTCTAATAACGACAAACCCTCCAGCACCCTCAACCAATCCTTCACCGTCTTGACCCTAGAAGCGGCGCAAAAAGAAGCTCTTCGCCTGGAGCTTCACCCCCGAAACCCGATCACGAAAGTTCAATGGCGGTTTTTTATGGAAGCTCCGGAAGAGGAGTTTGCGCGACAGCTCACCCGCATTGACTGGGTCATGTATAACTCTTTCCGACCACGCGACCTGGTGCGCCATGTGAGCATCTCGGGCGTGGACAAGGAGAAGGTCAAGAGCTTGCAAAACGTCAACCGGATGATTAAACAATTCAATCATCTTGCGTTCTTCGTGGCAAGCATGATTCTACTTCGTGATAAGCCTAAGCACCGAGCCAGGTGTCTGGAAAAATTCATGGGGATTGCAGTGGTAAGTCTTGCATTCCTTTTCTACCTTTAGAAGTAACCAGGCTAATATCATCCCTTCCAGAAACTTCGTCGTCAAAATAACTACAATGCCCTCGGCGCAGTGATTGCCGCAATCAACGGCACACCTGTTCACCGATTGACACAGACCCGAGAATTGATTCCTATCCAAACACAAAAAGAGTTCATGCGCCTTGTCATTCTTATGAGTACTCAGCGCAGCCACTTCGCATACCGCTTGGCCTGGGAGAACTCTTTCTCCGAACGTATTCCTTTCCTCCCATTGCACCGCCGCGACTTGGTCTCTGCAGAGGAAGGAAACAAGACGTTCGTCGGAGAAAACAAATCCCGCATCAATTGGAAGAAATTCGAGGTCATGGGTGAGGTTGTTCTCGGTATTCAAAGAAGCCAAAAGACACCTCACCCTCAAGCCCAAAAATTCGAGGATGTTGAACGATTGATTCTGGACTGCAAATTGTCTGGCGATGAAGAGGTATGCTACCTATCATACTACTGTCTATACCAACCAACTAACATTTCATAGGATTTATACGCTCGCAGTCTGCAAGTCGAACCGTCCACTGGCGGAGAGCCTGTTCGAAAGAAGTTTGGCTGGCTGCGTGTCTAATCCTCTCGTGACTATGGCAGATTCCAAATTCCGGGTCACTCTACTCCCTCGCAGACCTGTTGCACGAACCTTGTTTAACGTACCTTGACACTTACCCGACCCTTACCTTATAACCACCATACCCCTCCTCACGTTGATACGCTTCTATGATTGACACACATATATTGCCTGCTTTTTGCTTACATGCTTGGTTGGAAGGATCCATGGCATGACTGATATGACGCTCGGCGCCCATTCAATGGCAGACTCTGCCACTTTGTATATAGGAGTATGGTAGTGATGTGATGATAATCTCTACCTGTGATACATATTGAAAATACTTAAGCTACTTGTAATTCGTCTAAAAATATGAGTCTATCGATTCTTTCTAAATTTCCATTTCCCCTAAAAATCGCATTTTTCACCACCATTTATACGCTGCGCAATAAGTCACGTGCATCGCTACATCCAGATTCCAGACTCCGTCCAAAACCGCAGATAAGATCCTCCACACCTCAACCACAACGCAATCAAAACCAAGCCTCCGAAATGACACAGCCAAGTATTCAAGCCCGCGCAACCTACCGCGCCCTACTCCGCGAAATCCCTGCACGGAGCCGCACGCTGAACAATCCCTCACCCTTACAAACCCGCATCCGCCAACTCTTCCGCTCCGAAGAACAACAACCTTCCACAACACAATCCTCCTCATCACCATCTACATCCAGCGCTACCGCACCGCTCCCATTCTCCCTGCCTACCTCTGCTGAAGAAACCTCAATCCGTATCCAGGAGGCAGAGCAGCTAGCTAAGTATGCGCGCGCTCAGCGTACGTACTGTGAGCTTTTGGAGCGGTATAACCCCGGTATGAATATGGATGAGGAGGAGAGAGTTAGACTTACGGCTCGACGAGTTGGATTTGATTTGCCTGAGTTGCACGATCCTCTCGCTAAGAATGAGTGATCTATCTCTTGAGATTGGGGATTTATCAAATTGATCTGGTTGAGGTGGATTTATGGATGCATATCTGCATATCTTGGTCTGGTGGAGACCCTGGACATTGTCGAATACTGGGTTTTCGTCGAGGATCGGAATGCGCGAATTATGCCAAAGTTGGCTGCTGAGCCCGGGAGAGACATGGCATGTATTCTGGGGATAATTGGATTGAGACTACACTTTGAGTGGAGCGATGCTACTGCTTGAGGTGAAACTGTCCTGTTGATGGGACTTGTATACTACTTGATATGACTTGTACAAAACAATATAGAGCATGAGATGTGGATTTGTTTCTATCTGAGTGGTATCCATGCATGGTAAATCTGCTTCTGATATTATGTTCAGTCGCTTGTTGTAGCTGATCTGGTATCTCACGAGGAGCCTTTGATATGGCTATTATGCAGCAAGTCGCTGGCAGAGAGTGCTTGCAGAGCAGCACTTGAGTGTGTCGCATGGAGACCGATGGCCTGAAATGCAGGTCTTTCTCCGAGGGTGACAGATGACAGCCAGGTATGGAGGGTCTGGTTTGAGTCGGTTTGAGTCCCAGGTCCGTAGCTTGGAGATATTGATAAGGGCATAATGCATTCTCAAGTGATCTCAGCTGTTGGTCAATTGGATATGCTCCATCTGCCTTGCCAAGGTTGAGCTGCCCTCTTCATCCTCCAAACCAATTTCAATGGCCGTCTTAGGGCGATTGCGGTTCAGGCCATCAAGCAGGGTACACGCCTTGCAAATGCGCTGACTCGAGATGTAACCACATTTCTCACAGTATTGTAAAGTTTGGGTCTTGATCTTCTTTGTATCGCTACCCTTCTTCGGCATTTTGATCTCGGTTTCGCGTGACTCGGCGGTATCATTCGCAGCTAACTGTTGCTCCATGGCAGCCATCTCACCACCACTGGATCGACCATTGTGACTTCCACAACCACCAGCTTCATCATCCGCAGCAGCAGAAGTTTTGCAACTCTTTCCACTCGGAACAGTATTTCCAGGGACCAGAACAGCCATATCCTCACCACTCTTCACAATATCGAGAATCGAGCTCGGTCGGATCTTCTCCAGATCTTTGATCAACGTGCGCGCACTGCCTCGGAAAGCCTCGGGGGAATAAATGCACTCCGTACTGAAATAATCCAGACGTCGATGATGCGCATAAAGAACAATCTCCTTCTCGTAGGCATACTTCAAGGGCTTACTGCGCTTAGTATCCGAAGCCTTGGACTCCGTCACGATACTCGTTCCACGCGAAAGACGAGGTAAATCTCCACGAAGCAGATTCATCATAACAGTCTCAGCGACATCATCCGCATTGTGTCCCGTAACAACGTGCTGAATTTCCAACATCGCCGCACCACGATCCAGTGCCTGACGTCGGAACACACCACAGTATGTGCAATTTCCCTTTTTCCCTACCTGCTCCACAACCTGATCCATCGTCCATCCGTATAACTCTCCATATCCGACGATCTTCAGCGGCATATCGTATTGCACTGCATTGCGCTTAACCGTCTCGAGACTGTCGTCACGGTATCCGCGAATACCCTCATCGATGGAAAGGAGGCTTAGTTCGAGGCCGTAGTTATATCGCTCGTTAAGGGTTTTCAGGACTGCAGCAAGGACGGTACTATCTTTTCCACCGCTCGCGCCGATCGCGATGCGTTCGCCGGGGTAGAATAATTTGGCGTTCGTGATTGTTTCGTGAACTTCGGTTTCGAAAACTTCAATGAAGCAACCGCGGCAGAGTTTGTGGCGGTTCTTGGGTCGGATTATTACCGCGCGCTCCTCCTTGCAGTTGAAACAAAGTGTTGGAGCCATTTTGGTGGTTAGAGATTGTTAAGGTGATGATATTGAGGGGCAAAAAAGATTTGGTTTTTTCCCCGCTGTGGTCCGTGCCGAGACGAACTAAGAGGCGATTAGAAGACGTGGGGTCTATCTAGTTCGGTGGAGTGAGTCAAGTCAAGTTCAGTAAAAGAATACTTGATCTCTTTTTAAAATTAAACTTATTCTCCGTTGAAGAGAATGGAAAAGAACTTGAGTTTAGTGAAAAGTCATAGCGTTTATCTCTTGCAATATGAATATTTGAAGGAGTCTTTGCAAATAAGCAACTTGGAACAAACGCAAAACCCCGAAAACTTGAAGAGAAGAAAGAAAAAAAGAAATTTCATAATCCATAAATAGCCTCGAGTCATCAATCATTTTAATTCAATTAAACTCCTCACACGACTTTCTCACTCAATTGTGTTGGATGCTTGCCCTTCCGACAAAGAAGACCAACAGAACATTTCGGCCATCGACTCTTCTTCGCAAGGTGTCGTGCAGCATTGTGGATATGATGTCGCCGATGAATCAAAGAATGGTGATAAGGCTTCGAGCGATCCGCATACAGATGAAAATCTTCCTTCTCCGTACCAAGCTGCTTGGCTATGGCATCAGTCTTATCATCTGCAAACGCAAACGACGTCCCAATGATCTTGAAATTGCGCGCCATATGATGCAGGTTTTTCGAATGCCAGTCCTCGGATGTCCATACAGGCTTCACACCCCAGGGTAGTCGACGCTCATTCTTAAATGCATGCCACCAATCCTCAATTCGCAATCGACCCTTCTCTCCGCTGACAGCATGAACACATCCGCTTGAGCCAAGGGCTACATGAACGAGCATCCGGTCTGCAACAACATCTACCGGTACTTCATCGATGGTCGCGTCTTGTTCTGGATTCTCGCATCTAGTCGAGAGATAGATCTTACGGCCTGGGTGTAAGGCATAGGCCGCAGCACATGTAGTGGACGGAGTCGAGTGGGAGGTTGTGAAACCAGGGTATGGGAACTTATCAGCGGGACCAACGACAGAAGGACGAATGATGAGGATTTTATCGAGGGCGTTCTTCTGTGAAGCCTTTTCCAGTGCCAGACGCTCGGCTAGGTGCTTAGCGTAGGCGTATGCCCAAGGAAAATCATGCGCATCGTATTCGTCTGAGGTGCCGGATTTCTGAACCTCCTTCCATATTTCTAGTGCTGATGAGTATGGATCTTCGTTCGCGCTGCCTAGTGGGTATACCTTCTCCTCGACAGCAACGTCGGAAGATTTGCTTGTTTTCCACAGATGAGAATTGACGTATGCGCTGGAAACAAATACGAAGCGTTCCAGATTTGCGAACTTTAGCGCATACTGCGTTAGACACAATGTGGGTGCGATGATTGTGTACGATAGCTCGCGGAGCGAGTTCTTCAGCTCGATGGATGCTGCAGCGTGAATAACGATGTGGACAGTTCTCTTCAGCATCTGCAATTTCTCATCGGAGAGACTCATAGTTGCGGTGTCGCCTAGCTCGCCATCTAAAATAGTCATGCATTTACTCTCATAGAGGACTTTCGCCAGGTGAGCTGGAAGCATGTTGGCCCATTTTGCCTTTGCCTTTCTAATAATGCATCTTAGTACTTGGTCTCAAAAGCCAGATATTGGTTCAGTCTAGATTCATCAGATAATGAACTTACGAGTATCCACCGCGACTCAAAACATAAACATTCTGGGGCGATGATTGAGTTAACAATCGATATAGTAGTGTGGTCCCTATGAAGCCCGTTCCACCCGTGATGAACACGTTCTTGTCATTATAGTAATCCCATACCATTTTGAAGGCTTAGGGAGAAAAGATCCTTGAATTGTGGACGTTTGGCTTTCCAAGAGAAGCGAGGGATGAAATATGCATAACCGGGGAACCCATTTTGATAGGACCTCTAGGTGGGTCTACCGTAGCAATAAATAGAGAGGGAAATAATGGGAATTCCAGGCTGGAGGCTGGAGATTCGATTCTCTAAGCCAATCTTGTTGACGCTGGATGTCTGAAAATGAGCGCATGCAGCATTCTGAACCAAGGTGCCCAGGTGAGGGGAACCGCATGCTGTGTAACCACTACAGTAGGGGCCCCCCCGGCCTTATGAACCATTCAGATTTGGCTCTGCAATCAATGACAGCACTTGAATGTGAGGAAAAGGTAATTGATTGCCTTCATACAGTCATCTAGATCGTGGGAGTGTCATCTCCTGCATTCTATTGCTGGAATCATCCTTCGTGCTCGGATGTGCAAGGTGCTCGACCCCCTTACAATCTTATCCAAGATGTCCGTTCTTTCGCCTTGCTCTTTAACACACATCGGCTTTTGTCATTCGAGTCCATGAATAGAAACAAAAACGAAGTCCACGAGGGAAGTCAGTTTGATACAAGGTGAACTTGAAGGTGTTGATAGTCAATCTCGAGAGGTTCACACGAATCACACCGCTTCATGCAGGATTCCGGTCTCGATCGATCCAGCGAACAGAAAACCAGATTTGCTTATCTAGTGTGTTGAAAACCAGGCCAAAGCGCATGTGGTGAAGAACCTAGGACAAATTCTTGAGACTTTTCAGTCCAGTCGAATGCCTAAGCGAACCTTTTGAAATGTTTGTCAGTGTGGCAGATCTTAACCTGGTTCTGGTTTTCTTTGACTTCCGCGGGTACTTGGAACACGCATATGACCCACGTATATATGTTCGACGGTTGAAACATGCGTGAAAGTGGCCAAAGTTTGATTTCTCACGTTTCACTGACTCTGCAATGAGATCATGATTGTGGTCCAAGTCCACGAACTTCAAGCAAGGCCTAGAGCGAATTAATCCACTTCAAGTTGGCGTGAGACATCACTACTAGCCTGACACTAGGAGTGGATGAGTTCAACTTCGCCCGAGCTAAACTTAAAGCCGCATTGATGACAGTCAACTGGTGCCTCTGACTTCACAAGTTCAAGTTGACAGTCTTCCTTGCCATGGAAATCTGTTTTTCAAGGTGTTTTGTATTCAATAGCTTGAATTCTCTATAGCGGATGACCTTCAGCCAAATCCCCGCACCCGATCTAACCGTGTCAGGTAGGTCCACGCGACCTTATCAATGACAGGTTACAAGGTTATCACATTGACCACTGTTCAAGATGCAAAAGTGATTTCGGAAATTGTGGATGAATTCCTGGAAGAAGTGGATCATGTCGTTGACTTGGATTCCATCCGCTAGAAACTTTCTATGATGCCCAAGTCATGATGCATTTTGTCTTCAGAAGATGCACAGGGAAAACTTTGAACACACATTTTAAATGCAAAAATCGCTACAGAAATGTCTACCATTGGGGTCAAGCGGGCCTGTGACCAATGCCATGCAGTCAAAGAGAAGTGCCGAAGAGAAACCCCTACTGTGCCATGTGAGAGATGCGCTCGCCTGGGTCAGAGTTGCAGGACTATACGAAGCCCAGGAAAAGCTGGACGCAAACCACAAGGTGCACGGAAACTATCATATACCCTACCAAGTACACCTATCTCAGCTGCAGGTGATATGTTAAATGAATCGCCGGGGTACTCGTCACCTACTTCTACCTTGCTTTACAACGCTGGATTGAGCAGTAATCCTGCCATATTCTCCGACCTTGATGAATGGGAACAATATTTTCTGGATTTCATGAGAGACATCATCGCTCCTTCACCTCTAGACAAGTTCCTAGTGGGACCAAGTTTTCACGACTCACATCATACTTCATTTGTGCAAAACCTCATCCAACCGATCCCCGAACTGAAGAACGCTTCTGTCGCTTGTGCTGCCGTTCTATTTGGCGATTTATTTACCGAGCATACGAACACAACTGTTGACATTGGGCACAAACGTGCAGCATTAGCTGTATCATCACTTCGGTCATTTCGGATATCGGATGAAAAAGATTTGATGACGATGCTCGTACTGACCGTGGCGATGATAACATTTGCGATGCATGTGGAAGATGGTCAGCCATATCTGATTGCCCGCTATACTCTGAGTCTTATCGAAGCTCAGTACCAGCACTTAATCAGATTCGAGTCACCCATGATGGGTCTGCTTATGTGTCTGATCAGCACAGACACATTTGAATGTTTATTGAGATCTGAGGTACCGGCATGGAGAATCAATACTACTGAGCGTGAGAATGTTGTAGACCGATACCTCGGTCTGAGCTATCCGCTCTTCCCGTTGCTTTATGATATATGCGAGGTGGCCGATCAACTCCAACATTGCAAAAACGAAGAAAGAGCTGAAATTGCCGGTCGGCTTACAGCAATAAACACGACTGTGGATAACTGGCATCCATCACCACCGGTGGACCTTGTTCAATGCTTTACTCAGGCTGAGGTGATCATAATTTCAGCACAAGCCAAGATACTACGCTTGACCGGGCTACTGATTATTCATCGCCTGAAACATCCATTTGGCCAACACGATGATGAAGGACAGGTCTTATCGCGAGCTATCATCTTCGAATTTGATACTGTACTTCAGCTCACAAATCGCTCCGTACCATGTACATCCCTCGCCTATTTAACTGCATGCTTTGAGATTTCCGGAGAAGATGGGAGGGAGACTGCATTGATACGAAGTGCAAATGTTGTTACTTTTTCGAAGCAAGCACTGGTAAAGCTTAATGCATCTTTAGTGTCGATCTGGAGGGCAAGAGACCAAGGAAGTCAGTTCTATTGGACTGAACTAGCGAAGTATCTTTGACAGATTATTGGACAAAATAACTATATAGTATATTCATAAGAATTTAATTATTTGAAAACATTATATTTCATAAATGTCGCAAAGCGGCGTGCGAACTAACTCCAGGCTATACTGCGCGATGGGTAATTTGTTTCTCAGACATCTTCCTATAAGACACTGCAGTGGCAACTCTTGCCTTCTTACCCCAAATCAAAAGAGGCACAGGAATCATATAAAAGACGAAGGCGATAACAGCACACAGAATATGTAAATTCTGCAATCCCATTCCATTAACCCAAGGGGTCAATACGAACAGAACAATGAGCGAAATAATATTCCTCATGAATATAACGCCGACAAGAGCATTACCGATGATCTGAATAGAAATAAAGTCAGTTCTGAAACATAGCAAGAGATCATAAAGGCCAGGAGCTGTTCAAGTGGTGACCTACATCTTGGTAACAATCCATAAGATAGGATAAGGAGATGCCACTGATAGAAGCCAAAGTGAATCCGTAGACTCCGAATCCGACTGCTAAAAGTGACCAGTGAACGCCCTGCATTATGTTAGAAACTTAATCTCTTTGAGCGTAGCCTAAGAGGGGAAACAAACATAGGCAAGACCCAATCCAAACATCAAAATCGAGGCTGGACCCAGGATAGCCACCGGCAATGCAAGCCATAGTCGCATCTCAGGTTCATAAATACCGTTGTTTCTCTTGGAAAGCCAGAGAATCGACTTGTCACTGAGCCAACCACCCACTGGGAAACCTATCACAGCTCCAACAAAAGGTGCCACGTTCATCAAACCAACTCCGATCGCGTCGAAATTATACGGGGGTAAGAGCATATATGATGCCTGTAGTGAGGTCATAATCGCAAACCAGGCCAGCGTGGATCCATACGTGATCGCAGCATAAGTGACAGCGGGGAAAGTGAATAATGTGACAATCGGTTGCCAGAAATGGGGCCACATAGACTCTGGGGTTGGTGTAATCCAGGCCATTCGTTCCCCGTATGTTTTGAGCTGGATGTCCGGGTTGATCATAACTTGGGTTGAAAGCACACCGGGATTTGAGACTTCGCCATCATCATCAGCCTGGACATTATCTTTCTTATCCCGAGGGGCCTCTGCTGCGGTCACCTGAGGCTGGACTGCCACAATTTGACCATCTAGCACAGGCACGTATTTGGATTCCTCAAAGAAGAAGAATACGCAGATCAGAGTCACGCCGAAGAAGATAACACACCACCACCACGTCCATCGCCAGCCTTGTGAGTCAACAATGTATCCAGAGGCGACGGGGCCTAGGAATGCTCCAGTGGACTGGAAGATCACAAACCATCCGTTCATGGTGGCATGTTGGTGCACGAAGAAGAGATCCGCGACGGTGATTTGTACAATGATTTCACTGATTGCACCTCCCAAGCCAGAGATCAAATTCGCACCCATGTAGCTACCCACAGTGTAGACCTTAGCCTGCCATATACACGAAACAAGCTGAAGGGCGACACTGAAAATGTAAACAGGGCGACGACCGTACTTGTGCACTAGAGGAATGAAGAAGAAACATCCAATACCAAGACCACCATAGTTGACTGCTGCTCCAGCATTCAGAGTATCGACGGAGAAGCCTAATTCAGTCTCCATTAGGCCCCATGCTGTGAAACCAATATCCAATTGTACAAACGTCCACAGGACGAAGAAGCTGACCAAGGTGAAGTTCAAGGCTTTACGAGCGCTCGACCAGTTCAGGGGATCATTGGGATCTGACGAAGGGGTTGGAAATAGAACTAATTGATCTCTGGTGCGATGTACTAAATCGATTAGTCAATTGAGATTGCGGTATTGATCAAGCCTGGACTCACAGTCTTCCAGAGCAACCGTTCCGGGAGCCCAGAAGGTCTCATCATCCCTGTCCTGCTGGTCACTTGTCATGCCTGTTTGTATATAATAGAAACTTGTCGTAGAACAAGCGATAGCCCCTCGCCAACACGAGGCCAGCCATTTTTATAAGTGTCTTTATATTATGGGTGCGGAGATGCTGGTTCCCGAGGGTGTTATCTCGGGAGTCTCCTACAGAGTGTGGGGAAATCAACGAGAATGAATCTGAATGATAGGAGTTAAACCAATAAGAATGATTAAAACAGACCGGCTTGGCACTTATTATATCCACTTAGTCGGAGTCTCCACCCCCGCTTATCTGTCGAGTTTAGTCTGATCAGTTGGATCAACTACTCACATCTTTGTTAGCGGGATAGAGTCCGCTAGGGGAAACTCACCTGGGCACTTGGATCTGCACTCGTAATCAATTAGTGTAGGTTTCGGCTGATATCTTCATTCATTGCCGGATGGCAAACTATTACGCAATCTACAAATGTCATGGGGATCCAGGCGGAGCTCTCCCCAGGAAGAGGCTGTTATGTCGCTTGATCCATATCTTGTTTAGCTCTTCCACGTAACTCAAGGTCGGTATTTTGATCTGCAGGGGGTATCAATAGGAAGTTGAAATGCATCCCTGGATCATACAGCACAACTTCAAGTTGAAGGAGAATCATACATATTTGTGCAACTTGAACTTGAATGACTCACTACTGGAGTTGGCGAGATGAAAACTTGATTAAGCCACATGAATGATTCATGTTTCCTACAAGTGCCACTGTTGACTGTTTCAGGAGTTACTCCATAGTATTGTATAGAGCTTATTTCGGGGTCCAAGCGACACCCGTGGACTGGAATTGACTTTGCAATTTTCGTTCAGATCCGCCTTCTAACGTTCAAGTTGCCTCCTAGTACTATTCCAGTAGGTATAACACGATGGTTCAATGACATCGTCGCGCCTTGGGAAGTGAACCTTCAACTGTTAGTCTTTAGTGTGTCAGTGTGCAAGGGAACTAGGTGTCTCCACATTGATATCTCGCGAGTCACGATACAACTTGAAACTCTCACCAATCTGCCAGTGTGGGGTATATATTCTCGATAAATCGAACATTTTTAAACACAATCCGTGAGTTACAGCATCGGAAAATTCAATGGGATAAAATGCCAACGAGGATCATGAACGGCACTCCTTGACATAGTATTCAGCATATCGGATGAGAGGTGAGTCCCGCAGTTCTAATCGTGCCGTTGCGTAAATAGTAAGCTGTCAGAGGTTCAACCTTAATTTGATAGCATAATCGCACCGTTGTAAGGCTGAAGGGTACCGAATGATAGCACTTGGACCATTAGAGGACATAAGTAAACTGGTTCCAAGGTTGTCGGCATTGTGGCGGACTTTATGCCGCCTTACATAATGCTTATCAGCAGTCCTGGGATAAGCAATGTAAACGAACAATCGCGTTGCATTGATGTGAGAGATACTGAGATACACTTCGGGCAGGGTCAATTGCTCTCTGCTGCCAGTGCTATCGAATTTGGTGGATACAGCGACCAATTTGTATCAGGATCAGGGCAGTCGGAGTTGGGAGTCCATAGCCATGTCGACAGACTCAAAGCTCAAGGCGTTGGTACGATGGCATGTGTTGCTCTTGAAAGATCTGGAATGGCAACAGTTACTGCTGTACTTCGATCAAACTATGAGAAGGTCCTTCGAGATGGCTTTGAAATTGAGTCCATTAATCATGGAAAACTGTCGGCCTGGAGACCGAGTCACAGTACGTGGGCTTGCCTTTGTAGTGAATCACGCTCCTTTTGATCTAACAAGGGTCTGATCAGTTGTCAATTCTGTGCCTCAAAGTGACTCGCATGATCCTTTTGACTTTGTGATCGTTTCTATGAAGACTATACCAGAAATCACCAACATCAACAAAATTATCGCGCCGAGCATAACCCCCGACCACACAACCATCGTGTTGATGCAAAACGGCATGTACATCGAGCCACCGGTCATGGAAGCTTTCCCCTCGAACGTCATCCTCTCTGCTACAAGCTACATCGGAGCCCACGAAAGAAACGGTCATATTATTCATGATGACCCCGACTATTTCCACATAGGAGCATTCCACAACTCACGACTAAATGCTGAATACGAAAAACAAAGACTAGATCTATTTGCAGCAGCCTATAATGGATCCAAAGTCGTGAACGCTGAAACCGTCGATGACATCATCTTCTATCGCTGGCGGAAAATCATGTGGAATGGTACCTACAATTCGATGTGTGCGATCACTCAGCTTGACAATGCCGCAATCCGACGACTGGGCGGGGAGAACAGTCTGATTCGCCCCGGTATGGTTGAAATGGCAGCTATCGCCAAAGCAGATGGATACGACTTGGGGGGAAATATTGTGGACGAGATGGTCAATGCTACGCCCATTGCACTTTCATTCCGGCCCAGCATGCTAGTAGATGTCGACAAAGGAAACCCAGTCGAGGTTGAAGTTATCTTGGGAAATGCGCTGCGAATTGCTCGCGAGAAAGGCGTTCCAACTCCCATATTGGATAATACCTACCGTTTTTTGAAGCTGATTCAGGCGCGCTTATTAGTTGCTCGAGGACACTTGACTATGCCAGAAGACATCATGACTGGTGACTGTATCTAGTATACATAGTCCGCCAGCAGCAATAATAGGTAAGTCACTAATAAAAGCGGTTCCTGGTCCGTGATACCTATCGCTCACTATTAGAATCTATAGCAGTGCCACTCGGATGAAAAGAACAATTATTAGGATGAAACCTCGTGTCTAACTTTGGAATATTTTTATGAACATACATAGTCCCGCATACTCGGCATCCGGGGTCCGGTCAGGGGTTACTTTGTGCAAAAAATCTATAAGCCCCGCAATTTGTGATATAGTACAGCCGCCTGTGGGGAACTATTTATCACCACACCACACTCGGGCGCCGAGAGACGAGTCTAAAAAATCAGAGTCGTATCATCATCTTGAGCCTCATATCGAAACAAACAAGAACAAAATGGTCAAAGTTCAACTAACAACGGGACGCATCGACTTCCACGCACACTGCGTTCCTCCTTCGTATCGTGAATATTGCCTTGAGAATGACTTCGCAGGCAGAGGACATCCGGATGGAATGCCAGCAATCCCAGTAAGTCTCTGATTCGATTCACGGTGAATTTGCTAACTTTTCAGGAATGGGACCCTGTCACCCATATTCAAATGATGAAAAACCTCAACATCAAAAAATCCGTTCTGAGCATGTCTTCCCCTGGTACAAACCTGACACCAGGCAATGACGCGGAAGCCAGATCTCTGACTCGACGGGTCAATGAGGATTTGTCCAAAATTTGCAAGGAGCATAAAGAGCATTTCCTCTTCTTTGCTTCTCTTCCACTGCCTGACGTTGAGGGTTCACTCATCGAAATTGACTACGCCCTTGATCACCTGGGTGCAGTGGGATTTCAAATCCTGTCCAACTCCCACGGCATATATCCCGGAGACAAGAAGTTTAGTCGCGTCTTTGATAAGCTCAGCGAGAGAAAAGCAACTGTGTTCTTCCATCCTACTAGTTGCCATATTCAGGACGCGCAGACCGGATCCGTGCAACGAATCACTCCGAATCCTGGAATCCCTAGCCCTGTGATGGAATTTATGTTCGACACTAGTCGATCTCTGACTAGCCTGATAAGTTCTGGCACGGTGACAAGATGCCCCGGCATCACCTTTCTGGTCTGCCACTGCGGTGCCACATTCCCTCCTATTATTGCTCGGATTGCGGAGCTTTCCAAATTCCTTTTTGCGAATGCAGAAGCGATATCCGACCAGGATATCAAGGAACTTCTACAAACTCGATTCTATTTCGACTTGGCAGGTGTTCCTTTTCCAGATCAGATTCATGGTATGCTTCGTGTTGTCGACTCTTCTAGACTTCTGTATGGAAGTGATTATCCGTATACACCTCTGGCGTCTGCGGAGGATTTGAATCGCCGACTGGAGGCTGGTCTGGTGAAGGATTTTGGCTCAGTGACGGCACAGCAGATTCTTTGGGGAAATGGGGAAGAGCTTCTATGCAGTATTCCTAACGCTAGCTATCAATAGCTAGACTTGGGATAAGGTATCTTCACTTAGTGCTTTCACATGAGTGAGCGGGGCTGCACATCTATCAATTACTAAAAATTAACCATCTTACTCTTCTGATATTTCAAAGAAATTGAATTCTTCATTGACGTGTCTCTCTTATTGACCCCGCGCTTTAGAACATTTGAAGGCGATAGATCCCGCAACTTTACCTAGTCCACTGTAGATCGTACAAGTTGGAGGCGGGATCTTCTCCATAGATGACCTGGTCCTACATGCGGGGTGATGCAACACAAATATAAGAAGAAGTATACATATTTAAGTAACATTATTCAAAGGAGTTAAACATTTGAACAGAGTAGCTCCCAATCTTAGCTTGAGGAAAAATCATAACATTTGAATAGTCATGGGTATTTTGTCAGGGGCACCTGATCAGCTAAGCAGCTGGATCTTCCCGATAGCTGTGACCTTCGCAGTGTTTATCATAACAAGATCCATCTCAGGAGCGTTCAGGAAAGGCCTAAGAAATCTACCGGGACCAGGGATCGCCAGATTTACTCCTTTCTATCGCGCATGGAGGATCTCTCACGGAGATGCACCAACCTACTACCTGAAGTTACATCAACGATATGGACCGATAGTTCGTACAGGACCAAATACTGTTGACGTTTCGGATCCCAAAGCTCTGCCTACTATATATGGCATCAATAGCAAGTTTCTGAAGGTGAGCATCAAGCAGAGCGACGCAGCGAGAGAAGCTAAGAAAATCCATCTCAGTCTGCGTTTTACGATACATTCAGCCCCTTCTTCGAAGACAAAGTAATGCCCAGCATGTTCTCCGTCAGAAATCCTGCTATGCACCAGGCACTAAGAAGACCAGTTGCTCAGAAATTCTCCATGTCCTCAATCAAATCTCTGGAGCCCTATGCAGATAAGTGTACGAAGATATTTGTCGACTCTATGAGAGAGCTGGAAGGTCAGCAAGTGGATCTAGGAGCATGGTTACAATGGTACGCGTTTGATGTGATTGGCGCGATTACCTTCCAGCAACGATTCGGATTCATGGAGCAGAAGAAAGATGTGCAGAATATGATAGCGGATCTTGAAGTCGGACTTCGCTACGCGGGTATTATTGGCCAGGTTCCTTCTCTTCATTCTTGGATGATTGGAAATATCTGGGTTGGGAAGTTCTTAGCTATGCAGCCATTTGTGCACGCCCCCGATCCTCTTCGATCTATGGTGCAGGCAAGTATCGTCTTTTCTCTACTGTATGCCCTGTATACTGATAGATTTGAGGATTTATAGTTTACGCAAAAGTGCATCGATGATTATGGTCGTCAATCCGCTACGCAACATAGCGACCGACCGGACTTTCTTGCATGGCTTCGAAGTGAGGAGTCAAAGGGCAAGCCGATGTCGAACCGTGATATGATGAATCATCTGAGCAATAATCTGTCTGTTATGGAAAACTCCTTGGAGCATCAAATACTGACTTGTGGATCTTATTAGGCTTGCTGGAAGCGATACCACGGGGATCTCTCTGCGCGCCATCATTTACTTCCTCGTTCAAACACCATCGGCATACAAAAAACTGCAGGTTGAGGTAGACAATGCTGATAAATTGGGCAAATTATCTGATTATATCACCTACGCTGAGTGTCTAGAACTTCCATATTTGTGCGTCTCGGATTATGTCTACAACAAGTAAGCAGAGATCTGACAAATGCTAGACAAGCTGTGATGAAAGAAGCAATGCGGTGCCATCCTGGTGTATCATATCCTCTCGAGCGTGTTGTCCCTGAAGGTGGAGCCACGCTTTGTAGAGTCTATTTCGAGGCAGGCACTATTGTCGGAATGAACCCTGCTGTTATACATCACGACAAGAGTATCTTCGGAGAAGATGCGGCGAATTTCCGACCGGAAAGATGGATCGAGTCCAGTGAAGAACAAGTCAAACTGATGGATCGGCATTTGATGACGGTGTGTCAGCCTTCACACCCAGTTCTCACAGCGTGCTAATATTCTCTCTTAGTTTGGTTATGGATCTCGAACATGCATCGGGAAGAATATTTCCATTATGGAGATGGGCAAACTGGTACCTCAGATCATTCGGAAATTCGAAGTTGAGTGGGCGTCTGATCAACCTGATTGGCATGTTGAGACTTTCTGGTTTGCAAAACAGCACGGCGTGATCTGCCGCTTGAGGTCGCGCGATTCTTTTTGATACTGTCGCAGAATGATATAAATTAACGGGCTCACGTCTCTAAATGATGATTCAAACTGGTCTAGAAGACTCTATCTAGTGAGGGAGTTGAAGTTCTCGATAACATGGAATCAAATCATATGCACAAACCGAATTCAACTTCTCATTCCCTGCTCTGACTGAGTGACCATCATGTATTGATGGGTGAGATGTGTCTCTTCATCAAAGTATTCAGGATGGTCGACAAAGTAATACTTCTTCCCAACTATCAAGATCACCCGCGAATACAGTTCTTCGCCTGGTACACACACCCCTTTCGAGTCCTCCACTTGGTTTCCAGAAATGATTTTGAATACAATGTCTGTGACGTTGCTCATAGGAATTCGGATCTTTTCCGCGTACATGGCTTTGATCTCAGGTGTAAGTAGGGGCGTTGTGACAACCCCAGGACAAATAGCATTGACTTTGACACCTTCTTCCCACAGCTCTTTTCCAACAGATCGCGTAAATCCAATCATCCCATCTGATGAAATTTCAGCTTCATTATCAATTTTGTGTTATCGGAATTGACCAATTTACTCACGTTTTCCTGCGGAGTACAGCGGGGCCGAAACGCAAGGATATAACCCCCCCAATGCTAGAGTTCAGAACGAGGTGTCGGTTCCCCTTAGTCTCCTCAGGCGATCGTCGGAAATAATGCATAGCTGAGATAGCAGGTATGCATAGCGCCGATGAAATTAATATTCAACAAGTCCGTGTGCTCTGGCTCTGGTGGAATACCAGTCTCATGCTTAGCAAAGAAGGCATTGATCAGGTTTGAAGCTTTCCCTGCATTTGCGAACACAAAGTCAAGACGATGGTGGTCATTGAAAATTTTATCAAGTACAGTGGCTTGCTCCTGGTAGCTTGCTACGTCGACTTGATGGAATGTTGTGTTATTCAATGGTGCTGCTGCTTCTTCGCCGCGTTGCTGGTTGGTGCCCAGGATATGTACCTTCCAGAGACCACTTTCGTCCAGTCTTTGAGCAACATCGAGACCCATACCACTTGCTGTTGAATTCTATTGTGAGCTCTGGACAAGATAATATCACTGCGGTGGTTCTTACTGCCTCCTGTTATGACTGCGACTAATGACATGACTGTCGGTTTCTGGGATGACTGGGATAATGTTTCCGGTCAGACCAGAGAATTATGTTGATAACTTTGAAAATAGCCCACTCGAGGGCTCTGTGCTTCAGATGAACTTGAAGCGATGAACTCGAGAGTGTCTTCTGTGCGACTTAAAGAGTCGCGCAAGTTCAGACCAATATTTTGGGTATCTGGACTCTAATTTGTAATGAAGGGTAAATGAGGGTAAATTTACCGAGATAACAAGACCAACCAGTCATAAAATAGATTCTAATTTTGGTCTAATTAACAGAGGTGTGAGACTATGACCCCTAGAACCTCCATTGAGGGGTATTCTGGTGGATATCGACTAGTAATGCACGAAGCAACCTCGCTCCACTGTCATGGACATGGTTATTGGCGGTTTTAATTAAGCGACACTCTATTTTTATTTCTTCATGCGTGCTCGAGGCCAGTTCATCTAAGTCAGCCAAATCATGATACAATATGAAGCAGTGTATTCAATTTTTGAGCTCCGAGTCTATTGTTGTGGCGTCCTAGTAAGAAATACCCATAGATTTCCTCCTACATCCATGACTCAAGCCCCGAGAAGCTCTGAATATTTAAATGACCAATGTAAATTAGATTCTACGGAGTATTGAACTTGAAATGATCTATCGACCAAGATCAGAATTTGAAGGAAAAGTTGTGTTGAGGAAATGTTTTCCTTCAAGTTGAAGGATTTGCTCCATCGTTACCGAGGATGATTGCATCATACATGTGTCTAATGCAAAGCGAAGATAATTTTCAAACAAATAACACTTCAATTATTATCAGGCAGAGTAGTCATAAGTCTCTCCAAGTGCAAGATTAGAGGGTGCGTAAATCTCCTTGAGTCACCTATCTTCAATAATCTCTACTTTGCACTTTCATCGAATCTGTGCGCTTCTCTCCTACAGGTGTCTCAAGAAGTGATTAGATAGGTGCAACTGAGCCCTCACGGGCCTCACGGGGGCTTGCCCATGTGCTCTTTACAAAGTCAGGCCTAAGCTTCTACTCTCTCGCCAAAATATCACAATGCTCAGGCCGAGATCTGGATTCATATGATCGGACCAAAGCATTGCTCACCACAGTTCGCATGCCTGCTTGAGCTCAACTTCCGGGGCTTGTGATAGCTAAGACATAGCGCCCGAATTATTAGTCCTGACCCACATGCCAGAAGCCTAAAATGAAAATATGAGAACCAAAAAATAGCGAGAATTAATGACGACGCAATGAAGATCACAGATGATGGATAAAGAAAAATCAGAGCACCCTGACCAGTCGTTCCACTTCAGAAATGTGCTCTGTCAAGTGCGACAACGCACTGAAGTCCGCTCCGTGTTGGTCGTTTCAGTTTGATGCGGGTCGCACTTAGTGGAGCTAGACCCTCAACACTGAAACTTGTGAGTAGACAAAGGTGGTTCCTGAAACGAAGCGCCGCTAAGAAACTGTGAAACCGTCTTATGTTTCATCTGTTTGGTTCGTCAACATCTCTGCATCGTTAGATGCATCCTTTCAACGGCATGGAACTTGAAGCGAACACACTACTCCCAACAATGGTAGAAGTGAACCCCTGGTGGACCGTGGGAATCTCTCAAACCCCCAACAACCTCACAATCCATGAGTTCGGTTAGATTTCTCCCCATTTGTCTCCATTGTTCACGCTAGTAATACCCCTCTTCAAGCAGCGTCGTCAAATGTAAGTCGGACTGCATTCCATGGTTCGTAGCGGGGTTCCGATCATCAACCTTTCCGAGCGCGTAAGTAGCTAAGAATAATCATTCTATCAATAGATCTCCGCATCGTAGGAGCTGATAAATTTAGTAACGTGAAACGTTTTGCGCAACAAGAAAGCGCTTCCAGATGTCAAATTGATGTGAAGAAAGTTGTAAGCGCTGGGAAGAGGAGAGCGGGCGCTTATATACAGTGACGACCGAAAATAGATGAATTCAAGATCTTTTTTTAGACCCCAAACCTGGTCAGCTCAACCCGTTGCACTCTACCAGAATACCGGAACATTGCATGCATCGCTAGCATGGAGAGAGTTCGGGGGTGGACTAGTCCATGCATGCATGAAGCATGAAGAGGCGGGAAGAGAAGTTCCCGAGAGAGTACATCGAACTTGACAATAGGACCAGTCTGACCAGAACAAGAATGACGGAATACGATTGAAATCGATTGATCTTTCCCAGCCCCTCTGAATATTCCGGAAACCTACGCACAGCATTCAAGACGAAAATTGGACTCCCCTCATGCGAGGTGAACCACACTATTGTGGCACCCATCCACGGGTCGTTTATCCCCATCAAGAGAAAATCCTGTCATTCAGCATACCACACGGGATCAAGATATCTCTTACTTTTTTCCCCTCTCCTTTTTCTCTCCTTTCAAGATTTTTTTTTTTACTTCTCCCTCGAACACGCTTAAAATGGTCCAAACGTTCGCGCGGAGTCGCGACTCCTGACCCACTTGCTCGTGGCGCCGTGTGACAGGGGTCATTTGGCAGAGGCGAATCCTCCGCACGGACACTCCTTGGGCCACACAGGTCGTTTTTTCATGGTTATTGGGTGGTCCGCTTTCCAGGCGCCAAATTGAAACGCGACTTGCCACATCGTTCATAGGTCAACTTTTGGATCCGTGGATGCCGCTAGGTGGTACATCAATTAGTTCAGCTGGGGATTCTAATCCATACGAAGTATTGAGGATTTGTGCTACAGGAGACTAGACTGCTCAATACTAGTTCAAATGTTTAAGAATAGAAATGGAATAAACCTGGTTTGATGGAGTTTACCTGGTAATCGAGGGTATTCCATATCTGAATCCCCTGGTCAGTCCCTCTGGTGCCTAGATTCCTGTTCGAGTCCAGATGTGCTATTGACAGGTTCAGATCAACTCGGATTATGGGATCCGCCCCATTCTCGTGTGGAGAATCTGACCTGGCATTTGGATCTAGGATATTGTAACTTCCCCCGCGTCTTAAGTTTCATATCGAATAGAAGGGCTGAAGTTAGCTGATTTTGGGCTTATTTGGGCTTAAGGGATATAATGATCTGATTTGTTGGATAGACTGGTTTCCTTGCCATCCTTGGTATTAGGTGGAGACCCGGTTGATCTCCTCGCAGAGTGGACTCTAGTGGAGTCAAGGTCTAAAGTACGGAGTACATGACGATCGCACATTTTTATTTTTGAGAGAAGCGCTTGGAGATAATTAGCAGGAAACATGAAACTATTCTTAGAGAGACGAATCATTCATCCAGAATCCAGAGTACATACTCATTCTAAAATAATGAGTGGTGGCTAGTATATCGGATTGAATCTAGGGATGAACATAATAGTACATACCCGACACGTCTGAGAGTTCAGCTCCACTACGGAGACTACGGCATTCCAGTAAATCCAGTCAATCGGTCAATCTTTATGGAGTTATGGAGCCAAATTCACTAAATCACTAACAGTCTCAGGTCCCCGCGCGCCAAATAGGTTGGATTCAGATCCAACTATGCAGTCTTGGAGACAGGCTCAAACTGCCCCTGTTCCCTCCCCATGGCGCTCTAACTGGTCCTTGCAGCTCCAGCCGCCTTAAGATTTCCTTTTTTTATTATTTTATTATTTTCTTTTTTATTTATTTTTTATTTCTATCTTATTTCTATCTTATTTCTATCTTATTTTATTCTACATACCGGAGCTATATCTAGTCTAGGATTCCCTTTCAATGTTCAGATTCTTCACGAGATTCATCCACATGCTCAACGTCGTCACTCTCCCTTCTTTTTGGTGACTTCTATAATACCATCAACCTCTTTTTATTTTAATCACCTCATTTCCTCTATATTTTTTTTTCATCCTCCCTGACCTATTAATCTCTGCAACATCATTTCAATCTATTGCTTCCACAAATTCATTAAAGTGTGGACTTTGTCTCTCGGATTAAATTCTCCGCTTAAGCAGGTCTCAGTTTGGAGAACTCCATCTCAGTTAGGGCTATCGATAAGAACATTGAAAAGGTTGACACGACAACCTCATCCTTACTGCAACATTCTTTTAACATCGACATCTTCTCCATATTTTCCCGGCTGGTCCAGGAATTCTACCTACCTTGATTTTCCCGAACAAAGAGTTACTTTTTACTTTGTTCATTTACCATCCTTTGTTCCTTCTTTCTCTCTCATTTTACCTACATTAGCAGCCTAGACTGCTACCGTCATTCCCTTTCTCTACAATGCAGAGCACCCTACCAGCGACCATGTCGCTAAACCGAGCAGCTCTAGATGAATTTGTTCATCAGCGAGTGTCTTGTGAGATGATCTCATATCTTGCTCAACAAGCTTCACAGGTCATCAGGTGTGAGGCCCATGTGATCAACGCAGTCAGCCAACATGGTCAACCAACTCCCCCGGCCACCCCTCCTATGGACCCAGAAGACAACCTTCCCGCCCTGCCTTCAACAGAAGCTTTTATTGCATCCCTGGTCGCTCGCTCTCAGGTTCAGGTGCCCACTCTCATGAGTTCCCTCGTGTACCTCGGCCGTCTCCGTGCCCGTCTCCCTCCCGTCGCCAAGGGCATGCGATGCACTGTGCACCGGATCTTCCTCGCCTCTTTGATCCTCGCTGCAAAGAACCTAAATGACTCGAGTCCCAAGAACAAGCACTGGGCACGGTATACATCGGTGAAGGGATTTGAGGGTTTTGGTTTCTCACTTCCTGAGGTGAACTTGATGGAACGTCAGCTGCTGTTCCTGCTGGATTGGGATACCCGCGTGACCGAGGAGGATCTGCTCACCTACCTGGAGCCTTTCCTTGCACCTATTCGCGAACGTCTTGAAATTCAACAACGCCAACAGGAAGCCGAGGAGGAGCACAAGCGCAAGCAACAGGCGCATCGGGAATGGTATGCGTACGTGATCTCCAAACTACATGTTACATCCACTAACATGATTACCAGGCGTCGTCTGCATGCTTCGGCGGATCTGCTGGCCAGCCGCCTGCGTCGTCAGAAACTGGAAGCTCGAGTAGATGGTCGTCGGGTCGCGGATCACTCTCTTCGCCGCCTCCCAACTCATGCCTCTTGTCCCAGTATGCACAACAATCAATCTCCCCAAGCCCTTGCGGAGACCGATCGTTACAACCCTTACAACCGCCACCGCACATCTCCACACCGACCCACTCGCTCTATTTCACCTCCATCCATTCGGGACGTTCCAGGTCTTTCCCACGCCGAGACATTCAACTCCCTCTGCTCTCGCTCATCTAGCATTGCTCCAAGCTCCCGAGGCACCCCAGGTAGCCTCAGCACTGTATCATCTCACAGCAACGATGAGGTCATGGTGAATGACCCCAACTCCAGTCCTTCAGTGTCTTTGACATACAGCTACGTCAACGTCGCAGCATTGGACACCAAGCAACATTTCGAGCCAATCCGCCAACCAAGCAAGAAGATGAAGGTGCACGGTCACTCAGGTGGTGGCTTTGTCGCTCGATTCCTTGCCTCGGCAACCGGTTCCTACATGGGTGGACGTATTGGTCGGCCTCACTAGATCGAGCGGGACTCGACTCAATGTGACTGGCGCGCCGACTAGTACTTTCACCTATTTATCTTACCGATTCTTTTGATTCTCATTTCCCTACACCATTTATTACTGCTTCTTGGCAAAAAGCATTTCACCGTTGATACGCATATCCTGTGACAATACCCCTTGTTTCGCCCAGTCCCGAGTCCCGTAGATCCAAACATGACGGTCACCCTTGTCTTTTTCTTCTTTGTGCTACATTCTTATGCATTTACCCGGGTTGGTCATTGCGTTTCATGTGCTCTATGTTGTCTTGATCTTGATTCGGTTCATGCGGTGTTCGTCGTTCTCTCTTTCCAGAAATTTCCCACCCTCTTACTATATGACTTAGACCTTTCCTTGATGTACCCTACAGATGTACTTATCCTTCGATATTTTATAGTCCACACAGGACATACAATAATGATGCTCACTCACAGGAATAACTTCAATTTTTGCATCCATAATCTTGAACCAAGTAGTAGTGAAAAATCGTACCATTGTATTGACCCCTTCCATCCATACCTTCATGGCTGATGCGAAATCAGGATGACCTCTACCCGTGGACTACTGCAAAGGCCACCGACGTGGCCACTGAACTTTCCCTTTCCTGTTACCTGCATACCGTACCTATTCTTGATCATCAATGTATCTATACAGGGCTAATTTAGCTGGTAGAATATCTGCCATCTTAGCTAGACACTCATCATTGCGTTCAGCATGTGCAAACTTGAACGTTTGAGGTACTTCGGCTGCTGTTTAAGGATTCACTGTACCGAGCGGCTAGAACGGTTACTTGAAACCTTGTTAATATTGCTACCACAGATAATGCGAGTGAAATGCTATATTGATGATGGTATATTGAAATCTGGACGCACACAATGTCCTGGTGAGAATTGATTCCAGATCCCTTCCCTAAATACAAGTATTCACAAAAGAAATAGGGGCAACTTCAAGTCAAACTCAAATTCTGACATCGACCACTGATCTTCCAATCTCTAGCAGATAGAAATTTAAGTTGACACAGCGGCGGAGTACTTGGAAACGGTAAGGGTGGCATCAGTGCCAGTGAAAGGCTCAGAACCAGCCTGAACATCGACCAGGTAGAGACTGGAGCTCAGGCCCTCATTATCAATCAGGTAAGTAAAGAATTCCTTCAGGTCAGCCGAGAAACTAGTGGTAGTCTTCGAGGCGACGAAGCTGTAGACTGTGGTATCACCATTAGGACCAGTGTACAGACTAAACTCCACACCCCCGACGGTAGTAGTTCCAACAGATGATCCAGTAGAACTGATAGGTCCTGCACCACCGTACGCTGCAAGCCAGACCATAATCTCGTACTTGTCGGATCCGGTCGCGCTAGAAGCCAGGAACATGTCGTAAGAGACATCGGCGTCGATATTAGTAGTAGAGTAGCTGTAGCGTATCATTAGCGTACAATTTTCGTGTTTTCATATAAGAAGAGTGCACTCTCACCTCCATTTCCAGGTACTCTCAATACTAGTGATACTGCTCAGAGTAGCAGCGGTGAACTGCAGCGCGGCACTGGCGTAGCTCTTCACGTTGGAAGAGCCACCAGCCCAGGTCCAGGTGGTGTACCAGGCAAGGTCGGTGCCGCTCAATGAGGTAACACCGACACACTGCTCACCACTAGTAGCGTAGTCTTCGCCCCAGAGATCATTGTAGACGATGTAGCTTCCGGTTGTGATAGTACCCCATTGATCGCAGGTTTCGGTGCTTCGCTTCGAGATGGAGCGAGTAGGGATTGTTGCAGCGGTGCACTGGCCAGCCAGTAGCAGGGAAAAGAGAGAGAGAGGAGCGAGGAAGGACTTCATGATGAAGTGATAGAATAGAATGAAGTAATAAGGAGAGGACAGGCGAATGAGAAAGAACCCTTGAAGAATCGAACTTGAATCAAAGAATGACAAGATCCAGGGAGAATCATCTCATTAAATAAGGCCCAGAATCCATCATATGCCGTTGATCTGGAAGGTAATCCGCAGTGGATATTCCATATAGAGCACGGAGTGGTCCTGTCTCAGCTGGTAACTTCGGAGCTCCACCGGATATAGTAGGCAAAATAGAAACCCGTACCTGATCCAAGTGGATCCACAATGTTAACGGTTCTCAAATTTATCCGCCAGAAGCCTTCCAAGGCTAGGGGTCAATATCGCTCGAGCCTCGAGTACGTGTCCCGGAGCCTCGTGGTAGTGCTTTTTTCCACGACTGGGGTTTTCCATGCTTGCATGAGAAATTAGAGTTGAGCACTTTGCAGTTTTTGGAAGATCTCCGGTCTTGAGGGAATCTGAGACGACGGCGTCGGCCCGCTCACGGAGTTTAGTTCTTTTTTCAGATGAACAGAGTCTTCCATGCCGTCTCCGAGAATCTTCCGAAATTCATCAGAATTGATTCGGTGACACGATGGATCGATGAGTTTCATGTCAGGTTCATTTATAGACCTGTCATATGAAATGATGTTTTATGGGGATGTCAGGTCAGCAATAGGAGGTATTGAAGGAGTTGAAGACTAGCGTGTACCCGAGGTGGCCTGGTGACGAATGTGCAAGCCACATTAGCACCGGCGTCACGACTTATGCACCCCGCATCGTCACCCCCGTACTTAAATATGACACCTACGGTCGGGTGGCTGAATTCTTCACGAGGAATTAGCCTATATATTCCAAGTTCGTGGTCAGATCAAGGCTCGGAGCGATGCCCGTCTCTCGGGAGGTGAGGATCAGCAGAAACGCTCCGGATCATAAAGGATCAGATGAAGCAGTAACGAAACCGAACACTATGAGTCTATGATGCTAAGTCCTGACAACGTGAGAAAATCGCAGCCCTGGAGGTGGTCTTAAATCTAATTTTTACTAGTGTTTGGATATTGTTCGAGGTTGAATCTATGTATCGTCTGTCTGGGTGATTCTAGCCAAGACAGGGCGCCTAATGCAATCGCGCCATGATTCTGTATTGCGATATCTGCATGTCAAATACTTGGAATATTGGGTTTCGGATAATTAATCGATTGGATGACATGGGACAGAATCACCCAATTGGGTTTTCTGACACGAAGATTAGTGAACCTGAAGATTCTCGTGTCTCAGGTACCTCGGAGTTCTCTTCCACTTCAAGCTCTGTAGAATCCCCATCCCCCATTTCAGTCACAGTAGCGTCATCATCCTCAGAAACTTTAGAGATTCCGTCCGTAAAGTTCATGTTGAATACCAAGCTGATCTCAAAATTCACCGTGGGGTCTTTGCACGCGATCCAGTATTTCCACCATACATGACTCAGACATGCAGCCAAGTCAATTCCATCATTTGCTAACTGTTTACAGACATGCTGCACCCAGAGAAACATTTTGATGTGCCTGAGATGGGTATAGATCTTGAACAAAATAATGAGAACGCTCGTAATTTTCAACACGCCGTATGAACCCATTTTGTCTTGGAGCCAATATGGTATAGCGCGACAAATGTTGTCGGCGTAAGCGCCCGCTATCCGGAGCTCATTATAACTTTCTGCGTCGATTTTTGGACCAAATCTTCCATTATGTCGTAAGACTCGTATCCGAGATTGATAAATCATTGTTTGGAGAATGGCCATTGCTTTCCAGAAGAACACATGCATCTCGGCATTCCGGAATGAGTCAAAGTCGTATAGATAGGTGAACACTTTCTCTGATGGAGGGAGAGTGTGATTCTTGGGATTCCATTCGTCGATGGGACATTGGATAGGTGGACCACCGATATTCTCTATATGTTGGTAGTACCATTCCATAGCCTTTTTCCTTTGTCCAAGACATTGGCGGAGAAGTCGCGTGCAAGCAGCCTCGTTTGGTGAGCCAGCGCCTATTGATCTTGCAGTTGCAACAAGAGATGTGATTCCGACATAGACTTCGAAGAGCTCATCAAAAGTTGGGTCGTCATTATGCTTCTTCAGATAGTCGAAATCGCTACCTGAACTTTTGGATAATATTAACGGGGCGTACATCTATGATGGTTAGTTGTATTCATTCGAGCCATCTAACTGGAAATCTCTTACCAGATTCTGTTTCAGAAGTTTATAAACAGGTTTGAAGATTTTGTTCTTTCCCATGGCATCTGAATGTCGAAGTAATGTGTTATGTCCTTCCATATGAGCGATGAGCGGACTGACACCGCTCGGACAGTTGAAAGTCTAAAATTGTCAGATTCGAAACTTTAGAAAGAGCCACAAAGCTTACATCGATCGCTTTAAATATGACGCCAGTGTAGATCACATCAGTACTGACAGACCCCTTGGCAAGTTGACTTGACACATGGCGGATCGCATTGCTGTATAGTTGCATGCCACTACCCATCAGCTGTTTATCACCCTTGGCCGCGCCGAGATACAGACATGACAACGCTGAGATGGCATTTTCCAAAGCTTTAGTCTTGGCCGGGAGCGCCATGAAGTTGGCCATGAGTTGGAACCACAGATCCACTTCCCCGATGGCTTTGATATCGAGGTTCACCGGGTAATAGGATTCCCAAAACACCGCCGAGAGCTGCATTCGATTTTGCGAGCGTGACTCCATGCTAGCCGGTAATCGTTGCACGCGGGCTGGTGCGGGGGCGGGAGCCTCTGGCTTTGCCTTGTTTACCAACTCTCCTGACGGTTTTGATTGACTATAATGGCTGAAAAACAGATTATCTTGCGGATAGCCAGGACAAGTCAGGCCACGTTTGAAGCACCGTGTACATCCTGGTTTTTGGAGGTCACACTATGAAAAATCGTCAATCTTTCTTTCAGACACATTCAACGGGTGGAAGGGTCCAAAGCTTCATGTTACTGACCTTGACCTTCCGCTGTCTGCATGCCCCGCACCCTTTACTTGACCACGGTCTCCCTCCCATGTTGTGTCTCTGTCCAGTGAACAATATAAGCAATATAAAGAGCAGAAGGCCGACCGTTCATCAAGGGTTGGTGTTTGTATGAATGATGGTATGGCGTCAGAGACTCCGTGCACTTCGACGCCTTTTGTGGCCCCCAACACGGCGAGACCCACTCTGTCCAATCATCAAGATGGCCCCAACGGCTATTCCCTTCTAAGTTCATCGAAGGAATAAGCGAATATCCACTGTGCAAGCCTCCATACCCTGAACAACGGCTTCCGCGATCCTCAGATGGCTCGATTGGGCTTGGGGAGAATTGTGGAAGCTGTCAAGATCCTTCAGCTATTGACTTGGATCTGGTACTGTGGGTCAGTTGGTCAGTGTATACAAAGAGACTGAGTTTATCGACATCATCTCAATCAATATTAAACAACTTGTCATGAGCCCTTGTATCATCACTGAAGATTTTCAGATAGCTCTGTGGAGAATGTGAAACATCAAAATGCCGAGACCCTAATTCATGGTACATACAGTTGACCAGTTGACTAAATTTACATGGAGAAGGCTCTAGGAAGACCGAAGTATGTAGTAGAACTAGATAGGCCGGCACGCAGTTTAATTCGCTACAAGTACTTCTGCAGAATAAGTGATTTACCTATCTAAGTAAACAGCCATTCAAGTATTCTCTCATCGTTTAATAAGGTCGAGCTTAAATCGTCGGAATAGGATCCAGTTCTAAATAAATCACCACCAAAATGAGCAACCCACCAATACCTTCAATGGAAGGAACGTAGTAAAGAAGCGTAAAGATCTCACCAACCCCCCTTCCCAAATTTCGGAGTTGATCCGTGGCTGCATGAGCTTTGCAACCACAGAGGTAGCGTAAGTTTGTGACCGCATGCCATTTTCATTCCCTTGATACTTGATATGCTCAACAGTGCTTTTGATTGGAAGGTAGAGTGACTGCTCTGGAGCGTGTAGCCCATGGTGTAGGATGTTGCTTTACACGAACCCAGTCACTATCTCAACCACTTCAATTCCCAGTGGCATCAGCTCCTAGGTTTCAGTCAGATCGAATGCTCTTGGGGTGATTTTTCCACAAGTGTAGATTAGATCTGATTTGACTTACCAATCGAAGAGTCTTGGAATGTTGGCTAAGAGCAGCCTTGGAAGCATTGTACGGTCCTTGCCATACAACCGGTATGCTCCTTGTCACACTCCCAATCTGCACGATTCGTGGTCGTGGTGCCTGACAGAGGAGCGGCACAAAGACTTGACCTAGACGCATGACGGCAAATACATTGACTTGGAATAGTTTCATGACCTCTTCGATCTCTAGGTCCACCGCTGTTGATGCGTAATGTGTCCCGGCATTGTTAACCAAGAAATCGATGCGGCCATCTGTGCGCTTCACCACGGCATCTCTTAACTTCTCAATGCCGTTTGGCTCGTCGAGGTCGAGGGAAAAGCTTTCAATGTTGTCATACTGACTAGTTAAATTGTCCAGAGATCCGGTGCGCCGTGCGGTGGCAAGAACAGTGATTCCTTTGGTCGCAAAGGCTATCGCGAGCTCTTTTCCGATACCACTGCTGCAGCCGGTAATGAAAGGTAATGAGTGCAAACATAGGCATAGCTACCTTATGGAGAGAACAAATGTATGAAGTTGCAGTTTTGATCACAATACAGGAATAAACGGATTAGATTGCCGATTTGGATATCGATGAGCTCTATAGCTATGTCAAGTGATTATGAGATGGAAGAACCTCAGTTTAATCTCAGCTTTCCCCTGGTTGTCGAATAAGACGAATAAAGTCAAATCATTCAAAATCCTTTGTCGGGAAAAAATCCCAGTTCCTAGATGATCCGTAATTACGCCCAGAAAACAATTATTTCATTAATTGTATCGTGCAACATGACTACGACAGCGATTGGTTGTTATAATTGATCCCGCAAGCGGTTCCTCCGGATGTTCCTCCGAGTGTTCCTCCGGTGGGAACTATCCATGGTCCTTTATCCCCCTCACGAGTTAACGTAGAAAGCCCTGGAGGTTATTATACCGAGGCATCAGGCTCAGAAATTACAGGGGCATGTATGAAGAACAAATGTGCAGAGCCTGATGAAAGTGGGGAGCTAAAGGGTTGTGGTATGCGTGAAAGCAAAACCCCTGGCAAATTCAATTCTACGATAATGCACTGTGAAGATGTGGAAGCGTTCAAAGATCTTGGAGGTATCAGTCTATACAAGCCATATGTTAGTCAATGGCAAGAAAATCATGATGGTGGACTTAATTTCATTTGTAGGAAGGCAGAAATCCACGGAAGGCAAGACTTCGATGTTTATGAATCATCTCTCGATGGCTCTATAGCATCCATGGCACTGAAGTGGATAATTTTTAATTGGTAGTATTTAAAAGAAAATGTCGAACAAACTTAAATGCAGAGCTATCATGTTGCTTTGTTGTCTCCAAAATCCTTAGGCAGCTCTGGACCCCAAACAGATAACGGCCCAACAGGTTCTCTCCTTGTCGGATTATCCTGATTCACCACATCTCCATCGGCATAATGTTCAATCTTGAACTTCGAACTATCATACCAATAATCAAAAATTTGACTTCCCAAAATATGCCTCCCAACACCCCATACGCTTGTCCACCCCTTCTTAGCAAGGTAGCGATGTCCCATTAACTGCGTATCAAAATCCTCCACCTCGAAAGAAGTATGATGAAGATATGTCTCACGAGCCGTTGGTGGAGCACGCTGCAAGAACAATGTATGGTGATCGGTATAATCCGCACCAAGATCCAGATGCATGAAGGTCATGACCTCCCTATCCGGGAACTGGGGCAGATACAGAATATCGGAATGAACGAAGTTGAAATTGCCCGTATAGAACTCCAACTCAGTCTGAAACTCCTTGCAGACGTAGCCGTAGTGCCCAAGCTTGTGGATCAAGGCAGGGCCGTCATGGTATCGCTGAAACTGGCCCTTGCGAAGTTTTTCAAAGGGGAAATTGAACGGTCCATGGAACTCATGCGTTGCTGTCGGTGGCTCTTTCACGTTGTCTATCTCACGCTCAGTCTGACCGTGTATCACATACAGGAAGGTTCCATTTGGGCGCGCAAAGGTGATCATCTCGCCGCCCCCAGGAGCCTCATCTAGTTTCTTGCAGATGGCGCCTGGTAGCTTCGCGGCCTTTTCAAAGTTTTCTTGATCTTTTGCAATGAAGGCAGCGCCCTTGAACTGCGACTTTGATTTGGAGCCTTGAGAGGCGACGTAGACGTAAGGGTCTTTGCCATAACCGCGATAGTAGATTGTCTTGCCCTTGCGCTCTGCTCAACAAATCCGAAATCATTCGCAAACTTGGCGAATGCTTCGAGATCATGGTGATCAAAGTAAACATGCGCGATGCGACTTAGCTGGACCTTTGATGGGTCGTTTTGGACGGTCGGTATGCTGGATAGTGGTAGTATCCAGTTTTGCCATTTTTGGGGGAGCAGTGCGAGCACATCGAGTACCCAAAGAGACATTTTTGATGTTCAGGAATGCGAATTTTACACCCCAAAGTCTCTTAGTAGATATGATGGTGAGGACAAGTAGATGAGCGTTAATGACTTCCTTGAAGGCAGGATAACAGGCAATTTGTGTCTTATACAGTCATTTGATGATTTCAACTCCTTGGGCTCCACATTTTCATGAGGGAGTTCATAAGGTCCACGAATACAGTACGTCCCGAAACCGGTGCAACCACCATACACTATTTGATTGATTCTCCAACCCGATTGCCAAGACCCGCCAGTTTAAAATAGGAATAGTCTCGGGATATTATTCTTCCTGTATCATTCTGAAAACGATATGATACCATGCTAAAAATACATCATTGTGTACTGTAATTATAATTGTGATCCAGAGTCCAGAAATTTCTATGACCTTGCAAACAAATCACAAAAATCAAGTAGCAAGGGTCTTACGAAGTTGAATAACTTTCACTTTCCTCAATTTATCATATAACTGGGTCATTACCTAGGCCTTATTGATTAAATACTTATAGTAATGGGATCTAGTCGTAAATATTGTGGTGGGGTATGCTTATCTTCATCTACTACTCATATGATATACCGTACTGGTTGAATGTACAGTTAATCTCTAGCTAGTATTGTAATATACACTTCTTCTCACCACCTTGGTGACCCCTATCTTCCATCCGGAACCTTGCCCGGCACACTTTGTGAGGTGGTTGTTGTTGTTGGTGGTGGTTGTTACTGTTCTTCTCCTAGCACTACACTGATCTTGTCTAAACATAGTGTTACCCTCTCCACTATATACACACTTCGATCCACTCTCAAGTGGATCTCCCGTTTCCGACCCGCAATCCCTCCTCATTTGCTAGATGCCCACGGGCAACCTGATAGGATAAGTAGCCGCCAAGGTTCAGCGCCCGACAATCACCTGATTGTGGGGCTGAGCTTCCCTTTCTCGACATGAGAGCCTTCTCTCTGGCTGCGACAACATCATCGCACACTGGCTATTAAGCATGAATTCCACATCGTTTGGTGGCGAGAACTCGGGGACTCAGGTGGGGACCAACCATGGTCCGATAACTCAAAACTATTTCTCATCTGGTGAGAGACCTAAAGCCTTCTTCAAACCTGGCAAAATTGACTGACAGCCACTTTTGCCACCCAGGCCGACGAGAGACCCCAGAGCAGAATATAGACAATGGTTCGCATCGCTTCTTACCAGTCAAACAGACTTTCCACTCACAGCCGTGACAGAAGTACTTGAGTCACTAGCATTCCCGCAGATGCTAGATAGGAGAGATAATATCGAGCCATGCCACGCGAATACCTGCAAGTGGATTTTAGAGCTGGAACAGTACCAGTCTTGGAGGAGCCAGTCCCATGGTCTGCTCTGGGTTAAGGGCAAGCCAGGTTCAGGAAAGTCCACCTTGATGTTATTCCTACACGACAAGCTCCAAATATCACAGGATGAGAGTTCAGGTATCCGCCTGGACTTTTTCTTCACCGCCCGGGGTACAGAGATGCAACGTACACCGCTAGGGATGCTGAGATCATTACTAAACCAGATTTTCGACCGTGACCCGACAGTGTGTCCTCAGATACGTGAGATATACAACCGGCGATGTAAGCAGTTCGGGTATAGCAAACGTCAGTGGCAATGGCCACAAGTGATGCTAGAGGAGTTACTAGCAAGTGCCATTCTGGCATCAGCCAGCCAACAGCACGTGGTCGTTTTTGTGGATGCTCTAGATAAGGCTGGGGCTACGTCTGCTCAGCAGCTGGCAGGATATTTCCATCGGCTCGTCGATCGTGCTGAGAAAAAGAAGCTATACATCCAAGTTTGTATCTCATGTCGACACTATCCTATCATGGAAAGTGGACAGGCTATAGAGATAAAGGTCGAAGATCATAATCAGCAAGACATTAACACATATATCCAGGATTCCCTTATACAGACGGAGGCCAAAGTCAACACTAGTCAGAAGATGAGGGAAATGCTGGTCGAGCAATTAACCCGGCAGGCAAATGGATTCTTCCAATGGATTCATATTATACTCCCCCTCATCGAGCAGAAGGTTCGTAAAAGGGAATCGTTCAACGATATCTGTTCCTGGCTACGTGAGGTCCCGGCTGGCCTGGAAGATGTTTACGTGTATATTCTGAATAATGTGATAGATAAGAGGAACCGGGAGCAGTCATTTCTATTCTTTCAATGGGTATGTCTGGCTGAGCGACCGCTGACTGTGGCCGAGATGCGGTATGCTTTAGTGGCTAAAAATGTGCGGGAAGCGCTGTCTCCAAAGAAGTGGGAAAGGATCTCTGGATTCATCGAAAGCAACAAACATATGCTACAAAGAATTAAGGCTCTTTCTGGCGGACTAGCTGAAGTAGTCTCGAGTGCAGATAACAATGAGACTGTACAGGTGGTACACCAGTCGGTCAATGATTTCTTGCGCACAAAAGGGCTTAAGGCTTTGTGTCATGATGTCGATCTAAGCACATCTTCTATGAATGAGAAGCAGATTATTTTTCGATGCCAGGCAACTCTTTACCGATCGTGTCTAGTGTATCTTGCCATAAGTCATAAACCGGCAGAAACCAGTGGATTCAAAGGAACCAGAGAGGACTTCATCCAAAAACATCCCTTACTTAAATACGCCACTACGAATCTCTTTATTCATGCGGAAAAGGCTGCCGACTCTCGACCTGGCATAGTTCAGAATGAGAAAGACATCCTACAAAAAGTGCTCGGTCGTTGGGTCCAGATGTACCAGAAACTAGATAAGCATAGCAGAGTATGCCCGCCGAGAGGCACAACACTGTTATATATGGCTGCTGCTGCTAATCTAGTGGATCTCATAGAGCCTGTGGCGTTGGATGTTAAGGATGTCATGAGAAGGAACAGAAATGGAGATACAGCGTTACACTTGGCAGCCCGATGGGGTCATGTCACAGCTGGCAAAATACTCCGGACGAAGGGGGCAGACCAAGTGGCAAAAAACCACAGCGGCAAGACACCACTATCTGAGGCAGCCAGTGGTGGATATTTAGAATTTGTCGAATGGCTCTTGAAAGAGGGCGTGGATCTGGGAATAAAGAGAGATGGAAGTGCGCTACAAGTAGCTTCTTTGGGAGGCTATCACAGTGTTATGGAGATATTGCTTGAAGCTGGCGCCAATGTGAATGCTCAGGGTGGTAGATATGGCAATGCTCTACAGGCCGCTGCATGGAATGGAAGCCCTGAGACAGTCCAGATACTGCTCGAAGCTGGTGCCGATGTGAATGCCTAGGGTGGTTACTTTGGTAATACTCTACAGGCCGCTGCATATAATAGAAGCCCTGAGACAGTCCAGATACTGCTCGAAGCTGGTGCCGATGTGAATACCCAGGGTAGTTACTTTGGCAATACTCTACAGGCCGCTGCATCTAATAGAAGCCCTGAGATAGTTTAGATGCTGCTCGAAGCTGGTGCCGATATGAATGCCCAGGGTGGTCAGTATGGTAATGCTCTACAGGCCGTTGCATTTAATAGAAGCCCTGAGATAGTCCAGATACTACTTAAAGCTGGTGGCGATGGGAATACCTAGGGTGGTAGATATGGCAATACTCTACAGGCCGCTGCATGGAATGGAAGCCCTGAGATAGTCCAGATACTGCTCGAAGCTGGTGCCGATGTGAATGCCTAGGGTGGTCACTTTGGCAATACTCTACAGGCCGCTGCATGGAATGGAAGCCTTGAGTCAATTCAGATACTGCTCGAAGCTGGCGCCGATGTGAATACCCAGGGTGGTGAATACGGTAATACTCTACAGGCCGCTGCATGGAATAGAAGCCTTGAGTCAATTCAGATACTGCTCGAAGCAGGTGCCGATGTCAACGCCCAGGGTGGTAGATATAGATCACCTCTCTTGGCAGCTACTCATGAGGGTTATGTTGATAAAGTTCAAATTCTTCTTCATGCTGGAGCAGATTCACTGCTTGCAGATAAACTAGGCCGTACTCCTCTTCATGTTGCAGCTTCAGAAAATAGGCTCCACATACTCCGTCGGTTTCCACAACTCGTGTCAGCTCTCAACAAGCGTAGTGAATTCTTACAAACTCCTCTCTATCTTGCGGTTTGCCTAGGTCATATTGAATTTGCTATTACGCTTCTGAATTCTGGCGCTGATCCTTCCCTCCTAGATGGTTATGGGAGACATGTTATGGACTGGGCAACCCATCATGAAGCTCTGCTACAAGAAATACACAGTCACTGCCCTCACCTTGTGTTAACCCCTCCTGATACTCAAGAACTATTTGTTCATCGGTCGCTCTTCAAACTTACCGAGTCGCTTCCATATTCCATGTCCAAGTCTTCATGGCTCATTCTGCAACAATTAGGCCGTCTTTTTTTGTTTCTTGGCCAATTAGACGACGCACGCTATTTGTTTCAGCTCCATCTGCCTCGGGATGCCTCCTCTAAAACGGATATCTACCAGATCTCCTGCAGTATGTGCAACCGGATTATCAACAGAACTCGCTTTATATGCAGACAATGCGCCTGTATAGATCTCTGTTCCCCCTGTGTACAAAAGTACCCTTACCATAGCCGATTGCATCCAAATCAAAAGCACGAAGGCTTCGTAGTGTCTAACATGCCTGATGAAAACTCCCAATTCACTGGCCTAACATCAGAACGGCTGACATATTTCTTAAGCAATCTTGTTCATGCATGTTTTGAGCAAAGCGCCAATCAATCTGAGATAGAGCTATCAAATGATTCCGTGATTTCTCTGGCACTGAGCAAGGCAGCTCTTGTTCTAAAACTCCCTTCTAGTACGGTGACACGAATTTTTGGGATCTTATTCGGAGTTTCAGCCACTTTTTTATCGGCTTGGTATTTTTTATCAAGTTAAATTTATTTCATACGCTCGCGGCTCAATCTATCTCGGTTTTTGCAATATATATCACTTGACAATAAACGTCTTCGGATAGTGCTATACCACAGAGAGCTATTTTTCCATTTTTTGGTACTTGTAGCTAAGTATTTTTGGGGGGGCTAATATCGAAGACATACAGTCTTTCTCGAAATCGGCTTGACCAGTACACACTCCCAACTCTTTACGGGCCCTACCGCCAGGCCTTTAGCGCCCTTGGAAGCAAGGACGTGGCTGATATAGTGCTGTACTCGATTTTGTTGTTTGAATTTTAAATTTGTCCCATAGGAAAATCCCCATCTCGTTAAGATAAAGGCTAGGCTTGTCGAGCAGGTGATCGCAAAGAGTTTTTAACATGACCAGAGTAATAATTTATGGTCGACTACCTTTATTCGGCGGCGCTTTACCAAAAATCTGTTTATTAAGAGAGACTTCTTAGGATGGTACTTCTGTTGCAGCCAGTGTGGTAAGATTGGGCGCCATCCTGGTGCCACCCACTTATGATCATGAAGAGGTTGTGTACCAAAGAGGTGTCGAGTGTATTGAAGTTACAAGCGAATACATTCAACATAGCCGTAAGATACTCTCCGTAAGAAACAATACGGTCCCCACCGACAGGGGTATTCCGGAAAAACTCTCAAAATGTATTAGCGCGGCTTAATCACTAGGGTTTGAGAATCAACCAAAGAGTAAAGGGGCCGCGCCGGTTTTGAGATGTACTGTACCTCGGCAAGGAAAGTAAAAATATCGTTTTTGTGGGGTCTGTCCAGTTACCAAGCTAACGAGGATGATCAGATCAGCCGAGCTTGACATGAAGATCCTCCGTGGAGTAACTTTTCTGGAGACCCCGCTGGAGAGTGGCTAGGCGATCGCCAATCATTCCCTCTCCGGGATTATGCTTGCTGCCAATGGCCCCGGGGGCATATTCAACCTTAGCGGCCTTCATACAAATATTTGTGAAAGTCAAACTTTTCTAATGCTACCTACTAATCTCCTAGAACTGTGCTTCTTTGTATCGCATCACCCAGGCTATCCATGATGGCTAGATTTGAGTACCTTTATCGTTTCGAAACGGAGAAAGGAGACGAGTTCTTTGCAAAAGGTGTCTCGACCGAGCCCATAATTGGCGCCTCAGTCAACGCATTCCCAACTTTCGAGGACCTTTTCGAAGATAAAAATGTGACGCAGGAGAAAGTAGAAAAGGTCTGTATCACCTTTCACTGTTTAATGTGAGATTTTTGATCCGACTATCGTTCTATTTCAAATAGCTTCTGCCACCTATCCCTCAAACAAACCTCCCAATTTACTGCGTCGGCCTCAATTACAAAAGCCACGCCAAAGAGGCCAGCGTATGCCACTTAACCACTTAAGTCATTTTTGTTGAGTCTTTAATCAAAGTCAAATAGCTTCGTGTCCCTTTCAATCCCCCGTTGTGGACTAAGCCTGCAGCCTCGTTATCGGCGCCGAACGAAAGCATCCCCATCAGTCGTTTTTGCGCCTCACACCTTCCTGACTATGAAGTGAGACTCCAAATGCCCATTTTTGCAAATAATCAGCTATTGAAATCGAATTGCCAGGGTGAACTAGTCTTCGTTACCTCACGCGACTGCCTGAACGTTAAACCAGAGGAAGCCTCATCATATATTCTCGGATATACGATTGGCAATGACATTTCCTGTCGCTTCTTCCAGCTTCCTGAGCAATCAGGAGGCCAGTTCTTCTACGCCAAAGCTTTTGATAAATTTGCACCCATTGGACCGGTTCTCGTGAGCCCGCATATCTTCAACGAGGCCAAAGGAAAGGCTAGCCTAATTACCCGCATCAATGGGGAAGTGAGGCAAAACACTGCCATGCACGCCGACATGATCTTTTCTCCAGAACAGGTGTTAAGTTGGATGAGTCAAAGTAAGCTACTCTTCAATCTTGGAATTATCTCAGGTTCCTTTTTAATCCATTTAATCATTGCAGGCACCACAATCCCAGCTTATACCGTAGTGATGACCGGTACCCCAGCAGGTGTAGGTGTGTTTCAAAAACCTCGTCAGCTTCTCAAGAATGGAGATGTGATGGAAGTTGAAATCACCGGCCTGGGGAAACTGAAGAACAAAGTGGTTTTTGAGGAAGGGCAAGATTCTATCCTGTGAGGCCATCCTTTCTTTTCTCGTACTTGATGGATTAGATAGGCTTTTCTGTTCTCAGTTCTAAGTACATTTTTCCAGATGAATGCTGATTCAAGACCTCGTTTTATTTCGTAATTAGAGCACTTGCAGTGAAGTTAGTGAAAGCCAAACTCTGGTATGCCTTCAGTCTCTGGCTGATATAAGCCACTTTGTTGGATTTGATTATTGAAAGAACCCCTGTTGTCTCGGAATCTTGAGTTCTTCTGTATTAGATTTTAGATTTGCTGGGTGGATTCAAATGTTTAGTTGGTCTTTGAAAATGAGGATATTCTTATTTTCACGCATTATTCGAGGGTATCTGGTATCCTATCTAGCCTCCTAAAAATACTGTATCCTTCTTTTTCAATTCTGTAATAGCCTATATCATATCCCTGGCCCTAGTACTATTTGCGTATATCCAACTATATAACAGCTAACCTTCCCTTTCAGATAACTCTCCAGCTAATTCCGAGTCTGTAGGTAACCCCGTGGGTACCTAAATGGAAAAAAGGTCTCGGTCACCAGTTACCTGTAGACACTACTTACCGAGTAGTTGAGCATGTGAACATGGCTATCTGAGAGGATGTGAACAAACCTGAGTCACTGGCATGACTCAGAAGTCAGCCCTGGAGGGACGTACATAATATTCCCCACAATTCTCACCATGGGGTGTTTCAGCCACCTAAGAAAAGATCCTCCGCGGAGGATCTTTTGTGATGGCCAGGTCCCACTTTCTTCTCTACTTACTAGGTAAGTCTTTTGTGACGTATTTCACGCCATGCTGTGATCATTCAACCTCGGTACACTTCACTCCTGCTTGATGAATTTACAAACTTGAAGCTCCTGGAATATTTCCGAAGTGGAAAAAGGGGAAGGTACTCTTATATCGTCCTTAGTCCCGCCTCACCTACAGAATAGCCAGATTCATTGGCACAAAACCTCACTCCGGGTCACACTATAGACCAGATGAAAACTGACGTTATCATCCTTGGGGCAGGACCATCAGGTCTGGTCCTGGGGCTTTTCTTGGCCCAGCAGCAAGTTACGGTATGTGCAATCTACTCTGATATCCCCATCTGTTCCAAGGCTTCTTCGAGACGGACTGACTTATTTGTCACGTACATGTAGTCAATCATTCTAGAAAGGAATCGGAAGTTACCACTGACCCGAGGGGTGTGGTGCTCACTGGCGATGCATTGCGATCTCTGTGGAAGCTGGGCTTGGGGAAGCGGATGGCTTGGATAGGATAAGGTGACATCTCCTCATATCTCTCGATTCTAAGGCATGTGAAACAGGAGACAGAAGACTAACAATTACATTTACAGAGCTTGACAGTCTGAATTTCCACACGACGATAATATCAAAAGAACCCTGGTTGAAGATTCCTCTCATGGTGGATAATATGGAGCACGTGCTCCCTACTACTATCCTTCAAAGTCAGCCTCGACTTGGTAAGTGGCTATGAATCTGTCTATTCCTTGAATTTTTTTTGATTTCTGATCGCTGCAAACAAAACAACAGTGGTCGCTCTACGAGGGCTGTTGATGGCGTCAGAATTCTGTACGCTCAGATCCTCATGCGAGGCTGTGGGGCACGAACAGAGTGCGGAAAGTGTCACTGTCCATTACATAGACTCTTATGAGAAGCAATCTCAAGTTCACGGTCTTTATCTCATTGGGGCAGATGGAAAACGCAGTATTGCCGCAAATGCTTTCTTGAAAAATCCGCCGGAATTCGACAGGAGACTGAAATATTCGAGTATGAAGGCACCTGGATTGCTGCGAACTTGAAGATAGCCCTCCCGACGAAGGAGTCTCATCCAAATTTCCCACCATGGACACTTGGATACACGGAAGAAGCTGTCTATGATTTATTCTGGCCAGCCAACTGGCACTTTTGCCGACCACCGGGGAAACCATCGGCGTGCGGACGGTTTGGTCCACTCTCAGAGCGACTATGGCGTCATGAATTTGCTGTTCCAGAATGGAAGTATAGGGATGATGAAGGCTCATCAGAAGCAATTACTTTGTTCTGGGAGAGTCTTACTCCGATGATCACAAGATCTGTGCATGTGTCAAGGGGAGAAACGCTTACCGTGACCTTTCCTCGCGACTGCATCCAAGTCCTTCGCTGTCGCCCTTTCCGCTTTAATCACAAAGTCGTCAATAAGTTGTTTTCTGGGCGCATTGCTCTTATTGGAGATGCTGCCCATGTGTTCCCCCCATTTGGTGGCCAGGCTGTTGCTTGTGGTGTTGCGGATGCTGAGGGCCTAGCTTGGCGATTGGCTATCTTAACGGAGTTGGAAAAGTCCAACCGGATAACTATTAAGCTTCGGTCTATCGCTCTACAGTCCTGGGCCGAGGAGCGGCGCTTGGGCGTTGATATCTCCGCCCGTTTGACTCTACAGAACGGGGAGTGGTGCAATAAAGAGCCCAGTTGGTTTGATCCACTACAAATCTTACTCCTTAAACTACTACTGTCTCTATCTCGAGCAAGACTGGCGCTGCCTCCAGTTAAAGCCGCAGCTCGTGGCTACTCTGACTGTCCACAGGGTGCATTTCTTGCCGATTATGGAGGCGGAGGCAGGTTAGGTCAAATTTACGTACAAACGCGTCTCCCTCAGAGCAAAGACCATCATTGAACTCTTCGACCAAGCACTTAGACGGGTTTCCACGATTATGACTTTGCTGGTTGTTCATTCCGACCAGTACGAAAATCAGCAAATGGAGCTAGAACAACTCATTCGGCGATCGAGTATCCGATCAACGATACTCTCGGTCGAATCCCAAGTACATTTCGATACTAGAGAGAATGTGAGGGATGAATACCGCAATGCCATGTGGCCCATCTCCTTTCCAGCACCACCCCATCTTCTTACAGGGTGTATTATCCGCCCGGGTATGACATCAACCAATTTAAGCGTCGACTGAACAGCCACCGAGCGAAATATTTTATCCTCCGTCCAGATAGCATCATCTATGCCGCGGCTGAAAGCCTCCAGCATCTAGAGCGCTATCTAGAGGCTCTACAGCAGAGCTTTTCCTAGAATATTACTGGCAATTTCTTTTTACCACTGAGTAGTACTGTTCAAATTGCTCGAAATTAAAATGTTCTTTTTACCTGCGGCAGCATTACTTCGTTCTTCATAATCCTAGTATGTACATAATGGGAAATCAATGCTTTTGTGAGTGTCTATAATAATAATATACCCGGGGTCCATTCCCTAACCCATTAAATCCGCAAAGGCCGCTGGATCCTGGAAGATCCAAGACCGACCTGGCGAGCCTAGAAAAGAAGGGAGCCACGCAGGAAGTGGGAATGAAGAGGATTGCTGGATTCTCTTCCCGCCATGTGCATGCATCGACACCAGTGCATGCTCCAGTTGATATTGACCCGCTTCATATCTCTGTCCCGTAACAAGGGACCCAGTAGCGAGTTGCTGAGCAGTCTGCGCATCTAACAGCTCCGCAGTTTGATAAAACGTGCGTAGTGTCTCATGCAGACTTTCCAACATCGTTACACCTTTCGTAACAATAGGCTGTCGTTGACTGTGTCGGCACAAAAGACTGAATCCATCAAACCATGACAAATAATGTCGTCGGATTTCGGGATCATTATGGAACTGGATACCATCCATCCCAAGGCTTTTCGCATCTGCCTGAATTGAGAGTAGACATACACCCAGGTTGGCCAATGATTCTACTAGGCAGGCGGGAACAAAAAACAATTTCTCGCCTGCGCCTCCTTCTTCATCGCCAATCAAATGGTACAAGTTATCGACTGACCGAATCACTTTGCTGGAACAATCCATGAAGGTTCGTCGGTGGGATAGAGCGATAAGATCACAACCGTTTTTCAAAGTCGGGCTGTTTCGTTGTTGGAGACTGTTCGAAGGATCCGCGAATGCTTTATAGAGAGAAGCTTTCGTTACCCAGATGATGAAGCTTAGCATTTCTCTCTTGCCCGGGATGGCTGGATCTATTGCGTCCCATGTATTTCCAGGGTTATGTAACCAGTATACTGGAGGGAGCTGGTCTATGATGACTTGCTGGAATTGTCGTGTGAATTCTGCTATCGCGATGGAATCCACTCGATCGTGTTGCCAAAAAGGCGGACTCATGAACGCTGTGACAAAGCGAGTGATTTTAATGTGGAAAATTCGGTCGGTGAATGATGTCAGGACGTAAGGGTTTATGGAAAGCGGTTGGAGGTTGTCGTGAGGGGGGTCGACGTAAATGTATCCCTCTGGGATGAGTGGCCAATGCCCGAAAAATGTTGACATATAACTGCACATGCAAAGGTAACTCAGTTAGTTCTGCAGTGGAGAATGGCAACAATCATGACATCATTCTAGTAACAGATCAAATCCAGGGAATCTCCACATACCGATCTCCAACATATAAGCTCCAGAATGTTCGTCTGCGGATTTCCTTCTCTAACTCAGAAAGAGGGACATTGGAGATCTCAAGATGCAGTCCAATCTCATGGGCATCTTTCACGGCTGCACTGAGGGCAGACCAAGATTCTCGAATTCTGGCGTAGTTGTTCAAATAACAAAATTGATAGTATCGATGCTGCACGGTCACAAGTGTGGGTTTCTTGGATTGCAACGAGTTATCTAGCTCATCAGCTATGGAGGACAACCAATGCTCTAGATGACTTGGATGTGTTTTTATTACCCCGGTCGTAGATGTAGGGTACCCAGTATGAGGAAGACATTGAACACTCATGAGGCATATTCGAATCACCAGCAGTCCAAAGTTCATATCATCGTCTGAAATCTTGGTGTCTCCGGCAGCTTCATTATTTTCTTGTCTCATCCACCATGCTATATACTGAGATTGAAATGACTCCGCGTGGATCATCTCCAGAACTCGATTTACCGATTGCAGAAACATGTTCACTAAGAAGTCTGTGACAGACCGCTCAGGCCAGATCCTGCGACTCGAACGTTGTTGACTCAGGGGTGAGTGGAGAGGTGATGAGAGCAAGGACTCCCTCATTTGTGGTGAATTTCTGTGAGACAGTCACAGTTAGGGGCTTGAATATTGAAAAATTTGAGTGACTCATAACGGGATGAAGGTTGAAATAGCTCGAAGTGTTGCATAGTAAACCCACAGCGAATATAAAGTTGGCGAGACATTAGAATCCGAGTCATGCGACGATATCGTCGCGGATGTGTCCCTTTCCTGGCTTCCCTCGAAGGTGGAACTGGATCTTTGTAAATCATGATAGGCAGAGCGACCTCTGGTAGCATCTTTGGAGGGTGGAAGAGGAGAATAGACGCAAAGATGTTCTACCCCTCTACCTATACAATGATTGCATGGCGTCTCGCGATTACACTGAAAATATGACCATTAGAATTTCTTCTTTCTCCCTCGCAGAAGGCAATTGTTTCAAATTGTTCACCTTTTGCTTCCGGCGGTTACACTCCAAACACGATTTAATAGGCTTTCGACGCGTTTTCTTCTCCGCTTGCATATTAAACCACCGTCAATTCGAATGGATGAACAAGATGAAGATAAAGAAAAAAAATTCAATTGAGTTGAATAACAATTTCGAGTCAGTTTGATCCGTATTTCTACGTATAGAGATCGGTGACCGGGTTTTCAGTCTTGCGACTTCAGGGCTGTAAGCGCCAAGGAGTAAAGGGCCCCCCATGTTCGATATTTGGGATATTTTGGATATTTTGGATATTTTGGATATTTTCGATATTTACCCCAGCGTACCTTAAACCACGTGTAAAAAGCGATATCGAAAAAGTTAAAAAAGCTTATAGCTTCAATCCATTCGACATGTTGTTCGCCCCATCCTCTAGCGCTTTGTTTCATCCTAGTGATCATCAGTAAGCCACTCCCCGAAATTGCCGTGATATACGGAAAACTGCGCACTCTGCCGGTCTTTGCACAGACGATGATCCAATCTCTTTCTGTTGAGGAGGACTTGTGTTCTTTTTGTGGATACACCTCCGAGAGAATCGAACATCCTAAATCCCTGCACAGTTTCTGGAATTCTCCCCCAACGTGCTTTGAAATGTTAATCACCGCATTAATAAGAACCTTGCTTCGGTTCTGTGCATGTTCTAGTGGGTGATTGTGGGTCCACCGGTCAAACCGGTACCGCGCTCAAAGACTGGGGGCCATACTGATCAGAAACTCGGACTCTTTCCGGGCACGCTAAGCTCCGACCCCCCGATAAATGAATGAACTTTAGTTGATGTTCGATTGGAGATGAACAAGTTCCCCGGTGTTGTGCAAAGAAACGGGAATATCCGCCGATGGACCGACAGACCGATGCATTCAGACGCTTGAGTCGGTCATCGGGGGTGTTACCCCTATGAACTCACCTGTCAAACTCGGGGAGACATCAATGGGATCCGCGTACACCGTACATCTATCCCCTGTCAGCATTCATCCAAGTTGCCCTGCAGCCCCGTTTTTCCCCATTTAGGCTAGATTCTTCTTCGTCGTATCGTTGATTGGCGCGCATTTGCTGACGTGGATGAACCAATTTTACTTTAACTACTAACCGCTCTTGATTAGTTTAGTCGGTGACAAAATTTGCATAGGTTTTTGCCGATGACACAGTACAGCGGCAAAATTCATGGAAGCGCCCCTTTTCATTTGGGGGATATTCGGAGCGAGGTGGGTTGATTTCAAGTTATTGATGCAGGTCAGGGTTGCAATCTAGTTTTTGATGTACGTGGCGATGTCCAGTTGCATGGATAACAAGATTGGATAAGTCTGAATGATGTAAAGGTGACTTATGGGCCCAGGTGTCTTGCAGAGATAGAAGTCACAGTCCCGAGTTCAGCTTCAAATTGAGATCAGAGAGAGTCTTGAAGGGGGTCATGTTCATTTTATAAAGTCTTACCAAGTCATAATAAAGGCATATTATGACTTGAACCTAATCTGCACCCACGGGTCTCTATATAGACATGGAACCAAAGCTTCATTGACAGTTCTAAGACCAAAGATCAACTTGAAAGACCGAACTCCATGTCTTATTTCCGATTTCACTCAGAGTGACACGGGATCAAGTTACAATACTATAGCCCTGGATAGAGTTCAATGAAGCTGGAGATTTAATATCCCACGAACCATGAAATGAGCTCTAACCCTGGTACCTTGTTTGGGATATTTCCTTGAATTCTCACTGATTCTCCTATCAATGATATTTGGATCTGCAAATACTCAAGTGCTACTAGTAACCATTATACTATCCTTCAAATGGTACTATATTGAAGTGCTAGAAGAACAACCGCGGAAGTCTCAGTGAAAAATAACCATCATGGCTGAAACATGTATGAACTCCGGACTTGATTTCCTTTTCCAAAAATAATTTACGCCCCAAAACTTTTATTGGGATTAATCAATTGTCCCTATAACTTGGATCTAACTAATATCTGACTCAGATGATGTGCAAGTCAGACGACCCAGTGGCTTGCTTGAATCAAGATTACGGATAAATATTACAATGGAGTCCACTGGACACCTGGGCAAGGTTAGAAGATACTACGTCACTGAATATTCAAATCCAGGGGAAGATCTACTCGTATATCGCAAATTGAATCCTTCCGGGCGAAAGTCAAGGAGGTCGCTTCAAGTTTCTCATCTCAACCTTAGAATAATCAACTCCTCTGCTTTTACATAGGAGCAGGAGTATTGGCCTTGGAATCCTTCTCCCTTTTCCCTATCTTCAACACAGGTTTCAAGTACAGGGATATTGATTGTCGTCTACGTGACTAAAATCAAACATTTCCCCACAATCATCTGCATAAACACCGTGCTTACCGGAAATTATGCAACTCGCATCCACCACACAGCAGCTAACAGGCCGCAAAATGCACAACGGTAACCTTCTAGCAAGCTCCGGATCCCCGGAACTGAGAATATTTGAGCTTAATCCAATGAACGCGGGGATATAATAGGGTGATTTATCCCTTGATTACTCAAGATCTCATCAGAGCCCCCTTGGGAGACATCCCTTGGGACTGTGGAATTCCAAGAATAAACCCCTTCCAAGGTTCACGGGGTATGAGGTATCTGAGCTCCCTTCTCTAGGTATAACCCTTCCAAGGTCGCCAAATCCCTCGTAGAGTCACGTAATAGAAAGAAATATGTACTTTTATTCGAACCATGGCCTTCATCACTTCGACTTAATCTGTCACGAAACCAGCACAGGAACATCGACTTCACCAGATAAATCATATACCACGCTAATATTAAGACGAATACCTCATAAAAAGCGACGGCGCAAATGGGACGTCCGGTACAAGAAACCTTCGACACCGAGCCAAAAATAACGTTTGATCCGTTTACGAGCCTCCAGAGTGTCGACCATGTATCTTCAAACCCAGTCGCAGGGGAGAGCAGAATCCAGCTATTTGAAAGTGAGCAAATTACGGAGGAAAAATCATGGAGACCACACATCCGTGATAAGCTAGTGTTTATTTGCATTGTCATTCTGGCGATGATGGATGCTTTCGATTCAACAGTTATGATAACTGTATTACCAGTGAGCTATTACCCATACAACCCTTCATATTGGTGTGATTATTTTATTCTGACTGATTGAAAAGACACTAGCAAATGAATTCGATCAACCAATTCTCAATATCCTCTGGGTAAATACGATATATCTCCTTTCTAGCGCCACAAGTCAACTATTCTTCACCATGCTGTGCGATGTCTTCAGCCATGGCCCAATCTGGATAATTGCTGTGTTATGCACGACAATCGGAACAGGAATCTGCAGTGGCTCGATGAGTCTTACTGAGATTATTGTCGGTCGTCTTTTACAAGGAATTGGTGGAGGAGGTGCTCTCAGTCTATGCTTTGTTATGATGGAAGAATCAGCACCACAATCGATTCACTCAAGATATTCTTGCTATATCTTGTTGACCCGACTAATTGGATTTATTCTGGGTCCTATTGTCGGTGGTCTATTCGTAAGTAATACGAACTGGACATGGGCGTTCTATTTCAACTTCATCTTTTGCGCTTTGGGTTTACTTGCGATTCCTTTCGCTGTTGATCTACGCACCTGCAAGGATGCGCAGCTTCGGAAGTTGCGCGTACTGGATTGGTCGGGCGCGATGTTGGCCTCAGTTGGGTTGACAGGTATACTTCTTGGAGTGAGCTGGGCTGGAGTCGCACATCAGTTGTATCAGTGGCAGACCTGGGCACCGATTACACTTGGTATTGTCGCTTTCCTGGCACTTGTCTTCTATGAGTCACAATGGGCACTTCATCCTCAGTTTGGCGCCCGGGTGTTTCGAGACTTGTCGGCCACTATGACCTATATCGGATGTTTCTGTCATGGTTTTGTGGTAAGTTCAACTTTTACCAACTCTTCAATAACTATGCTGACACATCCAAGATCTTTTGTCAGCTGCAGTTCTTTGTATTCTACTTTATGTGTACAAAATACTTTTCTGCGACATTGTCGGGTGTCACTCTTCTCGCGATCACCGGATTCGCAGTTGTACCCGCGGCGGTAGTTGGTATACTACTCGCAAGAGAATCACAATGCTCCAAGTGGATCATCTCTGGAGGCTGGATTTTGACAACTCTTGCAGCTGGCTGCTCGATCCTTCTCAACCGCATCACTCCGACCGTGGCGTGGGTGTTTCTTTTCCTGACTGCTGGGCTTGGACACGGACTTTTATTATCCAGCTATAATATTCGTGTCCATAGTATTGCGAAGAATGATGAAGCGGCTCTCTCTACCAAGCCCATTGTCATGTCACTTTTCATGAGAGCCTGGGGTATGGCCTTCGCGGTTCCTATTGGCGGATTGATATTCCTGGCTCGCTTTGGTTATGAGCTTCAAAATATTGGCCTGGAATGGGAGCTGATCAACACCGCAAGAGGATATTTGATCCTGATGGAGCAGGTTATAAAGTCTGATAGTGAAAGCGAGGTTATCAAGGATGCTTCGGCATTGGCTCTGCAGGTTGTTTGGGAAGTCATCGCAGGAGTCGCTGCTATGGGCGGCATTTCCTCATTATTCTTGTGGAGGGAGAATTGAGCTAGGAAGAATTCATGCATATATTGCTTTTTTCAAAGACCAAAAAAGAATGTGCCATTTTTTCTTTTTCTTCGTATCAGACTTTATTGACTGCTTGAAGCGGGAACCCGATGTAGTAAAACAGTGAGATAAGTTATACAGTGCAACGCTAATGATAGGGTATGGACATGCCAGCATGCCCGGCTCGATCAAATGCACCTTTCACACATTCAGTCTTCCGAGCTCCTGTTCCTTCATCTCTTCGTGTTCTTTCACTCGTTCTGGAACCACCAACTCTCGACCCCCTTTAATCTTCCAGCCTCGCAATCGATCTGTTCCAAGATCTTGAAGTGTCTTCCTTTCAACTATACTAAACCGACCGGGATCTTTGCGATCGAAATTAAATGGCTTTTTGAGCGATACAGGAGGGTTAGTGATGATCCGTGGAATTCTGAGACTGTTGACGGATTGAGAGTGCACCATCAATGGATGGAGGAGGATCACATCGCCAACACTGCCAGTCATTTCATGGAATTCGGTACATTTCTCCAGAATCGAATCGTAGAAGTCAACTGTTGGTTTGCGGAACTTGAAGCCGCGGGGCACCATATACGGTGAAACACCTCGAGGATTGTCGTACTTGGAAATGATTGTGTTAGCGATAGCCCGAAGAAGCAAAAACAAACAAGCTGAAGAGCCAAAATGGTCAAACAGAATATCCCTTACCAGAAACCGAGCCACATGTTTCACAGACTCAGTACAAATCATGGTCCCTCCTCCATGTTCCTGGATGTCATTGAACAAAGGAATGACCAGCAGTCCTTGCTCCGGCGAATCAAGAAAATGAATGAAAAAGTCTCCGTCAACATGCCACCCTTCTAGCTCAGATGGATGAGGCCATTTCCCTTCCATTTCAGGAGTACCCAGGTTCACAATGAATGCGTCGTTCCAGGTAGCTGAATCTGGATCAATGCGATGCTTGCCGCCCAGGAGCTCACAGATGGCAGCCCACGCCTTGGGTGCAAATGTTTTCACAGGTTCTTCCTTGTGTTCGGGCATATGAGTACACTCGGTCGTCCAGGTGGCCTTGTCTGTTGGGGAGAATCCCAGTCTGGTCCATACATCGGCGGTCCATGCTGCTGCCTTCTCTCGGGAAAAGCACTCGGGGACACGAACGTAGCCATATTGCATGAAGTGAGCGATCTGCTCGTCAGAGAGCTTGTATCGAGGGTCGGGAGCCATTTTGAATGATGCTCTGGCAGGTTAAGTATATATTTGAATTAGTTTCAAGCAAAGATGCGATGCAGTGGTCACTCTTTCCAACCTGGTTCGCGCTGACAAAGCACAACGCATGATGCCCAGGTGGATTTTGATCAACAACTCTGGACGAGACAAATATTTACGGATCTTATTTCATTTTCAATTATGAGATGATGTGTCTCAATGTTGCTTCTACTAGGAGTGAAGGAGCTCAGAGCCATTGCGAATCAGATCTGGATCCTATTGGGTCACTTGGGTGTACAAGTACCTTGTACCAAGACTCGGCTGCAATCTATACCCACTGTTCATTGTTGCACGACCCAAAAATATGGAGCTAATAATGACACAAGACTACTTCGATGTATCTTTTGTTGAATATCCCCAGTTTCCAGACGTTCCGATCTTCATGCTCCACTGCAGCTTGAATTACCCCATGATCTCGATTCTCGACTCCGTCCAAATAACCCAATCATACAAATTACAACCAGGCCATTCCACTAATTATCCACTGCCGAGCATTTTATTTTTATTTTTGGAAGTCATTTGTACTCCATAAACTGCTGAGAATTCGAGTTATTGTCTAGGTGATATTCAACGTTATATTACCCTGACGTTATCCGGGTCTTAGGGAGTAGGGTTGCTCTTTCCTTCTAGATACCTTCCATTCCTGATCAGAAATCGAGTGTCAGTGATCATCACTGAGATTCAAAGCTTGTCTCTTTCATCATCGAGACTATATTCAAGCCACATCTTTTACTCCCATCACACGAAAGTGTCGCTCCTTGTCTTACACACTTTATCTCCATTCTCTCGCCTATCATCATGCGTCTATACGCCTCCATTATATCGCTCCTGTTAGCAGTCTCATCCGTCACCGCAGCACCAGCGAAGGTTGCACGTGAAATTGAGAAAGAACTTCCAGATGGGCTGCCATATCCAAGCCCCAGCGAGCTTTCGTTGATCGAACAAGCCGCACACGGAACTCTTCCGAATGGACCACCTCCACCTGTGGTCAGCAACAAGGGAATCACCAATTTGAAACTGATAGCATTCAATGAACTGTTTGAAGTAGCTTTCTTCCACGAACTTCTCACGAACATCACCGAGAATGTGGAGGGCTACCGCTTTACTGATTCAGGAGATCGTGACTTCGTCGCCAGAGCACTTACGGCTATTGTTGCAGTAAGGCTTCATACATTCAAATGATCAATAGCACCTCAACTGACTGTTTAAAATTCTAGCAAGAGGAACTTCACGCGATTAGAGCCAATAATGCCCTCGTTCACTTTGGTCAAAAGCCCGTCGAGCCTTGCGAGTATACCTTCCCGGTTCAAGATTTTGACACTGCCATCAAACTCGCCTCCACCTTCACGGATGTAGTCCTCGGAACACTGCAAGATGCAGTCGAGCGCTTTGCCATCGGTGGTGACTTTGACCTTTCTCGTGAAATTGCTTCCGTGATCGGAAATGAAGGCGAGCAACAGGGTTGGTTCCGAATTATGCAAGCTCACGTTCCGAGTGAGCTTCCTTTCCTTACAACATCGGATCTCAATTTCGCTTTTACTGCTGTCCAAGGCTTCACTATTCCTGGAAGTTGTCCCAACATCGACGAGATTCCACTGCGCACTTTTGAGTCGTTGGAGATCCTCACGACACCCAGGGCTGAGTCGGAGAATCTCACTTTCGTGTTCGAGGATAAGTCGAATGAAAGCGAGCATCTGTTGTGGGTAACATACGTCAACCAGTTGAATGTGCCAATTGTACAACCTCTCCATATCACCTCTCGAGAGGGTACTCGAGTTGAAGCCACTGCACTGTTCCCGTATAACGATTATGAGCTGAATGGGTTGACGATTGCGGCTGTGACGAAGAGTGATGGACCGTTCACGGATGTCAACACCGTGGCAAAGTGGACGCTTGCTGGACCGGGTCTTATTATCATTGATTGATTATTGAGTTTTTGATTGGACTATTGCTTGGATTGTTGACACTGCATTTTATCATTAGGAAGACCCATCGTGGGGCTTGGAGCAGACTTTATCCTGACTATCCTATTATCATTCGCAGGAACTTGAAATTCTAATGTTCTCCTGATTTTCTTCACTCGAAAAATAAAATCCATTGATAATGGTTCAAAAAAGTAAAAGTTTTGTATAAGTACAATCTGACTCTCCCCAAGGCTACGCCTACCAACAATTTCCTCAGAGGTAGCGCTTACAGGTTACCCTGTCCAGCGTTGGCCTCAACGCTAGCAGCAACGGAAGTGTAGGCAGAAGCAGAGGCAATGTTCTTGCCCTCAAAGTCAACCAAGAAACTCTCATCGGCCTGATCAAAGGTACCAGAGGAACCAAATCCGTTGATAACACAGTCACGGCCGAGGTAGGTAGCACAGATCTCATTGGTAGAGGTGGAGGGGGAGGTGAAGAGTTGACCATCGATAGGCGACTCAACGACAGTATCAATGTTCTGGAAAACATTACCCTCGGCCAGAACGTAGCCACCGGTGCCGATCTCGAAAGCGTGACCGCTGTTGTCGTACCAGTAGTTGTTGACCTATATCATGAACTTGATTAGTATACACCACCACAGTCATAAGAGACTCGGATGAAAAACTTACAGCGTGGAGCAGAGTGTTACCCTGGACCTTGGGGCTACGACCGCTAGTGTGGTAGATGTAGTTACCCTTCAGGGTGACCAGATCTCCATCACCATCCAGGTAGATACCCCAGTATGTGTATCCATCGCAAGTAGCAGAGTAGTCGGTCACACCGTCGATGTAGTTGTTGGTGATAGAGACGCGGTTGTCAGCGGAGGTGCCCAGCACGTAATGCTGACGACCGATACGAGCGGTCTATGTTTAATAGAGGTTAGTATCTGTTGCCGTATCCACAGTTGCTGTGCAGTAAATAATGAAGTAGCTGAAGCTTACAGTGACGTGATCAATCCAAACCAGGTCGGTTTCATCCAGGGTAATAGCGTCACCACCCCAAACGTACTCGGCGTTGATATCAGTGATAGCAATGTTCCTATAGTACGATTAACACAAATATCCAGATCGAGTAATGGGAGAATTAAGTACTGGATAATGATGTTCTCAGCACCAGAAACAATGCGAAGACCCTTGCCCTTGATGATACCGGCAGAGCCCTCACCAATAAGGGTCTTGTCAGAGGTGACAGTGATACCCAGGATACCAGCGTTATCGCTAGAATGAGTTAGCACACTAAGTCATCAGAATGGGAATCTTGATTTGTGTGGTCCTTACTAAGTAACAGAAACATCAGGCGCATCGGGCTCATAGTTGGTGCACCAGTCATCCTGGTTAATAGCGACCTGGCAGCCGGAAGCAGTACCCCATGGCGCGCAACCAGTTGCGGTAGTGGTACCCTCAGTGCCAGTGAAATCAAAAGTCTTATCAAGAACAATCACGCGAGCCTCGCTATCACCGAGGTACGAGACCAGCTCGTCGGTGGTAGTAGGGTAGACAGGGTTAGCATCACCACCACCAGTGACACCCTCAGCGAAACCTTCGGCGGAACCAGATACGCTGACGGCAGCGGCGTGGGCAGCGAATGCCAAAAGAGCAGTGGTACACTTCATAGTTAGAAGAAAATGAATAAAAATTAACAAAATAAAAAGAAAAGAGTGACTGAGTGTGAAGAAAGGAATATCATATGCGGACGTGGATGAGAGCTTATATACTAGTTGTATACAGTACACCAGCGCCGTTAGACTAAGAGCTTAGACATCTGGATACTATATTAGAAGAATTATTTTGCGCTCCACCTATCGAACGGTTTGATTAATCACAACCCTTGTTCCTGACTATCACAGCTGTCACCGACAGACCAGATGATACCGCCGTCGACCTTGGCGAGTCGGAGAATCAGTGTGATACCATGAGACTGGATGCAGAGGCCCACTAATTTGCGGAGTAAACATAAATACTTCCAGGGGCATAAGAGGAGTACAGAAACAACCTTCAGGCTGGAAGAATTCGTCGCAGTCGACTTCAGTTGTCTAGAGTTATTGTGGTGGATAAACCCACTAACCTGAAATAGCTTGGTGAGTAGACGATATCTGGTGGGTTTGGATAATCCCAAACTAAAATTGATGAAAGCGCGTGGCTAGACATGAAAAGAACATAGTCAAAGAGGAGAATTATGGTTGAAGGATCAGCTCGGTGCATGAAGATGTCTCACGTTGTTCTTTTGAGTTGAGCTAGTTGCCCCACAATACTCCTTTTAGTATTTGTGGTCCTGATTCCGGGTTGTTCCAGCCGGCGATGTTTACTCGGACTGGTGGTGCTCCGTGATCTGACTATTGATTTTAATTTAAGGGCGCTTGTTTATACGGTCTCCGAGACTTGTCCGGTCCCACGACTATGACAAAGATTTTTATTATGTGAAATCACCTCTAATGAATATGGTGATATGATTTCTTCCGGGTAGTGAGAGTGACTTAGGGGGGTAACAGGTACTCACGGGCATAAGACCAATTCAAGTTGACTGAAAAAAGAAAACCTTGGAAGATCAGCCCAGTTTCTCCGTCTTGGCTCTTGGCGATGAAGTTATTCACAATGTATCCTTGCTTCCGCGAATGTAAACCCTGAAGGAGTTCTTCCGAAGACACGAGAGTTTGCAGATCAATGGGTGAATGGAATGAACTCGGGATTATTTTTACATCAATGATTTCAGATCATAAGGGGGTACAAACACATTGGTCTTGACGCTCTCCCGGCCGATCGCATCTATGATCGCCGCGTAGCCTGCCGGTTCTGCTTTGGTAGAATCCACCAACACCAGTGAGGGTCCACAAGAGCCTCTCTATGGCATCATGATGCATGGTCGGAGATTAGTTCATTCCTTTAATATAGTAAGGTTCTAGAAGCTGTCGTTGTCATACACGTCCTGTGACTATTGCTCAGTGATTTCTGATACTTGGTTTTGAGATGTGTTCAAACCTTGTAGCAGGTCAGTGGTGCAGTTTCAATTTCCAACTAAAATTACAGGGTGAGGGCGATTGATTTATTCGAGCTCGACTAGCATTCCCATCTGAGCAAAGATTCGATAAAGGTCAATTGGCATGTATGGCCAGCTATGAGACCATACTACTACTACCTATAGTGAATCAACTGGGTATGATCCCACTTATACTTCACGGTTACCTGTAGGAAATTAAACCTAGCCAGTTGCTAACTTGATCGTTTCAGGTACCCGTTCAAGGGACCCGGTTGAATGTAGGTACTCACTGGCAACTTCCAAGGTTGGAAGCGCTAGTAGAAAGCAGGTCAGCTTTGTGGTTATTCAAGTTTCCATTTGTCTAGTCGGGAGGGTTAAAATTATTTTTGAAGCAACGTAGGTGACTCGGATTACTGCCACGACCGTGACCTTAATATCTAGTAGGATTTCATATCGAATCGATGAATGAAAAATTCAAAATTGCCACAACAATAATCGCGTATTAATATGCTTCTATTTATTCATCATGCAAGCTATGCAGAAGATGCAAATCACTCCCCCTCTATAATTACACATTCAAATGTTCATGTCTAGTTCAATAAAACCACTTTTTACATGATAACAGGGAGGTTGCGCTCCAGGTATCCGCGCCACTCGGGCAGAGTACGCTGCCACTTGGTGCCAGAGGTCTTCTGAAGATCCTCAATAGCACTAGCGTACTTGATGAGGGTAGGCTCAGAGAAAGCAGTGTTCATGATGGCAAGACCGTAGGGCATGCCAGACTCCTCCTCAGTACCAGCAGGGACAGTGATAACGGGGTAACCAGCCTGGGCAGCAATCTGGATAGACTGAGCGACATCAGGAGGAACCAGGAGACCATCCAGAGTACCGTTCTTCCACTTCAAGGCAGCGTCGATACCCTCCTCACGGGTGGTGCGCTGGCAGAAAGCCAGAGCAGACCAGTAGGTGGAGTTCTGGATACCCTTGCTCTCCATAGAGGCAATGAGACCGTCCTGGCCGGAGCCGAAGGCAGGGTGAATGCTGGGGTAACCACCCTCAGAACCGTAGTTGTCGATGTTGTTCTGGACAAGGTCCTCAACAGAGCGGATGTTGGTGTTGTTAAGGTCGGCAAGGTAGGTGCGCAGGTTGTTGTAGAAGTCAACCTTGACGTAGGAGTACTCAGACTCGTTGGGGAAGCCGCGAGTGGTACCGTAGTCCCAGTTCCAGCCATCGGGAGAAACGATCTCCTTGTAGTGAGGAAGCTCGGTACCGTTGATGATGGTAGCACCAGCGGACTTGATCAGATCCAGAAGCTCCTCCAGCTGAGTACGCTGGACATCATCGGCATAAACCCAGAAGGACTTCCAGGGAAGACCAAAGACAGCACCCTTAAGAGCATCCTTCTTGGACAGGAACTGAGTGTAGCCGTCCTTGGGGGTGTTACCCTCCTGAGCGAGGGTGTAGTTATCGCGAGGGTCAACACCGTAGATGGCATCAAGAGCGTAGACAGCATCACGGACAGTCTTGCCGAAGGTACCGATGGTGTCCTGGTGGAGAGACTCAGGGATGACACCATCACGAGAAGTCAGACCAACGGTGGGCTTAATACCAACGATAGCGTTACGCTGAGCAGGGTTGATAACACTGCCATCGGTCTCGGTACCAAGAGCAATAGGGATCAAATTGGCACCGACAGCAACACCGGGACCAGTGCTGCTACCACCGGGGTTAACAGTGAAGTTGTAGGCGCTACGGCACTGACCACCACGAGCACTGAAACCCTCAGAGTAGTTGTTGGAACGCATATCAGCCCACTCACTCAAGGCACCCTTACCCAAGAGAAGGGCACCAGCCTTACGCATACCGTGGACAACGAAGGAGTCACGAGGAACAACGCTACCGAGCAGAGCCCAGCAACCAGCAGTGGTCTCCATACGATCCTTGGAGGCAATGTTGTCCTTGACAATGAAAGGAATACCGTGGAGAGGACCACGAACCTTACCCTTAGCACGCTCATCATCCAGCATCTGAGCAATGCGGTAGGCATCTGGGTTATGCTGCAGAATAGCACTGAGGATCTTAGTTAGTTTTGAGGTCAATAGGGTAAAATAGGTTAGGAAACTCACTTCAGGTAAGGCTGAGTCTGAGCAATACGATCGAGGTAGCACTCCAACAGCTGAACACTGGTGAAAGTACCATTGCTCAAACGAAGCTGGAGGTCATCCACACTGGCTTCTTCAAGGTTGAATCCATGGCATTTACGCATAGGAAACATAGAGGAGCCAGGGGCTCCCAGAATAGGGAAATCATAGGCATAAGGATCAGTCAAGATCTGTGAAGCAACGAGAGGATCGACAGTCGCAATAGCGGAGCCGGCCAAAGCCAAGCCGCTCACCAAAGCTTGAAGTAAGGGAGACATTATGTGCTGAATCTCTCAAAAGATCAAATCGAGAAATCCCCCACAAATAACCATGTGGCAAGAAAAAACGACGATCTTCAGGGGAGCTTGTTTTTTCATATACCTAGAGAGATGGTGAAGCAGACGTATCTCCGTGGGTCTTTGACTAATGGATGGTATGAGACCCACCTATGCACTACACTCAATGAGGAGAAATGGGGAGACATTCTCCAATTTCTTTTTCCCCCCTTACAATCAAGGTCCACAACTGTCCACCAACATTCTTGTCGGGATTTCGGATGCGACGGAATATCGAGAGAAAAAAACACTTGTGGCCCGTGGTCTATTTTAGCTTGCGCCTGAGCACATATCTACCAACCAGAAGAAGACTCTTACGCCCAACAGCGCCATCTTGACTACTAATTCGGACTAACCTCTATTGATCCTTCACTTGCACTTGAGCAGACTAGTCTGCCCCCCCTTGCCATGTGGGAAATTTTTCCAACTACCTTCCTAATTGTCTATAGCTTACATGCATGGAAAATGACTGGAACCTTGGAAGACAACCGAAGGAACAAAAAGAGTCTGCAGGGTTTTTTCTGGACCCGCCATAGAACTCGGTCCTCGCCCGGTCCGGAGTAGCTCAGATCGATCAAGATCCACCACGGACCGCTAAGTGGTTACAGGGTTCTACCGCTTGAAAAGATTTTCTTGGCCTTTACTTAGTGAGCTCCATTAACCTGTCCATTACGCATGCGAAATAACCGATAGGCTCCAACTCTTTCTAATGGACCGTGATGTGCGTCGAAAAATGCCTCACTGGGAATTATCCATCTTGGTCAACTGCCGGGGAAGCCGCTATACAATGCAGGGCTACGATCTAAAAGCATAGACCGTTGAAATTCTGATCCTAGTGCTGATCTTCGATCCCGGAAAAGATGTTAAGATATTAAATCACCTACGGACAGTACCCTGACATTGATGAGATTGAATCTTTGGTTCAATGTTTTATGAAAAACATGGATCGGAGAAATCTTTCCTTTCTCCCCGGTTGATTAATCCAGTCAGAGCCTATGGAATTCCCCTTTCAGGTGTAAGAATTTGATTTGGAATGAAATTTCTGGTCTCCACCGTGCCACGCCCGGTAGTCTCGGCGTACATGTCGGTTTGGTACAAGATCTTGTTGGTGGCGTGAATCAATCTAGGTTTGCTCAAATGAAAAACGAGACCCGCTTCACGCTTTCTCTTTCCCTTAGAGAAATAGAGTCCATACTCTTCGCTCCAGTCGTTCGTTCATAGTAGGAGTGCTCCCCCCATTTCGAAAGATCTTGCTTGCCATGCTGTTCTGAAGAAAAGGGCCATGCCGATAACATTCATTTGAATCACTTGCAATGACAATTCCTGCCGATATTCTTGCTGCGGATGCAGCAGGGAGAATTCCTGATGGGGTCACTCTCTCATACCTCGCGCAGTCTCGTGATAAGTCTGCCCTTGTGGGTATCTTGTTCATGGTGTGCTTCACGGGTCTTCTCATGGTTCTACGTCTGTATGCGCGGGCATTCTTGGTGAAGAAGGTCGGCTTCGATGATTGGCTTGCAATTGTGACATTGGTAAGACTATCTGGAATGAATATAGTGAATTGCCTTAATTAACAACACGATCTTCTCTATAGCTTTTCTACGTGACATTTGTGGTCCTTTCAGTCGTTCTGATCCACCTTGGAAGTGGTCGCCATATCGAATATATCGAATATGTTCTTTCTATGTCCACAGTTCGCGAGACTGAGGTGTTGGATTTCGTTGCCCACATTCTCTATACAACTGCTCTTTTCCTATGTCGACTTTCCGGTCTCGCATTCTACTTCCGGCTCACGGCACGCACAAGCAAACTGCACAAGTCTATTCTCGTTGCAGGGCCATTTCTCTTTGCTGCCTATCTTCCTCAGCTCTTTCTCTTGATTTTCCATTGCAGTCCGGTCACCGGTCTATGGCCCTACTCCTGGCAGCCGGGTGCTGATGATTACAAGTGTCTCTCATGGGGTCTTGTATACTCAGTCAACTCAGGACTTTCTTTAGCTTGTGATGTGATGATGTTCATCATCCCTGCTATCCTTATCAAACAGCTTCATGTCTCTTTAAGGAACAAGATTAAGCTCTCCGTGGTCATGTTCCCTGGTGTCTTGTGAGTACTAATATACTATTGTTCGTGAAGAATCCAGCTAACAGTAGTCAAAGTGTCATCGTCATTTCCGCTGTCCGTATCTGGCTAGTTGTCAAGGGTCAATGGGCAAGTGACGGTAGTTGGGCTTACAGCCCTATGCTGTGTGTCGAGAATGCCGAGATCGCATGTACACTCATTGCCCTTTCCGTGCCCGCCCTCAAGCCTGTCTTCGGAAACATCTTCTCCCACTTGACAGAGTACACCGGAAGCCACACTCGCTCTCGTTCTCGTTCCGCGGGTATCCTTCGAAGCCATTCGAAGCCAATGACTGGCTTGGGCTCGCAGGTCCGTGATGATAAACGGCTATTAAACTGGTCGAAACTCGGCCGTGATGATTATGAAATGATGCCTTCGGAGGTTTCTGTGACTCAGGATCCTTCCAGTCCCAGATCCAAGACCCCTGGTATTCGGGTCACTAATGAGATTAATATTACTCATGGAGAGGAGCGGCCCGCGTCGCAGCAGTCCTCGAGGCCTTCTTCGCATGAGAGGACTTCTCACGATGTCGCTTCAAAAGTATGATAGAATAATTTAATAGATCAAGATCTCTCAGTTTACTGATACGGTCTTTTGTACTGCCTCTCTTTACAAATAATTCCCTCTGTTCAAAAGCATGTGCTTATTATAGTCCAACTGATTTTACGCTAGATTGGTGCCAGTGGTCCAGGTTTGTTTCAAATGTTGCCTTGGGCGATTGACTTGCTGATAAACTTGGAGTGCTGTCACTCCTTAGACACACACAGTTTTCGGCCACGGTTATCTCTCTTACTCAGCCACTCTCTAAATCTCGACTCCAAGAGTTCATAGGCCTCGGCTCGGCAGTGATAATACAATGGTTTCTCCGCGAAACAATCAATCTGTCTGTTTTTTTCAGGTGAGTTCTGCGCTTGCCACTGTCACGCTGATTGATGGCCTCCTTTTCCAACAAAATGTCGCAGATGTGAGCATGATTGTTGCGAGAAGCATACATCATTGGGGTTTCCCCGCTCTTGTCCTTCGCATGAACATGAGCTCCATGTTCCAGAGGCAATCTCACAATACAGGTGTGGCCATTTCTGGACGCTACATGAAGCGGTCCACATTTGACAAGGTCTGATATCGTCACATTTGCGCCGTTCTCAAGGAAAGTTTTGACCATATCGAAGTTCGAAGTTTCTACAGTGTGACGTAAGGGTGTCCAGGGATACATTTCTCGACCATTCACTCCAGCCCCATGGTATATGAGAACCTTTATCATCTGAAGTATGTTGTTTTTTGTTGCCCAATACATGGGCGATTCTCTGGTTGCGTTCACAGTGGAAGGGCAGGCGCCGATTTCGAGGAGGAATTTAACCATCTTCAGATGCGCGTTTTTCGCTGCTAAAATAAGTAGTGTCTCCGAGTCCCAACTCGGGCCAGGAGCGTCAGGATTCATCCTCATGATAAGAAGCCGGGCTACTGCCACGTGCCCACCCGCAACAGCCCACCATATGGGTACCCTGTCACCATAGGTCTCAATATGGGGATTGGCTCCATGTTTGAGAAGAATCTCGGTCACCGCCTCATGACCATTCTTTGCAGCATAAAACAAAGGTGTCCCGTACTGATGGTCCATGATGTTGGCTGTCATTATTCTGGAGCAGCCGCTCAACGACAATCCTATCGCCATTTTCTGCAGCTGAGAAAAGGAGTCGTGCATGTTCTTCTTTGGCTTGAATGTTATCTGCATCACATAGCAGAGGACTGGGTTAGTTCCGGTTTGGACTGGAAAGATAATAGAAAACTGGAGTTCCACCGTTTTCATCCTTTGAATTCGGAGATGCCCCTTTCTTCAGCAGAATTTTGATTGTTTCTCCATGGCCATTCAAAGCTGCGTATGACAATGGGCTTCGACCCATTTTATCTCTGGCATCAACTTCTGCTCCTTTTGAAAAACATAGTTTCGCAATATCCTTTAGACGAAACTTTGGTCCCTCAATGAGTAATTTCACAATCCCATCGAACCCTTTTTCCGAGGCCCATGATAGGGCCGAACGCTGATGGACTGCATCTCTGCGGTCTATGTCAAGAAATCGGTTTTGAAGTAAGTGCTTGACGATTGATTCAATTCCAAAATAGGAAGCAATCATCAGTGCGCTGAAACCCCGTGGAAAATCGCCACTCACTTTTGCCCAATAAATTTTGAACCAAGTTGGACAATGAGTTGAACCTACCCCACAGATTTCCAGAAGGTAGTCTTGGAATTTATCTTCTTTAATTCCTCCAGCCCGAAAACGGAAAGCCCAATTCATGGCAGAGTATGACATAAGTGGGCGATATTTGAGATACTGAGAGATATCTTTTGGACCCTCGAACAAGGCATCAGTTTGGAATTCCGTAAAGAGCAGATGCCACATGCAAATCTCAAAAAGAGCTCGGTGTGATTCTTCAGGATGAATGGATGCTTTCCATTTGAGTGGATTTGTATCGCTCGCAAGCGCTTTTCTATCCAACTTTGCCGGTCCTAATAAAAAGTCTTTCGCCGTCTGGTGGAGGAGATAAACCCGGGAACCTGGAGCTATGATAGAGATGAATGGGCCACACAGTTCCTTGATATACTGGCAGCAGCAATTTGAGTATTTCCAGATTCCATCGAGGTCCTTGTAGGACTTGTGGCCTGCGGTAAGAGATAACGCCACATTCATTTCTTGACATGTCAGAGGCTGAGTTGCTGCAACGATGATATTGAGTAATTTTTTGATTTGAAGTCGTTTTTTGGTTTCAGAATGGGAATTTTCTTTGCTCCCAATTTTGACGAGAATCTTTTCATAGGCTTCATCAACTGTTTGTGGAATGGACAAAGCAATCTCCTGGATGTTGGCTTTGCTGCTAGTGGTGCAGAATGAGATACACCCACAGATACGTTCGATTTGGATTGCGTCTGAGGCTCTCCAGGAGAAGCCTTTGGTCACCAGAGTTAAGGGATCGAGTTTTGCAAATCATTGCAACTTTTTCCTCCATATAAGAATCGATTTCCTTGGCAATTCCGTTCACCTCATCGTTGTTTTCACCCTCCAGGTGAAAAAATTTGAATCCCTCCATCTTCAAAGAATTTAACTCCAGGCTGATTCGTTCCTCGGGTCGACTTGTTATAAGAAATTTCAAATTGAAATCATTTTCCTCTCCGTAAAATTTGCATAAAACTGCAGCAAACTGCTTCCGCTCGTGACTGTCACATTCGTCAAATCCATCAAGAATACATATCACCTATCCTTCCTGGTTATCCTGGGATGTAATAATCAGGGCATCCCAAAGCTCCTCAAACGATGTCAAAAGATGCTTCTTGTTGTAGACCTCGAATCTCTTGAGTATTCGATCAGAAAAAAGCTCCCTTTTTTGCATGAAAAGCTGATGCAAAATGCAGCTCAGGGCACCATTCGCACTTCTCTGGTCTGATGAGACATCTTTAAAAAAGAAATAACAAGTTGTTCTATTTTTCTCACTCCGAAGCTCACTGTCCAGAAGGTATCTTGCTAGGACAGACTTTCCACATCCAGGGTTTGCGGATATCCAGAGCATGCTCGATGACTTGCTTTCTCTCCATTTTCGGAATAGACTGTGTCCCACAACCCATTCACATGTCCCTGGCAGGCGATCGGGGTTCCTGTTCTTTTTATCTCGGTATGATAATGTTTGGAGACTTTGTAGGATTTCCACTTTCTTCTTGGAATTGTCGTCCGATTGGTCTTCAAATAAACGCGACACTACTAGTGAGGATCTGAGATATGAACAAGATCATTCCGTACCATCGACACTCTTGAACCCATTAAAAGTAATTCCACCGTGGACTGTACTACCACTTAGTTGGCCATTAAAGTTGACTGTATTACTTCCACCATTATTATTCTGGTACCCCGTTCCTCCTGAAGCGACTTGGTAATGCTGCGTATTGGATGATCCAGCCTCAAAGGCGGAATCTGGCACAGATGAATCTACTTCTGACAAGTCCTGGATTGCCATCTCTAGTTTCTCAGTCTGCTGCTGTAGCTTTTCGACTTGCTCCTGCGTTGCAGCCCTCAATATTCGGTTCAGGCCCATGGCATGCAGGTTCTCCAGAATTCCTTTCATCAGCGTTCTTAGCCCGATGGGCTTTGCTCATTTTAATGAGAGTAGTCTGGTAGACATCAAGCATATTCTGCAATCTATTCTTCTTTCTCTCATTGTTGAATTTTCCCTCCACTTTTGGAGGATCTCTTTCAAAGAATTGGCCTTCTTTTGACACTCGCAAAGCAATTTCGTTATGACCTCTTTGGATGAATCATTCACATTCGGATCATCGAAGGCTTTTTCCGCACATTGAATATTAACCTTCGCTATCGGGAGCGAGTTGTATACAGCTTGAAATTCGTGTGGTAACCCTTTTATATTTTGATGGCTTCGTATGTACTGGATATTGCCTGAATTATGGCGATCGTGGATGCAAATACACTGAGGGGATCCATTTCAACGGGGGATGGATGCTTGATGAGAACCTGGAGAAGTAAGGAATAGAGTCAGCCAAATAGACTCTTTTAGATGGTTAGCTCTTAGTCCGTCAAAGACTTGACGACTTGAAAAATCCAGGAATAAATAACTCATACCTATATTATGGGAAATAAGAAGTCACTTCACCCTCGGTCTTATAAGGACTAACAGGTGATGCTATCGGTATGATCAACAGCGATCACTAACTGGAGATTTGATAAAAGCACAATTTGAGTACTGAACAGAACAATTTTCAGTGACAAAAAGTTTCCAGCACTTAAAGTTTGAGGGAAGAGGCTGGATCTATGTACTTCGTACTGCCAACTGAGAAGCTGAGACTCACAGACTGCACATGCATGGTGGGCTGTGATTACCCACCTGTGACCTACCCAAAGTAGCCATTTTGAACCCATATGTGCAAGGAAGGATTGAATCACTACTGAGCTAAAGTCAGGTGCAGTTGAAATCCACCACTAATAGAACCCATCTTCCCATCCTCCCGCTGGGTATTAACTGGAACCCATCGCAGGCTCTAAGCAAAGATGCACTTCAAAGCTATCCAGTTAAATCATTAAGCGCCTTGTTCTGGATCTTCTTGCCAACTGTCAATTATTGCTGACGACTCAAAACGCCACAGCCTCCTCATATCTTAAGCAGTCCAGTCAAATGTGTTTAGTCTTTCGGCGCCTTTTGGGGCCCAATGATCCCGTATCATATATGCACGCCAAGACTTCTACGACTGACGCACCTATCAATCAAATACTCCGTACACCTGGGCATTGAATGTGGCTGACCGTGACGATGTGCCCAAGTGGAACACTTCAACCATTTGAGCCCTAGAGTGTTCAAATATTGAGAATATGATGGATTTTGCCTGCAGGCTGGCATGTGTTAATCCAGCACCAAAATTGATTCGAATCCCTGATTCGGGTAGAACAAGGACCACGACTTCAAGATACTCGGGTGAAATATCTCAATATTGAAGGCCCTGACTCTTTTTGATATGAAGTTATGACACCTGAGATGTTCCGGCGGCTCTGCACATGTATCGTCAACTGGTGGGTATCTTCGGCCTTTCGGTGCCTTTTGGGGCCGAATGGTCCAATCTGCACGCCAAGGCACGTATTATGACGCACCGATTAAACCACTTGGGGACTTGCCCAGGTGGGCAACATTGATGGCTTAGAAATCACTACGCTGACCAATTTTATATGGGGGTTTGAGTGAGTATGGAACATATGGGAAGGTTGATTCGGAGCTTAAACCATTCTACCGATATTCAAAAGTTATATCATCAAAATCTTACCTTATTACCAATCACTAGTATTTAAAGCAACCGGGAAGTTGCTCATCGATGCATAATGTGAAATTCATCTGAGAATTGGTTCCGAAACGAGCAATTCCATACTAGTACAACGGACTGCACTACTGGTTTCAAGTATGTCTCTCAAATACCTTGTCACAGGAGCTACAGGTGGCCTTGGTGCTCAGGTGCTCTCCTACCTTGTTGCCAATGTTCCTGCTTCGGAATATGCCGCCGCCTCTTCAAACGAGGCAAACCGCAAGCGTTTCGAGGACCAAGGCATTGCCTTTCGTCTGGTCAACTATGACGACCCTCAATCAATGGAGACTGCATTCCAAGGTGTAGAGAATCTCCTTTTTGTCAGTACCAACACATTCGATGTTGAGAAACGTCAAAAGCAACACCAAAACTTTGTCAACGCAGCCAAGCAGGTGAATGTGAAGCACGTAAGAGAAACAAGTTGAACAATTCTTGTCATTCCAGTTTAATAACCATCACCAGGTTTGGTATACATCCCTCGCATTTGGTGGCTTCAAATCCGACTCTGAAGCCGACGTGCAACGCGCACATTTGATCACGGAAGAAATGCTGCGAAAGTAAGCCAGGTTATCCAAAGGACCCGGACTCATCTATAGAACGCATGGATAGACAAGCTGACTCATATTATAGAGCTGATATCACGTTTACATCGATCCGTGAGGGCTTGTATACCGAAGCTTTCCCAGTGTTCATGGGTTGGTATCCCAGTACCGACAAGGTATATGTATCAGGCGACGGTCCAATTGCATTCACATTACGGCATGAATTGGGCGAAGCAACTGCACGGCTAATGATCAAAGGTGGTCATGAGAAAGAGGTTGTCCTTCTCACGGCACAACAGACAGTGACTTTCGCCGACATTGTAGATGTTATCAATGAGACCACGGGTCGACAGGTCATGATAGAGCAGGTTTCTCCTGAAGAGCTTGTGAGAATCAAGGCATCCGATGATCTGGGAGGAAAGTCCGAAGGCTTCTTTCAAGCACTAGCAACTTGGCATGGGGCGATAGCGATGGGTGATGCTGGGGTAACTGACCCGCTTATGACGGATTTACTGGGGAGGGAACCGAAGCCGGCCCGAGAGGCTATTGCGGCGTTTTTGAGGGAAGATCGAGACTATAAGTGGCATCAGAATTATGCGAATCGCAGTTAGTTTAATACAATAATATGAAGCAGTCATGAATCAGATGTGATTCAATTGATCGCATGTGTAAGCTGCATAAAGGAGCGCCGAGGCTGAGAGCCGGGGAAGAACAAGAGAAGCCGTCACTCTCGGCAACCCATACGGGAACGTTCACACCTTGGCGCCTGAGGTGTCAATCCAGTGTCTCGTGACGAAGAGACATGAATTGCTGCAGGGAGAGTTCATGCAGATGAATTGAGGGACTGAAGATCATAATTGATATGCATGATGTAATCAGTAAGAACATATAACTCATTTCCATCATATTATTACCTAGAATTATATCAATGACAAGCCGGCAGTACACAATCCCCAGCGCACGCAGCAAAAGCCGTGTCCGCCCGATCGCTTGACAATTAGCTTAGCGCTGATTGGCCCATAATGGCTGAGTCAGCTTTTTGCCGATGTTCAAACCCGAGGTTAGTAACAGGACTCCTTGACTTCATTTTGCTCGCCTTTTTGGTCTGCTGGTGATCCTCAAGCCCGTTGACTCCCTTGTTTTGGACCCTCTCCTCTCTCCACGCCTTTTTTCCCGTGCGTGATAATACCCCATTGACCACCCACCGGTATCATATCGCCTTTATCCGTCATGGCTTCCCTCCGCACTACATCGCGACTCTTCGCTGCGTCGCGCCCGCTGTTCCGGCCCGCCGCTTTCGCTCGTTCTTATGCCACCGTTGAGGCTACCCAAAGTGCCGAGCCCAGCCCTTCCGAGAACCCCAAGATGAAGACCTTCAAGATCTACCGTTGGAACCCGGACACTCCTTCTGAGAAGCCTACCATGCAGAGCTACCAGCTCGACCTGAACAAGACCGGTCCCATGATGCTCGACGCTCTGATCCGCATTAAGAACGAAGTCGACCCTACCCTGACTTTCCGCCGCTCTTGCCGTGAGGGTATCTGCGGTTCGTGCGCCATGAACATCGACGGTGTCAACACTCTTGCTTGCTTGTGTATGTGGATTCCTATGCACCAATTGAAAATTGGTTCTCGCCTCAACGACAATTGCACGACAATTGTACGGGAGAACCTCAAATCGATATATAATAGGAATACTAACTTTCTTGGATAGGCCGTATCCCTACCGACTCTGCCTCAGAGTCTCGCATCTACCCATTGCCTCACACCTACGTCGTCAAGGATCTTGTCCCTGATCTGACCCTCTTCTACAAGCAATACAAGTCCATCAAGCCCTACCTGCAGCGTGATACCCCTACTGAGGATGTGAGTGATACATATTTTTAATCATGAATTAATGCCCAGCCGCGATGAGCACATAGTCTAACATTTTGGAATAGGGTCTTGAGTTCCGCCAAAGCCCCGAGGACCGCAAGAAGCTCGACGGTCTCTACGAATGTATTCTGTGCGCCTGCTGCTCTACCTCCTGCCCTTCATACTGGTGGAACAGCGAGGAGTACCTCGGTCCCGCCATTCTTCTCCAGTCTTACCGCTGGCTCGCCGATTCTCGTGACGAGCGCACCGCCGAGCGCAAGGCTGCTCTCGACAACAACATGAGCGTCTACCGTTGCCACACCATTCTTAACTGCACACGAACCTGCCCCAAGGGTCTGAACCCCGGTCGTGCCATCGCTGAGACCAAGAAGATGCTGGCCGCTTAAGTTACGGATATAAAAACGGAGTTGGAATTTTCCTTTCTGTCCTCTGTCTTGCGAGCCAATTTTTTTCTCCTGTCTTTTTATTTTTTTCATCTCTTATTTTCCCTTTTCTTTATTACTATTTTCCGACCTCGTCACGGATGTTTTCATAGGTGTAAATTGTGGATATTTTCTTACTGGAATGCAGTGGTGATCCAATTTCCTTGAGTTTTGAATTGCAACTCCCCAGGTGGAGCTAAGACTAGAGTTATTCGGCTATATGCCCCAGGGCTGGACCAGCCACTCCAAGGTGTAAAGGTAAGACGGAAAGTTTGCACAGTCGAACTTCGGTTCTTTAACTGGAAGCTGGTTTTTATCATTATGAGACTTGTTTCATTGTTAGTCGTAAACTCTTGTTGCCATGGAGTCCATATAGTGGAATCATTTACAGTGTGATGTTCCCCATACTATTTTTGGCCGGGGCATTTAACTTATGCGGATCTCCGTCCATGCGGCTATTTGTTTTCCCCATAAAAGCACGGTTTGAGATTCTTTTATCTCATGTATTATTTCAAAAAGCAAACTCTGACATCATCATCGGGCTGTTGGTTTAGGGGTATAATGCTCGTTTCGCACTTCTTCAAGTCCATTACGAGAGGTCCGGGGTTCGATTCCCCGATAGTCCATGATTTTCTGTTCTTTTTTTTGCCTCCCATTTTTTTTCATCTTAACTCCTGTCTAATTGAGTCTAGTAGGAGAATGCGCCTTAGCGTCCCTAGCGTTACCATCTTTCCTATATAGGCAACACCCAGGATGGGTCATGCATTCCTTTGCATAAGTGACTGGCCTGTGCGGTGCAGTACTTATGTACCTGCTTCCAGGTTTATCACACCATTCCCCACTCTGCCACGAGAGACTCTTTCCTGTCACGGTACGGTGCGAAGCGCTTAGGCCAGGATTACCCAATGGCCATTCTTCGATGCTGCAGTCGATTCTCGAAGGAGTCGATGCTTAATAGCCATTGTTATAGCCCTAGCGTGGCCTGCAGCGCCCCGATGCAAGATCCGTTATGAATGCAGCCAGCCAGAATAAGTCCGTTATGAACTACTAATGTTGGCGGGAATGGAGCCCTGGTCAAGTTTCCCTTCTCTGGCATTCAGTTTGCTTCGCTGCTTGGTCTTAATTTGTCCTAGTATTTCCCCTCTTTTCCCCTCTCGCTCTCTGCTATTTCTTCTGCGTGGTGGTGGCTATTTCGATTCTGTTCTCTTTTACAATCCATCTACTGGATCTCATCTCCATTATGGAGTACATATTTCTTTATCCTCTGATTGCTGCGGCCTTGCTACTGTTTTTCGGCCTACGAATCATCTTTTACCGCTTGTACGCCCATCCACTATCAAGCTTCCCCGGGCCTAAGCTCGCAGCGGCAACTTTCTTGTACGAATTCTACTACGATGTGATCCGAAACGGAATGTACATATGGGAAATAGAGCGGATGCATGAAAAATATGGTATGTCCTACATGTACTACTGTCGAGCGCCTTGTCCTGCTTTAAATAATCAGGCGAACCGCTCTCGTCAAACATCACACATACCCCGGAAATCTCGACCACTAACAATAAGACAAAAAGGACCCATCGTTCGCATAAATCCCCGCGAGCTACACATCAAAGATCCATACTATTACGAGGATATCCATGCCAGCGGCGCACGAAAACGCAACCGAGACCCGCAATATGCCGTTGCATACGGGGCTCCATACTCCCTTGTCGGCACAATCCAACACGACCACCACCGACTTCGCCGTACTTTCATCCAGAACTACTTCTCCAAGCGATCTGTTTCAAATCTCACTCCTTACATCTGGGAGAAAGTTGATCAGCTCATCCAACGTTTCGAGCGTGCTTACAAAGAATCTTCGGTTCTTCATCTACAACTAGACTTTGGTGCTCTTACGGCGGATGTCATCACACAGTACTGCTATGGCTGGAACTATGGATATCTTAATGACACGAAAAACGCAACTCGCGTTGATCTCGTCGATGCTGTTAGTGGTCTTATGCTGATGTTTCACATTAACCGATTTCTTCCATTCCTTGTGACTATTTTCCGTACTGCACCTCCTGGTGTTGTCCGGTTTTTACAACCACGGATGGGTGATCTCTTTGACGTGAAGGCTAGATTGCGGGAGCAATCTATCGCTGCTCTTAAGGACAAGAAATCAGAAGACAAGGATGAAACTAATAAAAAGGATGAGAAATCCGAAGAATCTAACTCAATTTTCGATGCTTTGGTTGGGGAGAATGTGCCTGCCGAAGAGAAGACGGTTGATCGACTGGTCGATGAGGCCGCTCTGCTCCTCGGTGCGGGTACTGAAACCACAGCCAGATCTCTTGCTGTCTCGATGTTCCATGTTATCAATAACAAAGAGATTGGACGTAAGCTCCGTGAGGAATTGAAAACTGTTTTGGAAAAGCCGACCTCGAAGGCTTCTTGGACTGATTTGGAACAGCTCTCTTACCTTGTAAGTGACTTCCTGCCATTTTCTGATTATCCTTTTCGAAGATCTTAAGAGCTAACGCCGGGCGGTATTTAGACCGGTGTCGTTAACGAAGGTCTCCGCTTGAGCCATGGTATGACGGCACGCCTGTCGCGTATCTCGCCAATCGACCCTATGCTATACAAAGACTGGGTCATTCCTGCAGGTGTAAGTATATACCTTTTTACTCACAATCTCCATGAATTTTCTGATATTTTATGCTGACTATTTACTACAGACTCCAGTCAGTCAATCAAACTACTTCGTCCACATGGATCCGACGCTCTTCCCCGAGCCTGAAAAATTCGACCCAGACCGCTGGACACGCGCAGCAGACAAGGGCGAGCACCTGAGCCGCTTCATTGTCTCTTTCACGAAGGGCAGTAAGCAATGTCTAGGAATGAAGTGTGTTCCCTTTTTTTATTATATCTTTCAACTTAAATTTTCCCCGAATACATACTGACTGAATACAGCCTTGCATATGCCGAAATCTACATGACTCTGGCCCATATTGTGCGACGCTTCGAGTTCACACCACATGAAACCACCCCTGAGGATCTCGCTGTCCGTCGAAGCATGGGTGTTGGTGTATCAATGGATTGTAAATTCGATGTCAAAGCGAAAGTGGTCGGTATTGTGGAGGAGTGAGCAATAGAGAGACAGATCTCCCCCTTTAGGTCCTGCCACCTTAGATTCAGAGACCTGACAGGTGACCCATTTGAATGTTATATCATAAGTACAACTCCTAGCGTACACCAGCAGATAGCCTGATATTGATTTATTGGGGATTCTAGCCGCTCCAGCAAATGAGATCAAATGGTTGAGGAAATACACCATGATTATGCCGTGCCGTTCTCCAACTCCACAGCCTGAAGCACGGAGTTGAGCAATCTAACTCCGCCACCGAACAAGGAATCATCTCTCTGCTTGCTTTTTCCAAGGTTTCTTTTCTTTTTTTCTATTTGGGAATTCAGGATGATTTATTATAACCTCTATACTATAGTTCTTCTCAAATTTATAAATAAATACTATGTATTTTTCTCGATTTGGAGGGTCCTGGCCTTAACTTGAAATGAATAAGGGTGGCGAGCCTGAGGCGCCCAATGAGGATGTCATACTAAGAGGCCACACTAAATACTGCAAAGAGCCTCCATTTCAAATCAATTGAATGTTTTAAAAATCGTATTGGTGTAGTTTTGGTGGCGATCAATTAAGAACAAACTTGTCCATGTCCCAGCTCGGCGCATCTTCTGTCCGATTGACCCCAACTTGATTCAAATGTTGGATTTATGTCGTTTTCGGAACTATGCCCTTTCCCGCTCTTAAATCCGCACGGCTCAAGTGTTGAACATTTGAAGTTCAAGTTGGAAGAATTCATATACTGTATAAATACCCTGGTTTCTGTCATTCAAGAGCTCATCATATTCACTTCATCATTCACAGTAACTCTACTTGCTCATACACTCTCTTCCCGAGGTCAGCATCTGAGTAACATTCAAGATGGCATCATCCAAAGAGCTCCCACCTTCCACAGTTCCATTCTTCCCAAGACAATTCATCAAGAACCAGTTCTGCTCCACACCCAAATACCTCGATCCTAGCACAGACCTCTCTGGTAAAGTGTCGATCGTCACTGGTTCCAATACCGGTCTGGGATTCGAATGCTCTGACCAGCTTTTGTCTTTCAAGCTCTCCCATCTGATTATAGCCGTTCGCTCCTCAACAAAGGGTGAAGATGCAGCAGCTAAACTACGCAAAAAATACCCAGGCGCTACCATTGACGTCTGGGTCTTGGACATGAGCTCCTACGAATCGATTCAAGCTTTCGTGGAACGCGCCGAAAAGGAACTGACTCGTCTCGATATCGCCATCCTGAATGCCGGTGTAGCGGGTATGAAATTCCAAATAGTCCCAAGTACCGGTCACGAACAGGTCTTTCAAGTGAACTATCTATCGACAATACTCCTGGCCATTCTCTTACTTCCCATTTTGAAAAGAAAATCACCTGTTGGAGAACCTGGACGATTAACGATCGTCACTTCCATGCTCTCAATGACCGTCAAATTTCCCAACAAGAAAGAAGTCCCACTCATTTCATCATTCGATGATGAGAAATTCTTTGATCCAGTTGATATCTACCCAACCTCAAAGCTTCTTGGACAGTTATTTGCATGGAAGCTTACAGACCATGTCTCCGCGGACTATGTTGTGGTAAATCTTGTTGAGCCGGGATTTATCAAGGGCACTGAACTCCAGCGGGAGGCACCACTCCCTGTTAAAGTGGCACTGAATATATTCAAGGCAGTTTCGGCGCGGAATGTCAATCTTGGTGCATCGACATATCTGGATGCCGTGATTGGAAAAGGGAAAGAGTCACATGGTTCGATCTTGATGAATTGGGAGATTTTTCCGTAAGCATTTCCCATTCATATATATTTATGGGTGCCTTTGGGTGTTCCAAGGTTCAACCATTGAAATAGTTGTATATATACTAATTCATATGACAGATATACTGAGTTCCAATGCTCAGAGGAGGGTAAAGAGATGATGGACAGACTGTGGACAGAGACTTTGGAAGAGTTGAACTTCATTGATGTCAACAGCATCCTGAAGTCTTTATCAGAATAGTTGATGACAAGCCTGAGTTTACAATATTTAGTATGCTTCTTGACTCCACTTACTACTGCACGGCGGGTGTCTCTTTCGGGCTGATATATTTTATTTCGTCCAATGCAAAAATTAATCAGATGAAAGAGCTTCGGATATTGAAACTGAGAGTATAGAATTAATTGTGCGTCGAGTTTTCCTATTTTTTTCTTGATCAAGAACCTTCAATGAACCTTGCACCACTTCTTTGCAGGGCTCATGTATTAATATGTATGTCTGAATGATCAACATCTATTTGAAGCCCTGGAAGTTAAAAACCACTAGTAATAGGCCACCTCGAAAGTACTTCGAGTCTGAATGGATAAACCCAGCCTATTTTGAGATTTATCAAAAATTAACAATAGCAATTTAAGGCGTGAATCTCTGTTTCAACAATGAAGACATGAATCAAATGCGCGGTTGTGTTGTGGATCGCAGAAGAATGTGAGCTGGGGGGGGTTTCAGGATCCATCTCAAAAACGCCCGATGCTTAATTCGTTTCAAATTTGGCTATAGATCCACAGGACTTTCTTGCAAGCGATAGTCAATTTTTGAAGTTCCTTATGTTCCACATCGTGGATATTCCACCTCTCTGTCCACTTCTGCAAGGGGTGAGAAAGGGTTGCTAGGGGAATATCCTGCGGCGTGCCTCAACACCCCTACTTACATTTCTCCAGCCGAAATTTTTACCAGAAAATTGGTAAAGTGAAGAGATAGTAGTTGTCAAGAGTTATGAGATGTCTACCACTGGAGTAATCTATGAATTTAAATGCTTCTACTTATGATCTGGGAAGTAGATTGAAGGACTCGGAGTCAAGATCCGAAAGATATTATTAGTGCCTAGCCAATTTGGAAGACATATTATGTTCAGTTTCATTTGCTTCATGTATTTTTTTTCTCTTTCGTCCAGCCTCATAAATCATCTGTTTGATAATGGGGTCAATACCACTCTTGTGAACGAACAGAGGACGCGTGGTTTCGAGTGGCATTTGGTACTGATAGCACTTTTAGAGCCTTTAGATCATCCTATTTGGATCTTTTAGCGACTATCATTCCAGAGGGGCCAACCGGAATTGAGGAGCTTGACCTTCCATACCATCAGAGCCACTGCTGCCCCTTAGGCAATGCAACGCTCGTCATTATTCTCTGGAGGTGATGCTGATCCTTCGCAGCGCGTTCCCCGGTATGAGGGAGACAACAGATAAAGACCATAACAGAATGGAGATCAACAGCCCAACAATGCTGGTATAAAGAGCCTCCATATCCCTGTTGCGCCAGCTGGCATATCGCTCTTTTGTCCGACCACATACACTCTTTTCGATAATACCAGGGATTCAAGGTCCCTCCAGTCCATCACAATGCGTTACGCTTTTGTTTCTTTGGCGGTTTTTGCCGTCGGCGCTGTCGCCGCGCCCTCTTTTCCTCGCGAGGAGTCACAAAACAACCCCTTTGGTTCATACCCTTTCAATCCTATGGGAGGTTCAAGCGTTGAAGATGATGATGATGAGATGGAGAATCCTGGAACTCTTGCATTGGAAGCAATGTATGCTGCCGAGGGTGCTTCCTATACGCCTCCTCAACAGGCGCCCCAGGTTCAGCAAGCACCCCAAGTTCAGCAAAGTCCTGCCGTAATGGAAAACATTCCTAGCCCACAGCCTGATCCAGTCCAGGCGCCGCAGGTTTCCCAGGCTCCTCAGGTTCCTCAGCATATCCACGTGCCTATCAGCCAGCCTCAGCCGGTCGAGGAACCCAAACCTGCAGTGAAGCCTAAGATCGCTCCGGTTGCCCCGGTTGCTCCTATTCCCCCGATCCCCGAGGCCGTGGAGCAACCCAAGCCTTCTCAGAAGCCTGAGCCAGTTGTCAAGCCTCAGCCGGTTGTTAAGCCCAAGCCAGTCGAGATGTCCCAGCCGGCTGTCCTTCCTAAGCCAGTTGAGATGCCCGAGCCGGTTGTGCTTCCTAAGCCGGTCGAGAGCTCCAAGTCTGTCGAGATGCCCAGGCCCAGCAAGCAGCCTGTTATTGAGCAGCCTGATATCGCACCTGTCCCTGAGTTCGACCCTATGCCTTCTGAAATTGCATTCGCTCCTGAGTCCAAAGCTGCCACACCTACATCAAACACTGCGTCTGCGCCGACTAGTGAGTCGGACGATGATCAGTCTGAGACTCTGCCTCTGAACGACCTTATGCCTGAAATCCCCAAGCCTATCGCTCCTTCGCCAGTTTCGCAAGCTCTGCCTTTCCACCCTAGTCACAGCCGTCCTGCATCGCCTACCTCTACGCCTCAGACTCCTACTACTTTCAGCTCTGTGGCAGTGTCAACTCCTCTTATTCGCCCCACTAATTCCTTTATGCATCGACCAAGCGCGCTTGCCTCCATGTCTATGTCTCGTCCTAGTCGCCACAATGCCATTGCCTCTAGCTCTGCCACTCCTTCAAGCTCCGCCGCTCCGAGCACCTCAGACGCCCCGGCTAGCCCTCTTGGACCTCTTGACGACATCCTGGACAAGCTCCCCCTTCTTGGCTCGCTGGGTCTCCGTCGTTGAGTCTTTGGCTATTCGTTCATTACAATTTGAGCTTCTTTGTATTTCTCCAGATACCGCAGGACCCCTGGTACAATTGTTTTCTTCTGAGGCTTTATTTATATCCAAGAAAATATAACTTTAATTGGTTAGGCGTTAGGTCAACATTTGTTCTATTCATATCTTCTTCCATACATAGTAATCTAAACAAAAACAACTTCAAAACACAGTCCTATCTCAAGGGTATCTTCCTCCGGAGCCCAGCATATCAATACAGCCTTCCACAGCCTTCTGCATAGCATTCGTAGCTTCCTCCAACAACGCAGTCAAAGGAACCTTCCCAGCCTTCTCCTGCTGGACCTTGATATAAGGATTATTCAACACCTTATTAATATTGATTTTCGACACGCCACAATCAATACACTTCTGGAAGATCTCCTTTGTGAAAGGATCCGCACCATGAAGTACAAGGCGAACCTTGCCTCCCACAGCCTCATTAATCGACTTCAGCCTCTCATACTCCAGCTGAATTCCACGAGGCCCATACTCCCCATGGACATTTCCAAACGCCGGCGCCAACCAATCAATCCCCGTATCCACAAACTCATGACTCTCCTCTGGAGTCGTTAACAATCCTTCCAAATCAACCGTATCAGCAACACCATCCTCACCACCTTCAATACGACCCGGTTCCGCCTCAGTCGCAATACCACGAGCATGGCAGTACTCCACAAGTTCGCGCGTCAAAGCCAAATTCTCCGCCTTCTCATAATGCGACATATCAACCATGATACTATCGAATCCACCCAGATCCGCCGCATATCGAATAATCTCAGGCGTCTGTGCATGGTCCATATGTACTGTAACCGGAACGGAAGCCTTCTTCGCAGCTTCAGCAGCGGCATGTACTAGGATACCATCGGCATAGTGTATCGCCCACGGGAAAAGAAGAATCATAGCCGGAGAGCGCTTAGCCTCTGCAGCGCGGACTGTAGCGAGGATTCCTTCCACATTGTAGCAGCACATTGCGGGTACACCGTAGTGGTTTTCGGCGGCATGGTCGAGGATGCGCAGGGCGCGATTATCGGTGAGAGGCATTTTGGAATTAAGGTCACGGTGGAGGATGAAGGGGGGGATTATTGAATTGATTGAGGGGTAATTATCGTGGGGTATTCCAGCTTTAAATCTTATGGATATAGTGGTCGCTGTTTTGTCCGAGGCTTGAGCTGTTAGCTAATGTCGCATCTTCTCCCGATGGCTCAGACTCGGAGATCATCCGAGTCCAATTACGTCAAGTTGATTTCGCAGATTATCGGGTTCAAGTTTCCAGTTTGGTCCGATTTTGCGCCAATTGATCGGAAATATGCTTTTTTGAGTAATTATTTATCGAGAGCTGACGCTGAGTACTACTGTGGGTTGAGCGTATTTACTTCAAGTTTCGGTTCATGATAACTAAGTCATGCCTCTGAAGGTTCAATGTTAGATTTTATCTATGATATTTCTAGTAGATAGAGATAGTAGAAAATTATGAGAAAAATATGAAAAATTCGAATATTCACAATCCAAATACAGTTATGTACAGCGCTACTCGCTTCCAAACACCTTAATAACACTCGAACTGCTTTCAGCACCCAATCCAGCCCGCTTCGCCAGGAACAAAGTGTTGATTGCCGCATTTCCAAGATGCAGTGGACAATGAAGATCTCTCGCCTTCTGCACAGCTTTCTCCAATCGCACGATCGCATCGTTGATTGTCTCTGATCCAGCAACCTCACCAGTACGGTTTTCAATCATCTCTAGTCCCTTTGTCATGAACTGACGACTCGAACCCGCAGCATCGCTCACAAGAGTGAAGAACTGCTTGAGATCGACATTGAGGTAACGGGCAAACGAAATAGCCTCAGCTGCAGCCACGAGATTTGTCAATTCCATCATGTCTAGCACCAACTGTTGGGCCTCTGCTGTTTCCTCTGCTGGCTTGGTATTGAAAACTTTCATGACAGATTCAGAGAAGTATTGGCGGACCATAGAGGAGTCGTCGACGGGACCGTAACCTTGCAAAAGCGCAGATAGGTAAACCTGCTCAGCAGTACTGCACAGAGGTGTAGGGAACTGGTTTTGACGAGCGGAAGTAGTAATAATTCCCTAAGAACGAATCCATTAGCACATGTATAATCTCAGCGAAGACCCAATTTACACTCACAACATCCTTGAGAATAATTGTAAGTGCACTAGCACCTGGGTGCCAATCCTCCTCCAAGAGGCGTTGTAGACGATTCTCATGCATCCATGTCCACGAGTCCGACGATTTAATAGCATCTGCTGTTTTCGTCGCATCCAGACCCAGCTGTGCTGCGAAGCCCATTGCCTCACTTGCGCCGAGGATATGAATACCAGCAAGGACCTGGTGCACCATCTTCATGTTGCTTCCTGCACCAATGCCTCCAGGGACTAGGTAAAGCTTGTTAGAGTCGGACATAGCCTCGAGCAAGAATCGGCCGCTTTCCAGCGCAGTTTCCGGTGCTCCAGCCATAATAGACAGAGTTCCATCAGCAGCGCGCTTTGCGCCGCCAGAGACGGGTGCATCAATAAATTGAATATCCCCACGTTCAAGCGACTGAAGTTCTGTCGCAACTGATTGAGCGTATGAGGCAGCGACTGTTGAGCATAGAATGAGGGTAGAGTTTTGTGGAAGACCTATTGAAGTTCCACTAAGTTATACTATATTTCCCCAGGAAGAAAACAATGAGACCTAAGAATCGAACACACCAGAGACAATCCCTCCTTCTCCAAACAAGACACTCTGAACTTGCGGCGCAGAGGCGACCATACAAATATAGTACTGCTTGTCGCTTGCTGATTCTTGTAAAGAAGAAGCTGGAATACCACCAGCAGCTTTGAACCTATCAACTGAAGCAGGGAATACGTCGAAGCCGTGAACTGGATATCCTTCCTTCACGAGATGGGTGGCCATGCCGAAGCCCATAGCTCCTAGACCCACAAACCCAATTGATGGCTTAGACATGATGTGCGTAATGATAATTTAACAGAAGAATGATAAGGAGCTCAAGGAAATTGAAATAACTGAAATAATTGAAAGCACTTGAGATAGAATCACACCACTTTTGACGTGGGGGTTAGAGGGGCTTATCTGGGGAAATGTCCGAGTCTATACCCGAGATCGGGAGAAGTCCGAACTACTAACACTTCAAAATGTTTCCCGATTCACCGATTTTCCGCGATGTACCCCGGCTATCACTGCGAGATTATTCTACCGAGCTACGAGATTTACGAGGTCCGATTGTTCGGTTCAAAAGGGTAGGTAAAATGAGTCTTTGTTTAGGCTAATTAAAAACATGTGCAAGAAGCTATAAGACATTGGTAAGAAAACAGCAACAGACAATCGTGACGCCATGGCCCATGATAAATATTACATTCTATCACCGTCTAGAAACACCTCTTTACCGATAGATTCCCAAGACAAGACTTTTCAACCATCCCATCTTCATAGCAGACAGCCATCATCCTCGTCATCGGTATCCTCAAAGAAGGTATCCAGAGAACGATAAGACGAGAAAGGATCCGGGAAGGGCATCAGGTTCTCGCTCATAGAACCCAGCCTGTGAGTGCTAGCTGTGGGACTTGTTAATACAAAATCATTCTCTGAAAGCCACTCATTAGTATTGCGATCGCTAAAATCAGGTGAAGACGCACTTGACATATCTGCAAGCCACAGACTGTTCCTTGAGTCAGAACTGTGAAAAGTCTGTTGCCAACTTGGGAGAGTATTCGAAGCGTCCTGATACTTCGGGTTTGCGTCTACTCGAAGAGCTTGCGCAAGCTCTGCGACCACTTCCTCGTGGGAAGGAAGCTCGCCAACAAGATCAATTCTCTTGCTTTCGACGGCGGTAGACTGGGACGAAATAGAGTCATCCAGGTGATTTGTGTCAAACTGTGGCGAAGAATCAGTCAAAGCGCTGGAGTTATCAAAAAGGACATCCACAGGACGGACAAGGAGGAAATAGCTCGAGACCTGGAAATTAATCTCGGGTAAATCGGTGGTTGCGCTCGCATCAGGAAACGAGGATGAATACCTGTTGCGGCTTAACTCACTTACAAGCAAGCGCCACTCTGGCATAACCAAGTCCTCAGACCGGCTGTCACTCACATCAGGGTCGCTAGGATAGTTGTCCGTGTAGGTGAGGGCATCAGTCTGTTTCAAATGGTCAGCAAACTTGATAGGATCAAAGGATGGAGAGTCAGGATCAGGAGCAGGTTCTGGATTGTCTGATGTCAAGGACATAGCATCCGAACAACGCTTTAATCCATATGGCAAGTGATTTGACGTAGTAGAAAAAGCATTGGGGCACATGGATATGTAAGAGGGGCTGTCCGAGGTCAGAGAAATGGAATCAGTTCCCGTAGACCTATCCGGACTCGGAGATCTAGGACGATCCGATGTGAGAGACATTGCATCTGAGCTCACAGATCTACGTGAGCGAAGGCCCCATTGAGGATGGGAGGAATTCTTGGTAACGCAGGAACATAAAGGGAAAGAAGAAACACTTACATCATTTTGAAACTGATAGTCGTAGCTGGCGCTGACTGGGTCTGGGAATAGAGACAATCGGTGTCTTCGAAGACACTCCTCGGGATCATTCTTCAGAGAATCATCAGCTGGCACATGGTCAGAATAAGATGCGTTAGAACTCATGTTCGCAACCATTCGGGCTTGGAAGTCAAAGATGGGGTATTGAGCTTCAAGTCCCTCTAGAGGATTGTGTTGTTTATAAAACCAAAGCTTTGGGCTTGGTTGAAGTATTTGATTACTCCAGTTGTAAGCACACTGCAAGCAGAGGTCTGGATAATCTTTGGGAAGGAAACTGTGGGAGAAGTTGATATCGTCACAGGAGGTGTGGTCTTGGTTGCTGAAAGTATCACTAGCCACAGCAAACATCCGAAGTTGGTTGGTAAATTCGAAGCAGCTCACAAGTCTATAGCTTGCAATATGTCCATAGTCTGGGTATTGGTGATATGTACAATTGCACATTGATGTGAGGAAGATTGCTGGGTCTTGAAGATCATGGAGGAATCGAGGATGAGTTGAACTGGTTTTAAATAGACAGAATGAGACTCTGAGCAGAATAGCGACAAAAGGACCAAAAGACTTGAGAATTTCACTCCACCAAGATGAAAGGAAATCAAGTTCATTATATGAATATCTGCTGCTAAATTTATCAAAGAATTTGATGCTTGTGTTTAGAGCCGCTTTTTCCTTGTGATCTTATACGCATCTTTGAGTAGAGGACACAAAGGAACAATGCTACAAAGACGGATGGGTGCTTCAGGTGATCCATTCTTTGATCTTTATAATTAGGAATCATTGCAGTAAATCCTATATTTAGACAAACATCAAACAAAGGATGAATACCGATGCTTAAGATTCATGAATGACTGTTGTTCTCAACCTTAAAACAAATTTAGACTCATAATCAGAGAGTGATGAATAGACTTCATAGAGCTTTATACTATTTTCAAATAAAGAGATATTTTTATAGAACTTTCAGTCCAACTTTTGAAGATTTATCATAGATCTCGGATCATAAATACTTAAATTCCAAGGTTCACCTGGGGACTACTCATTGTTCAACCACAAACTCTTCTCTGCCACATCCATATCAGGAACAAACTCCGAACATTGAAACTCATTACCACCGACAAAATGACACTCACAAGCGAGGCTCCATTTGCTTGGGTTCATATTAGATTCATGACGGTCGTTCACTCTAAGTTCACTGATGAGGATCTCCTCTATTTTTGCGAAGACTCCGTTTACTGTGGAGAGGTTATGACAACTCTGACCTCCGACCTTCCTCGCTCCCTAGCGCGTGCTTCTGACCCGGTTCTTTCTATTGAAGTTCATCCTGATGGACGTTACAATGACCCCATGGATCGGCAGAATGCTTGCGCCCCTGTGTTGGCCAATTGGATTCTAGATTTAAAGAAGGGTCTAGGGCTTCCATTTGATCGGTATTATCTATTTAGAGATTCGTTTTATCTGACGCCTGTGCAGATAAAATTGGGAATGGAGAGCTGGGAGGAGGAAATTGTTCATAAAGTCATTGACTAATACCACTGGGCTGATGTTTAAGATCTGTCGGGTAGTTGCCAGTGTCTCATTATCTGAATCATACCAATAGATGCTATGAGAAAATCATTTCCAATTAAACAATGTAGAACAATTTGAAATAAGTAAAATAGTAATGTTCATGTTTCCAACTCTGTCAAATACTTAACCCCTGAATCAATCAACCACCAAGCTGCTGTTTCGTGCATCCAACGTAGTACAGGTTTCTCCAGCGGCATAGTCTGTTTCTCATCCACGCGTCGCCACATAACTGTCTCAGTACAAAAGACCACAGCATCACCCTCCTCCTTGAAGCTGAGAGCAAGTCGACCATTCACAAAGTCCATACCCTTCAGCTTTATTTCGAACTCCACTTTATTGCTGCTCCGCGCAACAACACGATACACACCACAAACCAAGTCCCCTTCATGGAAATCAAGGGAGGAGATATGCGATGCTTTAAAGCTTCTCTTTTCTTCTGAGCTCTTACTCATAAGTCGAATCATCAAAGCTTGAGGGAAATGAGTAAAGATGGTCATATTTCGTCGAGCAAGTTTGGTGAAGAGTAACTCTGTTGGAATGCTGCAAGGAAGAGACTCGCGAAGTACAGATTTCGATGCGCGATCATGAAGCGCAAAATATTGGTCCGTGAATACAGATTGTGGTATTGAGTTGATTGTTACCGGCTTTGAACTCTTGGATAGGGCGCCTTTCTGGGATGTATGTTCGATGCGGGATGACAGTCTCTGGTGAAATACCAAGAAGTACAGCACCGATGAGCCCGTCAGCACAGCGCTGATTGTGGCTATTAAACGGATCATGATGATATGTGTATGTCTCTTGAGAATGTTGTTTTCTCTCTCTTTCAGATGAATTGAAGATTTGCGAAGTTGCACCTTAACATGACTTCATCGGGATCATCAGCTGAACTCAATACGAGCCCGTCTTGGCTTCTCACCTGAGTGGTGCATGAGACATGTTAGTCATCTGGCCCCCAGGAGATGCCCAGTAATTATATCGAATCGGAATTAGATACTTGACTCTTTGTTATTCTGCTCTTTTGCGGATAATCAGATCACTCTCAAAGGATTTGGTCATATTGAGATGGCGAGGGACTTTCCCAATTTCGGAAGGCTTCCACCTGAAATCCGGCTGATGATCTGGGATATGACCCTTACAGAAGACTGGTCAGTAAGCAGTTTCCAACGAGTTCGAAAAAGACATGGAATAAAACTCGTGGGCAAAAACAATCAGCGGAACCCAAGCCAAGCCTGTCATGAAGCTCGCGAAGTCATGCGCTGCAGATCTACCAAAGTTGACGGTCTTGGGTGGTTTAATCTCAATCGCCATATGTTTTTCTTCCGAGACAAAGAATCAAGCTGGCATTTGATGATCGACATTACGCAAACTTACGACCTTCAATCCGCAACGCACTCCACCTTATGGAGACGTGCCGGTTTCTCTTGAACGGATGCAACGCCTTACTTACAATAGTGATTGTTGCGCCCTGGCTAGTCCCCACCGATACTGATCGGTATGATACTGATCAGTATGATCCTGACATAGACTGGATAGCGCCTTATGAGAATTGGTCGCGATTCTTTTGAAAGACAAAGTCACCCACTGAAGTTGATCTGGCTCCGCTACTAAATACCGTTGATTATGGTTGCGATGAGAATGATGTCAGAATTGCTACATACAAATCGAGGCTTGATCAAGCGGTTCGGCGACTGCCAGACCCGCTGCCAGAGCATTTACAACCTATTGATAGTTTTGCCTGGCGGTTTCTCAGGACTTTGAATAAATTGCAGTCTTTGATTGAGAAATCGGTCGCATCACCTAGATCATACTTGAGAACATGTAATGAGATGCGCGGTCGGGTATAGATACGCTTCGATAATCAAGCATTTTCATATCCAACTCTACAAGAATCACAGATACAGGGAAAAAAAATGGTATCACTCTCTAAGTTATGACAAAAGAAAACCAGTAACCAATCTCAAATTCAAACGCCAAGCCTATTTAGATGTAGATAGATATCACTCTTTCGATTTTCCTTGAGCTACACCGGACTCAATACCAGATTGTTGAGTCGTCTTATTTGAACCTGGACCCTGCATTACTTGAATTCGACCACTGTTATGCCAACATGCAAGTTTAACACCACACTTTCCACAAAAATGATCTACGTCTTTGAGAGACGATATCAAGTATGGGATACAACCAAGGCAGCAACATAAGCAAAGAACTGCAGCCCATCCACTATCAAAAGTGTTAGCGCAATAATTGCCTTGCATATCAAGACACATAAACCTCGTGGAGATTCTTGCGACCTGTTCGCTAGAAACATGAATCCACTTACTGGGTCGTTGCTCCCGAGACCATTTCTATCCTCGTCAATTCGCGTTGTCCACAAGCAGGACAATCAACCGGACAAGAAGCGGATTGAAGCGCATGCAATGGTACTGCGGTCGCATACGTGGTAGGCTGACCGAACGGTGTATAACACTGCCGCGGCTGGAACTGATTCGCCACTGGCTGACCTGGATAGTCCTTCACATCTGCGCCAGCTATGGGAGGTTGACTGGTCAATGATGGATGTTCTCCGCGAACTATCTGCCCTTGAGATTCTTTCCCTGGAATCTCGAAAGCGTTGACAGGCATTGGCGCATCTTCAGGTCTAGTCCGCTCATGCTCGTATGGGGGCGCTGGGAATGAAGCTGTGAGTGCTGATGGGGGTGAAAAACTGGAGCTTGTGTATTCTGAAGTATGTAGTGGGCTTATGGGGCTTGGTTCGGTGTTTTGGTGGGTCTCGACTGGGATGAGGCCTGGAGTGATAGTATGGTGTTAGCGATATTACCATAATGAATAAAACCGAGAAAGGAGATTGACCTTCGCTATCAGGTCTTGCACCCATGATGAGCTTTGATATGGTGAGTGGAGTGAAAATGTGTAACAAGGGAGAAGAAAAGCTGCAACACCGACCACGAGGAATGATACTTTAAAGAGTCTCAAGTGGAATGCCCCGGTTATAATTAGGATCTGATCAGCCCAGTTCCACTTTCATGCAGGAGGGTTGACGAACCCCAATTAGATTTTAGATGATGGAGACACTGCCCCGTTGAGTGCATAGAGAAATCCAAAGTTTCATGTCTTATCCTTGTACTAACTTTATAGTGCTGCCTACTATTCCGTGTATGTGGGTGATATGGACAGCCTTACCTCTATGATCTCAGATGTTATAAGCACAAAAATTCTCGGAACTCTTATGTATGGAATTACTTGAACATGGTATTCCCAGGTGCTTCAGCTCACGCTCAGTATGAATGTCGTCAACACTTGGTCCTTGTACCTCCCAGTATGAAGATTGAGTCTAGAGCGGCTGTTTTGAGACCATCCCAGGGTTGACTATGTCGAATAGAGGAATAGACTCAAGTCGGGTCGAACCCGAGTATGATTTGATTTGGATTTCATTTTGACAGGTTCAACTTTCCATGTAACACGCTGAAAGTCTGGTCCTCGTCGGAATACAAGACAAACGCAGGAGGGCTGGCGGTGTGGCTGCGCCCCTTGTAGATCAGATCTGAGGCCGTGGACTGTCGATCACCTTTGCTATGCCAATCACATCTTCGGAGTATGCGGAAAAGCAGGGCTGACGCCCCTTTACTCCGTATCCTGCAACTCAAAATGCAAGCCTGCAGTACATTGTGTTTCAAGAAGTTAATTAAGCCTTCTGGAAATCCCCATGTTTTGCATGTCATGTCTGCCAGTGTCCTGTGGATACGGAGTATACAATAAATAATCTCGGATATTGCAGAAATGAACTGTTTTCCCTTGTTGCATCCTCAGGTGACTGATTTCTGACCCCTCTTTGTATGTAGGTACCTACAGGGTTATCTGGAGGTTAGCTGGAAGGGAAGGTTAGCTGTTGTATTGTTGGATATAGATAACTGGTAGCCCGAGGGATAGGCTGTAGGCTCTCCTCGGGTACCAGACAAGCGGTGAATAAAAGTGCAGGAACCCAAGAACCCAAGTAGAAAAAGAGGTCTCAGTTAACTCGATATCGGGGTTACTACATTCAGTCTTCCCCGAGCTTCCGCCCCCAACTGATCTCCATGTAGACCAACATCACCTATGACAACATTTAATAGTATCGAAAGGATTTAATCGGATACAACTTAAGCCCGATCAGTTAACTCCAGATTTCAAACCGCACTTATATAACAGCGCCTGCGACCTTCGACTCTTGGACTATTTGAAAATCCCTTCATGTTCAAGTTGAGAATGAGCTCCAAAATTTACCCCACAATCAAGCTTGCCAGCGGCTATGAGATCCCTCGCTTGGGGTTCGGAGTATGTAATCTTTTTAAACTTAAGCGATCATTATTATCTACTAACACGTCTTGGTAACAGGTCTATAAGACGTATGGTCTCACATACCGACAAGACCCTTGTTATAATACTAACTTCACCAAGACCAGCAGATGAAACCGAACGATGCTGTTTAGAAGCCTTTAAAGCTGGATATCGTCATGTGAGTGTCACTTTACCAACCCTTCCCGGACTTCCAAGTTTAAAGCTCCAGAATTATTACTAACTACAGCAGATCGATTCAGCCTCCAAGTATTTCAATGAAGCTGGCTGCGGAAACGCGATCCGAGCCTCTGGAATTCCACGAGATCAGATATTCTTCACCACAAAAGTGGGCGGTGATATCACATACGATCAAGTCAAAGCGCAGGTTACTAAAAGCCTTGCCGAATCGAAACTCGACTACATCGACTTGATGCTGCTTCATCACCCGCGTGGTGGATCCGAAAACCGCAAAGGCGCATGGAGAGCCGTGAGTGCCCTGCTTAATGCGATTCCATTTGACAACCCGACAGCTGATAATTTTGGATTCTAGCTTGTTGAAGCTGTTGAGGAAGGAAAAGTACGCTCTATTGGAGTCAGTAACTATGGTGTCCATCACCTAGACGAACTCGAGCAGCACATAATCGACCTCGAGACAGAACGCGCTGGCAAAGGAAGGGGCGGTATTGTCAGCGTGAATCAGATCGAGCTTCATCCATGGCTTGCACATAAGGAAATTGCCGAATGGTGTGAAAAGCGCGATATTATCGTTGAGGCATTTTGTCCGATCGTTCGTGGTACACGCTTTGAAGAGCCTTCGGTTAAAAAACTGGCGGATAAGTATTCCAAGACTCCAGCTCAGATTCTCCTTCGATGGAGTATTGATAAGGGCCATGTTCCCCTAGTCAAAAGTGTCACTCCATCACGCATTGCTTCTAATGCTGATGTGTTTGATTTTACGCTCACGGCGGAGGAGGTCCAAGAACTTGAGACGGATGAATACTCTCCTGTTTCGTGGAATCCAACTACTTCAAAACTGGAGGAATGAGTGGGAGAAATATCGATCACCCGGGAGATTTCATACTCTATTGATTTATCAGTCAGTGAAGTGATTCAAGTTCCATGCTCGAAAGACTGAATACTAGGAACTCGAATATTCCGAGTCCATGTTGACCATCGAATTCTTCTCATATGTGCAATGCTATGCAATATTTCCTGAATCATGATATGCTTCTCTAAAGTCTTAGCTAAACACTGGCAGAAGGCTTCCTATGGCTTAGGTAGTACTGGTAAGATGTGCAGGTAAATGGTGACATACCCCTCTTTGCGCATGCATATCTCTTTGCATATGTAAGTACCTACAGGGTTACCTACGGGGTTACCTGCATGCATGATTACCTGAAATGGAAGGATACTACTAGTAGCTGCTATATAGTTGGATATAGGCAACTGGTAACCATAGGGATGAGCTATAGGTTACTAGTAATTCTGCCCCTCTGTTCTTCCGGGTGGGGAGCAAACTCGAAAACCCACTGAAACCCAAGTAGGAAAAGAGGACTATCTAGGTCTATAATACTTATTCTCATTTGGTTTCTCCTAATTCCATTGAGATCCATGACAATCATTGGGTGAAACTCGACCTCAGACTTAATGTACCTGGAACCAAGGAATGAGACAAGTTGCGGACCGAGCCTAGGTAACTAAGTTTTGTTTCTAAATCAAACGTTCAAAGCTATATTTGGATTTTTCTCACATAAATCCAGTCCCATTTCTCGGGGCAACGTGTTCATTTTGGCTAAGCATTGTTGCCTTAATAAGCCTTTGTGGGGGCGGGCGGGGTTACTTTGCAGGGATGTGGAGGCTGTGCAGCATCAATTATTTCTACATATCAAACTTGGGAGCTTCAAACGTTCCTCACCTGGTCAAACATTTGAAGTCAACATATTTTTGACCGCACGCCTCTTCCAAGGTTCATTTGAGTGATGGATTACGTGGAGCCTCAGACTTTCGATCGGCCCCCGGCCAACCCCAGCATATCATTGCCTGGACCTGGTAGACCGGAGGATACAACAAAGCGAAGGCTTCTCTTGATCTATATTCATGGTTTCCAGGGATCAGAGACCTCTTTTCAGGAACTTCCGACCCATGTTCACGATCTTGTAACAAGCTTGTTGATTGAATCATATCTTGTATACACGCGAATCTACCCTCGGTATAAGTCTCAGGGGGAGCTACAAACAGCCGTCGATCAATTCAGCGCGTGGTATGTCATCAACCCGAAAGTGAGCTGAATGCTCACCTTAAACTGAGGAGAATACTCTGCTGTCTAGGCTGAATATGAGCTAACTCATATACCTGCAGGCTAGCACCACATGAAGCAAATGATCTAGATGTAATCCTGCTGGGGCATAGTATCGGTGGAATTCTAGCTGCAGATGTGGCATTATTACAAAAAGGCACAAAATCAAAACACCGAATACTGGGGCTCATCAATTACGATACCCCCTTTCTGGGACTCCATCCCCGGATCATTCCAGATGGAATCAAGAGCATGTTTCCGATGAAAGATCCATCACCTGAAGAGAATCTAGCAGATGAGCAAGAGTCACTAGGGATGGAGCCAGCGTACAGACTAGCTGCACCTGGCTCTAAACCCAGCCCCAACTTCAACCGTCCGTGGAGAAACGATAAGCGACAGCCCGATCGTGGTCTTCTCGGTGGTGTGAAGCATTTTATCAACAAGAAGAAGAACGAGGACAATTTCGCAAAATCAGTATTCGAGCGCATCATATCTCCTGCTCGATTTGCAAACTGCGTCAACAACTATTCCGATTTGCGCCGACGCTATCAACGTTTGAAGGAGTTGGAGAAGGCAGAGTTCAGTGCGGGTAGAATCCGCTTCATCAATTATTATACCTCCAGTACGGGACGTCGCCAAAAGGAAAAGTGCGGGAAATCTAAAGAGAATGACGCGACAAACACATCGACGACTTCTCCATTATTTGGATGTTGTCAGAGTTCAAATGGGACAGAAAGCGCCGAAGAATCGATGAGTAGTCTGTCTCTTGCAGATAGCTCATCAACGTCAGTGGATCAGACAAAAGAACCGGCTCTTTCAGAAAGCGTTTCTCACTCCAATTCTGACTCTGGACCTAATACCAAGAGTTCATCTAAACCTATTAAGGCTCAAAAGTTCATTCTCTTACCGTCTTATCATTGGAAATCGGATGATAATTCGAACTGGGCGCCAGTACTGATGCAAGACATGGATGCGGTTGTGGCGCATCAATCTATGTTTTTGACAACGGGAAAACATTATGATTATCTTTTTGGGGATACTGTAGCTATTATTGAACAGTGGGTTCAAGAAGATTTAACTGAAAGGATGGTACAAGAAAGCAGACAGGAGAGTCTTGACTAAATCATAGAACACCCAGCACATCCAGCACATCGCATTTGAATAATAAAGCGAATCTTTGAATCAACTACCATTAATATTATATATAATATTCTATAAAATCCTAGATAATAAATTAATTATATAATCAATAAAAGGTTAGCCCCACACGTGGTGTCCGTCCCTGATCGGCGCATGTGGACGCACCGCGACTCCTGATTTGGTCACTCCCGTCAACATTTGAATGTATACACACCCTTTTTTCACTTTCCAACTATTCCCCCTCCAGCATAATCCACCTTAATCGACATTCCAATTTCCTATCCCAGCACCACCCTAAGATCACTTGATAGACGACTCACAGTCCTCCAAATCCCCAGGTGCAATATCCCATGGCCAGGACAGGGATAATCTGGCACTGGAGAACCAGGCAGACCCTGGCTACAGTTGCACAACTAAAATTCCATCCAGAATACATCCATACTCCACAGAGTACTATCACCATGATTTATCTCCCCTCCTTACTCTAGCATATCCACTAGTGAGCTGCATTGGGTTCAAGACCATGTCTGACTCGCTCATGACTCTTTTTTCTTCTATCTGCAAGGCTTGAAGGGTGGGTCAGTGGACCCGATGAAGCATTCCTGATTAGTATCTCCGAGTCCCCCTTGACAACCAACATGATCGAAATCCAGCATACACTCTACTCTTTGGTCCGAGATGAAGTGGGGGACTAGTTGGTTTTGACTTGCGCTATCACTGAATAGTCCTATCGATGGAGGGGAAGACCCCATGCCTGTCTATGTACCTACTAGCTCTTGTAGGATCGACTAGGTCATTTAAATTCTTTAATCCTGCCCGGATCCCAGCGGGGGATTTCATGTTACGCGAATCTTTGAAGCGTGGCTTGTCTTCCCTTGATTCAAATCTCCTATCTTGGTTCCAAGATTGTCCTTCCATGCTCAAGCGTCACTGTAGATCTTGATTATCAGATCTAGACGTGCTTCAGAACTGCATATCTACACGACTCCGTGCATGACGTACAATTCTAGGGTTTTTTTGGAATACCCAGCATGAAACACGCCAAAATGTTGACTGGCGTCGTTTTGATGGCAGCTGCTGCGGCAGAAGACTTGACCCAACATGTGGATGTGTTGTAGGTTACCTTTTCCAGACTTCCAATTCACTTCACAATCCAGGGAAGAGCTAATAATTTTCTAAGTATGGGAACAGAAAATGGTGGAAATGACTTTCCTGGCGCAGTACGACCCTTTGGTATGGTCAAGCTAGGGCCTGATCTATACCTCTCCGGTACGGACGCATACTCCGGTTATCTCCCCGATGGCAATTTCTCCGGGTTCAGTATGATGCATGAGCAAGGAACCGGTGGAGCACCGAAATATGGGACAGTCTCGCAATTACCATTAATTGGTAACATCACTGACCCTTTATCGAATATCACTGTATCCCGCAGTGGCACCGATACTGGCTCGGTGGGATACTATAAGGCTGAGACGGGAGATGGGGTTGAGGTTGAGCTGAGTGCTTCAAAGAGAGCAGGTATCTATCGGTATAACTTTCCCTCTGGATCCACGGGTAATGTACTCGTTGATGTTTCACATGTCTTGCCTTCGTCCCGTGGGCAGGGTCTCAGTCAACATTATCGAGGTGGAAATATTACTGTCTTCAGTGATGGCCATTATGAAGGAGCTGGTATATATGACAATGGATGGAATGAGGCACCAGATTGGACTATTTACTTCTGTACGTTCAATGTTTCATCTCAAGTTTTGTTGGAGACTCGGACGATTCTGACTTTTTCCAGGTGGATATTTTGATTCTACTGCCACAAGCAACAAGACATACACAGCAACGGGTGCAGATACGAGCGTTGAGCAAGACAATGGTTTTGCGTCATCTTCTTCAAACTACACGCGCATTGGGGCGCTCTTTTCCTTCAGTGACAGTGAGGTTATCTCCCGAGTGGGAATCTCCTGGATCTCTCCAGAGAAAGCCTGCAACAACGTCAAATCCGAGATTCCAGAAGACACAGAATTTGAGTCAGTTGTCGACGATGCAGTCGATGAATGGAACACCGAAGTTCTGTCAAAGATCACTACAACCAACACCAACGAGACCAGCCTCACTTTGCTGTATACCTCTCTTTACTTCATGCATCTGATCCCCACCAACCAGACTGGAGAGAACCCATACTGGTCATCATCTGAACCCTACTACCAGGACATCTTCACATTCTGGGTAAGAAATCCCCACATTTTGCCTTGTCACAGAAACTCATCTCACCATGTCACACAGGACCTCTTCCGCTGCTCCACTGCCTTAATGCAAGTCCTTCAGCCAACCTCATACGAGGAACAAATCCGCTCCTTAATCGACATTTGGCGAAACGTCGGCTACATGCCTGACGCCCGAAGTTCAAACTACAATGGCCGAAGCCAAGGCGGATCCAACGCAGACAACGTCCTCGCCGACGCCTACGTGAAGGGTGTGCGCGGCTCCGTAAACTGGGAAGACGGATACAAAGCCATGGTAAAGGACGCCGAGGTAACACCCGTGAACTATCCAATTGACTGGATGGCACCCGACTCCTCAACGCACGATGGACGCAGTGCGCTTCCGGACTGGTTGGAATATGGATACATTACACCAAACTTTAGTCGGGCGGTTAGTCGTGCGGTTGAGTACGCCTATAACGATTTTGGACTCTACCAAGTTGCTTCGGGACTTGGGAAGACAGATGATGCAGAGAAGTATTTGAATCGGTCGCGGAATTGGCGCAATCATTGGAATCCTGAAGTCACTTCATTGGGATACTCTGGTTTCGTGGTTCCGCGTAATACGACCGGGTTTGTTGAAACGGATCCCTTGACTGATAGTGGGTACTGGGGTGACCCTTACTATGAGGCTAGTTCTTGGGCATACTCTTTTGCGGATGTGCATGATATGGGTCATATGATTGAGTTGATGGGTGGGAATGAGACTGTTGTCTCGCGACTGGATACTATGTTTACTGAAGGAGCCAGTGGGTCGAGTGGGACTATTTTTGACCCGACCAACGAACCGTAAGTGGAATATCTTTGATACAGCTGGAAGTGCAGGATTCTAATCTGGATAGGATGTTCAATCTTCCCTATTTGTACAACTTTGTTGGTCGACAGGACCTGGCGGTCTCGCGATCTCGAAAGGTTGCCAAAGAGGACTATACCACTGGTGTCTCTGGTCTACCGGGTAACAGTGATGCAGGAGCCATGCAGACCTGGTTACTTTGGAACATGATCGGTCTGTATCCGATCACTGGTCAGACGACATTCCTGATTCACTCACCCTGGTTTGAGTCGATGACTATTGATCTGGGTGGTAATAAGACACTCCAGATCACCTCAACAGGTGGAGATGGCAATGGTGACAGCGACATCTATGTTCAGAGTCTCAAGGTCAATGGCCAGGCCTGGACGAATAACTGGTTGACCTGGGATGATATCTTTGCAGAGGGAGGTACGTTGGAGTTTGAACTCGGAGCAACTGCAGTGAATTGGACGACTGGTGCATTGCCGCCGAGTCCTGCATCTTAGGATCTGGGAATTGCATAGCAATCCTCCGAGTCGGATGTCACTACGGACTTTTGATTCCTTTGGGATTTGTTTCATGTATATAGATCATTATTTTCATGTCGATATTAACGCCTAACGTCTAAGCACAAACTTGAAGCACATTTTCAATCAGGTTGAACTTGACTATTCATTTTATTATTTTCATCATCAATCCACAATTTAAATATTTTAATTTCAAGGTAAATTTCAATTTACTACTAAAATATGATAAATGTCTGCCCCTTTTTAGCTGCAAATTGAACTGGGCCCAGGCCAGAACGAGGTTACAGTCCGCATTCGGATTCTCAAAACAGACAATATTGGCACATATGATTATACGTTGTATATTCAGCTCTAATTAAGATAATAAGTAGGATTAATATAATAAAAATGAATGAAATAATAAATGCCATTATTAATCTTAACTCAACAAAAAGTAGGCAGAACAAGTTGAAAAGTGGGCAGTCCAGACTTCAGAGGGGCCCGAGCTCTAATCCCCTCAGTAGCTCAAACAGCCAATCATCCCAAGAACGAAAGGTTGAGGGGTTGATGTCACCTTCTCCTCCTTCAATATTCTCTCTTTTTCTCTTTCATCTTCTCTGTCAAGAAAAATATGGCTTCCATCGATTCTACAGATTTCCCTACTGATGGCACAGGTAAGACTAAAGCTCATAACAATTGATCTTATCCCGATTCCCGGGACGTCATCGCTGATAAGCTACCCCAGGTGTCATTAAGCTTGATCCGTGGCTGGAACCTCACCGTGAGACATTAAAGCATAGGTACAGCTTGGTCAAGAAATGGGCCGACGATATTGAGAAGTCCGAAGGTGGACTTGACAAGTTTAGCAAGGTATTCACCACTCTTATCAGTACCGGGATTCGGAGCTACCAGTTGGATGCAACTGACGAGCTAACACGCCACACGCTTGCTTCGGAATAGGGATATGAGTCCTTTGGTATTCACGCACAGCCAAATGGCGAGATCAATTATCGCGAATGGGCGCCCAATGCGGTCGAGGCGTCCTTGGTGGGAGATTTCAGTACGTCTACTCTTACATGGAGCTGCGACATGAGCACCTGAGCACCAGCACTGACATTACCAGATAACTGGGATACCAACGCCAACCAAATGACCAAGGATAACTTCGGTGTGTGGAGTGTGACTGTCCCTTCCAAGGACGAAGCTCCAGCTATTCCCCATGCTAGCAAGATTAAGGTAAGCACACAAGCTTGGAGCATCCGCTGGATTTAATACTAATTGCTGTTCCATTTTGAAGATCACAATGGTTCTCCCCAACGGCGAACGCATCTACCGAATCCCAGCATGGATCAAGCGCGTCGTTCAAGATCTTGACGTCTCCCCAACATACGACGCCGTATTTTGGAACCCACCTGCCGACCAACTGTACAAGTTCAAGCACACACGGCCCAAGAAGCCCGAGAGCCTGCGAATCTACGAAGCCCACGTTGGAATTTCATCCCCAGAGACACGGGTCACCACCTATAAAGAGTTCACAGCGAGTATGCTACCTCGCATTAAGTATCTGGGCTACAACGCCATCCAGCTGATGGCGATTATGGAGCACGCGTACTATGCCAGCTTCGGCTACCAGGTGAATAACTTCTTCGCGGCAAGCAGTCGTTACGGGTCTCCTGAAGACCTGAAGGAGCTTATTGATACTGCACACAGCTTGGGGCTGGTTGTTCTGCTTGATGTGGTGCATAGTCATGCGTCGAAGAACGTTCTCGATGGTATCAACATGTTCGATGGATCTGATCATCTCTACTTCCATGCGGGTGGTAAGGGTCGTCATGAACTCTGGGATAGTCGTTTGTTCAACTATGGTAATCACGAAGTGCTGCGGTTCCTCTTGAGTAACCTTCGCTTCTGGATGGAGGAGTACCAGTTTGATGGATTCCGTTTCGATGGAGTGACTAGCATGCTCTATCAACACCACGGGATTGGAACGTACGTGATCCTTTTTCTCAGATTCTACCCAGTCATCGTTTCTTCCCATACCTGCTTCAAGAGCTTCTGCTAATATTGACTCACAGCGGCTTTTCTGGTGGATATCATGAATACTTCGGACCATCCGTCGACGACGAGGGTGTCACATATCTCACTCTCGCCAATGAAATGCTGCACAAACTCTACCCCGACTGCATCACCGTAGCGGAAGATGTCTCCGGCATGCCAGCACTCTGTCTTCCGCATGCACTCGGCGGTGTTGGCTTCGACTACCGACTCGCAATGGCCATCCCCGACATGTACATCAAGCTTCTGAAAGAGAAGAAGGACGATGAGTGGGATATCGGTAACCTATCACACACATTGGTCAACCGACGTCACGGTGAGAAGACAATCGCCTATGCTGAGAGTCACGACCAAGCGTAAGTCGAACCACAGCATACCACCCCTTCTCCCATTCTCAACTCATTCACTAATAATCACAGTCTGGTCGGTGACAAAACCCTCATGATGTGGCTCTGCGACAAAGAAATGTACACCAACATGTCCGTACTCACCGAGTTCACACCCATCATCGAGCGTGGCATGGCAATGCACAAGATGATCCGTCTAGTAACCCACGCTCTTGGAGGCGAGGGATACCTCAACTTCGAAGGTAACGAATTCGGACATCCAGAATGGCTTGATTTCCCACGAGCAGGAAACAATAATTCATTCTGGTACGCTCGTCGCCAGCTCAACCTAACCGAAGACGAACTCCTTCGGTACAAATTCCTTAACGAGTTTGATCGTGGTATGCAGCTTACAGAGGAGAAGTATGGCTGGTTACATGCTGCACAGGCATATATCAGTCTCAAGCATGAGGGTGATAAGGTGCTTGTCTTTGAGCGTGCGGGATTACTTTGGATCTTTAATTTCCATCCTACCAATTCGTTCACGGATTATCGGGTTGGTGTTGATGTTCCTGGTACTTACCGTATTGTGCTCGATACAGATGATAAGGAGTTTGGAGGACTGGGAAGAAATGTTAAGGATACGAGGTTCTTTACGACTGATATGCCTTGGAATGGAAGAGCCAACTTCACCCAGGTTTATATTCCTACTAGGACTGCTTTGGTGAGTATCCAATCCGTTTCTTTACAATCTCCTTGTTCCTAGTGCCTTGCTAATATCTTGTGTAGGTCCTGGCTTTGGAATCCACCTTGTAAGGTTGCCGGAGTGGTGGATACGAATCTCATTTCAGTGTAGCCATACATGGAGACCGCATGATTTGAAGCAATGTGAGCGGTAGTTAATACATACTAGAATGATACATTTGATTATCTTGAGGACAATTCCAAACAACCAGTAGATTGATCCTTTCGTAGCAAGTACTAAGCACTTGATACAACGTGGAGGGCACTGGCAGTAACGTACGTTAGTGAACCTCCCCATGATGACGGTGATTCATGCCACAGATGCTATTGCTCAGGCATCTTCAGCCTAGATACTTCGACTACTACTATGATAACTACAGAAATGGATAATTCACAAAGGAAAATACAATTGAACACCAAGATTTCTCAGGGCCGCCTCGCAAGGCCATGGTTTTCAACTCTAAATACACAATAATGAAACATAAGCCAGCCAGACGGTATTTCGGGGGTTGCATATCCGACCAGGCTTTTAAATTCTCCAGGAAAAGAGGGTAATCTCATCAAATCGCTCAGTTAGACATGACACGTCATATCTAAAACCCTCATCCAAGACACACACTTGCAATCCTTCCTCCAAGTTCCTCACCTGGCACAACCGTCCTTTTCACTTCTCTTCGTATCCAATCACAATTCCAACCGTTTCATCCCCAGGTCCAAGTCCAGATCGGAATCCATAGACCCAATTTGTCAAGCCCCGTTTCCAGGGCGACATTCTTTAAGTATAGATCGAACCAGTCTTCGGACTCACAACGCAAGAACTCCCAGACGACATCAGACAGAAACATAGAAAACCCGAATCGAAGAAATCGACAATCAAATTCTCTTGAGTCGCTGTTTCACGTTTAGATCGAGTATTATACACGCATCCGAAGAGGAAATGATGTCGAATGGGAGGTGGTTAAGAGAAGAAGACCAAGTTCAAACAAAGGAAAAAATAAGACCCGGACCACAAGAGAGATAAGAGAGGAAGAGGGAGAGAGGACATAGAAGAAAGTAAAAGAAACAGTGTTTGAGGCTAGAATATGGCGCGAAGATTTGTAGAGGGAGGATGAGGGTTTGAGAAGGACGCCGCTACCTAGCACATGACAAAATTACATTTAAGCAGAGCCCTCAAGCTCAGCCAGAATCTTCTCACCCTTGGCACGGGCAGACTCGATGTCACCAACCATGTAGAAGGCGTTCTCGGGGAGGTCATCAGCCTCACCGTTAATGATGGCCTTGAAGGAGCGGATGGTGTCCTTCAGGTCAACGAGGGTACCCTCGATACCAGTGAAAACCTGGGCGACAGCGAAAGGCTGGGACAGGAAACGCTGGAGCTTACGGGCACGCTCGACAGTAAGCTTGTCAGCCTCAGACAACTCATCCATACCCAGAATGGCAATGATATCCTGGAGAGACTTGTACTCCTGGAGCATCTGCTGGACACGGGTGGCAGTGTTGTAGTGGTCGTCACCGATGATACGGGGGTCGAGCATACGGGACTTGGAGTCGAGAGGGTCGACAGCGGGGTAGATACCCAACTCGGAGATACCACGGGACAAGACAGTGGTGGCGTCCAAGTGAGCGAAGGTGGTAGCGGGGGCAGGGTCAGTCAAATCGTCAGCGGGCACGTAGACGGCCTGGACGGAGGTAATGGAACCCTTGTGGGTGGTGGTAATACGCTCCTGCATACCACCCATGTCGACGGCCAGAGTAGGCTGGTAACCGACAGCGGAGGGGATACGACCCAGAAGGGCAGACACCTCGGAACCGGCCTGGGTGAAACGGAAAATGTTGTCAATGAAGAGCAGCACATCCTGACCCTCCTCGTCACGGAAGTACTCGGCAATGGTCAGACCAGTAAGGGCGACACGGGCACGGGCACCGGGGGGCTCGTTCATCTGACCGAAGACCAGAGCGACCTTGGACTCGCCCTCGAGCTGGATGACACCAGTCTCCTGCATCTCGTGGTACAGATCGTTACCCTCACGAGTACGCTCACCGACACCACAGAAAACGGAGTAACCACCGTGGGCCTTGGCAATGTTGTTCTATTAACCACATAGTTAGAATCAAAATGGTCCTGTGGAAAAAGTAGATTCAATGGTGGAAAAACTTACAATCAGCTCCTGAATGAAGACAGTCTTACCGACACCGGCACCACCGAACAGACCAATCTTACCACCACGGGCGTAGGGGGCAAGCAGATCGACGACCTTGATACCAGTGACGAGAATCTCAGCAGAGGTGGACTGCTCAATGAACGCAGGGGGCTCGGCGTGAATGGGGTAGAACTTGGTGGCCTTGACGGGACCACGCTCGTCAATGGGGTCACCAGTGACGTTGATAATACGGCCCAGGGTGCCGGCACCGACGGGGACCTTGATGGGGGCACCAGTGTCGTGAGCGGCAACACCACGGGACAGACCCTCAGTACCTATAGAATTGCGTTAGTAAATTTGAGCGTTTTCGAAATGTAGGCGTGGAAATGTTGTCGGTCCGGCAAGGAGTGGGTCCCCCTTTCTGTTGAGTAGGGACGACACGGTGGCCGATGACGGTGAAAATTGATGGGAGAATGGAAGGGATAGCTTACCGTCCATGGCAATAGTACGGACGACATTCTCACCCAGATGTTGCTATAGTAAGAGGTTAGTTTGTGGCGTTTAAGGGGGAACCAATCAATGAAGTCACATACAGCAACCTCCAGGACGAGCTTCTGGCCGTTGTTGGTGGTCTCAATGGCGTTCAGAATGGCAGGGAGCTTGTCACCCTCGAACTTGACTATTAAATCGCAGAAAGAAAGTCAGAAATTGATCCAGAGGGATGTTTGGCATCGATTGCGATGGGTTTAGGGATGAATCGAGGCCCAGGAAAAAGATTTTCGCGATGCCTCGGATGGATCCAGGAGTCGAGCACGTACTGTCAACGACGGCACCAATAACCTGGTGAACCTTTCCGGCCTGAGTAGCCTCGGAGCTGGCGAAGCGGGCAGTCAAAGCAGGCAGGGCATTGGCGCGAAGAGCGCGGGCGACGGGGGTCGGCCGGGCAAAGGCAGCCCTCCCGAAGGTCCGGGCGAGACCGCTAAGAAAACGCGAGTTAGGATGTGAAAAAATTGTTGAAAAGTAGGAAAATGGCGAGCGGGCGACGATGTGGGGTAAAATTTGGCGTTGACATACCTCTTGAACATGATGAAGGTGTTGAAGAGCGAGGTGGTATTAAAGGGTAAGAAGGGTGTGGATGGAGGAAAAGAGGGAAGAAGAGGAATGGGAAGAGGTTGGTGGACTCGCACGGGAACTGGGCGCCCTTAGCCTTTCCGGGGCGGTTTTGCCGATGGTCCCGTGATGAACCGACAACGGAGTATCACATAACATAGTGAGTATAAATATTAACATTTATTTATTCTAAGTTTGTTACTTTTATTTTCTAGTTCATAATTTTCAAATTTTAATACATCTTCCACTTTATCAAATTGGTTGTGGTTATACTCTTCAATTTTCCCGTTGCTAGGGTATTCGCACGACTCTTCACCGGCCGGCTTGGCATCCGAAAGCAGGGTCAAGCTTGTACTGGAGAAACTATTTATTTAACTTGAGCTACTATTAAAATTGACATTTTATTACTTGTCAACAATTCTCTTTTTCTTCAGATACCACTATTTAACCAATTGATCTATTCCTCGGATGTGTTGCTTATACTGCTCACAAGCTCTTCCCCTGCATGAGCTTCCCCAGTAGAAATCTCTGACGTGTGGTCCCGGAGCCCTCACCCACTCTTTTCCGAATGGTATGAGAGAGAACCTTGGAAGTCAACACCGCCATTCTTAGAGTACCATAGAGAACACGAAATATCATATCAAAAAATTCCAAATTTATATCTCTAGTTTTTCTTACCGCTTCTACCCTCTATACCCTACTAGACAAGTGTCAATGGGTCAACGCGGCACACAGACAGGGGTTCTCCGCACCAGCTTTCCAGGTTCCGAATCGCTCCGGGTTACCCAACGCCTTGACCTGCTGGAGGTGCATTGGCGCCAGGTCAATGTGATTATGCACGAATGAAAATGAAATAATAGATTCAAATGATTTGACCAACAAAAAAAATATAAGAAACAGAGAACCCAACATATTTCTCTATGGCTACAAAAGAGATACATTGATTATAGCACAAGTACGGGATACACGCATTTTCAGATGCTGGTCGACCAGAACGACGACAAAAAAACGGAAATGATAAACAAGTTCAGTCCAACGTTAAAGCGGGGGTGGCGTCATCCATCGAGGAAACATGGCCAGCCGCATGAGGCCTATAGCTTCAGGGAAAATCGAATCATTCTCAGAATAGAGATCTCGTATACGGAGGATCCCAGCCCCGTTCAACACTGATATCTGTACCTTGTTCACCCCAAATCAAGGTCAAAAGAGCATCTATGACTTCTCGAGAGGAGGGCTCTGAACAAAGCCCTTGCCCTCGTAACCAGGCTTGCTGATACCGTGGATGGGGTTGATCTTCTCGGACTATGAAAAAGGAAGAAACAAAAGGTCAGCACCCGGTTAACGAACAGAAAAGTGATATCTGGCTCAGTATCCAGATTCCATCGATAAAATTCAATACATACCAGAGCGTACTCGTTGGAGGCCTCCTGCCACTCCTTGGACATGGTCTTGGGCTGGGGCTTGGCGAACAGGTGGACGGCGTAGAACAGAGCAAAGGAGACGAGAGTGAGCTGGGTGACCTTGAAGAGGATCTTCCAGCCCTCACCCTTGGGAGTCTGGGCACGGGGGCCGTGGGGACCGAAGGCAATCCAGTAAGCTATCAATTAATATATGTCAGCATCAAAAGCCGATATTGAAAAAATGTCGTATGATATCGGGGGGGTATCCTGGGATCCTGGGGTAGGCTAGAATCGCCCCTCGGAAGTGGTAGGATTGATGAAAATCGAGGCAAAAATTCAACACAAGCCATTCGCAAGGATTAACGTACCGGCCTTCTTCTCCTGGAGGGTCATCTGGTGCCAGTCGACCTTCATGCGGTCACGGAGAGACATCCAGAGCTCGGCCTGCTCCTGAGGGGGCATACCCTCCCAACGCTTCTCAATGCTGGCGAGAGTAGGGTTGGCAATGGCATGGTCGGAAGCGAAACGGCTCTGCAGGGCGTTCAGGGAAGCAATTGGGCTAGGACGGATAGAGGCCTGGGCGCGAGGAACCGCGCGAGCGATGGAGCGAAGAAACATTGTGCGGAAGGTGGGAGGTGGCAGCACCACGTCGAAAATATGACAATTGATGATTAAAATGATAAACCGGGGCCAGCAGAGCCAGGGGAGCACGAGAGCCTCGACTGGGGAAGAGAGTGGAGGGGGTGGTGGGTGTGGGTAGAGAAGACTGAAGTTGCTGTGGTTTGAGGTGGAAAGACGAGAATCCGGACTAGCGCTGTTCTGGGTTTAGCTGGACTCTGATTGGGTCGTGTTGGCCACACCCGGTCTTCGGCTGATTAAAGGCGGACAGGCTCATTCGTTATGACGCTCTCTACTACAACTCAAGTGCATGATCTAGGTATATTTCAAAGACTGTAGTATTCAAATGTTATATTGAAGAATAAATATGACGGTAGAATAAAGTCCACTCTAATATTGAAGCTCGTGCAGGAATAACTCAGGGAAAATATTTCGGTCGCATCAACTTGAAACTACCAGTATCTACTCATGCTTATACTACCACTACAGCTTGCAAAGACTTAAAATGAACCCTCATAAATAATAACAGAATGGTGGTCAGATTGCCTAAATACTACTCTACATCAAAACCACCTTAAAGATCAGTTTTTTCAGCCCATTGCCACCCGTCATATCTCTATACCACAGATAGCAGAAGCTTGATTTCAAACAACCACCATCACAGCAGCCATGGAAACCGCTCAAAAGATCAGCAAACATGAGAATGGCCTCCCAAAGAACAAAGAGGCAAGAAAAAAAAATAAGAAAGCCGAGTCGTGACGGTCTTTGCATTGCAACTAGGAGAGAAACGATGATTGTGCAGAGAGAAGAAAAAGGGTTATGGATTGATCGTGCCGTAACGGGGAATCTCCTTTGGAATCCCTATTGATCGCATGACCCGGACCCAGCCGGCGTCATTTATTTAGCCTTGCCACCGCTGGCCTCCTTCAGGACGGCCTTCCACTCAATGTCGCTCTTGTCGTCGGCGTGGAGGGAGGTGGCAACGTTGAGAGCATTCTTGAGGTTCTCACGGGTGGAGGCGTAGATCATGGACAACTGAAGATATGTTAGTCAATTCTTATATGGAAAGCTAATTTCCTAATAGCTGAAAGCATCGTAATCAATATTTCATATACATACCCTGGTGGGGGTGTCGGAGGGAACCCAGGAGATGAAGATAATCTTGCTTCTACACATTCAATAATATGTCAGTCAGAGGCTTAAATTGACGATGGAAGAGTTGGAACGAAAGAATCTTCTTACCGCTTGCCCTCACCACCGCCGAGGTCGTACTCAACATCGTAGACAGCGTAGCGAGGCACAGGGTTGCCGGCAGCATCCTTGGAGTTGTCGAGAGCAGTGCGGAAGACTTCATAGTCCTGGTCCTGCTCGCTACCGGTCTTGTCAAGAACAACGGTCTTCTTGTCGTCGGAAATCTTGAAGATGAGGAACTTGGTCTTGCCGTGGCTCAGACGGAACTCGTTGAATGCAGTGATGCACTCATCGGCAATGGAAACACTGCGGGGGCGAAAGTCAATACTTAGGGGAACGGAAGGAGGGGAGGTCGTTGGCGGTCGTACCCAGATGCGAGCTGCGCAGTAATATAGTTAGCATTTGAGCAATTCGTTCAGATGGGAATTCCGATATACATACAGACATGGTTGCTGCGGATGAGAGAAGACAAGAAAAAAAGGGGAAAGATGACGGAGGCCTAGAGCGGGCGCACGATGTCAGTGGCTTGAGTTATTGAAATGGTCTCATATTTTTATGAGACTGTTGCGATCGCCTCTATGGATCTCATTTGGAGATGCCATAGACTTACAAAGAACCAAGGGTAAGGGAAAACTCACGGAGCAATGGGGTGTGATGGTGAGGAGGCGGAGGGGTTGTTGCCCAGGTGTTGCGATAGTGGGGGGGCGACTGCACGTGATGTTGGACCGTCTTTTGTTGACAATAAACAAACCAGAATTATCAAGTATTAATGATTTAGATAAAAGATTTTGAGAGATTTCTGCTCTTTTTAAACTCGAATTTCTCCTACTGACTTTCTATGTACATTGATCAGGCATCCGTGGTGTTTGTTGGCAGCCTAGAGAATCAGATTCATACCAACTCATACCTCTTGACAATATTGAGTAAGGTTGTCCGAAATCACACCACCTGGTATTAAGGCCTTCTGCATGTGATACTTAAAAAGCAGAAATCCATATCTAGAAGATATCTAGTAATCAGTTTGGGCATTCTCCCAGGTCACGGAATACCCATCTTCGATCCTAAGTAGTACTGATACACTACTATATTTGGACCTGAGCCCTCAACCATGGAACTGATATCGTCCCAACACGTCACTGCCCCTCTGAATCTTCTGTACGAAATCCACCACTTAGAACCCATGAAAAATTCATAACACATCATATTTCATATCTAACTGAAGCCTGAATATTTCATCATCACCAGTATGAATGATAACAGTCTCACTTTCAGGCAGAAAAGCAAGAAAATCAGCTAAAGAAAAAAAAGTTGTAGCCTATCAACCTAGATCTTAGGAGCATAACGAGAGCGTGTTCGGTCCGCAATGACCTTCAGGTCAAAGATGAAGTTCACGCTCTCCTCCGCAACGGTAGCCTCGGCCCAACGCTTGAATCGTGGTGCCTGTGCCTCCAGCAGAGCAGGCAGCTTGGCACTAATCAATCCATGCTCGGGCTTTGTGAAGCCCAAGACACGAATCAAGAAGGATCCAGTTTGGACCTAGAAGAAGATGTCAGCACCATATCAGACCAATCATATTGATTCAGGCATAAAGGGCGTAGAGATAAGGGAAACATACCTCAGCGAGAGTAATCTTCTCGTTGCCTCCAAAGAAAGGACCCTTGCCGTCTGTATCCGCCAGAAGAGGCTCAATCTCTTTTACGACAGCAGCGACGAATGCCTCACCATGGGCATCACGCTCCTCTTCAGAAGCAGAGCGCAAGCTAGCAGTGAAATGAGGCTGAACCTTGCTGAAATATGCATCAACGAAGAATGCGACTCGAGCACGGAAGAGCGCATTCTCGGCAGGACCCGATGGGGGGAGGAGGGTGGAGGGGTGAGCGTCAGAGAGGAACTGGGCGACAATGCCAGATTCAGTGATCACATTGCCGTTGTATGAGAGACTGGGAACGAGGCCACGCTAAATGAAATAAAGAGCTCGAAATTAGCTTTCTTGCATTCAAATTGCGGGGGTGGGGGAAAGCTGCAGTCGCAATGTGCAGCTCTAGAGCCTGCATCCCATGCAGAAGGGTGTAGCAGGAGATGGCTTACAGGGTTGACCTCCAGATACCAAGGTTCACGAGGTGTGTTCAGATCAATGGTAACCTCTTCATATTCGAGGCCCAGCTCGTTGAGAGCAATGTGAGCACGGTGAGCCCAAGGGCACAGACGGCTGGTGTAGAGGATGATTTTGGGAGCAGACATGATGGTTCAGGTGGTGATGGTCAATGGAAAGAGAATTGGTATCGAGGGGCAGAACAGACGTTTTAAGAGTAACTAAGACGCCATCATTTATTGTATCGCGAAATCCGAGAGGGGCTTTTTGGATTAGTAAAAGCCCAAATGGCGAAATCACTGCCGATATCCCCGACTCCGGGTAAGTCCTGTCGAGAATGTGGGGATGTCCAAACTTATCGGTACTTGAGGTTGGGTACTTGACCATGGAACATAGTGGATCAATCCCCATTTATATTCATACTTCAATGTTCAGATATTCAAAGGCCAACTTTTGAAATGAGATTAGAGTCTAATTATGTACATACATTAATGCGTGCACTAGATGTATCCGATATCCTCAAACAACGAGAAAACAGGAGGAGCAAAGTATTGATGTACAATAAGAAGACAACTCGAGTTCAAAGTCAGCATTGCGTGATGGCCTTGCTTGTTGCGCCAGCATCCGGTTCCACAGGAATCGGTGAAATCCCAAGAATAGAAGATGGGAGGGGAAAATAAGTAGAAAAATAAAAGTAATAAGAAGGAAAGAGACGAGCAGCTCGATCGCCGTAAAATGGGGGGTATATAGAATACGAGTAAAAAAAAAAAACGCAAAAACACAATCATCCCACGAGAAATGGAATCAACCCATGAGGTCGTTGGGCAAAGGGGGGAGAGTTTATGGAGAGAGATGAGGGAGGTGGGTGAGGTGAGGGACTCGGCCAGCCTGAGGGAAAAATCACCGGTCAACTTTCTCGCGTAATGCTAGCACGATGCGAGAGAATGCACACGCTGTCGTCAAGGCGTTAAGTTCGCATGAAACAAGGGAATTTTCCCTTAGCGCTCAATACTCATCTTCTTCCTCCGGAACACCGCCGTCAATGATCGTGCGCCAGTGCTGTGGGAGACAAATGCAGACCAATGGGAAAGCCTTGATCTCACCAGAAGGTGCTGGTGACGAGCCTGGTCTTTTTGATCCATGAGAGACACCGCTGTCGCGTTGCTCGCGATGGCGAATATCATAATCTTCAGCGCGCTCGTGGACGCGTACTCCCGTGGCCCAGCCATCGTCCCAGATGCCAATCACCTTAAGCATCTCACCTCGATCTAATTCAAACTCATCCCCGGCCCGCGGAGAATATGCCCATAGAACAGCCACATGGTCGCCGGGTTGAATATCGTCCTGTGAGTAGTAGTCCCGGAAGTAGGACAATTGCTCTGACTGACCACTAGTCACCGCTTCAGGGGATGAGTATTGACCAATGGTTCCTGACCGAGGGGAGCTATCGCTGTCCAGTCCAGCCAGAGCAGAGCTACTTGAAAGTGAACCATGACGCTTACCAGTCACAGGAGGAATCCTCTTAGACATGGCTCCTGGGCTAGCGCCCATTCCTTCTGAATCAGATGTATCACTGTACTTGGCAGCAAACATTGCACCGGATGTTCGTGATTGGGCGGGGGAAGAGCTGGGCATTTCGCGCAAGGCGGACATGCGTGCCACACGACCACCTGGAACAACATTGAATGCTGCAGCTGTCGGGCTTTCCGCTTGCTGCATGGGTGGCGTGGCGCCTTTCCGTTGGGGATTCGGCTGATTCAGGCTGACAGCATCGGTCTGCGACCGACGACGACGACGACGACAGATGAAAAGCAAGAAAATCAAAGCGGCCAATATGGCGGCCCCTGCGACAGAGCCAATCACAATTCCCGCAATGGCACCCTTCGATAGCCCACTACTACCATTGCTAGCGTTGGATCCGGCAGTCGAGCTGCTTGTCACGACGGGTTGAATGGATGCGGTCGAAGAAGGAATGGTAACATTTTCGCAGACAGTGGTGGCGTTGGCCTTGGTACAGCATGAGTCGCTTTCAGAATCACAGTATGTGCAGAGTCCGATCGTATTGTTGGCGAAGCCACAGTTATCAGGCTCATTTGTGGCTCCCTCCACACAGCTTCCAGTTAATGAGTCTGCGGGTGATGCACAGATAGTGAAATCAGATCGAATTTGAGACATGTAATTGCTGGCGTGACTCGAGCAGAGGTTGGAGTTGACAATAATCTCTTCCTCGCTAGTCGCCATCAACGCGCATGTATCCGCGCATATCGGGTCGGATTGATCGGAGCTTAGGCCGCAATCATCAATTGAGCTTTGAATAATACTACTGCAGAGAACGCTGACAGTATATTGCGCGTAGTAGTCGTTCAATACGCTCTGATTAAGACCCGTACAGCCCAAGGTATCGACATATCTACACATATGTCAGCTTTGTCCTCGAGTCCAGCCACCCTTCCTTCGTTGTCTCTTCTCGTTTCAAAGCGACTTACTTGGAGGTCACATAGCTTGATGAGACATAGTTCTTGAGAGACTTGTCGAATGATGTGACATTAGAGACGGATTCCATCCATGGACTAGATAGAAATGTTTTGTCAGCGCGTTCTCGGGACTATGAAAACATTGGGATATCACTCACAAGTCAGCATATTGACTTGAATTTGTCGAAACCATGGATGTACTCCAAGCGGAGCATAATGACGAGTTGGAAAGCGAGATGCAACTCATATTGGGCGAAAATCCTCCGAGCGACCCAAGTTCTGTCCAAGAATGTTGTCGCAGATTGTGTCAGATCTCCAGAGTCGGGCTTTATTGTCGCATATCTCTTCCGATAGGTTTGTGTTTTTTGTTGAGTTTTGTTTTGTGTTTTTCTTAGAATCGGTTGGTCGGTAAAAGAAAGACCCCAGGTCCTCCGAAATATGTGCTTCGAGCTTGCAGAAAGAAAAAGGGACGCAAAATGAATTGGGAGGTTAAACGAGTGGCTTTCGGGACCGACGATGCCGTGGGGGACCCGCAAAAGGAAAGATCAATCGAGCCCCGGGGGTGCTCTTCAGATCAAGAACTGAATGAACAAAAAACGAATGGAAAGAGAATGACCAATTGAGGGGAGAAAGAGAAGAGGAAGTTCTGAGTGGTCTGGGCTTCGAAGGTTAGAGGGGGGGCTAAGCCAAGTTAACCCAGTCAAAGGGGTGCGCGCGCAAGATGAGACTGAACCAAACGGGAAAGCGCCGAGTTGAAACTTTTTGCAGTTTAGCGTAGGAGTTTAGAGGAATTGGATTCAGGTACGCATGGGGGATCTTAGTTCAAATTTCCTTTCTTTTTTTCTTTTTTTCTTTTTTTCTCCCCAGCGTTCGATTCACCATGTTTACCGTACATCTATACCGAAAAGGGGTTAACGGCCTCGGATACGAATTACTCCCACAATTAGATGGGGGAAAAGGGGGCTTGTTTCATATAGGGTTATCCGGCCACTCAATATTATTCTCCTTCTTTCTTATCATTCAATAATGGTTCTCAAGCTCAAGGGTTTCCAAGTGCGGAGTACCGATCATGGTATTAAGGTATCAAAAGCTATGTTTACCATCAGGTACTCCGTTCAATCCGTACTTTGCGACCCGAAGTGTCCGAATGGAGACTTGACACCAACGTTGATTGGCGCTGTTCCTGGTCTTCCACCAAGTCTAGTCCACTCTGGTATCTGGTGTACCAGCCTCGCTTGGGACCCGTTACCCGGCGATCGCTATCTCTTGCTCCCGTGTACAATTTCTGCGATCTTGGGCGAACGGTGCGAACATCTGGTTAATTGTCCGAGCTCCCTTACATCATGCACGCGAGACGAGCCGACGTAAGCTCTGCGAGAGACGGCCCTTCCTGCGGGGGGGCGAGACATAAAATGAGATACATAAGCCAAGGACCTATGGATGTATTGAATGAAATGGATATGTAGGCAAACACTGGCATGATTCTGCCTCGCATAATCTTCACTCGGAGATATAACCAGCTTTCATCTGTATGTAAAAGGGTGAATAGGTAATAAAAAACTCTAAACACTATTCATCTGATATACAGATTGGGACTTCCAACCTTCGAGCGCTTGAGGTCATAAATTCGTACTCCGTACTCCGTAGCTAAAGACACCTTACATGGACGAGGAATTCACTCATTCAAAGGTTGTGTTATGTCCAGGTTTGAAGAAGCTCAAGTCTCAAATTTTGGCTGGCAACAATATTGAATGCAATGACTGATTAAAGTTCCAACCTTGGAATCTACTCGGAGTATCTTTAGTACTGGCATTTCTCTATCAGAATGGTGAGTTACTATATATATACGTGGACCTTGAAATACCCGCTTTGACGCATGCGACGAGTCTGAACCTTGAAATATTGTGAACACCTGGCAGTCGATCACTGCAAAACAGGTCATAGATCAAATTGAAGAGAGATAGATAAAAAAAATGAGAGTAATTCATCTTAATGAAATGTAAACAAAACTGAACGTCGAGTCCTTGGAACGTAACCTCAGGTGTCCATGGATAGATGTATCATCATGTGACCACCGTCATCTGATCCCAGGCTGCCATTTACATGCATGGTCAACCGCATCTCTATTCCCACCAAAAACCTCGACTTTTTGGATTGCTCGAATTCCTCTCGAAACTATCATTCTCTCCCTGCAGGAGATAGACCACAAAAACCCAGAGCTATGTGTAGCTCTGATGTCTTCCTGGCCATCCTGGCCGTCTTCTTCCCACCCATTGCCGGTAAGACCCCCACTCCTTGCGACTGATCCAACAGATCAGAACAGCCAAGTGAACAAGAAATTTTTTTTTTTCACTGACAATATTCCCCCTATTTAGTCTGGATCAAGGCAGGGATCTGCACTGCTGACTCCATCATCAATATCGCCCTGTGTCTACTCGGTTACGTCCCTGGACTGATCCACGCGTGGTATATCATCCTCAAGTATCCAGAGCAGGATTATGACGATGCGGCCTATGAACCTATCCCCGGTGGCTCCAGCCAGCGCCGTGATTTGGAGAACGGCCAAGTGACCTATTACTACGTCTCGCACCAGCCTCCTCAGCGTCAACCCCAACGATCATACGGCACTACAGATGCCCCGGCCCAACAGCCCGCTCAGAATAATCAGCCACAGACTGGAGGCCCCAGTAGCAGTGAGCAGCCAGCAACTGAATCGCGACCCCCACCAACCTACGCCGAGGCTGTGCAAGGGGATCACAAGATACAAACTCAGGATTAGATCAGTGGCGGACAACACGGGTGGGTTCTCTTCGCTATTTCTGGCGTGAACCTTTGCCGCATCAATCTTCCTCTATGATACCTCTATTCTCGTCTATTCGGCTCTTTTGTAATCGGCTTTGGAAATGGATCGTTATGACTTTTACGAAGGAAATGCGTTTGCGTACTTTGGTTTCTTGTTCTCCCACATCATCTCTAAGATATGGCTACTTACCCAGTCTTTTTTTTTTGTTTAATACATGTACTTTGAATATATAATAAAGCACTGGGAAATCGCGACTTCTATCATACCAGTGCTACTATTTTTTCTTATCACCTGGGCAGGAAATCCACCCAAACCTTGGAAGATTTGGATGGATTGGGAGGAGTAGACTAAACCTACCTACTACATACTGTATCTAGTGCCCAGGGAATGATGTCCCCTACTATGTACTGGTATTATCATGTTCCCTTCCAAGATTCTATGTTCTGTTCTGCACATGTGCTGTGATCACATGTGCAATTGATGTTCTCCAGGGCTGTCCTTACCGCGCAGTCCTTACTATAAGATAGTGGACATCTCTATAGATGAATACAAACCTCTTCTCCCCTTTCTTTCTTCTAGGAGGGTCTTTGGGTCTTTCTTTGGTCTCTTATCTAGATATCATTTGGTGTGGTTTGTTGTGCTGGATCGACCCGTGCACCTTGAGTGTACTGCCTAGAGCGTTCCCCTCAAGTGCTCTTCAATACCTCCAGGGCTCCAGTTATTAGAATTGATATGCCCACCAGTCTATGTAGTACCTAGTACATACAAAGTATGTATGTTTAGGGCCCTAGGCCTGGATCATGATGGTTAAATCCATGTTCTGGCTTCCAGTTTGCTCAGGTCCATGGTTATAAGCTGGATCCTAAAGTTTGAATATTCAAATGTTGGAACATTTTGAATGTTTGTTAACTTGAACTTGAAGAGTTCAAGTTTATGTAAATGCATGTGCACACTGCCAGTGGCATTCTCCCATGCATCGAAGAATATGTTCTAGCCCTAAACCTTCCAAGGTTGGAAATATGTTGCTGTTGGATATAGTAGGTAATGTCTTTTCAAACAAGAGTCATTTTCCATCTATGGATTATGTCTACACAGTGAGAAAACACAGAGATGAAGAAGAAGTGAAAAAAGGAGGGAAGGAAGAGGGATAAAAAAACATATCGGAGCGACGCAGCGAACCCGTACTATGAAAGTTGTCCGCGGGTTAGCTGTATCTAATTCTAGGTCGAATTGATTCATTTCTTACATTGATCTCTAAATACCTAGGTAGAACCAAAGGAAAGAGAAGAACGGAGAAAACCACAAAAAGAGAACAAATAGTAAAAACTTTAGATTAAAAATAGGAGAATCTGCGACGAAAGGGTTTCAACAAAAAATCGCTCGAGCGACGCAGGGATCGAACCTGCAGTCTTTGGTACCGGAAACCAACGCGTTACCATTACGCCAGCCGCCCACTGATTATGTAACATGTTCCTTATCCATCCATGGACTTGCCAGGTTGGCATACAGCTTCCAAGACTCCTGGATAGACTGCGGGTACCATAGGTAGGTAGGCAATGTGTTACTATCCTCAGAGAAGAGCTGCTATGTTTGATACTGGTGAGTCACACGGCAATATTATTATCATTTGTCCATTCCAACATTTTAAACATTCGCTATTTATTCAAGCTCCTCTTATCCGCTTCGAATATTCACAGTATGATTGGAGGATGTAGTAGGATACCACATGCCCAGGTGGTCGAAGTATTCAAGTCACAACCTTCGAATGTTGGAATAGCTCTCGGACAAGAAGCCAGAAAGGATGTTTTAAATCACATTCATACAGATACAGACCATAAGTAAAGCCGAGTCAAAGATATGTAGAAACTGTACAAACATAGGACAGATCTCCAAGTCCCCTCAGAGTTCTGATGCATGTGTACCAAGACCATTCGGAGTGATAGGTTGGCGGTCAGTCCCATCTGATAAGCTATCCCACCCGAAACCACCTCGGGATCGTCTCCGTTGCCGGAACCTCGCAACCCAAGCACTCCTCCTGGCCCATGGCCCCAATCTCGGCCATGCAGTCCATGCCATTGCTCTTGAGGCAATCAATCAGATCGAGTATTCATATTTCCCGCACCACAGCTCGACCTGCACGTCTGCATCTCCGCCCGACAGCTCCGAGCCCCGTTCCAGCTAAACCGACACTACGAGCATTTTCAGTCTGCCTGCAATGTCAATTCCGCCAAGAATCCAGTCTTCAGGAAATTCTTGATGGGAGAAACAAAGAAAAGCTCAGTACGGACCCGCAGAACTCGTCTAGCAGTAATGATGCTGCTGTGCCCGATGCTAGAACCCCGTCGGAGGTAGAAGCGGAGAACTCTCGGGCAGCGAATTTCTCCGCAGCTGCGGTAGATCGGAGTGTGGATGATTCTACGATAAAGGGGACTGAGCGAGGTCTTTTGGATCACCTCGAGGCAGAACAGAAGAGAGAAGAAGAGGAACGAACGGGAAGCACGCAAACTCTTAACTCGGAGAGTGAACAGAGTAACGGCGGAGCTGGAGCTGGTGATGGAGCTAGAGAAGGAGGAGCAGGCGGGCTGCCCTCCTATCTCGAGAGCCGAAGATCGAAGCTCTCGAAGCAATTTACTACGATGATGGACAATGTCCAGTCCAATGTCTTCGTAGCGGGACAGCGGTTGAATGACCTTACCGGATACTCGGGCATTGAAGCACTGAAGAAAGAGATCCATGGCCAAGGTATTTACACCAAGACAGCACTCTGACAAAGACAACGAGAAAGTGAATTGAAGGCTGATACTAATAATCCTGTTTAATTGTTTTTAGAAAGCCGCCTTCGTAATGCACGGGCTCAGGTCCGCACCGCGAAAGACGCCTACACCGCCGCCATCAATAACCGCTCTACTTCGCAGCGCGAAGTCAACGAGCTCCTCCAGCGCAAGCACGCTTGGTCAACAACTGATTTGGAACGCTTCACTCTCCTCTACCGCAATGACCATACCAACGAAGTCGCCGAGACAGAATCGCAGGAAGCTCTGTCGCGGGCGGAGCGGGAGGCGGAAGAGGCTGCCGCACAGTTGAGCAAGAGTATTCTCTCTCGTTACCACGAGGAACAGGTCTGGTCGGATAAGATCCGGCGCATGTCTACGTGGGGAACTTGGGGATTGATGGGTGTGAACGTCTTGCTTTTCCTTGTCTTCCAGATTCTCGTGGAGCCATGGCGCCGGCGCCGGCTGGTGAAGGGATTTGAGGATAAGGTTGTTGAGGCATTGGAGAAAGAGAAGGCGATCAACCAGGCTATTCTTGCGAGTAGTGTGGCATCGCTCATTGATACGGAGAAGAGTGTTGATGTTTCAGCCGAGAGCTCGGTTGTTGCTGCATCCACCACCGAAGCACCTAGCAGTGAGAATGTCGAAGTTACTCCCACTGAGACCGAGGTCCAACCCTCGACGCTGCTAGAGACTATGTCCCCCTCGGAGAATCTCTCTCAATCTCTCTATTCCCGCCTCGCTGGAATCTCTCTTCCTCCAATCTCTCTTGAATACTGGCGACAGGCATTGAATGAGCTTCTGAGTGACCGTAGCGTTGCTACTACCCAGCGCGATCTCACCGTGGTTGCTGCGCAGAGCGCTGCAGCTGGTGCAGTCGTCATGGGAGTTCTCATTGCCCTGCTGAAACCGAGGTAGAGTCTTGGCTTGTTGAATTGTGCATGATAACAGATGTATATGAAGAACATCCTCTACCCCATTTGCATGACCCCGTGTGGGTTCTTATCGGTGTTGTGATATAATTTCCTTGATCACCATTTTGTACAGATGAAAATATAGAAATAGTTGGGATTGAACAATGCAATTGTAGTACTATGATGGAAGAGCTCCTTTATAGACCTTTATTCTCACATATAAAAGCTTAAAAATGCATGGCTAGTATGACGCCTTCTAGGCCAATGCATATTAAAGCTATTGTGACGACTCGTAGGACGTTTGGAATATCGAATATCAAACATAGGAAATCTCATGACTAGGCAATACACTGGCAGATATAGAACAAGTATATACTCGAGGAAACCGCGAGACCAAACCAACCAGAAAGTCCCACTGAATCTCCCCAGAATCAAGACTCAGGTCTGCCAAAAGAAAAAGCGAAACCCGTAGACCAAGCCGCAAGACCGAGGGACAAGACCTTGAGAAAAAATGGGGGTGTAAAAAAAAGAGGCTCATTTTTGTCCATATTAAAACACGGTCTCTTAATCTTGACAATGACACACGGCCGCTCTGTCTAAAAGGAAAAATAAATCGAATAACACAAGCACATACATGGAAACACTTCTCATATTTCCTGGTCCCATTCCCATCTCTGGTCTAAACAAAACAAACCCCAGGATAGATCCGGGGGAGGCAGGTAAATGATTTTTTGGAGATCAAAGATTGCTTAACCAATGACAAGGGTCTCATCCTCGGGGAAGGCGTATGCGGGGACCTCCAGGTTCAGAGGGGCAGGGCCCTTTCGGATACGGCCAGAGATATCGTAGTGCGAGCCGTGGCAGGGGCAGAACCAGCCGCCGTAGTCACCAGCCTCGCCAATGGGGACACAACCAAGGTGAGTGCAGACACCTATAGAAGAAAGGCTAGTCAGTCATAGCTCCGTGAATTATCTCGGGTTTTATTTCCCCGGAATATCAAAGTTCACTTACCCAGCATGACCAGCCACTCGGGGCGCTGGACACGGTCGTCATCAGACTGGGGGTCACGCAGAGACTCCCACTTGGTCTCACGGGCCTCATCGATCTCGCTCTGAGTACGGTGACGGATGAAGACGGGCTTACCACGCCACTTAATGATGACCTATAACAGAGTGTTAGGATAGGGTGAAACCGGGTATGATGACGAATTGGAATATCACGTACGTTCTTGCCCTCGGGGATAGCACCAAGAGCAATCTCAACCTTAGCCTGAGCCAGGACATCGGCGGAGGCGGACATGTTGACGAGGAAGTCTGTAGGGGGCGAAAGCACACGGTCAGTCATAAAAGAACTCGGGGATACCAGCCAATCCACCTAATCCACCACTATCGGACGCATTCATTCCTCTATTTCCTTGAAACTCTCTCATAATATCCGTATATCTCTCGAACCGCGACAGAATGGAAGAAAAACCTACCCTGAACAGTAGCCTTGGCACCGACGGCGGTAGCCAGACCCATGGTGCCAGCCATGAAGTAGGAGAAGACCTGGTTGGTACGGGGAGAAGAGTTGGACTTGTATTTGCTGAAGTTGGGGATCTTCACGGTGGAGCCACGCTCGCCGGCGTTGACGAAGGGGCTGTCGAAGGATGTCTTCGCATCCGCGACTCCCCTCCGCTGCTGGCAGGAGGTGACGGCGGCGCGGGCGGTAGGCAGCTGCTGGCGGGCGCAGGTGCGCAGCAGAGTGCTGGAAGCGGAGGAGAGCGACATTGTTATGGCAATTGACCACTGGAGGAGGGGAGGTGAGACCGCGGCGTTGCGTGGAGAGCGAAGGTAGGGAGTGGATGAAGCCGGGATGAAGTTGGAGCCAGAGCTTTCGCTAGAGATCGGAATCACGGGGCTTGTCATTGGCTGATGCGGGCCGGGTGAACTCGAATACTGTACCAGGTCATGTGATCTACTATAAAATCAACTTCATGTCATTTCAGTGTGTATTTAGTTTTATTTAAATATATTAAATGATTGATCAGATAAGAGATAAACTAGAGAGGGAAAGGCGACATTCGTCCCATGAAGTTTGAGTGAGGTAATTTCATTGAAGTGCATATCCCCATTATCCTTCTTACCCGATGTCAAGTCTATATAAGTTTAAACCTTTTGAATTTTTAAGAATATAGAAAACTTTGAACAATCCAAGAACTGGAATTGGGTAGAGAAACAATTTTTAATTATTTCAAGTAAAGCTATAATACCACTCGACCATGCTCACCTCTGAAAGTACCCATGGTAGCTTGAAGCCGAAGTATACCGAGTAAGCGGAAGCACTTAAGTATATACCCTAACAACTTGTAGACTTTCTGTCGTTATGTATACACCATGTTAAATTGACATTATCCATTCCATGCTACACATAAAGAGTACTTAGGCCATGGTACCATGATCATCCTCTGGGAATGTCCTTTCTTAACCAACGCCGAGAAATAATCCAGCCAAGAAGCAGTGATATCCTGAATATTCCATGAAAGAAAAACTCCAATGCAAAACAACCAAGTGAGAGAAAGGCAAGTCAACCACACGACTGAGTCGCATCAATCCTGCATCTCAACATCGTTATCGTGGCGCGCCGAAGAGTCCACCGTCCGATCCGCGATCAGTGTACTGACAGGCACCCGAGCTGTGGGTGATTGATTTGTATCTTCTGACGCTTTCTCTGTGTCCTGTGGCTGAGCACCATTCTGGTCCCCGGCCGGCGCAGCTGTCCCGTTCAAGCGTCGCTGGCCCTTCTCCAACTCTCCTGGTGCACCCATCTCCTTGGCCTTCTTTTCTTTGAATTGCTTGTAGGTCGTAGTCTTGGGAATTACGTCGGCGAGGAACTCAAGGTTATCGATGTGGGATACGGCGGTGGCTATTATAAGACGTTAGTTCTCCGTTACTCAAATGCAAGCCTGACCGCCACCGTATACTTACCTAGATCTTTGTATTGAACAGTCTTCCGCGGCTTGCGCTCTGACTTTACCACATTGTGTCCTTGCTCGGCGAGATATTGGATAAACATTTCCTAGGATGGGTATCAGCGGGGAATCGTTCAGCAGTTTCTTGCTTCGACGGGATGCGCGTGACGTACAGTCGCCATAGCGATGACAAAGGTCGCGTTGTTGGAGCATTGTACAATGTCATCATCAAGTTGGACGATCTTCTTGATACGAGAGACTAATGATAGTGGTCAGTCATACGAGTCATCTCCTTCTCTGCAGCTACATTGTACTCACTAGGTAGTGCACTCTGGCCAGTGATCTCATCTGGCTCAGCAGCGTTCTTTGGAGACATATTTGGAAGTTGAGATCTGAAGATGGAGAAGGAAAATTATAAGTGATTATTGTAGTATTTCAGACTTCTTGAAAATGGGTCTGTAGCGCGAGTGTAGTTTAAGAAGGATAAACGCGTGTGCGCGGCCGTTATCTCAGCAGATCTCCATTTCCGTTATCGATTACTTGGCGTGGAACTCGACCTCCAACACCTTTAACCTCAACTTTCCTTACGCCGCGGAATTGCATAAATTCCCTCCCCGGTTTCCTTCTCTGACACAGTCAGAAATCCGATGAGGACAGATTAGGTGCTGGTCAGATCTTCAAATTTGACCTGCGTCGCCTTGTTCCTGCAATCTTCCCCTTGTGGAAGAGGTGCATTACCCGTTTAGCTCGAGCCTGACTATGCTGAGCTTACCCCTCCGGTCGTTGTTATGACCTCGCCACGCTCATCATCACCTTATGCCCGGTCGCCCTCCATCCTGTCAGAGCGCCGGGATATGCGCAGGCTGTCTGGCCGTTCCCTTTCCGTCTCCTCTACAGCCAATTCACGCCCGGCCAACGATGCGCAAGCCTCCGGCATCACCGAAGAGATTAGCGAGATTAAGCGATATGAAGATTTTACGACAATAGATTGGGTTCAGGATGCCGTTTACGAACAAAGTCGCCGACGCGCTAAGCGACGAAGCGGTTCAGGATTCTGGGACCAGGAAGGTGTCTTTGGTTGGAGACGCAAGCTAGTGGAATCCTACGATGCTGGCCAAGCCTGGCTTGTAGTGACACTCGTTGGCATGGCGATTGGTGTCAACTCTGCTTTGCTGAACATCATAACAGAGTGGTTGTCAGATATTAAGCTGGGTCATTGTACCACTGCATTCTACTTGAACGAACAATTCTGCTGTTGGGGCGCAGAAGGAGGTTGCCCCGAATGGAAGCCTTGGACAGGATTTTGGCTATTTAATTATGTGATCTATTTCATTTTTGCGGTAGGATTTGAACCCAATCTTTGCGCAAACATAAAACTTGCTAATAACAAGTGTATAGATCTGGCTTGCTTTTGTTGCAGCGATTCTCGTCAAGACCTTTGCGCCTTATGCCGCTGGCTCTGGTATTTCCGAGATCAAGTGTATTATTGCTGGCTTCGTTATGAAAGGCTTTCTGGGCGCCTGGACCCTCATAATCAAGTCTATTGCTTTACCTTTGGCCATCGCATCTGGCCTGTCAGTTGGAAAGGAGGGACCCAGTGTTCATTTTGCCGTCTGTACTGGAAATGTCATTTCCCGGTTCTTTGGCAAATATAAGACAAGCGCATCAAAGACGAGGAAATATTGACTGCATCGGCAGCGGCTGGTGTAGCTGTTGCCTTTGGCAGTCCTATTGGAGGCGTGCTATTTTCCCTAGAGGTATTTTCCGAGAGAATCAACCCCAGGGGAACTTGATGTTAACGCGCGAACAGGAAATTGCCAACTACTTTCCACTTAAGACTCTATGGCGCAGCTATTTCTGTGCCCTGGTGGCAACGAGTGTCCTTGCGGTATGTTCTATCTTTTCCATCGGATTGAAATGAATTTTCTGACCTAGGGATGTATAGGCTTTGAACCCCTTTCGGACTGGACAGCTGGTCATGTTCCAGGTCGAATATGATCGCACATGGCATTTTTTTGAGCTAATATTCTTTATCTTTATTGGTGTGTTTGGTGGACTTTATGGTGCCTTCGTAATTAAGTGGAATTTGCGAATGGCATCATTTCGCAAGAAATATCTCGGGAAATACGCTATCGCTGAATCCGTTTTCCTTGCTGGATTTACTGCCATTCTTTGCTATCCCAATATATTCCTGAAGATCAACATGACAGAGATGATGGAAATCCTGTTTCGCGAATGCGGTGGTGGACACGACTATCACGGCCTGTGCCAGTAAGATACTACCCTCAACTCCTTCGTTAAAGACCGAGACTCTAACACATTCCCGCAGGGAGAAGAACCGATGGTCAATGGTAGTATCGCTGGCTATTGCTACAATTCTACGCACTGGTCTGGTCATTATTTCCTACGGCTGTAAGGTTCCAGCTGGAATTTTCGTCCCGTCCATGGCCATTGGCGCATCGTTTGGTCGTATGATAGGGATCATGGTGCAGGCACTTCATGAGTCATTCCCTAAATCAGCATTCTTTGCATCATGCGAGCCAGATGTTCCATGCATCACCCCCGGCACATACGCCTTCCTGGGCGCGGCAGCAGCGCTCAGTGGTATCATGCATATCACGATCTCAGTAACGGTCATTATGTTCGAGTTGACCGGAGCTCTGACCTATATCCTACCAACCATGATCGTGGTGGGTATAACCAAAGCCGTGGGAGACCGTTTTGGGAACGGAGGAATCGCAGACCGTATGATCTGGTTCAATGGATTTCCGTTCCTAGATAACAAGGAAGATCATGTCTTCAACGTTCCAGTCTCTCACGCTATGACGACAGACCCGCTATCCATCCCAGCATCCGATTTCCCCGTTCGTGAAGCGGAGCATTTACTAAGCGACAATAAGTTCCAGGGCTTTCCAATCGTGGAAGATCGAAGCAGCAAGACTCTTGTTGGTTATATCGGACGCACAGAGCTTCGATACGCGATCGACCGCGCCCGAAGCGAGGGCCTTCTATCCCCTCGCGCGCGATGCGTGTTTACTGCGGATGCTGCAGAGGCATCTGTAGCTCGCCGGGCATCAGGGCGACATAGTTCTCGCTCGCTTAGTATTCCGGATACGTTTGATGCTATCCAATCTAACGGAACCGGCGTTGTCGACTTTTCCCGCTTCGTGGATCACACCCCGCTCACTGTGCACCCTCGTCTCCCGCTGGAGACCGTTATGGAAATCTTCAAGAAGATGGGCCCGCGTGTGATTCTCGTTGAGCACCGTGGTCGCTTGGCTGGCCTGGTCACCGTTAAGGACTGCTTGAAGTACCAGTTCAAGGTCGAAGCCGAGGAGCACGCGCTAGCGGCGACAAGCTCCTCGGAATACTCGGCTCTTGGTGGCCACTTGAATAATCCAGCGGCCGAGACACTAGAAGACCGCCTGTGGCGTCTGATTCAAACTGTGATCAGCTTTGTGTCAAGCTCTGGCTCACGTCGGTCTGTTGGATTGCGCGAGCGGGACCGAGCCCGTCCTTCAGAACCCTCTGATATCCTGGATGGAACAGAGAATGACGGCTTGGTTGAGTTGGAGGACAGAGAGCAACGGTCTTAGGACTGATTGCTATGATTGTATCAACTAAATTTTGTGGATATAGGCTTGATAGAGGAGTTAACCATGTAAAGTGTTGCTTATGATGACGGCTAGTACATTCGATTTTCTCATGGGTTGGCATATTCAAATTCCGAATATATCATGATGTTTTGCTATCTTGCTACCCTCCAGGACTGATATCCATGTGTAACTCCAGCCTTGCGAATCGTCCATACTATTCTGTGGCGTTCGGACCAAATAGGAATATCATGTCGCACAAGATAATCTAAACTTCAGTGACATCCATGAATCTGATCTCACAACCTTAATCAATCCCAACTACCCACCTTACTATAATCATACTCCTCGCTTGCAACTTAAGGATTTGCTTCAACAAAATTCCCATTCCAATAATATACCAAATACAAGCATATCATATATACATCTCCTCAATCAATAAATCAAACCCCATCTCGCATACCTACCAAAATACATCCAGCCCCCATCATCGCTGCACCAAGCCACCAAAGTCCACCCACCGCCTCACGGAACACCACCATACCAAAAAGCGCAGTAGCCAGGAAATTCGCCGCGGTATTCGTGATAGAAACCTTGGTCGTAGATGGTCCAGCTGTTAAAGCACGGGTGAATAGAGCCCACATGATAATATTGCAGAGAACATTGAGGCCAAGACAAGCCTGCGAGTTGGTTAGTATATGGAGGGACGACTGGACTTCAAATGTTGAGAGCAGGAGGCTAATACGGATGCTCTTTATGCATGTATTGACTCAGGTCTCGATTAAGGAGTCTGCATGTCTAAATATGTGCAAGGATCTATTGGAAAAGATAACTGGAACTTACACCGCGGACAAGTAGCTCTAGAAATGGGGAGGAGTCTAGGCCGAAAAGGTGTGCTAGGGATTGCGCGAATGATGTGGTGTGTTGATCCGTTGTTCTGCATGGATGTTAGTCGAGTTCCATCAAGATAAATGCAGAGAAGGTGAATTATTCCTTGAACTTGTATGCATTTATCAAGTCCTAGGCTGGGTAGCTTACAGCTTCGCGAAGAGTCCGTTCAACGCGGCGAATGCACCGCTAGCCAAGGCTAGGAGGATCCAGGGGGGAGGTCGATGACTTTGGTGTTGATGTGGATGCCATTGGAATATTATAGATGTTCAATATAATAGTAATAAATGCTGAGATGGGATTAATAGGTTGTATATTGGGTCAGTGTATATGAATAGGTGGATCGCGTCTAGGGAGAACGAGGAGGTTCAAGTTGGATATGATGCCAAGACTGATAAGGTCAACTGGTGGCGCTACGGATGATCTATACAATAACTTGAGTATTGAACCTTGCTAGATTGTTGATATGATGTATTGTTCCAACTTGAAGGTTCAAGTTTAATCTATGATCATATACAGAGTGTGTATCTATGAATGCACCTCATGGAGAAAGTCGCTGCAACCTCCACTTCCCACCTTCACCCTCAGCAGGTACATAGCGAAACCGATCATGCAATCGACTCCGTCGACCTTGCCAGAACTCAACCGACTCAGGTACTAAACGCACACCACCCCAAAACGGCGGCAAGGGGATATCCTTAACACCAGCAAACCTCTCCTCCATCTCCTTAACCCGCTGCTCAAGCAGTGTGCGCCCATCCTCAATGTCTGTCCGCTCAATATCCACCAACGCATCCGAACCAGCCGCAGCCTCCTGCACTCGCGCAACACTCTTCCGCCGCTGATGTGCTTCCAGTTGACCAGGCTCAGCAGACCACAAAACCTTACTCTGCCAACTCGCCCAACCCCCAATCTGGCTTCCCCGCTCCCGAGTCCTCCAGTAAAGTTCACTCTCTTCCCTCGAAAGCGGCTCAAAGATTCCCTCCACACGCACCTGGCGCTCAACACTCGCCCAGCTAAATGTCAGCGCACCCCATCTATTCCCAAGATGAGAAGCTGCCGCTTCAGCTGGCTCGGGCATGGAGCCTAGTTCCAAAATATCCTTCTCATTACATCCAAAGACCTGCGCACCTTTGCCTTCTCGACTCCCCCAGTTACTGTACACGACCCAGCCACGCTCGTCCAGCTCTTTGAGGTAGACTGTGCGGGCGCTAACGCGGCCGGAGGGGAGCTCGGCTGTGGCGAGAGTACAGGTTTCTGGGGCGGAGCTAGGCGCGAGACGAGGGTCTTTGAACCAGGTGTGGAACTGGTGGAGGGGGTTTGTGCCGTGGATTTGAGAGACGGTAAGAGGTGGGTTTGTGCCAAATTGGTGTGCGCGAGCAGGATTGGAGAGGATCTCGTTTTCCGTGGTGGAATTTGGGGTTGAGGTATCAGAGCGGAGGGCTTCAACTGGGTTAAGGAATGGGACGGAGGTTTGTTCCGGGGTCTTTGATCGAGTTAAGGGATTCGAGGCGTCGAGGTTTGGTGTAGTTGCTATATCACCGGGTGCAACTGTAGAGCATGGTGGTTAGTATTGAGCTTCGCGGGGTTCAGATCGTGTGATTCGGTGTTCCCCGCGGGGATCTTGACAAGTCCTGGGGTTGTGCAATATGATGGATGGAGTAGAGAGGATGGTACGTAAGGCGTACAAATAAGTTTCTTCGGGCGCCTATTGGCGTCTGGTACTTCGTTTTGAGACATAATTGGTTTGGGGCTTGAGATGGTTGAATAGGAAGCTTGGAGGTGATGAAACGCGCGGAACGGAATGCGGACAAATGAGTCAAGAGCAGATCCGAATCGTGAAGGAAGTCGAGGGAGCATTAAAGATAAATAAAGATAATTGAACTGGAGAGAGAATTATAAAGAATTGAAGGCGGATCAACCGCCGAGTCTAACTAGGATGATATATGCACACGTGAAGAAATGGTAAAGATCTGGGGTGTTACAGATCATGATGACCGTACCACGATCGTCACCGTCATAACCGTGGAAGCATGCCACCCCCGCCACTTTAACCTCTATGTCATGAGATCCATATTAGATCTGAAGACAAGTTTCCTTCAAAATAAAAGTAGACAACATATTCCAAGGTCTTTCTGGAATGAATTGATCAGGGCGCAGGCTCAATGGCTTTCATGAACTTCGCCTTAACACCCCGAATGTATTTATCCTCCATCAACTTGTCAATGACCGGCTGGTCATTATGCTTCTCAAATGCCTCGCGTCCGGCATAGCGCTCGAAAAAGTGAAACAGATTGGGATCGTCATTATCTCTGCAGAGACAATAGTAGATTGTGCCGGGTTCTGATTGTGCATTGCGGGTAGTCTCGGCGTAAACGGCCTCCAGAGCATCTGCGTGCTCGGGGTATGCGTAAACCGTGCCAAAGACGACAAATTCAGTTTCAGGAATAGGTTGAGGTCCAGTGAGGAATTCTTCAGACTCGTAAGCTGGCATGGTGATCGAGATTGTGGTGGAATTGGAAGAGTGGACTTGAGACACCGTGGAGGTATGAAGCCGACTTAGGGATGTAATGATATGAGGTTTACTGGACACAGAATGGGGGTAATTGAGAAGTTATTTAGTTCAAATCTTATCGGTGAAGAGCAGTTTTTAATTCTAATTGATGAATTAATACGGAGTACCCCGTACAGGGGTCTGTCTAGATAGTCTAGATAAGAAGTCATCGTGAGTGAAACCGCGCAAATAAACTAAACTAGAACGGTTAGCGCATGCCACCCTAATCTATGGCCCCAGGGATACCAAGATATCCAGTGTCATAGTAATGTTTGAATTCAACCTGCAGCATCGATATGCGGCCACTAGGTTCATTCATCCCAACTTTGACAACGAAAGAATTTTCCGAAGTTGACGAATTCACGCAAGAGGCATCGGCCTGTTTGGTCCAGTTTTTGAACACCGTGGTCGATGATCCATCTCCACCCAAAAGTCCTGGAGGTCTCTGACATTCTAATCATCTGATCATAAGACAAGAATTGAATTCTGTAACCGCCGTGTCATGCCGAATCGATGGCCTGGGTTTGGTGATCCAAATCCCCTTCTTATTGTTACGATGTGATACGTCAAGTTGATAGCTTGTTCAGGGCCGCTTTCGTCTGGTTCCTGTTGACAAGGGCCTGGCTTGGTAGCCATAGTGGGTGACGGGCGCCCGACCAGCATAAGCTTGAGGGATTCCTCCGGGTCAAGGGGGAGGTCGGACCGAGTGGAATTCTTTTGCGCGTACGCCCACATGGCGTGGTTGAATTTGTCGAAATTCTCCAGTCCCTCGTAACATTTTGGTAGCACCTATGAAGACTAAACCGTGCAAATCGAAGTTCATTCGTCAGATGATCGCATTTCTCAGAGCATGACTTCAGGGGTATGCTATAAAGCGATGCGTATTGATCGTTAATCTCGCCTGACAAGAGAGAGAGTTATGACGGTTGTGTATGATCTTCTGCGAGGCCGGAAGTGAAGCGAAACAAACGATGAGCTCTCTAACTTATCTAATGTTTCGTGTCAGCCTCAATTGTTGAGAAAACATTGAGTTGAATCATTTCAATAGAAAGGGAATTTTAGTATACACATACTGGCGGTGCAATAGTCTCTTCAAGTGTTAGCGCAATCTCGATGTTGTCATAGGTGAGAAACCCAGTGGACCGGGGAAGATCGTCACTGCACTGATGAGTAAGGCCAACTGGTGCTCAAGCTCAAGAGGAGAACTGACACTACTACGCTTTTCAAAAATTATATTAATATTGAACTGAAAAGAATTCAACTTCCTTCTCGAGTCAAATATTGCGAAAGTCAAAGCGTAAGAATGAAGTTGACATCGCTATGGCTTATCGAACTTCCTATTATGGAAACCCGCTGAGCTATCAGCACAGAGCCTCCAAGTAAAATGTACAAACCTCAAGTCGGGAGCTATGAATAAAAGACTCATCTCTAGCTTCTTTGAAAAGTCTCTGAGCTGTACAACAAGCGACACTGAATCGAAGATGAAGCCAACAATGGCATCCAACGCCAAAGCCATTTCGGGTCGAACATTTGACTACATTGTATGTGGCGGAGGCACAGCTGGTTGTGTCATCGCGGCAGAGCTTGCTTCAATCCCCAATATTTCAGTTCTTCTGATTGAAGCTGGGAGAGATTCAGGTCTCGCACCAGATGTTCTGGTCCCAGGGAAATATGTCAAGCAACTCCAAAAAGACAAGGAGGGACTATGGGAGTTGGAGACAGTACCACAGAAGCAACTGAATGGGAGGAAGTTGATGTTCCTCAGAGGAAGACAGCTTGGAGGAAGTTCGTGAGTTAAATTAAATTAATTCAGTATCATGCTGCGGCCATGACTGATTGACGATAGTGCTGTTAATTATATGGCCCTTGCTCGGGGCCCGGCTGCGGATTATGATGACTGGGCTAGGATGGTCGGTGATGAAGGATGGTCGTGGAAGAACATATTGCCATTGATGAGAGAGGTTAGTATTGGGGGTTTGCTTATTAGAGAAAAAGTTGACAGGTCATGATGTAGCTCGAGGACTTTGACCCAACGTTACCTGCCTATCTGCAACATCTTGCTGGCCCCAAGATAAAAGACCGCGGAACTTCTGGGTAAGTCCTCAAGATTGTATTTATTGATCATTTTGGACTTATGAAATCAAAGGCCTCTGAAAATTGGGTTCGGTGATGAGATGGTTCCTGGCATTGAGACATTCGTGGAAGCATGCCTGGAGAATGGGATTCCGCTATGTCCAGACATCAACTCAGGAAACCCCGTGGGTGTTGGATTGGCGCAGTTCAACGTTCGAAATGGAGAGAGATATTATGCAGCGAATGCTTGGTTGAACGAGTCAGCTCGGAAGTCTCTTCGGAATCTGACTATAGTCACCGAGACAGAGTGTGATCTCCTTCATTCGAGGAACGGAATCGTCACTGGGGTGGAACTATACCACCGACCTACAGGAGAGAACTGTCAGTCTTTCAACTCGTGGTGATGACTCAAACTAACTGACTCGTAGTACATGTGTACTGCCGCAAAGAGACTGTTCTCTGTGCTGGCACATTTGGATCTCCCAAGATCCTTATGCTGTCCGGTCTTGGTCCTAAAGATACCCTGAAGCAGCACGGCATTCAAGTCAAGGTTAACCTGCCAGGTAAGCTCATACGACTATCGATCCTGCGCTCTCTCTGACACAATTCTCATAGGCTGTGGCCAAAACATGCTCGATCACTCAATCATTACCTGCGAATACAAAGTGGACAATTCCATTCAAGCACACAACCAAATATTCTTGAACCCCGATCTTCTTGCCGACGCGGAGGCAAGGTACGCAAAGGATCATACTGGGCCACTTGCCATGTACGGTGCCAGTGGCACCTTAGCCTTCCCCAGGATTCAGCGCCTATTCAACTCAAAAGAATTCTCCAACCTCAACGCCAAAGAACAAACGTTCCTGATGGAGCCCTCAAGACCCTCTGCAGAAATTTGGCTCGGATCAGGGCCTTCGGTATACCAAGATGATCGACCAGAACAAAGCTATATGACGCACGAGCTTTTACTCCAGAACAACCTGTCCCAGGGAACCGTCACAATTCGTTCGAAAAATCCACGCGACCTTCCGGTCGTGGATCCGAACTTCCTTTCTCATCCGTTTGATCGGCGAATTGCTATCGAAAGTGTTCGTATGGCGCTGAAGATTGCTCGTTCCAAGGCTTACCAGGGAACTATTGAGCGATTGGTTCATGGCCCTGATCTGGATTTCGCGACAGCGGATCTTGATGCAGTCAGTGATGAGGTTATTCTGGATTTTATTCGCAAGAATCTGGATCAAGGATATCACAGTGTGTCGACTTGTCGCATGGGCAAGAGTAGTGATCCAAAGGCTGTTGTGAACTACTCGTTCCGAGTTAAAGGGATGCAAAACCTCCGCGTGGCAGACCTGAGCGTGTGTCCCATTCTTACATGGTAAGATATTTCGATATCACAAGTGCCTTCAAATGCTAACCAGAAACAGTAACCATACCCAGATCAATGCCTACTTGATTGGTCTACGATGCGCGAAGGAAATGATCACGAACCATAAGGGACGAACAGAGCTTGCGAAATTGTAGTCTATATTGAGAGATAGCACTTGAGTATCCACAATTTTAATAACATCAAATTAAAAGTACACTTCCACCTCCGCATCCCAACATCAAGTCAATATACTTGGATGGTCTGTGTCCCTTCCATGTGTTTTCTAATAAGACAAGCGCACTTTGTACATTGCCAAATCCACCAGAGCTCTGCATACATCGAGCTCGTTCCCGAATCCATTCCTGACGCATGGCATCTTTTACTTCAAGTCCTGCATGAAATAAAGGCCACAGTAACTGATCCGACCACCCAGAGGCCGGCGGAGTAGCTCTTGCATGATAAAGTACACTGCTGACAAGCCAGTCCAGCTCGAACTCATCAATATCCCCATAGAATAATCTGAGAAGGTAAAGAATAATCGCAAACCGATACGCTTCCGTCATGTGAAGGAAGTTTGGACCCCTATCAGAATGAGCAGGTCTTTGCAGTAGTCGTTGTTTTATCTCTTGAACTTGATTCAAGATCTGAGTTGAAGGGTTGTCGGCGTCAGGTTGGCTCTTATATAATGTGACAATTTCACAAACGATTTCAAATTGATCTGAGGGACAAGGTATCGCATCAAAGCTCCATCCATCTCCTGATTCGCCGAGTAAAGAGCCGATCTCTTGAGGTGAAAATACTGTAGGTCTGGAATGTGAAGCAGCAGCCATTACGTCTAGCCTGGAGTATAGAAGAGAAGTTAGTTATGTTGATGATGATTTACTTATTATCGAATTTTAACCCACCAAGCGAGATATTGTTCCACAAAGCAGCCAGCGGTTCGTTCTTGACGTAATTCGATCAGCCTTTTAGCACCCTGAAAATGTGAATGGAAATCTGAGATTCCACCATGACAAAGATCACAGAGACACAGCATAAGTATTGTAGCTAGTGTGCCAGGATGTTTTGCCCGAATCTGGGAATATAAGTCCTCTTGTAATCTCTTCATAGCTTTGCCCTTGAATCGGAAGAACTCGCGCTCGAATCGATTTGTCGAGAGTCGCACATTATAGTGACATGCTGCCAATGCTGCACATGCATATAGTAGTGATGGCACTTCGATCGAGAGAGGGAATATGTAGTCGCGATAGGGATTTTGAGGAGATAGATTGTCCACGCATAATTTTGGCACAACCTCATAGATATCTGATGCCTGTTAATGAACAGAACCACCTTGGAAGTGACAAGACTCACGATATTGCATTATAAACTTGAGTTCATCCGGGATACTGATACAGTCCAGACTTGAGCCCAATGTATTGTAAAAGCTCAGCGAGCCTCCAAGATCCTTGTACTGATCTTGCGGCGGAGGCGTTATGGCTAGACTTAGTTGGGGCTCGGTAATATCTTCAGGGAAAATGTCGACTAGAGCAAATTCATCGGACCACGTTAAGAGTCCAGGTGAAGCATGATTCTCGGGAATGCCCACAAATAACTGCAAAGGATCAAGCAGATCTTCGACTTGGTTCTCTTGGGGCTCAGTCTGAACATCATTAACGGGGCTCTGCGGCGATTGTGGAGCAGTGGGCGGAGATGGTGTTCTCGCAGTCGGTTGTTGAGCTCGGCGCGTTCGTCGTCGCTTTGTCGTTCCTGGTACTGGGATACTTTTACCTACAAACTGTCCTCGACTCGCTAAACCTGGCCATTGGAGTAAATATCCTTCACACTTTTGACCGCTAGCTTCGCAGGTATTGCAAGAGGGCATACGCCGGTCGCAACCGCGACCACGACGACGACAGGTTTTGCATGCTCTACCAAAATATTGCTCGTTCACCATGATGGAAGCGAAAAGGGATTGAAAATAATATTTTGAGCGGAGGAGTGTAAATCAGAGTGGCGTTGGTTATCTCGGCACTTCAAGTTGGGGCTGATAGCGGGGAAAAGTCATGACATGGCATCGTTATCAACAGAGGATTACTCTCAAACCAGTCGTTTTTACTAGTATCATCATCCCAAAATGTATCAATTGATGTGTAAATTTGCAAATAATAATAAATCTGGAGCCCGAAATTGGATTTCATGATATTTGACACTCAACTATTCACAACGACAATTGAGCACACTGTAAATAATTCACAGCCTCAAGATGTCCTTCCCCGCATGATCAGTATGGGGAACCCCGGTTATTGCCGCCACAATTTATCCAATACGAACATAGATGTGTCATAGTAGATAAATACTTTCTTTCTTTCAAATCGATTAGACCTGTTATCAGGAATATATGGACCAATTGATTCATAAAACGATAAGACGTACGTATACAACTGAGATTTATGGAGACCGAGCCATCTCATCCTTTAACCCGTTTAGGAAGGTCGTTGAGCACCGGAGCAGACCAAAATTTGAATGATAACATCCAATCTATCCAAAAGACTTGAAACCAGTATATTAGTTGTAATAATGCATAATTCTATTGAATCTAGATTTGAAAAATTTGAACCAGAACCGCCACTATGGGAAAACGTGTACTTGTAGGATACGGCATCGACGTAGATGCAGTCAGTGGCTGGTATGATGCAAATCCTGAAATAAAATGATTGAAGTTAGAACATATGATAACAAAATTAGGCTCAATACCGAGGACGGCCATATCCCTGACCTCACTGACATATCGCGTGGTATATTCGGCGCGACAGTGGGAATCGACCGACTTTTGAAATTATGGGACAAGTACAACATCAAGACGTCTTGGTTCATCCCAACTCACTCACTTGAGTCATTCCCGGATCAGATGAAGAAGATCAACGATGCTGGTCATGAAATGTAAGTTTTCTCACATGCCAGTGTGCACTTCTAATCCGACCATAAAAAATGCTGAATCGAAGACCACTAACACCATTTAGTGGTTTACATGGATATACCCATGAGCATGTAGATATGTTGACAGAGCAACAAGAGCGAGATATTCTCGCCAAGTCAATCCAAGCAGTCATCGCCTTCACTGGAAAGCACCCTAAAGGATGGACTGCCCCATCCTGGAGAACATCAAGCCGGAGCATCAAATTATTGGAAGAATTTGGTCTGGTAAGCAAGCCTACTCCAATGTTACCAAGACCAAAGCTAAAAATTGCTAGGAGTATGACCACTCGTTTATGCATCATGACTCACAGCTTTACTATGTCCCCTATGGTTCTGAAGGCCTGGTCGCTACCGATCTCTCCAAGCCGGCTGAGCAATGGATGAAACCAATGGCCAAGCTGGAGCCCAGCAAAATCGTGGAAGTACCTGCAAACTGGCATCTGGATGACTGGCCACCATTCCAATTGACTGAAGGCCCATCACATGGGTATGTCGATCCGGATGTCATTGAGAGACTTTGGAAAAGTCAATTCGACTTTTTGTATCGAGAGTACGACACATTTGTCTTTCCGATATCGATTCATCCTCAAGTTAGCGGAAAGCCTCAAGTTATCATGCTTCATGAGAGACTCATTGAGTATATCAATTCGCATGAAGGCGTGGAGTGGTGTACATTTGCACAGATGGTCGAGGAGTTCAAGTCGGGAAGGATTGAAGGTGTAGATGTGGTCGGTGGAGTAGGTCTGTCATAATTGATTTGACAAGAATGCGATAATCCAATCTACAATCACAAGATAAATGGAATGGAAGGTTCAATGAATTTCAAATTTCTTTTTTTCAATTTTTATAATAGTGAAAGAGGGGAAGACCATCTGAATCATGATACACACATGAGATGAAATCAACCTGGGTCAGAGTAATTCGTGTGAAGCCATCTGGGCTGAAAAAAACCATCAGATTGAAAAAGCTCCAAGGAACCTGACATGGCTGGTAACGGTATTAATCTGCATTTGATATAGACCTCTTTTTCTACTTGGGTTACAGTGGTTTTATTCACCGCCGGGCGCCTGTCTTGATACCCGACTCGGAGGAGAGCCTACAGCTTGATTCCCTAGGGCTACCAATTGCCTATATCCAACCTTGGAACAATATACATAACAGTTAACCTTCCCTTCCAGATATCCCTCCAGCTAACCCTGTAGGTACTCGGTCACCTGTAGATGCTCTGACTCGGACTGAGCCATGTACTTGAGTATGTGCACACACCTGTTCAAGCACTTGAGTGCTGGGAACTTATCTTTCCCAATTTCAAATGCTCGCTGCTATGTACACTGGCAGGGCCGTGCGAAGCGCGGCGTGAGGACCTGTAAGAGAAGACTTCGGGTTATGAAAATAATATTGTAAAACTTGAATTTGAGTAAATTATCGAATGTCGATAAAAAGTACCATGCAACAACTTGAATATCTTCGTAAAACTTGACTCCATCTCATTTTCATCTCTTATATAAATCAAATAAATTCATTCCAAGTAATGAAATTCCAATTCCAATCGGTGTCCCTTTGGACCGGCAAGGTACCCATCACTGGCCTCCATGTCGCCGTGGTCGTGAATAGTCGTCGAGAAGTTTGAATATACGCTCGCAAAGAAATATTTGATTGCTAGGAACATAGTTAGTATAAAATATCATCAAATAATCGATCGAGGATGATAAAGTATACTTACAGTAATAAGCAAAATGCATTCCAAGACACATTCTTCCACCACTACCAAATCCCCAGAACCATTTTCTCATCAGGGCCAACTGCTCTGGTGATGCATTAAGCCATCGCTCTGGCTTCCATTCAAGAGGATCCGGGAACACTTCAGGCATTCGATGAAGAACCGATGCATATGATTGCACAATTGTTCCAGCAGGGATACCATCATACCCGCCCAGGGTACAAGGCGCGGTACAACTCGAGGTTGACCACCAGGCACCGATGGCCAAAGACGAAGCGTTTCCATCAATACAGCATGAAGGATCGGCAATTTGTCAATATCCTGAGGGTTTGTGATATCCTCGATCTCAACTAACTTTCCAGGAGTATGCTTCAAGGGTGTTTCAAGTCCGCGAACCTCTTCTCGGAGCTTGGATTGCCATTCCGGATGACGGCTTAGTTCGTATAAGAGATATGTGGAGGTGTTACCGCTAGTCTCAAAAGCTCCAGAGTTCAATGAGAACATGTCACTTGCCAAATCAAGGCGTCGGGGGTACATCTGAGGCTTCGCATCGACCTGACTCATTCCTTTCAGAGCGGGTTCAAAGGCCACTGGCTGATCATCTGGTGATAGTTCCTTTCCACTGGCAAGAAGCTGTTGAGCTTGGTCACACTTATCGAGATTCCATTTTTCAACACCTTCGAATGCATCCACAACACTCTTAGGGATGAGGTGGATGCCGAGTTTTTGGAGCATTGCCACCAAGCGAGGGAAATGGTATTGCCAGAAGGTGTATTCAGCTACTCCAAGAAAGCCATCAAAATAAAATCTCCGCTCTTTCTCATTTTCTACCAGATTACTGGCAATGGAGCGACCAAATTGCCACTGCACGAAAGTGTCGAGGAGATAGGCATAGGTGAGATCCATGACCTCCACTGCCTTGTTTTCGGTGGAGGACTTGTGAAGCAAAGGGAGTACACGGTTGAACAGAATGTCTCGCGTCGCGGCTCGCGCAGTCTGGGATGACATGACAAATGATTTTGTGAAGCAGCTCGACAGCGCTTTCTTGTGAGCGGAGTGTGTCTTGTTATCCTTGATGGTGAATAGATTGTCCGTCCTGTTGATATCATTTAGCGAGGCTTCATTCATGAATGGAATGGGGGAGTAATGCATACCCGTAGACAGCAAATCCATTGAAGTAAAACTCAGGCTTTGGGAAACCTCCATGATAAATTCTCTTCAATCCATCTTCATAGGAGTTCACACTGAGAAGATTAGGGGCAAGTCGAATAGCAGGGCCCTTCTCCATATGAAGATTGTAGATCCGACTGTTTTCTTGCTTCGTCCATTTCACCCAATAGATCCAAATGGGACAAAAGCTACAAGACCAATGCGCATTTGGAACCTTTGCTAGTGGGGAGAGGAATGCAGGATACAAGATGAATTTGTACAGCCCTGCAGTTGCGCAGAGCAGAAGGATGGCGTAGTACAAGTGAAGCTCCATCGTGATATTGATACTCCAGGATACGCACTGTGACTTCGGTGTGACCGAGCAGCGCCTTTATAAGTATTCAAAGATTTTTCTTGTTCAGCAACTTATCAAAAACACAACCGCGACTGATTTTGCAAGTCTCATATCTTTTCGTTGCATTACGTGAGGCACAAGAGAAGAGCCTGATTGGCAACAGTCAGGCTCTGTATTGGGGATCACATTATGACTATTTTGGGTAATCGATATAAAGTCTTGGACCTCCAAAGTTTCTGTTAATCTGATATCTCTCAGGATTGTGGGGTAATCATTTTGAAGACAAGTTTGGATAGAACTGGAAGTCCATGATATGCTCTAGATGGAGTAGATCTTAACCTAATGCGGTAGGTAAATGAGTCGATAACACCCGGGGTAACGCCCTGTGGAGCCTTATCCATCATTACAGAGCTCGACTTGACCAAGTAGATATCAAGCGTTTATCTGAACAGTCACAGGTTTCTGACAAGCCAGTTATCAAATTAGATGAAACGACTTGCTAACGGATTTGGAAATTTCGACTTCGGAAATAGAGACTCGTTCAGACTATCCAGCATTTTTTATTCGTACAATCAGATTATAAATACTGGGCTTGAGCATGGGTGACAGATGCTTAATAAATATTTGAATTGACGTTGTTTAGATAATATTGGAGAACTTGAAGTTTCCATCTTAAAAGGTTTAGGCGCTGAGTACACATAGGACTTTGCTACGAAAAGCCAGTGACCACGGCATACATTTATTATTTACGTACGAATCGAAGTTTTCCTCAAGTAAGCTTCAGATTCCGATACCTATGTGAACATTTGTTTCGCCTATGGCACCCGTTGTTCTTAGCTGATGGTAGAACTGTGCAGTAATCATGACCCATTAAGAACCACCTCGAGCCCCTGTATCTCAATTCTCTGCTCTTGTTAGCAGATGTTTCACTGAAATTCACGTGGAAGGAAGGAAAGGAGGGACATCAAAATCATTATAGACACAAGAGCTATCGGTATGAAGAAGGTGACTTACCGGCCCAGAGAATGTCTTCCTTTTACCTCCCCACCAGGACATCAGAATGATTGCAGAGATTCCAGTTATAATCACACTAACATAGTTCATGCTGGCCACTGTGGTCGGAATAGAGGTAGGAAAGCAAGACATAATGGTGATGAAAATGACCCAAAGAATTGAGAAGGCGTTGCAAATAGGGCCAAGACGACGGCCCAAGTTGAATGGTCGTTTGGGTAGAACGTTCTCACGACCTCTCACCAAAACAATAGCTTGAGGTAGTGCATACGTCAAATTGAGCGAGAGGATTGACATGGATATGAAGCTATTGAATGCAGTTGAAGATCCAATGTAAATGAGTCCGTATAGGATGATAGCGACCACACACGCGATCGTAGCATTCACAGGAGCTTGAAGCTTAGAATGGATCCGAGCAAAGTATGGTGAATATGGAAGGCCTCCATCTCGAGCAAAGGCATATGCAAGTCGTCCTGTTGTCACGATGCATGACACTAATGCGCCGAAGTAGACGAAAAGAATCCACACGGTAAGCACAGTAGCAGCAGGCTGGCTTCGAGTGGCTTGTAGGTAAATTGTATACACCGGGATCGAGGAGGAGGCAACGGCATCTGTGTCTGTGATGGAGAATAGGAATGCGATTGTCCATGGAATGACAGTTATCATCCCAATGAGCATGGTTAATCCCATTGCACGAGGCACGTCGCGGGTTGGATTCGGAAGTTCCTATCATATAAAGTTAGCAAGATTCCAGGCATCAATGAGCCTGAGAGAACAAAGGATCAGAGTCTCTTTGTTATGATAAATACCTCTGCAATATGGCACGCTCCATCAATTGCTAAATAAGCATACATGCACGTTCCAAGCCCAATCATAAAAGAGGTACCGTCACTCCAGCCACTGGAGTTTTCATAATTCACAAACACTGCCTTCGCTGACTGCTTGTCTTTCTGCATAGCCAGAACTGTGACCAAACTCACAATAAATCCCAGAAAGCTACTAACAAACATCACTGTCTCACCTCGCGGGAGAGCAGCTGGTAATAGACAAACAATAGTGGCCGCGACCAAGACTAGTAGGCAGTATATCATCCAAGTTTGCCAGGCGTCTACTGTGTAGTCTGGATGATAGATTCCCGCCAAGTCCACGGCCATCTGAGCTAGGAAAATGTGTTAGTAAATTCTAAATTCTTCGTTTATTTTCCAATAACCGCAGACTCACCACAGACTAACGCGGTGGAGGAACTGGTCAGAGCCCAGGCTACCACACTCATCCAGCCCATGATAAATGCAAAAAGAGCTCGGTACTTCGGAGGAGTGACCATATACGCAAAATGATATTGCCCTCCGCTGGAAGGGTATGCCGAAGCGAGCTCGGCTAGGCCGGCGGCTAGAGAAAACAGATTCATTAGAAGAGTCAATATGCAGAGAGAATATTGAGCATTTACTGATAAAGCAGCACGCGACTGAGGCAACGATGAGCCCGAAGAATACTGTCGGGCTCCCGCCTAGCAATAGAGGCGTAACGAAGGTGGCCGAATACCCAAGCCATGAGTTTGTCATGCTGAATCCGAAGGCAAGAGTAGAAAGGAGGGAAAATTGGCGAGGAAGCTCCTCTGGCTCATAGCCTGGAGGAGACGCAGGATGGCCGCCATTTTCATCACTCGTGCCGACTGAGTCTGGGAATTTAGACATAGAGTAATCAGTAGACCCTGTCATTGTGATATGCAGACACACCGCAGAGCAATGATCAAAGTAATGATAAGGTTCAAGAGTATAGATAAATTGATGGAGAGTATAGTAATTGCTTCTTATGGGATTGGTTTACATTTTATTATATCCAAATCGCATGGATATCACTTGACGTAGGGGTTATCAACTCCTCGTAATGAACCAACTGATAGGGCTTCACACCTACCAATGAAGATCACAAGATTTGGGTCTCACGCATTTACCCCGGAATTACCAACTCTAAGCTATTTTCTAATCTTAAACTCTCACGGGATGATAGTTGGGCTCGCGTCTTTACTCCACATAATATCTCATTTATATACTGGATTAGGAATAGTGAGGATCTACCTTTGTTTTATCTTCGCCACATCAATTCACGACACGCCAAATGTTCAAATGTTGAATGATAGAATTCTCGAGAGGTCAATGTTATCTTTTATCTCAAATCTAGTCCGACATCTATCACCGATTTGCCGAAGTGAGACTTTCGGGGCGTTTGATCCTTCTGGTGGTCTCATTTACTTGCCCAAAGAAGTATGATTGAGCATTTGAGAGACTCGATGGATATCTCTGATTGCTGTTCATGCTCATGCTCATGCTCATACCCATGGTCCACAAATACTCAAGCAGTCATCTCAAGGTATTTAAGAAGACGCTAGCTGAGTCCGAAGAGCCAATACACCAGCAATTGAAACCTCCACACCCACGGTTGATCTGACATTCTCACTCTTACTTCCTCACATACAACCATCAACATGTCCGCAGTCACCGGATACGACTATCCCGGCTATGAGCAGCTAGGGAATATCTTCAATATCTCAGCCGCTGTGTCAATACCCGCCGATGCCCGTATTGTCGCCACCTCCGGCCAAATCGCCGATAACCACGACCCTCTTTGGGGAACACACGCCGAACAGTTCGAAAAGTCCATGATAAACATCGAGAGGTCTTTGGCTGCTGCATCACCTCACATCACCGACCCAAGACAACTGTGGGAGGGCGTCTTCTATGTCACATCATACCATGTTGGCGTTTTGACAAGGGAGGAACAACTGCAGATTGCTGAAATTGCCAGAAGGTACTTTGGCAAGAATAAGCCTGGATGGGCAGCTATTTGTGTCAATGCTCTCTTTCCCCCAGAGGCTTTGGTGGAAATTCAGGTCCAGGCGGCTTATCGTGATGGAAAATAATGGAATGCAACTATATCCGAGTCCTTGAGTCTGTCACTACTATCTATTATCAGGCACTTGGTGACATGGTTACTATTATAGTCTATTCATTCATGTCTATTCAAATGTTGTATACACTGGCAGTTGCTTTCCCACGAAACAATTGAATTCATACATGAGTATCTCATATATCTCATCGATGTATTACGTATGATTGTTGCCAAGAGAATGGAATGTAAGACAGTTGGAGCCTCGGCCCATCATGATGTCTCGATTCGACAGGTCAGAGGAAAACTTATCCGGTGAATATACACCCCGATGATTCATTGGTGGTATCTGAAGCCGATCTTTATTAAGAGATTAAGATAATGACAGCATTTGAATGTTCCAAAATTGTTTAGCTTTGTAAAAGTTGGCACAACAACTTGAAGCCCCGATTTTCAAGCCACTGACGGCATTCCCGACGTTTCAAGTTCCCCCAATCAGAATCCCGTTCACCAACTTATTGTGGAGAATTTTACATTAATTGTATCTTGTAGGAATACATACTTAGTATAATTCACCTTGTATGTATATGAAAATTAATAGATTCTTTTCATTAGAATAGGCTCTTCTTAGAGAATCATTTCTATTCACAAGATTATACATCTAGTACTTCTCAGGACCCTGCATTCCTTGATTTGAGGAACTCTAGATCCGGAAAATGCAACCGTACCAAGTTTTCATTAAGTCATCGAAAATCTATAGATCGATCTGGGGAAAAAGTGACGTAGTGTATCACGATCTAGAGGCCGTTGGAATAAGCATAAATAGATCGTACTCTGCTCTTCAGTCTCATCACAACACACACAATATTAAGAAACCAACTTCAAGTTTAATCGCAACTTCTACTCTATTCCTCATTCTCATTCAAAATGGAGACTGTCAAGGTTCGTTACCCTGAAAGCCCTACTCAATGTGATCTCTTATTTTGATTCCATTCATACTGACTCGATCTTAGAACGCCGCCAACTACGTTGTTGAGACCGTCCAGGGTGCCGGTGCCACTGCCTCCAAGGAGGTCAACAAGGAAGTGGCCAAGGACTCTGATGCCAAGCTCAGCACCCGTGCCAACGCTGCTGTCGATGCTCTGGGTGATAAGAAGGATGAGGTTACCCATGATGCCAAGGCCGATGTCTACAAGGGTAAGTTAGAACTTGTACATTATAAAACCTCGCAATTATCAGTCACTAACTTGACCTGCAGAGGCTACTAAGCACTAAATATGGATCTAATTAATCGTCAACTGGTTGCTTGGCCATCGATCCACATGATGTTATATGACCTAAGTTTACGTCTATACCAAGAGAAATCTACTTAATTGATTACAATTTTATTGAGATGAAATGTTCCTTGCTATTTGTTGAGACCAAGTGTACTAGACCACCTGATCCGTAGAGATATCACCTTTTGCCTCATTCCTTAACACCACGCAGCGGCACATTCCACCATCCAGGCCTTCCAACTCTATTTCCAGATATCTCCAGGCATTAACACTCCGTACTTCTTCCTGCTTCACATGGTATCTTCTCTATGTCCCATGCATGTCCCATGCATTTTACATCCTTTGTTATTTCAATCTATTTTGTGACTAATCATACATGGATGAATGTTGGATGTTTGTTTGTGTCTAGGCATCCATTAGTGCCATGGGTGCCTAGCCACAGACACAAGTAATCTCAATTGGCCCGCAGGTGACTTGCATACCGCTCTTTTCCCTTTTCAACTTTACAATTCTACCTTATTCAAGTGTTTGATTCTCTAGCTTCCTCGCTGCACGGAAACCAAATACTCTTGTCAAATAAGCTTCAAAAACAAGCATAATGACTGTCAACCCCATGGATCTAGGTGATAATGATCGCTTTCTGGCATTGTCACCAGAGAGACCTCCACTACCTTACACCAAAGGTTGGCGATTCACCGTGCAATCCCATGTGCCACCTCCACCCACACCGGTCATACACGAAAATCTGAGATATACCGACAGCGATTTTGACAAGCTAGAAAGACTGAGCCCTATTGATTTCTGTTTACTACTTCCACCGTTACCAGGGGAAAAGGGCTCAAATACCCTAGATCTTGAAATCGTTGACCTGATAGCTGTTGGAGAACCCCGTAATTGCCAGGTGTTCACAGTCAAAGCTCTACAAGGGATATCAGAGAAGCCCCTCCCGAGCATACTACTTGCAAAGGTCTATGACCCTCTTTATTTTGATGATACCAACTACTGGATGGCGGGTTACCGATTCATGGATCGATCCTACACCCATGAGACACGTGTGTATTCTATTCTGTCCGAGTTGCAAGCTCAGAAAATACCACCTATGGGTCATACTCAGTTGATATCTCAATCGAAACTCCCAAGGGTATCATAGCAAGACCTGTTCGCCTTATCCTGATTGAGTATATCCCGGGAACAGATATGCAAAAAGTCACACCTTCAAATTTCAGCCAAGAGGATCGGCAGCAGATCATGAAGAATATTGTTGATATTGAAACAAGTATCCATGCAAAAAATATCTTATTATGTGACTGCTGCCCACGAAATATTATACTGCCAGAAAGCAATCCAACAAACGTCAAATTTATTGATTTTGATGCTGTATGGTTCGACCGTCGACCTGATGACGCACACCCTTTTTTGCTTATCGGGCACAAGTTTCTCGGTCAGTATATCACTCCTCTTTATCAGTGGCGACAAAAGCCCCGCCGAAAATTTGGTGACTGGGTAGACTGGGACTGGAAGCCATGGCTGCAGGTTGAATTTGCACATACTGCATCGACAATCACACCAGAAATTCGAGATCGTTTTGGACCTCGGCCTGGTGACTTGGGAGAGGATTGTGAGAATAGGAAAGACCAGCAAATTGAATGCTGAAATAGCTGCATCCGATGAAGATTCATCGTCTTTCTGCGGTCGATGGAGCAAATTGTATTGAGGGTTATCAAGTTCTCTGCCATGTTTCGTAAAATATCTGATATAGAAAGTTCTAAGACTGATCTCTAAAAGAAATGAACTAGTGGCACACACATGAATAAGCAGACATCTGAAAATACAAAGTAGAATTCAGCTCACGTAACTTGATGTTCGGATACCACGCTGTGGTTGTCTCAAATTTCCTCCATCTTTGGATGTCAGAATCAGATCCAACTTGAAAGTCCTCGTAATTACGGAGCGCTTCAAGGATCTCGTAGGCTCAGTAAGAATTGATCCAGAATTTTTCTTGAATCTCATTTGAATCAACATTGATTTTGTGTGTCATGATAGATAATCTCTGGAACTTGATAGCGGGTCCTCAGTGTCCTTCCCGAAATGGATAAAGGATGAGCTTAACCAAGATAGACCTCATGAGGACGGCATATTCATATTCAGGTACTGAGACAAATATAATCAGTAAATCTTACTGCTGTAGAATGATTTGTTCTTCCTTAATTTGAGCTCCGAATTTTGAGTACAGTCGTTGTTCAAGATCACCCCTCAATTTCAGCACACCAGTCCAAGATGATAACCATCAAGTGCCATGGCGCTCCATATGAAGTATGTCTTTCCATAATGAGCTACAAATGATCTCATAAAATCTAACCATGGCAAGATTGGACAAGCCCATGGCATAAACGCAAGAGAGATGATCAACCGCAGTATTGCATTCTATCAAAAGATGTTCGCCCATACCTGCAAAATGGACTGGGAGACCGTGCGCACAATTGCAAAGGATTGGCAGAGCGAGATTGAGAGTCGATGGCCGAGATATTATGAAGAGATGCAGGGTTCGTCCTATTAATCTTAATCAATGTCCATGCATGTCCTCAATACTAGCCTGGGGTTTTGTTTGGACTGAACCATCGCTGACGAGAGAACAATACAGGAATCTCAGATGGTGCTGAGATAGCCCTGATTGATATCTTGATTCTCAATATTCGCACTGAAATTGCATTTGGAATGTTTAATGACGGATGTACGAGTCTATATTGGAAGACGAAAGGAAATACCTTCCTAGCACAAAACTGGGACGTAAGTCTGCCCACATGATCCCCGGGGCCGTAAGCCCCCTAATCAATAGATATGAAACAATTTAACATGGATCTTACAGTGGATGGAAGAGCAAAAACAAAACCTCATTATCCTAGATATCGCCAGCGACAAGATACCACGCATCAAGATGGTCACAGAAGCAGGTATCATCGGAAAGATAGGGCTAAACGAATTAGGCGTCGGTGTCTGTCTAAACGCCATAAAAGTCCCAGGCTGTGACACGACGCGTATGCCAGTTCATCTGGCATTACGTTTAGTACTGGAGAGTTCATCTTCTGACCATGCAGTTCAAGAGCTGGAGAAGGTTGGATTAGCTGCGTCTGCACATCTTCTAGTCGCTGATAAAGAAAAAGCCTTTGGACTTGAATCTACAGCAAAGACTATAATGTTGATTACTGCAGATGAACGTGGCCAAATATTTCATGCGAATCATTTGTTGTTAGACCATGAGGGTTCTGTTGATGCGGGTTGGTTGGTGGATTCGCCGTGTCGACAGCGACGGATTCAGGAATTGGCGACCAGGTATGATGTATCGACTGATCGAGAGCCGGGCATGAGGGATGTTACTTGTATGTTGGATGATCATGATGGATTTCCGTATTCGATTTGTCGGTATGAGGAGGGTCCTCTGGGGATGGATGCTACGCTTTTTAGTATAGTTATGGAGCTTCGGGGTACAAAGGCTACTGTCTATTTGGGGAGACCATGCAAGCCTGAGGAGACAATCTTTTTGGATTTATGAACATTTGAACGCTATTTACTATTGAAGCACGACAGTGACATAGAAACTGATATAATTGGCCTCACCAGCTATAAACATTGAAGAGATAGACCGCTCGTCATCATCAAACTCAGTTGGATTCTTTCTCTTCATCAGGCTTGGGTTCATAGAAGCCCCGAATTTCCGGCGTGATCTTTGAAGCAGTATGTGCAAATTCGGCGTCCAGCCATGGCTTCCAATCCCAATCTACCCAATCTTCAAAGTCTTCACGAGGTCGTCGCCAGCGATAAAGGGGAGTGATGTATTGACCGAGAAACTTGTCCTTGTCAAGAACAGCGCGAAATGGGTGTTGAGGTCGACGATTGAACAAGACAGCGTCAAAATCAATGAACTTAACGCTTATTGTGTTATCATGATCTTGTAGCAATATGATATTACGTGGACAGCAGTCACGTAATACAATATTTTTGAAAAACACAGTGCTTTCAAAGTCAACTATATTTTTCATGATCTGTTGACGGGCCTCCTGGCTACATGTAGCAGGCTGAGCCTTTTGCATATCCTTTTCAGGGAGATATCCGATCAGGATGAGACGAACAGATCTCACGTTGCTTGAGTTCTCAATTGGAATATCAAATGAGTATGACCCATAGAAGTGAGGGATATTTTCGCCTTGAAACTCAGAGAGGACAGAGTATACACGTGTCTCATGTGTGTAGAATCGATCCATCGCTCGATAACCGGCAATCATAAACTGAACATCATTATAATAGAGAGGGTCATACACCTTCGCAATTAGAATATTAGATGCAGGTAATGGCTTCTCTGGTGCCCCTTTTAATACCTTGACAGTAAAGACCTGTGAATTGCAAGGCTCCTTGACCTTGATAGTATCAATGATCTCAAGACCAAGGGTATTCGAGCCTATTTCACCAGGCAACAGAGGGTGCGCCAGAAAAAACTCCACAGGATCCAATCGTACTAGGTCCTCTAGGTCATTAAGAGTGTAATTCAGGTTGCTGTGCACAACTGGTGTTCGAGGAGTAGGTATATGAGATTGCACCGTGAATCTCAAGCCTTTTGCGTAAGGGAGTGGAGGCCTCATGGGTGACATTGACAAGTACCGTTTCCTCTGGTATAAACCACTGGACGACGTGACAATTTTGCGGACAGATTCCGAATCCATTTTTTTTGGACAGGAAGAAGAAGATCAAGTGGGAGAGTTCAGTAGGTACAAGGAAGATTGAAAGGAGTGGATAGCTGAAAGAAGTGGGAAGCTTGAGGATATCCCTGGAAAGAGATGAAAGGGACTCGGAGAGCGGTAAGTACACGGGTCCTGCCTGCTCGTGAGTGGGCACCTGGGCACCTGGCTGCAGCTATTAGCCTCAAGTTGAGTAAAACTTACATACATAAGCACTCAAGTATTACTATTGATGTAGTTACTACTCCGTACTAGTAGTATTTAGTATGTATAGAGTCATAATATCATGTACCTATGTAGTACTAGTATTCCAGCATCATGAAAGGTTTCCAAGGTTACATACTATGTTTCTTGCCAGTGACTGGTACATACATGTCATACTTCAAGTCATATACTAGTACTATAAATGATACTACCTATCGCATTGATTCCAAAATCACTCTCAAGCTGCTAATACATAACTTCAAGTTCCAGGATTCCAAATTGAATCTTGAAACTTGATATCTTCCAGACTCGGTTGCCAGTCCAGATACCAGCCACATCTGCAGGGCTATGCACATATGCACACCTCCGGACCGTCCAGCTTCACATTACGTCAAGTGTGTTTCCGAGATTTCAATGCCCCAAAGCTCTGAATGACTAGGCTGTTGATCAGATTGCTCTCAGGGCTTCTTTCAGAGGTTCAGCCACGAAGGCAAGCAGTAGACGACAAATGTTTAGGTAGTCTGGGCGAGGAGAGGACTCGGTGAAAAAGAAACCTCGGGCAGCTTTGTCACTCGCATAGAGCGGATTGTGCACACGTCGAAACTCAAAAAGGAACATGGCCGTCCAGTCAAACAATACCACATGTCTGCAACGGGCTGCGTACTTATCAGCTTGCCTAGCAAGTTTGGTAGCGTTTTCTTCCAGACATGTGGAGGGCTCATTATCTCCTCTTTCTATCGTGTAGGCGTGGGCAACCTTGGAATTAAATTCCGCTTGGGTGGTGGCTTCTGCAGGTAAAAAGTCTTTCTCATGTATGACATGGGTGCTTTTCATCTCAAGTACGGCAATATTCTCTTCCGCGCCATGCTCGTCACAAAGAGTCCATAATATGTCAAATCGACTAGTCCGGGCATCAACCCTCTCTGATCCCTACAAAAGTGTGTATCCCTTTGGGATCAGCTCGTCCAAAATGAGATTCACTGGATGCAAAAGCTGCAAAATAGAAAGTCGTCAGACATCTGCTTCATTTTTAAGCAAATGGGTCCGCTCCAGCGTTGGCATGACAGCACTTAGTGCCCGTGGGTTCTTGCGCCTAGCGTGTTCTATGGCATCATTTGCCAACTGCGCAAGACCCATGGGTTTCATTTTGATATAAGCCTCCGGAGGATCATGCTCTCTAGTGGAACCAGTAGTGATCTTTGGAAGGTAGCGATAACCCTCTTTATTTCGAGGGGGATCTAGCTTAATAGACGGAGATTTTGGGAGCGGGCCATTGAAGCTTTCGGAAATTGTTTGAGGAGGCATGATGCAAGTATACACAGAGGTGCAAGTTTGAATGTATGATTGCAAGTTTGTCTAAAAAAGAGAAGCAGTTGTGTAGGAATGAGATGAAAAGATGAAGTGGATGTTGCTTGAACAGTAGATTGGAACCAGCAATCGAGGTGTCTTCAAATATTGTTTTTTCTTTTCTTTTTGAAATGAGCTTGTAATCAGACCCATGGGCTGTAATTAGGTAGTATTCAAAGCGCCAGATTGAACATGGATATAGATTCGGAAAATATCATATTTCACATTGCCACTTTCCCGGCGCTACAAATCAGAGAGCATTGGAAGATCTCATCAAATCAAATGGATGAATGTTGTTATTTTCTGAACGTCAACGAGACAAGCCACACCCATTTGAAACAAGGAATGTTTTCAAGTTATGGTAATCGCTCAATCTACACATAAATGCAGATACGGATTAGTTTCACGAAGTCTCTGCGTCCCCTGTGGGGACCGCCCGTGTTAATGTGGTACCATACGTACTACCTAGGCAATGGCAGAGTTTCCAAATATATGAATGGATGCACATGTGGAAATAGGTCACGATAGCCTGAGGGGTGAACGAACGGATGTATACTTGAACGACACTGGTACTAGTAGCGCACACTTAAACCTTGTACCAAATCCAGTCCAATGCCTCCACCTGGGTAGGCAAATAATACGGCCTAGAGCCTGAGACAATTAATTATTTAAAAAAAAGAATATCATGACCCTTGACTGGCGCTTAGCGATAGCAGGATCGCATGCCCAGTGCAGTTCTAGTTGTTTTGGGCTTGAAGCTATGACCTCGGACGTGTTTCATCCATCCATGTGATATTTGTTATGATCATGACTCGTACTAGTAGTAATTTAACACTATGACACAACATTTAAACTTGAATGAACCCATGACTTCAATCAGTTGAGATTGGAGGTTCAAGTTATGCATAGTATGTATGCGGGAGGTCCAGATATTTGGAGACCACACCGCCACCGCCGTTTGATCAAACCCCGAATCGATATTCCATACATCATGATACTACTATACAATTCCAAGGTTATCAAGCCTGGAAGAGGTTCAGTTCAGGCTCACGGCTGTGGTGTAGATGGAATCTTGGAACTAAAACCCGGGCGCCAAAGGGCGGCGCCTATGCATGTGGTATCACAACGTACCTTGAGTCCATTAGGCCCCACCATATCCACATGTGCATGGATCTACGTATACCTGGCGGCTGATCTAAAGATATGCGAGGATTCAGGCCGATGCTAAATATGGATTGTTTTATCATATGCACATGTGGAGTACATTGCTCCGTTCGCTGTACGGACCTCGGGAGTAAAGATGCTATTCTTAGTCACTGTAAAGGGCCCGCTCCCGCCCACAAGGGCGGCAAGACGTATGACTAGTAGGTAGTAGTAAGCCCCGGAGCCTTCAGGTTGTAGTAGTACCTAAGCACATGTGCACTAGGAGGACCATAAACCACTCGCAATTTGAATGTCAACCTTGGAACATTTGAAGAGGGGGGGGGTTGTACATCTCAAGTGCTCAGTCATCTAGTAAGTTTGAGCTTTGGGGTTTGTTCAAGGTGTATCACCAAGACACCGAGAAACCACAAGACTCCAGTACATACTATATCTACCTGATATCCTACAGGGACCAATAATCCTCAATTCACTGTTTTTTTATTCAAGTTTTGACCTTGGCGTTTGGTAGCGCCGGGCAGAGTTGAGAGTTGTCTATAACATAACAAAGAAATCGCACGATGGTATACATGCCGTTTTAACCCCCACATAAACGCCAAATGCTCGCTGAATGCCATAATCCATAAAATAAAATCAATAAATCCCACCAGGTATATCCAATCACTGCTTCCCTACATGCGCCGAGCCGGAAAAGCCCATGCCGAAGGGATCCAGCCCTGGCGAGGTGATGTAGGGTGCACTCGAAACCACAGCATTAAATCTAACCTGGTTGAATGGTAGCCAGGGCGAAAAAAGTTGCAAAATCACAAGAGATAGAAAGAGGTAAAGGGGGGTTTTAGGCGGAGGATGAGCCACCGACTAGATCGATGATCTTGCTGGCGACAGCTGAGGGATATCCGCGCGACACCATCTCCTGGACGATGTTGGCGGCGTTGACGTGGTCATCGGCGCTGAGGAAGGCGCGAGTCATAGCTTCATAGGTACTAGGCTCACGCTTCTCAATGCCGATGCTATCGTAGATGGTCTTGGCCTTGGTGACATCGCCGGCTGTGGCCCATCCTTGGATGAGGGTGTTGGCGATGTAAGCGGTCATCTCAATGTTACGTGCCACCATACCCTGGACAATTTCAGTGGTATCGGCGACGCGGTTGTTGGCGACAATGGCCTCGAACAGAGCTTGGTACAGGCATGGTTGCGGGCGCACGCGGCGGTCAGCGATAACATTGTCAAACGTCTTGCGGGCGGAGGCCAGATCGTGCTGAACACAACCTTGGGCGTGAATCAGGGAGGCGTAGTGGACAGCATCAGGTTGCTGGCCAGCAGCTTTCATAGACTCAAGAACCTTCTCGGCAGCTTGCATGTCAACGGGTTCAAGGGAAGCGTGAGCATCAACAAGGAGCTTGTAGGTGTGCATGGTGGGCTTGATGTTGCGAGCTTGCATGCGCTCGTAGTAGGCCAGGACCTTGCTGCGATCGCGCTTGGTGTTCAGGAAGTACTGGATCATGGAGTTGTAGGGAGCAGGACGAGGCTTGTAGTTAGGCATGGACTCCATCTCCTCGAACATCTCTTCGGCGAAGCGTTCATCACTAACACGGCAGAGAGCGTTGACAATGGTTCCGTAGGTGACACTTGTTGGACGGACGTTGTTGGCACGCATCTCAGCGAAGTAAGCAAGACAGTCATCGATACGACGAGCCTTGCCGAGCTTTCCGATAAGTGCATTGTACAAAAACGAGGTAGGCTCAACACCTTCAGCAACGGCACGGTGGAAGATCTTCAAGGCCTCAGTAGCCTCGTCGAAAGTCTTTGTGGACTCCTTCAGAGTAGTGATATACAGACCAAAGGTGTTGGCGGAAGGCGCAGATCCCAGAGTGAGAAGCTCCTGGTGGAATTGACCAGCGAGCTGACGGTCTCCGAGAGTAAGGCAGGCGGAAACCATAGCATCAAGAATTGAAACCCAGCCATACTTCACAGCGTTATGAGTCATGTTCAATGGGACATCAGCTCTAGCCATGTTGTGGATCTCATGGACCAGCTCCGAGCGACCAATCTTAGCAGCGGCAGTGATCAGCTTTGCGTATGTGATGTAGCGAGGGTGACGACCAATACGACGCATGTTCTTCAGCCGGATCAGAGCCTCGTTAAGATGGGACTCGGGCCGTCCAGCGGTCTTCTCGAGCTCATCCGCAATGATGGCAGAGCCGCGGAAGTCGGTGGCGTAAGCATAAGGGTCGAAGGAATCAGGGTTAGAAGACGGGGCGGTGATGGAGGTTTCAGCCATGGAGACCGGGCTGTGGCGCTCAGACAGAACGGAAGCCTGGGAAGTGGCCTCCATGTGGTCCTGCCATCTCTTCACAACATCGGGGCGGCTGGTGAAAAGCTTGCTGACGGCCTGGTCAACCATGGCAGTAGTGTAGCCGTCCAGGGGAAGAGCAGCAGAGAGTGCAACGTCAACCATGTGGGCGAAGCGGACAGGGTGCGCCACATCGAACAGCATAGCACTGGTGCTGCTAAGCATACCAGCCTGGACTTGGAGAGCAAGAGTGAGGTCAGCAGGGTTCAATTGGGAGATACCCATAGGTCCGAGGTTAGCGACGGCATGTTCAGCGAGAGGAGAGACCAGACCGCCATTCTCGACCATAGACCACAAGAGAGCCATAGATGCTTGGGGAGAAAGAACAGTAGCGTTCTGAACGAGAACCCGTCCGAAGATGTGAAGAGACTCGGTAATCTGCTCCCGGACAGCGGTAGTGCCAGTGACCTGCTTGGCAGAGGCGTTGCGGATGCGAGCAAACATGTTACGAGCCTCCTGCAGACCATCTTCAATCTGGCCACTCTTCAACAACGCAACGGCGTACATGGCGGTCGGCTGAACCATATCCGGGGTTGCCTGACCCACGGTGTTCAGCATGATCCACAAGGAACGGGCCGCGGAAACATTGCCCCGACGAATATGAAGAGCGAGCAGAGAAATAGCGGGAACCTGGCGAGTTGCGGGCGATGTGGACAAACGATCATATGCTTCAGAGGCAGTGGTCAGATCGCCTGCGTCAGCCGCAGTAACACAGATCTTGGAAATGGCCTGATCCCGAGCATCATCGCTCAATTCAGCCTTAGCCTTCTCGAGAGCCTTGCTGTATTCTCCAGTCTTCACAAAGTGTTGCACAAATGCATCTTGGGTAATGACAGCCTCCACGGTAGCCCAACGGCTCTCGCGGTTCTCAGTAACGTCGTCAAATGAAGAGCGAATTCGATCGAGGAAGTTCATCGCACCTTCTTCCTTGCCACAAGACAAGTAAGCACGGAGAAGGGCAGCATAAACTTGACCATCCAAGCGTCGAACGATGGTGAAAACTCCATTGTCATCTGAGACGGCCAGACCACGATACTCGTTGTAGCATTCCACCGCACTCTTGAGATCGCCTGTACTGGCGAAGGCATCAATCATGTATGGGAAGATAGAGGCATGGGGCTGGACTTTACGCGATTCCATATGGGCATAGATGCGGACCATATCGTCAACCATACCCTCGCGGGCGCATGCGATGATAAGATGGCGATACATGTTGAGGGGGAATGCCAGTCGCGCGTGTCGAGTAGTAGCAGTGTCGAACAGCTTCACAGCGATTGGCAAAGAGTGGTCTTCGGCCAGAATATCACGCTCCAATTCGCTTGACTGCAGCATGAACTTGCCAGGCTCTTCCATTCCACCATAGCGAAGTCTCTCCTGCTCCAAGACCTCCTTCGCCTTGATGGCATCATTCGCTCGGGTAACCAGAAGTTGAATGAGAGTCTCATAGGTATCCTCATCTGGAATTACGCGGCGACGAAGCATATCGGAGTAAACATCGAGAGCCTTGGGGATGGCCTGCGCAGCTTCGGGATGGAGTTGAATGGCAGCGAACAGGAGGGCATTGTATGCTTCCACGGTCGGGGTCAGACCCTCGCGAAGGATTGATTCGAATGCAGCTGGGATCTCCGCGAAATTCTTGGATTGAGCCAGCTGAACAATCTTATCCGATGCAGCCTGAGCCTCCTGCGAAATCTCCTCTGAGATGACCACATCCTCTACGGCGGAATCCTTCGCAGTTGTCTGGCTGGCCTCCACAGTATCCTCGCTCTGAGCATGCTCATCCTGGATCTGTTGAATCTCACGCGCGACAGCTTCCTCCACCTGAGCGCTCACATTCTCGTTGACAGCGGCCTTGGTAAGATGAGGAGGCACAGAGTCGCTTCGCTCCTCCTGGGCCTGGTTGATCTCATCCTCCGATGGCTTCCAGTCAATACTGCGCTTGAACTGAAACTGTCGCCAGTCGCTGTCATCACCAGTCTGTTGAGCGTGTTGCCATGCCGCGTAGTAGGCGGCTAGACCAGAATCACCGTTTCCCGAAGCGTGACTGGCCTTGGCGCCAGCGCCAGACGAGCTGGAAGGATTGGAGAAAGCATTCTGTAGTTGAGTGCGAGAGAATTTGGCGGGATGTGTGATGGAGTTAAGGGTATTTGTGGACGCGTAGGACTGGGATGCGGCGACAACCGATTGAGCATAACCATGTGTAAAGGCTTTGGTAAGACTCTGGCGCGCGAGGTGGGTAAATGGTTTAAAGACCATTTATATGGTATGTGACCTCTTCAGAGTGAAGAGGCAATGCTAGAAGTAAATAGTGAGTGACATGGTCGTTGGTTGTGGTCGCGTGAGCAGAGTGGGTAAATTGACCAACCTGGCACTCAGAATAGTATTGAAACTGCAGGCTCATTGGACGACGCCGAGTCGCCAATGAACGCGCGATGGCGAAAGGAACTTCAAAAATGAATTAAGGTAATTAAGAGTGTAAAAGAACCCGTGGAATCCAACAGGTCCCTGTGATGGTATGATGGGGTGATTATGGATGAAGGAGAAAAATTATGACAAGGGGGAAATAGGCTCGAAAAAAATGAGACAAAAACCTGAGTAGATCAATCAAATCAGGTCAATCATGAACTTCTGGAAGGAGCTGGAGTCGCACCGAGTGGGCCATGAATCGTTCCTTAGGGCCGATCTTCTCCGGAGAATCCTCTGTAATCCGTGTATAAGGGGGAATGGTCTCAGGGGATATGATCTATGATGGATATCTATATTGTTATATTCTATATACTCGAGTATTCTAGTATACTTTATATGATCTCATTGTATCAAGTTACTATATACATAATCAATGCTATTCATTATCTCTCTCTTTTTTTTCACTCTCTTTCTATCCCATTCAGACACATCTACTTTGTACTTTGTCTACAACTTGAATTCTCGTACCTTGTTCCTTGTGTCATGTGGTTTCGAAATCCAGTATAAAGTGGAGATTTCATCAATGTCCCCACCAATTACATTTAATATTAGATGACTCACCCTTGAATTCATCCCGATTCTTTTTCTTCGGACCAAAATCACTTTCTTCCCCGACTCGGATCCCCGGTGTTAAGGTCTTAACGGTCTTTAAACGGGAAGAGTCATCTCTCCGAATTCCGCTACTTTTTTCTTACTTTGTGAGGCATATAACAGTCCACGGATGGCCGCGGACAACCATAGCTCCGGAATTAAGGATGATTAGCAATCAATGAGGCTGTACAAAATATCGAGTACGTAGTACGGAGAGAATAACCTTGGAATAGAACTTTTAGAGATTTTGAAAAGTGTAGTCTTGAATATTGAAAAATATTCTGACGTTGCCAAGGAATCGCCACTGATCCATGGATGAGTTGCAATGACAGCCCATAATTTGACACCTGAGAGAATAGGCACCATATAGGGTTCTTTATATCAGCCCCGGTCTTTATAAAGTACCCACTCAGTGGAGGCCAGTGCTTATACTAATTACTCCATACGGAGTACGCTTGAACAATCATTGAAACATTTGAAAGCGAATGCAGTGTGTCAAACTGACGTCAGATCAACGGGATGATCATTCAAAAGTACCATTACAGACCTTTTGCGCTCCGAGCACGCTCGGACGCCTAAGACAGCACAGTCGATCGACCCGTGTCGTGCCATGGGTGATCACGGTGAGGAGGGGTAAAACATCTCGTAACCCAGTCATCCTCTGTTCAAGTTCAAGCTCCAGGGCTGCTCAGTTTGGGATAAAACATATTTGTCTCGACGTGTCATTGTTATCAGATCCATGCAGCGGAAGCCGTTAGGTCAGCATAAAGATTAAGGACCTTGGAAGATAACAACAGGAAATAAGAACTCAGTGGTAGACCCTTGGGCTGAAGGAACTATCCTGGATACTTTTCCGACAGTCTCATTTTTTGCAGTCGACCGTTTAATAAAGTAATTTTCGAGTCACACCTAAATTCCCCCAAAGTTGCAGGTTATCCACAGATATCGGCACCTCCACATATGAATGAACCCTTTGCATATGCGCACGGGCTGGCCGAAGAAAGAGGGGAATCCGAGTCCTGAAAGGTTCAAGTTGGGGCAGCAGTAGCAAGGACCTGCATCAAACCCCTCTTCTAGGGCGTATTGGCACTTGTTGGGCTTCATATACATTTTGCTATTCGTTCGGTCTTATGATCATCGAACAGGGGGCATGGCATTTTCAGTCACCCGTTTGGACGAGACTACTAGTAGCAGGCTTCGGATAAGACCGCCACGAACTCTGGCATGACTCAATTATAGTATGCTTCATCCATGTATCTTACGATTCGCAATATGCCGCGGCCCACTGGCAGGATCCTGTCTTATATTCTGTAGACCCGCGCTCCAGGCCCGGGGCTATATCAGACAAGAACTTGAACCTTGACAGGTCATATGTACTGTAATTCAAGTTTACATGAATATCCTGTTCACAACTGAAATTTCCCCAGATATCACATGCAGGAGTCAGAACGGAAAAAGAAAGGAAAGAAATATTACTCAAAATCAAAATCTTTGATTGTTTAGTTCACTCCACCTCCTCCCGTGCCAAGACGGTTGCATCATCACACAACGTGGTCCACGCTGTAGATCTATCCCATCACTACAGGTAAATACCTGCTTTTGTTTGGATTTCTTGCTTCTTAATGCAAATTGAATATTGGAGGTTAAAATTTCACTTGCTTGAATGCACAAGAAATTACCATCCGGCGGGGAACTCCAACATTTGAAGGGTTCAAGTATGCCCATGTAAGTAGCATAGGTACATACCACTGGCATCGTTCTACATTGAGCACGGCTAAATGGTACATTCAGCGGAACACTAACAAGCAATGCCAAGCCAACTAAGAACTATTAAACGGCATCTTCCGCCGTGAAATGTTCAGGAGAATGATACCTGATCCGTCTAGTTCGAGAGCCGGATTTACGGCTTGCACTCCGAATTCTGCATTTCTTAAGGGTCCGAGACTCCGAGTTTCCCGGAGTGGAGACTGTTAACTGTGTGGGTCTTTTACAGATTCATCATCAAGACCTCAATCATGACCCTACATCAACCGGCCCACTCCAGAACCATGGCCGCATGGTCCTAATCCGGTATAGATAATGATTTTTTCTTTTTTTTCTGCTTTGTAAGAAGCGGGAGCCCACTATACACGAGGTTCTCGAAGCACTTACCGGATACCACGCCTAGCCTTACAAGGCATAGATCCTCTCACTCATCTAATGCCGTCTTTCCGTGCGTTCAAAATGGTTGAACCTACCCTTCTTGATAATGTATAGGAAAAACGCCACAAGGATTGGTGATTCATGTACCTGACACTGTTAGGAAATGAGTCTGCAGGAGGAAGGACTAATAAGGTGAAGCTCTCCATGAAGTATGTACTTAGGAAGCTTGATGGCAGACCCACAAGGACCTGTTGCTGTATACTGTGCATGTCAACCTCACTGGTCTATCCTACAAAAAGTGTCCGTGTGCTCATGTACGATGATGTCTAATGTACTAGGTACATGCCCGCTATATGCAGAATGGATTCCTGTGATATCTTACAGGCATCTTACAGAACCAGGGTATCCCAGTAGCCGATGGGTCAGAAAAAGGTATGCATCGTCAAAGAAAGTCTTTGTATGTGGGTCTCGATCGTCGTTCTCATGACGATTCTCATTTCGCAAGGACCTTTCCCGCGTCATTCGTACCTGGCGGTGGTTTGTACTCATACATGTAGAAAATGATAGCGTACGGTACATCTTCCTCTATCAGGATGAGGGAGGCAAAACAAGGGTTCTCAAAGAACAACCGCTTGCAAATTGCAAGCAATTCCAAAGGTCTTCATATTTTGGTTCTCGGATAACCAGACAAAAGATATCGGAAATGCCATGAACGGAATCTCGCATTCAATCGGCTCAAGTATTGCCGGTTCATCCGAGAGCTCTGTCTGGTGACAATCCACCATAATGACTACTGAATTGACCGCTCATGGGTATTGGCTTGGCAGATGGATCCTTTATTAATTTTTATTTTTATTTTATTTTTCTTTTTTTCAAGCATGGAGAAAGAGGATCTCGGAGTTTACTGCTTATAAATGGCGTCGGGCCCCCGTGGGTCGCGGGTTAGGAATTGTGCATTGTACAGCTAGAAACTGGTTGTTTGCTCTCTCATATTATTCTTTCTTCAATACTCTCTTGTTCATATCTTAATACATCAGCTTCGTAAAGCTATCATATCGACATCATGGTGTCCCAGACCCTCGTGGAGACACCGCGCCATCCTGGGCGTACCGGACGTGGCTCGGAGAGCGATAGCTCGATTGATGAAATCGCAGATCAGAAGCAGAAGCTCTTCGTCGCTGCGCTGGGAAAGCATGGCAAGGACCTCGACAATTCCGCATCTCCTAAGCGATGGAAGACTTTTTGGACTGCATTCCGATACCTGTCCAACTTAACTCCGAAAGAGGTGGATGATTTCATGGCGTCATATGTCATTTACAATCTTGATTGGTCCAACGAACAACAGATGACTGAGGTTCTGGGCCCCAATTACCAGGAGAAAGTTGGCGATTGCTTGAAGTCATACTACGGAGTGCTGAATCACCTTTGCGCTCTGGGTGATGTGGAGAAAATGTACATCCCACCCTGGATGAGCAAGAAGAGCTCTGTTCTGGAGAACCAGATCCTCTATGAGCGCTCAATCGCTCAGAATATTGGTCTGTCAGCTGGTGATAAGGTCCTCGATCTTGGCTGTGGTCGTGGTCGCGTCGCTGCGCATATGGCACAGTACTCCGGCGCAAATGTCACCGGCCTTAACATCGACCCGAACCAGATTGCGCAAGCGCAAAGCTTCAACGACGAGCGCGGCTTGCATAATACATTCGTGACGCAAGATTTCAATACTCTTCCACTGCCATTCGAAGACGAGAGCTTCGACGCTTTCTACCAGATCCAAGCCTTGAGTCTGTGTAAGGACTTGCCAGCTCTGTTCACTGAGGTCTTCCGTGTCGTCAAGCCCGGCGCAAAGATCTCACTGTTGGACTGGGCTAGCCTTCCAGCCTACGAACCCGAGAACCCCGAGCACGCCGAACTCATGCGCCGTGTTAAGCCTTTGATTGGGGCTGTTGGTACCCCGACTCCAGAGAGTCTAGAGAAGGCACTTACCGATTCTGGGTTTGAGATCGTGCGCTCTGAGAATGCTAGTATCGATGGGTTGCAGGCTCCATTGATTGATACTGTGGACATCTACTTCCGGACTTTGCGACAGGTTATCCTTGCTTTGGTGAAACTGCATGTCCTGCCACGTCATTTCAAGACTTTGATCAATCGGTTGTGTTTGGATGGTCAAGCTTTCGTCAAGATGGATAATATGCGGCTTGCTACAACAAGCTATAGCATTATTGCACAGAAACCTAAAATATAATTGATTCTGGGAGGATGGGAGAGTCAACAGGGATGTGTCCAGGTTCGGGAAGAACACCTAATTGATCGCGATTGATGTACACCATGTCACGCACGACCACCATGCCCGACCTCGTTGCCGCCATGGCCCATAGCGAACCTTCGTCGCCCTTGCCTTCCTCCCTTCCGAACCGATCGTTTGTCGATTTGTCGTCCGTCGACTACATTACATTACAATTTTGGAAATACCCTGTATATCAAAAGACTAGAGGCCTGGGAGTTATTGGTGCTTTATTCGTACTTGGAATTATTTGATTTTGAACAGTCGAACAGCCTGGAGTTTGATTTCTGGAGAGTTGAATATCTTTTCGCATATCATGTATAGCATCATGTCAATTGATTTGAGCTAGTTCATACATCGCATTTAATTGAATTTGAAATTTCAATGTCTATTTATCTTAACTCAAATACTTCAATATTGAAGCTATTCCTGGATCTGTGAGTAGTAAGCCCTGGAAGACTGCCCAGATACCCTATTATGTTGTGCATTACAATAGCATCTAAATTCGCTGTTGAAAACTGATTGTATAGCATCAATTAACTACGGAGTACTGTTCTCAGATATAACTGTAGATTGGAGTACTACATAGTATAGATGTAGAGTTCAATATTTCAATAGTTCTATTTTCCTTCTTTTCATCATACACAACGCTGTATATCGCGGCACGCTAGCCTCCATCAGGAGATATCGATACATCATGATCCTTGCAGTTGAGAAGAACTCTCACCAAAAAGGCCTACTAGTATGTCCCCGCTTCTGCAAATCTTCGGAAAATTGAATTCCCCCTACTTGTAATACCCGACTCTCATTCTTAAACGATCTCGGCTCAAAACGTCAACAATCTGAGCATCACTCCCGCGGGGCGAACCACTCTCCCGAATCCACCCCGCCTTTTTTTCTTCTCATTAAACTCAACAACATCTCCATGGCACCTCAACCATCCTCTGTGACGGCCTTGTCAGCGCCTGGAAAGGTTCTGCTGACAGGTGGTTATCTGGTTCTCGATCGCAACTACACCGGAACTGTTTTTGCTCTTGACGCGCGCATCCATGTTATTGTCCAGCAATTAAGACGGGGTCACCGTCGCGGGGCTTCCGGGTCAGGACCGGATCCTAAGGTCGCAGCTGCGACAGCGGAAGCGCAGTCGAAGCTGGAGGGATCAGGTATTGATGAGACAGAGTCAGAGGATACCATTGTGGTGCGCTCCCCACAATTCGTGGGTGCGGTCTGGGAATACAAGATTCAGCGATGTGAGAACGGTGGTGGCGTTAAGGTTATCCAGAAAGGCAATGAGTAAGTGGAATTTTGACTCTCTGTGAAATCATTGTCCAATTGTGATATTTCTGCAGTTTGGCTAATTCGAACAATCTCTAGACCCCGCAATCCATTCGTCGAAACCTCCCTAAGCTACGCGTTGACCTACATAAGCTACGTTGCCGACTCGAAAGACTTCGGCTCGTTGTCAGTTACAATTCTCGCTGATAATGACTATTACTCCGAGACGGCTACCTCCAAGGGACCTGGCTCCCAGCTAAAGGGTGGTCGTTTTGTCAACTTCGGCGTCCCTCTCTTTGAGGCCCATAAGACTGGTCTAGGTTCCTCAGCTGCCCTGGTGACAGCTCTTGTTTCTTCCCTGGTTATTCACCGGACTATGCAGGCGGATGACCTCGGTTCAGGCCGTGACAAGCTTCATAACCTGGCCCAGGCCGCTCACTGTGCAGCGCAAGGAAAGGTCGGCTCAGGGTTCGATGTGGCAGCTGCGGTGTACGGTTCTTGTTTGTACAAGCGATTTTCCCCGGCAATTCTGGAGTCAGTGGGCGACGTCGGATCTCCGGGATTCGATGAGCGATTGTTTGCTGTTGTGGAGGATGCCAATCCCGCGCACCCGTGGGATACTGAGTGCGTGGATTTCGGTATGCAGCTTCCCCGTGGGATGCAGATGGTTCTATGCGATGTCGAATGTGGTTCTCAGACTCCCTCAATGGTTAAGAAGGTGTTGGCCTGGAGGAATGAGAACCGCAAGGAGGCCGATATTCTCTGGGCTAGTCTTCAGAACAACAATGAGCGTCTCCGTCAGGAACTGAAGCGCTTGGCGCAACATCCTGATACTAATGTAGATGGCGAGTTTTCGGAGATCCACACTTACCTCCAGCGTACTCGCCATCACATTCGCACAATGACCCGCCGGACGGATGTGCCTATTGAACCGAAGGTGCAGACTGAGCTGCTGGACAGACTTACGGAGGTTGAGGGAGTGATCGGTGGTGTGGTGCCTGGTGCTGGAGGATACGATGCGATTGTGTTATTGATTCAGGACGATCCATCTGTGATCACCCGGTTGAACGAGCAGTTCGCCAACTACGAGAGTGCTGTGGAAGATGATTTTGGAGGGAAGATCGGAAATGTCCGACTCCTGGGAGTGCGGCATGGGTCTGAAGGGGTGAAGAATGAAGTGTTGGAGCAGTATGCGGGCTGGGTCTAGAATTGGCATGTCCCATCCGCCTTGCTCACCAGAGTCACCACTACATCTTCACCAGCTCGAAAACAAGGAAATCTTCCTGATAATGTGCCTCGACCAGTTACTATTTGGCCTAGGTATATTTGCCACATATTCAACATATCCCACAATCTTCGTTTCTCCATCTGCTCGCAGCGCGCATTTAAGGTCCAGGGTAGAATTACACGATCACGAGGGTATGGCTGAAACCGGCGCAACCGACTCGGATACTCGCATCTGCTTCCATCTATTCCATATCCATGCATGAAATTATACCTCTCTTATCCAAGTTCGCCCCTTAGTATAGGTCAAAATTTCCCATAGCATTCCCTCTTTTTTGTGTGCAACCCTTCTGTTTGTCATGGGGGATTTTAATCTGGTCTAGACACTTCGTAGAGTGCTCAGGTGGATTAAGATGAATGTCCAGAACGGAATAGGATCCTAGTTTCCATGGTTCCAAATTGCTTTTTTCCCTATCTTCTGCAGTCAAGTTGCTCATGATTTCATGAGATCTACATAGTATGGACTGTTCCAACCCGAGATGGAACCATCCAGATGCCTGCATTTATCCTACACAACCAAGTTTCAACTTTCAGTGACGGGATCAATAATCATAAAAAATCAGGTATATTTGTACACCCGGAGATAGATCCATGTCCAGTGGATTTCCCCGGATCTTCCTTATCGGTTTATTCCCTAAGCTTGGCAGAGTAAATTCTACGTAGATATTTATAAGAGCTTGTATGGAGTACCTAGAGTAGAAGATAATTGCTTATTCTCATCAGCTTATATAGATACTCCCGTTCGCAGAACTCTTACGTTGTTCTCTAACGGGGCGCCGATCCCCCATTGTTCCCAAGAAAAATAATATATTAAAAAAAAAGAAAAGATAGAACTTTTCTTCTCTAAAATATTTTGAAAAGAATCAGTCATAATTCTTGAAAGCCCCTTTTTTTTAAGCTTGAAAAAAAAAAATTCTTCTGGGTCTAAAAACTAGTGAAAGTTGTACCGCCACTGGTCGCCCCCCCGACTCCTCACATCTGGACCCGATCGACCTCCTCTAAACCTGCCAAACTCTCTCCTCTACATTCTCCCACTTTTGTCCCTTTCACACCCCCGTTGATAGTTGTTTTCTCAAATTTTCCCTAAAGGGAAAAAAACTCAATTGTCATCTGCAATCGGGGCCTGAAATCATGTCTTCCAACGATAACCCAGAACATGGGTCGCCCAAACCCGAACACGACGCCGCGGTGACCACTTCTCCGCAGGAGACCCAGCCACAACCGACCGAAGCATCAGAATCCAGTCCCAACACAGGAAACCCAGGACAAAATTATACCGCGACAGAGACAGACTCTGCGGCTATCTCATCAGACCACCCTCAGTCAGACGACACGGCTCCTGCGAACCACCCCGCAAACGGTGGCAAAAACGTCGCGCCCGTGACATCCACGACCACAACTGCGACACCAACCGACGAGCCCACGACTACAGTCGCACAGCCGATTAATACTGAATCGCCATCAATGGAGACGGAAGAACCTAAATCTGGTGCGGAACTTCCGTCAGAGCAGTCAGATGAGGTTGAAGGGAAGGAACTGGAGGATGCTGGACCTTCGCTGCATATCACGTTGTTGTTGACAACGGGGTCGCGACATCCATTCACGATTGATGGTAAATACCTGCGCAAGCGATCGGTCAATGTGGAGAATCTTGATCCGTTTGCGATGAGTGTGTATACGCTCAAGGAATTGATTTGGCGCGAGTGGCGATCTGGTGAGTCGATTTACATGCAGAAACTGAGAATAAAAGCTGATGGAGCTAATTTGTTTTAATTGGTAGATTGGGAATCTCGTCCTTCGTCTCCGAGCTCCATTCGCTTGATCTCATTTGGTAAATTATTGGATGATAAGTCACCTCTGTCTGGTATGTCTTCATATCTCCAACCCAAGAAAAAAACCCCGGGGAATCCAGAGTTATCTATATTTGTATCTGTGATAACTAACCAGATGTCAGAATCAAAATTCAACCATGACGCACCCAATGTCGTACATATGACTGTGAAGCCGCAGGAAATCGTCGACGAAGAAGACGCCAAGGGCGCAAAGGCGCAGTATGGCCGGGAAAACGAGAACAATGAGCGCAGTCCCGGATGTCGCTGCGTGATTCTATAGGCCTATGCCACTCTATATTCGACATCGCTCATCCCAGTTTTTATATGCTGCATTTTATTTATATCAATACAGCATGACCTGGATGCAGGATAACTCCGCCAATGTGTACCCGGACCATGGCTCTGTTACTGAATGTATGTTCGGAAGTGGCGTTTTTGGACCCTCTTATTTTTGTTTTCCCTATCCCACGTTTGAGACCTATATACCCATCCGATCCCTTTTTCCCGTCTTGGTCATTTTCCTTTTTCCTCCTAAATCTCCCTATGCATCCCCTCGTGTTTATTCATGTATCACCTATTGGAATTGAATAGTGTACTTACGAATTGCCCTATCATTTTTGTTGGTTGCAGTTTTCTTATATATATGCTTGCATCCTCTTTGGGGGTTCTTTGAATACCACATTGGACTTATTTTGAATCATGATCTTTTAGCCCTGGAGTACCATGACTCGGTGGAGACTGGATCCTGCAGCCGTTTTTCCTACATGATACTAGTAGATATAGACTCAGATCAACATCTCATATGCATGCGGCATGCAGGAGATACATGAGAACTGATGTCTATTAGCTGAAAGTAGGACCCTGGAATCAAACTATCCAAATAAGCGTGGAATGGTATTAAATATCAACTGGCAGTAGGCATGTTCAAGTTGTCCTCATTAATTGGAGCATATCAATCTTAAAATCGAGTTCACAGTATACACGTGCGTCTGCGGACCATGGTTCACTGCCAGTGGAACTTGAATATAGTAGATCTGCACATGTGTGTCGGAGGCTCTTGCGTAGGTGTATGGCAAGTTTAGCCGAAGAATGGAATGAATAAAAACGTGCCACGTTTAGCGGCGTTCCTCATGGAGGATAGTAGCGTGGCGTATATTGGAATATGTTTCAGTCATATTTCCATCAAAGACCTTAGGTGGCGGGATGAAATCTGACCCGTTGCTCACCCGTGTGCTGGCCCAAAATTGCCCCACCGGAGCCATCATAAGCCATAAGCGCGAAGGGGATATTAAGGCCCCCTGCTCGGTGGATAAATGGTTAGTAGCCCGGCTAGGTACATGGTGCTTGTCTCATCCGTATAAATGATCTTGTCCGCTTCGGGATCCTAGATCACTGCGCCAGTCCTATCCAAGTACCCACCTGCTTTAAGTCTCTCACAATTCTGCCTATGATACCAATAACCGGAGGCAGATTCTGGTTATCTGATTTGATGGACCGGGATAACTGATCGGGCTGTTGACTTCTCCAGCGCCTTCTCTGTAAATGGCACAACATGGAATTCGGAAAGAGTATTGACATCGCTAGCAGGTGAGAGAAACACCTAACAAGCTTGTATAATTCAGGGGAAGATCGCCCTTTCCAAGACTTTTGAAACTTGAATGAAGTATACTTGGCAAAGCTTGTGTGTCTACTTGGCACATATGATATAGCTGCTCTATGTATGATAGTAAGCCACGGTGCATTCCCCTAGTGGCGCCGACTACTTTACATCTCACCTGGCCAGCAACTATAAGTCACCGCGTATCTTTATCGATACTATTACCTATTTTTGATGGTTTTCCTTATCTATAGTGTTTCACATATCTTCAAGTTCTATGTGCCTTTTCTACAATTATTTCATCTAAATCAATCAATTTTATCGCTTTCTATCGCCCAGCTCCCAAATACTATTGCTACCATGGAATTCAAAGAAGTCCAACTTGAAGTTCTTCCCCAGACCGAAACAACTTTTAAAAACAGACTTAACCCTGCGATGTCTCATCCAGGCCAAATACAGAGATGAAGAGTCCCGACGCTCTGCTGTTTTTATTCCAGCGGGTGCACGGGCCACTTGGTTCTTGCGGATCCATATCAGCGAAGTATAGGACTGTCTGTAGACCGTAGTACGTACGGGCACCAGTCAATTTGAAGCCAAAAATATCTGTGAAGGTACCGATAGTGGGAAGAAAGATAATGTAGCAGTTGAGAAAAGGAAAAAAAAGAAATGACAAGGACTGGGATTGAACCCAGGAGCTTCAAAATCAGAAATGCGTGAATAGCCTCAACAGCCTCACTTGATACATTCATCTCCATCACATAATCCCTTCTATCTCCCTCAATTATTTTTTATTTTGAACTGAAAACTTCAATAGAAAGAGGAAGAGTAGAAGTATAATGGGTAAAGAAATTAAAAATTAAAAAAAGACGTTATCCCTAGCCGTAGCTAGATCCCTCCCGCCCGCATGTATTTTCTCTGCCACTGAAACTAGGCCCGGCATGCCTAATTTCAGTACCTTTGTCCCCGTCGAGTCTGGGTCGCCGACCGCTAGACTAGCAGAGCGGAGATGTTACCAGGGGAGCTTTTTACTCAAATTTATGCGAGAATTTGTGACCATTTTGTGTTAGCGTCTCCCACGCACAGTCACTCGCTGAGAGACTGAGTAGCGCTAGTAGGTATGATCGAAAAAAAATTGAACAACAAACAGCTGGCTTGAGTGTAAACATTCCTTGGAAGGTTTGAAGCTACCTATAAATGATCAAAATACTTGGCCTTTGACGAATTATATCCATATCTTTGTTACGATCCCTTCCTCAACTAATGTGATCCAGGACTTCGCATTAAGCTTACTGGGGATTTTCAAAAACGCCCAATCTATTGTTTCACTGCAAGGCATAAAGTTGTCACTATACGGGGGGGGGGGATGAAAATGCGGATGAAGAGGTGCCCAGGTGTTTTGATAGTACCTGGATATGAGAAGCTATGTATGATAAACATTTGAAGGACCACTGCTATTTTTTACGATTGCAAACACCTGTCAATGATTCAGGTGGGAGACGTATGATAGAAGATTAGGACTTGACGGATTTCCGGGGTGCGGCCTGGAGACGAAAAAACTTGAAGAAGAAGAAGCTCTATCGAAGATGAGTGAAAGTTCAAGTAGAGTATCATTCAAACATTACTAGTAATGATCACAACCGCAAATATATTAAATGTTAGCATTTGATGACAAAAGGAAGAACTGATATCCATTCAATGCTCAGCCCGGCTTCCAATGTCCTGATAGGCTTGCTTATGTTCAATAACAGTAGCCCTTATGCTTAGTGCCCCGAAGAATCAACCTCAACAAATACCTCAAGACAACATTTCCCTCCTCGGACTTTGTCTGCTCACTGGGGAAGAACTTCCCTGTCTGGATGGTATATTCACGCAATGATTCAAGATTCTTGAACCGCTGCACCGGTTTAACATCTTCTTCAGCTCGACTCTCACGAGCCCAGCTGATCAAATCCACGATATTGACAAAGACGCCAACAATAGCCTGGGTATCAACAATTAGCAAGATCTAACGAGACCTGCGGGGGAAAGAAAAGAGAATATAAACCTTTTTCCCTTCCTCGCAATCAGCCGGTAAAGGGTCAATCCCAACAGCCCTAGAAAGAGAGTGCCAGGACTCAATATTGTCTTCAGATCCAAACCAGAGCCGAACCTCCTCTTCCAAGGCTTCATGGTAAAGCATCCGAGCTTCGACAGTTTGAGGTTCGGTTCGCTTCCAGCCAAAATGGCTCTTAAGTCTTCTCCATGATTCGGAGGGCGAGAGCTTAGGATCATATGGGAAATAGGGATATCGTCTAAAGAAGAAATCCAGAGGTGTGGATGGAGCATGTGCTGGAGCGTCGCGGAGGTGCTGATTCAATGCCTCTTGAGTTTGGAATGTTCGATTACACGGCTCGCATTTATGGGTTATGAGGTGAGCTTGAGAGTTTTTCAAATGATCATCCAAAGCGCCCTGAGTACGGAATGTACGCTTGCAGGGTTTGCATTGGACTAGCATTCCTTTTTTGTGAACCGGTGAGAATCGCATATGTCCTGATAGGATCTTTTGGTTGCGGAATGATTTGTTGCAAAGAGGACAAGTAAATTCTGCCTCGTGGGAAGATGAGCTACTGCTTGAAGGCGGGGTTTGTATCTCTGTAGTACCACTGATAGTGGGGGTGAGTAGTGTTGGCATCCAGAGACTTGAAGAAGATAGAAAAGATAGATCAATGTGAGATGGGAAGTTTATAACATGTTGTTGGAGAGACATCTCGCTTGTAAACGGTCGTTTGCAGAGTGCACAGAGAATCATGGTGAATAGATCGATACTTAGATGGATCAAATCTTGGAAAGTTGTTCATTTTTATACTTACTGGGGGGAAGGTTTGAGCTTATGAGGCTGGTTTCTTGGTTGGCGCATGTGGTGCCAACACCTGCCTATATGACCGGGATATAAGCCAATTAATGCGTTGTCCATGTTGGCATGATCCCTGTTGGTGCAGGCTTAGCTGCATGGTTGCCTTGGGATAGCAAATAATAGCCTCGAAATGTGCCTAACGTACCAGAAGTACTACTAGTATCTCCAGCGTCCATCGGGGATATGGTAGTACATTTAGTAATGGCTTGCATTGCATTAGGTGGTACTAGACTACGGGAAGCTTTAGACGATATCCCGAGTACAATTTACCAGAATTGAAATCCAAGAATAATAGATTGATTGAGTTGCACATAGCCTTGTTAATGGAAGACAAAGTGTGCCCTATTCAGTAATCTATCTCTCTATCATAGGCGTGAGGTTGGGCGTGGAGAAACGAGGAATAATGCAAGACTAATGGAACACGTCGATAAAGAGAAGAGCAATCCGAGAAAACAAAATCCACGATATTAAATAATCGTTAGATTTAGAAGTCCATCTTCAGACGCTTCTCCATCTCGTCGTGGAAGGTGGGTGGTTCCCGGAACTCGTCACCTGCAAACCCATCATGTTAGCAACGAAAACACCAACTGGGACATAAAAAATAATAAAAGGTTGATAAAAACATACCCTGGAAGATCTCTTCCCAGCCAACCTCTGTATCCCGACCTCCAAGCACAAGAATATCCTCGTGGATGTTGCCACCCTTCAAGCCTCCCAGTACGGCAGGTCGGAAGGTGCTATCACGGACAATCTTAAGCTCCATACCACGGCGGACAGGCTCGGCGATACCGTATGCTCGGCGCAGAGACTCCATCTTCATCGCATCTTGGGTTGCGCGCCAAGAGAGCAGACGGGCCTCGAGGGGGTGTGTGGACGAGGGGGATCTCACTGGCGGTTGGGTTGTTGGTGGCAGAAGCATGAGCAGTAGCGGGGAGAGTGAGCTTGTCACGGAGGGTATCAGGGAGACCGGGTGCTGAAGGAGCACCTTTTGAAGGGCGGGTATAACGGGTTGTAGTGTTGGTGGTTTGGTTGGAGTAGCCAGTTGGGGGAGCGATGCGGAGAGACTGTAGCATCATATTAGTCCATTTGTATGATTATAGATTTAACACAGCAAAAGCCTTGATATGTGAAGCTATCCCAAATCCGGGCCAAGAAAATGATGAATGGATTGATGGCATCGCAGGAGTACTCTGGGGTTGCTCGGACACCGACTCAATTGGAGGTGATGTCGAGGTCCATAGCTTAATGACGCACCATTATGACGGATATGAAAGCAATATCTTCAAAGCTGAAACTAGAACTTTTCCCGGGTGAGATTTGAAGATTTGGATAAAGCGTTGAAGACAGAAAATCAGATAAAAAAGGAAGGGTTTCGGAAGATGATGACCACTAACTGCGGAGGACGTCAGGCAGAGAAGCAGCAGCGCGTCCAGCTCCTCCGGCTCCGCATATAATCCACAACCGCAGTCCATTTTAATTCAAGTCACGTGCACGACGCTCCGAACATTTCAAGATCTAGAGATCCAAGCCAAACCGCCATTAATCGCGACTCCCCACATCACCTCCCAATGCCTCAATTAATCTCACCTCTAGCCCTCCGGGCTCTACGGACTCTTGTCCAGCGTCCTGCAATCACCGCTACGCCCCTCCGCACCCTCACTACCTCCACCAGCGCTTTCCGCCAACAATCCGCAATCACCTCCCGCATCAACTTCCAGCCTGTCTTCCGTACCCAGACTGCTTTCACACTGTCAGCTATTGCTCGTCGCCAATTCTCCAGCTCCCCAATTATCCGCGCAACCTACAACCAGGTTCGTCGTGGGTGCCGAGTGGGTCAGCGCGCACGCCGTGGACGTTCTCCTGCGTTGAAGAACCACCCCTCGCTCAAGGGTGTTTGCTTGAAGACTGGTATCACAAAGCCTAAGAAGCCTAACTCTGGAGAGCGTAAGGTTGCGCGTGTACGCTTGAGTACTGGCAAGGTTATCAGTGCCATTATTCCTGGTGAAGGTATGTATTGATTGAGACTAGAATATTGCGATTGCGATTGCAACTATTGATGCGAGAATATGTGGCTAATTGTGTGTGTAACTACAGGTCACAACATCCAGCAGCACAGTGTCGTTCAGGTCCGTGGTGGTCGAGCCCAGGATTGTCCTGGTGTGAAGTACCACTTGGTTCGTGGTGCTATGGATTTGGGTGGTGTTGGAAGCCGAATGACTAGCCGTTCGAAGTACGGAACAAAGAAGCCTAAGAGCAGCTAGTTGGGTTAATACCATGTCGGATTCGATTTCGTTGGGATGCAAAGTTGAAGGCTAGAAGCCATCTTCTCTGTTGATCTTGTTCAAGCTTTCAAGTCGGGATATTTAATTTCTGGACTTTAGAGTATGTCTTTTTCTTGCCGTGTATTATTTGCAGCATAGGCGATATTGTCATTTATGGATCGCATTGTATCATTATTGGAACATTTATTTGGTTGATCATTGAATTGTCAAATTTTTTTTTGATTGCATTTCCATTCCTCAGGAACGTGTAGAAAGTTTAGATACATTCATCCCCTTGGACCAAATGTGGTGATATATGAAACGTTGCTCATCCTGAGGAATCCTCTAATACTCCGCTGACCATGCACTCGGAACTTGGGTAAACACATAAGAACGCTGTTGATAAACACGAATAATAAAACATGGCAAAGTTAGTCCAATCTGCCCTGCAAAAGTACGAAGGGGTAGTATCCCCGAAATAAAGAGAAAAGGGTAAACTGTCGAAAAGAGAAGATGTCGGGGGTTTCGTCGGAAATATGAGATATCATGGATATCGTGGACCATTGGCAGCTTTACTTACCACTCACAGGGTGATACCTGTTCGTTTTGTAGCGACTGAAAAGACCAACCAAAAAGTCGACACTGCTTTTGATTCGGATAAATAGCCATGCGCGCACCTCGTGGTAGAGAGTGACGACAATGGCACTAACTCCAAGCAGAGCCAGGAGCCAATGACCCAATGCCGTCAGTCATTGCTCAATATCCCAGCCATCTGGCTTCTGCAATTTATTGACATCGAACCAGCGTTTTGTGCCTATGAGTTAAATCAGTATGTGCGCATGTGGGGGATATAATGCTGGTGAATACTAACAGGAATAGCCTGCCCAGTCGAAATTCTCGCTGGGCTTGCAGTGACAGCGAAGGTCCAGCCTCGTCTGTTCACTGCTGGGGCAATGTGTGAAGGGGACGTGGTAATAGGCAATCTCGTTCCAAAAGTGGATCTCTTCTGACTTGAGCATCAGAGAGGCGGCAATTGAGTGGACGGGCGCGTCACCCCAACGCTCGTAGAAAAATCCACCATCATGGTCCAAGGTGTTAAAGTAGTCCATATATTGGTCAGATCGTAGCCATTCCAGGCTGCCAATCTCAAAGTTAGACCACTGGATGAATGTTAGCGCTGTCAATATGCTCCAAAGTTGAGACTAGACGTACAAAGTGGCACTTGTTGTATGTTTCACCACCATCCTCACTGATGAAATCGATGGCGTTTCCTTCAGCGATGTGCTCTGGGTGGCTCTTCATGAAGCCCTTCACACTGTCCCACAGAGTAGGAATAGTTTCAATGTACTCATACAGACTGATAACGAAGCTGTACTTCTTGTTGTTCTCCTTCATGAAGCGGAATGGATCACCAGGGACATCACAGAAGAGCTCAATGCTGGGCTCCACGCGCCAGTAGTACTCGTAGTTGAGCATCAGAGGGTGACGGAAAAAGAAACCAGACTCGTAGCGGCACATGTGTCGGTAGCTCTCAGAGTCTCCGTAAATGATCTTCTTGCGACCCATCTCTAGGCGCGCTTCGCGCGCTTTGTCCTCATCAATCCATTCGGGATACGACCAGTGCTCCTTGGGAATACGGCCGTAGTGGGTGGTGCCGGACACCAGTGCGGTTGTTAACTTCTTGAATTCGTCATCAAAATCCTTATCGTTCAAGAAGACCCAGTCATAGTGATAGTCGCGGTTGAATCGATCCTCGACGCTACGGATAGACTTGGCGATATCCCAGATGTCGTTGTTGCGGGCGAGGGTAACAAAGGTGGCGTTCACTCGTTGTTTGGATTCTCCTCCACTGCTTTCCGTTTGCTGAGATTGCGTTTTATCTGCCTTGACTTCGTCGTAGGTGGGACGAGGTGGGGCAAATGAGGAGCTAGTTGGGATTTCAAGAGATGATCGGGAGACGAGGAAGAATAATGTGAGTCCCTGAGCGAAAGCATTAGCAAATCCATGATTCCCCACTCCAATGTGTGAATGATCATCGCAAGCTCTGCCATAATCTCATAGAGCACATACCACAAGGGCCAAGATAAAGTAGCGAGTATATCGCGCTGTAATAGACATGGTGGCGGAGGTTTAGGCGCCCGTGAAGGAGAAACGAATGCGACGGAGCGGTGCAGGCCTAGCAGAAATGGAGGAAGACCAATCCACGTTAAAGAGAGACAACCATGCCCGGGGGAACCGGACTGTAGAATGGATTAAGAAGAAAGACGAGGACAAGGAATATCGGAGGAGAAAAAGAAAAGAAAGAAATGAGCTAGGATTAGGGGGAAGAGGCTAGAATTTGACAACTAGGGAAAGGCCGCGCAATGGGAAATAGCGAGTAAACCGCTTTCAGCTTCGTGCAATTTCACCGGAAGTTCGACGTTTTCAGGGGATTCCAGTTTAATTAGGCAGCCTTAAGAAGAAGAGAACCACATCTTGATAAATCTATAAAAAGGGTTGGAAAGCCGACTGAGTATGAGTGGACAAACGATTCAGATTAAACCGGGGGCAAACCGGTGGCATAGTGTAGATTATGGGGGGCCGTACCCGTAGAAATGATCCCGATCCAATAACAATTGAATGGAGTCTTGACTTTGCATGTTTCAGATGTGATTTGGTAAGGAAACGTGGACATCCTTAATTAATCAACACTTACACTATGGAGTATTGGCAATAGTACTGCTAGTAGCTATAACAAGTAGTATCTCATGCATTATTTTGTAGCATTGATTATATGGAAGGACTCGGAGAGGGTACTTGGGACGACAGTCGCTATCAGTAGAGGTCATTTACAATAGAACACAAGATGTCAAACCCCTGTATGTTGCTGAAAAAAACTGGAATACCTTATAATTGGAGAATTATGAGATATCAAAAGTATCTACCTCTCTCTTCTACAATTGATAAGGTACATTGCTGCATTACTCCAAATACTGAGAGTGATTGATGTCAACGTGGAACTCCTTGGCAAATTATGCCTGAGGCATCCGCACTTCCCTGAACTTCCCAGCTTCAACTGGAAATCTTTCCCCACTATCATCTCTCTTCCCCTTCTCCCCCACCTCTTTCGTTCAGCCAAAGATGTCTTTCTTTGGCTTTAATACTTACCCTTCCTAGGGACCGCGATCGCGGTCCTAGCTCCAGGGGTTTCTTCGAGAACCCTGACCCCTTCGCGGAGGTCGCCCGTGCCTCGGGTATCGAAGATGACGATGCGTGAGGATCCTCTCTGTTCACGCTGAAGCGCGACGAAGACCCCAACTAGTACTGATGATTCCGTAGAATTGACTTTGAAGACACTTATGATGGTCTTGGTGACCAGCTCAATGACGACCAAGATGAGTTCAACGATGATACCTTTGGTGGGGGTGGAGATACTGGAACAGGAGGCGCTGTTGGGCGGGACTTCGATTTCTTTGGTCGCACGGCTCAGGTTGCCGATGCCATTGGCGAGGAGCAGATTCGCTATAGTCTGCAAAACCCTCGCGCCGCTCCGGCAGCTCAGCAGGAGGCTCAGGTCCCTCAGCCGGCCGCCGAACCAACTACCAAACGCACTGGTTATGAGAAGTATTCAGATCCCGGATACATCCCCGATTTGCAAGCCAAGTCGAGTGTCTGGGGTAATTTACAAAAGAAACCAGAGCCAAGCCCTGCGATGATGTCTGCGATTCCTTCTATGCCTTCCATGCCTTCTATGCCCACGATGCCTGCGATGCCTGCGATGTCTGCCCCCAATCGGAAGATGATGAGCTTGGAGGAGGTAGAAGCCCAGCTGCGCAATCAAGGTCATCCTTTCGGACACATGGCGACCCAATCGATTCACCAGCAAATGCCTGACCCATCTTTTATGCGTCACCCTCAAGACTTCCCAACCCTGCCTGAGGGATTCCCCGCCAATATCCCTCCGGAGATTCTGCGGGCGCAACTCGAAAAGGGTGGACTGCCCCCACACATGGCACACCCTCCACCCGGAGTTCAGGAGCTGTATGGTGGCCCCGGACCTATGCCTGGGCAGCCACTGCAGCAGATAATGCAGAACAACCTCCCCCCCGCAGAACTTGCCACCCCAGGGCTCCCGCCATGCAGGACCCCCAGCCCAGCGCCAGCAACCTGTGCCACCCCCGCCATCCCGAGGTCCTAACGGAGGATTGCCTGTTATCACAAATCCCCAACAGCTGGTGCATTTGACAGAGGAGCAGCGCCAGGCTTACCTCATGGAAGACGCCAAGCGGGCGAAGCGCAACCACAAGATTTTCCTTCTTTCTCGAGGAAACGGCTTGATGACGCCACAGGATAAGAACTTCATTACTCGAATTCAACTTCAACAGCTTGTGGCCGCCGCTGGAAATGTCGCAGATTCCGACCCGGAAGCTGTACTCGCAGAGGACTTCTACTACCAGGTCTACAGCCAGATCCGCGGCGCCCCACGTCAACACCCCCACCAGCCCTTGGGTCACTTTGCTCAGACCTACCTCTTGCAAACCGGAAACCGAATTGGAGGACATGGAAACCGCAGAGCATTCCAGAGTGCGGATAACCACATGCAGCGCATGCAGCAGCAGGTGCAACGTGCGGTTGAGGCGGCTAAGGCTAAGCCAAAGAACAAGCAGCTTATCATCGAGGGCAGCTTGGGCAAAATTTCTTTCAGCAACGCTAAGGCACCGAAACACATGCTCAACATCAAGCGCCCTGATAGCTCAGAGGGAGTTCGTCCCAAGAAGCTGCAGTCTGACTTGAGCGTTGGCGACCGTAAATCTCTCCTGGGCAATATTGAGGCTGTATACAATGCCCTGATGTCTATGGAAGATATGGAACGCACAATGCCACCACCACCAGAGGAAGGTGATACCGAGGCCATTCAGGAGCACATGGAATGGCGACAGAAGGTCCAGTCTCTTAACCAGAAGCTGTGGCAAGCGCTGAAGGTTATGGAGCCCATCGTTCCCAACTCCACAACCCCACACCCTTTCATTGCATTCTTGTCATACGCCAAGGGCAAGAAGGCAATTCCTCGTATTTTCCGCCACATCGATCAAGAGCAACGAGTTACTATTCTTACTATGATTGTCGTCCACCTGGACAGTCTTGACGTGGTTCGCCTTGCCCAGTCATCTGGACCTATCGATGCTCAGCTACCTGTGGCTGTGCGAGAAGCCATCGACCTGTTCGGCCTCGCTGTCATGCCAAGCTTGCTGGGCTACGTGAATGAAGCTCCCTTTAACATTATCATTGGTCTTCTTGGATTGGTTATTGCACAGACTCAAGCTATTGGCGTGGCTCGGACTAAGATTGGTCTTGGTATCTTGACCATGCTGCTTAGTCGTGCTGAGATCGTTAAGGAAGCCGGCCAGGCTTCTGAGCGTGATTGGCAGCAGTGGGTTGAAAAGTTCAACGTTCTATTTGACATGCTCGAGCCCGGTTTGGCCCATATATTCCCTGGCTCGATCAACTCTGGCGATGATATGTATGTCTGGCAATTCCTTGCCGCCGTGGGTATTGGTGCTAGCCCTGAGCAACAGCAACGTTTGGTCATTGCTGTCAAGTGAGTTCCCCTAACCCGTTTTCAATCTCTCATCAAGTTTATTTCCGCGGTACTAATATGAAATCTTTTTAGGGACCGCGTCATGGAAACCGTTGGCTATAGCAAAACCCTTCCTGCTGACATGGCCAGCCAACGCCTGGGCAATGTCAACTTGTTCATGCGGGCTATTGGCTTGGACGTGGAACTTCTTGGTTAAATAAGCCGATCACTTTGATGACTTTTTGGGCCACTTTCATCAGTTCTCCTTATTGTGCGCAGATCGCCGACTATATTTTGGCTTTTCTCACCTCTCACCCCTTATGCGTGTCTGTTCACCCATGCGCAGCCCTAACGGCGCCAATGTAGTCCCCAAGGCCTTCCACCATTTATTGTGGAAACGATTTTTTTTCTTCTTCTTATGATTATTGATTTGACGGCACACCGGGGTACATGCTAAAAATGCACATTCATGTGCAGACCTTGGGGACTACCTAAGGACCTTACAGGGGAGGCTTTTTCCCTCCCCCCCCAAATCCTCCTGAGACCATTAGCTCGACCCGATTATTTTTTTAGGGTACTACTTCATTCTCCCCGGATTGGAGCCATTGTGTTTTTACATTTCTGTTTACTGCTCATACCAAATTCATCTTTTTCCCTTCCTTGGTTCTTTTGCTTTTATTCTTACTTTTTGTTTACCTTTCTATTTTGTTTGTAATCTAGATGGGTTCGATGGGATTTGGGGGATATCTCTCTACATTCTACTGAACAGACCAGGTGCTGAATGAAATAAATACATGGATTCTATGGATTTTCATGATCTCTCTCTCTTCCAAGTTTTTATGTCTTTATGTACTCCATAGGTATACAAAAGGTGCCACTTGGCCAGTTTCGGTCCCGCTTTTCGGGGTTCTCTTAGTACCGGGGATGGACCCTGACCGGGATCCCGGGGTGATAGATCAAACCTGAAATAGCTTTGCCATTTTCAAATGTTTGCCTGAAATGGAGTCTTACTAGTTATCTAGTCAGTTTTTAGTCTATCATCCGGAGAAATACGGGTTTGAGATTTGGGTCAGTGGCGCTGTAACCGATGATCCTTTCGATCTACATTGGACCCATGAGAAGAAAAAAATCCCTGAAATCAATTGAGATCAATTGAGATAACTAAGAGTGCTATTACAACCGACCAAATTAAAAAAAGATGAAATAGATCACTCATACTATGAATCATGCCATTTATAAAACAAATAATCTGACAATGTCCTATATGAAACCTGTCGTATGAAGTTGCCGCCACGTAATGGCGATATACATGACGGGTCGCCAGTGATTGCCCACCCCACCGGGTGATTTCCCCTTAAATGAGCCCCTCCTCCACCCTACATTAACCATTGACTTGATTTCATTTCCTCAAATCCCTTAATTCTTCTCTCAATACCCTAATATCCTCATTCTTTATCCTTCATAATGTCTGCCGGTTCTGTTCTTGTCGCTGGGTAGGTTGATATGTACACCCCACTATTGCGATCTCAGCTAACCCCGCGTCAACAGTGGTACGGGCTACATTGGCTCGTTCACCACCTTGGCCCTGCTTGAGGCTGGGTACAAGGTTGTTGTCACTGACAACCTGTACAACTCCTCCGTTGAGGCCTTGAACCGCATTGAGCTCATCTGTGGCAAGAAGGCTGAGTTCGTTAACGTCGATGTCACTGATGAGGCTGGCTTTGACAAGGTCTTCGAGGCCCACCCTGACATCGACAGCGTTATTCACTTCGCTGCTCTGAAGGTATGCGCTTACTGAACTCCACTCATTTATCTCTGAGTCTCTTGAGATATCCACTTCAATTGTTTTTTTTATATCGTATATACTAACACGCAGAATCATAGGCTGTTGGTGAGTCCGGTGAGAAGCCTCTGGACTACTACATGGTCAACGTCTACGGCACCATCAACCTTCTGCGCTCCATGGTCCGCCACAATGTCACCAACATTGTCTTCTCCAGCTCTGCCACCGTCTACGGCGATGCCACCCGTTTCCCCAACATGATCCCCATCCCCGAGGAGTGCCCTCTGGGTCCTACCAACCCTTACGGAAACACCAAGTTCGCCGTTGAGACCGCCATCACCGACGTTATCAACGCCCAGCGCAACAACGCCATCAAGGCCGGCAACGAGGCTGAGGCTAAGAAGTGGAACGGTGCTCTGCTCCGTTACTTCAACCCCGCTGGTGCCCACCCCAGCGGTATCATGGGTGAGGACCCCCAGGGTGTCCCTTACAACCTGCTTCCCCTGCTGGCGCAGGTCGCCACTGGCAAGCGCGAGAAGCTGTTGGTCTTCGGTGACGACTATGCCTCCCACGATGGTACCGCCATCCGTGATTACATCCACATCCTGGATCTTGCGGACGGTCACCTGAAGGCCCTGAACTACCTCCGCGCTAACAACCCCGGTGTCCGCGCCTGGAACCTCGGTACCGGTAAGGGTAGCACTGTCTACGAGATGATCCGTGCTTTCTCCGCTGCTGTGGGCCGTGATCTTCCTTACGAGGTTGCTCCCCGTCGTGCTGGTGATGTCCTGAACCTCACTGCCAACGCTAACCGTGCGACCAACGAGCTTGGCTGGACCCCCTAAGTACACCCTCGAGCAGGCCTGCGAGGATCTCTGGCTCTGGACCAAGAACAACCCCCAGGGATACCGTCAGCAGCCGCCGGCGGAGCTGCTGGCTCAGCTGAAGAAGTAAATAGTTTGCTATTAGCGGGATCAAAATAGCTTTACATGCGATCATGTGTGTGTATGTGATGGTATAGAATTTTGGTAGAATACATGAAACGAATCTCCTTTTTTTATATTTGCATACTTGTGTCCTGGTAGAATAATTGCTATTCTCAAATACTATATTCTGTTACCGGAGTATGCTATTGTTGTTGGAGTATTCTGTCATTGCTGGAGTACCCTCTGCCTAGGTAGGTATTCAAATGTTGTCCCATCGGTGTTTCCTTAGTATTAGGGGAGTAAAAAATTCCAATAGTTACATATGAGCATCACCAGTTGACCTGGGCAGGATCTATCATTTTGCCTAAATTACAGGTACTGGTACCTACTAGGGGCAGTTGGCGTGGTCCGGGGCTTCATATGTATCTGGCTAAACACCATTCAAGGAACCAGAGCTCCCAAAATTGGAGTGACGAGCTTCCCCGGTATCGACTTTGCCCTGCTAGTCTAAGTGCCTAGGTAGCGGTCAGCGACCCATTTGCGGGACAATGGTATTGAAATTGTGGTGTGCCAGGCCCAGTTTCGGTGGCAGAGATAATACTGGTGGGTAAGAAAGATCTGGCTGCGGTCAGGGTATCAATCTTTTTTCGAATTTTTTTGTTTTTTATCCATCATACTTCTAGCTTTGCTCTTTCTATTCCAACTTTCAGATAATTAGAATAAAAATAATTGAGGGAGATAGAAAGGATTCTGTGATGGAAATGGATGTATCAAGTGAGGCTTTTGAGGCTATTCACGCATTTCTGATTTTGAAGGTCCTGGGTTCAATCCCTGACCTTGCTGGTTTTCTTTTTTCTTTTTCCCTGTGTACTGCTACCTGGCACTATGTAGAAGTAGCTGCACATATGATTGTTAACATTTGGAAGGTAGATAATGGTAGTTTCATCAATTGGGTATTTTTATTCAAAAATCTGTATACATGAAGAATTGATCATCCAGACTCCATACAATGCTCTAAATCATCTATCCTTTTCGTCCCCACTCATTTAGTCTTCTTGTTCCGTCTAGAACCAGGAGTCTGCGTCTTCGCAGAAGAGGTCTCCTTTCGAGTCTGCTTCTCCTTCGCAGTCTCTTTTTCCTTCTTCTCGTAGGCCCTCTTCACAGCACCCTCTGTCTCAGCTTCCTCAATCTGTTTCTCACTAAACTCCCACAGTCTTTTACCAACATCCTCATCCTTGATATCAACCCGAGCACAGTCCATCTCGCGGCATTCCTTAATAAACCATCCGCCAGTCCCACGGCTATAACTCTCCTCCATAGCAGCGTACAAGATACTCTGCGCACCTTGCTGAGGAGACTTAAGAACCAAGCACCAAAACGGCCACGTAATAAGGTAGCCCAGTAAACCCCAAAGCGAACCACCAGTCAACCAGCGTCTTGTTCCAGGTGTGCGCGAATGTCCAGGATCAACAATCATAACCCTCGTACAGGGTGGTAACCCATCAGGACGAGCCACGGAGTTCAAATGCCTTTGAAATGAATGCGCAAAGCTCATCAGAGCAAACTTGCTCAATCCATAAACACCCTGGGGCGCCCCACCCTTCAATTTCTTAAACTCAAAGCTCGAACCTCCAAGTCTCTTCACATTCTCCAAATCGAACTTCGCACCAATATACGAAGAGCAGGTCACGAAGACAACTCGTACATCTCGGTGTGCAGGCTGCGCCCGGAGCGCAGGACTCAGAATACTCAGTAGATGGAAATTGGCAAGGTAATTAACTTGCCATTCCTCATCGATACCATCAATGGTGTTCTTTTTCATAGAAGGTGGAACAGTGAGTCCTCCACAGAGGATAATCGCGTCCAGACGTCGAGGTTCGATATTATCGATCCAGTGAGTAGCGAATTGACGCACGGAGTGTAGAGATGAGAGATCGACTTGCTCGGCCCAGATATTCTGGTTTCCGGTGGATTTGCGAACATCGTCGATGTATTCCACGATGAAGAGGTCAGAGGGTGGCTGTCGAGTTAAGAGGATGATTTGAGCGCCGCGGGCTGCTAGTTGTTGCACGACTTGAGCACCTATTCCGGACGTTCCGCCCTATTGAGATCTAGTTAGAATCAGATGTATGTATTGCAGTTACCCTAATTCTTTGTTTGAGGATTCAGGGCCCAGCTGATGAAGGGGATATGTACCGTCACCATCACTCGTTTAGAATGCATTAATCGTTCGGAGGTGTTGCGAGCTCCGCCGAAATAGTATTTCAGTGCGCTGAAGAGGAGGATCCATGGTGCAATGCGGAGAACTGGCCAAATAAATGGAATGGAGTTTATGCCACTCTGGACACCCTGCAGTAGAAGAGGGATTGGCATTCTGGGCGAAGTGGAATTGAAAAGGAGACGGAGAAGAAAAGAGGCCGAGTTGGTCGGATGAAAGTGTATACGTATATCGAGCTTATCGATAAGAGATAAGATGCTCTTATCGCCACAGAACATTCTCGGACCTTTGACACTTGCCTTCTCAAGCACTTGTGTGCCTCTGTTCATCTTAACGTCTTTCGCTGGTGGCCCGTGGCTGTTACAAAACATGTCTACTGAATATGAAGATGAGGACTATTTCCTGCCGTTGGAGGATCAGCGTATGTTCGGTGCTGGTATTCGGCGCAAACGGGTACCCTTCGTACGCTCCGGCGAGTTGAATACAACATCTACGACCAAGCCTGGAACTAGCATTGCAGATGCATATCTATCGATTGTCTTGAAACGGAACAAATTGAGTACCTCTCCTTCTACACCTACCAATTTAACCTCCAACGAGACTCCTGTACCTCCACCACGAACAACACACTCCGCCCCGCCTGGCGAAACGCTATCTCCTCTACTTTCTCATGCTCCCACGCCTCGAGCTGAAACTCGACTCGAATACCAGAATGAAAATCAGGATAAAGCCCAAGATCCAGCTTCAGCAGAATTCTGCGAAGTATGCAACCTCCCGCTATCAACAGACCCAATCTCAGACCTAGACGAAACCACAAAAGATCAAGCATCAGAAACAAAACCACGTCCCCACGAAGCATCCTTAGCCCACCAACTCTGCCTGAAACATTCTCATCCACCCTCGCACCTGAGACCGTACCCGTACCGGTATGCGCTACCTAACAACATACGGTTGGGATCCGGATAGTAGACTCGGACTCGGGGCCTCAGGTCGCGAGGGAATCCGCGAGCCGCTGAAAGGACGGATCAAGAATGATACGGCAGGACTTGGGGCGGGTCTTGATAAGGATGGGGATCCGATTCGTATTCCGAAGGTGGAACCGAAGAAGGTTGTTAAGTTGAATGCGAAGGAGGTGAGGAGGAGGGAACTAGAGGCCAAGAGGAAAGGGGAGAAGATGAGGAATTTGTTTTTCCAGAGTGATGAGGTTTTGAAATATCTTGGTGAGGGGATTTGATGCTCTCATTACATACTTTTCTTCGTGGCGTGAAATTTTTGATACTGCGTTGTTTGATGGTTGATCTTATACTAGAATTATGATACCCTATACAGTTTCTCGAAAAACTACTACATCTATGAATGAAGATTTGGATACCTTATGAATAATTGAGTCAATTTAGAATGTACTAATAAGACTGAGCAAAATGTAGGTAGAAAATGTGATAGAACAGTAGGTATTGGAATATCCCTAATAAAGCTCCTAGTCTGTTAAGTTTTCCGTACTATGCTATCTCTAGCCCTCTCTTCTCCTCACACATGCACCTTGAAGAACTGGTCAACATCCCAGATATCCGAGTGGAGAATGAATCCCATTCAAGGACCAATTCATACGTGTCGAATATCAAAGGGTAGAACGAAGCCGACAGACGAAGCAAGATTAAGAAAACGTGGTATCACAACGGCGCTTGAATGGAGATACGCTGCACAGCACAGACGGTGCAAAGGCAAAGAGGAGAAAGTAAGTCCAGACACAAATTGCAGGAATGTAACAAGTGGTCTAGAAGAAACGGTATTTCTTATCCTTCTTGTCCTTGTCCTTTTCTTTCTTTTCTTTGTCCTTCTTCAGCACTTTCCCAGAGGATGATGGAGGTGCTCCACTTGACCCGTTTTTCAGGGACATTTTAGCCATCTGCTGATCTGGGGGAGCTGGCTGGTTGAGATTGGGAGCAGGCTTCTTTTGCTGTGGCGGCGCAGCTGGAGCCGGTGGGGGATCGCGCTCGAAAAGATGAGCGGGTGCAGTAGGCTTGGGGCGTTCGGCAGGGATATCTAGACGGCGTTTGTCGACGCTGAGATCTCCCACTTGGCGCATAAAAAGACCCGGGTTAAGCATGTGTGTGGTAGCAAGGAAGACATCTCGGTTGTGAGCCTGAGAGATTTCGTAGCAGGCGCGAGATTCTGAGTAAGTAGCGCCACCGGCCATAAAAACGATGATGCGCTGCCGAGGTTGGTCCACAGTTCGTGTGCGAGCCCAAGTTGGTTTGGCGCTGCGGAGTGAAGCCTGCTGAGATATCATATCTTGTGCGGCCATGCTGCCATCGGAATCGGTGTGAGGACGGGTAAAGGGGAAGAAAGTTGTGTCTAGTGAGCCCTTGATCTGCTCTTCCAACATTTGCTTGAGTGCCAGCTCATAACGTGACAGGCTGGGTTCTTCTCCCTCGGGAGCTTGGACTCGGCGGTTGAATAATGGTTGTACTTGAGGTTTGTCATCCTTCAAGGGCTTCTCTACACGCACACCAAGGAGGTCGAGATTGGCAATCACTTGGCCGTTATTTCCTGGCAGCTGAGAGTGTGCCATGAGCTTTCGGATATCACCGCCGAGTAAGCCACCGCGGTACATGATATACAAAAGGATTAGACGAAGTCGATCAGGATGAGTGACTTGCTCATCATCAAGAAGTTGCACCAGTTGTGCTGCCAGGTTCTTGGCTTTCTTGAAGTTTTCATCGAGACCAGTGGCGAATGATTGTTCGATGGAGCTCACCTCCAGGAGTTTGTTATCCTGGAAAAATTTCATGCACTCCTCTGCCATGTTCAGATGCAGTGTGTATGAATCCTTGCCCTCTGTGAACTCAGTTAGACCTCCAAGCATATCCTTGATGACGTTTACGCTCGTTTTGTCATTGCTGCTAGTGGTTAGCTTGATTCCAGGTTTGAGTAGATAAGCACTTACTCTTCCGCGAACTGGGGATTGGCAGCTCTGAATTTGGCAAAGTCTTCTCCCAGCTTGCCAAGCAGGTCTTTCATATGCATGTGTCGGTACGAAACCCATACTTTATCCGCTTCCCCGATCTCCATATCCTTGGTCTCTTCATTGGGCTTGCCCTCGTTGAATACTGTCTTATAAGTGACCTTATCTCCGTCCTTGATTGGCAGCAGGTCATGAACCATGGCTTGGTAGGTGAATTCATGAAGAAGAGGTGCAAATGTGTCCATGGAGCGATCAACGATGAGAAGGACACCTCGGGGTCGGTTGGATTGTGGGGGGAAATCGCGTTGAAATTGAGCAAATTGATCGAGCTCATCTTGAACAAAGCGAGCGAGGTGGGAGCACAAAACAGCAGCTTCGTGGCTAGGTGCTTGGGGCCGGTAGTACCGGATGACTGGATACTCGCCCAAGCTGGCACAGAGCGAGACGATCTATGGTGAGATTAGTATTTGAAAAATCATATTCATAGGAAAGGTCCAGACCATACCTTTTGAGCCAGCTCTTGAAGATGTTTGCGAACTAAATTGTTGCAGCCTGGGTGGAAGAGAATGGGAAAGCTGTATGGATCGCGGAATGTGACTAGATTTGATTCTCGGGGGTAGAAACTGATGTTCATGATGCGGTAGTCTGCAATTTGTTTGCGCGCCATTTCGGACCGGTCCAGTCGCAGTCGTTGCTGAGGGTCGAGAACTATTGATAGCTGTTAGCTAGGCTTCCGTATAGCGTAGAGCTTCCGGCGCTACCGTCTACTAACATGAAGTCCACACCAAGAACGCCCGCCGGTATCGAGCGACCTCGAAGTCAGCCATGAGACAGTCAACAATCCATGATTCAGGGGACAAGATGTAAAGCGCATCCATATCAGGGTTCGACGGTCGGCGGTGCTCGATTTGCTCGACATCTGCGGGGTGGTATTTTCATTAGTATGCTACACTTCAATCAAAGCAAGTTCTTCGGGTGGACTGACTCGAAATGTTCATATTGAGAATCTCTTCCTCTTTCATAGCTCCATTGATCAATTTCCTGCTCTGTTCATCCACCACCAGAACTTTCCACTGTACGGGGGTTAAGGCCGTTAGATTCCGCGCTCGCAGTGGCGGGAAGAAAAGAAATCACGTACTTCATGGCCGACGGCATGGCGGATTGTGCTTATGAGGACTATTGAAGAAGTTTTGGTTAGCGAAAGGTGTCCCTCGTCATCATATCCTTTATCTTTGGTGGTGCCACATACTGTCGCGCTGGATGTCAATTATAGAAGCGCCCATGTTTTGCGGGCAGCCCACAGATTTGAGGGCTGCGGCTGAAAATAACGAAAGACGGAGTCCACGGAAAGAGATATCCTTGAAGGTTCAAAGAAAAAGGAGGTAGAAAATCTTCAGGAGGTAAGAAGTGGAAATCGTAAAAGTAGAAATCGGGGAGTTAGGTGGCCCGTATGAGGTATATTGAAGGGTGAAGTGGTTTCCCCACCATTTGAGCTTCTACATGGAAGAAGTGGATCTTCCGGTGGCGCGCCAGGGAACGCATCCCCGATAAGCAAAAAAGTGCATTTTCAACTTTTTCCATGACGTGCCATTCCTCTTAATATTCGATCTACTTACAACCTTTTTCTGACTATAGCATAACCTAGCCCACATCTATCAAATTCTTTCCACTATCTACTGGAACTCAGGGCATCTAGGAATGCAGTCATGGACCGGCAGAACCAGTCGTTCGTTCATCTGCGCGTTTCGATCGATTCCTCCCATTGAACGACAGTTCTCTACCTCCTCTCCCCTCCAACGAACCAGCAAGGCAGTCTTGAAAGCGAAGCTCAAGCAACAAGCAGACGCATTAGCAGCGGGAAGTGGGAAATCAAAGAAAGCGCCGCAATCTGCCCGGCAACAGATCAGTCGTACGCAGGACTTTAATACATTGGTCGATGCGGCATTACGGGACACCAAATACAAGATACATCAGAGTGGAGGATCATTACAAGGATGGGATCGATTTGAGCGTTTAGTATTAAATGCCTGCCGAGTGGATGTTGGCAAGTCAGGGGCGAAATGGGGCTCATTACAGCAGGTCAAGCTAAGCCTTCAAAAGGCGTATCTTGCCAATGGATTGAATGCCCTGCGAGAAGAATTGGAATACATGCTTTTTGCGGATAACTTGACATCCAAGTATTCGACTACAAATCTCAACGCTCAAAAGGAAGTGACCGATCTTCGCTTTCCTGCTGAGTGGTACCCCAATGCACGAGCTATCCAACGAAAGATTCATCTACACGTCGGTCCAACAAATTCGGGGAAAACATATCGCGCCTTGAAACGATTAGAGCAGGCCAATAATGGGTTTTATGCTGGACCACTACGACTACTTGCACAAGAGGTATATCACCGTTTCAAAGACGGTGGTATCCCATGCAGCCTCGTCACGGGAGATGAAGTGAAAAGTCCCGAGGATGGCGAATTGGCACGAGTCGTGAGCAATACTGTGGAGATGGTCAGCTTGGGAGAATCATTTGACGTGGGAGTTATTGATGAGATCCAAATGATTGCCGATCCTAAACGAGGTTGGGCGTGGACGCGGGCTGTGCTTGGATGCCAGGCATCCGAGTTACATCTTTGTGGAGAAACACGAGCCGTGCCATTGATTCGAGAGTTGTGCGCACTTACCGGTGATCAACTAGAGATTCATCGTTATGAGAGGCTCAATGCGCTGGAGGTTATGCCGCAGAGTCTCCGTGGAAACCTCAAATCGCTTCAAAAGGGCGATTGCGTTGTTTCTTTTTCTCGGGTCGGAATACACGCTCTAAAAGCAGACATCGAAAAGATCACTGGAAGACGTGCTGCCATTGTTTACGGTGGTCTGCCGGCCGAAATTCGAACACAACAGGCTCAACTATTTAATGACCCTGATAACGACTATGACTTTCTCGTGGCCAGCGATGCGATTGGTATGGGTCTGAATTTGTAAGTCTTGCGAGGATCTCGATCATAGAGACCTGGGCTAACCCAATATAACATAGGAGCTGTAAGCGGGTCATCTTTGAAACACTCATCAAACGAATGCCTGGCGGACTACAACGATTATCTGTCCCTGAAATTAAACAGATTGGCGGACGTGCAGGTCGGTACCGTGCCGCAGGTGCTAAAACTACTCCCGGAGAAAAGGATGGTGCCAACGTAGGCTATGTTACTTCTCTTGAAGACGTCGATCTTCCCTACATCAAAGAAGCTCTCGATACTGAGCCTCCACCACTCCGCGCTGCCGGAATATTTCCGCCCAATTCCGTCTTGCAAAAATTTGCAGCATACTTCCCCAGAAACGTGCCATTCGAGTATTTGGTCAAGCGAGTGCTTGAGATTGCCCAGATGAATCACCTTTTTTTTATGTGTGATGCGGAGGGTCAACTCAGCAGTGCCGCGATTATAGATTCAGTAAATGGATTGAGAATTTCAGATCAGCTCTTCCTCATGGCGGCGCCTTTCGATGTTCGAAATCAGGCCTTGAGTGACGTGAACTTGGCATTCGCAGAATGCATTGCTGAGAATACGCAAGGGCTGCTACTGGATATTCCTCATCTCAACCTTGAAATTCTGGAGCAGCCTGTTTCTGGAAAAAAGGAATACATGCACCACTTGGAGAGTCTTCACAAGGCCATTATCCTCTATTCATGGCTGAGTTTCCGATTCGGTGGTGTATTTACAGATCGAACCCTCGCAGCACATGTTAAGACACTTGCAGAAGAGAGGCTGATGCGAGCTCTGACCGAGTTCTCAGCGAATAAGCACCTGCGGAAGGATGCCTCTCTGAAACGCCAGATTGCATTGCAGAAACAGCTGCTGAGCCAGCAAAGGGTTATCACAGAAGAGGACTTGATCACTCTTCGTGAAGAAAGAGAAGATCTGGGCGATGGAATGGATGGAGGATCTGACCCAGTGGAAAACATTGATCCATTGGCGGATAGCCCAGATCTTGTTGAGAAGAAACAGACCTCGCATTCATGATGACCTTGAAAGGGTTCGATAATAACTCATGTATATTTGTATATTAGATGTAAATTAACTCCATGATACTCTCTGACTTGTTTCTATCTCATTCATCCAATATTGTATTTCACTTAAGCCAGCTGTATAGTAGGTACCTAGGTACTCACCAACTGGTGAAATCCCATTATCGGCTTATCGTTATCTTATCGGTGGCAACCGGGAGGACTGATTTTCCGCGTTCTTCAATCTGGAGTTGCACCTCAGATGATATACCTTGGTTGCGCCTGTCGCTCTTAACCGTCATATTATTTCTGATTTATTCTCATATTATTCTTTTTCGCATCCTCGGTTCCATTATTCCTGGGGCAGCTCTCCCGCCATCATGGATGACCTGGAGTCGCTGGAGCTGCTCTCACTCGTGTCGCGAGTCACGAACGAGCTCCAGAACCACCTGGGCATTAACGACAAAACTCTTGCTGAATTCGTTATCAATCAGCACCTCCAATGCAATGGCGTGTTTCCGGTTTTCAAGAAGGGCCTCGACGAGATGGGCGCCGAGTTCCCACAAAGTCTGATGGAGAGTATCGATCGCCTAGTTCTTACAATGCACCCGCAATACAAGAAGAAAAAGCCGAGCAATGGCGCAAGCGCACAAAATGGCGATGGGATGGACGGATTGGACGAATTCGACGCGCTGGAGAAGAAGGCACGTGTGTTCAAGGGTCTTGCAGTTCCGGACGCTGAAAAGCCATGGGAGGAAAAGGATTACCTTGACAACGATGCTGGAGCTGGAGCTGATGCTATGGATGACACATTTGCCATGCTCGAGGGATTGGCCGGGAAGTCAGAGGAGAAGCCACATGCCTCGGGTCGTGATCGTGACCGCGATCGTGATCATGGCCACAAGCGGAGTCGCAGCCCTGAATACGATGATCGCCGCGGACGCCGACACAGAGACAAATACCGCTCGAGATCTAGGTCACGAAGTGCGCGCCGAAGCAAAAACGATGACTATGTCGACGAATTTGGAAGATCCATGGGCAGATACAACGACCGCGAGGACGACCGCAACGGGAAAAGTGATCGCCGGAGACGACGAGACCGCGATCTTGATGAAAAACCCGTTGAGCTCGACGACCAGCCGCAACTTTTCAAAATTTATGACGGAACTGTTACTGGTGTTAAGGACTTTGGTGCCTTTGTGAATTTACAGGGCGTCAAAGGAAAGGTAGACGGTCTGGTCCATGTTTCAGCTATGCAGGAAGGGCGAGTCAACCACCCATCAGACCTTGTCTCCCGTGGGCAGCCAGTCAAGGTCAAAGTCTTGACCATTGAAGGCTCTCGCATTGGCCTGTCAATGAAAGAGGTTGACCAGGTCACTGGAATGGATGTTGTTCCTCAACGACGTTTGGCCTCTGGTGCGAACATGCAGCGCCTGGATGGTGACAGGTATGGAGGCCTCAGCTCTGATGTGCCCGTCATTGAGGAGTCAAATGGGCGACCAGTACGCAACCGTAAGCGTATGACTTCACCTGAACGGTGGGAGATTCGCCAGCTGATTGCGTCTGGCGTGGCCTCCGCTGCTGATTATCCCGACCTGGAAGAGGATTACCATGCTACTCTTACCGGTGAAGGGACCTTCCAAGAAGAAGAAGATGTCGATATTGAAATCAGGGATGAAGAGCCTCCTTTCCTGGCTGGTCAGACCAAACAGTCATTGGAGCTTTCCCCTATTCGAGTCGTCAAGGCTCCAGATGGATCGATGAATCGAGCCGCCATGTCTGGTGCGAATATTGCAAAGGAGAGGCGTGAGCTAAAGCAGCAGGAAGCGCAGGAGAAGGCCGCCCAGCGTTCTGCCGATGTGGACCTAACAGCGCAATGGCTGGACCCTATGGCTGAAGATCGACAATTTGCTTCAGAAGTACGTGGAAAAACGAAACAGGATGAAGCTATCCCCGAATGGAAGCAGGCCTCAATGGGTACAGGCAAAGCGCCCCCTTCACTCGGCAAGCGAAGTGATTTGCCTATGAAACAGCAGCGTGAAAGCCTGCCTGTGTTCAAGTTCCGAAAGCCATTGCTTGACGCTGTCGAAGCCAATCAGATTCTTATTGTTGTAGGCGATACTGGATCAGGAAAGACTACCCAAGTGACGCAATATCTTGCTGAGGCTGGGTACGGAAACAAGGGAATGATCGGTTGCACTCAGCCACGTCGTGTGGCCGCCATGTCTGTCGCGAAGCGTGTTTCTGAGGAAGTTGGCTGCCGGCTTGGTGCTCAAGTCGGTTATACCATTCGTTTCGAAGACATGACTAGCCCAGAGACCGTGATCAAATATCAGACCGATGGTATGCTTCAGAGAGAGATTTTAATCGATCCCGATCTGAAGAAATACTCTGTTATCATGTTGGACGAAGCTCACGAGCGAACAATTGCGACTGATATCCTGTTCGGGTTGTTAAAGAAAACGGTAAAACGACGACCAGACCTCCGCTTAATTGTCACATCTGCTACCTTGGATGCAGAGAAATTCTCTACATACTTCAATGGTTGCCCTATCTTCTCGATCCCTGGTCGAACATACCTGTGGAGATTATGTACTCGAAGGAGCCTGAATCCGACTACCTTGACGCGGCTTTGATCACAGTCATGCAGATTCATTTGACAGAAGCAGCTGGTGATATTCTTGTTTTTCTCACGGGTCAGGAAGAAATTGATACGGCTTGTGAAATTCTCTTTGAGAGAATGAAAGCGCTAGGCCCATCAGTCCCTGATTTAATCGTCCTCCCCATGTATTCTGCCCTCCCCAGTGAGATTCAAAGTCGAATTTTCGAGCCCGCACCACCAGGTGCGCGAAAGGTCATTATTGCAACCAACATCGCCGAAACTTCAATTACAGTTGATAACATCTACTATGTGATTGACCCCGGATTTGTGAAGCAAAATGCATATGATCCCAAGCTGGGTATGGATTCACTTGTTGTGACTCCCGTATCTCAGGCCCAGGCCAAGCAGCGCGCCGGTCGTGCTGGACGAACAGGTCCTGGAAAGTGTTTCCGACTATATACTGAAGCCGCCTATCAATCTGAAATGTTACCTACGACCATTCCTGATATTCAGAGACAGAACATTTCTCACACTATCCTTATGTTGAAGGCGATGGGTATCAACGATCTACTCCACTTCGATTTCATGGACCCTCCACCTACGAATACCATGCTTACCGCTCTGGAGGAATTATATGCCCTCTCAGCACTTGATGATGAAGGTCTTCTTACTCGCCTAGGCCGAAAAATGGCCGATTTCCCCATGGAACCCGGTCTTGCGAAGGTCGTCATTGCATCTGTGGACATCGGCTGCTCAGATGAGATGTTGTCAATTGTTGCAATGCTGTCTATTGCGTCTCCTTTCTACCGACCTAAAGAGAAGCAGCAACAAGCCGACCAGAAGAAAGCGAAATTCCATGACCCAACAGGTGATCATTTGACCCTCTTGAACGTCTATAATGCATGGAAGCAATCCAACTTCAACAACGCCTGGTGCTTTGAGAATTTCATTCAAGCTCGACAAATTCGACGTGCGGAAGATGTCCGCAAGCAACTTCTGAGTATCATGCAAAGACACAAGCACAGAATCGTCTCCTGTGGTCGAGACACAACGAAGGTCAGACAAGCACTCTGCACCGGATTCTTCCGAAACGCAGCTCGTAAAGATCAAGAAGGTGGCTACAAGACTCTTGTCGAAGGTACACCTGTCTATCTTCACCCGTCATCTGCGCTATTTGGCAAGGCTTCTGAGCATGTTATCTACCACGAACTTGTCTTAACAGCTAAGGAGTATATGCGGATTACTTCTTCGATTGAACCGAAATGGCTTGTTGAGGCTGCTCCTACGTTCTTCAAGGTTGCGCCCACAGATCGTTTATCCAAGCGGAAGAAGGCAGAGCGTATCCAGCCTCTACATAATCGCTTTGCTGGTGAAGATGATTGGCGTCTTTCTGCTCAGCGTCGTGGTGGAAGAGGTGGTGGTGGTGGTACTTGGGGTTAATTCATTTTATTGGAGTTTTTGGTTTGTGTCGGTGAGAATTTGCCATCGTCCATATGTACCTAGCTAGACATGAGATACAAAGCAAAAGTTTCTTTTCTAAGTCACCACTACATTTCATGAAGCTCTTAAGCTACTAACTCGGGTCTTAGTCCATGTATTCTCATGTTTCTTCGTAGTTAGGTTGACGTGGATGGTAACCTCACTGGAGTGGTTACTAGTAGTAGGGTCTTAGATCTAGTTATCATCTTGCCTATCTTGACAGAAATTAGATCAATAAATCCAAATATTCAGATTCTATCTGTTGAAACGAAGAATAGGAGCATGATAGCCAGCATAAGAGCTAAGTCAACCATTGAGAAACGCCAGGTTCAAGTTTATCAAAAAATAGTATGGTACAGAATCTCCTCCTTTTTAGTTATCATATTGGGCAATCTCTTTCAAAGCCCGCTCAATAGTCCCAGCACTCCACTTATCAACTCGCTCCCGGTCTGAGGTCTCATATAGCGATTGTGCAAGAGCCGCCAGCAACGCAGTCTCCTTACCCTGATCTGTCTCAGCAGCCTGGACCTGAATCCAGCTGATGATGGCCGAGCGAGTGATCAGAGTAGTACTTCCTCCCACCTGCCCAGCACGGTACACAATGTGCAAGATCTTGCGTCGAGCTGATTCATTCAGACCAGGTGATTGGTAAAGAGAAAGAATACGCTCGAAGACATTGGCACGGCGGTAAATTTCCATGTCCTAGATGGGTGAATCATATTAGTATCAATAGGTATGAAGAAAATGTAGAACAGAAACTTACAGCTTTGCTGCGCAGACTCTTAACAAACAGGTTAAGCAGCCAGTCAATCTCTTCGAAATAGCCATCATCTAACTCGGGCTCGTGAAGGAAGATCCGGTCAATCCAGTATGATGGGATCTTCTCCAGTTCCCAGGTTGGGGCCTTTTGCAAGAACTTATTAACTTTGCCGTAGACTTTGTGCAGAGGGTTAATGAGAACGGAAAGACAGCTTGAGGCACACTCGCCAATGATCCAAGGGACGGGTTTGTCGAAGCCAAGACCGTTCACAGTTTCGAGTAATTCACCACAAAGAGTGTACACAGTACGCCATTCGGCATAGCTGGATTCCTTCAGCTTGGCCATGAAGCGAACAATGTTTGTGAATGCCTGTCTTCGCACTTCCTCGTGCTCGGAGCAGAGGCAGAGGATCAATTCGGAAATTCGGCCTTGTTCCACAGCTGCTTCGATCTCTTCTCTCTCCCATCTTTGCAATGCGTTGTGAGTTGTACCCTCTGTAGGGAGGAGTCCAAAGATCTCCTCGAGGTCCACTGTGGGAGTCTTTTTGGATGTGGTGGGTTGGGCAGAGCCAGAGTCAACATCCATCATGTCCTCATCTGCATCTCCGCTGTCCTTGAGACATTTCTTGAAAAGAGAGCGGTTTTTCTTGGTCTCAGTAGCTTCCATCAATGCGTCACGAGCAGCCTTCAGCGCCTTAGTGCCTTCCCCAACGGATTTCAGATATCCGAGGAATTTTGCAATCCATGCCGTAACAGCTGCCTCTGTCTCTTCATTTCCTGCCTTGACAACAAAGGGCCACTGCTCAACAATAGCTGCGACAATAGGACTGAGAGCCGATTCATCATCAGATAGAGACCCGATGAGGTCCAGATAATGAACGGGTTTCTTAGCTACCCGAGATACACAGTTGTCGAAGAAGACCAGTTGATGGTGCATGCCAGATCCGGCATCCTCCAAACTGGATAAGAGAGCGTTAAAGGCCTGGGGCGCATTGTGCAAAACCGAACTCTCGGTCAGAATTGTCCGAAGAAGAATGGAAATTCGTCGCGAGGAATTTTTGTCTGACGTATCGATAAGAACTTTGAGAATTGAGGTGAACGGAGAATAGTTCATAGAAGCTGATCAATATTAGTAACCAAAATCATACAAAAACACAACATTATAGACTTGACCTACCTGGTTTCTGCCACCAACGAAGCGAGGCGGACTGCTGCGCGATCTGAAGGACACTCTGCAACTGGCTCAAGAGCATCTCGGAGTCATCTTTGCTGATATCTGAGTCCTCCAGTCGCTTCAGAACATCGACAAGAACCAAAGAAACATCAAAGTTTTCTTCCAAAGCAATATCGGGCATCACTTCGTAGTAGCAAGTCAGAAGCTCCGCAACAGCTTCTTGTTGCTGGAGATCCTCCTTAGCAGTACGTCGGAAAAGCAGGATGACATCTTTAATGGAAGGACACCTGCGCGAGAACTCAACAAGTAGCTTGGAAGATGCCTGGTTCCAGAACAGTTGAGCTCGTCCATGGTCAGATCGGAAAATCTTCAAAACAGCTCGCAACTTGGTAAATGCTTCAGTCAAGATTCGCACAGCGAACAAAGTGACAATCTCTGCATTCTGATTCAGACAGCGGGTCATGGTCTTCTGGCTGAGAGGACGAGGGAGTATGTTTTCGATAGCAATCGACACTGGAGGAGGAAGCATTGGTTGCTTGTCTTTCCAGCCGCAGTTTGTTGGCACGGGCAGTTGTACGATTGAGAAAAGAAGAGCAGACTCTGCCATCCACGAAGAAGTGGCCTTAGGATCAGATGTGAACATGACTTTCTTGGTAAAGAAATCAGCAATCAGCTCTGGTGCCACCTTGAAGATGGTTACCAACAACTCAATCTGCAAACTGTCCGCGTCTGGGCGAAGAGATTGGATGAGATGCGAGAGTGTGTTGTTACGCACGGGAATCGAGTCCCGAAATCTATCGACATAGATTGGGGAGTCAAGACCCAGTTCAATAGACGTATCATCATCAGCGGGCAGGTTCTCTGGATCAGTCCCAACGGGGTACCATCCCGTCTCGGGAAGCAGAGCACCTAAGCCTGCAGTCTTACAGACATTCATCAAAACGCGATGAATCTCGTTCGCAATGGATATGCCCTCGGGGTTTGGTTCATCTGACTCTCGGTCGTATCCGTAAAGGGTAACAAGCTTTTCCATGTTCCAACGATTGAAGAATTTGCTCTTCGACTTGCGAGCGAGCGACAAATCTTGCACAATATCCCTCTCGATGGCTTTGATCGCTTCAAGAACTGTCTCTCGTGGATCTTTTCGCAGATACTCAAGGAATACGCGGGTCAGTTTGTGTTGTTCAATCAGATCACCCTTTTCCAGGGTATGTTGCACTCTCAGGTTGGCAAGCAAATATCGTTGAGCATTTCGTCGGAGTGTTGACGACTTCTGTGTGTCATTCTCACCACTCTCAAGTTGAGCCTTGCTTGGTGTTAAGAAAATCTCTAATCGCTTAAAAGTGATGTGGCGACGAAGGTACAACAGTCGAGCCACTGCACCTCCATCAAAAGTAACGATCTCTGTCAAAAGACGGATGCATGGAGAGATGAGATGTTCCTTAGCCTTCAGGGCAGTCAAGCCTCGGTTGAAGAGTCTGAGCTGATCCTTTTGCAACAGATGTTTACATAGCGCAAGGCCAAAGTCCCGGAATTCCAGCTCATGAGAGATAGTCTTAAGAAAAATTGCCAGCACAGATGGGACATTGGTCAGTAAGGTGTCGTGGTTGTTAGACTCTCCGAAGCTCCATGTCTGTGTGATGTCTGAAAAACAGACCGACTCAGAGCCTTCTTCTTTACCGGGAGTGATTTGCTTATCGCAGTAGGCTTTTAGGATGGTCAATTTGTGAGCCTTATCACTCTCCTTTCCTGGCTGACCAATTGACAACAGGAATTGTTTGAAATAAATAATTCCTATGGGTTTCGTCTGGTTAATTCCGGCATTTGAAGGGGATGATCGCGCAGCATACCTTTATTGGCCGTCTGGGGATTCTGTTGAAAAAGTAGCACCTCACGGAGCTGAGCAGCAGAGTTGAAGCTCACTTCCTCATTCCCATGAGAATCTTCATCGAGCTTCCTCCTCTTCACTCGAAATGGATGTTCTGTGACGTGCGCCATGATGGGGAGTGTATGGATGTTATTTTTTCCTTCAAAGTTCTTCATGAGGTTCCGATGCCATCAAGATTTTCCTCCCGTTGATTGGTCTACTCTGCCCCACTCACTCCTTCAACTTTATACCTTTGAACACCACTATTAACTACTAGTGCATATACTGTTGATGGAAATAGTAATTACTGAATTTGTGAGTCTATATCCAGTCTAATTCCAAGGTTTGAAAGGAAGTCATCACTAATCTCGATTATCCTATCATGACTCTCAGTGCCAGTGCCGCGGCTGCAGTTTGAATACTACTACATAGTACTAGGTACTACTTAGTAGTACCTCCGCTGCAAAGCATACACAACTTAAAATTGAATGGGCTTGAAGCTCCAATTGAACACTGACAAGCCACTAGCAGAGCAGCACCTCAAGTGCTCGAGCTTGAACTTCAAGTTGAAGCCTTGGAATTTACTGGCCAATACTACACGACTCAAAATTCGAAAGGATCATGACATCCAGGGTCTGAACTCTGAGATATATATACCACAGGAGATTTGAACCCGAACTATCCATGCTTACCTATACTACTTTAAGTTGGTACCTCAGCCTTCCAACTCGAAATTCTCATAGCTATGACCCAAGCTGGAAGCCTGAGGCACCAAGGCTGAGTGCACATGCTGGCACGGAACCATGGAAAGTCATAACTATGGTGGGCAAAGATACCCGACAGGCTACAAAGTATGTATCGTTCGAATGATGCAAAAAAAAAAAAACTGAGACGACTGTATCTGCGACAGTCAGAAAATTTTGGATTGAAGCAAACAGGCATCACTGGAATAGTTTCTCAAGCACCTGAGCTCATGGCAGCCTGGGATGATGCCTTACAGGTATGTCACTGTATGTGTACCTGTATGTGTAGGGTTCGCTATGTACTTCAACCTTGGAATTTCGTTATTGACTAATACAAAGGTCTCTCTATAGGAAGAAATTGAAGCTACCAATTTCTATTAATGGAAAGAATAACTGATTCACTTTATTACTCCCAGCCCTTGTACTAGGTAGGAGCCTGGGGTCTTTGTTTTCTTTGCCAGTCATTGAAGCATCTTCTTTGTTAAGCACGGAGATACAAGCCGCAGATGTACCGTACTATTGCTATGATTAATTCAAGTCAGATGGAATTTTCTACGAGCAAACCAGCTGATTTGAGATAGAATCCATATGCACTAGTATGATTAGTATATTCAAATTTGGACGTAGTACTAGTAGTGGGCTCACTAGCATCGTCTCTCTTAAATGGATTTTCTCCAAAGTATGTACTACTAGTACACTAAGGCGCTATGGATACATATATCGTCCTCAAGTTACTAGGTAGTCAACTAAAGTTGAACAGTTGAACAATATTTCTAGGTACCTAAATAGAATGATTATCTAGTAGATATTAAATGATATGAAATTTACTAGCACTAATATATTGAATTGAGAGGACAGGTCTCCTTTAGTATTCCTCCATAGAAGGGAAAAAGGAGGTATAGATCAGCTGCACCACAACCCGCATTGACATAACTCCCTTTTCTTCTAGTACCAGCAAATTTCATCCTCACCAACATTTTCCCCTTTGTCTACTCCCCACCTTGATAAAAAAAGGATCAAATATTTTCAACCTTCACTCCTCACATATTCAAGTGTACCTGACTACCTTAGTGGGGATCACCAAAATCTTACCGATTCCCGGGCTCCGCCTTGAGCCTTGCCACAAGTGGCTTACACTGCTTCTCCTCACTCGACCTCGTCTCCCGAAGAACCCTCATCTACCACCTTCTGCCCACGAAAACTCTCTTTCCCTTGCACGAATCTCGAATCCTTTTCTCCTCTACTCAAGTACATCAAATAACTGATCTTGTCCATACCATTCACTCTCAAAATCCCACCACCCAATGAGAAGTTCATAATTCCTTGAACTACGATCGCACACATCTCAGATAAGGCCGTCATGGCGCGGCGATATGAGATCGATGAGCTGTTATGGCTGCGCTCATCGCCTCTTGTCGTAAAACCCCCTGGCCTGCCTCCTATCGAAGATTGGATGTGAGTTAACATTGCCCCCCACCTTTGAGAATATCCCGCACTGTTCAGGTCAAGACTAACCTGTGTCTGCTTTATAGGCCTCAACCCGACCCAACCACCCAGCGCAAACAACAGAATACTCGAGATCCTAACAATCCATCTGAAACAACTACCAACCGACGCCCAAGCTTTTTTGAAGCTCGTCACATCTCCCGAGGCTCCAATTCAGGTGCGCCGTCCTCCGGTACAAGCTACCACCGAGTCCCCCCTCGTCATCCTTTTTTACATCCCACTTTACTAACTGACTTGAACTGGCATATAGAAGATATCATTCTTGGACCTCCAAAGACCGCATTTGCATCATCACGAATCGGCGGTAAAGGCTCGTTCGACCTGACAGATCGACCCGCGCGACCAAGCGAGACAGAGGAGAAGAACGACCGATTCAACTTCCGAGATAGATTTTTCAAAGATAAGGAAGGCGCAGAAAAGGAAGCCGACCGACGTGATGGAAAGCCGGTTTTGAATGGCCGACGTGGGGAAAGGGAGGACTGGAATGCTGGACGCCCTCGCCGCACTTTCGGCCCCGAGGATCCAGAACGCAAGCCGCGACGCAATGGAGAGTTTGACCGTTGGGAAAATCGTGAGACCCCTCGAGATCCCAATGGCGAACGTGGCCCTCGCGCAGATAAAGATCCTCGCTTTACGAAGAAAGATGGCACCCCAGGACGGGGCAAATTTGATGGAAACTGGTTTCGTGATGAGCATGGCCATGATGCCGTCGAAGCCGATGATGATAAAGCCTCGCTCCGTAACCGGGAATGGCGTCGTGACCGACACGGCGCTGACCGCGACTGGACTCGCGGTACTAAGATGGAACAAGAGCCTGAATGGTTGGACAGCAATGACCGCGACGAGCCACGACGAGCACATACCCAGGAAGATTTTGAACGCTGGAAGGAACGCATGAAGGCTGGTTCTGGCACTGCGCAGCAGCCCCCGCCTTATGAAGAGAAGAGAGAAGTAGTAGAAGAACCACACCCTGCTTCACAGAAACCCGAGACTCGTCCAACAGACGGCGAGATTTTCAGTCACTCGGGCACTCAATTCTTGTCCGATAACTCGATGGAGCGGTTCTTCGGCATGCTAGGTGATCCAAAGCCTGCGCCTCAGGAGATTATTAGCCCGCCAATTCCCGTCGAGACTCCCAAGAAAGAGGCTCTCAGTGGAAAGCATGGCAAGTCCTCTCGGTTTGCCGGTCTGTTCAGCCCTATCCCGGATAGCCCTGCTAGAGCACCCGAGCCACAGCCTGTCCCCAGGGCCCAGAGCGGTGGAACCCCAGTCAATTCCAATGACGCTGATCAGGAAGGCTTCCAACGAATCCTTCAAATGCTTGGTGGTGGCGGTGGTGCTGCCGCTGCCGTTGCCGCTGCCGCCGCTACTGGTCGATCCCACAATGCCACACCCAGCCAGATTGACGCGCGTGCTGCCGCATTGGGTCACCCAGAGCAGCAACACATTGCTTCGCACATGTCGTCTCCAGCGATCTCGCGACATGGATTCACCAGCCCTCCAGTCCCAGAAAACCCCATGGCTCAGTTTGCAGGAAAGGACCCCCAGGCGCGTGACAGAGAGCATCTGCTTCGCCTCATGCAACAAGTTCGAGTTGGCCCTCCCCCTGCTGGTAACCCAGTTCAGTCCCCCAACGCAGGACCTGGGCCCCCTCCTGGTCTCATGCCGGAAATGATGCCTCGTCCTCCTCCTGGACTTACTCCTCAAAAGGGACCCAACTTTTTGGACGACCCCGCAATCGCAAACATGCAGCGTCCTGACAGTGAGCAACTCCGCCGACGAGCTGCCAATGGACCCCCCATGGGTTACTTCGATGAAGTACCCTTCCCCCAGGGAAACCAAGGTCCTATGACCCCCGGAGGCTCCCGTCATCCTCAGGGCCCTGGTCAACCCCAAATTCTGCAGCGTCCACCAGGTCTTGAACACCTACCCCCTCCTGGATGGAGCGGTCAGACTCCGCCTCAGCATGGCAACGGACCGAGTCCAATGGGACCTCCACCTGGAATCCCCACTGCCGGCCGCGGCATGAACCCTGGTTTCCCTCCAGGTATGATGCCTATGCCTGGCAACGTTATGCCTGGCAACGTTCCTCCCATTAATGAACGACAAGCCTTTCCTCGTGGCCCCCCCTCCGGGCATGTTGCCTCCCGGATATATGGGCGCGCCCCCGCCACCTGGATTTCCCCCAATGCCACCTAACCCAGAGGCAATGATGGGGCTCGGCCCTGGCAGCCAAGGTCCATTTGGACCCGGCAACCCTCCTGGTCCCCAGGGACCTCCTCCATCCTCTCGCCATTTGCTGGAGATGTTTGGTCAGTCTAATGGAGGTGATGTTCGCGGTGGCATGGTTGGTCCTGGCCATTTCCGCTAATCCGGATAACCCTCGTGATATGAAAGCTGTGTGGCTCATTCTATATGCTCGCTATTCTATGCTTGCCTGCAAACTTTATCCACTCGGGCAGAGGCGCAGCGGAAAGTATGGCACGCAGCATTTATTCACTCTGTTTTAACTCGGCCTGGTTACACGGCAACGTTGCATCTTCTCGAGAGATCAAAGCGCCTCTTCTTCCTCGGTTTTCTTTGCCCATTTTCCTATTTTCCTTCTGTCTTTGCTGATACCAATTTCCTGGTATTTATGATGCCCACCCCCCAGCCTGAGTTCCTATTAACCCCAGTCTCAGCCCTGGCTTTGTCTGGATGTGGTTTGCTCTATGATATTGCTGAATCGGCCCCGGGGATTCCCCAATTTTTATTCTCATTTTTTTTTCTGTCGTGGGTAGCTGATTCTCGAGACAATGTACGTGCCATGTGCCAGATCTGGTTATGACAGATTACTGAAGTGATAAGTGATGATTATTGAAGGAAATGATCTGAGAAATCTGCCGGTAGATAAGATTGCCTATGATTTATGCTTTCTCAGGGCTCTGGTTTTACTCATGTAGTAGATCTCACTCCCTTAGTTCATCAATTAGCAGATGCAATCTATTTATTCTTCGATGATCATCCCACTAGTTCCAACGGAACGGATCCCGAGTTTATGCCGTAGGGCCTAGAGATAACCGGATAGATGGTGTGACACCATGCATGGGCAAGCTCGGAGAGTATCATAGTACACTGAGCAGCCCATTCCATCTGTTCCATCAATATCACTGCGTCTGTAACGTCAAATGATCATGATGCCAGTGCCAGTGGTGGAATGACTTTAACCAGATACCATCATGAATCTTAACCCAATCAGTGCCAATGCATACTATGCACTAGTAGACCTTAGTAATTAGTTTTCAATGATCAGATAAATTTGACCCTGATTCTACTATTGGATTATTGGATTTACCCCAGAATAATACATGAAATTGTCTCGGGAACGTTGTACTGTGAGGACTTCGAGTATGAGCAACCTACCCTTCTATTATCAAGACAATGCTAATACTATAATGCTTTAGCATTGATGCAAGCTAATTCAATTTAGCTGATACAGCTTTGGATTTAAAAGAAATTATCAGAAGAAAGAAATTGTATATGAGACCAAATTTTCAATATAGGGTATTTCATGGTTGAGCTAGGGTTAGAGGCCGAGCCGCAGTATGAACCTCAATATCAAATCCTCTAAAACACCCAGCAGAAATCTTTTCATGTAGTATTTTAGAGAAATGATATCAATAGACAGGTTGAAATGTTCTTTTCTCAATGTGGGGATCTCTTTGTACAATATAGTATGCATATAATGACCAATGTGTCACTTTGTTCCCCATAACCTAACTGCACTCCGTATCATTCTTGTCCCCTTAAGTCAGCGAAAGCACCTTCACAACTGATATCAAGCTGCAATAAAGCATTAACCAATTTATAATATATAGAGGTCATTGAAAATGGACTTGGCCCAGGACTTTGTATCGTTTGATCAGTGTCAAAATCACAGGCAGTACCTGGCTTAGGCAAGAGAAGTGAATGCCATGTAAGGCAGCGTTCAAGTGAGAGATGAGACCAAAGTAGGCTACGACGCGACTCGTAATTTAGACAAGTATTCACATTGTCGCCGTATTGTTTACTTCTCTCCTCCTCCACATCGCAACACTCGTATCGTCTTGTCGCGCCCATTTTGTTGTCCTCAACGAGTCAGCAAGATGCCTCGACGAAATTACGCCAGCGATGCCTCCCCAACTCCTGCCAACCGTCGCAGACTTCTTCCTAACGCGTACCCCCAACCTGAACATCCCATGAACCTCCGAGATCGAGGTGGTGCACCGGAGTTTCAAATCCCTCTTCCACCCCCCCCCTACCACCACAACACGAATCTTCTCGTCGCCGCCGCGAACGGCAGACCGAGTCCGAGCCTGAAGACCCTCGAGCAAGTAAGTCAACAGTCCTTGATCATCTTGATTTACAGGAAGCCCCCTTTACAAGAAGCCTCATCAGTGAAACTTATATATCTATCTAGGCAGTCCAGAGGGCAGCGAAATGAGCGGCGCCGACCCCTCCCGGGGCTCTGAGGGTTCCTCGTGGGAACCATTCCTGAACCTGACTGTCGATCACCGGGTTAGTCGGGTTTGGGAGTCCCGTGGTGGATTAAACCACGGGGAGCCCTTTGAGATCTGGGAGGATGACCCGGACGCCGAGCCTCCTAATCCACCAACTCCGCCTCTCCCAACGGACCGGAGCGAAGAGAAAGAAAACCTCTTCCTGACCAGCTCCGACTACGGCTCCGACAACGAAGAGCAGGAGAATGACCCGCGCCGCCAGAACATCGACTTTGACGTCCTGAACGACCGCCGCATCGATGCCTATGGCCCTCCAGTGCCATCTCGGGTCTTCAACCAGCTGACCATCGATTCTGAGGGCAATGTCGTTCGTCACACCCCCCAACGCCGCACTCCTGTGCCTCTTGAGTTTGTTCGTCCTGCTGTCCGCATTGAGATCATTGAACAGAACAATGAGGTTGACGAGAATGATGAGAACGACGAGAGCGACGACGACAGCGGCGAAGAAGCCGATGAGCCAATGGACCTCTGGGATGAGTCTCTCGAAGAAAACCAAATTCGCGAGCTCGAGGAGCTGACCGACGTTCATGTTCGTGCTCACGACCAGCGACAGGCCCACGGTCGTCAGGAGCCCATGCGCGATTCTCCCAGCGTTCAAGGTCCCGCCAGTCTTTACTTGGAAGCTCGCCGTATCACCATGTACCAGCGCCAGCAAGCCCGCCGTCGAAACCGAGACATCGTTGATTATGGCGACGAAGATGATGACTTGTGATTAGTCTCATGTTCGAGTACATATGAGATGACATACGAAGTGATGAATCATGATATCTATGAGGACACGAAACATGCATGAGGGAATATGCCTGCTTGTATTATTATTGTTGTTGTTTTGCAAGGCTTTTGTACTTGTAGTATTGGGTTTACAGCGAGATTCGTGTCTGTGCGCTTTGTCTGCTTTCGTCTGATTTGCAGCACGCTTTCATCCTTCTGAATTTGAATACCTTTTTTTCTCCAATTTCTTCTTCTTCCCGTCTGATGTTTTGCATGGAGACTACTGACAGTAGGGAAAAGGACTGAAAGGAAGAGTCCTGTTAAGCCCCAAGAGCTCTTGGAAGCACTGCACCCCTTAGACAATGTCCCTTGGTTCAGTACCAGAGGCGGAGAATATTGGCTATTTTACATCAGAATGCATTGGCATAGGTATAGAGATCTGGCACCCCCTCCGAGTCCCGAGGTCAGCACTAACTTGAAGATTGACACACTATTGGTCAATCTCAAGTAGACTTTTGACATAATCTTAAACCCCAACTGCCAAGAACAAATGATCTTGAATGTTGTTGGAAGGCTTAAGACAAAGCGGGATGAAGTCAGATACTCTTCCCCGCCTGATAAGCCTATCACTTGGCAGCTGCATTAGCGTCGCCTTCTCCTCCCCTTTCCAGGTCTGTTATCCTGCACTCAATTGACCAAGGTACTGATCTTTATCAATATCCAATAGTATAGGCTCTTGGATGCTCGAGTCGATTACTGGGCTGGGGCTATTATCAGTGCACTATGTCATGCATAACTTGATAGCATAGAGTATCCAGAGCTCTATCTCTATGTCTATCTACAACTTAGTTACCCGAGGTGACTCCGCACCGTATTGAGTCTATTCTCTATTACAGAGTCAATGCACATATAAGGAGACATGTTCCCCGCATTGATGTCTAATGTCTCCTCACGGTCTTTACATCAAGAATCAAGATGGAGAAAAAGACTTCTACTGAGGATACCACTTCTACTGAAGATGCCGGTTCTGGCACTGTCCATCCATATCGAGAGACTCAACGGGGTCTTGCATCAAGACATGTTCAATTGATGGCTATTGGAGGCTCTATTGGAACTGGATTATTTGTGGGAATTGGATCCTACCTTCGAGAAGCAGGACCACTCTCCCTGTTTCTGGGTTACTTGGTCTGGGGTGTTTTGTTTATTCTTCCTGTCAATCTGAGCGTGGGCGAAATGGTGGCCTATCTTCCAATCAGAGGCTCAATCTTCGAGCTTGCTGCTCGATTTATTGACCCTGCTTTTGGCTTTGCCATGTATGATCTCTATTTCCGAGACTCCTCCCTATTTCAAGTCGATGACAACACTGACATTAACTTAGGGGCTGGGTTTATTTCTATGGAGGCGTTATGCTGGTCTGTACAGAGTACTCGGCCGTTGCAACAGTCATGCAATACTGGAATACAAGCATCAACCCAGGTGTTTGGGTCGCTATGGCGATGGTTGTCTGTTCACTGCTGAACTTCGTCGCAGTCAAATACTATGGAGAAAGCGAATTCATCATGGCCTCCACCAAAATCCTTTTACTTATCGGACTTGTCCTGCTAACCTTCATCACCATGGTTGGTGGTAATCCGGAACATGATGTATATGGCTTCCGAAATTGGACCGACGGAGCGATGTTCGAATACTATACCGATGGAGTCACTGGGCGCTTCCTGGGATTTTTCTCCGTCATGATCTACGCTGCATTTTCGATAGCAGGTCCCGATCTTCCTGCACTTGCGGCGGGAGAGATTCAAAACCCACGTTACACTATTCCTCGTGTTGTGAAAATGACTTTCTGGCGTATCGTCGGGTTCTATGTAGTTGGTGTCCTCGCCGTCGGCATTATCTGCAGTCCGCGAGACCCACGTCTCATGTCTGCAATTGACTCGGGAGCAGCAGGATCCGCTGCCTCACCGTGGGTCATTGGGATTGAGAATTTAGGAATCAAAGGTCTACCGGGCTTGATCAACTTCCTCATTCTACTATCTGGCTGGTCCTGTGGCAATGCTTATCTATACAGCTCCAGTCGAACACTCTATTCCCTCGCGCGGGACGGCCAGGCGCCCAAATTCCTGCTTAAGTGCACCAAATCTGGCATCCCGGTTTATTGTGTGTTGACTGTATCGCTACTCACCTGCGTCACCTTCCTAGTAACAGATACTTCATCTGTTACTGTGTTCTACTGGTTCGTCGATTTGACTACCATCGCTTTTGTTCTCACCTATACCGGTATGCTCTGTGTGTTTATTGCCTGGTACCGCGCTCTCAAGGCGCAAGGGATCGACCGTAAGCAATTTGTCCCTTGGGCATCTCCATGTCAGCCTTATGCGGCATGCTTTGCAATTGTCATTGGCTGTCTGGCGGCTATTTTCAATGGATTTTCGGTCTTCAAGCCCTTTGATGTGCAGGGATTCATCACCGATTATTTTGGCCTCGCCTTTTGGGCCGTGATGTTTGTTTTCTGGAAGGTATATCATCGAACGAAATTCGTTAATCCGGCGGAGGCAGACTTATACTCTGGTAAGGCGGAAATCGACGAGGAATGCAAGATTTGGGAAGATGGAGGTTATGAAGAGCGGCGTAAGGCTGAGTTGGCTCAAATGAGCTGGGTTCGTCGGACTTGGGAACGCATATGGTGATTGGATTTTAAGTTATGGTAGATGTCTAGGTGAGGAGCTGCTTATCCTTGCGTAGATCAGTGTCCTCGGTACCCGATCATAGTCATTTACAATTTTGGATCGATCTATAACATTTGAAAACTACATACTCGATTACTTTGGAAGCGCCCAGTTGTTTACCCAATTAATACCTTTAATACTAGTACACAAGATTTTCATTAATAATAAAAGGGGTGTCAATTTAATAAATCTTACGCTTGTGTCAGACCTTTGTTGATTAAAGTTGGAGAGTGCATGAATCAAGGCTCCTTTGATCATAGCTTCCCCCACTTTAGAGTGGTTCGAGTGGTTCGAGCTCGGACTTCCAAACTTGAACCTGAACTCGAACTTGAAACACATCCCATCAATTGATCTCCTTTCCACGTCTCGAAGACTTCACAGTTGTATTTTCTCAGTCTGATCTAACCATGCCTTTGGCTTTTAGCCAACCACCGACCCCGAGTCTAAGTCGTCGGTCCACGTTACACGGGCATCATGAACGGCGCAGCACCCACCCTCACCTCTTATCTTCGCGTCGAAAGCCGAGGAGGTGAGAAGCTCTAGATTAAATATTCAACTGAGAGATACTAAGAGAGGTTGTAGATGGCCACTAGTCTTCCGCTTCATCAAGGGCGCAATCCATGGGGAGATCCTCATTCCAGTCTTCCTGCATTCTTTATTTACGGCCTTCGTCGTCTACCTCGATACCTACGTGTTCGACACCGTAGGACTACCAAGTACCATTGTCAGTACTGAGATAAAAACATCTTTACTCAGCGATGAAACACTCAACTAACAAACCAAGATCCCCTCCCTCTCCATCGTCGTAGGTTTAATGCTTGTCTTCCGAAACCAGACCTCATACAACCGATTCTGGGACGGACGTAATGGCATGAGCACCATGAACACCTGCGTCCGAAATCTAGTTCGCACAATATCAACAAATAGCTACAGTGCCACACGGGGACCCCCAACCCCATCCGAGCGCGAAGACATCGAGCGCACAATCCGAATCTTAATGGCTATTCTCTACGCGGTGAAGAACCATCTTCGCGCCGAATGGGGCGCTGCGTGGGCTTTGGGTGGGATTCTCGGACACGACGTGGATGAGCGTGGTACTGCTGTGTATAACCCAGACTACGCGGGCCTGTTACCAGCTGGCCTGGAAGGACACGAAGATGAAGGGCTAGGCTTACCGTTCCAGCTTACTTTCTTCGTGGATGGGTTTATTAAGCGTGGAGAAATGAGAGGGTGGTTCCCTGCGCCTGGAGCGAGTCAGTTGCAGGCACAGTTGAATACACTGCTTGATGCTTATGGAAGGATGGAGACTATTAAGTTGACTCCTATGCCTGTGGCTCATCTGTAAGTTTTGAGGGATTGATATTCATATAATCATGGAGGCGTGCTAATAATGGACCAGGATTCACCAGAAGCAAGTACTCGCCTTGTTTGGCTGTGTGCTACCATTTGCGATGGTCGATGAAATGGGGTGGTGGGCCATTCCTATTGTCAGTTTGGTGATCTTTACGCTTTATGGCATAGAAGGTATTGGATCCCAGCTGGAAGATCCATTTGGCTACGATAGAAACGATATCAAGATGGATGCCTTGGTAGGTGACTCGAAGACGGAGATCGATGTTGTTTTATCGGAGTGGCGCGATCATTGTAAGACTATGGATCAGATCTGGCACGCAAAACACGGCGAGCGATGTATGGATGGTGCTCACATTGTCAAAGGGGAAGAAAAGTACATGGAGCCGGACTTGTTTCTGAAGTCGAAGAGGATGGTAGCGACATGAATTGGGGTGCAAGACAAGATGATATTTACTTGAAGGATCATGCAAGTGCTATTTCGAATTTTAATCATTACTCAGTACTATTTGGTAGAATATATCACCTAGAGTGTTGACCTTGTCGCTTGTAAAGAGGGGGATTGAATAAAGGGTTATGTAAAAGAGTCATCATTCAACCTTGAAAACCTAGATTGGTGGCTCTAGCTCCAGAACTCCATCAAGTATCGATTCCGGTGTCACATCGGCTAGGATATGAGAAATGGCCTCTCGGTTACTTCCATACTGAAGACTTCGGTCATCCTCGGTTGAAGCAACAACAATGCGATGGCGGAAGACTTTCCTTGCCGCCAGCGCTACAATTGAGGGAGTCAGGTAATCAATACCGTGAAGCGGTGCAAGAAGCCTTGATTCAGCTGGGTTAGCAAAGAATCTCCTATAAAGATAAATATGAATGATTCGTACCTTGCAAATTGCCCAAATTGCTGATTGGCCCTCGCAGATACCCCACCAGCGACAGCTCGACTAAGACGCAAGAAAACCACAATATCCTGAATATACCGAACAACTTCCGCGTTCGTAGTGACTGAGCTGCTAGCACCACGAAATAGTTCCATGACCTAGACAGGGTAAGTATAAGGTAGATAGGGAGAGTAATAATAGTGTTGCCAACGTACTGTTTGGCTGATCTTGGCAGTCTTCTTCTGCGAGTGTTTCGGTGAGTGAATGACAGAGGTTGTGGATAATTGACCGTCAGTGAGCCATTCATTTTCTTCAAGATAAACATAGCCATCGCTGGGCTCATGGAAATGTGATATAAAGAGTTGGTCACGCTATGGAATGGGTTAATAATGACCTTGTTAAACATAGTGATGAGAAAACGAACCAGATGTGTTTTTAGTGGAGGTTGCAGATCATCTGACTCTCGTATCACGAGGGGCACAAATAAAAAGTCATCGGGAGCTTGGAGAATGCCGACTTCTGTGGCCAATTTTCGGCTCCGCATCAACTAACACAGTCAGTATCACGCTCGTATATAGCAAGTCGGAACCATACTACTTACTTGCAAGGCTTGGACTTGGACATCATCGTTGGTGATGTTAAAGTTTTTGGCAATGACAATGTTGACCACATTTGGTTCTTCTGATTGCAAACTGGGAATTGGAGACTTGCTGCGGTCCTGTTGCCCTTTTAAGTACGAGGAGATATTGCTGGACTGCGATAATCAGCTGACGCGTACTATGGGCAATGGATTTGGAAATTAGGTTGGGAATAAAAAGTGAGCATACCGATTCTGTTTTTACCCGGGGATATGGTGGGCGTATTTGAGCTTTGCGAGCGTCTGCAGTGAGAATCTCATTATGGATATCTTCAATTGATGTTGTGGAGTCGCAGTCAACAATAGTATATGATAGATCGAATGTGTTTGAGCATATCTATAGGCTGTATTAGAATATTATAGCTATGGCACTCAACTAGTAAATTGATAAATACCAGGGCCAACTCTTTGGCCAGGTCATGGATAGCATCGCCAGTGGTTTCAATCAAGCAATGCTCATGAGAAGCCAAACACACAAAAAGGGCCACTTCAAGATCCGAAAGTTGTCGCGCAACATCTTCCAGACTGAGATCATCCATTTCTGAGCTCCATGGGTTTGCAAATTCCTGTGATCGCGACAGGATGTGGAGGAGTATGAGAGTGGAGGGAACTTGGAACTGCGGATATATGATGAGATGTTGTTGCCTTGATGCCCGAGTAATGTGATAAAGCTTCCTAAACGGGACTAGCGTAGATGGCCCCCGTGGGCAACTGCGCTTCAACCTTGATCCGTCACCAACATCAACACGGGGACATGGGTGTATGGTCTTTCAAAGACCATCTTGTATGATCCATCAACACTTCCGGAATGGCACCTTCAAATCCTCTTGCCAATTGGGAGAAGCTTGGCGACAGCTTTTATCGCAAAATCCCTGTATATGATGCGATCTTCGAGGATGACGTTGAATTAGAGAACTACATCGTCGCGGGGGGCACCATACGGTGGAGCCATTGGTATGCATCAGATTCTGGCCTTGAAAAAAATAGTTAGCTAAATTGTGGTTCTCCTCTTGCAGCGCTCTATCGTGATGAGAGCAAACCTATCAGATTGCGGGATACACAGGGATCACAATCAAGCGTGGATGTTTATTCTTGTTCAGGCAAGCTGATTAACCGAATTAATGTGAGCTGAATATTCAAATGTTCTTCTCGGTAATCTCCAGAAATGTATTAACTGTTTTGCTGCAGTGGGAGCAAGCAACTATTCGTGGAATCGGCTGGTCCGATAAGGAGGAGCTCTTGCTAGTTGCCGAGGATGGCACTGTCCGCCGCTATTTCGGCTTGGATGGCGATTTCACCTCTTTTTCTCTTGGCAGTGTAATATCACCTTTAAGTTCTGGACAAATTCATTGGATTCAAGCTAACAATAACAGGGTGCGGAAGAATATGGTGTGAGAGCCTGTCAGTTTTGGGCATCAGGTCTCGTAGCATTGCTGTCCAACAACCAGCTCATTGCAGTCTCAAAGTATGATGAGCCGCGACCTAGGCTTCTTGCTCCTTGTCCTGAAGGCGAAGTCTCTTCGTGGGCATTGATTCCCCCAGCACATACCCTTTCACGTTCAGTTGAGGTCTTGCTCGCAGTTGACCGCACGGTCTATTTGGTTGACTCCACTGAAGCAGAGGACAAGATCCTCCAAGATGGACCATTCAAGCACGTTAGCGTGTCCCCAACTGGACGGTTTGTTGCACTGTTTACCTCTGATGGTAAACTCTGGGTTGTCAGCAATGATTTCCAGAATAAGCTCAGCGAGTACGATTCAAAGTCTCGAGTGCCTCCTAGCACAGTCAGTTGGTGCGGAGACGATGCAGTTATTCTCGCTTGGGAAGATGAGATCCATTTGATCGGACCTAGTGGGGCCGCGTCAAAGTAAGTCAACTCAATACTGATCTAAGATAATAATTGACCCGTGGATAGATACTACTACGATGGCCGTGTGCACGTCATATCTGAGTTTGACGGAGTTCGTCTGCTCACAAATGATACCTGCGAGTTTCTTCACAAAGTTCACGATGTTACAGAGGAGATTTTCCGACTTGGTTCTTCTTCTCCTGCCTCTGTGCTCCTCGATTCCGTAGATCAGTTAGAGAAGAAATCACCCAAGGCGGATGAAAACATACAGCGAATCCGCCCAAGTCTCCCAGCAGCTGTTGACTCATGTATCAAAGCTGCAGGTCACGAATTCGATGCTTACTGGCAGAAGCGGCTGTTAAAGGCAGCATCGTTTGGCAAATCTGCACTAGAGCTCTACAATAGTGACGAATTTGTTGAAATGACAGAGAAGCTCAGAGTCTTGACTGCGTTGAGGGATTACCAAGTCGGCTTACCATTATCATATGATCAATATCTCCGTCTCAGCCCAGAGGGTCTTATTGAACGTCTGATCAGCCGGCATGAATACCTTTTGGCAATCAGGGTATCCGACTATCTCCAAATACCTGCTGATCGCATCTATGTTCACTGGGCGAGCCAAAAAGTCCGGATATCCACAGTCGACGATGAAGCAGTATGCAAGCTCATTGTTCAAAGACTGGAGGGGAAGCCAGGTATTTCTTTTGAGGTTATTGCACAGGCAGCTTACGATGAAGGCCGATCACATCTCGCTACACAGCTGCTCAACCACGAGCCTCGAGCTGGCAAGCAGGTTCCATTGTTGTTAAACATGGAGGAAGATGAACTTGCTTTGGACAAGGCCATTGAAAGCGGCGATGACGACTTAGTGAACTTCGTGCTTTTGCACCTAAAGAGCAAGATCCCCCTAGCAAGCTTCTTCCGAATGATCAATACTCGGCCTATGGCATCTGCATTGGTTGAAACCGCAGCGCGAGATGAAGACACTGAACTTCTTAAAGATCTCTACTACCAGGATGATCGGCCTATTGATGGATCTAATGCACTATTGTCCGAAGCGCTACGGGGGACAGATCCACAACGTACAGCAGAGAAGCTAGTTCTTGCATCACGTCTGTTGTCAGACTCGAAGGACCCAACAGTTATTCTACAACAGAAAATGATCTCAGAGGCGTCTCAGCTTCTCAAGGCGCAGGAATCACTGGACAAAGATCTGGCCGATCGTTCAGAGTTCTTGGGTCTCAGTTTGAACGAAACAATCTACAGGCTTGTTCGAGCCGGCTACGGGAAAAGAGCTCAGAAGATGCAGGCCGAGTTTAAGATGTCCGAAAAGACCTACTGGTGGTTGCGCCTGAGAGCCTTGGTTGCCAAACGCGACTGGGGCGAACTAGAGGAAATTGGCAGGAATAAGAAGTCCCCTATCGGTTGGGAGGTAAGATCTTCGAATGAGGAAATGCTTTTTATTGATGCTGATACAAAATAACAGCCTTTCTACAACGAGGTCCTAGGCGCTGGAAACACAAAATTGGCTTCAGTGTTCATTCCCAAGTGTACAACCTCCGACGTTTCGGAACGGGTTGAAATGTGGGTAAAGTGCGGCATGATCGTCAAGGCGGGAGAGGAGGCACAAAAGGCCAAGGATATCAACGCCCTTGAAATCCTTAGGACCAAGGCGTCTGGCCCTGCAATTGCGGAGATCGAGCGCATGATCAATCAGCTCAGGCCGCGGAAATAAACTTGCAGATGGTTCGGGAGTCGTGAGGTGGTATGTTCAGGTAATCTCATCATAGTCATCAGTGGGCGCAGGATCCTCTAACCCCGCGTTTGTTGATTGGGACACAAAGGGATTCGGTTTTGATTTCATGGGTTCAGTCTCTGCATCCATGTCATCATCATCCTCGTCGTCATACTCTTCATTGTCCTTCTGGATAGCAGCGAAAGCCGATGCCTTGGTGTTCAGAGCTTCCCAATCGGCCTATCATTTGTTCCTTTGTCAGTTCATTTATACCCAAAGTAGATGAGAATCTCATTGGAGAATACATACACTTCGTTCTTTAACGCTCTTTGCACGACCTACACTTTTCGCCTTCTTGATTTCTAACTGATCCAACACAGCTTCTGCCCGGTCCATGCCTTTTTGCTGTCTCAAGCGCTGTGCCCTGGTCATCTTCTTCCCCTTCTGTTTCTTCTGAATGCCAGAAGTACGGCGCTCGGCCAAGACAGAAGGCCGTTCAGCGGTTGGCGATTCAGCTCGAGGGGCAGATCTCAAAGACCGATCTAGCTCCAAGCTCGGCGAGGCAGCTCGGCGAGCCGCGCGAGTGTTAGCATTGGCTGGGGAATAGTTAGAATCCTCATCATTTTTTTTTAGAAATAAATTCTGAAATAGGCGCAACTCACGTTTGCTCTTAGCCATGGTGTGATATTTGTTTAGAGTAAGAATCTGTGTGGAGACCTCGATATCGATAACAGAAAATTTTGCGGAGGGCGCGATAAACCTAAAGCGCAGCCCCGGAAAAGCCAACCCTGTTTGTATATACTCCTTCAACCTGACCTTCTCCACCCTGTCTCGCCAGGCCTTCTTGCCACTTTTACTCTTCCAATTTTTGGCTCATGCTTAACAGAACCTCTTCCTGCTGCGGCACTTCTTGTGGTTTTTGTTTTCCGCCATGAATGCTCGCAGAGAGGGTGCCAATATCTTCTCAACCGGCCCCATTCATTATTACGCAAGCACAAACAGCCACCATGAGACAGCTCCCACGACACTGCAGAACAACCAAACGTTAGGCTACCTCCTCCTCGCACTTCTTTCTATCTATCTCCTCTTCGACCACTTCGGGCTTGCACCAGTCTCCTTGATCCAGCTTGCCTGGAACGTTCTCGTTTTTTTAACGCCATCTTGGATTATTGTCGCATTGGACACCCGCATGTCACCGTCCGAATCCTCCCCTTCCAGTTATTCTCCGATGACATTCCATGCCAAAAATGAGGCAATGCAGCGTATCTTCGGTCTTGACGACAACTCATTTCCAGCATTTCGTCGTTCGCGGTCTTTGTCGGGTCTCGGAAGCGCCCTCCTAGGTCACAGCCAAGATGCCATTCCCCCAGGACTTGGAAACTGGGATAATTCTTGCTATCAGAACAGCATCATTCAAGGACTCGCTTCGTTAAAATCTCTGTCTGAATTTCTCGTACAGAATGTTGAGGCTTTGGCTGACAAGGGCTCAATTTCCACTCACCGAGCACTGAGAGGGATAATTGAGCACTTGAACAGTGCCTCAAACTATGGACATAAGCTGTGGATTCCCTCGGACCTGAAGTCCATGAGCAGCTGGCAACAGCAAGATGCACAAGAATATTTCTCCAAATTGGTGGATCAAATCGACATTGAAGTTCAGCATGCTTCGCGCGGACAAACCAGGAACATGGGCTTGAAAACGATCGGTCGAGAGGAAAGCATCCTCAAGGATTTTTGTGAAAACAAGACGGAGATCGACGGCACTTCTGATAAACAACCATCATTCCGTAATCCAATGGAAGGTCTGCTTGCTCAGCGAGTAGGTTGTATGAAGTGCGGTTGGACTGAAGGGTTATCGCTCATCCCGTTCAACTGCCTCACTGTACCGCTTGGTGGACAGCATGAGTATGATATTCGTGAATGCTTGGATCAATACATGGCTCTGGAACCAATCGAGGGAGTAGAATGCGCCAAATGCACATTGTTGCGCGTTCGAGAGCAACTAATCAATCTCCTCGATGGGTTATCCGAAGATACGAACTCAGATAGTCCGCAAAAATCTGCTCTGCCCGATGCAGTACGAGATTCCGCACAAGCACGGCTTGAGTCTGTGACTGCTGCCTTGGAAGGAGACGACTTCGCTGAAAAGACACTCACCGAAAAGTGCCACATCCCTTCAAAGAATCGCGTCTCCGCCACTAAGTCCAGGCAGGCAGTGATTGCGCGCGCACCGCAATGCTTAGTCGTTCATATCAACCGTAGTCTTTTTGACGAGATGACCGGGATGCTGAGAAAGAATTATGCGGCGGTTAAATTTCCCAGGCACATGGACTTGAACGACTGGTGCCTCGGAACCCAAAATGGCAGATCCGATGATGCTCCTGAACAATGGGAGACAAATCCCTCCGAATCCATGCTCCCTGCACCTGGCCAAGCAGTCCGCCTTCCCAGCAGACATTATGAGCTACGAGCAATCATTACACACTACGGCCGACATGAGAATGGTCACTACATCTGTTATCGCAAATACCCGACTTCTGTTTTTCCGGCTCCTGTTCCTGATGAGGTACTTCAAGCAGAAGGAGACAAGGAGAAGCCTGAGCGTTGGTACCGACTCAGTGACGATGATGTGCAGATGGTCAGTGAAGGCCATGTGATGTCTCAAGGGGGTGCTTTTATGCTTTTCTACGAAGCTGTTGAAGAGCTTGATTCACTTCCTACACAACCTGAAGTCGAGTCACCGGAAACAGTACCCATCGAAACTGCCGAATCGGTCTCTAATTACACCGAGACTATGTCAGTGACAAGCACCATCACAGACGCTGATTCGGATACATCTCGCGCAACCAGCGTCTCGGCACCTGACCATTCCATGCCTGTTGAAGATTTTAAGCCGGCTGTTCCATCTCTTAGGGCCTCAAATATGCGTGACATCGAATTGTCGAGCTCAACCGACAACCTAGATTCACCTTCCATGGTTACTGCATAATGATCACCCATCCCTCCGTATTTTTTTTCTTGTTTTTTTTCACGACTAACAAAGTCGCATTCTGCAGTCAGCCACTGCATCACGATGATACCCGAGGCATAATGATATTCAATTTTACTTTCTGGCGTTTACATAGGAGCCCCGGGGCCAGTAACTTCTTTAACCTTGTTCCTTGGAAATATGTACTTTTATCGCACTCTGGAACACTTGACATGATTTTTATAGAACGGGTCTCTCTTACGTCGCAACCTAAAGTTCTTTCCCCTTTGCCACTGGCAAAACCCCGATATCAATAGTACTCGAGTCTATAGACTTCTGCGGGTATCGGACATCATCACGACCTCGGGATACTACTATCTACATAAGCAAATAAGTTAAAAGCAAATGAATAACCTTAAGATTTGCTAGATTGTGTGATAGAAAGCGCCAGTCTCGATATGAATCACTGGCGACAAAGACGGCAAGACCAGTCGAAACAAAGTTCCCATGTCGCCTGACATATCACCAAGAGATAAAGAAGAGACCAGATTGCTGAAGGGGTATATCGAACAATGGGGGAAGGAAACAAAAGGAAACGCCGAATTGCCATGATAAATCAAATTGTGAGAAAGAGGATATAATATGAGCGCTATCGAGGAAATGTGGTAGATGCATGTATCAAATCTGCCAGAGTTCGAAATTTGGACCGAAATGAACAAGAATATGTCAGGTATTAAAGGACGAGAAGTTGATTCATAGATCCCAGGCCCCATAAATTGTATATGGAATGAATAGATCAGCGTACCCCTGCACGACCATCAAAGGCAAGTGGACCAGAGTCATTTCGAGGAGTCAAGGGGTTATCATCAGAGGTCTCTGAGCGATTTGGCGTATCGACACGGAGGTGAGAACCAAGTGGGACATTGAGAGGTTGGGTAGGCTGCCAGCCCGGGATATGAGTAGCAGCACTTCGCACGAGATCGTCATTACTGCCACTAGGGGCGGGGGAGTCTGTGCTTCTGCTATCCTCTGTATCCAAATCGGGTCTCTCATTCAAATGCATGTTCTCCACATCGGTCACCAAGTCAGGCTCCTCTGGAATACTATCATGCTGACTGCGGTTTTCGATATCATCGTTGGCGATACCAGTCAAGACACCATTAGTGGGAACATTGGCTGGTGACTGTGTCGCTGAGCGAGAATCCTGGGCATTGGCAATCTCAGTAGCTGGTGTTGAAATATCTTTGGCCTGGTTGCCCTCGGCCTCATAATCATTTGTGTCGTCAACTTCAGCACTCAAATCGGTAAAAGCACGACAGTTCGGACACTGAAACATGGGATAATCGGGAGAGTGAAGAAGACGACTGATGCATTTGTAATGCCAAACATGAGCACAAGCCGCCATAAAAAGACATTGATATGGTCGCTAAATGGAAGTTAGTAAGATATTCACAAAAAGTGGACCTGGAACAACGAACCAATACAGAACCAAGGCAGATAGAGCATTCTCGGCAACCGGAATAATCGGATGTTTCTCCCTTCCCCAGATTCTTGATAAGACTTTCTGTGTTTTTGCTGTCATATGGTGAGTAAATAACGACAAAAAGGCGAAGACAACGGGACGATATAAGAAAAAGCAAGAACTAGAGTGTTGAATATGGGAGAGGGTATCATACTTGAACTCATTGGGTTGCTGCTGCCAAGAGCGATTACACTCAATACGAATTCGCACACAACGGAAGATCATTTCCTCGCCTCCCCGAAAATCAATTCCTAGCTGCACAATATCTCCATCCTTGATAGAATACAGACGAGAAACCATATTGGGTTGACTAAGGCGCATATGATTCAAAAAAGTCCCCGATGAACTACCCACATCTTTGACGTGCCACTGGCCATTGATGTACATGAACTCGCAATGCTTGCGGCTCACTACCTTGGATTTAAATCCAACGGGGGCATCTGATGGCTCAGTGGGATTTGGAACTGGAATTCCATCCCGCTCAGAGTAGCGACCGACTCGAACCACACAACTCTCGGATGGAAGTGTCCGACTGACTGGCACAAAGGGTAATGAAGGCCGCGAGTTTTGGAAGGTGTCTTGGTAAGGGAAAAATCGAATCGTGGCTCGCTTGGATTTGTTGGGGTTCTGCGAATCAGTCGGGGTTGGGCTCGGGAGGTCTAAATGATCACTTGGCACAGGTGGTTCGGGCGATGAGGTTGGTGCGGGGGTCGGTGTGGGTGTCAGAGGGACTACTGGCACTGGCGGTGCAGCAGATTGAGCCTGCGATTCTGGGGTCACTGTACGACCTGCTCGAACTCCACGACCAGATACAGCAGACACACTTCGAAGTCGGGCCATATTTGATGAGAGAGTTCTAGGTTCACTAGAAGGGGAAGACGTGGAGTCGGGAGATGATGCTAGATCATTAGCCCGCTGACTAGAGTCGGGCGCTGTGGTATAGCGAGACAAAGCTGACGAGGCAGCGTCTGGGGAAAAATTCAGATCCTGAGCCTGGGGACAGTCGCCTGATGTTGGCGCTAGCCAAGAAAGTCGATTGGATAAAGATTGGCGACGGCCCCGTTGCCCACTTGGGGATGAGAGGTTTGAGGTGTATGCGCGGAGTTGACTGAAGCGGCGGAGACGCCCCGGTCGAGAGGAGTCGGGCAATGTGGAGGCGGTGGCGGTTGAAGTAGACATGGTCAATTTTCTATGCACCAAGATAGAACCTGGTAGCCTAGATTGTTTTGTCTTCGATCTTTTTGCTTTTTCTGTCCTTGTTTCTTCTTTTCTTTTTCCTCGATCTTGATCTGGTAGTGAAACCTAAATCCCTTGTGTGTGGGGGGAATTAAAGAGAGAGAAAGAAAGGAATGTAGCAGATAGGGCCGAGGGATCTGCAACTGGACTAAGAGAAGCGAGTTTGGAAATGATTCAAGTCATACTAGATGAGATCGTAGAGAGCAAGGAGGTTTAAAAGATAAAGAAGAAGAAGAAGAAGAAGAAGAAGGAAATAGGAGAGGAATTTTAAAAAGGAAGAAAGGATTCATGGAACCAAATGGGGCTTCCAAGTTGACCTCCAGGGCTTTAATATGAACAATGAACCAAATGGGCCCATTAAGCTCTTCTCCTAACTACTCCTACAGAATATGGGAGTCTGAGAACCTATCAAACCCTCTCGGTGAATCTTGCTAGTCATTTGCCTTCCATGTCGTATGCCACTTTTGCGGGGAAAAGAGCTTTTTTAGCCTCTCTTGCTTTAGCCGAAGGTGAATCCATGCCCTTTTCAAAATTGTCCACTGATCGTTTCACGCGAATAAGTCTCAGACCTTCAGGTTCATATCACCCTCATGTTATCCTTTGGATGTTTCTTGTTCTTCACGCGATTCATCTGGTGATCATCTGCATCAGCACGAGGTATCCTCATCACAAGGCAAAATGGGGGGAATGGGGGAGACGTCATTGGATCCGCGCTGCACAGACCCACTCGGGAGGCTGGTCGTAGAGGGATTGAGACACGGGAGTAAGTGGTATTAAGTGGCAAGCTCAATATATATAAACCATGTGCGATGGCTTAGTTGAATATGCGGAAGCCTTCCAGAATCATATCTTGTTTGGTAATCCAGACATGGGATATGATATGATGGTGAACTTCAAGTTCCATGGAAGGCACTTGACGTTGAAAAGATCCATATCAAGATTGCCTATGGCATGTTAGTGGATCAAAGTACTTGGCTCCGTAGATAACGGTCTCCAAAGCAGATACTCCCGATATTCCTAGGTTGTATCATTTGGAAGATCTGCAACTACATCTTGTGATGTTTCGGAATCATGGTCTTGATGTCCATGACTTGAACATAAGGAGTGGAGAAACGATATACATGTCGAATGAATGCCGTGGTTCCCATTGGTGGTAGCTGCGGATGGACTTGGGGGAGCTCCCGTTATCAAGGAGATGGGATGGGAAATGAAGAGAATAATCTCATATTCATAGTAAAAAGATGAATCAAGATAGAGATGTTAAGAAAGGATAAATAGTGATTGAACCAAAAAAAAAATACAGATTGAAGAACTCGTGATCTACACGGGTTGGAGGGGGGAAAAGAGAAAGGAAACTAGTGAGAAAGAGCTCAAGTGCTTCCCCTACCGTCCTTTCCTTCCCCCCTCTCTCCTTCTCCAAATCTACCATATACATCTAAGGGGGCGCAATTCCAAATCTCACTTCCCAACTTTCTTTGAACCTTCGGAGAGATAGAAAGAGATATTATAACTCGAGACGCCATCACGCGCTCTGCTGTGTTCCCCAACCCCCGAGAGAGAGAAAAAAAAAAGCTTCGTTACCAGCCATCGCTGAAACCTCCATCAACTTCTACCCCCCGCAGAAATCTGACGATCCCATTCCCCACGAATCTTTCGCATATCCAAAACAGTGCACGCCCTGATGCGGGCCTGTTGAAGGAGGCATGAGTGGAATCGCAGCCACCTGTCTGTCATGCCTATCGGCGGTTGACCGATGGTGTCATATCACGGCCTGCCTCGGAGCTGGCCGTGCCCGAGATGGCATTTACGAAACCACCTTGGCAGACAATGAACGGGAAGCGGTCTCAGACTTATTGGGATATTTGGAAAATGTACGTGGACTTCCAGAGATTTAGCGGAATAAATCTGTTTCGCGGTCGCATACCTTCGTTGTTCATAGCTAACCTCCCATTCTCTTTTCCCCCTGCACAGCGCGCCGAGACCGATTTTTTCTCTGGAGAACCACTGAGGGCCTTGAGCACTCTAGTATATTCCGATAATATTGATTTACAAAGGAGTGCCAGTCTGACATTCGCCGAAATCACTGAACGAGGTACGTGGAAACGGATGATCGTGACGATACGAGATCCTAACGTGTTGGTAGATGTCCGAGAGGTTGATCGCGATACCCTCGAACCCATCCTGTTTCTGTTACAGAGCTCCGATCTCGAGGTCCAGCGAGCTGCCAGTGCAGCCCTGGGCAACCTTGCCGTCAATGGTTTGTCAACCCCCGGTTTCAGATTAATGATCCCGCACTGACCCAGACACAGGTGAAAACAAGGTCTTGATCGTCGCCCTCGGAGGGCTGGCCCCTCTGATCCGCCAGATGATGTCGCCAAATGTGGAGGTCCAGTGCAACGCGGTCGGATGTATCACCAATCTAGCTACACATGAGGAGAATAAGGCCAAGATCGCTCGATCGGGGGCACTGGGTCCACTGATCCGCCTGGCCAAGTCAAAGGATATGCGTGTTCAGCGTAATGCGACCGGAGCGCTACTTAATATGACCCATTCTGGTAAGAAACCTTGATCACCCTCTTTAGTCGCAAACTTCTCATCCCATATCTAGACGATAACCGACAGCAACTTGTCAACGCCGGTGCGATCCCGGTCCTTGTCCACCTCCTTTCGTCCCCTGACGTTGATGTCCAATACTACTGCACCACCGCGCTCAGTAATATCGCTGTCGATTCAACCAATCGCAAGCGCCTGGCTCAGACTGAGTCGCGTTTGGTTCAATCCTTGGTTCACTTGATGGACTCATCTACCCCCAAAGTCCAGTGCCAAGCTGCACTCGCCCTCCGCAACCTGGCTTCCGATGAGAAATATCAACTGGAGATTGTGCGCGCAAAGGGACTTTCTCCTCTCTTGCGACTTCTTCAGTCATCCTATCTCCCGTTGATACTCTCTGCTGTTGCTTGCATCCGCAACATCTCTATCCACCCCCTCAACGAGTCTCCGATCATTGAAGCAGGCTTCCTCAAGCCGTTGGTAGACTTACTTGGTACCACCGACAATGAGGAGATCCAGTGCCATGCTATTTCCACACTCCGTAACCTTGCAGCTAGCTCCGATCGCAATAAGGAGCTTGTTCTGCAGGCTGGTGCTGTTCAGAAATGCAAGGATCTAGTTCTCCGAGTCCCTCTTACTGTTCAATCTGAAATGACTGCCGCCATTGCCGTACTTGCCCTTAGCGATGAGCTGAAGCCTCACCTACTCAATCTTGGAGTATTTGATGTCTTGATTCCATTGACAAACTCCGAGAGCGTTGAGGTGCAAGGAAACAGCGCAGCAGCTTTGGGTAATCTTTCATCTAAAGGTATGTTTTCTCTGAGCTTCTCTTCCTTTTTGAGATTCATGACTAACAAAACTAGTGGGAGACTATACAATCTTCGTTCGGAATTGGTCCGAGCCAAATGGCGGTATACATGGTTACCTGCAGCGATTCCTCGCAAGCGGTGACCCAACTTTCCAGCATATTGCCATCTGGACTCTTCTCCAGCTTGTGGAATCGGAAGACAAGAAACTAATAGGGTACATTTCCAAGTCGGATGACATTATACAAATGGTCAAGTCAATCTCCGACAAGAACATTGAATCGGACGAGGAAGATGGTGAAGATGGCGAGGGAGAAGTGATTGCCCTCGCTCGGCGATGTCTGGATCTCCTTGGAGCAGGTCCCAAACAGACCCTTGTCGAGGCCTAAGATCCTGCAAGCCTTTATATATTCTAACGTGTGCTAGTCCCTTATTTTCGGTCCTTTTGTTACATGACCTTGACCACTCCCAGTGTTATATTCCTCACTGTTCTTTTTCCTCTAGGTGTTAGTATGGGCATTGAATGCTTTTGTTCTCAATTCAGCTGAGTTGAATTTCTTGACAGCGGGCATCTGGAGTGAGAACAGTTTTCTTTATGATGTCTCCATTCACTTTTGTTTCTTCTATGTCTATGATATTGTTTGGGTCGGTGCTTCTCTGTTTTTTTGGGTTGTTACGCATACACCGTGTATTCATGCTAGATATGGGCTTCAAGTTTCCTATAATTAAACCGTCTCGAGCATGAAGTGTCCAAGATCGGATGATAGACTTAATATCTCCCAATCAGAATTATGTAGAAAGCAAATAGGTATTTTACTTACCATGTATGTGTGTGCATTGTTGGTCGACCTGATTGCATAGAGACGAAGCGGAAGCGGAGTGGAAGGCGGTGAAACCTACTTCCGTGCCGTGCATAGAAGCTCCAGGACAAAAAATTACTTTCTACAGCTTCAACCTCACTCTTTTTTCTTTATCAGCAGGACACAATGGCCTCAACTATCCCAACTGTGGCAATTCCAGGCCAAATCCTGGGTCCTGCTACGTTCTACTCAGCTGGACCTGGTACCCATATTTCAGAGAATAATATCTACGCCTCCATTGCTGGACCTGTCATCGTGGATCCAGCCCAGACTAAAACACAAAAGAAATCAACTCTACGAGTCGCGCGGGACTTGCTAGATTCAAAGCGACCTCCCGTTCAAAAACCAAGATTCAATACCCTCCCTGCCGTCGACTCCCTCGTACTAGCTCGCGTTACCCGAGTACAACGGCGTCAGGCTACCGTCGCCATTCTTGCTGTTCTGGATGATGTCTCATTTGACCCCTCCCAATACACCCCAGACAATGAAAAATTTGCCTCTGCCTTGACCGTTGCTCCCAATCCAGAGAACCACAATAACACCGACGAGCTGCGCTTCCAAGGCTTGATTCGCAAGGAGGACGTTCGTGCCGTTGAGAAAGACCGCGTTGTCATGGAGGAGATGTTCCGTGTTGGAGATATTGTCCGAGGCTCGGTTGTCTCTATGGGTGACCAAAGCTTCTATTATATCACCACTGCTCGGAATGACCTTGGTGTTATCATGGCTCGCAGTGATGCTGGTAACATGATGTTCCCTGCCAGTTGGAAGGAAATGCGGGACCCCGTCACCAATGTTGCGGAGCCGAGAAAGGTTGCTCGACCACTGTGAGGATCCGGCTTGGATGCCGGTGAAATCGGCTTTCCTCTCTACGGACACCGTTACACGGTATGAGTGGCGGTTGAAGAACCCGTGTACAGTCTCATTCTTCTCCTCTTATCAAGCTATTATTGCATGTGATATGCGCAGGCACTACCCAGCCTGAGACTATTGTGTATCCCTCCGCTTGTGACTGGGTTTCACAGTCCTGTCAGGGCATACGACTGGCATCAAATTGAATGTGTGGGGGTTTCACCTCAAAGTAACCAGTCGATACTATGGTTATCACCTCGGTGTTTCATGGATCCAGATGCCTGAATGGTCTCATGCACAACATCCCTTTCTAGGGCACCGCCTCTCATGTCCTCAAGCTCTCTTGCCGTTGCTCACTAACCCAGAGCATTCAGCAATACGAATCTACCATTCCAAGGAGCATTTCAAATCTCCTGAAAAAATTATGATACCCACAAAGTTACGAATGCAAATAAACCTACCATGATTTCTGATATCCCTGGTAACCGCAGCATTGCATATCTCAGCATTTTGAGACGAAGCAAGTGTCTGTAACTCTTTACCTATCCCTTGTAGATTGCCGTTCAGGCGCCTCCTTAGTATACACGGTCGTGACCTTTCCATGTCGGGCTGTGTTTGTCATTGGAGGTAGATTAAAGGTTTTCCTTTTGGATTCGCGCGGGACTCTCATCCTTGCGAACCACCTTCTACTACTTTCTTGTACTTGATCTATGATTAGGAAGATGATCTTGAGGTGGTTAAATTTCGGTTTAGTGTTTAGTTAGTATTCATGAGATATCAATATTCATAATCAATACTTCGAAGGTCCTTGTTTTTGTGCAAATAACTTGCAGTTCCGGACATCTGGAATTTCTGAGTTCAAATGTTGGGTTGAAAGTGCACTCGTGTGTCCAATGCCTAGTATTCAAGTTGAGGTATATGTTGCCCTAAAACTGACCTCGGGAACATTTGAATGTTTTAGTACTCCGAGTCTGCACTCATGTCATTCAAAGTCTTTACTTTCTCGAGGGCTTCAGAGAATTTGGTAAAAATGGTTAACAAAATTTTTAATTCATATCCACACTATGTATTCATATGACATCCAACAAGCATCATGAACAAAAAAGGCCAAAAGACTACTTCTTCAGCGTCTTCTGCTTCTCCGCATCAATCAATTTCCGTCCCTGGACAACAAGTCCCTTCCTGTTTCGCACAGCATCCATATATCTCTTCGCAACATTCTCACGATCCGCAAGCTCACCCAGATCCTCCAGCTCCTCCTCGGTAGCGGGAACCCAGAAGGGATCCTCATCTAGGGCCTCAAAACCTGCAAAGATAAGTTGTGGCTGAGCGGCACCTGAAGTGCGCTTGCGAATCTCCTCGGCGAATCCGAAGGACTCGGCAACAGGGAGAACAGCGATGATGGTAAAGAAGGGGGTTCCTTCTTTCATGATTTCGGAGAGGATTCGGCCTCGGCGACGGGTGATAACACCGTAGACACGACCCAGGACCTCGGCTATAGGAAGATGAGAGTCAGCTTGGATATCCAGATACATATTTTTGTGGTATCACTTTAGAAGTAATGGAAACTTACTTGTTGCTTGGATTTCACAGCTGTACATCGCAAGCATGATTCTAGGACTCCAGTCTAGGAATCCCTGGGTAATTCCTTCACGGACCATTCTGATTGAGTCTCCAGTTAGACGACCCATGTCCAGCTCTTCTTTGGCGGCTTGCACGGAGATATCTTCCAGGAAGACGGCGACACCTTGCATGGGTTCTTGGCAGAGAGGACCTTGGCCTGTGGCGAGCTGGAAGGCGTATGCGATCTTATCGTTGAAATCGCGTACGAGGAGAGCTTGCTGAGCAGTGTTGTCATCGGATGAAACAGCAGAGTTTTGTTTCGGCTCATCGAGTAAACTGGTATCAGGAAAGTTAGCTGTCCGAAATCGTAGACGAGATCTCTTTTTAGTAGTATTGCCTTACAATTTCTCACAGGTGTTGACAGCAGTAGCATCAACGAGGATGTTAGGACCTGTTCTTCGGGGTCCGAAGGCTGTGATTCTGTCGACAACATTCTTCCATAGCTCCTTATCCTCCTTCACTTCTTCGTCAAATACCTTGCTCAACTCTTCACGGAATTCATTCAGCGAGAGGACGGCACCCTCGAGCGCTTCATCGGCAGCATCAACTTCTGCTGATATGGCTGGAGTGGCATTTTCTGAGGAAGGTTCGTCGGATTTTGTTGCTTCGGCACGCTTTTGTAACTGGAGCTGTTTGACGGTACCAGCCTGCTTGATAAGGAACTCGGTGACTACCTCTGGGAGTGGAACAACCCGCAGACGGAGTGTCATCTGTTTAGATGGAGATACTGACAACACTGTTCCACGGCCCAGCTCAGGGTTCTTCGGAGCAGCCATCTCGGGAGCGTTGACAATCGTCTCTCGGTAGGGCACAATAGCTTCGCCAGTCTGAATCTCACACCGGGCAAACCGTTCACGAAGATCTTTCACACAGCGCTCGAGGTGCAATTCACCAGCAGTGAGAATAACATGTTCACCGCTGGGAAGAACCTCGTACTGGGCACATGGGTCACTCTGTTCAAGAAGGCGAAGACCAGTAACCATTTTGCCCAGGTCAGCCGGATTAACTGGCTCCAGAGCGACACGCACAATGGGGGGAGTATTGAGGGAGACACCAGCCAAGTTGACACTTCCTTCTAGCTGACTGCAGAGTGTACCTGTTTTGAGCACATAACCTGCAAGACCTCCAATACCAAAGACAACGCCCGCCGGAACCGACTGAAGGGGCTCGAGACTTCGGCCCATGAGTAGATACAGGTCTGTAACGGTGACCTTTCTGGGCTCCGGACTGGCGTGTGGGTTGGATGGAGAAAACTTCGGTGGCAGCACATAGATGGAATCTCCAACAGAAAGAGTTCCTGAATAGAGTCGAGCAAAACCGATAAGGTGATCAGGGTCTTCCTTCTCGGCTTGTTCCTTCTCTGGTTCGTCTACCTCCCTGATCAACGAAGTATTCTCAAATGCCGATGTCATTCGGGCAAAGTCATCCGTCTGCCCTGCATTGGCTTCCGCCTGCATCTTTGCGATTTCCTCCCGCTTGCGACGGGCAATTTCTCGAGCCTCATCTGCAGTCATAGTAGCTCCACTGCGCTTTTTGCTTGCTGTCAACTCACTCTCAGGTATCGCCACCATCTTACTAACATATGCCACGACAGGCTCTTCGGGGCCAGTCTTGAAGTTGATCATAGCTTCTTTGACATTTTCAGAGACGTGCTTGGAGCCATGAGATGACTCAATCAGTTCTGGTAACCGTTCAGCTTGTGCGGCTTGAGGACTTGGGAGATATTCAATGACAGAAACCAGAACAGCTGTAGATAGTGGAAGCCAAGCTGAGAATAGCGTGCTCATAATGTTTCTAGGATCACGAGAGCGTAGAACATATGGCGGAATGGTGATGTTCAACGACTTTGTGATCTTCTCCAGAAGGACAGGATCGCTGAAAAGAGTTAGTATAAAGTTTTATCCTCGATTATGAGTGACTGAGAGATAATAAAATCTCACCCTTTTCCTTTTCCACCGCCCGTGGTTGCTTCGTAGGCAGCCCAGATGCTATCCAAAACCAACTGAACGAACATAGGTTTCAACGCCCGGCCCTTCAGATGCTTCTGGCCCAAAACTCGCTTGGTTTTTGGGTCTAGGTAAAAGTCGCCCCAGAGGACCTTCTCAAGCACCGTACGTTTGATTCCGAGTTTCTTCTCGTAGATAGCGGCGAATTGCCGGATCGTGAAAGCCCAGCCATCAACAGCGCTACAGAAGATGACGTTGTTCTTCTCCGGAGCAAAGTAAAGATCTTCATCATCACGCTCTTCAAACTCGGTGGCCTCGCTGATACTCGCGACAGATTCATCGTCCAAGGCTTGTTTCTTGGATTTACTAGCAGCAACATTGACACGGTCTTCCATTCGCTCGCGCCACTGCAAATCATCCTCCATTCGCTCGCCTTGGTAGAAACTACCAATCACAGCATTGACTTGCTCAAGGAGCCTACTGAGGTGTGCATAGGCTTCACTAGGGCTCATCATAAGTTCCGAGACAAGTCGATCCATCTTGTTAATAACCAAAATCGGCTTCAACTTCTCGACCCAGGACTGTCGAAGCACAGTCACTGTCTGGGAACAGACACCCTCAACAGCATCAACAAGAACAACGGCACCATCACAAAGTCGAGACGCTGTAGATACTTCACTGCTAAAGTCAATGTGACCCGGGGAATCGATCAAGTTGATCAGATACTCCTTGGCCACGGGAGCTGCGTCCGGTGCAGGACGACGAAGCATCGAGAAGAACAGGGAGATAGCCGATGATTCCATTGTAATACCTCGGAGCTGCTCGTCAGGACGAGAGTCCAGGTAGCGGATCTTACCCGCCAATTTTGGCGAGATGATGCCATTAGTAGCGATAAGGCTGTCTGTCAATGAAGTTTTTCCATGGTCCTATTTTTGCGCAATGACACATAGGCAATTATTAGAGCAATCCATCTGAATGCTAGGTAGCTCTTTTTCTTGGGTGATGGCTTACAACGTGCGCAAGAATGCAGATCTGAGCTAGGTTAGTATAGGCCGCGGACCTGACATCAGATAGTGGGATGGAGGGGCAAAGCTCACGTTTCGTATGTCGTCAGGTTTCCGCTGCAGGCGGACTAAGTCGTCGACATTAACGACCGGCATCTTGGGTAATTTACCGGTCCAAGTATCCGGGTTTAATTAAGAGGTTGAGGCAGGTATGGTGGAGAGTAAAGACTCGCCGAAGAAAAAAAAAGATTGGTAAGTGGGAAAATACAGGACGAACTGGGCCGATAACACAATTCCGGTTGGAAATTTTGTCGTCTCAAGGAAAGAGAGAAATATTATATATTTAATGATTTAAATAGTAGGACGTTCATTGCACTTGCATGGATTAATTTTATCTTGAGTAGATTTCTATCGCTTATGGTCTAATGCTGTGTGAGTGCTAATCATTCGTGTTGTTATATCCGTATTGACTCATGATGAATCATTCAGACTGACCAAATGAATATTCCACTCAGATCGAATTGCAGGGTATATTATTTGCATCATGGGGTATATCATATTCACTCATCATCAAATGATAGCTTGATCTTCTTCCCTTTCTTAGATTTTTTGGGCTTCTCGGTCGCTTTAGGTGTTTCCTCTGGCTCTGCCTTGTTCTCTTCCTCGCCCACCACTTTAGCCTGCTTTCGCTTGCGTTGGCCACCAACCTCAGTGAGATTGCTTTGTTTCACAGAGCTCTCCCCTTGTGTTTGTCCTTCCTCAGCTAGGGTTGGTCCCTTGGAAGTCCCATCCTCTTCCTTCGTGGTTTCGCCCTGAGCTAGCGCCTTGTATTCTTCCTTGGAGATGACTTCATTGCTCTCTTCATCAATGTATACAGGCTCGTCTTCTTCTTCGTCTTTGGGGTCCTTGGCTTTTCGAGGTCGTAGTGCAGGTTGCTCTAGGCGACCAGATGTATCACTGCCATACTGGCCCCGAAGCTTTTGTAAGAATGCGGGCTGTTTTGCCTCTAAATAGGAGAAAATGTAATTAGAAACACTTCCAACTTGAGTTGTGTGTCTATGAAAGCAGTGCTAGATAGCGGCACTCACCATAAGCAAACTGTGGGTTCTTTGGCATGGTCAAGACTTCACTGTTGAAGCTGGCTGTAGTCTCGTCGTCACATCAAACACATTCTGTGTCGTTGTCTTGATGAGTTGAATAGAATTTGTATATAATATGATATTTCAAGTCATCTATTATTGTTCCAATAATTCTCTCCAGTCAAGGTAGAACTGAAGGTAGTTTAAGGTGGACGGTCTTGCATATGATCAAGTCCGCGAACAGCTCGCGGGGCGCTAAACCGCATTGGGCCACATCGAAAAGTGCAAAGGAGCCGCTTCGCGCTCCAGCTCCTCTCATCGACCTTCTCCCCCACCCCCAATCCTCTTCAATTAAATCATGCTGTGTGCAAGTAAGTTTTGGGTCATCTATGGAGTTTATGGCTTGCCTTTGTCTCTAACCTACTAACCTATTTGTCCAATAGTCTCTGGAGAGGCTCCCCAGGTGCCTGTCCTCTCTCCCAAGAGCGGTATGTCTTTACAGCCATAATTTGCGCTTGTCCATGTATCTAACAAACTTAAAGGCAGTGTGTTTGAGAAGCGCTTGATCGAATCATACATCACTGAGAACGGAAAAGATCCCGTCAACGGCGAAGAGCTCGCTGTTGAAGAACTTATCGATATCAAGTCGCAGCGCGTTGTCCGCCCCCGGCCTCCAACTCTTACCTCAATCCCCTCCCTTCTCAGCGTCTTCCAAGAAGAATGGGATGCGCTCGCCCTTGAGACATATACCCTCCAGCAGAACCTTGCCCAGACCCGCCGCGAGCTCAGTGCCGCACTCTACCAACACGATGCTGCTGTGCGCGTGATCGCTCGACTAACTCAGGAACGGGACGAGGCCCGTAACGCTTTGTCAAAGGTTAGCATCGGTGCTACTCGTGCTGCTTCTGGTGGTGATGCTATGCAGGTGGACTCTGCAGGTTTGCCCCAGGCGGTGCTGGAGCGGGTTGAGAGCACGCAAGCTGCGTATGTGAAGTCACTCTTAATTAAACTATATTACACAATTGCTGACTTGAATTATCTATTAGTCTCTCCAAGACACGCCGCAAGCGTCCTGTTCCCGAGAGCTGGGCTACAAGCGATGCCATCTCCTCGTTCAAACCTGTTGAGCCCACTCAACCTCTGTGCCCAGGCGGCCGCGCCTTATCAGTTGATTCCACTGGTGATCTTGCTTTGGTCGGTGGAGCGGATGGTGTTGTTGGTATTTACTCGATCTCTCAGAAGAATATGGTCCAGACTCTTAAGACAGATGGCCCTGTGACTGATGCCACATGGGCTGGTAACAAGGCCGTTGTTGGTTCGGCCACGGGATCTGTCAAGGTGTTTGAGAATGGCACTGAAGTCGCAAGCTTCGCTTCTCATGCCGGCGAGGTTACTGCTGTTGCTGTCCATGCAACTGGTGATATTGTTGCCTCAGTGGGTGTGGACAAGAGCTATGTGCTCTATGATCTTGCTACAAACAATGTGATCACTCAGATCTTCACAGACTCAGGTAAGAAAAAGCTCCTTGAAAGTGAGACCATGAACTTGCAAACTGATCATCCCTCTTTAGCTCTGTTATCTGTGAATTTCCACCCTGATGGTCACCTCTTGGCCGCTGGTGGTGCAGATGGACAAATTAAGATTTTCGATGTCAAGACTGGAGCTGCTGCCGCAGACTTTGGGATGTCTGGACCTGTTAAGTGCCTTTTCTTCTCCGAAAACGGTACTTTCTTGGCTGCTGCCACTGCTCAGTCTACCACTATCTCGATCTGGGACCTGCGCAGTTCCAAGGAAACCAAGGTGCTGGACACCGGCAGCCAGGTCCAATCTATTTTCTGGGACTACACTGGCCAGTTCCTCTTGACTGGTGGACCCAGTGGATTGACTGTTCAACAATTTTCTAAGGCATCCAAGGAGTGGTCAGAGCCCCTGCGGAGTGCTGTGCCCTCTGTTGCTGTTGCATGGGGTTCCTCTGCTCAGAGCATTGTCACCTTGAATGAGGGAGGTGCAGTGACTGTACTGCAGACATAATAAGCCCAAAAAGTGTACTTTTAGAGCTGGATATCTGACATTTCTACATCCCTTTCCCCTTTTTCCTTTCTTTTTATTTTGATTTCTGTTGTCATGGTGTTTGTATTACGTTCACAACAGCCCTAGCGCCGGAAAATCCATGTCTTTTGATAATGACCTAACAATGCCCAAAGGTGGCTCTGCCTGAATTTTCTTTTTTCCGATCTAAATATATGCTCTTTGGTCTTGTCATTTTAACTACTCTATTGTGTTATTGCCTAAAATGAAGATCATTCCCTCCCCATGGCTCTCTGAGAACTTTACTTAAATTTCACTTCGTCTTACTTCTCCAAAATGCTTTTCTACTTCTTCACCCCCACGTTGTTCCTCTCACCGCCTTCCAAAATAACTTCTTACCGCCTCAACTTTCCTTAGCAGAATCATACCGCCTTTGGACTCGGGCCTATGTACCTTGGTCCTTGGACGATCCATCATGTCTTCCAACTCTTCTAACCTCCTCTTTTATACTCATCCATGTGCACATGGCGCGTCTTGTGAGGCTGCGCCAGAAAGCTGCCCCCATTTCTCACCAAGTCTTGATATGAGTGACGAGTCCGGTGTCCAGCTCTTGGGAGTCAGGTCCAAGGTAGGCAATATCTCAAAGATCCGCGGGGCCTACCGAGAGGAATAGCCGCCATATTAACAATTCGTGTTTGGTTTCTCTTTTAGCGAACTCGCCAGATGTCACAAGAATCCGCCGAGGATACGGATCAATCGTGGGAGCGCTATTTTCATCCGGCTCCGGCTCCTCCACCAAATATACGCTCTCAGCCCGCCCGGTTGCCACCCATGCGATATCCTCGTGATGGCTTTGACTTCCGGCGCCCGGCCGGTACCCCAGCTCAAGAGGATAATGTGATCGATCTCACCAACGAACCCGAGACACCCCCTCAAAGAACTCAAACTCGCACCACAGATAACAGACCATCAAGTTCATCGCGGCCGCCCCGATTTGGCAGACCTATATTGGCCCAGGAGATCGTGGACTTGGATGACGAGCCCGATAATCCCGCAGAAGGGCACTCTAGCAGCCCAGAAGTCCAATTTCTCAGTGCGTCAGTGCGCCCACCACCGCGTACTCGACATGAACTCGAGGCTCGGTTCCACGCGGCCATTTGGGGCTCCTCAGTCCATCGCAATAACCCCCGTGCCCGACAGATTTCCTCGGAAGTTGCAATGTCATTGCCATCCTCGATTATGCCTTTTCGAGGCGCTGCTCGAAATCTCGATACACTATTCTACGGTCAGAATCGCGGTCTGGGCAATAGTATTGATCATGAGGATTCTTTGATCCTTGACTATGGACTAGCATCTTTTTCCATGGATCCATCTACGGAAACCCCAGAGGATAGGCGACGTGAAACTTACAAAGCACCTAGTCCAGTGCCAGAAGGCTTTACACGCACCCTAGCAGATGACGATGTTGCCATTTGCCCGAACTGCTCCAATGAACTCGGAGTTGGCGAAGGGAAGAAACAGGAAATCTGGGTTGCAAAACCATGTGGCCATGTTCGTACTCTCAATGAGTATTTATCTATTTCAATTGCATCAGCTAATCTCTCTTACTAGGTCTATTGTGGCGAATGTGCAGAGAATCGTTCGAAGTCCAAGGCTAAGAAGACCAACACGGCCCAAAGAACAAAACCTTTCTCCAAATGTCAGGTCGCTGACTGTGGTAAGCCGGTTAGTGCTCCTACGGCCATGATCCATCTATATCTATGATTCTTTCCTCAATATCTAGAATCACATTGCATGGTGAGGAGGTGTTTTTCGTTTGCCACCCGGCGTCTTGTCTTGTCGATACCCACGTTGCATGGAAGTTACCGGCGTTTTTTGTTTTCTCTTTTATCAGCCTGAGATTTTACTTGCATGAGTCTTCATACTCCGGTCTTGTCTGAGCGTATCATGAAGATTCGGCATTCCTCTATTACAATCATACTTAGCTACAGCGCCTTGAAGAGCCATCTCAAGGAAATTTCAATCATTTATGAAACATGATAATTTCCTATATATAGAAAAAGAAGAAGAAAACTGCCAGTCTCAAATTATATCATAATACACTCAAGTTCTATGTATGTGAGAGACTGATACTACTATCAAATCCTCTCTATTAGTAGATAAGTTACTGCTTGGTAGTAGTAGAATGCTCTCGGATATATAAACTTTGAATGATTCTTGACTATCTTAGACTTAGGATCTTATAAATTTTGGATATTAGGAAGTGCCAGTGCCAGTGCCAGTCTTGACTTATACAAGTATTAGGGTCCCAAAATGGGTTCAAGTTTCAACTTGAACTTGAAGTTCTGGAATGTCATCACCTAGGTAGGTACCTAAAATAAGTGGGCTCAGGTGGAACTGGACCGTCCAGATGTCATTTAGCCTTCAGTGCAGTATATATCGGACTAACAGCTCAGTAATAACCCCATTCATACCATTCATACCATCTAGTTGGGAGATATTCAATTTACAAGCCATTGGGTCTATGAACGAAGAATCGATATGAGATAAGAATTGTGCCTAGATTCAATAATACAAGACGATGCAATGGCAAGGCCCCATCGCTTCGAAGAAAAGGCCGTGGCCTTTGTCAAAATGCTAAAACAGAAAACGCCCAGGATTTTATACACCACGCAGATCTCCATGGTATGGTGACCAGATACCACGCACACTCTCGTTAAGACTCGTGACGGGCTTCTTGGTCCGCTTGAGCTTCTCTCCGCTGGCATCCTTCAAGATCATCGCCTTCTTGAGGATCTCGCCGGGCTCCATGTTTCGTACACAGATGGCCTTCTCGCGACCATTGATGTACTCGCCCTTGATAACAGGGTGCTTGCCGTGTCGGGGTGCTACTCGGACTTCGATTTGGGGGTTTTCGCGGGCGAATTCGGGGAGAGTCTGGGTCAGGAAGGCGCTGTACGGCATTGACTGTTAGTAAATTTCCAATTTCCAAGGTCATATATAAAGAGAATGAAATGGATACGTACAGCATTCCCCGAGAACTGCCGCCATGGTTGCAGTAGTGAAAGTCAAGGCGCTTGCATTGAAGGATGAAGGCGCCAACGCCATTCTGTTTGAGGTTTCAAGTCAGCTCAGCTGTAAACTTGGATTTCGAAAATTTTAACCCTTCATCTGAACACACATACCCTGGCTGATGTGACCGTTCGAAGACCTTGGACTGGCATTGCTGTGATTTGGCTATCTCTCAAAGTACCACTTCTGCTGTCTTTCCCTCTTCACAATTTCTGGTGTACGTGAAGGCGGTGAGTCGGCGCCAAACGCGGCTAAGGCGCTTTCAGCGGAAGTTCCCTTCTTACGACCACAAGATCGCGACTCTCCTGAGGAACCTCGTCAAGTGACAGCTTTCTCATTTCCCTCACGTCATTCGTTCACCGATTGAGGGCTCACGATGACGGACAAGCTCCCCCCTCCTCTGCTGGCCTTATTCCAGCCACGCCCACCCCTTCGCTACATCCCTCCTACCGATCGCGCTCCGGAAGATTGCGCGAAAAGTACCATCTCCGGAGTTGCCCAATTTCTATCCGAAGCAAAGAAATTCGAAGACGAGGCACCATACAACGCGACTGAAAGTTGGCTGCAGCGGAAATGGCGCCAGAACTTGGAGAAGAAGGAACGATGGAACAACCAGATCAAAGAAGGGCTAGAAACCTGTAAGCGTCATTCTATAATTACTCTCGGGCGCGAAGTTATCTTGCTAATCAGCTTCGATCATGGAAACAGTTGATCCAGAGAAAGATCCACAAGCTCGAGGCGACCCATTCAGGACTCTCTTTGTTGCCCGACTCAGCTTTGACGTCAAAGAATCAGACCTCGAGCGAGAATTCGGCCGGTTCGGTCCCATTGAGCGAGTAAGACTCCCTCTGCAATGTCTCTTTGTCTTGATATTGCTTATAGTCTCTGACATTTTTCTTTCCAGATTCGCATTGTCAAAGACACCATTTCACCAAGGGCAGCCAAAAGACCCAACAAAGGTTACGCATTCATCGTTTATGAACGCGAGAAAGACATGAAAGGTATAATCACCAAATTTATCTCGTTTGCAGTTGCAGAACCCCCATGATCCATTATTATGGTAAGAGGAATATTTTTGCTAACATAGAGGACCCGGGATATTCAGCCGCCTACAAGGAAACAGATGGAATTCGCATTAAGGACCGACGAGTCCTGGTGGATGTAGAGCGTGGACGCACTACTAAGGGCTGGAAGCCTCGTCGCTTTGGCGGTGGCTTGGGAGGCCGTGGTTACACCAAGGCGATGCCTTCTCGTCCCAATGGACCGGGATTCAATGCCCCATCTGGACCTGGTGGCTACGGTGGTGGCTTCCGAGGCGGATTCGGTGGTGGCAGAGGTGGTGGTTTCCGTGGAGGAAACGGAGGCTTCCGCGGTGATCGATTTGGTGGCCCCCGTGGAGGAGTTGGCTACCAAGGCGGACGTAGTGGATTTGGAGGACAGCCGCCACCCAATGCTCCGTCTGGCCCTGGTGGTGGACGCAGAGGAGACTTTGGAGGCGGTTCTTACGGCAGAGGAGCAGGCGAAGGTGCAGGCAGATTTGACCGCGGTGTAACTGGCAGCAACCGAGAGCCTGTGCGCCCAAGAGACGGTCCTTCAGATCGGGACCGCCGCGACGACCGAGATGGTGATCGTTACAGAGACCGAGACCGCCGCGATGATCGCAATGGAGACCGCTACCGGGACCGTGGTGAGCGTAGTGAGCGTGGTGAGCGCGACAGATATGCCAGTGGCGGCCGAGAGGATATGGGACGCAAACGTTACCGTGAAGATGATGGTTATGATGACCCCCGATCCCGGAGACGCTACTAAGTCTTCCCCTTCTTGTGCATGGATGCTTCTTTTCCCCCTTCTCAACCCGAGTCTGCTCTGCTGGTGGGTATACTTAGTCTGTTCTCGTTCGTCCATTTCTATTCGCAAGGGTAAAGGGGTAAGGCGAAATCAAAATGCAGCCACGAATCTGAGACGTTTTCTTTCTATGATTCAAGTCATAATCTCCGCCTTGCACTCACCTTACAAAAGAGTCAATCTCCGATCTACCTGACCTCCTTCGCCCCGGCACGCACACACCCCGCCGGCAGCTGACCGAAATATTCCCTTGGTGCCTCAGTGTATCCCCCGTTTCTTTATTATTTTTCTGCTCTCCATCCTGCCTTGGTATTATTTTCTTTCCGTGTTCAAGTTTCAGTCACCGTTGGGCTTTTTTCCTGCTTGGATTTCTTTTTTCTCTGCCGGTAAGTATGTATTTTAGTTGAATCGGATGGACTCGATGATTGGAATCAATGACGCTCAGGTAAAGTCAGGTAAGAGCCAATTCAATAACTGAAAGCAGGCATCTTACTAGGTACCTAAGTAGCCAAATGGATGGAATTTTTCTACAAAGGAACTTGAAGGGGCATTGTTACTGTCGAGTTTTATGATATCCAATTTAAAGTATTTATCCAGAATCATAGGCACATCATTCAGAGATCCAAGTTTCACAAGGAAAAAAATGGAGATAATGGGATATTGTTCAATATATTTGGAAAAAGAACCACAGGAGAAAAAAAGAAAAATAAGATGTTGCGCCCACCCCAAACTCCAGAAGATGCCCACAAGAATCTTTTTTTGATCAAGAACAAGAGGCAAAGCGATACATCTATGCATCAACCTCCATATCACCCTTCTCCAGAACCTTAATTTCGTTGGTGCTCCGCGACCAGTGAGCCTTCAGGTCAACCTTGAACTCAGAAGATGTGACGCCGAACATCTTCATGATGGTTGTCTGTCGGGAGTCGAGGGTCTCACCCTTACGGCAAACTGGGAAGCTCTCTTGACCCTCAGTCAACTCAAGCATAACCTTGCCCTTAACCAGGCGGGTAGGGACACCCAGCTTACGCAGAGCAGGCTCGACAGTGTGGCTGACGGGCTCGTCGTGCTCAACGGGGATCTCGCCGGCATGCTGGTAGACCAAGCCGTTAGGAATGCTGAAAGAGCGGGTAGCCTCAGTGCCAGCACGGGCGAAATCAGAAGGGCGGAAGTTATCGAAGTACTCGGTGACGGATTCAGCGGCGCGGGAAGTGAAAAGCAAGCCGACGGCACCGGCCAGGTAGGGAGTCAGGCGGTGCACATTGGGAGCAGCTTCGCTCTCAGGAGTGTTTCCAAGAGCGACGGCCATAACCTTAGTCTTACCGAAGAAGAGACTGGGAGAGTGGGTTAGTGATCTGATACATGATGGTGGTGGAGTTGACTATTGCATGATATACAGATATAGATTGGGAACTCTAAATCTAGCATACCAGGCAAAAAATCACTCAAGAGCATGAGAAAACTCACCGGCTGTCTGAGAACTCAGCACGAACATCCTTCAGGTAGGTGTTACGCATGTTGTCAACGGCGAAGACAAACAGATGGTCATATTGCTCGAGGGATTCCCGGATATTGGCATAGAGTCGGCGAGTTTGTTCCTTGTGGTCCTTCTTGGTAACCTTGGACTCATGGACGACGCGCGCACGCTTTGAACGAGGCATTGTGAATAATCTTTATAAAATCGAGTAAAGTTGAATCGATGGGTATCTATTATGCTTTCCGGAGTGTGGTTTTCGCTGATATTTTTTCTCGCTGATAACCGGATGATTTATTATTCCGATGCTTATCCGATCACCCCCACTAGTCTCTATCGGGCAACCAGCTCACGGTTAACATCATCGCTAACCACGCGGTTAGGGATCAATTATTAAGTCGAGGGTCCGGTCCCAGGTCCAGAGGATGCTGGACTTTATGGAATATGTCCAGCTCGCCTTTTCAGAGGCGACTAACTGGAATCGCGACAACTCATACCTGTCGTTGACCACAACAGCACAATGTAAGTCCTCAGGGATGCGACGTGAACGAATCCACTCAATCTAATATCATGAACGATAGCGATTCTTGAATTTTCGACTCCTGAACGTCTTCGAGTTCGTCTCTCCTCTCTTGCAACACCCCATTTTGCAACGAGCTACTCGCTCGGCACAGTGGGATTACTCGATGGATCTGTGTCGTACCTCTTCAGCACGGTTCCTTTTCACAATACTCCTAGTCGAAGTGCTTTGATCCCTTTACGAAATATCTCTCCGGGATATCGACAAGTGCAGGCGCCATTAGCTCCGGTGGAAGTCTGGGGATGGGGCTCATTGCTTGATGGAGTCAGTATCCCAGGAATCAACGACGGGTCGCGTTCAACGCCCCAGGGAAACAAGGATGGGAATCGAGCAGCAGACGAAGCAGCGCATCGGAAAGCGACCCTGCTTCATGCATCTCTACACCTTCCATCACCGACAACTCTCAATGCGCTGTTCTTACGCCGTATCTCTCCAACCATGCAGCTATGTCTAGCTGTGTGTTCCACACAGGGACCACCGTTGTCCAAGTCCGCACCGCAAGCATCAATGCTAGCCCAATTATCTCACGACACAGGAAAATATTCCAATGAATATTTATTCAGCACAGACAATGCCCTCTTTGGCTGGCGTGGGCTCTGGAACTTTGGTCCGGATCCTAGAAAACCTCGGCCGAACGCATCTCCGGCGCTCTCGCTGCTTTCTGCAGGCGCAGAAGCGTATTACTCGCCTACATCTTCATTGATAGGCATGTCCACTGGATTGCGATTTACTACGCTTCCAGCTGCGACTCAAGTGCCCTCATCTACATCCACATCATCTTCAGCCAATCAGCCTACCCCAATATCCACATTCCCTTATACATTAACCCTCACATTAACCCCAATTACTGGCTCTCTATCAACAACTTATTCGCTTCGTGCTTCTCCGAACCTTGCATTCAGCTCCCGATTTGGCTTCAATGTGTATAGCTGGGAAAGCGAAATGGTTGCCGGGTGTGAACTTTGGCGCCGGGCCAAGAAGTCCTCTGCCGATGATAACTTGGAATGGGCCCGTCGCAAAATCCGCCTGCATGATTTCTCCGCCTCTACACCGGGCTCCCCGCCTACCTCTCCACTCCTCTCCGATCCGGTTCAACCCGAGCCCGTCAAGTCGGACGATGTCATCGATGTCGAGACTGGCGACTCGGTCATCAAGTTCCGAGTCGATCAGTCTTGGAACATGCGTCTCCTTTGGGAGGGTCGAGTTAAGGAGCTTCTTGTGAGTGCAGGTGTTGGACTAGGCCCGGGATCCTTCTCTCTGGCGCCAAATGTCTCTTCCTCGGGTGGGTCGGTGCCTGGTGGAGGTGGGCCATCGTACTGGCGCGGGGTTGGAGTTTCAGTTATGTATTCCTCGTGAGGGATATCATGACGCCCTGGAAACTTGGTCTATGCGTGTGACTGTTTTGTCCAGGAGTTCTTTACACACTATGTGCGAGTCATTGGCATTGACTCTGCATTTCTATTCCTACTAGATGCTTTAATTTACCGCTGAACTGGAAATACCTGGCGGTTCCAACATTGTACATATCTTTCATGACAACATATCTGACGTTTAAAGCTTTTGGCCTAACTAATAGATGGCTTTCTTCCGAGCCATTCAACCCTGGCACTTATGGAGTATCATATTCTTCAAATTCCCAAATTCACATCTTAGATGCGAGCGTTAATGATTTCGACGACTAAAGGATATAATGTTAGTATTCGAGACGACAACGACCTTGGGACTCAATGTCAACTTACAGGCAGGCTTCAAGCTGGCACCGCCAACGAGGAAACCGTCAACATCGGGCTGCTGAGCGAGCTCACGGCAGTTCTTCTCACTGACGGAGCCACCGTAGATAACACGGACACCCTCCTGAGCGGCAGCAGAGACGCTCGCACCGAGCCACTTGCGGATCTCGGCGTGGACATCCTGGGCTTGCTCGGTGGTAGCGACCTTGCCGGTACCGATAGCCCAGACGGGCTCGTAGGCGACAACAACCTTGTCCCACTGCTCCTTGGAGAGCTCCTTAGCGGCAGCGTTCAGCTGGCGGGTGACGACATCAATGGTCTTGTTGGCCTCACGCTCCTATTCGATTACAAAAGAGTCGGGTGTAAGCGGGTGTACGGCTGTTATGCCATCAAGTTGCATCCCGGTGACCCACACCGGGAGAAAAAACGGGTCACCGAAAGTGGGAATGACGTACCTCAAGGGTCTCACCAATGCAGAAGATAACCGAGAGACCACCGTCAATGGCAGCCTTGGTCTTGCGGGCAATGAACTAGAAGAAGAAAAACATGTGTTAGATCCAATTGATTATAATTTCGTTGTTGGGGGGAGGAGTGTGGCGCCTTGTTTTGGTTTTGGGTAGCCGGGGTTGTATAGATCACGGGGTTTTTACATACCTCGTCAGTCTCCTTCAGGATGACACGACGCTCGCTGTGACCAATGACAACCCAGTTGATGTTGGTGTCCTTGAGCTGCTCAACAGAGATCTCACCGGTGAAAGCACCGTTGGGCTTGTCGAAGACGTTCTGGGCGGCAACGCCAATCTTGGAGTCGGCGAGCTCGCGGGTGAGGGTGAGGTAGAGGGCGGGGGGGGAGATGACGACCTCAGTGGTAGAGTCGAGCTTGGCGGCGTTGAGGTTATTAACGATGCTGGTGATGCTCTCCTTCACACCGTTCCTGTGTTTATGTCAATTGCATGATTCAAAACACCATATATGATACTGAGATGCAAGTTTGGAGGGGTATCCTCGAGCATCGCGGGGTAGTAAAGTACATACATCTTAAAGTTACCACCGACGAAGAATTGGCGAGGCATTTTGATTGTATGTTATGAAATGATTTGGGGGTATTTGGGAAAAGAAAAAGAACTGAGAAAGCTGTTGGGAATATATAGAGGAAAAGGCCGGGGCGGTTAAAAGAAATGGAGGGGCAGTTCCCGATGATCGGCAGTTCCGCCTGATTATACAGGCATTAATATGACGTTCACCGTTTCTCATGTCGGATAGATGCATGGAGGAGTGAAGCTATGTGCTGTTCCTATGATTTCGAATGGGTCGTTAAGATCATATGAGTGAGACTGTGAGAACATTTGAATATGTATACAATTTTTATGTTCGTGATACACGTACTTAGGTATATATGCATAAATATATATGGCATCTAGATACTACCTAGCACTTGAGTACTATAGACTGGGATTACTAGTACTATAGGTACACATATGACTCGGATGATACTAGTACTAGCAGCCCCTGCCCAGGTGGGCCTGGAATACTAATTGATAGACATGATTATCCTTCTAGGTATGTACTATTATATGTCTATATATCTATCTTGATAATATTATATATACTATCTGTCACAGGCTGAACCCCTGAAAGAGTACAGGCCTTGCCTGTACAAAGCTCAACCATCCACGTGACCCATAACATTCCTCTTCTTCCTTGAGGAATCGTGCCCGAAGTCTACTTCTTCTCCTTAAGCTTCTTTTTGTACACAGTTTGTGGTCCAAGTAGACTGAATCAAGTCCGCTTCTGCCCTTCACACTATCTTGCTTAACTTAAAGTGCTTAAGTACTAGATATAATACTTCTACTAGGTAGTTCTTCAGCTTCCATACTACTATATATGTACTAATAGATATCTAGAGATATATAATAATAAGGTAGATATATGATTAATGGTTATAGAACGGTTGTGAACGGTTGTGAAAATACAACCTATTACTAAGCAGGTTTTCTGCCTAATATTGCCTTATAATTAGTTGAGATTAAAATTAATGCCTAAGGTATGATAAATTTTGCCTGATTCTGTCTGATTCTGCCTGATAATTAGTTCTAATTAAAATTCTTGTACATGTTATGTTTTTAATGGTCTTCCCCTGAAATGTATATATATATATATATCTGTCTCTGTGTTGGATTCTTCTTTACTTCTCCAACTCCCTTTGAAAGTTGGACTTGGAAATTTCTAAAAATTTCTAACTTGAACCTTCTGAATATTAACCTTCTGAATATTAACCTTCTGAATTAATCTTGGAATCTTAGAAGTGTATATAGATCTTAGGATCCTGGATGATTGTTTGTTTTGATTCTAGTACTATAGACGCGTAGAACATTGTATGTAATTTTATTAATATGTAAATTACCAATATTGGTCTATTTCTAAATGAATTAATACCTGTATGGATTCCTGTATTGGGTATTTGATAACTGTCTGACAACCATTTCACAACCGTTAAATTTCTCATAACTAATCAATAAACCACAACGAGGGTACCTCGAACTTTTTGAAAGAACTGTTAAATTCAATATACTGTCAAGAACTCTCGCTTGACCGTTATTTGAAAACCTGAAATCTAGCAAGGTGGCATATATAGGTAGTAAAAGTAGTATCATATACCTGTGGACATCTAGATGTACTAGTATTCCAAGGTTACTACCTAGTAGTAGTACTAGTAACTTGAATTTCCCAGGCTTAACTTATGTGTACTATACTACTATTGATGTAGTAGCTCAACCTTGGAAGTGCTACCATGTACCTGATATAGTGGAGAAGTGCACGTATGCAGTATACTGTGTAGTACCATATGGAATGCCCACTTGCCTAGTACATAGTAGGCATTCAAGTTTGATTATCACAGCAGAAATTTCCAAAGTTCTCATATACAAGATTTGAACCTCCGAATTACATAATAGAAAGCACTAGTTATTAAAAAAGGTCATATGTTAGATACGAACCTTGGAAGATGAAGATGTCCCGAGGTCTTTCCAAGGTTCTACGCCTCGAGGTGCTTTGAAAGTTCCAAGCCCCATCCGTTGACCTGACATCAAATGTTAGGTATCTGACATTCTCATAGAATCGTGGGCCACTTGACTTACCATTGGAGGCAGCATCAGGGAAAAGTGATTACCATCGGCGTGGATAACGTTGACTTCCCCCAAAAGTTCATCCCACCCAAGAGAATCACCCTCGGCCCTGTCATCCAGGAACCAACTGACGATCTTTTGCTGCTCAGGCATAAACTTGGGACGAGAAATTTTGCCCTCCCTTACCCACGCCGTCTTGCGCCGAAACTAGCACAGCCTGAGGGATCTTTCTTCCCGGCAGTTTCCTCGCCTTATATCTGAGCAGCTGCTCTCTTGACATTGTGAAGTGGGCACTTGTGATCGGCCGGTTTTGGGTCTTCTGTGAAATGAGTTGGAGTTGCTCTTGGCCCAAGATGGCTTCTCACTTTCTGTTGTGCTGGTTGCACAGGTGTATGGGGTCACTGAACGACCAACCATGGAAGCGGCCGATGAGCTGGACAGGGAGTCTGCACTGAGTCGAGACGCAGTCCATCCGCAATGAGATTGCAGAGTGATATGACATTAGTGATTACGGCGAAGTCATTAGGCGAAACATCGAGACTAAAGGTTTCGTTCAGATTACTGATGATCTCTGCAGCAACGAGAGAGTCGGCTCCGAGGTCTTCGAGATTGGAGTCCATCTCGAAATTTGAAACAGGAATATCAAGAGACTGGCTAAGAATCTCGAAAACAGTGTTTTGCCATTCTGAAGCAGCTTCGTCGGAGGACTCAAATCCAGAATGGGGACTTTGATCCTCGTTGTATTTATTGTTCAGATCAACGGAATTGCCATCAAGCTGGGAAGAAATCAAGTCGCACAAAGCTGCAACGTCTGTGACATTTGCAAATGCCTCGAATGAGATTTCAATCTGGAACCTGGTGGAGATGTTGGCTAGAATTTCCGAGCTAACCAGCGAATCTGAACCAAGCTCTTCAAGCCTGGCCTGCTTGGTGATATCCTCCACTGGGACATCCAAAGACTGACGGAGAACCTCCTTCAACTGCTCAAAATATTTGTAGTTTTCATGATGGCCTCTGGGAGTTTGCCTTTGTTGTCCTTAACAGTAGTATCATTGGCCTCCCCGCTGATTCTGGATGAGATCAGACAGCACAGAGAGGCGACATCTGTGACGGCTGCAAAATCATTGACAGAGATGTCAATTTCAAACCTATTTGAGATGTTCATGAAAATCTCTGAGCTAACCAGTGAGTCCATGCCCAGTTCCTCGAGTGTTGCTTGCTTGGTGACTTCCTCGACTGGAATATCCAAAGAGCTACTTAAGACTTCTTTGACTCCACTCAAAGCATCATCTGTACTCTCGGTACCTCTCATTGCCTTTTTAGGAGGCAAAATAGGCATCGACACCGAATTAGGAGCTGATGGCCGAGCTTCAGGTTTTGATGAGCGAGCGGGCTGCTCCTTGAGTTCTGTGCTTGCTGCTGCAAGCACCTTAGCAAGCGAGCTGCGCAAGACTCTGGAGAACTTCAATCCCTTAGCACACCACACCATTTTCTCGCTCTCCTTGTCAAATGAAAATACGTCGAGTACAGCCTCCTTGTTATCCTCACGGACAATCTTTGTATAGACTCGGTAGTTTCCGCTAACCTTGAGCTCATTTAAAGGGCGAACGGAGTCCATGCCAATGCAGATATAAGCTAAATCAGCATCCTCCTCGTCATTGGTACCACGAAGCGAGTGCACGAACGCCCCAGGCACTTGCAAGAAAGTGTCTACGACCAAAGGGTCTGCAATATCATCATTAGGCGTTTTGGACAATGCATTTAGACCATCCGGTGGGATGACGATGTTGCCTGCACCCTCAAAGCTCTTTCCGACCAAGTGACGAAGACCACGATACCCAGAGGAGTACTTGGCCATCTTCGAAAATACCTTGTACACCATTGTCCCCCGCAAGGCTTCCGTGTCGGTCTCCCTTTCTAACAAGCTAGTGAGACGGGCCCATTTGTCTTGCTCGTCCTGATCAGTGCTGAGATTGTTGTCCATTCGAAGAGAAATTGCGCCTGATGCGTGGGAAACTGGCTTATCACTGCCCTTGGTAGACGACAGTTTGAAACTCCAGGTTCTTTCAGTCTTTTTCGTCAAGATCACTTGAAGGGCGCGCTGTGTGTCCAAGCCCATAGGCGCCTTGATTTTCAAAGCATCTGCACATATTTTTGGTATGATTATGTCTGTCTTTGTGTCTTGCAACAAGGCGACGGCGTGTGCAGCCAGCTCCAGATACATTGCTGCCGGGGCTATTGGAGATCCAACCACAATGTGGCCCTGAATCAGTTCCTGATAACTTTTGGCACGGGTGTCGACATTGAAAAAAAAACCTGCTCATATTCTGCCTTTGAGTCTTATCTTCTGAGATATAGGCAAAATCACTGGTATTTTTCAGGCAGTGAGGACACAGCGCTGGGGCCTGTTCAACGATCTTGCTGCCCTGTCCACTCAAGACATCAACATGGTCCAGCCAGTGTCTATGCCTCTCAAACTGGTATGGCGGCAGGGATACAGGGAGGTAGCTAGCTCGTTGACTGGAATGGAATGACCAGTACTGGATGTTCAGCTGGCCATTCTTCCACAAAGTAACTGTAGCATCCGCGAGAGATCGTACGGGATCCTTCGCATTGATCCCCACGAAGGTGTGTCGATCCTGAGCTTTAGCTTCGGGTAGTGCGGTACGTGCCATAGCAGTGATGGGGCCGCCGACACCAGCTTCCAGGAACACACAATCTCCCAGTCGGTCGACAATACGCGAAATAGCCTGCGTAAAGTACACAGTACCACGGGTGTCGCGAGCGATTATATTGGAACCCGGGCCAGTCCAAGGGCCTTCGTGGCAGGATTCAAAGGGGAAAAGCGGTTCCTATTTTGGAAGAAACATTAGATGATTTTTCCAATAACAAAGTGGGATTGACAAGTGGTGTTTTAATACTGACCTGGAATGGGATTGAATCTGACAAGTTGGCGCTCTCATCGACGATTGAGTCAGCCATGACGGAGTGGTATGCGTACATGCCATTTAAGACCTTGATTCGAATCTTCTCGCCACTGGCCTTCTTACTATTCAGGTACGACTCGAGAAGCTTGATGTCCACAGTGCGCCCTGCAACAACATAGTTGTTGGGTCCATTGTAACAAGCAATGTCGAGCTTCACATCTGGATGTTTCTCATAGAAAGGCTTCAGATCCTCGACAGGAGTTATACCTTTCTCTATTAAATCGGCTTCAATAGCCACCATAGATACGGTGTCCTCACCCCAAAGTTTCTCAATTATGGTCGCGCGACCTGTACAGAGAGGTTAGTATCCATTGAAATAAACCAAACATTCATGTGGGCTTGTATATACTGACTATAGAAGGAAAAGAAATTAGTATGCGTCAAAGTATTCATGCCATAGAAGGACATACCCAGTTACGAGCTTCATTCCGGCCTTCAGTGTCATAGCACCAGACACAGTTAGTGCCGCCCACTCGCCAAAGGAATGACCACAGACTGCCTGGGGTTTGACACCTGAGTCAATCCATGACATGCCACTCGAGTATTGGATAGAGAACATGGCGGCATGGCGGAGAACAAGGTCGCCGTCGTCCTGGATTCCCTCGAGAACCGCCGGAACCAGGCCGGAGAAGCCAAGTGACTTCATCGCCTCATCGCACTGATGCATATGCACCCGGAATAGCAAAGAGCTGTTATAAAGAGCTCGAGCGGAGGGTACAGTGTTGCCATTCTGGCCGCTGAATAGAAGCACTATGGGCTTGGGCTTCTGAGATGTAGTGGTATACCTCTCTGGATTGAAGAGCTGGACCTGGAGATCATCCACTATGCGAGGGTAGTTAGTCAGCAATGCTTATCTATAAGCTAATTTTGGAAAAGATGGTCATTGAACATCACTTACGCGAAGTGGCAGTCGTGCTGAACACATGCTGCAGCTGGTGACTTTGCCTCGTCGCCAAAGAGAAGGCGATGGATGGAGCATGATCGGAAGAGACTAAGGCGTTCTCAAGCTGACACCTTAGCTTGTTACAGAAGGCCGAAAGACTAGCCTCGGATGCCGCACAGATGAAGACAGGGCATGCAGAGACAATTGGAAGAGGCGATGTCGACTCTGTCGCTGACGATGACAGCTGTGGGGGAGGGGGCGCGATAACAGCAGCAGCGTTTTTGCCAGAAGCACCATAGCTGTTCACAATTGCCAGGCGCAAGTCGTCATTCCAAACTTTCAAAGATCTTGAAATGGCCATCTGATCAGGCTCAAGAGCTGAGATATTGGGATTCAACTTCTCGAATTGAGCTTGTAGGGTTATCTTGCCATGCTTCATCATAAGCAGAACCTTGATCAGCGAGATCACACCTGAAGCTCCTCCAGAATGTCCAACATTGGCCTTCACATCACCAATATGCAAAATGGAGTCTCTGTCCTTCCCGCCAATGATCTGTCGGATACCGTTAACCTCGACAGGATCACCAGCGCGTGTGCCCGTGCCGTGTGCCTCCCGCGACAGCGTGTGTACACTCGCCCGCCTGGATAGCGTAACAGGCCTGGTGAATGGCAGCCATTGCTGACGAACAGGCCGTATCGATGACATGTGAAGGGTCAGTCCAGCCGAAATGATAGCTCAACCGCCCAGATACGAATGATCGAAACATCCCAGCACCTGTGTATGGCGAGGGCGCGTGGGAAGCCAAGTTCAGAGGGTAATCAGGCGCATTCATTCCAACGAAGCAGCCGGTAACATTTGCGCTTTTGCTTCTGTCATGGGTCTCAGCGTCTTGCGACTGGCCAATACCCAGCCAACCTGCTGATTAAACTGCTTTGTAGGTGGTTTCGAGCATAATGCGCTGATGCGGGTCGAGTGCTGCTGCTTCGCGTTTGGACTTTTTGAAGAACTGGTGGTCAAAAGACTCGACATCGGACATGAAGTTGCCCCACATCTTGCTCTTACTCGCTGAGCCTGCACCGGGGAATCGCTTCAAGTCAATGTCGCGTACCCTGCTTTTCCCTGCCTGAGCGTCTGCCAAAAGTCCTCCGTAGTGTCTCCAGCTGCAGTTCGACAAGCTAAGTCCACAATGGCAATCGCATCTTCAGGGTAATTGGAGAAACTACTACCGGTGATATTATGCGTGGCCTGCTTCCTTGGAGTGATATATTTCAGCACAGGATGCCGCAGTGGCTCGTCAACCTCGAGCTCCAATGCGCGAACGACCACCACATGATCAGTTTCGAGGCTGGCAAAGCGGTCCCAAGCTGCAAAGGCTTCTTCAATGCTCATAGTCGCCAAGCCTCTATACTGCATTCCCTTGGTAATAATGCGCGTGGCTAGGTTGCTCTGTGCCATCAACCCAACGCCACGCCAGCAGGTCCATAGTATTGACATGCTGTTATCACCCTGGAGCCTTCGATGAGCTGCCAGACCCTCCAAGAAAGAGTTTGAGCTGCGTAAGACAACTGGCCTTCAAAACCGACAAGTTTTCCAACTGAGGAGACGAGGTAAAAGAAGTCTAGGGTGCCGGGTGGAAAGAGGGTGTCAAGATTCAAGCCGCCTATCACCTTTGTTGCTAAGACATCGGCGACTTCTGATAGTATGCAGCGCAAGATACTGTGGTATTTTGCTATCCCAGCGGCGTGCAACACGCCTTTTACAGGCGGTAGATCGAGCTCATCAATTGCGTGTCTAAGCGTGGAGTCGGCCCCAGCCTTGCTAGCATCAATGCTCAGGACACGGACGTTCACGCCTAGAGCTTTGAGCTCAGCGATGCGCGAGATCAGGTTGTTCAGATCTACATCATTGGCTTCGCGTTCTGAAGCTGGAGGAAGGCCACAACGAGACACTAGTAAGATATTACTAGCGCCACGTTTACCCTCCAACTTGAAACTTCCAGACCGATACCTCGGGTTCCCCCAGTAATGAGGTAGGCTCCCTTTGAACTGAATTGGAGTGGTTGAATATCACTGGTCATGCCCGGAAAAGGTTGGAGTGAAGCTGTTTGTGCAGTTCCTTGGCAGACCTTGACGACGTCAAACTCCTGAGCATTTTTGATGGCAGATCATGGAAAACGACCTTGATCGTCCTCAAACAGTCCACCAAAGACATTGGGAATTTCCATCTTCAATGCACGCACCAGGCCATAGAGAGGAGCATGACATAGATCACCAAGACCTGAGTCTTTGGTGATCAGTGAAAACAGCTTGTAACTCTTGGTCTTGTCGGACTGCCAGCACTGATGTAGTGTTTGGGCGGCTGAAATCAACTTGGTGCAAGAGTTTGTTGCGACCTTGTACACATCATTTTTGGATGTCTCCGTATGTGGAATGTGGACCACAATCGTATCAGACGTCAATGATGGCCCAATTTCTGCGATGTTGTGAACAATCGCTGTCGCATAGCCATCCTCGATAATCTGATCTAGGTATATAGAGATGCCTTCATAATGATCTTGGTCATCGACGAGAAAACGCACTTTCCCAAAGGCAAGCTCATTCTCGGATAATAAAGCAGGCGTCCAATCGATTCGATGAACCCGCTGGCATCCATGATTGTTTTGTTCTATCAAATGAAGAAGGCAATAAGGGCCGAAGCATGTCGGTCCCAAACTTGTTGAGATTGACTCGAAATTGTTGAAAAGAGTTCAAAAATAAAATCTGATATATCAAACTTTCTGAGACCCTGCATCGATTCATTTATAGAAGTGGGCTCTGGACAAAGAATGTTCTTCCCCGCTGATATAGATTAAAATCCTATAGGACTATTCAGTCCTGAAACGACCGAAAGCAAACTCCGCCAACTAGCTAATGAGGAAGGAATACTCTACCTTGTGCACACTAAAGATGCATGAGTCGATTCAGTGGCAATGGACTAAATCAAAACCATCCTTCTACCGCATTGGACACCGGGATGACCTGCAGGAGTACAATTGCAATGTGTAGGAGTGTATATTCCGAAATAGGTACTTAGATCGAACTCCGACCTCGGAGTCGCAATCTTGTACGTACAGTAACAACTTTGAAAATCATGAGATGAGAAAAACAGAAGCTGTATCTTCGGGTATGACCTCAAGAATCATGATGCATGATACAAACTGAGACGCCGTTCTCCACTACACGACGTACCTATGGATACTACATAGTAACAGCCAGAAGGAACGAGGCAACTACTAGTATAGACTTGAACTAGACAGCTCGTATTAGATGCCTGTAAGCACTATTTTCCTGCACATGTGTTCCTTCGCTTAGTATGATGATAGAAACTATAGATATGACTGATTTACATGCCTGCGGTCTTTGATCTCAGAACCAATCAACCTTTACATCTAAGTCGGCACAAAGTGACAGCCCGTCAAACTCTAGTACGCATATGCAACGGACTTTGGGAGGGGCTGGCAGGATTTTATCCGGAGTTTCAAGGTTGAGCTTACTGTTGTCGATCGGATGAGGCTGTGGTACGGACGTTTTCTCGGCAAATTATGTCGTCTTGCAGGGGTCATGCGTAGGCTGAGGGCTCTGTATAGATCTCACGCATATCTCCTTCACAGCCCTATAACTCTTATCTACCAGTCATAGACGAAAGTCTCAATGCACATGTGCACGGACTTTTAGTCGGGAAGTGTCACCAGGCATCAATTGCAAATCTTCGTGGGGGTCGATAACAAATCCAGTATCGAATTGCATCTCTGCATGTGTCCTTTTCATTCCTAGCGGCCCCATAGACCCCATAGGCACCAGGGATCTCAGGGTTCTCATGGGTGCAGGGGTCCCCTGTAAGGTGACATTGGAATAACTAGCACATGCTAGTGCATATATGTGGCTTCTGGGCCACATCGGAGCCCCGCCAAAGTGCATATGTCGTGCTGATATCTAAATATTCTTCTGCTTCTTCTTTATTAGATATTACAACTACCGATTGGTCCAAGAATTATACGGTATCTTGAACTTAAAACATGCTAGACCCTTTGTTTCATACAGTCTTTACATACCAAGAGCGTGCCAGCACAACGGTAAGTCCGGTTCGGTAAATTACTAGTAGATAGTTATGGAGGCAAATTTAACGCTTGAATTTTAGTACTATTGTACATATAGTACTTTGGCGACGAAAATCAGTGACCCGGAAGAGGAGTGGCCCGGAAGAGGGAGAGATAGGGATATACCTAGTAGTTACGTTATGAAAATAACCTTGGAATAGCCTTGAGAAGTGAGGCGAATTTGAATACTACGTAGTAGAATATGGAAGTAAAGAGCACAGAAGTTTGATTGATTTATTGAAGACTCAGCGGAGCTCTTCACAGCACCTAATCCTGTGCAATGCAGTTGGTTTGTCCATTCTTGTAAGTCTAATAATACTCAAGGTGAAGGAGTCTCGCACAAAATCCTTTTTGAGATAAATAAATATAGCTAATCAAGGGAGCTGGTGCCTATGCCAGATATTCCCTCTACATCACCTGGGTACCGAGTGATATCTCTATTCTTGTACGGCCACTGGGCTTAGAGATCTCCAATCTTCTTTTCTGCTGATTCCAAGGGCCGTCACAGGGCTCGTCGCTTAATCGTGCAGAGGAAGCCTCGCTGTTTCACGAAGAACCCATTTTCCACTGTAAGCGCCTTCGGGTCGAAGATATCAATCTAATTCTCTCATCAGCAGCAAAACGACTTGTGTTTGGAAAGATTGTGACTCACATCATAGTTAAGAATTAAAAAAGGGATGAGCTTTTTCACTTCAAAAATACCGATGTACTTCCCAAGGCACACTCGTCTCCCAGCACCAAACTGGTCAGATTGTTAGTCATAGGCATTGGCTAATCAAATTCATACCGAACGATACTTACAGTCAACATGCTTTGTTCGAGCTTCTTTTTATGACCTTCGCCACCACAGAGCCACCTCTCTGGGTTCCACTCTTCAGGCCGAGGGCCAAATATTGGCTCGTTTCGGTTTACCACGTTGGGATTGCCACCAACTAGGGTACCTTCGGGTAAAGAGGTGCCCAGTACGATGACACCTCCTGCGGGAACAATACGCTCAAGTGGTAGTGCAAATGGAGGGTGTATACGTGCTCCCTCTTGAACACAGGCATCGAGGTAGGGAAGATCGCGGACCTCCTCCCATTTTGGATAAGGAAACGAAATGTTCGCAGCTTTAAGCTCTTCTCCTAGCTTCTCTAATTGCTCTGGATATTGCAGGATGTTGTCTGTAAACTAGTTAGCGTTCACCCGTAGAATAATCAGCCTCTCCCCAAAGTTTTCGTCCTGGAGCGCACAACATCCAGGCTCAGATGATTGCCTGTTAAAAGCTATCGATAATGTACTAGTAACTCACTGGATTTTATCAGTTTTAAATTGCTTCAGCAGAGCACATGGAGATCCAACTTACCACATAACAGTACCTATCAATGTACCGACCGAATCCGAGCCAGCGATGACATTTGAAAAGGTCCAAGCAGTTGAAGCCCTATGAGTATTGTAAATATTACGTTGGTGAATCTATTTGAGAATTCACTCTCTTACCATGGCTGTAGATCAGGATGGACTTTCTGGATTTCGAGAAAGTGGGCCAAAAAGTCCTTCTTCTCAGGGTTGACATTCCTGCTGTTTTTGGCATCCACTGTCTCGCTTAATCGATCGCGAATGGCTTTGGTGACAACGCCCAAAATGGCCATTCCAGGAGTTTTTCGGAGTCTGTGGACCACTTGATTTTTGTAGATCTAATGGTCGAGACAGGTAATTTGTGTCATCTACTAAGGATATTAGAAAACATATAGGTTTTGGGAGTGAGTGTACCGAGGAATCCATACCGGCGCTGCAGTCTCCATGAAGGCAAAGATAGCATCCAGCATGCCTCCGACATCGTGACCTTTCTCAAGAAAGCCGTATCTTCGAGAAAAGGACATTGTTCCCATCACATCAAATGCAAAGTATTGTAGCCATTCACCAAAGTCAAATGTCTCGCCAGTGGCCACAAAGCGCTGGTCAAGCTGCTCCGATAGACATAAAAGCACCTGGTCGACCAGCCCTTCAAAAGTGACGACATTGGACAGGGAGAAAAGTGGTGTAATCGGGCGTTTGAGGTGTTTGTGCGTCTCTTTCTCTTGTGGAACCCTGGAAGGATTTTAGATAATTATAGTATACGTTCTAAAATGTGTGCAAATATTACATCAAGCGGTCAATACCTACTCCCGAGGTCTAGCACCCTGTCTAGAGGTATTCACATCTGTAATACGGTACTATGTGGACGCTCCAGGCTCGACAGGATCACTCAGAATACGAGAACTTGCCACTAACCTTGCAGCATGATTCCAAGATTGTTTCCTCGATATAGCCCGATATAGCCGGGCAATCGGAGCAGGTTCAGAACAAATTCCGGGGCCCCTCCAAAATTGAGGAACTCATCCCGGTTGCAAGACAGGGGTCTGCATCAAGCTGGTGTTATCACCGTCTATGTCCGTCGCTAGCGTGTGCTGTGCTGTTTCTCGCCGGGTATATAGATATCTCCGAGATATTACCCCATGGCTGGCCCAGCTGCGCAGCCAAATCTACTGGCAGATTTGGGGTAGAAGGGTTACAGGAGTTACGTTCTTTTTTCTTTGTTCTACTTGGAGGCTTTTATATGACCCAAGGGTCCGTCTGAACTCCATGATGAGTCTCCATCAACTCATAACCAACTGAGCCCATCGACTTCCCCCAATCTCAGCACCGCCTCCCGACTTGATTTTCCAAAAGAAGGATAACACCTTTCGAATCATTGAAAAAAAAGATCGAAACTTCATCATGGCCGAACCGACTCCCCCTACCGAGCTTGGCCGCCTGCGCGTCCTCTCATCCACTGCTGGCGTTCGTGTCTCTCCTCTTCAGCTGGGTGCTATGTCCATCGGTGATGCCTGGGCTGGCATGATGGGCTCCATGGATAAGGACTCCGCATTCAAGCTCTTTGATGCCTTTTACGAGGCCGGTGGGAACTTCATCGACACTGCGAATAACTACCAAAACGAGCAGTCGGAAGAATGGATTGGCGAATGGGTCGAGGCGCGCCAGAACCGCGACTCATTGGTTTTAGGAACCAAGTTCAGCATGGACTACCGCAGCTATGCAATCGGCAAGGGTTCACAGGCTGCTAACTTTGCGGGTAACTCCCGCCGCAGTATTCACGTCAGTGTCCGCGACTCATTGAAGAAACTGCGTACCGACTATATTGGTGAGACTCCCGAATCGCTGTTTTCGTTTATATAGGACCCTGATTTCTGATTTTACATCCCCTCCATCAGATATCTATTATGTTCACTTCTGGGACTACACCACCTCGATAAAGGAGGTCATGGACGCCCTTCATGTTCTTGTCGAACAGGGTAAGGTTCTGTACCTGGGAGCATCGGACACCCCTGCCTGGATTGTGGCTGCCGCCAACACCTACGCTATCGACCACGGAAAAACTCCCTTCAGCGTCTACCAGGGGCGCTGGAACCTTCTATGCCGTGACTTTGAGCGGGATATCATTCCCATGGCCCGTCAATTTGGCATGGCTCTTGCCCCGTGAGTTTACAATCTTCCTATTTATAGTAATATGCAAGCAGCTAACCCATGTTGCAAACAGCTGGGACGTTCTTGGTGGAGGCAAGTTCAAGACCAAGGCTGAGATTGAGCGCCGCAAGACTGCCGGAGAAAACCTACGTACTTCTGCGGGCCGACTTCCCTACCAGACTGAGGATGAGATTAAGGCCAGTGAGGCTCTGGCGAAAGTGGCATCGGAGCACGGCATTGAATCAGTCACCTCCGTCGCGCTGGCCTACGTGATGTCCAAGGCCGGCAGTGTCTTTCCTCTGGTCGGCGGCCGCAACGCTGAGCACCTGAAGGATAACATCCAAGCTCTGAGCCTTGAGCTCACTCAGGAGCAAACTCAGTATCTTGAGAGCGTCAAGCCCTTCGACGCTGGCTTCCCGCATAATTTCGTCCCCACGGACCCGAATGTTAGTGGTTCGTCATTCCTGATTGCGCGAACCAACGCTATCAAGTTCCCCAACGCCCACAAGCCGACCTCTCTGTGAAAGGTCACTACCAGCCACATGATGATATATAGCATAGAGAACAGGAATTCTGTGATTATGGCCCTGCGAGAGGCAGTACATATAGCCTGATATAGGACCGAGATTTCTCCATAGTACAATGACCCAGAACCTTGGAATGGAATGAATATTTACATACATATACTTCAACTTTTAGCTCGCTTGCGCGGCTTGCGAACTTGACTTTTCTCTCCCATTAATATCTATAAGAGTCTGATGTGGTTTGTTGTGTTTTGTTGTCGCACCGACTCGCACGACGCGTCAAAAGTTTGCCCGGGCCCGAGGTAAACATTTATCAACTACGGTAGTATTTCACCAAATACCGTAGTCGATCAAATACCCAAACAAATACTCATATCGTCTTCCAAGGTTTTTACAGTATTCCACACGGTATTTGACTCCAAATACGGTATTTGGAATATATAAGCGGCCGACCTGGTACTACTACATAGTAGCACATGAGATAGTATGTACTAGTTAATATAACATTGAAGTGCTATATTCATACCTTGGAAATAGGTATAATACATAGCATACTAGTACTATCAGTTCAAGTTGACATCATGTGTATAAGAGTAGGTCCACGGGTATTGAGTAGTATTCAAATGTTGATATGATGATGATAAATTTGCCCAGGTGATGATACTACTAGTAGTAGCACTTCCAAGGTTCCAAGATTGAGAAGAATACTAGTATAATATTCAAGTTTGAACCTTCCAAGGTTGGAACTTACATACTAGTACTTCAAATGTTCAGCACATACGCATCTTTAACTTGACAAGATTGAACTAAAACGTGTAGATCATCCGGCGCGTGCTCCACGTGATCCTAGATTATCGCGACGCGGCAACCTTGATTTCCTCAATTGATCCCACTGTCAATGTTATCTGATCCAGTTACGAGGTAGTGGATGTGGTCAGTCATGAAGGATGGGAGGGATAGTAGCTTCGGGTGAGTCGAAATTTGCTAATCATGCGAGCAATGAATACACTAACCAGCTGCGCGCTACAGACAAGGAGCACCCGCTCGCGGGCGCGGTGATATGCTTCACCTCTGTTCCAATGGAGAAAAAGGTAGGGATAAATAATCCATAAAAAATCCGAATACCCAGACTGACGCGCCTGGAACTAGACTCAGCTCGCCAACGCTGCGAAAGAAATGGGCGCCATTGAACGACCCGATCTTACCTCCGAAGTCACCCACCTCTTTGTTGGATCGACCGACTCTGCGAAGTATCAATTTGTCGCGCGTGAAAGAAACGATGTCCTCGTTCTCCAGCCGGGATGGATCGAAGCTGTGCGCGAGTTATGGATGCAGGGAGAAGACTTCGACATTCAAGCCTTGGAAAAAGAGCACAAGATACCTGCTTTCTTTGGTCTTACGCTCTGTATCACCGGATTTTCGGATATGGGGCTTCGGACGAAGATGAATGATATTGCCATGGTGAACGGCGCAGAGTTCAGGAAAGACTTGACCAAAAGCGTTACACATCTCGTGGCACGGACTGCGGAGGGAGAGAAATACAAGTTCGCAACACAGTGGGGAATCAAGGTCGTCGCAGAAAAGTGGTTTCACGACTGCGTTGAGCGTGGAATGATCCTTGACGAAGAGAAATATCACCCACTGATGCCAATGGACGAACAAGGTATTGGGGCATGGATTCGACCTTCGCTCACAGCAGACGGTCAACCAGGGAAACCAAGACCTGCTCCTGGAGGTTCATCAGATAATCGACCAAGGAAAAAGCTACGGAGAACCGCTAGTACGAAACTTATTGGTCAAAACGAGAATATCTGGGGCGATATCATTGGGGCTGGTTTCATGAATACCGAGACGAACGAGCAAGTTAATAACGATGACAACGAAGAAATGGATTCACCTCCAAGAAAGCCCGTTATCCAAGCAGCCAAATCCTTTGCGAGTGAGTCGGCTTTTGGGGATTCCATGGAGAAAAGTCAGCGAACGATGGCACCCAAGGCCCCGGAGGGCTTCCTCAGCGGCTCCTATATCTATCTTCATGGGTTTTCTTCCAAACATGTAAGTGCATTTTCAACTAGTATCTAAGAATGCCGCTAATAGTTCACAGGTAGGAATTCTGCACCGCCATCTTGATTCCAATGGAGCTCAATGCGTAGAGTCACTGGCCGAGTTCTCTCGCCCGAGTATCCCAAAGACGGGCCAGGGTCTTTACATTATGGTCCCATACCAAACTCCGAGAAAAGAAGTTCCATCAACAGATGACATGGCCTTTGAATGCGACGTTGTGACAGACATGTGGCTAGAGAAGTGCCTACACGCACGTAAACTAGTTCCTCCTGAATCTCACATCGCCAGCACGCCATTCCCCAAATTTCCAATTCCAGGTCAGTGTTTGTGAGATTTATAGGTCGAATTCTTTATATTGACTATAAGCAGGACTTCCCGGAATGCGAGTATGCTCAACTGGATTCGGTGGAATTGATCTTCTTCACCTCTCCAAACTGGTCAATCTGATGGGAGCGAAGTACGACGAGGTTCTGACGCAGCAGGCATCTGTTCTTATTTGCAATGACCCCCAGACTGCAAGTGTGGACAAACTGCGGCACACCAGGGAATGGGGTGTCCCAGCAGTCTCTGCAGATTGGCTTTGGATATCTATCAAATCCGGTCAGAAAAAGCCCTTCGACGCATACCTCGTACGAAAGCGGACATCTCAACCAAGACTCAGCGAAGAAAGACCTGGTGCTGCATTTGCCAGCGAGGCCAATGATCAAGAGAGCGACAACGCAAACGACGCAAAAGCACAAAGCTCGAAAGAGTCTACCCATAGCAAGACACCTGAAAACTTGCAAGTAGCAAAGCAGAATCGGAACCGAATTATGCCTATAATTGATGATGGCTTCTCAAACGACGCAGAAAATGATGCACCAATGCCCTCTATCCCAGAATCTCGATCTCCAACCCCAAATACGACAGAAAACAACCAAACGGAGGAAGAGTCTACCTCTGAACAACCACAAGAAAGCCCAGCAAAGCCCGCTGCACCATCTGCGCTGGACACTGCGCTCAAAGGACTGCTCCAACAAGCACAAGCCGCAAAATCCCGGCAACAAAAAGAAGGCTCAGCCACAACAACAGATGAGGACGGGTTTCCACACCGCAGAAAACGGAAACCCCTTCTAGGCCGTGCTATATCCCACTCATCCACTAAACTACTCGACAACCCCGCTGCACCATCCAGAGCTAGTTCCATAGATACCCTCAACGACGACGGTCTAGGAGCACCATTGGACAGCGGCGATCCAACACGAGATAATTCCCTATCTCGTACAAACAGTCGCATCAACGACCAAAGTCTCTCCTCGATGTTTAGCGGTGGTGGCGGGAAATTTGATTTCTTAGCTGATAAGCAGCCCTTACTTAACGGGAATGAGGAAGACGAAGAGAATACCGTGCCCCAGATGACACAGCTGGATTACGAGGATGCCGATGCAGCTGCTATGCGCGCTGAATTCTTGCGTGATGCTGGAAAGTTACCTAGTAAGTCTAAAGAGGCTGATACTGGGATGTTACTTGGGGAAGCAAGGGAATTAGAGGATGTTGGTTGGGGATCTAGACGGAGGACGAGGAAACATCCCAGGAGCGAGGATTGATGATTTGGAATGGGATATCTTGTTTGCATTTCTTCGAGTATGGTGTTCCTGGTTTCAAATGGTGGTTGACGTTTTATGGACCCTGCCTGTAACATCATATCATTATCGTGCATGGCTTTGCATCGCATCGCGAATGGCGCTGTTTTGGGTTCTATGGTATTTGGTAGTTAAATGATTTACTTATCGATATTTTGTCAATGAAATTGCATTATTACAATGCCTCTTATTCAATATAGTTTGTAATGACGCTGGTAAGGTCAAATTAAAACTGGAAATAATGCACTTAGCATATCATCATCTCAAAAGGTTGTAGTTTCAAGCTGGAGCGGACGCATCGAAACTTGAGGGTAGCGTAAAAAATCTTAAATCTCAACTACCTGTACTTGCAAATTTATACGTTCCTTTGCTGGGACATCTTGAAGCCATTGTAGAGCTACAAGCTGTCAAAAAACAATCTTTAGATAGAAAGTCACAACGTCAATTCAGATGGGAATCTTGGGCTAAACTTGGAACGACTCCGATGCACACCGACACGCCACGTAAGGAAAATGGAAAGGAAGCTACACCACAGAGGCGTCGTTAAGGTAAATGGAGCATGACAATAGAAGAAACCACATGAAGAGAAGGGATATCGAGAGTGGGATAGAGAAGCCATGAGAGGAAAATTGTACATCTTAGGTTAAGAGAATAGAGGGCAGAGAAAGAGTTGCCGAGGAGCATGTGGGTACAGGGTAGTGAAAGATAGAGTTGAAGACTGTTGGTACATGGGAATGGGCTTTTCATGGGTCATAAGCACCCATCGCGCCAGGAAGGGGGCCATCGAGGTCGAGGTCTTCGACGGAGCGGCGGTTCTCAGAGCTGTCGCGGAACAGGTTTGAGAAGTACTTGGTGGCAACTTCGCTCTCCTGCTTGACCTTGGCGACCTCCTGCTTACGACGAGCAAGGTCCTCAATGTCCTGAGCTAGGCTAGTTTGCAGATTCTTGGCTGGAAGACGAAGGATACGTCGGACTTCAGTCGAGATGCGGTTGGCATTCGAATGGACATAATCCATGTCTTCAAGCGCCACCGCAATCTTCTTGGAGATCCGGGGAGGCAAAGTCGTTGGGATGGAAGAGACCACATAGGCGGCAGTCAAAGCAGCTAGTTTGATATTTTTAGTATTTATTATCAAAGGACTGTTGAGGGGGGTTACTCACCAACTGCAAGGACACCGGGAAGGAAGAGCCTGCGCACGTTGTTCGGACCAAGGAGCTTAATCGTGCTGAGTGCGCTATCAACCCAGCTGAAACCTCCGAAAACTCTGCTTCCAACCACAGTGACTGCGGTCATCGCGACACCAGTTCCAGCCATCTTCTCCTGGCGCTCCCATAGACCAGCAAGGTCGAAGAAGTCCCAGAGTTCAACTTCAGTATCGACCTGTCGACCAAAGGTGTGACGACGACCACGTCGGAACATCAAGTCTCCTCGGAAGTTGAGCGCACTGAACTTGTCTTCCCCGACGTGTAGCAAACCAATGTTTTGGATAAAGCCAACACCCTGCACGGTCTTGTCTCTGGCATAGTCCTCACAACCCATCACAGCCGCAGAGATCTGGTCCAGCATGGCGAGTTTGATATCTTCAGCGTATTTGAAGGCGGAAAAAAGACCAGGATACTCAACACCCAGATTTGCCTCAGAGACGCGCGCAATTGTATCAGACAACGTGGAACGAGTGTGATTGTAGACATCGTCACATGAATCGTCGATAGCTCGATCCACACCTTCTGTCAGTTCACTCTTCTTCCGCTTGCCGTTCTCATATGCAGGCTCAAGCTCCGCTAGCTCATCAGTAACCCGGGTAAGCTCGGATTGGGCCACGTCACGATTAACAGTGGCAAGCGAGTTGATGTCAGCAAGAAGGTTCAGGAGATATGTGCGAGCAGGAGCAAGTTTTGACCGAGAGCGTTTCTCAAGAACAAAGCGTCGCAAAGCACCTTCCAAGTTTTCAAAATCCTGAATCTTTTCCTTCTCTTTGGCTTTACCCTTGCCCTTACCCTTTTTATCGTCATCGTCATCATCATCATCGTGAGGGTCTGAATCGCCACCATCACCTCCACTGCCTGAACCAGATTGTGATACAGCCCCAGCAGGAGCAACGGGGATAGCGTTACTTGAGACAAAGTGCACCAACTCAGCAGCCTCTTTGTACGTGCGAGGACTGAGTTTGCCCACTTGATCCAAGATCATACGCTCACAGCGTTGCTTGTCTCGAATCTGATCAAAGCCGTTCACTACCATGAAAATGTAGGCCTTCTCATGGGCAGCATTCAGAATGAATTCCTTCGCAGAAAGGGTGAAGTGGTTGGCGGCAGACACTACAAAGACAACGACATCAATTTCTTCTTGGCGTGCAAAAACTGCTGTTGTCTTCAAAGAGTCTGAGTTCAAGCCTGGAGCGTCGATCAAAGCAATATCAACCACACCGTTGTTGAGAAGAGACTCGTCAATCGACCGCACATCCTTAACATAAACCTTGCACTGCATGTACTTAGAGTTATCGATGACAATGTCCTCAAGCTCCTTCAGGGAGTAAACGTCGTAGGTACGTTCATCGTTACGATCATATGGGATCTCTTTGTGCACGGCGTGCACTTCTTCAATTCCACCATTCTCACGGGCATCAAGCACCTCACAGAAAATGCTAGTGCAAGGTTGCTGGTCCTCAGGTAACACTTTACGGCGGAGGAGGGCGTTGCAGAATGTGGACTTGCCGGCATTAAGATCTCCTGTGATCAGAACCTTGCTTGAAGTGTCTTCAATTCGGTCCCGCAGAGAAAGCAGATGCTTGATGCTTTGACCAATCTTTCCATCCAGTAAAGAAGCTATTGAAGCCTTCTCCAAAGAATGTACCAGTTCCGCCTGAGACAAAGCTCCCAGCTTAAGGTCAAGTTTGAGGATCGAAAACTCTTGAGCGATCTGTGGAGTGATCAATCTGGGCTCCGCCGGTGCTCGGCGTTCAGCAGCAGCACTAGATTCACCAAGATCTTCTCCGTTCATAGTAGTTGAAGCCCGCTTTAATTCGGGACGAGGGCTATCGGGTCCGTTATCATCCCGTCCCAGGTCTGACTGGGCGCGTTGTACTTGCGGATGTGGTGAGGGTGATGATGGCGCAGTTTGAGCATTTTGGACCGATGGATAATGGGCAGGCCACTGGCGATTCATATCCTGTAATTCCTTCAGTGTTTCGACAGTGCGGGAAATTGCACGACCGAGCTTTGTGCGGTTCGAGTTACTAAAAAGAATGCTGTCAGCATGCTGGGTACGTGCAGAACAAATCCGGAAGTTATTAACATACTAGAGAAGTTGATGAACATGATTTGCGACAACTTGTCTTTGGTGTTCGGCTGTTGCGCAATGAAACCAAAATGATTAGCAATTCATTCCCGTTATTCCCATGATTAGCAGTCTTCCATCACTTACCAGCCGGATTGTACTCGCCGGGACGGTTGGGGGTATGCGCCGGGGTTGGTCGGTCTTCCATAAGCCCAGCACGCCAAGAGGCATTCAGATCTTCGTTTGTGGCCTGATCATCGGCGATGCTGCCCCCGTAGCCCGAGTCGTGGCCGAGCGAGGTCATAAGAGCGGTTGCATTCTCCGAGGTCGACCCATTACCCACGGTCATATAGGCCGGCGGGGGTTGAGGTTGGAAAGGATTTCGTTCTTCTTCTTCACCAGCAAAACGAGATGAGGCGGACCTTGAGGAGCCCCCACCGGGAAAATAGTCCTGACTCATGACGCGAAAGGAGTGTGTTGGAAAGCCATCCGAGGGTTATTTGTTTTCGAGAACAAGAATTATGGCCACTGAATAATCAATTTCCAATAAGGTGACGTTCAGGCTAAAAAGGGTTTAGGGCGTGCATGTGACCCCGTAACTTACAACTTTATTGTGACCGGTATCTTACATGATTGATGTCACTGATCTGCTCCCGGGGCTCGGTCCTAGAGACAAATACGTTCCTTCTTGACTTGCTTCCTTCTAAACCACTTTGCTGGTGATCGCACTTTATTGGTCTCCAATATGAATGTATGTTGCCACGGTCTTTTATCTCCTTAATAAATATCACTAACATACGCGCCAGATCGTTGAATGGGCCCTTGGTAAGCGCATGACGCCCGCAGAGCGTCTACGCAAACATCAACGTGCCTTGGATCGAACACAGCGAGAACTGGACCGAGAGCGGACAAAGCTAGAGAACCAAGAGAAGAAATTGGTTCAGGATATCAAGAAGAGCGCTAAGAATGGTCAGATTGGCGCTTGCAAGATCCAGGCCAAGGATTTGGTCCGGACACGAAGGTATGTTTGGTTCCGCAGCTCTCTTATGAGGAGTTTCACCCCTGGACTCTAACTGACAGAAATCAACAGATATATCCAGAAATTTTATCAGATGCGCACACAATTACAGGCCATTTCCCTGCGCATTCAGGTACGGCCAGATCTACACAACCCCGCCCCCTCCACATTTCCCCCAATGACGCTGACAATTGTATTTCGCAGACGGTCCGAAGCAATGAACAGATGATGCAGTCTATGAAAGGCGCTACCATGCTCCTTGGTAGCATGAATCGACAGATGAACCTCCCGGCATTGCAACGCATCGCTATGGAGTTCGAACGAGAGAACGAAGTCATGGATGAACGACAAGAGATGATGGACGATGCGATCGATGAGGCTACAGGAATGGAGGGCGAGGACGAAGAGGGCGAAGACATTGTGAAGGAAGTCTTGGACGAGATTGGTGTGGACTTGGGTCAGGCCGTACGTTTTTGCCCCCACTTTACCACCGGATGACTATTTACGGATATGCTAACACGAGTTCTAGTTTGGCGAGACCCCATCCGACATACAAAAAGAATCAGTTGGGGAGACCCGAGTTGCACAGGCTGTTGGTGGTGGGGGCCATGCAGATGACGACGATCTCCAAGCGAGACTGGATAGTCTTCGACGATGATGACGATCTTCATGCTTTCTTTCTTCCCTATTGGTTTTATTGTGGTCTTGTCATTAAACCCCCTGCGTCCCCCTTGGCTTTCATAATTGCCTGCGTATACTTAGCGTATCATGAGATTTTCTGTTTGCATATAATTGCTGCCTTCCCATATACAGATTGGATGCTGCTTCTACATACTAGGCGTTCACAAACCTCAAAAAACGTCAAGTTGAACCCCCAGTACTACCCAAGCAACAAAGCGGGCCTGCCTACCCACTGCTAAAGGGAAAGCGGCCTCTAGAATTCCTACTGCAAGTAGTAGCTACCGCGTAGAGTCTCAAGATGTCTTCAAGTTTGATCACATGGAGCCCTGGAGCACTTGAGTAGCAACTTCCATGGTCTTTGAAATCAACGACTGTACACTACCTAGCAGTATGAAGCTTTAACAACGCAACCCAATCTTGGAACACAATTTAAGTTCAAATGTTGATATGTAATTTTTTAATTTTTTAATTTTTGAGACATTGGTTAATGGATACAGAAGATAAGACCATAAGTTCGCTAATGATACATGTCCATATTTTGACCCGCCAGGTCTGACTCCGAAAACACCTAAATAATTTTCATCCAGAAGTATTCACCCATGAAGGAAGCGAGTAGAGATTTTGGTTCAAGCAATGGGTGGCTGGTAACGCAGTGGAACTAGCCAACGATTGCCGAAATCAATACCGTGTCGACGACGAGTGCCGTACTTTCGCCACACGATCTGTGGAATACCGATGTCGGCAACAGTCACACTCCACGAAAGGCCCTCACCAGATAGAAGAGCATTGAGAACTCCAGTCTTGGGTGCGCCGAGGCAGACAACCGAGGAGCTATTGACGCAGAGTCGACCACCATCAACTGTGGTAATATCACCTGTAACAGTTTAGTTTAGACCTCAGAGAACATAGTGTATTAGGGAACATACCAGTTGAAGCTGACATGCCAGATGGGATGTCAACCGAGAGAATCTCCTTGTTGCTTCGATTAACCCAAGAAATCATTTCAAAAGCGACCCCCTGGTCATCAGTTCGAAGGTCGTCGAATGCAAGATGCATGCCAAACAGGGCGTCGATCACCAGATCAGGGGAGAGATCAGAGGTGGACAGACGAGTCGAGACGTCCTCCCACTTCAGTGCACGACCACCAATCTTGCGAAAGATGTCCAATTGTTTGCGGCAGTTCTCCAGTAACTCGGTCTCTTGACCGAGAAGACAAACGGTGACCCGGTGGCCACGGTTACGCAGATGACGAGCAGCAGAGATGGCTCTTGCGCCTGTGCGATGATTACCCGTAATGAGGAGGATGTTTGGCGCAGCAGCATCACTAGTTAACATAGAAACCGCCGCCTCGGCAATTCCACGACCAGCATTCTCCGTGATGACCTCCTCGATCAAACCAAACTCCGTGACTGCGATTTGTTCGACTTCGAGAGTTTGCAGTGGACTGACAGTTGGGCAGCTACGGTTCGTGGTCGTCAATCGCAAGGATGCGCCTGCGGCATTGGCACTCACCATGGGAGACACAGAGGAGCGGCCCGGATGAGGGCTTGTAGTGCGAGAAATGTTCAACTGGCTGCGACCAAGTACATTGATCTGGGGCATCACAGGTTGTCCGATGATAGTGCTACCCTTGCGAGATGACTGAATGCGCGCAGATGCCCGAGATCTCTCACGTCCGGAGATGTTTTCACTGCTGTGTCTGGCATCGCTAACATGCTCAAGATCATCGCCGGTATCGCTATTCTGGGGGCTATCCAGGACATTCTCGGTCCAGTGAAGATTCTTGCCACCATTAGTTCCAGGCTTCGGAAGGCGATTGAAGCTCACCAGGCGGGCCTCATCAGCGGTGGTATCGTCATTCCTGATCTCCTCGAACACTCGGCGTTTGTCAAACTTCGAGAGATTGCTTTGGAAGTCGAATTCGCCCAGCTCTTGAATATCGGTTGCATCTTCCGTGGCCCAACCGCTAGCATCATCGGCGTATGACTGACGTGTCTTCTTCTTGCGGAACTTAGTGGGCTGGCGCGCCTGGTGTTCGGGCGATCTCTGGGCCGCGGAACCCATGGGCTCCACGAAGGCAGTCTGACGCCAGCCCTTGCTCTTTGGGTTGGTGCTTGCAGTAACGCCATGCTTAGGCACAAAATTGCCCTCATTACCATGTCTGTTACGTCGTGCGTTTTGCTTTGCAGGGGTCAAGTTTTGCGCAGCCTGAAATTCGACATCCTGCGGGCCACTCTGGAGACTGTCATTCTTTGATTCGGCATTCAGTTCAAGATTGCTAAATGGCTCCGACAGAGATGCAGTGGCTGAGGCAGTGGGTCGATCTGTGCCGTGAATGCCCACATTGAGTTGACTGGATTGATTGATAAGGTTGGAAGGGGGCTTAGCGTAGCTGAGAATAGCCGGATCGACAAAGGTAGGTTGTGGAAGGGGAGGTTGAACTTGAGCAGGTGGAATAGTTGTAACCGTCTGCGCCGATCCCTGTCGCTGCATAGCAGTTTGGTCTGTGACTTGCAGCAGAGAGAGATCATCGATCATAGTGGCATCCACCGAAAAGGTGGGGAGCTGTTGACCATTCCACAGAGTGACTGCAAATAGCAGAGTCAGTCGGATTATCATGATATACATATGGAGTTGGGACGATGAAATTCAATATTGCGACGGATTGCGACGGACTGCAACGGATTGCAACGGAAACCATACCATTGTTTAGCAGTAAATTTTGCCCGACCACATTAGCAACCTGGCCCTTTAGCTTCCCGCCGACCGGCTGCTTCAGGGTCACGAGGACATCGTAACCGATGAATTCGGAAGCCATTATCGCCAAATCCACAGATGTATCCCATTCACAATTGGGTCATCTGAGAGGTGGCGTGGGGTCAAGCTGACCGTTGGGGGTGACAAGGTGATGAAGGTGGAAGCTGGAAATGAAAGCTCAGGCAGCTTCATAGACTGAGGAAATCACGTGTGGCACTTATCGATAAGAAATGTGGGGGATAGATAGAAGTTGGGATGAATATCGAGGGGTTAACCCGCTTGGAAGGTTGGTAGACCCAATGAAAGAACTACATATTACTTTTTCTTTCATTCTAGGTATTTGAATAGATGCTTGTTAGTTCACATTGAGTTCAGAATAGTGAAAATGACATAGAGGTAGAAAGAGAAAAGGGTTGATTGATTGAATCACTAGGAGATATGATCAAGGATATCACTATGGAAAATTGATACAACAGTATGAAAAGGAGGTCCAGAGGATACTAAGGCAAATAATGAGACATTCATGTGACAATTCTGTGGCCTCACAAGGAATCGAGAAAGTCATCATCAAATTCATCGGTAAGTTTCGCCTTCTTCGCCTTTGGCTTAAGCACCTGGTTGATTGATACCAAGTTCTTGTAGAACTCTGTCACCTTGGCATGAACCATCACTTTCTGGGGATCGAACCGGGTGACTTGTAAGCCCTCCTTTGTAGTCGCTCGACTAAGAGCCACATAAGCCTGGCCCTTCTCAAAGACTCGGTTCAGGTCGACCTTCACACGCTGTAGGGTCTGGCCTTGCGCTTTATGGATAGACAAGGCCCATGCCAGGATCAATGGCACTTGTGATCTTTGAGCTTGCACTTCTCCATTGGGCAGCTCAATTTTCCATGCTTCTGGTTGGCATAGTAGATGTCTTTCTGTACCATCTGGCTGAACAAAGCAAACAAGAGGCCACTGTCGAGCAGGGGCGGCTCCTGGTTCCTGGTAAGCCATGCCCTTGAGCTTTTTCCGTGCTTGAGCAGCGCTGTCTTCATCATCACTCATCTGACCATCTCCATTCGCCTGAAATTCGCTGTCATTGGTACGATACCAATCGAATTTGGCCTCATCCATGAATGCTACCACTCGTCCAATGGATCCATTCACAAGACTGTCTTCCATATTTTTGATCAACATGACCTGTGCGCCCTTCTTGAGCTTGATGACTGGAGGGGCCATGCAGTTAGATAGCAACTTCTCACGATATTGCTGATCTTGAATTGTCCCGGAATCAACGGCGTTAAAGGTCATCATTTCACCCGAAAGCCTGGCCATGCGGGCGGAATTTGCATTTTCGACCTCATAGCGAGTTGGAAATCTGGGTTGTAAATGTTAGTTCAAGCAGTAGGGATTCAATGGAGGGGTATCATTCATACAGTTCAGTTGCATCCAGCTCATCGTGGAAATTGAGTGGCCGGGAAAGCTTGCGGAAAGCTTCAATCGTCGCAGGACTGATTTTACCAAGTCGCAGTTCGTTCAGCATTGCCGCAAATTCCGGGTCTCGTTGACGGAAGACATGAGTCAGAAGAATGGTGTGTTGAATTGTGGTATTCCATGTAGCTGCAGCAAAGGAGAACTTTGCTTCTCGGTTGCTCCCTTCTGGCACAGGAGGCAGCTGGAAGAAATCTCCAGTCACGACCAGTTGAATACCTCCAAATGGTCGACCATTGTTTCGAATGCGACGAGCGATTTCTTCCAGCTTGTCAAATAGATCTCCATCAACCATCGACACTTCATCAACAACGAGAACCTTGGTACGGAGCCAACGGTTGCGGGCCTTTTGGTTCTTCTTGATCTTTTTTTTTGTCAACAACAATCCATCTCAATATAATCAAAAGACTGATCATTTACCTTTTTGACCAATTCTGGTACTGCTTCCTTGCCTAAACCAATGCCGGCGAAACTGTGAAGAGTGACACCTCCAATATTACAGGCAGCCAATCCAGTTGATGCGGTAACTGCAATTCGATCCGGTTCCCGTTTGTATTTTATTCGCAATTTTTTGATAATTTCTCTCATGAGCACCGATTTTCCAGTACCTGCCGAGCCCGTGAAGAAGATACTCTTACTGCGGTCCACAACAGCTTCAAGAACAGCGTTCTGCTCATCACTAAGTACAGTAGTGGGCAGAGACTGGCTTGGTTTGGAATGCGAAGCTGCCGTTTCTTGCATAGCATCCATTTGAGTCTTCTTGTATTCTCGTCTTAACTCCTTTTGCTCTTCCTTGATAGCACTTGCGCTCTTGTTCCAAATATCCGTGGATTTTGTGCGCTTGGGGGTGACGAAACTGGCTGGTTCCTTTGCCTGCAGCCATGGCAAAGTGCGAGCCTTTGGGGGAGCCTGGAAATGGGATGGAGGTGACGATGACCATGGAAGTTGCATGCTACTCGATGGAGGCGCGATTTCCTGAGACGCAGGCGGCAGGTCTGGGTATTTGACGATATCTGCAGGTTCCGTCTTATCGGTTGTCAGGTCAATAATTGGATAAGTCACCGGATCTGGCTTTGGAATTGTTGTCTTAGGCTTAGGCGGCACAAATGGGAGTGGTTCGTCGAGATCAAGATCGAGATCGTCGTCAAAGTCATTCTCATCGAAATAGACAGTGCTATGGAGAGAGCCGAGCGACCCTCCCCCACTGTTCGTCATTTCGATTTTCCGCTTGATGCCCACTGATTGGGGTAAAGGAGGAGGCTTAGAAGGAACCGTGGTGTTTGTACGGAGCATATTGAGATTGGACTGGAGGGGCTTGGAAGTTGTACCCCCAGGATGGTCGTTCACAGCTTTCTTGAACATCGCGCTCTCCGCGAGAACAGGTCGCGTTGTAGACGAGTACGCGGAGAGATTGTCAGAGATTCTTCGAATAACTTTTGAATATCGAATGCCCTTTCCAACGGCATGCATTAACAAAAGATCCCCAATCGTAATAGGGAAGGACAAATACTTCGGAGTAGATGATTGACAATTATTGGTTATCCTCTTTCTTTTTTGCGCGTGGATAGACGCGCCTTATCGGTCCGGACTATAGTGCCAGTTTTTCCAGGCCTCGATGTTATCTGCTATCTATAAGAGCTAGTCTCAAAACAGTTAGCTTACCATGCGTCATTCTCGCGATCTTTTTAACTTACAATCAACGAGAGACATACTAAGCTTGCATACATTATGGGAAAAGGTAAGCATCCGCTTGCTTTGCTGAAGGAATATTTGAGCTTGTACTGACAGAAATTTCAATAGGAACGGATAAGCTCTACGTATGCCCACCTCTCCCCACCCGCGATCTGGACTAATAAAATCGGATACTCGCGATTTCCAAACGACCGCTAACTTGAACTTGATCCTAGATCACACATTCTGAGTGGGCATCGGAAGATGCCTTCTCTGCCAGTGCGGGCGCTGGCGTTGGAAAGGCTCGAAGGGGAGGTCCTCAGGCAACATTTAAGCGTCTCCCCTTCAATTTCTGTTCTCTCTCCCTTCAACCCTTTGCGCACCCCGTTTGCACCCACTCAGGAATCATCTTCGACCTGACCAATATTCTTCCGTGGATTAAAAAGCATGGGACAAATCCGGTAGATGGGACGCCGCTAAAGGGTTCTGATCTGATCAAGCTCACGATTGCGAAAAACGAAGAGGGCGACTACGTCGACCCAGTGACCTACAAGGTTCTAACGGATAACACACACATTGTCGCGCTGCGCAATAGTGGCAATGTATTTGCTTGGGACACCGTTGAGCGCCTCAATATAAAGGGAAAAATGTGGCGAGACCTCGTTACGGATGAAGAGTTCACTCGCAAAGATATCATCACCTTGCAGGACCCGCAAAACATTGAATCTCGCAACCTCAGCTCATTCAACTATCTGAAGGAGGGTCAGACAGAATTTCTGGAAGAGCAACAAGCAGCTGCCAGTGTCAACACTAATGCGCTGGGGAGCTCGGCAAAAATATTGAAGGCGAAAGAGGCCGTTGCAAAAGCACGTGCTGAGAGGGCACAGCAGCAGGCTGGTGCCGCAGCCTCAAAAGCACTTTCAAAGACAGGAGGTACAAATGCGGCTGTCAAGTCTGGGGCAATTCAACCAGGAAAGCCTACCCCTTACAATGCTGCCAAGTTCACTACCGGAAAAGCAGCAGCTTCTTTCACCAGTACTGGACTTACCCCACACACATCCGCTGAGCTCGCGCTTCTATCAGAAGAAGAGTACATGCTGAAGCGAGGGCGAGTGAAGGCCAAGGCCTATGCTCGAATTGTCACCACTGCAGGACATCTGAACCTGGAGTTGTACCCTGAGTACGCTCCCAAAACCGTGTGGAACTTTATTCAATTGGCCAAGAAGGGCTACTATAAGGATGTAACTTTCCATCGCAATATCAAGGGGTTCATGCTTCAGGGCGGAGATCCCACTGGTACAGGAAGAGGTGGCGAGAGCATTTGGGGCAAATATTTCTCCGATGAGTTTGAGGGGCCTCTGAAGCATGATGGACGAGGCACATTGAGTATGGCCAACAAGGGCAAAAACACAAACAGCAGTCAATTTTTCTTTGCATACCGAGCTTTGCCTCATCTTGACCGCAAACATACTGTATTTGGGCGGTTGATCGACGATCCAACCCCATCATCCACCACTTTGAACACATTGGAAACACATCCAGTTGACTCAAATACCAATCGACCTACCCCTGAAGTCCGCATCAAAGATATAACCATTTTTGTGGATCCATTCGAGGATTTCCTGAAACAAAAGCGTGCTGAGGAAGCTAAGGGAGGCTCTGCTAGTGCTGCTGATGAAGAGGCCACTCAACAAGTTGATGATGACCGTATGACCTGGACTGGCAAACGTGTCAGAGGTCCTGGTGCTGAATCCACTGACAGTGCTGCTGGTGGAGTTGGGAAATACCTCAAGGCTGCATTGGCCGACCGTGGCGAAGAAGATGAGATTGTGGAATATGTTGATGAGGAACCCATCCCAGAGCCTGCTCGCAAGAAGACAAAATCTTCAAGTGGGTTTGGAGATTTTAGTTCATGGTAATATGATATCAATTCTGAAATCTTGAAGTTCAATTCCTACCTGCCCGCTGGCATTTTCTTTCACTTAACTGCTGATCATACATGTTTTTCTTTGTAAAATTTGGGTCCATAGTTACTAAAAGCTTGAATCCGATCTCACATTGAATAGTATGTCTGTTATTACTTAACCCTTTCAAGGTTCAAGTTATATGATAGAGCCTCTGCCAGTGTGCAGGGCCTGGAAGCGTGGAACCTCTCAGCTATATCCATCTCATACTACTACTGAGGCCTAGAGTGAGAGCTACCGATAGGCTCCACTCGTTGAAAGGACACTATTCCTGTTTTATTGACTCGTATATATTGAGTAATACATTAAAATATCAGTATTAAGTAAAAGGTTATCAAATCGTCAACTCCTCACATCTATTTATGACGTTCTCCAATAGTTCATCATAGTAAGATCCACTTCTCTCCTCCGTTCTTGGCTCCGCCTACGGCGCCTAGTGAACAACGGGGCGGAGTTGGGGGACCATTGCTTTCCTCATCCGGATCGCATCACCAGAACTCACTCTCTTCTTCTGTCCTCTCTCCCCCTATACATCCTTCGGCTCTGTCCCAAATTCAGGCCGTTCTCAAATCTTTCATCAGGAATTACCTTACACAAGTAAGTCATGATACTCCCTTCACTGTGTTCTCAAAGCCCCGGAGGTTCCGTCGAGTGGGGTTGGTCACCGCGATCGATCAGAGCGACCAGACGCGCTGGAACCCTAAATATCGGACAATATTCACCTTGCATGATGGTGATAATAACTCCATCGATCCCTTGTCTGCCAAAATATCTACATCGATAATGGCGTCCGAACCATTCGGTCCTATTGCTTGCCCCGCCCCATACAATGACGAGGGCCTTTCGCCTCTAACTGCCGCCCCCATTGCCCATGATGATCATCATGAATACCCCCCATTCATTGCCCAACGCCCTTCATTCTATAAAGAACTTATATTTTCACCCATTGTTTGATTTGATGATTGCGTGTTGTTTGGCCTAATTGAACTCTATACTAATCATGCTTGTGAACGCTCAGCCCGTGCTTCCGTACTCGAACGAGCACTCTACGTCAGCTCGCAAAAGTCGTCGCCTCTCTTCTTCCGGCCGATCTCAATACCGTGCATATTCAAATATCCTTGTACCATTCAAGGATACATCCAAGCTGGCAGGAAACAAGCGCCGTAGCTTCTCTTCGCAGGGTGGGTTGCTGAACAGAATGTTCAGTGGCTCCTCGAGCCCACCCAAAGACAAGTCAGACCCAACCCCAATTCCCCGAATCGACAACGACACGAGCCTTCAACCCGAAAACGCCAGTCCGCGTGACAAGAGGTTTTCGCCGCCTGGCTCCGGATTCTTTACTCGACGACAGAGCGAGGACCAAGCCCCTACTGGTGATAAAGACAAGAAGCGTCGCAGCAGTACCGTGACCAAGGCCGCCAGCTTTTTCAGTAACGCTAGAAACTCGCTGAGTCTGAACGGTGGTGGAGGTTCTCAAAGCTTCTCGGGACTCAGCACAAGTCCCCAGACCTCGGAAAGCCCGCTTCAGAGGCTGGGAAAGATGGACCCTGCGCTGAGCGTCCCACAGGGATCTTTCAACAATTCTGCAGGCGAATCAGCCCCAACTGCGCGCTCCTCATTTCGCGTAGGAGTGACTGAGGACCGGAATCGAAAATGTCGTCGAACAATGGAGGATACTCACGCCTACCTGTACAACTTTCTTGGAACGCCAGCCCCGACTGGACAAACCGACAAGAATGGTACTTCTCCGCCGAATGCATCCTGGCCAGGAGAGTTGTCAAACGTGGTAGAAACCGATAACGGCTACTTCGCCATCTTTGATGGCCATGCTGGAACTTTCGCAGCAGAGTGGTGCGGTAAGAAGCTGCATTTGATTCTTGAGGAGATCATGCGGAGAAGCCCCAATGCGCCTGTGCCCGAACTTCTCGATCAAACTTTCACCAGCGTTGATCAGCAACTGGAGAAGCTGCCTGTCAAGAACAGTGGTTGTACTGCAGTGACCGCAGTGCTTCGCTGGGAGGATCGTGTGCCAAGCTCACAGTCAGCCACCGGGTCTGCCGCTCTTGCTCTTACTGCCGCGGCCGCTAATAAGGCTGATACTGCCGAGACTACACCAACCCAAGAAACATCCATGGGCACTTCTATTCCAAAGTTGCAAGAAAAAGCAGTCCGCCAGCGAGTCCTTTACACTGCCAATGTGGGCGACGCCCGCATTGTATTGTGCCGTAATGGGAAGGCACTTCGACTATCATACGATCATAAAGGAAGCGATGAGAATGAAGGAAGACGTATCACTAACGCTGGAGGCTTGATTCTCAACAATCGTGTCAATGGTGTTCTGGCGGTGACTAGAGCTTTGGGCGATGCCTATCTTAAGGATCTCGTCACAGGACACCCTTACACTACCGAAACTGTCATCCAGCCTGATGCAGATGAGTTTATTATTCTTGCTTGTGATGGGGTAAGCAAAAAATTCTTTCAATAGTTTCTGAACTAGTTTCTAACATTTTCTGTAGTTATGGGATGTCTGCACTGATCAAGAAGCTGTTGATCTTATACGGAACATCCAAGATGCTCAACATGCCTCGAAGATCCTGGTTGACCATGCGCTCGCTCGATTCAGTACTGACAATTTGTCCTGTATGGTCATCCGACTTGACACGAACCGGGTCAAAGATGTCGTCACCAGCAAGGCCGAGCCCATTGGTGTGGATGGAGACCCAGCCACTGATGTCCCTCACGGCGTGAGTGAAGCGGACAAGATTGTTGAAGATGCACAGAAGATCATGGCTAGCCATGGGATACACGACCCAGAGACAGAGAAGGAAGGAAATGCGATTCTCCAAAAGATGGGCAACGATGACCAGAAGGCACGAAATGATTCGTCTTCTAATGCCTTGCCTTCAGTGGATATTTTAAGCCCGAGCAAAACAGACAAGAATGCGAGCTGAGTGGATGAGAAAATCCGGTCCCTTCCAATCTCCAGGACCAGCGAGCAGATGAATAGACCGCGCACATACTTTTTTCTTTTCTCTCAATGCCCCATGCGAGCACAATAGCCGGGCGTGGAACTCTGGAGTTCCTAGCCCGGCGCTTTTCCCTGCTCTATTTTTCCTTTCTGATTTACATCTGACAACGGCGTCATTTAGTATGAAATACGACCCATATCGCTGTTTATGTTGCCACCAATAAGGAGATTCGGGCCTGGCTGTCGCAATGTCCTACCGCTGGGATTTCTTCCATGTTTTTATTTTCATATTGTTTTCCCGTTTCTATTTTCACCACTATCCACCTAGGTCTACGATATGCACACTTTCCCTGCTGTTTTTTCTTTCTATCTTTTATTTGAATATCACATCGTGGTAACTTATGTATCTATGAAGGCTTTCCCGAAATTTAACCCTCTTTCACTTATGTGCCCGAGGAGATACTGTAGCATGCTTCAGACATGATGTCCGACGCTAACATTGCAATTATAGTCTCTGCGAATATACTCCCGGGTACTACTAGCACTAGTGCTTCCTTTCATCCGCTGCATTATGTCGTCTAGAACGTCGCAGGGTGAGGCCGCGAAGACATCAATCAAGAACTACATCGTCTTGGCAGCGTGCAGATGATTATTGTCTGGAGAATATCATTCCGGAAAATCTTGGCTAGCACACTACATCATGCATTGAGTTTCAAGTAAAGTCGAAACTCAATGGCACATGTAGACATGGAGCCTTCAAATGTTGGATGGGGAGTTCCAAGGTTTTCAGTGACTTCAAGTTGGACCCCTATCGTATTGATTATAATTCCAGGGTATGAGGATATCACCTGGCAACACTTGGATTCAGGACCTACTAGTATTAATGGATTTTGATATTGAGAAATGTCAAGAAACTCCGAGTCGACCTTGAATAGTATGACGAATAATGTTATGCTACCAAGGTTGTCATTGAAGAACAGCCACAATGTCGATCAATGCCCATCCCAGCCCTAATTTAAAGCATCATGATCACCCGCGTCTCCAGGTTACGTGGCCCTTGCAGCTGTCAAAAGCCACTGAAGAAGGTCATGATGGACATGAATATATCACTCCGAAGCAGAATAGGAAAGGAGATGCTCCGGGAATGCATGGCCGCGTCCTCGTTCCCTTGGCAGATGCTTGGCTGGGCTGGGCTTGGCATTGGTAATTCCTTCATGAGCCAATTATTTGCCATAGTTTACGTATCAATATAGATCAGGGATCTTTATTACTCTTCAATTGCACGGGATTTCTAACATTGATGCTCCGTTGTTGCGTGGCACTCGCGGGCGAGGGGTTGAGTTGGAAAGTAGGAGTTGGATATGCCGAGGGATGTATACTAGATGTCATTTGAACTATAAAAGCAGCGATGAGCAGCCTGTTCAGACCAGAATATCAACTTGAACACAAACAAATCTATTCAGCACTTGGATCATATATCAGAATCATTTTTCTTATACTTTCCTACCATGCAGTTCACTTCTTCCTGGAAGACCTGCCTTCTCTTGTTGGCTGTTCCTCTAGTCTTAGCCCATCCAGGCGAGCAAGAGGAACACAATGTCCAAGCCGCTATTCAAAAGCGCATGTTCCAAGAGAGTGCTCGTAGAGGCCTCGAGAAATGTGCCAAACGATTTGAGACCAACGGTTTCAATACGCGTGCCGAAGCCCGTCGCCGCAGTATCTATGACCTCCACCGCCGTCACCTTGCCCTCCGCGATACCGACGACGTCCTTGACAAGTCCCACTTGGTGAACGACTCCAGCATTACCGCTGAGACATCCGCCGACTCGCTGTTTGACACCAGTTCCACCTGTGTCTTGAACCCAGAGGGTGAAACTGGCCCTTACTATGTCCTAGGCGAGCTGATCCGCTCCGATATTCGTGAAGAACAAGCTGGTGTCCCCATCATCTTTGACGCTCAGTTCGTTGATGTGGATACCTGTGAACCTATCACGGATCTATACTCGGACATTTGGAACTGCAATGCTACAGGTGTCTACTCTGGCCTTGTAGCTACTGGCAACGGAAACACGGCTGACACGTCGAACCTGAATGCGACGTTCTTGCGAGGTATTCAGAAGACCGACAGCGATGGTGTGGTTCAGTTCAATACTCTTTTCCCGGGTCACTACTCTGGTCGTACTACGCATCACCATATCGTTGCGCATCTGAATGTGACTGTCTTGGCGAATGATACTATTACCGGTGGCTCTGTTGCGCATATTGGACAGCTTTTCTGGGACCAGGACCTTATCTATGATGTTGAGGCTACCTCTCCGTATAGTGAGAACACTGTGACTATCACTACAAATGCGGATGACCGTGTCTTCTCAGATGAGACTTCGGGTTCCGACTCGGACCCTGTTCTGAGCTATGTGAAGTTGGGCGATGATCTTAGTGATGGCTTGCTGGGCTGGATTACAATTGCTGTTAATACTTCGGCTGAGTATGATCCTAACTATAGCTTTGTTTATACTGCTAGTGGGGGTGTCGCCGAGTCCGGGGGTGGGTCTGATGATGTTGATGGTGGATCGCCATCTTCCGGGTCTGGGTCAGGGTCAGGATCAGCTCCTTCGGGCGCTGGTGGTCCTAACTAGATGGATGTGAATGTCTGAGACATACTGTTTTGGATGTACCTGCATGTTCTAACAATATTTGAACGCTCATTTGACTGGATTTGATTTTGTCTCGTTCATTTGATATTGACAGATTATTTTCATCTATTTTATTTGATTTATGATTTTTCCAAACTTGTAGCTTCTCTTACATCATGATGCCTCGAGCACATTTTATTCCATTCCTTTTTCTTAGTTTTTCAATTCATTATACATAAATTTATCTCACAAAACTGTTAGCTCGTACCCAGGGTAACCTTCTGTCCTCCATCTGGCAACGGAACACGAAACAACCCATACGGCTTCTGACGAGTCGACCGCCACAACTGATTCTCAGTAAAATACAGATACCCCTTCGTGGCTCCCGAGCCAGTCTCATTACTCGACAATTTGACAGCACTCAATGTATCCATCCATCCAATGCGTGGATCCCGTACAAAAGTCGACACGGTCAGGTTATCAGGAAAGAAAACATTGATCGCGTTACTCTCAAAGCTACCCAAATAGATGTACCCATTCGAGTCGACCTCATACCCATCACTCACGCCTTTTTGAACCAAACGATTCACAGCTGCTGTTGCCTTCATAGCCGCATTTGTGGATGTATGATCGCGCAGACGGACAGTCGGTACGGAGTAGATGTACCGCCCACTCACAACGCCGAAGTACAGTGTTTCGCCATCAGCGGAGACAGTGATCCCGTCGACACCAGTTAATTGTGTCTGCACTGAATCGGCCCAGATAGTAAGCTAGAAGTTTGGATCTGGTTTCACCCAAGCTAGGGTATCGAGGTGACGCCATGATTCCTCGGTTCCGAGATCCACGACCACGATACCATTGTTGTACGTGAAGCTTGAATCTGTCAAGTAGGCAACGCCTTGCCCGGACTCGGTGATGCTGCTGCGCAGATCAAAGCGCACATCTTTGAGGTATCATACATGGAAGTTAGGGCTTTGTCAGATGTGAGGACCAGAGAGTAGGGTTATACCGATTCTGGGTATGCCACATCTTGTGGGAAGAGAATTGTCTGAAATCCTTCGTTCGTGGTGATATTGATTCCCACGATTTTTGGCCCGCCATAACTAGATGGCAGCAGATCGCCATCTGCTGTTTGGGCACGGCCGGTATCAAGAATCCACAGTCTGTCCTTCGCGTCGATATATATGCTCTGCACGCTAATGAACTAGTCCGCATAGTTGACCGATGTCTGATATTATCAGCAGGAGAATGAAGGAAGGGGTTCTTGAGAAGAATACTCACTGCCGGAGTTGTAGAATAGTTATATGGCCCTCCTGGTGGAGAGTTGATCTTAGTAGAGGGATAAGGTGTCTCGGCGGTGCGGATGATCAGCTCCGCAACTTTGTATTTGGTATTGCTGGAGTCCAATCCAAGGGGATAGCATGAAAAGATACGGCCAGTTGATGAGACAGCGACGCCTAAGAATTATCATTTTAGAAATAGCGCTTTACGTTCCTGGGCCTTATACATACCTGTGGGCCACTGGTCATAGTATTCATGAATCAGTTCCAGTGAGGGCCCGGAGACACCTGAATCATGAGCGATAGCTGCAACTTCAACAGAATTAGTGATCGGTAGTAAGACCGACAACAAAAATTGATTGACAAGCATTATGCGATTTGAATAATATCAATGCTCGAGCTGAGAACCCTGTGAATCTTGCAGAAACATTTGAATGCCTTTTCTAAACAGCGAATTGCATGGGTTAAATAGTGACGGCATCCCGTGTGGCCTTATGCGGGGAATTGCCATGGGTGCTGCATTAGATCAAGACTTTCTCAGAGTAGTTTAAACCCCGCAAGCAATTAAAAAAATTGTCAGAAGATCAAGGATGAACCTTGAAATGACGATCAGTTAAATCTTACTGCCGGCTACTTTACCTTTTGGGGCCTTGATATCCGAGCCGGTGTTGAAATTCCACCGGCATCTTCTCGAATGCGAATAGTAAAATTGCCAAGCATTGAATATGACTATGCGAGGGAATCTTAATTTACGAAAGATCTTATCAATCAATATAGATGTAGAGTGCTATTGCCAGTGATCCAGGAACATTATTTTACTAGTAATTCACCCCATTTCGCAAAAGAAAAACAACTTGTCTCAGATGAAAAGAAACGAAAAAAAAGAACAATTCAAAGAAGCGAAGCTTTGAAATATAATATGTCGATACTGAGGCTCAGATTGATATTTTAAAATTCAAATCTTCATACAAAAGCTTCAATCAAATGAACAGAACTTAAGAAGTGGTAGTGGGGACGACCGTAAGGTCAGCAGAGATGTAGCACTGCTGTGTTCCTGGAGCTCCATCAAATGTGCCGCAAGTCCACTCGGAGTCCTCAGCCTCGCTGTTCAGATAAACGACGGCAAATTGGAGCTCTAAAGCGCGATCAATCACAAATTGTAACTGCTCGACGCTGGTCACATTGGTTGGGAAGTAAAGCATGTAGTTGCCATCCGCGCTCCAGTTTTCCATGGGTGGCTCACCGGGACGATCCCTATAGAACTTTGTTAATTTTCTGACTTAACGAGAAGGGTCAAGAAAAATGGAATAAAATAGCATACCAGTTCACATCGATAGTGGTGGTTTCATTGTAGTTGAGGTCATCAAGAACGAGCTCGAAGGATCCGCTTGTGCTTGTCAGGACAGCCTTAATACTGCTGAGGATCTCGGCCTGGTAGGTTTGACGCTTGGCAGGGGCGGCCATTACAGTGGCAGCAGCCATAAGAAGAGTGAAAGCGGATGTGGTCTTCATTTTGAGAAATAGGCAAAGTGAAATTTTGGACTTGAGATGAAGAAGTATGTAGCAAATGGTCTGAAGGTGACACAATGGAAGTGGGACTGGAGTGATTGATGATAGAGATAATAAATTGATGGGAGAATCATTGAGGTTTTTAAAGTATTCTACATTTGAATGAATTGAGAATAGAAGCGCTAGTTCAGGATATCCATTCTGGCCAGCTGAACTATACACGTAGACTTAATGCTGCGGTTAGACATTCCACGTCCCGTCGTGACCCGCTGTGAACTATTTAAGTCTTAAAATACAAGCTTTATTGGACGTATGAGATGCACATGCAGGTCCCACTAGGCGTCCCAAGTGTCCATATAAGCATGTCAAAATGCCGATCCTCTCCAAATGGCACTCATATCTTAGATTCGGGGTTAAGATCGACGATCGGGGTCGCCGATGTGTCTCCCGTCGTTGCAGTGAGGCATCTACCCTTGTCTCTAATAACATTTAAACCTGACCAAGTATTACGTTCAAGCTTTCCTGCTCCAATCGGCGTTTCAGGACAGGAAAGGTCTAAAGATTCTAGGGCTGGAAATAATTCCGAGTTTTCAAATGTGCTTAACCATCTACTACTCAATAGGAACCTTGAGATCTAGTACTTACTGACTAGCCTCTAGGTATACTACTTATTGACTTGATCATCTCCTGAGTCACCTGATACTGTTTCTGCTAGCAGGTGAACATTCAGAGGTAAAACTGAAGGAGCCACATGTGCATGCTTTTTTGCGAGGTTTAATTTAGAAACCGGGGTTCTCTATTCACTGCCCAGGTGGTGGATATACTCCATAAGTCATCGTAACCGTGGCAAATAAGGCATTCCACCTGCTGTTTCAGTTCACGGGTACTGGCTGCAGGGCTTTATTGGGTGCGTCGAATTCAAAATGCAGGTGCTCGCCTAAACAAAGAACGTCCATTTTACAAAATGCAACATGAACTTCCACTATGTAATCCGTTTCCAGAGAGTGTAGGAGCACTTGAGGCGTTTTAAAGCCCAGTCCCTCACTTCCACTAAGAGTTGTGGCTTAACCGGTTAGAACATTACTTGAACCTCTACTCCGTAAAGCACAATTTTCGGGACTAGTTGTCATGGCACCATAAAGAGCGAATTTATTGAATGGACACACTGTGTATTATAACCTTGGAAGGCTCACAGTAATCAGGGGTATTAAAACAGGGAATTTGGCCGAGAAAGTGATAAAATCTGCACATGTGGTATTGATGCGGTATAGGCCGGACGCTAATTCCAGCTGAACAGTGGAGTGGTTCGTGCCTTTGCCAATGAGCTAGGTGTAAACTTGAGTGGGAATGGTGACGGAGATTGATTGGATGTAAACAAAAATTCGTGGTGAATTAGTTAAAAACGGCATTGGACTAGAACATGCAATTAAAACGCTCGATTATTGACACCAAAGTAGAATTTCCGATCCCTAGAGGGCTAGAGATGTGGAAACCACTACGCGAGGCGTAGACCATCACCCTGTGCAATCTCATCGTCCGAGAATCCCCCATGAAGCTTGTTGAGATAAGTATCAAATCGACCAGATATTTCGATGACATCTTTCAGGTACTCATATGTGAGAAGCTCCTCCTTCCATTTCGCGTATTGTCTAGCAGTTGCGATCACATTCCTGATCTGTCTTCCGTTCATCTCCATTTCTTTCAAAAGATGCAGATTGTCGCGCAAGTCATCAATGTCAATTTGCTCCTCATTTGACATGCTGCTAAGTCTGTCGATAAATGTCTGCCAAAGGCGAAAGCGCTGTGAAGGGCCAAGATTGGGATAATGAAGGGCAAGTTGAATTCGGGACCTCAGAGCTTCATCCAATGTGTCGACTCAATTACTTGTCAAGATAAGAATTCCTTCATAGTACTCAAGAACCCGTATGAATACCGCGACAAGAGCGTTGCGCTCTAGATCTTCAAGGCTTCTCTTTTCAAGAAAAACGTCGGCCTCGTCTAACAATACCACACAGCCCCAATGTCGCCCAAGGGATAGTACTGACTCCAAATACTTTTCAGCCTGCTCTGCTTTTGTTCCCACGTTACTACAAGTAACGCGATTTAGTGGCTTTTGAGTAATTTCAGCCACGCTTTCAGCGGTAAGGGTCTTCCCGGTTCCAGGCCCTCCATGAAGCAAAAGTATCAGACCATTGCCCTTGCCAGGAATCAGATCAGTTGCCTTTTCAGTCTCAATTTGATTTGTTACCAAAGCTTGGACCAGTTCTTTTGATTTTCGCTCCATGACAAGACTTTGGAAGGCTTCTCTGTTCCATTTGACATCCGAGATACGATCGGCGGATATTTCAAACCACTTCTTATGTCTCAAATTGTAGCCCTTGAGATTAAGGGGCAAGAGAAGCTGATATTTGCCGTTCGGGTCATTGATAGCTGCTGCGTTGATATTATGTTTCAGTCCAGCGGAGGACTCCCGCTGGGCAGGATGAAGCTTTCTATAGGTGTCCATATCAATCATGTACCTTTCATCGGTCTGTTACTAGTCAGTAGGGCTAAAAGAATCATGAAAGATGTTTTCTCACCATCTCCACATCTTGGTCACTCTTTTCACGATGGTAAGAAACCAGTCTTCTGTCACGGCATTTCCAGAAAGTGTTTCCTCGCCGTTTCAGTGTTTCGCGAATAGCATCTGTTGCATATTTCAATGAAAAAAGACATTTAGGCAACAGATGGGTCGAGCTAGGTCACTAATATCCTGGCAGATGCTTGGCTTGTCGTCTTCGTTCGCGGTCTCTGTGGGGTTCTCATATGTGATTTCGATCATTAAAGTCTTGAATGTGCGAAAGAAATTGCCGTCAAAATCCAGATTCCAGGCCTTCACAGTTTGAGAAGTATTTGCTGAAGAAATTTTGCTTTTTCGTTTCTGTTTTTCTCTTTTAGTTTGTATAGGTAGCCCGGAGATTCCAGTTAGTATCTCGGATTCATCGAACTCATCCTCTGAGTTAGATTTGTCCGGTACGATGGTCACCCATGAGCTTGCGATGTAACCAACATAACTCGATCCGTTTGCCTCAACAATCACGTCGCCGGGCTTGAAAAGATAGTTGAGATAGCGGGGCATAATATTTCCTTCTTTCAGAAGCAAATCCACAGTGGCATATTCATCACCGAATTTCTCACGCACATATGTCAGAAAAAGATTCAAGTGATTTTGAGCAGATTGGGAGAGCCTGTTATTGAACTGGTCAAGTTGCTTCCAGTTGTGATACAAAAAGTGATACGGAGCGACAATCTCCCCAGTCGACTCATGTCTAATTTCTATATCTTGAAGCCCCGGGAGTTCTTGAAAAATGACTTGAAAGGCATCTTTGAGATCGCTCACGACGGGAGATATGCTTTCAGATAGCGTATCTGGTACTTGAGGCGATGCATCTTCGGTCCAGGGAGAGTTGGTTTCGTAGTGTCTGTCGTAGTCACAAAATACAATAAAAGAAATCTCTTGATGAGATGCAATAAAATTATCTAAATCAAGAAGTGGCTCATGGCATCCAAGTTGTCCGTTTTTGTTCTGATCACAGTATAGAATCTCCAGAGGATCGAAAAAGACCGTTGAATGAACATCCACCGAGTCGTTATCATTATCATCAGGGACTGGAAGTAAGCGATATAGATATTGAAATCTTGGGCTGGAGAGACTTGGAGTGTCATCAGTTGATTCATACTGACTGATTTTTCTTTCCAAAAGTGACATTTGGTCTCGTAATGCCTGAACTTCTTTTGTAGACAGACTGTCATCATGTGTGTCAGATTGTGCTTGGTTTGGTCGAATTTTTGTATTGAAAGCAGCAGGCCTTCCAATAGGATCTCAAAGGCTTTGAACTGTTTTGCTCTCCGTATTCCTTATTGCTGGCAAGCCCATGTTTGGCAAAGGACTCCGGGTTTGTCTCAGATCTGGAGTCCTTATTCTCTGTGATATCTCCAAGTCTCTTTTCTGCCCTTGCTCCTTTAGCAGTATCAAATCCATTTGATAGTCCTCGGGTAAGCGATTTCCATCATGCTCTCCTGATCTCACTTGAACCTAATACCGAGGTGTTTCTGTCATCGATTCCACGCTGATTGGTCCTATCATCTGGAATAATCAACTGTGGTTTTGCTGTACGCTTCATAATATTGGTCTGAGTCGATTTCAATACTTTAAGTTATTAGAACCTTGTTGCCGAAGATAGAATTACCGAATATGTAAGTTTGGTCACCGAGCGTCTCATGGCCACCAAAATAGACCCCGCCACTAGTAGATGCACATGCGAGGGGTCAAGTTGGGCCGAAACAATATGTTGAATTACACTCCGAATCTCTTTCCTCAGTCAGAGATTGCCAGTTATCTACTTTATCATATAGTTGAACGCTATAAATTCACATTCTATTCCCAAATTGAACCCGTGGACGTGACCTAGTGGGTCTTTCAACAAGGATTTCCACTTGGACAGCTATACATAGTACGAATCCTTGTGATTAAATGCAGCCTTAGGCACAGTTTTCATGAAATAAAGTCATCCAATGACCAGCGATCTAGACCTCAATTTGAACCAATGAGAGTCCCCAAACGCAAAAAAAGATTCAACAACCGAATCGGCCACTCTCCGTCATTGAAAGATCTCACCAAAGACTACAGGCTTAATCATTATTCTAGGGATATCAAAGATCGGTGATAAAGCTTACAGATACAAATCCATCAATCGTATACTCATGTTCGAGCAAGATAAATTAGCTGAAAACGCCAGATGTGGGCTTCTACAGGCGAATAGAGAAGTTGATACTAGTAGTAACTACCTACGTACTGGATTTCCCCCGGCGGATTTTGGTTTCTCTTTCCGGATTAGTGTTCACTGAGTTGCCGCTTTTGCTCACTAAGTAGATCTGAGCACGGCTTCCGGCTCACTGATCGGTGAAAACGCTTATATAATCACTATTTTTAGTTATGTTAACTAGTTAATAGTTACCGTGGTAGAAAACCTTATCTCTAAAGTTTAAAACACCCTCAATAACCACCTGAAGTTTAACACATTTAGTTCTAAAATCACAGAGTATTTTATTAGGTCACAGTCAAATACTACCTAGGTAGTATTCATAAAATACTCATCTAGCTTTAAAGAGTGATATCCCTTAAATTATTTACTAACTTTAACACTACAAATTTAGAATTCAAGACTAGCTTACATAAGTAACTTCCAGAGTTAACTAAGTTAGTTTCAAACTTATTAAACACTCAGTCTATCATAGTTAGTCAGCCATTCAAGTTCAGGTTCCAAGGTTCTATCCTATTATACTATCTCACACACCCAAAACAGCTCTAAATTAAATAAAATTCCTTAGGCTATTAGAGGGAAGGGTAATAAATCTAACCATAGCAATATATCATAGAAAAATTAAATTATTTTGTCTTCACTGAATAAAAATAGTGGTTACATAAGCGATTTGTGCTCCGTCTGTCTACTAAAAAAAGTGTGCTCCCCTTACCGACGCCCTGTGGGTCCGCCATGTTTACTTGATTTGGAATCCATTAACTATGATTATCTCTACTGCTTATTGAGGGTCTATTGGCTTGGATAATTTAGCATCATTAAACTTCAAGCATGAGGCCACCACAGTGTATTCAATGTTATAATTTATATCATATGTACGCCGAGGGTTTTCAATTCACATGACCTATTGTTCTGAAATTGGCGAAATAAAATATTGACGGGCAATCCAAACACTGGTTCTCTTTTGTGGCTATTCCACTTGGTAGATTATTCTCTCTCCATCAATGTGCTTAGCTTTGATATTACGGAGCATACAAAAAATTTCCATGCCCGTCTGAAGCCCAAAAAAAGCCACCGGGCACCAGAAGGCGAGAGCCCCATTCCATGCCCAAACACCATGATGCCGTGTGTGAATGCCTGCGGCGAAGCTGAAAATGATTGGTGATACAAGATTCCATGCTCCTAACATCTTAGGGAACATCGGATTGGCGCTGCGATCGGAAAAGATTGCCCATGCGATGGTCCATCCCTGGATCCAAAAGGTCGGCCATTGGCCAATTATTATGAGCCAGCTGATATCGCTGATGAATAGCGTAACTTGAAGGCCGTAATCACGAAAAGCAATAAGAGAGAAAAAGAAGCCAGGCATCATAAGACTGAAAACCGTTGCTGCACATGCCGCCAGCTGTAAATTGCAGATCGTTGGGTCAATATTAGGGATGAGTCGTAGTTGCTGTGAGATAACCGCTCCCCATGGTATCCAAAGGCCACCTGCGATAATCATCATTGAACCAGCTGCAGCCGTTCCAGTCTGATGGTTCTGATAGTGCTCGTACACTTGTTCAGCGCCCCAGGAAGGCGGGATTGGAGGAAACCCGCCTAAGGATATCATGGCCAACAGTAAGAGTAGACCACTAAGCGCGCCACTTAACATACAACAGTATTGCCAGTTTCTGACGGTGAACAAGCCGGAGCGTATACATATGCGGTCTACGGCACGTTCGAAGCTAAGGACGGTATCTCGTAGCATCTTAGAAGGATAACTTCACGATAGAGGGCGGTAATGTCGAAGATAGAATCACAAATCATGTATTGTAATGTGGAATAGTGGAATAAATAACTCCAGAAAAACGGCAAGATAGCTCTTAGAAGTAGCTTAGATTGATGAGTATGATATCCCGGGCCTGTACTCCTTATTAAACACTTAAAGCTTTGCTAAAATGTCTAATATATAGTGTAGTGGGGTACCAGGTTCCACTCACGGTTCCCCTCTTCAATAGTTAGTTTATTTTTAACTTTATTTAATAGCGGTAGTATTCCATTACCAGTAGACACCACTTACCGCATTCAATGGAATACAGTAGCCTACCTACCGCATTTAGTCCAATGCAGCAGCGGGTGCTTAGAAAGAAGCCTGAAGTGGAAAACCTATCCCCCTTTGATCGTGTTCGGGCAGAAATAAGCGAGATGGTTATTCTGTTTAATCATGGTTAACCAGACGTCAAAGCCTAGTCCCACCTTTACCCCTACATAATGCGAGACAGTAATATACGATTAAAGTCTGTTGATAAAACAGAAATTCCGTGAAGTCCCCACACAATCATATATCTGACTATCAAATTAGACTATCAACGAATACCAGATATTCTTCCAAGAAAATATCGTCTGAGCCAGGCCAGGCGAAAACACACATGCTGAAAGTAGGCTTTAGTAACAAAGCTTTGAAATCTATGCCCTGAAAGGTCTAGCATTAACTCTAACGTTAGACCTAGTCCTCGCCACTCCGTGATCCCGCCATTCCATACTCTTCGCATCGGTTTTATAAAGCGACAAATCGAAATCCGCGAAGAAGGTCGCCAAGATGATAGATATCTCCATGTAGGCAAGACTATGACCACACATGAGCATTTAAATGGTATGGTAGTAAGACAGATTTAAAATAGATAGAGTCACTTACTTGATCCCAACACACGCACGCGGACCTTTAGAAAACGCAACATTCCAGCGCTCAAGCTCTTTACCCTTCTCGCCGATCCATCGCTCAGGCTTGAATTTTTCCGGCTCGGGAAATAGCTCTGCATTATAACTAATAGAGCGAATAGTGCTAGAGACGGTAAACTATATATCATCAGCAAGCTATCAGAATAGTTATTAAGTTAGAACAGCACTTACACCTCCCGGTATAAACTTTCCATGAAAATTGGCTCCCTGTGGAGGGACCACTCTGGGCAAAAGCCCCGGGACAGCGGAAGCTATACGTAAGCTTTCTTTTACGACGCAGGACTATCGAGTTTAATTAATAAGATAAACATAATCGCGAGTAAGACACACAGACCAAGTATGGGAGCGACTGAATATTTTTGCAATCTAGACGACCGTTCTCGTGACGGGGAATTCTACTAAGCTCGATCTTGAGTTTGAACAGGACATCCTTAAAAGTCAGAATGTAATAGGTTGCGTATGCTGCGGTGTAAGCAGTGGAATCGGCGCCAGCGAGCATAAACACAAATGCCTCGTCTATTAGGCTATTCATATCAGGTACCTGGTAGTTCTTTTCACCATTTGGCTCAAGAAGTACGTCAAACATGGTATCTCTACCATCATCTGTTTGAAGTATACCCTTCTCGCGGCGGGCCTTTACCATGGTAATCCATTTCTGGCATTGCTAGATTAAATGCTGATTAGATTAGAGATATAAATACTAGGGTGGCATAGCTCACATTTCGGAAACTTTGGTAGCCTGGGGCTAGTATGTCTGAGTACTTCTCCGGTAGATTAAGAGCGATATTCGCGAGGATTGGGATATGCTTCATGAGCCACAAGTTCTTAGCAAATATGTCAAGAGCGGCTAAGATAGATGGGTAGATATCATTCTCATTCTGGCCAATGAGATCTTCGGAGCTCCCAAATAAAGACGTAGAAATCACATCGACCTAGTAAAATAATAACAATTAGCTTTCTAGGCCTTAAAATAGGGAGAATTATTGCCCTACCGTGATGCACCGGTATATTTTTTGAATATCCGTGCTTTTGCCTTCTTTGTATCGCTTTCGGAGTAAATTGGCAGCTCTTTCCACATCATCCTGCAACAGGGGCATGACTTTGCTCATAGACTGGGTCGAAAAGAGAGAGCTGATTAAATTCCTGCGTACTCGATGTTTGTGTGGGTCAACGATCGACAATAGAGATTCAGAGACTCCCATATTTTGATAGAAGGATGGGTCTTTCAAAAATTCTGTCTGCGATTTAAACATCCTGTCTTCAATAAGCTAAAGTTTGCCTTGCTATTCGGAGAATGATTTTTACTCTTTAAAGAATTCGGGGTCGTTGACATGAACATGATTTGGGGCAATGCGCACAATCGGTCCTTTAGGCTTATTAGCTTATAGACCTTTATATCAGTAAGTTGGTAAAGTTACCATATTTCCTATGAAGCACTAGTAAGTGTGCCGCGAAAGCTCCATCACAGATAACTTCATAGTAGAACTGGTACCACTGACTCAGAGCTGCAATTTTAGGGCCCGGAAGCTTGCTCAGAGGGTGTAAGTAAAGCCTAGACACCGTAAAGGCCGTAGCGCATATAGTAGCTATAGCACAAAATATGGCTGGGGTAATAAAAGCATAGAGTTGAAGGGCAGCATTAATCAAACCCATTATGAATAAAAGACTTGGACCGTGAAACAGCAAAACTAAGATTATTTCTGGGTTGTCCTGGCTCCTAAACACATCTGAGTAAAATAATCGGATAAATACCCTAATATATAAGCAAGCTAACATAAAGCATCATAACATATCTTACCAATCTTAATCCAGAGCATGCCGCTGGGTCAGAGTTCTAATACTCTTGCATGAGTTGTTCATGCAGCCTGTATGCCAGCCTTTTCAGAAAGCGCTTAGACCCCGTTCTCTTGGTACATTGCGCTCTCAACAGTTATGATCGCCCGCCAAGGGATTTTTGCCATTGATACGGACCACCAAGCTCCTGAGTTTCGCTACCCTCTTTGACCTGCGTGACTCGTCGTCACCTCTTCGTGAAATTTCCTCCTCCCCCCCTGCTTTCTTGAGCTTACCTTGATCCTGATAGTGTGCCTTGCCTGGTAGTCCATCCCTGAAGGCAAACATACACGCCATTATAATAAGTGCCTTCAACAGTAGAAAAGGATAGATACGCAAGATCCCGAGTTTAGTGCAATTTTCCACGTATTACTACCCTGTCTAGGTATATAAACGCGCATTATCCACAGAATAGCTAGTTGCTAGTGAAAATTGATCTATTTCATTCCAACAATGACCCGTGGACATACACCCTTCGAAACTTCTTCCAGCATCTTAGCTGCAATTTGGGGATTTATTTCTCAAGCTGCCCTGCTTAAAATTTAAACTTTAGCATTTTTGATGTAGATGCGTTCTTTGTAATTCTTCTGACTATTTTCTCTGACCTTTTAGATATCGGGAGGGCGTATTGGAGCATGTCATCATAATCGTCGAAAAAACGAACCCCGATCGACGAGGAGAATCGCGGTTAGGCATGCAGTAAAAGCTGATATGATCGCGTATACTATGGCGTCCAACATGGTTCAAGGTTATATCAGACTGCGGTTTGTATTTTTGATTTCAAGTCGTTTGAGAACTGATGAAATTGTGGTTTATGATACTAAATCATAAGATCCGCGACTACTGTTGATTTTATTATAAAATTGTTGGTTTTTAAGATACGCACCCTCATGCTTAGGTTAAAGTAACTCTTAACCTCTTAAACATGGGCAGTATATTTATTTGATGTAAGATGTATGTACTCTGTTTGCGCAGTAGCAGCAAAGTGGAAACTCAAAAAGATCTAGTCTGTTGATAGATGGATAGAACCTTAACACTGACCAGTTCGGTATCTTATCAGCCTAAATCGGCTACATGCAGCGGATTCGGTGCGTGTAGCCGAACAAGTGCAAACTAATTACAATATAAAGATCTCAATCTCGCTCCCACACCTGGGCACCGAGATGCATTTCCTTCTCAATCTAGCAATGAACTACATTCATCATGCACCCCCTTCTCTTCCATGTAACTAATGAGTTGGGCCCTTTTGCTTTTACTTTTACGTTCATAGAATGTCAGCTGAAGAAAAAACGCATATGTATGTGACCTTATGAGGTAGATCGCAGTTTCTCTCCAAAATCTTTCAATGTAATTTTCTGCTTTATGTATCGTATGTTTGGCTATATGCGGAGGTAGCCGCTACTTAATTAATAGCTTGTACTTATAGATTAGCCATTACATAGGAGCTAAGCACACAACCAACCTTGGAAGCTAGCAGCGAGTCACATACACTTATGCAGTTAGATACTATTTATATATCAGGATAACAGTCTCGTGATAAGCGTACTCACCTGAGCACATCTCCCACCAAAATACAAGTCTACCCAAGAGTAAGAAGAACTGAACATCGCAGCGATTGTACAATAATTAGAAATTCATTAGGGCAGCCTCAATCGCAGCATCGACATCGGCAAGCTACAACTACCCAATAAGATACACGAAATAGTACATTCACCAGATACGACGGCCCGACAACCCACGAACCAAATTACATAGTTTAGAGTAAGCAACATTTGATCTTATTGGGCTCAGCTTTTGGCATGCAGTACAGCAGTTTAAGCACTAAGATCTTCTATAAATTCACCATTCAAGAGTACTAAGATTATATAGTACTTGTTCCTTAGGTATTCTTTGGATTTCGCAAAAGAAATACGATATAGGCCCGACTAACGTCTTACTATGAAAAATAAGGCCAGAATCTCACTAATCCACACTAAATCTTTATCTCTCATAATAGCGAACACCGTACTACTCTACGGGATGGTAAGTAGTAGGCTGAAACCAGCCACTTAGGTATAATATGGCAAATCTACACTAAGAGAATATGGCATAGGCAATTCACTATCTTTCAATATTTCATAGGTGATCGTATGAATCCAAGCTAGATAAATCATATGTATCTAGTGAGGCCGTATAGTATATTAGAGGCTATTTTCGGCTTCTAACGTTATCGCAATTTGTTTCTTTTGCCGCTCGAACCGACAATCCTTCATTAGAAATTCCACCTTCGAACTTTAATGCAGGCTGATACTATCTAGGCTATCTCTACATAAAGCCATATCCCAATCTTGCATATAGGTTGCATAGTACAGATAGAAAATGTGAATTTACCATTTCATTGACTCTTCCCAAACCTTGGAAAATTCTTCCAGTTGATGGGGGGGTTGAAAGTTTTTCTTTGACCCTCTGTCTGGTGACTCTGGTCATCTTGCAAAATTTTACACATTGTTTTGGTCTCTCACATCTCCATACGTGTCGACTGAACTGCAAGCAAATCTTACTACTTAATGTTTAGTGATTCCCCCCCCGAGATTACCCTTATATATAGGGATAAACACATTGATTATCCAAGTCTCAGTATTCTCGAAAATCATCAGTATGGATACTCTGTTAGTTGCAGTATCTCAGCCTAGCATGCCTATGCCAGTGAGTCATGACACGTCTCCTCCAACTACAGTCATCGTGCCGGATATGTTTTCGTCTATCATGTCCACCATACCAAAAGTCAACAAACACTATGAGGCCGTGAAAATCGAATGCAACCTTTGGGTGAAACAGTATTTACACCCAGCTAAAAGTCTAAAAAGATCCTAGTTAACCTTCATATCGCAGGATCCTTGGTCTAAGTGAAGCGCAGTACCAGAAGAATTTGAAGGCAGAATTCGCGCTTCTTGGAAGTCTCTGGGTACCAGAAGCTGATAAAGATGCATTGAGACTCGTCATAGATTGGCTTCAGTGGGTAAGTTTACCTTTGTGATTAATTTATCTAATTTATCCAGCAATCTTACATTTAATTAATAGGTTTTTTACTTTGATGACCGTTAGTACGAGATCATTCCAAGGCTTCAATGAGGTACTAATATCTATAGTGTTTGATGATGGGGTCTTTAAAGACGATCCAGAAGGCGCTAAAAGAGAAGTCGAGGGCACCCTTGCTCTTATGTCAGAGGTCGAAGAGACGGTATCTGTGGATGAGCATCCAATCCGATACATATTCATGGATACATATAGACGCTTGAAACAGGTATGTTGATACTTTGGTTGTTTTTGATGGCATATGAATAATTTGACTAAATCATTGAATTGATGATAGAGGACCTCTCTGGGTAAGTAGTGGTTTTCTTTCTATCAATAACCTCATATCGATTCTAATTATAATCAGAAACTCAAGCTAGATATAAGCAAAGAATCACGGAATTTTGCGATGGCCTGTTGTCCCAAGTTGAAGTCCAAAGCTCACCTCAGAGTCTAGTGTACCTAAGTTTGGAGGAGTACTCAAATTACAGAAGAAGAACCATTGGTACCTACCCAACGCATCCGTTTGCTGAGTATGACTATCCTCGTTTATTACGGCCCATCAGGTGTGTTCTCTGACTGATTATTTTAGAATGGCTTTTCAAATTGACCTCCCAAGCTATGTCATTGAGAATAACTCAGTTAAAGAGTGTGAGGATGTTTGCTCCGACTTGGTGCTTTTGTGAGTCATGTGATTAATATAATATTCAACACGTACACTAATCCATATTAGGGTGAATGATGCTCTTTCATTCAAGAAAGAACAGGTAAGGTCCAGACCATCATACTCTAACCGCACGCTTCAACTCCTAATATGAACAGGAAATGGGTGTTCAGCACAACATCATAAACCTCCTTCAGCACCAGGGACTTTCTCTGCAACAGGCCATGAATCAAATTGGGGTCTTACTCAATGATTGCTACAGACGCTGGTATACTTCACTCGCTGAGATGCCAATCTATGGTGAATCAGTTGATAGAGAGCTAGCACGATACATTGAGGGCTGCCGAATCATTGCCTTAGGAAATCTTCACTGGAGGTATGTTGCTCTTTATCATTGAGAGCCATTGAATACTGAAAAACAATTTTCAGCTATGCCACAGGCCGGTATCTGGGTACGCAGGGAGTCCAAGTGCGAAAGACCCGCGTCATATCGATAGGTAAAGATCATACGCGTGAGTCGAATGACTTGACGGTTTCTTAATATTCTCTGGTTGGGAGTAGATCACATGGACTTTAGGTCGCCTGTTACCGTCGGACGGGTCAGGTGACCCCTTCCAAATGTCGAATATATGATTATTCAGCAATAATTTCACCCTATCAGAACGAGTAGTCAAATATGTGTGCGTGTGTAAATTTCTGTTATGTCTGGGCAATAATTTACACGGGCGTCGTTAAGGGGAGCACACTTTTTTAGTAGACGGAGCATGGGTATTGCTAAGGGCACCACACTTTTTTACTGGGTGTCGGTAAGACCACCCCAATTTTTTACTAGTTAGTTAGTGCCACCCCAAAACCGTCACTCTTTCCATAGTGGTGTAAAATAAGTTTAAAACACCTGGAGTAACCACCTTAAGTTCATTCCACAACAGTTGATTCTAAAACCACATAATATCTCTTAGGTTTCGTGAATAAAATACTATTCACATATTAATTAAAATTTCCTTGACTTCTAATAGCGATTTATATTAATTAGCTAAATAGTTTCTATACTACATCCTCAGAATTCAGTACTAGCCTATATAAGTAATCTCTAGGGGTGGTTTCAAATTTGTTTAACACTGGTGGAGCACTGTAGTTAGTCAGCCCTCCAAGTTCAGACTTCAACCTAGTATAGGTACCATCTCACATACCCAAAACAGCTTCAAATTGAATACAAGTCTTTACACTATTAGTAATAAGCGTAATAAATTCAGCCATATCAGTATATCATATAAAAATTGAATTGTTTTGTCTTCACTAAATAAAATTGGCAATTACATAAGCGTTTTGGGGTGGTCTTACCGACACCCCGTGGCCCGCTAGGCTCGACATCACTTGTCGAATAAGTGAGATTATTCAGCAGGTAATGCACCAATAGGCGTCCATTCTGATACGTGTATGTGTGTAGATTGTATTCTGCTTATCTGAACGTAATTTTACAAGTTGTGGAGCTTATGTAAGCTGGCGACGTGGTCCACTGCTTCCGACATCACTGAGTACTCACGTGACTCACAGACTCACTCAGTAAGCCTGAGCCCCAGACTGCAAACTACTCACTGAGCCTAAGCCTGAGCGCCCTCTTTAAAGCGGCGGGCACCAGATTAGGAGAGCCCCACTTGTCGGGGAAAATCCAGTACGTACTAACTTGAATAAGTGAGAAATATCATCGCTTTATTGTGTCATATATTGTATCATCGTATCGTTATTGTGGATTCGTCGGCTGACCATATATCTGCGAGCCATTTGGTGGTAAGAAGATTCCTGGCAGCCATAGAGCGCCGTGAGGATCGTATTGCTAGTTTGGTTGGTTTATTTGTTGTCCGAGCGGTTGAAGAAATGGAACTCGACTGGAAGATTGAGTTTTTGTGAGGTTTCAATCACGTTTTAGATTATTTTCCAATCGGAAGTCTCTTTCTCGGCGCTAGAGAATTAATCTCATTCTTCGCCTTTGTTTCATCCATGTTTTCAAATTGTTGGATGGTCTCGAGATTTCTGGCGGCCGTCGAGCGCGGTGGTCTGGCTGATTCGGTTGTCTTCCGAGGCTCATAAGGGATGAGGGCTAGACAGCGACGGTTTGTATCATCTGAGAGTCCACGTGGTGCCGGATTTAAGATTTCGACATCAAGATCGGCCTCAAGTCTTTGAGAAAGACCGAGTTCACCTGCAAGATCTCTGTAGCCTTGCTCGTACGGGGCAGAGTTGCCAGGGAATGGCCGAAGAATTGAGGTCGGCCCACGTTGTTGAGTTTCATATTAGTACTCAATGACGGGTTGAGACTTTCTATTTCTCGTCAGAACAATGAGTCTGTTTTACCAGGACGGAGTTAGAGCTCCATACCTCATCCCTCCAATATCAGCCAATGCAGGTTGCGCCTCTCTCTGCTGATTCAAAGTTATGGAATTTAACTTCTTTTCAAGATCTGCCATTATAGATTTCTGGCCAGATGAACTTTCATTAATTTGAGATAGTAGAGCGAAACACGTTCTTTGGTCTGTTTTGTATTGTTAATTGTTATAGCTGATGAGCAGGAAGAGAGCTTACCTGTGGATATCATGACGTCGACCACTTCAAAAGCTATCGGTCGTAACGGTGTGATCTCCATCGCCGGGATGACCGAGAGCAGCTCTTTCGCATACGCAGCCGCCGCCGCAGCTGCATATGGCTGCCACTTTTTATTTTTGTGGGAATCACTGTAGTCGCATATTCCCCGTATAACGATACATGGAAACTCGTTCATCAAACCTGCTGCTTCCATCTCGAAGCAGAGCACACCACCCAACTCCGAGCTAACCCTGTCTCGCTCAGCGGCGTTTTTCATCACTTGATTTCCAGAAGCAATGGTACCATAATGTATGATAGGACTCTGCCGACTGCGTGATTCTCTCCTGAGGATCCTTCGTCTGTCACATTTCTTACACGTCACTCCTCCGACATGGTCATAGCGCGAGTTAAACAAGATATCATCTCCTGCATTAGACCGTGTGAACCTAGGCAGGCGATTGAATTTCGAAATAAACTGTGCAAAGCGTTGGTCTTCTCGCATGTGTTTGGCTTTGAGCAAGAAAACTGCCTTGCGAAGGATCTTCGGCGGCGCATTCAAGAAACCAGTTCGTTTGAATCCGCTCAAGGTGGCCTTTCCGAAGTCATGCTGTACTACTCCACCGTGGCTGTTTTCTGGGAGACTGACGACCACATCTCCAAGTCGAATATCTGCGTCTGTTGATGGAACTCCCCCACCAACACCCACCATAAGGCGAACGTGAATCGAGGTGAGGGTTAGCTGCATCCAAGTAGCCACCGCAGCGGCTGAACTGGTTCCTATCTGAGATTCTGGTAGACAGGCGATGACAACATTATGCTGACCAATTCGACCCAGTTTGTAAATGTTGTCTGTTTCAAAATTGGCGATGGAGTCACCTGTATCTCATCAAGCATTTCTTCGGCAGCTGCGAATTCGACAGGGAGGGCGCATAACCAACCTACAGTGTGCCGATCGCGACTAAGGGGACTTTTGGCGGCCATCTGGTAGGAGAAATCTGAGACACGGAGGTGATGCTGAAATGGCGTTGCAGAACTCTCTAGATGAGAGATGAAACATTGAAAATTGAGATTCACCCATTAGATCTCAGCTGTGGCAGTCAAATATTGCATTGATACACCATTCTCATGACGGCCCGATGGAGTCCCGAATCCCGATACTAGTAGCGGGGAACCAAGGTTGGAACACATCACCCCTCCATGCCCAGGTGTGCTGTCAGATTCACCGGGGTATATCATTTGGGCAACTGGGTGGTGGGGTACTACTAGTCCCATCTTTGCCTGATCCAAATTACATTCAAGTTGGTATTGGATTCAAATGTTATAGTGAAATTCCCAAATTCCACTGAATATCACATCTTACTAGATGCCTTGGCTATAGAAAGAGCGTGACTGAATTTTAATTTCTATTAATAAGAATCATGGATTCTTCCTCCATAGCGATAGGTCCTTGATAGAAGGTTCACACTCGGGGATTAAGCACTGGCATTGCTCTAGGTATTGTTAACCCCTGTAGTACAGACCTATAACAGCCACAGTGCCACTGTCATATGGCCAACTTGAAAACCTCTTACATCTCCCTTCAAAATCTTCCTCTTATATGGCCAGTACTAGTAGAAACCCCTAGAAAAAGACTTGGAGAAAACTAATGTATATATCCCTCTTAATTCAGCCACTATTACCTCCGGGTCTCACTTCTGTTTGAGATAGTATCTCTCACTTTTATTTGACATATCTCTTACTTTAGCTATTAGTTTATCTACCTTTGGTATTGACTTGAGATAGGACCCATATGTTGTAGAACAGTTTCAGCAAGTGCGCCAGGCTGCATCGTTGGCTCTGGCCAAGGTTCAATGTTCTATTTGAAGTTGCCTATTCAAGGTTGCTTTCTATTCCCAATCACCCCCTTTTCATCAGATTCATATTATTATTTTTATATCGTCCGAGACCTTGGATTTTATTACAGCAAGATGAGTGAAAACATCGGTATGATACCTGGGTGGGAACTTGAAGTAAACTAGACCTTTTATGAGCTTGGCTAATGGGGTGAAAATTACATGAAGCAGGCCGATCCCTTCAGGAGATGACTATCGGTAGCCATAATGATCATGATTTCGCGCCTGGCTTCTGGCAAATTTTGGTTTCTAAAGACTTAGCTGCTCTGATGTTTTTGTGGCTTATTTAGGCTCGGTTTCTGTAGGCTGTGAGTAATTCTTGAGGATTGGGATTGAAGTGATCAATCCATAGCTGAGTAGTGAAGTTTGCTAAAGGGGCCAAAAATGAGACAACCAATCGCACTAAGACATCTGGAGAAGAAGGGTGTGCTCCGGATCTGGACTATACCCCGAAGGAGATGCAATAAATGACGCAGTTAATCTGTACAGGATTACAGGGTGAAGAAATCAAATGAAAACCTGAATTTCCAATGATGCTAAAATGACAGACGCGTGTATCAAGGCTGCACAAGCTAGATATCTGCATATTTTTATTCTTTAGTTATTTGTAACGATCAGAATAAGTTATAGGTTCTTTCTCATGAACCCTGGCTTTCTAGGGCGACTTATGCCACCCTGATCAGATTATTCTGCCACATCAAGAACGATGTTAGTAGCTGGATTCCTGCCATTCCAGCGAGGACGTTCATCTGTAGATTATAACTACCCCCATATGTCCCACGGACGTGAGCCTGCGTATCGCTAGGCAGTGACGCAATGACTGCGGTGGAATCTAGAACAGCTTTGACCACGCTACCAGTCAAAAATTTGCTCAGATGCCCACGCAGGTAGCTGTGTTCAATAGCAGTGACAATCGCCAGACCGATAGAGCCGCCCAAGATTCGGAATTGGGCAATGGCTCCCATAGCAACCGCTAAAATTAGGAGTTTGAATCAGCGTCTCGCTCTATAGACATGTGTAATGTGGGAAAGGACTCACCATGGTCTTGCTTTTCAGTGGCAAAGGGTGCCATCAAAGTCAGAATTGGAGTACATAAACCACATCCAAACCCAGCCAGGACGAGATACCCGTATTCACGAGCGCGAATTTCACCGTCGGTAGGAAGGGTTCCTAGAAGGCCATACCCAACGATTTGTACAGCTGCACCAGCGACCAGAAAATACATCATGGGCACTTTGGCCCCCTTTGCAAGACCCGGTGATACTAGCGATCCAATAGGGGAAAGTAGTGAAAACGGAATAAACCGCACAGCAGCTTGAAAAGGAGAAAGCGAGTTCACGATCTCAAAACGTTGGGGGATGATGAAGATAGCCGCAAACCAATTCATACCGAGAAAGATAGAATTGCTATAGATAGATGTCAGGGTGCGAACTGGGACTCAAGCCAGGAGAGGTGGACTTACAGTAGCATCGCCATCCATACTCGGTTCTTGAAGAACCGCCAAGGAAACACGGGCTCGACCAATGTCGCTTTTAGGGTTACCCGGCGTTCCCACAGAGTAAAGAAAATCCACATTAGACCCGAGAGAACCAGCACGGTGATAGTGAAGGCAGATCGCCAGGAAAATTCCTCATTGGCTTCATTCAGACCGGCCGCAACTAGCACGGTCGCTGCGGTCAGTGAAAATGCACCTATAATGTCAATGCGGTGGTATGCTTTCATAAATGCTTCGCCCCAAGTACCCCGATCCTCGGGCGACTTATAGTGAAATGGGAATCCGTTTGGCAATAGTAGAACCAAGCATACGATCGCAATGACTCCCGGTGGAATACTGTTTATCGATTAGTCCAGTTGTTTGGGGCGGATAGACATCGCGATCCAGTAGATAATATAATACTCACTTGAGTAGAAAGATCCATCTCCAGGTAGAGTGTTGGGTGATCGCACCGCCCCAAATAGGCCCAAAGAGAAGGGAGAAGATAAACACCGAGGCAACTCCTCCAGTATATTTAGCGTATTTCTCGGGCGGGACCATCTCGATAACAATAATCGTGGCAATAGCGTAATTTCCAGCTCCTCCGAGGCCTTGCAACGCGCGGAAAACAATTCTAGTGAGAAACAAACCTGTTAGTTGACAGCCACGAATAAAACAGCAAGGGTCGGCCTTACAATTGAGTCATTGTCTGCGCGCCACCACATGCAGCTGAGAAGACGACGAATATACCGATAGAGGTGATAATACATGTTTTGCGACCAAAGATATCACTCAATTTTGCGCAAACAACCAGAACACCTGCAAAAGTGTGGAAACCCCCCTGTCAGCGATATTTAAGCAGAATTGTAGATTTTAGCTATATGCGGGGGCCCTGCACATAGCTGATATGGTAAACAACGTACCGCCATATCCAAGCAAGTACGCTATCGTGATCCAGTATATTTTCTCCAGTCCGCCTAAGTCCCCGCGATACCGACCAGCGACGTTGAAACGATCGGAACTTCGAGGTTGGTCAAAAACAGACACAAGCAAAGTCTATGATGGCCAGTTAGCTCGCTGAAGATGATTTCAAGTGCAGGGGGTCGCGGGAAAACACCTACATCGCAGTCACACCATAAAGTCGGATTCCTGTTAGGTACTGAGCTGGGTTTTCCGCCACCTCGATTCCTTTGGGAATATCTGGGGTATTTGGAGTATCGGGAATGAGAACATGTTGTCGATCGTCCAGTTCGACTGAAGGCTCCTTCATGATGAGAAAAAGCCCGCAAATTCAGACGTCCTGCCGCTTCAAAGTAGGGATATTGAAGGGGAAACCCCGAATCTGAAGAAGGTTCAAGTTGAAATATAGAGAATGGGAGAGGACGAAATCCTCGAGAAATTCAACCAAACATCTGAACATTTGACAATTTCCCGACCAGTGGGCCTCGGGAAAGAAGCTTTGAATCGATCAGGGGGTTACGTGTTACAGAGATCGGGGCACCCAACTTTGTAAGGAGTATCTGTATCTTTGTTGTTCTTTACATTTTGGCCCCCTTCGCTAATTGCTTAGCATCATGCATGACAGGATAAAGTGGAGCCCAAGGCTAATGGCCCCAAGATCCTTCTCCCCAAGTTAGGTCTGTGCTTCAAATATCAATACACATGTGGCTATTTTCAGATAAAAGTGCGAGTGGCTTCGGCTGTGGCTTCGGGTACGGCATAGGCTCCCAGCTTAGGCTTTCTTCATCATTGGGATTCATTGTTGAACATTCATTATATTTGGTCACGGCCATATCTGCAGCCGGCTTGCCTTGCGCCCTATACCTGTCCTAGATCGAGCCCTGATGCATTGTAAGCTAATTAGGTAGCTAAAATCATATAGTGAGTACGAGGCATCATCCGTCATAGAAGACACATGGCAAGGAAATATGATGGGGGCTTAAAAGCTTGTGCGTCATGATTAAAAAAAGAAAAAAAAAGCACCAAGCCCGGTGGAGCTAATAGGCTTGGAAATCAAACCCATTATAAGTCAACACACTCAGCCTACCTAGTGTAGTGGGGTACCCTGTCCCCTACTACACGTACCGTGCTAAGAATTACCGTTTGGTTACATCTCTGTTTTGTCATGTTTTCAGTCCCGTCTTTGTACGTACAAGAATGCCCGTCGTTATAGTCTAGAATACACACTCCTACACAACGTACATGTTGGTTGGTGTTATCCATTCATGCTAGCTGGATCGACCCGTGTATCTAGAATACACTGCCTAACGGTTCCCCTCTTTACTAGGTACTTATAAGTACTTGAGATACTTGCTCCCTGCTGGCACACGTGGTGATCGCTGCACATCTCTCACCTCTAGGATTAGCATGCCCTACTTACATCCCACGCTGTCCTACTAAATTTCAAGCACCTCCAGCATCATGACCACGACGGCTCAAGAAATAGAGGCAATCCTGAACAGGCCGGTAGCTACAGCACCTGCAGGTAAAACATCCAACCTGGTTGACCCGCCGAGCATGTATGTGTCTGGACTGATTCTGATCTAAATCTGTTGGATCGTCTCGAGGATATTCGTCCTCATTAGGCTCTACACAAAAATAGTCCTGATTCGACAGCTAATGCTCTCAGACTGTAAGTGAGAGAACTTTCATTCCCTCCTGCCTATTATGCAAAATTGAGTTGTATCTAATTTGGTATGCTTTAGATTTGATGGCCTTGTCTTGGGTACGAAGAACCGTCTGCATATTTGTGATTCCCAGGGTTATTGTTTTAACGTACTGACGTCTTTCATTAGGCTATAGCCTTCAATTTTTTTACACTAGCATACAAACTTAATGAAGTGGCCCCGGTTTGAATTTTTGGCATCAAAGGCTGTCATTTTCGGCCTCACTTTCACAGGTCCCCATATTCTAGTTGTAAACTTAGAACCTTGGAAGAGATGTGGAATCCTATATTTTTTATTTTCTACAATTTTCCAGGACAAAATATCTGAATATATTTCTTGGAATCACCCAAGCTCTTCTTCTCCCTCAGGCTTAACAGTAAGTCTGTATCAATAGTAACATGCCTTAACCTGGATCCATAAACAGCCTGTTTTATCCTTGTTACTACTACTACCTCGATCAATTCACCATGAACACGTCCGTTAGTGAGCATGTTTTCACAGGTGAAATTTTTAGAGGCGGAGCAGATATTCCTGCCTCCTCAAACTACCGGCAAACGCAAAGTCTCCGCGGCATTCACCCCTCCCCCCTCCATGACCTCCTAGAGTTTGCCGAAGCCCACATTCACACAATTCAAGGCTACCTCCAGCGTGGGCTTAGCCCAGGAGAAGCAATGAGCGCAATAGGCATGAGCGAACAGATACAGAGCGTATTGGTTGACCCCGAATTCGAAGGGATCCGTCAAACCGAGGAGATACAATTCTGGCTCAAGCTGGCCGTCCGGACGAACTACGAGATAATCCGCTGGAACCGGCGGATACTCAAGAGCCATGCTAAGAGGCGGAGCGAACCCAAATGAAAGGCACAAAAGCAGGCACATCAGCAGGGTCAAGAGGGTCAACTGCCCAGTGTGACTGTGAACCAAAATCTTGACTAGTCGCCGTCAACCCCGCAGTCTTGTTCCTCGAAGTGACAGCAATTTGATTCAGATCACCCGTTTCATATTGAGGACATCATGTCTATACTATGACCCAACATACCAGTAGTATCTGTCATTCAGATATTTTGTCTTCCAAAGTTGGAAGCATGTATGCTGTGATGGGAAGGAAACTTCTGTATAGATATGAGCTTTACTATATGTTTAACCATGTCGGCGATTTATATATCCCAAATACCCTCCAAATACCCTCAAACGACGGTAGTTCAACGGTATTTGAGGGAATGCGGTATTTGAAGGGTATTTGGACTTGATTTTTTATATTAAAAGAATTATTTACCTGGTGCTACTTCTGTCCTATTCTACTTGTTTATTCTACGTATCTTCTTATTTATTCTACGCCTCTTGAATTTCTTTTTTCTTTTTTCTTTTCTCTTTTTTTTACTTTACGTGTTCATATATTCTATATGTTTACTCTATATTTTTATATTTAAATGCTTTACTCAGGAATTGAACCACTGGACTTGGAGATTTATTTATTTATTGTTGTGTTTACCCCTAGGCTATTTACTCCATTCAATCTTTTCTCTCCCATTAATATCTATAAGAGTCTGATGTGGTTTGTTGTGGTTTGTTGTCGTCAAAAGTTTGCCCCGAGGTAAACATTTATCGACTACAGTATTTGGTGAAGTACCGTAGTCGGTCAAATACCCAAACAAATACTCATATCGTCTTTTTACAGTATTCCACACGGTATTTGACTCCAAATACGGTATTTGGAATATATAAGCGGCCGACATGGAAGGGAACCAGATGAAGCATCTAATGATTTTTGTAGTTTACTAGATGATATAGTCCCTTTTTATATGATATAAGGTTCAAGTTGAAAATATGAGTGATTCATGGAAAGTTTCGAGTTGTGTTATTAGTCTACCTAAAATCCTAGTTTTCTCTACTCCAGGGTTCTGATATACGTGCTCACCCTCACGTCACATATTCAATATTGGAAAGAATAAGATCATTCTATTACTCGAGAATCTCTATTGAGGAGATATTATTACCTTGACGTGTGGTCGTACACCATAGGTATCATCTTCGTCACACGCTTTTCCTTTCTCCTATCCTTACTGAATCCTCACCTTACCCATATTCTCGCAGTATTTTCAAAGCAAGCAAAATCCTTGATCGCTAGTTCACCTCCTCGTTATGAGACAAATCATCAAGACCAAGAGCTTAACAGCTGTCCAACATGCTCTTCTCCTCCCTGGAATTCTCCGCGAGATATTATTATGGCTTCATGCCCAGCCATCACCAGTAGCGACGCCGACCAACTATTAGCCAGGAGACGTCTTATACTGTGCGCGAGTCAATACTTCTTGGTACTGTCTAGCAATACCAATTGTCTGGCAAAATATTCCCATAGGCAGACAGGGGATTATCTTCCACATAGGAAGAATTTTTGAAACAGCAGCTTTGAAGAATTCAACCAAGAGACAAGTATTTGCAAACTACATCCAATCTGCCACTTACAATATTTCAGGGTATAACGTGTTGCCTTGAGTGTTGTCTTGGCATAATGGGGCCCCAAGGAGAGACTATGGATATCTGAACGACTTGACCTTTCCAAACCTACATACCCTCACAGTGAACGTAGCTCAGCCATGCCAGTGGTCCTGCCATCTAGCGGATTGTGATTCTGCAAATGACCATTATGCTCATGATCTGCCTTCACTTCTATTCCTGGCAGATGTCGTGTGCTTTCACGACTCATTTTGATATTAATTCCACGAAGTAAACATAGCGTCACTCTTCCCGATAAATGGATAACGTTTTTGGGATTTTTCTTAGTGAGTTCCAGTGTTTCCTTATAAATGACAAAGCATCTTCACAGGACTGACTGACGCTTTTCTGCGAATAGTCGATGGCGAAAGCTCTTGAAACTTTGGAAATTTCAGAATCAATCTCTGTGGACCTAGAAAAAATACATTTCCTGGTGAAAGATATGAAAAATTTGAGATATGTGAAGCACGGGGACAAGGTTATCACTGATATCGATTCCAAGGTTTGACTAAGAATTGATAGTAGGGAACCTTGGGATACAAGCAGGAGCATCTTACTATCTGAATTATTTTCATACTCTACAAACTGCCTTTGGTTAGGCAGATATGAACTTGAATGAGATACGCTGGATTTCTTATACTTGCAGACACTGAGGTATCAGTAATATCCATATACTTAGGTACTATATTGAACCTACATATAAGCCATTTACTCTGATACTATCTAGTGATATCTCTCTTTTATATGCTGAAGTGCTATCTTCCCTTCTATGATTTAGTATAATAACATTTGAAGATCTCTTGTAATATCTATCAAGCTACTATACCCTTTAATATTTAGACCATTCATTAGGGGCCTATAATAGCTATATAGCTGAAACCTTTTTCCTATAATGATTTTAACCACCCTCATAGCTAGTTACTCTATTATCATGATATAAAACCTTTAAAAAGAATATAAGATTAAAGTAAGAGATAACTAGATTAAGAGATATCTAAAGTGAGAGGTCAATATAAGATATATACAAAAGTAAAAGTGAGAGATAGCTGATATCTATATTGGGCTTTTTCCTTTTTTTTCCTTTTTTATTTTTTACCCTGTCAGTCATGTTTGGCAGCATCGCTGTTATAGGCCCCCATCCTGTGTATGTATGTTCAAGTTGGTGTTTATTATTCTAGCTGTAGAATGCCTACCCATCAGAAAGTCAAGTACATGAGAAGAGTAATATTCAAGAGAGATTTCTATACAGAATGAAGTCAAGTGCTAACCGGACTCCGTCATGCCAGCCTAGCTTCCCAACCAAGCCACAAGAACCTTGGAAGACACCATAACTCCTTTATCATCAAACCGGATATAACCAGATAAGTCTAGTAAAGACAGAATACAAAGGGCAGAGAGAGATAATACGATGGAAGAAAGATATCAGTCTCTTTTGTCCTCATAAATCAAATCTCCTGTGCATCTAAAGACCAGATCTCCCAGTTCTTAAGAACGTCCCAGCCCACGCGCCGCATATTTCGTCTCCATATTTGGCCATCATCAGCATAAGTAGGATCTGACACACACATTTGTTGTCCACGGGACGCTGTTTCTCTGAATTCAGATGGTGTTCTTGTTGTCTGAGACTGCCTATCTGAAGGTGCACTATCATCATCACTTCGAGCACGTTTGCCCAAAGTTGATGGAGGAATATTGATTCCTGCACGAGAGGCATCTATTTCTGCGCGAAGGCCAGGAGCGACGGAACTTGAAATAGCGCCTGGACCTTCTGGTGTACGCGCAATCGTGGCATGGGTGCCATTTTGATTTCCATTCTGGAACGTCTCATCCGGCGTATTCGTAAAAGGTGTTTCAGATTCCTCATCTTCTTCCACAATAGGCATCGGGACTCTATAAAAGTCCCGCAATTCAAATGCTTTCCAACCCATTCCAACAATCTTGACGTGACCGAAAACATTCTTGTCTGCCAGGTCATAACTCATCATATCGATAAGGACCTCGTCATCAATATCCACGATATCAGCCAGACTACGGGCACTGTTTTTAAGCTCTTCGATGTCCGGACGAAGTTTGAGTGAGTTGCCTGCCGTGGAAAATGCTTTGGAGTGGAGCCTTTGCGCTTTCTTGAAAGGGTTTTCTGCGCTGTCTGCGGGGCTATTTTGGCTACTTTGAGTTCCCCGGCTTGGACCAGTCTGCGGTGGCGGAGAGCCGGCAGGGATCAGGAGCCGCAGAGCTACTAGCTTCCGCAGGAATGGAACTAGCATTCCGAGTGACTCCATGCTTGAAAATTCCGTTGCAAGAGCCAATTGTTCCAGATTCGGACAACTATGGACAAGTCGAGCGACCATAGACGTGGAGAGGGGCCATTTAGAAGAGAGAAGCAAATGGCGTAATGTTGCGCCGTGGTTCAACGTAATGCCGGATAGATAACTATCTCGTCCGTTCAGAACCACGTTCAACTGACTGGCTGGAGAATGCAGAGCAGCGGGCGAATTGCCCGATATACCATTAGGTCCAACATTCGGATAATCGGAAGCAGGGGGTGTGAGTGCTGATGAGGTGGCCATGCTTGCAGGCCGAGAGGAATTGAGGTAATCGTTGTGCTCGGATGTGACATTAACGAAGTATAGACGCTCGAGTCCTTTAAAATTTCCCAAGAACTCTGCATTTCGTTTTGAGATCGCATCCATGCGGATGGACTTGATTTTCAATTGTTTATGAGGTGGCATTGTCGGCCAACTGTTCTCCACGAACGTGTTAATTAATCCTGTGGTATCTGTCCCACTTAAGAATGTGACATCTTCCACCGTTGTGGGGTCAAAAGCGAAATTGAACTCCTCGCTGTGAAAGGCATACATATTTTGAAATGCAAGCCTTTTCACGGACAGAGGCTGTTTTGCTGCGGTACATTTTCGGAAGTACTCGTGCACAGAAACGCTGGGCTCTTGCGCCAAGCGCATTCGTGGTGACCAATGGAGCCGGAGATCGCGCAATTTTTTGCTCTTCCAGAGCATTGTGGAAATATCATCGGGATAGCATAGCGGGTCGATATCGGTGATTTTTAAAGATCGCAGATGAGGCATAGGGGGAAGCACATGAGTTGGTTGCGGATGACGGGTAGAGGGGAATCGTATAGTTAAAGAGTAGAGTCGAGGTAATTGTGTAAGTCCCGTATAGACTGTATCAAGCATTTTGGTGTTCAGGTCCCAGGTAAAACTCTCCAAGCTTGTCATGCGATCAATCGCCGCTCGGACGACTGTATTCAACAGCATCGCCGAGTCCGGCACACGACCGACCTGGGCATGTTCCTCCAAGTCATTATCTTTCCAATATCCACGGAGTGAGATCGACTGCACAAGCGTCGCGAAAGGTCGAGTGATCACTGCATTCAGCCCCATGGTAAAGGGGCTTGCGCTTCCGACTCCTTCGGGTTGTTCATCACGATAACGAATCTTGCTGTAAGAGGTGAGGGTCAAGCTCCGATAGAGCTGCGGTAGCGCCATGTAGTTGAGAACGCGGCATGTTCGGCATAATCTGGCAAGATCACCTGTATCATCGACCTAAAATGTCCCAGTTGTCTTGTCAGTAAACTGTTGCTCCGTACTCTCAGGGACTTTGTGGGGGTCTCCGCTCACGTTTGACACGATCTGGGCGATCAAGTTTAGCGGCAGCACCATCAACGACGCGCCGCCGGGGCGATCGGTGACGATGCTGGCATCGAACATGTTTCGATTGACGGCCGCCATAATGCGACATCTATGAAAGGCCGCAGCATGGACGAGGGGAAAAGTATGGGGAAGTTGATTCTGAACTCGGAGCAAAAAGTTCCCGAATGAAGCCCGAGCCTCGTGGGACCCGCATCGGCCAACCAGAGTACTGCAAATTACTCGTCATTGATGTGATAGTGTCACATGAAGGTGAAGCTATAGAGTAGGTGGATAAAGCGTGTGACGTTGCAATATATTGAATTAGCTGCTTCTGATATTGCCCATGTGGGATTCTAGCTAGATCATGATTACTATGTTCTGATATAACCTTCCAAGATTCAAGTTGGAAGTCTTGGATGTATCAGGTAGTCCAGAGAGTCCAAGGTACTTGTAAAGAGCGGTCTGATACTGCGCAGACATGAGACCTGTTCGACGCACCTGGACATTCGAAATGCCATTGATATTGATGCTATAAACATAATATATGCAGTGACAAGATAATAAAACAAAGAATTATAATATGTTCCCGGGTATATTTGAAAATGGACAGATCTCCAATAACCATGCTCCCAAAACCCCAAAATTTATTTGTTCGTAAGATTCAAGACTCCATGCTCACCACATAAACGTATCTCAAAAGATTTGAGCAGGGGACAAAAGAGAAAACACCATGAACTAATCATGTAGACGGGTGGCCATGGTCATGTTCATGTATTGTCGAGGCATCCCCGTCGCCGTGATGTGAACCGACCTCCGAGATAGTCGTCTGTGTCCAGCTTGCGCGATCATTCGTCACAATAGGTTCTTCTCGTAAATTGCTCACATGCTCACGAACAAGAGCTGCGGCTTCAGGGTCATAACGAAGCACGTAGTTGCTTTGTCCATTCTCGAGGTCTGTATCATCCCATGGAGCAGACTCCTGTGGTTGAGAAGGAATAACTCTGACTGGTAAATGTGAGTTAACATTTTGGGAACGTTCATGATGGCTAGACGCCTCTAACAGTCCATTTCGAGGTTGTGGTGACCATGTCTGCTGGCCACGACGACGAGCTGGAATCACTGTAACCGGCAATGGCGCATCAGCAGGTGAGGAACCGGAGCCGGGCAGTCGATTTCGATGCAGCATGAAGAAGTTATTATTTGATCTGGTCTGCACGCTAGGCTGGCCGTGGTCATCGGGCTCTGAGCCGGAAGCAACATCAATGACTTCCTCGCCGGCTTGTGCAAAGGCGACTTCCCTCGGAAGGGATGCCCTTCTGCGCCTGAAATTGTTGATGAGATTGCGCCAACGGGGGTCGGCTTGAACAATTTGCGGTGATTGTTCTCTAATACCCCCAGGCGCTGGGGGATCTTGTTGAAAATTCCCTGCGACTGAGTGGCTCTCGATCTCCATCTCTTTTGCTTCGTCTACTTCGTCGTCTTCTTCCATGTGCGGCATTGCCACAGGGGGTGTAGGGCTGGTGACTGGATGATATCGAACATTATATACTGTGCTGGGAGCACTACTGGTGTCAGTCCGACTGACTGGTGTGATGACTGCGGGGGGTGGCGTGGGTCGCTGATTATTTCGGTGTTGCGATGGATGGATATTCGGATTTTGCGTTTGCCTTGGGGCACGGAAATTTTGAGTTCCCCGATTCATTCCCACTCTTGTTCGTAGTGGTCGATGAGAAAGATTGATAACTCCACCCCATGCTGAAGAAGTGCCATTCCCGCCTCCCTTATCATGCGTGGAGTAACCAGGCCAATCGACCTCTTCAGATGGAGTCATTTCAAGCATTTCATCGCCATCGAACACCTCTCGTCCAAGGATTCCGTCTTTGGTTTCATCTCGCTCAAGGGCTTCTATGCGCTCTACCCATTCCCAAACCACCACACTGGCCGCTGCTGACCCGACCCATCTGATGTATGTACCCCAACCGGCGATCTCTGGTTTTGCAATGTCTGTGACAAAGAATACCACGGGAATCAAAATGGCACAGAACGATAATAGGGCGACGAAGCAAATGTTGCGCATTTTGGGGTGGAAAAAGGCATAGCGGTGTTTCGAAATGGAGTAGAAAATTACCCACGCAGCGTACAGCAGATTGAGCGCCAGCTCGAACAGGTAGCTCAGAGCAGGAATTGCATCATCGTATAAGCGGGGATGAGTCGAGGTACTTTTGAAGAAGAAACTCTCAAGAATACTGAAGATGGTGTCCAGAACGACCAAAGCGAATCCAGCCCACTTGATCATGACCTTTTCTTTATGTCTCGGAAATAGTCGAATCAATGTCTGGACCTGCGCTAGCCAGAGAAAGGTCTGTGAAATCACGCGAACAATGCGAATCTCCATCCCATCGATAACCTCTTCCGAAAGCGCTTCTGCATCTGAATATCCATACTCGTACTGTGCCTCAGCGACTCGAAAAGAATCAACCGTGGCGATTGTCAATGAAACTGCGACAAGAAGCGCAGCCACTTTCTGTAACCATGGCCGGCCACCAACACCAACGATTGAGGAGTTTCCGCCATATGAACCACTCATCATGCCATGTCGTCCGAGAAAATTGGCGCCACCACCACCAGGCCCGCCGACGAAGAAGGTACGTGGTGTAATAAGAAGAATGATAACGAGGACATAACTGACAACAGTACAGCAACCGATGGCGTACAACTGGGGCGTGACGGAGGAATAGAACGGGTCACGCGTATCGAGAACGGCTTCAACGTGGGTATAATCGGAGTGCGCTTGACCCGTACAGATCGGTTCATAGATAGCGTTTTTGGTGAGAGTCAGTTCGAAGGACTTATTCACGTGTATAATTCCTATATCAGGCCAAATGTCAGTATTAGCACGGGTGGTCGTTTTTCGTTGCGGAAACCGAATAAAGAGACCGGGCGATTGACGTACCATCGCTGGGCAAGACGAAGGGTGTGCATCCTGACGAATACGTTTTAGTCGAAGTTGTCGTCGCTTTCGCCCAAATCTGGCGAGGAGTCACACGGAATTCATCGTCCATGATCAGACACTCCGGCGCCGGTAACTCGCCGGCCTAGCTCATACAGCGAATCCACCGGGCCGACCTGAAATATTGAAGCGCACAGAGATTCAGTGGGATGCTTCAGACGGCCATTTCTCGGGTGGGCTGCCGCGCGTACAGAAGCGGATCGAATAGGGAGTCTCGGGGGCCTCAAAAGATAGATCGGAATGGCGGTGACTCGAGCTGCACCAGCGGAGAGGGGAAATGATAGAGAGATGCAAGGAATCCTGGCGATGTGATATATTTAGAAGTCTTTGGTCTTTTTTAGCGGAGAGGGGGTGGAAGACTGAATATGCGGAGTGAACACTAATGAGGAATCTAAATGAGTCTGGAGAATCGGCGGGTCGAGAATGATCCGCCACCCGGTCCACTTCCTCGGCGCTTACTCGGTACACTCCACTTCAACTTTCCCGTGAAGAGTGTCCAGGTGTCCAAAGTGAGCTCTATATTTCATCTCTGATATCCTCAAGTCTCCTCAAATTCCATCATCTCCCTCCCAATATCTTGGGCTATGTCCAGATTATCATCCTTGTGGACCTCGTATGGAAATATTCTCCAAGCCAAAGAAAAGGAATATTTCCAAGGGTTTGAAGAAGTTAACTCGGGATTATCTCGGGAAGATAAATTAAACAGATTGATTAAGTCGCTAGCAGCTAGCAGCTCAAGCCTTTCAGCTAATAATTATAATGAGTTTTTACATTCAATACTGATACCATTCAAGTTATTTGAACTTCGCCTGGGCAAGTTAAATCAGATTCATTCCGTCCATCGTTAGACTTCGAACAGTACTCGGATATGTAGGTAGTCAACTGAGCTAGTTTGACTCAACTTGGAGCGCTCACATGCCCAATATTGAGACTGTAGTTAGATGATACTACTCCTGTAAAGGTTAGTCAAAATGCATTGCCCTCTAAAGTCATATATTTCCATCGGTACTCAATCAGAGTATTACGTTTACAGATTTTAGGAGTGAGAAACCCCAAGATTTGAAAATATTCAATCCAAAATGCGTTGTATTTACTATGTGCTGCACGCATTCTCAAAGAGACCATGAACAAATCAACTTGAACATTTGAAGCCGGGTCCAAGACTTGCACATGGTGAAAATGTTCAACAGTTCCATATCAATCCGATCTAGCTAGCCCCGCTAGCCATATATACAATTATCGATTCTTCCCTCCAAGTCATGGTCGAAAAGAGCGTCGTAGTGAATCTCACAGAGTTCCACAACTTAAGAAGACTGAGCGGCGAAGCCCAGACGAGGACCATTGGAGTCAAAGACAACATACTGGCTCTTCAGGAAGATATCACCAAAGATAGACAAACCAATTCCAGAGTTGCTCTGGATACCGCCAAGGCAGGTAGACGAGCCCTCGGAGGCGGGAGCATAGTTGATCAGGCTACCGGGGACAACAGCATCGTATCCGGAGATAGTGACAGTGAAGTCAGGCAGGGTAGCAGAGCAGTCAAAGGTGTAGCCACCAGCAGAAGAGCTCTCCTTGGCGCCGCTAACCTGCTTGTAGTAGGCAGAGACAACGTCATCATCGAGCAGGAGGAGAGTGGTGCCAGTGTCGGCAATACCCTTGATAGAGCCCCCGGACTGAGTGCCGACCTTGTAGCTGTCCGCGGTAAACTCCCAGAAGCCCTGAGAGCTGTCAACATCAGCGTAGGTCAGAGAGCCAGTATACTTGGAGCTGTCAACAAAGCCGAAGTCGTAGGATCCTGGGGCATTGTGCTTCAGAGACACAGCGAAGAGGGGAGATGCAAGAGTAGACTTCACGGTGTCGAAGAAGGTAGTCTGGGACTTGGGCTTCACAGTGTTGATGGAGCTGAAAGCAAGACCCAGCAGACCGTCGTTGTTCTGGTCCTGAGTGAACTGGGCACTGATCTTGGAAGCAGCCTCGACAGCCTGGCCGGTGGCCGTGACAGTACCGACGGATACGGTGTCCTTGTAGACGTCACCACTAGCGGAGCTGCCATCGCCGTAAGAGATGGACCAGGTGTAGCCAGACAGCTTGGTACCGTTGCTAGGCTTGTAGAGGGCATGGCCAGATTGATCAGAAGAAGGAAGCTCTGAGGAGAACACCCAACTATAGACCATTAGTTCTAAGATATGTGTAGTTCAGATATACTGAGCAAAGGAGTTCACTTACAGATCAGCGGAGCCGGTGTCGAAGTCCAGGTTCAGGGTTGTACCACCGACATTAACGGGAGTGAGGTACTCCTCGTCGTCGGACTCGGGGACAGTGGTAGCAGAGCCGCTCTGCTGAGCCGCAGCCTCAACGTGAGAAGGCACGTTGGCACCATACTTAGCGAGCGCCCGAGCGTAGTTGTTGGCGAAGTTCTTGGTCTTGGTAGCTGGGATGGCAACCTGATTGACACTGAAAGTACTCTTCTTGCCGCCAGTGGGGATGGCAGAGGAGACAGAGGCCAGGCCAGCTAGGGCAACGGTGATTTTGCTGAAGACAACCATGGTGACTTTATTCAAAGAATGACTCTATAAAGAATGTAATAGAGATAATAGAGAAAGGATGATGGTGAAGTGAATGAATAATTTCAACTCAGCAGGACATCAAGAGTCCTTTATAGCTCTGGAGGCCTCGCCATGTTGAAAGTATCTAGACAATACATAGCACCAAGGATAGTAACTATCGCACGATCCAGGAGAAGGAGATATTGCCCTTCGGGGAAACTGGCCATGCCGATCTAAGAGATTCAAGGTCTTTGGACCATAAACTTCGAGATCATCACGGAGTCCATCGGCCAAGTAGAATGGGACAACGAGTGAAGGGTCCACCAAGACAGAGTCCAGAACCAAGCCAGGAATGACAGAAGCGATTGACCCGCGTTTCATGAAGATAAAATGGGGGCTGCTTAGGGATGTGTGGAGTCTGATGGCGCTGAATCAGTACCAGGCAGGCGGGGCAAAGCCAGCAGTGGCATTGCAGGGTATTCTGCTTTGCGCCTTGACAACGACAAGCTATCTTGGTTTCGAAAACGGAGAAGTCCGGGCCAAGGATAACACAAGAGTGTGGTTAAAGCTTGATACCCATTTGGCAGAGCACTGATGATCCCCATAAGCCCCGACGGCGCAGTATTAAGTGGGGTTTGGATGGGCCTTGTGTGTGGTGCTCCTGGTGCATTAGCGGAAACCCTGATTAACTCAGGGACCCTGAAAGCCAAACGGGCCTGGGGTGATCGAAGAAGTAATTAAGCCCTGACGATCATCTCCCATTATATCTTGGAGTCTATCCAATCACTGCCTGAAGGAGAGTATCATAGACTTTGCCCCAATTAAGGTAGTATCGTGCCTGGATGTGATGATGGGGGAGGCTGACTGGGATTATTATTGGAGGAGCCAGAGTACAGTTCAACATGATGAATCTGAGATTCTAATGGTTATATCCATGATTTGGCTAGAAATGATCCAGATTCGAAGTGAATAAGATTATAATCGTCTTAGAAAAGAAATCGTCTTATTCGTTATTTTTCTATCTTCTTTTCTACTAAAAGTTCAACCTTGGAAGTCTTGTTTCAGGATCTCAAAATCCAGACTGAATGTGCAATTTATCCCATAGTCTATTTAATAGTGACGATCAAGATGAATATTACATTTCTTTACTCCTAAAATTCGAGAAAAATCATAAATATTTCAAGCAGCCAAGAACAATCACTTAAACCCTACAGCCATTCCCGACCGGAGTCCGCGATCAGATGCAGTTCCCACATATCTGTTGGACCCTGCATAATCAGGATCTTCTCTATGAAAATCTTAAAACTGCACTTCATCTTCAAGTCGTGCATAAATTGCCAAGTAAACTTAATAGACATGTATCCAGGTGACTACGACGATCTCAAAGCCGATGTGACTTCAACCTCACTCTATGAACCATACCCTATTCACATTATCCAAAGAGTCTGCCTACGAGATCCTTCGAGATCGTCAGAACTTTTGCAATAACCCAATCCGGTGGAGATCAACTCTCATCAGATAGATCGACAATGAGTTGCAGGGCCCTGATTTGCATCTGTAATCGCACCTGCTATCTTACTTGCTCGTGATAGGTGGCATCTACATACGGGGCCATGCATACAGCGTGAGGTTGTCATATTCCAAAATACCGCCCTTAAAGGGTCCAAAGGCAAACGGGTCGGCAATTAGATCCTTCGGGCTATTTCTTGCATGTCGGTTACCTGAGTAGGTGAGTGTGCCATAGAGCCGTCTCGCGCAAGCTAACCCCACAATGGCCCAATTCCGCACCATACTTCAAGCTCCTCTCAAGGCCTTCAAGCCACCCCGTGAGCCTTATTCGACGAGGCTGATTTCTGATTTGGATTAAACAGACCCACTCAGAATAACGTTGGAGCCTTAAGGGTCTAGTATTAACATGTGAACTAGATCATAGCCGTCATATAGGATGAAACTCGGCCCCGCTGTACTGAGACCCGACGGAGACCGGCCAGGATGAATCTAGAAGCCTACAGAAGGAACTGGACAATGATTTATGAAACAATATAGACATTGGAAAGCAAGGTGGAAACCAGGAAGCTTTCATCTTATTCAGAAATGCCAGTAATTCATAAGAACTACCTTATTTGAGAAGAATGGAAATGAGAGGAGTAAAGACGTGTTTCAAAGATATTGCACCGTCATCCAATCACATCACCCAAGTCGAACCAAAAGATATAAACATAAAGAGGACGCCAAGTGTAGATCCCGCAGGGGTATATAGTTTAAACGGGAAAACAAATCGCAAAACGGAAAAGTACGTGTCACATCGGCTCGAGGTATTAACCCAGTGAAGTTGCATCCGGGATGATCGGGATTCATCGAGATCATTACATGAACTGAGAGGCCATGGGACCAGAGTCGCCTTCACTGGGAGGATTTCCATCATAGCCTCCTTCATTAAGCAGTACCTCTAGCATATCGAACTCGCCTAGCATCGGTCCGGTTCCACCCAGGCCCTGGTCAACCACTGCAGTAGAGCTATTGAAGAATTGGTCCAGAGGCAGTGCAAACCAATCGGGCAGACCAGCATTCGCCCCATTACTGTCGACAGCTTGTGAGGAGACGACGTGATTTGGGGATGAGCGCTCAAGGTCATTGGTTGGCATTGACGAGTTCGAATCATAGTAGTTGTAGTAGACAGATGGGGGAGGCGGCATGAACGAGACGTTCATGTTAGAGGAATTGATCGTCTGAGCAGGAATATTGGCAAGCGGGTCATGGGCCGATCCGATCGCTCCTGACGGGTGTCCGCCGGCGCTGCTGCTCTCCACATATCCTAGTCCGCTTGGAGTTGCATCCTGAGTAGAGGACCAGGGAGTCTGCAGACCATCACGACGGCCTGAGACATTGTCCCGTGGTGGTGACTGTGCTTGTGATCCTGGAGCGGAACCTCGGTCTTGACCCTCACCGTCTACACCCCGATCATGAGGTGCAAAGCGGAGGAACCGAGTTCGAATGCTACTGGTCAGCAGCTCCAGTAGTCGAGCGACGGTGTTACTGATGTGCACGTCATCGACAACAAAGGTACGAAGTGCCTCCACGGTCCGGTCTTGCAGGTCCAGCGATACTCGCACGTCATCTTCGCGAGCGCCAAGTGTAAACGTCTGCAGGCAAAGTCAGTGGCGTTCACAAGGGTGTCTCATATCGCTATAGAGAAACTTACTTTCAGGATGAAGATCATGCCAGACAGAATTCGGAAAAATGTCCGAATGGGGGCATGCTTCAAACGACCTCCTGGGACAAGTCCCTCGAGAACTGTCTGCAGGATCTTACGGGATGCATCCACAACCTCCTGGATGTATTGCTCGTTGACTCGATAGAGCTCCATCAGAGTCCGGAACCACCCAGTGCTACCGGGAGATGGACCAGATCCTGGTCGCCCAGAGGGATCTTGAGCAGACTCGTTAGACATTGTCGTCCAGCGGTCAACAACGGCTTGCAAGGCAAGTGAATTGACATAAAGCCCTGTCTGACATCAGTACTAGATCTTCCTTTTTCGTTGCCTCGTAGACTCACGTGTATACTCGTATTCGATCAAAAGAATGCTCCGCATGGCCGGTTTGACTATTGATTGTTAGTTCTTGTACAATATCTGCATTCCCGTGCCAACTCACGGTTAACACGATCGATGTGTTGCCTGAACTCTCGCAGCTGGGGTTGAAACCAGTCGATTTGCTCGCGATATCTTCCACTCTTAATCAATTCTGATGTTTGTTCACTCGATGCAAACAATTGGTGGTTCGCCTGGTAGACAATCTTAGAGATGCCCATCCAGCAGTCTTGCATCCTATCAATATCGGGGTTGCTCTCGTTGGGATCAAAGTTATTTCCTGGAACATCCTGGCCCCATTCGGGCAAAGGAAGCATCGAGGGAATGCCCAATCGTCCACTGCTGTGTGTAATAAAAATAAGAATCAATCTCCGTAGACGTCGCTTTCGCACTTGTTCAGCGGGCGACTCAGATGCCCCCTTTGAGTCGCTTTTCTCGTCAAAAACACCCAGTTCAAAGGCGAGAGCTTGCGCAGTACTGAGAAGCATCCATGACATCCGATCAGATCGCCAAGCTGGTTCCAACCATTTTTGAAATGCTAGTCTTCCTTCCGGTGACGTTTTGGCCTGTTCGCTGTCAGGATCCAAGTCCTTATCAGCGCAATTCTGAGCATGGGCATCGGTGTCTAGCAATGTGTTCTCATCATCACCAGGAGGAAAGTGGAGGTTTCGTGGATGCCAATCTGTGAGAATCAACAGTGCTTCAACGGTTCCCAGCGCTCTCAAATTTCCTTTCACGCTCGGTCGGCTAGAAGTTGGTGCCAAATCAAGAGATCGTGGTTTGCTAGTTCCGGGTCCCCCAGCATCAAATTTCTCCTGGCCCCAGAAAAGACGCTCAATCATGCCACGGAGATATGACCAAAGTCGATCATGGATATAGAATGCCCGAGTACTGGCACCATCACCTTTCGGCTTCAGATGCCTTGAGGCGATTGTGAGGATGGTCACGGCCAAGACCGGTTCTTCAGTGAGTAATGTGCGATGTTTTGAAGGATCAGAATAATCTGGCGTTACTACAGGGCTCATTGGCGCCAGGTTCTCGTAGTAATATGCCACATAATCCATACCTTCCTCTACTGTCATCCATCCAGCACGAACAAATCGCAGCCGTGACCATGCCCGAACAGCATCCATGTATCCCGGGTCTTGGGAATTGGTAGCTTCATCCTGATGCCCAGTATCACCGGCCATCTGAGGGTCCACCACGCCCGCGCCCGCGCCTTGATAGAAACCATTTCCACCGATAGACACTCCCGATCGGGGCGTCCGTGAAAATGACCCGCTAATATTTCCCGGCGAATTAACGTGGGCTAGAGGCGAGGGGCCCGAATTGAACGACGAAACCGATTGCCTCGCCGCAAAGCGATTCAAGTCCTCCGTTCGCCCCGCTGCCTCCGAAAGCAGGTGTAAAGCATCGTGGGTATTGGTGATCGCCGGCGATAGCAATTCCACCGCTGTGCGATTCAGCATAGGTGGACCACCATATCCAGGGACTGAGTTTCTTTCACTACCCGCATAACCCGACACACGCGGGTTTCTCGGTTCCATGAAATGTCTTGCCGAGGAAGTTATAGGTGCGCTCGGTGTATATCGTTGGGGTGCCGCTGGAGCAGCAACTGCAGCAACTGCAGCGGGTGGTGGAGCTTCAGGCCAGCGCGAACGAGCCCGAAACCCATCATTTGATAACGATGGCTCCGAGGGAATAAACGGAGGAGGATCATTGGAGGATTCTTTCTTCGCCGCGACCTCCCCGATCATCATTCGCTTATCGCGGCGTAGAACAGCCGGTTCCTCCTCCTCCTCATTCTCCTCCGGGGGCTCGGAGAGTTTACGCTTGCGACGAGTAGCGGAAAATTCACATCGTTTGCTTTCACGACGACATCGGACGCAGGGTGGGGGTCTAGGATTATCGACACCTAAGGAGAATTTTTTTTTTGTGATCAGTCAGCCAGTCCTAGCAATAAAAAAAAAGAACGATCGAAAGTGGGATGAAAGAATGCTGATCTCACTTCCTAAATCACACTTGACCTTGCGTTTGCGACATGGATCGCATGCTTGGTAGCCGCGTCTATGCTGCGGGGAAGGTGACGGCGATTTGCCGGGGTCATGGCCCACGCTATTGGAGTCTTGTCCCATGCTGGACTGGAGGAGTCGACCTATTCAAGCTTGAGTGGGTAGCGGGAAGTTGGGGAAAGCCGATGCAAAGCGAAGATAAGCTGTGAAGGAGCGGTGGGGTGTTGCTTATATGAGCGAGAACCGATTGGACCCGAGAACAATGGGAGTAATATGCACAATGTGTAGCAATAAATCTTAGGTATTAAAAGAAAGATATAATCGAAAATCTATAAGATCAAACTGAATACATGGGAGAATTACTGACATCAAATCAAATTCATCCTTTAATTAACCTACTCCATGGTGTTCATCCAGCCACCTATTTCCATTGTATAATAGGAATCCCATCCTGCGGGGTAAGGAAAACCATAAAGATTTACATTTTATATATTAAATTCAATTGGGACAGCTGGTAGTTGAATATAATTACGTTGTCATTGCGAATCATCCCAATGTTGACTAGACACCTGGGACTAGACTCGGAGCTCTATATCAGATGGATTGATATCAAGGTGTGGGATTGGATGTCAGTGGACTCGTCACTTGTTACAAATATACAACAACCTTGGAACTTTTTGGCGGCATACTAGTACTACTACGCCACCACGCCGCTGGGATCTCCTTAATTTGTTTTGATGGCTAGTCTAGAATGTTAGGACATACAATTTTGTAAAATTGACAGTTACCATTCTGACTGCGTCCCACTACTCTGGCAGGCTGCTTTACGAGACGAGTGGGATTACACATAAGGGGGCAGTATCATGATGTCTCTACTGCGGTCCGACGAACATCACCTGATGATACCGAACACTGCTATCTTGTACCGAAGAAAATGTTTGAGCGCCAGGCAGGCATCACCCCTGTCCTGGTCGAGGAGAGTGATAACGGGCGAGCGTGGGAGATCCGGAACGCCTCTGACAAGTGCAAGGATTTTTCCATGCGCCATGCCAACTTGGTAATGGATGGCGCAGTCTTAGCGCACCTAGTAGTCAATAGTTCTCCATCAGTGATCTTTCTTTGTGGTGTCGAGGTCGTTATCTCTCCAACGCCGCGGCGAACTTGAATGATTGGCTGTCATGCAATCCGTCCGAGTCATATATACCGACAGATGCCAGTGGAAGTACTAATTTGAAGCCCATCTTTAAATCTACAATGCAGTTCCGCTACTCCTCTGCTGAGAAAACCAATTTCGCGTGGGAGACGGCCATCCCTATTACCCCCTTCTGGGAAACATGGACCTACAAAGAGGCCTACCCGGTCCTCAAGGCCATCACCATTGAGGAGCTGGAACCTTACGACCTCGACGCAAAGTACAGTACGGCCTCCCAGGAGAAGAAGTATGCCGTGATCCTCGATATCCTACGAGAGAAGCTGCACCGAGAGGAGACTAAAGGCGCGACGCCTGATGAATTCTATACAACCAATTACAAGAACTGGGGCCAGGTATGGCTTGTTATCGGCTTCATCAACTCGAATCTCGGCCGGGTGAACAAGGCCAAGGCCGCGCAGCGGATTCTGGTCGAGAGACGGCAAGACCCAATGACATTGTGCCCCTAAACAACTTGTCCGCATTTCTGATTAAGCATACCACTCGGTATGCAGAGGGCAAGGCACTGGCGCTGCAGTCAGTTGGCTGGCTGGACAAGCGGGTCGGCAAGGCTTCTCTGCAGTCTATTGGGGTCCGCAAGAATATTGCCGAAGCAGACTAGAATCAGGGAAACCGCGAGGAGGCAGAGAAGATGATCACTGAGATCTTTGAGCTGGTTGAGCAACTCAAAGTAACCAAGTTTTCCGTGTATGCCGAGGATGAGAAGGAGCACGCGGAGACCTGGCTGGCGGAGCTGAGGAAGAGTGGATAACTCTGGACTGATCATTATATCAGCTGCAGATTAACCTTGGAAGTTGGACAAGATAGAGATCTGGCGTCGCAGCAATACCACTTATGTTGAGGCAGTTCGCCAATAGCTTAATGTTGCTGCACATATAGGCTCTTTCATTCAATCCGTAAGGGCTAATAGTAATGCAACGCCTGGGATATTTGAAATATTATGTCTTAGTAGCTATTCAGTCGTTCGATGTATTATGCACATGTTCTAATCTCGGCATTGCAGCAATATGGAATGCTAGAAAATACCATCACTGTTTATTAAACGGACCACCGGGGAATGCCACCAAATTAAGCAACTCGCGACGAGAGCGCCCGAGCTGCGGGTACTGGTGCTTTTCCATGATCCAATGCAAGATTTCCATTCATCTTGGTGACCACGTCCCAAGCTCTCCGAGGCTGGACCAATTCACCAGATGCAGCACTTTCAACGCTGCCTCGACGCGAGAGGGTAGGGGTCATTCGACCTGCCAGAAGGCCTCGAATCCCTCCTGCTTTACGCGCAGGAATCTCGGGTGTACTCGCGGTCAAAATATACAGCAGATACTTCAGGTTGGGAAGGGTGTGTCGGATGTCCAAGCCTCGAATCCCAATTTTATTGAGTAAAAATTCGATGTTTTTGTTCAGAAGGAAGACACCATATTCAAATCGATAATGAACGCTGACTGGGTACAGAGGAAATGTACGCTGCGGGAGATCTTGGGATATAGGGTCCTGGATCAAAGAGGTTGACTGGTTCGGGCTGACCGGGTAAGGAATGACCACAGACATATAGAATGAAAGTAGGTACACCAGGTGAGCTGTGTATCCTAGCGCCGCTGCAACCACTTCCCGGTCGATATCTTCGAAGTTGGAGTTCGGCAGAGGCAATCCCGCGATAGTAAATGCCAATGATTTATCAGCAATGGGCTCAACTGGATAAATCACCATTAAATCTTCAGCGATACGTCGGATCTGCCCTTTGGTGTCCTCTGAATTGCAATGCAGCAGCCGGTCACTGGAAACCAGTTTCTCTTGGGCGTCCGGGAGGTGGCTGCGAGCTTTATCCTGGGCAGTACGGCCTTGTTCCATAGCTTCCTTTCGAGACCTGATGCTAGAAATCAAATCTTCCTTGCGTTTGGAAGTTGCTCGGAGCTGTTTGCGCTCTGCGGCAATAGCTTGCTTTAGGGAGCTGAGACGATCTTGCGCCTGGGCTGCATTGCTCTCAGTAGATAAGGCTTCTTCATTTCTTTTGAGAATGTCGGCAATTTGTAACTCCAGTCTCTCTCGAGTGGCTAGCGCATCTTGAATGCATTCATCTAGATTCGCCAACCGCATCAATGCATCGTAAGAGGAACTGGGTAGTGCAGCCCCGGAGGCAGTGGTTCGTTTCGCGGCGCCATTGAGAGATGATTCCACTGGCGGGAGATCTGTCAGATTTGTGTAGACTCCGTCCGGGAAGTGGAACAGAATAGAATTGGCAGGAAGTGGTTGGTGGAAGCTTTCGATGGTTTTGCCCAAAAATTGAAGAGAGGAAAGGTCTAACTGTAATTCGACCAGCAATGCATATTCGGTCATCGTTTCTGTCTTAACCCACAGTCGTATGGTCAAACTGTCCATTCGGGAGACCTTAGGACCGCAAAGGTTGAGGTCAAATGACTGGAAGGTTGGATTGATAGCCTTGTTGACTACTTCACTAATGTAGACTGGTTCATCGAGGCCATCACAGTGTATTGAAATCCATGTATCCGCCATCCGGCTCTTCGTAATATCCTCCAGTCTGATCTGTCGGGTGCGAGGGTTGGGATCATTCCAAGGCAGGAGACTTCGTCGGCGCGGATTGCGCTTCTCAGCCATCGTGTCCGCATGACTGGCTTTATTCCCATGCGACTTGAGCTCGGTGAACGACCGCGATGGATGCAAAGGCCGGCTTTCTTTCTGTGCGAGTATCTTGGAGGGTGATCTCAGGTTGTTGGGGATGTCGTCGTCATCAATTGTTTTGCCGCGCGATCGATTTGTTGGAGTCACAACCAAATTGCGGACAGAGATTCCTTGCAGGTGACGGAGTTTGCGATTCTAGGATACATAGAATAAGTTCATGATTCTTGAAACACCTCCTATGGACGGGGGCGCCATACCGACGAATACAACCATGGCCGGTCTCTGCGAGAGCCGGCCTCATGTTCCGTGTCCGCGACCGTGTTATCCATCGGACGGGTTAGAGGAACTAGGCAAGAAGGAGAGAGGAGAGAAAACAAAACAAAAACAAAAAATCAACAAAGCGACATGATATTAATTTAGTAAATCAGAACAGAAAGAGGGTTGATGTCTTTGAAGCAAGCTGATAAGCCGATGCGGAGACCAAACGCCAAGACCAAGTCCGACCCCGTCAAAAAATCCACCTCTTGTCTTCGATCTCCCCCAAGTGAACCCATTCTCGATCGCTCATCTCGACTTCACCTCGATCGTTTTAGCAAATTGCACCGGAATTACTCCTTGGGTGCTTTCACACATTTCAATTAGGCCAAAATGGCCTCAACTACTAAGCCGATCCAGAAAGTCCTGGACTCAACCAAACTCGCGAGCTTGTCAAAATTTATCCGCAAACCTCCAATTGATCCCAAGGCACCAATCCAGGGGAAGGTTCGACAAGTCAAGTCCAATGCTTATAAGGAGCATGTGAAGCGCGAGGCTGGGCGATTGCGAAAGGCGCTGAATGCTCTTACACACGGAAAGGATATCTTCGCCTACCACAATGTTCGCACGAATCAGGTCGTGTATTCCCTGACACGGTACTTGGAGGTGAGTCGTTTTGAGCCATAGACACATGCGAATTATTGTCTAATTATTTTCATCTTCTGCCATAGAAAACCAACCTCCTCCGCCAAATGATTTACCACGGCAAAAAGACTGTTCCCGCCGAGCTCCGTCAAGACATGTGGACGCCCTACTACTCCGTCCACTTCAGCGACTCAAGCTTGGGTCTACGTGCCTACCACCTCCTACGCGAATTCTCGATGCAACGACAACTCGCAGCGCCTCAAGAGATGATCACCGTGACCGCAGAGTACCTTAATTCGAAGCGACCAAAAAGCCCTATCGAGGCAGAGAAGTTCGATCGGATCAACATGAAGCGTATCGGCCAAACAATGGAGAAGAAAGAGCGTGCTCGTGTACTGATGGACCAGAAGGCGACCTCTGTTGCGGATATTGCCGCTGTCCTGGCTATCCAGCGAGAGGATATTGATAATGGTCTGCTGGAGCGGGACGGCAAGCGTGGTTACCTTAGCCCGAAGGCACGCCAGCGCCGCCGTGAGCATTTCGAGATGGAAGAGAAGGTTGAGATGGCTCGCGCAACTCGCATTGCTGCGCTGGAGGAACACCTGAGCAATCAGGGTACAACTGTGAAGATTGGTGAGCCAGAGGGCTCTCGCCCTGCGGATCCCCGAGAAGTCAAGATTCTCTGGCGTGATGTACACGATGCACACTTTGCCGAGTCATGGATCTCGGGTGTGCAGCACGGCCAGCTGAAGCCCCAGCGTGGCGCTGTTATGTCCTCCGAGCTGCTGATCGAGAACCCTGAGATTGTCGCCGATGGTGAATTCGCAGAGCAGACTGAGGCGTCATCAGAGAAGAAGTAGTAAGCAGCGTTATTCTGATAATGGATCGTGGTGATCTGATCTTGTATCTGTTATACTTGGTGTCTGGGCCATATTGAGCGATACCCCCCACTGCTGGTGTCTTCATCCAGTTTTGACCCCAGGCAGAGGGCGGTACTTTGTACTCTTTTTTCTGTTCTATTTGTTTTCTCCAGCCTTTCTGGATCTACCTACTGCATAAATTGTATTTTTAGACATTTCCAATCACTATAGTGACGAACAAACGTGCTCAAAAGACAGCTAGTCGATTTTCTCTTCCATCTTAGGATCTGGCCAGCGCACTGACACCTCATATCAACTTCGATAGCAAACCAACCAGATGCTCATTGAACCATGGGAGTGGAACCTGGTCCACCAGGATGCGTATGGATCAGAGACCTGTCCACTCAAAACATATTGAAATGCCAGTGGGATGGTGGCCCGTCTATCCGTGGGAGATCTGCGCCGAGTGAGGAGAAACAAATCGACAAGTCGCTACCTAGATCTGCAAGAGGCCCGATATAGCACCAAACGAAATGCAAGCTAGGTTTACTCCTCTTGTTCGACATAATAATCACGAGGTATAAATACTGTGAGCTCTTGCCAGTCTTTCCAAGCTTCCAATGCTCTTATTCAATCCGCTGAACCACACTAGCACGCCCCGCCAGCTTGGAACCAACTTGATAAATTCATATCGCCAAAATGACCACCACTGAAACCATGAACCCAGGAATTAGGCAGTCATCTTTCAAGTCAGTCTCATCTCGCATTGTAAGAAGGCATGTGCTAACTTTTAGAATTAGGCTGACAGGTTCATACGGCGACTGGAGAGATGAACTCCAGTCTGAAGGTGTTGTGGTCGTCAAGAACGTGATAACTGCCTCCAAAGCTGGATATTATCAGCAGAAGGCCTTGGATTGGCTCCAATCATTCGGTACCGCGCTTGATTACAATGACCCATCTACTTGGATCGATGAAAACTTCCCGGTGCAAGGCAAGGTCAACAACTTCACTGGCTATTGTGTTTCACACGAGAAGTTCATGTGGGATGCACGTATGGAGCCCAGAGTTTTGGAAGCCTTTGCTAAAGTATGGGGCACCGATGAGTTGTTGGTCTCTTTCGATGCTGTGAATATCACCCTGCCCAATCGACAGGATAAACCGGCTCCGAAGCCGTGGCCTCATGTTGACCAGTCACCATTTAGACGTGGCCTTCATTGTGTCCAGGGAATTATCAATCTTAGCCAAGCTGGGCCTGAAGATGGTTCTCTTATTGTCCTCCCGAAGTCTAGCACTTTATCCGATCAGTTTTTCGATACGCAGGTTGATCCTTCCACCTGGTTGGAAAAGGACTTTCGATTCGTCAGTGAGGAAGAAATGCAATGGTATGCGGATCGTGGAGTCAAGCCAAAGAAGGTCCTAGCAGAGCCTGGGGATTTGATTCTCTGGGATTCCCGAACTGTACACTGGGGTGGTGAACCGACACCCAAAAGCGACACTATTCGAACCGTTATCTATGCATCATACTCCCCAGTGAGTCTAGCCACAGCCGAGACCCTGGAACGAAAGAAAGAGGCATTTGAATCATTTCGAGCAACTACACACTGGCCTCATGACAATGTTATCCTTCGTGACAAGATATTATATCTCCCTGATGGGACTGCCGATCCTCGCAATCGGTCCCAGCCGTTGGAGGTGCCTGATTACACTGATCAACTGCTGCGACTGGCCGGACTTAAGCCATATGGAGATGCAGTTGTGGAGACTACGGTGTGAGATCGCCAAAACCTGGCAGGTTGGCACATGTACATAAAAGGAGTACACTTGACACTAGCTATCAAACTCCTGCAGTTCATCTCCTGACTTCTCACCCTGCGCACTAGCCTGAATTTGTCGGATTGATTATTAAGGGACTTTTGGTATCATCGGACTTTGTGTCCTTTTCCCCGCCAGTTCTCTCTAGCCCCACTACTCCATCTTTTGGTCATCTTCTATACAAATGGAGTTCCCCCGTAAAAGAGCCCTAATAGCATGCCGATTCTGCAGACATAGGTGAGTCCGATCCATAAATTGCAAAGCTGGAGAACCTCAATCATAATTCTTCCAAGGAAACGCAAATGTGATGGCGAGCGGCCTAAATGCGGGTTCTGCGCTAGTGCGGGTGCTGAATGCGAGTATCAAGAGAATTCCACTGATAAGTATGAGATTGTTTTGATTGACCCACATGGATTCCTTCAGTCTTACAGGGAACTGATTGGAACAAAGATCCGAGGCAGATCAGACTCAAGAAATATTGCAGCGATTAGAGCAGCTTGAAAGTCTTGTTCGACAACAATCAACACTGATTTCAGCCTTATCTGATCGTGTACTTTCGAGCAATGCGAGTCCAGATAAATCGTCATCCCAATCTCAAAACACTCCAACTCACGTAAACAGCACCGCCTTATTCGTTGCATCGCCAGTGTATACATCATTTGCTCGCGAAATCCCACCCTCGGTGGATGTACGGCTGAGATACGATAACAACGAGGATGGACCGCTTCTCATTCCATTGGGTCACCAAACACCTACTGGAAATCTATTGACTCTTGACAAGATAAAAAGACTCATTGGAGAGTATCCACAAGATTACTTCTTATTTCTCGAATCAGAGCGCGAGCTACAGCCCTTGACACCACGAGTATCTTATGCAGCACTTATTGATAAGCTGAACCAGCACCGCGAGATAGCTGATTTCCTGGTCTCTAGCTTTCTCAACGATATACATTCTCAGTTTCCAATCCTTGAGCAAAAGACATTCCTAGCGACATTTGAGAAATTTTTGCAACCTAATCAGAAACCTGATATGTCAGCAGCACTCTGTCTTATGACTCTTGCCTTGGGGGAGATCTGTACAAACCCTAGTGCAACATTTGATATTGAATCATCTGATTTTGGGAATGGTACAGACTACTTTGCGCATGGATATCAGATACTGACAACTGTCGAGACGGCACCATTTTCAAGAGACTTGGCGGTACCGCTAGGATTCTTCTACGCTTCTCTTTATTTTCGGTATAGAAGTAGACCGCTCCAAGCCTGGAGATCAATCCACTCTGCCTCAACATCAGTGCAACTGATGCTATCATAGTAAGAGTACTCCTTAGTCTAACGATTGGTTACATGATAGGATGCTGATGACAATTAGTCTTCAAGATAGGGCTATCCTACCCGAGAAGCACATATTGATGGTACGAATTGCTTGGGCCTGCTACGTGCTTGAGTGGTGAGTCACATATCTTTGAGAAGAAATCATGAATAGTGATGCTCAGTGATTATAGCGATGATCTCGCCGAATTTCATTTTCCTCGAAGTGGGATCGAAGTTCTCGTGGACGATTTACCATTTCCAGAATTTACCGACTCCGACGACCGCAACAATCTTAAATTCCTCGCCATGTGTTCCATCCGAAAGCTTTTAAACCGCATACACAGTACCATGTATGCAAGCAAATCAACAGAAGCAAACGGGAGCATCTTCAGCAGAAGATTCGGGAGAGCGGCCAAAGCATATAACCAGCAACCTTCCATAGCTTCACTCGAGTCTGTCAACATAGAGCTTAGTCGACAACTCAGAGTATGGTTTGAATCCCTTCCAGATACGATAAAACCTGATCTCCAAAATCCGAATGCTCGAGATCTACATGATAGTCAACTCCGAACCCGATACTATGCCACAAAACATGTGATTTGTCGGCCCTGTCTTGTCTTTGCTGCACAGTCTGAAGAGACTCAGTTGAGCGGGTATGTGATGGCCAATTGCGAGAGCTGTGTGGATAGTTGCCGACATTTTATTCATGCCACTGTACCGCTTCTTAAGAGAAGGACGCATTCAACTTGGTTGAGATTACAAGCGTTAGTTGAACAAATGTTAAGATATGCTTGAAGTATGAAAATTTCTGACATGATTCTGAAATAGGCTACTAGCTGCGGTATTTGTCATATCAATGGCAAAGGACACGCCGACACTTGCACCGCTCGTACCAGACTTCGATGAACTTATTGAAGAAGCGATATTGTGCACTGAGCCCTGGGCTCGTCATCACGATACAGCGGATGCAATTTTGGGGATTTTCAAGACTATAAGACAGAAGCTTAGGTTTCCGTCTCATGAAATATCCCGATGAATATCATTATTTACGCTAGTCTTGACAGAGCTTCGTAAGGAACACAGAAGTACATGCCACTTAAGACGTAACCTATGTGAATATTCATCTAGCCGCCATAACCAACGTATGCTTTAGACATCTTCTCGCGGACCCACTTATTTATGACTTTGTCAGTGATGGATCAACATAGATAGAGATAGGAAGACTCACCTCGCCTGCCTTAAAGGGTGGCCTGCAAGCAGGGTTATCTTCGGAAGTATGGTTATCCAAAACAGCCACTGTGGCATCGTAGTCGATTCCGAAGAAGAAAGGAATCGAGTAGCGCTCCTCGCCGGAGATGTTCGTTACCCGGTGAATTGTTGATTTGAATTTTTTGTTCGTCCTGTAGGAATGAGCGATCTCGCCCAAAGTAAACCAGTATCATAGATTCTCACCAAGTTGATAGGCAATCAGCTATATTGACAACCAATGTTCCTGAAATCGGAGGCGCAAGAATCCATTCTCCTCGGTGGTTCAAGACTTGTAGCCCTGGAACCTTTCCCTGCGAAAGAATTGTAAAGCACTCCCAATCCTTTTATGACCATAATTATTAGTCTATCGATCGTTAGAAGACGGTAAGCCACTCACTGTGTGTGCGCCAAGTCCTTCTCGGGCTTCTCCAACTGGCTGTGCTGGATAGTGCATCATCCTGGAAGTGACACCCGGCGTTCGAATTTTGGAGTCAAAGTAGTCTTCTGGTACCTGCAAAGCAAGCGCAATAACCTTCATCAGCTTGCGACAAAATTCTAACAATGTGGCGCAGTATTGAATGTAGGTTTCCTTGAAGCCAGCAAGCATATCTTCATTGGGCCATTGGTTATCACCGTATAAACCATAGGGGTCTGCCTCGACAACCGCATTGGTAGGTTTTTGAAAGTCCATGGACGTCTCGTATCCCACATCAAATGCTTCTGAGAGAACACCTGTTGCGTCTTCTGCTGATACGGGATCATCGTCTGTTCCTGTTGTCTTCTCGCCACCTATGGGACTGTAGCCACGGAATTTCTAATATGAATTCCTTAGTTCTCGGATTCTTCCAGCTTTCAACTAAGAAAGTAACAAATGAGACATACTTGAGAATTGCCAATATAAAGCTTCATTTTTTGTTCCTCTGGGAGAGCGAAGAAGGACTCCGCGGCACGATGAATGCCAGTAACCATTTCTTCGGGGATTCCATGATTCTAGGAAGTGTAAGTGAAATGAGGAGCAAAGTGATCAATGGTTCTCTCACCTTGATATAGAAAAATCCGACCTGTGTACATGCGTCATAAATGTTTCGAGCGAGCTGCTGACGTTCCTCGGGGTTTGAACTATTCAAATACGACAGATCGATGACCGGGATCTGATCACAATTGGCGGCTTGGGATGCCTCAGCCTGAGTTTGATCCATGATTTTCAAAGGTAGCTACTAGCAGTAGTTTGGAGATGATCTTGCGTAGGGGTATTTAACTCCAGATGGTTGTGGTGCGGAGGTTGCCGTGAGATCAGACGCTTATCTCCCCGCCATCGTAACCCCTCCTCCAAGGCTGTTGATATGTTGATTTGCCGATTATTCCAGTTTATGACTATTTGTCATTTTGTGTTATCACTGAGTTCGAGATATGGTCATCTTACAAAATATTCTTTGTAATCGTTCCCCTCTAGTTATTTTCCAGATGATACCTATACACTTACATAGTTTTACTTTACGGCCGCCTGCCCAGTGCTTTATCATTCAAGCAATCTAAAAGTTGATCGAATAATAATAGACCAAATGAATTAGTCTAAGCATGACTCATCATTGTCATGCTCTGTGAAAACTACTAGTACATGGGCACAGCCAGCAAGAAGTCTCCTCTCCCATCCTTATCGATACGGGTGGCTAGTCCGTGAAAGCCAGCTTGAAGTACCTACAGAGGTCAGTGAAATGAACGGCACGTGGGTTATTGGGACGGGTATGCCTTACCTCTCGTGGAAACCGGAGGGAAATACGCAGACCACACGCTCCCGTCTGTCATAGAACCGTCTGCGGTTCCCTTTGATTGCATCCACCTGGACCAATCCATTGAGATAACATTCCGATGAGCCCTTGGTGTCCCACTCATAGTCGATCACCTTATTCTGGAACACCCTGCTCAGTACTTGCAGGGCCTCAAGGGACACCGTGGGTCCGGGGAGGGAACGTTTGAATTGAGGGCTGGGAATTCGGTGAAAGAAATCTAAGTCATTGAAGCAATCATTCATATGTGCTTCAGTTAACTTGAATGAGGGATCTCCGAGCTCCTCGCGGTAGTCCTGTTCAAAAGCAGCAGCTGTTAGCCTCAAATTCAAGATCAACTTGAAGGTGATGATGCGCAGACTCTGGATATATTTACCTCTTGAAGTGTCCGAAGAATCGAGACGACCGCTCCAGGGTGACCTCTGGTGATATCGAAAATTGTGTCCTTTGCTGTTCCCTCCAAACGGAGCTGCGGGTTCCAATATGAGTATGCAGAGTAGCGGCGAACGACATCATCAAACTCTTGGCGCGTGAAATAGAGACCGAAAGGGGGTGCACTATCCATACGAGATGGCAGGATAGATACTCGGTGTTGGGGGAGAAAACGTCCAGCATTAAGGAGAGAGTAGGGATCTTGATCGGTTCCTGAAATGGGACATCCATATCGCGAGAGAAGACATATCTGGACCTTGCATTCGCGCTTCAGTGCCTTCTTCACAAGGCCATTCCAAAACTCCATATCGTCGAAGGATGTCTCTGCATTGTCGATAATAATCACATAGTCGCCTTCCTGAATATAGGTTGGCTGACCGAATTGGGAGTCCTGTTTGAAGCCAGCGCTCATGATTTTGAACTCATATCTTCCTGGGGCTTTCCAATTTTCGAAGTACAGAGCAGTGATATTGTTGCGCTCATAATGCTCCTGCAAAAGACGCGCTAGAACGGTTTTTCCAGAGGCAGGAGTGCCTCGAACGTGGACTACGCCAACGTCATAGAGGGTTTGTGTGAGTTGATGCAGTGTGTCTGCACGGGGGGAGATAAGGGAATCTATCAAGGTTAGTATGTTAACAGGGCTTTGATGCGACGTGACGCATTTGTTAAAAAGTTCATACCCATCTTGTTAATATCCACAGAGGAAAAAGGCTGGAAGCTGCGCTCAAAGCTGGGTATTTAACAGTGATTAACAGGATCAAACCAAGAAAGAGGATGAGAAGATGTTAGGTGTTGTTAATGATCACCGGAAAAGTAAGCAATTTGAAGTGTTAGGCATGGTAGGCTGGAGGAGTCTCGGTTAGAACGCGCCTTGTGGTATTTGTTGTGGACAGTCAGAAGAGGCGTTGGTGCCTCACTATAGAATCGTCTCATGTATACGCCTATAAATCCCGTGATCTAGGCGGATGCACTGATATACTCCGGCTATTTACTGAGAGAGCACAGATTGTTATTTTGGTCTGTTATATGGTATCTTTATAATTATAAGGACATGATTACATATCTTTTGTATATTAACCTTGGAAGTGCTGAGGAAGATGCCCTTTAAGTTATGCGGTAGATAGCTTAAGCAACGATATAGAAGTTTTGCTTCATGGGCCTAACTCGAGGTGATTTTACTAGGTGGTAAAGACCGTAAAGTGGTATATAATTGATTCAGACATACTTCTTTTATCTCAAAATTAACCTTCAAGTTCAAGAAAGGTGATATACAAAAAGACTAGGAGATAACTGCTCAAATATTTCTTTAATATTCAAAATATAGCATACAAAACTCTGTGCCACATGTGCATAGTCACCTCAGGACTTTCAAGGTTATATGATTTAAGCCTCTGTGGCGTACGTCAACTGGTAGGGTTTATTAATTTAGGCAGTAATTTAATTAAGTTTGTCTAACAAAGCCGTTGTTCCAGGTGGTCCAAGCGTTTTAGACTTAGTGCTCTAAGACTTTATCACTAAGACTTTATCTCTTCCAAGATTTTTCTCTGATATTGGCGTATAGTACTAATATAGAGGGGCACCAGAATTTTAAGGTATTCATCATCTGTCTTATTACTTTTGTAGCCATAGATAATGGACCAAAATATAACCTTGAAATACATAGGGGTATAGTCATTTTGTTGGCCATTGTGGACCGTATGATTCAATCGCATACGAGCAGGGCCACAAAGAAGTCTGCCGGAGAGCCATTGGTCCTTTTCTGGACAATTAAAGCCCCATCTTAAGTTGAGTCGTGAGTTCCCAGCCTCTCAACCAAATTATTTGTCGACGCGGAGTCTGTCAAATCTGCCTGATCATAATCCGGCTCCCTCCTCTGATGGGCGATTGCGATGTCCTTGCTGCCACCAGAGTGTCCTTTCTTCCCAATTGATGACAGGTAGTGAGAGTTTGATTTTCCCGTCAAAGTTCCAGTGACATGCTTGCGCCAGATAGCTTTGAACGATGGCACATTTGCGGCGGTGATGGCGACATTAAGCTCGATGGCTGAGATAATGACCATTTTTCCGAGGGTGTAAGTGAAATCCGGGTTTACTGCAAACTCATGGAGGACGATGATGCGCAGACAGGATACCAACACTGCGATGCCACCGACGGTGATGGTGGCGATGATGGCCAGTCGACGGGTAACACTTGCTTGGATCTTCCAAAGGGGGCGAATGGGAAGGATGAGGATGACAAAATCCATGAAGATGCACTAATAGTGTATATAGATTAGTCACAGTTTGTTGGTTTTTGAAAGTGGAGGCCAACTTGAAGTGCTATGGGACTTACCAGCGTGACGGGAACATAGTAGGTCACTGTTGTTGTTAGGCACTTAGCGTCAGGGTATGCTGCCGCATCCCAGAACGCTGCCAAGGGCAAACATTGGAGACAGTATAGCAGCCATAAAGAGAGAGAAACTGAAAGATTTAGTCCCATCACCGCATATACGCTGTAGGTGAAATTCGTATTGGTGACTAGTCGCAGATAGAAGAGCAGGAATGCCGTCTTGATGATAAATTGCATCCAGATATACATGATCTCTTCCGCGAAGAGAAGCTGTACGGGGAGAAGTAAGGTTAGACTATCACTCCGTGAAACGGCCAGACTGGAGCGATTTTTGACTGGTAGTAGTAGCTTACCTTGGTCAAGGTCAATATATCTTCCTCGTTAGTCACGAAGGAGATATGACTAGAAAAGAATTAGCTGAGACTCCGAGTTCAAGTCCATATCAGACGAAGGCATTGAGACATACACTCCACCTCCATAATGAAGAAACGCACAAAACATTCCCTGTTGTACTGTGTTGAAAACCTACATGATCAGATTAGATTTGTCCTCTCTCTCAACTGTCAGAACAGCACTCACTAATACCATGACCATCCACCAGTCATCCATGCCAAAGACTTCGATGATCCATCCTCGCGAGTAGATGCGCGAGCACGTCGAAATGGTTCCAATTACCCAGAAAATGAAAGAAAGAGCATATGCAGCCGGCTGCAATGATTCAAACATTTTATTTCCATTCACCTTCACGACGACCAGGGGACATTATGGTAAAAGACGGTCAATATCATGTCAGGGAAGAAAAATAAGCAATGGGGCTAAGGGTGTGGTAAAGCAAGCTTGTGCAGAAGGCTAAAGACTAGACAAAAATAGTCTAAGTCATCAATCCTTCAAGGCTTCGCTAAACGGTGTTGAAGAGAGAAGAGACAAATACGCGTCCAATGAAAGAGCAAGGCCAATCCACTTTTGTCTTTGATCAACGTAATGATTTTATTCTTCACTCAAAAGAAGAGATGATTCTCGGCGATATCCTCCATCATTGGACACTTCAAGCGAAAAGGACCCACGCCGTTTCGGTGACACCCCGAAGTCCCCGACCGAGTCATTGTCAACGCGGCACATAGTACAATGGCTAACACGGCACTAGGCCCGTTCCGCGATGGGTCTTCTATTGTTGCGGGTTTCCCCTGAGCACTAAAAAGCCACGAACCAATCTTTGCCTTGATTTCTGCTTTCATATTTGCTCATGTCACTTGGGCTCGGGAATAAGGGGCTGTGGGGGAGTTTATGGCCTCTCCACGTGTCGAGACCGTGATGTTTTAAAATGCGAAACACTTTCTGTGCAACTCGGAGCTAGAGAACCATCTTGAACCTGGTCGAGAGTCTTCTTGTGAGGCTATGGCTGTGGCAACGACCATTGCGGGACTGTTGAGTCCATGTCCTTTGCACAGTGCACCCACTTTCTTCGTCCTTGGAGTAGCTTTTCATCAATGCATTCGAATTCCCGAAATTGACAACCGAATTTTCTCACTTTTGGCATTGTACTTGACTGCGTGGTTATCTTTGTGCGCCAATTATATCTATGTCTACTCTTTAAGCATACCATTTGCCATTGGATGCGCACTGTTTGCCGCATTCTGCTTCAACCTTGGACTCACATTAAGTATTCTAATTTATCGAGCCTTTTTCCACCGTCTTGGACAGTTTCCGGGCCCATGGGCAGCCAAATTGAGTCGTTTGTCGACGGTTAAGCGAGCGATCCATCGGACTCAGTACCACCTGGATCTTCAGGAGATGCACGAAAAGTACGGCGATTTCGTGCGTACAGGACCTCGTGAGATCTCGATCAATCGCGCATCGGCCGTTTCCACCATTTATGGGTCGCCATCGCCTTGTACAAAATCTCCTTGGTATAGCCATGTATCCGACGATAAGACAATGACTTCGCTGAACTCCACTCGCGATCCTGATGTACACCGTCGCAGACGGAAGGCTTGGGACCGCGGTTTCAGCATCAAGGGTAAGAATTTTCCTCATTTTGTCGTTGTACTGCCTAGAGAATTGAATTGCTAATGGAAGAATAGCGATTGCAACCTACGAGCCAAGCGTTCGCAGCAAGGTCAATGTTCTTGCCACTCAGATCCGTGCCAGACTAAACAAGCCTGTGGACATCTCCATGTGGACGATGTTTCTTGCCTTCGATGTTATGGGTCTTGTAGGATTTTCTGAAGATTTTCACCAATTGGAGGATGGCGTTGAGCAGGCTGCTATCAAGGAGCTTCACCAACAAATGCTGTTTCTTGGAATTTTGAAGCCTTCGCCATGGATTCTGACCATCATTGGCGCCATCCAAGGTTTGGTGGGTGACTATGGGCAGTTCATGACTGTCTGCACCGACAGAGTCGCGGATAAGAAGGCGGTAAGCATAACCTGCAGCTTCGATATAACGATTTAGCTAGTCCGTTGCATCAGACGCTAACACGCGACCACAGAAATGGGCCGCACAACCCGAAGAAGCTGGCGAGAAAGTCCCCAAGGATGTCATTTCTTGGCTACTGAAGGCTATCGAGGAAAAAGACCCGAATGCCCCGCCAGGTAATCAAGCGCTCAATGAGGATTGTCGTCTCATGATGATCGCTGGAAGGTTCGTCCATGCATTTTTACAGCACTGTGCGCCAAGGTTCCTAACATTATGACAGTGACACCACGGGTGTGACTCTAGCCCACGCGTTCTACTATCTCGCCAAGAACCCAGCTAAGTACAAAAGTTTGCAAAAGGAGCTCGACAATAACTTTGGAAGCAATTCGGATCCATCGCAATTCAGCAACGACAAGCTCAAAGACCTCTCTTACCTTGAAGCCGTCATCAACGAGACCCTCCGCCTCAAGCCTGCGGTCCCTAGCGGTCAGCCCAGACTCACTCCACCTGAAGGTTTACAGATTGACGAAGTCTGGGTCCCAGGGGACACGATCGTCGTTCTGCCGCAGTATGTTCTTCAGCGGGACGAGCGTCATTTTCCCTCCGGGTCGGAATTCATTCCCGAGCGATGGCTCGATGAGAAGAACGAATTGGTCAAGCATGATGAAGCATTCTTTCCATTCCAATTAGGTAAAAAAAATTCTTCCACGCCTTAATTTTTCATATTCATGGGCTAACTTGTGCATCAGGTCGATACGGCTGCGTCGGAAAGCAGCTCGCACTTATGGAACTTCGAGCTGTCATTGCCCGATTGGCGTACGATTTCGATCTTGCCTTCGCACCTGGAGAAGATGGAGTTTCTTTTGATGCCGATTCGATGGATACGTTCACTTTTACTATTGGCTCATTGAATTTAGTCTTCACAGACCGTGCGCGGAAATAGTGTGGACTGATTGGTAGATATCCGACAAGCCCCTTTTGAATGGGGCTATCGCACGAATTTTAAGAGCCACTTACGAACCACAATGAGAAGGCCCTGTAATACAGTACATTATGATAACTTTGATAAGCACTTGAGAGATCGGATGCCTGACTCTTCATATTGAACACGAAATTGCCACAAATAGAGGACGCCTTGAACCATAGACATCAACCTTACTGATTCCTGCTACTTGATCTAGAGGATAATCCAGTGAGTGGGTATTAGTAGCTGAGTAAAGAGATGAGTGTTTGGGTGAGTAGGTAGGCTATGCAAATTACTGACCCCTGATTGCTCCGTAGATCTCCAGGGATCTAACCTTGGAAGCACATTAATTTTCTTTTGTTTTAGGGATAGTTGTACTCGACAAATACTAGTACTGGTAGGGTTATCCCTACTAAATGACTATATAGCAGATGTTCAAAAATCAGATCAGTTATTTTCAATATTCCTATATACACACTGTACTTCATGAAGAATCTGATATAAAGTTCAATGCAATAAATCCCTTAAGCACTTCCAAGACTTTCAAGAGTACCCACACTGGACCACACACGGGAAAGACCCTGCGGCAACAAAAACCTGAAACACACATAAAAGAAGGGGGGAAACACACTCTCTCTGCTCCACGCGTCAACGTGTACTCTCCCACGCTCCAATCAGCGCCACCACTCCCACACCGCCCGTTGATCATCCATCTTGCCCCTAATTGCCCTTCTGGCATTTTTCTTTCTTCACACACCTCACCATAGTCACTCATTTCAAATCCATTTTCATCATGGCAAACGCTCGCTCTTCTCAGGATGAACGCAAGCTCGAGGGTGGAAACCCTCCTCCCGCTCCCAGCAGCGGCTTGCACCCGGCTTTCTACATTGCGTAAGTGTCTCAATGCCATCCCCTGCTCTCAACCACCCTATTCTAACATATCCCTAGTTTGTGGATTGCCCTTAGTTCCAGTGTAATTCTATTTAACAAGTGGGTTTTGTCATCTGCGAAGTTCAGTAAGTTTTCAATTCTTCCATCCCTCGGCTTTCCCAACCTTGGAGTAACAGACCTGGCTAACATATTCTTTCTTTAGACTTCCGTAAGTTTTGCCCTAGAATCGCCCTTTTTTCGCCCCGGAACTTTCATCCGCATATTTAATTCGATCGAAGAACCACACCTCTAATATCAATTCTCATCCAGCGCTTTTCCTGACAACATGGCACATGGTTTTCGCCACCGCAATGACCCAGATCCTGGCCCGCTTCACCACGATTCTGGACTCCCGCCACAAGGTTCCAATGACCCCGGCCACCTACACGTGAGCTCTATACTCGAGATAGCAACAGATTTGGAGTTTGGAAACATGAATTCTGACATTGCAATTGTTGAACAGTCGCGCCATTGTCCCCATTGGTATCATGTTCAGCTTGAGTCTTATTTGCGGTAACTTGGCCTACCTGTACCTCAGTGTGTCCTTCATTCAGATGCTGAAGGTGAGCTCTCTTTATATGTGACGTGGAGCAACATATATTAATCCAATATTTTAACAGGCCACCAACGTTGTCGTGACTCTGGTCGCTACTTGGTCTTTCGGCATCGCCCCGACCAACTTCAAGACCCTCGGCAATGTTGCCATCATTGTCTTTGGTGTCGTCATTGCCTCCTTCGGTGAGATCAAGTTCGATATGCTTGGTTTCCTTATCCAGGTCGGTGGTATCATCTTCGAGGCTCTGCGTCTTGTTATGGTCCAGCGCCTTCTGAGCTCTGCCGAGTTCAAGATGGATCCCCTGGTCTCCCTCTACTACTACGCCCCGGCCTGTGCCCTCACCAACGGGGTTGTCACCATCTTCACTGATCTTCCCCGCCTGACTATGGCCGACATCTACGGCCTCGGTATTGGCACTCTCATTGCTAATGCTCTGGTTGCCTTCTTGTTGAATGCTTCCGTCGTCCTTCTGATTGGCAAGACTTCTGCCGTTGTCCTGACCATGGCTGGTATCCTGAAGGATATCCTGCTGGTCTGCGCCTCTATGATGATCTTCCGTGACCCCGTCACTCCCGTGCAGTTTTTCGGTTACTCCATTGCCCTGGGTGGTCTCTGCTACTACAAGCTCGGTGCTGAGAAGATTCAGTCCCTCAGCACTGATGTGCGTCTGCAGGTCGGAGAGTACCGTCGCAGCAACCCCGCTAAGGCCAAGGGTATTGCTGCTGGCGCTGTCGCAACCGTCATCCTGATCGTGTTGTACGCCGGTTCCTCTCCCTCCACCCAGCTGACCAACTAAGGCAGCTCGCGGCAGTATACGCTACTGTCAACGACCGATTCTTCGCATTGTATCCGGTTTACGTTATGATACTGTGCTCGACAACTACAGCTAATTATTTTCTTTTCCAAAGCTGTTTATCTATTTGATTTCTCTGCTATAGAAGGGATTGCATCGTCTTCTCTGATGGAGGTCTGGATGTAAATTTGGGTGGGATAGATTACGGTCCGCTGGGATTCAAGGCGAACACAAAGATTTCAGGCTATGTTTTCTCGCTACGTTCTAATGATTGCATTTTCCTTTGCCTGGGAGTCTTGAGATACCAATGGACATTATTAAATGATGAGACTCTTGATTCCAATTTCAATCTAACCTTTGCTTTGCACTCAAGCTGAGACTCCAAGTTCTGGGGTTCGCTTTTCTGTCCGTAGTAACCGGCCTAGACCCACACCCACTACCCAAGTGTGGAGGCATGTACAGCTGGCATTGGCAAGATACAAGTACATATGAGCAAGGACATCTGGAATTGAAAACTCAAATTGTACATCTTGGCGCGAAGTCGTACCCAAGTGTTGTTCAATATTCTCATCCCGAAAAGATCTACTCAGGAATTACCAGTCTTCCGAGTCGGCAAGCTATATCGCATGTAGATTAGTCTGAATTGTTACGCAAATGATAATTTAGATCGCGACATTCAGGGGCAATTTCTATGCACAGCCTCCTCTGTTCACATTCAACCTCTAGTCTATATGTAATAAGGATATTTCGTAAAAGTGCGCAGGATTCCTGTACACCGGCATTATGCCGAGCGGGGAGGAATGGAATAGCCGGATCCTCGAGACGAGATATTATCATTAATGGGTTAAAAGGTCCTTAAATGCGGGGAAACCAAGTCTAGTTAACATAGTAGTGTAAAGGGATGTCATCGGTATCAAGTCCGGGCAAGTGGGTATATTGAGCTCTTCCATCCTGATTCCTCATATCAACTGTCTATGAATCAACTACAGTCTACAGTCCCTAAGCATTACTCAATATGACATCTAGGTGAGACTATCATCATTCAGGCGCTACGTATATTGAGATCACTAAACCCATCATATAACAGACAGAGAAACGCTATATACCCTGACTTGAAGAATCAAGTAGCCGTGGTGATAGGAGCAGGTCAAGCAGGCGACCCGACCTCAAAATTCTGGGGTAATGGCGCTGCCATTGCCAAGATATTGAGCGAGTCAGGTGCTAAGATAATTGCCTGCGACATGAATCTCAAAGCAGCAGAACAAACAGCTTCTCGGATTCAGGCCGATGGAGGATTCTGCGAAGCTGTCCAACTCAACGCGACCAGTGCCACGGATATCAACCACACGATCAACCAAATCGTAAACAAACACGGTCGCATCGATATCCTCGTTAACAATGTGGGCGGAACCAAAACCGGCGATCCTGCCACAATGAGCGAAGAAGCCTGGGACTCTCAAATCGAGCTGAATCTAAAAACCGTCTTCCTCAGTTGCAAGGCTGTGCTCCCGATTATGGAGAAGCAGGGATCCGGCTCAATTATCAATAATGCGTCCATTGCTGGGATGCGATTTCTCGGTAAGCCGCAGGTGGCGTATGCATCTGCCAAGGCAGCGGTTATCCATTTTACCAAGGTTTCTGGCATCATGTATGCGAGTAAGGGTATTCGAGTGAACTCGATCTCTCCTGGGATGGTGTATACACCTTTCTTGGAAAAGCTTGGGAAGAGCGAGTCAGCTGACGAGAGAGAAATCTATAAGAAGATTACGGATCATAATATTCCTCAAGGTTCCATGGGTGATGCTTTTGATGTTGCGAATTGCGTGGCATTCTTGGCAAGTTATACATCGAGATACGTCACTGGGCAGAATATTGTTGTTGATGGAGGGCTGACAGGCTCAACTGGCACTGGTGGCACATTTTCATCGAAGCTATAGTTAGAATAATATGGATTTTTGCCATGATCTACTACCATATACTACCATATTGGAAGTCCCGAGAGAAATGGATTGCATAAGTACTAGTATGGTGGAACTTCCCTTTAGATGACAAGAAAACCCAGACTAAGCAGTTGCGATCTCTTTATTACAGCTATGCACAATATTTATTCGCCAGCCATTGTTTCAAGAGCACAAGGTTAAGGAATGGACTTGTTTTTATGTACTTTAAACAGGTCCCTTGGTGGCGAAACTGGTTAGACAAACGCCACTGACGGAACAAACAAAGATCACCAGTAGTTTATTTGTATACTAGCCTTTTTCTGTAAAACAATAGAATCACAATTGCAACATTTGAACATTTGAAGTATCCAACGTCATATAGATGCAATACTACCTGCAATGATTGCTGCAAAGAACACGCCGGGTTTTTGGGGATTGCTCTCTGTTATAAAAAGACACTCCACCCCTCCACGAGTCTCTCTTCTATATCACGATCCTGAAGCTTCATCATCTTCACTTTCATTCTCTTTCTCAATCAAAATACATTGAAATCCTCCAAAACATCCACAATGGGTATTCTCAACAAGGTCGAAGAAGCCCTGTCGGGAAATCACAACTCCAGCAGCACTACCAAGACCACTACCACTACCACCACCACCAGCGCCAACAACGGCCCACACAACTCCGCCCTAGCCAACAAGCTGGATCCTCGTGTTGATAGTACTCAAGGTATGTGACAGCCTCCCCTTTTTGGAATCCATATATTCTAACAGCTTGTTATCAGCCAGCTCAACCCATGCCCATCCCCCAGGTGGCACGATCGGCCCTCACGACTCCAACATGGCCAACAAGCTCGATCCTCGCGTGAATGCGAACGCAGGAAGCCGTGTACCTGCGCAGAACATCACACACAGCACCGGCCCAGCTTCGACAACCGCAGGTCCCCACCATTCCAACATGGGCAACAACGCTGATCCTTTCATCGACTCAGACCTTGACAACAGCGTTCGCCCAGGTGGCCATGCTCATGGTACAGATGTCCACAGAGAGCCCGCTTCAGGTGGATTTGGATCAAGCAAGTGGAACCATGGGCCAGCTCCAAACACTGCAGGACCTCACAAGTCCGACATGGTGAATAAGCTTGACCCTCGCGTTGATTCCGACTTGGACAGTCACGGTGTCCATGGAGGAAACTCCTTGAGTACTGGTCCTGCTTCAACAACTGCTGGTCCACACAGTTCAAACCTAGCCAACAAGGCCGACCCTCGCATCGACTCTGATATGGATAATCGAGCTCATCATCAGGCTATTGCAGGAAGCAGCTACGGCAATCCTACAGTCGACCATACCCCCGGTATGACCTCTCATAACCCGACTCACAAGGTTGCGGATCCTCGTGTGGATGCTGTCCCTGAGAATCGAGTGTCTGGTACTGGTAACCAGCGCTTTTTCTAAGTCTCGAAAATTGGATTTCCTTTATTATGACTGGCATTCAATGCTTGTACGTTTGAGACTTGATATGATCCAAGAATTACTGTTGAGATACATGAAGAATGTTATGCTTGAATTAAACCCCTTTCAAATCCCTGGCATCTCACGAGGAAGGAAGGGTGCCTACAGAATAAATTTGACACTCAAGAATGAATCAAACATTTTCTTTCTGAAAATCTATCCATATTTGTGTGTCTAGTTAAATACACCAGGTGTGTAGTCAATTGCTTGTACCTTCTCAATAATCCCATCTAAACTCTTAATAAACTCCTGGTGCACAGGATCGAGATGAACATAGTAATCTCTGTCTGGTGCATTTGCAAATTCAACAACAAAAGCATGAGTTTTCCCATCCTTCGAAATGATAGATGTGTCAGTTGATAACTCGAGATGAATTGGATTGCCTCTTGGTTGCACGTACCTGAATACCTTCAGGAGAATTATCAATTCCACCAGATGATGTCTCAATATATGGCTTCTGGGATACTGGATGAAGACAGTTCTCTCTGAGCTCGAGCATTCGCTTGCATGTCTAATATCATAATGATATTAGGTTTCATCCAGTTGAATCTTGTTATGCGGCCCAGGATCATACGTCATTGATTATGTAGCTCTCAATACCAGGTTTGAACTGGAAGAGCACAATGTGAATGATCGCCATTCTTGCTGGTGATGAGTAAGGCGATAGTTTTGAAGAAGATAGGCGTATCAGCAGCTGCAGAAATTGATACAAACAATAGTAACAGCAGCTTGAACTTGGTGAAGTCACATTGAAGCGGGGTTTGATTTGGTGGATTTCCAACCTTGGAAGGTTCCGTTATTTGCTGACGTGATCCCATAGTACTGGAACACATAGCATTTCCTCTCTATTTGAATATCATCGATAAAGCTTCTTGAGTAGGTCTTGTGTTTCATTTCGAAGCTTTGTGGTAGTAGGGTTTGTCAATGAAGAGATTTGTGTGTTGTATACCCTCTTGAACGGTCAGATAGCTAAATCATCTTGACGGAGAGCAGATAGCCTTAAGAGGACTTCGACTCATCATGATATTAGTAGCATATTCCATTCCATAGTAAATATAATGATTACCAATTGATTGATACTATATGAATTTATCACAATTGAAACTTGACCTTGAAAGTAAGCTGTCAACTTTCCTATAAGCCAGTGGGGACAACAAGAAGTGTCGGATTCTTTTCCGGTCACCATTTTCCTGACACCATTCAAATGTTAGTGTCCCCTATTTGAATTCTTTCTTCTCAGTTTTCCGCCTTTCCATTGCATTTCAAGTGTTGTTACAATGAGCCCAATGAACCTTTTGAATGACCCTATCACTATTGAGCAGGTCGAGCTTCTTGCTCGGCAAAAGCTTCCTAGCCAGGTCTACGATTACTATGCCAGTGGAGCCAATGATCAGAGGGTAAAGGACTCAAATACAGCTGAATTTGATGGGTAAGTGCCAGGAAAATGGGTGGTAATGCTGGATGATGATGCTAAATGTTTTCCTAGTCTATACATTCTTCCCAGGGTTCTTCGCGATGTCTCTTGTGTCGATACGTCGGTGAACATCCTCGGCCATACGTATCCCCTTCCCATAGGAATTGCCCCTAGTGCAATGCAGCGACTAGCTAGTCCTGGTGGTGAGCTAGATGTGGCTCAGGCAGCCTCTTCAATGGGACTGAATCTTACTCTTTCATCGAATTCCACCACATCGCTGGAAGACGTGATAGGAACACTTCATGAATCAAACGGACCAAAAGCGGGCCCTCAATTCTGGTTTCAAATTTACCTGCCATCGAAGTTGGAGCTGAGTATTCCATTAATCAAAAGAGCTGAAGGTATGATGCCCCTGACTGGATTGAATAAAGTGCACCGCTGAATCAATTATAGCTGCTGGGTACCAAGCACTCGTCCTCACAGTAGACTCGCCAGTATTCTGAAGCCTTATCAACGAACGACAAACACCCTTAATTCTTCCCAGGGGGATTGAACTGGTCAATATCGCAAAGACCCATGGGCCACGTCCAGGGAAACCAAGTTTCAACCGTATCCTAGCAGATGCACGCACTAAGCAACAATACGATGAAGGCCTTCGTGAAGCTGAGGGTAAAGAAAATAATGCTTCTCTTACATGGGATTCAACAATTCAATTTCTGCGCCAAACTACAAACATGAAAATCATTCTCAAAGGTATCATGGCACCGGAAGACGCAGAACTCGCGATTAAGCACGGAGTAGATGCTCTCTAATCATGGTGGTCGCCAGCTAGACTGCGTGCCATCAACAATCAAAGCACTACCGGAAATCGCCGCTGCTGTCAAGCGCAAAATTCCTATCATTTTTGATGGGGGCATACGTCACGGAAGTGATGTTTTCAAAGCATTAGCTCTTGATGCGGACTTGGGTTGGAAGACCCATACTATGGGGTCTTGCTTTCAAAGGGATGAAAGGTGTTCAAACTGTGATGAATATACTGGAGCGAGAGCTGAGTCGCACAAGGGCGTTGGCCGGTACAGCCCAAATTCAAGATATAGATGCATCATTTCTTCGACGGTCTGTTGAGGGGCGATTAAGCAAAATATGATCATCTTCAAATGTCCAAATACACGCTGGGCTGACCTTGAAGTATTGGGTATTTTGTGTCTCTAACTTAGCAGGAGTGGGATAAAATAGCTTAAAGATCCGTCACAGCTCATATTCATCATCTCCATCGTTGTCTTGTTTGATCGGGTCCTCCCTGCCATCTTGCCAGCTCGAGCAATTCATACATCGGGAAGCCTACTCTTTCGTCAATTCCACTCTTAGAATCAAAGCAACAGGCTCATTAAGGTACCTGACCTCCACACTGATGTACTTCTTGCAGTACCTGCACCTCACAGTAGGCTTGATAATTTTGTTATGAGATATGAGCATGTATAAATGCGCGACCGCGAAAAGTGTCAGGCTGATACCCATGAAATTCAATAAATTCTCAACGAACCCACTGTGTTCCATATCAGTCACATTATGACTCTTTTTTCTATTCGTATTCGAGTCCCAGCATATTGTTGGGGTCGGTGATTGTTACTTACCCCCAAGCTAAAACAAGTGCACCATCATCTCTAGCCTGGCCGACGGTATTATACCCCTTTCGAGGATCATAATTAGGACCTCTAGACAAGACCGCAAATTTCTGATCCATGTTCCGATTCAAAAAGGGCAAAAGAGAAACAATCGGTAGCACGATATCGGATACGAAGGAAGTGACAACTTGCGTGAATGAATTCGCGATTCTAAAAATCCATATTAGCACCAAAATCTTGAACATTTGAATCATCATTAGTATGAGAGGGTCACTGAAATGATATATCACACTGACATCAAACCTAGAGCAACCTCGAGGACGTTATCCCGCGCTGCAAAGTTCAGAAATGCATTCCACCCATATTTAACCTGTTCGCCGGCCGCCTGGCCAACATGAATTAGGATGTCGGTACTATCATCGAGACCGCGCATATTGGAAACTTGGAATTTGGGGAAGACAGGCGGACGTAGGGCGAAAAGTTGAATTTAATCCCCTTAAATCGGGCGAGCATGATCGCCCGCGTCATTGCGCATAGTTATCAGTCATGCGGAAGGTTAATGGGGCGAAGAGCATTGATTCGACTCGCTTGGCATGAGGGGCTTCCCAGATACTTCATCAACTCAGCCAATAACGTTGTTTAACGTGAGAATATGGGAAGTTATTTTTGCTTTGATCGAAATTATCGTATCTGTGTGTTCAAGACGGGAGATTCTGTCGGCGAATAGTGTGTGAGGAATGATCTGGGCTGCGTTGGTTCTTTATCTGATCCCGCGTTCTGTGGCTGAGATCGACGTCAGAAAGGGTCTTTTGCGGTGTCTATCCACGACGATCGTTAACATTCATGGAATCAGATGTGAACTTGGAATCAGACTAAAATCCAGTTAACGAGAAATATTTCGATAATGCTTGAGGATCAAGCGAGGTGTATTATAGTAACTAGTAAGCTATCTAATGTATGACTTTCCAATCCAGTGAACAAATAACGATCGAAAGGAAGATCCAGGAAAAAGGTAGAAGGTAGAATACAGGATTATGATCCTGACAACATGAATCGACAGGACACAGTAGAATAAATGGGATGAGGGAAGGTGAGAAGGAAGCATATATCCTGCGCCGTTCACAGAGCGCTTGAAATGAGAAAAAAGAAAGAAAATATATGGAAGATTTGTTCAGTATCTTCGACGCCAATTTAGCAAGGGCTGTCATAGTGAGACGACCCGGACTCGGTATGACTCGTATGAGAGAGGTGAGAGTCAAAGTTGGTTGTCTCGCCGTGAGGACTGGGAGTTCGATGTTGCCAATCTTGCTTCTCGCTCGAGATTTCCTGTTGGCTGATATTGGCGGTGCCATTTTTGCTGATGTGGCGAACCCAGACCTTCTCATGCATGACCTTAAATAAGGGACGCATGTTGGAAAGACAGGCGGCGACGATACCCACAGCGGGTTCAATGCAGGTCCACACACTCGAGTTTACTTGATTATCTTTTTGGAGTCAGTATCTTGTCGGTCGGCTTTGTTCAATATCAGACTTACATGTAATGTCGTCTCCGGATGTAGAGAGATCAATCAGAGCAATCAAGCGAACAATATCAAAGGCCAAGGTCCTTCATCTGGTCAGTATCCGATCCGGTGATCTTGAGGAGGACGATGACTTACAGAAGTCCCACAATGAAAATTCCGGAGAGACCCATCTTCTGAGAACGGGAAATGGGAAGATTCCAGACAGTGTGCATGGGCATGACGAGGATGATAGCATCTGTGACGATGTTGGGGATCTGAAGTCCGTAGTAGTATTTGCCAAGATCCATACATGCGCCTGGTACTGTAGGGTCCCAGAGCTTCTTAGTAGGCATGCATGTAAAGCAGCCGGAAAGGATACCACAAGCAGCCCAAAGGATAATGATCATGCCCACAACATTGACCGCAGCTTTCATTGCCTTTGTTGGGAAGAGACGTCGATAAAGCATCAAGATGGATAGCTTGATGCATCCGATACAGCCAGTATAGAGAATAGAGCCGGTAAACATGGTCTATTGAAGAGATCAGTAAGACTTCAGGAGCATGGATGCATATCGCACTCAGAATTCGAATTACCTTAAGGTAGACCACGAGTTGGTCCGGTCGAACATATTGGATGTGGGTTCCAAGACCATTGTATAACACTGTAAGGGGTTAGCCGCCGGGCAGAACACTCAGGGAAGATGATGGGTATACATACAGACAATACCTGCAATCGTGATTCCATATTCAAATAGCTTTCCCATAGTTAGTAAACATATCTTGGAATTTCTAGGTGGAATGATTGCATACCAAAGCAAAAATCATGAGAATATCGTCGACAAATAGACCTGAACCATTGACCTTTCGAGAAATGATTCGAAAAGCAACTGCAGATGTCGACAAAATAAATGCAAAACAAGTGGAAGTTATGACTACATGACGCAGGTTGTCATGGTCGTATCCACTCTGGTTCTGTGAAATGGAAGACATGATGTTGACAGGGCAATTCAACTCAACGTGCAGCGCAGGATCAATTGCCAATGCTTTTCAACTCACTTGGAAGGGATAGTATAGAGAACAGAAGTCCCAGAACGAGCGTGGAGTAGATAGCCCTCCATATATGTACCAGACTACCGGGTTAAACTAGAAAACAGACTTTAGCGCACGGTGGATAGATAGGTCTCAAATTTATTAAATCATCATGGCGATTGAGTGACTATTCAAGAGTTGTTATGAATTCAGTGCCACCTTGAACGGGATGTAATAGACCTATCGCACCCTTACATGCATCCAGCGATCATATACGCCGATCCTGGACGATTCTAGCCCTGATGGGCCTAAGTTGCGCCCCTCGATTGGGCTAAGCGGCTGCCGTAGACTTCTGGGGAGAGACTCCACGCCCCCACACAGTCGCCGAGGGAGCGAGGTGGGTAGTTCATCCGTGAAATTGCAGTAGATACATCACTTGCGGCGACTGTTTAGCCAATCGCCCCCTTCTCTTTGACCTTGCATACGACAATGGCGAGTTTTTGGGTGGTATCATGCGGGGTCTCCGAGTGAACTATTGCCCCCATCGGATCGTCGTCGCTAAGTTGTTCCCCGGTTGACGGATCTTTTCAATGCAATTGTCTGCAAATATTGTGGAGAATCCGGAGATCTGGTTTGCCCGATCGTGCGATCGTACGATCGGATTCTCTTATTCTCGGACTCAGATCGCCATGATATGTTCGAAATGACATTTAAGCCACCTGGGCAGCTGTCAACCCCTCCTGGCCCGTTGAAATTAGATTTTCCTAAAGAATTCAATAGTGAGAATAGCGGATCTAGCATGCGTTCTGATGACATTCAGAGTAGCAGAGTAGCTTTCGATAGAGTGAATTTGTCAGGCGAGGAGTTGGAAGTGAGTCTCTCATTCATTGTGGTTCGGAGTGCGGACACTCCGTACGGAAAACAACTCCTAAATTCTAATCGTCCAAGTCCTTAGACCCACAATATGCTGCACAAATTATTGACGTTATGAGATGCAGTATTGTCCTGCTGCAGAAGATCAGTTCTTTTGCTCTGGACTTTTCAGGAATTCATGATCTAGGGAGATCGTCGATTTATTGGCCCGGCATTATGCGCCACACCTCCGAGTGGCGATCTTTCGACATATCACTACAAGCAACCATCAGCATCCCGGTTAAAGTGTGAGTGCTTTGCCTGCAACCATGCAACGAGATGCAACTGGCATGATATTGGCATTGAATCATGGCTGCCTACACGCTACCCATGAGACCTCAACTTGAAGATGTATTGGAAATCAAAACTCATACAGTTCATTTGTGTTGATTAACGAACAACAGACGTGTGATGTATAGATTTAAACATCACAAATAGTACTATTTGAAATATGGAATGTATCCATGGATATCCTCCACTTCAAGTCCCAGGTCTGCCTCAACTATCTGGTGGTAGTCTCCAAAGAATTCAGGCTCTTACTCTGAAATCTCGACAACCAACTTCGTACAGCTCACTCCACGAGACAACATATCCAGTCCGGCATTAATCGCCTCCAAACCTTTGCCCACAATCTTGAGCTCTGGACTTGGTCTAATAGCCCCGCTGGCCAGATTCTTCCTCGGCCATCCCATCCAATATTGAAACTGAGCTAATCGCTCCTCTTCTTCCAATGAGGGAAACACAAAAACGGTCTCTATGCCCTCCATTTCTGTGCCCGGAGGGATGACTGGTGCTGACGCAATCATCGCCTTTTGTCTCTTCCCTGCTTGATTGTCTCCAACAAAAGCCTTGAGCACAGCCTGACACAACTCCAGTTTCCCATTCGCAAGAAAGCAGTGTCGAATCCCCAAACCATCCACTTTCGCCGCCGAAACAATGATATCAACGACACGCGGCTCTTTATAATCGAAGACGCGATCGGCGCCTAGAGAAGCTACAAACTGCATGTTCACCGCACCAGCAGTGGCATACACAGCGGCGAAAGAAGATGTCGGATCTTCGCATAATAGTCGGGCTGTTTGGACGCCCATCGAGCCCACACTGGAAGTAGCACCCCATATTAGAAGAACATCACTCTTTCTAACCGGAGCCGGAGTAGACGAGGATGGAGTTTCCCCGATCCGTGAAATTCCCATCAGATCCCATGCGTTGAGAGGTACCTGACAAGAAACAGGTAAAGATGCCGCTTCGTTCCACGAAATACCCGTATCGGGAAGAGGTATGACATGTTGCCAAGGGACGAGACATCTTTCCTGAAAGATGCCATAATCTGGGTCGAAAGATCTCCAGAATGAGGCGGAATATCCAGCAACACGGGTAACCCCCGGTCGGAACGAAGGGCCCAGTTCATCATCGGTCGTATTTACAGGGACATTGTCACCAACTTCAAGGACCAGGCCTGCGACGTCGAACCCGATCACTGTAGGGTATGATGGTATAAAGAGACCCTGATCACGCATAATGCAGTCTGCCGGATTGAGTGCTACGGACTTGGCTGCGATGAGAAGCTCGCCTGGACCTGGCTTTGGGGTTGGGCGGGTTTGAAGTTCGAAAGGCTGGCCCTTTGCGAGACAGACAGCGGCGAGGTGTGACATTTTGGAATTTTTGATGAAACTTGAAAGATGATTCGAGATGAAGAATTTGAGTAGGATGAACTTGATCTTTATATAGAATAAACAGAGATATTGTTACAAATTCATCATTCACATTCTCCTTCTCGGTCATCTGCTTATACATCGATGCAGGCATATTCACAACCAATCAGATCTCTCTCCATCCGACGACCAGTTAGTGTGAATTGTGGAGATATGAATCGGGGGCGATGTGGATCAATTTCACTACCACTTCTCTTGTTCAACACCTTGAATTCATCAATCTTGAAGAAATGACTCATGATCAAACCACACAGGGCACTATATCCCTCACTGTACCTCCGTCCTGTTCGCGGGAAGTCCGAGACGGGAAAAGTCGGCGAAGATCGAGATTTGGCTGCCGGAATTGCAAACTTCGAAAACTTAAGGTAAGCAGGCTTCCAAAGAACTAATTTCAGTCATTAACTAATGTCATTGGGTAAATAGTGTGATGAAGGAAAACCGCAATGTACAAGATGCTGTTCATTTGGAGTATTATGCAACTTCATGTCTAATATCATCGATCTCCAGCCCATCGGCGCTGATGCGGGGCGATCATTCACAGTTCAAAAGAAAATGAAGCTTCAGCCTCCTCTCGCAAGTGCTATCTGGACTTCCGACGCATCTACAACATATCAATTGAGTTCCAGATGTCAAGACTTTATAACTCGGTACTATAGACGGAGTCTCCTCATCCCGGATGATCCTAACGTGATCGAAGTTAATCGCAAACTCTTTAAGCTGACCTTCGCCGTAAGTTTAGAACAGGATCAATTTTCTTCCATGTGACCAAAGCTGAATTCATCGTGCTTCCAGTATCCTTGCCTAATGCATGCGTCTCTCGCTGTGGCACTTACATATGATCGCCATTTAAACGGCCCCTTAAGCTCTCGTCGAACTGTAGAAGAGTGCTACCACTGGTCTCAAAGCACTACTCTCCTTAACAAACGATTACGAGAACCTGTCAAACCAGAGGACAAGGACCCAATTTGGGGTACCGCGGCTGCGCTGGTTATCTTGACCCTCTCATCCCCTGATACATGCACACCAGAAGAGGCGTGGCCTCTGAAATCCTCTGAATCCTCAGATCTGGACTGGCTTCGCATGAGCAAGGGTAAAATGTCATTATGGGACATAGTTAATCCACTACGGCCTGATAGCATTTTCTCCGTCATGGCGGCAACCTACGCGGTTATGAACTCGCCATTACCAGAGAGAGGAATAGATGGTATACCAAGCGCATTGGCCACTGTTTGCGATATGCATGACCTTTCTACCGCGGAGGAGAATCCATATTTCTCTGCTGCTCATGCCGTTTCCCGGCTCATGAGTCTCCCGGATAGCCAGGTAACAACAGGGCATGCCCAGGTTTTTATTTACAGTATTCATGGCCCTTTCGAAAATTTGCTGCGCAGGAAAGATCCCACAGCACTCTTGCTGTTATATCTATGGTACCAAAAAGGTTGTCGTACTATCTGGTGGATTGCACTCAGGGCGAAAGTGGAATGTCCTTCGATCTGCCTATATTTGCGACTTTATCATAGAGACAACGCCACTATACAGAACTTCCTTCGAGAGCACTCGACAATCACTTCGGCTTGAATATTTGAATGAAATTGTCTGTGCCTACGCGTTTTCTCTCTGAGTCCGTCTTTGAACACACTAAAGAGCACTTCCCAGCCATTTTTGGCTGTAGGCGGTAATGCGGTTTTCATTTTGGATGCAGTGACGCCTCCCCGTTGAGAAATCCATGGGGGAAGCTCGTGTAGATGCCAGCGACGTCCTCGCTGAAACAGTCATCCATTCAGGATTTACGAGCCCTGGAGACCCCTTTTAATTCTCCGTTGTACGGTGTGATAGTATGCTACTGGCAATAGCGATATCAAATCTTGACAACCCAAACGTAGCTTACTTATACTCAATTAACCAATAACTCGCATCATAAATACACAAAAAACCTCTCAGAATGCCTGGGTTATAACATCGCTTCGTTATAGGTACAAAATCTTCACAAGATTCACTGTACAAAGATTCATGCTATGCAACCCCACATCATTTTGGCGGAGGTGGGAAAGTCATCGGCGCAGGGGTAGTATAAGGCGAAGTCAAAGTTGCACCTCTCTCATAAGCAACCCGACTTCGCTTCTCTTCTCGCTTCTGTATCTCCTTTTCATTTTGAATCAGAGTACAGCAACAGCAACAGGTTCCCCGAACACAGTCCGAGGCAAAATCTCCATCAATTCCATACGCCTTCCGTGTTCTACGACGCTGGATCGTGGAAAAAATCCCTGCAAAGCCAATATTAGTATCTTATTCACTTCCGCCGTGAGGTTAGATTATGGTGAACTTACATTGACAACCACATAAAATAGCCATCCCTGTGCAAGACCCATTACATGTCTCATAGCCTAGCATATTGGTCGGATCCTCTGCTTTAGACTTTCTGTTGAGACGGTACTGTGTCTTTCCATAGAGAATACATGGGCAGATTAAACCCAAGAGACATGCGCCGAAATTATTCGAGCAGTCGCACATTCCGTAGGTCCATCCTCCTCCTCGTACTTCTTGTACTGGATGCATTATTTGACCAGGCTGGTGGAACGCTGTCACGTCTTCCGATGTTGGTCTTCGTGAGGAATCTGTGGCGGCTGGAGGTGGGAAGGAGGGAAGCTTGGGTGACCGTAATGGATTTTCGTCGGGTCCGACTGTCATGGTATCGCTGCGGGTGGGCATTTCGGGATTTGTTTTGATGGGAAGAGGTCCTGGGGAGCTGGGAGGCTGACTGTAATCTTCCTGTTGCTGTTGTTGTTGTTGATGGTATTGTTGCTGTTGATATTGTTGCTGTTGCTGCTGTTGCATTTGCATTTGCATATGCATATGCATCTGCATCTGCATCTGCATTTGATGCTCTTGCTGTTGGTGCATTTGCTGTTGATACTGATAAGGGTACTGGAGAACAGGTTGCTGTGTGTATACTGGGGACTGCAGCGGCGAGTGAAGCGGGGATTGAAGCGGCGAATGAAGAGGCGATTGGATGGGTGAGTGGACGACGGGTTGGACAGCATATTGCTCAACGGGCTCGGCGTAAGGGGCAAAGTTGGCAGGATGTTGATCTGGTGGTGGATATTTTGAGTATGTAGGGATTATGCCCTCTTCTTGTAGATGCCGTTCTTTCTCATTAGGGTATAACTTCGCTGGCTGATACTGCGCCGGTCTAGCTTGCTCAACGATGGTCTGGTACTGGTGATGCTGCGCAGCCGAATTTGAGTCTGCATGGTATTGATTTGCTGAATGTCCATCCACAGGAGAATCCATAAAAGAGTATCGATTATTGTGACTCTGTTCAGTGGCAATGTCCTCCAGCTGGACCGGCTGTAGTAAGCGACTCATATTGGCGCAGGTTGGTCGTACGACACCTTTTTCTATACAGGTAGTTGAAACTTGCGGATTTGGATTTCCACAAGGGTCACACAGCTGCGAGTCTAATCTTCACAATGGTATCAGAGTTAGAGGGGAATCTGAAATTGTCGCTGTAAGGCACGACACATCGAACTGCTTCCCCTGGTGATCAACATGTGCGGCACGCGCTCGGCTAACAGGATTTCCGTGGCTTCCAGATGGGGTAATATATTGCAGATCGAGAGAAGAAAAATTGAACCAAACTCAGGTTCATAGGAACCTTTTGGAAGAGGGGAAGACCTCTGTGTGATGGGAAGGCATCGGGAAGTGTTAGACCGCCAGAGTGGGGATCCCAAATGAGCTCTGAGGGGGTCTAGGTTAGAGATCCTCGTGGATACAGTGACTTGAGTGGCTGAAAAGCTCGAGGTTCGTCGGGGAGCTAATCACTTAGGGTGGCCCTTGCACCGCTAATGCATCTTCTTCACATTGATATCGATTTTGGTTGGACTGGGACCCGCCCGGCACATCCCGTTGGGCGTTATGGCCCCTCTTGTCACATCTAGTCGATCACACCAAACATCCCCTCTTCTTGGGTGATGACTGGCCGCGTATGAAGGCTGAATTATTCTTGAAACTGGGAAACTCCACCGGGATTTCCCCTCTACTGGAATTTTAGTGGACAGGATCCCTCGTTCCCCCTCAATTCAAGCCGGTTTCCACAATCTCGGCGCTTCCATTGGACCCAGATGGACGATTTCTGGCGCATTATTATTTAACCAAGCGACATTTTCATTTAAAAAGACGAAAAGCGGGATAATTCATTGTGAATGGTCCCAAGTTACATCTCCCTGTCAAGCTTTTATAAAGAATTTTAAACTAACTGAACCGTCGGCCACCGACGTCACCCTTAAAGGCTGACTTGATGAATATTGTTTTATTTTACATGAGAACTTGTTACTCTGGATGAGCTCTCCATATTTGAGTGATTTCAAATCCTCAACTGGCATTGATCGGTGGCTGGATTTAGTGGATGACACTCTGGGCATAGTCCGTATGATGGACAGGCTGCCTATGCAAGCAATGCATATGTATCACACACTTCATCCTAGCATTTACTAGTCAATGCATGGAAAGACGGGATAGTTACCATTGTACTGAAATCTTTTCTCATGGATGATAGGACTCGGAGTACTCCGTAGTTCACATATCCGAGTCCTTAAAAAGAAGGGATTTGTCGCTCCCAGTTTCAAGAATCTTATTATTCTTAGTATTTCAACTCAAATGTTTCATCTTTAATCTTCCTTTTGAAACCCCCAGCTCAGAATGATTTTAGTCGGAAGAAATGTTGCCGCCTTAAAGTCCCAAGAAAAGGGCGCTTAATCATGCACGCAGATAGGCCAGTCAATGCGAAGTTACCGCTGACAAGCCCTGCAGCACTACTAGGTAGTATTAGTACCCGTAGTAGTACTTCTGTGAGTGAAATTCGGAGAGTATATAATGTGGATATATGACCTCTCATAAATGTCGTCATCTCTGCATTTGAAGTCAAGTGGTGGCGGACAGTTTTAGTGAGACACACTTCAAAGCAATAGTCTGAACTATTTGCGACGAATATCTGAAAACAGCGGCTCCTAAAACACATGTGCACAGCCACAAATTAGAAGCTTCGTTCACAGTATTGATCGATCTCATGTTTCATAGTCTTCAGGCGTCAGCTTTGAGAATAACCTGAAACTCGGACAGTAACTTGAACAACGTATCATGACTTGCCGGTATATTTAGTCTTTGCCAGTCCAGGTGTGAGCCACTCCGAGTCCGACTCGAAGCAAATGAGACCAAGTCACCCAACAGCCTCACTCTTAGTCTGCACAGGTAGACTATTGCTCCAATTCATAAAAGCCGATTTTGTATTTGAAACTTGCACGTGTGAAGTTCAACTGTCATTGGTTGCCCGACAATTCATCAATGGCTATATTTATGAACTGAGATGTGTAAAGGATCATGATGTGTTCTCTGGTCATATTCAAGTTGCAGTTCACTCTAGTCAACTGGTGTAGAGTGCTCACTTGCTAAGGCACAGGTGTTTCATGGAAAAGTCGCTCTCAAAGATGCCACCTCCATATATCCATGGGAAAAAGTGGCTATTCTTGATTGATCTGAAACTTGTCTTATCTTATGGCTGTCGAATAATCTTGAAACCAGTCAATCCAAGTCCAGTTATGTATAGATCAAGTTCAGGTGGGTCATTGTGTGATCCACCATTATGAGTCTAGACCCGCATCTGGGTTGCCATGGTTTGCGGATGGAGAGATCCATAAAGTGAGTTTAATCACAAGAATTGGCTTACTGAATGCGGCGAGATGGAGTAATTTTGTTGATGTGTTGATTCAAATTTGTGATGAAATTTCCAATATTGACGTTCCAGCCTTGGACATCTGCACATGTGGAGTTATTTGTGCTCTGCCGATTTATACTACGCAATACCTTAGTAGCAAACATTAGCACCTGGCACTTGAGATGTTTCAGCCTGAGGCCTCATCTCCGGGCCTCCAACTTGAACTTACTGGGTTCCAAAGTTTTTGATTGCTGCTACATATCTACTTGATCAAAGAATTATCTAGATATGTAAATCTAAGATAGCCCTAGAGTGCAGTACTGGATTGAAATGTTTCAATGGTACTACTACTACTAGGACCTAGGTACTAGTATGATTACTGCCCAGGTGGAATTGATAGATGTACCACCGAAGCAGTGTATAATACTAGTACATACTACATAGTATAGATATCTCAAGCGCCGCCTACTAGTAGTACCTAGGTACAAACTTTGGAATATCAATCCCAGCCATAACATTTGAACATACTAACATTTTGAAGTATGTACTAGTAGTAACCTTTGAACGTTTGAAGCAATCGAGCTCAATAGACCTACCACTGGCGTTATATGTATGACGCCACATGCAACCAGTGCTGGAATAGTACTAGTAGCCTGAGGGATTTTTCTCAACTACTCAATTTGCTAAGCTGCTTGGCGCATCATCCTGTACACGTGGGCATGGGTACCAGTGGTCTTGCCCTGATGTCCTACTATATCATGATGTACTAGAGATCTCCAGGTCAGGATTCAAGTTGATTTTAACTTTAGACGTTGTTATTAGGTATGTATCAGCTTGAGGCGAAATCACAACAATAACATTCACAGTTCGAATATGCATCTCCATCTCCATGTGATAGGGCTGTGAGATCTAATTGGTGGGAATCTATTTGTAACGATTGTACGATTTAATATGCCCGAATCCACACTCGCATGAGCCTTCAGATGTCTGAATTATTTTCCAAGACATCATGATTCGAGTTTGAAACATTATGGTTATTAAGTTTTTCAAGTTACTACTAGTATATCTTTCGGACTCGGAGCAGGTGCCTAGTCTAGGCAGTAATCGGTACATGTATTTCACAATATTAAGGTTGGATTCACCAACCTCACATGTACAGTCAGCTGAGCAGAATCAAGGGATACTTTCAAGGTTAAACTTCAACATGAAAATACAAGGTTTACTCTGTATTACCAGGTACCAGTTTAGACATTTCCATATAATCATAAACTATACCCAGGTGAGCTTCCTGGTGAACCATTCCGTGATTCAGATATTTAAGATCGTCATCATTCAATCTGTGGCACACCGTACTCTGCAGGGAGTAAAGATAAAGACAACACAACACGTTCAGAATGTTACGGTGTGGGAAATCCCAACATTCAAAGTCATTGAACCAATCATCAGGGATGGAAAACCAGGGGGCCGGCCCGACCATTTAAAGGTCACGCCTATAAGTATCTGCACACATTGCACGCCAATGAAATGAGACCGATGATTGGTAGGGAAAAGAAGAGATCGACCCACGAACCTAGAAGTTAGATATCCCTTGCACAATGAAAATGAAGTAAGTTATCCCAATGTTGAGAATTGAACCACGGATTAGACTGGGGGAGTTTCCGGTTACCCAATGATTGGGATTATACATTCCACGATGAGGATGGTGCTAGAGTTATACGTGGATCATACGTGGAGTTATATTAGGTAGGATGAATTGAAATTCGGATAAAAGAAAAACCCTGAAGAACATGCAAGATTAATCGATTGCATATGTAGGGAGTATAGAGTAGACAATGAACCAGAGTATTGGTACGATTAGGATAATTTATGTAGGGACGGAAAATACAAAGGGAAATTGATTAACAAGATGAACAGGAGATCATAAGGTACCTAGTCCACATGGTCGATACTAGTTACTAGTATGGAGTATAGCCTGTATAGGAATAAGCTACGTTTAGTTTAATTTAATCCGGGGTAAAGTTGACTCAGCTCTCTATATAGCGATTCCTAAAACCACTCAAAAAGTACTAATAATTATTTGAATTAATCTATATAAATTCAATTACTAAAATATTAAAATTATTCTATGATTCAATACACATTATATAGTAAAGTGAATACTTATCACAGAAAGGCGGTGACGCCTCCGGTGCAACCTCCTTTTTTATCTTTCTCAACTTGGAAAAAAAAGCACTTTGAGCTTCCTTGAATCCCGCTTATCCGCGATCTACCTTAGGACCTGTAAGATCTTTCCTTTCCTCAACGTGGCACAATTTACATCCCCCCCTTTTTTCTCCCTTTAGGCGCATTGTCGCATTATCGCATTACCAATGCGCATTATCTTTCTCTCACTTGGCTAATCGGGCTTCGTAGAAGTTCATCCTCAAATCTCGTCATTCCCGTATTAGCCCATCCCCACCCCCCGTTCTTCCGTTTTTAGTCCTTCCTCCTTTTCTCCGCTTCCAACCAACCATCGACGTTGCTACTTCCAGACCATTCCGACCCGTGCAGCTTTGACCAATGTGCTATCCATGTCAAACCCGCCGTCCGATCCCGAAGATACCTGGCCTAACCCCCTGGTGACACCTGCCACGCCTGCCCAACATGATTGCTCAACTGCGGCTGAGCATGCCCGGCCCAACCCACGTCACCACTCCCCGTTGGACTCGCAGGACCAAGAACAAAACTTGTTCCAGGGGGCTCAACAGGTCTCTTTCCCATCCCGCGCTGAATCTCCTCTCCACCAATGGCCCCAACCTTCGTTGGTAAAAAAGCCCGCGGCGATCCCCCGGCTGCATTCCTCAAAAGTCACATTTCATAGTCCTCAATTGTCCGAGAGAGATAGTATCTTTGCGACTCACTATCTGCCGACCGATAGTGGCGCCAATACCCCACAATTGCCCCCTGCGAAGCCCGAGGAGAATGAGAGTCAGGTCAATCTAATCCCCGGTCTTGATGATGGGCACCAGTCTCCAAGTCCTACCAAGGTCTCTCCCCATTCTTCTTACGTCGACCCTTCCCACATGGAAGTTGACGTCCGCAGACATATTCCGTTACGTTCCTCTTCTCTCTTCTCCTCGTCCGACATCACCCGCTTTCCTCTTCACTCCTCCATATTCTCCATAGATCAAACAAAAGATCGGGGACGGGAGGCGGATATTGTTCACTCGTCGCACGCCGCGCCATCGGGTGATTCACATTCAAATATCGGTGACCCGCGAGATCCGCGCGGTGGTGAACGAAGTTTGCTACCTTCTGTGTTAGACAATGTCTCCCATTCCCCACAATCATTGACTCCAGAACATGAGTTGCCCACGCTGAGCCGGGAAGGTATCCCGTACAGCTCCTTTGCAGATTCAACACGGTCTGTTGCTTTAGAGCGAAGTTCGAGCCGAGGTCGCCGGGGACGGGTGGATAGTACTATTGAAGCGAATTTGGCCAATGCAGAGCCGGCTTCAAACGTGCGCAGCCGTAAGTCCAGCCATTATCTGGGCCTTTTCAAAGAGAATACAACCTCTCCGGATCGGAAAAGATGGGAGGATCGCTCCCGGCAACACGATGACGTTGACCACTCGCGGGATCGTGTTATGGATCACGAAGTTCCGACAGTGAAAACTCCCGAGGAGGAGGGATTGCTTCGCAAAAGCATTTCCCTTCCTGCCCTAAGCGATGTTCCATCTTTCGAACCCCAAACTTTCTCCACATCCCAACGCCAGGCTGAAGAAGATGAAATCTTTAAACGTCCACCTCGTGCGCTTCCTGCCAATCTTCTTGAGGAAATCCGAAATTTCCATCTTACCCCCGGTGGTGGCCATGGTTCATCCTTCTCCAAGAGTATCCCCACGCAGTATTCGGAACGAAGCCGGGATTATTTCCAGAAAGAGCCCCACGTGAAACGGTTTGAAGACTCGCTGAGTTCCGTTGAACATGATGACCCACGCGGCTCCGTAAGCTTCGAAGCCGATGAGAATGAACAAATTTCATCTGCCGTTTATTTCCCTCATGAGCGTGTTGCGGTGCCGGAAGGGCTCAACGATCCACGATCAATAGCGAGTGACTCACATGGGGTCCAGCAAGTTCAGTTATCTGCAGCGGAGAAGGGTCACGAATTGATGTTGATACCCCAAGAACGTAGTTCTCCTCCCGAACAAGACGCCGGTGCTGTGGACATATCATTTCGATCTAAGAATGAAAGTAAGATTCTCCACGGTGATCTTCATGATCTCCGTTCTCCCCTGGGGGTGTCCCAGAAAAATCTCTGGGCATCGAGCACGGTTACGATTCGACCTGCGAGTCAGATGCAGTATCTGAGAGTGGGCAATCCGTCATTGAGGAGTCAAGCTTAACTGATGACCCGGATATGACGCCAACGGCCACTCCAACTCAGAGACCACGCTTACCTGCTCGTCGCAAGCCGACAGGTCCTCTTGGTGCGGTCGAGCTGAAGCCTTACAGACATCAAGTTGGGGGCCACACTACGGTATTCCGTTTTTCTCGACGTGCCGTTTGCAAACAGCTGAACAACCGAGAAAATGAGTTTTACGAGCGTATTGAGCGCAGACATCCTGAAATGCTCCGGTTCCTGCCTAGGTAAGCATGAGTCCAGAATCTGATTTTTCCACGTTGAGGTCAAGAACTCACCCACTAGCCTCTTGGGGATTGTCTTGTTGCCCCAAAATCTGCCACGTCATATGATGCTCCACTCTTATTTGTGCCTGATGCTGATCAATTTCTGCCCCCCTCTAGGTATATTGGTGTCTTGAATGTAACTTTCACCAAAATTTCTAAGCGATCCAAAGAGCAAGGCGAGAATGGGGCCAATGAGAATACCGAAAAACAATCCAATGGTGCCTCTGCCACAGACTCTCGAATACTGGAAGCACCAGAGCCTCAACGAATTGTTAGCCAGAGCCAGAAGCAAACGGCTGGTGTAATCCCCCCAAGTCATACTTGAAAACAATCGCCATATCATCCCGGCAGATCTATTTTCTCGCCAGCGATCACGCATAAGTGATGACTCCTTGATGACTCGACCACGTTCTGCGGAAGGTTTCGGGGAACTTAGTACTGATCCCAATTCACCATTAAGCAAACCAACCAAAATATGGGGCGCGACAACTGTCAACAGGAAGCTTCAAGAACAGGTCCTTCGAGAAGTGTTTAGTCCGACTGCGGTTCACCAGCGTCATCGCCGTCAGCCTCGTGGCCACTTGCATTTGCCCAGAGCCGCATCCGACATAGCCAGCATCGCCAGCCGTCGTGGGAATTTGTCAGAGGATCAGTCATCCAGTGCACAGACCCCGGGCTTAGACAAGATCCAAAACTTGAGGACGCCCGCGATGGACATTGCCAGCTCCAACCCAGAACCGACTACCCTTTCATCATCGGCTTCGACAGCACTGGAGGAAGGCCGCGAGCGTGCGGAGAGAGTGAAGGGCGACGGGGACCAGCCTCATCGAGCGAATTCCCTCAACCGCTCCAACCCGGTCCGAAGACGGCATTCAGGTGGCGGTCTTCAAAGACGAGGAAGTATGAGTTCGGAGAAGAAAGGCGATCTCATGTTCTTTGAAGATGATGGATACGGTGGAGATAAAGAGGATGACATCTTCTCCATGGAAGGTGATGCGCCGTTGCCTGCAGAAAGCCACACCTCATCCACTGTGCCTCTTGCCTCATCATGCCCTGACCAAAATCCCGCTGCGAAGCCTAAAATTGTGAACTCACTGTCCACCGGAAATTTATCCTCAGCTTCTTTACGGTCCATTTCCGATGATGCGGTTGCTGAGCATTTGCCAAGTAATCCCAAGGAGGCCCAGTTAAGTAAAGACGAGCGAGTTCAGTTCTTTTTGCTCCTTGAAGATCTCACTGCGGGAATGCACAAACCATGCGTGCTGGACCTCAAAATGGGGACACGACAATATGGTATTGAGGCAGGCGAGAAGAAAAAGAAGTCGCAGAGGCGCAAGTGCCAATCGACGACCTCACAACAACTCGGTGTTCGTTTGTGCGGGATGCAGGCCTGGAATGTGAAGAAACAAGAGTACATCTTCGAAGATAAATACTTTGGACGTGATCTGAAATCCGGTCGAGAATTCCAAGATGCCCTGACACGCTTCCTGTATGATGGTGTCAGCTATGCGAGCGTAGCCAAGAAAATTCCCATCATTTTGGAAAAGCTGACCCGGTTGGAGCACATGATCCGAAACCTCCATCGATATCGGCTTTATGCCAGCAGCTTGCTGCTCCTTTACGACGGCGAACCGTCTACCCCTCCGCAAACGCCCAGTAACACTGGAGATGACTCAGCTGGTCCTCGTCCTCAGGGTCAAGAGGAAAGTCACAATAATCTAGATGTTAAGCTGAAGATTGTTGACTTCGCCAATTGTGTAACTGGAGAAGATGAACTACCTCCGGACACTCCTTGTCCTCCTCACTATCCCAATGATATTGATCGCGGTTATCTTCGTGGTCTTCGCACATTGCGCATGTACTTCCAGCGCATCATGAGAGAAGTCACAAATGATGAATTTATTGAGCGCGGTGAAGGCGAGGGCATCGCCCTAGGTTCTCAGCCTGCAGTTCGTGAATCACTGTCTGATCAATATTGGGATGATGGTGTAATGGAGAGTGACCCGGGTGAAGTCAGCTTCTAAATAGCCAGGTCGCATCCCATATCTGCCTTTCTCATTTTTCATAACTATCGATCGGAAGTTTCTTTCGATCCCACTGCGCATACATCATCCCCGTCATCCACCGTCATCCACCATCACATTCTCCAATTTTCACACGCATTCTCTATTCTCCTCCTAAACAGTCCTTTCACAGGACCCACGATGTCACGACCACCGGATGACTCAATGATCTTTGTCAATCCCTGGATGCATTTAGAACCTGGGGTTTTTTGCGTCCTTTTCGTTATTCTTCTTCACCTTTCTCCGGTTTCCCCCTTTTGCAGCGGCGTGTACGAGCTCAGCACATCTTCCTCTTCCTATTCCTGTTCTTCACTTCTCGGTCTTGTTTTATTGATAATACCCCTGGGTAATTTGATTTTTGAGTCTCCGCACTGGGTCATTCCATTGTTTGTAAATGATACTCCACTTTGCGCTATTCGATAGAAGCATAATTCTCCTGAAGAAAAGCTTAGTCTGTATTTTCTAGTAATCAAGCTTGAGATTAGCAAATAATCATATTTTGTAGATGGCTAAATAGAGTATAACAAACACTTCAATACATCCTACTACATGTAGATAGCCTCGGCTGATATCATGTGACCGCTGATAAGCAGCTCCATCTCCACACTTCAAGCTCCCTTGAACCATTCCCCATATCTCGTACCTTCACCTACAACATACCTCAAGGTTCACTCAAAGGTCACATTAATTGTCTTTATTCCCAGAATGACCATATTTTGAGGCCCAATTACGTAGGGTGGAGCTCTGACAACACAGCAACTGATCCACCCAGCTGACACGGCTGCCTTTCATTCAATCTCCTCCAATCAATCATCCGAAGCCCCATCCGGCCGCGGAGTCATCATTACTAGACCTTCTCCAGCCTTACGCTCCCAATTTATCTCCTCACATATCTACCTAAACACCTCCGATCTCCAATACACCGTACCATACAACCCGCTGTGTGTCACCAGCACAATGCCCGGCTCTAACGGGTATGGCAGCTCGACCATCGATAAGCGGGACTTCGATTCACACCGATCACGACTTGATGATACACACATAACAAGCCATGACTCACAATCAACAGCAGCTGTTGGCCGCTCTAGAGCGGGATCACGCTTTTCACGAGGCTCATCTCATTCTAGAAATGGTACAATCAGCGACGACGGACTTCTAAGCGATGTTGTAGAGGGGATTGTGGAACGCGATCGCCGGAAGATGCACAAGGAAGCAATAAGGATCGTGAGCTTCATCTGGGGTGTTATTACCTGGTAAGACCCCACTATCGGCTTCCTAGTATCCCTGAATCTATCACCTTTGGTACTAACTCATAGTTTCTAGTCTGGGTGCGGGTAGCATTACTGCCTTCTCGTTGTATGGGCACTTGCTACTGACAAGACTTCAATACACCCAGCTACGCGTCAACGCCGTTTCGATCGCAGCTGAGATCTCGATGTACCTCCTTGTTCCTTTATTCGGTTTTCTATGTGATCGCTACAGCCCATCGCCGCTGTCTTTAGCTTCGGGTGGGCTTTTCGGTGTGGGGTATCTACTTGCTGCGTTTACGTATAAGAGTGGACCCCCTCCAGATGCTGGTGGCTCTGGATGGCCGTTCTGGGTGATGATTGTGGCTTTCATTGCTATCGGAATGGGAACGAGCTGTATGTATCTTGGTGCAGTCGCGACATGTGCTAAGAATTATGGCCGAGGGAAACATAAGGGCATTATGCTTGCGATACCGATCGCGGCGTTTGGCTTGAGTGGTATGTGGCAGAGCCAGGTGGGGACCTATCTTCTCTGTGAACGAGATGTGGAAGGGAATTGCGGTGATGTCGATGTATTTCGTTACTTCCTCTTTCTCGGTGTCCTCCTGCTGGTCATTGGAGTGATTGGTACCTTTGCATTGCGCATTGTGGACGATGACGAGGAGGAGCGGTACATTGATGAGACAGTGGAGGAGTTGGAACGCAGTGGCCTTCTTGAAGAGAGTGAGTTCTTCCGACCTCGAAGCGAAATTCAGTCAGCTGTGGAGTATGGAACATTCTCTACGAATGCCAATGATGAAGAGTCTATTACTCTCTCCGAGGAGGAGAGGGAGGAGAGAAGGAGAGAAAAGGAGCGCGAAGAGGAAGAGCGTCGAAAGAAGAACTGGCTGCTCAATTATGAAACGAGAGTGTTCCTCATGGATCCAACAATGTGGTGGTTGGCAGCTGGATTCTTCCTGGTTACTGGACCAGGCGAGTCCTATATCAATAATGTGAGTCTTAACACTTCTTGGCTAAGTATCAAATTCTAACAACGCATCTAGCTTGGCACTATTATCCCGACTCTGACACCTCCATCCTATGCGCTGAATGCGCCTCCGCCAGCTGGACTCCCAGCAACTCATGTAACCACCGTTGCATTAACCTCAACCATTGCTCGCCTTCTCACTGGGTCTCTTTCGGACTACTTCGCACCACCCGCAACCCATTTATTCCCACCCATTCCATCCAGCCATCGGCACACAGCTCAAACAGAGACTAACAACCGCACTACACTTTCCCGGATGATCTTCCTCCTACCATCCGCAATCCTACTCTCAATCGGCTACTTCATTCTTGCCACCCCACTCACACAGAAACAACCACCCCTCTTCCACCTCACCACTGCCCTTATTGGCTTTGGCTATGGAAGTGCCTTCTCACTTACCCCAATCATCATCTCCGTTGTATGGGGCGTGGAAAACTTTGCCACAAACTGGGGGATTGTAGCCATGATGCCCGCTATCGGCGCCGCACTTTGGGGAGTTGTCTACTCTGCTACATACCAGAATGCGTTAGATGACAATGATCCCTCTGGTCAATGTCATGGCTGGCGATGCTATGGTCCTTGGGCTGTCGGCTGTACTCTCAGCGTTTGGGTAGCGATCATTACCTTGTTGGCTGCATGGAGAGGTTGGAAGCGAAGAGGTGTGGTCGTTTAACTGATTTGCATCATGATCAATTTAGCGGGTGTTTTATTTTCGGGATTTTGTACTGGGCATCTAAGGAACAAACTAGTATCATGACATGAAGCATTCAAATTTTATCTCCAAAAATCGAGTCTCAATGAGGTGGACACCTTGTTGTCCTTAGGCAAACGCATGTAAAAACCGGTTTGTCTGGATTATTATCTCCAAATTGAAAATAGGCACCTACATGCATGTGAGGGAGCTCCATTTAACGTGACTCAGTTTGGATGTAATGTAGCCTATGGTCCAAAATCTCTTTTCCTTTCACTCTTTCTTCTCTCTCCCCTTCTTCCAGAATCCGAGCTTACTTCTCTTACTTGTCTCTTGAACCATCCTGACTTTCTTCACACTCACCAATTCAACTTTCTTCACTCTTCACCATCCAAGCTTTGTTCACTCTTAAACCATCCCAGCTTTCTCGACTCTTGGACTTTCTCTTCTACATCTTCACCCGGATCGAAGTCGCCATATTCCGCCCACTACAATGACGAGATCGACAGTGACCAGATCGACAGCGAAGAGATCGACAGCGAAGATAGGGCCGTCCATCGAGAGAAAGGAACTACCACGATGCTTAAATCCCTGCACCCTTTGCGTTATCCGCAAGAGGCGTTGCGACGCGCAAACTCCATGCGAAAATTGCACCAAGCGAGGAGCTGCTAATCAGTGCAGGCGTCGTCCTCGGAGATCCCTAGGAACTGCGAGTCCAGGGCGAACTCTCACATCTCCAAACCAAAACCAGCCATCTAGTCAATCTTCTTCTACACAATCAAGCTTGTCTTCAGTTAGATCTGAATCGCCAACACCGGAAGTCTTTGCAAAACAAGCCCTACCATCTCGGCCAAGGTCTAGTGGTGGAGTGGAGGATGTGCAGCAAGATGTAGCTGTCACGCTAGACTTTCCGCCATTGAGTCGACGGCAGCTTGTACAAGCACCACAGAAGTATGAGGAAATGTTTTTCACAGCTAAGCAGATCAACGATTTGCTCATTTTCCACGGAGGTTGTCTCGCATGGATACACAATGTGGTTCATTTGCCCTCTTTCCGTGATCAATGTCAGTCGAAACTTGCTGGGGACGAGTTGCCTACGGATAAGACGTGGGATGCACTTTACTACTCAATGCTAGCTGTAAGAATCCCTGTGTGTTTGATTCCGGTTCTCTCCATTTATTGATCTTAAAAACAGTTCACCCTTCATCACATGCAGCCCGCCAGATTGGAGGAAATGGGTCTCGTGCTTTTCGGTAAGACGTTTTCTCTCTTCCGACTATATTCTACAAGGTCTAACTGACGATACTAGATCACTGCGTAGAATTTTTCTATGAAAAAACTATCGAATGTCTCAATGATGCGAAATTCATGGAAAACCACAACATTTTCACTGTCCAGGCAATTTGTCTGCTCACATACATTGGTCACCATATCGGACAGTCAAATCGAATGTCAGTTTTGGTTGCAGCTGCCATCAGAATTGCTCAGTGCCTTGGCTTGCATCGCCTTGGACCAGATAAGAAATTGGCAGATCCAGCGCTGAATAGGCAAAAGCTACACCGTCGAGAGGTGTCGAAACGCGTTTGGTGGTTCCTTGTTCGACAGGACTGGCTACAAATCCCCGTCAGCAACACCTGTAATATTCATCCAAGACAGTTTGACACACCGATGCCGGATGGTAATTGTTTGATTGCGGATGGTCAAGCCATTGATCGCAACATGATACAGGGCGGCTATACGTCTGTTCTGAACAAAGGTAATAAGAGTCCATGATTTGCTTCGCATTTTCATTGTTATACTAACTCGCGATTGAATATTTAGCAGCTTTCATAGTATGGAGATTCCACGACAGCGTGACCTCAAATGAGGAAAGTTCTCGAAAGGTGTACTCGGAGGTTCTCAAAGCTGACAATCAGTTGAGAAAACTCATGAACGATATCCCGTTTTACTTGCGTCAAGAGTCGCCTGAGGATGGAATGAAGCATCAAAGTGCACTCCTTTATCTCGAACTCGCCCAGCAAGTATGTATACTATGAGCATTTGAAGAGTCACAGCCCAGTGATTAACAATATCTGCTCTAGTTCTACTCGATCCACCGCTTCTTTCAAATTTCCAGTCTCAAAGATCCCAACTTTGCTTACACAAAGGTATGCAATCAGTACCCAAATTTGAATAAATATCAAAACTAACTTGAGCCTGATATCTCTAGATCTCCTGCTCCCCTTTCATGTACCGAAATCTCTTCACATTCCTGTCCTTAGAGAAAAACAACCCATCAACCCAGATAGTCTCGTACCTCTGGACTTCAAATACTCACGTCCTCACAGCAGCCTTATGGCTACTTTTTGAAATGATCTTTTCCAAGGAAGGAATGGCACAAATTTACGAGGCTGCTGAGATCAGAGAGCTTGCCGCTAAGACATTTGAATTCTTACGTGCGAATGAGCGAGAAAGCAAGGTAGCCAAAAGGGGGGGTTATATTGATTGAAACATTACTTGAGATTGATCAAGCGGTGTTGGCTGAAGGACCGAACAAGTTCTCTTTACGAGATATCTTATCGCGAGTGATTGACCTGAATCCTTGGGGTTTCTGAAGTCTTTCAGACAGTCAGTACTCAACCATTCAACTTGAATGCGCCGCTTCTGGATTTAGTCTACAGGGATGATGTGTCTTTGAAGGAAGTTTTGAGTGCTTTTATTGATTCATGACCTCGGAATGAGGGTGATTACCAAAATCAGATGTTATTTCACAGGGTTAATTGATCAACAACTTGAATTAGCAAAATGGGGTTTTTTTATTAAAATGGACTGACCACGAACCCGTCGAGCGATGTTAAATGGAAACCCATCGCCTTTAGTCTATACACCTTTCTTATACTACGTATCAACGTCCCTACTCTTGTTGCTACACATGTGTATGTAGTAGCTAGACCGGCGTAGGTTTACCTTTACCTTCCCCTATCGGAGTCTTATTCTTTACCCCCTTCTTTTTATAAGTAGATAAATGGGTACCTACCTCAGTACCTACTGCTCCACCTGCCATTCTAGCTACATAGTAGCCTTAGAAATCTCTTTTCCATTTACAGTACCCTTAAAATTGAATGAAAGGTATGTTGTGTAGCTAATTGATTATGTACCCAGGGGCCTTCAAGTTGATGCATATATGGATGTGTACAGGCTAAGTCCAATTTGCCAAACGGTGTCCATGTATCATTTTTCTGGTGTCCATTTAACATCGCTCAACCTGTCCAAGGGAGTACCCATCTGTGCACACATGCATTACTATCTCACGATCTAGCCTCAGCAACCACGTCCCCCCTCAAATCTCCCATCGCATTCTCCTTATCAGAACCATAAGTATCAGCAAATCGCCCAGTCATCCACTGATGCACCGTAATAGGCGGGTACTTAGCACCAGAGCCCAGACAGCCTGGTAAACACTGCACAACATAATCCGGATTCCCCGAAAAGAAAAACGGAACACTGGAGCGCTCTTTTCCACTTTTATTAATCACTCGATGCAAATTCGACAGGTAGCGATCGTTTGTCCAGCGCATCATCAGGTTTCCTAGATTGACTATGTATGCCCCCGGGAGAGGAGTCACGTCGACCCATTCCGTGGAACTGTTGTTCCAGACTTGTAGTCCGCCTGTTTGGTCTTGAAGGAGGATTGTTACGGCGCCGAAGTCAGTGTGGGCACCGATTCCTATCATTCATACATCAGTATGCATCGTAGAATGGTTGATGAACCAGGTAATATTGAATACTTACCACGCTCTGTATCTGTCGTTGCTGGGTCTTGAGGTGGATAATGAAGAAGACGGAGAGTAGCAACAGGATCTTCACAGAAAGAGTTGAAGAAATCATCCTCCAGATCTAGAGTCCAGGCTAGAGCACGGAGAATGTCCTCGGCGAGAGATATCATAGCGGTATGATATTCATCCATGACATGTCGAAAGGCCTGGGGATCCTCAAGTTCGACAGGGTACTTGTTAGGTCCTTGGCCAAATTTGTTTGCAATAACAAGAGAATTATCCTCTGAGAGGTGTTTTCCGAGGTAGAATCCTTCTTTTAGGTCGCCTTTGGTCCATTTTTCGAAGTTTTGTGCTCGTAGATGCTCGTATCCGCGATTGAAACCACCAATATCTAGACCTTAGTTAGTTTAGGCCCTGAGATTAGATGCGAGTCGATTTTGAGGACACCTTTTGCGTATTTTTCTTTGGTATCAATGGGGAGGTTGAAGAAGTCCTTGCTTTGATCGATAATAGACCGCTGCAGGCTGAATGGGATGTTGTGATTGATGAGTTGAAAGAAACCAAATTCTTCGCATGCGCTTCGAAGTTGTTCAACGAGAATATTTCTCGCATTCGGATCTGAGCTATAGTATGCTGTAGCTCCACTGTCAGTGAAGGTAATATCTTGAAGGATTCTTGAGTGACGCAGCGTTTTATGCTCATGACATACGTCCAAAGTCGATGACAGGGGGCTCTTGAGGGCGCATTTTCAAGTTGTAAAAGGAGTATATGGGATGCCAGTGGAGAGATGAGTTATTATGAAGGAAATTCCAATTTTTGAAATGTTCATTTGAACTATTCAAATATTATGAAAATAATAACTCATACAGGTGAGTTCCTAATCTCCCCCGCTCTCGGTCCTCGGCCGCGGATAGTACGGACTCGGATTGTTTAAAACCCGCGATGAACCATGATCAGCGGTCGACCGATCGTATGCAATGATGTAAGAATTTCAAACAAAGAAAATGCATCTATAAGTTACATCTGACTCTTCTTTCAATTCTATCACAACTGGGTATCCATATGCATGACGCTCAGTTGGGCAACTCTGTCACAGTAGTACGCTCTGCCTTCTGTTCCTCGATATCCTTGAACTTAGCATCCACATCAAACTCCTTGTCAATGTCCTCAATTTCCAGGCGGTTTGTCTCTGGGATACAGAACCAACTGAAAACAAAGGCCAGCGCAGACAATGAGCCATAAATGAAACCCAGTTTACCACCGAGGTCAACATGGTGTGGAGTGTCTGCAGTTTCCATGTAAGGATAGGTGAAAGTGACAGCAAACCTAATTGCATATTAGTTTCATATTTAATTATAATTTGGAAATGCCGAGAGGAAATGTTGACATACTCTGTGACAAGTTTGACGGTATACGCAATTTGCAGTGTCATCTCACGGAGAGGAGAAGAAGGAAGCTCGGCACCAAGAACGTATACTAGAGGAGCCCAGCCAAGAGACCAACTGAAGCTGAAGAGCAGAAGCATGGCGACAATACCCTCCTTAGCATTGACGTTGCTAGAATCAGCAGTTCCAAGACCACCCATAGTCATCAGGGCCGCAGTCTGAAGGATAGAACTGGTGTGGAAGAGGATTCTTCTCATAGTTAGCTTTGAGTCAAAAATATTCTCGCAGGGAAAATCTTTTCTCAACTTACCGACGACCAATAACATCAATCAAAGATGCAGCAATGATAATAGCACCGATATCAACGGCATTAGTACCGAGAGTGACGCTGAAAGGGTTGACCGAGTTCAACTCCTTGACGAAGACTGTTCCATACTGAGAGGCAAATGCCTGACCAGTAGCCTGCTGGAAAAAGTTCGAAACGACAACAACAAAAGTACGCTGTCTGTTTTGAGGGGTGAAGAGATCCTTGAATGACTTCTTCTGAAGCTGTTCCGCAACCTTGCCAGACAGAACAAGGCAGTCCTCCTGAATCACCTCCTCAGGGGTATTCTTGGGCTTCAGGCGAGTGAGAGACCTCAGAGCATCCTCCTGGCGGTCACGGAGGAGGTACCAACGAGCGGATTCGGGCATGAACCAGACCAAGAAGGCAACGAAGAAGGGAATAACAAGCATAAGACCGAATGGAATTCTCCAGGCAGCGTTGGTAGTAAAGTACTTGGTCTTCCGTGCGATGCCGGTGATGAAGAGACCACCAGCCTTGATGCTAAGCCAGTAGATAACACCCATTCCACCACGGTTTTTGGCGGGTGCCAGTTCGGTCAGGAAGGTAGGGATAACAGCCAATTGCATACCCAAGTAGATATCTGCGATGAAAAAATTTATTAGCTAGGAATTCGAAAGACCCGGAAGCAGAGTTCTCACAGTGAAGGGTTCTGGCAGTCTGAAGCTGAGCTTGAGTTGAAGAGCTCACAACCACAGAGGCACTACCAAGTGCGTATATGCTCATAGAGCAGATACACATACGACGACCCCATCTGTTGCTGACCCAACTACCGATAAAAACTCCTATAGAATAGAATTGTGTTAGTAAAGGCCAAAAGTATTTAATGCAGTTAAAAAATTCAATCACTCACCAATAATCTGTCCACCAGCCTTCAAACTGTTGTACAAGGATGAGTCCAAAGCTGGAATTGCCTTCTTGCCCGTCGAAGCATCGTATTTTCCAAAAGTATCAATGAAGGCATCCATAGCCTGACAGGACGAGAACGCCTGATCACTGAGTCCATAGTTGAAAGCCGAGAGAGCAAGGAGACCAAGGGAGAATAACAGCATTGGGCTAATAGCCCGTTTCTCTGAAGCCATTTTCACAGTGGTAGAGCTCAAACCGAGTATTTCCTCAAAATACGGTTTGAGTGGCAGCAAAGTTTGCTTTTATCTGATCCTTGATCGATTGATAAAATCAGATAGATTATAATCAGATCGTCCGTGGGAAGAGAAAGTCCGGTATAGCCGAATAATCTGATCCATGTGGAATTATCAATCGCATGGCACCATAACCGGATTAGACTTCCATTTCCAACATTAGCTGTATTATTGAAGGTGTCAATGAGCGATAAAAAAGCCACCTGCCAATGATAGTAATGAGCAACAGCCTTGTGGATCTTGCTGAGACATGGGGCAGACATTAGTGGTAGCCTTACAGCCCTATGAGGGCCAAGAACACCAAGCTTTGGTGGAGTGGTCGGCAAATTTCACAGCCTTAACCAGGGTTTCTATCTCCCGAGTTGATCCACTTATTTCCACTTACATATTTCACGTATTCCATCAAAGCTCAATACCTATGGTAGGCAGCAAAATTACACTGAGTCTCTGGATTTTGGTCAATTGGTTGATTCATGTGCAAAGACTCCAAGCTGTGGGAGATGAGATGTAGGTACATCTTTGAACTCATCTATGAGCCAATTTTCACATGAATCTATGATGCACCAATATACAGGGACAAGCAAAACCAAGGGACCAAAAAAGAAGAAAAGAAAAAGAAATTGCATATTTCCAAGTGGATCTAAACATCGGCAGATGTCGGGTCGAGGCCTGTAAATACCTTGTACAATCGCTTGCTCGCAGCGGGACCGATGCGGGAATCCGTCAGTCCACCATTTTTGTTCGCAGATTTCTAGTCAGATACGATCAGCAAGATTCATAACACAGAAAAGGGGCCAGCCCCACTGATGGGCCAGGAAAGGGAAGAGATATACATACCCTGACATCTTCCAGCATCGTAGGTCCATGCATCTGCATCCCACGGACAAGATCCGTTACGCACGGATACTGTCCTGCGATACCATACGCCATGGAAGCTGTAACTCGGTTTACCTCTTGGAGCATCTTGACGAAAGTATCCAGATTATCTTCACCGGTCTTAACTTGGCCGACATCCATGCAGAATGCTGCGTCATTTCCTTCCATTCGTTCCCGCCGATAGGGAATAGTGGACACATGTTCCGTGAAGTTCTTGATCCACTCGGCTGACTCGGCAGGAGCGTTCGTATGATGAATGAGACATGAGTATGTTACTTGTAATGTTAGAAGAGCGTCTTCAATCGTGTCGTCGTCAACGGGTGGGGTAGTCTCTGGTTTGTTCTTAGGCTTCCTGCCACGACCACGACCCGTAGCAGGAGGTTCAGGGGCAGCGGGTTTGAATTGTCGAAGTACTTCGGCCTGGTAGGCTCTGTTTCTTGAATTTTTGTTCTTGCGCATCCAGGCTGTAAGCCCCTCGATGAGATAGATCGGTTTATGGTCCGGATAGGCGCTTCGAATTCTGAGGACATGAATTTCTAATGTTTCTCTGTCCTCCCCATCGGGCGATGGAATCACCATGTCGACGAATTCCGGAGCAGGAATCAAGCAAAGCACATGTTTTTCATGCTGGATATGAAGCGCGCATGGCTCCCAATGACCAGCTATCTCGTTGTATCTCGCCTTGACCTTTCGGCGCCATTTGATAACATTCGGAATCGGACTGGCAAAAAAGGTATGCTCCACTCCGAGCCGTCGCATGAATTCAACTGTCTGGTTACCCGCGCTCGACTCCTCCAAGGACGATGCAATGTCGATAATCATTTCTGGCGTAGAGTCCTTCTTGTCAACCTTGAGCTTATTAACCTCTGAGAGATCTGCGGCCAATTGCTTCTGCTTCGCTTTTTCCTCTTTCAATTTCAGTTTCCGCTCTTTCTCTAGCTCTCGTTCTTGTTCTTTCTGCGCTTTGGCTTCAGCACGAGCTCTAGCCTTGGCCTCCTTCTCTTCTGTCGTCATATTTCCTGTCTTCTTGGCTGGTCGTCGTGGTTCAGCCGATTTTTCCATCTCGTTGGAGAAATCTGATAAAGTCATAGTAGCAGCAGTATTGCGATAGCCAGCAGCACTACTGGAAGCATGTTTTCCTTTAGGTTTCTCTTTCTCATTCAAACTGGCAAGCAATTGTGTAGTTTTACTAGAAAAAACCGGCTTAGAAGATGGTTTGTCTCTAATCATGCCTGCAAAGCCTGGTACAGAAAACGGGTCGCTGAACTCCTCAATGCTGTTTTGACTTAGGACCCCCGGACCTTTCTTCCCAGCAGCCATCGTAAGAATCTCATCATCATCGTCCAAGGAAATGATATCAGGCGTTGCATAGGCCGATCCGCGAGTTGCAGGCTTGCGCTTTGAACCAGGCGGGGCGGGTGAAGTAATAACAAAAGGATCTGAATCCTTCATGTTGCCTCTTGGTTTGTTTCTGGGTGGGGCGGGGTTCGGAGGGGGGAGGCCAAAGTCATCATCGGAGAAGTTGAAGGAGGAGATTGGGTCTGGGATCGTGGATTTTTGCGCAGGGGCCGTAGAGGCATGTCTGGGAGGTGGAGGGTTTTCATGGCTCACTCTTCGCTTCTTTAGAGGGTTTTCAAAGTCATCATAAGTAAAGAGTGAGGCGTCGATAGAGTCCGATGAGAATATTCCTAGGTGGGAGAGACGTCGAGGGATTTGAGAGGATGAAGGCAACGCATGTTGATTTCGTGGCCTCTCCAGGAACAACTCATCAGGTAATGGTGGGTCAGAGGAGATCAAATCAATGATATCAGGCATCTTGTGAAGTATATGTATCTGGAATTCAAGATGCGTCGCGATTCAAAACGCGACGTCACGAAGTCAGGTGACCTTATCGCTTATTTACTGCTTATCGGTGCCTATACAATGTGAGTAGATTGGGAAAGACCGTGAAGAGGGCAATAGGCAAGGGGGTATTGAAATTATAACTAAACTACCTACACTAATTGAAAGACGAAAATAGCGATATTCCCAAGCAGTGCAAGAACAAGGGCAAGTCCAACGAAAACCTGCATCCATCCATCAAACGGCCGACGCTCAGCTTTGAGCATGGTGGAGATCTCAGCTTCCAATCTATCACCCATAGCTGTCAATGAGAATTCATGCTGAGCTCTTTGTTTCCCAGCTAAAGCCATCTTTGCAACCTCTTGTGAAGTAAGACCATATAGAACTTTGTCCATGACAGCCGTCCACTCATCGTCGGCACGTGCGTCCCGGAGCCAGCCCGTTTCGCCTTCAACAATTGTTTCCAATGGACCGCCAGTATTTGAGGCTAGAACAGGCAATCCAGCATGCATAGCCTCAACAGGGACAATCCCAAAATGCTCATTTATGGGGGTGTATAGGAGCAGCTTGGATTGGGCCAGAAGCATATCCTTGAGTGTCTTAGGAACAGAGAGTAAGAACAGTACATCAATGTCCCCAGGAACTGACAGTGCAGATACTACTGTCTTAGCAGTGGCTGTCCTCAGGCCAAGACCTGTTGCCAGTGTATCAAGCTCCTGGTGATATTGGACATTTTCCTGAACACGATTATCGTAACCGCCTAGTTTCACAAATTAGCTTCAAGTTTATAGCTCATATATTGAAAAGGACTCATAACTCACCAGCGATCACCAATCGAGTTCCTCTGCGCTTGTCCCCGCCCAGTCCATTGTACGCACGGATGGCGAGAGCCATATCCTTCTTCCTCTCGAAGCGATTGATACTCAATAGAATTTTCTTTCCACCCCAAAGAGTCCCCGAGGATGCAAATTCTGGAACTTCGGATTTCGCATCGGTATCTACACAAGGGTAGACCACCTCCACATCACCCAATTTGTCTGATCCAAACACTTGTCGTACGACTCCGCGCGAGAATTTCGAGTTGGCGACAACTCGATCGGATGCACTCAATGCCCATCCCTCAAACCAATCAAACGGAAAACGATATAGTTGCTTCGCGAGTCGAAGTAGGGAGCCACCCTCGTCGCGGCGAGCAAGCAATTGATCCGGGAAATGGCAGTAGAACAGGATTCGTTGACGGTAGGATTTTCGCGGTTGGCCGAAGGTCTTGAGGAAGGGGACACAGGCTGGAAGCTGGTCGACAATGAAGATATCATCTTGGCCCGCATTATCATCCGTGGATTTCTGGTCCTTCTCCGCTGATGTACCACTCTCTCTCGATCGTAGCTCTGATAGGAGGGACACGGTCAAATGGAGCTGGCGCAGAGCAGCCATGAGAATATGGAGTCGACCAAAGACATGGGCAGGGAAAATAGTGTTTCCCCGGACACGGACATCCAATGTGCCATCGCGGGCTTCATCGAAGCAGTGGGACTTGTCGCGGTGGGAGGTATAGATCGTCACGCGGTGACCGCGGTTCTGCAGGGCTAGAGCTACATCAATGATCAGTCGCTCGGCACCACCGATGCCCAGGTCAGGGTGGATAATGACCACATTGGAGGGCGCAAGACCTGACATGATTGTCATAGCGGTTGAAGGTCAGTTGCAGAAGAACACGATAGCGATAAAGAACACGTGGTGTAGTACGTCATGTGAACGCAGTTTGTTCATTCTGATTAATCCACAATACTTTATACATCTCAATTCAATCTTGTCAAATCTTCTGGTTTTTGAGGATTAATTTGATCACGATTGACCTCAATATGCCTGTCATTAGTTCAGAATCTCTGGTTCTCACTTCCCCGATAATCAGTGTTCAGCTCCCCGAGCGCTCGCGTTGAGCTGCTCGGATAAGCGACCCGGGGTACATCTGCCGATGGGTATTCTCTATGCCGCCATGTCCTCAATAGACAGAGCACCAATGCCCTGAACAGGAGGAAAATACAAAGAGCCAGAGCCAAAGCTTGGGGATGATCAAAAGGGCAAAAACTCCCTTCGGCCCCAACCGCATCTTGCTTATTTCTGGGGAAACCAAGAGATCCCCACATTGAATTATCAGATTAGTTCGGATCCTAGAATGCCGTCGTTGCCGTGATCCTGAACCGACCTGACCGGCGTTTTCACCGATAAAAATGCTGGCTTTAAATCTCTTCATTTTTCTCTCCCCCTCTAGATCAGTCAAAGGGCAGCCATAATGGGGATAGAGGAAAGGAGTCACGAGACCAGCCCAGAGCGCGAACCCTCGGCGCCACAGACGCCAGCGCAGACTGAGTCGCAGGAAAATTCGCCTCCAGCTCCCTCCAAATTGTGAGTTCACTTGATAGTCAATAAGCCTCGCCAAGCTTTTCACATTATTCTACAATATTTCCCAGGCACCACTAAATACGTTTTCATGGTTTACTGACTTTTCCATTCTAGTCGACATGTTGTGGTCGTCGGCGCTGGCTTCGTGACTATGTTCATGACCTGCGGTATCATCTTCTCTTTTGGAGTATACCAAGCTATCTATGAAGAGATGGCAAAAGAACCCGGCACACCATTCACAGGGACCTCGTCATCGATCATTAGTTTGATTGGTACACTAGCTATTGCGTTGATGTCAATGGGCGGTCCATTCGTCAGTGCCTGGGCCAAACTATATGGCCCACAACCCATCATCATGATTGGAGGTGTTGTTTTCGGACTCGGATGTATCCTCGCCAGTCTAAGTGAATACATCTGGGAGTTCCAGCTTACCCATGGCGTGCTTGTCGGAATTGGAACTTGCATGGCATATGTACCAACCATGTCTGTCGCGCCTACTTGGTTCAGCAAAAGACGTGGTCTAGCTATGGGCATTGTTATCTCAGGCTCCGCCTGTGGTGGTATGGTCTGGCCTCCAGTTCTGCGGGCTATCACTAACCACCTCAACTTCCGGGATGCGTTGCGTATCTCTGGTTGCTTGGTAATCCTACTGGTTCCTATCTCTGGGTACGCCTTAACCTGGGAACCGAAGTTCAAAGCGAAGCTAGATGAACAGAACGCTGGCATTTCTAAGAAAACCGGGTGGGCCAAGGTGCCACTGGTGAATTGGGAGGTCGCAAAATCGAAGAAATTCGCAGCGCAGGCATTAGGTTGCTTCCTGCAATCTGCTGGCTACTCGACGCCTCTATTCTTCTACGCAGCTTTTGCTCGTTCTCTTGGCTATAGTAATGCTATGGCAGATAACTTTATCACAATTAGTAATGCGGCCAACTTCGTCTCGCGTATCGTCATTGGCTACGCAGCTGACAAGCTTGGTCGCTTGAATGTGCTCTTCGTCACAACTGTTCTCAGTGCAGTTGCTGTATTTGGATTCTGGCTTCCAGCGACGTTTGCGGGTACTAGTGTCTCTGTCACTGCAGCCGAAGTGCTGTTTATTTTCTTCGCAATTCTATACGGTGCTTTTGGTAGTGCCTATATCTCGTTGTTCCCTGCGAGCTTGATTGAGCTATTTGGTGTACAGCACTTTACCTCCGTGAATGGCGCTCTCTACCTTATTCGTGGTATGGGGGCTCTACTGGGTACCCCATTGACAGGCTTACTGCTACCAGGACAGTCAGCATTGTCATCTGTCTCCACTTACGAAAGAGCCACCATTACTGTTGGAGTATTGCTCTTTGCAGCAAGCATGGCGACCTTGTGGGTGCGGCTGGAAGCATTCAACGGGAAACCATGGGTATGGAAGATGTGATGAATGATTAAGTATAAACTTGAACTGACCCAGCGTCGAATATTTCAATATCTAATGAATGCTATAATGCATGTTTCCTACCTTCCCTAATAGACCTCTTTTCCTACTTGGGTTGCAGTGGTTATCCGGGTTCCCTCACCACAGGGGCCGTCTGGCAGAATATTTACAAACTAGATTTTTCTTTTGTTTATTCCATCTAAACATGAGAATATCCCTCTTAATTCAGCTATCTCTTCCTTTTGGATATCTCTAACATCGGCTAATATCATGTCTCCCTTCAGATATCCCTAGGGTTGCCAGTTACCTATATCTAACTATATAACAGGTAGCCATCCCCTCCAGGTAACCATGTAGGTAACTCCGTTGGTACTTACATACAAAGAGGTGTAGCTCATCACTCACCGTGTATGCTACTGATTCGGAATGAGCCCTGTACTTAAGTATGTGAAAATCTCTATCTCAGAGGATGTAGACACATCTGGCCAAGTACTTGCGTGCTGAGGACATACATTTCCCAATGTCAAATGCTCGCTGCTTCACTAGCAGTGCCGCGCTTCGCGCGGCGTGGAAACTTGTAAGTTGCTATGTACAAGGCGCCCTCTAGCAGGCTTGTAGTCACTGCGCCGGGTCAGAGCAGCGAATCATTCATCCTCTTGAGTTAAAGAAATGTAAAAAGAAAGAATTTTATTGAACTTTTCATGATGAACTAACTTTGATCTCTTCGAGTCTCAATTTCTTTTTTTCCTTTTTAAAAAATAGCTGATAGATCAGGTTCCCATCCAACCACATAGCCAGAGGAATGATAACAGAAATGGAGCAACTCAATAAAATGACAATTTTGGGAGTTGGGGACCTAACCAAAGACAATCTTAACAACTCCATTGCTCTCACTGCGAAAGTTCCTCAATGCTTTGCTTCAATGCTTCTTGCAGCTTCAGAGTCTTGACCCGATATTGAATAGTGCTCGGTGACTCTCCAGCCAAGTGCACCAATTTCTTATCCGAGTAACTGCTGATCAAAGTCGGGTCGAACATGCTTGGTAAAAGGGTGAGAAGATGCCTTTCAATTACTTGGCGGCATACATTGTCGACGAAAGTTTTCACGGCAACCTAGGTGAGTGTTTAGTATCAAATAAAGAGTCAAGATATTAATATCTAGATTACCTTGTAGTAGGCGTTGAGAGCTGTCAGAGCATCAGAGCAAGCTTGGTCGACCATATTGACCTCGACAGTCCTTTGTAAGGAATTGATCAGGCTGTTGATCAGGCCCTTACTGATGCGAGAGTTTTCAGAGATCGAATCCTTTACTACTTTTTCCAAGTCCTTTTTTTCTTTTTCAAATCGTGTCTTCTGAATGTTGTCGGTGTAAACCCAGGACCTGTGAATTCCCACATGTGGTTAGTTTTGCCTCTTTTAGTTTAGCGCCCCCATACGCCGTTCTGTAAGCTTCCGCCTTCTGTTGCGCCGGCATAAAAAGCTCGCCCTGCCCTTTCGACCTCTTGTCCCTCTCTTACCTTCCCTTCAACTCCTCTATCTTGCACCCGTCGCCACCCCCTTTCGCTTCATCTCGTCCCCACCCCCTAATTGCGCCTTGGCTTTCAGCCTGATGCACTGCCCCTTTCATTTTACCGGAGATGCCGCTCGATCCGACTCCGTAGTCGTTTCTAGTTAGCATCCACGATAACACCATCCGGTCACCCAGAGGCGCTAAAGTGATTCAGATTACTAGTCTCTACTGCTACATCTATTTCCATCTCTTTCCTTAAGTTCAATTTCTTTCCTAAAAAAGCGCCCATCTGAATCGCCTCATGCTAGCGGGGCTTTCCGCTCGATTGCTTTTTCGCCTGTTTCGACACCCACATGTTGTCATTGTCGGCATCTTCGGTCTCTTTGCACGCAATGGATGAACTCTGAAAGCTCGGTGATGCGAGCCAATAGCGAAAATGCCGCATACTCTGCTGGTTCCGGTGGATGGTACAACACGCGTCCAATGCTACTCTGCAGCCGACTCGGGGGATGACATTGTTATACAACGAATCGGCGACACAGCATAGGACTAATACAGTATTCCTCGAGCATTGATCAACGGCCCTCAAATTACTATCGAGCAATCAATAAAGGATCTGCGCTAAGGCCGGAAGAGAAGCTGTCTTTGGGGAAGAAGCAGATAACGCTAGCGACTGTACTAGAATAGTAGAGATAATAGATAGAATCTAAAAAATGCACGTTTACTGAACACAAAGACTAACACTAAGGGAGTGCGAGTCTGTGCCTTGGTACGGGTGATTGCCTACGGTATATAGCAGCGCTGTTAGTTCGTAGAGATCCTCTAGAAAAGCATGAATACTAAAGATCTTTTTCTATTTTACATTACTTGCAAAAAGATTTTGAGTGATCATCGTTATTTTCCATTCATTATTTCGTTTTCGCTCCTCCATGCCATACATTGACAATCTGTTCTTTAGTAAGATTCGCGTTCAGATTTACACGACCATTTAGAAATGCCTCCATTTCGCGCTCCAAAATTTCACGATCAACAAGGGAGGAGGAGCCACTCTTGAACCACATACGGTCCTTCAACCATCTGTGAGTTCCTTTACTGAAAACTGCTTCCAGCACCATCCACCTATAGTCTACATCTGCTGCGGCATATATGAGAGCCAGCAATGGCGCATATTCGCAACTGCATTGACCGAGATGCGTGACCAGGCTTCTTCGATCCTGCTGGGCAACTGGTGAGGGAATCAAAGTTTCTTCATTCTCCATGACAAGAAATCGCGGAAGACCGGCGGCGATTGGGAAGGGGTGATATGTCGAAAAGCCCCAATCAATTATCCTACGGTGTATAAGTAGGTATTTTCTCAAGTCTTGGGGTCTCTTACCCAGTAATATTATAATTTCTGTCTACCAGAATATTATTACTCGATAGATCGCCATGTGAAATGAGGAAGGGAGCGTGGTGTAATTTCTCATGTACAACCTCAGGCAGTAACGCGCGAAGTATCAGGCAATCCTCCAGTGAAATTTGGGGCAACTGATGCCGATAAACACGAATGATTTTTCGGTCCACCACATCTGTAAGGAAGTCAAGAGTAGATACCCCTTTTCTTGTGAGTAATTAATATCATATTTCATCGCGATGTGCTTACCTTTGACTTTGGTACATTGAATTAGTTGCAGTACAATCTGGATTATCTGTTGCAAGACTTTGTCGCGGTCACATCGGTGCGGAGGTACAGTATCATTCCATTCCAATGGATCGCCTGGTAGCCATGAGAGAACAATGAGTGGGAAGCCTACTTCATTATCATAGGTCAGGTCATAGCCAATAAGCTTTGGAGCCCAGTTGAATCCATTAGCATTTAGACGTTTCAGAACCTCTATTTCGCATTGAAGTTGAGTTATGACGACCTCTTTAGGGGCATTTCGTGCATGTATTGGAATTCGCACAGCCCAGGTGGTCTGATCAGAAAATGCAAGCTTGTAAACTTGACAATGGCCTCCAGACAGCGGATGGGCCAGCGTGTTAGAACAAAAGGAGGGTAACTCGTTAGATGTCCAAAATCTTTGGGCGACTAGAGGAATATTCTCTGGGCGGAATGACATCTTGAAGAATCGAATGTAAGGTAATGAAGCGAATACATCAACATGTAGATGGAGTCAGATCAAGAAACACTCTTGAGAATGACTTGAGTAGAGTGGGGTCAGTCAACAGATTTTTTTTTATCAAGCACGTGATCAAATCACACCGCCTGACTGCTGACCAATTAGGTGAATTCTTCGATATTGACGACAGGTAAATTGGCCGCATGATTTTCCTCAACAAGCAGAAATTCTGAGGACCGTTCAATTCAGAACTACAACTATGAAAGGAGTATTGGAAGTGAAAATCTACGATTAGCGATAATTAAAGCTGTTCTCGTTTACGGGGTCGCCTGACCAAATTGCCTTGGGGCTGCCGCTTCACCGAATCGTCACAAATTCGAACAATCAATAGCCTAAAATGGCCAAACTCTCTACCTTAACTTGCAAATTCGTACATAGACTAAGCTTATACATATCGAATACATATAGAGACCACACAGTGTAAAAAGACTATAGACGGAAAGTCACATGCCGGGCAGAGATACAGAGGGAAGCGAACACGAACATATGTACTAACGATTTCGATAATATAATGAGGGGAGAATTTCTGACCAATAGATACAGAGTCGGGTGGCAGTCTTAGAAAACATCACTAACTAGGTAGTTAACTAGTTCCGTAACATCTCTTCAAATAGGACAATGATGATAAAGCACCGTCACCCTAAACCAATTCGTCTCTCAGGGTGGTGTAATGATAATCATGATCATGACCGCCATCTGTAGTTCGTTTACAGGCGCACTTGCAACCGCGTTGGTATAATTTTGGTGAAAAGAACCAAGCAGTATCAATGATCGGAGTTTGTGCTGGAAGCTAGACGAAGTCAGAAAAAAGACTGGCAGCTTGATGAAATAATGCGGAACGTACATCTGCATGTAGGAGATTGATATTTGTGCGACCTTGAGTTATCTCACATGTAGTCTCAAAGTCATCTCCAGGATACTCAACCAGGCCAAATAATGACATGTTATTTTCTTTGACCAGAGTACTAAATTCTTCCATAAATGTCACTTTCTTTTCGTCCAAAAAATCTCCTGCGCGAGACGAGTATTGGAATTCAGACGGTCGCATCGAACCGTCGAGAGACATGGACCACATCACCGGCTTGATGGGAAGATCAGTTAAGTCCTTCCAAGGTGAGGCAGTCTCATGGTAATGGACGAGTTTTTCGGACTCTTCGAGGTCGGCATGACGATGCATCAAACACAGTCCGAAGGTTGAATCCATACCATGATCGATAAAGAACTTTCGAAACAATCCATGAACAAGATTGGGGCCACCGATACTGACGTATTGTGCTCCCGCCTGGTCAATGGTGGGGAGGCTTTGAAAGTGCTCATGTGTATACTCCGCGAGAGGCATTTTCTGTGCTTCGTAATGAGATGGGGGTAACTAGATGAGAATAAGGTCGGTCTTTTCAGAATCATCGAAAGGATGGAGTCATTTGAAAGAACGCGAAGGCCGTATTTATATTTCTAGGCTGTAGGCAATAATTTTCTCCTCTCGAAACATGCGTTTTTCACGCGTGCATACGTGCGTGTATCACATCTTGTATTATACATTACGACGTTGAAATCTCGGCCTAGTTATTTGCCAGCCACTAAGTGCTAGCAAATGGCAGCAGCATATATATTTTTGACCAGCTCGTTAATGCCCGATAGAATGATAAACTTGGATCAGGGCATCTTATTGGTGGCTAAGAAACGCCCAGATCCTGAAACAAAAGTTAGCTGAGATACGTATAGCCTAGAGGCGATAATTCGAGGAGAAATCACTCTCTGATATAGAGGTTGATATTTATCTTGTGATTGGTGGGCTATGGTTGCATGATGCTGCACGGTCTTTCTGCTCAAGCCAGAGATTGGACTATTGCTCCGCTTTTTCGGATCCCGGCGTGTCTAGCGGACACGGCAAAAGGCATCAACCAATGGCGAGTGCGACTTTCCACGCGACAAGGCGCCCTGAGAGTGATGGGAGCTGCCTGTGACATGGGGCCAGCTAAGCGATCTCTCACCTATGCGGCGAAGTGCGTCAAAATCTCATCACTTGAAGAGGGGAACCCTGTCATTTACCAGGTCAGTGCAATCCTTAACCTACATACCGTGACCAGTCATACTGCACTCCTTGGATGACGGTGTCCCCACCTTGCTTTAAATGGTAATGTTGTACGCCTCACATCGCGTAGTGGGCCTTGCCATCCAATCAGGATTGAGAAGACAGTTCGTGGTAACTAGATACAGTAATAGGCTATAATGAGTTATACTGAATTATAATGGGTTATATTCAATGTCACCGGGCGTAAATGGGCGTAAATGGGCGTAAATGGACAATAACGGGCAGTGCAGCCAAGCCATCCTATTATTGGTTAGGGAAAGGGAGCTGTGCCTCACATGCAGCTAGCTGCAGCTAGGTCACACCGGATTGCAGTCTAAGAAGCGATCAAAGTGTGACCGATGAAGCTCAGAATGCGACATTAAAAGGCGGATCTTGCCCATTTTGTCTCATTCGGTTGTGTCTGTGGTCTGCTTCTTAACAATACCCGATTTTGTCATGTCATCCACCGAGCAATTTTTCTGTTCACTTTTGCACCAAAAAAAGCTTCTGGACGACAGTCCATTCCTAGACGCGAATAGTCAGAAAGGACTAGAATCATCTTATTGTCTATTGCATGACATAATCAAACCTTCGGGATCAAGGCAAACTCAGAGCAGACGTGACAAGTCGCGACAACACCTTAAGAATGTTTACTCTATAGGAAAGCCGCTGTTTATCCTTGTTGCCGTCACAGTTTCCATCTCTGATTTAGCATTGCTGAACCATGATGAGATTTTCCCTCGACTCGAAGTCTGGTGGCAAAATAATGTGCCCTCAGAGAAGTTCAAGTCACGTACCATCGAGCTCATTCAAGAGCTGGACCGTGAAAAAGAGCGAGGAGGTCTTGCCCATGTACGACGTATGAAATACATTTCCATTCAGTGGGCGAATGAGTACTGATTACTCTTGAAGAACGAACAAAAAGTAGGACCCTTGGAAAGACCCGACGTGTCAAGCACAAAAGGGTAGAACACCTGGTTCCCGACCCAGTATCAAACTCTCAGAGTCTGATTGACAACCAACCGAGCACCGATCTTGACATTGCCCTCCCTTTCGGTAATAGTACTTTATGCATTACTTTATTCAGGCGATACTAATATATGATCGTAGATAATGATAAAGCCGAAAGTGCGCAGTTAAGTGGAAGCTCTGGTTCGTCTATACGTGACTCTGGTTGGTAACATTACTAATATAACAAGGTTCCATGGACAACTATGCAGTGAATTTGTCTGACGAAGAACCGATATTTTTTCTTTCTTCACAGCTTATACAATTTCTCCAAGTATATCATACGAACTTCCCCCATCTACAAGCTGTCAGCGATCTGCTCCGAATCAGCGGGCCCAACCTGCAACTTTCATACCATCTCCTCAATTTGACACCTCCGTACATCCATATCGATCTTCAGCTGCCTCCAGGGCTGAATATAAATATCGAGGTTTCGCGGGAATTCAGTTATTCCTTCATTCAGTATCTTTGGATGCTCCAAACATCAGGCGTCACGACAAACGAAACGTCGCAACAATACATTCCTGAACACTAAGCCAGTACGTCCGTCACGAAGGATAAGGATTCTTTGGCCGCTCCCTGTTTTGGGGCCTGTTGAAAGTATATCGATGTTGCCCTCTGCAACACGGGAATGGATAACGCCCTCCCCCTCGTCTCCGTGTATCAGCACGGCAGGGGCGACGGTTGAATCTAAAAACTTTCCGTTGAAGCACTCTGTTTCAAGGAAGACATCTTTCCCTTTCTACAGAGATAAAAGTAAGCAGTTGAAAGGACGCCAAACACGAAGGAGTCTAACCAACAACAATTTGACTTCCTCCTCCATACCTCTATCATCTTGTGCTACTGTCTTGAGGAAAACAGCGTCATTGATTTTGCTCATGACACTCTGAACTTTCAGCTGACGTTGCTGGCGGTTTAGAAAGATGCGGGGAAAGGAAAACTATTGAGATTTGCGAATACCGTGTCTCTTGTTGTCGCAGAGCAGATCAGCCTTCACAGCAACAAACTTGGCAATCAGTAGCTCAGATAGAAACCAGATACGTGCCGCTGAATTTTGCTGTTCTTGACAGAATTTGCTGAAGACAGATTGCGCACTAAGTTTTTGTAACAAAATGGACCGCAATATAAGAGAATCCCACCGCGGGGCTCCCAACTTGCTTCGGGTAGCAAACCAAATCACGTGAGCTAACGTCACAAGACTTTCCCGCACAACACATCTTAACATCTTTGCAATATGTTGAAAATGGAAATTCTCTTTAAATAGCCTGTTTCGTCTTTTTGCCGTGTTCAAATATCGAGAAGAAAATAAGTTGCATAAAAAAATATATGCGACCCATTGCAGTATTTTGGGAATTCCCCAATTTCATTCTGTATCACAGCGTCTCAATTTGTCTCATTAGCTTCAGGACCGACCATTATGTCTCAATTTGTCCCATTAGCTTCAGGACCGACCATTATGTCTCAATTGTATCACCATCATCTTACCGGATCCTCCTTGCATAAATTTGTATCACTTAGTAACATTTTGAGCCATTAAGTATGCCTTAACTCCAGACCTGCACTTTTGTGAACAGTGATAGCTCCACAGGATCCAGCAAGCAACTCCATGAAAGCTTGCCACATTGAGAGTGATTTTCATCATGTTTTCCAGGCATCCCACGATATGAACTACGCATCTGAATTAAAAATCTCTGCATCGGACTTTTGCTAAACAAGAGAGAGGGGATTGCGACGAAGATATAAAGGGAACCTGTATTCAGCTGGATGGCAGCTCATTATTTTCAATTCCATTGGCTTTTGGACTTTCTGATATCACCTGTCTCATTGCATCAACGACTACTTCCATTCATTGAATCAGAAAACATGGCCCTGGTTCAGCATCATGCAGAATTATCTTCCTCCGAGCACAGCATGGTGTCCGAGAAGACTGTCTCTGCCTGTCAACGGGACCTTACCCCGCCGAATAGCCCCAATGGTGACTTTACTCAACCTCGAGCGAAGGACCTGAAGAAGCTTCTTGAGAAGGTACTTTCCAAATTCGAAGATCCTCCGAACAGCCCCGTCTACCAGGAAAACTATCAACTAGGACCAGATGCGTTTGAATTGCAGATATTGCTAGCGCAGTTCATCCGCGGTAAACAATCACCTACGGTGGCCGGACATACCCAGTCTTGTTCTGACAACAGTGGACAAGGGTCTGCCACTCCGCTGATAGGCGAAGTGGACCTCAGTCCCCCGATATGTACCACGCCGACTGATTTCAAGTCGTTCGAGAAGTGGGCATCAAAATCCCAATTCAAAACAGTTTTGGAAACGTATGGGCCACAGCCTCCCCGCCCCTTCTTTCCTTCCCATTTTCTCTTCAAAAATATCTGACGCGGCTATAGCTGGGACAAAGAAGCCTGTAAATACAAGATCGCCGAATCGGTGGATACCAGCGGTGGTCTGGATGACTATGCTGAATGCGCATTCGTTGTTCGTGAACGCGTGGGTACCTGACGTCTTTGTCTAGCAGACTGAGATCACACTAATGTTGCTTTTAGACCGGAACTCCGAGGAGGTGATGCCGTACGTAGACATCAAATCGGAAGGCCTGCGTGCCGCACTTCGTGAGGTGCTGCACGAGATCAAAGCTATGAACCTGATGGAGGACAAGCCATCGGTAATTGAGACATAGTATTACCTCCAAGAAGATCGCTGACCTAGATTTAGATCGAGCAAAACATCCTTTTCCATTTCCTTCCTGAGCTTGAAAGATATGCGGATCTCATGGAAAATGGTCCGGACCATGGATCGGCACATGCGCAGCATCTCCGCTTGCTCATCGACCACCTCAAGCACACATATGTTCCTATCATGCAGCGTCTCAGGTCAATGTTGCAACACGGTCATATTACGTATGACCTTCTTTGGGCACTTTTCAAGCCTGGCTGCCACATTTACACCACATGTATCGGCACAAAAGAGCCACGCTGCGTCGTCTTCGACGCAGGAGAAGAGCTAACACAACATGATGAGACATGGTTCAATCTCGAATGCCGATTCCTTGATTACGACGGAGTCAAGTTCGGCGAGGCCGGAATCTTTCTGCGGGTGCCAAAGTTTCGAGGGTCAAAGCCGATCGCTACACTTAAAGCTTACCCTCTCCGCCACCATCCGAGTCATGAGCAGGTCCGAAAAGACCTAGTCGAGAGAGGCCAGAGGTTTCGGGATTTTGCTGGCTCACACACTCAGCACTATAATGGCAGCGCATTCTTTATAAGCAAGGGCAAGGCTATCAAAGTCAACATCAACAGTCGAGTCGCAGTGGACGCTAGATTTTTCCATGAAATGCAGCCAAATTACTCCCGGCCATCTCTGCGCGACATGGTATTGAAGGAGAAGGATGGTATTACCTTCTTTGATATAGGTGTAGTGTTTATGGAGGAACGCGAGCAAGAGAAGGAGAAAATACGAGGAGACGGTGTGGAACCACAAAAGCTGAGCTAGGCCGATTTGTTAATCGCCTGTCCAACAGTTTGTTGTTTCAGCTTTAAGGAGAAGACTTTTTGTATATGATAGGCTTGAATGAATTTTGAGGACAAGCTAATATGATTTCAGTGGAGTGCGCAGTTAGTGCTCTTAGGGATGTGAACTGGTCCCCTGAATCATTCGACTACCTGTAAATTCCGCCGGAGAACAAGACGCTCCTCTTATCAATGGCAAAATCCCGCTTGGGTCTGATACCGACAAAACCATTTGACGATATAATTGACGGAAAGGGTCAAGGACTTAATGTTCTTTTGGAGTATATCATCAGATTTTTTATGCAATATATCGAGACTTCCTACCTAACCTGTGCTAGTGGTCCTCCCGGCGTTGGCAAGACGTTTACAGTTGAGGCAATATCGGAATATTTTAAGCTATCTCTTTACTCAGTACGAGCCAGTTGTGGCGCAAAGGGTGGCTTCGCTAATTTTCTCAGATATCTGCAGGCGAACTCGTTGTCGACTACGGAGATTCTAATGCGCTTGAACAACAACTTGGAACAATTTTCAAGATCGCCCATCACTTTAAAGCTGTGCTCCTCTTGGACGAGGCGGATGCATTTATGGAGCAGCGCACATCTTACCATAATACTCATAATCGACTGGTGACTGTTTTCCTCTGAAAGCTGGAATATTATTAAGGCATTTTGTTCTTAACTTTGAATCGGGGTATTCAGTTTGATGATATAATCCTTAGTCGGATCCATTTAATCATCGAGTATGAAGGCTTGAGCAAGGAATCTCGCAAATATCTCTGGTCAACCTTTCTGGCCAAGGCGCATACAGTTTGAGGGTCTGCCAAGGTCGAGGAGCATAACCTTCGGCGGTTAGAGGCTTTGTAACTTAATAGACGAGAGGTAAGTTCTAGAGCGCTACCGTTTATTTCTTATTTGCTGACTAACAATAATAAGATCAAAAACATCGTAGCAATTACGCATGCCCTCGCTGAGGCGAATACCAGCCAAGTGAACTATAAATACCTTGAGTTAGCCGCCGGCTCGCGTCAGAAATTTTCGAAGGAGTTTGGCAAGCAGGAGATGTATATCTAGTCATATAGGGGAAAGCCATGTGGACAATTCTGCTTCTTGCCGACGGAGAGGGGTTGGGTTATGATTGCGATGTTTCTTAGTACACGACAGTTAATAGTATCAGCACTAAAGTTTAATAATTAGAACCACAGTTTGAATTCATCCATGGGAGCTTCGGATCTTTTGAAAATGAAGCACAACTTACAAGGTTAATAAATCGCTCACTCATGACCAGTAGTATAACAAAGCAGTTTTCTGCCTTGTCAGAGAGATAAAGATATGGCGACATAAGGCTGAGTCATGGGTTAAGAAACAATATTTGCAGACGTTAATCGAGCTAGATGAAAGCCCCGCTCTTACTATCTCGGACGCGATGGACATGACGTATGTTCCCTAAAGCTGGCTCAAGGGCACAAGGCCGTTTCAGCCACTTCACATCCTCCAAATCAACAACAACCAAACGGCGACTAGTGCTATCCCACAACATGTTACACCACTCGTTGACACCATGGATAAATCCGTAACACCGTACAAAGAAGCTAGAATTTTTGTGACATGCTGAAGTCGAATCCCAGACCAGCCCAGGATCATCATCTGCGCCATCAACTCTCCGTGGTACCAATATGAAATGCTTGGTTTGAAAGCTCCAAGACAGACGGGAATTTGTTGGCCCTGCAAACTTTTAAGGTGATCATAATTTTCCACCTCCGCTTGAAGACGATGCTGCTTCTCTGCCGTGGTCGCTTTGATGACCACAGCGTATCTATGCAAGAGAAGGGTTGCCTCCTGAAGATAGCCCGTTCGGCCGCGCACGTGTAGTTCAAATCCCTCATTTCGATTCTGTACGAGCTGACGCTGAAGTCTGCGGTGAATTCTGTTGGGCCTATCAAATGTTTTCAGGCAGTTGCCAAATCAAAAGTGATGCAACGAGGAGTATGACGACAAGATATTTAATTCGCTCGCTTATGAGTTTGCCAGCAAGGTACCGGAGTAAGTATTTAGCCCGGCAGAAGTTCTTTTATGTCTTTTAAAGCGTAAGAAGTCACCTTGGGATGCTGTTTCTTGCGTGGAGAGCTGGGTGGCTAATGCAAAGTACTAAGAAGAGTAGGAAAGCAGGCAGAGGGTCTGGGAACTGCTGAGAAGAAGGAACTCAGAACGTTGGTCGTAAGATGGGAGCTTGTTTGATTGTGGCGCTGAATTGATTTTCTTGGGAGCTTTCTTGTATGTATTGAGAAAGAATTAATTAGCTCTGGAGATTTTTAAATTAACTTTATGATAAGAATATTATATGATTATAAAGTAGCCTATATCTATCCTAAGTATTTAATAAATACTATAATGATCTTATAATAATATCTTGGTTAAATAAAGGCTTATATTAAGGACAGGCTTAAGTAGTATTTTGGTGATTTCGATAAAAGATATAGAAGTCAGCTATAAAATTATCATAATAATGAATTATACATATCGAGAATTAATTTTTAAGGCAGAAGGAGTATTGTATTCTTATAATATACGAATATGTTTTATATCTGCTATCTCTGCTTAATATAACTATCGTTTTACTACCCCAGGTCGCTGCTTAGCTGGTCGGCGTCTTAGAGTAGAGTGGTAAAAGTCGATGATCAAAGCACGCCTAAGCTCTTCACTCTAAAGAATGTTATCCAGTCTGAGGTCATTGTGTATTATTCCAAGTCTTTTGATTTCCTTGTTCGATTTATGAATTTCGCGGTGAAGTCGCTGCGTTAGGTCTATCTTGGCTGTGCTTTCGCCTCCCTAGCCCATTATGAGCATATGGCGGATTTGTCCAGCGCCATAAAGAAAGTAGATTTTTGCTAAATCAATTGTACCTAAGAACACAGGTATAGCAGACACTTAAGCCTTCCGCAAGACCTAGTAGACCTGCGCTTCGCGGGATACTTCCTTCCACAATCCCAAAGTGGTGCCTTTGCCGATAACCGTATAGCTATATTTCATATATATCAGTTTGAAAGATATACCGTAAGAGCCACAGCGACCAAATGGAATATAACAATCGATATTCTTATCCAATTGGCTTTTCAATAAAATCATTAGATCTTCGACAGAGATAGGATGCTGGCTCAAATTGTTCTGACCCTTACGATGATGGTTCAAGTTTGGACAGAGCTCGTCTAAGGGCTCCCCAGTCTATAGGCCGAGTAAACATCGCTACGTGTAAAATTATGCAGCGCAGCGTCGAGAATGATCTTCTTGGTTACGCCTTGACTCCTGTCGTTGACCCGATCGCCGTGCGGACGGCGAAGGCATGACTTGGCTGATTCTCCGCTTGTAACTAGTAGTTTGATTTATGTCAGAGCCGGATGAGTTAGGTGACTACGAGCGCGGTTGGGTCTCTAGAGGTGCACAATTGCTCTAAGATCGGGTAGGCACTTGATGACTATCTGAGGGAGACGCTGGCGGGGATGATAAGGGCGGATCATAGGATGAACCAGACTCGGGACTCGGAAACTCAGGGTTTGTACTATCGGAGTGGGGAATCTGCTGCAATTCTTTGCTCGGAATCTAGGAATAAGTATGTTCAAAGCTTGTTTGCCATATATGAAGTTCGGGCCGCCAGCGATTTCTCCACTCTTGTCCACAAGAGGGTGATCGGAATGCCATCAAACAGAGGTATAATACCCTTGCAATAGAGGTCTTCAATAATTGGGAAATTTTGTCACCTGCTGGGTCTACTTCGCTGTGGGGATTGTAGAAAAAGTAATAGAGTGTAGTGGGTTCATTTTGCGGAACACAAAGTAGGATATGGGTAAGTCCATTTGTTACATAGGAATACTTATATCCTTCTTCGAACATTGTATGGTATTCCTGGACTACAGCAGAGTATGCTAGCCGCTCTGCATTATACCTCAGTTTCGCATCCTGGTCTGTGGGTATTTTATTTGACCTGACTATTGTCTTCTATAGATCCATCGGTCATAGTCCTATGCGAAGAGCTGCGACAGGCAGTTTGTAAGACGGCTTGTACTCGACAGTCGTCAGGAGGGTATTCGTGTTGCCGTCGACCCAATGGATGCAAAACTGATCTGGTTGTGGGTGAGATGTGCTTGACAGATGATTCTCATCTGCTCCAACGGTCTCGTCCCTACTTAAAGAATGAGTGTGATTGCTGAACTGAATCCCATCACCAAGGCCAAATTCAGCACGTGCCGCTGGTATTTGGCAAAGCTCGGCTATTATATCATGGACATACTCTTCCACCCTAAACCGTTCATAGGCCTCAAGATCTTGCTCACTGCTGAGGGGCTTGCGGGCAAATCGGCGACCGAGTCCTTCTAGTTCCGGCAGAGACGAGAACAAGCGTTGCACCTGCTCTAGCTCTGGCTGTAGATACTTACAAACAGAATTATAGATTCTTAGCATCTGCTCTGGGCAATCGGCCCAATGTTCCAACCGTATTGGGCAAAACTTTCCTGTCGGAGCGGGTATTTTGCCAGTGGTTGAGCGAGATGGTGTCTCAACTCTCAACTGACGGGAGATTATATCATGACAGTGCTGCAGGAGCTCCGTGAAAGAGGTCTGTTGGTTGCGTTGTTCTGCCTGTCGTCTTCCTTCTGCTTCCTGCTTCTCGCGTTCTTCTGCCTGCTTCTCGCGTTCTTCTGCCCCCTTTCGTCTCTCCTCTTCTTGCTTCCGTCTCTCCTCCTCTTGCTTTCGTCTCTCTTCCGCCTGCAGATAGAGAGATTTATAGTCCGGGGAGCTGTTGTCAGCCATCGACCTCTTGGAAAGGGGCATCACATTCGCCCTTGTGTATGGGTCAGCGGACCAACGTGCGGGGAGTCAACCGAGCCGGCTCCGGCGGAACATTTTTCCGGTGATCAACAATGGATATTCGGTAGATTATGGGGTTTCTCCGATCCTTGCTATTCAGCCGGGTATTCAGTCAATAATATCATCATGCCTAAGTTGTACCTACAAACACGGTCCCCTCCAGAGTTCATAGCAGCCACCAATCTGAAGCCTTCATCCCAATTTTCTCGCTCGCCATACCCACAACTCGTTCTTCAATAAGTCATATTCTTGCAAGATGTGGTACAGTATCATTTCTCTATAGAGGAAGCATGCAATGGATCGATTAGTCAGCAAAGTCCTTCTCAACTTAACTAGTTAACTAGCCAAAGAGCAAGCTTACTAGTCTCCTCGTATGGTTGACTTGACAATTATGCCTCAGGGTACACCCTATATGAAAATGATCAGTAAAGAAGTTCGTTCCTTAGAAGGGTATGTATATATAGGGGATAAGAAACTGCTTTTGCTGAAAGGCCTTAAACGAGCATAAGGATGGCAGGCAAGACAAGGTATTTATAGGCTTTTTTGATCATGATGGTTCAAAAGTATACCACCACTTTTCAGCAAATTCATGGAAAAAGTATCCCTCAAAAAAAAAAAAGATAGATCGTCTTTTGTGATTCTGGGGAGGAGGATTTAGTTGCTGCTTTTCTTCATAGTACTTGGAGACTGTCGACGCATATCCACCTTTGGACGCTTGACCAGACTCGGTGATTGCTGTACCAGACTAACTAGTCTGAAGTAATTTCTGGACGAAACCTAGAAGTACAAAACTATTAAGATATGCACAGACCCTCGTTAAAAATAAAAATCAGTCGTTGAGCTAGTATAAGTTTGAATCTACTCATTGATTTTAATCAAGCAATGCACAAATGACCAAAGACAGCAGCACCATTCCACAATACCCCAGAAAGCTTTATTGTTCATATCGTCAATCTTTTCTCTAGACATTGTTAGTCATCTTTGCAACGCTCGAGAAATCCTCTTTTTGCATGTTCAAAAGACAAATGCAGAGTGAATTGCTCTTGCCTCGGAGCCTTACGAATGAGTGGATCAAATGGCAGTATCGATTTAGTGGCTCTTACTGAAACTCTCCACGAGGTGCAGTGATCTGTTCCGAGCTCGTCATGAATGATCTCCCAGTGAAGACGGACATTTGCCTGCGCATCAGACTCTGAGACCGTCATTTGGTTTAAGGTACCGGTGACCTGGGAGTAATCTAGCCAAAGATTATTGATAGGACTGCAAATACCGCGCTTGACGTTGAACTCTTCCGAGAAGCGCATACTACCAGCAAATATTCCTAAGAAGTCACCCTCACACACCGGGACAATAGAACAGACGGATAATGCCATACTGTCTTGAGGCACGATAAAGACGAACGGGGACTTGTCTCGCCCAAATTCGGATACCAAGAATTGGTTGTTTTGGGATTCGAGTATAATTTCCGTAGGGAAAGCGTGCAAGCATTTGTCCGTAAAGCTTTCTTTTTCCGCTGTGAAAGCCCATTCATTTCCGGCATTGTTCCAAGAGGACTTGGGAACTTCCAATCTTTCTATAACTTGGGGGGGTTTCAAGGTCGCAAAAGCGCGCCAGGTCACCTTGTCCAAGTCTAAGAACACGTGTTTCCAGCTGCTCGATGAATGGTCTATATTGGGTCTCCCACGACATGGTTGCATCTACAAGCGAGATTTCTGCTGTTTTAGGGTAACCCCTGCAATAGCTGTCAAATTCCTTGGTCCGGTAGTAAAGGACTTTATCAATGCCCACTTCACGCATTTGGAAAAGATTTTTCCAAAAGATGCGGCACTGCCGTTGGTTCTCAGCTCCTAACTTGTATCCAGCAGCCTCCATGAACTTCTTCGTTGCGGCCTTCTCTGCCATAGTGAATCCATCCGCGGGCCCTTTCGCGGGCGGCAGTGTTGTTTGATCCAGCAGCGCAGCACCCTTGAGAATGATTTTCCACAATATTGTTTCGTTGCACCGGTTTTGAACACCTCGGCCCGTAGCCAGAGCAGCCTCCTTTTGAATAGTTCTGACGGCCTTTTCGTAATCGTATTCAGCAATCTCATCCACGTATTTCCGGATCTTGGAAGGGTCGGTCCTCGTTGGAGACAAATTGGTTTGATGTCCATATGGAGCTATTGCCGAATTGACCTTTAGACATTCAATCAATATCGATGTCATGGCTTTTGTCGCATATGCGGAGCCTGACTGATAAGATGAAAAAGTGCTGACGGGTAAAGCAACTTGAGAGTCAGTTACGGCGTTGTCACTGGACGGCAGCTGAAGGAAGGGTAACGAATGAGCTTTCAGACAATTTGTGGAGTAGGCTTCAACGTGACGGTGGCTTACCTCTTGATCGACACCATACGGAATCTGAATATGAGAGCCCGCTTGTGCGGAATTCTTGTCAGCTTCTTGGAAAGTGGATTGGTTACCACTCTCTGCTGATGGCTTAGCAGTCTTTTGTTTTCGCTTCTTTCTCTTCACTGCGCCTGCCTGATTAGCATAATTCTTTTTCCGTGCTTGCAGAAGCCGATAAGATCCAAGGCCCTTATGTGGCGAAGCCGGAGGCGTCTGTAAGACCAAGCTGCTGGTTCGAAGTCGTGACCCTTCCACATTACCTCCGGCGGTCGCAAGATGAGCCTGGAGGACTTATTACGAGTCAGCACAAATATATAAAGAATTTGAAGAGCGACTAACCATCATTGTCAACTTGAGAGATGAGAGAATCAATGTAGCCTTCGTCATGATCAATCCCAGATGATGTCAGGGCATCCCGCACAGCCTGGGACAAAAAGCTTCGGGTGCTCTCGTCCATGACTTGCGAAGATCTGCGAAAAGTCAGGCAGGTCGATGATATGCTTTTCTTCTTGAATGAGGTGGCCCGTCTGTCTTTGTTGTCATTCGGCTGTTTTTCAGAGGCAATCTGACGAGAGAAGCAATCGCCGTGATTTACGTGTCATGGCACGAGTTTCTCTCTCGGAGCATCAAAATTGCATCGGTCAATAGCGCCCACGATCGAACGCAGCGTCGTGCTAGTATTTGAAAGGGGAATAACTTTCGAAGCCTGCTTTGCGCCTAGGGGAACGAAGTCGGATCGTTGGGTAGAACATTTCCAAATACGGACCTTCTGGAGAAGGTTATAGAAGCGAAAAGAATCTAACAGAAAAGTGATTAAATTTAACGGAAGGGGAGTTAAACAGAAAGGTGATTAAACGGAGGGATGATTAGCCGGAGAGTTGATTAAATGGTGAGGTGATTAACCGGTGATTGACGGGCCATGACCGTCACGTGCTGCGCCTTACTGGCTAGAATCCTTTTCGTCTACCCCAAAGTGGAGACAAGAGTTGCCAACATACCTAGCGACGAGACATTCAACGTTAAAGTTTATATTAGAGGTACTTTTTTAGTAGCATTTAAAAGCTAGCTAGCTGTAATTATTTGTGCGGTTGGATTGTACCCTCTTTTTGCGTAGGCTGAATCCCGGATTAGTTCAAAGTCATAATCCCTCTAAAAGAATTGTACTTTGATCGGAACATGTGGCAATTCCACATAAATCATATTGTATAATTAGTTGACTTACTTATGTATTGGATGAACTTAAGTGAATGTACACAAGTGGGAAATTATAGAAACAGCTGCACGAGTTGAATCTCTCTCTATGTGAGAGAATATGTGTGAGTCCATTCATGTGGGATTGCCACATGTTCCGATCAAAATCACAATTCCATTTAGACCGATCATGACTTGAAATTTTTGAACGTACTCGTAATTGGAAATTTGCGTGGACTTCTTCCTTGTGAATGATTTAAGACTATATCTAATTGCTGTAACTTATTACGATGTACTGTATTGTGCACTGTAATTTGTGTTGCTGAACCCTCGAACTGGTAATGAGTCCTGCTGGTAGTGAGAGTCCTGCAGGTAATGAGAGCCCTGCGGGCAATCAAAATCGGGAATAGATTGACAAGAAAATCCCTCAAGACGAGTGGTAGGGCAGGTGGAGATAAGTGAGTGACTCAGTAGCTATGCCTGTCTCAATACAAATCCTTTATATCCGATTTAACACCGAGTGATGGCTTGCTTGCTGCATTTGGTTAAGCAGCCAGCCTGCCCTCGACAATATGCGTCTCTGATCTCCTGGTTATTGTCTACATTATCGTGGATCACTGTAATGGAAGCTCTGGGAAATGCCACCCCAGAGTGGAGTAAACAGTGACAGTAAGTGAGCCAATCAAACTTTGCATAAGCGGCCGGCGAAGTCCCGTTTTTTGTAGTACAGCTCTCTGGCCCACTGAGAGATTGACTGTCTGTTCGTTTTGAATGAGTATTTTGAACATTCGGCAGGATGCAATATTCGCTTATAACAGTAGCTGGATACCAAGCTCTTTCTAGGAAAGAGCGGAGCCAGACGCAATGACCAAACAATGTTTTTTGAGAAGAGTTTGGGGGGGGGATGGGGAGAGGGGGAAAACATTAACATAGGGACTACAGTAGTACAAAGACTGTCTCAAGACAAAGACTGTTCCAAGACAAAGACTGTTCCAAGCTCGATACTCACACTCTTGGGTATACGCCGTAGGAAAACCCGTAGGCGACGGTGACGCCACTACAATAGTATCTTATAAAGAATTTGATTTCACTTATTCTACGATGTTGATCACGGGCACGGAAGGGGCCGAGATGGACCGGCCCGCGATTCGCGCCGAAGATGGAATAAGGGTGATGTTGTACATTAATTTCATTGGCTTAAGATGTCCTAACTTACTGGATCTCCGTACTAACCTTGCCCGTTTACAGTACATCCCGAAAATGGTGCAACCGGCTACACTCTTTTGAGTGGTTTTTTAGCCCCATTGCCGGGAAACACTAGACCATATTAGGAACGGAGCCGTAATATCAATATTCCTGTATCAATCTCGATACTGTGATTTACTTTCATGAAAATACGCTTCCTTATCTTGTAACTGTATTGGAGATGCAAGGGAACTAGAATTTTCCCCAGAAATACAAATAAACTATCCACTACCAGATTGAGTGGATGGTTAAATTGAACAATCAAGTTGTGGTCAAGGATACAAAACAAGACCTTATTCAACCACCTATATCCTACCGGGAGCAACTAAAAGGGGATGCCTGTAATATTCTCGGCTACGTAGCTTAGCGCCTGTCACGGTATTTGGTGAGCTCTATAAGGGGAGTATTCACATTGTCAGTCAGCGAAGGGCATATACTTAGTCAGCTTGGCGGCAGCCAATTATTGGCCAGTTTTTGATGTACATTTGTCTACTCCAAGGTGGAGACAAGAAGTTGCAACAAAACTAACAATGACTATTGATATAAGATGTGCTAATGATCGTTCAATAGAATCAACTCTGATAAATAGAGAGGGATGAGAGAGTTTCAAAATGTAAAAGGACAGTATGAAATGAGTGCTGAATACTCAGATGTTGTTGTGAGGAGAACTGACGGTGTAACAGTCAAGGTTCTTTGCTTCAAGGACGCGTAAACGATTAGCCAGCCAATTAGACCACCAATGTCGAAATTACGCCATCTTTGTCTGGAACAGGAAGACTTCTGGCTGTGAGCTTTTTGGCCCTAGACTTCCTTTTTTTGGCGAAAGACTTGTCTAATCTTCGTATAAATAAACATTCTCTAACAAATATTGGGTAAGGCGGAGTTTAGGGTGCTTGTTGAGACTGGGAAGGGACTCTTGCATGGCAGAATGGACGCCAGTAACCTCATCGGGATACGCCTCAGTAATAGCGTCCTCGGGCAGAGCCTCCTTAGGAGGGCATGGGAAACATGAGCAATGTCGCCCTGTGAGAGCATCTTGGGAGACTAGTAGAAAGAAGAGCCGCTTCTTGTGTGAAATCTGGGATTGTGCGGAGTGCACCATGAGCGAAATCTTGAGAACTCGTTAATAGAAGCTTGTTCTTCGGTAGATTATCCTAAAATATATGGGCACTTGGAAGCCCAAGAACAGGATCCTTTTTTCGAGAGGGTCGGGCTCTTGGGAAAATCCTCTTGAGACGAGATTAGTCACGGAATGGCTTAGTGAAGAGCACAGACGGCATAGAACGCTATACGTCATATGAGCTGGCTTCTAGGCCTCCGTCTCTCCTAGTCCAAGCATTCTAGGTCTAAATCAGTCTTGAGACGGTCCGAAGGCTTAGAGGGGGCTGCGATGGGATTTTTTGATTCGATTGGCTGAGTTGAGTGGATCCCCGCAGTGATCTTCGTAGTAGACAGTCGAAACCCGGATTGAAGCCTAACAAACCAGGCATCAAGGTTGAATGGTAAAAAGAAAATATCGAGTGCCAATCCGGGGGCTCGCGAACTATTAGCAAATGCACGTGATCTGGAGGTTCCATTGTTTCATACCTACACTTTAAGAAGCCGTCTAATCAATGCTCAACAGTGCCTGTGATGAACAATCAATCAATTGTTCGTTACAGTACGAACACTCGCTACCCCACGTTCAACACATCATTAATGATGGATTTGAGCAAACATCAAGAATAAGGAATAAAATCAACTCTACCGTTGGTTGATCTTCAACAGTATGACCAGAACATGTGAAAAAAAAAAAATTGTGAAGTATCTCGGACTCTTCAGCAATGAGAGATTGTCCGAGGCCTCTGAAAGGTACCTGGATGCACCTGTCTATCAATTGAACATGAATATAACCTATGAAAGCAATTTCTGGAATGGTGAAGAGCGACATGCACATCATAGGTGGAGAAGATCCAATGGGTCAGCCAATTATAACGATTAAGGCAACTGAGTATTTGTAAATACTACAATCTAGACCTAATTAAACATATATACCTCATTGAGCATTGTCGATCCCATTGTGATCAAATCTATCTATCTTCAGTACTGTTCGGACACTCACAATAATGATGGCTTTTCAACAAGTTCTATAGATGTTTAAACAATCAAGTAAGTCACTCAGGGAAAGAACTGGCACAAAACACACGCTCCGAAATATTGGTGCTTGACCTTCGGCACAAGACTGAAGCGTCGAAGAAATAACATTATCGTTGGACAATCAGCATTGATAGACTATCCATCTGCGTTGGCCAACGATGCCGGTGAATGAATGATACTCTTCACACATTCGCGTTTTTCAAACGGTCGCGTCAAACCAATTTTGTTCCTCATTGCCAAGAGTTAATGAAGTATCAATGATCAAAATTGACTCGCGCCCCTCATGAAGTTGTTCGAGTCAATTGGGTCGCACTTTGAGCATTCAGAATAATAGCCAAATTAGCGCTCTCCATATAAAGTATCTACCATGCTATTTTTGACACTTTTATGTTATAAGCCTACTACTTTGAGTCCTTCCATAGCGAAGACAATCCAATCGCTGCAATGTCCAATCGCTCTTCAACCAGAAAGTTGATGCGCCAAAAGCAATGTCGCCGCAGAATAAATATGATGAAAAAGGCATATGAATATAGTAAGATGTGCAATGCAGATGTATGCGTGGGTGTTCGCATACGGGAGACAGGTCAGATATATATTTTATCAGCGGATGCCTCAGGGTTTTGGGATTTTCTGACTACACAGCTGGTAAGCCACATATGACGTCATCTTGACAAGAGAAGCTGACCGATTAGAGCTCTCACTACCCTATTCCAAACGTGACAACCGATTGTGATTTTGAGAAGGGCGTGGAGGATGCTAAATAAGATACCACGCAATAGGACTCGATTTGTGTGAACAGTATTTTCCATAATCCTGCTTGTTTAAAAGCCGTTATACTTCAAAACCTTGGCGTATACATTGCGGCGATGGTGGTTGTTACAGTGTCGAAACCAGTCCATATCAGACTAAATTAGTGCTCGGGACAGATCACACCACTCCAAGAGCTCCTTTCGATTTTTGATCTGCCCGTAAGCCGAATATCCTCTGACTCGGTCATTTTAGCATCGATATTGAATCAGTATGGAAGAAAATGCGTTGCGGCTAGAGGCAAGTTTCCTAATTCAGCCTAGTTTAGCTTCAGTCACAGGCCGAAAAACAGATTTATGTCCGATACTGTAGGGGTAGTTTGTCTTTGATACGCCTGTATCCAATTGGATGATTGTTTCTCATTTCTCCACTTTGGAGTAGTGAACTTGGTGCCCGCCATTTTCAAGTGGTAGACCTTTACATTTTGCTAGTTAGTTGACATCTGATCGCCGCTTGAGTGGAAAGACATGAGCATATGTTAATACTGCCTAGGACAAAAAAGAAAAGATGAAGAAAAAATCACATGCATTTGCTAGTAGTTCGCGGCTCCCCAGATCGACGATAGAAACCTTTTCGGCCTTCATTCTTGATGCCTAATTTATTAGGCCTGAAACTGATCTGACCGCCGAAATATGACTCAAGGAAGCCCCGCTATGCACCATTTCGGATTATACTACTGTAAAACATCCTGATACTCATGCGCAACAATCCCTTGAACCGTCTCGTTGCTGATCTAGATTTAGAATGGCTCGACTAGGATAACAAGCTACGGACACGACGTGTGACGGAAAATTGCAAGTCGAACGACTACACCAAGTGGCTTCGTGGCAATGAGAGGACTTGAATATTGCATATCCGTCATATATGGACCATCGGTCTGAAAAAATGTATACAGTATATGAAACGTCAGTCTACCATTACAGTACAGTATGCAGCAGAACTACATACATGTAAAGGTCTAGCGGGACTGGCAAAGCGGCCCAGTATTGCACCAAGTCCCCAGATTGAATAAAAGACTCCGTTCATGATTACTAATCAGGACCCATGATCCTTTTCTCCACTTTGGAGTACTGTAACACAGCATATCTTTATTGTACAGTACCAAGATTCCTGCTCTGCAGGTGGGAGGTAAAAAAATTAAACCCTCTGTGAAAAGCACCTAAAACAGTCTATAGACGATCTGCCATGTGGCCACTCAAGATTGGCTTGTCCCCTCAGCCTCACTTCGACGCCTCACTTTTTCTCAGCAGCTAAGCCGCGTTCTTAACAGATGGCTTCCTACGTCGTTTGACAAGCAGGTCCAATAGGGCTCTCTGCACCGTCATATCTTTTTCATATGCCTCGTATGGGATCAGCAGGTTTACGTGAGGTCGCACAGTCCTCTCGCTCTAGCGAATACTTGATTAGCTATCGTTCGTTGTTGGACCCATTTTGCGAGGCTGGCACAGCAAAGACGTGACGTGCCATTTGCATGCTACATATAGCGGGGCAGTGACTTAGCTTTAGCCTGCAAAGTACACCCTGCCACCACATTGATCTCGGAGCAGAGCCCCATGAGATACAAAGCAATGCGCTCCTGCAAATTGATTGGGCATTCTCGAACCTTATTCGCAGGTTGCTTAGCTTTCCCTTATTATTGCGAAAGCCTCTTCTTGCTGCCTCCCGTCAAATGTGTGGAAATTTGTCAAAGGGGCGTTGAATTTACTTAGCCTTAGAAAAGTCAAGGGCGTCACCTTTCATATATCAAGTCGGATATGCCTGGTACGATTTGCCTGACTTTACACTCACATTGCAGGTATGAACTCACGAGAACCTAGTGGCCCCAGAGGAGCTACGGAATTTGTAGGGATGTACATAAAGAAAAATTTGCAGACTGAGAAAAAGAGACTGGAGCGTATTATCGAGAATTATCGGGAGCAGGAATACCCATGCCAATATGATTCATCGACAGGAAGGGTAGAGTGTTTCACAAGCTGTATATCATACGAATGGGGTGATATTATGGTACAATGCCCGGAGGAGGTGAAGTTTAAGGCCCAACGACAGCTTGAAAATCTTAAAACGCAACCTCTCATAAGAATTGTATTTTCTGATTCCAAGCTCGCATCCTCGAATGACTTTCTTCAAGGTGAAAATTTGGTTTATGGACACAGGTTGGTGTTTTAGAGAGGGGATCACCCCAAGAGATATTGTCTATATACTGACCATAAGTTGATAGGGATACTCTCATGATGATGGACGAATGGCATTGCCCAAAACTTCGAGAGATAGAATTCCGTGGAATCTTGATTGAAGAAGAATGGGAGGTGAAATCTCACTATGTCCTCTTTTCTTCGGCCATGACTCTGCTTTGTTCTATATTGATTGCTGCTAAATTTGTTTTTGGCGAATGGGGAACGGCATGGACTGTCTGCTCTTTCTTTCTCTCGCTGGGGTCTTCTTTGTATGGGATGATGAATATTGAGTTAGCTAGATAGTATAGTATGTAAAGGAGTACCAAGAGACAAATGGTGTTGAGGGACAGTTGGCTAGTCAGTTGCTCCTTGTGTCCGGTTGTATCCACTTGCTTTGCAGAATCGATATCAAGGCCAGAGAACTCTGAAGCGACTCAACTGGCGAGCACTTTTATGAAAGTGCGGACGGATTTCACTACACTCCACGAAAACACTGGTATCTTCTTGCTGAAGTAGTAGAAGTGAATCATTTTATCCGTCTGATGCTTCTTGTTCGAGACATTGCAGGCAAGGAGGTACCTGTCTACTTCTACACGGATGATCGGGGAACGGAGCCATCTATACGTCATGTCCAATCGGGGAATACCATTGCCATTCTTTATGCACACCAGCACGGCTTCATGGACCTCTCTACGGGAATTCGTCAAGAAGAGATTAACACTATTCGGGTAGATTTCCTGATTTTCCTGATCAAACTCCTGGAAACAATACTAACTCCAAGTAGATATTTCCCTTCAAGCTCAATGATATTTTACGGCTAAATGATAACATTCAGGCAAGCTCACGGAGGATAGACGGATTAAGACTATGCCATGGGTGTGGACATGGTATACAAACCCCCCCGCAAATGCGGCAAATGCTCATTCGTCTGGTATTGCAACAAGGTGAGAGCTCCAGAAGAGAACAAATTTATTTCTATCTAACGGGGTGTAGGAATGCCAGTCTGTGGGGTGGAAAGATAAGAATCACAAATCCGACTGCAAGATGCTCAGTAGGGACATGCGAGCACTCTATACATCTTCTTGGCATGAATTTGAAAGCTACCTCCAGTTCCCTTTTTGACTGGAAAGAAGTGCCAGCCAACATTAAGCACGGCGCGATCTTCTATCTCTGTTCTTCACTTGATCCACAATTCAGCTTGGACCCTTTTGAAGTTACAGCAAGCTCTAGCGCATCGCTAAATGAGAGTTGTTTCGGGTATAAGATATATAGTTTTGAAAAAGACTCGTTCAGTTGAACCAAGTTGCTTAACCCCGTTTTCTTGTTTAGCTTGGCCGGTGAGTTCTTATCAAGGCCAAGTAATTGTAAACTGCTACCTGGCAAGGTAATGGTGATACAGGTCCATTTTCTATCATAGGGCGTGTCTGGTCCCTAGGTCTATGTCATTTCTGGGGCTTTCGTAGATCTGATTTTGACGTTCTAAGGCTGGTAGACACATACTTCACTTACGCTTCAAACCACAGCACCATATTACTGTCAATTCGCTCCAGTAGAGATCCTCGTGGCTCTTCATCCGCGTAATCCACCTTTAAGCCAAGAGAAATAAGACTTGTTTCCTAATTGGATAAAAGCCACTCCTTTCCCCACTTTGGAGAAGTAAACGCATGATCCTCTCCGTAAAAGACCAACCTGTGTCCATAAACCAATTTTTCACCTCGAAGAAAGTCATTCAAGGATGCGAGCTTGGAATCAGAAAATGCAAGTCTCATGAGAGGCTGCGTTTTAAAATTTTCAAGCTGTCTTTGGGCCTTAAACTTCACCTCCTCCGGGCATTGTACCATGATATCATTCCATTCGTATGACACACAGCTTGTGAAACACTCTATCCTAGATGAATCATATTGGCATGGCTATTCCTGCTCCCAATAATCCTCGATGATACGCTCCAGTCTCTTTTTCTCAGTCTGTAAATTTTTATTCATGTACATCCCTACAACTTCTGAATAAAATACCTCGGGAGACCATACCTCTTCCTGCCGACTATGATTGTGACAATGGGAAATTCATAAGGTCTAAAACAAGTCAAGCATGTTTTTCGTGGATCAATTAAGAGAACCTACGATGGAAATGGTTGGTCATAAGGGATTTTTTGGAGATACTTTCGGACGCTTCAGCTCCAAATGAGTGCGGTGCTGCTTAAGTTTCTTTTTTCCCATTGTCATAGGGCAAATACGTCAGGCAAATCATATAAGTCATGAGAAAAGATGGAAAAGATGGCGAGTTATACAGTTCTGCTGCTATTTATGCTCTTCAAGCAACAAAGAGGGGCAATGCAAGTATGAGTTGTTCTTCATGCACAGGGATAACAAGGCATTTTCCGACTGACACGTCAGGCGATAACTTGTCTGGTATGCAAACCGCTCACTTAACATAGACTTTATGCCAAGATCAGTTTTGAATGGCAGCTCTTAGAATGACATTGCCTCTACGTTACAGGTACAATCCCCAGAGGCCGCCGCCGGCTTACTACGGAGTCTGCAGTGGTAAGGCGAACCTTCAAAGTAGCCCGCTTTATATAATTGGCTGGGTGTTACTCCTTTCTTCACCTTGGAGTACCAAGTCCTCGTTGACGTATATTATGAAGAAAAAGTGACTTTCCTTTCCAAAGCGTTGACTCTTCAGTCTTTCCTAGAGCACACATCTCAAATTATGATCAATTTTCATAGTTGGGAGCTCGGAAAAGGTCAGATTAGGCCCATATCTTTTATTTGTTAGGCCGTTATTTGACGCATTTCGATATACCGTTGATCATCAGCTAATATGCGATTCCGTTTATGCTTCATGCCTTTAAGCAAATCTCCAGTGACATGATAGAGGCAGTCCCCTTTTAGTCTTCATATAAATGGCTTCGTTGTTTGGTAACAAAATGTGTAGTTTGGATTGTTTGTATCTGACCCCGTTCAAAACATTACAAATAAATCTGAAGCCCTCATGATTGCGATCCCGGTCGATTGGTGTGGCATTTGCCGTACCAGATTCGTTTATTTTTACTTTCATTCCCTGTTAACAGCTTTTGTTTTGAACCATTCACTTGCACCTGCAACCGCGGATACAGGGTCTTTGCGATGTCCTATCAAATAATTTTGAATCTCGGCATGGCTGAAATGTCCGCCATAAACGTGCCGCGCAAACTCCACCGACAGCGTGTTTATCTTGTCTTTTGGATAGGGTGTGCTATTCTTGGCGAGTTGGTTGTTACCATTATCATCCAAAATGCTGACTGGTGCATAGAAAGCAAGGAAGAGCTTTTGAACAATAAAGGCACTCGCAAGCTCGAACTTAACCTCCACGTCCACACGACCTGGGCGGATTAAAGCGTTATCAAGCTTGGCTCTGTGGTTTGTAGTCATGATAAGAATACGGCCATCTTTGGTAGCTACGCCGTCAAGCGTATTGATAAGAGATGAGAGAGTGATTGGTCCCAGTTTTGTAGGAGACTTATCATCATGATTTGACAAAAATTGGTCTTCGCAGATTCCAACTTGAGTAGCATCCATATCGTTGGGGCGTTTGGGTAAACCGGCAGTATCAATATCTTCCAAAAGAACCACGCACCGTCTTGGAAGGCCCTGGAAGAGGAGCGCTAACCTATTCTCGTCGAGAGAGTTAAGGCTGAGGGTATAGATGTCCAAGCCGAAAAAAGTGGCCATTCCCAAACATAGGCTTGTTTTACCGGTGCCTGGTGGGCCATGGAAGAGATAACTGCGTCGATAATTCAAGCTATGCTCCATATACCACTGGTACGTAGTTGGATGGAGAAAATCCTGAACATCTGCCTCAAAATTGTCTTTCTGGTGGGGATCAAGTACCACGCTGTCCATTGGCCGGTGCATGTTGTATACCATGGGGACCCATCGCCATTCCCCGACTTTCATACCTCGGTAGACGTTGATGCGATCGGTCTCTTGTCGGAGACTCTCTCTCTGGATTTCTTCGATGAGCGCTCCCAGAAGCTGCTGATTCCATGGAGCAGCATAAATGGTGATGTTCTCCATAAAGGCGAAGAAGGAACCGTCTTTACTATTTGCGACTGATCTGCGACAAAGGGCAAAGAGACGGTTCCGGTACGAAAAAAGATAAAGCTCTTCTTTTTTTGGAGTATGCCAGATGGGCTTCATCTTGTGTAAGTATCGAAAGTGTTGCCAAAAGTTCCGATTCTTTGGGCTATTTTCTGGTCGGCTATCTTTCCCCAGCTGACATATTTCTTCTGCTTCTTTCTTGGCCTCATCTTTCCTGCGCCACGGTGAAGTATAATTTGTCTCTGTTCCAGCGATTGAGCGTCTTGTTTGGCTGAGGTGATTATGCTTAGATATCCATTCCATAGTCTGGCTGTACAATGTATCTTGAAACATAATATCCACCGAGGCCGCATAATAGAGTAACCATTTCTGAAGTTAATCAAAAATCTCCGGTAGCACAAATTTGGCGAATACCCAAGCTATGGATATGAGGAAGATGTAAAATGAACAGAAAGATAGATCGATATAAAGATATAATGAAACAAGGCGTGACAAGAGTCCAAATCCAGGCAACAGAGTGTCAAGTAATGTCTCAGTTGACAACTGTACTGAGTTGTTGGAAGACATTTTTTCGGTCAGAAAGTAAAAAATTACCGGAAGTGTGAAGATACAACTCATATCCGTGGACTCCGAAGAACTTATATACACTCCTCGCATTCAGAGTTTCGTTCTATAATATGAGCTCAAAGGTTAAAACCCGTGATTTATTCCTCTTTATACGCTGCAAAGGCACCGATTCCGCAATATAGTGCCATCTCTACTAGAAATAATCCGCAATCTCCTCGAACAATCCCGCAATTTCTCTCATCCCGTCGCAAAACTTCCAAGTCTGCTGTGATATATTCCCCTGTGGGATTTTTTAAATTAGGCCCCTCAATCGGATCGCTGTGTATTTATAGTTGCCGCCTCCCGGACTACCTGTATAACTCACTTCCACTCTTTGGCTTTGGGACAGCTGAATAGAGGCCCGGCAAAAAAATCATGTTGAATATGGCAGGCAATAAAGAGAAATGGATTGGTTGCCGAGCTAGATCTAGTAGGTGCTTTGTAATCGAAAAGTGGATTCTTCTAATCTAAACTAACGTGAAGTCCGGTTGCGCGGGCGACCCGGTTGCGCGAGCGACCCCACCAAATTTTCAAAAACTACCATTTTTTAAAAACTATTAAAACCACAAAAATAATAAAATATTGACTATTAAACACGTCCAGGGCACTTAGTATAAGCATGACCTTTAATCCCACACGCAGAACAGGTTATTTGTCGTCGAACCAAGGGCACAGAGGGTAAAGTTGGCTCAATTGTTGGTTCTGCCTGCACCTGTGGTAAAGATATATCTTTGCTTTCATCCTTATCCTCGACCACCACATCGTCCTGACCACCTTCTAGACCCCCAAAGATGCCTTTCTGGGTAGTAAACTTATGTTTGGTCTCTTGCTTTTTGGTCTGTCTCTTATTGGCAGCCTCTAATTGAGTGCAGCGATTCTGGAGAAAAATATGGTGGTGGACCACTTTTATAGTCATCTCGTAGGTCTTCTCAATCTCCTTTTTTGTAGGCGAAGAAAGGATTGAAGAAGAAGATTGTAGACCTTTTTTGACCCGAGATTGCGATTTTATAAACTTTGAAAGGGTCCAGAGAGTATTTGGATCGCTATCGCTACCAGAAGAGACTGGTCGCTGAGAAAGGATCTCCAAAGAAGGAAGGGAATCCAGGTGTAAATTTAGCTGTTCCAAGACCCTATTAGCATCGAATGGTGCTAATCCAGTAGCTGAAAAGCTATTCTGTATAGTAGAAGACTTAAAAGTACCCATTCTCGCATCTGCGATCAGTTCAAGGAAATCTTCCTTGTCAATAGAGTTAACTCCGTTTCGCATCAAAGTCGAGACCGCTCCTCTATAAAGCCTCTTCAAAACCGAAAAACAACCCACATCCAAAGGTTGTAAAAGATGAGAAGCATGAGGAGGCATACAGATTGCGATGATTTGGTTTTCTTCACAAATTTGGTCAAATTCAGGGGTTAAATGACTCCCATGACCATCAAGGACTAATAAGCAATATTTTCCCACTCTTATCCTAATGTTTGGGATAAAATGATATTTTAACCACCATAAACCAATTATATTGGTAGTCCAGCCATTTTCGCTTATAGTCAAACGAGCTCCTTTTTGATTTAAAAGGAGATAAGGGCGTAGATGCTCTGGAAACTTTTTTCCCTTAAAAATAAAAAGCGGCGGGAGAACACTTCCAGAAGCTCTAATACACTCAATCGAAGTCACCCAGTCACGATTTCCAGCTTGTAAAAGAGCTCTTTTCCCATGGTATTCCGCTGAAGTGATAATCTTTTGTGTTGCGCCAATACCCATCGCAAAACCAGACTCATCAAAGTTGAAGATATCGTCTGAAGCGATACCCCACTTTTCTATTGTCCTTTGAACCAAATCAAACCATGGTTTAATGATTCGAGGGTCTTCTGAAAGAGCTCTCTGATAATCGTATCTACGAGAGAGGCGAGTAGAGAGATTTGGGCGTCGTTTGATAAATTCAGCAGGCCAATGTTTACCCACAGTAGAGGGTGTAGTTTTTCGGGCATCAAGTAGAAGATTAGCCATATCTCGCAACATAGGCAAAGTAAGAGCTGCCCCTCTAGAATCCATATCCAGTAGCCATTTTTCAATCGATCCCTCCTCAGCTTCGGTAAAAATAAAGCGATTGTGTCGCTTTTCAGTAGCAGATTCGCGCCCATTGATCCGGGCCTTCAAAGTTGAGACAGGTATCTCAAAAGATCGTGCAGCAGCGGCAGCAGAGGGATACTTGCCATCTTTTATAGCTTTTATAGCTAATAAAAGGCGACCCTCCTGCTCCGTCAACTTTTTTTTTTATCAGAGCGCTGGGGGGGGGCATTATTGTGATGGTTAAAAAAGAGGTGTTGTTATTGAAGTGTATTTTTGGTGGGGTCGCTCGCGCAACCGGGTCGCCCGCGCAACCGGACTTCACGTTATGAACAAAGTTGCTGTGTCACCTGTCTTAGCTCCTCACGTGCTATCCGTTATTCCGGCATTATGGAATATGCCCCGCGCAACACGATCGGCGGGGTCAACAACACAGCGACAGGGGAGCAAGATGAGTTCGCCAAGCTGGAATATTTGCTATCGCGACGGATCAATCAGTTCCATCCCAGTCCGAGACAAGAACCAGGTCATTAATACGCGAAGAAAATTAATGGAGGACGGGTGGATAGTGATGCAAAATCAGACATTCCTCGACAGCACAGTAGAGCAAAGACAGATCGAGCACAACAATGTACGTGGGCGATAACATGTTTTTTTTGAATTTCCTAGACTAATTATTCAGGCTGTTAAGCAGTTTCTCTAGCTTGACGAAGGCACGTATCTCCCGCGAAGGTTTCGAAAACGTGAAGTCCACGTAAGCGATAGCCTCTTAGTGCCACCCAGCGGTACCTCCGACCTTTAAATTATTTATGTTCTTCATCTGGGTGGTGGAGTAAATACTGTGTGGATTTTCGAATACCTTGCTTCAAATAAATCCTTACGAAGGAGTGTTTTATTAAGTGGGACCGATATATACGTCATTTTGATATCCTATTCTTAAGACGAAACCTCTGACAGCGACCGTAAACAGAATCTTTGTTGCGGGTTGGATGAAGGACTGGAGGATTCTATATGTACACGGGCAAGCTACCGGACTCTTGACTGAGATAATATATATCCAACGACGACAGTTTGTGTGACAAAAAATATCAGGTACTGCGGTGTAGCTGTGGACAAAATCTTCTCTGAGGATTCTGGGATTCAAAAACGATAATCAGAAAGGAATGGGACGGAGCTTGAAAAATCTGCAGAAGTATCTGAAAATAGTAATGAGGTTAGATCCCCGTAAAATTCAGAATCATATTGCAAATGCACTGGATTGTCGACATTGTACTGCCCATCAAACTGTCTCCTTTCTACTATATTGAATGTGCCAAGAGATGCAGGCGTCATTTCAACTGCCTCTCCGATAAAGTTGTAAATCTTCGAGACCTGTCTACCGCTGTGTAGGGTTTCCAGGAAGGACTCCTGTGCTAGAAACTCGATTAGTGTCTTATCCGACCCGTCACTGCATGGTGCTCTAGGCTTATATTCTCTTGAATATAGTTGTACAAAGCCTGGCCAGGTAAACTCGGATCTGGACTGGTACACCGCCTTGTGAACCGCTCTCTCATGAGAGACAAGTTTCTTATAGGAGGTATATTCCTTGCGACAGGAATGGCAGGTCTTTGCTTTGACAATGGATTTCAGGTACGGATGGGTGTTTTTGATATGGTGATTCAAATCATTGACCCTTGTATATGCTCGAGAGCAGAGAACACAAGTAGGTTTCGTAACGATAGGGGACGGGCAAACCGGCAAATACTTAATCCCAAGTACCTGCTCAACGTTGCTGAGGAGGACTGCAAGCTGAAGAACAGCATCTGGTTTCAAATCTCTGTTGGATTTGCACCATTCGGTCTTGATACGATTTAGACGACAAGGAAAGGCTTCTGCAAAGAGAAGTGAAAGACTGATAGGGGTCGTGTGTTTGGCCATTATTCACAAAATTTACTAGATAGTTGATAGCAGAAAGAAGGTCAGAGCTCGATGGTTTCAGCTGAGGGGAGTCCTTCCGCCCCTTATTTCTGGTCAGGTAACCGGCTTGCGCCGCAGCGAGTATTGCACTATTGAGATAGGAGAGAAAAGAATATATGGGTCCAGATGATAAAGCTAAAACCACCAGTAAGATCTTGTCCATGGCATCACCCCTCTTTCTAGTTCAGCGCCTAGGCCGAACTATCCGCTCCCCTCTCCACTTATTCCGCAATATCCTCCATTTAGCTACATTTTCCCCATATATTATCCGCAATCAACTTTCTGCATACCGTGAACTCTCTACAGAGTAGTAGATACCGTATCGGAATCTCGTATTTAAATTCACCGTAGTTCCTATCAAAATACTTACCCCTAACCTTAAGATTGGCTCTTCAGATTTCTTATACTATCATCTTCCGCTCACAATGTCAGGGTCTACTTTGAGCCTTGGGACTACTGCAGGTGACGTGGAACTCGAATCAGCCCAGCCGGACAATGAAAGCAAAGAATTATATTATCAGCCGCCGCCATATTTCTTACGACAGCCAGAAATGACAATCCATAGCTTGGCTCGATTTCGTTTGTGCAACACCGACCTTGCATTAGCAGCGGGTATAGAGCTACCTGAGATACCCACACCATTGACGACCCCAACATGGACCTGGAAACCACATTCTGCGAGAAGTTTTGATGCTAAAACGATCGCATTTCATCTTATATCCGAGAGCGAGAAGTACTTCTGTCTCGTTCGATTTGAGGACTGGGTGCAGGAAGCAACAGGCTCTTCGTCAGATATCGTGAGATCACTCGAATTTAAACATGAAGGACTGAGTGTGATCATGTATCGCTATCTTAGAAGACACTTGAAAGAATATGGGAAGTACCTGGACTTGAAGATTGTATTTATTGCTCCAATCCGTTCATTCGATGTATATGCTAATGTCGAAAGGCCTTGCAAAAATATTCGGACCCATTTTTGTTCCAAGCGGTCAATAACGCTTGCGAATGCGTTAGGGATAGTAGATATACAAAGTGCAGCTTCGATTCACAGTTCATTACAGTTCCACTCGGAAGAGTGCTTACAAGGAGCCCGATTGGACTTCTCTCCCATCAACTCGAAGCCCTGGCAGTACGTTTCCAAAGGTGGTATAATTGTCCCAATGTTGCCTGGTCGTAAGATTTCGATGCTCAGACTAATTTTCTTCGCCAATTGTACTATGTGGAACCCAAGAGACACGCACTCCAGCTCTCAGAGGTAGATCTCTCCCTCTTTCGGGAACTTGCCATTGATAATATTACAAAAGGTAGTGGCGATATCCTATCTACTCTAAATACCCGTTGGAACAATCTTTGCTATGCAGTAGAAGAATGTTCAGCTATTGGCTTTGATCAGGAGTTAGTGAAATTGGCACAAGTTAGGTTGAACTTGCTTTTCTTTTGCTTGCCTTTATTAATGCTAGCTCTAGCAACTTCATTACCTACGAAACTTCTACTCTTTGACGGCAGTCCTTCTTGGCATCCGTTTAAGCGGGAAGTCCTTCACGACACTCGAAAACCTTAATTACCTGATAGATTCGGAGGCAAACTACTTGCCATATAGACAAAACATTTGCTCTGGTCCCGCGCTTCACTTCCTGCTTCCTTTCATACGGATTGGGAAGCCTCTAGATGCTTCAAGGATTGTGTCTGCTGCCCAGGGATATATTGTGGGAAATTTATCAGACAGTGTCTCCAAAAGCCGCTTTCTATCATCATTGTTAAGTTGTCTAGGTCTCTAGACCGCGTTGCCCTGTTTTGACCTTGGCAAACGTTTAACCGTGAACCGGTGATTGTACCATATGTAACCCCTTATTTCCTTGTGCGTTTAATTGTCTTGAGTCATGTGGATATATTGTTGTTCCTTTCACATTATCTATTGGTCCATCTTCGAATAATATCTCGATGTGATAATCCAATTCCCCCGGCTTCTCGGAACTCCCTGTCAATCAGAGAGAATCGAGTGAATTGGAAGTAGGTAAAAAAATAGATGGCGATCAGATCATTGTCAAGCCTAACGAATTCGATATTAAGGATGAAGGCTGAAAAGTTTAATATTTTGATAGGATGAGTGTTAAGATTTACTTTAAAGATGCGCTCTTTATTAGAAGCTGCTGGAAGATATAGAGCGTAGCTTGCGACTCGTCCCGCCAGACTTTCTAGTCCTGCCAGACTTTCTAGTCCTGCCAGACTTTCTAGTCCTGCCAGACTTTTTAGTCCTGCCAGACTTTCTAGTCCTGCCAGACTCTTTAGTCCTGCCAGACTCTTTAGTCCTGCCAGACTCTTTAGTCCTGCCAGACTTTCTAGTCCCGCCAGACTTTCTAGTCCCGCCAGACTTTCTAGTCCTGCCAGACTCTTTAGTCCTGCCAGACTCTTTAGTCCCGCCAGACTTTCTAGTCCTGCCAGACTTTCTAGTCCTGCCAAACTTTCTAGGCTTCATCCAAAAATTTTTCTCTCACAAGAAGTCTCATGGGCATTTTGGCACAAAATGTAAATGAACATATACGTAAACCGGAAGGTGAGCCGGAGGTGAGAAATGTCAGTTCGGGCACTCTAGGTTCTAAACTAGGATAAAATAGGCTAGCCAATCAAATATTGTCAATGGAGATATCCCTCAGATTCAGAAACAGGTCCAGGCTTCGTTATATGGACAAAACAGGGGTCGCAATCTAATGTAGGATCCATGTACAAAAACACTGTCGCAGGCTTTGCTGATTTATTCCCCATCGCCTGAGACTGACAGTTTCCCTGCCCCAGAATTTAAATCCAAAACCGACACCTGGAAGGGCACGCTTAAATAATCAACTGGAATTAACTAGTTATCAAAGATGATTGGCTGATACCTGCGCTAGTTACGTCCAGGGCGGTGGTCAAAACAGACATCTCTCATCTGGACCGTCTCATTCTCACCCTCGACTCACCCAGTACAAATTTTTTTACTGGCTCAAAACAACGATCAAAGCGATTTATTTTACTCATCAGCCCTGCGTCACATTTTGAAAGTGTGCCCCCTAAAAGACTACGAGTCATACCGTTTTGTTTCAGAACCATGGCTTTCAAAGGAAAATCGTGGCCCTAATGGAAGATAAAAGGAGCATTTGTCACTTTTCACATTCGTAAATCCTTTATTTATACACCTGGAGTCTTAGACTATTCATCCGCTCAACCCTTTCAATCCACACACAGTATCATAATGCCCCAAAACCCCTTAGCCTTGGAAAAGAAGTCACTGCGACAGAAAAGAGATCGACGCCGATCAAGTTTAGAGAGAAAAACGCATGAGTACAGCAAATTATGCGGGGCAGACGTTTGCTTAGGCATTCGAATTCGAGAGTCAGGAAAGGTATTCATTTTTTCCGCAGACGCATCGGGGTTTTGGTCCTTTCTTGAGCCTCAACTGGTATGTTCCATTGGAAGACTCAGTGATTGTCAAAAAGAAACTGACATCGATTCATCAGAAGACATATTTTCCCACGCCGGTCAAGAGAACCGAAAAAAACCTTTAGATGGCTATGGGCTGGAGCTGTGTGAACAGCATTTTGATCAATTGTTTTCATAAGGGCTTTCATTTACTTTATCATTGATGGCTTGCTAGAAATTTTTCCAATCATGAATATCTACTAAATACTTTTTGATCAAGTGTATTATTGCGATGGATATATGTATCTACTGGAAGTGGTACAATTGAATCCCATATGGAGAGATTGCATGATAGTTTGACAAATCGTTCATGAGATTATCCCGGAAAGGCTTCAAAAAGGCACACTCGTACAGTACATCGCCATAAACCCCTGTAATAACTGTACTTTCAAAATCAGTGGCTGCTGTGAATTTAGAGATGTACCATGTGCTCTATGACGCTTAGGCGCCTTTGCTACTTTGCTCTTTTGTTCCTTGCTCCCTAGTCCATGAATAATTCTTTATATCCGACCTAACACCGAAGCAGTTTAAAGTTATACCTACCATAATATTATGTATCCTGGAAAAATCTTAAAGCATTAATTTAATGCTCCTCAATGTTTTTCGGACTGTTCAATATTCAAAATCCAAGATTTTAAAGGTCTTTAACATTCGATCGATCGTAAATTAATGAACCAAAATATTAGATTCCTGGATAATGAGTCATTCTCAACGGGGGGGCTCTCAGTTTGTGAAGGCGGGTGCAACTTCAGAAAGCTGTGGTATTAAGCTGTGACCTCAGGCCAAGAGCTTAAGGTCAGTTGCCTTCGGGCGGAGCTTATCTGATGGCTTTCCTGTTATCTGGCTATCCTAATACATCCTAGGATACTGGGTATCTCAAGACAGGTCACGGTTCCCCATATCCTACGATAGGCAGTATCCTGAGATCTCCCTCTTCCCAGAAGGTTATGGTCCTGGTATGGCTCTTCGCATTTGAAGTTGGTTTTAAAATTGCTATTGTTACTACTGGTCCCAGCACCAGTCCTCTATAGATTACTGATGTACTTCATAGACATATCTATAAATCCAGTGAGATGGAAAGAAAGAAATGAAAAGAAAAGTATTCTGTATCTTTAGTTCTTTTTATCATATTGGGCCATGGCCATGGAAGCTCAAAGTCGAATTTGGGATCGTGAATCATATCTGAAGAACTAAACAAACTTTTGAACAATTCAGGTATCAATATAATTATACACTGACGAGACTGAGACTACTTATAGAAACGGTGGCGGGTATGGCCTTGTAAGATAAAGTATTAATTCAAAGCTGTAAGTAGACCTAACCTATTGGGCCCGCAATCGCTTTGATCGACGTGGTAGAGGCTTTTTGGCAGAGGTATCAGAATTTCCTGATTTTCCAACCTCTGGCTCAACTCGATTCAGCTGTTCTGCATTACTGTATTCTTGAGATGAGCGCATCTCACGCTTGGACTGAGATCCCGCGGCGACGGCAGTCAGACCTGCCAACTTCGCCCTTCTCCTCGATCGTCGAATTGGAACCTCATCTGAAATAGGGTGAGAAGCTGACATGGTGGATTCAATAGAAGAGGCGGAGATCTCAGTCTCGGCCACCGCCCTCAATGGCTTAGCGGCAGTGAGAGAACGGGGCTCCAATAGACGTGGGTTAAAATTTGCCATCTCCAAGTCGATGGAGGAAGCAGGGGTCTCCGTTCTTTGCCGATTTTCCGATTCCGAAGATACCTCGGTGGATGAAATATCGTTGCAGTTAATCTGTGATACTTGGGGGAGATTGCACAGTTTGATATTGATGTCATAAGAGTGTGCAGTAGAAGCATGGGCCAGAAATTTGGTGATCTCCGCAAATCTGGGGACATTGCGACAGGCTTCCCAATTACAGCTGATTCCGTCGCGTACGTGGGCTAGATGCATGTCGATCAAGTGGCGACGAAGGGAATCCTGTCTCTTCGCGGGGAATTTGCGCGGAGCAGGGTTTGATGCTGATTGGCGAGATGTACCATAGCAAATTATACAGATGTCTGTTGGGCACTTCAATGTGTCTCTAGGAGGGGAAGGGGATTTCTCTGGCTGCCTAAGCATATCATCTTCTTCGTCGATATTCCAATTGACTCGGTTGCCTCGTCTGCTTGGCTCGTAAAGTCGCAAAAGTGCAACCATATCCTTAGTTACCTGGATCCGTCGAGCAAGTAGCTTATCCTCGTCAAAGTTTTCAGCATTGGATCCATAGAAATTTTCCACTAGGCGTGCTCGTTCAGGAAATATGTAGTTTGGTATAGGGAGTTCCCAGCTTTCATCACAGGAATTTTCCTCGTCAGAGACATCGTTAGATTCGCCGAGAAGTTGCTTTATCTGTCTGTCAACTTCTAATACAGGAGCGTTTTGGAAATGATCCTTTCGAGCGGTCTCTCGCGTGTCGGTCGCTAACTTCTTTCGAAGTTTAGCTATCTCTTTTTTGACATTCTCATGCCTTTGGTAGAGATGTGGATAAGGCGTTCGAGCATTCTTCATACTACCAGCCAGGGATATCATCTCCGCCAGAAGCTCTCTCTTCTCGCGTCTAAGCTGCAGAATATCTGGATGTTGACAAATAGCTCGCTTGTGTGTATCGGTAAGTTCGGACGGCGCGTTGAGGTCTCTTTTTCTGAGCATACTCCCAGCAAAACGTACAAGGCCGTCCTGAGGTGGTCGAAGAAGAACGACATGCTGAAGATCACGTCCAATGAACTGTGATTGGTAGTGTTTTTCAAAAACTGCGTCACCTGATTGACCAAGTACCCTCTGCCGCTCTTGGCTAGTGAAACTCTCTGTTTGCTTTTGATCAGTCTCGGTGAACAAGGAAAGAAGAAAAATTTTGATAAATCGATCACTTACTGTTCACTTCATTGGCCGTCCAGCGGCGGTAGTTATAATGACCAATATCGTCTTCAAATCTAGCATCTCGGCCCAACTCTTTAAGAGCCAGCCGACTTGATTCATAAGTCATTGGCAACGACCTGTGAAGTTCATAGCCGTACGGAGTACGCTCAAGTCGCCGAAGGAGAGGTGTGTTGAAAACTTCAGGCCGCCACCTGAGGGGAAGTGATAAATGGTGTTTGGGAACTCGTAGCCGCCATATGAGCTCTGGGGTAAGGTCCGTATTGACAAAAGCGCCATCGCGGAAAGCGTACAAGATTATCTGAGCGATCGGGCAATATGCCAATTGGTAGTCACCATGCATGAAAAATTTCGTTCTAGCAGGAAGCATCAGCACCGCGTTAATTATATAACAGCTAGGGGGGGGCTTAGAAGCATCCTTACCCATCAGCGCCTTCCGGTCGACCTTTAAGATTGCGAAACTCGATGATGGCACAGAGGACATCACGTTTGCTTTGGGGGTCTTTCAGGTAAAAAAGTTCAATATCGCGATAGCAGACCGAGTCCGGAAGTTCTTTCAACGATATGTAATTCGGAAGATCACTCTCAAACGCGTGAGCCCGTTTGCGCTTGCCCAGGGTCGAGTGGTTCGGTAAGGTGATGGCTTGTGGAACCAAGACACCAGGGCGAGTCCCGGTAATGGCAGACCATAGCTGTACTGTAGCGAATTGGACAATCATACTTCCATGACAAAAAAACCTCGAATGGACCCAATAATGCCGGTAGATTACGCAGAAGACATCTACATCCAGAGTGTTCTTGTCTTTCGTTCGTTGAGGGATTTTGCGCTCGGCTGGAAAACGACCCTCCAGGTACTATTTCATTGTTAGCCTGGTTTGTCTAAGCGCAGAGAGAATGTCCGTACTCGTCGCATCTGCTTATGGGCGTCCTCATTGACACGGCGATGGGAAAATAGCTCGAAATACTGACAAAGGCGGCGCCAGTACTCATCATAGGATTGCAGAACTTTCTTGCGGGAAGTTCTGAACATCCAGTCAAAAAAGTTCATGTAGATCGTGTGGTCCTCCAGAAGAAGGTAGTCCACGTAGTCCTTCTTTACGTGAATGCAAAACCTAGACTCAAGAGTTATTTCCCACTCGTAATGCCTGGGCCTGGAAGAACGTATACTACTTACTTTCGCCAATAGCGTTCGATAACGGCAAGACCCAGTAGAGTCCTCGGCTTGAAGTTTGGAGGTAGCCATCCAAGACTACGAAAGTGTTCCAGTCTGGCCCGAGTTTCCTCGCAAAGAATAGGGTCGGTCCAGAATTGGTACTCATTGTCCTGAGCCGACTGAACGGGTACAGTTGCCATGGAGAAAAGCCGCGCTAGGTGGCCAGGGTTGGAATCTTGAAGGACGGGCAACAAGAGGGACTTGAGAAGCGGGGGTTGTAGATGAGGAGAGAATTGGGAGAGTGTGAGGATGACGGGAGAGGGGAGGGGAGAGGCATCTTATAGACGCCCGGCCAAGGAGGGCGAAACGAGAGGGCTCCTGGGAGGGACTGCAAAGGGGAGCCATTTTCGGCGTCGTTTGGTCTCAGGTAGAATCGGAGGGAAGGGCTCGAGAACGAGCGCCAACTACGAGGGCGGGAGGATGATGACTAACGGGGCTCGGTGGGTGCGAAATAGTGATGAGTGCTGGACTGCGGGCGGTGAAGAGCCGGCTCCCTTGGAAAAGTTACGGGTGGAAAGGCGGCCGTTTTTGGCGTCCAAGGCGGTCATTTTCGGCCTCACTTTCACAGGTCCCCATATTCTAGATGTAATAGTGGTTGTACGTGATCGGATAACCTTGTTCATCTCGTAAAAGTATGGCAAGCTCTCTACGACAATTTTCCACGTTTTTGTCAAGAGAAACCTTCACAATCTTCCATATCTTGCCACGAACGGTGGGCTCTGTGAGCAACAAATCAAGCACCGACTCGAGGTACTGAGTCACAAGGGCCACAATGATATTTACGTGGGATCGAGAGATTCTTTCCCACGAAGCAGACTGGGCGTGAAACAAATCCCGCAAGAAATGGTGATTATAGTTTCCCGGAAGCTCTTGACCTCTAGACTTGTGGTACATCTTTGAAAGTTAGCTACAGCTTTCTGGTTGCGAATTTGTGGACATACCTCTTTTACCCAATCCAACATCTGCTCTTCCGTGACCGCAAGCTCTTCATATTCATTCTTATCATCAGGCCTGCTTGCAAGATAGCGAAGGTGATCAGCTGTTTTTTGGGCAGGATCACTCATGTTGCCGTATAATTCTCTGACAGAGATAATCCTGCGCTGCTGACTATGCATTCTCATGAAGTCGGCAAATTTCTCGTTCTCTAGGTGAACTGCGGCGCGAAGGCGACACTTGAGACCCGGCTTGAATGAGGAAAATTCAGCTTTGTTCAAATCGTAGATTCCATTGAGAGCGCCTTTAACGATGGAATTAAAGTTGGAGCTGACACGGGTAAGGAACTTGCGAATCTGGACTGCCTGTGACCTCTGAGGTCCTAAATTGTCGATTTCCTGTTCGACTGTTTTGAGAAGACGATCAATCTCCTCTCGCACCTTCGGAAGCTCTTGCTCAATATGTCTATGCAGAAGTTCTTGCAGAAATGGCCGGAGGTTTTTGATTCCCACTCTCGAAATATCAAGACCTTGAGCCTTCCAAGCCGCCTTCGAGAAGTATTCAGATTCGGCTTTTTCACGCTGCGCGGGGGTGACTCCCGCCTTCAGTTCCTCTGGCGAAGGATTCTTGAGGAGGAAAAAACCGTCTTGTAGCTTAGTCCGATCCTGGTTCTTGGCTAAATGTGCAACACGTTCCTCAGTACCTTTGTTGATGAGGTCAGGCTTTGTGATAATACCAATTGTCCGGTCACCTTTCTTGTCAAAGTGCTGCGCTCTTTGTATGATGAGTTGTGTCTCGGCATCGCTGGTCGCTGGTATGACGGCAAGAATAATGGTACGCGATCTCTCAAGGTAGTCATCAACCAGGCTTCGCACCATCTGAATTTCTTTGTCGTCTCCAACAGAGATTAGACCAGGAAGGTCAACTAGTGTCAGATGGAGTCCAGTATTGCCGACCACTTCCAATCGGAGCACATCCGTAGAAAAGGCAGAACCCTCTGGGAACTCAATGGATCGAAGTTTCATCATATGAGAGGCTTTTTGGATGATTCCGGGTAGTTCTGCAAAGTCGTCGAATTCTCGCGAGAATGCCGCAAAGGGTTCTTTTTCCTCTGGAGTACGGGATTTACCTGGTAAGAGAGTGGCTGTCTTTTTGTTGATTATGGGGTCATGGCGAAGCACGATCTCTGTCGGAAAGCGAGTACATAGACCATCCTGTCGTGGGAATGGGATCCCACTGATTCCTTCAAGAACAGAGCTTTTGCCGGAGGATTGATCACCGCATACGACTAGCTGTGGCAGAGCAATGTGATCGCCAACACCAAGCGCACGAACACGGTCAATTTGGTTGAGCCTCTGAGAGGTCTTCACCGAAGCGAGCCCATCGCCTACTCCGGTATTGTTGACCTCATCAGAGCTTCCATTCCCATCCTCAGCGGCGAACACTACCTCATCCATAGCGGCCATCTTGGAGATCCAGAGGGGATTCAGAGGGGTTCACAAGTGGCAAAAGGTGTGAGAATGTATGTCGAGTGAAATGAAGAAGATAAATTAGAGGCTGAGAGTATGTCGATAGGAGAAGATATTAGTGAGATAGCAGATGCAAGGTTCCAAGTTTGCAGTAGGAAAGAAATTTGAAGTTTTCTGCTACTTGCCTTTCTAAATACTTAACCCGCAGAGTGCAATCAGCCACAATGAAATTTGTTCAAGTTGTTTGTATGTGGAGCAGATCTCATATTGAAGTAGTTTATTCAATGTTTGTTCTCCGGTGTCTATAAGTCTCAGCCTGGTTCCCTGATGGGTTGGTTCAACTTTAACCATTTGACCTCGGGAGGTAGGAGTAATGATATCAAGGCTCATGTGTTAGCAATATGTTCTTAGTACTCAAGGCTTATTACCTACCTAGTAGGTATTAAGTTTAAGCCTTTTCAAGTTGTGACCAATTTGAAGCACTTGAGATTATCTATGTTTCAGAATAATGAGGTTCCATTCATACTATTTGGCAGTTATCATGATTCGTTCTGGCTCGGAAATAGGAAGAAATTCGTTCAAATTTATAAAAAGGCGTCAACAATGGAGTGTTAGGAACAGATTCAAACACTCATATACTAGGTCAGAAATTTGAATTCACAAACAAGTTGATATTTAGTGTAGCCACTGCTTCAACCAATGGACCGCTGCATCCTTCGCCCTCTCCAACCCTTTCATCTCCGCCTCATTCTCTCTATTCCCACGGACCGCAAAGGAATGCTCCAACCCCGGAAAATACTGCAGATCATACGCAAGCCCCAAAGACGGGATGACTCGATTAGCGAATTCCCTCAACTCAGTCGTAAATATTGGATCGATCTCTGGCGCCATAATCTGCACGGGAACACCGACATCCTGAATCTCCTCTTGCGTGAGCCAAGAGGGATGTGCTGTTGAGATACAATCCACTAGTCCGGCATTTGCCTTCGCTCCTAGACGGAAGACGGCCCAGCCACCATAACAGAATCCAATCGCGGCAACGCGTTTATACTGTGCTCGGAGAGCTTTGGCGAATGCGACTATTTCCGGTTCGCGGACCTCTTTGCTGTTTCGCGCAGAGAATGCGGCGAGGTCAAGAGGGCCCCATTCTGAAGGATCTTTGGATACTATGTCCGATGGAAGGACTTCGCCGCCGAAACTATTGTACTGGTTAGTATGTGCACGGAGCTAGAGAGCTATTAGAGATGATTTCTCACAAGTCTGGCGCGTAGACTGTTGCGTTGGCGCCTTCGGCGTACGAGTCTGCCAGTAGCCGAATATTGGGAAAGGTCCACCCGAAGAGGTCGTGGATAACAAGTATAGCGACTGAGCTGTTGGTGCCAGTCACGTATGTATTGTTTCCTGATAAAGAGGTTTCGTGGCCTTTGGGTTCTCCATCCCATTTGAAGCCTTTTGTGCAACATTCACTGACACTCATCTTGGTCACTGGCAGTAGGGTATGGTATCCGGTTGCAAGGTTGCAAGGTTGTACTAGTAGACCAAGTCTGTTACTGGTATTAATCGTCGAGAGCCTGGTCACGGTATACTGAGCGTCCAAGATATAACTTTTTTGAATCGCTCGGTCCCCCGTTCTATTGATAATCAATTGATCACGAATACTACTTTACCTATCTCCAGATACTATCCCAGCCATGCCCGTATTGGACGAAGAAGATTTGAAATCAACATTTGAATATATCTGCACACGTGTGCAATTTATGCCCCACTTTGAGTCACACATGCAGTAGCCTGGACTAATGAGATCTGGAGATGCTTACTGGGGGCCGTTTCATCATGTTGAGCCATGCCCTCGGGACCGTAAGATGTTCATCATATCGAGGAAGATTCAATATTGAACGACGAAGTTATGTAGTATGCATAGTACTAGTAGTAGCCAGATTATACATATTAGTATCAGATTTATGGAATGACCTGAATTGACTTGCCTCTTCAAATGTTGCCCCAGGCAGTATACCCGAATTCTTAGGCTGCCTTAGATCTTCCACTGGCAGATTTTCTCTTAGAGAGATATTGATCCTTTTGCCAATTATAATTTTGTTTGAATAATAAGGAACAGTAAGAAGCTCCAACCTTGGAACCAATAGTAGTCTATGCTAACAGCCCTGGGGTATTTCGGTCAAATCGTTATAGTAGTAATAGTATTGGGCGGATGTGCCGGGACATCTAAACATAGCCATTGGATGAAAGCCTCGTTAACAGACCAAAGCTGTACTAACTTCAAGTTCAAGTTCAAGGTTGAACATTCTATCGCCACCACTCAATTCCTGCTTATGATGCGTTATTATCTCCAAATAGAAATTCAAAACAAGGGAGCTTTGTGGCAAGGACCAACCCCATGATGTTGGGCGGGCAGCATCCATGGTTAGCATCAACCCAACTACTCGTAGACCGACCGAGAAGCTTCGTTTCTCAAACGTTGACTGGTTAACCACTTTTGCTAGTTTCTAGAAGGAAACAGAAAGTGGCATCCAAACATTTCACCTCAAATGGCGAGTGCGGAGGAGAACCAAAGAGAGTATTATCGTCATGATAGTATCATGCCGCCACCATACCCCAGAATCAGCACCCATAAATACGGGGTGATCGCATGCTCTTGTCTGCTTGCTTAACATTGAACATCTATTGAATTTTTGAATATTAACCAAACAACCAAACGCTTGGTAAGCCTCCGTCTTGTTACCCCCAAGTACAGGAGAACTGCAGCGAGACTATCTGGAGAACATCCCATGGTCACTACATACAACTTCCAAGTTCTAGAAAATTTGCTAATCAGAAAGCCCACCTAGACACAGACTTCAATCTCAAGATGTCTTCCTCAAAACAAGAAAGTCGCTTCCACGACGGTCCCGACCAGCATCGACGCCTCTTCAATGCTACACAAGGACAAGATAGTAATGCCCGTATGCACCAGTCCGCTGCCAGTTCAAATCAGAAGAAGTCACAAGAAAACATGGGTCCTGCTCAACTGTTAGCGGAACATATGGATGCATCGGGAAATCCTGTTCCTGATACCACCATGGACAATAAGGGCAAGGACTATGACGTTTTCCAAGCTATGAACGCCGAGACTGAGGATTTTGATTAAGGAAATTATTGAACGTTTGGACATTTTTATTTTCATTCTGTATTTATGATATATAACCAGACTGTGCACAGTACTGAATAATTAAAAAAACGAGTGAATTCACTATCACTGTTATCATGGTGTATTATTTGTTGTAGTCGTAATAGTAGTCGTAGATTCGTAGTAGTTCCAAGTTGTTGTAGTCATTGCTATGGCAACCCGCACTATCGCGCGTCCTTTCTACACCGTCCCTGTCTCGTTGGGCATTTGAAACCTTTGCGACAATTCCAATCTTTGCCTCATCTCGCTCATTTAATTTTTCTTCTCTTGTCAACCAATTCAATTCCGTTCTTTTGCTGTGTATCGCATTACGCAACACGCCAATTTCCTGAAACCTGTCACATTTTGTTTACATCCGACTTCCCCGCAAATCGGACATGAACCATTGAACCTCCAGAACCTTGGAAGGAAGCAACAACAGTACCGACCCCCCTTCGCTCTTTTTTTGAATAACATCATATCACCCTGATCATTCACTCTCGACCCCTTCTTGTATTTCACCCCCAATTCATTGCATGTACCATCATCTTGTCGAACGACGACGCGACGCCGTCAACTCTTGTGTACAGTTGTTGAGGGAATATAGCAGGGAAATGGCGTTGGATCCGCGATTCTATCATCATATCGGCCATGGCGGGCCTGGTTCTATCTCATCAGCCACTTCGTCCGAATCGTCCGCCCTTACCGGTATCACTTCGCCAAGCATAATATCCACCTCCGCTTCAGCCGCCACCTTGCGATCAACCGCCTCAAGTCCCTCCCTCCGTGCCCGAGAAGGCGTCGCCGTCACACCTGGATTTCAAGACGGGATGGCTAGTCCCTCACCAGGGGGAAATGTGCGCGTCGTCGTGCGTGTTCGAAAGTTCCTTCCTAGAGGTACGTCTGCAGACTCCGGAGGGGATGCGCCAGATCGGTGATCTGGGCGGCGCATGTTCTAATCATGTATTACTACTATAGAAATTCAACGCCAGGCAGAATGTCTGATCTCGATGGACCCGCACACACAAATGACACGTCTTATCGCACCCAAACCCAGCCTGGTAGATCGCGGAAAGCCGAAATCGCAAGCGCGGGGCAAGATCCTGGAGGACAAGTCGTTTACTTTCGATAATTCTTTCTGGTCGCATGATGAAGAGGACGAGCATTTCGCTCACCAGGAGGATGTCTACAATTGTCTTGGTGAAGAGTTCCTGGACCATAACTTTGAAGGATACCACACCTGCATCTTCGCATATGGCCAAACTGGTTCTGGAAAGAGTTATACTATGATGGGAACCCCCGAGCAACCGGGTTTGATTCCTCGCACTTGCGAAGATTTATTCCAACGTATCGAAGATTCGCCATCCCCTGACATCAGCTATAACGTTCGAGTTTCTTACTTTGAGGTCTACAACGAGCATGTGCGAGATCTTCTAGTGCCACGAACAGATCCGCCTCATTATCTTCGAATCCGAGAATCTCCTTCGGAAGGACCATATGTTAAAGACTTGACCGAGGTTACGGCACGAAACTACAACGAATTGATGAAATTTATGCGGAAGGGTGACATGTCGCGTACCACCGCGAGTACTAAGATGAACGACACTTCATCACGATCGCATGCCGTTTTCACGATTACACTGAAACAGATCCACCATGACCTTTCCACCGACGAGACAACAGAACGTACTGCACGAATTCGACTGGTAGATCTGGCAGGCTCTGAACGCGCCAAGTCGACCGAAGCCACGGGCGCACGTCTACGTGAAGGCTCTAATATCAATAAATCTCTGACAACGCTAGGCCGAGTTATTGCAGCTCTGGCAGGAGATCCCAAGAAGAGTCGCGGTGGAAGGAAAGGCAAGGAGCTGGTACCATACCGTGATTCCATTCTGACATGGCTATTGAAAGATAGTCTGGGCGGCAACTCGAAAACAGCCATGATTGCTTGTATTGCGCCAGCTGACTATGAGGAGACACTTTCCACGCTGCGATACGCCGATCAGGCCAAACATATTCGTACTCGCGCTCGGGTGAATCAAGATCATGTCTCTGCGGCTGAACGAGATGCACAAATTGCCGAGATGGCAGAAACTATCCGCACTTTGCAACTGAGTGTCAGTCAAGCTACGGAGAATCAACGCGCCAGTCAAGTACAAGACGAGAAGCTTGATGAATATCAGCAGAAAGTGGAGAAGTTACAGCGCTTGATGGAGGAGACCAAAATGGTCAGCGAGTGCAAGATTCGTCAGTTACAAACTGAGAATGAGGCCTTGCGTATGCATCTCAAGTTAGCTCTGGATAGTCTGAAGAACCCGATTCCAGTAGTACCTCTGGAAAAGCGCGAGCTCAGCTTTTCCTCATTTTCCGAGGAAAACATCCCACCTCATGACGAGCCTGTCTCTCGGGAGGGATCACATATCATTCCTTCAGATTCTGAGCCCGACCTTTGGGAAGACGAAGATGACGATGACGATGACGATGATGATACTATCACCTGGGACGATAGTGAGCGCGAAGCATATCATATGCAATCTCATATGGAAGATCTCCTTGGCGATCTCAGCATGTTTAAGCGGAAACTCGCCTCTGATCATGAGCGCTGGCAGCGCAAAGAACAATCGATGACTCTAAAGCGACGTGCCCTGGGCACTATTGCTGGAAACAATCGCTAGATTTGATATTATCACTGTGGAATTATTTTTGATTGGCGTACAGGCATGGCGTTGGCGGCATAGCTCTTTGTGTTTACTGGCTGGAACCTCGGGTTTCGGGCAGAACTCGTGTTAATTAGGCCTCTTCTTGGCCTGTTCTTGATTTCCCCCTTTCTTTTGCCCCTTTTGTTCTTTTACTTTCGTGTGAATTTTGTCTATTCCTATTTGTAGTAAGACCTTTGAGATGAATAACGAGAAACCTGACATAATGCATGTTTCAAAGAATCCTTTTTCTTTTTCCCTGTCCTTCTAGAAATCCCTTAATATCATAGCGAGTCAAATAGCCTTGGTATCAGCCATGTCTCGCTCAACTCTTTACCAGTTTGTCTATCGATTAACTGGTCCTTGCATTATACTATACACAATCCTATATACTATGGGGTTGCGGAGATTAGGGCTGCGCCGGGCCGTGGGCCGCTTATGGCATCACTTTTTCTGTGACTCAACCTTCTCTCCCCACCAAGCAAGTCAAGGTCCAACGTCACGCCCCTCACAACTCGGAATTGAGTCATCCAAGATGACGGACCCGGTCGACTCGGCGCCCACTACTTCCCAGGCTAATGCGCCCGCCCAACCCCCCAACCCAGCCCGCGACCGAGAACCCTTCCACGACCCTCCCGATCCGCGATGCAAAGAGCGCAAAGGATCAAGGCCCCGCACCATCAGACAAGAAACCCACAAAGGGCAAAGATGCACCTGCAGCTGCTGCCCCTGCTGATGCCGCTGCTGCAGCTGGAGGCGAAAAGCCTTTGACACCCGCGGAACTGAAAAAGAAGGCCAAGGCAGAGAAGGCTGCTCGTCGCGTAAAGGAAAAACTTGAGCGGGATGGCGGAGCTGGTGCTGCGGGCGGCTCAGCTCCTAGTCCTGGTCCTGGTCAACCTCGTCCTCCGGCTACCCCTAAGAAGGATGCTGCTGCTGGAGGCGCCGCGCAGAAGGGTTCAAGAGCGCCGCCCCCGCGCCGAGGCTCTCAGGGTGGTGCTGGTACTGCTGTGGAGCCGAAGAAAAAGAAGGAGGATAAGAGCGTTGCTGTCTTTGGTCACTTATATGGCCAGCAGCGTAGAACTACGATTGCAGGTGCTGGAAAGGAGGTACACCCCGCGGTGCTGGCACTGGGATTGCAGTTGAGAGATTATGTGGTTTGTGGCAGTAGTGCACGATGTGTGGCTACCATGCTTGCATTCAAGCGAGTGAGTTTAGTCCCTTCCTTTGTCCTTGTCTGGAGATTTTTCGAGGGTTTGTGCTAATTTTGGACTCTTTTCTACTAGGTTGTTGAATCTTACACTACACCTCTGGGTACTTCCCTCCCTCGCCACTTGACAACACACCTTTCACACCAGATTACCTACCTCTCCACATGTCGTGCACTTTCCATCAGTCAAGGCAATGCCATTAGATCATTGAAATTGGCCATTGCCGGAATCGACCCCTCCATGCCCGAGTCAGCTGCCAAGGCCACTTTGTGCGACTTTATTGACAGCTTTATCCGCGAGAAGATCACAGTCGCCGATCAAGTCATTGCCGCAAGCGCCGCGCAGAAGATCCAGGATGGCGATGTTATCGTGACCTTCGCAGGTAGCTCCATTGTCAAGCAGACCCTGCTGTTAGCACACAAGGAAGGGAAGCAATTCCGAGTGTCGATCATTGATTCACGCCCACTGTTTGAGGGCAAGAACCTTGCTCGCGCACTCGCCAATGCCGGATTGGATGTAACATACTCGCTCGTGCACGGTATCAGCCACGCTATCAAGGACGCTACCAAGGTCTTCCTGGGCGCCCACGCCATGACCAGCAACGGTCGTCTATACTCCCGTGTCGGTACCGCCTTGGTCGCTATGTCTGCCAAGGAACGTGCCGGTGGCGTCGAGGTCCCTGTTATTGTCTGCTGTGAGACAATCAAGTTCACCGATCGCGTGGCTCTCGACAGCATTGTCGTTAACGAAATCGCGGACGCCAATGAATTGGTGCCTGCCGATGTCCCGCAGCAGGTTACAGGTCTCCCTGATCCCGCGGCCTTCACGGCTCCTCCTGTTGACCCTAAGAAGGCTAAGGGTGGAAAGCCCGCTAGCGCCCCTAGTCCTGACCCTGTTGCTTCTGACCGCGGTCCCTCTCCTTCGCCCCTGGCTAACTGGAAGGACACCCATAATCTTCAGTTGCTGAACCTGATGTATGATGCTACGCCGGCCGAATATGTGGATATGGTAGTTACCGAACTGGGCAGTCTTCCACCCAGTGCTGTTCCTATTGTCCATCGGATGAGCACGAATATGTGAGATATGACGACGTTTACTACCTTTTATATGTCTTGTCACCATACGACACAAAAGTTGCGATGGCTTTGACTTCGGTTCTATCATAGCCTTTTATTATTTGTTTGGGCGACCAATTTTTTTTTATTCTGCGAGATCGTTGGTGCTGGTCCGGGTTTTATTGTTCTTTCCACTTGATCTAAACCTGAGGGATTTCTTAGACAATACTTGAATATGCCTTAGATTATTGATTCTTCCAAGCAGTTTCCAATATTTCAAATGTTATTCCCTAATATCCCAAGATCACTGAACGTCTTCCAGTGTTCTCGTCTTCAAGTTCAAGCTTTCACCGTGGTACAAACTCAATATTCAATGGTGGCAACCCAGTGGTAAATGTATCCAAAGTCTTGTTCTCAAAAAGCCATCCGGTTTCACCTTGTGCAAACTTGATATCATATCGCTGTGCCAATTTCGAAACCGAGGTACGAAGGCTCAAATATGCCAAACTCTTTCCAGGACAAACATAGGGTCCTAGATAAGAAACATGTGTCAGTTATGGAATGACTAAATGGGTTGCAAGGAAGTCAAACTCACCAGTCAAAAATGGGTAAAAAGGAGCTCCCTCAAGACTCATCTCTTTCTTCTCACTCCATCGCTCAGGAACAAATTCCTTAGCATCGACATAGTACCTCTCATCAGTTTGGAGTAACTTCTGAGGTACGAAGACATTCACATCACCGGGAATGTAAACCTCATCAACCTGTAATCCTTCTGGTGGCGTAACGCGAGATCCAAGTGTCATGATGGCGGGTCTGAGTCGAAGCGTTTCATTAATGACATCGTCAAGATAAGTAACTTGCTTGACTTTCTCATAAGTCCACTCAGAGGAACCATTGGGCATGGCATCATCAAGCCGACGCTGTAACTTGGCCAATACACCCGGATACTTAGCCAGGTAGTACAGCGTCGAAGCTAGTACGGTTGCAGTTGTTTCACTGCCAGCGATAAGGACTGCTCGGGCATCCTCGTGAAGAGCATTTGCTGAGGGAGGAGCTGAGATATCCTTTTCAATATACGCTTTCAGAAGCCACGATACGATATCTTGAGGGTTCTTTGTGAGATCCAGATTCTGTACATGGATTAATACTCTCGATGCGTATGCTAATGCCGAATTCCAGGGGATTAATGACGAACCTTGTTCTTTTCAACCACTTCATCTTCGCACCATTTGTAGAACTCAGCCATCAAATAAGTAGCACCTGGAATATTGGTGATAAGATTGAGAACCCAAGGGACATGACAGAAAACTCCGATGAAAGTCATATGGTCGCGAACTGCTTTGATTCCTGGATGCTCAACTCCAGATTTTAGGTTGTTAAAGTCTTTTCCAAAGCCAACGACACCCATGATGTCGAAGCTGAGAAACATTGACCAGCGTGTCACATCAAATTCCTGGTCTGGGTTTTTATCGATCTGTGAAAGTAAAAGGTTCACCTGCTCGGCGACTTTGGGCTCATATGTTGCAATGGCTGTTTAACCTATTAACACATCGAAGTTTGTTAAACATTGAAAACAAGGTATACCCACCTTTTAAACTGAATCCTCGATCCCAGGCCTTTCGCCGTCTGCGATGGTCCTCGATATCACGGGAATGATGAACAGAAGAGTACTTAGCATCTATCTGTGCTTGAGCATAGAAGGTCGATTTACGACACTTTGTTTGTGCCGAAAAGAGGAGTGGTATTGCCGATTTGCGAATGATACATATCTCGCGCGGTCCTGAACATCAAAGATGAATCATGATCATTTATAATGTAGTCAAAATCATCTGAGATTGGACCTACCAGTTCTGATGAAATCACCATATTTCTCATGTAAGATCGCGAGTTCGTTTTGATACTGCACATTCTTCCCTGCGAGATATGTGTCATAGAATCGAGAAACTTTAGAAAGCCATGGACCAGGAAAGCGATGTAGACGATGAAAGAATGCGCGATAAATCGCGATGCTCGATGCTAGGCCGAGGCCGAATGCCGAAGTGATCAATGCTATGCGAGAGAGTATGCCTTGTGGTGTGAAATCAGTAATGAAGAGATATGCAACTCCTATCGTTAAGACTGTTGAAGTGTAGAGACGGAGTAAAGTGTATATGTAGTATTCCACAGTTATCCTGATAAAGAGAAAAATATGAGATATAACCCCAAAACTACCGGCCGATAGACCCAGGCTAAGCATATCAGCGCTCAATACATGGTCTAGGGTTTCTTTCAAAGTATCCATGATGAATTAGTGGCCAGGAATTGTTTGGAAATATTTCTAATGGCAAATGCTGGACTGAAAGGTGATCAATATAACCCGGGGACCCGGAAGGTATTATGAGAAGGACATGGCATAGAGTAATTTCCATACCACAGGCGAGAAATTCCTCAGAGAATTTTCAGGCCTCCAGTGTTAATTGATCGTCATAGATGACATTCGAATGAAGATGCCATGATTGGTGCAAGCCGAATGCAGTATGCAGTCGCAGTGCAGACAGAAACCCCTCATTCATGAGAAGGTGGGTAAAACACGGCACACTGCAGTCCACGAATGTGCTTGACAATTCGCGTCAAAAAGCCATTCCATGTGCATTGTGCATTAGCCCGCTGTCCTAGTATGCTATGCACCGTGATGGTTGTAACTTGTCAGTGGTTGATATGTTTCTTCTCCACTTCCAATGCAAGGCGGCCCGCAAGCCGTCCGTTGTCAGCACCTGGGCATGGCCAATTTGAAACAATGGGCTCGATTGGATCGCCACGTAGGCCAGAGAAAATGGTCTAACGGTATATATGTTGACAGCGGGAAGATCCATTGAACTGGATTAATTGCCGAGTCGGACTTTTGCCAGGTGGTCATATTAGTGAGAAACTTCAACTTGAAGTTGAACTGGGTATGATTTTGAGGACACTGCAACATATTAATTCCTTGGGCATGGTGTTCAAGTTGATCGTGACGCCCACTAGCAGGTGGTTCGAGTTGTATGTTTGAGTGAACTTGAATAAACGAGTAGGGATTTTGCAATGAGGCAGTTCACTGATAAGCAGCCGTAAAATGAAAGAAAAATGGTATATAACAGTGCATTTACCTAGGTTAATGACATTGAAGCTCAACTTCATGCAGTCTGATAGTCCTTGGGGGCTAGTATCAGAGTGGGGAGAATAGTGGGGCCAGTCATCGGTGGCCCAGGCGGTCAAGGTTATCATACCAAACATGAAGCTCATTCTTCATATCACCTCCCTCAAGTGCTCGCAGCAGGATCTATTTCATAAAGAATTAACAGACAAGAAACCCTGAATTCAACCTTGGGCATTATCCAAACTCAAACTCTTCAAAATGGTATAATACCACCCAAATAACTCCAACCTAGAGCTCCAAGCTAATCTCACAACAGAGCAAAGACTCCTCCGCAACGCATCTACACATGCACCACCCCCGTCTAGCAGACTTCTTCGAAGAGTTCACGCGTCCACATACCTCTACCGCCGCGTCATCAAATAACCCTCAATTCAGCCCTCATACTGGTTCCCAGTCTGCTGCAAACCCAGGCGCTACATATGGTTCCTCTTCACCTTCAACAATCCCCTCTTTCCTTCCTATCGAAGATATCTACGTTCAACCACAGTACCAGCCTCCAAACCCAGAAGACGAGGATGATGTCGTACCAGATCAACATGCTGCGTTCGGTATCACGCGCGCAATGGAGCGCCGTCGCGATCCGGTCTGGCGCGATCTAGGACTCGAGGCACTGGTCAATGGGCAAGGACATGGTGGACACGCTCTTGCGGTTAATGCTGGGGCTGGGGGTACTGCTGGAGGTACAACTGCGGGGGGGTTCAGGACCCGGCGCTACTTTACGAGGAACTGGTGGGGGTGCGGCAGCTGTTGGGTCGGCCGCGATTCGAGTTCGGAGTTCGGGACGGAGGATGGGTGGAAGGAGAGTGGTTTGCTTGCGATGAAGATTGGATACCTGAGCCTTCGATCTTTGACGCAACTCTCTTTTTATTGATTTCTTTATTCTATTGGCGGGTCTTGCATTGCATGGAGTTATATTTCCCGACGGCATGGGATTTATGGAGATCAAAGATATTAACTAGCGCGTCTTCGTTAATTCATTGGTATTTGTTGCTTCCGAACTATCGATCAAATTTCGAGTCTTGGACAAGTTTCCTATTCTTGTCCGAACTCGTTCTGCGCCTAACGCCGAGCATAGCCTAATGCGAAATGATTGTACAAGAAAAATTGCTACCCTTAAATCCGGTTAACATCCACCCGAGCACGCTCGTAGAGCTTGTGATCGAGTTGTTTTTGCTCGCGCTCCTCATCTGAAATGGATCGTGGGTGAATGGCAATCTGGGCAAAGGTACCAGGGCCACGACGTTTAGACAAGGTACCTGGGTTGATCACGAGCACACTGTCGACAACCTATGAGGGTTTGGTTAGTTGATAAGAACTTGGCAAATTGAGATTGAATCGTTGAACATACCTTGACAAAAGGCGGAAGCATGCTAGGAACAATGAGTATATCGGGTCGAACATTCCACCATTCTCCTAATTTCATGTATGGCAAGTCCAACATCGCACCTGTCGCCAGAGAGGAATTGAATCCTGTCTTGGGGAGATTCGATCGTGCGGTTGAAGGGAACAGGGGGAAGAAATGCCGTTGCTCAACGAGGTATTTGGGTAACCGAGTGAGCAATTGACCCTCGTTGAGCTTTCCGTGCAGCACTTCCTCACGGCGCAGCTCCGAGAGCACATCATGAGAACACATACCTACAACAGTCTCGTTCAAGGAGAGTGTCATGGGGTTTGAAACCATGCGGACTTGTTTAGGCAAGCCAAGATCTTTCTTAAGCAACTGTTCTTGTGGCCATGAGACATGTCGGCTCAACGCATCGCGTACTGAGGGCACACATACAACTGTGATGCTCGGCACAGCTGCTACTAGTCGAGCCAGAGGTGTTGAGATTAGGTGTCGGAAGAGTGTGGTTAAAGTAGCTGTGTCCGGGTCAAGGCCCTTGATATCTGGCAATTCAAAGTCTCCAGATGCAAGAAGTGGATGCTCGATATCTAAGAATGGACCGATTAGGACCAAAGAATCGGCGTAGTTATCAGCAGCCTTCTGGCACAGCTCCTGGAGAGGCTCGAAATCCAAATTATCATCTGCTGTGAAAGGTCCGGCAGCAACCATCACATTCAGGGGAATGTCTCCCGTGGCCTCGAGGCGCTCATTAATATTGTCAAGAGCACACGCCGGAGACGCAGCAGGTGGCAGCAGAGGAATGGGAAGAATTTCCTTGACAGTAAAGTATTCACCCGAAGGGTTGATTCCTCGAAGAGCGACGATTTGACCGGGGAAAAAGTTCAATCCTGGCACTGAGTCGATCTTCAAGGGGACTCGTCTTCCTGCTCCAGTTCGACGTGAAGTCTCAAGGACTAACGAAGCAGGATTGAGCTTCCCCTCCAGGGAATCAGAGGCGATTCGGCCAACAGCGATAATCTCACTGGTGCTCTGGGTAGCTGCACTTCCAAAAGTGAGATCATGCGACTCGTAGTGTTTCTGGAAGATGGCTGTGAATTCATCGATGCGGTCATCAAGAATTTCAGATGCCTCCGACAGCTTCATTCCCATCGGCTTGTAACCGAATTTCTTGAGGTCTGTGTTGGCCGTGGGTCGAATTCGAGCTTCGGAGAATGGTGCCATCGGGGTTTCTGGCAGAGATAAATTCGCATTAAGTGTTTCAACAGTTTGACCCGCATTTGGTCTGTCGGCGAAGGAAACGGGTCTACTAAGGTGTCAGCAAATGCAATCCTTATCATGGATTGCCGTAGAGGAATTGGTAGGCGCATCACGTACGGTCCTCCGGGTGTAGCATTGGCCAGTAAACTAGGTGTCTTAACAACACCTGGTGTGCCTATATTGTCCATTCGTCCCACCTTTGGTGTTGCAGGAGACGAGAACTCAGCCTTGCGTTTGGCCGAGCCATTTACTACATTCATAGACCGATTATTCGAGGTATTCGGGGTCAATTCGTCTAACCTGTACAATCAAAATAGGAATCAGTTCTTGTTCGCTTCAAAGAAATGGCCAGGGCTAATTAGTTGCATACATCCCAAACACATCGGTACCTGCTGCGGCGCGCGGGGTCGCATTCACAGCAACCCTCTTTTCATTCTGTCGCCCAACCTTGCCTCGAGTCTCACGCTCAAGAGCCTCCTGCACATCCTGCTTGAATCCGCGCACTGTTTCCATGCTCAATTTGACCTCCTCGCCCATTTTCATGCTGTAGGACTCCCATTTGTAGAAAAGCTCCTCCGCGGTGATCGAATGCACCCGCAGGATGGATTGGAGCTCGGCGAGTACATCTTTCGGCAGGCCGTCGGGGAAAGTTGCTGCAAAGAGCTCATTGAGCTCAGCTGCGGTATCCATAGTGACTCGAGGGCGTACGAGGGGTCAACTCTTAAAGAACTGTGAAGCTGTCGGAGATCAAGAGTTTCAGGACGCGTGAGACGCGTGAGCGTGTGGATGACATAAGCCGACCGAGAAGGGTAAATTGATTGGGCTTGAAGTTCACTATTGAGATCTAAGTGGGCCTGGGAGATCTCCGGGTACCTGTCCGAATTACTCCCAGCTGCAACTCAATTGCTCCTTGCACCAACTCAATTGATTTCTATATATCATCTTGGAGCACCATGACAACCAACGAGGTCGAGGTTCCGGCGACTGTGCCCCCAACCACCAATGGCGATGCTAAGCCTGACAACGACTTCCCTACTTCCGCCGCCGATGGCTTAATCAAGAAGCCATTTGCTGGCCCCGTCGAGAGTGCCAAACCCGTTAAGCCAGCGGAGCTTACAGCAGACCAGCAAACAAAATATGAGTCAGTCCTCAAGACCGTCTCTGAATGGACCACTGTGCCCAACAAATCGGAGAAGAATGCCCCAACAGACCCGATCACCGACGATGAACGCATGTGGTTGACCCGCGAATGTCTTCTGCGATATCTCCGTGCGACTAAGTGGAATGTGCAGGAGGCCGAAACTAGACTTCTTGGCACTTTGACCTGGCGTCGCGAGTACGGATTGGAGAAGTTCACACCGGATTACATCTCCGTGGAGAACGAGACTGGCAAGCAAATCATCCTAGGTTATGATATCAATGCCCGCCCATGTCTCTACCTCCGTCCTTCTGAGCAAAACACCGAGAAGAGTGATCGTCAAATCCACCACCTGGTCTTCATGCTGGAGCGACTGATTGATATCATGGGCCCTGACCAAGAGACCTTGGCGCTTGTTGTGAACTTTGGTGGATCCAAGTCTGGACAAAATGCATCAATTGGCCAGGCGAAGCAGACCCTGAGTATTCTGCAGAACCACTACCCGGAGCGATTGGGCCGTGCGCTGGTAGTCAACTGTGAGTACAACATGACATCCCCCTGATAGTGCCCCGACTGACAGTTTGATTCCTTCAGCACCTTTCTATATCTGGGGCTTCTTCAAGATCATCACACCCTTCATCGACCCGCTTACTCGGGAGAAGCTCAAGTTCAACGAAGACCTGCGCCTCCATGTCCCTGCTGAGCAGCTCATGAAGACCGTTGGCGGTGATGTCGAATTTGAATACGACCACTCGATCTACTGGCCCGCTCTGAACAAGCTTGCTGAACAGCGCCGTGACGCTAAGCGGGAACGCTGGATTGAAAACGGCAAGCGGGTTGGTGAATCTGAAAACTTCCTGAAGGGCGAGGGTGCTCCTAGTGCCTAGTGCTTAGACAACCTGTTGGAGACGGAGATCCTAGCCTTCTTTCTTCTTTCTTTCTTCACTCTCGATTGCCGCTCTTTTCAGTTTGGTTTCATTCCCCCTTGAGCATTTCGGGCTCACTTTGCATATGCTTATTGTTTGGGTTCTTGGGAGCCACTTCAAGTGTCTTCCTCTTGTTTATAGATACCTTTGAAACTTCAGATACATAGACTAGTATAAAATTTCGGGAGTCGTATATTAATTACACTTGCCTACGCGGTTTTGTGTCGATGACGCAAGGCCACATGGTTTAATTCATTCATCAAGTTCAAGTTCTTCCAATGTTCACGTGAGTTGTTTTCATCCGATCTGAGTCTTCCTGGGCTAAGGTCGAAACATTCATGCTACTACCGTGACATAGTAGTATCTATGCCACTAAGACTACTGTTATCAATAATAGTACATATAAGTGCTTCCAGTCCGCAAAATATATACTATAGGAGCCATCATGATGGCAGCATTCAATGTTTGAGGACATAATGCTCGATTTCAAGTTGGAACCTTGAGTCCGGTCGTCGATACTCGAATTGGCCCAAATGGAGAGACCATTGATGAAAGGCATGACATATTCCTCTAGTACCACCGTAACTGAACTCTAGTTTGCATCAGCATCCAATTTAGACAGTAGAATCCTGGTCACCCAGTTATAGTGGGTCTATCCGCACACAAAGAATCCGAGAAATCAGTTGAATACTTTCCCTATGCAGTCAGCTAACCTTCGGCACCTTTAAGCCGGCGGCACCTGCTGGGATTCCTCAAACAAGCCGGTCTGTGGAGCTAAGAAAACATGAAACACGCGGTGGACCGTTGGTCCTTGCAGTCCACGAGAGCACGGCCTCGGCACCGGTGACCGGGCGAGTCTCAGGCTAAGTGGACAAGGATAGGCCAATTCAACGGCGCCAGATCCTGTGGAGTGGAGCATAGACCAAGGCTGTGGGCCATGAAGATGCCTTTCAGCTTCAAAGTGAGATTGACCGTTTAAAATGGTCTGGATCCATGCGGATGGCGCCGGGGGTATGAGCCACATACTCCGTAGAGTAAACGTGTATCGTTGCACAGATACGGAGTAAATGATGGATATCATTTTCTCAGGCTGTACCCATGCAACTTTGAGTTCTTCCTAGATGACTCCGATTTTCCAGGATTTTTCCAGTTGCACTTTTCAGGGTTCAAGTGCCGAGACTGCTGAGGTGGAAAACGGTTCATGTGGATAAGCATGGGAAAATTTGATCACTGGCAGGATGTTCTTGTTGGCATTGAAAGGTCCACGGGTGGATCCCCACTGCTCCAGTGTACTCCGTATGATGAACGATGATCGATTGATCCTTCATATCCGAACCTTTATGAGACATTAATCGAGCCCTATTAGTATGCGCTAGCTGGATATGGGGACTACTATTCCAAGCCTTGAGGTTTTTGCTTTTTTTTCTTCTTGAATACGGAGTAGTTTGATATGATCTGTTTTAAAATTGAAGATCTACATTTGCCACAGAACATCCATGGATCTAGATGTCACTTCTAGTCTGTACTTGGTACGGCAGATATGGATTGTGTTAGCCTCCATGGATATAGCCTGAGGTGTCTCCACCTGTTGGCTACTGCAGGTTGCAGGGGCTGTGCGACCGTTGAAGCAGAAGGCCGATCGTGCATTGCACGAACTCATTTCGGAGGGTTAAAGATGACAAGGAGCCCGGGGCCTGCATGTACTCCGTACACTGCCCAGGTACAATTTTGGTTCCTGTACATGCACTCTCATGTACTCCGTACTTCTGCCGAGGCTTAATTCCAAGGGGTAATTTCCCCCATTAGGAAAGTTTTATATGGCCAGACTCTGGGAGTAAATAAAACTGATCCAGGATCCAAAGCCAGAGATGGATAACCTTGGAACATGAACAATAGACCATTTTGTTACTCCATAACTGGGGTCCGAGAATTGTTCCGGAGCGGGATATTCAAAGGGGAAATTGCCAGATTGGTGATGCTGGGCCGTCTCTAGCGATCGACAATCTCCATAGCCCAGAATCCAGATGAGTCGGAAAAGAGAAAGAGAAATATCTTGGAGCATACATAAGTTCAAGTTGACCTTATGAACTAGATTGAGTAGGAGAAGTTCATGATCTAAATGTCTGAAACACAGGAGTAAATGCGGAGAATCTATAGGGTTGAAAACGTGGCCCCGTTTATCCATGTGGAATTCTTCATTAAAAAGTGACATATCATGCCATATACCGTTTATATCACATAATATTAATAGTTTTCAATTATCCGTACTCCGGTACTTTCAAGTTCTAATACTCTTCTTATCATCCAAATTGAATCTAATTAAGTTTAAATAAATAAGCCCATATCTAGGACTTAAATAGTGTACAAAGGTGGTTGCGTACTCCGTACCTTCAAACTCACCCCCTGAGCCCCTCGCTTGGATAAACTCCACTTCAACCAAACTCCCCTTCATCTTAATCGAAGCTAAACTGTACCAGGCTTAGGGGTGCACGGTCTCGACTTTGTCGGGTTTTCTTCTTCCCCCTTGAAAAACAAACCACATCCCTAAGTTCTTTGGGGGGATAATTGTTGAAAGATCAGGAGTATCAAAAAAAGTAAGTCAAAGAAAACCAGTATTTTGTACATCGGGCATGGATGCCAAGTGTATAAGAACAAAAAAAAGGGGAACCGCCTTTATCTGCCACTTTCTACCGTCTACTCACTTACTTTGTCATTGAAATCTGACCGCCTTATTTTCTAGACATCTCCATCTCTTACTTCTCATAACGCCTCATGACTATTACTTGTTAATTAATTCCGTTTCCTGATTCCCTTCCATCGAGAAGTGATGACGGTCTCTCCGCCCGCGTCGCCGACAGGCCCGCCCCCGCGTCCTATCAGTGCCATCATGCGCACTCCACGCAGTAACAGTCGCATGAGCATGAGCAGCAGACAAGGAGGAAGCAGAGCCTCTGATGAGGATGGCAAAACTGCCGTGAAAGTTGGTACGTGGACCCCGGGATCGTCAACAGACGTCTGGAAGACGCGCCGGGCGCGTTGCAACGTGCCCGTGAAATGCGAAAACAAAGAAGTTTTTCTTAAACAAATATACCGCATCAGCCGCCAGCATTCCTTACCCCAGATATCCCCGGATTATCAGTTATTAGGAATTTCCAGCTAACATTCAATAGCCGTTCGAGTGCGACCTCCTTTGAAGCCAACGGACCCCGGTTATGAATTGATTCCCCAGAGATTCCAACGTTCCATGGTCCACGTTACAGCCCCGACAAGCTTAGCCGTGGATGTACCTCAGGGTCGCAAACTCTTTGTGTTTGATCGCGTTTTCCCCGAAACCGTGGATCAGGATGGAATTTGGGAATACCTAAGTGACAGTGTGAACTCCTTCATCCAAGGATACAATGTTTCCATACTGGCTTACGGCCAGTCCGGTGCCGGAAAATCATACACTATGGGTACATCTGGACCAAATGAGCAGGACGGCGGGGATGCCATGGGTGAGTTCAATGATAACCAATCGGCAGAAGACAAAGCGCAAAATGACGATACTAATCAAAATTCACGTTAAGGTATTATTCCTCGCGCCGCACAGCTCTTGTTTGACAAGCTCGACGGCCCCGCCAAACACAACCGCAATGGATCCACTTCGACTGGTCTCCGAACCCCTCAGCGATATTCAATGACCTCAGCCTCTAGCTTTGGAAAGCTGAACTTTGAGAAGTTTGAGAAAAATTGGCAGTTGAAGGCCACCTACGTTGAGGTATGTGGAGTGCAAGATAATGGGATCATCGCAGGTACTAGAAAAGCAACTAATAAACCCTAGATTTACAACGAGCACCTTCGAGATTTACTTCTGCCTGAGTCATCAACTGGTACTGATCGTGGTGCTGTCTCAATCAGAGAAGATGCAAAGGGTCGCATCCTTCTTACTGGGTTACACCAGGTTAACATTAACTCCTTTGAAGATCTGATCGGAGCCTTAAACTTTGGCTCGGCGATTCGTCAGACTGATTCCACTGCAATCAACGCAAAGTCCTCTCGATCACACGCCGTCTTCAGTTTGAATCTTGTGCAACGCAAAAGCTCCTCTGCCCATCCAGCTTCACCACAGGAAAAGCGGTTGTCTATGCCAGTAGACTCTTTCACAAACGGTGAATCTGTTACCGTGGACAGTAAACTGCACTTTGTTGATTTGGCCGGTAGTGAACGGCTGAAGAACACCGGTGCCTCTGGTGAGCGTGCCAAAGAAGGTATCTCCATTAATGCAGGTCTCGCTGCCTTGGGCAAAGTTATTTCACAGCTCTCTTCTCGTCAATCTGGTTCTCACGTTTCCTACCGTGACTCCAAACTCACCCGTCTGTTGCAAGATTCATTGGGCGGCAGCGCCATTACCTACATGATTGCATGTGTCACCCCCGCCGAGTTTCACCTGAGTGAAACTCTCAACACCGTCCAGTATGCCCAACGTGCTCGTGCCATCCAGAGCAAGCCTCGAATTCAGCAAGTCGCCGATGATAGCGACAAACAGGCATTGATCGAACGTCTCAAGGCCGAAGTCGCTTTCCTTCGCCAGCAGATCCGAAATGCCGACGGATCTGAGCGTCGTGAAGCTGCATCCACCGAACGCACCGAGCGCAAGAACGAGCTGGAGATCCAGTTGCAGAATCAGTTACTTGATGTCCAGGAAAGCTACAACGCCCTCAGCCAGCGCCACACCAAATTGATCTCCACCTTAGCCAGCGACTCCGAAGTGGTCAACGGTGACTCAGATGACGCAGCTGCTGACCTCGGCAAGGATTCAGTTGAGCGCATGCAGCGTTCTCGCTCCTTTGCTGAGTCTGTTGAACAAGTTGTTCTGGAGTACGAGAAGACAATTCAGAGCCTGGAGGCTTCCCTTTCCGATACTCGATCCTCGCTGGCGACCTCGGAGAGCACCTTGCTGGAACGCGAGACAAAGTGCACTTATGTCGAGACTGTGAACGCCCAGCTTCAGTCCCGTCTGCAGAAACTTCTGGACCGTGAAGCTAGCAATGAGACCTACCTGCACGAGCTCGAATCCAAGCTTGATGGCGCGTCCACTGGAGAAGAAAAGCATGCCGCAATGTTGGTTGAATTGCGCAAGGAGCTTAGCCGTGCTCGGGAGAACGAAGGCAGCTGTGAAGAGTACATTTCGACCCTGGAGGATCGACTTGCCGAATCCGATCAGGATATGGAGCTGATGCAGCGGGAGGTGATTCGCCTTGAGCATGTTATTCACCGCCAACGGGGCCTGGGAACGTTGGATAATTTGCTACACGATCTGGATAACCGCCACAATCTTATCAATGACTACGAGGGCACTAACGGCACCGACGCGATTTACCAAACTCCTTCCAAGTTCACTCACAAGCACACACCTTCTTTGGATGTTCTGAACGAAGCTGCCGAAACTGCTATTCCCGGATCCGATGAAGACCTGGTTGAGCCCATACCGGAGGAAGTGGAGACTCCTCCCGTAGCTGATGATCTCTATGAGACATCTAGCGATGACCTGGAGGTCCTCGAGAATGTCACCACCAAGCTCGAGGCTAGACGTACCGAGGCACTCCGCGAAGAGCCCATTCACAGCCCTGCTCAGTCCAAGTTTGTTGCTGACAAGTTGGAGACCGTTACTCAGGAGCTCTTCGACTTGCGTCTCAACCACGAGACCGCTTTGAACGATTACGAACTGCTCGAATCCAAATATGAAGAGGCTCTCAAGGCCCTTGCCGAGCTGCGCCAGGACAAGGCTGATGAGGCTCTCCACCCAGCCCCTGCAGCTCAAAACCACCCCTCGCGCCCCGTGTCTTTTTTAGACAACGGAAACACTCCAACCTCCAAGAGTGGACCACAACATTCATTCTCGCAGTCGCTCTCTTCGGAATTGTCCTCGGCCGGGGAATCACCTGCATTGCGCGGCTTTTCTGAGAAGTTGGGAGTTGATTCTGTGCCTCTGACACCTGTTACCTCTACCGCCCATGACAGTGAGGAGGTTGAGCAGATGCGCAAGATGCTTGCTGACCACAAGGAAGGTGCCGATCTGATGACTCAGAAATATGCTGAACTTCAGAGCGAACACGAGGAGATTCTTGGAATTGTCGACAGACTGAAGGCTGAGGCCGAGGCTCAGCGCACCAAGTCTAACTCTCCTACTACCCCTGGTTTCAAGATGATCCGTCGCATGACCAGCCAGAACCTGCTGTCTGGAGTGGACCGGGCCCACCGCTCCCTTACTGCCCTACGAACCATCGCCAATGAAGAATTTTCTGAAAAGCCTGACACTTTCCACAGCTTCGAGACCCACCTGGATGCTACTATGCATGAATTAGCCACTCGTATGGAGCGTCTCCAGTCGCTCGAGGCTGAGAATCAAAACGTCAAGAAGGAGATGGAGATGAAGACCACCATCATTTCTGGACTCACCCGTGAGCGATCCAGCTTAGGAGGTGCCTCCTCAGTCGACATGGCTCTTGTCAACCAGCTACGTGACCAGATTGTCAGCCAGGAGATTCAAATGAATGAGCTTCGGGAAGCCCACGAGTCTCGCGAAAAGCAACTTCAGACAGAGATCGACACCCTGAACAGTCTTCTTAAGAGCCAGGAGTCTGCTACCAAGGCCTTGGACGCTGGCGCTGAGGTGCAAGACAAGAAGATTGACGTGCTGGAGGTTGAGCTGAATGAGTGGAAGGGCAAGCACCAGACTGCCCTAGACTCCTTGCACATCTGCGAGAAGGAGCTTGCCGGCACTTTGTCTGAACTTGAGGCTTCAATTGCCTCTGCCGAGGCTTTGCGTTCTGCTACCACCGCTTCGGCTGATAACAATGCCGATAAGGAAATTGCCGCACGCGAACTTGAGACTGAACGGGCTAAGCAGCAGGACGTCGTGAATGGCTTGAACAAGGAGATTGACGACCACAAAGCCACCATCAATGCTCAGCTGGAGACTATCGCTGGTTTGGAGAGGTCTCAACAGGAGCAGCTTTCAGCCCAGCAGACCGGCTCGTCCGATTCCAATGGTGTCACGATGGCTGAGTTTGAACGACAAATCGCATCTCACAGAGCCGCTATCGAATCCCACAAGGCCGATCTTGGCTCGCTTCAAGAGACCCATCAGCGTGAGCTGGTTGAGCTCGAGGAACGTGCAAAGGCGGCTGCTGAGGCCGACAACGAGGCTAAGCTCGCCGAGAAGGATGCTCAGTATGATCAGTCGATCGCAACTCTGCAGAAGGATATCACTGAATCCCGGGATGAACTAGTCAAGCTGCTCAATGCTGTCTCTGGCTTGCTCAACTCCGATGTCACAACAGCGACATTGGCTGACCAGATCCAAGATGTTCTCGCTCAGAAGCAGCACTTCTCTGAGAAGTATGTCGAGCTGATGGATACCAACGAAGATCTTCGCAAGCAGCTTGATAGCAATTCCTCCAACAGCGCCGAATTCGAGGAGCTCGCAAAGAAGAGCACTGCGCAGGATGCCAAGGTTAATGAGCTGGCTCTCTTGGTTGCCACACTCGAGGATACTCTTCTCCAAAAGGATGAACAAGTCAAGAAGAAGGAGGCTCTTATTGAGGAGATCTCCGCAGAGAAGCAGAAGAGTGTTCGCTTGGTCGAAGAGCTTGAGGAGCAAATCACCAGCAGCTTTGATCAGCACCACAACCGTCTCTCCGTCATTCAACAGGAGCGCGACCAGGCTTTGGAAGATGCCAAGGCTCGAATCGTCGTCCTCGAGAAGGAAATCGAGACCTACCAAGTTCGCATTGAGCAAGTCGAGCTTCAGCTCAAGAACAGCGGAACCCAGGATGCTTCGCATGACCGTAGCAGCTCTATGACCTCCAACCTCCGCAAGAGTTCCTCCGCCGCATCTCTGCCCTCCCCTCCACCCGCAATTCCCCTCCCACCCCTTCCCACTATCGCTTCCAACGGTAGTGTCTCTCCACCAAGCTCTCGCCACGCTAGCAAGGAATTGGTCAACGCCCAGATCGTCGAAGACCAGGAAGCTCGCATCCGCACCATTGAGAAGCATCTGTATGCTGAGAAGCAGTTGACCGCCACCTTGGAGGAAGCTCTCGGTGACCTTGAAGCCCAAAGCACCAAGGTCAAGACTGACTGCGAGTCCTGGAAGAAGAAGGCCTGGGGTCTAGAGGACGAGCTCTCTACTCTTCGCAAGGAGCGCAACTCTGCCCGTCTTTCCCTACAGGCTGTCGAGGAAGAGCGCAGCGCCCGCAAGGAAGCTGAAGCCGCCCGAGCTCAGTTGGAGGAGCGTATGAATGCCCTCAACAAGAAAAAGAAGAAGAGCACCCTCAACTGCTTCTAAGTCTGATCTTTTTCTCCCTTTCCCATTTCCTGCTTTCCAAAACTCGCCCTCTCAAAAAGCGTGTTCTGTTTATGCCCTCTATCTACTCTTTCTGATGTACAACGCACCTGCCCTACCCGATTTGCCACGTCGATAACTGTCTTTCTCTTTCTTCTCCAGTTCCATACCCCCTTTTATCCTTTATCCTTCCCGTGATCTACGTCCTCGCAGTTATTACCCACAAATCCCTGTATTATGACACGCAGCCTTTACTCTTATTCTATTCTTAGTCGAGTTATCGATACCTCTTCTGCTTTTTTCTAGCCAATTTCTTCCCTATGCACATGTGCTTTTATCTTAAATCACCGCTGATTTTCTTCACATATCCCTCATTTCTTGTTGTGCTTATCACGACAAGAAATGTTTTTATGACCGGTAAATTCTACTTGCGCTGGAATTTTCCATTGTACAAGGCTCTTTTTTCAGTATCTGTGGTTGGATGTTTCTAGATTGACTGGTGCGAACCTCAATGTTTCTCCCTCGGGGAGTCTTATGTGTTTTTATGTGATTTTGTGATCTCTAGTTTCTATTGAAGTCTCCCTGGGTTCTATGTTTACAGCTATCCTTAAAAGATAAAAGATGCAACATTGTAGCTCCGGAAATACATTCCCAAACATTCGCGCAGTGGCCTACTATGTATTAAGCTAGTTACCATTCTGCAAGCTTGAATTCGCGGAATGACCTATGCAGTAATTCAGATTGAAACCAGATGATGATTAACTAACTAAGAACAAAAGTCACAAAAGTCACAAAAGTCACAAAAGTCACAAAAGTCACAAAAGTCACAAAAGTCACAAAAGTCACATCGCACTAGAACCTAAGTAGAGACGGCCGTAAAGAAAACAAATTGGAGACGCGCGCCGTAGAAAGTCAGTAGACGAGACCTAGAAGAGCCCTTTTGTTGAGCTCCTCAGCAGCTTTCTACGTCGCCTAGACTCTTTCCTCTGCAACCTCCATGACTCCTCAAGCAATTCCTGCGCTTCATCCCCTCTACCATCTATATCATCCACCCAGCCATCGATAAACTCAGTGAATCCTTCCGGTTCTCGCATCTTTTTCTCGGTAGAGAGAGAATCATCTTTCGAAGCTAGGTCCTGAAGTCGAGCATTGGCCAATCTCTTGGTCCGGGTCAATTCCCGCGACTTTTGTGTTAGCTCAATGACCTTAGAGAGAAACTTTTCGTCCTCCTTTTCGCGCTCCTCAAGCTCTTCGTCGGTGTAGGTCTTCAACTTCCGGTGGACTTTTCGCGCTGGTGCCTCGTCATTAAAGGAGCATCCCTTTGCCGAACTATCCCAGTGTATCCCAGTGACAGTTGGCGCATTCCTTGATACCATCGACAACCACGTAAAAATTGAATGGGCCCGACCCCCTCTGGCAGTGCTCACACTGGAGCGCTGGATCCGTGATCACTCTACCCACGCACTGCATGACGACTGCTTCCACGTTGGCCAATGAAGAGTTGATTCTGGTGTAAAACTTCAGCGAGTCCCAGTCATGGCGCAAGCCAGGACGGATAACAGGCTCATTCTTGGCCTCTATGGTCAACAGTTTGGCCAGAAGCTTTCCTTTCAGCTGGTCTCCTTTAACGGCAGCATAAAACTTGAAAGATATTCCTCATGATGTACTTGCACCAACTACCGGGTTTCATATCCTCGCTGCCACATAACGGTGCCGGGAGGGTTTGAGAGGGCTGAGACTCGGGGATTTGACTGTGGTTTTATTAGTCTAACATTCAGAAAGTAATAGAAAATATGACTTACTCGGCCATTTTGACGAGAAGAGTAAAGAGTTGGGATTCGACGAGCTTGAAGCTGGCGAGAGATGGGGAGATGGAATGAGAAGATAAAATGTGACGAGCTGGAAGCTGGCGGGATAGCAGCTGGCGAGAGACGAGGAGATGAAATAGGAAGATGAGATTTACCGAGATGAGATCCAAAAATGGGATTAGATGAGGGGAGGGAGTAGATGGCCAGGGATAGAAAGAAGAATGGAAGAGAAGAGAGTTTAAGAAGAAAACTCTTGATTAGCCCTGGAGGATTATATGAAGGTCAAATTGAACAGTACCCCGGCCCACTGGCACATTACAATTATTCACGCTATACAGATTTCAACTTTTGATGCCTATTCAACCTGTCCCTCCTTTGGTGTATTCACTAAAGCGGTCACTTCCCAACCCTTTTGTTTGAGGAAGTGGCCTACGCAGAAGTCTCATTTTCTGCATTTGATTCATCCCTGTTGTATCGTTCTATCTTAGCAACAGCGCTAGACCAGGTTGTATTCTAGGCTACCGAAGTACCTGAATCCTGGGATATCGCCTATACCACCAATTAATAGTCTTGAGAGCTTCAGGATGCATTTCAAAATGTATATTAGCATTGTATAAATAGGTCTAATAAACCTTGGAATGGTCTTAGGCATATCAATCGGGCCAGACGTCTAGTATTTGTTTCATCAATTTCAAAACAGACTTGAGACCTGGGTGAAGGACCCAACCACCCCAAAGTGATATGAGACTGGAAAATCTATGGTTTCATGGGATGTACGGCCCCAAATGATGATTGAGCATGTCATTGTCCATGCGGCCACCCAGAGAATCTTCCTCATCATGTCCTGAATTCTGCTCATCTTTCATGAAGGCGAAGACATATCGGCTAGCGTTTGTCATAGGCTATATACATCCTACAACCCTAGAAGCTCGTGGTCTAGATTTGGATGTGGAGCACTAAACTACTGTGGTAACTGACTGGTAGGAGCCGTCAGTCAGGGGGAGGTGGAGTATTGAGTGGGAACTTAAATTCTGCATACCTGGTTCAGTTAGTACAGATTTTAGATTTGGCTCCGGAGAGTATAATAAAACAGGATCCTGCATGTAGATGAAGGAAACTGGACCGGAACTCTGACCCATTCCCTACATAGTAACGGAAGGGGAACGTTGCGAGAAACGCCACAAGACTACGTAGCTGCAAGCTTCTCCAAGACCACGATTTGAGAGGCATGCTGGAATTTTGATCGCGTTCTCAACCTGTTGTGCATTTGATTATCATGATTAGCGCATGATCAAAGCCGGTCAAAGACTGTCACATTATAATTATTAGCAGCAAATACCGCAGTGGAGTTCATTTCAGCGGTCGAATCAAAAGTCCTTGTGTATACTGCGTGAAGTTAATGGTTTTGTCCATCGAAATTCAGAAAAAAGCTAAATGAGGGAGAACACACCTGATTGGTAATGTGATTCGAAAATTCAGGATAGCAACCTCGCGAAGATTTTAACTTATTTGATCAACTAATTTGGATTGCGAATTAATATATTATACATTCTTGGATACACAAGAAACACAGATTAAAAATTGCAAAGCGCATCGCTTGTATGACAGCAATATATGTAGCGTTCAGCTCCGTAAGTCATCTCAGCGTCGCGGTAATTTCTTTTTTTTGTCAAGCTCAAGTTTGACTTTGAGCGTATAATTTTGTGCAGCGAGTTTTTGCATAACTGTAATTGAAACATCCGGCAACTCTTTAAGAACCTTGGTACTCTCATCGCGTTTAAGAAACTCTTGAATCTCGGATGTTGTTGACGTGATTATTACTTCGCGGAGCTGAGTCTGCCACGTAGGAACGGTGGTCCAGATTTCCTGTAATGTTATGAGAAAACTTGTGGCGTTTTCGTTGATCCAATTTACGATTCGAGATCTGGCAAAGTCTTTGAGAAGTGAAACATCGAATTTGTCAGTTGCTATGAACACTCCAAGGTTGTGCCACATAGCTTTATGGGGCTCCTCATCACGAGGCGAAGTACAATCCCGGCCCTCAACTCTCGGCTCGTCCTTCATTCTGTGACTACCTGTCGGAAGAACTGGGCTTGTGCCTCAATGAGATTGATGTCTCCCGTTAAAGTAAGTTTCGCACTAAATATACCTAGTCAATCATGCAATCACCTTTCTAAGTCATCAAAGCAGACATGTCAAGGGCAAATTATATCTCCAGTTGGCACGAGTACATCAAAGGCAAAATATAGAAAGAGTACTTATACAGAACTGCTCGAAATCAGTTTCACCTACTTCTTCTCTTCAATATTCTCTTGAACTCTATTATAAAACACACTAGTCTATCCTTGATTTAGCCTGTTACTAGATCTTATTCGGCAGATCTTAATTATAAATATAAACGTTCCGATTAAATGGTATTGACAGCGGCAGTACCGTACCAGCTTCCCCATATATTCCGAAATTTAACGTTGATTCTGTATGTCATTAAGGATTGAATAATACCTCCTGATTGTCCTAATTAGGAATTATTGTCGATCCTGCATGGAATATAATAGAACATAGAGGATTCTTGTGTAAAAAAAAGCGAACAGCGTTATGTGCCTGTCACTTAACTTTAAAAGGACTACAATTTAGCTTCTATTACGTGATTTATAAATACCTAGCTCATTCATGAGCCCCTATTAAATTGTTTTCTCCCTTGCTCCAACTACGTACTATACATATAACACAATAAGCCATCCATTAAACCAATAGAAATTTCATTAAATTCATCTAAAAACAATCTCTACAAACACTCGAGCCAACCCTTATTCGCCACTGCCATCATCTAAACACCAAAGTGGACATAGGGAATCCAGTGGCTGTTTAGACGTCCTTTTTCTGGAGCCCCCAACTTTAGATAGAAGGCCTTTCTTGCTTTCTGCCCCATATCAATATGCACAGCGCGTAACTCTCGAATAGCCTTGTACAGCCCTCGGCAAACCGCTACGTCCGTCATCCCTTCGTCCCGTATTATCTCGTAGAACATCCTCGCCACATCCACACAATATTTATCCGAGACTCCCCAGAGCGTCCCAACAACATGACGGAAACCAGCAAAGGAGAAGGCGGTGAGCACTATTTAAACGTGGGACTCTCACTACGAACATGTACATTCGACATGTGACGGACATAATCGATTTCTCTTTTATTTCTAGTTTTAAGATATTACCGATTATAGCATGATAATCACTCCGATTTAGTTGATGTTCATTATGCATGAATTTCGTGGCTTGCGTATATCACAGCCACAACTTGAACCCCGGCAAATTGTATCACCCAGGAGCACTTGAGATAGGGGTATATATTCGGATTCGCCAAATACATTTTATCTTCGTCCGAGAGACCTGAGAAACACAACTTGATAGGGCTCGTATAAATCACGTACAGCCATAAATGGAAGCCACAAGAATGGGCTCCCGACCTGGAGTCTTTCAGACTATTACGCTACCAAGCAGCACTAGTCAACTGGTGCAAGTGGTAGTATAACTAGAGGTATGGAGAAGTATTCCGTACACCTGGGTGAGATTAGAACTGTACATAAAAGAGAGAAAAATCGAAAGACCTAAATCAATGAAAGAAACGGAAATAGCTGGAATCGAACCTACGACCTTAAACGGAAACATCGCGAGATCTGCGAATAGCCTCACTTGATACATCCATCTAATGCCATCACCACCCCATAATCCTTCATACATCAATTGATATGTATCTCGCTCATCCTTAATTATTTTTAAGTCCTAAGACGTAGAGTGAGTAGAGCAAGTCTAAGAGTGTTATAGATAAAATATCCAGAAAGAAGAAGAAGAAGAAGAAGATTGTCCCGTCTGAAGCAATAGCTTCGGAATCCCACCCAACCGGTGTCAACCCAAACTCGCTGTATTTCCAAGGTTAAGGTGAAAATACCTTTGTCCGCCGGCCGCTGACCACAAGGCCAGGACTGGGAAGTCCCTATTCTCCCCTTTCGCTGAGTTATATATACATATTAATATTACCACTCCTAACCTCTTCTAACCCCAGGCTCCAAATCCCTAAGGTGGGGCAGGGCTATTAGCTACCCTAATCCTTTGCTTTGACCCAAATAGGCATAAATTATTTAACTAGCACTGGCTAAATGCTTAGAAAGCACTTAGCCAGCGCTTCTTCAAATTAAGGAAGCGGTGTAAGGTAAGATTGTGGAGAAGGTGTATTCAAATAACAACGCTAGAGATTTCTTTGTGGGTCCGGAATATCCCTTCTGGGATATTCCGTCGCCAACTGTGCAGGCGGGTCCTCTCAATTGTGCAGCTCACCTGCTTCCTGGAAAGTGGACTGCCTGGATTTTCTCTTCCAGAGGCTGTACAACCACGAATTTTCCCTGCCCCACCAGAGCGCATCAATTCCCGAGGTCCCTGAGCCAGACGCGTGTGGTGGGTCAGGAAGAGACCGCGTTCAATATTGGGCTCTTGCAGCCCCCAAGCTATTTATTTCAAATTTTAACTAATCACCAATCCGAGGTCACCGCGACGAATTGAGTATACAATCGCTCGAAAAGTCTGACGGAAATGTCAAGTCTTACGAAAATCTCCCTCATAAGTCTGCCAATCGAACTTGTGAATAGAACTTGCAGCTATCTGGAGCAACCGGACTGGGCCGCACTCAGATTATCTTGTCGCTCCCTGTACGCAAAATCTTCGGATGCATTCGCAGATCGCTATTTCAAAAGCATTTGCTTCATTGCCACCAGCGAAGGTATTCGACAACTAGAAGAGTTGGCACAAAGTGAAACTGTCCGAGTCCGAGTCCGACAGTTATGGATGATTCCGACCGTCTTCGAAGGTCGTCATGGGCGGAGCCTTGCCGAGTTCAGGCGGTCTCCATATGGAAGAACCACTGGTGATGTTAGGAAACCACTGGGTCGTCGCGATAGGCCAATTCGCGATAGGCCAATTCGCGATAGGCAGAATGATGATGCGTTACTTGATGCTGTGTTACTTCCTCATTATGCAATCTATCAAGCTATAGAAGCCGATCATCTAGCTCTGCTTGAATCAATTGAATCAAACACCCTTGGCTCTAGGCTTCACACGTGCTTTGCTTTGTTCAGAAACCTCGAGTCCGTTGGATTAAAGCATTATGCGACGGACTTTTTACTTGATCGACGGCAAGCAGATTTCCGATATCTTGGATTGCCAGAGTTAAGGCATCAAGTTGAATACGTGTCTTGCCATAAAGGCATGAATTTCCTTCAATGGCACCAGGTAGCTAAGGTCAACTCTCTTGCCTTATCGAGGGTTTTACTAGGCCTCAATGAATCCAGTCAAAAGATTAGAGCCTTAAACACATGCGGTCCCAACTTCTGCGGCTCAACTTCTCCTAGCCTTCCTCTCACGGATGAGCAATACAACTCTGTTCTTCTCAAACTTGGAAACCTGGAATATCTTCATATGTGTATCTGTTATGACGAGGACAACCTAGATTGTCCTCCGAATTCAAACACCTATATTGATCTTTTTATTTCTGTTGCACCCAAACTGAGAACTCTCGTTTTCTCACAATGGTATCAAGGTCCACGCGAGATGGGAGAACAGTTTTCAGAGCTCTCCCAGAACATCAGGTTCACTCAACTAAAAGAGCTTCATCTCCACTGGATTGAAATTGGATTTGAGTCATTCAAATTATTCCTTAACACCACCAAAGGAACTCTAGATTCTCTCTCACTCGAGCTGGTAACTCTGAAAACCAATACTGCCCTGTCCACTAATTCAGAGCCGAGTTGTTGGGAGCAGATATGGGAATTCCTTGGAGCGGAGTTGTCACTGAAAAGTTTTTACATGGGAAACATTGCCTATCGGAGAAGGAAGGTGATGATTCAAGGACCTGACGAGTTAGTTGAACCGACATACTCTGTTACTTTCAATACATGTGTAACCGACATTTGTTTCAATGATTGGATCCGGCAGCTCAAGCCAATCGTTTTACGAAGTTTCGATATATCAACACGAAGCTATCCAGGTTTGCAGCTCACTAAGCCCCCAAAGCCACGGCCTTGTTTTAATATCAACTGTTAGACTCGCTTCGTTTGTTAGACTTGCCTCATTCGTTAGACTCGCTTCGTTCGAGGAAACCTCGATCAAACGATCCACCAGCTTCTGGCCCTCGAATACACGAGAGACACCCCAAACCCCTAGGATTGGGACCAAAGGATATTAGGTCCCTGATGACCTGTTACCCAGGGAGACGAGGACATACGTGAGCCGCTTTCACATATTAAAATGGTCATTACATCAAGTTTAGAGCTAAGGTTGGGGTTGGGAGCGCTCATTATTCACAATCGGAAAACCTCAAAGACCGATATGATGACAGTAAAAGGGGCGGTTCCATGAAATTGGTAGCTCATAATTAGAAGAATCAAATCACAGACCTGCGTTGAATAGCGAGGGTTTATGCTATGTATCACCGCATATGTGGGAGAGCCCCTTTAAACCGGTCCGAGTCTCGCCAGCCCAGCACCGGGCCCGTAACAACGAAGGCGAATAACCCAACATTGAAACCTTCATAGTAGTACTACATTCTCCTTTCAATGTGGCTGTTGAAACTCCTCCCAAGCACTTCAGGCCAATCCAATGATGCTACTTCTGAGTAACAGTAAATTATGCAATGTATGACTGACTGGATTTCGAGACATCTAGATACACGATACTAGCCAAACACATCCATCATGATACCAATTGATCGATAAAACGCTGCCCCAACCGATGGATATGTATCATGGCATTCTCAATCCGTCCCGGGGAGATGATAACCCGAAAAATATGAAGAAACTTGGAGCTTATTCAAGATATAACCATTGTACGGCTCGGATCTAAGGGGCCCTGTTTCTGTCTTTCCTGTCAAAGCAAGACACAAGGAAGCTTGGAATGCCCGAAGCCAGAATTATCATAACCCTACCGTGTGGATCAATACATTAAATCCGCTGGATCCACGCAGGACCCTGTCGACCAGTCGCATTGGGATATGTATGCACCTAGAGAAGTTATATTAGGAGACTGATCGGCTTTTTAACGAGAGACTCCAAGGTTGGTAATTCTGATTTCACTCACTCACGGCCCAATATTTAAAGGTGTCTGAAGAAAAGAGTTAGTTTAATTCCATGAATATTCACAGTGGAGAATCTTACCAGCATTTTTCAATGACCTGAGTTTGGCGGCATCATCCTCACTGTTACCTTCCTCGGCAAGCTCAACGACTTTTTCGAAGCCATAAGCGGTTGTCCCATCAATAGAATCAAGCGCACCTGTGTTCTACTTATAGTGTTAGTATTGCCAAAGTCCCAATTCCAAATTTGCCCTTTTATCAAGAAAACTTACGATTGTCAAGACATCGTCCAAAATCTGAGCAAAATATGCCTTGGTAGATTCAGAGATAGTAACAGTGGTGGTATCATCGTCAGCAGAGTCAGTACTGTCATCAGAGTCTCTTTTAGTCACATCCATGCCCTCGTCAACGGTGTTGATGCGTGAACATGTATCTACATGCAGCAGGAATGAAGACCAGCCAGGGATCTCTACCCAGTCACTATTGTCAGCATCACTAGTATCGTCTCTTAACCTTGGAACCTTGGAACCTTGGAATACCTATTGATTTGGAGATATATCCCCGGAACTCGCAAATTCCTTTTCAAGGCCCCGGGGATCGTCGGGGGCGTACCGAATTCTGCAAAGGTGCAGCGCTCTTCTAGCCATCCCTCATTGGTTCAAAAATGTTGCTCCAACCGGCCTACTGAGTTCTGGGCTAATCCATGAGGAGCAGCCTGAGGATACTTGAGGATACTATTCGACAACTACGTGGGACATCTGGAGTACCTGGCTAGTAAACCTTACCAGTTGCCAGCCACGCGGGCAGCGTCACGGTGTTGTATTCAACTACTAGTAACCCATTATCATAATACTAACTATTCCACATAATATTCCATACTATCTCTGTCCTATGCTAACATTTGAAGCAAAGAAATGGAAAATAAAATAAAACAAGGACACAAACCTTGGAAAGCACAAAAATGAGTTTGCATTTGAATCAATCCTAACTACTGGATGCGTGCTAACATCAAGACCAGGAAGTCTCCTTGATTAGCTTTTGGAATTGCTTCCAAGGTTGCTCATCTTGCCATGAAGATCAAAACTAGTATCCTCCCTTAATTCGGGGATTTCGTCATCGCCTTCCTCCAAATCTGGAATACCGGTCTCATGGAGGTACTCCAGGTACTCTTCCATTTTTGTAACCTTCTCCGCGGCATTAAGACCTGTCAAACTCGGCATCTTCTTGCGAATCCCTTTCACAAGCTTGTGATGCTGCTGCATCACTCTTCGTAGATCACTGAACTTTGCCAGGATGTCACCGCTGTCGTGATCAAATTCATCAATCTCTGGGTTGATTTTGGTGAGCTCTTCTTCAGTAAAAAGCTTGGCCGCTCGCCGCAACTTCTTCTGGCGGGTGTTCGGGAGGAAGGAGCATCTATCGTTGTTCCGCTTCCAATGACAATTACTGCAGTCATCGATGCCTTCGACCCGGGCACAAAAGTCAAACGGGCCGTCGCCCTCACTGCAGGACATACACTGGTATTTTGGGTCCGTGATGATTTTCCCAACGCACTGCATGGCCAGAGCTTCCACATTGGCCAGTGATGAGTTGACCTTCGAGAAGAACGCAGAGTCGTCCCATTTGTTTCGCCAGCCATCTCGGAGAACTGGCTCATTGCGTGGTGACATTGCGAGAAGCGCAGGAAGAAGCTTGCCCTTGAGGTGGTTGCCCTTGACGCCGACTGAGAATTTGAACGGTGCCGACATCATAAAATTTGACCAGTTTCCCGGTTCAATATCGTCCTTGCCACTCAGTGGCGGTGGCAGCCGTCGTGATGAACCCTGTTCATGCGTCTCGGGTGCTGTGATGCTCCTATTAAAGGTATATGTTAGTATTACTAGAAAGCTTTATGAGATAGTAGGTCCATCTTACAAGTCAACGATATCCACAAGGCCATCAACAGGCAGCTTTGGAATGCTAGTGGATGTACTAGGCTGAGAACTGCCTGGTCTGTGAGCTGGTTGCCGTGGTGTACTGTAGGGGTTTCCGGTACTCTGTGGTTTTGTGAGTCTAATAATCAAGACATGAAATACAAACAGACACATACGATTTTGGAAGGAGAACAGGACTTACTCGGGCATTTTGATGAGACTGAGAACCAAAAAATCAGCTTAGAAACTAGGATTTAGTTCCTAATATCTCAAATTTAGATATAACATGAAGTGTAAGAAAGGGAAAACATAGCATACACTGGTTTCCTGCTCTGTCGTGAGGGTTTTCTTGCAGGAGGAGAAAAGTGGAATTTACTAGGCTGTAAATACTCTTATATTTCTATCTCTCATGGTAAAATCTGATTAATTTTATGTTTAATACTGAAAAATCTCTCTCCTTAGCCATATCTATTAGAGCATTTACCTCATTTACCTCTAGAGCCTTTTGGTCTACCTTATTACCTATATTTCACTTAACTATTACTTATCTCTCACCTAGCTCTTACCTATCTCTATTTTTATTTAGTAGTTAAAGCTAGAGGTTTAGGAGGGTTTTAGTATTAATATAGATACTTCTGATAAGAGAGCTTAGAGTTCAAAAGTGATTATAAATGGAGGATATCCTAAGGGAGGGAATAAGAGAAACAGAAGGAATAGAAGGATTTAAAGTAAAAGATAGAAGATAAGGAGAGGAGATCAAGAGGGTGTATGTAGATCTCTTGGTTTATCATATCAAATGTTTTGCTGAAAGCAATAAATACCTTGTAAGGTCTTTTGACTCTCTTTCTCTTAACCTCTGACGTCTGAAGACTCCGGGATCGTTCAAATCTCCTTCTTTCTCTCAACCCATTTCATATCCTCACATCTGACAACCCCGAGATCCTCACATCCAAAAGAAATCAAAATAGAGACCCCACAAGGCTCCCAGCTCCCGCAGAAACGTGACTTCAACATTCCACCTTGGGCAGCACCAACAACAACAGCGTCAGGCTCGCGCCCCACGTTACCAGAAGGGGACCCAATACCAACGGTCATCATGTAAAGCAGACCCATCTGAGAAAGCCTTCTTATTGTACTAATATGAGGTTTATAGGAGCGCGACTGAACCTGACTCACGGGTCATAGGCTTGCTCTCAAAACTTCCACCACTAGTAAGTGCCAGTGGCAGTGAGAATTTTGAGGCAGGTGAATGGTGCAAGTTTGTGCTTGGACCAGAGTTCCCATTCTGGGTTGCTGTGGAAGGCACAGACCTAAAGGGAAAGCTACTTGGAAGACTGCTGAAAATGACAGGCGTAAACGAGGCCGCCATTTGTCCCGGAGTGAGAAATGACTGGGATTTGAAAAGGTTTTTCGCACGTATCAACAGCTCCCTGAGCAACGTGGAAGCCATTCTAATGGAATACGTCGGCCGGGTAATAACCACCCCAGCAGATTAATGCAAGCATTGCCGGAAGAGAAAGCATAACTCATTGATCTACCATCATGGCATCCAACTTTCCCTTCAAAATCCGTGAGAGAATTTCATCTCTCATGTCACCCGGCCATCGTGAACTCATCCAGACTACTCGGAGACGGGTTGTGATCTCAATATCCTCACATATATCCGTTGATTCCACAGCCTCCGAATTCCTTAGCGCAAAGATCCAGGACTTTGAGGATGAAGAGGCATACATCAACCAGGTGAAGGCTGGGCTAGAGGATGTCAACCTCACAAAGGCCCTAAGCTCCGCAGAGTATCGAAAGGAACTCAACTCACTTCTTCGACGATTTTGCGAAAATGCCGAAACACTGAAGGTTCTCAAACGTCAGCGCCATAATCTGACAGACGACATTGATGACTCGGATGCGTTGGAGAAGCATCAAAGGGTCAAGGGCCCACTGGGGGCCAATAATGTATAAGTACTCTCCTTGCATGAGAATGTTCGGAAACTTCTTGACACAGGGAAAATTGCTGTCGTCTCTATTCTAGATGACTTAACTTCTCCAACGACATGGAGGTGTGTTGTCCTTGATGAGTCAATCTTCAAGGATATTGTCTATGAGACAACGGTCCTAGGAAAGGTTACCAGAAGATACACTGGCAAGGCAAGTCCTATTCATAATAGGTTCTCCAGAAAAATGGCCTTCTTGAGGCCCGTGACATGGGCCTCCTTACCGAACACAGCCTGCAAGAGCAGCTGGGTTCCGTCCTACGTCAACACCAGAGACAATCAGATGTGGTTCGGGTTTTAAGAAGGGACAAGCGAAATATAGCAGAGGACCTCATCCAGAGCACAGACTCGGACATCGACTCCACCCGTTCTCAATCCGCTCTCATCTCGCCAGATTTAGTTTAACAACAACAATGTCTGGACGAGATAGCCCTGCCACGCCAGAAAGTTCGCATCGGGGATATCCCGACACATGGCCGTTCGATGTTCTCCAAAGACCAGAAGTCCAAGTGAATACATCTGTGACTACACCTGTGACCACACCCACGAACACCTCAAGCATAGGTAGGAGTAGGCCAAGTTTACCATCAGACCCTATTCATACCGTGACAACGTAAGACCGGCCACGACCAATCTCACAAAGCTTTATAATGATACTAATATGAGATTCATAGAAGCCACACCGACTCAACATCACGGAAGATTTGCATACCAAAAGAACTCCCACCACCCATAAGTGGCGTGGAGGATTTTGCAGCCGGCGATTGGTGTAAATTCATTATACAGCAGCCGTTTCGATTCTCCGTCGCATTGGAAGGCAAAGACCTAAAGGGCAAACTATAGGGGAAACTCCTCAACATAATGGGCGTCAATGAGCCCGTTCTTCGTCGTGGGTGGCGAGTGGATTGGGATTCCGCAAAGTTTTTCTTTCCAGACTCAACGGTTTACTTGCTAACTTGGAGGCTGCAGCAATAATGCAGTGCGTTGGGAAGGTGATCACAGATCCCGAAGAACAGTGCAGGCATTGCCGAAAGGGCAAGGGACCATTTGCGTTCTCGTGGTTGTGGACGGCATTCCTGAACGTGCAAATTGCCATCTGGGTAAGGAGGATCATAGATGCTCCTTTAACACCAATGCCACAGCACGAAAGTCCCGCCGACCCTCCAAGTACTACAGCGAAAAGGAGCTAAAAGGCTTCCAGAAGGAGGTTGAGGCGCTCCATAAGGAGCGTAAAAGCCTACGAAATCTGAACAGTCAAACCAGAAGGGGCTTTCAAAGGATCACCGCTAATATTGCCGACGAAATTGCTCGGAACCCGTCTCTACCGACTAGCGACCGAACAGAGGACGAGGTCGCAGAAGCTCACAAGGAATATTATAAATTCCTGAGGGGCGATTTCCTCTCCAAGCTCCAGACAATGACTCGGGCGACACAAATAAAGCTCGAAGAGGGTTATGACAAGCAAGAGGATATTTTTGACCGATTTGAGGACCTCAATGAATGAGGCCTCAACATAAGGAATTCTCCTGAGTCACAATCTGGTTTTTGTTGCACTGCGTTGCCTGCTCATTAGTTTGAAATTCAAATGAAACTGTGCCTTTTTGCCTTGCTTTTCTGGTTTCCTTTTTCCCCTGAGTAAGACAGTAATACTTTTTCTTTATACCGTGACTCAAGTGCTACTACTTCCAAGTCTTCCGAAGATCTCCTTTCCTAGTAGTACATATGAGATCCTTAGTCAAAAATAATATGGTTTTCGCGGTCTGAAAAAAAAATCATAAGAGAAAAGGGAGGTATTACCGTGGCCTATAAGAACGCTATCTAGAGATGGATGAAGTTAGCTCAAACGTTCAACCTTGAAATCATTTGAGCAAAGAGGATCCATGGGTATCTTAGACCAAGGAAGATTGGTAATCAAAATTGAATTCGGCCTATAGCTACCTAGGTAGTATGTACAGGTAACTAACTGGTGACATATCCCTCTTTCAAGTTGCATGTAAGTACCTACAGGTTTACCTACGGGTTTACCTGCATGATTACCTGGAAGGGAAGGCTAGCTGCTATATAGTTGGACATAGGCAACTGGTAACCATAGGCATAAGCTTTAGGTTAATTCTGCCTCACTGTTCTGCCGGGGAGGAAACTCGAAAACCCACTGTCACCCAAGTAGGAAAAGAGGTCTACAGTGGGTACCACGTCGCATGGGTAGAATCGGCTCATCAACATCTTCAGATATCTGATGGCATTCTCGGTAACTCGGAGTGCCTGTTTGAAAAGTGGTATGTGTTGGCAGTGTCACGGTTAGATCTTGATAGCGGCGATTTAGGGAATCTGCGATGTTTCGGAGCACAGCCCTTGGGTGCAGTGATGGTCGGAGGCTTGGGCCTAAAAGAGATAAATTAATATTGTAATATATTAACAGGAAGATACTTAATCTTCAGCCTCATCAGCTTTTTTTTCTCAAGAGACATTCCAGCAGGTTTGTTGGTTTTAGAGGGGAGAATCTGGCTTTAAGTGGAGAGCAAGTTTGGATGGATAAGTCGTGACTCGTGACTCGTGAGCGAAGAATATGACCTGCCGGGTCGAATGAGCCACTGTCATGGTAAACTGATTTTAATGGATGCGAAGCATAGCAATTTCAATTTCCACTTTTACAAGATATACTAGTAGCGAGATATGTAGTTTCTACTTTTCCTCAAATTATCTTTCTTCAAGTCCGCCTAATCATCATTTTAGTCCGAAGTAAATTTGTCTTTCCTGCCGTTTTCCTCAATTTTTAAAGCCATTTATTTGAATATAAGAAGAGCAATAGAACCAGAAGATTAAAAGCTGCCCTACGGTGTTAAAATTAATATCTTTGTATAGTAGTGGTGTCTCAGTCATACTAGTAACTTCATGGTCTATTTTGCTTGCCAGTGAAACTATGGAACTATTATAGAAATTCTCTAGATACATAAGATACCTAGTAGCTCCTCACGAAATTCAGATGCTCTAGACTCATCAAATACAAATCCCATCATGCCTACCTTCTGTGCACCTGATACATTTTCTTCCTTATCGTCAACAAAAATAGCTTCAGCCGGCACGATACTCATCTCTCGTAAAACATGTTCATAGAAGCAGGTATCAGGCTTGCGCATGCCAATATGGCCCGATGAAAATATAAAGTCGAATCATCCCCATTCGAAGTATTCTGCTGACCGTTCACGCAGCTCATCAAATTCCCGCCGGGGAACATTCGTCGTCAAAGATAAAATGACGCCATGAGACTTGAGCTTATGAAGAAACTCTGCCATCTTAGAGTCGGGGGCTAAGCTATCAAAAGCTTGAAAGAAGGTGGAGTTGATTTCATCCAGCAAGACCCCACTCTATTGATTGAGCTCCTCGTAACATTGCTCAGTTGATATCTTGCCCTGTTCATGATTGTGCCAGGAAGGGGATCGTATCATTTCCTGTAGAGATTCCGGCGAAATTTTTGTTGAGATTTGATGGTCCCAATGAAATATTACATCTCCCATATCGAACACAACAGCTTTGTACTTGGACATTCTGAATAAAATGAGTTCACACTTTCAAATGTTGAGGGAGACGAAAGTATTGCTAGTGCGGTACCTAGGTACTGTCCCCTTTAAGACTTTGAAAATGACACTTTCTTAATAGACCTCAGGGTGAATAGGAAATGTATTTATACTAGACTGTTACAGATAGCCCTGGAGTCGGTGCACACGTGGGGAAAAGCTTTGTAATTCCTCCACCTGGACAACTTAACGAGGTCAATAGATCAAATCCCGAAGTCCTAATATCATGGATACACAATGTAGGTAGGTACTAGTATGTACCCATAGATATATGCAGAGTATGCACTGCCAGGGGGAGCAGACTTTGAAAACCATGCACATGTGGATGCTTTACATAGCTGGTATTACCTACTATCTAGAAACCTTGGAAGGCAAAAAGCGGTATATGCAGCCGCCGTGCCCAGAACCTTCACTTATCATACTAGTATCAACATTTGAAATCCAACCCGGGCACATATGCAGAACTAGCTGAATCGGGAGTTACGAGTTGCGATTTGCGCACAAGGCGATATGTATAGTTAACAGCGTTGGTCGCACAGAAGCATGCAGATATATGCACATGCGCAAAGCGACCCCTAATCGAGAGAAACTTGAAATTGGAACTTGGAATTTACATGCAGCGGCCGCGGATGCGATTGGGCAGTAAGAACTATACATAGGGACTAGAGTGATCGAGCAAAAAGAGATCTGGCCAATAAGAATGTCTCAAACTCAAAGCTCTATCTTGTGTGACATTTCCTTCTACTAGTAAGATACTAGTACCGTTTGGTAATGACAAAATCAAGTTAGGATTAGGAAATTCCAAATGACTCGTACCTTTTACCAAAATATGCAATCCATAAAAATGAGAATGGGATGACTGTGCATTTACCACGCTCTCTTCTAAACTGTAACAAGAGGTCAACGACCTTAAAACAGACCAAAGTATTATGCTCAATACCTATTTTCCGTTCAAGTTGTAATATTTCCAAGATTGTGTTTGGCTGCCTGTTATAATGCCGTGGGGCCTAGGTCATGACACTAAATACGGAACTTGAAGGGTATTGGAGTGTAGATCTTTCTCCATAATAAGATATCTAGTACTATGCACATGTGCACCCAACATCTTATGTAGCAGCCTGAAGTTTACATCTACACATCAAACCTTAGTACTTGAGTCAGTATCAAAAAGTTACGCGGGTATATTTTCCGACATGCGGCCTCTCATTGATTCGAGATTAGCTACTGCCCAGGGGTAGTGGAGACTGGTGTCCCTGCCCCAGTGTACGTATCATACCCGTGGACCTCTCAAGTGCTGTTCTTCTTATGTCATCCCTGACTGGATTTTTTCTGGTATCGTACGTGCAATATTGCAAGTTATATCATTTCTATAGATCTCCGAACGCTCCCTACAAGTCATCCCGGTATCTACACGATAAAAGGGTGGTTACGGCTTGGTCCATTGCAGCTGAATTGATCTGCGCATCTTTGGTGTGCATCACTTAGAGCTTTCCACTCTTCACTACCTAGTTGACAATCGGAAGATGATGTAGTGGCGTTCACTTATCCTTCCTGGAGCCCGGATGGATCTTTCAAAGCAAGGATATAGAAAGCTTGTTTCATATTAACCGGCTTAGATCGGCACTTGAGAGATAGAAGGAAATTATTTCCTTCAAATGGGATATTCTAAAGGACACCTAAGCTTCGACCGCCTCTTCGTGACTCCGATGAGCCCTGGAGGTCTCCATAGATTGAAACCCAATGATGAGACAATTTTTTAAAATTCATGCTTATTGGTGCAAATTCGCTCTTTCCTTATATTTCCTTATAAAGACATCGATAGGTGTATCACGCCTCGCTCTTTCACCTAATGTCGCCATTATGCACATGTGTACAGCAGAGTGGTACTATGGACCGAACTAGCTATACACTGCACATGTTAACATTTGAAACCATGTAGGCAAGCTAATTTGGTGAGCACATTGCCTCCATAACTGGCAATTGATACATATGTATTTCAATGTTGGGCATCTGAAATGACGCAAGGGCATTAGGCAAATCCAAGTCCACGGATCCATGTGAGAGCCCAGGTGAGAATTGAAAGCTCCAAAGTTTTGAAGCCTGCACAGGTGGGCCGTTAAAACAGCTCTCTTCAATTACTTGTCTGAGTACCTAAGGATAAAAGCTCCCATAAGTCTGCAAAACTAAAACTTGAACTGCAGGCCATCATCTAAATCAACTTGAATCAATCTGTTCTGCACAGTTGAGACCAACCGCTTTCTATCTCACTCTACAGTTCCTACCCTTTTATCTTAAAGATCCTCGACTTCTTCTCACTTCTTGCTAGCCAAGAATTTGACTGTCTGGACTTTCACGACTGCAACAAACTAAGCCTAGAGGAAAGACAGAATGTCTCTCAATGTCTCTACAAGCCCCTCCGCCTCCTGCTAGAAGATATAGGATACCAGTATCAAGCTTTGCCTTTACCTCCTGATGAAAAGCTCCGTCATGACCTTGATCGATGGGTCCAGGAAGATTTGCGTCCAATCCTTCCTGGGAAAGATAAAGAGCTTACATCTCTTGTGGATCACGCTTTGGATTACACGGAAGTCTGCTATCCTCTTGGTCATCATAACAGCTGTTTTCACCACTGTTATCTTAGTATGTGATGACAGCGCCCAAGTTTTGGATCAGGCTCAGGAGAAAAGCCTTTCTTCCTTTTCCTCTGATTTATGGCAGGGTCACCCTCCAAATGGTTCTCGGAACATCGCTCTGAGAAAATGTCTCAAAATGTGCACTGAAGTTCTTGGTTCACAAGATCCATTACTTGGAAGCTTGGCAGCAAGCTGCTGTAGCTCATTTGTGGATGCATGTGCGCGAGAGACGTCAAGAATGAAGACCGAATCACTGCTTCATGCCGTTGACTCCAAATGTGTCCTGCATTCCCACCAGGGAGGGGAAGACTGCTTACTGGAAAGTTTTGCTGCCTACCATCGAAGCTCTAGTGCTGCACCAATACTCTACGTGGTCGCGATCTTCAAAATATCTCGCTGCAAGGAATTTGACTCCAATATATTTATACCGTTAATCCCCAGCATCAGCTATTTTATAAACTTTATGAACGACATACTCTCCCTCCGAAAGGAGATGAAGGACGGAGAGATGTGAAATTATGTATTCCTGAAAACAAAGGCTAGTCGGCAAGCAGGAAGAAAAACTGCCTTTGGATCCGATGAATCAAACTCGAAGCTCTGGATTGTTCGAGATACGGTTTATGAGCTTTTGGAGAACGTTCGACGATCGACTAAGGGCCTGGACCAGGCTTTTACAAAGTGCATCCCGCCAGAAATGGACCTTGATGAAGGTATCAGTGTTCATGATGTAGGCGATGTTTCAAAGGATATCGGGCTAGCAGGACAACATTGGACATCTTACAAGAATGGCTATATTCGTTGGTATCTTACTATGAAGCGATATGGTCTTCAAGCTATGGCCCAGGAGATAAAAATCAAATCGTGAGGGGACGTATGATGAGGCTATCTCCGGGTTTCCCTTCGCATCACACACTGTTGCAGACATCACAATTGATTCACGCACATTTATTCAAACTGCAAATCTTTCATCTTTACATTGTCGGGATAGGAAATTTGTGTTTTGATCTATTTTATCGTTACGCATCAAATAGAACAGTTGATTTCTCATTTCCTTCGTTTCTTTTGTACTGTGGTTGAATCAAAGACAGAACTAGGAAATTGGACGAAATGTGACTTCCTTCACTAGAATGACAATATTAGGGAATTAAGATTCCTGATTGATAGAGCTACAATATCGCAAGCTATTATTATCCCTTTATCTATTCAAGTACTAGCTACTACTTCCAAGTCTTCTTAAGCTCAACCCCAAACCTCCCAATACGATCCCACTCTAAAGCACTCCACACCGGTGCATTCTCAATAGAATCAACAAAATGCTTCAGAGCCAAAACCATCTGCGCCGCCCAGCGCTCCTTACTAACTTTCCCAATACCAACAGCCAACGGCGTCAAAAGCATCGAGTTAATACGCTTTCCTCGAGCCGATCCCGACTTCTGAGATGCTGATCCCTTCCAAAGATCCCGATTATACGCTTCAACTTGATTCAACAAGCTCCACACACACTCATAAACAATCTCCCGATCCCAATTAACATCTTCAGGCTCTCTCATTGTCGGACAAATAGCAATCCATTCACAAGCGCGCGGATTCTCTTTCAGTGGTACCGGAAACTCAACGAGCGTGCATGAGCCAGGTGGTGCGAAGCCGCGCCATTTCTCGTATAAGACTAACTGTGTTGCTCGGGTAAGGGCATGATAATCCTCTCGTGGACTGAAAGTTCTGGAAATTGCGTCGTCGAATGCGCCATCTAAACGGCCGTATGAGTTTGCGGGGGAGACGATTAGATCGAAGGTTGTTGCGGGCGGGATACTATTTAGACGTTCATTTATGGTTGTGATTTTGATTTTGTCGGGGGTATGGTCTGGCCACTGGGATCGAAGGGCTTTCTCGAAGGCGCTTATGTATTCATTGTCCATGCAGAGGAGCAGAATCTCGGGGATGTTGGATGTCATTGTTTGATGATAGTGGACTCGAGGGGAAGGTATAGATTTGTTTGGGATTTAGAGTTGAGATGGGAGGGGGAAATAAAGGTGAATCGAGTTTAAAGGTACCCGTGAGAATGAGAGGGAGCTAGTGACTCAATCGAGGCTTTGAATGTTCTAGGCTGTTTTATAGTTCCTGGTGGGCCCCCACCCGATGGGGGCAACCTTGGAAGGCACCCACATACTTCTACATTCAGAAAAGGATCATTGGAAGCAAATGGGAATGACTCACGGGTCAATAGATGTCTTATGCTCTTGGTGGTTCAAAAGGCATACCTGGGCAGTCATAGTTCTCGGCCCTGACTTCTGTTTAAATCACAATGAAATTTTGGAGGTTACGGGTCTTGAATCGAATATCCGGAAGAAGTATCTTAATCCGGTTCATTAGTCTAGTGGTTAGGTACGGCTGTCATGTGATCCCCATCCTCGAATTCAATTCTAACAATTTAATAATAGGACGTCAGATTTTGAGATCAGTCTTCTGAAATCCCCGGTTCGAGCCCGGGATGGACCTTCTTTTTTTTCCCCCCCTCTCTTCCTTTGCTTTTCAAATCTTTTTCTTACTTTGATTTACTCACTGATCCTTGATTCAAAATCTGGTTAAATTTGATATTGAGGTTGATATGCTAGACTCTACCTGTGTAGGGCACTTGGGTAAAATGGTAGACAGTAACACACATGTGCAACTTCAATGTTATAGGTACATATAGGCATATAGAACATTATGAATAAAAATACCACTTTCGAAGTTAGTAAACATAGTCACAGTGGTATTTATTATCAATCCATATCATCATGATAGCTCCGAGTCTGTTCAATGTTCTTATAAATGGAATTATATCTGTAATCTGCCCATCGCTCTTCTGTCTCCGTCGCTCGTGTCTTACTAGCATTTTTTATCAACAAAAAATGGCTGAACAAGGCACTCATACGCCAGGATCAATGCCCCATCGCCAACCATTCAGTGTTCCCCCAAGCCAGAGGACCCAGATCTTACTACATTCCCACAGACAGCCAGGGATGGGCGCGAGGAATCACCCTTTCGGACACTCACCACATAAGGCTGACCAATCTCATAGACAATTAGCGTCCCGAAAACCCTCCCGCCCAATGCGCCAGAGCCCAAGTCCCCCGTGTCTCTAAGCTCTACACTAAAACGGAGAAGGAGGAGTATGAGGAGGGGACTGAGAAGCTCCAAAAGGAGCGCAGACAGCTGCGGACGATCAATTCGGAATGCCGAAAGGGACTAGGACGAGTAGCTACATCTGTTTCAATTGCGCAGAGAAATTTCGAGGAAGTGATTGACATGCAAATGGATATGCTTGTATCAGAAGGGATGGAGGACGTGATGGAATATGTGTGCATCTGTGTGTGTGATACGTGTATGAGAGAGGGAAAATTATATCTACAGGGAACGTATGGACCACCTGGGCGTGGTCCCAAGTTCCAACAGCTTCAGCGCTACGAGGACCTGAACGAAAGAGAGTAGGTTTCTCCTGGGGGCTGCGCCAGTTTTCTTTTTCTGCGATTTACCTACTTCGAGTAGTAAGCAGGCTCTAGTGAATGCATAGTCAGTCTGTGCTTTCTGATCTTCAATGTTGGTTCCCTCTTGTCCTATTCATTTCCCTGTGTGGGACATACCCATGGCTAGTAGGATCTGCCTGCCGAGTCTAGTCTTCACGCCACGAGCAACAAAATTGGGAAAGGTATGTCTTCAGCACTCAAGTGCTTGGCCACTGGCAGGTGTGTTCACATCCTGTCAGACAGGGATGTTGACATTTTTAAGTACTCAGTCAGTGGTATCTATAAGCGACTGGTTAGCTACATCCAGATGTCTCTTTGTATGTAAGTACCTACAGGTTACCTGGAAGGGAAGAAAGGCTAGCTGCTACATGTACATATGGATGTAGTTGGAATATATCAATCCCACGATTTATACCCCCTCTGTTTATGCCAGCCCTGGAGGCGGAGGCAGAAGAAGACAAACCCACAGAGATCCGAGTAGTAAAGGAGGCCTATGCCTACTATCTGAGTAGTTATCATAGCGAGAGGTGTCAATTTTTCATAGGCAAGGGAATAATCAATTCCAGAGGTAAAGTAGATACATCCAAATGTCAAATATGTGCATTGAAATGAAATTGGAGTAGAAGGGGTATATCCATCGAAAATCACCACATGTAGCCAAAAGAACATTCAAGTTGGAGTAAAAAAAACTTAAATAGCAGAATATGTTCAAAGAAAACTTGAAGAAAAGATTGCCTGCTAAATGCAAATAGATCAAAGTTCCTCAATCCCAAGATCTTTCTCCTTCCTCAACGTAGCAGCCTCAGCCACATCTTCAGCATTTTCCGGGGTACTAGCTCGAGCATGCTCCTGAGTAGACACATATCGAACCAGACTTTCACAAAGCCGGTCAAGAACCCACTCTGGTTCAGTCTGGTGCGCCAGCATGGGACTATTCTCACCAATCCAGTCCCAATTCAAGACTCCGTACTCATCTTCATCGTGGGAAGTGTCGTGTCCACCTGGATGCTGACTCGAAGAACCCTCTGATGAAGAGGGTCGAGAACGTGGATCCGTAAATTGGATGAGACGTGTATACTCGACCCATTCTTCATAGTTGTAACGCTTGCGCTTTCCTTCGCGTACATCCTGGGAAGTATTCCGAATGGCGAAAGCAAGCTGTTGGGCGAGTTCATATGGAGATGGATTGGGGTTTCGTGCGAGTTCCTCGATTGTTCGACGAGGTCGGTTTGAAGGTGACGGGTTACGTGGTGTTCGAGATGTGGACTGGGACATCTGTTTTGTAGCAGCTTCGACGTCCTCGGTCTCCGGTTCAACGATATCATCCACATCAGCACTAACTTGGAACCCGCGCTTTAGTCTTCGTTTTTCCTGACGTCTTTCCACGAAGCCCTTAATGCAGGGAACCCGTCCAAAAAAGGATCGGTAAGTTCCACTCTCCGGCATGATGAAGTATTCTGCAAACTTCTCTGTGCCATGTTTGAAGGCCGCGACAACAGTATCGCTCATTTGGGAAATAAGCATGGTCATGGTTGGAATACTGATAAGAGACCATACCACAAAGAATGGCCGTCCTGCATTGGTTTTCGGTGTGAAATCACCGTAGCCGATAGTGATCAGAGAGCAGAAACAGAAGTAAAGCGCTTCGAAATAGGTCCAGCCCTCGAGTGTCCAAAACACTACAGCTCCGCAGCTCCATACGATTCCATAGGCAATGATACTGATGACCAAGTCATTCCATCGGCGAAATCGCATGGTCTCATACTGAATGTTTCTCATTGCATCAAATCGGTCCTTTTCTTCTCTCATTACCAGAAGCTTGGGTCGACGACCAGCTGCAAGCGCATGCATTGTGTCCCGGATAGGCTGGGGCCTTTTATGATGGTGATGAGCTGTTTCAGACTGCCGCCGCGTCAGTGCCGAGGGTACCTCTTTCGGATTATTCAAGCCGAGCTTATCAAATGTCTCGAAGGAGACAGATCGGTCAAAGGTGGTTTGCCGCTTCTGCTCGATGTGCTTTCGGACAACGTTGTCGTAGTGAACTTCCTTGGCAAATTGATGGATACTGCCAACAACCAAACCCAGCATAATGATACCAATAACGGCGTATGGCCAGATCAGACCTCTTCCAAGAGCCGTAGTAGCCACCACGTCACCAAAACCCAAAGTCAGGACGGTAATGTCGCAGAAATACAAAGCATCTGCAAATGCAATGCCTAGGACTTTTTGGAATATAGCTGCACCGATAAGCAACCATACGACAAATGCAGTCATTTGCAAAATGAGTGTACGTTGATCATCAGTGAGAGAGAAATGCTGTGGATATCGTCCAAGGAAATATCCAAGCATATTTATCATCAAAAGGACAGCCAATATGAAATAGAGAATGGCTGCAATGACAGCACTCCAAAAGGCTTGCGAATATGTATCATCAGGCCCAATTGGGGGATTGTAGATAGAGAGGGATGCAGTCAAACCACTCAACTGGGACTCGTTAGCTTTACACACACAGGCGCAAACAAAGGAATGGAAACATAGTACATACGATTGCTGGAGCCAAGAACCAGAGAACGATAGTCACAGGAAGGGCAACGATGTATCGTACAGTCTGTGTGAAATTCAGCAACAAGAAAATATTGCCAACCAACCCACAGAACAGCGAAAGCGCATTGAACGCAGTGACCCTTTACACATAATGTCAGTCCCAACCTCTCAAGCAGAAACGTACACTCAATACATAGACATACCAGTGTGGATCAGCATATCCCTCCTCGACCCAGTCTCCCGCAGGGCCATCCGTCCTCGAAATGATCTTACTCCTCCAAGGCATAACCAGCGCCACAATAGACATCACATTGGCTATTGGACCCGCAGCGGCGGCTACGAGCGGGATAGCCGTCGACGCGATCCACCACGATTGGGGTTCATCATCTTCGGGCGGTCTCATGTGAAAGTTATTCGTGAAGCGCTCCCAGAGCGAGGAGACCGCATTCTGCTGATCGGGCGTGGGGGTTTGTTGTGAAGGGGGGCCATTCTGCATGGTTCATTCGGGACATGCGCGAGATCGGAAGGATCAAGAACCGTGAGATTTTGATCTGTCAGACCGTATTACACAAGGATAGCACTGCTCTGAGTGGTCCGTGGGTATAAGCCTGGGATCGGAGGATTTAATCTCGAGTATCTTGTTTCTCAAGTCTTGGTCTTGGGTTATCCCCCGATAAAGGTGGGGATCTGGGTTTGGGAGTGTTTGATAATGTGAGTAGAGGTTACTCTCAAGGAAGTCCAAGTTCAATGGAACAGGTTTTGTGGGCTTTCAGCGATTAGAGAAAAAAAACTTGAAGAATGAATCGCATTGTTCCTTGAAGTGATGTCAACCGACATGAGAAAACTCCAGCATGTCCAATCAGCATTGATCTGCAGTCCCGTGACCTCCCCACATTCTATGATTTCATATTTACATGAAGTATAGAAAATAAACAATATAGAAATTAGATCAAATAGAGTATATGATAGAGAATAAGGAGAGTGAAACTAGATCTAGGATCAATGAACTAAACGGAGTACGGAGTAACGGAGAGCCAAGCATCCTAACCGGTTCTAGTTTGGTTCTATCGTACTCGGGTACGACATCTTCAGCTGTCAGGTGTCAGATTGTCAGATTCAGATCTGATTAAACATGAAACACAATCCTGATCCATGTAGACAGATGTACTTAGTACATTCAACGTTCAATAGGTGAGATTTCGGCATGTGCCCGGTCAGAATAAGGCCCCATAGGGCCGAATCCTCATGTAACATGGGACGACTTCTGGAATCTCACCACATGAACAACATGACGCATGAAATCAAGATGAAACAAAATTAGAATAAAATAAGATAAAATTTAGACTTGATATTCAGCCTCTGTGGCGCACGTATAGCATGACCTATTAAGAACTAACACTACTAAACAACGAGATACATGTAGTCTTGAATCATGCCACTGATAAATCAAGAACTATAGAGTAGTAAACAAACAGTATTCCACCTCAAAATCTTCACTACTAGTAAAATCGAGATGACTCGAGAACTCTACCGAATGAATAGAATTCTCTAGAATCTGCTAGTACTAGTATGAAAGATAAGAATAGCATTAACCCCCAAACCATGTGCCATGCACATGCATGCACGACTCATCCTTCCAGTAAAATGTAGGAACCCCGCACACTAACGCTATTCAATAACACTCCTTATAGGTCACCCACACACCCACCAATCCACCAACCCCTCCAAGAACAACTAACTCTCTATGGCCCCCGCAGCACATCGGGACCGAGGAACCAGTAATAGACGAGATCACCTGCATGGAGGGGGCTGCAGGCGCTGGGCCGTGCGATTGGGGTGACATCAGCGACCGTCATTGGGGTGGATGAGGTACCTGCTTTTGGGGCGTACAGGGCAAAGCATAATGGACCAGTTTTAGGGTACATAGTGCATGATACTGATGCATGGGGTCGATGCTGATGTGAATCGTTACCTTTTCGGGATGAGATGGGATGGGAGATTCATGATTTTGGAAATAAGAGTCTTCGGTGAAAGGTGGAGGCGTGGATACGGACTACGACGGTACATACGCATTACGAGTGGCGGGGTAATCACTAAAATACGAGTGATGATGCACATGTGGAAGTGGAAGTAGAGGTGGAAGTTCAAGTCATGTCTATTAGATGTTGAGTCATGGTTTTTGCTATGTACAACCAGACGTGGGTTAATCCCGTAGAGACCCAACATCAATAACGAAAAAAACGAAAGCAATAACAAAGGAAATAAGCCAAGGAAATAAAAAATCAGATCATTTAAAAAGCAGACTTTGCAAGGATATCGCAATATGGTATCACGAAAGCAAAAGAACTCAGCAAGAAACAAATTCAGAAATCAGGAATCAAAAGACGCCACCAAAAGGAATATCGCGCCGATACCGAGGAAATTCTTTTGGAGGGATTCGCCCCTAACTGCTAGGGGCGTGTGAGAGCTGTCGATGGAAATCTGCGAAATCAGAGCAGATTGGAAAACAGTATGCGAGTACAATCCAGCCGAAGCCAAACCCAACGCGCTGCAAATGCAATTCCATGTCAAATGCTCCCGGTGTATAAAACATAGGAAATAGTAGAAAACAAAAAAAAGGACAAAACGCTTCTTCAATGGAGTCGCTCCTCTTTCGATGTATGGGGGGATTCGGATTGGTCATATGATGTTGTTGGTTGATAATAATAGTGAAGTCTTCTTTTCTCTGAAAGACTTCTTTTTTTTGGTTGGAAAAGACACCGTCTATTTGGCGGACGGTCGGCGTAAAATTTCTTCACAGTTGGCGTCGAATCGCATATTCCATAAACGTATGCTGTTCATCAACTTTTCGGTATTTTCGAGTTCACGGTCCCGACCGAAGATAGAGTCGACGAATTCAGTGCCTGCATTACGCCCCATAGATACCGGTGCCCCTTTGCCACTTTCCCTTTTAGCGGCCTTCCACATGTAAAGTTCGCACCCTTTCAGCAATTTCTTGAATCGATGCCAGAGTCGGTCGCCACTTTCCAAGAAATCCTCCACGACTTCCTGCGCGTCGATGCACTTGATTCGTGGGAGACATTCGTCCGCGCGTTTCACCTTGCCCGCAAGCTTGATTAGCAATAGCCACAAATCACCCGCCACGTCGGCCATGGGCGTCGATGCTCCATGGTGGAAAACTGTCCAGTCGTAGATCCATTTACCGAGCGAGTTGGCATCGAAGACACTGCCGAGAAGAATAATTGGCGCCTCGGTAGGGTCCCAGTTCTTGATCGAATAACCCGGTGGAATTCCTACTCGCTCAGCGTCTTCCTCGGTGGCAACTGGTGGCGGTTTGGTGGCGGGAGCAGGCTTGGGCTTGTTCGGTGTGCGTGTGGAGGTGGATTGGCGACGAGCACGAGATGTGCGACGAGCTGATGCCTCGATATCCTCGGGGTTAGGAGCCTGATTAAAATAAAAGTGAGAATCAGTGGGTGGGTTCGATTTGCGATTAGACGACGACGTGGTGCGACGATGCTGACTAGAGCCATCTCGTTTGGTTGATGAAGCCGGGGGACGGCCAGAGCGTGGTTTTGGCTCGCAGAAGGTATAGAAAATATCGCCGGCATCGTCGACCACATCTACAAAGATGGGTCGTTTCTGCGATTGCGACTGCGAGTTGGGACCGGTACCGAGGCCATCCCCCGTTGGATGACCGGACGTATTGTTGCGACGGTGTTTGGATTGTTTGGGCGAAGCCGCAAAAGAAGCACTTACATGATCGTGCTTGCGCGGCGGGATACCATAGTCTGGCGCGGCCTCGTAGTAGCTTTGCGAATAGTAGGCGTAACTCGGTTCTTTGGTTGCAGCGTAGCTAGCCTTGCGAGTGTGGGCTGATGATCGTCGCGCAGTGCCTCGAGGAGATGTGTAGGTGTTGGCGTACTGCGAAGCATACTGGGCGTAGTAGGGTGAGGTTGGCGGCGACTGGGTGTAGTCGTAGGTCGACCACCCAGGAGGTGGAGTGGAGTAGTGATACATTATCGAACGAGCATGAGCGAGTCGCCGTAACAGTCCGAAGAGATATCCTTTTTTCTTGGTCCGGAACTGGAACAAGTAATGTATCGCAAGAGAGGTTTTGGAGGAAGTTGGAGGAGTAGAAATGGGTGAAGGCAGGGAGATAGCAAGAGAACAGGTAACTACCGTTCAACGGTGGCAAAGCACACAACTCACGCAAAAAAATAAACGAGTCAACAAAAAGCGCAAAAAGAACAGACAAAAAACGACCCGAATATATTATACAGGATATCGTATGCAGAGCAGAAAAAAAGACGCCGAATTAGCAGAAAGAAAAGAGGTTGAGTAAGACCGTCACCGTGGTACGGTTTCCGATCGGAGAGAGGAGGGTTGACAGTGTATGTGCAGAGAGTGCATTTGAACTGTTTTATGGCAAAGACCCGTCAAGAAGAGGGCATTAGAGAGAACCTGGGATCTCAAGAGGGTATATAGAATTTTGGAACAATATGAGGAAGTCCAAGGGACTTTGTGGTATATGAGAAAAAGAGAAAAATTCCCCAAGAGCGAATTGTCGAGACGATTAATGGAGGGCAACCAATAAGCATGGGGGCGATGTGGGAGTTAAGGGGGGGAAGGATGTGGCAATAAAGGAATCGTATTGTATTCTAGTTACGCACTTTACGATATCGCGTATTGCGGATTTCCGGGCAATCTGGGTTCCTTTCCAAGGTTATCATAGTTAACTAACTGACTACACCTGGGCGTAGTATACCTGGGCATAACTATAAACTACATACTATCTATAAACTGTTCAGGGATGAATCTTAATATGATCTGATTAATTTGCCTCTTCCAAAGTATCCTGTACTTTAACATCTACAGTACTTTCTACTCATACACACACTCAACCTACCCCTCAGACTAGTCCAGATGGAGACAGTTGGCGTCGACATGCAACCCCCCTCCCCAAGGTGATTCGGGCATCGGCCAACTGCATCCTGCGCTGTTGGGTCTATTGCTGAGAAATCAAAAAACTGGGCAGAACACTGCTATCAGAGTAAAGTAACTGGTTCATCTGTTTTTCCATGCCTTTTGAGTCATAGATTTTCTTGTAAGTTGGGAGTTCTCGAGAAAACCGTGTGCGTATGGAGTATAAAAGAAAGATTTCCAAGGTGCAGAGCGGGGAATCAAGTCGCCACCAAATCCCGAGTCCTTGAGTGGCTCCAGAGAGAAGAGTTCCACAGATCTCTTCGCTAGGAGATGATTAGCTTGCGTCGCGTGTCAGTACTTCGTTGGATAGGAAAAGTGCGCCATGTGCCAGGCTTCCAGAATCAGGCCAACTTTGATCCTCTCTTGTACAGTCCATACTGCATGAACCCATCTTTAGCGGATGCAGGTCTCCATCGTTGCTATCACTGCTGCCCTATCTAGGTAAACTCATCCGACACATTTGAAACTGGTCTGCCCAAACGACATGCCTGACCAAGTTCAAACAGAGTCATAAATCTTCCGATCGAAACCATGGTTGGTTGGCGGCTCGCGCTGCATCGTTTGGGTCGACAACGGCTCATCCCGTATCGTTCCAATGGTTCTGTCGACTCCACTGTTCCCCATATCGCGTTCTCTTAAATCACCGAAAACCCACTATGTTTCTATGTTGCCATGGCAAGATACTAGATTACTTGTTACAAAGGTGAAAAAAAAGGACCCAACTTGCACCACTTTTCGTCTTAGTCTTGGATTCTTTTACTCCATTTTCCGTACACTATCATTCGTTGGGCAACACTACGGACCACGCGCCTTTACCTTTACCGCCGGTCGCTGGGCAGCAACCATTCTTCGTTTTGGGCTAAAATGGATCTCATAATGATGAGCCCTGCAGACCGCAACTTGGATATCCACTTGAAAAGTCTATCAGCAGGGCTATCAACAGGGCTCACAAAGAAGATGCTTAGCGAGACACAAAAATAGATGTGGAGTTTAGACTCGACTCGACTTCTGGAACAAAGCGAGTTCGAGTACCAAAGATGAGGACCTTGAATATAAGACTTTGTATGAATAAGACAATGATCAAGCTGAAGTAGTACTCTGTAACATTTGAAACTATATAAAATGCTCTTTTTAAACTCTTTGATATCATCTCATATCAATCACTGATATCACACATATAGTGAAGTGCGACCGCATCAAACCCTAACTCTCTCCACACGCATCCACTTGGCTAAAACTATGACGTCCAATCCTTCCAATCCTTCCAACACATCCAGCGACTCTCAAACACCTGTGAGTATCTTGTAGAGCCAATAAATGACTAGTATTTCTATATTTCAATGTAAAGGAAGGAAAAAACACTCCAACTACCAGACCCGATGACCTTTCAATACATCCCCACTAACCAACATTACGTTCACGCACCAACCGAAGGGATGGAATAAACAAAAAATAAAATAAAATAAAATAAAATAAAAATCAAGTCAAATCAAATCCTTACAGACCCCACGAATGAATTCCAGGAGTATCCTTGGTGAGTCAAGGGTCATATTTCTTGATTTTTTTTTTTGCTTTTCTTTTCTTTTTTCTTTTTTCTTTTTTCTGTTTTTTAAATTGTTTTTTGATTCTCTGAGTCAACGCCCTTTAAGAAAATGTGCCCCTTTACGGAGTAATCAGCGTTAATTTTCATCTAGGCAGCCAAACAGAAATCCTGCGCCACCAACAGGCAGTTGCCGATCCTGCACATCGCACATGGCATGTACTTTTGTTCTGATCTTTATTGATTTGGATTTTGATTTCCCACAATGAAAAATACAAATCTAAAAAATCTAAAATCAAATTCATTTGTAATGTTAGACCGGTATCCTAAAGTCCTCACCTGGGCATACATAATACTATCTCAGTATGCAATGTAGGTAACTCGTACTTCCTACATACATCAAGTATCAAGTACATCCAATCTAATAATAATCTCTCTATGAAAAAGAAAAATAATAATTCGCCCCCATCATACCAGCTGAAGAAACCCATCAGAACCCAATCCTAATCATCGCCCGCCTAAGCTGAATCACACAACGTCACTTTCATCCACGCAAATCCTCAAATCCTCAAACACAGCCGCCCTTCTGGAACAGGGTTTCCAATTTAGGGCCTTACCTAAAACCCAACCCACCCTCCATCAGCGGCCCGGGCTACAGGGTGAGGATGACTTTTAAGTGGAGCGTTGGGGGCGCCTGCGCCAACGGGCTGGGTAAGCCGGATGCATGGAGCGCATATCATCTAGCCCCTCGGCACGCTGTAGGAACATAACCTTGCTGTGGCGCACGGGCGTGCGTCGTCTCATGCAGATGGACTTTTCCTATTGATTGTTTGGTGTGATGGGATTTGACTGGTACAGGGTACGAAGTACTTTGCCCGTACTCTGTCCTACACTCATACATAAGCTTACTACTCCTCATGCAACAGGTTCAAGTGTTGCTTTTTTTTTGGGGATGATCTGAATATAAAGAATATCATTACTAGCTGTGTGTTATGAAGTGTTTAATATTTTGACTCCTTTTATACTAGTATGCGGATTTCCTTTCTTATCTTTATGCGTGTACATCCTTCAGGGGGATGCGTGGGTGGAAAGATGGAGTTGTTTAGAAGCACGGTCGTTTGGTATTATTTGTTTAAGACATGGGAAATAATTCATTTCGCTTCTTTGATTGGTATGGGTCTTATAAAATGGAAATAATGTGAGAAATTTCTATCGAATCGTGTTGTTTTGGTCTCAAGTTCAAGTTCCTAGATCTGATGAATCATGTATGTACCCCTTGCGCGATCTGAGTTGAGATCACAATAAACCACTGGCATTTATGGATCTTTTTTTCTTCTCAGGTATGCTTCACTCATGTGGTTTCCTATCACCTTTGTTTTTCTTTCCTTTTGATTCTGTATTCAATCAAGGGGCTTTGAAAATTTTCTGTGCGCGCACTGATCACATGGAGCTCAAAGAATGCCCTTGTCCTGAGCCCTATGGTCCATGCTTCTTTCAAAGAAAAGGGGCTTCAATGTTCTGGAATTTCTCTTCCCGCCTCAAGCCGAAGGATTCTGTGAAAGTATTGTGGCTGCTAATAATTGATACCAATGGTTCCATAGATGTCTTGCTCCACAGGAGCTGGAGGTCCGGCGGGATGGTTCCCGTACAGGCCGGTTGATATCTTGCGGTAAGTTAGATGTAAATTGGGTCCACCTCTTCTGATAGCTAGAAGAGCCTAGGCCCTCTCTATCAGATGTCCATATTCAAGATTCTACTCGCCCCGTGCATCATGCATCAAATTAAGTGGGCTTAGGGGGGCGTGACCACTGGCGCAAACAGTCTGCTTTTAAATCCGAGGAAACAAGCGGTCTCTCCAATTTTCCTTGATGAATTGCACATGTGCATTCTGTGACTCAATATCAAACAGCAATACTGTACAGATATGGAGCACGCATTATCTCGTAGACATTTGTCCAATGCCAAACCTTGGAAGAGGCATCGTTCTAGACCACAGGTGTCCGTGGGAGCTTGGACAATTTGTGGATATACGTAGCTGCCAAGTTATGCACCACCGAGAAGCCAATGGCCTTCTCCTTTCATTTTCGATAGTGCCTTGGTCTAATTTCATAGGCTCGGCCTTGATGGCCAGTAGAAGTACGGAGTACAGACGAAAGCATTCTCCAGAGAAAAGTGAGATTCAGTTTGTCTTCATCAAGTAACATCAGTATTAAATTCAATCTACGACTCTGCTGATCTCTCATCTCAATTCAAGTCTTATTCCATTTCAATGGGTTTCAGTATCTTTATACTGGAATATTTGATGAAATTTGAGTTTGAAGGCTCTTTTTGCCTCAGCTCGCCGTAATCTCTCCAACAACTTCTTCTCGCCTCGCCTTGGCCTTGGTACATGCGCACTTCAAGTTTCTCCGTGCTCGCATGGTTGATGATATGCTGGAAGATATCCTCGATGCACATGAAATAAATATGTAATGGAGTTGAAGTAGGTTCTCGCGTTGACCATACCAACTAGGTGCTGATCTCTGGTGAAGACCAGTGATTCAGTCCTGGTATCTTCAGAAATTGACATATCAAATTCAATAAGGTCTCACACCAAACGTTACTTAACCTCGCTGCACCATCCGAAACTCCTCAGCCCAAGGGAAATTCTCATATCTCGACCCATCAGGCCTAAGCTGTACTGTAGACGGTGCATAAACACTATTAAGCATCCACGGGTTCCCATCGACAGGCAACGGCGACTTCCTCAACCGCATAGGACAAAGACCATACGTAGCAACCTCCAGTCGACCCGTAGCTCTATACATTGCCATAGCATTCACAAGAAAGCCCCGACACTGTATATACCACGGCTCATGCGATAAAAAGTCCTCCCACTGTGTATAAGGCCATGGATCCTGCATAGCAGCACTAACCACCTTGTGAACTTTAGTCCCAGCTGGAAATCCATACTTAGAACAGAAATACCCTGATACTGTATCCCCAAGGTGTTTCTTCCAGTGCCATACGAGTGAGAACTCCGTAGCTAGGAATCGTTGATCTGGTCTGATCCGCGAAAGAACGAAGTCAAGCATGGCTTTGTGACCTTCCAGAGTGGGCATGTGGGGGTGTAGATCCACGCCCTCGAGTTCAGGTCTTGAGGCGACGAAGCGGAGCATGCGTTCGATGACGGGTGTACGTTTGATTGGAAGATCCAGACGATTGAATGCACCCATGTATAATTTTGGTGTCGTGAAACCTTGATTCGCATTTGTCTCACGGAAATTGATTACCGCTTCTGCAACTGTCTCGTAGAATATATTCAAGCGTTTATCTGCGTGGCCAGACTGGACTTCGATGAAGGGCTCGTTTCCAATAACGAGAATATTGACTTTATTCAGAACAACACGTAGCACGGCATCCAGGCACTGAAGCTCTGTGGCATGTGCGGCCGTGCCAATAGCGGGGAAGTTGCGCTCGGAGTAGTTCCATTTGAAGCTGAGGATGGTTTTGTATCCGGCGTCTATGGCCTTCAAGAGAGCTTGGATGTTTGGGTCTTGGAGGACATTTCCAGGATCTATCTGGTGCATGTCTATGAACCCGCGGATCCAGCGCGAATTTACTCGCTGGAGCTCGTCGTGGTCTATCCATGTGAGTTTCTCGTTGTAGTTGGCACCCAGTGCTCCGAGAGCTGGAGTGGGATGAGGCATCTTGCATGTACAGATGTGATACCAGTCGACGCGCTCCCAAATTTCCAACAACTTGAATAGATTCTGCCAAGTTCGACTTCCAAAATTGTTCAATCCCCAAATTTGGTGTTCTTGAAATTGACGATACTTGATCACCTCGGGATCTTGCAGGACGTTTCGATGATAAATAACCTTCCAAGGTTTCCGGGGATGATCCCGGGGCCTGGCATCCTGCAGATGTGGAGTTCCGTGCAAGCTACCGCCTTCCAAGCCCTGGAGATTCTCATGTGTGCCCTGAAGGTGGCGTGAATGAAACAGGGAACTCCAACTTCTGATCATGGAGAATTTCCACCGAAGAGTGATAATGGATATGCAGCTCCACGGGTATATTCAAAATGTTAACACCGAGTCCAGATGTGCTTCAAGTCATCAAGGCACGTCATCGTCCGAATGTCGGGGAAATCAAGTTCCAACTTGAACATCCATTTGAAGGTTCAAGTTTACCTAAGATCATCTTTAAAAATCCACATGGATCTGCATTTTGACTAAGAAATTGAAAGGCATGATTAATGGCGCTATATAGTCTATGATTCAAATGTCCAAAGTAAAATTATCTAAAAAATGCATTCTCGTTTCAGTCGTAAGTAGTCGATGTATCGACAAAATAAGACAAATATTATCAAAGAGTGGTATCACGATCATTAAAAGTGCAAAATTCCCAAGTCGCTGAAAGTCCAAGAGACACCTGTCCAATTCAACCAATTTATGCCAAAAAGAGAAACTTGTCAAGGTCATATAACCCGTAAAGAACCAAAAAGCGTAGGAAATATTCTATGCCACCATATACTCTCCTCCGCCCCGTTTGGCCTGCATAACACGGGACCAGCGGAAAGCCTGAGATGTATTAGACCCGGAGCCTCCATCCAGTGGAGGCGGTCCCAGATCAGATGGATAAACTGGGTAAGAAGCTTCATCAGAATGCTCAGACCAGATCCTTTCTAACAGCTCTAGACAAGAGAGGTTGTTTACAAAGCCAGAGTCTTTGGAGATGTCCTTGCATCGAGCGCGAACGGCCGCTCGATGGTCCTCTTGGACACATTCGGAGCCCACTATGAACAGTGGCCAAAGTAGATAGACATCAGATTGTACCGCGCGAAGACAATGCATGGCAAGATGAACGAGATGCTGAATTCGCGGATGACGAGATGGGAGACTTGGCTCCGCAAGTCGTTCGCAGTATAGAAGTGCAGCGTGGCGGAAACATTCAGAAATTTGGTAGACATCTCGAAGGTTCTCGGCAGCCACATGGTAAGTAATAGAGGGAGAAGAGTCGGGTATGAACGTTGGGGAATTCCAGTTAGTCATCCCTGAAGCAGATGAAGGTGGAGATGGCATTGTTGTCGAAGCAGGTGGATCGAATCTCCAGGATTCGAGACGCTGTCGCAATGAATACCATTCAGTCCAGAATGCAGGCGACGATGGCTTCCGGGCCTGATCGATGCTTGGAGGTGGGGTTGGAATAGAGAATGCATAATTATTGCCCGCCTGGAAGGCTGGATCGGTAACCCCAGTGACAGCATCCCAGCCAGGGAACAACATTGCTGGAGGGAGAGAGGAAGTAGGGACGGAAACATCAGAAGGGCGAGTAGACTCGGTGGGTTGTTGATCTTGACTGAGCAGGTTCAAACGCCCAAGTTGGGAAATGAGTTTGAATAGCCGGCCATCGCAGCCTGCCAGATTCTCGAGACCCCATTCTCCATCCGAAATTGAGCTGATATCCAAACACTTCCCACGAAGTTGGACATCACGATCGTTCGTAGTGGCAGTCAAAGTGTCAAACCAGGAGAACATACGAATGAACCATTTGAGTTCATCCGTTAAGACTGATGAGTGGCGCATTCGGATTGCGAGCAATCGCGTGACGCCGGCAAACTGGGCTCGAAATTCGGCAACTCCAGTGTCACACCCGTGGAATAGACAGAGGACCAACAAAGTCGCCAATACCGAGTCCGATAATCTACGACGAGGGTCTGCCAGATCTGCATTTAGAGCCTTCACTGCCATAGCTCGGTGGTGGTTTTCCTCGCGAGCATAGCCCTCTGGCACTGAGATACCATATCGGTCTTGGAATGCCTGATCCGTGAGAGCCCGATGAGCCATTGATGACATGCGCGCGGGCAATGTTCTTTCAGTGGACATGTGATTTCGTTCCCGTCGTTGCCGTAGGTTACTGGTGGATAAAGTAGCGATGGCCTCCTGTAGAGCTTCACTGCCCTGGGCCAACCGCAGCACGTGAGTCTTGAAGGGGTTGGTTGGGCTATCGAAAGCGACAATCATGGGCGAAATGACCTCGGTGAAATAGCTGATAAGATATCGTAATCGAGGCGTACGCCCCACCGATCGCGCGAGAAGCAGCTGCGAGTATGAAGGTGAATGGCCAGCATCCCATAATATGGAGTGCTCCATGGATCGTTCATACTCTTCGTCCGCTTCCTGAACCGGACTCTTCAGATGCGGGGCTACCCAGTTGTTTGCAGCAGGCCAAACTGGATTAGCGAAGGTGGCTTCCGGACTAAGACCAGGATATTGCATTAAACTGTCCGTCGATGCCATGCTCTTCACGCTAGCCATGCTTGGACTCAGCCGGTTTGACGCCATTGGTCGACTGGGCAGTGGCAAGCCTGATATTGGAGGCGGGATAGCAGGCGCATTGGACCATGTACGTGGATCTGGCATATCCATTGTCCATGCCATGGTGGATGGGTCGGACATATTAGACATCGCTGACGGCCGACGAAGGTCGGAATCCCCCGAGTCAAACCGTCCAAAGTCCATAGTTGTGAATTCCTCGCCCGCCGGGAGGACCGGAACCTGGCTCGGTGCTGGTGGATTTGAAGCCTGCGAGAGTGGTTTTTGATTCTGCGGGGCTGCTGCCGCCGATTGCCGTGATTCGGACGATTTCCCAGATGCCTTTGCGGACGAACCCATCACTGGGAGCTTCTGACCGCGAAGCTTGCCTCGGCTGGCCACTCCCATTCCCCATGTTAACGTCGTTTTGTATCCGGAACATTCGCGGCCGAGATCGAGGCACTGGGAGCAATATGGACGGCGGCGGTCACACCGCGCGCCCCGCTTGGAGCATGCGAAGCAGTCATCCGGAGCACCGCTCACGACGGCTCTTTTGCGTCGCTTCCGTACCGGGGCATTCAGGTCCGCCTTGCGGGCTTTCCCTTTCGTTGAATCTGGAGGATCTTGGGTAGCGCTTTCGGACATTTTGGTCGGAGATGAGAGGGAAGCGCCCTCAGGGGTTCCATTTGGTGGCTGCCAGGGGGCAAGGATGGCGTTGTCGGCCGTGCACAAGTTTTTTTTTCTCTTGTCTTGTGCTTTGTACAGGTATGGCGAGTATCGGATGGGGAGGATGGGAGGAATTCTATTCGTCGAAGTAATGAACGCCTGCAGGTAATCTATACAAGATAAGGAGCAAAAAAACACAAAAACTCCATGGTTTGCAGGGGTTGAAAGTGGTAGAGCCTTGGGAGCAGAAGAGGTGGGTAAAGAGGATCTTCCGGGGGATGATCCGCACTTTAGTTAAAACCCGGCACTTAAGTTCTGGACGCCGCTCATTTTTATCCCTCAATTGTCTCCACCATGATCTACAAACACGAACTAATTACATGTTTCGATTTTCGAGAGACGAAAGGTATCATTTAGCTGCTCACACATTCTCACTGGAACTACAAACAAAGCTTTAGAATAGACTAGTAATTGCTGCTCTTCCAAGGTCTCAGTAACTTATCGTACTTGCCATAAACATCACTAGAGCAGTACTACAGGATGTAGCTCTCACTTCCACTTCCACCTCCACCTGCGCAACGTTGACTTGAACTGACCTCGAGATTCAATCTTGTCTTTTCATCCCAAACTAACCCCGATATTCAACTCTTCCTTCACCACCTCAACACGTTGGTCATCATCCGACCGTTCAATCACTTGCTCCGTTGGGGAATCCGTCAAGCCTACATTCGACATGATGGGCTTTTGGGAGTTAATCCAGCACTATGACTTTTGGATCACCTTTTTCAACATCCTCTCTGTGTACCTTGAGGTCAGTGAGCAAGCTTCGCAAAAAAAAACTTTGCCTAACACCTGTCACAGAATTGGCGCCTGAAATGGCGCGTCGGCGAACTCGAAGCCGAAATTCTCGATTTACACAAAACCCAGGCAGCGTGCTGGTGTCGCCAGCAAGATGGCCCTCATAAAGAGAAGAGATGGTAGTCTGGGATGCCTTTTTACCAGCCCTTTTAAAATTCCTGCTATCTTCAATTCTGCGGGGACGAACCTTGGAAGCAACACCTGAACGCTTGACCTTGAAATAAAACACCCTGATCAATCACCATCACTTCTTCTACAAATACCTTTTTCAACCAAGCATCCATGAAGCCATTCCACACACCCTCAATTCCAATCATCGCTACCCCAGAAAGTTTCCGTCCTTGACCAGTGCCAGTCGTTCGCCTTACCCATCAATCCCGGGAACCCAACCATCGACAACATTCATATGCAGTTTGAAAAGCTCGAGCTATACTCAGGAAGAAATTTCTTTGGCCAATTTCATTTCAGGAGTCTCTATGTGAGAAAGAGCAGGGATTTATCATTGAAGAGGGCTTGAGGTACTTGAAGGCGACAGGCGGTAGTATCATGAGTTGATACTTGTCTTGCACCTATTTTAAGGTCAAATGTATGGTTAGTTGGGGGCAAAAGAAGAGAACCAACAAAAAATGAAATACCAGAGAGAGTAAGATCCTCTTCCCTGAAGATTATTCGCCTTTTTAATCCAATGAATCTTGATATATGAAGAAGTAGTAGTATAGAGAGGCCCATTGAATCTATAATAAAGGGACATTAGTCCGAACAAAGAGCACTGGGCTATGCTACTATCAGTAGAATACACTTTAGAACGATGACGAATTGCTTGGATGAGACTCGAGGGGAAATTAGTAGCCTCCAAACTAGAAACCCATATTGCATTTCATCTCTTATTCCTATCTTACGCCGTACATGATCCGCAATTGAAATGATGCATTGCCAAGCAGATACGATATGAGGTCCAGCTACCCGCTTTTGCCCCCGAATTCCCCTAACATTCAAAACATCGAATCTCCAATTGTGTATGTCGCCCACACCCCGAAGCCCCATAAATTACGAGACAGAGCCAAAGGGTCAAGGCAAATCCTGATTATCTGATCCTTTGGGAATCTTCGATCGGCGCGCCCGTGCGCCGCCCGCTTGAACCTCGTACGCGCTCGGCCACCGCGACACGCGCCAGGGAAATCTCCGGACCCTGCGACGCACACTCTACTCCCTATCTACTGTCTACCTGCAAGAATGGGTATGCTCCGACCAGGCCGGGCGAGGTCCCTCCTCCTCGCCATGATGGCGGTCATCCTTGTATGCACCGTCTATCTCTACTGGACCCCGACTACCGCATCCTCCACCGTCTCCGTCGTACCAAGCACCGCATTCGAGGTCCCATTATCAGAGCGCCAGAAAGATTTCTGGAAAGCATTCCATCCTATCCTCGAACGTCACAGCCCCCAATGCCCCTCGCCGCAGAAATTGGGCGATGCAGGTGCGATCCATTTCGACCCCACAAAGGATAGTCCGCGGCCGGATATTACCGCTATGACTGAGGAAGATCAGAAGATCATGGAGGAGGCCCATGCTAGCTTCATTGGAGATATCAAGGCAGCTGGGAAAGATTTAAAACCAGTCCATACACCGGGAAAGCGAGGTTTGGTCTCCACGGCGGGGTCGACTTACATGCCAGTCTTTGTTTCCTCTCTGCGCATGCTGCGCAAAGCTGGCTCCACATTACCCGTGGAGGTATATATGAGAGATGCAGGTGAATACGAGAAGCGCATTTGCAACGAGGTGCTACCCGCCCTCGATGCACGGTGCTTGGTGCTGGGAGATGTGATGGGAGAGGATGTCATTGCGCATTACCAACTCAAGATTTTTGCCGTCCTCTTCTCCTCATTCGAGGAAATTGTCTGGATGGATGCAGATTGTTTCCCTCTTACGAAGCCAGAAGATTTGTTGGATTCAGAGCCATTCAAATCATCAGGATTGGTTACATGGCCTGATTTCTGGGCCTCGTCTGCATCACCGTTATACTACAAGATCTCGCGACAGGAAGCGCCACCCATGACTGCCCGACAGTCATCGGAGACTGGCGCATTCTTGGTATCTAAGAGGACACATTTGTTCCCTCTCCTGCTCGCTGCTTATTATAATTTCTATGGCCCATCACACTATTTCAGGCTGCTGAGCCAAGGTGGCCCGGGCGAGGGTGATAAAGAGACATTCCTCCAAGCCACTATGGCAATGGGTGCGCCATTTTACACAGTCAGTGAGCGGGTGCAAGCCATTGGCCACCAGCTTACTGACAAATTGTCGGGCTCGGCCATGGCCCAGACAGACCCGCGAGAAGACCATGCTCTTACCAGCCAAGATAAGTGGCGAACCAAGGATCCCAACGTGGCACCGGCTCCTCATATATTTTTCATCCACGCAAATTACCCCAAGTTTAACCCAGGAGACAATGTCTTTGGAACAGGATGGGAAACCACCCCCACCTTGAAGGAAGATGGCTCTGATTCCCGTGCTTGGACTGCACCAGTTGATACAGTCCGACGATTTGGATATGATATTGAAAAGAGTTACTGGGAAGAGATCAAATGGGTCACATGCAACTACGAATCTCTCTTCAAATCGTGGCAACAAAAATCAGGTCTCTGTCAGAAAGTTGAAGAATACTGGAGTCATATATTCGCTGAACCGCATGACGATGATCCAAAATTCACCCTGGATGGTTAATTTGTCTCATTTTTTTTTCTTATATGGCTTGCGGCTTGGCCTAGCTTATTTCCATTTCCATTGAACGAAGGGCCTGGCGCCCGAGTTCATTTCCTCCAGCGGCTGGACTACAGCCGTATCTTGCCATGATAGCAGCTAGCCTTGCTGTCTCAGTGGTTCATATGAGTGCCTGTATCCAGCTCTGCACCACATCTTTCGACTGTAAATATTTATTATAGAGCATCATCATGTACCATATGTTAAATTTTAAGCCTCAGATTCCGGGTTTGTCACATAGGGCTCTTTTACTACTCGGGATGCAGTGGTTTTTCGTTTCTTCACCGCCTGGCAGAATATCTACCAGTTGATTTTATCTAAAAGCACCGCGCGGAGCGCGGGGCTACAAACTTGTATTGAAATGACCACGAGCCACTTGTTTTTCTTAAACCTTTCCATCCAGTGCTCTTAACGCCGAACCGACACATGTGCATCCCGGTAGATCAAAATTTTCATCTGGAGGTGCCCACTAGTAGGTCAGCTGATACATAGATGTGCAGATACCCGATTATGATTCAACCTTGGAACCTCCACTCAAATTCTCTATAGGGCCCTGGGAGGCAATCCAGCTCCAGGGCTACTATGATCGTCAATAATCCAGTTCTATATTATCTATTGGTAGAGAAAAGCATATTCAGTTAGTAAAATAACAGAGTGATTGATTATGGCTGACAAATTTATTATCTTGAAATAATAATTACGAGCTTACTGGCAGGAAGCTAAGAAGTAAGATTCAGGATCAGTGCCCAGGTGGACCCCAAACTGCCGTAAGGTTTGAATTAGGTTTGATCTTCAAGCAGGTACGCTTATACAAATAAGATCTTATAGTGGCTAGAGCTTGATTGCAAGGGACCGAGTCTTAACGAAAGTCAAAGGTGGGGTTCAATTGTATGAGTAAAAAATCGTTGATCTCTGTAAGAGGTCCGATCTGTCAGGCTTGAAAGTAGATCACTAAAAGACAACAATAACCAATTTGGGGAACAGGTAAACAAACAAATAAGCTCGTTGAGGGGCCATTGGGAGGTGAAGAGACTTCGGGAACAATGTATGCTATACAGGCAGGGAACGGGGGTCCTCTCTGACCATGTTTGACCTATTCGGCCTGAAATTGAATTCTAGCCCTCTTGGGATAGAATTTGTCATAGAATAAAAGACCCATCTCTCTGTTCCTCTACCTCAAAACAAGTAGCTTAGATGTCACCCTCACCGCCCGAGGTACAACTGCTGAAGCTCAGTTCTGGACCACAGTATGCGTCCTTGTCAAATGAAGCAGTCGGGCCAATCTTCAACCATCCATCCCAAGTGCCTCCATGATCCATACGGAGACATTCAGTGTCACAGATCTCAATCTTATCGATTTTTTCGAAATAATGCTTAAGAGCACCTGCAATTGTGTCCTTTTTCGCGGTGGTATCGCAGTTTGATCCAGAGGCGTAATAGATGTAGGATATGTCCTTATAACTACCACTCAATTAGCTGCAAGACTTCTCCTTAGATAGTCCATAGACACTACTAGAAATGATTTTAACCAGGGCAATCAGAAAGGTGCCGATGCCAGCACAATTCGAAGCAGCCTTGAGACTATGTACACACACGGTGACATCGGTTCGCTCACTGAGACTGGATTCAATAAGCTCAGTGCTGTTGGCAGTGTTGTTGAGACTCATATGAAACCATTTAGCTGGATAGTTTTGTCCGTTGATTGTAGGTGTCACGGCAGAGGCTTGCGCTGAAGCCGCAAAGCAGCAAGCTGCTATAATCAGGCCTTTGAGTTGCATAGTAGGCGATTCCGTTGAAAACAATAAGATTGGTAAGACAAGCAAGATAGGTGATTTGGTAGGTATGATGTAGAGGATTGAGTATTGCTTAGATATCTGAAAGAAATAGAACAGCAGATGTCTCCCTCTTATGCTTTTTAAAATGCCGATTCTTTTTTATGTTAGAATATAACTCAAAGCTTTCCGGTATTATTTCGGCTTTGAATACACCTGGGCAGGACTATCCACTTGTAGGAATATCCACTAGGTAATCTTGAAATTCTCTATGAATTTGGTGGCTTGAGTGCCGGCTCTTTTAGACCCCACATTATAGCAGTAGAAGTTTATAGGCTATTTACTACCGTGAATAGGCCTATATCAAAGATTGTATTACCTAACTTTACTGAAAAAATCTTAGTACCCTACAGTATTTATTATCTAAAAATCTGTGGGCTTAAGCCTATCACCTTATAAGATTCTTATTATTACATTATCACTGGCATGAAAGCCTCCAACTATTTCTACAAAATACTATAAGCTACTGGTTATTTCTAATACGAAGTAACATACCTCTAATCCTTTGACCCCTGGGCCTGACCTAATGGCCCCCATATGTCATGATTGGGAGCTAGTAGTCAGTCGTCTTGGAAGGATTTGGTAGATGGATATACAGCACTTGAGTGACCAGTTGACGGGTCATAGTAAGTATATGACTGCCTAATCCCATGGCGCTGGCACCTGCCCAGGTGGGATTAAGTTCAAAGGATTTTGTCCAGGACCCTTATTTCTTTTGTCAGGATCTCCCCACAACCAAGCGCTAGCTTGAAATTCTCCTCAATGGATATATGTAGTTTCTATGAAAAGAGGTGGTCACTAAGGCAGCCCAGGATTGAGGTTTGGCGACCCCGAAATGGTGGCTGCTGACCGAAACAATACCTAGGTAGTATTAACTCAAGGATCAATCTACTTACACCAATTGCAACAATACCATGCCCGGTAGGAATTGCAAGAATCCTTTCAAATCTTGATCAAAGCCTTCTAATTCCATTCAGACTCAATGTATCCCGGCTTACCAAGTATATGGCGCATAGTAGGTGCCGCTCCTAAGGATCTACAGGGTTAATTAGTATAAATTATGGTTTTACTAGCCGCGGACTGTCAAGCCCTAGAGTCGGTAGTTCAAATGTTTATACATATAAAGCCGCTAGCCCACAAATGCTATTGTATGGTACTACTTCAATGTTTTAGCTTCTCCCATATCAAGCCATATGTATAGGCACCTAGCTAGGTAGAAATCTCTTCCATATATCTACTGTTAAGCGAGCTAAATATGGGTAATACATTGTCATCATGGCCGCAGCAGGTCTTCAAGGTGAACAGCCTCTAGTTGATAGAACAATGCAGATAAGCACTGGAAGTCGGCAAATGTAACTTCGGGAAAAAGGATTGGCTTTAAGGGTCGCGCTCGCTGCATATGTGGGGCACTGGCAGGATTGAGGCTAAGGCAAACATTGCCCCTCTACTTAGTATATCCTAGGTGTAGAGCAAAGCGCCCCCAAACATACACATGTGCATATGAAGTACCAGTTGACCCATTGGACAGACCCGCCTACGTGTATCTTGAAGCCGAAATGATAACTTAAAATCCGCGTCGGGACTTACTATGTTCTGATATAAGATCATTAAAAAACTTAATAAGTCAGCATTTTCGAAATAGTAGTAGGAGAGAGTGCTTGAGAGAGAGAGATCGGCTCTTCTCTCATATATTTAAGCAACAACATTTGAATCAATTCAAGTCTCAGCTTCTCACAATATTCACAAAATCACTTATCTTGCCAATCTTATTACTTTCAACAGAACCGCCCACTATGCACCTCATCAAAAGCCTACTGTTAGTGGCTTACTGCTTTTCAATTCCAACACAAGCCTCTGTGTCTACTATCAATGGGCAGCGGGTACCAGACAGGTGGCACCAGATCAATCTCGACGGGAAAGTGACTACCAAAAGCACTGAGCTTAGTACACGGGACTTTGATATCAGTCTTGAGACGCGAACTGATATTACTGTTTGCGTCAGTGATCTTGACGCTACCGCTACTTGTGCTAAACTTGGCTCTTTTTTGGTTGCCCTCGTAGCTGTTGTGTCCAGTTATGTTCATGAACTATCCAGCGAGAAATCTTGCGCCAAATTGAGTGGCTCTTACGAGACCGTATCCTAGATCTATTACGCCTCTGGACGGAACTGCGATACTACAGCGCAAAAGGCTACAATTGAGGGCGCTCTTAAGAAATACCTCAAGGAAATCGATGATGAGGAACTCTGTGGTACTGAGTGTCTCCGTATGCATCATGGAGGCACTTGGGATGGATGGTTGAAGATAGGCCCGAAAGCGTCATTCGACGAGGACGCATACTGTGGTCCAAAACTGAGCTTTAGCAGTTGCATCTCGGGTGGTGATGCTGATGTCTGAGCTACTACTTATTTTGAGGTAGAGAAATGGAGATGAAGGCAGAGAAGCGGAGAGGCAAAGTTATTCAGTGGCCCTTCTATTTAGAGTGTTTGGCGAAGTGACTGAGCTATGCATTTAAGTAGGTGTTGTAATGAAGTGGAAATCCTTGTAAAAACTGGCCATTCGAACTTATAATATTTCTAATATTTCGAGTCTTGTAGGACTGAAGAGACTTTGAATGTCCTTGAAGGCTGGTATGAAATATTATATCATGGGAAGCAGCCTAGTCATGATCAAGTACCACCTGAAAGCCCCTTAGTCTAAACGATAATTTCATCTCCATGATGGTGCTCCGGCTGAGTCTATAGAATTCGTCATATCGTACAAAAGAAATGTGTCCTCAACCCCGAATAATTTTCAAAATTCAAACCAGGGCCATGATAACATTATGTCAATCATTTTATTTCTTAATACCCTTGTCACGCAGGCGCTGCTCATCCTCAGCCTTCAACTCGGCATCGATCTTAGCACCCTTAGAGGGAGCGTTGCCATGGAGCTTAGCCTAAAGAGCATGGTATCAGCAAACATTCCGGCGATGAAACAGAAAATTGAAATACTCAGTAATGCAAACTTACAGGCTTGGTAGGATCCTGCTTGCTGAGTTCAGCCTCCTGGTTGAAGCTGTTGTTGTGGTGGTGCGAAGAGTCGGGCTTGCTCCCCTGGGAACCAAGCTTGTTGGCGATGGAACGCTGGTCCTTGGAATCAAGGTTCTTGTGAGAACCAGGCTGACCCTCCTTGTAGCGCTGGGCCTCGGTGATCTCAGACTGAGGCACGTTGCGCTGGTCACCGGCTTCGTAAATGCCGCGGTTGCCAACACTAGACTGACCAGACATGTTGTGGAGGTAGTAGGAATTAAGTTGAAGATGTGATTGAGTGAGAGAGAGTGCGGATGACGGTGTTAAGTAGATGAGATATGGTGATGCTTTGGTTTGTGAAAAAATTGAGACAGACACTGGAAATCTTCAATTTTTATACTTGGTTGAATATGTGATGCGATGGCCAGTGATGTCATGTTGGAGTCACTGAGATCATAGTTGTGGGTCGGGGTCTCAGGCTGGCCGGAATGTCTGATATCAATGCTTGATACTTGGATGTCTATGTAATGGACCCTTTTATTCTAACCGGGTTTGTATCAGAGCAAGGTTGAAATCAAGGCAGGTCTAGGTTGTGACATCGGGGATGTGTATGGGTGTAGTAACAAGGCTCCACTTTACAAGCATCACAAATGTCAAAGAGTTTCTTTCATATTCTTCCTAGTCAAAAGAATTTATTCCTGGTAAAAGTAATGAGATCAGAGCTGAGTTTGAGTTGATTGCTTGAAATTATATGTTCTTGTTAATGTTATTGGCTTAAATATTGCTATTTTTGCATGGGCATCCCTCATACCTATACTGTGTATGAGATGGATGCTCATTTGAAAGACCAATTGATCCGATCATCGGACCCTAATTCACAACTTACGGACCAACACACCTCATGCTACCTAGGCAGTATGAAAAGAATGGGATTTGGGATTTAAATGTATCAGGATCAAATAGGGGCCAGTACCTAGCTGTCACCTGATCCCTTATACCTTAATTCTTGAGACCATGGCCGCCACGGCGCTACCTATAAGCCACCCGTCCACGACCCACTCCGGCTATCGGACCTGGGAAGTCAATGATCCACTGGCAAAGCTATGTACTACTAGACTAGTACCTACGCGAGAAAACCCCACGTCTTGAGTCTCGACAATGCGATCGCATTTGTCCTGTCTCTTCAGGATTCTCGCTCGAAATCGAGCATCGTTTCAATCTCCCGGTCAAGCTTATTATCACTCTTTTTGCCGACACGCCTACTCCACCGCCACAATGAGTTCGGCTGCCGCTACCCCTGCACCTACACCAGAAGTGCAACCCCGCTTCCAGCAGCTCTTCACCGAGCTAGAAACCCGCTTCAAGGTAACCAGCCTTGGCAGTGATAAGTGGTACATCCTTGCCATCTCTACACTAGCTGCGAGTCCAGATCCCGAGCGGGCCGATCAACTCTATCTGCACTTGATCTCTCAGCCAGAGCACTCAACCTCACCGGCTCGTCAAGCTTTAATAAGGCGTCTGCGTGAGGCGCTCATAAAATCAGTGCCCATTGTTGGTGTCTGCAAGCCTATCGAAGCCATTCTGTCTATTAACAAGTTCGAGCGCGACGAGGATAAGGACTACACCTTTACTCGTGAGAACTGGCAATCCGACGAGGCAAACCATGAGCGTGGCTCGGCATGGATGCAAAAGTTGTATTCTCGCAACACTGGTGGCACATTGGATTTGTTTGCTGCACACCGAGACTTCAAGTGGTTATCCGAGGAAATCACTTACGGTCTATATCTTTCAGATCGTCAGGTTTTGGATGATGTGGATACGCAGCTTGTTGTCTTGCCAGGGATCATGAGTCAAAACTTGCCGCTTGAGACACACTGGCATATTCGCGGGACAAGACGCTTAGGCCTGCCCAAGGAAGAGGTGCAGATCATTTGGGATTGTGTTCAGCTGGTGTCTCAGTTCTTTGATGTCAAGCTGAACAAGGTGCCGACAGTTGAGGCTGTGGAGTATGATGTTTGAATTTGAGGCAAATTATAGATAGATTTCAAGCATCATTGATATGTAATTGCATATAGACTTACCGAGGTCCGGTCGAATATCAGGAGACTTGATTCTTGAGCAACGTTACACGTGAACTCAAGAGTCTAATAGTAAAGTTAGTTTCCTTCGCATGTTAACTCGTACTGCTGGTTTGCAAGTGGCATGCAGTACCTCAAAGTTTAATGGTCTCAGAAGTCTTACCTTGCTCGAACATACACCGATTTTTCCCAATGGAGGAGACGGGGTGGGGTCTCTCTAAGCTTGATATAGCTGTGGTCTGGGGAGAGCTCGATGCCCACGTGAAACTGAAACAAAGCTTCGCACTTCATGGATCCAGCTGAGATGAACGCAATCCATCGACGGCCACGCCGAGCCTATATGCAAGGTGAACCCTGACATACGCGTGGTCAGATACCCTTTCAATCTCCGCATTTTTCGGGCTCCAAATGATTCAAGTTGACAATCAAACCAAAGATTTCGGCGTGGGTATCTGGACCACATGTCATGACATGGTTCTGCTGAAAATAGCCATGTATTCTTCCCTGTTTAACAGAAAGGAGCAACTGAGGCAATGATGACAGTTCTCAGCCTAGGCGCAATCTTAATGCATCAAGCGCAGGTCTGTAGAAATGAGCCGATAGTCCTAGTCCAGTCTGGGATAAGTGATAACTATGAAATCAAGATCATTAGCCCCGATAGCCTATCTTCTCTCAGTCTTCCATGCACTAGTTTCATCACATTTGAATAATCGTGACCTCAGCCGTAGGCACTGGCAGTTGGTGGCCAAATTGTACGTGGTCAATTGCTTCGAAGGATTCAGAATGTCAGACACTGGTAGCATTCTGAAAATAATATCCATGAAGATTGGAATAATATTCAAGTTTTGTTAAATTTCTAATCACATTTACTCATATTTGTAAGTTGAATTCAAATTTCAAGCAAATTTAGTAGTAATTTTACGTCTAGTGGCTGGCGGTCGCAGCCCAGTACATTCAAATGTTATAAGCAATTGCCTCCCCAAGCCTGGAGCCTCACTACAGATATAGAAATTGAAAAGCAAGTCCTTCTAACGTCAATATGGGTGGTGTATTTTCCAACCCAAGCCCTTCATCACCCTCGGCAAATGCCACTGGCACTACCACAGGCCCGACAGCAGTTCAAAAGAGGGATAATGAGATAATAATCACTGGCCTAGGCACAGAATGGCCCTCCAAGTCCATCACCGCAGATGATTTCAACAAAGTGGTTCTAGGTTTTTACTCTGAAGAGACAGATGCTCCATGGTTCGTGTCATTCAACACCTGGGCAGCATGCCCATGTATAATTTCTATCATTACTGACGTGTGTCTTGGAAGGCTTCAACGATTACTCAGAATCAACACCAGAACGGGAATTGAAACTCGGTCTGTAATAGATCTTTGGGGTCAGTCCCCCTGGACTCCACAAGATCCTCCCAAAGCCGAAGAGATCGATATCGCGTGGCGCAGCTATGGAGTCGAGCTGTCCAGGAAGGCGGCACAAAAAGCTCTATCAGACAGCCAAATCGAAGCAAATACCATCACACATATTGTGGCAGTTACTACCACGAATGCTGGTAGCCCTGGTTATGACCAACTGGTCGCCCGAGAGCTCGGCATCCCCTCCACAGCAGAAAGACTCCTAATAAGCGGCAGCGGATGTGCTGGAGGACTCGCTGCTTTGCGAATGGCTTCAAACCTTGTCAGATCAGCTACATGTCGGGGTGAACCCGCAAGAGTCTTGGTGATAGCATGCGAGATATGCAGCATTTACATAAATTCCGAACTACACGCAGCGGCGACCTTGAAAACCGACGGAATTGGACCTACGCTATTCGCTGATGGTGCTGCCGCTATGGTCGTGTGTAATCCCGATGGCATGATACAACCAAAGAGTCAGGAGAACCTCCCAAGACGCTTCTCAGTCATTGACTGGCGCTCCATCGTCACACCCGGTACCCTCAATGAGGTAGAATACAAGATGAGCAGCACGGGGCTCCAGATTTTCATATCAAAGAACCTCCCTAAACTGAGCTCTACATCTCTCTTGAGTCCCTTTCAAAGTCTTGTCACTGGAAATGGCATGCAGAATTCCCCGTCTACGGACTTCGATTGGGCACTTCATCCTGGCGGATTGGCCATTATCAAGGGTGCTCAGGCAGCTATGGGGCTCCCCGATGAAGCGTTAGCAGCCAGCTACGACATTTACCGGAATCGAGGTAACACGATCAGTGTTGCTGTTATAGCGGTTCTGGATAGACTGCGAACGATGGAGATGAGGAAGCAGGATGTTATCACAACGAGCTTTGGACCTGGTCTCACGACGGAGATGATGTTGCTCAAGCGGTGGGAATAGATAGCGGGCGCTCGGCGGTTTTATACGTCCTTATTAATATTTGATGTCCTTCGAATGTGATTTGAGACTTAATATATGTGGATGAGCACTGAGAGCTGCATAGTAAATCATTTTCATGTCATCATGATCCAGCTGGGGTGTTGTCGCTGTAGTGATGGGTATGGAGTAGAATAGACACAATGACATCGAGCCTGATAACCGATAACCGATAACGGCAAAAAAAAAGTTCGAAATCGAGGGGCCGGAGATCACCCAAATACTTCCAACCTCCAATTCTGTCGCATTCACATTCACAACCCCTTCAGAAATCATGGGCAAACGTAAGCAAGATCTCGGTGATGTGCCCATGGGCGGCACCGGCAATGCCGACGACGAGTCCGACGATGTGAGCACACAACCCCGCGTTACCAAAGACCGAGCATAGCTCCTAACCCGTCGCAGGACGTTGACATGATCAATGTCGACTTCGAATGGTTCGATCCTCAGCCTGCCGTCGATTTCCACGGTCTGAAGAACCTGATTCGTCAATTGTTCGACAACGATGCGCAGCTGTTCGATTTGTCTGCCCTGTCCGATCTGATCCTCTCACAGCCGACCCTCGGATCTACTGTAAAGACCGATGGCAATGAGTCCGACCCATACGCTTTCTTGTCTGTTCTGAATCTGCAGGAGCACCAGGTAAAGATAGCTCTGAAAAGTTAACACTGAGTTGAAGCTAATATATTATTCCAGGACAAGCCCGCTGTTCAAGATTTGATCAAGTACATTAAGAGCAAAGCTTCCACCACACCCTCCCTTTCCGCCCTCAACGAGCTCGTCTCCCAGACCCCGATTCCTCCAATTGGCCTCATCCTGACCGAGCGAGTTATCAACATGCCCGCGCAGGTTATCCCACCTATGTACAACATGCTTATGGAGGAGATCGCCTGGGCGATTCAGGACAAGGAGCCCTACAACTTTTCTCACTACCTTATTATTTCCAAGGGCTACGAGGAGAAGGAGTCGAAGTTGGATATGGAGGATTCTCGTCCTCAGAAGAAGACCAAGAAGGGCGGCGAAGCAGCTCAGCGATTCCTCTTCCACCCCGAGGACGAAGTGTTGCAACGCCATGCGCTGTGCTCTGGTTCATACGAGTTCACTCACAAGCAGGATGACGGTCACTCAGACTCTAAGCGTGCATTCCAAGACCTCGGCATTGTTACCAACGGTAGCATGATCCTGCTTGACGCAGCGAACTTCGAATCTACAGTCAAGGCTGTAGCTGAGTACCTCCAGTAAGGGATGTATGTGAAGATTCAAAATCTATCTTCATATCATTTCATTTCATGTCCCGTTGATGAGAGTATAATCTATACGATTTTTTTTGTCCTTTTCTTTTCCAGCACTTCTTTTGCTTAGCCTTCAACTCCCAGGCTTCCCCAGCGATATGATTCTATAGATCTCGTTACCAGAATCAAAAGTTCATAACTTCATGGGCTCATGACCAAAACATGTCACGATTTACTCCCATTGGGTTCCCTTAAGGCGCTGCATGAGGTATTCTACCTCAACGACCTTAGTGAGCGGGATAACGCATTCCTTTATATCTCAGTCAGCAGCAAATTCGTCGCTACCAGAGTAGACTTAAAATTCTCACCTTATACATAGCAACGACCGCATCAACATTGATCTTCTGTCCCTTTTCATCAGGGAAAGCAGGATCAGTACCATAAGTCTTGGCCTTAAGTCCCAAGCGCTCCAGCACTTTCTGCTCGACCTTGGAATCCGTAATAGCAGCATCAATCCCATCGCGGTCCTCCGACTTAATCAAGCGCACAAAAGTCTCAGGATCCTTCTGAAACTTGGCCTCAGCAACGAACTTTCCAAAGTGAATTCGTCGCGACAAGGCCTGCAAACAAGCCACATCGCAAGTAGCAGCAGAGCCATAGTTTTCCTGTGTTTCACCACGGTCTTCACGACCGAATTTTGGGCATACCGCAGGGAGTACCTCGTTAATGTAGCGCTGCTTAATGACGTCGTTGACGTTCACGTCGTTTGAATGCAGGATGTGCGGGTACTGCAAGGGTGCGAGGACAGGCTTCTCCAAGACATTAGGGAAGAAAGGGTACTCGTCGGGGGATTCGTAGCGGCGGACGCGGGATTGAAGACGCTCTTGTTCGCGGAGAAGGTAGTCTGCTAGACTAAGTTCGCTTTCGGGGATCTTGACTCCGCCGGGGACGTAGATGGTTTTGTTAAGAGGGAATTGAACTCGCTCGATGAGGTGGAAGGTGATTGTGTCTTCCAGACGACTGGTTATCTGGAGTGTTAATAGGCATTTGGAGTGCGGCGATCAAACTAGCATTATTCGCGGGGCGCGGGGAAATTGATGCATATTGGGGACTCATTGGGAGCAATGAGTCAGTTTTGGGACTGACATGAGTTCGAAACGAATGTTGGCGAGGTCCAATGCCTTAGAGGCATCGGAGAGATCAATTGCTCTATCCATTTTTTTGGATTGGTGGTGGGTTGAAAGGATAGAGAGAAGATGTTGAAAACGGCACTCCGGTATAATTGATCAGCGAAGTCGGAGAGACCTTGAGAGAGGCTTAGATACAGAGATAGATGTAGCTTTCCAAGGCTAAATCGGGGTTCATGCTTTATATAGGGGAATAAAATAAAATTTTCTATTCTGAAAAATTCAATCAAATTCCAAATAAACTATTCTACTTTTAATCGAACTTCAAAAGCAAACATATCTCCATGACTCAAGCCTGCCCAGTGGTCTACCTTAAAGCTGTTCGGGTATTCAATACTTCGACTGTACCAAGCAGAGCTATGGAGGAAGAACCAATATAAAGGTAGCCGGAATGTACAGAATACAAATCAGTTAAAAGAAAAAGAGCACCTTGCAGAGATCTCACTAGTGACAACCTGCAGAATTCAAAAAAATAAATTGGATTAATCAATTTTTATCTTAGGCGAAGAGATCCCTGTCATATATAAGGGTAAGCAAAAGTACCATACCGACCTTACTGTATCTAGATAATACCCGGGGGGAACTTGGAAACGCGGTAAATCATCGCGTGGACACATGACGATTCTCAGCCTTTTCCCTCACACGCATGTTGGTTGATCTTTCCCCACTACTACTCTCCTAACATGGAGAATCATCGCCGTGACGAGTCACCGTCCGGTCTTTCGGATATTGTTGAGGGCGATGGCTTGCTCGGCACCGGATTAACGGTAGGTCGCTTTTTTTTAAGCCAAAGCCTGGCGCACTGCACATGACCCCTCCCCCATGACCGCGGACTAACAGGGATGTAAATTATAGACCCGTCACCTTGAGGCATTTGGACGAACAGTTAGTTCTACGGCAGGACACTTGATGGGACCGGCCGACCAGTCCTCAAACACTCATTATCAAAATGCGATGACCGGCATCCACCGCGAACTACGTCGGCCCGCGGCGCAGCGCAATGTCTTCTCCCTAACTCAGACAACGCCTACCGACCTTGTGCGCTCTAAGCTGTCCACTACCGAAATTAAATCGCGAGCTATCTCCTCCCTTCCCGATGACCTTCTCGCCAACATCCCCGATGATACCAGCTCCTACTCCCTATTTCAAGGCTTCCAAGCCACCCTCCCTGAAGATGAACCCTCACATAAAAAGCACCGGAGAAAGAGCTCCAAGAGCGCTAAGGCCATCAAGGATAGCGAGAAGGGCGGCGCCCTGACCGCTGGTCCGGCTGGGTTGAAGGAGGAACGAAAAAAGCTGAGCCGCCGGCTAGATCTGATGGGCATCCGAAAGAACATGTGCAGCGCCGAGATTCATGAGATAGATAACAAGATCGCCAATTTACACAAGATGCGTCAAATTGTGCTAGACCGATTAGCTGGCTTGGAAATGGACGAGGCGGCATTGGAACATGACTGTAGGTTGATCTGCGTGTTGCATTCCGGCTGCGACAAGAGAAAGAGAGTGAAGACCTAACCTAGATACAGTGACGGAGCTTGACATCAAGCTAGAAGACCTTATACCAGAAGAGACAACTGATACATCTGCCGCCGCCGAAACACCCAAGTCCTCTATGGAACAAGACGAGTCCACGGCATCTAGCGACCCGGCTATGGATGCATCGTTCATGTCCGAGTCGATATACGAGAAGTTGCCCAACCCATCACCAAAGAGCCTCCGCCACCGATCTATTAGAAAGCGCTCGATGCCGATTCTTCACGAACACTTTGCGCCAGGGTCGTTAATCAAGGAAATTTCAGCACACACGGATATGGTGACTGCGATTGATTTTGATTATCCATTTGGCACAATGGTCACAGCTGCCTTGGATGATACTGTGCGGGTCTGGGACATGAATATTGGTCGCTGCTCGGGATTCTTGGAAGGACACCATGCCTCGGTACGGTGCTTGCAAGTAGAGGATAATATTGTGGCGACGGGATCTATGGATGCGTCTGTCCGGTTGTGGGATCTGAGCCGTGCTCGGCCTAACACTCGCGACACTGGTCGTCTTAACAAGCACGAGCGTGGTGAGGAGGAGCTATTTGAACAACCTTCCACTACCTCATCAAACTTCCAAGATTGCCATGTCTTCTCTCTGGAAGCTCATATGGATGAGGTAACTGCCCTCCACTTCAAGGGCGACACCCTCATTTCTGGTTCTGCAGACAAGACGCTGCGGCAATGGGATCTTGTCAAGGGAAGATGTGTGCAAACGTTGGATATTTTGTGGGCAGCCACTCAAGCCTCTACAACCTCTAACGATGGAGGTTGGCGACCATCTGGCCGCCTGCCAGATGCATCCGCCGACTTCGTTGGAGCTGTACAGTGCTTTGATGCTGCTCTTGCTTGCGGAACAGCCGATGGAATGGTTCGCTTATGGGATCTGCGCAGTGGCCAGGTTCATCGCAGTCTAGTGGGGCACACTGGGCCTGTCACCTGTCTCCAATTCGATGATGTGCACTTGGTGACAGGTAGTCTCGATCGCAGCATTCGGGTAAGTTTAAAATTTTGTCATTTCAAAGGATGCATCACTAATGAGTGCAGATCTGGGATTTACGAATGGGTTCGATTTATGACGCCTACGCCTACGAAAAGCCTGTGACTAGTATGATGTTCGACTCGAAGCGCATTGTTGCTGCTGCGGGTGAGAATGTGGTCAAGGTTTACGACAAAGCCGATGGAAACCACTGGGACTGTGGTCCCGGTGTCGGCATGGATGATGAGGGCCCATCCCCTGCCACTATTGAGCGTGTCCGCATCAAAGACGGGTACCTGGTCGAAGGACGCAAAGATGGTACTATGGCTGCATGGACATGCTAAAAGTAACTATAACCTGTTCATTCCCTCCGTTCTCCATCGGTTCTGCATTCTTCCTTGGGGGTCTCCGCTCCTCCCCCGTCTTCTGCGCCCGCTGTATAGTATTCCAACCCCTTGTTTAGAGAGCTAGATGGAGCAAATCGGTACATCTGGAGTGAACTATGATTGCTGTTCTGTATTTAAAGCACCTGGTTAAAAACCAATCCAATTTACTTTGTCGGAATTCCCACCTGGTTGTCCATAGTCCTCTCTGGAGATAAAGAAACATAGAAACCCCGATTTTCTACTCATTAAATTGCTTTCAGACGTAAAAATAGAAATTTGAAGTCATATGAACCAAGGCTCGTCGCCATCAAGTAGCTAACCTTGGAAATGCATAAAGGACTCGAGCGCAACAAAGCCGTTAATCTTGGAGGTACCTACGCTACTGCCGAGTCAAGGTCGAGTTTCATAAGTCTCCCACATCACCCAGATTTCTCTCATCTTCTTCATTTCTCTACATCTCTTCAAATCTGCCAGAAAGACAGAGTCTACCTAGTCATCGGTTCATACTATCATAATCGTGGTCCGTCATCAGTGCTGATCGCATTCTTTGGTCTGCGGGATCCACATTTAAACCCGCCGCAAGTCACGTTCCGTCGCGCGTCTGCGCGTCTTAACAGCTACAAAGTCTAGGGTCGGGATCCACAGGATTCGGCCTACACAACACATTATATCGCCAAAGAAGAAGTTCAGGCTTAACTTGTCAATTAAAAGTAAGTCATGAAGAACATTTGATGGGTGCGGGGCTTGGGCACCACGGATTCTGTACTCCCTTGTCGGGATGACACCATGTCCCTGGACCTGATGGCTAAGCCTCCCCACCCTCTTTGTTTAGTTGTTTATCATTTCAGATGATCTTGAGGCTAATTGACATAGGCTTCTGGCTTCGTTTGATCTTAGAGTTGATTGGGAACTTGGGCTGTCCGCCCACGCGGCTTGTTCATATCAGCACATAATAAAAAGTCGGTGATTATTCCTGCTTTTGGTTTGCATTTCTTGCGCTTTCATCATAGGGGAATGTTTGCTCTCTATCAAGACTTTAGCATATTAGCAAAATCTGTTTTCCTGCTTTACTAATCTGTGTATACAGATGGCTCCAAGAAATGCTGGGAAAGGGTACGTCGAGTTTGAAGAAAACGCATTGAGACCTTGGGTTCCGGACAATCCCCATTTACCGCCCATTCCCATTAAGTCATCGTTTGGCTATGGCTCCCAAGTCCTGCCAGTTGCGCGTAGACCTACTCAATTGCACGCACGGCCGGGGACCACCAATCTTAAGGAAATTGCCCGTTCAGTTAACGAGGCTGTTGAAAACAGTGAATTGAAGGCCATCTCCTCCAGAGAAGCCAGAGAGCAACGGTTGGCTTCAAGTAAGCGAGAGTCCGCTGTTCGTCGACGGACAAAACGAGAGCCGACTCCAGATGAGACGCAATTACATCAGGGACTACGTGAGGCAACAGTATCTCCGACAAAGGAATCCTTCAGCCAGAGATCAGATCCAACACCCTCACCTCCAATCCAAAGGGATGTTTCTACCGACTCGAGTCCTGTTGCTGAGCCTCCTTCTCAACGTCGCCTTTCTGTCATGTCGAATATGTCGAATTCACCACTTTATCCTTCGCCTCTTCAGCGAGGGGGCCATGACACCTATGGGCTCAACAGCCCAGATAGCCGGAGCCGTCAAAGTTCAGTTGATAATGCGTCCGAAGTCTCTTGGAGTTTGGAACGTGATATTCACGAGGATGAACTGCGAAGAACACGACCAAGCACTTATGGACGTAACATCACAGCACCTCCCCGACGCCCTTCTGGTCTGGGTAACATAATTCCTTCTGATATCCCCGAAGAGGACGAAGAGAATGATCAAGATGATGAGTCTGAAGAAAATGATGAAGAGGATCTTGAGGAGACGAGCGACGAGGATGAGGAATCGTCACAGTCTGAATATTCCGACCATTCCAATTCTGAACTTAAGTCTCAGATTGTGGAAAGCGTTTCAGGGGGTTGGACCGCCTCAGTGCGCACTATCATTCCATCCTTGTTTCGTTCCGAACCTACCTTGGAGCCACTTCGGTCTTCATCTCCGGAAGAAAGACGAGCCAGCAGACGGGCCTCATCAATACGGTCTGAAATGTTCGATCAAGTCGTGTCTCCCAAAAAGTCCAATACCGGCAGCTGGAGACGACTGGTCTTCGTTATTCTCCTTCCGTTAGCTCTTGCTTTGGTCTTCCGGTCCGGATATTTGAATGACTTGCACCTCCCCGATTTCCCTTCATTCCCATCCGCTCCTCAATCCACCCCCAACGAAAATGACTCCGCTACAGTCCAAAGACTCAAAAAACAGATCTCCAAAGTGAACGAGCAGATGTCTTCTATGTCTCGCGAGTTGGTTGCCGTTCGATCAGAAAATTCTCGTCCCTCAAATCCCACCTATGTTATGGGTCAACCTTATGGCCATCAATCAGAAGTTCACAAGATCAACTTCCTAGCCCCAGCAATGGGCGTATTGGTGGACCCATATCAAACGAGCCCGGGTTCTGTTAAACTTCCCTCCCTTTTTGAGCGTGTTGCACTCACAATGCTTTGGCAACGTTCAAAACTCCGGGGTCCATTACCCCCTTTGACTGCCCTATCTCCCTGGCAAGAAGTGGGAGACTGCTGGTGCACTGCTCCACGAAATGGAATATCTCAACTCTCACTTCACCTTGGTCGTGACATTGTACCAGAGGAAGTTGTGGTTGAGCATATCCCAACCGGCGCTACGCTCGACCCGGGTGTCGCCCCAAAGGAGATCGAACTGTGGGCCCAATTCAAAATAGTCCCTCTCCCGTCCGACTCATTGGGCACCCGGATTTCTCGCTGGATGCCGTGGGGTTCTCCCAAGATGTCTCAGCCGCTCGAGCCCGTCTCATCGCGACTAAAGGGACTTGGAGGATACAAAATTCCCGGTGACAGCTCCCTACATGATGTTGTTATGAACACCTTACGCGCTACGAACCGCTATGACCCGGATAGCGCCTTCTCAGACGACCCGCTTCTTGGCTCGAATTTCTATCGGATCGGGAAAATGAGATATGACATCTTCAGTGAATATTATATCCAACGATTCAGTCTCAACACCATTATCGACATTCCAACAATTCGAGTGGACAGGGTGGTATTCCGAGTGAAATCCAACTGGGGCTCAAACAATACTTGCATCTATCGACTCAAGCTACATGGCCATATTTGATCTGCTGCATATCGCCTAAGCCAATGGGGTTCCATACCTGTAACTTATGAACTTCTTGGCTCTGAGTCACTCTGTTGCTATTATCCTACCCTTGGCTATATTGCAATTTGCGAAACGGGTTTCTTTACCTCGGGCTTTTTAGTATTCTCCTTTTCTCTGTTTTCTTCTCTTACTCTCATGTATTTTTCTTTTAGGCGCGTGATGATACCATGCACTTAGCGCGTGCTTAGGCGTTGGGGCACATTGGAGTGAGTTGATAGATCTAATAGCAATAAAAACATTTACCACTACTTTATTGGGCTAGAATCCACTTTTTCCCCTACTGCAGATGCGACCAAGGCAGATTTCCCCTGAGGCGGAATTAATCCAAGCTTGTGCATTGACCTTTGTGGCACCAATATTAGTACTTTGACGCGCCTGATCAGCACTTAAGTGCTTACGGTTCCTGAGTTGGGAACCTGAGTGGTGAAGTAGGCGCCCATCCACTTAAAAAGCGCGTAGCAAACAATCAGTTTGCATTTCTACTCTCACTTAAAAGAGTTTGTTTTCTTCCATTTGAAAAGCGTGTTGTAAACAATCTGTTTCCTTGGATTTCTGCTCTCACTCAAAAGACTTTCTTTTCTTCCCTCTCCATCTCTACTTCTTCAACTCTTCCAATACTTTGCCAATATTGACTCCCTGAACGAACGCAACAATGAATGTCTACCACTTCGGCTGCACGGCTACCTGGTCAGAGGGACCGCCTTCTGATCTCCCAAAGACTGAAGAGGAAGCGCTTGCTCATATTGATGAGCTTTATCAGTCCGGTGTACCCTTCTTCACCAAGGAGATGATGCGCTCAGCCATGAAAGAGATCCGGCGTCCACTCACCAATAAAGACAAGGTTCACCTAAAAGACATGAACGGTGCGGTGGTGGCGTATCAGATGGACCTTGGAAACATTGAGGAATTCCCCAACTCGGATGACTCTAAGCGTGAACTTGAATATCTACTGTATGTGATATGCTACATTGAAACTCCTATTACAACTGACTCTTCGTCTTACTCTGGGAGACCTATCTACAACCACTGCTAACTTCTACTCTAGCACAAGCGCCGTGATTGAGTACAATTGTCGTGCAGAAATGCGACATTCCATATTCTGGCAAGGTTACGATCCAAAGATACCCTATTTCTGTCCTTTGTCCATCAGCAACAACGCTTCGGTCCGAGACAAAGCTACTAAGGAAATGGTCGCTTTTCCCGCTGCCCTGCCAGACGAGGTCTCAGGCTACTTCAAAGAAGATCTTGACGCATGGAACAAGACGGAGATGTGCTCTAATGTCAAACGGATCCTGAACTCGGCGGCCAAACACCTGGAGATAAAGAAGGTTGTCGCTGTCTCGCTGGATAGTGTGAGCAGATATCGTGAATGGGAACGTGAATGGAAGCAGGAAGGTCGCAATGGATATCAGCACGGTCTAGCTCTTACTCTGCGCGACTGGGTTAAAGAGAAAAACTCTGGTGCCGATGTTCCCTGTTTCTTACAGGATCCGGCCTACCTAGACCCTGATAAGGAGGTTCTGCCTGAATACGGTTTCCAGATTGTCGATGATCCTGAGGCATGGTTGGAGATGGACGATTTCTCCGTTGTGATTTCAATCTCCTCGAATGTTCCTACTAAGGAAATTATTGCGGATCTTGCGCGCCCTGCGGTGGTTATCTGTGACCGAATTGATAATGAGGACTATGACAAGCGATGCGGAGGATCAGTGTAAGAGTTCCTTCCTTAATATCTATTAGAGACTGTTTACTAACTTGATTCTAGGACTGACCCATGCTCCAGTCGGGCCCGGGCCATGATGAAGGGATATGATTGCTTTGAGTTTGGGGCTACTGAGTTTCATTTTGGGGATGTTTTGATGTATGTGCGAAAGCCACAGACTTTGTGTCAGGAGGAGTAGTCGTTCACATCCATGAATCATGTTGCCTAGCTTTACTAAACCTAGCTTTACAAAAAATTGAATTATCCTGATGATTTTCAAGTTGCTCTAGGATTAGTAGTTGTACGTATGCCAGTGCTACTGGCAGTGTGCGGTGGAAGTGTAGGCCAAATACTAGTAGTAGTTCTATAGTAGGGACTCAGAGCTACTATATAAAACCACCATTTGACTGCAAGTGTGAGTGTGAAGCAACTTCAAGTTGAGCATAAACCTTGGAGGTTGGACTCAAAATTGTAAAATTCCCATCATTGTAGATTATTTGCTATATTGAGTAAACTAGTTGTGAAGATGAATTCTATATTGACTCTATTAACCTCCATAATCCTAGTCTTCTGGGTCATATCAGGTTAACTATAACTAATGTGATTCCCAAGCGAGTGGATCACCTCCAAACACCATAGTTAAGGCGATAAACTACAACTTGATATCTCAGAAACCACATTCTTATTTTATTCGATTATTTGTCGATGGCTATTGATAAGGCTTGTGAGCACTCTCAATCACTTTCAAGAAAATCTTAAAGCTATTTTGTCACGATACCGAAAATTACATTGTAATGAGGCACAAATATATCTCTTTTGAACTACCAACAAGTATATTTTCCCTTGACTTTCTAAAGAGGCTAAATATGACCTGATTATTGTCGGGTTAGGAGGAAAAGTATATAAAGAGCGTAGTTGCTGAGATATCAAGTTGTGATTTATCGCCTTAACTATGGTGTTTGGAGGTGATCCACTTGCTTGGGAATCACGTTAACGTGATTTCCAAGCGAGCGGTCCGGCTACTGCCTACCCTACTATTTTAATTATAATTATTAGAACCATAACGCCAATATATTAAATATTTATCTAAATATCACAATGATCTGATCTATATCCTTCTTCTCCACACTTTTTACATGTCGGTAGCTTTCTCCTAGCTCGCTGAGGTGGTAAAACAGGTGCCCTGGGCCGCGGTACGGGAGGGGCAACTGGTGTTTCAACCACCTGTATAGCACGCTGTATAGCTTCCTGGCCCTCTTGAACCGTCATCCCACCCTCATTAGGTATCTGCCTAGTAGACCGCTTGCGCTTCTGCTTCTGCTTCTCATGGGCGGCACGTAATTTGCGTGTTTCAACCTCCAATAAAGCTGTTGAATGCATCTGAATCTCACAGGCCTTAAGAACTTGATCAATTTGCTGTTTGAGTGGACTTGGAGGGCTTCTTGAGCGTTGTTGTAGAAGAGCTTTGATTGAACTAGCTTGCCGTTGAAGCTGGATAAGGTTTTGGGGTGTCTTAGGTGAAAATTGGCTTGATTGACTGGTAGGGCGGCTACCTGGGGGTGTAGGTGTTCGAAGAAGAATATTCAACTTAGAAAGTACTCGATCTGGGTTGAATGGTACTAAACCAGTTGCTGCAAAGCTGTTTTGAATGGTTTGGGTTTAAAAAGCCTCTTTACGAGCGATTGGGTAGGCTTCAAGAAAATCAAATTTATCAACATGGTTAAAACCAAGCCGCATTTGATTCTCAACAAGCCGACCATATGCACACTTAAGAGGTGAAAAACATCCAACATCAAGCGGTTAATGTAAATGTGAAGAATGAGCTGGCATATAAATTGGAATAATATTATTCTCTTTGCAAATCTGGTCAAATTGGGGAGTTAAATGACTCCCATGACCATCGAGAATTAATAGTCGATATTTTCCAAGTGTACGTTCAGTTGTTGCTGGAATAAAGTGTTTTTGAAGCCATCGAAGTCCAATTTCATCAGTTGTCCATCCATTTGGACTATTTCAAATCGCCAGTCAAGTGGAAGGTTCTTAAACCATCCTTCAATCAAAACTTTGCCTTTAAAAATAATCACTGGTGGAAGGGCCCATCCAGATACATTGATTGTTTCAATAGCTGTTACCCATTCACGATTTCCAGGCTGTACAAGTGATCGTCGACCATAATATCGAGAACGAGTAACAACCTTAGCAGTTGCTGTAAGTCCCATTGCAAATCCAGTCTCATCAAAATTATAGATATCCTCTGATAGAATACCATTCTCTTGAATTGTCTGAAAAACAAGATTAAACCATTCTTGAACCACTTTTGGATCCTCCATTTTCGCACGCTCATAATTAGATCGTCGAGAGAAACGAGTAGTAAGCTCTGAATGTCGTTTAACGAAGTTGGTAACCCAATTTTTACCAACAGTTTGAGGGGGGGTCCTGGCCACGCGCTGCGAGTAGAATATTGGCCATTTCTTGGACAGTAGCTGGGCGGGGGGCAGCTCCACGTATATCCATAGAGATCACCCACTGCAGAAGTGAATTCTCTTCGTTTTCATTCAATTTATGGCTATTTGCGCGAGTTTCGGATCGATTAGTATGGCCGGCAAGGCGGCGCCGTAACGTAGAGCGAGGTACATCGAATACACGTGCAACTTCGTGCTCGTTGGTGATATCTTTCTTCCGAATAGCTTCTGTAGCAAGTAAGACTCTTCCCTCTTGTTCGAGAGAATTTCGAGAGGTTTTAGAACGTATTGGTGGCATGGTGGGTGGTTGAAGATGGTAGGACGCGGTCGCGACGCGATTTCTAGTCAGCCGGACCGCTCGCTTGGGCGGACCGCTCGCTTGGGAATCACGTAGCTATTCTGCCTTACCCCTCAGGCATTAATATGCTTTGACCCTTCAACAAGTAGTTAAGAGGTGGGGGACTAAATAACACTTGAGTTCTTGATGCTGTTCTTTTGATCAAGTCCTCATTCTGTATATATGATCGTACTCAAATCCGTAGATAGCCCCCCCATGTTTCCATTTTAATCTTCTTTTTCCTCTCTTTCTACACTTCCCATTATCCGCACCCCACTTTGGGCCATGACGAAGGCGGAAGACACTCGGCCTCAACTCCCCGAGCCCTTCATCTCCCTCGGTCACGCGCCTTTCGTGCAGCCATCCTCGTACCTTCGACCTCCAATGGCCTCCGAGAGACCAATCGATCGGGAAGAGCGTCAAGGCCTGGTGAGTTCTGGAATGGAATTGACTTCCCCGTGCTATCTTATTCTCTCTTTGCCCTGTCATTCCCCCGCACCTCGAATCAGCACACCCGATCTTCGGGAACCGGCTTGCATTTTTTGGTTTTTCTTTTATATATTTATACTAGTATATAAAAAAGATTCCATGGGAACACGATCAGAATCAGCTGGGAACGGGGAATGCCGGAATTGCGATGCTCTCTTACTTGGTGGCGGGTGACCCGCGCGCATCCAGATCTTGACTAACTCAGCGTCAAACAGCGTGCCATTCGCAATTTCCTGAAGGTCCGCACCAGCTACGACGTCCTGCCCCTGAGCTTCCGCCTGATCATCTTTGATACCTCTCTTTCCGTTAAGGAGAGCTTGAATATCCTTATCCAGAATGGCATGTTATGTCCCCACAACTCCCCTAGCCCCGCGATACAAAAAAAAGGGATCCCCATCGGATGTGGAGAACAACACCCCGGCTGACTGCGAGAGTAAATCGGGAAGTACAGGCATCGTCTCAGCCCCGTTGTGGGACTCTAAGGCTTCGAAGTTTGCAGGTCTCCTGACCACGTCCGATTACATCAATGTTATTCAGTATTACTTCCAGAACCCCGCCGCCCTTGACCAGATCGACCAATTCCGACTTGATAGCTTGCGAGGTGCGTTGCGATAGTTGAACTTGCCCCTTCAAAACTGCCCCATATACCTAGAATGAGTCTTTGATACTGATATACAATTCTTTGGGATAGATGTTGAAAAGGCGCTAGGCGTTGCGCCGCCTGAAACCATCTCCATTGACCCCGAACGCCCTCTCTACGAAGCCTGTCGCCGTATGCTCGAATCGCGTGCGCGTCGTATCCCTCTTGTCACCAATGATAGTCAGACCGATCGCTCCCATGTTCTCAGTGTCATCACCCAATACCGTATCCTAAAGTTTGTCGCCGTCAACGTACCCGATACACAAATGCTGCGCCGGCCGCTGGGGGAACTTTTGTTGGGAACGTACAGCAATATTGCGACGGCTTCAATGGATACCCCGGTTATTGATGTCATTCACATTCTGGTTGAGCGCAGTATCTCCAGTGTGCCTATTTTGAATTCTGACGGTATGTGACTTTGGGTCCAAGTTTATAGAATGGTTCTAACGGCCATGCAGGAGTGGTGTACAATGTGTTTGAGTCGGTGGATGTTATTGGATTAATCAGAGGGGGCATCTATGATGATTTAAGTCTTACGGTGGGAGAGGTGTTGAAGAAGCGTTCTCCGGTATGCTACACTGGTGATGAACTCGGCATTGATAGAACCCAGCTAAATGATTTTTTTTTACAGGAATTCCCGGGAATCTACACTTGTTCCCTGAAGGATGGGCTTGATACTATCTTTGATACTATCCGCAAATCACGAGTCCACCGTTTAGTGGTGGTTGATGAACACTTCAAACTCAAGGGTGTTCTCACCCTCAGTGACATCCTCCACTATATCCTTCTTGAGGGTGAAAATGACGAAGTATGATGGAGACTGGCTTCCTTCTACTCTTATACATATGTTTTACCTTGCATGATACCGGCGTTATTTCTCTTGATATTCTATCTTTCTTATTTTCTACTGGCCAGGGGCCAGGATGAGTACACCAGCACTGCTGTGTCCATGGGTACGCATCAACTTATACCATACTAAACTACTTGTTTTTACTTAAAACACGGCCAGACTGTATGTCAGTAATGAATCGAGAAATAGAATAGATTAAGCAATTATATTCATCTCATAATGGTTATGATGTTTTTGATGCCTACGTGGTATATGGAGGCATCCATACCTTCAACTATGCGCCTACGTCCATAAGATCAATCATGATGCTTTACTATTACTATGACCGCCTGGGCATAGATTGCGAAGAGCTTTCTGCCTAGTGACTACTGGGACGCGCTTTCCTTGGTTCGTTGTTTCTCTGTTGTTCTTTCAGACAAGGAAATCACGATTAAGTATGCACAACTTCATTTGTCTTCATCGATCTTAACTTCCACCTTTTATGAACCTGCTCTAATCAGATCTGTTTCATATTCGCTTTTCTTTTGATATTTCATTTGAACAACAAATATGCCTTCCTTTCGAGATTTCTTTAAGTCCAAACCCCGTTCGAAATCCGCACCACCTGCTTCTCGTCATGCCTGGTCTCGGCTACGTCGCTCGCAAGCTGCAGAGGTTCCCTTAACCCATGGGCCTCAACCCACTCCTGAAGATGAAGACGCCCACAGCATGCAGGGTGGACAAGATGGTGCAGGAGACTCGGAAACCCTTCACGGGACTGATGAGCAGGGCAATGATGACGATGGGTCTCCACTGGAAAGACAAGTTTCCACAACACCACAAAGATCTCACCAAAGTCACGCGGGCAGCGACCAATCTCAATCCCAAAATGGATCACAGAGAGAGTCGCAGAGAGAATCGCAGGGAGGGTCTAAGCGGTTTAAAGGCTTTATGGCTCGTTTTCGTTTGAGTCGAACTCAAGACCGAAGCTCTGCATCGGAAGTATTACAGCCTTCCATTCCCATCCCCCAAGATGGTGCCCAGGATTCAGTGACAACAGACCCTGTCAAAAGAGCTTCTTCGCCCCAGCAACCATTGGCTGGTGAACAGGAGGCCGAGACGCATGAACAGAATCGAAACGTGAGTGCGCAGACGGCACAGTCCCAAGATTCCAATATCACTGTTTGTCGGCATCCATCCCAGCGGGTTCCCATGGCAGTTCATGAGTTGCAAGAAGATGTATTTTGGTCCAGCTTGTTGAATTTTGAGAAGGATCCTTCTCCAACACCCATTACTTCATCACCCACTGCTCCATCGCCTCCTGTGGAACCATCGCATCCTGTAGGACCATCGCATCCTGTGGAACCATCAGACCCTTTCTCGGATGGGAAGAACATTGAGCCCCAGCATCACCAGGCCATGCCGTCGTCCAATTATAGTGGCGATCACAGCCAGAGACAATCAGAGGCCTCGGCTCACAGTAAAGTGCAAGGCGAGCCATTGTCCAAATCCGTCAAATCCCGCAGTATTCACATTGCTTCTGATAGTGGCATTAGTACAACACGAGCCAGCTCTGCGAGCAGCCATGGCAGTCGAGCCAGCAGACTTAGTCGAGTGGACCCATCAAAGGCAGCCGCAGCATTCGATGCGCTCGCTACCAAGATGGGCATCTCCCTTTCACTCAGGGAAGATGAGACCCCTGTTACAGTGGTCCAGCCTGCTGAGGATGAGAGTGATAATCAAGCTCGCCGTCGACATCGATTTGGACGTGTGCGCCCAACTCAATCTCATTCTACACTTGCACCGACACATTCGCCTGCTAAACTCCGACGAACCAAGACATTTGCAAGTCTCGCCCATCGATCCAGCCCAATGAGCTCGCTGCGAGGGAGATCTATCGAAGATATTGCCCGTCTTGGTGGACATAGTTTCCTGATCCTCCCGTACTATTTGGCACCTGTGGCCCTGCAGCTGCCCGCATGTATCGTGGCGATGGTGATGTATCTGCGAAAAGGGTTTTCGGGTGCGCCTCCTTACCCACATGTATTTGAAGACCCCGGTGATATTAGAGCAGCTACTCGGTTATACAATCATTTTGCCAGTCAGGTGTTGCTCCCAGAACGTGATGCGCATCGGATCGCGATGACCATGCGGGTGGTTGCTATGCCTCCCCTTGACACCGAATCAAACTCGGCAGCCATCCTTAGCGTGGGCTGGGTGTTCATGCAAATTCTAGGTGGACTTCCAAATGGGATTCTCGGGTCAGTCCGCTTGTTTCGGGTGTTACATGTCATATCTTTGAGAGGGCCGAACCCAGATTCAAATCACATCCGCCTGATCACACTGGCCATAATGGGATTGACCAGTGAGATGCAATGTTCTTTGATCTGTGGAGTCTTGGGCTTTTTCTATCTTCTTCTGCAGAGAACCGAGAGTGCGCAGGAGTCAACCAACCAGAACTCCGGGAATCCGGTCCGGCCGGTGGCAAACTGCATGCCTCTTCAGCTTGGGAGATTGGCACGGGTATTTGCGCCGCTCTTGATCGGCAGACGGGCGGTTAAAAGGTCGGTGGAGGAAGAAATTGAGGAAGAGCGTGTGATGGAGTTTTTATTGGCTCACTGGCCTAAGATTTGTCGTCAGCTGTGGGATTGGACTGCATCTTCTAGAAACAAGAGGGAGCAGGATGAGTGTTAGTTCATGATGGGTTCAAGTTTGTCTATTCTTATTTTAATATAGCATACCAGAGAGATTAGCAATGCCAGAAACTTTTATCCAATCAAGGTATTCTAACATTTCTACTACTAGTAGTAATAGGAGTAGGGCATCTGTACTCGGAGTCTGGTGTATGCTCATACTATGCAGGTGGCAAGTACATGGCAGTGCACAGCAAATAACTATGCATCTTCAAGATACAGGCGTCTAATAGTACAAGCGCTCGTAACTTTTCAAGGTTAGATATTGAGTACTACTTAAAAAGTTATAATATGTGTAGCCTGAGATATAGAATGCCCTGGAATGTAACAGAGAACATACTCTTGTATAGTGACAGGTCTAGACCTTTTTTTTTATGTTTAAAACCGGGGAAAGGTCTCCACTCTATTATTATGGATCTAACTGATCTAACTGGATGGCTTGAGATCCCGTTCATATTGTTTTCTCTGTGATGTCAGTTTAAGATCTTTCTCTGCAATATTATAGTATACAGCTTGAAAGCACTTGAATTTATCCTTGTTAATAGTACATTCCGATTTATTAATTTATTCGGGGAAAAAAACAAGAAACAAACCATGTAGAAGATTTTAATACTGGGATGGACCATGGGCGTTTGTCCACTGTATCACACTCATCCTGTTCCACAATCCCTCTAAGTTGAACTTCAATTCCTTTTATTCATTAATTCCCTTATTCGCTCGGATCTTCTGGACCGTAGGAAGGTCTGTCCGACCGTGGCTCTAACCGGCCGACACCTGGGCCCTTACCCTTCTTCAGGCACCGGCCTGGATTCAATCCGTGGTTCTTCCTTCCCTTTCACTACACTGTCAACCTCAAACCGAGGACACAAGTTCCTGTCTTGACGCTCGAGACTTTGTAGACTTTTTGTGTTGCTTATGCAATTGTCTCTCAGGGCTTAAGCGGGTATATTCTTTGTGTCTGGGGATACAAACAACAACCTTGGACTTTCTTCATCCACCTCCATTACCCCTCAACAACAACTTCAACCACCTTTGCTCTTTCCTTGGTGATAGGAGAATCATTCATTCTAAGCTTTCGAAATCTTGCATACTCAACCCTCCCTTGATATGTCGACTGGGAACGTCAACCCCATTTCGTCTGGGTTACCAATTACAGACCCTCTCAACCCCATCAGCGCATCGCCATTTACAGCGACAAACGCCTTCGCGGGTGAGTTTCTGGGTCTTCCAATCCCTGACGAGGATCAGCTTTGGGGCCTCAGCCCCGTCTCACCAACAATGGGTACGGGCAACTGGGACGCCAAAGCCGATGCAGCAGCCTTTGCCGGTTCCGCACTGGAACGAGATCTGAAAAACGCCCAAGTTCGAAATGGTCAACCCACACCACCACCATATGAGGATCACCTCACGCGCGAATCTGCGGGGTTAGATCTGGATAACGCCCATAAACGCCGACGAGCACGAGAGTACCAAACCGCGGCGGAGAGTCTAAGTCCGGATCTAGACGACGCATCACCTCACCAGGAACGAGCCAAGCGAGCGAAATTCCTTGAACGAAACCGAGTTGCCGCGAGCAAGTGTCGACAGAAGAAAAAGGAGCATACGCAGCAGCTTGAGTCTCGGTACAAACAGCAATCAGAGAAAAAGGAGCAGCTAGTTTGCGAAATCGCGAAGCTTCGCTCCGAGATCTTGAGTTTGAAGAATGAGGTGCTGAAACATGCTCAGTGTGGAGATGAACCCATCAAACTACATCTTGCGCAAATGGTGAAGAAGATTACCGATACGGATGGTCCACCCCCAGCAACGACGACGACAACTGCGGTCGCTATGGATTCGCATATCGATGTTATGGAGACTGCGCCCTCACCCGATGTCGTGCCTACTCCTACGCCTGTCACGGCTGCTATGAATACATCTACACTCCCGCCTCAACTTCCGCCCCAATCCACGGCGTTGTCATTTGGGTTCGATGATTCACTACAATTGGAGCCTGCGGCGGCGGCAGCTGCTGCAGATGTGTTTGAGCAGCAGCTTCGACGTGATTCCGAAACATCCTTGGTGACGGAATCATCATACGCTTTTTCAGCGGACGATACATTTGATGACCTGATCAATGTCTGATACCTGGGTGTTACTTATTTTGATTTTATGCTTTTGGTGAGAAAAAAAAACGGCGTCAGCTTCTCATTTTTTACGGTTGAATTTCCTCCGGTGAGGATCAGCGGGTATGTTAGCAATGGCGTTATACATGGCTTCTGTTAGCTTTGGCAAAAGAACTTGGTCAGATTTTAATTTGCAGACCTTTTTTCATTCGTGATCTCACTACTCCTACTCCTACCTCTACCCCTACACCTACCTCTACCTATTTCTTTCATTGTTTTATGTTTTTGTACTCGATTACCTCAAATCCAGTCTCCAACGGAAAAGACTGGAGGGTGTCTGGCGTTTCATTTTTCTTCCAAGGTTATCTCAAGGCTGATATTGGCATTGACGGGCAACGAAAAATGCTCCGTCCATGGAATTGGGATACTATTAGTCCACAGCTTGATTCCCAATTTCTTTTAGCTTCTTCCATCACGGTCGTTGACTATATTCAATCTCCGTGGCATGTTCTTTGCTTTATACGCTCGTACAATATGAACTGTCATTGAAGAGTGTATGCTTTCATTCGCTGGATGATGGAGCTTGATTCATGTCTTCTTTACCATTCTCTCTCCATGGATAGGTTCTCCTGCTTAATGGAATGCCCAGGTGACCGCAGTGGGAAGTTTAAGTTCAAGTTGTTCAAGGGATCAGAGAACAAAGTCAAGATACTCAAATGCTATCTGCGTGTGTCTTTAATCTATAGTTTACATTAAAGTGGTATTTTTAGTAGGTGACGTTATGCTACGATATAAGGCTTTTAGAGCAAGAAATCGCAAGTGCTTTATACAAAATGTGGAATTTCATTATCTCATTCAAATCATGCTGTCATGTAGTAGCTGCAATGAGTACTGAAAATTCTTTAAAATCCTTTCAAATAGACTGAGTATCTTGATGAAGCCTAGTTCATAAAGCGGCTTTCATGCAATTTATCAGTTAAAGTCAGAAGCCCCACTGATAGTATCTTTCAAAGGAAGTTTCCTCGAAGAAGCACCAACGTAGACAGTCTTCTCATAATCCGAGATAACCCAGTCCTGCGAGACGGCATCCCAGTTTGAAAGATCTCTGCGCGTAAGATCAACTGTAAAAGTAGCAGACTGGCCCGGTGCAATGCTCAGTCTTTCAAAGCCACGGAGCTGTCTAACTGCGTCGTTGGGTCCGCCCAGTCCCACATACAGCTGTGCAACTTCATCTCCTGTAATTTTACCAATGTTGGTAACCTTTGCTGTGACTGTGTACAAAACATCCCACAGCATGGGGTTTCCACCTGGTGCACCGCTGGAAGGAAGGAGTGGTTGTGCTGAGCCATCCTGAGCGCCTGCTGGAATAGATCCGGAGGCACCGTAGTCAGGTTCATCTGCTGAGGTCTCAAGAGATGTGGAGTTCAGGTAGGGGTAGATGAAGTAGGGAACGCGGCTGATGTTGTCAGGGAAGGTATAATCCGAGGTGTCATTGGAGACCTGGCCTAGGTTTGGCGCAGGGATTGTTTTACCGATTGTAGGAGTGTATTTCCCAGCGTTGTGCTTAACGATCTGAATGTCTGAGTAGCTGAATGTGGTGTAGCTAATACCGTAGCCGAATTCATACAATGGGGTTACGCCTCCCTTGTCGAAAGCGCGGTAGTCGATGAATGAACCCTCGGTGAAATCCAGCTGCGGAGCACTTTCGCCACAGTTCGGCTTATACAGAATATCTGTTCCGTAGTTTTCGCGCGAATATCCCACTGTGAAGGGTAGTTTGCCACCGAAGTTAACCTTGCCATAGAGAACGTCCACAATGGAGTTCCCGGACTCTTCTCCTGGGACACCAGCCCAGACAATTGCAGTCACATTGGGATTGTCGACGAAGCTGTCCATGAGGACTGGTCCAACACTGTGGATCACAACGATGGTGTTGTTGCACTGGGAACTGACAGTTTGAATCAAAGTATCTGCGTCATGCCAGAGCGTCAAGTTGTTGCGATCACCAATGTTCCCGTCCACGCTAATGTATCCCTCACCACTGTCGGAGTTTGCGAATACAATAGCAACGGATGACTGACCAGCAACAGACTCGGCCTCAGAATAGGCATAGTCATCGTAAACACCCTGGAAGATACCCACGCCTTGGTTATAGATCTCGTTCTCAATGGCAAACCCGGGAGTGATTAGATATGGGAAATTGGCAGTTCCACTTCCCCATGCGCAGCCCAATGTTCCCATGTCACATCCGCGATCGGAACACCCATTGGGTCCGTATGCGTTGGCACCAGCATCAGATCCAAATACTCCAGTGAACTTTTCCTTCCCTGTTAAGGGTAGAGCACCCTCGTTCTTAAGCAGGACTGCACTGGCAGCGCCAATCTCACGGATCAAAGCACCATGGTTATTTCGCACATCCACATGCTCGTTAATCACTCCGTACCCTTCGTTTGCATAGTAGTGCTCATAGCCATATGTATCTAGGGTCCAGGAATCAAAGTTGATGGGAATGTAGTTGGTTTCCGCTCCGACGTAATACCAAGCTGCCATAATGCGAACAGCCATATCGTCAACTCGCCATTGGGGCACGGTACCGTTGAGTACGGCGACCGTCAAGTTGCTCCCCCAGTACGAAGTTGCTGAATCGAATGCAATATCACCAGGCATGGTCATATCTAGACCAGCCAAGGCACTGGCAACACCAGACATCTGAGCACTCCAGTCACTCATGACGAATCCTTGGAATCCTAGCTCTGCTTTCAAAAGCTTGTTCAGAACATAGCTATTTTGGCAGGCATAGCTGTTGTTTATCTGGTTGTAAGAGCACATCACAGAGCCCATTCCAGCACGAACACCATCCATCCATGGCCTTCAATTTTTCGGTCAGCCAATATTTCTCAAAAGGGGTATGAGCTAAGAATATCACTCACCAAAGATAAAGCTCATGCATTGTGACATCATCCAAGTTGGCACTATAGCTTTGGTTGACCTGGTAAAGAAAACCATCTCCAGAGCTACGGAAGTGCTCCTGCTCATAAGCAATAAAGTGCTTTCCGCATGCGATAACATTCTGGGACTGGATACCAGCGATACTCTCGGCAAAGAGTACCCCAGAGAGTACTGGGTCAGGCGCAAAACCTTCCCAGTTTCTTCCACCTTCAGGAGAACGACCCAAAGGACCAGTCACTGGTCCGAGCTGAACATTACTTCCTTTGTGTTTGTGTTCGTAACCCATTCCCTGTCCACGTGCGTACGCCAGGCCTCGATCCCATGTTGCTGCGACATTGACACCCATGGGGAATACGGAGTTGTAATCAGCTACAGGACACTGTCAGCTATTACAAGAAGAGGTAGTAGATTTAGAAAAAGTTGAAGGACGATTCATACTATCTCGGACACCCACCGGGGAATCCTGCATACACATGCTAGGAATTCCAAGCCGAGGGACAGCGCCATTTTGACCAACGCAGCGTTCAAGTTCCCAGCTAGAAAGTTCAAATTAGAATCAATTGGAGGGGATACATTGTTCAAATAGACCTACCCGACACCGGTTGTAAGATTCACCTTCTCTAAAAGGGTCATCTGGCTGACGATTGACTTGGCCTTGGCATATGCTGTCTCCCAATCGCCTAATCCTTCAGCCCATGGTGAGGGGTACCAAGGTGGAGAGGTTTGATTCGATTTGGAGCCTGCAGCGACCACGGGGTTGTTTGTATCGGTAGCATTTGAATAAACTGAATCCGGCCACTGTGATAATTTAAAGTCAGTATATGTGCTACAATGCCTTGAGTGTTTCATTTTTCTCGACTCACTGGTGCCGTTGTGTTACCCTTATCTAGGGGATTTGACGTATCACTTGCCCCGTGCACTAAAGGCACGGTGAGAAGAAGAGCAGCTCCCAGTTGGTACCACATGATGTTAGTCTGTGGGGACTGAGTGACTGTGAGATTGAAGGTCGTCGTCAACTAGGTAAAAGAAGAAAAGAGAGAAGAAGAAAAAAAAGTCAATCAGTGCCTATTTAGCTAGGTTGAAATTTAGTGAGTAGGGAAATGCAAAGCTCTGCGCATCTTGCGTACAATCCCGGTCACTCTTTCCCTGTTAAGTTCAATAGACCAATGACACTAAAGACTCGACCCTAATGGTTCCCAACAAAGGAGTTGGATATCGCCGAGTTTACCGATAAATTTGCCTAGTTTGATTTAGGCTGTTTGTGCTGTGCCGTAAGATGCGGGGTTGTTAAGACACAATCCTACCTCTCCAAGCTACCCTGCCGTAAGCAGTAGAGTAGGGATGAATTCAGGGTCATGTCAGCAAACAAATCATTGCCGATAATTATCCGTAGGATGGAGATCAATTAACAATCAATATGATAAGCTTCAACTGTTGGAGCCAGCAGATCCTCTCGATCCGCTATAATGATGGCAGATTTAAGTGAATCTTGTACATTAGTTTCTTTGGTTTCTTTAGTTTGCACATTAGTTCAGTTTCCCGCTACAAACAAGGTTTGGGGCCCCGGAAAGAGGCTTAATCTGGTTAAGCTCCTTATTATGCGGGGAAACCCCTTCAAGTCACATTGGTTTTGTCTTGTTGATGATCCAATACAAGATGTACATTTCTCGTTTAATTTACCCCATTTTACTATGCACTGCATGAGCTTGGTAAATGTCTTATGAGCTGTCCCTTGAAAGGCCCTTGAAAGGGGTAAATAATCATCCCCTTTTCCGGCTTCCTTTTTCGGCAGCGGTGAAAAGATACACCTGCTATTGTTTACCAAGTCACATATCAGAGTTGAAAAAAATGGTGTGGAAAGTAAGCCATGGAGTTTGTCTTCTCAATAAATGAGTATGGTTGGATATAACAGAGATCAGATCAATTGAAAGCCAAGTGAAAGCTAGATCCACACCCAAAGCTTGGCTGAAGCTTAGTACCTCGTACTCACTAAGCTCCATACATGGAGTCGCAGAATCTTAAGCATTTTACATAATTCTGGTGGGAATTTTTCACATTGCTTGAAGATATCTCTAGATTTTTCGGTCTAGAAGTCAAGCTAATTCATAAGTGCAGATTTAACTACATGTTCCTTTCCCACTCTTTGATGTATTAGACCAACTACACCAGTGGCCAGTCTTCCTGCACTGTTGAAGTAGTATTGTTAGAAAGTTTCTGCAAAGCAATTCCTGATCCGACTCACAATGTGCTCTTGTCCGCATCTTGTCCATAAAAGCTTCCCACGCTCATCACAAAAGTTGCATCGCTGTTTGCCAGCGGAGCAATACTAGAATATCATGTTAATTATTATGGCCAGAAACTTGGAAATACAAGTGGCTCTCTCGGTTCTTTTCCCCTATTCATTTGGACGACTTAAAATATTTGAACTCACGCCTTGGTAAATCTTCTCAGAGGAGGTCTTGTCCATAAGGGGCTGGGCCTCTGTAGCCTCAATTCCCTCGAGGATGGCGGGGTCGGCGGCTTTAGCAATACCCATTGCTCGTTTACACTTATCTAGGAAATGTGAGATCTATCATATTTGGGAGTTTTGGAGTTGAACTTGCCTTCGATGCCTAGCTCCCCTTGGGGAAGAGCCATGGCCATGGCAGCCTGAAAGGTAACGATGTAGAGCAGACTTTGACAGAACAACATTTTGTCTTATTATTCTTGTGGTAAAATTTTGGTTTATCCTTGTAGATTGAGGTCTTTCATCGGGCTTGGGGAGGTCTTTATAGGTAGTTTATGATCGGCCTGGAATTAGATACTCGGGCTTCTCTCTACCCAGTCTCCTGTCGAATAGGTTGGACAATGTTCCATTTTGTAAGTCACTCAAATTCTACAAGTCAAAGTGACCTCACCATGAAACCTCCCGTACATCTAAGCTTTGGTCTTAGTTCAATCTGCTTAACTATACCGATTCTCGGTCTCAGTTACGCGATTCTATTTGTCAGAGTAACTATCTGGCAGGCTATGAGCAGGCCGAACTAGTGATGATTATTACTCCGAGCTCATCAGATTCTTAGCTTTTGATCCGTTCAGGGTAACTTCATATGAATTTCTCTGTGTAAGGTCCTCGGTGTTTTGAGAAGCCTTCAGGGACGTTCTACCTGAGCTTGACACGCGCGATCAAATATTGAACAGTTCGAATTTCATCAATGAATAATGACCGCTCTGAGTTTACTACTGTAGTAGACATTGCAATATCTATAGATTCTGGGGCTCCATTAAGATGAGGATGTAACACATAGCCCTACAATAGCATCATGTGAAAGCATTCATTGTGTCTATGAAGCGGCAGCTCGCTCAATCTTCATTGCCGTTTCCGCATGCTCTTGGATAATTCAAGGTTTTTGAAATTTTCCTTGCCAAGTCTCTTTGAAAAGAAAGTACCAGCTGCTTTTCAATTGATAAGACTCTTGACCAATTTGATAGATAAGCCCATCAGTGCCGAGGTAGCCAGCCCGAGGAGGCTTCATAATCTATGGGGTAGCAAATTGCTTCAGAAATGTTTGAGGCAATTTCACGTCCTATTATCTTCGGTTTTTCATACTAGTACATATAACGAGAATTCTACATATGACCAAATCTCTGCCTTGTCTTTGGTCTATATTTGGGGCTTTTATCTGGTTCTCTTTCATCCAATGACTTCCTTCAAGTTCAGATGAGGCATGTCACCCGTGAGCCATCAATGATCAATTGATGAACCGGTTATCTCAAAGCTATGTCAGGTATCAGACTATACTTTAAAGCTTTTATTCGACATGAAATTCTATAAGGACCGGTCATCAACTTGATTCTAGAGGGAAAGAGCACAACTCTAGCAAAAAAAAGTGGCAAATCTCGGTTCTTTGTTGACATGATCATTTCGATTTGAATGGAAGCTAAACATTTGAAGCGTGGGATGAGCTATTTTCTATCGGGTGATCTTATTGAGTTAGCTCAATATCTCTTTCAAATGTTACTCCATGTAAGATAAATTAGTCAAAGTTATCGAATTCCAATGTTGACATTGATAGATCAATAAAACATTTAAATTTATCTTGAGAGGGCCATTGGACAATTTCAAGTTCCTTTTTTTCTGTCTTTATGTCAACCTTGACTAACCTTACAAGAAAGAAGACTACCGCTACCTCTGTTAGTGGTCCGAGCTTCAAATTTTCTCATTCATGGGTGAAATTTGGAGGGAAATACATGTATACATAGTAGTATGTGGAGAAAATACATCCCATTGACAAATAATGCTTTGGAATCTTTGCTGCCAGCCCTGGATTGTGTAAAGATTTGAAGACTGACACCACATGCACAATTCTGGAGGTCTACAACTTCAATGATCAGGTTGAAACTTCTATTTTTGTTAGTACCTGGGAAGTTTTCCTTCAAGTTAAAGTTGTGCAAATATTTCCTTTGAAAGCTGACATTCAAATATTTCTTTGGGTTAGTGGCTCTATAGCAAAGTCATTCAAATTTTTATTCAGATGTTTCAGCCCATCTACCTCCAGGGCTAGGGCTACCAAGCGCATGCTACCTGTCGATGCTCTTTTTTGTCCAGCATTCAACTGGAAGTTTCGAGTTATACATGTATTTACTAGGTATGCCTTTCATGCTATGTCCTCCGTGGATTTTGAGTCCCACGGTTGAGCTGCTTCGAGTTTTATTTCATTGTCCTTTAATTTGACAACTTGTAGCAACTTGAACTTGATAGCATTTCGTTATGTTCTTGAGGTCTTTCAAGCCATGAATAGGATAACAAGGAGGCAGGTTAAAGGATTCCACTCGTGATTGAATAGAGTCCAATTCGGAAGAACTTGAAGCAATACTATGTATATAAAGACCTCAGAGCTGGCACGTATTATTGAATACTACTATCTATCCACACTCTGTTTCTCCATTTAAATCCCAAGATTTCCAGATCGAAACTTGAAGGCATCATCTTCATTCACACCGTGACTCTGATATTTTGAATTTATACTACCCACATACAAAAGGGGATTTGGATCTCAAAGTCCTCAATATTTGAATACTACATAGACGTGCCCTTGAATATCCGGAGCTGGTTTATTGAGAACTTGAATCATTGAAGATGCCAGTGCAACAGTTCTTACGTGACGTTAGTGATCGAGTTAGGAATCGAGGTACCAGGGATAGCCCTCCGCGTGAACGAGAGGAAGGTCAGGGGAGAAGTCGTCCAACTGGAAGGTGAAGTTCGCAAAACATAATAAGACCCGTTGCCAAGCTGTGAAGAAAAATCGCAATGCAGCAGAAAGACAAAGACGAGCGAATGAAGCTGCACAGGCTGAAATAGTAAGACGATTGAATGCGGCTTCACAAGCTGAAAATGCCAGATTCAAGGCCACCCGCGTAACTCAGGCTCAACTTGATGAAGTAGTAGCGGCTCGCTGGAAGGCTGTAAGCGGAAGAGCAGTGGCTGAGGCTCAGGGGCATGATGCAGCTAATCAGGGCCAAGGTAAATACTACATATCCATATACTCCAGCTTGACCTCGGAGTGATAAATCACTTATAAAATAGCCCAAATTTTCGATTCGTTCAACATTATTGACTAAATTTTGTTTTTCACAGCACTGGATGATATATGGAATTTCGCTGCTCGAGATCTAGATAAAACGGAGCCCGGTCACCCCCTTAAACCAACTACTTCTGCAGATCCAAATGAAGAAGTGTCTGCTGAATCAGGTCAGTCTGGTGAGGGTCAAGGTAGTCAAGCTCCCTCCTTAACACCGTCTAAAACTGGAGCCTTGATCCAGCGAATCGAGGGTCGGGGAATTCAACGACAAGGGTGGATTGAAAACCCAGATGCTCTGAACTGTCCTATTGGTAGAACAACTATGAGCATCGGAGATTTGGAAACTCAAGACATCCACATGGTGAGTGAGCCAGCGCCTGTAGATTTACTGAGATCCATAAAGAACTTGAAAATCCAAGAAAGTGTCGAGATTAACAATCTCCCCGCTATTCCTACAAGCGACCAGCCTCCAGCTCCAACTCAATATTGGCATTATAATCTGTTCAATCATGTGGGGTTGATATACAATGCTTATGTAGGACAAGGAGCAATATTTATGAATGAGATTTTGAGAGATTGGCGTGTAGGGGAGGCAACTTTGCCTCTCATCTCGGAGCTTGCCCATGCTTCATATACTAACCATCATGCGACTAATACTCTTTGCGTCATCGCATTTGAGGATGTTATCAATGCAGAAACTATACATTTTCTGAGGTACTCTTTGTACACAGAGTCAAATGGGCTTAATTTTCCTGGGCCAAAATACGGTGGGCAATATATGAGTGAGCAATATAGAAGACGTGAGTGGGGACGCGGCACTGCACAATATAATGTTTTGCTGGGTACGCCGATTGGTAATGTTGCAACAGCTATTATGTTGAATTTCTTTGATCGGGGGACTCACCGAATAGCATCTATTATCACTTGTGCAGAGTATCACATTGAATTTTGTATTGAGCAAATTCCATAGCCCTTTAATAGTGTCATTTGACCTCCAGGGCTTGGATAAGTGCCAGTGAAGGCACCAGTTGACGCACTTAAAACATTTGAATGATTCAACTTGACGTTCAAAGCTAGTGCTACTCCTAGGTAGCCAGGGAATGATTTTGCTTATTTCAAGTTGTATTTCAAGCTCGGGAACTAGTAGTGACCTCCGAGTCCGATGCAGGAGTACCAGTGAGTTTTAGAGTCGGATGTTTCATTTTGGTTTTTTGGCAAATAGATATTTCAAGATTGTGATATAAGTATCTCCAATGGTTATTCAGTTTCTGCTCATTTTTAAATCCTGGCATTCCAAGATTGTCAGTTGGAGTAAAGTAAATAGAAACCGACGATTATACTACTTACCACCACCACAACCTCCAGGGCTGGAATATGGCCTGCAGTCATTGAATGCCAGTGGGGTCGAGGCTTCAAGATTAGGTAGAGATAGATCCTCATATATACAGTTCTTCGCCATATAACTGTTATTTTGAGCTGTGAAGTAGAAAAGCCCAGTCCTAAAGCCCACGCCCACGCTTTTTGAATTTGCCAGAAGAAAAACCATTCAACATCTTGGAAAGGAGCCGCTCCCATATTGCAGAAAGAGCCCTCTAAGACTGCTAACCATAATTAAAAACGCCGTAATAATGAGTCTCACATGGTATCATAAATGATCACAACAGATCAAATCGGAATGAAAAAGTCGGAAAATATCTCTCGTCGCACACACCGTGAGTCCGCCCAAGTACGTGATGCATCTTGTCGTCGAGTCATTTCCTCCAATAATAAAAGAACCTTATCGGCAGAGGGATGTCGGGTAAGCAAAGTAGACGGTTCATTCTCACGAGCAGATGCCATCCGCTGCATCTCCTGGACAACCCATTGACGTTGTTCTTGAGATCCTTCCAAGCCAGCAATGAATAATGGCCAGAGAAAACTGACTGGGAGATGCTCCTGTTCAGCTCCTGCTGATTCAACGGTAGCCAACTGAATAATTTGGTTCACAGCACCATTGACCCGGTCAGTACGGGGATAAATGGCAAATGCAACGCGATGTAAATAGATAAAATTGGCCAAAAAGCTGGCTACATATTGGCGGAATGTGCGGCAGACTTCCAGGGCTACAGGTGCACAGAGTGTATCTGTCAATGCCTCTGGGTGTCCGTATACATCGATCACCGAGGGCCTGCGATGCCAGAGTGTTTCAAGATCTGCGCCAACTTTGTGGGCAATCTGAAGGACCTCGAATTCATCGCTGAGAGTCCCACGGCTGCGGTGGTGGAGATCGATGGAAACGATACGTCGGACAACCTGTTGCGCCTGTACGAAGAACTGAAACGCTGGACCGACAATCGCTTCGTAGACCAGAAAGCTTGGACTGCGGAAACTATTTTCAGCATCGTCGTCCTCTTTTTGTTCCTCAGCTGGTGATGTACGGGAAGCATGTAATCCTAGCACCTGAAGTGACTTTGGACGTGACCCTTGATCAGAGATATTTCCTAGTTCAATCAACGGGTCACCCTCACGGCCTGCGATTAAGGATTTCACATCCAAGAGCGATATCCAAGACACTGTGAGTTTCCCAAGTCCCTTCCAGTTCCTTGTGCGGTTATCAAATCGCTGCAGTAAAAGGTATGCGGAGTGTAGGTAGGATGTGCCTGGGGCGCATAATTCAGGGGATGAGAAAAGCTTTATAAAAATCATCAGTCACGTTCATAGTCAAATGTTAAGTAGCAGAAATAGATTCCACCCACCTCAGACAGCATCAAGAAGAAAACAGCAGCAAAGACTTTGACCAAAGTTGACTCATTCACGTCCCCAAGAAGACATGATTGAATCTCTGCGCTAGCTACTCGATAATATGTAGGCGCCCAGCGCCATCGTTTTCCTCCAGTGGTAACAGTCTTATGAATATCTGAATAGCAGTACAACGCATTCAAAAGTGGGCTGAAATCTCGTCCATACGCTAGCACAGCAGGTCGTACATATTTCCACTCCATGGATACCGGCGCAAATACACCGGCTGGCGGATCTGCCACCAAGAAATGTTGTAGCAGCTGCTCTTCATATGAAGTAGTGCCAGGGTCGGACCAGCTACCCCGTGTGGTACCCACATCTGAAGCGCTCCCAATAGACATTCCGTCTACCATTGATGACGATGCATCTGGGCTGAGCGGCGATGTTCTCTCTGTATGAAGCTGTCCTTCCTCTGAAGTGCCTTCCCTAGTACCTGCTGGTAGCGTTTGGGATGCTGGACTTCCTGTGAATCCCGCCAATCCACTCGTCAGATCAAGATGTTTTTGTTCCAACTCCGAGGTGATTCCTCCCATAAATCCCAGCATATCGAATGGTCCCCCAAGTTCCGGGTATGGATCTGATTCTGTGGGCAGTCTTTGTGTAGGTGGTGCTGGCGCGGGAATAGTTCGATGACGATCGTCCGAGCGAAGCACCGTATTGAAGAAAGTTAAGTCTGGAGAGCGCTGCGAGTCACCCGCAGCTGCCACAACAGCAGCAACGGCTGCAGCGGACGGCGCCGATACTTGGATGGTGCTAACGGCTGGCGATGGAGAAGTCTGGGGAGCGAAATGCGCCGCAGAGGGGGAGTGGTTGGATTGGCGCGGAGAGGAAGCCCACGAGTCACCGAGGGCGATGGGAGGTTTATAAACGCAGCCTAATCGTAAGCGATCGCAGTTTGCACAGCTCGGTTTTGTTTCGTCGCAGCGCACTTTACGAGCTCTGCATGTCAAGCAGCCCGTTCGACGGCGTGGGCCTGACCTACCAGCTCCCCGAGCTTTGGGAACCTGTGAACCCAGCGCCTGCGTTTGTCGAGCACGGCTTGAGGTTCTAGATGTATGTCGATGAGACGGTATCTCCATGATGAGACAGAGAGTCTCCGAGGAAGTAGGGGCATAATTCAACAGGATTTAGTTCATTAGAAATCAAGTCGTGGGCGCTTTCCCCGCAATAAAGGTTCCACGGGGGGCGAGTCGCGATAGTGGGCGAGATGACGAGCTCGGGCTAACTCCGCCAACAATCGAACCACATAGCGGAGCAAAGGTATTTCTTTCTTCAAATCGTGATTAACCTCATATGTACTAGAATGAAAAAAAATTCTGGATATGCAGACGCTCAGACTCTCCCACGTGGATGATCGCCCTATATGTGCTAGCATGTACGAAGTACTGCGGTACCGTGCCTGGTGCCTGGATTGTGTTTCGCTTTACTGCAACACCAAGGATTGGCTTGTTTATGAATTTAACCATTTGAATTTACTTATTTTGAATAACTTAGGCTACGGATCCAATACGCGCATATCCTACTGCATGTGGCTTATCACCTCCTAGGCATCGCGATCGGTGCAGTAAATGTCCTCGCTCCTTGCGCACATATGCAGCGAAGCAAGCAGCGGCCACGGCCACGGCTCCAGCGCTGATCATCACAGGATACTTGAACTGTTCGGGTGATGACCATACAATGGTAGATGCGAACGAAAGCATTTCGAAGATATTCTGTAGTGCCATCTCTGTCGAGGAGAATCTTGCACGGGCGTGCTCTTCCACATTCTAGAAATCATAGATCAGCACAGTACACAACCATATTAACACACGTATTAGAAGAAATGTAGTCACTTACTTCTTGCACCAGAAACTGGGCAGATAAATCGAAGCCCCAAAGTCCAATCCGACTTAAAGCAACACCGACAATCAAGCTGCCTGCAACTATTTGAGAGTTCGAATCCCACAGGGCAAATGTGAGGGCTGCGCCAGCAACACAGCAGAATTGCCAGTTCAAAAACCAAAGGCCCGATCGGATGGGTCCAATACGATTCATAATCAGAGGCGCAATCCATGTACCTGAAACCTCAGCTGCCACAGATCCAATGCGCATACAACTGACTTGCAGGGAATCAAATCCACTGTGTAGCAGATAGGTCATCATAGTCGCGCCAAATGAGAGCACAGTCATATAAAGTAAGCTCAGTGCAAAGGATGGCAAAAAGACTCGGCTTGAAACGTATTCTTTCCACGGTGTCATACTTCCACGCAGATAATTCAAGACTCTCTCGGGAGATTCGCTGGGAGCTTGCAATGTTTCATCGGTTTCCTCATTTCGTCGAGCGGGTGTTGCTTTTTTCAAGGCCGGAACCGCTTGGTATACCTGGGCGATTGCGATATACTCAATTAGCACAGATGCAACATTGAGGCCCAGTACTGTCCAGATGGCAACTTTGGTAGAGAAACTATCAACCAGAGATATGAAAACTGGTGCAATCAGCTTGCAGAAGAGATCGATTCGTCTCATTGAGGCATTTAAGTCTGTGTTTGAAATTGTTAGAAACGATCAATCTGGAAATGTGAAATATGCATTTACCTTGCCGAGGCATCTTGATGCTATCTGAAATCACAATCGCCTATATTCAAGTCAGAACGAGATAACTTGACAAAAATTCGGTTCTACATACCCAATCACGCTCAACCGCTACGGTATTCGCAGTTGCTGCCAGCTTTTCAATGCAAGCAAGGAAAATCACTGCAACGAACAATACCGACATAGCTGACTCATTCTTGGTGACCGAAAAGGCTCCAAAGCACAAACATGACGCCGCAACAGGTACTCGTTGCCACACTAATAGATATCGTCCATGTCAGTCTGTGTAGGCAATCATCTCCGGCCCACCCATAGCAAAACATGCTCAACGTACCAATTGAATGTCTGAGAGCCACTAGTCGGTCTGATTTGTCGACTCGACTACCCAGCCATGACGATAAGAGTATAGGCGAGAGTGCGCGGACAAGTGCATATATGGAGGCATAGAGGAGAGTGCCTGGGAAGATGGATGCCAGGAACAACACAGCCCCGAATTCAAACATGCGTGAGTTCCATGCTGATAGCATATGAGAAGTATACAGCCGATACAGTACTGCTCGGGCTTCCGGAGCAGGGCTGTTAGGTGTTGGTTCTGGTGCTAGTGCCGGTACGTTGGATGTTACCGGCAACAAGTTGTCGGAATCACTGGCCTCTAAGGGCCTCCGATCAGAAGTCGTATCACCCATTGATATTGATCATAACAAGCTGCTTGTAAATATTCAAACGATTATAGGCCATCAATTTGAATATTTATAAGTACCAGTGGGGAGGATTTTCGCGGGAGTAAAGAATTGGGAGTGGGCTGATTCTCGGGACCTTGGGGGCGCTTAAGAGCTTATTTTCCCCTATTAACTCACGCACGTGCGCCATTGTTCAACATTGAAATTTTATATCGAATTTCAATGTTTCAACTTCAAATTGAATGTTCAATTCATGTTTATACAAAGGAATTTGACTTAAATGAACATGAGTTTTCTTCTCAATTTGAAGTAAATAATATTGAAGATGAAAATGAAAGATCATGCAAACTTAATGTAACAATATCCAGAAGCCGGGGTAAAACTATCTAATACATACAAATGAACAAGCTAGATCTCCTGTCCAAGGCCAACCAAGGGGAAATTACAGAAGACTTTATAATTTATCGCCATTCCAAGCCGTTCTGGCCTGGGGTTGTTCGTCGGGCCAACACCTCAGAAACCTTCTCGGCCACACCCTCCTTCTGGCCTGACTTCTCAACAAAGTGTTGAATCGTCTCACGGGCACTTCTGCTCTGACGGCCAAACTTCTCAATCTCGGCTTCACTGGGAAGAGCAAAGCGCTCGTGGGGGTATCGGTTGTAGTCTCCCTCGCTCAACAGCTTGAGACCATCCTGGTTCTCGGGGGTGGCGAAGAAACCATCAACGGTCTCCTGTGAGACCTCCTGGAGAGTAGCGGGCTGCCACTCGGCCTGGCGAGCGGGCTTAGAGATCAAACGGGCCTTGACACCTTCCACGAAATCTGGGTGGCGCATGAAGTTACCAGCAATATCGTACTCACGCTTGAAAGTCTCGGAGATACCCCACTTCTTTCCAAGGCGCAGCTGACGCAAAGTCACCTTGAGAGATGTTGGTGAACGGGTTGAAAGTGTCTCGAGAGTCTTCTGTGCCCACTCCTTCTGCTCTTGTTCAGCTTCCAGCGCCGCAATAATCTCCTCGACCTGGTTAAACTTGAAGCAACGATCGATAGCGTTACGCAGTTCACCAGCGAGGAGCATGGGCTCCTCTTGAAGAGAAGGAAGACCAAGAGAGAACTCGGCCATGGTCTTGTTGACAGCGTCCAGGCGTCCAGGAAGGTCAAGGTTATCGGGGAAAACCAGCTCTGAGAGACGCTGAGTCACGTTGCTCAGAACACTGGAGTGAAGGAAGTGGGTGGCAATACCAGCATACAGAGCTTGCACACCATTCAGGCGCTCTGAGGTCAAAGCCAGATAGGTACCAGTCTCGCCGTCCAAACGGGGAAGGAAGAACGAGCCACCAACATCAGGGAAGAAACCAATGGTGGTTTCCGGCATAGCAAAAACGGTCTTCTCAGTCGCAATTCGGAAAGGAGCGTGCATGCTCAGGCCAACACCACCGCCCATGGTGATTCCGTCCATGAAAGAGATAACGGGCTTGGAGTATGTAGCAATGGAGTGGTCGAGGCTGTATTCGAGGCCGAAGAAATCCGTTGACGCGCGCTGTCCCTCCTCTCCCTGCTCATTCTGAAGCGCCAATGCCGCAACATCACCTCCTGCACAGAGTGCTTTGGAGCCGGCGCCGGAGATGAGAACGATGTTTGCCAGGTGAGACTTCTCCCATTCCTGTAATTTGGCGAATCTTTTAGTATATCTTCCATGTACCAGTATTTCGTCTCGGAACTAACCTTCAAGCGAGGGAAGATCTTGCGGGCCATAGAACCATTAAGGGAGTTAAGCTTCTTGGGTCGGTTAAGCTCAATGCTTCGAAGGCCGTAGAGGGTGTTGAACAAAACATCGTCGGGCTCGTCTCCGGGGAGTTCTTTGGGGATTGGTACTGATGTTGATATCTATATTGAGTCAGCAACTAATTTCGAAGCTTGTTCACAGGAGAGGATATCCATACCGAGGCAGTTGCTTGGAAAGCAGGGTTGGTCACCTTAGCGCGCAAAGGCATTGCTGTCGATGGGAACCGCGAGATCCAGCTCGGCGGCGAGGGTAACCGGGAGAAAGAGTGTCGAAGTAACATAGAGACTGGACACGAAGAGCAAAAGGGGAAATTAAAGAGGGGAAAAGGAAGGTTATTAAGAGCAATCAAGGGTTTCTCCGCTTTACCGTCGACCTCGGGAGTTTTTTTTGGAATGGATTTTCTTCCGGTCCGAGGACAAGCGCTCTCCGCCCGCTGATACAACAACGCATAGATGTTTTTGATAGTACTTGATATATCATTCAAGCATTGCAATCTTGACGGTGCAAATTCTTAAATTTGCTATACTGTACGCCTGGTACTGTCCTTTTTATTTACACCATTCCAATGGATCCAATGGTTCTCTACAAATATCAGAAGTGTTATACACCATAATAATAATTCAGACTGAGCATACTCGCTCATGATATAGTAGATTTAAATTCTATTTGTACAGATGGCCAGAATACAAGATTTGAAGAAACGAACAGGAACAAGAAACACGACAGATGCAATACAGGCTCTTCACATCCTCACTGGTAGGAAGCGCTAGCCGGACGACTGTTCAGGTCACGCGAGTGCCCCGACAAGATTCGGTCTAGAGCCTCCTTCTCAATAATCAACCGCGAGGTCTCCAGTAGATTCTTGACATCGACATCAGTGCGGTTCATAATGGTCGCAAAGCGGTTTAACTTTGACATCTTGTCAAACAATTCCGCGTTCACAATTTCCGTGATGAATGTTGAGCGACCATTCTTCGTGCTCCAGCCGTTTGCCCGGAGGATTTTTTCCAAGAGGTATGGTGTTGAGCCCTCTGGGAGAGAAATCCTGTTGTCGATAACGATCAACTCTCCGCGCGAGTACCGGTAGCTGAGGGCTGTGCGCCATGCTTGGTCGTAGACTTTGGCGGGAAGTCCGCTTGAGAAGTCGCGAGGGTGAGGACCATGGGCAACACCACCACCCCTTCGAATTGGCGATTGCTTGTCACCCGTACGAGCACGACCTGAACCCTTCTGGGCGAAAAGCTTCCTGTGACTTCCGTGCACATCGTCTCTCCACTTAGTGCTGGCGGTACCCTGTCGGGTCATGTCACCCTCATATACGACTGCGCGGTGCAGAAGATCTTTGCGAATCGGCATCTGGAGTTGTTTTTGAGAGTATTCGAGCAAGCGAACGGGTTCCATAGAAGGGAAGTTGTAGGACATGACAGAGACGGGGCGGTCCCAGGGAGCAGAGGAAGATTCGGTAGAAGGGAAGGTGAAGGCATTGGCTTGAGCCTCAGTGGCCATAGATCGAGTAATGCATTGCCGCTATATTCATATAATTATCAGTCAATTGTCAGGGTCCTTTTTTGCAGATCGGGGACTGTGAGAGCGGATGGAAATCCAAGTGGGCAATTCGCATACCGTGACATTCTCTGATCCAGCCAATAGACCGCGTGAGCTGCGCGAAAGCAGTCTCAAGGACTGAAGTACTTCGCTACCAGGCATTTTGACAGCCTTTGTAGAGAAATGATCGTGTGGTTTTTGGTAATATGCTGCGTGTAACTGAGAAGAGCAAAAGTTGATTCCGGGGAGGCGGTGGGAACCAGCAGAAGTCTTGGCTGGCGAACAGAAAAAGTTCCCCCGGAGACAACAACACTAGTTGCTTTCAACCTCAACTCTACCCCCTAAAAACGACTTTCACAATGGCTCACTGCGAGCGTGTGTCGAAGCCGTTGCTTCAATGTCTTCGCAACTCCTACACAAGAAGCATTGCGGGCTCACAGATCCAGTCCCGCGGCTTCCAGTCGACCTCCGCTGTTGCAGATGCTCAACCTGAATCGAGCCAACCATTCCACAAATCGCCTGATCCATCCCTTGTCACAAGTCCTCGACTGGAGCGAAAATTGATGCGACAGGGTACCACCCCCGTTGGATCTCGTCGTCGTCGTGCTGCGCTGCAGAACCCCGGAAGCCTCCCTTTCGAGCAACTGCCTTACCAATGTTTCCAAGAAGCGCGTAAGGTTCTCCTCGGAGACCGAGTCCAGAAGTTGGAGGAAATCGAATCCATGCGTCAAACGATCGCTCGCCTGGGGGCACAGCCAGTCGAAGCTGGAGGAGAGAATTCACGGAAGTCCCGCCTGACAGCGATGCAACTGCATCTTGAGAATCTGAAGGTTCTGGCCGATATCAACGATCCTTTGGTGAAGCGAAAGTTTGAGGATGGTCTAGGTATGCTTGGCTATTTTCAATGGTGATATTCAACGGAGAGAAATGTGATGCTAACCTTTATGCTTTCCATTCTAGGCGATATGAGCAAGCCTATCTACCGCTTTCTGGCCGACCGCAAATGGAGAGAATATCGCCGCAAGATCCTGGTTCAGCGTATTACACAAATGAATGTTATTCCGGATGTTCTCGCCCACTGTGATCCTGTTGTGGACACAAAGATGTACTTCGGAAAGCGACAGGTCCAACCCGGTGACTACGTCCTCGCAAAGGACAGTGCCACTGCTCCAAAGCTCGACATCCAGCTGTTTGAGCGTGGTGAGAAGCTGGTCACAATCGCCGTTGTTGACCCCGATGTTCCCGATGTCGAGGCCGACGGATTCGAGTTCAAGATGCACTACCTCGCCGTGAACGTTCCCATCTCCGCCGTTTCCACCAAGGTCGACCTTGCCCAGCTTTCCACAGATTCCCAGGTTGTTCTTCCTTGGGCCGCACCTGTTGCCCAGAAGGGTAGTCCTTACCACCGACTTTCCCTTTTCGTTATGGAGCAGAAGGACTCCCAGCCGCTCGACTTTGTGGCTGTCAAGGCCAAGGAGACAGAGCGTGAGAACTTGCTTCTCCGTGCCCTCCAAGTCCGTTACCACCTTAAGCCCATTGGCGCTCACCTATTCCGTAGCCAATGGGATGAATCCACATTGGAAGTTATGAAGCAGATTGGCTTCAACGAGGCGGATGTCGAGCTCCGCCGGAAGAAGGTCGAGCCTCTTCCTTACAAGCGCAGAAACCCATCCAGCTTCCGGTAGATGCGTTCTCCGTTCTATACCTCCTGTTCCAATCTTGTTTGAGTATAAATTTTGTATTGTACAATTGAATATGTATGAATATGCACAGTAGTCCCAATTCCTTCTTTCTACCAAAACTCCATGTAAATGCTCAATAGACCATGTTCACCATGTTCTTTCGTTTTTGAAATTGTACACGCGGAAGGTCTAGTCCAACTCCGCAGGTTGCATAGTATTTTGCACCCATTCCATTTTCGATGGAGGCCATATGCGTGCGATAATCTTGCCGTTTATAAGACCTAAAGGTAGAGGTCCAAAGTTTCTCGAATCGCGTGACCAAGGAAGGTTGTCGCCAACCACGAATACATGGCCTTTGGGGACCTAGAACGATTGAAGAGGTTAGCAAGCCATTGACCAGCAGGTCGAACCGTATGAGAAAGCAAAACAAAGTCAAGTTATAGGTCGGAGAACGACGCAAAACTTACCTGAATCATATCAGGCTGCTCCCCAACCCCAGTGCTGTAAGCTTGATCCCGGCAGACGAAATCCCCAGGCATTCCAACAACACGCTTTGCGCCATGAACACCCAGAAAAGTTGGGTGATTGAAGCGCACGACATCCCCAACCTCGATTCCCTTTCCATAACGATGCATTCGTGAGATGAGAAGCCAATCGCCGCGAGGGTTGAAGGTCGGGTACATCGAGGGTCCTTCGCTGAGTTGTATGGTTATGACATGTTCCCAGACGAGGACGGTGGCGCAAAATACACTGGCGCTCTTGATAGCGACGCGGGCGACGCTGCCCGGGGTGGTTCGTAACGCTGCTCGAATGAAGCCCTCCATGTGTAGCTGCGCATGTGCATTCCTTCTTTCAACAAGCTCTGGCTTGCGGGTGTCGATTTATCGACTAGTTATCGGACCGATAGTTTTGGTGCCTATTGTTTCAGGCATATTATTCTTCTTTAACTTAACGTGATTCCCAAGCGAGTGGGCCACCCAAGCGAGTGGGCCACCCAACCAAAAAATCGCGTCGCGACCGCGTTCTTTTATCTTCAACCACCCATCATGCCACCAAAACGTACTGTTTCGGCCAAAAAAAATGGTAATCAAGAGGGTCGAATCCTACTTGCTATACAGGCTATTAAAGCTGAACAAATAAGCTCTATCCGTGAAGCTGCACGCTGTTTTGATATACCTCGTACTACACTACAGCGTCGGCTCACTGGCTATACCAATCGCTCTGAGACTCGCGCCAACAGCCATAAATTAACTGAGAATGAAGAGAAATCACTTCTTCAGTGGGTGATCTCTATGGATATACGTGGAGCTGCCCCCCGGCCTGCTACTGTTCAAGAAATGGCCAATATTCTCCTCTTAGCACGTGGCCAGACCCCTTCTCAAACTGTTGGCAAAAATTGGGTCACAAACTTTGTTAAACGACATTCAGAGCTTACTACACGTTTCTCTCGACGATATAATTATGAACGTGCGAGGATGGAGGATCCAAAAGTTGTTCAAGAATGGTTTAATCTTGTTTTTCAAACAATTCAAGAGAATGGTATTCTATCAGAGGATATCTATAACTTTGATGAGACTGGATTTGCAATGGGACTTACAGCAACTGCTAAGGTTGTTACTCGTTCTCGATATTATGGTCGACGATCACTTTTACAGCCTGGAAATCGTGAATGGGTAACTGCTATTGAAACAATTAATGTATCTGGATGGGCCCTTCCACCAGTGATTATTTTCAAAGGCAAAGTTTTAATTGAAGGATGGTTTACAAACCTTCCACTTGACTGGCGATTTGAAACTAGTCCAAATGGATGGACAACTGATGAAATTGGACTTCGATGGCTTCAAAAACACTTTATTCCAGCAACAACTGAACGTACGCTTGGAAAATATCGACTTTTGATTCTTGATGGTCATGGGAGTCATTTAACTCCCCAATTTGATCAGATTTGCAAAGAGAATAATATTATTCCAATTTGCATGCCAGCTCATTCTTCACATCTTCATCAGCCACTTGATGTTGGATGTTTTGGGCCTTTAAAACGGGCCTATGGTCGGCTTGTTGAGAATCAAATGCGGCTTGGTTTTAACCATGTTGATAAATTTGATTTTCTTGAAGCCTACCCAATCGCTCGTAAAGAGGCTTTTCAAACCCAAACTATTCAAAACAGCTTTACGGCAGCTGGTTTAGTACCATTTGACCCAGATCGAGTACTTTCTAAGTTAAATATTCTTCTTCGAACACCTACACCCCCAGCTAGCCGCCCTACTAGTCGATCAAGCCAATTTTCACCTAAAACACCTCAGAATCTTATTCAGCTTCAACGGCAAGCTAGTTCAATCAAAGCTCTTCTAAAACAACGTTCAAAGAGCCCTCCAAGTCCACTCAAACAGCAAATCGATCAAGTTCTCAAGGCCTGCGAAATTCAGATGCATTCAACAGCTTTATTAGAGGTTGAAACACGCAAATTACGCGCTGCACATGAAAAGCAAAAGCAAAAGCGCAAGCGGTCTACTAGGCAGATACCTAACGAGGGTGGTATGACTGTTCAGGAGGGCCAGGAGGCTATACAGCGTGCTATACAGGTGGTTGAGGCGCCAGTGATCCCTCCCGTACCACGGCCTAGGGCGCCTTATTTACCCCCTCAGCCAGCTAGGAGAAAGCTACCGACATGTAAGAAGTGTGGAGAAGAAGGCCATCGATCAGATCACTGTGATATTTAGTTAATTATTTTAATAAATTGGCGTTCTGGTGGTAATATTTATGATTAAAACTGTAGGGTAGGCGGTGGGTGGCCCACTCGCTTGGGTGGCCCACTCGCTTGGGTGGCCCACTCGCTTGGGAATCACGTTAACTACTACAAATTACATGGTCTACATACTCTTGATAGTAAATTTGAGTGTAGTAGACTGGTGCAAAATTCAGCCAAAATATTCTCCAGACGCAACAAAGCTCCAGTTATTAACATACATTTTTTCAAGCTTCCAGTCTTGCATATAGAAAGATGTTGCTGCCATAATTATCAGGACTACAATTACAGTCATGTGACTCGCCGCGGCTATAAAATTCGATTTTTCCCATGCCCCCACACTCTCCTCTCTTGCCAGTTTTGTATTGGACTTCAAATGTCAATACAATCTCTCAACAGAGAGTGAGAATGAGACTTGGACACACAATATGTGACAAGCTTTCTCTCCATAACTGCAGTTTACCTGCCCCGTCATTCCAGCTGTTTGGTCTGTTCGTTGGCCCATTAATGTGTGGACGCCGTGAACATGGACTTCAGCAAACAATGGCCTCGTTTTGATTTCAATTTTTTTTAGTCTATAACTCCGCTTCTAAAATTGCTAGAGCTTGCCGTCGCCGAAATTAAACACCAGGACGAGCAAGTGTGGACAGTGAAGCAAGATGAACACAACTAGCCGATGCGGTTGTATCAGCTATCCCCCAATTGGTCTCAACTCGACCCCATTTCATTATGGGACTGGGTCTTTGAGGCTGATATAGCGGGGAGACATCTCATCTCTAGATATCAACTCATGACAATGGAATATTTTTACCTTTACCTCACTCTCCTCCTGTCCATTTATATCCTGAAATCGGTTTCTTGTGGCCTGGCAAGACAGCAAAATCTACTCTGTAGCTTTGCTAGGTATCCTACTCCCACATTGCATCGGCATCTATAGCCCCTCAGTCAGTTAAACTACTTACAACTTTAGTTATACGAGACATACCTGGATGTTTCTGGATATCTGCGATGCCTTCTCGCTTCTTCGCCTTTATCCGATAATCCACCTTGAATCTCTCATCTCTCGCTCGAAGCAATTCATCCATTCCACCCGGGCAGGCAACCGCAACGTTCTCCGGTGTAGTGAAACTACCCATCAACTGTGGTTCTCCCATGGGCACCACGTCTCCACGATCAACCTGCCATAAATGATACGATTTGCCATAAATCGGCGCAATATCATGCATCTCTGCCGTCTCTGCCGCTTCCCACACTGAACTAGGCACACCCGTCGGTGCGGGCATTATGAGCATCCCACTCTTCACTTCAAATTCATGCGTATGCCATAACTTGCGTTCATCTGGTGGAAGGGTTTCAAAGATTCGTGGAGAGATCATATACTCGATGCCGATTAAGCGGGCTTTCGTACCTGGCGAGTCGTATATCAGGCACTGTCGGACGTCTATTGAGGACACAAACTTGGTCAGTGAAGTGCTTATATAGCATATCACGCGAGTTATACCTTCTGTTAGATGTGTGCAATAGTGGTTTGCCTCGACACAGCGGGTGGGATCATTGGCGTAGACGTGGAATGCGTTTAGATGTGCGCAGATTTGCTTGACTGGTGTGAAGTCTTGGACCATAGAAGCCCCTGCTTCTAGTACTTGGCTCTTGAGAGTTCTAGTATCGCCTGGGACACTGCTTGGCTCTTTGTCGGAGCCTACTTTGCACGCTGACATTGATGAAGATTGATATGAGGCTAGTTCACTTCACTTCAGGTTGTCACAAGTTCGGTTGATCCGTGAGCGTCTCAGATGGACATTTGAAATTTAGCAAACAGCGATTGCCTTAGTCGTCAAGTTTGAGTGACAATATTAATCAAGGATGATGTCAGGTTTTGTTCAACCGTTGCCATGGATGTCTATAGCTAGTTCTTTGAATTTACGACTCACTGACGTCACTACAGAGTAGTAGGCCTTGAAGTTTATCAAACATTTGAAGTGGTTTATAGTAGGCAATATAGTCAAATCCAGGATTTGTATCGAGTCATTCCTTTACTACTGAACAGATATTCAAATTTTGAACATAATGGTTGAATATGGAAGACGAGACGATGCACATGCGTAGGTGTGCATACACTGACAATCAAGATGGTTTGACTGTTGGAATTCAGCCCACAGCGTGATCTCAACACAACCTGTATTTGATTCAAGTTTCCAATATTGCCCAGGTGAACTTAAATATGACTCTTATCTCCTTGGAAGCATTTCCGACGTTGATCAATTAACTTTACATCTGGACAGAGACATCCATCTCACTTGATCCGGTGAGCACCTCAATCTTGGTCAGACCGGAATAACCCCTCTGGTAACACATCTCCTCACTTCGCGAGGCAAGGAATGAAACACAGCATATTTTCGAGGCGATCGGGACTGAACGACATTCAAATGGTTGAAAGTCAGATCAGAGTTAATCTCAACGCGAAACATCCATGTCGACTTGTGATATATATCTAGTTGTACCAGGCTGTGCAACCACCGAATCACTCCCGAGGTCTCATCCATTCATGATAAGCAATACTCGTGGCCCCTTACTTGAGAGAGTTCAAAATCATCAAATTGACATTTTGACCGATACTTTATGTTGAGGTCAGACTTCTCCCTCACCTTCAAATGTTTCTTTTCGTACCGAGATCCTGGTTATATCTGCCAGTGCCAGGTGTGATCTTACACCGTCATCTATCAGGCAGCAGTCTGACGAGTCCTAGCATCGTGTACATGCCAGCTCACATTTATTCCAAGGTTTTCAAGTTGCTCAACAACAGTACATATGGACCTGTCTTACCACTGGTTCAACCCTTCAAGGTTAAGCCTAGGCACTTGTGAGGCCTTCAGCCGAGCCTCTTTCTGCTAATGTTTACATGACTCTACCCCATACCTCCGAGGTCCAATGCATATGTTTGAGTGCAATCAAATGTACACGCCACGATGTACAGCCATGAGTATATGTCGCATGTGCAGGCTACATATGTGACTAGATGATCCTTTCGTCATCCAGCATTTATGACCATTCCGCGGGCTCCGGAGTATATATCCCAGATCCCAGACATTACCCTCTGTCCAGACGTTCCAAAACTTGGCAATATCAATCCATGAATACCATGCACATGTGCCAGGACACATGTGCATCAGATCCGAGCCAATTGACAACTCGGAATTGTTACTAGTATATCCATCCACCTAATGGACTGGTATAGCCCTAGGTACTACTGTGTAAGTTGCCCCGAGCCTCCAAGTGATAAGTTGATCTCCTCGGACCTTTCCCGTAAACCAATATTTGATCCGTATCTATGTAAAGTACATCTAAATCTCGGCTTTTCATTGCCGTGAATCCAATATTCCTCGGAGATCACCCAATTAGTATGTTTCAAGGTGGGGGCCCTAAAAAACACATGATTAATTGATCGGCCGATACGGAAGTGCATAAAAGTAAAACCGTCTATTTACCCGATGGATGCACCCGATCTCGCAATAAACTAACAAAAAAACTAACAAACGCACTATGGATGCACTACTTCCTGCGCGAGAATCCCAAAGTGTACTCCGAAAAGAAACTCGGGGCTGCGATTACCTAGGAACGGGGAAATAGGAATGGGATAGTTCCAAAAAGAAACCTCAAGGTCAATAGCCCAAAGTGTAAAACCAAACTTCAAAGTTGAATGGGACCAAAAAGAAAAGAAAAGAAAAAAAACTCCACTTTTTGATCTACAAGACTGGCGGGAGTTACGTTGCGTGGACTGCGTATACAAACTGCGGGCGGAGAACGGAGAACAATGAAAAAGATGCGCGTAAAAAGGGCTGAGAAAGACCCAAAATTAACTTTTTTAATTTAATTTAATTTTTAATTTAAATTTTTTTGATCATATGGAGTAGAAGATATACGAAGTATGGAGCATGAAGTGTACCGAGAGTCCTTGGTTTAGTGAATTTGACTCCATCGAAAAGTCTCCAAGTCTCAAAATTGATTTGCGCGCGGGAAAATGCACTAGCAGACTGGATGACCACTGCACGAGGGTCTTTTCACCTTCAGACTTTGAGACTATCGACGGAGACAGACGGTACGGGAACTCCATACTTGGTGACTAAATAAGGTAATGATGAGCGGTGGAGATACTTTTTTTTTCAAGGGTTAGAAATGGTCGACAGGTTTCCACATTGTAATTTGTTGCAGAGTTAAAGATCGACGTTGTTATTCTCTATTATGATTTGATAGATTTGACTTGAGTTCGGGATCGGAGGATACCACGGGAGAAAATCTGTGTGATTGTTTCGCCCCCACCTTATACATGATGATTGTTCTTTTGAAAGACCATTATTGTGCATGTTTTAGGCATTACGAGAACAATTAAATTTAAAAAGCCATAGTGCCCGCCCGGTGCCGAACGTACGTGTGCTGTGGGAACATGGATATGCGTGTACGGTGATGCCCAGTTGTGGAGGAGGGGGAAAGTATATACCCCAAGCTCTAATATGAGTCCTGTACTCTATACTACTAGTACATAGAACTTGAAGTTTGAAGGTTTCAAATGTTAATGTACTAGTCTGTGCATGCCTTCGAGCTTCAAGTTGTTGGGCACATAAGCACTTGAACCTTGGAATCTTGGATCTATATGTTATGTTGCCAGCTGACCCGAATATTCAAGTTTGAACCCTTGGAGCAATCAAAAGGATGTTTGATGATGTCTACCTGCACATGTGTACGAAGACATTCCTTTTTCCCTTTCAAATGATCCAAGTTTCAGCACTTGAGTGATCTTCAAAGCCCCTTCATAATGCCAAGATGCCAGTGCATACCCGAGAGAAGGGTAGATCTTAAGAATCCTCCCCTCATTCCACGGTACTATAAAGTCAAAATCTCCTATCACACACATGACAACGGCCAAGTTCCAAGGTTATTTCTATGCCTAGATTATATGTGCCATCTCACTGCAGATCCGACACGCTGCATATTACCCTTGCTCTCTCTCACCTGTCTTGATCATCTTAGGAAAGGGGTAGTGGGGAAAACAGAAAAGAAAAAAAAAGAAAAGAGGGTATGTGTATAAAGGAAGGTATGTCTGAGTGCCACAATGCACGATATACATAGTTATGTGCCCTATGAAAGGTCCCGAGGTCTCATATTGAAGTCCAGGATCGGCCCCTGCATGGGACCGATGGAACCCATTGAAAAAAGTGGTGGCTATTATTATTATTATTATTATTATTTTAAGCTCTCCATTAGACCCAAAGTCCCCGTTTGCTGACCGGGATCAGGATGAATACTGTGTAGGATTTGTCCTATTGTCACAGCTGACTTTTTTATGGATACCCAGTAAAAGACCCAAAAAAAAGCGTAAGTGGAGTAAAAACAGATCCCCCGTTTCAAACGGGAGAAGGAGAGAAAGACGGGAATTAGTAGTGTCGGTGTCGGTGTCGTACATAGATTAGGAGGGGACATACACTAAAAAGGAACCCCAGCAGTCGAAACGAAGTTGGAGAGTAAGAAGAATGATTGGTCCAACCCCTGGGCTTGACCGCTTCTGGGTTTCGATTCTCTCATCCAAACGTTGCTCCGCCCACTAGGCAACGCAAGTGTGCGTGTGGTGTGTGACGGTTAGCTTTCCGATCCATCCTGTTGAGTCGACCCAGATCGTCTTGCCCCACCAATACCTGGACCTTGTGTGGCGTCGCGCCTCAGGCGTCAGGACCTAGCAATAGACAGAAGATGGTCGCCTGCATGAAAGCCCGGACTGTGCCCGACGCAGACGCACGGGTAAAACCGAGTGTGAACTTAATCATGGGGTCAGCGACTGCGCACTGTCCAAGGTACCGAATTGCTGAGGCTGCATATCCCTTATCGGCTTGCAGTCTACCTGTCTCAAAAAAAGTCCTCAAGGTCTGGGTCTGGACTAAAATGAACCTGGGCGATGCGCTGTGTGACAAGTGTATGTATCTATGTTTGGAGTGGGCTGAGAGAGGAGGGGAGAGACAACATGGGACCAATAGTAATCTCATACTTCGTACTTCCCTTTTTTCCACATCATCAACAACCTTGGAATCAAAGACACCTATGTCATATACGAATGCCTAGAGAAAGAAAACATAGTTTGATCCTGAAGCACAGCCTACTCTTGATGTTGCAGCCTATTGGGGAACGGCAGTAAACCGGGGGGTTTCAGCCCGTTTTTTTTTTGGTTGGGGAATGTGTGTACGCGTAGTATGAAGTGATTGACAACTCATACAGAAGTCGAACATCAGGAACTTTACTCCGTAGTAATACATAGAAAATGAGAGGACGACAGTTGTACTCTGTTGTACTCGGTAGCTCTGTACGGATCACACCGTTCAACCGTCGGAGGATAAGCGGATCCCAAGTTCTTTTTTAAAAAAGAGATCGTCGCAATAAACAACCCCTCTGGAAGAAGAGACTCCAGTGCTGTACCTAGTACACTAATCTACATGACTAGGGGAAATCCAACCGAGGCCCCTCTATTAATCTGCTCATCATTTGGTCTCAATATCCCTGCGCGCACGGCTCCTATGGGGGCGGTGGTCATCCGCGCGACGGAGTACACCGTATGTAGTTGACATGCCGCTAAAGCAAGCCAAATTGATTTAGCCCGCAGCGGGAGGAGCTGCATCCATGGGGCTAAAAAGCCAAGGCTCAGGGAAATGAAGTAAGAAAAAAAAGAAAAAGTAAAAAAAGGTTGAAAAGTGAAAAAAAAAAGGAGTGCGAAGGATCTCGGGCAATCATGAATGCCGATTGAAACGTCTGGAAGACTGAGGAAGGCTGGTTAAGCCCCGCTTTAACTTACGTTCCTCCCGGGGTCGGTTCGGGGCTAAGGGGAAGGATGTCTCCATAGAGAAGAAAAAAAAATTAAAAAAATTAAAACAATGAGAAAATATGGGTTGCCCAGAAACACTAGCACGCGTCGGAGGTTTAGGCGAGTGGATAGTGAGAAGAAAAAAGAGGCTCGCGACAAGAGTAGATCAGGCCCCGATCTGGTGTGGTGAAGTCTCGGAGAGTGGCCGCCTATTCTTATTGGGCTTAGACTTGGGTTAGACCTCGATTCTGTTTAATTTATTTTCAATATGTATTTTTTTCCCTGGGTTGTCTAGACCTTGGAATGCAGGGCTGATATCTTGCTTTTTTTTATGGAGTGAGAAGAGGAGATGTCCTGTTATGTAACTCCACATAAGGGGTGTAGAAAGTACCTCGGTTCTGTGACTATGGGACTATACATCTGCCACTATGTCACTCTGTGCCTAAAGCAGGTTGGTATCACATTGCATGAGTCAAAAGACTATGTGGATAGACGCAATAATGAGAAGGGCCAAAACGAGGCTACGCTAGAACCCCTTCGAAACAGACTTGCTTACTCCCTAAGGGGGGGGGGGAAGGACCACTTAATTGGGGGTACGGAGTACGATTCCCTTATGCACACATTTGTATAGTGTAGCGCTTGAGAGAGAAATGTCTATCTTAGGTAACCTAAGGATCCAGAAGTGACGGAGTGTACGGAGTACAATTTCAGCTGATGGAATAGCTGTGCCGCTCTGCGGTGTGGTCACATACTCCAGAGATCGGCAATTCATGAGATTGTGTCAGCAGTGAGAGACCAGTAAAGACCAGTAGAAACCACTGGGAAGAGAGGTCCACTTGTAAGAGGGGGTAAAAGAGAAAAGTGAGGGATCTGACTGGTCCCCTGAGCTTCTGGAAATTGATGATTGTCTCCAATCTTCTCACTAGGCCCCTGCAGTGCAGGAAGTGGGGCACTGCAAATGTGTCCCGAGCGGTACACGACCTTGGATCGTCTGTGTAATGATGTGGACAAGTGGGTGTTTTGCATTGGTCCCCTGAGCGGTCCTCGAATCCTTGTTCAATGAGGCAACCCACGGTTTAAATGACATCGTATTGCATGTGCGAGACCCAGAAAAAGATTTGAAAGATTTGAAAAACATAAAAAAAAAATCATCACTGCACATGTATATTCATATATTGTTTGGGGGTTACTCCGTGAGAATCCTTCAAGGATCATATCAGATAGGGGTGATGTAGGTAATCCCGATAGATTGGATCAAAGGGAAGGCCTAAACGAAAACGTCAAATAGATTAAATAAAAAAAGAAATCGATCGTCAGCGGGTATAGCATCATTGAAAGTTAAAAGTGGGAAAAAACGGGAGATAAAAAAAAATCAGAGAATAATAATTCAGAGTAAAAAAGAGTAAAATCTCAACGTCAGGTTCTTCCGGAGGTCCGGGCGTAGGAACTCGGTTCAGCGCTAAGCATGATCAGATCCGCCCGGCCACGTTGTGAATGGTGGCTCTACCGCCCGTTTCCTGATCGGTGACACAGAATGGGGTTTAAAAGCCCCATAATTCGTTAATTTAATTCTTCTCAAGCGGGTCTTCAATATCTATTGAACTCCTCTCCGTTAGTTCCTTAGTTCCTTAGTTTCTTAGCGAAGGGGGATTTTTTTTTTGCGAAGCCCCAAGTGTCATTGGAAATCCCCTCCGTGAAAAACTTGGACTTGAAATCCTCTTGTTCCTCGCAAAAGGAACTAGAACTAGAACTAGGCTGATTTCCCAATTGGGAACATGCAGGGAACTGGTCACATTTAGATCCTTGTTTGCTTAACTTGTAGATGTCTGTTCAACCGTACTTTGTCCTAAAACCCCCCGGTCTTTAAGGTAATATAGGTACTATACTACAGTAATAATAGTAGACGTTGTTCATAGTATTCCAAGGTTATCAAGCCGACAGCTGGGCAAACTTACTCCTGGAACTAGAGAGCACCTTGTTTTACCTAGCGCTAGTTGGTTTACTTCGTTTACTTGGTTCATTTGAAAATATGGATATGGATGGATGAACTTAAAACAAAAGAGTCATTAGTCCAATCCTTAGTTCATAGATTGGGTAAAAAAAAAGCCATAAAAAAAACTTCAAGGCTCCACGTTTTTCCCAACGACGAGCATTGCCGAGCTTCCCGCTCTGATGGTCATTTTCCAACACGAATACTTTGTGGCGGCGGTACACGGACTACCATTTTTTTCAATGAAACAGGTCCACTAGAGGGGGGGCGTACAACCGGGTCATGCACTGAAGTAGTTTGTAGCACCGTTTGGGTCCAAGTAGGATTGCATGTCAGAAACCTGTCTAGCACTAAGAGCTAAGAGCACTTGAGGGGGGCAGGTGATATTGTTGATCGTTTAATACTAAGTACTACGGAGCATAGTTCCAGTTGGTGGATATTTAATTAATCCAATCAAGAGCCGAAAGTGGCTTGTTACTATATTTTAATCTTTCACTATTTTACTTATTTTTACCTATTTTACTTATTTTTGACTTATTTTTGACTGGGATCGGAACAAAAGAAGATGGTGGCGATGATGCAGGAGATGCATCATGTACTCCGGATAGAAGAAGGTGCATACGGAGAAAAAAAAAAGAAACAACCGGGTATGCACAGTACAAAGAAGGGCCTAGGTTTGTTTTTGTTATTCCTTGACCCCCTTTGCTTTTTTTGTACCTGTAGGGGATGAAATACAAGGAATGCTTTTTTTATTACTAGTAATTATTATTACCCTAGGCAGTTTTGTTTTTTTTTTCTTGAATTTTTTCATTTATTTTTTTTTTTCGCCGCCAAAACCGATCTAGAACTCCTTGGGAAGGCTCCGTGACAAAGCACAGGCGCCATGACGGAGTCATCGGTCTCTTTTCCCAGTATATTGATGACTCCACTCTCAGCCACCCCTGTCGAAGAAACACGAAGGATGTGCAAGACGATCTTAACAACCCCTCCATCACATTTGTAACCCTTGCGTAACGAGGTTGTTCAGGGCGTGACGTTATGGGGCCCAAACATGATAGGAAAGATCCATCATTCCAATTCTTATTGCAGGGCTGATCAATCTCCGGTGAAACGAGGAAATGGAATAAAAATGAAAATATTAAAAATTAAGTATAAAAAAATTCAGAGGGAAGAACTTCAGAATCTTTAGGTAATATTGACTGTAGATCTAGATCATTAACATTCCATAAAGATATTGATCTATGGGTATCTACTCTACATTATGAATTTATACTGTACAAAGTAGGAGTTATACGGAGTACACGAGGAGCGGTCTAAAAGTCAAAGAAACCTTGGAAACCTTGGGACAAATTACTTCCAGAGACCCATATTACTTGTAATTCTGATTTCGATTTTAATAAAAGAAAAAGACAAAAAATCTGAAATGGGGCCCGTGTGAGGGTCCACGTCCTTGGACTCCAATAGTGGAGTGGTCATTCAAGCTAAACTCTCTCTTCCCCATGTTCGCCTCAAATTGTTCCACGAAATTCCCCACCCTGTACTCCGGAATATTCTGCCCTTGGCCCAAACTGTGGGACTACGCCTGATTCATCTTTGGGTTCCATGCGGTGGTTCTGGACTAGGCTCATTTCGTTAGTGTCAACGTCGTGTCATCCTAGTGTGGTGGGATCGTGGAGCTGGGGCGGGTGGTAGATCGCCAGGCTCCCTGGATTCCCTTATAATATCACTGTCCTCTCCCTGTACTCCATAACCCTGCAATTCTTCACTCTCCATACCCTTAAAAACTGCCGCTGTTCCTCCCAAGGAACTTCGGTTCTCAACTTCTCACCATCCTTCACACCTACATTTTACGTCACACCTAGTATCGTCCGGGTGGATTGGTGAAATACTACATTCACCAAGGAGAAGCGAGAGCAACCAATATTCACCACCAGATTTTCATCAACCAACATTTATATGTCCGATTTCGGTTATCAACCACAGGCCTCGTCAGGGTCACCATGGCTTCCGGAGAATGCTTATAGCCAGTCGATCAATATGCAGGATTGGATCCGTGCTTTCCCTCGCCCACGACACTCTCGTGTTATGAAACCCAGGAGTGCCGGAAATAGCCCATCGGGAGCATCGAGGATGAGGACAACTACTGCTCAGGGTATGATGCATGGGGCTAACCAATGTCAATCCTCACTGGAGGCCGCTCTCCTTGCCTCGGCGGCCCGCAACTCACGCCCCATCAGTTGGCACCCGTCTTCCGCCAGGAGCAGAGGTCTTTCCAATCCGGCTTGTGCTCCCGACCTCCCCACAGACAATTATGCTACCATGGGCACCATGGCCGATCAATCACTCAACATGAATCTCCTTCCTGTCTACGGCAGTGACAACATGATTTCATATCCTTTGTCTGCCGGCGCCGCAATGTCACCGGATAGCTATATTCCTTTCTACCTGGACTCTCAAGACGCCATGACTCTTCCTCAGCAATCTACCACATTAAGCTCGCAGGTCGAGCCAATGTTCTGGGATACCACGACAACCCCCATTGACTTTTCAACTGTCTCCCAAACAACTTCCGATGGATGGCCCCTTGATATGCTATCAATGGCTAATATCCCTCCACCTGCGACTGCTTGCCCCAGCTATGCTAGTGTACCATCCCCTGGAGAACTCAGCGGACCATCAACCCCGGACTTCCTTCCTATCCAGCAATTCGACTATTCTCCCATCCCTCTCGAGAACAACCTCCTTGAGAAGAAGAATGGCAAGGCCGAGGAGGAACTGGTTGGCATGGGACTCTACAGTCAGCCCGGTGGAACCACAAGCCACTCGCAGCAGGGTCTATTGGGAAGAGGACTGAAACTGGAAGAGACTTTCTCTCCCTCCGATGACGAAAAGGACGACGGATCTCAGGACGATGACGAAGTTAATGAGCCGGAACCCATTCCTCAGACTGTGCCAGAGCAGCCTGCGCCTATGATGCAAGCCAACATGTCGATGCCCAAGCAACACATGAAGCCAGCACTCAACCTTCTTCACAAATCTTTCTTCTTTGATCACGAGGACGTCGATCAACAGGCAATGTCTTCGGCACAGCCTTTCACAGCTTTGAATCAAGCGTGTATGAGCTATGGATATGGGTGGATTTGATCAATCATTTGGATCTTTTTCTTTGTTTAACAGCGGCATAGCGTGGAGTTTTGCTTTTTTGAACTTTTTGGGTATGGCTGGAGTTGAGATACAATGGATACCCCCGGGCTTGGGCATAGGATAGCTTTTAAATGTGGCTCAACACCACTACTTTTGATAGGATTCCCAATGAATCAATATATAGAACCTGAATTGAATTATTCTACCACAACAATAATTTTCTTTTCTTATTCCAACACTAGAATCCAGAGTAAAGACTACACTGACCATCTTGGGGTGATGTGGTATACTTCGGCGATCGCTGATTGGTCAGGGAAATGATTAGCGTCGGGGAAACCCCCTAAAAGGATTAATAATTATCCGCGAATATTTTAATCGAGGATGCAAAAGCCACTGATATTGGAGCCAGTATTGAAAGAGCTTCGGACAATCCTTAAAAAAGCTCAAATTTTGAGATCGTCTAACTATGGCCAAAGTCATCTTTACAGCATGGAAGAATAAGTCGCAGCTGCTGGACGTGCGGAACGAATTCTATCCGCCGACATCCTATGATGGTCCAGACAGGCGCGCTCACGCTTGCGCGGTGGTATGTTAAGAATTCATGGAAGCTTAAGAATAATAAACGTACTAATCATTTCCTCCAGGTGGAAGCTTGGAAGCTTCGTGGAAATGTTCCTCACCATGTTGAGGCAACTGCCCTCTTGACGGATGCCATCCTTCACGATGATGCGCAGACCAATTCGATTTTCTCAATTCGAGCTACCTACTCCGCTGCTTTCTGTCGGTATGTTCCATCTACATGAGTGTTTTTGTATTATTCAGATCATGATGGACTCTTGCATTGAAACATCCTTCTCTCTTCCCTTTCAGACGCGAAACTAACAGAACCTAGCTTCGTAACTGGTCTCGTCGACACAAAAATCCACGGCCAACGAAGAACCATGTTCCAGCGTGCTATGGACTTAGGCCTCCCAGCATCCTTTGTAGAGTTGCGCCATGAAGCAACTCACCGTGAGCCACCATCCTTGGTTGTACTCCGCAAAGCGTCTCAACGGTCTCTTGAGTGGCTCTGGGATAACTACTGGGCCGACGTTGATGGCTTAAATGCTGAATCTCAAACTGCCCATGATGTTAGCGCATCGAACAAGACTGCTCTCACCAGTGTTTTGCGAGAATTTTCCAAACACTCCGAGTCTTCTGAGCCGCAGACGAAAAAGCGCAAGCGGGATCAAGAGGTCTCCGTTGCGACGGACTTGGTTTCGATTTGTGGATCTTCCACTGATGGTGCTAAGTCACTTTCTGCGGTGTTGTTGGAGGAGTCCTTGTTGTTTGGCTCCGAGAGAAAGTAAGTTCACCACCATACCTTTTATCGTTCCATTATTCGGTATTTGAATCTGACAATTATACCCAGGATTGGAGAATCTATGAACCAGTCTTTCGATAAATGGGACTCTGTTCTTCAGAAGATCTCTGAAACCCACCCTTCGTTTTTGATGTACCTGTGCGAGGATCTGGTACACAACTTGCTCTTCGATGCCACAAAGGACTCGCAGAAAAATGCCTCCGCCGAGGCACTATTCCTTTGGTTGACTCACATCCTGAGCTCTTACACTTGGGAATCTTACCAGCAATATTGCCCTCGGGCTTACATCCTCAGTGCATGCGATGAAACTGCTACCTACTGGGCTAAGATGCTGAATGATCGCTTAAAGGAGCACGGAGGCGTTCGAAAGTCAAAGTCGTCGTCTCGACGAAGCTCTTTGCCTCCTGCGGCAAAGAAATCAGCTCTGCGCAATGCCAAATCTGATGCATTACCTATTTTCGACGAGAAACTAAGTGCACATGGCTGGGCGCCTGTTGAGAGGTGGGATCTCCGGGCTTTGGGTGTGACAGCAACTGCTAGTGTATGAAGTTACATATAATCCACATCATAGATGTGCTGCTGGCAGCACTAAAATAACAAAAGTACATGCATTTGAAGATTTGAAAGACTTGGCTATTTCATCTCATAGTGAACTCCCGCCAATGAGACATCTTGTCATTAGTAAAGAAAGCGGAAGAACTGTTTCTCCGCATGACGTGTGATTTGTAATCCCTTGATCCTGGAGCTATCTGCTATCTGTATAACGCGACAAGCTCCTCTCCCCGCACTTAAGTCCATCTTTGGTGATGAGTTTTGCAAGAGCAACTAGATTTTTCCGATCCCGTCCAATTTCCTTATTACAACCTCGAGCCATGCATATCCAATCGATTCCCATGTGTAAGTGGATCCTCACCACTACCTCGTTCATACAGATGACCGGCCAGCTATCAACAATGATGAAGAACCAATTCTAAGCTTTCATACTTACTTTAGGGACGGGGAAGGGGAACAACTATGCATACCTTGTGACAGATGAAGCGACAAAGCACTCTGTCATCATTGACCCGGCCAATCCTCCCGAGTGAGTTTCTTATTCCATCAATGTGAAAGTACAGGATGATGAGCTAACTGACCAATTACAGAGTGGCGCCAGAGTTAAAATCGCAGATCAGTGCAGGCAAGATTGACTTGACAGCCATTGTCAACACTCACCAGTATGTTTATGACGAAGCTGGATCATAAAGACTATACTGATTGATCAATGTTTAGCCACTGGGATCATGCCGGAGGCAACGATGACATGGTAGGTTTCGAGATTGATGTTTCTACTTATGAACGCATTGACAATGGCTAATGGCCTCCTAGTTGAAAGAATTTGGCAAGCTCCCTGTCATTGGCGGCTCAAATTGCCAGTCTGTCACCCAGACTCCCGCCCATGGCGAAACCTTCAAGATTGGAGAAGGTATCACAGTCCAAGCTTTGCACACACCGTGCCACACCCAAGACAGTATCTGCTATTTCATGCAAGATGGAGACCAGCGGGTTGTGTTCACCGGCGACACCTTGTTCATTGGTGGTATGATTCGACTCTCCCCTTGACAACTTGATATTTTCTGACATGAAATATGATCTCTCTAGGATGTGGCCGTTTCTTCGAGGGAAATGCCGCGGAGATGCACAAGGCTCTGAACGAGACCCTGGCATCTTTGCCAGATGACACTAAGGTCTATGTATGTGGATCTCTACTGTATTCGACCTGAACTTTCACTGATATACCTAGCCCGGACACGAATACACCAAGCAGAATGTCAAGTTCTGTATTGCAGTTTCCCAGTCCGAGCCGATTAAGAAGCTTGAAGCTTTTGCCGAGGCAAACCAGCAGACCCAGGGCAAGTTCACTATTGGAGATGAGAAGGTATGTGCTGGATATCTACCATGGTTAGTGGCATTGGCTAACATTCAATGGTTTCATTTAGCTTCACAATGTTTTTATGCGCGTCATCGTAAGTCTTGTTTCCATGGTTTCTTCGCTATCAAATGCTCATACAAGTCACATAGGACCCGGAAATCCAGAAAGCGACAGGCAAAACCGCTCCAGTGGAGGTCATGGCTGCGCTGAGAGAGATGAAGAATGCCATGTAGTCAACTACAAGTCCTCGTGCCGCGCTTCGCGCGGCACTGTATGTAGCAGTGAAAAAGGGCAAGGTATCTACTCAGCACTCAACATTTGAAGTGCTTGGCCAGGAATCTCGGTCAAGTAGACACAGTGACACTACAGCCATGTTCACATACTTAAGTACCCAGTCAGTAGTATGTACAGGTATCTGGTGACATACCCCTCTTTGCATGTAAGTACCTACATGATTACCTACAGGGTTACCTGAATGATTATCTGGAAGGGAAGGCTAGCTGCTAGGTAGTTGGATATAGGCATCTGGTAACCATAGGGATGAGCTATAGGTTAATTCTGCCTCTCTGCCCAGGTGTTCTGCCAGACGGCGAGGAAACTCGAAAACCCACTGCAACCCAAGTAGGAAAAGAGGTCTATATCCATAGAAAATTAGAAACAATTCCAATATCTGGGCAGCCCCATTCCTTCCGGGGGATCTTCGCACCGAAATTAATCTAGATCAAGATAAAAAGCCGGGATCGTCGGATCAACAATACTAATTTAGTTTTGAGCAGGGATTCTGTCCAATTTCTATATTACATTCAGACAGAACTCTGTAAACCAAAAATTTGTTGTCGCGATGAAAGAAATTCAAACCATGGCAGCTGTGTTGCGAGGGAGTGGATCGACGTCATACCCACTTCCAACCCATCTACCGTTTGCAATCTCACCACCACACTGGTCATTATTACCCCCAAATACTATGCCAATTTGATTAAGACGCACAAAAAAGTCCAGAATCTGCACGTAATGGACAAACATGACCGAGAGGATTCCTCGGCCGCCCTGGACGAGGTACGTCACTTGGGATGCGGGGTTATTGCTGGAGACTGACCCATGCATCTTTAGAGTCATGGAGGGAGCAGTGACACCGACGCACAGAACCATCTGGAGGTGAGAAAATGCTTTCAATGGTATTCAGATGCATATGCAGGTTCAAGTCCTCTAAAGGTCCTCCTAGGTCGTCTTTTACCCCGATTCCAACCACCGTCGCAAGTCTTCTCTAGTTACAATGGAGAAGCCCCGAATAAGACCGCACCACGATCTACAAGATAGAACCACAGCCTGCTATGTACATTCCCTGATAGCGGGTGAATGGGCAGCGCCTCTGCCAAAGGGTACCGAGCCACAAGATGTGATTCGTACGCTGAGTGAAGATGAACCCCCGGTCGACGCGAAGGTCCTCGGCGAAGATAATGTTGTGTCTGTGGTGGATAGTGACAACAAGACCGTGAAACCCGAGCCAACAATTCTCCAATCACGACATCTGACGAAGCGGCAATTATCAGACATGGCATGGAACGTGCGGAAGCTCTCAAAAAAGCTAGGCAGCATCAAACTGAAGCTTACGGTCAAGAATGTCTTTATTGTTAGCAAGACGCACGACGAGTCCTTAGTGAGCTTGACAAGAAAGGTCACTCGCTGGCTTCTCTCCAAAGACCGTGATACGCCGTACATAGTCTACGTGGAGCGACGTATGGAAACGCATCCTGACTTTGGGACGCTGCAACTGCTGCAAGATGAGCCGTCAGCTAAGGGCCGGCTTAAGTTCTGGGATCCAAAACTCGCGCAGGAGCAGCCGCATCTATTCGATTTTGTTATTACACTTGGAGGAGATGGAACGGTGCTTTACACTAGCTGGTTATTTCAGCGAATTGTACCGCCTGTTCTGTCTTTTGCGCTTGGCTCACTGGGTTTCTTGACTAATTTTGATTTTGCGGACCATAAACGAATCTTGGAGAATGCTTTCCGAGATGGAGTTGTCGTGAGTCTCCGTTTGCGCTTCGAGTGTACTATTATGAGAAGCAAGGCGCGGTTAAAGGATCCTCACTCTCCAACATTGACAGATCGCGATTTGGTGGAGGAGTTGATTGGAGAGGAAGGGGAGGATACATTAACGCACACTCCAGACCGAGTGTATGAGATTCTGAATGATGTCGTCCTTGACCGTGGTCCAAACCCGAGTACGTGCTTGTGTTTTCCCTATGATTTGAGATTGTATATCTAATCACATCCTCCCCCAGCCATGTCTCAAATCGAACTGTTTGGAGATGACGAACATTTCACCACCTTGCTTGCCGATGGCATTTGCATTGCAACCCCGACAGGATCAACAGCGTACAATCTCGCCGCAGGAGGATCACTCTCTCACCCCGAAAACCCAGTCATATTGGTAACTGCCATTTGCGCGCATACACTATCGTTTCGCCCAATTATCCTCCCCGATACGATAGTTCTACGCATGGGAGTTCCATATGATGCCCGGACTAGTTCCTGGGCCAGTTTTGATGGCCGAGAGAGAGTGGAATTACATCCTGGTGATTATGTTACCGTGTCGGCATCGAGATACCCATTCGCCAACGTCTTACCCCAGGGCCAACGGGGCGAAGACTGGGTGCATAGTATCTCCAAGACGTTAAATTGGAATTCTCGAACAAAGCAGAAGAGTTTTAAATGAACGAAGCCTTCTGGATGTGGATTTTGATCCATCATGAGCTATATGACTTGTCTAAGTATTTGACTGAATTTTCTTCTCAATTTCAATCTTGCCAAGAGTCCTGAGTCGAAAAATTATTCATTACTAGAGATCAAAGCTCTGCTAGATATCAAAAGGTTCGTCAATGGAGTACAGTAACTTTAATGTTGAAGAATTGAACTAGTTGCACCAGTTTCTTGTTAATCCAGGTTCATGATATTAATTACGATAATAATTTCTTTCAAAACAAATTCCAGCTCATTCAAATGTTCATTTATTTTCTATTATTTCTATTATCTAAAACCTTTGATCCATATGAAAATTTTTCGAGTGGATATAATCGCTAGAAGCTTCCCACATTGGTTTCCGGGGCAGCTGTAGTCTCTGGTCCGCCCTATAAAAGGCGGCTTCTCACCCAAAATTTTCTTCTTCCTGCATCTTCTCTTCATGCAAGTTCTAATGTGAACTTCTTTCGAAAATTCTTTAATAATACTTTTTCAACACTTTTTCTATTATTTTAACTAACTTGGTAAGTCTTTTGACTCTTTTTTCCCTTTTCCCTGCACAGGGATCATCAGGATCAGCCTTGGGCCATTGGCCCAATTCATATGATGAAAAACTTCCTACATTCGCAGTTTCCACGCTAGCCCCGACTTGAACCTATTTCTGGGTGCGATGTGCGCAATTACTTCCTTGGATGTCTGATTGAATTGGCTGAATCCTTTTGGATTTCTTTTACTACCATTATGGTATTGAACCTCGCTAACATGTGCTTGGTTAGAACAGTATCTTTACTTCGATCATACTTTATAGCCACTGAGCTTGATATCTCCGACTGGCTTGGTCAGCTACATGCTACGCGTCTACTACAATTGACCTGGCGTTGGTTGTCAGTCGCGTTGGATTTTTTGGGAAAATTTTTCGGAGCCCGTGAAAAGCTGCATAGCTACTTCGCGGTGCAGTCTATATAGCATGAATGAACCACATTATTCTTCTAGTCAACCTTGAATTCTTGTAAAACTACACCCTAGACTATTTATTCAAATCTCCGTCTTCCATAATTATCATTGAGTAAAGATTTCTCGCGTGAGTTGCACCTACGGACGATGTGCTCCACCGTAGATCGCATCCACCTCCCATGGTCAACCCGGACATTTAGCTCGACCCCTCAAACCACCAGCATATCACCAATACACAAGACCTCCAGACGTGATTGATAACTTGAACTCAATACCAAATCCTCTACCCAACAATAAAACCCGTGTATACTGTTCTACCGCGCTCCATCTGTCAGACATGGCCGCGCCTAGGCACTCCGCCATGCTGTCTATCAGCAATGCCAGCACGCCGCAGTCCACATCCAGTGACAAGACACAAGTACAACAGCCACAAAGTCCCGCAGGTACATCCGGGCTCCGCGTGCCATCAAATCGCAAGACAATCTACGACCGACACTTGAACCGAAGCCGCAATGCAGAGCTCAGCCGATCAAGCTTCGCCTACCTATTTGGGGAGATGGTCTCATATGCCCAGCGGAGGGTAACGGGCATTCAAGATCTAGAGAAACGGTTCGTAAAAGGATCCAGGCAACCCAATGGCTGAATCAACATCATGCTATATACCCAGAAAAGCATATAACTAACTCTACATCTCTTCGAATTCAGATTAAACGAACAAGGATACCCCCTAGGCCTCCGTCTCCTCGACCTCCTCTTCTACAGAGCAACCTCTACATCCTCCTCGGCACTTTCCAGTTCCTCAACATCTTCTTCACCCCCAAATAGACCCCTCCGCATCCTAACCCTCCTCCACTTAATTCACGGTCCCCTCTGGCGCCTTCTGTTCCAACGCTCCGCAGATGCCCTTGAGCACTCTGTTTCTCCTGATACCCCTAACGAATACATGATCACCGACAACGAACCTCTCGTAAATACCTATATCAGCGTCCCCCGCGAGATGAGCATGCTTAACTGTGCGGCCTTTGTGGCCGGAATTATTGAAGGCGTCTGCGATGGGTGTGGCTTTGAGGCGAAGGTTTCAGCACATAATCAACCCACGGAGATGTGGCCCTCCAGAACGATTTTCTTGGTGCGCTTTGGGGATACCGTTATGGAGAGGGAGAAGGTGTTGGAGCGGGCTGGTGTTAAATAAGTACTTGAATGATTCAAGTTATTCATGATGATGTTTAGTGGGTGGTGTGTTCTGTTTTATTAGAAATGAATGACCTTGATATCAATGCATAGATCTCATCTTGAGTCAATGCCAAACGTCCTTTTGAAGCTTGAATTTTGAAGCTTGAATTTTGAGAATCTAATAGTATTCAATCGAGATTATACATCTGTGAAGTGTTCTGGCATGGAAGATCTTCCAGAGGGCAGATTAGATGAAAATAAAATCATTCATTTGTGTATACAAATCTGGGTGTATCGTTTTTGAAATCATGCTAGTATATACATTGATCGTTGGTTGGAATAAAGTCCACCTATGCAAAGATCTTGAACATTTTGGATAAAGACACCAGTACCAACGCCAGGAATCACATAGAACAGGAAGTAAAGAGTATGTAATTTGATAGCACTGATCATGAAGAGCTTTCAACTCGTCGTCTCTTTTCCCGGTCCTCGTACGGAGACGGGCTACGTTTCCGCCGCTCTCTAGACCGACTCCTCTCATCCCGGTCATCACGTCTCGGAGAGCGCGATCTGGATCTGCGTCTTTGTCGTACCATACTAGCATTGGCACCAGTAGGCCCAGTTGGAACCCGACCCCGGTCATCACCTCGATCAGGCATGAATCGCTCATCAGTAATGCCAACCGGTGGGGCATTATCACGACGACGATTCTGATACCCTTCACCAAAACGGCCAGTATCCTCAGACTTGAGATCACGGTAACGGGTACGGCCCTTCTTTCCGAGCTTGGTCATATCACGAACTTGCATGTACTCTGGCAGCGTATCGCGCGCCACATCATCCACAAACCGACGACCCATAACATTTCGCTGATCCAAGCCCTCTTTCTCCAAGTCATCGCGGAAGAACGCACCCTTGTGGTAATAGCGCTGCATGAATCCAGTCTGACCACGCGTCGCTTCGCGATCTTCCTTTTGCTGCGCAATGAACTCTGCATCTTCGCGATCCCGCTCTTCCTGCGTAAGGTTGCGTCGGCGCTCGATCTCTTCGTGTTCCTTTTCGGCTTCTTCGATTGCCTCGCGTTCACGCTTGACTCGTTTTAATTCTCGGAGCTTCCATGCGGCGTACTCGGCATCTGGATCAACACCATCTTTGTCATCGATGGCTTCTTCGTCGTCGGCTTCCGCTAGCTCGTCATCGTCCCAGGCTCGGTTCGCCGCTGAGCGCGCAATCGCATCTTTCTCTAATTGGTCCCGTACAAGCTGATCTGCTTTTTCTTGTCGACGAGCCTCGGTTTCTGCGAAGGAGTCGGTCGTGCTAGTACCGGATTTGGCTTGTGCTTGGTCTGTAGTCGCTTGTGCCTGTGCTGCAGCGTTCCTCCTGTCCTTCTTGATAAATGTAGGTCGTATTAATATCCGTCGAGGCGCTTCATCCTCGGAGCTGCTCTCCTCTTCTGAACTTTCTTCTTCTTCCTCCTCTTCTTCTGACTCTTCCTTCGTGGTTGTTACGGGAACCGGCTTTGATGCTGTAGAAGGCTGTGGCGCTGGGGCGGTATCATCCTCCTCATCTTCATCAGTGACGAATCCTTCCTCGTCCTCCTCCTGTGCTTCTTGAACAGCTTTGCGAGCAGCTGCAGAAGGGAAAGAGCTTGCTTTTGGAGCTTGCTGTTTACGGCGTTGTTCAGCTTGTCGTCGTTCCTCTTCTTTCTGCGCCTCAATATCGTCCTCGTCCTCTTCTTCAGATGATGATTGCTCCTCTGCGATTGGTTTTCCTGGTCGGTATCGGCCCACAGGTTTGAGTGGATTTGCGGTCATACCGCGGTGGGAGGATGGTAGTGGAGGAGGCATTATGAGTTGATGTGGTCGGGGTTGTAATCAGATAAGCGTGAGAGAGAAACAGTTGTAAGGAGAAGACTCGGGGTCGAGTTTGATCTAGAGCTCCATTGGGAAGTGTAGCGCAAGTCGAGAAGAATTGACGTCGCCAGACATGAGCTTCCGCTGATTGAGATTGATATAGAAGTCACGTGCTGATATAGTAAATTGTTACATGGAGATTTTGATCTAAAATCTTTACTACTTGGAATAGATATTGTACTCTGGATTTTGCACTCTAGCAGGATAAGAGCCATAATAGCCTTATTCAAGCTGTTAAATCTGGAAACCGCTCTTTTTGTTGTTGGACACCAGATCCATCTTGATTAGCCAGTTCGCCGTATATTGGCCTCGCATCTGCTTTTAGAAATGAAAATTCCCAGAAGTAGGCAAGGCCACAAATTAATAGTATTGGTTCATACTAATGAGATGATCTCATATATTTAGCCCTTCACCTAGTGGATTTGTAGAGTATTTTTGATGCTTTGATGTTTATTAATTAAGAATCCATATCACGTGCCTACGCGTCCTATCAACACGCGTCTAATCGGCGAAACTATCATTAAGCTCTCCAACATCCCTCAACGCCATACCTATCCAATCCTATTCGCAACAATCCAACCCAACACACAAAATGTCTCTCCAAACTCCCCGTATCCTCCCTCAGCATCTGTCAAACTTCCACCCCAACGCGAATTCGCGCACGCACACCGTCCGCATCCTGGGTACCGTTAGCGCGCTCCAGGGCGAAACCGCAAAGATCACTTGTGGCACCCATGGAGATGTGACACTCATCTTGACACCGGATGAGCATTTGCAAATGGGAAAGCTTGTTGAGGTTGTAGGAAAGGTCGCTGATATTGATGGCGGGGTAAGTGATTCATAAGTTCTTCTATGCTTATATCGAATGATTTATTCAGCTTGGGTTATGGGAACAAGGTGTCAAGAAAAACTAGAATGAACTAGATACTGATTATTATTTTCCTTCTAGATCGGTATTCGGGTCCTTGGAACAACTGATTGGGGTAACCCAGCGGACTGTGGTGAGCTTTGAATATCTTCTATGATGGATTTATGACTGATTAAATTCGTGATAGATTACAAGATCTATGAACAGGTGGTCGAGGCGACACACCGCGTCAAGTCTATTTTCTACGATGCTGAGTGAACTGTGTGAAGGAATATCTTCATGGGGCCAGAAGGAAAAGAAGTGCAAAAAACAAAAACAAAAAGCGACTCGGATTTAGATGGTCGTTTTATGGGTGGTACATTGGCTGAACCTATGTTGTTTTCTTATTCTATTTTATGAGTTGGTCTACAGCGGCTGACCAAGTCTCGATTTTGCATATTCTACGATGTTATGATCAAATTCTTGGTGTCGAACACCACAGGTGCATATCTTCCCTTCGTATTCATATTTGCTTGAGGCTTCATCATCAGTCGTATATCAATCTGGGTACATTTCATTCTACGTAGCCTAACCCTCAGGTTGAAGTGCTGGGTTCGAAGTTCGCCAAGAGTGTAATGGATAGTAGAAGAGAGTCTTCTCACAGGTCCCTTCACAGGTTTCACCCTGAGTCCATGTCCACTGAGTCCATGTCCATGACATATGCAGCTGAATACTGATCTGCATTGTCCAAAGTTTGCCAAGGTATCTGTGCAGATGTGATGGTGTGGGGGGAGGGGGGCCAAAACTAAGCCCCGCGGTGGTAATTGCCACCATTTGGAACTACTTGAATCGAAGAGATGTACCCAACCTTGGAAGGCGATATTGAAGTCTATTAGACATGTGAAGTACTATTGGTTACCTACATAGCTAGGTACCTATTCAGGTAAACATTGAACATATTTAAATCCTTTAGAATTGTCAATTGAGAACTCTCAGATACTATTTCCCTACACCATCGATCATGAGTGAAGACCCGTACGCTCGACCTTCAACAGATTACCCATTTGAAATCCAAATCAATCCTCTCAAACAGACGAGAGTGGTTGATATTCAACCTGGCTATGGTAGCCAAGAGATCCGCTGTACTCTGTCAGTGAAAAATCTACAGACTGAATGTCCATCCGATTATGAAGCTCTGTCGTATGTATGGGGCAAATGGGAGGATTGTGCCACTATTTCGTTGAACGGTATCCCAGATTTTCCTGTTACTCGCAATCTTGAAAATGCCCTCCAAAGACTTCGACATAGAGAAAGAACTCGCCGCATGTGGATTGATCAACTATGTATCCAGCAAGAATGCGACTGTCAAAATGGGGGACATACATGTGAGAAGAAGCAACAAATCAAGAATATCGGCCAGATATTCTCACAAGCTCAGCAAGTTATCATTTGGTTTGGAGAACACGACTAACCTCTCGTCTATGACCACTCGAAAGAAAGCCTCTTCAAAACCTTGAAATCAGCACTATCAACCGAACTGGTACAGCCATGGTGGACGAGAGCTTGGGTTATCGAGAAATATGCATTAGCGACCAAAGACCCAAAAGTGATGTTCGGTCCATATGAAAAGGAATGGGACGAGATGTACGAGCTCTTCGATGAGAAAAGAGGTAATCCTACACGAGCTTTGGGTAAACTTACAGAAATGTCTTTTCATCTTGACAACTATGAGGTCCTAAGAGCTCCGAGACCTCAACGCGAACGCGGTCCCATGGCTATTATGATGCGAGATCAAATAATGCGCGACCCGAAATTCGAGCGCAATCTTCATTTTCTCTCTGTCGTACTCAGAGAAACGAATACCCGGAATCCCGAGGACAAGATCTTCTGTATCTTGCCATCATTACACGAGAGAGAAAGAGAGCTTATCACCACTGGTCGTGCGAAATCAGTCTCTGAAGTCTTTGTCCAAGCAACATATGCATCAATAGCGTCAACAGGAAGTCTGGAAATCTTGAGTTTAGTACCAAGCCTATCGTCACGAAAAGATGGAAGTCCAACATGGGCAGTCGACTTTACATTCCCAGAGAAGTACAAAGTCCGCTCTCACCATTTTCCATCAGGTGGACGACGAGAGAGACTTCACGACTGGGTTAGCGGACCGGTTCAGGTTTCGTATCCCTTCGCTTCATATGGGATCTTTGAATTCTCAACTCGTCAACGCAACTGGTGTCATAAACACCCCGAGATAGCTGCTAGGTCTATCTTCGATCCGCATAATCACCAGAATCTAGCGTTGACGGGCTTAGAATTCGATTATATTCAAGATACGATGGGAGTCGACCGGTCTGCTACACTGCATAATCTAAGACCAGACCTAACGTGGGTTCAAGGGTCCATAAATCTGATGACTGCGAGTTCAACAAGCAAGCTAGTGTCAGGGCTTGATTCATTATACTTTGACTCGGCAGAACGAGAAGTCAAAGCTTCTATCAAGAAGAGAGCCTCTCATGGTTGTCCATATAATCAAATTGGTACATTTGAGAGATCGAAAGATAATGCAGAATGTCTTCCGAATGGAAAGGCTGTCCGGTTCACCATGCTTGCAGCTCTTTTTAGAGTATGGGATAAGTTAAACAAGCCCCCAGACGCGAAAAGGAAAGAATCTCTTGGTCCTGCTACGTGGACACAGATAAAAAAGGAATGGTCAAAAATGAATACAGAGACGAAGGCTGAGTCGGGGGAGGATAAGGTCTTTGATAAATCACTCGAAGGTACAGAAGACACAGGAGGCGGCGAATGGTTCGAGTGGTTTTGCAACGCTGGATTTCTTCTGCTCTTCTATCTAGAAACACGAGAAGCTTCTTTCTTTGTTACTGGGGCTGGATTTCTCGGTGTTGGACCGGCAGATCTTAAACCAGATGATAAGATTGTTCTCTTTTATGGAAGTCGATATCCAATTGCACTGAGGCGCTCTCCGCAGGGATCAAAGTGGTAATTTGTGGGATTTGTATATGTGCATGGGGTTATGGAAGGAGAGCTCTGGTACTGTTTTCTTGACATGGAGCTAAAAGAGACTGAATTTTGGTTGGAATAAACATCAATTTAATGCAGCCTTGAAAGAAGCTGGACAATGGAATATTATTCATGATAGTACATAAAAACAACAAAACTTGTATATCACCTGGGCAACAAACAAAAAGGGAACTTGATCCTTCCCAAGTTCAAATGTTCTTTCAAATATTGGCTCTTCAAACTCATGGAGTTCAAATGTTCAAATTTCCACAGGCTTACACACAACCTGGGCATAGTATCCATGTCCAGATCAGGCCGGGACGTATGATTACCTTGAACGGCCTTGCAGCCAGCGTACCAGAGACTCCAAAAATGGAATGAAATGAAACCCCAAAATGAAAAGAAGGACGAAAGCCACTAAACAAATAGCCACAATAATGACAAGAAACACGCAATAATCAATCGCGTCAACTATTATGGCCTTCAACCCATTCTTCTTTTCTTCCTCTAAGCGCTTTTTCAATTTTTCCGTCTCTGCAAGCAACCACGGTGGACTTGGAACTAAGCGCCCCCTGATATACACATAAGTGTTGGACCGGGAATCATGGCCCAGAGACTGGGCAAAGTCCTCCATGACTCGCATATAAGCGTTGAATCGGGACTTTGACTCTGACTCTGACTCGGAGTCGTTGTCTTGAAGCTGGGACTCTAAGTCCGGTTCAAAAGAGCCCCGGGGATGACGGAGCCTGGGGCCACCGGAAGTCATAGTGGTTGCTTTTTGGTGATTGAAATTCAGTGTTCTTGACAGGTTCTTGATAACTTGGAGCTTGAAGGAGTGAAGAGAAGAGAAAAAGAGCGGAGAGTGCATGATGTATGTATTATGCTAGTAGTATCGCCAGGGCCGGGCTCTATCGGGCGAATGGTATGTAAACTCGGTCAGGAACCGGGGCTGCTTATTCGAGATTAGTAGTACTCAATTCCAGTGACTCTTTTGAAGATACTGCAATTTAAACTTAACGGATTCCAAGGTTGTAAGCATTATTCCAACTTTATTAGTATAACCCGATGTTGATTTAGGCATAGCGGGGATCATTTACGGAGTCAAGTAGCAGAGACTAGAAGACTTGGAGTTGGGTAATTCAAATGTTGATAAGATTTATTTTGATTTTGATTTCTGTCATAGCAAGTTTATAGAATCAACGAGGCGAAGATTCTAAGAGCAATCATCAACTGTGCAACAAGGAATGCCTATGCACATATGGTGTAAAAAATAGTAAGCATAGAAGCCCAATATATGGATACTTCTGGTCATAGCTCTGAACAATAAGAAAAACATGGATAAGCCATCAAATAGGGGTAGAAAGACACCTGGGAGTCAACAGGGGTGGTATGTGGTAAGAATAAGCAAAGAAAAGAAGTCGTACACCATCCGGAACGCCATCGCTGAAAGTACAAGATAGAAACATAAAAACAAGAGACCGTCAGTGAAATGTGACAAAATCTGAAACAAGAAAGGATTTTTGGTTTCACGCAGCAGGAGATGCCTGCTGCTGTTCATTCGACTGCTCGTTGGCAGATCGAGGTTTGAGAGGACCCATGGAGTCGTTGTGAAGGTTATCAGAGCTGAAGAAGCCCGAGTCAGGGAGTTGGGCATCGGCGAACCCGAAAGGGTTGAAAGCGGAGTTATGAAGATTTTCCTTGAGAATGGCAGGATCGGAAAGAATGGCACTAATCAGGTCGTCATGGGGACCGCCATTATCCTCGGACTCGTTGGGAGAGACGTAGTCCGTGGGAAGCCAATCTGCCCAGTCCTGTTCTGCATTTTTGGAATCACCAAGCTGGAAAAAGTCAGGCTGGACGCTGGTTTCGTCAAAGATGTCGAGGATCATGCCATCAATAGAGTCAAAGGATGTAGACTGGAATCCGCCATTGGACTGGCGAGGACTGATATGAGCCTGAGCCTGATCTTCTTGAATACGCTGAAGTCGTTCCGCAGTGAGTCGGGTGGAAGCAGTTGCTGATCCCACATCTCTGCGACGGTTACCAGTTGGCGAGTTGCAAGGGAGCGAGTGTCGTCGTTCATGTAGTACGCCATTCAACCGACCAGGGAGGCGACGACGGGGAGTAGGGCTGATAGGCATGTCGGGGTCCACGGAAGGACTCTCAAAAAGGTCATCCAGGCCATCGGTGGGCTCCTGGTTTTCTTTTCCTCCAACGTGTTTATCCTCTCGCGAAGCAATTCTAGGGCTGCGCCTGGGAGAAGCTGCGTTTCTCATCATGGAGGGGTCCAACTCTTTTAAGGGACTATCGTTTTGAGAGGGAGGTGGGAACAAGGCTCGTCGCAGTGGCTTGGGTGTCAGTGCGCCTTCAGCAGTGGCAACTTTGCGAGCGGCCATGTTCCTTGCAGGGCTAGATTGAATTGCACGCTGCAGGGCCTCCAATGCATCATCGTGCTCCCAGCGAGTTTTCGCGCTTTCTGTTGAGCGCGGGGGGTTCCGCGCTGTTTGCGCGACGGCGTTTGCTAGGAGGCTCCTCGACTTCAACATCCTGTCCCTGGTAGTGATCTGCTTCTTGGTCGGGATTGTTGTCTACCTGAGGGGTGTCTACCTGAGGTGTAGCACCTTCCTCCGGCTGCACAGAGGAAGCCTCTGTCGGGGCAGGAGAAGACGCTGCCGTCACACTGGACGCTGCCATGCTGCGAGTCATTGTGGAAGGGATTGACAGCGGGCCTCCAGTCCTGCGGTTTCTCACGGGGCGCCTCTTTCGCTGACCATCGTTCCCTCCTTTGTTCCACTTTTCCTCGGGGCGCATCATCTTGAACTTATAAAGCCAGAGGCCACAAGGATTGCAAAGAAGTACTTGTTCTGCATCTCCCCAATTCTGTGGGGTTTTCTTGTACATCTTGAACTTGGTGATTCTCTCCTGGGAATCGCGCTCCAAAGCAAGATAGAAGAGAATTCCGGTTTCTTGCAACATTTGTTTCGCGTAATCTTCCCCACCCTCGAAGTCTTTCATCCACGCTCGGCGCCAAGTGGGTGTTTCGATACAACCACAGTTGTCACAGAAAGGAGGAACCTGTCCGGCTTTGATGGCAGAATCTAAACGCTCTTGGATTTGCTTGGCTCTCTTCTTCGCGCTACGAGGCTTCGTCGCCGAAGACGTAACAACGGGCTGAGGCATTGGGTGAGCAAGTTGTGGCATGGGGTGAGCAACTTGTGCGATTGGGGTGACAATCCGCGAAGATTGCTCAACCAGGACAACATCGCTCATTGGTTGGGGGGGAGTTCTGAGTCTGGTGTTGAGGGTGAATGGGCGCGACAGGATCGCTTGCAGGGATGGGTCTTGCGTCGATCGGAGGTACGGGCATCAGTGGCTTGGGTGCCAACCGCACGCTATTTCGTGAGTTCGGTCTGGAACTGGCCGATGAACCGGGACGACGTTGTGGTGGTAGTGACGGTCTTGGAGTTTGGTTTGTCGGGGCACCACTCATCGGTCGAGATTCGTGAGAGTTGTCAGCTGGTGTGCCCACCACGCTGGTTGGCGAATTGGCTTGCACAGCAGATCGGACAGAATGAGAAGGATTTGCACCATCCGGATCATATGACCCAGCCCTTGGCCCATTCCCAACGGGAGTATTCCCTTCGGCATCTAAAAGTTCCTCTAGGCCGCCACTCATGAAGCCGGAGTCGGTATCGATAGTCAGAGGAGGTAGTACAGGACTGGATTTGGGAGGAAAGCGCGCAGCGATGACTGGAGGTGATGAGGGCATTGTGAATGGAGGCTCAAACAAGCCTTGATAGCGAGACTCTTCAGGCGATTGGCCTGCGGGATCTGTGTGAATATCGTCGCTATTCATGTATGGCGACGCGTACGAGCTAACAACAGATGACTCTCGAAGTGCGCTTGATTGGGGACGCTGCCGACGTGGCCCATTTCCAGGTCGCATAATTGGGGTTGGAGGGCGAACGGGTTCTTCATGGGACTGCTCAGCAGCAATGGAAGGGTTAACTGGTGTAGGACGGTGGATTCGGACGGAGGCTGCAGTACTGGCTGCTACTCGTAGAGAGCTGGGCTGTCTTTCGATGTTCATATCCGACTTTCCTGGCCAGCTTGCTTGATAGAGCTTGGCTCTCTTTCGGGGTTGCGGATCCATATCCTCACCTCCACTGGCGTAGCCGGACTGTATCGAATCTCTCCTCGAGTGGCACTGTTGCATCTGGAAATCGTTGTCTCGCATGGAAGCGCTTGAAGATGGTCGGATCATATCACTGCTTTGGTTGTACTGGTGCTGCCTTGATTGGGGTTGTGAGTGTTGGGTGTGGTTGTAGGCAACGCCGGGTGTTGATACTCGGCTATTGGCAGCAAAGGACTGCGCAGGAGAAACTGAGCGCACTGATTCATTTCTCTCATAGCCAGAAAATTCTCGAGGAGTGGCACCCTCACTGAGGATCTGGTGAAATCTTTCAATACCCGATCCACCCATTGGAGAACTAGTGTTGCCCCGGTCCTGTGCCTGGCTTCGAGAGGCCTCCAGAAGTCCGGGATTCTGACGAACAAAGTTGGTCCAGGACTGTGCATCGAAATCGTGTGGGATCACATTGCTAAGATCACGGTACTTTTGCATGCTGTCGAGGTATTGGCTTTGCATAACAGTCGGAACAGGAACTAGTCGGAGCTTGACTTCCAAAGTTTCTTGGGCGCCTGCACCCTTAGAAAATAAGCCCAATGGGTTCTTACAGACTCGGCCTGTTACCATAGTTTTGGATTGGTGTGCGGGTGCCTCTGGTGTTGGTGAAGCAGAGGCTAGGACCCATGAGAGCATTCCTTGCCCCACGAGAGGGGTCTCATATTCTGAATAGTCGTATGCGTACACTGTGTAATCCTTTCCAAGTTGTGCCACCAATTCCGGACTGGAAGAAGTAAGTATTCGATCTATTTTTTTCCCTTTCAAGGTCGAGGGAATCAAACCTTGCTGATACAATTGCTTGGATGCATGTTTTTAGTTCAATAACTCCGACCGCGGTAGTCTCATCCAGGTAGGCTGTTTGGATGTCGAGGACATGAGGCCAACGAGCAAGACAATTAGTCTTGCTTTCGTTATCAAAGGTATATAATACCTTTACTGTAAAGACCATATAATTTTAGCCACTAACATCCGACAAATCTTTCCTGTATAAAGGTGCCATACGCCTCATAGACCGGACGGTGATTCCGTCCTGAGAGTCCATCTCATCAAATTTGGTGTTGTCACCATGTATGGTCTCCGGAGAGTGTGAAAAGGTAGATGCCGGAGGAAGTGGGAGTAGGAAGGAAAATGATCAGGTGGGGATAATGGTTTGAAGATAAGACAGAAGAAGGGTCGTGTTTGGCAGGGTGGGGATCGAAGGCTCAAGGGCTGTTGACAGGATGAAGACAAAATCGACTTTTGTTACTCCACAGTACCTCGAAAAGATACAATTGAGGTGGTAGCGAGTCGATCTAGTAGCCAAGCATATCGATCAAAAATCTGGTCGACCGGGAAAATTGATAGATTATGCAGATGGCACACTAGGATCTGCAGGACTGGAATGCTGGGTCAGTTGATCCTAAGAAAGGGAGTTCGAGGTGTTGGTCATTACCGAAAAGGGTTAAATTGAAAAAAGAGAAAAAGGAAAAAAGAGTAATATTAGAATAGGAGAAAGAAAAGGGAAGAGAACAATCTGCATCTGCAGGAGGTGAGGGGAGGTTGTGGGAAAAGAGGAGTTAAAGAGGAGTTTAAGAAGAAGACCTTGCATTCGCGGGTTGAAGCTATCCCGCTGATCTCTAAACAAGCGTGTACGCGACGTGACTTGACCAATCGCGACCGAGCCGCGAGCTAGAAGAAATCGCGTGCCTTGTTGCCTACTTTCTCAGGCACCAGTTTTGACCGCAAAAGTCACGTGATCATCGAACCTGCTCATCTTCCAGTATCTTGCGAATCGGCGAGGACCTCCACGGCCTTTTTATACCTCTCACTCCACACAACATGTCGACAGCTCCCGATCCCAAGATCCAGTACGTGACACCTGAATGACTCATCGATTTATGTTATGGTTTCATCAGCTGACCCAATCCGCTCACAGAGATCTCCTCAACAAGCCCAAGAGCGAGCTCACGTATGTTCTACCCAGCTACCCAGTGCTCTTTAATTCCCCGCTCGAATGTCCATCCTTCCCCTACCCCTCTTTCGGCTATTCGCTGCTGCCCGATTGTGTGATATTATTTCCGAGGCCACGCAATGTCCTTTTTTAATCACACTCCGATGCATGCGCGATCTAAGAGACATACATGAATATGAAAGACTAATGTTGCATCGCAACTCGATAGAGAATATGAGGTCGCTCTTGTTGAGGAGCATGAACTCACCGCCGGCCCGCTGTCTCTCTTGCAGACCGCCACCCGCACACACACCCAGGTGCTGATCTCCTGCCGTAACAACCGCAAGCTGCTGGCTCGTGTCAAGGCTTTTGACCGACACTGCAACATGGTTCTGGAGAACGTGAAGGAGATGTGGACCGAGAAGCCCAAGGGTAGCAAGGGCAAGGGTGTGAACAAGGATCGTTTCATCAGCAAGATGTATGTGGTTGGATCTTTAGTGTGGCTTTGCATGCTTCATATCGCTCTCTCCCATTTAAGTGGTCTATACTAACCCTCAACTTAGGTTCCTGCGTGGTGACTCGGTTATTCTCGTCCTGCTCAGCTGAGCGTTTTATTATCTCACTCTCATGCGCATCTACCTCTCCGCCAGGGTGGCTCATCTCCCCTTCACACCAGATCTACCCTGGTATCTTGGAAGCCCGAATCCATGGGGCGGTTTGATCTCTTGCAGTGCATATCACTCTATTCCTGGATTTTGGATTCATCATGTAATCGATACCGATACCCCTTTCCCCTTTCTACCTCATCCACCCTATGATTTGCCTACTTCTCCACGAAACTTGAATCTTCTCCCTTGCTTCTGGTTGTCACCGCCAGGCTAGGCGGATCACTATTTTTCACCTGCTTTTGAGGTAACATATGTATGCAACGGTGACTTCTGAGCATACTAAAAATTTACTACTGGCGTTCTGTTCCTGGGGTTGGTGTCCCGATATTTTAGAGGAAGCGTCTTGGGCGGCGTCATGCCCCAGCTTAACTCGTTTGCAATGGAATTGAATTTCTTTAAGATCTACCCTGAGATTTGCATGTCCTTTTCTTTACCCTCGGCTGGCTTCACCGACCTGAGGTTCGGACTTAGTTGTGACTCTCTAACGGCCCTAACTTGAAGTGCCCAGAACCCCGCAGGTACCAATGTGGGTACTGGTCTCGGGAGGTTCAACTTAGCTGGCATAACCTTTCATGATTCAAATTTACATGTAAAGATATCTAGAATAGATCAAGTGGTAGTATGGACCTAGATCTTCACGAACCAGATCATTTCACCTCCCATTGCTCTCTCCCAGGCAATCCCCACACTCCAGGCCTTCCCTTCCACGCTAATTCGAAACTCGGCATCGTAGACATCAGGACAAAAAGCCCCAAAATCCTCAATGTGCGTTGAAACCATCAGGAAATGATCACCGGTTACATGCTTGAAATTGATGGATTCTGGCCAAGTCACGTCCTTTCGATCGGCGCGCAGAACACCTTCGCTGCCCAAATATATGGTGATATCCTTATAGCCCGCATGAGTGTATGTGCCAACATACTTTTCCAATGGTAACGAGAGCGGGAGAACAACCGGCGGGCGATAGTCAATTTTGTCAGCCACCCATTGTTTTTCTTTCTCAATCACTGCCCAGTTTCTTCGATCCCAATCGAACCTCTGAGGCTTGGGGATACCGAGGCGTTCATCGAGAAGATGAAAGGCGAGGAGCTGAGCAGCATAATTAGATGTTTTAGGCGTATTTGCCAGAATTATAACACCAAACTCGAGTTCAGGGACGAGAAGTAATTGCGCGCCGAATGCATTCATACTGCCGGTGTGCTCATATATCTGGAAACCCATATAACATTCTGTTATCCAGCCTAAAGCATATGCGCGGGGACCCGTGAAGGGAGCCGCCGCAGGTATCAGGGTTCGTGGCTCCCATAGCTGGTGGAAGGTTTCTGGGCTCTGGAAGATGTTTTTCTCAACGAAGATTTGCGGTCGGAGTAAAGTATGTACCCATTTAGCGTAGTCGAGGACGTTGGTGATGATTGACCCAGCACCGGATACTTCCTCCAGTGGCATCCAATCTACTTCATGGTAGATGCCATCTTTGTCACCACCATGGCCAGAGTAGTAGTAGCCTCGGGCCAGTGTTTCAGGAGCAGCTTGTGCATCTTTCAAGGAGAAGTAAGTGCCGGTCATACCAAGTGGTTGCCAGAAAGAGCGAGCTAGACAGTCACCCAGCCATTGGCCTGTCGCAGCTTCGATAATGTGTGAAGCCGCTACATACATCAGATTATTATATTGATACCGGGTACGGAGCTTAGCTGTTAGCGGAAGATGGGCGAGTTGACGAACATTCTCCCGGACACTGGTGCGAGAGCTAGCGTGGTCGTGACCAGGGAGCCCGGTTCGATGCGACAGCGCATCTTCAACGGTAATCTGGTTCCCAGTGCATCTATCTGATAAGGCAAAGTCTCCAGGGAGTAATTGACTGATAGGGGTGTCCCATCGGATCTTTGTGGCGGGATCCTCCGTAACCTTAGCTAGCATAGCCGCTGTGAAGGCTTTGGTTGTGCTGCCCCCATAGAAAAGAGTCGAGGGGGTGACTGGTGTGGAAGGCAGACTCGCAAGCCCATACCCCTATAACCATTGATCTGTCGTGTCAGTGACTGTAAGCCCTGCGATACTTGGAAGTATTCCCCTGGGGCATAGAGGGGTACGCACTTCTGCCCAGGTATGATCACCATCCACCATGGCGATAGCCATCCCAGGTACGTGCCATCGATTCAATGTCTTTTGGACCAAGCTTTCGAATTGTCGCTCCTTTAGTGGGCTGGCATGAGAAGTATTCCGCATCGTTAAAGTGTTTTCCGTTTTTGATTCCCACAGATATTTATTGAGAAGGAGAGAGAGAGCGAGAGAAAGAAAGAGATAAGGCATTTGCGGGGGTTGTTCAAGTTATTGCACAACTCAGCCCGTGACTATAACGTCCTACGATGTATTCTGAGCACTTCAACTTGATGTCCCACATGTGTATGTGAGGTTCAAGTGCTGCTCAGTCCTATAGTGAAATGCTACTATTAGCATAGATAAACCTCTTTTACTACAGTGATACGGAGTAAATACTACTACTAGGTAGTAATATCAAACTCACTTGGAATAGATCATTATTTGAAATGTTAGAACTTGATATTTTGTTTTGTTTTATTTTATTTTATATTTATTTTTCTGATATCTAATAATCTAAATGCAGGGATTACAGTAGACAGTAGAGAATCAAACTAGTTAAACACCATTCAAGGAACCAGATCTCCCATAAATTTGAGTGAAAAGCTCCCCAGGTAACCACTCTGCTCTGCTAGTCTAGCGGTCGGCGACCCAGACTCGACGGGGATAAAGGTACTGAAATTAGGTATGCCGGGCCTGGTTTCAGTGGCAGAGAAAATACATGCGGGCGGGAGGGATCTAGCTACGGCTAGGGATAATGTCTTTTTTAATTTTAATTTTTAAACTTTTTATCTATTATACTTCTAGCTTTTCTATCTCTATTAAAACTTTCAGATCCTCAAAATAAAAATAATTGAAGGAGATAGAAGGGATTATGTGATGGGGATGAATGTATCAAGTGAGGCTGTTGAGGCTATTCACGCATTTCTGATTTTGAAGCTCCTGGGTTCAATCCCTGACCTGGCTGGTTTTCTTTTTTCTTTTCTTGTAGCCTCTTCTCCTATTTAGGTTGCAGTAGTTTTTCGAGTTTCCTCCCCGCCTGGCAGAGTACCATCTATAGCTCATCCCCACACAGGCCAGTTGCCTATATCCAACTATGTATATAGCAGCTAGCCTTCCCTTCCAGGTAATCATGCAAGTCACCCTGTAGGTAACCCCGTAGGTACTTACATGCAAAGAGGGGTATGTAACCAGTTACCTGTGCATACTACTGACTGAGTACTTAACTATGTGAACATGGCTGTAGTGTCACGGTATCTACCTACTTGACCGAGATTCCTAGCCAACCTCTTCAAATGTTGAGTGCTGAGTATATATCTTGCCCTATTTCACTGCTACATAAACTATTTGAATGAACATAGATTGATGTTGTCTTCTTCTCAGAATATCATTTCAAATATCAACTTTTGAATCAACTTTTGAATCAACTTTTGAATCAACTTTTGAATCAACTTTTGAATCAACTTTCATCACAACACTCCTCAATCTCATCAACATTTTCATCACCTCAAAGCATCAAAATGATCACTCTGTTCGCTCTTTTCGTCATAGTTCAGGTCTTTGAACTTGGAGTCAAATGCGCTCCAATACCCCGAAAAGCCGCTCGATACACCATCGAAAATTCCATCAATATATTAACACCCAAAAAAATCTTGAGTCTCTATATGGGCATGTGGTGGGTATGAGAGGACAGGGGACAAAGGATGCAGCGATCAAAGTTCCAGGACTTGAAGACCTGATGCCAGCATGCACATCGATGAAGCACTCGAAAGGAAAGACTCCAATTACAAGCGCAAGCTGAGCCAGAGACCCCGATTGAAGAAGATGATGGTTTCAAATCTGGAATACATATCCTGAGAGAAGGTACCCGTGACTTATTTCAGTCATTGGAATTTAAATCAAGAATTGCCAACCTCCATCAGGCACTGGCATTAGAGGGATTATAGGGATTTATTCCTTGGTTTATTCAAATACTTAGAATGTTTCTCTGAGCCTCTCACTTATCTCCTATTTATCTCTTATTTAGTACCTATTATTTATCCACCCTTGTGTTGTTATATCTGTACCCCTGTATCTAAAACTTGAATTGAAATGAAATGAAATAAGAAGACTCAGCATCCTGTTCCACGGGATAGAAGAAACTTGAACTTGAACTGCATATGTCACGAGCGCTGGGACCCAGGCGCTTTAAGAAGCATGAATATCAACATTTAACCTACCAACTTCAACTCTCAGATTCCCAACCGGGTTGTTGCCGTGGGACTTGGCGACCTGTTCGCAACTCTTTGTCCGATGCCCGAAATGGGACCCCCTTTTCGAGATTTGGCTCATGTGGAAGAAGTGTATGCTTCCAAGGCTCTTCTGGCTATGTGTTACCTCTGGGCCCTGGTACTAATATTTGGCTAGATATACCGGCATTAGCTATCCCCTTGAATTTTCTCAGCTTTATTGCTCTTTTCAAATCTACTTCACCACGCGAAGCTTGAAGCCTCACCTGAAGTTCCAAACCGCGTCGCATCTTACTCACTTCTCCAACCTCACTTACCCAATTTCACTTTCCTCCATCTTGCTCATCTTCAGTCCTGCCTTCCAGCAAGAAGTCAGCGACTAAGTCGCCAGCAGCAACTTCCCTGTCACCACCGCAGCAACATCACCACGAAATGTGGCCAAAGACTACATGGAGGCAAGGCTCGAGCGCGCTGCTGCCGAGAAAGCGCTTGACGAAGCCGATGATGAAAATCGAGCCCGACAACCCCTATTCCTCCCACGCCTATTGTTGAATTTGGAAATTGGGCCACGATTATATCTTGTCTCCAGGGGGTGCCAGGTGCCCTTTAGGCAATTGTGCAGGTCCTTCAGTGGGCTAATAAGAAACCGGCACCCTCAACTCAAACAAAGGACCGCGACTTGGAGGTCCTAGAATCGAGCCAAGCCATGCTCTTCTACTTCAATCTTGTAAACGAGCTCAACGAGCGCGTGGCTGAGTTGGAAAGACGGGCTCAGTGATTTTTTTTTTACAAATCAAAATACATCACCTTCGGGTCTTTGGTCGCTGATGCATAATCCTCAAGCTCTCGTGCACCATGGTTGGACTAGTTCGGTTGATAGTGCTGATTTCAAGGTTTAGTATGAAGTTTAGAATACCATCATCATCAATATTATATTAAACCACTCGAAATCCCGAGTCCTGGTATCAACTTGAAACTATTTATATGAAGGCGAGCACATTCAACTTAAGCTGCCTCAGCAATGCCAGCCAAGAACTCACTCAAACCATAAGCACCAGGATCTGGAACCTTTCCAATCCACTCGGACTCTCCACCAACATAAACCGAGCGACCAAGACTAGCCTTCATACTCTTCGTAGACTCCGTACCCTCATTAGCAGCCACAGACGCAGCATTAACATCATGCTTAGCAAACAAAGTCTCACAGAACGGCACAAGCGCATCCATAAGTGTTCGGTCACCCGGCTTAGCGGGTGTGTATTTACCGAGCGCAGTAACAGAGTGCTTGAGTGCCTTGGCCCAGACTTCAGTGTTGGCTTGAAGTGTTGAGCCCTTATCCTGATCACGGAGTCCGTGGGCTAGGGCGTTTAGGAAAATTGCATAGATAGCTCCGGAAGTACCGTCCATGACATTCTCGACAACTGTCACAATTCGGTTCACTGTGTTCACGATGTCGTCGCTTAGTCCGGGTGAGGCGCCGTCGAGCAGTTCCTGGATCGCTTCGGCACCACGCTTCAGACCGACACCGCAGTCGCCGTCGCCGACGATTGTGTCGAATTTCGTCACGTCGGGTTCGGCGGCGATGACACGCTTGAGACCGGCGCCGAGAACTTTCTTAACGACTGCGGGGTCCACTTTGAATATTGAGTATTAGTATGGGCTCTAGAGGATGTTGAGAGTTGGAATGAGACTTACGCTTCAGGTTACTGGGGTTCTCCTCGGCCAGGTTGGAGTTCTTGAGTGCCACAGGAGTATCGATGCGGTTTTTCCAAGTCGAGGATGAGATCGGGGCAGACCAGCCTACAGCCTCGGCGGGAGCATCTAGTAGTTCGATCAAGGACTTTCCAGCACCGAGACCGGTATCAGCGAGCTTGAGTAGCGAGATGCTGAAGCCCAATCCATCCAAACTGCTAAGGAATGTGCCCTGGATCACTCGGACGGGTGTAATATTGTAGCCAGAGTTCAGCTGGCGGTGGACCTCGTCGGTGATACCGGCCAACTCAATAGGACTGACACCGCCGAGATTGTTGATGAGGAGAACGAAGTCATCCTTGGGAGTGTAGGTGACGTAGGCACGGTCCGAGTCATTCTGGTCCAGCAAGGACTTCAGCATGGTCTCGACCAACTTGACTAGGTCTGCTTTGGCGCGGTGAGATCCAGGTTCATTGTGAATACCCATACCGACCTCGGCGTCTCCAGGTGCAATAGTATCCAGACCCTTGGGGACTCGGCGGCCGGGAATGTGAACATGCTCCAGAGAAGTACCAATGGAGACCAAGTTATCGTTAACATGTTGAGCGAGACCGTAGACCTCGTCAAGGGAACCACTTTGTAAACATATATTAGCGAGAGCGTCAAAAAAAGGAAACCAATGTATAGTTCCCAATGACTCGAATCAAATACTTACCCAGCTTCCGCCAGAGCTCCAACCAACTTCAAGATCAAGGCAGCACCACCGATACCTCTCCGACCAACCTTCCCACTCTTCTTGCGACCAACACCCACGTCATCGGCCATAGCAAAGAATTCCGTACGGATACCCGCAGCACGGGACTTCTCCGTGGCCATACCAAAGTTAAGCACATCACCAGTATAATTATTCGGGATAATCAAAACGCCACTATCAGTGGGGACTCGATCCATAGCAGCTCTACGGATCTGCTCAGCGGAAGGGGAAGCAAAGATAGTACCCGCAACCGCGGCATCGCAAAGACCATGACCGACAAAGCCGGCGAAAGCGGGTTCATGGCCAGAGCCACCACCGGTTACGATGGAGACCTTCTTAGATTTGCGGGGCGCATCTGGACGACGAAAGACAATTTTGTTGGGAACATCCAGTGCCAGGGAAGGGTTGGTGACGGTAATGGAATTGAGTGCGGTTAGGACCAAATGGGTCGGATCGGAAAAGAAGTGCTTGGCTATGTATGACGGTGAGTATATATTTTAACTTGAAGTTGGTTCCAGGGTCTCAGAGTGGAGTAACGGGAACCTAGTCGTAACCTTGGGAGGACTTACTTTGCATTATTGATCAAATATGAACGTTTTCGGGGGGAAACTTTTGACGGAACCACAAATGGTGTACCGTTGGTAAAAATGGAAAATTGATATAGCTTCGAAGCTCCCGAGGTCAGGTATAGTGATTGTGGTCAAACTTGCAGCTTGCTGCGTACTAGTATTGAAGGCGGGGGAAAAGTGGGGAGTTGACGCAGAACTATTCATTCAAGTTGTTAGCAATGTACATTGAAGGTACTCGATAGACCAAGTTAGAGTCAAGATTGACGTGTCAAATCAATAACTTGAATTGGATGAAATCAGGAGCTAGAAGTAAAAAAGAGGAAGATACATACCAATGTCAAAGCTTCTAGCTCAGAATGACTCTATATAATCTGGGGAAAGCTAGTAGAGCAAGATCAGAAGTATAGAGAGATGCAAGAAGAAAAGATCTGGACATTGGGACACCTCATCTTTATAACTTCCAAGTTTTTTTCTTTTCTTTTATTTCCCAATTGACCAGACCCTCTCTTTTTTTTACAGCTCACATGAGTCTTTTGCCTCCCGGATACTCCATCTTTTCTCCAGTTCTGGAACGAAGCTCGGATTACCTTGTGGGGTAATTCCGGACACCTTGTCACACTCAAGTCACACTGTTAATTTATCGACCGAGAAGACTTAACCGTATGGACCATATCCACACCGCTCAGACATCAAACAACCCCCACCTTTTACATCATTCTTTCTGTACTAGGAGTTTCTCCTTTACCCTCATCTTACCTCACTTTACTTGTCTCTTCACCTCACTTCTATCTCACTTCTCAGATATCCCTCTCTTTTATGCTCTATCACCTATCACTCTCATCAGAGAACATGAGCTTCATGGTTTCAACTACTCACTTTTCCACATTTGCCGAGGCCCAGGGGGCTTTGAAATCCAATGCCCATTTTCAAAGCTATGGTTTTCCCTTGGTTAAGAAACCGCACTTACAAGCACCTAAACTTACCTTACCAAATTTTCTGACAGCAACAAAAATATGACTACAGCTGCTGGTCCCGGAAAATGTGCTCCAGTGCCAGGAACGACTTATGATTAGGAGGCAAGCGTATCATGTCAAACAGAAGGCTAGTTAGTTATGGGTCACCAACTTCTTACTAGGAAGTCACATAACTAGTTTGTACTTAGCCGCCAAGCTGGCTACAGAATGAAAGACACCTTTTACCAATCTAGATTACTCCTTGGTAACACTATGCCAGGAAAAGTTTGAAAGTAGATGTGCTTTGCTCGCCAGAAATTTGAAACAACTTGAATGTAAATTTGTGAGGCTAAATTGAAGTGACATCGACGCTCTTCAAGTTGGACCGAAAGTATCAGAATATGTACTGGTACAAAGGTGAAGAAGATGGAAGATCGAATCAATGTATCGATTAGGCATACGAGGCCCATCCTGTGTAATAAATTAAAGTTAGTAAGAATAATCTTGGAAATAATTGCAATTGTGACTGTCAAGGGGTCACATACCACAATAGAGCACAGCAAGATTTCGTTCATCAGTTGCCTGTTGAATGAGCTCATTGACAGTAGCAGTGACACTAAGTGTTTTGCTCAATTTCTTCGCAACCACAGTCAAGGCTCGGTCAGCTTCACTTGGCTCGTTTGTGGATGATTTGTCTGCTGTTCCTGGCACAACAGGGGGCTCGGCTCCTGCTTCCTGATCGTCCTGCATTTTTTTCATTCGCAAAGGAGAAACGGTCCAGCTGTACAACGGATCATAACGAAGCACATCAAGAATTGTCATGATGCTGTATGACTCTTGTCGAAGTGCTTCCAGGGTAAACTCGCAACATCTTCTAAAGACCCCTTCCGTCTTTGTTATTCCGAACCCATCGACAAGGTCTCTGGTTAGTCTGAACGGGACAACCTCTGGGACAGGTAGAATACGCCCTTGTTCGAACGCTACACCCAGATCGATGTGAACCACCTCTCCTGTCTTCTCATCAAGCAGAATGTTGTGGCCATGTCTATCACCGAGTCCCAGAATATGCCCTAGGATGGAAATTGCTGCTGTGCTCCGAGTGTAGGCGAGGCGCTTGCTGAACCAGTCGTCGGGGTTGTTGAATTTTTCCATGAAGAAGTATTTCATCACTGGGTGGAAGTGTTCCGTCACTTGGCGATATGTTCTTACTCGCTGCTCAAATGATCTAGTTTGCACTTCAGCAATGTGCTTCCGACAAGCACTTGGCTTCATATCCTTTGGGAAATATCGCTGATGCGCAGGCATGAGATAATCATTCAATGGAACCGTATTGGGGACGAATTCAATGATTCCAGCATTGAGTGTCAAGGGAAGGACCTTGTAGGTCCTGATCCCGAGATTACGCTGACGAGTCGACTGATGGTCATTCAAAACGCTGCTGACTTGCTCAAACACTTGCTCCATGATCGCGTCCTGGCGAAGATCATCATTTCCTCCTTTATACTAAAATGAATGTCAATAGCAGACCTGAGCATGGAATCAATATTTCTTACCAGCTGTTTGTAGCGTACACCATTTGTTGCGATAGCCGTCACAATTTTCGGGGCGCTCACACCAGATGCAAGTGTAAACTCGGAGGAAAATCTGGCGACTGCAGGAACTTGACTATAGTCACGGTCTGGTCGGAGATCAATCTTCATAGTTGGTGGTGGGAGCCGGTGGTTCATTGCATCTTCACCAAGACGTTCACCTGTAGGAAGCTTTTTAAGTGGGATTTTGGCACCTGTCTTGAACTTGCTGTCTGGCTTATCGATGGCAAAGCGGACATAGGTAATGTTCATGTTATGAACTGCGACCCATGTTGACCCTATCTTGCTATCGTTCTTCAACCGATCAACAAGCTGATTAGCAGCACGGAATCGAGAATGAGAGGAAGGGTCTTTTCCTCCCTTTGATTTGCTGCTGGCGAATATTTGGTACATGCCATGGAATGGATGTTCCACACAGATCTTGTACACGAGTCCAGTAAGCAAAGACTGAAAATCATCAGATTTGTCAAGCAGCCGAGAAGACAGTTGATTCATGAGTGGCGCAAACTTGTAACTGGGAACCTCATCGAGGTGTCTGGAAACAGCGGCATTTGCAATCTTGCTATCAGACTGGTCTAGCCACAGGGCACAAAATCGAAGAACATCATTGTTGTACGCATCGCTCTCCTTCAAGGCGAGGAGATAATTTTCCAGGCATTGTTGCAAGAACGCCTCTCGGCTTCGGAGCAAGCGCTGGTATTCACGGTCATCCAGGTCAAACCATTGCTTGGCTTTGGCACGGAAGATTTTCAAAGACTCCTTCTCGCGACCCTGGGCACTTTTCATCATATCTTCAAGGCCGAGAAGTTCTTTTTCCTTCCGATCTCGCAGCTGTTGCACTCGCTTGAAATCTTCCATACCATCAGTGTTTAACAACTGCTGGTCACAGAAAGTTGCGAATCCATGATAAACCCGTCCCGCAGTTTCTCCCTCCGAAGCACCCTTGAGTTCCTTGACTGCTGGGGACAAGTAGTCATGGAGAATTGAGTCTGGTTTCTCAAGACGCGCTTCAGCGACATGGTGGCCCTTTGAGATATAAATTAAAAATATGAGCAAGAAAATAATTCAATGAAACTTACCAATGTAACAAGTAGCTCTGAACGACGGAGGGGTATGGCCTGCCTATGCAGGTCGCTCTGGCCCTTCAGTTGCTGCAGCATTCGAATAGACGCGGTCATTTCACCTTGATCCCAAAGTACATTCGCAAGATCAAATTTGGCAACCCCTTCAATGTCCATCCCCAGCTCAGCACAGGGGTCCGCCATTTTTGACAGACTGATTGCCGTTTTCAAAGATGCTTGGGAGACACCATGGGCTCTTGTGATCTCGAGTGATTTTCGGAACACTTTCGTCTCGAGTATGCGTGAATCAGCGAGACTCATATTGGTTCTTGATTTGATGAGATCACTTTTCCTAATCGAGGAAAATAGTGCCTCGTGCCAATTCAATATTTCTCCAACCTCATTGTAACTGCGGGAATAAAAGTTAATGTCTGGTTCTGAGAATTTTAATCGGACGACCATCTTACCTTTCAGTCTTTAACCAGCTGCTTCTATCCATGATATGCTCCCACTCGTTGTTTATTTCTTCGAGGGAGGAAGATCGAATCACGTCACTCATCTCAGTCATGATTCCCAATGCACGCATCGCACTCCTTATCTGAATCGCAGATCTTCCGGTGTCTGTCAAGGAATCCAATGCTGTTAACATGCAGCGATCGAGGCAATCGAACATCTCTGGCAATGATGATGATGAGTTCAAACTTTGAAAGGCACGGAATACTGTGACGGATGGAGAGGAGTCCAAGGGTGATACAGGTGTATCCCATTGCTGAAGGCTTGTTGCGCCTTGCATGATGCTATCAGCAGAAAACGACACCTCCGTCGCTGCGCCAGACGCTGAAAGCATAGTATTCGCAATTCCCTGCAGGTTTGTGGCATTCAATGCTCTCAAAATACCAGAAGAACTGGCGAGTCCGGATGTTTGAATCTCGCTGTCATACTGCGCACTCTGGAATAAGAGGTTCTTGAGTCCAGAGCTCTCGTATTCCAATCTCTCCATCACGGTTGCCAAGGAAGAACTTTGCTGAATTCCGTAGAACAAGTCCGGGTCATCAACATTCTTAAAAATGTCATGAAGCAGCTCTACTGGCGGTTCATAGGTGATAACAGAAGAACGGCGCGACCCTGAAATAACTTTAGATGCCTGGATTTCGAGGAACAGAAGTGCTGTCTTCTGCAAACCACATCGATGCGCTGCTGCGGACGCTTCTCCAAAATCAATATCCAGCCACAGGTCGCGCTCAGCAATTGTTGATTCATCCGGGGCAGGTTGGTTTCGAAGATAGAGGATGCAATTAATCACAATCCGAGCGTGTGGCATATTTTCATCGTGTACTTCATGAAGGATTCGTTTGAACTCATCAGAAATATTTTGCCGGATCTGGCTCGTTCTTTCTTCTGAAAGCAACACATCATGGACTATGTAGGGTAGCAACTGCACAGCCAAACCAGGGATCACGTTCAGGATTTTCGGTAGACATCCAACAACAGGGTCATTAGAATAAGCGCTTGTCAGAAAGAGGGCAACTTTGCAAGCCCAGTCAGTAAGGGGAAGATCAGCTAGACCCTTTATCGAACAACTGGAATCTTCGTCGGTATCTGAGGGAGGGATGCCTGGGCAAGCATAGGGAGCCCAAATGAGAGCCTTCGTCAAGGACTCAGGTATAACATCAGCACAGCTCTGGAAGTCTTGGAGCTCTGTAATCCTTTGTACGATGAGCTGAAGGGTGCGTTCAGTCAAACTGGCTTCCATATGGTTGTAGGTAGGCAACTTCTCGCAAAGTGTCTGAATGATTCTGGCTTTTGATTGGCATGGTTCATCTGTTCCTTCGATTTCTTTGAACAGCAGGAGGTCTTGTTCGCGTAGCAGACTTTCATCTATCTTGCCTGTTGCAGCAAAGGAACGGCCAATGAGCCGCGCTGCCCATAGAGAATATTCTGATCCTCCCTGGAATCTGTCCAAGGTATCCCATAGAGAAACAATGTGAGAGTTTGAATCATGATGACCGTGACGATCCACACCGCTCTCGTGCGAATCATGCTTGAATTCAGGGCATAGTAGTGACAATATGAGATCGCCCAGGGCTTTACTCAACAGAGGTCGTGCCGAATCACGATCTTTCAGGACTTCGAAGACGAGATCTTTATCATGCTGGCCAGTAGGGCGATCATATGGAACACAAACTTGACTCGCAAGGTTGAGAAGCTGCTCAGAAGAACTCTTGACATCTTCACTCCATTCAGGAGACCGGTAGTCTTCAATTAGGCTACATAGCCATTTATGAAACTTTTGTGAGTTTGTGATTACTGATCGGAATTGGCTCTCCTGTGTTGTGGTATCAGGAGACGATGTGAAGAGCTTGCGGAGTGTCACAAATATAGACGTCAAAATCCCAGCCATAAAGCCCGGGTTCTTCAATAAATGTGGCTTTCCAGCATCAAGAAGGTACCAAATAATCCCCAGGGCGTCTTCACAGCAATGAACATCGGTCAGAAACGGTGTAAGAGCATGCAAAAGAATCTCAAATGGATAACCCTGTATCATCATCTGCCCACCCAGAGAAACCAGTATTCTTATTTTCAAAACGACCGAGCATGTATGAAGGGACCCAAGTGCAGGGTGTATTGACTCTAGCAAAGAACGACACACAAATGAAGCCAATGCTGGTGTCCAGATTGACTCTAATTCGAACCCGGTCCGTTGACAAATAAATTCCAACTCATCTAATAGGTAGCGAGCCCGAAAAGACGGTTGCTGATTTGCTGGGACTGAATTCGGAGATTTGCATTTACCAGTGATCTGATTTTGGATGTCAAGTGCGTAACGAAAGGTCGGACGCTTTGAGTATGCGCGCTCAATCTGGTCGTATCTATCAAGCGACTTAAAGAGAGAGGCGATGATTTGAGGGAACTGGCTTTCGATCTGGGTCAAGAAATCGCTGGGTCCAAGCACTTTTCGTAAGTGGACCTCCGCACCTTTCGGCTGACTTCCTTGGTCAGGGGGTGTGCAGATGTCACGAGACACGCAATATGCTTCTGCTTTGTAAAACGACGCCTTGAGAAGCTCGAGATGAGGCTTTTCAAGCAATGTGGCAAGTTCTTCTGTCTCCGATAACTTTCCGCGCATCATCATTTGCCCAACGACTTCGTCTTGCACGTCTCCTATCATTTCTCTGAGGCTAGAATAGCCAAAGATACTAAAAGGGATTGAAGTTATTGGCTGGTTTTCCATCCAAGTATAAATTATTTGCGACGCGAACAGTCGAAAGAGCTGACCTCCATCTTGCAGGCCCAGGGCCGTTGAAACAGCATCCATACACTTATGGGCATATTTCAAAGAAAGGGGGACCTGAGCCGGTGTTTCGAACATATGGTAAATACTTCTTCGCAGCAATGTATGCCACTTAGAAGCCAGCTGAGACAACGCAAATAAACGGAGTGCAATTCCTTCAATCCATCCAGGATCTCTCGGCAGACTATCAAGCACATCATCGAAAATTGGATCATGATCCTTGAGAAGAAAGCCTCCGAAAATCGTTGGAATGAACTTTGCAACGCGGAATTTGACCTGTGCATCCCCTTCTCGGAGGATGGTGAAAAGATTTGTGCGAGGCGATGGGAGTGACTGTGTAGTACCATACGATGGACAAGTGCCGAGAACAGCTTGAATCAACTCGGACAGTATAACAAGGACTCTAGGAGACGCTCTCTTTCGAGTTAGGAGAGCCTCCAGAAACCAGCCGTACAAGTCCATTGCTGAATTGTTCAAATCATCATTCTGAAGATCTGTCCAGTGCGTGACAAGGCTAGCCATCACGCGAATGCAAACCGCATGGGATGCTTCGCAACGTTCCATTTGATACGATTGCAGGCACTTTTCTCCAATGTCCTCTAGAATGTGGAGCAACGCTTCTCGTCCGAGTTTCGCACAAGCAAGATAGACATCGGGTATTATCTGGCCTGCTGATAAAATATCAGCCTCCTCTAGGTTGGCCAAATATCGATCTAAGGTGGATGGAACAGTTGTTTCAGGGGAGGTGGGATTGGAGCGTAGTATGAGCAGCGAAGACAGATGGATCGTCAAAGCACGTTGAAATGAAAGTCTGTCTGGGGGAAATGGCACGCATTCTCGATTCGAGATGATGATTGCTTGATCAAAATCATCGTCATCTCCGCCTGGCGCCAATTGATCATCTAGGTCCATGATGTCTTTTGATTCGTGATCATTCTTCTTTTGGATCTGACGCAATTTTTCGAGTACTTCAACGAGTGGTGCAATGAGTGGTCCAATACCCGCCCAGAAAACAGACTGAGAGTCTGATATTGGAATCAGAGGCAAGATGGGCGAAAGTACTTCCAAGCATGCCTGCGTGTAATGAAAATCGTTCGTTCCCAGAAAACTGCAGATACCAGACCACAATGCCTGATAGTTTTGCTGAAGATCTTGCAACCTTGAATGGGGTTGTTGTGGGATGCAAACTTCATAAAGAGCTGACACAATACAAAAGGAACTCAGAATTTGGAGGAATTCCGTAGTAATGTGATGTGACTTGTTCTCAGTCAACGTCTTCCATGCTTGCAGAAATGTCTCGGATTTCGATCGTAACAGATCTAAAATAAGCCCATCGTCAGGATCTGATTGGGTTTGTGGCTTTATCGTCCAACTTGCATCTTGGTCCCATAGTCCCCAGTCATCAAATGAATTGTGAAGGTTGAAAAGATACTGCAGGATCTCGAGATTTTCATGGAAAAAGTACCAGATCTTAGCAATGTTGCCCAAGGAACCTGCTTGAGGGAGGCGAGGAGTATGAAATGGGCGATTTGTACATGATAAGAAGAGATTAAACAAGTCCATTGGGCGTGCAAATAAAGCGATGCTGGCATTTTGAATTCGATCTGTCACGGAGCCTGGATTATATTATAAGCCAACGATACCAAATGTCTCCCTTGTTTGCAGGTGTGAACATACCACTAGTCCAAACCTCTCGTAGCCAGCCACATATCTGCTTGGAAGCTGTTTGAGTGGAACCTGGGTTCAACTGTGCTTTTCTGCGTGCTATCAAGCCCCACAATTCAAGTGATGCGTCCGAAATGGCAGATGGACCATTCAAATTAGCAGAAGAGAGGAGAGAACGTATGGTCTCCGTGATTATTGTGTAATCCAGGAGCTCTGCCTCCAAAATAGAACTCGTCAGCTTGCAAGCTGCTCGACAGGTAATCGAGGAAGAAAAACAGCGGGTTGTGAGATCAATTGCGCGTGGCCAATGGTCTTTCAACCCGGGCTTACTGGCATCTCGGCCCCTAGCTATGCTATTTGAATCATATCATTAATTGATAACAAGAAAACCTTGAACGTCTGACGAAGACAAGACACCTACCTGTCCAGAGCAATCATGGTCCAAGAAGCTGACACTGCATTATCGTCAAGGATATTTGGAACAAGCCGTCGGGCCAGAGCCTCCTTTCGTTCAACATCAATCGCACTTTCGAGAAATGGAATCAATTGCAAGGCACATATTCTGCGTGTGCCAGATGCCGAAATCGCGTCTCTGAATATCTCTTCAATTGCAGAGTCAACACGCTGTCTTTTGTGTGATGATTCACGGCCTGATTCAGAGTCTTGTACTTGGCTGCTGCCACTCTCTGAAAGCTTCACTAAGCTGGCAATGACCCAAAGAATAGTCCAACTATGTTCTGATCGAAGATTACCAAGGCGAAGGCCATACACAGATCGAGTTCTATCAACTTTTGGCTGAACAAAGTCTATCTCATCGATTTGCAGCAAATCTTTCTCGGCCCGTCTCAGATATTCAGAATGCAAGGAATCCACCAAACCATCCACTAAGCGTATCAATGACTTTGAGGGGGCACTGCCGACTGAGTCGATCAAAACAACAGTGCACAGCATCAAAGTAACAAGTAGCTCATCTTTAAGACTGTTAAGTTTAGTGATCCACATGCGCCGTATTACTGGGATCAAGTCCAGGAGAGATGATCTGACCAGTTCAGTTTGATCGAATAAAACTTTTGAAGCGACTGTATTGATGCTACTGAATGCGAGGATATGTGAATTTCCTGCCATTATAGATGGTGATTTGACGAATTCCACAAGGCCTCGGAGTACGTTCTCGGCTGCAGCCTGCACTGGAGCATTGGGGCTCGCATTCAACATCTGCATAGAGACTAAGACTTCCTCAACTGTATTTCTGTTGCCCGCATACTTCTCCCTAGTAGTTGGGACAGGGGTTGCTCGGGATGGAGTGGAACGCTCATCACTACCTTCCAGTGTGTCATCCAGTACGGACCGACCTCCACTTCGAATGCTGAGCTGGCTACTCTCACCTTGTTGGAGACGAATTGTAGTGAGGCAGAATTCCATCAACCTATCCCAATCTGCATCACTGAGATGTTCTGTATGAGGGGGATACCGTAGTAAAGAGGCCAAGCATTTAGTATAGTCCACGCTCAAGGGTTCCCACAGGCCTTCTCCTGGGATTGGTATGGTCTCAGTGATATGATCAACAATTGCGCGGACCGTTTTTGTTCTCAGGTTCTTCAAAAAGATATCAACTGCAGTCCGCAGCACCAAAGCGCAAGTTGACAATCGGGTACTGGAAGGACTCTTCGAGTTCGACCTTTGGGCTCGGCTATAGACCGATCTCTCTAAGGCAACAAATCGGAACAGGGATTCAAATATTTTGTGGCAGGCTTTATCGCTAAGATCTAATCTATATAAATTCAGGTATGGATCAGCGGTCATTCAATCATGGCATGGATGATCCAGTACTTACAGCTTTGGACTGTGTTTATTCTGCTGTAAGATATGTTTCAGATCTAAGAGTCGCATTAGAAAAAAAGAATTAGGAACCTTAGACAAGCTTTGAACAAAAAGGAAGAGAAGGGAGAGAAGATAAATCTGTAAAAACAAACCTGCTAATCCATCAACGCGTTCCTTCTGCTTCTCCGAAGAGAGATGTCCAAGTGCTGTGTTCAGGAATATCTCCCCCATTGTGGTGAACGCTAAGGCCCTGACAGGAAACCTCAGCTGTAAGCAACATCAATCGCCTTTGAGGTCTTCTGTTCATGAAACTTCTTCTATTAATCGATCATCATCAACAGGTGCGCAGGTGCGCCAAGTGGAGAGTTGTTTGTGGAGTGGCAGAATAGGTCATGACCGCCCGGGATTTTTGATCGCGTTCCGCCTTTTGAAACAACAGAGCTCTTTAACAGCTTCCCTCTCCCACCTCTTTCACCTCGCACCGTCATGGCAGAGCTTCACGAAAACCTGGCGGGCCTGCGTGGCCTGTACCAGGATCTTTCTGCTGCTTCGGATTCTTCACTATCCAATGTTGAACGACTAATCGCTGAATTGGACCATCACATTAAAGACTTCCGGAAACTCCTAGACAAACCCGCGAAAAACAATACAAGCCGCCAGCAAGTTCTCTCAGGTGGGTGAAACACATATAACCTATTTATTGCAACTCTGCTCATTGAATGCTTGCTAATCAATGAGTCCAATCGCATAGGGAAAATCAAATTTGCCGATGTCACATATGAAATCAACACAGATTTCCAGCAAGGTGCTCTACAACTAGCAGATGCGCTGAACATTGACGAGCTGGAGGCGGCTGGGATGTTCCTGGCTGCGCAGGAGGATTCGCAAGTCCTGGACCGCCCACCTTTGATTGCCGCCATTATGCGCTTCCACGAACGCCGGTCCTTCCTCCTGGAGTGCCTACGCCTTATTTTCCGCATATCGGGCGACACCGAGCCACAGATTCTCGCAACTTACGCACAGAATGCTTTGGAAGAGATCCTGGAGACCAAGAGTTCTCTGCAAAACGCCTCGCTTTATTCGAGAAAGGCCTTGCAGGCAATGAATGACATTGAAAAGTGGATATTGCTGCTTGCAGACCAGGCCCAGAAAGCTTCTGTTGTTGGTCAACAAGAAGATCAAGATATCATGGAAGCGATTGAATATCAACGTCACAGCCTCCAGCAACAGCACGAATCGCTTGGTGCCGTCTTGTGTCATTTATTCAAGGGATCATTGACAAGCGTTGAAGACTTCCGTGTTCTTATTAGCCAGTTGAAGAAATTGGAGAGACTCGACGGGCTGTTGATTCACTACATTCCCCTAACTATTGCGGCCTTCAGTCGATACGGTTCTCCCGAGGGCAACCAGTCACGCCAGGAAGCTCGGAGCCTACACTCAGCCATTACCAGTGCTACAGATAGCCAAACTTGGAAATTACCGCAGTTCCATGCTGCTATTATTGCTTTGTGGCTCTCGGTCTACAGTGGATGGTATTTTGAGGATGGACCACCTTCTCCCATCCCAGGAGCATCTGATCCGGAAAAGGAAGCAAAGGACCGCACCAAGATGTTCATGACCGCTCTGGATGATGGTGCCCTTGACTTGATGCTGGCCATCTGTTCCAGGGTCAACAGTGAAGAATGGGCTGACCCGGCCCGAAGTGAACTCGTGGCACTTCTTCTCAGAGAAAGCGTCATAACATTGCCCGAACTGGATCCTTGCAGTGATTACATGAAACAATTATTGATGGAGAGCTTTGAAGTCTATGTGGAATCTTGTATTGCGAATATGCCGGATGCTGTTCGCTTGCTCAAATCGGAGGAGGACACCCAGAGGCTAGATCAAATCACGGCTCTCAGGGATGGGCTGACATCAAGTCTCCACCGTGGCTTGGTTGAGGCACGAACCCACCTTGAGTCGCTTTTGATGGTTATCTCATTCTCCTTTGAGCACCGACAGGAAGCTGCACAGGAATTCTGGGGTGACTCCGATGGCAACCTTTACGGGTTTCTTCAATGGGCATCTAAACGACAAACTGTCCCTCGTGTAAGCGCTTTCTGTGAGATGCTTTGCTCTATCTCCGAGGGCGAAGACAATGCCGCTGCTGCCCATCGGTTCCTATCGGAAGAAGACAAGTTCATGGGCTCGAAATTAAAACGTTCAACGACAATGAACTGGATGCAAATGTTTGCTGAACTAGAACTCTATGCCACCCGTATCACGGAAAAGCCTTCATCGGGTGCTACTCCGCAAGGCATGATGCGCAGCCGCAAATCAGAGCCTGTAGATATGAGCGAGCCCGAGAGTCCAGTCATGTTGACTTGTTACCTGCGTCTGATGGGACACCTATGCAAGCAAAGTGGAACCATTCGGGAGTGGATGCTACAGAATCAAACGTTCAATGTGGTCGAAAATCTTCTCAAGTTATGCAGTGGACCAATTCCGACACATCTCAGGGCTACCACCTTTGCCACGCTCTCGGCGCTGATGACTGATAAGACTATCGCCTACGGTAACGAGATGTGGATCCAAGTAGACACCTACTTATCTTGCGAGCGCTTGGCTTCTCTATGCTTTGGCAAATTCCCTCACATGCCTAGTTCCAATATGGGTGCATGGCGCCAGCAACAAGCGTTTCAGATGGTTGGCGAGAGCTTTGATCAAACCAATGCGCTAGTTGGCTTGGTAAATTCGTTGATCGAGCCACCATCTGAATCCACTGATAATCCTCTATCACTTTCCTTCCCAGAGTCATTAGGCTCAGCTTATCGCATGCCCGGCATTGAACCCTATGTCGACTTCATTCTAGGACACGCTTTGTCTCGCAAAATCCAGGAGCTAAATGACTATCAGTCCCGTCTGCTGACCTACAACTGCTTGAACTTCGTTCTCGCAAGTCTGCGAACTTTCAACGAGGACCTGGTAACCGTGCTCAGTCAACCGTCTCATGCATCTGACTCGGCTGCTACAAGCTCAGCCCTCGCCACATACCTTCGCCTTCATCCGTTTGCTCGTGTGATGGAATGGCTTTTCAACGAAGATGTCCTCAAAGCTTTGTTCGCTACTAGCCAGCAGGATATCGCACATATTGCACAGGCGTCATCCGATTCTGTGGTGGTATTGACCCTTCTTCGCAGCCTTGAAGTGATGAACATGATTATGGATCTTCAATCCACGTATTTTAACGTGGTGAAGCCATTGGTGAAGACTCACATGGGAACCATCAAAGTGAATGTTTCGAACTCGTCGCTCGCTTCTTTCGAAGATAGCGTGCTTAATAACCTGTCTTTGGTTCCTGTTCTGTGCTTGTATTGTGGTACAGGACACCAGCAACTTACCATTACTGCAATGGCGTTATTGGAAAAACTCGCAAGTTCTCGCAAGCTGAACAAAATGTCCTCCCCAGAGATTACCAAGTGGCAGTCCTCGAATAAAATCGTGGAAGTTCTCGCTAGTGAGGTGGATGTTGACAGTGTATCTCGCTCGCTTGTGTCGCAAATGCGCCCAGACGAGAGAGAACTGGAGTGGGGGGGCTCGGACAGCCGGCTATGTTATCCGAGAGAGTCTTTTGGCTCTTTTGAATAGCTGCTTGGGGATGATCACCGACCGTCCTACTGTTGCGCATCTTCTTCTTGGTTTTGGTTCTGTGGGTAATATGCTCGATGTGCCAACAAATGGCTTATTCGCGGAGCGTATGTCGCTATTTCACACCATCATTGAGTTCCTCAAGTTTTATCCTGAGCACCTCGACGGGCAATTTACATCATGGACCCTTCACATTAAACGCATTGCTTTTGAGGTCTTAAGACACTTGTGGTCTTCTAAGCTTGCAACATATTTCACGCTCGGTGAGATGCGCGCTCATGCGTTCCTAGACAGCATGTTCACCAGACAGGTCATTGTTGGTCCAAATACTCCCTGGAATGGCTTTCCAGTGACAGATGAACAATTTTGGCTCACGGATGCTACGTCGGCCTTGGCTGAATTTTTGCTTTATCGAAGCCACCTTCTCGCATACGCTGCCACTGAAATCCGTGCTGCCGCGAAGACTGGATCGCCTACTCTTCAAGACGAGATCCTGTCTACGCTGCTTGGGAACTCAACAGTGGATGGCGAAACTATCAGAATCCCGTCCGTGTTCGATTTGTTTGACTTTGCGGATTTGGACGTGGTCCGTGACTTCAGTCTGCCGGATCTGTCACTGCTTGGTCATGTTGCTTTGGATGTTTGTGCTAAGGAAGAAGACTCCATCCTGCTCTATAGTATTTCCGAGGTTGAGGAGCTTATCCAGGTTGAAAAAGCCAAGCTGATGGCCCATGGGCTGTCCCGACCTCAAGATGAAGAACAGTTCCAAAGAGAAGCTGATAGTTTGAAGTTGTTTATCCTCGCAACAAACCAGTCTCGCCAGATTCAACATAACCGTTACCTCGCTCTCAGCTCCTGGGCCGAGCTGATTACTACTATCATCAGTTGCTCGGTTATGGATGATTCTAATCGGCCTACATTCATCCTGCATGTCATTCAGCTCATCCTCCCTAAACTCGAGATTTCCATCGAGGGAGATTTACCAGAGGCAATTGAGCTTGCGCGACTTGCTGAAACGCTGATTGGCAAGCTCACATCCGACTTGTCTACGATTCACGGCTCTCGAAGTGGAGACATCATTGATGAGAAGCTACACCAGATTTTCCAAGTCTCTATGCGAGGCATCAAGGTTGCTACCGGCAATGTGTCTTTGAGGGAGACATTGTATGGAATATGCTCTCATTACATTAATCGCATCACAACATCCGATTTGACTCATGATGTTCTCCGACGGCATAGTCAGCAAGTCGTCAAATCTTCAGGGTCTGCCCTTGTGGAAATTATCTGCGATGACGCCTACAATGGCCAGGAAAGCTGTAGAGCAGCTTCTCTTCTCTTGTTGAACTGTTTGGCCGCCCTTGATTCCGCCACTGATTGTGTTCTTGCGGAGTTGATCTCACAGTCTAACTATCTCACTCTTTTCCTGGACACCATCAGGTCCTTACCCGAGGAGCTGCGGAATGCTCAAGCAGCCGGTAAGTCATGTCTTCATCCTCTAGCATTCTCATAACAATTTCTCATCAATGATATTTTCTTTTAGACGCGGCTGTTCTTCTTGCTTCCTCCGAGTCACTGTTGGCTTTGCTCCAACTGCTTTGTCAGAACAAGAAGGGAGCAATGGTCGTGCTCAAGAGCGGTCTTTTCGAGTCAGTCCGAGAGTCTCAGCTTTTCGCCGTTGACCCCGATATCGGCATTGGTTGGTTTACCCATAATTATGATTTTCGAGTTTCATAGATTTACTAACGGCAGTAGATATTGATGACCCTGATTCCTTGCGAAGGTTTTACGATCTCCTTCTGTCAGTACTCCGTGTTATCGTGACCGCTGTGTTTTCTCGTGGTATCCACAACGAGCAAATCAAGGCACAGACTCGTGCTTTTATTGGCGAGAACCGCGCATGCATGGTTGGAGTGTTCAAACGATTCGCCAAGATTGGAGGTGGCGCTTTAGCCGGTCACCAAGAAGTGCTTTGTGAACTGGTCAAGTCATTCATGGTTCTTGTAACTGCGACTGATTACCTTGACTTTGAAGAACAAGAGGTTCAACAAACCACCCGGACCACCTTATTCTCGTGATACTCTACGAGATAAAGCGACCTTTAACTGGTAGCTACTAGTGGAAGGGGTGTAGTATGAATGCAAGGGAACGACATGTAAATTATGTGGAGTAAGCTGCTTTTCAAAGCTCGGCGGTTGGAATCGAGCTAGTTTTGATGGGTCATTTCAATTTTCGAATGAATTAGGAATGAATTTTCGTGATGATCTATTTGAGTACTATCACTTTCATATTAGTATCAACGGTAGTAATATATATGTGCTGGGTATTCTTCAAGTTTCTCCAGGGCTGTAAATAGTAGTAGTAGCTAGAACTTCAGCTTAACTTGGTGATCACCCCTTCTACGGATCACTGGTAGTGCGTGCTACTAGTAGTACTCAGATGATACATTCAGAACTATCTTGAAGATCTTTGAATTTCCAGTCCTCATCTACTTCCAAGGTTCAAACTTCCAAGTAACGAGTGCGTGGAAAATGATCTTCTAGCTCCGAATCTTATCGCCGAGTTCACTTCGCAGGAAGAAGACGTCAATTCCCCTCTCAAATATCCGAACCCGCGTCTCTCCGCCCACGGCAATGGTTGATCTCCATCTAGTATCGTCATTCCTCCCTTGCTAAACAGCTCCCCCACAAGAATCGGTCTAAACCGGGTAGATGCAGCACACGGGCGACCACGACCAGAGGAGCGGTAAGCGCAAGTCGATCGGCAAGAGGAAGCTTCCTGATCAAGGAGAGACATCGCATCCACCGTCGCAAAGGACCCTCTCTGAGCTTTTATCAAAGAATAAACACGCATACGAATCCCTGCCCTCATCTTCCTCCCCGGTCTCAAAGCGATCTCGTCTCTCCATCTCCCCCTCCCGCCGGTCGCCAGCTCAAACCGTCTCACCCAATAAGATGTATAACTTCTCCGGATCCCCGCCCAAGAACGGCAACGCTTTTGTTCGAGCTCTTCCTGGACAGAGTACTGCCTCGGCCAAAGGTCAACCATTGAACCTGAATAACTCTCGTCAAAATAATTTCGGCCCCAATGTCAGTGCCAAGAAGCTTGTCGTTAAGAACCTCCGCACTGCTCCTCGTGGGAATAATGAGCCGTATTTCGACAGGATATGGCAGCAGCTTGATAAGGCCTTGACGGAGATTTTTGACGGACAGAAGCCCAGTACCTCACTCGAGGAACTCTATAAGGGCGCGGAGAACATATGTCGGCAGGGTCGTGCGACTCTTCTGGCGAAGAATATCCAAGACAGATGCAAGGAATACGTTTCGGATAAGCTACGCAACAATCTGGTGACGAGAGCTGGAGGTGGGAATGATGTCGATACATTACGCGCAGTGAATGAGGCATGGTCCTCCTGGTATTCAAGACTTGTATGTTGTTATTGACAAGAACTATGCTGGGACCAGTGCACAAGCTAATCTCCTCAATAGATTCTGATCCGCTGGGTCTTCTATTACCTTGACCAGTCATTCCTCCTCCATTCAAAGGACTTACCAATGATCCACGAAATGGGACTCGCCCAATTTCGTTCTTATGTCTTCGCCGACACAATCCTGAAGCCCAAGATCTTACAGGGTGCCTGTGACCTTATCTCGGTGGATCGAGGCGCAGAGACTAAGGTCATACAAGATACTAGTCTACTTCGATCTTCCATTGATCTTTTCCACAACCTAGATGTCTACAATAGCGATTTCGAGCCGTTGTTCATCGCTAGTACCAAGACATTTGTCAGCAGGTGGGCAGCTGCAGAATCGGAGAAACCACTGGCTTCATATGTTGAGAACAGTGACCAATTGATCGATCGTGAGGTAACACGTTGTGGGTTGTACTCTCTTAATCGCAGCACCAAACAGAAGTTGTCTGAACTTTTGGATGAGATCCTCCTCGCAGAGCATGAGGACCTTCTTCTCAGAGAGAATGAAGTGATAGGCTTGATGCGATCAGACAACAACGTTGCACTGAAAAAGCTTTATGGTCTACTCAGTCGACGGAATCTCGGTATCAAGCTCAAACCAGCGTTTAGTAGCTTCATCAAAGAGGAAGGTTCCGGCATTGTATTCGATGAACAGCATGAAGCAGACATGGTCAACCGCTTACTCCGATTCAAAAAGCAACTTGATACCACACTGTCTGACGCCTTTGATGGGGACAATGACCTAGGCAACACCCTCCGTGACGCCTTTGGCCATTTCATGAACTTGGGCAAGAAGTCAGAATCTACGGGTGGCACTGACAACCCTAAGACTGGCGAGATGATTGCAAAATATGTCGATCGGTTGCTGAAAGGTGGCTTGAAGGTAGTTACACCTGGTCAATCGGATGCGCCACTGGATGACTCTTTCTCTGAAATGCGACGGCAACTTGATCAAGTGCTAGATCTGTTCCGGTTTGTCCAAGGAAAGGCTGTTTTCGAGGCTTTCTACAAGAATGACCTTGCGCGCCGTTTGTTGATGAACCGGAGTGCCAGTGATGAGGCTGAGAAGGAAATGCTCGTTCTGCTGAAGAAAGGTATGGAGCCACAAATACTAACAAATCCCAAGCCTGATCCTTCCCTGTTATGCTAACGTGATGTTACAGAATGTGGTTCAAGCTTTACTCACAATCTTGAGTCGATGTTCAACGATATGGATGTTGCGCGAGATGAGATGGCTGCTTATAATTCGATGCAAAAGCAGCTTGATCGTAGTAAGCGTTCGCCCATGGATCTGAATGTCAGCGTTCTTTCAGCTGCCTCTTGGCCATCATATCAGGATGTCCCGGTACAAGTCCCGCCAAACATCCTGGGCGTGCTTCGCAACTTTGAGACATTTTACAACAGCAAACACACCGGTCGCAAGTTAACTTGGAAGCACCAACTGGCGCACTGTCAATTACGAGCTCGTTTTCCCAAGGGTGACAAGGAACTAGTTGTCAGCTCCTTCCAAGCAATTGTGCTTCTTCTCTTCAACGATGTCGCAGAGGGCGATAGTTTGGCATATTCGGATATCCAGGAGCAAACAGGGCTCTGTAAGTTGCCACATCCTCCCTGGTCAGTAGTAGTGGAGCTAACATGTAGGTTCCAGCGGATCCGGAGTTGAAACGAACTCTCCAATCATTAGCATGCGCCAAGTATCGGGTGCTGGCTAAGAATCCCAAGGGGAAGGAAGTTGAGCCAACTGACCAGTTCACATACAATCCCAATTTCACTGATCCGAAGATGCGGATCAAGATTAATCAGATTCAGCTCAAGGAGACCAAGGAGGAGAACAAGTCCACGCATGAGCGTGTGGCTGCGGACCGGAATTACGAAACCCAGGCCGCCATTGTGCGGATCATGAAGAGCCGAAAGACTATTAAGCACTCTGAGTTGATTGTCGAGGTTATCGAGGCGACTCGCAACCGCGGCACACTGCAACCTGCGGATATCAAGGTTAGCATTGAGAAGTAAGTCTACAGTACTCCGAGGCCCCCTATTGATACATTGACTGACTTCGTTTCTGCAGGTTGATTGAGAGGGACTACATGGAACGTGGCGAGGGCAAAATCTACAAGTACGTGGCATAATGGTATGGGATAGCTCCCATTAATGAGGCCTTTTTGGCAATTTCATGTTTTTCACGTATGAAGGATGTCTCTCGGCGCAGTCTTTCACTGTGTAAAAGGCCCACAACTCATCTATGTAGAAGAGGATTAAGAATGATATCAATTGATTGTCTTTTATTTGATGCTTCTGGGGGCTACCTCCGATATCTAGTCTAAAATGGGTCTTTTACTCTCGTCTCCTGGTAGTATTGTTCACACACTCTGTTTTCTGGTAAGGGAAATTTGTTTAGATCGGCTTCATGCTAGGTTGTTTTCTCTTGTGTATACCTTGCCAGCCTCACTGGAAAACCTACTACGGCTTTATGGGAAAGGAGAATAGGGTGATCCGACATTAAAACTGGGAGTTCATGAGCCCGACGCAAAAGATATCAGGTGTGGTTTCATTGTTTGCCCAAGATCAATCTCTCACCTCGCCTGTCTTCGCCTACGTTTCCTGTTTGGGACTGCGTGATCTTGCGACATGTTTGATCCTGGGGCCTGCGTGATCTTGAGAGCTGTTTGATCTTGCTGCCTACCACAGGGTATAAATTCATGGGATCTCTCATCATTTCAAATCTTCTTCCTTTTTTTCCCCAACCCACTTCCACTCCTCATGTTCATCCATCCTTCCACCTTTCCATCCATCCATCCATCTATCAACACACTCAACCAATCATCCAGGTGAGCCTTCCGTGCCCATGGTCTCGTCCTGGAATTTCTGTATTTTATTGCTCTACTGAGCCCCGCCCGCGGTGCCAGTAGCAACCCTTGCTAAGAGGAGACTCGCGGTCTTCTCAAGACCTTAGATTGCATTCCACATCCCAACTTTGATACAGACGCTTGCAGGCACCAACCCACAGGAATCAATCTTCCAGGTGAGCCTTACCGTGCCCATGGTCTCGTCCTGGGATTTGTATTTTTATTGCTCTACGGAGTCCTGCCCACGGTGCCACTAGCAACACCCTTGCTAAGAGGAGATTCGTTTGGTCTTCTCAAGACCTTAGGTCCCGTTCCAAACATACTCTCTTGACATGTTACCTTCGAGATGGTCAAGACATCAATCCTAGAGGTGAGCCTTCCGTGCCCATGGTCTCGTCCTGGGATTTTTTTGTACTTTTATTACTCTACGGAGTCTACTCTACGGAGTGCCACCCACGGTGCCACTAGCAACACCTTGCTAAGAGGAGACGCTCTCGGTCTTCTCAAGACCATTTAGGTTCCAAAATACCGTCTGTCGCCAATGCCGAGAACAATGAAGGGCTTTTACCCTGTCATTTCACGAGCAAAAGAAGTTGTGGAATATGCGGATGAGGATAATCCATTTCCAAGGTTTTTTTTTTCGACCAGCCCCAAGACGATCCAGCATGATTCATACCTACACACAGTTAACATATACACAGTTACAAAGAATAAGAGGGGAGACAACCAGACACTGACAGACTCGGAGGAAGGTAAAGGCATGGCTTTGCCGGTTTAGCTACTACTAGTCACAATAGTACACCATGATACACATGTTCATATATCTAAATCAAACTCCTCGTAAAGAGTGATCATCATGATAAAATTTGAATGTTCTTCTCGCTGTTGAAATCCGAGGGGGACCCATCTAGTCTGAATCGCAGGTTTGACCAGTACTTCCCGAGATCTTACACGTCCTGTCGACTCCGAAGCATCCGTTTAGAGTCAAAGTCCGCTCGGTGCGCTATTCCGCAAGTTATTAGCGCTGATTCCCGAGGTCCTCATTAGTAAGTGTCCAAGTTGGGTGATTTCCTTGGAAGCTATGGGTAGTTCAGTGATGTTTCGAGTGTAAAATTCTAAGAAAACACAGGTCATAAGATGAACTAAGCGTTGTTTGAGTTGTTCATTTCAGTCATAAGAAGTAGTTGCTAAAACCAGTGACAACCTTTTCCACATGCGAAAAACGCCAGCGTCTTAAAATGCTCCCAGGGAAGAAATGCTCCGTATAAAAAAGAAAAATAAGATGAAGCACATATCAGGCTTCAGCTGGTGGAAGCAAGCTGCGTTTTCTCGTCATCAATTTGAGTTTGAGGGGTATTAAGCTCCGACGAGGGCCGGCCGCATCGTTCCTGGTCAAGGCTTTTCGACACACAGGACAAGTACCTCGCACTTGTTTAGTGGAATCCAGTCTTTGCTCGTCGGCACGATTTAAGCATTCTATAATGCAGTTGTGACAGAATAAATGACCTGTGCGTGAGGGTGGTCAGTCAAAGCATCAGGGAGCAGGTTTAAGCAATTGAAACATACCGCACGCCGTACTTGTGGCATTCTCGGGTGTATCCATACACACAGGACATTTGTAAGCGCCGAGTAATGAATCGCTTGTGTCATCCTTTGGTTGCTGCGCTTTGATTGCATCCTCCCGTTGCTTCGCAAGTGTCTTGGCCAATGGCGAAATTTGTTCCGGTTCGGTCAAGTCGATAGATTCGATTTGGTCGTCCTCAAAGTCGGGAGGTAAAACATAACCGTATGGATGTTCTTCACTACGCGGGCGCTTGACTCCGCGGGGAGGTGTTGGTGGCAATGGACGGGGATTGACATGGAGGGTATTGGGAGAAGAGGAGAGTAGGATCGAGTTCGACGGAGCAGAGTACTGATGGGCTGGCCCGGAGGCCAAATCAATGATAGAGATCCTGCGACTCATTGTAGGGAGCGCAAGGAGGTACGACAGGGCAACAATATAGTAGTGTGGCGCAAGTCAAGATGTTGAAAGGTGGAGATGGGGTAAATGGCCTTTGTCAAAAAGAAGGTGGGTGATTTGAGTGGAACCTGGATTTTGAGAATCTGAGCAATCAATGAACAACGAAATGAAAATATAAAGTGGTATACAAGAAAGTATAAATTAGAGAAAAAACAGCCTTGCAAATATATAGAAGATGGTTGATAATACAAGAAGTAGTTTAATTAATTAATGATGGTTATCTTAACAATCGATAAGAAAGCGGTGACGCGCCGGCAAGACGGTTAATCCGAGATCCGGATATGACGCTCAGACACTTGATATCGCGATAGGAAAGTGATAATGGGAAATTAGAAAAGCAAGGATCTTTGCGCCTATACAATCCGAGTCAAGCGCAACCAGAGGTTGCAGTCTCATTGATGAGACAATGACCTGAGCCTCCTTTCAACGCCAATTTAATCCAACAGACTATGTTATCCTGGAATTCTTCCTGTGCGCCTTATTCCAGGGGGCTTGTGAGGTCTTCGCGCTTGAAGTTGCGCCCGGTGCCGATTCATCAGGGACTATGGCAGATTCCGAGGAGTGGCTGGCAATGTCGCAAAAACCATACTCGTGTCGATGGAGAACCCCGGCGATCACTCAGAGGTATGCGATTAGCCACTAGCCATGAGCTGCACAACCCCACTGACATCCGATCTTCACAGTTCCTGCATCTCCTAGGTTCAACGAGATTGGCGTTCAGCAACTGAGTGACCATGTACACCTCCAAGTTTTCCCAATCCAAGGTCGCATCCCAGATCCAGAACTTGTCGCATTATCCAAAGACCATTTAGCCAGACATGACCTCCTGGGAAAGTCCCAGTCAGGAGGCGATCCAATCGCATTCGACCTACCACCTCTGCAAGGACAAACACTCGACGAGCACTTCTATAAATTGGGAATGGATGCATCGGAACCCTACTTGACCTTCGCCAAACACTATGCAGCCGTGAATTGCCCCCCAAAGCCTCGCAAATGGGTTAAGCGCAGTGGGTGGACAAAATACAACTCGGATGGATCTTCCGAGCCTGTGGATGCACCTGAGGAAGATATGCTTACCTTTGACACGGAGGTTATGTACAAAGACAATCCGTTTGCTGTGATGGCTTGTGCTGTGAGCCCGACTACCTGGTATGCCTGGATATCGCCGTGGCTACTTGGAGAAACAGAGGAGAAAATTCATTTGATACCTCTGGGTGACCCATCCAGCCCTCGTATCGTGGTTGGTCACAACATTGGTTATGACCGCGCGCGAGTTTTGGAGGAGTATGATATGCGCCAGACTCAAAACTTCTATGTGGACACAATGTCCCTTCATGTTGCTGTGAACGGAATGTGCTCACAGCAAAGACCAACATGGATGCGCCATAAAAAGAATAAGGATCTTCGTGACAAGATTGCTAGCGAGCACAATTCGGCTGAACTAGCATCGCTACTCGAAAATAATATGCTGAGAGAAGAGGAAGAAGAACTGTGGGTGGGACGAAGCTCAGTGAATTCCTTGAGAGATGTGGCAAAATTCCATTGCGATGTAACTATCGACAAGGCGCAGAGAGATTTCTTCGGCGAGCTTGATCGAGAAACTTTGTTGACAAAACTGGAAGAACTGTTAGACTACTGCGCTGCTGATGTAGCCATCACACACCGTGTCTATCGCAAGGTATTCCCCAATTTCTTGGAGACATGTCCTCACCCTGTGAGCTTCGGTGCTTTACGACATCTCTCTTCAGTTATTCTTCCTGTCAATGAAACTTGGCAAGAGTATATCACTCGAGCTGAAGAAACCTATCACAAACGCCTCGAAGATGTTCAACGGAAATTGATTGAATTATGCAATCATGCACTGGACGTCAAGGAAAAACCAGATGTATACACAACGGATCCTTGGTTACAGCAGCTGGATTGGTCTGGCCAGGAGATCAAGATGGTGAAAGGTAGAAAGAAGGGCGATCCGCCACGTCCAGCAGCACGGCAGAAGAAACCGGGCATGCCTAAGTGGTACAAAGATCTTTTCCCATCAAGTAATGCAGAGATCAACTTGACTGTCCGAACTCGAATTGCACCTATTCTGCTCAAGCTGTCTTGGGATGGTTACCCGCTTGTTTGGTCTGATAAGCATGGGTGGACATTCCGAGTCCCTCGAGAAGAGGTGAAGAAATACGATAATCAGCCCGTTGTTGTTTGTGATATGACCGAGGAGAAAATTGTTCAGTTACGCGACGACAAGAAGAATACATACTTCAAAGTTCCGCATAAGGATGGTCCTCAAGCCAGGTGCACAAATCCGTTGGGTAAAGGCTATCTGCAATACTTTGAGCGAGGCATTTTATCGTCTCAGTATGAGCTTGCCAAAGAAGCTTTGGATATGAATGCTTCTTGCTCCTATTGGATTAGTGCTCGTGACAGGATCATGAGCCAAATGGTGGTCTACCAGGACCAAGTTCAATCCCACGGCATGCAAGACAAGAGTGACGGTCGAGTCGGATTTATTCTACCTCAAATCATTCCGATGGGCACTATCACCCGGCGTGCCGTGGAGAATACTTGGCTCACCGCGAGTAATGCGAAGGGAAATCGTGTTGGATCAGAGCTCAAGGCTATGATCAAGGCACCTCCGGGTTATTCGTTTGTTGGTGCTGATGTTGATTCACAAGAACTCTGGATTGCCAGTCTTGTTGGAGACGCGTCCTTCCAGATACACGGAGGAAACGCCATTGGTTTTATGACACTGGAGGGATCCAAAGCACAAGGGACCGATCTGCACTCTCGCAGTGCTCAGATTCTGGGAATCTCTCGTAATGATGCTAAGGTTTTCAACTATGGGCGCATTTACGGAGCTGGTCTCAAGTTTGCGGCCACCCTTCTCCGGCAGTTCAATCCATCTTTGACCGAACGTCAAACACAGGAAACAGCAGCAAATCTTTACAAGGAGACCAAAGGCGTGCGAACCTCCCGTCGTATTCTCAGCGAAACCCCGTTCTGGCGAGGCGGCACTGAATCATTTGTGTTCAATAAGCTCGAGGAATTTGCCGACCAAGAGAGGCCACGAACCCCTGCTCTTGGTGCTGGAATCACCGAAGCCCTCATGCGCCGATTCATCAACAAAGGTAGCTTTATGACATCTCGAATCAACTGGGCCATTCAGTCATCTGGAGTTGATTATCTTCATCTGCTCATCATCGGCATGGACTATCTGATAAGGCGATTCAATATTCAAGCTCGCTTGGCAATCACAGTCCACGATGAAATCCGTTACATGGTGAAAGACGAAGATAGGTACCGTGCAGCCATGGCATTGCAAATCACCAATCTGTGGACGCGTGCCATCTTCTCTCAACAAGTGGGCATTGATGACCTTCCCCAATCTTGTGCCTATTTCTCTGCTGTTGATGTCGACCACGTGCTTCGCAAAGAAGTTGATATGGATTGCATCACACCATCACACCCACACAAAATCCCTCACGGCGAAACTTTGGACATTGCTCAGTTATTGGAAAAGGACGAGCAGGCTTTCTTGGACCTTACTATTACACCAACCTCCCCCCCTCGTCCAGAGAACTATGTCTACGAGCCACGCGAGTCTGTCATGTCAGCCCTGCAAGCATCTAACGATGTGGATTTCATTAAAGCCCAGATCACCAAGGATGATAAAGAGCTCCGTGACATCATTAAAGAGAAGACCCGCGTAACAACCACCGCGAAACCCGCCGTTTCAAGATCTCCCGCAAAAGCTCGCGGCAAAACGAACAGCTGGCCTTCAGCGGAGCCTCAGCGTGCTGTTCTCATGGACATGGAGTCTGGCTTATATCCAGACTTCCGAAGTCCCCCTCGCACTACTCCTACCTCTACCCATGGAGGCAAGTCGTCTCAAGTGGGCTTTGATCGCCCTACTTGGAAACCCAGACCCTTTGCTCGAGCTTAAGCCTATTGTAGCACTATATTTCCCTTTCTTTTCCCTTCCTTCCCTTCTCTTTTTTCACCTTGTTTTCTTACAATAATCTTCTCTGTATCTACTTGTCTCTTTATCTTGTTCGATTACTCGGTCGGATGTATGGCTTATGCGGTGTGAACTGGAAACAGCATTGGGACGGCGTTGAAGTGAACCAAGTGGTCAACTGATGTGATGACATTGTACAAATTCAAATATAAATATTCAAATAATTCAAAACTTCTGTCCCTTATTCATTCATGATTTCGAGCAGATCTTGCCAGTGCCCAGGTGCAAACTCGAGATTTGTGGGGGAAATCGGGGGATCACCGGGGATATTTGCCTCCTTAAGCACAACAGGGAAATATCCCCGTCATTCGTGCGGGGTATCAATCTGCACATATGCAATTAAGGCGATAGTTTCCCTATTAACTTTTCCAATCTAGAAAAAGAAATGTTCAACTTCTAGTAGTATCCCAATACTAGAGATTTGAGACGAAACCAACTTGAAATCGAAGCTCTTGGGACCGGAACTTGAAGGATACATATGCCGTTCAACAGTGCGGCCCCATGGTAAGACCTAGTACTACCTCTACTATACCTCTGTTTTTCCACCTTCAAACGTTGGAGTTCATCAAGTTAATTTGAGAGCTTGAATTGACTGATCATATATTTATACTGAATTTCTAGCCATGCATGTCGGAGTGAGTATGGAAATCTGATCTAAAACTTCCAAGGTTGAAAGTTCAAATTAGATCAGACCAATTAACATCCTACAGAGCGTCATTTGAAATGTAACTTGCCCATACTCTCGGTTCAAGTTGGACCGATTTCAAACAAAAACTGACAATATTAGGTGACGGGGCAAAGCCAATCTGTGGAAGATGTCATCGAATAAAAAAGGAATGCGAATTCCCAGGTCTCGTTATCAGAAATGGAGCAGACGGCCAAAATGGATGCAAATTTGCAGATGATCAACCATGGCTTCAAATATCAACACTCAGTTAGTCATTAGTCAAACACCATGGTCATCCAGATCCGTCAGATGAAGCTAACAAGTGCTATTCATCATTGCCTTGATAACTTCAGAATTTCAGTTCGTCGATGAAACAGTGGGCCTTGCACATTATTATGGCCACATTGAGTTACAGTTCACATCTAGCAGTCCTCAAGATGAAACCTCAAGGGTTCAATATGGCTCCTTGACTCCACCTTATAGCGATGGGCTACTTGACTCCCTAGCAGATGGTCATGAAAGGTTTAATTTCACATTTCACGCGAGTCCACCTTCACAGGCGCCTTACTTGGCTCCAGCCTTCCATCCAAATACAAATTATCCGGATCGCAAATCTACAGGATTGCTCAGCTTTGACACTTTGACTCAAGAGCATCTTTCAGAGACTCCAGCCTTTTTGTCTGCAGATTCGTCTATTTCAGATCAACAAGAGGTCAAAGAGGCATATCTTATGAGGTATTTCGTAGAAGAACTTGCTCAGTGGGTGAGTTGGTTAGGCTCTACAGGCCACAGCAGTCTATTCTTTTTTACCTGATCCAAGCCTTGCTGACACCAATTTTTCAGTTTGATACTTGTGATTTAGAACGTCACTTTGCTACGGTGGCTCCTTATAGAGCCTCCCATTGCCCAGCTCTTCTTTATGCCATATATTCAGCCTCAGCAAGGCACATCAGTCGACGAAAAAAATCTCGACATGAAGAGCAGAATGCCAATGCAGAATACAAGGCCATATATTGGACCTGAGACTGCACTGGAGTATCAAAGTCTATGTATCTCACAACTGATGGCGTTGTTGGGCGACACAAATGAAGTCCAAGACGAAAATTTGCTGGCAGCTTCAGTTATCCTTCGATTTTATGAAGAGTTAGATGGTGAGTTGTATCATTATGACTTAGTCCTGGAATCTCGTTTCTGTTACTAATCTTACTTTCCAAAGTGCCACTGGTTGGAGTTGACGATGAGACATACCTTAAAGGAACTCTCTTCTTCCTAGCCGCTCAAGCCAAAGAGGCAGTGAAAGAGCGCGGTCTTCGCAACGCTGCCTTCTGGGTTGGAATACGCCAAAAGGTACATACTGCATTGATTACCCAGCTACCTATCAAGCTTGATTTTAGCTGTCTCACTGGATCGATTTATAAGACAGTGGAATCTACGGATGACTCTACATGGGCCAACCGTATTGTTCTCCATTGTGCTGAGATTCTTTCGTTTTGCTATGGAGATGAAGACCATAGCCTACATCATTACATTGAGCTTCTCGAGTTCAGTGAAGATTGGTATCGTTGTAAGCCACCAAGCTTCAGTCCCATCTACCACCAAGCTCCGGATTCCTCCAAGCAAGAAGTATTCCCGCAAATATGGTTTATGGGTGATTGCCATGGTAATAAAGCTCCTACTAAAGCATTCATTGACTATGATTCTAATGCCTGATAATTGAGCCTAGTGATTGCGATCCAACATTGGCACCTTGCCCGGATTCTCCTAGCAGCATTTGATCCAAGAGTTCCCCGCATGGGACCCAATCAAAAGAAAGCAGCTGCTACGATAGAGGTACCTCATACTGGAATGGTCACAATAAATTTGACAACTTCTAAACAAATTCCAGGCTGAAATAAAACATCATGTCTTCAATTTATGTGGCATCGGATTCTCGAACAAAACAGCACCAGGGCCGATCACGGCATGCATGGGTGTCTCAATGTGTAAGAATGCAGCCTCCTCATTGCAAAAAGTATTGAAATCACTGATATGAATAAATAGGCGGAGATAGAGTCACAGATAGATTTGAGCAGGCAGCTTTACTTGATGTATTGATCAAAACGGAGGAACTTCAGGCGTTGTCCACTCAAAAGGCACAGTACCAACTTCGGGAGGCGTGGAACTATCAGGAGACGGCGCATCCTCATCAATAGGTGCGGGGACCTATATCGGCCATTTAGCCAAACTATATGGCTAGTAAACAACGAAAAAGAAGTATGTACATGTCGGTTCCACTTAATTGGACTATCCTATAGATGATTTGAAAACTTCCTGTACTAATAACTTGAACCCACCAAACGTTACTTTAGATGACCGAGCCATTTCGTAAAAATAATGAAAAAAACACATCATGATGTGATGTTCGTTTAAGGAATTGATAAATTGCCAAATGGCTAGATAATTACTCTTCCGACACAGTCTCCGTAACAATATCAACCTTTTTCTTCTCAAAGTCTCTTGCGTTGACGTTATTCTTGAAGAGAATATCCATCTCAGCAAAAGTCCGATTCTTAGTCTCAGGAAGACGGAAATAAGCCCAAACAAAACTAATAGCCATGACACCTCCACAGAGAAAGCCACTCTTCGCACCCCAGTCCCAAGCGGCTTTTTGGATCATGCGTGGCATGAGTTGACCATAAATAAGAGCCCCGACATTATAAACCGCACGCGCAAGAGCAACACTCTTCGTGCGAAGATGGTTGGATGGGATCTCTGTGACAATTGTATAGATGATAGGACCAATTGTGATGAAAAGGACAAAATATTGGATCAGCAGGATGCTACCAATTCCATATCCAATGTTTGGGTGGGTGGTGATACTTGGAATGCCAAGGAAGCCGATGAGGAATGTAGTCAAGGTGATGAATCCAGTACCAGTCAACAACAATGTGCGACGACCAGTTCTCGGAACCAGGAACCATGCAATAAAAACACCCATGATGGCGAGGGAATACTCGCCCATACCGAAGTCAAATGAGACCGAGGAGGTCAGACCGGCTTGCTCCAAAAAGTAAACTATGTAGGAGACCAATGGAGCACATAGCTCTTGGATAAGATAGACAAATACTGTGATCTCAGTTCGGCGTAAATCAACACCCTTGAATAAATCCCAATAGGTGCTGGATGAATGCATCTCATTCTCAATTTTCACCGTGTGTTCCATCATAGCAACTGTGTCATCGATATCTGACTCTGAACTATCCGTTGATCGTAGACGATGAAGGACTTTGCGGACATCCTGTGTGCGTCCTTTGCGAGTAAGCCACCAGGGAGACTCAGGCGCGAAGTAAATACCGATAGCGAGGGAAGAGGTAGAGCCCATTGGAGAGCAAAGGGGATACGATAAGCCCATTCTCCACTTGAGTTCAAGAAGCCACGCAGAACACCGGTTCCGAGGAGGTATCCAACACTCCAGCACAACGAGACCAGCATTGTAAGGTATGGTCGGAGAACATTGGGACAGACTTCGGCAGCGTAGGTAGTCGACAGAGTTTGGAACACACCCCATGGAACACCAAGAAGAATTTCAGCGCCCATATACATGTAGATGCTGGTTGCGAAGAATTGAAGGAAGATAAACGCAGTCATAAGGAATAAACAAACCATCATGACCCATCGGTATCCAATCAAGTCGGCGACGTATCCATTGATCAATAGACCGACAATTTCACCGGCACTCACACCATTGCTAATACCGGATTGCAAATTGGCGGGAATTTGGTATGTGCCATCACTTTGAAGTTTTCCATATCGCTCTTGGAAGGCCGGGAAGGAGAAGAAACCGGTGACGAAGGCATGGTCGAATCCCTCCATGATCAGGGCGAGGGAAAACCATACTGACCAGAACACGGCTTTGGGATATTTGCGAATACCCTCTCGAAGGGTCATGCCGTGTTCATCTTCTGTTGCTCGTTGAGCGCCTTTCAGGGTGTCGATCGCGGCACCATATTCTTCGTCTTTTTCGTGGACCACCGTTGTGGTGCCTCGATCGGTGACATCTTCTTGATGTTCAGCCATTGTGAGAAAGAAAATAGAAAATGAGAAAAATGGTTGAAGTTGATCCAAAGAATCACCCCTGGTATCTCGTTCTCAGTTGGTGAATTTGAGACAGTTTATAATCCATTTGTGATAATTCCAACGTTACCAACCCCAGTCTCCTGTTTACTCCGCATCCCCAGACTATGTGGGGATCTAAATTTCTGGGGAAACCTAGGATAGGGCTTCATGGCTAATTGCGTGGTCATGCAGGCTATCAGTCATCCATCAAAAAGGCATCTTTCAGTGTCGATCCGGGGGGGACTTACACCGAACCCTAGAGCTCTACCTTGGAAAAGGAAGGTGAGTGAGGGGAAGCTATACTCGGTCTTACGATTGCCGGGGTTTGATGACGCTCTACACCGGTAGTTCTTCGGGTCACGGACTCATGGCGTCGAAGTGGAATATCTGATTCACGCTAAATTCGTGATTGGGTCCACTCATTTCATATTTGGGATGTAAGCCCCCTTTATAATTAAAGAGTACGAGAGCTTCTACTATATGAGCTGTTGTTACTAGCGGTGATATTACCGAAGCACATTTCTTTACGTGTTGACAATCCAATCCTTTGTGGTCTAAGCGTTCAGAATCTCAACTGCAAGTGTTTTGAGCCAATCGTCATGTCGGAGCATAATCTACGATGGCTGAACCGAAATGAACCCCACCTTCTCGAAGATGGCGTTTCCTTTGGAATGCCGTGGCCCCAAAGTCTCTACCCTCCCGGTCAGGCCTTTGTGATTGAAGGTGAAGGAAATCGGTGGCCGCTTGACTCGCGAGAAATTGCCTACTGGAGTGATGGTTCATTGAGATGGACTGCACATTCAGCTAGTGGTGATATCGGGTATAGTGAGAAATACACGGTCAAGGGAGCGCCACACCAAAATGAACCCTTGAAAGGAGTGGAGACTGTATACCAGGGTCCCCAGCTTTTGGTGACCACACAACAAGGACTACGCTTGGAGTTTGCAGCTCCTGGTAGTACATCCATGTTGAAAAGTCTCCAAGTTGATGGAAAATCACTGTGTTCAAATGTCACAGTAGTGGCTTCTATCAACGGTATAGAATACGCCACACGAGTCAGTTCAGTGGATGTTGAAAATGCCACATTCAGCAGGGTGGTTGTCAAGGTCGCTGGAGCCGTGGAGCGTGATAGTGAATCTCATCTTCCGTTTGACATTCGCTTCTATATCCACTCCGCCACCCATACCGTTAAAATAACTCATTCGTTCATCCACGACTTGGACTCAGATACTCCCTTGACATCCCTTGGTCTTCGCTTCTTGGTCCCTCTTGGACAAACTGAACTACATAACCGACATATTCGACTGGGAGGTTCAGATGGAGGCGTTCTCAAAGAAGAGGTCAAAGGCTTGACTGGTCTACGTCATGGGCCGACTATTCAGGATCGGATAGATCAAGCAGCTGGACGGCCGGTGACACTGAGTGAAAAAGAGTGGATTCGAACAGATCTTTCCAAAGGAGTATCATATATTCCATCCTGGGAGTCCTACTCACTTTCTCAGCTTTCCTCAGATGGGTTCAACATCAAGAAGCGCTCGAAGCCAGGCTGCTCATGGGTTAAGGTCACGGGCGGAGGTCGCGCAGATGGAACCGCCTATGTTGGGTCAGCCCAGAGTGGAGGATTGGCAGTTGGGATGTGTGACTTCTGGGAGCGATATCCTACCCAACTGGATCTAAGCAACCTGACATCCGACGAGGGAGCCGTGACTCTCTGGCTATACTCACCCTTAGCGGAGCCTTTGGAAACAGCCCCATATCACGATGGACTGGGCATGGATACCTATGAAAAACAGTTGGAAGGTCTGAATGTTACCTACGAAGATTTTGAGCCTGGCTTTGCTTCTGCAAATGGAATTGGAAGAACAACCCAATTCTTCATAAGACCCTTCACATCTACACCGTCAAATGAAGAATTCAGTGACTTTTCAGCCTTGGTCCGAGACCCTCCTCGTCTTGTCACCACAGCAGAGCATTTGTATTCTGCTGGAGCATTTCACGGGTGCTGGGCTCCTAGTTTCCAGGTTTCAGGTGCCGAGCCATCTAGCAAGGAGACTGAAATAGAGAGAAACTTGGAGCTGCTTTTCAAGTTCTACCAAGGTCAAGTTGAGCAGAACCGGTGGTATGGGTTCTGGGATCATGGAGATGTGCAACACACATATGATGCATATCGTCATGCCTGGCGGTACGACGTTGGTGGGTTTGCTTGGGACAATTCTGAGCTTTCCACCGATTTATGGCTTTGGCTTTACTTCCTCCATACTGGGAAGGCCGATGTGTTCAAAATGGCGGAGGCTATGACAACGCATACTGGTGAAGTGGACGTCTACCACGCGGGCCGATTCAAGGGGTTTGGAACTCGACATGGTGTTCAGCATTTCAGTGATAGCTCAAAGCAACTCCGCATATCCAACGTGCTCTACCGACGAATCTACTTTTATCTCACTGGAGATGAACGCACTGGTGACCTTATCTCTGAGCTACAAGACTGCCAAAATACCCTGTTGACGTTGGACTCTCATCGGAAAGTTCAAGAACACGCTGGTATACCTGATGGCTTTGCCATGACAAACATTGGTCTTGATTGTGGTCCGCTGGCTGCCGCATGGCTGACCGCGTGGGAACGAAGATCACCTGGCTGGAATCATTCTAAAGAACTTCTGATCAAACTCCTTGATGGAATTTCTGGTCTTCGGCACGGCATTGGTAACAATGCAATTTTGCTTAATCCCACCACAGGCGAAGTGCGCGAGTGTCCTCCTCCTACACCAGAATTGGCAATCTCTCACTTATCTATGCTCTTTGGATTCCCGGAAATCTTTACAGAGTTGATTTACTACATTCGGAATGAATACCCAGAAACAGTGCGAAGATTTATGAAAGTCTGGCTGGCGTACTGTCGGGGATACAATGGAGGACCAGCTGTTCAGCTTGAAGAGTTTGGTTTTAAATTCCCAGACCATGCGACATGGCGACAAAGCCATTCCACTCTAACTGCCATGGCAGCGGTAGAGGGGAGTCGGGATGATCTTGCACATGAGGCTTGGAATCAATTTTTCAATACGGATGGATATAAGGAATCTCACGATTGGACTGTCCTTAAGACTTCTCCTCCAACATACTTCAGTGAAGGCGAGGAGGCTGTCTGGGTTACTACGAATGAGGTTGCTCGCTATGGAGTATCTGCTATTTCGAATCTTGCGAGCATCGGGAAATATCTCAAATAGATTCTGTCATGATTTAGATAGATTTAGTTAAAATGCAACAGCAGTGTTTTACCTAATGAATTTGATCCTTCTTATTTTCACCATTCAAAAATCGAGTTTTTTCCAAGTGATGTGGCTTCAGCTAAGTTCAGATAGAGTATGTCCAAAGCTACACATAAGCTTACTTCGCTTGCCTCGGGCTTGTTTAACCCGCAGTCAGACATCATAGTTCCAAGCGAGAGTAAAAAGACGCCAAGTATGGGGTATGGAAGTTCCATTTAGCGCCTTGGTGGATAATGTGGGGTGAACAAGTATCCTTGGAACCGAAAATCTCTCTCATTGATGGAAAAATCGAGCTGCATAAGCTTTTCGTGGGGGTTCATTCTTCTCTTGGCCAAGCTTGGCTGAGGGGTATTGTTTACCGAGGTGAGAGACACCATACCTTGAAAAGACAAAATAGACGAGCATCATCTTTCCAATTAGAAGGATTCTTTTTGTTGAAACTCACTGGCAATCTAGCTCGATTTCACCGCAAGATGGCTATCACAAAGTACGCCGTCGTCGGCACTGGTGGACGTGCTGCGTTCTTTTACTGCGCTATTGTACGCGATTTCAAAGAGAATGCCTCTCTGGTAGCCTTCTGTGATAGCAATCAAACTCGCATGAATGTCGCCAATGATCGAGTTCAAGAATTGGGCCTGGCGCGACTGCCTACATACAAAGCTGCGGACTTTGATCGAATGATTGAAGAGACTAAGCCCGATGTGATCATTGTGACTACGATCGATCGATCCCATCATCAATATATCATTCGTGCTATGCAACTGGGATGTGACGTGTTGAGCGAAAAGCCCATGACGGTGGACGAGAACAAGTGTCAACTGATTCTGGATGCTGTGAAGGAAACAAAACAGCAGCTTCGCGTCACCTTTAACTACAGATATGCACCTCACAATACTAAGGTGCGGGAGTTGCTAATGGATGGAGCCATTGGTAAAGTGACTTCGGTTCACTTTGAATGGCTATTAAATACCCGACATGGTGCGGATTACTTCCGTCGCTGGCATCGAGATAAACGAAACAGCGGCGGTCTTTTGGTTCACAAGTCGACTCATCATTTCGATCTGGTCAACTTTTGGTTAGGAAGTCGTCCATCTACTGTCTTTGCGCAGGGTGACCTGAAGTTCTACGGCAAGGAGAACGCAGAGTCACGGGGCGAAACCGAATTCTATTCTCGAGCTCATGGTAGCTCAGCAGCAACCAATGATCCCTTCGCTCTTCATATTGAAGAGCACCCTCAACTCAAAGCTATGTATCTCGACGCCGAACACGAGGATGGCTACTACCGCGATCAAAGCGTGTTTGGTGATGGTATTAACATCGAAGATACTATGGGTGTGTTAGTGAGCTATCAGTCTGGAGCAATCATGACATATAGTCTCAATGCATACTGTCCCTGGGAAGGCTTCCGAGTTTGTTTCAATGGAACTGGGGGTCGACTTGAGATGGACGTGCTCGAAGAATCCTACGTCAATTCTGGCGGAGAGCAAGGGAAAGAAGGTGCTGTGGCACATACTAAGATCACTGTGCATCCTATGTTTGCACCACCATATGAAGCTGAGGTTATTGAAGGAGAGGGAGGACATGGTGGTGGAGATCCCATCTTGCTAAATGACTTATTTGGTCAACCAGTCCCTGATCGTTTGAATCGTGCCGCATCTCATGTAGATGGCGCTATGTCTATTCTTACAGGTATCGCGGCCAATAAGGCTATTCGCACTAGTCAAGTTGTTCAGGTCAAGGATTTGGTTCAGTTTTAGACAAGATTTATGAAGACATAGTATATCATCCATATTATTCAATCATATAAGCCACACTAGCCAAACTTGAACTCAAATACCTAGTAAAATATGTCCGAATAGTGATTATTTGCTCGTAGTTCTGGATGTTCAAGCTTTCTTCTTTTGTCCCAACTTGAAGAACTTGAAGTTAGAACCTCCGGGGCTGATATTATTCAGTAGCCCGGGAGTATGGGGGACCTTGGGCGACTGGCAGTGGAGGTTGGGGTTACTAGCGGGATCGGGGTACTCCGTACTAATGTGCTATGTATGTCGTAGTATTAGCCCCCATATTATGACAAAATATAAGCTTAAATAAACTCTTCGTCATAGTAATTGGATTGTATACAACAATTTATATGATGAAGAATTAAATAGTATAATCCATTATCATCATTGTAGTGGTAATCGTTATCTCAACCATGATCTTGGAATCCGTGACCCGAGGTCCAGACTCTGCTTTTTGCGCTTCCTCTCTGAATCTCCTTTCAATATCGACTCGACTCAGTCAACCTTTTTAATCTTCAGAAACCTGAATTAGGACTGTCAATTCTTGAGATCAACACCGTGACAACCTTGCAGTTCTTAATTGGCCCGTTCAATTCCCGTTTCTAAACCGCTTCGTCATTTCCCCGCAGATAGAATGTCGCCAACCAACAGGCTCGCCTCCCTGTGACAAGTCGCAACATCCATTGTCCTTGTTTTTAGCAACAAATCTTGCGCGATCCTTGCTTGAAAGTATTGACTGAACTTAAAAAACCTATGGCACTATCTCTCTCTTCAGAGTCAATGCAAAATCCACCTTTCATTCAGCATTACGTCGACACAGCGGTCGCTTGATTACCGCCAAAATGAGCGTCCATTCCCTTGATTATGCGCAGCCACATACCATGCGACTCGAACCCCTTCCAAACCTAGACCTCGAAGCCGGCGACCAATCGCCTTCCTCCCCATTCACACAAATTCCTCCCATAGGAAAAGATGCAAGAGAGGGATCCATCGTGGACGTGTCCGCGACAACTGCGACCCGAGTCAATTCCACCGACACAGCGAGACGTCGCATGCGACGATCCAACACAGCGCGTTCATATCGCCCAGAAGGCTTTGCGCCCGACTCAACATGGCAACCGGGAACAGAACCTGGTATCGATCCAACAAAACCCCTACCACCATACACCTCAGAATGGACTTCCAATGCGCCCGTAAACCTACACCAAGAGTGCGAGATCACTGTGGTGGACTTTTCGCAGCACGAGATGCGACAATATGGACTGGATAATAAAACACTAGAACCGTTTCTGTCCCGGGAGCGAGAGCCATGGGTACAATGTCGTTGGATTAATGTGAACGGATTAAGTTGGGATGTGATCAAGATTCTCGGAAACCACAAGAAACTGCATAGACTGGCGATCGAAGATCTGATTCATACCACGAATCGGACAAAGGCCGACTGGTATTCCGATCATGCATTTGTTGTTTTGACGTTGCAGAAGCTGGTTAAACTCCAGCAGGAAGATAAAAGTGACTCCGAGGATGATGAAGTCCCTGTTGGTAAGTTCAGAGAAAGGAGTTCATCTATCGCAAGTGATAAAAGCTCAATATCTATTAAACGAGCCACCAAGCGACGGGTCATTCTGGATGCGCTCAAGGATATCTTCCGGTCTAAACGACCACCAAGCCGGCATGGCAAAGACAAAGCCACAGTAGGGGCTAGTGTTCGCCCTGGACCTCGCAGACCATCTTCCAAGCATACGTCTCAGTTCGGTGATCTGTCTGTAACAAAAGGTGCCACCGCGCGAACCCTACAACGTTATCGGGGAGGTCCGAACGAGGGCCGAATCGAGTTCATGGAACGTCACGCTGTGCTGGCTGCGAAGAATCTATGTGTGACCTTAGAACAGGTCTCGATCTTCCTACATGCCGACAACACAGTGACATCATTTTTTGAAACAAGTGCCGATGATATAGAAGCTCCGATTGTACGGCGTCTCAGCTCACCGGAGACGATCTTGCGACAGTCATGCGATGCCAGTATGCTGCTACAAGCTATCATCGATGCCATTATCGATCTCGCGATTCCAGTAACCATGGCCTATCAAGACGCTATAGGTGACCTGGAGCTTGAGGTTTTGACTGACCCAGATATCGACCAATCAAAGAGTCTGTACATCCTCACTTCTGAAATTGCCGTGCTCCGCAATTCTATGCAGCCTATCGTTGCTGTAATCAATGCACTTCGTGATCATCGGTCCCAGCCCGTTGGCACACCTGGACTCGGGATTATGCGTCAAAGTACTAGTACTCAATCTACAATGATGGGTGAGGATTCGTCGGATTCTCAGGATCAATTGGAAGTTGCGCCTCCAAACCTCAAGAGCTCGATGGGCTCAAGTGTGACGATAAGCTCCATGTGCCATACTTACCTCGGAGATGTATTGGATCATTGTATTACTATTGTTGAAGGCTACGATCAAATGAGACGAGCTGCAGACAACATGATTGACCTAATCTTTAATACCATCGGTGGGTGCAGCTCGTCAATATACAGCGATGAGAAATGCTAATTTGTCCCAAGGTGCCTACCAAAATGAGAGTATGAAGCAACTGACAATAGTCACTTGTCTTTATCTCCCAATGACCTTCTTGACTGTATGTGATGGACACATGGATCTCTTGAATGCCTTTACTAACATTGAGCTCAGGGCTATTTTGGAATGAATTTCAATGACTTTGCTGGTATTAACAACAGCGATTCGTCAGTATCCTGATTCTATCTATACTCGACTAACTTGACGCTGACTTATGATCCAGCTACTTTTGGAAGATCGCAATTCCTTTCGTCTTTGTTACAACTTGCTTGCTGATGTAAGTCCTCCTACGTTGCCCTTTACTTCATCCATATTGACAAGCTTATCCAGGCGAGACAAGATCCAACGTTACGCCGTCATGCTTGCCCAGAAGCGGCTTATCACGAGCTCCAAAAAGCAACGCCAGGAGCACAGTGTGCGGTAATTACCTTGATATCAATTATGTCGCTAGATACCCTTACATGAAACTTGAAGCCCAGGCAGTTGTTAGCTTTTGTACATTTAGCTCATCCCCAAACCTTCCAGTGGTCTCGTATATTCTATCTATTAAAAAATACATCTTATTCATACACAACTTCCCACGCTACTTTTACATTGCCATCTCATTAGATCTCCTTCTGTCGGAAAGCCCAGTACGCCTTCCAAGGAAGTCTCCAATCCGAGCGCAACAACTCAGGACGAAAGACATCAAAATCATGCTCCTGCAAGCGATCAAGCCAGAGTCTCGTCCCAATAGCAGGCATGAAAACACCAAAAGCCCTATTGACCTCATCAAGTGGCGAGTCGCGCGACAAATCAGGAGAATCATACTCATGACCTTCTTCACCCTCATGCTCAAAATCATGACCAACATCTTGACCCGCACGCAAATTACTCAACATCTGTTGCGCAGTAATCAAGTGATCACTCGCGCGCGTCGCAACGGTAAAAACCGCATCGCGTAATCCCTCCGCCTCTGCACCCCGTCTCAAAACATCTTCCTCTTTCACACCCGCCTGCGCCATTACATCCAACGGTAACATCACCGCACCTGGTTTAGAACCACCACTCAATCCCAGAGTCGCCGCACCTCCACCATGAGGTGCCTGAGGCTGGGGGTTGGGAAACGCAACGAGCGGAAGTCCTCGCAAGACAGCTGTGATTCCAACCGCTTTCCCAATATGCGAAGCAACGTGGTCCGCTGTAACGGAGGTCATGGGTAATGCGGAGAGGGTAAGATACATGAGGGTTGAATACGTATTCTCGGCGTAGGATTCCAGAGCTGCGATATTGGTGTAGGGATCATTGGTAAGGGTTTGTTCGCGGGCGCTGATTAGTCGAGTAAGCCATCCTTTGCTTATCCGGGCGCGACCTTCTGTACGCTCGTGGAGATCGGAGATCGCGGAGGCGAGGAGAATGGCGACCGGTTCTTTTGGAGGGTTACCGGCTAGAATCTTGGATACTGCATCGCGCCAGAATTGTAGGCGCATGAGCCCGATTGTGTGGGAGGAAGTGGTCTCGGGGATTAACGAGAGAGAGACATTTAAGGCGCGGAGAGCGAGGTAGAAGGTGCGAGCGTGTGCTGGAATGAAGCTGCTCAGGGTATACGAGGGACGGTCATATTTTCTGTTTGGAGGAAAGAATGGTTAGGTGTTTCTTGGGGGATTTGGAGGCAATTGAGTGAGCTGAGAGCTTCATGGCACATACGTGAGTAGAGCGACACAGTATTTATGAGCGCCTTGAATTTCCTCTTCTGTTAGAGGAGCGCGGACTGAAGTCGTCGAGGTGAAAGCTCTGGATTGTCGAACTGCTTTTTTAGAGAAAAATTGAGCACTATTGACCCGATATGGTCGACAGGCCTCTTTGAAGATCGACATGGTGAGAATGTGAAGTTGATAAAAAGGATGTAATCCACTTAATAGTATTGGTCGGACGGAGCGGGTCAATGATCATTAATGGACTTAAGTAGTATGAAAGACCAATTAATAAACACAGGAGACCTTATATGTCTAAGGTGGATTGAGATGTATGAGTAGATCGTGTAATTCCTTGACACTCATCTTAATTCCATATGTTCTAGATTTTCTACAAGCAATAGGACTATAATTGGACTTTTTCGACGTCCCGTGCTCGCGCGTTCTCCGTCGCGTCGTCCCAACTTCATCGTTGATCTTCTCTTCAACTTCCATCATTTGAGCTTTACGTGGAAACCACGATTATGAGCGACGATCTGGATCAAAGACCAGCGAAAAGACAGCGCTTTTTCGTGGATGGCCCTGGACCTGCCGCAGATTCTGCTCCAGCAATTACTGACGCGTCTTTGACGCGGTACACTCCAGATGCTGAGGACCATGCTGATCAGGATGAACCAAGAGCTATCCTTGAGACGCCTTCAGCTGATATCAAGTCCTCGTCTCAACTTGAGGTCAATTTCGCTTCACCAGATCTCCCGGAGGCATCAGAACAGACAGTAACCGACCATACGATCTCGATCCCCCACCTACAAAACGGAACGACCGAGCCACCTACCGACGAAGACAATGCGATCAACAATGGAGTACAGCCGGCCCTGAAGAATGGCTTTGATGTGGAACTGTTTACTGGTATCATTGGTGAACAGCTATCGAGCGAATCTATCGAAGTTATCCGAGCCGCAGCTTCCAATAATATCGAACGGGCAGTTAACATCTACTTTGATGGATCATGGAAGAAACCGAAGAAGGCGACCGCTCGAACCGGCTCCTTACCTCTCCGAAAAGGATCCTCTACCCCGCTGGGAGTTAATGGACAAGGCACTTCAGGGTTTACTGAGGAAGATACCTCTGCTGAATCAAATTCTGTAGTTGGGAGAATGCCTTCATCTAGGTTCATCGGATCATTTGGAGTTGGTGGATGGGCGACTCGCAGCGGGCCTGCGTTACTCAAGCATGGGGATCCAGTAAAGATTGAACGTGCGAGATCCCAACCAACTACCAAGCGTGCGCGTGGAGGCAAGATGATGGTAAACCAGAAGGGAGATGTCTTGACACGGTTTACGAATACAGCCGGGCAGGAAGTTGGAAGACTGCCGCATGAGACGGCTGAATGGGTGTCTACGTTGATTGACCAGAAGTTATGTCATTTTGAAGGTGTCTGTGTCTTCAGTGAAGACAGGTTGCGAATCAACGATACAATATACCTACAGTTGAGGTGTTTCTTTCGTAAAGAAGCTTTCCAGCGTCTCACATTTGGATCCGCAAAGGATGATAACAGATCAACTGGTCTCTTCGAGGAGAAAGAAAGCACGGAAGAAAAGAATCTCAGACTCCGTCAAGTATCCCTTGTTAAGCTTTTTGATGCCATCGATCTCAAGCCCACCTCCATAAATCCGACAACCGAAAAGCATAAGAAGAGTGGTATTCTCCGAGCCGCCGAGATGGCTGAACAGTATGATAATACCAAGAAGGAGAAAGCCAAAGGTTCCAAGGATCCAGATGACTCCTCGGAAGAAGACGACACCCAAGAGCTTGCCCAGGACCAGCTCGATGCACTATATCGAAAAGCTCAATCGTTCGATTTTAATATGCCAGAAGCCGAGCCTGCTTCCACCTTCCGGATGAACCTGCGGAAATACCAGAAGCAGGCTCTTCATTGGATGTTAGCAAAAGAGAAAGACAACAAACAGCCTCGTGAACGCTCGATGCATCCGCTGTGGGAGCAATACCTATGGCCAGTAAAAGACAGTGATGATAAAGACCTCCCTGGGTTCGACGGAATTGATCATTTCTATGTCAATCCCTACTCTGGTGATCTCAGTGTTGACTTCCCAGCCCAAGAACAGCACTGCCTGGGTGGAATCTTGGCAGATGAAATGGGACTTGGAAAGACGATTGAGATGATGAGCCTTGTCCATTCTCATAGAACTGAGCTTGATCCTCAACTTTCCAACGGGATTACCTCTGTGAACGATCTCGCTCGTGTACCAGACTCCGATGGTGTCATTCCTGCACCCTACACAACCCTTGTCGTGGCGCCCACGTCATTGCTTTCTCAATGGGAAAGTGAAGCCCTAAAAGCTTCCGAGGAGGGCTCTATGCGTGTTATCATGTACTATGGAGCGGACAAGGCAGTTAATCTTCGGGATTTGTGCTGCGCATCAAAGTATGCATCAGCGCCAAACGTCATTGTAACAAGCTATGGCACCGTGTTATCGGAGTATCGCTCATTGGCGCTTCAATCAATGATGTCCGGTGGTGCATATGGCGGCCTTTTCTCTGTAGAATTCTTCCGAATCATCCTGGACGAAGCCCACACAATCAAGAATCGTCGCTCCAAAACCACCCGAGCATGCTGCGAGCTCCAAGCAACACACCGGTGGGTCCTCACTGGTACGCCAATTGTCAATCGACTTGAGGATCTGTTTAGCTTGGTGCGCTTTTTGAAGGTCGAACCTTGGAGTAACTTTTCCTTCTGGAAGACGTTCATTACTGTCCCCTTCGAGTCCAAGGAGTACATTCGTGCCCTCAATGTCGTTCAGAGTGTATTGGAGCCCCTTGTTCTTCGGCGAACGAAGAGCATGAAAACACCAGAAGGCGAGCCATTGGTCCCTCTTCCTCCAAAAACGATAACCATTGAAGAGATTGAGCTGCCAGCAAAGGAGCGAGAAATCTACGACTGCATCTATACTCGAGCCAAACGAACGTTCAATGACAATGTTGAGGCTGGTACTCTCCTGCAGTCTTACTCTACCATCTTCGCGCAGATTCTCCGTCTTCGCCAGACCTGCTGTCACCCCATCTTAACCAGAAACAAAGATGTGGTGGCAGATGAAGAAGTTGCGGCCGCTGCAGCTGACGCAGCCAACGAAATGAAAGATGACATGGATCTCCAGCAACTGATCAATCAATTCACTGCTGCAACCAAGAACGCAGAATCAGAAGACCGTTCTGTTAAATTTACCGCCCATGCGCTTCGCCAAATTCAAACCGAATCCAGTGGAGAGTGTCCTATTTGCTGCGAAGAGCCCATGATTGATCCAGCAGTGACTGCATGCTGGCATAGTGCGTGCAAGAAATGTCTCCAAGATTTCGTGGCGCACCAAATGAACAAGGGTGTTGAACCACGTTGCTTTTCCTGTCGAGCTCCGATTGACGCACAAAACATCTTCGAGGTGGTTCGTCATGCGTCCGCTTCCCTGCCGACAGCAATAGATTCATTCGCTTCTACTGAAACGCCACAAAATGACTCCCAACCTGCCCCACGCATATCTCTCCGACGAATCAATCCCCTTTCTCCATCCGCACATACCTCTGCCAAGATCCATGCCTTGATTAGCCACCTAACGCGAATGCCACCTAATACCAAGTCAGTGGTGTTTTCCCAATTCACGTCATTTCTCGACCTAATTGGGCCCCAACTGTCCCGGGTTGGTATTTCGTATGTCCGTCTAGATGGCACCATGCCCCAGAAAGCCCGCAAGGCAGTTTTGGAGGAATTTACCAAAACTGAAACATATGAGGATGAGATCATGGATTCGGAGGCTGAGGAACCTGCTAAACCCAGTACCTCGAATTCTTCCCCGACTCTTCTTCTTATCTCTCTTCGGGCGGGTGGCGTCGGTCTCAATTTAACGGTTGCGAACAATGTCTTTCTCATGGATCCATGGTGGAGTTTTGCCGTGGAGGCTCAGGCTATTGATCGCGTTCATCGTATGGGTCAAACCCGTGATGTTTCTGTTACGCGATTCGTGATCAAAGATTCCATTGAGGGTCGTATGCTACGTGTGCAGGAACGCAAAATGAATATTGCAGGCTCACTTGGTCTACGTGTTGGGGGTGATGATGAAAATAAGGATAAAAAGGAGCGCATCACGGAGTTAAAGATGCTCTTTGAGTGAAAAATTGATTATTAGTTTGGTTTTGGTTTTCATAGAGCATTATGGATTCGAGTTGGTCTTGCATTTTGGGATTTGGGCGATACCCTGGGCGTCATTCGACGTGGTTCTAGATCTGTGCTGGGCGCCATCTTCTTGCACATTCATTGAATGTTTTCATGTTTCTGCTACTAGTTCTTTTTTCAATGCCTATAGTCAAAATCCTAGCATATATTATAACCCCAACACTGCTCCGTTCACGGTATCCAAGCTTTTTGGTATCTTCGAGCCTCCAGTGTCCTGTACGCGCTCTCGGCACATGATACTCAAGTGTCACTACTAGTAGTAGAACGTATGTTTAGTATCTGGTAACATTTGAACATTCAAGTTGATAACATTACACGAAAGTAATCGCAAATATCAGATCCCAAATCCAAATCCAAATCCATCAGACAAAAATCCACTTCAGGTATAATCATACTTCCAAGGTTATGTGCAAAACGTCCTCAAACAGAACAGCTTCCAGTATTTTTGAACATTTTGAAGTATTCAGGAAATTCAAAAGAGCAATCAGAAATTCCCGAATTGCAGATCAAGATAACCTACTCCTTAGTCTCTAGTATCTTTATGATGACGAGGATGAGCAACCTTATTCAGGCGCTCCTTCATCTTCGCCATAGCACCATGTTTCCCATTTCCATTGCTTCCAGGGCTCTTCTCACTTACAGGACTCTTCTCACTTCCACTGCCACTTCTAATCCCACTGGAAGCCATACCACTGGAAGCCCGATCGTGACTATCAATACTTTTATTCGACGATTGCAAGGGAGCACCTAAACAAACTTATTAGCGAAACCATTCACTAAATGATGATAAATAAAACTCACTCTTTGAACTACCAGTACTGGTAGTAGCAGCAGCGATAGGAGACTCTGGGTTCTTTGGGCGACTCGGCATCTTCTTCTCCTTCATCTCTTTCTCAAACTCCTCCGCTGATCTAGGCGCAGGGCCTTGTGGGCCCTCTAATGCCTCTTTGCTGGCATGGGTGTGAGGATCCTCAGGGTGTGAAGAAGATTGCATAGGAGTGTCATTCTCCTGCCCGTTATTCTCCTCTTCAAATGCACTCTCATCTTCATTGATATTGTGCTCGGCTGCTTCCTTCTTACTAGTACTAGGACTAGTAGTGCTGGGACTAGTAGGTTCTGCTGCAGGCGAAACATGTGCAGGCGAAGAATGTGCAGGCCCGGGTTCTGTATTGGTACGTTGCTCCAGGGCTCCGGCTTTCGAGGTCTTGGGTGATTCGCTATATACGGACCCGGATCCAGAGCCACCAGCTAATGCGAAGCCAGCATCTGGTTTGGATGGGTTGGATGATTCAGTCACAGTGCTGTTGAGGGGGTTGCCTTCTAGCTTGGGTTCTTGTGGAGCAGTGTTGCCCTCATCTGAAGACGGGGCACCGGGTTGTTCTACAGTGGTGAAATTGTTAGTGTATGTAGATTTCAAAGGTCAATCGAATGGGATGCGTATCATGCGTATGCGATTGATGTGTTGGTATACTTGAGACTTACCCTCGCGGTTACCAGCATCATAAGGGTCATTGGCGAGACCTTTACCCTGAACACCTGATATGGGCTCATCGCCATGTGGGATATCTTTGGGGTGGGTGTAGTCCTCACCCCACAGGGCACTAGAAGCTGCATTGACAACCCGATTGACAGCTTCCATTTTGTGCAGTGTATAGGCAGTGTGTTCAAATTGAAGAATATAGAAATCTTGCGATAGAAATATGAAACGATATAGGAGTATGGGAAAGAGGAATTGCGTGGAACAATTTGTTATAAATGAATTCTTAGATCGTATAGGCAAGAAAGATCGAGAATAGAAGAATCGTCAAATATCAATGGATAGTAGAAAGCTTTGGAATGTAAAACGAAAAGTGCTATGGGGAGAGGCGAATCTCTTAAAAGCGTATCCCGTCTCATCTACACGTGTAATTAACTACGTCAGTGGAATCCATACACCAGAAAAGGATTCTGGTTATAATTGGATATAATTGGATGTCAGTTGCAGCTCAAAGATCGACGCATGGCATCATCTGACGTCATGTCACGTGGCGACATGCAATAGATCGAAATGATAAAAAACAGTGTAAAAATAATAGAATTGAAGGAAATAAAAACAAAAACGCTATGTAATTCACGAAACTGCAGTGGCTTGAGTCTTGCTAGGCTCAGTTGTGGCGTCTCCTTTGGAGTTAGCATTGAGTGGCTGGGCAGAGTCATAGCCGATACTCTTTACAATTCCCAGTCCTTTCGTTTTCCCTTCTCGGAAAAGTACTCGGTCGCCTGGAACAAGGAACTCGGGCCGCTGCATGAATCGGAAAGCAACAAGAGCACGATCGCCCGTTCGAATGAAAGGGCGGTCAATATCAATGACAGAGCAGGTCTGACTAACCGCTCCGACGTGTAACATGGCTTGATACTTCGGCTTAATGGTGGTGGCGTGCGAGAGGATCAGCACTGAAATGCTGTCAGTTAGTTATAAAATCAGCCAATGAGGTAGAGTACTAGTTTACCTTCTGCAACGAACTCTCGGTGCACCTTAGGCGGGTCATCCATCTTCTTCAAGACAACCATTCCTTTGCGAACTTCTTTACGTCGGACACGCTTCAATGCAAAGGATCCCGACTGACCGGCAAAGCATGCGTTGACCGGTATCCTCTTTCGTTCGATAGTTTTTATTGTAGTTGTCGTGAATTGGCCAAGAGAGTCGGGACCAACTACAACTGAATCTCCAGCGTGTATGACGCCGGATTTGACTACACCGGAGACGACAGTACCAACGTGGGGAACGGAGAAAGTGTCGTTGATCAAGAACTCAAAGGGACCATCCGGATCGTAGTGACCCCGGTGAGGGAGAATGTTAAGGAATGTCCGGACAAGGTCCAAGTTTTCACCTGTGACGTTAGAAACTTGAAAAATCGGGCATATTCGCTGGCTGACGAATTGAGCTGCTGTGCTGATAGTCTCTTCCATATCCTTGACAAATATCGGGATTTTGCGAGCACCAGGAGACTTGAGAATCTTAGACAACTGAGACAGCGTCTCCTGGAGAATTTGAGGGGGACAGATGTCAATCTTGGTGACAATAACCATAACTGGAACATTAAGCGCGAGGGCAATTCCAAGGTGCTCACGACTCATTCCAATCAGACCATTGTTCGCAGCAACCATGAGTAGACAATAGTTAGGGCTGCTACTCAGCATGCCAAAGACCGTGGTTCGCAAGTAGCGTTCATGACCAGCAAGATCAGAGAAAGATATCACTTTGGAAGATCGTTTTCCAATCTCCTCCCAAGAGAGTTTTCGGCCTTGGGTGTGGGCGACAATTTCGCCGCGGCTATCAAATCCCATGATTTCAAGTCCGACAGAGCTGGTTCGCCCACTCTCGATCTCGTGCTTGTGACGGAACAGATTGACTCGTGCACGACCGCGGCCATCATCGAGACTACCTTTAACAAGTACACCAAGCATGGTACTTTTCCCCGCGTCGACATTGCCTACCACGACAATTCGGATCTCCGCCATCTCCTCTACATTGTCAAAATGTTGACGAATGAGAATCTTTCCCCATACACCCTTGCTACGGTCACTTCTCGCAGCACATTCCTGTTCCCCACCTACATTGCAAGTGAGTAGAATACGACAGTGAGCAGGAATAGTTTCAGTAGCCTCGCGTAGACGTTGCAGGGCGGTCTTCCATTGAGGGAGATCGAAGCCCATTGAATCACCACCGTCTTCAAGACCAAGGTCAAATATTGTCTCTCCTTGGCCTTGATCTATGCGCGTCTGCATGGTAGCAGCCAGCACCTGGAGACTGTTCTCGGCTTCATCTCCCGTCCCCAAGAGAAGCTCTTTTAACTTGACAGAACGAGGAGTATCGGACAGGCCGAGCTGATCCAAGATTTGCAGCTCCGCATGGTCTTCAAGGTCGCGCGACACACTTCCGGTCTCGTAGCCACTGTCACTAGGAGCAACGACAGCGGAGCGGTGTGTCTGCTGTTGTTCGGCATACTCGGCAAATTCGCTCAGAGCCTAGAATAGTTAAATTAGTGTGAACATTCTACTACCTTGATAGAATAACATACGATTTCACCTCGTTTCCGGTCCTCGGGATTCTGTTTTCCAGCATGCGTTGGCATATTTGTATGTTGAGGTATCTTCAGATATTGAATGATGGAGGGGTCACCTATACGGGTAGTGACGTTGCGTTGCGGTCGGGGATAGATCGAAGTGGGACCGCCTTTGCTCTGGCGCGATTCAGACTTGTATTCGAGGGATCATTGCTTGACTGTTCTTAATTGAAGAACAGTAAAATGTGAAGTATTAAATGTGAATGAAGAAAAAAGCGTAAGAGTATGGGGATGGGAGAAGAGAAAGAGGAAAAGAAGATGAAGGGGGATCGGAGCCATCCTTATCGATAACCTTAGTTCCTCCAGGTGCGTACCTATGGTCCGAGGTCGAGTCACTCATTTGAGTCATCACTCCAACCCCATCATATGCACCTGAACTCAGCCACAGATTCACGCTAATTTATTCATGGAAACAGATGGAGCTACACGGAGTAATAATATGACTAACAGTGGGGTCTGATGCCGCGTTCTAAAGCCATGCGGCTCTGCTACAGGGATCCAAGGATACACAGGGGTCTTTCAAAGGGTCATAACCCAACTTCATGGGGTCTCATATCTATGTAGCCCAAGGATTCCGTGGATGGTATCTCAATATATCATTTTTGCAAGTTTTGCAGATGTCATTTCAAGGGTCCTCCTCTCGCCAGACGCCAATTCCTCTATTCATTCGTGGACTCAAGTGGTGCTCAAGCCTGGGGGGAGATCAAAACGACGGAATCGCCTAAGGAGTCATTAGTCAGAATGATGCAGCCGCTAAACAAAGGAAAACAAAGAGATGGTCTTACCTCGTACGAACAGCATTTCTTCTTGCTTCTTGATTGTCTGCGGTAAAAATCCCTTGGTCAGCATTCTTGGGTCTCTTTCCCAGATTGAAACATAGTCCATACGCGTGTGACTTCCTCCTCATTCTCATCCTCCTCTACCACGTAGATAGTCTCCTCAACATCGCCTAACACTAGATTGCAGTGGCTGTCATATGCCTATTGAGTCATAAGGGTCAGTTTAGGTGGGGGAACATATGACCATGGATGAACTCACGTGGAGGCGGCCCTTAAGTTCACGATCACCGCGAAGCTTCACGAAAACAATCTCATCGAGAGAAAGACGGACAAGATCTAGGGGCTCTGAGACAGAGGCACCTACATCCTCGTTATCGGCCATCTTTGAGAGGTGGAGGATTCAAGCGGGAAAGGTGGGATATCTCCTAGACTTCAATTGGACGCGGAAACTGAATCGAAGAGCTCTGTCCGCTCCCTAATTTGGTTTAGCGTGGATGATGTCCATGATGAGTCAGCATATGATTATGTGATTACCCCGGACTTAATGTTTATCTTGTTTGTATTGTTTGTACTGTTTGCACTTGACTTATCATTAAAATGGGGAAAACAGAACAAAAATGGGGCAAATTCTCTCTCCACTTTTGACTCCTTTTCCCCAGATTCCTCGTGCCTCTGGATCCACTCATTACTATATTCTTGAAGTATGTTTGCATACTTCGAGGGTTTAAATAGTCATGTACTTCAGACTTTATATTGAAATGAACAATCATAAATGTTGCCTAAATTCAATATACCCTGCAGGTCACTTCGACTTGAACAGCGGTCTGACCACCCTTAATCAACCTAGTGAAACTGGTCTGCAGCACAAGTACCATGTACCCCTCTTTCATTTGGGGTCGAAGCGCTCGTGCCCCCCCATGTCAGTAACGAGCTTCTCCTCCTACTTGCTTCCCCCCGTGGCCTTTTCTGCTCCTTCCTCATTCCATTATTATGTTGTTGTCATCCCACCTCCAATGATGAGATCTACTTTCATCGGCAGGATGCCATCCTCATCCTGGCATTCTTTCAGATTAAGGATCCCAGAATCGAGTCTCTCGAGCTGGACACGAGTTGCACCACTCCAGACCCACTACACCGGTCGCACACGACCGATCTCAACGTCGGTGAAATTATCGTCGCCTGCGCCATGGGAATCAACTCAATCAAAACAAAATAGTATCCGTCGTACTCGGCGCTGGAGCAACAGTCGAAAATCTCAAAGTAAGAAATATTCCCAAGAGAAGCCTTCCCACGAGCCCGTAGAGCAGATCAGGGGGCTTCCTTCGCAAAAATGGGACTCAGCGCAGGCGGAGCAAGACTATGCCGACAGGTTCTATAAATCATTGGCAAGTGGACAACCCAACATTGTGCTGGCATTGTTGACGGATCCACGGTCCGAGGAGCTTGTTGGGTCCTTACCCCAGACTACCTTTATCGAAGCGCTCCACCTGATATCGCCCGCCCATTTTGTGGAGCCCTTCCGCAAACTCCACCACCCCCTACATTCCTGGTCAACGTTCCTCCATGGTGTCAAACGTGCAGAAGAGATTTTTGACGATTTCGTCAAGAGTTTGTATATCATCGGAGGATACCGGACTGCGGCAGGCAATTTTCTGGGGTTGGCAGAGTATACCCATCTCCTGGACTGTGCACGGTCCATGGGGAATGCTCCCTTGGCAGAAGATTTGTGGTTGTCAATGCAAAAAGATGAGGTGGAACCAGATGGGACTTGCTACAACCACTACATCGGTGCGAAAGTGTGGGATCACTGCTTCGTTGGCCAGGAAGCTTATAACTTGCGAGTACTGCCCAGACCGTACAAAAAGCGACGAATGCGCGACAAAAACGTTGGTTGGAGAGGTTTCTCAACTGGTAAGCTGAGTATTCGACGAACGACCCTCGAAATCTTTCGAGAAATGAGAAAGGCTGGGTATTTACCGGATGAGCGTACTTATATCAACGTGATGCTCGCATCGGCTCGGACGGGCCATATGCAAGCCGTTAACCATCTCCTACAAACGGTTTGGAATATTGATGTCGAGGCTCTAAAAGGAACCCTCGACCATTCTACACTGCCACCTGCGAAGGCCTATGAGCCTTGGTCTGCACTGTATCCGACTAAAGAACTCCTCTTTGCGGTCGTTCATGCGTTCGGTATCAACAGCGACATTTCCGGTGCTGTCAACACAATTCAATTCATCTCCACTTCCTACAATATCCCAATCCCCGATGAAGTGTGGCATGAGTTATTTGAGCGAGCGTATGTGCTGAGCAGGTACAGAGAGCCGTCTGAATCCCGCGAGTATGAAAATACGGTCGGAAAGATCTCGTCGGAATTGGTTGAATTAATATTCAAAATCATGACCTCCGAGCCTTACAACGTCGTTCCCAATTTGCAGACGTTAAGGTTCATGATGAGAATAGCCATAGATAGAGGGAGCTTGGAGGAGTGTCGACTCTACCTGCAGGCTGCATATGACTTGTTAGCCTCGACCAGACGCCAAGAACATGACGCGCGCGCGATCATAATGGCTCTTCTGAGAGCTGAGCAGCCTGATTTGGAAGAGCCAAATCCCAAATTAGTGCAAGATTTAAGCTGTGCTGAGAAAGCGCGCCTTCTGAGCCCTCAACTTTACGAGGCAATCAGCAAATACAACCTTATCAGGCTGGAGATCTATCAGCAAAGCCATCTCCTTAAACGTGCCGTTCTATCTGCCGTCGGTCAGGTCAAGTGGGAGGGCATTTCTGAAAAGCGATGGTTATTCCAAATACGGCCAAGGCTCATTGAGGAGTGGCGCGACTTTCTACCAGATCACTTTCGAATGAAATGCGGCACTGACGAAGGTTTGATCCGCTTTCGAGGCGAGACATCCCATGAAAACCAGGAGTATTGCAAAGATGGGAGGATCGCCGTGCAACGGTTCGCAGGGAATGGGATGCTCTTCAATCCCTTGGAATTTCGAAGTCAGACGGAGGAAAACATATGGAATGATGTGAAGAATAGATTTCCTTGGCTGGATGACTCGGCAGAGCCGGTGAGATCACTGCTCAATTTTCAAATACCACGAACCAAGGAGCTTGAAGGGAATCTTGATGAGCTTCGTCGAAGTTGGGTTGTTTATCCAGAGGGCCATCAATATTCGAGGAGTAAAAATCCAAACGCAGGATTCTACGGTCGCCTTGCGGCATTGGGTATGCTGAAACCCAAACGAGATGTATTTTGCCTAGACAATGTGTCTTGGATTTAGCGGTTATTCAAGTTAGCACTTAAAGACTGGGAAATGATGTTATGATGTTTCGCTAGTCTTTGTTTCTTCGCGATCGATACCCGTTTTCAGTTTGATTTATGTAGCTGTAAATTGTCTTGAAAATTGCCATTCTGTGTCTCGGGAGTTTCACACCATTCAACTTTTTTATCATAGCAACACAGCAGAAAGTCCGTTCGACTTGGTAGTGTGCAAAATTATGTTCAATTTCTCGAGGATGTAGTATACACAGGCCAGTGGCTCAAGCTCCTTCGATAGCATGCAACTATCGAAGCAATGCCAGCGATACCATATCAATTCACAAACCACGGCATATAAAATAGCAACTTGAGTTCAAGTTCCCAATTAGATATTCTCCTTTACGAGATCATTGACGGTCATGTAGCGTCCAATAGTAATCCAACCCCAGCGGAACCAAACCATCTGGCTCTGATGACCTTTCACCATAGCCGACTGTGCAGTCAGCCACTCACTGACAGAACTAACGAAAAGCAGACGTGCTGGATCAGAACCATCTTTCTTCTTTCGAGACAACCTGTCATAGACATTACAAAACGCTCCCTGGAGCATCGAAACCGGAGCATCGAGCACACCAGCATACTTCCTAAAAATCGACGTAGACGACAATGTATAAAGGGTGATAGGAGAAGCAAAGCCAGGCTTATCTTTCATAAGCGAGCGCACAAAATGCACTGCGCCGTGATACAGCGAGCGGTGGTTAATATGGTTACTGATACCATCCTTATCGAATGTAAGAAGGACATCGATAGTAGCCGTGGGAGCTTTATTGGGATCCGCTTTTTTGGAACCATTCAGCGAAGCGGCAAGGTCGGGCGCGAAGGCTGATGCGAGGAGAGAGGTAACTTGGTCTTCGGCCCAGTGTGCTGACATGCTATCTGGGAATCGGGTAGGGTCATCCACAACGAAGACATCGGATTCATCGCGGAGACCAAGCTGGAGGGCACTTTTCTTAAGTTCCTGTTTACGGGTTTCGCCGAGACCATCTGCATCACCTGGTATTTGAGATACGTGTTAGTTTGTTGAGTCGGTAGAAACAGTCCGGGAATGTGTACGCACCAGTGCTGAGACAGAGGATCTTGAGATGGTTTCCCAGTTCTGGCTTGGTAAGCGCCAGTACGGTTGGCGCGAAGAACATTGCTTCGTCATCAGGGTGTGCGATCAACAGACATATCCGCTTATTCTGGAGGCGGGGGAAATTGCGCGTAAAAGGTGATGAGGATGTAGCCGAAAAAGTCCAAAAGAGGAAGATAGCGGCAATACCGACCACCACCGAGGTCCAGTTGAGCGATAACATTGTAGTATATGGGGACGACTCGGAGGTGAGGGTTTGTAGTTGGTGGGATTTTTCTGTCCGGGCTGGCAATTCGTTCCTGTCGCTAGCTTAACAGAATTTGGTGGTGTTTGCAACAAGTTGGATGCTTTTGATTTCTTTAGTCAAGCAGACTCAATGCCGGCTGGGTGGGGGTAGGATCGGTAGTGAAGAAGTGGATCGGAAGTCGCAGGAGTTCAAGACATGGCACGGCGGGGACCTGCAGCGGACATCCCACCTGGTAGCTTTGTGATGCGATAGGGAACCGATGTCGGGGATTGCGTGGCGAGCGGGTAATTGGGTTAGGAAATGGGTGTGTAATTGAAATTCAGGCTCATGATTGAGCAAGATAGGTAATCTGCTGTATCAAAGAACACGGTGGCATAGAGCTATCTCGAAAAGGGGAAGCTCCGAATAAGATTCATAAAGCGGGTCGATCCCCCGGAATAGATCACGTGGTTCTCTGAAGGGCTCATACAACTTGAATCCTCATACTAGTGCTTTTTTATATACCTATACTATGTATTGAGTAAATCCATTATGTACTTCAAGGTGAGGCTGTTTGAGTTCGAAATTTCTACACCAACTTGAACTTGAAGTTTTGGTTTCAAGTTTCAAATCATATAGTAGTGCCAGTGTGTGTACCTAGTATATAGTAGAAGTATCAATTGATTGAATATTCGGCGCCATTTCAAGTTCAAGTTCAAGTTCCAGCCATATCGCTGCTATTCAGAAGAGAGAATACTATGACTCTGGTAGAACCAGCTCCAGGACTCTGCCTAGTATCTCACCGTGACATCAGTTTTGTACATTTTGAAGATGGATGATATGAATTATCTATACAAGCATCGGTCAAGCCAGAAATATTTGTGATGGTATGATAGGAAAGAAATTAATCCAACACTGGCAGTTTGACAAGAGAAAAAAGGGGGAAAAGAAAAACAGCAAGGTCAGGGATCGAACCCAGGACCTTCAAAACCAGAAATGCGTGAATAGCCTCAACAGCTCTCACTTGATACATCCATCCTCAACACATAATCCCTTCTATCTCCGTCAATTATTTTTATTTTGAAGATCTGAAAGTTGCAATAGAAAGAGAACAGCTAGAAATATAATAAATCAAAAAGATTTAAAAATTTAAAAAAAAAAATAATTGTCCCTAGCCGTAGCCAGAAATCCCACCTACCCGCTAGTATTATCTCTGCCACCGAAAAGCGGCCCGGCCCACCTCGATTTCAATACCTTTGTCCCCGGTTGGGTCGCAGGCCGCTGACCACTAGGCCAGCAGAGCAGAATCCATACCTGGGGAGCTTTTTACTCGAATATATGGGAGCTCTGGTTCCTTGAATGGTGTTTAACTTCATTCTGATAACTTGAATCTGTATAAATCCTTTATGTCCCGTAACTTGAAGCTTCAACCTTGGGATTTTTTTTTAAAATTAATAGATTTTGGGGTTCAAACTTCCACTGCCAGTGATATATACCAGTACTAGTACTAAGTACTACCTACTTTATAATGATGCTAGTATCCCCCACAACCTTCGAAACTACTAGTACTGCTAGTATGTAGTATCCAAGTTTTTCTTCCGATTCAGAGTCTCCCACTACTAGAGAATACTAATGAATCATAAACAAAATCGAAGGATCGAATAAATATGTAAAAATTTGAAGGACAGCAACTTAGAGAGGAGCATCAATGGAGAAACACAAAGAAAGGATGAGCTCAAGTGCTACTAGGCCTAAAACTCGCTGCGGCTTGAAATGATATAAGAACTTGAAACTTGAAAGAGCCCATGAATTTTTGTGGTCTGGAACATTCAAGTTTTACCAGCCTATCGGAATTGCCGGTCTACATGCCACTGACATTCAATTATATTATATGTAAGTACAAAAAAACACATGTGCAGCTAGGGAGAGATGCGTGCAGCATAACCTTGGAAGTGTAAAACATTTGGAATAACATGGGATAAACCATCCCCTACAAAAATACACCTTAGCAGTTGTGCTTAAGTATCTGTTCCTAATTTTAGATCGTTTGTCTGATTTGCCTGTACCTGATCTAGTATTTCTGGCGTTCGCCAGCAATTTTCACTCTTGACTCGATTTAGTCTGGTGGCTCGGGAGAAATTTCCTTCAGCCTTAGCGCGAACTGCTCCTGGAGGTGGCAATCAATAAGGCGTCCTTTGATCCAGGAACCATCAAATAGAATATAGTGTGGCTCGGCAATTATTTACAAATATAGAAAATTTGCCCAAAAACTTGGAAAAACTTGGATGAATGCTGAATGTCCGCTACCTAGGTTATCTAAATGCCCGAAGACATCTGGATATAAAACCCACTCCAAGGCTCCCATCCCCCGTGAAAGAGAGACTCGGGCGCTGCGTGAAAGAATTGATCCATACAACTTTGCTTGCACCTCAGAATGAGACCCGCTGGCATTCATCTTCTTTTCGCTGCCTTCGTGCACTGGCAGTCAGTATGGGCAACTGAGTATAACGTGCGCGACTCCGTTTCAACTGAGACTATTACGTCAACCTCGTTTGATGTTATTACTGCCACTTTGACCAGTGCGATTACCATCACTACAACATCTTCAATATGCTCACTTGGCTCTACTCAGCCCACTGGGTCGTGTACGTCGAATACAGCATGGTATGACGGCACAGACTACTGGAGTGCAATGTGCACCTCTGCCTCCTTGTCAGGTATAGATGTTTTCTCAATTGTACTAAACAGCCCCTTTTCCAGCTGTTTGGCGGCTTGCAGTAGATATGCACAATGCAAAGGGATCGATATCTACACTACAAGTACAAGGACAACCTGTTACTTGATCGAAAACTCAGCGACACTAGTTACGACTGCTGCCTCAGATAGGGGTGAGGTCCAGCGTTTGACTATAAATCCGTGCTTGGCCACCTTGACAGAGACTCAGACATTGACATCCACGGAAGTGACAACTGTTGCTGTGTCATATACTACGACTGAAATTATATCTGTAACTCCGAGTCCGACGCCATCCTCGACCTCGACACCTTCTACCTCACCGTCATCGTCGAGCATTCCTTCAGCATCGAGCACTCCTGCATTATCAAGCACTCCTGTTTCATTGAGTGTTCCGGCCTTATCAAATACTCCCGCGTCATCAAGCACTCCTGTGCGATCAAGCACCCCTATATCACTGGCATCAAGCACTCCTGCGGCGAGTCCTGCCTCATCAAGCACTCCGGTCTCATCTACCTTACCAACATCTTCAAAGCCAAAATCTTTTTCACGATCGCTATTCTCTTCGAGCTCAAAATTACCCTCAGCAGTCGGGTCTTCAGCGCCTTCTATCAAATCAACATCCACAGTTCTCCCCAGCTCACACCCCGTTTTGCCGGTTAAGAGCTGTAGCCACGTTCCCACTCAATCATTTTCTAGCCGCCCTTCGCTATCTGAGAGCAGCTCATCATTCTCTCAGATCTCTTCGCCCACTCTCTCATCCGAGTCAACTCAGACAACCCTGATTACCACTTCTTCTCCTTCTTCTTCAACGGAATTAACAACATCCACCATCTTACGCACATCAACCTGGCCGGTTTTAGTGTGCCCTGAACATCTCAAGGAATGCCCGGCTAGTCTCCAGAGCCAATCCACAACTACAAGCACGATTACCATCGGCACAACAGTCTTCCCAATTCATCCAACCGGCTCCGAACTATCAACAACTGAAACATTCTGGACCACCGAAACTACTACGGTCCTCCGATGCCCTGAGACGGTAATTGACTGTCCATTGACTGATCGCGTCCCACATACAACTACTCGTACTATCGCCACAAGGACTGCTATCTATCCTATGACGACCTCAACGGAGTTTTCTACCACGACATACAGCGTTACCTCCTGTCCAGCTTGGAACAAAAAGTGCCCCGAGTCTGAGAAAACCACCAAAGTAACCACGGAGACTATTCCTGTGGGCACATCGGTATATCCGATTTTTCCAGTCACGAAAATTGAGACTGTGACAGAAACCGTGCCTGTTGCCTCAACGGTCTACATCACAGCAATTTCAACGATCCTGGCCTGTCCAGCTCCGAATTAATTTATTCATGTAGTTTATATCAATAATATGGAACAGACAATGTTTATAGACACGATATCAAATTCTAGTTCCACATTTTTCAAGTTCATTCTGATAGTGTGTAAATTGGTAGTATATGTACAGCCCAAGGTACATATCGAAAACGTGCCATGGAGTTGCAGCATTTCAACGAAGGAATTCCAGCTTGAAGGTTGAGACACATCAATCCGTGTGGATAGATCCCTCATATAGAGTGACTCGAAGTCTGCACTATTGGGGAGACACTGCGATGGTATTCCAACATTTGAAGGTTTTTGATAAAACCCGGGGCCCCAATATTGACTCGACGCATGTGCAACGGCGCTGTGCTATGTTGACTAGTACTATCTTCAAGGATGAAGCTGCTCCAGAATAGTAATCATGATTTGACTGGAAGGTCCGAATCTGCTGATAACCTTGGAGGGACGATGATATTTTCCTGATTTTTTGAGCTAGGGACCGACTCGGAGTAATTGATGCCTTACGTCGTCCAACAAATAGATGAAGCCGTTATGATTGAGCCAGGCATAATTTATAATCTGTCGAGATAGTTAGCACTAACATTCAAGTTGTTTCCCCCCCCTACATACTGATGATGAGTAGTGGCAAGAGAAGAATGCATCGGGCACGAAAGTCAATGTACCTTACTGCGGGAGAGCCCAACTCTGCATAGCAAACAAACTACATGCATGATATTGTGAAAAAACATGTGGACGATTTGGTCTTATCTGATTTAGTGCACTGCCTTACGTGCACTATTGGAGACCTTGAGATGATGCAGTTTCTTGAGCAATCAATTTCTGATTCGAAATATTAGGACCCATGGACTGAATATTTCAATACATGAAAGGTAATGACTATAAATAAAAATTGAAAACTATCTCTTTGATGATGGTTAGATTATGAGTAGTGCACCTGAGGTACCCTGGATCGATGGATCGTTCGCTAGCAAGATGTCTGTCTGATGAACAACGCATCATGATGTTATCGTGAATTAAGTGGTCCAACTGGTTCTCTTTTGAAAACTTGAACTATTCCAAGGATCCTAACGATAAGCTTATAAATCAACCTGTTCCTCAATGTATATTGATCTTCAAATGTTGTTTTAGTGTCACATGATGAAGTCTGGGGGGATGACGCAATCCATCACCTCATCTGTCAAGACTCAAATGCAATGTCTACAGCCTTCAATGTTTGAAGACAATATACTAGCACATCATTTAGGACCAATGCTACGAGGGCACATGTGCAGCTTTGTTATGTTGTTATTATCCGGCTTATACTAAACATTGATTTCATCTCATCTGACTCAATTCTGACGTTTACATTATCATCGCTTAGTTCATCAAATAAGCACTGGGGGGTCCTTAAACTCGTCCACGGTTTCGAGTCATACCTATAGATTAAGATGGGATGAGAGGCCAAGCCTGGATCACCACCAAGGTCTCCACGGCGATCATGCAAATGATGTGATAGATTACCTCCCCACTCCTCTAAGTTTATTTGATTTTTCTTTTTCTCCAAAAAAGCAAGTAATATTGATCCATAGATCATATTCAACAAAACAGAGAAAAAAAAAATAAATAAAACAATTCCGGCACACCGATACTTTGAAAATATTTACTCGGCCCGGTCAATATCACCGGTCAATATCACAAAACTCTGCTCAACCATCAACCCATCGGGCCTCTCCGACATCTGGACCAAACGATCCAAATATTTAATGCGGCCCCATTGTGGACAAAAAAAAATTGAAGGGATCCACCATCTATATACAGTCTAGCCTGGCAGTAATGCCAAAGAAAAAAAAAGCCCATTGAGATAGATCAATCCACCTACCCACCTCCATCCTGAAACAGACAGTTCAACCAAGGACGAGAAGTCTTGGAAAGGAGTCACCACCAGTAGTTTAAGCATCACGTTGCCCGGGCCGAGTATAAAGTTCTATGAGTGGATATCAAGATCCGGGAAACAGAAATTTTCTGCTTAACTCCCGCTTCTACTAGTGGGGCGCGGGAGTTTTCCGTGGCATCTAGAAAATTTCAATGTACGGAGATGGGAGGGACTCCGTAGGCAAAAAGGGATGAAAAAAAAGCCCCAAAGAAAGGACGCGTTACGAGGCACTAGAAAGAAGAGAAGCGGTGGGAAATGGGGCGAAATCAAAGATGTTTTAAGCGAGTCACAAGGAATATTGTGGCTTGCATACTAGTATTGCTCAAACTCAGGAGTAATTCCCGGATAATTGAACTAAGCAAACAAGGAAAGGTATACTTCCTAAGTCAGGATGTACCTGACTACTGGAGTTAAACAATAACAGCCACTCAGTTAAGGGGAAAGGAATTAGCCAACAAGGCTGGACCATGTTGATCGGAGGGGTTCTCCGAGATCGACCCGAATCAGGAAGTTCAGCGGAGCACCCCTCCACGGCATGCCATGTCGCGGGTTTTTCATTGGAGACTACGCACACTATTGTACCTCCTTATTGGACTAATGTGGAATGGAAATTCGCTCATGAGTGATTCAACTGTTTCAACATGGTCTGAGAATCGTACAATTTCAGCTCTAGAGTCCTTCAATGTTGAGTCCTTAAATGGATATTCGATGCGTTGGGTATCCACCATATGCGTTGTGTATACAACATTGGAGCATACTCGGTGTACACGAGTAACTTGAACCTTGGAAGTAAGGTCGAGTTTGGACCATCGATCGACGTGTTTACTAGTAGTCTCTGTTTGTTATACTCCGTACTAGTGAGCTACATGCATACTCACCTGGGCAGTAGAGTCAGTACTATGTCTACATCCTTGAGTATTATATTAAAAGGGGCGCCAAGAGGCCCGGGGCCGACCCCAACCAGGTGTCAACCTAGATCGTCATCGGGACTCAAGTGCTCCGTCTAACCGCCAACAAGAAGTAGTATTCGGCATCTAGGACCTATGACCACCATGGCGTGATCGGATTCACACCGCATGGCAAGTGGGTTTGCTCCGCGGAGAGAGGAAAGCGGAGAAAAGAACAAGGATCAGACGCACGAGCCCCAAAATCGAGGTTCTTCACGGTCCTGCATGGCCAATTCCTTGGTCAGCTGCAGGTAAGAGGTACATCCGTGCATAGGAGAGTTTTAGGGGTGCTTCGCATCTGTCAGTTGTCCAGGATGAGCAAACTGTTAGGTAATTAGTGTTGTCAGGGGGATTTCTGATTCGTCAGGAGCTCCCTGGTAGAAAGCACAGAGCACATCTTGACAGCTCTTGGGGCTAGACCGGGAAGATCATCATATCTAGATATCTAACATCAGTGAGAGTCTCAATCTTCATGTAGTTGATCATGATCATCTTAGAAAAAAGGGGACAAAAAGAAAATATAATGGCTGTGCCCCGCAAATCGAAGGAGTTGCGGGGTATTGCGTCGCCAAATTGTCAAGAAGCTAGACCCAAAACGGTGGAAAACGGGAGAAAAGGACGAGGAACGCACTCGGTCACAGGAGAGGAAAAGACGAGGAAATTGACAAATTGACCAAAAGAAGGCGAAAAAAAAGAAAATTTTTACTGAGTGGATCAGGGTCTTGCACGCGTTTGTCTGCCCTAAAGCGGAAAAGCGGGAGCATCGAGGATCGAATTGTATTGTATCATACGGTATTGTGTCTTTTTTTTCTGTCTCTTCACGCCACGTGATGGGCGCAGCTGACCTGGTATGTTGTGGGAATTAAAAGAATTATATTTAGATTTATTCATAATGAGGGAGTACGTATGTCTTTGAATTTGACTGTTTTGAGGGAATAAATGTCATCCTTAGAATATACCTCTACTACTAAAGTGCTACTAGTCAAGTGACCAGGTGACATTCGGCGATGAGAGAAATCGCCGAAGGCTCGACCCATTATGCTTAGCACTATTGACACTGACACCATTCTACACCGAGTTCACGGCACACAGATGCCGTGGAAATATGGTCCATATACGGAGTAAATAACTCAGCTGATCAAGCCATTGCTTGATAATCATCCGGGGTAGATATTAACGGACGTCCGCTAAGTGTCTGAGCCCAAGCCACGACAGATCGGCCACGGGGAATGTGATTCAATGATCCAATGGTGCCCAGGTATTCCCGTATAGTGTACTCCGTACATCATCATCATCATATGCACTCCGTACTCTGTAGAAGGGGGCCAAGTTGGATGTATTTACCCTGCCACATGCGAAAATCAACCGACCTCAAGGCCCGACTAGATCGGCCACTTAGCCGACCGTGAGTCATCGCGCACGGCCATTCCCGTCTCGCACCTTCAAATGTTAGTGATCGCAAAATGATGCTCATATCCCTTCCACACCATGTGGGGAACCGCCGCAAGACAAGACAATCCCCGATCCAGGTCCGGCTGAGATTCTTGGTGTTTGATCCGGCACCAGAGCCGATGAGCCGGTGATGTGAGATTTTTTTCTTTCATTGATGATTCAGATAGTTGCGTGATAGATCTGTGATTTTAATTGATATTGTTCTTTACTGAGATCTGTATCATAATTGACAAGTTGCTGTTAACCTTCAATGTTGGAAGTACCTTTTAGAAGAGATTCATGAGGGGCATTGACATTTGGGACACCCAAGGTTCACAGTACCTGGTATTGAGTATTGTAATCATGAATACCAATACTCTGTCAGACCCACAATGACGCTCTAGTGAGATCCACATCATTCAAAAATGTTCTTTTTTTCGCTCATTTTTTCTACATTTTTCTATATTTTTTGTCATTTTTTGTTCTTTTTTCTACTTTTTTTTCATTTATTTCTACTATTTAGGATTAGAATATTTTTTTGTCGATTTTTCTTTTCTAGAATTATCCACTTTTTTCAATGGGCTTCTCCTTCTTCACCAATTAGATCCTATGGTACCTGGCTTGAATGGGGAACTTCCCTAGAATAATTATTTCTCTTTTTTTTTTTAAAAAAAAAATGAATTTTTTTTTACAAATTTTCATAGAATTGGAAGTTTTCCACGGTTTCGGTGGTTTTAGGCTCAAGCACATGATTTTATTGTTCAGGTTCAAAAACCCTGTGTTGCCCATCGCTTCAGTTGGTTCTTTCCACCACGTTATGTTTTGCTCTCACCTATTACTTCACCATACTATCTACCAGTACCTTGATCTTTGACATTCCAAACTTGAACCAATCTATATATCAAGCTCAAAGATGCCGGGTCGCCTGATCCCCAACTTTGTTTGGGGCTCTGGCTCCCTACATTCCTCAGTCACCTCGACTCCCATCCACTCTAATTCCTCTTCAACTACTTCCGTCAATGAGATCCATCACCATGGACATGTCTTCAAGAAGTCGACTCATAGCACCCCGGATCGGGCCCGCTCCCCGGAGCGTCGCCTCTCCTTCTCAATGGACCACTTGATTCACCCTCACCGCGATCACAGCAAAGAGAAGCGCCGCAGCCTCGGACGCGCTGCACGATCTAAGGAACGCTCGCACAAGGAAGAATTGGCCCCGCCATCCGCCAAGTTGGACGTTCTGGTGGAATCTCCCCCGCTAGTTTGCTATGGTACACCTGCAACTTCCACCGGTGCTTTGTTCTCGGGCCGTCTGCGTGTGGCTGTCAGCGAATTGGTTGGCGAGGTTTCTTTGACTCAATTTGATGCCAAACTTGTCTCAAAGACTAGCACCAAGAAGCCTGTTTCCAACCACTGCCCCAGCTGTGCCACTCGCACAGAGGAGCTGACCAAGTGGAATTTCCTCACAGAGACTCTTTCTCTCAAGACCGGTAACCATGATTTCCCCTTCAGCTATTTGCTCCCAGGCCACCTTCCCGCATCCTGCAATGGATCGTTGGGTCAAATTGAGTACTTCCTGCTGGCGCATGCCAAGAGCGCCACAGGCGAGGAGTTCAACATTAAGTTGCCACTAAATGTCCGCCGCGCCTTGCTCCCAGGCAATGACAAATCCTCCATCCGCATTTTCCCTCCCACCAACTTGACTGGCCGCATCGTTCTGCCTTCCGTGATTCACCCCATCGGCCAATTTCCCGTCGAGATGACCCTGAGTGGCGTCGTGGACAAGGGTGAAGAAACCCAAACCCGCTGGCGTCTGCGCAAGATGATGTGGCGCATTGAGGAGCACCAGAAGATTGTCTCCACAGCGTGCCAGAAGCACTCCCACAAGATTGGTGGAGAGGGCAAGGGTGTCCTTCACCAGGAGACTCGAATCATTGGTCACAACGAGGAGAAGACCGGCTGGAAGACCGACTTCGACACCGCTGGCGGTGAAATCGGCATGCAATTTGAAGCAAGCATCAACCCGACCACCAACCCAGTCTGTGATATGGAGGCCCCTGGCGGTTTGGAAGTCAAGCACAACCTCGTCATTGAGCTTATTGTGGCTGAAGAATTTTGTCCAAACCGCAACACTCGCCTGATCACCCCCACCGGTGCAGCCCGCGTGCTCCGTATGCAGTTCAATCTTAATGTGACGGAGCGCAGCGGTCTGGGTATCAGCTGGGATGAGGAGATGCCTCCTGTTTACGAGGATGTCCCTGCTAGCCCACCCGGATACACCAAGCTCGATGATGCTCACAGTATCATGGAGGACTACCATGGATCCCCACTGCCCCTACCTGAGTACGATGAGTTGGAACGGATGGAGTCTCTGCGTCTGGATAGTGACTCAACCCACTCCTCCAACCAGTCCACTCGTGGTCGTGTACGCTTCACAGCTGACGACTTCCTGACCGAGCAATCTCCTGTTCCCTCAGCGTCCGCATCTCGCGTTCCCTCCCGAGCTCCTTCGGCTACTTCTTCACGCCAATAAACTCATTCAACGGTCTCAAGCTATCTCCGCCATGACGTTATGACTTCAACGACTTTTCCCCAAAAAGACATCATTTTCGGATTTTCTTCAACCTTTCTTATACGATAATTACCTGGGAGGGAAACAAAATGCGATGGACCTCCCATACCCACATTCGGCGTGGATTTTATTTCAAGCGCCCAGTCCAACCAGCGAGTCAAAGCTATAAAAAAATACCCCGAGACAGAAGGCGAATTCGGTTCTCTCATTTCCTTAGCTTGGACGGACAGGCTTCGTTCCAACTCTGCATGATACCCAAAACACTTTCGCTTCTGCGGAGAAATGCTCTATTCTTGTTTATTATTCCCCATTTGTATTTAGATCTGCTCTTACTACTTACACGAGCGCGAACCATTCTCACCTCTTACGTGATCTTGAATAATGCAATGACTTTACGGTCTCACCTACTCTTCTTCCTTCGTAGAATCCTCCAGTACTCAATTAGTAAGAAAAGGTCTACTCTATATCGAATACATCCCATATCTAAAATTAAACCATGATCTAGAACCTTGCACTGTCGAGTTGCGTCATGCGACACTCATCAGGCCCACTGATCTTCCCCACCCGTTTCAGAAGTAAATCCAATGCTTCTAGACCACCGGATCACCGGATCATCGGATACAGGTGAATAAGTGAATAAGTGATCTAGCCTTGGAAGTCCCACTTAAGAACCCACTGGCACTAATCAGTTATTTTCATTGCGCTAGAGTAAGTGGCTGGGCACTAGGTGTTAGTATAGGCAAGGGGTGGCTTGGTGATAAAGGATGTGATAGAACCAATCAAATGATCAGTCTCAGCCTTACAAAGCGAGGTTATCTTGTCTTATCGCTTGAGATAGTGTGTGGGTTCTGCAGGGATCTGAAGCATGGAGCTTGAGTTCCGTGAAGAATTGGATCGAGATTTGCAGTAAGGGATTCCACCTTGATACTATGGAGAACGTCTTCTCTTCAATTTCCTTGCAACAATAGATGCGAGGAGAGACTGACAGCGTTTACTTCTCATCCTTTCAATGTTCCCTTGGTAGACTTGAATATGGTCTCAAATACTTGATTGACATCATATTCATCGTTGAGATTCCGAGTAAGGAGATAGTAAACACTGCGTTGTAGTCAACAAAAACAAACTATTTTACAAAATCTTTGAACAAAAACAACTTTGACTGATTCACACCGATCATGACCATCACCTGGTATACACTCATAGCTCCACTTCCTCAATATCGTAGACCAAATGACCCTGGTTCATCCCCCGCTTGTCCAATCCAAAAGCCCATGAGATATTCAACATCACAGAGAGTTTGAGTTCTTGCCACCACAGCCCAGTAGAGGTGCGCTGCTTTCTCATCTGAGCATTGTGTGCTGCCATTGCGAAGATGGAATCCACTCTGGATCGACGAATCTGATCATACTTCTGGAAAACCTCATCGATAGGTCTCTCAGGATCCTCCAGTAGTCTCGCAAGGAGGAACACATCCTCCATCGCCATAGAGACACCTTGCCCAGCATGCGGTGACATAGCATGAGCCGCATCTCCAACAAGTACACAGCGTCCCCTCGACCAGCGTCCACCAGGGGGCAATCGATAAACAGGATAGAAATTGACGGCAGAGGTACTTTGCACCACCTCTCGCAATGCATCTCCCCACTCTCCACGCGCATTCTCCAGGATACTCATCAACTGACCCTTGAACACATCCACTTCTTCCTTCCCATGCACCTCCCACCCATCCCGACTATCCCCAGTCTCGGGAATGGGCAACCACTTCGAGAAAAACATAAACACCTCCTCCTTATTCGGCGCACAGGGATTCACAACCAACATTCCTTCCCCAGTCAACGTCCCTTCTAGCCCTGACATCATCGCTAGATGCCCCTTCGACAGTACTTGTCCAGGAACCAAAGCCCCGAGTCCCGAAACACCGGAATATTCAGGTAGATACCCAGGGTCCACAAATTGACTCCGAACAAAGGAATGAATTCCGTCACACCCAAATAAGATATCCGCTGTATCAACAGTTCCATCCTCAAACCGAACTGTAACTCCATTCCCCTCTTCCTGGATCTCTGTTATCCTCTTCCCATATATGATAGGAATTCCAGCCTCGTCAACCTTCTCTTTCATCACATCCACAATATCAACTCGTTTGATTCGCATATACCCGTACCCAATCTGCTCTCTAGCCCAACCAACATAATCGCTCGTCCCGATTACATGGCCTTGCAGAGAATGCAGCGTAAGATTCGCGCCGCTGTAGCCACGTCCGCACATTGCATCGTAGACGCCCAGTCGGTCAAGGAGGCGGAGTCCATTTGGTTGGATACCGATTGCTCCGCCCAGGGTTGTGGGTTCAGCACGAAGTTCGTAGACTGTACTACGGATATTGGTCTTTTGTTGTAGACGGAGAGCGGTAGCTAGACCTGCGGGACCGGCGCCGATTATGATTGCCTGGGATGAATGTTAGTTCGTGTTTGGGTGTGATATGAGGGGAGGTTTGGACTTACTTTCCGAGTTGGTTCAGTCATTTTGAATATTTTGAGGTTGGAAATTCTGATCTTCTGATTCAAATTGGTGGATATTGGTGCTTGATATACTTGATTCTTTTGCGGAGGTCCGCGGACGCTAACTGTATTTAGTAAGTATGACCGCGGAAGTGATGTCCATCTTGGGTTAGTAGTATGGAGATATCAAAAAGGATATGGAAACATTCTGAAGGAAAAGAAATGAATTGATCTCCGAGTATTGAGAGATATCCCATGTTGAATGGGGTTTTGAATAAGAAACAATTTTTGGAAGCTTGTTGAAAGCAATCCAAGGGTTTCCACTCGGAGTATTGAGAGACCCATGTTGAATGGGCTTTTGAATAAGAATAAAACGGTTGGGAGCTTGTTGAAAGCAACCCATACCGATAAAAATCCATCTCCACCTCACCTCCACCTCACTATCACCTGAGACCCTCCACCTGAGGGTCTCATCTCTCTTCCCTGTCTCCCCTTTTAATGACAGCACAATGCTGTCTCCCCCTCCCCTTAGACTTCTCCGGACTCCTCAGCCTCCCCGGCGTCATTGGAATCACCTTCTTCCTCAACATCCTCTTCTTCCTCGCCCTCTCCGGGCTCCTCCGCCTCAGGAGCGGCAGTGGCGGCAGCGGGAGCAGCGGGCGCAGCAGGGGCAGCGGCGACAGCGGGCGCAGCGGGGTAGGGGCGCCCCAGCAGCCCGTACAGGTGCTGCGTCATGCCGTACATTTCCCCGAGACGGCGGTACACATAGCACCGAACCCGGAAGAATTCGGTATCCCCTTCATGGAGCTGATTCTCCAAAACCTCGAAAAGTTCCGGAGGGGGACGGAAAAACGCAAAGGCACGGCATTTGCCGTAGCCGTTTGACTCGCAGCATTCTGAAGATTATTAGTAAGTAGGTATTTTTACTATTTTGAAATACCTTACCTTCGATAATCCAGCGCCTATTCTGGCTACATCTCACGCAAGGCGCAATTGAACCCATTGCCCGGAGCATTCGCTGCATCTCGCTGCTGTCAATCTATTCAGATTATCAGCTCAATTCTTTCAGGGAATGATTTGAAGCGTGTTAAAGAATTTTGAACATGAACTTACATTGGGGCTCATGCCGAAAGGGACCTCAGGAAGGACAACGCCGGCGGCATCCACGATCCCCTCATAAAAGCCTAGCAATATGTTAGTTTGACATATAGCGGAATCCAATCAAAAGGCCAACGAGGCTCACTCATAGCCGCGAAAACCCAACCCGCATACTCCCATCTTTTGCCGGGAATTGGTTCCAGCTCGATTTCCTCGTGCTGCTTTCGGATGTGGCTTCGGAGATTGCCAGGAGTAGCAAACCGGGTCTATTTATCGGAAAGAAGAAGTTAGCAGCGAACTTCCCAGGAGATCTCCTCTTGATGAGATGGGATCGATGAAAGGCGATAACAAACCCGACTATCGCAACCTTCCACGCGACAGTAGCGCTCTCCTGGGAAAAGTTGATAGGTGTTTGATCTTCCGGATCTACCAGTTCTACCGATGCGCTATTTGGGATCAATGTCAGCATTTGGTATCAACAGTTGAAGAAATTCTGGGACCTTACATATCTCTCAAGAGGAGGGAAACGGATGTTGTATCTCTCCAGGGGAGGGAGAGTCATATCATCCCGGTTCGCGTTCAGGTACCAGCGGTAGTGCCCCTGCATATTGAGATGATGTTAAAGATGGTTCAGAAGAAGGGAGACTTTGTTCAGGCTGAAGTCTTAATCGGAGAACTTGAGTCATGATGGGACTTACATTGCCCCAAAGCTTGTTCATCGGACCGCCTCCCATGATGATGATAGTTGCAATCTTGAAAGGAAAAGATTGTTAGTTCTTTGCATTCAAGTTGTGGTGCTGCCTAACAAGTTTACCTTAAGTAGGAAGTTAACAAAGTCAGGTTGGGATCGTGGTAGTCGGGGTAGTCGGGGTAGTCGGGGTGATCGTGCTAGTCAAGGTAATCGTGATGATCGTGATGATCGTGAAAATTGTTGTAATCAAACTGATTGTGGTGATCCGTAGATCGGGGTAGGTGTGATGTCGCGGCTGTGAATGTGGTTGGTGACGGTGAGGTGGAAGAGAGTTAACGAGACGCGTAAATTTTATAAGTAAACAAACGTTCCTAGATCAGACCAGGTCGGCAAACAAAATCACACACTCACACATAACCGACTTTGCGAATCTGCCTTACATTAAAACAACATTAAAGTCTATCAAAATTCTGGTGAACATTCTCATCTGCGGTAAACACTCTACATGAGTACCTAGGTACCATTTTAGACCGTGACAGATGTCTTCCAGGATTTCTTCAGAAAATGCATTGATGCCACCTTTTTGCTCATCATATCTTCTCTTGATTCTCAATATCAAAGCATCTATTGGAATAGATGGGAATATCTCTGTGAGTTTGGATAAACCTACTATGCATTGAGTAGTAATCCTTTCAGGTTTATGTGGATCAAGCTATATATGGCTAGATTAGCTCGACTATAATTATTAACGATTCATGCTGATTACGGAGGGACATCTGGAGTCAGTGAAGGACGAAGTATTGTTGCCTAGGGACTCTAACGTAGTAGGAATTCTTTGTTGTTACCATGTATCCTATGTACGTCCGTCCACCAAATAGTACGTGCCTATACTCAAGTACTTTGGGCCGTTTGAACAACATTTGAATGACAAATCCTTGAAGGAAATAGCATTTCTTTCACATGGTTGAACATTCCATCACTTAGCTACAGACCATTCAAATGTTGTAAGGGAAATCAATTGATGTTGACCAGTGGAGAACTTCAAGTTGAAAGGAAGACTAAAAAGTGTTATCATTGATCAACCTTGGAATAAGAGCATTTGAGCCCTGTCAAACTAAGAATACATACATACTAAAACAGTTAATATAAATAACTCTATTATGCAAGATAGTCACCTGGTGTTTCCCGGGCCAGAAGTTTATCTTTTTAATCCTCAGGTGCCACATGCAGGCTTAAACCTTGGAATACTTATTCTTTACCTCAGGCTGCTTCAATTTAGAACTTTGGAACTTCAGATATTGGAAACGAACATTTGAACATTTGCACCTTAGAGACCGACGTTCTCCCCCAATTGAACCATGACCCAGATCACCAATGGTATTGGTACTTTAGATCACTTATCCTCTCCTTAAACAACTGGCGGCGTACTACACAAACACCTAAGGAGAGTCAAGTTACTATAAACCATATGTTTAACTGCAATCTGAATAGGCACTGAAGCAGGAAGAAGCAGTATTCAAATTTTGTCTATGTTATCAGTTGGGCAAAGGAAGTCTTGACTTTATAATACTTAGTAGGTAGGCGGTCTTTTCAGCATGTGCACTACTACTGTTATCCAGCCTGTCGACATGGTGAAGGTTCGTCTTCAGCTGGCTGGCGAAGGTGCAATGACGGGTCCCCGCCCTAGAGTTCTAGGAATTACTCGCGACATTATCGCATCATGATCTGGAGAGGCCCTTGATCTTTAGTTATTTTTTTCTTTTAAACTCATCATTTCTATTTTCTACAATAGCATTGATTATAGCTTTTCTAGAAGGTTCAGAATGATCATGATATTCCAAGTTTGGATACAGAAATGCTGGTCTTATACTATAACTCATAGAAATAGGCATGTTTTCTACGAAGTTTAATATTTTCGCCGAGACTGTGATTAACTTGGAGGTGATGGATTTAAACTATATTAAGCTATGATGTCGCAATATTATACTTGGGCATGAAGGTGCTAAGCTCTAGGCTTTACCTAGTAAAGAGGGGAACCGTTAGGCAGTGTATTCTAGATACACGGGTCGATCCAGCTAGCATGAATGGATAACACCAACCAACATGTACGTTGTGGCCGGACTACCCCGTAGGGGTGGGATGAGAGATGTGTAGGAGTGTGTATTCTAGACTATAACGACGGGCATTCTTGTACGTACAAAGACGGGACTGAAAACATGACAAAACAGAGATGTAACCAAACGGTAATTCTTAGCACGGTACGTGTAGTAGGGGACAGGGTACCCCACTACAATATGTACATACTGATATACACCAGCACTGAGTCCGAATCGGGAGTATGCTCAAACGTCCAGATGTCAGAGTAAGACTACTGAGTGACAAAAGAGATTTCCATTCGTTAAGAAATGCATTAGCAAACACTTGAGGTTTTTCGTACCTACGTGGACGGGCTCAACATTTGAACATTCAAGTTGAATGCAGACATGGGCGTCGAAAAAGCAAACAACATGCATATTATGGCAACTTGAAGCACTTAGCAGAGTAGATGTCACACCGCATGTGTACTATTGACTCAAGTGCTTATTGAGAACTTTAAAATGCATTTCATAGACCGTCATTTGGGTATTCCAGATGCCAGTGTCCTGTCTACCAATATAGACAATCAACTGGTGCAATAGTAACTTGTAGTCCAAGTCTAAATTCCAACTTCTATTTCTTAGCAGCTACTAGTACAAAAGTTTGAGTCTTCCGAGGTTTAAGTGTTGATAAATCAGATAGCTAGAAACGAGCACCATATGAATACTGCGGTCGAATCCACCGTGCAACTTGAAACCCTAACCCTCAGGCTTCCCACTGACACTGGCAGCTGACACAATGTCCCAAGGTTGTACAGCATTAGCTCACCAATCACCTGAGCAAACCAGACTGAGCCGCCCACATCATCCAATTTTCCATCCTACAAACTGCATCGACTCGGAAATATTCGGCCAACCTGAGCCACTTGGCCAGGTGTCAGTGGTTCGCGTTGTGGACCTTACTGCATGAATGGTTGCCTTTGCGGCTAATCATGAACCTCGCTCAGATCTATCCCTGTGCTGTCAAAACGTTAAGATTCGGAGCAGACCCCAAACTTGGACTCAACAACATATGTATGTCTGAGCCTTGTCCCGCGCCCAACTTGAACACACTGGCAGCCTGATCATCCCATGTTCCTGAGGTGGTTTCGAGGCTCATGCAGTTCTCAGCGGCACAGGGATCACAAGTTAGGTAACGATTGCGCTGCATGGCGGGACCAATGTAGCCGGGGTTGGTGCATCAATTCGACTACTGCAGCAGTAAGGCGGGGCTCAAGCAAGACAAGGTTTCTCGTAAGCAGGATGATGTCAATGATCAATTCAGTTTACGAGATGGTCAAGTTATTATGAACGAACGATCTATAGTAAGTATCATGATGTGAAGGATATGAAGTTAAAAAGTATAGATGCAATAACCAATAATGACAATTTCAAAGAAATTCCTCCGAAAACCACGTTCATGAAATATACTCCGGCGCAGTTTAGTGGAATATTTGGCCAATCAACGATTAGCCCCCTTTAATAGTGGATCCGTTCAATTTGGAATATGAATGTATGGGGCATCACATCCCACGCATAAGGTTGCGGAGTTCATTACCTGTCCATTGTTTGCATTTTGCCTTGATGTCATTCAGGGGTCATAGCGTTTGCAAATACGATTCCAAATTTCCTACAGGCTGGAGGGCTAGGAGAAAAGGGGGGGAATGAATTTTCATCTTTAATCTTCATGCAACCACCACAGGCCCTTTCTCCGAGTCTTTCTTACCACCCCTGAATTGTTGAACCTTTGGGGAAAAGACTGACTAACTATTCCGCTACGACGACAAGATGACTGAAAACGGCCCCAAGGCCATATTGAAATGGGGGTGGATACTAACCCTGGAAAGCAGGCGCTAAAGCTTTTAGCTGCGAAGGGTCCTCGGACTCGGAGTTTCAAGTGTCTGGATGACTCGGATGAGGATGACTCGGCAAAATAACATTCAAGCTTGGATCAAAAGAGCCTCAAGGTAAACATGACATGAGTTGAGCTTGCAAAAAATGAATCAATGACTAACATGATATGCTCAAAAAGAAATTCAAATCTCCCCATGGACGCCAACAAACCAGGATATAAAACTAGAACGGAAAAAAGCACCCGGTCACAAAGCAAACACACAAATAACTATATATTGAAAAGGAAACATGGACCCTTGCAAACATGGCACATCAATATCCCGAAAATTACCCAGAAACGCCGAGGGAAATGATTCCTAGTTCAGTCCCAACAAATCCACAGTGCGGGGATCAGACCATCCACTGGCAAATTGCAATCTGGAAAAGGATTCTACCCCACAGGGTGCGAGACATTTTTATTTTTTTTCAAGAATCGAAAATCGGCCCAAAGGCAGGGTAACCTCTCGCCTCAAGTTCATGAACAATTCGTCCAGTCAGCTTAGGGTTGCTAACCACACAGACCGCTTCAGCACCGAACTCCTTGAACTGACGTGCGATGATGGGTACCATATCAATACGACCCAATTGGTCAGTATCCAGAATGATGGGGTGTTCATCCATTTGATCCACAAGACGGAGAACCCCAGATCCATATGTTTTAAGTGGGGAACGGGTCTGCCACATCACTCGCAGCACGGGTCGGTTGTCATCGCCTAGGAATGACAGACATGGTCCGATGCCCGAACCAGTGGTCACGACAATAACCCGTTTGAACACTCGCATGGCATATGCAAAGCCAAAGATCAGCACACCACGCTTCCAGAAGTGCGTTGGCGGTTGATTGATGCTGTCACTCGTCCAATCACCGGCCTTGGAGACAAGGGTTGAGAAACTGGGCTGACCCTGGGTGCCCGACGGCAACGCATCAGGGAAAGTGGCGAACCCATGCCAGTCTCGAAGGGGATGCTTGGCGAGTTGAATGCCCTTGCCGAAAGAAGTTTGTTGATAGTCAAAGTGCAAGCGAACGGCATGGTTGGAAAGTTTCTCGGCACGAACCGGAACCTTGCGCAGCATCAACCAGGGCTGAATAATTGCGACAACGGTGATAAGGAGGAACCAGAAAGCTGGGAGCTGAACAAGGAAATTTCCGAGGGACATGTGCTCGGCCGAGCTGAACTCCTTAGCGAAGAGCATCAACAAGACCATGAACAGAGCTACGACAAGCCACCCCGAGAAACGGTGGATCAGTTCAAAATAATCGTGAAATTTAGTCCGAAATGTGGGATGGGCCACAACGGTGATCGCCAACAACAGAAGCAGAATGATGTAAGCCACTGCAACGGGGGCGGCTGAAATGCTGACGGCTGGTGCGCCGCTAGTCGGAGATGGCGTCCAGTACTGGTACGACATCAGGCCAACAAAGGCAATGTACCAGATTAACGAAGCAACTCCACACCCGCTATGAACGCCACCATAGTGGTAGACTTGCGCGGCCCATCGACGCAAGGTAATTGGTGCCGATCGCGGAATTGAACACACCACAAAGAAAATACTATTAACGACAAGGGGTTGTCGGGCGAGACCACAGGCTAGTAAATTGGCCGCCGTTGCATTGACCAGGGCAACTAGCTTGCGGTCCGTGAGCATGACAGCCACAAACACACCCACATTGGCCAAGAAGACCAGTGAGAAGAGCCGTCGATATATGGTAAGAATGGTAAAGCGCAATTGGGCGAAACGCCTCCTTTCTGGAAGAACCGTTTGGGCCTCAAGATCAGCCGGGGTCTGACCTGAGCCGCTGTCAATCGATGATCCCATAGACTTGGACAATGTTTTCTCAAGGTCCTTGGCGCCATCTGTGAGGGTAACCTCGCTGGAGGTGGGAGAACTAGGCTCCATCTTCACCACAGCGGGATCAGGTATGGCTATAATGGTTTTCTCCGAGACCGACATGTTATCCGTTTGATGAAGAGGAATGGTAAGAGGTCTGGGATGTTTCAAAAGATGACTGAATTGAAACGAAGCAGAATAGGTTGTCAACCAGACCAGATTACTCGGGGATCATCGAACAGGGTTGGAGGAGATTTGGTGAAGCAATGATAATGATGGATTATTTTTTTTTCTTGATAATCTTTGGGAAGGAACCTCGGAACTAAAGAGAAAATGGTACAAGTTGACCGGGGAGGAATTCACTCGTGGCAGATGGGACACGGACTCGGAGGGGACAGCTGATTATACCTTTTTTTTCTTCTCTTTCCTACTATGTAGGGATAGATTGGAGCCTTGAGTACAATCTAGCCCTATCTTCCCTTCTTTTGCATCGAGGGTATGTGATCCTGATTCCTTTCGCCAAAATGGATCCCCGAATAATAGAATGCATCATTCTTATTGGATTTAAGGTGAGTCTTTCCTTTTTGGATCTCCATTCTGCTTTCATCATACGCTTATTCCGGAAAGATGAATGAGAAGGTATGGTCACTCGCAGCTTGGCAAGATGGTGATCTCGATACGATTTGCTCCTTTTTTTTCTTTTCCCTTTTGTCCGATTTTTTATTTGTTTTTTTTTAATTCAAGTTTTATTTTCTTTTTGGGCTTCTATGGACTTGCCCAAGATTTGGCGTCGGTATATCCACCAATGCCCAACTATACTCAGTGTATGATGACACTATCGCCGGCCCAGATCTCCCTCGAACTACTGCAAGGCTTACTAGTGGGATAGGATTGATGTGGTTGCGAGTGTGGGCTGATAGCATCCACTTTCCGTCCACTTTCCGTACCCTTGCGTTCAGCTCCCGCTGTGATGAGCCATGGAATGGAGGGGGAATGGCGTCTTTGAGTGGAGATGAACAAATATTATGGGGCATATGCGGTATGCGGTATCCAACATAGCGTCTACGGTGTGGAAACATACTGAGCATCTGACGGTGGAAGCGGGATAGACCGGAAAGCCGTCCCCCATCGCTGGAGAAACCCCCCTCGTTCAGTTATTGAGATGTGACCCAATCAAGAGTGTTGCTCTCACGATCGACGACAGAAACGCCCTCGCTGCAAGTTGCCACAGGAATTCATATCTTATGGGGCTCTGTTTGGTTTTTCCATTGACTCTTTTGTCTGCAAGTTCAGACCGGACTCGTTCGGCCTACACATGATGACTCTGAAATATTGCTAATCTACTACTAATCTTCAAGTTTGCGCATCCATGAACCAAACTGTTGGAATCACAGGGATTGTTATTCAGGCGAAAGATCGACGAAACAAAACGACCATACAGCAAATCTACACGATCTAAGACAATGGCCTTCTATTCCCAGGAACGTGGCACCACTTCACATGTACCCTCGACCGGATGTCTTCCGTGAACCCCCTCACAGGATTTGAGGGAGATCGTTCTTTTTTTTGGTTTGAACTATTTTCTCATTTAGCTTTTTCAGCTTTTCAGCTTCTTGATTTTTGTTGGGAGCAGGATTTCCCACACTTTCTTTTTTAGAGCTGAGATCTTCTCATTTAGGTTGTTATGAGCTCCGCTTTTAACATGTACGCACAGTCGATCATTGTTTGCAGCGGGGGAAAAGAACTATTAGCTATGGAGACAAACTCCAGAGTTTTTCAAGTGTTTTCCTCCCATGAAAAGCCTCGAAAGCAATCCAGTGATGACGCTTGATGGATCAAGTGGGTCACCGACACCGAGGTCCTGAATCCTGAAAGTGCATTGCAGAACATTGCATCTGTGTGGCGCACGTTTTCACTAGTCAATCTAGATCTCAGATTGTTTCCCCATTTCTCCAAAAGGGGGGGGGTTTCCTACCCTGTCGTCACACGGAAGGGGTAAGCTTTCGATAGTGGACCGATTCTCCACTTTACCTCAGATCAGCTGGAGAGGGGACATGCGGGATTGGAGTTGGCCTGTCATTGATGAATGTCGGTCAACGAAACCATGGAAAACCGAGGGATCACTTTCTGATCCTTGACCCTTGGGTTGAGAGGCTGTCACGGCATGAGCCGAGTGGATCCCTCAAGATGCAAAAAGGTGAGAATCCGTGAGATGGGGAAAAAGAAAAAAAATCAACGGGATTTGCTTCTTTTTGTTGACCGAATTTACGATTGGTAGGTGAGCCGATATTCTGCTAATGCTTTTTTTTTCTTTTCTTTTTTTTCGTCTCTACATCATTGACACAGGATTGATAACCTGGAAAGATCTTTATCCGGTCTGACGGTTCAGCTCGTGGGAATTGCAGGTTCATGCATGCCCAATAAGCTATTGTAGAGATGCAGGGATTAAAGTGTAGAAAGTACATAAGCGCCGCTCAAAAATGGGGCGATTGATCTCCGCGAAACCCTGATACTAGTTAGTGGAAGTGGGAAGGCGATCCCGTGTTGATCCGAATCGGAGTTGATCAAGAGCTGATCAACTGTCATGATAATAATACTACGAAAGATGTAATCAAGTCAATGATTCAAATAACCCGGAGTGATTTCAGATTTCCGTAAAAAAAAAAAGCAAGGTGTTTTGTACCGAGGATGAGATCCGAGCTTGTGGCTCAGCTCAAAGATATTGAAATGAAAGTTAGGTACGGAGTAGTAGGAAAGGGTTTAGTGTACTATATGGTGCGCCACTAGTTTAGCGCGGGCTGAGAGACGAACTTGTTCTGGAGCACTGGAGCACATCACTCCATGACACATACATTTTTATTTCTTTTTCAAATATTATTTCTCCATTTTTGTATTTTTTGTTTGATTTTTTTTTCTTTTTCTATCTTTTTTTCTTTCTTGGGGTTTCTCCATTATTTTTATTTGATATTTTTTTCCCTATCATTTCCCCCATACTCCCACACTTCGTACTCCGTACTCCACGTAGGATGTCTTGGTCATTGCTTTCCCTTTACTCCGAAGTCCGTATTGATATCACATTCAATAAACCTGAGTCATAGACTTGACAATTGTATATTGATATTTATGTTTCACTGTTAAGAAAATAAAAGATACTACTCTACTCTAGAGTCTAGTCTACTCTAGTCTACTCTAGTCTACTCTAGTCTACTCTAGTCTACACTGTATAATCTGTAGTATAATCACCCCTTCGGGATCCCAGTACCGTGGGAGAACAAAAGAACAAGTGGGGCTGAAACTGATGACCTAATCATGAATTCCAAATATTCCAAATCAAATTGTCCACTCTTGATTCTTGTCCACTCTCGTTAACCCTTGTCCACCGACTTCTCTCGTGGCTCATTTCACGCAGGATCAAAGAATTCAAATCATAGTTAAAAAAATGTCTATATCTTCGGACAGGGTTCCCCCCTCCCGAGGGTTCATGTAATCTTCTCTATATCATTACCTTTCAATCATCATCTTCAATACTATTTATTAACTGTCTCATCCTACTTTTATTCTTCTACTCTGTTTCAAGTTCTGGTCTTTTCTTCCGATCGCCATTTATTATTCCCCCTTTAGCCCCCTACTCATAACCAGCATGGTTTACTGGGATGCCTCCGTACCTACAGTCTCAGACATGGACATTGACGCGATTGACCCTCTCCTCAATCACGATGTTTATACCGATCTCTTAACTTTTACCTTCTGTGGTCCCAATCCTTATAATCAAAATCAACCACTCTTTATTGATGCAGAGGATCCATCGCGTTCATTCACAGCCACTCAGTTTCATCAACTGGTTCGAACTTTGATCGCGGGTTTCAAGGCACATGGACTACAGAAGGGAGACTGTGTCCTCCTAAACTTGGGAAATAGTGTGAGTGGTCTCTTCTTTTCATCTGGATCAAGACTGGTGCTCGGAAATAAACAAATCATCTATTGAATCATTTATTGGGCAAAACCTCCATACATTTTAACATCGGTGATTGCTAATCATCCATTGTTGTACAGATCTTATATCCGGCTTTATTCTTCAGTATTATTGGTGCGGGTGGAGTGTACATGGGCTCTAACCCCCGCAGCCAAACTCAAGAACTCGATCATATCATTTCTCTCGCCGAGCCCAAATTCATCTTCACAACCCGCGATGCCTTGCCCATGGTGCAAAAGATCGGTGCCACCCGTGGCATCCACCCGTCTCAAGTATGCGTCGTCGATGAACGAGCCATAGACAATTGTGCCCAGCTCTTCGTGTCGTACGAAATGGGTTACCCAACTGTGCCTGAGGTTCTAGCCATGAACAACGAGAGTCCGCATCTCAACTTCCCTAACTTACTCTGCTATGGCCAGAGTGACTGGCTTGTGTTTACCGATCCCATGCAAGCGCAAACCACACCCGCCGCCATGTTCTCCACCAGCGGAACCGGTGGACTTCCCAAGGCAGCGATCCTCTCTCATCATGCAATCATCTCTCATCATCGAACTATCCAGTACGACGTGCCCTTCCCGGTTAGCCGCTTGATGTCGCTGCCCATGTTCCATATGTTTGGAGCACTATGGACCCACCTGTTCCCCGTCCGCTACGGGCATCCCGTCTTTGTGCTGCCCCGGTTCGAGCTGAAGCAGTTCCTCGCGACTATTCATCGTTACCAGATTTCCGAAACATACCTGGTCCCTGCCATTGTGCACTCGATCAACCAGTCCAACCTTCCAATCGCCGACTACCTGGCTTCTCTGCGGTACGTCGGGGTCGCGGGCGCACCCATCGATGCGCAGTCTATGCTACAGTTCCAAAGCCTCCTCCACTCGGAAGCATACGCGGCCCAGTTGTGGGGTATGACTGAAGTGGGTGTTATCTTCCAATGTCGCTATGGTCAACGTAACAACCACGGTAGCATTGGTAGCCGTCTGGCTGGGTATGATGTGCAGCTGGTTGACCATGAGGGTCAAATCGTTCAGAATGATGACCGCGCCGGTGAGCTTTATGTCCGTGGTCCTGGATTACTCCTGTCATACAAGGGTCGCACAGATGCCAAGGAACAAGGGGGATGGTTCCGTACGGGCGATGTTGCGTATGTGAAACACGGCTACTATTATATTGTTGGACGGACAAAGGAATTGATTAAAGTGCGAGGGTAAGTGAATCCAAACCCCATGAGAGAGAGATGTGGAATACATTGAAACCGAGCGATATGCTAACAATATCATTTTTACTTGGTTCAGATGGCAAGTGGCACCTGCTGAAGTTGAAAATGTCCTTCTCCAGCACCCCGGAATTGTCGATGCCGCCGTGACCGGTATAGATCGAAAAGATGGTGGCGGCGAGGTACCTCGAGCCTTTATTGTACGATCTCGCGACCCTACTGTGAAACGACCCACCGCCGAAGAAGTATATAAGTTCGCACGTGAGCGACTCGCAAGCTACAAAGCGCTAGACGGCGGCGTGATCTTTGTTGAAGAAATCCCTCGTACAGCTAGTGGCAAGATCCAGCGTTTCAAGCTTTCCCAAATGAACAGCTACCGGGAAATGGTTGCCTCCCTTCTTTCTCGCTTTGAAGGTGAGGGAACTCCAGCCCGTTCCTTACCCACCAGCGCGGACGTACCCGTCGGTATGCCACCAGAGGGACGAGTTACCGTCTAAGACCAAGCGGGAAACAAATCTCACGAGCGTCTTCTTTTTTTGCACGTTTTATTTGCAAAGCATTTTTCTAATCGCATTTCCTGATACAGGCACATTAAGGAGTTGGCGGTTCTTTTTCACTGGCGTTCTTAGAAAATTCGGGTCTGTTTTCGGTATACTTTCGGGTGGCGCACGGTCGACCATAATCTCATGAAACTTCTGCTACATCAAGTTCATCAAGTTCATCAATTCACGACGATGGGAAATTTTCTCGATCTTCCCCATGATTACCACTTATACCGAGGGTGGCTTTGGTTTGATTTTTGGTCTTTTCTTTTTTGATCTGCATTTTCATCACATTTGCTCTATTTGTGTCAATCTATTTTCGCGATGGCGTCGATTATGGCTGGAGGCCGGGGTTCATTTAGTTTACGATTTATGCAAGTCACTTAATCTAGCCAACTTGAACATTTGAATCTTCAGTGCATACGAGTAACAGTCATGCTTGGCATCAATCATTTGAAGAGTACCAATTGGGTTTATAACACTCTTTTATGACCTATAATCATCGAGACCGCATGCATCATGATGCAAAAGATCCATCCTTATAACGGAGTACTCTGTACCCCGTACTCCGTCTATAATCTATAATTCCTTTTAAGGACTCCAGGCATCACAATTAACCTTGGGCAGGAATTCTGAGATGCCAATGTGCTGCGCACTTTCTCCGTGCATTTGCATCAAGACTGAGACACAAGAAAAAGAAAATGCTATTGCGTGGCCAGCTGCATATCCTTCCACGCGGCCCGAAAGCGGCGATTTGATCGGCTTCGTGTGACGCCGATGGGTCTGGATCCCGGTATTTAATTACCCTTGAATATCCGAGTCTTATATCACGAAATTAATTACATATTTTCTTGTTCTCAGGGCGATGGAATTGTTTATTTTAACTCCCGTAATACATTTGGAATAGCAACAATTACATATCAGTCAGGCACCTATAGGTGAGTTTGTCGAAATCTCACATCAAGTTCCCGACCGTAGTATTAGTATCTTGGCTTCTCCCCGTTGTACGACATTAATTCCTAATCTTATCATTTGAAATTTGAAAAGTAATTCATTTCAGCTGAACGGTATCTGAGCATCATCTTGTACTCCGTACACATTTAATCAATAGTCTCTCAGGCTCTACCTTGGTTGCCGAGGTTATCAACTTGAAGGACTGGCGGTGTACTATATCCACTTGGGCATGATCTGATAGAACATTTTCTTCAACATTTGAACTCGTCTATTCAATGTTCCCAAGCCCTCTTCGCTAATTCAAGTCGCATGGACCCAACAACCTGGGTGAGTATTGCCAACCGCATATAATATATGTAGCAGCCAAAGAAATACTCATGAGTACTCCCCGGGGCCGTACACTGCGTCCAACTCCATGTCTATGCAGGGTAACGTTGGTGCATCATGTATTATGTTTGTAAATGCCCTCAAGTGCTTCAGTCACAGTGTTCAAAATGTTATTACAGCCCTACCACTGGCACACACATCCGCATTGGGTTTTCTGTGCTTCATACATACTTCCAATGTTCAGGCTTCTTAACATCTGAACACCAGTATGCAAAGAAACCCTCGATCGATCGATCTTGTACATATCCCGTAACAGTTGAATTGCATGGAGCATTTGAGAGCGGAGCCTCCTCTATGCTTGTCCATACTTGGAAGCCCTGGAGGGAGATCAGCAACTGGAATTTGTCATGTTGGTGCCCGAAATATGAGGTATTAACTCTAGCCTGAGGCACCAGAGCAGTGATAGACATGAATATCGATGGAAATGGCCATTCACAGGATTGGTCAAATAGTACTCCCGTATGAAGTTTAACTTGATGAGCTTGAAATCACCTGATGTACTCCATTCAAGTCAATTTCAACATTAGGAGCAGATGCAATCCAGGCCCAAGATTTCGCAACCACTGATCACCACCTCAAAGGACCAAATTATCAATAACGAGCAGTCATATCATTCATCATGAAATTTCCTTATCAGTAACATTAATTGAAAATGAACTTATTGGAGTAGGAATAGAAGTGTTAGACGGCGGATACGGGTGTGGCGTTGAGATTGTATGGGGAGGATAATTGCCTCGTACAACAAGTTCCCCGCTAATGCAGTGATGAATCCGAGCTTAGATTACCTACTTTGTCCAAAGCTCAAGACAAGATCAGGCTCAGCCTCTCATCCTAGCTCTTGAACCAATCAAAATTGAAATTCCTTATCTACTCCTTCAAGTTGTTCGTTCAAACACTAGGAACTCTTTTCTACTAATAGATCGAGATGCCATTTCAGGATTCGGAGTGTTATACGAGATATTTGTTTGCTACCTCTCGCCTTATTTCCCGTAATCTTGCATCTGACGTACAGATCTATAGTAATTTCAAGAATCACCACGTGGGATGCGTGGTACAGATCTCAGCTGCTATGGTGTTTGATATCCCTCAAATGATTAAGCATGAGGATCGAATTCCTATGAAAGGACAGGCCTCCCTGCTCCTGTATCTGACTTTTGCTTTACTGGGACTACTATCCTCTTGATTTTCTCTCATATTCTCTCTCATACTTTCTCTCGCCTTTTATTTATACCTTGGTTTTACTCCTCCTTTTCATTTGCACCCGGACTGAGGTCACTTAATACCCACGATGTCAGACGGGGAAAAGTCAACTGAGATGCTGGAGACCCCACAAGAGGTCAAAATGCTGAGTATCAGCCCCTCCTCCATCCAGCGAGGTCCCGTTGAAACCAACCTCGAAGCAGAAGAACCCCACGAAGTGGACATCGACATGACATCACTTGCCGAGGGCAAAATAGACGAGAGAGACCTTCGGAAGAAACAAGTATGTCTGCTTCCTATCTTCTACTAGATTTTTTCTGACTGTCTGAAGGTCTTTGGCGGTTGGAAGCTGGCATGGTATGTCACAAAGAAACTATCAGACATCGCATTAGAAGTTATTATGATACTAAATCAATGGATATAGGCTAGCTTATCAATCCCTCGGTGTCATCTACGGCGATATCGGTACCAGTCCTCTTTACGTCTTCTCGTCTACATTCACCAGTGAGCCAAGTTACGATGATGTCCTTGGCGCTGTATCTCTTGTGATCTGGGCTCTCACCATCATGGTCACCATCAAATATGTCTTCATTGTTCTGTTGGCAGATGATGAGGGTGAGGGTGGTACCTTTGCTTTATACTCTCTTCTCTCCAGATATGTACGTTACATGCAAAATGCACCCCTTCAATCTTGGAAGAATCCGAATATTTTGATTTAATACAGAACTATCAACAGGCCAACCTCGTGCGATATGACCCTCGGTATTCCAACATGGTCCGAATGCAGCGGCACGCTACGAATGACTTGAAGAAACCCAACTTGATAACTCGCAGCTTCATTGAAAAAAGCACTATTGTCAAGTGGATGCTCAAGGTGATTGGAGCTTTTGGTGTGGCCTTGCTGCTGGCTGGTAAGTTTTATCATGACAACTTTTGCTTGTTCAATTTAATAATGCTCTGCAGATGGAGTTCTCACTCCCGCTCAGTCTATCCTGGGTGCAATTCAAGGGTATGAAAAGAAGATACCCGATATTTTATGAACAATAACTGATTCTTTTTTAGAGCAAGCGTTGTCAACCCAGACATTTCTACATCGGTGATTGTTGGCGCTTCGTGTGCCATCTTGGTACTAGTATTCATCATCCAACCGCTTGGAACCAGCAGAATTGCGAGTACCTTTGCTCCAATTGTAATCCTTTGGATGCTCTTTAACCTAACTTTTGGAATTTATGTGAGCAAGAAACTATCCAAGATACATGTGGAGTTACATTTGAGGTTGACTAATATCGGTATTTTCTATTGCAGAACCTCGTCAAGTACGATGCCTCGGTTTTCAAAGCCTTCTCTCCGTACTTCGCCGGAGCATATTTGGTGCGAAATAAGAATGCGGGATGGATGTCTCTGGGTGGTATCCTGCTCGCCTTTACCGGTGTGGAAACCATGTTCGCGGATTTGGGAGCTTTCAGCCGCAGGTGAGACTCCCCGTTTATCTTCTTAAATTGAATGCCACAAACTCATACCTTTCTTCACAGAGCCGTCCAGCTCTCATGGCTCTGCTTTGTCTACCCATGCTTGCTGATTTCGGTAAGTTCTCTCTACTCGGCACAAGTTGGAGCATGAAGCTAACGTAAAATCAGTACATCGGCCAAGGAGCTCACATAATTGTCCACCCAAGTGCTTATGCCAATCCATTCTACTTGACCGTTCCACCTGGAATGTTATGGCCTAGTCTTATCGTGGCAGTTCTGGCCTGTATTGTCGCGAGTCAGGCAGTCATCACTGGATCGTATCAAGTTTGTGTTAGCTCTCTCCAACGTTTATACAAATCACTTACCAAGCCATAGTTACTGTCCCAAATCATGAAACTCTCCTACTTCCCTCAGGTGAAGGTCTATCACACGTCAAAGAGCTTCCACGGTCAAATCTACATCCCATTAGCAAACTGGCTGCTAATGATCGGAACAATTATCGTGACTGCAGTCTACAACAATGTACGGATCCTCCACCCCAATGCCAAATATTATTTTCACTAACTTTCCATAGACCACCCGTATTGGAGAGGCATACGGAACATGCGTTATCCTAGTCTCCTTCCTGACAACCTGCATGGTAACCATCGTCGCACTTATTGTCTGGAGACTACCAATCTGGATTGTTCTCCCTATATTCGTGGTATTCGCTCTATGGGATGGAATGTTCCTATCAGCCGCTTTAAGCAAGGTTCCCAGCGGAGCATGGTTCACCCTCATGATCGCAATTGTATTGACCTGCATCTTCATGCTCTGGCGCTACGGTAAAGAAGAGCAATGGAAGGCCGAGGAATCCGACAACCTCCCCCTTTCGCAAACAGTCACCCTTCACCAAGATGAAATCTGCCTCAAGACCGAAAAAGGAAGTGCGCAAATCTCACCCATCCGAGGTTTGGGAATCTTCTTCGATAAATCAGGAAGTTCAATCAATGCCCCGACTGTCTTCCTGCACTTCTTACAGAAATTCAACGCCATGCCGGAAGTTACTGTTTTTCTTCATCTACGACCTCTTTCAATCCCTACTGTTGCACCTGAAGAGCGATACGCAGTGACGTTATGTTCCACTCGAGATGAGAACGGAAATAAGAAGGTGATTCCGAATTGTTACCGCTTGATCGTGCGACATGGATATACAGATGAGATTATTACGCCGGATCTGGGGGTACTCGTTCACGATATTCTTCGCGCGTTCCTGAAATTGCATGACAGGTCTAGCGAGGAGGATAGAGGGATTGCTGCTTTGACTCGAGCTTCGGAGTCACAGGTTATTTACATTGTTGGTAAGGAACAACTCAAGGTTACTGCCAACAGGAATTATTTCCGTCGTGCGGTTCTTTGGGTTTTCTTGCTATTCAGAGCATCAAGTCGCAATAAGGTGCAGAATTTGAATGTTGAGACAGAGCGGGTGGTGGAGGTTGGGTTTGTTAAGACTATGTGAGCCCCGGAGGCATTTCATTGAAAAATAATATCAGATGGTCTAATAGTACTATCTATTGAATTCAAAGGAGTCAATATTCAATTGTTCCATTCAATTGTTCTCAAGGGCTGCGTATATGTAGATTTAGATATCTACGTCAATGGAGTCATTCTTGGGCTAACCCCCAATCCCGCTTACCGGTGAAGATCAAGATTAACTTGAAATCGGGAAACCCGGCACCGACTAACCGGAACTTCTTCTCCTCTAATTAAGAATATCACATTCAAGCTTATTCCAACAATCCAACCCATTCTCTTGAATCACAGCATTGATCACTATCCCACTATCAAAGATCCGTTCCAACCCCTCCATTACCCCACAATGCCACTCGCAGACCAAGACGCAGGCACACCCCGGGTATTCCTTTACCGACATGGTAAACCAAACCCAGCTTAACACATATGAAATATTAGAACTCCCACTAATTATATCAGGCCAAACTGAATGGACCAAGAATGGCCGATACACCGGTACTACCGATCTATCTCTTACAGCTCATGGCGAGAAACAAGTTCTCTCATCGGGCAAGATAATCGTAGGAGCGGGTAAATTAATCGACCCAACCAATCTGGCCAGAGTGTACATAAGTCCTCGCACACGCGCAAAGGAAACATTTGAGCTTGCGTTCGGCGAAGCTGAAAGACAAGTGTTAAACGAGGCGCAGAAGGTATCCGAGAATGAGGAGCGGATCCGAGAGTGGACGTATGGCTTGTATGAAGGGATGATCACGAAGGATATTCGGGCGCTGAGAAAGGAACGTGGTCTTGATACTGAGAGACCCTGGGATATTTGGCGCGATGGATGTGAAGAAGGAGAGTAAGTTGATCCATTTGAATAATTTGCGGGACTCCTTATTGATGTACTCTGAAGATCGGCACAAGAGGTTACTGCCCGAATTGATAGCTTGATTGCTGAGATTCGTGGTATCCAGAAGGATAGTATGAATGGGGAGGGCTCTGCTGATGTTGTGCTTGTTTCGCATGGTCATTTCCTTCGTGCGTTTACGAAGCGATGGCTTGGGTATCCTATGGAATTTCCATTGGCGTTGATGCTTGATCCTGGTGCTGTTGGTGTTCTGAGGTAAGTTTTCCTTTCTTGAAGATTGGAGCTTGGTTAAAAATGGGGTTCTTTAGTTATCAACATCACAATATTGGTGAGCCTGCTATGTTGGTTGGATATGGCTTTCCCCTGGGAGAGTGAAAATGTAGCTTTTTGAAATGCAGTGATATCCGACTCGAGTTCAAATAGATTGGTAAAGGGATGGAATTACTGTTAAATAGGCATCCTAAATGATTTGTCATGGGCTATCGAACATCGAGGTTCATTAAGGCCGTAGAACAGTATGGGCAGAAGAGAGAAACTGCAGCCATCGCGGGTGAAGAGGTGCTTCAAAACGAGACAAAATTATTGCAACGTCGTGATAATTCAAAGGTCCGGGAACGGATTCAATAAATCCAGCGAAAGATACTTAAAAAAAGGTCAGCATATCCAGCCAATTTGTATAAGAATTGAACGCAAATGAACATACAGCAAAGAAGTCGAGGCAACATCCAAAATTTCGCAAATTGCTCCAGCTGCAGTCGCAGAACATTCTGCTGATGTTCAATAGCTAAACGGAGATCAGAAGCCGATACCCCATCAAGTCCAGAGGCAGCCGTTGCTGACTTCTTATGCAAATCGAAGAAAATAAGGGCCGTAAAGATGATAAAGGATATGGCTGGATCTACCTTCACGAAGAATGAGTTGTCCCACTGCGCAACAGTCGCAGAGATATCTTGACAAATTTCTAGGACTTTCTGCCAGCTTATGAACCACGCTTCACCCTCCTCCTGGCCGCAGCCAACTATTGCAAGGAGGAATCGAGTCATAAGAAAATGGAGTACCGTGATCGATCTTCCGTGGTAAAACTCATGAGACTCATTGGCGAAGGCATTTCTTCGCGGATTGAACCATCCTTGTGGGAGCGCAAGGAGTAATGTCGAAAGATGTTTCTCAGTATTAGCCAATCGTGTACCGATATCCGAGTTTCTTCGACACAAGAATGCACGTGCAACCAATCCTGCCTGGCGTGTTGCTGCGATCGATATTATATGAATGTTCTTCATAAGTGTTTCAGGATTCGCAACTATGGTCGGGATCAATTTCCATAGATCTTCAAGTCCTGCTGGAAGAAATAGCTCCTGGGGATTTGGATCCGATGCACTAGAGTTCAGTATTAAAGATGTATTCGTGAACTCGGGATCAACTAAGAATGGGGTTCCGGCGGAGAGGTTTGAGTATGTATCCAAACGGTAGATGCACCACCAAATTGAACGCCATTCTTGGATTTCATCTAGACTGAGACAGCGCCAGTCTGGATACAGAGCGCGTATGCCTTCAAGCCGATCAAGTCCGATACGGTAGCCCAGTCGTGTTAGATTTCCTATGCGTTTCCATGATTGATGGCCGGGGAATTGATGGAATTCATAGAATGCTAACACACATGCTTTTCGGAACTGATCAAGAGACGGGAAATCACCGACCATATCATCCTCCAGCAAACTTGAGCTCAGCATCCTGTCAATACTTTCATTGAGATCGGATTCGTCCGGAAGTAACGGTAGTCCACTAAGCTTTGCTGTGATGATGACAATCGCAGAGACTAGATCTTTGTTACACCGATCTTCACGATACTCCTGAAGGAACTTGGACTTGGAAAAGATAGGATTTGCATCTTGAACGATCTCAAAATAGTGCTCAATCCTGTTCAGGAGATCAAAGGACGCGGAACTGATTAGCCACTGATAGACGGGTGTGAAAAGAATGAAACACACAAGTGAGACTCTTGTTCCAGCGTAATGTCAATTGCAAATGCCGAATGGTGAATTGCACTTGCTCCGCCCGAGGGTTCAACGAACGATGGGGCTGATCGCGATTGATGCTGCCCCACAGTCTCTTGAGCCTCAGCGGATGTGTGTGCAGGTGGTCGAGAGCGAGTTGAGACCCGCTCATAGGTTGATCCACGCGGCGGTCCAGGCTTGCGGCGTCTCAGTGAGTACACACATGGCACTCCCCGTTCCAAGCAATGCGAACATGCTGGTCGCTTACGATCACCTGGCAGTAGCTTGATCAGTGAATATGAAATTTGTACAGGCTTAGTTATTTCTCACATTTTGTTTTCTTTCTGCGAATATGGTTAATTTAAGTCCCGATAAGAGCACAGGGGGAAAGCACCGGAGGATCCATACCGGATACAAGGATTACAGACCCTCTGGGATGATTCTTCACCTATTGATCCATGTTCAACCTCAGTACCAAGTCCTCCCTGGTCTCCAGTATTGACAGGCTGATTCTCATAATTCTCCATTCTCGAGAAAGTGCGAGGATATTCCCTGTTGGAGTCGGAACGACATTTGACTAAAGTCGGAGGAACCCTTGCAGTCATTATGAACTGGAAGATGCTCCGGCGCTAACCTTATTAAGGATAACACCGACATCAATCCGGACTACAACTTCAAACATATGAAGCCCAGTGTATACTGCAGGCATACGTAGTAGTATAACCCTGAATAGAACTTTAGATATCTTCCCGGGCAGGTGGACGTACTTCATTTGGAATGTATTGATTATTTAGAACTTGAAGTTTTTTTTTTTTTATTTTGGGAATTAAATCTAAGTATCATAGTAAATAGTGCAGAGTAGAGAGAGTCGACTATTCAAGGAACCAGAGCTCCCATATATTCGAGTAAAAAGCTCCCCAGGTATGGATTCTGCTCTGCTGGCCTAGTGGTCAGCGGCCTGCGACCCAACCGGGGACAAAGGTATTGAAATCGAGGTGGGCCGGGCCGCTTTTCGGTGGCAGAGATAATACTAGCGGGTAGGTGGGATTTCTCGCTACGGTCAGGGACTATTATTTTTTTTTAATTTTTGATTTTTTTACCTCTTATACTTCTAGCTATTCTCTTTCTATTGAGATGGTCAGATCATCAAAATAAAAATAATTGAGGGAGATAGAAAGGATTATGTGTTAAGGATGGATGTATCAAGTGAGAGATGTTGAGGCTATTCACGCATTTCTGGTTTTGAAGGTCCTGGGTCCGATCCCTGACCTTGCTAGTTTTCTTTTTTCTTTTTAAAGTACTACTCGACTCGACCCGTGTAAACCTGACTCCTGAGCACCCTCCTTTAAATGGCCCATTAAATTTTGAAGGAAAATCATGCAATATGGATTCAATGACTATTCTCTCTTGAACGACTCATTGGATGAAGCCAGCCAATTTTTCCTTGGATCGGCTCATTCTTTCCCACATATTCCAATATTTTCCCCTTCAATAATTCAGAACCTATTGCCCTCTGGAACAGCAAATTGTCAACCCACGGAGAAAGCGTCAAGTACCGCGATATAAGCCAATAGGAAGGGTTGCTCCAAGTATGCATCCGAGTTTCCATTCTTGAATGCGCCAAGTCAGCAAAGAGAGAACTAGCAGAACTCTTTCTCAAAGATACATAGTTCTCAAACACTTTGGTCAGAGTCGAGAAGTCAGGGTTATTGTCCGTGGAGTCTTTCACAGCTTTTTGAATGCCATTACATAGAACCACGACGTCCTGCACTCCATTATTGAATCCCTGACCCAGATGCGTTGTAAATTTATGACAAGCGTCTCCCACAAGTACAATTCTCCCCAAACTCCAGTGCTGTACAATTCCTTCTTGCATATCCGTCATTCCTTTGCCTATCATTTTAGGCCACACGTCCTTGACTTTCACAGTTTGGGTCAACGGAAACTCAGAAAATTCTTGACCAAGCTCTTCAACCTCTTTCTCTGAATAGTCCACGCGTTCTCTCGTGGGCTGAGGTAGCTTCTCATAAAGGAAGAACCAAGCAAGCTTCGGTCCGCTCAAATACATGATCGCCTTGTTCTGACTTTGAACATCATATCCGAGACCCGATTCTGATGGAGCTGGGAATCCCCCAAACAGGATTCTGAATGTTGATATAAACGGTTTTTCCGGATCCCAAGGCCGTAACGGGTCTTCTTTCAGTGCGATCTCGCGCATTATCCGGCGTGTCTTGCTATGTACGCCATCGGCACCGATAACGATGGATCCAGGATATGAGGTACCATCATTGCAGGTGACTTTGACTCCGGTGTCATTTGCCTCAATGTTTTGCACACTTTTGCTGGTAAGGACCTTCTCCTTTGCTGCTGCTGGAAGGCCGTCATATATTATCTTGATCAATTCAGCCCGGTGGAAAGCCGTTGGCCCATAACCATAGCTGTTGAACAAACGTCAGCAGCAAACAAAGATTTTCACGTGGAGGAGAGACTAACGATTCACGGATTTTCTGATATCGTGGACTCTCATTAAAGACGGTTCCATCTGCGGTAAAGGAAAGGTGATGCTTCAGCTCGCCGCCGACCGAGAGTACCTGCTCCAGGATGCCTATTTGATGCAAGACTCGAAAAGTATGAGGATAAACCACCAGGCTAGCACCCTTGTCTTCCACGATTGCTGGGCAACGCTCTAGCACAATAAAGTCGATGTTGGCAAGATGAAGTGCGTGTGCCGCTATTAGTCCAACAGGCCCTCCACCAACCACAATCACCTTGAAGGCACTTTTCATGATTGATCAGAGTATCGAGTTGATAAAAATTCTTTTTCTGCTAAAAGCATCTTAACCTGGAATTTTATAAGAGCTCCATCTCGACGAAGTAGATCGTTGTTTGACCCACTCGGTGGATCTTTGGTGGATCCTCCGAAAGACCCTCCGAACTAACAAAAGTTACTCCGGCTCAGATAATCTGCACTGTACCTTTTTCTGCTCCTTAAATTAATTCTTTCTCTATCCATTCTCATCTTCCACGACAATTCCATACTTACTACCCTGAAGATGCGTGTTCTCGTGTTGGGCGGAACCGGTAAACTCGGCTCTCGCCTCCTGTCAGCTCTGATAGCAAGGGAGCATCATGTATTCGCCTTCGTCCGAACGCCCTCTAAGCTCGCCCCGGGGATTCAAGACAAATTGGCGGGAATTGAGCGCGGAGATGCCAAGAAGTCATCCGATATCGAAGCTGCTCTTGTTCGGAATAAATGCGACGCGGTGGTGAATGCAGCCGGATATGCTGCAATGGCACCATGGGGCAAAAGTGATCTTCCCTTCATCGTGGATGCTGTGACCTGCGCAGCATTGCAGGTCGGACGCGATCGCGGGAGTCCACTTAGGGTGTGGTTCCTTGGTGGACAGGGATTATTGGATATTCCGACTCAAAAGTATATGATTGTGGACTAGTAAGTGAAGACTCGAGCTGAGGTTGAAGATGTGATCGTGTTGCTGATCCAGGCTTTCAGCATGCGAATTTTCCCCGAGCATCGTCAGACATGGAACAAGCTTCGATCGTTACCTCCTACCGCTATGGAATGGTCAATCCTTTGTCCCGGATTCATGCATCCTTTGAGTCAGACGACATACCCACTCGCCTCGAACGCTACCGCCGACAATATTGATGCGAGTGCTAGTACGCCACCAGATTGGTCGCTCAAGCTTATGTGCGTTCCGTTGATGGGTGGATATCTGAACATAATGTCTCAAGCTTCAGCGTATGGCACTACGCTTGAAGATAATGCAGATTTCATTGCGAAGGATCTTTTGGATGGGAGGGAGAGCGCATGGATATTCCAGAAAGTTGGTGTGAAGGAGAGACGCAAGTAGGAGCACTTGAGGGAAATGGCGGCAACATTACTGAGGAACAGTAGGTAGATAATGTCAATGTATATGGTACGAGCACCTGATGCTTGAGGAATCGCGATGTGAGAAGCTTCAAAATTTGGAAAAACCATAACAAACCAAATACAATAGAGAGAAATATCGAGTAAGTATCAAATGAGTGAGAAAAAGTCAAGCTATCGAAGATTTGAACGCACTTCTCTACCAACCGCTTACTCTCTAGATGCTAGGCAACAATAATACTACTGAAGTGTATTCTACCTTGGCATAAACGTTCAGGTACCCCACAGGGAATAAGATCTTTCGTTTCAAAACGTAATATTTACAAAAGTTGGGGAATTCCAATATCGAATTGGATTTACCATGCAAAGCTCTCCGCATGTAAGTACACACCTTCCGCTCCAGTACCTTTATATGAGCCTCGTTCTTCACTAACAGTGGCAACTGTATTCCTCACATTGCTCACCAATCCCGAAGGACCACATACAGCAACACCAGTCTCGCCTCTGGCATGGTCCAACAGGTCCCAAAGCATTGTCTTAAGGCGAGGTCGGCCTGATTCATAGACAGCAGATTGGATTGATGTTGAGGTCTTTGTCTGGTTCTTCGCAGAAGAGATGATAGAAACAACCTTTTCCGCGGGACTCGAGGCTTCAAGGATTGTTTCGGAGATATCTTGGATACTTGAAGAGCCAAGCCCACTGCAACAACAAGGTCCCTCCGTATTGCTGCATTTGCATCCGCTCAGCTTCTCTGATGGTTGAGATGGCTCGACGTCGCAGGTCACGAAGAAGCGAATTTCAAGCTCAATGCCTGCATTGAGAAGCGCTTGACTGGCTTTTTGTAACTCATCCGAGATCCAATCTGTACAATCAGCTGTTCTGATAACCCAAATAAAGACTAATTTCCGAACTGGAAGCTTTCCATCTGTAGCTCTTTGCGCAATGTCGAGAAGAATTGGTAGTGTAAATGTAACACCCGTTGATCCTGCAATGAGGATAGCAGTATCAAAAGCTGCAAAGTCGGCGTGTGACCCTCCATACGGTCCACCTATGAGGGATATGTGTTGAGTTTCTTCTGCTTGTACAGTTTGGACCTCATTCTGAGTTTTCTGCAACAAATCAGATGATGAGGACTTTGCAGAATGAAGCAATCGACGCGTAAATCCGCGGTGTGCTCGCAGAATAAAAACAAGATCATTCTCATGTGACGAGGGAATTGATAAGATAGTTGCCGGATGAGACTGTCCAACTCCCAAATTCGGAATAGATAGGAAGACATGCTGGCCCGGAGTCCAGCGCTTTAAGCGAGGGGATGAAATGCGGATCTTGGTCACGTCACCGAGAAGCTCAGTTATGGTAGCTTTTGCCGGTTTCATATTAACAAATGCATAAATGATGGTGCGTACGAGCCGATCAAGAATGAAGATGCCGACACCAATCCAGGCGTATATCCTAGAGGTATGTCAGTACTCAGAATGAATAGGATTTTCATGGAGAGTGAGGTACCTGGAGCTGAGCGCGGTGGAGGGTAGATGGTAGAAAATCGCGACGACAAGACCGACAAAGGTAATAATGTGCTGTATAACAAAGAACTCATATCTCCAATTGCGAATGGGTGCTGTTGAGGAGAACACCAACCACACCATGATGATCCAAGTCGCAAAGCCTTCCAAACGTTAGCCGAGCTGAGTATAAAGTGTAAGGAGAGAGTCACTGTACCTGTAGGAATGCAGCTGTCGGTGTCAAATTCCAGTTTCATCACACCATACTTGTGCCATCCGTAGGCCTGGACTCCGCCATGGATGGTAGCAGTTAACAGCATAACTCTGGCCACCCAGCGATGCAAGATCTGGAGCCGTTCATATGATACGCCCACAGCATACCCGATGAGGTTCCGCTTTCCAGCCAGTAAGAGAATCAGAGGGAATTGCGTGATGGTAAGCCAGCCTGCCCGCAGACCTTGTGCTTGCCAGTGCTGAGCACCAGGATAGTCACCATTATAAAATTGCAACCCCATAATATAGCCGAAGTATCCCAAAATGAGTAGTATTGACCCGATTGTTGGGATTCGAAGCCATGAGTTCATGAATGTGATTTGGTGGTAGGAGATTTCCCGAACCACTGCTGTACAGCTAGCCAGTAATGAAGTAACTGGATTCGAGGGACTCGCAGGACGTGGCCGGTTTGCAGCCGCGGCGCGCAGTCTAAATCGATATCAGTCGGAGATCCTTTGATTAAGGATTGTAAGTGACATACCGTAGTTTCAGTATAGCCCATTGAGTCCAGTGGGCTACACCCACCAAGACAACCACAATGACGATTCCATACCAAAATGCCCGTGCTATAGCATAATCCGATACTTGTAAAGTGGTGTCATCTAGCAGAGCATCTAAGAATTCTGAAGCCACTGTAGAATTAGACATATCAAGCCCCACATCTGTGAGGTCAGGGCCTCCCGAGATCGATGAGTCCGAATTCATATCCATCTTGACCGCGCCAAAACTGGTCAGAGAGATCAGAAGGATATGAATATGAAGAGAAGAAAATTGAGCACGCCATAAATGAAATGATATCTTTTGATGATTCGTATTAACGTGGGGACATCGTGGGGACTCTTATGTCAAAATCTCCGATTTGAAGCTTGATTCTTAATAAGCCTTGAGCAAATTACCGAATTGGGTTTAGCCTTGAGCACATTTGCGAGAGTTTTTTCGGCCTTGACCAACCACTTATCCCGTACTACTAATCACTTGGTTTCACTCTCCCAATCGCTTAGAATAATTACTATAATATCATGACTTCTTCCTTATTTGAACCAATTGATGTTTCTAAATCTATCTATATTCCCGTATCTACCCCTCATTTTCTTTCCTCTCCCACGTGTGTCGGGTTATTACTTCTGCCTCAGTTCCGCAAGGGATGATCTCATTCTCGGGTATCCCCCATCCATTCTAAAATCCACCCACCACCTGAACTGGTAGTTAAACAGTTTGATCATTTCGTGTTTACATTACACTTGAGCAATCAACGCTCCCTTTCCTCACTATGGATATGTCAACAGCGACTACCACTACTTCCAGTATGGCCATGTCATCCACCTCCGACATGAGTTCAACAGATATGGTCTTCAACACCAACAACCTCAGTGCAATGTTATTCTCTCAAGCCTGGATGCCAACTACGACCGCCGGATACGTTGGAACTTGGCTTTTTCTCTTCTTCCTAGCCATCATATGGCGAGCCTCTGCCGCTTCACTTGCCAAGCTCGATGCCTTCTGGGCTGCTAAAAATGCGAGATACTCGATTCTCATCAATGGAGGTCAGGACCAGCCTACGCAAAAAGACTTGGTACAAGCATGGAGACTATCGGTCAATTTACCCCGAGCAGCCTTGCGTATGATACACCAAGGAATTGCATACCTATTGTGAGTGTCAAGTTTCACCTGAAAGCGGGAAGAAAAGGTGTGCGACGTTACTAACATGACCTTCAGAATGATTGCGGTTATGACGATGAATGTTGGCTTCTTCTTCGCTGTGCTTGTGGGGTACTTTTTTGGTGAATTGATATTTGGTCGAGTCTCACGAGGGGATTAATCATGATGAAACTTGAACTCGAAAACTCCAAATGTCCGCTGCGGATCATGTACATAAAAGCAGCCTATCTCACGAAGTGCCAGTGATGTAAATAAACTCCTTACACTGGGTTCAACCGAATAATGACTACTATCTGGAACAATTATCTTCAAAAACTTCAATCTCTCACTGCGTGCTAGCGGTCTGCTATCAGTGGATATCACTTAGGATCAATGCTCAACAGTCTTCATGGCCATTCTTTAGACCCTTATTGCTATTTAGCGCGTCGCAGCCTGGAGCAGTTCGCGTATTCCGGGTGGTCTCGGCAATGACGTCGAAGCTTATCCATGGCTCATATAGATGAGCGTGTTCAAATTGACTACTAGTATGTATCTTGTCTGACAGCTCTAGGGAATTATTGGGGGTTGTTTATTCACAAGTCCGGCCACATAGTTCGATTCAAGAGGGAAGAGAACTCAAATGTCCGAATGGCTTACAGGCACTGTGATAGTCAACCTTGGGACATAGTAGGTAGTTTTTATAGCGGAGAGTTGAGATTGAAGATGGCGATCAACTGTCAGAATAGCAGCTAAAGCCAATATTGATTCAGAATAAACGACACTTGATAAACATTGATATCGAGGTCTCAGAGACCCTAAACTAGATAGTTGCAGTCAATCGCGAAACCAGATAGTCCCCCGCGGTGATATCGGCATATTTCTTGGAGGTGTGGGTTTCTTCCCCGTAAGTCCCCGGCAGTGCTTCGATCAATTTATTATTGTTGGGGTTGCAAAAATAAGCAATACTGTACCGGGATGGGTATGTATCGGACTCGTCTGTCTCCTTTTTCGGCAGGGATGGGTGGTTGGATTACTCGATGCCGCGTACTTCGAATGGTATCATTGGACCAGCGAGCGAGTAGATCCCCAGCATTAACAACAATGGTATCGGCGATAGGCGTGGCATCAACAAAAGTTCCTCTGGGACTTCGCACCTGCAACCCACCGTGCCGGTCTTGGAAAAGTAATGTAACTGAGCCATAGTCACTATGCTCACCTGCCCGAACCTGATTAGGATTATCTTTGAAGATTTCCTTCCGAACAGGAGGATAATGGAGCAAGCGCAGATTGTTATCGCCCTCGTTAACGAATTCGTCAAAAAAGTGCTCTGGTAGATTCATGCCTAACGCAATTGCACTCATTATTTGACGATGCAAGTCTTTACATCGTTCAAAAAACGCAAGCATTGTTTCCTTGAAATCTTGACCTTCCTTATCAAGGTGGTCGGGCCAACGATTAGGAAGCTCTTCAAGACCCTCACGGCCAATCTCCATTGTCTCTTTTAGATCAGGTACAGTTCCCCGCATTGTGCTGATACCCTCTGTTTCCTCGAGGGGGGCGAGCTTCTCCCGTCCAGCTGCAATGTAACCGCGGTTGGACTGTGGGGTTGTCCAACCCAATCCGTCCTTCTGGGACTGGGGTCGATTGAAAAAACGAGCCGATGAGGCAAAGACTCGAGAGACGACTGACGGTGGAATACCATGTTCTTTGAGATACAGAAAGCCTGATGTCTTGAATGCGTTGGTTATGGACAGGGCGACTGCATGCTTATCAGAGGGTGTTCCTGAGAAGAAAGGACCAAAGTCGATGAGCTGCAACGAGTGAAATCAGCATATTGTTCCAAAGAGGTTGACCAAAAAATGGGGGAATATTGGGGGAGTATTACAGGTATCACCAAGTCATCTTTCTCCACAGCGGTCGAGGCCGATGGAAGGTCTGGGGCAACGCTGGCCATTCTGAAAGTGAGATTTGAGTTCGGTGGCACTTTTGAAAGGGAAATGAGAATAAATGAAAAAGCAACTTCCAAGTGAGTTTGGATATGTCAAGTTGGAGAAAGTAAAAGAACAAAGAGGGGAAAGCAAGAGATAAGAATGTGGAGATAAGGTCTGCATGAGTGCTCGGACCAGTGGACATCTTAACCTCGTTCAAGTTGTGTGGCAAATAAACTCCTTTAGCTGGATCTAGTTTATAAGAGGCCGATACAAAGACCTTAACTATTACTCTATCATAGATAATCCTCGCACTACTAGGTAGTGGTAATCTCTATTGAGCGATCTAGTACAAGGTTACTAGCATTCCGATTAATCACCATACCTCCATCCTCTTCTTACTGCGCAGCACTTTATTTAGAGATTGAAATGGGTCTGGATAAAGCACTGAAGAATTTAGTAGAATTTCAAGTCAATTGGGGTATATGGTCGATAAAACTGTCACTTTAGATGTGTCATCTATGAAGATACCTGCCAGTGGTCGATCCATCTGTATAGTACCTAGTGGATAATCGGGTGTGGGTACCTATGCACGACCCTTCAAGTTCCCACATAGTAACTTGAAATAAGAACATGGTTCAAGTTTGTACCAGATACAGAATTTGAGATACTCCAGATTCTGAATGAACGTTCAACCGAGTTTCTCGGTTTAAAGGGCAGCATTCACCTGGGAAATGGCCATGTTATGAGGGATTCGGACTGTGAAGCAGTTAGCCACTTGTTTGTCTCTCAGATAAAGATATCGAACATTTCTGAAGTCTTTCGTTCTCTCAGATATTGATTTTCCCTTTAGTCAATAAACACATGTGCAGATAAAATCCAATTTGAAGGTCAACTGGTGGTTCAAATGCCAGCTTTTGGCGGGGATCAACAAACCCGCTCGGTGACATAATTGAGTAACCCAGCCGAATTCAGGTACAAAATGCCCCTCATCTCGGTGTTTTCTTTCTGTCATCATCTTCACATCTCGCAATACCAACATATCCAGCACCTCCAAATCACCCATCATGGTTTACCACCTTGCAGTTATGTACCCCAATGAGGAGGGTATTCAATTCAATGAGTCTTACTACCTGCAAACCCACATGCCACTAGTGGATTCCAAATGGAAGAAGTATGGATTGCTCGGCTGGAAGGTCATCAAATACACACACTCCATGGATGGTACTCCCTCTAAATACTTGATCGCCTGCAAGCTGGAGTTCGAGGGTGAAGAAGGCTGGAAGGTGGCCTCAAAGGACCCTGAGAACGCCGAGGTCTTTGGTGATATTCCCAACTTCACCAACGTGCAACCCATCACTTTGGCCGGCTCGCAGATTTAAATATTCTGGTCGCTTATGAGTGAGTATTCATTCATCGTCTTCAACTTATTGACTATGTGTGACATATTCTGACGTACGACTAAGATTAAGACTACTAGTGTGGCTATGATTCTATGAGGAAATGGGGAAGATGACTTCCTCTTGCTGTACTTATCCTTCCCATATTATCACCAATGAAGTATGATACGCTGAAGACACTGGCAAACTGTCTCTTGCTATCCAATCCTTTCCATCAAGAGCGATGTAATTTGTATGCCAGTAAGTGGCAGACCGACCGGCATTTCTCGTATCCTCCCGAGGTCCCAAGTTCTTAGTCTAAGTCCTCACGCCGCGCTTCGCGCAGTACTGCCAGTGAAGCAGCGAGCATTTGAAATTGGGAAATGTATGTCCTCAGCACGCAAGTACTTGGCCAGATGTGTCTACATCCTCTCAGATAGAAATTTTCACATACTTAAGTACAGGGCTCAGTCCGAGTCAGTAGCATCTACAGGTAAGTCATAGGCTACACCTCTTTGTATGTAAGTACCTACAGGGTTATCTACATGATTACCTGGAGGAGAAGAGATAGCTACAGTGAGACATAAACTCATATTTAGATAGAATAAATAAAAGAAAAATCTACTCTATTAGTAAATCTCAAGTGCTATGTTATGGTCTCTACCTAGGTAGTATTCAGGTAGTGAGGAAGCTTCAAACCCCACTACAACTCAAGTAGAAAAATACCTGGGTACGTCTATATAGTCTACTTTTCTTCATCCTTAAGAGCATGACTATATCAACATAATACTACATATTACAGAAACATTGGAAGGTCTATTGTTCTACGGAATAGATCGGGTCTAGATCTAGAAGACTACTATGATAACGGAGATCCGTTAAGAATTAAAAACGTAATGATGCTTGGTATCAATGGATTCAATCTACCATGTCCAGTATCTTGAAGATTAAGACTAAAGCCAATCAAAATTCCAGATGAGAATATCTAGATAGAATCAAATGTAACCTTTATCATGGTTACCTTTTCCAGAGAAAAATGAAGATCATCTCCAACATTTGAGCGTTATCACGGACCTGCAACCCCCGCATCTGCAGGTCTTATCTCCCTCTATTAAAGCACCCCAATTCAAGTTCATCCTGCCACACTGGTATTATCCTCTTCTCCAATTATTCATCATGTCTCAACTCATTGTCGACATACACACTCATGTATACCCACCCTCGTATATGGCGATGCTCCGCGCTCGCAAAACAGTACCCTACATTCACGATCCCACCGACGGTTCTGAACCCCGTCTAATCATCCTCTCTTCAGACGATGACCCCGCAACACCTCTCGACCAGAGAGGTCGACCTGTCGACACATCCTACTCTGACATCAATGTGAAGCTCACATTTATGGAGAAACACGGTATAAATTGCAGTGTCATCTCCCTTGCAAACCCATGGCTCGACTTCGTACCTAGCGACGAAGCCCAAACATGGGCCGAGCGAATAAACGATGATCTTGAATCGACCTGCGCGGGCGTGAACAAGAATAAAGAGAGCAAGTCTCTTTTCGCTTTCGGTGCTTTACCACTAAGCGCGCCGTCAGAGATTGTTGTCGGCGAAATCAAAAGATTAACTACTCTACCTCATATCCGCGGTGTGATCATGGGCACCTCAGGACTGGGCAAAGGACTTGATGATCCTGACCTTGATCCGATCTGGAGAGCGCTAAAAGAGACACAGCTAGTTCTTTTCTTGCATCCGCACTATGGTCTTCCAGATGAGGCATTTGGTGGTCCTGAGGTGATTAATCGCTATGGACATGTTCTACCACTTGCGCTGGGATTCCCACTTGAGACTACAATTGCTGTGACGCGAATGCTTCTGAGTGGTGTTTTTGATCGCTTCACGAAGCTTCAGGTTTTGTTAGCTCATTCTGGTGGGACATTGCCATTCCTTGCGGGCAGAATTGAGAGTTGCATTTTGCATGAGAGAAAGTTTATTGCTAATGGCGGCGATACTCCTGGTCCCCAGCGGAGTATTTGGGAGGTTCTGCAGACAAATATCTTCCTGGATGCGGTGATTTATGGCTCGGCTGGGTTACAGGCGGCTGTTGTGGCTGGTAGTCATGATCGTTTGATGTTTGGTAAGATATTCATTCTTCTTGAGTGTTCTGGTTTTTAATTTGATGAGAAGTCTTGCGCTAACGTCTAGAAGGCACTGATCATCCATTCTTCCCACCTTTGCATGATGAGGATGAGAAATGGCCTAGTGTTACTACAAATTACCGGGCTATTCGCAGTTGCTTTGGAGATGAGAAAGCGGATTCCATTGGCATGGTTCTGGGAGGTAATGCTAATCGTGTTCTCCGACTGGGATTGGAATAAGCAGTAGTATTTGGATAAAAAAAATACACTTCCCTTTTCGGTTTTTTATCTCATACCTTCCGGGTCGTTATACAACCCAATATAATAATATCTAATTATCAGGCCAAAGGCTTTTGGTCATAAAAAACACATCAAAATGCGTACAGGAGCTCAGCCCGCCTCTAAGGCTGTGTAACAGAATTCAACAAATCCCAGCCAACGAGACGCCATAGTTCTTCGGTGAACCAGTCAGAGAAATCCTGTCGAGTCGACATTCGGCCACCGGCACTCAGAGAAGGGGAGTCGTAGGACGAATCAAGCCATCTTTGAACAACGGATCACCAGTGCCAAAGACTGCCTGGAGCAGTGTCTTCTGAAAACGTTGTTTCATTTTTTGAAAGAACTCCAACTGCACTCGACTCGCTCCAAGGGTCGAGGAATCAAGAACTCGATTCAAGAATGCAATCAAATGCTTAGCTTCGAACTGTACGCTTTGCACTGTCAGTCCCTCCTCATTCATAGCCGTTAATCCCTGTGGTGGGCTTAAGCCAGGACAAATATCAGAAGGTGGCTTGTGATTATTGAAAGTCACAAGTGCGAGGATTTTTCCGACTCGGTCGATTGTAATGAACAGCATTCCTTCCATAACTTCTTGATCTTCATTCTGTTTCGTGTCAAGAGACCGGAACATTGTGACCAATAGGTCAACGAGTTGCGGAGCGACGTCATTTTGAATCTTCGGACTTCTTGTCTTTAAAATGAGCGGAACTTTCTTGCTATGGACTCTTCTATGTTTCTGTGATGAGCCTTTGTTGGAGTTTGATGTCCCTTGAGATACAGGGCTTGTCATCTCAGCATATGATGACACCGTCTCACAATATCGAGTCAGAGAACCCATTGTTGACTCGAACAAACACACAAGATAATAGATAAGTTGTCCTTTGCAGTTCTTTTCATCTTTGCATCCCACAATCTTGCGCAGTGCTTGCTGAGCTAGATTAAAAGCAAGCGCAACAGCTTTAGTGGCACTGAGTAGATCCACATTTTTCAAAATAGCCCGGTGATTGTGAGAAGTTTTCGGTTGAGGCTCATGCTCATTCAGTCGAATAATCGTGCCAATAATTTCAAACTCTGCTAGTTTACACAGAGTGACTGCATCTGTTGTAAGAGTCTTGTAGTTTTGTTTCTTCTGTAGGGCACGCTGCACAGTGTATATTTGCCGCATGAGCTTTGGGGCTATCGGTGACTCGGAGTTAGCATTATCACCCCATTGACGCCAAAAAGGCTCGATTTTTATTAGACACAAACCATTTTCATTCTCAGAAGTGTCAGACTCGTCGCTGCTCTCATTATCCTTCAACTTTTGCTGTTGTATTTTTGAATCGCACAGTTGTGCTCTCTTCCGCGTCGCCACTGAACTTTTCCCAGATTCCGAAGGGGAAGTTTTCCTTTTCATCGACTGAGAATCACCATGCAGTACAGTCTGGCCCTCTTTGATCTTAGAACGAAGTCCCTGGGTTCGTTGCTCCAATTCGAAGATTTTGTTGAGAAGCTTGGTCTGTTCTGCCTCCGAGTCTTTGTATGCCTTTTGCCAGAAGGCGACGCTGTCGAAGAACTTGCCAGGAGAGGCAATCTGCATGTTGCTGCGAATGAATTTCCGTATTTCCAGGATGTAGTCTATGAATTTTGTTAGGTTTCTTCGTATAGCCTGGAACTGGGAATCATCTAGCGATACTACTCACCCTTGAGCTCTTTGTTGGGTGGTTTCAGCTTCACAATTGCCAAAGCAAAAGCCAAATGAAATTTATTTGGAGATTGAAGCTGAATTTTCTCTTCTTGGGATGCCATACTTTGCAGATGCCCAGGTGAGTTGGGGTTGGTAAATGAATAGAATGAAATGGTAGTGCCAAGGGGAAGTCATGTGCCAAGGTTGGTTGACTTGATAAATAGCATGTTATTTCTCCAATGCCCAGCACCTATTATGATTTTAACTGAACAGTATCGTCTGATCCGGACAATTTTGGAAGTCTTCCATCCAGATCTTGCTTTGGTCTCATACCTAAACAAGAGGCATAGGCTTGTTGTTCTAAATTAATCTGAATTCATGCAAAGCCCGTCTGTTATTTACGCTGTCTGTAATTATTTTTGCCCAGGGTATGACTTTCCACTTCAGTATCAAAATCCAATATTTATTTCCAGTAGTTGTGCTTAAATTATCCTTCAACAGGAATGCAACTCAGTTACGCCACAGATATAGTTCCATAGTCCAGAGTGGATCCTCAGGCCAAGCCCGAGCCGCATGTTGAACTTGAATGTCAAATTTCCATTCAATCCTACCAACTTCAACTCCTCCATCCCCTCATCACCGCCATAATGTCAACAGACGACCTTAAGGCGCATGCCGCCTCAGATCAAGACTTCTATGCCCTCCTCGATATCTCCCCAGCCGCCACCGAGTCCGAGATCCGCCGCGCATACCGTCGCACCGCACTAAAATACCACCCCGATAAAATTGCCAACCCAACTCAAGCAGATATTGACAAGTTCCATAATCTACAAATCGCAAATGATATCCTCTCAAATACCGAACTCAAACAACTCTATGATAATACACGGGAGGCTCGGCTGCGTAAGCAGCGCGAGAGAGATCAACTCGATTCTGCACGACGACAAATGGTCGAAGATCTCGAACGACGCGAACGAGAAGGCGCAGAGAAATTACGTGGTGTGAAAAGGTCATGGGCTGCTAGTAAGGATGCGGATGCGAAACTCGCAGCGGAGATGGAGCGCTGTGCCGAAGATGGACGACGGAGACGACGAGAAGCGGCGGAGAAATTACAGCGCGAGCGGGATGAGGAGCTGAGAGCTCTGGAGCGGGAGGAAGAGGAGGCGCGCAAGGCTGCGGATCGGAGTGCTCAGGTGGTTGATCGGTCTCAAGAGAAGAATGTGGATGAACTGGACCGCTCGGTAAAGGTGCTCTGGGAGCGCGAGGGTCGAGGACAGGATCTGGATGTCGATTGGTTGAAGGGAATGTTTGTACGATTTGGGAAGATTGAGGGCGCTTTTATCTTGAAGGACAAAAGGAAGCGCGTGGAGGGCAAGAAGGGAAAGGTCACAATTGCGACTGGGGTCCTTGTTTACGAGTCCATCGTGAGCGCTCATGCGGCTGTGCTGGATAGTGAGAAGATGATTCGCCAAGCTGGTGATGACTGGTCTCTTATTGAGTCTGTGATTTGGGCGTCCGGCAAGGGACCGGACCTGGGGCCAACTACTTTCAGCCCAGCGCCAGCTGCTTCAACGGAAACCGCCCCATACACTACCACCAAGGATACACCCAAACCATCTACAGCTCCAAAGTTCAGCTTTTCAGCTGCGAGCTCGGTCCTCAAGTCTGGATCTGGAAAGGCGCCATCATTTGGCTCATTTGCTTCCGCAGCTACTTCTATGGATTCGTCATCGGGCGCGTCAGCGAAGCCTGCAAATGGCCCTAGTTTCACCTGGCAAGAGCAAGTGCAGATGAGGATGAATGCTGCTCAGCGCGAAAAGGAACGTAAAGCTCTAGAAGAAGAGCTAGCCCGAGAAGATGAAGCTGCAGATGCCGAGGCTTTGAAACAGACCAATGGGTCTTGATGGCATCCGGATGGCATCTGCTGTATGACATTCCCATTTGTACTTTTAGCTCGTTTCAAGATACCCAGCCGTTACTGGCATACATATATACGCATCTAGAATTTGCGGGATTCAGTATGCTGTAAGCATTACTAGTAGTTCAAACTGTAGATGGTTTCAAGTACATCCGAGTCAATGGTCCAAATTGAATGTGGAGATACTCCTACTAGTAGTGATGGAAATGGACTGGATCTCAACTTTTGAAGACATGTCAATGACCAAACAAATGGCAAGACCAGCTTACAGAACATAATGGTACATGATAATATACAGGTTGATTAGGTACACAGATGCATGACAACATGAGTCTAGTACTCCCCTCGCTGTGCCCGCTCCTCCTCCAGTTGCTCAAGAAACTCCCGTGCCCGCTCACCAACAGGATCCACAGGGCGCTTTGCTGCTTTCTGCACTCCTCCCGACTGAATATGTTCTCTAACCCAAGAAGGAACGAAAGCCTGCATCTTCACTTCGGCCGGCTGCTCCGGCTCTGTGGTCCAAGAGACCTTGAACTCCTTATCAGGGGTGTACTGTGTCTCCTCGCCACTCAGTGTGATATCCGTCATCATTTCCAACCGACACAACGCAAGACCAATATTTCCCACGCCGTTCAAGAATTTTCCAGTGCTTCGACCCCGACGACCACCAGCCACCATAATATTTGAACCAACGGGAGGCAAAGAAAGTTCCGCGGAAGGATCATAAACAGGGGCAGCAGCAGGATCCAAATTCTCGGTGTACAGTTGAACCGGCAGGATGCGCTTGCGCACCACACCAGTATGATGTGTGCGGATCGTCAGCTCCTGTCCAACATAACAACCCTTCCGGAAATCGATCGCACGCGCCATATCCATATTGCATTCCATCGGCAAGGCCGACTCAGTAATAATCTCTGACTGGCCCTCAGGAACACCATTCAGCATTCTTCGCACCGTATACGCATCCAGCCCAACCTCTTCACCTGTAAGTTGTGATTCGTCCGGGAAATGTGTGCGTAGACCCTCTGATCCTGGCGTGATAATGCGAGCACCAAAGCCCGGAGCGCGAGTATCAATGCATCCGATAATTTCCGAGGAAGACGAGAAAGGAGATGTCGACGCCGATTCCGTTTCAAGGTTATAGGCGGCCCACCTTGGCTGCGAGTGGTCCTTCCATGATGACCACACGGTACGTTCCTCATCCTCCAGCGCACGTAACTTGAGCTTCGCACGCAGCTTGTGTTTTTTCAGGTGCTTCAATAAAATCGGTACTTGGTTCTTATCCACCTCGACCAACCATTCGTTGTTCTCCGCAGATGGAACTGGATAGATGAATGCATCGTGTAGGATACGGCCTTGGGAGTTCAGAAAGGCTGTGTATGCACCTGTGCGTCGAATTGACTTTTTAGGGTCATTGGCTACTAGCATGTTCTGCGTGATCAGGCCTTGGAGGAAAGTCGCGCTATCGACACCGGTGATGGAGATGAGACCTCGATTTGTCAGTCGAGCATAGCCGGTATCCGGGAGAGACGCTGCATTTTTGAATTGCTCTGCTTGGGTAGTTGTTGTTGAGAATAGTCTGCTCCGCATTAAACAGCGACCACAGATACCGGTAGGGATTCGAGGGCGCATCATGATTGTGAATTGTGAATTGTGAATCGTGATATGGCCAGTGGAGGGACCAATATGAGCTGTTGTATTTCTTTACCCGCGGAGAATGACGTTGGGCGGTATAGAATGGCAGAATTGGATATAATCCACTTTCCTAAATAGGGAAGTATCATATTGAAGCTATTCAGGGGACAAATATGATACAACGCAAATTAGAAGTTTTTCTTCTTACAATAAAAGTGGGCTATTGTAACAGGATCAAAGCTGGGGTAAGAAGATTTGAATATTTGGGTGAGTCTGTCAGCACGGAACCTCTGTATACATCTAACTCCTACATGGTTCAAGTTCATAAGAATGGATGAACCTCCAGCACTTGGGGATTATCTTGACGCAGAATGCAAATACTTTGCCAATGAGCTACATGTTATTATCATGGACAAAATCAACAACCCTGAACATCAGGGGACTTGCAACCTTTCGTTTGGGCTGAATAGCAACTGTGGCGGCCCTATTCGCCAGTTCATGCTGCATACTCCACATTCTAGTATGACGTGGCCAATGATAATTTGTTTCATGCAAGAGAGCAGTAGGTCTTTCAGCTACTCCAAGGATTCCAAGTGTCTCTTTGCCCCTCATTCTGATGCATCAGGCCCAAGATAAGTACCGAGCATGTCAGCTCCTACGGATAATGGCAGAGCTTCCATCATTCAAGATTATTTATCACACCCAGGTGCACTTAACTCCTCATTCCTTCCTTGAGCTCCAAGCTGTTCTCTACCAAAATGCCCAGAATACCTACTGGGACTAAGCTTTCAGACTTGGAGGAAGGTCTTCTTCCATGGGTCAGCGCTAAGCCACCTGAGCGTCCTTCGACGTCGACTGCGAAGGAATGTGAGGTGAAATTAGATGACTTAAATGGGCTTTTCTTTAGTCAAGGAGCACGCTATGGGATCCATGATATCCTCCGGGGCAATCATATTGTGGGAATCTCAAGGCGTGAGCCCTACAACTACGATAATTACCACCGCCAATACCGCCCGCCATTTCCACCTGAGCCCCGAGCACCCCGTCGATATGATCAAGACCGCCGTGCAAGGAAGTACAATTTACACTCCTTTCAAAGGGAAACATTGGAGGAGGAGTCTATATTTTACAGCCCAAATGATCGGACAGAGCCCAAAACCGAGAGGCCAACATCCGAGGACGTCAGATCGCGTGAGAAGCACATTCTGATCATTCAAGATAATAGTAAATCGAAGGGAAAAAAAGTCGAAACTAGCTCTTCCAGCCATCAACTACCTGGCTCTGGGTCAAATAACTCCCATGAGCCTGGAGCTACAGGTTTCAAGTCCGAGGACATACTATCGAATGACCAAGCCTCTCAGATCGTCGAGGAGAAAAATGAATCTCTAAATCAAAGAACCGAAGCTAGTTCTGTTAGCGATGAACTTTCTGAAACAGGATCAAACAGCTCCCATGATTCTATGGGCTCGACAAGTCGTCCGAGGCGTTCTCGTGACAGGCGGGCTGAAGACTACTATTCTGACGACCTCTGGAATGCAAGACTATACGAATCTGATCGAAGAAGAGCCTCTCCACAGACGCCATACGCTCCATACTTCTCAACCCGTCCACCGATGCCCTACCATCCGCAGATGCCACAATATTACTATCCACAGATTTCACCTGAGCCACAAATGTCAGACTATACACCAATGCCACCTCCTCCCAGGGCGGTTCCTCCTCCACTGATTCCAGACCCTCCACAGACTTTGTTACCATATACCTACACAGCACCATCTCATATCCCTGAAGAGATTCAAGCCAAAGAGAAACAGAAAACTCTGAAATCATCAAAGCTCTCTGACCTAAAATTTCACGATCGCTTGACCGCTGCAGGGATTAACGCAGTGTACTATCGCAGCCCACCTGAGGAGCCCCTTTCATACAATATCGCCCTGAATTCGCTTCAGAGAATGGTAATGCATGAATTGCAGGGTGAATTGGTTGGTGTGGTTCAAAAGATTGTGCAAAAACAAGGAGTTGAACAAGACTTGATGGAAAATGCTCGGGAATTGTTAGGAAAATATAGTATGTGGATGTACCATGGATGTTCTGGTTTGATTTGACCTACTAACAAAATACAACTAGCCGCTGCGAATCGGGACTATGATTATATGACAGAAAAGCTTGCACAGACAGCCATTAACGGCGAAAAAGACCCATTCCTAATTACGACGAAGGAAATTCTAGGTTTCTGTCTGATGAGAGATCACCAACTGATCCCGACCGGCGATGAATTAAAAGAGCCAGAGCAGGTGATACATGCCAGTGGTAAAAGACCAGTTGTTCTCCCTGGATCTTCGAGAAATAAACATGAAGAGAAGGTTCAATGGGCACGATTATGGGAGAGGATCTTCATGGGGGTATGTGGTGGTGTGGCACTCATCGCGCCTATGCTTCTCATGGTTCTGCACAAATCTCGAGCCACTACACTGGCAACGACTAGTGTGGCTACCATTCTTTTTGCGCTGATGTTAGCTTTACTTGGAAAGAATTTGCGAGGACAGGATGTGCTGGCTGCAGTTGCTGCATATGCGGCGGTGTTGGTTGTCTTTGTAGGAGCCAGCTCAACTTGAAATGTCTCATAATTGATGCAAAGACAATCCTGATTTTGCCAGATATTGAAGGAACAGGATAACGCTCTACAGTTGAATCACACAGAACCTACATATTTGAATATATTCACATGTTGATACTAGAACCTTTCAAATTTTTAAAACTGGCCATTCCCGTTTAGTTATATAGAGGGAGGGTTTTAGCAATCCAGCTCTGTCGGGTTCCAGAGAGACTCCTTGCCAAATCCCGCTCAAAAATGAGGCTATTCAGACATCTGGAACTTAAAGCTTCGTCAACGTTAATTTAATTGAATTTTAGGTACGAACATATTAATGTAGTACCCAGGTCAATACAGGCTAAAGGAAACACTGCCAAGTGGCGCGAGTCTGTCTAGTATAACATATCGACTTTCATGGATATAATACCCTTTCTGGAAAGAAAAAGAGGCAACATCCTCATTGCTGCGTAGCTAACTAGATACACGAGGGTGTGGAGATCGCACTAGGCGCCACATACAAAACACAAATAAATTATGAAATCAAGAAAGAAAAGAACTGAAAGTATCAACTGCCAGTATGCCTGACACGGTGTAGGGGGAGGGTTGTGTACTAATAGGTGTATCGGTAGGCGTCTATGGCTGCAGTTGAGAATCGGAGGCTTCCCAAATCTCAAAGGCTGCTTTTACCTCTGCTTGCTTTGCTTCCACCGAAGGAGCTCCAGATCGTTTCTGCTGGAGGGCGTAGACTCAAGAAAAGTTCGAGATCGTTGGCCATGAACCACTGTTGGTCAGTCTTCATCACGTAGCCAGGATACTGAATGGTCCTAATTGTTTTCATGGATCGATAACTATGGCTCGATAGTAGCCATCTCCACCTCTAACCAATCAAGATCCTCCAGTGATATAAACTGCGGAATATCTCTTTGGCGCGCGTCTGGGGAACGATATTGAGTAATGAAGCTGCGCGAGTTCGATGCTCTCTGAATCCATGACAGTGCGGGGTTGTAGCTCAGGTGATGGATAGACATCATAGTACTGTTGATTCATTGCTTGCAATCATGTGTATCGATACAACTGGCCAAATTGGTGCTCACGATAAGCCCTTTGTCGTAGGCGTTGTGACGGTTGCCACTGGCATCTCCATCAGCTAGCTCATCCCGCGGACCGAATATATAGTAAAAGTTTTGCTGGTGTCAAGTGGGAGATTGGTCAGATTGACAATAACTAGATCGCTGCCTGCAAATACCGACCGAGTGGTACAGCTTTGCTTTCGAAGTTCTGTATGGATATGAACCGCGTAATTAAGCCCACAATCGCTTCCCTGCTTCTTTCTTCTTTGATAAATTATCAATTGTCTGGGGTCGATGAAGGTTTCCATTGCTGGATCTGCATCCATGGCGTGGAGCTGCTGCTCAACCTCTCTGTACTGATCCGTTTTCAGATCTGCACTTCAAAGTTTCGAAGCTTAAGGCGCTACTATCAATCCAAGTATTATCCTCTCTTTGGTCGATGTTTTGCTGTAGCTCACTCCAGAGCAACTGGCTTAAGCGGAATGTAAATGGCTTTTTGAAAACACACAAATCACACAACTGGTTGGTTAGAGAGGCTGGCAGCTCAGCTTTTGCCATTATCGTGAAATCCCCAAGTCTTGGGCTTCTTTCACTGATAATAGTGCCTTGTTATTTTGTTGATTTGCCATTCAGAGCGGCACCTGCCCAGTAAACTTCACGTCCGTGATTTCACTCAACACAGGGTTGAGATCAACATTGTCACTGGACGTAATCAAGCCAGACGAACTCAATGGCCGCCTTTTGGAAGTGAAAAGAAAGACGGCTCTCCAGGTTGAAGACGTGTTTTTTCTCTATTTGAGGATCTTCTGGATAGAAACGATATTGTAGTCTAGGTCTGGTGCCTGACCAACGAGGAGATGGGAATATTTGACTTGCTATGACCTCGGTGGTGGTGGATGGTGTCAACTTTCGAATATCCTCCAGGTAACTCGACTCGTCTCGGATAAGCCAATGCCCACAGCTTATCTTCCTGGCCAGACATGCTTGCACTGTCATGCAATATATAGGGTAAGAATGATAATGAGCTCATTGAGTATGAACTGTGCCATAATATCGGGTGACTTGAGTCACGTCGCTCTCATGTGACGATGACAGAGCCCCCTTGAAAAAGAGGCGATGTCCTCATCTCCTTCTGATGAGATGGGCTCTTTCTTGTCGGCTCAAGAGATAGAGCAGATGAGTGATTCTGAGTCGGAGGTAGTGGGACTGAATAGAAGTAGTGTCAGCGGATAAGTAAAAGGCAAGAGTTTGTTGTTCTAAACCCGTAGCTGACGGATTGAAGGGTTTAGTGGAAGCAAGGGATACTTACCGGACTCGGATCAGATGTAGGTGACTTGAATTGAGGAAAGAGTCATAGAAAGAAAATGGATTGACAGAAGGAAAAGATTCAAACAGGCCATTGTCGTGTTGCTATCGGTAAGATGTTGAGTGAAATCCTTCCTCTGACATTGTCATCCATGTGGCACAGCATATCAGAAGCTTTGTGAAATGGAGATGAGCTTTTTCTTTCTTGTAAGTATGAGGTTCTTGGAATGGAATAGTTGTCGAGGAAGTTATTTTTTGATAGGAGGGGTTGTTGTTATTAAAGTGACATCTTGAGAGTTGGAAAATGGTGATGTACTAATATTGAAGGGAGTTAACTTGTGTAAGTAAAGGTTGAAGTAAAAAGAAGTCAAAAGCAAAGGGATAAAGAAGTGGACAATAAACACACCCTCTTCTTCTTATATGCATCTCAAGAATAACAATTTTGTAGCTCTTGGTATAGTGAAAATATCAGCATCATGATATAACGTGAAATCTCAATCTTTTGGCCCTAGCTTGCTTCCTCATACTACAATAATATCCCTGGGATAGATTTCTTACTTACGTAAATAACCTGGAGCCTGAAAGTGTGCATTCAACTATTTGAATGAACCTGCAACAACCCAGAAACGGAGACACATAGATGCATAACACCTGGGACTGTTTAAAATATGATACCATGAAAGAAAAGATCAGCCTATAAACTCCGAGTCAAAGCAAACCAACAATATCGGAGATAGACCATGGTCTAGAACACTGACGACCTCCTAAGCAAAGCGGCTCTAAGCCTCAAACGATTGTGTTTGGGCGTCAGATTCAGGCCGCACATTGGAACTAGACATACCGCTATTTTGTGCATCTAGATTGACATGGATCTGAGCAGAAAAAAAGAAATTTAAAGGAATCTAGACCCGGATCGAACATTCAATGGCCAAGTCTAGACTCAAGATCGAGGTCTGAATCGTTCGCATAATGTCCAGAACGATTCCAACGAGGCTTATTTCACCCGGGTGAAAGGATTTTTCCCCACGACCGGGATCAGCTCTGGGGCCGAAGAACGACAACTCACATACATAGTGATTAGCAGCACGAGATCAGTCAAGTTGTGATCGCTTGACATCAGAATGGCCATGACTGCCTAGATCCTTTGAGCTACGTGTTCGTTGTTTACTAGGAGATGTTGTCGAAGACTTAAATACCCCGAAGAACCGTCGATCTAGGATCTTCCCTTCTCCTCTCTTTCAAATACCTGTTTTTACTCTTCCAAGTCATTCTGATTTGTTCAATTTAATTCCTATGGGACTTCCTTCAAGGGAATCCCTTCATACTGCTATGCGAGTACCAAAGGACCACTTCAGGAACGGCCCGTTCCGATATGTTCCAGGTTCCACATATCTTTCTCCCTTCGAGAACATCTCCCCTTACAACGATCCTTTTTCTTTCTTTCAGGCCCCACTGCCACCTACCGTTACTCCTCTACCTCCTCCCTATACACCGACTTATTGCTATCCAAGTAATAACCCTCCCATGACGGAATTCAAAGATAACTATGAAGGACCACGAAGAAACTCCCACGAGTCTCTAGAGTCTCGTAACTCTGAATACCAGCCGGCAAATACAAGCTTCTCCTCACAAACACATGGGAAAGACGAGGTGGAAAGACCTCAATCACCAAACAACGAACAAAACCACAAGTATAAGAATCTCCATCGAGGCCGCGAATGCAAAAAGATGTATGAAACACTGCCCATATGTCAAGTATATGGGGTACCATTTTGACCATTCCATTCTATCGAGATAGTGATCCATGTGGGCCATTTGAATGCAAGTGGAAAGATTGTCGATATCCCGGTCTTTTCGCTCGTAAGGCTGTGCTGATGCGTCATATTGAGACTCAACATGTTACGCCGAGGTCATTTGAGTGTCCTGATAAGTTGTGTGATCGATCGTTTAATAGGAAGGACAATATGGAAGAACATTGGAGACGTGTTCATTAGTATTTGATATCCATGGATGTGATGACGATGCGAGTATGTCTTTCTTTAGGTTTCTGTTTGAGTTTCTTTCAACGCTCGTTTTTATATGGATTCCCACTATTGTTATTGTCGGTGTTGATGTCGATTTTATTCTGGTGATTTGACTGATTTCTGTCTTGAGATACCACTATCGTTTAGAAATTTTTTTTTACTGAGTACTTTACAAGGAACTTCGGAATGGGTTTAGAAGACTAGATGTGTTTCGTTAAAAGCCTAAGTATCAAAATGTATCATTACAAAATAGCTCGCTAGGAGAAAACCTTGGAAGAACCAATGCAAACGCTTCAATCATGCCCGGGATAGCTCATTTGCTACCCTTCGCCACGCCCTGCAAATACCCAAGTAGGAACGCCTTGTTGTTAGGCGATGCAATGCGATTGGGAACCATGTCACCTTCCGAAGGGGTGCCACGGCGCGAGAGCGACTCCCCGCTGCTAGGGAATCGACGAGACGACATGGGGCTGACATACCCTGAGGCTGCAGAAGGTTGGGCCATACCAGGGTCCTGCTGCGCCTCGACGGATGCAGGGGATGGCGATGCCGGCGATTTGCCAAACAGGGACAAGAGCGCCTCCTTTTGGGCATGAGTTTGGCTCGGACGGCGGTCAAAGTTGGTCGGTGGGCTCAGATCCGTCGCAGGCACCTGAGCTGGTGCGCCTGAACCACCCGCTGCCATCAGCCCTTCATAGTCCGCCTTTTCAGAGCGTCGCAAAATCTGGGGTTGGAAAGGCTTGACTGGCTCAGGAGCTTGTGGCTGCTGGACGAGAGGTTGGTGCGGAGCCTGAGGTACAGGCATCAGCGGCATGGTCACATTGCGCTTGGCAGACTGGGGTCTTGGCAGGATCGTTATGGGCGAGGAGAGCGACTGAGGCTGTTGTTGTTCTCGCCAGGTTGCATTCTTTCTGTTCTGTCCATTCAGACCTTTCTTGGGTCCAGGCTTGGTAATCACCTCGAACTGTGGCATGTTCAAAGGGCCAGATACGGTAGCTGATGTTTGACCTGGTCTTGCTGCGTTGGAAGCACGTGGTGATTGATGGTTTCGCTGCTGTGAGCCTCGCTGGAGGATCTGGATTTCCACAGGTGCAGGTGCAGATGAGACTGGCACAGGGTTACCAGACAGCTCCACAGCTTGCGGTATAGAAGCCGGCGGGGTTTGCTGTGCTTTGAAGAGGTTCAACAGGCTATCTTGATGCTGCGACGTCTTACGCGGCTGCTGATGAGCCTGCGCTGGAGCGGCGACATTAGCAGCAACGTATGGGCTGCTTGGAGACCGAGAAGTATCGCCCTTGAAGAAGCCCAGCAATGCGAGAGAATGGCTGTTGAGCTTTGGTGGAGGAAGTCTGCTCGCCGGTGGCACAATCGCTCCCGCAGCTTGAGGTGGCAGGGCCTGCTGTGAGAACTGAGGATCCCCTGTTTGCTGGAACGGAGCTGGTCCCTGACTCTGGAGACCCAGGTGATTCGCTTGAGGCGCAGAACGATAGTCATGGTAGCCAGCTGAGTGCGCCTGGGGAACTTGTTGCACCGCAGGGGAAGCCGAAAGCTCCAGCTGATGCGTGAGGGGGAATGAGGAATGTTGGTATGAGTTCGTAGAAGGATGCATAGTTGCATTCTGTGGGCCATTGTTCATGGGCTGTGCGGATGTCTGCTGCATGAAGTTCGATAGAGGCATATGCTGACGTTGTTGGGGGAAACCAGGGAAGAAATTAGGTGCCAAATGAGGTGCTTCGGCCATGGGAAGTGCACTTGGGGGCGCAGTCACCGCAGTCACACCAGGAGATCGAGGAATGGCGTCTTGAGAGCCCTGTCGCAATAATGCAAGCAATGCATTCGATTTTGACTGGTCTACCGCATTCGGCTGAGCTGGTTGGGCAGGCTGCACAGATTCGGGGGTTGGCACAGCTCCTCCAATATTCAACAGGCGCTTAAGGTGAGATGACACATCTGGACCGGAAGTCACCTCAGGCAGATCACTTGGAAGAGCCTGTTCCATGCTTGAGCTGTTGATGTGGAGTTCGTTTCCATCTGGTGAGACATAACCTCCGTTGGCAGTAGCGCCCTGAACATGAGAACCGACTCTCTTCTGCTGCGCAATCCATTTCTTGAGCTGGTTCAAGAACGGCGCTACCATGTAGAACTTGTTCGCATTGGCCACGGCCAGTCCTTCGTCCTGTTTGTTCTTCTTCAACGTAGGCAGGTCGGATAGCTTGTACCATTCGATCTTGCTGATCTCCTTGCGGGTTCGGGGCTCAAAGTGAGTGTCGCGGGAAACGCCACGAAAGACGTAGAGTCTCATATGCTGTTCGCGCATAGAGATCTCAATGTATTTGACGTCCTCATCTTCTGGCACTAAATTGGCGGCGCGCACATCAAAACCGGTTTCTTCGTAAACTTCGCGGATAGCACAATCCAGATCTTTCTCGCCCTTATTGATCTTGCCTCGTGGAAAGCTCCAGTTGGCATTCTTCTTCCAGCCCTTAACCAAAACAACCTCATCCATATCCTGGTTCAACAAGATTGCGCCCCGAACGGGAACGCGAGTCTTGTAGGCCAAGAACTCTGAGAAGGCAGTGATATGATGGTAGTGGGACCATTGCGACATAAGAGGGCAGTGTTGGAAAATGCGGAGAGCAAACGCTCTTAGAGAGAGAGATGGGAGTGCGGGGTCAAGCGGGCGAATGAAATCCTCGTAAAACCATTGTGCTTCTTCGACTTGGAAACAGATTCGTTCGACAGATTCGAGCTCTTCGCGGGGTAGGTTGATGATGAAGCGGACACATAAGTCATCCAGCCCTGGTCGCACAGAGGTAAACACAGGTTAGCTTCAGAAAATTCACACATGATAGATAGCAGAGATAACTTACAGTCTTCCAGTTGCATCTTTGTTTCGGTCATACTGGGCAACGAAGCTTAGCATCTCAGAGCACTCAACCGAAATGAGGTGTTTTTCTTGGGTCGCAAATGCGACAGCGCGTTGACACAAGCAAAAGACTAGTAGGCAAATGACTCCAGGGGATAGGGAATAGGAAAAGATATCTCAAAAGGTGTAGACAGCTGCAATAATAGCAAGAAACCAGGTTGACCGAGATGGAGCTTCTCAGGTAGGGAGCGGAATTGGAACTGCGAGCGGAGCGGCCCAAGTGATGAGCTTCCCGTAGGCGGTCAGGCATCGCGGGGATTCTGCCTTAATGAAGTACACCTTCAATATGTTAAGTATCCACTTCCATGCTTCAGGGAGGTAACAAAGGGATTCAATTGATAAAGATAGTTGATAAACAATATGTAGGTAATCATTGGTGTAAAATAGCATAAAGAGAATCTCAAATGTTGACGCCTTCCAGCCTTAATTGAAAAAAAAACTCAATGATCTACCACGTTAATAAAAAACAGTTTCAAGTTTATTATGTCACCTGGGAGTACATTTAACATTTGAACAGAGTGAAGTGCTTGTTTAAATAGTATTATACATAGATAAATTATCATAATCTTTGAGTGATCTCAGTCTGTATATTAAATGCTTTCTGTATATAAAAGTGGTCATGTGTAGTGTGATTGGCAGTAGATTTCTAGTATCATAAACTTGAAGACGCAGTACATGGCCAGTCAGATACCTTCACAGTGATAAGTTCTCATGTTTCAGACTGCACGAACATGATAAAAGTTGCTGATCAAGTTTACAAGATAATAACCGTAGTAGGTCAATTATGTAGTGATGTAAAAATTGAAAGAGTTTGCTAGGTGAGGTGGGTAACAAAGACCGTGACGCTTCAGTGCTGTACATACATTAATAAGGACTATTTACTCCTCTCATTGAAGGTTTAGATTATGCACATATGTAGACTTCCTCTTTGCAACTCTACCAGGTACCAAGGTATGCTATTATGTATGGGCCATGTAGTATCTAGTTCTTATACACTCAGTCTGAGGAGTAGTTAACGTTATATGACATTTGCAGCCTGATAAATCTGGCAAAATATTAGTATGCGACGTCACATACCCCTTGCACCGCCACAGTAATGGACCCAGCTGAGCCACAACATTTCAACCCCGTACATCTGCACCGCCACAGATCGGCGTGGGTGCCAGGATTCGCAAATAAAGACTGGAGAATGACGTTGCCAGCGCCCAAATCTGCCAATTTCAACCCTGTTGTTTGTTGCATCTTTCTCCCTTTCTTTCTTTTTTTCTCTCCACTGTTCTCTCTCATTCAAAACAGTCGAAAGACATCGTGGCGCCTATCAAAACTGATACTCCTGTGTCCAACTGAAGAATGGTTTCAGAGTGTTTTCTATTTTAAGACCCCTTGAAAGACTATATCTAGCTCCAAACCCGAGCTTGTCGCAACAAAAAACTTTTTCTTCAAAGGGGTAGACATTCAAATACCTACCATCAACATGTCGAACGCATTATTTTCCTTCGTCAGTAAGCGCGTGCTTGGCGAAACCGCGAAGAATCGCTTTGGAATGGAGGTGAGTAGAGCAGTCATTTTACAAGTTCTTGAGAACAGGAATAAAGCTAATCAATTTATAATTATCTAGGATCCCTATTTTGAAGAGGTACCTGCTTCTCGGCTCGGTCGCACATTTGGCAAGAAGAAGCAAAAGCGCCGCAAGGCTATTCCTCCAGGACTGTCTGAACACGATGCCAAGGTTCTCACCAAAGTCAAGCGCCGAGCATATCGTCTGGACTACTCCTTGTTCAATCTCTGTGGTATTCGATTCGGCTGGGGCAGTGTTATTGGCCTTGTTCCATTGTAAGTATACCACCACAAACCTCAACAATTCAAGCTCAAGCTAACCGTCTTGACAGCATCGGAGACGCCGGAGACGCCGCTCTCGCCATGATGGTTGTCAGATCGTGTGATGGAATCGAAGGTGGACTCCCTTCGCGGCTGCGATGGATGATGATGATGAACGTGGTCATTGACTTCGTCATTGGACTGGTGCCTTTCATCGGTGACCTCGCAGATGCGATTTACAAGTGCAACACGAGAAATGCTGTCCTCCTTGAGAAACATCTGCGCGAAAAGGGCGCAAAGTCTCTGTCTAGGCGAAATAGTTCGAGAAGAAGCAGTTCAGCCAGACGACACGAACGGGGCTCGCGACGGGAACAGCGCGTAATCGATCACAGTCTTCCAGATGAATTCGATAAACAGGAACAGGAGAGTGGTGTGGTGAACAGCTCCCCGCCAACATATTATGACGAGCATGGTTCTGCCGGGCATAGAAACACCGAGGACGCTCATCCAACCAGACCTCCTCCTACTAAACAAGCCCGGCCCAACCGATCTGTCACCAGATGGTTTGGTGGAGCGAGTCATCCGCAGGAAGACCCAGAGCGTGGACTCTGAAGGTGGACTCTGAAGGACGAAAAGAAACCCATCTCACGATTCCAGATACCCCGTTTATGATTGAGGATTTAACTTCGGAAAATTGCAAGCATGATTTTCTTTTTCTTTTGTCGCCCTCTTCTCCATGTTACTTGAATGGCATCTTTTGTACCGCATATTTTCATAGTCGTTTTAATTAAGAACGGTGTCAGGACGAGATCTCATGCAGCCGTAGCAAAATCGAGGGTTCTCAGTAGCGAATTGACCAGTAACCGTTATCCCATCTTCATTGCCCCTGACGTTCTCGACCAAACCACCACATAATGCACAGAGGTTACCATCGCCATGCTCTGAAGTAGAGTGAAGCTTGTGTGCAGTCCTCGACACATTTGCCATGACGCCAGGATACTTTTCGCCCTGGGTAGTCACGTACCGCAGCATAAGCTCATCAATAGACAGGTTCTTGGTGAGGATGTTATCCGAGAGCGGTCTATCAGGAATGACGACTTCGGAAAGTTCAGGGCAGACTGACACATAGCTCAATAGCTCCGGTTTAGATAAGTCACGGCAAGGGAAATCAAACGTCACGCCCCAAGGAGACATTCCATCCGAAACCTGCCAAGTCAAAGAGGCTCCACGGCCTTTAGCAGCACCAGCGAGAACCTTTGCTGCAAGGCTAGTATCTGAGTCACCCCACAGAATTGACTCGCATGCAGTATGTTTCGCATAGCCAACGGCCAGACGGGTGAACAAAACGGTATCAAGGTCGGCCTTTGACGTTGCAGAGGAAACGGCGCCACGGAACGCAGCCAGACGTTCTTCATTAGACTTGGCATCATCGTCAATGAATTGAGGTCCAGCATAATTGCGCATGAGCTCGGCCATATCAGGAACATATTCGAATATACTGTCCAGTGGTACCCGTTTGAAGCTGTGATTGGGGAAAGCCTCCCGAACTTTATCAAACTGTGTATCGCAAGAAGCTTGATCTGATGATATAGTCGATGGTTCAACAACCATAATCTCGAGTACATAGCTTGTTCTGGAGGTTTTAGCGAGCTGGCGTGCCAATGCTTTGTCTAACATGTGTAACAGAACAGAAGAGGAGGCTCCGAGGGAGAGTGGAAGCAATAGTCGAGCCGTTGGAACTGATGATTTAGCTAGATCTTTTGGCCCTCTGTACTTTTCCATGCGTCGCACAACCTTGTAATTTAGGAACCGCTGGTAACATGGGCTTTTTTTTAAAGCGTTAGCAATTTGAAGGTGGGGGTTTAGTATAGTGTAAATTCACATACCCACAAAGTGACCTAGAACGAGTAGTCACAGCGGCCTCTGCATTGTTGCATTCCATACAAGGAAGAGCCATCTCTTTAGCTGGCATATTGCAGGAGAAAGAGTGAAATAATTGGAGGATAAGAAAAAGTAGAAGCGCGAACAAAAAAAGAGAAAACGGGATGTATGGATGTGGCGGTGCCTGCTGGGCTTAAGTAATCCCTCACGCAGTTCCCCGGGTTGAGAAGGCCACCAAGTGAGCTCGACTTCGACGATTCCGATCACCGGAGCTTGATCTGTATTCACCTTTAAAAGGCTCGCGATCTACTCTCACATCGAAGTCTCCGTATTCTACACGGCTTGGATGCGTGGTTCTGTTTGATACCTCTCTTTGAATCCTGGAGCTACTTCCGTTGCCCGATCGTGATGAAGAGCTGGCTTCGAACACTGGGCCTAACGGCCTTGCTGGCAGGCTCTGTGCTTGCCAATGACGTGGAACTGGTGAGTTTTTATGGTCACTCCTTTTCTATTGATATGTTTAGTTACTCTGACTGATGCTGCACTGTCTAGAAATCCGATGAGGCGCATCGACAACGCTGTTCAGGGATGTACAGCCGGAAATCCTGGGGAGGCACGGTAGACCCTTTCATCCTAGTGAAGTTTTCTAAGGCGGAAGGGGCGCAGAACGATCCTCTGGCAAGTTTGGTTATATTTGAATGGAACGACGAAGGATTGATTGGCGAGTACCGAGAAGGAGCCGACCCAACGACTGATGTGAAGGAAACTATCTGCGACCAAAGCAATGTGGATGCCAAACTGTGTACTAAAGAACAGATCGGCTCGTTTCTTCTCACCAGCAATGCAAGTGACGCCTCCCAGAACCCTATCATCTCGACGACTATCCACCTTGACAACCCAGACGCTGTGAACTACCCCGTGCGTAAGACCGGCTTCTACTGTGTCAGCACATACGCATACTCGGATGAACCTTACACTGCCGTGGTCACCTTCCGCAACTCGTACGGTGAACTTCCTGCCGCACAAATTGCCAAGCTTCCTTTCTATGGTGCCTTGACAATCGTCTATGCTGTCGTTGGTGTGTTCTGGGCGTTCCTCTATGTGCAGAACCGACACGACATTCTGCCCGTCCAGAACTATATTACAGCCATCGTGGTATTCCTGATTGTTGAGCAATTGATGACTTGGGGATTTTACAACTACCAAAATATCCATGGTTTGAATGCTGGAGCGAAGGCATTGATGATAATTGTTGCTGTTCTGAATGCTGGCCGAAATGCCTTCTCATTCTTCCTCCTGCTCATTGTCTGTATGGGCTATGGTGTTGTGAAGCCCTCGCTCGGTCGGACGATGATCTACGTTCGCATTCTGGCAATCGCCCACTTCGTCTTCGCCGTTGTCTACTCGGTCGCTAGTCTGACTGTCACACCCGACAGCGCTGGACCTCTCGTGCTTCTGATCGTTCTGCCTCTCGCTGGAACATTGACTGCCTTCTATGTCTGGACCTTGAACTCTCTCAACGCTACTATGAAGGATCTCATCGACCGCAAACAGAAGACCAAGGCACTGATGTACAAGAAGCTTTGGTGGTGCATTCTTGGAAGCATCATCGTCATTTTCGGCTTCTTCTTCATCAACTCTTTCGCATTTGCTGGTCGTAGCGACGCGAGCTTTGTCCCTGAGCACTGGAAGGCGCGGTGGTTCGTGCTGGATGGTTGGCTCAACCTGGTTTACTTCTTTGACATCTGCTTCGTGGCGTACCTGTGGCGCCCAACTGCCAACAACCGCCGCTTCGCCATGAGTGACGAGGTAAGATCAAACACTCTGTTAATTTCAGATAAAGATCACATACTGACCATATATACAGCTTGCTCAAGATGACGATGGCTTTGAGATCCGTTCTTTCGGCAGTGGTCTTGACGAGGAAGACCCTCTGGACGCTCCTCCCGAGTACCCTGGTAGCTCAGCTGCCGAAGGCCGCCGCGACCTTTCTCCAATTCCACCGAAGCCCGTTTCCTCGGCTCAACGCCCATCTCTTGATGAAGAAACGATTTTCGCTGTAGGCGACGAGGACAAGTGGTCTGATGATGATGAGTCCCCTCGTAACTCAGGCGAGCATCAAAGACTCACCCACTAGATTTTAAAGTTGGAAATTTGCAACTAATTCCGAGTCTCCCGCCTTCGGCTTAGCTGTCCTTGGTCGGTACTGATGAAGTGACTTGGCGTTTGGATTAAGCTACTTATTCCCATCTGCAGAGTTGCTCTAAGATTACAAGCATGTCACGGCGTTGGTTTCACTTTATTCAATTCCTTCTTTATTTGTGTTAGTGCCGGATATTTATTCTCCATGGCTTGTGTATCTTGATGTCTAAAGTATATTCTGAGCAGCTCGCCAATTGGCAGCGATTTATCTCAAATTCAATAAGAAAATCATCCAATCTTAACTACGGAGTAGTAACCATCTTTATATCAGATCCAAACCTACTAAACAATATACCGAATCCGTCAGAAGCTCATCGAACGAGTGGGGACTTGAACTAGGTTCCTGAGTCATACTAGTAAAGAGCCTCAGGCGGCTCCAAGATAGGTTTAAAGCTTCCAAGGTTCCAGTCGAACCTGCCTTGTATAGACACTTCTAAACTTGAAGTTCAACTTGCATTTCATCTGAGGTGCTTCAATCTTTTCTTTGTCTCAGTCTTGAGTCACCAATTACCGCTCGGGAATACCTAATCAGCCTTTTTCTTTGTCTACATCTCTGGGCTTTGTATGGAAATATCATCCGTATCAGCCCCACATCGAAAATCGTATCCGCGGGGACTCCAACACAACGCTTGCGAATACCCTCTTTCTAACAAAGCAGGAATTAAACTCCTAAGAACCCTGAGCCTTGCTTCCTCGCGGCAGATAATATATACTTGGGTATAAAAGCCCTCGGTCACTGCTCTACCTCCCCTCAACTGCTCAATCTCATATGTCAACCCCGCGTTGCACCCGCAATCGATTCCGAACAATGACACACGACCCAAGCTCCGAGTGCTCAATCCCCTCGCACGATAAGGCATCCACAAAAGTTTCTGCTCGACTTCATCAACAATGCGTTGACCTCCTCACTGAAGTGGACGCATTCCAGTCCCTTCTTAAATCAAACCTACGCAATCCGCAGCTCGTCGAGGTGCGCCAGTTCCGCTCGAATGTGAACTCCGAGTTGAAAATGCTTCAGAAATTAGAGCAGAAGATTACGGTGCAGATACGGAATTCTCAACGGATTCCTGAAGAGAAGGGGTTGGAAACTGATAATGAGGAACAATCGAATGGGGAATTGAGTTCGAGTCGGCAGATTGGTGCTGATGGTAATTCGAATGATGTCAATACCGAGATCGAGATGCGATTAGTTCATGCATTGCGCTCATCGAATATGCCATTTTATCAGGCGGTTTGGGATATTGCAAGGAACTCCTGTGAAGGGTTACTTGCTATGGGTAAAAGGTTCTATTGGGATCTTGAACTTGAGACCAATCGTGCTGGAAAGGGGAGCGGAGGTGGAAATAAGCAAGCTAATAAAGATAAACGCAAGAGCGTGTTTGTGGATATTGTTGCTGCTGATGGAGCGGAGTGGGTAAAAGTATCTACTATTTCGGAGAGTAGATTGCTCTTTGAAATGGCGAAGAAAGGATGGGAGGCGGAAAGTGAAGATGATTTCTCTGATTCTGAGGGCGTGAGACCTGCGCAAAGGACGATACTACGGAATTTTGATGGGGAAGACCCTGGAGAACATGATGATGACGATGAAATGGAGTTGATTAAATTAGCTCGGGATCTAAGGAAGGCAGCCGACGCAACACGAGTGAGGTATAAGCATCCTCGAGTACGGCTTGTACTACCCAAGATCGGAGAAGGTAGTCTTCCTGAGATTGATGATATACTCGCTGAGTTGAGAAGCTATGGTATTCAAGTCGAGTGTCAAACGAATCTGACGCCCAGGCAAGGTAAATCGGATTTGACTCGACTTCTGCCTCAGCCCTTCAAGAACTTCACACCTACCCTGAATGTCGATTGTACATTGTTGCTTGCCATGGTCTCAGATCTATCCCATATCAAGGACATCACCATCTTGCCCAGTTTCCATAGAGCTATTGTGCGGCAGATAGAGGTGGAGAAGGATATGCCCTTGCTTCCAAGGGAATTGTGGCCATCAATGGGTTCTCATGAGCTTATCTGCGCCAGCGAGGCAGCTGTACGAATGCGTGAAATCGTGGAGCTCATCGGGACTAGCACAGAGAAAGCTCGGATGGAGATTCTGATGGAGAGCCCAGGTAGCCATGGTGTGGATCGCAAAACTCTCATCGAACAATTCCAGGTCTTATCTGATCATACTGTCCCTACAGACTGGGCCATCCCGGTCAAGATTGTGGATGCACAGCCTGAAATCGAGAGTTGTCTTGCGGAGAGGAAACTTCCCTCGGTTGCCGATGATGTTGCAGAAGGATTATCTGATATCAACTATAGCGTTTTCATGTATGGATGGGTCACGAATATGACAACCATAACAAGCAACCGGACTATCGATAAGCAGATCGAGATTACGATTGAGAAGAACCGCAAAGACGATGAGAGTATTGAGGGTCCTGATGTTTGGGTCTGCGATACGGCACGCAGTTTGGTTGGTAAAGACAAGGGTCGGAAAGATTGAGAATAGAAGTTTTGTTCAGTGCATGATATAAAGAAAAAAACATGGATCCATGTGTATGATGTTCGTTTTACTTTATTTTCTACTTTTGACAGATAGAAAATTGGATATAGAGGGTACATTTGAAAGAAGACTTGAAGAGGATTGCAACGTTATAACTGGGTATCTGTGTCTTGCATCGTATGGTTCAAATTTGAAAGAGAGAAAAAAAGATATGTGTCTCATGAAGTTGTGAATCAGGCGCACTGATTTGGTGGTTTGGTATCAATGCATTAGTTTTCTGGCCTAGTAGGATCCTCAGGAAGCCAGAAAACAGTCTCTCGATCGGCACTAGCGATCATATTAAAGCGAGGATTGTACGAGATAAGAGCGGTGCGGGTTCGAGTTTGGAGAGTGGTTATGGGGTAGAGTAGGAGATTGGCGTCACGGGGCTGCTCTAGATCCCACAAAAGGACATCATGACCTTCTCCATTACCACCAATCACGAATCGGCCATCGGGTGTGAAGCTAGCATCACCCTGACCACGAGGTTTTCCTGTTGTGGAGAGAGGGGAAGCACGGCCAGCCGAACCATTCTTGCCAGTCAAGAAAGCCTTAATGCAACCATCAAAGGCATCCAAAACAAAGTGCCCATGGTAATCCGTGGTCAGCATAAGATATTTCCCATCGTTGGAAAATTCAAGGCTAGTCCAGGCGCGTCCACGAGTGTTTGGGGTATAGGTTTCCTCATAAGGCTTCAAGTCAAAGCTTGAAAATGGAGCCTTGTCATAGTTGCGGAAATCATAGAGGAGGACTGATGAGGTAGATTGTGAGGCGATAGCAAGGACTGAGGCGGATGGGTCAAATGCAACTAAGTATGGCGTTGCGAGGTTCAGTTTGCCCTGAGCGCTACGCGATTTCAGGTCCCAGACCGTGACCGTGTCGTCTTTGCTGGCAGAAACGAAAGCATCATTTGCTGGAGACATAGCCAGATCGGTCACAGTATCGGTATGACCACTAAAGTATCGTAAATAGCTTTCATTATGAAGATCCAGCAATCGCAGGCTATCATCAAGCTTAGTACTGGCATGAAGAAGCTGGCGCGGATGGTGGGTGAATCGGGCGAGGTGGACACCATATTTCTTGCTAGGGACGGTCTTTGTCATCTTGCCCTCTTTAATATTGAAAATCTGAATGGTATCATCGTCGCAGCTAGCTGCCAGGTATTCGCCCTGGTCGTCGAAGTCGAATGAGGTCACATAGGCATCTGACTTGGACGTTTTGAAAGACTGAGAATAACATGAAATAATGAGTAAACAGTTCGCGCGGTGGCTGATGAAGGTTTCAGTTTCAATTTACCTTCCTCGCAGTGTAAGTGCGAATAACTTCAACCAGTGGCTGAGTCTGTGGCTCTTGCGTCGCTGACTGGGAGGTCTGAGCTGCCAGAGCTGGCTGGAACTGCGATGGGGACTCGTCCATAGTGAAAATTAGGTAGGGTGAGGGATAGAAAGTGAGGGCTGATGATGGATGAATGAGAGGAGAGAAGGAAATCAAAGAAGAGTCGAGGGCGGCAGGGGGACCATAGTCAACCAATCAATCAAGATCCGTTTCTTTCTTTTATAGGATGGGTTTTGTCTGGCTTTGAGAGCAAGTAAAGAGCTCCCCACGCGCTACCATCATGGCCGCTTTGCTTTTTCTGCCGTCATTTTTTGGAGTCAAATTGGTCACGTGTCAATCACATCTTCACCGCCAAATTATCCTTGTTCTTTCCTTTTTTGGAATGAATGGGCATCGGATTAATCGGATTAATATTCCATCCGATATTCACCGCCTCCTGTCATCGGAGTTCGTTGACCGAGGAATCCAATCAAAACCGGTGGATTTGGGAGTCTAGCCGGAGTCCATCAGTAACCGCAAGTAAGCTTTTAGGTACATTTGACTCCCAAATCACATATCTGCTGCCCCCGGACGCCTTATTTCTGTTGATTAGCGTCAGCTAGGATCTGATCACTGGGCTCATTAACCTCCAGACCCTAAAGATCTCTCCATTCCCTCACCAAATACCTCATTTCGGTACTCTCGGTGCTACTCGGTTGCCACTCCGATCGCGGTTCAGTTGCCGACTCGACCAACTCAATCTGTGTGTCGTGATACATTCCCAATCCAGGCACCATGTCAACAACTACAGGGTATAGTGTCATTATGTTATATCTGGCTGCCGAGAGATCTTGCGCTAATGATTATATGGTTATTTAGAGCATTCCTCGCCGGAGGTATCGCTGCTTGCGGTGCCGTCACTGTTACTCATAGTTTCGAGACCGTGAAGATTCGCCTGCAACTTCAGGGTGAATTGCAAACGAAGACAGAAGCTGTCAAGAAGTACAATGGTGTCTTACATGGTGTCAAGGTCATCCTCCAAAATGAGGGTCCGCGGGGTTTGTTCAGAGGAATCGGGTCTGCCGTATGTATTATCTTAAGACGGTTTGGGATTAAAGTCGCTTCGAGGATATTCATGAAACTAATTCCTTCCCCGAATTGATCTAGTACATCTACCAGGTTCTGTTGAATGGTTGCCGTCTAGGCTTTTACGAGCCTATTCGCTCCAATGCTACATCCGCTATCTACAAAGACTCAAATGTCCAGTCTCTCGGCGTTAACGTCTTCGCCGGTGCGGTCTCTGGTGTAATTGGTGCTGCTGCTGGGTCTCCCTTTTTCTTGGTGAAGACTCGTCTTCAATCATTTTCACCTTTCCTTCCCGTCGGTACCCAACATAACTACAAGAACTCATTTGATGGTCTAAGCAAAATCTACCAGGGCGAGGGTGTTAAGGGTATCTATCGCGGTGTTGGCGCTGCTATGCTCCGTACTTCATTCGGAAGTGCTGTCCAGCTTCCCACATACTTCTTTGCTAAGCGTCGTTTGACCCGTCACTTGGGCATGGAAGAGGGCCCTGGTCTTCATCTCGCAAGTAGCGCCGTGTCTGGTTTCGTCGTTTGCTGTTTCATGCACCCACCTGGTAAGTTATCTGTCAACACTAACGAAAGTATTACCATCATAGCTAACGCTTCTTCATAGACACTATCATGGCTCGTATGTACAACCAGACCGGTAACCTTTATGGTGGTGCCTTGGACTGTCTTCTCAAGACTGTCCGAAAGGAGGGTGTGTTGGCCATCTACAAGGGCTTCTTCGCCCATTTGGCCCGTATTCTTCCTCACACAGTAAGTCCTTTGCGGTCCGAGATCAAATCAACTTCAAGCTAACGACGTATCTAGATCATCACCCTCAGCTTAGCTGAGCAGACCAACAAGCTTATGCGCCGCGTAGAGGACCGAATTCTTCCTGACTCCCTGCGCGGAAAGATCTAAGCTGCTCCGAACAGTGTATAGAAATAGTTCTTTTTTGACTTTTACTGATTCCCTTTTTGGTTCTCTTCGTTTCAGATATACCGGTTGCATTCGAAAGCGGTATTTGATTTGTGTGATCGTGGGTATTATTTCAGATAAATCGGGCGTTTAGAGGGGGTGTCCCCAAGTGTTAGAGATGTTGTACATAGCCATGTACAGAGGGAAATTCTAGACATTAAAAGATCATTCACCTTTCCATAGAATACGCTACGTATATGAGTCTCGTAGCAGGGAATATACCCCACAGATGAGGTGATCTTTGTTGAGATATCATGTAGCTTCTTGGCGAAAATGCGGTTATTGGCGGCCTGTTTGGAGTCTACTCCGGGCTTCAGACTCACCGGATCCATGGGTACTTGGAGCAGGTTTGCGACGACAAATTGGTCGATGGCAGCGACAGGCAGCTAGACATTGAAAGGAGCTTTAGCTGTGCTGAGGATGCAAGTGAAAGTAACATTGGAGTAGTGTCATCTTGATAAGGTAGGGGGATGTACCCATGTTTGACGTCAGTACTCCGTATTGATCTTGCAATGCTCACAAATCAATCAAAGTTGCCCATGTGTTCGGACAGTCTCACCGGGGAAACCATCCGGGAGAACGACCATTTTGCCACGGTCAAGGGCCGAATATTTCACCACTCGACTTGTTATTTGGAAAAAGCAACCTGTATTTAGGGTTGGCGCCCTGTCAAACACCAGCAATGTGCCAGAAAAGTGTCTATGGTGGGGCTCACATTCGAGATATCGGGGTTGCCTAAGCACCAAGGCTGGTGGAGACAAGGGATGGGTACCTGAGCAATACGGATGGTGAACTCCGTATCTCCGGACATGTCCCTGAAACAATGAACCCTGTTCGGCCGACGCGAGATCCAACACGCGAGCTGGTCGATCGGCACATTCTTCGACGCGCTGAAACCCCACTCTCAGAACCTTCTGTATGGGGTTAAAGTCCTTCATTCCTTGTTTGAGATCTGGCAGCTTGCATGATTCTAGCGGGGACATGTCTTCTGCTGTGAGCTAGCGACTAAACGAGAATTGTAAAGCTAGCCGGTACTCCGTACTCCGTATTGACGCAGTCATGGTGGCTGGGGCTGGAGTGCCCAGGTGGAGAGCTGCGAAGCTCTTTCTGGGGACTTGAATCCAGCTGGAGCCAGACGCGACGGAAGGTCCATCCTTGCAAATTTTCGACCAATTCTGACGGAGCATGGCTGTTCTAGAGCACCTATCCGGTCCGTATTTCCGAATTGTGGTGCTCGTCGCGTCCTGCGCGTGGCCGATCTTCTGGCTTATCAGATGGTGATTCATCATCTCACTGGCCCACCGGCCCCCAGTGGGGTCTCCGTTACGTCGAGCTGAAAATTTTAGCAAAAACGCGTGAAAACGGGGCTGCGCGTGATTATTGACGCTCGGACTTTTCTGATAATTTTGGACTGAGGTTTCAAGAACTTGGTGTCTGAAGAGAATGGAAGAATATAGAGTTAGAGTTATGGTTGTAAATGTACTAGGAAAGTTACTACAGGGTCTAACCAAAATAATATGTTATATAAGCTGGAATGGAATCGGTATTTTTTTCAATTAATCTGGTTGAGGGGGCTACGAGAGGCACGGCCATGGATCGACTCCCCTAGCGTCGGAAGCAGGTGGAAAAGCAGTGGCATGAACATTTCTGTTATGTTTTACTCAATTTGTGGTGGACGCGCCTTGCTTTAGTTTATGTCAGGTCCACTCGTGGACCAATTAAAGTCGCGGTTCCAAGTTTGGCGTAGTCTCAGTCACGTAAAGTCACGTAGTCACGTGTTACGTGATTTGGGTCGGACGCGCTAAAAGATTCACGTCCGCCAAACTACTTAATTGATTCTTTTCCCCTCCCACCTTCCACTCTTTCTTCACTCCAAACCACCTGATTTTCATCTTATCTGGTCTATCGGTCTTGCAATTCATCTTCCTTGCACAAGCAATTGACTTTGACACATTTTCAATGGCTGCCCAGCTCACTCCCTCAAAGCAGGTGAGTGATGTCACGACTCTCGCCTCTCGTGTTCCACGCGCGTCTGAGCCACCACATACTAACTCTTATCCTTCTGTGCAGGCTGCTTCCTCTCTCGAGAACCTCAAGATGAGCGACTCCCCCGTTAAGAAGCTCGACTTCACCTCCGCTGGCAAGGAGAACGGCATCGCGTCCGTCAAGCCTGTCGACGCGTCAACCGAGAAGCCCACCGAGAAGGCCGTTGTTGAGGCTCCCAAGGTTGCGGCTGGTATCAAGGCCGCCGAAGCCAACGAGCCCCTCCTGCAGGAGAACCCCCACCGCTTCGTTCTGTTCCCTATTAAGTACCACGAGGTAAGTCGCGTCTCTCGCGTGTTCACGCGTAAAACGGGTGGCGTGTGGGGCCAAAGACCCCCAGCATGCTATCTTGACAGGAACACATGGCTAATTTGATGTCGATCAATAGATTTGGCACATGTACAAGAAGGCCGAGGCCTCTTTCTGGACCGCTGAGGAGATTGATCTCTCCAAGGATCTGCACGACTGGCACAACCGCCTGAACGACGACGAGCGTTACTTCATCTCTCACGTCCTTGCTTTCTTCGCTGCTTCCGATGGCATTGTCAACGAGAACCTACTTGAGCGTTTCAGTGGAGAGGTTCAGGTTCCTGAGGCTCGCTGCTTCTACGGTTTCCAGATCATGATGGAGAACATCCACTCCGAGACCTACTCCCTGCTTATTGATACCTACATTAAGGAGCCCAAGCAGCGCACCTACCTGTTCGATGCTATTGATACCAGTATGTTTTACACTAGTTAACCCTGTGTTCTTTGATGGTTTGACTAACTCATCCTTTCTAGTTCCTTGCATTCGCAAGAAGGCTAACTGGGCCATTCGCTGGATCCAGGACAGTGAGTCTACCTTCGCTCAGCGTCTGGTTGCATTTGCTGCCGTTGAGGGTATCTTCTTCTCCGGTTCATTTGCTTCCATCTTCTGGTTGAAGAAGCGTGGTCTCATGCCTGGTCTGACTTTCTCCAACGAGCTTATCTCTCGTGACGAGGGACTCCACACTGATTTCGCCTGTCTGCTCTTCTCCCACCTCAACAACCGCCCCAGCAACCAGGTGGTTGAGGACATCATCGTCGAGGCTGTCGGCATTGAGAAGGAGTTCCTGACTGAGGCTCTTCCTTGCGCTCTGCTTGGCATGAACTCCAACCTGATGTGCCAGTACATCGAGTTCGTTGCTGACCGTCTCCTGCTCGCTCTTGGCAACAAGAAGTACTACAACGCCACCAACCCCTTCGACTTCATGGAGTCTATCTCTCTGGCCGGTAAGACCAACTTCTTCGAGAAGCGTGTCGGTGACTACCAGAAGGCCGGTGTCATGGCCAGTGCCAACAAGAAGGAAACCCCTGAGGGCGAACAGACCCCCGCCAACAATGGCCTCAGCTTCGATGAGGACTTCTAGATGTTGTTGGTGCCCTGTCTTAATAACCCTCTCCCCTTCTTGTTCTATACCCTGCGCTGTTATTCCGTTTCATTTTGTCTTTCCGCATGATATCACGTTTTCTTTTATGTTCCCCCTTATCGATTGATGGGACTTGTTCTCAATGGTTACGCATGGGCCCGGCGTTCAATTTCTTTTCCCCTCCTGTTTCCTATGTCTAGATTAGACTTGGGAGCAACTGTTTAATATGAATGGACGGCGGACTTTTGTATCTAGATTTTCAAATACCATGTTATTTTATCTTCAACCTTGGAATCTCGACCTGTATATGTAAATAGTAGTAGTGTTAACCAGGTCAGCCAAGCTTTCTTTCAAATGTTGGTTAAAAATCACCCCCAGTTCAACCTTCAGCTTCCAAACTCGATGCTCCGAGTCCTTTTCTAGTAGTACTCTGTGCTTCCTTTAAACATCTGAACATTTGAACGTTAACTATCAGTGGTTGATTAAAGCCCAGATCACTCAATATGTCCCAGGCTGTATGTCCTACCTACATTTGATAGCTATGGACGTAGTAAAAATGACAACTTCAATGTTAAGTCCAACGTCCACTGGCACCCGCCAGTGGCATCTACAGTAACCCTACCTATGTGGTCACGGGAGCTTATACATTATGTAAATCAATTCAAGGATTTGAAGGATTTCAATGCCTTTTACTAGAAGTACATCATTATGATTACTTCAGAAGTATCAGCTCTCGAGTATTCTCTACATGAGATTCGATACACCAATTGAGCCATTATGATTAGACCATCCAGATGACATAGCCGAGACATATATCAGCATACTACGAAGTAGAACCTCACTGATAACGAACAACATAAGTCATTATTTTCTAAATAAGCGCAGAAAATAACACCAGCCATAAAATCTAACCAAAGCCACTATCGTTTGCCCTTTCCAGCCTTCTTCTTTCCCTTACCAGTCTTCGCACTCGCATTCGCATTAGCATTAGCATTAACATTCGCTTGCGTTCCATCCTCATTGACATCAACCATCTCCACATCAACGGGACCAGAACCCGATAATCCCAAACTAGCCACATCCGCACCCGCCGCCAACTTGCCCAGTCCTGTAACCAAGCGGCCAACCTCTTGCAGCTTGTTTGTTTGGTACTTCAGACAGACGCCTGTAGAGGGGTTATAGGTTTTCAGGACAAAGGCTGCGATAGGAGTGCTGGATGTGGATTCTGTTTCGGAGGCTTTCTTGGCTTGCGATTTTTGGCGCTTGTGTTTCTCTGCGCGTCGTTCGGTGGGGTAGTGGTATTTTGTTGTGATTCGGGTCTTTGGTTTAATGTTAGTTTGGTATTTAGATATATAATGTGGAAGTAGAGGTAGTTTTTGGGGATTGTTGAATTAGGGAGATTTGGGGTGGATTGGGCTTGTGCTATGCATGGTGTAGATGTCATGGTGCGGAGTGATTGAGGGGCGCGGATATTCGGTAGGGTCTTTTCTGGGTGGAATTGATCTTACTGTTTCTGGGTATGCTTGAAGAAGGAGGGCAGACTGTTCCAGGAATGCCTGGGAGGTAGGAAGGACAGGCATGATGGAGGTGGGCGAGCGCCGGTCTCGCTTTTGGATAGGTGTTGAGAGTGGGAAACTGAACGCTGATGCGCGGGGTATTTTTTTTGGAAGATTGATGGTTGAGAAACTGGTAGAGTGGATTGAGGTGTTTCTCTCTAGCAATTCGTGAGAGAATATTCCACGGTAAAGAAGGAGGGTTGAGGATATGTGGTAAGAGAGGAAGTCCGGGGTTTCGATCAGTTATCGGTGGGACTTTTTCGATGTCTTGGCATTCGCCTCCTATGAGCTTACCACCAGATATAAGAAACTAACGGATACATTGAACCTTTGAATGGGATGAATTAGAGAAGCTTCAAATTTTACTTTTGTAGATCGTATTATTTGAAATTTTTATTTTGATTATATGTAGACGTCTTAAATCATCAAAGAAATTGTACAAACCAGTCATCCATCCCATATCAACCATATAATACATGTGAAGTAGATAAATCCAATAATACCTGTCTCTGCTAACTTCGACTCCAGCCACATGCAGAAAAAATGAGAAAATAAATGTTCAAAAAATATCAACAGATCTGTAAATCGGACAGAAAATGAAACTGGTGCCAAGTCACTGCAGGGATTAGATCAAGAGACAGACCGGTTGCATTGAACACAGATCAGCCTTTGCTTCCCACCGCGATCCTTGACACCTCGAAAGTTGGTTCCACGACAATGGTCGCATTTGAGAATATCCTCGTCCACTTCACCAGCCGAGGAGCCACAATCACTACTGAGCACACTGCCAGCTATGCTCATCTTGCGTTCACCTCCCGAAGGAATGCGATTCGGACTAAGCAAGTCATTATTCTGCTTGCGAGACTTGGCTGCCAACGCATCATGTGTGATCTTATTCCAGTAGGCATAGCTGTGATCTCCTTGCAGCCACAGGGGATTATCTTTACCCCTGCCACTAGCCACAAGATCGGCTGAAGAGATAGGCAGTTTGCGAGGATCTGGCACCTGGCTTCCATTGGGTTTCTTGTTGGGTTCTTCGTGCAAACGATGGTTATTATCGCCGTTAAATACCCGAGATCGGCGAGGTGAACCAGGTGGGGACATCGTGACTACCGAAAGAGATTCATTCGGGCCTAGACTCGATGGGCGGGATGAGGAGAGTCGGAATACCGCTGGTCGTTGCGGTGAGGGACTACGTGTTCGGAGTCCGGAGCGGGATCCCTCGGTGCTGTTGCGGCCATGGCGGACCACGGAGTTGCGCCAGGAGATGATCCGCTCGGATGGGGTCCTATGTGTGGATTCTTTGCCGGTGGATGAGGCAATGCTGTGTCGTGCGGAGTTCGAGCGTCGGAGAATCCGACGGGAGATTGTAGAATTGGCGTCCCAGTTCTCGTAGCGGCGTTTGTGATAAGCACAGTCTTGTCGGAGGATCTTGATCCTACCGGAGTAGTCGGCGATGACAATGAGATTTCCGTCATCGTGCTTAGAACGAGCTAAATATGCTGGTGACTCTTGGGCCATTTTGCTGATTATGGATAAGTGTGGTGTTGATACAGATCGTTTGTGTTTGTGTTTGCTTTCGGTTGGTGTAGATTGCTTGGGGGTTCCTGTTAAGTCCTCGGGATTCACAAGAGCTACAGGTGGTGGGTTGCAGATGTCATAGATCGGATCCTCGGATAATGCAAGGAGTTGCTTGGTCTTTGTTGGAGCTGTCACGGCCACTGTGACAATAGCTGACTGGGTTTCGAATATCTCCACGGCTCTCTTATCGGAATTTCGCTCGACAGCTCCAATCGGCCAGACATAAGCCCTGCGGTCCTCACTTCCACAGATGACATGTTTGCCATCCTCGGTGAAAGAAGCTCGAATTTGACTGCAAGTGTTTTCATTACCTCGAAATTTGGCCTCCAAAGCCCGTTCTCGGAAATCGTAGAGACGGATTCGAGAGTCGTTGCTCGTAACCAAGATTTTGATATCCCCATTCGGATCATCCTCGGGAACCATCCTTGTGTCGATGCCAGTGATTTTATTCCCTTTCGAGTTGCGTCCACGCGCTGATCGAACATGAATCTGACCAGATACTTTGAGACCTTCCGTGTCGTAAATGTTGAGAAGACCATTTAAACATCCCGCCATCGAGTACCGCCCATCTGGTGTGAAAGCTACTGCGGTGATCATATCTGGCACCGTTGTAACGAATGCCACAGTCTTGTCCGGGATACTCCATAGTCGTAACTTGGTGTCCAAGGAACCTGCCAAAAAGAAGCGATCATCCTTGGGGTGGAACTGTATTGATGTGACAAAATCGCTGTGTTGGAAACAACAGAGACACTCTGATCGACTAGTATGCCATAGTCGAACTGTCTTGTCCATTGAGGACGAAAGCAAGAAATTGTTCTATCACCGCTAGTTAGTAAAATCTCTCAGCAAAAAAAAAAAAAGTACACTCATGAGATTGTCATACTTTACTCCAGCTCAAGTCCAATACACTTCCCGTATGTCCCTCATAGACATGTACAGGGTTGGGTGCAAACACCAATGCCTTGAATTTGGGCGGTTGTCCATCTGGTGCTCTCTCGCCATCCTGCGCATTGGCTGCTTCTCGCTCTTCTGGTGTAGTGATGACAGCCCACACCCTAACTTTTCGATCTTGCCCCGCCGCCGCTAGATACTTGCCATCTTTTGAGAAGCTTAATGCCCATATTGCCTTTCCAGTACCTTCATCATTGGCACTGGTCGATGTGGATAGACGGCGTTGTGCAACAGGTTGTGGCATACCCATGCCTTGTAATTCTTGTGACAAAAAAACATGTTCAAAAGTCTTATCTTTCTTGAAATGAGCTCGGACCCTCATATATCGTGTCGGTGCAGCGTGACGAGGGATAAACCCTATCGGGTGTGAAGTGTCGAGGGACATGCGGGTAGCCTCAGCCTCTGAGGTATCATCTTCTCCTTCAGATAAAGTATCTTTCTTTTTGCCACCAATAATTCGACTTAAGAAAGAAACACCTTTTCTATTTGGAGACAAAAGAAATAAAAGCGGGACTTGTCAGTCATATTGTTTTTCTTTTTTTTATTCCAGGTGATCGTGTGAACATTGAAAGCAAACTCTCCTCGGGGTCCCGGGCTTCCGAAGTCCGATAGACAATGCAGGAGTCCTGCAGGAAAAGGAGGGGGGAGAGGGTTTTTATGATGATCTGCATGGGGGGGAACACAGAACACAGAATATCCTCTTTTTACAAGGATTTCTTTGAGGGGACAACTAACTTCTTTTCTTTAGAGAGTTTGGGGCTTGATGCTGCAACTCCCCGAGCCGCGTTGTCTGACAGGTTGTACTCCGAACCCGCTGCTTCGGCCTCGTACGATGCCCGACCCAATAGCTTCAATGGGATTGATTTTTGGGTGTTCATGCGTTGAATGATATGCTACACGATCTTAGAAGAAGGTCCGAGTGCAGAGTGAGATCGTATGGAAATACGAATGAACTTACCTGTGATAGGGGGTCGATAGCACTAGATTCGGTGCGAGTCTCATGCAGCGTGAGTGTAGAGTTTCTGACCAGCGGAATGGAACCAGGTGGACGACGAGAATGTCTTCCATCTTGTTGGCTATTGCTTGAACCTGACGCAACATCCGAAGTCACCGAACCTAGTTCTCTTCTAATCAGCGTGAAATTCTAATCTTCTTTTCCCTTAACTCAATTCACTCATTTCCATTCTTCTCTTCACAGAAATGGAGAAGAGGGAAAAAAAGAAAAGAAAAAAAAATGAATTCCCGATCATGTACGAGATACATCGCACTCCCCGCATTCGTGCATGATATTCAAGACCAATCGGGACTCATTGCAAATCGAACCGGGGCAAATTCCAATTATCCACATACCGGGGAATGTCGAGGCTCTGGGTGGTTTAGAATCCCCGATCGCGGGGCTCGACGCTCGTGGCAATGTCTGGTCCGCGCCCTCCCCCATCGTGTGGCGCGCATGACACGGTGAAGAATACGAGAGGGTGTGAAAGGGAAGAAGAATCCAGAGAAGTTCCTAAAAGATTTGATTTCAAAGAGGAGAAAGAAAAAAAAACGAGCGATAGGCTAAGCGGCAACGTCCGGGCAATGACATCAAATTGGCCCGAGACCGACAGATATGGTGGAGCCCCGAGAACCCCGTTGGACCCTGCTCAAGCTTATCGAGAACTGCCAAGAGGTTAATGATCTTCGATTTAGAGTGGAATATCTCCATGATTAGATTCAGGGTCCATTTCTTGTTGTTAGATCGGGAATTCACAATCTGGATCTCTTTCAATCCCATTTCCATGAAGTTCCGGATTTCATACTATGGGACAAAATGGATGCTATCACCACGAAGATAGATCGGAATCAGCCAAGATTTCATTTTCTACACTCAGATGGTCCTGTATAATGTGGGACTCTACAAAGCTTATCTCAGATCAGTCTGAATCTATACAGGAGAATGCACAGACATCTAAGTGCGGAGTAGAGGTATTAACCTGTTCAAAAGTGGCAAAGTGGCAAACCTGAAGAGTGCTTCCAGGCCTTCTTTGGCAGACTCACAGCTACGAAGCTTGTCATTCGATTCAAAAATAAGTTTGGGATAAATAGTGCCAGGATATAACCCTAGACTTAAAATTTAGCTTACAGATTATCAGACCAAAGACCTTTCCAGGGTTGATATGCCAACTTAGAGCTCTACTAGGTACTACTAGTAGTCTCATAGCCGCAGAGTGCCGCACATCACTGCCTATGGTAGTAATCATGCTGACAGTCAGCACTGGCATGTGAGCCCGGTTGAGCCTCAAGATTCTGAGTGGAACACTGCCAGGTAGGCTTTAAATTGAAGTTGTCAATATCTCCCTCTAGTACTGGAGGCATTTATACTATTTGGTGGTTGCTCACAGCTCTAAGCTCTTTTAAATCTTCAAGTGCTCATTGATGAAACGACTCGGGAGACCTTGGAACTTCAATATGTTTATTTCTATTCCCCCCTTTCCGACTCCTTTTTTCCAATACATATAGCTTCCAAGGTTGAATATACTAGTATGACTTGGAGTATATACATGTAATGTGGTACGCACGTGCGACTGCCCAGGTGATGACTTTAAGTAGCGAAGGCACGTGAAAGCCCCACATGTGCACATGTGCACGTATACTAAGGGGGCAATACTATACACTAGCAGCACTTGAGTCAACTGGTAGTATGGATTCACAAGGTTAGCTACCACTACTGATGCTAATACCTGGTGATTATGTAGGAGAACTTGAATAATATTAAAGTTCTTAGTATGATAAGTAGCGACATATAACGTTCAATAAGTTCCAGTAGTATGATACTAGTTAAACTGGCGTAGTACTAGTATCTAGTACTCACCTCCCGGAGCTCCGGTGGAACACGGCATGGACACGGGAAGAACCCAATTCCAAGAGACCATAGGTATCATAGGTACTTCAAGGAGAGTGCGGAGTACGAGTCAATCTACCCAGCTACTAGTAGATTCAACTTGGATGTTAGTACTAATTTCGTGATATCATGGCATTCCTCCCAAGTGAGATGGGTTGTACAGGGAATGTCCCTGTAACCTCAGATCTTCAGTACTGCCAGTGATCCCGAGTATATAATTTCAACTGATTTCCCGTACATACTAGAGATGGCTATATACTCTTAACCTTGACAGCACTTGAGAGTAAACTCTGAACGAGCGTTTCAGAATTGAACGCCTTAAATTGGGATAGCCGCGAGTGGAGTCGCCGAACGAATGGAAAAACGGCCCCTGAACCAAAAGAAGTTCGAGGTTCGTGGATTTCTCCGTTCGTTGGAACTTCCAGCCTATCAGGCCCTCTATTAGGCATCGTCCGGGTCTTGTTTCTCCCCTCTTCTCCTTTCTTGTCAATTCTCCGTTCTTTTGTGATTGGACATTCTATCTCGATCGTGAGATCTCAACCTGGCCCCATTCGAGACTCGGTCCAGATCTCCCTCCCTCCCTTTAACCCCCTTTCGCTTTCGACTTCAACGGTGTCCGTCCCCATGTCGTTCGCACCATGTCTCTCAATGGGCTAGATACTCCCGTCGTCATCGATGCCTATCAGAGCGCTCTCACTGATGCGGGTGGATGGTAAGTCGATCATTTGCGGAATGCTTCGCAATCCTTCTAATCCCCATCCCGGACCCCTTGTCTACCGCTATCTCTATAGCCTCACAATGCCCCCACTGTTTCGAGCCCGCAAACCTATCTCTGGTCGCAAGATATAAAAAAGATGAATCATCTAACACAATTCTATCTATAGGTTCCTTCTGCATTACATCGCAAGAGATGAAGTGACTTTGCTCGACCGAGGCAACAGCGGGGTGTCCGAGGTTCGCAATGCCATCGACAACTATGGGGAAGTCTCGCCACTCTATGGCTTCTTGCATTACCGGCGCAGGAAAGTCATCCTCCGCTACATGCCCGAGGGATTGTCCCGACTTATCTTAGGTATGGCAAACAATGATCATGCCTCGGTATGCCGAGATTTGGTACTAACCAAAGTTCACCCTTTCAGCCCGAAGCAATGTACAATTCCAATCCGTCCTAGACAAATTTACTCCGAACGATACCGTACTGCCCCTTACCCAAGCCTCCGACCTCAATGAGAGTGCCCTTTCTTCAGCATGTCTTTTGCATACAGCCTCGGGGTCGATCACTTCTTCTTCCAGCTCACTTCGTCGTCGACGATTGATGGAGATTACAGAAGATGCGGAGGAAAGCGGCACGAAAGAAGAGACAAAGGAGACTGCGCAGTCGCTACAACCAGAACCACAACTACCAACCAAAAGTGAGATGAGACAAAGACCAGTGAGCCAATTGTCAGAGGCAACAGTTGTGCCTCCGACGACTGCTCCAGAAACCCCCGAAGTCGAAAAGTCCTCTCCTGACCTTCGACCCCCACCATCACGAGCGAGCTCTCGTCCTCCCCCTTCTCGCGGAAGAAGTCCGAGTGAAACACACTCGGAAGCCATGTCCGCGACCCCTCAATCCCCAGCTTCCAGCTCGGGTCGTTCCAAACATCGAAATATTCTTGACGAATTCCCCCGCCCATCAGACGAAGTACGCATGTCTACGCAATCGGCACGTCCCTCATTACGCGATTTAGAGCGAGCATCTACATACTCAACTACACCAAAGGTTAAACGTGGACCACGCCCTTCTTTAGATCATAGTGGACGACCTCGCACTTCTGGAAGCTCTAAAAATGCAGAGCAACGACCGGTCGCCTCTCTCCCATCGAACATACGTTCATCATCCGTACGAAAGCAAGCTGCCACCGTTGAGCCTCCTCGTCCCCGGTCCCAGGGCAGCTCTTTCGCGGCCAGACCAAACAGCCGTATCCCGCCAATTCCTCCTCTTCTTGTCCCACCTCCCAGCATCCCTATTTCCAGGCCTCAATTATCTCCAGGCGCCAAGTCGCTTGGTGCATTGTCGTCCTCGTCCGGGTTGACGCCGGAGAAGGAACGATTAATGAAGGCACTTCAGCAGCGACGAAAAGCCATGGCCAAGCGAGCGGAGCAGACGAAAAACAAATCAACGATTGCTGAGGTAGAGGAACCAAAGCCACAGATTGATCTTACTCAAAATCCGGAGGAAAACAAAGAAAATGTCAATTTTGTACCGATTGAGATTCACACATCGGGGCACGAACAGCTACGTGAACGGAGATCTTTGGAGCCTTCTCCCATACTTGAACCATCTGAACCAGAATGCGCGCCTTCCCAGATCCCAATTGAGAGCGAGGAAGAGACTCCAATTCCCGGTTCGGCCGAAGCATCCAAGCCCGAGTCTACAACCGATAACGCTGTGTCAGATTCCGAGTACGGTCCATCCTCACATACTTCAGGACCCAGTGCTGAGACCACATTCTCAATTGAACATTACGATAACACGGAGGCTATAAAGTCGGAGACACCGCAGGCAAATCTTGAATCTGAAACCCGTGCCGAGCCTGAGGACTCCGCAATTCCTAGCCTAACAGAGACTAAGGAAAACCCGGTCCCACTCAGCGCGGATGTCGAAATCCCCCTTCTCCCGATGCCCACTGAGGTTCCAGAACTTCCAGAACAATCATCTGAACTTAATGATTCTTCCTCTCTCAAGTCAGATACCCCTGCATCGGTAATTGAGCAGCTGGAGGCTTCCGTTGTGGAACCCACGTCCACTCCTGAGGAGGCCCCTGAGTCTGTCTCCATCCCCGTCACGCCCGCCGTCAATTCCCCACCAAGCCCCGGGCCCGAGCCCACGGTCGCACCTGTTTCGGTTTCAATTGATCCTGTCTCGCTGGATGAAATTAAGCCCGAAGGACCTCAGATCGAGAACCCCGCTTCCCTCCCCTTAGACCAGCGGAGGAAGGTTCACCTTGAACCCATCCAGGTCCCAACCCTCGAATACTCGGATGACGACAACCTGCTCTCGGACGATTCTTTCATGGAGGAATTGAGGTCTGCGACAGTGCAGGAGGCCCGGCCAGTCGCTGTGAACTCACCAAATGGTGGCCAGCACTGGAGAAGCCCCTCCCGCGCTGTCTCCAGCCCCAATGGGCTTCCATCGCCATCCGTCTCACACCACTTGGCTGTAGGTGGCAGATCCGCCTCAAGCTCTTACCTTGAACATGCACCCGGAACTCCAGTGCTTGTGGCGAAGAAGATCAACGTCTCATCTGGTATCTCGAGTCGCATCAAGGCTTTGGAAAAGCTCTCGAGTGCTACTCCCACCGCTGCCACGCACAATCTTCCTGCGCCATCCAACTCCTCATCCTTCGAGAGCCTTCGCAAGCGTGCATCTGTCTCCTACCCTGGCGATGTCACTTTGCCTGATTTCTCTCGCGCCCCAAGCGTGAACCACCATGATGCCCGTCCTGTCTCCAACATGTCTCGCCGTACCAGCTCGATCTCCGTTGCGGCCCATGTTGTACGCGATACCAATAGCTCTAGCGTCACTGTCGGTTCTGAGCCTTCTGAATCAAACGCGGCTAATCTCCAGACTAGTCTGCCGACTGTCAATCATGAGTTGATTGAAGAGCCTGTAGTGACACCCCCAGTGGTTGAATCCACGAATCGGTTGGAGAGCCGAAGCATGTCAATCTCGTCTACTGGCTCTGGCCGACAGACTCTCACGCCGCGCCCTACCAGCCGATTGTCATTATCTTCACGCTCCAAGACGGATGAGAACTTGCAGTCTTCATCGAACAACGAAGACAAGAAGGCGTCTCGTACCTCGCGTTTGATGAAACGTATGTCCTCGATCACCTCTTCTTCTCGTCGCAGTCTCATTGGAGCTCTGAGCTCCCCTGTCAAGGAAGAAGAGCTCTCTGCTATCTCTCCTGGCGAGTCTGCTATTTCCCCATCGACCTCGCACCAACGCCTGGTTGAACCAATTGAGATTGGCGAGGTCAATGTTCAATTCCCGGATACACTCCTTTGGAAACGTCGTGTCATGCGCATTGATGAGAATGGATACCTTGTGCTTGCACCCGGTACCAACGACTCCACTGCTCGCAATATGATCAAACGCTACCACCTCACCGAATTCCGCACTCCTTGTCTCCCAGATGAGGATATGCAAGAGTTACCAAACAGCATTCTGTTGAATTTTTTGGATGGTAGTACTCTTCAGTGTGCTTGTGAATCACGCCAAGGGCAAACATTTGTCCTCCAGAGTAAGTGACATTATTCCGTCTATTAATTATCTCTTGTCCATACTGACTTTGCATCTAGCTCTTATCGAAGCTCACGCTGCCAATCAAGCTTAAGCTCTACCTTCCCACTCCTTGGAAGACTGAATTTCTTTCTCCATTTACAATCCCTACATCAATTTCTTTCCAATCTTGTCAATCTTCTTCATCTCACAGTTCGCATTACATTTGAACACAGCATTCTGTCATACACTGCCTACACTGTCTCCTTTTTTCCATCTGACCACCTCCTGCCTTCGGCTCAATTCTTCCAATAGTCTTATCTACCTTCTTCCCTTCTTTTCACCCCTGTCCTCATCACATCCCCTATTTTCTCTATTTTCTGTCTGTTTTTGTTCGTGATATATGTGGCATGTTTCGTGGTATACCCCTCTAAGTCAAAAAGCTCCTTTCCTTACATCATCCATGTACAGCAGGCCTTGTGCCTTGTCTAGCATCGGCTTCTTGTGAGGCCCGGAGTTTTGTTCTTTTTAGTTCATTAGTATTACATTGCGCTGCATACACAACACTTGAATCGATTGCTTTGTTTTATATTGGACGAACAGCGGGGTGATGTAGTCTCAGTGATTGAAATATCATGATGCTACCTAGGTAGGTATAGGTGATAGCTATTAGTCATGCCACTTCAAATGTTCCAGGGTTAACTTGGAATCATTCCTTGACGCCTTTCTCAGAGTAGAAAATTTACACTATCCAAAGCTACTGCTAACAGTAGTCCATGGTGAGCAGGAAACGGCTCACATGCTGTCAAAAATGTTTGTGTCTGACTACCTAGGTATACATGTGCTAACCGGAATCCATAAAACTTCAATTTGAAGGCCTGCACATGTGGGTAGCCAGAGGGGGAAACCTGAAGGACTTAGGGGCCAGCTAGTAGCTTATAGAAGACTCATAGAATCTCGGTCTTCAAACTAAGTATGGCAACTATAGCCCCGAAGGTCAATTTGATACACCGGTGGACCGTGACGTTTCCGTCCAATTACTATTAGAAGCCATAGTCTTGGCCCAGATACCTGGCGTGTACTGGCAAGAATCGATGCATTTCTACCTGCTTCTCTGTCTTTCCCTGTCATAGACTGAACAAAAAAAAGAACTCAGAATAGAGCGTTATTTAGAAGCACCAGCCCCACTCAGTCAAAATTTACCTTTGGGGCTTATATCAAGTCCACGGGCCTACACCACCTTCCAAGATTCCCCTATGGACATCCATGGATGTGGAGCTGCCACCAAGGTTGGAAACATTTGAATGAAAACAAGAACATTTGGGCGTTTCCCTAATGAAAACTACTATTTTCATACAAATTTAGACGACACATCAGGGCTACAACCTTTTGGACAGATTCGAACATCCTACTTAGCTCTTACTATCCCTCCCACTCCCGATCTATCAATTTCCGCCTAGTGATGATGTGACACTGCTACATAGTACGGAGTAGTACATTCTTATTAGAATACTTCTAAGGTTATTCTACCCTTAATTCGTCCATGGGTATGATCAGGCTATTTCAAGTTTGTTTGTCTGTATTTATTTTTGCTTTTTTTTGCTTTTACACTGTAAAATGTTTACTTTTGCCTTCTCTCCAGGTCCTGTAAATTATATTATACCTCTCATTATAACACCACTATTTCAAACTTGAAGGCAGACAGTTCCAAGGTTTGATTGAAGGCGTTTTTGGTCGAATAATACCCATGTACATGTATATACATACCTCTTAGGCAGCAATTGCTCCCAACACTTGACCAGGTAAGTATTTGTTACTGTCATGTGATCCTGGCGCTTTATTGCATGTGCCCAGTTTAGGTCAAGTTCTCCTTATATTCTCTCAGTCTTCATCCTTTCCTTGCACCAGAAAGCTGTCACTTCAAGTTCTAGCTCCTCGGGTCTCAGCTCGTCCAAGGACCCTCAAGTGCCAGTGCTTTTACTCTTGCCAAAATGGTTAAGGGGTACGATGATGCTGCTTGGGAAGCAAGCACCGAGCTGCGGAAAAATTGGCCAAAAGTTTTTCGAACTGATCCTACAATCTACAATGACATTGGACAAATACTTGACAAAGAGTTCAGTCATCTGAATTGTTCACACTTCGAGTGCCTCGGTGCAGGTGGTTTCAATATCTGTTTTAGAATGAACTACACCAACGATTCCGCCGCTATCATACGGTTCCCAATGCCCGGAGGCGTTATGTTCCCGCAAGAGAAAGTCCGCAATGAATTCTCTGTCATGCAGTTCCTCTTAGAAAAACCAACAGGCACCGATTGAATCCCAATTCCACTGCCTTGTTTATCTCGCTGTCAAGAAAACAGAGAGAGTCTGTCAGGGTTGGGCCCTTTCATTATCATGAGTTATATCAATCATAATAAGAGTATGGGGACTCTTCTCGAGACGCCAGGACGTAGCCCAAAGGATATTCCAATCCTCGATACGGAACTCGAGCAAGTGAGACTAGAGGCCATTTATGGAAAAGTGGCCAATATTGTTCTTTCAATGTCTACACTTTCTTTCGGCCAGATAGGATCCATTCATAAAAATGAACATTCTATTTGGGAAGGATTGAGTCGGCCTATGTCGTATTCGATGAACGAAATTGTACAGCTAGGGACACTGCCCCGATCCAAAATACCAACTGCTGTCTATGATAAAGCATCATCATACTTTGAAGCCCTGGCAGAGCTACATATCTCACATTATAAGCCAACTGAATGAGGCAGATATCGATCTAGATACTGACGATGATGTCGTAGCACATGACTTCCGACGGGAGTTTGTCGCTAGATTTCTCTTCCGTCAACTTGTCTATGATCAAGAGCGGAGAAGAGAATGGGTAATTCATGATGACGATCCATTCCCACTATGGTGTGATGATCTACGACCTGAAAATATCCTTATGGATGATTCTGATAATATCGTCGGAGTGATCGATTGGGAATCTCATATACAGCCCCTGTCAAATACACATATGCACCACCATGGTGGCTTCTTCTCGAAAAGCCAGAAGATTGGTATCAGGGTATTGAGGACTGGTGTACGAAATATGAGAAAGCGCTTCCGGTCTTTCTCGAAGCCATGCGAAAATGTGAAGATGAGGTTATCTGGAAGGACCAGCTGTCAGAAGACAAGAGGCTGTCTAGTCGAATGAGGGATAGCTGGCAGAGTGGTGAATTTTCTGGATCATGTATGCTGCGAGAAACAATTTTGCTTTTGACGCAATCTATTGGAAGAAGATCGACCAGCGATTCTTCGGTGCTACTACATGTGGGGACGATAATTCTTCTGAGTCATGGCGGGAGAGAGTTCATCTCTTACAACCGGCTGAAAGGAAGCTTATGGAAGAATGTGTGAGTCTGAAGATCAAAGAGAGGTATGACCGGCTTCTTGCTTGGGACCTGGATGATTACGGCATCGAGTGGACTAGGAGGACGAAGGCCATAGTTAAAAGGGAGATGGCGAGGATAAAGAGGGAGAGAGAGGAAAGAGAGAGAGAGAGAGAGAGGAAAAGGAGGAGGAGGAAAATGGCGATACACAGGATGCAGAAGGTGCAGATGTAGAGAAGGAGGAACTTGAAGAGACGTATTCTAAATTGCAACTGAGTGGACCTGTTGAGAACTGTCGAGAGGATAATTGGATTTGAGCTATAGCAAGAATGCTACCAGTGTGGTCAAGGGCTACTGGAACTTGAAGTGGGTAAATAATTTAAAATTTGAGCTTTTATTTCACCCCTTAGTGGTACAACACAGGACCCCAAGGTTGATTGCCAGTTGCTTCATGTATCCTATCACCTGCTGAGTCTTTTCCTGGGTCCCATGATTGTCCCTTTTCTAGTCTTACTGCTCATTTTCCTGCTTACATGTATTGTCTTACAGGATATCCTATAAACAAAGGCAGTTATATCAACTGATAGCACCTGAGAAGAACAGGAGTGCATACTGCCTATGTGAGTAAATGATGGACCCCATCTTGATTAAACTGCCAATTAACTGCGGCTAGACGGATTTTGAGCCACCCTTCAAGCCCCCGATGCTGGATCAATTGAAAAAAAAGAAAGCTTAATAGCACAACAAGCCATGGACTCCCATCAATTCTTTATGCCTGGTCAGAATCGATACTTGTATCATCGCCATCATTGATTTGGAGCGTCGGGAAGTTCAAAACAAGAGCCCCGGCAGGTAAGTTCTGGTACTGGACGAAGGCCTCCTCAATCGCCTTAGCTCGTGCCAATGCATCATTGAGACCCTTTGCAAAGACTTCGCGGTTGTTTGTCAGACCATGAGGCAACCAGAAAGCGAAAACAGTATTGACTGGGACCACTTCACCGGCGGAAGACACGGACAATTCTCCGTCTCTGCTATCGAATAAACGCTGTAGACTTGGGTAGGGATAGAAGCGCTTAATCGTGTTGAGTGATTCTTTATCCAATTTCCCCAGCATTCCACATTCCTTTATTGCTTCGACGATTGTCCCAAGGGTTTTTCCTTCCGCCCGGCTGCGCAAAATCATGGTTGCCAACCTATTATTGGAAAAAAGATTGTTAGTTGATCTCTTGTCAGAGGAAAATATGATGTGGTTTGACAGGTGATCACCAGGAGGTACTTACCATCCAATGTCAGTTAACCATTCGACGCCCTGTCCAGGAATCTTTCCAAAGAAAGCCTCGTGAGATTGGGTTCTTATGAATTGAAAGCAACCAAGAAGGCATAAAATCTCCATGGCGTTAGTGCTCAGCTGAAGTACGTTGACTGGGAGAATGAGTGAGTTTTCATCCACCAAGCCCTTGCTGTGGAGATGTAAAAACACATGCCAAATCATGCTTTGGCGAAAGGATCTCCAGTGCATGTTCATGATTAGGGTTCCCCATTCAGCGGGTAAGTTCCTCTGGTTGCAATAGAGAATATCGTGGACGGGCATCTCTGACGGGTCACCGGTGTCGATATTGCACAAGGCTCCTTCTCTTTCCATCACAGCTCGAGCTGACGGTGAGATTTCAGTTATGGCTCTGCTCTGCTCAAAAGACTCGTGTATGAGTTGGTTGGCCGTTTCCCAGTCACTTGGTATGCGCCCGATGTCAGTGCCTTCATCTTCCTCGTCTTCATCGGGCCATGTGTCTGACAGCACTAAGTCACCAAACTCCACTTTGGCGTTTCGTAATCGGATTTCATGAGCTGATGTGGTCTTAATCGAGCAAGCGCTGTCTAGGTGTAATGTTTTTAGGAGTGTGGCTTGAATGTGGCTCTCGTGATCTTCAACAGTCCAAGTGAATGTGGGCTGTTGGTCCTAACTCCTAAGACTGCTAACAGTAGACCCGCCGAATCAGGAATGAAACCCAAAGGATTTTGATTTGTATAATTTCCATAGGTCGGAAGGCATAATACCGGAACAACCCCCTTGGAAAAGTATCCGACCTCTTGAAGATATCCTTGTGATACATATTGAGCCGCACAAGTACCACCCTCAAACGAACGACATAAGTAGGCCTAGACCCCTGGACACTTTGTGTAGAGCTCAACCCTGGAACCTAGTCCTGGAAGGCTACAGGATTCTAATCTCACAGATCGGCTGGAATGCCACACTGATGAACCTCCATTTTGTTATCTGTAGCTCCTCAGGTTCCAGTGTGTCTTCAAGTGTGATGACATATGCCATATTGAGTGAAAAGAACAAGGCGAGTTCCAAGGTTTACTTATCGCAGATCCGAATGCAACATAATTCATGTAGCCCTGTCTGGGCATATTTTCGACTCCTGTGCACCTTCTACATATAGACATACTCGACCTCAGCCCTGGAGGGTTGAGGTTTCCAAGGTTTTCAGTGACATCTGAATCATGATGCTCTCAAGTGCTTTCAGGCTGTTCCTTAATTAAGAATATCAAGTGACAATCTAGCTATGACAGTGCATCTATAGTCCGGAATGCCTACAGTATATCGACCAGGTTCCGTGGTTCATAGTTTGCGGTTCCTTCAACCCAAAGTCATTATAAAAGTGTGATTTCTTATGACGACTTTCCTATCTCATTTCTTCTACATCTCGACTATAAGCTGATTTCCGTCCTATGGAATTGGATCAATTTCCAGTCAAATTTTAAATAACCACTGGCATTGATCTACATAATGAAACTCTCTATCCTCTATCTGCTGGCATTCAGTTCCGGTGGCTTCACCAGCCCCATCAAACGAACCAATTCATTCCAGGTCCAGGACTTCAATGCCAGTGTATACTCCAACAATACCCTTGGAACTCTTCAGTTTGCGGTACAGAATCCGAGTAACAGCTTGGGAGACCAATGCTTCATTTCCTGGTGAGTTTTAATCAAACCAATTGATCCCAGCCGAAGTATTGCATACGTAAATACCAAAGAGCACTGCAATTTCGAATATTTAATCTCCTTTGCTCCTTACACTGGCGTCTAAATGGATAAAGATGTAGCACTGGCAACTTGAAGCTGACAAGACTTGACAGGAACCCAAGCGGTGCAATACAACCGGGTATAGAATTCAACAAATGTGCCCAGGATAACTTTCAGTTTGGTTTTCGGTATGGATTGCAGATTGAGAACTTTGTTTTAGATCTGCAGCAGGTGAATACAACCCAGACAATCTATCATGTCCTGAGTGTCTATGCAAGGAATTCCAATTGGGTTTGTACAAAGGACCCAAATCCCGAGGTTAAGGAAAGCTGTGAATATCAGGGAGTGTTGACTATCGGTTCCTAAGGGAAACATTGGACTTGGAACAATTAATTAAGAATAGCATTTTATGACTCGGGGTTCAAATGTTCTCTTCAATTTTGTGTGCCGTGTGGATATCTAAGTATAAGTACTGACGTAGTCGCTCGCGGTATACATGTATGGATTTGCCGGGAGAATGAGAATACTGTACAGTGACCTCTACATGTATGAATACCAGTGCTTAAAGCTAAATTTCCAACTCCGATTAAGATATCCATACAGACCTATTCCTAGGTATATAACTTCTATTTAGTCTTCTCTTCAAGGTCATGCTGCTCATGCATGTGAAGATAAAATCCATGGATCCATACATATTGTGTAACAACATACAGTAACTTTGCTAATTCCACTATTAGAGTACCTTATCGTGACCCGCCCCTTATCGGGATAAATTACCCCAAGCTACGATAGATCTTGACCTCCGAAGCTTTTCATTTTCCACATCTCACACTTATTATTATACCAGATGCCATTCCCACCTGGCTTCCGACTATTCCGCACTACAATGTCAGGCGAAAAGATCCTCGAAGGCTGCTTTGGTACGCTCTGACCCCTTCCAACCTCTAATCATCCAATCTCAAAATCTAACCAAAAATTGGAACAGCCATTCACAAGCCCCAAGGCGTTACCTCCGCCGATGTACTCCGTACCTGTCAAAAGCACTTCAATCCCTCCAAAACATTTGCCCCATGGCTCGAAGACGAGCGCGCCAGACGCAATCGCGAAAACTCATTCCAGAAAAAGCGCCGCCGCGACAAGCGCCTTGAAGTGAAGATCGGACACGGCGGTACCCTCGATCCCCTTGCGACAGGTATTCTGATCGCAGGTGTGGGCAAAGGAACGAAATGTCTCCCTGAGTTCCTGGGATGCACAAAGTCATACGAGACCATTGTGCTATTCGGCGCTGAGACCGATACGTATGATCGACTTGGTAAAATTGTTCGACGAGCTCCGTACGAACATGTCACACGGGAGAAGGTGGAAGATGCGCTGAAGCAGTTCCGTGGCAAGATTATGCAGCGACCGCCTATTTTCTCTGCGTTGCGAATTGATGGCAAGAGACTTTATGAGTATGCGCGCGAGGGAATCATGCCTCCTGTTGAGATTAAGTCTAGACCTGTTGAGGCTGTGGAACTGGAGATTGTGGAGTGGTTTGAGCCTGGAACACATGAGTACAAGTTCCCTGAGAAAGAGATGCAGGGCGATGAGAAGGTTATTGCAGAGAAGTTGCTTGACAAGGGGGATGCTGCTCCTCTGGAGACTGAGGATGCGGCAGCTTCCTCTAAGCGCAAGTCACCTCCTGCGGATTCTCCCCAGGGTGAGGATCAGGATGCTGCGAAGAAGCAGAAGGTTGGAGAGAGTGGAGAGGCTCAGCCTGTTGCTGCGTCTGAGTTGGAGCCTAAGCCTAAGCCTGAGTCTGAGTCTGCTGCTCCTGAACCAGCTTCTGAAGATGCTCCTGTTTTCAAAGAGGAACAGCCTGTCCCTCAGCCACCTGCAGTCAAAATCAAGATGACTGTCACATCTGGCTTCTATGTTCGCTCTTTAGCCCATGATCTGGGCAAGGCGGTTGGCAGTTGTGCACTCATGAGCGAGCTTGTTCGGAGCCGCCAGGGAGAGTTTACTTTGGAGCCTGAGAATGTTCTGGAGTACAAGGACTTGGAAGCAGGTGAAGAGGTCTGGGGACCGAAGGTATCTCAGTTCCTGTCTGAGTGGGAGGCAAAGAGGGCTGCTAAGGGTGAGGCCGAGGCTGAAGCTGCTGAGAAATAGATACAATCTTCCCTTTGACTTCAAAGCCATTGATTAGAGCTGTAACATACTATGTCTATACGAGATTATAATCAGAATATGCACATTTTCAGCCAATTATTCCTAATTTGAAATTAAACGCAGCAATTGAGCATACTTCAAAACGCTCTGCATACATGTGTACTGGTATGTTAAAATTTGGACGTCAAAGTTGGAAGGGTTCATGCGCGTGTACTTTGGTCATCGTGTCAACCTCCAAAACTTGGAACCTTGGAAGACTTGAAATTCCGAGTCACATCTGGGCACTGTCCTCAAGTGCTGATCAATCCAATTCCCGAGTCTCAGTTTTAATAATTGATCAAGACAACTCGAGTCCAGATGTCTAATGTACCTTTGTGAGGAAATATGAACTATCTTAGGTGCGCATCCATTTTCTACTATTTAGTCTTCCAAGTTTATGATAGCTCAAGAAGGCCCCAGAGTTGATCTGGACTGAAGGACAGTATGTCAAGAGAGTTCATGTTTGTTTCTAGTAGTACATACAGTCTGATCAATATTTTATCAGACCAGTGCCCCCTTTTTCATTGAGGGAAAGTACATCAAGCAGCAAATAAGGTTGCGCAGTCATCTTCGAGCAAATTGCAGTCGGAGGTAATCGTCAAATTCTAGCATCATGATCATGAAAGATTCAAAGCAATGTTCAGCTCGTATGGCCATTCATATCTTGGTTCCGCTCCACTAAAGACGGGCGACTTGGAGTTTCAATGGAACTTTCATCATCATCAACAGATTGTGATTGTTCGGTCATCCCATTCTCATCTCCATTTCCATTGATACCATTGATTCCAGTCCGGCCGTGATGGATTTCCGGGAATGCTTCGCGCATCTGTTGTAGGTGTTGACCTAGCAGATACTTGATGAGATTGCTAACAGGGAAGACGGAATGCATGCGTCGCTCTGACTCGACGAGCTCAATTCGCATTTGCATTTCCCAGTCATGCTCGCCGGCATGATGTTCAATTTCTTTCTGGCGTTCATCGCCCTTGGTCGTGATTACCTTGGAACAATCCTGCATGCGGCAAGTCCAAGTATCAGGTTCTGGCTCGGGTTCAGGGTCAGGGTCAGGGTCAGTGTTAGTGGTCAAATCAGGAAGTGGAGGAATATTTCCGAGTATTGAATTTTCAATGGGTAGAGTAGATGCAAGGGTGGTAGAGGTTTGTGGGGTATCCTGGAGCATGGTTTGTAGGAGAGAGGTTGCTGTGCCAGATCTACCTAGGAATGATCTGGTTTGGGGTTTGGCAGAAGCCAATGGAGTTCGAATAAGCTCATGGCCGCGGATTTTGCTAGGTGTCTCCACGTCCGACATGGCGTCTGGATCATCGTCATCGTCATTTTCATTGTCATCATGATCTTCATCGTCATCAGACTGAGTGGGCTTTTGATCGGCGGTTCCATTGCGATTTCGTTTACCCATCACTTTGCGGGAAACTGAGGCGTTTTTGGGACGGAGCACAGACTTATGGGTTCGCATAAGGGCCTCGTCGTCGCTGGAGTCTTCGATGGGTTGTAAGGGTGTAAGAAGAGCGGGGGGTAAGGGGTCGGGCAGAGTGGCGGCGTGAGTAAGTTCTCGGTGGATCACATAACGAGACCATTTGAAGCCAGGTATGTCTTCTTCATCCAGTTTTTCAAGGACGGCACTTGCCCTAGCGGCGATGATCTTGTGGGCGTTTTCTTTGCTAAATGAATAGCGTTTTGACAATCGTTCTGACAACAAGTCCATGTGTAATCGGCGTTTGGCGAGGTGTCCCTCGTCTTTGAGTTCTTGTATGAGATGATAGACAGCATCGGTTTGTGATTTGGCAATTGCAGCTGGGTCGTGTCGAGGAGTCATGACTTCGGGCTCGTCCTCTTCCTCCTCTTCGTCATTGCTAGACTTAGGTGAAAGTCGGTCCATTATCTCTTTGTACTCATCCTATGGCACTGATTAATACCGCGATCAAATATCCGAGAGCGCAACAGCTAGTTACTTACTTTGAATTGACGACGGAGATGGATGAAAACATTAGTCTTGTTCCACTCCATGTCTTCATCATCCTCAATCATGCAGCGGAGGAGAAAAGGACCGTGCATTCCGAAGGTCTCAGCTGACTGCTCCCGTGTCTCGCAATCGCCATGTGTATGGAAGACGTACTACATCGGAGTTAGCGGGCAGAACAGATTCCAAGCGAGGCGCGCGCATTCGTGTCGCGACAGAGGGGCGACTTACCTGTTCGCACAGGTTTCTGTAGGTTGGATTAAGCTGCTTTTTTCCATGTTGATGCCTGTCTATCAGGAAGTAGTACATGTCGACAGCCTGAACCATGCGATTGAAGTGAGGCAGGTAGCCCTTGGCGGGTGAGATCCGGTACCAACCCGCCCTTCCAGCAACCCAGAGCTGGACGCTACGATCTTCTGCTTGGCCGTAGGCATAGTGGGTGACATCGTCGATGATCATTCGCTTGGAGAGGGCATCAGGGCTCAGTACTAGAGTGAGACAAACAAATGTGAGTGACGGACGAGAGACGCGTAGGCAATCAGTAATCAAGCTTATGCGCGCTTACCCAAGTGTTCCTGATTCGGTTTGAGCTGCAGCTCTCCAATAACTTGCACGGGATTCTTCTCAGTGGCTTCAAGGAGGTTCGCATAAAGCATCTTCCCTGGTCGTAAGACCTTAACCTCGGACAAGCCAAACTCCCACCAATCATTCTCATCCGAGATGGAAGGATCAATGGGAGGCAGGACTGTTTCTTCGCGGGAGGTCATGGTTGCGATCGCGGCATAGTGTATGAAGGAGTAAAGATGAATGAAACACGTTCAGATACATGAAAAGGCAGGAATGGCCTGGAATTTCGCGGGACATCAACAAGAGTAGGTGACTGGGGGATCGACAGGCTGATGCGGGTGCCTGAGGCTCCAGGTACCAGACCTGAATATAATCCACCCACCTAGTGGGTTATAAAGGCCTACAAGGCTAGATGGGACCAACAGTCCCCAACTACAAGTGATGAGCTACATGTAATTAAGGTGCTTATTCAAATTGAGACATAAACAAGCCCGAAATTAAGATCAGAAATTCTTTAAGACATGTTTCATTCTAACCTAACATACGCTACATCTCAAAAATGTAGCAGTGCTAGCTTAGCTCTAAGAGCACTTACAAGAATCTAAGTCATCAGCATGCTGTGTTTAGTTTTCGGGGCTTAATAAATATTGAATATTCAGAGGAACAAAATGAAATAAATGTAAGTCAATTCATCGTAGATGCAGGGTAACTCTAGTTATTACAGAAAGAAAGCAAAAGTGGAAATCTCCACGCGATTTTTTTGGCGCCGCATGCGCCTTCAAACATCTCCATCATGCATACAGGTCTTCTTCAAAAACCTTACATGCGACCCTGAGCACGCTTGCTCTTGCCAGGGCGCTTAGCACCACCAGACTTCATCTTCTTGGCAGAGAATGAACGCATGTCACCACTGGAAGCAGCATCACCGCTCTTAGAGAAGCGCTTCTTACCACCGAAGCCGAACTTCTGATCTCTCTTTTGACGCTTGTTGTTGGGACCACCCTCGCCACGGCCACGCTTGCGGCTGTCGGATTGGCCAGCATCCTCGATAGCCACGTCGAAGAGGTCGTTGGCATCGTCGGTAGGAGCAGCAGTATCAGCCTTACGCTCTGTAGAAAATTGTTAGTAAAGGAAAAGGAATGTGCTGCTTTGGGTAAAACATACTCTTCTTCAGGGTATTGATCTTGTCAAGAGTCTCGCGCTTCTCCTTAGCTCTCTGCTGCAACTTGGCGACCTGCACCTGCTTGCCAAACTTCTTCAAGTCACGTTGGCGGCGCGCCTCAGCAGCGGCCTTCTTACCAGCAGCCTCGTCATACAGCTTCTTCTTGATTCTGTCCATGTGCTCATCGTTCTTGACCATCTCCGCAAAATAGTCACCGGGTCGGGTGAAGGCAACGCCTTCCTTCTTCAGGAGACCACGAGCCTGGGTAGCGGCAGCCTGGCAAACCTTGTAGAAAGCCAATTCACGGTTGAGATCATCGTTGGGGTCTTCAACCTCGATCGGCTCTTTGGACACGAGGGAATTGTGCTCGGAGAATGGGGTCTGAGATGTGATGAAAGAGATTCGCTTGAGGGAGGAGGTGATTGCGGCGGAGTTGTTAATTGTCAGGCGTTGGTGAGTGACGACATCTTCGCGCTCGTCATCTTCAAGGTCTGATAGAGGGATATCTTCTTCTTCTTCCTCCTCGTCATCCTCTTCCTCCTCAACCTCTTCCTCGTCGGACTCCTCTGCTTCCTCCTTGTTCTGAGCCTCTTCGCTCTCGTCAGCCTCGGAGCTCACGGCCTCTTCCTCAGCAACCTCCTCGGTCTCCTTGACCTTAGCTGGGCTGGCATCGGTCTTCTTCAAGCCTTTGCGCTTCTCGGCAGCCTTAACTGACTTCTTCTGCTTCTCGGCATCATAATCGCGACCCTTGTGGGCATCGAGAGCCTGAAGCAGCTTGCTTCGTTTGACCATTGTGTATATGTGGTCGGGGTGTAATTGGGGGGTTGGAAATTAACTGGTAGTAGAGAGACAGCGGATTGATGCTCTTGATTTTTTTGAACCGGAGCCAGTCCCGATATGGGTTAGCGTGGGCGATAAGCGCTGGATATGGTTAGTGTGAAACGGAAGGCGGTCTAAGTGATGATCCGGCCTTATCGTTATTGATGCCCATACGAAGTACAGTTCACCCAAGTAACTGGGGAGTTGTTTGCGTTTTCAGGTTATTCAGTTTTATCAAGCCTTTTGCTCTTCAAAGATACTCAGTACAATATGCCTGAGGACTCAACTCCAGCCAAGACCTCAGCAGAGGAGTCCCTGCTGTCACAGCCTGTATGTCATTCTTCCATCGCTCCACAGGCCTCAAAACTAATCAAGTCTAGAACTCCGATGCCCAAGGGCAACTCACGGCAGCTGTTGATGAGCTGCTGGATCAACTGCAAGGCAAATTCGAGAATGTTTCCAAAGAGATGTTTGGAAAGCGTACGTTCGCCCCCAGCGTTCAATATTCAATGCGTCGTGTACACTGACCCCTCCAGTGGATGATATGACCCGCCGCCTAGATGAATTGGAGGCTGGGCTATCAGCTGCAAAGAACGATGCGTCAGCGACTCCTCCACAGTGAAATTCCATCCTTGTTGCCCGCAACTTGAATGCCTACTCTTCTCTACTATTATGACAGGCCTGTCACTACCCCCGTTTTTTAAGACTACACTTAAGTGCCGCAGTTATCTTTCTTATGCGAAATCACGATACCCTACGTTTCAGACCAATGCAGTTTAAACGATATAAAGAGTCTCTCAAGGAACCCATTCTCGTATCCATATATAAGAGGATTTCTTCAAACTTATTCATTCCAAGTCCTAGGCACAAGGCCTACTAAACATCAGATCGATTTCTCAATTCATACAATACAGCAGCATCTGCCAAGTATATTCATTCAAATTTCCCGGAAAATCACTACAAGTTCCATATACTGTAGCTTCCTCGGGGATCAACACCAATCAAGTAGTATCAAACGAAGCAGCTCGTTTACAGCTCATCCTTCTTCTCCTGGTCCTCGCCAGCGAAGCGACGCAGGATGTTGCTTCGGGAGACAAGGTCATCGACCTTCTCCGGGGCGGAGTTGCCCTTGCTCAGAACCTTAACCAGACGAGCCAGCTCCTTGGAGACGTAGCCCTGGTTCTCGCTCAGCTTGGTAGCAACCTTGACGTAGTACTCAGCGTACTTGTCCTGCAGACCGGTGGCAGCCTTCTTGACCTCGGTAGCCAGCGACTCGAAGTTGGCAGCAGCCACGTACTCGCTAACCAGCTTGTCAAGGGCAGCAATGGTACCGGCCTGGGCGTCCAGACCACCACCAGCGACACGGTGAGTACCAGTCTTGGTGTTCAGGAATTGGATCAAAGCATCCTCGGAGCGGGCGCCGGAGTAGATCTCGGCCTCGGTGGAGCCAGCGGGGAAGAACTTGATGGTAGGGTAGCCGGTGACACCCTGCTCCTTGGTCAGAGCACGAGAGTTCTCAGCTTCGGCATCAACCTTAGCGATCACGACGTTAGACTCAAGGTCGAAGTCAACGGCGAGGGATTCCCAGGCAGGAGCGAGGTTCTTGCAGTCTGATAAGAGAACAAAGAGGTTAGTCGGAGGAAATGAGAAGGGAACACGGTGTATAGATCCTGCAATTGGGATCAGAAAAAGGAGCTACTCACGGCCACACCACGGCGCAGTAAAGGCAACCAGAACGTTCTTGTCACCACCAACGGTGGACTTGAAGGAAGCGTCATCCAGCATCTCAATCTTGCTGGCCTCCTTCTGCGCGGAACGAGGCTTAATACCGGTCTTGTCAGTGATCCATGAAGACAAGCTCTCAAGATCACGACCACCCTTGTACTCCTCAGGCTTATCACTCTTTCCATCGAACCACTTCAGGGTGGGGAAACCCTGAACGCCGAAGCGCTTTCCAAGATCACGGTTCGCATCGGCATCAACCTTAGCAACGGTAACCTTATCCTCGGCGAAGGCGAAAGCGGTAGCGAGCTCCTCGTAGACGGGGGCAAGGGTCTTGCAGTGACCACACCAGGGAGCGAAGAACTCAACCAGAGCGGGCTTGCCGGACTTCAAGACGACCTCGTCAAAGTTCGTGGGGAGAAGGTCCTTAACGGCGGAGCTGGCGTTGGCAAAGCTGCCGAGCGCGGAGAGGGCACCCAGGAGCAGGAAGCTCAGACGGGCCATTTTGAATGTGATGAAAGTAAAATTCTTTCTTTTTGGGGTTTCCTTCCTTTTGAGAAGTGTAAGTCAATTACACAGAAAGTGTTTTGGAAGAAAAGGACAAGAGCTCTAAGCAATTGGCGCCGGGGGTAATTGATGACAAAACACGCCGAAGAGGCCACTTGGTCCCGCCCGCCGATCAATGAGCCCACTATGTATATCCGAGTCTCTATGGATATATGGTGAACTAGGTCTGGTTTGGCGACTCTCTAACACAATCTAGATAGATTAAATGTAGTTAAATACCGCTGCTGCCATGATGTGACTAAAATGGATTATTGTTTTGATTTTTATGGATTACTAGATAGTAATACAATAGAGAATTTGCCAACACATCCAAGCCAAGTCCAGGTAAATTCAGCAAGCGAATAGGTATGAACTAAGGATGCATTTTGCATAGGTAAAGGCCCCGAAATCCCCGATAGCCCGATAAAAAAAGGATTCTGGGCCTCACTGTGTGTCAAACTGATTACCGTCTCTCGGACAGCCATTTGTTTGCGTTATCCCACAACTTCGTGTCCTTCAGTTCGTTGCTCGCCGCTTGAGTGCCCTTGTAGACCTAGATAGTGTATTAGTTGGGATTGATGGTAAAACAGAGGAATGTGAGCGCTTACCGCATCCCAAAGTTTGAATGCCTCGTCCAGATTGCCTGTGAAGCTCTCGCTGTGCTGGAACCACTCCTTTCCCTTTGACTTGACCTCGGCGCGAGCCTCGGGGGATGTAGGCTCCGCTTGCAGGGGAAGGTCATCCAGGTAGGTGCGAACAGCAATTCCCAGTCCGCAATCATTATCATCAATAAAAGGCAGCCTGCTGGTATTGAGTTAGCATAACAGATTCAGCTGTCTCTTTCTGTGGCAGATGAAACACATACTTAATTGACATCTCGGTCCAATCCTTGCGGTCCCGATCAGCATCACCGCTGAGCAAAAGACTAGTCAAAACAACCTCGATCAAATTCCTCAGTGCAGATCGCACCTCGGAGATCAAAGCGCGGTAGCAGAGAAGTTGTCGGCTCAGTGGGCCGGAATAGCCGATGCTCTTATGCTGCAACTTCGCAATGCATGCAACGCGAGAGATGAGCATATTGAAGGTCTTATCGTCGTCTGGAAAAAAGATAGATTGGTCAGTACATTATTCTTGAGGGTATATTCAAGCGCAGGAGAATATAATACCTGAGCCTCTCATAGGACCACCAGATACATGGGAGAACCAATTCTTTGTGTTGAGAAGGTCGAAGCGAAGCATCTCAATAGCAATGAATATAGCATCTTCCAAGTTATCTGCAGGGTCCACACTCGATAAAGCTTGCTCCAGGCACTTGCCCCACACAGTGAGCTTGTGCTTGTCATCAACATAACCACGCAGTTGCAAGAACCGCCAAATAACGTTAGAAAGAATATCCTCTTGGGATGACAGAACCTAGAAATTATGTTAGATGTTGGGGTGGGACTTGTGGCCTTGAGGAACACATACCGGATCCTCTTTGGTAGCAAATGACTTTGGTACGAAGTCTGAGCTATTAAGACTTTGGACGGCAAATTTGAAAGAACCAAGAGGTACTTGCAACTTCTTGACGCTCTCGGGGAACTGCGCAGAAGGGATTCTCCATGCCTGAATCGTTTCCTTCACAGAGGGGATGTTCTTCAAGTTGATTTTTTCATCTGAGCTTTCGTCGAACCAGGGGCGAATATGAATCTCTTTAGTCTGATAGAATCGGTGAAGCGAGTTGGCTAGCAGGCAGATGGACTGTGTGCGGATAGGGGTGAGAGTTTCTCCGACAAGCTGGCGGTAGACTTCGGTATCCTCTGCACCCATCGGCAATGAAGATCGCACTTCACCTGAGGTGAGGTAGTTCGGTACATCTGCCCCCAAAACACCCTTGGATAAGTAAAAGTAAAGCTCTTCTGGAAGTCGCTGGCCAATAATTTCGTGCAAGTCAGAAGAGACAGTCTCCGATTCCATGGGAACAACTCGTCCTTCCAAATCCATATAAACGTGGTACTTGACGCTCAAATATGCGCGCTTGTACCGGTCCACATATTGATACTCGTTCATGCGACGGTCCTCCTCGTACTGGGCGCACATGGCCAAAGCAGTTCGCCCGGCGGAATTGAACATTGGCAGAGCATCGCGAATATTAGGAAGCTTTCCTGGGTAAGCGGGGTTTTCAAAAAGAGGGCAGGGTCGTAGGAACGACGACCCTAGAAGGAGAAGGAATTCCAAGAACTGTTCATTTGATAGACGACCCAGCTCCTCCTGACAAGTTTGCTTGGTGAGCCAGGTGAATTGTGCCGGTTCAGTCTCGATGCGGGTCACCAGCTTATCCAGATCAAACAGGAAGGCTTCGGACGGACCGTATACGGCATCGACGACGGGGTTGGAGCCACGGGCGAGGTAGGAGAGCTAACGTAAGGCGCAATGAGATCAGTCTCAAACTATGTAAATTAGTTCCCAAACTTTTTCAGACACTCACCTGGGCGACCGCGCTATATGGCGCCACCAGAAAGGGGACGCCATTTTGGTTCAGGATCCGTTGCAGGAACTTGAAGAGGGTTTCCGGGGGTGGGGTCCCTGGGGGGTCAAGGGGGTCAGCGGTGTTTGCGTAATATCCAACGGATGGGTGCGACCAAGTCCAGTCATCGTCAAATGGTGGTGGGGATGTCGGCCACATTGCAGGGATCCCGTATGGAAAGATTGGCATACCAGCGTTGCTGAAGGCGTCCACGACCTGGTCGGCCTGTTGCTGGTCGTAGAGGTCCCAAGCCTGTTCGAAGGAGCGCACTGATGCGGGTTGCGCCTGCGTACGTTGATCTCGTTTGCCGAAGTCAAGTCCATTGAAGACGAAAATGCAGCCGATGCCCAGACCTTTGAGGGCCTGCAGCTCTTTCTCGATATTGTTCTTCAGAGCGAATGGGAAACCTCCCAAGGCACCTAGAAGAGCTTCCCGAGTTGACTGATTCACCAAATGTTGTTGAATGTAATGAGCAGCATCGATACCGATGACAGTACCTTTCAGGGCGGAGAGAGGGAGGGATTGGGTGCGGCCTACGGCCCAGTCATCGAGGGGGCGGACTAAAGGCGAGGTGTTAGCAAACTGAAGCAAACCGGACAAGGTCGCGATCTTGGAATTACTAGGCATGGCTTTGAAGCTGTAGGGCGAGAAGCGCGGCTAGATGCCGAGCATTGAAGCCCTTGAAGAGACAGTGGGAGAGAGTAGTGGGGATGAGGTTGAAGAAACACGGGCTGAAGAAGGTCGCGAGATGCGAAATCACGAGGAGGGGGGAAAGCGGAGTTGCAAGTTGCAAGTTGCAACTCACTTGCTGTTGGCTTCTTTCACCAACACCAACATTAAATATCTAAATCTGGTAAAAAGGACTTGCTCATGAACTTTTTATTTCATATTAGATTGAATTGATTCTGATATATTTATTGTGTTTCCACTATGGGAGATCCATGCTACTGGATATTAGTGTGCCTGAGTCCAGGCCAATCAGTCGATCATAGTGTGATCATCAACTGATAAGACAGTTCCAAGGTTGATACAGAACCCTGAAGAGACTATATATTAGATGCAATTGAAAGAACATAGATTAGTATGTATTCCTCAATTTAATCTCTAAACATATAGCACTCAGTATTCTAGCCTTCTTATCATGATGTTCTATCCACCTTCAGATTGATCTAATGTCTGGTTTAAACTGAGAAGTTGCTTATGTGGATTTGCCTAAAATGTTATACTACATGTATCGATTGTCCATACCCAGTCACTCAGTCTACACTAGGACTAGTATTAGTGTCATATATCCCAGTACATATTGACGCCAGATGCCTCCAGATGCCTCCAGATGTCCAATGTTGTTTGAATGTTCTAGGTATCATTGAGAAACGCACGTGCGGGGTGTATAATATATTTACTGTGTAATAGCTCACAAAGCCACCTGGGCAACTGACACTACCTATTGCTACCTCCAGGGCTATGTACTGACCTGAGTAAGACTACAATTTGTCCCTACATTGATCATTCAGCTCAACTTACTATAATCAAACTAGGACTCTAATCATCCAAATTATTTACACCTACGGCCCCAGTGGAATGTAACTTGAACTCCACCATTAGATATGACAGATACGCGATAGGCGGGTCCCGCAGTTTTTTTCATGTAACCGATCTCTCATGTGCTATCTTAGCTATATATTGTTCCACGCCCCATATTTTTTTTGTCTTGAACTTTGAAAATCTGGAGTTACCCCTGATTTGAGATCATTCAAAAGTACTATAAAAGTACTTTATACCCAAAATGGCGGACACTGCTGCTCCCATTGAGCTTCCTGTCATTGACATCTCCAACCCGAATGATCCCGCCGTGGGGAAGGCCATGCTGGATGCCGCGGCCAAGTACGGATTTTTGTATGTGAATAGCAAGGGCACTGACTTCTCTGTTGAGGATGTTGATAATGGATTTGGATTGGTATGTCTGAGTTCTCTTCTTTTCGAGTTGTAGATGGTTACTCATACTTCATTTGGTCGAACTTGTGGACTGACTACTGACTCACTATTTAGTCGAAGAAGTTCTTCGCTTCTCCGGCCTCGGAGAAGGAGGTTTGCCGGATTGAGCCGAACGTTAGTATCACTCTTGAATAACCATACCATCTGGAAGTACTTGAGTGTTAAATTGTACTCACCATCATGTAGAACCGCGGTTGGTCTGGTATGCACACGGAGACACTTGACCCTGAGCACCAACGGGTATGCTACCTTTCCTCTAAACTTGCATTCATCCAATCTTCATTGAAACTAATCATACCAATTTTATCTGAAACTAGACTGGTGACTTCAAAGAGTATGTCTTCATACACAGATAAATCATATCAATATCACTAACAAGAATTAGAGCCATGAATTTCGGTGACTTCAAGGATGGCAAGGCTCAACAGCCTCTCCCAGCATCACTGGCTCCCCACGAATCCGATATCAACGACTTTGCCCAACTCTGCAACAAGACCTGCACTCGGATTCTGAATCTTCTTGCTCTAGGCCTCGAGGTATGTTAAACCAACTCCATTCCCCATATAACTATACGCAAACCCATACTAAAATGAATATAGATGCCCGAAGATTTCTTCACAACTCGCCACAACCCCAGCAACGGTCCTACAGGTAGTATCCTGCGCTACTTGTACTACCCATCTATCTTCTCGCCCGCAACAGCAAGCTACAAGCATGATAAGGACGTACGTGCAGGTGCTCACTCCGACTACGGTAGTATCACTCTTCTATTCCAGCGACCCGGTCAACCAGGTTTGGAGATTTTTACTCCCGAGGGAACCTGGGCCCCTGTCCCTATTATCCCCGGTAATGATGCGGATGCGTACCCCTTCCCACCAATCTTGGTGAATATTGGAGATCTGTTGAGTTACTGGACCGATGGGTTACTTAAGTCTACTGTTCATCGGGTTGTGTTCCCCCTTGAAGAGCAGAGGAGTCCTAATCCCCAGGATCGGTATACCCTTGTTTACTTTTGTCATCCTGTTGATACTACCGAGTTGGTTCCTGTTCCCAGTGAAATTGTTAAGGATCATCGTGCGAAGGTTGGAGGCGTCGGTGTTGTTGGGTTTGGAGGTGGTGCGGGCAGTATGGAGCCCGGCAAGCGTCCCTTGACTGCTTATGAGCATCTTGAGTCGCGGTTGGCTGCTACTTATGGGTTTACTAAGGACGAGTAGGATGTTAAAGAATGAGTGGGATTCCAAGATCAGATAATGAATTACTGAATTACGAAGGAGAGGAGACACTTGGGAGGAGAATTGAATCGGTAGAAAAAACTTCAATGCAAATGTTTGGGGTGTTTCATTTCATGGCGAATAGACAATAAACAATAGGATCGATGATTGGAGAAATGAAAAAAAAAAAAACGCCGGTGCCGTGGTGGCAAAGTGCAAAACAAAACAAGATAGACTGATCCTCCGCAAGAACATGAAGTATCGTTTGGGAATTGACAGAAAGATGCCTGGAGAGACCGTCAAGAAGTTCAAAGTGCGTCAGAATGGGGTATGTCCCATATAAAGAGAAAGGAAACTCGTGGCCGCAACAATTAGGTATAAAAGGCTGCAAGCGAAGAAGTGGATGTTCCATGAGAACGAAAAGGGTGAATGGAAAAGAATTCCAATATGATAAGACGATAAAATGTTAAAAGATATACACTCATGACAAATGGGGGGAATGTATGGGAATCGAGGGAATAAAGCGGAGGCTTCAATGAAAAAAAGCCCGACATGCCAATGAACCAAGAATGGATGCACGTGTGCGAGAACGACAAGAGAGAAGCAAGAGGTATGAGAAAAGCCAGAAAAAGCCAGACGACATGTAACTAGGTATATTTGGGGGAGGTCGAATTGAAACGCCGCCAGGTTTTGCAAATGCCATCCGCAAAGTAGACTTGAGACTTTGTAAAAAACAATATAAAGAAGGGAGAAGAGAGAGAGAGGAGGGTTGGAGAAGATATGACGCTATGCGAGCCAGTATGCATGGAAATCAAGAAATGGTGTGTTAAACTCCTTCAAAGTCGTCGGCGGTCGTATCAAGCAGTCGTATGGCACCAATGGCGGTGGTATACCCACGCTGCCTTTTGGCAATCTTTGCTGCAGTACTTAGTGCGGCGACAGCGGCGACACTTGGCGAATTGCCGCTGAAACTCCTCCCACTTTCCGCACTTGTAGTACGCGCATTGGCGAATTCCACCGCGCGACTCATCCTTGCGGCAAAGATTCCTCATGACCACGCAAGCCCAATACTGCATGTCCTTAGAATGATGACGCACAGTGAACTTCTCCACCAGGGGGAAGATATTGACATCATCAGGCAGTAGGTATTCGTCCTCATCCTCGGGTGCCTCTATGGGAGAAGAGGGATCCGCATTTTTCGTCGAAAAGATGCAATTCACGGTCAATCTTGAGTCTGGGCACAAGGTGAGAACGCTGGAAATATGAGCGAAGGTTGCAATACTTCGAGACATATGCCAGGAGCTGAAGGGACATCAAGACATCCTCATCTCGAGGCATAGTTGACAGGATGTTCTGAGCTGCGGGGGTGTTTCGATCACGGAGGTACATGGCGTAGGGGCTGGGAGCGAGAGTGGGGGAATTAGGGTTGTTCGTGGCCTGGGTAGGAGAAAGACCCAATCCACCGGCGTTTTGTGTGTTTTGTGTGTTGTTGATTATGCTACCATCAACCGCAGAGCGATGGGCAATGTTGAACGTCTCGGCTTCCTGGCCTTCTTCGGAGGGATCTGTCACAGTCAATCCGCCGTGGGTTGCAGAAACATCATCGATCATCGCGGTGGTTGACTGCTCATCCACTGTGTCGATATCCATTCGGTTAGGCAGAGCAACAATGGGTCCTGCCCCCTGGCCTAGAAGATTGTCATCGCCCATGGCCAAGTCCTCTCCGTTGGCATCGTCCGATTCACCCGACGCAGATTGCTGCTGACGCTGACGCATCGGTGGTCGCTGTCTCATGGGAGGAGGTGGGGGAGGAGGAGGAATGTTTCGTGCATGAGAATGGATCGGTCCACTGGGAGTTGTTGGAGAGTCCGGCTGTGAGATGAGACCAGTTTGAAGCCCGGGGAGCATGCTGGGAAGACGCTCCGTATCGCGCACGGGACGTAAACCAAATGTTTCAGCGGTATCCATCGGAGAAACCGAAGTGGCAAGGGGTTGCATGGTGCGCAGACGATGGCTGGCGCGGGTGTGTCGAGCATCGTGCGTTCGGTGATTGTGGATTTCCTGTCGGAAAGTGGTGCGTTCTGGAGGAGTGGTCATTGGAGCACGTGGGGAGATGTGACATCCATCACATCGGAATCAGTCGGTTGATTTTCTTGGTAGTATGGCTGGGGGATTTCGATGCTTGGAGGAGGAGCCTGGCGACGAGAGGAGCGAGATTCAGCGGGAAGATTGGAGTCGGCGCCGGATCGTCCAGTAGTCTCACGCAGGGAGGAGGAACTGGACTTGCTGGGAGCAGCTGATCGACTGGAGTGCTTGTGAGATTCGGGATCGGCCCGCGATCGCACTTTGTCCACAACCTTGATGTAATTGTCCAGGATGGTGGCAATTACGGGGACCATGTCGGCTTCGACCACTCGAGTCCGCACATTTTCCGAGCCTCGAACTCCAATATTCACAACACACTGGAATGCAAGACTCCATTTCCACATTTCCATGAGATCCTTGCTTTTCCCCTCCTTCAGGATGCAAACGAGTCTTTCGATCCCGCCATCGACGGTGAGAATGTCCCGAATACGTGCGGACGACGTTGTGAGGTAAGCGAGGTGATTCAATGAGTTAATCAGCGGTAATGTTGATGTACAATCAAGGGCCCGTCGATCATATAGAGTTGTAGTGATATTGACCGAAGCCTTGTTCACGTTCGGGATGCTAAAGTTGACTTCCCGCATTATGTCGGCGGATAGCGATTTAAGAGAAAAAAGAGGCAGAAAAAAATGCAGGCAATGAAAGATCTGAAAAAGATCCCAGGACTAATGCAGACCAAAAAACCCAAACGGTATTTAGAATGCAAAAACCAGATGGACGAGGACCTTGACGAAGTGACGTCTGGGATGGTAGGATTTCAGCCCCTAAAGCAGACGGCGTCGGCGTCACAAGGGGTGTGATCAGTAAATCCTTGCAAACAGATATTGCTTTATTGCAGCGACATCGGGAAGGGCGAGATAGTATGTAGATACTATTAAGCGGTGCCCGATGGGGAGGAGGGGGTTGAGGGGGGGCGTGGGCGATTGGGATTATGACTCCAAGAAATCCTCGATATAATGAGTCAGGGGGAGAAGAAGTGGTGAGAGCGAGGGCACACAGAGAGTCAAATTATGGAGGAGGTTAAAGGAATGGAAGATAGTTATGATGAACACAGATAGGGAGATGAAGGCGTTGGTGTTATTGAGGATGAAGGAGGGAGAAAAGCCTTTGAGGGCGAAAGCGGAGAGGCGTCAGGTGCCTCCTTAATATTACGGGACCCGAGCATTGGCTTCCCGCCACCGTGAACCGACTCTCCGCTCTATTTTTAACGGCACTTGCACTGTGGTACATTGTTATTAGATGTTTTCTCTTCGTCCGACTTTCTCATTTTCTCATTTTATTCCTTTGTATTTCATCTCAACATTCTCTATCACTTTACATTATTGCCCTGCAGAGTTCTCCGCTTCCCTCGTGGCGACAAATGCCCCGTATTGACTTAGCCCACTTGAAACCGAAAATGGCATCTATGATCATTCAGCGCCTTCCTCAGGCAGCGAGGCTTCAATATTTCATGCATGCTTCTACGTAATGATGATCTGCAGGATAGGAAATCCTGCTTAGGTTTTGTTGATGGAGCACGGGCTCATATTTCTTTGTCGCAATCCATTTTCTCAGAATGGGGCTCATAATTGACGTGGACCCTCAAACCGCGCGGTTCGCCATAGGTGAAACTGAGATAACATCTATTTTGATATACCCTGTCACCTCCTATCCTTTCGACTTGGAACTTGATATTCAATTTGATATATCACTTTACAATTGTGGATGAATTGCTCTTTGATGGCACAATGGGTCAATGCCCTAAGGGGCTAATGAGGAACTCGTGAGAAGCTGGTGCTGCGGCCTGGATAGCAGGCCACCAAGGTATGGGATATTGATAAAATATCGATTGTCCGACAAAAATAGGGGTAATCCCATTGCAGGTAACTCCTGAAAGCATATCAATTTCAATGTTCTGGGAAGTTCTAGTCTTTTGAGACGGCACTAACTGTAGATCCCGTTCAATACCATGCCTCTCTAGGGTTCCATTCGAGATGATCCATATAGAAGATCCTGTCGTTCGCAAACATCTAGAAAAGGGAGATAGAAGCATAGCCATTCCAGGTGACCATGTGGTGGCTAATATGCTAATATAGAATCCACTTTTGGGTCCATGGGTAAACTATCAAATAAACTATACTCCGTAGAGCATGACTCGACCGTTTGTTTGCCTTATCCCTTGTTCACATGTGCATTTGCCTTGAATATGATGATATGAGATGATTGGATCATGCTTTATATCCTCACGAGCATCTCCTGCCAACTAGTTCAGCGTCGAAGGATGGGGAATCAACGAATCAGAGCATCAAGATCATGTTGGTAATCTTCAATCTTCAATGTTGGTTGTTGGTCAGAAACCATCGAAGAGATCACGTGTTTCCATACTGAAGACATTAGGGCATGGAAAAGCACCCGGCATCATATCCGACTGTACGGAGTACTCCATATGGAGTACTCCGTACATGAAAGAAAAACAATGACAAGGATAATCTAACGGCATTGCTTGCATTTCTGGGGCCCTTCAGTGTCGATCCTCCAGTGGAGATCCTGAGTGGAGTGAATATGGGCATGCCCAATATTCGAAGGTGCCAGTGGAGCGGTTTGTGCAAAAACCTAAGGGCTAAATAATTTAAAACCCCCGTAACAATTGTATGCTTCGTACGGAGTACACTTCTGTATCTATCTATAATCCGACCCGAACCTCAGATTGGCCCCAAATGACCCCTTCCGGGTGACCTTCAGGACTGGAAGAGTCTTGCTGACGTGAAGATAATACGGAAATAACAAGCGTTACGAATCTCAGCTGAACTTCAAGCATGCCTTAAGGCCATACTGACGTGAGCTGGAAATTTCCAGCTGCAAATAGAGATCGACTCGGGGTTCCTCTCCAGCGGGTTCTCTCCGGGTCAGGACGAGGGAAAAAAGGGGGGGTCTAGAAACCGACTTGCGCCGCAGTGGAGAAGTCATCTTCCTGACGCACCGATGAACGGCTCGGCTGGTAGAGACCAAGTTCTGGAGATTGAAGGAGCATTGACAGGATCAAAATGGTCAGATTTATAGAGACTAAGGAATTCGCAGATCATCTTTTCTTCTTTTTCTTCTTCATCTTTTCTGTGCTTTGTTAAATTCTTGATTCCCTGATTTTCCCTCCTTTCACAGAGAGGATTATGCAGATTAGTCAGTCTCCGAGGTGGAGACCGCAATACTCCCAAATAGGGAATGGTCAATTGAGCTTGGACCTATTGGTGGCTGGGTGATACAGTTCCGAGCTGCTGTATTGTAAAACTGTCAAGACGAGATTTCGATCCCCAGAGTCTGTTCTAACATTATGAAAGTTTTCATCTCCAGGGCTGCAGGCTATACTTAGTACACAACAAAGTGAAACGTGCCCAAGTGGACAAAGGCCCCCAAAAATAATCATTCTTTCGGGCGTCTAACCCGGTTGTTTAATAGGGCCAATTAGGGCCCCCAAATGCTGCAAGTGGTGCCCCAGGTGTGGACGCAGCGCGGAACCAATCTCTCGGGAATAATGATGCCAGACTGCACCACACGCCAATCAGAGGGGTAAAGGAAATCAAGTGGGAAATAGCCGCGGGTTCTGGATGTGGCGAATGTTGAGGCTGTCAAGTCTTTAAACATTTTAAAGAATGTAAAAAGGGGGGGGGGGGTTATAATGGCAGGTTTATACATGGTTATATACTCCGTACTAGCCTGAGGAAACAGGGGGGGACCCATCGTTCTTAGTTCGCTCCGCTAGGAAATGTACGAAAGGGTTACATTGTGTACTATAGAACATTTTTGGAAGGGCTTACAGAGTTAACCATTTGGGGTTTGATTTTGAGTATCTGGATTTGGGGCCATACTGGGCCGATCTCCGCCACATGTACTGGAATTCTCATAAATAGCATTGTCTACGCTAAATATCTTACTAGAGGGGGGCCAACTTTTCCCCTCTTCTTGAATATTAAACACATGTGCAAATTCAATACTCGATAACTCGAAATTGATACGAGATTACCGAGATGATTTATCCAGAATTGAACATTATGCATCTCATGCAGGTTAATACTGAGAAAAAGGATCAGGTACCCGGGGAGGGATATAGTAATGAATCCCCTGTATTTATGTATTGACATTGTAATATTGCGGGAGCTGAAGGAAATGATGCCGTACAATACTGTAGCACTTGTCAATATACACAAGAATCAATTTATCGACTAAAATCTTCAAGTTAAGAAATTCTACCGAAATAAAATGAAAACAAAAACAAATAATACAAATAATTGATCAATTCCAAATTATCGACTACTAGTAATTGAATTTTAAACCAACAGATTCCAATGTTGGAGGATTTCTCAATTCAAGGGAATGCAATCACTACGGCGATGTCATCCAGTTTTACCACTAGTGTGGTAATACACTCGCCCCCTGTTCAGAACCTTCGATTCCCTCCCTCTTTCTCTCTCTTCCTCTAAGCCGGTGCTTCCCCCCCCCCCTTGCGACCTTTTCTCGAATTTTACTTTACTTGTATTATGTTCACAGCTTGAAGACCTCACTCGGTCGCCTCCGTCTTCGCTCCACTTTCAACTTTGACTCTTTCCTTTCCCCCCCTCGGTCCCTTAATCCCCCCCCGTTTACCCCCCCCTGGACATCAATCCCATAGCTTCCCCTCCTTCCAACAATCCTCAAGGGGTCCCTATCCGGCAATATGGCAACCGATATGTCGGGCGAACAAATGCAGGCCAAAATTACAGCGGCCAGACGTGAAGCAGAGGGTTTGAAGGACAAGATCAAGCGCCGAAAGGATGAGCTGGCCGACACCTCCCGTACGACTACCTTTCCCACTCGAAACAATCATCCACACTTCTCCTTCATCTTCCGCGGAATAGAACTCCGTGCTGTTAAAACAAACGGAGATGTCGACATGGTGGATTGAAATGAATAATACTGACCTTTTGCAGTCCGCCAGGTCGCGTCCGATCAGACCGATGCCCTCCCTCGAATTGGTATGAAGCCTCGCCGAACACTGAAGGGCCACCTCGCCAAAATTTATGCTATGCACTGGTCAACCGACCGCCGTCATCTTGTGTCAGCTTCGCAGGACGGAAAACTGATTATTTGGGATGCCTACACCACCAATAAGGTCCACGCTATCCCCCTGCGGTCTTCTTGGGTTATGACCTGTGCTTATGCGCCAAGTGGAAACTACGTTGCTTGCGGTGGTTTGGACAACATCTGTTCCATCTACAACTTGTCATCGCGCGAAGGTCCGACTCGCGTTGCGCGTGAGCTGTCTGGTCACTCCGGTTATCTCTCCTGCTGTCGCTTCATCAATGATCGCCGCATTATCACCTCTTCCGGCGATATGACCTGTATGCTGTGGGATATCGAGTCTGGATCTAAGGTTACCGAATTCGCCGATCACCTTGGTGATGTGATGTCGATCAGCATCAACCCGACCAACCAGAACATCTTCGTGTCCGGTGCTTGCGATGCGTTCGCCAAGCTGTGGGATATCCGTACTGGCAAGGCTGTGCAGACATTTGCCGGCCACGAGTCTGATATCAACGCCATTCAGTTTTTCCCCGATGGCAATGCCTTCGGTACCGGCTCGGATGACACTTCCTGCCGTCTGTTCGATATCCGTGCTGATCGCGAGTTGAACATCTACCAGGTGCGTTGACTCTCAATTTTTTATGCAATATGTATGAACTTCATAATTTGGAAATCTGGAAACTAATTTGGAATTTTTTCACCTGTTCAACAGAGTGACCAGGTTCTGTGCGGTATCACCTCTGTCGCATTCTCCGTATCTGGCCGATTACTCTTCGCCGGTTACGATGACTTCGAGTGCAAGGTAGGTTTCTTTTTGGAAATAAGGCTCATTTCTTGAATCATGACTTATTGTAAACCTAGGTGTGGGATGTCCTCCGTGGCGACAAGGTCGGCTCATTGAGCGGCCACGAGAACCGTGTGAGCTGCTTGGGTGTCAGCAACGATGGTATCAGTCTGTGCACTGGATCTTGGGATTCTCTCGTAAGTTTTCTTCTGTCTAGGCTAAGAAGCTCTACTAATTCTGATTTTCCCCTCCATTATAGCTCAAGGTCTGGGCCTGGTAATTCTAAAAAAGAAAAACAAACGCAAGATACCCCGTGTCGATCATTTGCAATGCTCTTATTCGAAATTTTTCTTGGTTCGATGGGTTGGATCTCCGCCAATGTACGATAAATAATCAATATCGGGCACCTCTCAAGGCCTCCTGATAATACGGCGCAGAGATCGGACCGTCGTATGCAATTCAGAAAGCGTTAGTGGAGGTGAACGCGATGCCGGGGAAGAAACGAAAGCGACGACACAATGTTTGGATACGACGAGAGCGCTGCCGCTTGGATTGTCGATGGTTGCGTACGCATCCCCTCCAGGTCGTACAGACTGGAAACACAGGTGCTTCTTCCATGGCTATCTTCGTCAGCCTCCTGGCTCTCAGTTTCCCTGCCGGATGATGCCCATATGTTCTCTTCTTTCTCGAACCCTATTTCCCTTTTAACCCCTTGCCCTTTTTTTCTCTTCTTCTTTTTCCTTTTCTATTACCCCTCTTCGTTCTGGACTGCCTCTCCTGCATCGGTCTCGGTATGTATTTTCTCGGCGGAAAGGAAAGGACCGGTTTTGTTGGATTTGGCCATGATCTTTTTTTATTTGTTCAATTTATTTTCAGTTGCGTTACCGCGTCATCTCAGTTTCCTATTTCCCTGTTTCTCGTCAAAGAAAGAGTGTGCTTGTACTTATTTTTATATCTCCGTGACCCCGAATCTCTCCCCCGGGGTTCCTGACCGGATTTTTTCTTGATCTGGTTTGAGCAGCTCCGAATTTCCATATGTTCTTTTCAAATTTCGTCTTTCTTACTTCTCTTCTGGGCCCATTTGGGGGGGAAGGCATGTTTCATTTATGCTGGCCTTCATTTTCTCGTTTCATCAGCTTGGGCGTCTGAGTGGTGTGAGCTTCAGGCATAGTATTCATATAAGGTGTCTTCTAAGACTCAGCTGTCTTGAGTAGAGAGCGTAGAGGGTCTACCAATGTTGCCATACTTCAAGGTTAGTACATGTAAAGTAACTGGAACATGTTGAGGCATATAAAGCCCTGGACTACATCATGCACATGTGGATGGCGTCACACGCATCCATGGATGTTCCACTGCACATGTGTATACAGGTTCACGGTTCTACCATGTCATGTTATGGCGTGTAGATGGTACTCATATGAACGTCTTCCTCTTAATTCCTGGTTGTACCTTGTCAGAATCTACAGCCCAAAGATGATTAATTCCAAGGTTGTTGTCAATGTCGTTTACAGCACTCAAGTGAAGAGGTGAGTGTGCAGCCCACATGGCGAGGTTGTCAGATTCATCTGGCAGTCTTCATGTATCACTACTAGCAGTACTTGAACTTCAGGGCTCGACACATCTACTAGGTCTAGTTGCACCTGACTCAGTGGTCCAGTCAGCATGCGTGGCGTTCAGCTCTTACGATAGGACCGTAAACCGTTGCTATGGAAGTGGCAAAGATCGCCTCGTGTTGGACGGTCGAGACGCAGGGTCTGGCAGGCGAACTACTGGGGGAAAACTTACCCAACCGCCATCGACGCCCACACGATGGCGGGGGCCAAATGTCAGATACCAGATCTGGCAAGCAATAGCCCTAGTCCTGGCTATGGATGACGCTAACTAATTCGCCCACGAACAAGGTTTTTAGTCCTTCTTGGTCCTCCCCGACGGGATGGATTGAGAATAATCGCCATCTCACCATGTCCGGAGTATAGGGATCGTACCTGGTACCACAAATCCTGATTAGCAGTCACCGCTTGCTTCCGCTTGCTTCCACTTGAACCCTCAAGGACCTCCCCAGTTTAAACAAAGACAACAAGATCGCAAAGCATGGGTAAGTTCTCATGTCAAAGACCAGAACCGTGCACTTGGAAAGGATGGACTAGAAACAAGGCAGCCCGAGGGATTCCCCAAGTTCTATTTTCCGCTCCTGCATGGTCCGCCTTGTCAACACGAACCTTTTCTTTGATGCTAATTTTGTAACAGCATATGATCCATCCAAATCCCAATTGTCGTATGTTAACTTTCCCTTTTTCGTCCCAAGTGGATCTCTCAATCCTGCCTGTCTGATCTTCGGACTGCATTTTTCTCCGTCAAGTGATATTCCCGATACCATCCTCGATGAGGTCTAGTGTAAGAGATTAGCCGCTTTGAACACGAAGCTATGGAGTAAACGAAGCTGTAGGATTTGATTTTCTGTTAGTCTCTTACCCTGTCGTCGACTGACGAGGCAGTGATCAGCCCATAGCATTTTCTTTTTTTGGGGGCCACGACATGGACTAAAGTGGATCGAGGCTAGGATCTGCGTCATCTGGTGTTTTGGATCTCCCGGCGAATAAACGGTGTAGAAAACTGGGGCCGGCGCGCGTTAGTTTCGAATTTCAAGAGGCCTGAACATCCCACACGAGATCAAAGGAGCCTAAAAAAGCAAAGAATTGACCAAATAGGTAAACAGGAACAGGGATTAAGCAAAAAAAAAAGCCTGAAACACGGAGTTCACTGGGCGCGAACTTCTGATAACGGAATCCTAGTAAGGCTTGGCCACGTGGAAAATGAGAGTCATTGTTTGCATGATTTGCATATTTTGACATATTTGCATTCCAACTTCACAACTTCCCAAGTCTTTCAAGTCTTCTGAATAACCTCTAAGTTTCATTAAATATAGAATCAAGAAAGACAACAAAAGACAAATCAGAAACAAAGAAAAAAACAATCTCAGTGAAGTCATACTTCGTTTTATCCCTCGAAGGCAAAGAACCTTCTTCGGGCCTTCGGTGGGTCCTTCCCCAAAAAAGTTGGATCGTCTACGGTCTGAAACTCCGGCGAAAAGGGGCTTTCCTTTGCCGTTTCACCCTGGCGATCTCTTCCCAGCTCAGCCCCATCTCCGTCTTTCGACTTCCTCTTTGTCAAAGCTTTGCTCAGGGGTGTTTTTGTGAAACTTCCTTCGTGGACCAATCCAAATTCATCGTTCTAGACACTCTGCTCTCACAGCCCCGAAGATCCTGTTCTTTTTAAAATCCCCGCCTTCACCCACACCCGGCCGCAACTCTTTTTCCACGATGTCAGCCCAAGAAGAATTCAATCAACTTGTGAATAACAATCGCGACAAGTTCTCCTCACACCCAGAGGACTACGAAGACGATCCACAATTCTCCGATCAAGACCTCGACGAAGACTACTCTTCTTCTCGTAACCTCCGCCAGAGCCGTATCGTCGACTCTTCCGACGAGGACGACAACTACGACGACGACGATATGGTTTCGTCTACCACAAACTACCACGTCCCTAAAACCACATTCGAGGCCAACACTGGGCCTAAGGGTGTCATCGCTGATGCTCAGGCGTTTGAGCGTGCTCGCAAGAAGTCATTCCGCCGAACCCTCCTCTCTGCTGCTGGACTCGAGCCCAACGGCCCCGCCTTTGGTGCCTCAAACCCCGAGCCGGTTGCCCCCACAACAGATGCATCATCGGGTAGTGAGGATGAGGAGGATCGTTTCATGCGTAAATGGCGGCAATCCCGTATGCAGGAACTGCAGAACCGCCCTAACCGTCGCCCTTCCCCACGTGGACGTCACTACGGTACTGTCGACAATGTCGATGCCGTCGGCTACCTCGATGCTATTGAGAAGGTGACCTCGGATGCGGTTGTTGTTGTTTGTATCTACGACCCTAATGTAAGTCTTCATGCCATGCTTGTCTCCTAGCCCTGAATGTGACTCATTACTAACTTGCCGTCTAGTCGGATGAAAGCGCCATTGTGGAAGAATGCTTGAATACTATTGCTCGTCGCCAGACCTCTATCCGATTCGTCAAACTGCACCGTGATATCGCAGAGATGGATCATATTCAGGCTCCTGCCTTGTTGGCTTACCGTCGTGGCGAGGTCTTTGCTACCATCATCGATATCCTTCGCAACATTCCTCGTGGCCGGCCTTGCAGTGCCAACAGCCTCGAGGATCTGCTGAAGCTGTACGTCTATCCATCTACAACTCCCCATCAACATGACATTATATTAACATGATAATAGGCACCGCGTGCTTTAATTTCATCTATCTGCATCTTAAGCCGATCTAATCTTTCGTGATTATGCGCGCATCTAGCAAGGCGTCCTGGCATCTTTTTATTCTCGCATTACCCTCCCCAGTTTCATTTCTATTAAATGTCTTATCTCTCACCATCTCATATCGTCTATCTTATTGAATTTCAAAAGCGGGGAAGGGAACGGCGTTGGAACGCATCTACCGCTGGACGGTACTTTGTTCCGGAAATCTTTATTCCATCTCATATACCATGATTTTCCTACCTGTCTCGACGTGGTCCCCCACTCACAGCTGTTTCATACAGCCTTTTCCTATCTACTTGGTCTGCCTTGTGTTTCCGGAGGATGGCCGTCAGCTGGACTGACCGGTCTCTTGTTACTCTGGTTTTGAGATATCCCATCTGCCGTTTTGTTTTGCTTTTTACAATGATACTAGACCTGCTTCTCTGTCCTCTATTCTTGACTTCGTATACTAGTAGATGGTAGATAGTAGATAGAAGCATGCTATCAATGGTTGCTATTAGCCATCATATTTCAAAACTAGATATGCCCTTTCGCTGTTGCTCTCTACGATTTGATCTATCAACCTCCCTGTTTGTACCTGCACTCAAGTGCTATGTATTCAATGCCGGTGGATCGGTTCGATTGCCTTTAAATGCACATGTGTATGTATGGACAGACAAATAATATCAGTGATTCTATGTTTGTCTGTGTAGACCCGCCTCGGCGCTTTTCAAGTTCTATCTAACTTGAACGAGTTTTATTTTTCTTCTTTCTTCATCGTCCTTCATCAAATCTCAATATGGCTTCACGCTCCCAGTGGAGTACCAATCGCCAGAATGGCCCACATTCACGCCCACCTACTATCCCTCACTGGAACCCAAATGTCCGTTCTTTTCTTTGTTATTTTATTTGCCATGGATGCTATTATGCTCTTTGGGAAATGACTCGCCAATTTGATGCAGATAGAATTGAAACTGCAGGTTTATACTTGTGCATCGCCTGTGTCAGGTTGAGACAAGGAGGATTCTTAGTATGATCATTGAACCGGCTACATCCACGACTGTTAACCTTCAACTAACACATAACCAATGAATATAGCTGCGGCACGGTTCCCACGTTCATCTCCTGCAAGTTCGTGAATCAATTCAGAGTCGTTTATTCCGTATGATCAGTGATCAATTTGCTTTACTGCTGCGCGGAATTCAACCTGGTGCCACACAAACACAACCCGCAGGCCCCCAGAGAACTGCAGGTCGACGGGGCTAATGTGGAATATGGACTCCATTTTTCTTCCGATTCCCAGGGTTCTCGAAGATTGGAGCACATATTGGAGTACTCAGTACTCAGTTCGAACCTCAGCATCAACATCTCGCAAGATAGTAACGATCTCTCTCCACACCTTCTCTCTCACGATAACTGCCTCAGGGCTTGTGACCATACTTCCAGGACTAAACAAGTTCATGAATATCAGCGGCGTGACTCCTCGATTCTCGAACAAGAACAACTTACTCTGCGACAACCTGATTATCCAACCATCTGCCATGAGTCTCTATTCCCTGATCCACAGCATGCAGCAACGTCTTACTACCTTCCTCCACCGTCCTCGCAATCAAGGCTTGAACCAGTTTCAGTACCCACGGCGCTTTCTCTCTTGTCAGGAGATCGGATTTACAAAATCCAGGAGCCACAGCGTTAACAATCACAAGGGGGTTTCCGAGATCATCACGAGGTACAAGTCTAGCAAGTTCGATAGCAATAAAAAGATCCATGAGTTTCGTGACACCATATCGCTCGGTAGCTCCACCTAAACGCTGCGAACTCTTCCACTGCTCCTCATTAGTCAAAGAGGTCAGAATAGCCTTCTCAGTCCGCTCAGGAAATGTAATCAACTTATGAATATCACTCGTCAGAATAGTCAAATGCGGGCGTGACGATGGTTCCAGCTCTTTCGTTCGTAGTAAAAGCGGTAAAAGCTTTAAACTAAGAAGTGCAGTTGATAAAACATTAACCTGGAGTCCTCTCTCCCACCCATCAGGAGTGACATTGTATTCGACTGATGCAATTCCTGCATTCATGATAACGATATCCAGTCGACCACCATCTTCAACGTATCTCAGAGCTTGAGCTGCGAAGGCTTGAAGGCTGGAGAATGATTCGAGATCAATACTCCATACAAGAACTTTGCCTTGATCGGTACAGCCGGTACTTGACTCAATGTTGATTTTCGCTTCTTCGCCTTTGGAGAGGCTTCGAACGCCTAGGATGACTGTGCTGGCGTCTAGAGCCAGTGCATGTCTAGCAGCTTCTCGACCAAGACCGGTATTTGCACCGGTGATGAGGATGGTCTTTCCCTGGATAGCTGAGGGAGATGGTAATTGTAATTTGGTAAATAGAAGTCTGTATAGGCCACTCATCTTGATTGCGACGCCCGTTTTGTTGGCTTGGGGTTAGGTTTTGATAGGGCCTCAAGAATGACTATATACTACTAGGTAGTAGTATTTGAGTCTTGGTTGAATGAATACTAGTACATTGCATGATAACACTCAAGCGAGATCCGGGCTATCAAACCAGCCGTCGGATGAATCATTGCTCCATGAAATAGATTCTAGCTGGTATCAATGCCTGCTTTTCCTGTCTCTTGTATTCTAGTCGGATAGAAGTCAGGCCGAGTTTGCCAAAAGCCACATAGCTTCAGATGTCGGAGATAAGCCTTTAATTCCAGCTAGTACAATAATTTGAAGCTTAGGACTTCAATTTTAGCTTTTTGCATTCTTGTACATGGCACTGAATTTTTTTACGAAAGGAAAGAAGAAAGAACCAAGTGGTTGTATGAGAGAGAACAAGACATGGAAAAAAGCACCAGCCAGGTTCCGTATGAGCATCCGCTAACTCCTCCTAAAAACAAAGAACCACGGGGAAATACCAATGAAAGAGTCAACCCATAAGTCCAGAAAACTGAGGCCAGGGCTAAAGCCCGAGCAAAAAAAACCCCAATGGAGGAGGGGGAAAGAAAGAGAAAAACAAATCAACGATATGGGGTTGAGATTGAAAAGAAGAAATGGCATTCAAAGTCATCCAATGGGCTCTGGAGTCATCGATCGTCGATCTTTTAGAGAGCACCACGCTCGGCAGCGAACTCCCAGAGCATCTTGATGAGATTGTCGGGGAGAGTGTAAAGATCAACGTGAAATTCACCAGCTGTTATATAGAGGTTAGTATAAGATTCAAGGGGGTTAGGACTTAATCCACGGTAGTCGGGAAGCACAAACATTCAACATCATTCTTGGTGTAAGAATCCGGGGTCTTGTGATCATGAACGAGCTGCACAACCTGCAAGAGATCGTCCTCACCCAGCTTCTGGAGACCATCGGCGAGCTTGTCCATATCGACCTAGATGGCGTTAGCATGGAGAACAGCTTGGAGCAAGACGTGATCAAACTTACATTCTTCTCAGTGCGCTTCTTCTTCTTGGCACTCTCTTCACCAGTACCACCACGCTTCTTTATGCCATTCTCGTCACCGGGGGTAGGGCCTGACTCGCGCAGAGCAGCCATGAAAGCGGGCTTGGGGTTCTTGAAAGACTATATCCATGGCGGGTTCACATCAGAGAGTTTTCTCTATAGAATTCAAGATTGGAACTCACGATAATGTGCTTTGATTCATAGCGCTCCTCACGGAAGTTCAAGTCATGGTTGATGAAGTGGGACTTGTCAGCGACAAACTCAATTTGCATATCGAACTCACCCCATCCTTCTTCCGAGATGCGGAAAGGGGGGTTCTTGAAGGCTATTTGATGGATGTATCATTAGCTAAGGCTGCCCATTGAAGGGTACAGTCACCGCATAAGATAGAATGACACAGAAGTTGAGGCAGATCATATACATACTCTGGGTAGCACGGTCACCGAAGCTAGGGTGGAGGTGGTAAATGACTTTGTCGAACAGGTTGGCAGGGATCTGGTCACCCTTGTCATTGACAAGGTAGACCTCAATCGACCAGGAACGCTGAGGAAAACCCTCAACCTCGGACGGCTTATCACTGCGATGTAAACAGAAAGTTAGATATAGGGTTCAATATATATGTCTCAGGTAAGCAAGGCATGTATAAAAGGCTTGAAGAGCAAGTGCGCAGGCAGACATTGAATGCGCCTTGCAATTGTCTAATGCCCAATGGTCATATTGTTGACCAGATATGCCTGAGGCAAGAATATGATGGCACATCTCCAACCGCACGGTGATGTTGCCATGGGGAGCGGGGCGAAACGGAGATTCGCGATAGCCATTGTAGCTAGCGCTGCACAGGATGGGAAGGATAGGTAGGTTGACATACATGATATGCTGTTCCGTAACAAGACGGACGGTGCGCTTGACCTGGAAAGAGGATTATAGTTAGCAATGAGCATCAAAAACTGCACAGAAACGGTTCTGCACTGAAGACCATGGCCAGCTCTTTTGTGAGGGTAAGAGGAGCTCTGGGGAACGCAGCTGGAGAAGTGCGGCAGGAGGAGCGCGAAGGAGCAGATTGGATGGCTCGAAAAGCAGTACTTACGTCAGGCATTTTGAGAACAAAGTTTATGCACTCAAGATCGAAGCAGCTAAGGAAGTGAGGTCTTGCGGCTGAAGGCGCGGTTGCGGCACAGGTTTTTGGGGAAGGAAGTCGTTTGCGCAAGCAATGGAGCGGAGCACGGAGGAGGAGCGCAGGACGCGTAGAAAACGATTCGTGTTTGTGCGAACCACGTGTTGGAGAAGTGAAGGTAGGAAAATCGAAAATTATATTTTCGATTGGATGGAGCTAAAATGGGCTCCAGGTTACTTCGAATACTGAAGGGGGGAAAAGAAGCGGGTGGTCGAGGTTAGTAGGCAGAAGACAACGGAGAGCATCACCGCCCATCCCCGCGAAACGAAGTCCGTTACTATGACAGGTTGGCCCAACTTTATTGATTCAGAATTTTTATATAAATATTTGAGAATAAATGTATGTAGGCAGTTGGTTGAATTTGCTCTTTATGATATATTAAACTAAATACCAAAATGTGATTGAAATTACTAGTAGCATTCCTGAGGACCTTGGGCAAGCTATATCAGAAGCTATCTATACTAGAGGAGGGAGAGTATGGCAGCTTTATTTTTTGTTTTTGTTAGGCTACAAGTACAAGACATGATCCACTCAGGATTCTTCATGGGGATTGTGTGCAGGGTGTATATTCGATGGGAAAATGTCTATCTACTGCTGGCTGTGGGACCAAAGACATCAGGGGATTGCTGTCCGTTTCACATACCACAATGGTGGTATCTGTGAAGCATCTTCATCACGACCGAGTCGCATGTCCAATCATAGGGAGGGGGAGGGGCATTGGGAATGGAATATGGTGAAAGTGGAGGGTAAAAGGCATGACGAATAGGATTGTTTAAGGGAGTTGGAGAAAGCAAAAAGGTCGTGGTCCACGGGAGCAAGAAGCCGTCTGCGCATTGAGCGCATCACGGCTGCGAGGTCTCATACTCGTATGTTGAAGGTGAGGAGCTGGGAAATAAGAAACCAGCAATTTACTGCTCACCAGCGCTGAAGAGCTTCTCGTTCTCCTGCTGGGCCTTCTCGAAAGCCTCCTTGAAGAGGTTGGCGTCTGAAGATCGATTAGTCATTTACTCGTTTATCTCAACACGAATATATTAAAGGGAATGAAACTCACTCTCACTGTTGGCAAAGCGAATGGCCAGGGTCTGGGCCTCAGGCTCACCCTCGCTGACATCGGCAGCGGCGTTCCAGACCCAGCTGCGGTCACTGCCAACGTTGGGGCTCAACTTCATGTCGGGAACGACTACACCAATCTATCAGTACTCTGAAATATAACAAAGAAAAAAGATTTCGATGATTCCACTTACTGTAGTGGTTGGCGCAGACCTTGAGGGTCTTGTCACGACGCATAACCAGACGGGTCTTCTGGTTCTCCTTGTGCTTCAGCAGACGCACATCACCGGTACCACGCTCCTTCCACTCCTTGCTGTCACGGTCAAACTTGAAGAGCTTAGCGCGCATCTTGAAAACCTGCTCCTCAAGCTCCTCGTTGGTCTTGGTCTCGACCTTCTCAGTCAGGCGGATAACGGGCTCGAAGTGGACTTCGGGGGACTCGGGGGGCTTCATCATCGTGCTATGAAAGAGTTACAGTTAGTTAAAACCCTAAAAAGTCGCAAATATTCCCGAATTTATCGATTTGCAAAAGAATGGCGACTTGGTAGCCACCACACACAAAACGCGGGGCCAGGCCGGAGCCCCGCGCCCCATTGTTTTTCTTATGCTTTTGTGATTACTACCAGAACGCCATTCCATCCCGCATCCAAGACATCCCGGGATATAACCCTCGTTATCATTTGTCGGAGATTTTTAGTCTTACCTCCTCGGACTTCTGAGCCTTAGAAGAGCCAGAGGGCTCATCCGCACCCTCCTCCTTCTCCTCCTTCTTCTCCTTCTTGGGGCCACCACCGAACATGGAGAAAACGCTGTCGGAAGTCTTGACAGCGGCGTCCTGAACGGTCTCAGCAGCCTCCTTGGCAGTCTCGGTAACAGCCTCAGTCACACTCTGCTCGCCCTCACCAGTGGTGATCTCGGGCTTCTGCTCCTCAGGAGCGGCGGTGGTGGGGTCGGGCTTGGTCTCCGCAACGTCAGACATGGTGGATAGTGGTTGGGGTGATTTTTTTAGATATTGATAGAGTGAAATAAAGAAGCAGATAGTCAGCTAGACACCAAAATCTGGGTAATATTCAAGAAAAGAATTGGGGTTTGTTGATTAAAGGAGATGACAATGAGGGGGGAAAAATTAATAGTTTGGGTGGGCGGGCAGAATCATCTTGCCACCGCCTTTGGGCATTCTCATTGTCATTGCGCCAATGCGAACGCGAGGGGGCCCATCAGTCTAGTTAATCTAGTGGGAAATTTCGGGATTATTAATGCAATGAGGGGAGAGAAAGGAGCTGGAGAGTTGTAGAATACTTGATGGCTATGGGCTATCAGGGGAATAACAAAGAAAAGAGAAGCCGAAGGAGGGGGTAAAAACAACAAAAAGCAATTACAGTACGCCGCATTGAGTCCTCACTATTTCAAATCCCCCATTTCCCTATCCCTGTCCTAGTCGCCATAAAAGAAAACATTTCATAAATAAGCCAAATTGTCATGAGCAAGAGGGTGTTTAACAAGAAAAGAAAAGACATGGAGAGTGGATCCATTCAGTGTCCCGCACTATTCTCTTCGGAGCAAGTGGTATCTTTACCCCAAAGTCCCATGAAGTGGCGTGCGCGAGTCTGTGCTCGGCCTAGCGTTGCACCTTTTGCGCTTCGTACTCGGTCCATCATAGATCGAAGGTCCACTTGAGATGCTGACTTGCCCAGGCGACCCCAGGCATTACCGAGAAGGCCCATGGCCTCCTGATTGACATGAACAGAACGCGCATGTAGGATTGAGGACATGGATCGGAACCGCTGGATAATGTTATGCGTGATAACTTCCGAAAGTGATTTGGAGTGAGAAAGGAGGCTGTCTTGGGAGGGCAAACTCTTATGCCGAGGAAATTCGGCGTCGTCACGTAGAAAATGAGATCTCTTAACCACATCTCCCATGATCACCTGTAAATCCGTCGACAATCGACCGTATACCTCTGACAGTCCGGTTTGAGCAATCTGGATATCCTTGGTGATCTTCGAGGAGACTGTCCGAGCTGCTTCTCTCCAGTTCGAAATCTTCAACCAGGGCGTTCCAAAGTCAACAAGAATGGTTTGATTGACGCGTGTCTTGGTTTTCGCAACGATCGTCACATTGACCAACCCGTAGGCATCTTCTCGCTCCAATCGCAAAGCATAGACACCATCGAATATCTCAGCCAGTTTGTGAGGGAGAGCTTTCTCGTTGCGATGAACATCGATACTGAATCGTGGATGCTTCCTGGATGATGCAAGATGGCTAGAAGGCTTAATAACCAGATGGCAGTCACCAACTACCTGGATTTCAAAGATATCGCTGGGTGGTGAAGAGCTTGATACTGTGATAACATGAGCTGCGGACGGCTCGGAGGCAACCCAATTTGCAGGATCGTAAAGCATGCCTACATCGCCTGGAAAGCGTGTGGCTATGGAGGTATGTTCCACATATTTAAAGGGCAAAGCCGTGGATGTAATGAATGGTACTGATGCTGAATTGGAGCCGGCAGAAAGGGCCGAACCAGCAATCCATTGCATGATGAACAGAGCGATAGTCTTCACTGCCGCATAGCCAAGAGAGAGGGCAACAGTAGAGACAAGCGTCAAGGTGACAAGACGCAGAATTGCCTCCATTTGCGGCGATCGAGCTGCATACAGCGGTGAAATCCATTTGAAAGGGTTCTTCTCAGAGTTGACGAATGAGTATGTGGCTGTTGGCTTTGGCATATCAGTAGACACTTTTTGCGTCTTCTTGGGATAGAGATCTATGAGTGAGGCCAAGTTCCTATTGAGCTGGCCTGGAGTGATGCTTTCGAATGTCTTTAAATCGATTGGGTAACGACGCAAAACCATGGTCTCTCCTGTGTCTGCATCTCGGGACTCCAAACACATATGAAGGCTGCTCTGGTTAAGAGGGATAATGTCGCCCGCTTTCTCCCAGAGCGGCTCGTCCGAGATCACCATTGCGGGGATTCCATGACGTTCCAAGAAAGCGTGAGCGATGCCTCGAGTTTGCACAGCAGGTGTATCATCGCGGTTGGAGACGAAAAGAATGGCAACATCCGGTAACGTCCATTCTGTAGAAGAAGACACCATGTAATCCTCTCCATTCCACCATGAGCGACACGAGGGACGGTTCTTAAACGATAGGTTCAGCGTGCGAGGTTGGTTAACATGAAGCTCTTTTGTGGCTTCCACACACTCATCCACCACGAGTTGGACATGGATCGGAAGGAGTTCTGCAAAATTGGGGACAGCACCGGCTCCAAAAGATGTTGGTACAACGTGATATCGAGAGGATTCAGCCGAGCTAGTCGGTGACCCTGTGCACGAGCTCGAGACGAGGACATCGCCAATCTTATCCAAGACAATGTTCCGACAGTCCGGCTGGCCGATGTACAGAACACGGAAGGGCTTGTCCAAGGCCAGGTTCTGCTTTGACATGGTCTGCTGGACTATTGCCGTGATGATAGCCCCAGGAGGGCTGGACGGTAGACGGCGTTTCATCTCCGATGCCACGGGCTCCTCAAAGATGCGGATAGTATGTTTCAGTTCGACTCGCTCCATCTCAGGCCATTTGTCAGGTTCCACAAACTCGATCGAGCTGATCGACTGTCGATGCGCGGGTATAGTCGTCAAGTTGCTATCATCGATGGCTGCGGGGGTGAACAAGCCCGGAAACTGTGGAGGGATGGGGTCATAAATATCATCTTGGTCTTGATTGCTGTCGCCATCCTCGTCTGGAGTATCTTCGTCACTCGGCTCGCCGACTTCGCTGCTGCTGTACCGTTCATCCAGGCTAGCTACATCATCCGGGGTAGCTTGATCAATCAAGGACCCCATATCTGTCTGCTCCGAACGACTGCCATCCTCCGAGTGTAGATCTGAGACGCTGAGCGTTGCCCAGCTATCCTCCAGGGATCTAGGCAGAGGCTCCAGTGAGCTATCAGAGGCCATATTGTTGGCAGGACGAGACCGAGATAGCCACTCTTCCACGGAGGCAGTTAGCGGCGGGAGGGTCGGGTATTGTAGATGGGCGGCGTGAGCGCTGGTAGGACGCCTGGGCGGCTCTGGAGCGTCAGACATGTTTTGAGGATCATAGAGGTAAGTTGAACGACTGCCAGAAAATATGAAAAGCCAACCAGTTTAACTAGAACGAACAAGTAGAAGAAAAAGGAAGAACCTTGAAAGATAACATACTGGAAGAACGGGGAAGCATGTGCCCCCAATAAGGTGGGTCCGCGGGGGGTAGGAACTGTCAGGTGCTTTTAGTTTCTGACTCAAGGCAAGGACCAGAATAGGTAAGGGGAGTATTACTTACTTCAAATTTCAAGAAATAAATAGTTTAGAACCAAGGAATATTATGGTGCTAAAGTATGGGGGGGGGGGGTCTCAGTTTGAAAGAGAAAGAGGAGAGGGGGTTGAGTTGATTTGACCGTTGGATAAAGTTGATAAGCAACAAGAAATGGCGGGGTCACATTATTTAGTGACGCAACTACTTATTTAAGTCTCGAAATTTCACTCTTCTAGTTTCCTTCTTCTACTTTTTTCACCTTGAAGAGGTTTTCTATTTCCCCCTCCCCCCCCCTCCCCCTTATACCCAAGATGAAAAATACACTGACCAACTTGACCAGTCAAGTCTTCTACGCGGCATTGCGTCGATAAAGAGCTAAGAAATGCGGGAATCTCCACTTTTTTACGCCCCACTGAGAAGATCATACGCTGCCTAATTAGGCAGATATGGAAGAGCCCTGGAGAGAGACCTATGAAACCCCGATTTTTATATGCACCAGATTTTGGAGAAGCCCTGAAGAGTTTGCATATAAAGTGTTACACACTTACATTATTCTACTCATGTGCCATGGCTCAGGGCTCTCTGGACTCGCACCAACATTGTGAATGGGACTGATTTAAATCCACCAGTAGGCTCATGGGACAGATCACGATGTAGAAGTACATCTATGGTATAAGAAGAGCAGACAGCACCAGTCCACCCCACCTCATCTTACTTCAAGCTTCAATTAGTTTCCAAGGTTTCCTTGTCTATTTTGACAAGACAACTCAAAAGCAAGCATCTAGCATGCCCGAAAGAACCCCTGACAGCTATTTGAATTGCTTCTTATGTCTGCACTATGTCGATAAAAGTTGCATCAAGTCATATTATATCTTTCAAGTGAACCATGAAACCAATCATATGGAATGTCGAACTCAACTGGGTCACCAAACTCCATCACAGTATGAAGCTACGGCTCCAGCATTAGATTCTCCCCGGACATATGTTCTCCATACTCGATGTCGAAATTTGGTCGGCAATCTATCGCAAGGAATGATGGGCTCTCTAACTGACTTAGTAGAGCCCACATTTCTAGATATATGCTCTCATCCTCCACCTAAAAGTCTGAATGGTGGATTTTACCATGCTCCACCGCCACTGACTACAGGCAGAGAGTCATCAACATATGTGAAATCCCTGGCTGTAAAGGCTCTTACATTTGGCCCTCTTCATGAAAGATGGCCTCCAGAGATATGGCAAATGATTCTGCAATACGATATCGGTCGTCTCCTTTTTATTATGCGCGTTGCAGCCCAGCTAGAGAAATCCGGCCTTCGCCCTGCCTTCATTCCTCAGAGTCGATTTATTATCACTACATTATCACTATCTTCATGTGTGATTCGGATCCACCTAGCGACCATTGGAGGGCGCACCTATATTAGTCGTCTTTCAGATCCTATGGCAACTGATTCTCTATCGCCCCCATATTATATGTGGAAACCGCCCAGTCTACCTAATAAGCTAATGACAGAGATCAAGGAGAGTTTAAAGGTTAGATACAGGGATTTTATCATTTCCGACTGTAGGTATCTTGCTGTCAAGAGTGACGGCATGGGCATCGTCGACATAGCCTTTAAACGTGTCAACAAAAGGCCGCATTGGATCTTGAATATGACTACACAACCTTTCGTCCCTGAAATTTCAGAAATTCGAGATGCAGATATTCAAAATCTGACTGTCATATCTGACGTATGGTTATCTTTCCGATGATACTCACATAAACTGACATATTCGTCCCATGAAGTCGTTGAAATGCCGTGCCATCGTCCCATCAAATAGAACCGGTACCGAACCATTCTTCTATAAACGACCATTTCCCCCTTCTGATGCCTGGATTGGGCCAGCAATTTTAGGCCACCATAAGTGTGGTGCCAGTGATAGACTACTGGGAGCCACTGGAAGAATATGCATATCCAAAGCCGAGTACATTCCATTCTCTGGGATAAGCAACATTGCTTTGGAGTTCCAGGAGTGCAGCGCAGAGCCTTCTGTGCCTTTTGTTCCCAAGTTGAAGTACATGAGATCGCTGTTTGGAATTAAAACTACCACGAGACCTATTGAGTCCAAGGATAGCAGAACCTCGATTTCCATTCTCAATTTCTCGCGGCCTCCACGATCTTTGAAGGTGGTGATTTGTCGTTGCGCGATGGACGTCAAAGATCACACATTCCTTCAGGTATGTCTTATTCTAAGTTCAGAAGGACTTGAAGAGAAGACGCTGAGATTAGCTATTAGTTTGATATTGAGGGTACATGGCAGCCTCCTCTTCTTCGTAACGAATATCCAGTGCATGAAAGAGTAGTGAATAATGTTTTAGGAATCTGGTGCGCCAGCCTTTTTGCAAATGAAACTCTCCATGTTGGTATCGTCACGGCTGAAAAGCAAGACCCTTCAACTTGGTCTCCTTTGCTTGACTCAGTCCATCATTTAGTCCAGATCCAGGGGAGAACCTGAGTTCAACTCATCGAAATTCACGTTAATCAAGCATATGTAGATTGGTATTCACGTTACTAGCAATTAATCCAGAATATTTCAAATTCAAGTCCAAGCTGGGTGTCTTAATCGGCTCTCTATAAAGTACTAAAAGCACTAGTATGTACAAGGCAGGCGACTCCTATAGACTCACTTTTACTTATTCAAACTCAAGCACCACCAGATCAGTCTCTAATCCATCTCCACCAATCTTTTGCAAGTGCCCATTAACCAACTTCCATTCCCCAGCACCCCAAAGCACTTGCTTAATAGACTTGGCTCCCACCGGCAACTGCACAGTAACAGACGAAGACCAAGCTGGCGTCTGTAAAGACAAGATACTAACCAGCATATAATCCCCAACCTTCCACCCCGCGACATCCATCTTCGAATGTCCACTAACCTGCAACGCAGTCGTCGAAGCACCCAATATAAATCTTGCAGCTTCATCACCCGCAAGCACGCGACTCAACGCACCCGTCACATTCGCCAATTCCGTACTTGTCGGCCAATCCCACATAACGATTCCCTTAGCATTATGATTCAAACTCAACATCGTCATCGTGACTTCTTCTTCCGCTGTCGGATACCTTGTCCAGAATGTCTCATTCCCAAATGCCATCGGCACACCCCAGAACGTCTTCGGAGACACTCCTAACCAATCCTGATACTCCGCAAACCGATCCAGTCGTACCGAGATATCCTCAACCGTTCCTTCACAATCATCACAGCCACAGCATCCATATGTCGTATTACAAGGTGTCTCATAAACAGTTGACCAACTTGTATTCACAGCAATAGGGTAAACATCCGAGAGAATGATATCAGCGCCGGAGGAGTACTCCTCGAAATAGAAGTTATAGCAATTCAGACAAAGCGAAACAGGATGATAAGGATCAACCGATTTGATAAGGTCGTATGTGATTTTTGTAGCGTTAAGTGGATCACTCTGTCCATCTGGTTCGTCACCTGTATACCAGAGTAATAAACTCTTCCGATCCTTAAGAAGCTCGACTTGTTCACGGACAGCGGTTAGGTTCTTATACGTCCATCGCATATCGTACATAAGCCAGAGACCCATTTCGTCCATTTTGTCAAGGAAGAAGCTCAGTTCCGTGAAATTGAAGGCTTGGTTCGCGAGCCCGTCGTTTGGAACAAGGTGGATGATGTTGTAGCCGTCGTCTTTGAATTTCTGGACATTGTCGATGGATAATTCTAGCCAGCCGTCCCAGCTAACATAGTATGAGTATGGAAGTAATGAGCTCCATGAGTTTGAGGTGCTGGTGCTGTCGCTTTGTACTAATAGTCCGCCGTATAGACTATCGACTTTTGTCATACTGCCACCGTCGGTTCGCTGTGGGAGATGGTATAACGATGTTGTAGCGGTGTAGACATGCTTGGACCCGGACTGAGTCGCTTTCAGAGTTACATTGTATGCCTCGAAGCGAGCAGGGATGTCATGGAGGGAGAATTCAACCTCCACAGAAGTGGAATTGATTCGCACGGTGTCCTGCACACTCAATTGGCTCCCCTCCACAGAGATGGAGATCTGCAGGTCCTGTGACCCATGACTCTCTGTAGTGCTCTCGCTGCCCAACGGATCCCCATTAATGTATGAGATCCCCGCATCAACAATGAATGATCCTGTCTTTTCTGTACTTGTATACAGACTCATTCGCGGACGGACTCGCAGATCTAACAATGGTTCAGTAGATTCGATAGGGCTATCCAGCCAACCACCCGGGTTGAATGAAGCATTTCTAAAAGACCCAATTAGAATCATATGTCCACGTTGATATCAATGAAAAGTGTTCTCACGTAGGGTAATATGCTTTTCCACACCAGATATCAACACCTGGAGGGTTATTGAAAGCGGCTACGACGCCGAGTAAAGAAAAAAGCCAAAACATTGAGTCAATATGCAACTTGGTAGAGGAAAGAAGCTTTGAGTTGATCCATGCAGAAGTGGGCGAGGGGTTTGTTTATCAATTATGCATCATATCATACTACACCTCCTCTTCTCTCCACTCCTTGATCGGAGAAATTCCCCCCCACATTACTAGTACTTCCCCTCTTGAATGTCACCTTGCTATCCGACGTTACTTGATAACAACTTTGAGACTATCGTTAGCTTCATGTTCAATCGTGGGACCTTGCTTAACTCTATGCATTCCCCGCATTATGATGATAACTGCGTAGTACGATTAAGTTGTACCTGGGTCACAGCATGATGGTGTAGCCGAACCTTGTACTATTCTCAGGTCCTACATCTATCTCCGAGTCTGCTCTACTAGTAGCCATAGAAGTGCAACATGCTATCCACTAGGTAAATGACTCGGAGTTCCGAGACCTCAAGCTCTTTGGTAGCATTGATACTAGTGACCTTATCTTGCCAATCTCGGTGACGTACTTCACGACCTCGTTTCGTCTCATGTTTTACTTCTATTGATCTATTATTTGAAGACTTGTAAACAGAAGACATTATACTGATCTCATTCTCGCGTAATTCACCGATGATTATTCCATACTCTATAGACAGCCATGCTCGATTGGTATTTGCGAGGTTTAGAGGCAATGCGGATGGGGAGAGGTCTGTGGGATATACCACAGGACCAAGGATGATTGGGGGGGAAAGACAAGGTATGTACATTTCATGAATGCATGCTGGAGTAATCCAAAACCACAAGAGAGTGCAAGTATCAAGGGGGCTGGGAGAAGGGGAAGAGGCAACTGGTAATAGTGACAGGGTGCAAAAAGAAAAAAGAAAAATAAAAAATTTAATGGGAAAAAAGAAACAATAAAAAAAAGACCAAGATGAACGGGCTGAATGCCATCGTTGTCCCCGGCATCCAGCCCACATTGCACTGGTGTTGATCTTGTCACTGAGATTGTGCTGCGTGTCATTTTGCTGGCTCAAGCGACCTATGCGCTGATAGCCCATCGATCTCACCATGTGGGTGTCTGATGATACAGGCAGAACAGTCAATTGTCAATGCCGGGGACAAAAGCCATAAATATACCATCGAAGACAAGAACTGAGGGTCCAGAGTCAACGATGGCTGCCCGTCGTCACAAGACCCGAGAAAAGGAGAAAGAGATACAACACAGCCAATCCCAAGACGTGGACAGCACGCTAGATGAGTATGTCAACATGGATGATGGAAATGATCACGCCATCTTCCAGGTAATAAAAAAAAACAAGCCGTCAGATCCGTGAAACGCCGCCCAAAAAAGAACCCCGACCATCACAACATGCAGGTTTCAGCATTGAAAACTCCCAAGGGCGAACCCAGGTAATGCTCGCAGCTGAAGAAGAACGCATGAACAAGCAGGTAATGAGAAAAGATGCAACAGATCAAGGCGGGGGAGCAAGTGGAAGCCTCATTTATGGTGAAGCCCAACCGCCGGCCACCTCGACCCATTCTGCCAGACAACTGCCTTGCTTGCCTTCAACATCAACAATGTCAGTGTCACAGCGGCATCGACAGCCAACACCGTTCTCCTTGACTGGATCAGCGGTCGCCCAGTACTCGTCTTCTTCGATCCGCTTCTTCTCATCCTCGGTAGTCTTTTCAAGGTAGGGCTCACGAGCAAGCTGTCGCGCCGGAGCATTTGCCGGGCAATGCTGGATGGTGGTGTGTCGGTAGCCGAAATCACGGAAGTAGTGAATATCCGCTGGGGAGAGGAGAGCACCGGCAGCGAGAGAGTGGATAGGAGCATCACCCCATCGTTCCATCCAGAATCCACCACTGCGATCCATCATTGTAAAGAAGTCTTCGTACTCCTTGCTTCGGAACCAATCCAGGCGTGCAATCTCGAAGTTACTCCAGAAGTGACACATGTTGTAGCTCTCGCCTTCCATGGCCTCAGGATCGATATCATCAAGGTTCTTGTCACCGGGTTCGGTCGCCAGGATCTCATCGGGGAGTTTCTCCTGCTTCTGCTCTCCCTCGGGTGGGACTTCCTCCTCAGCAGGACGTTCCAAGAACATTTCCCAAAGACCCTTCGATTTGAGGTTATTCTTTCGCTTGTAGGCCGATGCGTAACGGAAGATGTTGGGGACTGTTTCACGAAGTTCTTTCACGGCGATAGTGAAACCGTATGTTTTGTTTGCCTCCTGCATTTTGATAAAAGGGTCACTTTAAAGCAAACAGGGTTAGTAATTGAAGAAAGGCAAAACTTGCACCAAGATGGAGAGATTCTTACTAAGTGATATCACAGAAGTACTTGATCTCGGGCTCCAAGCGCCAGTACCACTCGTATTTCATCAGGAGTGGGTGCTTGTAGAAGTGCCTATTTTGGTGGTCAGTATGTTTCAACATTCATTTTGAGTTGGGGGGTCCAAATACCCTGAGTAGAATCGACACATGTGGTGATAACTCTCCATGCCACCATACATGATAGCAGCGTCACCTTGTTTGCGAACACCCTCCTTAGCAACCTCAGGGTCCACCCAATCGGGGAATCCCCACATGCTGTTATCGATCTTGCCAAACTCGACTGGGGCGCTGGTGTAGTTCTTCACTGTCGCCATGAAGTCTTCGTCGAAGTCGCCGTCGTTGAGGAAAACGTAAGGGTAGTGGAACCAGCGGTTGAAGTGCCGCTCAATTGACTTGAGCGACTGAATCACACCATCCAGCTCCTTATTTCTGGCAAGGACGACAAAGGCGGCGTTGGCCTTGGGGCCGTTCTGTGCCTCCGGGTCGATGGGCATACAGCCGGTGGCGAAAACCTTATCATACTTTTCGCTGATTTTTCTATTTCCCACCACATACCAGTCAGCCATTGAACACGGTGAGGGGAAATAGCCAGATCGCATTCATCTTGAGGAGCATAACTGACCGAATTGATGGCGGAGTGCCCGCGGGGATTAAGATCCCTCCGGGGGACGAGGGGTGTCGGACGAAAAAGTAATAGAATGAAAACAATTACAAGGCATGGAAATAGTAACACAAAACCCAGGGGTATAGAAATGGAAGAGTTGCCCTTCAACCTGATGCGCCGACGGAAAAAGGCGAAACGGCCGGAAGCCCGGCCTTTCTCCCGAGGTTCATCGTCTATGGGAAGACTCGGCGCACTTGGCAGCCGCTTTGCAATGCGTTGAATGAAGCCCATGAGTGCGATTATGGGCCACTCGTCGAAGACCCCACGGGTGGCCAAACAGGACCCGAGTAGATTAGCACAAGGCTAGGAAATTATCGATGGGAACCCCCCCAGTTGCGATCAGGGGTCGAAAGATTATCGGGGATTTTTCTGAGCGAATCGAGCGGGATGGATGCAGTTGGAGGGAGAAAAAACGGATCTGGTCACGATAAAACGATCTTCCGATCTCCCACGACAAAAAAACGAGTGGCCGGAGGAATGCCTCCTTTCCTGTTCCCCCAAAATGACCTTCTCAAAGTCCCGGAGGTGAGAAAGGTTGGGTCACACACAAGGAATGACCTCAGCAGTGGAGGAGACGAGAGGTGTTGTACATGAGATGGAGAAAAGGGGGAGGGGAATAAGGTGGTGAAGGAAAAGGAGGATGATGGGGGGGAGAAGAGATGGGGATGAAGTTGACGACTCTGCCAAGACCCTTCTAGGGAGGCGCAAGCGTTGTGGCCTTTTTGGGACAGTTTCACACCCGAGACCGTTATTTTTCCCGTCGGTACCAATTTATTAGGTGGAGATCGGTGAATTAGGAGATAGAAATGGTATGACGGATACAGTAATTTATGGAAGTTCTAGGGGCGAAAGACTCTTTTTCTTTTTACGTGAGAGATGAATTTAGGGTGTTTTTTTTGGTTAAATAAATTTCACTTAATTTCTACTCAGAGTCTTTATATTTAATATTTATTTCATATTAGAATGAGATTTCCAGATATTCTATTATTCTTTTTAGACAAATATTATATGTATGTTCTATGTTGCAGGGGAAAATTGATATATCAGATCCTGTTGTACTCTGTACACCGTAGTGTCTTTGTTAATTTCTTAATTTCTTAATTGCTTAATTTTATTTCGGCCCGTGGTCATTGGTCGCCCCTGCGTATCTAGGCTGTGGTACTGTACGTCCTTGAGAAGCTTGCACTTTTATTTTAACTGTCATTATTCCACCTGGTATATGAGTTGGAACTTGAAGTTCCTCTATTAATATCACCTGACATATACAAAGTACACTGTGATCAACACTCCAGATGTCTGTACAGTTCAATCATGCATGCAGGAAAAGGACTGCTGACTAGTATAATTTAATGTTTACGGCAATACTAATAGACACACTACTTTCTATAGTAGTGGCTCTCAAGTGCTGTCAGCTATTACATTCCTATCTTTCTGCAATCTGTCATCATCCTGATACTAACCCAGAGTACCAGTAAAAGAAGAAATTTCGAAATTTCCAAGATCAAAACAAGCTGGGACTAGTGTGTGACGATCGAGGGTCCAGATGCCGTTGTACCCGCTCCCAAATGAGTATCTCTGACTACCTTATACATAGAGAGACTGTCCATAATATTGTAGTGATCAAGACCTGAGAGAAGTAAGATGATATTCAAATTAGATTTGATATATATTTCATAGAAACTGATTGGACTTTCATTCAGATTGTACCTTACATATAACAGGGTCCAAATGAGGCTCCACTTCATTACGGATGATGTGGCCTGAAGGGCGGGTCTGGAGTCTGGACCCTTGCAGTTGTTCGTGTGCATGTTTACTGGAAAGGGTGAGAGAATGAGAATGTGGAAGTTCACATTCAACATCAAGATAATGAGTATTGAATACCTATATACATTATGGAGATGCCTATACATGTCTATTCGTCATCATCATGATCTATTTTAGAAATATCACGGGATTACACTTGTTGCCACGCGCAGGCATCACTCGATTCATAAGAGGAGGGATCACCCTTACACCTCCAGCTTGGGTACTTCTTCCAAAGTGTTAATATTCATCTGAAATTCGACATTTTCCTGGATCCATGGCTTTTTTAATCATTTAATTTAAATCAAGGACGATCGTCGAATTTTTTGAATTTTCTTCATATCGCGGGGTTCCCCCTTTTTCTTCCGTTTCAAATGTTTTCTTAGATTTACTGGCCTTCTCTCCCTAATATCCTTGATGCTCTCTAACTCTCTCTAATGCTCCATTTTCACCATGAATTCGGTGCTATCTCGTCCCTCATTTTCTGAGGGACTTGGCAACAGATCCCCCGCCATACAGGTTCCTGATCATCATCTCCGCCCGCCCCCATCGCGCAATGGCCAAGTGAATTTGGATACCTTCTCCCCAGTCAATGAGAACGGTAGCTTTGAATTCGACCGTGTACTGAAGAGTGGTCGGGTCTCTCGACGCGTCGCGCATAAACATGTTTTCCGAGCTTCATGGAAACCAGCCTACCTTGTCCTCCGCCCGAATCTACTCTCCGTTTACAAGGATGAAGAAACTACCCGGCTCCGCGTTTCTATCAACCTCTCCGACGTGACCGCTGTCGCTCCCGTGAAATCCCCACGGTCTCACCGTCAGCATGTCTTCGGAGTCTTCACCCCTTCCAAGAATTACCGCTTCGAGGCCCTCTCCAAACAAGATGCAGCCGACTGGATCCTTCGAATTCGTACCGAGTCCCCCGCAGATGAAGACGAAGCTGCCGTAGCTGCTCTATCGAGAAACGAGAAACACAGTACCCCAGCTATTCATAAACACCTCATCGATGACACCACCGATCACTCTGACTTCGAGCTTGCCGGTCGTCCTAGCTCCCCCGAAGGTCGTACCCTCTCCCCAGGCCCTCGCTCCTCCCGCAAACCCCCTTACACGCAGGACTACTCTGGAAACGATGTGACATCTTACTCCGAGCTCTCGGACGGACCTCCGCCAACTCGAAGCAGTCGCGGACTACGTTCAATGCCATCAATTCATGCTCTGTCCATCTCTGCGCCGGAAGAGAGACCCATGTCCCCATCCCTGCCGCGAGATACGAGCAATCAGTCTGAATTGGGCATCCAACGAGATCCGGAGCGGGTCATCTGCCAGGGGTATCTGCAGGGGCTACGGATCAAGGGCGCGGTGCGACAGTGGAAACGACTTTGGGTAGTGCTTCGTTCGAAGAATCTCGCCTTTTACAAGGATGAACAGGAGTACTCGCCGATCAAGATCATTTCCATGTCGCAGGTGATCGATGCAGCGGAAGTCGATCCCATGTCTCGATCCAAGACGTTCTGTCTTCAAATCATCGCAGAGGAAAAGAGCTATCGTCTCTGTGCACCTGATGAAGAGTCTTTGGATCGTTGGCTGGGTGCTTTGAAGAGCATTATTGTTGCGCGCAAGAAACTCGAGACAACTGCTTCTACGGCTTGATTGTGGTATCGCTCTACATCCCCTCTTTTCTCCCTGGTTTTGATCTTTCGTTTCCTTTCCTCGTCCCTCATATTCGCCATATCTGTTGTTTTCCTCAACCATGGTCATTCTACTGCATTGCCATATTCTCATTTTCCACCCATCCCCATCTCTTTCGTTCAATCTTCATTTCTCTTGTTTCATTATTCCCTTTCAATATACCCAGGGTTTGTTGTCGTTAGCGTCTCCGAAAAGGTGAAGGCGTTCAACCATTCTTTTTATTGTTCATTGGCGAGGAGGTTTTATTTGGCATTCGTTTGTTGACAATTGACCAGTCAATTCTTTCTTTTTCTTTTACTTCACATATGCCAGCATTGATTTCATGTATTACTTAATAGTAGTGTCTAATTAATCAATTGAGGGCATTCATTACATTTCATTCCAGATTATCTGGTGGCTACATGCATGTACTAGAGATAGAGACATCTTAGGTTGATCTCGAATTGATATTTGTTCTAGAGCTAGAAGAAATCAAACCACTCTAGCAAAGGAGTAAAAACAAAAGCTTCATAATAAGTCTTGGAAACGCTTGCTTTGCTTTGAACGAATAAAAGAAAACAACATATCCTCCCGAGTCTTGAAAACAATCCATAATTCTGTATGTTAGGTTGAGCATGATCAGCGATCTTCAGTAGGAATACTTGCATAGCTCCCAGAAGATGATCTGGTCGCCTCAGCTGCTTCTTCATCAAGAGTCTCACTTTCATGATTAACGACAAGAAACGATAAAAAGACTATCGCCGCGCCAACCCAGTATAGCGCACTCGCATATTGTCCCTGTAGGATAATCTGCCCCACCAAGGACAAAGGTATAGTTAAACTCAAGCCGACCGTGACGACCAAAGGTGTGGTAAGGAGCATAGCATAAGCCCAAGCAACGTCAGAGGTAAATGAAGCGACCGAGTTCACCTATAGTCCCATTAGTACTCAATACAACCGATAAAAACCAAATCCACGAGGGTTAAAGAGGGGTACATACCAGAATAATAGTCCACACACGATTCGTCTCCGGCAAAGACATCGTCTCCACGTCAGCCCAATGCAAAATAAAGAAGCCAGGCCACATGAAGATAAGATTGAAGAGACCAACAAGCCCAAAAAAGAGCGACATGTTCACACGCGACTCATCACCGACCTGTCTCTTCATCACAATCGTATACACACCGTACAAGATTGCGCTAAAAGCCGCCATCGCATCACCGAGAGCAATCTCCGCAACCGTCTTATGCGGGAATGAGCCTGAACCCTGATCATTCGGCGTGGTCTCATCTGTATCGGGATTCGAAATGTCCACTCGAGATATCAGAATAATACCAATGAGAGATGCAACGACACCGAGAAATTTCCGGATCGTGAATTTCTCCACGCGCAGACAAGCACCGAAGATTAGAGTCCAGACACCACTGGTAGAAGTTAAGATAGTTGTACTTCCAACAGTCGTATACTGAAGACATGCCATTGCGAAATAATTCGCGGCAAACTGGAGCAACATAGGTTAGTTCGTCGCTTTCGAGTAGTCTTATCTCTCCATGAGACTCAGAGGATGATCTTACCCATAGTAAGCAGAATTGAAAACTAAGTCGTGCGGTTTCCCTTAACCCTAATTTCTCATTCACATTTCTCTTGGATCCATACCTCACGGAATCCAGATCACCGCTAATTCTAGCCGACTCATCAACAGATACCCGGCGCAAGGCTCTCGATTCCTCAATAGTCGCTGACGTATCAGCAGAATCCATGAGCCGTAGCCAGGTCTGGAATGAGTCGACCTGTCCTAGTGCACCAGCACGCCATAGACGAAAGGTTCGGCTTCCAAGGACACCGAAAAGAGGCGCTGTGAAGAGTGAGGTGTTGATGTATGTTACGAAGAATGGCTTCGGGTATGTTTTGTCTGCGAAGATAGTCTACATCATATCCGAGTTATTAGTGAACTGTTACTGTATTGGATCTGGTTGCGCAAGGGAATTGTCGTAGTGTGTGGGACGTACACTTCCTAGGAAATTCGAGGCTGTCCAGAGGACTACCACCAATAGGAGAAGACATATTCCGAGTGTTCGTCTTGCCATTCCTAATCTGGTGGACTGTTCTGGTGAGCTCAGGTTGGAGGCCATTATTGCGCTTCAGGGATTATGGTAAAGGCCGCCCGAGCGATGGCGTGCCAGACCAGTCGGCGCGGGACTTAGATGAATTGGGGCGAATGCGATTGCAAAGACGGAGACAGGATCCAGGGCATGAGTTCACGAGGGTGTCTGGCGCTTTGGGAGAGACTCAGGACTCAAAAGGTGACTGCGCTGGAGAAACTACTATTACTAGTAGTAAAGACCTCCCGTCCAGCAGAAGATGTGCGCGTGAGGAACCGGGCGGAGATGCCAAGTCGTGTGCGATGAAGATCCGCGATAAGCACCGTGACAGTCCTATCAGCATTAAGGGTCTCGGGTGATCGCTCGGGGTGTCTCATGACAGTTAGATCTGGGGACAAATATGAGACAATTAAATTTTAAATCTATACTTCAGAAATTGTATTTCTTGTAGGCTATTTGTGACTGATATTTGGAAAGGAATTTTTTTCATGTTTTGTTCTCCGTGTGAGGCTGGTTATTGACAAGTTTGAAAAGAATATATCGACTGAAACACCAAGACATAGTGCACTGAACCAAAGAACATGTGCTGGTCATTAGTAGGACAAAACCCTTATAAGTCAAGTTGTCCGTACTCAAAAATCGATCAAAATAGAAGACCGAAAACAATCTACAGGAGACAAATCCAGAAAACAATCCATGGAACTTCTCTACCGGGGGAAACCATCAGAGGGACATGGGAACCACCAGCAATGATCATGATGAACTCCAAAGGAAAAGCAGAAAGAAAGTAGAAGAGGTCGCTTAAACGTCATGAGTATCGGGGCGAGTAGATCAACAGGCACAGCCGTCGCGTTCGTTGTCCAAATGGATGTTGATAGGGTCGCTGAACTCGCCGCTGAACTCCTCGGCCTCTTCTTGTGCGAGCGCACTGCGGGCAATGACTGGAAATTATAGTATCGTTAGGAACTTGGCGTCCTGCAGTCCAAAAAATATCTTGTATAGTAGACTCACCTTCAAAAGCCTGCTCGACGTTCAAGGCCTCCTTGGCACTGGTCTCGAAGTACGGAATGCTGCCCTTTGATTGACAGAAGGTCATAGCTCGTTTCGAAGAGATCATGCGCTTGTTTTCCTCCACATCGATCTTGTTACCAATCACGACCTGTAAAAAGCGGCGGGGGTTAGAATTGAATCTCATTTATACGTTGCCACTTGGGAATGCCAAAGAAGAACCGCCAAGTCCATATGTTGTAAACTCACAAAAGGGAAGCTTTCCGGATCCCGTGGGCTAGCCTGGATCAGAAACTCATCCCGCCAGCTGTCAAGGGCTTCGAAACTCTTAGAGTTGTTCACGTCGTAGACCAAAACGCAGCAATCGGCACCCCGGTAGAAAGCGACACCCAGAGACTGGAACCGTTCCTGACCAGCAGTGTCCCAAATCTTGATTATCTCGAATTAGCCATTGGTCGGATGGGTACTAGCGGTAAAACCTCCCGGTAGCATTTACCTGCATTGTTACTAGCCGGTCATCGACCAGCACTTCTTTGGTGAGAAAGTCGGCTCCGATAGTCGCCTTATAGCTTCCACTGAACTTCTTATTGACCTTTCCGTTTTCAAAAAAAACATGTTAGCTCGGCTGGAGCGGGGAGTGTTGGTAGCGGCTGAGGAGCTATGATCCACATTGACAATAGGGGACGACGTACATATTGGTTCATCAAACTCGTCTTTCCGACGCCACTATCACCAAGGATAATCACCTATAGTAATAAAGAATTGACATTAGCATGTTGCTGGTGGAAACGGCTATACTGGGGTCGAACGGAGCTGGTGCGGAGACCTTACCTTGAGGAGAACCTTCTTTCGTGACGCCATGGTAGCGGTATGTCTATGAATCTCAAAGGATATAGGTCAAGCGCAACCTATTGAAAGAAGAGAAAAGCTATTGTGGGAGCCCAGCTACCTCAATAGGTTGAGAAGTGGGTGCAAAAAAGTAGCAGAAGAGCGTCGTTGGAGAGTTGGAGTTGGGTTGCAGCGGATCTGATGATGCACGAGGGTCCCAGGCGGTCGAGGGGGGGCAGTTGAACACCTGATAACAGATAGCAACCTCCCCCCCGACATCATCGCATCCGAACACATTCCCTAACTCGTCGATCATTTCCCCCGCGGCCGATGGCCCACTGGAGAGAGGAATATTTCGCTGCGTTGGCTGTTCGTGATCAAAGAGAGAAGGCCAACCTCGCGCTCTATGATTCCTGTTTGTGCTTCTCACGAGTGTTTCCATTTTTAGATCCACTGACATATAGTTCTGGGTACTAGATACTCGTCTGGCCGATCGTACAGCCACGCTTGCAACTTCCATAGACGCAGATTCAACCTCTCCAGACGAGCAAAGATCGTCACCTCACAGTGAAGCTCAACGTGCCGGTTCTTCGATTCAAACATCCAAGAAACAACCGGCAGAGGGTGGGCCCTCCCCTACAGTACTTTTGAATACCACGCGCGCGGACTTGGCCGAGGCACAACGATCGCGATCCGAGTTACAAGAAAAGCTCAATCAAGTTACTACTGAGGTAGAGAAACTTCGCAAGAGGAATACCAAAGATGGCCGACGCATCAATGCCCTAGAAAGTGAACGGCTGCAATTGTATTCCCGTCTTAAGGACAGGGACGAGGAGCTAAGAGGAAAGGCAAAACTGCTCGAGGTAGGGAAAGCTTCCTTTGATCCCCTCAAGTCCTCTCAAATTTGTAATCCCATAATTAACGTCAACTATAATAGGATTTCCAAGATGAAATGGCAACTCTCAATCTTCAATTAAACATGGCCGACCAAAAGTCGCATCAACTTCAACGTGAGAACCAGGAACTGGTTGATCGTTGGATGAAGAGAATGGGACAGGAGGCAGATGCGATGAATAATGCCTCTAAGTTTTCCTAACTTACGAAGGAATGAACTTACACAAATAGACTGATTGATATCCCTGGAGACTAAATTTACTATGCATATAGAAAGGCAATTTGAAGCACTATTTCCTGCGCTTTAATTTTTTTTGGTCGTATTTTTCCCATGAACACCAACCTAAGGTTCCGACCTGAGCGTTCAGTTATTCGATTCGACTGCATAACAATAAGAGCATCGGATATATAGGATAAGGATAAACAACCTTTATGCTAATAGCCTATTTCCATATCCGACTCCGAGTCTCATTCTACTAGTAACTTATGAACAATACATAGGCGTCGTGATATCTTAGAGACGAACGACTGGGTCATATTGTCATCATATACAAGTCAAAAAAATGGTATCATATACATAGAATCAAGAGACATGTCCAAGAAAACAAAGTAATGTACAATACCGGAAACCCCCACAATTTACATAAACCGAATAATCGAAACTGTCCATCGTTGAAGAAAAGTAGCCTTTGATTTGACTTCTCTCACAAAGTGCCGTCTGAAAAGGCCTTCAGTCGCGAACTGTCCTTGGTAGCAATGAAATATGTTCCACCAACGTCTGTCCAGCTCACGCTGTTGGACCAGTAGTTCTTCTGCTGAACCTTGAGGAGGTTGATTGGAGAATTCAGGTTTCGAGATTGAATCTTATGGCCGGCAGGAACAAAAGATTTGAGGGAGACAATCTTGCAACCCTCTTTCATATCGAGAAAGTGATTGATCAACTCATTATTGAGTTGTGGTGTAAAAGCTTGGTTGTTGATGAGAATCACATCAGCACGCTTCAACACGTTGACAATACTTTCTTGCTCGAGAAAGTCGCCACGAACAAGGTGGGTTTTTCCTGGAGCGATACCCCAAAGCCGGCAGCGTGCCTTAAATTCAGCCTGCTGCAACTCGGCTAGGTCACAAGCGTTGGTCATCATCTCGCAACCCCAACTCTCACATCCAATCTCAAGGGCAGCCTGTAGAACAACGTTGCCGACGCCAGATCCAAGATCGACAAAGACTTGGCCTGACTTCAACTTGGTTTCTTTGAAGATGTTACTGATAAAGCGCGGGAGTAGTTCGCCGTACACATTATCAGTACCATTCTCATATTGTCGTAGAGACTCCACCCGAGGGGAGACAGTCCGCGCGTATATTTGAGTTAAAATGCGCTCCACCCAAGGTAGACCGATACGTTGGGTTTGATCCAGATGCTTTGCCAAGCTTCCATTGGTCCTCAAGCGGTCGATTGCGTTGTTGTAATCCGCAATCGCTTCACGGAATTGGGGTTCGGATGAAACTGCAACAGATCTGCGTAGTCGCCGTCTAATGCCATTAGTCTCATCGTTAAATTCCGCGGCTTCATCTTCGGGGATATAGTTTTCGGAGACGGTCTCAATGACCTGGACGATATCGTCGATCGGCCGGAAATCATCGTTATCGCGAGGTACCATGCAGTCGAATCTAGAATGGAAAAAAGTAAGTCTCCGATGATAGTCTAGGAAGAAATGATTTATTTACCTCTCTTTCTGTGAAGCGCTCGGATACTGCAACAGAATCTGCGCAGGTTTGCCTTGTGCTCCAAATGCCGGCTTGAATTTTCCAGCCTTCTGACCCGAAGAGATATCGGCGGCATGAACCATCTTAAACGGACGAGAAGCTTCCTCCGAAAATGCTTTCACAGAGCGAATCCGTCTCTCGGGATCTGGTTCCGCACTGGCGCTCGTCCGCGCTCGCTTTCGCACTTCGAAAGAGGTATCACTGTCGCCAACATCGTCATCGTCATCGTCACTTGAAAGTCGCTGTTCTGGCGTCGGCCGTTTCCGACCACGCGTCGGGGTGTTCAAGCGTTTAGTAGGGCGAGTATCTAGGTCACTTGAGACCGAACGGGCCTTGAGCGCGGACGCCTTGCGACTTCGATCCGACGAGGAAAGGATTCGTGGGGAAGCGACGGGAGTTTGGGAAGCAGACTTCGCTGGAGGGGCTGGTCGTGCCTGAACAACTTTGCGGACTTGGGATTTCTGCGGCTGTAGAGAAAAGGTCCCTCCTTTTTGGAGGTGATCGAAAAAGCCCATCGAGGTGGGATGCGGGCGAAGAATGCACGTGTATAGACAATATGAAAATGTGGCAAATGACGACTAAAGTATGCACTGCATGAAGATGAAGAACGCAAAGTAATGTATAGATCCCCAGGATACCCCGAGGATTTCAAAATGATTTCAAGGCGGAGTTGGAAAGAGAAGAAAAGAGATCAAAGCAGAAAGTAATCGATAAGCACAAGCGCCACTCGGGGAAACCGCCGCGGGATTTGGGGGGCTCTTGGCGTTTACCACGCTTAATGCACGTTTAGTCCACGTTTAGTTCACGTTAGCTCATGCTTAAGTCTTTAATTACAAGGATTACTACTAGGAAAGTAGCACGGGATCTCTATTCATCTATTTAAGATAAATATAAGAGTATATTATGAATATCGGCCTCTACATACAATACATACTGCTATTTTTATTTGATTGCATCAAAATTTGAATCATTAGGCTGCTCACTGTGCTGAAGTGTTTCATTTCGGACTCGACCCCTGGAGCATTTGTGAATATTGAAACTCATATTGAACTTTTAGTGGGAATAGCATCAGGACGTCCAGGCTACACATATGATTAAAGGGTATCATGAATGTCCATTCATCTATCTGACGCAATATTCAATGTTGCAATTATAAACAAATTATTTACGACTTCTTCTTCGCAAGTCGCTTTTGAGCCCGAATATCCTTCTTCATACGTGAATCCACAATCTTGTATCTGCCCTTAACACCCTTAGGACGACCAGAAATACCGCGGTTGGTACCACGAGCCACAACAAGCTTGACTTGTTGCTTGGGCTTCTTCTTAGTAGCCTTGCTCATGAGCTTGGAAATCGACTGTGCCTTGTCACGTTCACTGAGAGCCTCATCATCAGCCAGCAGAGCGGACTTCTTGCGCAGCTTCTCCAGCTTCTGTGCGGCCTTGAACTTCTTACGACCTCTAGCTTCCATCACCTTCTTGATGGGGCGGGCATTAATGGCGCGCATCTTCTCCTTGATAGCAGCTGCAGCGGCCTTGGTAATCGGACGTTGGATCTTGCTGTGCTTGCCTTCATCATCAATGAACCATTCGGGAAGACCATCGACATCGCGGAATGAGAAGCGGTTGAAGCCATCATCCATCACATCCGTGGACTTCCTCTCGCCAGTAGCCATCTGATGAGCCAATGCCATGGCCTCGGCAGTGATAATATCGATATCTGTAATTTGAAAATTAGAACTGCGCATGATACGTAATATTTTGCAGAGGTGGAGAACATACCCAGCTGGCCGTTAGGCTTCCGAGGCTCATCGATGTATTGAATCTCATCGTCATCAACCCACTCTGGCTCTGCTTTCTTCGCCTTCTTTTGTTTCTGGACAGGGATATCCTCGATATCGCTGTCTTCCTCCTCATCTTCCTCATCGACATCCTCGTCATCCATGTCTTCATCCTCCTCCTCTTCCTCCTCTTCCTCTTCCTCTTCCTCTTCCTCTTCCTCTTCCTCTTCTTCTTCCTCTTCTTCTTCCTCCTCCTCGCCTAATCCTTGGAAGATATCTTGATCAAAGAAAAGTGATGCGTTATTGGAAAGGTTAGCGGTAGGAGGTGCCTGCTCCGCAGGAATATCGACATGGGACTCTTCTTCTTCTTCCTCGTCATCACTCTTGTTATCTTCAGAGAAACCATCCCATTCGTCGGTCTGATACTTCTTGCGATTCTTCTTCGCGCGCAGTTTGGTGTCTCTGTCCTCCATCCGCTCTTGGTATTGGTCGTACATCGAATCGAGGTCTCTTTCCAAGCGATCTCCATCATCATCGCTGTCTTCATCCTCCGAGGACTCGCTCTCACTCTCGCTCTCAACAGGAACGTTTCGGGCATTGACAACGGCATCTCGTGCGCCAGCCTTATCCACGCGTCGAAGGGTAAATGTGGAGTCGGGGCCGATCTGCTCCATACCGATTTCCATAGGAGTCGTCATGTGCATTTGCAAACGAACAATCTCCTTTCGCTTCTTTTCGTTTTCCTTGCGTCTCTCCTTCTTCTCACGTGTAGTCTCCTTCTCACGCATGCGAAGCAATGACTCCTGAATAGCTAATTCCTCGTCCATGGGAGCGACTTCCGCAACTTCCTCACTCTCTGCTTCCTGTTCCTTGCTTTTCTTCACAACCAGTCCAAACTTCTCGCGGAGCTTCAAGCGCCACTTGAGCAAGCTGCGGAACTCTTTCCTTCCGAGAATCTTCAAATCCTCACAGCATTTTCGGATCTCATCGGTGGTTTCTTCCAGTCGGTCCACAGTAGACAATGCAAGATCGCCACCAGGCGGTTGTTGAAAGCTCAGCTTATTGTATTGACCCAAAATGGCGATGGGATCTGTGGTGTTGACGAATTCGGTAACAGAAATTTCCTTGAATTGAGTGTAGTCACCCTCCTCGTAACCTTCACGCTTTCGCTTCTTCACTTCGGGGTTGAAGACCTTGGCTTCATTGTTGGGTGTTGGGGCTGACAGCTCCGCAAAAACGTGTCTGGAGTCAAGGAACTTCGGGTCGATGCGCTTGGGGGCCTTGAATCCACGGCAAACAACGAAAATTTCGGCTGAGACGTTACGAGAGGATGGAGGCTTGGTTGCCTCAACAGATGTGAACAGTTGCTTGAACACCCACAGAAGAGGGTTGTAGTCCTTGGATCGGAAAACCTTTGTGACAAATGTTCCACCTTCGATCAAAAACTCCGTAGCCAGTTTCAACGATTCAAGCACAAGTTCTGCTTGGGAGAAAGCATCTTGAACCCAGGCTGTACCGACGTTGGGGGCACCATCGTGGAGAACGGTGTCTGCCTTCCAGGTTTTGAGATGGGATCGAATGGTAGCACGACACTTGTCAGTGGTAATATCGCTCTGGAAACTGATCACTCGAGGAATAGTCTTGATAGGGGCGAGATCGACACCGATGATGATGCTTTGGTTAGGCATACATTCTGCAGCAACTTGACACCAACCCTGATGTTCTTGTTAGATATTAAAGCCGATGGAAGATTCTTGTAGACGTAAAACTTACACCAGGCGCAGCACAAAGATCAATCAAGACCTTACTCTTCTCCAAGAATCCATATTTCTTGTTCAATTGAACCAACTTGAACGCAGCTCGAGATCGGTAGCCCTTCTCCTTCGCCAGGCGATACCATTTATCCAAACGACCTTTTCCATGCTTGAGAAGAAGTCAATAACAGGGCACACAAGATTATGTTCAGGGGCAAACGAACCTTTTTCTGGATAGCCATCTTGATGCAGAGGGCGGTCTTGCTACAGACCTGATTGCCCTAAATGCGACTTGAAAAAAATGTCAAAAATGTCAAAGGAAAGACTGTGTACACTTTGGTACGGCGGCGTCCGATGAAAAAAAAAAGTCGAACTTATCTTTCACCGCCTTCGGGCCCGGGGAAATGAATTTTTCTGCCTCAGGCATCAAGGCACAAAGCCCAGGCACCTGAGCCTAACATGTGATGTGATATCACTCCAGTTCGTGGCAGTGTGATCCATAACCTTGAAAGAGCTTGTGTTCTATATGAATCCTGACCTGCTTTGATGATACTCTATTTATTGCTATGACGCCCAAGGGATCGCGCAAACGGGTGAAGCCCAGCCCTTCTGGTGTGGACTCACCGTTCCCCGCATCGCCGAGCAATGCTGCTCCAGCTCAGTCCCAAGAACGCCTAGTAGGTGTAAGATTTACCTGAAGCCAAAGTTTACCATATATCTTACCATGATTTATTCTCTCAGAGTTGGTATCCTGGGTCCTGGTCGGCGATCTCGCGAGGGTCCAAGGCAGCTCCAGTTACCGAGGTTGCCCGTGAGAGCATATCGGTCGCTCAAAACGTAGCTTGCAGCGTCGCAGACTCCTCGAACTCATCCCTTCATTCTCCCAAGCGAAATCGAGCTCAATCCATTCAACTGATCAAGAAAGCTGGAGCATCTACCCGTTCCCTCCCAGCTGATGTAGCTACAACAAGAGTCAACATTGCTTCAGATGGATCAGCGTCTACAACAGCCCAAGCTAACAGCGAACCTAATCCATCCGATGAGCCACCAGCAGATAAAGTTACCCCTGTCGAATTAGCAACGAAAAATCCAGAAAAATCAGCCGAAGAACAAGGACCGACCGTTGACGGTGACCCTGATCCCAACGCTTTACAGCCAGAAGATACTAGTGCTGCGGAGCAACCTAGCGGATGGTTCTCGTGGCTCTATAAGCCCGGAAACATTGAGAAAAGTACTGTTCAAAGTGCCGAACTAGAAGCCTCAACTGATAGACCAACCGATACCCCTGAGAACTCGAACAAAGCCGCCGAGCTTGAAACAAACAAACCACAGTCAACTGAACAATACCAACAGCTGGAGCAGAATCAAGACCCAGAAGATCACGCCCAGGGACCTAGCACAACGGAAATAACTTCAACGGCTCAAAAGCGGTCGTGGTTACAAATGTGGTACGGCTCTTCGTCAAACAAACCGGAAGAGCAGCCAGCTTCAGAACCAGCGCCCCCTTCCACGGAAGCTGAGCCATCGGCGACTGCAGATGTGGAAATGACATCCAACGATCCACCTGAAGGGGTAACTGAAGGGCATGGAGAAGAATCTAGGCCGCCACAAGCACCTGTCGGGTCAGTGAAGTCGTCAGGCTGGTCTTTCTGGGCTAAAGACACGTCTAAAGATGGAATGCCTGCCAAGCCCCAGGAGGTCGAGGTGGTTGAAGGATCAATGGCGACGAATAGCGCATCCAGGCCACAGGAGCTTGAGCCAGATATGGAAGCAAACGTGAAAATCACGCCCAAGGGTAGCATCAGAGTCAAGCCAGACAGCCGTGTCAAAGATGGTGCAGTCTCCATTGTCGAGGCAATATCTACTTCGACCCCACCTGCTGAGCCTCGACCAGCAGATGTTACTGCGTCGAAGCAACTGCAAAAGGTCTTGTCTAATCAGGTGCTACCACGGTTTGAAGAAACGTACAGCCTGGAGGAATCGCCTTCTCTTTTCCAGTCCCTCGGTCGGTTTCTTCATTATACCAAAGGTCCAGAACACAACCATGTCTCCCGTGTCAAAGAACCGCCTCGAATCAAACGTGCTCTGGCTATTGGGGTTCATGGATACTTCCCTGCTCCATTAATTCGAAGCGTGCTGGGGCAACCTACAGGAACATCTATTCGGTTCTCCAACATGGCAGCAGAATCGATTCGGAAGTATACAGCAGACCATGGGTACTCCTGTGAAATTGAAAAGATTGCACTGGAAGGCGAGGGCCGCATTTCAGAGCGAGTGGATTTGCTATGGAAGCTTCTTCTAAATTGGATGGAAGAGATCCGCAAGGCTGATTTCATTCTTGTCGCGTGCCACAGTCAGGGAGTACCGGTATCAATCATGCTAGTCGCAAAGCTCATATCCTTTGGCTGTGTCAATGCATCAAGGGTAGGCGTCTGCGCTATGGCTGGAGTAAATATGGGTCCTTTCTCTTCTTACCGATCTCGCTGGATCTCTGGATCTGCTGGAGAGCTCTTCGAATTTGAGCAACCATCCAGTAGAGTGTCCAAAGACTATGGAGCTGCATTGAGGTGTGCGCTAGATTTTGGTGTGCGGATCTCTTATATTGGAAGTATTGACGATCAACTCGTCTCTCTAGAGGTATTTCGAATCTATTTTGAGGCTACCTTCGAACTTATACTGATTTCTGTATTGCAGTCATCATTATTTTCGCCCATTAATCATCCATATATCTACCGATCTGTTTTTGTCGACGGAAGAGTCCATGCACCTAGCTTGTGAGCGTCCTCAACCCAAATGAAACCTACCGTAGCTAATTTTTCAGTGTATCCCACCTTGTCGGCTTCGCTCTCAAACTCCGAAATCTCGGCATTCCTGACCACGGCTTGATCCGTGAACTCAGTACCCCACTTGCCGGAAGTCTCTACACTGGAGATGGTCATTCTCGGTTATACGACGACGAAGCAGTGTACTACATGGCCATTCAATTTGCACTTGAAACATCCATCGTTCCAGAAGCTTCCCTAGAGATAAAACGTTCCAGTCCTTCCGTCCCCTCAAATCCGTTCATTCTTCCATTTGCGATGCGCGGCCTGCTTGAAGAAGAGCATGTACGCCGTGAAATGAACGAGGAGACTATGGAGCTCTTGCGACAATTCGATGACTGGAAACCATCAAGCAAGGTTTTGAAGGACGTCAAGTTTCGCCTAGAGGGTATCCGGTCAAAGTTGTAGATTATCCCCTTTTGGAATTCCAGGGCTTCAAGTTTGGAGCTTTTTCTCTTCATATATGCCGCGGAGGGTTATTTTGATTTTAGCGTTCACCCCGTTCTAGCGACAAATTAGAGGAAATATCATATCACAGTATCTACATACAAGTCCACGCTTACGCCGCGCTTCGCGTGGCACTGTAATAGCGAAATTGGGAAAGGTATCTCCTCAGCACTCAAGTGCTTGGCCAGGCGTGTTCATATTCTCTCAGACAGGGATGTTCGGCGTGACATAGTACTTAATTACTTAGTAGTATCTATAAGTACCAGGTGGTTGATAACTTGTAACAGCCACGCGGCCAAGCTCCATTTCCCTATAATCAATTTGATCACCTATTTCACTGCCAGTTGCTTTATTATCATGATATAAAAACCCTAATAATATATAAAACTAAACTACTAAGGGATATCTAAAGTGAGAGATATCTGAAGTGAGAGGTAAGTGAAGTAAGAGATAGCTAAAATAAGAGGGACCTTAGGATATACACAGTTTTCTTTTTTCTCTCTCTACTAACCATACATATAGGGGATTTGGCTGTATCATGATAGCTGTTGTAGGCCCCTGTAGCCAGGTGTGGCGGGGAAAAAGACCACATACACCCACTGGCAACTTGAAGTAGTAAAAGAGGTGACATGACAAATTAGAGGAAATATCACATCACAGTATCTACATATCAGCTTAACATTAAACCCCGAATCCTTCAGATATCTCTTTTCTTTTGATTCTGGGAGTTAAAGAGCATCTTTCGTGTATATTGATATATATTAACATGGAAAATTCCACCAGGTAAATAGCTTGATATATGCCTTCAACTCCCAAGTGCTTCCAAGGTTGAAAAAGCCAAACACCCCCTTGAACTCGAGAGCTCGGAACTGTATACTAGTACTTCTGGCATCGCTATAAGGGAAAAAGGATTCCATCGCAATGCAATATGAAACAAGAATCGCTCCAAAATGGTGCTTGTTGCTGGTTGCACTACTGGAATACAAAAATCAAAAGACATGTTAGTAAAAATGAGAAAGAGCAGGTACAACAATCAAATAGCAGTCCGTGGAAATGCTGTCTGATATGCTCCTTGGATTTCATCTATGTTGGTGTCAGTGACCCATCAAGAGAATGATGAAAGAAAGAGTCGACTTGAAGGAAATCTCACCTCTCATCCCATCTAACGCTTCAAATGCCATCGAATAATTAGACACAGCTCCAAGAATTCGTTCAAGACCTTGCTGTAGTTCCTCAAGGACCCTATCATTCGAGTCTCTTGAAATTTCACATTCCCCTTCAGGTGACATCTGCTTCGCCACACGTGCCTTGTAGAATAGCATGAACATCGCGTAGCTACTCTGCATGAGACAGCATGCAAATGAAGGCATAGTCCTGGGGAGAGGGCGGCCCTGCTGATGCCCTTCATAAATCGGCTGCGGATACGGAAGACTTTCGAACATGCGTGAGATGACCATTGCGGCGCGGAAACAGATCTTGGCGGAGTGGTGAGGACTGTAAGGGAAACCGGGTACAAAGGGATAATGTGGATACTGTGGTATGTAAGGGTGAATGTCTGATGAGGTGGATGAGTCTGACGGGGTGAGATATTCAGTTGATGAGGCTCGTTGGAACTGGTCCAGGTTGCTGCATGAGCAGGAGATACTATTCATGCTGGGTCCTGTAACGGGTTGTTTGGTTGTGAGTTCTGCATTGGACGGGGTCTGGTTGGCGGTTGTTAGGTCACAGTGGCGTTTGATGAATATTGGGATGTCAGAGAAGGCCCGAAAACGGTGGGTTTTGATTTGGGCACTGGAGATTGAGTTAGGCTTTCGTTGAGCGAATGGATATGGTAGGTTGAATGTACCTGGACAACTTGATCTTGGATATCGTTCGTATACTTTGAGCAGTGGTGATTTCCGGATAACCGAACACTGGTTCATGTGATGTTATTGCTCCCATTTCGGCTTGTTGGAGCACAGAGTTTGTCCAGGAATCTAGATGTTGCATTCGATCAAACAAGAATTGCAGGCCCTGCTGCGTAGAGAGACACTTGTTCAAGTCTGCGATAAATTGAGTTGCAGATACCAGCACTTGTTGAGCCTGTATCAAAATGGACCATCCCTATAATCGACGTCAGTATTTTTCTATGCTTATGGAGTGTTAGACAGTAATGCTGCCACCGTGGGGATACACACCTCTGCATCAGACGAAAATCGTGGATATGGTGTCGTAAATTGAGGATCATTAATGACGATCGTCGGTGGCTGCTTGTTTATTAGAGTGATATAAACTTGTTGACCGCGGGTTAAATGTACTCACAGTTGTGCTTACGATCGAACCTTGAATCACACAGTAGTATGTCATCCACCACGCTCTCCTTCGAGCTTCAGAGAACACATCTTCTGCATGATGATCATGGAGTGACTTGTCCAAAGCTAGAGCCAAAGCTTGACCTGCCCGGTATCTCATTTTGAGTAAATTTCCTCTCTGGGTATATTCGTATACCGAAAGAATCAATAAGGACAAAAGTGTCTCTAAATCTTCTGGGGTTCGAGGATGAAGTTTCTCACGGTTGACTGTAGGTCGTTCACTAGATAGAGCCTGCCCTGGATCAGTTGATGACAGGTCGAGATCGCATTCCGCATCAATAATCGAACTGGCTAGCTGCGCAAATTTATGGGCATATATCCTGCGTTGGAGGATCGACGCAGGCGAGGATGGATCAGGGTCCTCGGGATGCGGAATTAATGCCAGAACTGCTGATATCGCAAGACTCAAAGGAGATCGAGGTCGGTACATAATTATGGGCTCATCTGGTGGGTTGGAACAAGGGATCGGACACTGAAGAGGTCTGTCCTGACACGGCGGCGCCACCCGTGGAGGAAGAATTGGAAAATAAGTATGGATAAAGTCATAGTAGGCGTTCAAACTGTTTAAAGCAATAAGCATATCGCAATCAAAACCAAACTGATACTGGAATAGGCTCACATTTCCGGTTCACTACCATAGAGTCGTACGAAGCACTGAGTGTCACTTAATGGCGACGGCATCAATTCCAGAGGGACATGCGAAGCACCAGTATCACCAGCATAGTAGCTCTGGAACATAGAAGTAGGAAAATCCAAATGCCGTAATCCCGCACCTGGCAAAGAGAGTACATCGATTTGAGTAAACATGTCCGGTGCTGTGGAGTCGTTAATATCGCAGGACATCAACCATTGGGTCCTAGTATGAACATACACTCGTCAAAGTCCCCAGAGACGGCCAGGTATTGGGCGTCATCTTGTTGCGGCTCCTCTTCTGGAGACTCAGAGGGCCTTTGCTTCTTTTTCCGCGGCCCACCCCGTTTGCTGGGTAGGTATGAACATTTGCGGTCTTTGGCGACACACTAGTAGTAAAGCGTCCAATATTAGTACCATGGCAATAGAACTGCACTCCTCCGATCACTGATTGGTTCTCTTCCACGTGTATATGTAGTATCAAAGCTCCGAAAAGAGAAAAGAAAAATAGACTTCATAGGGATTTGCCATTACTTACATTAGAACATGGCTCTTGTCCACCACATCGGGTTCTCGAAGCGCGGCTGGAAACGGGATTAGTTGAAATCTGAGCGTTATCGGCTGGGGACGGGATAAAAAAGCAGCGCACCAAGGCAAACAAGCTACCTTGACAGGTGGTTTGGCGAACTTCTTGCGAACCGGCCGAGCCGCCGTCGAGACAAGCCCGCTCTCACTGTGAAAAGCGTCGACCATGGCGAATCACACGGCCGGGATGGCATGGGGCGATACTCCGCAATCCCCGCCCTCGTCTTGCTTCTCGTCCTTTTGTCCCTAGCTTGCGGGATTCAGAGATTCAAGCCGGGGTTTGCTCTTCACCCTCTTCTGGCAACTTTTTCGTTGTTGAAAGAGCTTACTGACGCTTTTTATTGTGGGAACCAGGGCAGATGAAGAAACGCTTCCTCTGATATAGAAGCGGTGCGCTGATTGCTCGATCTTTCTCGATTCAAATCCCGAGCCGTGGAGATTCGGGATTTGCTTGCGGGTACGGGTCAACGTCCACAATTTGTCACGACGGGAGATCTTCTCGTTGCTGCGAGTTCGGAATTGGAGGGGAATTAAGAGTGGATATAAACATGATGGACTCGAACAATCCATTCCGATTGACTTCAAGTTGGACCCGCCATGACTTTTTATTTTTATTTTTATTTTTTTTCTGAAACACGAACAGCCCTGATAGTTTCTGTAACTCCTGAGTAACATGCAATCTAGGGTCACATGACATTGGAGATGAACTTCCCCGATTTGGAGATACATAAATACCTACTGCTTAAAAGTGACATTTTATGAAATTTAGATCTAGCGGTGGAGGGAGAGAAGGGGGGAAAAAGCAGGACTCACATCAGTGGCTACATCATAATGCTAGCATGCAAGCCAGGGTGTCTTGTGAATCCACCTGAGTAGTTAGTTCATCCTAGTCAATTGTTGGAAGTGGAGTCTAGGAGGGAAGGGGGCTTTTTCACCACCAGGGCTGGACAGATTCAGCTTGAAGTTGCTAGTGTGTATAAACGAGTAGTTTCAGGACCAGTGTATACTAGTAATTAGCGTCATGATGTACATAGGATGTACTATTATTATGGCATCGTGGGCCTACAAGACTAAAATTGGGCAAAATTGGTACCTCTTTCCTGTCAATTCTGTATGTACTTCCCTGTATGCGTTACGGAATGAATACTCCAAAGATTATGCAACTAGTAGATCTCGGAAGAGACCCGAAGTAGAAGACGCGAACGATGTGCACGACACAAGCATGTTTCTCCCTTGATGATGTGATGTAAAATTTATGATTGGTTGTCGCGGTCCTGCGCAACAACGCCTTCATGTACCTCGTATGTAGTATGCGAAGTAGGATACCATACACATGTACTCCACTTACAGGATCCACGTCAAAATGGCCATGCGGATATAAACTCCCAATCTTGGAAGGTATCATCACCCTTTTCCAATGGAAGAAAGCTTGATACCTGTCACATACCGTACACTATCCCAAATACTGTCTGGCACACTGGGCGGCAGCTTGTGACCCTTCAACTGTTGATCAATCAACCACATTCCAACCACAAATTCCTCTTTTGTGAGCAATCCGGTCTGTTGGTGATCCACGAGGTCCCACACTTGTTCCAGCGCAGTGGCTGGCAGGCGGCTGCGGGACCAGATCTCCCGCACTACCAGGTTTAGCACCATTTCTGACGGGGGAGGCCATTTGTTGGCCTCGACAGACTTGCTCAATTGTGGGGGAATGAACAACCCCTTGTTGGAAGCCCAGACACCTTCATAGCGTTTCCGTTCCAATTCAGTAACCTCCATTCGCCATCGTTTTCGGTCGCCTTCATGATGCTTGTGCGGATGTTTGTGAAGCAAATTTCTTTTATGTCGTCGATTGGGGTCTGAATCATCATCTTTGGGTATAGTGCGTAGAGTCATCGGCATTGCTTTTGTTGCTTTTGGGGGACTCGGTGTTCGTGATTCATCCTTCTTGGGTGAATGTGCTAGTTGTAGAAGCGACCGAGCACGTCGCCGGCGTGGGGGAGGTGGCGGAGCTTTCGACATGGGGGATGCTCGGGCAGATGCAAGTGAGGATGCAACGATTGCATTAGAGAGGGCTTCCTCGTCCATTCCATTTGGATCGTTCAATGTACTAGAGCTACTGTTGTGCGAGCGAACTGACATCGATGCTATACTTGGAGTTGCACGGAGCGAGGTTGGTACGGGAGCTGGCTGTCGTAATGAGACCTGAGAAGGCGCCGTAGACCGCGGAGGTAGCGGAGGGAGAACAAGCCTTGGCTTAACATCGTCTAGATGAGATAAGGATATTCGAGAACTGACGGACGGTTGAGCGCTGCTTGCTCGGCTCCGAATACTGCTAGCACGAGATCGAACTGATGACGGAGATCGAGTATAGGCGGAGTCTTGGTCGAGAATTGAGACGTCATCCGATAGCATCCGATTTACTGGGACTTGTACTGGAGGTTTTGGTCGGACTGGGATCGGCGAACGCATTTTGTGTTGGACTGTTGGCCGTGTTTGGGACTGCATCCTGCTCGCGCTGCGGATGGCCCCCAGTCTTGCGGCATCGAGAGTTGGTTCGGGCCTCCGCCCAGGCGATCTTTCCGCCGCTAGACGAGCGGCCACTTGTTCTGGGCCTGGAGTTCGAGCGGGTGACTTCGGTATAGGGGACTTGGATATTGAGGGTGTTCGTGGGCGCGTCGTAGTACTGACTGGAGGGGCAAGCGAGTTTCCGGCAAATCTCCCAATCTTGTCCTTCACAGAACCAACTTCAGGACCGGGATCAGAATCCATCTCTGGATGAGGCTGAGCATGTCGGTTCATGCGACTAGCCACGGCGGCTGCAGCTGCAGCAGACGACTGGGGATTCACATTAGGCGACGGACGGGATTGTTGAAAGGCGATCGCAGCCCCTAATCGCGCGGAGTCATTCTTTCGGAAGGCCGGGGAAGTCAACCGCTGGTTCGCGGTGGCGATCTCGCCATTCATGGAATCGATCTCCGCTGGTTTATACTCCAGGGTTAATACAAAAAAGGAACTTCAAGATTATGAAGATGGTTTAATCAATAAAGCACAGAAAAAAACAAATATGACGCTGAAGGCCCACTTAATTCCCATTCGGCTGCCACGCAACCGAGATTTGGGGGTCAAAGAGTTGACCTCTCGTATACGGAGGATACGAGGGATCCATGTCGGTACTCGATGACTCGAGAATGTGTTTGTTTACTATCACCACCACGACTACATAGGATTCCTACCACCATAGTTATCATCCTCCTACCAAGAGGTTCCCATGTCGATCCCCACGTTCCTGAAGTATAATTCAATGGTGGAGTTCATTAACCCATGGACCTCCGGATTTAACCCCGGATTCCAATTTAACCGAGGGTTCGTTTAATTCTTGTCGCCAATTATAGCGCTTGGTTGGTTGCTCCGCATGTGGTGGAACGATTCAGACCCTACGTGATATCCCCGGTTTTTCCCCTCATTTGTTTCTGAGGTCTGAAAAAGGTGTGGCTCTTGCATAATCTGAATCCCTGGATATGCATCTTCATACATCTTGGATGTATTGCAGGCGCCATGCTGGAGAACGATCATGCGACTCACGAGTCTCCATTACAAGCTATGGATACAGACGTGGATGGGGGAGATGATACACAAGCATCAGGCGACCGAGCGGAACAGACTGCTGCAGGCTCAGGGCAAGTGCAATGCTCAGTTTGTAGTAGTACATTTCGTCGACCTGAACATTTGAAGCGCCATTTGCGCAGTCATACAAAGGAGAAGCCATTTGAATGCGCTCAATGTGGCCGACATTTTTCAAGAACGTACGTGGCCACATCATTTGGTGGCGCAATGACTATCTCATATGGCAAACTAATAGCAATCGTCTATATAGAGATACCCTCCATCGTCATGAACTCAGTCATCATAATCCAGGAACAGAGGGCGGCAAAGACCGCACTCACCGCATAACTGTCAAGACATTCCGGGCATGCTTTAGTTGTGCCACAGCTAGAGTCAGATGCAGTGGCGGTATGCCGTGTGGACGGTGTGAAGCCCGTACGCTCGAATGTCAATATCCTACCGAGCGGCGATCGAAAGCAAGGGCCCGAGATGGTGTGCGCGCACTGTCCAGTACAGACGCTCATGGACCGGATCCTCCTTCGCCTCGTGGCGCTTCACGACCTAGCAGAGCTAATACTAGGTCATCTCGACTGGAGCAAGCGCCATACCAGCTTGTTCAATTCTCGGTCAATGGCCTGAACGACCCGCAACCGTCTCCCAAAGCCTCGACTATCGCCTTTTCCAATGCAGGTCAAAATGTCACGGAAACACCATCAGACGGCAGAGGGTCTATTTCAGGGCCTACAGACCCTCAACTATACCTAACGTCCTCCATCCCTGATCTATCTGTAGGATCGCTACCCCTCACGGTCTACTCGAATGGAGATTCCCACGCACAGTATAATGGAATCGCAAACACGGACTCCGAAATACGAAAGATATTTTCCGGTGAAACACCCGCTAGCCTGGATCCTGAGATCAGAAATATTCAACCCAGAATATCAAGCTCGGAGGTGGACATAGCCATGGACATGGGAGTAAACCCAGATATTGGGTTGGACTTTGATCCTTCATTCTTCGATCCATCCATGCTTTCTACCATCAACTGGCTTCCCAATGAATTATTCGCCGGGCCCACAAGTGACCAAGGCCCATCATCTAGGGCCCCTTCACAATTCTCCCAACCTGCTCCTCCTGACAACTTTACTTTCCCAATGCCTTGGCAACCGCCGGTTATTCGTAGCAATCAAATTAGCCCATCGGGCCCTGATAATATTCCCCAGACACCATCTGGAGATATGTCTATGGGAACCGACTCAGTGAGCCCTCGTCGATATTCGCATGTCCCTAGCGATTCATCCCCTCATTCAGAATCCGTTGATTCCACAAAGCGCTCGGCAGACTACTACGTTGATGGGGGTGGAGCCCGTCTACCCAAATACAGAAAGAAACACAATATCTGGTCAACTTCATCCGCAGAAGTAGCTTCAACTACCGACTCGCTTCAGGAGACCACCTCGCCACGATTCAATTTCCCCAGCACACATAACTTGGGTATGGAAAATTTCTCTGATGAAGTGAGATATGCTGTCCGACCGATCGAGTCCACTATCTACAATGAGATTTACAACAACTTTCTTCTCCTTTGCCGAAAGGAGAATCCATTTTTTGAATCATATGAGTCTGATAACTTCCCATCTGCAGAGGATTGCAGTCGATACATTGTCTGCTTCTTTGACTCATTTCAAGCTGTATACCCCATACTACATCTTCCTTCGTTCAATCCCAACAAATGTTACTGGCTATTGACCTTGGCTGTTGTTGCCATTGGTTGCCACAGTTCAAATGACCCGGCAGCAGATCAACTTACAGCCGCCTTCCATGAGATGATTCGACGGGCTCTTCATATTCAGGTAATTTTCTCAGTATTTATGCGAATTATGGAAGACAAACGCTAATTTGTTTGCTTTTTTAGAAAGAAAAATATCGCTCTGGTCAAGATTCCCTTGCTGTAATTCAAGTTCTATTTCTCAACTGTGTTGGACTTCTTCACAGCGGAAGTGAGCGAGCAAAAACATCCGCATTGAGCACCTTTAAAGATCTGGTGACTCTCATGAATTATGAAAAATTATTGCATCGTCCAAAGAAAACAGCTGCTAGAAACGAATTCTCCGATGATATCATGTGGCAGAGTTGGGTTCAGGATGAGATTCGGAGACGAACAGGCTACTGCATTTGGGTAGGGCTATCAATCTGCAGTCATGAATTTAGTATTCACTAACATAATGAATCAAGCTTCTGGATTGCACCATTGCCTATTACTTCGAAGACCGTCCACTTCTCTCCCTTGATGATGGACAAGCGCCGTTACCTGCACATGAGAAGTTGTGGCACGCAAACTCCGCAGAGGCATGGAAACAGCTGTGGGAGAATACGAACGACTCACATTCTCCTTCTCATTCTCATTCTCAAACCTCATCACAAGTCTTGTCATATCCAATCAACCAATCTTTATACGATTCAGTGCATATACTATATATCGAGAAGAGATTGGCCTCTGGAATTGGTGAATTCAGCCACATCCTCCTGATCCACGCACTATACCATCGAATGTGGGAAGTAAGCGACTACTTCCGCCGCCCGCTCTCTTTCTGGAATCCAACCGCGCGGAAGCAATCTTGTGAAACTGCTATTCCGACCGGCTCGGTTTGGCTACCAGGAATCCCATCGTATTCCAAATGGCGCAACAGCGCCTGTGATTGCCTCGATATTCTTCACTGGACTGCTAATAGTACAATAGCCAAAGCTGCTGGGCTGGAACATCCAACTGTTCTTCACCTTCATGCTGCACGCCTGATTTTACTTGCTCCGTTTCGTGAAATTCGCTCGCTTGCCACTTCCCTAGCAACTAACAAGCTGCGATGGAGTAAACGAACCCACGCTCTTGAATGGCAATACATCTGGCGCTGGATTCGCCATGATCAATACAAAGCACGTTTATCCATTATTCATGCTGGGGTTACTCTTTGGCATGTCCGAAGATACTCCACAAACGCATTCCATGAGCCAATGGCCGTCTTTCTGGCTGTGTTGACACTGTGGGCATATGGGTCTTACCATACTCATGCGCCTACAGAACAAAGCCCCAACGCCCCGAGTTCTCGACTCGACTCTGCACAAGAGCCCAGTTTTATTCATTTAGATCGTCCATGTGACGACGAGCTAGTCCAACTTTTTGTGAGAGAGGGACATTCGATGAGAGGGAATGTCACTGGTGTAGGAGATATCTGTGCCCCCGAGGGTCCAGAGCGAGTCCTACGGGTTGGCTGCGAGACACTGTCTAGCTTGACAGCATGGGGCCAATCAAAGAAATTTGCCTCGGTTTTGAGTCGCTTGGCTGATCTAGCCTCGCTCAACTCAGGTGGGGAGCAGAACAGCACGGACAAGGCGGGCCAAAATTGACCTTCATTTTCTTCATTCTTGACTGTAAACTTATAGATATGAAAATGTACACTACTTTCAAATACGAGCATAGATTTAAATTAGTTTTAATTGATTTATTCTAGAATTTACCTAGCAGTAGTCATGGTTAAGTGCTCTCTAGTTGAAGTCTATACCTAGGTAGTGAGTGATGTCACATGGTCGTTATCTTATCACTATCGCTGCCTAGAATTGAGGCTAAAAACATCCGGGGAACTTTCACCTTCCAAGGTTTCTGTTTCTCTTACTCTTTCAAGCAAACTCTCCCATGGATTCTGATGAGATTCTCCCTGGTGCTCCTCCATTGGTGGAGGAAGATCTAGATGAAAAGTAATCGCTGTGTCGTGTTCCTGCCCCTTTCAATACTAATCTCTTGAAAATAGCTATCCGAATCGCCCGCATAACCATGGTCCAACACTCGCATTTCACGATCTGTACTCAGAACTCTTCAAGTCGCTGAATGAGATAAAAAAGAGGCCAAAGGTTTCAGCTCTGACAAAGCGGAAGCTCGGTTCAAAAGATAATGGCATCTCCACCTTGAACCCATATGAGATGCGTCGCGATGTTATCGTCCGCTTTATTTCGAGGTGGCGCAAAGAGGTTGGCAATGATATCTATCCAGCATTTCGATTGATCTTACCTGAAAAAGACCGACACCGACCAATGTACGGTATCAAAGAAAAAATCATCGGCAAAATGCTGATCAAGATAATGAAGATCAATAAAGACTCAGAAGATGGATACAACCTCCTCAACTGGAAGCTGCCAGGAATGTCTGGTGCTGCTCGGATGGCAGGTGACTTTGCTGGACGCTGTCATGATATTCTATCTAAAAGACCCATGCGAACAGAGCCGGGTGATATGTCTATTGAAGAAGTGAACGATAAGCTGGACAAGCTTTCGGCAGCCTCAAAAGAAGAAGAACAGCTGCATATCTTGACTGAGTTTTATCGCCGTATGAATCCGGACGAGCTTATATGGCTTATTCGTATCATTCTACGGCAGATGAAGGTCGGTGCTAGTGAGCGCACATTCTTTCATGTCTGGCACCCAGATGCAGAGAGTCTGTACAGCATTTCTAGTAATCTGCGACGGGTCTGCTGGGAGCTTTATGACCCAAATATTCGACTTGAAGCAGAGGATCGCGGAATCAGATTAATGCAGTGCTTCCAGCCTCAGTTGGCTCAATTCCAAATGAATTCATTTGACAAAATGATTTTGCGAATGCGAACAACAGAAGACGATCCTGTCTTTTGGATCGAGGAGAAAATGGACGGCGAACGGATGCAACTTCACATGGCCCCTGACGATTTTGTTCAGGGAGGTCGCAAGTTTGCCTTTTGGTCACGCAAGGCCAAGGACTACACTTATCTATACGGCAATGGAATTCATGATGAGCATGGTGCCCTGACAAGGCATTTGAAGGACGCCTTCATGGACGGTGTTCAGAGCATGATTCTAGATGGTGAGATGATCACATGGGATCCTGAACAAGATGCTATGGTTCCATTTGGGACACTCAAAACTGCAGCTTTGGCGGAGCAGCGAAACCCATTCTCAAATGGGCCACGTCCTCTTTTCCGAGTCTTCGATATCTTGCATCTCAATGGTCGTGATTTGACCAAATACACTCTCCGTGATCGTCGAAATGCATTGGAAAAGACTATCCGCCCTGTTCGTCGTCGATTTGAATTGTTGCCGTACAAGGAAGCGACATCAGCCGCAGAAATTGAGACGGCCTTGCGAAAGGTCGTCGCACAAGCCTCGGAGGGCCTCGTACTGAAAAACCCGCGATCTCAGTATCGTTTGAATGAACGTCACGATGACTGGATGAAAGTGAAGCCAGACTACATGACTGAATTCGGCGAGTCTCTTGACGTGGTAATCATAGGTGGCTACTATGGGCAAGGTCATCGAGGAAATAACCTTGCAAGTTTCCTATGTGGTCTACGCGTTGATGACGGTAACTCACAAGGCACGCCACAAGAAAAATTCTGGTCTTTCTGCAAGGTTGGTGGAGGTTTTATAGCCGCCGACTACCGGGAGCTCCGTCATTTCACAGACGGGAAATGGAAGATATGGGATTCAAATAAGCCGCCTTCTCAGTACATCGAGCTTGCAGGTGGTGACTCTCAATATGAAAAGCCTGATATGTGGATAAAGCCATCTGAATCTCTTGTGGTATGCGTGAAGGCATCCTCTACTGCTGTTAGCGAGGAGTTCCGGATGGGCCTGACCCTTCGCTTTCCTCGCTTCAAGAAGTTTCGCAAAGATAAGAATTGGGAAACTTCGCTATCTGTTCAAGAGTTCTTGAACCTCAAATCGAATGTGGAGAAAGAGCACCGTGAAAAGGAGTTCCAAGTGGATAACACCCGCAAGAAGCGTGCTAAACGAGCAGAGAAGAAGCCGTTAACAGTTGCAGGCCACGAAGAAAAGGAGGTGCAGTACGCTGGTCCATCAGGTCATATTTTTGACACACTCAATTTCTGTAAGAACTCTCAAACCGTCCAATTTTTCTTTGCTCTAACATGAATCTTCTAGTCATAATGACAGACGCACGTGTGCCGGAGAAGAAATCCAAAGGCGAACTAGAGCAGCTAGTGAAAGCCAACGGCGGGAAAATATTCCAAACTAATAATGCAGCGTCGGACACCATTTGCATTGCTGAGCGCCGTATGTATGAGACTCATCAAATTATCTATCTACATACTGACATCCCACCAGGGACCGTGAAAGTAGCTTCCCTACAAAAGCATGGCAATTTCAATATTATCAGGCCATCCTGGTTGCTTGACTGTTTGAAGCACAGTGAGAGAGATGCGGGATTGTCTGACCTTTTACTCCCATTCGAACCAAGGTATGTTGAAATAAAACACTAGAACAAACTAAGGAACTAAATACAATTCGAGGCACATGTTCTTCACAATGGAAGACCGTGATGATGAAATTCAAATCAATGTGGATCGATTCTCGGACAGCTATGCGCGCAACACGAATTTGGATGAACTCACAGATGTTTGTTTCGCAATTTCGTACTTTCCATAACGCTCAATTACTAATTTCATCAATTAGATCCTAAGGCACATGGCTGAGAATGAAAAGCCAGTGGATCCGTTGGATGCTCGTACACTCCATAAAATCGAAGGTCTCATCCAGGATAAAATCGATTCGGGGTATACAGCACCCTGTGGCTGGCTCTTCCATCGCCTGGCCTTCTTTTTCTGCGAAGGTAGCGATACAAGCAATGCTGAACAGAAAGAACCCAGTGACATTCGTCTACAACTTGCACGAAACACTGCATTGTTTGGCGGAGCGGAAATTGCTTCCTCCATCCAAAGCCCGGAAGTCACTCATATAATTGCAAATCCAGATCTTTTGTCATCGGATGAGAGAGTGTCCCTGCGACAGGCACTCTCTGAGAGGCCAGGGAAGAAATTGCCCAACCTTGTCAGTGTGGCTTGGCTGGAGGAGAGCTGGGCAAATGGAACATTACTGGATGAAGAACGTGAGTACTCCATGCTTGAAGGCGTTTTGACTAGCCTCTTTGGTCTGGTCAACATTATTGAGATTCTCTGACAAAACTTCTCTACTAGGGTTCCAAATGCCACGCTGACCATCGACCCATTTTTGAGACCCCGGTATGCTCGCATAGCAGGATTCCATGATTTATGAATGAAATTACTTTTGAATATTCATCCTGTATTCTACCTCGATCGAAATTGTCATTGGGTCAGCTTAAACTTCATCTGCATATACAAACTGAATGTTCAGCAGGCTATACCCTGATTGATGGGTCATGCCTCCACAGAGCCACCCTAACTTTCTCAGCGGAATTCCAAGATTTCAAGTTTTCTATATATGTAGACCAGACTTAAGATAATAGCCCAACTCTCTGGTTACTGGCCTAGTATCCTGATGTTATGATTTTGCTCAACTTGAAGTTCTGCTTCTTGGAAGTACTATACAGTCTTGGAATTTATGACATCATACCTGCCATGAATATCCCGGAAAATCAATTTACCGAAATCCGCGTATCAATCACCAAAGTTGACTTCTGGATGCTAGGCCATTGCCCAGCTCTCCATGGCAGCAAAAAATGCAATATCAGTCTCGCAATTTGCCGAGCACTTTCGCCTAGCATGGTCGGGCGTCAGAGGAGTCGTTCCTCATGGTCACCAGGGCCTTATTGAAGATGTAGCTCATCTTCCGCGACGAGTCGGTAAGATACAATCTCTATATCTTTCCATGTTGTATCAAAAGCGCAAGAAATGTATCATAAAGTGTGAAATATAGCTAATTGATAAACTAGGTCTTGCTGTTAGTGGCGGTGCTGACTCCATGGCCCTGGCTTATCTATGCCGGCAGCTTGAAAAAACACCTATTGGCGGTCCGATTTCTGTGACCGCATTTGTTGTTGATCATCATGCTCGAGCAGAAAGTAGCGCAGAGGCGAAAACTGTCAAATCTTGGCTTTCAGCTTTAGGTATGTCTGAAACCATCTCCATTGGAATCCCTTTCATGTAAATGAGAGGGGACCCCCTTTTTGGGATTGATCTAGATCGAAAGCTAACCTCCATCCAGGGATTGATACCCAAATATTGGAACTAGACTGGTCTCAAATATCGGGCTCTCAGGATCAATCAACTCAGTCAAATGCTGCGCTAACAATGCCCACTGCTTTTGAAACGCATGCTCGCCGGCTACGATTTCAAGCCCTGGGTAAAGCCTGTCGCAAAAACGACATTCAGGCTCTACTTCTAGGTCATCACCGCGATGACTCTATTGAAACAACCATATGGCGCTTAGCCACGGGTGCCCGCCGTGCTGGGCTCGGCGGAATTCAAAGCATAGCCCGAATCCCAGAATGCCACGGCATCTTTGGAGTCTCCGAGAGCGGCAAATCTCTACAATTTGCAAACTCCAACAATAATAATGGCAAGGGAAAAACAAATAACTCATTATACTCATCCAAAGAGTCCTTTGCTACTGGAGGAGTATTTGTCTGCCGTCCTCTCCTCTCTTGCTCGAAGACCCGATTGCTTGCAACTTGTCACGAAAACAATATTCCCTACGTCTCTGACCCGACTAATTTCGACCCTACTCTCACTCCTCGGAACGCTGTTCGCAGCTTGATTTCATCTAATTCTCTACCACTTGCACTCCAGGGTCCTCGAATCCTTGAATTAATCCGTTCCAGTCGTGATCTCCTACAAGTATCAAGCAGTCTTTCAGATCAGCTTCTCTCATCGCGATGTCGCATTCTCAATATGAACTTGCGAACTGGCACACTCACTATCCAAGTCTCGGAAGTTCCATCGTGGATGGACCCGTTGGCTGCGCATAATTCTCTCGAAAGGGTTCGTCAAATTCAGGCTCTGAGCCTTCGTCGAATTACAGAGCTCGTGTCGCCTTTTCCTCAAAATCATTTCTCGCTACGGAGCTTCGAACCATTTGTTTCTCGAATTTTTGGTTCCACAGACCAAATCCCCCACGAGAACCTTAATGCTCCTCGGTCCTTTACTCTGGGAGGGGTGATGTTCAGTTATGTGGCTTCTGATGATAATCAGACGAAATCTGGTGGCAAGAGTACATGGCGTCTTGCACGGCAACCTTTCATGAAAAATCGAGCACCAACCACATCGTTTGAGCTTCCTTTCCCGACGGAGAAAATGACCAGCAGTCGGAAGCCAAGTTACACCCATTGGGCTCTTTGGGATGACCGGTATTGGATTCGATTCTCTCTTGTACTAAACAACAAACAACAGAAGAATCGCTCCACTTTACCTGAAGGTGGATCCCTGGGAAGTGGTCTGGCTTTGCAAATACGTTCGCTACAACAATCCGATTTCCAGGAACTTAATAAGGATAAAGTGACAGCGATTCGTCTGGCCAACTTACGCAAATTATTATCAACCGAAGCGCCGGGACCAGCACGATTTACAATTCCTGTGCTCACAAATGCAGGCTTGATCGGTAAGCCTTTGGAAAAGGGAAATCTGTTGGCCTTACCTACCCTGGATTGCCCTCTACATGGTCCTCATCTGAAAGATACGAATACTATGGAGATCGTAGTTGGAGGGACTTCGTGGGTATTAAGATGGGCATGGATGTTCAAAATGATCGATACCGATGCATTGCGCCTGATGGGCAGGCCAGTGGAAGCTTAATCAGCTATTGTACAATAAGTCTAAAAACACAGGGAATAGAAATAGAACATGGCAGACTTGATCTCCGGAACTATGCATGACCCCAGCCATATGTTCGCTTCAGGCTGGAAAGTGACAAGAAAAAGAAGTTCAATGAATGCAAGGCTGAAACCGCTTCTGCACGAACAGCACAAAGAATTGACAAAATGAAATGGAAGGGAATGAATAGTGTGTATGTGTGGTGTGGTATCACTCAGAGGAGAAAAGGAAAAGTGTTATGTAGCGTATGCTGAGTTGGCATAGAAAGCCAGGGAGAAGGTGGTTGGTGCGTGGATTGGAGCAATTATTGATCACTGGCTCTTAAAAGAGCAACGGCAGCTTGTTGGGCTCGAAGACCTCCAACCTCTCGCTTGAGTCGGAAATTTTCTTTCTTGAGGCGGCCAATCTCTTCGAGGGCATTGGTCAATTGCGCTTGCAGAGATTCCTCTACACTGCCTGCCCGCATGTCTTTGGAAAATTTGCTGAGCTCCGAGTTGAACCGATCGTAAAGAGCCTCATTCTCGGCGCTAGCCTCTCGATACAATTCGTCCAGTTTTTTGACTCGCTTCTCACTGACTACGAGAGATGCCTCTACATCTTTCTCTAGCGCAGAGGTGCGTCCATTGTATTCACCAGTAACCTGGTCAAATCGTTCTTCGAACTTCCGGAACCGACCCTCCAAAGATGCGGCTCTACCTGATAACCAAGCCTCTGCCAATTCTGCAGGTGGTTCCGTGTTGGTCGGTGTTAGTTTCAATGAGTGGAGCTCATCACCCAGAGCAGTCAGCTCGTCTCGCAGTCCAATTTGTGACATAGCCTGGGCTCTCTTCTCAGTCTGGACACGATCACGAAGCTAAAACCAAATCAGCTTTTGAGTTCGGAAAATCTAGAATATAGCACTAACCTTTTGAGGACTTTGCATCCGTAATTTCTGGGTTCTCTGAGATGAAGATGCAGATTGGGGGCGCCTTGTTTCCGTGTTGACAGTGGATCTTTCTCGTAATCCCGTTGGCCGTTGGGGAATGCTGGTGGCGCGGGATCGTCTCTTAGTTTCCTGGGTTGGCGAGTCCGGAATGTCACGCTGAGATTTAGATGCCCGTTCTGACTGAGGCATCCTGGGATTGATGTTCTCTTTTCTACTCGGAGTAGAAGGACGCGCAGGTGATATTCGTCGAATAGGCGATCCGAGACGAGCTGGAGAGTTATCCTTTGCTGGCGATGTTCCCTGACAGGTGACGATGCAAGGTAACTACTCTGCGGCCTTGTTTGACTGTTCGGTGTGGTTGGATCGCCGCGTGAGCGACCGCTTGGGGTAACTGGGCGCAGCTGATACGTAGAAGAAGCAGTGGACGCCTCAGAGGAAGCAGTCGGGGGCCGCAGGTCTGATAATGAGCTCCTTCTCTTTCGGCGAACCTTCACCACGCCATCATGCGAGATTCCACGGATGGATGACAGAGACGGGGGCTGTCCATGACCGGTTCCTGGTCTCGATATGTGCTCCTCTGACGAAAATCCCAAGGGACGATCCCGAGAGACGGGTCGCAGTAAGCCCAAACGAGCATCCACATCTGTCGACTTGGATCGAAGCAGAGATCCCTTGGGCGTATTAGGCTCTGAGTCTGCGGGACTTTGTCTCTTGCTCAGCGTTCGTAAGATTGATGCAACCTTACTTTCACCCTCAATCTTCTGACTTTCCTTATGAAGACTGAAGCCAAAGCGTTTTCTGAATGAAGAACTATTGGAGCCCACGGATCCAGTGTTATTTTGTGACAACTTTGTCTGGTCAGAAGTAAATGTTCCTTCGATTGAGATACCACCAGGGATGAATTCCTCAAAGAGACTGTCAAAGTCTTCCACTAGCCGGTCTAATAGTGAGACGTGATGCACGGGATCACCATCTTCAACGAGAACCTCGGCAAATGCCATAGTTAAAGCACCCCGATCCCCATCATTACCAGACGCATCTAGGAGCTCAGCAAGTAGACGGATGATCGCAGCTAGTGCACGTCGGTTCTGTGGGCTGGTATCTGCCAAAAACATCCGAAATTGCTCATCAAAATCACGTGGAAACATGGTATCAAACTGGCTCTGGAGCTTCCGCAGCGAGGGCTTGTCCAGGACAGGGCCCATGCCGCCCTTCCACGCGTTTTTCATGAATGTCTCAAAAGCAACAAACAAAGTGTCGACCGGGACTTCTGCTGCAGCTTGCAGCCTGCAGGGATCTTCGAGGAGGATATTGTAAAGTTCATTTACTGGAGCACGGTCGGCAGTGTCTCTAGCACGAAGCATGCGTCCTAGAATGTTCCCACTTCTAGACTGTAAGGAAAGCACATAGGCTGCAAAGGTTTGCTCTAAGGATCCAAGGTGTCCATCAGGGCCCTGCGCACCAGGAGTTCCAACAACAGATATCTTGCTGGGAGTTTCCGATTTGTCTTTATCCTTTTCCTTCTCCTTCTCTTTCTCTTTCCCAGGAAATTGGGATGGCAGAGTATTGGATCTGGATAAGGTACCTCTTGGAGGAGGCATTTTCGGGAATTCGCCAAGCAGATTTGCTGGATTTGGGTGCTTAACAGTAGGAATATTCTCTCGACTACCTCCTAGCAGATTTGATAACAGCTTGGTTGGGGAAGGTGGCCGAAAGCCCCGAGAAGACTTGACTTGGGTTATCAAGCTGCCTGCAATGTATCGAAGTATTTCAAAGTTTGACCGGACCAATGCAGGCATAACTCTTGGGTTTTGAGGACTGTTTAACGGCAAAGTGAGGTTTTGCAACCGCTTAGAAAGAGTTGCAACAAACGTATCCACTGAAACCAAATCCGTGGATGGTGCACCAGCCACGGAATCGACGTCCATTCTGAACTGGTCGCCATTGGGCGGAGATATGGATATGACAATCTCCAAGCTGGTGTTTCTTAACATTTGCATGGCTGTGCCTTTGGGCTTATCAAAGACCAGTCGAATAGGTGCCGACCGTGCTTGATTAATAGCGCCACCTTCACCATCCTCGCACACACATGCCAAAAAACTTGTAGTCCCAGGGGAAGCAGCAGGACTACGCAATGTCCATTTACCACCCTCACGCTCCTGCTCGGAGAAACGACCTTCGATTTTTGCCTTGGTAATCTCCTCAATCAATCGACTAGCTTTTCCTTCGTACATTGAAGTCAATTCCAATGCGACAACATCATGAGAACTGTCGATCGTATGCTTATCTGACTGAAATGAGGATTGCAGAATGAAAAGAACCCGGCCACATGCTGACTGCATGCAGCGGACAGAATTCAGATCCATAACTTGTGTTACCTTCAGTTCAGAGGAAGGCAGAGACATGGAATTATCATTGGTTGTGGAAGCTGCATTTTCAATGTCCGCCAACACACCACGCGCTGTGCTTCGACTTTCTGTTGGCTTTCCAAGCAACACAAGGCAGTTTTTGTAAAGAAGAATGATTCCGGCACCAGGGCTCGTTGTCTGTTGACTATCCAGATGATACGGAGGGCCAATCTCATCCACATCGACTGCTGTGATCAAGCGACCTTCCGGGAAAAGTTTCACCGGCCACGCATCGACAAGCTCTCTCAGGCGCCGGAGACTTTGGGCATGGCCTGACGGGGAAGAATTTTCTAAGGCACAAATGTCCTTCACGATATCACGGGCCTTCAGCAGAGGACGTACGGCAGGATGAACCAACGGCAAGCTGCCTGTCATGGTATCAATCAATAGGCTGTATCGAGGAAGTCGCTGGACAGGCTCCATCAGAAGGGACCGTAATCTCTGCTCTCCAGTTTCATAAATTCGTCGTGAGAAGCTGGAAGTTTTGTCTTTCATAAACGAGTTCAGCGTTTGGGTAAAGCTATTGTGTGCTCGCATGTATTCGGCATATGGCTGCGAAAACTGAGGGAGCCAATCAAGCAATGCCCTCGCAAATTCAACAGCGCCAATGGAATCCCTACTATCCCGGCTCGCACCTCGATGAGGAAGCTCGGTATCTTGACCAATATCGTCAAGCGCCTCTCTCTCCGTCTCGTCGAGGACCTGTCGAATAACATCCAAAAATCCGAGATTGACATCAAGAATTTCATTTAAACAAGGTGGGAACAGGGCCTCCAAAGCGGATTCATCGGGACTGGTACTGGACGGACCGCGCCCTTGAGCCTTCTGACGAAACTCGTCTGCAACTTCGTGGACAAGCGAATAAATTTTGCTCACATATCGCTCCTCGGTATCAACAAGCTCGCACATGGTCAGACGAACAGACTCTTTTTGAGCCCGCGTGAAAACTCTCGACTTGCTGACGTTGGTAGATTGTGAGGGTGCCCGCTTGAGACGGGATGTTGGCAGGAACATGGGATCGCCCAAGGCCGTTATTAGAGGCGTGTACGGGCCATATTGGCTATTTTGGGCTTCTTCGATTTCTGAGCCGGCGCTTTCCCTTCTCTGAGGTGGTTGTATAGTGCCTGCTGGCAACACAACATCGAGGTCCGTCCATGGGACTTTGCGCTCCTGAAATGAATTGCGGATATCGCGAACAATCTCCATAGAATCCTCCACTTTTGTCATACGGTTGGCCAAATCTGCAGCATGCATCTCATCAAACAACTTCGGTACTCTTCCTTGTCGCGCCGGCTGCGCCTTATCCACCAAATGAGTCTTTAGAGGGTCTGATAACTCGGCAAAGTATTTCAACATGCTGACAGCAAGGGCTCGGCAAACTGCATCACCTTGTCTCTCGCGAGGTAGGTGGTTAACAGCAGCATAAAGTGGCGCAGCGGGTGATATTGTGATTCGGTTGTAACTCTGAAACCCCGCGGGGCTAAAGATATGCGCCTGGATGCGCGAACTGCTCACGGTCGCATTGGCAGTCGCAACAGGACCATAAAAAATGAGGACAGAAGAAAGGTATGTATCGACGGCATGGTAAAGACTGAGATCCTCTAGCGGGAGGTCCGACAGAGTGTTGCCTCCAGGCGTTCCTGCATTGGCTGCCATAATGGCGGTGGAAATGGCGATGACGGGAATGCTCTTGCCTCGTAGGCTTGGGATCCAGAAGGAGAAGGTCGTAAATCAATGGGAAAGAACGAGAGTATGAAGTAGGATCACGAAATAAAAGACACGAGGTTAAGGAACGACAGGACAGAAGGAGAAGCGCAACGGCGCACGAGTTGAAGATGACGTGGAAAGGTGTTAACAGTCCATTTGGAAGTGAGAAAGAGAGCGTAGAGAGAGGATAAAATGCTATTAAGATCAGTATTAAACACAATCCTCGTCCCCCTCCATGTAGTCACACAAATCAAATTAGGACCACAACTTTTGACGAGCGCATAGAATGCGACAAGAGAGTTCCAAGGTTGTTATGGGCGCGGGGATATGATAGCGGTGCGATAGGGCGATAACCGGGGTCTTAGCGCCAGAAGCTCGTGGAGTGTTTATGTTTGTCGGGCCAACGCGGTCTCCGTTGCTCTCCCCAACCAACTGCAAGGTGTCTGACAAGTCACATTGAAACCTTGGAAACAATAGAAACTAAAGAAAAATCCCTAGCTTGGCTTGATATCTCCAGGACTACACTACTAATATATAGGACCTCACTTGGAAGGGTGCTTGTTGTTATATGTATGATCTTAAGGGGGTACTTGTTAAGAGCTATAATAAGTCGCAGAGTGCAGATTATATGATGAATCACAAATTGATTCATGTTATAGTTAGTTAGTTAACTACATAAATGTCAATTACCTAAGCATATTGAATGGAGAAATGCATAACTATTCAAAGACATAGCAATTATCAATAACGGTCTCGTAAATATGCACATCTACTACTAGGATATCATGATCCTGGACTCAAAGCACTGAGATGTCTAGGATCGGCCCAAAGAAGCTATATATAAACAAACTGATAGCGTCCTTGATAGGGTCCACATTGTAACTCGAACCTTGGGATGAAATAAAATAGGCTTACTAAATCAGATATAAGGCTTGGAGATCACCATAGGTATTAGATTCTAGATTTTCAAGAATGAGGCTTGTCACTCATACTATACTATGTGACACATACCTTTCCCTTTAATATAATTCACAATATTTGCACATTTTTAAATATTACAAAGATTATTCAGTGCACAGGACAGAAACTCGACGAACAAATAAAATACCGGAGTGAGGCTCATTCAACCAATCAAATATATTTAATACCGGATATCGGTCATCCTGAACATGCAAGATACATATCACGTGTTGATGACCCCTGATGAAGGCGGTGAGCAGGCGGGGAAGACGCTAGGCCCAAGCAGGCAATCAGCAGGCCCATGGAGAGACCAGCTGTTCGCCGATTCTCTTGATTCCTTAATTCTTTGGTTATTACCACAGAGCGCATCTCCCGCTCGAGATGCTCGATTCAACAATGCCAGAGCCTCTTCCAATTGCCATCAACCCGGTAGCTCTGGTGACTACAGAATGTATCACCGTCACCTCATCTATGCGGAAGCATGCCCGCTGGGCACACTCCTCAGTCTCCGCCATCCTGGGCGGCAATGGGGGCTCCCGAGTTTACGAGCGGGATTCCTCTGCACCTCCAAGTCCACGGAAGAGCCCACAGATCATTAGTGGCGAGGATGATCATGTTTTGGCAAATCGGTGGGGGTTGCGAGGGAAGAAGGGGAAGAGCATGCAAGATAATCCATTGATATCAGCCTTCACACGCCTGCGGAGTGATCTCAAGGCTTGTAAAGACATTCGCAACTTTGATACTCCAGCACTCCTCCACCCATTTTTGCAGGTCATCCGTTCCTCGTCGACCTCGGCTGCCATTACCTCTCTCGCGTTGATCGCCGTCACCAAATTCTTTTCCTACAACATCATTAACCGCGACTCACCTCGACTTCCCATGGCTATGCAACTCTTGTCCGCCGCCATTACCCACTGCCGATTTGAAGCCAGCGATTCTTCTGCCGACGAAATTGTACTCCTACGAATCTTGAAGCTGATGGAAGGCATGCTCTCGAGACCGGAAGGCGCATTATTGGGGGATGAGAGTGTATGTGAAATGATGGAAACAGGTTTGAGCATGTGTTGCCAAAGTCGCCTGTCAGAGGTGCTACGAAGATCTGCAGAAATGGCAATGGTGAACATGTGTCAGGTCATTTTCACGCGACTCTCGAAACTCGACCAAGAGACCCCAGCCGGGCCGACGTTCACAGACGAGAGTGCTAAGCCCGCGCCATCAACCCTTAAGATGGACCCCTCTGTGAATGGGGATACTGTGACTTCCCAACATACATCAGCCATGAGCTCAGACACAACACCCGCAGAGCGGGATAGCACCAGTGTAGATGGATCATCTGGACAGGGTGGCACTAGCCCAACAACGGCAGGAGCCGCAGCTGCAGCGCCACCCAGTCCACGGGAAGAAGATGAGAATGAGGAAATACAACCATACTCTTTGCCTTCAATCAGAGAGCTGTTTCGGGTATTGATTGATCTCCTAGATCCACACAACCGTCAGCATACTGATACAATGCGAGTAATGGCTCTGCGTATTATTGATGTCGCTTTGGAAGTTGCTGGCCCATCTATTGCACTACATCCCAGCTTAGCTGCCTTGGCCAAGGATGATCTTTGCCGTTATATCTTCCAATTAGTTCGCTCGGAACAGCTAGCCATTCTCACCGGCTCTCTTAGAGTCGCCGGCACATTATTATCGACATGTCGACCTGTGCTGAAATTGCAGCAGGAGCTTTATCTATCATATTTGGTGGCTTGCCTTCATCCGCGTATTGAGATCCCTCGCGAAGCTGGTATCGATCCGTCTCTGTACGAGGGTGTACCGCAAAACCCAAAGTTGGTGAAACAGCCGGCCTCACAGACAAACAGTGGCAGGTCGACACCTGTTCCCGTCAAAGATCGTCAAAAACTAGGACTGGAAGGCGGTTCACGAAGACCAGAGGCTCGTGAAGCAATGGTTGAAAGCATCGGTGTCTTGTCGCGAATCCCAAGCTTTATGGTTGAACTTTTCATAAACTATGACTGTGACGTTGACAGGGCTGATTTATGCGAGGACATGATTGGCTTACTTTCTCGAAATGCTTTCCCGGATTCAGCAACCTGGAGTACGACCAATGTGCCCCCACTGTGCCTTGACTCCCTTCTGGGGTATGTTCAATTCATCTACGACCGACTAGATGATGAACCAGTGCAAGGAGACTACCCTCCACAAGAGCGCCTGCGTATCCAACGCAAGACCAAGAAGCTCATCATCAAGGGAGCACAGATGTTTAACGAGAACCCGAAGGCTGGAATAGCCTACCTAGCTGAACATGGCATTATCGAGGACGCGAGAGACCCCGTGTTGATTGCTCGTTTCTTGAAAGGCACAACCCGCCTGTCTAAGAAGGTCCTTGGAGAGTTTATCTCGAAGCGTGACAATGAGGAATTGTTGGGTGCATTTGTGGACCTTCTAGACTTTTCAGGACGAAATGTGGTTGAGGCACTGCGCGAATTGCTCAGCTCCTTCCGTTTGCCCGGCGAGTCACCGCTCATTGAACGAATTGTCACTACGTTCGCTGAACATTACACTGAAAAAGCAAACCCAGACGGAATTGCAGATAAGGACGCGCTGTATGTTTTGACATATGCCATCATTATGCTGAATACGGAACTTTATAACCCCAATGTGAAGTCACAAAATCGCATGTCATTCCCTGCGTTTGCTAGGAACCTGCGAGGAGTCAACGGAGGTGGTGATTTCACAGAGCAGTTCCTTCAAGAAATCTATGATTCCATCAAGGAAAACGAGATTATTCTTCCCGACGAGCATGAAAACAAGCATGCTTTCGACTACGCCTGGAAAGAGCTTCTATTGAAGTCGTCAAGTACCGGAGATATGGTGGTGGGGGAGACCAATATCTACGATGCGGAGATGTTCAAAGCCACTTGGAAACCAGTGGTTGCAACACTATCCTACGTGTTTATGTCTGCGTCAGATGATGCAGTCTATTCGCGGGTTGTTAACGGGTTCGATCAGTGTGCTCAAATCGCGGCTCGCTATGGTTTGACTGAAGCATTTGACCGGATTGTCTACTCTCTTGCCTCAATCAGTACATTGGCGACGAGCAAGCCTCCAAGTACCGCTCTTAACACCGAAGTGCAGGCAGGCAAAAAGAGCGTGATGGTGAGCGAACTCGCTGTGAAGTTTGGAAGAGACTTCAGGGCACAGTTGGCTACTGTTGTGTTGTTCCGTGTCCTGCTGGGCAACGAGTCTGCACCCAAGGAGGGCTGGGAGCACATTGTTCGCATTCTCAGCAACTTGTTCATTAATTCGCTTATTCCATCCTTTGATTCTAAGCTCACAGCCGAGCTTGATGTTTCTCCCATTCCATTGCAACCCCCATCGCAGGTCGTTGATCGCGATAACCGTGGTAATGACTCAGGCTTGTTCTCCGCATTATCACAATACATTTCCAGCTATGCGGCCGATGATCCTCCTGAGCCGTCGGACGAAGAGCTTGATAACACTCTCTGCACTGTGGATTGCGTGACTGCTTGCTCGATATCCGATATTCTTGCGAACATTAAGTGAGTAACTTTTCCTTCAAGGAATATTTTGACGTGTACTGATATTTTCCAAAAGGTCACTCCCTCTCTCATCGCTTGGGCGTCTTGTAGAGGCCTTGTTGTCTCAAATACCAGAGGATAATGCGCCCGCAGTCATTGTCGTGAAGCCAGAACGTCCAAGCCCAGTATCAAGACCTGCAAATACTCGGGTGGATCCCAACCAACCTAAATACGACCCGTCCATGATTTTCAACCTGGAGCTGGCAACTCTACTCACTCTTCGAGACGAGAAAACACTTGAGACTCTAGGAGAATCACTTGCAACTACGCTGCAGACTCTGGTGCGCGATGCCAAGAATCTTCATCCATTGACTGTGTCGCGAATTGTCTCCTATCTGCTCAATCTCTTGCGACTGAGTCACGTATGTGCTTCTCAATTCATTGCGATGGTTATAGTTTCTGACTTTGTTTTTAATAGGATAAGCATTTCCTGCGCGTTCCTGTCGTACTGCACGCTATCTCTGGATATGACCAAGACATTTTGGAAACACTTGCTGTACCAACAGTGAGAGGCCTCTCGAGATGCCTTGCCCATCCAGGGCGGTTGAGAAACGAGATAACCATCTCTCCTGACTTCTGGTCCATTCTCCAAAGACTGATCCAACATGAGGAGTCTGCCCCAATGGTCTTCGAACTGCTTCAGAGCATTGTTGAATCTATGCCTGACATTGTCACCGCTGATAACTACAAATCTGCCATCTCCCTTGCAAACGACTTCATCAGCGCAGCTCATGTGGGTTCCATTAACGAGCGTCAAAGAGACGCCCGTGCTCGACGAACCAAGGGCGTTAAACAACCAAAGTCTATGTATGACAGTTCCTTCCGATTTTTCCCCCAATAAAGCAAAATGACTAACAACTTAACAGAGAGAATCAAGTTGTCACTCGTGGTATCAAGGGTATCGGGTTGATCTATCATCTAACTGCTCGAGTTCCCACGCTTATCAAACAGTCTCACCTGGAAAAGCGTGAAGGTTAGTCTCCTATACTGTCCACATGATATCTTCATCAACATATTAAACCTATTTAGCTTGGGCTGCCTACTGGTATCCGATTTTCCATGCCCTCTCCAACCAATGTGTCAACCCATGCCGTGACATCCGACACCACGCCGTATCCACTCTTCAAAGAGTTCTGCTGTCCGCTCAGATGATTTCCGGTGACGACAAGGAATGGACAAATCTCTTCGATGAGGTTCTGTTCCCACTCATCTTGCGTCTTCTCAAGCCCGAGGTCTATCACTCCGATCCCATCGGGATGAGTGAGACCAGAGTACAAGCCGCAACATTACTTTGCAAAATCTTCCTGCGTTTCCTTGACCAGCTTCCTAACCGAGAGGGCATGCTTCCTCTCTGGCTCCAAATCCTCGATATCCTTGATCGCATGATGAACAGCGGCCAAGGAGACAGCCTGGAAGAGGCGATCCCCGAGAGCTTGAAGAATATTCTCTTGGTTATGGCCGATGGCGGCTACCTCGTACCCCCATCTCAAGACTCCAGCAAGGAAGAAATTTGGGTAGAGACAAGCAAGCGTCTTGGAAGATTCTTGCCAAATCTTTTCACTGAGATTTTCCCCGATGGAGGCAAGGAAACAGATAAGCCCCAACCTGCCTCTGAGATCTCATCCCCTACCAAGGAGAGCCTCGACGCAAGCAAGGGGTCAGAGGAGACCGCACCATCGGCGGATATTGCTGAAGCTAAGCCTGTGGAAGTCGAATCCGGTGCTGATGAGAAGCAATCCTCTAATGAGGGCACTTCGGCATAAAAACCGAGGATGACTTGTTACGAGTTCCGCCAGCCTCTGGTTTTGTTGCATTTTCATAGAATAGCGTTGGGGTTGCAGCTTTGGACTTTTTCTTTTGATGATCTCTTTTTGTTTCTTATTACTTCTCATTACCCCATCTCACTCTGTAGATAAAGCGTGGTCTCACTAGCGCTGCCCCATAATAAAAATGACTGTATTGAAGCTGCAACAGACGAATTCATGTAAATGGATATTGCTCATTTCAAGCTATGTACTCAATGAATTATCGACCGCATAAATGGCACAAAAATAACTTGATCCCTATCCTACATAATCAATCCTATACAGGATCATCCAAAATAAGTGATTCGAGCTGTCGATTGTCATTCAGATACCCTAAAGGTTCCAGTCAAAAATGATCGCTCTACGTGGGGGTTTCAAACCATGTTAACAGGCTATTGCATCTCCACTGAGGTGAAAAACCTTAGTTTCGTTGCTTTTTACTAGTACTTGGAAGATCCGGGTACGATGATGCTTCTGATAACGAGATGATCCAACTTGAAGAAATATCTTCAAATATATTGGCAGAAGCAATTCCAAGAAGAAGGGGAATAATTGTAATAATAACAGTGGAAAGGTAGAAAGAAATTCATTCGTTCTCGAGCCAAGCGGCTTCGAGTCAACACAAGGAAATAGCAAGTCGGTGTCAGACTGAAGATATGCAGAACAAAGAGAAAGCAGACAGAGAGAGAGATAGAGACAGAGAGAGTGCGCAGATGAGTTGAAGATGGTGCTTATGAGAGAGAAAGGGAGAATATTCTGGGAAAACATTTCGGAGAGGATATCAAATCAACGAGCATCCAACAAGCAGGTTCCGTTGGAGGCCTAATGTTTAATGGTTCTTGATATGCAGTAGGACTTTGAACCTACTCATCCATGTCATCATCAAGGTCAATAGCATCAGGATTAGCCTGAGCTGCTGGAGGTTCTTGACCAGCAGGTGGAGGGCGGTTACCACCCTCTGGGCCAGTGCTAGCAGCAACAAAGCCAACGGGGGCCCGAGCCAGGCGTTCAATTTCAGCCATGGCGTCGGCACGATTCGTGTCTTCGTCACCTTCTTGGCCTTCCTCTTCGCCTTGCTTTTGTTGACTACGTGCAATAGCCTGAGATGCGATGAAGTTGACATCGGTACTGTAAAAACGTTAGTGGACTGTCAAATAGGGTAAACGTTAAGAGATAAACATACTTGTATTGTGCTTGGACACTTCTCTTGATGCGAAGCATCTCCTTGAATGTGTCTTCGTTTCCATGCTGCACTTCGAAGGCTTCCCATTTCTGCCAGAAGGGAGCATTCGTACGGGGGTCGCAGAACTGAGAGGCGTGACCGTAAATTGCACGGGCACGGTCGATTTCGCCCAGTCTTCGCTCCATCTCGGCAAACTTGAGACACATCTCCTTGGCCTCTTGATCGGGCAGAGCTGCGATAGCTCGTTCGTAGATAGGACGGGTAGATGTGAGGCCAAAGTTCGATGCAGATTTGGTGATGTAAAATTCGAACATTTCGAATCGATCCTCGTCGGAGACAGCCCGAGTAGCACGTTCGTATATCCGCATAGCATGTCGAGCCAGACCTCGTTCCTCTTCTAGATTTCCATACATCAAGTAAAGGGGCTTGGCGAACTTTGGTGGGCAACCATCCAAAGCTTGTTCGAAGAGATCACGGAGTCTCTCGATTCCAATCTTACGATCAACAGCCTTTGTCAAATACAGATTCCAGAGCTCAAAGGCAACAGGATAACTGAATAGATCAAGACCACGCTCGTAGATCTTGAAGGAATCTTCAAAGTAGTCGTTCTCCTCCAGAAGGTTTGCAAAGTTGACGACAGTTTGAGGAGTAGCAATACGAAGTTCAAAGATGCGCTCGTAGACCTTTCGTGTTTCATCAATGGATGATACACTCTCAACGAGATCGACATAGAAGCTCCAGAGTTTCCAACTCTTGTGGATACGCTGTTGAGGAGACAGGGTCTCATCAAAGTAATCCACAGTCGACTTCTTGGGCGCTTGAGTAGCTTTAGCCATGATTCCAACTGCCTGGTCGAAATTCTCTGCACGAAGCTCCATCTCTGCCCATTCGCACCAGGTCTCGGCAAGTTCAGCAACGGATTTGAAGGGTACCTTGACAGCCTTTTCAAAGATCACCCTGGCGGTTGCTAACTCACCGCCATTCTCATAAAACTTCGCGTAGTTGATCCACAACTCAGAGAACTTGCCGTGGGCTTTCTTAGGGTTTATGGCGGCAATTGCAGCTGTGTATGTGTTGACAGCTTCCTGCTTGTTGTCTCCCCATAGTCCAACCCTCTTTTCCCACTCAATAACATTGTTGGGATTCTGTCGCAAGAGAACGTCGTTCACTAAGAATGGTCGACGGTCCATCAGTTGCTCGAAGCGAAGCATGCGCAAATCAAGATCAAAGTCAGCTTCCTCGTCCAGCTTTCCCTTTTCTGAACGAACAGCCGCGGCCTCCATCAAAGTACCAATGATTGACTCTTCAAATTCAACATATGAGTCGAAAATCAAGGTAAAATCACGAACAGTCATGACTGTAATGATTCCCTCCTCAAATACATCCCGGGCCTTTTCGAAATTACCCTTAGTGATCCAGTAAGTCGCAAGACCAGCCCATAGCTTTCCTCGCTGGTCGGCAAATCGATCGATGCCGCTTCGAAGGATGGCATCCACATCAATCCCCACCTGGCGGCCGGTCTGAATCTGTTTGGCTTTCGATACTAGTAGATCAACCATCTCTGTCCATAATTGGAAATTGCTCTTGCCGTTCTTAGACTGGAACCGTGCGTTGTCGAGGATTTCCATGTAGACCTTGACAGCTTCCGTATATTGGCCCATCTCAACCAAGATATCGATATACTCTTCCGCATTTTCAGGGTGGATCTGCATGTACCGAGCCCAGATCTTCACGGCAGTTGGGCCTGATGCAGATCGGGCAAAACCCTTGTACAGTCTCCAAATTCGGTTGTGCTGGGTGACAGGCAAGGCACGGAGAGCATGATCAAATGTTCGTCGGGTCTGTGTGACCAAGGGTTGCTGCATAAGGAATGTAAGGTACATCTCCCAGATGCGAGGCATTTTGTTCAACAAAATCAATGCTCGTTCAAACAGAGCATTAACCTTCAAGTACTCTGCACGGTACACTGTAGGATTACGGCCCTTAAGGTGTTTGGCTCGAAATTCCAGATACTATCACATATAGTTAGCCAACAAAATGACTCTTTCCCTCGAGTTTTCGGGGTTCCTCACCATCTTCCACAACTTGTACGACCGAGGCAATTGGCGGCAGGCACGCTCCATTATCTAATAGAAGAAGGGGTATAAGAGAATATTCAACTAAATCCCATGGTTCTCGACGGTCTGGACTTACGAAAGCTTGCTCGTAGAGCGTGCCATTCTGCTGTTTGAATTCGATGTAGGCAAGCCATGGCTTGATGCTACCGGGTTCGCGCAGTAGGTCTTGTTCGTAAACCGTATCCTGATCAGTCTGTGAAGAAGAAGGGGTCAGAAATGATCTCTTAGTCGGACATAAATGTCATGCAGTCAGCGCTTACAATCAAGTAAAAGTCCGGCCGGGCCGCAGATGGGCGATCCATCTGTGCGTGCTGCCGGTTTGATCTCGGGGGCAGAAGTGTCCCTGGCATAGCGCCACTCAAGTCGAGCGGGATCGAGTGAAAGGTTCACTAGTTCAGCATGAGAAGAAGGGCGCAGTTGGTGAACTTCACGGGGAAATCTCAAAGTCGCGTTGTCAAAAGAATGAGACTGACGACTGCAGTTATATTGTCGTCACGTGACCGAGACCGCTTTAAGTGGGCGGTGGAGCTCTTTATCGGCGTCATATCAATGTGGCCGCACGTCTACACCTTGGTCTAGTTCTGTATTTGGTTTCTGAGCTGCCATCATGTCTGGTGCTGTGGTAAGTGCAATTCTATGTGGTATTTGATATGTGTGTTTTATCGCTGACAAATGGTCTTTTAGGGCCGAGAGCCAGTCTTCCCGACTCGCCAGTCACTGGGGTTAATGAAGAGCAAGCTGAAGGGAGCCGAGACAGGTCACAGCTTGTTGAAACGGAAGAGTGAAGCATTGACTAAGTATCTCACTCTTAACCTCTAGAAGAAAGAGCTGTGCTAATTACTTATCGCAACTGGTAGGCGCTTTCGAGGTACGATGCACTGGGGACTTGGACTCGAACCTCCCCGCAATGCGCATCCCGCATTCTTCGACATAAAAACTAACATTTACTCCAGAAATTACACGTCGCATCGATGAGGCCAAGCAAAAGATGGGTCGTGTTATGCAGATTGCGGCCTTTTCCCTAGCTGAAGTGAGCTATGCTGTGGGTGGAGATATCGGATACCAGGTTCAGGAGTCCGCCAAACAGGCTCGCTTCCGAGTGCGTGCGAAGCACGAGAACGTCTCTGGTGTTTTCCTCCCTCAGTTCGAGAGCTACACAAAGGATGGAATCAATGATTTTGCCTTGACTGGTCTTGGTAAGGGTGGTCAGCAAATCCAACGCTGCCGGGAGACATACGCACGAGCTGTGGAGACATTGGTGGAGCTGGCTAGTCTACAGGTACGATGATTGAAAGTAAGAGTGGTCTTCCGGATATTTGCTAAACTTATCAGACTGCTTTCTTAATCTTGGATGAGGTGATCAAGGTTGTCAATCGAAGAGGTGAGTGTTATCTTAACAACTGTTTTGCTGGATTATAAACTAACTTGTCATATAGTCAACGCCATGTAAGCCCCACGAAACCATGGATGCAAACTGACCTTAAATGCCGTGTACTAATGACTCGAACTAGTGAGCATGTCATTATTCCTCGGACTGAGAATACTATTAAATGTGAGTACCATTTCTAGAGCCATGTTGGTCATATCACTAACATTGCATAAGATATCAACTCTGAGCTGGATGAGCTCGACCGAGAGGAATTCTACCGCCTCAAGAAGGTCTCCAACAAGAAACAGCGAGACACCGCCGCTGCAGACGCTGAGATTTTGGCAGCTCGGCAAAGGAAGAAGGAAGCTGAGAAGAAGAAGGAAGCTGAGAAGAAGAAGGAAGCTGAGCAGCAAGCAAAGAACAGCACCCCGGCCCAGGAGGCCACAGGTGCCACAGATGCTACGGAGACCCTGGAGGCCGCAGAGGCCGCAGAGACTACGGAAGCTACGGAGGCTACGGAAGCCGTGGAACCAGAGGAACCTGAGCCTGTGGATGTTTTGGGCGAGCAGGAAGACAACGATGTTATCTTCTAAGGCCTTTTTCTTTCTTTTCTTGCATATTCTATTTCCCCATTTGAAGCAATTTCTCCGTGGAATCTGTCCGATACCTGTATCATTTGTCGTTTCGAGTATTAAATCTGTGTTCTTTTTCATTCAAGATGAAAGCCATCCATTGGCCTGATTTCCAGCAATGTCGCAATATTCAAGCTGATATGCTTTATCTAAACCGAGCTACTTCGATTACTACATACTAGTAGTGTGTGTAGAGCCAAATAATAATACACATGGAGAAAACAAGTAAGTAGCAAGAGCTTGGATATTCATATTTCAGAGAAGAAGAAAAGTGGGCTCTGTTGTAGATACATGAGTAAGTGAAGACCCTCCAAACGCCAGAAGAACAAGAGACATATTTTCTTTCTTTTGCCCGCAGCAACTACTGTCTCTGGTAAGTGACGCGGATAGGCTTGCCCTGGTCGCCCATGGTCATGCCTGAAGTAGCCTCCTTCGCACTGATAGCACCTGACTCGTCCTGGTATTCGACGAACGCAATACCCTTGCGACCAGGCACCAATCTGACTTCCTGGAATCCTTCGAAGCGGCCAAAGATAGCGGACAGGCTCTCCTCGTTGGCGTCGTCGGGGAGTTCCCGCAAGAAAAGAATCTTGTTCGGTGGAAGATATTCGTCTGGAACGACGGCAGCTGTTGTTCCAGATGTGGGCTTGAGACCAGCGCCCTTGGTTGTCTTGGCGGGACGAGTGGTCTCGGCGGCCGCAGCGGCGGGGCGCTTGAGCTTCTTCTGAGCCTCGAGGGCATCGTGGGCTTGTTTCCGCTCTGTTCATGAATAGCATAGTCAGTTAGATATGATGTCTCCTCCCAAACCTCTATTGTATTCGAGTGGGAAAGCCATTGCAACATACCCTTCTCGGCTAGACGCCGCCTCTTGTGAGCCTCAAGCTCGTCTGAGCCATTCTCCCGTAAAACAGTGGCATCACTTCTTGTCTTTGCGTAATCCAGGACCATAGGCTTATCAAAAAGATCGAAGCCGTTCACTTCGTCAATGGCGCGGGTGGCGGCTTCTACAGTGTCGTAGACAATGAAGGCCTGGCCCTTGGCTCGGAGGTTGGTCTTTGCGACGATCTCAAGGATATTGCCGAATTCGGAGAAGATCTCTTCCAATGCTTCCTTAAGTTGCTCGACCTTGATGCGCTCCTCCAGATTGCGAACCTAGTGAGGGTCAGATTATATCAGTGTAGTTCGCAGACGCCGTAAGCGGTTGGAGATTGCGGGATGAGAAGGGGAGGGACTGAAGCGTACATATACACTGCGAGGCGCTGTTAGCTGAGAAGAATTGAAGAGTGCATAGAGATAGGAGACCCATACGTGCTATTGGGCGAGATAGACCCTGCTGATGCGCTTGCGGTCGCCATGGTTGCGACACAGGTTGAGCTCCGAAAGCTGAGCGAGGTTGAGCTTCCTTGGTGTTAGACGGAGATGAGCGAATAATAGATCTAAACAGGTGATGGTGCGTTAGTAAGAACCTCCTTACATCAACTAGCATCATTGGTCTAGTGGTAGAATTCGTCGTTGCCATCGACGAGGCCCGTGTTCGATTCACGGATGATGCACATTTCTTTTTTATCTTTTTCTTTTATTTTTCCCCACGCACTCCATATAGGTATCCTTGAGGGGTTTTTCTTCTTCTTTCTTGTTCTTTTTTTACTTCCTTGAATTAGTGTAAATCATGATACTGGATTGAATTGATTCTCCAGGATTGTAATCTGCCTCCAGGGCTTTGGCTCCCTCAGGGCTGTCGGCGCGAGGTATTCCAAGGTTGACCCGAGTGGGAGATATATACTATCCATACCTAGGTATTTAGGGCATCGCCAAGTTCAAATGTTGAGTGTTCCCGAGCCTGAGGTCACCTTACAGTCCATTGTGATCATCCGAGTCAATTGGTCTTACAATATGTACTAGTATATCATGCTCAGAGCTAGTAGGCTGCAATTTGACAAAATAATATGCGAACTTGAACATTTGAAGATTCAATGGATACTACTAGTAGTACATATTGACCGATAAACTTGAATATTCCAATAGTAGCTGTTACCTACTACTACTACTAGTACAACTTAAACGTTTCAATGTTGAGATAAAATACCCATGAGATAGGGGCTTGGGTAGGAGGGTACCAATAAATGGAACATTTGAACTATAATTCCTAGTAATTTTTAAAAATCTCATAAATAAAACGATTCAAACGTTGGTAGTAATTTCAAGTGTCTATCTAGTTCAATTGCCCAGCCCTGGACCTCCGGAGATGATGCGGCCGCGGATATCGTAATCAATGGTTTAATTTTGGAACACAACAAACACTGTACATATGATGCATACTCAGTGCTCAATGTAAACCATGCCAAGACTCGGACATCTGGAATTGCAAGCTAATAGTACATATACAGCTTATCCGTCTCTACGACAACAGCGCCCACAAAACCCCAGAACATCGGATTCGCGATACGATAGGTGAAAATCCTGCATCTCCACCATGACATGCATTATGGCCCTGGGGTCCGGTCTTTGCACACTCAGCAGGAAAATATGTGATGTAGAGATCCTTGGATTCAAGTTATCCTAGATATACGACTTGGTTAATGCATTTTCATGAGGAAAGATGAGGTCCATGAAATCTTGTGTTTCAACGGGTCAAAATTTACAACCACTCAAGCTTATATCGGCGCCACATACTACCAAAACAAGACACATGAACTCAGCAGGGATGGTCTACATTGAAACCATAAATCAGTTCTGAAACTACCCCTCATTCTCAAATATCTAGGCAGAAAAGTTAATCGTGGCAATTGCGAGTCATGTTGATTCATATACGGAGTAGTCGGGGATACTCGCCGGGCTCATAAGTGTGGATGCCACTGGCATGACTCGGGCGTTGTCCATAGCCCTGTTTAGTGGTCTAGGGGTATTTATAATAACAAAGGAAACATACTAATGACTAGAATAGCAAGGCATAAATTTATGAATATCCAAACAAGATTAGATGAAATGGGTCTTGTTTACACCATATCAATAAGAACTTTATCGAACCCCCCACTATTCGAAGGATCATTGGCGAGGATCAAGCTCCTTTCGAATCAAAATGTGTAAAATCCAGTAGCCTGATCGGATTGAGCGGATGCCTAAATATCTTAGCGCTAACAATTTAGCTCTCATCGGGCAGAGCCACTTGTGGATCTTCATTGCGTGAATCCTGGTTTAGAATGGGGGCTATGGAATGGATCCCCTAGTATATAAGATAACCAAAGTCTCCTGGGATCTTGAGATAAAAACAGACACTCCAATCATTGAAGTTTTTGACTCTCTTGAAAAACATAAAAAAAACCATCTACCATCTTTGAAGCCATCAACAAACCGCCAATATGTGTTCTTCAAGCCCTCTTCCCCAGCAATCTAGCCCTGGCGGCCGTAGACCCTGGGCTCAGCTGGTTATTGCCGGAGTCGGTATACCATTCGCTATCGCTTCCATCACTATCACTACTATTACAGGTCTGGAGGCTTGGATCCAGATCATCATGGTAAGATTCAATTTCTCTCCTTCATGTATAGTCTGACGTGAACTTGAAGCTAACTGTTCTCAGCTATTCGTCTCGGTTGCTTTGTCCATCAGTCTCCTTTACACCAGCCGCGGGACATCAAAGGATGCATATTCACCCGTGGGAATGGTCCTTGACGCTATAATGACTATTTTGTGCCTCATCACATACATCGCAGGTATGATTGGTATGGCAAAGGTCAAGGCGCGGGATATTTCATGGGATTTCGCAGTCATTGGTACAATTCCGCAAGTCTGCGCCAACTTGTCGTGTCTTCTGCTTGCGTAAGTATTGAGCTCCAGTTCAAGATACAACTTGTACTGACTTCTTCTTAGGGCCCTGCACGCCAAATCATTCCTGGTTGCCTTTTACCACCGTTTTATCCAGCACAGGATCCGCTGGAACCCATTGGTGACTCACGTCGTCTGCCCATCATGCAGCCGCACCGCAAACCCCGTTAGCAACTTGGACTGGTCTGCAGATGCGCAGCAGGTGAATGTCAACAATGTCTACAGGGATGAGGATGTCGAGGCTCAGATGCCTAAGCAGGAGACTGGAGTTGTCTCACGATCTGTTCCTGTCCAGAATGATGAAAACTAAACGCTGCAACGAACTGTATCAGTCTCAAGCTACGAGGGAAATCTGGCATGATGACCATGGGGTCATTACTAGCGCTTGAGTCGACATGTTACCTATATTACAAGTCTCTATATAGAGCACAGTATCTCATCGAAAGGTCTTCCGAAAACGAACAAGAACTTCCGAGGTCGCCATCATCGAAACGGTCTTTAGCGTTGGATTTATTTCTTCATTTATCTTGGAGCTTGCCCCGCTTAGTGATCATGAATTAACATTTGAACTTGAAGACTAGTTGGCCGTTACCAATTTATCTCGTAAACCGTCTACCTTGCCTTTTAGTTCCTTAGGAGAGGCAGACCAATTTTCGTATTTGACGGTCTCCAGGCTGGTCATCATGTACAAGTACTCTGCTGCACTTGAGCGAACCTGTTAAAATAAATAGATAAGCATCGAGCATGAAAAAGAAAATGGGCGGATTCAATCCAATGGAAACATACCCGCGGGAAAGGATGAAGCAAAATTGGTGTCAATTTCTTCAAAATGTCCTCCCGTAAAGGGTTCAGTCCCGATAAAGCCGCATAAACCCTGATAGCAGCCTCCAAACGGGCAATGTTTGCAGTCCTGAAGTGTGCCTTCTGTACAAGAACAAAAGTCTTCCGGAAAACAGGATCCAGCTCACTGGGACCAGCAAGAGCATAACTCTGATAGCTGTCTATCAGGAAGGCCATAAGCTCAATGATAGGAATTGCATAGCGATCATCTTGAATATTTTCACTCAGGATGGTGCCTAGTACCTGTAAAAACTCAACTAGAATATTAGAATCTGATTGTGAGTTGTGTGCATTGAAAAATTGAATCAGAGCAGCCCGTGAGGACCTGACAAGACCTTCTGCTCCGGCAACTGCAGAGGTAGCTAGTCCCTTCAACAGCGGAAGACGCAGCCATTCTTGGCTCCATGATGTAAGAAGTTGAAAGATGTAGTCCTGGGAAGAGACATCGCTAATATGTTCAAATCGCCTAGTGAAGTCAGCTCTGTTAATGAAACAACCCACAACACTAGGACACCTACTTCTGGAAAGGATTGAATTTTACTCTATCCCAATAACAGTTCTGTAAACAAAGCGATGCTTGTAATCTGACTTTGTCGAGCTTTTCACAGGAGAGACGACAGAGACAGCCAGTGAGGTCGAAGGCGACGGATGCGCCTGGAGAAAGTTTGGGTTCGAGAGCCCTTGCGGCCTGAATTGCTTCCACACGAACCAATGATCCAATATCACCTCTGCGGTCGGTGGTATAGTCGTTGAGGAAATCCAGAAGACTATTAGCGATTGTTTCAATGAGAGCTATATGATTATTAGTATCTGTTTGCAGTCTTTTGTGTACCCAGCAAGTACGTACGAGAAAGGTTGTCCGTGTGCGGCAATATCCCACTAGCAAAGCATTTCACAGCGCTGACTCGTTTTTCAATGAGCTCATCCTTTCCAGCACATTTAAGTAACTCTGCGACAATACTCTGCTGTAACTGCTCTTGCCCTCCAAGCCGTTTAAAGACTGCACCGAGGGCTAAGATCTGTCCTCGACCACCGGGCAGTCTTGAAGCAGTCCGAAGATAAGAAAACCATGATTGCACAGTGGCATCTTGCTTTTCCGGTGAAAGGAGCGGAAATAGGATAGAGAGAGCATCTGATGAAGTTTGAATTGAAATGTCATCAGTCCGGGAGATGCACAGGGATAGAATCTCAAGAACACGGTCAAGCAGTGGCTTTGATGGTCGAGAAACCCCAACTGATATGGTTGCTTGACAAAGGGAGTCAATCAAGCGGGATGCAGCCTCTGCTGTTAATTCAGGACGAGAGCTCTGGAGTTTAAGGTCGTTGTCTGTAGGGCTGTAGGGAGAATCGAATATGTTCCACAAAGCAGTTACTTGGGAAAGAACCTCTTTTCCTTCTGGAGTATCTCTTGCCTCCGGAGATGAATCCCACTCATGGATATAAGCATCAACAGTGGCGGCAATCGATAGGAGACATCCGTGTCGTGACTCCACATCACTTCGAGGGATACGGGGAAGCTTACTGGAGAGCTTCTGTAGGGCCACACTCATGGTCTTGAACTTTTCCAGTTTGCTCAGTGATCCAATGGAGCTTGCTGCTCGTCGCCGTGATTCAGCATCTGGCGAGCCAATGCCCCGCCAACCCATCAAGGCTTCCAGTAGTGGACTCCAGTAAACCATATCCAGACAAGCAGTTGCTTTGGCCACATCAATCATGGCTCGGGAGCGACGTGCGACGGCATGGTAGTCCACGACTTGTACGAGAGGAATTCCTTCGGCTATCATGTTGGGATGACGTCCAATTAGCTCTTGTAGAGCTGCAGAGGCACCACGTCGAATATTTCCGGAGGGATCGACACACGCAGAACATACGAGCTCTACTGCCAACTTCTGTAAAACTCCGACTTCTGATTTACCAGAGAAAGAGGGAATCTTTTGAGGCTGAAGGGCTTGAAGCTCGGAGGTTGTATATTTTCGAGACATAGCCCAGACACCAAAGCAAGCAGCATCACGAACACCAGTTCCCACAGAACTACCTGTAGATGATCTTTGTTCGAAGTCAAGGCCTGATACAAGGGATTGCAGGATATCAGGAAGCTGACTGATTGGAGGTGCGCGACGGAATAATAAATGTGACAACGTGAGCATGAGACCCTGCCATCGTTGCGCATCAACACCACTTAAGTTGCGTTTTAGTGAATGAAGACCAGCATCACGAGCCTCAAATGGCGTCATCAGACTTCCATCATCCTTTTCAAATAGAATATTCTCTCCGAGTGAACCGATAACTGCCTCAATGACCTCAGCGCCCATGTCTGGATCCAACTTCAAAGTGATCACACTCAGGGCTTTACTTGAAGCAAATCGAACAGGAGTGTCTTTATCTGCGAGGGAAACCAGGAAGTGGTCGATAGCTTCCTCTAGGATACTGGAAAGTTGATCATCATCCATGTTGCTATCTCCCCTCTCACTAAGAGACAGCGCCATGACTGTGATATTGCGAAGGATTTTCACCACGATTTTTCGAGCCATAGCAGAGGACTGGAAGACAGAAGACACAGCTGACGTGCCCTGTGAGACACTGATGGTCTGTTCAAATACAGGTTTCAGTAGAGGAGCCAAGTCTTCCACTTGACCTGACCCAGCTAGGCGTGCAATAAAGGAGAGAACTCCGATACACGAGTAGACGGATGGTGCTTCATTGGATTCTAATGGCTTCATCATCGAAAAAGCCCAGTAAGTCAGCCCAGTCAATAGACCAAGGGCTTGCATGTCTCCGCGTAGCACAAGTCTGGCCAGCAGAGCTGTTGCTGCCTCGCGCTCTTTTCCGGGAACATTGATGTAATGGAGCGCCAAGGAGAGTACAGATTTTCCAATCATCGGAGTATTCTCAGCGAGGTTTCCAAGTTGCTGTAAATTATCGAATGGAACAGGAATATCATCTGAAGATAACGAAGACAGGTCAAATGGTGCAAGCAGGAGATGGGAGAGCCAGACAAGCATCACATAGCGCTCTTCCCATTGAAGACTGTATGACTCTGTATCTTCAGAGTCTTCAGTCAAAGAAGGATTGGATGCGGCATCCCAGTCCACGAAAGCTCGTAGCATGGAATCAAGGTGCTTAGGCTCATTGTTGAGAAACCTGCTGATCACCTTGACTCCCCGAACCTTGCAGAAAGTGTAAAGCAGCCTGCAAATAGCCTTCGGTAGAGGGTAAACAGCTGATTTATGAGAAGTCTTAGTCGCCTGGGATCCATATTGACTTCTATGTCGGATCAAATATGCCAGAAACGAATCCACTAAAGGAGGCAGAAGCACCTGCAGATGCGGATCCAAGAGTTGAGGCCATTCTTGAAACGGCTCAAGCTGTAAGAATAGTTAGCCATGACCCAGGAATTTGGGATAGATGTTTGATAAGGTTATTGGTGGCCTTACAAGCGCGACGAGCTTCTCCGTCTTGGACACTGGTGCCCATTTGCGTGGGGTACGGAGAGGGGTTCCGTTCTCAAACTTCCACAACAACGATGGCAACTTGGCTGAAAACTCTGTCACCAGGTCACCAGAAGCTCGCTGGAGCTTGAGATCCCGGTCTTCAACAGCATCCATCGCTATAATCGAGAATGTTGTTGTATTGTGTTCTTGGGGATTCGGCGAAAAGCGCCAACGGTGGGACCGACCATATGATGACTAAGGCATCAAAACAGCCCTGGAGACATCATGCAAGTATACCTGTTCATTTTATGATTGAATTATCAGCTAATATGGTGGAATTTAATCACAAAACACAGTGAGATAGTGACTACTGCTTTGAAGACATTTGCTATGAAAGTTTTGATAAATTATCGACATCCAATTTGAAGTAAATTATCCACAAACGCCGGAATGATTATGCTGAAGATCAAGGCATGTCCAGGTGTACTTGTGCAAGGCGTCTCTGCCTTCGACGACCCCTATTTCTCGGTAGACCCTCATGTACTCCAAGAAGAATGCTGAACTGACCACCAGCAGCGGCGGCGACCAACCTTTTGCCCTCCAGATGCTTACTTTGAACAAGCATTGGTCTCTCAATTTCCTCAATACCAAGCTGACCAGCTTGACTTTGAGAATTGAAGCCCCAACTATATGCCTCTCCTGATTCTGTAAACACAAAGGAGTGATCACTACCTGCAGTCGCAAAGTCTATTGGGCTGTTATCATCTCCAATACCGGTAAGAAAATGAGGCTTCTTGAGAATTCGTGGCCGGGATTGCTTATCTTCGATAATATCAGATGAAGGGATATCTTTGAGCTCGACACCAAGAGCCTTATTCTCAATGCGGCCCCAGACAAGACATTTCCCAGTCTCAGTGAGAGCCATACTGTGATCTTTCCCACCAAAGATAGAGACAATCACGCCAAGTGTCTTAAGAATGGGAACTTTTGTTGGATATGCAACATTTGAATCGTTTAGACCAGTGCCTATGGTGACAGCTGTCTGGCCAAAATTGTTTGAGCCCCAAGCATAAACGGTACCGCTCTTGTGGATAGCGAAGGAATGATACAGCCCCACTCCGATACTTCGTATACCGGATGGAAGAGCCACTATTTCTGGCAAAAGATCGTGAGACTTACGATGCCGACTTGCTCGGCGCCTTCCAAGTTGGTTTTGCTCGTTGCAGCCCCAGCTGAAAACGGTTCCGCTTGACGTCAGTGCGAGGACATGCTGGGCACCGGCAACGATATTGACGACATCTTGGACGGGAATCAGGATAGGTGTATGCTGCTCTTTCTTGCTCTTAGGAGAGAAACCAATCCCTCCATTAGATCCCTTTCTCAATGGTCAGTATATTCAGCTGCAAAGTTCAGAAGTACCAAAGAGCATACCCGGAAAGTTCCCCAGCCATAAACCATACCATCGGTTGTTAAGGTAAAAGTGGCACTATCAGATGCTGCAAGTTGACAAAAGATAGTATTTTCTGGAAAATGAGAAGCGTCCACAGGAGTTGGAGTAGCCTCGCTGAGATTAAGAGTGATTTCATCACCACTCTCATTCCCCTCGTCACTGGGGACTTCTTTTTCTTTTGTGTCTCTCCCCAAAGCTCCCTCGTCATTGACACCCCATGTCAAAATTTGGTTTTCATGAGTAAGAGCAGCCGAATGTACACCCCCAACAGCAAGATGAACAATACCAGTTGTTTCGGCATCCAACTTCGAATTTAGAACAGGGCGTTTCATTTCCGCTTTCTTGGTCAGGTCTCCTAATCCAAGTTCGCCATAGCAGTTGGTACCAACCACGTAAACGTCTAACCGCTCGTTTGGGACGTGATTCATAGCTAATATAATCTCAGTCATGTATTCAGCCAATATTACGAATCTTGAGACTCAAGATGAGCTACCTTTCTTTGGAACACGTGAGTCATGTGTAGAAATGCTTTGGTGGTCTCGTGGAGGCATGGTATCGGGAAGCTGGGCTCAAGAAATTATGCTCGTCGCTCTGTGGAAGAAGAATCAGGCTCTATGAAGTCTGTCCAGGGAGATATTTTACTTTTTTATGATGCAGGAAGGATGTCTTATTAGATAAACCCCTCTTGCATAGTGCTTAACAAACGTGCATAGTACAACATCGTTTGTATCTCAGTATCTCATTGTAATTTAACCGGAACTCCCCTGATAAATTTGATCTAAATCATGATATTGATTAGTAGTGTAAACGCCAGTTTAAACAGCAAAATAATTACAAATACTAGCTCAGTTCAGCCATTGAGATGTCACAAGTCTGTCCGAGTCTTAGCACGAATCTTGCTTGATCAATTTCTAGAAGCCACTGGCATCATGATGTCTTTCAAATAGTATTATATCTTCCAAAATTGGAATGGACCTTCTAGAAGGTTTCATCACATAGCTACCTATAGAACTAGCACGGGAGCATAAAATGCCATGATATCTAGAGAATCTTGAAAATACAGGATCTACAATAGTATTCAAAATCCGAATAACAAAAGAGACATGTATTTTCACAAGTAAAAAAAGAACGTAAATTTGCCATATAAAATCCACCAATTAATTCAAATCAGATCTCCCCTTCACAAATCTTCGTCGATATTGATACTACATGTATCATTCTCCCCACGCAGCCGATGCACATAAGGACTGCCAGTAAAGTTGACAGTAAGACGATTCGCAGTATCTCTAGCATGACACACACAAAGCGCAACAGCCAAAGAGTTCCAAACATCCTGAGTTGTCTCAGAAAGATCAATATGGGTCATAAATTTGATTCGTGTATCGATATCTGAATCCTCGACTAAGGAAGCAGAACTTTTCAAAGTGTTAGGATCGGTATCTCGGGAAATAAGACAAAGGATAGGTCCAATCGCAACAAATGCCACAAGCACTGGCCAGTTATGTTGACTTGATATTAGCTTCTTGTGTGCCTCCTGGTGACGTAAAGCTAATCTTTCCAGTCTCTGCGAGGCCCTGGTGAGAGTTTTGAGAAGATCTTCGCCTTTTTGTTGACAGCAAACTGCATGAACAGGAATCGTTGAATCCATCTCCTCCAAGCCCGCTGTGTACATAGCCCACCGCATATACTTGCGAATAGTCCTTTCAATTGCGACTTGAGGACTGACAGTTAAAAGTGTAGAATCCCGGACACGTCCACCCAATGCAAAAACCTCTTGAAGTGCTTTGATGGCATAAAACTCCGAGCCCCATAATGGCTCAAAAGGTAAACATTCTTCAGATTGACTTGGTGTGGATCGAGGGGTTTCTTGAGTAAACAGTGCCTTGGGTAAGGTCGGGAAATCAGTAGCCCAAAATTCAGAAATGATAGGCTCACAACCCCGAGTACCGATTGTCCGAAATAACTTCATCTGCTCTTCTGCGATGCTAGGGTCGTTTGGAATTTCCATACTCTCAATCAATTGCTTGCCTCGTTCTCGGGTAAGCTCGTTGAGCAGATCGTTTCGTTCCCCGCGAGAAATTTCATATTCGTCGCCTTCACTTTCCTCCTCAAAATCACTTTGCCTAACCTCACCATCCTGGTCATCACTTGGTTCGTCACTGACACTGCTGAGATCTTCGCTTTTCCCTGATGGATAATAATCTCGCTGTCCCTGGTAGACTCCAAACTCATCGTTATCACTAGAATTGTTTTCATCTTCGTCTTCACCCCCGTCGTCGTTTTCCTCCTCCTCCTCACTGGTATAGTGTCCATAGAAGTAAGGAATCTTGTCATTTGATTTTTTGGCTTTTTTATTCTTCGTTGTCTTTTTCTTGTCTTTCTTGCTTTTCTTGTTTCGGGTCTTTGAAGTTCCCTCTTCTGCTGTTAAAGTGGCCTGTGGTTGGTCCTTCTGAAGATCCTCTTCCTCCCTCTTTCGCTTCATCTTTCGCTCTTTCTTCTTTTCAGATTTGCTGCTCTGATCATCCGCCAATTCGGGGCTGCTCTTCTTCTTTTTACGTCGACTTTTATTCTCCTCATCGGGTCTGTCCTTCTTCCTCTTACTCATCGTGGCTTGTCCAGGACTGTAAATAAGTGTATTTACAGTGCGTTCACAATACTGAATGTTGGTGACTCGAGAGAAGTTGACTGTGTTGGCTACAGTGTTAGCGATAGCCTGTGTAGAATTGTAGGATGAGAGATTGATGATCTGTTCGTAGTGCTCGGACTTTTCGAATACTCTCGCTGCTGAAGGTGGCTTGAATAGCGTACCTTCCTCGCTAAGGGCCCGCGTGGCACTATAAAGAGGTGTTCTGGTTGCCTTTTGGTGCTCCTCAAGCTCTGAAATAGAGGAACGAGGACTCGGAGTTGTGTTGCCTTTTCTGAGAGGCTGCTTAAGGATAGCCTTCGTGGACGGAGGAGTAGGTGTCACAGCCCTCGCTTTTTGTCGCAGAGCACGTCGATTAGTTGTTACGAAAGAGCTAGACAGGTCGGATGAGGGGAAGGAGGTTGAGTAGTCCTCGAGTCTAGGGGACCCACGAGAACTAACGCTCCATGAAGGGAGCCATTCCTTTATCTTCCCGAAGATGGACATATTGTCAAAGCCGAGAGGGTGAACAAAGAAAAGTGAAGAAGGGTGTGTTGAAAGAAGAGAGAACAAAGAAGAGTGATGAGTGAAGAAATTGATAGAAGATGGAAGCAAAAATCGAAATAGCGAAGAGGGATGGATGTTGCGATGTAGAACTTGACTTGCCTTATTGGGAAATGACATGGGTATAGGGACTGTATAAAGCCACTGATCTTCCACTCCTATACTCAGGCCGTTGTGTTAACTATCATCTACGCAGCTAGCTAGATGAGAACCTATTCTATCTTCTTGACCATAATAACCTAGAAACTTAGACAAAAATTTGAAATGTTTCAAAGTTCCCATTTCGTAAGATTGCACTCATAGCAGCAGTATAGTACTCCGTAAAGGTTTTTGAATTAATTCTTATTCGCATCTCCTTATCCTCAGAGTCATTGAAGGACCAGAAGACTTATCCAAGCAATGCTACTGCAAGAAATGACCCCCCCTAATGGAGATAACTTGGAAGCAACACAGCACCTAGGCCTTACTAACACCACAACACAGGCACCTCATCAACGGTCTTTCAAATAATCAGCCCTCCCAAAAGCGTTTTTAGTTGCCGAGAAGATTTCCATCTCAATTCATGCGGTCATAATCCATCTGCGTAGCTAAGGGGCCGCAGAGAGCTGTCTCCAGCAAACTCTGCAACCCGAACAGCCATGACCCGGCATGGCGTGGAATAATCGTGAACCGACCCGTCGAAAAAGTAAAAAGGAGTGCACATAAAAAACAAACAATTTAGATACGCGAAAGAAATACGAAAATAAGCAATAGAGAATAGGAAAAGGAAAAAAGAGAAAAGAGAACCGACGTGCCCATTATTCATGTCATTCGGAGAGACCGAAAGGTGCTTAGTGAAACGATCGGCAGCCGGCGTCTACGCTGGCAATCAATCAAAACACAACTGTGATGGGTATGTAAAGCAATTTTTAAGGAGGGATAAGGCGAAGTATCCCTCAGCCGAGAAAGACTCGGACATACAGCATTAGGGGGCCAAATTGGCTGGCTCAACCAAGGCGAGAAAGTGGGCGCTCGGCAAGAGAAAAAATTGCCGCAGTCTGATCATGGAGAGATCAAGCAAAATCAGCAGTGTAAGAGAAGCCACGGAATTCTTCCTGCATGGCTTGGGACAGCACTGTAAGAAAGGAAAGTGGTTAGTGAATGGGTTTCTCAGCGTAGTCTTAGATTGGATCATACCAGATTGAACAGGGGTCAAAACCGGAGTCACACTGGTGAACTCCTGGTCGAAGTTGCTAGTATCAGTAGGACTGCTGATAGTGGGGATCATTGGAGGAGCACCACGCTTGTGGTAAATATCATCCCAGTTGATGTTACGGAAGAAAGCATGCGACATGACCTCTTGAGCATCAGTAGGGCCGGAGCCGAGTCGAAGCTCAGGTTCACGGGTAAGCAACTTCTGTAGGATAGAAACCGAGTCGCGGGGCATGTGAATAGGGTAGAGAGGCTCATCCGCAAGAATAGCGTCGTAAATTTCGTCCTCATCCTCACCACGGAATGGAGACTGCTGGAGAAGCATTTGGTAGATCAAGACACCAAATGCCCACCAATCAACAGCACGACCGTACTTCTTGTCCAGTAGAATCTGAGTAGAAATGTCAGTATTCTCTACAAAATATCTTGTGTGCAAAAGATCGACTTACCTCAGGGGCCATGAACTCGGGAGTACCACAGAAAGTGCTGGTGGTGCAGCCATACCACATGTTCTCCTTGCAGAGACCATAATCACCAATCTTAATGTGACCATCCAGAGTCAAGAGAATGTTATCAAGCTTCAAATCACGGTAAATGACACCGTTTTCATGAAAGTACTTGAGCGCCAAGCAAACCTCAGCGGCATAGAATCTATAATATACGTTAGCAAATTCTCTGACGTCTGTAGAATACCGCAAGAGAGGAAACTTACTGTGCTCGCTTCAGACCGAATTGACCACGCTGAATGTGCAGCATCAGATCACCACCACTGATATACTCCATAACGAAGTAAACACGAGTCTCCGTTTGGAAACAAGCATGCAAGTTCAACAAGAAGGGATGACGCTCCTTGTTAGCAACCAGGAACACCCGCTTTTCTGACTTGGTACTCTCGACTTCATCGTTCTCAATGATGAATTCCTTCTTCAACACCTTGATGGCGTACAGTTTGCGAGTAGTCTTAGTTTCAGCCAACATGACCTTACCGAAGTTACCCTTTCCAAGAACAGCCAAGAAATTGAAGTGATCCAATCCAATACGAGTTCTTTGCTGAGGTGGGGGCATCTCTGGTTGCTTTTGAACAGCTGCCACTGGCGGCTGTGGTGCCGGCTGTACGGGCCTCTGCACGGGTGGCTGAACCTGCTGCACTTGCTGCACTTGCTGTGGCGAGTGAGGCATTGGGTATCTCGGCCCCTGGGGGCCTGTGGCCATGGGTGGGATTTGTTGCGTCCGAGGAGCAGGATTTTGAACACTAGCGTATACTTCTGGATTGTAGGCTGGGATTTGAGGTGCTTGCTGTTGCGGAGGTAGCACTGGGGGTCGGATCATTTCACCTGGTATTCCGATTAGCACTCGAATGGGAGGCGGGGCCGGCATAATCAATGCATACTTGGAGTCTGCTGAGGACTGCCCATCCTTGTGGCAGCTACGGCACCGGTGATTGCATCTGGAGAGGGAACCGCCGATATGGGCGATTTTGGTTGAACGGGTTGGCGTGCGGAAGCCTGTGGAAGTACTGTTGGTGACTGTGGAGGGAGGAAGGAGTTAGTCGCAGCGCTTACCGCTTCAGCCGATGTTGGCCGGGGAATTGCTCCATGTGAGCTGCTGGTGGGCCGCTGGGGGTATGAAAGGGCGGCATTGTCTTGGGAAGACGGCGATGCACCGGGTCGAAGGGTTTGCTTAAGGCCGGTACTGACAGGTGCGGGCTTGTGGTTCTTGGTCTGACTCAAGGCCTGGATGATCTCGTTCGCCGTCTCCATGGACATGCCGCAGAAGTCAGGAACCAGATGAGTGCAGTGAGCGTGGCATGTAAGCGAGCATTCTAGTAGACAAGGTCAGCATCGTGGAAAGCAGAGGCTCCAAACCTTGACCTATTTGCATACCGGTACAGCGCTTGGCGTTCTTGCGTCCAAAGGGAAGTAAGTATCCACAGTGGCAGCACCAGTTCGCCGAGATGTTGGAAAATCCCTCGAAGCGGTGGGGAATCCGGTGGTTGATCTTCTCCTCGTCGGGGTCGGTCTCGTAGTTGGCCTTGCTGATACACTTGGTGACAACCTTTGAATAGCATTTACGATGACAGGTGTACTTGCAATCCGAACACTGCATACCCGCAGCATACTTGAGGAATTCTCCACAGAGCGCACAACGCATGATGTTGTAAAACTGTTGAGTGACGAATTTGTGACCTTGCTTCTCGTGGATGTCTTCTTTCTTTTGACGCACGGCACCTTGACGGTTGAGACCGATGTCGAAGGGACGACGATCCTTCAGTTGTTTGGCTGTTTGATGTTAGTATGTTGTGGAATATGATTTTTTTTAATCAGCAGGGCCAAAAGTATCTTACCGAAGCTCATGGAGAGGTGAATTCGACCGAAAGGCTCCAAGGCGAACCATGAATCAATCATCACCGAGGGAGGGGCGTTTGGATTGCCTCCAGCTTGTTGTCCCATAGGAGGACCCATTGCTCCAAAGCTAGCACCGCCGTGCGATGAACCCGGCGAGCCAGGATGGTGATCAGATCGAGGAGTACCCGAATCACCCATCTTGTCGGCAGAAACCCACCCAGCAGCATTCAGTTCCGTCTCGATCTTCTTACGACGCATCTCCTCCGCGATATCAGAGATACGAACCCACAGCATACCGATGGGAGTGGGGCGATCCCCGGATTTATCATAGACTGTCAGCTCGATCTCGTTTGCCTTGTCAATGTCAATGGAGAATGACTCGTCCAACCACTTATCGTTTCGCGAGGCCTTAGTTCGTGCCTTGATCGCATCTTCCACCTTGACAATGATGTATGTCTCTGGACCACGAGAGAATCGAGAGCTGGTTGCATGATCCACCTCCTTCACGGCGTGGATGCGCATAGTTAAGAGACCGGTCAACGGCTTGCGCATATTGGGGCTGCTAAGACTCTCATCTGTTTGCAGATATTAGTCGATATATTCTTTAGGTCAAAACAGGAAACATACCATCTGCAGCATCCGAGGATTCAATGTCAACGTGCAGATCCTCGTATCGTTTTAGGGCTTGCTTGAGCAGCTGAATCTTCTGATTACTCTCAATGCGACGGCCTTCAGCATCCGCGCGACTCTTCCGATCGCCTTCATCCTGATACAAGCGGACCATCTTCTCAATTCCAGCCTTGTATTGTTTCTCCACGCTCAGCTTGAATTCGAGTTGGGACAGCATGAGTTGAATCTTCGGTCCGAGGTATTGGGTATCATATTTGATTAGATCTGAGACACGAATAAAAGCTTGATTAGCATTCCAAACGGAAAATTTTGTATCATTATGAGAATATGGACCCGCCCGACTTCAAGGGAGGATAGTGGGGGAAGAGGGGGTTGTTGACATGGAAGATCGTCATTTCCACATTCAAATAGACTTACCAAGCTTTGTGTAATTGGGGCGCGCCTTGGGAGCCGGGGCGTAAGGTCGAGGATCGGGAAAAGGAGCACCAGATGGCATGGAACCTGAACCAGGTTGGGGGTAGTCCAAACCATCCCCCTCACCTCCAAAGTATCCGGCGGAGTCTTTGGGGGGCGGCGTGGGCCCAGGACCCTGACGCTGACCACCAGGAGAGCCACCACTCTGCTGTTCCATATGACGAATCTGAAGTTCTCGCATCTTCTCCTCAAGGTAGGCGATATTCTTACGGCCATCGCGGATGTTGGTATCGACTTGTTGTTGGACTTGGGGATTGTCGGTTGACTGCCGCATGTTAGTGGCGGCGGCGATGAGGGCCTTCTCCCGCTCGATCTTGCGGTAGACCGAGGCAATAAGCTCGTCGCCGTCCATGATGGGCAAAGGCCAAAGGGCAAAGTGGACGGGGGAAGAGTGCGCCGGGATCGTGGTGAGATGAAGGTGGGAGAAGGGATTCGCGGGGCTCTTGTTGACAGGGGGGGGTTAACGGGTAATACTGCCACAACGGAAAATGTAACGGGCTTCGCCCCCCAATTGATCGACTGCGATAAGAAGAAAATAATCTTTCTGTAAAGAAAAAAAGAAAACGTAAAGAAAGTTGAAATGAGTTGATTCTTTCTTTCTATTCTATTAATTCTATTAAGTTCATTATTAAATGGTGGTGAAAACCAGAGTTGTCCTTAACCACGTGAGCCTGTTGAACCAGATTGTACTTAATGTTCTCTCTCTCTCTTATGTACTACGTACTACTACTATGGCATTTTATTACTTCCGATGATTCAAACATTCAAGTACCGAGGTACTCTGAAGAAATCTGGATCCATTTTCCAAGGAAAAGATGAATAATACCTGGTCCCCCCCAAGAATTCTTAACAGAAAAGAAAAGGTCTCGATGACATGATCCTCTGACCAACAGGGTCATGATTGGCAGAGACCATGAGAGACCTGGGTCCAGATGTTTCGGAAACTCCCTGGTCTGCGTCAACTGGTACGAATGTACTTAATTTGTACTGGAGATTCGTACTCTGACCAATATTTATCTGGATGCCTTACGACTCGGATCTCAAATTTTTATGTCACCGCTTCCTAATGTTTCTGGGATATCATCTCCGAGTCCCCTTGCCTATATGATTGACGTATATACTACAAGGTTCAAGTTCTTCTCTGCACATTCTTTGTTTGGTATGAAGCACTGAGAACTGTTTTTATAGTACAGCTGATCCTGGTCGCCTGACTAAAGCTGAAAAAACTTCATTTTTACTAGTATTTATAATATTTGGAATTAATGATCAATAATAGTATTGAGTGTTATTTCCAACTAGAAAGAGCGGAGAAATCTTGGAAATGGAATAGAATATGTAGGCAGGAATTAAATGGATGTTATATCAGATCTATTCAGGGTTGAACCTTGTTTCTTTCTACAATCTGAGATACACACATATGCAGAAAAAAAAACAAAACAGGAAACCTTGAAACTGCAAACGAAACAAAGGGGAATTGAAAAACTTTTTACTCTGATCTCTTAGAGATCTTCGGCAATAGGAGCCAACTGGTTGCCATAACACCATACAATCCAATACAGATCGGGTGCAGCACCATAGTACCCACATGTTGGGATAGAATACCGGTCAGAAAGGGCCACACCGCACCGCCACTGCTTCCCAAAGCGCTGACGAAACTCAGACTGGAGATGTGCATATTGCGTGGTAACAGTCGTGTCAAGACGGAGGCAGCGCATGGATACACTGCTCCCAGTAACACACCTAGGATAGCGACCGTGACTGCTTCCCCAATCACATTCGGAATGAGCCAAGTCATGAGCTGAAAAATGACTGCGCCAGCTATCATCCCCATCACGCTGACTTTTTCGCCCAACTTCGCGGCGGGATGGACCAGTAAGAACCGACCGGTCGTGATGCCTGCCCAAAAGCCGGAACTGACGTATCCGACTCGCGAGGGGTCACCATTTCGATAGTTGATCAGGAATGAAACTACCCAGCCGGAGATTGAGACTTCTGCGCCCTGGTAAGCGAAGATAAAGAGGGCGCCTAGAAGTGTGGTACGGTTTTGGATGGCCCGTCGGAGGAGTTGACTACGAGTTAATGGCTCTTCGATATTGACATTCTCATCAGTTGGCCGTAGCGTTCTTTGAAGCTCGGCTGCAGTGTCTTGCTCGAAGTTGGAGAAGGCCCATGTAGCAAAGAAAAGGTTAAACACAGCCGCAGCCACGGGGATTGTATAGAAAAGCGACCAGCGGATGCCACTCGATGCCATGGCTGTCGCAAACAAGGGTGCCACAGTGCCTCCAATCCCGTATGCGCCACAAACTAACCCCAGAGCTGTGGTACTATTGGGCAAGTTGGCACAGTATGTATTATTGAGGGTCAACTGCAGAGCCACACCGAATCCCAACAGAAAGAAAGAGACCGCGACGACTGGGAAGGGCGGTTGACATGCGATGATAATATAAGCCACTGCTAACGTGAACATGGAAAATGTATAGCTCCTCGCACGGCCTAGTTTTTGGTCGATATAATGTGTGACTGGTGCGGCCAATATGAAGCCTAGTGCGTTGCCCACGAAAATCATGGAGACGATGGTGTAGCTGATCCCATAGTGTTCTTCCATGTATGGAATCAAGGCACCAGGAGCACTGTCATTCATTCCATTCCCAAACAGCATTAAACAAGAGCTGAGAAGTCGCCATTTCGTTTTCTGAGGGGTCAACGTTCTATCCGGGGCCCATTGAATGGATTCATTTTCATTGGCAGGTGTGGCAATTAGGCTATCCAATCCCCCTGGTGTAGGCGGCTGTGATCCAACTGATACTTGTGCCATCGGTGCATCGGTGACTTGCTCTAGGTTCTGAGCCGGTTGAAGCTCATTCAGCTCGATGGACATAGACGGAGTCTTGACTGGCGCCTTTTGCACGGCAGGCGGCGGGCTAGCGACATGAGAAGAGCTCTCAATATCGACAAAATAGCCCAAGGTAGGTGTTGTCATATTGAAACAGGCAGTCACTCGGTAGCTTAAAGCACCTCCAAGACTTAAAAATGATATTGGCGTCCTAACATCTGAGATCTTTATGTTCTCTGGGACTGGGAGGGTCTGGAAGCCAACTCATATAGGACTTCGCACCTTCGCACATACTCGAGGAATACATATTCCGGGCATTTCGCCTTGACTCATTAGTCGGCATCTAACCATAATTAGTCAATTTGCCGCCTCTTGCGGACTTTATCTGGCGTGGGGTACTCCATAGGTAAATTATTAATCGCGGGACAAGGTTCACCGTTCACCAAGGTAGTGCGGAGATGCCCCGCTGAGAGAAACTACTAAGAAAAAAAGAAAGAAAAAAATCAATCTTCCCACAATCAACATCCACCATTGAAGAAGCCAACTCATTGCAGCTACACCTCCATTTCTGTGGCTTGCTCACTTGCAGATTTCCATTGCATACATTTATTCCCATTGTTCAATTGAAAATGGGTCCACCGCGTCGCAAAGTTCTGGCTACTGCACAGGAGACATTGACCCCGCCTGATGAGCTGGCAGACACCCACTCGATCGTGCGTGCGATCAAGGCAACTGGCAACAATATCTACCTGATCGAGACTGCCGATAAGCAGCAGATGCTCGTGGAGCTACCTGCTAAGTTCCGCTCGACGTTCTGGATCAAGCGTGGATCGTACATGGTGATCGACACTAAGCCATCGGAGGAGCGAGAAAACAAGATCTCTGGCGAGGTTATCAACATTGTGCGAGATGAGAAGGCTTGGCGGAAGGCTCCGTTCTGGTATGTATTTCCTCCAGCTGTTGCATCAATGACCTAGACAGCTAAACGGCTAATTTATTCTACTCGAATAGGCCCAAGGAATTCGTTAAGCAGCCCGTGGTTGCTGCTACTTCGGACTCCGACTCGGAGGAGGAATCCCGAGTAGGCAAGATGCCTTCCTCTGATGAGTCTGACGCGTGAAATGATAAAATACTATCGACAAAATCGCATTCGAAGGGCTAGTACCGGTTCATTGATTACGGGTGTCCTTACAGTCGACCACATCATCTGCCTCATCGTGATCATTGATGAACACCCCGAACACTTGCGTGGCAAGCGAGAGTACCACAACCGTTGAGCTGGCATTGGTACTGGGGTACACATTCCAGGCCCACTCCTGCAGCGCCCATGCAATATAGATCAGAACTGGATGAAGGCCGGTGCGCCACAGGAGGAACGGAGAGGCCCATGCCAAATAAGCAAAGAACTGGTAATGCAGCGACCTGGCACAGAGCATGCCTATGGCCAAGGAGCTTAGCATAGCAGTCATAATGAAGGATTTGGAAAGGGTCACTGGCTGCAAGCAACCCAGGATAGTATTCTGCAGGAAGCGGAACACATTGAATCCTGATGGACTGACCCAATTAATGGCGAAGAGAGCCAGGATAGAAATATGCAGGAGCAACAATGCCACGGAGAATTCCCTTGAAAGAAACGTCTCCTCTCCTACAAATCGCCAATTTACCGTCCATTTAAACATAAATTGACGGGATAGCTCGAAGGCCCGTGAGAAGTAGCCAATCGCGTTAGTTCGGAGAAACGGGATCGCGAGGTAGATCTGTAAATGTCCGTATATTAGCCGACTGCAAAAGCTGGGGTCAAATTAATCTAATTTACCTGGACCTGCACAGCAATAGCTGCAAGGGAAAGACTGCGAGACAGTCCCACACTGAGTAAAGTGATAACGGCAATAGCTGGTGCAAGTAGCACCAGGGTCATTTTGACACCGACACCCAAAGTCCACATCAAAACACCCAGAGTCCATTGTCTTTTCAAAAATAGATATATGGCAAGCCACATCGCAAAAGCCGCAATCCCATCATTGAACATTCGTAGCATAAATATGCTATGAAGCCGTTTAGACAGCACCAGGAGGGGAAAGAGGTATGGCGGAGCGCCGACTTTTCGATAGCAGCCAAAGACAACTACCAAGGTCGAAAGATAGAGCCCTGCGAACAAGATCTGCCCACCGAGGATATCACGCCCTTCATCGGTGAACTGGTGCAACAAGGTGTAGACGTAGACATGACCGGCAGGGTAAACGAGGGGACCCGTGGAGCCCTTGATGGAGGGATAATCGCGTTCGCCGTTGATATAGAGGGAGATTTGCTGCATATAAGTTGACCAATCGATTTCAGTATCTGGGAAAAGTAGCGATTAGTTTGCGCTCAATGGACGCGTGTCAGGACTCGAGCTCGGATCGGGGGGCATACAGGAGATCTTCCATATGACCAAAGCGCAAAGGAGCGCATCGCCCAGAACTAGTAGAGGAGCGATCCATTTGGTATGCCTCGGCTGAGTTAGCACACCGTAAATGAAGCGTACCCAGGGCATGGCGGCGCGGTGGTGGATGGGAATGTTCCAGCTGGCCGTTAGATCTCCATTACTATGCCAGTGGGGTCCCACGGGTACAGTGCTGGATTGACCTATTGGAACCGGGTTCCTGTGGGTGATGTGTATACCATATAGAAATAGATAGAGTGGAAGATATCATGTTATATCAATGCAAGTTTTAGGATTAATGCACTCAAAGATTGGTTTTATTACTGGAATGTTTAAATTATTGGTATGTAGTACATAGGACTTGACTGGTACCGGCCAGAGCCGCACGCCAACAGCTCATACCCAAAAGCTGGAGGCTCCACGATTTAGTCAAATGTACCGCCATACAATTTGAGCTTTTGAATTTAATTATGACACAGACCAGGCATCTACCAGTTGTTGCTACAATGTCATTTCAGGTGACCGCAATGAGATACATGATCACTTGGCAGCTGCTGTAGTTGCCTACGTAGTAGGTTGCATCGTAAGTTGTCCTCGACTTAAGCAGGTGACTCTTCTTTCGTGAGTTAGGAATAGTCAATATGAATTGTCCTATTCCATGAGGTCTTCGTAGATCTAGTATCTTTTATACAGTTGTGTACATGATGAAATAACAAGGTATCAAACCAACAGTATCGAATCACCACCAAGTACCTTCTATCGCAACATTCCAGGCCAACAAAGGCCAATCAAACCCGTCTTCCTAGTCCATGGTATCACTTAAAACAAAGAGCAGAAACATAAAGAAAAAAGAGAATGCAAAGCTCGAATCGCAGGGAGCGCAACGTATAACAAAGCCAATAGGGTCTATTGACCACCATTGACTGAAACGGGCTGCTTCTCGTTTCCACGGGCATTGAATCCCAACAAGTCACCCAGAACACCCTTCGGCTTTGGTACTGGGCATTCGTGTCCAACTTGTGCCATTCTCTTCGCTTCTTCCTCCATGTGGAAAAATGTAGATACCTCCTCGTCTTCGGACCCGGAAGATACCGGGTGTGCAGGTCGAGGGATCTCAGAGTCCAGCTCCGTGTCTTTCCTTCGACGTCGGCGAACACGTGGAACTTGTTGCCCGTCGGCTGTGATTGTCATTTCTGAGTCGGCGAATGTGCGACGTGGTGAGGGGCAGGGAAAGACGTGTGGTATGCCGACTACCAGGAGAGACGCGAGAAGAGTACCGGCGAAAAGGCCCGTTGTTGATCGAGACCTCGGGTGGAGATGTGGAGGCATTTTGAAGGAAGGGTGTTTTATGTATGATTGAGATCGTTCTAATTCGAATTGAGGGTATTTGTGGGTTGGATTGCGCCGAGGTGTTTGTCTTCTTTTTTTTTCCCTTAGGCCATTGGTAGGGAGTAACGAATGGAGTAGAGACGAGACGGGAGGTATTTCCAATTGTTTCAAGATCAATTGGATTATAACCAAGAGACTCCAAAAGGTTCAAGGGTCTCAGACAGGTGTAGGTAGATCCGGGGAGACAAGAACAAGCCTAACCAGGCGGAAGTTGAAGGTGGTGAAAGGCTCTGGCCCATCTAATCTTATCTGGGTTTAACATGATTGGTTCACGCGTCAGACTCGGAGTCAGATTACTACGCCCTTCTCATTAATTGAGAAGAACAACTCGCGTGTTTTATATATCATGGAGTCGCAATCATGAATTTATATTTATTAATCGTGGAGATTGATTGAGATTATTCTGCATAGGAGTCTCATAGGAGATTCTTTCCTATCTAACTTCCCCCCCACTCCATCCTCACCACATCCTCTCCCCCCCAATCTTACCTAACTCCCTCCAACCTCCCCTCTCATCGAATCCTAGCTCCATCATGAGTGATCTAGACCGGTATTACTACTATTTCCTTATTTTAAATACTTTTTAATATCCACTGACTCGAACCTTTTAATTCATAGGGCGATCGAGCAGCTGCGGGCCTGCCGCCTGATCCCCGAATCGCAAGTTCGCGAGCTGTGTTACAAGGCGCGCGAGCTCCTAATCGAAGAAGGCAACGTCGTCTCCGTCGATGCCCCAGTCACCATCTGTGGAGATATCCACGGTCAATTCCATGATCTGATGGAACTGTTTCGCGTCGGCGGCGACGTCCCCGACACCAATTACCTGTTCATGGGCGACTTCGTCGACCGCGGCTTCTATTCCCTCGAGTCCTTCCTCCTCCTCCTCTGCCTTAAAGTGCGATACCCCGATCGCATCACTCTTATTCGCGGTAACCATGAGTCGCGCCAGATCACCACAGTTTACGGATTCTACGATGAGTGTATTCGCAAGTACGGTAGCGCTAATGTCTGGCGTTACTGCTGTGAAGTATTCGACTACCTGGCGTTAGGCGCTATCGTCCTCGGCGCAAGCTCTGAGCTGGAACCAACTGGATCCTCTATGAATTATACCACACAATCTACCATGCCCATCGATGATGGAGAGTTAGAGACAGAGGTGCTGAACTCACATGGCGAGGTCACCTCGACCAGTTACCGCCCGAGGTTCCGACCGGCTTTTTCTAATGATTCTCGCAATATCTCCCCGCCTGCTTCAGGTTCAACGGGAGCTCCGACTCGGACTGGAGTGCCGGGAACAGGGGCAAGTGCAGATGGTAACGGTAGCGCGACAACTAGTCGGACGGGTGCTGTTCTTTGTGTACATGGTGGTCTATCGCCGCTCATCGACTCTGTAGATAAGATTCGACTGATAGATCGGAAGCAAGAAGTCCCACATGAAGGTGCCATGTGTGATCTTCTGTGGTCTGATCCCGATGAGATTGAGGGATGGGGTCTCAGTCCTCGTGGTGCTGGGTTCCTTTTTGGTGGTGATATTGTTAAGCAATTCAACCATCTAAATGGTCTGTCCCTGGTAGCACGAGCTCATCAACTTGTTATGGAAGGATACAAAGAAATGTTTGATGGAGGAATTGTCACAGTATGGTCTGCTCCAAACTACTGTTACCGTTGTGGTAATGTTGCTGCCATCCTTGAGCTGGGTGAAGATACCAGCAATGGAGGGACGATTGCACGCAGTAACGGGGAGGTTGGCTGTAGCAATGGCGTCTTGAGTGAGGGTAATACAGTTGTTAGTCCTGGAAGGAGATACCGTGTTTTCGAGGCTGCAGCCCAAGATACAAGAGGCATGCCTGCGAAAAAGCCTGTCGCTGATTATTTCCTTGTAAGTTTGCGATGATTCTGATCCCCTGCGGTGCCTGCGGTGATTCATCTGTGCTAACCAGTGATGGCAGTGATACCATCTACCGTATGCGGTTTCATCTCTTTCATATCTTATCCCGGGTCTTGTTTGTACCGTTCCCAAGCCTCGTTTTGACCAACTCAGCATCTTTTCTCTTGGTGTTCTTGTATTCGTTGCGACTCTAATGATCATTCATGACGGATAAATCCTCCAATCTTGGATTCTTGATTCTCTTTACATCTTTCTCTTGGCAACCTGAATTTTATGTAAAAGCATTCTCATGGGAATTTGATCAATATGACAATGTGCACCAACTCCAAATAAGAATAACCACCCAACTGGTATCATAGAACTGAAGATATAAACGAAATCGCTGAACATTGAAAGGGAAAACAGAAGACCAAAAGACCAGAGGGGGAAAATGCTATATAAACATAAAAGCTGGCAGTTTATCGTGAGAAAGGAGAAGAACAAAATGCAACCATCTATATCAAACTCGCGTTTTGGCAGTTTCTATTTCCACCGATCATCGTATCCTGGTGCTCCACTGGCACCGCTTGCACCTCCTGATGACATCCCAGGCATTCCGCCAGTAGCTTGTGACGGATGCCCTGTCATATGAGGACTAGACTGTTGCGCAGCCATAGGTATGAGATGACCGTTACTATCGTACGAAAGATGAGCGGGCTGGCCTGGAAGATCGGGGTTCCACGCAGCACCCCAATTCTCTCCAGCGCCAATACCCAAAGCCGCAGCAGCATTTCGATTCCACCAATCATGGCTCTCTTCAACCAGGTTATCAGCGCCCTCAAACCCGGAGTGGGGAGAGTTCGAGTTTGGCGATAAGGTAGTCTGGGGAGGGGGAACAGGGTTCCCGGCCTGGTCGTACCAGACGCTCTGAGCAGAAGGGGATGGAGCTGTAGATGGGCCGGAGGTTGCTAATGAGGACATTTGGTAGTTGACCGCATGTGGGTATGACGGATCTGGGGTCGTGTAGTCCGACTGCTGGTTGATTGGTCCTGAGACCCGACGAATTGGCGCCATTGGTGGCATGGATGGGGAAAGGGTGGCATTTGGATACTGAAGTCCCATCGAGACACCCATAATTGAGGCTGGGTTTGAACCTGGGGCTTCTCTGTGCATCCCTGGTGAAGCTTGAGTGGTTTGTGGCTGATAGCTCCCCGGGTACGCATATGGAATGGGTAAAGTATTACTTATGAGTGGCGAGTCTTCCGATGTGGAAGGAGATGTCGCTTGATCCCAGGACCCCCAGGAACCCCATTTGGCGTGAGTCCGCTCGAAGATGGCGGTGGCTTCGTTTGGAAGTTTGACTTGCCACTTGTGGGCGGATATGTCAAGGATACGTAAGGTGCGGCGTGCAGCTAGCCAGCAATCGGCCATCTCCTCGAGGTTTCGGAGCCCATGAATCACATCTCGTTCTGGGTTTCTTCCGGGGAGATTAAGTAGATGAATGGTGCAAGCCGTATGGGCAATATAAACAACAATGTTACAGATTTGCTTCAATCCATAAGTGCGTTTGTACATCCGCAATAGTTTGGAGATGACCGACGCAGCTTGAGTGCAAATCTTGCGGGGAGAAACATGTGATGGGAGGGGAGTGGTGGCTTTGGTATATTTGAGGAATGGGCGGTAAAGGTGAATGAGAAGGAGCTGATTGAACATACTGGAATGGGGATCAGCAAAGGTGACAAAACTGGGACGCACTTCGATATTTGACTTACTGCATCACCAGGACTTGGGGAAGTTGTCCTTCTCTAGGCTCAAGTTCCCGCGGTAGCTCCTTTTTCCATGCCTCGAGCCGTGTGTGAACATCGCTCAATCTTTTCAACTCCAATTGCTTTGATTGTGACTTCTCTAGTTCCGAAGGGTGATAGAAGAACTTGAGAAGGTCGCTGCTGATCTCGCACAGTTTCGAAATTTGCAAAGCTATTGCTCTCGTACGGGAGGCTTGAGTATACTCTTGACCCGCACCAGCATCTGTGTACGGTGCCCACATCTCCGTTTCTTCTCGGGGTAGAACATCGAATTTGGGTACATTTGTGTTGGACGAAGATAATTGTGGTTGACGACCAAGGTAGTTTGACCAACATCTATTCGAGTTAGAACCAAGAATAAACCACTTTCACAGAAAAAGGGAAAACGAACTTGTCTATAACGTAGCAGCCCCAGAATGTAATTCGTCGAGCATCAACTTCCTCATCACTCATGTTGTGTGTAAGGTTAGACGACTCGACATTTAAACCAAGGTCGAATGCCATACGGAAACTCAGTCCACTGTAAACCCAACCCTTGCCTTCTCGGCCACAACCTGCTTCACGAACAGACATGAGGGCAAATGCCTGGACTGTACAGAGCTTTGCATTTTCATGCTCGTCATTTTCGTGAATTAGGCGTTTAGCCTCTTTGAAGAATTGATTGCCTGCAGTTGCCATGTTCTCTGGATCAGAATATGCGCCCGGCCAATTGCTAAAATGGCAACCCAGAGCTAGCATCGCATTGACCAATAGGGATGAACAATATTGGCTCGAGACACCTCGCATAAAGTCCCTATAGAACATATCTTTCGCGAGAATAGTGAAAAATGGATAGTGCCAAGTGAAGTACATAGTTAGGAGATGGCTGACAAGGTTGTCATCTTCGGTGATTCGGGTCCATCTTCCGATGGGCTCAGTATCGGGTGAGATTCCTGGAGCAAGATCTGCGAATGAAGTCGACTCATGTAGCTCTGAGCCAGGAGGAAGGAATATCAAATTCGATGTACCGCCAATGAATTTTCGGGAGCCGTCCAGTAGGAGTTCGCTCATCTTTCCTGATAGTTCAGATTCAAATTGGTCGACTTCGGATTCATCGCTGACTCGATCTTTTGTTTCTGACGCGGAGAAGAGTCCCTTCTCTCGCGCAACAATGGATTGAGCCACTGTCTCGAGGTCATCGCACGACCTAATCTGTCGGACCAGATCAAAAGCATCTTCTTCTTCATAGTTTAATAATGCCTGTATTAAGGTTTGCAGGGTTGTGTGCTTTGTTCGCAACGAGTCTACATCTTTCTTGAATACGCCCTTGCGGCGATGGTCGGAATTGGGATCATAAACACCTAGAAACCGCGTCAGTTTATTGATATGATCAGTCAATCAAGGTATACAAACAAGGCGTATGATAGACAGAGGAGCATGCAGCACAGCTGGGTAGGTTTCCATCGCACTAAATACATGGATAATTAGTGATATGTTCTTTTGTCTCGAGTGTACATACACTCTTTCTTGCTCTCTCAACAGCAATCATTAATTGATCATCGTGATACCTTTGACTTTCTTCTGCGACAAGCAATGCAGGCGGTGCTGACACAGCGCCTCTTGGATGCAGTGCGGTCTGCAGACATGACTCTAAATCCAGTAGTTTGATAGGCGTCGGGATTTGAAGTGGTTTCTTTCTCCGCGGAATGAGGGCCCCCACGGCTCAGCTTCGTGGCCACCGTTCAATGGTCCAATAGTGTAAAGGATCAGTACATGATGTGTCCATCGTCCAGACAACACGGAACATATGACAAATGCGGTGGTTTGCACAGCAGTAGCACGCAACGGGAGGGTTACGAGCTCTGCCCGAAGCAGGTCAATGCTATCGGGCCAGGATGATCGGGCGGCGACTCGGACGTAGCGAGATCGGTCTTACAGTTGCGGATCACTTGGCCCTACTGGAGTATGTATACAAGGTGCCGCAAACAATCCGGATGTGAATTCCTTGACCCCGCGGTACGACCCACTATTGAAAGAAAGCGGGGGTAGTTGAAGAGGCGAAACAAAAATGTAAAGTTCAACACCCGATAGATTTGGCTTGAGATAGGGAATTTGAGATAGGTTTCCAATGATTGGACGCATGTACGCGTTTGAAGCAGGGTTATCGTTGGCCTCTGGATGGCTCATTTCTCTCACGCTTTTGCCATGGGGGTGGTGATAAGAGATGCTGATTAATCATATACGATAAGGTCACGTGTGTTTAATTGGTGCCACACGTGACCTTTCTTGATCAGTTGGCGGTTAAATGATTAGTAATGATATTTCTATTTCTAGAGTCACTTTCGAGGCTGTGCTGTTTCAGGAAAGAAAGAGAAGGCTGCCTTGATGCGGACATGATATATAATCAGACCCAAAGCTGAAAAAAAGAAACAGTTTCAGATATGATTGATCCTATTCCAATTATCCCAGAATGGCTGGGCACATAATCATCGATGCATCAATGAGTCAATGACTCCTGCCGCGCTGACCGCCGCCTACAAAGAAAAACAAAACAAAATCCACAATAAGAACAATTCTCTCAATTCAAAACAAATAAACGAGAAAAAAAACAAACGGAGTGAGTAGTAAAAATAATAATAATAATAATAATAATAATAAAAACAAATAATAAAAAACCAAGCCCAATGTAAAATACCAACGCATTCAGGCATTCACCGCAACTATCTCGCTTAGGTCGATCCACCATCTTCTCTTGGTCTTCAACTGATAGGGACTGCAGCCACCCGTGGTAAATCCGATCGGGGGCCGCCGGCCTTAATCTTCTCTACTCCGGAGGTACATTAGGTACATCCAGTACATGTAGTTAACTAGTCTTGTGCCTAGATGAGTCTTCAACTCTATGTATATGTAAGCATGTAAGAATGCTTTATACTGGATGTTCGTGATGAATGAAACATTGAATTATCTCAGATACGAACTTGAAATTATTCATGATACCCGTGGACTCTCTCGTAGATGAGGTTTTTATTATGTTATTTTTCAACAATTTGTCTAAAATCTCTGACAAACTAAACCAGGACGGGTCACCCCCTTTTCCTTGGGCGGTGATGAATAATTGCGATGGCTGAGAACGGCATCTCCATCCACATCTGCAGGCACCACACTAAACACAACCTTAAAACCCCGGTGGATTTAGGGAATTAGGGTTACTATCTCTGTTCAATAGAACCTCATTCCGTTCATTCCGGCCATCAACACATGTGCAAGTCAATATGCTTGAATCCAAAAAGGATTATTATATTCAATCCAATCCTTGTTTCCTTTAAATTTAATCTATCAAATCCTATGGATAGGTCAGCAACCGGGGGGGCTTCGGATCCCAGGGCTTCGATGGGTCCACCGGGCGAACATTCCACGCTCACATTTACGGAGTACTTAATTACGGGACTGTAATTAAAACCATCAGAAGGAACGGTTACAATTACTAAAAATCATCTGGGATTACCGGAACCCCGGCATGTTGTTGTTCCCCGCGTCCAATAAAGAATCACTAAAATCTCATTTTATGCTTCCTTTCCCCCACTGGATCCATTTCTTACACCGTCACACGCGTACCTGCCCAATACACTCTTATCTGTTGAAGTCACCACTCCAAACCCTTTATCTTCCTGATAACCCTCTATCTGCCCTTCTTCGTTCCCTTACTTCCTACTTTACAAGTCATATCCTTCTCCCTCTTCCTTGTAACCGCTTTCTCTCTCGCGGATATACTTCTCTTCTCACCTGCAAGTCGATGGTGAGAGATTCAATAGTCACCATTCTACTCTTCAATGTATCTCGCCCAAACACTCGACCAGAGTGCCTCATCAGGCCCATAAAGCCTCCGCTTGAACTTGAAATACTCACCTGGCATAAACATTCATGATGATGGTCCCAAGAGCCTTTCTCTTTACCTCGATACCATCACAGAACACAATGCAGTCCTTCGGGCAAAAGGAACAGCCAGCGGGCACTCCGGTGTATAGGCCCGGCTTCCAAGCCCTACATGATACGAAGCCATATAAGTCGACCAATACTACCCCTGTGGGCATTCCTTCAAAACGAATCCCACGTACTCCAGTGCGGCGAGAACCCCGTTCCCGGACCCCATCCAAATCCAAAGCCTCATCGCCATCACGTCGGTCTTCTTCTGCCTCCTCAAATGAGCGCCAAATTCCAACAGCGGTGGCCTCGATCCTGGATGCAACAGCGATTCCAGTACCACGGCGAACTTGGTCTACTCGACGGCCGCGCAAACTTCCCCGGGGTAACAATGTGGAGGAGTTTAGCCGGTTGATGCAGGAGGGAGTTAAACCGAAGGAGGATTATTTGGCAGGCGGAACGGGAAACTCTCCATTGGATATCCTGCTGAGTCCACCGGACTATAGCGAAAAGTATCTGGACTCCGAATCCGAACCCCCGTGCTCTGCTAGATCCATATCAAGTGATTCTATGCCATCACTGGCCCACGATCTCGCATCGCCATCGAGCATTTCTCAGCCTCCTACGCCTGGAAGTCAGAAGAGTCCATCCGAGAGACGACAGCTCCGTTATTCTCCAGCTACCGACTGTGTATTTGACCATCCTCTTCTCGAAAAAGAGATTGAGGAAGGCGAGTTCATTGACTTCAAGACACACGATGAGCCAGAAATACCTGATGTGACCCCCGTGAAACGATCTGCCTCGTCTCGATCCTTCCCGCGCCTGCGATCTTCCTTCAAGTCAAACCTGACCGCATCCTTGCGCGCCATCAAATCGGCAGCGCAGTCTGTTTCCACCTTTGCGACCCCATCAGTTCAACCAGAAGATTTCCTCACTCGATCTCTCTTCGCCATCACACCTGAGCTGACTGATGATCGTCGTCCTCCACCAATGCAGAATCCGCCCTCCCCAGCACTACGGCGGTATCTGAACCCAACCCCGATCTCTCCAGCCGAGATGTACGTCTATCATGATCATCCACATGACACCCGCGAATCAACGCAGGCTTGTGTGTCGATTCAAATGCAGACCTACCGTCGTTCTCGCGGTCGGGGCCACCGACGCAATCATTTCCATGTGGTACCTAAGCAGAATCGTGACCAGTACTACACATTTGATCCAGAGGTGCCACCTATGTCACGCCAGCGTGAACCCCGAGAGAATAGCGATTTTCTCCGCATGGTCGTTCTAGAGATGAACATGCGACGCAGCGGCAAGCTTCGTGAAGATATCCCCACCCGGGCTCGCATCTGGCTGCCCGCTCGCAACAGCAGTCCTTATCGCCTGTCTGGAGATTATGAAGACTGCGACGACAACAATACTATTCCATCTCGCTGGGTCGGAGTCTCAGCATAAACCAACCTCTACATGAATTGACCAACGCAGAGCGCGCTATCATTTTCATCAAGTACATATACACCATCTTTTTCTTTCTTATATACATAAGCGCGGCGTTGTTGGCTAGGACCTTCGGATACATGTGTCTGGACAGACACTTTGTTTGGTTTTCTTTTCTTTTTCTCACATACCCCTTTCTCGCATGATAGCCTAGCTCACATTTCTCTGTGTCTTAAACACCCAACCTTGGAATTCTTTAAACCTCCTTTCATCTTTCATACCGATTTGAAACAATAATAATCTGACTCGTCATAATAAATTACCGGTCAGACCATCGTAAAGTCGAAAGTTGAGACTAGTTCAGTCTAATCGGCTTAATTGGCCGCATCGTGATATCATCCCGCAGCCATGAGATCATCTCGCCTGCCTTTGTCCCCGAGTTCATTTCCCCATTGTCATGTGGTCTGTTCGCCTATTGAAATGACCTAGTCTATCGTGTCGATCTGGGGTTGGATGACGCTGTCAAATCATTCGAGTCCGATAACTCAATATGCATGATCCCCTTTTAGGGTTCGGGTCATTCAACGCGCATAGCGCTGCACTGCACTACGTGTCTCCGAGGCTTTGGCTGAGTGCTGCAGCTGAGAAATTCTGATATGATATATCCCAATCTATATGTTTAAAATGTGACAGTTGATATGAGTCATGGCTAGTAGCCCTGGAGATTATAGCTATCATTTGATATTTCTTTTTGGATGTCTGAGATTCACCTGCGGCGGGGAGGCCTGCCAACTGGTTTCCGTAAGATTGACCATCCCCAGCCACCTGGGCATGAACATCTACTGCCAGTGGCACTTAGTGTACTGTACCTCTAACACTTCAAGCTTGAACTCTAATGAGTTTAGAAATACGCTTAATTGGAGGATATCTGATCAATACACTCAATCATAATTCAATTTTTGACAATAATAAGGGCAACAGCCTGAGTGAGATGGCTGAAGACTTGACATCATCCAAGTCGTACTTCAAGCTAGTCAGAATAAACATTCAAGTTTGAAGCAGTTGTCACATCCCACCTAGGTAGTACTTAAAAGAAACCTCTTACATAATACCAGTTGACCTCCTAGGGTCTTGATCTGAGTAATGAATGGATGGGTACATAGTAGACATTATTTTTTATACATGCAGCATTCAAGTTGATCATGAACTCTCATATCTCCATATCCAGTCCACGTCTGCAAGTTTCAACCCATAGTACTGATTCATGCCAGTGTACAGTGATATTTTGCACTGAACTATAAGAAATTTTGTGGCATGGGGGTTATCTTCCCGGGAATGGAAAACATTCAATTCAGGGAATCCTTTTTCTCCGCCCTGACTTGCATGTCTGTCCTGTGGGCGTACAATATAGCCTTGCTGCACAGGAAATATCATGCTTAACTTGAACTTGAACATTGTTTTCCAAATCGCGTAAAGAGCGCTTTCATGCCCAGCCCTAGACATATGGGAAATTTCTTCCGATATGGCTCTGATATACAGATAGTACTGTTGTATACATTGATGGATTGATTAGTGATTCGAAACTCTCAACTCTGAAACATTTCAAATGTTAGTGAAACCGGTATTTTGTAGTATGAGAAATCAACTTGAATCATGCCCTCCAACCTTGGCTATGAAGAAAATTCCAAGTCATTCAGTCTTACATACAACTGTCCAACCCTCATATGATTTGCCAACCAGGAGGGGACGAAGCTCGCTTCGATATCAGAGTGACAACCGCCAAGTGCGTAGTAGTGGCCGTAGATTGGTATCCAGAGTAACCCATTTAGCAGAACCACAGCTGGTGGTCCTTGTGATGCACGTTTGTGCGAAATGGGATTCAGGCAGTCAAAGTCCACAAGCCACGAGGAGTGCTTCTTGGTGGCATCTTTGCGAACGACATGAAATCATTGTTAGATAGAGGAATACCATATGTTTTCAGGGCTGAGGCGGTGTTCCGTTTGACGCTGGGCTAGTAGGGAAGTAGGTCGTACTCAGCGGACATCTCTAGGCGACTACGAGCCTTCTTGTTGTTACTCAATGGCTCGGGGTTCGAAGCTCTATTTCTTCGCAGTAGATCATGGCTAGGCCATACCACTCCATATAGTGCTTGGCAGACCGTAAAGCCCGTATTTCGAAAGAGACATTCTTGTGACGCGGTCCGTGATTTTGACGACGCTGTTGCTTTCGTTGTCCACAATTTCGTCGTTGTTGTCTCCGTCGAACTGTAAGCCAGCTTCAGTCTTAGCAGCCCTGACAACAGATATATTGATTACCTACCATCAACATACCTTTGATTCTTCCTCTTGTCCTAACTTCAATCTACCTGGTATAGCCTGAGTGACCTAGTACCTAGGTATCATTACTATGATCTTGACTAGTCACCCAGAACGAATATTTAAAGCAGGAAGATAAATCCCATTGAACTACGAGTCACTGGCAGCTTCAATCTCAGCGGCGTCAGTATTCAGGTGGCGTCAACTGGTCGTTACCAACATGACTAAAAACAGCCCAGGAGGTACATTGATCACCTACTATCTACCATACCTTCGATTCTTCCTCTTCCATACACCCTACCTTCAAGCCCGATTCTTCCTCTCCCATCTACTATACTTTGATACTTCCTCTTTCACATCTCCAACCTATCTTATACAATTTGATACCACACGTACATCATTACGATCTTGCCTGGACACCCAAAACGAATATTCAAAGAGAAAGTACATTGATTACCTCCAGGGCTACCATCTACCATAAATTCGCTTCTTCCTCATTCCACTTTTAAGCTGCCTGATATTGAATGTTATTGATCACCTGACATCTACTATAATTTCTCTTCTTCCTCATTGCACACTTTCACACTTTTACATCTTCACACTACCGGATATTGATCACCTATCATCTACCACACCTTCGCCTCTTCCTTATTCTACTCTTCACACTTTCAACCTACCTGATACCCTGATAGCCTGCAAAATGACTGACAATCAAGCGCCGCTCGATGTCCCAATTCTGAAAATGCAGTCAGTCAACTCCTCGGAGATACTGAATACTCCAACAGGTGCAGAAGTGACACCCACAATTAAAACAGCCTGTACAACAGCCTTAGGAATACTGCCGGTTTTCTCACCAAGTGATAGCATCTCGGTCCCAACAACGGAAAACCTGCCCTTAGGCAGGGAGGAGGGCGTTGATATAATGTATCGCCTGCTCAGCCCGGAGATTAGCAAGTTCGTGGAACTTGCCGGGGATATTCAAAAACTCAAAGGCGAGATCTCGAGACACACGATCGATAAAGGGTGGCCCCTTGGCAGGATCATTTGAATACATAAACTCCAGAAAGCAGTTATGAAGAGAGTTCCAAGCATGGTCCCCGCAGATTTCGAGGCGATTCATGTTACTGCAGGATTTGATGAGGAGCTCGCAAAATTTATCAGCGAAGTTTAGGCCAAATGGGTGTTTGCGCATTCTTTCATCCCGGTTTTTATTTTGATTTGATCTCATTTCATTCGTACTAAATTGTATTGCAATGACCATTTTTGACCCTTGCAAGCACAAATTTTGACTTTCTTATTCTATCAGCTCTGATCTTCAAGCTCTTTGCTTCTCTTGATATCATTTATCCCATGATTTAAACTGCCTTCTATCTAAACAAAATGATACTCAATGTGCGTGAATTTATTTTTTGCTCAAATGAAACTTCGTTCCCATTGATAGGCCTGGATGAGTTGAGCACATGCATGTCTTCAAGTTGAAGAAAGATTATTTTCTAAATCCAAATCAGCACCGAGCTACTCCAGGGCTGTAACATTTAAACGGTATCCTTTCCGACTCGGCCTGTCTCCGAAGAAGACCGGAGAACTCCCCACACGTCTCCCAGCCCTGTAATTAGATCGGCCAATTACCCAATCATTGCTACCTAGGTAAACTTAGAGACGCGGCGCCTTGGAATTGCTAGACTGCCTTGGGTTAATAATATGCCACTGGTCCTAGTTCAATGCGGGGAGTCATATATAGCTAGCTATAAAACTCGGGGTTTGACCGGGTTTCAAGTTCCCCACCTCGAGAGTTCCAAGATACATTAATTTTCAAGTTTGTCCAAATTCGTGTTATACCTTGAAAACCGAGCTGCCAGAGTGATTTGATTTTTGATATGACATCTGAAAAGCCTATTATCCTCCATCTTGGAGACCCAATCGAGTTTAACAAGGATTTGTACGCCGAGATAGCTGAGCAATTTACTATCATCCGCCCTTCCCTCGAAGAACGACAACGCGATGCATTCCTGACAGCACTAAGAGAGAAGAAATGGGGTAACTTCCAGGCTATCATTCGTCCATTTTGGAATACCGGAGGTGAAATGGGTCGGTGGGATGCCGAGTTGATTCCTTTGTTGCCGCCATCACTAAAAGTGTATGGTAGTGCTGGTGCGGGCTATGACTGGATGGATGTCGATATCTTGGCTGAATATGGTGAGCATCATACTGAAATCAAATGCTTTATGAATTTTGATAAAGATACTCAACTTGAGTCAAATAGGAATCGTTTATTGTAACGGCGCCCAAGCATCAAGTGAAGCAGTAGCTGATATGGTAAAGTGTCATTCGAACCCAGCTCAGGCTACTGCTGTTCCTTAGCTGATTTCTTTTCCAGGCAATATTTCATATTATCTCTGTTTTTCGAAACATGCAATGGTCCATGGACGGTGCTCGTTCTGGCGATCCGAATCTTTGGTTAGAGGCACATCAAAACACAGCGGCTACTGCGCACAATCCACGAACTCAGATATTGGGTATCATTGGGCTTGGGAATATTGGATAGTAAGTGCCGATTGAAGAATCTCAAGAGTGATTCTCACGAAAACAGTACCATTGCTCGTAAGGCATACGCCTGCTTCGGCATGAAAATCTACTACCAGGATCTTTACCGCAAGTCCGCCGAGCAAGAACAAGCCGTTGGAGCCTCCTTCTGTGAAACGCTGGATGAGCTGCTGGCTGTGGCAGATTGCATTGTTCTAGCCACACCATTTGGTGGATCCAAACTCATCACCAAGGAGGTCCTGGCTAAGTTTAAAAGGGGCGCTAAATTTATCAACATCGCGAGAGGAAAACTGGTTGATGAGGTGGCCTTGGTTGATGCCTTGAAGTCTGGTCATTTATCTGCTGCTAGCTTGGATGTCCATGAGAATGAGCCCCATGTAAATGAGGATCTCAGAAATATGCGAAACGTAACGTAAGTCATCGGCACTTGGATTCGACGAGAAAATATTAACTGACAAGGATGATTATACTGTAGACTCACAGCACATAATACAGCTGGAGGGGCCGCGGAGACACAGATTGGGTTTGAGCGATTGGCCATGGAGAATGTTCAGTGTGTGTTGACCGGCCAGGAGCCTCTCACACCGGTCAATAAGCATCTTATTAAATGAATGTAGATCTTGAATAGAACTTGGGTCTAAGAATTGAAACAATCAATTGACATAGGTGATTATTGTCATGAGCCAGAACTAAGAACTTCAAGTTGGAAATTTTTTAAATCACTGGGCATGTGGTTATTGTTATTGTATGAGCCCAAATATTTTTTCAAACAACCAGGGACCTCTGGTGGTTATTGCTATAGGACTAGTAGTAGTAGGGCTGAGAACATTATTTTTCAAGCGACGTTGGTGGTTATTGCCATGAGAGCTTGGGACCGATAACTCGAATATTTTTCGACGAACGTTGGTGGTTATTTCCACCAGCTCAGAACTCAGAATATTTTTTGACCAGCGAGGGTGATTATTGCCATAAGCCTAGACCTTAAATTATTATTTTTCCAAACCACAAGGATTTTTATAGCCACGAGCCCACTAGTAGGACCAAAAATATTCTACAACATGATTATTGCTAACTTACTACTACCATCGAATGCCTGGAAAAAAATGGCGGCGGTAACGGCTCCAAGCGTCTACATGGTATTCCCCTTGCCCTAGTATCTGGTATTTACTTACGGCTCCAACCTGGCATTTAAATAGTTCGCTATGTTCAGTATTGGTCCTGCATATTGTCTTTCTCTTTTTATTGGGTCAAATGGATTGCATTTGTGTGCAAAGAGCCTAGAATCGAACCTTCACGCAAGTTGAAGATGGCCAACAAGCGACCGACCGTGTTATCAAGTTTTGATGTATCAATCTAGAATTTCTGTACATATTGATTTCAAATGTTATATCTCGATCTGAGGATGATCCGGAAAAGCAGTAAAGTAAGCACTCTCAATCTCACGACCCACACCAGCAACTCCCTCAAAGATATTATCCTGTTTGAGAATAGTACCCAAAGACTCCACACCATGACGAAGTTCCTCAATGAGACGCTCAGCATCAGAGATCTCAGTTCCCGGATCTGGCTTATTGAGTAAATGATAACAAGTATCCAAATGACCAGATTCAAGACACGAGCGCACCTTATGACAGATCATAAGCATAACATAACTGCCTTGCATAGCACTGCAGACTAGAAAAGGGACTGTTCGAGGAGTTCTGCTGATGCAACAGGCAGACCGTACCATAACCCTTCTATTCAAGGATCCCCTTTTACATGTATCTGGACCACAGGCGTGGGGATACGGCAAGCTGCGAAATGCATTCGCGATCACAAGAGCGGCCTTCAAGCATATATTCGTTGAATCTTCCTCTGTGAATGGGAAAGTAGATTGCCAGTGTGTGACGGATGCAGAAGAAGGATGAGCAAACCCGTGTGTGTTGATCGATATGAGATCGCAGTATCTATCCAGGAATAATGGGATATCCATGAAAGCTCTGAAGCGGTGAAGTCGGATTCGAGCCCTGTGACTAGTTAGTATTCAGGTTTACCATAAGTGTCGTGTCAAAGAAATAGGAGACTCACGTATGTATCATGATGCGGCTGATGCGCCACAAGTTTTGTGCTGCAATCGATTCCCCTTCTTCGAAATCATAAATCTCTCGTAGACTTTGATCTGATTCAATCAAGAGAGACAGGATTTGATTATCGAGGTGTTTAATATCATTGCCTAAATCAGATGACAGTGGCGTATCCGCAACACGCTCTATTGTTTGAACCATTGAATGGGCGGCGTAGAGAAGGGTTTGTGCGCGGAGGGTAAAAGACCAAGGCTTTGCAGAAGTCAGTGCATTGTTCAACAGGAGGGGTTCAATGGGCTATACCTCCAGTCCCACTCCAAATTTTGGGAATGGAGTTGTAATCCTGGGATCGTCGGAAGCAATGATCGGGGGCTAATTCCAGAGTGAGTCATTTCGATACGCACAAAAGATCAAGGGAATTCATACCGTAAGGTGAAGATTAGATGATATATGAGCTATGAACATCTTTGAATATCGTTAGTTTCATAGCGTAAGCTTGCTTAGCGAAAATACTTACAATCATCCACCATGCCCGCCGTTGGGCCTCGGAGAATTCTGTCGTTGTCGAGCCAAGGTTATGAAGAGAGATATCCATTGCTGTAGTAATGGCATTATTAATGCGAGCGCGCATTCGGGATACATTACCCCGTTGGCAGTACTCATAAGTTGCAAGGACCACAAGTGCCAGAATAGGATCCAATTGAAGGGGCACTTGTGGATGGAGTGGACTTTGTTCCTGAGACACACTCGCACCAATAACGTTGATACTAGATGCCGGGCTCAACTCATCCATTCCCCTTTCAGCACTTGATAAAGCTGCGTGAGCAAAAAGCTGAGCATATGATCGTCTTTGGAGTATGGACTTCTCGTGCATAGGAGTGGGATCTGAGAAAGCTGGTATGAGGACCAGAATAGCCGACAGCGCAAGACTCAGTGATGAATTTGGCCAATAAGGGAGATCAGATCGTTCGGGCTTGGTCTCTGGCTTCAATGGCAGAGTATCAGTACCGCGGTCTTCATATACCGGTGTCAAAGAAGCTGGTAGCAGAGGGAAATAAGGGTGCATGTAGATGTAATAGGCGTTGAGGCTAGCGAAGTTGTCAGCATTCATCCATGAGACTCATTCTAAGACCAGATGAGAGCCACGAACATGTCTTCTTCACAGCGATATACCCGAATAGTAAAGTCGGCCTGAGTATCAGGTGGTGGAGCAAAGCTACTATCTCCATCTGGAGTAAGCTGGCCCCACAGCTGAATAGCTTCATTTCCTTCGAACAGTGTATCTGGTGATTGATCGAGATTATTGATGCCCACGAAGGGGGTGAGTAAGCTGATAGCGTTGTCTAGAAATGGATCTGCTTAATTTCTCAGTGATTGGTTCCTTACAGTCATAGCTTTTGACTGACCAATGCTTTCTGTGGTATTTGACGATGAGACCACTGACTGAGCTCTCCTTGGAGAGGCTTCATTATTGGAGGGGCGATTTTGCAAGGTTTCGGCATATCGAGCACCTCTTCGAGCTCCACCCCGACGACTGGGCTGGTAACTACAATCTCGGCCTTTGCTGTAACACTACATACATCGGACATTGAAGTCAGATCGAAGTTGCTCCGCACATAAATGATCGACAGCTCTTACACTTTTGCATGGGTATTGCCCATCACACCGAGTCTTTGAGGAGCGACTAGAATTTCGATTAGTATGAGCTCAGTATGGGAAAAGATAAATGTAGCTGACCATGCAAGGCACGCAGCTTTGACGGGTGGTTTGGGTGCGCGCGGCATTTGGAATTGGAGCTGATGACAGCTGTGGGTCCAGAGTCTTGAGCAACAATGTCAGACGAAGCCACCGAATTAGATACGTGGTTCTATGGTTATACCCGTCAGGGATGGTCTGCCACTGGGATAAATGACAAGACGCGCAGAAGGGGTCACTGACAGATGTCGTGTCTGTAAGTGGTGCTCGGCGATTGAACAAGGGAGTCAAATGCCGAATCCAACGCCAATCATGGAAGTTCGTCTGGATCCACTCCATCAGGCAGTCAACTGGTGTATAACTACAAACACCCAAAGGACAAACCAGTCCTCAGATTCACTACTAGGCTCTTGCTAATTTTTATTATTCTTGCGCGACCGATAAACATAAAAATCAATTTGGTCTAGGTATATGATAAATTGTATATACAGCTATACAGTATTTACATGTATGCATTTCAAGATCAACTTGAATTGATGCAGGTCTATTCATCGTATGTGCATGATTCCTGCAGGCCATTTCGCACTCAAATTAGAGAGACATGTGGACATGATACGGCCGGTATTGAGCTGTAAGTACTTAAATGGCGTTGCTGGCACATGTCCAGCTGTTACTGTCTGAGCTATCGTGAATTGACTTGCCCGAGACATACAGACCCAGTCCGCACTACTTCAGTCAGCGAGATATTCCAACCTGGGACAGGATAGTGAGCATAACTTACAATAGCACAGGCAATCCCCAAAATAAGGAAGTTAACAATTGTTAAAAGGATCTTCTTGGGCGAGGACCACCATTCTCCCTTGTTCATGAGCAGCCAGAAGATGGCAGGCAGACCGTCTTTTAACAGTTAGTACCATTTGCCCACTCATTATGATTGAATTATCAACTTACAGCTGAACCAACTTCCGAAGAGAGCACTCTGAATAAAGAAAAACTCAAAGTTAGTAATGTTCAAGTTTAGGTTTCATAGAGGGTCATACAATCAAACTCAGCAGGTCGTTGAAAACAGGAATAGACTCTGCGATAATCCAGGCAATAGTCCAGGTACTAAGGCAAATAGCAACCCAAGTACCCGTGGCCAGGAAACTCCTCTGATGCATGTGGTGCGATCGCTCGCCACGGAAGATTCGAACATAGATATATTTGCATGCCACATGGCCAAAGACCACACCAGCAACGATGACCTGTGAAAGTTAGCAATCAATATTTGAATATTGGAATGAAAAACAGGGTGGAATTACCGTTGGGATGGCCAAACCATAGACAACTCTTTTCATCAGAGGTCCGGCAGAGGAGAGAGCAGGAGATTCCACATCTGGTCCTGCATACACATATATGACCATTGCCGACACAACGTACATGGTGGTATCAACAACTTGAAGCATAGCCAAGGACTTAGGAAACTGCCGTGGGTCCTCCATCTCAGAAATGATACCGAAGAAAGACACATGGGCGATGAAAGCGAAAACGATGTTGGTCACGGCGAGGAAAGCGTCGGAAAAGGTGGGCGAGGTGGTGACATCGTTCACGACGTGCTCTGGGGCTTGAACTGCAACTGAAACCATGGTGACAATAGTAGCGATCAGAATACTGATGGCGGAGATAGTGGACATCATGAACACCTTTCCGGATGTTCGGGGAAGGGAAGCGATAGAGCACGCGACCAGACCCACGACTCCAAAGACGATGGTGCAGGTGCCGTGGTTGGTGATAGTGTTAAATGTGACAGTAAATGTAAGGATGTGGCTAGCCATCAAGAAGATAATAAACAAGAGCTGACCGACGTAGCAAATCTCTCGACCAATTGGGCCGAGGAGAAGCTCGCCAGCATCTCCCATACTATGCACATGGGGGTAGCGCAACTTGAATTGACCACATACATAGCCTGTATACCATGAGATGCCAGACAAGCCAAGAATGATGAGAAGGGCACTAATATCGTCAGTCTTCCACCATATGCCATATTACACACAAGGTTAACAGTTCTTACGGGACAATGCCGAGAGTTGCCACGGCTGAAGGAAGAGACATGATTCCAAGTGAGATATTTTCCGCGACCATCACTGACAATTGAGTTAGACGAGGACTGAGTGAATTATTGTGAGAAGGAATAGCTTCTTACACATTCCAGCTTGCCTGTATGATGGTTAGAATCTGTTATATCTCAATGACACCACGTCTGTATGGAGTGGAATACTCACCACCACTTCATAACACGATACTTCACTTCCCCAGATTCTTCATTTCCAAACGGATCAATCTCTCCGAGATCAGGCTTCTCGGGGTACTTCTCAGCTTCTGACGAGTCATTGTATACCTCCATCTCTGGCGGGCTGTTGTGAGCTACCTCCGACGCAGTCATGATTGATATAGATGGATGGACGCGAAAAGAGACAGATTCACAAGAGAAACAAAAGAGCAAATGTCAAAAGTCGCGCGACATAGGCAACCCGCAATGAACAGATTATTGACCCAATTTTTTTTTCCCTTGGCGTGTGGCGATGGGCATTGTTAGGGTACGAATAGGGTATAAGTTTGATACAATGGTTTTTCAAAAATGTGGGGGTTTGATTCCGTTCTTTTGGATCTCCGGTGAGTGATACAGTGTGGAGAAATTAAAAGCTACGAATAAGATTAACAATTTGTCTCAAGTATGGAGTAAAGATAGGTGATTTCGTTGGATATGGTTTTTGCATTCTCCTGTGGACCCTTTTGCAGCATGTAGTAAGTGCTCCGAGTGGACTGATTCCCGCTTAGATAACCATGTAAGATACTGGAAATCAACCATCTCGGGGATCCACCGAATATCTCAAAGAAGAAGTTAAATTCCGTGCCGATGAATCAAAATTATCCAAAATTAAGAGCCCCAGCCGAATTTCACTCCGGCCCGGTTTGCTCTCGCCGGCCCGGTTTTTGAACCCCCCTGGGCCCCTCCATTTGGCCCATTAATGATAAGATTATTAGCTAATGGAATGTGTTTACTGACATTTTCATTATGTCAAAGTTGATTGAAATCCGGGGATTCTATCTCTCGGAATGGGGGGGGAATTCTAGAAGCCAAGATAAAGGCCATATCCATGGTTTATAAGGTCAGAACTGGTGAAAATTTCATATAGAACCCCAGTTTCGGTTATTGCCGGGGCATACGACTAAATAAGGATAATAGTTAAACGATTTTCATAATGGAAATCCTGGGGTTTACGATATTATCAATACTAATCAATTATGTAACAAGATATCAATCTTTAGGGATTGAATTGATAATAAGATTTCTGTAACTTTTTAACAGCTGCGACTCTAACATGCACTACGAACACCCCACATGGCAGATCAATTATAACAATTGCATTCATAATTAAATCCTTGACCACCTGAGATGATTTACAGTTGAATAGGTCATAATTTTAGCTGTGTAGCGTAATGCAATATGGTGACCAACCTTGAAGTTGAAGGTGGTTGATTAAACCGAAACGCCACATAAGCCACACAAGCCACTGTTGGAGCCACCAAATGCTGAGAGCTTTTCACAGTCACATAGCCATGAAAATTTCTAGCCGAACTTGGGAACATTGAACATATCTAGAAATATCTCTGTCCTGTGGTGTCAAGACCGTGTTCATGACTAAGTTGAATGAGCTTGTGTCAGTTTATCTGAGTAAGCTTATCTACGCTGAAGCGAAGACCCACGAGGATCGCCAGCCACAGTGGAGACTCGGACACCATTCAATGTTGGGTTAGTGTACGGTACTACCCCGATGCCTGAAGAACAACAGCATGATTTATTGAAATGAATAATTATAATAGAAATGATTTGAACCTATCTAACCTATCTCTTGTCGGTTTGAAATTGCTAGGACTTGCCGAAGGGGAATGACTTTCAAGTTACACCAGTTGATAGCGGTAATTCTTTGGAGAGTAACCGAAAACTTGAATTACTACCTAGTGTAGTGGGGTACCCTGTCCCCTACTACACGTACCGTGCTAAGAATTACCGTTTGGTTACATCTCTGTTTTGTCATGTTTTCAGTCCCGTCTTTGTACGTACAAGAATGCCCGTCGTTATAGTCTAGAATACACACTCCTACACAACGTACATGTTGGTTGGTGTTATCCATTCATGCTAGCTGGATCGACCCGTGTATCTAGAATACACTGCCTAACGGTTCCCCTCTTCACTAGGTAGTCCCTAGTGTTTACATGTATGAATCAAGACGTGGTGAGAACCTTACCAGGCATATGTTTAAATTTCCGGCTTCATCAGGGCTCTACTAGGATGAATTTGAAAGATTTTTGAAGATTGTTAATAGTGGTAGGACTAGTGCACGATTCACTCGTCGCGGTCAAAAGGCTAGAACGGTATGGAAAATCACAAACAAGCTGTCTGTCCACAAGTCTTCTTCACACCACAAGCTTCAGGTGTATCAGTACGACAGAAACATGAAGACGTGATGGGAACATCAGCTACAGCCAGCGCAATCTTTAACTGCGGCTCGATAACTCGGGCCTCCGCGACTTGACCCAACCGCAGCAAGCACTCATGGTATCCCTGCAACGCCCAAACGTTATTCAAGTGCTGTCGTGCACGAATAGCAGTATCATCGAGGCCCAAATCACATCGATAAACAGCCGCTGCCTCCTCCACATGGCCTTGCTCCAATAACAGAGCTGCATATGCATGACGAGCAGGTTGCATCCAGCTCCAGGGCTCGCTGTAGCCCAATTTATCATCCAGCTCAACTGAACGGCGAAGATGCTCAAACGCGACTTCATAGTTTCCACGACGATATTCGATCTCACCGTCCAACATAGCAGCCGCAACACCGAGAACATCCACACATTTATTCGGGAAGGCGAGTCGAGATTCAGGAATGCGGCTTGCTGCTTCTCGGTAGAGCTCACGCAACTCCTGGGCCTTGGGAACATCTCCGCTAGCGGCATATGCTACACCTTTCGCGTAGTAGGTCGCTGCTGTGGTAACACAGAAGAGTTTCTGGTCTTCAGGGAGCGGGAGCGCGATGATCTCATCCCACATTCCGAACCGAATCATTACGTGTGGGCGAACAGAGGCAAAGTTTTCAGTGAAGTCCGGCATGCCGGCTATAAGTTCTTTGGGGAGAGTAGCTTCCATGCGATCGACCGCATCAAGGGCAACCGCCTTTTGGCCTGCAAACATAGCCGCATATATCAAAGTGTGGTAATTATGCATGCGATAGGTGGTGTAAAAGTTCATGGTGCCTTCAATGCTGACAAACTTTTCATCGGCGAGCGTGGCGCGCTGGTTGGCAAGAATGGCAGCTCGATAATCACCAATCAAGACATCAAGGTGGGATGGCATATGGCTTGCATGTCCAGAATCCGGGACTAAGTTACGCAAGTGATCGGCTGGAACCAGTCCCAACTCGGGCGTGGAGGACATTTCGATCAAGTGGATATAGTAGTGCAGCACACCGGGGTGTTGGGACACATTTTTGTGTTTCAGAGCGCTCTCTAATACATTTTTGGCTTCCAGGGTGCGCGTGCCTGGGTTAGGTTCACCGGTCTGGATATTCCACAGTTTCCAGGGAGTGAGACTCATTATAGAGTCAGCGTACAAGGCCGTAACGTCGAGATCATCTCTGAATTCGCGATACACCCCCTCCATTGCGTCAGCATAGGCAAGATTCTGAGCAGCGAATTGTTCGAGACTGGCGGGCTTGTCACTCTGGAAACGAAGTTGGATCGCAGCGATGAGAGCCTTTTCAATGGGTGTTGCGGTGGTCGCCAAGGCATGTGCTTTGCGGGAGGCTTCGTAGGTGCGCTTTACGATATCCTCCAGATCAACGCCAAAGAATTCCCAAGGTTGATTGTAGTTGGGACCCGAGGAATATGCCAGACCCCAGTGTGCGATAGCACAGGATTCATCGTGGTTGATAGCATGTTGAAAACATATGGAGGCTTCTTTGTGATTGAAGCAAAATGCCCAGGTCAGGCCTCGATTGAACCATATTTGGGCCTCGGGACTATCCGTCGTCACGATTCGGCCAAAGTTGCCCAAATTATAGGGATAATCCTTTACATTGGGAGTTACAGCTTTGATAGCCATGACGAGAGAAGATCTGCGATCGGGAGATGAGAAACAGGGATTGGACACTTCAATTTGTAGTTGTGAGATTGTCGGTGAAGCGGGGTGATGGAGACCTATAAAGAGTGGGTACGGAGTACGAGATACGGAGTATGAACATTTGAAGGGTCAAGACCAGATTGATATACGAGAGTGAGAAACCTGTGTATCCTCAACGAGCCAATTATGAACCAGGGGATGAAATGGAACCTTGAGACAAATGGATCAATATTTAAATAATTCAATCAGACTGCCCAGGTGAATCAGTTTATAAGATGAGGTGAGATTCACCACTTAACCCTTTTTGGTTAGACTCGGCAATCGAATTACTATTTCGGTCTTTGAAATACTTCATTATACTCCAGGGCTATAGTCCTGGACATGCTCGAGTTATTGAATCAAGATATTAAATTGAAGATTGAAAGGCTTGCGTAAAAAGAGCAAACAAGATTAGAGCCTATCGGAAGGCACGGAAAGGAATCTTTATAGATTGAGTTATTGTGGAGTGCGAGTGCGCTGGGCCTTGGGGAACAGAGTGGAGCGCGTAAGGGATGCCGCAGATCAGATTAAATATAGAGTGTGCGCAATCGATTGCGAATCGTTTCGAGGGAAGTTGTAATCATGTCATCTCCTGTTAGTGGCTCGTCAAAGGAAACACGGCCATCTCGATTGGTCTGCTGGAAGCCTCCTATTCTTTGCTGGATTTCCTTGATCCTCTTTTCTATCTTCGAAGGTTCTGGCTTTGGTATACAATGCACTCCAGGGCTTTCATTGCGCCACGTTTCATCCATTCCGAAATGAGCGGGTTGAAAAAAGCCCCAACGAGCCTGGGGCCCAGGTGCCAGCCAAGATCGCTGGGCATTCACGTGCATTTATACTTCACGCTGAACTCGGTGAAGTCATAGCTGACCGTGTCCTTCATTCTTTTCTTGCATGGCATTAGAAGGCCAAGCCACCAAAAATGATCTGCATTTCCTTTATGCGAGCGGTAGGGCGATTTCAGATTGAACATCCACGACTGAACGTAGCTGGTGTCGGATTTCGGGTTCCATCCTGCAAGAGCGTAATACCTTCCGTAAACGGGAATCCAGTGCTGTTTGTTAAAAACAACAACCCACCAGCGGGGAGTTGGGTATACGAAACAACAGCGACACTCGTTGAAGTCTGTCCGCCAGGACTTATACTTGTAAGGGCTTTCCGGTCATGATGGCGTGGAAGACGCCATTATCAGGGCCATTATCAGGCAGGGCCACTCCAAGAGTTTCCATGTCTGGCTTCCCGTCGCGCTCAATCGCTTCCCACATGATAGCGCATCAGTCGTTCTTTTTCGCTCGACTTCCGTCTACCTTGGCCGCTTTCCCGCTTTCCCTCTGCTGAGTCTGTCGCGCTAAGCATGACCAGAGGCTCAATCGCTGTCGATTTGCAGTGGGCCGCCGCTAAGTGGTACCATTCGAGGTATATGTAATTATTGGGCCGTAGAGTCCCAAACGATCATTGTTGAATAAGAGCAGTGAGTCATCTGAGTCAGTAGCGGGTTGGCTGTAGGCAAGGCCATCCCGAAGGTTTCCATGGATGGTGGCCTATACTCTCCATGTCCAAGCTCGGTAGAGGAATGGGAGGAAAACTGATAGATGAAAGACATAACAAAAGCACCACACAACATAGAAGGTCGACAGAGACGATGGAGGATAATATACTGAAAGATGATATGGTGGCTCCAGTGAATAGAGTATTCCGAGGTGATCGATAGTAGTATGAGTCGGTAGTGCTACTAGTAGCACTTAAGTATTGTGCCAGGTGGTGAATATACCAGCTACTACTTGAGTGAATATACCAGCGGTAATACTAATAGAACAACACCCCGCAAGTATATCTAAATAGCCATAGTATTGTGAGAAACTTAGCCAAAGATATGAATCACCGGTATCTTATTTCATATCTCACCTGGTCTCTCATTTGATCTCTTATCTACTCTCAAACATTGAGGCAGAAACCAGAAATACACCAAGTGAATATGTTTGCTAGCTAAAGAAGCTTCACTGATCCAAACCCTGCCAGTGCTTCCTCAACTCATCCTCTCACCTACCTTCAGTTATTTAACGTCACCCATCTTCATTATCTTCGGCCAGTCCCATCAACATGCCTAAGCGTGACCAGAGTCCTGACTGGGCTTCGAATCCTTCCTGTGTTCCTGATATACCTGAACCCAGCAACATGCCTCAACGTGGCCGGAGTCCTCGCTGGGCTTCAAGTCCTCCCCGTGTTCCCGATTCGGCTGGTCGTAGAAGCACGCATTGGCGTGGCCGGCGTCGTTCTTCTTGGAATATATCATCTGCTCCCGATCCGACTACTCAAAGAGACTCCTTTTCGGACAGTATCAAAAATGCCTCTCTCTCTGACACGTGAGTCCAGCTTCTTAGTCCACATATACGTCAAATACTTACCATATGAACCAGGAACGAAGCTGCGCCAACAAATCCTCCCACCAATCTATCGCTTGCTCTTCTCTTGTTTGCTGTTACCTTGGTTAGTGCAAGTGATGCAAGTCTGAATCGGCTATTCATCTTTGGATTTGGTGTGTTCATTGGGGCGAACTATGATATGAGAGACCTGTTGAACCGCCTTGGACTCCCACCTACTCTTGCTTGATGGGTTTACCTTATGACTGGAGCTGAACCGGAGGAGAGGACCTGGGATCTATGCACAATTAGCTATGGTACATAATCCTGTCAATAAAATGGTCATGCTTGCGCTTTGATATCTGAATAAAATTCGTGACGTTCAAGTTGTTGACTCACATTGAATACTTGCCTATCATAACTTTTTCAGTAACCTCAAAGACTTTATAAGTCGACAGGTGGAAACTGAGATAACTTAAAAAAATAGTGAATAACTCTCAATGTTCTTTGATTCTGTTCTTATCATTTCATCAAAATTCAAGAGACATTAAATAATAGTAGTAACTAAAGCGTTCAGCTTGTCATCCTCTAAGTCTACTAGAGCCATGCGAGGGGAACTAATATACAAGAGAAATAACGAAAAGCGACAGGCCGAACAAAAGACCGACGGAGACAGCAGAAGATGCAGCTCCGTTGTAGACAGGAACGGAAGCGGTACTACTAGTACTCGTCACCGGGCCAGAAGGAGAAGCAGACGCGGAAGGACCTCTATGGTAAGGAATGGAGGAGCTTGTAGAAAAGCCAGAAGCACTGGGCTTGATAGGGTATCCACCGTGGGGAACTGAAGTACCGATGGCACCAACCCCTGCTCCACCGGTAGGAGCCCCAGTATTGATGACAGTTAGGACTTCCTCGATAGCTGGGGATCCAGTGGGAGTTGCAAGTACAGTGGATGGAATGATCTCGCTGCCGGTTGGATACTCGGATCCGGGACCAGTCGATCCAGAGCCAGATCCGGTAGAGCCAGATCCAGTAGAGCCGGAGCCAGTAGAGCCGGAGCCAGTCGATCCAGAACCAGTTGATCCAGAACCAGTTGATCCAGAACCAGTTGATCCAGAACCAGTTGATCCAGAACCAGTTGATCCAGAACCAGTTGATCCAGAACCAGTTGATCCAGAACCAGTTGATCCAGAGCCAGAGCCAGAGCCAGAGCCCGAGCCCGAGCCAGTAGTGGCAGCCCCAGTAGATCCAACACCGGTGTATGAGGCAGCACCGGCGCTTGTGGTCTGGGTAGCCTCAGCAGCAGTGATCGGGCAGATAGTAGTATAATCGACAATAGTCTCTGTAGTAACATAGGTTGACTTCTCAGAGGCAGGGCAATCCTTGACGGACGAGGGGCAGGCAGTGATAGTTGAAGTGCGAGTAGTGAAAACAGTGGAAGTTGTCAACTCCTCGGTAGAGCCATTGCCGTTGCCGTTGCCTCCACCGTGACCTGGCTGGGAGCCGGCAGACACAGCACCGGTAGGTTCGGCAGCAGCAGTGATGGGGCAGATTGTAGTTCCCACAACGACGGTCTCGGTAGTGAGATAAGTCGTGCGGTCGCGGACTGGGCAGTTCGTCACAGTCTCGGGGCACGCAGTGATGGTGCTAGTACGAGTGGACAGAATAGTTGAAGTAGTAACTTGGGGAGGCGGCACGCCTGTAACGCCAGCACCGGGTTGACTTCCAGAACCAGGCTGAGAGCCATGACCAGGCTGAGAACCGTGACCGGGCTCAGATCCATGTCCAGGCTGAGAACCATGACCGGGCTCAGAACCATGACCGGGCTCAGAACCATGACCGGGCTCAGAACCATGACCGGGCTCAGAACCATGACCGGGCTTAGAGCCGTGTCCAGGTTCAGAACCACTACCGGGCTTAGAGCCGGAGCCACCATGGGGACCAGAAGGCTCGGAACCATGATCAGGCTTAGACCCATGTCCAGAGTGAGGACCGGAACCAGGAACTCCAGAGCTCGAAGGACGGGAAGGAATAACAGTTGAAGAGATAGGACGACGGCTCCAAGGTGCTGAAGAGATAGGCACAGGAGCTGTAGGACGGCCAGAAGGAGTCACCTTAGCAGAAGACGAGGGAACAGGAGTACTCTTGGCTGAACAGGACTTCAAAGGACGGGCTGAGCTAGCAACAGGGCTTGCGGAAGAGACCACTGGCTTGCTAGAGTTCACAGTTGGAGGTGTACTGGCGGCCGCAGGCTTGGAAGAGCTCGGGCTGACAATAATAGAGCTCGCAGGCATTGAGCTAGGAATCGCAGTTGAAGAGACAATAGCCGAGGAACTAGCAACCTTGGAGGGCGTAGCAGTGGGGGTAGCAATGGAAGTAGGAGTGCTAGTTGTGCAAACCGACACAGTGTTCAGAGCTTGTACATTATCCAGAGAAAACGAGTTGAACTCAGAAAGATCACAGTAAAAGGCAATGAAGATATCTGCGGTATCCGAAGAAGGCTGCCATGAGCGGGTGAAGGTTGTCCAGGAGGGGCTCTGGGCCGAATAGATTACTGAGTAGCTGTCGATCCAATTGCTGTAGGTATTCTCTGCGAAGGCAATGAAACATTCGTGGAAGGGGGCATCGGGCAGATTCTGATATCCGGTTAGGATTGTGAACTTGTAGTCGACCGATAGGGTGTATGTCTGGTCAACGTCCAGATCTGTGAGCTGTTGGTAAAGATAGTTCCAGCCTCCTTCAACGCCTAGATCCTTGCTATAAGGTTGATTGTTAGTATTGAATTGTTGCATGCAGATACTACAAGGTAGTAGATCTGAGTCCCAACCTCAGGATAGATATATGGATTTCTTACAAATAGTAACTTCCATCCGAGGCGTCTCCTGTCGTGACTTCCCAATCACCTTCAACGTCGTAATTCCAGTCGAGCATATCCCCATCCTCGAATGATGGGTTTTGAAACAGATTCACTTCCTCGGTCGTGCAAGTAACCGTGCTACTACTGCTTCCTACACCGTCGCCGGATTGAGCATATGCAGAAGTAAATAGCGAAGCTGACAACAGAGCTGTTCGTAGCAGCCGATTGCGGCTAGTTGAAGGGGTCATCTTGATGGATGGATAAATGTAAATAGCGAGTGTGTTATTGGATCAAGAATCAAAAGAGTGATATTCAAGATCAAAAAGAAATGAGGCACAAAACAACGATTGGGAGCAAAAAGAATGAACGAGTGACAATTTGCTCCAATATCTAGCCCTACTCAATATGATGGGGTTACAGGGGGAACTACTACTATATACCCCAGAAGTCTTAACAAAGGTACCAAATGCAGGAACAGAAAAAAGACCCTGATTAAGCGGCTAATTTCACCACGAGGTAAGCCATTTCTCGAACCGATAGCCATGTTCTACAATCCGAAGTGCCAAAAATCAGGTTTCTATGCATAAAAGAAGGCTAGACCCATGTAAGCGTGGAAGGTCGGATAAAAACTCCATTCCAGTGGGTAAATCAAATAAAGACGATCGGCTTGACCGATTGTGTGACACTTTGCAGCCTGACTCGACAAAGATCCATATCGCCAGATTTTACTAGAACAGGGATCTTGTGGGGACAGAGTAAAGTAGCTTCGAGCTAAAATTAACCAAATTTGACTCTCTGTTCCTGAATGTGATAGCGTCATAAAAGACCCGGCTTCAATCGATTCCTATTGATTGGAAAATACGCCGGGAGGCGGACACTAAAAGACGCCACTTTCACTAGTGGGAATATGTGGATTATGAGGTTGATCTTGCGGGAGTCATGCGAAGCGATGGTGGCGTTGAAATTGACAAATAATAATCTGACTTATAACGGGGTAAGACGCATTGTGTTGGTTGAATTGTAAATTGCATAGCATAGCCCTGGTAGTGTAAGCGAGAATAGAGATGGTGGAAATTTGCCAAGTGAAGAATTGAGACACTCTTTACTGCTGTTAGAATATCTTAGGAGAGTTGCCAATGGGATCTACGTATTAGTCTCTTACAGACTCGGAGCATTATACGAGAGCATTTATACTATGAGCTTAGTAAAATAGTATGAACTACGATGACCTTACAATGAACCAATTGATACGGAAGCAAAGAACTTGAGATGCAAATGGTATCGCGAATCTACGAAATAATCCACGCTCACAAAGCATGCCAATCCCAAGAGACTATTCGTATCAGCAAAGGGGTATCAGAGAGAATCTCCATATGTACCCAGATCCATCCCTCAGCCAAACGAGAGAAATGCCCAACACTGTCGCTAGGAACCAAAAAAGCCCAAGTCAAATCATAGCGAGTCGGGAAGGAATAAAAAACAAGATCAAAAGAGATTCATAGTCGCTGGATAAATGTTAGTCCCCAATGATAAGCCTAGGTTACAGCTGTGATCCAGATATGGACCCCGAATTCGTCATCGAATGAATACTCGCAGGATGTGCGCTGTTGTCCCCATTTGAGGTCCCGGTCTCGGCGTTAGCTCCATGATTCTCGTTGTTCCCGGAAGGGACGGTGGAGATCGGATCTCCTTCTTGCCGTTCGCCTTATAGTAAAGAATCATATCACCGGAGGTTCTCCACAGATGTTGACGGATTGTGGCCAAGGTCATGTTGGGTGGGCAGAGCTAAATGAAGTTAATAAGAAGCACGATGATTTACAACCATGATAACTTACGATCTTCTGGCAGTACAGCTCGAGATACTCCTCTGGTTGCAGTCCGCTACCCTCCGGATCATCAGGGTAATGTGGGTCAATGCGCTCAGCCACGTAGGCTAGGATCTTCTTAGCACGGAGCATGCGATTAGCATTCAGCCGAGAGCTATTGTTGCCATTTGCGTTTGGTGGTGGTGGACCTCCATTTGCAGTCGCGCTACAAAGAAAACGCGTTAGTTTGGATTTAACAAAATGTGGCTGGGGAAACGTACACTTCGGGCTTCACCACAGGTGGTAGGGCGTCATTTAGTGGCTTCAGAATGAATGCAATCTTGACTTGTTCCTTGAACGGGATTTGATTCTAGTAAAGAAAAGAAAATATTAGTGAGGGTTTCTTTGCAAGAAAGCCAAGTCAATTGCATACCTTCAGAAGAAGTTCACCCAGCCAATGCGGAATGGCAGTCTCCAATCGTTCAATCTCCTCACCGATACGGCCCACGCTACCACGGTACAGATCAGAGGCTACTGCAGTATCGCCTGTTTCCTCTTGAATGAAGACAGCAGTCCGAGCGGGGATATCAAGCCGAGGAGTCTCGCTCATTTCACTGGGTGTGATAGCTGTCACCAAATCTCGGGTCGAGTTTGCAGCCAAGAATTCATCATAGTCATTCCGAATACGATCAACAACACCACTAAGGTTGGCTTCGTAGACCTTCTCCTCCTTGATGGATGATACCTCGGATTCTTCAATCTTTTCTTCCTGGATCTGTGGCTTCTGATCGGTAGAAGTTCGGTTCAGGGCTTTCATGACCGGCATGCGGAACTTCTTCCCAAACAAGGATCCCTTCTTGCGGTCCTTCTCGTCCGGTTCAACGGGAGATTGGGGAAATCCAGATTGAGAATTCGCGTCCGAAGGAGACATGGGCACTTTGTCACTATCCTGCCCCTGTCTCAGGTTGAAATAATCGCTCGACCTGTCTGAAAAGGAAGACGGCACAGCATCGGGATTCGGATGAGATGGCAAAGCATCTGGAGTGTCAACCTCAAAGTTGGGGAAAGGAGAAAGGCTGCTCGCCATCGAAGTACTGAGATAGTTCACCGATGAGGGTGTACCAACGTTGATTCCAAATCCAGTGGTATTGGGGCTTCCTGGGAAGTCCATACCTGGACGTAGGGTCGCCATGGATGGATCTTGCGAGATTGGAATTCCCACACTGCGAGGAATACCATCAGCAGGGTGAGAGGTGCTCAGAGGATTTAATTTGGCAAGTTCCTCGGCCTTGGCCACAGCAGTCTCGCGGTACTCGGTATCGCGTCGAATCTGCTCATCAATCAATGGAGCAAACAGCCAGCGCAGAATCCATTTTCCAAGGTTAATTCGTTGATCGTCTCGGAACAGGGAAAGGTCATCCTCTGACAGGCCAGCCTCGTCTGCGTAGACCTCAGCATCGAAACAGCGATTAGGTTCCATGATCACAGAGAGCCTGCCGGTACGGATATCAATCGTGCACCAATGTGAAATACTCTCTGTGGTATTGATCTCGTCCGCTACATCTTCGAGATGACGCTTGCCAAATTGCTGCACTGGGACACACTTCAGCAAGTCCCACAAGACAACCTCACCCGCTGAATCCTGCGTGAGTGTTCGCTTGCGATCATTCAACATTAGACACTTGATAAGACCATGCTGGCCCTCAATACTTTCTTCCGGCACTGAATGAACAGGGATCTTCAATCCCAGATCAGTCTCCATATCTGGCTCTGGTGTATGAACACCTGACGAAGTTCCGCTGAGTAAAGACGAGGTCGCCGATAGTTGTAGCATCGCTTTGAGCGGAATCTTCTTGGCGGCTTTATCAGTATCGGATGAAGGAGCGGGCGCAGCAGCAGTAGTCGAGTCAATAGTACGACCAGGATCTGGCGGCGACTCAAACTCCAGCGTAGTATCAACATCTTTCCAGCGATTAATACTCGACTTAGGCGTAGCCGTCCAAATATAATCGCCACAAGAGGCAACTTTCACCACGCCCTCATGTTCCTGTAGAGCCGCAACACAGACACCCTGCTCCATATCCGATGAGCGTCGTGTATCTGTCTTCGCAACCAAACCCGAGCGATCACTCGAGTAGAAAACCGATAAGTTCGGATCATCCGAGTAGAGCGACCAGACGCTATCATTGTGCATTGTCAGGGTATTCATGCAACGACCAGCGGTTAATGACCAGACTTTGATAGTCTGATCCGACGAAGCAGTCATGATTGTATCCCCATTCTGATTGATCAGAATATCGCGCACGTTATCCGTATGCCCAACAAACTTAGTAACCGGTTTTCCAGATTTGGGGTCCCAAACTCGCACGACATTCTCAGGCCCACCACTTGCAAGGACTGATGAGACAGCGCCCAGCGCATACACGGAGCCCTTTTCGGTCGCATCGTCGCCGCAGGCATCGATGCTTAAGATCTCTCCACCTCCATTCAGATCCCAAAGATAGAGCTTATGATCGAGTCCTCCCGAGGCAACCCAGCTCGCCTGACCACCTGGACTCGCTAATGCCTTGACGTAGTCTGCATGTTTGCCGATTCTCGCCGGAACTTCGGTTGACGCGGAGTGTGGTCGCCAGAGTCGGACAGTTGTGTCAGAGGACGCGGATACCAGCGCGGAGTTATCCTGGGTTAAGACAATATCGTTGATCCAGTGGCTGTGGGCCTGTACCTGAGTCTTGAAACGAGTCGGGCCGGGCTTTGAGTTGTCGGTTGAGGATTCGGTTGAGGTAGGGAGAGAGTTTTGAGAGGAATCGAGGTCCCAAGAACAAATGACACCGTCACGACCAGCGGAATAACTGGAGAGAAAGAGAAGACGTCACATTAGAGGCTGTGCAACCCACGTGGTAAAGAAAACGGTTTGCGGGGGAAAACACAAGTTGTGAATCGTTCCAGACAATGCAGAGAGTTTTGGTCTTATTCCTCAAGTCCCTTTAGAAAGGAAAAAGAAAAGAAAATACTTACAGGATGGCGTTTTGACGGTCAACAGTCAAGCCATTAACTCCCAGCCGGTGCCCGCCGGGGGCATCAGGCAGAGGTAGCACTTAGTACAGAATCAGCAAGATAAATCAGAGAAGATTGAGAGATTAAACCGTGTAACACTCACCATAAGTGACCCTCTGGTGGCTCAGTTTCCGTGCCATACATGCAGAGTTGGGTATGTGGAAGAGGGCAAATTGCGGAGGAGATGCGGAGCTTATCTGCCTCAATCGAGGCCGATCACTTGCGCTTTTTGGTGGGGATGAAGAAACGACGTCACAGGCGAAGGATGTAGTTGATCGCCTCGAACAAGAACACACCAAGATAATCAAGGGGAATTGACTTGAATATGATCGGAACCTTGGAAAGGGGAGAGAAGATTTGCCAAATGAGGGGAAGGTTGGGGGAACCGCCAGGGGCACTCGGTTCACGACGCCATAGCGCAGCCTAGATGGTTCGGCCGTACTCCGGTCGTATCACCGTTGCTGCTTGATTGATCGACTTTGCGTGTATGTAAGTAAGAATTCCAATCTGATGTCATCAGACGCATCAGATGCTTACTCCCACGACATGTGAGATCAAAGAATGTGATCTAAGTGCTATAGTTCAATGTGTACTCCATAATGGTATCGGATCATGAATGAGCCGTCTATAGTTTAACCGCGGAAATCATCCCGGCTTGGTGTTTAGGACAAAGCCGTATTTGAATCCTTTTAAGTTGATAGGGGATAGTTGCTAACGATATCTAATTTACCTGATCTAGTTGACTGTGATATTATCAGATGTAAACACATGTTGAGTTATAGTCCATTGTCTTATTACTCCGATAATATCTGTACATGTACTCCATATGGTCTGATGACCTTAAATATTGGTTTAATCTAACCGAACCTATAAAACTGTTATAAATTAACCCGTAGCGGCATAGAAAAGCCCGTGTCCTTGAACTGAAGTGGATTCTTATGCGTCAAATAGGATAAATCCGGCTAGGACCGGCCAACGTGCAGTTCTTCAATAGAAAAGTACTAGAAACTCATATTAGTAGTGGGTCTATCATGCTACTACATACTACTGGTAGTATCAACTTCATTTCAAGTTTATATAAATGTATTTCCAGGCCCATAATCTAACATCTATGCCAGGATCCTCTATACAGAAATGATAATATACAATCACCTAGGTCCCGAGACCATATTTCCCACGATTCCTCCAACCGTAAAATCCAATATTCAGTGCCAGTGACAAGCAGAGTCGACTGTTGTTATCAACAGTGAAACATCGAGTCATGATCACTCTGATTCCTGCTCTCTCCTCCCTTCTAATGTGTTCCACGCCCACTGGTAACTACCCAGGAACACCGCTCCTCCAATACCAATCCACGCCACACGGGGTCCAATACCCCTCCAGAAAGCGCTCATCCCCTCCTGCGCAATTCCACGCACAATCTCCTTAACCCTCACAGGCGCATCAGCAACCCCATCACCTCTCCTTGCGAGCATAACTCTTGTCTTAATAACATCCAAGGGAGTTGTCAATCCAGCCGCAATCGCACCAGCCACACTACCAAACATAGCACTAGTGGAAGCGGGGATCTGCGTGTCAGCAAGAGACTTCGATGAGCCCACGGGTCGTAGGTAGCGCTTCGAGTAGGCCTCCTTCATAGATTCCCACATAGTAAACTGCAGGACGGTAAATGGGATTTCCCGAGCGATGGTGATTCCGGCTCCGCGGTACAATTCCCGAATAACCTGGCCGTAGCCGCGTTTCGTAGATGTAATTGTGTTCACGGGGGAGCTAGTGCCAGCTACTGGGGGAATACCAGTAAGTGCTTGTGGTGCGGCATGGCGGAGAGAGAGGATATCCTTCAGGGCAAGAAGAGTAGAACCACCGAAAAGACCGGCTTGGGCGCGTTGCTTGATAACTTCTGTTGGGACACGGACGGCGCATGCGGCAATTTCACCGAGTGAGGAGGCGATGGAGTGCGTGAAGAAGATGTGCGTGCGAGAGGGGGTTTCGGTAGAACCTGGGGGTGGGAGGAGAGAGCGCTTCACGCCGTCGTAGACGATGAAGAAGGAGGCAGCGGAGGGCGCAGAGCCGCAGAGGACAGAGGGGAGACCAGCATAAATACCGCGGACTGTTTGGCGAAGAGAGAGGCGGGCGGCCTGGGGTGCGTTGGGGTCGCGTGCCTTTTGGAGACGGGTTTTGATAGTGTCGAGGGGGTAGAGGGAGCAGTCTACAGTGAGACCGGCGACTGCACCAGACTGTAGGATTGATTAGTAGGGTATTCGCAATGTGATATTCTTGTTCCTGATGTTATCTCATACCAGAAGTGATCGAGTCCACAAGGACGAGACCAAGGCCTCGCCTTCGGGTTGTTGAGACATGATGTGAGAGTTGAAGAATTAGGTAGTTTTCTACCGTATTAACATGCTGTGAAATTCCAATTAAGCGAATTTAAACACTTGAACTAAGTCCCTGTCCTATAATATACGGATCATGGGTTTGAAAATGTGAAGAACGAGCTGGGCCGAGGGTGTAGTAGAGCTCCGCAATGATGCAGATCGAGGTTTTTGCTCCGCGGTCAGGCCATCCGATATCGCCGAAATACAGGGTTACGTCAGGTCGATCACCGGCAAACTTATGCAAGAAGGAATTGGATCAATTTAAAATAAGGAGGGGGGGGTTTTTTTTTCTCGAGGCCACTTCATTTCTAATCAAACAATATATTCTTATGTTTAGTATCTATGACATTAACGCTCCCTGTCAAGTATCCACGGAGCACCACCATATAACAGCAAGAGCAAAAAGAAGAAGCTCATGCTCTCAAGCGAAGTTCCGCTGGATATTCTCCTCCATAGGCCTAGTGGACACATTGAAAACTGAGCAACCGAGTCTTCAAAAAGGTCAGGAAAGCAAGATTGATGTTCGCCAGGACGCCAGAAACCACCGCGGCCGACCTGAGTAGACAAAAAAGTGGTCGGCGCATGGGTAACACAGAAAAAAAGATCACAAAGTGAAGATTAGACAAACGAATATTAACGTGAAGGATAGAAGGAGAAAGATGTGAAAGAGCATCGATTGCAGCGAGGCGAAAGTCATCTAAGCCTTTGAGAAAGAAGGAGGCAGAGAAAGGATGAAGAGCCCAAAAAAGTGACAAGGAGACGGCCCATCCATAAGGACTCGGAGGGAATTATGCACAAACGAGAAGAAAGGGTGTAAAAGGAAACTTGATACACAAAAAGGGGGGAATCATTTTGCCTTGGCGCCTTTGCTGGCTACGGCAGGAGATTGAGAAGGAGGCTCAAGAACGTGGGTATGGTTGGGGGCGTTGACGATCTCGCCTGTTCCTTCTTGGTAACATGAGACGATGCCTCTTACCCATTCATCGGCCATAACCTCGTCTAGAGTTGCTCGCTCCTTCGGGTCAACCTTTAACATCCGGCCAATGATGTATCTACTTTCCCGCGGTAGGATGCGGAGAAGACGCCAGGGGCCCTTGATCACTTCCTGGCGCGGAGCAGGCTGTGGAGCTCCCGGTGGAAGAGGTGGGGCTTCTTTGCTGGTCGTGCGAGTGGTTTTGTCATTTGCAGTACCATTGTTGACGGCAGTAGCTGTGCTGGTCTGACTGGTTTGCTTCTGAGCTGGGAATTCGGATTGCTCCGCTACGTTGGGAGAAAGATTTCCGTTTTGCTCGCCTGCTGATGTCGGGGTTGACTTGGCAGGTAATTGGGGCTGACCGGATGGATTGGAAGTTGGGGGAAGTTGTTTTTGTTCATGGACGGAAGAAGGAAGATCGGGAGAGGACTTGGGCCGAGGATTACGACGGGGATCCGCATCGGGGACGGGAGTACCAGGTGTTGGGGCAGAGATAAACAGACGGTATGAATTGTCTGTGGTGCGTGGCTGCTTCCACGGGAATCGACGCAGGGTCATGCAACAGAAGATGATCGCCAGCGACCAAACATCTGTCGGACGAGGATCATACTTCTTCTCGTCGTATACTTCAGGAGCCAGGTAAGGATCCGAACCAACAATTCCTGAAGCTGAAACGATGTCGTTCTCGAACGGGTATCGGAAGACCACGGCACTTCCAAAATCGATGAGCTTCATGATTCCACGGTCATTAACCACAACATTGTCCAGCTTCAAGTCACGATGAGCCAGTCCCATTCCGTGTAAGTAAGCAACACCGCTGAGGATCTGCTTGAACGAACAGGAAATTTCCTCTTTGGTCATCTTGCCAGTCATGACGATTGCAAACAGATCGAATGGTGCGTACTCCATCACCTCGTACCAGTGAGAGCCTTCCTGAATGATATCGAGGGTCTCAATGATATTGCCGTGGTGAAGCGTTGAACCGATACAAAACTCCGCAGTGACCTTCTTCGAGTACTCCTTCAAGCTTTCCCAGCTATGACGCTCTCGAAACTGTTTCACGGCAAATGTGACTCCATCACTGCTGCGCTTCAACAGGCGAACCGAGCCACCAGCACCAGATCCCAGGACCTTGCCCATCTTACCATACTTTGATGCCAGCCCGTGATCATCCGCAAAGGGAACATTATCAGGTGCCATCTGGTAAGGAGTTGATTTTCCGGATCCGCGGCTTGATCTTTTCGAAGCCGACGTTGGAGAATCAGGTCGTTTGCTTCGGTGGCCCATCTTGAAGAACCGCTTTAGTTCTGACATCGAACCATGGTGACCATGACCGTGCTTAGAATCACTCTTGTCTTTACCGAAGACGCCGCGCTTTTCATTGTTGGACTTGGTGATATCGCTCGCGCTAGCTGATCGAGGAGTTCCTGGACGAAATGATCGCTTGGTGTCTCGACCGTTAAAAATAAATCGTGCATCCAGCTGACCCAGGTTCTTTGGGGGTGGGGGTCGCTTGCTGCGGGCGTATGGGTCATTGGGCTCGCCGACTGGGGTAATTGCGCCCGGTGGGGTATGGGAGTCTCGGGGTGTGGGAGGTGGACTCTCTTCTTGCGAATCGTTACCAATGAAGAATTGGGCACGATGCTTCGGAATGGTGACCTGAGGTGCAGGTTCTGAAGTCCCGCTTGGCCTGGCAGAGAGTCGGTCGGTGGAAGGCCGGGGTGAATGTGTCGTTGAGGTGAGATTTTTGTCCCCGGATGTGACCGGAGGCGATGTCTCAGGGGTGATGGACTGCACATTCCCTCTTGCAACTGCACCTAGCACGGATGCACTGTCGGTAGCTCTCCCATCTCGAGATTGAGTTACTGCGGGGGTCAGAGGAGGTGACTGAACGGCGGACACGGGGGGAGAAGCATGAGGGGAAGCGACGTAAGAGCTGGTGCCATCACGAGCACTTCGATCGCTCGATTCTCGAGAAGCAACCTAGATTCAGGGTGTCCACGTTAGTGAACCAAGTCACATTATATCCAACCACAAGAAGAAGCTCATGACCAAAGTAGAGAGGTATAATATGGTAGAAAATAGCCGTTCAAGTCCAGCTAGTTCGGTGAATCCTGCCGACCTCACGACCTGGGGATATAGAGGGTAGACCGAGAAATTGACAGAGAGGAAAGAAGCTCCCTTCCCTCTCTCTCTCTTGGTCCTTATAGAGAAGGAAACTTTCAGACGTACCCTTGATGACGGAAGTGACATTGGTTCGAAGGCGAAATTGCGTAGACGAGACTCCTGGAGCTGGGATCTCTGCAAGCTGATAGCCAAGGAGCGCAGATCATCCTCATGCGGGTCCAGGGAATGAGGGTCCGGCAATGACTTCTCCGATACAGGGGACAGCATCGTGGAGGGTTCGATCTCCTGGTTGACAGAGGAGAAACGAACTTGAGTAGGCTGGGCTCTGGATTTGGCGTCGGGGTCGGACTCCGCTTGGGGCGGCATCTTGGCGGGGTTCTGCATATTCGAGCCTATTGATACCGCATCAGGAATCTGGAAAATGGGAATTTCTGGCGGGTAAAAAAAAAAAACAAGACTGTGTACACGAAGAACTTGAAGATGAAAGCCAAGATACCAAGACATACCTGAATCCATATAGTCAGATGGGGTCGACCCCGTTACAGACGTCATACTCTTTTTTCAAGCTCGACTGGTGGGACGCATACCCCTCACGGGGGAAGGAATTTAAGATTGACGAGAAATTCCTATACCCAATCTTCCAGCTTTTTGATCTTCAAGTTCTTGAGGGGTGGAAGGTTGAAGGAGTGATTTTCCGAATCACGGTCGATTACGTGGGTGAGAGGCAAATCTTTTTCCTTGAACTTTGTGTCCGAGTGCGGATAAAACCCGTTAACTGTTAATCCACTTTGATTTCAGGGTAGAAAGAGAGAAGAAAAAATATAATAAAATAGTATTTGTAGGGTAAAAAAAAGAGGAAAAAAAATCAAGATCACATATGAAGAGGAAAAGAAGGAATAATGAAATTTCTAAGTAGAATAGGCTATTATAGTATAAATTGATATTTTTCTCATCACCGGAACATGACAAGTGGGGTGCAGGTACTATGCACTATGTATAAGTAGTATTTACTAGAGAGTACAGACATAAATAAGAACTATTATTCCATACTAATAGAGTCTTGGAGAGCACATAATATATGAATCCTACTAAGTAGAAAAACAATATAGTGAATCTCATTCCAGTCCAAGATCGAGCTCATCCCCGCATCTATGTAGTATGGATCGGAAGACCGCGGGAGGGGAAAAGTCCACTTTTTACTCGAACTTGACCTTTAAAACAAGGAGATGTCATTTGGAAGTACTCCGTATACATCTATTAATGCCCTGCCATTAATGTCCAGACCAGGTAATCCGTCCGTGCCGGATTCCCGGTCTTTCATGCACGAGATCTTTCCCCCGATGCTCTGGAATCTTACTTGTTCAGGGTTAGTTAAACACCCTGCAGCCATCAGTATGATTGGTCTCTATGACCCGCTAGTTCATTAAATACGGATACGATTTGATGAGATATCGATATCTCGATATCTCGATCTACTAGACACCTGGAACATTGAAACATCAACTCTCATTCCTGCCAAGCAGACATGGATTGATCTTCCATACCATAATTCTGAGTCGCCAAGCTCTAACATACTACTGAGCACATTTGATGTTTTACAGTACAACTGGCCCCAAACATCCAAGATGAAGGACACATTACTATGCAAGGTAACCTCGGGCAAAATTGGGATACTAATAACCAATCTCAAGCCCGCCCGCACGTTATTTAAAGTGAGAACTCAGGGTGACACGGCATGGATCTGCTCCAGGTACACAAGGGATAGAACAGCCTGAGGTTGCGGCTCGTTCTGCAACCTGGGGCTCATCTGACATGATTTGCAGTTCATCAGTATCAAACATATCACTCTGAAACAATCCATCATCTCCAAATAACAAATTAAAAAAAAAATAAGAAATACTCTTGGTATTGCGCACATCGCTCCTAGTATGCAGAGATGCTTCAGGTATAGTACAGTAGAGGGAATTCACCTCTTTTTCTTCCGTAGAACGCCAAATATAAACATAATATGATCAAAACAGAACCGGTGCAACAGTGATGACAAGATCCAGCTGGATGCAAGATGCACAGCGTCGAAGATGAATCAATCCACGGTGCCCCCGAGTAGGCCACCTGGGCACTGAAAGCAACCCGGCATATGATACAGGACCACAGTTAAAAACTCTCTATAGAGAATCTTAATTCAAGGGACGACCTGGATTCCAATAGACTTGGCCTGCGCCATGACACTCTTGCACAGACCCTGAAGACTCAATCCTGATAGTCGGGTCTCGGTATGCTTGATCTGGGCAATCTCGTAAACATGCTTGAGGGAGATCTGACCGCAAACTTCGTGACCAGGGTTCATGGCGCCACGAATACGGTTCTTTCGGGGCTCAACATTGGCAGCGTGAAGGAGCAAGTAGGTGGTAGTAGGAGTACGGAGATCGAAAGTGAAGGATCGGTCGGGACGGACAGTGACGCGGGCGGGAATTGGGACACCGGGGTTGATGTGAGCAGTACGGGCGTTGAACTCCTGATAATTGAAAAAAAAGATTAGCATTTGAATACTCTGAATATCGCATGGAGTCTGGAAATCTGGGGATGATGCTTACCTTGCAAAAGTCCATACTCTTCACACCCTTACTACCCAGTGCCGGACCAACTGGCGGACTGGGACTGGCCTGACCAGCGCCGACAATCAGCTTAACGAATTGATCCTTAGCCAGAATGTTCTTCGCCATGATGAATGATATTGTGATGTGTTTTTAAAGGGGTGATAAGTTATGAACAGTGTAGTCTGAATAGTCTGAATTAAACTGAAGACGGCAGATTTTCCCTCCGCCTTGGCACTGATTGGTTGAACCACCAAGCGAGTAAGCTGAGCAGCATTGAACGTCATCGTTAAGGGAGTTTTTATTAGTGAAAAAATTATGAAAAATTGGAAAAAATTAATATGTGTATGTAAATTCACACATTTCAAAGATATATGGAATTTACATCCTAAAAAAATATATTTTGGTCTGAATCTTAGGTTCTGTCTAGTTAAATCTTCCCCCTCGAGCTTGACTGGGATAGTTCCCATTCACATCCGAACTAAACTCTCGGGCCCCGCCGTCGATCTTCCCTCACCTCCCTTTCCCTTTACCTCTTTTTTCCTTTTTGGTTCTTTCGACCTATTTTCCCTACAGAACTCCGATCGATTTACTTGTTTGATTTCGATCTTTCAATATGAATTGGCTCAAGTCAACGTACGTCTTATTCTAAGTGGGGTGATTGCGGTCAAACTAATCTAGAAGCCCGCAGTCTCTCCGCGGCGGTGGGCACGCAGGAACCTATCTACGGCCCTGAGGCAATCCAGTCTGTTGCCCAGCAAACCTCCGAGACCCCCCTACACTGTCCTTACAAAGGATCACTTGCGATGGAAGGCCCACCAGTACACCAATGTCGAAACCCAGACCTTCTACGTTATGGCAGACAACGGTACCTTGGTCTTGGCCCAGGTGATCTACAGCAACATTGCGTGAGTATATCAAGCTTCCCCTCTATTTGGTTATCTATCAGGATTCGGAACCTGGTTTCGAACCGATAAATACCAGCAATCAAACAAAAAAAAAGAGAGCTGTGACTGACTGGACATCATGTGAACTATAGAGGTATCCATACCACCGCTGTCTTCAACACCAAGATCTTCGACCTGAGCGGAGAGGGCAAGCACATTTGGCACTCTGATGCCCTCTCGAACTTCATGTTCGACGAGCAGATGCTTTGCTTCGGCGCTGATAACATGACCATCACCCTCAACGAGGAGGGTGATGCATACCACATCAAGTCCACCGTCAACCAGGACAGCCTTGTTGACCTCAAGTTCACTCGCAAGGCTCCTGGCTTCGCTATCGGAAAGGATGGTACCTCTTACTTCGGAACTGACCCCAAGAACCCCTGGGGCTCCATGACCCACTCCTTCTGGCCCCGCTGCGCCGTCGAGGGATCCATCACCACTAAGGACAAGACCTACGACCTTGCCGGTCGCGGTGTGTTTATCCCCGCTCTGCAGGGCATGAAGCCTCACCACGCAGGTAAGAATAGAAATATCCTTCTCCTTATTTAATGAGACACCCCCTTACTAACACTCTATTTCCTTGTTAGCTGCTCGTTGGAACTTCCTCAACTTCCAGACTCCCACTTACTCTGCCATCATGATGGAGTACACCACTCCCCCCTCTTACGGTTCCACCAAGGTCAACGTCGGTGCTATCCTGAAGGATGATGAGATCGTCTATGCAGGTGTCAACAACACAGCTACCCACACTGGATCGACAAGTGACCCTGACAGCGATTGGCCCGAGCCTACCTCTATCAAGTGGGAGTGGGCCGGCCAGACCGCTGACGGCCAAGAGCTGTCAGCTGAGGTGGACGGACCCCTCGGTAAGAGATTGGACCGTATCGATGTCATGGGTGAGGTGCCTGGCTTCATCAAGGCCATTGCTGGCAGTGTGGCTGGTACCAGGCCGTACATCTACCAGGTAAATACATATTCCTCTCTCCCGGCTCTTCCCTATAATCATGTTGTGAACGTTTTCATTTCGTTGGCTCTCCTTCATCATTACTTGTGTGGTGACTTATCTTATTCTATAGTTCTCCCCAACGGATAAGCTGTCACTGAAGCTTAAGATCGGTGACACCGATATTACCGAGGAGGGCTTCATGTTCTCAGAGTCCACTTTCATCTCGTAGATTCGAGGAGATGTACAGCTGGCTTCCCAACCCACGTATATATGACATTCGGCTCCCATTAGTGGGACCTGATTTGGCGTTCGTTTGAGTCATTTTACATTATGTGATGGAGGTAACCAATATTCAGAGGCCTCTCGCGTATCAGATATTTTACAAGATTGTATACTGGATACTTAATGCTATTGCCCATATTTCAAATTCTTAATCACAGTCAAGTCTTTTAATCTATGAGTGCCAGTGGCCTTGATGTAGTAACGACAGGGTATTCTTTGTAGTGATGTACATGAGAAAACTAAACAACTTGAAGTTGAGTCTCTGAAAGAGAAGACTTGAGAAATAACATACAGGAAGTCTCCCATTCTAATAAAATGCAAAAAAAGAAACATGAAAGAATGGGTGAAAATACATGAATAAGAAAGGGGGGGGGGGGAAACTAATTGTCAACCATCAACTGCTCACCCTCATCCAGAAGGGTGGTAACACGCGACAGATCAGAGATCATCTTGCGTCCATGACCAACCAACAACAATTTCTCTGCATTAGCAGGAAGACCCAAGTAAGTGGGTGGCTCACGCTCAGGAAGTTTGTTCACCCAGGCGATGAAATCGCGAATACTGGTACCAGTAGGCAGAGTAAGGACCTCATCGTTCTCAACACCGGAAACGAGCTTGTAATCGTCTTCAAAGGCAGCCGGGGTCAAGAAGCTATCCACAAGGGTTTGCAATTGCTGGAAATCAGCAGCATCGTCAATCTTGCCACCATACATCTCGGCGATAAGAGTACGGATCATTTCCCAAGGGAGTTTCTGAGGGGCGACGTTAGAACGGCCCTGGGCGACAGTATCAACCCAGTGATCAATGATCCAGGCAGAGCACTCATACTATTTGATTATTTGTTAGTGTTTAATTCCAGTAGAGAATGGTATAATGGGAAGAGGGTGTACTCACGTCACTGTCGTTAAATTCCCAGAAACCCTTCCAGCCAAGACTAGGAGCATAGCGCAGTCTTTCTTGAACGACGGCATGGAAGAAGCAGAGCAATAAGTAGACACGAGCCTTTTCAACAGGAGCCTTGCTGGCACGAGTAGTCAATGAAGACAGAGAATCCTTCATGTTGGCGCGAACACCGGCAGGCTGCTCATACATAAGCACACGGGAGGCGCGGATGAGATTGACTGGAATCTTGGGGCTGGATTCCATAGAAAGGAAAAGTCGGAACTCCTTATGAGGCTTGAGGGAATCAAGTCTCTTCTCCAGACTCTGGAGCCACGAAGGCGCCAAGTGAACGTTCTTGACCAATACCCAGTTACCCGTGGCAGCAGCGTTGCTAATGGCCTTGTCCGCACTCTCGAGACCTTCATTCGAACCCATGGCAATGTTGGCGCAGGTGGCGTGAGTTCGCTCAACCAGTGCATCAACCTTGTAACTAGCATCAAAGCCAGGGCTGGAGCTGAGGGAAATAGGTGTGGTGGCTGTGACTTGATCAACCACGTCCTTGAGATCACTACCGCCCTCAAATAGCTCACGACCGAATACAGCCTCGACGAAACGCTCCGCTGTGGGAACAAATCGGTCCATGCGGCAAAGTTTGACAAGGAGCAGCGACCGGAGCAGCTGGTCGAGCTTGGAGGTATTCTCGTCCCAGATGACAGGAACAACGTTCTCTGCAAGTTCCTCATCAAAGAAGCGATCCCATTGATCTTGAGGAATGTTGGGTACATAGTCCTTGAACAATGACATGTTCAGCAGCTTGCTCATCACTTGTTCGCGAATGTCGGTTATGCTTGAAAGGTCCGCATCTTCGATGGACTCGTCCAGGATACGGTCGAGAATGGCCCTGTCCATAGGGAAAGGAGTAGCCTGGGCAAGCAGAATTGCCAGAGTGATTCGGTCCTTCTGAACAAGACCAAGCGATGTTCGTTGATAGGTGGTAATGAAGAGGTCTCGGATAATGATCTGGACACGAGCTGAGTGGTCCTTCTCTTGAGCAAGGCGCTTGTTCTGGTAGAGAACAGAGTTGAAGATGTCCACAAAGTATTGCAGGGAGAATTGATAGAAGTGGTTGATGTGGTGAAGCTGTTCGAGAACCGCGAAGACTGCACTGCAGGCACGAGCAATGATGCTGTACTGCTGGGTAATAGTGTCAACTTCAGACATGACCCCTTCGGTCTCCGACATCTTCACTGAAATGTCACCAGCCTCCTTCTTGAGAGTCTCCAGGGTTTCGATAACATTGTCATCGTCCAAAATGTTACCACGAGACTCGTTAAGAGCTTGCAAGAGACGTTTCTCAAGCGACCGGAGATGAACCTTGAACTCTCCTTGCATCTTGACCAGGTTGTTACGGCGTTCGTCCACATCGGGTCGCTCAAATTTGAGAACATCGTTCAGTGATTGAGTCTGCAAACTGCTCTGGGTGACCGTGAAGTTGACAAATGTGGTACGACTGCACACATCCGGTGGGAATGATGCAGAGGGATCCCGGGTTGACAGGAAAAGCTTGAAGGATGGCGAGAAATCGATCTCTTGTTTTCCAAGCTGAATGAGGACACGGCCTCCGGTCTTCTGGTACTCCTTGTTGAGAACGTGGTTGAGGATAGGGTCCAAGTGCTCTGCATCCTGAATGAGAATGGGGTTACCGAAACGGAGCGCACTCTCCAACTGCTTGACGAATGAGTCGTCCAAAAAGCTGGTGACTGTAAGCTTGCGGTCCTTGCTCTCTTTCTGCAGGAATTCCGTGACTCGACCAGATGGGTCGATAATCAGAGGGTATCTGTTGAATCGCTTCAGGATAATAGCATTCTCAGTGCAGAGATCATCCACAGGAAGCGAGTTATCTTGCCAATTGAGACGCTCATCAGCATTGGAAAGGTACTCTGTGATAGGGTTGTGTGGCTTGAAGTTGATGCCAGACTGAGCCAACTGATGCACCCATTCGTCCACCATCGCCTTACGGAACTGTTGATCATAGAGACCAGCATAGGCGAGGAAAGCGGCGGCAATGAGGACATCACCGACAAGGGTACTGATCTGGGTTTCGAAGGATTTGCTGCCTTCCTCCCAACGCTCACGCTCTGATGCCAAGCTATCGAGCAAACGTAAACTTCTGTCAACCTTGAACTGCACGCGGGACATTTCAGTCTTGATGGCCTGGGTTTCACTGATGAGAGCAGCGTATTCAGCCTTGTATGTCGCAATACTGCTTTCCAAGCTTTGAATCGTATCCTCGATAGTCTGTGCTTCCGCCTTGGTTTGCAAGGCTTGCTCTTCAAGTTGGTCGACCTCCTCACGCAAGGGACCAACGCGATCCAAGATTTCGGAGTAGTTGACCTGGGCCTCAACCCACTGGACAAGTGGACCACACGCCTTACTAGCACGGTTGACACGCTCGTAAGTGAAGTCTTCCTTTGACAAAAACTCATTCTGCATCTTGACACGGTGGTTTCGTGTCATCTGGCGTTCGTTGTCATAGTTGACAATGCTTGCAATGAAGTCATCTCGACGCACAAGACCTTGAATCGTCTTCCAGCTGTCCACCTTGTGGCCAAGGAGTGTGCAAACGGCTTCAAGTGCCAATCGAACACTGGCTGGGGGATTACCCATGGATCGAACCTCAGTAAGATGCTGACGTTTGATGTTGCTAACACTCTTCTGAGCCTCCAAAACAGCAGGCTCTGCTCTTGCCAGGTCGTGCAAGACAACCTCCCTCCGCTCAGCCACCACCTTCTCCTGCTTCTCTAATGCAGCTTGAACCTCCAATGAAACTGTCTTTCGCTGTTCTGCTTCTTGTTGGTCTGCAACCATGCGCTGTAATTTCTCATTGGCTTCAGTATCCTTCTTCTCCAACTGAGTCTTCTTCTGAGCGAGACTTGCACGTAGATCGCTGACTTTGTCTACTGTATCGCGAAGCTTCTCGAGACCAACGTTCAAGTGGCGCTGTTGTTCCTCCAAATCCTCTCGCTTTTCGTTGAACAGCTTGACATACTGTGCAACAAAGTCAAGGTAATGGCGAGGAGTAAGGAAGGTCGAACGGCCTTGTTGTTTCTGCAGGCGTTGGTTGATCCGAGTAAGAGAGTGATGAATGTACACCATGGAATTGACCACGGTATCTCTGTGTGAGGCTGGCAGAGATAGTTCACGATAGGCGACAGGAATGCTGTCAGGGGAAACAAAGTTTGGCTTATCGAGATCAACAGACTGAGTCAGTTCAGAACCGACCTGGAAGAGAGCCTGATCAGACCAGTCACCCATCCAGTTCAACACGCAACGGTTGAAAAGGGCAGGACTAGTGGCGGCCTTGGAAGAAAGACCTTCCTCGGGCGGGTTCATGGTGAACACAACGTGCAGGTTCTTGACAATTTGCTGTGTGAACCACTTGTAAAGCTCTTCCTGGGAGTCAAGAAGAAGGCCTTGGCGCTGAGCACCTTCTTTACAGGCGGTCATCAAGGATGAAAACTCATCACCTTCGAAAAGACCAGGGACCTCAGCGTTGGCAAGCAACGTGTTCATACGCTCCAAGAATCCGGAGTCCAGAACGTTAGCCTCGTCCATGATGAAACAGATCTTCTCTCCCTTGCAACCAGCACGGCGAAGTACACTCCTCAGGTCATCGTCGAAGTCCTCAGATGAGTACTTTCCGTGAACCTTGATTTGGAAGACCTTCAGACCATTCATCCAGGCGACGAAACGAGACAGGGTAGTCTTTCCACTTCCACTGACACCAATCAAGATAAGATGACCTTGAGGCTGGCGGAAGACTCGGTCAATACGCAGAGCATGCTCAAGAACGTCATTGAACAAGACCAAGGGAACATCAACTTCTTCCTCACAGAAGGTCTTGAGACGGGCCTTGACGAAATCACGGAGACGCTCTTGTTCGACGGGCACGTAATGCTTGGAGAGCCAGTTCGAGAAGAGAATGGGACCCTTCAATGCTTCTTGATCATCAATGGTAGGGAAATGCTCAAGGGCAATGCGGCGCACGGCATCTGCAGTCCAAGCCCTCTCCTCCTCATCCACCAGTCGATCTTGGAAGAGGCGTAGAGCCTCATGGGCCCAAATGCGGACAAGGCCTTCAACCGTCAATGTTTCAAGTGGCTTGATAGCCTCATAAACACCACGAACCCATCGAGTCAGCTCACGAGGAGAGTAGACGTAGTGAGGCTGAATTTGAGGTGTGAATCTTGACTGTGATTCGAGGTAAAACTGAACCATAGCTTTTGTAAGAGCCTCAGAGTATCCACGCAGCAAGGGAAGAATCTTGAGAACTGCTGAATTGAATGTACCATAAATCTGGTTAAGAGAGATCTCACCAGGGTAGTCGACCATGATAAGCGGTGCGTGGCGGAGGAAACGCTCTCCCATGGGAGTACGGCCAGCATCCGTCGGAGGATTACAAGCACCAACAAATTGAATGCGGTCCAGACTAACCCAAGTCTTGTCTGTAGTTCGCCAGAAACCATTCTGTTCCACAAGCTGACGCAAGAAGGAGATAGCCCGCTGGGTGCCGTAACGATCCGGAGCAGGCAAGTTAATCTCGTCGCAAAACACGACTAGCCAACGACCGATCTGGTTAGGCGACATAACAACGCCATTGAGTGTCTTCTTGTACTCGCAGTACTGCTCAAAGGTCTTGATCAACAGATCTGGGGTTGTTGCACTGGAGAAATTGAGGCCGACAACCTCCATGTTCGGCAATTTTCTAAGAGCAGCGAATAGAGTCATGGTTTTACCAGATCCAGGAGGACCACACAAGAGTAGGGGTTTGTGTTCAGCGAGCCATGAGTAAAGGACATCCTCATGTCGCACAGTGTCCACAGTAGGAATGATGACATCTGTTTGAGTGACCGAGTGTGTGTTGATATCGATCGAAGGCACTTGGGATTGCCAGGTTGACCACTCCGACTTGGGAAGGGTGACGTCGAAGTCAATAAGGGAGAAATCGCCGCCCGGCGGTAAGTCAATGGTTGACATTCCACTGACAAACATTCCAAAGGCTTTACGGTCTGTGAGGGGACAGTCACCAGTAAATGACCAGACAAGCGTAAGCAGAAGTTTCTTGGAAATGTACGACTCGATCTGTTCTGGATCCAGAGGGAAATCGACATGTTGCACATTGTACTCCAAAACATTGCGACAGGCCTTGTTCAGCAAGCTGAAGAGGGTGTTCAATGCCCGAATATCGGTAAACTCCATGATGTGGTTGTACTTCTTGGCTTCTCCGAGCGATTTGAGAACGAGCTCATCCATCTGCAGATGCTGCTTGAGAATAGCAGAGAGCGTGTCCTGTGTGTCCTGGGTTCTGGCGGTAGTGGTTCCAGCAGGAGCACTGTCATCATCCAGATCTTCGAAGGTCTTGGTCTTGAGGCCTTCAACGTAATTGGATATCATCATTGTGGGAGTGACAGTATCAGCATTGAACCATACCATACCACAACGACTGACAGTGGCTAGCGTGGCGTACTTCAGGCTCTCAACTTCGAACATAATACGAACATTTGCAGGAAGGTTAAGACGCTCTCCGTTGGGAAGAGTGAGTAGCTTGTTGTCATCAAGAACACTGTTCAAGTTCTCTACCCACTCAGGATCAACATCACCGTCAAAGACGATCCAGTGACGCTTGCTATCTTCACCACGCAGGTTGTCCACAATCTTTCTCAGAATACCAGTGAAAAGACCATCAGTCCATTCTCGGGTGGTACTGTCAAGATTACCGTAAAGAGCTTCCTTGGACATAACCTTGGAGTCAATGATGTGTGAAACACCTTCGACGCCTTCAATTCGTTGCATGGCCTGCAGCAGAATCTTCCAGGCAGCGGACTTTCCAGAACCAGACTTTCCAACCATCATAACACCATGGTGAATACTCTGGATTTGGTAGAGCTGAAGGGCCTTGGAGATCCACATCTCACTGTCAACGAAATGCTGCTCGTGGGCGATGTCTCGAATGGCTTGAGTGAGCTTCTCGAAGTTTGCAGGGACATATTCCACACCAGGGAAGTCTTCTAGTTGGATCTCCAGCATCCGATCGACATCCTCTTGCACGAGTTTGGGCGCAATGGTTTCACGCAAGCTCTGGACAATAATCTGGGGCTCAATAACGTCATCGGGGCCGAGATCACCGTCAGAGTTGGCAAGACGAGCACGCTTGAGTCCACCAGAGCTGACGAGTACACTCTTCAAGGCACGTAGACCAAAATCGTAATGGGCTTGCTTGGTCAACTTGGAAGCACAGTGGTCGAAGAAGGGCACAGTTTGTTTAGACAGTGGCTTGGCTTGCTTGAAACCTTGAGAGAACAACATAACTTCAGTGATGAGCTCCTTGTCGGGCTTGGACATCGCAACACTGCGAAAGAGCTTCTTCAAGTTGTCGGGCAAGTTCGAACGACCGGCATAACCAGGGTTCATAGTGATGAAGATACCGGTATTGGAGTTGACAGACAATCGTCGACCAACCAGTTCAATCTGGGACTTGGCATCTTCTTCGCCTTTGCGCAAGCCGATCTGAATGTTTTGAATTTGTTGAGAAACGGCAGAAAGAATTCGTTCTTCCAAACGGTTAAACTCGTCGAAACAACCCCAGGCACCAACCTGGCAGATACCAAGGAAGATACGGCCCATGGCTTGGAAGTCGAAGGTGTCGTCACAGCAGAAGACCAAAGTGAAACGACCGAGCTGTAGACCCAAAGCCTTGACTGACTCTGTTTTTCCAGTACCGGCGGGACCGTATGGAGAACCACCCAGTCTTTGGCAAAGAGCCTGAGTGAGAGTGAGGAAACATCTGTCTGTAAGGGGAGTACGGACAAGACGCTCGGGAACACCCAGGTACTCAAATCCATAATTGAGCTTCGCGTTTGCCATGTGAACATACAAGCGTTGCAGGAAATCACCGTCGGGCTGGTAAACATAACGCATCTGAAGCAGCCACAGATAATGTGTTGGTGTAGTTGCGTTAAACTTGATGAGCTTGGAGATAGTATCACGTTGGTGGACGAATTCGGTGATCATATGCTCACACTTCTTCCGCGTGATGGCATCGAGCTCGCCGAGGACAGTGGCAGCCAGAAGTTCAAGGATTCTGACTTGAGATTCATGCAAAGTGGCAAGAGTGCTGCCTCCTTCCTCCAATGACTTCTGAACGGCATTCGTCCACACAACCTGGCTAGCAAGGACAACAATCTGGGCTGGATAGTTTGCCAAGAAATCGCTGAAAGCAGTTCGGTCAACCTCGGTGGCATTGTAGAGAGCATCAAACTGTTCGACAGCCTCACCAAGAAGTTCCGCCAAAGTCAACTTCATGTTGTTCTCAAGTGCGGAGAGCCAGTCATTGATTCTAGGTGTCTTGACAAGGTTGACCTCACGCTTAAGGCGAACTTCTTCACCCTCCTTAGAAGTGAAACCAACAATGTTGTTATCATCGTCCATCAGAAGACCTGACAAACCAGCAAACATCTTCTTGAAATGCTTCGCAACGCGGAAAATGTCATTGCTGTTACCAATGATCTCCAGCAAGTCTTCATCTCCGACAAAGTAAAAGCGAGGGAAAGAGACACGCTCTCGCTCCAAGTATTCACCAAGAGCTTTCTGGATCTTGTTAAGTAGTTCAGCCAATCTTTCCAGAGACTTCTGAACACCATTGATTGCAAGTACATCCAGCACAAATGGAGACTTGTAAACTTTCTTCATCACAGCAAAGAATTCCGAGTTGATGTTCTGGAAACGGCTGGATTCAAGAGGCAGTAAATGCTTGATGTCAGCATTGCCAGTGAAGACACCTTCAAGGTATACCCATTGTCGTTGGACATCAATCCAGACATCAAAGAGGACATGTACACGATTCAGTTTGTCTTCCCAAGAGGTGGCTTCTTCTTCGAACTCTTTGTAGTATGGTGAATGTCTCATCGCTTGCAGAGAATTCAAATTTTCGCTACATTTGGCAAACAAGTCATCGAAGCCACGGATCAACCGACACTTATTCTGATAGTTGACAAGTTCCAAGGAATAGTTCTGCCACGTCTCACGGACTGACTTCAGGAACTCCTCCAATGCCATCTCACCTTGGGCCTGCGCGATGACGCTCCGGATAACGGTCTCACTTGTTGCAAGTTGCAGATCCCAAACATCTCCGAGGGTCAAGGAAACGAAAGAGAAGCGCTTTCCAGGCTTCAAGGATTTGTAGATCTTTTGCCAATGTCTCTCCTTGACTGCTTCCGACTTCATGTCAGAGAGCAACGAGTTGACCTTCAAGAGCTGACGAAGGACATTCTGGATATGCTCGAATGCAGCATACTGCCTCATGCGACTGGGCATTTCTTTGGTCATCTTGATCAAGCCATCGAGGGCCTGACGCAGCTTTCTGGGCTGAACACTCGTCCAAAGTCCATCACGGAGATCGTTCAAACTCTTCCAAATTGTAGACAATGCTGCCCACACAGACATGAAGTCCTGGACCTCTTCAAGGATGGCAGGAAGAGAAGATTCGGAGCTTGCAGGGAGATCCAGTGCTTCCTTTGCTTTGGAAACCATCTCAAATTCAGATTGAACAGACTCGAGACGCGACTGGAAAGAGCTGAGGGTGCGAGAAGCCTCCTCGGGAGGAATTGTGCCGGAGACTGGCTTTTCGTCATTCCACTGTGTGATAACTTCAGCAATTTTATCGCTGATGACACGATCCTCGGCGGTGATCTTGGCACGAAGACCCTCAGTCTGATCATGAACAATTTTGCTCTTCCTAGAGAGCAGCTCATTCAGGGAAGCCCATTCGTCATCAACGTTCTGCACGTGAAGCCAGTCACTCGGGAATTGATAGCGCTGACGAGAGAGAGTAGTTTGACCTTGACGGAACATGTCAACCTCTGGTTCCCAAACACGAGTCTTACGTTTGCATTGTTGCACAATAGTGATAAAGGAGACAGCATGAGCTGTGGAAGAAGCTTCCAAAGTCTGCCCTTCAAGATCCCGACGAGCTGCCGCGATTTCTGAGTGAACTTCTCGCATACGACCGCCAAGCTTAGCACCGAATTTCTGCAAAATCTCGTGTTGCCACTGGTCATATTTGGCGTTGACTTTCGTCTGCACTTGCTCGTAGTCAATTCGAATGTTACCAAAAGCTCGACTGACTTCAGAGGTATCGAAGGTAGCGCGGCTCTTTCTGATTTCCTGAAGAAGCTGAAGCCATTGGGATAGATCGTCTCCGAGGATGTCATAAACTTGATCCGACTGCAAATCCCAAAGAGATTGGAATTGCAGCCACTTGTCGACATATTCAGATACATCCTTGAGTCTGGACTCAACCACGCTGTAGACTTGATTGAGCTCGGCGGTACAATGTTGTGGGAGGTCGGCAAAGCAGGCCTCGGACTGACGAACGCTCTGCACATCAATGGAAATTTGGTAGCGAGTGGCCTTGATCTTCTCGAGGTTGCAAATCACGCCAAGCCACGAGTCGAAGTGCGAGAACCAGCTAGCACGGGCAAATTGCAAAGGCGGATCCAAGTGAAGAACTTGATTCTTCATCGAAATCTCGTGGAATAACTCTGAGAATTGGATGCTATAGGCAGTGGCCTCCATCTCACCATTCGTCTGAGAAGAAGGCTGTTCACTACGAGATTGCTGGAAAGTGCTGATCCACTCGCGGACTGCTCGAAGAAGTCGTTCGCGGAGGATGGCTTCGATCTTGCCATTGAGCTCCGAAACCCAATAGCCAAGGTTCACATAGTTCTCAAGGTTGAGCTTATCCACTGCAGTTTGGATGATATCAAGACGCTGTTTGAAGGCTGCAGCATTGTAAGGACAAGTCTTCAATTCGTGGATTGCTTTTTGAATGTTCTCGTTGATGGATGAGAGAACGGCAGTCTTGCTCTGAAGCACGGAGGCCGACCCAGCGAACTCCCGCACAAATTGAACATGTTTGCTTTCAGTACCTCGAGGCTTGGAAGGATCAATGGATCCGTTCGCCAAGGAAGATTGCTTAACATGAAGTTCATAAGAATGAACAAATGATTCCCATCGCAGTGGAATTCCCTTGTTAACCATGGCTTGCGAGTCATTCACGTAACCGTTGAGAAGGATAGAAACATCAGGCATTGCGGCGATGCTACGATTCGTCTGGAGAAGCGTTCGCACACTTTCCATCAAACTGATTGCATACGGATAAACACGCTTCGCTTCTTTGGAGATGTTGCTGACCGCATGAGGAACTTGAAAGTTCAACCAGATGAGGTTACGGACCTCCTTGAACAGCGCGATGATCTGAGCATCGAAGTTGACGGTGAGTTCAAAGGTGTTGCCAGCGGCACGGTTGCGTACAATGTTGAACAGACGACCAGAAATAGTGATATGCCGTCTTTGCACATCATAAAGCCATGACTCAAACACGGGCCGAGTATCTAGCTTTTTTCGGAAGAGATTGCTCTCAGCCTGCAGCTTTTCACCCTCGGCATGTAGATGCCAATCTTCTCCGAGAACATTCTCGACCTTTCGCATGTAGCCATCGAGTTGGCGTTCGATCTGCCGAGCCCAAATGATGGCTCCAGAGACGGGGGGCAGATCTCGTAGCTGAGCCATTGCGTGGGCCTCTGAATGGCCGTACTGCTGTTTGAACCGTTCATGGAGGGCAGAAATGTCCCGCTTGACGTTATCAATGAGTTGTGTTTGGTATTCACCGATGGCGCCACGAATCTTAGGTCGAACCAAAAGCGCATTGAATTTCGAGAAAACGCGGAACATCTCATTTGCATTCTTGGCTGTAGCGAGACGGTCGCGCAGGCGAGCGATGATGGAGTTTTCAACACGAGATGTGCGCTCACTGTAGCTAATCTCGGCATTCTCCCAGTTTCGAGCTCCATCTTGGGATACGTCCAGTACATCGATATTGCGGAGAGCGGCATAGGCATGTGTAACCTCTTCAACAGCATCAACATCGCCAATTTCCTCGACAATCACAGCCCCGTCGGCATCAACAGCTCCAGTTTCTGTGGTAGAAGTCTTCGATCCAAGAACGTTGATAATAGTCTTTTGAAGCTGCTCGTGGTTGACACGGAAAGTATCGATGTACTTCAACCTCTCGCGAACATTGTCAATTCTGGCATTGATCTTGATCGGAATGAATTTCTCATTTCGTCGTCTAGTTGACTCTCGGGCTACATTGGTAAATTCCTTCAGGTTCTCATCCCAAGTACGCCAGATTGCTTGAGTGACCTTCATCAATGATCGGAATTCGCGATAATCCAGGTGCAAAATCTCACGACCATTGATAAGCTCATGAATCATCTTGTCCAGATCCCCAGATATGGCCTCAACCAAAGAAAGCGCTCGCTTGATCGGGTATGGGCAAATCTTCAGCTTCTTATTCAGATGGTTGAAGATGAGTCCCAGAGACTCCTGGACCTTTTGCAGAGACGTCGCAGAGAGCAGCTCATCCAAGGGGAAATCTCGCATCAATTGATTGTATTTCTGTACCAGATCGGTGGCATCTTTCAGTCCAGTATCGGCCTGGAAACTGAGAGTCGGTTGGTATCGCTTAGCATGGCGGAGAATTTCCATTGTCAACTTCACACCATCGCTTTGCAGTTGGGCCTCGATTCCTTCAAGCGCAGATTCCATTGATAACCAAAAATTGACTTCTGGGGATGCCGAATCTCCTTCCGGGTCTCGCGACATCTTGGTGATTGTTTGAATTGATCTGATCCACCCATTCACAGTGTTCTGAATGCTGTTTGTAAATGCACTGTTATCCAATACAGTTGAGGGAATCAGCTCCACAGTTGCCTTGATGCCCTTTGTTTCAGCCTCTCTTAATGCAGCCTGGACTACCTCGTGAAGAGGCAGATTCAAAGCCGGAATCTCCACATTTTGTTGAAGATGCATCAAAGCCAACCCCAGCTCAGCAAACTTCTTTTTTGTCCCCGGGATTCCGTTTTTCGCCTCGGTGTCTGTCCGCGGCTTCGTGCTTGAGAGAGTTTCCTGGTTGCGGGTGTTGGCCTCAAAGTAGGGAGTGAGACCATGATGAAGCATAAGATGAATGACTTGGAAAGGCGACAGAGAATTTCCCTGCTGTGATTGGGCATCATTGAGGGAAGCAAGACCAGGAAGGTTCATCACTTGTATTTGTGTAGCGATTGGAATAGTAGGATCAATAGGGGCAGGGCGTTTGATGAAGGCAACGGAGGAGACGGTAGTGGAAGCGGAGGAGATCTCAGAGGACAATGTATAAACATATTGAATCGAAGATTCTATTGTCAAGGTTTGTTAATATTTGAGTATCAAACATCCATAAGCAAAGCATGTAAACTAACCCGAATCTTCAATCTCGCCATTAGTCTCTTCTGCAGCCACGATATCTTTCTGTACATAGAGCGCAACTTGCGACTCCGAGGCAAATCGCGTACATCGCTGTACAGTGTCGTTGTACCTATCCGATGAGAGCAAGCTCCCTGCGCTTTCCAGCTCGGTTTTCAGAGCCCCCAGTGTCACCTGGAGCACATCGGTCAAGTACTGGACCACAACGCCCGAATCTACCACGGTTGCCACATCTGGCGTGGAGACGCCATTTGGCGCTCCTGGCGCAGCAACTTCCATAGTGTTTTCCAACTTTAGAGCGACAGATTTGGAGGGATCATTGGAGATTGAAAGTGGAGGAGCGCGATCGGTGTGGGATGATTAAATGTTGACAGAAACCGCGGATCGCGTGGAGTTGCGGGAAAGAACGGCGGATGATGCAAACACGTATTGACGTATTAACGAGAAAGAGATGACAAGAAATGCGAAAGCTCTAGATTAATTAATACGAAGAAATGACAAAAAAAAAGTGTAGTTTTTTAGAGAATCTGGAGATAACAGATACGCGGTGTTTGTTCGTACACTTCAGGGGATGCGGGTCTAATCCAAATTGGGTTAGGCGTGTCACGCCCAACCATGTGACAACCTTGGTTCCTGATCCGTTCCATACTTCTCTTTCATCTGATCATATCTGATCATTTTTAGGATCAAATCTTGTTCTAGAATTGATATTCAAGATCTGCGTAGATGTTTTTCATATATACTGGCTTTTTGCGATCAAACCCCTAAGTTTCAAACTTTGAATAGAGCATTACTAGTACCGGGACCTGTAGTGATTATTTATCACGGTGACTCACTTACTAGTAAGTTGATGTCCAAACTGGAACTTACATACTACTACCTACCTATGTAGTATTACTAGTAGTATTCAAGGTTAATGTTCAACTTGAACATTTGAATGTGAGTTCTACCAATGTATATTAGTAAAACATTGAATCTTCCAAGGTTTAAATGTTATCACAGATATCTATATATGTACCTAGGTACTACTAGTACTACTAGTACTATCAATTCCGTTGCTTAAAACTTGAATGAAATAATTTGAATAAATTCAAATATATTCAACTTAAACGTTTGAACCTTGGAAGTTGAATCCTCCCAAAGTAGTACCATGTAGTACTGCTATTGATCAATGCGACATCTTCAGTGGGGCACTTCAAGTTGAGTAGAGCAGCTAGTATGCACAACATTGAACTCGGGCACGAGATATTCAACTTGAAGTTCAAATCTTGGTACATACATAGTTTTTGCCCAGGTCCACGGGTGGGTTCAAAAATTTGAATGCTCTCAGGCTACTACTAGTAGTAGGCCAATACAAATATCACTGCCAGTGGCAACTCTAACTTATTTGAGGTCCCATTGCACTTTTCTCTTCCAAGGTTCCCAAGCTCTAGCTTATCAAGGGCTAGTCAACTGTGCAATTACTGAGCCAGGTAGACATATGTAAAGTTATTTCCAGGGCTCCAAGGAAGTTTCCAAGGCTCACGATAGTAGTGGTATAGCCAAGCGCGTCATGATTGTCTAATTTCTATTTCAATTTTGGCCTTAAGGTCGAGTCCTTCGGATAAAAAGAAATTCGAGATCTTTCAAGGTTCCAGGGCCCATTCCAAGGTTCCATCCATAGATCTGAATCGGGAAATCATATCAATCATATGACACAACTCACTACGCATCATGAGAATTGCAGCTTTCAGATACAAGTTGAATTGATGTAGCACCAAGACGGGATGATAACAAATTCTAGTACACTGCTAGGTAGTAATTTGGTCTGGACTCGGAGTCAATTCAATACAATGGTGGTGAACATCTTCTACTCACTTCTTTTGACTCGTGTTTGAGACTCGGACGAAGCACAAGCGAGCTCATATTTGCTTCACCTATCTTTGTAGCATTTAATTCTATCGATACCTATGTATGATGATCCTAATTGATAATTTCTACATATAATTCAACTACTTATGGTAGCCGGATAGACACAGCAACCGACGCTATCGCCAAGCCTTTCTGATAGACAACGTATGACAACACAATAGTCCGATATGAAACAAAATAGGGGAAAAGCAAGGATCTAAGCTGTTCAAGACATTCCGCAAAGTAAGCCAATGAATACAAGAAAACAGAAATCTTAGTATGGCAGAATCCGAAGATCACGCTTGAAACTTTGACGTGGCAGCATTTTTGCTATGCATACCAGTCTCAATTGACTAGTGAGGATATCAATCTTGAGATAATCAGAGCAATATCTCAGAGAAGTAACAGGAGAGTGAGATATTTCAACGAAGAACCTATCTCAGAATCTTAAAATTTCATCCTGCTATGCAGGTTTCGATCATGCAAGTCATAAGACCTGGTCTATACCTGCTGTTACCCGTTTGGAGTCGAATCGCTGTAACTTGGAGGGATTGACCGATCGAATGACTCGAAGCTCTAGTTTACTATGAAATTTGACGTTACCAGCCAAGAGTCCCCCACTGGCTATAAATGCCCCTTTGTCCCATCAGGAGGAGACTCGGAAACGTGAAATTGCACCAATATCTAACTCTATCGGGTTCAAGTCTTCTCATTTGAATTGAAACTCCTCTAAATTGAACTTTCAAATTCCCAGATTATCTCAATCCTTCAAAATGCGCTTCATCTTGCTTGCCATGCTCGCATTGGTTGGCGCGGTCATGGCATCCCCGCAAGGCGCTGGCAAGGAAAATACAAAGGTAAAAAAGAACCCTCGAGCGATTTTGAATTTCCATTAGAAATAACATGAAAAATTAGATTCCTACTGGCTCTGCTTGCAAGCAGGACGGGAGTATGGGTTACTGTGAAAGTGATTTCTGTCTGGTATGTTCATCCATCGAGAACCCTAGTAGGTACGTCCTGAGAATTGATGATTAATATTTGAATTCATTGACTAGCAAACACCCACTGAGGCCACTGGCGTGTGCAAATAATAAACATTTGAATTCGTCAGCCTACTATCCCTTTATTGACCGTAGTACTTCCTGATCGAAAACGTGTTGAGACTGCCAACTTGATAAGAGAATGTACGGGGAGGGAACTCGTTCAAATGTTCCAATGGAAATATCAAGTTGAAATAATGATATCTTTTTGATTTTTGCCACTTAATCGCTGAAATAAAAGTAAAGAAAAGAAAAAATCCACTACTCAGCTCATACCGCAGTCCCCTGATCGACGGCCACTCCCTTGACCTGGTCCGAATCTTCGCAATCGCACCCAAATTTAACGCGGAACTCATCACGCAACATTCCACTGATTTCTTTCAAAGCCATCTCGCTTGCTCTCACTTTCGCGTAGCGACTGGATATCCCCGTAGCTTCTGCAACCGAAATACCATGGATCATCACAGCTGCAAGAATAGTTGGCTGTTCATTTCCCACGGCCGGGATCTCCCCTGACTTCAGGCAATAGTTTGTGCAAGAGTAAATTCCTGTGAGTTGGTTGTAGAGATAAGTCTATTTAATAATTAGCAAAGAGAGCAAAAGAAAAGAAAGAAAATGACTTGATATCACGCTGGGTCCTTACTGTTGGGTGCTTGTTGGCAAAGGAGTCGTATAAGGATATGTCGACGAAGTACGGCTTGATATGCTTCTTGAAGAAATATTCGATGACCGTGTAGTTAAAGCCAGAATCCACAAAAATGGCGGCAAGGAATGCTTCAACCATGTCAGGTAGGCACTTTTGTCAAACCAACTGTCAGTTTGTGCATTTCTAGAATGTCAATGCTCATTCACCTTTGGTGAGTCTTTGGTTGCGAGCCAGTAATCCATTGCCCCATTGCCCTCCTCCTCAGCCAGCTGTAAGTCTTCGGCATACTGAGTAACGCTTGTTTGAATCGGATTACTGAAGTGTTGAAGATGCCGGTGAAATCCCAATTTCACTGCAAGAGCACCAAGAAACTTGTTTGATACCATCGCCATCTGTAAATCGATTTAGAGATTATCATGCTTAGCCGTTAAATAGTACCGACCTTGTGTTCAGTTAACCACTGTGGGTCTTTATCCGGGAAGCGCTCGAATAGATACTCGACGCAAACCATATCTAACAGAGAATCGCCAAGGAACTCAAGTCGCTGATAGCATGGAACTTTTGCCCATGCTGAAGGGTAGGAGGGATGGGTGAATGCAGATCGCAGTAGTGCAGGGTACTTGAAGCGATAGTTGAGCTTAGCGAAAATCTTGTTTGCGAGGTCGGCCTCAAACCCATCACTGCATTTAACTTGATAGGATGGCTTCACATAAGAGTTGATGTAGTCCTTCCAGCATGTGGCTTTGTGATTTTCACTGTCGACAAAAATGGTGACTGACTGAACTGCCGTATCGAATCGATTTTCTTTCCCTCCGCTTAGTAAACAAGCTGCAATCAGTGCTTCACATACGTCGGCGATGGTCTTTTCACCCAAGCTATGCGTGCTTTCAGCAGCAAGGTTTTTGGCGAAGTTCCGACCATGAAGAAGTTCAAGTCCTGGCGGGTACCAATTGTGTCTAAAGAAAGATATCATAATCAGTAATATGTATCGCGATCTGAAAATAAAAAAAGAGAGCCAGCTAGCCGAGTGAAAATAAGCAGGGATAGGCGACTTACCGAGAGAACCCGCGGCTTCGAATGTAATTGAAGAGATTGAGCTTGATGGCGCTGTTGAACAGATTCTTGTTGCAAATGAGGCACATCCGATTGACGTGGTAATCATACTCATCGTCATCTGGATATTGACAGAAAAGAGTGATGGAGGTCGCCATCTTGAGAAAACAGTCCCCCAGGAACTCAAGACGCTCGTAGTTCTTCCCCATTCCACGTTGTACGTGGACTTGGAGAGAACGATGCTCTTCTGTATTATCCGAATCTTTGGTGAAAGCTTCTAAGGCATAGTCTGTCCGTATCTTCAGTCCCAGATGCTCGCAACCTTCGAGCACAATCAAATAAGACTGCAGCCGGTTCATGATTGCAGGGAATGCCAAAATTGATGTTACTGTCGGCACCGGGATCTGTCAATGTCAATGGCTGTAATCTTTGAATCGAAGAAATGGGGGTGGGGGAAATACCGCTGATATTGTTAGTGGCTGTGGACAAATAACGCAGCGAGTTGTTTCTGTTCTTTCTGCTTCCGTGGCTCTGTCCAGAAAGTTTCTTCTGAGACAAACGCATTCTGCTTGGAGAACGGGCTGCTCCCAGTCTGCATTTTCAAGGAACTTCACCCGAGAGTTCTTGGAAAGGCTCAGGGAATAGTTGAGGATATCTTTCGTCCACTTCCGATGAGGCATATCTGGTGGTGGAGGATCTGAAGGTCGAAGTGAAGTGTCGACACTCAGTGGAAAGTATCGCTTCTTGCCATCCCAACCATCATACAGGAAGCGATCCAAAAGGAAACCAGGATCCATGTCCTTGGACCATTTTAATTCATCGTTGTCGTTGATCTCACGCAAAGTCTCCCAGTCAATAACATCCCTGAGAAGGACGGAGGAACTGTCAAGTTGGGCTTCTGACCTGATTGGAGCAAGCCAATATGGAAACTGTTCAGCAGTTGCATCGAAGGTTTTGTGGAATACATCACGGAAAGCAGCAACATTGAACTGGGATAAATGAGTCAAATCGGTGGCATGGACTGCGACTGTGGAGTCAAACACAATCGACTCAATGATGATTTCTTTGTCGTTCTCTAAGTAAAGAGGGAACTTGGGGATAGTGGGAAGCTTTACACGAGTCAAAAGTGCAATGCTGCGACGTTCTCGATCAAGCTTCTCCAATGGAATGAACTTGAATACCATCCCGTAAAGCTTTTCAGGGACATTACCCTGATTTTCATTCCATATCGAGGGCTTGCAGATCATGGTGTACTGGTTCGTCTTTTTTGACACAATCGCCAATTTCGCGTTTCGCATTGCTGGAAGACGTTTGTGGTAAATGGATCTGAAGTTATCATCCAGGAGCTTTTGCTTTCGTAGCAATAAGCACGCATCGAAGGCAACAGTCTGTTTGGCAAGGAGTTTGCTTGTCTCTGGTAACCCTACCAGTCCTCGAATTGGTGATTTTTCTGGTAGAATCACTTCACAGACAAACATGCCTGCCACTGGACGGGTAAAGTATGAAACCTGTGCTGACGAATCTTTTTCGTATTGCTAATTTCAAATCCTTGTTAACGATTATACAAGTTGTAAAAGAAGCTTCACTTACCAAGGACTCTGCGTAACGTGCAAGGACGTGGGTAGCATGCTTGTAAGTCAACTTAGCTCCAGTCGACGGAATAACATAAACTCGCTTTCCTCCGTCCTTTCCTAAGAGCCTTTCCAATTCTTTTTCATCATCGTGGAGAAGCCGATCTCCGGGTAGTGCTCTGCAAAATGCCTGCATCATGTTCTTTTTATACAACGTCAGGAACTTAAAATTTCCTTTGCACCCACCATCAATAATTCAAGTTGGCACTGACCTCAGATTGTTGAACGTCTTGTATGCGCTTCGTCTGTGCACTGTTTCCCTCCTCAAGCAGATGAATGTACTATAGGGAAGTTATCAGCGAAGGGTAAAAGAGATACTTTGAAAGCAGTTAAGATTACCGTCGAATTAATATGTCTTGCGCGTCCTCTGCTTTGGATATATTGAATGAGCGTCTCATAGAGATTGAATCTGTCATGGTGTCGGTTAGCGTAGTGCTATATGGATGTAATATCTATCTCGTACCTTATCACAACATTACAATCTGGGATATCCAGTCCCTCTTCAGCAACTGAAGTCGCAAACTTGAGAAATATTAGCTAAATTTGTTTCTGCAATAGAGACGGAGTGTATCTTACCAGACAGTTGACCTCACCCTTGCGAAACTTCACAAGAGCAAGAAACTGCTGTCGGAATGTCGTAGTTCCCGTGAGATCTGAATTCCGAACTCCGACCAGTACACCAGGGCGGAGGTTGGGAATACCCAATTTCTCACATAGCAGTAGCAATATCTTGGCCGTATTCCGTCGCTCGGTAAAGACAATGCATTTGCAGTCTTTTGATCGACCAAAATGGTGCTTGAGAATTTGCAAAAGAGCCTGCACTTTCGAACTAAGTTGCTCAGGTTCCATAGGGTCCCCGAAGTGATGATCTTTCACTGCTTCACAGGCATTTTTCACCTGTTCGAGATCTTTTTCAATTTTAACGGCGAGATTTGAGTCCCCATCAGGGCCCTTGGTCATGAAACCGTACAGCTTTGGCATCACATCGTCTGCTAGAGCTATGGCCCATGTCTGGTCTGCACACCAGCGCCCTAACTCAGAACTGGCATTTAAGGCAAATCCGAAAACCGGGGAGAGGATTTTAATGGCTCCAAATGGCTCCCTCATTCTCTGGAAAAGCTGTGTTTCAAATGGTTCCTTCAGTTTGGTGTAGGTCCATACCTCCTCTCTTGGCCTTCTCACAACCTCCCGCAGAGCGGAAATTTTCGAAGTTGTTGCAATCTGACTATCCAAAAGCAGTTCGAGGTGACTGGAAATAAATCAAAAATTAGTCTGGAGGCGTCAAGAAAAGGTGAATACTTACCTTGCTGCCTCTGCAATATTGACTTTAGCATCGATGGGTGATGCGGTCATTCCAAAGATCTTTGGGCGGCTGAGAGGTTCTGTCTTGAAGTACGAATCACGAATGATACTAAGTACAGTTTTATAAGTTGACCAGAAATGAAGTACTATTTTGTCTATACTTACCGTGCGTAGGGATGCTCTTTCTTCGTGTGATGAGCCTCATCAAATATTAAGAGATTGATCTGGTCCATCTTGACAAACGCATTGAGGAGAGCCTGGTGGACAATATCTGCCGTACACACGATCACCATGTTCTTTGCAAAATGTTTCTGCCATGTCTCCGCATCCCAGAGATCTGGACCCATAGCACCAAAGAAGTGTCCGACTTCCTGATCAAGATTGTTGCGTAGTACAGCAGCCTGTTGGAACACCAGAGTCACGCTATCGACCTGCAACTTATTAGTATTATAACAACTCAAAAATGTATGAGTCACTGACAAGGAATATAGCTATTTTGTGCTGCTTTCCGTGTGCGCGGTCGATCAACTCCTGTTGCAGGGTATGCTTGAGCAGCAGGACAGCAATAAGTGTTTTCCCCGAACCTGCCTCTGTCAGATCCTTTGCCCAAAGATCGGGATTATTCAAGCTGCATACCTGTATCAAGAACAGCAATGATGTTTCGATTCTTCGCTCGTTCAAAAAGCTCAATCTGGTAAGAGCGGGGATCCAGGGTATCTTCGCCGGAGTCTTTCTTCGAAACGAGACTCGCAATGGTGAGCTCCTCATCTAGCCTTTCCCACGTTGACTCGACATGTTTAGCCTGAGTAACGGAGTCTTCTTTGGCTCTGGTGGCTAGTCTAGAAATGTGTTAGTATCTTTATAACTGGCCTGTATCTGATAAGCTCACAATGCCTGGAATTGTAGATTTTGTGCTCTTCGGACTTGGTCCATCTCATTGACAGCTGTGATCTGCTCATCTTCACTCTCAGATTGCTCAGAATCGCTAGCGATCAAATCATTACCAGCTTGGATTATCGTGGCTTCTTCGAGTTTGGATATCCGAGTCGCCTTCTTTAGGGCAGTTAGTCAAAGGATTGAGGTATTTGTAATAAAATGCGTATACCTTGTGTTTCGAGTTTTCTGCCATTCTTGCGAGTGACTGACTGTAGAGAAAGCAGGGCTGGTGTAGTTCACTGCGATATTTCAATGTTGAAGAAGAGAAAGAGGAATGAGGTAAAGATATAGATGGGCTCAAGCTTAAGTAGCTCGGCGGGGTAGGTGCTAAGTGCTGGTGCGTGATTGCATTCAGATACTGATAAATGGATGTGAAATGGTCAGACCTTTTCTATAAAAAATAATGGACATAGCTACTCAAATCTAGCTTTGCTACAAGCAAATATTTATCTTTTGTATTTTATTGCAATGGCATTATTCCGTGAATTGTTGTGAAGTTCATTCAGTATGGAATTCTATACTTCAACATGGAGCTCTTATCGGCTTATCGACTTATCAGCCTCGCCAAATCTGGATCGCGGGGGCACACGCGCTATTTCATATTTCTCCAAATATCATTCGGAAATCATGGATCAACCCCAGAGTCTTCGGTCTTTATTTTTGGCAGCTAAAGCAAGCAAGTCTGCACTGGAGGCCAGAGGAGATAGCAATACAGCAGTCTACCGAGATGACGTGAACGCGACGGTCGCAAAGTTCCAGGAATGCCAGCGACAGATCAGCATCTTGTCCCTATTCAGCTCAAATGAAGGATTAGATGATGTTTCATCTGGGGATCTACAGTGCGCAACTCAATTCAACTACAATATCTGCATCTTCATATAGGCTAATGTTTCCCTGCCTAGATACATGACCTTGGAATATCTCCTTGCCGAACTCATCCAGCGAGGTCCCAGCGCCGATCGTGAATCTGTCCTCCAAAATGCCCTAACCCAGTACGAAAAGTTTCTCACACGCCTGGATGAATATGAATTATTGTCGAAAGAGGATCATAAGCTGTTTGAGGCATACATGACCAATCCCTCTACCTTCACACTGGCCCCCATCAACGATGCAGCAGCAAGACGTGAAACAAAAGTACGACGTTTTCGAGAGGAGAAAGAGCTGAAGCAAAAGTTGGAGGTAAGATACATGACCCGGAGGCTGTTTTGGGAGGCGGGGGGGTTGGTCTTCCTGGATAGCTGCTGACATCTTCTAAAGTATCTGTCCCGGAACGAATCACGACTGGAAAGTGATAGCGAGGCTACCCGGAATCTATACCTCTCTGAGATTCAACTTGACACACACCAGACCTTCCAATCCATGGACTTGCTAGTGCAGGAACTATCTATGCTTTCAGCCATGCGAAATGCACCTCCGTCCAACCCGGCCCAATCATCACAAGATGACCCCAGACAGCGCAGTAACATAGGAGGACTGGGATACTCAGATCGCCTGGATCCATCCTTATCACAGTTGCTTGGAAGAGGCAGGGGTGGACCTTTGCTCAACAGTAAAGGAGTTCCAATGCAGCCTTTCACCTTACTTGACCGTCGCTCGCAGCTTCAGCAGGGAGTTTTCCGCTCAGGTCATAACCTACCGACCATGACTATTGACGAATACCTTGAAGAAGAGCATAGGAGGGGCAATGTTCTTCAGGGTGGTGAACAGTCCGGGATCATACCTGAGGTTGATGAAGATGACTTAGACAAAGCTGATGAAGAGACTATGAAAGCTCGGGCCTGGGATGAATATGTCGAGGCGAATCCTCGGGGGTCTGGAAATACATTGAATCGCGGTTGAGTCAATGAAACAGTGATGCCCATGATGAATCATTATTTTGAGACAATGTAATGATGCTCTACCAGGTTTCAACTACAAAAAAATAATCGAAATATCCTACCTAAATGCAATAGAAATGCGATCTTGTTCGTAAACCAAAATCGTTGATATCATTCTTATTTTCAAGGGGTATCTGCCTGAAGTACATGCCCAGTCTATCTTCATGTATTTTTTTTGTTCAATTAAGCAGCAAAGCTCGCTTTGACCTGCTTGCTCAGCTGGATTTCCTCAAGAATGGCGCCAGCACCATCGGCCACCAGGGCTTCGGCTACTGTGACACCAAAGGCTTCAGCAGCTTCAGCCGAATCCACCTCACCATCAACCTCGACCTGGGCGCACTGCTTTCCATCGACACTGACAACGACAGAGCGCATCCGCAATTTACCTGAAACCCACTCAGTTTCAACTCCCAGGGGAGCACTGCAGCCTCCTTCCAGAGTACGCAGAAGACTCCGCTCAGCCAGACAAGCATAGGTTGTCTCCTGGTGACCGATCTTGCTCAGCATTTCCTGCAACAAGGTATCCTTCTTGCGAATTTCAATTCCCAGAGCACCCTGGCCAACAGCATACAGCATTCCACTGTTCTTTGAGTCAAGGTATTGAGTAATGCGATCCTGCAGATCCAAGCGCAGCAAACCAGCTGCAGCAAGAATAGCACATGTGTAAGGACTATCCTCGGCATCCAATTTTGCCAGACGGGTTCCAATATTGCCACGAATATCCTGGACCTTCAAGTGAGGGTATTTGCGAGCCAATTGGGCTGTTCGGCGAATAGAAGACGTGCCGACAACGGAGCCAGCGGGGGAGCTCCGCTAGGCTCTTGTAGGGTAATCCTTGCTTCACAACAAAGACATCTCTGCTATCTTCGCGGGGCATCATTGGGCCCAACGTGCAGGTATCAGGAAGGAGGGTGGGGACATCTAGTGATATGAAACTTGAATGAGTATCTTGTGCGCGGGGTTCTGTCATGCGGGGCAACTGTGTAGATTTCTCTCTCACCTTTAAGAGAGTGGACAATAAAGTCAACTTGTCCCGCAATCATCAGTTCTTCCAGCTCTTCTGTCCATAGATTCTTGGAGGTGAAGTCCTTCAGGGCAATGGTGGTGTTGAGATCACCGGCTGTCTCCTTGGAAAAGACCTTGAATTCATACTCGGGGTATGCTTCCTTGAGTGCCGCCTGCACTAAATCTGTTTGCAACAGAGCAAGTTTCGACTTGCGCGTGCCAATAGTGAATGTCTTTGTAGCGGGGGTGGAGGTGGCCATTTTGTATATGAGGAAATTTAGAGCGAAAAGCACAGTGCCAATCACAAGTTTAAGATGGTTAAGAAGCCGCGGGTGGGTTTAGTTGATGCCTTAGAGAAGAGGCGATCACAAGAGGCAAACTGGCCGATCACGGGATCGGTCTAAAGTACAAGTGAACTGGATAGATACTCAATATGAAACAGAAATGTAAATAAATAAAATTTAGAATAAAATTACTATCGCCAGGATGATAGATTTATCATCTAAAGATAATCAGATAAGCTTGCATCTACTATACATCATACGAGTTTTGGGCTTCAACGGGGGCCATTTGGAATGGGGGATCTGCACCCTGATTACACTAACCTCGGCTCCGGGACGTGGAGATTGAGAGACATGCGACGTTCCTCTTATCGCTCTTTGCCCCGGACTTTGCATCTACTCTGGATGCCTCCACTTCCTCCTCTTTCCTTCCCCCGTCCGCCTAAATCCCTTCTAAACCATCGATAATCCCTCAAATTTTGCTACTCTCTTCTCTTATTTCATCTTCCGATCCTCTATTGCCACCCTCCTTTCCCATTCTCCAGCTGTTACAGAACTGTCAGCATGAGTTCCAACAGTGGTAGAACCATCAAGCTGCCTCTCGTACCACTGGCCAAAGGCACGGTACTTTTGCCTGGCGTCACTCTCCGTATACCTGTCTCCAACCGCCCAGATTTGACAAACTTGCTATCGTCCTTGGTGGATAAACCCTCCAAACGCGACAATACTACAATCACATTCGGTTGCATTCCATTCAACTCGCCTTTCCTCAGCCGCGATGGCTTGCAGCTTATTGAGGGTGACGAATCAGATGAGACACAGAAAGAAGAATATGATGCGATCGATGCAGGTCAAGCCCGTAAAGAGGATCTGTTCCGATATGGCACCGTAGGCAAGGTGATTGGTGTCCAGCGCCGTGCCTATTCAGAGCCATTCCTTCTGGTACAGGGCTCGCAACGATTCACTGTTAAGAGATTCCTGCGTGACCGACCATATTTTGAAGGAGATGTGACTCTTCATGATGAGAACAGTAAGTTCACCGAAAACTCCATGGGAAATGTATCACATTATTGACTCATACCTCGGTACCTAGCTTCATCCATTCATGGCGACTCAGAAGCCGCTGAGCTATTCCAGCAACTCAGACAGCTCTCTCGTGAGCTTCTGACCTTGCTGCGTCTTTCCTCTTTGCTGTCAGCCGCCTCTACACGTCTGTCGCCGCTTGTGGCGCGCAAGTTTGAGCTTTACATCTCTCAGACTGAGTTAGGACAGGCGGGAAAGCTCGCAGATTTTATGGCTGATGTCTCTGACGCTAGCTTTGAGGAGAAGTTGCGCATACTGTCATCCTTTGATGTGAAGGCCCGTCTGCAAAGAGTAGTTGATATATTGACTCGCCAAGCCCAGCACATTAAGAGTAGTGTCAAAGTCACCTCCATTACCACAACCTCATTCCCGTCGAGCTCAATTACCGATAATGAAACTCGTGAACGAGATCTACTGGCTCGCCGAGCCATAGCGGGTCTTGCGGGTCTCACGCCCCGGGACCAGCTGGGGCGCGTGGCGGAAATGATAATGAAGAAAAGGAACCAAACGAGGTCGACGAGCTAAATCAGAAGCTCCGCGATGCCGGTCTCACTCCGGAAGCGCAAAAGATCGCTGATAAAGAGATAAAGCGTTTGCGCAAGATGAACCCAGCTAACGCAGAGTATGGCGTTTGCCGTACGTATCTGGAGAACCTGGCGGATATCCCATGGAGTAAAGTGACTGAGGACCAGCTTGGTCCTGAGACTTTGAAGCGAGCCCGCCAGCAACTGGATGGCGACCATTATGGTCTGGAGCGAATTAAGAAGCGACTGCTGGAGTATCTGGCTGTGCTGCGGTTGAAGCAGTCTACCAATAGAGATATGGACCACGAGATCACGGGTCTTACTAAAGATCTTGATGCAGCTTCATCTGGCGATCTCGAGAAGGAGGTTCCCTTACTTTCCGAGAGTGATCGTGTTGCTCTGGAATCTCGCCTGGAGATGTTGAAGTCGAAGCGCATGACTGACAAGTCGCCAATTCTGCTTCTTGTGGGACCTCCTGGAACCGGTAAGACCAGCTTGGCTCGTTCTGTTGCCACCTCCCTTGGCCGCAAATTCCACCGAATTTCTCTTGGTGGTGTTCGCGATGAGGCTGAAATCCGTGGTCACCGACGTACTTATGTTGCGGCCATGCCTGGTCTGATCGTCAACGGACTGAAGAAGGTTGGCGTAGCCAATCCGGTATTCCTCTTGGATGAGATTGACAAGGTTGGAGGTGCAAACTTCCAGGGAGACCCCTCGGCGGCGATGCTTGAAGTCTTGGACCCCGAGCAAAACCATACATTCACCGATCATTACATCAATATTCCTATTGATCTCAGCAAGATTCTCTTTATTGCAACTGCCAACTCACTGGATACCATTCCTGCACCCCTGCTTGACCGTATGGAGACCATCTCGCTCTCTGGATACACCACTGTTGAAAAGAGGCACATTGCCAAGCGCCACTTGATTCCAAAGCAGATCCGGTCCAATGGCTTGGCTGATGGCCAGGTCGACTTGTCTGACGAAGTTATCGACAAAACCATCACCTCGTACACGCGCGAGTCTGGAGTCCGTAACCTGGAGCGCGAGCTTGGTTCCATCTGTCGCCACAAGGCTGTCCAGTTCGCCGATGCCGGTGACGCCGATCGCCTGAACGAATACAATCCCGTTGTAAATGTCGAGGATCTTGAAGATATTCTGGGAATCGAGCGCTTTGAGGAAGAAATTGCCGAAAAGCATGGTCGTCCCGGTGTTGTGACTGGTCTCGTTGCGTACTCGACTGGCGGCCAGGGAAGCATTCTGTTTATTGAGGTAGCTGACATGCCTGGCAACGGTCGTGTTCAACTCACTGGTAAACTCGGAGATGTGCTCAAAGAGTCTGTCGAGGTTGCCCTGACATGGGTGAAGGCCCACTCATTTGAGTTGGGACTGACCCATGATCCTAATGAAGATGTCATGAAGAGCCGTAGTCTGCACGTCCATTGTCCGTCCGGTGCTATTCCTAAGGATGGACCTTCTGCCGGCCTCGCTCACACCGTGGCCCTTATTTCCCTCTTTACCCACAAAGCTGTTCCTCCTCAGATCGCCATGACGGGTGAGATCTCGCTGCGTGGACGTGTCATGCCCGTTGGAGGCATCAAAGAGAAACTTATTGGTGCTTTGCGCGCGGGTGTTAAGACCGTATTGCTTCCTCAATCCAACCGCAAGGATGTTAAGGATGTTCCCCAGGAGGTCAGCAATGGTCTGGAAATTATCTATGTTCAGTAGGTCATGACAATGTTCCGAGTTTCTATTCTCAAGCTAACATTGACATTCAGACACATCTGGGAGGCTCTCCGACATATCTGGCCAGATGCCCACTGGCCCAGCCAACAGCACATGAACCTGATTGAAAGTCGTCTGTGAACAGTGCTCATATCTTTCGCATCGGTTCCATGGCCGCCCCCTTTTGTGGCACTTGATTTTATCCTGCGCTTTAAGCCCCTCTGACTCCCATCGTCTCTGCATAGCGTGACCACTCTCCCTCTCATCTTTTTCTTTTTAATCGTCAATGTCGTCGAACAGGTGAACCAATATCAATCAACTGATAACGTATTATGCCTGAATAAATTCATTTCTGAAAACTTTATCATATATCACCATCTTCTACTACTAGCAGTACTCGTTTTCATTGCCATACTAAATACCTCCGAGTCAGTGCTACCAGTACCAGTGGGCATTACTTCCAGTTTGACTATAAAATAAGAGATCTTATCCGTCTGAACATACTAGGGAGATTTGTTAAGATTGAAAATCAGGCCTTATACAAGCTTCAGATTCTATATAATCCAAGGCCAACAATATAATACAGGAGACAGGCCCAAACAGGAAAGAGAAAGTATCTTAAAAAATACATGAACTCCGGTTTTTCCACCAGAAAGAAAAATCCATCAATCCAAAAATGCAAACAAGCCAACAAGGCACTTTCAAGGCTTCTTCGGAACCGAAATCCACTTGGGCCTATTGAAGCCTCCACCCCGAGTATTGGCGAACTCCTTGTTCGCAAAGTCAAGGCCCAACACCTTCCAGGTTGGCTGCCAGGACTCCTTATCCTGCTTCAGTTCCTCTGCCTGCTTCTCATAGGCCTTGCGCAGCTCCTTATCCGGCTCCTCAGCTGCATGGCCCTTCTGGGCTCCTTCCTTTTGAGCTTCGTGCTGTGCCTTGACGGTAGAGGTCCAGGAGTCCTTCTCCCACCTATAATTGAGAAGGAAAGGTTAGCGATTGGCTACTTCAAGGTGCATGTAATAGAATAAAAAGTGGCATCCGGCTCTCCATGGCACGTGCAGGGAATGAAATCCGTATACACCGCGATAGAACTAAGACTCGTGTTCCCGGAAAAGAGGAAGAGATAAGGTCTGGAAAAACGTACTTAGTAAGATCCTCTGGTTCCTCGGGCCAGATGAATGGCTCTCGCAACTCAACAGTCATCCGCTTTTCGGACTTCGGTCGTCGCCATTTTCCAAGGGTGCGGCCATCTCTCGTGACGCGGGTAATAGGCTGCTGCTCGATATAGCTGCGAATCTTGATGACATTGACGTTGTACAGGTTCTTCAGGTAGTCGCGCATATCAAGCTTGTTGAAGTTGAGAGGGACATGGAATTGAGCATAGCGAGGAGAGAGGAAGGGAGTTCGGGCGAGAGCGATAGTAAATGAGGGGCTGTAAAGAGTCAATCGTTAGTTGCCAGTCCAATCCTGAATTCTCTCTCAAATCATTGATCATCGATCATCGATATCCGTGGTATGGACATTCTCTTGGAAGATTTTCGAACTTTGGTTGCAATAGTTGCAGATGGACGGGCGACGTACAGGTAGACTTGCTTGCGCTCCGAAGCGGGCAAATATTGTCTTCCCTTAAAAACTGGCTTCCGCTTTGGCGCGTTCCTTCCAATTAACCCCGTTTTGGGGATTGTGATTACTTTGCGTACCATGGTGAAGTCTGGTTGGTGATTAAGACGAAATATGGTTGAAGTCGTTGATCTTTTGCTGCGCGGAAAGATTGCGCGGTTGGCCGCTCCGCCCGCCCTACAATATTTATCGGTCGTTATGTGCAATTCGACCTTTGGGCCTTGTTTCCCGAATTGTTTCTTATGAATGCAACGATATTTTTTTTATATTACAATCTAGTTTCATCACTCGTGGTCATTAATGCACTTGGTACTTTTTCTTCCCTTATTGCCCCGATGCCTCGGACACCTGCAATCCTTCCAGTCGTCGAGAACTTTCGTCCACATCCTGGTCATTTTGGACAGAGGCAGGGTCCTCGCTAGGCTCTCCAGACTCTGAGCCTGATTCTTCCTCGCCCTCTTCCTCCTCATCGGTCTCTTCCTCATCCTCATCCTCCTCGCCATCTTCACGCTCGCCCGCATCCCCATCAACGCCAACCTCCTGCATATACTTCTCAAGTTCGCGCGCCATCTTCTTCGAAAAGCCGGAGGCTTCAACCTCAATGTCCAAACGCTTTCCGGGGTTCTTCAGGAAGTTCTTCCTTGCCTGGGCAAATGTTGGGCCAGGTACATCACTGACGAAGTGGAACTTGCGTTGGAAGTACCGCTTGACACAGTTAACATCACGGTCAAAGTACATCTCAGCATTCATATGGTCAATGGAGACCATCTGCGGGAAATCAATGAGAACCGGGACCAGCCGGATATCTTCATCAGCCACATCATCCAACTTGGTCTGCGGCGTGTACTTCTCGCGCGCCTCAGGGTCAACCTCTTCCTTGATCAGCAAGTTGAACTCGTTAAAGTCACCGTGAATCAGTCCAAAGCGTGCCAGCTCCAGGATGATGTCCATCAGTTCCGAGTAAAGCCCTTGTGGGTTGGGGACCTTGGAGATCTGACGAAGCGGGAAAGCATCAATCAAGCTCATGACAATGGTGTGTCGGTTCTGGGCGATGGGTTCGGGGACTGAGAAGCCATTCTCGCGAAGTGCCTTCATGAAAGCAAACTCCTTCATTGCAGCCAATCGGGACATGTACATCCATGATCCTGTGCTGCGGTGTCGTAGGTAATCGCGGTTCGTCTTGACGGTTCGGAAGGAGATACGACCCAAACGGTGGATCTTCAAAATGCGCTGCTCTCCGCTGCTGTGTGCGACAACAATAATATCCGACTCCTTACCCACGCCAACCTGGTTGCCAACGGAGTACACTACTTTTTGCTTCTGGTGCGCATTCATCGCCAAGTAGTCGAGACCGCCGTAGGTAAGTCTGTAGCCATCATCTGGAGAATATAGTAAGCTATACTGTCGCTGCCTTGGGTATAAAGGGTAGGTTTCAAGTACATTTGGCGTTCTTTACTTTGGCGATCAAGTTAATCTTGGCCAAATTTGAGATGGAGCGATGCACGCCGCTACCACCACGGAGTCCGGAAAGCTGCGAGATCAACGGTGTCGGAACAACTTCATGATTGCGACTACCGGCTTCAACCTAAATAGAAGCCCTTGATTAGCTCCTGCTTATAATATCTGCGCAGCGTTGCGCATGGCGGGGGTGGAGGGGCTGATAAGTACCCCGGCAAGCACGCGGAAATCTTCAGAGGTGAGGTAGCGAATCGCCTTCGGATCGAGTTTCATGGCGACTTATTATTAGAACCCTGTAGGCTCTAGGAATCTCAAAATAATCAATACGGAAAAAGGGCGTAGGCAAGATCTTGCATGCGTGACGTTCGAGATGATGGAGAGAAAAAAGTGATAAGCTCATAGCCCTATGCCCTATTTCTTCTTTGGGTCGGGTACCTTGTTAATGTAATCCTCGAGGTCCTTCGCAGTACATATTTTCTTTTAAATCTGTCCATCCTTTTTAATTATTTGGATATTATATAAATACATGTCTTCGCTTTTCATAGACCAGATTTAACAATGAATGATGTGAAATCAGACTGAAAGGGAATGTTGAATTTGGGTGTAGGTACTGGTACTAATCTTTAGAATCCACGGTCTAGTAGTATCTATCTGATCATTTAGGAGTCACACGATTTTCCTCTGCCTATGTGCATGGAAATTTAGGCCAAGACCGTAAATTGAAAATCGAAGCGATATTAATCTAGAGCAGACTCCTACTTAATGCTAGTAGCCAACTTGAAGTCAATTCGTTACAAGTTTTAAATCTACACCCAAAGGGAAATAACTGGTGGTTGATAGTGAACGACAAAGACCAACGTGGGACGATGCCCATCGTCGTTCCAGGTTGGCGAGATAAATCAGATGCAGGAGTTAGAGTAAAAGAGAAGAAATTCCATGCTATTCCTCAGTCGTTCTGAATACATTATAATCCAACAAGAATCCGAATTCTAAAGGGGAGCCACTTGAAAGTGAGTCTCCACGATGTGTCGGCGTCTAATTAGATTTATTCGGGCCTTTCCCAGTCAGGGTTCTAGTTTCTTTGGTAAGCAGATATTCAATAAAGTAGGAAGTAGTGAGTGAGTTATTTACCTTCCGCAGAATAACCAAGCCTTCAAGTGTGCTGCTAAGAGGGATGTATTGCTCATCCTCCAGCTCTGCTCTCTCACCGTAGGACAGCAAAACTGGAGTGCTCTGTGTCTGCCAGCCAGTAATGGTCTTGGGTCGACCGGCCTGGCCAACAACATCAACAGCCTGACCAACCCGCACGTTCACGGTCAGCGGTTGTAGATCCTCGTCAAGTGTGACAAGGAATCGTGGGAACATGGCGGTGATGAGGAAGTAGAGCAAGTAGTGGTGCTCGGCGAGGATGAATTGCTTGGCATCAATGAGAGAAACAAGCACCGTGAGCAGACCAGCCGCCGAGACACGGGAAAGGACCTGTCGGTCTGTGTGGAAGGGGTTGAGGGTCATGGTACCCTTGCCCATGTGCAGGAGACCCTGAGCAATGCGGACCATGAACAAGGAGTTTTGGTCACGGTGGTAGTAGCTGGCTAGTTGACGCAGGAGCTGGGCAAGACGAGCGTTGTTGGTGCCAGCACCACATAGACCCATGGCAAAGATGGCGTTGATGGCAACGTCATTGTCATTGTCGTGACTGTATCGTGACAAAGTGTCGTAGATCTTCATCTGGGGGTTGCTGGGGCTAATAAGACCCATAGCGAGGGGTACGGCCCGACGAATGTTGCTAGAGCCGTAGTGCATAAGGTGGCCAAATTGGCGGAGAATCATGTCCTGGCCAACATCCTCACCCATGGCGATGAGGGACAGACCCAGAACAGCATAGGACTGGACAAGCTCATCACCCTTATTTTCCTCCTTCTCCTCAATGATATCATTGCAGATGTGAAGAAGTTCTTGCAACTTGAGAACAGTTCCTGTACCAGCCCATGCGCAGACCGATGCAAGAACGGAGGTTGGCTTAGCCATGGGGTGGTCAACGGCCTTCAAGATGTCAAGGATGACATCAACCTCCTCTTGACGACCAAAGTAAAGCAAGGCCAGACCAAGGGCCATGAATCGTGTCCACTTGTCCTTCAGCTGCTTCTGACGCTCCTCGTCCATAAGGGTTGTGGCAATTGCCTCGCTGACTTGGTGATTTGATGATCCAACGAAAATGAGACCCAGAGAGACGGCAGCCATGGCAGAAAGCTGCATGTCTAGTGAGGCATCCTCCACAATGGGGAGGAGAACATCCAGAAGCTCTTCCCTGTTGGAACCTGCGTATGCCAGACCGAGACCCATAATAGATGCGACCCGCATGGGCACGTTCTTGGCCTCCAAGTTGTCCGGGTCACTCAGGAGAGCCAGAGCGGGGTCAGAATCGATGCGAACGCCGGAGTTCATGATACCAAGAGCAAGCAAAGCACCAGCCTTGACCTGATCCTCCTCAACGTACGTAAATTTATCGATCTTGTTCAAGCCCTCCTCAACATCACGGTGCAGAAGCATACCCAATGAAGCTGCTGTGGAGAGCTGTCCATCGTCCTTGGTCTTCCACACCCACGGACCCTTCTCTCCATCTACCAGCATCATCTTGTCATTTCCAAATCCAGCATTTGTGAAAGAGTTAACAAAGGCACTGGCCAAGTTGTGTCGTGCGGAGTCGAGGTTGGTGAGACCCGCTCCGCGGCTGCTTTCCAAATGCGTCTTGTAAATGTCTTCGGGCATCTTCGGATCCAAGATATTGAGTTCCTTTCCGAGAGACTTAAAGTGCTTTGGAATGGAAGTGTTGTTGAGACAATCGGCCAGGGATTCGGCGTCCTCATCATCCTCATCGACATCAAGCCAAATCTGCTGTCGTGCCACCAGGAACGCCATCTGTTTCTTAAGAGCCTTGTCGGTTGTGGCATTGATGTCGCTCTTGATGAGATCGATGTCATTCAGTCGGATGGCAAGCACGATTGCTTGGGAGAGTTTGTTGTAGCGAACGTAAATCTCGTGGGCTGTGCGGAGGAACTGCTGATCTTCGGGGTAGGTGAGCAGGTTAACCATGCTAACCATGTACAAGCAAACTCGAGCATAAGTGTTCTCGTCAACAAATCGTGGGATCTCCTCGATTATCTCCATTTCACTCAACAAATCAACCGCATCCGCCTCGGCGTTGTGGCCAAGGAAGTATGAGACGAGTGACAGGGCGAGATCAACCAGATCTTGGGTTTCCTTCTCCGCATTCAATCGGTTTTGATACTCCTGTCCAATTTCCAACGCGAGGTGTCGAATATATTCGTGGCCCCAAGAGCCAAGGTCATCGGACTTGGCCAGAAGGCGGTACTTAAGTGTCTCGAGCTTCTCCTCGTCTCCGTAGGTCATACCAAGTACAGACAGCATATCAGCGAGGGAATCCTACAACCACAAAATTAGATCAGTAATTGCGCCAAAAAGCTAATTCATCCTGATGCGAAGATAAAACTGACCTTTACGGCACCCGCTGTCCACTTCTCGTATAGCTCTGTGAGCTCATCATAATGAGGTCGGAGGAATTTCAGAGGCTTGGGAACGGCTGTCATAGAAGATGTCGAAGTCTTGATAAAGTTCTTGATGGCATCCACGGCAGGACCGTAGAGGGAAGTATCCGGCTCCTATCACGAGCAAATGTGAGTATTCGCGCTATCAATGGTTTATAGCGAACGAGGAGATTGACGAACCTTTAACCGCTCAACGAGCATTTCGAGCTCATTCTTCAATTCTTGATCTTCCTCACTCAGTTCTTCTTCGTGGGTGTCAGTCCCGAGATCCTATGACCGAAGGAGTGGGTGGCCGCTGCGGCCTGCTCTGATCCGCAATAGCATCACTTACCTTGCTGTGGTTCCTCATCCTTCTTGTTGCCCTCTGCAGGAGTCTTCTCATCCTTCTGTGGCTTCTTGCCGTTCAGATCGCGAACGTCATCAACCTTGCCCTTGCCCTTGTCGGCGGAGGTTGGCCGTTCGCCCTCGTTCGCCATCTTTGATAGTATCTGGCGACCAGGTTGAATATGGGAATAGGGGTGGAAGGACAGATGGAATTGAAAAGATCTGGTATCTGTTGATCAATGTTGCAAGTGAAAATGAAGAAAGGATCCTGCAGACGACAAGTGATGTGGTAGATTGTAAGCTGGTGACGGAGACGCAGAGAGCTCTCGGTCTGGTGCAGCTCTCGATTACATAATAATGCCAAGACCCATAGCCCTTCGTCATTGTTTTTGGCCCAAGTCACTGCGCTTCTATCTCATTCTATATAATTATTTGTTTATTTGATCAAGAAAAAGAACAGCGAGGCTATATATGTTTAATCTGCAAATGCCGACTTAGTAAGTATTTTCAAAAATCTTGTTTACTGCGTCCAATGCGGGAAATGTTGGTCAGACCGGCAAAGCCATGCTCTTATTTCCTTCAATGCAGCCCCAGGTGGTTGCCAATTCTACCTATTATTATAACCTGGGAAGTACTCCTGGGCATGCATGGATATGTACCTCGGTACCTACTACTCTATCGGAAGCCTTATATGGTAGGAATCTCTTTTATATGGTGTCAATTTGACAAATCTCGTTTTAAATGCAAAACAAAGCATCAGAAGGACTTTCCATCTCGTCCCGGTCATTAGGACAACCTCCATGCTGTGTCCGAAATTTTTGCAAATACACTTTAGTCTGTTCCATAAGATTCTCTGCGGTCATCTCTTTTCCATCAAATGACACCAGAGGTAGGGTTTCGATATTTGGAAGGCCACCTTCAAAACTGTTGAAAAGGGTCGAAATGGTCGATCCTGAATTGAATGACTTTTCCGGGGCCACCATTTCAATCTCGGGTTCAGCATTTTCATCACTTATGAATTCATCCGGAGATTCATACAAGTCATTGTGAACCGTCACGAGTGACGAGGCCTTGATTCCAGAGAAGGAGGGATACGCCATATAGTATCCCTTAGCACGCATGAGTTCCAGCACATACTCCATGAAAGCTGGATACCGTTGCGAGACTAGCTTGTCTTGCGAACGGATGTTTCCGTTGGTCTTGGAGGCATCGAGACGATTTGAGAGAAACTCATGGAATTCGACCCATTTATCTCCAAAATACAGCACTGCGTCACTAGCTGGCGCTTGCCAGAGAAATGTTGGAATGAATTCCTGCTGCAATGCTCCTTCTTTAGTATCCATGGAGGGTGGGAAGAAAGTCTCGTCTTTGACGCCGGGCTTCACCGATGGAAGTTCCAGGGATATCCCAAACAGTTTGGATGTCATCTCTGGGTTGTGAGCGGAATGCTTGTAAGTTAAAATAGTATACTTGAGATAATGATAAAAAGCCGGTGCTACCTCCGTGTGTGGGGATAACATGAGCAGATGGGAAGTCTTCGGGTCAAGGGGGTAGAAAGACTCGACTGTTTGGAGAGACGATTCAACCGAGTCCATGAACTCTGGCTGAATACGGCGTCGGAGCGTGATTTTATCTCTGAGTTGAGAGATCCCATCCAAACGCTTCAGGTAGTCGAGTGTCTGAGGATCTACTCCAGGTGGAAGCTCGATGGTTAGTTTCGGAGTAGACCCCAAATAATCTGCAGCATCCAATGAACGGATAAGCCTGGCAAGTGATCCCGACGACTGGGATGCATGGACTACTATGTCAACGTTTATGCGATTCCAGTCTATCCATGACACACGCATTAGATCCTTGATATATAAGATCGAAGTGAATAAGGAAGAACATACCCTTGAGAGCACTGCTATCTATAGAGGCTAGCCACATTATGTCTCTTGAAGTAGGAGGAAGAGAAATGTGAGAAGCGTGAGCCTCCAGAATATGGTTTTCAAGGCCTTTCCAAAAGAAAGAGTCCTCCAAATCCTTCCCTTTAGTTATAATGACTTCTGGGGCGACGTAGGTTCGAATAAACCGAAGGCCCCCGGCAACAGATTTCTCCATTCGCGAATCAGTAGACTGGGCTGCATAATTCGGTCGGCTGTCTAGTGCAATGGTCAACCATGATGTCTTTCAAGAGATCTCAACAATTTTGGGATAAACGTACCATGCCATACCATAGGGCACTCGGAATCCATGATACCGTTCACTAGTTTAATCCCTTCAACCGAAATTTCATCCTTTCCCAAGATAGCAAAGTGAACGGTATTCAGCTTTTTCCGTGCCATTAGACAGGCCAAAGGCAACATATCCGCAACACTCTGCAAATTGGATCCTGCAAACAACACAGTATGACTGGCCTCATTGTCCGGGTGCTTTGTACTTGGGAGCGAGTTGGCCAACTCGTAAAGCTTGATTTTCCCGTCATACGCTGATCCATCTTGAGATTCAGAGCTTTGCGTCTCCGGTTGCAGCAGAACTTCGATCTGGGGGGCCACAGGAGGCTGGACCGAGCTTGGTGGTGGTGGAGGGGAAGATTGTGGGAAGCGCCCTCCTGTTGTAGGGTAATATCGCTCGCGGGCAGGTTTCAAGTCAGTCGGCATGTGCTTGAAGAATTCAAAGATAGCCACGAGGGCAATCAATGCGAGGATAAATCGTCGCAGCCTAAGCATTCTGTGGCAACTTCTCATAGGCCGAGAGTGTTGTGAGCCTACTATGGATTGATGGTCATCGTTCTTCTTACCCAGCTCCTCATCTCTCAGGGGAGACATATTTGCGGGCCAATGCCATAAGTATGAAGCATGAATCCCTTGAAGATTCAAAAAGGAACGGCGCATACGTCAATAAATTCCAACATAAATTCTTTAGGTCCACACCTTGAAGGTTAGAATCATCGTTAGCGGTAAAAGGGAAAGGCTGAAGTTCCAAGGTTCTCCACAAAACTGAGATAATCTTGGTTGTTATCTTATCTCCTTATCTCCTTATCGCGAGCGTTGCTAAATGGACCCCCTTTGCCAAATTAGGCTTAGCCTATACTCATCTATACACTATGTATAGACCAATTCCGGGGTGGATTCTTTTATCATTCTTTGGATCGCGAGTGTTATTATATCCTTGTATTGATTATGAGCAAACTAAAATGCACCATTGAAAATGCCCATGTATGATTAAGAACCCCCTGGCAGACGACCGCTCAAGGACAAGTCTCGGCAAAGTTCATCCAAAAGTGAAAACATGGTAAGGTCACCATCCCTTAGAGCACAGTAGAATTTCCTGTACTCTTCTTGCAGATCCTCCACTTTGAGAATGCTCTTTTCATCAACGTACTCCTTTATATATGTCAACATCGCCATCCAGTAAGTTTCAAACCTAGTGTTGGTATCTCGACAGAGGAGGAGAAGCAAATCTTCACAATATCTGGCAGGACTTGGGATTCGAATGTGGGAGAATTGTGGCAACATCCGTCCACTGCCATGGCCTAGAACATGTGACGGGAGTTGAGGGTCCGGAGCACTTAGAATATCAGAAGACTGTTCAGACTCACCAACTCCGAAGGCGTCCAGCTCCCATAACGTGTCGGACTTTCGATACAAATAAACGGCAAATGTTGTGCTAACATGAAAGTGCTCAAAAGGGGCCCGCGCCTGGTACGCTGGCCAAAGAGGACAACTGGGGCCTTTCGTACAAGAAGAACCGTTCGCTTCTTCAAGGACGGACGAAGCTGTTTCCATTTGTTGATCGAGCACAACAAGAACTAAACCTATGAAAGCTTAAGCTATTATCTCATGAGGCAGTAGGGAGGTACTAACTTCAACGATAGTTGGGACCCCGTAGACTGTCAATAAATAGTTCCCCATAGAAGATTTGATACACCAGCAGAGTTCAATATCTGACACGTCCTTGCGACACGCATGTCTTGTGGTGATGTTATCTCAGAAGCATCAGCCATGGCTGTGAAGCCTGTGATATGTCGAACACTAAAAAGATAGCGTTCATGGAAGCTGAGTAGCTGAGGCGGTTTAAAGGAACAGGCCGACTCACGGATCGACGTGAAAGCCCTCCATTGGAGGGCTGGGCCTCAGAGACCTTGCGCGCTGACATAACCGGGACCCCGGGGCCCCGAGGACGGCACACACGGTGACACACCTGGACAGGTGGGGTGTACCGTGTGCGGGGGCCGCGGGGCCGTGTAGTGACCTAGGCACTACATATTATCAAGATCCATTTGAATAATCTTCAAGCAACCTCCAGAGGTAAAGATTGAACAACATCAAGGATACCACCTTCATCCTCTGAAAGTATAATTTCCAATGGCGGAATTTCCTCCACCGAGCCTGCAACCTCTTATACAGGAGGTGTTTGACCTTCTGAAGGCCCGGAATGAAACAATTTCTGTTGCCGAGACTGTGTGTTTATACTCGATATTCATCCCAGCGGCCTGTCAAGAAAACAAATTAATATTCCACTAGGCTGCAGGTGGTCTCATCTCCGCCTGCCTGATCTCCGCCCCTGGCGCATCGGCTATATACAAAGGCGGATTAACAGTATACACCCTTCAATCACGGATAGAATTCGCAGGTTGGACATCGGAAAACCTCAACAACTACGAAGGCCCGACAATTGAGATCGTCGCGGGCATGGCTGATCATACTCGCCGTACGCTGGGTTCGACTTATGCGGTCAGTGAGAGTGGCACGGCTGGACCTTCAGGCCGCGGGGCAACGAGAAACCGTACGCCGTAAGTTAGGTGAAATTGAAAATTAAGGTGGATAATATTCCTAACGATATACAGCGGCTATGTGGCTGTGGCTGTATCAAGCGCTCAGGGGAGCGTTACACGAGAAATCGAGACGGGAAGTAATAATCGAGCTGAAAATATGGTGGCGTTTGCACGGGAGACATTGAGACTATTGAGAGATATACTATCTCAGATTGAGACTCCATATCTGTAGACTTCCAGGGCTTTGGGAAATACTCAAAGTGCCTTTGCTTTTGAATTGAGGACTGAACTCATTTTGAGCATGTCAAATCCAGTTATTGCTCTCTTGTTCCTACGGTTCTCCGGAGCTCTCTATCATATCTTCCAAGGTTCATAGTTCTACCCTATCCTCAGCGTATATTCCCCTTGTTTCTAGGAGGACTTTTACACATGTGGGAATTTTGGAGAAAAGAAGGTGCTACGTATGCGCGGAGAGCTAATTTTGGCTACAGAGAATGGCCTCATGTCTATTGTAAAAGAAATTGACATAGGACCACTTCTAACACTTCCAAGGTTGTCAGTAGATCCATTCTTAAAAACACAATATAGCGACTTTGAAGTTCATCACACCACTACCTTAAGATTCTGTAGTACATATATAGGTCCTACTAGTAAGGGTGCACATATGTAGGCTAGGTAGGCTTTTACCACTTTAAAAGGTCTGAACTATTTATCTTAAATTTAATTATTGGTTTAGCTAAATAGACAAAGTGAGAGATCTGATCAGTCATAGGTAGCTAAGAGGAAAGGCTACTTTACTAGAGAAATATCACCCTTAACACAGAGACTAAAGAAGGTACTAGCTAGGCCACTATCATAGCTAAAAATGCTAATGCTTTTGTTCTGCCGTTCCTCACTGTAGGTACTTCATTACTCTTACTTTCCTCAGCTCTTACTTCCTTTTCACTTTCACCTTACTTACAGTAACTTTCACTTCACTTACTGTTTACTTTTATTATGAATTTTTCCTTATAACTACTTTACCTATTAAGAACAGGGAGTACGGAGTAGGCTAGGCAGATATGCATAAGTTCGTAATTTTGGTCTAGCGTATGAATAATGAGGCGCAGCGTAGCTGAGCGGCTGAGATCGTCCTTAATCACGGCGCTTATGGACACTGATTAACCTGGTTTCCCCTCAGTCTGCTGAGTATGTGTTATCTCTTTCCCCGCTGTCACTGCTAAAGACCAGAGCTTCATTACTAGACTTCACCATGTCCGGTCTGGAAGCATTCAGCCTTGCTTGCAACATCATGACAGTCATAACATTTGCCCTGGATACTGCCAAAGTCTGCCGCAGCATCAAAAAAACTGGAAGTTCAGATCCTGACCTCAAACGGAATACATCACACAGGAAACAAATTTTGAGCGATGTGGAACAAGCGTTATAGTTGAACCCGACACAACCGACCGATGCAGAAAGGCGCCTTCGAAAACTCGCCACAGAGTGCATGAAATACGAAGAAGATACTCAGAAGGAGCTGGACTATACTTCTGGCCAAAGCTTTGAAAGATTTGCGGCCGTGAGATCTACTCTTCGCACAGTGCGACGCAGACGTCATATCGATGAATGTACATAGCGACTGGAGGCTGCGAAATCCACTCTAGATTCGGCGCTCCTTGCTGAAATATTTAGCGAATTAATGCAGTCGAAAGGGTCCAAGATTTCTATCTACGACAAACTCAACAAGCAACAGCAAGACTTGCTTGATAATAACCACCGCACTCGAGACCTCCTCGTTGATTTCAGAGCATCCGAGGAAGCACAAGCCTATGAAAAACTTCTGCTCGGTCTGAAATATGAACATTTGAACAGCAGAAAGACCAGTATACTGCATCAACATAAGAGCACATTTGAATGGATATTTCCAGACAAAAAATCCGAAAGCAGCCCCGGAGTGGCCAATTCTGGGGACAACACAGATGGTGCCGTCTCATCCAGCAGTATGAGCACTGGTAGCACAATATCCAGCCAGAAAGTTAGAGACGATGGTTTGGTTAGGTGGCTGCAAAAAGACCGGGATTGTCTGGACTGTCATGAGCATGATATTCAGCAGAAAGTGAAAGATGCTGGGTTTGTCAAGTGGCTGCAAGAGGACAGCCGTTGTCTGTACTGGGTAAATGGTAAACCCGGATCTGGCAAGAGTACATTGATGAAGTTCATCGAGAATGACGAACGGACCAAGAAAGCACTTCAAGTCTGGCAACCAAAATGCAACATTATCTCACATTTCCTGTGGAAGCCGGGGGCTGAAAATCAGCGGAGCTTGAAAGGGATGCTTTGTTCTCTGTTTTATCAGGTCCTGTGCGAAGAGAGGTCTTGTACGAAGAGAGAGATTTTGCGCTCCGAATTTTACGTGATGATCCACGCCTTGTTAATAGAAACGGCATAGCCGATTGGGATGTGGAAGATCTAAAACGGCTACTCTTTGAAGTCTTCCCTTGCTCTTCTTCTGCATACTTTGTTCTTCTGGATGGTCTGGATGAACTTTCTCAATCTGACGGAGGGCCAAGTAAGCTATTTCCTCTCTTGGAGCGGTTGAATGCAATGGAACAAATAAAGCTTTGTGTCTCCAGTCGCCCCGAGCGTCTGTTCTCTGACAAATTCGAGTCTTTTCCTTCGCTACGCATGCAGGATTTAACGCAAGGAGACATTTACAAATACAGAACCGACTTTCTCGAAGAGCTTCAGCTTCGGCCTCATGATGAACTTCATCAAAAAATCTCCGATAAAGTTACATGGAAAGCAGAAGGCGTTTTCATATGGGTTTATGTTGTTCTACAGAGTGTCAAACATGGAATCAAACAGTACAATGAAGCATGGGACGATATATACGACCGCATCACCAAACTGCTGCCAGATCTCATGAAGCTTTACAAGGACATGTGGTCTAGATTGAGTGAAAAGAATGAGAAATACATCAAGAAAGCAGCACGGTATTTTGAGTTTATTGGTAGTTCCTTCAATGGAGAAAGGAACGTCGCTATGCTTGCCCTTATAGCAGATGATAATGTTTTGGATGTTTTTATCAGACCAAATGAGTTTGCATACGTTGAGAATTTGGCGAAGATGTGCAAAGACACTGCCAAAACACTGATGCCAGTGTCTGGTGGACTTCTGGAGGTCGATCCAGGTTATTTCCCCTCACACGAATACTGTGAATCAGCATCAGAGGATGAACGAAAAATCCTTCTGTGGGTAAGAAAGGATGTGCAATTCATACACAGAACTGCCAAAGACTTTCTTGGTAGTGACGAAGGGATCAACCTGTTTGAAAAATACGGATTGGGATATGACGCCTCCCTCTCGCTATATGTCAAAGCACAACTGGCTTTGTGTTCTGTTACCCGTTACGAACGTCATCCTCTCTTTAACATTTGGCATACATTCATGCTGCAGAGCTACTCCCCAGGTCTTCCTCAATCAGTTCATAGAACTTTATCCCTAATTCATCAATGTGCCGCTAACGAACCTCGGGGACTGGTACGGCCGCCCTACTTGATAAGCCACGAAAATTTCTTCCTCTTTGAGGCATCCCATTATGGCTTCTATGAATATGTTGCAGAATTTCTAGAATCCGGTGGAGGTTACAACCTCACTGCTTCAATTTACGTTTTGATCGGTGCATGTGACTTGCATCATGTTGTTGAAGACCGCTCTTCTTCATGTACACGCTATCTGGCCATCAAGGACGTCTTGCAAAGGCACTGTCAATTAGCCCCAAAAGGCCCAATGGCTTCTGGAATTTGGAGTGCATCTGAGGGCATCATGCTCGCTTGGCGTTGCTTTCTCCTTCATGAGGTGTCTGGGAACTTCAAACACCAATTTGTGGGGGTTGACGGAAAGATTGTAGAAGATATCTTGGAGATGTTCATCAAATGTGGTGTCATTTTGATGTCACCAAGATCGAAGTATCTGATAGCGGTACAATGTAGCAAACTGAGAACCGTGAAAAGTGCCAGTGTTCAGGGAACTGACCTCGGACTCGGATATGAATGCTCCCGCTGCCCACATTTAAATCTAGTGGATCCCACAATATATATCGAGGTCAATGACGAATTTCTGCTTGCAGAACTCTCAAAAAAGATTTCTGGAGCATCGGAGCTCGTTTTAGCGGAGGCAAAGAATTCATCCATGCGCCCTATCCTGGCTGACGATGGCACGAATTTTGGGGACCGCCCTGGAGCCCATACAGCCACATTCTTCCACATAAAAGTTCCTGAAGACGATCAGGAATTATTCAAGGACTGGATATTCAAGACGGACTTGAAATTTGAACAAAAGATTTTCCCTGATGAACAACCTAGCTTTTTGCAAGCAGTCGATCTAGGAGGGTTTGAAAAGGCCCTCCAGGCTCTAGAGAAGATCGGCTACGATTTGCCAGAAGTGAACAAGGGTTATGACTGTCTACACACATGGCTTTAGCCGTTCAATGTATTAATTACACACTTGAAGAATTTCAAGAAGACCCCTCATGCATCTTCAAAGTTTGGATAGTTCTTGAAAAAACTGTACATATTTTGTGAATTTTAATAGCTCCCTCCGTACAGCTGGCATGTAACGGTATAGTGCTTACAGGCTAAGCCTAATTAGGCGACTATGTATTTTCTGGGGGTCAATTTAACAACGCTCGTTATCTTATCGCGGCATCCAGCTCCGCGTTGCTTCTCCACTTCACGATTCTAACGCGCCACGAATTTCCAAGACAGCATGGACGCCGAAATGGAGATCGATTCGCCGGATCTACGAGGTTCAAAACGCGCAGCTGAAGATGCTGATTTATCAGAAGTGCACAAGCCGAAGAGGATCAAGGTAGAAAGTGTTTCACTGTTGATTTACAGCAGTATAGCTAATCACAATTCCCTCAATTAGGCTCTCGACCCTAATGTCGTCAATAAAATTGCCGCCGGCGAAATCATCGTAGCTCCAATGCACGCATTGAAAGAGCTGATCGAAAACTCGGTGGATGCTGGTTCTACAAATATTGAGGTCCTAGTGAAGGATGGAGGGTTAAAACTGCTGCAAATCACAGATAACGGGCATGGGATCGATGTAGGACCTCGAAATCGAAAGGGATATTGATACAAAGACTGAAGCTGACGTCTTAAAGCGTGAGGATCTGCCCATTCTATGTGAGCGATTCACAACTTCCAAACTCAAGGAGTTCGAGGACCTATCATCCATTGGCACCTATGGATTCCGTGGTGAAGCATTGGCAAGTATCAGCCATATTGCGCATTTGACTGTTACTACAAAAACTGCTGGCTCTAGTTGCGCCTGGCGGGCACACTATGGTGAAGGCAAACTAGCTCCAGCGAAGCCAGGGCAGAATGCTGCTCCGAAAGCGACAGCGGGGCGTGGGGGAACCCAGATCACGGTGAGCACAGCTTTCTTATAGAGTCTCAGGGAAACCCAATTCTGACCGTTGTCACAGGTCGAGGATCTATTCTACAACATCCCTAGTCGTCGCCGTGCGTTTCGCTCTTCCAGTGAGGAATATGCCAAAATTCTCGACGTTGTTGGGCGATACGCAGTGCACTGTGCTGGGGTTGGTTTCTCATGTAGAAAGCATGGCGACTCTGGCGTGAGCATTTCCACCCCATCTGCCGCCAGTACAGTTGACCGTATCCGCCAAATCCATGGCAGTGCAGTCGCAAATGAGCTTGTCGAATTCGAGTCTTCAAACCAGAAGCTCGGTTTCCGTGCTTCGGGTCTGGCTACAAATGCCAATTACCATGTCAAGAAGACGACTATTCTCCTATTTATCAATCACCGCGCTGTTGAGTCAACTGCTGTGAAACGTGCAATAGAGCAGACCTACTCCGCATTTCTGCCCAAAGGCGGACATCCTTTTATCTATCTGGACCTGGAAATCGAACCCCATCGCGTTGATGTCAATGTGCACCCAACGAAACGGGAGGTCAATTTCCTCAACGAAGATGAGATTATTGAGATGGTATGCAGTGAGGTCAGGTCCAAGCTAGCACAAGTTGACTCAAGCCGTACATTCCTCACACAAAGCCTCCTTCCTGGTGCCCAAACCATCGAGTCCCTCCAGCCGGATCAGGCTTCTGAAGGTGCAACAGACGGAAAACCCGCAAAACCTGCAACCACTCCAAAAACACCAGGCACATATAAAAGACCCGATGAGAGCAAACTTGTTAGAACAGACTCCAAAGTTCGAAAAATCACTTCCATGCTTGCCCCTTCTCCTGCACAGGAGACGTCGGATGCCAATGTTCAACCCGGGATCCCACCTCCTCCCATCGAGGACGATGGCCTCCAATACGAGACCACAGACCGACAACCCCTCAGAATCGCCCTTACATCTATCAAATCTCTCCGCAGCGCCGTTCGCTCGAAAATGCATAATACATTAACTGAAATGTTCGCCTCACACACATACGTCGGTCTCATAGACGAGCGAAGACGTCTAGCAGCAATTCAATCCGGCGTAAAGCTGTTCCTAATAGACTACGGTCTTGCCTGCAACGAGTTCTTCTACCAAGTCGGCTTAACAGACTTCGGAAACTTTGGAACTATTCGACTTGATCCGCCACCAAAGCTGGTTGACCTATTAAACATTGCTGTCGAGGCAGAGCAAGAAGAGCACAGCAACAGCAATGATAACGAAGCGGAGACAGTCTTTGCGCAAGCTGCGGAAACAGTCTCTCGGTCACTAATTGAGCGCCGCGAAATGCTAAGCGAATATTTTTCCATGGAGATAAGCGAGGACGGTGATTTGCTTTCTATTCCCCTCCTGTTGAAGGGTTATGTCCCCTCTCTTGCCAAACTCCCGCGCTTCTTACTCCGTTTGGGTCTATATGTAGATTGGAATTCGGAGGAGGAATGCTTTAGTATGTTCTTGCGTGAGCTAGCGGCCTTTTACACCCCAGAGAAACTGCCTGTTTTACCACCGGAGCCTACAAGCGATGAGGACCCTACTGCATCTGAGCCGGAAGCTGAGGATCCGTTTATTGTGACTCGGCGAGCACAGATGGCTCGAATGCTTGAGTATGCTATCTTTCCAGCTCTTCGTGCTCGTCTAGTTGCCACTACACGGATGTTACGGGGTGTGGTGGAGGTTGCTGATCTGAAAGGTCTCTATCGAGTGTTTGAGAGATGCTGAGGAGTTTATTGGTATTTTCAAGACACATTGGGGTCCTATGATTCTACTCGTAGCATCTTCAAAAGAATCCATATTTAATACATCCAAAAGTATGTCGTTGAATCTGAATCCGATTCTGGCTTTCATTGCTTCCTGTACATGCTTGAATCAACAGCCTTTCCAAGGTTCCATAGATTTGTTATCGATGAGTACATGCAGCGAAATCACAGTAAGTTCAAAATGGTTCCAAAAACTCCCAGACCTGCATGGTTGGGGTGATCGTATCAGGGGTGATCGTATCATATTCTCGATCAAAAAATGGAAGAAATAGTAGTACTCGAGTACTCACGAAGAAGAAAAGTAGAATAAATGGTGTGAAATGAAATATAAGTGTCTGAAAACGAAGCAGTCATGAAGAACAAATGTGGTATGAATGCCAAAGAAAAAGACTATCCGAAGATATGTAAATAGGGATTCGAGAAAAAAACAAAGACAATATGAGAACAAGGCATAGCATTGTCCACATGACTGCTTGATGATTTTCGATCCATCACCCGATAACTCCAGGCGCCAAACGGTCATGAAACAAATGTGTTTCGGGAAACAAAATCATGCCCTGGTCGTAGAAGTCGTGTTTCAAATCATGAAAACTGGGCGCAGCCCATAGCCCGTGAATAAACCCCCGGGTATTTAGAAAGACAAGTCAAACTGAAACAAATAAATAAAACAAAGACAAAGATCCCCAAGAAAAAGAACATCATAATCAATCATATGAGATCAGCCTCGAGTTTCACTCTTTACTGCTCTAGGTGCGCGAGTATGGCTTGTTCAAAAGAGCAATCTCACGACAGATGCTAGCCCATTCAAGCTTTCGCCTTCTAGAACCACCCAGACGTTGGGTTTGGAATTCTTCCCATTGTAGAAGCTCGTAACTAAAATAGAGTTAGTTGTATTGCACCTTAAATATCGAGTTGTGACTTACACGAAGCGCAAGTGAGGCTGAATGATGACATTGAGTCGTCTAGCCCGAACAAAACAATAGGCAGATGGAAATGTCATATCTTTAGCGGCCATTACTTCGGCAATGCAAATACTAGCGGATCGTGAAACCCCCACGCGACAGTGAACCAAGGTTGCGGTTTTGTCGTTCTTTCCATTCTCTATTTCAGATTAAGTCAGTTACAACCCATCGTCAAACATGTCAACACCACCCGTGGACTCTCAGGTTCTCACTTACCAATGAACTTCAAGCATCGGCCATATTCCTGGCACAACGGATCAATCCCGTTGTCCTGTACGTTATCGATGTACATGAGGTTCTCTTCACCCCATTTATCACGTTGCTCTGGAGTCCAAGACACAGGTTCTCCAATGCTCAATACACGTCTGATTCCCAATGCCCAAAGCAACTCGGGGTTATTGGCATGATTAATGTTGCCCAAATACATATAATCCAATATACGACTGGGCAGTGAGCCATCAATCCTCAGAAACCAGTCTGGATCAGACAACTCAGTGGGTTGCGTGAACTTGTTAGCAGGACTTTCTTGCAAAAGACGAGTCTGAATATGACTCAGAAAGGCGACATCGGTGGGGTATGCAAAGAAGTTGCGCTTTCTGTCACAATGCAACTTGAGATATGCCTCGTTTACCGGAACACCCTCTGCAAACATGAAATATGCGACTGCAAGCAAAGTGCTCTCTGTGTATCCGTCACCGCAGTGAATCAACACTCTAACGGGTTTCCTGGGCGAGCGAGTCTCAACATCACCATCGTGATCCATCTCTTCAGTTGGCTCTGGGTGAGCCAGGTAATAGATCCATCTAACAGTGTTTACAAAATCTTCAAGCTCACGGCTGTTATCCGAGGGCAGAACAATGGACCCTGACGAAGGGAACTCAATACGTTGAGCACCAGACTCAAGTTTCTTGTCAATTGCAGCAAGAAATCGAGGACCAGGAATACTTGCAACATCACTAGCTTCGATCATGAGATCATAGGAATCTTTTTCCAATGCATCATATCCATCTGGGTGCACAGTATATTCGGGAGTTGGTCCAAGCCATACATTTGCTGAGATTTCAGATGCACGAGACATGTTGGCCATCTCAATGCGCTCCCATTGAACTAAAACGTTGTTGTCGGTATATTGCAACAGGTAAGGCGATTTTGGGAAAACTTACCTAGGTCCATGCAGCTACCAGTTAAATAACCATTTGCGTCCGCCGATACCCAACTGGGGCATTTTTGAGCAAACTCGGAAAAACTGCCTAGTGGAATCATCAATATCTGCACATCACTTCTGGTACTTGGGAATAGCCATGATACTTACTTGTTAGCACAAATGTATTGTATGACTTCCGTTCCTGCATTGGATCATACTTCAGTCGCCAAGCTGCCTGTGCCAGGGAGAACTCGTCCGCGAGTGCAATCAACTCTTCACGATCAACCCCGTCGGCACCATAGATTACAATGTCCGACAGGGGAGCCAGTTTGGCTGTTTGGATGTGAAAGTTTCGAACAGAGAATCCCTCGGGAGGATCGGCCATCAAGAAACGCGACAGGGGGGATATCACCTCATTCGGTGACACTGCGCCTCGAATCCGAGACTTGGTGAGGTCTCCTCCCAGCTTGACGAGGGTGATCCCACGCCAGGCCTTAGGAGGCTTCCGCTGTGTACGTTTGCGACTGGCAAAGAACCCAAGCTGCACATGGTTGTCTGAATGCAATCCATGAAGCCAAGGAAACATGTGTGCTGGGTCAGGTAGCGGTTGAGCTGCCTGATACCCGAGCGCCTCCCCCAGAGTCTGTGCGTTGATACCATACACTTTTGCGCCCGGGGGGGTTGGAAATGATGGAATAACAGAAAGGCGGATAGAGGATCGACGCGACTTGACCGTGACTCGATCGCTGCCCGGGGGAGTCTGGACGGGGATAATCGACAGGTGAAGGGCCCGTAGGGCAGACAGGGAGATGTTTGTTGGGGATTGGGCTTGCTCGCCGGTTAACCATCAATGCCGGAGACATGGAGGAGGGAGGTGGGGTTGAATGGCGCAGCGTATGCTGCTGCTGAACAATCACAGTCGCCATGATAAGATTTGACTGAGCTCACACTCAGTGGACCAAAATATAATGTTTCTTCGTTTCTGAACGTCAATACGTTCAAAAGCCCAACAAGGATTCAGCAGCCGCAAATCAGGAGATCACGGTTACATCCTTTTGCCCCCACAATTGTGACAGGGGGCACTTATTTCTTGGTCTAGGGGGTATGTACTCGAAATTTCAAGTGAAGGTCTTTTCAAATGCCTTGAAAAACGACCCGTTGATGGAAGAAATGGATGTGGAGGTTCAGAAGCTGTAAGGCTACAAATGTGATAGATCGGGTGGAGGTCAAACAAAACTCGGAGACCCACAGGGTGGGAAAAGAGAGAATGTTGTAGGGGGAAAAGAAGGAGATGATGCCCGAGGAAGCACAACCAGTCAAACAGCTGTGATAAGAACGGAGCAAGGGATCAGGAATGAACCGGAATGAAGATGGAACAGAGGTAGAAGTAGTAATTGGTAAGGGGGAAAGAGAGAAAAGAGGGGGAAATCGGAGGAAATACAAGGTGGAAGTAAAAGTAGAAATCGAAGAAGTTGAGAAGATAAATAGTTTAATAAAATCCACGTACCCCCCTTAACTATTCCTGGGAGTCATACCGTGATAGAACTCAACTGTGCTTCTTTAACATTTGTCGAAAAGCTCATCAGATCATCACTCAGTTCCAATGTTATCATCCGTCTTCCCCGGCTCCACTATATCTCTCCGTTGTTATCACCCTTTCTTTAATAGTGTACTTCCGTCAACGTATGTATGGAAGCATTAGTTAGGCTCCATCTTCGACATTTGACACATTGATAGGCTACAACTCATAACCTTTCCCAAGGCCGATTACCCTCTGGCACCAATCAATATACGGCATCTGATTCCGATGACGCTATGATTCTCTGATTGTCTGATTTCCCCCCCTCTTATTCCTTGGGCCCAGATTCCTAGCCGTGCGCACTCCACTTTAAAGGACCCCGCACTGAGTGATAACTCTTGGAAACCGGATGCTTCTGGATATCCACACAAAGAGAAACTCAATTTAACTTGATGTTATGAGGTTTTTATCAGGTCCTCATCACTTCAAATGTTCAAGTTTATTGACTATGGGTTTCTATGTATAGATCTGTCGGTTTATTTACAATCAAACTTGAAAAAATGCAGGACGGGTATAGACTCCGTATGGAGCCTTAGTGTCCCGGTACTTTGAACATGGTCTATATACATCACGATGGGGCCAACCCCGGATCGCCAATGCGATCCACTCCCACCGGGGGGTACGTGCAGGAGATGATGCCAAACCCCCGTCAGAATTCTCAAATCAATGGGATTTTATGAGATCCTATTTGTTGAGATGCGGGTGTCCAAGGAAGAAAACCAGGCACACACCCTTGTTCTAACCATCTAAGCCGCTAAGAAAAAAACTGGTCTTTAGATCCAGATGTCTCTAGTCTCGTCTAAAGTAGCACAACAGAGGGGAATATCTTGATGTATTCAAGTCACCCCTCGCGTAGCGTTTGATAACCCTCGTACACACGGACTCACACACACACACACACACACACACACTTGTAAAAAAAGAACATAAAATGCATTAACGAATCGGGAATACGAACGAATCAGAGACTGCATGCTGCATGACTCCCCCAATCATTTATCGGCAATATCTTGTAACTCCTGTGCCAGGCGACGCAGGTAAAAACGTGCCATATCAGGCGGAACTCCCTCGAAAGATCGTGTAATACACTGCAATCCTTCTCTGGAGGTCTCATATGCGTGTAGATCCTGATTGCCATAGAAATCATGTCCTGGTGCATAACTTTTGGGAAGGTTACGGAAAAAGACGTCCACAGCCACACTCACCTCACTTGTGGCCGAGCATGCCGTGTGTAACCATAATGGGGGGATGAAGAGGATCTCCCCTGGCTGCAGAATGACTTCGCGGGGCGAGGTACCTGGGATAGCCGTGGCGGCATCCAGGCCAACGGTTTGGAAAATGTCAAGGGTGGAAGTGGAAGTACCGGGGGTAATGCGCAGAGATTGGACATTCTTGGGTGGGAACAGGATTAAGCGTCTTTGACCACGGATTTGACAAAGTACATTGGCCATAACCTGGTTTTTGTTTCATTTTGATTAGATTAGTCTGGTTACTCCTATTGGATTTCTTTCAATAATCCATGCAATTTTTCCGTGTTTCCCTTTTTAAATGTCTCTTGGAGGGTTCAAGTGGGGGAAAAAGAGAGGTGCATATGTGGACTTTTGGCTGGTGGGTCTGCGGAGTAAACACTCACATTGTAATAGGGCGACATCGTAACTGGCCCCGAAATCCGCAATGGAGAACTATGAACATTATTGGAGACTAAGTTCATGTACTCGGGAAGCCTGAAATCCCCCTGCAGAGAGGGGAAATCCGTTTCCAGATTATCTGGTAATTTGGACGGTTGCTCCGAGATAGATCGGAGATACTGACGGCCGCCAGCATGAACTTCATCTAAGAAAGTACCAAAGTCCTTGGTTACAGATGTGAAATTCTTGGACTGGATATTCATCGAATCCGATTGGGCCTCGTGCACCACAAACTAATTTCGAGAAACATTAGAAATAATAGAGGAGTTAGGCTTTAAGCCCTTGGGTTCAACTGCAGATAGGGGATGTCGTGTGATAGGGTAGCTGCCTTACCTGGCGATCTGCGCCGACAGAATTGATCAGGTATTCATTGGTCCATATCTCAGTGCAGGGGCCGAAATCCGAGCTCTCAATCACGACTGGCTTGCCATTATCCACGATTTGTTGGAATTGTGCTGCCGATTCGATTCGTGTCCTAGTGATTTGGACGGGCTTCTTCGCCTTCTTGTTAACTGGACGGCCTTGCTTCTTCTTCGGTTGCTTCTTCGATTTGGGTTTGATGATGGCGATTGGTGTCTCTGTCTTGGGAACCACAAGCGCCCATGAATTCTCCTTTGCAGAGCCTTGAGGCTCCAAAGACCAAGTTCCTTCTGTCCAGAAGGTGCCGAATGCGTAGCATGTTGCGCCTCCACCGAGGAAAAGTACACTATCGGACTCCGTATTACAGGAAACGTGTCCGGTGAGTAACGGTCGTGGACCTGCAAATGCACTCCCTAGGCCGATTGAACAGATAAGAGGTTGGCTGCATGGTGTCGTCACCTTCGATGATTCCAGAATTCCTTTTGTATCCAGGAGCAAGATTTCTGTATCTGCTGTGATTAACTGACGGGGAATGATTCCTCCAGCAACAATCAACCCAGTTGAGATGGTATTGACTGTGGCACCAAATCTGCTAAGATATTGGAAAAGACGCGGTGATGACTCTTGCACATATTCTGTGAGGTTTACGAGTTCAACCTGCCAAGACCCATCAATCTTCCTGGAAAGAGTCCAGGTCCAGAAATCCTCCAGAATGGTTCCATTGTGTCTAATACCTCCAAACAAGACACCAAAGCTATCATTAATTTTGGCGAAAGATGCCCCGTAACGAGCCTCGGGCTGTGGACCTATTGTGTCCACTTTTTGCCATCCTTGATCATCTTTCTCATTCCAGAGTAACCAGCTGTCCAGGATAACGTTCTCCTTTGTCTTGCCTCCATAGACAAGGATTGACCCGGAGTCATCATTGACTGAAATCTGGGTGGCGTTATGGCGGAATCTTGGCTCGGGCAAAGAATGGACCTGTCGCCAGCTGTTGTCCTGCTTCAACCAGCAATCATCCAGAGGAGCACCAGGGGATGTTCGGCCACCAATAAGGAAACATTTACCCGTCCTGTCATTCAGAGAGGTAATAGTGTGACACATCCTGGCGGGGATGTCACGCGACAGGGAAGTATTTTGTGATTCGTCGGCATCTTCCGGCGTATACACATCTGTTGAGGACAGTCGGTTTTGTTCGCCTTGTCCTCCGTGATGACCAAGTATATCATTTTCTTTGCCACCGGGGACAAGGGCGCCATATCGTCGCCTGCCACGTTTTTCGACAGGGCAATGTGGCTTCAGAATGAACATTTCAGAGAGGTTGGAGAGTTCCTGCTCTGCGAGACTGGCATGGGAATTATCATTTGCTTGTTTGGGGCCCTCAGAATTGTTTGATGCTATAAGCAAGAAATAATGAGATGCGAAAAGTGCGAACTCTTCCCATTCATCAAATGCCTCGTATGCATCCAGACCAACACGAACAGACTCGGGTACGAATGTATCATCCGACCATAAATCCCACAGGGTCCTGGCTTTGGCTTCAGCCCACCCAGCATTCCTGAATCGCTGTTCCTGCTCGGCCAGGGAAGGAAACTCGTGGATGGAAAATAGTGGTGCACCCACCTTGTTGAAGTGAGTCATCATAGTCTTCGCAAATGGATGCTCAGGACCATCCGGGAAGAACTGCTCTAGAATACAGAATTGGACGTCTGCGTATATCATCAGTCGGTTGGTTCACTCATAGGTCATATGTTCTCATGAGTTTGACCATATCCCACTAATATGAATTTCACTTACCATTGGTCAATTTTGATGCCCATTTGACAACCTCGTTGGCAGAATGAACATCCATGTATGTTAAGGACACCTCGGCCAGGAAGAGCACAGAGCATTCCGTAGATGGGAGAATGTTGTTTCGCAGAACATCTTCTAGCTTTTTCAAGTTCTTCAGATCGCAGCCCACAGCGCGATAACGAGAACTATGGATCTGAATCCCATCTTCATCTGATCCAAATTCTACATCCCCAAGCACATCTGTGATCTCCGGAGTTTGACGAATAGCATTCTTCTTGTGGATCATGAGCTTCTCATAGTCGATATCCACGAATACGGTATGCCCACTACGCATCGATTTATGCTCCTCGCTGAGGAGTATGAAGGGTAACGGATCACTAAGACCATAATCTCAGTATGTCTACCCTCCCTTGCAAATTGTAATTCAAGTTCCAACTACTCACTATCCACATCCAAGATTCAGCACGAATTTGGGTTTGTCCGCAGGAGCCTTCGCGATAAATTGTCGCACTGTCTCTGCCATAACTTGCATCCGCAACCAATATCCACGATTGATAATCGGCGATCGCCTTTGAGGTTTTTTCACGAAATGCTGGAAGAAATGCGGTTCGGGGTAGTAGATCGTTTCGACACTGCGCTTGGATGCGATACTGCTGTTATTTGTCTATAAACAAATCAGGTTAACTTATTGGTCTAGGACCTCAATTGTAGGGTAGCCATACACCCATAACAAGATCAGCATCTTTCTCAGCCTTAGTGGCCACGGCCACCACAGGTCGAGCAGGTCGCGCCATTTTGTAGTTGATGATGGAGGGGAAATCTATCAAAAATCTATTATCGATAAGAATTTCGTAGGCGGTGGAGAATCAAGGTGTGGCCCAAGCGCCCTCGGAGACCTCTCGCTTGTGACGACCGAGTTCCCTCGAGAGCTTCTCTGAAAGTCACCACCTCTTTCTTTCACATCTGCTACCTTTTCACTTTACAATATCGGCACATAGAGGGGCGATGATTTGGCATACATGGTGACGGGCAACTCCTCGCTGGTCTAGCCCCCATTTTGCGCCTCTTCCCAAGCGGGGTCACTACGAGCCGCGGCTCTGATATCCACCAAAAGAAGGCGATTCGCACTCCACATATCTTCAAGATGGCTATGAACTTTGTTACATTCAACCAGGACTACAGCTACCTGGCTGTAGGTGAGTTTTCCCCTCCAGCTAGTCTTTTACTTGCCGAGTATGATTTAGCCTAAAAGTGATCATCCTTGTTGACGTCAGCTAGCAACGGCCAAGGGGTTTCGCATCTTCACGACGGATCCATTTGCCAAGAGCTATGAAACCAAGGAAGGAAATATTGCTGTGATTGAGATGCTATTTTCAACATCGTTAGTAGCTCTCATTCTTTCTCCTCGAAGGTTACAGATTACGAACACCAAGGTTTGTTGCCGACTGCATCAAGGCAGCTATTTTTCTTTTATTTAAACATTGCGAGAACTAACAAATCGGTTGCATCACTTTAGCGTCAATGCACAATATGTGAATTAACATTTCCAACAACGGTCTTATCTGTCAAGCTGAACCGTAAACGTTTGGTCATCGTCCTCGAAGACCAGATCTATCTTTATGACATTCAGACCATGAAGCTTTTGTCCACAATCGACACATCACCAAATCCACATGGTATGGTCAAGATTTGAACTTGCCACTCTGACCATGTACTAACGAGGATTATAGCTATCTGTGCATTGGCACCATCTTCTGATAATTGCTACATGGCATACCCCTTGCCTCAGAAGGCTCCCGCAACAGTAAAACAACCAGCACATGCACCCCCAGGGACAACACACGTTTCGCCCACTACAGGAGATGTTCTCATCTTCGATGCCGAGAAGCTCGAAGCCATCAATGTGATCGAAGCTCATCGGTCTCCCTTGGCCTGCATCACACTAAACAGCGATGGAACACTGCTTGCAACAGCCTCAGACAAAGGAACTATTATTCGAGTCTTCTCCGTTCCTGATGGCCACAAGCTCTACCAATTCCGACGTGGCTCCATGCCTTCACGAATCTATAGCATGTCATTTAATACTACCTCCACACTCCTCTGTGTCTCTTCATCCACAGAAACCATTCATCTTTTCAAGCTCAGCCAACAGGGACCATCATCAGATGGATCATCAAGTCATTCTCAAACCGGTCGTCATACTAGCTTGGGAGCTAGCTCCTTTGGAAGTGGACAAGATGAAGATGAGAACAGCGCTGATGCCGACCTCGCATCTCGAAAGCACAATGGGACTCTGATGGGTATGCTTCGACGAACATCACAAAATGTTGGAGGAGCTGTTGCTGCTCGCGTGGGTGGTTATCTTCCCAAGGGTGTCAGTGAGATGTGGGAACCAGCTCGAGATTTTGCATGGATCAAGCTGCCACGATCCCAAAGCTCCGTCGGAGCTGGGAGCGCAGGTCCCATTCGAAGTGTGGTTGCGATGAGCAATAATACGCCCCAGGTGATGGTTGTCACCAGTGACGGAAACTTCTACGTCTTCAATATCGACTTGTCTAAGGGTGGAGAAGGAACCCTTACGAAGCAGTACTCGTAAGTGAACCGAAATGCCTTTACAAGCTATTTGCTAATTTCTTCGCAGGGTTGTTGATTCGAATGATAGATTGGGCCCCATGGACTATTAAATTACCAACCTCCCATATTTACATTCAAAAATAGGTCCCACCTGACGTTGGATCGTCCCGAAGGACTGAGTGAACTTGGGAAACTTTTTTTGAATACAAATATGGGAGGTAGTACTTTTTCAGTGATGTGGTGTCTTAATCAACGTTGATATTTCTACCACTGAGCACACTCAATCCCCATGAATAGCTCTCTACCTCCCCCCTCTTTTTCTTTTCTGTCACTGGCAAATATTCCCCTCGTTCGAAGCGATAGCGATTTCACTCATGCCTGGCGTCAGCACACCACTGTTACATGTATCCTCGAGTTCTCCTTCTTTGGGCTATTATTTTAGCCACCGGAGGTTTGCGTCTTTTATGGCTAGTTCCGATCCTCGATATCCATTTCAATTGAATTTTCAAATATTGAACGCACATTAGGGTTCCACAAATTTGGACCATTTTCAAATGTTCTTTGTAGCAAAGCTTATCAAGGAAAACTTGAATCTGGCCAGCCTGATTACCAAAAAATCAAAGTAAAACGCACACTGAATAATCCAAGCTGATTAAGAAGACTGGTCTGGTTCAAGGTGGATTTTAATCGCTCAAAAGCCCACGAAAGGGGCATCATATTTTATACATGTCTAATCTATGCAACTCGCTATGTCTATATCTATCTGAATGCTCTCCGTATATACGTTATGTAAATCATGTACAATCAATAATTGAATCAATCCTCAATTGATCCTTCAAATCCAGACCAAGAGGGCCGCCTCCGGGCGATAGATAAGGGAGTCCGTCGGCGAATCACGGCGAACTCCGCGACTCGGTCCAAAGTGGGTCAACGAAGTAAACCAGGCCGTGCGCGAAGGAAGCCAAAAATGGTCCAACCTATACACGTAAAGTTAGCACGAGCTCCTGATAAGAAACATATGGTGTAATAGATCAAGCAAATGATCCTGACGAAACTCACCCAGTGGACCCAATGATAAGTGGGAAACTCCGACGCCACATAGGCTCCGAAACAACGTGCCGGGTTAAGACCTGCATTGGTATAAATTAGCCCCTTGGCCTTGTTGATCTCCTTTTTCTTTTTTTGGTTGTATGTTTTTGCTTCCTTTTTCACCCCTGGGATTGAGGATACTGCAGTCTGCTTTTCTTTTTTCGCTTCTGTATCTCATGGGGTTGTTGCACTTACTCGCTCCAATATACCCTTCACGAGTGAAAGCGGTAGCCCAGCAAATCACTCCAACTGCAACACCAACAAGCCATGGGCTAACGGCAGGACCAAAGACCTTAGCTTGACGCGGGTCGAGGGCTACACCGAAACACAGGAAGATCAGAGCCAGGCAGGACATGAACTCAATGACCAAGCCATCCTTGGGGGCCACGAAGGCGGTGTCAATGTGGCAACCTCCAACAGTGAAATCACGGTTACCGTAAGAGGTGTTGAGAGCAAGTCCAGCCAGAGCTCCTCCCAAGGTCTGTCCAGCGACGTATAAAACCGCGCGCGGGAAGGAGATAACACGAGCGAAGAAACACGAGATCGTGATGGTCGGGTTAATGTGACCTCCGCTGGATGGGCCAAAGGTGTAGATCAGCAGCGGAGTCAAGAGGAGATTGGTGATGCCTCCAAACAGTGGCGAGAAGAAGGTGACGGTATCATAGATACCCGCCCCGGCCGTGGGGTAGGTCGTAGCTGCCATAGGATGCGTAGTAACCCATGATGAGATAAAGACGTTCATCAAACTTGCTATAAGACACGAAAAAAAATCTTCGCGTTAGCCAAGCACAACAATGGGCCTCAGTCTCTTCCACACAGAGGAAGCATGCGGAGGAGGGGGAACCATACCAACACATTCTAGCATAGCAAATTTCCATAGATCTGGACTAAGGAAACCTCTGAGATCGAAGATCTCGGCGAACGTCATGCATGGAGCCGCATCAGGCACCTTCTCCAAGAGGGCGATATTCTTGGGGTCACTCCGGTCCAGGATAAAATCCTGGTTCCCACCGAGCCGGCCAGCAAAAGAGGAGATGGCCGGCTCCATATGGGGGTGATCCTCCTTCTCACTCTGGGGAAGATAAGCTACTACCATGACGATTGAGTTTCAGGCGCTATTGGGCAAGAATGAGACAGGGACTATTTGCTGCAAGGGGTCGGGCGACACAAACCAAACGTAAACGGGACCATCCGGAGTCGATCATTGGTCAATAGGGGCTGAGTCATCCGATCAGAGATTTTCGATTTGTGTGATTTCGGTGAATCAATTTCCCCTTAGTGGAACTCTTTACATATGGGAAGGTCATCAACTTGGAATTCTTGGTGTTTTCACGTAATTTAGTGGATTCTCACTGCCCAATTCTGGTCTATGCTTTTCCTGGGTAAGTCTACGGGAGGTCTTATACTTTATCTACACCTACATTTAGACTTACCTCCGAGTCTACCATGACTATTCTTTTCCTAATGGGAATTCTATCTTATCTTATTTTTGCTTTTATCAATCAAATAAATAAATAAATAGAAAAAGAAACAAAACCGAAACGGGAATGTTTAGCCGCTTCAACCTTAAACCAATTGTCTTGTCTTATACAACCACAACCCATATATCCCCAGTGGGCACCTTGGAGACTACTAGGCACTTAAATTCCACTTTCTATCTTTTCTATGATTAATATGAATAAGAACCTTCAGAGCTCCTCCACCACTTACGTAGTGTGGGGGGCGATCTGGCTTGAATAGCGGCATATTAGTCAAGAAAATAGTTTCGACCCAAGGAGATCAGACCCGCTTCTCTGGGGAAGTAAACAAATAATTTTGAATCCTTAAAGGGGGTCCGAGTCTTCCGGTTGCAAATTCTTCAGTTCCTTTTACTCATAGTTAGTAATGCCAGCACTTGAGTGAGTGCCAGTCGTAATGCACTTTGGGTGGACTTTGATTCAAGTTGAAGCCTGGAGCGTCCTATGCATGGACGTATATGATGCCCATGGTATAGTGGTGCTCATGCTGGCAGATGAGGATACTATTAGTACATGTAGCCAGGGCCACCACAATGAACGCAAATCTAGAAGAGCACCTAGAATGATACCCGAAAAATTGATGATTCAAAATCGTGCCTGAAAGATTGGTTATTCTCGTTGTCCTCGTTGATTATCTCATTGTAAATCGAGATATGTCGACGCAAAATTCCTGCCTCGTACAAATATTGATGCCCTATAATGCACTGGCAGCTCTCCATTGTGGTCAACCGGGTTTGTGCTTGAAACTCGGTTTGCCATAGTCGCGTTCAATAATGCGCTGATGAATTCGATTTGATAAAGGGCTGCCGGATGTGGTGGGTTAGTAAATAGAGCCAGACCGTTTGTGCATCTTGGAACGCAGTATATACACCACCGGCGCTTTTTCAGTCCTTTCGTGGACTATCGATTGTTCTTGAGGCAGTTGAGAGCACGAATTTTCTGCTCGATAGTTGCTCACAGTTCTAAAGTACAAGTACAACGGGCCTCCGAGTCGAACGATATCTCGGACATCATCAATCTTACCACGAATATTCACAGTCGTAGTATGATGGTAGTAATATCGGCAAAATTTTTGACACCGATTCAGTGACTTCGTTGTGCTCTTTAGATGTTCAAGAATCTTCAAATATTAACAACCAGAGGAGTTCTAGGGTTTGTTGACTTGATCAAAATTTTGGGGGAAAATAGTCCAACAAGTGCATTTTCTGACAGATGGGTATATCGCTGTGATACATGTAGAGATGAGTATTTCTTTTTTACTAGGAAGGAGGTTTATATCCATACCTAGATTGGTGGGTTTAACATTTGAACCTTGCCCAGGTGGAGTGTGTGGTGTAGTATGGTTGTGTGGTGTAATATTCCAAGGTCGATGTTTTCCTCTCCATAATACTACATCCATACATCTCTCTGACCATACTACCCCACCATGTCGTTACTCAGTCGACTTCCAAGGTTGGAATGCAAGGTGCCCAGGTGCCCGTTTCATTACTTCTTCAAGAATTATTCTCAGTCTTACCACCCCGTACTATGTTAAAGTTCCCGGACCATCTATGATAATTGTCGGATCAAATCGATATCGTCCCTCCTTCTATAGAAATCCAAGGATAGTTGAGATAAATGGAAGCCATACTTAATTGGAGCCTGAGGTGTCAACGCAGACCAGCCTCCTGCCTTACCCGTCAGGCGTTGAATTCCCCATTACGCACACAGACCTCTCCAGGGCTGGATAGAGCAACCTCGAGATCAAGCCGTATCACCAAGCTCATGCTAATGCTGAATAAAAATGGGCAACGACTTGGAGGAAACAAGCTGCAGAAAGGCATCACAGAAGCCTCCCCGTCAGCGTAAGAGCGTCAATGCGTTGCAAGCTGGTATCCATGAATTTCTCGATATGCCAGAATCACAGTCTCTTCTCACAAGTCTTCAAATACCACTTGAGGCTCTGAGAAATGCCTTACCAAAACGCTTCACGATTTATGAACCACTTGTTCTTCTTCCGGCAAATGCCTTCACCGCACCCCCAGATTGGGGCAGACTTTATGCAGTCTTATCATCAAAACAGCGAGAAGCACTTTACTCCGCAATAGCAAGGGCTTTTACACGACTAGGAGTTACCCATGTTGCGATGAATGCTCCGATCACGTTGACCAATACGCAAGGGCTCGACAATCGAATGCGCAGTCCTGCTGGTCTGATCCCATTATATGGCCATTTTCAAGACCCGAAGTCAGCCCCACCCCCAGGCGACGAAGACGCACAGCCTAGTGCTGAAGATCTCAAAGCCGCCTTCTGGGTGCAAGCTGTACAAAACCATGGTATTATCCAGACATGGGCACCCTTGTATACGATGTTCTCTCGGGGAAACATCACAGAGAAAGCACGTATACTGGGAGAAGGTCCTTCCAAAGACACATTTCCAGGACTAGATCGGCCTTCTCTACAAGGGCAATCGCTTGCAGATATCAGTGTCGTTGACATGTATGCAGGTATTGGGTACTTTGTCTTCTCATATCTGAAGCGAGGTGTCAAGCGCGTGTGGGGATGGGAACTGAATGGTTGGTCAGTTGAGGGTCTCAGACGTGGCTGCGAGGCAAATAAATGGGGCTGCAAAGTGGTTCGCATTCTGAAAAACGGTCAATTGGAAACGCCAGTTGAAGAACTAGTGCACAATCTCACAGATTCTGATCGGGTGGTTGTGTTCCATGGAGACAACAGTTTTGCAGCAGATATTTTGGGAGATATCCAATCGAGAACGGAGAAGTCAGGGACATGGAGTCCCGTTCGACACGTCAATCTAGGGCTTCTCCCCTCATCCCAACCGTCTTGGGATAATGCATGCCGAGTGCTTGACCCCCAGCGAGGAGGTTGGCTTCATGTTCACGAAAATGTCGATGTGCGAGAGATAGAGGAGAAAAAAGAAACCATATCGTCTGAGCTTGCCAAACTTCGCAAGCAGGTTCATCGTCAAAATGGTATTCTGCAAGATCCTTGTGTGGGTTGTTGCCACGTGGAGAATGTCAAGACCTATGCGCCTGGTGTAATGCACTGTGTCTTTGATATGTCTCTATCTCACGCTCATTGAGTGCCAAAGGAATATACTATTATGAACTCGAACTCGAAGATACTAGTAAGTTGAAGTTTGTCAAAAGGCCTAGGTTGTACAAATAAACCTTGGAAGTATGCAGTGTCACCAAAAGCCCTATGTTCATTCAAATTCATATATGTATACATCAACAAGAAGCAACAAGAAGCAAGAAAACGAACGCTGAATCTAATTGCGGCGAAATTTCGAGGGAATGTTGCCCACGACAATTTGCATTTGGTCCAATTGGTCAAGGCGCATTTGAGCACGCTCCATCTCGTCATGCAGGCGGAAATGCTCGATATCTTCCGGGTGGTTCAATTCCTCCTCGGTGGCATCATCTCCATGATATTTTTCGAAGTGATGAATCTCATACTCATATTCAATATCGCCATGGTGTCCCGGTCCACAACCAAGGTCGGGCAACTTAGTGCCGGCAGCAATTCCTTTCACCCAGCTTTCTTGTGTAATAAAACCGGTATTTTCGGGATCGAAAAGATCGAACACTTGACGGATAGCGTCCTTTTTCTGACTTTCGCTCATGTCTTTATTGGATTCGTCGTCCATTCCATAGGTCTTGCGTACTTCGTCGGTAGTCCATGCGCCGGATGAGTCGTAATCGTGCAAAAGGAAAAACGAGGGGGCATCGAATCCTTCAATATGGTGCTCCTCTGTCAAACAAGTTAGCGACTGTGGAAGAGCCATTAAGACTATAAGGACAACTAACCCATCATGTGTCTGGTAGCCCAGTCGTCCGATGAAGGTTGGTCGCTTGAATGTGAGCCATGAGCACTTGCGAGGCCGCTTCCCAGAGCGAGCACCCCGGTAACAAAACAAATTAAACGATTAACCATGGTATAAAAAAGGAAATATGAAAGAAACGATATATTGCATTACGGAGTTCGAGGTCTGGAAGCATCAGGAGATGCAAGCGGGTCAGTTATGTTTGCATTGTTTGCACCGGCAGATTTGGGTTGTCCGAATAATTTCATTCAGCCGGACCACATCTTCGTGTTTGTCCCGCCAATATCTTTATCGGACTCCGTGGGGAGCCCAAAGCCTTCGTGCGCAATTGCCTCAATTTTTATTCTTCATAGCAATGCTTTGATAATGCAGGGTTTGTGGTCCCGAGCTGCTTCGTCGCGGTCAAGTTGCCGCTGCGTCTCGTGTTTGAGCACAACTGCCAATGGTGTTACCTCAAGATCTGCTGCCGCTGCCAGCAAGAGACGCCTTCGAATCGGAAATTCCGTGACAGCACTATATACCAGCATATTTGCCGCGGCTGCCCTCGCGGATGCCAGAGCGAAGGCCCAACGTCGAAATGACTGGGAGGAGAAGATCGCGGCTGTAAAAGCCGAAGTGAACGAGCTGGTGGACGAAGAGCAGCGATTGTTAGAGTCACTGCAGTCACGGAACAAATCCCGGAGTCGCGACCAAATCTTCCACGATGGACCCCTCGGAATCACCTCGAACCTTACCTTCGTCACCCGTCAGCGAACCGTATTGAGCCAACCCTCAAGGTCCTTCCATACCCAGCGGAATCTGAGAAATGTGACAAGTACACAAGTTGCGGAGAGTTTTGTTTTGGAAGAAGACCTTGATAATGGCATCATTGAGGAAGAGGAGGACAATCTCAGCAGGGTCTGTGAGGAGGAAGACATTGAGGACATGCAAGTCAGACATCAATTTCTGCCAAGCTGGGTTCTACGAGATCCTTTGCGTGTCAAGGCCATCCAAAAGTTGGCACTGAAGCAATTTGCTATTCGAATGCTCCTTCGCCCGACTATTGCCCACCGCTACTCTGGTCTTCAGATGAACTACACCCGCGATTTCGACGTCCCTCAAATCAATGTCCAGAAGCTCCTTGATGAGCTTAATAGTATTCGGCGTCGAATTACCGATCTACGAACCTCAGAGCAATCGAGGTATCGAGACGTTATTCATGAGATCACGGAGTTGGGTGCTGAGGGCATTGAGAAACAAGGTCAGGCACTCGACGAGGAGCTTGAACAAGACCTGCAGGCATACATAAGCAATCAAATGTCTTTAGAGGAAACTCTTTTGCGAGTGGCCGAGAACCTCCTCAAATCGGTCGATCCGGATCGCACTAAAGCATTTAGGCTTATTCTTCATGCGTTCAGCCAAACCCGCCAGAACGACATCAATGAATTGCTGCTACGAACATTACTTCCGCATCGGTTCCACTTGAGTACATCGCTCATAATCACAGTCTTGAACTTCTATCGCAGGTCCAAAAACCTGAAAGATTTTGACCTTTTCCTCCAGATGCTTACTGGCGAGGGCTGGTCAGCAAACCTGGGCGCACTTGCACCCTATGTCCGCCGAAAGGTCAATGGATTGGAGGTGGTTGTTCCGCCCATGGACAGTAACAATGTCCTCATATATTCCGAGTTGATAATTTGCGCATTGCGCTTCAATCAACCAGATCGTGCTGATGCTTGGCTCCAGGCTGCGAGACGCGTCGGCTTCTTCGACAACTTCAACACATTGTTTTCCTACATCAAATTCTATAGCATCAGACAAGACTGGGAAAAGGGCTCTGCCGCATTGAAGAGATCCGTCACATATCTCGTATCATCGACTGGTCTCGACGGTCGTTTTGTTGAGCGTTTAATAGTTCTCATGTCTCATCTGTGTGATTCATGTGGCCGAAAGGACGTTACACAAGTTTTGATATCAGCAGCTATGAACAGTGGATTCCATCCGGATCTTCCTTCATTACAAGAAGATGTTGCGCCTCTCATTGATACCGAATTTATGCGATGGACAGAGGCTGCCAAATCCGCACCCAAGGAGAACGCCGGTCGTCCTCTGTGGCAGAAGTGTTCGGATTTTGCGTACGCATTTGGGAACCATTTACAAAATCTCGAGGTATCGCCTGATGACACGAGGTCTCAACAACTTGCTACCCACACTGCGCGCCATGCGCAAAATGCCTTACAGGCTAGTCTTTCTGGCAACTCAGCGCCGCAGCCGCAATCATCCGGCGAAGTCACTGCTCTGAAGGAGGAAGTAGCACAACTCCGTGAGCTTGTCTTCGAACTTCGCAAACATCACATTGAAGCTTCTTTCAAACGCAACGACTCCAACACTCCTAATCACGACTCTGAAAATACAAGGGACACCAAAGAGCTATCCTCATCTACCACAACCCCCCATCCCAAGTCTAAGGATTTGCATACTAGCGAACCCAGTCTCAAATTCCATAAGGTTTCTCCAAAATCAGGTCAAGCATACCAGGGACGCTCCCGAAGGAAGGGCGAATCGTCGTTCGAAAAGACCGGCAGAACGAGAACCTCCGATTCTTCAATATCAGCCCCTCAGATGTGGTGAATGATTCATCTACTCCACCAAAGTCTGGCACTTGCATGTGAGATCCTTGTCTCACTTTTTTGTATATTACGACACATTTTCCCGGTTCTGAGCAGAGCGTGTTCCAATACCAATAGAAGGGATGTACTTTTATTTGACGAGGAAATTTGTACATAGTAGCTTTCAATGTTTCAATATGCCGTCGGGGCACCATTTTCATTTCCAATCTTCTTTCACTAGGATTCTGATAGGAACTAACTCGTATTCATTGTAGAGAGGACTCGGTCAGTTTTACAGATGTCCATCGAAACGCTTCTTAAATTTGATGAACGAGAAGAACCAGCTACTAGATCCGAGTCTAGTTCCACTCCCTAAGCCCACATATGCATGGAAGATGAACTTGAAGCACACCACTAGATCGACATAATCCTGGGTCGATCTAAACTTTGAGGTCTGCCTCCAGATGCTCGGTACTCACCTTGCCATCGTTATCCGAGGAATCAGGCCGCACAGTCTGGAGGGTTTGCATCCGGCGTGCCACACGAGGCGGATCAAAGATATTCTTCGACTGAGCAAAGATCTCATCAATCTCTTCCAGAGACCGACCCTTAGTCTCAGGAAAGAAGAAGTAAACCGACGGAACGATTGTCGCGTTGATCACAGCGAAAATGATATAATATTTATTGCCAATGGATGAGAATCCAACAGGCGTCACCTCCGCAAGCAGGAAGTTGAATACCCATACAGTTGCTGTAGAGACAGCACTGACGGCAGCACGAACCTGCAAGGGAGCCATCTCAGCGGCGTAAAGGAAGGTCAGGCCAGAGTACCCGGCTGTAAAAATAAATTGGAAGGCGAATAAAGCAATCACAGCGACAACGAGGGCGGCGGTATTGTTTTGTGCTTCGGGTGATGTTGTGCCAGCGAGAACAGCCATGCAGATGGACATAGCTCCTGCACACCATAACATAAGTGGGCGTCGTCCCAAGCTGTCAATAGTGAAGTAGGCTAGGAAGCCACCGAAAGGCTGCATTAGGCCCATCGCTGCGGCAAGGATACGGGATTTGACGGGATCAAGGTGAAGGTATTGCTAGAGCTGTGTTAGTGAATCACAACTTGGAAGATCCGGCTTTAGTCAAGTTAATGCCAGTGTAATTGATGCTCACCTGGAAAATACTGGTTGCGTAGTAGGTAATAAGATTGACACCACACATCTGCTGGAAGAGCTGACCAGTAGCAGCAAGATATGCGCGATGAAAGAGACGACGCTCATCATTCGTGAACATAGCAGTCCACGATGTATTCCCACAGACAGCCAGAGTAGTTTCAACCTGGTGGATGCTCTGAGTGATGATATCTGAGTCAGGCTCAAGCTCAAGCAGCGCTGCCATTACCTTACGGGCATCTTCAAGCCGGCCAGTTTTGATAAGCCAACGGGGAGACTCAGGAAGCATGGTGATGAAAATCATCGCAATGGAGGACATAAGAATCGGGAAGGCGAGGGGAAAGCGCCATGAAACGGAGCTGTCCTTCACGAAATAAATTCCCAAATCGATCCAAAGTGCTACGGTGACTCCAGCACCAACGAAAATACCATCGGTAACCACATTCGAGCCTCGCTTCTCTGCTGGGGTAATTTCGGATTGCCAGACAGGTACGGTAGCAACATAGCCACCAATACCGAGACCGAGAATAAGTCGTGCAACGATGAACTGGGCGAAATCGAATGATGTTGCCATTAGAATAGTGCCTATAATAGTAATGAAATTCGTCCAAAATATCACTTTCTTTCGTCCAAGAAGGTCACCAAGGTAGACACATGACAGTGCTCCAAAGATACCACCGACAGTATATAGAGCAATCACGGTACCTGGTTCAACCAGAATGCTTCAGTGGTTGTAAAAAGGGATTCAAAGTGTTCTCGTGATTGACTGACCTTGAATTGTTGAGTTCTCTTTTTCCAATGCCCCTGTCGTGTGGATGGTGTCCATACGGGGGAATTGATTATTGAATGTAGGAAGTGTCAAGAGGCCGCCAGCTACACTCATATTGTAACCATAGCAGGTGAATGTTGGACAGACGACCAGCATCACTGCTGCTCTGAGAAGTGCATTGCCACGAAGGCCAAGATGTGGCTTCATGCCCATTATGAATTGTATGATATATATCAAAATTATGAGATGAAACCAAGGAGCCGGAGGAATAGGGACGAATTCCATTGGGAGGTTAGTAGCTTGATATACTAGTATTGATATAACATTTTAGATCTTCTCATCTGTATCCTGTTCCTAACGCCACTCCCTACGGACCCTACCTAATGGTTCAAGTTATGGATGAATTGACTCGGCCTGCGGCGGCATCCGCTATATAAATTGTTTAATAATAAGATTCATAGTCCTTTCCCCGCTTCCATGTGCCCAAGAATAGACTTCTCCAGATTCTGGATGTAATATGGATGAGTTCATCCGTCAGAAGAATGCCTCATTTGTCTCTTGGCTTTTGATTATACCTCTTTCAAGAATCTTTCTCTTCCGTTGCTCTCCGACCAACTCACTGGGATATTTCTTTTTTGAATAAAGCTAGCAGAGAGTGGAACTTCCGGGGGATCTAGCTGCAACGGAAATGGGGTCTTCTCGGGTCCTATGTAACGTCCGTACAGGTCAATGCGGGTACGACGATGTGGACCATGGGCATAACTCTAGCGGTACACCCAGATTTAGTAAATTTAGCCTGCAGGGTCGGAAGCAACTTGATGCTAGCCGGGCATTGAGCCCTTGAATACACGCGTATTATCTATAGAGCTGAAACAGCCTGAGATTCCGCTGTTTTATACCTAATTTGCTCTTAAGCAATTGAATGTTGGGTTTGAGATGCTTCGAGGTTGAATGATTTTCACTAACTGATCAATCGATAGTCATCATCACTGGATGTCTGAGTAGTGAGGGCCCATAATACTCGTTGGTCATAGACTCTAGTATACAGCCTCAACCTTAAATCGAAAGACTTGGTTCAAATGCTCCAGTCCATTCTCCACCTCCAAAAAAACCCCGAATTCATAGCTTGACCGTCACTTGGAAAAATGATTCCATGTATCAACTAAGCTAATGGGTGAATCCGGCCTAGCATAGTCCATTATACCAAAAAGTTGGGCATAATTATCCACATAGCCACAAATTCCAAGGTCTGGGGTCAATGCAAACTTCAGATACGATCTACGTCTCATCCTCCTCGATCTGTTTATCATTCAGTCAACATGATTGAACCGCTTATAATTTCCCTCTTTACAATACTTTACTGTAAATCCGCACTCACACGCATCATTTGCCTGGCGATATTTCTCGTATCTTGTCAATACAGATCGTCAGTCGGAAGCTGCCGAACACCGATCCTCGGATTCCCATGATGATCAGCTCCTATTGATCACTGCAATCTCATTATCTCACCTTGAAGAACAAGATCGTCAATCGATACTGCAACAGTATAAACCGTATTCTAATCAAGCAAGTACAACCTCCAAACTTCGCTGTGCACTACCAGTTTTGCTTTGTTGAGCTACAACAATGACCCTTCATTTCCCAGACACGAATCACCATATCTAAACCTTCGATCTCTTCAAGGTAGCGAGGTGATCAAGCAGTAAGCATCTATCTGCATTGGATTCTATCATTATGTTGGTTCTGAACTTCTCCAGATTTTCCGGGGGATTACCCGTTCTATGGTTATGCCTCGCAGTGCTTAATGCCTGCAGTGCCATGGCCTACGCGTATCCCTACACGGTCTATCGTGGTACATTCATTCATCTTCCCCGCCTTAACTCTAGTACAGCGAAGCCGGAGCTGGTTCGTAATCAAGGAGTGATGTGGGTCTCCTCTGATGATGGCCGTATCAAGGGTTATGATTGGAAAGTCAACGACGATGCTAGCTTCCAATCATTCTTGGCTAGTCAAGGATGGACTGATGTCAATTCTACCTCAGATTCCACACTGATCCAGGTTGTAGAGTCTGATGATGAACGAAATGAATTCTTCTTCCCTGGTTTCATCGGTATGCTCGATCCAGATCCTTGATTCGATGGAATCCAAGTGCTGATACTCAGATCATAGATACCCATATACACGCACCTCAGTTTCCCAACATTGGACTGTTTGGATCAGCGGGTCTGCTGGACTGGCTAAACGAATACACCTACCCTATGGAAGCTAGTTTTGGCTCCAAATCAGATCCCAAGAATCAACAAACGGACCCTAAGGATACGCCTCCCGAGGGTCTCTGCGTTTATGATGAAGTCGTGGCTCGCACTTTAGCTCATGGCACTACATGTGCATCTTATTTCGCCACAATACATGTACCAGCTACCAATGCTCTTGCAGCACTGTGCCACATCCATGGCCAGCGAGCCTTTATCGGCCGTGTCTGCATGGATAATCACGACGAATGCCCATCCTATTACGTCGATCAATCCGCCGAAGAGGGATTTAATGCAACAATCTCCACCATAGATTATATCCAGACTCTTGATCCAAACGGGACACTGATCAACCCGATTATAACCCCCAGATTCGCGCCCAGCTGCTCAAATGAATCTCTTGACGGTCTTGGCAGACTCGCTGCTTCTTACAACCCATCGCTTTACATCCAAACCCATATTGCTGAAACTAGCGATGAGACCGCTCTTGTACAGCAGCTCTTCCCGGAATCTTCTAGCTATGCCGATGTCTATGATAAGGCTCAGCTTCTCACAAACCGTACTATTCTTGCACACGGAGTCCACCTCACCAAAGATGAGCGCACACTCATTCGTGAGAGAGGTTCCAAGGTCGCGCATTGTCCCGCCTCAAACTCTGCTCTGGGCTCAGGCTTAGCTCCTGTCCGCATTATGCTGGATGAGGGTCTAACTGTGGGTCTGGGAACAGATGTCAGCGGTGGTTACAGCCCTAGCATGCTTGAGGTGGCCAGACAGGCTTGCCTTGTGTCTAGATTGCTACAGTATAGTGCAGAGTACCAAGAGATGACTGGAAATACAACATTCGATGGAAGCGAAAAGCTCTCTGTTGAAGACAGTCTTTATCTAGCTACCCGTGGTGGTGCAGCTGTTGTCGATATGGCGGATGATATTGGTGGATTTGATAAAGGCATGATTTGGGATGCGCAACTCATTGAGTTGGGTACTGTGAAGAACAGCACTGTGAGCCCACTTGACCAGACTCCTGTGCATGCGCTCGCTGGCCGAGCCATCGGTTTTGAGACTGGTCCTGTGGGTAATGTTGATCTGTTTGGGAATGAGACATGGCAGGAGCAGATTCAGAAATGGATGTGGAGTGGTGATGATCGTAATGTCAAGAATGTTTGGGTTCAGGGAGCCCTTGTTCATATCAGAGACTCGGAGTAGGTCTCTATGCAGCTCTAACTTGGAGTTGAGTCTGGATTTGTACACATCGATACTTATACTTTCGATCTATACGTTTGCTCATAAGGATATCTGGATATGATAGACGTCAAATATTGAACGATCTTGCCAACAGGGGTATTATCATTCATTAGTATGAACTAAATCGAACATTGGATATGTGCGGTCTTCTGCTTGATGTATAATACTTAGTACGAGTAGCACTTGAGTACTGAATTTTTGTGATTCTGCGCAAGAATATCGATTGTGATGACTTCGAGGAAATGTGAGGAATTCCGTAGCCGGTGGCATCTATGGTTAGTTGGCGAGTCGACTCCGACATTCCAACTTCAACAACAAGCGATTGTCCCAGATCCATAAACTCAAGGGGAGTAAAAAATTTTGAACGCCAGATCCCCTTCTTTCGTCCGGTTCTGAAAGTACATCGTTGATGAAACTTCACCGATAAAATCTTCCTCGTCATGTAATCTCAGCTGGGGATAGAAAATCACAAACACAAAGGACCAGATCAACTGGACGGTTGGTGAAATTTAGTCGCTGGCTTGAGACTTGAATTTCGATCGATGACTCATATTTGAAATATCGGTATAAATGAATTTGCAGAATTCCTGGGTTGCGGCTTCGGGGGCAGATCCAGGCATTATGCGAAGAATAAGAACCCCTAGATTGTGAAACGGTGTACTCCGAGTCAGTATACACTGCAATTCGATAGGCAAATGCCTCAAAATCTTAGACAGGATTTCAAGGGAAGATCGAAGAATAGCGCATACTGGTCAGAAGTTTTTTCTGTAGTTTCTTCAATCATCTCAAGGCCACATACTTCATCAGGGATTAACACCGTGGATTATCTTGAGGTTCACGGCGTATGGATTCGGGCGATGCAGCGGTCATTGAGTCTTTTTATTGCGAGTAGTACCTTGTTAATAAACTTTGAAATGTATCAAAAGTCAGTGACGCTCATTTTCGCTCACTCGTCTGTGTGGATCGGTGTAGTCCAAATTGGAGGTGATAAAATTTGGAGATAAAAATGAGGAGGATAAGGATATGTGAGATAGATAAAGAGTGATGATATCTCTATGCCTTCCGTTGGCTCAGATTCTCTCTAAAAGTTAAAAGAAGTGATTATCAGTACCAGGAGGGAAAGGTAGGGAGAGTATAAGGTGATATCGTGAGACAGTTTATTTACCTAGTGAAGGAAGTGAGAGTATAGTGAGAGCACAGTAAGAGTGCAGTGAGAGAGAGACCCTGAGGTGAGAGGACTCGGAAGAGTGTGAGATTGTATGAAGAGGAAGGTTGCATAGGTGAAATAGGAGTGAGGGAGTGAGAGAATGAGTGAGAGTCAGGATAGCAATGTGGTGGAAGATGATTTGAGGAGGAAAATATGTATTTGGTGATGAAGCTCTGTTAAATGGACACTCTATACTGTTCAAATGTTAGGAGCCTGAGTAATCAAGCACTTATACACATGTGTTTACTATATACTTTAAGTTCATTGGATTGTTAGTCGTAGTATTTGACTCGGAAGTGAATGGTTACCCGCTGCTCTATCAGTATCTAGATGATACATAAAGGGACACCTAAAGGGGCAGGCTGACTGCTGTATAACCTTGGAGGTCGCACATGTTAAGGAAGAAAACTAGAAGCATCGGCTAAATGTAAACCTGAAGAGGTTACCTGGAATAATGCTGGTCAAAAAAATCTTACTTATTACATAGCTTGGACAGATCCAGGAAAGTCGAAAATGTCAAAAATGACATTGAAAGCTTGTTTGAACAGCGTCCAGTAAGGATAAAAAATTGAATATCAACAATGAGTCACGAAGAACCGCATCTATTTTGTATTTGAAATTGTGTCATCAATTCGAAACAGGGAAATCTAAAAATCACATCGCTCCAAACCCCAATGCCGGAAAACTATGAATTTATCGGCGTTTATCAGCACGCAACTTCTCTTTGCGAGAGAGTCGCTCCGCGGCCCGCATGAGAGAGGAGCGGAGCTCGCCCTTCGGGAAGGTAGAAACATCGTAGTAAGTGGGCGCAATATCCTGCGTTTTAATTAGCAAAAGTGAGATAATTGAGGGATTAGTGGATTGAACGTACCAAGAGCCACTCAGGCTTGACAGCAGTCACGGTACGGATGTAGTTCTTGGAGGTCAAGACGAATTCGTGGTACAAGACCCATTCTGCGTCGTGGGCCAACACCGTGGATGGATGGATCAAGACGTTCTGATTATCCTTAATAGTTGAGTAAACGCTCTTGCCCTGAGCTTCCTTCTTGGCAATCTGCATGAAAAATCCAGCACAGAGAGCACGGCAAATGTTCGGGTAGTACTTCTTATCATCGAAGGGAGTGGAAACCATTTCAAGTTCTTCACGCTCCATGATACGAAGCAGCTGCTTGCGCACATTATCCGCGGATTGGAGGGATCGCAAAGACAGGAAATGGTCGTGGCACCACTGTTTCGGGTTGGATTGAGCCTCAGCACCCTTGAATGCATGGTAAACATTGAGCATAGTGAGATGGTCGCCGTCTGGGTGAGCAAACAGATTCTTCATCTCATCCGCACGCTTACGCTGAGAAGCGGGGCGGACAAAGAGCTGTGGGACTGAAAGCAGAGAGACAATAGAAAGCATCTCATTAGAGCAATAGAACTCGGGGGAGCTGATCAACATAACTGCAAGGGCCGGGTCCAAGGGGAATCCGGAAGCCAGGCGACCGAGCTGAGTGAGGTCTCCCTCGTCATCCAGACAAGCCAGATAATTGAGTTCTTCCAGCGCTCTCATGAGGGTCTCAGGCGCGGGTGGATCCATCAAATCGAAATGGACAAGATCGTCAATTCCAAGCTTCTTCAACTCCAGAACAGTTGATGACAAATTCGACCGGAGAATTTCAGGGTAGGTCTGCTCAATCAGCTCCTTCTTGAAAGCCTCCTCGGTGTACAGACGGAAACACTTTCCAGGGCGCGTACGACCGGCACGACCAGCTCTCTGCTGAGCAGATGCCTTAGAGATCGGGGAAACCAACAGAGACTCAACACGGATACGGGGGTTGTAGATCTTCTGCTTAGAAAATCCAGGATCCACCACGAACACAATTCCATCAATAGTCAAGGAGGTTTCCGCAATGTTGGTTGAAATGATGACCTTGCGGCCAGGGCGACCGCCTGGGCGGCGAGCGGGAGGCGCAGGGTCGAAAATGCGCTGTTGCATGTGGGGAGGCAAACTACCGTAGAGGGGGGTATGTCTTGAGTGGGCCGGCATCAGCCTCTCTAGTCATCTCATCAGCCTCGAGAGCGATCTTGCGGCAAGCATCTTCAATCTCTTCCTCTCCAGTCAAGAACACAAGAATATCTCCTTCGCCCTCGGTCGCATGGATCTGCAGAACTGTTCGGATGGCAGCCTCGACATAGTCTTGTTCCGGCTCGGGGGTATAAAAAACTTCGACGGGGTGGGTTCGTCCAGGAACTGCGAGAAGGGGGGCATCCATGAAGTAGCGCTGGAACTTTTGTGCGTCCAGAGTAGCAGACATGATGATAATCTTCAAGTCAGGTCTGCGTCCTACAACCTCCTTAAGCAATCCCATTAAAATATCCGTGGCCATGGTTCGCTCGTGGGCCTCGTCGAGAATAATTGTGCTGTAACGCGACAGGTTGTGGTCGTTCATAGCCTCACGCAAAAGCATACCGTCGGTCATGTACTTCATAATTGTCTTAGAGCTGGTCATATCTTCGAAACGAATGGAGTATCCGACTTCCTCGCCAAGTTTGACGTCCATTTCGGCCGCGACACGTTGAGCAACGGACATGGCTGCGACACGACGAGGCTGTGTACAAGCAACCATCTTGCGCTGGGTTTGTGGAAGGTCGTCGAACAGAACGAACTGCGGGATCTGAGTAGTCTTTCCGGAACCAGTCTCACCGACGAAAACGAGGATCTGCGATTGCTGATAAAGTTGCAGGAACTCATCGCTTTATGGAAAAAGTAAGTTAGGATATGCATTTTCTAATGGATGGGTGGTTCTCAACTTACCGCTGCTGATGTACCGGAAGATCACGTCGAGTCTTCAGGATAGAGAAGTATTTGCTGGAAAATGGCTGACCACTGAAGGGATTCACATCGCCATCTTCAGCCTTTTTGGCCAGAGCGGCTGTTGTCTGATGGCGCTTGAACTTGGCCAAGGGACCTTTGGTGTCATTGTTGTCTTCGTACATATGGGCGAGATAAGGGTTATCCTTGGGGTCAACGGCGTCCGTCTTTTGGCGCTTAGTCCGCGCACCGTCTTCGGGATCAGAGCGACGATCAGCCATGGTGAGTGATATGTGAGAGAGAAGTTGGAGAGTTGAAGGTTGCAAAACTCGGCCCGATAAAAAAACTCAGATAGGCAGGTACCGCGCCGATCATCTATATCAGACTCACCGCCCTGTTTATTCTGCCGCCACCCCCACAAAGGGATCGATTGTTGATTGCGCCACGGAGGGAACTTAGTGTGATATGTTGAAGTGTCTTGGGAAACGGTTTGGAAGTACCCTGATAAGTTAGGTCACCAGTGAAACTCCCAAGGTCTACATCATTTCATCCCATTTCGAGTTCGAAGCTATTATAAATTCTTTCCCACCCACCTTCGATCTTTCTACTTTTCCTACACCCACTTAAAAAAAAAACCCACCGACATCATTTCAATATGGAAAGCCATAACGTTTCTGACGATGCCCCGAGCTTCTGCATTGGTCACCATGAGGCAAACCGCTCGGTGTTTGTCACTAACCAGGTTATTCATAAGGTGCATGAAAGTAATGTCAGTTTTGTCGAAGATCCCAGCTATGGTGACCGAATGGTAGACTAACTCAGATGGGGAGGAATACAGTATGACATGATGACAGTTCCCATTACAACACAGCACTTTCACTCTCGAGTTCTAGGACTTCTGTCGTCTTACTTGACCAATCTGGAGTCACCCGCCTATGACGCCATTGGCACCATGGCAACGACACAGAACACAAGACCGTTGACAGTTCCATCACTATCAAAGTTGGATTCTAACCTTACGCCCAATGATGCAACCAGCCAACTTGTTGGAGTGACCAGCAGTTGGATTGATTTATGCTCACCTGATCCCTTGATTGCGAATTTGTCTCGTCAGGTCCTTATGCTGGAGGTAGCCTATGCTGCTTTTTGTGGAATAGGGTATCTACTGATTCCGGCCCCCAAGCTTCATCATGGAAGCTTGTACTCCGAGGGTGTGGTTTACTATGCCCGTGCAATTCAGGATGCTATGAACCTGGGTCCGTACATTCAGTTCCATATCTGGTTGCCGATGGTCGATAACCCCGAGCTTGAAGTGGACACTATGGGTGATCTGGCTCCGCTAGCCAGAGAAGATTTTCTCCAGCCTGATGATGGCATTCTACCCAAGGTGGATCTTTTTGGGAGCTGGGATGCTTGGGACTTGATTCGCAAGACCTGCAAATACCACACACGATTGTTCGTAGGTAAGTTAACCAGGACTCTAGCCTCTTCATGTTGAACGTCTCTTACCTTTCAAAAAAGCTCTTACTATGCCAAAGCAGCTTCCGCCTCTCTCCGTGCAATCACGTTGGCACTCGGAACCCGTTCATTTGCTTAGCATTGATTCTTCATCTTTTCTGAAGAACCAGAAGGGATATCCAGTGTTGTCAAAGGCCCATCAAGCTCTTATCGCCAAACTCATGCGCCTCAGAACTGCTCCATGGATTCTTCTTTGTGATGTTGGTCCAATCCCGGGACTGGAAGATCCAGAAGAATCGGAAAACACTCAGTTGTCCGGTTCAGATTATCCGAACTTGTCCCAAACTGGGGCCGCAAACAAAAAGTATAATGACCCCACACCTCATCTTTCCTATATAAGGAACCTGCAGCAACGGCAGCCAGCGCGTACGCCCATCGAAAGATTTGGCGTCGGTTATCAAGATTACCTTCAAGCCCCTTTGCAACCACTCACCGTCAATCTGGAGAGCATCACTTATGAAGTGTTTGAGAAGGACCCGATCAAATATGAGTGGTACGAAAAAGCCATCACCAAGGCTCTCAGAGACTGGGCAGAGCAGAAGAAGCCCACATCTCATCCGGAGGGTAAAGTTATTCTGGCCGTCGTTGGCGCTGGCCGAGGACCATTGGTAAACAGAGCACTCAAGGCTAGCGCGGAGGCAGGCGTAGAAATTGATCTGTGGGCAGTCGAGAAGAACCAGAACGCCTTTGTTCTTCTGCAGCGGCACAACGAAACAATTTGGGATGGCAAGGTCACTCTGGTTCAATCCGACATGCGAAGCTGGAAAGGCCCCCGAGTACAAAAGCAAGCTGTCGTGAAAACCGAGGGACCCGAGCAGAATGTGGGTGAATCTCTGGGAATTGAAGACTCGCTCCTTTACACACCCATAGAGGACGAAAATGACCCTGGCCGGACCGCTGACCTTTCTGACTCCAAGTCATCTGAACTTTCGTATACCCATGTCGATATCATCGTCTCAGAGCTCCTCGGCTCCTTCGCGGATAATGAACTGTCTCCAGAGTGCTTAGACGGAGTTAATGATCTCATCAATCCCGTGCATGGTATCTCCATCCCTGCTTCATACTCGGCACACCTCACGCCAATCTCCGCGCCGAAATTGCACTCGGACATCATGCATCAATCGATTTCCAACCCAGCAGCTCCAGAGACGCCTTATGTCGTGATGCTTCACGCCATCGACTTTCTGTCATCCACTGATTCGCCAGTGAATGCAGATGCTACGGCTCAAACCGCTGCCAACCGCTCCTCGGCTTCAACTACAACCACAGCGGCCACGGAATTCCCCACTCCGTTTGTGCAAACGGCATGGTCTTTCTCGCATCCCAATTCAAACATACCCGCGCAACCTCCCTCTCGCTCTAGCATTCCTAACTCCCACAATGTCCGCCAAACACGTCTCTCCTTCCCTGCTCAGAACCGTGGTGTATGCCATGGTCTGGCTGGATACTTTGAGACTGTTCTGTATGGCGATGTTGAGCTTTCAACTAACCCTGTGACTATGGAAGAGAAGAGTGCTAGCATGATTAGCTGGTTCCCCATCTACTTTCCCTTGAAGGTGAGATTAGTCACAACGTCTTGAACTCTCTCAACGTCACATTCTTGCTAACTCGTTGATTTTTAGACTCCTTTGAATGTGCCCGATAACGGCGAGGTCGTCGTTACGATGTACCGCCAAACCGATGACCGCAAGGTATGGTATGAATGGATGGTGGAAGTCTTTGCCCTTGAACGTACTTCTTTGGCAAGCAAACTCACCACACCGGCTATGAGTGGTGCTCGCTTGGCTTCGCCCAGTACCGATAGCTTTAAGAATGCCCCGAGACCGAGCAATGGAGCCAACCGTACCGGCTTCCGACGTGTCAGAGTTGGTCTGAGCGAATTGCACTCGAGCATCAAAGAAGGTTGCTTGATGTGAGAACTTGAAAGTGGCGCGTTCTAGAAATTTGAACTATCGATATATGAGTTATCCTGCTAGAGGGGGGGGTTCAACCACTCTGGGTTTTAATGCTCTCAAACGACTTAAAAATAACACAATCATGATATATTTCCGGCATTTAATATCTTGGAAACTGACAACTCACGTTCTATCAAGTTGTCGGACCGGTTACGAGTAACAGGTACTACATGCTCCAGTGTCTATCTGCCCACGTCCTGGTATACACTGGCATCCATGGGTTCATGTTTCCAACACAGGGCAGTGGATCACTCCCTGGAGGGTTTACCAAGTATTTAATTACTAGCAGTCTAGTTTCTAAATGCGTAACCGATCCTGTAGTATATATTGGGGTTGTCCATTTTACAACAATAGTACTGCCAGTGTGTTCAAGGTTCCATTTAGGCTTTCCTCTACCTAGCATGTCACTTGAATGCAAGTTGAAGTTCTCCGAGTCAGTGGTACTATATCCAAGAGATATTCAGATACGCTACTTTACACTAGCTTCAACCTTGGAAATCTTGAAGACTCGATCGACACCAATTTTACCCACTGGCAACTACTAGTAGCCCCACATTTTATCAGCCTCGGGATCTCACATGTGCATCATGATTCATGACCAATGCAGGCACACTGGCATAAACCTATGTGTTTTTTCACGTTGAGTTCGGTGGCGTTTCTACTAATACTAGCCTTACCTTATCCATACTTTCCAACATTCCATCCATTTTCTCACCTGCTATGCCCACCTGCTAGCCATACTACTCACTACCATGAAATTTGGTATAATCCAAATTCCCGACTGAAAATACTCTTCATACCTGACTTTCATCGTGATCTACAATGTTTCAGATCCTATCCGGATCAACCCTCCGGAAACAGTAAGATTCCCGCTGGCCCCATCATTACCCAAGGCTATTCCCATCGCCAAGCTCGACTTATTAGGCATGGATGAACCCAGATTGAACCCCTTATTCGTGTGAACGAGTGGGACCAGCTCCCATACATTGGATAATGAACAGCAAATGCTCAGTCACGCCGAGTTATACCCCGTGGATAGCTGAGGATAGGATGATCATCACGGTATTAGGCTGATCACGCGTTCTGAGAGTTAATGGAACATGAAATGACAAGCTTGCTTCTAGGCAATGATGAGCGGTAGATAAGACAATTCGAGTCTGCCAGTTGCTTTTGACTTGCAAGCACTTGAGAGATCAAGCCCATATAAAGTCGCCCCCAATCCGTTAGACACTGTGAAGATTCCGGTAAATAAAGCATTATTCAATCAGAATGCGTTTCGCTGTGCTTTCCACTCTTTCTGCCATATTTGCAGGGGTCTATTCCGCTCCTAGCATCCTCCGGACTCGAGGTATGACCTTACCCTTCTTTATTTTTCAGTACAAATTATTGATTTTCTTATAGATGTGGCTCCCGACGAGCTGTCTAAGTTCAAGTTCTGGGTCCAGTACGCTGCAGCAGCTTACTGCTCCGAGGATTATACTGCACAAGTCGGAAATAGCGTGTCTTGCTCAGATGACCTTTGTCCACAAGTAGAGGCTACTGGGGCTGAGATTATCTACGCCTTCTCCAAGTGAGTTTGATCAATGAAATCTACCATGGTATCAATAAACCTGAAGTTGCTGACCGTATACTAGTACTACCTCAACCGATACTGCTGGATATATCGCGAGAGACGACACCAACAAAGCGATTGTCCTGGCCTTCCGTGGCTCCTATTCCGTTCGAAACTGGATCGCCGACATCGAATTCCCCTACGCCGACCCTGGTCTATGCGATGGCTGTGAAGCAGAACTCGGCTTCTGGAGCTCCTGGACCAATGTCCGGGATTCCGTATCAAAGATCCTGAATAATATCGTTGACGCATACCCCGATTACGAAGTTGTAGTCACCGGCCACAGTCTTGGTGCTGGAATTGCTACCCTTGCGGCTGCCGATCTTCGTGGAAGTGGTCATACTTCGATCAAGCTTTTTGCTTTTGCCTCGCCTCGAGTTGCCAATCCTGCATTGGCTGATTATATCACAGCCCAGAAGAACAACTACCGCTTCACTCATATTAACGATCCTGTTCCTAAGCTACCGCTGCTAGCTATGGGGTATGTCCATATTAGCCCCGAGTACTATATCACATCGCCAAATAATGCGACTGTTACTGCTGGTGACATCAAAGTACTGGAGGGGGAAATAAATTGGGAGGGTAACACTGGGACTGGTGCACCATCTTTAACTGACCTTCCTGTGCATCATTGGTATTTTGAAAGAGCGGATGGATGTATTGGATCTGGGCTTCCCTGGAAGGTCTGAAAATCGTGTTTTGAATATCTGGCCGCTAGGAGCAGATAGTGCTTAATTTGATGTCCTTTCCGAGGTCATTCAAGAGGGATAGAAGGATAGAAGGATAGAAGGATAGAAAGATAGAAGGCTAGTAGATTGTGGAAAGCAAGCTAAGTCACACGACACAATTTGGAACTCGGGGTATCTCAACTCCAGCACAGACAATAGAGAAAAAGAATAATCAAAATTAAGCACATGATAAAAACGCCTTTCGAGTCCAATTTAATCCACTTCGAACAGGAACACAAAATTGTTTGTCTCCATCAACAAACAAACCGCGTAGTGTTCGAATATCATCAAACCCACGCTTGAGATCTTCAGATTCCTCATCCTGCTTTGGATCCCACACTCGCCATCCATTCTCATGAGGAATTTTCCAACGAATAATAACAGGGGAGGCAGAACATAATGATATCTTTTCACATCCTTCCGTTGTTTGACCTGGCTTTTGCCTCTCAGTAAGTGATAAGAACAGCTCATGATCCGACGAGGATCTAGACCGGTACAATAAGACGGGGCAAGATGTTGTAGTGGGTGATGGGAAGAAGATTGGTTCTTGAAGAGTCTCTGGTTCTGCAGATGCTCCATGGCTTCCATCACTCGATGAATGATGTAGGCTAAACTTGACTAGCTTGGGCTCGAGGGTAAGTGGAGGAAGTGCTGCAATAACCTCGTTCTCGCTCCAGTACAAAAGAACATTGTGCTCTGACGAGAGACTATCTTCGGTTCCACGAAATTTATATTCCACTTCTTGCTTATGAGCCGAGCCTATATTGGCATCACCTTCAAGTTTATGGCCAGGCGTGAAAGTGAATGGACGCGAAGAGAACGTCAACCGACATATCGAGTTTTTCGAGTCTTCTGTGAAAGAAGCTTGTAAACAATGTAGGAATTTGCCACAAGAAGAGAATCGTAGCTCTGTTCGATTGACAGGTTAGCATGATGCATTCATTAAGAGATGAATTAACCTTAAGGATTCCTTACGTTGTGAGAAAATACCTGTCTCAACATCTTCCAAGTCCGCAAGTTCTTTCCAAGTACCCCACTTCCCAGTGTTGAGATCAGCGTGAATACGCTGACCTTTTACCTGACATACAAGCAAAGGCAGGGATGGATGGACTGTATACGCAACACCACCACGCTGGCGGTTGTCTAATGAGATCGGAATCCATAGTGGTCTGCGCGGGTCAAGGACAACGATCAGCCAGTCCAGTATAGGCCCCTTAAAACGGTGCTTCGGACCCTGATTATCATCATAGCCCGAATCATTTGAGACCGAGGAGTTTGTCTCTGAATCTGAACCAGATTCCGAGCCAGAGCCAGAGTCGGAGTCAGAATCCGCATCTGAGTCTGAATAGCAATCTGAGTCAAATTCCTCAGAACTTTCCACTTTAATGATTTTTTGCGAGACATGAAACATTGCAGCCGTTCCATGGTCTGTAACCTGGCAGTCCTTCCAGATGACTTTCCACTCATGACCCGGCTTAGCGCTCTGGAATGTGTCGGGGGCCGCGTAAACATCGCACAACTCGGAATCTCCGGCAGAGCACTTAAACACAAGATTTACTTCGTCAAATGCCATGAAACAGAATTTCCCATCGATGTTTTTAAGCTGGAAGTTACTGCATTGACCGCATGGCTTCACACTTGCAAGATCAATCTTAAGGGGAGCGTGTATTTCAACGCCCTTGGAAAAGACCGGCACACGGTGGTATCGCCACTGGTCTGTTGACACGCTCTCATGACAAGATATCATTTCAGCAAACAATTTCCCCTTCGATAGGTGGACCGAGCTGATGGAAAGGTGCGAAAGATTTGCGAGATTCATCTTCTCAGTTGCCCGCCAAACACGTACTCTTTCAGGCTGATGGAGATTCGTCCCGAGCTTGGATTTCATGGGAGTCAAGCGAACACACTGGCTCAAGACTCCAGGTCGGAAAGCCAGGACCTCATGCCAGTCACTTACAAAAGAACAAAAGTCGCGATCTAAATCTGCAGCTTGTTGGTGCTCCAGCCAGGTAGGCAATGGAACGCCGAAAGAATCTTGCTCACAGAGATCCGCTCGACGAAGACCCATTTGGTAGCAACCAGGAGCTGTCTCTGCGTAACGACCGAAGACGTAGGGCACAACATGGCTTTGAACAGCCACACAGGTCCAAAAGTTGGGACTCTGCATGAACGCCCTGATTGCATGATGAACTTCCTTGTTTCGATTCCCTTGCTCAAGATGCAAGAACCAGAATGCAGCTGCATACTTCAAGAAGGCATTTGAAATACTGTCCCCTGCCAGTGCGGCTTTCACATTTTCGAGCTGATTGTAGCAATCATACTGCAAGAGAGTGAGACAGTCAAGTCCAATTTGGGTGGCTGCATTGGTGGGATCAACGAAGAATTTCCTTATCAGTGGGAGCTTGTCTGAATGCTGGCTGAAGGATCTATCAAGGAACAGATCATCGGGATCTTGTTTTAGGAAATCGGCGATAGTTTTGTGACAAAACTTGACTTTGGGATTTTCCTCGTTGTCCTTTGATGAGCGGTCAAATAAGAGAAGTGATCCACAGAGGTCATGAACTTGTTTTTCATATGGCTCCAGCTTTGCAGAGTGGTCTGTTGCTCCACGTCGAATTGCAAGCGCGTTGCGGAGTTCATTCCATGTCATTGATTGAACAGCACTGGTTAATATCATGAATATTCGCCTGATCAAGGGTTGGTTAGTATATAGTTTACGAAAGCGGAGATGCCTGGAGAAGATGGGTACCTGACTAGATCCTGTTGTGCATCGCTTTTATCACACAGCTTGACCAAGGTTCGCATGTAGTACCCAGTCAGCCCTTTCGGAAACTCATTCAAAGCTCTTCTGATATCATCATCGCAGGTGACACCCTCCCCACGAAGTGTATCCAAGAGGAACTGAGAGTAAAGAAAGCTTCCTTCACTGTGATCGACGAAGCTTTCAACTTCATCAATAATGTCAGTCATGCCTCCCAGTCCTTCAGTGAGGAAGGAACGAATCTCTGTCTGTATAATGGTCATCGGCGGTGATATGGTCGCTGACTTCAATCCATCCATCATACCCTGGATTTGACCATCTGGGCGACTTGTGAAAAACCATTTTATGGTGCCGTAAACAGACTGGTTCAAAAGGACAGAAAGCATCTCACGAGCCTTAACGTCGTCCATACACTCATCCAACCCATCTATGACGACATAGGCCAGAGGACATTGGTTCAGGAGCTGGTGCAATACCTCAACAGTGAGTGCTGATAGGCGCATGTTCTTTGCATATCGGGCAATTTCCTCTTGATAAAGCTCTTTGACTCGGTCGGGAATGTCTGTTTTGAGAATGTTAAGGAGTTGAAGAGCGAGAGCCCTCAATCCTGTCGAGGCTTGTCTCTTTGTAAAGTCACTGAAAGAGTAGAAGAAATACGCCGTCGGAAGACCTTGTTTTTCAAAATGCTTGATCACAGTGGAAGAGAGGACTGTCTTTCCAGATCCTGGGGGCGCTGTATACCACAAAATGTTGGATGAGGATTTTGTATCGGCCCATTTCCGAAACCTTTCATCCTCGAAAAGCCAACTGCAGCTTTCGCCACATCGCTTGTCGGCATGAGTTTGTAAGTCCCCGCGTACATCGAGGTCATCACCCGCACTGATCCAGCTGAAGACACCGTCCCTCAGCTTCTCTATAATCATTAACTTCGTAAGTAATCAAGAACAAGGGATGGCCCGGAGTTGTATAAATGATTCATATACTCACTAGTTTCTTCAATCTTTGCACGCTTTCTGTCTTCACTTGCGCGAACTGCCTCTTCCGCCTGAGCTATGTCCATAACTCTGCTGCAATCAATTCGTAAAGAACTAACGGTCTGGCCTATAGCATCAGAAAGAGGAGCAAAGGCATATTTGAGCGTGGTAACAAGAACTGCTCTGCTTCTTAGTATATTTCAAACAAAAAAGCACTTAAGAGGGAGTATATACCATTCTGAGAGAGAAGTTTGGTTGCCTTGGCCCAGAATCCGACGATGTTTTTATAAGAATCCAATAAGCACTCCTTCACTTCATCCGAGGTTTCGTATGCGAGGGAAATTTTGGCGTAACATTTCAAAGATTTTCCAATTTCGTTCATCGCCTCGAAAATTTCCTCAAAGATGGAATTGGTCTTCAGCGCCAACTTTTGACAGCATCCAGTCAGACCTTTTTTCTAATCAAGATCAAAGGATTTTGTTACCTCTAGTACTATTTTTGCCCCCGCAAATGCGATCCCAACGGAGAAAGGACTTGTGTTTAACAAGGCCTGACATGCTTCTAACATACCCTGAAGTCCATGTACGAAAGGTTTCAACTTATCAAGCACCCTGTATGATTTTGATGAAGTTTTCTGATTCTCGAGTGTTTCCACGAACTGCATGAGTTCATCTGCACAGTGCTTTGGGCTATGCACAGCCAAGACTGAACGAGAGATTAATACTTTTTCATAAAATGGATTCTTACGATCGCTCGTTTTCATATGCTCGAGAAAATCGTCGATGACCTGAGCCATCAGACTATTTTGTGCCGTAGCAGCCATCTTAGCGACCGAGTCTCCTATACTCCACGGTGGATGGGATGGGAGGGGCTTGGAGGGGGCTTGGGGCTTTTGTTCTGACAAGCACTCCGTAACACTAAAAAAATCGTATAAAGTTAAACCAGCTGATAAGATGAAGTATTTGCCTCACCCCCTCTCGAAAAATGAGATAAGTATTTCAAATGTTCAACATGGTTGGCAAACTGAAGATCCCGCTTGGGCAACGACGATCGCAAGAATCCAGACAGGTCATACCCGGCACGGCGATTGGAGCCGACGAAAGTACAATGTAGGGCGTTCATGAAATCAGCTTATTGGTGTAATCATCCCGGGCGCATGGGGCCACAGGGAGTAGGGAAGCTAGTTATGCATAAGGCGCATGGCTCTGCTCCGTTCAGCTGACATGTCGTGATCTGACAGGTTAGGGACTTGGTGGTTTTTCAAATTTGCGGTCGGACAACAGGCAATAGTCAGGTTGCTCAAACATGGGCGTTCATGTGCGGGGGAATCGGGATTATCAGCCGCAAAAGTGGCAATAGTAGATGTTTCCTTTTTTCCTTTCTTCTTTTGGTAAATCAATCTCGTATCCTGGTGAAAGAGGGGGAAAATCGTTTGACTTAATTCAGTTTATCGTCAGTGTGTCTTGATTATCATCCAAAATGACTATTTTAGATGAAAAAGCTGGCGAAAAATGCGAGTTCAAGGTATATAGTCACAGCAAAAAGAAGGATGGAAAGGTCGCCGTGGAAGTTCTCACAAAGCCATTCGAGAACATCTCGTTAGCGGAAAAAGATAGCCCATATGCTCTCGTCCTTAATCGCTACCTTGGAGAGAAGAATGACGTCGAAAAGGTCACTTTACAGGTCAACTCCAAACATCTTCATAAGGTGTTTCGCGAGGAGATCGGCTCATATCCCACAGTTCCCTCCGATTTCACTTCTTCGTTCATGCTGGAGAGCCCATTTCAAATTCTGCTCCATCATTGGGAAGACCTCGATGAACGTCGCAAGTCAACTGATGATGTGAACGAAAAGAATGCACATGAACCTCTTATTTGATTTTATGACGCATGAGATTGGTCCAGATAGAGACATCATGCTGAGTATGGTGCGGAAGAACCAAATCAAATACCTGAATGCATGGTGCATCTTTCGTCCAGGTGATCTCGTTTATAGGGAATTTCTTGGTTGTTCTCAACTTCTTAGATGTGAAAAGACGGCATATGAAGAGTCTAAGCGCGAAGGTCCGTTCCTGGAAGTCCACTGCACCTATACCGACCACGATGGGAAAATCGAAGGTGAAAGCAAGGCTGTTCTTAAGATTTGGCAAAAGCTGAGCTTTGGTGCTGAAAATCCAGCCATCATCACTGATCTGCCCGTTTATCCTCGCAAGTTTATTCAAGAAGGCGATAGCCTAGAGGCTCGACTTCGTGAACGTGGCCGGAAGTTCCTGGCACTTCGTGGGGTGCAAATTCAAGAATATGACGGCCAGGCTCAGTTTTTGAAAGAGCCTGACTTTTCGTTCTTCCATGTCGACATGGCTGACTTTCCTGGAGTTTGGCTACCGTATGCTGAACTTGGGCGGGTCATTTTTGATCGTAAGACATTTCAGGAAGATCAATACTCAAATGCACCTCAGGTCCACCCCTCGGAAGCCGATCCGCTACTGTGCCCAGCATTTGAATTTGGATTCTCACTCAGTCGCAAAGAGTGGGGACGGTTTCTTCTTGACTGCATGCATGAGGCTGAGTGGAAAGAAGATGTATGGAAGTCGTTGATTATTGGCGACCGGCAAAGGCTTGTACTTCAATCTTTGGTCACGTCACACACTTTTCCGAAGAACGCACGCGATCAGACACGACAGAAGGGACAAGGGCTCGTGATTCTGTTGCATGGCACACCAGGTTCTGGAAAGACGTTGACGGCAGAGACGGCAGCCGAGGGAACCAAGAAAGCGTTGATGATGACCTCCTTGGGCGAACTTAATAAATTTGACAGGTAAATCCCACACTCGAGCAGTCAGGTTATGGTATCTAACAAAGCCAGCGCGTGGTCCTTCGAATATCGTCTTAAGCTTCTACTGCGCTATGCCACGATGTGGAAGGCAGTAGTGTTGATGGATGAAGCTGATGTATTCCTCGAAGCGCGAGATAGTGGTGATAACACAGCCAGAAATGCTCTTGTTGCTGGTAAGCACCGAAATATTGAGCGATGAGAAAACTGAAAGCTCACTATCTCTTAGTTTTCCTGAAAGAACTCGAATATTTCAGTGGCATCGTCTTCCTCACGACCAATCGAATCACGTCCTTCGACCGAGCCATGAAATCTCGTATTCATCTTGCACTAGAATATACGCCTCCCGGGATTGAGACTCGCCAGCGCTTGTGGATGCAAATTCTCAAGTCAATTCCAGCCGATGAGATTGATCTTGATCCGGAGGATGTGGTCGACAGTTTCGTGGCATTTAAATTAAACGGTCGAGAGATTGCCAATGCGATTCATACCGCGCGCACGATTGCGCGATTTGAGAAGAAGGCGCTTGTTCTGGAGCATATTGATATGGTCCTCGAGGTCTGGCGTGAATTTGATGATAGTTTGAAGAAGACTGCGAAGATAACCAGTCACTCTGGGGATAAAAGCGCGCGGATGCTGATTGGACGCACGAACTCTATCATTGAGGAAGATGCCCATGATTTCAGCTCATAAAGTCCTATTTAATATTTGATGTTTATTCTATGGTTCCGCACTATGCCTATCGTACTACTTGTTAGTAGTCACCTAGTCACCTGATCCCCCGTCTCTCACCTCGCTGGCGCTGGCCATCTCTTTCCCTTCTTCTCTCAGGTTCCCCATGCTTCATCATCTCTTTACGGGTTCCCTTAGTACTACTTTGTACATTATTGCTAGGGATCAGATGGCCGAAGCGAGAGATTTCAAATATTCTTTCAAGTTTTAATGACTAGTAGTCTAATCTCAGGTTGAAACAATTAGCGGAAACGCTAGATATTATGCTCCGTAGTCACTTCTAACTACTCTGCGGCAATTTCAATGACAATCTTCTTAGCCGACACACCCTGTCGAAGTAGATCGATAGCCTCTTGGACCCTTTCCAGCCCACCCGGAATGAGGTGAGGGTCAGGCTTAGCTTGGTATTTACCTGCAGCCAATGCTTCGGGGATAAATTTATGCCATATGTGATGCCCAAGCTCAGGAGCCACTGGCAGGCAAACAACTTTGAGGAAGTTAGAGATAACAATCAATATGACGGATAGACGAACATACCCATAGAAGGCTCCACATTCTCGGGGTAGGTTCCTTGCGGAGAGTTCACGACTGGAAGCTTGCCTCCGCCAATTCTTCCGAGGATCTCACCACATGTAGTCTGCGTCTCCTTGGTAGCAATACAATCCACAACATAGTCTCCTGGCTTGAGAAGACTAAGAAGCTGATCGACCACATCTGGATTCTTGTAGTTCAGGACATGAGTGGCACCGAGGCTCCTGACAAGCTCATGGTTCGAGCTACTGGCGGTGGTCACAACCTCAAGACCAGATGCAACTGCGAGCTGAATAGCTGAGCTTCCACAAGACGAGCTACCTCCCCAAATTAGAATTTTTTTTGAGAGAGGTGCGGGATTTAGCGAGGGAAGGGGCAGCTTGAGATGACCATAAAGTGCAGCCGCAGCGGTATCGATACCGACTGGGAGGACCGAAGCATTCAACAAGGGTAGGGAGTCAGGAACTGGAGAGACCAGATGCTCGACGCATGTGCTGTAATGTTGAAATCCCATATTTGTTGTTTTCTGCGTAAGCAGGCCATCGCAGTGTCTACAGCGCATACTTAGCAGGGATATTCTTCTAAGAGATAGTAGCGTTCTTCAAAGGTACTTACCCGATCACTCTTTGGCCCAGTTTCAACTGCGTAACCTGAGAGCCAAGCTGCACAATCTTTCCAGCGACTTCAAGACCGTAAATGAATGGGTATGTCAAATGGCTGGGACCGTCTTGCAACTAAAGAGGAAAACTAGGACTTTAGCCGAGTTGAGACCGTAGAGATAACCCCTGGGGCTGCTTCCAAGGTTGTGGATTTCCTCACTTTCCAATCGGCTGGATTGACCGATGCATAGGCTACTTTGATAACCACTTCATTTTCACACGGATTGGGTGTTGGCCCATGTTCAACTTTCACGGGTCGGGCGTTAGCAGTTGGCAGCCACGCAGCTTCGTTCACAAAGAGAGCCATGTTTATTAGAAGAAGTCGAAGTCAATGAATTGGAGAGAGAAATCTTTGATTCTGTTTTGTATCAACTGGGACAGAGTATTGTCCAACTTTTATAGTAGAATCCTCGTTGCCCCGATCTTGTAAGCGTACCATAATCAGGTCGTATTAATAACCATCGAAGGCGCTATTTCAAATCACGCTCATGAATTTCCCGTCAACAAGATCTCCAATTGGTTATCTTCGATTCCTGCGGAGGTCACTTGCCAACCTTCTGATAGATTGCAGTCATGGAAGGTGAAAGGGGATCAATCAGATTCCCGAGTTCAAATTTATGGTGCCGAAAAGGGAAATCTCCTGCGAGGTAGATTAAGGCAGCAGCAAGGTAACATTTAGTAGACGGCAGGTGATCCATGGCCCATGGGTGCCTGGATTTGGTACCTGGAAATTCAGGCAGGAAAACGTGTCCGACCGGTGACCAGTTGACATCCAAAGTTGAACTGGAACACTCCTTCAAATCATGATGTTTTAATTGCTTCGATGCAGACACCTAGAGGCTCTTCCATGTCAATATTCGAAGCTATCCAGAATCTGAAACTTCTTGTCTCCTGAATCGGAGTACAGGCATCCAACCTTGGAAGAAGAATTCAACTGTGCGAAATTCCAAGTCCAATGTTGAAATAAGATCTCGGAGTGGCTCCATGTTTCAGGCTGCACCAGCCACATGGCACCTTGTTCGCCATATTCCAGCCTCCGTACTCCGTATAGGGAGCACACGTCCGAGCATACATCCGAACGACATTGAACTCGAAAAACAACATTTGAAATATGAAAAATAGAGCTTGAAGATTATTCACGATAGAAATTGAAAATTTCCTCTTCGGTCAATGCATATCCAGGAGATATTGCACCCCATCTCAATGCTAAGAGATCGCTCTTCTTGGCGCCACGAGAATCGCCGTCGTGCGTAAGCTAAGTTAGCCCCCAAGACTGAGTCTCCAACGCTTTACGTATGCTATGGAGTAACTGTGGGCGTGGACATCAAATATCCAGATGTCTCGTTAAGCGCTCAAATGCTTATGTATGTGGTCTGTGTACAGAATAGTGGCATGGAGGCGTTGGAATACTCCGTGTAAAGCTTGATATAGCTCTCCGGAACATTCCGTTTGGTAGGGCTATACGGGAGTACGTACGTGGTGGCGGTTGATTTCCTAGAAATGAGCCGCGGATCTTCATCGATCAGACCTATCATCATGCGGTGGAAAGGAAAAAAATAAAGAAAAAGAACCATAGGCTTGCGTATGAATCGGTAGGGCTAGGACTCTGTACTCTGTTAACCCCCTAATCTCGTATCATGGGAAGAACTTGATCCACTTCAAAGAGCTGGAAAAAACAAAGTCCACCTTGGCATAGGCATAGAATTACCATTGTTCAAATCATCCGAACCGGATATTTATTATTTGTTAAAATTGAGACTATTTTTTTTTACTGATCATCGGACGACAATCTTTTCGGGAGCTCCGCAATATCATACTCACACTATTCAAGTCCTAGTGTCGAGGGATTATTGAAAAGACCTTGTACTATTGCTTCTTCAGTTTGGCATGGGCGCCACGCAACAAAACGGGTACCTTTTTGACCTTTTTGACCTTTGACTTTTAACCTTTATCTCTTCACTCCTACACCGTTCTTGAGCCCCACCCTATACAACAAATTCCAAGACAATTCATGAACTAAAGCCATCACTGAGAAACATTCTCCATGTTTAACTTCTTCAAGTATAATGATTCGTTCATCCCGTTCGCGGTTTCAGGCCTGATCGGTGCTAAGTGCCACTATGGGGAAAAGTTTTAAGAGCATACGTACTCCGCCGGCTAGATCCGTCATAGTCTGGCTCTCAAAACACGCAAGCTCTCTCGTCATCAGCCAACCCAAGCTTTTTGAGTGGAGCCACCATTGATTAATTTTAACATCGCCTCCATGTCGGTTGTGCGCCATCCCCTGATCCGATCCACCTTGATAGGGGGGTTTACACCAATCAATGCTCTCCCATGCCTAAACCGCTTGACTTGTCGCCTTAAGTGGATAGAAGCGATGTCCCTAAGCCCCGGGCACAATGGCGTACTTGTTTCGTGGACAGCGAGAGCGTATAAATAGACAATTTAGCGGGTTTATCACCTTGGTTACCCCCCGGTTTGATCCAAGAAAAAATAACACACCACTTTCGCTTGCCCTATATTCGTTGAGACGCCCGCTGTCTCTCTCGTTCGCTTCTTATATCTGTTCGAATACATTCGTTTTGAGTGCCAGTGATCACTCATTTTCTATAAAATGATGTCCTACTTCAAGTGGGCCGCCTTGGCCCTGGCCACCGCCCAGCTGGGTGCTGCTCAGACTTACACCAGCTGCAACCCGACCAACAGTTAGTTCTTCATATTGAGATCCGATCGAGACCAGCCCGTTTTCTAATACTTCCCTTTCTAGAGACCTGCCCGGCTGAGACTGGATTGGCCAAGTGGTCATTCTCTAGCGACTTCACCCAGAGCGGTTCCCTCGATGACTGGAACATTACCGCCAAGCCCGTGACGCTCTCTACTCTTGGTGCCAAGTTTGAGATCTCTGAGGAGGGAGAGGCCCCTACCATTGAGAGCCAATGGTACATCTTTTTCGGTCGTGTCGACGTTAAGATGAAGGCCTCCAATGGTACCGGTATCATCAGCACCTGGATCCTGGAGTCTTCTGATCTTGATGAGATCGACTTTGTAAGTTTGGAACGAAAGTCCGAGTGAAACGATAGAGTGTTCAATTTGTACTAACATGGCTGGTGCGAAAAGGAGCAAATCAGTAGCTACGATTACATGATTCAGGCCGACTACTTCGGTAAGGGTAACAGCACCCTCGGCGGTCGTGAATACGATATCAACGTGACCAACCCGGAGACCGAGTTCCACACCTACAGTGTTGATTGGACTGAGGAGCGCATTGAGTGGCTTCTTGACGACGTTGTCATGCACACTGTTACTTACGACGAGGCCCTTGAGGGCAAGAACTACCCCCAGACTCCTTGCCAGCTGAGAATCGGTATCTGGGCCGGTGGTGACTCCAGCAACGCTGAGGGTACCATCGAGTGGGCTGGTGGCGAGACCGACTTTGACGATGTTCCCTTCGTCATGTATGTCGAGTCTGTCAACGTCACCAACTACAACCCTGCCGAGTACTACAAGTACACCGACAAGACCGGTGACTACACCAGCATCAAGATGTACAACAGCACCTCTTCCTCCTCCACTCTGACCAACTCCTCCTCCGGCACCACCAAGAGCTCTTCCTCTTCCTCTTCCTCCAGCTCTAGCTCTGGATCTTCCAGCAGTGCCGCTGCCTCTTCCTCCGCTAGCGTTTACTCCGGTGCCTCGGTCTCCTTCTACTCCTCCTTGTTCCTCACCGCCGTCGTTGCTGGCGCCGTTGGAACTTTCAACCTCTAATTGTCTATATATTGCACAGAGTCATGGAGTTGATATGATCCATTTTGGGGATGGGATTGAACATATACATGTACCAACCACTTTTCATTCCTTTACATACTTGACATATTTAATCCATGGCCTTGTTGATTCCTTCTAAGTTTTTCTGGAAGCGGATCAACATTGTTTCGATGGCTGGTTCCACGGATCATATCAAAATTTAGTTTCGACATACAGTATTAATGTTGTTCTGGCCCTTATATACGCTATATTGAATCAGATCATTATTTTAGATCATTCTTCCGAGTCCCTAGTACTAGTAGTAGTACTCAAGTGCTACTTATTACACATGTACTATAGTATATCACATGTGCATGATGCTAATGGTCCTGCAGTGGTGATGAATCTATGAGCCCGGGGATACATGTTCTATATCCCTCAAGTGCTTGGATGTAGTCCCTTTCTCTCCAGATGATTTCTGTGGTCTGCAACAACTCGAAGGTTCCAAATGTCAGACTGAAATAGCACTTGAGCCCGGTAAGCGCAAGTTTTATTGCCACGAGCCAAACTCCATGATGCCGATAGTAAAGATAACCCAATTATGAAGAATAAAAGCTAATGATACTCCATAGCCCTTGAGTATACGAAGCACAAAATCACTGTCGCGTGTGCTTAGAAACAATTTTCGCCAACGCGCATAGTCGGCGATTCGTGATGATCATATCGTGTTCTCCGAAGGTTGGTGATTCTCTTCGAGTTCTGTTCAGGGGATGACAAGGTCGTTTGAATGTCAAATCCTCCACGTGTACGTGTGTTCCTCACAATCTGGACCCCATGTGTTTCCTCATGATGTATAAGAATGTCAATTGTCATCACTTCAAGGACATGTGGGGAATTCGCAAGCCAACCGGTGACATCAATCGTAGGCCGGCGACTCGATTGGAACATACCTACTTCAACAACACGCGATTTTCCCAAATCCATGAGTTCAGGGGGAGTAAATGCCAGATCCACCTCTTTCGCACAGATCAGTTGAGCCCGAAGCAGCGCACGATCACCCTCTTTCCTCTTGGGAGTCTTGGTCGCTGGACATAACCATTCTTATCGACTCGGACGTCACATGGATGTGCATCAATGACTCACACACGGTACCGCTCCTGATCTTTCGGACCTGGTAGAGAGATATGTTGCAACATACACTGGCCCTCTCAGTCCTTCACCAAAGGTATCTCTGTTCTAAAAATGTGTGTGTATAATGTCCTTTGTATCTCCGTGTACTAGAAGACTGGTTGGTTTTGTGGGTTGGCTGTAACCTAGACTATGTGAGCTGGACTCGGGTTGACCAGCGCACCGCGTAATGCATATACTATGTACTCCCATACATGATAGCAATATGATTTCTCCTTGAGACATCCCAGATGTCGAGGCTCAAATTCAACTTGCTAAGTGCTCAGATAATATTCAAATCTTGAAACCACTGGTAATTAAAATTTGAATGATCAAGCTAGGTTCTATTGGAAGTACCTAGGTAGTAACACATTGACCCTCACTTTATGTTTCAAGGCCAACTCAATCACCTTAGAACCTTATAAGAACTTGAGCATTGTTCGAGTACTTAAGAAACCTAACCCATAATAACCCATATAGGGCCCACAATGGCCATATAAAGCACTTGAGTACCTACATGGCGGACAGACAGAGAAAAGAAACTATGATATAACAACAGGCCTAGTATGTAGCACTAGGCTCTCTCTCACTCCAGGGATTTAGCTATCTCTTACTTTAGTTATCTCTCACTTTAGACTCATTTTTTATGAAGGTTTTTACACATATTATAATGATAAAACAACTAACGGTGATGCTTTTGTTCCAGGTATCTATCCAACTTAGCCCTCGTGTCTCTAAATTGTTTTGAATATTCAGAAAAAAAGGATGGTTTCTACAATAGCTACAGAGAATATGATTGGAAATAGAACTTGAAATATTTTCTTACTCAATTGATCTTCCATAGGGGCACTGATGGTATAGAAAAGTAGGTCACAATCTTTTGAAAAATATTTGGTATGGGGAGGTTATAAGAAATAATAAAATCCATATTTAGGCGGGAAAATTACCTTCTCAGTACTACATAGTAGGCAATAATCGCCATCGCTGTTCGAAAAAAGAAGTTCAAGTTCTCGGCCCTATGCTCGTGGCAACAAACACCAGTGTTGCTTGAAAAGGAATCACAGCCCTAGGGCCCCTGGAATAATCACCCTCGGTGCTCCAGAGAAAAAGCATTTGAAAGAAATTGACATTCAAATTTCCGAGTACCACCTAATTATTTCCAAGGTTTCATAGTTACTCCTGGATACGAATAAACTCACCAATAGCCAGTTCAATATCCATGAAATCATACATACCGTCCCCTGTCCTACTTCGCCTTATATATAGAGACCTTTGAAGACTCAAATAGCCTTGATGCCTATGATGAGTACGCCAGCTGCGCAAAATTGAAGCTGCATGTGCAGAGAGAAAAATGAAAGGCTGAAGAGAACCACTTTAGAAGCGTGATCAGTTGGAAATGTTGAGATCTTCAAATACCTAGGTATTCAAATGTTGCTTTAAATTTGAGCCCCGGAGGTCCTTGTTATGAAACATGCACTTGAAAGATAGCCACTTGACCTTACTTCTTCAGATGTCACACGGGTAGGCTGTTCAAATGTTATCTTATGGGTATTTCCCAGCACTACCGGATGCACATATAGTAAGTTGAATCCATCAATTCATGGCTTCCACTTGTAAAGATCTGTGATAAATTTCAATTTTCAAGTGGCAAAGAATCCGCGATCATATCCATCCAGATGTCGAATTACATATTGAAGAGGGGAACCGTTAGGTAGTGTATTCTAGATACACGGGTCGATCCAGCTAGCATGAATGGATAACACCAACCAACATGTACGTTGTGGCCGGACTACCCCGTAGGGGTGGGATGAGAGATGTGTAGGAGTGTGTATTTTAGACTATAACGACGGGCATTCTTGTACGTACAAAGACGGGACTGAAAACATGACAAAACAGAGATGTAACCAAACGGTAATTCTTAGCACGGTACGTGTAGTAGGGGACAGGGTACCCCACTACAATATGTAGTAGTATGCACTTGCATGTAGTAGTACTAGTAATAACATACTACTAGTATATGGATACCTACATAGTCAATAAGTAACCTTACGCCAGGGTACCCTGGATTTGCACACATGAATGTGCAGTGGCATCACGGTGGATCAATCTAGTATGCTATACAAACGCCCGCGGGCGTCGAGACTTTGAAGTGACGCCTAGTATATTCGTAGGTAACATATCCATAGCTATACATACTACCTGATGTCAATTCCCGAACCCTATTACTGTGCATCATAGTATTTATGAATAAGTACGGACAGAATGTCAAGGATCTCATTTTCAAAGGTTTTCATACTAGTAGGCAGTAGTTTTCTATTAGAGGCATTATATCACCTAGAATAAATAAACTAAAAATTCAAACTCTTGCACCAAAGCACTTATGTAAGTTGTGCTCATCCATTCCATCCAATGGATGTCTTGAGAAGAAAAAAGCTGCCAGTCAACGGGTGGGATTTGAAAATGAAGCAGTGTCCATTTTCTGGTTCAGGTACTTGCAGCTCATCATCATGATTGATCTTATCTCCGAGTCGTTCCAATTTCAAGTTTGCTGCCTGCATGTGAGACCATAACGTGGACAGTGAATTGAAAGTCACCTGGGTTCATATTAACAACCACTAATACTACATAGTGACAACTCGGGAGAGTTCGGCATCTCCAGATGTCCCCGGCTGCCTATGCATTATCCCGATCAGTAAAATGAATGGATACTTAGATCGGCGGCAGGGGCCGCAGTAGGATGATTGGCAATATTTGCGAGCAGTGGGTCTTAGCTTAGCTTGAACGCTAGTTAGGACACTGGTCATATTATGAAACACTGCTGCTACCCGCATGGATATGGAATTTTACCACATGGTTTGCAAGGATATGGGGTAGATGCATCCTGCAGGAACGATGTAATCCTGTTTGATGTCCCAACATTTCACTAATAAAGATATTCTTAGAAGGATGAAAAATTGATCCTCGCGCTAAGAGCCAAAATGGGTATCAGATCTTTCATATCATTCCTTGAACCTTCATGTGGAGATTATCAAACTTCAACAAATTATACCCGGAATACTCTATGCCACTCATCCTGATCTCCCATCCGGTCGGGATACTCTCCTCTTTCGGCTCTGGATCTCAACTCTCCGAGTCTTTTCCGTTACGCAGACACAGAATAAATGAAGGTTCTTTCAAGCTCCGGACCCAACGGTGCGGTATTCTCTTGCCCCGAGGGCCAACAACATGATACTAGTACGGATTCATTAATTAGTCGAATCTTCACTAAGATGCACCTCGACATCAAATGCATTTAGTGCAAACAGTTATTCAAGGGGCTAGCTGTCCCACCCAGAGATTGCATAATGGATCCCAGCTCTTCCGGGCCCAGCAAGGGTCTAGCCGCCCTGCACAGGTCGGAGGGAACCTGGTTTGGGACTGATTCCAGTCCAGTGGAAACTCCGTAGCCTCGTTACATATTAGAGTCATTTGCCTCTTCACCCCGCTTTTTGTACTTGATCTGCGTTCCTTGTGGGCTTCTGCCGTTCTAGCGTTGCCACATGGATGTGACAGCATAATTCCCATATAACGCTTTCGCAGGCAGCAGTTATAATTGGGTACTGCTGCAGGGGGAATTTGTGAGTGATTTCAAAAATGACGTATCGAGATATTGGTTTGGATTTGGTAGATTCTATCTGGTATAATCATTGTGTAGGCATTTCCGAGCAGAAAGTAATATAGCGACATTCAAATGAAGAGTAGTGAAATCCTTTGCGCCTGTCATAAAGTGGTATAAAGCTTGGTCGTAGAGTTGAGACAGCGGTAAAAACGATGAAAGACGATGGTATCAAAAGGGAAACGAATGGAGGGTATCAACGAATAATCATCAAAGTCATGAATCACGCTCTCGGAGTCGCTGGTTTTCGGACATTCCGTGTGCTGTTTGCACTTGGGGTAGGCTGTCAGCTTCTGTTGTCCACGGATAATGTGGAGGACTTTGAAAGCTCTGTAATTAAAATTTAGCCATCAGTCTGGGATGATTTCCTGACTTTTGTAGTAGACACATACCGAAGAGTTCATGCTAGGTAAATTCGGGTCAATGTTTGAGGTCCAAAAAGGCGGATTCAGTTGCTCCTGAGGGTGAACCGGTAGGAAAGCGTCCGGTCGAAGAACACTCCGCATGTATTGGTCGATCATGGCTTCTAATCCCGTATGCCCTCCGGACGGGGGAGATTGTGATCCAAAAAGACTCATCGATGAACTAGCCGGGTAATACAGAGAAGGGCCCTGACCAGGTGAGGCGTTTGCCTGGTTCTGGCAGTTGTAGCAATTCGAGCACATCATGACCGGGTGATCTGCAGATGGCAATTTTGAACTGGTTCTTGCTACTGGGGACTGGAAACCGGCGAGAATGGGTGATTTCGAGAACGCTGGTGTTTGGTGGACACTAACAGCAGAGGAAGTTGAGTTGCTTCGCAGTGAAGGGGATTTTGACACTGGAATGGACTCAGGGTCACTAATACAGTACCATTGGTCAGTTTCCGTTGTTTCATCCTAGAGTGGTAGGTGACTCACTGTCGTGCCATGTGTTGAGTGAGGTAATCCGCTCGATGGAATGCTTTCGTGCACCCTTCATATGAGCAGACGTAGGTCTTCTTAGCTCGGTGGCTCAGTTCATGTCGCCGCCGGTGTTCAGCACGGGTAAAGACCTTCAGTCAAGTTAGTTTTGAACGAGCCCAGCGCAGTTGATTCTATGGTAAAGACTCACCTTGACGCATCCAGGAAACTCGCAAGCGTGTACCCGCTTCCCCTTTTTAGCCTTGCTCACCCTGAATTCACTCGTCGACGAGGCAGGTGAAGGGGGGATGTTTTGTTGCGGGCTACTCCGGCTCATATCTTCGAGTTGAGGTGAGTTATTTTCCATCATAGACGCTGGCGCTGCTGAAATGTACTGCGAGTCGAGGTATGAAGGCATGCTAGCCATAAATGGAACAGAAAATTGAGACATAGTGCAACTAATGGACATGATTTGACGACAACCACTTATGTCATTGAAAGGCGTGACTGTGAGCAGAAATGTGTGTTGAAATGTCGATGTCAAGTTGAGGGGCTCTATAGAAGAAGTGCTATACAAGCCCTGGAGGTCCAGATGTCACGAGATAACTTGAAGGAGTCAAAGCACAGGGGGGACAGGATTTAAAGACCCTTGAAGGCTGAAGAAAAATGAAGAAAAAACTGAAGGATCCAAGCGTGTCCATAAGCTCTGAGGCGGCTCCTATATATCCTTGGTTTATCAACGTGGATCAATAAGGATCGGCTGATTCACGGAAGGGTAATTTAAAACTGGGTCTAGGCAGGAAAAGAAAAGAAAATCAATTAAAACAAATAAAATAAAAATAGGGGGAAAATAAAATAGAAATTGTAAAACCAAAAAATTGTTTTAAAAATGGAAAAATTTGAAACGAAACACAAATCCAACAAGTGGTCCGGATTGAATTGATCGCCCTTCCATCCCATAGCCCCCATCTTCATTGAAGGTCTCCACACCATGGGCGAGTCAAATCATAAATTTCAACCTAGGAAATTTCCCCAACATTAATGCAGGCTTTATTTGCATTCTGTTTGGTCAAGAGCCTCCATGAGGTGCATGTATGCATACCACGTCCTCGCACCTTTTAATAGTTATAGTTGGTTGATTCTATGATTTCTATTGGAGGTTTCTGTTCCGCTGAGGCCTCCCATGTGGTAGTGACGCTTGAAATACATCCATGGATATTGATGACAATTAAATTGAATGTTAGTATGATTCCCATGATCCAGGTCAACGGTATTCGCTACTACCAGCATTAATTTACCCCTCTCCTTTTTCTCCTAACGCTGGCACACCGTACTCCGTAGACCAATCTAGTTCAAGCCAAAACGCATAAATTGCGGTATAAATGAGTTTCCCGTTCACATCCATTAGGAAATCGAGACGACAGCCCGGGAGCTTGGGTCAAGGAATCCATCGGAGCATGGAGCACCAGACCAATTTCGTTCTCGTGGTCAGTGGGGCGATTGATCCTCAGGGCTCCCGGAGACTGCACGAACAAGTTCAAGTGCACGGTTCTAAACCTTGGAATGGAATGTTTTTTTTGAGATAGGGACCGATAAAAGTTGGCTAGACTTCAGTATTGAGACCGTATTGGGTTAGGTAGTTTGTGCAAGAGGCATGAGACAAAAGGAAATCTCCACATAACGGCCGTTGCGGTGTGCCGGAGCCGGGTCCAAGCTTCGGATTAGGAGGGAAGATTTACCGTGGAAAATAGTAAGGGATTACAAACAGGTACGTGTACGAGGTGTACGATGTACGACGATACATACTTAATTAGGGAATAAGTGCGTCGAAAAAGATTAACCATTTAGCTTGTCAGAATCTAAGAATTGTGGAGTTCATTCTGTGACGGCGCGGACGGTGCAGATGGGGGCCCTTTCACGCCCCCAAGGTTGATCTACGACGGCTCGGATGGCGATGGAGAAGCACTGACCAAGAACTCCACATTATTTTCGATCATTGGTTTATAGAAAAGACCGGACTGTTACGCAAGAGGCTGGATACCATACTAGATTAAGCGAATTGCCCCGTCTGGCAACGGATCTGTCTCCTGATTTGACATGGAGTTACATGGATGCGGGTTAAGGGCCAACAAGTGCCCTGTTCATCCCTGTCGCTTGGATAGAAATCCTTGAAGAGGCTCCGAGAAAATCAGTTCTACCTCGTGGCTTTTTTGGACTCCACTTTGTGATTGGTATTTTTCAATCTCCTTTCTGGCCCCCACGGTACGTGCGTTGGAAATGTAACATTCGATTTGGATTCCATACTCCATACTGGGTACCCATTACATCCTGCTCACTTGATGAGGATTAGTGAGCGCCAAGTTTGGGATTCCTCATTCATCTATTGGTCTGCTCGGTTATTTTATGGGTCCTAGATCTTGATTCCTGGGATTTGATATTAAATTATTACTCATATGTACAAAGGTACTTCCTCCAGGGCTCTCTTCGGCACTCACCCCGTAAATCCGAGCCCTATAATCAAGAGATCACTAATCAGTGCTGCGTAGTGGGGTAGCAACGACTGAATTAATTCATCTTTAGGGTGAACCTGCCACTCGGTATCCTATAGTACTTTTTACCCTACCATGAGCGGAGCACTCCGGGTTTAGAAAATTGAGCTCTGTAGAAGATGCCCCTCATCTACCACGTGGATCTCCGTAGTATGTAAAATTGATGGAAGGATGAGATTCTGAGTATGATAACCATGCTTCTTCTCTGAAGAGACGGGAGGATATACCCACGGGAGGAATCCGTGTAGTGCTCCTGCAGTTAATGAAATCTATTTTTGTCTAGAAATTCTGGAAGTTCCATTATTCAGATGTCAACGGGATGATCATGGGAGTAAAAATAGGACTCGGAATCACCTCAAACATCCTAGCAGCTCGATGATGCTGCCAAGATGTACTTAAAGACGATCAATTTCAATCTTAACACAAAAATATCACAAATATGACCGTACTTCGTAAATCCGGACTTTCTTGAACTGCGTTGTTGCCCTGTGGGCTATATTGAGAGAGGGCCCCCAAATTCTGATTAGGAAAACAGTGCTATATGGAGTTCATTAATAAGTCTATGCTGGCACGGAGTTCATCTCCTAACTCAGACTAACATCATGGATGATCCATACTGTTGGTATCGGCCGTAGAGAAGGGCAAAAAAAAGAAAGAGAAAGAAAAAACCAGGTTCTGGCCCTGGTCGATTGTATTCGTCAATAAAGATACTTTTTTGTCTTTACTAGGTAAAACCTTAGTACATTTGACAAGAAAAGAGGCTATATTCTGTACTAAATCTCCCATGGGGATGACTTGCTTGGGCCACCTGAGGTCCTAATAGTGGGCCTGTTAAGTCTCCACCTTCAGGGATATTCATCCTTTTCCGTTCACTCGGGAAACGCTTGAACGAGTTCGTTGGGCACAATGACAGCCCCCATGTTTCTATCATTGATGTTGCAAGCTTATAGGTTTGAGAAGCTATTCCTCAATTTTTCATCCTTTATTCACATTTATTCACTGTTCCACTCTGTCGGAAAGCTAACTAAACTAGGCTTTTAACCGGATTCAGCTGGATTGCACTATACCCACTTAGCTGGACCGCTCGGCAGGAAAAACGGCACTCGGTTCTAGCATTTATCACCAGAAGAGTACGGAGTAGAATGTGATTATTTTCTCCTTCTCTTCCGGACCTCCGCAAAATCCGCAAAATATGCCCTGCCCAGGTGAGGTTCCATGGATACCCGGCGTTACGGCCCGCAAAAGCACCGACATCTGAAAGTTCAAATGTTATCTCACAAGTCATGTATTTAACGGTAAAGAGATAACATTACCAGATGTCCCAGGGCTATCAAGCCTCGAGTTTCAGTATAGTCAAGGGAATTTAACTTATGGTCTGATTCCAATCTATCACTGAATCTAACATTTGAAACAATCATTATTTGACAAATAAATATTCAAATGAATCATTTCAGCCTTAACCTATTTCAGAAGAGTTCCAGTTGTGATCAATAATTCATTTTAACTTTGTAAAGTTGTTGTGGCTTAAAACCGGCGTCAAGGATTTGGAATTCGTTTCCCACCGGCACTTGTACCAACATTAGGCTCCCAAATACCAGTGGAGTAGAATTGTCGCAGGGTTTTGCTCATTTTGATTTTCCAAAAAAAATTGAATTTTTTTTTCTTCAGCTTCATTCATAATGCATGATATGCAAGAACGGGTTACGGAGTACTCCGTAGCCTAAACTGTATGAAGAGCCGAAAATCCCAGGGTGACGATCGGGGGCAAAAATAGAAATGGAAAACTCCGCGAGATCTGCACGGAGAAAAAAAAGTGCTGACGGACCGGGTGTAATATTCGTTTAGGTCCACAGAGGCTCTAACTTCAGCCTTCATGTGTCATTGGGGCGGATTCGGAGTTTGAGCATCCAGTTCATGTTCCATGCAATACTGTTCCTGAGGCTATTAGGATTAGCTGACAATGGAATTGTGACATCATTTTTTTTATCATTTTTGTCAATACTTAGAGTAGTAGAATCGATTTTGAATGACTTCAGGATGCATCCTATACTAATTAAGCTGGGAATTTGGAAAATTCGGAGCTAGGACAGACTTCCAGGTATATAAGATATTCATTGTGAACTGAATATGAAATCGAAATAAAAAATAGACCTAGGCGGCCAAGGTACTAGATCAGTCCTCAAAATGACTTAGTAGATCCTAATCCTGGGTGTATTTAGAGCTGGTTATCACGACTCATGTTCATACTAGTGTTATACTATGATTTATAGGAAATTCCCGATGTGACGAGATGAGCTATTATCAATCCTATGAGTCTATAGTTTTTATAGTCCTGAATTAGAGGGGAAAAGGTGAGAGACCTCTTTGGACTGCTAGATGTTCAGAGTATAGTCAAATTGAGAGTATTGTTCCTGACCTAGAATACTAAGCTAGGGTACGAAGTGAGAACTAGACTACGTTAGAGTAAGTGATGAAGATAATGATATAGCCAATATCTTCTTCACTATCTTATCACTTTAGATTTACAATGGAAACGTATTCTGAGAGAAAGGCCTGATAGGCTATGTCAATTTCAAACACTTGGTACTCTGGACTCAAGTGCTACTATCTAGTAATCCCAATTTGAAAACGCCCAAAATGCAAATTTCAAATCCAAATTGTAAACAGAAAACAAAAACAAACATTCAAAATGCAATTTGGATTCCCCCGCATCCCCCAATGCTCCCTTCCAAAGCCTAGAGATCACACCACCTCTCCGACTATTCTTCCGCGTTCTCGGACGTGACCGACCAACCCTCTGACATAGCCAGCATGATCCGAGGTCGCATCTTCCGCAACTGTCTGCCCAATATGAGCAAACAAGCTACGTAGAGCTTCCAAGTCCGCCGCGAGATCTTGCGATCCTGGGGTGACCATGTTCGTGTCAGACGGGAAATCTAGCACCCACAGTGGAACATCGGCTTGCTCGTCGTACCGGCCAAGGTAACGATCCGCAAATAAGCCAAACATGGTTTTAGGGACCACGTATGGCGGCCGAGTTCCAAAGCGTTCCGATGCGTAGAATGGTCCTCGTTCACCGGGTCGTCGAATTCGACTATTTCCCATTCGGAAATAGCTCAATTTCGGCAACCCTTCCTTGAAGCGGTTGAACCACTTAGACCAACGAGACTCGTTTAACACGATGTGCACAAATTCCTCGTCATCCTCTCGCCAGAACGAGACGGAGGCAACCCGGCCGGCCTCCTTAGAGATGATGCCGGCTTGGGCGCCGTAGACTATCGCACAATCATCTAGGATGAGAGTGGTCAGTCTCTTGCCGGATGCGAGAATCCAATTGAGCACATCGTCTTCGAAAAACGCATGTCCGCGTAGTTCGAGAGACTCAAGCCTATCTAAGGCTGGAAGTTCGCTGCTTGCGTCATTGACTAGCCCTTTCAAATCCAGCAGGTTAAAACCCCAGCATGTGATTGAAACCTTACGCAATGTGCTGCGAAACGGAATCAACCAACGCTTTGTTGGATCGACAAAGCTGTCGGCGAAGAACTGTAGATGAATGTTAGCTTGATGAGTCAGTTGTGTATATATGTTAGAAAACTTACGCATTCTTTATCAGTCTCCACGCCTGTGTATCCGAGCTTGAGAGACTCTAACCGGAGGTACTTGAGAATCTCAAACGGGCTCTTTCTGTGATTACCCAGGGCTGGAAATGAGGCGTAGAAAGGCAGCATGTCAGTAGAAAAAGCTTTCAGCTTTCGGTTCTGCTCAAATATGCCAAAAAGAGCTGCCATCAATCCCTGGATGTATTCTCTCTTGTCCAAGAAGTAATCTCTCGTCTTCTTGGGAGCCGAGCGAATTGTCTCAACCCGGATGCACAATGATTCCAGTTCAGTAAGACGAGGCACTGCGTACTTGAAGAACCGCTGGAATTTGATCGCTCTGCCAGACCGTTTGGTGTTGTAGTCCTGTAGAAGAATCAAGATCAGTATTTTTATATTCCCGATTTTGTATGTGCCAATGTGCATACCTGATGGAAATGATTATCGGAAACTTTCAGCACCAAATCTCGAGCCCGGCGGGCCAATTGGCTATTTCCAGCTGTATTTTTAAGTCTTTTCCAGCTTCGCATTCTCCAGTCACAGAAAATGATCTTTCCGATGCGATTGTTGACAGCCGTAAGCCAGTTCTGGTTGAGGAGCCGCAGGACAAAAAGGGTTTCAATATCGGGCACGAATGCCAGGATCATTAGGATAATCTCGACGGGGAGGTAAGGAGCAGGCATTGTGAAAGGCATTGAATCGAGGATCAGGAAGAAGTCTGAGAGAAAGACTAGTGGAGAAGAGCAAAATCGGGACTCGATGAAGTCTGGGGTGAATGCCGATTTTGAGAGAAAAGTGAAATCGTAAATTGGTAGGCAACCTCACTTAAAAGACAATTTCCCAAGAGAAGAGAAATTGGAATCAAGAAACGATTGCACAAGAAGAAGAGGATCGAAACTTGGTGCGGTCGGGGTTGAAAGACGATTTTTGAAAAGAAGTGAAATCGTAAATTGGTAGGCGAGCTCACTGAGAAGACGATTTTCCAAGAGGAGAGAAATTGAAAGTTGGAGAAGTGAGAATAGCAAAATGATTTTCGAAGAGAGAAAAAATTGAAAATTGTTGAGAGTAGAATTTATACTCCTGGAGCCTCACCTGGGCACGTGCTTCACTTTCTGCCCTAAGTAGGAGCCTTGAGATTGTGTGTGAATGCTCCTACAAGTCGGAGCCTGTATAAAATGGTTTACTAGAGGCAGCGATGATTACTTCTCATATTATATTCACTTCTTAAGTTAATAATGAGAGGCTACGAGTGTAACTTAAGGGAGTTCAAGAAGTACCGGGGCCTTAGATAGTATTGACTGCCTAAAATGGGAATAGTTGCATGCATGATCCTTGGAAAGACCTCCGTGTCTTAATACGTGCATATTCTATACTTCCAAGGTTCGGGGTTTCAGCGGGGCATTCAGGAACCTAGTTTTGTTTAGTCGAATGTCTGCATGATATCTTTGTAATTCACTCTATTTCTTTTGTCTGAACCTGGTATTTGCTGCTATATTAAGATAACATAGGTCGGTCTTCATGAACATTGCTGCTGCTCCAAATATCGCAGGATTGGGAGCTATGATAAACACTTGCGTTGTTTTTTCCCCTGTTTCATTGTTGTAAAAAAATCGAAAAAGAAAATCCAAGATTTGATAGTGAATTCCTTTATCTTATTAAAAATGCACATGTGATACTAGATCTGTGAATTCCATGGCTTCGTATCAATGGATATCTTCACACACGGATTTTGGAAGGGGCATTCTGTATGTTGCGGGTCTACAGAGTATGAAAGGCTAACGTGATTCCCAAGCGAGTGGGCCACCCAAGCGAGTGGGCCACCCACCGCCTACCCTACAGTTTTAATCATAAATATTACCACCAGAACGCCAATTTATTAAAATAATTAACTAAATATCACAGTGATCTGATCGATGGCCTTCTTCTCCACACTTCTTACATGTCGGTAGCTTTCTCCTAGCTGGCTGAGGGGGGTAAATAAGGCGCCCTAGGCCGTGGTACGGGAGGGATCACTGGCGCCTCAACCACCTGTATAGCACGCTGTATAGCCTCCTGGCCCTCCTGAACAGTCATACCACCCTCGTTAGGTATCTGCCTAGTAGACCGCTTGCGCTTTTGCTTTTGCTTTTCATGTGCAGCGCGTAATTTGCGTGTTTCAACCTCTAATAAAGCTGTTGAATGCATCTGAATTTCGCAGGCCTTGAGAACTTGATCGATTTGCTGTTTGAGTGGACTTGGAGGGCTCTTTGAACGTTGTTTTAGAAGAGCTTTGATTGAACTAGCTTGCCGTTGAAGCTGAATAAGATTCTGAGGTGTTTTAGGTGAAAATTGGCTTGATCGACTAGTAGGGCGGCTAGCTGGGGGTGTAGGTGTTCGAAGAAGAATATTTAACTTAGAAAGTACTCGATCTGGGTCAAATGGTACTAAACCAGCTGCCGTAAAGCTGTTTTGAATAGTTTGGGTTTGAAAAGCCTCTTTACGAGCGATTGGGTAGGCTTCAAGAAAATCAAATTTATCAACATGGTTAAAACCAAGCCGCATTTGATTCTCAACAAGCCGACCATAGGCCCGTTTTAAAGGCCCAAAACATCCAACATCAAGTGGCTGATGAAGATGTGAAGAATGAGCTGGCATGCAAATTGGAATAATATTATTCTCTTTGCAAATCTGATCAAATTGGGGAGTTAAATGACTCCCATGACCATCAAGAATCAAAAGTCGATATTTTCCAAGCGTACGTTCAGTTGTTGCTGGAATAAAGTGTTTTTGAAGCCATCGAAGTCCAATTTCATCAGTTGTCCATCCATTTGGACTAGTTTCAAATCGCCAGTCAAGTGGAAGGTTTGTAAACCATCCTTCAATTAAAACTTTGCCTTTGAAAATAATCACTGGTGGAAGGGCCCATCCAGATACATTAATTGTTTCAATAGCAGTTACCCATTCACGATTTCCAGGCTGTAAAAGTGATCGTCGACCATAATATCGAGAACGAGTAACAACCTTAGCAGTTGCTGTAAGTCCCATTGCAAATCCAGTCTCATCAAAGTTATAGATATCCTCTGATAGAATACCATTCTCTTGAATTGTTTGAAAAACAAGATTAAACCATTCTTGAACAACTTTTGGATCCTCCATCTTCGCACGTTCATAATTATATCGTCGAGAGAAACGTGTAGTAAGCTCTGAATGTCGTTTAACAAAGTTTGTGACCCAATTTTTGCCAACAGTTTGAGAAGGGGTCTGGCCACGTGCTAAGAGGAGAATATTGGCCATTTCTTGAACAGTAGCAGGCCGGGGGGCAGCTCCACGTGTATCCATAGAGATCACCCACTGAAGAAGTGATTTCTCTTCATTCTCAGTTAATTTATGGCTGTTGGCGCGAGTCTCAGAGCGATTGGTATAGCCAGTGAGCCGACGCTGTAGTGTAGTACGAGGTATATCAAAACAGCGTGCAGCTTCACGGATAGAGCTTATTTGTTCAGCTTTAATAGCCTGTATAGCAAGTAGGATTCGCCCTCTTGATTACCATTTTTTTCGGCCGAAACAGTACGTTTTGGTGGCATGATGGGTGGTTGAAGATAAAAGAACGCGGTCGCGACGCGATTTTTTGGTTGGGTGGCCCACTCGCTTGGGTGGCCCACTCGCTTGGGAATCACGTTATATCTGCCACGGTCTCAACCCCATATTTTTAAGGCATTCATGTATTTTATTATTTGGCAGAGAATGAAATTGAAAATGCCATACTAACATAAAAACGGTCTATGTCCCTTCTAGACCTGAAAGTCTCCTAAGCTGCCGCTACCTGTAGACAGACGGTAGAGACAGTGTTGGTTTGTACATGATGATGATAATTTTCTATTCACTCCATGTTATTTAGCCATTATCGCCACGGTAATGTGGTAGCCGCTCGCCTAGTGAAGCTATAAAATCTCAGACGCTACTTGAATGCAAGTTAGACAAAGGAAACAGTAGTATTAGGAAACAAAATGGATGAAAAGCCATAGTATCGCACAAACGAATTGTGGCAAAGGGTTGAAAACCCCATGGTAAACTCACATATCTAGATCACCCAGTCCTCCACTTCCAAGGTTAGGAATAAAGAACCCTAAGGCTCTCCCACTCCCCCTTTAGGCTATTTAGGGCTCTGTTTTGCTTATTTCGATGCGAAGCAGAGCATTTAAAATGGCTAGACTGATTTGGTTTTGTCTGATCATTTCTATAATGCCTGAATATAACTACTCAGGAAGTGGCATCAGGCAGGAATAAGGCATCAACTGTTGTTACACGGAAAAAAGTGGCAGAATAGTTGTTGGTCCTAATAGACCTCTTTTACTCCTTGGGTTCCTGCACTTTTACTTATCGAAGGAGGGAGGCAGAATCAGCCTACAGCTTATCTCTAGGGCTGCCAGTTGCCTATATCCAACTATTCACATGTAGCAGCTAACCTTCCTTCCCCTTCAGGTAACCCCGTAGGTAACCCCGTACGTACTTACATAAAAAGATATGTAGGTCATCAGTCACCTCTACATGCTTCTGACTGAGCCCTGTACTTAAGTATGTGAACACACCTAGCCAAGTACTTGAGTGCTTGGGAAATACCTTTCAATGTTCCCAATTTCGCTGTTACAGTGCCGCGCGAAGCGCGGCGTGAGGACTTGTAATCTACTTACAGCCCTGGAGTAGAAGTACAGATCAGGCTTCGCACCTAGCAATTGTACACCAAGTGCCTACCCTAGGCTAGAGTCCTAGAGGGCACAGGAGTCAACTAGTATAGTAGAGACATCTAGAATTTTCGTACATGAAAAGGACTTCAAAGCGTATAGACCTCTTTTTCTACTTGGGTTACAGTGGTTTTTCGAGTTTTCTCACCGTCTGGCAGAATACTCAGACTCCAGAGACCACAGATTTACCAATAGACTACCTAGTTATATTTTTCTTTTATTTGTTACATCTAAACATGCACATGTGAATATATCCCGCTTTATTGCTATCTCTTACTTCTACTTTAGATATCTCTCGTTTTAGATATCTGTGGGGTTACCAGTTGCCTATATCTAACTATATAGTAGCTATGAAAAGAGATGTCAGTCATTATGTAGAACATCCCAAGCTCCCTGTCTGAGAGGATGTGGACACATCTAGCCAAGCACTCGCGTGCTGAGGACATACCTCTCCAAATGCTCGTTGCTTCACTGGCAGTGCCGCGCGAAGCGCGGCGTGAAGACTTGTATGTATGTTACTTCTTGGTCGTGCGATATTTCACTGTTACAGTACCTAGGTAGTATGCAGTGTCTTCATTAATCCGCCCCTTCTGATATGAGTCTGATTCTGGTTTCTGATTCAACTTGAGGTTTGATGTTCTTGGGGTTGATTTTATAGTATTGAAACTACTAGCATCTCAGGAGCCTTCCAAGGTTGTTTGTAGTATTGATTTGGTCATATAGCAATTTAACTAGGTATAGGTGAAAGAAACAAACCCATCATTTATTGCATTGGGCTGAATCATATCAGGCTAAACTATTAGTTTCTGGATAAAACAACAGTATCAAGGTCAGAAATGCCAATCTCATCACCAACCTCAGCTGGGTAGGCTTCAGAGCAAGCTTTCAGTCCCTGCTCGCAGACAACACCGATCTCTCTGATGAACTATTGGAGCTACTCATCAAACCCACCTCCCAAGAGGAGCGTACCCGGAGACGGCCTCACACCTTAACCAAGACAGGCTATATCTGCTATGAAATGTGCACCAAGAGATCCTGCTCCCCTGGCCTTCGTATTCGATCTTGATTTTCTCTTCGTTTGTAAAGGTGACTACCTCCTTTGTGGCGCCGATCTATCACGACGTAATGACTCCAGGGCTGGAATCCACCAAATCAACGCCGAGGCAGCTAACGAACGTCCTTAAGGGCACCGGCACCTCAGACTTCGCAATTAGCGCCGGCCTAGCAACTCCGGCCTTCATCCTTGCCAAAACATGTTGTCTGGAAATTCCACCACATAAATCCAAGCGATGCCACCTTTGCCATTGATGCCAAAGATGAGTCAAATGCTATAATACCATAGCAACCTAACAAATTTATAGAGATTTGCTCTAGGAAGCTCCCGAGGTCCCATGAAACTATCAGAGATTATTCCTATCCGAAGCTTATCCAGATACTATACGTATTATAAGCCTAGCCTTAAAAGGCTTTCGGCTTCTCTAGATAACCTAGAGTAACTTACTCAAACACAAGAGATATCAAGATATAATCCACTAGCTAATGATCCCAAGTCCAAAGGAGAACTAAAAACCTTCCTATTATACCTGCACTGATCAAAAATCCTTCCAGTCCCATTGTCTGATCTATGGATGATATTCCAATATTAATTTTGTGATTTTTCCTCTTTAGCAGCCCGAAAGAAGTTCTGACTATGATTTCTGCTGTTAGTAATGATATCTAAAGGGTTAGACATAGATAATCTGTGTACTCTATACAGTGGATATCCCCATGACGCCTCGGGAGAAGCTGAATTTGTGAGGAGAGAATAAACCCTCTAACTTTGGAAGATTTTAAAGAATCAATGGATGTGTATTCACCTAGTCCCCAACTGGCATGACAGGTTACCAAAACCAACACTTTACAAACTCGGTTAGTGCCCTTTGACTTCATGTACAAGGACTCTTACGTCCTTTGCGGAGAAGCGCACAAGCGGGCAACCGGTATCCATCAGATAAGGCCAAAGGCTTCCGATATCATATAAGGCGCTCACGACTTCACCATTAGACCTGTCCTGGCGACTGCCGGCTTCGTTTCGATGCCACGCCAAGTCGTCCGGCAGTTCCACAAACTCACCTCGGACAGCGCTAGCTTCCCAATCACGGCAGAGCAAAACTCGAAGCGCTATAATGTTGCAGGCATCCAACATGATAGAATGAAGAAGTGAGTGGGAGTCAGAGAGGCTTCATCGCCGCTTTCCTCCGTAGTCAGGTCGGGGCCTGGCTTAGTATTCATGGTTGGTGATGGGCGTCCGACGCACATAAGCTTAAGAGACTCCTCCGGGTTGAGGGGGGGGGGTGGCTACAATGAGGTTCTTCTGTGCGTATGCCCACAGGGCGTGATTAAACTTATCGAAATTCTTAAGTCCCTGCCTGGCTGCTTTAAGAACTTCCTGAAGGGTTCGGCGTAGAGGTTCGGAATCCCTTCCAGCTTGGCCATGGCGTCGTTAAGGCTTGCACGCAGGTGGGTGACCTTGCTAGTTAGGGTAAAGTACTTGCTGATATGCTTGTACTGGGCGGCGAGTTGATCAAGGTTCTTCGTGATGTCAACGCTTAAGTCCGTGAGGTCGTGGGCGCTGTCCAGAAGGCTTTGGCCATCGTCGCCTGTGGCTTTGAGGATGAGCGACTTGAGAAGCAGGTCCAGGGTAAGAGACATTGGGGTGGGCAGCTTCTTCCAGGCGAAATCGGTGACAAGTTCTTCTTTCGGAACTAAGAAGTCACGGATGGCCGGGGCAGGCTTGGTAGGCGCAGGCTCCGTGGCCGGATTCTTTAGACGAGTCAAGGTCAATGTAGAGCACTTGAGCTGCCTCAGGACCTGTCGCTGCAGAACCAAACCAATGGCGTTGCAGGTTTGAAGTTTCGCAGGCACGGAGGACTTTGGCTGTTTCATCCATAGTGCATAACATGTCAGATGGAGTATGGGAAATGAGATTGGAATCTAAGTTTCTCTGCTTCTTTGGTAAAACTTTGGGCTAAACTGTTGTATGTACTGGGACGCGCGGATGGGTAGGAGATTAAGATTCTCAGAGCTTGCTGAGCATATTTAGGAGCTTTTCATGATGCTAACGGCACTCCTATGGCTAGTATAGAGAAGGAACGCCACTAAGATATATTCTAGTATTTACAGGCAGACCTTAGATCACTGGCACTCAGGCTACTATATAGGGCAAACTATACATGTGGTCCCTTCACTAAAATAAGAGATATTTAAAGTAAGAGATAACTAAAGTAAAGGTGAGAGATATTTAAGTCTGAATTGAGAGATACCTGAAGTTGAAGTAAGACTCGGAGATATCTTATTATACTTTAGTACATATAATATTTTTTTAAAAATAATTCATTTTTACTAGAACTACCTAGATACTAGTACTCCAAGACCTACTCTCTATCCTTTACCTTATCTTAGATTAATTAATATATATATGTAGTAAGAAAGAGAGTGAATATATAAATGGGAGGAGTTAGCATATAACTAAGCAGCAATAGCATATAACTCAAAAGAAGTAGTTCAGGATGGATCAGACTTAGTGTGATTCAAGCCTATCTGAACTTCTTTAAAATAGATTCCAGAATGGATTAACTACTCTCATTTAGGGCTCTAAACAGCTTGGATTATGGCCTAGCTGCCCATAAATATCATCAATCTATATAGTATCAGACTGAAAGTTGGCTAGGGATATCTACATGGATCTAAAGAACAAGTTATGCACCTTTAAATATTGAAATTAGCTGGATTAGTATATTAATTCTTTACGCACTCCACATAGCTTCAGGTTCTTAGAGAATATACGAATCATCATCAAGAACACGAAACCCATAGTGTTCCTTTATTGTATTTTAAATGTTGTCGTTCTTGTCAGTGTAGGCGTAGGAGGTGAAGCATAGCGAATTAGTAGTCTATGAGTCAAAGCCAAGCGCAGTGATAAAGTAACCTTGGAAGTCCCTATTGTACTACACCATTTTGAAATACCCCAATTGCCAGGGAGCCAAATTCCCTGTATGACATTAGTAAGTCATAACGCTTTCCTGATTTGATGGAGATTTCTCTTATAGTCAGGTAACTCAGGCTTAGGTAGCGAAGGAGACCTATGACTTACCATAATGCAGCCAGACGCAGGAGCTTGCAAGTATTACTAGTAAATTGAAAGTCAGAGCACAGTTCCCACTGGTTATTCTTCCATATCTTCTAGTAATGCGATCAAGTTGACCAATCCATAGGTTTAAGGTGTGTTGTTCCCTACTACCTAGGTAGTAATTCAAAGAGATTTCCCATACTAGTACCTAGGTACCATACATTGGTTACCACCCCATATTTTGCAGTATCCTCTGAATAATTTAATTCTTCACCCTGGTCATCATTCTAACATTCAAGGGTCCCCACAGAGCCTCATGTATTATTTAATAAGAAAATTGGGATACACGGCGTATGGGGTCTCGTCTTCTGTTCAAACGCGCTCTACAGTCGTTAGGCAAGAACATAGTAGTTTTTGTGCCTAGCGTAGAAGATACATATGATTAGTCTATCTCCACAGGTACATCCAGTCAATGACAGCTTTTCAGCCTAAAGTTCACGTGAGGATGCATGCACAGCCCCGCACGATCATCCACCTGGGCACTCGACATAACTTCATGGTAATAGCTTAGCCTTAACTATTTACCCACTCCACATGTGCAACTACTCAGTTGTTCCCTTCTGAGGTATATATCTTCATTGCACCGGGCTGGGGTAGTCCCATCTATTCATGACCCCTGATCGTTCACATGGCCCTCCAATTATCACTCAAAGGGAAACAGCCCCAGCGTCAACCACTGGCAGCAGAGGAACCCACAGAGTCCCTGACGAACGCCTTGGCCAAGTTCAAGGAGGTTCTGACGACAGAGCAAAAGAAACAATTCGAAGACAGCACAGCGGTCCCCGATGCAGGCGACGTACTATTCTTTGTCGCACAGCTGGATGCTGAGAGTGCGAGCAAAACAAGGCGAAGCATCAGCCCCCGACTAGATAATTTTCTGAACGCAACATAGCAATTTGCGGCTGTGGTTGACACATTTGTGAGCTCCAATCCGCAGGTGATGGCTTTGATCTGGGGTGGGATTAGAACTGACATGACCGTGGCAAGCAATGTTGCCTCTTATTTCAACAAAGTTACCAATATGATCAAAGACATTGGCCAGGTGAGCCCTACCTACCGGGAGCTTGGTCAGCTTTACCCTGGACATCTCGGTCTTCAGCAGTCATTGTGTGAATACTATGCTGGCATAATTGAGCTATGTAGTAAGGTTATTGAAGTGTCTCGCCGGAAATCACCCATGCAAGCCATCTCGGCGATTTGGACTCCTTTTGAGACCGAATTCAGCCCATTTTTGGATCGCATTGGCAAATATAGGGAGCTGATAGGCTTACAGATCAATATTGCATTGTGACAGGCGGGTAAAGAGGAGAGCAAGGAAAATGCTTCGTTCAGATCATTTGCCTCAAAGCTCCTCACAGGTTTGGCTCACCAACAGGAAGTGGCGAGGCAGTGGCAGATCAATAAGATGAGACGAGAAGCCGCGGCCCTAAAGATCAAAATTCAACAGGGCCTGTGCCCTGTTGATCATATCCAACCGTGGAAACGGATTGTCAAGCAGCGGGTCCATTCAACTGCCGATTGGTTGCTACATGAAGACGCTCTTATTAAATGGCATACTACTCCTGCCACATCGATCCTTTGGTGTACAGGAACGATGGGTATGGGAAAGACTGTCCTGATGTCTAATGTGGTACCCTTTCTCCATTTGTCCCGCCGTGATAATGATTCTGTGGCGCATTTCTTCTGTCAAACAGAAAATGAGCAATCCCTTTTGGCTAGAAATATCTTTGGTAGCCTATGTGGTCAGTTACTTCATTCTGTAATTGAGGCAAGTAGTCACGAAGACCTGCTTTCCATGCAGAATGGGAGTTAGAGTTTGGATACCAATTAAATCATTCAATTCCTCCTCTCTAGATTGGCCACGGAAGGGAATTACTATATTATAATTGATGGCCTAGATAAGTGTGAGCCGACTCAAATTCGGGAGATTGCTTGGGCTCTGGAAAAAATCCTTCAGGGAAATGCTGGAACGTTGACATTGTAGATCATCTGTGCAGGTCGTCCTGGCCTGGAGGAGGATTTGTTTAGATGGGCCACACCATAGCATCACATTATGATTGATGAAGGGAAGCTTACCCTCGATCTGGAGAGATATATCATTGCCACCTTGGATGATTGTCTAGAAAAGGATATGTTGGTTCTCGGAGATCCAGAAATCATCACAACGATAGTAGATGTTATACAAGACCACGCACAGGGAGTGTAAGTGAATCAGATACTAAGTGCTTGAGCTAAACATTTGAAGATAGTCTAATTGGATATCACTTAGGTTTTTCTGGGCCGGTCTATGTATCAGAGAGTTGTGTGAGCAGAACTGTGATGAAGACATACTGGACGCGTTGAAACGCCTTCCACGTGGCCTGGCTGAGCTTTTTGACTCAAAGATTCACCGAATTAAGCAAAGCAATGTTTCTCATCTGGCAATGGACTTACTCTGATACTGTGGCGTTGTGAAGCGCCCAATGACTATTGAAGAGTACAAAGAAGCTTTAAGCGTCTCTCTCAGCGATAAGTTTCTAGATACCAAGCGACTGCCAAGCAACATGAATCGAGTTATCCGCGAATTTTTAGGATTAACATTCATCGATGATGAAGAGCATACTGTCCATTATGTTCATCAGAGTGTGGAAGATCATCTGTTTCACACAGAGCATAGGGAAGCCGCCAATTTCGACGCTCAACGTATCGATGAGCACTTTGGCTATCTGTGTATGACGTACTTGAATTTCGCAAACTTCAGTCGACAAATCGCGAAAGTCGAGAAAGAAGTTTTCCATCTCCTTGATTTGGGCACACCTTCCATCTATCCTGACAGCTTGCGAGTCAATAGAATGGCACGAAAATTGCTGTTGTCCCGGAAGGGGCGTTCGCCAGGTGTAAAAGTTCGCGAGATTGAGAGAGCTGCTTTGCAGTCACTTAAACATGTTACAACAGACGCGATGCAGAATGATGCATTTCTTGTTTATGCAAAGGATAACTGGTGGCTTCATTTGAAAGAGTTAGAGATAGATGACCGGAAAATGTGGCTTCTCTTCTGCAAGTGTCTTGAGGTCCCTGCCTTTAAACCGGCCTTGGGACATATCACTCCAACTCACCCCAGAAGGTGGCGATGGGCATTCAGTAACGGACGAATTTGTCAAAGAACTCTCAGTCTCTCTTGAACGAGATGAACAGGAGGTAGCTTGGACACTGAAACACAAGCACTATGCCTTGTTCCTGTGCTTGACGAGGATGGAAACCCGCTCTTTCCCCCCTGGGCCTCCAAGGGCAATCCGATCATTTCCATCATTCAATGATGGAAGTACTTATCGATGGGTTGACATGCTCATTTTTCTTCCAGCTTTCACTAAGTCGTGGAGCATGGCTTTGTTCAGCGTGGCCTTGGATCAGGGGCTTCCTGAAGCAAAGAAACTCCAAGTCTTTTGCGCATTACTTGGCAAAATGAAGCAAATCGATGCAATGGAGACTCGCTTTGCCTTGGAGATGGCTTTGCGACGCGCACTTATCACCAAGAAAATGCTCGAGTTTTTGTTATCAGTCGATAAAGCATTCTATCAGGAAGCCAGGGTCGTCAACGACCAATTAGATGATGACAAGGCCAACGCCTACTTCAATATGATCAGCTCCGCACAGAGAGATCCTCTACTCCTCCTGTCACTCCTGGACAAGCAAGAGTTGGTGGCAACACAAATCTTGGATTCGGGTGCCGATGCAAATGTCCTTGCCCAGAAATCTCAGGACACAGCTCTTCATCTAGCTGCAGATCTAGGGCAACTATTCTTGGTACAAGAGCTTGTTATTGCTGGTGCGGATCTCAACCTGCAAGACAAGGTTGGCAAGACGTCTGTTCACAGGGCTTTAAAATCAGACAAAGGAGGGCTAGAAGTTTTATGGTACCTCATCACTGCCGGGGCGGATGTCAATTTGAGAATGACGGTGATTGGAATACTCCCCTTCATATGGCTGTGATAAAAGGTGACTTGGAGAAGCTGAGGCTTCTTTTGTCTCCAGGTGCCCATATCAATTTGACAAATTTTGATGGAGATACGGCTCTCCACGTGGCCACATGAGAAGGGGAATGGCTGGAAATGATCGAAATTCTTGTCAGCGCGGGCGCTGATCACACTTTGACGAACAGTCAAGGCGAAACAGCAATTCATATCGCTGTATTGGCTTACTCACAGTCTCCGCGCCTGGATATGAAAGACTACCTTGTGGCGCTCACCGATGAAGGCAAGTACCTATCAACCCTCGGTGGAGACCTCGCCGACCTTGCTCAGGCAAACGCTTGGTCTGCTGTCAGGATGCTTGCCAAGAACGGGGTTGATGTCAATATCCGAGGACGCGATTTCAGAAAAATCGCTCTCCATTGGGCTGGTGAGCGAGGTGAAAAGGACATGGTCGCATTACTCGTTGACAAGAGAAGTGACCCAAATACACTCGACACCTACGGTCAGACAGCAATGCATTATTATGCGGAATCCGGGTTTGAGAAAGTGACTGCCTACCTGCTGAAGGTAACCGATGCTTCTGTGGTTGATACAAAGGGAAGAACAGCATTGCGATGCGCGAGGGATAATTCCCACTCTAGCATAGTGAGGATGCTGTTACCGTTCGCTGGTCTAAGCGATCATTGTCTCGACGACAACGACAAATCTCTGGAATATTGAATAGACGGAGAGTGAAAACGTAAAAATTAGCTATAGTTTACAATCCCATATTTTTGATGGCAGAAGATTAAAAGGAACATATTGCTAAACGCGAATAGGAGTACAGGAATATGTGCCTCGAATAATAGGGCCTTATTTTACAAGGTACACAAAGCTACCTTCATGTTTGTATTGAAATAGATGGCTACGGACCACTTTGTGTACAGCATAGCCTCTCTCATTCACGTCTTCTGGCTTTTCCAGACCGAGAGTTGGCCTTGAGGCGTAATTTGATCGAATAGTGGACTTAAAGGCATGACATCTTTCGATCTGGGAAGTGAGTCGTAATCTCAGATTATGAAATTGCCTCTTTTTCCTTTCAGCCGCACATGTGCATTCTCATCCGATGTGCACGGTCTTTGTTTTCCTGGGATAGCTGCCGTGTGGGCTCGAGAAATCATTGGGCTAGCCCTGGGCATAAGTGCTTAACCTTAACATTATGTACCGACCATCTTCATCTTTTAGTGCGATGAAATTTTGATATCTTTCACTGAAGTCGAAGCCAATGCGTTGGGCTCAAAATTTTCCGGCAATACTATTCAACCAGAAAACGAAACGCCCTCAAAAACAACTCCAATCGCCACTCGATGGTAGTTTGGAAAGGTAAGTCCTTGACTATGGTGGTTTGGACTATCCCACTACTAGCTGACAGACCGTGTTATTACCGATGTGAGCCCTGGAGCTCTCAAATGATCAAACATCATAGGCCCCCGTACCCGGTGGGTCTTATTCACAGATCGCTAATAACAGCACGAACCATGAGGTATGTCTGTATAAGCTTCAGGTTCAAATCCATTATCACTGAACGAATATGATTTCTAGATCCTGGTGTTGGTCTTTTTCGGAAGAGCCATTGCAGGAGAAACTTGAAATTTGAAGTCAATCAGTCAGAAATCACTGACATGATTACAGAATACCAATACAAAATTGAAGATATAAGAGGGCTGAGAGGTAGCTCTTCAGTAGGGTGAATGAGAGTTTCGGATATTTGCTGTTGAAGTCGGCACAAGCCGATGCAACTATGGACATGGATGCAGTAATGTATGTAGTCAAAAGTGCAATCATATGGCGCCCAATTCAAAGGGTGAAGGGTTGAATGTCTAGTTTCTAATTTCCGTTCAGACCCAGACCGGAGACGATTTTCGTGTTTTCCAAAATGGGTACTCGAATAGCGCCTCTGGCCGAGTCGGCTGCCTGGTCACCAACAGGAAGGGGGTTGGGCGAAGGACCAGGGGTACGCTCGCCCTTGTTTTGGCGCTGAATTAGACCGTTGGTGATACCAAGAACAGAGTCGACGATGACTGCATCGATACCTTCAGCAACTTGGTACTGTGAAGAACTGTTAGTTATGAGTCGATCATTTAGCAAGACAGAAATTTTACTTACGTCAACACTAGCACCATCATTGTTAAGAGCTCCGTAGGACACACATACAAGACCGGATTCTTTGACAATGCGCACCAGACGAGGGCACAAAACAAGTGGTTCGGCTTGGCTGACAATGCCTAGGAGGTTCCATCTCGAAGCGAATCGAACCGCCTCTTGAAGACTGCTAGCCCGGATATCACCAACAGGAGAAGCACCAGCATCAGTCAGGAAGAGCACAGGGATCGATGGCTGCTTGAAGGAGAGCAAGAGACAGATATCAGGGTTGAAGCTGGAGAAGAGCACATCACGACCACGGCCTAGGTCATAGACCTTTGTGAGAACCGTGTCCACGAAGGAGTTCAACTCAACGGCGTACGTATCCATCTCTTCTTCCTCGCTCTCATGGAGCATGGGGTACTCTGGCGATCATGGTTAGATCGACGAAATGTAGCTGTTCTTTAAAAGGCGGTTAAAACTCACTGAGTTCGATATTAAATCCAACGGGTGTTGGAATCTTCTTGAAAAGCTCTTCGAGTGTAGCGAATGGGGCTTGAATGTGCTCTCCACGCGTGTTACCCTTGAATCCCTTCTTTTTGAAGTCACGAGTATGCTTGATCTTCTCAGTCAGCTCGGCGGGATCGTACTCAGACCCACCGACGGACATGGAACGCTGACGGGGAACAAGACCTGCGTCCCCGTGGAGATCCACGCCATCGGGTAGAACACTTCGGTGACGTCCCTTGCCCAATTGCAAGAATTGATCGAGGGTCAAGGTGTGTACAGGGGCATCAATTCCCGTCTCGCTGACTAGGAAATCGTGGTAAATGACAGGAACATGATCTTTGGTCAGCTGCACATCAAACTCAACGTAAGAAGCACCCAAATTAGCAGCGGCAATGAATGACTGAATAGTATTCTCGCCCAGTTGCAGAGATTTGCGACTAGCCATGTTTTTACCGAGACCACGATGACCAATTACCATAGTGGAACTCATGGACCGCCAGTAGGTCTGATTCCCAGTGATTGACATTTTAGGGTGCTTGAAGGGGGTAATGACAAGAAAATTGAAAGTGACAGATCCAATGACGTCCAGGGTATTCGCAGCAACGATGGGGACAGTAGAGTCACCCTTCAGGTTGATACGCTGAGATCCCACCGTAGGCTTGATGCTAGAGAGAAGCGCAACACCACGGCCGACAATCTGATCCTTGGAGCCCGCATAAGTTGGAACAAGATCAAAAAGCAGACGGACTTTGCTAGGATCAGTCGTGTGGAAGACAATTGGCTCTGTGGAGATGTTATCCTGAACAGGAAGATCGATCACCTCCGGCTCTCCATGCGCACCGCTGGCGGTGACAACAAGAGACAGAGCGGTATCCAGCTGAGTTGCATGCGCGTTCTCCATGGGGATGCGGTCCAGGTTAACCGTCTCCAAGGGCTTGCGCATGTCCATGGTTCCAAGACTGACCAGGATCATAGTCTCATCTGTGAGATACCGATGTCCAAATGTCTTAATAGGCTCAGTGTTCCGTTGTCCAGAACTTCCCGAGGTAGGTCCTGGGGTATTCGAACGACGATCAGCCATAGACCACTGGGCAGGCGGAGAAGATGATGACGATGACGGAGCTGGACTGTATGAAGGGACAGGAGGGACAGTCTCAACTGCGGGAGGACCAGGGCTCACTTCAGCTAAACACCGTGCGATATCCAGGTGTCCACGCAGCGCGGCATGTTCCTTTGCAGTCCATCCAGACGAGTCAAACCGCTCCAAATCCGCCCCAGCCTCGATAAGAAGCTTGGCCACATTCAGATTACCGTCAACGCATGCGATGAACAGGGGAGTCCAGGCATAGGTGTTCTCCGCCAGCTCTGTGTTCGCCTTTTGGAAGTCAGTGCCTTCCAGCAGGATACGAGCACACTCGTCGTGTCCAAAGCGGGCCGCGACATGCAATGCAGTCTCGCCCTGCTCATCTTGGTAGTTGATATCAACACCGGCATCAACCAAAAGCCGGACAATATCCACAAAATTGGCCTTGGTTGCTAGAGCCAACACCGCACTGGACTTGGAGATCTGTTTGCGAATCTGATCCTTGCCAGCATCGAGATCCTGGTTATTCTCCGCTTCTAGGAGACACCGAGTGGTCTTAGGATGACCACCGACGACACTGAGATGCAATGGTGCCCATCCATCATTGTCTTGCCAGAGAGTTCCATCGATCCCTTCGCTCACATCAAACATTTCCCACGCTTTGAGGTGTTCAATGATCACTTCACAGACAACCTTGAAACCATACTGCGCCGCATAATGCAAGGGAGTGCGGCCGGAGAGATCCTTTGCCATCAGCGCCTCACGCTGGTTCGGGTGAAGCTCATCCAGCAAATATTGCAGGATAGCCACAGCCGAGTCATCCCGGCCTAGCTGCTGGGGCATATGCTCCTCCTTCACTATGGAACGCGGGGGCTGCAAAGTGGGTGGAGCCGCCGGGGTAATGAAACGCGAAGTTTCCGGAGGGAAGTCCAGCACCATTGATGCAGCCGGCTCGGAATCGTTGGTAGGCTGTTCCCGGCCAATAGAGATGACGAGGCGATGGAGGCAGTTACGGCGATTGATATCATCGTCCTCCTCCAGGCTATCAACTCGTTTAACAAGCTCACTCAAGCAAGTCCGCGAGCGGTGCAAAATGGCGCGCTGGATCAGAGTCTTGAGGACCCTGAGGTAAATTCCCTCACCGGCATCATCGGCCGCGGCTCTCAGAGTCTCAAGCAATTCCAACATCATATGATTATCGTCATTCCTCAAGGCATCATCAACTGCGGTGAGCACACTGGAAGGAAGGTTGAGATAAGGCCGAGTAGCACCGCGCTTCAGCGAAAGAGCCGAATGTGTCGAGCTTGCATCATCAGCCAGTTTCTCCTCCGCCTTCGACTGGTCGGTAATAACAGCCATCCAAGCATTGATACGCTCCTGTGACTTGATCGCACGTGCGTTCGAGGCAAATGGGGTCGGATCAACCTTGGTCTCCAAGTACCGCTTCTGTGCCTGTGCCCCCACCTTTTTGTCCAGCTTCTTGGTGATCTTAACGAATCCACGGCGGTTGACTTCTCCGTACCATTGTAAGCGGCGTAGGTGGTAGCGAAGGTCCAGAAGGGCCTCGCGGAGGTCATGTCGATCCTCGGGCTCCAATGGATGGACACCTTCCATGGAATACCCGTAACGTTCCTCCAGCAGTTTCAATCGACGTGCATATTCGGCATATTTCTTGTTGTAGAAGTAATCGACATCTTCGACATTTCGGTCGAGAGAATAGAAGAAACCTATACCACCAAGCAAGGCGCAAGGGAAAAGCGCATCATGGTTAGAAGGCTGCACGAGTAATGCAAAGAGAGATTCGAGGCGATCAAGGGATCGCGCTTACCAGCCAAGTCCGCCTCTTGTCCTGCTTTCACCTGCTCCGCGGCAGACTTAATGAGCTTCTTCAATGCTTTGTACTTGATGTAGGAGGCGCTCCACTCCGGAACGGTGAACTGGGGCAGATTGCGTCCAAACTTCATGTTGAGTAGTTTGATCTGCCTTCTGTTGGAATATTTTCACCAAAAGATGATCTCGGGTTTCCACCCTGAATCCTCTTTGAGAATTGCGGTCTGTAATTTGCCACCCGAGGCACCCGAATCCACCACCGCAATATAGAAAGGGGAGAGTCGATGCTTAGAACGGTCCAACCTGGAGATTAAAACGGAAGGTTCAGGTGAGCGGACGCACGCAGAGAAGAATCAATGGCGCCATGAGGAAAGGAAAGGGACAAGAAAAATAAAATTCGGGATAAGTCAGGGACGATAGAGCAAATCAAAGCTCCAGGAGAATTGGCGAGAACTGTACCTCTTCTTTTCTTTACCCGGAAATCGAGGATTGAAGCGGTGAAGGGCAAAAAAAGGTCGATCAAAATGATCAAACCAAGCAAAACAGTCAAACAGGGATTGAGTAGCTCCGAACCAAAAGACAGTAGACGCCCACGAGGGTCAAAACAAGGGAAAAGAAGGGTCCTTTCTGGTCGAACGAGCCAGAGGTGTGCGTGTTCTAAGAGCGATGATTTGTCGATCCGCGGGGCTTGACCCCATGGTTCCGCAGGTGGGTTACTTATAGCTCAGACGTCATGGTCCTATAAAACTAAGGGATAAGGGATAAAGGATGAATGTTGAATTAAACCATGTGACTATCAATCTGTAGTTTATTGTTAGTCTAATTATTGTTGGGAATTTCAAAGTCCAAAGTTTCTCCTTACTGTATCATTCTGCATGACCTCGTGACTCTCCTGAACATATCAACTTGAAGCTGAGGGTACACATCCTCGGCACCTATCTCCATGGCTCCAGGGCTTAATTAAAAGCTTCGGATCCGGGATTCCAGCCGGGACCTTTTAAAACCAATCATTGAAGATAGAGAGAGTCAGGAAAAATGCCTTTGAACGGTCATTTGAATCTTATGACTATACTCCGTAGTGCGCCACCACATTCGTTCGGCGACAAAAGTCTTAATATTCAATGGTTAAGGACAGCGATAAATCTATGTGGGCCAATAGGAGTATCCGAGTCAATTCTTATCACCCGGAAATAGATTGACTTGCATACCACAGCATGACACCGGTAAAAGGAATCATCCATAAATGCTGGAGAGATATCAAAAATAAGAAAGGTGAAAAAGAAAAAAGAAAGAGGGGAAACAGAATGAGATTTTGGGGGGGGATCTGCCCATCTGCCCATTCCTGCCCAAATGACTTTTTCGACCTAACAAATCATACGGTTGCACAGTATACATTATTGAGAATTGGTAGGTACATAGCGTGAACTTGAACCTATTATTAGTTATTACTAGGTATTTCTAGTACTCCATATTATATAGTCAACTAGTGAAAAATAAATGAATGCGGAGTACTCCACACTTTATGATCAAAATAATCCCTAGCTAAATTCCATTCTCTATTGTTGTAGCAAATACCCGATGCAAAATCATAAATCTTTTTGCGCCATTCCAGGGCAAGAATTAAATAAACATAAACGCCAAAGCCAAATTGTCCGAAGTCCAGAATGTGATGTAGATAAACATGAAAAGGCATTGAAAAAAAAAAGACATAAGACTCAGCTCGCTCAACCGGTCAACGTACTCATAAGGGGGCATGAAAAAAAGGTCCCAGTAAGCAATACTAGGCAACCCAATATAAAAGAAACCAAGCCAACTCCAGGTTCCCCGAATCCCATTGAAAATCCTCTGGGCTCTCTTGAAACATCTCAAGGAAATAGCAACGCAGTTCGCCTTGCTCCGAATAGGATAAAAAAATAACAATGTAGAGAAATGCAAGTCAAGACGTCTACTTCTGCTCGACCAATGGCTTCAATGCCTCCACAGCAGCCTGTAGTACAGCCGGGTTCGATGTTTTCTTGATGCATGTAGTCAGAATCTCGATACCACCCGCGGCTCGGACAGCTTCCTTGGCGCGCGCTCCGATGTCACCAGAGGCGCAGGTCAGGTTGTGCACGCACACCGCTCCACGGTGGAGGAGGGCATCATCGTCTTCTTGGCATAGTCCCAAAAGTAGTTCGACTCCGCGCGGCCGTTCCAGCACAGCTGCGATGGACGCATCGTACTTCGTCAGCATGGCAATCGCGCCACCAGCTGCACGTCGAGTCGCGGCGTCATCAGCATCAGTGAGGGCGAGCATAATGTGTAGCCTCTGAGCAGCACGCTTAGAGCCATCGGCAAATTTGACAATGCCAGATTCGCAGGTCATCAAATTGCAGACTAGCTCGCACGCAGCCCGCTGCACACGAGGGTTACTGGACAAGAGTAGTTCTTCGATGGCGGGCCAGCCCTCTCGAACGGTGAGTTCGGCGGGGGTCTCATCGTGGGGATAGGAAGCAAGGTTGGTAAGGGCAAGCAGACTTTCAAAGACTGAAAGCAGATCACGAGGCTGATCGGTGGAGAAAGCAGCGTTCTCGGGTGAGGTGAGGAGAGACAGTAATGGGCGTACAGCGGATGTCACTTGAGGAAATCCGGAAGATGGGAACACATGGGATGGATCGACTGAGACAAGGATGCGAGCCAAGGCATGAGACGCGTTGTGAGTTGTCTCAGTAACCACAATTGAATCACCCTGCTTCGAGATGGCCAACCCGAGAAGCAGCTTGACCGCACCTTGCTGAGCCAAGACACCCCGTGACTTCTGGCGCCGAGCCAATGCCAAGAGTATCTGGGCTGTGAGGTCATGAACGGAGGGCATCGCGAGTCGGCCACAGTCGACCAGGAGTGCCATGACTCCTGCATCGATAACGGCACCACATCGAATGAGTACCGCCTCTTCCTCCTCGCGGGGATCTTGAGCAGCTCGAGCCTTTCCAGCAGACGCGTCTGCGTAATCCTTCAACTGAGACATCTTCTTTTGCTCATCGGACAGGTTAGGGAGAAATTTCGTGAGATTTAGAATTATCATCAAGCCCCCGTACAGGATAGAGGAGTCGGTAAGGTGCTGGTTCAACGCCGTAATCAGATCGCGCAGGAATAAAGAATCTTGAGCCAATTGCTCTTTGATGGAGGCCTTGACGGACGAGTAGGCTAGTCCCTCAATAGCGTGAGAGATGTTCGTAATCTTAGATTCAGACATCAGTCCCTTGAACCGTTGAACCAGATCAGAAACCCCACTGTCTTCCACCTGGGTCTTACCGTTTTCCGCAGAGGGCTGGACTGCCTCTGAGGCTCGGATCTTCGCGAGGATCACAGCCGCTAACTCAGAACCCTCATCACTTCCATTGGTAAGGGTGTGTGATAGCCATTCGGAGAAGCTTTTCGATATCGCTTCCCGACAAGGCCGGTTGATGCATGCGGCATTCAGTAGTTCGAGCACGGCGAGCTCTACTCTCTTGCGCTTCGCATCTCGAGTTGCCAATGGGGTCAACGAGTTCATGAAAGCATCAGATAAGAAGACGTTTGCTGCGGCGGCGGGAGCCACGGGGAAAATGGCAGAAACAGCAGAGAAAGCGATGACGACATCATCCAGACGGCCTTTAGCGATCATGGAGGCGATGATAGCTGAAAATTGTTTTTCGCCCAGGTCCTTTGCAGCTTCCAGGTATTTCGCTGTGGCCAAAGTAGCCTGACTACGCCATTCCAGAGGCAGACGATTATCCAGAGAGGTCAAGATAACCTCGAATCCTTCGTCGTCCACTAAATGTTGAAGCCGCCCGGCGTCGACTGCGAGTAACCGAGCGATGCCTTTCAGTGATCGGCCATCCATGTCATGGCCCGACTCCATCAACTTCGCCAGGAATAATTGAAACAGCTCACTTTCACAGTGTGCCCGTGTTTGTTCCGAAGGCCACACAGTGGGGTCTAGAACCACGGTGTCCAGACAGACTGCTGCCCCATCACCTCGATCATAGATCTCATCGAAGAATGTAGTCACGGAAACCTGCAGCTGATTGGAGAAATACTGGCGGACACTCGCACTGTGTCGAACCAAACCGGAGATAATCTCGTCTTGAAGCTCCGAGAGACCATGAGCCCGTTGTCCCAATAAAAGTTTCATGGACTCCAGTGCAACATCCTCTGGAGGCTTCAAGCCATCTGTGCGAAGATAAACAGCCGCTTCCTTTCCGGCGGACTCATCCCGGAGACTCGTGTAACGTCGACAGAGATCCAGTAATTGGTGACCATTTTGTTCCTCTTGTTGAATTTTGAGGAAAGCCGCTTTCACTTCGGGGTTGTCGGAGGCGAGGGAGAGTGCTTCGCGTAGATTCCGGGATGCCGCCTAAGACTGTATGTTAGAATTGGATTGTTTTCCCCTCTTTGGTCCTATTTTATCGGAGAAAGATGCATTGGTACATACCTCGCGGTGGCCAGCATCCACCAGCTCAACAGCCTCCCGTGCCAGGTGAACAGCGCGATCTTCGCCCGTTGCTGAAACCATTGCAGGGTTGCTGATGAGCAGCACGCTGCGAATAAAGGATAAAGAACCGGGTAAGAGTTTCAAAGGGTGTGGAAAAAAAAGATTCCAAGAAAAAAAAGATCTAACACTTTTTTTTTTCGGGGAGCGGGACAGCGGGAGTGAGGGGTGTAGAATAGAAGGCGGAGAGAGAGGGGAGGAGCCAAAGTAAAGAGAGATAAGTGTCCCTTTTTATCTGATCTCTTAAATATTCGATGCCACGTACACATGTAAGAAAGAAGAAAAAGAAATGATGAGACAAAAATACAAAAACCCAGAAACCCAGATAAAAAGCATATAGAGGCTCTTGGAAGCTTGCAATGAAGAGGAGATGTGCATTGCCCAGCCAATACTTGTGTATTACTAGTATGGAGCATCCAACCAAGGCCCCTCACGTATCGGTTTCTCTCACCCAATCCCCATTATCAATCATCTCTGATAAGACCAACCACAACTCTCGACCCCATCACGTTGCTGATCATAGGTCAGCTTAGTCTTGAATGAAATTAATAGCTTTTCGGTATAATCTATCTACGGAGTACTCCAGAATCCAAAAAAAAACGTACGTGCACGGAATGAAAGGTTTCCCCCAACAGGATGAGTCTAACGCGGTATACATGGCGCGTCCGTGAGCGCCGAGTATGTGGGACACCTTGGCCTTTCACGACTCTGATTCGAGGATCATAGTATCATTGATCCAGTTCTCTGTCTCCATATGTACGCGCTGGCACTCTCCACTTATGCTGATAGGTCAAATGGAACCTGACTAGTGGAAGGACTTGGCTCCGGATACCGACTTTAATTATTGCAGGGAGAGCTTAAGATAGGGGCTCGGAGCTAAGTCGCCGTGAATAGAAGTTATAGAACGATAGCTTCCATTTTATTTGACTTGGCCAAATAGCTCTAGAAATTATTCTGGGCATATGAACTGAGTACTAGTGGTACGGAGTAGAACTAGTACTGAGTACATACCTACTATGTACTCGTTAACTTTCAAATGTTGGAAGATTGGAATATTGAACCTTGACAGTATAGCCATTCATCTGGAGTATATACCCCTTCTCAAATTAATTATATACAAGCCTAAAACAATATGGCTGACTGGAGTCGATGTGTAAATATTCCAACACTAGTTACAAGTTCAGATTACTTGCAAAAGCACCTTGATACTTGTGTGATGTAGAAATTCCGAAATTCCGCGGGTGTTAGTTCCGCTCATGTTATGCACCTTTCCCATGTCCAACAAGAGGTTTATCCGCATAATGCCGCTAAAGCATAGCTGCTGTATATGTACTATGTAGTTTGCAGATCGAAATATTCTTCAGTTTATCCTTTCAGGACATTTCAGGATTGTGGTTCCTTCCTGTTATTCCTGAAGAATAATGTGCATGAACGAATCATGATTGATTCAAGTTGTCTCTATGCACGGGGAGTATGCCTCGGATTAGTCTGGTTACGTACAAACAGTCCTTGAACCAGTTTTCAACTGGAGAATTACTAATTTATAGACTTGATGACTACATTTAGCTCATAGACAGAAATAATCATTGGTAAGCATAGTTTATGTCTCCCACCTGGGAATCCCACGGTGTACGGACAAACTACCATACTAGAGATGGTTGATCGGCTTGACCATTGCTCCGAGGAATTAAGAGACCCATTAATTTTCCAATCACCTGACCAATGACACCTCATCCTCATCTTTTATTTCTCCAATTTTCTCCACCTTCTTTTCTCCACTTTCATCTAGTATGTTCGAAGCTTCTTCAAGCTCAACTGTCGCTTAACAGCCCTGGGAAATCAACCGACTTCAAGGATTTTACCTCGGACATTTGCACTAACTGACTCAATTGAAGCTTCCGCAAGCTATTTATACTGCGCACTGAACCCAAACATCAACGTTTGGTATTCAGAACAGGAAAATTTCCTATTGGAACTTGGAGGTTTTGACTCCCCAAATTTAAGATGTTGTCTCTTAATATCCCATCTTATTCCAAGCCATCGGAATATCAGCTCTCTGAATTACCAAAACCCAAGATCGAGACCCCGAATGAAGTCATTGTTAAAGTTCATGCTGCGAGTATCAACCCGATTGATGTCAAAAGAGCGGGAGGAGGTCTGAAGATTGTAGTTGGGGACAGGTAAGAAGTCACATGAATCAATGAGCCATGGAGACGCGCGATTATCCGAAATCATAATTAACAAAAGAAACAGTTTCCCATTCAAAATCGGCTACGATGTAGCTGGTGTTGTCACAGAAGTAGGCTCGAAGGTGACTCGGGTCAAGGCTGAAGATGCGGTCTATATCCGATTGCCCGAGACTCATCGAGGTACGAGACATATGAAGTCCACCATTGTTTCCTTGTACTGATTGTCACCAGGATCTTGTAGCGAGTATGTGGTATGCCCGGAGAGTCAAATTGGGCTCAAGCCCCCTTCCATGTCCTTTGAAGAAGCGGCGTCCGTCCCGCTGGCAGCGATGACTGCTCTTCAGGCCCTTCGGAAATATGGCGATCTAACTGGGAAGACTGTATTCGTCCCTGCTGGCTGTATGTATGCCTCGTCTCATTGACCAAGCGATTATCTACTAATCAGTTCACAGTGAGTGGTACAGGAGTCTTTGGGTGTCAACTAGCAAAGCATGTGTTCAAAGCAGGCAAAGTCATCACCACTGTGTCAACTTCGAAAATCCCGAAAGTGGATGAGCTTCTGGGTAAAGGAACAGTCGACCAAGGTAGGAAGTCACATTATATTGTTATCTCAATTATGTGCATGCGTGAACTGACATTTTCCAGTCATCGACTATACCAAGACCGATCCAAGAGATGTCATTCCGAAAGGATCTGTCGACTTTCTCTTCGACACAGCGGGTGTTTCGATGCCGTACCTCTGTCTCATGAAGCGAAAGACAGGCCATATTGTGTCAGTTTCGACTACTCCCTCAGCAACAGTAATGCAGAGCTCTTCTTTGATGAGAATGCGGGACAATCCCACAATTGCATTCCATGTCCGGCTTCTTCTCAACATGTTCGACTGTATTCATAACTTCAGAGCCGGGCGGTATGGGGTTAAATATGAGTACATGATCCTTGACTCTAGCGGCAATGACCTGGATGAACTCAGAGGGTATATTGAAGATGGAAAATTGAAGACAGTGGTAGGTACCAACGTTCAGCTTCGTGATTTGGACTCGGTACGAGCAGCATGTCAAGTTGTTTATGACGGAAAGGGTGGTCTTGGAAAGCTGGTTATTAGTGTCGCTGGATCCGAGAGCACTTGAGTGATTGAGCACGTCCAACTTGAACTTGAACTACTAAAAAGAATCCTTTTCTATTTGAGTCCTATTCGTTGCCAGTATCAATAACCCGCGGGCTAGTATCTAGTACTAGCACCGAAACGAAAAATTATTTTTATCTTCACATTCAATTACTTGAACATCGTACTAATCAAATTCAACTTGATGAACCTTGGAATGATTCAACATTTGAAACTTGATGCACTGCATATAGTGTGGTAAATCAATCTAAACAAAATTTTCAACATCACTGGCAGTTGAATTAAATGAAGCTCAATTAAATTAGCCCAGATCACTGACTACTCAAATCATACATTATCTCCAAACATTGAATCCTGAAATAGCCCCAATCACAAATTAGCTTTTGCTAACTCCATCTCCGTCCAATCCCACAACTGCTTGCCCATGTCCGCGCTGGAAGCATACTTATTATCACGCTTCCAGTTTCCTACAGGAACATAATATGCACCATTGACAATATCCTCCTTCTTTGCACCAGCAGCAGCCCATAAAGAATTATATGCGCCTTGAGGAATAGAAGACCCAAAAAGCAGCATCGGCTTGGAGGTGACCGAGAAAAATGGCGTCCTCTGACCGATTGAATTGTACAGATCTGTCAGAATGATTCCCGGATGAACTGACACAGATGTGATCGATGGGTACCGTCGACTAAGCTCAGCGGCAAAGAGAATATTTGCAGCCTTGGACGCACCATACCGGGCATTCGTATTGACCTTCTTCAGCTTTTCCTGGTCCAGAAAAGTACTGAAGCTCGGTGCAAGATTGTGACCAACTGACGCTAAAGAAACAACCCGCACGTCGGAGTTCGGTTCTTCAGCTGTCTTGAGTAGCGTTGGGAGCAGAAGCTTGGTCAGAAGGAAATGGCCGGTGTGGTTCGTGCCTAGTTGAATCTCATGGCCCAGATCAGTCTCTCCTGGCGGCGTAGCCATGATTCCTGCGTTCAGGATGAGAATATCCAGTCTTTGAGATTGAGCATGGAAGGACTCGGTGGCCTTTTGGATGGATACCCTGGATGTCAAGTCCAAGGGAATCCAAGTAATGTCAACCTTGGTCGAGATTGCTGCTTGAATTGATTGAATTGCATCTTGGGCTTTGGACTCTGTGCGGGCACAGAGGAAAATTTTCTCAGGGTTGTGTTTGGCCAGTTGGAGAGTTGTCTCCTTGCCTAGTCCAGCATTTCCTGTATGTGCCGGGCACCTGTTAGACATGTGCAGATGTGAAGAGATTCGGGAAATTTCCCCTCACACTTACCTCCGGTTATCAGAATAGTTTTTCCTGTCAGATCTTGAATATCATTGTCCGGATTGAAGCTAATTCCACCGATGTAGTTACAGGGGTTGACGAGGGCTGTGGCGAATGCCGCCATGTTTAAGATAGGAGTTGAATAGGAGAGTTGAAGGCTTCTCAGAAGGTCCACGGGTTCGCTGAGTAAATTCAATGCAACTCTGAAAATACTTATAAAATGATTCGGTGTAACTGTCATCCCGATTGCGGCGATCAATGACAACAGGATCCGCTCTATATTGCAAAAATGGCAAAGGCCAAAAGCTTAGTATTACTAGTACGCGTGTGCCTCGGCAGTTCCTTTTTAGGGCATCGCCACACTTTTAATTTTAGATTCGACCCGGTGAAGCACAATCCGCCAATCTCCTTTGTTCCATGGATCAGTATAGGTTTATTCCACTCTCAATCAAAAGCTGCGAGAAGGAATAGATGCCTGAGATAGAGACTGTATTCATCTACGGTTCCAATGCTTGCTCAGAACCTTTAAAGTCTTCTCAATTCCACATATTTGAGCAAGTCTAGGGAAATGAAATCTCAACTTTGGAAATTAAGAGCTCAATTCCGAATCATTATCATTTCCCAGTAAGAAATAGAGATAACAGTCCACATACTACGGAGTACAATATGTAGATGTGTTTCTGCAGCTGCATGACCAGTTGACCAATCGCAGACTATCACGGTTATCACCTCGTGACCCTTATCGCGGAGCTTCGTCTTTGTTCTCCGACTTGACCTTGAATTGAATTCGGTCATTTTCATGCAGCTGGCGTCTTGATCTAATCCTCGATTCAGATAGCCTTATCAAAGCTGAGGCTTGTCATCGAGTGTATTCTCGACCGCGGTTACCTCGCCATGAACCTCCACCACTGATCAGCTCAGCACCATGAATTCCGTTGATGCATCCGAGCATTACGAGCTAGGAGCCACCGGTCAGTCCATACATTCTCAACAAGAATCTGTCGCATAAACTAAGTTCGGTTTCTTTTGAATATTTAGAGCTCGCTCCATCTCTCCTAACCATTATTCTCGACACAAATCCACACGCCTGGAAAGCTCTCGAAGGCTCTCTCCCACTCGCCAAGGCCGTCGCAAACCTCCTCGTCTTCATCAATGCTCACTTAGCCTGCAACTACGCCAATGAAGTGGCAGTCGTCGCATCACATACCCAAAAAGCAGCATGGCTGTACCCCGTTTCTGGCCAGAAGAGCGAGTCTCTAGATCAGGACGGCGATGTCTCGATGAATACCCCGAACGGCGGACCATCCATAACTCAGACAAATAAATATCGACCTTTTCGACTAGTCGAGGAACAAGTCACCCGGAACTTGAAAGAATTGCTCGAGCCTACAGGTGGCGATGATATCCAAGGAAATACGTCAACCATGTTAGCCGGTGCCCTAACACTAGCATTGAGCAATATTAATCGACGAACAATCGCCTGGGCTGACGAGCATGGCGGTCCTGATCTAGAAGATGGAGCTGGTGAAGGAAACGGGAAACGTACTGGTCCAGGCTCATCAAACCGATATGCCGATAATGACAGCGAGCGGTTACAGAGCCGCATCCTGATCGTATCCGTTAGTGGTTCCACCGACTCGGCGCATCAGTACATCCCCGTTATGAATAGCATTTTCGCCTGTCAGCGTCTTCACATCCCCATCGATGTTTGTAAACTCAGTGGAGACGCGGTGTTTTTGCAGCAGGCTTGTGATGCTACGAAGGGGGTGTACATGGCCTTGTCGGAGCCACGCGGATTACTCCAGTATTTGATGATGGCGTTCCTACCGGATCAAAGATCCCGGCGTCATCTTGTACTGCCTACACGGGTGGATGTGGATTTCCGTGCCGCTTGCTTTTGTCATCGTCGGGTCGTGGATATTGGGTACGTGTGCTCGATTTGCTTGAGTATTTTTTGTGACCTGCCACTTGATAATCATTGTTTAACATGTGGTACACCTTTGGATCCGGGGGATTTGGGTGTTAAACCAGCACTTCTCCCAAGGAAGAAGAAAAGGAAGAAGCGAGTCAATGAGGCTTCGACGGCTGGGACGCCCATGTCTACTCCCACGCCTGGACCTTGATATATATTGCCTTTTAGATAGGTTTATTCTGCACTACACGAAAATCAACATGATTCTGCCCTCTTAACTCTTGCGGGGATCGAGAGCCGAGGCTTCAGCCTGACTTTATTATTCTACTAGTAGAGATCTTGGGGGCATTCCAGTAACCTGAAAAACAATGATGTAACTCGCGATTTTATTGAATAATCGTAGTACTTCTAGGGAATCAACAAAGCATGAAGGTACACGCAGCAAGTGCCAGTGACTCAACACTTTTGCAAAAAAAAAAAGACAAAAGCACATTCTGGCTTAACAAAAGAAGCCTTTCTGAAGAGGCATAATGCTTCGAGTCAGGAAAAGATACCACAGAAAATCCACAAAAGAAAAACACTCAGTCTTATGGCCATAACGCCAACGCCGATGGGCAAAAGGTCTTCACTAGTATGTACTGAACACACACTGGCAGCACAAATGAAACCGCAGCACAGAAAGAAATGACACATCCGGGGAATTCGGGGAGACAAACTGCGAGGCAAAAGTCGAAAGATGGAAATCACCGAGAACACCTGGGGAAGTCAAAATGAATTAGGTGCTTAGAAGTAAACTCTCAGCTTTGGCTGCGGCTCAAACATGGCCACATCTTCCGAGCCTGCCGACCCAGGACTGTACTAGACATATACCTGATTAGTATTAAAGGAAAAGGATAAGAAGAGGTCCATATATCGCTACGATGCTCACTGAGTTGGACGGATCATCAACCCTCCCAGTGCAACGGGGGCCTTGTTTGGGTTTCGCGACATCACACACTGAGGTCTCTTGTCTTTGTTCGAGAAAGAAGCCAAGGCCTGTCTTGGTTAGCTGATGTATGGTAGCAGAAGATGTAGAGGAGAAAACTACTTACAAATGATTCAGTGTTATGAGCGAAATAGAGGCCAATGCCATCTTCAGTTTTCTTCACGGCCATCAGTCCGAGGGAACCGTCAATATTGCTGTTGAGAATTGCCGGATGACCTAGATTTGCTCAGTATCGTCGACTATTTTGAAAGGCGACAGTGAGTACATACTAGAGAATTCGTTCTGAAGCATCGCGGCAATGGCCTCCTCTTCAGTAACATCCTCGAAAATGCCGCCATTGCCCATCCGCTGACTGTAGTAGATTCGCTGAGCACAGGTGCTTGCGGCGAAGGATGAAGCAATATGTTCGCCAGTTCCAGAAGCCACAACAGCTACCGAAGTGCCGTTTGCATCGGTGGGATCCATAGGAAGGACATGAGTACCGATACCGATCAGAGCTGCAGGGCCAATACGACCGCGATGCTTCATTCCAATGCCTCCGGACGAGGAACCAGCCGCGATGTTGCCGAATTGGTCCACGACAATTGCGCCAACAGTGTCAGTGATCCAGTCTTCTCCATCAGTCGGGTTGTTCGGCTTGGAGTCTTTGAAATCAGTGAAGTCAGGAGGTGGGGTACGATCGTTATCATGGAGACCATGGTTTGAACTGTTCGCCCGATTGGCTGTAGTCTCGTCCTTGCGGTTCAATCCGTCGATGGGCTCCTCCTCGTCATCTCCGCGAGAAGATGGCATTTGGACAGGCGTAATCAGTCGTGCGGCCTCCAATCTGTCTCGAAGACCTGGATAGCGTTCAGGCTGGGATGCGGGGCGCATCCATCGGAATCGTGCCTCCGCCTCAGTAGGCGGGTTTCTGAGATTCCACTGATTGATATCATGCTTCCAGTTATGATAACGAATGTTTGCAATCGGCGCGACCATTGCCTCGTTCGGAACGAGAATGATACCGTGATCCCACGCGAATTCCTGGGCGCCTTCTCCACAGAGGAAGTTAGGAGGAACTCGTGACAGGCCAGCGGATTGGTGAGCCTTTTCATAAACCACGCGTGCTAGCTGGATTGGGTTTCGAACATCTATGGAGATAAAAGATTAGAGATGCCATACTGCGAGGTTACAGCTGCAGGAGACTCACTTGCAACAGCTCCAACGGCTCCGCTGCGTCCAAAGTGATCAACAATAGAAGCATCGCACTCGACGACGCCCTTCTCATTGACATTGCTACCAAATCCTGCGTTGGTAATGGGAGCATTCTCGAGCATCATGATCGCGGTTTCCACTGCATCAACTGCATTTCCGCCACGACGAAGAAATTCCATTCCAGCTTCGGCAGCCCTGTCAACATGTCAGAAAGCCCTAATCGGTGGTAATGCAATATGTCAAGAAGGAACAACATACATCTCGCAGACCAGTAGGTGCCGCTTCTCATTTTCACGGCTGTGGTATCCAGCCCCAGCATGGACAAACACAGCGCAAAGGTCTTCATCCATCGCTTTGGCTTTGAACATGACTGTGGCTCTTGAGTAAGCTTGACTTCCTTCAACATTTACTGTCTCAAATCCAAAGGGCCTTACTGTTCGTTGACCAAGCGACGAGAGTGATCTCGAACGCAGAGAGTTTGTCAGATGGCTGCAGCGTGCGTTGCGAAAGGATTGGGTGAAGGACTTGAAGAAATCGAGTCAGTGAGAATTCTCGGCGTTTGACGTTTGACGTTTGGCAGGCTGTCATCTGATACTGATGACTCGCTGAGTCGCCTACCTATGATACCCCTCAGACTTGAATAACAATGAGTCTCAATCTCTGATAAGAATTAAAGGAGTGGTGGTACTTGAGCCTAGGAAGTTCAACCCCATTGAACTGTATGTTAACTTTTGTCTCCAATGCCAGCACTCTGGAAAACAAGTCCAACATACCAAAAGCCAGAAGTTAAAACCACTTGATGGGCAATAAGTAAGAATATTCAGAAAGAGTGTCATAGGGTTCTAGGCACGAGAAGAATATAACTGATGAAGTTATTGAAAGCTAAGGATTGGAAAACCCAGGTTCAACTACACTGTACTTTGATACGATGGGAACCTGCTCTGCGCTTTCCTAGTGTGAATCCATAGATTTTTTATAGGAACCCATTGCTTTCCCTTTCCTTAATTCATTGTGCTTAGAGATAGCAGTTTTGATTAAGAAATATCAAGAGATATTCTATCATGAAAATTGGTCAAAATTGGCGAAGAGAAATCAATATAAAAATGTTTCTTATGTTTCAATAGAGAAAATCAACACATATGTGCATGATGTCGTGGTGGACGTTGACCCCCAATTATGTCAGCATGCCTCCCCGCCTTCCATGTCTGCCTATGAGCTCCGCCACGGTTGACTTCACCTTCTACCCCCGATATACTCGACAGATTTAACTGCGGGTCTTTGATATCCTTTATTCGCCATGGCCTCTCAAACCCCTGCCGTTGTCATGGACAAGTGAGTTCTCACATTTCACTAGAATTGAATCTTCAATGCTGACCCAGCCTCCCTCCCCCTCAGCGGTACCGGTTACTCCAAGCTTGGTAAGTAGTTCACGCTAAACCATGTACAAAATTAACATTCAAAAAAGGTGCTTTAACTAACATTCACATTCTCAGGATTTGCCGGTAACGATGCCCCCTCCTTTGTCTTTCCCACAGCAATTGCAACCAAGGCTGGTGCCGGTAGCGCTGGAAGCTCGGGTGCGCGGCCCTCAGTTGCGACAAAACCATCTTTCCTGAGTGGTGGTGGTGGAGGTAGTTCTCATCTGTCTGCGAAGCGTGGTACTGAGGATTTGGACTTCTTCATTGGCGACGAGGCTCTGGCTGCTGGCAATGGTCCGGGATACGGTGTGAACTACCCCATTCGACATGGACAGATTGAGAACTGGGATCATATGGAACGTTTCTGGTCCAACTCCATCTTTAAGTATCTCCGCGTTGAGCCCGAAGATCACTACTTCCTCCTTACTGAGCCGGTAAGATCAATCATAATCTTGCAGCCTTTTCCCCCTAAAGGCTTACGTCAATGCGGAGTACATGAGACTAATCAATGTCTATACCCTATAGCCACTTAACCCACCTGAGAACCGTGAAAATACCGCTGAGATCATGTTCGAGTCCTTCAACTGCGCTGGTCTTTACATCGCCGTCCAAGCTGTGCTTGCTCTCGCCGCCTCATGGACCTCATCCAAGGTTACGGACCGATCCCTGACCGGAACAGTTATCGACTCTGGTGATGGTGTCACCCACGTTATTCCCGTGGCCGAGGGCTACGTCATTGGATCTTCTATTAAGAGTATTCCCATCGCCGGTCGAGACATTACATACTTCGTCCAGAGCTTGTTGCGTGACCGCGGTGAGCCTGACAGCAGTCTGAAGACCGCCGAGAAGGTAAAGGAGGAGTACTGTTATGTGAGCCCGGATATTGTTAAGGAGTTTGCGCGTTACGATCGTGAGCCCGACCGTTTCCTGAAGCACACTGTCACCTCCCCCAACGGCCGCAGTATCTCCATTGACGTCGGCTACGAACGTTTCCTTGCCCCCGAGATCTTCTTCAACCCTGAAATTTACTCGTCCGACTTCCTGACCCCGCTTCCCAACGTCGTTGATGGCGTCATCCAGTCCTCGCCCATCGACGTTCGAAGAGGTCTCTATAAGAACATTGTCCTGTCTGGTGGTTCCACTCTGTACAAAGACTTCGGCCGCCGCTTACAGCGTGATATTCGTCATCTGGTCGATGCTCGTATCCGTGCATCCGAGGCTCGTAGTGGCGGTGCCCGCTCTGGTGGTCTGGATGTTGCAGTCGTCACACACAAGCGCCAGCGACACGGTCCGTGGTTTGGAGGTAGTTTGCTGGGTCAGACACCTGAATTCCGAAGCTACTGCCACACTAAGGCCGAGTACGATGAGATTGGTCCTAGTATTGTGCGGAGATTTGCTTTGCTCGGTGGGCCTGGAAGCTCATAAGCTCATTGCAAAGATAATCTCTGTTTACTCATGTATCCCCCGTTGGCCAGCATGGCTGGACGCGCTTTGTTCATAGTCCCTAGTTCTCTCTCCCGTGTCTTCCATGCTCTTCCTGACGTTTTCTCTCCCCCTTGCGTCTCTCTTTTTCTCATCCTCAGCGGGCGGCATGGCGCTGGGTCCTCAGCATGCTACATCTGGTTCCCGAGTAGATAGAGGGAGGATCGATTTTCGTTCGCGGTTGTTTTCCACTACTTCAAATGTTTATCTTGATAGCTCTTCACAAGCGTATGAGAAAAATGCAATTTCAATATATCTTCCAAATCATTTGAAGGCCACCAGTATAGAGAAGCCGCGGGTATTACAATAAAGCTTGAATTATGGTACATGTCAACATTGAACTAGGATTGCGAATAGAAGGGCAGTTATTTGAGCGCCAGTTTCCGAAGTCACCATTATTTTTGATATTATATTGAATCCTCCATATTTTCTTATGCCGACTCCTCAGTCTTTGGAGGAAACTCGACACGGTTCAAGATAGCCACACCCTCAACATGGCCTGTTTGAGGGAAGAAATCAAAGCCACGAATACTTTCGATCTCATACCGAACATTCTTCGATTCATCTCCCTGCACCATGACAGCAACATCGCGAGCCTGAGTATGAACGTTACAGCTCACGTAGACAACGCGACGAGGCTTGAAAGAAAGAAGCTGTTCCAGGAAGTCTTCTGAACAACCCTTGCGAGGCGGGTCAATGACCAGCAAAGTCTGGTCAGCGGGATAGGGAACATCCTTGAACAAGACAGCTGCGTCAGCTGCAGCAAAACCAGTGCTGGGGAGATTATTGGCGCGGGCATTTTCGCGTGCAGAGATGATGGAGTCACCAGCAACGTCGACACCGAGACTGGATTTGAAGATTGGGGAGAGTGTGATGGTGAAGAGACCAGAGCCGGAATAGGCATCGAGTAGGTATTTAATGGGACGAGGATCTTTGTCGTTGCCAGCGGGAAGAGCATGAGAGCGAATGAACTCAGTGAACCCTGACAGAATGGAGTTGTTGTTCTGGAAGAAGGCTCCAGCCTTGTTGCCAAAGACGTAATCATCGACATACTCCACAGAGGTGGCATTGTTGTCTGTGATGCATCGCTTCTCCTCGACGTAGTTTTCGCGCTCGATGCGGATCACATCACCACTGTCTGCGCCTGGGGTTGATACCATTCCACTGATTTCCTTGATTTCAGACCCATCGGTTGGGGCATCCTTAGGGAATCGACTTGTCGATTCGCGCATGAGAAGTGTTGCGCCCCTCTTGTAAGAGCTGATATTTGCGGCTACACGCTTTCTTTCGCTCTTCAAGCCCTGGCGCACAACGTCTGTTCCCAAAGGACAGTCCTCGATATCCAAATCCATTCTGCGGCCCTTGTACGTAAATCCAATGGCAGGAACATTGGTCCCTTGCGGTTGCTCGCCATCTTCACTCTTCTTGTGTTGAGGTTGCGCAAAGTGCGGTGTGAGTTTTGTTCGGTATCCGTATTGCAAAGGTGATGGGAATGTCTCGTCAATGGCTGGTACAAGCTCTGGGATTAATCCGGAGAAGTTGGCGTAGGCTTTTTCGACGATACGGCGCTTGTGGGCCAGTTGGTCCTCGTAGGACATCATTTGCAATTGGCAACCGGAGCACTTTGAGAAGTATTTACACCCAATGAGTTCATCTTTTCGTGTCGGTCCCGCTTCAATGACGCTCAGGAAATCGGTAGCACTATAAGAAAGGGCGGGGAAATGGCGAACGACCTTGACTCGGACCTTGTCTCCCGGGACTGTGAAGGGCACCACATAGACATGGTCTTTGTTCTCTGAAAGCGCTAGACCATCACCAGTCGAGGAAATATCGGATATCGTCACATCAATCTCGGTGAAAGTCTCTGGTAGAGAGACTGGCGACGGGGAGCTTGAATCGTCTTGCTCAGGGCGATTTTGCTTAATAAGTTGCTCGATGTCGGCTTGCAACACTTCGTCAAAGCCATTGGCCTTGGTCTTATCATCCTTGGCCTTCTTGCGCCTCTTTCCATCAAACTGCTTCTTAGGAGGCTTCGGCATTCTTGCGGCGGGGACTCGAGGTTTCGCTGAATTGCTATAGGACGATAACGTCGAATTGAGCCTGGAGTAGATTGGAGTAAACGGTTGACTTGATATAATCAACCGGGATTGTCGCCAAATAGAATTCCTCAACCACAACATAAACAAGAATAATAAATCAAAAGAATAAGAAGAGAGAGAAAAAAAAGCGCGGGGAGTTTCCAAGGTTGGAGAATCGAAATTCTGGAAATTTATTAGAAACGCATCTATAAGGGTGGTGATTGGTTAAGGACTGACCGCCCGCCCAGCAAGAAATTCCATTCCGAAGCAACTTTGAACTCCAAAACGACCAAGTCAATTGTTTTCGTGGCGTTCTGTCTTTTCATTTTATTTGGTGCTCGGAGCTAGCATAGTTAGCTGGTTCCAAGGAGCATTCTTTCATCTCTCATCATGAGCCTTACACGACCAGCGAGATGTCTGCTATGCAGTTTCTCCCGTACTGTCACCCCGGGCACGCGAGTGCCTCGTCGCCAATTCCACCCAACCCCTGCGATTTTGTCGAACCGAAAGTCCAGTTTCCCCAATATTAAGGCCCCTCAGGATCAGACAACCGATGTCAACCGAACGGGTGCCCCAAGTCGCGAGGACTTCAAGCCCTACACCAAGGAGGAGAAGGAACAATTGGCAAAGGAATACTCGGAGGCTCAGATGAAGGCCATCGAGGCCGGTGAAGCAGCCATTGACCCCCAGGATATGGCCGACCAGTTCCGTGCCCGCAGTGACCCGATGAAGTTCAAATACCTCGACGATTTCTCCGTTGTCGAGCCCGGCATTGACCGCCATGTTCGCAACCCCGAGTCAAACACAGACTACAATTTCAAGTTGAAGAAGGAGGACGACTTTGTGGATGATTTTGGCCGCTTTTTCGCTGAGATGCCCAAAGATGCCACTGGTGCTGATTTCGTCAAATTCGGCGAATCGCTGCGATTGACCCATGGCAAGGAGGAGAGCGAGCTGAACCCGCATAGCGCACTGGTTCCCGACCTTTTCGGTCCCGGAGAAACCATTGACGAGCCTCGTGTGGAGGAGAAGAAGACTGCCGCGGAGAAGGGCGAGAAGGAGCGCTCTCTTGCTGCGGAGGAGCTGACTGATGCCCTGAAGAGCCTCCTCCTGGCTACTGGATACACCAACCAACAAGTCAACGGTCTGCGGACCAAGACACTTGTTGCTCACAGCGTTGTGAACCAGACCCGTCTTGGAAAGGTCCGCCGTGCTTACCGTCTCTCTATTGCTGGTAATGGCAACGGTATGTTGGGAATTGGCGAGGCCAAGTCCGACGAGCCTAGTGATGCAAAGACCCAGTCACAGTACCGTGCCATTCGCAACATGCAGCCCATTCCCCGTTACGAGAACCGTACTATCTTCGGTGATGTCAAGGGTAAGGTTGGTGCCGTTGAGTTGCAATTGATGCATCGCCCTCCAGGTATGTTTATAGATATTCGCAGTCCATTTTCACGTTGTTCTTTCGCTAACTATTTAATCTTTCCCAGGCTTCGGTCTCCGTGTTCAATACCTGATTTACGAAATGTGCCGTGCCGCCGGTCTCCACGATCTCTCTGCTCGCGTTGGCGGCTCGAGGAACAAGATGAACGCCGTCAAGGCCGCGTACCAGGCTCTTATGAGCCAGCGTGATCCCGAGGAAGTTGCTCGTGCCCGCGGCCGCAAGATGGTCGATGTGCGCAAGGTCTACTATGCCGGAAAGGTCTAGGGTTGATCGCCCTCGACATGTATATAATGTGTTTTCATTTCTCTTCTCTGTGTCTTTATCGCATGTACTTTTATCTGTACTAGTTTGGTCATTCAAAAGAAAGGATATATTCAATGTGTCTTTTGTTCCAATGTTCAGGATTAGCATCTAAATAAACATCATCAGGATGCACTGCCATCAAATTATTACAGCAGTCCTGTCAAACGAGGTGAATCCTGTATCAAAATACCCAACTTGAAGAATGCATTTCTATAAATTTCCCCATCTTCTCACGCCAAATCGGAAAAAACAAAGCCAAAAGGCTACGGGGTATCTGTACGCCAAAGAAAAGACATAAACACCATAATTGAATTTGAACTCAGCAATCCGAATCACTGGAACGTCATATCTCCTTCTCCACCATATCCCCCACAATGGTATTCCCGATCTCCAAATTGTTCGTCTCCATGTTGCGACTGTTGCTGCTGCTGCTGCTGCTGCTCCTCACTCTCATTCCAGATCTGTTGCTGCAAGACAATACTGTAGACACTAGCCTTGAGCAAGGTACACACTGTTGCAGTTTTTCGTTCCAGGAGACGGAGGCCATCCAGAGTCATTGAGGCAGGGGATCCAGCAAGATCGGAGATCTTCTCAGAGAGCTGTACGCCGAACGGGTATTAGCATATAAGCCCAATGATAGTTGTGAACATATTATAATGTTTAAAGCTCATATATGCTTAGACAACGCGTGTATAGAGAGAAGAGAACTGAATTGCGTTGCTGGACAAGCAAGAGTGCAGTGCGGGTGGTAGATGCGCGGTGGACTCGATTTAGTTGACTCACTTGGTTGACATTGCGTAGGAGACGAGAATATTCATTGAGAACCTCCTGTTCTAGCTCAGATACATGCGGATTGTCATTTCCAAGCAGAGGGTTGGCAGAGCGACTGCGGCTGTGATCGGAGCTCATGTCTTGGGGCATGGGAGGGGTTCTGGTCGCGTGGTCTGGAGAGGTATAGGAATAGTCGAGGCTATCTGGGTCTTCAGAAGGTGCAAATGCTGACATTATGGGCAGTTCAACTTGGTATTGACTGGTTCGTAAAGGAATTGAGGAAAGCTTGAGTAGAGAAAAAAGCGCGGGTTGATTCAAGTGGTAGTTTGTGATGGCGGGGACTCCAAGTCGTCAACTGGTACAGGTTAGATCCGGCAGATCTATTCCGCTTGGACTACGGAGTACAATTAACCTTTAAGTTGTTATACAGCTGGAAAGGACAAGCTTTCAATTTCACATTTTCTCTACTATTGTATCTTGAAAATGTTGTAGATTTATCACGCAGAGCATATGAATTCCCTATTTTTTGAATATCGGCAAAGACACTAAACTCGGATATAGTGGCTTCGCTCCTAGATAAAAACAAATGTAAAAAGCCAAGATCAGACTGAACGTTCATAACGACCGCCCCGTGAGACTGATTAGAGGACAGGGACAAAATCAAATACACAAAAAGCAATCAGAAAATCCAGATCCAAACAATGTTAATCACTAGAGATAAACCCATAAACGCCGTCCGCTGCATAGGGCAGAGCATGTCCGCTGATGTATACCGCAGCTCCCAGTAAACAGAAGTACTCTGACAGAAGGAATGGTGAATCGAGTGAGCTTTGCAGGGAAGAAAATAATTGAGAGTGGATCAAGGCCTTCGACGATCATGAAATGCAGATATGCAAGGTGAAGATTTGCACCCAGAGGCAGAGCAAGTAATCAAAGCTAGAAGTGAAGAATCCAGGGGAAAAAAGAGGGAAAAAAATAATAGATCCAGAAGGCCCGACACACTCCAAACACCCGAAGTTTTGCAATAGAATGAGGGCTGAAAAAGTAAACAGTGAAAATGCGGTCGTGAATGCATCATGGTCGTCAGCAAGCCGATGCCCAATCGGCTGCCCCCGCATGTGTCAGGAGAAAATAGAAATCAAAATCAAAATACAGTGTGGGCGTGGCGCGAATATAGCACAATTAATGATCTCCTTCGTGGTGAAGTGTGACGCTGTTGAAGTCCTCAAAAGGATCATTCAACTCACCATTTGGAGTGGCAAGGCCTGAGTCCATGGGCACACCCTTCATTTTGGAGGAGCTATCAGATGTACCACCGATATCCACGCTGGCACTCTCTTTAACATTGCGGAAGTTGATAGTATCGGTACCAGCGCGGCCCTGGTGAGGGATCATTGGTGGCTTCATGTGACGGATAAGGGCCCATTGGGTTGTCCGGAAGAAGGGGTGAGTCTTGACATCGGAAGCGCCAGCACGGGCTCCCAGACGTTTGGTTTCATCCTTGATCAATAACTTGCGAATCAGAGATTTGCACAAGTTAGAGGTCTGTTGAGCACCGGAGTGTTCAGGGAATTGAACCTCATCTCGTAGAATGCTGGCGAATGTAGCATTTCGATTCTTTCCTTTGAATGGAGTGGTTCCGTACAGCATCTCATAAATCAAAATACCTAGCGTCCACCAATCGACAGCGCTGGTGTGTCCACATCCCTTGATGACTTCAGGTGCAATATATTCTTCCGTTCCGACGAAAGAGTTTGTGCGGAAATCAGCAATGCAAGATTTGGTGTCAATGGTAGGCAATGCAGCGGAAGATGTTCCGCCACTGCGACCAGGAATCATTGTGGGAGCACCACCGGGCCCAGATTGTTTAGATAAATCGAAATCCGAAAGCATAATGTGACCTGACTGGTGCAGGAGAATGTTCTCGGGCTTGAGATCTCGGTAAATAAAGCCCATTAGATGCAGATATTCCAACGCAGCAGTGACTTCCGCCGCGTAAAAACGAGCCGCATCTTCGGAGATGCACTTGCCAGGGCGGGTTTGAAGAGTTCGGAAGAATTCACCACCACTGCAGTATTCCATGCAGAGATACAAGTAATCTTCAGATTGAAAAGAATGGTAGAGAGTGACAATGAAGGGGTGGTTGCTTGTAGCCAGGATCTCTTGTTCGGCCAAGGCACGCTTGATCTTGTTTCGCTTGATCATCTCCTTCTTACTCAGAACTAGAATCCCTTAATCAGTATCAAGTCCCCGAATTGTAATATCCGTTAGAGCACTCACCCTTCATGGCATAGAGACGACTTGACTTCTTCTCACGAACCAAGTACACTTTCCCAACATCACCTTTACCGATCAGTTTGATCTTGTCAAAACTGGCTGGTCCCACCTCCACATTCCGAACCTTGATAGAGTTGGAACTATACGTGCGACGGAACCCATCTGTACTAGCAGAAGGCACAGCAAGGGCGATAGTAGTATTTGAGTCGGCCAGCCTAACTCCATCAACCGCAGACTCCAAAAGGGGCTCTTTACCCATTTCGGCAGTTTGAGGTCGACCTTCACCCTGGCCCTTGCTGAACAACCCCTGCGCATTCGGAGCAGATGCGACACGGCGTAGTTTGCGCGCAAGTTCTTCCTTATTTGCTGTAGTCGCCTGTTCCACCGCCGAGACTCCGGTGACCTGCAACTCGGGAGTATCGGGTGGGGATGAGGGCACAGACCCATCGTTCCGATGTCTCAATGCCGGTTGGCCCTGGTGAGCGAAATACGGATTGGCGGTTGCAGTGGGTGAAACTCCATCGTCGAGAGGATTTCCTTCACTGGCGACAGTTGTTGAGCGATTGCGACCGATGGTCGGTAGGAAACGAGATTGTCGGAAAGCACTGGACTTTTCGTTCTTAGCGGGAGCCCCTTGGGTCTCTTTCTCACGTTCGCGCTCATTACTAGTCGGACTGTTGCCATGCGATGAGGAATGACTACTTGAGCTGTTTATGCGGAAGAAGTTCTTGATTCTGGAAGGGAAGTGACTTGACTCATTAGAGTGCTTGCGAGTGGGAAGGGAAAGACCGGGGAAGTTCCCGCGCTTTTCGTTCATGGCCGAGGGGCTAGACGCAAAGAGCTGCGTCATGACGGGGTGGGAGAGAGGATTTCAATGATATTTCACAGTCTCCCCTAGATAATAAGAGAGAAAGGAATCTCAAATGGGAGAACTGCTCTGGAGAGAAGGGAGAAAAAGAGGTAGCGGTGGCGGGGCGTTGTTTAAGAGAAACCCGTAAATGATGGGGAGTAGTACACTAGTATCACTAGTAAGGAGGGCCTTGACTAGCACACCAGACCGTTAATAAGGGTGATCCACCCAAAGGAACAGAAGAAAGACACAGTAAGTGAATTCATGAATGATGCCGCATCATCATAGAGGGCTAACATGAAAAGAAGGAGAACAGGCCAGGTTGGGGGTGGAGCAGGACGCGGAGTCGGTGATTAGTCATGCATTCTTGGGCTGGAGATTCACGCCATTTGTATATCCAATTATGGTCAACTGGCATACTGTAGAGCAAAATTTCTATACAAACTACTTGCTAATGTAATATTTTTAGGAATTAATGTCTTTGACCATGGATTCTGAACTTATTCTTGGATCATTCATAACCCCCCGAGATTTTCTCTTTTTTTTGCTTTTTTTATCCTAGGTGGCAACATTTCGCCATGGATCTTTGCCATGACGGGTCCCAAACTGCTGTAACTATGGGCTGGACTCAGGATAAACTAATCGCCGCCCATCAGAACAAACCTGAATTCCTAGAAACCTTGGAATTTACATGAATTTCTCATTCTGAAATATGGGCTATTTATTTCTCCTAGTAGATTCCCCTGTAATCTAATGGCTTTTGATCCAGTCTCTCTATCATCAGATATAAGAGGAGAATAGGATTATATCGGGGACAACTTTGAGGCGGAACTAAATAGGAACAGGAACCATTCAATGTTGAACCAATAGACATCATATTCTGGACCAGGGGTATGTATTCACGTGATTCTTATCGATTATCAATTACCAATTACTAAATATATTAGCCCTAACCTTGGAACTACCCGTATAACAACATTGCAGAAGAGAATGAAAGGAGGGTAGTATAAATTGAGAGGAATTAATTTCAACTTTATAGAATCATGAGATCAACTTGAATGAAGAACTGAACTAAAAGAAATGGAAAAGACTCGGAAGAATAAAGACTCAGAGCTGATTCGAACTAAGCAGAAGAAGTTCCAATGTCAGAACGCATCCACCTTTAACATACCGTCTACTCCAGTCTTAACCATTGATATGACTGAGATGTATGAAGGTATTTTAACCTGTACCCAGGTGGCAACATAGGAGCATAGCCAATTTGATGTTCAAAACCTCATAGACTTCCAAGGTTGCAGACGAGAGCACTTGAGGACATCAGAGTCTGAATGCCACGTTCCACGGTAACCAAATATCATTTTCTTATCATAAGTTGTAGATTTTTCTGTTTCATCCGACTTTTTAAGTATAGCTTGTAAGTTATATTCTTTTGAAGCACTTGAGATAAGCTGTCAGGTGTGATTGAGGTGAGTTCAAGTTGGTCCTTCAATGTTCCAAGCTTGCAATTTTCTCAATCTGTGAGTCCATGCTATTACTAGTATGACCCGCAGGGCTCGGATTTGGAGATGATTATTTAGCTACCAGTATATTAGTACTTAGATCCAACTTGAAATTGGCAATTGAGCACTACTCTTGGTAGTAGTTGAGAGTATTAAGGAGAGAGATGGGGTGATATGTCAATCAAGCCTGCATGGGGCTCATCTACAACTTAAAGTTAAGGTAAACTCAGTGCTGGTGCAATTTCTTAATTCATGCTTTTACTTCAGCAGCTAAAAATACACCAGCGAACAGAGGTAAGGGGCGCAGCAAGCAGCCCCGACCAGGAATTCTCCATCTGGTCATTCATCATCTTCACTTCACCAGCCCTCGTTGGGGCTCTCCTCCTCGTCCTCGTCCTCGTCATCGGCCTCCTGGCCCCGCAGGCCCCGGAACGCCTGGCGGAGGAAGGCGGCGCGTTCGGGGGTCAGGGGGGCCAGGCCGGCCTGCACCTCTCCCTCCTGGTGGTTGTCGGCTGAGGTGAGAAGCTCGGGGTTGCGACGGGCCATACGACGACGGGCCAGGGTAGCGTCGCCGGCTGCGAGGACCTGCTGCATAGACCGCACAGCAGGGGTGATTCGGGCTCCGTTGACTCGAGCCACTTGGGTGAGCTCCCCAAGGGCACCGGCAGTGCTCAGCTGCACGGTGGCGTTGCCGCGGCGATTGTTGTTGTCGCCGTCTTCCATCTCGCCGACGAGGTTGGCGGCCATGAGATTGTTGGGCAGGGTGGCGGCGGTGGCCTGCTCCATTTGCTGGGCTTCAGCTTCGCCATTGACCAGGCGGCGTGGATCGGGCTGACGGACAACCGTGGCTTGGTTGCGATCGGCCTGGCCACCCTCAGGGTTGGCGGTGTTGGTTTCGTTGTTGTCAGGCATCTCGCTCAGATCCGACAGGCGACCATCAAGTTCAGCGCCGAATGCTTCAACGGCAGTCCGCTTTCGGGTCTGGCCGATCTCGTTGTCCGAGTTTTCATTGTTGTTGTTGTCAGACATGATGGCATCGCTAGGGCCTTTTATTAATCTCTTAAATAATCCAGATGATACATTAACAAGGACTTACATCTCGTTCACTTCAAGAGTTGCAGTTGGGTGAGAGATCAGAGAATGGGGGTGGGGTGGAGGAGAGAGAAAGATCGTCCACTCGTCTGAGGTAAGAGAATTATTTATGTCGCTTTCTGCCTCACTGGTTTTTGAACTATGGCGACTAAGCGGGTGGGGGGTTCTGTTTTGGGTCGACACCACCACTCTCACTTTCAGTCTCGTTACCATCGTGATCCTCATGCTGGTCCGAGTCAAGTGGTCCCTCCAATAAACTCCCTGGGCTAGGGTTCTTTCCCCAATTTTGCTGAGTTTCTTCCAATTGGGGTTCAATATCAGAACCAACACCCAACAGAGCATCATTATGTGTCTCCAAGAAATTACCAGGCCACGACGACCAAGAGAATTGCGACGGTCCTTCATTCTGCGCCTCGTTGATTTGAAACCCGGAGGATCGACGAGGACTGAGTTCGTCATCAGAAGCATGCCTCACATCATCTTCGGAACAAGTACCATCGAGCTGGTTAACATGGCAGTTATGCAGCTCAGGATCATTATCGCTATCCGAATCACGCTCATCAACTTGAAGGTTTCGTTTGGGGCTCCAGTCTAGGCGTGAAGAACCCATGAAAGCCGTATTATCATCGTACTGGCTATCGAACTGGACCTCGTTGGCAGTATCAGCCTGGGGCTCCACAGTTGCATGTTCAATATGTGTCACAGAGATACCACTGCTGTGTCTCCATTGTTGGCGTAAAGAGCCCATGGAAGCCGTATCATAATCATCATACTGGCTATCGAACTGCACCTCATTGGCAGGATTAGCCTGGGGCTCCGTATCTGCATATTCAATATGCGTCACAGAGACATCACTGCTGGGTCTCCATTGTTGGCGTAAATGACCCATGATAGCCAAATGATCATCATGCAGGCTAATGAATTGCATCTCGCTGGCAGTATTAGCCTGGGGCTCCACATCTGCAGATTCAATATGCGTCACGGAGATACCACTGCTGTGGCCCCATTGTCGGTGTAAAGAACCCATGAAAGCCGTATCATCATCATTGTACTGCACCTCGTTGGTAGTATTAGCCTGGGGCTCCGCAGCTGCACGTTCAATATGTGCCACAGAGACACCACTGCTGCTCGAATATTCCCAGTTCATTTGAGTCTGCTCATTTGCAGCTGGATTCACGAAAATGCCCCCTGCATGAGGATTCATGTCAGCACCAGTGGGTTGACCAACGCCATAATGAGCTGGCATGGTACTGGCATAGATGAGCTGAATGCGGCTTTCAAGAATGCCAATGGCTTCATCAAAAATATTCCTCATATTGATGTATGTGATACGAAGATCTCGCTGGATTGGTTGGGTGACCTGAGTCCAGGCAATAGCTATGTTCGCTTGGTCCAGGGCTTCCTGAACATTCAGACGGCGTTGAACCAGATTCAAATGAAGGGAACGCATTTGCTCAATATTGACCATTGAGCTTTCAATCTCATCCATAATTCTTGCAGTGAGATGTGCCATGGTGTCTGGTGTGGCTATTGGGCCTGTTTGGGGGGTGTTCCAAAATACCAGTCCAGCTTGGTTGGCAGAATTCATGGTGAACAAATTGTCATTGCTCTGAAGTACAGTCTCAGAATCGTGGGCTGCACTTTCAACAGAGTAATACAGGTTGAATGAAGGATGCGGATTAGGCGGGTTGAGGTTGCTTCCCTGATATTGCAGATTCTGGATTTGATGGGCAAGAGGGACTAACGGGTGCCAGCCTTGTTGACTGGATGGAACATTCATGTAGCCTTGGAGAGCCTGCTGCATATTGATGTTTTGGGGGCCTCCCTGGCTGTCGGTGTTTTCCAGGCCTTCAGCAGACATGGTTCGGTTTACAGGCTGCATGGGAACAATCCTGCCGCCAGCCGTCACTCTGTGATGTTTCGGAGAGGAATACTCGCGAAGAAACTGCGCAAAGCCCGGGTTTGCTGTGAAAGAGGTAATGGGTGGATGTTTACCGGTCGGTCGCGGTCGGTGACGCAAATGAGCTTTGGAAATCAACTTTTCTGTCGGTCGGCGCGACAGGGAGTCGGCAGTCTTTGATTCTGTTAATCCGTTTGATGGATTCTCAGATAGAACTGGCCTTGTATCCTTCTTATGGCGCAGGAGATTGCCTGATCTCATTGTCAGCATAGTTCATGCATGTATCTTACAGCCACGCATGATGAACAGTTCCAGGTCTCGCTTGGGAAGACTTTAGCTCCAGGCGGCTACATGTCCATGTGAAACCAAACTTCAAAGAACAGGCTCGCGTCTTGGTAGCCTGCTTCCATGAAAGAGAAAACAAAACCATATGAAGCTCGGGCTATGAGGATTTGGGTACTGTGATAGAGGGAGGGAGCAATGACTTACAATCTTTTGCAGCACTTGTCCAGTTACAGGCAATGCCTGTATTCTGGTTCAAGGCCAGGAGAGTTAGGGTATGGTACTTCATGGCGGTCAATGTCAAGGTGCTGTGTGTGATGGTGACGAAGCTTTGATGAACATACCTTCGGAGAAGATGAATGAAAACAAGACAATCGAGATTCCGATGGAAACAATGGAAAGAGCGATGGATTCTCGATGGTGAAGATGGAAAGAATGGGAAGAATGGAAAGAAGGGTGGAGGGAAAGTGACGGAACGATCGAAGGCACCAGGGCTCCTACTTGATGAAAAGGTACATACACCTGATTCATTAAGCATGAAAAGAAGGTCAGTAGTTCGAGTCTCAAGAAGATCCTTTTCAAAAAAAAAAAGAAAAAAAAAGGTTCAGAAACCCAAGGGACAGGAAGGGAAAGATAAAATGGAATTCCTTCAGAAATCAACTTGGTATTTGATAGCAATATTGAGTATCAGACAGTTTCTCGCACTTTGACAGGCTGTAAACGAGTATGGAGTGACCATTCAGGTTCATTTTCCATATTTGATACATGACCAGCCGCAGAACTAGTTATTGGCTGAGTATTCTCAATTTCTGATACCTGTTGACCCATCTCCCAACTTCCAAGTCGCTCTTGCCCTCGAACAATCACACCACTCAAAACCTCATTATCCTGCTCCATAGGAGCGGACTTGCCAGATTCCCAAATAGGATTGCGGAACGAGACATCTGTATCACTTGCAAGCTTGCTGGTTCCTTTGAATCCACCCATACTTGGCCGGTGGCTTCCTTGGCGCTTACGAAAACTGCAAAGGAAGAAACCAAGCATAGCCAACAGGCCAATGACAACCAAAGTGACCACGGCTCCAATCACACCGGCCACCACAGGGGAAATCCCTTTCTTTTTGGAGATGGAGTCGCTGCGGTCCAAGACTCCTGAGCAGAAAACAGAGTCTGCGTTGCACCGAATGCACCATTCCTGGATGGATGCCACGGCAAATGTCTCCAATTCAATCTCAAACTCGTTCCATGGAACATAAGATTTACTGGGTCCGTATCCGAAGAGTGGATATGAGATGAACTCCGTAGAAGAGTCAGTCCCATTGTGCAGGAAAAATCGCACGTACATCTCATCACTTCCAGGATAGCTTTCATCGTCAACGTCAGTCTCGAAACTATACAATTCGAAGATCAACGAGGCTCCTCGAGCGGGACGCGAATAGAAGTTTGGCTGCTGAGTACTAGCAAGGCCTAATAGGGAAGCCAGGGCTACAGCAGGTTCATCACTCCCAAAAAGCAATGTTATCTTCTGGCCGTTGCCTTCCTCTTCCATATTTATCCTGAATGCATCCAGAATGCTAGAGGCAAGAGTTTGGCCGGCAATTGGGCTTGCGGCACCAACAGTAGACTCCGAAGTGAGGGCCGAGGCATCTTGACCATTTGTGGCATAGGTAAATTGATCTGCAAATGACCGTGCTCGAATCAAGTCATCTCCAAATAGATGATCCAGAGCTGTGCTGTTGTGGATGACCTCGTAATCCAGATAGTCTGCAATACTAACGGCATTCGCATAAGTAGCAGAGGATTCATCATAGACTCCGGAAAGCACTTGGTGCAAAAGCTTCTGATAAAATACCTCGCTATCTCGTGTGATCTCCAAAGCATCTTCACTATCCTGATATTCCGAAATCCCAACTTGATGCATATTACAGGCGACCTGGCCTGATACAAACAGGGATGCAGGGTCTGAGTCACCAGCAGTTACAATCCGAGGAAACTGGTAGCCATCCAACGGCGCGGAATATATAGTTCCATTCGCAGTTTCATCGGAAGTGTTCATGTTCTCTTGACCAAGAGGCGGATAAAGTCCAAGCATGAATGCCTGCGCCGAAGCAATGACATTTTGATCTGTCGTTGAGAGCACACGCACATCCTTTGAGTATAGGATGGAGGGCGAAATATATTGAATTGCCGACTCGGTAGCATTGGAACTCCCAGCCGACGACACATAGCGATTTCGGAATGTTGATCCCACGTCGGCTAGCTGACTACCCCCATACTCTGTCAAGCCTGGGGGCTGTTTATCAATCAGCGCCATGGGGGGTACTGTCCCCGTAGACGGTGTACGCAAAAACACTCCATACTTTCTCGGTGTAGTCGGCATTGGTAAACGTAGGAGCTGTAGGGAGCAGGATCGCCAAGGCGAGGAATTGGAGCTTCAATGTAAGCATGATGGTATTCAAAGACCTCAAGATCATTCAGCCTAGTCTGTTTCGATTAAAAAGCAAAAATTATTTCCAAAATAAAACCAAGTCAGGCCCGGGGGTGCTGGAATAAAAATGAGCAATTTCAAAATTCATGATGGATCCTAGGGTAGGATGAGGGGGCCTAGATCCTTGGCTCAACCTCTATAGATTCAAAGATATCAAGGATTTTTGCCCTCCAGCATAGCTGCATTCGGAACTGGCCATGTAAGAGCTCTCCCCTTTCGAGAATATGACAAACACTGCCAAAGGCATGGATAAGGTTCTGGGGAAATCGGTAGGAAGGCTTTTTACTTCATCTTCCAATGGTGCTGAGTCCCTGAGTATACCTAAATAAGTTAATGATGGCCAATTGGGAGTTTGGCAGGAAATGGCAACGCAGTGTCATTCAGTTCCTTGCCTATTAATCATTTCAATGTTCAAAATCCCTCAAGGGAGCAGTCAGCATCCGCATCTCAAAAAAAAAAAAATGAAATGAAATGAAAAAAAAAAAACAAAAAGCTGAATGAAGTCATGATGGCAGCGCTTGGTGATCCTCGCAGTGCGAGGGTTACAGCGTAGTCGGGGAGGACTCCGGGTCGATGACGCGCACAAGCCCAGACTCATGCCTCCAGGGAACATGGATGTCAGGAACGGTGACTTAGATGGTGAAACCTTATAAGGCCACCAGGCTTTACCGCCCGAGCGATCGTTCCCAGATGCCAGTGGTATCTAAGATCCATTTTAGGATATATGCCAGTCGCCATATGTATGGTGAAGTGGAATGTTCAGCACTTGAGTGTTGTTGATACATTCTAGCTGGTGGCCTGAGGTGTCCAGGGGGGTCAGTGCCACCCCGGATTATTCCTACTCCATACAGTAAAGGGAGGAGTGCCAGCAGCAATTTGACTTACAACGATCTTTTCTGGGCTTTTTATATCCACCACTTATAATTTTCAAAGATGACCTTTTGCTCAGTATCAACAATATGATTTATTGACCTGAACCATTAGTATAATGACTTATCTATCTCTATTGTTATAAAAGTACATTGGGCGGTCAGTGTTCCTGACCAATAGTAAAAGATTGCCCCACTGGCAGAAAAATCCTTGCCAAAGCACCAACTCTCACCTTCCAACCAAGCCCTACAAATGCGCCCTACCCCTAAGCCCTCATTTCTGCTCTTGGAAAAGTTGACTGGTCAACCCCCTCCTTTATCACGTCCAGATGGTCGAAACTAGAGGCTCCCGACCATCTTTTGATGGTTCTGTGGAGCTGCCATCTTTTGCCCCTGATGATGGGGATCTTGGTGAGTTTGCTTCTGATCGTCTGATCTTGTTCGGTCACTTCGTAGGAGCCAACTCGAGCTTCCTCCCCAGTTCCTACCCCAACTCTCAAACAAAAAGCCTCCTTTTTTCACCCTTCAAGCTAATATTATTGAATTTTGTCCACTTCAGATCAAAAACTCGTGCATCCTTTGGAGGACCACGAGGAACACGGATCGCCTCCAGCTGCGAAGAGGCGGCGGACCGGCTCACCATCTGCTGATCTCTCACTCGATTTCCCCGAAGAACATCACGGACCTGGCCACAAAATTGAGCAAGAACTGGCAACTGCGCTTGGCGAAAGCATTGTAGACACAATGGGACCGGCCGACCACACTCACCATCCTCAACCTGGCACCGCTCATGACGAAAACCCCAACGTGAACCCGGATGTTGCTTCTATCATCAATGAGATCATGGATCACACTGAACGTCAGGAGCAAACTGTTGCAATGGGTCCCCAGGAAGTTGCACCATCTGGTGACTTCCCAGGTGGCAAAGGTTTCGCGTTTCTCAAGGCTAATCAGCACCTGAAAATCCAAAGCTTGCCTATTCTTGACAACTTGGTAAATTATTTACAGCCTTCATGTGTACTGCCCATGTACTGACTCGGTTCCAGTCCACCCAGATCCTCTCATTTTTGTCTAAGAACACCTACCCGGAACTCACGGCCATGGTATCTGAACCGGATTCAGAGAATGGACAGGCGTATGCGACAATGCGATCCCTTTTTGATCATACCAAGCGGGTTTACACGGTGAAGCACTCTTTCCTTCAGACCTCCGATCTCGAGATCACCGATTCCTCTCAGGTGGATGTCATTCGCAAGGCCAATCTAGCCTCCTTCGTGTCGAGCATCTTTGGTTCACAGGAAATCGGATTTGCAGAGTTGAACGAACACTTTTTGGATGTCTTTGTTCCTGAGGGATATCGACTGCTCAAGGTTCAAGGGGCTTTGTACCTGGAACTCAAGACCCAGGCATTTATCGCCGCCATGAACAACAAGTCACGCACCCGGACAGCTCTCTTGTACGAGCTGTTCCCTGATGATATGGAACAGCAGTTGCTTGCTCGACGCCCTGGTACCAGGCAATTAGCTCCTAGTGAAACAGACTTTGTGAACCGCCTTGCATCACGCCGTGACCACCTTCTCCATGATATCAACGATGAAGAAGCAATGAGGGGCTTACCAGACAAGTATCAGTGGGAGGATTTCCTGCGTGATTTGAGTTCTTACATCTCCAAGAACTTTGATGCTATCAATACTCAACCGGTTAGCTTTCACCCTGATTTTATACAGTTTGATTGATGTGCTAATGACTTCGCAGGGTAAGAAGCCTATGAAGGGGCGTCGGCCATCAAGCGCAAGTGCAGATACACAGGAGACCACTACTGCCACTCACCAGGGTCAATTCTCCGTGACACAGCCAGTTGAAGTCCCAGTTGATCGGAACATGCATGGTGACCTTGTGGCTCGTGCTGCTCGGGCTGCGCAAATTGCTCTACAGGGCCATGGTCTTCGCCGCTCTCAGCAACAGTCTCAACAGCAGCACCAACACCAGCAGCCTCAGCCGCAATCCCAGGCTAGTCCCTCTCCCTCTCATCAATGTCATCAGCCACAGCAGCAGCAGCAGCATGCCCCTCAGTCCGATAATCAATATCTTCACGGCTACGCGGCCGCTCAGCAACCTGCTCCACAGCAGCACCATCAACCGCAGCAGTATCACAGTCCAACTCCCCCTGGTGGATACCAACAGCCCCCTGGCGGCATGACCTTCCAACAAAGCCCTTTGCAGACCAACTTCCAGCAATACAACCCCAATGCTGCTCAGACCATGCAAGCACGAGCCAATGGAATGACTGGAAATCACGGGTACATGCCGGGGATTCCTCACTATTCTCAGTCACAGCCCACGCAAGTGCTGTATGAACGTGCCCGCATGGCTGCATCTGCCAAATCATCTCCAACCAGCCGCAAGTCCGGATTGCCCAGCCAACGTCGCCCTTGGACCACTGAGGAAGAAAACGCTCTTATGGCAGGATTGGATAGGGTCAAAGGCCCTCACTGGAGTCAGATTCTTGCTATGTTTGGCCCTGGAGGAACAATAAGTGAGGCACTCAAGGACCGAAACCAGGTCCAACTGAAGGACAAAGCTCGCAATTTGAAGTTGTTCTTCCTGAAGAGTGGAATTGAGGTTCCTTACTATCTGAAGTTTGTCACGGGTGAGCTCAAGACCAGAGCGCCTGCTCAGGCTGCCAAGCGTGAGGCACGTGAGAGACAAAAGAAGCAAGGCGAGGAGGACAAAGCTCATGTTGAGGGGATTAAGGGCATGATGGCCCTGGCTGGTGCCCACGCTTCACCTGTGGGTGGTCATGAAATGTCTGCTTCGCCAAGCCTGCCACCAGATCCCAACAGCCAATCAGTCTTTGATCAGACTGCTGAGCAAAACCTGATGCAAACACTCAGCCAGGAGGTCCATGGCAGCCAGTACCCTCAACAGCATACTCAGCCGAACCAAGATCACATCGATCCTCATATGCAACTGGGTCAGTAGACCAAAGGCAATTGGTATCAGTCTTAGTTATTCATATCAGTGCCCACCTGGGCACTGATATGAACTCCCATCTACGTTCCAGCGAACTCACAAAAATGGTGTTTCTCTTTGATCTCTTTGATCTCTTTGAGTTGTCTTTGGTATTTCTTTTACGTTTCCCCTTTGCATTCCACTTTTTTGCTTTTCCTTTGGAGTCCAGGCACTGTATTATGGTATTTTAAGCAATGGGTTTGTTTTGCGAATCATGATTCAAGATGCATAATGCGATGGAGGTCTGCGGATTTATATCTGCCCTCAAATGTACAATACTACATAGCTAAAGTTGAACATCGACTTGAATTGAATTTAAGAACCACATAATCCAAATGTCCAATCCATCATGGTCCTGATGCAAGTGGACATCATGATCGTGCCACCACAGCTACCAGTAGTATGTTAAAGGGTGAAGATATATTCTCCAGGGCTGCAGGACAGGACTCGCAGGGCATGGAATTATTCAAGATTCAACTTGAACTTGAGGTTGCTGATTAAATCTCGATTTGTAAAATCTTTTCTCCAGTGAATAGGGTGCCTTAAAATTTGAGATTCTGAAATGCACATGTGTTATCTTCTACACATGTGCATCATTTAGCCTGATCTGATACTCAAATTCACTTAAACTTGTCACGTGCCGATATACTTCACTGAAGATGGTCCGTGCGCCCATATACTCTCCGCCTACATCTGACTGGCTCTTCACCCGCAAGTAGAATCTCCAACAATCCGGCAATCCCAGCTTACATTGATTGGTCTTACTGGGCCCTGGTCCCCTGCAGCCCATTTTAACTGAGAGAGCTGACCCTCTGAGGAGTGCCCGATATGTCTGATCCTCAACCCACACCATCCCAGCCTTTAAACGGGTCACAGGATCAACCTGTTCCTACATCCACAGCTTCAGTATCAGCCGACTCAGCCATCAAACCCGATCCTGATATCGACGCATCCATCGAACAAGATATCGATATGAACACAGACCAGAACGCGGCTGGCGCCAATGAAGAAGAGAATGAAACGGGCCTTGACCCCATGGCCGCGGCACCACAACCAACTAAGAAGGAGACCAGCTTGCGCGAATTTCTAGGGAAGATGGATGAATATGCGCCCATTGTATGTGGTTCATTCTTTTCTCTCCTGATTTTTATTCTTGATGCGACCGTGCTCAAATGCGCTTCCATTCCCATTTCCCCGCCAGAGCAATGCATATAAGCTCCGAGAGTGAAACTGCCACCCTCTCAGATCCCTATCTATATTATCGCGACAATTTCGCTTTCCCAACTCAAGTACATTGTAAACTGACCGACCTTTTTCCCAACTGCAGATCCCCGATGCGGTCACAGCTCACTACCTTACTCTTGCCGGTCTCCCTCCCCCGGGTACAGGCCCTAACCAAACACCCCCACACCTCGCTCGACTCCTCGCCCTGGCAACTCAGAAATTTGTCTCCGATATTGCCGCAGACTCATATCAATTTGCTCGTATTCGCGCCTCAAACAGCTCCTCTGCCAATAACCCCATGGGCAGTCTGAACGCGGCATCTGGTCTCGGCGCTCCTGCTGGCATGGGCGCTGTGCCTGGTGGTGCGGCTGGCGGCGATAGCAAGGGTGGCAAGGGCAACACACATCTCGGTATCCAGCGTCCTGGATTTGGCGGAGGTGGTTCTGGAGGCTCAGGGCAGGGACGAACGGTCTTGACCATGGAGGATCTGGGAATGGCTGTTTCTGAATACGGAGTTACAGTGAAACGCGGGGAGTTCTACCGATGATCTTCGCATGGATGAGAATATGGAGATTACCCGTTTTCATTTTTCCTCGATGCTTTCTGGTTTCTTGTTGATTGTCTTTTATGGTGGGGATATCTTTACTTTTCTGGCGCTGGGCGTACACGTTGATATCCGATGGCCGCGGGATGGGATTCCCACGTCTTGACCATGAGCATTTCTAATGGTTCGGAGGGTCTTAGAAACGGAGTCCTCTCACTTTTTTTTATTTCATTTTTATCTACAGAGTGGCACTGAATCAGCCGACAGGCTTCCATGATTTACTTCAAATAAATTGATGAATGATATTGATATTGAACAAATTCCATGTTAACTCCGTCCCATACATATAGCTAATGTCACAAGGGAACCACTGATGTATCTGTACATGGGCCACAGGGCCGAATAAAAACAATAATAATGCTGTTTAGAGCCAACTGAAGGAATTCCGGGTTCCAAACCAGAGTTCTTCAATAAGTCTGCGCACTTGGTCGCAAGATGTCGAATTTTGCAATCCAGGTTCTGGGCGAATCTGATCCGATAGGAGACCATGGCCGAATTGGATATTCGCAAAAAATCTAAAAAAGACAGTATAAAGCTTGTCGGCCCGAGGAACAAACCGTCCTCAAAATCCGAGTCAATGCAACTGCACTCTTTATTTATTTGTTCTTGGACTGCTTGTATGTGAAACGCTTGCGAGTACTATAATTGGGACCTTGAGTTAGCATTCATGTGGACGATACAGGATCAAGACCGAATCCACGTCGGAGATCCAAGCCGCGAGAGCACTCGGCGGGGAAGACATACGCAACATATTCACCAAGCTTGCGTCCGACCATCTCCTCGGTAATCAAGACCTCCTGGTAGGTCTTGCCATTGTGGACAGCAAAGCGCAGACCCACGAAGTTAGGCAGGATGGTTGCGGCGCGCTTCTGGGTGCGGATCGGAGGTGTGTTCGGGGGAGCGGGGAGAGTTCGAGGCAAAGCAAGACTATTCCATATTACAGATTAGCTCCTATTCCCGTCGTCCATTATTTAAATCGGCTCCTCCTCGGTGCCTGAGGTGGCTCCGGGGTTCCTGGCGGAGATTGAATATAGCGGGTAAACAGGTTGAACATACGGGACGAGGTTCGGGCCTGGCAAGACGATGTTAGCACTTGGAAGAGAGTCAATCGCTTTGAGAAATATCTTACCTTTCCAGACCGAGCGGCCCAACAGAGCTCGCGTGGGAAACATGTTGTGATGAACGAGGGGATTAGAGTACAGTTGAAGCCGCGAAAGTTGAAAAAGATCGGGGTTGAAATGCTTAGGTCAGCGAGTGATCAGCGCCTTCTGGGTAACATGCGATAGCTCAACTGCATCTGCATGGATACCTGAATGTGATCTCCTGATGCAGATTCCTTTTTCTTACTTGTTGAATAACAGTTTTCATTGCTCTTGAGCGTTCCTCATTTTCTAACCTTCAAGTTTTTCTGCTAGTATTTGCTGAATCTCGATTATCTATATTTAACTCATCCTGCGGATACCATCTGAGCGATATGCGCGATCAGGCCATCATACCACATAAACCACACCTTGAGATCTTCAATGGTCTGCTAGAAAAACCACAATCTGACTCCAAATTTACCTTATTTCCTTTCCTTCCCATCGAGATTCGTCTCATAATATGGGAATATGCACTGCAGAAGCGACGAATCATCCATGTTGACATCGTCTCCGCACAGTCGGAACAACGCTCAGATAAGACACTTGAAGATGCCAATATCAGTAGAGAAAGCTGGGTTGCTAAGGTATTCGGTCTTCATATGATGAGCAAGATTTTTCGCGTCAATCAAGAGTCCAGAAGAGTTGCAAAAACCTTCTATCGAATCCGTATGCCCTGTTGGTTTCATGATACTCGATTGAGCCACTGGCATGACTCGCAGTATCCAACAGACTGCTGTTATATCAATCCTGAATATGACACGATTCAGATCTCCAGAATATACGGATCTATACCTGATGAAACAATGGAAAGGTTCCTATCTTTTCTTCACTTTATGAAGCACTCGTACGATCCATTTCATGTCGGCGTTCTACGACTGGCCTTGAACCACGAACTTCTGAGAATCATCCAGGAGGGTATTCAGCAATGGTATTCAAAGGACTTGGATTCAGAACTGGGAGGCCTGAGCAGGAAAATCATGGAAGTTCCCCCCTATCCAACTATTATGCAGTCCTTCAAAGATACTGTCGTCCAACTTCGCGAGCTCTATTTCGTCAGCTCACGCTGTCGCCGCCAAAATTTCGAACACACCGAGCTTGACTGGCCGACTTTCAATCGATCGCTACCAATCCGGCCACCCATGCCTGCTTTTGAGATATACACTCAAGACCCACGCTCAATCCAGGCAGACTTGGGCCAATTATTGTTGGGGGAGAATCCACGCGACATGCCATTCCGATGGCGTGAAATCCTACATCAGCTGGGGGTTTCGCCTGCTAATATCGATTACCATTTTATGCTGGCATCGGATCCTCCCAACCAGTTTGCCATTACCAATCGGAAGAACGCGACGGAATTCGTTCAACATGAGGATAATGAGTGGACTGGTGCATGGCGGCTCGGGAATAGTCTGCGGAATGGTAATTGGGCTTTACGGTATATGGAGTACACCGATCGGTTTTTCGAATGCGAGATTGGAGCGCTGCATGAGAAGAATCTCAATGAGGACTTGACCAAGGCTGTCAAGCCAGCTTTTGGATTCTGGCTGTTTCCGCTAAAGGCGATCTGCGAATGGCCAAACAAGCCGGAGGAGAACCTTGCTCAGCCATGGCAAGGAGTTTCTTCCGGTGTGTGCTCGATGGCTAAGCACCCTCCTGCGCTTGCGTTGTCATTTTTACCGTAGCGAGTGATTGAATTTGTATGAGCGAATAATGATTTGAATAGTAGCATCATGATAGGAAATAACAATGACTGGTAACATTGGCTAATTCATGGATATAAAAAACGAGGTACAGCTAATCATCACAAACATGCTTTGAAGACTCCAACAGTGGTCGCCTGCGACCAAGTTGAAGCCAATGACGTATCTTATAAGATGCTTTCACTCTGCCAATTCCTCAAACACCTTGATGAGATTGCGGATTCCCATCAGCATATTCTCGTCTGGCCCTTCGCCAGGCGTCCATGTTGCATGTGCAAAGTCGATCAATCGTAGATCATGAACCTTCGGAGTTTCATCCTCATCTTCCTCGTCATCAAGATCTGCCATTGGGACAGATTGTGGATCGATGCTGATATTTATGGCCTTCTGAGGCATGCCCTCACCGAGATGCACATCCACCAGCTCCAATTCATCTTCATTGATTTCGAATCCGATCTCCTCATCCTCATCCTCCTCATCTTCATCTTCCTGATCCACAGGTTCTTGCTCAGAGATTCTCTTCTCTTCTTCCAAAGCAATCTCCATCGCATCTGGATCCGCTTCATAAACAACCAGTACGCTTGACGAGTACATCCGACTCTCCTCGGATTCCAAAGCGAGCTGGGCATTTTTCAATTCCTCCACGAGTCTCTTCGCAAGCATTTTCGACCGATCCACGGAGCCAGCCTTCGCACCCGCGAGGAATGTTTCAAAACCTTCCTTAACATTCCGCTCATTGAACGACCGTCCATACCATTTACCATATCGTCGATATCCATTCTTCTCCACGATCTCACCCATCGCACCCTCCGCACCTTCATATTTCGTCGCGTAAGGATTCGTCCTGGAACCAGCATCTGTCTCACCATCTTCACCAGTCCACACCTTCATCCCCGCAATCCGGTATCCCAAACTCGAACTCGTAGTCTCCTTCGACACGGCATCTAGTTTGGAGCGTTTTGCCGGTGGCGCATCATCAGCCCATAGACGCGCCCCAAGCTTCACATCTAGTACGTTCGGTCTCCGAAACCCCGACGCCACATTCTCCAATACAATCGACAATCCGGTTTCTAGCTTCTTTCCGCCGGAGGGAACCCATGTCTCCTCTGTTCTCCCTTGGTGTGGTACAGGTACAGGTACAGGTGTGATAGCAGTAAGAGGGTATGTCGGTGTGGCTGATTCGGCAGGACAGGCGGATTCCGTCGGAGGGTTTCCTGGAGCTGGGAGGAAAACGGCACCGGATTGCTGGGCTGCAGCAATCACCAGCGGTTGTTGAGACTCAGCAGAGGAGAGAGAGCCGATGAATAAGGGCATGAATTCCTGGATGGCTTGGTGGTTGGGACTGGACTCGTAGAAGTCGATCTCTTGTTTTGTGCATGGTTTAACGATCAAGGACCCTTCCAGGGTCCGACGGACTCCGTCACTGTTAGAAGTCATCAGGTGATTAGTTTTGATTAAAGAGGTATCGTATAAAAAAAAGAAAGAAGAGAGAGGGAGAGAGTAGAAGAAGCAAAGATGCAGAAGGATCAAAAAGCAATGCTGGGTGGGGGCGTATCCCTTCCCCTCTCGCGGAGAAAAAAAAGAAAACAGTTACGTAGATGAATCCGTAGTTGTGTCGCGTGGGAGAAGTATTTGACAGCAGAAGAACACCAAACACTCAAGGTAAAGACTTACTGTCCAGCAGCAACATGGTCGAAAGGTACTAGGTCATCGCTGCCTAGCTGGGGAGTCTTTCGATCTGATTTAGAGGATGGCATATTGATGGGGAGATATGCGCATGGGTCCCGTTACTTGTTACTCATTCCATGCCGGAAGATTTAGATGCAACGAGAACTCCCAGGGGGAGATGATAAAAAGATTTGGAATAGAAAAATGAATAAGTTAAGGAGAAACGTCCAGATTGAGGAGGAAGTCCCTGATCAAATGTTCGGAAGCACTATTGACGGGCCGTGAAACCAGTGCAGGGGCCAACCTTATTACTTCATGGTCATACACATCAGCCCTACGGAACTAACCTCCACTTGGGCACCTAATATGGATCATACTTGATTTTTATGAAATTATGAGAGTAGTTTTAGATTAATGAATTTTCATATCAATCCGTGTTAATATTAGTTACTAGCAGTTCAAAATATGTGCACTAGTACTTGTCACCCCCACTATTGGACTTATAGAGTAGTGGGCTATACTAGCGGTGGAGGGATTAGAGTGTTTCGTATTGATTTTATCGACGTTTTGACTTTTCTATTTTTAGTTATATTGTCTATAGTTCGATTAATAACAAGAGAAACTTGTATAAAATACAACATTTGAATATAATGTGCCCGCTGGCACCTGGGCAGCTGTTAGACTGACATTTCCCGGGTGGATATGGAGCCCTGGAGATATGGGGTACTATGTACTCCGTACCTTTCTGTATAGTGCTAATCTCTTGTCACTTTGGTCACTAAGTGGTTCTGAGTACATCAAGCTCATTTGTCAGTGACTATTGACCCTTTAAAACTCAACCAGTTGACGGTCTGAATCACAATATTTTAAACAAGACTTATTTCAAAATACAGGATTGTGCACATGCATGTGTGCGGTCCACACTTCTAACAGATTCCTTTACCAGCGAAGTTTATTAGGTCTAGCTAGCCTTTATAAATTCATGGAGGACTATCAAAGATTTTGGCACCTGGCTCTGGAGTCCATTTATGATGAACTGACGGCCCGAAAGGTGGGCCTTGCATCTCATGATCTTTAGCCCATTGAAGAACATTCTCAAAGTTCCGGCATTGATGCCAGGTATTGAAGTCAGGATAAGGCCGAGGATAATCTTCCACCCAATTATGAGTAATGACACCGACATCAGCATGGCACATCACAAATTGCCGTAGCATTTCAACGCAATGTACTAGATTAACAGGTTATTAGGTATCATACAATATCAACTTCCAAGTTAAACGTTTTACTTACATAGATGAGTGTGGATCATCTCAGGATGATCACTGAATTCGACAGATCGAGTCTGGTAGTAATCCCGAAAGAGGCTCTTGCGGAGAAAGTTCTGACGAGGGTTAGGATGAATCCTCTCACTAATGACCAAGAAAAAATGAAACACTTACTACACAATGTAGCTGGTGATTAACCTCCAAGCTTGCCATGTATCCACCACCCCATTTCTGTGGGATTTGAATCGCATCAGTTGTCTTTCCGGCCTTCAAGACGTCATCCTCAGATATGCTCATAATTCGAACTAGGTGCCGGAAATCAAGTGTTAGTCATGTATGATTCTCCAAACAAGAAACAAAGAAGATATCGAAATCAGTCATACCATCTTCTAGCCTATTCCATGCTTCATCAACCTCGGGGCTAGGATCTTGTCTATAGATAGAGGGATAGTCAAGTGTTCCATTGAATTTGACTGGGTAGTACTTGGAGTCAATTTCCTTCAGTGCGGGAGCTAGAAGTTCTGTCAGATACTTGATGGAAATCATTCTCCAAGAACAGCACTTACATGGGAAAGAGTGAAGCTCCATGCATCTCGTGTTTGCATGCATTTGCCAATAGACAGCAGGAACAAACAATGATAATGACAATAGAGCGAGAACTACACTAATTGTCATTGGAAGATACGCTCTTAGAGGTGAGATGGTGCTGCTGTTGAAGAAACCACCAATTTTCTCCAAAGGAGCAGAATCTGGAAGGTCGATACTGTCTCTAGGGCTGTCAGAGTTTGAGACAAGAGGATCTAAACTCTCTGTAGACATCCTAGAGTACTTCATTTTGGAGAATGACATCTTGTTCAGGCAAAGGCAAGATGGTAGTGTAGTAGGTCAAAGGACAACAAACGATTTGAAGTGTCATAGAGAGAGACAGAGAGACAAAGCTGAGTGTAAAAAGAAATGAAAGATTCTAGCCAGAAGATCTGGGCAGTCATGGTCTATTGGAAAACCATGGACTGGAGCAAATACGCTTCATATCCCCGCTCTTATCACAACGCTACAGAATCCCTCTACTATTTCAACCATGCAAGCCACAAATTGTTCGAGTTACATTGCATATACTTTGCAAGGTGGTATACGATTCTTGCATTAGCTCAATGCACATCTGGATATCAAATTTGCGTGATAACAACCTCGAGTTGCGTCGTTAGTGCATCCTTCGTCCATCCTTCAATATTCGCTTACACTTTCCTCCGAGTCAAGCCAGAAAGGGTATGTACCAATCGAGCACGTCAATCTAGATACACATTTGTATGAATTCTCACCAGACCTTGTTGCCAGTGTTATATAAGGCCCGCAGGAATTCTCCTTCAGGAGATGTAAATCACAGACATTTGAACAGAGCCACTACATTCTACGATTTCAAGTCTATTCCAAGGTTTTCAACTTGGCATTATACTATTCAAGATGCGTCTCTCTACTACCTTATTGACACTGTCGCTGTCAGCTCTCGTGGCTGCTGCTCCGCTTGCAAGCTGTAAGTTGATTCGAGATGCATGGAAATCAACTTGAAGAAACCTAATACTAATCCATGAAAAGCTGTCGAAGGTGGCCTTCAAAGGCGTACCCCCGGAGAGGACTTCGTCGACTTCTACAAGAAGTCCTACGATGAGAAAGAGAAACGGGGTGAGGACTTCGTCGACTTCTACAAGAAGTCCTACGACGAGAAGGAGAAGCGCGGGGAAGATTTTGTTGACTTCTACAAGAAGTCCTACGACGAGAAGGAGAAGCGCGGGGAAGACTTTGTTGACTTCTACAAGAAGTCCTATGACGAGAAGGAGAAGCGCGGGGAAGACTTTGTTGACTTCTACAAGAAGTCCTATGATGAGAAGGAGAAGCGCGGGGAAGATTTTGTTGACTTCTACAAGAAGTCCTACGACGAGAAGGAGAAGCGCGGGGAAGACTTTGTTGACTTCTACAAGAAGTCCTATGACGAGAAGGAGAAGCGCGGGGAAGACTTTGTTGACTTCTACAAGAAGTCCTATGACGAGAAGGCGAAGCGTGGCGATGATAGCGAAGAGTTTGTCAACTACTACAAGAAGAAGTACGAGCAGGAGTAGTCAGTCATTCTTCCTGTCTGGCAATCTTGAATGGATGCTTAGTGGTCCATGATAAGGAACATAGCTTAGTTAGGAAGACGTGACAGGCACCTGGGGGAATGATCAATCTAAGGCTATTTTGAGTTTTGACCTATTCCTAGTAATTCTTGATGCAGCTAACACGCATCACTTTACATTTCTTCCAAGGTTTGGCTCATGTTAGAAAATCCCAGACCTATCCTACATTCCCCCTTCATATCTTCTTTGATTAAGGCAGCTGTAAGATTTCATAGTAAGAACATTGGCATGCGATGCTGTCTAATTCATGATACATATTTATTATCTTAAAGATACGGACAGTTATGTTCAGTAGCTTCCCTCTTATTGTCTTTCATCCTTAATAAAAACTTGAAGACAAATATCATACAGTTTCCCCAATAACAAGCCTTTTACCTGGGATATCCGTGAATAGCTCTTTCAAATGTTAGAAGTGTTTTTCACTCATCGCGAATCCATCACTGAGAGCTCGAAATTATTCTTGGGCATCAAATTCAGGTACTAATAACTTGAATGGGTATGTAGGAAAGCGCTTTGAAGTGACTTTAGGTGGGTCAACTGGTCAGGTCAGGGGTAGCTTAACCCTAATTCTCATCTGATTGTTCTCCAGTCAGATGTTTCTTTTGATTAGCGCCAAGGTTGATCCATATGTCTGCAAGATAGGAAGTCATGTTAAGTCGAGTGAATAGTCCTGGAGAATGAGGTCAAAAGAACCTAAGCAGGGTTGCATCGCTTTAGTGCTTACTATGCTCGCCTGAAATTCCTTCGATTATTCGAAATAATTGAATTTGGACTGAAGGAAGGCGTGCTTAAGCATTATCTGTCACGGGCCTCAAGGCCGAAGATGCGTGCCAAGAAAGAATAAGCAATATTCTTTAATGTGATTGAAATCCGAGGAGAAGTCTCCGATCAAAGGGTTTCATACTTAATGCATGTCATTCTAAAAACGGGTAACAGATGTGATGAATCACTGATGATGCTTATCGTCAGAGTCTTTGAGGCGAAGACCCTGAGTTATCCGGCCCGGAATATCGGATGGCCGTCGGATGGCCGATATGCAGGTCGCGTGGGATGCATATAGCATCAAACAACTTGAACTTTATCATCTAGCATAGTAATGCAGGATGGAATGGTCATACCATATGAATCAAAGATGATGTTTTCTCTCGCAAACAAGGACCTGATTCTGATTTATCATGATCTTGTGACTATATTCCAAGGCTACTACTCCTCCTCTTACTAACTAGTTCCAAAGTTTCAAATGTTGATATTTATCGGGCATGTTTGCGACAAACAGCACCAATTTAAACCTGAGCACCACCTGGGCAAGCTTAAATCTCTTTTACATTCAATAAAACAATTACTTGCTCTTTGAAGTAATGCTAAGTGTCAACTATTACTAGTAGCCCAAAGCCTAGTGTAGCCACCGAGAATCCAGTCATACCTCCAGATATCGTGTCTCCTTCTTTTTATGATGTGATATCGTCTGCATATCACAAGATATACACATATGCAGGGTAAATATCCCAATGCTAATGCAGCAGCATCCTGTTCCTTGACTCTCTGACTGTTGTGTACCCAATATCATTCCGAATCTGCAAATAAGGCGTTTGCAACTAATAGATATTTGGACTTCAGACCGAAGCTATTTTGAAAGACATCAATTGATGTAACGTTTCTCCTCATTCTGAAAAGCTAATATCGCCAAGCACAATCCTGCAAAGGCGCCACAAGCTATCATGTAGTACTATCTATGACAACAAATATTTTCAGCGATGAAAAGTCCTCGATAAGTCCGTCTCGCCTGGTGTCCGTGGTCCCCGTCATCTCGAGGTTCCCAGTCCTACCTTTGTGTCAAAAGTTTTTCCTCTCCATCCTCCTCTCAAAAACAACGTGTGCGCTGCGCCTGTACTCTAGACATCGCCATGCCTCCAAAAGGATCTGCTGCTCCTGGGTGTACCATAATAGCAATTCTCATAGCCGCGATCGTGGGGCTTTTGTTGTTGGTTCTTCGTCAACTCCCCGCACCATATATCAAGACAGTTTTGATTGGCGAACAATCATTACAATATCTCTGCTCCAATCCCGATTCCTCAAGCTCGCCAGAAGTAACCACAACCTTCCGTCAAATACCAGTCCTAGAGGACTTCTCACCATCCCGAGATGAAGAATGGCATAACGAAGTGTTGACCCGCAAAGGAGGCTTTCTTTGGGTCAAATACAACGAGTCATCAAATGAAGCCTGGGGTATCTCTATGTTCCATGGACTGCATTGCTTGAAGATGCTCCGTATGGCATTGCAACAAAGCCCGATGGTACAAAATATGGTTGAGAAGGAAGGGACCGTGCCACTTCATCAGCATAAAGGGACAACGCATCATCCAGATATGGATCCTACTCATCTTGGACACTGTGTAGGATATCTTGCCCAGGTGAGCACACAACAATGACCTCTGGTGTCTTTAATTGAGCTAATCAATATCCTAGCACCTGCTTTGCGCGGCAGACGATACCCTTGAGCCACCATGGCTCTCCTTCAATGACAAAGGCGATGTTATCGATGCTGGTGTAGATGGAGAGGGGTTCAGGCATAAATGTCGTGATTCGAGTTTGCTATGGAGCACTGCAGCGAACTCCGAGTCAATTCCGGTAGATCCATGGGGGTGGAAATTGGATGATACTGTGAATGGCGTCTTTCAAGATAGGGATTAAAGCATAAAGTGAGCGACCGATCTGGTGATTGATATAGATTTTGATTGAGATTTACATGATCACAGGTCCAAATAATCGTACATGAAACCATAGCGCTGTGACTTGACGATGTAGATGTGACACATGATAAGAAACACTCCAGAGTTGAATGATGAACCACCTAACTCTTGATTAATCAGCTTGACGCATATGTAATTAATTGAAGCAAGGCTCTAATCCTGCTTAACAAAACTAAAATGAGATGGATTTAGTGCCTACCTAGTACTATACTAGTAGTAGATAACGAGTTTGCGACAAACTAGGCCTAGCCGGCTCTAGGCTACCACCCTATCCCCTCTCTCTTTCACTTCTTTTCTCCGTTGCAATCCACCATCTTCGATTTGAAATCATATTATCCACCTTATCTCCTGCTTCACGAAGAATGTCTAGAAAGCGCGTCATGGATACCGAAATGAGTCCCTACGGCAAGGTCCAGACAATGCCATTTGGAAAATGGGATAGTCCAATTACGGATGACATGATCACGTCTAAAAGTATTGGGTTCACTGAGATCCACGCTGCCGTACGACTCTTACTTCTGATTTATTGATCTTTACTAATAAGAGGGCAGAAAGACGGCATATTCTATGTGATTGAAGCCCGTCCAGCTGATGCCGGACGGTGCTGTATTGTTCAATGGATCAACGGACAGGCTAGAGATGTGCTGCCTTCAGGGTACAACGCACAAACAGCAGTACATGGATATGGTGGCGGCGCAATGTGTCCTCTAGCAAACAACAAAACATTGGTATTCTCAGATGTCAATACAAACGGAGTTTGGATTCTCGACTCTGCGACATGTGGCGTCACAGCAGCCATCGTGCCAAACCCACAGGTCTATTTTGCTGATCTTCATGCTCATCCAAGTGAGGAGAGATGGATCTTGGCGATTTGTGAAGACCACCGATGCCCATCGGGAGAAGTGGTGAATACCATTGTAGCCATTGATATTATCCAAGGCAAAACGACCACTCTTGTTGAAGGAGCTGATTTCTATGCTCATCCACGATTTGACCCTTCCGGCACCCGAATCTGTTGGACTCAGTGGCACCACCCAAATATGCCTTGGACTGGGACCGAGCTGTTTGTGGCATCGTGGAATCACGATGGTACTATTGAGAAGCCCAGATTACTTGCAGGAAGAGAAGGCCATGAGAGTATCGCTCAGCCTCGATGGGGCCCCGATGGAACGCTTTACTTTGTTTCAGATCAGAGCGGTTACTGGCAACTTTGGCGGTGGCATCCAGCATGTGCTGATTCTGATCCTACCCCTATTTCCCTCGATGGACTGGAGACTGGTGAGTTCGCTTCACCAGAATGGTGGCTTGGCAGGTACATATCTTGATCTATTTATTTTCTACTAAATTGGTCTTCGTCTTGGCTAATTACCGTGATTACTAGTTCTACGTATGGGCTTCTCGATTCCAAACGCATGGTAGCTGCATGGACGTTTAATGCCACAGAGCGTCTCGTTATCATCGATCTCACGACCTTGAGATATGAATTTCTCAATGCATCTGTCGCAACACTAACAGGAATTACTGGCAGTGCCCTGGTTGTAACATCCTCCAATAGCATAGCTATTGTAGCATCTTCATCCGACTCTCCATACGCCTTATACCACGTGGAATTCAACAAGCCAGCCTCCCTTACGACTCTTCGCCCTTCGGCCACGATTTCCGTCTCTAGCACATTTTTCTCGCAAGGCAGGCCTATCTCATTTCCTCGCTCGAATGTAATACTTCGATCTGGCGAGAAAAATAGACGCAACTGCAGAAGCCCAGTTGAATGCTCATGCGTTTTTCTTCCCACCTCAAAACCCTCACTATGTCGGCCCTCAGAACTGTCTACCCCCTTTGGTAATCTCAATACATGGTGGTCCCACCCTTCACTCGAACCCTGGGCTTTCGTTACAATGGCAGTATCATACAACTCGCGGCTATGCAGTCGTCTTGCTAAACGGTGCTGGGTCGTCTGGCTATGGAAGAAAGTACCGCGAGATCTTGGACGGTAAATGGGGTGTTCTCGATATTCAGGATGCTGCAGACTGTGCACGGTACCTAAGTACCTCGGGAATAGTTGATGGAAATGCCATTGGAATAACGGGAGGTAGCTCAGGTGGCTATGCTGCACTGCAAGCTATCTGTGATTTTCCATCCTTATGGGCAGGCGCAGTGAGCATCTCAGGGATCAGCGATGTTGAAGCACTCGTCAAAGACACACATAAATTTGAGAGCCACTACCCTCTGCGACTCATTTTTGGAGAACATGTACCCGATGATGAAAGCGTCCGGCGAAGAGTATATCGTGAGCGCAGCCCACGTTTCAAGGCGCACAAGATTACCGCTTCGACTTTGCTGCTCCAAGGACGGGAAGACCAAATTGTTCCTTTGAATCAGGCTGAGGCTATGGAAAGCTCGATTCTATCAAATGGCGGCACTGCAAAGCTGATTGTTTTTGATGGCGAAGGCCACGGCTTCCCGCGAGGGGCGGAGAATGCACTTCGAGCAGTGCAAGAACGGAACGAGTGGTGGCGTCGCAGCCTCGTCAGTCAACAAGCATCCGTCCATCGCAAACTCGGCGTTTTACTTATAGCTCTCATTTTGATGGTTATGTGTCTTTTCTATAGAGTATTGACTTGAAGCATTTGATATGAACTGGTCCTTTGACTCAAGGTTCTTGAGGGGTCAGACCTAGTATATGGAAGATGGCTACAGAAGAGAAAGAAATCATGCAGAATCGGAACTTCAAACAACGTTCTTTGTATATGTGCAGAGAAGACAAAGAATTCCTGGATTCTTCAGTGCCTCAGGATTTTTATTAAGAAAAGACAAATCAAATGGAAATCAGAAAGGGCAAACAATTGAAAAGTAATTAAACAAGGAAAAATAAATTTCCAAGCGATTGGAAGGAGAGATCCTTGATTCTATGGAAGGATTCACTAGCTTAAGACTTACCCTTACTAGTCTTACCCCTTATCTTCCCCCTCTTCCTATTGAATCCTCCCTTGAATGCTGGCATGCTCTCTGACCCTCTGGGATAACCCTTAGAGAAATACTCAGTATAAAGAGTACTATCCTCTAAAACCGAATTCAGAAGCGCATGTGTGATCATACCTAACATGGTAGTTTTACACCTCATAAGCCCAAGCGATGTGGCTGACCTGGTCCGGATTCATTCCACTGTATTCAAAACCGACCAATTCTCAAATTTTATGCTTGATGGCAAGCCAACGGGTACACACGAGAGTCTTATGGAGCGATCAATCCAATCTTGGATCTCAGACCCGACATCCCAGATCTGCAAGGCTGTTACAGAGGATGGTCATATCGTTGGGTGGGCATGCTGGTTGATGAAGGACAAAAATCAGGAGAAGAGCGAACCAGCCAGACAAGTTGCAAAGTCAACTCCCACACAAAGTGATAAACCAGACCCCCCCTACTCGGGTCATTGGTCGCCAAATGCGTAATGATTCCATGGCAAAGGAGACTGAGTTGATGACCGAAGACAAATATGTCGTTCTTCAAGCCATGGTAGTGCATCCTGACTACCAGCGACAAGGCATTGGTGCAGAGTTGATTCAATGGGGTGTTGACAGAGCCGATAAAGAGAAGCTTTCATGCTGGTGTCATGCATCGCCTGCAGGATATCAGCCATATTTCAAGGCTGGATTCCTGGAGCAAGGGAGTAATGAATATGATCTGGGAATTTTTGGAAAATATACATTCTGGTATATGGTCCGCCGACATGACTCTGCTTGAGTCCACTGGATGAAATTATTCCCAATTTTCTCATCATTTATTCTTCATCCAACCTGCTACTGGCAGTATATTGTGATGGATGCCTGTGAATTATAGCCCTCATAGTAAGAGCTCCACACTACATCCATGCATACAGATACTTCCACTGGTAGGCTAGACACAAACTTGAATTGAATATATTCAATTTTATATCCTAGGCCTGAAGAATATGATCAATCTTTCAATCCTACTAAGGAAATCTCACTTTATAATCTTCAAATACCATTATCAAAGAGTCCACCTGGGCACTCTATTCCGTTCACATTCACAAAGATTAAACAAGTTGGAGATCAACTATGTCCCTGGTATGCAGAAACTAATAACTAATAGTATGTGCATATGTACTGTATAAAGGTTCTTATACCTTTTCAATTCGTCACTTGAATGATCTCATGTAGAAGCAATTGACCTGCTAAATACTTTTTAGCTCAACATCTTCTTTAAGTTCATAATTAAGAAGGCGAAACGCTCATGGTACTATACTGACGCCTGAAGCACGTGCTTTTCAATTCTCTCATCACTCAATCTTTAATTGAAGCTTGCTTGCCCCATCACTCAGTATTTCTCACTTACCTTCTTCCATCCTTCGCTTAACTTCTTGCTTCATACATACCCGTGGACATCACATCCTCCCTTTCACCCTTTGAGTCTCTTAAGTTTCTTTCCATCATCAGTCCATCACTTCCCCATCGATTTTGACCTTTATTCATCGTCAAGTCACTTTTGCTCACTCTCTCATTTGGCCAATCATCTTTTGAACTTTCCAACCATTCAGGTAGCACCGCCACCATGGAAAACCATCCACCAGTCTCCTCTGCCATCTCTGGAGATCTTCCAATTCGGCCGGCTCGCCGTACCCACCAGGAAGATGGCCTGGAAACCCAGGATCCAGTGAAGAAAGTCCAGATTGAGGATGTCAAGGATGAACCATCCGATCGGAAGCCGCAGCTAGGTATGACCACCACCAAATTTGAGGAGGAGGTCTCAGAGGCTGTTGGCCCCGTTATCGCAGCTCAACTGCAAAAGAAAAAGAAGCACAACAAACGACCTAAGAGCAAGCGTGGATTGGTAAGAAAGTATCAAGTTTGTGAACTTCGTCCCCAAAGCTAACCCTACTTTTTCAATTCCAATAGGGCCGACCGACAGGATTTGAAGAATGGGGCGCAGATGGCCCTCTAACACCCGAGGAGCATGCAGAGGACATTGCCCTTTATGACCGGTATGTTAAAAGACTTCACCGTGTTTGTATTTTTGGATACTAACATAAACCCTCTTTAGTTTGCGACCTTTCATCAAGTCAGTGGGATCAAAACTTCTTGGGTTAACGTAAAGCTAACTATTTTGATGCAGCCGCATGGAAGAAGCCCTAATGCGCTTTGATAGAAAGCGCCGAATTGAATCTTTTCGACGAAACATCTTCCACAAATACCTGCAATATGGTGGTATCACAATCGGCCCTAACTTCGGAACTGGGGTTCCCGCAAAAGAGCTCAAGACAATGACCAAGTTGGAGGCGATGCAGGCTCGGGCCCAGACCATGATTGAGAAAGAGCGTGAGCGTTTGGATATTAGCTTTGATAAGGTGGTGCGCGGATTCTTGTAAGAAATAGCACTGCAACCGTGGAGATTGATCTCATTCAGTTCAATATTTTTACCATGTCTGACACATCATGATATATTTCTAGGGGCTCGTTCTTCATGCGGTACTTCAACCCTGAAGATGAAGAAGCAATCAAGTTTGCCACCAACACGATCAGCAACTTCTACACGTACTTGCTTTTCCATGACGTGTGCCCGGAATACACTGAGGACCTCCTTCAAGCCCGAGAGACCTGCCAGATTGCGGGTAAAGAGCTCTTCAAGAACTTGAAGCTGGTTGGAAAAGGTGCTGGCCTGTTCAACAAATCATGCTCGATGCTCTTTGGCGGTTGTTACTTTGAGCACGCGGAGGATCAGAAATGGAAGCAGGAGCCCTTTCACGAGGGGGGTTCTTTTGACCAGTGAATTCGCCCAGAAGATTGTCCGCCATGCTATCGCCGCAGCTGCATCCCACAAAGCCGCCTCTTTATTCTTGGCGCTTGTTACTGCAAAGGATGCTTTGACTGCTGAAAAAGTCAACGACATCGATGGCTTTGAGGTTATCTCTGTCAGTGAGCCAGAGCCTACTTGCCGTGGATTTTACCAGCGATTCGCGCCAGATCTCACTCCAGTTGGCATGATCAAGGCTAAATCTTTCCGTGACCCTAACAAGCCACACATTGACCTGAGCCCGAAGGAGCAGTGGGATTGGGAACATGGTAGAGCACCATCCTATGAGTTTGAGTTTCTTGTTGAAATTGATGTCCTGTCTCTGATGTATCCCGGACTGAAGGTCTTGACTGATGTTTGGGAACTCAACTGCGGGATTTTCTACTTTGACGAGATCTACTCCGTCTACCCAACCTTTTACACTGTTATCGCCAATGATATGATGCTGAACTGGAAGCGACCACACGCGGTTACTGCTGAGGATGCTGAAGAAACTCAGGCATCAAAGTCTGGAATGGATGCTGGAATGAAAGATGCTGTTAAGAAGGCTCTGAAGGCTACCGGTCACAAGGTGGATGGCAATCAGTTAAACGAGGCTGAAGAGAATGAAGACGATGATATTGATATCTAGAATGAGTCATTGCTGGATTTGTACTCTCCTCTTCCAAGTTGGTTATTCTTTTTTTTCTTTTTAGTTGGCATCGTCACAGGATGATACTTTTTAGTTGGGAGCCTCACAGGATGATATTTGATACGGGTGTTTCGAACTCGATAACAGTCATAACAGTTATTAGGTCATGAAATTGAAACTCTTTACTACTCTATATGTTCTCATCCACATTTAAGGCTTGATGAGAGGCTTGCCCATTGTTTTGCGGCCCTCCAAATCCTATTCACGAGTCAGCTTCAATGAATTTGATCGATCGGGAAAATGAGAACTCACCTGGTGAACCTGCATAATATCCTCCATAGGGTAAATCTTGTGGATTTTGACCTTGAGCTCGCCAGACTTGAGCAAGCGGAAGAGCTCATTGGTGTAGTATTCAAACTCCTCTCGAGTCTCGATGTAACCAAAGAGAGTGGGACGAGCAATCTTAACACACTTGGGAGACAATTTGCTGGAGAACATTGTGAGCTTTTCAATACACTCATTAGGATTAAAGATGAAACATACGGGAGGGGAATAGGAGGAACTGGTCCACTGGCATTGCCAAACCAGACAATCGTTCCCTTGCGCTTAACAGCTTCCAAGCTACCTTCCCAAGTATCCTTGCCGACAGAGTCATACACCACATCGACACCCCGACCACCAGTAACCTCCTTAACCTTCTTAACCCAGTCTTTGCCTTCCTCGCTGCGGTAATCAATAACCACATCCGCACCGAGGCTCTTAACCAGGGCACACTTCTCCGCACCACCAGCAGTACCGATGACATTAGCTCCAATTGACTTGAGAATCTGAGTCATGAGGAATCCAGCACCACCAGCAGCTGCATGCAGTAGAACCCAATCACCCTTCTGCACGGCATAGGTCTCCTTAGCGAATGAGAGAACAGTCAATCCACTCAAGAAAGAAGCCATAAGATCCTCATCACTGATTCCCTCAGGGATCTTAACCGTCTTGGCCGCTGGAACAGCGGTGTATTCAGCATATCCACCATTAGCCATCCAAGCCACACGGTCTCCAACAGCAAATCCAGTGGTATTAGGGCCAACAGCTGCGACAACACCGGCGCCCTCCCGGCCCAGGATTTCGGGCTTGGGGGAAGCGTACAAGCCTGTGCGGAAGTATGTGTCGATGAAATTGATACCGGAGATGTTGTTGCGCACGAGGAGCTGGCCCTCCTTAGCTGTGGGAACAGGGTACTCGGTCTTGTACTGCAAGACCTCGGGGCCACCGGTCTGCTCGACCACGACAGCCTTCATGGTAGTAGGGATGGACATTGTGCGACGGGGTGTAAACGCGAATGGTCTTTGGGAGATTGGAGGAAATTGATTACGGATCGAGATGAGACGGAAAGTGCTTCGGCGTAAAGTATTAAAAGACATGTGAGAGAAAAGTGGGGGAAAGTAAGAAAAATATCGGAAGAATCCATCACTCCATGCATCAATAGCGTCATTTGTCATCTCCCCGCATTCCCCACCGCGGAATTATTCTATCCATCTTTACATGACATACTATCAGTTGATTTCCATTCAAATGTTGGGCATTTTGACTCTTTTGACAGCTCAGTCATAACGGACTATATGGATCTGTTTTTATTTGTCGACTTTGACCACCTGAACAATTTAGATGTCATATGGTCTCACGAACACCCGGGTAACGGACCGACAAAGTCCAACGAAGCACTCGGGTGGATACACTGACGCCATTCCGTCGGGTTCAAATGTTGCAGAACCGTCGGATCATATCCGTTTGTATCAAATATAGGACTTGGAGTAATATTGGAAATTAGAATCAACTTGAAGTGAGAGATAGGGAGTCGTTTGATAATCTTGTTTCTCATCAACTTGATACTATGAGTATGACTAGTGAATTCTCTTTTCAGTCTGAAATAACCTCTAAAAATGATTATTTCTTATAATGATCGCCTGAATACCACCCGGGCAGGAAATGGGTTTCATTTTTTCAAATGTTTGGGTACATGCTTCATAGTAGCCCTGGACTGGAGTGGCGGATATACAATCTATAGGCCGCCGTAGTCTGTAGATACGCCAAACTGCATTCGGTAACTTCGGCTTTTACCACCACCACCACCACCGAATACCATTGTATACATCCTCATGTGGCTGAATGAGAAGCCGGCACTTCTCTAGAGCCTCACTGACACTTGAAGCGGCCCGCCAAACATTGATCAAACACTGTGGATTTGATTCTACTATTACGCATCAGATGATTCAGATCCGAGTCCCCATCCGGGCCATGCGAGATCGCAAACTTGAACGAATCGTTACGGACGCTGATCTCCAGTCATCTTTGCCGCCGATGAGATTTTCAAACAAAAATTATGATCATGTGCAAAAAGTCGGTCACGATGACTGCCAACACGTTTCCAGGAGAACAGATTGTTTGAACACACGCCCGAGTATACAACTCAGCCACCCCGAACTTGAACAACTCACATACAGTTTACGCCACTCATGATCAAGACCGTCGTTTCCGGGGAACCCCAAGTGATGATGTTGGGTTGATTTTCTAAAGCCCTGCAAACTCATTCTGGTTGGGCCAGTGGCCCACAAAGAGGGGCGCCCTGTATCTGCAGGCATTGATACTTACAGGGTGCAGCTAGTCCGCGGCAAGTTGACGCAACGCTCCGGCCCACAGTTAGCCTCTGATCGCCCATGCAACTCGACCTTTTCAAACACCCACGCGATCATTCATCTATATCCGAGGATTTTGAGTTTTTATATTTGATATTTTTATTTCAAAATAAAAACTCTTTACTCTCTGTTCCTGGATGTTTCGGTATAAGGGATGAAAGATGCGTGAAACACGGGAGTTCCCGTGTCAGAATGTGTGCCCAATGATCGACATTGGTTTTATAGCCACGGCCAAATTGCTTTTTTCGTCATGTCAGAGGCCATGAATCAACCCCTAATAACCCCTGGTTTTATGAAGGAATTAATGGAAATCCCTTGTGGACACACTCCTACAGCCTGATACTATTCCTGGTCATTCGTCTAAATTCTTGCCCAATCATTTCTGCGGCCCTATCAAAAGTCCCTCTCACCCAGGATGATGCCCGATTGAACACTTATATACCCTGGTTAAGCCCGGGGGCTACGCACACACCTGAACATCATTGTGCCTTTGTTTCCCTCGAATTCAAAAAAGAGAAAAATTTTCTCCTCGCCCTGAAGCTATTAGTTGTACAACTTGACTAAAAATCTCTTCTCGCTTTGATTCAAGTTCCTGCCCAACTCATCTTATTATTTAAGATTACTATGATTTCAATTCCTACTCGCCAAATTCCACCACACAACAGCATCGCAGCGGGTTAAATAATACCAAGACCGCAGATCAAAAAATATATGTTTATCATCTTTGCATGACCACATCCAATAACATAACATCAACATGCGCTCTTCTCGAAACGTTCGTGTCCAACGGCCACCGGCGCCATGCGTGGAAGAGGAGCCCGTCTCACTGGCTCGAGAGCTTCATGGTCTCACCAAGGTTGGCGAAAAGCCGGGACTAGAAGGGACCTGTAAACGTGGCACTGTTGATCAGTATCCGATCATCATGGCTCCAGAGTCCCCAGCCCCAGCTTCTGTGGTCTCACCCAGCCTATCGAACCCTCCTGGTTTAGGGAGTGTTTCCTCTGATGATAACAGCTCTGGTCCTCGTACGCCACCTCCGATGCCAGAGCCGGTTATCCGTATTGTTGAACCTATGGAAAGGGACATCCCAGCACCTGCCTCAGTCGCAAGCAGATCTAAAAGCCGTGCGCCTCAACGCTATCAAGTACCAAGTCAAGAGCAAAGTCCTGTTCGCCAACCCCGACCACGATCTCAGTCACGGAGTCGTGATTTTCCAAGGAATGAAGGAAGCCATCATCCTCGACCTTCCCCTGATAAATCGGCTGTTGAAGAAGTTTCTCGCGGTCGTGATTACGATCAACACAGTTTGCATTCGCAAAAGAGTCCATCAACTCGATCCAAAAGCCTAAAATACGATACCTCGACAGTAGAGATAATTCCTAGTCAGCCACGACCTGACTTAGTGACAGGGTATCAATCAGATTCAACTATGGGTCGACACTCATCCCGCCTGGAGCGACCGAAACCCTCGACTATTAGTCCATCTGGGCCAGAGATGCGTCAAGTAGCTCCTTTATCATCACAGCCGAGAACCGCAAAGTCGAGCACTCCCACTCTCGCTGAGAGACTTGAGGAGAAACTTCGATTGAGACAAGAACTTCGCGATCTTAGCTCTGATTCGGAACCAGAACCTTCCAAGCGCAGACGGTCACGGTCAATTAGCAGGAAGAGCATTCATGCATCGCCTGCACAAGAAGTGAGCCCTCCTCATGAGATTATCCATGCCGCTCCAATTCAAAGAGCCCCGAGCCCTCCCCATGAGATTATCCATGCTGCTCCAATTCAACGAGCCCCCGAGCCCCAGAGATATCCTCCGGTATCTCGCGGTCGGGCCAGCACAGTATCTTCTACAACGGCACCACTACGACCAGCATTGCGCTCTTCCTCACGAGCACATGGGCAGTCAAAGTCCATGTCATCGGACGAGGCGCAAGCCGGCTCCAGCAAGCCTCATCGTACGAACTCCGTGAAGTTCCTGGATGATCTGCCACAGAGACACAGCCAAACCCAACTGGTAACCGTTCCAAAGGCGGCTTCCCCACAGCGAACTCCAAGCAACCTAGGTCTCTGTGTGACTCCCTGTCCACGTTCTACACCAGTGAGCGGTTTCCAAGATTGGTACACTCTCAAAGGCCTCACACACTTGAACATCTGCCCATCATGCATGACACAAATCGGCCACTCGCGTTTCCGTGACTACTTTATCCCAAGTCTCCCAAATAACGGCGAAAAGATCCAATGCGCTTTCGGAAACGCTTGGACCCGACTTGCATGGACCCAGATGATCAAAAAGGAGCACCAAAGCCTCGAAATGCTATACCAGATGACTCGTCCTCCGCCAGGAACACCAGAATGCCCCGGTCGTCACAAAGTGAAGAATGTCTGGCACCGCATCATCGAACCAGAAACAAATACCTACCTACCTCGTCTCCATGTCTGCACAAGCTGTGCCCGGAACGTCCGCATCTTAATGCCCTCCCACCGTGACACTTTCCAGCCCGATTCAAGACCCGAAGAAGGATTCTGCGCATTCGTAACAACCAGTCCACGCTTCGTGCAATATATTGATCTCCTCGATAACGCAGCAAACCACGCTAAACCCTCACGTCGTCCCGATTTACGGGAGTTCCTTGGTTACGCACGTCGAAAAATTGTTCTCAGGGACTGTCAACGTGATAAACCTATGAGGAGTGGATGGCACTATATGGCTGATTTACCGGAACTACTTGCCTGTGGTGATTGTTATGATGAAGTCGTTTGGCCACTATCCAGAGAGAAGTATGCTATCGCAGAGGACTTTTATCCTAAGATGCGTTACTTACCTGGTGATGGACCGGATCGGTGTCGCATGGCTAGTTGCTCACTTTATTCGCCGCGTATGCGAGCGAAGTTCCGGGAGGCTGTTATCAATGATGACTTTTCTGGATTGAAGGATGTTTCTTTGAGACGCTTTGAAGCGGAGAGAAGATTTCAGGATCGGAAGGAGGAATTGCTTGATGCGGAGGAGCGTGGATATCGGTGTGATGTCGAGATCAGAAAGGCGATTGAGGAGTGGAGAAGATGGGAGTGACAAGTACTGGGGTTATTTTATTGCGTGTGTTTTTTGTTCAAAAAAAGGGGTCTGGATTGGGATGTGTGTATGGTTCGTTGTATACCATTATTTTGTACAAATTTTGTTTGGTGGTTGTATCTATCTTGCAAGGTCTTGGAATTGGGGGGGTGTTCACTGGCATTTTCGGGGTCAAGGTTGGGTCATAGATCAATATCAATAGGTAGCATAGCATAGCACAGCGTTGGGTTCAATATTAAAGCGTTGTTTCTTGTTCAATTCTCAAGTGTAACTTCCACATATTACTTGTAGTTCTACTGTACAGTAAAATGAAAATTCAGAAGTAAAAAAAGGCATAAGTTCCATTATGTTTATTATCTGTTCAAATTGAAGGTAGGACTACGTAGAGCGTCCCCTCCCATCAGGCAAAACGAGGTCCAAAAATGACCAGAGAAGACAAGAGAAAACCGCCGATGCTTCAAGTTAAAAACGCCAAATATGCAACACCTCAGCTCCAAAATGCGTCGCTCATAATCAGCCTACCAGTCCAACGACTTCGTCAGGCCAACGCTTAGCCCAGATCATAGCCTGTGCCGGGATTGTTCCACGAATAGGCGATAACAACATGATCTTCCCCTTTTCAGCATCAACATTTGCGACGTAGAGGAAGCCCTTAACACTGGCATCACGGACATCGGCGGGGGAGGCTGTAGTTGTGGCATGTGTAATTGCGATAAGAGTGTTTTCAAGGGCATTGGGAACTGGTGGAAGGACCCGTTTCAAGGGGACATTGCTGAAGGAGGATGGATTTGGGTGATTTGTCTGATTCGAGGAGAGGCCAACTATGCCTGGAAGAGGTGTTGCGCGATCTGATTCTTGTTTTGGTTCGGAGTAATCGTCGCCGCTACCACCGGGAAGAAAAGAGTCACCCATGTTAAGGTTAGATGGATCGTAATCATCTTCGTCCTCGTCTTCCGTGGATACAACAGTATAGCTGTATACTGTCAAGGAGGCAAAGTCGAGTTGTACTGTCGAGGGAGAGAGGGTAATAGCGGATGTAGTAGAGAGAGCGGAATTTCCAAAGAAGTATGAGCGGATTTGAGACTCGCGTGTCTTCTTCAAGAATGCGGCATCACGGTCGACACAGCCTCCAGACTTGGATAGCTTCACAACAGAGACACGCTCATCAAATGCAACTGCTGCTGCGCTAGAGCTCGGCTTGTTGTCATATTGCTTTACCATGTCATGGTAGAGACGTTCCGATCCCAATACCACAATGTTGGTGATAGCGAATTCAGTCACAATATGATTGATCAGCTCCAGGCTACCAGGGTTACCAGAGCCGAGTACACCGGGCGTATCCACAATAATGCCGGTCTTTTGAACCTCCTCATCTTTAGCCATGCGCTCGGTGACTTGAAGCGCCAAGCGTGATACAATAGGGCGGTACACGGACCCCTCAGCATCGAGTGGACTGGGCAATGGATAGCTGTACACGAGTGGCAGTTTCACAGGTACAGGACTCGGCCCAGACAAGGGGCTGCTACCCCATCCGTTCTCGACATCAAGCATGGTTCTGAAAGTAGTCGCAGTCAATGTACTAGGAACACTGAGCATACCTTCCGTCGGGTCCAAATTCACGACCAGAGGCTGACCACCAAGCTTTGTGGCATAGGAAGTGAGAATCTTAGCCAAACTCGTCTTGCCTGCATTGCTCGGGCCTAGTAATAGCACTCGGGGTCCATCTTTCCCTGATCCTTGTGATTCCTCGCGAATTGACTCCAGCGCAAAGTGCATATTGGCATATTCCATCATGGGCGTATCAGTGGATGTGTACTCGCTTTGACAGCCACCTGCTCCATGGCCTGCTGCTGAGGTGGATCCATCCACAGTGGTCGTAGTTACCGATTCGCCGGCGCTGACCTCCAGTTCGCATCCATGCCAGGTGTAAATCGCACCTTTCGAGCCAGAGAATGTGTACGTTTGTGATTCGGCGAGTTCTGTGCCGAAGAGCTCGGCTGTCCCGTTGAGGAGCTATATTGTGAGCACCGATTAGTACACTTTCCCCCAATATTATTATGGACGGTATGACTCTCTATCCCATACCTTAACCTTGATGGTGTGACCGAATTCAACCTCGAACCTCCATTCTGCACCGGGGTTCAATGCGATCTGCGACGGCGGGGCGACGGCATGCGGCCTATCCTCAGCGGCCTGAGTCAACTCTAAGCCTGGTAGAGACATTTATTTGCCAAATTGTCAAAGGGAACAATGGAAGCCTGAGATGGCAAAAGACGAGTCTTGAAGAGGTAGCAAGTAGCTTAAGATTAGAGTGAGAGCTTTAGAATATGGAGCTTGCCAAAACGAGCTCTGGTTTGTATCTGCCAGGCCGTGAAGTGGGCGGTGAAGATAGAGTACCGCAAGGCTCGAGCAGCTCGAGTGCCTATTTGGGACTAGTTTTTAGACCGCTTTTAGCACCGCCTTTACGTATCTCGTAATTTCTGTGTACCATGGTAATTCCAATGTTGTATTTCTGGTAATTTACTTTCTGCTTGCCAAAGCTAGTCCCAAATAGGCATGCGAGCTGTGTGAGGCCTTGACGTAAATAACTCTGGAGATCTTGGAGTAGTACGGTCATACTGATTCCTACTCGGGGCTTCGCACCTGGTGAGCACCTTCTTCTTAATACTACTCCAGGGCTCACTCTTTCGACCCTTTCCTTTTCCTTTTCCCCTTCCAAGGTTCTCTTATTCTTTCAAGTTCTCCGAGTCAGATATATACTCTCATACTCTTGTGCTCTTCCAAGGTTATACTAATCTACTGTCAACTTGAACTTGACTACTATGCAGTCTCGCCAGAATACCCCATACTCCCCCACCCCATCTTCCTCTCCTGACGCCGACGATCACTTCCTCAAGAGACGTATAGATTCAAGTTTGTCTCAGTTCAAGATTTGACCAGAGGATTCAACACCTCTATAACCGTCTCCGCACAGGTCAAATCTCTGACCACTACGCATTATTCTTCGGTCTCCCCTTGGGATCTTGTATTGAGATCTCAGAAAGCTTATCAGTCAAGTTGAAGTTTGTGCGCTTAACCCTATTCCATAACCTGGGTGTTCTTGTAGTTCGTATTATACGTTCTACCTCTACCTATCATTACAGTGCGATCTCTGAGATCAGAACATTCATTCGTGTGGATCTTAAAGCATGGGGCATCTTTTGGATTTCATAGAAGAAGAAACCTCTAGTATGCGATTTGAGAATTGGTCGAAGGAACCAGATGAGGCGTTCACTCCCGATGATTTAAAGATCTCGGAGCATCACTTGTCATCGAGGTAGGCATGTCAGAGTCTTCCAACCAGCTCATCATTGATGCCCGTGATTTGCTCCTGAATTCTCCAAATATTCTTGAAGTGATGACAATAGACGTAAATGTGAATGGTCGAGAAATTGTAGTTCATTGCTGGGGTCGAACACCGGCATGCAGAATCACTCGATCGGGACAAAACGCGATCATGGAAATTGAGAGGATTGAGATTTGGGTGGATGATATTCGACAAGTTCATACTACAGGCGATAGTATGGTGATCCCTTGGAGGACACTCGCAAGAAGACCACCGACCCAAGGCGAACATGATATCATTATCACGAAAACCAGAATGGAGCGTTTGATAAGACGTGTTTTTAACATGCCGAGATGACGAATTCATATATCTGATGCCATTAACCATTACTAGCTTTGATTCTGAACAAATTGAATTATCCATTGCTATCGACATCTGGTGCCAAAATAAAAGAAATATATTTATCATAACGACAAGGGGGGGAAGGGCAAGGGGAAGATTTATTTTGCGGGGTTCGTAGGTGCCCGGCTCGTAATAGGAAGAGAATGGCAGGCCATCCATTCATAGAACAGCGATACAGAAAGTTCAAAAGCAAAGCGGCGTGGGGAATCCGAACAAAGATATTCTGAGCCAGCATGTTGATATAAGAGGCTAGAGTGGGAGAATATGGGAGAGAAGTAAATCAGCTGGGCGTTGTTGCCCAGTGGAAAGTCGAAAATCCTTCTCAGAGGAAGTAAGGAATTGAAGCACTAAGTAATGTTAGTAATGATCTTATCAATCAGAGGATTTTTGATACATACGCAAGGGCAAAAGCTGCAGAGACGCCAAAAAGCGCTCGGTTACGAACGCGCTCACGCTTGAGCTTCTCTTCCAAAACCTTGGCCTTCTTCGCCCGCTGGGCGGCTTCGGCCTCGGTCTCTTCGTCATCGTCCTCCTCGGGCTTCCGCTTCTTTGTGATCGTGACAGATGGATCTGCGGGAACGCCATCGGCTGCTTGGGTCTTGATAGCATCCTCCACCATCTCTTTGGCCTTGGCAATCATATCTTCTGTTTCCTTGGCCGAGGGAACCTCGGGCAGAAGGATGGGCATATCGAGGGAGATAGTCGTTTGAGCAACTTCAGGTTCCACAATGGGGGTCTTTTCAATGACAAGTTCAGACGCCGAAGTATCCTTCTGTTTCTTCTCTGCCTTCTCTTCACTCTTGTCTTCCTTTGTCTGCTCCGTCTCCTCTTCGGTCTCCGGAACAACCTTCTTAGGCTTGCGGCCTCTCTTCTTCTCTGGCGAGGCAACAGTCTTCACTTCGGTTTCCTCCACAGTCTCAATAATGTCGTTCACTGACTCAGTTTCCACAGCTGAGGCTGTCACCTCCAGAGCCTTCTGCAGGCTATCATTGGCAGCACTTGTTGAAGGAGTGCTGGGGACTTCTTTTAAGCGGGGCTGCCGAGACTTGCGAGGGGAAACAGACTTCTTGATAGGGGAAGTCTTGCTGGGAGAAACCGAGCGACGGCTACGGCCACGGGCGAGTGAGGGCTCCTCGCCTGGCAACTCGAACTTGGGTGGAGGGGTAATCTGCTTCTTTGCACTGGCGGGGCTCTGTACAATATCGGCAGGATCTAACAAAGCACGGACCCAGTCGTACATCTGATATTCCCTGGACAGCTCGAGAGCTAGGAACTACAATTAGTAAATGTGGAGCATACACTACAGCCAATCCTCTAGACGTACCGAACAGGGGAGAAATCCAAACGTTGCCCGCAACCTCTTCCTGGCTTGTGTGCTCACGGGCCTTCAGGTATTCTCTCTCAGTGCGCTCCTCTTCCACCTTAGCCCATGGGAAGGCAATCTTGAACATGCCAGTTGCGCTGACGAATCCATCCTTGCTCCTTCGCTATAAATCCAGACCGGACATATGATTAGAGTACTGATAGGCTGACCTAGGCGCAAAGAGGGGTCTTACCATCAAGAAGTAAGTCTCAGGATGCTGTTGAGAGTTGTGTGATGGGAAAATCTCGGATCCTTTCAGGTCCTTGGGCAATGGAGCCCGGAGGTGAGCATACTCGAACAGGCCCAGGTTCTCAGGCTTAGTCGCATTAGAGGTTCCAATTTGGGTAGGCTTGACAAAGAGGTTGGTCTTTCCAAGACGACGGCGCGCAAGCAGCTCCTCATCTACACGATAAAAAAAAGGGATGTTAGCGATCAAAGTGAGCAGAAGTTGAATGTAAAACAGAAACAGTCGCGGTAAGCGCGGTCGCGCGACAATACGCCGATACGCGTTTTTATTCTCACGTACAAACAGGAGCAACGTCGGCCAAGATCAACGGGTTGTTCTTTTTTGGTAGAGATCGCGACATGTTGGCGGAGGATTATTGCGATATTAGGAGTTGAAGAGGTTTGCGAACGATATGCGCCCACGGCCACGTAGCAGGCGCGTTCGGAAGAAAGGAAAAAAAGGCTCGGATGATAGAACCGAGATTGAAATAAATATCCTGAACAGGAGAAACCCAAGCGTGTTGGAATAATCCAATAAGCACGCGCGAGTAGAACAAATAGAATATAAATCAAAGGGCCACGAGATAAAGATTAATGAAGTGCGAACAATCAGGGGAGGGAAAGCCCGTCGCGGTGACTCGACTGTTACTGTACTGACCTTTCTTTTTCCGGCCTGGACCGGTATTGATTTCGTATGTGGATGGTAATTGAGTAATTCTATTGGACAGTCCATATAGCTCGTAGTTTCAAGAATACGGTAATATTTCTCAAATGTTGGGACCCAATATACCCCGTGACCCGCGCATTCCTCCCGCTTTTTCCTTCAAATTTCATCTTAAATGTGGTTCAACATGGAGTATTATAGATCGTTCTCACTAGGTCATTTTTTGTCATTTTTCTTGTTTCATCATTCTCTGATATTATCTAGAACTCACTTTCTATTCAACAGCCTGAGGTTATTATACTTCAACACATATCAATTCATCCTTTTGGATTCTTCAAGTTCAATCCTGAAATTTGACCACATGGCAACTCCTCTGTTCTGTCTAGATAGCAATTTGAGATATCTCACATGCCATGAATCGTGGAATATGACATGTCGGGTTATCATGAGTGTTGTATCAACTGCATGAACGCCCACAGAGTCCAGCGACTAGGTGCATGTAATGGATTTTGCCACATCATTGGGACCCCACTTGTCTCTCGTTATCTCACCCCGCGAATAGGTTCCCAAAGAGGTTAAATTGCCAACCAAGACCGGGGTAATGAATGTGCTGACAAGTCTATTTGATGTTCACTGAGACATATTCTCTGGATTTTCTGAATTCAATGACTCTGACCTTCGCTTGTCAGTATTTGTAGAATAGAAGCGCCACTATGAACCTTAGACTGACCCGTGTTCTTGATATTTCCAAATTAGGAAATGTCAAGAATGGGATGCAAACAAGTGCAAACAGCCACGAGACAGAAATAGATCAATACATATGGATTGAACGTGCCCATCATCCCTTGACAATCAGACTCGGAGAGCAAATTCAGGTTCTTGGAAAGGCTGTTAATCCCTTGAATGCCACGTTTCATTGTGCATGCTATGCGGATGAACCTTGAACTTCCTGGACGCCTTGTCGCCTTGTCGCGCATACATCTGACTCGGAGTCCTTACCCAAGATGACACAATCCTTGGACTCGGAATGGCTTGAGATCAATTCATTTTTGATGGATTCTTCCTTTTACTATATATAAACATCCTAAAGTAACGCTAAGTCCTATTCGCACCTCGCAAAGGCTATACGTGGTTGCCGAGCTCCACTACGGGATGTACATACCAGTTGACATCCCATGGTTCCTCCCGAGTCGGCAGTTCCTCTTAGGTCTGTTCAATCCCAAGACTCCATATAGCATCATCACTAACATACTTCAAATTTTGCCTTCAAGTTTCAAAATTCACAATAAATATCTTGAATGACAAGACCCTTTTCGATGGGAAGATACCAAGGGATTTATAGAGAAACTAAAATATGGCATTTCTTCGCCCCAGACCGACAGCTTGGGGGCCGGATGATATGATGTCAAAACTGGATGTACAAAATAGGAAACAAAGAATAACTGGGCAAGCCCATTCTCAGCCCCAGCCCCATCCTTCCCGTATGAGGCCAACCATGCTTCTTATAAGCTCCACTCACTCCCTACCCATGGCAGCCCTTGCTGCCCGGAGGGTTCATCATTTATTCTATAGTCGTGGTTTCAAAAGTCATGTCTACCAGTGAGCCAATGGAACAAATCGCAGCTCTCAAGCAGTCAACAATCTCTCTCCAGCAAAGTGCTGAAGAGTCAGGGCTAACTTGTCACGCAAAGGAGGAGCTTCACCAACTGCTCAGTGCGGTTTGCCTTTCTGAGCGACACTTGGAGGATCTGAAAAGTACGGAACCCGATATACAGAAGAAGTTAAAAGTCTATTTGTCTATTCTGGTGGACTTGGAAAAGATTCAGAGGTCTACAGGGGTAGTGGAAAAAGAGGATCTTATTGAAGATATACGCGCTCTTCTATCTGATGTGACCTTTGGTTTGAACATCATGAATGCCCATATCACAATGTATGTTGTCTGAGTTCCGAGTCCCAGATCCTGTTCTAACACAATATTATACAGATCATCACAAAACAGCTTAAACCTAATGCTCAGAGACTACATCATCGAGATCGCCACCAAAAGACGGGACGGAAACGTTCTCTCAGACGTTTTCAAAGCAGCCTCATCAGTCGAAATGGACAAGGCCTGGAGTAAACTGCAGAATGAGCTTGAGGACTTTGGAATGTCACAAGAACAGTCTGAGGAGGAGCAGGGCTTTATCCTCATGACTCTTCGAAAGGCGGCCCTTGAGACTAAACTCCTTGGAGATGTTGTGAAGCCATGCGAGGAAGAGATCCCCGAAGCACCATCACCAACAACTTTCACCAACTCTTCGAACGCAGATGGAAGCGCCTCGTCAATTTATTCAAGGAGCTCGACTGAGTCTTTTACCGAAAGTGTCGAAAGGGTTTCACTTAAGAATTACCACAGCCCAATTCCCGTGGAGACTGGGGTGAAAGCTAAGCGTCGCCTCACGTTGCAAACATTCGGTCTGAGTGGCTTCTCAGAACCCAGTGAATCCATCCTAGCTCTCGGTGACTTCAACCCCAAACCCAGGAAAATTGCTCCAGTTATTGAGATTTCCGGTTCTCTCCATACATCTGATGGGACAAGGCCGGCCGGGAAATCCAAGCTCAGCAAGTCTATCCAGGAATTCTCAGACCGAAAGAGCAGAGGGCGATCTGCGTCAGAAGGGAATGGGTTCGTGGACCCTTCCACGCCAGTACCACTGGTAGTAACGGAAGTGACAGCAACTACGAAAGGCAAAAAACCCAAACCAGGACTGATGAGTCGGATGAAGTTCAAGATGCTGAACAACAAGGAAGAGTTCTGCACATTGATTCAATCAGGTGACATTGAGCAAGTCCGATCAGTACTCGACAAGGGAGCTAGCGCAAATCCTGAAAACGTTCAGGGGCAGACAGGTCTCATTATAGCTGTTGCAAATAACCATAAGGAGGTCGCCAAACTTCTATTGGAGCGCGGTGCCAGAATCGATGCAGTGGCTGAGGATGGTGATACCGCACTCTCGATGGCTACATCTCTAGGGCATGAAAGTATCACGAAGATGCTCCTACGAAATGGTGCAAATCCCAATGCTGCTTCATTTTACGGGAAAACTGCCCTCTCACAGGCTGCTACGGCCGACAATTTGACTCTGACACATCTACTCTTGGACTATGGCGCGGACCCGAACTCATGCACTTCAACTGGCGAGATACCTCTTGCCTATGCCGCTGCTCATGGTCATTTTGAGATTGCGCAGTTACTTTTGAGCAGAGGATCGCTTGCGGATGAAGTTGGCCTCGGCGGCCACACACCTCTTTTCAGAGCCGTCGAGAACGGTAGCCTTCGCATGGTAGAATTACTACTGGAGAAAGGCGCAGATCCGCATAAAAGAAGCCGCAATAATACTCCACTGAAATTCGCCATTCGAGAGTGCAAACAGGAAATCCTTTCCTTATTCATTCGCCATGGATTTTACAACACAGGCTATCGCAAAAACATGAACAGACGTGCCAGCCGGTCTGGTATAGTCCTGAGCCTAGCCAATGTCTCTGCTGAAATAATGCCAGCTATTGTTTGAACACGGAGGATATTTTAATGATGGGGGAGTTTAAATCGAGCTTTGGAGTGTCTTGGTGGTTGTTTGAGATTTTGAATCTTAATTCCATGTGTATAGGTGGAGCTGGTCTTCACAACGGTGTTGATAGATTATTGAGTCTTTCTGGGGGGATGGAGTCTCGGTCATCCAATTTTATAATTCTCCTACTACTTATCAGGCCTTTCCTCAAACATTCCCTATCATTGTCAGTTCGTAGATGGTGCCAATGGTGCCACTATTCGAATAAGAATCCTTGTTCTCACTCCGAGTCCATAATAGAGCTGCCGTAGCACTAATAGCAAGACCAGTTGACTCGATAAATGATAACATTCTCTAGACATTCATAGTAATGAGCATCCATTTAAAGCACATAACTTCTTATTCCAGATGTCTCCACATGTGTTCCAGGATTCTCAAGCCCTAGAGTCCCACGGGATGTTTCATTTTGTCCCCATATCATAATATTGACTCAACACCCTCCTAATCTACTATACCCCACGTTGCTGTTACATCAACACCAGCAAACTGCAGGAAACCGTCCATTCCATTAAACATAGTCGTATCGAAGATTCTCATGATCCACGAGGATTTTCATTTTCTGCAAGTAAGTGGGGACAATTGACTCAAGTCCCAATCACTCTTTCAAGAATCGGTCTGCCTCGGCGGGGCCTAGATTTGCCTCTAGAGCCTTACTAGTCCGTGTCTCTTCATACAACGGGGATCACTACAAGCCATCTATAGAGTAAAGTGATTGCTATTGTAAATCAATATAGATCAATCATGGCAGCTTTTCTCGGGTATGCACAAATATATGCAGGACAGATCTGTTTACTATCTGTAAGGAACACAAGAAGTCCATGTCAAAATGTCAAAGAGAAATCCGAATAGCCTCGCGCCCACCGCCTTTCCAACCCCACTAAGGAGTCAGGAGACAAAGTGGGATGTGAGCAACTTGGTTTCCCCCCTTTTCTTCTCTTGACCTTTTTTTTTCTCTTCCCTGACTCTCAGACTCGCAAGTTCCTTCCATCTCTTCCCCGTCACTCAATTCCACTTCATCCCCATTCCCCGACCAGATCAGATCTCAACGGTTCCCCGCTTCATCCAATTCAAAATGGCTGACCACGACGATCTCGCCACCACCAAGACCGAGGGCTTCAAGGTCGGTGAGAAGAAGACCATGGACCAGTACAATGAGCTCGGTAAGTGTTTCTCAACCCATACCCTCATATCCCGAGCCTGTTATACCTCATCGTGCTATGTTTACCCCATACTCCCTCCAAAACAATAACAACAATATCCATACTAATACCATCTTCCTCGCCCCACAGATAAGGATGATGAAGCCATGGTCCGCTGGAAGGCCTCTTTGGGCCTCAATGCCGGCGCCCCCATCGCCCAGCCCGGCGATCCTAAGTGTCTCATCAAATCTCTCTCTCTCAAGGCTCAGGGCCGTGAGGATGTGACAATCGACTGCTCCACTCCTGAATCCCTGGCTGCTCTTAAGGACAAGCCTTTCACTATCAAGGAGGGATGCAAGTTCCACATCCAGGTCGTTTTCCAGGTTCACCACGAGGTCTTGAGTGGCCTGAAGTACTTGCAGGTTGTCAAGCGTAAGGGTATCCGTGTCAGCAAGGATCAGGAGATGTTGGGTAGCTATGCACCCAACACTACAGAGAAGCCTCTGTACAGCAAGGAATGTGAGTATACATTGAAATTCGCCCCCACCCAATTCACCTCCACGCACGCACACAAAGTCAGCGGAGACCTGTGAATTCTATGTACAATGGCTAACTTGTGTAACTCAACAGTCAACGAGGAAGAGGCTCCCTCTGGTATGCTCGCCCGTGCTACCTACCATGCTGTTTCCAAGTTCGTCGACGATGATGACCACACCCACCTGCTGTTCGAGTGGTCGTTCATCATCGCCAAAGACTGGTAAATGAATTGAGACTCTCTTGGACTGTTTTCGTTTGAACTTCTTTGAGCGGCCCCATTCTTTATTCCAAGCGTGACGAATTTCCTTTCACATGAAAAGCTGTAGAGATGATCTTGTTTTGGTCCTGGCACTGTGTGGTCTATTGAGCCTCTGATCTTCTCTTCTTGACTTTTTCTTGATTTACTCTCTTGTTCTTTTTATCTTCTAGGAAGGCCCCAGGTGGATCTTTCTGTTTTGCTTCTTAGCTTCTATTTTGTTCGAGTCAATGTCTGCTGATGTGGATATCTTCCCACCTGCACGTAAGATGTGAGATGACCAATTCAATGCTTGAATGTGCAGCTCGTATTTTTTATGCCCACCAACCCCAACGCCTGTATGGTGCAGTAGATACTAGACACAAATAAAAAAAAAAAAAGGAAAGAAACAAAGATGGGAGTCGAACACATTATAAACATCAGGGGTATCACAAAAAATAATCGATCACTGGCTGGGAGTCCCTGTTCTGTTGAGCTTGCTGCTCACTCCTGTGCACATCGTTCTCAGGTGCTGCGTCGAAAATATTAAAGAAGCGCTCCATGTTATCGCTGACCTCCAGCACACTGGCCAAGTTTCCACAGCGATAACAGTAATTCGGAGCACTCCAAACTGTACTGAGACGATCATCGAATAAGATCTGGTATCCCTCGTTGCATAGCTGATGAGCCCGTAGAATGTGGGACATGCTATTGACCTCGAGAAACTTTCTGACAACCTGCGCTCCAAAAGTATACCCCGCTCCACGTGGAGATAAGGAGAATTCATCCCGTTCCGGATCAGGGTCAGACCAGACCAAATCAGCCATAGGCCCTTCGTGGGGGATCTCACGGAACCGGTCAATAATCTTGATCTGGTCCAAGGAGTGGATCGACGGAGAAAGACCACCATGTACACAGAAGATCTCGTCGTTTATTACCACGCTTAGTGTGAGGTAGTCGAACATGTCGGTAAAGTAGTGCCATACATTGGCGTTTCCATACTTGCGGGCACATTCGGTGTAGAAGCCATAGGACTGGGTGACGCCGCGAGATTCGTGGTTACCGCGGATCAGATGGACTCGGTGAGGGTATCGTAACTTGAGGCAGACGAGTAGGGAAATCGTTTCCACGCTGAATAGACCACGATCAACATAGTCGCCTATAAATGCCTAACGTTAGTCAACTTCTTCCTTTTCAGAGGAAATATAATCCCATTTGCTCCCATAAGATCTGATTGAGCCACGTTTGTTTTAGATAGCATTAACTTACCGAGGAAAAGATAGTTTGTGTCTGGGCAGAATCCACCAATGCGGAAGATCTCTAGCAAATCGAAGAATTGTCCATGGATATCTCCCACAACCGTAACAGGTGCCTTGATGTGAACAACATTGCTCTCCTTCATCAACAGCTCTTTCGTCTTGGCGCATACAGCTTCTATTACCGGTTCGGCGAGGAGTTCTTTTCGATAGAGGCGCTCAATGCACTCATCAAGGTCGATACTGGCTACATGACTGTCAGCTCGCTCCACCGTATGACGCACCCGAGGCTTAAAGACAGTGTCCTAGGCTAGGATCGAGTAGAACTAACTTGGAAGGCCAGGCATTTTGACTGGAATAAATTGTGTATGTGGGAAGGAGCGGATGACCCCTGGCGCAAAGGGGCACAGAAATTGAGCAGATTGTTGCTGGTGTTCGCTAGACCGAACTCGGGACTGAAGGGAGTGCGGGAACGCGGGGAGTAATGTTCACGGTGGAGAAAGATGTCTTCACAGAGACAATAAATATTGAGGTCAAATGAGGTCAAATTATGAGTGAAAGACAAGAGGCAAATGGTGCACTGAAGGCATCATGACAAGATAAATCGGCACTGCATTGATAATGCTTCCAAGGTTCAAAGTTGAACCAGATCCCGGCCTTTTCTAACCCGGGAAACCACCGTGGGGATGGACGCCTTGATGCACACCGCTTTTACCACGTGTGTACCTGGCACGTGACACATCTCCAATTATAGGCGGTGAGTCGGAGCGGGGAAATGATTTTCCTTTATGCATAGTATACACTCCGGGAGTATAAGTTGCAACTGGGCAGCGGTGTTTGAATTGGAAAGAGAGAAGGCGGTCACCTGCTCACGGTAGTAAAGTGAAACTTGAACATTGAAGGGCCATGTGTTGGTACTATATAGTAGTAATCCTTTATCTACATTCTAATTAAAGAACTTCTAGCTTGAGGAAATGACAGTGTCCAGTTAAGCTTGAGTTACTCAATCAAGTAGTGTTTCCAGTTTCAGTTCTAAAGTTCAAATTCTATTTGACAGATCCAATCAGATTGAGGGAATATACACGGGCTTTGGAGCTTGACTAATGAAGTAACTGCCGCGCCTCTGTATGAACTGCTTCACTCTCAGAATCAGTTTCATCCTCTTCGCTTTCTTCTTCAGAACCCTCCTCAGACTCCTCTTCAGAGCCTTCTTCCTCAGAGTCAGTTTCCTCCTCTGAATCAGTCTCCTCTTCTTCAGTTTCAGACTCTGTCTCCTCCTCTTCTTCCTCAAGCCACTGATCCAAAGTTTTCTTACCACCACCAGGTGCAACTGGACCATTATGGCGTCGCGGAGGTACAGCAGCCTGGTGTTCACGGAGGGCCTTATCCAACTTCTCTCCAGCAGTCATTGAACTTTGAGTGATTGTACTCTCCGGCTTGACGTCCTCGGTACGAAGACTAGGGTTAGGCTCTTGACCCGCCTCTACCCACTCTGGCAGTTTAGTATAACCCCGAAGACCATGGAAGCCAGCTTCCGGGCCTACAATCAGAGTCGCAGTTCCAATGAGAAGATCTTTGCGAGTTTCAGATGGACTAGGAGCATGCGGAACAGGCTTAGGAGCCAAGAGCAACAGGTTGGCGAGTTGAGTTGAAGATGGGGTGGCGAGAAGTGACTTGTAAAGACGAGCACGATCACGAAGATCGTATGAAGTGTCGTAACGTGCGAGAAGAAGGATGTAACGCCAAAGTAGAGTAATTCGGTCCTCTCCCTTGGTACCAAGTTCCTCTGTAGCTGCATCATTTTCAGTGGCATGATCTGCGTCCTGCTGATCTTCGGCTTGGTCGTCTGTCCATTCGTTATGAATGTTCTGTTCGGAGTTGACGGGTGGTTCGGGTAAAGCTGCAATGTTGAGATCTTCAACAGATTCCTGCGTCTGATTCTGCAATAGATGTTGGAGGTATACTTTAGCACCTAGTAACACAATTTGTTGCTTGACAACTTCAGGCTCATCGGCAAAGCCCTTGATCAAGATACGGAGAACGTCCGGGGCAATATTGTTACCCGGATCCATAGCTGCAAACTCTCCTACCAACCAAATGATTGTGGCTCTTGCGTCAGCATTGGTTGTTGTTCCAAGGTATGTAACGAGTTGAATAACAGTTTGCTTGTGAGCGGGTGGATCCTGTTGAATCAAATGTCGAATGACAGTCAGAGACTCAGAAACAAGATTTCCATCAAGACTGGAAACCTGTCCAAGTAAAATGCGTAGACAGATTTCTGCTGTAGCAGCATCGCCTTGTGCGCATCGTCCAATTGCTCGTACACTTTCTCGAACCAATTCAGGGTCTGCGCCCTTGGAGAAACTCTCCAACTCGCTAATGATAACACCTTTCCAGTGTTGTCCGCAATGAGGAAATACGATTGTAAGAATCTCAAGCTTCAAGCGCCAGATATGCGGAGGATCATTTGCATGAACGAGAAAACGCGCAATATATCGTGTGAACGGTTTCGGGTCCCTCAATGCGACGACAACAATATTATACAGTGCAATCAGCTGCATATCCTGGGGGCTCCGAAGAAGTGCGACTAGAGGTCCCACGGCTGCAGTAAGATACTCAGTGGGTGCTAGATAAACAAAGCATCGAACGACGCTGACAATGACAGCCGAGTTCCTGCTTTGCAGCAAGAGCTTGCAAGCCCGAAGAAGCAACTCCAGATCAGGGTCAACTAGTGGAACTTCATACTCTTCTCCATCATTCTGGGAGTTAGATTCATCTTGGCCTTCATCATCATCGTAGAACGCTTTGGTCACCGCCCGCTTGACCTTTTGCACCCGATGCGGAAAGCACTTGCGTGCATAGATCGTCAAGAGACGCAAGGTGGATAGTTGACTCCATTCGTCCATGTCCACAAGCTTCTTAACCAAACTGCGATAGTGTTTATGAACCAAGTCAATCTGCTCTGGGCAAACCTCCAAAAATGCAGCAACGGCAGGGCCGACAACAAAGTACTGAGCGTCTCCAAGCAGAGTCTCAATGTATCCAATCAGCTGGGGTAGCGTGCTTGGGTCTAGACGATAGCACTTGGGGATAGCCAAGGCGGCTGCTTTCCGCACATGTGGGCTCATATCGCCGCATCCGCGCTTGATAGCCAGCGATACGATCTGACTGATAACCGGCACTCTGATGCCTGACATTGTTCGTAGAGCCATTGCTCGCACCTGTGGGTTTTGCTCTGTCAGGGACTTCTGAATCGCGTTGATGGATAACAGGGCCAGATCTGGTTCTGCCTCTGCATGATGAACCAGGTAAATGTAAACCAGCTTCTTAACTTCGAGATTGGCGCTAGCGGCGTTCTTTACCACGGCAGAGAAGAAGGGATGGGAAGGTTCGGATCTATACATCAACTGAAAATAATGATAAATAGAATGATCGAGTTAGCCACTGGGTCAACTTGTTCAGGCCGGGCAATATGATGCCATCATACCGAGATAACCTTCCGCATGCCGTCCAAGACCTCTCGCTCATGGCGACTATCCAGGAGCTTTTTAATTTGAGCGACATTATATGTACGGGAAGATGAATCTGTTCTCGCGATTCTGTTACTCGCGGCGGATTGGGCAGCCTCCAGGGTGAGCTCTCGAGCTATGCGCACATTGGTCCCGTGGTCAGTACCATTCGAACCAGAAAAGCGCCGGGATCATGAGGGAAATAGTACTTACCTGTTTCCAGCATCGAGGATATTCTGGAGATTGTCTCCATCTTCAAACCAGCCTCTGAGGTGCCCTATCTCAGATGTGCAGGAATTGGCTGGGAGTGTTAAGGGTGGGGGAAGGAAAGGCGGAGGAGGAGCATGACCTCCGCGGGAGAGTTGGTACGCGGTTATCTCAGCTTCTCCAATATCCAGCTATGTACTATGACTCCACCTCATCAAACTCCCGAATCCCAGTAAACATGGAATTTTCACGAAGCATGTGGAATTAAAACATGCCGCTACTACGTTAGATGAAATACCTAGTGCGGTGGCCTTCGAAAAACAACTGATAACACGTCATGGGCCCGACCAGAACAGTGGTTTCCTGTCATTTGGTAACCGATCTGATACAACAATTGCTTGACACCGGTGCTTACACCAATTTGGTTGTCTGTGGTACTCGATCTGAGTTTCTAGTCCAATTATCTGCGGCTATTCACTCACAGGAACCCATTCCGAAGGCTCCATCGCGCCATGATCTACTCACCAAAACCATTGGTCTTCTTGCACAGTCAAGCAAGATTCGGCTTACATTTTGCCCATCTTTGGAAAGTCTCAGAGCTCATCTGGCCACGCAATCCTCCGATCATGATGCAATTGGAGAAACGAAAGGTGGAAGTCGACTCTCGTTGCTTGCAATTTTAGATGCTGTGGCCTTACATGGTACAACTATGGAATTCGCAGCACAAGGACTCTCGCGAACATTTGCCGCTGCTGTTGAAACAGCCAGTCGAGCAAACGTGGATCTCCTACTTTGCGAATGCGACAATGCTATGAACCCTTCTAGTGCCGACTGGGGAGGAAGATTGTGGGATACGCAAGTTCCTTTATTGAATGGATCACTACGGATTCGCAGCGAAGAAGGCAATTGGGGTGGACGTGGTGTCTCTATTAAACAGGTTGCTCAACGCTGGTTTATGTTTCAAGCTGATCAAGAGACGGCTTGTTAGAGAGATTGTGGACATTGATGACAGTGAAAAATACAATCAAACGGTCCGCGATATGATGAACTCCATGAAATGAATCTGTACCCGGGTATCCTAGAGCCGCCCGCTGAACTCCTGAATCCACATAAAAGCAATAAAATGACAAAGCTCACAGAGACTTATCCATCTCTGTGATGTAAAGCTTGATATGGGACTCCAGCTTGAGATACTGATCGTGGGCTGATTGAATCTCACTCTCAATATTTTCTTTAAGATCAACCATCTACATTTGATTAGCATGGTTCCATAGACCACTCAAGTTTCTTGGAAACATACCTTTTTCTCAGTCTGTTCAATTCGAATCCGCCTTCGCTCCATATCACTTTGCTTTTCCGCACGCTCTTCGCGAAGTTGTCTCTGAACATTTCGAAGCTCCTCCATTCTGGACTGCGCAGCCTCTGCTTTCTCTTGGGCATTCTTGCGAAGTTGATCGATTCGTTCATTCCATCGCGCCAGTTGTCGTTGTAGTAGCTTTTCTGTTTGCTCAACCTCTCGCACGCTGGCACCTCTGTCCGAAATGGCCTCCTTGTTCCGGGCGGCACGAGATTCCTCCTCGTCTTCTTTTTGTAGCTCAGTAGAGATATCTTCCAGAAGCTTGACACATCCTTGGACATCGTTAGAAACAACAGTAAAGGTATCCGAAGAAGTCTGCAATGCTCGGGCCCGCTTCTCCATCCCATCGATCTGAGCTTTCTCGCGCATAAGACTTTCCGCCAGCTCGGTCAATGATGACTGCAAGGTGGCCGGAGACTCGAGAACATAAGGTCGCAGTTTTTCCGCCTCCTGTCGGCTTCGAACGGTCCTCTCCGTCTTTTCTTCCAGCTGTTGTTGTCTTCGCGCTCGGTCATTTTTCACACGGTCAAGGGTCTCCGCCACTCGTGACTGCTCACGTCCCAGTTCCAAGAGCCGCGCTTTCAGTTCGTCATTCCGCGCCACTTTTTCGCGTACCTGCACTTCATTTATCTGTTGTTCTCGTCGCATCTCAGCCAGGCGGTGTTCCATCTCTTGGTTCTCTGCGAATAGCTCATCGATGCGCGTTTTGGTTTTCTCGGTTTTATTGAAGTGTTCGTCTATTACGGGGGTTTGGGATTCGCGGAATCGAACAAAATTGATCAGATAAGAGAAAATCTTCACCAGTCGATCGTGGGTCGGTTTTGTAAGATCGGTAAAGGTGAAATCGTTGACACCACACTGTACACAGCATAATTAGTTCTGAGCGCATGGAGTGTATATTAGGAGACGCGATCAGTAGACGCACCTCTGATAGCAGTCTTCGAATGCTTATGAAGAATCCCATGAGGTTGCGAGTGTCATTGGGGACAATATCCGGGTAGTCACCACAGATTTCCTCCGCTGCTGCGTGCATTCCTGGCTCTACAGTCTCGCGGGTGACATTCATCAAAAGCTCCGCGAACCATTCAAAAACCATCTGGATCTGTTGCGGGTTTGGCTTTGCGAGGTCTGCCGTATTAAAAGGAATTCCGATATCGTTGATGCATCCCGCGATCTCTTTGTCGGGCTGGGACAACAGTTAGTAGGGTTTCTCGTGGCATCGTCATTATCTCTGTCAATTCCAATGGGCAACTAACCAGGCGCATAAGTGCGTCATTGTCGTCTTCCTTCTTGCGCCCTCGATTATGCTGTTGCTGGGTGCCAGCCATGCTCATGCGGTTATTGTATGACATTGTGGTCGCGCACTTATCGCCAGTAGCCTTCTTTATCTAGCGACCAGCTCGAGAAAAACAAAACTGCAACGAGTTACCTAGGCAGTGTAGGTGGTAAGTTGTTATGGCTCGACCGGATTGTTTACATTGAAGCCCGCACGATAACCCACATTGGGTTTAGCGCGCCGCTGGAGGGGCAGCGAAGAACAAACAGGACAAACATGAGCACAAAGAAATCATGACTCTTCCAGCTTCAGTACATTCGTCCTCGGCTCTACAAAAGAAAGAAACCAGAATCATACACTATGGCGACGACCTCTGAGAGCACGGCGACAGCCGGTGCAAAGCCATTTGAGTAAGCACGACAGCTATAGTACTCGATCAAACCCAGAACTAATCCTTAGCGCAGTATTGTCGCAACATACAATGAGCTCCTGCGCTCCGATCCCGATCTTACCATGCCCATTGCCGCCATTGAAGCTTTGGTCCTTCTTCTCACACATGAACCCTCATCCACAATCTCCGAGACCCTTGATCTTCTCGCAAAGTCAACCGCCCACCTGAAAAAAGCCATCCCTAACCCAATCGGTCTCTCCGCCGGAACGGATCTCTTCCAACGATACCTGATCACCACATTACAACGACCGGGCCAGCTGGGTCCCGCTGGAGATTTCAAGGCTATCCGAACACATTTGTTATCAAACGGTCGACTGTTTATTCGCCGTGCTAAGGAGAGTCGAGAGAAGATCGCCGCCTTTGGCCGTGGATTCATCCGTGATGGTTGCACAGTACTTACAAATGGTGGATCACGAGCTGTAGCATCGCTACTACAAAAAGCTGCTGATGAGGAGGGAGGTCCTTCGGCTGTCCGTTTCAATGTCATTTACGTTTTGTCATCGATCAGCAAGGATATCGAGGGTCCCTCTGGGGAACCTGAGGGTATGGAGACCGTGCGCGCTTTGAGAGCGAAGGGTGTGCCTGTTTCGACGATCCCCGAGTCGGCAGTCGCATATGCACTTGGAAAGGCTGATATGGTTATTGTGGGAGCTGAGGGTGTCGTAGAGAACGGAGGTATCGTGTCTCGCATGGGCACTTACCAGATTGGTATTCTTGCCAAGGCTATTGGAAAGCCTTTCTACGTCGTCGCTGAGAGCCACAAGTTCGTTCGTCTCTACCCTCTGGGTCAGTATGACCTTCCTATTGAGCAGCGTGTTGTCGAGTTCAAGACCGAGGAGGATATTGCGCAACAAAGCGCACAGCAAAAATCGGTCCAGTCTGATGCGGACCGCCCGGTGGAGTTGCCGTTGGAAGACTCAGTTGATTTCACTCCGCCCCATCTTATTTCAGCCCTGATCACTGACAGTGGTGTTTTGACGCCAAGTGCTGTTAGTGAGGAGCTGATTAAGATCTGGTTTTAGATATGCTGAGTTGGAGGGCGGAGGTACTGTACTGAGATACCTCTACACTCTAGATCTGACTTCAATACTTTACGAATGAGACGATAGGTTCAGTGATAACTGCTCTGTGATCTGGTGCCTCTTCTTCCTACTGGCCAGTTTCTTGGCCAAGGGGAGTTCATGGGAGGATTCCAGTTGACAAAATTGGCGCTTGCCATGTCTACGATTATGTCACGCTTACTGTCTCGAAAGGTCATGATGAGCAAAATCAAAGCACTTGAATAGACAAAAATGCAAAAATTTCAAGCAATTCTTTAGGCAAAATGGGACATGGTATCAAATAACAACAGCCGAACAAAATGGTCGTGATCATCAGTCATTATGAGCATTTCAATGTAGTTGAACCAGCCAACACAGACATCCACATGTCTGAACGATGTAGGATCCAATTTTGAAATGTTCGTGCATCTTCAAAGTTTCTCATAAGCGTTTCGTGAAGCCAGCTTCAAGTTGTGTTGGGTGGCGTAGATAAATCCTGGCATATATAAAGTGCAAGTATGTAAGTCCGGTCGAAGGCTCGAATGCTTAACTTGGACACTCAAGGTCTCGCTTAGAACCCAATATTTGGGACTTCTGAATCCATATTTCCAACCATCGATGCGTAGTTGCGGTTTGACATCTGCAATAGGTATCTGTAGTTGAGGGCATAATCATACTTCAAGCTCAACATTTTGCTTTGTCGTCTTTTTCATGCTATGTTTTACATTACCATCATGTCCATTACACGAACATTGATTTCCTAGCATGTATACCTCGAAATTGAACTTACAAATGTACCTAGGCAAACGAATGTGGTACTCGAAATGGAACATCTGGAAGATACAAGCAATGCTCCAGAGTGTGGAACATAAGCCATCACGTCGTTATCCGGTTTGATAGTAAGGGCATTTGTGTTTGCGTCGTAGCTAGGGCATAGAGGAGCAAGTATCCGACGGCTACAAAGATCAAAAGTGGTCCCATGGCTTAATCCTCTCCAAAAGTCGGTGTACCCAGTGTGGATGTAGACGAGGACTAGCGGGACAATGTTACAAAGAGACTCGGAGGCCGGAGGACAGCACTCGGGAATAAATGGAATCAGAAGTATCAAGATGCTGGGGATTCCCAGTCTGAGATATCTTTTAAAGAGTAAGATAATTTCAGCTTCTTTGTAGAAGATGTGAAGGAGAAGAGAATCGAGGCTTAGAAACGAGGGATTTCTCATCCTGCTTGTGACGTCCATCTAGCATAAAAAGGATTTCCAACCCAACCAGACCGAAGACTCAAGACACAGGGCTGAATTCATCTCCGAATTATTCCATCCAATACGAATCGATAATGATTCAGTCATCCGGCCATTAAAAACGCATACCGAGTGCAATAAGTGCAGCAATGCGGGGTTCCCACCGTCACATCGATCAGGTAAAGAATTCTCCCAGACCGTCTTTTGACCCAAGAGTTTTCTTTTCCTCGTTGCGCCTCTGAACCTTGAAAATGAAGTTTCCTCTTTCTATTGAACTCTTTTGTGGATCAGATGATCGCTGTAAGAAAATGCTTGGCTTTAAAGAAGGTGCACATGTGGGGGGGACTTTGGTGCCGTCAATCAGGGTCTAGGGCTTCGTTTAAATGAGACATGCAGGGATCTGGGGTGTCGGCATGAGATCGTATTCTGAGGTTTTCTATATTATTGTACATGCAGATAAGTGGTAACATTTGAAAATTCTGAGTAGTACTCGTACTTGATCGGTATCCTTCCGATGTGTAGCCTCAACCTGCTCTCTCAAACGTTATTTAGATGAAAAGTGACCTTCAATATGGAGATAACCTCGCCACTGGCAGTACAGGCAGTACAGTTAGCATTTCAACCTTCGGAGGTTAGAATTATTGTATAGCCTCAAATCTTAGTACAGTCGTGGAATGATATGACCTGTGGAGTAGTATATGGCTCCGTAAGATCCCATGCATGTACACACATGGCTTCGCGGATCTCGGGGACTGCACGGATCGGATTCTACTACTCCACAAGTATAGACATCCGTTAAGTATAGAGAGATCCAAGATGAGGTAAAAAACAGAACTGTACTCTCAACTGTCAATGTTAGTGCAACGAGATGATCTTATATCATTACTCTATTCAAAGTCTTGCAAGATTATAACCTGGAACCCTCCGGTAAAGCTCGCACATGTTTCTTGGCCATGTCCTCAGAATAAACTCCATCCCACTAAAATAGATATAGGAACTTCAAGCCAGGATGACCCTTCCCCAGCCTCCCCAAACCACCTCCAGATGACAGTTCCCAACTCGAACCAGATAAACCAGTGTATACCCTCGGATCCAACCACCTGAACATGGCCCCACCATTTCAACCCCGCTCACCCGTTCCTGATCCTGAATCAAGTCGAACCTCATCGATCGAACATTCGTTCAAGTTCATCATCCCAGGAGTTTCTGATTCTATATTAGTGGCTGGATAAAAGAATCCGTCTTCCCTTGGCACATGTGCAAACCACCCCAAAACAAACAATTTCCAAGATTCAAGTACTGAAATCCAGCCACTTGACTTTCATTCGTCGTAAATTATCAAGTGGCAATACATCATAATCACTGGCAAAGGTTCCACACACCCAACAACCAGAACCGAAGAAAGAGCATTGGAAGTTCAAGTTCAAGTTCAAGTTACAACACAGCACCACAAGCCCCAAAAGGCAAATTCTCGTCATCTTTTTGGGCCCCAGTACTTGCATATGGACACCCAATCCAAGAAAATGACCAACCTCTCATCCGAATCCCAGAAGCTCCACCAAGCCCCTCTCGACTCACCGTCTTCACCCCGATGCTCTCCGGATACCCACAGCCACAGTCCTGGATCATGGTCACTGAAGAGACTGCTAAGTGGACACAGTAGCCGCAGATATCGCGTCTTGGAGCGGGAGCCGAATCGGCTGCGAAAACGTGTCAGTTCCTCATAGCCGTCTGCATCCGGACGAATGATCGTGCTGGGTAGTGAGAGGGATTCTTATCGGGACGGTGTGATGGGCTCAAAGGATCAGTCAGAAACTGATGCTGGGAGGAAGTGAGACTTTGAGATTCCATGCTACGCTACTGTTCCTGGTTATTAGTTTCGGTTGATATAGTGATTTGGTCCATGCCAGTGGTTGTTGTTAGTGCCTTTGCACATGGTGAATTCTCTTCTTCGTGTTGGGCGGTTTCTGTCGACTTGTCAAATCAGTTAATTGGGATTTGGCCTATCAGTTTCAATGTTGTTGAGTGGTTTGCATTCTGTTTGGTGTCGGGTTAGATGGTTGGATTAGCATGCCGGGTATTCCCTTGACAGGACATTTTGTCCATGTATGTATCCGAGTTCCTGAGGCTCTGGCCTCTTCAATTTGACGTTTTTCTTTTTCAATTTTAATTAAAAAAAGTTTGCCATCGAATCAGAATAACTACCTGACTGGGTTCCCTGCGTTAATAGTCGTTGTTAAGATTGCTGCGTGGCCCAGGTGGCGTTTTTCCGATGGCGTGAGCACAACGCCACACATACATACAACCCTGTCAAGCACTTCAACGCAAGTCTGAGTCAAGGCAGTAGGATTGAGCCGAATACGAAGCAGAAACATTCAAATTTTGGCACCGGGGATTTGAGGGGTAATTCATAAGCCGAAGATATACAGAGTACACCTACACCGCATGTACATTATTTCCTCTCCCCAGTATTTTGACCTCCACAATGCCCCTCCCTACGTCCCCAATCTGGTAATAATTTGGTGCAAGCGTAATTGCTATATGGGGTATAAGGTCTGAGCATCCGCAGTATCGACGCCCACCGTGCCAACCGAGTCTAAAAGGGTTAAGGCTCGGGGTGATGCGGCACATGAGATTTACGATACAGGTGTCGATGCCCAAGGTGTCTGCAAACACCAAAAACCCCACCCTTCATGGGCGCGGGCACCAGCATACGCCTTGCAGCGTTTAGCTTCTAGGCGCGGGACTGGGCGATTTGGAGTCCAGTAACCGGGGACAACGGGCCTGTACGGAGAGTGAGGCGCACACTTCGCATATGTACGGAGTAGTAAAATGGGAACATCAGGAGTAGGATCAAGACCACCTGACCGCATAGATTTTCATTGATCAAAGATGCTTGTCTCGGCAAAAAAGCGGGGAGAGAACTAGCGAACGTCCAGACTAGTTCAAGTTCGAGTGGAATTCAAATGTTCGACCCGCTTCCGAGGTCCCGACATGCACTCCAGGGCTGAGGCAGAGTCATCTCGATCTTGCTGTGAAACATATTTGACGGGATTGATGTAGCTGCAAGGTTTCTCAGAAGCCATGGAGACGAGAGTGAGTGCATTCGAGTTCTGATCTGTCATATGCAGATGGAGGATGATCAGTTGCGATCTGATCCCTAGATTCGAGATGGATCAATTCTATAATTCCATGAGGATCACGAGTTATCCACTCATAAGTCGCGATCTGATCATCTCGTGTGACACTCAGTGTGTTGAAATCTTAACTGCGTGGAGATCGTTCGATTTACAATCCCTTTTGTCAATGTTTGAGAACATGCCAAGGGGGGGATAGAACCAATGAAGAGAGAGATATCAACAATCCACTCTGTGGAGGACTTAAGTGCACTCAAGCTTAAGGCTTTATGTTTGCCCTTCTCGTACTACTATTCCTATTGTGGAGTGTTGAGTGTACACTATTATTGTTATACATTTTGTAGAGTGCACGTACTCCCCTTTACGCGGTACGGACAACCGGTGAGTTAGTCGCTAGACTCGCTACTATATAACCTCGGCAATATTGGGATCGAAAGCACCGATTCCCCATTTGGCTCCTTCGAGTTGAATCCTCATGTCACCCTGAATTTAGGCCATTGCCATTTCCGGAGAACGTCCGTTCATACCTAATAACGAACTGGGTTCGGGTAATCTACAAAGTGTTCGATGACAGCATCATGTTCTGTGCACGGCTCACCTCGCAGGCAAAGCAAGTACAATCATCAAAGCCAGTGCTAAATTGGAGTATTTTCGCTGATCGCATATCCACTTTGCGGGCAAATATTCTCCTAGGCGTCGTCCCTGCAGCATCCGAGTGCAGATATGCAGAAACACCCAAAAACAATCAAAAAAATACACGACGCATAGGCCAAAAAAGCAACGTAGACCAGTTCCGAGAGGGGAATAGAGCCATGGGTAATAAATCAATCCGCCCTAATGGGGGCCAGTCAGATAGTGTATTGCGTAAGATCGACTCCATTCCCGCGTGTCAAGAGCACCAGGACCGAGGACTTCTGGCCGGGATGGGCTCCACCGGGCGCCCAACGGCCGCTCCATGGCACGCGCGCAGAGCACGAGATCCGGAGATCCTGCAAAATCAGGAAATTTAATGCGCTTTCTTTTCTTTTTTTCTTTAAATGTTCCTTGGGGAGAGGGATTTTTTTCTGGTTGGGTTGATCATGAAGTGTAAGATCAAAAATTCATCCAAGTCATTCTCAGAGATCCGAGGACGAACACCTAACGGGGCCAATGCAAGGTGGATCGGGTTGTTAATATGTTTTTTTTTTCTGCTGAGGAGATTCTGGAGTCATTTGTTGCAGAGTGGCTCCACTTTCTGGATACTTCCAATTTCCCAATGACGAGGGTAGGATGCCGATCTGACCGCATTATTGGCTTGCTTTTCTCATTATAATGATGTGGATTGTTGTGTGCCACAATCACAGCCGCGACCCGGGGTCCCAGCGTACCACGTCTTTAGATGAATTATCGAGAAAGGTACCAGGTACCATGTGTGACGAGAAGGATTAAGGATTAGGATGTTTAAAGGGATGAGAGTATAGAGTATAGACATATGCATTAAAAACAAAACAAATAGAACCAATAGAACCAATAGAACAAATAGAACAAATAGAACAAATAGAACAAATAGAACAAATAAAACAAACTTGATAATCAAAACAATCATAACCTTGGAAACCAAATACATTAATAGAAAATAGAAAATACCATAAAAATAATTTAAAAAAAAACACAAACATCTCAAACATCAAAGGGGACGATGAGGGTCTGGCCAATTTAATCAAAAATTCGCTTTCTCTTGCTCTAACTCTTGAACTCTTGACTCTTTTACTCTTTACTCTTACTTCTCTTGCTTTCACTCTCTTTTCCCTTTGGTTCATCCCTGTTAACTCGTGGTTTTAACGCCACTCAGGTCACAATTACTCTCTAAGCTCCCCCCCCTATTTGCCCCAATCCTTCCCATCCAGTCCTTTTTTTCGCCTTCGAGGTTTCTAATTTTGAACTCGTTCCTTTTTCTACCCTCGAACCAACCAAAAATCTCTCCACTTTCATGACGACGGTGCTATCCCCGTGATCTTGAATTTTCTTTTTTTTTTTGCTTTTTTTTGTCTTTTCTTTATTTTTTATCCTTTTCGTTGGCCCCAAGTCCCACTAAAAAACAACTCCATGAGTTCAGCTTGGCCCATACTTCTTTGCGACCACTAACTCGTTTCGGGACGTATCCCGCATTCGACCGGGCGCCATGGCGATATGGCCATTTGGCCGGGCAATAAGAACAAGCGGCATACCATTCAAGTCAGTCCTGATGAAGCTGCTGCTCTACAAACTTCCCTCGAACCTACACCCGAACCGACGTTGGGCCGCAAGCCTTCCCGCCGAGCTTCCAAACGTCAACAAAACAGCCGTTTATCACGAAACGGGGATGCGACAGACAGTACAGGTCCCGCTCGATCTTCATCTCAGCGACAGAGACCCATGTCCTTGATCGACCATCGATCCTCGCAAATGTCTTCGGACCGCGCCGACGATGGTCCTCCTCGACCTCTATCAAGAACCGAATCCTTAATGAGGTCAAAGAATCAAAATGGACCCAACAAATTGCGCCGCAGACTCAGCAAGCGCAAAGCGCACGAGATCATGCGTGAACGTGAGATCCGCATGCTTTGCTCGACGCCGATCGACATTCCGCGTCCGACAGGTCACCCGGACTACAATATGATGGATCACCGGCGCCGCAAGCCGAACGGCCGACGCATCGAACGATATCAGTCGGACGTCAGTCTGTCCTTTCGAGATTCGGCAGCCTCATCCTTCTCAGATTTGACCGACCCTTACACCTTCAAAGTGAATGCCTTTGCTGCTTTGACTCCGCGACCCGTGGTTCGCTACGTTGAAGCCCCTCGGGCTCCCACGGCTCGAAGTAACCAACCTGTCTCGGGACGATCAGATAAGGACCGCCTACACGCCCTACCTACATCGGAGGAGGATCTCTATCATTCGAAACGACGCATGAACGAACTAGCCGATTCTTTAGATGCAAGTACACTACGCGAGTTGATGGAACGGGATCGTCGTCGTCGAGAAAAGAAGCAGATTGAGGACCAGGAAAAGCTCAGGCGGAAGTTGCAGGCAAGAGCCGATGCACAGCAAGCTGAGGAGGAGCGGGCAGCGCAAGAGGCTGTAGCAGCAGCTCGTGAGAGTGCCGCGGCAGAAGCAGCAGCAGTAGAACATGAAGAACTGGAGCCTACAGTCGAGGACAACATGGAGGATGTGATCATGGAGGAGGAAGAGCGAGAAGAACAAGAAGAACAAGAAGAACCAAAGGAAAGTGACGCCCTAGGTACTGAGTCTCTAGATGAAAGTGCCCGAGTCGTTGGCAACATCGATGATTCCTCCATTCGTGATTCCATTCGTGATGTACCCAAATTAGCCACCCGTCCGAGCTTCGCACCTTCGCATGACATGGGCATGTCCCGTACTACTCTGTCACCATCTCACTCATCCGTCCGACATGGATTCAACAGTCCCAGTCACTCCCAAACATTTGGTATGGGCTCAAACTCTGACCTTTCCGAGCGTCGCCTGTCTGACGCCAGTGGCCGTCGTGGAAATGCCATCTCATCCTTGTTCCGTCGTGGCTCTTCTCGCCTCAAGCGTCGCTACCGTGAAAGATTCCAAGAGTCGAGTCCGGAAGTTTCCAACGCCTCGCACGAGTCTTTCTACCGAATTCAAACCCAGTCTTCACCCCCGCCAACATCTTCGATCATTTCCCCACGAACATTCCTTCCCACCGGCACCGTGATGCGGTCGCAATCAAAATTCACCGAACATTTTGGAGATGAGCCCATGTCTCCGCCTGACTCTCGCTTACAGTCCCCCGACATTCCAGAAGAAGTGACCGAGTCTTCTCTCGAAAACAATGAGGGAACTTTCCTGCGTGGCCCGACTCCAAGTGCGAGTGTGGACATTATCAACCCTCGTCGAAGACATCATCAATCCTGGGCCGAAAGTGTAGATGCTGACTCTGAAAACGTGCCTCTTTCGCAATCTCTTGCATCCATTGATTCCGAAGGGTCTTGGATGTCGGGCCAGTTTTTCCGTCGAATGAACCAGCCACCAGGCAGCCCCGTTCGTCCTAATATCAGTTCCATTGGACCTCCAAATTTGGATGGTGCGGCTGACATCGATGAACGAATTTCGATTGATTCTCGTGGTGCTAGCAGCAATGTGATGAGGGAGCCGGAGTTGGATAACGATCTTACTACCTCTGATGCTGGAAAGCCAGCAGAGATGTGGCATAGCGAAGTTGGCCGCCGCCCTGTCGTTGTGAACCCCATTTCCCGCCCCAAGTCAACTCAGGGTGCTCTCCGATGTATTCCCTCCTTGTCGCCCATCTCAGCAGAGGAGGATTACAGCCCTGTCAGCCCTCTGGAGGAGGAAGGAGAAAGTAACTTTCCTCACCGGATTGCTAGTGTTCACGGTGAAATCGACCACGTTTGATGAAAATCTCACCATATTTCCGTCCAATCCTTTCGGTGGAAAAGATATTCTGATATCTCTGAAGCCTGGTCTTCATTCTCACTCAAGAGATTTAACTCCAATTTTCTCTTGAACTTCTGGGTCTTTGACCTGCCCTGGCATATGTTACTACGTACATGGCCATCCATTCGTTAAACTTTTCCTTTGTTTTCTTTTCTTTCATGACCACACCTGATATCAGCAAAATCTGTGGTCCTTTTTTTTTACCAACCATCTATTATCTGTACTATTACGTGATGCATGGTCTCCTCTTTTACCCCTTATCCCATCCCCCGATTCACCTTCCCCCTTCCTCCTGACCTGCTGTATTTGCCATTTTCACCATATTTTTACTTTTTCCCATTGATTAGTTGATACCCCCAGCTCGCCCCATGTTTTCTTGCTAGATGCATAAATTCAATTTGCCTGTTTTAATAATCCAAACACCCTGGCCCTTTTGATGGCCTGTTATTTCTTCTTGCATGAATATACTGATATTTTCAAGAGCCATTTGATTGAACATCTTTCTTTCATCCATGTCTTCGTGTTAATATACCCTTCCAAGATGGCATCTCGGAGCAAATTGCACAAGATGGCCCATATTGAATTTTTGTTTGATCTCTTTATACCCCCAGATACCATTGTGGTCTTGATTTCTTTTTCTGCGGTGAACAAACATCTCGATAGACATTTTTGATACTTAGTACTACCTGAATACTGCAGTGTTTGGTGCCACTACCACCCCCGTTGAATGATGCTGATGTATATAGGTTATGGATTATGACTCACTGCATGATTGAGCGGAAGGATATGATGATTATGATATGATATTCCGTGATCTGGCTTTGATTTTCTGAGTCATTCAAATGTTACATTTCACATAGTACTTGTGTTCTTCTACTTTAAACGTTGATGTTACTACATATAGATGTCGGCATTTGGCATGACTGGAACTTACGAGAAGATACTAGGAACAACAACCCTAATACATTCAAAGTTCTATGTCAATTATGATTGAATAAACTAGAGCTATTTAGTAATATCTATGGCTTATCATGATTTTTCATCACATCTGATTAATACCAAGGATCCCTTGTCCAGACATCAAATGTATGAGTATCAGATGTCCAGACTGGATCTAATTCGTAAGCAACAATCACGTCATCCTATATTGCCATAACCGACCGCCCAAAGGCTCCCTTTCCTCCTTCCTCCATGACCTTCAATTGGCTACAGTAAACAGCCTTAATTCCAATTCACTTACTATGTCTGCTGTAAGTCACCCCCTGCGCACCACGGAGGCCTGACGTGACCCGGAATCAACCTGGTTCCATATGGAAAGCGCGAGATTTGTGACTAATTATTAAGCTGTCACCAAAAAAACATCCCCTTACCTAATCCTCCGTCCGGAACGTCATGGGCCTATAAAAAATACCCTACGCCCCTCAGTGCCCCTCCTTGAAATTCTAAAAGCTCATTCCCCACGTCTTTCTTCCAGATTAAACCTTCCTTCCGCTTCGCTCGTCTTCCTATTTCTCGAGCTTCCTCCTCGCTGCTTCGTTCGCAAATCTCTACGCGTACTCCCTTCATCGCGCCCTCTCGATCTTTCTCTTCTACTCCTATCCCGCATTTCTCGCGCTCTATCTCCAAAATGGCTGGTGGCAACGTTGTTGAGATTAAGACGTAAGTATAGCGGAGACAATCCTTCAATTGAGAAACGGCAATTGTTATCAACAAAACTAACATGATATTGTAATAGCGTCGCTGAGTGGAAGGCCAACGTCGTTGAGGCCCAGGGTCCGGTTGTTGTCGACTTCCACGCTACCTGGTGTGGTCCTTGCAAGGCCATTGCCCCTGCTATCGAGAAGCTGAGCGAGACCCACGAGAACATCAAGTTCTACAAGGTTGATGTTGACGAGCTCGGTGAGGTCGCCGCTGAGAACGGTATCTCCGCTATGCCTACCTTCCTTTTCTTCAACGGTGGTGAGAAGATTGAGACTGTTCGTGGCGCCAACCCCCCCTGCTATCCAGGCTGCTGTTGCCAAGCTCCTGTAAATGGGCTTAGGAATTGGTGGTTGATTTACCTTTTGCATATTTGGAGGACCTTTATTCAATTTGATCTCCCGGCCTGAGAGCCATCGTTTCTTTTCTTTCTCAAACAAACTTCCTTTTGCTTCTTGAATATCGTAGTTTTTAGACTTAACGTGATGGATATTTCGCAAACGTTTAAATGGATTCGCACTGGATGGTCGAGGTAAGTTGTATGATTCAAAATGCTTATCTTGGATCGCCTCGTTATCTACAAGATCGACTCTGCGACTCGTTCACGCGTGATAATCACTTGCATCATGCATGCAACAAAAAGCAAGTACGGAGGTACCATGCATTAGTGGGGTGATATGGATGGATGTGTAGAATGTATCACAAAATCTCTTCCCCACTCTGAACAGTAGAATGTATCACAAAATCTCTTCCCCACTCTGAACAAACATTGTTGTGCATAGGAAGAGACTGATCGAGTTTTAGCTTTACGAGATATCCACCTCTATGAGTGATGGCAAACATTGAAAGCAAGTTTCAAGTTAACATAGTAGTAATTTGAGCCGACCTTAATTCAGTAACATGGTTGGAGAACTCCGAGTCTGGCTCTGGTTTCCAAGGTTAGTGTTCCCATTTAGGCTTATGTACTCCGTACCTAGATGGATGGATGGATCGTTTCCATATCTCAGCATCATCGTGCATGCTTCTCTACTCCGTAGAAGGGTCTTCATCCGCTGTGATAAGATATAATTCTTTTATTCGTTCCTTTCCGTACTTGTAAATGAGGCGATCTCCCCTCATTGATTCAGGTTGTCCAGCGGCCGCCCTTCCGGTCGTGAACGTGAACTGACTAGGTAGTCAGTTCTTCATAATCTTTCTGTTACGCCACCACAGCTCACCGCAAGGCCACAGATTAGAATGTCGTGGGCAGACAGCTCCAAGTCTTGAGCGCTACCTGGTATATTGTCCTGGGCATCGATGCAATGTGAAGTTCCATACACTACTAACACTACCTAGGTACCCAGTAAGGTGACGTAACAGTTTCGAGCTCTCAAATTCACTCTGCTGCTTCGCCGTCATCATCACACTCGCTCAAAATTGAACAATTCCTCTGAGAATAACACGCCACAAATGACATTCGATAAGCTGCCACCAGAGCTTGTGCTCATGATCTCTCGCTATCTATCTCCAGTGGATATGTCTTGCTTGGCTTTATGCAACCACTGTTTTATGAGTCACTCCTCCAAACTCGATACCCTTCTAGGTAAATCATGGTCTGGCGTTCGAACAGGAATACCCAATGATGATTTGCGAATCGATCTTTTGACCCGACTTGCTCGCAATTTGCCCCGATATTACCTTTGCTTTGCTTGCTTGCGACTTCACCTTTGGCAATATGTCGAATTACCATCATCAAAATTCAAGCTTCGGAGTTGCTTTGAAGCTATTCAAGACAGAAACTCAAGCCTCCTCGCGGGAGCAAACCTTTCCCTCTTTCCTAACTACTCATTTTATCAATTTCATTTCGTCCATCTCCATCTTGCTATGAGACGATATTACTTCGGCCCATCCTTTGGTATCTCTGCAGAGTCGCTAATGTATACCGAAGTCAATCCTCATCATCGACTTCGTCATCCTGGAACATCGAATTTCACTTGTCGGATAGGTTTGAAGTCTATCGAGGCGCGAGTGTGTACCAACCCTCCTGGTCTTGGCCTACGCATAAAAAGCCTTGCAGTCGTGAAAAGGCAAGAGGTACAAAGCATCTTTGATCAAGAAGACACAGTTGGGATTTGCGATCATATTGTAACTCTCTCTTCCAAATCCCCTGAATGCTACAACTTATTACTCAAGAAGTTCTATTCCGATTTCTCCGACGCCATCAAATCATTAATCAAGAGCTACTGCCAACAAGATGAAGCTCAAGACGGTACGAGGCAGCTTTGCAGGCAAGGAAAATGTGACAGAGGTAACACATCCTGGAAGCTAGAATTGCGAGATATCGAAAAGCAGGATGTATGCTTATTTTTGACTCGATGGAAAGATCTAGGGCCAGGGTTGGATCCAGGGGATGAACGGTGGCGAATCGAACAGGCCTCGGCTTATTCCGCGACATTAAAACCCAGTGAACTGGTGGGTGATCCACGTATACGGGTTGAGAGGCCCTCCGATTGCAATTCACCCCAACTCTGTCGCAGGAGGACATGTTTCAACGTAATCTGTCTCTGTTACGAGGACAGCGTTATCGAAAAGTGATGAAACCACGGGCTTGTTGGTATTACCTACAGGGAAAGGAGCCTGAGGTCAATAATTCTCGATGTATTATCTCCTGAATTGCCGTTGATACTTGAAATTTCCAAATTTCCAAATTGATATTGCATCAGTAATGCATTGGGCAATATCAGGGATTACACCTGGACATGCCCAGGTACCTAGATGATATACAAAAGTTCCACGGCCTGGAGGTTGATCCGCTCCTGGTGTTGAGGTCTAGTCGTGACTCGTACCTGCCGTTTTTGATCAGCTTCGCGATGAGTTGAGGCAAGAACGCTGTTGCCCACCATGAACAAATCTTCACCTCTTTTCTTCTTTTCTTTTCTCTTTCTCTCCTTGCGCCCATGTGGATTGCCTGTTCTGTTTGTTTACTACGTTAAAGTTCAAGCTGTTCACTACATCAGACGCCAAAAGTATGGGAAACCAACTCCTGATCTGGAAAGCGGACTCTCTTCTGTCTCTAACGAGGTGGTATCCATGGGAGTTCAACTGAACGGTCTCGAGCGTCGCATTGCGGCTCTTGAGGCGGGGACATCGAACCCGCAACCAGTGAAAACAATGGAGAAGATCAAACCTGGATCGGCTGGAGAAGGTGCGGTGTCTTCGGACTCTTAAGCTCACCTTGTCGACGAAGGGCCTTGTGAATCTACCGCGTTGGAATTGGTTTGACTGCAGTCATTCTACCCGGCGTATGGGGAGGAGCAAGGTTCATTCCACTTGTATAGTATGTAGCCTTCATCATAGAATAAGAATAGTCTTCATCGTGAGGTTTATCTTTGAGGAGGAGGGGTGAAAAGACCACGACCGCCTCTCACTAAACCCCATGTCCTTCATACACCACAGAATATTGACGAGGAGATAAGACCCGACGAAGCTTGAATCAAATGTTACATGTCGATCTTTGATCCGAGTCCTTCCCTTGTTTAGTTTAGCTTCATGTGCGTAGATCATGTACGTTAAAAGTGACATGTCACCTACCCCATTCTTGGGCACTAAAGACTGTCAAGTATTCATGCATGTCGGAGTACTTCTTCGGAACACCGTTAGAGCATACCGAACACAGAACGTATCTAATGATAGCATCTAGTTTCGATCACAAGAATTCATACTCTGCAAGTATCAATGAGGAATATTCAGAGCTCAATCCCGAAGTCCCAGTCCGATCACATGGCGTAAAGCCACATTTCCCTGTTCCTCAGACTATCATAGCAAACTCTGGGCGTGGCTGAAGCTAGGCAAGATCTAGATCCCCAGTTCTTCAGAGCCCTGAAGGGCGCCATGAAATTGTGGATAGACTAGGGCTTCCAGAAATGGCAATTGGAACCTGAATCGAGGAGAGAACTCGGAAAATTCGGTTCATCGTGGAGCCAGCCCACATGTCTTATTGCCATGCGATTGACAGATTCACCGGTAGACCGGGTTGCCTTCCGGAGGACTCGACATTCGACAGATCAATTCTTTGATGGTTGAATTTATACGTGTCTTCGGAGCTTATGTTGAAAAAAAAGAGTTGATGCAGGTTTGTCACGCATGCAGAGAACCTTGGAAAACAGGGCGGAAAAAGGCGACAGGCTGTGGTTCCTCGGCTTCATCCGACCCAAACTCACAAGGCTAAGAAGAGACCTCTGTTTACCCAGAATCACGGAAATTATCTCCTTAACACCATAAACTCAATTAATCAATCTGATTCATCGCTTCTCCCCACTCATCACCATGGATAAGCAAAGACAATCCCCATCTGGAACCATCGGCTGGTCAATGCCGATTAGAGCGATAGATCGATCCGCGATGGACCCTCTAGCTTCCCCTAAACCCTGCCCCACTAATAACATTTACCAATCATGCCTTATGAAATTGATTGATAGTGGATAGGGCCAGTATAATCTCAGCTCAAGCGACAAATTTTTCGCGTCATGCTTACTGAGTCCGACCGAGGACCGAGTGACCCCTGCGGCTCTGACCGCGGAATTCCTTCGGGCAAATTGATTTGGGATTTATGCCTATACGGAGAATTCCTAAGCTGAAAGAGAACACTTGTGCATATTACCCACTTTGCTGAAACTGCCACTGGTGGATTGTATGGATTTTTTTCTTTCTCGAACATGTCAATGTCGCGCTAGGGCTTAACTTTGTGATTGATCGTCGGGTGTGAGTTGTGACTTGCATATGATAGAGAGAAAGAGAAAGAAGAAGAAAAATAGGCTAGAAAACCAGTCCGGCTCAGTTGATTGCATGCAAGTGCGTTGGACTTGGACCATTATCTACCAATCCTGATCTCCCATCCAGCCCCATCTTCCCAACGTGGGTCAAATGTTCAATCCCTCTCCACTGATTACGGCGCAGCTGAGTCGCGTCTTTTTTAAATTGGAGATAATATGTTAATTAATTATTCGGCGGGGCCGACTGCATATTGGGAGTTGATGTAGTATTTTAATTTGTGCGTAGAGAAATCAAAATATTTGAATAATCTGAATATTCAAGTTGTTATTATCAGAGTAAATAGTAAATAGTAAATAGTAAATAGTACCTTGGTAGTAGTAGTAGAATAATCCACATTAAACCAAAATACAATCTCATTATCACACGGCCCCTCGAATTACCACCATTTTTCACGCTAAATATGATCCATCTGGACTATGATTCAAATGTTCGGGGGCCAAAGCTCTGATACGCTCTTTTCAAGCCCCATCGTTCTTTATAATCCGATCTAGATTCCACTCAAACCAATGATATCTCACTGTGACAAATGCATGCATCGCTTGGAAAGTCTTTTACGACAGGGATGAGAGAAACTTAGCTGCCTTTTGTACTTATTCCTTCTGGATTCATTTGATTAATCTGAAACTCTGTTCTGCGCTTGTTATTTTGCCGTTTTTCAATTTCTAATTTTTCTTCTCTCTCTCAAATGCTGTTTTTCCCCGAGTATCCACATCATGGTATCATGCCACGCGAATGGGGGATGGGGAAACACAGATGGAGTCTCGTACTGGCGATGCGCGGCTTTTTGGGGCTGCAGGTGGAGCTAACCTTTTTTCAGATCGATTGCTGGATTGCTGGATCCATTTTCCTCGTCTATGTCAAGTGATTTGTTCTTGGTGTTGGACTGGGATGTGTTGGATTTTAGTATATGAGCGAGGCTTGCTCTAGTACTTAGTTCATCTGCAGTTCGAGTTTATAATTTATTATCACCCCAACACCTTTCCCCTTATATCTTATGTTTATGAACCTCTCTCCTTTCTGATATACATTTTGATCTTTATGACCTCCATGTCTTTATTCACTCTCATGACTCTGTTTTAGTCGGATCCCCTCCATTCCTTAATCCGAATATACGATTACCCCGATCAATGCCCTTGTTTTAATCTCTATTCTCTCTTTTTTTATATACAGAATTGCCCACTATGACGAGTGCAAGCACTCACACGGAGCCTTTGGTTCACGTCTCCTACTTAGGAGGATACATCTTTTTATCCTATGTGATCAGTTCAATGGGATGTGCGACAACATTGGAACTTCTCCACCGGAGAACCTCCAGATTGGGCTTTTACAATTGGTACGATAATTCAGCCTTATCAATTAATTCCAACATTAAGAACTCCACCCGCTTACAACTGCTTCAGGTATCTCCTGCTCACCTCATCCATTACTATGGGCGGCATAGGAATCTGGTGTATGCACTTCATCGGAAACCGCGCCATCGTCCTCGGCAACGGCGAAGCCCATCTCCAAATTCTGTACAACGTCGCCTTCACTGGAACGTCGTTCGTACTCCCCGTCGTTGTGCTCCTCGCCGCATTCTATTCCGTCGGCGTTGAAGAAAAAGCAGGCTATCTTCGCATTATGATAGGTGGATTACTTACTGGGAGCTCCGTCTGTGGTATGCATTACGTGGGACAACTGGGAATCGCGAACTACAAGTGTTCGTATCGTGTTGCCAATGTGGTTGGATCTGCCGTCATCGCGATCTTTTCGAGTACAGCAGCACTGGGCATCTTCTTCCGGTGGAGAGCTACATGGACGGATAGTTGGTGGAGGCGTGGGATTTGCGCTTGCTTTCTTGCAGGTGCTGTATCAGGCATGCATTGGACAGCTGCGGTTGGAACGCGTTATCGAGACCGAGACGAGTCTCAGCATAAAACGGCCCATGTTTCAAGAAGTCAAGTTGTTATCATCTGCTCAGTTTTGGTGAGTATACTCCCATATTGGGACTCGGTAGCATTTTCACGTTTCAACTAACAGTCGCTCTATAGGCGTGCGTCTCTTGTATCATCCTCTCGTGCTGCGCGATTGTCGCGGGTGGGAATCGGAGACGGTCAACGACTCGTGCTCACCAGCTTATCCTCGCCTGCGCTTACTTTGATCCCGCTGGGCGCGTGATGGTTACGCCGCAGGCTCTGCTACCCACCAGGAAGATTGTTGACCACTACATTGGACGGGTATGTTTCAGGTGCCTGTATGGAGGAGTCGAGCAACGTGGTAACTGACTGCTATTTACAGACGTTTCAAGATGATGATCTTACCCGCACCCATCCCACGTTCTTGTGGGCTTTTAGGGCAAGTCGCAATTGGCCTGTCATCAAGGACTTGATTCCCTTTATGCGAAACCGCCTCGAATCCGAACAAGCCGCCATTCAGAAGCATGTATTATCGCGCGGAGTGGTGATGAACAAGGAGACAGAATTGCAGACCGATTTTGATACATTATTCAAGCAGCTGTTCTGCGTATCAGCCCAGGAGCTGTCGAACGATCTCCGAATCCCTCTCAACGAACTCGGAACCCTATATGATGACGTGGTGTCAACTGCTATCCCAGTTTCTCGAATTTCCCGCGCAATGGGTCGCTCATCCCTGCGCACTGGAAAGGGTCAACTGATGTTCAGTGTGCGACAGCTGCAGAAGCACGAGGCGAATCGCTTAGCTTCATTCGGATTCCGATTTGCTACCATCGAACATATCACATCAACTCTCTCACGCCGCATTCACGTCCCCGAGGCTATTCTTAGAGATCATCTCCGGGATATGCGTGACTATGCTACAACAAGCCGCTCTTTCTCCGAGGGCGTACACTTGACCGCATTCGTAATGCGCCCTACAGTCAGCGACCATTTCGAGATTCTCACCACCAAGGGAACCGGCAATCCCCTCCCATCCTTCACCCTCCCCATGCTCCGTTTACAAATCTCGCATCTCGACCTAATCTCTCACATGGAAGGCTGGTCCATGAATACCTGCCTGAAATACCTCGAATCCGACGGTTCCATCCAAAAAGATCGCAGCATCGAAGAATTCCGCCATCAATTAGCGCAGGGTATATCCTCACTATCTAAATCCTTCCCCGAAGACATGCGCGCAGCAGCTACATTCTCCGCTCGTCCTCTCCTCGCCCCATGCAGAACGGGATCTCGTCCTTCCCACGAATCCCAATCACCAATTACAGAATCTCATGTTCCCCAATGTACAATCCTCACCTTCTGCGTCGTCGGCACTCTCGATACCCAAGTCCCCAATCCAGATTTCACATTTACTCCCTTCCGCATCTTCCGCGTTCAACAACAAGTGAACGATAACATCGCCGATAGAGATGGCTTCACCCGCGAACTGAGCCAAGAACTCTTCTGCACAGATGTCCGAAGCGGCTCAACAGCCTCTGAATCAGATCTAATATCATCAACCCGCTCAGCTATCCTTCGAATGTGGCCCTCACGAAAAACTCGTCCTCCATCTCCACAGTCGGGTCATTCTCAAGAGAGTTTCTTCGATCCGGGGATGGTGGTAGCGTTGGGTGATATTACAGTTCAAAAGGAGGTGCGCGTGGATGTTACGCGGTTGAATGATAATGCAGCGAAGAATCCTATGGTTGCTCATGATGCTGTTGTTGCGGGTGGAGATAATGCTTTAGCGCCGACGACTTATGTGGATGAATTATATAGTCTTTGTTATGCGCCTGGTATTCGATTAAGGCCTGATTCCTCGTTTCATGCGAGGATGTCGTCTTTTAAGTCTGAGAAGTCATGAGTATATTTGTTTTGGCGAGGCTTTCTGTTTATTTTCCAAGTTTTTCTTTCTGTTGGCGTTGGAGGTAAAAGTAGTCCCAGGGGACTTCAAGTTCAAGTTGCCAGTGGTATGGAAGCGCATATGTTATTTTATAGCTGGTTGAAAGCGCTAGTGTATATAATAAAGACTCTATCCTTGAAATGATCAAAAACATTCAAATGAAACTGAAGATGCCTAGTACATGTACGTTGTGTTTTTCATGTCCTTGATTGGAAGAATTCATGCTCAGGTGGATGTTTTGTATTTCGCCTCCTGAGCTTGAGGTCTGTGGCTGGACAAAGAGATAGGTATCATTATCTCAGCTTGTATTCTCAAGGAAGAGTTCAAGTTCCTGATCCGGTTTTCCAATGCACGTATGATTGATATCAAACCTCCAGGGCTAGCATCCAGTAGATTGCATATGAGGATCGTAATCATTACAGGCAACATTTGAAAAGGCAAACGAGGTAAATGTAAAGGAGATTTCCAAGATTTCTCTATCATTTCAAATTTGGCTCTTCTTCTCTTCCGTCTCCGATCAGCTCCTTCTCGCATGGATTTTATCTTTCTCTCACAATTCTTGCCAAATACAGCTAATATGTTGACTCCCATTCATTTCGCTGCTCTTACCTGGGCTTTCGTTTTGATCTCTCGTCGTCTCTGGAATCTCGCAAGACAGCCAAAACCTGCACAATCGGGACAACCCGTTTATTCTGATGATAAACCCGTCTCGGATCCTTACTTATGCCACCAGCTCATCCAGGGTAAACTGACTCAAGGCTCCAAACGTAACCGAGTATCGTTTCTATCTTCAAAGGCCATGCCCAACAAAGGGCTGCAGACTGTTTTCGGCATTAAAAATGCCTTTACGAGCGATGACGCTCCATTAGTCAAGGAATTTATCGATGACGCTAGGCGCCGCATCAAGCTAAAGCCTGAGGAGTGGTCCGGATTGACCCCTATGCTTGTGGATGTTGCGAGAAACTGTATAATTGTTGGCTATAACACCGATGGGATGGAAAACAGGCTGCGGGGGTCAGCACTGTCCTACCAGCCTGGCATTCCTTCTTCTACTAGGTTCAATATCACGAGCCTAGTCCAAGTAGTCACGCTAAGGGCCATTCTAGCAACAGTGCTAAAGGTTGAGGCAAAAGATTGCCCTAGTAATCTGGACATACTAAATTTAGCCCGGCAAATCAACGAAGGCTGGATTCAGTCTAAAAATGGCAACAGGCCCGGTAGGGATGACTCCGTTATGCTTAATTTTGAGCAGAACAAGGCAATCCAGGCCAGCCTTCAAGCAGTATTCCCCAATCAGGCTGAGCATGGACTGAACCCGCTGAATATCCTCCTGCCGTCATTCGAGACCATGTGGAGAGTTGTCCTACGTGCGCTGTTAGAGCTCAAGTTTCAGACGGGTTGTGAAAACCCGGAGTGGGCGAAAGCCATGGTATCATTCTGTTGGAACGTGACCAAGGAGGAGTTTGAAAGGCGCCCAAGTCTTCGAATGACAACATCAACCAAGGTAGTCATCGGGGGCGATAGTCGGCCAAGCCAAGAGAAGACGCCATCGGCAAAAGATATTGTCCTGGAATCTTTGAGAATGTATCCACCTACTCGGCGCATCTACCGGGCGTATGTGTGGGACGATTACCCAGCGTCATGTGAACCTGAGCCAATATACAAGGCTGCAGATATCGAAGCTTGCCATTTGAGAACTAATATTTGGGGATCGAATGCTGTCAACTTTGACCCGGCCCGCTGGATGACCATCACCCGTGCGGACCGTGCCCAGACCCACGCATTCATGCCCTTTGGCTATGGCGTATGCGAATGCCCTGCGAAGGCAGTTTTTGGACCACGGATGATCGGGGTTTTAGTGGGCGCGTTGCTTTCTGCCCTGGATGATGAGGAAGGTCAGTGGACGCTGTGTTGTGCTGATAATCATGTCATGAGCTGTCTTGCCACCAAGGGGAGACTCAGCTTAGAGAGGGATGCCTTCAACAAGTTGGAGGTGATGCGCTCCGAGTCTGGTGAGTAACTTGAACACAACATGCCAACATTTGAGGTGGATGATATATGTAGCCCTATAGTAGGTTCAGGCAATCTCATATCCATCTTCATTCAAGTTTCAACGCATGTGCATGTGCATGATGAGGGGAATTATGGATCAAGAGTCAAGACCTAGGCTTGTAAGCGGTCAAAAGAAGATCCCCCCAACATCCAACATTGAAGATCATGGCTCGTACTCAACTAGATCAGAATCACCAGATTTGAATCCAGGAAGCCCCAGGTGCCTAAATATACATCAATTCATTCATAAGATAAAGCGCTTAATACAATAATGTGGTCCTCCACAAACACCTAATGAATATGCTTCAAACTAAAACACGATATCCCAAACCTAGTTCAAACCAGGGTAAATGCGCGCTGCTCAGGCAATTAAGAAGCATTAGGATCCTCTCTCTCCAAAAAGGTCGGATCCATATCAATTCGTCTCTCAAACTTCGTCCACCAATCCCGGAAACTCTTCAATGGAATCACCTCATGACCCTTATTCTTCGGATCGGACTCCGCAAAGCTTGCGAGGAAATTGAACGCACTTCCGATAATGCGCTGCGCGAGTACCTTGGTGGAAATCTGCTTCTGTGCAGCAGGAACCAGAGCTAAAGCATTTGATCCTCCAGCCTTCTCGTTCTCCAGTTCCGCAAGTTGTGGCGTGATGTTCTGAACTTCTTCAATTGAGATTCCAAGTGTAAGAACTGTACCGCGGTTAGGGTTTGCATTCATGGTATCATCTAGCATTTCGTTTTCTTCACTTTCGGAGCGCATACCAGTTCCTGTGTTTGAATTGTTTGGAGCTTGTCCAGGTGGGTAGATACTGAATAAACCGGATGGCTGCTCATTGGCTAACGCGCCGATAAAACGGAAGTTTGTTGGAGCTCCGGTTGTTGGATCGGGAAGTTGCGCATAGATTGCGGCGCCGGTGTTTGGTGGCAGAATTGTTCCAGGCAGCAGAAAGACAACCAATTCGTTGAATGACGGCGTGAAAGGGATTGAAAAAGCGAACTTGGTGCATTGGCCGTTCGGCTGAGGGTCTACTGCGACAGCATCCGTGAGGCATGGACGGCCGGGAATCACGACGGAGAGCATGGTTGCGGTACGGTTGGAGAAACGGTGGTTGTGAGATGTTGAGATTGAAAGGGCGAAAAGAGGGAATATCTCACTTCCTCTGTGTCTCTCAGTGAATCTTGCTTTGTTCCAGCAGATTCCAACATTCTCTTTCTCTCAAAGCTCCGCGAAAGTGACATAATACCCTTATCGCCCGCGATAAGGGCTTGGCATTCCCCTCATATCATCGGGCCAGGATTGAATGAGTAACTCGTATTCTTTGTGACTCTTTAGTTGAATCAAGATCAAGATGGGCAAGTCCAATCTGGAACTTGTTTGTGAATGTGATAGGTTTGTACTCTGCATTTGGGACTTGGCTTCATGGTCTAATAATGCTGCTTAGCTTTCCCTACTACGTGGACAACCGTGCTGCTTACACGGAGAACCTCAAGAAGTATCATGCATTCCGAGTCAACGGGTATGATGCTACATTGGGTTATATCTTGAACTCAGTAGTTGAGAAGTGGCCCTGGCCAAAGGACCACTGGGTGATTGACTCTGCAGCCCAGACAGTAACATTGACTACGCCGGCTGATGCGACCCCGGAATACCGCAGTCAAGTGGTTGATGAGAGTATCTCTGAGGCTGTTAAGGTCAATGCCTTTGAAGTTCTCAAGGGTTGGCGCAATGAAAGATACCCTGTCTATGGCCCAGGAGGTGAGTTCCTCCTGGATATGGAACGGTGTGCCTCACCACTCTTCGGTATCGTGAGCTACGGTGCCCATATGACTTGCTACGTGGAAGATGCCACAGGTCTGAAGCTTTGGATTCCTCGTCGAGCAAAGAACAAACAAACCTACCCAAGCATGCTGGATAATACCGTTGCCGGTGGTATGTGCACCAACGAGAAACCCTTTGAGTGTATTGTTCGCGAAGGAGTGGAAGAGGCTTCCCTCCCCGAGTCAATCTCTCGAGCGACCATTGTTGCGCGAGGATGTGTGACATACAGCCATATTCGAGATGCCCGAGCCGGTGGTGAAATTGGTCTAAGTCAGCCCGAGGTGGAATATGTCTATGACATGAAGCTGGACCCATCGCTTATCCCGCAGCCTGGTGATAACGAGGTCGAGGAGTTTAAACTGTTGACAGTGGAAGAAGTGCGAGAGGCATTGGCACGTGGTGAATTCAAGCCCAACTGTGCTGTTGTCATCATCGATTTCTTTATCAGACATGGTCTTCTCACTGCTGAAAATGAGCCGGATTTCTTGGACATCATATCTCGGCTGCATCGTCGTCTAGAATATCCCCTTGCCTCGCATTAGACAAAGTCATAGAAAAATGTACATAGTCCAACTCCACTGAAGACTTGGAGGTGGTCTTTATCTTTGATACGAGACATTTATCAAATACTAGTACTTTTGAATGGTACAGTCATTGGAAGATCGTGTTATATTGGCGATCGTATTGGTATACCCAAATCAAGTTCAAAATGCAAAAAAACGCCTGCGCTGCACAATCCGACAAAAAGATCGTTTTAGATCATCCACACCCCGATTTTTTTTCTAATCATAACCAGAAAGTGACATTCGAAGATTGATCTATTTCTTGAGGAGAAGGTAGACGTGGTCGATCTTCAAAGGCGCAAGCTTCTTGTAAGCACCCTCCAGGTAAAGCAGCAAGCCACCGAAAGAGACGAAAACGGCCCTGCACAAGATTAATTTATGTCTTAAATAAAAACCATATCACGAAGAACTCAAATAACTTACATGGTATCCTTGGTCGAACCCTCCTCGAATCGGTAAACCTTGCCGTGGCAGACATAGTCGTAGTCGTTGGCAAGAGTCTGCTCGCCCATGCTGACCTCTCTCCAGCTTGCACGGGTATCCTCCTTGCCATCAAGAGACAGAGTCGAGGCCAGAGCCATGGAAATCGACTCGCCGGCGACGCATGGGTAGAGCTCCGAGTTCACATCGAGAGTGAAGGTGATAGATGAGTCGGAAGACTCGCAAGTCAGACGCGAAACGCGATCGTACTTCTGGGCATTGACGCTAGTGATGGTGAAGGTGTCTTCGAACAGAAGCGGATCGGACATGATGAGATGCGACTGCGGTGCAGGTTTTTTTTAAACGTTGAAATGAGTCGTAATGAGTACAGATACAGATAGTATCAATCAGGAATCAGCCTGTTAAGTCTGTTCCTTTTCTCGGGTTATGGGTGGAGGGATTGTCAAGAAGAAAATGGAAGTTAGGAATTGAAGGCGGAGTTCGGAGTTTGAAGCTGCTCTTTTTTTTCTACCGCTTTTGATTTCCCCCGCCGATAACCATCGTGACCAAGTGGACCACCGTTCACTGCATCTATTGTCCTTAAATTGATTTTTGTGCTGCTTGATTTTATAATGTCATTCCGCAAGCGAAATATCGGCTTATCAGCTGGCGTCGATCGCGCTGCTATCCCCAATGTCTCTGCACAGCCAGCTCTGCCCGAATCTACTCCAGGCATTCGCCCCTCCCCCCGACGACGGACGGCCTACTACCTCTACCGGAACACCATCTCTAGATGGGCTGTTGGCGGGCCATGCAGGTCTTCCTATGGGCAAAATTCTTCTTATTGAGGAAAATGGAACTACAGACTTTGCGGGCGCATTACTGCGATACTATGCAGCGGAGGGAGTGGTTCAAGAACAAAAGATCCATGTAGTTGGTGTGCCCGAGCAATGGGGCCGAAGCTTGCCTGGCTTGATTGGCACAGCAGAGTCGCTAGATGAGAAGAGGTCGGATAAGCGCAAAGATGAGCGTATGAAAATTGCCTGGCGATATGAGCGACTGGGTGAATTTGGAGCTGGCATTGCGGGCGCTCGAGATGGTGTGTATGGATCGCATCTGATGAGATAGAGCTCGCTTATACTAATGAAATACAGCTCCTACATCGACCGGAAACCCTGATACAGCCGTAAAGCAGCAAAATGCTTTCTGTCACGCATTTGATCTCACAAAACGCCTCGCCCACCCCTCCATCACTAATATGAGCTTCATCCCACTTGTGCCCTCAAGAGACTCGCCATTCACCTCAATTCTCAAACAACTTCAAAGTTCAATTGCATCAGCGGGGCCAAGCACCATCCATCGCATTGTGATTCCTTCCTTACTCAACCCCACAATGTACCCGCCCAATGCCTGTCAACCCCAATACGTGCTGCAATTCTTGCACTCTCTGAAAGCTTTCATGAATGCGCATGCCGCTCGCATCACAGCTATGATCACAGTGCCATTATCATTGTTCCCCCGCTCGTCTGGTCTTATTCGCTGGATTGAGCTTCTTAGCGATGGTGTCATTGAACTTTGCCCATTCCCCCACTCAGCCGATGCCCTGGCGACCTCCGGAGCGGCCACCACTCAGGAGGAACCGCCACAGGGAATGTTGAAAACACACAGACTTCCCGTCTTACATGAACGTGGCGGTGGTAGCGACCAAAACATTGGACAAGATTGGGCCTTTAACTTGAGCCGTCGACGATTTGAGATTAAGCCATTCAGCTTGCCACCGGCAGAGGGAGATAAGGAGGCCCAAGATGCGCAAACTTCTAGTGGCATGCCTAAAAAGGCGGACCTGGAGTTCTGAGGGCGTCCCATCTAACAGGGATCCCTTCTATTCACTCATCCCACTCCTCCTCTTCAAAGCGACGACGGGTTCCTGGTTCATCTAGCATGTCGTCCATCTCAATCTGCTCAGACATAGCAGGTCCTGAGTTGGCCATTGTTCGCAGATAACTCTGGCCATAGGCCATGACTCCGGGCTGGGCTGAAAATCCTCCCAGGCGAAAGCGATTGCCTAAGCAGGATGAAGCTGCTAGCCATACTATTGGGTGTTAGCCACTACTTCTATAGTGTTTCTCAAGGCAAAAAAGTGAATCTTACCAATGAAGAGTAGCAATGGGACAAAGAAGACCAGGAACAGCAAAAGGAGAAAGTTCATGGTGGGAAAGAGGATCACTTCACAGAAGATGAAAGGCGGAGTTGCTGTTGTTATCTACGGCGGTCTATACCTGCAGCTCCTAGTATTGAGCTTGACCGCCCTATATACCGCCTGGTACACCACTTGGGCACTTTGTGAATATTGATGACTACATTGGCTTCATATCTCCCAAGGTCCAGGTTGAATTTGATAGATGAAGCCATGATAGTAGTGAATTTATGATGTTCAAATCAACATGACCACCTCCGTATTACTCTCTTAACTCATGAAATGCACATGTACCAAAAAGTAGTGGTTTCTGCCGGTTTTAATAGCTAGTCATCGGTAGAATTGCTATTCCTGACCGCCTACCAGAGAAGGCTAAGCGTGGAAGCTCGCTACAAAAAAAAACATTTTTGATTCTTTTTCACACTTCTTTTCCACCCTGAGTCTCTGGCTTTGCTGGTCAATCCCAAGACTCATCACAGCTTAATGGTAAGCTTCTACTCCTTCTCCCCTTCTTATTCTTGCATGATTATATAAAATACAAATCTGTCAATCCCCTGAAGCTCTTTTGAAAATTCAATCGAGCACTTGTGACTGAGAAACGTACTGGAAAATGACCTTTTACCTTAATCCATGTCTCATACTTGAATATTTGGATTGAAGCAACTGCTAACATGCTTATTGCTTCAGAATTTTTAAACGACTTTTCTTTCTTTTATTTTCAAAATGGATTTTCAACCTACCCTTCCTATTCCGATCTCCTTCATTTCTGGTAGATACCTACTTTTCTCCATTGATTTCGTCACATACCTGAGACGTGAGCACAACATCTGCGGTGTTTTGACCGGAACCTTGCCGCAAATCCCACAACAGAATGTGTTCCTGGGTCTGCCGCTTGAGTTGATGCCCGAGGAGGCACGGGTGTTGGTGGACAAGGGTGTAGCTTGCATTGTAGACGAAGCCAAGGCACACCAAGGCATGCAATCTCTTCTAGAGGAGGATCGCCAAAAGTACCTGCGCGAATTAGAATCCCAAGGGCTCCATGCCTCGCGTATTTTCGCCGAACGCAAAAGCCAGAAAAAGGCAGAGACTTTGAAAAAGATAGCCGAAAAGAAGGCAAAGGCGAAGGCACAAGCTAAGCCTCAGTCTGAAGAGTCTGCCAATGTTGCGACAGCTACATCTGAGCCTTCAGCTGCCAATGATGAGCCCGCCTCGGTGGTCGACTTCTTTGCAGGCGATGCCTCTAGTCCCTCAAAGGGCGCCTCGACCGGCACACCCGCTTCTCAGGCCTTCCATGTTACACCCGCAACCTCCTACCCTCCTCTACCCGACCCAACTACATCGTCTGAGCTCATCGTCTCCCGACCGGACGTTCCATCCTCGTACCCGCTCTTTGCGCACATGCACTCACGAGGCTATTTCCTGTCGCCTGGTCTTCGGTTTGGGTGTCAATATGTGGCATACCCTGGAGACCCTCTTCGGTTCCACTCGCATTTCCTCGTTGTATCGGCAGAATGGGATCAAGAGATCGATTTGATGGACATCATCATCGGTGGTCGGTTGGGCACTGGTGTTAAGAAGGGCTTCCTTCTGGGCGGCCCTCAAAATGCGAAAACAGAAGATGGCTCTGAGATTGAGCGTACAGAAAGCGTGCGGACCTTCAGCATTGAGTGGGCTGGCATGTAAATTTCCAGCTTAGTTGCTTTGCTGTCTACTATCATGCTGTTATCGATTTTATCTCGACGACTGTTATCACCAACTAAAAATCCATATGGTTGATTCCACAAATGGAATACTGTACTGGCAGGATGGGGAAACCTTGACAAATGACCCTGCAGTCAGTTCAAGTATACGCTGCAGTTGCCATCTATCCATTCAGATGGCCGACCAGTGCAAGTGCAACCCCTGACAACCGGCCGGTGGACTCCTGGTATTTATCAGGTTACTTGATAAGATGATATCCTTTTGGATTGATGTCCAACATCATAGCAATGGGGTTTCCAAACGTCATATTACCACGAGCTACCACAGTGGGCTTAAAGGAAAAGCCAAGACGGTGCAGAAGCTTTTCCGTCATGAAGCTTTGTCTGCCTTGAACATTTGAGTCTTCGTTCTTGGTTCATCTGCTCTACAGCCAAACGCTTCTATATCCCATTTACGATGTATCTATGCCTAATATGCTAGATCGAATTCGATCCACTCTGCTACATAAACAGGGAGCAGACTTCATGACTTAGGCATAACCTTGCCATAGATATCAATATATTGTGCCAAGTCTAAAAAATCCATAATCATTAATCCATGCATCGCTGCACGGAAATTATACATAATCAACATTCCGCCACTTGAACTTCTTATTAGCCCGATCCACAGGCCGAGTTTCAAACTGGCTCCCATGTAGCTCAAAAACTAATGGCTTCCTTCCATCAGCCACAGTCTCCTGTGCCTTCTCCTGACCCTCGCCAGCATGGCTCTCCTCTTGTTGTTCCGCCACTGGTAGAGGGACCATAAATCGAAAAACAGTATGTTCCTTCGGTATAGCTAAATCATCAATTAGCAAGTGCCAACACCACCCTAAAACTCCAAACTCACTCTTCAATTGATCCTTCTCCGTAACCACATCAAACGTAAACTTCGTATCCCGTACCACAATCCCCTTAATCCCAACCCGACCGGCAGATCGACTCCTCACAACCTCCAACTCAGCTCCATGAAAATCAGCACTAACAAGCTTCGCACCATGCGACAAGGGCGTCACAAGTCCACTTCGGCCTTCGGTCTTTAGATCCAAAATGTCTTGCATATACCCCACCCAAAGCGTATGTAATCCCTTAAAAAGAGCGTGCTTGCATTCTTCTCGCGGGAGATCGTAGAGCCCTGTGCTGCGCTTTTCGCGCGCGGTCATAGGCCGGGGCCGCTGGTGACGGAGGAAGTATTCTTTCTTGCGAAGACGATGCAGACGGCGTCTTTCGCGATTATCTTGGGCGGAAGGTGATGTTGGGCGCAGGAAGAGGGGTTTGTGTTTTATCCGCTCGGTGAATTGCTGTGTTGCGGTGTCTGGGGAGTGTGCCCGAGAGAGGAGGGTATGTGCGATGTGTGGTTTTTGAGCCGGTGAGTCGGTCATTTTGGCGGTTTTTAGTCCCTGGATTCTGGACTTTGGGGATTTTGGACTGGAGAGTGTGGTGTTGATTGTGAAGTTATGATGTTGCGGAGTTGGGGGGAAATTTTATTTGATGTCACCCGCTGATAAGATCTACCACGGCTAGTAAGCTGAGATGAGAAGCATACTTGAGCTTTGGGACACTTTATACTAATATTCAAAATCATTTCTATATTCTATTCTGGTGATCTCTATAGTCTTGCTAATGGACCATCTAGGCGAGAAATTCCAAGACTCAGAGTACTGATCTCGGATATAGACTTGCAGCCCGCCAGCTGCATACATCGTTTGAATTCGTGATAGAGAATATCGAGCATCAACTCAACTCCCTCCTGTCCGTTATACTAGGATGAGTTAGTCAACTGACAGTACTGAATAATAACATTTAATCAACTTACCGCTAATCCCCAAAGCATCGGACGACCAACCCAGCAACACTCAGCACCTAATGCCAAAGCCTTGAAGATATCATTTCCAGACCGAATCCCTCCATCAATATGGATCCGAATCCGACCACGAGCAACTTTCGCACAAGCAGGAAGAACATCCAATGTGGACGGCGTCTCATCTAGCTGCCTTCCACCATGATTACTGATAATCACCCCATCACACCCATACTCAATAGCAGTTTCCACATCCTCAGGCGTCAGGATACCTTTAATCCAAATCTCCATCTTAGTAAGACTCCTCAACCACGGGATCTCTCTCGCCCAGGAATGCGAATCATCATTAAAAGACTTAAATCCGTCATCATGCGATTGCTGCTGAATCTGCTCGGATGTCTTTTCCATCATGGGGTATGCCAGTCCAGCTGGTGGCTGGAAAGTCTTTCGAACTTCATTATACCGGACACCGAGTACAGGACTATCAGCCGTAAGGAAAATAGCCTTGCATCCTGCAGCTTCGGCTCTCCGAATGATTCGTTCCTCTTTCTCGCGATCTTTCATCGAGTAGAGTTGCATAACGTGGTGGATTGGAGCTACTTCGTTTCCTGCGGTAGTGATTTGCTCTACAGAATGGTTGGCATAGGATGAAACACCCATATTGATACCGTGTTTCGCGCATGCTCTGCTTGTTGCTAGTTCTCCGTCTGGATGAGCCATGCCTTGCAAACCAGCTGGGGAGACGCAAAGTGGGAAGGCGATGTCTCGACCGAATAGAGGGGTGGTGGTGTTGACGTTTGACACATCTCTCAGCACACGAGGTAGAATACGGTATTTTCGATATGCTGCTGAGTTCTCGTGGACTGTGACTTGATCTGTTGCACCAGAATTGAAGAAGTCTGTGAACCCCTCATTTAGTCTAACTGATATCGTTGGGCAGCTTGGGGATTATACCTCTAGTTGAGCTTGGAAGTATTTTAGAAGCCGCAGCTTCAAGATCTGCAATGGACACTATCTTATCGGTCGCCATTGTTTCTGTTGAAATTTCTATCTTGAGTCTATGCCCAGGTTCACGAGTTGTTTTTCCGAGGTTAATCTATCAGAGCGTGCCCGGGTGAGGGGTGCGGGGAGAACTTGAAGTACTACGGTGAGATAGTACGCGGGGTTCATTCTCCACCAGCTATAGTTCAGTATGGAATATTCAAGTTGATTCGTATAATTAAATTAATTCTGTAGTACTTCAAACATTCCCTCTGCAAGATCCGTGATCTCTTTAACATTGAATGCTTTCAAAGCTTGAGTGATATCTCCAATCATCGTATCGGAGAGACCATCCTTCTTCCGAGCATAGATATCAATTCCAGCCGGCGTGAAGAGTGTTTTAGCGAAATATGTGACCACCCACTGATTCCCATCATCTGTATGCCCGAATCCAAGACACTCCCAATGAGAGCTTGCAATAATCAACCAGCCTTTTCCTCTCCAGTCCCACGCCCCTTGATTTCCTGGTAAGAATTAGCAATCTGATGTTCGGTCGCGGAGTTCAGTCCGCCAATGCAGGGAGATATCGAAATACCTGGAGATGGTGTATCTATCCCTTGAACAGTCTTGATCTTCTCCGAGCTCACACCTTGATAACTAACCAAGTCATCAATCTTGATGACTCCAGATGAATCGGCGGGCAGGATAGTGTAGGTGATGTTGACGTTGCGTTTGTCTTTCCACATTGGAAGAGTGGAGTGTGTTACATGCCAGGTTCCAGCGAGAAAGTCATTGGTTGGTGGGACGCATTTGATTCCTTGACTGGCATAGATTTGTGGAAGACCAATCGTGAGTTGGGAGGCCATTTTGGCGTTTGATGTGGTATTTTGGTGGAGGTGTAGAAGGATTAGGGGTGTTATCGGGCTAACCTTGGAACCTTGGAAGCGGGCCCGAGGTTCCATCTCATACATTCTGGAATTCTGGAATTCTGGAAATCATGATTTTGGTTTGATTCTTTGAAATTCAACTCCCTTCAATGTTATTTTTTTTATTATTTCGGCCATTGCATGTGGATATTAACATTTTGGATTTACTTCAAGTTCCCTATCATGCTGTATTCGTCTGAAGGTTACCTAGTAAATGTGGATTTTGCAAATATTCGTAACATCAGATGAAAATATAGATTGTCCCCGAGAACCTCAAGATAGCGATAATCACTAGCACTGTATTGAACTTGAATCTACAAGTCAACTTGAACTACTACTGTAGTAGTTAAGTGAAGATCCACCAGGTGTCCACTTCAAATTTATACAAATACTGTATTTAGCTACATATTACTAGGTAGTAGAAACTCGAGAACTTGAACCAAGATGATCCGCAATACTGTCAGTGGGTAGCCGCAAGGCAAGACCCACATGTACGCGCCTGGATGATCTCCAGGCTCCATTCTTCTCTTTTTTGGACCTTGAAATTAGATTAGTTGATATTAAATGATCAATACTATGTATTATTAGATCTGGTCCAGAGAATTGAATCTAACCTTGGAAGCAACGGGTGAATCGTTAGTATTATCACTAGTGATATTGAAAGTACATACTGTTTTCACATGTATTAACCGCCACCTGGGCAGTGATCAATATACTCAGGCTGGACTGATCTGAACATTTTCGATACTTTCAAGATCTCCACCTGGGCATATACATGTACCCACAATACCATTTGAATATTTCTTATTCTTTCATCCACGGGATCAATCCGAGAGTCGGGATTAGCGGGTCTACGTACTCCGCAGACAAGGAAAAAGATAGTATTGATTGACCCATCAGGTATCATATGAGCACTCGGAATTCCGTAAAATTCTGGATAGATGCAAGTTAACCGGGGCAAGTTTATCAATTTTAGCGGTATGCAGATTACGGATATTGGTGGAATACCGGGCCCGAAGAACTTGCGGTGTTACAATGGGGATGGAATACAAAAGTACGTGGGTAAATGCATAATTCCATGAGGATCTGTGTTCCAATAAATCAATTTGAACATCCTATTCAAGATGCATAATGATGCGCTGGCAGACAGGGATTCCGTACGACGTAATTTGGCCCCGGTGCAGAATCTCAGTCTGTACAGTACCATAGCTTGAATTTATTTTCGGGGCCCGACAGTTTGGGAAGGGGGAGAAGAAAAAAAGAAAAAAGAAGGTGCAGTTGACAGGGATTAAAGTGTTCCATTTGGGCTATGGAGTCGATTCGATTCTTTTAGGACTAAGAATATGATATGCCCACTATGACAAAGTACGGAAAATGGGACCGCATCATGCACTCATCCGTTTCTGGTGTCGTCTTGAATCCAGTGGATTTTAGTCCCTATTTTCGTCGAGAGCTGAGTGGATCAACGGGGTTGTAAAGAACCAGTCTCATGAAGTTGCAGGGCAGATGAGAAGAAGCGCCTATCAAAACGTCAATTACTTCTGGAATAGGTTAGTCGACCGTTAGGACCCATTGGGGGATCAATTGCATGACTTCCAATGTTCCAGACACCATGATTATCATTTGGACGGGGCCAACCAGGCCAAATTGAAATTGCCGACAATTTGGTACAGAATACTGTGCCCCCTTACTGAGAGAATGACCCTTGCTAAGAAGGTGAGTCTAACTGTACTTTATCTTTATTTAGAATTGAGATACACCGAATGTGAATAAGGTTTAAAACATAGACAAGGTTAATAGATGTAAATGTGTCCCTGGGGTGAGCATACCAGCAGCTCTACCCCCTAACATAGCTTCGACCCGGTGCCTTGGGTTTGGTGGATATCTGCAGGGGTTGTGACAGCGGGATACTTGCATTGGTATAGTTGACCAAACTACTGGTATAGTACTGCAGGCATGCAGTAGCAAACCCATAGAGGATTCTAGGGTGTGATTCAAAAATTGAAATAGGATACCGTGAATATCAATTATAGCGGGTAATAAACAAGGCTGCCTGAAAGACTCGTGCAACGTGCCTGTCCGGTATTGAGAGGGTAATTGAGAGCGAGACTGACATGACCCCGGAGTCTCCTAGCTGTATCATAGTATTTCTTTAATACGGCGTACTCAGTACTCTACTGGAACTCGGACTCTGAACTCAGGCTATAATTGCGCCTGCTATGATGAAAGTTAAGCGAGAAACTCTTTACCCAAACCCCCAAATCCGTCGGTATTGAGAATAATTACACCGTACCTTAGCGCTGTTCCTATACGGAGCCAAATGGGAAGAACCGAGACCCACGAGTCCCTAAACAGGTAGCTTAGGCCTAAGCGTCGGGGCACTGGCATCCTTGGAGCCGGCTATGGCGTATCCCAATACCATGGGCTTATACTCCGAGCCAATGGGGAAAACGTCAATGCTCCACGGACCCCACTAACGGAAACAAGTCCATTCAAATTTCAAGCTTCCAAGGTTGTAACTTGAAGTTCTTTCGCTTTGCGAATTCCTCAATAAGACGTATTGTGTATTATTTGGGACTGCTTAGGCCGTATCTCTTAACCCATATATCACCCGGATACCATGGAAAATTGGTAAATCCTCACACGTACGAGTACGAGTAAAGAATCATTTATTGGCAGGTGGGGCTTAACGCTGCGTATTTCCATGCACGCAAGTGAAAGCCGAGAGAACATGAGAATCTTGGAAACAATGCGAAGGCGTTGTGTCAGTAGAATATCTACTGGGTCAAGAGTACCCAGGAAGCCCGCTTTTCAAACGGGTCGGTCCGTTACAGCCTGTCCAGAATAACTCGGAGTTGAATCAAGAGGACGCGTATGTGTCATAGTCGATTAGAAGTTTAACATGGGGATTCTGTCTATTGTATGGCTGCATTAGATGCACATGTGCATGCATGAGTGGTCTTGCGACTCGGTTGCATTTCTGAGGGTATCGCGGGTATACCTAGTGAGTTAATTTGAATGTGATCATGATGATGAGGTCATATACCGTATGATAGAGGGTTAGTTTAATATTGAACTGTCACTGGTGTTACCAGTACTTTGTAGAAGAGGGGAATACCTACACCGAAGTATCAAGTATCAAGTATTCAAGTACCGAGTGAACAAGTAGCAACTCGAGGATTAGCATTTGGGACACTTTAACCGTTTGAGAGTGAGATTGTGCATGATAAAACCCCACAATTATGTCGGTACCGAACACTTCCGGGTGGAATTAATTAAAGATGGGACTGTGGACATTCATATCAACCAGATCAGGAACGAAGGCCGTTGAGACCCGCTCGTTCGAGGTCTAGAGTGTCCCCGCTTGATCGTCAGATTTCAGAATCAATAGTAGACAACATCGGCCGAGACTACGCTCAACTATCCCCTGTTTATCTTGGGCTAGGAGTCAGGAGGAGACCGCAGCCCCAGTGTAGAACTAGCAGAAATAGAATTAAGACCTAGGCAAACGAAAGACTGGTCCATTCTTGCTGGAATCATGATATTCCAAAATATGTCTGCTATGGTCGCAACGAAACATGGATTGTGAACGAGGACGAAGACCAAAGAAACAAGCCAAAGCACAGAAAAGCAAACGAAAACACAAAATCACATGAACCCAACAGTAAGGACTGAGGACTCTGTACAAGGCACCTCAATCTATGTTCAGGGCTGCTAATTTTTCCTCGACACGCCGAAGGATTTCAGGATCAGGCTCTCGTTTGACTTTCTTCGGTCTGTGAAATAAGTTAGTAAAGAAATTCCAGTAGAATTGAATGTAAGCACGTACGGAATTCTTATAGTTTCTGCACATTTCGCCTGTCCACATTTACCACAGGAATTGGCACCATCGTTAAACGAAGTCGAACAGACATGACATATCAAATGGACTCGTCGGCGCGGCTTTCGGTACGTGCGATCGGGCTTCAATTTCTGCGCTTCAACATCTCCAGGATATCCATCCGGGTATTTATCCGGCTTGGGTGGTTCGCGCGGACACTTCTTGCAGCGAATATGCTGACAATTAGCGCACTCCTTCGAGCCAGGCGCAAACACCGTATCACAGCCGTGACAAATACGACGGATACGTTGCTGAACAGGTTTCTTGACGAAATCCTGGCCTCCAGAGCGCGAAGGCATGGACAATGGCGCAGTCGGGTCACCGGTATAGCGCAGATGCGGCGTGTAGGAAGCTCCACCAAGCTGGCGAGCGCGGATCTCGGGGATCTTGGTCTTGGGGAGAGACGGGTATTCATTTTCCTCCTTCTCGCGGGCTGGTGGGGTACGAGGACATTTCTTGCAGCGTGGATGCTGGCAATTGACGCAGACCTTGTCGGGGCCGAAGGTAGTCTCGCAGCGGTGACAGGTGCGGCGCACACGCATGCGGATGGGTTTAGTGACCCGGGTGAGTTGTAGATCGGGAGGCGATTTCCATTCGCCGGGTTCCAGAGTCAAGCCATACTTGGTGAAAAGTGCGCGGGCTTTTTCTTGTTGAATAGCGCTGTAGTCGGTTACCATGGTGGGTTCGGCGCCGACAGACTTGCGCTGTGGGATAACGGCAGCACTTTGTAAAAGATATCTGTTAGCACATACGTGATCGCATATATTAATTTCCTCTCGTAGTTACGAGGCTATCTCCACAAAGCTTGTTTCATATCATTTTAGTGTAGGGTATGGATCATACGGTGGTTGACTAGCCGAAGCAATGACTTCCGGCGCAGCTACGGATTGGCGCTTGGAGGAACGCGGGCGCAGAGCCGTTCTCATGCGCTTGAGGTACTTGGCCAAGCCCTCTGGTTTCTCCCCATCTGGGCGACCGGAGTTATCTTGCGGCGACATGGTGGAAATCTTGATCTTGGGTGATTTCGAAGTGGCGCAAGAATGTAATGGCGAATGCTTGGTGGCAGATCGATATCAAATGGTGTAAGTCGATTGATTTATTCCATGAGGTCAATTGATTGGGGGGTTGCCAGTGGTTAATTGATTGATTTGGTGTAGGAGTCAGAGTTGTAGAGTGTACAATGGTAGAATGTTGGAATGGAATTGAGCGTCGTGTTTATAGATCATCGGGTGCTGTCACAAAGCTCACAAAACCCGAGCCAGCGAGTTGGGAATTCCGTGGGAAGGTAAGGGGAGGAAGACCTGGGGCAAGTGCTAAGTAAATAATAGCACAAAGTATAGAATCAGGTTAAAGCGGAGTCGGGGGGGGGCACATGGGGCTTTCCAGTCAGTTGGGTCGGTATTTAAATCAAAAAAAGAATTTAAAAGAATTAAAATTATTTATTCCCAGGTTATAATTCGACTGTATTATGATTCTTATATACACGTAAGGTACGAAGTTCCGTAAATAAATTCCGGGGTTTAAAAGTACATATAATTATCGCCTCAACAGTATTAAACCATAGATAATTCAATTGATTTCAGATTTGAATAACCTGGAAATACTATTCATATTCATCCCAATGTGACTATCATGAACCGTGGAAGTATCTGTACGGTAAGTCTCCACTTCCACTCCTGGGACAAAACCCGAAGAGAAAAGTAAAATAAATAATTAAAAACATGATTAAAAATGATTAAAGATAAAAAGTAATACATAAATTATCAAAAGTAAAATAAAAAAATATGAAAATATGAAAAATAAATTTGACCGTACATTCGTAATTCGTCTCACCCAAACTCCCGGGTCCCAGTATGGAATCCTGTCGTCATACAGTTCAGTGCTCCGTACTCCCGGTTAGATTCCAGATTCCGTTTCCAAGTTCAACTCATCTCAAATATTTCAAGGGGTGAAAATCTCAATATGAATAGTATTACGACTCCATAAGTAACTCCGTACTATTAGTACTCAAGTGGTCCATGTGGACACTCCGAGCCAGACGGATGTACCCGTCTTCGGCTGCGTTACCTGATGGAGTTTGGGGACGGGAAGATGCCGTTATCATTGCGAATTTATTGGGATAAATTGGTATAATTGACACAAATCCAGATCATCTCTCTGCCAAATAAGGGGATGGACTACCGAGATCGACGTAGTATGTTTTCTTTTCTCCTGCGGATACTGCGGATAGTCCACGTTGGGAGGTATAAGTCCAGATGTCCAGGGAACAATGCAATTGCGCTCACTCCTCAAGTACTGACACGGGGGAGTTAAACAGGATTACTTGTTCCTCCAATCAGAATCAATACAAGGTCAGAGTTTATGACCAGAAACTCTCTTCAATTTGTCAGTCCGCTTCACATAACCGAAGACTCAAATTCAAGTAACCTTGGAATACATGTTCACCGTGTCAGGAGGGGTACGAGTAAAAAGTAACTCTAGAGTCCTCGAGTACTCTTAACTATTAAAAGTACAATATACAAATTCAGATGTTTTAACATGAATGTCAACGGTCTCGATTCAAGGGGACATGGCGCCCGTTGTGCTAAGTAAGTGCCACTGTCGGATCAACCCGCCAAGTAGTGATTCGTACGCTTCTGTGTACTAGTACACTTAGGTATAGGTATCATACCATATCCCAATATCATAACAACATGATCATTGATCCACTTCAACCGAGAACATTTGAAGTGAGACCTGTAACGCTTATGCATAATGCATAACACGGAAATCAGACTAGGGAACCAAACCCGCTGAAAAGACACCTCAAAACAGCTCTCAACGAACCCCTGTTCCACAGTACATAACCAAACCCAGAGCGGGTTAGCGGTGAACTGAATGAAAGAACGAACATCATGCACAATCAGGGAATGCCGGGCCAGCCCAATCCCACGGGTCCTGACGAAACTTAGCTGCTGCAGCAGTTGCATACATTGTGCATACAGCAGAACCGAGCTCTACGTAACCCATTCCGAATTGACGGATCGATCTTGTCAGGCAACCTTGGAACTTGAAGTAGCATCAAGCGCCTGGTAAATCTGGATGACGAAGAATGGGCAATTCGCTCGTATCTGACTTTGTATGGCGTGGGACTACGGGGAAACTACTGCAGACTAATAACGCGCTTTCTCGCTTTTTCTCCTCCTGAACGGCCAATCCTTCCATATTAATTTTCATCCCTCGTTGCCCAACGGTTCCACTAATTCCCAGTGTGACGCTGTTTGTTCAAATGTTCTTTGGATCCCGTGGTCTTTCTAGACTACCTTGTTACCTCCCACGCTTGAGGAGTTCCCCGGTCGCTGCACGGAAGTGGACACACCAACACCAAGCATTGATGAGATCGAGAATCAAAATAAATTTAGTTTAATCAAATAATAGCGCTAAAAGGTGGCGGATTTTATTTTTATTCTACCCTGATTAGGGTAATCCGTGAGCACTCAGTGGCACTTAATCAAACTTGGTTACTAAGTACTGTAAGTACTTAGTGTCAGTGGCCACTGACACTGACAGGTGCCACTGTGTTCAGTTGACATCAATACAATACAATATTCACGGCGTTCTCCGTAGACATTGAGTTAATGTGAGCTGAATCCACACTTTTGTCAATTTGAATCAAACCTCGCAGTAAACCATTATTCACTTGCATGCAAACATATTGCAGAAATGTCCCAATACCCTGGTAAGAATAACCATGGAATATGATCAGTGGAACATTGTGGATACCAGTTGGCAGGTTCGTCAGGGAGCCCCGGTCAATGTCTACCCAAGGTGTCGGAACAACAGCTGGTTACCAAGGTGGTACTGCATCCACGCGAAAGAACCAAGCGGGCGGTGCTTGCTGGTCTCGACACCGATCGTCGCCATGTGGGTCCCGTAGGGGGATTTCTGCCCCCAGATGGATCCTCGTGCCGTTCATTGCCCAGCTGAGCGGGTCAATTTTCTTGGTTATTTTGGTTTTGGTTTGGTTTGGTTATTTCCCCCGCCCCGACAACCTCCGGGGGGAACGAGCTCAGTATGGTACATGTATTGTACTGTGTCCACCTGGGCACCTCCACTGGGCAAGTGAGCCACGCCCAGTTGGTAGTATCAAAGTACTTGGTTGCAATAAGCTAGGTGTCGTTCTATGCATGGCCAAGTCATTGATCTTCATATCAGAATAATTCAAATGTTTGAACACGAATATTAGAAATGTCAAACTCTACTCAATGGTCAATCACTAAATTTATCCATTTTTATTTATAATTGAAAATACATAAGTCTCGTAAATTGAAGTCAATGCCCAGGTGTACATCTGTAGGTACAAAGTACACCCCGACCCGTCATAACCAAACATTCCATTCAGCTACCCCCGTGCATTCTTTTTCTTCTAGCTCCTCGCGTACATCTGTATTCCCGTCCACGCGATCTGAATAGATGAATCTCGCAAGCCACAGAGTCACGCGAAGATTAAAGCTTCCGTCGCCACCAAACCTGTTTCCGAGGATTGGTATCTCTCGCTACCACCCCGATGGAGATGCTTTCAAGTATGAACTATATCCAAACTCTCTCGGATATCCCCCAGAGGCGCCAAGTTGAATCCACGGTGTGCTGTCCATAATTTAGTAATGAGTGGACATTCAGAAAAACCTAGTAATAACCACTCAAAACGATGGGATCCCAGTTCCCCACCAGTAAAGCCGGTATAAAGCAATCTGTAAGAAGAATGTTCTATGACAAAACCTTAGCCAAAACTTTGCCTGACAGAATGGTTAAGGACTAGCGAGATCAAGGTTTGAAGGATGGACGAGGGGAAAAGCCACCTGGGTAAAAAACTGCGCAGTTCGGCGATCAGAGCTCTCACCGCAACCAATCAATACGCTACCTTCTTCTCTCCTCCACCGACCCAAATGAGGTCATCGAGGTTTATTGGAGGGTATCGGATGAGATCGACGGGTCTGTGTGTCGCCTACTGTATAATATATCCGGAAAATGTAGGGTAATGGAAGTAGCGGTCGATCCGATCCATGTCAGCTGGAGTTGGGGGCCTTGAACCATAGTTCGCGCTCCCCTGTGAGATTTTAGAGTCACCGCTGCAATCGAATTACCACATCGTTTCAAGTTGGGGGCTGAGCTGAGCCTGAGCCATTGAGATGTGAGATTGGATCATTTTGCGGGGATGAAATTCCAAATTCCTAGTCTACAGGTAGTATACACCGGCATTGCAGACGGAGTATATCTCGGGGATATGGGAAGTTTCGCAGGGACAGGTGCAGGATAACCAGCCATTCGGAATCTCTTCTTCATCACCTGAACAGGGATTGACTAATCTAAAGGAACGATGGGGATCCAACTAGCCCGTTTAAGCAAAAACAAGAGTCGAAATCGGGTTAATCCCTTGCTAGTTCAGCAAGTGACTGGACCTGCAGGCGGCACCGTTGCAAATCATTCCAAGGTTGTGATAGATCCAGATTGAACGGGTCAATGCCGAGATCGCTCGGCTCTTTGTGAAGGATCCTTGCTAGTGAATATTGATATGTTCAGTGGGGCTCCAACGCAATGTACATGGGCTAATCATTCGAATTTTCTAAGAGCAATTGACAGTCGAAATGAACCAAACGCCTGATCCATACAGATTCCACTGTGATATGTTTCGATATAACTTATTCATCGACTTCAAGTTGAGCACGCTGCATCTCGCTATTAGATGAAGTAAACCACCCTGTTCACAGTTGTCTGGTTTAATCGACGTTTGACAGGCGTTCTTTAATGGAGATGATATCATCTTCACTCTCGACTTCGACAACGCGGTTCACCTCGGCAGTCGTGCGCATCAACTCCACTGCGCCGGCGTACATCATGCGCTGTGAGGGATTGCAGTTCTCGGGGAGCCAGTAGAGGAGCACGTACGGGACGGAGAGACGGCCATCCTTCTATCAACCGCTGCATTAGCACTGTCCTCTTCTATATCATTTTGTCGAATGCAAAGGAGCTACTCACAAGTGTCAGTGGGTGACTGAGCAGAATGTAGCGAGGGGATGACTCTGGGAGTTCATCAGCCAGATCCTCCATCTTTGAGTAGACCTCTCCGTCCTCAGGGCGGATTTCTTGGCTCTTCGAGTCGATGATATCTAGCAGAAAATTGTTAGCTTGCTATATCAAAAATATACTTATGTATGCCACATCCTATAATCGCATAGGACACTGGCGCATAAGAGGTGAAAATGCGAGAGATGGTAAGGGTAAGGGATCAATGGCGGGGCATACAGATTATAGCCTGGGCATCTCTGGCTCTCGACGTGCTGAGACGAAACTTGCGCAGCTTCTCCTTGGTCTCCGGAGAGAAAGAATATAATCGTGAGTCGGACTAAACGGGTTTGATTAGTCTTGTTCGTTGTCATGAGAACCTTGGGATCCCTGCAGCTCGCGTGTGGCTTCCACATGGATGCCGACTGCGAACGACTCACCATGACGAATTCAAAAATAAAACAAGCACAGGAACAACAAGAATTAAGCACTAAGTTGGTTGAAATCAAAATTTGAACTCTTGATCGAATCGATCGCTCGTGAGGTTGAGGGGATGACGCACGATCAATGCGGGAGAGGCTCGTCGTTCAAAATGCGGGCGGAGACATTCCCCTCCCCCACTTGCGCAAATGTTCCCTCTCCACCTCCTGTCTCTTCTCCCTCCATATAGATCCTCCACCACCTCCCTTCATGCTTAATCGGCTCAATCAACTCACCCGACATTTCTTGCGTCCTTTATATAGACCCACTGCAGTTCTTTCAACTCCGTCCTTGAGCTCACGATTAAGCCTGCCCGCGATGACATCAGCCGCGCACGCAAAGCCCATCCACACGGCCGCGTGCCTGATTATCGGTGATGAGGTCCTTGGTGGAAAGGTGAGATTTTATTTATGATCTGAATAGATCAGACTGGAGATACTGACCATTTGCCTTCAGACCATCGACACCAATTCGCCGTTCCTCGCCAAATTTTGTTTCGGGCTCGGTATCCAGCTGAAGCGCGTGGAGGTTGTCCCAGATGACGAGGAGGATATCATGGAGGCGGTTCGTCGTATGAGCGAGCGCTATGACTTTGTCGTTACAAGTGGAGGCATTGGGCCAACGTATGACACCTCCGGAATTCTCCCATCTAACAAATGCCATCTTGTCCCAAACACGCTAGCTAATCACAAGAAACCTCAAAACTAAACAGACACGATGACATCACCTACTCCTCAATCGCAAAGGCCTTCAACCTGAACCTCAAGCTCCACCAACCCGCTTTCGAGCGCATGAAGAAACTCTCCCGTCCACACCCCATGCAGCCCAACTTCGACTGGGAAACCCCTTCCCCGGGTCTTACCGCTAAACTGCGCATGGTTGAGCTTCCATTCGACGAGAAAATCCCAGCTGAGCACCAAGCTGTCTTCGTCGCTGAGGATATGTGGGTACCTGTTGCGATCGTAAATGGAAATGTGCATATTCTCCCTGGTGTCCCTCGTCTCTTTGAGAAATTGCTCGAAAACCTGAAGCCTTCCCTGATTCCCCGTCTCTCTGACCCTGAGGGTAAGGGTACTTTCCGCTTCATGTTCAGCACCCCTCTCCCTGAGAGTGCGGTTGCCCCATACTTGACTGAATTGGCAGCCAAGGTTGAGCCTCTGGGAATCAAGGTGGGCAGCTACCCTCGTTGGGGCAAGAAGCGGAATACCGTTACCCTTGTGGGAACGGATAAGGCTTTTCTGGAGAGCTTGGTGAAGGAGGTTGAGGAGGGCGTTCAGGGACAGCGGGTTTCGAAGGAGGATGAGTTGGATCCTGCTGAGCCGGATCAGGTTTATAGCCAGTAGAATAGTTGGGATTGATGTATCATACCAATGCTCTTGTGGTTGAGCAATTGGACTGAACAGAGCGCAAACGCATACACTATATTGTGTACGATAACTACGCATATTTCGTTGTACTTCATGTTCGTCCTCTTATACAGTTAAACCCTGCAGAGCCATGTATATCAAGTAATCACCAGACGAAACATCTATAGGCCCATATGATAGCCTAATTTACCTGCAATAATGATATCATATGATATAGAGCCTCAATTTCTTGGCCACTGGAAAATCGAACTGGACAAGCCATGGATAATTTGACAGCAGAGACCCCCTGCATTGCGGGAAAACTTATATTGACAGCCGCGTCGTCTCGCATCCCGAGACAGACAAGATGATAGACAAAAAAAAGAAGAGCTGACCAGGACATAACAAAAAAAAAAATTCTTTCGCGAAACAAGGAAAAAAAACCAACAATAAAAAAAACAATTGGCGGAACAAAAGGGGAATCAAAATTCATGAGACGAGGTTGGCGTCAAGGGTCGGCAGTCATCGTGCAAAGCCTCATGAGTTCAGAATCAGAACCCATGAGATTCACAGCACAAATCAAGAAAACCACTCTTGGTTTTTCATTTCCTTCAACATCTTCCACATCCGCATATTCCCCCAGATTGGGGAATCATTATAAAGGTTGTCCATCTCTACCCACTTCTTTCTTTCCTTAAATCCTCCTCCTTCCCATTATCCATATGACTGTAATTCTGTCGAAATCGATTTCCGACAATAAAAAAAAAGCCTTCTCCAAATGCGAATGGGGGCGTGTTTTTAAATTCCGTATGATTCGAGATTCAGAAAAGAAAGGTGAAAAAAAAGGATAAAATCGGGGCTTTGGCTTTCGCTTTCGTGCAAGGGTCGACGTAGTAAAAACGGAGTTGTGAATTTGTATCATCAGTTTTTACATGATGACACACTTGGAGCAGCAGCCGGCACTCTCACCAGGCTCACTAACATCCATCTTTCCTTCGGGCTGACGAGCACCGAAAGCACCGGAGCCGGAGGGGTACGAGGACATCTCCTTGTTGTAGCGACGGATCTCACGGACGAGGTCGTAGAAGGCGTTCTCAACGTTGATACGGGATTTGGCGGAGGTTTCGATAAACTTGCAACCGAACTGACGAGCCAGGGCTTCACCCTCTGTTCACGGAATAAAATGATGAGTTTTGTTTTTCTTTCTTCTAATGCACTTATGCATGTTTAAAGAATATGGGATTAGAAAGGGAGAAGTGAATATACCTTGCTCAGAGACTACACGCTCCTTTTCCAAATCACACTTGTTACCCACCACAATGATAGGGAAGTAATCCTTATCCTTGACACGGAGAATCTGCTGTTGGAAAGTCATGATTTCTTCGAAAGATTGACGCGATGTTATCGAGTAGATCAAGAGGAAACCCTCTCCAGTGCGCATGTACTGTTCCCGCATTGCCGAGTATTCTTCCTGGCCGGCTGTATCCAGGACATCCAACAAAGCAACCTCATCATCGATCACACACTGCTTGCGGTAGGAATCTGCGGGTGAAGACTCAATGAGTGACTGGAATGAATCTCCGGGTGTAAATCCAGCGCTCACCTTCAATTGTAGGATCATATTCATCCACGAAATGACTCTGGATCAGCTGGATGGTTAAGCAGGACTTTCCGACGCCACCACCGCCGACCACTACCAGCTTGTACTCTCGTAGGAACTATTGAAGTGAAAAAAAGGGATCGACAGGTCAGCCATTGAATTATTATCTCAGGTGGGCTCGGAATGGAGTTGCGGGTGGATTTTTTGAGTGGTGGTGAGATCCGGGGGAAGGGCTTGGAGATCGCGACGTCAGGATTCAAATGTTTCGTCTCTCTTACCTTGGAGGCCATTCTGGGTGATTGTTTTTTTTTTCTTAAAAAAGAACCCGGAAGAAAGGGGGGAAATAGAAAAGGATCGAAGATCGAAAGTCCAAGGGAACCAAAGAATTCGATCTCACGGGAATTAGGGGGGAAGAAGAAAAGGGAAATGGGTTTAGGGGGGTTTGAAAATAGGGAGGTTCGTCCAAGGAAGAGAAATGGAGAACCGCTTGAGCTTCTTTTTGTTCCCGGCAACGGTGGAGCCCCTTTTTTTATGAGAATTTCAATAGATTGATTGGAAAGAATGCAGTAAAATCAGATTAAATATAGCATTTGGTTTTTATTTTATTTTATCAGATTGAGATTTTATTTTGTTATTATCCAGGGGTTAAAATCGTTCAATTGTTCAAAATTCCCCCTACTCTACCGAGTAGATGGAATGTTCATATCGTGGACTCGAATGAAAAAGAAAAAAAAGGAAAAAGGAAAAAAAGAAAAAAAGAGAAAAGGAGCAAATAGAACAGGGAAATTGAGGAGATCAGACAGACTCCACTCTTATTGGTGACTTAATTAACACGGGGGGGTTAATTTGATAGATCAGACAGAGTACTAGTAACTCGTGTTATGTATCTACCAGTTGACACCAGGGCTGATAAAGTGCCTTAAGTGTTTGCTTTTGGACACCTATATACACATTTTTGCATATAACTACCCCTCAATATTATCCTCAACTCATATCTCAACATCAATCTCCCCAACAATTGAACATTTGAAGCGCTTTTTCCACTTAGGGGTTAATATATTGCAACTTTTGGTACGCTACTTAGCACGTTCGCTTGATTGGCTCCGGGTCTTCCCACGCCCCATTACGAAGTGATTGAATATTAACACGGAGTACTAATATAAGTATAGATTAATATTTAACCCCTGAATGCACATGTATGTACCTATGTAAGTATGTTTTGGGCTCTGAACCAAAAACAACCGGATTATTCACCTCAGGCTGTCTCAATGCCAGTGGACAAAGTCAGGGATCCAAAGGAGCACTAATGCGAGATGCCCGGTCCGAAGCAAGTCTGGCTATAACAATCTGGACTAATTAAGTGGGGATGTGCTGGGTCAACTAGTAGCTCTTCGGTTTAGTGAATTGGAGCACTTCAGATATTATCCAATGTCCGAGGTTGAAAAGGTCAGGCGTCACTCAGGCTGGAAACTGATTTCCCTTATCACACGCCACTATTTTAATTATCCAATGGCCCTGGGGTTGTAATTGGATTATATAGGCGGGAAGATACAACACTTTGGTGGAAAGAAAAAAAAATTCTAAAATGCATGGTCAGTTTGGTCCCCCACTGTGGGGAACTCACAAATTTCCCGGACTCGGAATAGAGAGGAACACGGAACAATCAGGTGGATTCTGGGGATTGATGGAAGTATACGGAGTAGAAGAGAAAAGTTGGTAGAGTTGGTGCCTGAATCAGATCTCTATGCAATTCAATTCAAACTAGAAATCCACAAGGATTTCTCGTATATGATCACCGTACTCTCTGTACTACGCATGATCATAAGCACGTTATCGTCAAGTTGGTTCCCCAAACCGAGATCCGATATCAATATCGCCTGGCCAAGGTTGCAAGTGCATGAAAACCCTGAGACAGCAAGTTGTCGCTCGTTCTGCATCACTTCCAGAATTATCATCCTTCTCAGTGGATCATTCCGAGGATCTAGCCAAGCCTAATGTCTTTAACAACTCACAATTGAGTATCGGACCATGTAGTTTGCATCTAGCGTGGTGATGCAGTACTGAGATGTACATCACAAACCTCGGATCAATTCCTCGATGGCTGCCTTTCATGTCGGGCAGCAACATCCCGAGGGCGACACCGCATTTTCGTGTTAATCGAGGGTATCAACCTTTGCTGTCCATCGGGAAGGCTTGCAGTAGTTGTCCCGCCTTGCAGATAGATTGCATCATCCCGCCAGACTCGACTGCAAGGTTCCACCTCAAAAGGGAATGCTGCATTAACCATGTTTAATGAAGTCGTAGCTTCTTCCGAAGACCCTGGGATTTTTCATCCAAGTCGATTTGCCTCGTTTTTGACGTGGCCATACCTAGACGGGTCACGCCGCTATTGACATATGCGTAGACTGCAGATCGGGGAAAATTAATCCTCCCAACACTTTCTTGCTCCGCATTGTCTTGGCGGGGCCCGTATGATGATGAAGCTGTTCTCTGTGTGGACAGTTGCATGTTCATAGGATTTGGAGTTTCGCCTTGCAGAGTTGCATTGTGATAACTCTGAAAGATCCGCACTTGCAAATTTTGAAGAGGTAAGGATCGTCTGCCTATGAAGTATTACCTAAGGCTCGCTAAGCATCTGGGCAGCTATAGTCAGAGCTTGTTCGTAAAAGCCCTCGGTGATGTGACTGCTAAGGCATTAGTCCAAGATAGTGATGGTGGTAACGCTGATCCACGGTTCTCTCGGGCGCCATGAACCTTCCACAAAGCGATAAAGTCAATTCGGGCACTGAGCTTGATCAAATGGGAAAATTTGGGCATGTATCAGAAAAATGATACCCATCCACATATGCATGTCTTATCTTGACAGCTGAGAAATGCACGATCTGTACTATGTAACTAATCAACGTGGGTGAATGAAGTGTCGATGTACAGACTCGGAGTAATATGCTGAAGGAAGCATTGGCATTGGTATCGTTTCACATATTAAGCGCACGGTCGGTGATAGAGAGTGATGGGCTGTCATGCAGGTAGCAGAATCCGGTAATAACAAGCAATTTAAGTTGAATGCAGCCAGTTGACTGGTCTAACTGCCAGTGGTCAGTGTCACTTGCGTCTACTTCCATGTCATAGAAGGGTCCAAGTGATGAGATAATGACATGATTTTCTGCAGGATATCCAGGGCTCTGCTCTTGAGCTTCTGATGGTATCCATGGCTCCGAGTCCGCCTATACAAGCTTGCATAGGTAGAGATGAAGAGCACGACTGTGAAGGTGAGAGTTGGACAGACTAAATATTTGTTATGTTTTGATCCCAAGTACTCAAGCTGAACAACTTGAAGAGCCACTGGTATATTGACTCGATACATCTGCCCTATAAGGTTCTACTAGCTTTTCCAGGGAATCTTAGGAGTGATCGCCAATTTAACCTCCGGCAAGGACCCTATTTTCTGCCAGTGTACTTGGCAATTTGAAAGTCTTGTTAATCTGACTAGCTGATTGATAGATCTTGGCTCTTGTATAATCAATGAAATGGAATCAATGTATGTTCAAGTTTATAGCAGAGAGAACCTGGAAACAGAAAGGAAAATCTTTGACAATTGAAAGCGCAACACGCTTTATGAGCCGTCAGACCTCGGGATAGTTGTATGTGAGGGGTATCTCCGAGTGTCTATCAAGATCCAGACCTGGCTTAAGATCGTCGGGGTACCGTATCAGGAAGATGACCATCACCATTGACATCGGAATAGAGTCAAATATGTAAAGAGTCCACTCGTGCGACAGCGGATAGCCGTTATTCCCAAGCACATATTCCACGATTCGAAAAATGGAGCGAATCATAATCAAAGCACTAACAGCATACAACATGTGCAGCAATTTCCTCCACGAGTTTGTAGGTAGAAGCGATTCAGGAGTAGGTGACCGATTGATACGTCGCTCAAAGATGACAGCTGTAAGCCAAAAGAGCGAGAATGAGATAAGTTGGATCACTAGACCAGCAACGACAGCAACTTTCGCCAACGTAGTATATCCAAGTATGGAAAACGTCGAGGAATTGCCTTGGATAACGAAAGACAAAACATCACCCCAGACAAAGGTCTTGGTCAAACGGGATACGCGGATAAATGAAAGGTGTTCTCCTTTAACGTAACGAATCGTACGGCCGAGCGTCATGTAAATCGAGGCGGCGAAGAGTGCAGGGGCGAGGAGAATGAATATGTTTGCCAAGATTTATGGCCCGAGGCTGGTGGTATTACTGTGTGCTATACAGCGACCTATATAGCCAATAACTTGAACTACAGTAAAGTTGAATTAGTAACAGCATTTCCTTTTTTTGAGGTTTCAAATTGAAAGGTGGAGGGACTGCAGAGTAGCGAACGTACATAACCCCCCAAGAGTAAAAGCGATACAAAACCATGATCTGGTGGTGAATAGCTTCCAAGAATGAAGTCCAGTTAAAATCATGAAGATAAGCATAAAAATGACGGCTGCAGCCACGGATGGAGCATAATTCCAGAATTTATAGGAACGAGAAACGATTTCATGCATGCTTGATTCTGGGAAATGCCTTGAGGAACTTGGAGGAGGAGAGAACTTTCGAGGAGAACGGACGAATGAACTGGAAAAACTGAAACATTGGAAGCTATAAGTGTTTTCTATTAGATCAGTATTCTTTTGTTTGTGAAAGATCTTCAGGGAGCCATCAGGACCATCCATGGATGGCTATACGCGTATAGATTAGTATGAGACCCACTTCTGTCCGACACATGGCTCTAATTTGAACTTGAAGCTCATTTCACCAGTCGGGCATACGCGTACAGAGGAGGGTTTCCCTTTGAAAAATTGTGGCGAATAATTTGTTCTTCGCAATATATATTCTGAAAGGATAGGCTTCTTCGCAACTAGGTAATTTATTAGCCGCGTGAGCTTTGCGATTTGCTAGCCATTGCTGGCATGTGTTATCACTGGCCCTAGTCGGCCGCGGAGTTCTGCCACGCGTATGTAGGTAGTGCTCTCTTCTTTCAAATGGTCCCTCTCCATGCCTCATCCAAACGAATTTCCCTCTCAGTTTGTATGCATACCCTTGTGGGTATTTCCAAGGTTGTATTCGTCCCTCTCCAAGGTCTAGACAGATTTGGTATCAATGCTCTGATTTACTTGAATATTGTTTCTTGATCGTAGTGATCACCATCATGATCGGTGAGTCTGATTATGCACTGGCAAGTCTTATCGGCTTGCAATCAGCATATTCAATAAGAAATAGCTTGGAGTGGCCAAGCAAGACAATCCACCCACCTATCTCCTAGGTGCTGACTTATGAGATTCACCAAGAACGCACCCCCATCACCCCACACCCAGATATCGCGCCGAGAGTGTACCGCAGCTCCAAAATGAGCTAAAATAACCAATGCATACGGCTCTCTTCGTCTTAATAAGTCGGTAAATCCTTGGTTCAATATCACAGGCCACGCTAAGAGAGTCTGAATCTTGGGCCTTACTTGCACATCGGAAGTTCTTGAGCCCATGGCAGATTGTAGCGACGTGATGGCTTGCTCGCAGCTGATAATATCTTCAGCTGGGAGGTTGGAAGAGTGAATCAAATTTTGCAGCCGCAGGCAGATTTCCCCAAGGGATCCATGAGTAGGAAGCGCAGACTCTCCTTGTTCCAAAATCGGTGCCAAAATGCTCTCCTTCAAAGTATGCCATAAGCCAGTTGAAACTATTCTGACTCCTTGATGCAAGGAAAGATATCGAACAAATTTTTCCATGAAAGGTTCAAAATCGGGTTCTCTGAAAACGAAAATTTTGCACATCTCGTGTAAACCAAGAATTGAGGAGAACATGAATATTGGAACGCAGGTTTCGTTATTCACTTCGGGTCTCATAGCATTAAATATTGATAAAGCACGCGTTTGAAGCTCTGTCGCTTCATGTAGATAAAAATTCTGGTCCTGCTGGTTCAACGTGCTTCGGTGTATGGCAGAGAAAGCAAGCACCGCATTCATTAGGTAAGGTGACGATACCGCCACTTTGAAAAGTGTGGTATAGGGGATGTGTATATCCTCGAACTCAGGTCGAAGTGACGTGAACACTTCTGTTGTGAGATGATATAAAAGATCAAAATGATGTATATTCACCGGGGGATATTGTGAATCTAGCTCTGGTTGAGTATTTGCTCCAGCCGCAGAGGATTGCGGCTGAGATGAAGGCGACCGACATGAAGGCGACCGACTAGTAGAAGCCTGTTTAGACTGTGCCAAGCTGGCAACAGTATCATTCTCGATTGCATAATCGCAGGCTCGTTCTGAGCTGAGGCAGTTTGAACAAATGGGCCTTTTTTCATCGCACTTTTAACATATTAGCATCCTTCCTAGGAGATTGGCTTATGTGAGGTACTCGATACCTTGATATGACGTCGCTTGCATTCTACACAACCCTTGCGCGACTTGCGGTGTGGCCTACGAGGCATTCTGAATTAGCCCCTGGTCACGAAATACGTTCTTGGACAAAAAGGTTCCCCCCACTGCGGACAGGCAACAATGTTCAAGTAGGTGTACTCTAGAGAACCAGCTCTTGATCCCGGAGCGGAATTAAGTAGAGCCGGCTGGGTATGTTAAAACCACCTTTAGGTATGATTGCTCTCCTTGCGCAAGCCATGCACCATCTGGGCACCCCTGCTAGTATATTAGGATCTAGCAGTAGATGAGGCAAGAATAATTACTTCGAGAGTTTTAAGTGGCCTCCAGGGTTGCCACACCTAACGTGTCTACTACAGAGTCACTCCCGAGGTTAGTGTTGGAACCTGGAAGCTCGCGGACTAGGCGGGCTCGGCACCCAGTGGGGGCATTGCAGTAGCCCGAGTCTGTGCCCAGATGGGCCTAGCGATAGTGCTGCAACACTGCCCAGCTGCACCTGGGCACATGGTGACAATTCGGAGTTTTTAATGGGATATAGCCGGAGTACCCCGCAGTGCTCTGTGACTATTTTTCATTTACGGAGGAATGAATCAAAAATAAATTCTTTGAACGCATTTTTACACTTCTATCTTTAGTGAAATTTAAAGATGATCTTCTGCCAGATGTAACATTGTCAGCCTGACTCAATCCTGCCAGTGTGAATAGCTCCACACTCAGTGGGCGATGATCGTTGTGGGGAAGTTCATACTCGAGAAGACGCTCTGAGTCGCCAAGTGTCCATCAAAATGTATCCTGCCTTTGGACTGAGAGAATCAAGTATTTCCCCGGGATCTTTGGGGATATTTTATGCATGTTAGTATGGATCTGCACATACGTTGCAAATAAAGGGGCGCTGAGAGCCCCTTGAGTCAGGTTTCAAATTTCCAGACCGCAGCCTTGAACATCGTACCTACGGACTTCACTAGAAAGAAAAAATGGATCCTGTTATCATACTCACAGTCCTATCAGCAGTTCTTGGAGTTGCAAACTCGGAGTCCCCCCGGGCAATCGATGCAGACTTTCCAGATCCTTGCGTAATCCAAACAAGCGACGGCTATTATGCTTTTGCTACAAATGGAAATGGCGTGAACGTTCAGGTCGCCTCATCTTCTGACTTTGTAACATGGGACCTCATGTCCGGTACAGATGCTCTGCCTGGCCCATTTCCATCCTGGGTCGCTTCATCTCCTGCTGTTTGGGCGCCAGACGTCATTCAACGAGTGAGTTCAAGAAAGCCTCGGAACACACAATTTGCTTTTAACATCAGACTAATATGATCCAGGACGATGAAACATATGTCATGTACTTTTCTGCTGCCTCGAGTGAAGATTCTAGCAAGCACTGTGTGGGAGCTGCCACCTCTACCAGCATAACTGGCCCTTACACGCCCGAAGACGATGTGTTGGCTTGTCCTCTAGACCAGGGTGGTGCAATCGATGCCGATGGCTTCAAGGATGGAGATACCTTCTATGTTGTCTACAAAATTGACGGCAACAGCTTGGATGGGGATGGCACCACTCATGCTACACCGATCTTACTGCAGAAATTGAACTCCGATGCCGTCACCCCTAATGGAGGAACCACCCAACTCCTTGATCGGGATGACAACGACGGCCCATTGATTGAAGCCCCAAGTCTTGCCAATGTAGATGGAACATACTATCTTTCCTTCTCCTCCAACATGTACGATACGACCAGCTATGATGTCAGCTACGCTACGGCCTCCGCGTTGACTGGACCTTATACTAAGGCTCAGGCACCAAATGCCCCTTTACTCGTGTCGGGAGATCCAAGTAACGTTGGCAACTTAGCGGGACCTGGGGGTGCGGATTTCAATGGCGATGGCTCCAAGATTGTGTTCCATGCATTTGAAAATGGACAGACGATTGCCAACGGCCGAGCGATGTACGTTGCCGACATAAATGTTTCTGGAGGTGTGATGACCATCCAGTAGATATAGCCCTGGAGGCTGTGTTTGAGCTAGATGGAGGCGATATGTAGTACTACTAGTATAGCCTCCATATGCATCTCTAAAACTTCCCATGTGCAGGGCTAGAGTTGGGAGATCATTTTGAACAGCGTCTCATTATGGATTTGAATGTACCCAACATTTGAGGAATACTTGCATGTCTCATTATATTTACGAAAATACCAATTGATATGGCAACGATTTTGAATATGAAAACCTTCAAATGTTGGAACTGCATAAGATTAGTAGAATATCCACACTCCATTAATTGACGCCTCAGGCACCCACACAACTCTAAGTTATCCGACTCATCAACTCCCAAGTTGTTTCCTCCGCCTCGCCGAAAACACCAAAAAAGCAATTTGTTGGCAGCAAAAAATATGGACTCGGCTACGCGTGATGTTTTGGAATTTCCTGAATCCGAAAGAGTATTTCTGGATCCTCACCTGCCTTCCAAAAATGCTCCAACCCAGGAATCCGATATGCCCTTTACGACATTGACGTTCGCAACATCATTGGACTCATCAATTGCTTTATCACCTGGTGCTAGAACTGCCCTTTCGGGTCCTCAGTCAAAAGCAATGACGCATTATCTGCGGTCCCGCCATGATGGTATCCTCATTGGTGTCGGTACAGCAGTAGCGGACGACCCTGGTCTCAATTGTCGCGTTACAGGGGTCGGCGGCTATGGTGGGGAAGGCCTGGACGGCCAACCGCGCCCAGTGGTCATCGATCCCACCGCACGATGGGATTTTTCCGAAGACAGCAAACTTTTCCAATTATGTCGAGAGGGACGCGGTCGGGCACCATGGATTGTGACTGTGCTGCCAGAACCACCAGCTGAGAAGCGAATGCTCTTGGAAAAATATGGTGGACAATTCATCACACTAAACATGAGGAGCTCGGATGATAACAAACACCACATTGATTGGAATGACCTCCTCCTGACCCTTCGGTCTAAGGGGCTTCAGAGTGTTATGATTGAAGGAGGTGCTCAAGTTATCAATTCTCTGTTGGCACCGGCGTATATGTCGTTGATCAACAGTGTTATTATTACGATTGCTCCGACATGGCTGGGTCAAGGTGGTGTTGTTGTATCTCCTGCACGGCGCTTCGATGGAGAGGGAAATTCCATATCTGCAGCCAGATTGCGAAATGTCAAGTGGCATCCATTTGGAGAAGATGTGGTACTATGCGGCCAGATCAAAATTTGATTTCTTTTTAGCTCCCTATACACCACGGGGGCCTATGGCGGTCACGCGGCCAGACCCCATTTTCCCATAATGAATTTTGTTTGCCCTATCACTCATGGTTATCCTAATTATTATACAGAAGGCTAAAGTAAGAGATGGCTAAAGTGAGAGATAGGTAAAGTGAGAGAAAGCCAAAGTGAGAAATATCGAAATCTGAAGTGAGAGATATCTGATCTATACTATACTCTGTACTCTGTATAGGCCCCTATAGTATATACTTTCTTTTCCCTTTAAGTTACTCTTAAGTCTTAATACTCTTATTGCACACATATGTCACTTTTGTCGATCTCAAAGAATTAATCTTATTTCTAGAGAACTCTGAATCGAATCATTTAGTCACTAATTGTTTGAGAGCACTACTGTGAGAACGAGGATGAATATCTCATTAAAATCCTTATCACTGATAATTTTAGGCCAATAGCTAACGTATACCTCCAAAGCTCATGTTCAAAGTCAAATTCATCATAATCTTCAAAAGTTAAGTTGAAATAGTTGCGGAGTATCTGGGTCCAGAGGTGATCAATTTTATCTTCACGGTAATTCGGAAAAACTGCCTGTATGTATTTGCGGATTATTCCAGATGTCTGTGCCAATTGAACTGTATATAAAAAATGCAGTTAGTGTATGATCTTCAAGTTTTTAATCAACCAATTCTGAGTACAATCTCAGATCCCGGATCCTAATTTCAGGTGCTTTTTGTTCAAATTTAAGGTTCAAATGTTTGCCATGAAAGGGTAAGGCGGCCGTGGTAGCTAAAGAAGGTACTTTGAGCTACTACGTAGTATTACGTGAAGGTAACAAACGAGGTGAGTGCAAAGGCCCGGGTCCTGTAATATGCAAGTGAACTTTGACTTTTTAGGTTTTACCTACTATTCTATTTACATTCAAGTTCTTACCACCCACTCAGATGCTTCTACGATTTAAAGACCTAGGTCCCAGTTGTCTCCAAACTCCGATAGGAACGGAGGAAGTGTCGTCAATTCCGGGTCAAATGTCCAAATATCAGCCGGTTCCATTTCCACGCGAATCCCCGGCGCTCCATCCGTGAGTTGACCCTGTGTATTGCTCGAATCAGAAAGGATCCCTGCCTGCAAGGAGCTTTCGCCAAAGTCCATATGAATTGATGGCCGAAGTGGTCGTGCTGGAACGGAATCAGAAGATCGGTTGTCTGAGTAATTACCGTGAATACCGCAATCGAGGGAGATGGTACCAAAATACGGAATGTCGACTTTGACGCAGTTGGACTGGTCATCCTCAGTCGAGAGCCCTGCGAAGTTGGCAGATTGTGATGGTCTCTCGCCCTTAGCAACACTCTTCAATATGCGTAGTACACTAAGTCCTCGAGTTGCCACCTTGTCAGGTGGCTGTCCCTCTGCCAATTTTTCCAGAGTTTCCATGACACTTTCAACAGCGCGCCAATCATTCGGACTGGACTGGGACTGACCACCTGGTCCTATTAGACTGATCATAAGAGTGACAGCGGCGGTAAAAGCCTGGAAATCAAGCGATTTGCAACAGAAACTTTCGGCAGTCAGCCGGCGCATGGAAATATAACATGTAATCATGTGCCGGGATGCCTCGAGGCAACTTTGTCTGCTGTAGTCGTACCGTCCGTGGGCTCCAGACTCGAGAAGAAGTGGCAGGTGTAGCCATGCCAGAAGTTGATAATACCATAGCCTCGCCATGAGTTTATCATACGCCCAAGCTCGTTGCATAGACTTTCCTGAAGTAGGAATATCGGTTTCTTCGGCTACCTCTGGAGGATCGACCGACATAAGCTCTGAATCAATGGTTTGTGTCATTCTCGCCATTAGGGGAGTGACTGTGGTAAACTTTTGATTTCGTTCGATTATCGATCCAGCAATGCGACAAAGGATATCCATAGAGTAAGAAGGTGTCTCGCTAGGCACGCGCTGCGAATCTAACGCCACATCGGTAATGCCATGATACATTCCTAGCATCAAGGAAAGATATCGATCTGCATAAAGTATGTGATTCCATATATGCTTTGCCCGCGATATAGATTCAGAATCATGCTCCTCCTTCAGGGCAAGACGATGAAGGCCGATGATTTGACCCACGTTTAGAGCACGTCGATAAGATAGCCAGGCACTTCGTAATTTCCCATCGTTGTTGTAAAATATTCCTTGGAGGACTAAGCATTCTAGTCCGTCAATGCCACTTACCAACGTCTCATCAGAACTAATCGAATGTGCGACAATGTTGACGCATTTTGCGATGAGCTCAGCTAGAGGGCAGGGAAGCTCCAATGACTCAACGGCGAATACCCGTGGGAGTTGCTGCAAACAGATAGCCACCCACAGTAGAGCCTTGGCGATGACTACAGGGTGTCGGGTTGAGAAAGAAGCTAGTGAACACGGAAGGAGTGATTCTTCGTAGTCTTGAAAGCATTGGGCTCGGACCAGCCACCAGCAGCCATTGGCCTCTAGTCTCTTCAAAGTACTAGACGACGGTAAGAGGGCTAAGAGCTCGTGACGGAGTTTCTCCCACTCGCGGTTCGTTGTGCCATATAGAGTGATATTTGGCGGAGAGGCGTCTGGTCGTTGAAAGCCCAACTGTTTTAATGTTAGCGTGAAATTCTCTGCGAAATAGTATAGGTAACCCATACCACTCCGTTGTTGAAAAGTGATAAAACAGGAGCATTTTCATTGGCGGGTGTAATAGCTGTGCTGGAGCTCGGATTGCTGCTATCAACGGTCCCCGTTGGTGGTGACACTGGCGGCTCTCGTTTATCATCAAGAGTATCCAATCTTCGCAAGACTCTCTCTAAGAGGGATTCTACGCGACCTAGCCGATCATTGAGTGATGTGCGGTCTGATTCGCGTAGATTTTCAGGTTCTGGGAAATCTTGGCTGCGACAAACCGTTCCCCTGGCTAGACATTCGCGACAACTGGAATCGCCACCGGAGACATAGTGACAGCGAACCTTACGATGTTTACCTAGATTGAATTCAGGTTAATATCACTATATCAAATGATAGAAAGTTTCACTAGGTGCGTACATACATTCCCAACAGCTGCGGGTCCCCTTTCGGATTCTCTTGCGAGGCGGTTGTTGATCCTCGGGTGGGGGCGGTGGTGAATGTGAATTGGCAAGCATAATTACATTCGTTGTGAAATGTGACCCACTGACCTAGCCTGTTAGAAGTGGGGGAGGAGGATATGGAAGGTCAGGATAAATGTACAGCATACGGAGTACGTCGTACGTTGAACGAGCAGCGTCCGTCACCGCCTGCACATCAAGTAGCCAATCACCTTGAGGGGGTTGGTTATTTAAGAGGGAAATCGATGGCATAATTCTATTCATAGAGGAAGCAATCATCTCTCAATGTGCTGCTTTTTACCTTGAAAGGAAGTAGTCGGAGTGAGAAGTGGTAATGTGGTATAACACTTGCTTTGATACACGTAGAAAATTGTTCAATCGTGTAGTATTCAATGCCTCTGAAATTCTTATTATGAAATTCTATAAGAGAAAAAAGGCATCTACGGAATATTCATATAGATCTAAGAATTTGAGGTCGATCAGGCTGCTGATGCAACAGTAACCGCCCCCGAAAGCTTCGTCCATCGTATCCCCATACAGATCACAGTGGCCAAACAAGATGCGACAACGGCCACCAGGAATGCTGCCTGAAGACCTTGCATATATGCGCCGAGGATATAGCTCATTTGCTCAGAAGAGAAAACTTCACGTAGCTCAGTTGCGCCTGTCATCGCAACTTTGGAGGCATCGACGGTTGACGTCTCTCCACGGAGAACATTAAGCAAAACATTGACCATAGCTGATTGACCAGCACTAACAAATACAGACCCTCCGATTGTTTGTACAGCTTGAGGCAATGGCATTAGTAATGAGAGTGAATAGATAAAGATATTGGAAGATGGGAGAACTTACTTAACACCATCGCCGTCACAGACGGCAAGTCTTCTGGCTTAACGGATGCTTGTGCAGTGACCACGGGAACTTGGAAGCACCATCCAATGCCAATACCAGCCAGTAGCTGATATCCAATCCACTTGCCAGATCCAGTATTGATCTCAAGGGTGTAAAGCAAACCTGAGCCGATCGCTGTGAGTGCCGCTCCGGTTAGGAGGAAAGGCTGTGGGTATGCATATTTACTGAGGGTCACACCCGACACCACAGTTGCAACACTCTGAGCTAGAATCAAAGGCAAGTTCCTGATACCACTCTGAGCAGCAGATGCACCAGAAACAACTTGGAAATAGATGGGTAGATAGTAAACCAGCAAGAAAAATGTTCCTGCCAGTAAGTCGATATAGATCATGGTGATAATCACGTTTCGCCGGAAAAGACGTCCGATCATTGCTGCACGCTCCTTCTGTAGCCATTGCACAATACCGTAGACAATTAGTAGTATTAAGAATCCTACCAAAGTGCCGACAACTTTGGAGTCACTCCAAGGTAGTGAGATTCCACCCCACTGCAGAGCAAGAACATAACATACCAGAGCGGACAGTAGCAATAAAGTACCACCCAGATCCATTTGGAGAATCTTTTCCTTCAACTGAGTATCTAGGAACGGCAGGGCGGAGGGGCGCGGTAGAACAGTAAAATAATACCAGCTGCAAGTCCACCAATGGGCAGATTGATATAGAAACACCATCGCCAAGTAACATTGCTGGTGAAGGCACCTCCAACTAGAGGACCAATAGCTGCGGCAATTCCATAAGAGGCACCCAGGATTCCAATATAGGCAGGGCGCTGTTTCGGCGGAGCGGACAGAGCGATGATGGTAAATGCGCCCGAGGAAATGCCTGCGCCTCCAACGCCAGTAACAGCTCGCCCGACGATCAGTGCAATACTACTGGGTGCGACGCCTGAAAGAAAATCGTCAGTCATTGAACCACCAGATTGCAATGAGAGAGGAAAACTTGCCGCAGATCAAACTTCCAACTTCAAAGATGAAAATGGATATCAAGAACGATTTCTTCAATGGAAAGTACTTGTACGCCTTGCCCCATGCTGCCTGAAAGCTCCCTAGGGTGATGAAGAAGGCGGATCCATACCATCCCTCGTCCTCGATTCCACCAAATTCATCCGTAATCTTTGGAATCGCGGTTGCCACAATCGTCTGCGGTATTATACTCATTAGCTTCGCTTCGATAGAATATTGTAGTTCCAGAAATCGAGAGTTCAATGAACGTACTTACCATATCCAATGAAACCTACTCGTCATCATGAAAAATTAGTTTGGCTCATACTAGATCTAGGGACTCAACGGCAAGATCGTACCAGGAACATGCTCATGGCTAGAGCTGCGACGGTCATCAACAAAGTGAAGCCGCCGGGGCTAGTGTCACCGGGGAGGTCATCACCAACGCCGGAATCAGGGCTTTTTGTGTCTTCCTTGATGACCTGGTTATTTTGCAAGATTTGGGCATCGGATTTGGGGGTTTCGAGGGTTGAAGTAGTTGAGGTTGTCGAAGGCGCCGTGTCGCCGGTTTGCGACGGGGGTGCTTTGGTAGACATGAAATTCCGAAAGAAAACCACAATGAGCAGAAGAGTGATTGTTGAGAGTAGTGCTTTTGCACGATATCATGGCGCACTTAAAAAAAGAGATTGTCAAATTAACATCAACATATTAACCACTGGCAATGTATCATTCCGCCGACTCGGCGGAACGTATACAGGGATCTGCAGAGAGTATGTACCGGGTTAATCGATATTCTCCGCCGAGAGTCCGGGCAAAGAATACCTGGGCTCTACGCCGTACCTCCATTTAATTCAATTACAAAGCCTTATTCCAAAATCATCTAGTTCCATTGGGAGCCCAATTTCGGTTGAAAAAATAATCGAAATGAAAATGAGATTCATATGGTCTATTAAAATTTAGGTGACATGCTCCTTCTCCTCCTCCTTGGGAATTCTAACCCAAATGACAGTCACAAGAAACGCAATGACTTGGGCGCCCATTGCAAACCACCATATAGCTCGAAGTCCCTGCAGGCCAATATCTCCATCCGCAGTTTGACTAACACGTGTACCAATCGCATCAGCAAGACTCGTCATGATAGCAGACGACAAGTTCTGGTTGGTGACAAGCAAGCTACCTGCCGATCCCTGGTATGAACGGGCAACGTTACTTGTGATGAAGATAGAGGCAGCAGCAAAGGCAAGATCAGGCCCGAAGGTGACCAGTGCAATACCTGGGAATGAAAGTGCCCAGTATGTTGTATTTGCAGTTTGAGGAATGAAAAATGCGGGCCCAAGAGTAAATGCGAACATAGAGACAGCATAAATATAATGACCTGGGACAAGATGCAGAATGCGGCTCACGATGAAAGTGGCGAGGACTCCGACTAGAGCGTTTGGGATATGGTAAAGGGCCACAGCAATCGGGGTAGCATGCTGGATTCGGAGCCAAAACTGGATCGCGTAGAATTGCCAACAACCAAAGAATGATCCGAATCCAAGAAAATATGCGATCATCAGAGGTGTGAATCCCGGAGTTGACCATAAGCGGTTGGGAACAAGCGGGCGCACAGCGGCACGCTCAGCAAAGAAGAGACCGGCCAGTAGTAACAGGCCGATAATGATCAAAATGTAAGTATAGGGCGACCAAGAAGCAACTGGCCCTTGTGTAAGACCGAAAAGCAAGCATACACATCCTCCCGCGGCACAACAACCACCAATATAATCAAACTGGCGTAAAGTTGGCGCTTCGGTGCCAGCAACATCAGCCACCGGTCTTAATGGGGGAATAGTAAAGTACGCAGCAACACAGCATATAGTGCAGATAATAGCGTTGGTTCCAAATATCCAAGGGAGATGCTGGTAGAGACCACCGCCTTGTAGGGCACCAAGCGAAAAGCCAAAGGGTGCCATCGCAGCCATAGCAGAGAAGACTCGGTTCTTACGGACTCCCGGTTTGTAGACTCTACCGAGAATAGACATCGAGCCGGACACAAGAACGCCAATAGCAAGACCCTGCATCGCTCTCACCATAAAGAAAAGAATATATCGGGATGGTTGCAAGGAGAAAGCCCCGACAATATTCCAGACAGCTAGCCAAGAGAACGCACCCATCATAAGAGTTCTGGGCGAGGCTAGATCTGAAAGAGATCCTGATATCACAACGGATAGACCATTGGCCGTATTAAATGCACCAACAATCCACGGAAGCTGGGTATTGGTGATGCCAAGTGCAGTCTTGATCTGGTCTTGCGGAATGAGCATGTCGCCTAGAAAGAACGAGAAAAGCATCAGCCCCGCCGAACAAACCATCACAAGGATGACTTCGGCCGTGAAGCTTCGGATCTCGGGCGGTACACCTTGTCTCTTTCGGGTCGGCGATGCGGCTTCGTCGGCAACATCCCGAGTTCGGGATACCGAACGCCTTCGGTTAGTTAACCGATGTCCGAGCGTCTCGAGTTCATGCAAATTTTCATTTCTGGGCTCGAGGCTTGTAATTGTGTGTGAAACATTTTTCAACGAGTGCTTATCCACAACAACTGTATGTCCCATTAATGGATCTGGGGTTTGTGCACCGGTGGCTGGCGTCGAATACGTCCTTGAATAGGAGAAAGATGAGCGACCAGATACTGGCGCAGAGTCTCCAGTATAATGAGCAGGACCTTGACCACCGGTCATAGTTGACTCCATATTTGTTTGAAAGTGCGGAGGCAATTGTGGGGGACCTTCGGGGTTGGAATGTGGTTGCCCAGCAGACATCCTGACCAAACTGCGGAAGAGACCTTGGAAATCTCAAAGTTTCGTTTTCAATGTCAGTTGAAAGGGCAAGACCTTAAATAAGGGTAAAAATTCAAGAAGAAGATTATCAGAGGGCACACCATTGTGGCGAAAATGGGCGAAATATCGGGCACATGTTGATCTGAAGTGGAGTGTCCAAGTGGAGCGTAGCGACGATCCGATTATCAGTCAAAATAAAGCCGATAGACCGATGAAGAACAGCCCTGGAGGGTCCCATAGGCTGAAATTCCTTTAGTCAGACTTTATAGCTCAATTGCTGGTGGTTCGCAGTTCGATGAGTAACATGGTCCCTTGCTGATGTTTGCGCGTATTCTGGGGTTGTGGGCCCAAAATCCATAGAATTGTAAATCATTGACATCAGATTGATCACGTCAATCTCGATGATTCCTTCTAGATTGAGTAGTTTGAACTAGGGGTGCATATTTGACTCATGATAAACCTCAGAGGCTCGTGCTAGTCATCTAGCCCCGTTCATAATGATACATTGATGATCAGAGCCTGGAGAGATCGCAGAGTTGAGTAACCTGGAAGCCTAAGTTAACAACCTTTAATATGGCACCTTCACATATGAAGAAACTCATTTACAACTTTCAAGTTGATGATTCAACACTCTTGCAACTTCTCAACGCTGGCGATAGTCATATATTTGCATGCACCCCTGATGCATGGTGTGCGAGGCTCAGGCTCATCCCTGATCGACACGGGCCGATTCCACATCCCACTGGCAATAGTCGGCGTCCCTGCACCAATGCAGATCAACCTGCCCAATCAGATATTCGGGATGAACATCCTCGTGGGAAATTTTTAGAATGTTTATTGAATGTCAGAGAGAAAGGGAAAGTCGGCCGGTGTTATCAAGGGGCTTAGCGACTACGCGTCGTACCGAGATCCACGCTGCCGGTCTTGATTCAAATTTCATTGCGTGGCGAAGATAATTACGATTCCAAGGAGACATAATTCCAACTTGAATTCTTATAGAAACTCCTACTAGTATTATCTAGACTTTCTAATATTCACTACTATCTTCATAAATAACTTGAATTTCTATTATCTAAAATTCTTTATCTTAATGAGACAAGTGTTCGGTCCCTCACTTGGTTCTGCCAGTGGAAATGTCATTATAGAATTGAAATTGAATTTTAGATTGGGATTGGAAATGGAAGTACATAAAATGGGCTAGAATGAGCTGTTAGAATAAGCTAGAAAGAAACTATAGATGATTAGGATAGGGATTGGAAGAAGAGTAAGAATATACTCGAGCGTTGCGACTAATGAAAACACTGAGATGTTCGGACTTTTCATTCCAAGAAAATGATGAGATGAGAATAAATTTCAACTCAAGGAAAGTATATCTTGATCTTGTGTGCCAAGTTAATCCTAATTGAATTCAAAAGAACCTCATCCCCCCAACTTGAACTCCGATAAAGCACTTGAGATCTCTTCCACCGGAAGCACTTGAGGACTAGGCTCTCCACCACCCACAGGAGCCTCAGTCAGATGATTGTATTCATCACCTTGAGAGTCACCAAAAGATTCCTGAGACCATAACCTAACCGATTCAGCTGAATAGTGTCTCTATCCGCATTGGTATGAAAATTTTCATGATTGGGTTTGAAATCAATCCACAATGACAACAGAGGTGCTGCACGGAGATTCCGAGTCTCATGGAACGTCAGAGTTGTTACTAGACGAAAGACAATTCTTTTTAAGAACTGTGTTAGAATGCTCTCAGAGAATTTGAGGACTAATCACGTCAAGCGCAAATTCTGACAACATTTTGAAGCAAGCTGCCAGTGGACATTCTCATTAAGTTGAAGTAGAGATGTGAGAAGTAACTCAGGTAATCATATCTGGGAAAGTCTCTTTTGAAGTCAGATGTTCGAAGTAGAGCCAAGTCAAATTCGATTTGATCAGGTGTTGGTCGTATCCCAGTACTGGTACTGGCAGTTAAGTCTGATATCGACCAAGCACTGCGCTCATCGGGGGTCAACGGTTATTAGACTGCCGCATCCTTCACGCTATCTTTCTGGCCACTGGAAAAAGAAATTAATGGCTCCAGTTGTTTTGCACCCATCTAACAATGTATGGGATTATGGGGTAGTGTTCACTTCTGTCCGAACAGGCCCAGAAATGGTTGTTGTTCACATACTAAACAACTCTCAAAAATAATAGGCCACATATTGCGCTTGAGGCTGTTTGCAACGTTTTGACGAGCATGCAGGGCTCACTAAGAGGGTATGGAAGATATAAAGATATAAACGGTGGAACTTGGGCTTGAATGATCGTAAGTAGTGGGCGGACTGGACCACTATAAAAGGAGCTCCATCAACACTTTTCAACCTTCTTCTTTACAACCACCCAACTTCCCTCTTTGCAAGCTTCGTCTCTTCAAGCTTCCACTATCCCCTGCTTCTCATACTCTTGGTCACATCCAGGGTTCCGTCTCTCCCCTCTCCAGAGTTTTCACCGTCCCCTTCCTTCTCATACCCTTCCTCACGTCCAAAGCTCCATGCCATCTCTCTTCCCAATCAACGTCCTTCTACTATTCATAATCTGAGACTTGGAGTTGCAAGTTGCACCTCATCTCTCAGCACTAGCCACATTCTTCCCAAGGCCCAGTCTCGAATTATACGCAGATCGCATCGAACAGTGTTCGTCAATCCATCCCCCTCCACCTTCCCCACGGCTCACTTTCCCTCTCAACCTACATCCTGACGAGCCATTCTAGTCCGAAAACATCAATCGGTCTAGCTCTTAATTTCAGTTCAGTCTCACTCATACACCGGGTGTGTCGTCAAAATGGATTCCTCAAACCCCAAGGTTCCCCCAAATCCCAAGGCTGCTCAAGATTCCAAGGGTTTTCCAAATGCCAAAGCTTCCCAAAGTCCCAAGATCTCAAAGAGGATCCTGTCAAGGAAAAGTGACTCGTCACTGGGTCGCGCAGCGACGGTGGCCAGTGAATCTGGGATTAAGACTGAGCCTGAGTCGGATGGGAGAGGCTTGGATACCAAAATAGACGCAAGATATGCTAATTGCGCCAATTGTGAGTATCAAAAAAAATCATTTCTCTTGGGAGCTCGGAATCTACCTAACAGAGTCACAGTTAAAAAACATGGCCTGAAGAGGAAGCGGGAAGCTTCCGAATTTGTCATTAAGATGATGAGTTCCAGAAAAAATCAGCTCGACGAGATTGATAAGGAGATGACGGCGGCCAAAGCTCGAAGAGTACAAATCGAAAAAGACCAACAAAAATCAGGGCAAAAGCTTCAAGAAGCTAAGACGAAGGTGGAAGAAATACAAAAGGCGCATCTCAATTACCCATTCCGAATGAAAGAGGCACAGATGGAAATCGAAGCAATCAAAAAACGGAGGGATGATCTGCTGGATTCGGTGGACTCGTCCACCTTCACCGGGATTCTTGGAGCTTCTGAGGAGGTTTGAAATACAAATCAACCTTGGTGAATCTAATTCTCCAAAATCCCTTTTTGTGCCGTCCGCTAATGAAGAATATAGTCAGTTTCCGTTTCGTGGATAATAGGAATTTGCGCTTCTCTTTTTTGTCTTTTCTTTGCAGACAATTGACCACGCGGGTGATGGGATTTTTTTTCGATCTATCGGATTTACCAGACAAATTGACAGATTATATAGTGAAATTGAAATCTGGTCTAGTCGCAACCTGATGCTTAGCCCGCTGAACCCTTCTAGTACTATTCTCATACTTCGAATTGAGGGCTTCAAGGATCCATCCTACAACTTCAAACGTTGAACTTAAGTGCTTAACAGTTCTTCATTCCCACAACATTAATGATCGAACAGTCATTTTATTCAAACTTTTATATCACCTTGTGGACTTTTTGAATGATATAGTAGTACCTATATACTCTTTTCACCGCCTGGCATTATTCCAGTCGGGGTTACAGTTATCCGTATGCAATCGATACCTCTATCTTTCTTCCTTATCTGACTTATATATTAGCTCGTACTCAAGTAGCGTGCTCTTTAGCACTTGAGGTCCTTACCTAAATACTAGATAGAGGACAATGTAGGTGACCATTCAAATGTTCACCTACATACAGATATGAAAAGACCTCTGAAAGTGTGCATGTATAGGTCCGAGTCTGCTTACAAGTTAATTGTGAAGGGGATACTCCGTATAGAGTGTCCACTGGCAGTTAACATCGCTTCCTACAAGTCAACTTTGGAACATTGAAGTACATAGCTCTACTAATTCGGTTGCTATGGGTCGCGCAAATCGCCGTTTTAGGACTTGTATGGTTGACGAAAGACTTGAAAATATCGGTCATTTTCATTGGGCTTTGAATCCCTTTTTATTTCCGCCAACCAAGAATCAATAGAAATCTCAATCAATGGGATTTCACGGCTTAAGTGCTTGAGTCAGATTGACCCATAAAAGGAGTAAGCGAGCTTCGCTTGGCCCCCATTATGATAGTCAGGGATCAGGATTGGTGGATGAGGCTAAAGTGGAGCCTCTGTTGCCTAAGGGTGCCTGGACCCTTGATTAACTAGATCCGAATTGGACTTGGTGATACGAGAGTCAACAATTGATCCACCTGCCTATATTTAAGTCTTTCTCCGTCCCAAGGGAACATGAACAACATTTTATTAATTGCTACGGCGACTTTAATAGTCGTTGAAACTTTAATTCGGTATCAATAGTTTAGGTTGAATCCAAGTTCTTCGACAATATGACTTCATTACCTTCAGTACCAACAAAGCACGCCGACTTCTTGTCATATGTGCAGTCGCATCCGGAAACCTCTATTCGAGATCTAATCAAGCCTTACAATGAATACGATTCCGTGGCTCGCAAGATATTTGCCCAGGAGCCGTCACATCCCATGGTGCAAGACAACTACGCGAACATTGTCCCACTCTACAGTCCCACTGGTTCCACAGATGTTCGGATCCGAGCAAGAGATCTTGCTTCGGAGACACCGGCAGACAAGGAAAAATATATCCTACAATTGGATGAAAAGCTCCGCAGGACAAATAACTCGCCTGCCGTTGTTCCAAAATTGGCCGAGTTTCAAGAGAATTTCGCCCTGTTCACTGAAAACTCTCTTAGTGAGCTTGACTGGAGTAACGTGGTTGCAGCAGGAAGTGCGGTGGTGACTTCAGCGCTACCAGTTCCGGAAGAGTATCGTGGCTCGAAGAGAGGTCTTCGCGAATACTATCATGATAAGTTTGCCCCTGCATCGGATGTCGATCTTTTCCTCTATGGCTTGACAGAGGAACAAGCTATCGAGAAGATCAAACATATCGAGGACAGCATTCAAAATGCTATCTTGTATGAAACTACCACAATTCGCACCAAGAACACTGTGACTATTGCTTCGCAATATCCCACTCGTCATGTACAGATCGTGCTGCGCATTTATCATTCCATTGCAGAGATCCTGACTGGATTTGATGTGGACTGCTCCTGTGCGGCCTATGATGGCAAGCAAGTGTACGCGTCGCCACGTGCAATCGCATCATACATCACCCAGACAAATCAGATTGACCTCACTCGGCGTTCACCGTCATATGAGAATCGACTTTCCAAGTATTCTCATCGAGGATTTGAAGTATTTTGGGATCAGCTTGATCGCTCTAAAGTTGACCCTGTAAGTTCACCTTTCTTCCTTTGACTCACAAAGAAAGCTTTCTCTAATCAACCTCAAGACGGTTTTTGAAAGAAGTTTCGCTCGAACAGAAGGTCTTGCACGACTTTTGGTTCTAGAGAAACTTCCGAAAACGACGGACCGAGAGAACTACCTTGATAAGAGACGCAGAGAGCGTGGTCGCCCAGCACTCAGTTGGCGGTTAAGACATCGACAAGGCAGGGAGCTCAAGGGCAACATTAAAGATGAATGGGAAGATGAGGTGCCAGAATGGCAAGCTGATGATCAAATTTCCAGTTATCACACATTCGTACGCATGGTTACCTCTCATTTTATTAGTTCACGGCTAACTGTTTCTCTCAGACCATTCCTTACGGCAGGAGATTTAACGCGAAATCGATTGAGAAGCTTCTTTATACGAAAGATTTACTACTTAATGCCCAATGGAATCTCCCGAAAGATCGCGAGGTCTACCTTCATCGCCATCCCGCATTCTTCGGCGACGCTGAGCATGTCATTGGAGATTGTTGTGGCTTCTGCCCCGTACCTACCACAGAAGAGGAACTCAAGGTGGCCGAAGAGGAGAGCAAAATCTATATTTCCGGAAGTTTGACCTTCATCAAAGATGACCCTGGTCGTCAGGAGATTGGTAGCTTCAATCCAATCACAGAGACAGACTGGACAGGTAATGCATCACACCATGATATGCTATCGAATCTTTTGGACTGACGGTTATACTCTAGAAATGGCATACATTGGCCATACCGAAAGGCTCTGCCAAGCGATCGTTGCTGGAGACCTAGAGGCCGTCAAAGGCTTTTTCGCTGATGAAGAGGCAAACGTTGACCGCCGTGACTACACAGGACGCACGCCACTTCAGTTAGCGTGCATGTGTTCTACGCCCGAAGTTGTCCAATGCCTTGTTGATCACGGCGCGCGGTTGGTCTCTCGCATGGCTGATGGAAACACCGCGTTGCACCTCGCCGCCGCCCGTGGGAGTGTTGAGATCATTCACATTCTTCTCACCAAGAGCAATCAGAACGAAGAAGAGGAGTCTAAAAAGCAAGAATCCCGTTCAAGAGGAAAGAAAAGAAAGGCAAAGGAGCTTGCGGACTCTGGGGATGAAGCAGAGGACGCGGAAATGCGTGATGTGGACGCTTCTTCCCGCACATCAGCTTCTTTCGTCAAGATTGACAATGATGGAGAGGAAATCCAGATCACTGTTCCTGATGCTCTGGAGGAGAATGAGCAAGAGCCAGACATCTATGAAATCAATACACCCACGTGGGATACTCTTGCCACACCTCTTCATCTGGCAATTCTGCGTGGCCATATCGAAGTAGTCAAGACGCTTGTCTCATCCTTTGGAGCCGATGTTATGATGCCGGTGAAAATATTCAATGAACACAACAGAACACCGGCGGCTGCAATTCTCAACTTGGTGTTGGTTTTGTCTCTTCCTCTGGCTAAGGCTAGAGAGATGTCGCAGACCCTTCTCAAACTTGGTGCGTCTCCTGCGCAAGCTGATCTCAGTCATTGTACGCCACTGCATTACATTGCGCAGTCTAACTATGCCGATCTCTTTGATCTGTATATGGAACATGATGGCCCAGCCCTTCAGCGGACACTTAACCATCTAGCAGTGCACACTTCAGTTTTGTGGGGAAATACCGCCGATTTCTTTTCGGCTTTCATGAATTCCATCGGAGCTAGAAATCCCACGATGGCAAGAAAATTGCTCGATTTAGGCTCTAAGCCGCAGATTGAGTTGACAGAAGTGATGAACGCCTTGAAGTCTCAATTGAGCGATAAGTTCCATATTGAGCGAATTGCCACCGATATGCAAGCTGGTCCCCTGCAACCCATTATGTACGCCGTGGGAAGTGAGATGCCAATGATTGCAACTGAATTGCTTCATCGTGGTGCTGATCCTAATACGCTTGCCAAGCCAAACTTCAAGAACGTGTCAGAATCCCTCTTGGACCGCGTACGGAGTGCTTTGAAAGACAAACGTGACTGGTTGAGCGGGGAGTCTGCGAGTAAACCTGGGTACAACCATCCTTGGATGCTAGCGCCAATTGCTCCTATGGCGCCTGAAAGGGACGACAAGTCATATTTGGCAGAGACCTCTGAAGACTCTTACTCTAGGCTTGTCACAAAGATCCAGTTGAAGGCTGCCCATGATCGCGTTCAAATCGAAGCAGACCGGAAACGTAACAACAACCCCGCCAACCAGCCTTATTACAATGAAAAGAGACAGGCTGTTGAAGCTATCATCAGGGAGTACGAAAATCTCGAGAGGGAGCTATTAGTTCGGGGTGCAAAGACCTATGAAGAGCTCCACCCGTCTCCTCAACTCCAACTCCAGCCAGTTTATCAACAAGACTTCCAAAGCGCGCTGTTTGGTTTGCAACACGGGCCGTTTACGCCTCACCAGAACCAGCATGAATCTTTCCGAATCACATACCAATTCCAAATGCCTACCATCACCGCCCAACTGTCCGAGGCGTACCGATATCTGTAAGAGCATATCCTTACTGGCCTTGAATTAAAACACTAATACCATTGGAACAGATTTGAAGCAACATGGCACGGCGATTTGCCCACCGTCAAAGCGATGACTCTTGGGAATTGGGGCTCGTTTCAGGATCAGCCACCTTTGGAAATTGCAGTTTCCGATTCTTACGGCATCTCTTGTCTGTCCATTGCAATTCTGCGAGGCCATCTGAGTATTGCAGAAGCGATTGTTCAGATTATACAGGCACAGTACAAACGTCCAGAGGCCCAAGGTCAAGCACGATTCGAAATAGACTCTGATGCTGAATCGTCTGATGGAGAAGGAGAAGGCCTCAACATCAGAGGCCATACTGTTGATGATAAATTCACCCATGAAAATATCGGGGAGATCTCAACCCAGGTTCAGAGCGCCCAAACTCCCCTGTCAGTGTTGCAGCGTGAATGCAGTGCTTTTCTCTTCTTCGAAGATGAGGCTTCGTCGGAACTGATTTTTACTGCATTTCCCTCCAATCTCGCATGGGCTCACGAGCGTGGCAAGCTGAACACACTCTTTGAATATGCCATTTTCAAGAACGATCCTTCTCTTCTGGATTTCCTTCTCAGGCTTGGAAAAGAATGTGCCAACACGGATCCGTCTGGTAAGGTGAAGTTTGAGCTCTCTCAGAGAGAGTTCCAGCTCGCCCTGGCCTTGGGCCACACTGAATCCCTTGCCAAAATGATCCAAAGCAGCGCAGAAGGCCTTCCAATCGCGCACTTGGCAGAGAAGTCCGGCGTTAAGGTTAAAGAGGAGCATCTCTACTATCCTGGCTTGTCAATCCGTGGTAAAAAGAGAAAGGACTGGGCAACTGCCGGGCAGGTTCAGGAGGCTCCTCCGCCAACTGCGAGGTCACCCTTGTTGGTATCGGCCATTCAAGGAAATTTGGCCGCAACGGAGTGGTTCCTTGGAACTGCACCGGGCCGATATTATGTGGACTATGTGAACTCGCATATGGATGATGAAAATATTCAGCGACTTTCTCAGTCAAAGCTTGGACTTGAGGGATCGGTTCTCAATTGGTTGCAGACGAGAAGTAAGTAATACCTTAGCATTCAGTCCTCTAACACTAAAGAGTTGTGGCAAAACGACTTTTACTAATATCTAACAGATAACCTGGTTCTCCACTGTGCGGTCCTGTCGCGACCGTGTGAAGAATCTGAGCGCTTGGTTCAATATCTGGTTGACCATCACCCAGAATGCTTGGAGGTTCGCGCATCAGGAGGTCATACACCACTTTCCTTGGCATTCCTGTTTCACAAAACCAGCTTTGCCCGAATCTTGGTTGCTGCAGGAGCAGATCAGACAGTCCGTGATGTGAGGGGTGCTAACCTACTGCATCTTCTCCTTACTTCCAAAGGACAAGCAAGCCTCGACGCCGAGATTATCACGGACCTTATCAATCTCCTGAATCCACAACTTATCTCATCCATGCTTCTCCAACGTTTCGGAGAAGGATCCTTGACTCCATTTGCACAATGGCTCAACGCTATCAGAAGCTGGGACGATCCTCACGACAACCTCAAGCCCTCGAATGTTGCCAAGATAATCTTTGATCTCGCAGATTCCAGTAATCAAAAGCATCTGGAGCTTCTTGATGGATCCGGAAACACACCTGTTCACCATGCAGTCAAGAAAGTATTGTCTGGTCCCTTGGAACTCATGCTTGATCGACGACCAGATCTTCTGCACCGCGAAAACGCAACTGGAAGCACACCACTTGAGCTAGCAGTTGATGCGTGGATTAGCTCCGTCACTCGCCACCCACCCAGTCGTGCTTTCGACATATCCACCACACGTACTATGGAAAGATGGAAGAATATTGTTGATCGGCCTGGCTGGTTCTACGCTGGAAACCCTGACCTTGGAACGGACCTGGAGATCATGGTTCGAATTTGCCAGGCTCGATCTGAAAAACAGGTTGGAAATAGGCGACTTGTTACATTGTTTGAAGCGAACGAAGTTGCGAAGCGGTTGACTAGAATGGCCAATGGATTTGGAGGACGATCTGCGCGCTTCCATCACAATTCTGGTGACGACGAGAAAGATGAGGTAGCCCTGTGGGCAAATCTGGATTACTGATCGCAAGACCGAACAGTGGGGGTTCTTATATTTTAACTTGTAATCATTAAATGTTTATTCAAATTGGCTTCTATGAAGTGCTAGTACACTTTTCCCTTTTTGTGAACAACAGTTGTATCAAACACCTACTCCTTTGCGCTCTTTACCAGTGCCTGAACTCCCTTAGAGCTTAAACTGGGCATAGCAACTACAAATTCATGTAGGAATGCCACATCATTTGCATCCGTCCTCCACAGAGTCATATCAAATCTCTGCACAAGGCTTGCAACCACAAGGCAAAGCTCTGCACGAGCAAGCTCAACGCCCAGACATTTTCTTCCACCCTTACCAAATGCCATTTGGAATTTTCTCCTCTCACGACCCTCCTCTCCAAGCCAACGATCTGGATCAAATCTGTATGAATCGGGAAAGACACTAGAGGCGGTATGTGCGCTCAGAGTCGAGATGCTGACTGGCGTACCACCTGGGATGACATAGGACTATGATGTCTTTATTGAGCTTGTGTCCAGACGAGATGGTGTATAGGTGATTGGACCAGGTGCTATGCGTGATGTGCGGGCTGCAACACCGAAGGAGAGACGGTTTCCTTCTTCTATCACGGCAGACAAGTAAGGGAGCTTGTCGAGATCAGTCCAGCCCGCAGGAGATGGAACAGTCTTTAACTCGGCTCGCAACTTGGAGAAGATATTTGGGTTCGAAAGTAAGTGGAAGAAGATGACATTGAGAGTTGCAGCGGGTGATTCGGCGCCTGCGAGGACCAGAAGAGATCCCTCTTCTTCTAGTCGTTTCAGAGCCTTCTGGGAATCTGGGAGATTCGGATCATCGAGAACAGCTTCGTAAACGGACTTCTTTCTCATTGAGTCCACGCTTTTTTGAAATCCTTTTGATTTGTCTTCAATTATTGTGAGTAGCTCCTTGTTTACTCGCTCTTCAACTATTAGTAAGTAAACAAATCATTCATAAGGATTATGGGTATTTACACTTACACCAAATAGCTCGTGCATATCTAGTAGACTAGAAGGCATCATTGGCTTGCTGATGAATTCGGGGAGAGACTCCATTAGATCGGGAATCAAAGGGAAATGGCGATTCAAATGAACACCCTGTAGTAGGTTGTGGCTGTTATGGCGCAGAGTCGCAGCGTCCTTCTCGTCCCCTAGCACGTCGACTTGATGTGAGAAGAGGAAATTTGTCATGACACTATATGATAATATCAGCTTGTGCTCTGAGTTTATGGTAGGTCTTCATGTCTTACTCGTTGGACAAAGCAAAGAAAAGGTCTGATAGATTGACAGGTGTCTCCGTGGAGGCATGAGTCTCAATAACCCCGCATAGCTGGTCAACCTTCTCGGCTATCAGGTTCTCCAAGGTAAGAATGTTCCTTTTGCTGAAAAAGGGCACCAATGAATTTCGGCGTAGTTTATGAAGCTTATAGTCGGCAGTCGTACCCACACCACCGGGCATGCGAAGAGATTTCAGTTTATCTTCATATTTGTTCCTCGGAACTGAATGAAGTGCATATACTGTATCCAGAAAGCCAACATCGTTTATGTGGATTTCATTTGGGGCGATGCGAAGGATAGGACCTGCATATAAATTAGCTAAGGCAATGTGAAGAAGCGCGAGGGGTGACAGGTCTACCATATTCTTTGTGTAGCTCCTGGATCTTGAAAATGTATTAACCAGGCTTGATTGCATCAAAATAGAACTCATACCACCACGTTAGTGCAGCAAGGCGAGGACCAGGAATGGAAGATAGGGGATGGAAGAAGAGACGCCTAGTGGCCTCGAGTAAGACCCATGCAAGCCACGACAATGCTGATACCTTGATCAGCGTGAAGAGAAACCAAGTCATGTTCGTATTTATGCGCTAATAAAACAAAATTTAGGACCGTCTCTTGCCCAGATGGGTTCCAAGATTTATGACTAGATTTCGAATGGGGCCGGGCGAATATTCGAGGGACAGTGTAGGTGGTTGTGACAAGGCTGGCATTCCTGACTCAAGCTCGGAGATTACTTATATCCGACGAACTATGTGGATTTACAAGTCATGCTAAGAGAATCCTTATTTTCTGTTGATCACTGCATCTCCAATTCCTTGTCCTATCAGAACAGTCTGATTTGCTCACTGACTTGGTAATGAACACGGCCCCGGGGTATCGCCCCCGGCCCCCACCACCAGGCGCCTTGTGGAGTAGTCAATGTTGTCATATCACGATCCCTGTCCGCCTGGAGAAATTACAGCTATTCTCATTGTATCCAACAAGTTGAAAGCTGCACCCGAGTGACTGTAAACCCCACCTTCGAACATCTCTGTTGCGTCCTTGCCTATTACACCTGTGATCATCGCCGATCCACCGGGATGCTCTGTCACAAAAGCAGAAACCTCATGCACGATCCCTTTGATAACTATCAGATTGCATCCTGTTCTAGTCTGTTGCTGGTATTCTTCCCATGTCATCAACGGCAGATCTGCAAGCGGTCGACCCCAATTTAACATCTTGCTCTCATTGTCGAGTATCTCTTGTCTGCGTTGTAGTCTGCCTTTCTTGATCTCATTATGGGGGAAACGCTTCAAGTTCGTGGCAAGGCCAACTTGGGAACATGCCCATATCAACCACTTGGTGGGGTCGAAATCATATAGTCGAACTCCATTCCGATAATCAATTGGGAACTCGTGATGGAAGTTATGATACCCCTCTCCGAAAGTGATCAACGCAGTGAAGAAGTTGTTGCGGGGTGATTTCGCTGTTGTATATGGTTGAGAGCCTGCCCAGTGCCCAAATGAGTTGATACAAAATGTTGCTTGTTGGACGAAAAAGGTTCCGATGACACCAACAATAACAAATCCTCCAAGGAAGTCCCCATTTAGTAGACCACATGCTATGGTAGGAACAACATAGGCCACGACTAGTAAGAGGAGAGGATAATTTTTGCGTTGCCATTCCACAATTGGATCAGCTTTTAAATCACTGGTATCCACTGGCACATAGCCAGTATTCGGATCAATCCTCTGTTCATGTTTAGACCGATAGAACAGGATCCATCCAATGTGGGCAAAGAAGAACCCGTTCTGTATATTGTAGGGATCCTTGTCGGTGTCAACGTAGCGATGGTGTGCTCGATGGCCGCGACACCAAAACTTGATGCTGCCCTGCCCTGCGCCAGCCCCAACTATCGCTAAAGCCAGTTTCAAGGGCTTACTAGCATGATACGATCTGTGAGACCATAGTCGATGATAACCTATTAATCTCAGTCTTCAAATTCTGGCAGATAATATTAAATCTTCCAAATTAACGCACCAGCTGTGATAGCAAGTCCTCGTATAATCATATAGGCGAGCATGATACTCCATATATGCTCAGAAATAGGGATCCATAGGAGGCTCAGTATTCCTCCTAGGGGAATTACTATTAGTCCGACTGTGAACGTCCAGTTTAGTTGGGATAGTTCCGAGTCTTCGTCACGGTGGACCGGAAATTTTGAAATTGGACTAATTTTGGCAGGCATGTCAATAGACTTGAGGAGATTCTCCGTTGACAATGCACTGTCCTGAGACATAGTTGGGCGATTGTAAAGTTCCAAGGCGAAAAATCCAATACTGAATGGAAATTTTGGTTTTTTCTCACAAGCTGTCTATAAAGTAAACAGGGGAGACTGAAAGATAAACAAATTGACATAGTACTTCAGCGGCAATCTCGTAATACATCGGAAATCAGTTATAATTTGACTCCTAATATGCATCATTCAAGCTTCGGATGTATTTTAAACAGCCTGCATCAAATAGTACAGCCTCGTATCTGGGTTGAGTGATAGTATAATTTCTTTTTGAAGTTAGCCATGTTACGCGGACTCGTCACATATGTACAAAAAGAAACAATAGGAGGATGCCTAAAAAGGCTTTCTAGAGGCTGAGAAAGAGGCTCACAGAGCTCACATGCAGTATTCGCAGAGACATTTCTTTAAGTTTTGTTTCCAAGATCAAACATTTGAAGGACCTCGATGGGATTCAAGATTTCCGATTTTGAAGGCCAGTTACTGTACTAGCAAGCCCCTGCATTCTCGGTTAATCTCTGCTCAGATCAAAAGCAATTATGACCAGCTCACCACGTTCAGCCCTGGAGGCCTATCAGTGTAACCAAATACAAAGGTCGACATTGTGCTCCGTACAGCATTCAATATTTTGGTTTTGGTCACAAAGTTTTCTTTTCTTCTGATACATTATTGATTCGATAACTTTAACCATACAGTATATCTGCAAAATCCAAGTCGCGCAGAAGGTCTTTATACTAATTTGACATTTATTGATGCGGTGGCGTTAAATCACTGCTGTTTGGTTGGAACGATACATCCATAGAGAGTAATAGAGTTAAATTCAAATTACACGACATTATAATGTATTTTATCTAGTTTTCCCTGCCCTTGTGGCGCTTTATTTGTCTCTTCTAAGGTCCAGGATACCAGCAATCAGGCACTCCGAGTCGGTTCCAGGGCTGAATATGATCTTAGCTCTACTATAAATTGCATTGAAATTCTGGACCATTCGCAGTTAATCAAAATATAGCTCAATCTCAATTTGAAGCTGCCCTGGAGATTTGAATCTAATTGGCAGTTAATTCCCTCAAATGCTAGAGCAATGGATCTTTTTGCGACAAATGGATCAGTTCGCCTGGGCTTTCCGTCTCTTGAGCTCTTCCAGTATCCTTACAGTCGGCCTGATAAACTTGCTCTGGATCTTCGTCCGCCACCTCTGAATGACTCCCCACTTTCAGTTTGGCATCCATTCAGAATTAACCCTGAATTTTATCGCATTTCCCTGCAGCTCGGAAATGTTATTTCATTTGTGGTAATCTACATTTCCGCCGTCTTGTTTATGAATCAAGTCAACGCCGCAAGAGGATGGAAACCATGGGCTTTCAGCAAATCTTCCACTTTCAAAGCCTTGGTGGTAGCGCACAACATCTTACTAGCGGTTTTCTCTGCGTGGTCGTTGATTGCAACCATATTCCTGATGTGGAACTATTGGCCGTCGAAAGTAAGAGAGCAACAAGAGCCCTCCTACGAACATATTGCGGAATACTTTTGCCAACTACACTCAAGCGCATATCAAGGTAAGCTTCATTTCCTCGTTGAAATCCGAGGCTCTCAGCTGGGCACTAGCACAATTAATCTCATGAAATTCTCTGTTCTTAGTGTTGAAAAATTCAAATTCGATTAGTCCCACGGAAGCAGGACTCTCTTACTTGTTCTGGCTCTTCCACCTAAGCAAGTTTTACGAAGTTGTCGATACAATGATCCTTCTTGCAAAAGGTAAAAAGAGTTCAAATTTACAAACGTATCATCACGCTGGTATTATCATATGTACATGGACCACCATGTTCTATGAGTCTCCTACAGCCATTGTCGGTGCTTTGAATTTAGGCGTGCATACTTTGATGGTAAACTCCCTTCAATCCAGCAATTGCGTGTTTCTTATGCACCTGTACTGACCCTTCTTCATCTTAGTACACATACTTTGCCCTTCAAACACTTGGAATATCTGTTTCACTCAGTACAAAACGCGCTCTGACTAGCATTCAAATTACTCAATTTTTCGTCGGCCTAGTTTGGGGTCTTTGCTATCCGTTGGTGAGCTACAGGGTTCGCTTCATTGACTCTCTCTCAGAGTCAGGCTCAAGCGCCTCACCGAATCATGAAGCCTGTTCAATTGCAGAGAGAGGATGGAATTCCACGACAGGCTCAGCAGCGCAAGACACCTTTGTTCCATGCTTGAGTGACAGTGGTGAAGCGGCTACGGTTGTGGTTTCGTTCATTTACATTTGGCCCTTGATTATATTGTTTATACGATTTTTCATCAAATCGTATACCAAAGGCAAAAGATCTTAAGGTCCCTCGAGTTGGTAGAGGGACCAATGGACATTTACAATGTAGTACCTCCTAGATGTTTGACCAGAATATTTAAATTTCCAGCTTCTTGATTCAAATGTTCAAGTTCTCTTTATTTGCGTGATCGTGGTGTGGGATCTGTACTTAAGCTTCTAGGTGGTTAAATACCACTAGTATCAAATAATTGAACAAAAATTGAATGATCGATCGATTTTGTTCCAATGTTCAGTCTAGGCCTGAAGGACTCGGAATACTAGGCGATGCTGTCAACTGGTTGCAGCCCGTTGTATCTGGGCTCTCAGGGCTCTGTTCTAACACGAATTGATAAGTATTCTGGCATGTGCAAGAAATTATTATGAAAGTGGCAGCTAGGCAGTATATAGTCCTAGAATGACATGAACCTTGGGATGAATAGAAATCATAGCAGGCACCTGGGCAGTGGTCTGGATCATGATGGTTGCGGGGGTGCCCCGTGTGAATACATTTGGGGCATTGAAAACTCTTCAAAATTCTAATCAAACTTCGAATTAAACTTCAATATATGTGAGATCATCATAGAGAATGTTTGTAAATCTGATATGGCAACCTGTTTGAAATAGACCTCCACACTCCGCATGGAACAAGGCAGACGTAGATTTTGCCACTGCACATGTTAAAACTTCAAGGTTCTCACCCCCTCATACACGGAGAGTCGGGGACATCGGCTATGAAATTCCGTTGTGGATATGTCTAAAACGAATTATTGACTTCCTTTTGTGGGGCTTGTTGACAGAAGTGGATTCAAGGGGGCTGACCGAAGGATGGAATCTCCCGATTGATCACCAACGCTTGCCTTCCCTTGGGTTAGCACAGAGTCAATAGTGTATCTTGTATGCAAGACACCGGAGTCTCATGGCGGGGAAAACTAGCGACGCTAAGAACAATGTGGTGGTTGATCAGCTAGAATGATGTTATGAATATTGGATATCTCGGCTCGGGGTTGCTGTGCTGTACATAACAAACTCCGCAATAAGCGAGAAATGAAATGATCGACGTGTCTGGCCCAGTTTTCAACCAACGGAGCTGCTGTTAAAGGCTTTCAATTGGATACCAGAGATTAATGACAGCCTGATGGCCGTTGGAGGCACGACTGTAGGTAGTTTGATTTTCAACCCGTTCAATTGCTTCCCCTGATTTCATAAAAGGCAACCCGATCGCGGAGTAAGCGGAATACACAGCTGCAAGAGAAATACCGTACTTGCTTTTGCATCAAGATGCAGACATTCGTATGCAGAGTTTTGGAGACTACAACGTCGTATCCAATCAGTGGGTCGCCAGGAACAATAAAGGTCTGTTCGCAAAACGTACAGGGGAAGTTCCATGGGTTCCAGGAATCACAACAACCAAGACCAAGATTTTCCAGCCATGCGGGACATAAAGGCAGGGATCTTCCATGAGGCTCCACCATGGCTGACGATGCAGTGGAGAACAAGGGGTCTCAAATGACGCTAAAGTGTTCGATGGCGAGCTTCGGTGCATTCACGCGCTTTTCGAACCAAGAACCACATGGCACCGTACATCATCCATCCATAGTGTGCCCCAGGACGGGGAGTTATGTACCCATAAGCGCTCGTGCGCTATTGGGGAAACTATTCAAGTCTGCGGAGTCCATACCAAATGTACTCCGTACAGAGTAGCACAGCGACTGGGGTTTCTTGTTTAGGCTGTGCATGAACAGATCGACCCACCTGGCGTCCTCGAGAGTTTTATGTGCATCTCAAAAGCCACACCCCCGCTCTTTTCTCATGACTCGTTTTGGGATCGCAGACTTTTCGAATCCAGCCCAGACTCATCAGTCAAAATCGTCTAGGCTTAATGCTGTGAGCCAGTTCAAAGTTGACTGAGGGTTGATTTGGGTCCCCTTGTTTAGTTAGGACAGGCTTGATTCATCCACCACACTCATTAAATCTCTTCTTCGCTCCTTAACTCCCACTCGCTATTAATATGGATGTTCTTTTGCATGAATTAGTGCCTCGCACAGAAGACCATGGACACTCTCGTGGCAAGCGAGCTCTTGTTGTCACAGCCGTTCTTACCTCACTGGCCGGTCTAGTCGTTTGCATGCGATTTTATGCACGGATCGGGTTGATGAAGAACACTGGCCGTGAAGATTGGGCTGTTTTGGGCGCATTAGTAAGTTACTATGATGTGTGGTCAGCAGGAATCTTTGACTAATGTCTGACCTCGTGTCGCTTATAGACACTATCAGTTGTATACTGCGGTCTTGTTGGTGCCCGTATGTCGCAAATCATCTGAATATACAGTGACTTCTGAATACTGACTTCAAGAGTACAGAATTCCACTTTGGCATGGGAACTCATGATACATATCTCCCGACACATATTCTGCGCGAACAATTGAAGGTATGTTGGAATACTGAGAATATTCAAACTTGAGCAGCTACTAACTTACGCGCCGTTTTAGTGTCTCTGGGCCGCTATCCCAATATACAACGCCAGTCTCTGTTGCACTAAATTCTCCATCCTCTTCCAATACCTTCGCATCTTCCCCGCTCGCTGGTTCCGCAATGCCTGCTATATCATGATGGCAATTGTGGCTACATACTCAACCTGGGCTGTTGTCAGTGGTTTCTTAAACTGCGTTCCTGTCAGCAGATTCTGGGATCGCACTGTGTCAGGATATTGTCTCAACTTTGATGCTGTTTGGTTCTTCAACGCCTCGATGAATATCGCAACAGACGTGACGCTTTTGCTGCTCCCTATGCCACTGCTTTCCCAACTGCAGCTTCCACGGCTACAAAAGATTGCGCTGATGTGTGTCTTCGCGATCGGTATCCTGTATGTTCAAGTCAACACTCCAGACTCCTCTATTTCTGTACTCTGAGTACTAACGATGCAATCCAGGGTCGTCATTACTAGCATTCTCCGACTCTCAAGCCTTCGAACTGTTGCCAGTAGCCCGGATACATCTTACGCTAACGTCGGCGCTTCCTACTGGACAGCAGCCGAATGCAACGTCGCTATTATCTGCTCTTGTCTCCCATTCCTGCGCCCTATTGTCAGCAAGTTCTTCCCTAAGCTGCTGTCCACAAACAGCTACAACAATAATTACACTGGCAACGATCACACGGGAACAAACAGATATACGAACAGATTTGCCAGTCACCGCTCAGCTCGGCAGCAGAGCCAGTTGTTTAGTCGGACGGACGAGAGAGATTACGATATCTATTCCATCAACGTGAAGCCAGGTGATAGATCCAGTCGAAGCTCACTCGGTGGTATTGAGGTTACCACTGAGATGACGGTCATGCAGGATACTGTCAAGCATGATGAAAACGTTAGCGAGAGGAGATTGGTTATTCATTCTTCTGGATGAGCGCCTATATACCCTTTCCTCCCTCTCCCTCTCAACCTCGCCCTCTCTTCCCCTGACACATACTCACTCGTTGCTCTCGCACATTCTACCTTTCATTTTCTCTGTATATTTTATTTTCAACCTGTACATATAAACACACGTTTACGACTTCACTGCTTTGGGATGGTATTCTCTATTCTTTGGAACTTCATTGGGATTGGATTTGGGCGAACTTTTGATTGATTCTATATATAATAACATGAGAACATTATTATTATTGGAGCATTACATCTGATTCAAATATTATTGACCATTAGCCTATAACTTGAACATTTGAAGCCTTCTAAGATAGGTTTCACCAGAAGACACTGCTGGATGCGTAGGACATACTCAGTCATGCATTTATATCAATAATAACTTGTCCATCCTGTCCTAGCTCCTCTCGAGCAACAGTTCCCAATTCCAAACTCAACTCCTGAATCTTTTCTCTCACCCAGGCATGATCCTTAGCATCAATACCAAGCAAACAAGCTCGAAACTGCTCAAGCCTCGTAGGAAAAATCTCCAACCTATCTAGCATAAGCCTATCCTTCTCGGCCTCACGAACAATAACCCTCCATACAGCCCCAAGATCATTCCGATATGTCTCCCGAAACACATAATCATTCACGAAATCCCCACAGCCATAAAGAATAACCCTACCATGATAAACCTCGGCACCCTGGATATGATGAGACGAGTGCCCATACACAATATCCACATCGCACTCATCAATAAGAAAATGCGCCAACGAGCGGATTTGATCTGACGGAGACCATGTATAGTTCGGACCCCAGTGCACAGAGAAGATCTTCAATGCGGGCCTTGTGTCCGATTCAGATGAATCATTCTGTATACCAGATCCCACGCATAATCTCCTCAGTCTTTCCCGTGTAGACTCTGAGTAATCAAGAAAATGGAATGTCGGAACAGAGGCCCAATCCAGTGGATGATCCGAAGCAGAATAAACATGAACTCTGAACCCATTGTTCTCCCCAGATTCAGATCGATGTTGGCTAGGAAGAACGACCTTCCCATCAACACGTCTAGAATGAAACTCCTGCACAGAACGCGGAACCCATAACACCGCAGGTTTATACGCTTCATCCGTAGTTTCACCTGCGCCCGCAAAGGAAATCCCAGTCTCTTTTAACGTCCAAACTGTCTCAACTAGTCCTTCCTCTGAATAATCGAGAACGTGGTTATTTGCCAAACTGGCATAATCAACATGTGCGGCGTGCAGAACGGGTCCCAGGTTTGCGGGGTGCATGCGGTAGTTATATGTCTTGTTTGGCCATGCTTGGTTGGTAGTTGTTACGGATGTTTCGAGGTTTATGAGGAAGAGATCTGTGGAGCGGAGTAGAGGGAGAGTTGTTCCCCATGGTGCGGATGGAGTGTAGGCGTTTTCATTTAGTGTTGATGGGTGCTTGGATTTGAGGTCGGAGACGTTTCGGGCATCTCTTGGACTGTCGATGGAGGTTGGGAGGAGTTGGTCTACCTGTCTGGCTAACATGACGTCGCCGACCAAGGTTAAGGTGTAGGAATTGTCAGTGGTAGTCATGGTGGATTCATTAGAGAAGATGGCTGGTGGGTTATGGAATACGATTAAAAGAATAAAATGATCTGAGTCCTATCTCTGCAATAACTTGGTCATGATGACATTCTACGGGCCGATCCGAGAGATTTATACTGGAAGTAGAATAGGAGTTCCCTCATAATTTAGTTGAGGGAGAAAAGTCACAACTCAGCTCGGCTGGCCGAACGGTCAGCGGTCTCTGATGCGATATGTGGACAGAGGCATTGGCCAAGAGGTCTGGGTCCTGGCTGGTGGTTGAGCGTGACCAGGGGGTGGGCAGGGTAGCGGCTTCGGCCGCGGGCAATCTTTTTTTTTTTAATTTTTTGATATTTTTATATAAAATACTTCCAGACTCGCTCTTGCTATTCCTCTTTTCAGAAATCGAAAATAAGCAAGATTGAGTGAGATATCAAGGATGATGTGGTGGGCATGGATGTATCAAGTGAGGCTATTCGCAGGATCTCATCTTTCACATCGATGCGCGCCCGATTTTTTGATTTTGAAAGTCCCTGGTTCGACCCCAGGCGCCGGCAAGATCATTTAAATATCTTCCTCAATTTAATTGTCCAAGTCGGTCATCTTTCTAATTCTCTGTCCATCATGATACATGTGTATTCCTCGGACCTCAACCCGATAAATTAGTTACTATTACTGGAATTAAGAGGCTAGTAGGCATAAAAAATTATAGAAGTGTTCATCTAAAGCAATTCAATTGTAAAATACACTTCGTTCTCAAGCACTTTTGTTTTTTTTGAGAGGTAGTAGCACAGTAGGGATCAAGTCCCAGCAAAATCAGTGGTATCTTGCGCGAATCTCCGAGGTTTTTGCGCCGCATGAAATGTGTGGAGAAACTCCATTGCAAACCAGAAAAAAAAATAAAGAAATATCAAAGCTCATTAAGTTCATGTCGTCAAAATAGGACCGCACTGTATCATCGGCCCATTTGAGCAAGTTCACGCTCTTTCGCCCGTAACGCCTCACGCATTTGTTCGGCTTCCCGCTCCAGCTGGGCTCGACGCTCGACTGATTGATCAGCAAATGAAGAGATACCGGGTAAGGCCTGCGGTGGGTGCTGGCTGGGTGCCTGGTAGGGCTGGGGGTGGCCCATGGGCGAAAGGTCCACACGGGAGGTGTCCCGTCGCTCGGCCTGGTTCAAGATGGACGAAATAGAACTCAGTCGACCAGGTGGAGTGGGGTGCACAGCGGACATGATAGGTGGCAATTGATTTGACCCAGACTCGAGACTGGCTGGGCCTGGAAGTGTTTCCGTTGTCGACTCCGCCAGCGTGCGTTTTTTAGGAAGGGAGAGAGAATTAGGGGAGACGGATCGCCGTCCATAATGGACTGGCGAGTGTCCGAGTCGCTCCGGGTCGAGAAGCTTAGGAAGCTGGTGATGGTGATGTATGGGAGCAGAGGTAACATAACCGGTGAAATCTACCGGGGGTGGAGCGAAGGGCAAAGGGCGGGACGCATCCTCATAAGAACCTCTTCCAGGCATATTATGGTAATGGTCGGCAGGCTCATTACTCATATACCGATAGTGATCTTCGTGAGAATGTGCCAAGGTTGAAGGAGAGGCTTCGGGGGAGGCCGATGAACCATTGGACGATTGGGTAGCAGCAGTAGGCGATTGATCTCGGAGCGCGGGAACAACACGTTTGCGACGTTTGATTATTGACTTTTTCATGGTGGTGGGACGATAGCAGCCGTGAAGCTTATAATAAAGACCTGAAAATGTTCATGTTAGCGGATACAATAAGAGCAAAAGCAATTTCCTCTATGAACCTACCACAGGCATTGCAAATAGGATGACCCTGCTCATCCCTCCGCCAAAGTGGAGTCACAGTCGTGCCGCAATTTTGGCACGCAACCAGACTTCCATTAGTATCAACCGGTCCATTTTTCGCCGGAGCCTCAGTCGTTACCGGAGGAGGTGTCGGTTCCTGGTCTGCGGCGGATGCACGACCCCAGTGGTTCGGGCCTCGTGGTGCAGACTTGTAAATGCGATTGTTGTAGGCTGGGCAACCATCGCATCCTTCAGCACCGCCTGTGCCATTACAGCTTCCACCTCCTGGGCAAGAACCCTTGGAACCCCCGCAACCTCCTGATGTTGGAATCGAATCCATGTGTGGGGCCGGGGCAGCTTGTTTTTCAAGGCCATCGGGGGCATGTTGGACACAATTCCGTTTCGTTGGGCGTGCGACATTGCGAGCTTTTAGGTAAAGACCGCAGGCATTGCAGATCATCGCTCCGGTTGGGGACCGTCGCCAAAGAGGAGTGCTCTTAGTTCCACAATTGCTGGAAGAATATGTCAGTTCCTGTTAACAAATAATTTTTCGAGAAAAAAAAGAACGCCTTACCTGCATGAATGCCCTAAAAACGATGTGTCTTTTTGAGCCCGCGGAGAGACTTTTCCCTGGTCATCTGAGAGGCCTGTTAACCCGGAACCGCTATGCGGTGGGGGACTTCCAGACATCTTGATGGCAGATTCTCCATAATGCTCTGCTAAATGTTCACGACCTGCCTGTGCAGATGAGATCAACTGCTGGGCAGCGTCCAAATCCTCCGCTGACGGTTGCCGCGTTTGAGCACCGGGGTCCCGAGCGAAAGAGCGCACCGTTTCCATTGGAAGAGATGCTAGCATCACCACCTTGTCGCCGAGAGTATTATCAAAAATCTCCCCGGGAAGATGAAACAGGAGAAGGTCGTTTAGAAATTGGGCCCTCCGATTCCGGAGTGCAGAAGAGATATCAGGGAACGAATGGATGGAAGCGAGGAGAAGAAAGTCCAGATAACGCCGATGTGAGGGCTAATGTCGCACCGCAGTCGGAAGTAGAATTAACGTATCACCCACAGAAACCAAAGGATGAAATGTCGGTCAGGCTACTCGGTGCTTGAAGCGAGAGACGGACACACCGGTAAGAAGGAGCTGCAGGCGTGGGAGCCGCAATACGGGCGAGAAACCAAATGTTTGCCAACGAAGAGGGGCAAGTCGGTGATCCTGTGACAGGGGATAGGAATTTGCGAACGAGGCAATGGCCAGACACTGCAAGACCCAATATCAAAGAGTGTGGCGACCCAGTGGTCCGGAACGGTCAGGTGATGGCGATTGCGACAGCTGACAGCACACCAGGAACGCCAGACTGACTTGGCACTATGGGGAGGGCAAATTCGGGAGTTGAGGCCGCAAGAGGCTAGATGACGATAGGATTGGGCCGAGTTCGCTAGGGGCCTGCAGGACGATGATCACACCGCGTTTAGGAGTACGGAGAGAGACAGGGACGGCAGAGGGGACTCGGAAAGAGAGGAGGAACAAAGAAACGGGGTCCCAAGTGAAAAGGTTAAGGCCGGGAAAGAAAACTAGGAAAAAAAAGAAAAAATTGACTGGTCTGATCAAGACTTGACCGAAGTAGTAAATTAGGAAGTGAAAGAGGGAGAGAGAAGATCAAGAAAGAAAAAAAAAGGCTTATCGAAGAAGGGATTACGGGGAGTTTGGGTTTATCGATCTACGAAGGGGGGATCGGCGGAGACTACTATCATATCAGTCTAATCGCATCAATGGCGCTATCTCATCTAATCTCCTGATGTCGACTTTGTTTTCTTAGTGGTATTCTATATATCTAATTTAATCTATCTTACCATAAATCCTTTTTTGGGTCTCACCTGTCACTTAGATTTAATGTTGTATAATTGCTTTTTTTGGAGTCCGAAAATCTCTGATCGCCGATAAGCCGAATCTTTTGTTCAAATGTCACTCCCCAGATCGTGAGGACCAGAAGACTCCACCGATTCCTGATCAAGTTTAGGGGGGGCAAAATATGAGTAAATACAGTGGGAATTCACCTTCCCAAGAGAGGTGAGAGCGGGTCTATGCGAAGGCAAGCATATTTATAATCTCGCTAATTGGTGGAGCCGGGTTTCCGGTTAAGGTCAGCATTTATATAAAGAATTTCGTTGGTTCTCGGAACTCACGGGTTCCATCCGGTACATAAGGCCACGCTGTTTCATTTTACTAACAAAAATCCATATTAATCCATATTAATGTACTCCGTAGAAGGCAAAAGAATAAAAGCAAAAAGCAAAAATACCCAAAAAAGCTTTTCGGCATTAAACGAAATTTACTAGTACTTCCTAGATGCCGACTCCATGTGTCTACTACGTAGATCATGATCGATTCGCACGGTTCAAATGTTCGTACTTTATTGAGGACCTTGCATTAGTTTCTACGTCTAAAACATTTGGAGGTCACATCCAGGGGTGAATCAAGGTAATATGTACAGCTTGATCAACTCTATCTTTCAAGTACCGAGGTGGGATCGGTGATATCTTGGCAGTGATCATTATAAATGGCCTCTGTGATAGGTAAGCCAGTGGAGTATGGGCAGGATGTTCTACCCGGGTGGTGGATATAACACGTGATTTCATTATATCAGGTAATTGGGCGGTAGATTACTCCTGAGCCCGGGAGGCTCTCAAATAAACTACACCCAACACCATTAACTCGAAAGGGGCACTTGTATGCACACCTGGGCATGTGTATACGAGCCATGGCAAAAACCTGGAGACCGCAGGCATCCTATACATCTACCTGATTAAGAGTAATTTGCAATGACATGTCCTGTGACTTCAAGCTCACCTCTGCATTTTTACTATCCACATGCAAATATCTCTTCGGAGACCAGGACGAGCTAGAGAGCGACTCGGAGCTAGTAGCCTTTGTAGTCACTCATACCACGGTATCCACTCATAATTCACTAGTTTGTCATAAATCTTCACAAAATGAAATGGTAGTTCAAATTTAGATGAGCGCTTTCCGAGTATCCGGAATTCCACAAAACTCCTGAAATAGCGAGGTGAAATGGATTCGCAGTAGTTTGCATGACTGGACGAAAACCCGTCTATGCTTACTCCATATGCATTTGAGCTTAATGCCGTTGAATGCGATACTACCACGATCCGAGAGTCGAAGCTAAAGGCTCCAACTAACTTCGATAAAGAATTAGATTATTGCAAGCGAAGTTAGCATCCATCCAATAGTATCGAGAATCTATTTTTACATGCAGTAGTATCAATCTCGAAATCTCCAGACGTCCCGTAGCTAGGACTGGGAGTCGATCAGATTGTGGGATCAATTTAGGGCTGAACCATCTGGGCACAGCCATGAAAACCTCAGGCTCAATTCACATGGATCACTCAAGTGACGGGCCAATCATACTTGACCCTTGCCTACTATGTATAGACCTTGAGAAGTCCACCCCATACTACTCCATACTGAGATCATATCTCAGGTTTCAAGCTCTTGAAATCACAAACCCAGGCGAACGATCATAAAGAGATTCCAGGGCCTTTAACCTTGAAAGAGAAAAATACAGATGACTTTCTCTCAATTTGAACGTGCAAGGACTCATATGTTTCAATCTACATAGTCTACAACTTGAAAATCGGAATATTTGAAATGAGGTTGTCATATCTCATACCTACTACCCGCGATCTGCTAGTGCCTACTACTACATATGGCTCCGACGTCCGTGAATAAGAATTTGATTGATATAATATTCGAGCTTAACCCCGCATAAATTCCATATTTATAGGCATATATACCAAATGAGCTTGAAATTTACTTGGTCATTCAAGAATGTCGCCATCATCTAGCCACAGCGACTCAACTATAATACAGTTTCTCCCCAAATGGAACCACATCCATAGGTATCAAAGGTGGACGAAACGGAGTCAGAAGAAAAAAAGAAAAAAGAAAAAGAAAAGGGAAAAGGGAAAAGGGAAAAGGGAAATCCAAAACGTAAACTCAAGCCTCTTCTCCACAGCAACTCGATTGTTCCACAGGTCATTCTTCAAGGACCAGGCGAACTTGAAATATCTGTATTGCCGTGGCACCATTCATCCATCATATAACGCATTGCGTGAAATCAACGCTGACAACCATGCACTATCCATGAATGACAGAGCAGTTCTATACCTCCCCATCATTCATACCGTCACTTTACGAAATAAAAATGACACTACCATGCTTGTTGCGGGACCAGGTGAACAGGCTTAGACCTGCTCAGCACCCCAACCCTGGTCAGCCTCGCGCATGTTGGAGGGAGGCTCGATGGAGGGGATGAACTCGAGGACGAGGTACGCGACACCGGTGATACCAACGATGGAACCGGCAATCTCGCGCAGCACGAGGTCGTGGAGGAGGATAGAGCCGACGAAGATGTAGACTGTGCAAGAGATGATTAGCAAGCGCACTATCGGTGAGGTAACAAGGTATTGACTTACAGACACCACGGCCCAGGAAGGAGAAGAGGAAAGAGGCGTAACGGTAGGCGTAGTCGGGAATGTTAGGCAGGAACTCCAGACCGGCAACAACTATATCGCTTTCATCAGTACTTGTCACTCAAACTCATCTCAAGCTCGAGCTTAAAGGTAATTGTTCAAACTCACCCAGACCGAAGATAATCACGTATGCACCGACAATGACGGAGCTCATGCTGGCTGGGAAGAACTGGCTGATACCACCCAGCACCATGACCACACCCACCGCGATGTTAACGAGACGACTACACCGATTATTAGTATAAATGCCATGACTTTGTTGCTTGATCCCACTCGCAATCGAAAGATTCCAGTGATTCCAAGTGTGAGCCTGAAAAGCAAACATACAAGATATTGGAGAAGTCCATTTTGATTGTGTTCAAGATTCGGATTATCGGAATAGATATCGGTGTTTCGTGGTGAATCTGCCGGCAATAACAAGATAGACAAGGTAGATAGAGAGCTAAGCGTTTTGTGATTCACTAGTAGTTCGTTAGTCTGCTTTCATCCACCGAGAGTTCATCTTTGTTGGGGTTGGGGCACAGACGGACCCGGTGGAGGACCGAGAAGTCTTGAGCGGTCGATATCGTACCTGATATGAATCAAACGGAGCAGTAGCACAAGATAATGAGTTGGAAGAAGTGACAGAAGCCAAGACTAGACTTTAAGTTGGAATGGGGGTAGAACAGGGGCGTGATGGAAGAGGCGTGAACTGACCCAGTAGCTGCGCTGTCGCAAGCAGCGGGTCTTGCCAAGCCTGAGCCGCTGAATCAGCACGGTTTAGATTGGTCACGTGAGTGGCTGAGCGAGAGATTATCAGATTAGGATATGATCGACGCGAGTTCAGATCCATGGATGATATGCCGCCAGGCAGCTTCTTTCATGACTATCATCCATGGATGACCTTAAGCTACGGATTATAACCAGGCTCCAAGTTTATTATCTGCAGTCATGATGCAGAAAACATCAACAGAATACAAAGAGCCTCAAAATAGGCAACAGTGTGAGATTTGAAGATTCGAGCTACCGGCTCCATCAATGACGCACATGTGCTCCGTGCGACGTTTAACTGTGTGGCATCTCGAGTCAGATACCAAGATTCCTGAAACAGGCTACCAGATGAGTGTATCTCTATTAAACTTGTTTCTTCTCAAGGCGTACTTTTGATAAGCCGTTTGCCAGCCGAGTCATATCCTCAGGTTCTCGCCCCAGAGCGCCATAGATAGCATCTAAATCTCTGCCTATTCCAATCTCATCGGCCGTCTTCAAGCTGCGTGAATCCAGAAATGGTGCTATTGATGGCCAGATACTCTGCACGTCGTTGAAAAACAGTTCCACTCCCAGATCTCCAACACCTTTGATCTCCTTCATCAATTCCCGGACTTTTTCTCGATCGCCGTGTGCAGCATGAAGTAAATTGTTGAGGTCGCCATCTGTAATGGTCCATATTAGTTTGATTGACAGACTTTTAATACCCAGATAGATGATGTAAATACATACCATAACCCTTGGACACCATGTTCGCCAGGGTACCAAGATTGGTTGCGCATTGTTCTCGGTATCGGTTATACCCTCCTTCTCTTAACACATTCGTGCGTTCCTCCCATGTTGTGCTAGAGAGTATATCAATATGATGGTACCCCTCTTCAATCAGATGAGCCAGAGCTCTGCGACTCAGATCATGGGAAATTGGTCGTGACTTGACCATCACATCTAGCACCATTGCAAGTACCGTATCAGGAGCAGCATCCAAATGATCCTGTTTATCAAATAAGGTCCCAGTCAATGGTCGCTGGCCATACTCAGTAGTCACAGAATGAATACTAGAAGACGAAATATCGTCTTCATAATACCCGTCATGGGCCTCATCAGATGAAACCATCTTATGTAGGAGTAAGATTGGTAGATAAAAGGCGACGACACATCCCAAATTTTGAAATTGGAATCAAAAATAGTTGAGATATTCAAATTTCATCATGAAGTTTTGAGAGATCCATATACTGTGGCAATCCAAAATCATTTGACGTCACCTTTGCATAACGACTGCCACCACTCGCACTGATAAGTGCGCCTGAAATCTCGCCGTGCATAACACTCTTCGAACAACTAACAATCTCATCGATGATTGTAAGTAGCCGAATATCCGCGCTGAGGGAGCTTGCTGACCTGCTCACTCATCGACCGGGGTTCAACCTGCTTGAACAAACACATTTATTCTGAATTTGACTTCAGTCTGATTTTTTTAGACTAACAAGACTCAGATCAGAATATAAGTGATTGTTTGAAACTAAATCCAAGTATTATCTGAATTCTCTGGATTCCAAGGCGATATTGACAGAGTCAACCGTGCAAGTGAGCAACTCTCTTAGCCTGCCACCGTATCTACATGCACTGGCAGCCACCGAATAGAATAATCTTGTTACTCTATGACCCAACACAAGTAGCATGCCATAACCAATCTCGCTGTTCAAATTATAACGCATAAGGTTCCTTTCTCCTCATTACATAGTGAATGCTGCTTACTATGCATTTGCTGATCGAAATCTTCGGGGCCAAAACGCAGGCAGTGGGGATTCAATTTGGCGTGATGCTTGCAGTAAACTATGAGAGAAAAGTGATTTTCACTGAACCATGAAGGCCCCGGGGTTAAGGATTATTGAAGATGGGGGCCATCTACAACAGAATGCAGATCACAGTGGGCTACAAATTGTCGCAATTGAAAAAAGTACAGCAAGTGGGGATTTACGCGTCATAAGTCAAACCGAAAACTTGGTTAAATGTGAGATAAAACCCCCTTCACTTGAAACATCAATCGGTCTCTTCACCTGAACACAATTGACCGGGTGCATAGCTCTTCGCAATTTCGGATTTAAGGCTAACACCCGAACGAAACCCCGCTCTCAGCGATCTGGTGAATTGTGATTGCTTCCAGTAAGTTAAATGTATTTCGGTTTATCATTACAATATTCGTTTTAGACAGCTTTCTTTAGTAAATAGTTCGCGTGAACTGTCTGTTCCTTTAATATCTCTTCCTCCTTGCGCTATGTGCTGACCAGAGAGAAGTAAAAAGCAATTAACCTGGTCCAAATCTCTCTCATGGAATTCTTCGTAGTAGCCGCCGCATCTTTGATGCAAAGTGTCTGCAATAATCTCTCGCCCCAATACGCACCTGGCTTTATTCATAGTCTATGCAACCGCGGAGACATTGCGACTGACCTTGGTGTACATCTCTCTTCGGGTACCAATATCTGGGTTCCAGGGTCAAGCAAATTCGACATTGCCACTACACGGTGGTCTGCATTGGATGCCCCTAATATCAGCATTGTTGTTGAAGTGGCCACTGAAGATGACGTTGCAGCAAACAGTACGAAATTAATCAATCGATACACGAGAGAAATTAAACTGATCTGATTTTCCTTATCAGGTGAAATATGCAAATGAAAACAACCTGCCATTTCTGGCATATAATGGAGGCCACGGCGCTATTGAGACGCTTAGCACTGTTGAAAATGGCATTCAAATCTGGCTCAATCAGTTGAACTCGGTGTTCATTTCTCAAGACGGCCAGACGGCTACATTTGGCGGAGGTGTCAAATCGAAACACGTCACAGATGCGCTGTGGGCTGCTGCAGTATATCAGCATGGCCACTTTTTCTTCCCAGATGTTACGGATCAGCTGAACGATTTCAAAATAGTGACCGGCGGATGCGAATGTACAAGTCTACTCGGACCCGGCCTTGGTGGAGGCCATGGGTTTTTGCAGGGATGGCATGGCCTGATTGCGGATCAGTTTGTATCATTGGACATGGTGCTTGCCAACGGCTCGAAGATCACTGTTGATGATGACTCAGAATTATGGTGGGCCGTCAAAGGCGCTGGCCATAACTTCGGTATTGTTACATCAGTCACTTCCAAGATCTATGATGTTCCAGATGACGGGTTATGGTCTTACAAGAGCTACTTCTTCACACATGATAAGGTTGAAGAGCTTTATGATGCGATTAACAGATACTTTCTCAAGGGAGGCAAGCAACCTGTTGGCCTGATCAACTACTCTTTTTTCTTTAACTATCCTACCGTCGACCCGAATCATGTGAGCTCCTTGAAAAACCATCTATACTAGTAATTCTTTGCGCTAACCACTACAGCCCCTTATTGCCTTCTTTATTCTTCGCCAGGGAGTTGAAGCTATCGAAGAGGAGTATGCCGCGCCATTTGACAGACTCGGCCCTGTGATGAGCATGGGCGACAAAGGAACATACAAAGATCTCCCTATGTGGACTAGCAATGCCGAGGACTCGCTCCCATGTCAGAAGGCTGGCCTGGTTAACGCTCGTTTCCCTGTCGATTTACAAAGCTACAATCCCACCACTCAGCGTCTCGCATTTGACACATTTTCCAACTTCACCCAAAAATTCCCTGCTTTCAACAACTCACTGTTCTTGTTTGAAGGCTACTCCCTCCAGGGTGTTCAAAGCATTGAAGATGAATCTACAGCTTTCCCCCACCGTGAAGGTAATCTTTTGGTAGCGCCATTGATCATCTACCAACCAACAGACAAGGAGCGTGACGCTCAAGGTGTGACATTCGGAGAAAATTTGCGCCAAATTGTCTTCCGTGGCAGTGGGCAGGATGAGATGTTTTCCTATGTCAACTATGCATTCGGCAACGAGGCTCCTGAGGCTTGGTATGGCTATGAGTCTTGGCGTCTGGAGCGCCTGCGCTCATTGAAGGCCAAGTATGATCCAAACGGTCGATTCAACTTCTATGCACCCTTCTACTAGAGTGAAATTCGATCGTATCTTCCAAAGAAGGGAGGCCTATAAAGATAAGAAGTGGAAAACGAATAGGAATTATACAGGTGAGCATTGGCCTGCAATGGTGACCAAGGTTCTAAGTGGCCGAGGATTGGATGTTTTGAATGATCAAAGGTTACAGAGATCAAAATGCATAGACATCGTTCTCACTAGTATGAATTATGATATCAGAGCTTGGCTCGGGTCTTGCTCTGCAGCACCTCCTTGACCAATGTCACTACATGTTCCGAACAACCAAATGAAGCTTGGTAGCCGAAACCTCCGTGTCCATAGTTGTGAACAATGTTCACACCATCGACCTGATCCTTCTCAATTCGAGTACCACCCTCTCGTAGAGGTCGCAGACCCACTCCATGCCGAATAATACTAAGTCCCTCGATTCCTTCTCCCTCCTTGACAAGTTGCGGGCAGATCGCGATAGCCCGAGTCATAATGCGATTAGCCAGGTTTGGATCAGGCAATGGATCCCAGTTGTGCTTTTGATAACAACCTCCAATAATAGTGCCACCGCCTAGATTCTGTTAGCGATCACTGTTTATACGCAAGACTCATCTACTCTTACCTGCGGCACGAGTCATAGTATAGAATATCTCATCCTCGCCATCATCTGTTCCAGAAGTTGAAGACATGAGGCCAGGGTCATTTCGAACCACCACAATCTGGCCTCTAGCCGGGTACATCTTATTGTCGAGAACTCCGCCTAGAGTCTTGGAAGAAAGACCAGTACAATTGATGACCACATCGGTCTTTTTGCCAGAGTGGTGAGCACTAGCTGCCTCAGTAATATGCTTGCATACGGCTCTCTTGAAAACGGCGCCGTTCTTCACGCATTGACCAACAAGCCAGGGTAGATAAATCGCTGTATTGATGCAGACAGATGTAAACTTTTGACCGTTATCAATACCTGGCTCCAATTGACTCTCGGGAAGAGTCTCAAACTGTAAATTTCGCGATCAGCATGCTTCAGCATATCGGTGAGCTAGGGACTATGGAGAAGTCAAACATACATCAGGGACCACGTCTTTATACCATGGGTTAGGCTGCACCAAGGCCTTGAACCATTGCCCAGTGGCAGAATCCTGATCTTTCTTTCGGTTGAATATGAGAGTATCTGCAATTGCGGTAAGTCATTAGCTTTCCACGGGTGAAAATTGTACAATGACTGAATCATACCTTGGAAATGCATGCCTGCCTCGGGGTATTTCTCGCACACCTCTTTCAGCGCTGGCCAGGTCGCTTTTTCCCAGGCTTGATGCTTACTGCCTGGCTCGCCAACACTGCAACGAAATCAGCGTCGATTCTGAGTGGAATTGGATATAGGTGTAATTACGGCATGTAATTGGCACCAGCCCATGGAGATGCATATTCAATGTCATAGTCACCAGGCATATGCTTTGCAAGAACGGTGACATTGTTTGATGGGTCCTGTGACAATAGGTAGGCCGTTGTCAAACCGGAGACTCCCGCCCTGGCAGATGTTTAGTTTTTATCATGACACATATTGAGACTCCTTGCCTCGGGAGGTTAGGGATTCTTACCCCAGAATGACGATATTGTTTGACATTCCGATGATAAATTATGGATTCTGAGGATAATTAAGGAAAATATGATGGATGTTCAGGGGTAGGAATATGCTTTAACTAATTTCCAGTGATTATATGTGAAGTATGACTCAAGGGACTGTTGATAAAGGCGGGGGTGAGGAGTACAAACGGTCTCCAATTCAATCTCCGTTATCGAACTTTTGATCATCCATTTTGGTATGATAAGAGAAATGGGGTTGTAATTTATCGTAATTTATCGTTGTATCGTTGGGGTTAATACACTCCCCGAGTTTGCTTGTTTGAGTGGCGGCGGAAGAGGCGGTGTGCTCAAATGACGAATAGCCATAGGGGAAAACCTGAACGCGCTAAAAGCTTTTAAAGGTGGAGACTGTAACAATACACCACATAAACAAAACCTCGAATACGCCTCCGCACCCTTGAAAGTGCGGAGGTTCAAGTGTTGGAGACCGTTTATGAAGGGTAAGATTCGTTAAATTTGAACCCTATGATGAACTATGAAGTATCATTTATATGTCACTGACCAAGCCTGATCATATTATATGAAAATAGAACCTTACCTATTGTTCATTTTTTCAACGTTAAATTCTGACGACAACATTTGTTTGGAACCGGCGAGGCTTTCTCCGTAAAGACCCGTTTTTCATCGTGCTGGGCTCCACCGCGTCCCTTCTAAGTGAATGGATCACATCTCAGATTTGATTTCAAGTTCTCAATTTGATTGCCCTCATTTTTCAAAGATGAGATGAGATAGCAATTGAAATATCTAGGTAAGAGATCTGATCAATATCAAGTGAATAAAACTTATTGTAATATGGATGGATACTAAGACTAAGGGTCAGCGATGTCATAGTAGCTCACGTGTGATCCAATCAATCGATAAAGTGGGTTTCACCGCCCCCGACTCGGTCTCGGTAGTCAAGTTTGGGCCTTTGAATTCCTTTTTCCTACTCATGCACCCGCAGGGCTCATTTAGTTACTCTGCGGGTTAAAAAGTAGCTCTTTTTGTCTATTTTCTTATTTTTTTTCTTCTCTTTTTTCTTTTACTTCTGTCTCAATTCTTATACTATTCATGACCGGATTGAATTGTATTATTCCGACAAAACCAAAAAAAAGAAAATTATACAATAAATGCTGGCCTTGACCCGAGCAGGGCACTTCTATCCAAGATGTCCCTATTCACTCACGGTGGCAGAATCGTGCCCATACTTCAACCCCCCAACACTACCCCGGAGTCCACCTCATTAGATCAAATTCCTCTTCACCTCAATGCTACTCCTTCCTCCTCCTTCTCTCTGCTGGACCAGCGAGAAGCTTCACCCACCATGGCTAAACCCAAACCCATGGACAAGAGCTTAGAGATGCCCTGCCTAGAAGAACGCGGGCTATTCGCTCTGCCAACCGAAGGCGACGGTAAGATTACACCTTATTCACTCATGGGGAAGCTCTGATCCGCCGTTTGAAAGCTTCAGACGTTTCAAGTGACTTGTTTCTGACGCGTCAAACACAGGCAATTGCCTCTACTATTCCCTTTCGGACCAATTGCATGGAACCTTCGACCATGCGAGTGACATTCGCCACATCCTCGCGACCCACATGGCCAACAATAAATTGTATTTCATGCAGTTTGTAGTTGCTCAAGGTGGTGAACGTCGCCGCCCAAAACGAGCCGCCGCCTCCGCATATGCTACGCGTTCCGCCGATGTATCGGCTCCGTCTGATGAAGATAAGGCGCGTCGGTTCGAGGAAATGGTGGCATTAACTCGGAAAAATGGAGAATGGGGTAGTTCAGAGCATTTACAGGCGTTCTGCCAAGTATTCAAGGTGGACATCAACGTTTACACCATGGACGGAGTCCAAGTCTTCCGAGACGTCCACGCCATGCCCGATGATCCCCGTGATGTCATTCATGTGGCGTTCCATGTGAGTTCTAGAATGCTCACTTGCCTGCTTACTGAGCTCTTATTGACCATTATTAGGACTTCAAACACTATTCCTCAGTACGCGCCGTGAATGGTTGCCACACGGGACTACTAGCCAAGTCCGTATGCCTGGAGCCTCAAAATTCCCCACCGAAGTGGAATGCCGAAGAGGTGAAAGTAAAAAGTTCGTTAGATACAACCGAAGCTGAAAAGTCACCCTCCGACATGAATTTCCCCCTCTCTAATGATCACGATGCCCTACCCCTTCACAATCTCTCCACATCACCCTCCTCTACCTCTATTTCTTCATCCGACACCCAACCTACTTCCGTCCACTCCCCCAGTTCTAAGGACTCTGCTCTTGCTCTTGATGTTTTCCCACCTTGGGACATCCAATCCATTCAAGATGGGCTCGGCGGTCGATATGATCGAGAAACCATCGTTGACATGCTCCAAAAGTGTCGAGGTGACATCGACCGAGCATTTTCAGCTCTTCTTGGAGACAAAAACGACATTGAGAAGAAATCCGCTGCTCCCAGCCTGAAACCGCGTCTCCAGGCGTCACGCTCATCGTCCCCATTTAGCACGGGAAGTAAGCGTTCAGCCGATGACAGTGATGACTCAGAAGATCCCCGACCTGCAACACGACGAGGGCGACCTAAGAAGCGTCTTGTTTCCAATCTCACGCTGGGCGTGGGTATCTCATTCTGTGACGACCAAAATGAAGTCGTCTCACTTAATCTCCGAGTAAGTTTCAAAATGTAAATTTACCTTGATTACCTAGTTCCAGTTTCCTGACTATATTATTCAATAGATGAAAGCAGACGCTGAAAAAGCTAGTCAGGCTGCGAAGGAACAGACTGAGGAAACTGCTTCTGAGACCGACTCCAAGGAATCAGAGATAAATTCCTGGAAAGGACCTCGTCGAAGCGGTCGTCTTTCCAAGTCTCGTCCCGCGCATCACTGAATCAGTGATATGTCCGACCACCTGGACAGTCTCTAATGGTCGTTTTCTGTCCCCTCTTAGATTCCTATCTTTGTTTGCAGCGATCAACTTGCATTGTGACGGCGTTAGCGTGGAGCATCTGGCACAGGGAGCTTTTTTATCATCCGTGCATTGCTACATGGGTTAGTCAACGCAGTTGGCTGGGGAGGCGTTTTTGATTACTCGCATGATGGGCGGTGCCTGGTGCACCTCTCAATGGATCACGACATGCATTTTCGGCGAGTCAATAGGAACTTGAAGCTTTCTAACTCGAATCTAGAAATTTAGCTGGTCTAGCTGAGATAGCTACACTTTGCTTTAATGTGATACCTGAGCTCCGTTGCTCGATATTTTCTGATTGATCTTTTCGCTGAGCTTAGTTTGTGGCTCAATAGTGTATTAAATATTACGTAGCATTTCAATTTTATCCTTCAAGTGCTGGCGAATCGTTCAAAGTTTGAGTTGTTCCTAGCCACAGCTCCTATTATTCATCGTTTCCTGCCCTAATAGTGCAAGATGGGTAAAACAGCTTGACCTTCTCTGATATTTAGTTGATGGATGGCAGTTTCTAATGCCACTCGTAGTAGTTTGACGGGGCTTAGGCGATTGCCGTCACGGTTGTAACATTGGAAATACTCAGGGCTATCACCTTAACCCTCTCATAGCACATCTCTCACTTCTCATCCAAAGTTCATGCTTCACTTCGAGCTTTCCATCGTATTTCATCCTCTTGCTCAATATCCTACCTTGGTGGATCGTGAATACCCTTGAGACTGAATGCTTATGTGGCTAGCTTTTGACCAAGCTCACTTGATATTCATGTTGATTCCTCTAGTTGGACCCTCAGAAGCATCGTTCCATTCCTGTACTAACAGTCTGATACCTGATTCTCTTTCACAATATCCTATACTGACAGCCACGACGAGAACGAGTGAGTCAACCAGATGAATCACGATTTTATAGTCGCGACCTTATCACCTAAGAATGTACCAAACATACCTATTTCTTGCATTGCCCATCACAAGGAGCAAGTCAGCAAAGTGATCAAGAGCGCAAGCGTTTTTATTTCTGCACTCCTGTTTCGAAGGAAGTGTACGGAGTACATATTACTAATTAACGCCTCAGATACCTAGGCACAGACTACCGGCTTCTCACAATACTATTGATTGAACCAGCAGCCAGCCACATCCTCATAATACGCATCTATTTGTCAGATTTATCCCCAGTGAACCCTTCATCACTTGGCCCGGGCGCGACCCACCATTTATTGCCCGATACAGACCTCAATGTCTAGGTATCAAGCCACCATTGGGCCCGAGCTTCAAGTTCCGGCATAAACCACTTGATTTTGTTATCTCAAGGAAGAGACCACAACTGATCGATTCCAATGGCCTCACCTATTTACTGCCCATTGAAATCATTCTTCCTGCCTTGTCAAATCAATCCCCCTCATATACTCCCTACAATTTTCTAGTTGACCTTGTATGAGACACGGCATCAATGTTCTCCACATTGTGGATATGAGTTTTTGTCGATTTCATCTCACTTGGACAGATGAAGTGCCTCTTTGAGGTCTAGCTACTCTAGATAGGCTCAACGCCTTGGCAATGTTCTTTGGCATCTGCTGCCTATGCAAAATAATCGGTTAATCACTTGATAACCCCGGTAAGCATGGATGGATTTCGGTGTTTCCCGCTTATCAAAGAGACGGGTACTGTGGCGTATAGGTCATCGAACAGGGGGAAACAACCAGGGATTTCTATCCCAACGGGGGACATTCTCGCTTATTTGTACATGAGGAATGTCTGCAGGGATTCAATACATAGCTGTGGAACCAGGGAGTTGGAAAAGCGAGGATCTATCACTCCTTACGCTCGGAATCTCGGTGCCGATCGGGCCTTATCTCATCTCCGCCAATCTTGTCACTTTGCCACTGAACTTTGGTAAGATCTTCAGTACTGCAAAGTTCAATATACATGCATGTCTAAGAGTGGTCGACAGGTTGAGGCTTTTTGTGCAACTCCAGCCGACGGTCAACATCTAGGCTAGTGAACTTGATCTCTTTCAGCTCCCCCCACTACAGGGCTGCCTCCACCAGTATTGTTTTTCCTTTTGCCAATTTTAGCCGCAGATTTCGCCATCTGTCAATCCTTTTAATTTTTCCTCCTAGCCTGTCCTTATGCCAGGATTTTCTGTTATACTGATTTGACCTGTTCTTCCGGTTCATCATGAGTAACAAGGAAGGTTACTCTTCCGAAGCCACCCCGCTTCTGCGGGAACAGTCCAGCTATCAAAGCACGCAATATCACAGCACAACCCATCATACCTATGATGCTGAGAATAGTTCCTCCAGTGAGGAGGTAATTGAAGATATGGATTTTCCTGTCCTAGGTCGCGTCCAGTCTACGTCCCAGGTACTGGATGTTGAGCCGACCTTGGAGAGAACCGCTTCTGTTAGTTCCGCGAAAAGAGGCGCTGGCAATCGGGAAGATGAAGATAACTCATATGCTGCGCGCTTCATCGGCGTCTCCCCAACTCGATTCTGGATGATCTTTGTTGGTTCAATGCTTGGATATGTGATTGGTTTCTTCGATTCCACGTTAATGGCTTCGAGTCATCCGGTTATCACATCCTATTTCAACGCTGCCAATGCAGCTTCATGGTTATCGACGGCTTTCCTGCTTACATCCACGGCATTCATGCCCCTCTTTGGTCGCACATCAGACACCTTTGGCCGCAAGCCAGTCTATCTTTTCTCGATCGCCATGTTTTTTATCACGACTGCATGGTGCGGTCTCGCCCGAAGTATGGGAAGCTTTATCGCCGCTCGAGCATTCTGTGGCCTTGGAGCGGGTGGTGTCTTTTCCATGGGCCAAATTCTTTCGAGCGATCTTGTGCATATCGAGTATCGAAGCGTTTATCAGTCATATCTTAACCTCTGCTTGGGAACGGGTAGTTGCCTGGGACTAGCTTTTGGTGGATTTTTGTGTGACAAGATTGGCTGGCGGAATGCCTTTTTGATCCAATTACCTTTCATCTTTATTTACTTCATCACGGCTTTGTGTACAATCCCAGCGAATCTCGGCGTGAAGCAGACAGACGCCGAGCGCAAGACTATGTTGCAGGTTATTCGCAGCATTGACTTGACCGGCTCTTTCTTCCTGGTTTTGGCAGTCACTGCCCTGATCATGGGCCTGAACCTGGGTGGCAATGTCCTCGCTTGGACACACCCTCTTGTCACCTGCTCTTTAGTCGCAGCCGTGGTTCTGTCTATTATCCTCGTCCGGTATGAGCGAAATGTGCCCCGTGCAGTTCTTCCGATAGAGCTTTTGTCGAACGAACCTCGCAGAAGCATTATTTTCGGTAACTTCTTCGGATCTATGTCTGTCAATACTATGATGTTCAATGCCCCATTATACTTCCAGGCAGTCAAGCTAGCGACGCCAACGGAGTCTGGGTTCCGGCTCGTCGGTGCGTCAATTGCTGTGACAATCTCAAGCCTTGCTACTGGATTTTTGGTTACCTGGTCTCGACGCTTTAAGCCAACTATCCTCATCGGTGGCTTTTTTATGTTGATCGGCGGATTTTTAGCCGGTTCTATGGGCCTTAGGACTCCTGACTCGCTTGCCACGATTTGTGTTTCTTTCAGCAGCTTCGGTCAAGGATTCGCATTTCCGAGTTTGATGGTCTCGATTCTTGCTACTAGTGAGCAGGCCGACCAGGCAGTAGCTACCACGACTTTGGGATTGTTCCGCAACTTAGGTTCCGTGCTGGGTGTTTCAGTTAGTAGCTGGATTTTCCAGAATGTTCTCATATATGAGCTCGGACGTCAGGTTACTGGGGAAAGCAAGGAGTATATTATCCATCTCGTGCGCAAGTCTATCCCTTCCATCGGTGACCTAGACCCGTTACATCAACAGCAAGGTTTGTTTCCATGTCTCAGCTTTTCGTCTTTCACTTTAGGATCACCGCTAATAACCGTCTAGTTATCCGATCATATGCCATGGCCCTTCGCATCACCTTTCTTTCAGCGGCTGTCTGGGGTGCTATCATGCTTATTATGCACTCTCGACTTCGATTACCCCGTTTGGGACGTAAAGCATAATGCTAACCTTGGAAAGTATAAGGCGTAACGGCATATGATTCTTTGGTCTTATGTTTCTCTCTTTTCATAGCGGTCGCATCTGTTGCTTTTTGTTTCCTATAAAGCTTATCATGCCCGTCTCCGATTTATGAGCCATCTGCCCCTTGGTCAATGACTACATTGATCTTCAAGTTTAGAATTGACTATGTAAATACTTCACAAATTACTTTCAAATGAAACAATATTAGTCACCTGACCTCCAGGGACCAGGATGTAGTTGTCCCACCGACCTTCATTTCCCCACCAAAGGTCTCTCATTGATCATCTCGAGTTCCTCTCCCAAGAGCCCCTGTCAATACAATAATAGAGCCGTGGATCAAATCAGTCGAAACAATGAGTTTACTTGGCATATTCGCTCTTTAACTCTGCTGCCAACTCATACTCAGCTTCCCGTCTTCATCAACTCTCAAACATAGATGAGATTATCAACAAAGACGAAAAGATATTGCATCAACTATTCGATCGCACAGTCACTGGAGTCGGCGAAAACCTTGTTGTGAAGTCAGGAAAACTCCGCTCGCACGAAGCGCAAACACTACGTTTCATTGCCGAAAACACCACGATCCCTGTACCCAATGTGTACGATGTCCGCTGGGAGGATGGCCAAGTGGTAGCTATCACAATGGACTACATGTCCGGTAAGCGTCTCGACGAAGCGTGGGAGACATTGGATCCCGATCAGAAGCTCTCTATTGCCAAGGAGCTCCATTCCTACATAAACCAACTTCGCGACTTGAAAGGCGACTACATCGGCGCTGTCAACCCCGGCAAAACAGTAACTGGAAGAGCTGTTGCTGTGGAAGGTGGACCATTTGATACCGAGCAGCAGTTCAACGAATCTCTCTTGGGGCGCATTATAAGACAGGCGCCAGATCTATTACGACACTATGCCAGACATGCACTTTCGGAGAATCATGAAATCGTTTTCACTCATTCCGATATTGCGCCGGAGAAATTTCTTGTTGAAGGAGGCCGTATTGCAGCTATTCTGGACTGGGAAGATGCGGGTTGGTATCCGGAATATTGGGAATACACTAGGGCGTTTCGATATTTTAGACCGATGCCTGACTGGCCGGAATATCTGACTCATATTCTTCCTCCGAAATTTGAAAGAGAGTATATTGGGATGGCCTTCTTGAACAGGATAAGTTACTAGTCCAGGGGGAACTGGGGCAGTCTGGACTCTGGTGGGGTGGTGGGTATGATGATCCATCTTGACGCCTCGTGGGGAGCATTTACCACTAAGCGCCTTGATGAGAGGAACAATGCAAGTGGTAGAGATAAGAGATCTTAACCAATAGGAATGTGATATTGAGCGCATTTTTTCTAGACCCGCAATCTCTACATTCAATGTTGATCTCTTCAATAATACTTTTCACACAGTATGGGATATACTAGAACTTTCTGTGGCATCTTATACATTTTGCCCATTCCATTTCAGGTGCACTAACGACTATCAGTAGTAGTTTCAGTGACCCGATTCGAGGGTTAGACACCCGTTCAATATTTCACGATCTATAAATGATATATCAACTCATTTCAGTAATAATAACAGTACTCCGTAGTCCAGCCTTTGTCTTTCAGTGAAACGGGCCCACTTTTTTTTGCTGGAGGACTCCGCGTTCTCTCCGCAACATTTTCCAACATTTGGACTTTACAATTCCTGTGCCAACTTCGTGGAATTGGCATTCTTACCTTGAAACGAGACCCAAGAGGGTATTTCTTCACTCTGCTGACATCTGTCCTCCCTTCAGAAAACGACTGACTCATGTTACCCAGATTCTCGACTTCCTACCCCTCCTACATTTGCCCGCTCTTTGTCGGCCCGGCGATAAACGATCGGAGGCTCTTGGTCACCTGCCTCAGTGTCGTCATAGTTTTGTTCCTATAGTTCAAAAACCGGCGGTGAACATGGCCATTCGAGTAATCACAGCGAGGAGATTTGGTGTACCTGGAAACATTATCTTGCCTGGGCAACTTGAAGCCCCAGTCCGCGCTGGAGACTGAGATAAAGCAAGAGAATCGAATTACCAGGGTACAGGTGTACCCCGATAAGGATCTATAATGAATATCACAACTCGCGCCCAGTCAAAGTCTCAATCACCGAAAGATGATTCGAAGGCGTCGACACCAAAAAGCCAGAAGGATTCACCCCGCCCCTCGAGCGCAAACCGAAAAAAGTCCTCCGAAATCGCGGAAACGAAAGCAAAACGGACCCGCACAGGCTGCCTTACTTGTCGAGAACGACACTTGAAATGTGACGAGGCGTTGGGAAGGTGTCTGAATTGTCGGAAATCAGACAGAATCTGCCGCCGGGGAGTTCGGTTAAACTTCATTGATATACAGACAGTTGCCCCTCCACATATTATCGCACGTCCACAGGGTACAAAGTTGACGTTTCGCGATGACTCGCGTTTTATAGCATCGGAGTATGTTGGGGGCTTTGAGAGATACCCGCCCCCACAGCCTGATAGTCCGATCCAGGAAAGACGACAGATCCAACATGAAGCGCTGAATCTCATTGGCTCTGATCAGTTGGCGAGACTTTTCCAGTCAGTTGCTCATTCATTTGACCCTGTTGGTCTTGAGATTTCGCATTCTGTAGCGAATGATTTCCTGGGTGAGACTGATACATGGCATGATGGACATCTTGTGCCAGGGGATGAATTACTCCCGCAAGGCACATCGAATTTTGCTCACAAGTTGGCATTGAAGCAATATAGTCCAGCTTCACTAACTGACCCAGATCAAATATTTCTTCTCCAATCCTTTGTGGATGAAGTGGGACCTTGGATGGACTCAATGGACGTATCAAGACATGTAAGTCTATTCAACTTTGGGCATTTAGTGACTTTCATTGACGGTCTCTAGTTTACACAAATTTTACCCTTACATTCAATTGATGAACCTCTGTTGCTGAAAGCATTCCTGGCTTGCGGTGCGCGGCATATCTCCCTTGTTGATCCCAACTATGGGCGAGAGAAGGCGCATCAGTATTATGACGCCGCCACCCAGGACCTCTTGCATATTATTCAAGATCCTAACCGCGATTCGGTCTTATGTGCCACGGCCGCTTTAGTGCTTAGTATCTATGAATCTATGTCACCGCAGCCAAACATGAAACATGTGGCAGGATCAAGAGCCTTGATTCGGGAATGTGGCTGGTCTGCCAAAACCCCTCATTTGGGAGGAGCATGTTTCTGGTTAAGTGTCAGTATGGAGCTACTCCAATGTCTAGAACATGGTTGGTCATTGTCTTGGAATCCTGATACATGGGGTATCGATATGCACATGGACCAGGTCCAGCCGTTGTGGAAAGGAGATGATCATTGGCTACACCGCATCATATACATCTGCGCAAAGGTTGCAAATTTCCGAGTCGCCATGCAAAACCTCTACTCATCGGTTGACTCGCCATCTAAAAGCGCTCGACTGAATGAAGCGGTGCAAGAATGGAATCATTATAATGCTTGGTGTGAACAATGGGCTAGTTCCATACCCCGATCGATGAGACCTCTTGGCTATATTCAACCTTGGCAAGCTGAATCACATTCGCGTTTTCCGAAAATTTGGTAAGTCAATGTGTCATTTGCAAATCTCGTATTCTGTTCTAACATGAGATACAGTCTTATCAAACGATCGGCCATTATCTCTCAGTTCTTTTATCACACAACTCGTATCGCTCTAGCTAAGGCTCACCCAATGGCAACTGCGCATCTCGAGATGAAGAAAGTGCAACAATCACATGCATATGACGTGTGCGGTCTTGCTGCAAACCTCAAAGATCGAAGTGTCTCAAATATTGCACTTCACTGTTTATCTGTTGCTGCAGAATCCTTGGAAATCCAAGAAGCGCAGGAAGAGGTCTTGCATATATTGGATAATCTAACAAAAGAATCACCTTGGCATGCCGGGCCAATCAAAGAACGGTTGAAACGCCTTTGGAATTGGACGCACCACGTACAGACGGTGAACCCGACACAGATGCATAGTGAATTTTTCGAGCTTGACCCAGCACTCGCAATTGGTGGAGAATCTGGTTTTGCTGCTAGCATCACAAATCCCCTCTTGAATTCTGGCGACTTCTCAATGGAAAATAACCCATACCAGGGCTATTACGTCCCGCCCCATCATCACCAAATTCTTGAACATTACTCTTACGACTCCTATCTTGTTTGAATTTTGCGGGACTTTAGAATGTGGTTTATTTGTTGTTTTTTATATACCCCACCAAGTCTAAACAGAATTAGATTCCACGCTGCACGCTACCATTCATGACCCAGAATGAACCAATCAATGATTCCCGTCAATTATCACCAATTTTTTTTAACCTTCAAGCTTACTGTCCCCATATTTTTTTGGATTACCTTAATGGGAATGGGGTACGAAGGAACGGGATCAAACTTTCTTTAGACATCTGGAAGAAGTCCTTCGGCCCCCGGCCCCCAATACGTACACGGGACCTTGACCCACGTCTCAGTGGATGCTAGAAGAGGATATCTGAATGCAACTTGAGGCCACATTTATCGCACATTATTCCGAGAAGCGGTTTAAATAAATGTCTCACGCATCTCATTTCCTGAAGCTTAGTTCCGGACCCATTTTCGCCCCACCAAACATAGCGTAGAATCAAGATTCTGCATGTTTGAATGGACCCGTGTCTCTTGAAAGAAACAATATCCGCGGCCCATTTGGAGATTTATTAATTTCAAACTGCAGAAGACTTGCCAATTGTCACATGACGTGCCTCTTAGACTCCCAAGACCCCCGGGGCCGTGGACTACCTGTAAATACTATTTAAACCCCTGTCAGGAATCTCTTGGTCTTAATCACAACTTATCAAATTTCTAAATTCCATATGCTCTGACTTGCTCATATCATCACAGACTACTATTCTATTCCACTATGTCTGCCGAAAAGAAAACTCCTGGTAGCTGCCTTTGTGGCCAGGTTCGTTATGAGCTTACCGGATCAGCTCTATTGGATGCCATCTGCCATTGTCCAAACTGTCGCAAATTCTCCGGTTCTCTTTTTGGAGCTGGTGGTTTCTATAAACACTCCGTACGCCTCTACGTTACGGTGTCTGGATGATGATGATGAACGATTAATTGAATGTTTCGCTAACACGCATCTATAACTAGCAAATTGCCTTTTTATCCGGACAAGATCAGCTGAAAATCTACAAAGACCAGAACACCGATTCTGGAAATCTTCTGCATCGATCATTCTGTTCGAATTGTGGATCTTATATCTCTATCACTCGTGTTGTGAATGGAGTTGAAGCTTTTGGGGCTATTGTCAGCGCGGGGACTCTTGACTTGCCTAGTGGGGAAGAGTGGGTTCCCAGAAAGGAGATTTACTGCAAGAACCGCACTTCATGGTTGCCCACATTTGAGGGTGTGGCGCAAGAGGAGACTATGTAATTTAATTTTTGTTTATGTTGGTGTTTTCTATATGGCTACTAGTTGTTGGTAATAAATGATGATGCTGAAACTTTTCAAGTTGTTCCAAAATAGATGTTGGAGTGTGTAGTATGATGTTTTGGAGCCCCGGGGGCTGTCCACTATGGCGACTAGGTAGGTCAATTCTCATGACTAAAATCCCATTGCCAACATTCTTCGACAATGGATTGCCTTACAATGCATGGGTTTCCCTTGAAATCGTTGAATCATTTTGATTTATTTTTCAATCATTTTTTCGAGCCCAAAGCGTGAACGCGTAATTATCCAGATGTCTTGACTCGGAGATACTAACAACTTAAAACCGGAGAAAAATCAAGCTGGATCAACCCCTTTAAAATCTTGAATGCTTATGAATATTTGAATTATTCTCCAATATGAATTGATATCTGAGTGATTAGATCACCCGTTGTGAGGTAAGTGTGAGGCTGGCGATGGTGCAAGTTCAGAGGATCGAGGCTATACTTGTGCCCGGACTTAATGATTCCTAATCCCCGGGTTGAACCCCGATATATCCATTTCATTACTTGAGGTCAGCAGAATGTAGTAGAGGATACCTCACTCTTATGATCGAAAAATCATTATAAATACGGTGCAATTACCCATAGCATGAGTCCTTTCATCCATTCAATCCAAGTTCCAGATCAAAGATTGAAATATCAGACAAAACATGGCTCGCGCTTATGCCAAAGACCAGCCCCAGGGCTTCACCAACCGCATTGAGAGAATTGCCTTCGTCGGGGTAAGTGATCTAACCTATCCCTTCTTGCCCTGTTATAACATCTCTTTTCACAATAGGCTGGCGGACAAGTCGGGAAATACCTCATCGATCCCTTACTCAAGACAGGAAAGCATGTCGTGACGGCTATCACTCGCCCTGAGAGTACAATCAAACTGCCAGAAGGCCTCAAGGTTGTCCGTGTGGACTATCACAGTGATGATGATTCTACTCTGGTGGAGGTCCTTCGTGGCCAGCAAGCACTGATCATCACCATGTCACTGAGGGCTCCACCCGACACTATCAGCAAGCTCATTAATGCAGCTGCCAGAGCAGGCGTGTCCTATGTTCTTCCCAACTGGTTCGGAATCGACAGTGAAAACGCCGCACTGTGTGATGGCGTTTCCCTGTCCCCTGTCCGCGAGAAACTACGCGCTCAATTCAAGAACTTCGAGCACACTTCGTCCATCTTCATCATCTGTAGCTTCTGGTACGAGTTCAGTCTTGGTGGAGGAACTAGCCGCTACGGATTTGATTTCAAAGACCGCTCCTTTACTCAATTTGATGAGGGCAATGTGAGGATTACAACGACCACTTGGCCGCAGTGTGGTCGAGCTATCGCCAGTCTGTTCAGCTTGAAGGATCTCCCCGATGATCCCACTGACAAATCTCCAACCGTCTCGCAGTTTGCGAATGGCTCGGTTTATATCTCCAGCTTTCAGGTTAATCAGCATGACATGTTTGCCAGTGTTAAGCGTGTCACTGGTACCACTGATGAAGATTGGACCATCAGTAGAGAATCTGCTGAGGAGCGCTGGAATGAAGGTCATGATGCAGTTCAGCAGGGGAACTATGCGCTGTTCCCAAAAATGCTTTACAGTCGCATGTTCTTTCCTAATGGTGATGGAGCGGAATTGACAAGTCAACTTCATAATGATATTCTGGGTCTTCCCAAGGAGAATTTGGATGAATATACGGCTATCGCTGTTCGGATGGGAGTAAATGGTGAATTGACCGGCCAGACTCATTGAATTATCAAACAAATTGAAGGTCAAGGCCTCACTCAACGAAATTACAAGGTTAGAATATTTAATCTCAACTTCAACCTTTGAGTTCAATTGGAATTTGAACAATTGCGAATCCGTAGTATCAAACCTTGGAAGATAGTAGGTGCTAGTCACTGGCAGTCACTAGTGTTGTAGTATATTTTGGTTCCCGCGTAGGTAGTACTAGTACTACCTACCTAGTACTACCAGATCAGATCAATAGAATTTCGTCATTGACAACTTGAATCCAAGCTCTCCAGGGCTATGTATAATGCAAAATTAAGTTATCCTTCAGGGAAGACATCTGGACATTTTGACTGGAGCAAAGGTTCAATATTGAAAAATATTGTACATGGTGGTCACCTGCAGTTATGGAAGCCGGCTGGGATGCCTCCAAGGCGGTGCGTGATGTTGATGTGGGATGCCGAACCGCAACAACAATTTCCACTACGCAACACCAAAAAGTCATGGCCACTTCATCAAATCAAGCCCAAAATGGGCCAGCTACACCAGTCTACATTCTTCGCGGCCATGGCGCCCCAGTTCACGCCTTGAATATTTTCCATCAGAATCTTCGACTAGTCTCAGGCGATGCGAACGGATGGATTGTTATCTGGGACCTGGTGACCAAACGCCCCATCATAGTATGGAAAGCACACGAAGGAGCAGTGCTTGAGGTGAAGGGATTTACAGATGAGAAGGGAGTCACGGAGCTATACACGTGAGATTGATATATTGAGACCCCACGAGGAATATCTGTCTAATCAGAAAACTAGACATGGCCGTGATCACAAACTTTGTGTGTGGAAGATTCGACCTGAGGATGAGAAGCATCTCGACAAAACTCTCCCTGTTGATGTGACAGAATCAGACTCCGCAGAACGAAGGGCTCAGCCATGGCTGCTTCATTCGTTACCAGTGAACGCCTTGAATTTCTGTGCATTCTCTATGACGACTATCTACGGCACAGAGGCGACCTCAGAAAAGAGTCAAAATAAAACAGACTTACCAAAGACTACTCTTTTTGCAGTGCCAAACGCGCTGGACTCAGGTGGTGTCGATATCTTCCATCTCCCATCCGAGCGTCGTCTCAGTACCATTCCATCAGACCCCGCTGTTAAAACAGGAATGGTCATGGCAGCCAATATCTTCGTCGCATCTGGCGATCTCTATGTGGCATCCGCATACGAGGATGGCCATGTAATGGTTTCAGTGCATAGAGGACCCATCACAGCGGCCGATTTTGAACTTTCGAATATCGCCGCCAAGCCGTGGAAATGGGAGAGGATTTACGCCAGCCGCCCACACTCGCAACCTGTGCTTTCAATTGACGTTTCTTCCGCTCTTGACTATTTTATTTCTTCCTCTGCCGATGCATTGATAATCAAACATCCAATTCCCGGGCATGGAACGATCGGTGATGTTCCCATTGTGAATTACAAGGAAGAAACCCCGTTGAAAACGGTTAACACAAAGCATTCTGGCCAGCAAGGGCTGAAATTACGTGACGATGGGAAGATATTCGCAGCTGCTGGTTGGGACAGCAGAGTGCGAGTCTATTCAGGAAAGACAATGAAGGAGGTCGCAGTGCTTAAGTGGCATAAGGATGGATGTTATTCTGTCGCATTTGGGGAGGTCGCCGGTCTCTCGTCATTGTGTTCAAGACATGGAGATCAGGAAATCGACACAACTCAGGGGAATGATGAAGAGCAACTGGCCCAGTCATCCGACTACTCATTAGCAGCTGTTCAAAGGCAAAGAAACCAGAAAATAAAACAAACGCACTGGTTGGCAGCAGGGTCCAAAGATGGAAAAATTTCATTATGGGATATCTACTGAGAGAAAAAAAAACAATGCTAATGCTTTTGTACAATAATGATATAGCAATTAAGCCAAGTTGAACTCGCTGGCTCCAGACATCTGCTCTCTCATCTTGGCACGCATCTTGCGAGCCGCATCAGTTGTATTTGAAGTAGAAGCATCATCATCCGCCTTTCTCTTATTTCCAGCGACACCGTGACGCGCCGCTTTGAAGTCCTTCTTAGCATCCTCCTTGCCCTGGCGCAGACCAGGAACATTAATCTTGCCTGGTCGATCGCGCAGAGCGAAACTCTTGGCAAGATGTCCCAGGTGAAGTTCCTTAATGTCGAACATGCTTCGCTCAGCAGCAATGTGGGTGGCATATGCGCGAACGTGCGACTGGAATCCGCGACGAGCCATCTCCAGATACTCCGGGTTATCCAGAGCCCAGCGCTCCACATCCATTTGCCAGTCGGTAGTCTTCTCCTCCCAGTTCTTGCTGGTCGAGCCAGGGGTTGCACCGAAGCCACGTCTGAGGATTTCATTTGCATCTGTGCGTGTGAGTGCTTTGCCTCCATCACGGTAGCCGCGCTTAAGAATCTCAACGTAGCCCTCTTCGCAACCAGGCTGGAGGAAAATGCAGGCCCGGCCGTCACGGCCCAGACGGGCGGTACGACCGATACGGTGGGTATGGTCGTCTGAGCTGAAAGCAGGGTCGTACTCGATGACAAGGTCGACGTTGGGCAGATCCAAACCACGGGAGGCGACATCAGTACAAACCATTACCGAGGCATCCTTGCTGCGGGAGAAAGAGTTGAGGGTAGCAGTTCGAACATGTTGTGGCAGAGAACCGTGTAGTCGGTGAATGGTGACAGGATTTGCGGGTGTGGAAAATGCTTCGGCAGGGGCGATAGTGCCATGGGGAGAGAGGGCCTCTCGCTCAGGTTTCTTTTCTTCTTCATCTTCATCCTTCTTTTCGTCGTCATCATTATCATCAGACTTCTTACGTCTCATGCCGTATTGTCGGGAGAAAACTTCGAAAAGGAAATCAACCGAGTCGGCGCATGACACAAAGACAATAGCCTTCATCACAGAACCCTTCCGAATGAAAGTCCTCTTGAGGTAGGCAGTCAATGAGACCAATCGTAGCTTGGCGGGGACAACTGCGTAAGACTGTTTTAACTGAGCGGGAACGCGGAAGGCCTCGTCCTCATCGTTGGCGCCACGCGATTCTTCATCCTCATCGGCAGGATCTGCTTTAATATGCACAGCATCTTTCAAACTGATCTCTCCCAACCGCTGTACATTCATCTTCAGGGTAGCCGAACATAAGACTGTTGTCCTGCGAGTGGGCATGCCAGGAATGCGACTCGGCCGTTGTCTGGCGTCAAGTTTCTTAACAATACCCTGTAATTCCTCCTCGAAACCCAAATCCATCAATCGATCACCCTCGTCCAAAATTAGCCATCGAACATTGCTGACTTCCAAAACTTGTGTGTTCTCCAGATGATCTGCCAGACGACCTGGAGTAGCAACGAGAATGTTGAGACCTTTTCGCAGACGAGCTTTCTCCGACTTCTTCTTTTCTCCACCAATAACAGTACCCGCGACGAGCCAATTGGCGCATCGAAGGAGGTTTTCGAGTACAACAGAGATCTGCTTGCACAATTCGCGAGTAGGTGCTAGAATGATGGCAAACAGACCACTATCACGATGAACGGCCTCCTCTTTAGTAGCAGCTTTCGAGAGAGCCATAATACGTTGGACGAGAGGGAGCAGATAAGCTAGGGTCTTTCCTGATCCAGTCTCAGCCTGAATAAAAGCATCGGTCTCTTCCTTCAATAGCTGTGAAATTGATGCTTTTTGAATCGCAGTCGGGGCCTTCAACTCCAACTTGGTCAACAGATGCGCTGCCAGATTGGCTGACAGTCCCAGACTGGTAAATGTGTCGATCCCATCAACAAGCGCAGCGTTGGTTGGCTTCGCATCTTCAGCTGGCTCCTCTGGTTTACGCTCCTCCACAGTCTTGGATTCCGGATTGCTGGTGAATAAAGATGAGGCAAATTGGCCGGGGTGTCGGCGTGGGCCTTGGTGTTGCGACCGATGATTTGGCTTTCCAGATGGACCAGATTCGTCGGTCCTTTGTCGCTTAGCAGGTCGGTTCGCGGGGATCTGAATCATATTTGGGTTCTTCGAATCGGCATTGCGCTGGCTTGGATCTTCGTTACCGGTAGGTCGGTGTTGCGAGCGCTTTTTCGCTGACAGACGAGCTCGCCATGTACCACCTGTGAATTTAGCCTCGGGTTTGATGACACTATCCCCGATAGCAAAATTCAAGAGCATTCCATCGTCGGCCATGATTGATATCGTAATTCCCGGTAATCGGGATTGTTATGCTGGAGAAAAAACTCGATCGCCGGGGAAAGATAAGTTGCTATCGCAACTTTTTTTTGCCGCCAAGAAATGGAATTATCTCGGCCCGAGCCCTACAGTTCTGCCCTACTTACCTGACCGCTTTGGAGGGTCGAAGTTGAAGATATCTAATGCTTTTGTTCGCTTCGTGATTCTATATGATATATATTTACATTAAAGATAGTAATTCATCGTGGCCTAAGCTTGAGGTTGAAGGATCATGTTATCAATCAACCGCACTGGAACCTTGCCATCGCCCAGTCCACAATCCTCTCCAGTTGTAGTCTCCTCTAGAGGCGCCATCTTGAATGCTGTACTCAGGACGGCTCCCTTGCTAGGATCAACGACCTCCAGCTCATCAAGAATGTCAGGGTCAGCGAGAGAAATATAGTCGATCTCAAAAAGTGCCCGTTCAGCTGGTGAAAGTGCCTGTTGCTCTGATAGCACTTGGTCTGCGATACTACGGGCTGCGCCCAAGATATCTTCGCGTGAAGTTTTGCCAGCCAAGTACGCCTTCTCCGCCGCCTTGAGTGACCGATAAATGGTGAGTCCGACATTGCGTCTGCGATCACCAAGATAGACATTTCGAGAGCTCAATGCAAGCCCGTCCGACTCTCGCGTCGTGGCCACAATCCGCACTTCGGTCCCAATATGAAAGTCTTGAACCATTCTCTTAATGACCACCGTCTGTTGCACATCCTTTTGTCCGAAGTAGACCCGATCCGGAGTAGTCGCATTGAACAACTTCATGCACACAGTCGCAACGCCGCGGAAGAAAACTGGTCGGGAGCTCCCTTCCAACTTTTTTGCGAGGGGCGTAATTGTGACAAAAGAGCCCTCTCCATCAATCTCGGAGGATGGTGGCGATGCTGGGTACATGACCTTGGATGTCGGGGCGAAGATAGCGGTGATTCGTCCAGTGGCTGTTCCTGAGCCTCCTTCGGCTTCAATTTGAGCCAACTCCTCGTTTATTTTCTCCAGTTTCTCAACATCACTATCCCAGGTACGTGGATAGCTGGAAAGATCTTCGTTCACACCAAATTGGGTAGGGTTGACAAAGATGCTGACGAAGATATCGGTGTTTTCGCGGGCCGCTTCTCGAATCAGGGACAAATGGCCTTCGTGAAGAGCACCCATAGTGGGCACAAACCCGACGGAGCGATCATTTTTCAGCAGCTGCCGGCGTAGTTGGCGTAGAGGAGGCACATCGCGGAAGACCTGGAAGGACTCGGGTTGACGGGCCGATCTTGCTACGGGAGCTTCTGCGAGGAGGGATGATGCCGCAGCTGATAAGCAGCAGAGCTAGTATTAGCGCGGAGAAACAATGACCCAGTGTGGTTAATCACATACAAGAAAATGATCTCACTCCTTGAACTAACCGAGCCATGATGGGGTATGTACTCCGTACTCTGTATGCAGTTTGAATGTTCATCAACTAGCTCCTTCATCCCACCAAACCGTGGAAGCTAAATTGGCTATGACTAAGATAAATCACTGGATACCACGTGACTTAATGCCTCGGCTGTGGCTTCAATCCGGGGTTGGTCCGTTGGGATTAGAGCTATGTATGGCGCTGTCCCGCCCCGTTCTCCGCTTCCTTGAGCACTGACCCATTTGGACTTGCTAGAGACCTTTCAAATGGACTCTAAGCTTAATCTATGACTCTAGGATTTCCACTTGCGATTCTGCCTTTTACCTTCCCCTGACACGTTCTACCGCGACCATGCCACCTCCCAAATCCGCGCTCGGCGACGACCACTCCGCTCCGGACCTGGAGATTGTTGGAAACCAACTTACAATTCATCCCTCTGGCTTCACGGGTGGTTCTGGAACTCAAGATGAACAGATCACCGAACGGAATCTCGTGCGCCATATGGCCCGTTTTCGCGAAAACCCATTTGAGTTCCTCCGTGAAGTGAGTCTATACATGTCTGGAACAGGTTGGCGCGCCTATGATGATCCCATCGGCCAGCCAGTATTTTACTCCGGCTTCTCTGAACGGATGAAAACCTCTATTCTATCTAGTAATATGCTGCAAGAGAAGGTGCGAGAATTGGCGTCTACTCGCTTGGCAGTTGAGGAGAAGGAAGGTTTGATCGCAATGAAGGATGGTGCTACATTGGAGGAAAAACGAGCTCGTCGCCGCCATGAAATTGAATCCAGCTTGCGAGAAGTTGTGGATACAATGATGGACAATATGATTTGCAAGATGGAAAGCAAGAAGTTCATTCGTGGTGCATATTATCTATGCACGCAGCTTCTTACTCGCGCCTATCACCAGGGGATCCATGTGTCTAGTGAAGAGGTTTTGCGCTTGAGATCAGTTGCCGAGGTGGCATGTAAGAAAAAGCAGTCGATTGTTTTTCTGCCCTGTCACAAGTCACATGTGGACTACGTTTCTTTACAGCTGATTTGCTATCGACTTGGAATTGGCCTGCCTGTTGTTGTTGCGGGAGACAACTTGAATATCCCTCTCCTAGGTCCATTCTTACAGCATGCAGGTCAGCTCATAATTCAATTCTAGGATGATTGCCGGCTAATCTGTATAGGTGCTATGTGGATTCGCCGAAGCTTTGGAAACGACCCTCTCTACCACACTGTTGTGCAGGCATATATTGATACAATGCTGCAACAAGGTTTCAACTTTGAGTGCTTCATTGAAGGCGGTCGATCTAGGACGGGCAAATTGCTTTCTCCCAAGTTCGGAATTCTGAGCTTCATTGTTGACAGTGTATTGTCGTGTCGGGTAGAGGACACAATAATTTGCCCAGTCAGCACACAATACGACAAAGTAGTAGAGACTGAGTATGAATTCCTGTTACTCGAATTGCACGATACTCTTACATATAGCTAACACACTCCTCAGATCATACATTAGTGAACTTCTGGGACAGCCCAAACAAAAGGAGAATTTGGCTGACCTTCTCTCGTCATCCTCTGTCTTGTCTCTTAAGCTTGGTCGAGTAGATGTTCGTTTCCACGAACCCTGGAGCTTGCGAGAATTCCTAGGCCAGCAGATTACTCGACTCAACATGGCAGATTTAGGACCTAACCAAAAGTTGGCTCAAGCTGAACGAGGCAGGCTTCTCAGGACCTTGGGCTACCGAGTCCTATCCGAGATCAACGACGTTTCAGTAATGATGCCTACTGCACTGGTCGGAACGGTGTTGTTGACTCTTCGTGGCCGAGGAGTTGGAAAAGCCGAACTAGTACGACGCTTGGACTGGCTTTGCGAGCGTGTACGTGCTAAGGGCGGCCGAGTTGCTCATTTCTACCGATCGCCGACCGAAACGGTTGTTGATCGAGCTCTGGATGTCCTGGGGCCCAAGCTAGTCGGCGTGATCACAGGCTTAGTGGAGCCAACATACTACGCTGTCGATCGGTTCCAGCTGTCCTTTTATCGTAATATGCTTATCCATCTTTTTATCACTGAAGCTTTGGTCTCTGTTGCGATGTACACAAAGATCAAGCAAGGTGGCGGGCCAACAAATCAGCGGATTGGCTACGAAGCTTTGAGGACTCAGGTCTCTTTTCTGTCTCAGGTATGCTTCCTATTGTTCCCAAGTGTAATTCCTTAATTGCTAACCGACCGCAGCTTTTCCGTGGAGAATTCATTTTCCCTCCTGAAGGCCTGACAACTAATTTAGAAAGAACTCTGCAGGGCCTGGAGGCAGACGACGTCATTCATATTACCCGTGATGACTCTGGAACACCCCAGTTCGTCGAGCTCAGTGATGCAGAACGTCTATGTGGCCGTGAAAACTACGACTTCTATTGCTTCCTAATTTGGCCTTTCATAGAAGCTTCATGGCTTGGTGCTGTATCATTACTTGGTCTAACTCCTCCCCTTGATGGTAATAAGGATATTTGGATTGATGTCAAGAAAGCCCAAGACAGCGCTCAACTTGTAAGAAATCAACATACGGCCTTTTTGGAATTCATTCACTGACATGATCTAGCTCGGCAAAACATTATATCATCAAGGAGATCTCTCTTATTTTGAGGCTGTTAATAAGGAAACACTCAAGAACTCTTACCAACAATTTGAAGAAGAAGGAATTATTCTTGTTGCCAAGGTGAAGGAAGCCAAGGTTGGCCCATCTTTGAGGCTCACACCAGAGTGGACTCCAGAGAGAGACCCTCATACCGGCAAAGTCCTACCGCATGGCCGGTTGTGGGATTTTACCGAACTCATTGCCCAGTCACGGCGTGAAGGGTGAGTCTATCTAAGCATACTTGCAATTTTTCACTTACTAACAGCTCCATGTAGCAAAAACCGTCGCGATGGTGCTACAGTCTCGTCGCGAGTTTTAAGATTATCAGATATGGTTGGAGCACAGCTCTTCTATACTAGCGCAACTGCATCTGGGCCTGCGGATATTTCCTCAAAGCAGATGCGCCGTAGGGCTATCGGCACTGACTCGAAACTCTAACAACATAATTCATATCTTTCTCTTTTTGATTTCCGTCCACCTCTGCCTTGAAATTTCACAGATTATTTTGCCGGCCTGGCACTTTATAATACAATACCCCCTCGGCCGGCTGTTTTCATATTGAACTTTTTGAACTTTCTGAACATATCTCATCTTATTCAATTCTATCCCTGTATGAATAAATTCACTGCCAAATTAACAGACACTCTACTTTGATACGTTTCATACTAGTAAAATATTCCCGTCCTCCGCCGCTGTATAACAGAAATACCAGAAATCCTTACAGAACCTTGGAAGCGATCAACAGCCCTGTCCCACAGTGATTGTTGCAGACTGGACACCGCTGCCGACTCCGCCTACAGCCTCGATAAAGACAGAGTCGCCATTGGCCAGCCCATCAATGACAACTGCGGTCTCGAACCCATTCCGCACAGCAGTTCCTTTGACCTGAGAGCCTGAATATACCTTCCACGACTCTACATCTGTCGCTCCATTCCAGCTCATAAAAACGGCCGTTCTTTTCATACCATCTCCAGCTGGGCATGCAATGACATCTGGCTTTGTTGAAGGGCGACCAACCCATGGGGATCGATATGCACGGTAACTTTCCATGTTACTGTCGTACCCGAAATAGGCACGCATCACAATTTGAGAGTCGGCATCAAACTCTTCAAATCTTGGAACTGCTCCATGACCTAGCAGGACATGCCCGTTGGGCAAAGATTGAAAACCACCTTGCGCTACACTAAATACAGGATCAAGATGATCCCACATGCGGCGCTTAAGAGTCACATTCTTTGATCCTGTAAGTTCAACTTCCAGAACCATGCCCGTTGTTAAGGCGGCGCCTCTCGTGAGATCGTCGTTGTCATTATTGTGGAGACTGAGTACCACACGCTCTGGGCTTCCGGACACAACTCGCACGTCATGTTGGTAACAGAAGCTTGTGTCGAGGCCAAGATTAAAGTCACCCCCAGTTTGACCCTGGTCATTTTTGTTAGCAGGGTTTACGACTTCACTAATTTAAAACGATGAGCTACATACATGAAGATTCCATGTGACACTACCGTTAGGAGCGACCAAAAAGGCCCCGCACATATTTCTTGAGGATAGAAGATAGGAATCTCCATATTTTGCAACGGAATTCAGGTGAGGATATCCCCATGGATTAGCTTTATCATTGCCTGAGCCAGCACCGGGCGCACCAAGTGGAACAGTGACAAAGCTCATTGGAAGCTTGTTAATATGTTCATAGGCACTCCATCGAAAGACTATCTTGTTAGTCTTGATATCTATCTCGTAGATAATACCGTCTTGAATCCAACCGTCTTTCGGACCACCAACTGAAGTTAGATCAGCCTGAGTGACATTGATCGCAATTGCGAGGATAGTCCCATTCTCTGTGAGTTGGTTTTCGTGGAGATCAATGCATGAGTCGATTTCAGAATCGTCGTCGTAGACCGTGACAATATTTTGCTGTTCACAATCGAGAGTCACTCGATGGATCTCATCATATGTGCTGTTCAGGATACTGATATGCCCATGTCCGAAGCCGTGGTTGAACTTTCCTTCCCAATAAACCAGGACAGGCTCGTCATCAAGTACTTGTGGCTGAAGTGCAAAGTGCGACCCCTTGGGGCCCTGCCAAACCAGTTCTCCATCATCGGAATAAATCGCAGGATAAATAAAATCCCGCAGGTTATCGCGAGTGGTAAGAAAGATCAATCCTGGTTCCGTCTGTCCCAGCTTTGTCACATTTAAATATGGAGTCTGGATGGGAGAGCTTTTGTATGTCTGCAGAGGCCAAAGCGGTGCCACAGACCCGGGCTCAGAGCCGCAGTGGGTTAGGTTAGCCAGAATATCGAGATTCCGAGAGACCTTTGCTGTCAAATTTGGAGCCATGGCACACAGAGATACAGTGACCAGAAGTACCAGTACTATCTTGCTCAATGCTGATAATGGTTTGCGCGCTTCCCGCCATGTGTATTGTTGATAGCTCAGGCCATCTTGTCCGTCTCTTAATAAAGAATCATTCTTCTCATGAGCTTTTTCGGTAGAAGGTATGTCCTCCACATCCTGAGAAATGGGACCGAAGGTCTTTCTCTCAGAGAGAGTCTCTGATGCGGAAAATATCTGAAGGCCTCGCCACATTTTGCAAATGAGGGGTTCCCTTTGGCCTGTCGTTCCACTGTTCATAACCTTGGAACAGAGTGCACATTTCCACTGGTGGCTGGTTTGATCCGACTTCAGGTTTGGTAATATAACAGTCTACCAATGATAAAAGATTTTTTTAGCTACATACGCGGCAAATTTACCTACATACGGTGAGGAATCAGTTCATCCCTCGCGGGAATCACCACAAAATTGATTGGTCGTACGACATTAGTGACTATGCAGGGCGTCGAGTTAGGTATGGATTCACATCCTATTTGACCTGATATGAGACATGCTTTTTTCATGACAAAATGCAACGACCAAATAATTCAAATATGTTTTGGACTAGCCCCGTTGAATAGATACGGTGCCGTATCCTATGTATCTGTCAGAGCCTGGTTGCCCACCCCCTCCATGGCTTATCCATGCCAGTGTGTCTATGTATCAGTAGCCTTCCAAGCCCTGGAGGTTCCCATCTCTTTTATATGTATTTTCCCTGCGGTTTCAGTGGGTTTAGTATAATTTAGATGTAATAATCTTGCACATCATCATTATTCCTCTGGTAACCATGATACATTCGTGGACTTATAGGGGCTTACGAAGGCTAATAGGACACACATGTGCAGGGTGTCCTGGACATTTAATGACAATCCTTGGAGCAAGGATCTGCACATTTGGGAGGCTGAGAGTAAAGTGGGACGAATCCTTGGGTGGTATTACGTTCACATGAGCAAGTCCCTGCATCAAATGTTCCCTTGTGAAACAAATATCTTCACACGTGCTGAAGAATCCTCAAAATAATGTTGGATGAATTCGATTCGAATCCCAGCACTTGAGAATACTTCATCTGTTGGAGTGCCAGTGGCAGTGTGAGACATGACCTCGGAGCCTGGGGACCTCCGAGTCTTACATGCAGGATAAGTTCACTCCAACAGGGCAAGGCTGTGGTGCATAAAGTGCCAGAATTTATACCATTTCATTATACACATGTGAGCTCCAAAATAAAGTTATAATGCAGTCTGTCTCCAGATTCCTCATGAAATTAGCGCTTGAGGGAGAGCTGGAATTGATACTCCTAAGAGTTGCCCAAACCCCGTATATGGTTGGTAGATAGGGAAAAAGGAAAACTCGAGATATCTTTGAGTTCAGCCATCTCTCAGTTCCGCTGGCTCTCTCTTCAGCTATTTCTTATTTCTCACTTCAAACTTATGCTAGATTATTAAACCTCATGGTGGAGGTTTTTACATCATGATAATAATCTTGGAGCTCCGTAAAAGCTTCTTCCCTTACCATCATTTTACAGGAAACATTTTTAAAACATTGAAGCTATGGATGAGTTCAAATGTTGAAACCTTCGAAGTCTTTCCAAGGTCGCTTTACTAATCTATTAGGTTGCAATTTACTTCCCAATGCAGAAAGGCTCACTTCAAGTCCAAGTTGCCACTGACAGTGTGATATTATAACCTTCAAATTTGAAGGCTCCGCCGCGAGACTATAAATACCAGGTATTTTTCCTTGTAACTTCTTTCTTTTCTTCTTCAACCAACCACAGCATCAGGGGCTACTGGCCCCTTTGATAGTGTTATTGTTTCTACGCCCGCCCCGGTGGATATGGAGTCCAAAAGCGAGCCATACCAGCGACAATACGCTCAATGCAGCCAAGATCGGCCACTATCTCACCAATGTACCTATCTCCCTACAATTCCCCCAATATTCCCCACCAAGTCTCCAATCCTGTCTATACAATTCCCCACTGAACTCCCCACTGAACTCCCAATCTCTAACTTTATCAATCAAAATAGCACCCAGCAGCCTGCTCCCGCGCCCGCTGCCCCGGCCGCGAGAGTCCGAACCGCGGAGCAGATCCAGCGGCCGCCAGGAGAAGAATTGCCGCCGCCGCGAGCGCCGCTAAGAAAATACCGCCAAGGGGGGCAGCCCTTGGTGGCACATCAAGCCGTGGTTCCTCTGGCAGATGACCTAGAGGATTTTGGTAAGTTTATCTCATTCCCTTGCATCTACCCTAGAGACCTGCCGGCCTTCCGAACAGTGCTCAGTGCACTACATGCTTTAACCCTGCTTGTAATTTCTGAGTAACTAACAGACATTTGTAGACCTGTAACTTGCCATGGGCGTGGTGAAGGTCCGCCAACAGAGTAAATTCTCGCCATGCAGAGCCAGATTACTTTAATGTCTCAGCAGGTTGCTGAGATTCTCCGCGAGCAGACCCGGTATTAAGAAAAGAAGGTAGCACTTGAGATGATCGATGTAGTACATTGTGTCCAAAAAGTCCTTACCCACCCTGTTTATTACCAAAAATACCGAATTAAAATTATCAATTTAAATAATTAAATCATAATATTTTTGATTGAATTCAATTATATATATATAATTGACTGACTAGACTTAGGGTCATTAATATTTAGTATAATATCCACGGACTGCACCTACAGCCTCCAGTCTCCGCGGAAAAGACATGATCAAACTATCAATAGTACTCTGTGGAATTGACCACCAAGCAGTTTTTAAAAGATTTTGGAACTCGCACCAGGCAAGCTTTGAACGATTCTCATAACGTAAATCAGGTCGTATACGGAATACTTGGCGTTTTAGGAATGCCCACATTGGTTCAATTGGTGCAAGATCAGGGGAGTGTGGAGGCCACTCCATAACCTCAATTCCGTGAGTCTCAAACCAGGTTTGAGTACGTTGAGCAGTATGAATCTTTGCGTTATCTTGTTGAAATAGTATACCAGGTTGACAATGATCGATTAAACCTTCGTTAAGGGTATTGATGTAGGATAATGCCGTATAACCTCGTTTTCCAGGACTTAAATCCCGCTCCATAATGACTAAGTCAGAACGACTCCCTAGCCAAATAGCACCCTATACCATTTGAGCAGTGTCCTTTCCATGGGATCCAAAATTAATCATTCGAGGCTCATATGCCTCTGAACAGAGTCGGAAAACCCACTGGAGTTGACTATTAGAGCGGCGCTGTATTGAGCACTCGTCGGAAAAAATGATTTTTTGTAAATCTTGAAAACCTCGCCACTTCCTCACAAATTCACGTCGTCGAAGTGCATCATACCTTTTTAAAGGTATCCTCTTCCGTGAGTTCCATTTTTTAATCTTATATGTGTATAAGATATGTCGAATAGTATTTTTTGATAATCCACCAGGAGTAAGACTTTGAAGTGCTGCCCAGCTGAGTTGGGGCCTTCGACACACAAGTAAATATATATATCGACGAGTCCTAGGGCTATATTTCTTAGGGCGCCCTGACCGAGCTCTCGAAGTAAAGTTCTGTTGTTGATGGAAGCGTTGTAACGTGTTGAATACTGTCTTACGGGTGACTCCAAATGCCTCTGCGACAGCAGTTTGAGTCTGTCCCGCAACGCACATAGAAATAATAGCCGAACGCGTAGATTCTGATAATGGTGCATTTTGAGGTCGGCTATCGCGCATTATCTGGCCAAATTCATGTATACTAGGGGTGTAGCGCGCCATTTTAAACAAAGAGTGGTAGGGTTAAAGAGGGGCGGTGAAAAAGTGGGTAAGGACTTTTTGGACACAATGTAGTTTGATAGAGAGCAAACTTATCACATTTGTTATTATCATCCACACCCATATCTCCCAAGCCCCTCCAATGCCGATGTAACCTTGGAAAGCACATTGTATCGAGCTATTGACCTTCAAGGTTGTCGCTGAGCTGTCTATCATTGAAAAGGAAATGAAGCAGGAAATGAAGCTGCCAGTGTGGCAACTGGCTCGGAGACAGCACACCTAGTAACTCTCAAATCTTCAAGTTCTCGAGGTACATTCTCGCAGTGGTGAGACCATCCTCTATCTTGGCCTCTTCGGCCCCATTCCCAACGCTTGTAGTGCCTTTTCCACCGGTTTTTCCACCTATAAAATTCGCAACTTCTGCCGTCCATTCATTTGCTATGAGGCCATATGACGCATGCACCTATTTGGTTGTTAATACCATGCTTTTTTATGTTGATAAATGAAACTTACAGGGGCAACAAAACATTCGTGTGAAACTCGTTTGCCGGTAGCATCGATGCCGATGAAGTACACGCTCTTGTCGTCATGGTTAGAGGCGACATATTTTATAGCCTCTGTGATGCTTCGGGCGGAACAAGCAACTGGGATTTTGAAAACGAATGCGGTCTCGTTCGGGCTCTGCTAGATCAGAGTTTCAAGACCGTGATCAAGATTTCAAGTTGCAATTTCTGAATTTCCTTTTGCTCTTTTATCATTCTCTTGGCACATTCTTCGAGTCGCTTGGTGAACTGTTTTCGATCCGTAAGGGAAATGGGCAGTGAAGCCATTTCGGTTTGTGTCTGCCTGGCAAGTGTCTCTTTTGCAGGAGAGGTATCCATGCTTTCGATGCTCACTAAACGCTCCTCTAGACGGACTACATTCTGTCGGGCTTCGTATGCCGCTTGGCCAGTGACAGCTACAATTCGCCGGATTCCCTTGGAAATTCCGGACTCATCGATAATGACAAGGTCCTCAATCTCACTTGTTCTCTCAACATGGGTGCCGCCGCAAAATTCAACACTGTACTTCCACCAGTCTTTGTTGAAAACATTGGCAAGGAGAGTGTTGACAGGCACTCCGACAGAGACGACCCTGGTGGGATCGGGGTATGTCTCCCCAGGTATTGTGCGAATGCTTTCAATTTGGCGCGCGCTTCCTAATGCAACGTCCGCAACAAATACTTGCTGATCGTCCTCGATAGCCTGCCGAGAGAGCTTGTGGAGCTTCTGAATTTCGATTTCGCTGAGCCCGGATTTGAGAGAGAAGTCAAAGCGTAATTTCTCGGGGGTAACCAATGATCCTTTTTGATGAACATCTGGACCCAATATTTCTCGTAATGCAAAATTCAGAATGTGCGTACCTGTATGATTGAGGCGTACTGGCTGTCGTCGCATTTGATGAATCTCAGCGGTCACCATGTCAGCAACATTCATAACACCATATTTCAAATAGCCAGTATGTAGTACGTAGCCCCCATATGATTGAACATTGGTGATAGTCATTTCAGCAACGCCGGCGATAATGAATCGCCCGGTATCGTAGATTTGACCACCCGATTCGGCGTAGAAATTCGTTTTCTCCAGGAGGATACCAAATCGCGCATCGTTTGGCACATCGGATGTACTGTCAACGAAACTCTTGTTGTAGTATAGGGCCCGAATGATTGACCTGACTGGGCCTTCGATGTACTTTGACGTATCATCGGTTCTCTTCAAGCCGGGCATGTTTTCTAATGCGGCTAGATCATGGACATCGAAAGCAACAAGATCAGATACTCTTCTTATCACCTTTGCTAGCCTCCCGGGGGTTCTCCTGGGCGGCGGACACTTCATCCAAGTCAATATTTAGACCTTGCTCCTCAGCCATCAGCTTCGTTAGATCAATGAGGAATCCATGTGTCGTAAAGGCGCCATACATCATCTCCCGGAAGATCTTTGAGCCAATGTGATGACACTTTTGGGCGTACTTTACAGATATTGCTTCTCCGCGATCAAGGGTTAATGCGAAGGCATGCTCTTCATCATTCAGAATCTGTTTCACAAGCTCTTCCTTGACACGAACCTCGGGAAAGATATCTCCAAGCTGCTCGACAACTGTGGGTATAATCTTTGAGAAGAAAGAGCCAATCTCTGCATTGAGATACTTCCTGGCGTAGCGTACACCACGTCGCAGGATCCTTCTTATCACATAGCCCCGACCGACACTATCAAGAATCGCACCGTCAGAGATCGCGATCGTGCAAGTACGAGCGTGGTCAGCCACAACCCGATAGGCAGTATCAATGCCATCGTCATCAGCACCAAACATCACTTGGTACGGGCGTGCACCGGTGATATCTTGTATTTTCTCAAATAGAGGTATCCAGAGATCTGTGTCATAATTCGAGGTCTTGCCCTGTAGGATTGAGTAAGGCGCTCAAATCCTAACCCTGTGTCGATATGCTTGTTTGGTAATGGTCTAAGAGACTTGTCAGCCTCCCTGTTGAATTGTACAAAGACAATATTCCAGATCTCAACAACATTGGGGTCGTCCATGTTAACGAGGTGTGCAGCATTGCGGTCACCAATGCGATCGTAATGGACCTCACTACAAGGCCCACAGGGCCCTTGCCTTCCCATTTCCCAAAAGGTATTTTTCATATTTCCGGGTAGTATATGGTCATCCGGTACACCAATCTGACGCCACAACTGCTTTGCATCGCTGTCAGGGTGAAGACCTAGGGATGAGGAGCCTTCGAAATAGGTGACGTAGAGTCTGCTGGCATCCAGCTCAAAGACACGAATGAGTAGATCCCAAGAGTACTCAATAGCCTCGCGCTTGAAATAATCATCACAAGACCAATTACCGAGCAAATCAAAAAAGTGTGGTGGTAATTATCCTTGCCCACGTCATCCAGGTCGTTGTGTTTGCCCCCTGCGCGTATACATTTTTGGGAGTTGGTCGCGCGTTTCAAATGGGCAAAATCGGCGTTTGGGTCGACAGTACCAAGGAAGATAGACTTGTATTGGTTCATTCCAGCATTGGTAAACAACAAACTTGGGTCGTTGTGAGGGATGACCGAGGAGGATGGAACTACTCAATGAGTCACTAGGTGCAGTTTAATTCTCAGAGCATACTCACCAAACACATGATTTCTCTCATTATAGAAATTCAGAAATGTGTCGCGCACAGTCTTTGCTGGCCATCTGGTAGGCTCGGAGGGCATCGCACTAAGAAAATTCAGTATCTCTGCAGGATACTCTATACAATTTTTGAGATTGTGTAGAAAGACATAAAAAGGGGAGAAAAAGAAGAATTTTTATAAGTCATACCCGAGTTGTCAAAGAGACTTATTACTTTTTCCCATGGAGGTAACAGGGTTGATTCAGATGAAAGAGTTGAAAAAGGTACTACTATAGTAAGGGAATGAAAATGATTTTCAGTGCCGGTGTTATTTAGATTGAAGGTTCTTGTCAGATTTCCGCTCTCTGAGCTCTAGGTATTTATACGGAGTAGCTGAATCAGTAGGAACCTTATACTTGAGAGTATTCTTGCTGTGACTCATCGATGCTCCGTGTAATCCTTGCTAGCAAGGATACTACTATAGGAGCCCAAATCAAAATATCTTGATAACACTTGAGTAATTACAATAGCAACATGATTAATATTTTGGGCAACTGGGTCTACTCACATAAAATAAAATGAAACTGTACTTTTATGGGTGAAGCATGGATGAGCCTTGTTAAATTGATATCTCAATTCAACCTTAGAAGTTCCTTTGAAGGTTGACTTGATTGGTAGCCTGAGACCATTATATGTAGCCCTGGAGGGATTCCAAGGTTCCAAGTCACACATGCAATACTAGAACATGGATTCAAATGTTGAAAGCAACTTGAAAAGATAAAATACTTACAAGGTACATATCTTGGTGGATCTTGAACTCATGTTGCTCGGTACCTATCGTAAATTCAACGTAACAGGCCACTGGCATCTTCTTCCTTCAGTCCACCTCACCCATTCACTTCAAATGTTTTTCACACTTAGGAAGGACTTTTACTTGACTGTACAGTATTCAGAATTGGAATTTGAGGAAATTGTTTTCTCTTGTGCCATCATGGGGTAAGCAGAACTGAAATGATAACATTGAATTCCATGACCATGCTGACGCGAAAATAGTTACACTCACTACTGGGAGATCGCTGACTGGGATTTTGATGAGTGGCAAAAGACGTGGCCGAAAATCATCAATGATGTCCCTCGAATTATTGAGGCTTCTGGTGTATCGATGATGGGACCAATGGCTCTACCTGACGAGAATACCGAGAATGACGATGATGAATATGACGAAGATGATGACGAATCTGTCACTCCACCACTGGTTGATATAAAGAAAGGCATCTTTATCAACGGCATTGAGAAGGATATACATGAGGATTCTTGAAAGATGGCGAGTGGAATTGCTGCAAGACCAATGAGAAGCCCTACGATGCTGTTGTCACGGCAATCCTTCTCCGATGTGCCGTGCTAGCACCGAACAGCTTCAAGCCTAGGTATGATATTCTGGAAACATTTTGAATCTCTTTCTGACAGCAAATGCTGATTTGTCTTAGCTCGGATGGTACCTGGGAAGAGTGGACTCCGGCCCGACAAATTTACAAGCGGCTGTGGCCAGAAGGGAATTACGGTCAGGCGTCAGTGGAGCTGGCTACGAAGATGACGAAGATCCAGTGAGACGTGTTATCTAGAGGGAGAACGGACCAGTGGTCCCGGCAATAGTAGCTCCTGCAAGCATTGAAATTCGTATTTTCCAATCCGAGCCCTTAAGGAGACCCCAGGCTGGTACATAGAGGCCTGGGCGCTGGGAATAGGAAACCCACAGCAAGTATTGTTTTCTATGGATCCATCTACACACAACTTACTGAAGATGGACAGTTCCTGTAAACTGATCCGCCCATATATATTGTGTTGATAATGAAGGCACCCAACGACGGAAAATTGCCGCCTAATGAATACCCATGACCTCCGATATGACATCCAGGTAGTGAAAACAAAATTCAGCGACTTTTGAAGCGTTTGGATCAACCAGAGCAGCTGCAGTCAGAGGACACAAAAGCAAAAAGGCACCGGTGGAAGATCTGACAGGGATGGCTGAAGCATCACGTTTTTCTTGGTTCAAAAGTCCAAGGATGTAAGGCGCGCTGTGACAGATATCATCAGCAATGACACGCATCTCGGTTCGAATTCCAATGCATTTTATCTGCGCCGATGCGTTTGGACTAGGAGATGTTGCTTCAGGATACAGATGGGCCAGCATCATATCGTGTAACAAAAGCTTTGATGTGCGATATTGATTCCACATATCGGCAGCCCAAAATCCTGTATATCTGTGAACATACTCTTTGTATGGCTCAAGTCTTATACGGTCGTTAATTTGAAAAGGCTGCATAGCTGGAATTTCGTCATAGCCCGAGCTTGGAGAGACTCGGGCTGCCCAGTTATTCAGTTCTGAATTGATAGAGTCCAGTCGATTCATGATTTCGCTGCATTAATTCAGCTGGCCTATATCGATTTCAGCCGAATTTGAGCAAGAGTGAAAATGATGTTGGTAAGCTCCCATGTCGAGGTGATTACAGGGTCTCTGGCTGTAGCTGCAAAATAACTGGACAACCCCAGGACTTTTGACGGAACGGGAACTTTTCGAGCCAATGAGTAAAGGATCTAAACAGTTAGCCTATGGCTCCAAGTAAGGTCATAATATCTAGAATCCTTACAATTTGAGACCGCCAAGAATAAAACAATGAAGGGGAGGAAGTCCTCGACAGATCCTCTCTTCCTCTTGTTTCAAGGAGTCTAGCAGCGCCATCAACATGATTCAACCAGTTTTCAATTGAATCACGATCTTGGCCAACAATAAGCTGTGGTATTCGAGTCAGTTGATTTGACCTAGAATAAGGGTTCAAAAAACATCTCACCTCAAATATTGACGAAAGAAAGATTGATGTTAATGTAGAATCTTCCTTCAATTGCTCTGTATCCCCAAGTGCCATATTGACAAACTTCAAGGAAGTCACATAATCAGCGCTGGCTGACTCTCGTAATGAAGTCGAGTGCTCAATATTGGCAAAAGAAGCTTTCCCCACAGCGGATATACCTGCTAGTAAGCCACGTTCACCCAAAGGGGCACTCTCAGGGACTGTATTATGATCAAAGGATCCTTTAATCAAAGTAGACGCGCCAACCCAGTCAAACACCTCAAAGAAATAGCAGGTAGCTTGATCTTGAAAATCGATTACGAATAGTTCCATAGGTAATAGGAACAATTCACCCCTTTGTGCAATTTCATGGGTTGACAGTACTTTTCCAAATGCCTCTTCCATGATTGATCTCTGAGTACGACGCCCAATCGTGGAGGATGAATGACCTGTTGCTTTGGTGTGCTGCGCAACTGTTTGGCTTTCATCCCGAAATCGGAGAGCGACCCGATCTCTATAACCTGGACATTGGCGCCCTGATTTCAGGCAGCGATCACAAGCTGGTTGTTCGAGATCACACTAATAATTTTCTTAGTGATTGCTAGTGATAGGTCAACATGACTCTTGTATAGTAACCTTTATTTTGCGTGCGCGGCATTCTCCACATGCGTGACTTATGACTCTTGAAGACATTGGACCAAGGTTGGAGGGAGGTTGGATGTAAGCTAGAAGAAAATAATCCAGGACCGGGAATTTGATTTAAATCTGTTCCTTGCTCAATGCACCGCACCAGGCACCTGGCCCTGGGGTATAAATAAGGTCTTCAATATAAAGCATAATCTTAAGTTTGTCCCCATTATACGGATAAGCCCACATAGTCAAGCCCCCAGCGCATAGATCAATAATCAAATTTCATCTGATCATCAATCAATCTCAATGGTTCCTGTATTAAAACAAGCACTGAAAAGGCTACAACTGTTTAGAATCGGAACAATGAACAAGGCTGCGGCTGAGCGGACGCATACAGCCCCACTGAGTGGAAACAGTCGTCTTCCCCAGATGATAAGCTAGCCTTACAGTACTGATGCTTTGATTTTTGGCAACTCTGGAAAATACTGCCCCAATGAGCAAACTTCTAGCGCGTTGAAAAGAACGAGGCTATCAAAATAGCATCAGCATGACATTCTTTGCGGAGTTGACGGTATCAAGCGACGTGAGAAAGAGAATAAGGCTCGCTGGAACTCGGAGTTCGGAGTAAATTAATAATCCATCTGAGCATGGGGATCTGTGAATAGTTTAGTCTCATTCGCGTTTAGATATTAAAGCTATCATTCCTGATGTTTGTAGGGTTCCCTAGCCCCAGTTGATGTAAGTGCTGATGCCTAGATGCAATGCAGACCATTTTCAACTTGAATCGCATTAGTAAAGGCCTTTAAACCAGCAAATTGAAGGCTTCGATTGCAGAAGGCTGAAATGCGAAGAAAAGCAGATCTGTGCCCAGGTCGCTATGATAGCACTCTTGCTAGGCTACAATAATGCCATGATTTGAAATGCCGATCTCGGCAAATCCGCCGACTAAGCCGACGTCCACGGATCTTATTTGGGGTCCAAATCGACTCACATTAAATTGATGGACAAATACCACCGCTTACCTATCAATATCATCCCACATTTACCGAAGCTCCACAATCAAGCTGGAAGACCCACTGAGAAGCACATGTGATGTCATGATCCGAGGTCAGATGCAGCTATCAATCTCAACTTTCTCATGCTCAAACTATGACACCTCTGCCCTAGAGGCAGCACCTGGGGCACCTCGCTGCAATAAAACTTGCAGCCAATTACTATGACATGACGGAGTGTAGCTGCCAGGGACTACTATTCATTCCAAGATCCGAGTCGGTACCTAGTACCTAAGAATATTCAAGGTGAAACATCGGAGGAATCGGTCTCTTGACCTCGGGAACTTCCAAGGTTGAATACAGCCGTGGATATGCATGTAACATTGAATCTCTATTTCTTATATGTATAGAAACAAAAAATATGTACCTCAAATTTTTATACAAACTTGAATCCTTCGCCCCGCCACCTGGGCATGCGAAGTCTCTGCTTCAAAATGGAACGAGAAGCCCACTCAGGCTGCAGATCTGAGTCCACCTGGCAGTGCTGTACTAAGCCTGTAAATCCTCTAGTAGACCTTGAAACCACCAGGCATCAGGGTCTGGAACACACCATTGGGATCGTACTTCTGTGCGGTCTTGATCAACTTCTGGTGGTTACCCTCGCCATATCCAGGGTAAATAGACTGGAACCCGGCGGCATCACCCATGTAGTTGAACGCATCATACAGACCAGCCTTCTCAGTAGCATTGTTGATCTTGTAGGTAGTCTCCTCAACCCACTCGGCGACAATCTCATCATAATCAGAACCGATCCATTCAACAACCTCAGCATAGCACAAGTACACCTGGGAGGAATCAAGGCCCAGGGCATTTCCGCCACGGGCCTCAGAGGCCTTGATCCAATCGGCACCAATTGGCTGCCAGTCCAGCTCAATGATGGAGATATTGGCTGTAGGGATCTGTGCGTACAGCTTGGGCAGCTGCTCGTAGAAGGTGGAGTTGATGATGCTAATACCCTGGTAAAGTTCGGCAAAGGTAGTTCCCTTCACAGTTCCGGCAACAAATACATCGCTATGATTTGTTAGTTTTGCGTAGACTAATAAGTGTGTTTGGTTTTGCTTACTTGATGCCAGGAGTGACCACCTCACCCAATTCGTTGGCGAACTCCTCAACGGTCTTGAAGTCAAGAGTGCTGCTGATAGCAGGGATATCGGTGAAAGGAGTGAGGATGTCAGGGAAAGTGGAGTTATCGCTGTCGTAGAACAAGATCACGGATGCCACAGTCGTAGTTCCAGGAACAATCGCAGGAACAATGTGGGTCTTGTCATCAAAGATATTGGCGGCGTAAGTCGCAATAGCCTGATTAAATTAGTGACACTCATTTCCGGGATTAGGAAAAGGAATAGACATACCGCAAGGAAGACGTCAATGTACTCAGCAGCGACAGTGTAAGAACCAGCCCACACCTGACGAGAAGCAATAGTCTCAATATCGAAACGGGTAACAAGACCAAAGTTGCTGCTACCGCCCTTCAGAGCCCAGAAAAGATCCGAGTTGTTGGTGGAGTTAGCGTTGACAATGGAACCATCAGCCAGAACAACCTCATAGTTAATGACGCTGTTGCAAGCGAATCCGACCTGGTTACCGTAGAAGTTGACACCACCAGCGAGAAGCAGACCGGGCACACCAACGGGTCCAAGACGACCACCTGGGACGGTGAGATCGTACTGGGCCAGGTACGTGTACACTTGGTTCCACCTGTATCCGGGGCCGACCGAGAGAACGGATTGGTCATCGTTCAATTCCAGGGTAGTCAAGTTTGACATGACGATCAGAACTCCATTGTCAATGTTGTTAGAGCCCTGTTATTTGTCAGTTCCATTCGTGTGCTAACAGTAACTAATATTCTGTTTAGTGGGGAGCTTACCCGGATGCCCATATGGCCACCACCACGAACAGCAAACTCAGCATCAGCCTTAACAAGGGCCTCCAGACCCTTAGCTAGCTGGGCGCTTGATTGTGGGCGAAACACACAGCCAGGAGATAGAATCTCAGTGTCCGACCAAAAGTTCTGGGCCTCATACTCGTAAACAGCAGTGTTGGGGTAAAACAGTGCATCAGCAAGAGGCTTCTTCAAAGCTTGGCACCCAGCCTTCAAGGATGGGGAGCTTCTAGAAGCGACCTGAGCATTGGCCGCGACCGTAGCGACCGAGCCCACCAGGGACAAGACAATAGAGGCCGCACGCATTATGGAGGATGGCAATTGAATATGGTCAAGAAGAACAACCAGGTCCCATGGAGAAAAGGGGATCGAAGATGACGGCTAGAATAATATGTATGATCTCGATCCGGGTACTCGGTATTTCCAGGAACCGATCCTGCACCGCTGTTCTGCTTCTGCAACGTTCCAGCGTTATTAGCTCCGTCTTTCACGGCTTAGCTTCCTTAGCTTCGGGGGTTGCGTGAGCGGGCGCATTTAGGCCCGTGGAGAACCCACTTAGCGGGATGCAGGGCGGAACAGGAACCAGGAAAATTGGAATGAACCATTGTTCTACACGTGGAAATCATAAATCAAGGACATTATCTGGAATGAACGTGGAAAAGCGAAGTATAAAGTATGGGGTTGCATGACTTAGGCCTGCATTTCTTCACAGATCTTGAATGTTTATGCTCTGATCCCTTTGTTATGCACGCCACCCGCGGGATATCCAGTCAGGGTGTCTTGCAAGATTTGCCGAGGTGTGAGAACAGTTGAGATCCACTTCTAATCATTTCTGGAAAACTTTATAATATGAACTATGGAGTTTTTATCCATGGAACTACGGCTCATTGTTTGGATCATTTCAAGGTCATTATTTTTACTAGGAATGTAATTTCCAGGGTTCATGTCGTGTCCGTGATAAGACACAGACTATCGAGATGAACACACAGCATCTTTATACATGGAATCATTGATATGCTCATTCCATTTGAGCTGTCCTTGACGAGTTTTCAACGTCAAATTCCACGGTTCGAATAATACCTTCCACCTCTTCGATCTTGTTTTGGTTATTAGTATGTTGGCCGGATAATATATGCTCTTCACTATCATTGCCAGGCGTATCCCGGAGCGTAGTGAGAGTAGTAGAATAATGAGCATCGCGACCGGAGAAATCAGGCCGGCTTTTCGGAAGAGAATTAAGAGGATGAACTTGTTTTCGTGATCGAGAAGAATCGTAGCCGCCACCGGAAGATAGACCCAGAAGTCGGGGGAAGTATCGTCGTATGAACGGTCGAATAGCTGTAACGCAGCCACCGAAGATACCGAGGTTCAATTCGATCGTACACCACATGAGAGCATTAGTGGTGGTCCCTGTGAGAATCACCTGTTAGCTTTGACTCAACCCGAACTTGAAGTTGAAGGAATTGAAACGACGTACAAGTGAGGTCGGTGCTCGTCAAGAGTTTATATAAGCTAGCAAGACGAATGCAGCTGACAATTCCGACGCTAAAATGAATTAGAAAGATGAATCAAGAAAATTTGTGAAAGATCAAGAAAACGTACGAGCATCCCATCGCAAGAATAGCGACAACTGCAAGCTTCTGTCGCACCGGCATCTGTAATTTACGGATCCATGGTCTACCAGGCTCCAATTAGCTGAAGGTCAATAAGACAAATGAAAAAAAACACATACATCGGGACCACGACTGTGGCAAAATCTGTAAAGATACCCAATCCAGCATTGGCGAAATAAAAGACTGGTCGGTTCATGCAATATCCCGTTGTGATAGTTGAATCCCAGGACTTCGCTACCGGGTGGCAGCTGAGAATGTTGGCAAGAATACTGGCAATACTATATCCAGCTGCGATGAAAACGATCGTCCAAACTACCATATGGAAATTCCGACTGGGGAAGATTCGGAGGTAAAATATGAGGACTGAGCATTTGGTGAATCCGGTAGCTGCGCAGTAGAAGATGGCGGCGATGAGGTTCAACTATTCGATTTCTGAGATCAGTCTCGAGGTGATTTATGCAACATGAACGTTAGTTGTCACATACCTTGCTAAACATTGGAGAGAAAATTTCTAATGGAACATCCCACATGTGTCGTCCCAGACCCCAATTGAGCACTATCCAGGTCAGCTCAAGTACAATACTATGGTACACTGAATATTAAATTAGTAACTCACTGTCCAATGTCACTCCAGTCAGTACACATGATAATATCTAATAATAGATGTCAGTTAGTAACAGATGCAAAAGTACAATCACCAATTGCATGCACATACGAGTGATATGACCATAAAATCTAGAATAAGATGTTAGCTCCTTGGCTTTTATGAGCATGTATTAATAGTCAACTGGTGCTAACACTCACAATCATCTGTGCGAAAGCTTCGCACAACAAATAGTCGTGTCCATGTCCTTATTACGAGACCTATTAAGGCGAGCGGTAAGAACACACAGTTTACCACTAAAAACTTGGTACCGATGTAATCCGGATCAACGAAGTTGGATGTCTTTCCTGCTGGTGGTGATAGAGCAGGAATAATCGTAGTAACATTAGCCATCGTGCTGGCTCAGTCACGGAAGCCGTCCATCCGCGAGGGACAGATTAAGGATGGAGGCGTGGAAGGGGTGATATATAGGAAGAATGAATCGTGGGGCCTTTAGAGAGGGAGTAGGCGGAGATGCGGGCAACAATGTGGTTCCCGACATGTCATTACATCCACGGGCCATTCAAAGTTATCTCAATCAACCATAGAAAGCTAAGGCCCGTGTTGGACCATTGAACTTTGACCGTATCCGTTCTCAATTTTCCGATTTGCGAAAAACTGCAAACTTCAAAATTTGACCCTCTAAAGGCTTCAATATACTCTACGCTTATGTCTCACCTGTGGAGACTAAAGATCTCCACTCTAGACCCAACAGAGCGTCTTTCACAACTTGGTCAGCAGAGGGCCCGAGCCCGCTATCGATCTTTTAGGAAATCAGACCTGGTCACCCCTTAGGTTGTTTTTCTCTGTACCTGGCGGGGTGATAGGAAGGGATGGATGTCCAGGTGTGTTCACGCGGATGTGATATCCACGGAGATCAACGGAGTCAGCAAAACAATGCACGATCAGAGACAAAAGCTAACGGGCGAAGTTCGGGAATAAACTAGGCAAAATTTTTATCGTCACTTTGCCGAGGTGGTTGAAAGTTAAGAACTCTCATCGGCGTTTAATTGACTGAACAATTGATTAGTATGCTGCATTCGGTAGGGATTGACGCGCCACCAACCGAACTAGGATCGTTTCGATCGATTGAGAGTCCGCGTTCTCCGTTCAAAGGTTAGGGGGGGAATTCCAGAGCTTAGCCCCCACACACGGTGTAAATACCCTCGTTTAGTGGTCGAGTCCATAATGCACTGGATCAACGAACACTGAGAATAATTGCGCCACCGGGATCTCCAACAGGGGTGTGACATTTTCATTGCACTACTCCATAATCAGCATGATTCTCGTATTCTGTGCCAGCCTTGTTCTTTAAACCCCGGCAGTTTCAATCAATTGATGAATCTGATTGGTATATCGAAAAAATGGATCGGCATATCATACACATCGGAATTGATTTCCATGATTTCCATGGAACGAGCTGAGAACTTTGGAAGCTTCGGTTTCCAAGTGTTCGAATCTGTAAGGAGAGATCTAAGTTGAATCTCAAACCTACAAATCCATGAGGGCCACAAGCTGACCTACAACCTTCGAAATAATCAAGTGCTATTGGAACTTGAAACGATTCCACAATTTCCCTCTTATTATAGACTAGATCTTGTGGCGGTTTTTGAGATATCTTTCAATTTCCGGCCTGAGCACTGAGTAGCCTCATGAGGTCACAGGGGCTAAATGTACTCTGGGGGTAAAGTGATGTGCTATCGAGCATTCGAACAGCAGATGATATGCAGGCTATTGATGGGATAAAGGTTCATAATGACGATCATTTGTATAACTACTCCGTACTGCATATCCAGGAAGTCCCACGTTCGGAATGTTCCATGCAGTTCAAGTTCAGGATTAAGCGAGTTCTATAAACAACCAAGACTAGTGGAGAATATTGACGCCTCTATGCGCATCAACCGCAGCACTTGAGTGGTTTCGAATGTCCAATTCGACCTCTCGACATTTCTAAATGACTCAAACGCATAGTAGAAACATTGGATCTGACCTCTTCAACCTTCAAATGTTGGAAGTTGTTCCTCAAATCGCCTGGTCTAAAAAAGAAACCTTGGAAATCAACCCTTACTAGGAACGACAATGGATCCTCAATACGAGCACTCCACCGGCACTTGAGTACATATGAACTTTCGCATCGGTAAATGTATTAACCCTGTGCACATGTGCATATCATCCAAATGTCGAACAAAGGTACCGACCCGCCCCCAGTATATCACCATCAAGCCTCCACTCGGGGACTCCGTAATTCAAATGATTTTCATCGCAAGTATGTACTCTCAAGCTGGCCCGCAGTCAAACTTAGAGACGGGTGTGGCTCACCGTACCCTTGGTAACAGTCTGCACCAGCCGTGTGGAAATTACACAGGCCACTCCGAGCCCATCTCCGAGAGCTGTGGGCCTTGGGAAATTTGGTAAATGTCCGAATTAACTTGAGGCATAATTTCAGGGGATTTGAGGAGGGGATTTAGGAGAGTGGATTGTACCATTACTCACTGGTTGTCGGTGACAATAACCACCTGGGCACTAGTAACTGAACCGGAATGCGGCATGCACATGCCCATGCGCCTTCTAACCGAACTAGTCATACATGTGGACTAGGTACTCCATTGTGGAATGTACCTAGTGCCGTAGGATATGGCTTCCAAGATTGTCAATCATTTACTAATCCCATTGACCATTTCTGACGAAGCTACCTGGTCAAGTGATTATAGATGTCTAGAATACTCTGTGGCGTCATGCCAAAGTGCTTGGCCAGAACGGGGCTAGATCGGAAGAACAGGCGCGAGAAAGCTTCAAATCGGCTGTCAGAATGTCTTGGGACAGTCTAATTTATTAAAGTTCTCACCCAGGGCTGTTTCGTCTAAACATACCCCTTGTTGCTAGAGCTGAGGTCCAGAGCTTGGCTATTCACTCAAGTCTTGCTCCGAGTCCGTACTATTTGGCCAATCTGGTTAGTAGGGTTAAGGGAGGGCCACCTGGCGTAAGTCCTACTAGGTAGTGTTGCTCCGAGTCTATAAACCATACTAGCTGATCCCAGAAATAGCTCGTTTAGCGAACTTGGACACCAAGGTTGAGCCACGTACGAATGAACATAGCACTGGAGGAGAATATGGAATACTGGACAAGAAGTGGAAAGAATGAGACAAAAGGCTTTTTGGGCATGGAAACACAAGTTCCAAAATGCTAGTTTTCGAAACTTAAAGATCAACCGCATAAGCACCCATGGTAAGAAATGAAATCCCCAAAAATGATACACACATAACCCCGCAAGTGAAAGCCAGGTATAATACGAGAAAATCCCAACGGCCGTAAAAAGAAGCATCCAATGAATAACAGGAGAAATCCGGTAAAGAATTAGAAAGAGGAAAAGAAACACAAACTATGTCCAGAGGGGTTCTGTAAGCACCACCCCAGCTCACATTTGCATCTGCTCGTCCCCATCTGCATCTTCTGCACCAAGGGCTCCACCAGGTATCCGGCCCTCATTAAGCTCCTTCTCCAACCGTGTGATCTCAGCCATACTCTTCGCCTCGCGAATCATCTTCTCCACGCGCTTGCGCTCGGCATCTGTAAGCTTCACGCGAATAGCCTTATCGGTTGAGGTGCTTGCCGAGGCGGCAATAGATGCATCGAATGTCTTGGACTTGATACCCTTGATCTTGGAGGCAAGTGCGGAGGGTTCTTCGAATGTGCCGAAAAGTTCCTTTGCCTTGGCGCGCTCTACATCCTTCACCTTTTGGTAATCGAGGAATCGAACAGAGGGAGCCAACCAAATGACCCAGTACCGGTAGTTCTATAAAACACTAATTAGAGCTGTATCTCAGGGTCTAATGGTAATTATGACCAACCTCTTTGCGAGTAACAGGGTTTTCGAGAAGAGTGAGATGTGTCAAACGTGGGAGGGTTCGAAGCGGGTCGAGATCCGCGAGCTCGGACAGGTTATTTGAGGTCAAAACCAGTGTTGACAAGCTAGGTACCGATGATCCCAGAGCAGGTTGAATGTGACTGATTCTGTTGCGAGCAAGAAGGAGAGTGTGTAGGCGGGGGAAGAAAGGGAAGTTTCCGATAGAGGAGAGGTCGTTGTCGGTGAAGTCAATTGTATCTTGGTCCTGCAAGCGGTCAGAAATCAACAATCCTCAAACGAAAGCTTGTAGGCAAGAGATAGGTGGCTATATTGCGCCTCGGAGAGTAGCTCCATATAGCCTGTGGCATGTTGATCGACTTACTTTGGCAATACCCAGGTTCTCAATTGCGGGGATCTTGTGTCCTACACGACTCGACGGATAAAGACGATGTGAATGAAGCTCTTTGATCAAATGGGTAGTACCTGTCCTTTTCAGGTAGGTGTCTGGTATTCAAACGCACCTCGAAGATCCAGCTCGCGGTCTGTGAGAGGATTGATATAGGAAAGGGAATTCTGGATGAGCTCGACGGTCAATCGCATGGCGGCGGCGGTTGCAACTTAAGGTTGCAGGTGATCTCGGGAGAGGATACACTAGAAAATGTGGTTTGGAAGAAGGCCTCGAACGTAAATGGCACCCAGGAAGACTCAATGACACCGAAAGACAAGGCAACGAGCAATAACTGAGCGGGCCTGTCGCAAGATTCTCTAATCAAGATTAGCTCGAACCTGCCCTTTTTGCCGGGCGGTGAGACTAAATGTCATCAAAGCACGTGATCATTTATCGACTATATCATCTTGTAGGCACTTACGCCATTCTACTTGGAATTTAAAGCAAGGACATGATATCATAAATGTGAGCAATGTATTATTCTATATCCATTAATAAAAATTTCGCAACAGTGCTAATGGTACACCGCCAGTACATCCAAATCGCCCGGATCAGATTCAAAAGCACCAAAACAAAGCGTACTTCTCCAGAGTACAGGTTCGAATAATGTACCAAGAATGGAAAGTTGTAACTAGCACAACAACGCCTTTAATTATGAGCGATCCGATAAAAAGCAAAAACAGGACCAAACCCCGTCCATGTTGAAGCAGTGAACTCCGAAGATGCGATGCAGAAGAAAAATGAGAGTATGGCGCATCTCACAGGACATAATTCGATTGATAGATCATGCATTCGTGGCGTTAATCATCGGCAAGAGGACTAAGAATGGGAGACTTCTGATGAAGGGATCTGGTAGGGCTGCCAGCTCTAGACCGGCGGCCGTTGGTGGTAGGTCCGAGCGCAATGGGAGCCAGATGATCCCTGCTTTCTGTCCGTACCACCAAGCCTGCCCGGTCCATAGCAATGCCGGATCCGCCGCTGATCCCAAGACCAATAGCCCCGGAGGAGCTATTATCAAAAGTGTACTTCAGACTAGGTGTATTACCCCCGCTACCCCAGCTAGAAGCACGCTTGGGTGGCCGAGGGTTCCCGTCGATATCCGAAGCACGACCATCCAGATCACTGGCATCTGAGTCAACCCCACCTAGATCAAACTCTTGCGCACCATCCTCCAGCACACGCTCGTAAGAGGGAGCGTTGCGATGGAAGAATGGTAAGATGCCCATAAAAGGGCGTCGCTTCTTCGGGTGGTTGGGATGAGATGGCCCCCCCGCGACGGAGAGTACTCTTGATCCGATGATAAATTCGCGAACGACGGCTGCGGCCGCAAAGGAAAAATGCCACCAGGACGATAATAAAGAGAAACAGAAGGAACCCAGGAATGCGACGAGGGGAATCTCCGTCAAACAATGAGTCATGCCAGTGCTCGCTGTGGAAGCTATCCGAATCGGGTATGAGCTCAACGCTGGGATATTGGAAATCTTCAGGAACACCGGGGACATTGCTACCAAAACCAACGGGCAGTGCTTCATCAACCTCTGTCGGAACTTGTGATGAAGCATAGAGAACAATTTTCCCCAGAGTCCAGCTAACTTCGGTAGAATCAATCTTGTTCACAGCCTGGAATGCGTCAAGGTAACCCTTCTCCTTGCCGTGAGACAAGACCTCCTTGGTTCCATTATGTGAGGAGCCCGAGGTATCTTCTAGACCCACGCGAGGTATACCGATGCCATCATGCAGCATGTTGATAATCCAAGAGGCCTTAAAGCAGACCTCGTACGCCTTTTGGCGGTCCACCTTCTTGCCCCACTGCTGAGCCTCAATTCCAGCGTCGATCAAGTCCCAGTCCTGAGAACAGAATATCTGAACTCGCTCCTGATAGGTGTTAAAATCGTATGCCTTGTCCTTGTAGCCCATCTCGAATATCTCATGTGTCGTATGCCAGTACTCGCTGATTCCAATGAAATGATTCACGTCAAAGTCAATTGCGGGAACGTGAGTCCCGTGGAGAAGACACGGAGCATCTGAGCAGGGTGCGTTCTTATCCAACAAAGGAAAAGTTTGACGCAGACACTCATCGAATCTGCCCGTTCCTAGTAATGTTGTGGTTCCAACGGCATCACTCGGTAGAACCAATTCACCATCTAGAGTCGTGCGCAGACCACTGGGAAGGCACGGATCCGGTAGTTCAGTGGTATCAGAGCCCATGGCCAATTGAAGTGCTTCGACAAAACGCCGTCTGGCCTCATGTACGCCAAATTCCAACCAAGATGTCACGAATACCCGATGTTCTTGCTTTGAGCCATCGATATTCCGCAATCGTAGCAGGGTTAAGTCGTTCGCATGTTTTTCGGTCTCGGTTGCGTTGGGGGAGAATGCAATCTGGGCTGACGCGCCTCCCATATCCAGAAACCCGTAAGTGTGGTGGCCCTTGCCATGATCATGGGCTTGGGGTGAGTCGAATGTGCCCATTAAGTAGTTCGTCGCAATCCACCCGTATAGTCCCTCGGTAACACCAGGAATGACTTGAATATGAACGCCGCAGTCCGGTAACAAGAAATCGGTATTCGCACGCGCATAGGAGCAGATCTGATCGAGGAGTAATTGTCGTTCGAGGTTTCCGAGGAGTCGCATGCCGGCCGTGGCGAGGAGAAAGATTGGCGTATCTTTAGCATCTTCTTCGGGGATAATTGACTTTGCGTGATCTAATAGTTCTGCGAGATGTTCTGGACCGACGGATTCGGGTTCATTGGCAAAGGAAGAGACACCTTGGAAACGACCAGGCTAGTCAGCGCATTGGTTCTCCATGTGGGCGGACAACCTCGGACTCACCGGGATGAATTTTCTTCACCCAATCCTCCTTCGTTTTGATCTCAGGGAGTGATTTTAACTCATCAATGTCGGCCTTTCGCCGTGCGGCGGCATTTCGCAACCATCGGTAGACGTGAACACGGGTCCCCTATGAGATTATGAATCAGCGACTCAATCCCCTTCAGAATATCATATGTTCATCTGGAATTTACATACAGACGAGCCCGCGTCTAGGACGACGCCGTAACGCCCTATTAAATAATGTCAGTGGATGCGGATTATCGTCGCGAGGTTTGAGACTTGGCTAAACCACCACATACACTTGCCCATTTGGACTGCGAACAAGGTCTTATTAAGTGTAGAGCATGACCAGAAAAGCGAAAGAACTCGGGACGCGATATGATGTGAACGAGTGTGACGATGTACGGAGAGAAAGAGATAAGGAGTTCCAACCTTGCCCAGGTGGAAACCTTGGAAGTTAGGTTAAGTAATTTACCATACCATACAGTCCTGGGTCACACCTCCGGCCCGTGAACGTGGTAATAATACAACCCCGGTACCTACCTAGGTACCTAGGTACATTACCAAATGCGGCTTGTACCTACAACTACCTAGAACAAGGTTGACGTCTCTTCCTTCTAGTCCCCACTCATCGTGTTGCAAGGATCCTGACTGATATCTGATTACAATTTGAATAATATGGAACTTTCCCAATGGGTGTTTCACAAGGATTCGTCATCCAAGAATGTCCAACGGGGTGGCGCTGTACTCTTGTTAGCTGATCTTGCCCTTTCGCCCTTCATAGGGACTTCTTCCACGCTAAGCCAAGCCTAGCAGGGATGGCCGATTTGCCTGGCCTACGTCAGCTCAAGGGACGGGCCTAAGCACCAAGCATCATGATACGCCAGGATGCAAAAGTCCAGCCAGCGGGCTTGGCACTCTCATGTTGATCAAGTTATCGCGGGGCTGGGTTGTGCCACTGGGAACCAAAAATAATCACAGCGATAAGATTGCTGTCACAAGGTCAATGAATGGCTGCGATGATAGACATGAACTGAACTGGTCTCCTTAACTGGACTGATACTGTTAAAAAAGGATGGCGTTATTCTGTTGATGTTTTACTTTGATTGAGACAGAATCAACACAGACTTTTTGCTTTTCTCCTTCCGAGGGATCTTCGGTCGCATCGGTGGCATCATGCAAACCCCACTCTTCAAGCCTCTGGATTGATTCGCTCTCATCAGCCCGTGGGTTTGGTGATTGGCATGATCTGTTCACATCCATACCCTCTTGAGGATGACTGACACTTTAGTACGGAGTACACGCCGCCCTTAGACACTCGGACTAAGAGCCTGGACCCTGTTTTGAATCCTGCGGTAGTCTAATTCTTTCATGGGCTTCGGTGAAATCCACGAGTTACAAGCCTATGCAATTACTGGTACTATACATCTGGGGAAGGAGTCTCTCCAAATCTCTACTAATCACCCAGTAATCAGGCAAAATCGTGCCACTACTTGCACGGGTGACTGCATATAGTCACTGTATGGCGACAGGTACACGAAGCAACAACCTTGGAAGGAACTTGGACTCGGAGGCCTTGAATGCTTCAAGTTTGAGAAAATAACCAATTGCATATCCTTGTAGGTTCGCGTACATATCTTCTCACGTTTGAAGGCGCAAAATTCGGGATTCCGCCCAGACAACAGATTGATCAGTTCTGAATATCACTTCAGTTGCTCGGTATTTTGGCTTATTGATACCCCGCACGCCTCATTCACTATGCCCCCATCATCTGGAGACACGGCAAAGAGATCATGCAGGATACAGTACTCCGTACATATCACGATCATCACTGAGTCGTCGGCTTACGCGTCCACACGCTACTGCACTAAACCCGGTCTAGACCAATCATCTACATCCTTACGGAGTACTGCGCCCTGCATCTGCATGCATGAGATAGAATCAATGCAGGATGGATGTAGAACAAGGTGCATAGTATGGCGAATAAATAAACACTGATAACATATAGCTCTTCGCCTATTTTTCAGCCTGCAGCCCTCTTCTTTTGATTGCTGCCAGTCCTTGACTGCCGATCAATCTCACTCAGCACTGGCAGTAGAACACGGATCACTCACAAGACAATGGATGTCTGGACGCCCAAGACCTTCAAGTTCCAAGGCTCAAGTTGATGGCAAGTTGAATATGTACGTACTACGTAGCTTGAGAAATTATATCTCTCAGCCCTGCAGGCCTTGTTTACGTCAATTTGAAGTCAGCTAGCTACATGTTCTTATCCCACTCGGTGATACCCAGGCAAAACTAACATTTGAAACATCATGATTGAACTTGAACTGAATCTTATGCCAAAAAGCTGACCCCATGGGCTATACAGTCATGGAAGCAAAACATACGAAGACATCTTGTCAGTGACTTTCAATTCCAGATATGAACGGGTGGTTAAAGTAGTAGGTACATGTGATCGAACGTTGGAAACGCGGCCCAGATTCAACATTTGAATGAACGCCCTTCGATTTTCGGTGAAGGGCTCAGGCTTCGTTCAGATGTGGACAGACCCTCTCCTGCAGAAGACTCCATGCAGCGTATTCAGGCCAAGTCATAGATGGTTAGTAGTTGATCGAACCCTTCGTCTCGGGTCACATTTGCCGGATCATCTCGCTCCCACTCATGATCAGGGATGCATCCAACCCCTGGCGAAGTCGCACCTGGTGCCGGCTGTGAGTTTGAATACTGTGAAAAAAGCAGATCATTAACCCTTCAACGCCCCTGGACCACTTGGAACACGGATAAGGGAAAGAAGCTTTTTGTGGATTCAGAAAGACCACCGGAACGCCTCGAATTGGAATCGTGGAGACTTCAGATGTCATTCACCTGGGCACCTAATCACACATGACCAAGCATATTTTCATTCCTGTCTGCAGAAACAGTCATATCAACGTGCTGGGTGGCATTATCACTTTCCCTTTGGAGTAAGCTTATGCTTCTGCCAATTATAACAATTAAAACAGACAGCTGCACCCACCTTCACACTGTCATCCCACTCATCTTTCCATAGATGGAAACCAGTGTTAGTCTTTCAAAGATCTTCTGGGGCTCCGCAACGGGCGCATTGACGCGCCACTCTGGGAGCCTTTGGTGGACGGAGACTCCGCTTATACTTGTTATAAGCTTGGTCCGCACAAATTCCACAGACATCTGCACCCCCCCTCCAACTTGTCGCCCCATCTGGCCTGCCAATGGCGGAAACCAGTCTTGGCTTTTGAAAGGTCCTCCATTGTACTGCAAACGCGGCATTGTCGTGCAACACCTCCGTTTGGATGTGGACGGTAACCTTGGAGGAGTTGCCATGCTACATTGAGACCCTCCCATTCAGAAGCGGGGGCAAGATCAATCGCCGACCGGATTTCTTTAACCAATTCCATTGCAATAGGATAATCCAATTTACAATCAGGTTTAGGCTCTCGGATTGTGCCAAATCACGCACAGATAATCCCTTCCAGGAGAAAGTTTAATCTTACTGGTATCTCAGGTGAAAAAATAAGAAGCGCTCGGCGATTCCCAGTAGTACCAAGCTCAGAAAGCTTCTTGTAGTACACATTTTTGGGTTCTTTTCGCTTTGCTTGCGTGAATGTTGTTTATCCCGATTCTGGATATGCTTTGCGGAGCCACCATAACCAGCTACCAATATCAAAATGGAAACTAGTGAATCGAGATAGACTCCCTGTTGAATGATCTGATTCGCAGGAAGAAGACGAATAAAGCTCTCTACCGTCCATTCATCCTCTCCGAGAAGCGCAATTGCGGCCTTATCGAAACCAGTGAGCATTACCTCACAGAGCAAAGAGATATCAAATCTCCGCAGGATCTCACCAAAGGTCCACCTCATTGTGAGTCTCTTTTGAGGGTGCATGGCGTACTCTTTCATCGTCTCGAAGCTCACACGTAGTGCTTTTGCAGCCCTAGTGTTCGATTTAGAATGATTGTTCTGATGGGATTGAACCACACCAGCCATCTTCTGTTTCATCATTTTAAGGTCCTCATTAAAAACCTTGAACCATTTAGTTGAGCTCTCCTTGGATCGTTCAGCGCAGCTATCCTTGGTAACCAGGTGGTCTCCAGAAGAAGCCTTAGCTGAACTATCTCCGGATGATTCTTGAGCTGAGCTATCTCCGCACTCACTCGGTCGAATGGCCCTCGGTTCTGAGTCAACTTCCTCGTCGGCATCAATGTTGTGGAGAAGCCGAAGGAGAAGGGGAATGGGAAGGGGAAGGAGAAGGAGAAGGGGAAGGGGAAAGGAAATGAGGAGATGGAGATGGGAGAGGAAGGGGTGTCACGGGTTCATCGCACCTTCCTTTCTGGTACGAAGTAACCTTCCTCACAAAGCAACACACACCACGTGCTCCATTTTATCACGTTTTTTTTTCTATCTGTCATATTCACCTTCCTCCTTAACAGAAACGTTCTTGTTTTCCGAATGTGCCTTTATATTCCTCACATCACATTTCGCTATTTTGCATCTCTCTGAGTTGTGCCTGTGGCCCTTGGGGGATACTGGTCTCTCGCAAGGTGGCCCGATGGCTTGTTAGATTAGGTCTTTGCAGCTGAATCGAATTTTGCATCGCAGCTTGCACTACCTCGGGCGTTCCGCTCTCAACTTCCTAGGATGAGTTACATGTTTACACCAAAAAGGCGAGAAAAACCTCTGAGCTATCTTCACAGATTAGAGTATTTCTGCGGGTGTTGTGGCTTTCTAGTAGGAGAAGATGGGTAGATGATCGAAAAATCGACCGCAACTACAGTCCTTCCAAATTTATCTTCTGTCACAATCTCTTTCCTTCAAAAAATAAATTCTACCGTCCATACTTGCTTATAATTGCTTACCAAGTTCGCAGTTCGGACCGTCTGCGCTGACGGCGAGAACGTGATCTAGGATATGACGGAAGAAGAAGATTCTTGTAGACTATTTTCCTTCACAGAACTGCTCCTCACTCTATCTCGGCTAACATGAGCTTGAACTCACCATTGAGAATCCAACGAACCCCGAGACTGGAAGTGCTTTAGAGGTGATCGGGAATTTCGACGCTTCTCCCTTTGGCTTTCACAAATCTAGCTTGGAGCAACTCGATCGAGTCTTATAGGAGAGTCGAGTTCCTTGCAAATTCTGTGATCGCATCTATAATAATTGATCGTATTTGCAGTTGTCTTTTGTTCGGTGCCAGCTTGATTTGACACTTTATCGGACCCTCGGCATCAATTTGAAGTCCATTCCATCTTCATTTGTAGCACAACTACCTCCAGATGTCAACAATCAATATTGAAAGGCCTTACAAGCAAGACTTTTGAACATTGAATAGCGGCAAGTTAAGACGCAACAGGACTCCCTTCCCGTATATTTTTCAACAACCTGATCGGCCCTGAACGAATAACAAAGGTCTCTGGCTGCCCACCTGAGCATGGTCCAAAGTCGGAGGTTTCCATATGACAGAGGGCTCAAGTTCTTCAAACTTCACGTATGAGGAGTCCCATTTGATGACGAAGCCCCTCAAGCCACGTCAAGTCCACAACCGTGGGAAAGAGAGAGGTCCAGAAAAGACATTGTGGATTGATGAGAATAATATACATTATATAGAATAATTACATGATGGGATAAGTATACAATTAGCTATTTATGTACAGAGTGAAATCGATATCCATTCCGGCCTCTTGATCTAACAAGGCCGCATATTGAGCGGCCAGACGGGCACGCTCGGCCTGGTTGTGGGCCATCGCCGCCTCTGCTTCGGCGATTTGGTGGCTCAGGCCTGGGATGGCCAGCCCCAGGGCGAGAGGCAGGTCTAAAATTGGTATTAGTTACCTGACAGCATGCAGTACACTGAATACTATTCGGAAGGCCGGCAGGTCTCCAGAGTAAAGGAGATGAGATAACTTACCAAAGTCCTCTGGATCATCTACCAGAGAAACCTCCTCTGGAGCAGGAGACAGGCTCTTTAGAACCACAGCTTGTTGTGCCACCAAGGGCTGCTCCCCTTGGCGGCGCTGTATCTACTCCGCGGTTCGGACTCTCACGGCCGGGGCAGCGGGCGCGGGAGCAGGCCATTCTGTGCGGGAACTGACCTTTATGTCAGCTTTCTCGATTCCTCCAGTCCTTTTTCGCAGCAGGGGCCGGGGGAGCAGGAGGGGCGGCTGCTGGATGCTATTTTGATTGATTAAGTTAGAGATTGGGCGTTCAGTGAGGAATCGTATAGACAGGATTGGAGACTTGGTGGGGAGATATTGGGGGAATTGTAGGGAGATAGGTACATTGGTAAGATAGTGGCCGATCTTGGCTGCATTAAGTGTGTTACACTGTTCACTGGTATGAAGGCTCTTTGGGTGCATATAGCACGGCTATATTAATCTCTTTATTAGTTTTTATCGGGAATCATCGGTGTCCATTGCCGCCTCCTCTTGAGCGAGGAGGCCGGCATACTCGGCCGTCAGTTTGGATGACGCACACATGGATGGCTATATAAATCTCCTTTTTAGTTTCAATCGGGGAATCATTTGGGAATTATGTAGGGAATCATGTGCGGCTTACTATGAATGGGCCAGGCAGGCGGCGGGGTGCACGGCGGCGGTGATGGTCAGCCATAGAGGGGGGGGGGGGGGAATCTGGGATTTTGATAGATTCTTGATAGAATCTTTTCGATTTTGGATAAAACTTTTAGATTGTGGATGGAATCCTTCAGGTTTTGGATCTCACCGTTTTTGACCATCAGCCATGTTTTCAGGAAGGATTGAATTCAATCCCAGATTGAATTTCGATGGGTTTGGAAGTGATCATGAGGGTTGTAAAAGGAAAGAAAAAAATGCGAAGTATTCTCAGGTTGTAAGTCTGCTCCATGCAGATGGTGAGTTCAATAAGGATGAAGAAGAGCAAAGTCCTAGACGTCTTCCATACTCAAGTGCTGTAATAGTGAGATGAAGGTGAAGTCATTTCAAGGCTCAGGTGAGGCGAAGTTGAGCTCATTCCAAGCTTTCTTTGTGGTTCAAGTTCCGATGTTGTTGACTATATGTGCATCTCTAAGTTCTCAAGGACACTTGAGAACTTTGAGGCTCAAGAACTCATATTCAGCGTAGCACTGGCATAGAATCGAAACATCAGTACTTCCAAGGTTTGTAGTAGTTAACTAAGTTCCTCATTTCCAAGGTTGTCTTCCAAGGTTATCGTATCAATTAAATAGACCTTAGTCTTTTTCCAGGTTTTACTACGTCAACTGGTGTGTATGCATGTCTGTATCCACTCAAGTGCTTATACATATATAGCAGCGCCTCATACTAGTGAAGTACATAACTCTGCTCATTTCAAGTTTCAAGGTTTGTTTAAATAGCGTTACGTGAATTTTGTGAGCGCGGTGTTAGGACTTGTACTTTTCATCTACTGCCTAGGCAAGTAAGAAAACTGATAATCAACACAGACAGGATCTATGGATGCTTCTATGTCCAGCCTCGCAAAGATTTCTTATTCGTAGAATGTGGTCCAGAATTGAAATTCTTCCTCCCTTCTCATCTTCTCGTACCCTTTTGAGTATATGGGCTTCCAAATGTGTAAGGAAATAGGTTTGATGTGGGAATCAGGGTATTCAGTTCTCGAAACAGTAGAGGTTTGATTAGGGTCGTTAGCTGTAGGCCATCAAATGTATTGGGTCGTAGATCAAACTTGAAGGAAATGAAAATTTTCCAAGGTTGATTATCTGTAAGAAGATGCCAGTGGTCCTCAACCTTGGAAGTGCTGATCTATATTGGAATCTTCCTTCCTTTTCTAGTCAACTCTTACTTCCCCCATTACACTACCACCCCATCTCTTTATCCCCGCAATCCATCCTTCGAAAACCGAACGCCATCAATCTTCATTATTTACTTTTTATTCTTGACGAAAGGATGGATGAGTCGGAGACCAATCGATGCTTCACTTGCAACAAGGTCGGCACCGTTGCAGTTCCACTTCGGCGCTGTAGCCGCTGCCATCTTACACGCTACTGCGGACGTGACTGTCAACAGACGGACTGGTTTCGGCATAAACGAAGCTGCCCTCGTCCTCTTCCAGAACCTTCTGGGCCCCAGAGACTAGATCTCGACCTCCATCTTTTCGGACGATCCACTGGCACGCGATGGCTCTACGACAGGACAGAAACCATGACATACAAGCTCCTCACTGATTCTTACCGGATGAACGTTTGGTTTCACAGCGAAAGTTCCCGAGTCGAAGGCCCCCTGCCATGCGGCGAAGAGAAGTTCAGGGAATTCTTGCTACGAGCTAGGGAGCATCCCAGCCAACCGTTGCCCCCGTGGTGGACATCTGAAGAAGCTGAACGTTGTGTCGAATTCGCAAAGCCTAGCTTAGACCTCGGAACGGAGGGGTTTGGACCTGAGATTACGACGGTAAAGGTCTGGGCGGAAATGTCGATTTTTGTGGCACTGGTGGGCTGGAAATGATAATGGACCCAAAATATGAGGTAAGATGGTGACGCGAGCTTGTTGATCCCCTGCGCGATTGATCATTTTATCTCGGCGACTTGCCTGTTTTTGAGGAATTGTGGACTAACCAGGATGAGCTTCTAGAAGAGCAAGAATGCGAAAATTGAAGATGACGGTTTCTACAAGCCTGTGGTTGAGGGTTCACTTGAGTACACAGATTTCAGCTTCGTTCATATCCATGGATTGGTCTTGTGCTAGATCTACTAGTACCGTGCTAGAGATCATTCCAGGGTTGCTTTCAACTGGTAACAGAAAAAGCAGATAGGCTATGGCAAAATGAATCAAATGTATCACTCATGTCTATGCCCACGTGTATAAAACTGGATGCTTCAACAGCGAGGTATATCCCGAGTCCCGAGTCCCGAGTCCCGAGAAAACCCCCACCAACTTCATTCTTAGAGGAGCAACACAGCGGGCTGACTTGAAGATCTCCGACCATCCGCGGAGATAGTGGTCTAATCTCCGAAACCCCCATGGAGGGCCCATCATTCTTCGAGCTACCACGTATACCCATATGCAGGAGAGCAGCCGAGAGCAAAAAAAGAGAGATAAAAGAAAATCTACATTTCTAAAAACATAGGAAGCTGCACAGTTGATTTACTTGTCTCAATGTCAGACGCCCTAATTCCTGCTGGGGGAAAAACTCAAACATTGCGGCCGCCACCATCTAGGCGTCGCGAAAAACCTCAACTTAGCTGCTCATCGTGTCGCCGGCGAAAGTAAGTAGCTCTCAGACTCGTACAATTATGCTGGTGTAGGCTTTGGTCCGATCAACAATCTTTCAAGTTCAATCACCTATCGAATGCCCGCAATCTGATACTGCCCCTCAGAGTCCGTTGTGACAGACTGCAACCATGTAGTAACTGCTCCATTCGAGGGTTGAGCTCCCCTTGCGTTTATACAAAACTGCATACCACGGCCGCCTCGTCACTCTCAAAGCCAGCCTCGCCAGGCCGCCGACAAGTTCCCGTTTCCAATATGCAGGATCGCATAAATCATCTGGAGACTCTAGTGCTGGAACTTATGCACCAGACTGAATCAAATTCTCGTGAGTAAAGGCTTGAGTCTTTTTGATTTCCTTCTGCATATGGAATGGTAGATCCACTGAATGACTCTTTGCTCCTGTCACATCTATCATATTCAAGAAGGCTCACGGAATGATAGGTGAATTACTATTGGGAGGCCTCCAACAAGCTTCGCCTGATCAAAGTGTACGAGCTGGAATGCGTGGTATTTTGGAGCGAGACACTCAGGTGGGACACGAGACGCAGGATGATACCTCCCCGTCCCCATCAGACTATGGTAGCTTTAGGACGTCGGAGGCAGGTGTCAATTATGTTAGTAGCTCGCATTGGGCTGCTGTGCTGGATAGTATTACGGATCTACGAGACCACATCACACAGGACGACGAGGCCTATCCTAAAGTATTGGATCCTGCTCCTCCATCCACGAGCTTCCCCAAGCCTCAATTACTTTACAGCTGTGCATTGCACGAGAGCTCTGCCTCTATTCTCAGCTCTCTTCCTCCCCGTCCTATTGTTGACAGGTTGGTTTCTTGCTACTTAAATGTCCTTGACATAGCTCCTGGTATTTGTTGATTCATCTTGTCCATTCGTTCCGAGCGACACCTTGTTCTGAATTCGGGCTTACCAGAAATCAGGGATTATACATAGTGCCAAGTTTCTCCGTGAGGTGAGTCCGATTCATTGTTTTTTGAAATATCACGATTATTGAACGCGTTAGAGCTACCGCCATTGTCAAGTATCAGCTAAATCTGTTGGTAGTATGAGGAATTTTGGAAAGTGCCACATGCGACCCCAATATTCTGGGTGGGAACATTATTTAGTATAATGTGCTTGTCGACGCAGTTCCAACAGTCCTTCTCCGATACTGATGCGCTCTTCTCACCCGAAGCCTCAGGGCATAAATCTCAAACTAGGGATAGTCCAGCACTTATCGAGATATACAAAGCGAAGGCCATTCAGTGTTTACTTCTCGGTCATTACACAAATGGTGGACCGCACGTCTTGGAAACACTGATCCTCTACTTTCTCATTGAAAATTTCTACCTCAAGGACATGGAGATTGGTATTTGGGTCCTGGTTGGTCAGATAGTCCAAATTGCAATCCATATGGGATACCACCGCGATGCGAAACATTTTTCATCAATTTCCCCCTTTGATGCCGAGATGAGAAGGCGTGTCTGGGCGATGATCGTCCAGTTAGATTCCAGCGTCTCCACTCAGCTAGGACTTCCTAGACTGGTGAAGGAAAGCGACACGAACACCGCCGAGCCACGGAATCTACTTGATTCTGACTTCGATGAGGATACTTCCATATTACCCCCATCAAAGCCGGAGACAGATGTGACACCTACCCTTTATGCCCTGGCCAAGCTACGCCTACTACCAGTAGGAGCCAGTGTTGCCGAAATAGCCATGGAGCCGCATTCTCATCCATACACCGAGATCTTGAACATCGATAAGCGGATTGACGAGGCCAGAGACAAGATTCCATCTAGTTTGAAATGGACTGGACTTGCATCATCCCTCAATGTTCCATCTCAGACCATGATTCAAAGAATCTGGCTCGAAGTCATCATCCAGGAATTAAAGATTGTCCTACACAGAAAATTTTTAGAGCCCGCTCGTCTTGATGTGCAACATGACTACTCTCGCTTGACATGCTTAGATGCTGCGATGCGCATTTTAGAATTGCAGCATCTTGTTGATGAAGAGACTCAGATAGGCGGTCTGCTGTACCAGAGCCGCTGGAGAGTTTCATCTGCTTTCATCAATGACTTCCTGCTGGCAACAAGTGTGCTTTGCTTGTATGTTCAAACCCATCATAAAAAACAGGGCACAACCTGCGGCAATTCAGGCGTCTCCGAAGCTGGGCCGGAAATGGATAGAATGAAAGATCTCCTCAGAAAGTCACAGGTTATCTGGAATCGTCAATCTGCCAGCTCAAAGGAGGCTCGCAAAGCGGTTATAGCTCTTGATTACGTGCTAGGTGATACTCTGGCAAGGATTGAGCGATCTGCAAAAGAGTTGTCCTCTGCTGCTGTTCCGACCACGTCTGTCTCTTATTTCCCTGGTAAGTCCTCTTCTAACATTTAATCAAGGGTGGAAAATTGAAAATTGCTGACTTGAATAGACTATCCAGACTTTATATCGAATTGCGATCTTACATGGCCCATATCCCCGACAAACCTGAACGATGTCGACCAGTGGCTTGGAGGTACTGACTTCCAAGATGTGGATATGACATCCTGAGCATTGTTTATGGACTGATGTGCCGACGTTGCTGTGCGAAATCATAGATGTCACTGAACCGAGAATAATTCGGATATACTTGTCAAATTGAGGTCGATCCGGTCGATCCTCGATGCTCTCCACAGAGCGCCAAATAATTTTCCAGCGCATGTTGATACAATAGACTATACCTATAATCCGTCAACGTTCCAGGCTTCACGTAGCACAACGCATCGATGAAAATTATCCCGACTTTCCCGTCAAATTTGGTTGCTCTTCAATCCAAGACTTACGCTACGGGGAGATCTGGATGGGCCTAGTACGCCCCTGTACGGGGTAGCAATCTCCCAGTGCCTGTTGGGTCCTCCTGCTTGGTCCTGCTACACCCCAAAATACCCATCAAATGTTCTACATGTACTCTGTACGTAGTATTGTTATTTTCATTTTACTTTTTGCTCTTTGTCTTTCACAAAGCCTGTAGGACCAAGTTCCAGAATTGGCCCAGTCCCCTTTTCAACTGTTGATGAAATCCCGCTAGTCTACAGGCGGAAGGTTAGGTTGGCGATCCCTTACACATGCCCAGCATGGATATGTCGATCACTCGGAACTAAAAGCCTCGGCCCCTGAATCTCATTTTCATTGTAGCTGGATCCAGGGTCAGTCCGCGTCATCTACGAAGTTCAGCTGGGCCCGGCCTACCCCGCAAATTTCCCCTTAATACGTCTCGGGAGTAAACATTCTATCAACTTGCCAATTCAATCTCACGCAAAATGAAGGCCGTCATTGTGTTCATGCTGTGTCTCCTGGCCATGGTTGTGCAAGCTAAGAGTGAAGTCGATATTCCCTCTTGTGCTGTTCCTTGTTTAAATGCCGCCGCAAACAAGGCTGGCTGCGACTCTTCCGACTACGCGTGCATCTGTAAGGATGTTGACAATATTAAGAAATCTGCCACGAAATGCGTTGTTGGCGATTGTGGTTTCAGCGTTGCACTGAGTATGAATGTCTGATCCAATACTGTTATAGAATTTTAAAGCTAATTGAAGCGCAGACAAAGTACTACCCGCTGCCAAGCAGTTGTGCGCAGCATCATGATGCGATTCGCTTCTGCTGAGCTCAACTCTGACTATTAATGGGCTCTGCATCACCTACTGGATAGCTGGTTACGTGAGTACAAATTCTACCTCAGAACCCTCGGGAAATCCATACTAACAGTTTTCTAGTGGCAGCCCGGACACTTATTGAGCTCCCGACCAATGCGATTGTATAGTAATGCAACTACAATCCCTCAATCAATCAGATGTACAATTCTTCAGAATTAATATAACGATTTCCGTAATGATTTCCACTGGAACATCATGATATTTAAGCCCCTTTCACTTGACCAACTCATCATTGTACTGTGGGCTGAAAATATTATTGCGAAGCTTCAAGACATTTGTTCCAGCGACCAACTAGAATTCAAATCCTCAAAGTGCGTAACGGAAGGTTCTATCTGTTTTATCAGTAAGATCAGTCTCAAGTAGGCCATTCTGACCAGCTTCGACCTCTTGGGCTCCATCTTCAGCCCCTGAATCTGCCAAAATATCGCGAGCCCTGTTATCGCGCGCACATAGAATGCGATATATGATCACGGCCACAAATAGCAAACACCATGTCACAATAGATGTGATCACTCCTTCTGTATACCGAGGACTCTTTGTCCACAGCTGCGCCGAGCCTATACAGCCGGCACAATAACCGATAAAGAACATAGTGTTGACGACCGCACGCTTAGTATTGCCCTTGAAGTTGGAAGCAGAAAGCGACAGCAAGATAGACATGCTCGCTGTTATACAAGAAGCCTTTGGATTTGGTCAGCTGAAACTCAGAGACAATGTCCGAAAAAACTTACCAGCCATGAAGCCACAATTAAACCCCACTGGGCGCTGACAGTGAGCTTCAGTAGGAAGATCGTTCCAATGAATGGTGGAATAATTAATGCCAAAGTGATCAATGCTCTTTGCTTGGGAAAAATATAAGCCAGCAAGGTTCCAATCCAGAGGAGCAGAATTTGGACAGCGCCTGAAGGTGCAGTATAGAGGATTGTTTCGAGTTCGGAATATCCAATCGACTCGATAACAAGAGATGCGAATGTCAGGACTGGAGACTGCATTGTGACCAGCACACCGAACCAAAAGACAACCCACGCCTTGGGATCCATCAATGCTTCTTTGAGTTGTGCGATCGAGAAAGCAGTCTTGTCACCTCCCTCGCGATCTTTGGCTAGACGAAGTGACAAGACTACTCTTTCTCTCTCATTGAGGAACCATGCATCGTTAGGTCCATTAGGCATCAAAACAAAGAATCCAATACCGGCTAACACAGTCATTGCTCCACAGATGAGGAATAGGACTCTCCATGGCTGGATCGTGATTGATGTGTTCTTGCCTATGCCATACATGAGTAGACACCCAGTTACTTGAGCTATTCCATTCATGGTTATCCATAGAGCAGTTCGTGTAGTATGTTCTTGCTTGCGATACCATATGCTGGTTATTGTGACAAAAGCTGGAGATACAGCGCCCTCGCTGAAACCCAATAGAAATCTCACAGCGGCGAATCCAGCAAAGTTCTTTGGCGCTGCGAGACACATACAAATAACGCCCCATATCATGCTTTGATGGAGTTAGCGAGACATCGGGAAGTGATTGATTCAGGAAATTTTAGAGAAGCATACACTGTGATGCCAACAAACTTGGTCAATGGAAATCGACTCATGAGATATATGAAGGGCCATTCGGAGACCAGTTGTCCAACATAGAATATAGAGCTGGTCCAAGAATATTCTGAGCTGGTCAAATTTAGGTCTTCTTTGAGGCCGAATACAGCTGCATAGCTCAGACTTTGCTTATCCAGGTATTGTAAGAAAAACACAAAGCACATCTGTGATTGTAACGAGTCAGTCATGTTCATTCGCAGGTAGGGATGAATCACTCTCACAAATGGTAATATCACCAGATCTATTTTCCTTAAAACTGCCTTCTCCTCTTCAGCTGTGTATATCTCGCAATCTCCGACATTTCCTCCGCTCATTGATTGCACTTCATCCTTGTCGGAAGCTGGATCCTTGATGTCAATCATGGAAATAAAGGGATGGCGACCTGAACTGGCAGGTCGAGAGAATTGAAGGTGAGGGTGGTATTGTTTGAAGACTCAAAATGATCAAGATAAATAGGAAATAGAAAGTAGCCATTAACCTGGGCATGCGTGTCTCGTATGCCAAACAATCCCCCATCAGTCCCATTTAGGCAAGTTATCTATTACTTCTTACTCCTCAGGTGTTAGTACTATCAGTTTGCAGATATGGAAGGGATCTACCCCAGCGGTGTGATACGTAGATAACAAGCGGGGATGCGATAGTCGGCAATTGAAACCTATCCGACTGGACAACTTTCCGACTCGGATCTAATGAGGGGAAACCTCAATTCCCATATCTATTTCAGTCTGCATATCAAATCTCTCACATATCGCTCAAATCCTGGTTCTTCATCATCTCAAACATGAACACGCCAGTCCCAGGTTCGGATATTAAGCCGTGGAGCCGCGGGGAACCCCAAGGATACTTGTTCAAAAATGCCAATGTGGTTGATGTGAAGCATGGAAAGATAATCGAAAACTCCGTAGTCATTACGCGGGAAGGAAAAATTGAATCAATCTCATCTTCGCTTCCAGGGCCCCTTCCAAAGGACCTATTTATTATCAACCTCGAAGGTCGCTTTATTTGCCCTGGTCTTTTCGACGCTCATGTTCATCTATGCGCCGTGCCTGGATTCAACGATTTGTCCAAAGCTTTCGGAAACCCAAATGATGTTCATTTGCTGCGACAGCCATATACAGCGGCTCAGATGCTTCACCGAGGCTTCACGAGTATCCGCGATTGTGGCGGAGCGCAGCTAGCGCTCAAAGAAGCTATTGAGGAGGGAGTCTTCCCCGGCCCTCGGATTTTCATCTCTGGTCATGCTCTTTCGCAGTTTGGTGGTCATGGAGACTTGAGATCGGCCCATGAACAAACCGGTTGCTGTGGTGGTACCCACAGTAACAATCATCTCGGCCGGATGTGCAATGGAGTACCCGAGTGTATGGCTGCTGTGCGAGAGGAGATCCGCTGCGGAGCTGATTTCATCAAGATTATGGGCTCTGGTGGTGTCGCCAGCCCAACAGATCGCCTGGAACATCTTCAGTTCACGGATTCCGAGATCCAGGCCATGGTTGAATGCGCTAATAATGCCGGAACATTCGTGACTGCGCATGCGTACACTGTCAAGGCTATTCGGCATTGCATCGATAATGGGGTCAAGGGAATTGAACACGGAAATTTTGTTGATGCACCGACTGCTAAGATCATGGCGCACAAGGGAGTCTATCTGACCCCAACACTGATCGCATATGCCCAAATGGCATCCGAGCGCTGGAAGGGATACCTGCCTCCTGAGTCGCAGGCCAAGAATTCACAGGTTCTCAAGTCTGGTCTTGAGGCTTTGAGGGTTGCCTCCGAGGCAGGAGTCACTATGTGCTATGGTTCTGACCTGCTCGGTCCTCTTGGTTCAGCCCAAACGCATGAATTTGCTCTGCGCTCGCAGGTCTTGAAGCCACTAGAGATCTTGCGGAGTGCTACCATTAACCCTGCCAGGATGATGGGCTGGGCAGATGCCATTGGACAGATTAAGGAGGGGTTCCATGCAGACATCATCGTTTTGAACGAGAACCCTTTGAAAGATGTTACAATCTTCGATCGACCCGAGGACCATGTACTAGCTGTGATGAAAGACGGACGTATCTACAAGAGTCGCTGGGCGGCACTTGCTGAAGACTCTGAGATTCCCGTCAGGGTTCAATATAACTAGAATTCTTGTAAAGTGCATCGAGCGGGAGTTTTGTTCTGGGTTGAAACAGCATGCATGAGGGGAGTAACGTGAAAATCAATTGTGTGCAGTGCAATTGCATTCGAAGTTTGAAATTTGCCTTTACCAGGGCTGGAACCGACTTGACGAGCACTTGAGAGGTTTAGATTATGGTCCAAGTTGGGAGTCAAATTTCATCATAACAGCAGTATGTTCATCCAGATTTCATTCAAAGATAGCACTTGAGTACTTGAGTAGCCTGCGTCATCGTGTCGCACTTTATTTATTCCGTGACATCGACCCCGACCTCGGGAGTCTTCAGGCGTCCCGAAATCACCCTTCCAAGGTTGGTGACCACACATCATGATGTCCAGATGTCCACAGCAACCTTGGAACGACCGGCCCAGGAGCTATTAGTAGGTAAAGATTATCTCAGGCTACCAATGCTAACTGGAAGCAACTTGAATAAATGAATTCTCAATAGAAATACATTTGCCGACTCATCTTCCCGGCGTAGCTGATGATCTTATCAATCAGATTGTCGATCTTACTAGATATCCGCTCTCTGCCGGCTGATCTTACTTCTTAAGTCAAATAGTTTCAAACAAGTCAAGTCTTGATCGATTTAAACTGCTCTGAACTTGCCTCAATTCCCGCCTCATTCCACTTTTCATCGGAGCAAAGCCACCTCCGTGAGGAAACCCGAGTGGCTCCACCAAGCTGATACATTGTCCAGATGAGCAAAAAAGCGAATAATTTTTCTTTCTTGCCCAGAGCTTGCGTACAACATGTGGAGTTATGTAAGATTTATAAATCGGGTCGTGTGTCCTTCTTATAATCCCATTCCTCCGATCTGTGGTCGCAATTGTGAAATAATTCTCACTCTGACAGCTTGGCAAGATATACCACCAAAATGACTATTGTAAAGTTGAGCAATGGCAACACCAGTCGCCCTAAAGAAGCACCCATCACATCTACAGATGTCCTGATTATCGGAACTGGTCCGGCTGGTGCCTCTTTGGCATGTTTCCTTGCATCTTATGGTAAGTCTGTTGTCTTCGGGGTTCCCTTGAGGTCATGATTAGTATAGCCATGGATGTACTGATAAATGCTCAGGAATTCAGGGAATAATGATCAGCGCGTCTTCGACCAACGCTGATACCCCACGGGCGCACATTACCAACATGGCAGCTATGGGTAAGTCACCTGTTTTCAAGAATTCTTCGCACGGGCATTGCTGATCGGATATCAAAAGAGTGTCTCCGAGATATAGGTCTTGATATCGAATGCAACAAACTTGCGACGAACGGAATGAATATGATGCATACTCGATGGGCGTATAGTATGGCTGGAGAGGAATATGCTCGAATTTACTCCTGGGGTCACGATCCGAAGCGCAAGGTAAGCCTCAGATGCAGTATCAGAGCGTTTAATATTCAAATCTAATCACAAGAAAAGGGTGATTATGAAGCTGCAAGCCCATGTCAGCCAGTTGACCTTCCACAAACTCTCCTGGAACCAATTCTCGTGCGACATGCTACACTCAATGGATTTACTTGCAGATTCGATACCACATTCGTGGATTTTGTTCAAGACGACGAAGGTACAACGTCTCGACTTCGTGATCAAGTTTCCGGATCCGAGTACCTCATTCGTTCGAAGTATTTGTTTGGTGCCGATGGTGCCAGAAGTGAAATCTTTCGACAAGCCGGACTCAAACTGGATGTCCGACCAGATCAGGGATTAGCATACAACGTGCACCTCAAAGCAGACCTTTCAAACTATATGCAATACCGCACGGGGAATCTTCACTGGTTGTTACAGCCAGATAAAGAGCACCCGCTCTTTGGGTGGGCGTGCATCGCTCGAATGGTCAAGCCGTGGAATGAGTGGTTGTTCATTGTCCTTCCGGAGCGAGGAAAGGAGCTTGACTTTGAACCAAGTAATGAACAATGGCTTGGCCGAATGAGAGACTTTATTGGTGATGATTCGATTGACACAGAGATCCTGGGAGTGTCTAAGTGGCGGATCAATGATGTCGTGGCAGAAACGTTCTCAAATGGCCGAGTGTATGTATCTGCATTCTCTTAACTCTCAGTGCGTGTCTCTAATGTTTTCCAGGTTCTGTCTTGGTGATGCGGTTCATCGCCATCCTCCGTCTAATGGTCTAGGATCGAACACCTGTATCCAAGATGCGAAAAATCTCGCATGGAAGGTCGCGAGTGTGTTGAAGGGTGAGTCTTGCATTACGCTTTTTCTTCATTACCTGACTAAACCGACTCAATAATATGCAGGCCAAGCTTCTCCTTCCATTCTCGAGACGTACACCACCGAACGACAGCCCGTTGCGCGAGGGGTTGTTACCAGAGCAAACTCATCATTCACTCACCATGGTCCTGTGTGGGAAGCACTTGGAGTCACATTACCCACCCCCGACTTGAGAACGGAAGCATTAAACGAGTTGACTCATCCCACCCTGAAGGGTCGCGCCCGTCGCGCCGCTCTGCAAGCTGCTATCGAGGAGACAGAACATGAGTACCATGCCCTGGGTACTGAAATGGGTCAATTTTACCAAAGTGCCGCTGTTTATACTGCGGACGAGACCTCATCCTTCTACTCCCCTGAAGTGGTCGCTAAGGATCTTGATCTCACCTTGGTCCGGAGTACCTATCCCGGCTGCCGTCTGCCTCATGTGTGGCTGAATAATGCTGTGCCTATTCAGAGGGTCTCTACAATTGACTTAGCTGGAAAGGGGTTTGCACTTCTTACTGGTATTGGAGGCAAGGCTTGGAAGAAAGCAGCGTCGCAGGTTGGGGACGAGCTTAGAGTGTCGATTAAGGCCTTCTCAATTGGTTTCCGGCAGGACTACGAAGATGTCTACTTTGATTGGGCTCGTATTCGCGGTGTGGATGAGACTGGCTGTGTTCTTGTTCGTCCTGATAATTTTGTCGCATGGCGATCTAATGAAGTTCTTGGGGATGGGTGCACGGAAAAATTGCAACATGTCATGTTAAGTGTCCTCGGTCTCTCCTAGAAGCTATCTCTCAAGGTTTCATCAAGTATGGATATTGAGATTGCTTCTCACAATATGATTCATTGTTTTGCAAGATTTGCCATGGCTGCCGAGGTTCCCGATCCCTTACATCAGCTACCTAGTTTAGTTGTAATCTCAACCTTGGAAGCTCTATGGGTGAGCATGTGATATGTAGCAGGTCTATCAGTGGACTGTGTTCAACCAGCGACTTCGACTCGGAGTCACTGACATCATACTACTACACCGAGGATAGTACTAGGCAGGCTCTTTTCCTTTTTTCTTTCACTATTTGGGTACTCGAGCTTTTTTTATCGCCCGGCATGATTCCATTTGACATCTTCATAGATACCTTTCCTGATTTCCTTGCTATAGCGCCGCGCGAAATACGGTGCTATGCAGGACTTGGATGTGGATACATTGGGCAGTATTTAGTCAAATATTTTCTCCTTCCAAGATTCACATGTTATCGCACAAACCAGAATTATTTCCCTCATTTTGCTCCATCAAATTTTTCGATTGGTCGCCTAAAAGTTCCTTGGAAAATTCAGATGTGGTTGTGGCGTGCCGTGTGAGCAACCGACCGACGGGCAATTAAGCTTTCGTATTCATACGGATTCGGGAGATAAAAAACCAAATCAATCAAATCAATCATATCAATCCATCAGATAATCGGTATCAATCAGATAATAACTATATCAGGACAAAATAAAAATTTGAAAGAAACGGCCAAAGAGTTAGAGACAACAATTCCCCTGTTCTAAGATGATAAAGGCCGACGGTGATATCCACATCCCGACCTCTAATGCATGTACGGATCCAAATTAGTGGGGGGACATTAGTGGGATTGTCGCGGCAGTTGCGGTGGGACTAAGAGCAAAATTTTCCCCAGTGGCCTGAGGGTCTCGGGAGTCGGGGCCATTGACTTGCAAACTTGAATTCCCTCGTGTTATATAGTAGATCTTGAACGTCTGCTCGTCAATTTGTTTTTAAGTAGTCAATCATGATGAAACAATGCACTGTGCCGTCTAAATTTCCCCTTTCTGCATCTTGAATCACGAAGAAAAAAAAAAAAAAAAAGACAAAACCCCGCCATCGGGTCTGTGTATAATCCCGTGCGGCAAAAGCCGGGTCTCGTACAGCTTTTTAACTTTAGTGGACCAGAAGAGGCCTCAGTTGCCCATGGAAGCATTTTCAGTGGATAGGTGGATTGTTTGTCGATTAGAGGGCGTAGCCGCTAGTAATTTTCAATACGAGGGTGAGTACGGGAAATGCGCCATATTCGGATGGTAGCAATCAAGACCTTATCAATCAAATCAGATTTAATTTACCTATAACCTCTTAGACTTTACATCAACCACCTGGGCACTTTTCTGATCGAAATTGCTCAAGCTGCCACAATGGGTAACAATCAAGTGTTTGCCGTGACAGGTTCGTGATTCTATTCAACTGCTCTAACTGACCTCGAGGTCCATCTACAATTTGCTAATCGGGCGCCTTCGCGATAGTGTTCTTCATTATCTTCCGAGAATGTCTCGAGACGACGGTGGTTGTATCCGTTCTCCTGGCATTTCTCAGACAAACGCTGGGTGAAGGAGAAGATCGAACGATATATAAACGGCTAGTCAAACAAGTATGGTGGGGATGTGGCCTGGGTTTATTTCTCTGTCTTGCGATCGGCTGTGGCATGATCGGAGCCTTCTATGGATTAGGAACAGACACCTTCTCCAGCACAGAAGATATCTGGGAGGGTGTTCTGGGTATTCTTGCATCCTTGATCATTACGATCATGGGTGTAGCCCTTCTGCGCGTCTCCAAGCTTCAAGACAAATGGCGCGTTAAGCTCTCGAAAGCTTTAGCACATGAGCAAGCTCCCAATGAATCGCGCAAAGGGCGCATGAAGCGATGGATGGAGAAATACGTGATGTTCTTCCTTCCCTTTATCACGGTTTTGCGTGAAGGCTTGGAAGCAGTTGTTTATGTTGGTGGAGTTGGTCTTGGACTTCCCGCTTCATCATTCCCTCTGGCCGTCTTTTGCGGTCTTCTCGCCGGATGCGCAGTTGGATATCTGATCTACAAGTATGTCATACCTACCTGTCTTTGTTCACATGAAGTACGAGTCAAGCTAACAACATTCCATCTAGGGGTGGGCGCGAAACATCCATGCAGATCTTCTTGATCATCTCGACTTGCTTTCTCTACCTTGTCGCCGCTGGACTATTTTCTCGCGGAATCTGGTACTTTCAGAACAACGCTTGGAACAATATCATCGGTGGTGATGCTTCTGAAACTGGCTCTGGGCCTGGCTCTTACGATATTGATCAGAGTATTTGGCACGTCAATTGCTGCAATCCAGAGCTCAACGGTGGCGGCGGATGGGGCATTTTCAACGCGTTACTCGGCTGGACTAACTCGGCTACGTATGGCTCAGTCATTGGCTACAATTTATACTGGCTCTGCGTCATGGTTGCTTATGCCATGATGTATTACAGCGAGCGATATGGTCCCATCCCATACGTTGACCCCGCAATGCGAAAGCTCGGTAGCATGAAGGGTCGAACAAAGGCTTTCGTGCTCCGCCAGCAATATGAAGAAGATGAATCTGAGGCTTCTACTATTCAAGTTGAGGCTAGTGGTGGAATCCAGCATAACCTTGTTGCCGATGAGAAGAATGCAGGGGGGTTCGTCTACTCTGATGCAACGCACTGATTCTTAGATTGGAACATTCAACATTGAGAGAGCTGGAGCACAAGGTGATTGCCATGGTTCGGCTACATTATTTAGTCGCACAATGACTTTTGTCGCATATTAAAATTAAAATTCATTTATTAAAGATAAAATGGAATTACACTGTGTATTTAAAATACAGTGCTTGTTTTTCTGCATACATTCTCGATACCGAAAGAGAACTCAACCCGGAAGGTCAGTTGCTCCCGATGTCCATAAGTGGAGAGGCTTAACGAAGCTTAACGGGTCCCCCTCATAAAGGTCCGAGCATTAATATCTATTGGTCCACCAGCCTGCTTGTCCAGGGTTTGAAGAATGTTGCATCCCGATTCTAGAGAGGATCAGATTACGTTCGTGTTTGAATAATCGATCAGTTGATTCAAATAAGTCACATAGCACTCGGAATACACAGTTTGCAGATCAACGGTCTACAAACACGAGGTGATGAAATATTTATGGAGCTGTACTCCGTATCCATGTTTCCTTGGCAGATACCGAGTAGATTAGCACCCAAACTCGTAGATTAAACTAGCCGGTCAATGAGAAAGGTGCAAGGGCCCGGTATCTGAGACCAATTCTCTCCACCTGGTCTGAGCCACATTCGTGGATAGCTCTTCTTTAATTTTTTTTAATTTCGATTTTTCTCATTTGATTTTTTTTCCCGAAGGCTTTTTTTTTCTAGGATGAACTTTGGGCTTTTACTATTGCCCCACCCTCAAAACCGCCCGAGCCGGTCATTTTGAGATCGATAATCTTATCACTGTGCCAAACCAGCCCAAAAGCTCGGGTCTGCCGCTTAAAAAGACGGGTCCTCGTTAGTCACATGAATTTTTGATCTGTGGTCACTAATGGAGATCTCTCTTTCTTGAAGTTCGTGGTAGACTTCTCTTCTTCAAGCTTCTGTTCCTCAACAGCTCAGATTTGAAGAACTCTCAACATGGCGAATTCCGTGATGAGCCTGTTGGCCCATATAGTGGCGCTTTTCCTGGTCTTTCAGAGCGCGCATGCTAAGACAGTTACTTACGACTTCAATGTCACCTGGGTGATGGCAAATCCAGATGGTCTATATGAGCGAAAAGTGGTCGGTATCAATGGGCAGTGGCCCCTGCCAACAATCGATGTGGATCAAGGTGATAGACTCGTGGTCAACATGTTTAATGGCCTTGGAGACAAAAGTTCTTCAATTCACTTCCACGGCATGTTCCAAAATGGGACCAATGACATGGATGGCCCTTCAATGGTCACTCAGTGCCCCGTGGCGCCAGGATCCTCCATCACATACAACTTCACCGTTGAACAGCACGGTTTGTTCCCATGTCTCCGATTTTGTTGAGGATCCCCGCTAAAAAAAATCAGGGACATATTGGTACCATTGCCACACGGACTATTGCTATCCAGATGGTTATAGGGCCCCTTTAATAGTTCATGACAACAGCTCATACTTCAACGACATGTATGATGAAGAATTTACGATTTCATTATCAGATTGGTACCACGATCTTATGGAGGACATAACCTTCATCAGCCGTACAAATCCCACTGGAGCCGAACCGCTTCCACAGTCTTTCCTTTTCAATGATACTACCTCGGCTACCAATCTTTCAGTTGAGCCTGGCAAGACCTACCTCCTGAGATTGGTCAATATTGGTGCATTCGTGGCACAGTATTTCTATATTGAGGACCACAGCTTTCAAATCGTCGAAATTGACGGCGTTTACACGGAGGCTACCAATGCCAGTATCCTCTATATCGCTGTCGCTCAGCGGTACTCAGTGCTCGTGACGATGAAAAATTCAACCGAGAAGAATTATCCTATCGTGACAGTTGCGGACTCCCAACTATTAGACACCATCCCGAGTGACCTGAAGTTGAACAGCACCAATTGGTTGCAATATAATCCATCAGCACCTCATCCGCAGGCCAATATCACCGTCGCCTCTTGTACAGACCTGGATCCGTACGACGATATGAATCTTGTGCCTTATGACCGCATGGCACTCTTGCCTGATCCCGATCTCACCATCGAATTAACAGTCTACATGGAAGACCTGGACAATGGCGCCGACTACGCACTCTTGAACAACATCTCTTATACAGCGCCTAAAGTTCCAACACTATATACTGTGCTCTCGGCCGGTGATCTTGCTACCAACTCTCTGGTCTATGGCGAATTCACACATTCAATGATTCTGGAGCACAATCAAGTCGTTGAAATCATCCTGAACAACGGGGATACTGGCTCTCATCCCTTCCACTTGCACGGTCATCAATTCCAAGTGATCAACCGGGCTCCTGGCTATGGAGCACACTTCTACGACTATGCTGATGGGGATCCCGTCCCTTATGACCCATCGAACCACACCGCATTCCCGGAATATCCAGCTAGACGTGACACGTTTGTCCTACCTCCACAGGGTTATTTCGTCATTCGATTCGTCGCAGATAACCCCGGTGTCTGGATATTCCACTGTCACATCGACTGGCATCTGATGCAGGGATTAGCCATGGTCATGATCGAGGCTCCACTTCAGATTCAGGAGCGTGTCACGATTCCAGAGAACCATTATGAGGTGTGCAAGGCTGCGGGCGTTGAGTATGAAGGGAACGCGGCAGGAAATACGCAAGACTATCTTGATTCTACTGGACAGAATACACAGGTTGGGTGGTTACCTGCTGGGTTCACTACCAAGGGTATCGTGGCGATGGTGTTTTCTTGCATTTCGGCTTTCTTGGGAATGGCTTTTATCTCTGTTTATGGCGCGTCTGGTATTCCGAAGAAGAAGACTGAGACTACAGAAGTGGTAGATGGGGCGTCGACTGAGAACTGATGCCTAACAAGTTCTGGATTTGTGACTTAGCCATTACCTGCAAGTACCTCGCTCTAATATACCACTGATTTTGATGACGGGTTCAAGTTGTTCAACACCTGGGCAGAACCATAATAGACTTGATGCCAACCTGAATTCCATTTTTTATAATTCTTTCAACATATTCATCGGTAAATCCATATTCCCCTGGAATCCTTGACAACACCCCCAAATGATTGGGAGGACTCTGGTGAGTTGGTGGGCTCAGAAAGGGCATTCATGTTTCCCTTCGACCCCCATATCAGCTGGTAGAATAAGATAAAGTGATCAGCACCAAAATCTTCACAATGATTGAGATGAACCTCTGTCAACCTCAGCTTTGGTAGATTCAAACCACTTGCAGATTTTCAGCGACCGGATAATGCATACATACATGATACGGCTAAGCCAGCACTCAGCCCATCTCCCAGGCCACTCACAATGCCCTTCGCCAGATATTGAGGAACTTGAACTTTGCGCACTTGACCCATCATCAGAGTCGCAGCAAGCCACGTCTGCCTCAATTGTTGCAGACATATATCGTTTAATGCAAGAGAAACTTTTGATCGTTACTCTTGTTGTTTCGCATATACCCTCCTTTTGAGTCTCATTCACGCTATCGATGTTTGTGTTTGTTCAAATGCTCGTCACCTGGGTTCCAGTATTCCTATATGGCTATAATGATTGTGTCAGCAAGACCGCGACTGTAGGCACGATGAGTGACATGGGACTCTTATCGTTGTTCTTTGCAACGTAGGCGAGGAATTTATGACCGCTACCATGGGTGCCTTTGCTAATCTTGTTTTCGAAGGGCGGTCTTTCGGAGAAAATATTGGCACAGCCATTCTTCCTCCTGTATGATTCAATCTCGGCTCGAGACAAGCAAAATGGCATCTCGGGTCCTGAAGGACTTTCCAGGGCACCGTGTATTTCATGGCTCTCACGGTTAACGACGGAGACTTCAGCACGGTATTTGACGCGTCATTAGCTGGTCTTTGATGACGGATATCCTGACGAGAAAACAAATCCGTGTCAGGAATTCTGAGTTTGCCCTCGTCAATCTCCCGATTATTGTCATTGCGATGGCTGTGCGATGTACGGTGTTGGTAGGAGAGTTTTAGATCGTCTGTGCCAAAACACTGTCAAAAGTTCAGTGAGAGGCTGATCTTCTCAACTCTAGTCAGGCTGTGTGTTTTAAGTTCTAGGGTTAGAATAACAGATGAACAAGTTCCAGATGAACAAGTTCGCAATGAAACAAGTGTGTTGGTAGAAATCACTACAAGGCCATTAAGTTAACCAACAATGACATGTCACTAGCAGCATGATCTCCTTAATAAAATCAGTGCCATCCTGTTCATGTGTCTCTTACATGTTGATAGTGTAGGCAGGTGAGTGGTCGGATGGGATGGTAGCTAACATCTCTCACATCTCTCACATCTCTCACTTTAATACCTCGTTCCTCTCCCTTCCTTCATCTTCAATCCACCCCCACCCCTCTGAAAAAGTTTACCATCAACCGATCACCATGGATCAACAGCAACTAGTCGTCATCGATTCAGATGGAGAGGTTATTATCCTCCTTCGCAATGAAAACTCTTCCTTTGCGCAGTCGGCAAATGAACCCAAGCCCCCAGTTAACACCCCTGCCCCGGTATGCTACTGCCCCAATATTTTGGTTCCAAATGAAGCTTGCACATATTACGTCCAAAGTAACTGGCAAGGCTTCTGAGAGAAAAATCTAACCAAAGTCTCATATCAGGTGTCCGACTCCAGTGTTGAGCCTTCGAATGCGAAGCAAGACTCCTAATCATCGCTCAAGGATTGTGTCAAATTTCAAGTTTCCGCGAGACACCTGATACTTGCGTCAACAATGTTCAAAAGCATGTTGACCGGCGGCTGGAAAGAAAGCGTTGAATTCCAGCAGAACGTTTCCGTTACAATCGAAGTCGAGGGCTGGGACGTGGATTCCTTCACCATTGTTCTGCGTGCAATTCATGGCAAATTCAATCAGATACCAAAATCGCGAACTCTTGAGCAGGTGGCAAAAATTGCTGACATTGCAGACTACTACCAACTCAAAGAGATCATGTCTGTCATGCTTCCGGCATGGAAGACAGCTCTGTCAGATGGTCTCGCTCATGGTACTTATCGAGATTTGGTTATGAGCGTGTGGGCTTCCTGGTTTTTTGGGGCTGATCAGGAGTTCAAAAACGCAACCTCCAGTGCGATGACGAGAATGTCTGGTCAAGTTGTTAGCCTCGGATGCCCGATTCCTGCGAAAATCATTAGTGAGTAGAGACAGACTTTTGCAAATTACCCAGGCTGATCAAGGGCTCTAGATGCAATGAACAATGCCAAGACCAATGCCATCCGAGATGTCTTTTCGTCGGTGACATCTACAGTCTGGGAAGGGCAATTATGGATGTTGCTTTCAGTGCCGCTCAATCATGACTGGAGCCCTCCAGTTAGAACAGCATAAAAATGGTTTCCTATCACCACAACCTAAAAGCCCCTATCCAGGCATCCATTACAGTGGTCTTGTCCACACGGTGCAGTCATTCGAATCACCTACATGGTATGACAAGAAAGCTTCGATTTGGCGTTCAAAGCAGAGAAATACCGCCCCGCACCAGTGCGCTCACTCATCTTTCGCTTCGATCTTCGGGAATCTGAAGTATCCTGTTCAAGGCCTGGAACTGCGCAACTTTGTCGTTTCAGATACTCCAACTTTGAAACGAAAGCACACGGATGAATGATGTTATCGATATGACCTTTACTACTACCAGTTATTTCTCTGCTGTTCTTATTATCAATCAATTTGAATTAATATATTTCATTATGCGAATCTGCAGGTTCGAGCTGGCCGTCTCGGTAGGCGTATCCGAGTCGTTATGAATCATATCATGGTACTATTCTGTCTAGCATTGCGGAGGTCCTGAATTGCACACCCGTTGCGTATAACCTGGAACTGACCCAGTCAAATCACCCTAACTTGAACTTTTAAGACACGATTATCAAGAAACTTCATAGCGGGGTGTCCATTGACTCCATGTTTCAACTCCACTCATGAAATACTCCAGACTCTTTATGTACTTCTCGACTTCGGGTCTGGGGAAGCCCTGAGAGCCCTGTCTGATGTTATGAGCAGACTTTTCAAACACAAGCTCCAACTCTCGACAATAGCTATACATCAATCGCTTGCATGCAGCGTAAGGCAGGCCGGTTTCTTGGGCCAAAACATACACAGCCGAGAAAGGCAGGGATCCATCAGTCAAATTAGACTGGTGCGCCTTCCACTCTTTGTCCCAGCTGTAAACGTCATTCAAGACGCCCATGAAACGAAATGCGCAACTTTCTAGACCGGACAGCTGTGTTAGCTCCGTGGTAGTGAGGTGCAGGTTTCCACCAAATCGCATAAGTGCAGTATAGAACCTACAGGATGTGTTAGTGTGGATCCATTTTGATCATGAGATAAATGAGTACGCACGTCCTTCCCGCATCGACCTCTCGCCATTCAAGATATGGGCCCAGGTGTTTGATAGATGCGCGCTCGGGCGCGGTTTGAGCTCGTAAGAGGGCACAAAATCCTTCAGTGAGGTCATCGGCCAGAGACTCGTCGATTTCTCGTAGAGCCAGCGTGGTATCAAATAACATCCATTCCACACAGTTCGATCTGTTTGGGGTGATTTTGTTGCGGGCAATTTTTATCACCCGCTCTCTGTACGACAGCAAATCCACAGTGTTCATTTTGTCCAATTGATCTAGAAATCCATAAGTTATCTGACAATTTTTGGGGATAAAATTCTACTCACCGTCAATGAGGAATGCGAAGTAATGCATTCTGCCTGTCACATCGACTCGATCGTTAAGAATGAGCGGAAAGAATTCACTGAAGGCACGGGCAAGACCCAGAGTAAAAAACCCATTTCTTTCCTTCTCACTGGCAAATTTCCAGTTCTTTCCAAAAAAAGGCTCAATCACCGCTTGGATGGCTTCCAATCCTAGCGTATGGGATTTCGATTCTAACCGACTTGGACCCACTCCATGCTGTAGGTGGGCAGCTAACCCTGTTGATCCCGATGCATGATATTGCCTATGACAGGATGCTTCTCGCGTCACTGGTATCAAGTTTTGAAATCGCGAATGTATCTCAACTCCGCAACGGGAAATTTGCGCGTTCCGGAGTAGGTGCTTCGCGTGGAATCTTGAAACAAGCCGCGTGTTCATGCCTGATTATTTCTCCAATTCTAAATCTTGGAGGTTGTCTAGCCTGCTTTATAATGTGGGTCGGTCTGGCGATCTTCATACACACCTTCGGTTATATGCCAGTATATACCGATTAAAAATTGTTCAGCAAAGGTTCTTCGACTCGCTTTTGGCAGTACCCTCAGTTCATGCTGTTGTCTTTCCAAGGTTGGATGATGCGGGTATCGAGCGATAAAAACGCACGGATCATCTCGGCGCCGTGATGTCACTTGTGTACAGCTCAAGTGCTTCAACCATTTCACTTCCCAGAGCTGACGATAAGTCACTACTCAGAAAGATAGCAGCTCGATCGGAGTAGCTTGCTCCACCAACTCGGAGTCTTTTCCTTTTAGTCTTCGCCTCAACATTCTACTCAATTGTACTTGAAGAAACCCACCTACCCCGCCAACAACACCACAGCACGCAGAACCTGAGCATAAATTGTTCACATATGCGACCTGCTGTATATCATAGTCACTTCAAGGCTTCTCAATCTGCGTACCGTCGCCTTAACTCCACCAAAAACATACTGAACTTCGGTCCGACTTCTGCAATGGATCAACCCAGGAACACAAAAGCTCCATGGCGTGATCTATTAGATTCTCATCTCAAACAAAACTCGGGATACGAGTTTAATATCGCTACGATAGCTCATGATTCTAATGGAGACCCTGTTCCCCGAGTTCGTACATGCGGCTGCCGTGGCTTCTTCCCAGAACTTGAACTCCATCCCAGCGGACAAAAGGACATGGATGAACAAGTTGGAGAAGCTCAAAACCCCCCGGTTTATGAGAGCGACATGCTGACATTCACAACCGATGCGCGAATGGAAAAGCTGGATCAATTGAAGTCATCTGCACGCGCCATCGAGGCTATGTTTTGGCTCAAAGATTCAATGACGCAGTGGCGGGTCAAGGGGAGAGCATATCACATTGGTGGGCCCTCTGACCCAGAAAAAAAGGGTTCTGAGCATCTCGCGAGAGACAGGATTGGCGAAGGTTTGAGACTCAAAGAAAGCCAGGATGGGGATACTGCAAACTGGACTTGGGAAAGCGCTGTGACTAGGTATTTTGCAAATCACTCTCCAGTCATGAGAGGTACGTCATCCTCTACCATTCTGCGGCTGATGACTGCAATATGAGTTGTCCCTAGAAGAACTGCGCTAACAAACGTACTTTAAGGCTCTTTCCAAAACCCACCACCTGGACAACCTAGGTCTAACGTGCCTTCTGATTCAAACTTGAAACTAGGGCAGAGGGTCACCGATCTCTATGATCCAATCGCTCGTGCTAACTTCAGAGTTGTTGTTATCATTCCTGAAGATGTTGAGCGCATCGATTTGTCCAACCAGGAAGATGTCCAGAGAGAAAAATGGACTTATTTGGAGAGCGGGCATGGATTGGGGTACTGGAAAAGTGTGGATCTCTGGCCATGAGCTGGCTAAATGCATTGATATATTACCTTCTGTGCAAACTTGAAGGCATTTATCATTGACTTTTTTCACTTACTTCAAAGAAGCTTGGAGTACTTGGTGGAAAGGTTGACGAATTGACGTTGCTAGAAAAACCTTGGAATATTCTACAATTTCATACTATTCTCTAAATCGAATATCCAGCTCATTCAATTCAATGTAGGGGAGGGGGGAATATTGAGAAATTTCATAAAATTCCAATTCCCATGTCATTTGGCACTGTACACCAGTAGTACTCCTGTTTGCCGTAGCAAATTGATCTATCAAAGACTTTTGTTCAATTTTGAAGACTCACCTAGATTCTGACAATTGTTTGATTGGTCTTCATCATATACCTAAGAGTCTCCTTCATATTTTCGAATTCTCTTTCCAACGTGTTGATATCCCTATCTCCAATTGTGTTATCCCCCAGCATCCCTGCAGTATCAAACGCATCTCCACCTCTTAACTTCCCGCAGTGATGGATTCTGGTATGATCATTATCTCTTATCCTTCCATTTCAAGACACTGATCCTTCCATGTCACTAGCTAGCGGCCGTCGCCGCACTCCTGCCTGCTTTGAGTGCAAAATCAAGAAGAGAAAATGCACCCATCCTACTAATGAGCCTGGTACTATGTCTCCTGAGTTGTCAGATGCTCGATTGCCAGGCACCGGGAGCCTGCACGATGAGGAGGTACGTTTACCCTCTATACATTCTTTGTTTACTTTCTGGCTTTGTCTCTTCTCCAGGGTTTCTAATATTCAAAACTTCAACTTCTCACTGATTCGCTTCATACATAAGCTTCTTGACCCGATCTTTCCCATCACTCCCCCCATGCCACCCAAAAAAAAGTCTCGAAAGACGTCCAAGTCTTCCAAAAACGGCTATGACAGCCTTCCAACTCCCTCAAGTATTTCAAAAAGGACGACGTCTGTGGAACCAGCTCCCCAGATGCCAGAGCATCCAACTAATAACCTTGAGGGCTCGGCTCGTCTGGGAATCCACAGCGTATTCTCTCGAGAGCTGGAAGGGCGAATCAACCAAATGCAAGCTGAACAAAATGCTGCACGACTCGCGTTTGAGGAGGCGATGATGGCAGTTCAAGCTTCTATCCACTCAGCCACGGATGTAATTAAGCTTGTTGATGACTGGAAGCAGGCCTGGGAAAAGGGTCAGTAGACAACATCCGCCTCATCGTTGACAAGTTGTTGTCAAGTGGGTGTCAACTTGAAAATATTGGATACAACTTGGAGCCATTGGTGGTATGATTTCAATGTCTTTACCCTTTACTTTTCCTTCAGCTAAAATCTCAATTAGCTTTGATTATGTCTTGTCTCGTTCAAGTTTCAGGCGATTTTGTTTCTCTTCAATTGGAGTTTTACTGGGTCTCAGTTATGTTTTGGGTGATAGATTTATGATAACTGCCAGTGGTCCCTCCGGTGTCTCAATCAAAAATGCATTTCTGAACCTTGGAATCAACAATATGTTTCTCTAAAATTCAGTAGAAACTCAGACTAGGCATAAAACTATCACGTGGCGTTGTTTCACGTGTCTGGTGTTTAACTTGAAGGTCAAAGCTCTCCGAGTCCCTCATCCCACTCATCCACCAAGTTTAAAATCATCAATTCCACCTGGGCAATACTCAGTCATTATCCAGATATGTATCCGGTTTACCCTCATGTCCCGCCCAATCAGCATTCCTCGGGAAACGGTCTGGATTCCAAGTGCTTGGGCACGTTTCCCAGCAGGTTACCGAACCTAAAAACCAAAATTTACGACAAGATGAGAAGGATAACCTCTCTGGGTTTCCTATTCAGTCAACAGGCAACCCAAACCCATATACGAAGAGGTAATACGACTTCATCAATGCTCTGGGGTACATACACATGCCAACTCAATACAATACACGCCAAGTTCACGGAGTCTTCAAGATGAGGGGCCGATCAACTAATCATAATGCTTGATCACAGCAATAGGACCACTCGGCCCCATTTTACGCCTACGGGCTTACCCGCACAACGGATCGGCCGTGTGAGGGGTCCATATTTCAAAAGGATGGAAAGGTCGCACTGGTCATATCCATAACGAATTGGAGCACATATTGCAATTGCACTCCGTATTGGGAACCCACTTTTGATAAGGAATTTTCATCCTTGTTTCCTCATTCCCGACCGTTACGTGTCATATCCTTCTTAGGAATGGTTCCCGTCTCGGTTGAGTGAAGCCCTGGAGTCCTTTCTCTAATCCTGGTTTCTGATCCCTGTTCTTCCAAGGAGGCTAGTTTATGCTTGCCGAGTTTCAATTCTTCACACTCTAGAGAGTGCATAATTGGCCGTTTCGGCAGAGTCCGTGAACTGGTATCTGCTTCAGAACCAGGTTATTCGGGAGCCTGTTCGCCCTAGCCGAGGAATGGATGGTCAGGATCCTCACTTAACGAAAATAGGGTGGTCGGGAGTAGGATTGCCCTGGAGATCCTCGTGGGTCATGCATATCATCATGGTTACCAGTTGAAGTGTCAAATCTTAACGACCTGCATCCATCTTCTCACCGCTCCTCACGGGAGTAAGTGTCACGGACATGCAGGAGCCCAACGCTATAGAAGGTGCCAGTGCCATGGGTCATAAGAAATGCACTTCGCCTTGTTACGCTTGTTTTGGGAATGTGGTGTCAGTACGAAGTGCTGCAAGACGAGTCGATAGGTAGAAGAAGTGGAGCAGTTTATGTATTTTAATCGCTGTGTAGATCCCTCCCAAAAAACCTTCCAAGGTTCCAACCTTTGGGACTCGGGGTAATTGTACTGTCATGTAATCAAAAGTCCTTGGGACTCTTTTTTCTTCTTCCTCAAACCCCTCTTAACTTAAACCTTCCAACCCTCCTTTTTTAAGGTGATCTTCGACCAATTTTCAATCCAAGACCCTTTGCGCCTATATTCGATACAATCAGATTACACCTCCTTTCTCCCCCGTACACGATATCACGACGAAACGAAAAGCCATCTTTCATACACTGTTTATACTTCCATACTCCTTTCTGCGCCTCAACCCCATATTTCGCCTCAAGAGGGGGGGACCCTTTGGGTATATACATCGGTCGGAATTTTATCTCAAACGAGACGAGAGATTCCTTAACATGGCCACTGCATCTATCGATGCGCTGGGTGCTTTCTCCCACCTCCAAACCAACTTGCCTCCGTGGATCACCCGCATTTCCGAGTTAGCCACACACGCCGCCGCCAGACATGCCGAATACTCTCAAGCCTATCAAAAACACACCACATTTAAGCCGCGTCGCCGAAAGAATAGCTCCGTTCGCTCTATCCACACCGATGACCTCGCCCCGATTGCCAAACAGGAGACACCACCCTCCGACGCAGTGGAGGAAACCACAACCACAATCTCAACCCCTAAGGACGAGAAAGTGCCAGCACAGCAGGCTGGTCGCAAGCGCGGAACCGACGAAGCCCCCTCGATCGACTCAGGAGAGCGTCACGCCTTTGTCAGCACCCGACACAACGTGATCATCGAATACGACGGTCATACACAAAAGGTTCTGGAAGAGGTCGTGAGGGAAATTGGTATTGCAAGGAACAACATCCGCCGCGGTAAGATGTCACTAATGCCTCGCGGTGGAGGTCTTCGCGCCAATCTGTTGAACCGAACCGCTGGTCTGAACACCCAGATTGGAGGAGTCGGTGGAGTGGGTGGCGAACCGTCACCTCTCTCTTCCCTGTCTTGTGTTCGGAGTACCCGAACCGCCTCTGGCGTGGTTGGCGTGACGGGCACATCAACTGGCGTTCGCAAGGAGTCACCCTTTGACTTCGCTGACAAGCAATTGGAATTGGCGCACAGCCTCTGCGAAACTGCCGCGTACCAAGTGCTTCGATCAGGTGACTGCGCTACCGAACTCGATGGGGTAGAAGAGAATTTCAAGATGCTCCTGGAAATGACCAACAGCGAAGTGACTCGTCTTGAAGAGGAAAAAAAGCAACGAGAAGCACAAGCGACCGAAGAAGAGAAGGAGAACCAAGCCACCCAACCTCCGAACCCGACGGCTGCGCGACTTGCGCGCATTGCGGCGATCACTGCAAATACGAGTAAACAACCCACGGCCGTCGCGATGGGTACTATCGAAGTTGATGACGACTCTTCCATATCAGCCGAATCTCTCGACTTGTCTGCACTTCGACGTTCGCGCATTCGCGTTTAAGTCAAGGCCGAGTTCAATTCCTCTGTCAACGATAAAGCGTGTTCGTTGAAACCATTCCAGCAAAAGCATCCCCCTTCGGCCAACACCTTCACTATTTGCATGCCCAAGATACCATTTACTTATTTCCTTGCTGTCATCTACGTGTCTCTTTGCACAATAATTCCGCCTCCACAGATTGCAAGTCCGACGCGGGTCTCGCTCACTTTGCCATTTTATCTTCTTGTTATAGCTAACCCTGTCTCTTACTGAACACATCTTGCCACCATTTTTCTACGGTCTTTGGAGCACTCTTTTATCATTTCGGTGGGGTATTTTTTATGTCTTTTCTGCATTCTACTCATTTGCCTGGAGCGCACGGCGTTGGGCAACGGCGTTCAATTTGATATTTGGTTTTGCTTTAGCTTTGCATCATTTGGGAGGCCTCATGTTGTTTACTTCTTAGTATTTATCACGTTCGGAAATCAAGATTATTTCTTGTATTGCCATATAAATATCAACCTTGGAAGCTATTAGATCAAATACATGTCTTGATCCCGTCTTCATCTTTGCCACTGGAATACCGCTATACGCCTAGACTCATCCATCAATACCCAGTACACAATAATAAAAAAAAGTAAATAAAAATAAAACGAAAAAGATACGAAAGTGCGTACTCCACTCGTACATATGCACATTTCACGCCCTAGCTCAATTAACATGCGGCAACCCTGCTCAACAATAACCTTGGAATCCAATCGAGCCATTATTTACACATCTTCGCACTTGTTCAATGTACGAAGACGGAGTAAATACTGTCATTTATTCTCCTCGCCGCTTGTAGCCCTTTCATCCAATTGGTCCACATGTCCAACAAACTCAATATAAATTAAACCTACGCGGCGCGCGCTTCACGACACATCCCCTTACGTTACCTTGACTGGTCGTCTGTGCTGTCATAACACATTCCAAACATGATTCGCTACTAGATCGAGATATTCTGATCTAAGCACATTTTATGAGTCTACCTGGCGTTTGACCAGTGGAATTGATACGAGTACATTGAACCATCTGCCATGTGAACAGTCGTCTCCATGTACTTGTATTCCATACCCACGGACGTCTACTCAGGTGGGTTCGGGCCGTGTGGTCACCCAACGGTTCTAGACGCTAGTATCATGGAAATTGCATGTTTTTTTGTGTATGGAGCCCTTCCAAGTTTCATTTGTCAGTGGTCAGTTGTACTAGTATTTGAAATTTCATCCGAATCATCCGTGCATTTTATGAGTACTATGCGCGAGACCGTTGGACTAGCGGGTGGAAGTTTCTGGATATTACTGACACAAGCGGCCTAATACTCCGAGTCTGCACTGCTACTTCGGACACATTTTGACATTTCAATGTTTCCAGTTGTGGTTGAGATAGTCCAAGGAATGGCATCAAACGAACACTTTCACAGTGCTCCATATCAGTTCATCTACCTGGAAAGGGTTAAGCCACCCCGTATGCGTTCCAATCCACAGGGTAATTCAAATGTCTCCCCACCGCCTCGAACAATCGAAAAAGATAGATCACTTTGTTTCTCGGACGAGTATGCGAGGCCTCCATGTCTGCGCGGCATGTGGAGTCTGGATAGGTACTAGACAGGGATTATCCGCAGTAACGCATGCAATACATCATCCACCACCAAGCCAATAGTAGCGTATAGCACTGACAGGGGTAGCATGGGAAGCGCCGGTGCCTTTTGCTAGCCCATTTTTTTTGTTTACAATGGATCCTCTAGCCTGAGGGTTGGCTCCTGCTAGGTTCAAGTTGCCCCCTGTAATTCCGAGTCCACGAGGTGAACTGAATTCTTGGCCTAGTTCGAGAGTTCATCTTTGCAACCCCGGGCCTTGGGGATCAGATCGAGTGAAGTCTAAAGCATCGTATAGGCGGGATTGTTTATAGCCTCATTTCCGTGGGAGCCTGTAAGGATGCGTAGATGGGGTTTCTTGAAACTAGTGGTCATGCTACATCGGTGGCGCCGGACACTTTTTTAAAACTCGGCGATTGTGGCTGTCGATGCATAGTTCTTGGAGGTGTGCTCTGCATAAAGCGTGAACGGGACGGGTAGAGCTGCCAGAGGTTGCTGTGTTTTTCACATGAGTACGTCGTACAGAGTACCCCAGAACCCCAGTACTTGCTCCATAGTATGCTCCATATTAATTCGGTAGCTAACCGAGTCACCGAAGAGTGGATATAATATTGGAATGTTCCAGGTACTGAAGCCAACAACCAAGCAAATGTTGAAGGTTGGGTAATACGCAAAAACGAGGAATACCTGAAAAACAGGAACACGAACAAAACACTATTACAGAGACCCCCACTAGCCCCATTTGAGCCCCGCGCACCCGCTTCCCCGGAGCCTTTACTCTCTGCTGAATGGTCAATAGAGTGGAGTCGATTCCATTTCGGGAAAGCATCCGGAATATAAATCCAAGGAGTGCCAGTACATACAAAAGTACGAGAGGGGTGGCATGTTTGCTTATGCGGACATCCAGGAACAATAGCTTGAATGCAGAATTTACGAAGGATGAAATGAGGGGCTAGTTTCATGTTGTAATCCTAGTTCATTGAGGGGCAATAATCCTAGTGATATTTCGGTTGATTTCTTTGTTCGCATATATATGGGGTCGTATCTTGGTCATTGATCGGATGTGCTCCGTGGGGGCCGAATTCCGTGTAACTGGGTCATAACTGGGTCACGCAGGTTGAATGCCAGGACGGGTCCCTCCAGGGCTGGTACTTATGTTTCCTACTATTGAGTAGTAGTGGGCACATGATCCAGACTATGGGGAATGACGCTCAATTTTGACTGTACCATTTGCCTTCCAAATGCTCTTCCCCGTAAGGAGTACGAAGTAGGGAGTCCCGAGGATAGGGGTAGAGACACTAGCTCACGTATTCAGGAAAAACAAAACAATCACCACCGGTCGCTTATATCCGAACCAACAATGAATAGAAATACCGGTGTGCATATCGCTTCTGACAACATTGAAAATACATCATAGCCATGAAATGATATTCCTTAGCCGCATTAAACGGATGCCAAGGGTCCCGAATAACTCAACATCCCTGTCAGTCTAGTAGGTCAACACAGCCAATCAGCTGGTGCCACAGCATCGTCCATGATTATGGTAGTCTAGAACGCACTCCGACCTTACCCAAAATGACTATCGGTGCGAGTCCACTAAGAACCTGGCTTTAAATTTGAAATTGTCCCGGTTCAAATTCCTGACTGTTACCTGCCTTGGCAAGAGGGTCCGAATAAAGAAGAATCCGATATGCTACAAATGTGAGAAAATTCTCACCATTATAACCAGACGTATAATAGAACTTTGCGCACGAGAAGGTTCAAGGCTGATCCGGAGTTGATGCAGGATGATTTTTTAGGTTGTGGCAAGACCAGGATTGATTCTGCGGGCTGCAGGTTATCATTACCGAAACTCGCGGAATTTGGGGAAGAATGTCCTTTTGAGCTGACACTGTTTGTGCTACTCACTCATACCGTCAGACTGCTGTTGCAGGATTTCAAGGTTGACCATGCTCATGCATCTATATTTGACCCCGCTTCTACTCAAGTGCTCCGAGTTATGATTTCCCTGTTTTGATGATTTTCAGACAAAGTCCGAGTACTACCATATAGATCGTATGATTCGAAGGACACGTACGTTATCAGGTCACTGTTTTGAAACTGAAAGACAGGACAAGGCACATATGAACATGCTCTGAAGCTCTTACCTGGTAGGGCCCCCCAGGATGTGAAAAGATCTACAAGGTGCATTCGGCCGACCGAGATTTACCATGAGGTCACATATGCAGCCTTGGAATAATTTGTGTCTGAATAATACCGGAGCGGTACCCTGTCCAAGTGGATAGGGCGCCACACCAGGGCGCCTCATCAGGGAATCGACCCACGCCGGGGGCACCGAGCTAGCCACCCTCCACTAGCAGGGCTTCTTATAGCTTCATATGTATTTAGCATCGAAACAATATTGTCTCCCCGAGATAGGCCTCAAATCGCCAAAGCCAAGCATTGTCATCGTATTTTGAACCTGAGATCCTCGTCCGAGCCGGACTCCGATTTTCTTTTCTTATCAGGTCACGGCCCTCTCCGGGTTAGTAGTAGTCCTTGAGTACATTGCTGCTAACAAAGTAAATGATCGTCCTATCCAAAAGTATAATCCATTCACCTACAGTTCACATCAATCACTGATTTCGATCGTCTGGGTTTGCACGAACTCAGGATGTGGTAACACAAGCTGATATATCGGTGGAGGCTTTGCAGTCTACCACGGTCGCGATGATTCATATTCTCTGTTCCTGTTCAATGAGCTTGAGCACTGGCAGTTTCATGTGTGTTTATCTGGCTCAACGGTGCCAGTGATGACGTGGTCTGGCAACGCTCAAGATCATCAATATTCTTCCGTAGCATTGCAGATACCCGTGGTGTCTTGGACTGCGAAAAGCTGCTCCTCGAAAACAAAATCGCATCGAATAATGTCCAGGTTTTCGGGAATATGCAGTCAAAAATTGCCAGCTTCTGGTATTCGTTTTCGCTCCATATGCAAGTGAATATCAACGTATACTCAACACCCTTTCACCTACCTCGGACTTCATTCGGGACTTCATCGGCAAATAGTAGGTCATAGTATGACCGATCCAGCCGATTAAGAATATTGGTAGCTAAGTTTTGTGAAAGGAATGCAGCTCCCGTCTATGGTAGTCGTTTCCTTGCGGTGTGTCTCAAATCGCTGATCGTCGGCCGGGCGATATTCATATTCGCGAAGTCCAGGAGGTCTTTCCCTGCCACGATGGTATGCAAATTGTGCACTAACTCTTCAAGTCCGTCAAAAGGGGTGAGTGTTAGCTTCCATTTTCATCAAGGTTATTGGAAGCATGCTGGGTAGGTCAGTTGCTCGCCGATGGGTACTGGTTCAGCGTAGTCAACAGCTGCCCAAAAGCGGCTGTGTCTTCTTGGTATCCCGCAGACGATGATAAAAAAGAATGGTCTTTTGGTATGCTTTTCAGCAATCCCAGAGAAACTTGTGACTGGGTAGGAGTAAGAGGAAAAGAGAGTGGATGAAGGATGGGGGAGAATGGGAAACGTGGCACTAGAACTCGTGCAAGTGAGAGTTATACCTACCCATGTGCTGCCACGTGTAATGACACGCTACATCCATGCTCCGTATTTTCTTGGGGCTTGAGATTGATAACCTTTTTCCAACTGACCCTCACTTTACATTCTGTCACCATCTCACCGATTACTCTCTCGGCGTGTACTTCATCCCCAAATCACAGCGATTCAATGACAGTATATTCGTAAGCCTTATTCATTCAAATCACAATTGACCTTGGAAAGCTTCTATTTTGAATGTATACCAACTATTTCCCAAAGCATTGCCGATGCCTAAGCGGATTTTCAAGTTTGCACTGGCGTCAAAGCGACCTTTGCACCATTCTTCATTGACAAAGTGAGGCCAATAAGCTCTTTGAAGGGTTCCGAGTCTCGACTTTCAATGCTTTCAAATTCTTGAAGGATCCTGACGATTGTATAACTGGCCTCTGTCAACGCAAATTGCTGTCCAATGCAGATTCGGGGACCTCCATTAAATGGGATGTAAGCCCATCCAGGCTTCAAGTTTTCCCATCTCTCTGGCCTAAACTCAGAGGCATCTTGTCCATAAACCTCCGGTAGACGGTGTGCGCTATAGGCACAGTACATCACCTCTTGTCCTTTAGAAATGAATATTGGGAGGGTACCGCAGGATCCACCTCCTGTAGGGAGGACTGTCCTTTTGTTCGCCATACGTACATTTAATGGGATCAATGGGTAAAGTCTCAATGCTGTAAACCGGGTGAGATACGGAATATGGAATCAGAACGTATAGGGATGTTCTTACTCTCATTCATCACCCATGTGAGGTATTTCATTGACTTAAGATCCTCGAATGAAGGCCGCTTGTCAAAGTTGAGAACTTCAGCCCTTAGCTTAGACCATACATCTTCTCGTCTAGAGAGGAGGAAAAATGTAAAACTGAGGAAGGCTGCTGTTGTGTCGCGGCCTGCCAGTAAGATATTAAGTAGCTGATCCGTCAGCACCTTTTCATCTTGTGTCCGTGTAGCCAGCTCATGAAGAAACACGTATGATTGGCTAGGGGGCTTTTCATCCTGGTTAGATTCCTGTAGTTCTTTGTGTTCAAGAGCCTCCTGAACAACATCTCTGACAAAGCTTCGTACTGCTGCGATGGCCTTCGTATAGCTTCTATTCAAATTAGATAGCCATCTCAATGGACCTAGCCGCATACGAATAATCATTCCGTTCGAAGCAATATGCCAATTTTTAGCAAAAGACTTAGAAGCTTCTGATTCCCTGCCACCTAGGGTATTAAAGCTTCGACCGAAAAGGAATTCGGTGGCTGAATCGATCGTCTGCGTTTGCCATCAGGTTCAACATTTGAATAAACTTTGTAAGGTTCCAGGGACAATAAGAAAAGCTTACCATCTTGTAAAACAGGTCTTGAAGATCCACCGTTGACCCATCTACCGGCATACATTTGACGAGCTGGGAGACATGATGTTCATACACAGCGATATCGGCGATCTGATTTCTCACAAAATTCGGCCGGAGCAGTGCCCTCGATTGCTCCCAGATCTTCCCATCACTGGCGAAGATACCGTCGCCAAGCATGGGGTGCGCTGCATCGTTGCGGCTGCCTAGATCGAAATCCTCAAACTGCGTTGCAAGAATGGCCTGGAAATTCTTTGGTTCAGACGTCAAAATCAACTTGCGACCAAGACGAAGCTGGAAAGTCCGTCCAAACTTGCGTTGCCAGTCCTCAACAAGGTCGATCGCATAATTGTTGTTTGTAGCCTTGATGAAATCCCACAGAATGTCGAGCCCGAAGATATAGCTGGGCATTTTCGTCACTTCACCGCAGCCATTTCTCTGGGCGAATCCCCAATCTTCACAAACATCAGGTTAACTCTGTTCACATAGGATGTGCAGGTCTCTATAGTACTTACCTGATAGAGTTCGCCATAGCTTAAGAAGCCCCAGTGATGCTATAACTACCCACAGGAGTGTTGAATAGCCAATTCCTAGTGAGTCCAACATGGTAATGTGGCTGTTCACAATTTCTTCGAATATTTTCCTTCTCAAAGGGAAATTTGGCACCTTGAGATAAAATGAAATCTCTAGCCTCCACTGGCAAGGGTATTAGAAATGCCCTGTCAAGTTATACGTAATGCTTGTGGGGGGGTCATGACCTATCAATGGGGGCCAAATGAATTTCGCAGTTCACATGTGACTGCGAAAAATGTTCATTTGACAGGGCATTCTCCTCAATTTAATTAACTGCAGTGGGTAGATTTAGCTATAAAGAGTAAGATGTAGTTTTAGAGCGGTCTATTAATCCGTCATTTCTTCAACTTTGTTTTTCAGGGGGGAGATTCGTGAGAGCAAACCTTGGAAGTGGAGCCTACCGACTTGTATGTCTTCCAGGATCCAGATGTCTAGAGACAACACGAACCATGAACATGAAAAAGCTAGGCTGTTTCTCTACATAGTACTCTGCAATCCGTGAAGCGTAGCTCATTTTGGATTTGGATCTATATCACCTGGGCAGAGTTGGCGTTGGAGCCCGGTACCAATTTCATTTTTCCTCGGCTTTCTAGTCAACTGGTGTTAATTGTCTGATACAGAATACTATAACTAGTTAGTTATGGAACTTGATTACCTAAATATAGAAAAACCGAGTTAATCAAATTTTGTCGTCCTCCACTACCATGTACCGCGCTCCGAGTCTGAAATGCAACTTTAAGATGAACATTTTGAACTTCCCAGTGTTGAGACCATTGATGATGATCCATGCTCCGTAGAGATATCACATTATCCCTCACACTGTGCTCCGGCACCACACAGAGCACATTTTACCCAGGCGTGGGATCATTCAAATGTTCATTCAAGTCTACCGAATAGTGGTAGGTACTGCCATTACCACCTCTCCAGCCCTGGATGGTTATCAACGACCTCAAGAACGATATCTAAATACCTCCCAAATGTTTAGTAGCTCACCTCAAGTGCTTCAAGCTGTTTAGAATCATAATCATATCTTTCATAGTGCAAACATTCAATATTTGAATGTGGATACTAGATAGTGTCATGCCAGTGCATCCATGTGGCGCTGCTGTAAAATTATTTGAAGATGAGCACTTAAGACATGTCTTCGAGGGCGAAGCTCGCCTCAACTTTCAACTACAGAGAGGGATGACTACCACTGGCAGTCAATGGGTATGATTAATCAATATGAGTACTTGTGTGTATGTAGAAAATTGAAAACTTTTGAGAAATCATTCACATGAGCATTACTAGACAAGTCGGCTGTAAGAGTAGGCTAAAGACCACTCATGAATATGTATAAAGAGCCATGTCAACTAATCATCCGTAAAACAACCCTTCACATGTTCAAACAAAGCCAGCCCTGTCCTGAACATGGATATTTGTCATAACCCGGATATCACCCGGTGTCCTCTCAGTGCCATCATAATTTGCTGCGGCTGAACAAAGCTCCTGGCTATCGCTGTTCCCACTAATACTGGCCTTACCCCCATATACCGAGGAATAGTTCGGACGCGAGTTGAATTCGTATTGGTGTTCGGAAGACTTGCTGTTGCTCGCGTTCTCACTTGGCCTCTTCGTGTGGCCTCGTAGATGTTTCACAAGGGCTATACCATTGGGGACAGAGATCGATATAATCGAGAATGATCCCTCAAGAGTAACCCAGTACATATATGTTGTTAACTTCCAGGTCATATCTTCTTCGACATGAGGGATGATTTGTATCGTGGCTCCCATTCTGCCAATGGAGATGATGATGACAGAATAGGTCAAACAGAATGCGACAAGGAGGTAGGCACGGCGACGAAGACTAGTGTTAAGTCTCATGATGAGTGGAATAGGGATAACCAAGATCCAAATATCGATCAAACAGGAGATTGTCGCCGTGGCCGTGTACCAAGCAAACTTGTTAATGCATTTTCCTGGGATAGTAGTATTCCAGGCTCTAGCGATGGGGTCGCATTGCCAAATAGTGACGAGGTAGGCAGAGAGAAGCCAGGCAGCGACCAATCCACCAAGAACCCATAACTGAATGCGTAAAGATCGATTTTTGGCATTGAAGACACGAGCGTAGAAGAATAGGGCGGAAATTTTGGGGAGACAAATCGAAGTGTCGAAAATAAAGACGCCAACATAAAATAATTTTGCGCCGTGTATGAGATAAGCTGAATTTTGAACAGCGACGAAGTCTTCATGGAGTCCAAGGCCGAAATGAACCCAGGCAAACAAGATTCCGAGTAGTGTTACTTCTGCAGCCTATAACACATATGCAATAACGATATTAGTTCTCAGTTCCATTTTTTCTAGCAAGTTAATAGGGTTAAGGCTGAGGCCACATACCCATGAGAGTATTGCAAACAAATCATCCCACCACCAGCGTTGCTTCGTGATGATTTTTGAGGCCACCCGAATGAGAGTAATTAATGTCGTGAATATCATAAGAACAATAAAAAGTGCCCTTGCACCGGGCCCCCGATCGGGTGTACCCTCAGGAATCTCCAGACCCATGTCTGTGGTTGAGATTAGAATACGTCAAAAGAGAAGAGCAAAATGAGGTTCTGAGGAAATCGATAATGAAAGATTCCAGAGACATCAAAAGTACTAGTAAGCACTGCAGTGGCACTCATAAGATAAAAAAGAGATTTATTCAGCCCTGGGGGGGAATCCACAGTTCCTGCACTCAGTATGAGTGACAAATATAGATTATGGCCACTAGCCCCCAAATTTCTTGTCGCAGAATTTCAATGTTAAAGACTGGGATCATCGTGGATTCTCACCTCTGCAGGGTGTAAGTGGGCACATGAACTTGAGAGTGACTGACGTACTGCATAGAGGTTAAAAGCGTAAAAAAAAAGAATTGGGGCCGGTTGACCATATCAGTACCCATTATGTGGTAATATTGGGGCTAGTTCCTACCCAACAAGTGCGCGACCTGTTCTGACCTACCATTTCTGGTAAGCCCTGGAGATGATGTACATTCCCTGCATATTGACGGTGTATGCCTTCAAATGTTTGTGTTATCTCTGGCCGAGCCTAGCCATCTGTCCCGCAGTGGATCTGATACTACCGTAGGTGCAGCTGTCGGGTTTAGACTAGCATTTTTTAAATGCACACCTTACCTGGTGAAGAGGGGAAAACACTCTAATCTGCCCAGGTGTACATGCTGGTGATTTCCGGGCCGATCCAGCTTCAAGGGACCAAACCACAATCACCTTCCAAGGTTTCTACCATGAATCCTTGATCGACACTGTGGATAGCCCGTAGGATGAAATCAGAGAGTCTAATTCCGTACAATAATAAAACAGGAATGACATAAGAAAACCTTATTTTTAGGTGACTAGACCCTGTATCGTCAGGTATTATATGTATCGGGACACCTAACCCCACTAGGTTAGTACCTGTGGACACGCACCAACACCTGAACATACACACACTCTTCTCTTTTGTCAGTGAGACTGTGATCGAGTGGAGAGATCGGCCCTGACGGTGCATTTAGGGAGGACATTCACCTCTCTCGGCACTTCTCATTTCCGAGATTCTGCACTTGCTGCAGATCACTTGGCCAGACGGGCTACAGAGTACGCACTAAGAACGGATTAATTGCCTAATTCTTGTTCTTCTCCCCGTCGCCCCTCCTCACCCCCAAAATAGTCCTGCGCGAATGAGGCATCAATTTCAAGGTTGTGGTGAAGGACTTTTTTGTTTCTCTATTCTCCAAGTTGCACATGTGTAACAAGAATTATTCTGGCTGCTGGATTTTATGAATTTATTATAGTAGAAAGTCGGGGAATTTTGGTTAGGCTTGACTAAGGCAAAAAAAAAGGATGATCCCATGTACTACTAATGTACTGGGGTAATCCATTATCTTCCAAGGTTCTCTCTGCTGACATTGAGGCGAAATAACTACGTTTCAGCTTAACTTTGCTAATATGGGTACGAAATTAAATTTTGAAGTTTGTATTCAAGTCAGAACATTTTAAATTCTAGTATTGTGTACTAATGAAACCTGCATATTGTCAATACATTTAATCTAAAAAGCTCTTCAGGAGTTCATTTCTCGATCAAGTAGACCACTGGCACCAGAACTAGAATGGAAGCATGAAATTAAGACGAAGCCCATCCTTGACTAAGCCACAACTTGAAGCCCCTCCAAGAGAATGCTTTGCATATCTTCTAGATAGGTCTGAACGTGTGATTCGTCTTCATAAGCTTCATTGAAGCCGAAAACCACTCGCAGCCGGTCACGGAAAGTATAGAGGAAGAGCATACTTTGCCCGAGGATGGTCTCAGTGCCAAACTTGAAGTCTTCAACAGTGACCTTGGTAATGCCGTTCTTGTTATCCGGAGAGGCTTCATCAGCAGGAGTATAAGATTGCTGTAAATAGCGCTCAACAATACCAAGGCTGCTAACTAGGGCATCACGGGAAGGAGGCGCAGCCCAGAACTCTGGAGTCTTGACAATGTCACAGAGAGCATTATTAACAGCGCCACATAGAGCAATATTTTCTGGATTGTCATTGAAAGAGGTCTTGTATTTCTCATCAATGAGACGTACAAGCTCCTCAAATTTGAACTTGTCCGGTCTGTCAACGATCAAAGGCCAAGTGGTGTAATAGACAGCTGCTGCAAACTGGCTATATGACTCCGGGAGGTGGGAACGCAAGTTGAAACTGTTCACAGTAACATACTTGGAGCTTTTCGGGTCAGAGAGTTGGGCAGGATCGGCATGTTTGACTATTGTCAAGACGAAGGCGGCGTGTATAGCTGCGGTAACACTGTACCCATTCTGTTTGCAGGCCTCCACAATAGCTTTTGTTGTTTTTTTGGAGTATTCAGATTCACGCCTTTGTGATGGCCCAGAAGGAACAGTACCGACTTTATTCACAGGCCCAACACCTGGCATGAGGCTCACTGCCTCGCCAAATAACTCCATTCCCTTGGCTACAGTCTCCTCTGGTAGAGTCTCGGGATGTCCCAATGCCACATCCAAGGAAGGCGGCAAGCGGAGACATTCTTCTCCAGAGCCAAACTTCAGGTTGGGGTTTGGATTGAACAGAGCAGTGAGGTAGGAATCCCACAGAAGGATTGTACCAACGCCATCAATAATAGAATGGGCAGCGCGAAGAACAAGCTGTGAAGCCTCTGGGAGATAGTAGAGGGTGGCCTGCTTAATAGTGGCTCCCTCATTTCCAATAACATCGCCATCAATCACATCGGACACAATGAATGTCCTATCCAACCACGATTCGATACCAGCTTCATCAGGGACCTCATAGATCTTGTCAAAGCCTTCCGTGGTGACTGCAATCTGTGGCTGCTCATAGCGTAATTGCTTCCACGCATATCGCAGCTTATCTTGCACCTCCAAGTCGGTAGCCAGACTTTGTATGTCAATCTTCAGACGGGAGAAAATAGTAAAGTGCTGACGGCCTTCACAGTGAGAGCTTGAAGTGCTCTCCATGACATGGAAGAACCCCTCTAGGCCGTTGCCAGGGCGTTTCCACCGGTTCTCGGAAACTTGAGACCAAGACATGATAGGATCAAAAATAATTGCTTGTCAATGAAGGAAGAAGTGAACATGAGACGAATACAGAGAGCGAAGGTTTCCATGAGATCAGATGGGACTTTATTTGAGACCTCAATTTGGGGGTCAAGAGTCTTACCTGTTACCTAGCCGCAAAATTGCCAATATGCTGACCTGACCTTTGTTTAATGGTACCTCTGATTACTGATTACTGGTTGCTGGTTGCTGGTTGCTGATCCCAGTCCATTGCCCCACTACGTTTGGGATTCGGATATTGTACGGACTATGCATGGATTTAATCCGTGTGACTTCCGACGAGTGAGAACAAAGAAAAAGAACCAATCAGATGTTGCTGCTTTGTCCCTCTACGAAAGCACCCTTCCATACTCTGTAGCGAGTCTAAGATGTAATTCTGATCATTCAGTAATTCACTTCAAGTACTACCCGGACAGTAGGAACTTTACACAGGCGTGCCCCGCATGATAATTCCTCTTTTAAATGGTAAATGACGTATACTATCATCCACTCACTGGTCTCGGCTTACATGTACCATAGAAATTTGAACAATTGATTCGCCGATTGATCTCGCGAGTCATTCAAAGAGACCCTAGACCCGCAATGTTGGGGGCCGTCTCCTGTTGTAGGTCTCCACAAGCACATCAGGAACTCGGCCCGCCTACTCTAGTCCTACGAGAAAAGCTGAAGAAGGGAAACGGGAAGATTACATTTGAACCAACACTGAAAATTCGCGCTGATAGGGTAGATTAACCTTGCATATATGGATGTAAACCCAGTTGCTTATGCACATGCATGCTTGTCTGTGCTCTGTGCCTCATAAGCACTTGAGGTAGTATCGAGATCAATCTTGGCTCAGCCCCGGGCGTGTACATAGTAGCGTCGTGCGGAGTAGAACTCAGACTTGGAGCTTGGAGTATCAAGTAGACTACTAGTATGATCTGGTTATGTTTGACCTCTGCGGCAGGGTATGCAGGCCATACTATCAATCATGCATCAAGTCCATTATCTACAATGTAAATGCGATGAAATTGAAGAGATGCAGAACTATCGCCAAGACAACACACATCCTGATTATGTTCCAAGCTTATTTCTGTGTAGATCACTAAGGCCTGCAAGGTCATGATCATCCATTGAGCTGCCAACCTCGGAAATTCATACCCGGATTATGGTATGATTATGATGCCGGGCCCTCATTGATGGGTATAATACAGGTCTAAAATGATGGGCGCGTATGTACATACGCGCCGGATCCACATGCAAGACTTCAAGTTGGGGGCTATAAATTGTGCAGGGATTAACCATGACATACTAACTTCATCTCAGCCCCGACACGGGACGAGTGGGGGAACAACTGTAGTTACCAAACTAGGGAAAAATATTTTTGCAGCCTGAGTGATCTTCATAGCCCCCATCTGGCATCAGCAAAATATGTGAGTTGTGGGGCTGCGGCAGGATTTTTCAAACAAGATGTGGAGTTCACCGAGAGTAATTTGGTCCCTTCTTTTCCTCCGGGCTCCATCAATGTTGTCACAAGTTTCATCATGCACATGTGCATGCAATGTTTTAGGGCTGCCGAGTGGCTAGGATAGGCTTCCATATTGATACCCATGTAGTGTATGGAGTACCAAATCCATCAACCTGGTAAGATTTCCAAGGTTTAACCTTAAAGGTTCGATTAGGCAATTAGAAGAGCCGATCATAACTCTCACTTCAAGATCCTATTATATCTCGGTTTAGAACCTCGGCCCCTCCGAGTCTGGGCACGGGAGGCTTCCAAACTGGTATAGACTAACTCGGATGTGGCGTCACGGTATTATGTACGGAGCGCTTCATGACTCGGAAATCTGAACTAGGTGCTATTAGGTGGTTGAATGCGATGATAACAGGTAGCTGCTTATTATAGAACATTCATACGCATGGTAAGATGTGTGATTAGGATGTACTATTGATACCAGCCCTGAAGTGGAGTATGTACTAGTAGGAGTCCTGGATTGGCACTATAAGCCTTCTTTCTGGCCCAAAAATTCAAAGTTTACATAAATGCACATGTCCAGGTGGATATCCATGTATGCTTGAACTTGAACTGCACATGTGCTTACTATTCATCCATTCCCATCATACATATACCCAATCATCCAATATCCAAGCCCTGAAATCTCCGATTCGATACTATTCAAGTTTCCAAAGTATTCGGAGTCGTATTATCATTCATCCCCCAGCTTCAAGAACCTCGGAATCAAATACTAATAATAAGCTTGAGTGTATACCTATAACACACGAGCTTCGAACTGCCTCCCCTGTCATTTAATACTAGAGCAACTTTCACATCCAACTTGAAAGTTAAAGATGCAGCTGCCAGAGGGAGCGATGCAACTACCAGAGGGAACGGTACTCCACAACCCGGAGAATGGGTCAAATTCTTCTCCGAACTCGAACAACTTGACACAGGTGACAGATGAGACGGCAATCGCAATCATCGGTATTGGTAAGAACTTCCTGTCTTATATCAATTTGGAGACACATACTTTGATGTACCTCTGTTCATACATCAAGACTAACCTGAAGTCTTGCAATATCCTAGGTTGTCGATTACCTGGTGACATATCCAGTCCATCCCAGCTGTGGGATTTCTTGATTCAAGAACGATGTGCAGCTGGCCCGGTTCCTTCCTCACGCTTCAACAATAATGCTTATTCTGGCGGTAAAGATGAGCCCGCCACCACCGTGGGACCAGGCGGATACTTCCTAAAAGAGGATGTTCGTCAGTTTGATAATCTGTTCTTCGGCATCAACAATCGAGAAGCGGCCGATATGGATCCAGAACAGCGAAAGCTACTTGAGGTTGTCTTTGAGTGTTTTGAAAGTGCAGGATATTCTCTCAGTGAACTCTCTGGGGCGGACGTTGGATGCTATGGTAATGTCCTTCTCTTACTTCTCCCACAACATAACTCCCTATGATCGGATTTGTTGCATGAACATGGCTGACCTCTCAAAGTTGCTACTTTTCTACAGGACTATGCCGCACTACACAGTAAGGATCCAGAATGGTTAACTCGCTACTCAGCAACCGGTATGGGAGCAGCCATTCTTGCGAATCGAGTGAGCCACGCCTTTAATCTGAAAGGTCCCAGCTTGGCTATCAATACTGCGTGCTCTGCATCAATTTACGCATTACATCAGGCCGTTTCAGCACTGAAGAGTCATGAATGTGATTCAGCAGTGGTAGCAGGTGTAAATCTCATCCTGTCCCCAGATCTTCATGTTTCTGTCTCACAAGGTGGCGTTCTTGGACCCACTTCGGTCTGCCACACATTTGACGAATCTGCAGATGGGTATGTTCCCGTTCCGTCAAGTTTTCCTCTTGAGGTATGTTAACATCTTCGAAACAGATATGGTCGTGCGGAGGCTGTGAATGCGATATATATTAAGCGACTTGATGATGCTGTCCGCGATGGTGACCCAATTCGTAGCATCATCCGTGGAGTTGCTGTCAACAGCAACGGCCACACTCCTGGAATCACGCAACCAAGTGTCGATGGTCAAATTTCTGTTGCACAAAAGACCTACCGCCAAGCTCGCTTGAAACCTTCAGACACAGCCTATGTAGAAATGCACGGGACTGGCACAGCTGTCGGGGACGTCATGGTAAGTACCATTTTATCTCAAAACCTCAAACCACATCTTTTATTCTGTATATTAATTGCCTTCCAGGAAGCTCAATCAATTGCCGGGGTATTTCTAGGAGAGCCTCGTAACTCACCTTTACATGTGGGTGGTGTCAAGCCAAACCTTGGCCATTCGGAGGCTGCAAGTGGCTTAACCAGCGTGATAAAAGCAATACTGTCCTTCGAACAGGAGCTATTACCGCCAACAATTGGCGTCGTCAATCTGAACCCCAAACTCCAATTAGATAAACACGGCATTCAACTTGTTACACGAGCAACGCCATTCCCTAAGCCAGGCCCAGGACTAGGCCGCCGCATCAGCATCAATTCATTTGGGTTTGGAGGGGCGAATGCCCATGGCATTATTGAGGATGCAGGCCTATACTCAGCATTTACCACAAGCTGCTTACAAGGGGACGATTCAAACAATGTGCGGAACATAGTTGACAGTGTCAGGCCATATTTAATACCATTTTCTGCCAATGACAGTTACTCTTTGGAGCAACGCGCTGAGCGGTTGTCACAGCTGAGTCTTCGACCAGGCGTCACAGCAGATCTAGCCTACACTCTGGGTGAGCGTCGCTCTCATCTGAAGACACGCGGCTATATTATTGCGCGTCCGGCGACACTTGATCAGGATCTGAAAATTGAAAATCTTCGAGTCGCCAGTTCAGCAGGTCATGCTATCTCTGAAAGTCACAAATTTTTATCTGTTTTCACTGGGCAAGGAGCTCAGTGGGAAGGCATGGCAGACGACTTGCTGCAAATTCCAATCTTTGTCAACGCTATCTTTCAGATGGAGAAAGCGCTCGCAGCGCTACCCTATCCGCCATCCTGGAAAATCTCTATAATTCTCAAAGATCGGTCCAATGATTCCCCCATCAATGAAGCGGCCTTTGCGCAGCCAGTGACTACTGCGGTGCAAATTGGAGTTGTCGAGGTTCTGAGAGCATTGGGTATCTCAACGCACGGCGTTATTGGCCACTCTTCCGGTGAAATTGCAGCTGCCTATGCCGCCAACATGATCGACCTACGTGAGGCGATCACCCTTGCCTATTATCGAGGATACGCAGTAACCCGATGCGCGCCGATTGGAGCTATGGCGGCCGTGGGACTTAATCCTGAGGAAGCTGAGAAGTGGATTCAAACAATCACCGATGGAAAATCCCGTATTCGAGTAGCTTGCATCAATTCTCCAGAAAGTGTGACCATCAGCGGCAACTGCAATGCTCTAGATGCCCTTATCTCGTTACTTACCGCTGAGGGAATATTTGCACGCAAGCTGAAGACGGGTGGAAAGGCATACCATTCCCACCAAATGGAAGCCGTCGGACCCACTTATGAGACTCTGCTTCAGGGTGCCAATGTTTTCACTGTTGATCGAATTTCAAGCAAAGATGCAAACCAGGATGATGCATGCATGTTTTCAACCGTACTCCGCCAGAAGGTTGACAAATCCGAAGTCCGTACCGCGTCCTATTGGCGACAGAACCTGGAATGCCCAGTACACTTCTCTGATGGCCTTCTTGGGCTGTCTGCCTTGTTCGATGACTTTTCTTTCATAGAAATTGGCCCACACACCGCGATGAAGATGCCAATTTTGCAAACCTTGGGTAAATCTACCTCTTACTTCGGAACACTCAAACGTGGACAGGATTCCTTGACCTCTTTGCTGGAACTCATGGGAAATCTTTTCACAAGTGGATTTCCAGTGAGCTTCCCGAAGCTACAGCACCTTTATCCAACCCAAAGTTCTCCACTCAAAGTACTCCACGACCTTCCCACCTATCCTTGGCATTATGAAAAGATTCGGTGGAATGAATCTCGTGTCAGTCGCGAGTCTCGTGAAAGGAAATTCCCACGTCATGAGCTGCTGGGTACCCCCATACCTGGAGGTGACTTGGTCACATTTGGCTGGCGAAACCGGCTTCGCCTTGACAATGTGCCGTGGCTCAGAGACCACAAACTGGGCGAGGAGACTGTTTTCCCAGCAACGGGATATCTTGCCATGGCTGTGGAAGCTCTTCTCCAAGTGCGTGAAGTTGACATGAATAGAGATTTAACTGAATATTCAGTTACCTTCCAGCATGTGGATTTGCCTAATGCGCTTTCCGTTGGTGATCAGGATGTGATTGAGCTTTATACTGAAGTCTCTCCCCAGAAAATCACGAGTTTGACAATCTCACGGGACAATCTGGACTTCCGGATTTCAACAATTGGTGGCGATACTTCCACTATCCGTGCCAGTGGAACCATCAAGCTAGAAAAGGGATCAGCTCTTTTGGATCAGCACATGCCACCTCACCCCGACTGTCGCCTTGTTTCCAAGAGCTCGCGGATGTGGTATGAAAGTATGCACAAATGTGGTCAGCGTTACGGGCCCAATTTCCAGCACATGAAGGAAATCCTTACCCCAGACAACAAGGGTGGTTTGTTCGCACAGGCTACACTGGAGAGTGTTTCCTCCGTGCTTCAAGGCATACAGTCCTCGCCTCGCTATTTGATTCATCCGGCAATCCTGGATAATGTCCTGCAGGCTGGCCTGGTAGCTTCTGCTGGAGGTCAGCTCGATTTGATGGTTGCCAAGGTGCCAAAGAGCTTTGGTCGTATCAGTCTTAGAGCGCCTTTGTCCGCTCATAACGAGGCAACAATTCACTCAGCATCATCGGTGACAGGTTTTGGAAGCAATGATGTTCACACAGTCGTATTAGACTCAGACCAGAGGTCTTTGGTCATGATCGATAAAATGAGCATTACCAAATATTCCGGCAGTGAACAAATGGAGGAAGATCGGCATCCATTGTATCGATTCGTCTGGAAGCCAGACATTGACCACATTCAAACCGATGCGGCATTCTCTGCCGCCATAGATCATGTTCGCTCCAATACAGATCTTGGAATTCTGCCAAATTCTATCAGGGATATTACGATGGCCATCGATCTTGTTGTACACAAAAACCCGAGCGCCGATATTCTCTTCCTCTCCTCGGATCTATTGTGGGCGGCCCTGGTCTTGTCAAAATTGCTCATGGCGGATACTGCGCAGCCGCGGCTCAATTCCTTCCACTTGGGGCAATTCAGCTCAGATGGTCAGTTGGAAGTAGCTGAACTCCAGCGCTTTGCTTCACCATTTGAAATGGAATCTTTTTCACAGTTTTCTTTGGCATCTCCGGACCAGAAATTTGATCTTGTTGTTTTGGATGAACAATCACCACATCTCGACAGTCTGGCTCCTTACACAGAAGCTTGCACACGTATTGTCCACGCCAGCCCTGGCGCCAACCGTCTTTCAAGTGAGACTTTTAACGTTACCCACTCTCTTCCGACCGGTATAGGCTCAAACGTTAGGATTCTTCGTCCAACTTCAAAGCGGGAAATCCTTCCTACCCAAGAGTTCGATAGTGTCCTGCTTATTGCTCGTACACCAAGCCATGAAGACGATGACCATTTGCAGAATTGTCTGAGTGATGAACTCTCCCTACCCGTTGAAAAGCGTGAGTTAAGTGAACTCGGAAATATCAGCATCAGCAGTTCCACACTTGTTGTCTCCACTGTAGAGCTTCAGCATGACATAATGGGACGAGCTACACCAGAGGATTTTGCCGCAATTCAACATGTCTTGGCGAAGCCAGTCAAGATGGTTTGGGTCAGTGGTTCTGGAGTTCACGAGGGGAGTGATCCAACTCGGGCTATCTTTCATGGGTTAGCACGGGCAATCATGATTGAACAACCAGCAACAGAAATATTCTCTCTGGAACTCGATCCATGCGCAAGCCCGACTGATATCTCCAATTATGTAACCCAAGTCATTACAAGAACTGAAGGCTGCCCACCAGACTACGAATACCTTCAAAGCAGCTCTGGCCTCCTTGTCAGCCGCGCTGTCCCAGACGAGCCCATGAACGATGCCTTCCGTAATAAGGAGCGAGGAAAGGCTGTTTTACAACCCTTGAGCAGTGCAGGACCAGTGTCCCTCTCCATGGACAAGCCTGGCCAGCTACAGTCCGTCCAATTCGTCAAGAAGCGTGAGCAAAGTCTTGGGCCGGATGATGTTCTGGTCAAGGTTCTGTACATTGGTCTGAATGCGAAGGATGTATATGTTTTGGCAGGTAGAATGGAAACACCTGATGCTGTTTGCAGCGGCGAGTATACCGGAAAGGTTTTGGCCATCGGGTCAGCTGTTCGTGACCTTTCCGTGGATGATCATGTTGCTGTCATGTATCCCGGCCATTTCAGCACACACGAGGTCGTTCCATCTCAAAACTGTGTTCGACTGAATTCCCAGGATGACTCACGCAGTCTTGCATCAGTTCCTGTTGTCTTCACGACCGCTCTCTATGCTCTAGAGCATCGTGCCCAGCTGCAACCCGGCGAGTCAGTCTTGATCCACTCTGCTACAGGCGGTGTCGGAATTGCAGCTATTCAAATCGCAAAATCCATGGGAGCAGAGATATTCGCAACAGTTGGCACTGAAGAGAAGAAAAAATACCTGGTTGAAAACTTTGGAATCCAGCCAGATCACATTCTGAGTTCTCGTGATTCTTCATTTGCAGCTGGAATCCGCTCATTGACAAACGGTCGTGGCGTGAACGTCGTTCTCAACTCGCTTGTTGGTGAACTGCTTTTGGAGAGCTGGAGCTGTTTGGCTGACTTCGGACGGTTTGTGGAAATTGGCAAAAAGGATATCAGAGAGCACGGCCGACTGCCCATGGACCCGTTCAATCGAAATGCTACCTTCACAGCCTGCGATTTGAGCCAACTGGCGGCCTCGACATCTCCTGTCATGAAAAGCTTGTTCCACCGACTTCTTTCTCGTGTTATATTCCTAACCCGCAGTGGGGGGGATTAAGCCTGTTCCTTTGACGACTTTCAGTGTTGCAGAGTTAGGGCCAGCATTACGCCATTTCAACGATCAAGCTCGCATAGGCAAAGTTCTCATTTCTTTTGAAGACCAAAATGCCATGATCCCAGTTGTACCAGAGCGTTTCACTACACATCTACACCCAGATAAGTCTTATCTGATGGTTGGATGCTTAGGTGGATTGGGTCGTAGTCTATCCCAATGGATGGTCCGCCGCGGAGCGAAAAGTTTCATCTTTCTTGGACGCAGTGGAACAAAGAAACCTGCTGCAAAGCGTCTGATTGAAGATCTTGAGCAACAGGGTGCACGATGCATTGTCATCCAGGGAGACGTGACTAACCCTGATGACGTCGAAAAGGCTGCATCGGCTGCCCCTCTTCCCTTGGGAGGTGTCGTACATGCTGCAATGGGACTCCATGAGGCCATCTTCTCTGAAATGACACATGAGCACTGGCGTGAGGGTACAGCAGCAAAGCTCGAGGGAGCTTGGAATTTGCACAATGCTCTCTCACAGTCAGACCGGGAACATCACTTGGATTTCTTCGTTATGACCAGCTCAATCAATGGCAAGATTGGCACCGCCACGGAGAGCAATTACTGTGCGGCGAACAATTTTCTGGATGTGTTTGCTCGTTACCGCCGGCAACTAGGTTTGCCTGCAGTCTCAATTGGGCTTGGAGCAATTGCAGAGATTGGCTATCTGCATGAACACAGTCATATTGAAGAATTGCTGCTTCGAAAAGGAATTCGCTTCCTTACCGAGAGTGATGTGCTACAAATATTTGATCTTGCACTTTCGGATTCCCCTACTTCAGCTCATCCCTCAGATACTGTGACGCAGTCCCTTTTACTCTCCGGAGTAGAGATGACTACCTTGCAACGAAACCACAATCAAGGCTATCAAATGTCTTGGCATTCACTCTCTGATGTGCGGTTTTCTATCCTGGTAAATTCATTGAAGCGTTCTTCTGGTCGCACGGCTGTTGAAGGGAAAGGCACACATGAATCTGCACTACGTAGTGCATTTGCTGCCAAGGATGAGGCTCAAGTGATCGCGGTAGCACAAGAGGCCGTGACGCAGAAGCTTTCCTTCATGGTTCTCATACCGGTTGACAAGATCAATGTTAATGCGTCCTTGTCTGACTTTGCCATGGACAGCATGTTGGCATCGGAGCTACGGCAGCATATCTTCAGCGTGGCCAAGGTCGACATATCTTTCCTCACGATAATGAGTCCCCAAACCACTGTATCTAGCTTGTGTGCAATGATTGCCACTCTCTTGCTGCAGGCGCCAGCATGAGGAAACTGACCGAGATGACTTGGTCTTTGGCTACTCAAACACATATTGTCGCTCTGTGACGTCTTGCCTATCTGTTTGCCTCATTTGAGGAAACTTAAATAAGGGCGAAGACGCCTTGATACAATCGATCTTCAATAACACCCAACCCATCCTTGTCCTCATGATTCTGGCAATTGTTCTGGTCAAGCAATGTGATCTATCTCTGTTTGGTACAACGTTGGAAGCGAAACGATGGCAATGGGTCTGACCTAAGATGGGACGAAAAGAAATAGAAATTGCTACAGCTTACAACCCCCGAATGTAACTAGTTTGTCATGCTTTTTACAGTGCGAATCATTATTGCCTTCCATATTCGGAAACACATAGATACTCTTTCAAACCCTAATCACACGATATGCTAACCTAACCTTCTACGGTGCGGCTTAGTTTGCTCGGTTTGCATGGAGTCTTCTAGCTTGACAGTAAGATTTGTTTTGTGATCACTATCTCTTATCGCCATGTGGCGGCGTTGGGTCTTTATTGGACATCAGACGCTCCTGGCTAAACTCTTACAGCTCTAGGCGTACACATTCCCAAGAGATATTTGCGATAAACGATAGCTCTTTTCTAACGATGCCAATCAGTCCCGGATGCTTGACCCATGGGAAGACAGTTGGCAGTATGCCCCCACTCCTGGTAACTTCGGCTCCCTGGATGGTGCTACGAATGAGAAGAAGGTGGCGAATACTAGTATGAGGAGCCTCCGCAATATGTCTGCTACACAATCGAATGGAAGCTTATAGTTAACCTCCAGGCGGTAGGTAGAGTGACTGAAGAAGCTTTGGTTGTAGCCCCTAGCGAGTATTGGGAGGAGACTTTGAAAGCAGATGTTGAAGACACGCTGTAAATGAAAAATAAACGTCACTAAAAAGTTCGATCTGGACGACCAGTCCCAGGGAAATCTCGAAAAACTGTATAATTCTATTAGCATTAACTGGGAACTACTATATCAATAGTATAGACTGGTCCATAGTAACTTGCCAGTGACGTTCAATAGCATCATCGAAATCATTGATCATTCAGAGCTTATTGACCTGATTGATGAGATGTGTGTTCTTCTGATATCTGGCTGTGTTGCCCGTTGAGGTCTTGGTGTTGGTTCGAATTATCATTCTCTCCAGTGGCCCTAGGCAAATATTAGCGTACAATTTTTGCTCAACTTGCCTAGGAGATTGATACATTACAAGTTTTCGAAAAGGTCCAACAACTGAACGTGCTGCAACGTTTTTACTAATTGCTGCGTTGAAACGAGCATTTCAGGACGGCTTTTCAATGAGTAGCGAATGCGCTCCCATTTTGAATCCTGCAACCGCTTCTGCAGGGTTTGAAGATATTCGATACATTCATCCACTAATTCTTTGTTTTTCTTCTTTGCTTCTTTATTCTCATTATGTCTTTTCATTTCGGATGCGTATACGATAGGATTAGTCGATGCCAATGTAGACGAGGGTGCAAATCGCGCATGGGCGGCAATGGATTGAGCAAGTTGTATAGATACTAGTTCATGAAGCGATATGAAACCTTCGACCTCCTTCGGTGAATGATGTACTATAACGAGGATTGCGAAGATATAGCCCCAACAGCCAAAGCAAACGTTATGAAACCGATCACATATGCTGTTATGGCTAGCGGAGAGTCGATGCATGTAACCGAGGATGTCATAGCTAGATCAATAGAAAAGGTTTGGCAGCGAAATCAGGTTTCAGTACTACTGATCAATTGTTCGTATGTAGTTGCGCTCTGGCATGGTCCCTCCATTTCCACAGAGGGAAGTACGATTTATAATGAGCCGTGAATTTGTCGTACTAGTAGTATATAAGAATCAATTGACTTCTCTGTGTGCCACAACTTCGTTAATGGATTACATCATACCTGGCTTTTCATCCATGGAAACGTCATGACCCGAGAACTGCAGTGGTATGTATTACTGGTGAGAACCTTGGAAGTCATCGTGTCAGAGAGATAATTTACAGCACTTGAGTGCCGACCGTTATTGCCTTCCATGTCAGGAAACAGAGAAATACTGTTTCAAGCCCTAATCACATGGTACGCTAACCTTATATCCATGGATGGATATTTCCGTATTTAAAATTTGTTCCAGGTCTGCAAGGTAACAAGGGCGAGAAGTATAAAATGGTATAGTTATGTACTGTTACATGTCCAAAAATAACCACTCTACCTAGGTACTACCTAGATACCTACACTACCTACGGGTTGTCAGTTCACACTCCTCCCAACTTGAACCTGGCAACTGCAGTCATCCAAACCACTTACAAAATGTCCAGAAACATCAACTTCTGGCAGCGTCAGATGATCCTTCATGTGATATACAGCAAGAACAGACCCGTTACATCGCAAATGGCAAAGGTGGCGCAGTGTAGTGAGCGCTATCACTAACATACGCAAGAACTTGCGGTTATTCGACAGTGCCAGATCTGCCTCCATCTCGATCGGCCGACATCTAGCCCGTTCGCGAGATATTTAAGATGGTCAATTAAATCGGAATCTCGAATCAGATTATCACATTCCAGATGTGTCTACACCTGTGTGTAGCCAACTGGTCTCTCATACTGGACCTGTACCTATGCTCCGGGCAGAGTGTGGGCCAAAATCAAAAAAACAGCCTCTTCAATTGATGTCCCGAAGAGGGATAGACTGCGAATTAGATGTCAAAGAAACGCGTTCTGTAGGCTCGCACATGTGGATCAAACCCGCATAAACTCCATATGTCGATCTCAGATACCAATTAAAGATCCGGAAATCCCCCAACACAATCTTGAAGCCCAATAAACTGCCAATTAAATTGGACAAAATGCTAATGTATTCACTCTATCTATGGCCCTCAACCCCCACTGGAGCTTCAAATAGCTCAAAGAACAATTGTTGACCAGGATGTTCGGCAATAAATTTTTCCTTTTTCTTTATTAAGATGTGATGGGATCTTCAAGTTTCTTTCAACTCCCTTTCGGGTTTGTCTAATTCCAAAATTCCCTTTGTCAAGGCCACTGGCAATAAATCATAAGATGGGGCTTGGATTTCAAATCCTTCTTTCGGGTATAGCATTGCTTGTCTTTCTTAAAGTATGGCGGGCCATATCAGGTACGTTCGATCTTGGATCGCAACAGATGAAAAAAAGGTCATAATCTGATTTGTGTCACTCTCAAGATTGGGCATTTGCCCGCAGAAATGGCTGTGGTGAACCGAAATCGCTTCATAGCGCCGTGTATACGTTCGGATTCGACAATACTTTGAAATACATGAGAGCATACAGGGAGAATCGATCATGCGAGTTCGCCGAGAGCTTGCACCAGGAACTCGGCAATACATTCAGACTTCCTTCAGCTAAAGGAAATGGTGTCCAAACCTGCGATCCTAAAAACGTACAAGCTCTGCTTGCTACTCAGTTCCACGACTTCGATCTCGGAGGTCGTAGAGAGGCATACAAGCCTTTGCTCGGTGACGCTATTTTTGCCAGTGATGGAAAAACCTGGGAACACAACAGGGCACTTCTCCGACCGAATTTTGTCCGAAATCAAATTGCCGACATCGAGGTTTTTGAAAAACATGTTTTGCAGCTCCTGAAACATATTCCCCGTGATGGTTCGACGGTCGATCTTCAGGAGGTTTTCCTTCGCATGGTAAATTGCCCTGCATCTCAACTCTATGTCCTTTGATTAGAACTTCATTATTGGAAGCCTGAAGTGCATTGATGCTAACCACGAATATAGACCGTGGATTTAGCTACAGAATTCCTTTTCGGTGAAAGTATCGGCACGCTAAACAGCGGATCCCTCGATACTAACAACGAATTCCCGAAGAATTTCAAGACTTCCCTAGCAGGACTTCTTATTCGCACTTTGCTAGGATCACTCCGTGTCTTCCATGGTATCGGAAACACGAAATTCAAGAACGCCATAGCAGAAACGCGGAACTATGTCCGCAAAATCGTTAAGCGGGCCCTTGAACAAAGAGAACGACGCCTTTCTGGTCAAGCTGAGAAATCTGAGAGTCCCGGTCAAAACTACGTTTTCCTCTACGAGCTTGTCAACCACGTTCAAGACGAGGATGTTTTGATTGGCCAGCTGCTTAGTATGTTAATCGCAGGTCGTGACACTACTGCAATTCTTCTAAGCATGACATTCATCACCCTGTCAAGGCGAGAAGATGTATGGTCCAAGCTGAGAGCTGAGGTGCTTACGCTGGAAGGAAGGAAGCCTTCATTTGAAGATCTCAAGTCAATGAAATATCTAACATGGGTTATGAATGAGAGTAAGGATCCCTAGCGTTTCGGAATACGGATACCCATACTTAACTTGAAACTCATGACTAACAAATATGCAGCACTGAGACTATACCCAGTTGTCCCTTTAAATATCCGTACCGCTACAGTTAATACGACCCTCCCAAGGGGAGGTGGCCCGAACGGGGATTTACCAATCTTCATCGCTAAGGGATCAGATATCCAATGGAGTACATATGCCATGCACCGCCTACCAGAAATTTACGGAGAAGATGCAGCTGAATTCAGGCCAGAGAGATGGGAAGATCTGAGACCCGGTCTTGCATACATTCCATTCCATGCGGGACCTCGGATTTGCATTGGACAGCAGTTCGCCTTGACTGAAGCCGGATATAGTATCGTTCGACTTCTCCAGGAATTCGAAAGTATTGAATCACGAGACCCAGAGCCTATACTGAAGCGTGTTGGGTTGACACTATCAAGCGCAAATGGTGCGAAGGTAGCTTTGACACCTGTGCAAGCCTAATTTTGGGTCTGTTGGTCTGTTGGTTGATGTCTATTCCAGGGCTTGTTCTTGGTGGAATTATGATTAGATTTTATGTGAATAATCAATGAACAGATCGATTTTTCTTATCATCCATTAACCTGAGATGATACTTGATTGCTACTACTAGTAGACTATGTAAAGACTACAGGCGAAAGTGTAGGGAAAGTATGATACAATTGACATTGCACAACTAATTGACTTCATCAAACGTATACAATTAAGTCCACCGTCATAACAACATTCTCAACATTATGAAGGCGCGAGGAATACACATCGGCCATATATTACGAATATAATCGATCATTAGCAGGGATCTGAGTAAGGACCGCTGCGATCAGTGTGTTCATAGACAAGAAGAGTAAAAGAAGGAAATCCGGGCAAAAGAAAATCCTTCACATAAGAACCGATCAGAACCCAATATATCGGCTGATCAGTTGGGTATCAAAATAGACCAAGGTCAAATCCAAAATCCAAAATCCAAGGGGTATTGAGCAGACAAAGAGAAGTAATTGCAACATATCTGTTGACAGATCATAGTCATCAGAGTTAGCTTAGTAGTTAATCTTCTCCTCAAAGATAGGGGGCTGGCCCTCCATGTTCCACTGGATCTTGTTCTTCTCGTCAAGCCAAGCCTCATCATCGGTAATGTTGATGACACGGCTGGTGTGAGCAACTTCCTGGGCACTGATGCCAAGCTTGTCACGAGGGATCCAGAGGAGGGGAGGCTGAGAGTTGACGGCAGGATGGCAGTAGGCATCACGCTCGACAACCTCGGGGTAGGTCTCGATGTCCAAGGGGTTGGGCACAAGACGGCGCAGAGTAGCGTAGGGGTAGTACTTATCAGGACGAGCCCAGCGCCAGAAGAAGTTACCCTGAGGGATTTCAGTGACAGGGCCATCGCCATTGATACCCTTCTCAGCGGCATCAACGCTACCGACACCACTGTCGATGTTGGAAACACCGTTGTGCTCGCTCTTGGTAGCACCAGCGCCATTGGTCTCGTCAACGGAGCCGGTGATTTCCCTACGGTCGGCGGCCAGGAGGGCTTCCTCCTCAGCCTCGATGTTCTTGGGCAGGTAATGTATCAGTGGCTCCATGGCGCTGTTCATCGACATGTGGTACAGGATGATGAAGATCAGGAAGATGATCATCAGGATCAAGGGACCAACAGCAATCTGGTTAGAACCACTGGCAATAGCGAACAGACCGATCAAGCAGACCATAAGCAGGTAGCAACCAACAGTGATGTGCTGCAGGGCCCGGGTGTAGGCCTTGCCCTGAGTGTCGATTGTGGAGTTCGAGACGTAGAGAACATTGTAGCGGTAGGCGAAGTAGAACAGGTACAAACCAATGCAGGCGAAGCCCATGACCAGAGGAGCAATGCAAGAGTAGATGATACCTGAAGGAGAGAATGAAAATTAGTACCACAGAAGAATGAGTGTCATGGTCAAACGGATGGATATAGAACGTACCAATGGTGGTAAGCATGGTGAAGACAGGGTAGACAGTTCCCCAGCTCAGACCAGCCAGGTTGGACCAACGGCTGTACATCTTACGAGGGGTCTTGTCTAGGAGACGACCCAGGAGCTTGCCAACAATCAGACCGCTAATCTGCAAGAGAGCACCGGCGCTGAATGAAAGACCCTGCAGGACAATGTAGGACACATAGAAGTTGGAGGCGCGGGGAATATTTTCAGCAAGCAGGGAAGCAGCAGAGCCAGGGTCCTTGATAATCGAGGTGACCACACTGGTAGCAGCAGAGGACAGGGTAATGACCAGGAAAACCTGCACAACTTGGAAGGCATAGTAGTAGTTCTGGGTGGTCAACTCAATGGCGGCGCGGCTGGGGTCACCACCATGCTTGGCACAAATACGCATGATAATGGGGACCAAGGCCATGAGGACAGCCATAAGGACAGAGGGCAAGAGACCAGTGATCACACCACGAATCCAGCTGGGGACATCGTTGATGAATGACAAGAAATGAACCTTGGAGACCAGGAAGTTGATGTTGGAAATAGCACCAACCGCAGCAGTTGGGATAGCCCAGAAGATAATCAGAGCAACAACAAAGGCGGTAGTAGCGCTGTGGCGAACAATACGCTCCCACCACTTGATGCGCAGGTTGGACCAGATAACCTGGGTGGGGTCCAGACCAATGTAGCGAGGAGTCATGTGGAGGGGCAGGTTGTGGGCAACGGACTGGTAGGCAGATTGAGCATCGGTGAGGTTGTAGAACTCGACAAACACAGATGAAACGAGAGGCACGTCACCGGCGCGGTGCTTGGCCTGCAATTCCTCAATCTCGGGTGAAAGACGCTCAATCTCGGAACGGGCCCAGTTGATGGTGTCAACCTTCTCGCCAATCAAGAACTTCAAACGGTGAGTAGGACGGTCCTTGGCCTCGACATAGCGGGCGGCCACAGAGCCAGACTCATCATCAAATTCGCCAATGATCTCCTCGGCGGCAGTGTCACCTTCCTCGGGACTGGCACCCTTGTTCTGCTTCTTCAGGGCCTTGGCACGCGCCTTGTTGGCCATGACAATGAGCTTGGTCTCCGCAGCCTCCAGCTTCAAAGCGGCAGCATCCCGGTCCTTGACCTTTTCCTCCAATTCCTTGGTATCGGTACCCAGCCACACATTCTTAACCTTGTTGGCGCCCCAGATTCCACGAATCTTTTCCTTGTCCATATAGTCTTCGGTAACGGCGGAGAACAGCACAGTACGTGAGGAGATACGGCTGGCGTGGGCGGGCGAGAAGAGGTAGGCCTGGCGCAGGTTGATGTAGAAAATGTGCTCACGGGTAATCATAATGAAAATGAACCCGACAAAGATCCAGGCCAGGAAACAGTGAGCGAAGTAGCGACCGTACTGGTCCTCGGAGACGTTGGACATGCTCAGCAGATCCAATTGGCTCTGGCCACCGCCACCAGTCGCGTTGACCGGGAACAAAATGGGCCAGGTGATACAGCAGCCGACAAACATGATGAGAGCTACAATCTTGAGGAAACGCAGCAGCAAATAAGCATCCAGAGCATGGTGCTGAAGGACATAGGTATCGGGCAACTGGTACATAGCATTGACCCAGTTCCAGAATCCAGTAGGAGTATCAGGGGTGCGTTGCCAGTCCTTCAGGTAACCAATGTAGGTACGGGGCATGTATTGACGGTGCTCCTTCTTACGGAGAATGATGAACAGCAGCACCATTACAGCAAAAGAGATCAGAGATGGAATCAGCGTAGTTAAGAAAGCAGACGCCGAGCTGGAGGTGTCGCTAGGGTCGCTAGACGACGACCGAGCGACCAGCTGGCCGACAGCCCCAACGTAGTCCATGATGAGAGGGAACTTGAAGCTATTCTATGCCTTGGCAGCACAGGATATGCAAGTCACAATTGCACGTGGAAAGAGTGTCGAAGGGAACCACGCTCCCCTTTAATATAGTCGAAGAGGTGAAGAGAATTGGGAAATGGGAAAGAGGGAAGAAGAAAGTTTTAAGCTTCAGGGAGGGGCTATCCATATCGGGGAGGCGATCTGGGCTACGTAAGAATCCTTTTTTTTTGGAATTTTTTTTTGGAATTTTTTGTTGTTATTTTTTTTTTTTTAACTAGGGAGTTTTGACTTTACAGGGGTTCTTTTTTCCTTGTAAATCAAGTACTTTGATTGATGTACGGGAGTAAGTAAATTGAAATAGCTACTAGTAAGGTATCCACTTGGGAAATTGCTGGCGACTGGTTGATCCAGACTTTCTATGCTAGCTATGGTAACAATCTATGTCGATGACTCGGAGGTAATCCCTAATACATGTGACATTTGATTAATTCGGCTTTTCTTGCTTGTTCCTTTTTTTGCTTTTTTCACTCTCTCGTGTCTTCGGCTTTTTTGTTTTGAAAGTTCTAATTATGTTTACTTGCAGCAAGAATGATTGGAGTCGGCGAAGGCCGATTTCTGCGCCACAGGTTATACTAGCCACAGTGGATTAGGGTCACCGTTAGGCGATTTTTTTTTTCGCCCCGCAAGGGATACATATCACATTCGATTTCAAACTTAGACAATAGACCCGATCGTGGTTGAAGGGGCTATTTGGGAGAATCCAGGGGTTGAAATAATTCAGTGTTTATCTCTAGAGCTATGTAATTCCATAGATTAGAATTATAGTATTCACACAAACATGATACATTTGGGAACTCCTGACAACACATACAGATAGGCAAAAAAAGAAAACATCATGATAGTTGCTTAGGTTGTGATCAGGCAATCACAATAAAAAGAAAAAGAAAGAAAAAGAAAAAAAAACAATAGTGATCACCCACCAGGGCCATGGTTTGATGAGCTGGACCCAATCGATCAGGGCACCGAGTCACGCTAAGCGCCACTAGTGGGATGCACTATTGATGAGGATCTCTGACTTTCATGAAAAAAGCCATCTTCTCTAAGGCTTCAGCCCTAATAAATGTGTAGTGCCAAGTTCTTTGAAACATTCTACGTAAGAGAAAATCAATGATTGTTTATGCACCCCAGACGGAGTATAGAATATCCCTTTCAAAACTTTGAAGCTGAAAGAAAAAAAATATATTAATTAGATTAAAAAAATTGGCAAATCCTTTATGATGCGATGATATCGTCATGATAGTCATGATAGTCATAATAGTGATAATCAATGATCGTCGCTCCTTTACTGGGAAGGGTCTCGGTGTTAACTGTGTACCTCTGAAGTACATTGTCCACGTAATATCGCCTAAATGAGCTGCAAACAGCTAGAAAAGATACATAAAGAGAACTTCTCTCTCGGGTCTCCGCTTTTCAGTCTCCACTAACCCCTCGTGTCCAATGTCAATTTCCCTTTTTTTTACCCTTTGACCTATTTCAATTATTCAAAATGTTTTTCTGATATTCAAAAAAATTTCCATTCCTCTAGTCCCATGGTGCTCCCATGGATGTGTAGTAGCTATCCCGTCCCAGCCCTTCTGATTGTCCTGATTTGACCTGTCCTGTTCCACTATGTGCACGGCCATGGTTCGTCCCAGGGCACTCAATGACGATTACATTTACTCAACCCCGAGAACCTGGGCTATCCTGGTTTTCGGGTCCACGGGCCCATGCCCAAAGTTGATTAGTGTCCGAATATGTGGCTCAGGTATGGTTCATGAAAATTTTACTGTACCGAGCTTATGCCGGGATACGCAATCAAAATACATGTACTCCGTAAATACACCTGGGCATAGATAACTCTACATGTGATGGATCTCATGCGCGAATACATTCAAGTTCTGCTTATCATTGCGGTGCGTGGCTGTACTAATACTGATAAGTCGCCTGAAGCTCCTCTTGGAACACGTCAATGCCCCGAATCGGAGGGCGCAGTGTCAGGAAACTCATCAAGATCTCGTTAAAGTTAAACTGTAGATCGGGTCGGAGGAATCGGTGAGTCTTTAGGAGCTCACCAGTGGACCAGGCCCGCTCGGGGTTCCGAAGGTCAGCCTCGCATCCTTGTTCGAGTAATACCCAAAGAAGAGTTTCACACGCAGGATGTCGGCCCAATTGGTGCTCCTCCACCATATTCTTGAGATAGATCATAAATCGTGCAGTCTTATCTGCTGAATCCTTGAAATCCCACAGCGCTGCAGTGATGTAAATCAACGCTGCCGTTCGACTGACTTCTTGGGTTTGCGGATCGGGAACCACATACATGCGTGACGCGTATGGCACTTGCGAAGGTCGCGGTCCGCTAGACAGTAAAGAGAAGAGTGGAGACTCCATCTGAAATATATCGCGTCTTTGTGGCGCCTGTGCGAGATATTCGGGCGTGCTATGCTTCTGCATAAGGTTCTCTGCGCCTCGAAGAAAAGATACCAGCCACTGCGGGGCCGTGGGGTCATTTCCTGGATGGGATGGCGGCAGAATAAATCGCACGTAATGTAGAAAGACCTCAACTGGGATATTTGATCCGGGCCGTGGACGCATAATTCGAGCGGCTTGATCTAGGTATGGTTGGCATTCTTGTTTGTTGCCATATCGGTCCTCGCAAAGAGCTAGACCCGCGAGGGCCATCGCGATATAATCTGGATGGATGTTCAATGTCCCCGCTGTGGCATCTTGGATGTTTTTTCGGGCTTGGCCAACATGCCGGCGAATTTCTTCGGTGTCCGCGAGCCCCTGCAGCTTAGCTTTATAACGTGCGCAATAGGTCATGACGACGGCCTGGAATGAAACTGGATGTGCCGCAGAATATTGCCAAATTTTGGTTTTGATGTAGAAGTTTTGTCCAGACCAATAGGCTAGCTTGCTTGTCCAATAGTCCAGCAATTCAATGTCGTCCGGGTTTTGCGCAAATGGAAGTATGGGGAATGGGTGCTTTTCGCAAGCATCCGGGCTTTTTACAGATGGGTTAAGTGGTGGAGTAGGAGTTGGTTGTGAGTGTAGATCAGCGGCCGAGAGTTGCGATGGTATCTGAATATAGATAATAAGCACTGTTTATTTTTCTTCCACAAGATCAGATTATGAGATGACTCGAGCCCATTGCCCCCTTCAGGAGTAATAACCATCGAGTCGGGGAATCGATCGATTTCATACCGGAATTTCCTGTTCAGCTGCAGCTCCGGGTGTGCTGGTTACGCCGGGTTCCTTTATAGTATCTGTATCATATCCAGAGTCCTTCCTGGCCTGCCAGACAGACAATTCTTGTATTTGCTCGGGTGAGATCGAGCTATGAGACATTTTGCGCTGTTTCCGTTTCTCCTGGACGTGGTGGCGCATAACATGAGCGCGCTTCTCTTTGGATGACGAGTTTGAGTCCACGAAATAGAACGTTTGGTTCTTCGCCTTATCACTATTCTCGAGATTGGCGGGACGCCGGCGCCTTTTCGATTTTGGCGCATCAACACCATCGTTTGCGGGACCTATGAAAAAGTCCATTCAAATGAGCATCTTATGACGTTGACAGGGGGTTTTTCCAAGATTGACATACCCGCAGCATCAGGCGCATTCGTTGCAGGGGCGTCCTCAATGCTCATGGTTGGATTCGCCCCGTGGTCACTACTACTGGCCGACATCTTGTGGGTATGGATTGGTTCGAACAGTATCAAGCTGCCACTACAGCATGCCGAGCCCAAAATCACCAAAGTTCCTCCAGCTGGGGGTGCGGGATTTGAAAATCATCGCCGGCTCCGAATCAGAGTGGATCGTCCTTTCAAGGGCGAATATATGCACCCGGAAGAGTTGGTTGAGAGTTGACGCTAGACTCAGGCGATTTATGCTCTAATGGCAATGCAAAGCGACGGAGTTGATCATACAGTAATGCGTCTTTCGCGGAAGACTCGGGGCGTGGGGCAGCGCACACACGGTTCCCTTCGCCCGTGCGAACAGAAGGAATCCCAATGCAGAAGAAAGGGGCGGGGGGAGGAAAAGAGGTGAAATTTGTTTCGAACACGAGATGGCAAAATACCATGTAAGAAGAAAAAAGTTTAAAGGGATACGATGAGAGATTGCTAGCAGAATTAATCATGGAATAATGATGGAGTAATCATCCCTCTTCCGAGTTAACTCCCCGAGACCCAGAAAAACGAGAGGGGAATGACATTTAGCATTACCCAAAAGAGGCTCAGCAACGTGTAGAAGTGGATCCCATTTTGGACATCCCGAGAAGAAACTGATTCTATACTTCGTAAGGGTGGAATTGGGCTGAATGATGTAGAGCTGTGGTTGGTTGATAGGATCAACCTGCGTACGGAGTCGAGCTCCCGATGATAATCGGGATTTGTTCGGATGAAAATGGTTAAATTCGGATATGCGGGGGCTTATTCTTGTCATTTAATTGGCGGAACCATCTTCAAGTTTGGTCTGATCCAATCTCCTGTTTGGGACTAGTATGATGAATCATTGATTGCCTATTCTCTCAGGCACCAACATATAACCACGTGACTATTCCCTTGAGTCATGTTGGTCCCGTGACCCTGCTGACGTAAAACCAATTAACGCGCCCGGCGTGGACGCGTCTCACCATGAAACTAGGTACGCGACCCGTAGACTAGGAAAAAAAGCAAGTGGCCCCTGTGTGTATCTCAATTGATTACCTTTCCTCTCTCTGTATCCCACCTCCCACCTCCACCCTCTAATTCTCCCCCCTCTTTTTAATTTTCACTTCTGGTATCTGTAAGAGAGCTAGAGATTTTCCTTTTTTTCTTTTATTGGCCTCAATTAAGGCCTAGCTCTCCAATACGATGTCCTCCCTGTTTGATGCCGTGCTCCAGTCCGAGCTGGGCTCTGGGTCGGGCGCCCGTGAACACCTGCGATCCGATCACCTTCCCAGCTCTAGACGATCCGAGTCCAATGGCCCTATGAGTGACATGAATGCATTCCCCGATGATCAAGTCGTCGGCGCAGGCTCCTCAGCAGTGAGCCGGTTACGAAATCCCTATGCGCCGGGCCCCCCCACCTGTGATTGATGAGGCAGGAGAGAAGGTGCAGCAAGCATTCCAGGAGCTGTTAGAAACTTTCATGGAAGAGCCTTCATCATCGGCTCCACCATCATCAGGTGAAGTTTTGAGTGACAAGTACTATATCGCCCAAATTAAGGGCATGAAAAAATTCGAACTGTCAACCCTTTATGTGGATTTCACCCACTTGACTTCATTGGAAAATCCTATTTTGGCCGACGCCATCGCTAGCCAATACTACCGCTTCCTCCCCTTCCTGACTAAAGCCCTCCACAACCTGGTCGCCAAATATGAGCCTGAATATTTTGTTTCGCATCGCTTGGCCTCCACCGCCTCGACCCACTCCAGTGCCTCCGTAGCTTCTGCGTACGCCAACGTTTCTGATAACCCGGACTTGGAACGTCAGATTCACCAGAAGACTCGTCACCAACAGACCGATAAATTGTTTGCGCTTGCTTTTTACAACCTCCCCTTGGTCTCCCGACTTCGCCAATTGCGCACATCTCAGATCGGAAAGCTTCTCTCAGTCTCTGGAACAGTGACAAGAACATCCGAGATCCGACCGGAATTATCGCTGGGTACCTTCATTTGCGAAGGTTGCAAAACTGTGGTACCGAACGTGGAACAGACCTTCAAGTACACCGAGCCGACAGAGTGCCCTAACGAAACCTGTGGTAACCGCAATGGCTGGCGCTTGGATATCGGCAAGAGTACCTTTGTTGATTGGCAGAAAGTGAAACTTCAGGAATCATCTCACGAGATTCCGACCGGTAGCATGCCCCGTACAATGGATGTTATTCTGCGTGGTGAGATGGTTGACCGCTCCAAGGCTGGTGAGCGCTGCATTTTCACTGGTACCTTGATTGTCGTCCCCGATGTCAGCCAGCTGGGACTTCCTGGTGTGCGACCTGAAGCAGTTCGCGACAACAGCTCTTTCCGTGGTAGCGAAATCGGTGGTGGCGGTGTCTCAGGCTTGAAGGCTTTGGGTGTCCGTGATCTGACCTACCGACTTGCTTTCCTCGCATGCATGGTTACTCCTGATACCACTACTCCGGGTCAGAAGCCCGAGCAGCAGCTCAGTGGCCAGTCTAACAACATTCTGGCTTCTCTGAACCAAAATGTTGATCCCGATATGAGTGATGACAAGGCTCAGGAAGCCTTCCTTCAAAGCCTGACTCCCACTGAGGTCCAGGATTTGAAGACCTTGGTACACTCAGAATACATCTACTCGCGATTGGTCGACTCAATCGCTCCTATGATTTGGGGTCACCGTCAGATTAAGAAGGGTCTGTTGCTTCAGTTAATTGGTGGTGTGCCTAAGAAGACCTCGGCAGAGAGTCTTCAGCTGCGTGGTGACATCAACATTTGTATTGTTGGTGATCCCTCCACGAGTAAGAGTCAGTTCCTGAAGTACATCTGCTCTCTGCACCCCCGCGCAGTCTACACCAGTGGTAAAGCCTCGTCTGCGGCTGGTTTGACAGCTTCCGTTGTGAAGGACGCAGAGACTGGCGAATTCACCATTGAAGCTGGTGCGCTGATGTTGGCCAATGGAGGTGGTATCTGTGCCATCGACGAGTTCGACAAGATGGACATTGCCGATCAAGTTGCTATCCACGAAGCCATGGAACAGCAGACCATCTCGATCGCGAAGGCTGGCATTCACACCACTCTCAACGCCCGTGCTTCCATCCTCGCAGCCGCCAACCCTATCGGTGGTCGCTACAACCCGAAGCTTACTCTCCGTCAGAACCTGAACTTCAGCGCGCCCATTATGAGTCGTTTCGATGTGTTCTTCGTCGTTCGTGACGAGCCCAAGGAGCATGTCGACCGCAACCTGGCGGAGCACATTGTCAATGTTCACATGAACCGTGACGAGGCTGTCGAGCCTGAGCTGAGCACTGAGCAACTGCAGCGCTACATTCAGTTCGCACGCACTTTCCGCCCCACATTCTCCGATGAGGCCAAGGCCCTCCTGGTGGAGAAGTACAAGGAGCTGCGTGCTAACGATGCTCAGGGTGGTATGGGTCGTTCATCGTACCGTATCACCGTTCGTCAGCTGGAGTCTTTGATCCGTCTTTCAGAGGCCGTCGCCAAGGCAAACTGTGTTGAGGAAATCACACCCAAGTTCGTCCTTGAGGCCTTCGATCTTCTCCGTCAAAGTATCGTGACTGTTGAGAAGGACGATGTCGAGATGGATGATGAAGCAGTTCCCGCCGGCGGTGCTGATGAGGATCAGGAAATGGCCGACCGTGATCGTGAGGGTGACAGCCCTATGCGTGAGGATGGAGAAGAGCCTGCGCCTCAGCCTCAGCCTGAGCGCACTAAGACCAAGATCACCTACGATAAGTACGCCAAGATCTTGAACTTGCTTGTGCGTCGTGTGCGTGAGGATGAAGTCAACCAAGGTGAAGGTGTTGAGCAGGAGGATTTGATCTTGTGGTACCTGGAGCAAATTGAGTCCGAAATGGACACCCAAGAAGACTACATTCGTGAGCGCGACCTCGTGGTTAAGGTTCTGAAGCGTATGGTCAAGGTATGTGATCACTTTAAGCTATCTCAATCTCAATCTTTTAACAAATCGCTAATCATCTTGGGTATAGGAACTCGTTCTGCTCCGCGTTGAATCTGAATTGATGGACGACAGCAACGGCACACAGGAGAGTGTAGACAGGATCCTGTATGTGATGCATCCCAACTGTGCATTCGAGGAGATGTAAAGCAGATCCTAGATTCACTCTGTCTTGCATTGCCGCATTGTTTGTCGTTCTGGATGGGTTTGTTTTCATTAGCATTTTCAGGCTGGATTACCAAGGAGCTAAGGGGTTACGAGTGATGATATCCGTTTCAATTTTTGTTACAACTTCAATGTTTATGGTACTTGAACAAGCATCAATGTATAATTCGAACTTGATCATTTCCTTCTCATAGTAGTAGTAGTAAATGACCATTCCCAGCTTAAGGTGGATACCGATTGAACCAAAGCAGCGATCGGAGCACTTCAAGTTATATCCTGACTCGGACATACCAGTTGACATGAGTACTGTGACGAATATTGATCATGATGGATGCCACTGGCAAAATCCGGTACTAGTAGGTACCTACTATGTGGTAGCCCTGGAGTCACGGTACTACCACACATGGATGCAGTACCTACTTGTAGATACCATACAAGAAAAAAAGAGAGAAAAAAATCCAGCAAGGTCAGGGATTGAACCCAGGACCTTCAAAATCAGAAACGCGTGAATGGCCTCAACAGCCTCACTTGATACATCCATCCCTACCACATAATCCCGTCTATCTCCCTCAATTATTTTTATTTTGAAGATCTGAGAAGTGGAATAGAAAGAGAAAAGCTCGAAATAAAATAGAGAAAAAAGAAAAAGATTAAAAAAAAAAAATCATTATCCCTAGCCATAGCTAGATGCCCCTCCCGCCCGCAGGTATTTTCTCTGCCACTGAAACCAGGCCCGGCATACCTTATTTCAGTACCTTTGTCCCCGTCGAGTCTGGGTCGCCAGCCGCCCTAAGCCGCTAGGCCAAGCAGGGTAGAGATGTTACCTGGGGAGCTTTTTATTGGAATTTATGGGAGCTCTGGTTCCTTGAATGGTGTTTAACTTGAAACAGATTGTACATGAAGCCCCTTCACGGGTAGTCCGCATTATATGGATACTAGTTAACTTTCAAGGTTACCATGTTCGACTGTTGATTCATAATAAATATTGAGATTCTCTACAGTTCAAGTCCTAGCCTTACATATGCATGCATATGGAATTCATTTGACAATGATTAGTAGGTATCTAGACTCAAAAATCAACCCGGAAATCAAAATCGGCAAACTTGAAGCACTTCCAAGGTTGAATACAGTGAACTTACCATATTCAAATGAACTTAAAGAATCTAGCGCTAACATGAAGTGCTAAATTCCATGGTCAATATCTTCTTTTTGTAATGGAATTGCCTGAACAGATTGAACAGACAAAGAGCCAAATATCAAATTAAAAAATTCAGTTCATCAAACAGATCATCAAAGTAGGACAAAAAGAAGCTTTCAGGTATTCAATCTCACCAGCATTTCAAAGTCGTACTAGTACATGGAACACTCCGAGTCACAAGAAGTTGATCACTCGAGATCAAAACGAAGGTTAATAACATCATCAAATTGATAGACAACAACACGAGCAATATGTCGAGTACCACGTCGAAAACCTGCCAGGACAAGACAAGCCACAGAGCGACCAATCCGAGTTCCCATAACCTCATAATACTCCTCGGAGTGACGTTCAAGAACTCGATACCCACTGGCATTACCGATAGGTTGAGGAGACATTAACCCAGTAAAGAAATCATAATTCTCCTCACTCAGTACCGAGATTGCAAAAATGTATCGCAGCGCCGAGGGTGTAGTGTACATACTGTTGTAAAGTGCGAGCGCAACATCATACAGATGCGGAACGTCGGAAGCAGAAATTCGAGAAACAGTTCGCAGAATAATCATATCAGGAGCGATATCGCCAATCCAGAGACCTTCGGTGCTGAAACGCACGTTCCATCGTACGACTATGTCGCCGGCAGGCTCGTGGTTTGCTGGGAGGCGGAGGAAATCTTGAGAAAGACCGTGTCGGGAAATTTGACCACGGCAGATGGAGGTTGCAAGGCTCTCGATCTGTTGGATTGTCAGTTGATTTCTAGGGATGGGACGCTGAAGCATGGGGTTCTCGATCCATCGGGTAGCTTCTATTCCTCGAGCACGTAGCCAGTTATGTTGAGTTGCACATTCGTTGACGCTTTCGGAGTCTGAGGAACTGCTTGTGTCTCCTCCACATAATAATCCAAAACAGCGTGGCATTGTTCTGGATTGAACGTGTATTTTTTCCTCGAAGTATGAAGAGAGGTATGAAGGAAGGACTTCTGGACGTGTTGGACGTTTTGATTTGATGATGACTTGGTGCCCACACGTGTTTTGTATGGATTATGCGGCTGGAGTGGTGGGAATCGAGCTCGCATTTAAGCTCCTCGGTAGTGTTTTTTCAACAATGAATTATGAAGAAATAATCAAGCAGGTAATGAATTGGGTTGATGAAAGAAGCTTCTTGGAACAAAGGTGTTGGTGGAGACTCGACAGAATTATGGTGAATACAATAGCCATTTTGCTCAAAGGCAACGCAACAAAGCCACGACCACAATTGCGAAAGAAAACTCTTTATGCTATTATTTCACATCTTTTGTTCATTTTCCCAATAAAACTTTCCACAGCTGCCAGCTCTAAAATCAATTCTGACAAAGGGCGGATCCAAATAGACACTGAACACTTTCAGATTGACTATTTTGGACGTCGGTGCCAATAGGTGCATGATACAACAATATCTTCAACCAATTTAAAACTTTGAACAGTTGTCCTACAACTCAGACAGGGATTCAAAGATTGAGTTGAGTTGAAGCTGTTCATTCGGGCATCTCTGTAGATAAGGAGGCATTGCAAAAGGAAACAGAAACAAAAGAAAAAGAGGGAGAAAGAAAGAAAAGAAGCCCCCCAATAACCGACCATTTGTCCGGGCTCCGAGATTATCGATCCAAATTGCGCTGCTTACTCCTCTCCAGATCGAGTTCTGCTTGTAGTTGTGCCAGTTGAGACTCTTCAAGACGCTCGGTGGATTGACTGATTTCCAGTTTCAGACGCCGGATCCGACTCGCCAAAGCTTCTCTGCGGAGAGCAAATCCGGGTTGCGGCGCGGGGAACTGAAGGAGCTGGTGTATGGCGAGATGAAGGTTGCCTTGATGACAAACTGGGTCGATCTTCATCCAGGTCCATTGATTGGGGCAATGCACTGGATTCACGCTTTTAATTGGGTCTCGAGATCATTCTATCCGCTGTGTCCTTGAGGTTGCCAATGATTACAAGAGCTTTTTGTGCTCTGCTTAATCCCACATTAAGCCTTTGTTTATCGGCTAAAAATCCAAGTTTCAGCGGATCTGACTCTGGCTTCGTCCTGACAAAAAGGACTACAGGTGCCTCTTGTCCTTGCGGTGCATCCACAATCAGGCAATCCCTGTAAGGAACACCATTCTGGTGAAGGGTCCCCCTGATGAAGTCTCGCTGGGCCTTATAAGGAGTAACAATCAACACATCCTCAGACGTGATTTGTTCTCCAGACTCTAGCTTGAATCCATAGAGTGACCCTTGGCTGGGGTTCCTGAAAGACACATCATTAGTCTCGGCGATGCCCAGTGAGTCCGTATTCCGAAGACATGTGCGGGTTGCTGTAAAGCTATCCCACACATGACCGACGCGCTTCACCTGGTTGTTGCATGGCCCAGCTCTTAGCTGTCCACCATATACAGCCCTGTTGAAGAAGTCTAGAATGGCGTGACTTCTATCACTTTCTGCTCCAATTTTGAAAGGGACCGTACAGATGCAGTCGCAAGAATGGTCTTCAGTCATCATCTTTATGACTGTTCCCGAACCGCATATATTGCTTTCGCACCTCCGCAAAACAACATAGATCTCGGTTCTTTGCTGGCTGATCAAAACGTATCTAATCGTTGGATTTGCGTGTTAGTATTTTGTGCTCCTCCGATATAATTTCCTAGGTATGTCAGGCTCTTACAGGTCTCTATTGATGGTCTTTCGTAAACTCGCATGTATGGATACAGCAGAGCATTTCGATGCCAATTTATCTGGGTGCGTAGCCTCAGACTGAATCCAATAGTAGGTCTGTTTTGACCTCGATAATGGCATGTGGCTGCCTCTTCCCGTTACGATGACTGAGACAACCATCGGATCTAGCAACGATATTGGCCTCACCAAAGTTGACCCGCCACTGAGGCTGCGTCAAACGCCATTCCAGAATTGGTTTCATATTCCGGTTTTGACACAGTTTCATTAAGAGCATCATAAGCTCGCGTTCACGATAAACTCCTCGTTCTTTAGCTCGTTCTTTGGTATCGCGATCGGAGTCATGACGTGTTCGGCCATCTTTGCAGAAAACCCTGAAGACTCGCCAGAACTCTCAGTTAAGTGACCTCGGGCTGATGCTGTTCTACAAATTCCGACTGGCGTATGATAACTGCCAAGAAGGGTCGAGAAAGCAGGATCCATTACAATCTCGTCTGCCTCTGATTGACCACGTGAAGCGACATGTGTGACCTTTTGCCTTTTGGAGCGGGTGGAGACAGCCGACTCATTCCAAGCTCGAGATCTTGTCATAGACCGCGTAGAACATGGACCGTTCTGGCCAGATCTAGACTGTTTCACCTGGAGCTGCATGGTGCGGACATTGTATATGTGCGCATCTCCAAGTCGTCAATCGGATTTGGGTTCTCTGCACCAAACTTCGCAAAATCCGCAACATATGCATCGTAGCCACTAGAATTCTCGATATGATCTTGCTCTTGGCTGGCCGCAGCTGCACTGGTGTTAAGAAAGAGAGTTGTCCTATGGTCGTCGGAGTAAGAAGTGTCAGAGAATTCACCTTTTCCAGGTAAGTTCGGATGGTAACTTAAGAATTCTTGCGACGAGAACCTTGGAAAGTGTCCTTTTTGGACAGATGACCCAGATGCTCAGCCTCTCAAACCATTCAACGGAACCTTTTCCACCGGAAAACTGTGATAGTAATCGGGATGATCATCCTCCTTCTATGGAGGTATATAGTTCTTCTCGTGGCTTGCAAGGTCTTGCCACTTCTTTGGACTTCGAGCTAGCCCGTCGGTTTCAAGTATCCAAGCATATGTGTCTTTATTCCTGTTAGTTGAGCATTCCATCCATTCAAGTGACCTTGAAATCAATGAGGCATACCGGACATCTTGGTAGAGGCTGTTTTCCATGTTGAGTTGGTCACGTTGGGGTATAGTTGAAAAGGGTGACAACAGGAGTGAATATTTTCAACCAGACTTCTGTAAAAAGAAATCATCCACCGTCAGCTTTTTATCGCTATATGGAATAAAAAGGCAAACTCACTTTTTGTATAGGCACATGCTTTGCAGAGGACATAGCTGAATTCAAAGGGAAATGCCCTCTTGACAAGAAAAACTGCGTGAGATGAAAAATGGGAGGTGGGATGGAAACGCTGACACAGGCAAGATTGCCACAATGGCACAGAGAGGTGGGATTTGTTATGGAGTAGAGTAGGAGTGTGAGTTGAAAATAAGTTGTTAGAATACCATAGTTGACTTGTGGAAATAGGGTCCGTTCCTAACCTTACTTCCAACTTTACCTAGCAGGTAGAAGGTTTTAAGGTTTCAGCTTACTTTAAATGTACTTTCAACTAACATTGCAATAGAACTCTTTTTAAGTTATCTGTAGATGATCTGACTCAGACTGAGCCCTGTACTTAAGTATGTGAACGTCCCTGTCCGAGAGAACGTGGATACACCTGGCCAAGCACTCGCGTGCTGAGGGCATACCATTCCCAATTTCAAATGCTCGCTGCTACACTAGCAGCGAAGCGCGGCGTGGGGACTTGTTTGATGTTCCTTCGATCACCCCTCTGGGCTCACTTTGGGCTTATGTGTATTTTAATAATATCTCTCCTGAAGATATTTGTCTACCACCTGGGCAGTAAGAGTAAAAGAATTGTTAAAGGGTTAGTAGGTTTGAAGATATTCCCTACTTTAACTTACTCTGTTCTTATTAAATTTCTACTCCTTTTACCATACTAGACGGCGATTGAGCGTGACAACGTCGCTATTATCGTGATAATCATGGCCATATGCATCCCCTGGAGCGCGCCCACGAACATGACGACAAGCTAGAATTACCCACTAGTCTTATCATCACCATCGCATCTACTGAAAACTACAGCCGAAAGCTGGGTACGACAGAAAGAACACTCTTCGCCGCCATTATGTATTCTAAGCAAGCCTTATTCCCCTAATGAATTTTTTAATAGAGTAAACAAAATACCTAATTGGGTAGTGAGTGGCGGCTGGAATTGAATTTCCACCGTCTATAAATCAGGCTGCCCAGGTGGCAATCACGTTGGGTCGAGTAACATTTGAATATTTGTAAAATCCTAAGTGGAGTCGGCCAGTAGTCCAGACAGATGCGATGTTACATAGTTCAAGAGCACTAAAACTTATTAACGGTCCAGCGCAGATTGAGCCAAGAAGTTGTACACGACGCAACTCAATGTATCTGCCGCTGATCTACCGACACTATACCACGATGGGGATAGATCTTACTCGTCTTATCTTTTTATCTTCAAGTTATTCCAAAGTCGGGAGAAAGTCCGCAACTTCTGATAAGGATTCCGATGTCAATGTATGCATGTCATGCAGGTGATCCTGCTGACCGCCATGTTGAATTTCAACATGATATAGGTATTAGTAATAAATATTGTTCACGCGAAACTTGTTGATCCGAAATCTGGGCCATAATCACTTCGATTGATGAATCAGATATAGAGCGGGGTTCAACCTGCCATGTCGAGCTAAGCTCGCATTCTCCACTTCAAGTTCCCTTATCTTTCCCCGCGTTGTGCATGTATATGCACCTGGCTACATGCCAAGTTGCTAGGGCGAGGAATGATAAAAGGCGCTCGCGTCGCTAGCGAAGGGGGTTTTCAAAAATTACTCACATTGTGGGACTGGCCGCTCAGCATGGATACAACTGAAACAGAGACGGAAAAAGTCAAGCCCGTGCCTGTTGTGGACGAAGAAGTGGGCGAAGGGCGTTTGGAAAATACAGACCTCAAGGCTGAGGGGGAAGAGAATGAAAATGTCGAGTACAGTTATGAATCGCACCGATCGCCATTTCCCGAAGGTAAGCGATTCATGGAGAATCGGATTGAGCCATCAATTAACGATTCAATGCTTCAATAGTCAGAGCTGTTGTCCCTGAAACCGATGATCCCAGCATGCCAGTTAGTACGGTCCGTATGTGGATACTGGGGGTAGTGTTCACAATATTTGGGTCTGGAATCAACCAATTCTTTTCTCTACGGTATCCATCAGTTCACATCGTCGCACTTGTTGCAGAGCTTCTGGCCTACCCGCTGGGAGTTTTCCTTGCAAGAACTCTTCCCATGACCACAATATCACTCGGACCCCTAGGAAGTTTCCAGCTCAACCCCGACAGAAAATTTAATATCAAGGAGCATGCTCTCATTGTTATTATGAGCAACGTCTCGTTTGGCTATGCCACAGCTGACTCGACGAACATCATCCAGGCCTCCAGTAAAGCCTTTTACAACTTTGATTTGAAGCCTGGTTTCTATGTGATGATCGTCCTTTGTGCCCAGCTTCTCGGATTTGGAGTCGCCGGTTTATCTGCTCCGTGGCTAGTGGAGCCTGCACGTATCATCTGGCCCGGTGTTCTATCGAACTGTGCCATGTTAGAGACATTGCATTCACGCGCTAATACCATTGCCAATGGATGGCGTATTTCCCGCTTGCGCTTCTTCCTCTATGTTACAGCTGGCGGTTTTGTTTGGTACTTCTTCCCAGGCTTGATATTTACTGCGCTGTCATATTTCACTTGGGTATGTTGGATCGCACCCAAGAATGTCATTGTGAATCAGCTCTTCGGAATGCAGACAGGCTTGGGATTGAGTCCAATCACATTTGATTGGAGCCAAGTCGCATACAACACAAACCCCCTTCTATCTCCTTCTTGGGCAGCGCTCAATGTCTTTGCCGGATTTGCGTTCTTCTATTGGATCGTGGTCCCAGTCTTATACTACAAGAACACCTGGTTCACGGCTTACTTGCCACTGATGACATCTGACGTGTACGACAGAACGGGTGCAGTCTACGACACTGCTCGTGTTATCTCTTCAGATAATACCTTGGACGTAGCGGCTTATCGCAAATACTCACCTCCATATCTTGGAGCAACCTTTGCATTTGTCTACGGTCTTTCTTTCGCGTCAATTACTTCCGTGCTTTCGCACATTGGAATTTGGCATGCCCGAGATCTCTGGGCTGCTATGAAAGGTCGTAACCGACTTGACATCCACGCTCGACTGATTCGTGCTTCATACCGTCGCACTCCCTGGTATTGGTACATTGCTATTATCGTGGTAATCATGGCCATGTGTATTGCCATGGTTGAAGTCTACGATACCAAGCTTCCCGTGTATGGCGTATTTCTGGGTCTTATCATCCCAGCTCTGTATATGGTTCCTTGCGGAATCGTGCAAGGTATCACGAATGTCGATGCGAACCAGCTTAATGTTCTTGCCGAATTTCTAGGTGGATATCTCTTCGAGGGTCGGCCTCTAGCTAATATGATCTTTAAGATCTTGTCGACGGATGTCGTGGGCCAAGGTGTTTATTTCGCTATGGATATGAAACTGGCCCATTACCTCAAGGTGCCACCACGGACCACCTTTTTCGCCCAGGGAATTGCTACCATCCTTGGTGCTTTAACCCAAGCCGGCGTTACAATGTGGATGCTGGGCCATATCGACGGCATTTGCGAGACTGACCAGACTGATAGCTTTACGTGTCCCAATGGTCGAACGGTGTATTCCTCATCTGTCATCTGGGGGCTTGTTGGACCTCGTCGTCTTTACTCCGTCGGAAAGATCTACTCGTCACTCCTTCACTTCTTCTGGATCGGATTATTAACTCCATTTATTACATACTTCCTATACCGATGGACGCGACAACGCTTCTGGAAGCAGATCAATTGGCCCTTGATCTTTGTCGGGACTTACAATGTTCCTCCGGCTACTGGAATCAACTATTCCAGCTGGGCTCTTGTGAATTTTCTTTTCAATCATGTCGTGCGCCGTCGTTGGTTTGCCTGGTGGACGAAATACAGTAAGTCTGCCCTCAGGTTCATCGCTCTCTCAGATTCTCGATTGCTGATTTTGTATTAGACTATATCTTGGCTGCCGCACTCGATACCGGCTTGGCCCTTAGTGGAATTGTCATATTTTTCTGCATCTCGTACCCTGGCGCTTCATTTCCTGACTGGTGGGGAAATAATGTTTATTTGAATACTGCTGATGCAGAAGGTGTTTCTTGGTTGAAGATGCCATCAGTGGGATACTTTGGCCCTGCTAATGGGACATGGAGTTGATCTGGTATGAATTTACATGAGAGGAAAAAATCTATACTAGGCATATGGCTTCTCATATTGAGGATTTTCAGTAGATCTATCATTCATTATCCAGCTAGAACGTAGCGACTCCAAATCTCTACTACTTACGCCCAGGACTGACCAGTTGACTATAAATAATAGCACATGGGCAGCTCAAGTGCTAGATAGTGATTGAAAGTGATAACCTAGATCAATGTGATTCCCTTATGCATAGGTTCTGAAATCTTTCAGCTTGAATGAGCAAAACTTCAAGTTTGAGCAATTCAATTCACCACAGACAGATCCTCCACCCATTTCAACCTCCATCACAGGGGAAATGGAAAACTAGCTCTCATCGAGCTCTTGGAATTTTGGCCAGCACCACTTCAGTAAAGTATCCATATTGTCTTGATATTCCGACCAATTTACCATATCCGTGTATCTAACCCCTTGTGGAGGTGTTATCGCAAACTGTTTGAAATCTACCAGTGGTGTATATTGTACTCGGAACTTTTCACCATCAAGGTACGCATAGAGTATGCGAACCTGAACTTGTCTGTCTTGAAATAAAAGGAAATAAGTTATAGGGGTGTCAAAATCGAGCATGAAAAGTTTTACTGTCTAAGATCTTGCAACTTTGGCCTCTGTTGGAACTTGGGACCACGCCCAGGGGTCCACGCGTTCCCTGTAGAATTATCACAAGTCCGAGTCCTCACGCCGCACTTCACGCGGCACTACCAGTGAAGCAGCGAGCATTTGAAATTGGGAAAGGTACTAGTATGTCCTCAGCACGCGAGTGCTTGGCTAGATGTGTCCACATCCTCTCAGATAGGTACCTATGTTCACATACTTAAGCACAGGACTCAGTCCGAGTCAGTACCTAGGTAGCATCTACAGGTGACTAATGACCAACACCTCATGGGGTTACCTGGATGAGATGGCTACCTGTTATATACTAGTCAGATATAGGCAACTGGCAACCCTACAGATATCTAAAGTGAGAGATATCTAAAGTAGAAGTAACAGACAGCTAAATAAAGCAGGATATACTCACATGCATGTTTAGATATAATAAACAAAGCAAAAATCTCCAGGGGCCAGTCTATTGGTAAATCTATGATCTCTGAGTATTTTGCCAGACGGTGAGGAAACTCGAAAAACCACTGTAACTCAAGTAGGATAAGAGGTCTATCTAGTCTATGATATGATTAATCTATAAGCTTAGAATTAGATACCAGCTGTGGGAATCAATCTGGCAGATGTCATTCTGTTTTGCTCATATTGGCAAGATGGGACGAAAAGTGATTCCACTGTCAACATTCTGATGGAAGACGGGGATGAGTCCAAGGAACTTTTTCGAGCCCCGTCTAACGAAGACTTCCGTTTAAGCATAGCACTCAAGCGCGATTCTGATGACCCGGCTCGGCAGGGTCCAATCACAGTCAAACTTGAACAACATTAAAACTTGACGTATTCAAATGTTTGTTTTCCAATCCCCGATGCTGATCTATTATAGTCATACATCATACAATGTCATCAATTACCCACCTGCAGGTGGCACCTGGGCATGATCAATGTTCTCATAGACATCATTTATCATCACTCCCTAGCTTTTTCTATCTACCATCGTGGTCAGAGTCGTCATCCTGACCATCCGTTGAGCTCTATATTGCATCTTTTATTGCATCAAAATACCCATCGTTCAAGACCTTCCTTGAACTGATAAATCATCTGTCTCGCCCATATACTCCGAGTCTTCTGGCCCTCTCATCAACTGGTTCGTATTTTGCCAGGGATGAAGGAACATTTGAACTACGAGCTGGTGTATGGTCACATTCATTTTCAAGACTCAGTATCTGGATATCTAGGTACTTTGGGGTTGTTGCCTACCCGTTACTAGTAACTAGGTGGAATCTCAGCAGCCAAGCTCTGTAAAGAACATATCCACGGCTTAGATCTATCATCCATCATCCATCCATCCATCCATCCATCCACCATCATCCACCATCATCCATCATCCATTATCTGGAAAACTGGTCTGAGAAACTCTGGCCGATGAAAATTGCTGCAACCTCCTTTGAAGTTCTCAATACTTCCAAACTGATAGCCCTGCAGGTGAAAATGTCATGATGTTCCCGATGACCCCTTTCCCACGGAACGAGGCTATTATGGATAGTTCTATACGGTAACATTCCAAGGCCAGGCCGAGAAGTGTTAGCTAGAGCTGGGGCCACCATCCTGAATGTGAAATTTCATATGACAGGAAAGAAGATCTTGATGAACATGTGGAAACTGTCCACCTTGGAGCCATTTACACCTGTCCGTACCCAGAATCTGATAAATTCTATAAGACTCGATTTGGTTACCACGAGCATGTCAATTCTATCCATCTTGGAAAGGTTTACTTCTGCGAATACCGTGATCGTGAAGGGTGTCAACGGACATTCACCAATCGAAGAAATGCCAAGAACCATGCCAGTGTCTACAGTGGGACAACATTTGCTTGTAACTATCTTGGATGTGAGAAAAAGTTCCCCAGGAAAGATTATCTTCGAAACTATGTCAACTTGACAATGTCCATCTTGGAAAGATATTCCACTGTGAAGACCCTAAATGTGATGAAACCTTCCGCAGGGAAGATGCTCTCAGAAGATATTTCAGAGCTGTCCATCTTAGACAGATATTCCACTGTGAATACCCCGGATGTGAGAAATCATATAACAGTAAACCTGCTCGCGACAATCATGGCGATATTGTTCCCCCCAATCAGCCGCTTCAATTTTACATGGACAACGACAACTACACCTTGTATTCATATATACTCTACTTAAAGTTGGGTAGCCGGGTTTTTATCATAGTTCTATCTTGATAATCGCCAGCACTGGAGATACCGAGATCTTGGGAGTGGACCGGAATCACTGGCAAGTGAAATCTAAGCTCTGGAACTACTGTCAGTGCTATGCCGGGGTGCGATCAGTTGACAGTCGATCTTGTCGCCACTTTGCTTTGACAATACCCCTAGTCATATACTTTCCACTATGTCGCCACTTTTGAGCGATCTTTACCCCTACCATGGCTCGACTTACCACAACATACTCCCGAAATACACACCCTTAACTCTGAATTAGTATCTACTTAGATCCTTCACTACTTTTGAGCGCAGTTCGACCCAACCAATCCATATTACATCCAGCACTTGAGGTAGACCAGTGCTGAGATGCCGACATCACTTTCTGTGAGGGACGGTGGTATGTATTCCGTGCTGTATGCCCATTACCGATTAACAGTCAACTACTGACACGGACGTTGTTAGAAGTCTGCATAGATTAGGCCACTTCCTCGATAGGCTTTCGCTCTCGACGCGCCTATAGAATTTCCCTCCTCACGTTTCCCCACACACAGAGTTCTCCTTCGTAGGCTCAGCTCCGACAAGTGTGTGAAGAAGCTCACTCATCGCCAGCGTCTGCCTAGCGAACAGGACCACCGGAATTGACTACCTCGTCGAGCAACAATGTTTCTACAACGGCATCTGCGTCAACGCGGAGCATCAGAGGATTCTGAGCCTCCGAGGCCGGCAAAAATCATGGTCACCTTATCACCGACCAGCGGCAGTCACACATAAACGCCATACTGATCCAGACGCGTGGCGAGCCCCCCCCCCTATCCGCCCAAAGCAATCGATAAGCCAGCATGGCAGATATGAGCCCCTTTCCTATCTATGCACGGCTATATACCAGGTATCTGTGGGTTTTTTGCGACAACTGCAAATGGCCAGACTACGGTGCCTGCTGCTCTGTACGCGATGAGCGGGGTCGAGTATTCCAAGTTCCAATATATGAGTACTGGAGAAAAAGACAACACCTCAAAAAAAGATGACACCGAAGTACGGGTGATGTCAGTCCCTTACCCATCCTCGGCTTAGAAGCCTGTCAAATCTCCTGCTCATAAGCAGAGTAGCAAGTTCATGCAAACTTTTGTCCAGGAGGCCAATGAACCTAAGCGTTTGCAAAGAGACCACAGCGGAAATGTCTAGGTGGTACAAACATTTGAATCATTGAATATATTCAATTCGAAAAGGCGACAGACTTTCATGGCGAACAGCACATGATGAAACTTTCAAATGTTCGCAGCACTGATCTTGTGGTGGTTTGATTTTATCCGCCTGCACGTTAACGTTTCGAGCCCCGTACAATCCTGGCTTGAGATGACCTTGTCCACATGCTGAGGAGTACAGCTGAACTGCTCTTGGTGGCCTTACGCAAATTTCTAAGTGAACAAATTCACTCGGTATTGGCGACGTTCTTAAGATTTCCGATACCTGCGATGACCTGACGTTCCAACCTTCAGATTCAAAATTCTAACCTTCAGGTTCAAGAACTCTTGAGAAGTCTAGAGCTGTCGGTACTGATGTCAGCGGTCAGTACTGAAGTGTATACTTCAGACAATGTTTGTCAAGACAACTCTGCTATAACTTCGCTTCTTCACGCGTCCCCCAACATACGGTTCCCGACGCGTAGTTCTCACTCGCCAAGAACTGCTCACCTGAGTCGACCCACTTTAAGCACCTGGATCCACAACTTCCACCGAGATATTTATAGAATCACCGAGACCCTCAGTATGCGTTACGTCAATAAATGACGTGCTGAGTCGTGAGGATATAGACGACTCCGAACTCCAAGTGGAAGTTGGCTTTTCCAGAGCTCCAGCTAAGGTTTCCCGTTACATCCGAGAGTATCATCACCCAACTCCATTCCTAGTACTGTAGTGGTCTTTGAGTTAACATCCACATTTTAGAGTACAACTACCAATCCAAGGTTATGACCACAACATAATCCGCCAAATACCTCGATATATTCTACAGTGATCCGACCTTCGAAAGAAAAGTGGGCCAGAATGACAGTGAGGAAGATGTGGATCTATTGCACGGACTCTCGCGTTGCCAAGACACAGACATCTTAGTTGTCGATGCGCTAGCATCAAGGGTATAATACACTTGAAGG